GAAGGGGTAACCGATCAAGTGCTGCTCGAACGCCCGACACGCCGAGACGACAGCCAAGAACTCTTTATCAGTGACATGATAGTTGAGCTGAGCACCGTTGAACTTAGCGGGAAAAGAATCGCGTTGGAACGGCCTGCGAACGGTTGGGCCCGGACGCCAAACAAGCGCCAATGCCAAACCCGACTGGCATCCGTGAAGAGGTACATTCTTGTGCTCGCCCGAGGTAACCTTGGCGCCATCGATCGGTCGTAGGATGGCGGGACAAGGGACTTGACGGTATCGAAAGCCTGCTGTTCTCGCTCGTTCCAACGCCATGACGTCGATTGCGCCATTAACGCGGTGATCGGCTCCAAAATCTTTGAGAGGTGCGGTAGGTGATCTCGCATCCAGTTGACGGTGCGAGGAAGCGCTGGACATCGGTCTTGTTGCACGGGATCGGCCACTGACGGATACGCACCCACTTGGCGGGGTCGACTTCGATGCCGACGTCGGAAATGATGGTGCCCAAGGAGTCCAACGACTTTGAGAACCACTCGGACTTCTTGGATCCTAAGTAGAACCGGTAATGTCTCAATGTCATCAGCAGGATCTTGATGTGTCTCAAGTGCGCGCGACGGGTATCGGAATGGACGTGGACATCGTCGAAAAAGATCTTGGCGAACGGGAGACACGGCTGGAACATCGCCGAGGTTAAGAGGTTGAGGGTATTGGGCGCATTGGTGTCACCAAACTGCATGACCCGCGACGTGTACGTGCCCGTCACCGTTGCGAAGCCGGTGCGATCGACGTGCTCCGGTATGACCCGAACCTGCTCAAATGCCGCGGCCACGTCGAATTTAGAGCGATAACGCGATCGAGCCACCTCGTATCGAACATTGGTCATGTCCGGGATGGGCGAAAAACGCTTGACGGTGTTGCTGTTGCGCGCGCGGAGGTCGATCACGAAACGAGCCGTCTGGGAGTTCTTCTTCGGAATGGCAAAGACCGGAGCCGCAGAATCGATCGGACCCGAAACCCAGAATCGACCACGGTGTACTTAGCTGAGTGTTCGCCCACTGGCTGCGATATTTGTCGGCAAGGGGGTATTATTCGATCAACTCTACTACGTCAGCGATGTAGTTATAGCCAGAGTGATGATGAATAGGAAGCTAACAATAAGAGACCCGCGCGCCCCCAAGTCCACAGCCAGCGAGCCTGGGGCTGAGCCAATGGCCCAGGCTCGCTCCGCGCGCCTAAGTCCAGGCTCGCTTCGCGCGCCTAAGTCTGGGCCGGGCGCCCGGCTCACTCCGCGCGCCTAAGTCGCGCCCCGGTTCGCTCCGCGCGCCTAAGTCCTGAGCCGAGCGGAGAGTGGATTCCTCACAGGTATACCCGGGTTTGACCTTTTCGGTGGGATCGATCAACGGGATCTCGTGGTTGACTGGCCGGTACGGTGGGAGTTGGTCCATCGGTAGCGAATCTACGAAACATCAAAAATTTCTCGAGTAAGGCAGCCAATCGTGTTCGTGCTTCGGACTCAGAGAAATCGTCGAGCGCCGATCGTCGACGACATCAAGCAGCGGGTTGTGTGGCTCGAGGCCGATGATCTCGTCGTCGGGGAGCAACCCAGGTGATTGCAGCCAATGGCAGAACAGATAAGATAGGTGCTACGGTGACGGCTCGGTCCCATTCGTGCGTATCCTGGGCGACGGGTTGCGAAGGGCCGGTGCGCGCGACGGTGAAGGCGCCCCAACCAACGAGCATGCCTGTGTCCTTAAGAAATGGCAGCCCCAAGATGGCGTCGTACGCCGTTACCCCGGCAAACGAAAATGGTCGCAAACCGAGATCTAGGCACCAGACGAAAAAGGAGCGGTGGCGAACACAGCAATCGGTCGGACTTATCCTGGGTGCCGAGGCGCAAATGCAACGGCGCAGTCAAACGGGCCGTTGCGAAGCTCGGGTCGACCTCGCACCACCTCCTGATCCACCAAGTCGACCTCTGATCCCGAGTCGATCAAACATCGCAAAACCCTTCCAGAAGTAGCGTCCACGCGATGACGTTGCGGGCGCGTACAATGGCGGGCTCGACAGGTCGGTCGGGTTCGTCGATGTCGATCAGGGGCACAGCGGACGCCAAGAGAGACACACCCGACGGCACAAGAATCTGGAAAGTATTCGATCAACTCTACTACGTCAGCGATGTAGTTATAGCCAAGAGTGATGAATGCATTTCAACATACCTATTCGATAACTCTACTACGTCACGATGTAGTTATAGCCAAGAGTGATGAATAGGAAGCTAACAATAAGAGACCCCGCGCGCCCAAGTCCACAGCCAGCGAGCCTGGGCTGAGCCAATGGCCCAGGCTCGCTCCGCGCGCCTAAGTCCCAGGCTCGCTTCGCGCGCCTAAGTCCTGGGCCGGGGCGCCCGGCTCACTCCGCGCGCCTAAGTCCGCGCCCGGTTCGCTCCGCGCGCCTAAGTCCTGAGCCGAGCGAGAGTGGATTCCTCACACCCCCCCCCACGCGAACGCGAGGTAGACTTGAGCCGTGGATGTCGCGTCCGGAGGCCTAGAGCATAGCAATGTGTACCAAAAATCTTGGGCCTAGCGCTTTGGTGAATACGTCCGCAACCATGTCTGCTGTGCCAACGTGTGAGAGAGAGATATCACCTCGATTGACCATGTCACGGACAAAATGCTCGCGGAGGCGAATGTGCCGGGTGCCGGAGGTGCGAACGGGGTCGTGAGCGACGGCGCCGCGGCCTCGTTGTCGGTGAAGATGTGAGCTGCAGCGATTATGAGACGTTCACCACTACTGTCAGGAGAGGTTGAGAGTCGAACAGAAGTGATGAGAAGGAAGCTAAGAAACAGAAAGGGGGGGCCACGCTGGGATAGTCCCAGGCGCGTGACAATGTACATCCCTAAGTCAGCCGCGGGTGAAATCGCCGGCGCGCCTAAGTCCCCACCGCAAGGGGCGGCTAGCGGGCGCGCGCATGAATCCGCCGGCGCTGGCGCGCTGAGGCAGTCGCGCGCGTCTAAGTCCCCACCGCCGGGGGCGGGCTAGCAAGTGCGCGCAACGACCGAGGCGCCCCTGTCGAGCTGAGAGTGGACTCTTCACACCCCCCCCCCACGCGAATGCGAGGCAGACCCAAGCCGCGGGTGTCGAGTGCGAAGGCCGAGGGCGTAGCAGTGCGTTGAGAAGACCTTTGGGCCGAGAGCCTTGGTGAAGATGTCGGCCACCATGTCGCTGGTACCCACATGCGAGAGAGAGATGTCGCCCCGATTCACCATGTCCCGAACGAAGTGCTCACGCAAGCGTATGTGCCGAGTGCCAGAGACGCGGACAGGATCGTGAGCAACTGCAGCAGCGGCTTCGTTGTCAGTAAAGATGTGAGCCGGTGCAACAGGTTGTACATGGAGCTCTTCGAGCAGCTGACTGAGGTAAATCCCTTCCTTGCCAGCATGCGAGAGGGCGAGGTATTCAGCGTCGGTGGTCGAATCGGCAACTCGAGACTGGCGTTTGGACGACCAGGACACGGCCGAGCCAGCGATGTAGAAGACGTAGCCCATGGTGGACACCGATGTGTCGATGCAGGCCCCCCAGTTCGCGTCGGAGTAGCCTACCACACCCGTGATGCGAGCCTGGCCGCGAGCATACACGAGTTCGTTGCGATACGTGGCCCGGAGATAGCGTAGGATGTGCTTGACCGCAATCCAATGACGACGACCGGGGTTGTTGGCGAAGCGGGCCAGGTAGGACACGGCGAAGGCGATGTCAGGGCGGGTACCGAGCGAAATGTAGAGGAGCGAGCCGATAGCCTGCAGATACCATGACCTGATCCGTTCGGTGCCTTGACCCGGGATAGCAGTGAGCGAAAGGCCGGGAGTCATCGGAACTGTAGTGCCGCGAGTCGTGGTGTCGAAGTGGAACCGAGCGAGCACGTCCATGATGTACCGTTCCTGGGATAGGGCGATAGAGCCGTCGTCGAACCGCCTGATCTGGATGCCGAGGATATACTCGGCCGGGCCGAGGCGCTTGACTCCGTAGCGTTGGTCCAGGCCTGAGATGACACGTTCGATTTCGGCCAGTTCCGGGCTGATCATCAGGAGGTCGTCGACGTACAGTGCGATGTAGTGTGGACATTGACGATCATCGAGCCAAGAGTATACGCAGTGGTCGGTGCCCGTCGCCGTGTAACCGAGGGCCCGAAGCGAAGCGTCGATGTGTCGATTCCAGATTCGGCCAGCCTGTTTGAGCCCGTAGATGGAGCGTCGCAGGCGAAGCACCTTGTCGCTGGGAAGGTCGAAGCCGCGCGGTGCCGTCATCCAGATGTCGTGGTCAAGGTCGCCATGCAGATATGCTTTGTCGATGTCCGCCTGGTGCACGTGCAAGCCGTTGGCGGCCGCCAGCGCGAGGAGTGAGCGTATCGAGGAGAAGCGTGCGACCGGTGCGAACGTTTCGTTGAAGTCGATGCCGTCGCGTTGCCGATTGCCTTGCGCGACCAGCCTTGCCTTGTGTCCAGTGACTTCGCCGAGTGCGTTCCGTTTCGTTTTCCAGACGAACTTGGATGTAACGATAGTCGCACCCGCGGGCACCGTGGCTCGGTCCTCGATGGTGAAGACCTTGAAGTCGTCCGCGCATGGAGGTGAACTCGTCGGTGGCGGCTTTGGCCCATACTTCACGCTTGTCGCTAGACATCGCCTCGCGCCAGGTCTGTGGGTCGCTCGTGATGGACTTGACTGGCTGAATTGCCTCTGTGTCAGAGGTGTCGTCGTCGATGGCGATGAAGGCGCGGTGGTGTCGGGTGAGGAAATCGATTTCGTCCGGAGATTCGTCGCGAGAGTGGCGCCCAATGAGGTCGAGTTCGTCGGGCGACTCCTCAGCCGATGCGGGCTCGCGGTACGTGCTGAAGTCTGGGTGGTGCACGTCCTGTAGATCGAGGCGAACCTGGGGCTGTGAGCCGAGGAGGTCGAGGGGATCGGCGGAGTCTTCAGAGTCGGTCGGTAAGGCCGAGGGTGACGATGACGCAGCCGACGATGGTGAAAGTGCAGGCGATGGCGCAGACGACGGTGATGAGGGCGACGCAGGCGACGGTGACGAGGACGATTCGGCATCTGTGAAGTTAAGTAAGGTTCCGCCAGTGTACCCTGGGGCCACGTCAACGGCGCTCATGGCAGAATCATCAAGGGGGGATGAGACGTCCATGTGCGCCGACCTTACTAGTGGGGTCCATGTCTTGACAACGGTTTGAGATTCGGTGGTGGGAGCGCTGGCGAAGTGCGTGTCGCCGTCTTGCTCAGTGGGGTCGCCATGTAATCCGGGGAATTCAGTGTCGAGGAACGTGGCATTTCTGCCAAGTATAATCTTCTGTGTTGTAGTGTCGTAGAAGCGAAAGGCTTTTGAAGCCAGGTCGTAGCCGGTGAAAAAAACGCGAACCGCCTTCGGGTCGAGTTTGGAGCGAAGTTCGGGCGCGACCGTAAGCCAAGCTGTACAGCCGAACGGGTGAAGCGCCGAGGCAGTGGTGTGGTCACCCTGCCAGACGGAGTTTGGTGTTGCCTTGTCCAGGGCCGCGTGTTGACACAGGTTCTTGCAGTAAACGAAATAAGCTGCAGCCTCCTCCCAGAATGTCTTGGGTAGGTGGGCGTCGACAAGGAGGGCAAGGACGCCTTCGACAATGGAACGATTGACCCGCTCTGCACGACCGTTCTGTTGAGGCGTGCGTGGGATAGAGTATTGTCGACGGGTGCCTCGTGTCTTGCAGAACTCTGTGAACGCTCTCGAACAGTATTCGCCACCGTTGTCGGTTCGGAGGACCTTCAGCGTCGCACCCGTCTCGAGTTCAACCTCGGCTAGCCAAGTTTTGAATATGCCGAAGACTTCGCTTTTGTGTCCGATTGCGTAGGCCCAGAGTTTGCGCGAGTAATCGTCAAGGAATGTGACCAGGTAACGTTTGCCAGTCAAGGACCGCTCGGGGAAGGAAAGCACATCGCTGTGTACAAGGCCGAGTCTCTCTGAGGAGTGCGAATCCGAATCGGGAAAGGGAAGACGATGGCCCTTTGCGCTGAGGCAAGCATTGCAGACAAACTTCTCTACCTCTTCGTCACTATATCCGGCCCTGAGACCCTCCAGCAAACCAGCGGCAACCATCTTCTGTATGGAGGACGGTGCGAGATGGCCGAGGCAGCGATGGAGAGTCAGCAGGGGCACGGACGACTGTGAGCGAGAAAGGAGAGCAAGGTGCTGACATTTGGAATGATCAGCGTCCAGCAAGTAGAGCCCTTCGTCGAGTCGTGCGCCTTCAGCGATGTCGTTGCCGTCCTTGTCAATGTGGATGCCGTGTTTTGTGAAGGCGACACGGACATCGTCGGTGTCGCAAAGTCGAGAGACCGAGAGAAGATTGACAAACAGGCCCGGAGTGTGCAGCACGCCGGTAAGCGTGATCGGATGACCCGAGGCGGCAATGAAGGCGATGTTTCCCGTTCCGATGGCGTTGATGCCCCCTGCAATACCACCAATCTTCGTAGGAGCGATATGGCGATAGGTCGTGAACAGCGACTTGTCCGAGACCATGTGCGAAGTGGCGCCCGAGTCGACGACAAAAGAGTGGTTGCGAAGCTGGCGACGACGAGCGAGAAGACCGGTGGCGAGACATCCGACATGGTGTTGCGAGTCGACGGTCGAGTCAGCGGTGTCGGGCTTTTTGCCGTCCTCGAGCGCCTTCTTGCAGTCGAGAGACCAGTGATCCTTCTTCTTGCAGGAGCGACAGGGTCCTGGCGGCGGGTGTTGCGCCCTCGTAGGGCACTCCGCGACTCGGTGCGAAGGGCTGCGACAGGCGAGACACTTGAGACGAGTAGAACGTGACGACGACGAGGCAAGAAGGGCCGATTGAGTGCTGGGGATGTTCGTTGACCGAAGTTGGACTCGCATACGGTCGGCAAGCGAATCAATGTCGGGGAGAGTTCGTTGCGTGCGCTGTTCATCGGTGAACGACGCCTTGAAGCTCTCGAGGGACGGGTGGGCGATTGCAAGGAGGAGTGTGGCGAGAACATCATTGATAGTTGTCTTTGTGTCGATGATCTCTTGCGCAACGGCTTTGAAGTCCATGATCCACCCGTCGAATTCGGCAACCGTGCCGGGCATGGGACGGAAACCCCAGAGTCGTGAGAAGAGCTCGAGCGTGCGGGTGGCGTCGTCAGGGGCGTACCGCGATTTCAGCGTCGAGTAGATTGTCGGCGCTGTCAGGTCGGCGGTAGGGATTTTGTCGAGGACTGCCGAGACTTCGGCCGAGTCAATCGAATTCGCAAGGACCTCACGAGCGACGGCGTCGCGAGCGGAGCGTTGCGAAGGTGTCCAGTCGTCGGGTGCGATACCGTCGAGGACGTACGAGCGGATGTCGTCCGCTAGGCACAGGCGAAGTTGGCGTGTCCAGTTCGCGAAGGTCTTCGCACCATCCAAGCGTGCGTGCTTTGGAAAGGCAGTGCGAGTGGTGCCGGACGTCGTGGCGGGTGTGGCAGTGCCGGAAGCGGCAGCGGTGAGACCCGACAGCAGCGATGTAAGTGCGGCGAGCTGTTCGGCGGGAATCGGAGGGTTGGCACCCGTCGCGAGGGGTGGTGTCGTGGTCATGCCAGCTGGTGGCTCGTGGGCTTATAACCTATGAGACGTTCACCACTACTGTCAGGAGAGGTTGAGAGTCGAACAGAAGTGATGAGAAGGAAGCTAAGAAACAGAAAGGGGGGGGCCACGCTGGGATAGTCCCAGGCGCGTGACAATGTACATCCCTAAGTCAGCCGCGGGTGAAATCGCCGGCGCGCCTAAGTCCCCACCGCAAGGGGGCGGGCTAGCGGGCGCGCGCATGAATCCGCCGGCGCTGGCGCGCTGAGGCAGTCGCGCGCGTCTAAGTCCCCACCGCCGGGGGCGGGCTAGCAAGTGCGCGCAACGACCGAGGCGCCCCTGTCGAGCTGAGAGTGGACTCTTCACAGCGATTGGGCAAACGTGGAGCTCGGAGAGGAGTTGGTTAAGGTAGATCGCTTCCTTACCCGCGTGCGACAAGGCCAGGTACTCGGCATCAGTGGTGGAATCCGCTACCCGAGTCTGACGCTTCGACGACCAAGAGACAGCGGCGCCTGCCAAGTAAAATACGTAGCCCATCGTTGAAATGGATGTGTCGACGCAGGCGCCCCAGTTCGCATCAGAATAACCAACCACACCCGTGACTTTTGCTGGGCCGCGGGCATAGAGAAGCTCATCGCGGTACGTGGCGCGAAGGTAGCGAAGGACGTGTTTGACGGCAATCCAATGGCGGCGGCCGGGGTTGTTGGCGAACCGGGACAGGTACGAGACGGCGAAGGCAATGTCGGGTCGAGTGCCAAGGGAGATGTAGAGGAGGGAGCCGATGGCCTGTAGGTACCACGAACGAATGCGCTCCGTTCCCTGACCCGGAATTGCCGTGAGCGAGAGGCCGGGCGTCATCGGCACCGTAGTGCCGCGTGTCGTGGTGTCGAAGTGGAAACGGGCCAGCACGTCCATGATGTAGCGCTCCTGGGATAGAGCAATGGAACCGTCGTCCAGGCGGCGTATTTGGATTCCGAGGATGTACTCCGCGGGGCCGAGTCGTTTGACGCCGTACCGCTGTTCAAGGCCGGAGATGACACGTTCGATCTCGTCGAGGGCTGGACTGACAATGAGGAGGTCGTCGACATACAAGGCGATATAGTGAGGCCGCTGCTGATCGTCAATGCGAGAGTAAATGCAGTGATCAGTGCCTGTTGCCTTGTACCCCAGATTCCTGAGTGATGTGTCAATGTGACGATTCCAGATGCGACCGGCCTGCTTGAGACCGTAGATTGAGCGTCGCAGCCGGAGAACCTTATCGCTCGGGAAGTCGAAACCGCGTGGTGTCGTCATCCAGATATCATGATCGAGCTCGCCGTGGAGGTAAGCCTTGTCGATGTCGGCCTGATGAACGTGGTAGCCATTGGCAGCGGCAAGAGCCAGGAGGCAGCGAATGGAGGAGAAACGGGCGACGGGTGCGAAGGTTTCTGAGAAGTCGATGCCGTCGCGCTGTCGGTTACCCTGCGCTACAAGACGTGCCTTCCGCCCCGTGACTTCACCGCTTGCGTTGCGCTTGGTCTTCCAGACGAATTTGGAGGTGACGATGGTGGCGCCCGGCGGTACAGATGAGCGAGGCTCGATGGTGAACACCTTGAAGTCGTCGCGCATGGCGGTGAACTCGGCGGCGGCGGCCTCAGCCCAGATGTTGTGCTCGTCGCTGGACATTGCTTCGCGCCAGGTCTGGGGGTCGCTAGTGATCGATTTGACGGGCTCGATGGCGTCGAGGGTGGGGTCGTCGTCGTCTGTGGCGATGAAGGCGCGGTGTTGTTGGGTGAGGAAATCGATTTCATCCGGCGATTCATCGCGCGAGTGACGCCCAATGATGTCGAGTTCGTCGGGCGACTCCTCAGCCGATGCGGGCTCACGGTACGTGCTGAAGTCTGGGCGGTGCACGTCCGGTGGGCCAAGGCGAGTCGGGGTCTGTGAGCCGATGAGGTCCAGAGGGTCGGCGGAGTAGTCAGAGTCGGTCGGTGAGACCGAGGGTGACGATGACGCTGCCAACGACGGTGACAGCGCAGGCGACGGTGACAAAGGGTTTGTGGGCGACGGTGACGAGGACGGCTCAGGAGACGGTGACGAGGACGATTCGGTATCTGTGGAATTAAGTAAGGTTCCGCCAGTGTACCCTGGGGCCACGTCAACGGCGCTCATGGCAGAATCATCAAGGGAGGATGAGACGTCCATGTGCGCCGACCTTACTAGTGGGGTCCTCGTCTTGACGGCAGGGGCGGGCGTGTCGGCGGGAACGACGAACTGACGGTCGGTGTCGTCTGCATCGACGGGCGTGGTGACTGGCAGGCCGGGGAAGTCGTCGTCGAGGAAGGTGGCATTGCGACCAAGTACAATCTTGTTGATGGAATGGTCAAAGAAACGGAAAGCTTTGGAGGCGAGGTCGTAACCTGTGAAGATCACGCGCGCGGCCTTGGGGTCGAGCTTGCTGCGAAGGTCCGGGGCGACCGTGAGCCAGGCTGTGCAGCCGAACGGGTGGAGGGCGGTGGCGGTGGTGCGTTGGCCGTTCCAAACGGATTCTGGAGTCTGTTTGGCCAAAGCTGAGTGTGAGCACCTGTTTTTGCAATAAACGAAATACGCAGCCGCTTCATCCCAAAAGGTGGCCGGCAGACGGGCGTCCGCAAGGAGAGCGAGGACGCCCTCGACGATGGAGAGGTTGACACGTTCGGCGCGACCGTTTTGTTGAGGCGTGTAAGGGATAGAGTATTGACGACGAATGCCCTTGGATTTGCAGAACTCCGTGAATGCGTTTGATCGGTACTCCCCGCCATTGTCGGTTCGAAGGATCCTCAACCGCGCGTTCGTCTCTAACTCCACTTCGGCGAGCCAAGTCTGGAAGGTCGGGAAAACATCGCTTTTGTGATCGATCGCATATGCCCAGAGTTTGCGAGAGTGGTCGTCTAGAAACGTGACAAGGTAGCGCTTCCCGGTCAAGGACGGAGTGGGGAACGACAGGACGTCGCTGTGCACGAGGCCAAGTCTCTCGGCGGAATGCGACTCAGAGTCGGGAAAGGGAAGGCGGTGACCTTTGGAACCAAGGCAAGCATTGCAAACAAACTCCTCTACGTCTTTGTCACTGTACCCGGCCCCAAACCCGTCCAGCAAACCTGCAGCAATCATCTTCTGTATAGAGGATGGGGCAAGATGGCCGAGGCAGCGGTGTAGGGTAAGCAGGGGCACGGGAGACTCAGAGCGTGAGAGGAAGGCAAGATGCTGACACTTGGTGTGATCCGCGTCCAAAAGGTAAAGACCGTCGTTGACCCTGGTACCGTGAGCAATGGCCCGGCCGTCCTTGGCGATGTCGATGCCGTCGCTGGTGAAGGCGAGACGAACGCGGTCGGTGTCGCAGAGGCGAGAGACAGAGAGGAGGTTGACGTGTAGGCCAGGCGTGTGAAGAACACCACGGAGCGTGATCGGGTGTCCAGTCTTGGCGACGAATGCCACGTCCCCCATGCCGATAGCCGTGATGCCGCCCGCGATGCCGCCGATCTTGGTGTGTGCCGTCTGACGATAAGTCGTGAATAGAGATCGGTCGGCGACCATGTGTGTCGTGGCACCCGAATCGACTACAAAGGCGTCAGTTGGGAGTTGGCGACGAGCGAAGAGGCAGGAGGCGAAATAGCCGACGTTCGGTTGCGAGGCCGCGGAGGAAGACGTGTCGTCCTGGGTGTCGTCGCTGCTACGTGCCTGTTCACCCCGGTTCTTGCAGTCGAGTGCCCAGTGACCTTTCTTGTGGCATCGGCGGCAGGGGCCGGTGGGCGGGTGCTTCGCACGTGAAGTGCAGTCGCGCAGGCGGTGACCGGGAGCGCGGCAGGCGGGGCAGGGGGAGCTGGTGGCAAGCATGGCCGAATGCGAGGTCGAGAGTCCTGCCGAACGAAGCTGGATGCGAATGCGGTCCGTAAGCGTCGTGAGTTCGGGAAGGTCGCGTCGGTTTCGCTGCTCGTCCGTGAACGTGAGTCGGAAGCTGTCGAGGCAAGACGGGACCATGGCGAGCACGTGGGTGGCGAGCACGTCGTTGAGCGATGTTTTGGCGTCGCGTATTTCCTGAGCAATCGACATGTACTCGCGTAGCCAAGTGTCGTAGGCCTCGACGGAGGCAGGCATCTTCCTGAAGTCCCAAAGGCGAGCGAACAACTCGAGAGTGCGTGTAGCGTCGTCCGGTGCAAAACGAGCCTTGAGAGCGGCAAAGATGCGCGGTGCCGACAGGTCGTCGCTGGGGATGGCGTCGAGGGTGGCCGATACGTCGGCGGAGTCGATAGAGCCAACGATGATTTCCCGGGCGGCGTCGTCACGTGCGGCAAGCTGGTCGGCGGTCCAGGTCGGGGGAACGACACCGTCGAGAACGTAACCACGAACCTGGTTCGGGAGTGCAAGACGGAGTTGACGCAACCAGTTGGTGAACGACTTGGGGCCGTCCAGACGAGCGTGCTTGGGAAACACGACCTTGGATGCGGTGGCGGCGTTCCCCGGCACGACGGTGACGGCCGGGGGTGCGGCGGCTGCGGCGGCGGCGGGTTGCGAGGCCTGCAGAGCGGCAAGCTGGGCCTGTAGAGTGGCGATTTGTTCGCCGATCGAAGATTCAGGGGAGCTGGGATCCCTGGGGGCCAAAGGCGAGGCGGGAGAGCTGTCCATGATGTGATGGTGCGATGGACGTGTGCGGCTCGAGTGGCTGGGCTCGAGCGAAAAAGCCTCAAGCGGCGGGGCTGGTAGCTCGTGGGCTTATAACCTATTCGATCAACTCTACTACGTCAGCGATGTAGTTATAGCCAAGAGTGATGAATGCATTTCAACATACCTATTCGATCAACTCTACTACGTCAGCGATGTAGTTATAGCCAAGAGTGATGAATAGGAAGCTAACAATAAGAGACCCGCGCGCCCCAAGTCCACAGCCAGCGAGCCTGGGGCTGAGCCAATGGCCCAGGCTCGCTCCGCGCGCCTAAGTCCCAGGCTCGCTTCGCGCGCCTAAGTCCTGGGCCGGGGCGCCCGGCTCACTCCGCGCGCCTAAGTCCGCGCCCGGTTCGCTCCGCGCGCCTAAGTCCTGAGCCGAGCGGAGAGTGGATTCCTCACAGAAAGAGCTCACCGAAGCAGTCCTTTCCGCCTTGCGAGACGACACCACTTCCGGCCCCGGATAATGACACAAGCGCGACGCGGCATCAGCGTAGTACAAGACATCTTCTGACAGGCAACGTCGGAGGGGATGACGATGACTACACGCGAGAGACGAGGGAGAGAGCGAGAGAGCGCGCGAAAGCGCGAAGGAGCGAAGGGGGTGTCGACCGAGGCGGCGGCAGTCGACCGAGAGGCAACCGCGGAGGATACGCGGCTGCAAGGCTCGCAGCAAGTCCAGTGTACCGAACTATGGTAGCCAACGAGGTCGGACAGAAGAGGGAGGGCAAACGATCCAAGAAATAGCTGACCAGGCCGGTGGGAAGGTCGAGTCGGCTGGGCGGCGGAAGTCGACCGAGAGGCAACCGCGGAGGATACGCGGCTGCAAGGCTCGCAGCAAGTCCAGTGTACCGGACTATGGTGGCCAACGAGGTCGGACAAAAGAGGAAGGGCAAACGATCCAAGAAATAGCTGACCAGGCCGATGGGAAGGTCGAGTCGGCTGGGCGGCGGCAGTCGACCGAGAGCAACCGAGGAGTGGATTCGGTCGGAAGGCTTCGCAGCAAATCAAGTGTAACGGACTTAATTGCCAGCGAAATGGGTAAAAAGAGGGAGGGTACGAGTCATGATAATGAGTGGACCAAGCTCTAGGGGAAGGGTGGCAAAAGCAAAAGGAGGGAAGTGCTCCGAGCGAAGGAAAGACTGAATCAAATAACTACACCACGAGGTCGCTTCAGGGGTAAAAAGGATTGCCTGCAAGGCACCGGTAAAAACCCCGAAGCCGGGCCTCGGATAACAAAAAGGAAAAGAAACCAAAAGGCAGATCACGCTCCGGGCGGATCGAACCCTCGACCACTGAGTGCGCGCCCGCGCGCCCTCACGACTACACCATCGCGCCGACAATGCTTGCAACGAACAAACCGGTAGCTGATGTCGACTCCGGCCGCAAACTTGGGAGACTTCCTTCGAGTATTGATGGCAGTGCAGGCTGTGCTCCTGACACTATCCCCCCCAGAAGGAAGTCTACCGTGCGGCGAGGCGGTGACGGTGCGGAATGAGTTGGGCGGCGGGCGGACTTAGGCGGTTTCGCGCGGCCGGGTCGGTCGGAGTTGGCCGTGCTCGGCCGGGGTCGGATTGGCGGAAGGGGACGGCGGGCCGTCTTCGGCAGCGGCGCAGGACGTGTCGCGCTCGGTGGCCATGGCGATCGCTCAACACGACAGTCGATGATTCCAGGACGAACGAGGCGGGCACGAGGCGACCATGCAATAAGGCGGCGGCGGTGCGAAACGAGTGTGGTGGCAGGCGGACTTGGGCGGGTTCGCGCGGCCGGGGTCGCGGTTGCGAAGAGGCGCGGCGCGCTGGCTGCGGCAGCGGCGCGCGACGTGTCACACTCGGCGGCCATGGCGATCACTCAACTCACAGTCAACAGCGATTCCAGGGCGAACGAGGGCGGTCACGAGACGGTAAGAAGAGGTGGGGGGGTGGGGGGTGGGGGAGGTGTGGGGGGGTGGGGGGGAGGAACCACGCGGTCGTCAAAGAGGCCGAACTCGAGAGGCCGAACGGAGAGGAGGCGGACGACGCGAAGACGAAGGGCGGGAGGGCGGGAATGCTCGTCCAGGGTGTGGGACTGAGCGGTGAGAGAAGCTGGGACTGTCGCTAGCAATGCCGAACTTGAAAAAAGTGACAGGCAACGTCGGAGGGGATGACGATGACTACACGCGAGAGACGAGGGAGAGAGCGAGAGAGCGCGCGAAAGCGCGAAGGAGCGAAGGGGGTGTCGACCGAGGCGGCGGCAGTCGACCGAGAGGCAACCGCGGAGGATACGCGGCTGCAAGGCTCGCAGCAAGTCCAGTGTACCGAACTATGGTAGCCAACGAGGTCGGACAGAAGAGGGAGGGCAAACGATCCAAGAAATAGCTGACCAGGCCGGTGGGAAGGTCGAGTCGGCTGGGCGGCGGAAGTCGACCGAGAGGCAACCGCGGAGGATACGCGGCTGCAAGGCTCGCAGCAAGTCCAGTGTACCGGACTATGGTGGCCAACGAGGTCGGACAAAAGAGGAAGGGCAAACGATCCAAGAAATAGCTGACCAGGCCGATGGGAAGGTCGAGTCGGCTGGGCGGCGGCAGTCGACCGAGAGCAACCGAGGAGTGGATTCGGTCGGAAGGCTTCGCAGCAAATCAAGTGTAACGGACTTAATTGCCAGCGAAATGGGTAAAAAGAGGGAGGGTACGAGTCATGATAATGAGTGGACCAAGCTCTAGGGGAAGGGTGGCAAAAGCAAAAGGAGGGAAGTGCTCCGAGCGAAGGAAAGACTGAATCAAATAACTACACCACGAGGTCGCTTCAGGGGTAAAAAGGATTGCCTGCAAGGCACCGGTAAAAACCCCGAAGCCGGGCCTCGGATAACAAAAAGGAAAAGAAACCAAAAGGCAGATCACGCTCCGGGCGGATCGAACCCTCGACCACTGAGTGCGCGCCCGCGCGCCCTCACGACTACACCATCGCGCCGACAATGCTTGCAACGAACAAACCGGTAGCTGATGTCGACTCCGGCCGCAAACTTGGGAGACTTCCTTCGAGTATTGATGGCAGTGCAGGCTGTGCTCCTGACATCTTCCACCGCGTCAATCGCGATGTCAGCCAGGCTATCGTCGAGACGATGTTGATCTGCATCATTTGCCGGCACGGTTGGATGCTGACAGGCAACGTCGGAGGGGATGACGATGACTACACGCGAGAGACGAGGGAGAGAGCGAGAGAGCGCGCGAAAGCGCGAAGGAGCGAAAGGGGTGTCGACCGAGGCGGCGGCAGTCGACCGAGAGGCAACCGCGGAGGATACGCGGCTGCAAGGCTCGCAGCAAGTCCAGTGTACCGAACTATGGTAGCCAACGAGGTCGGACAGAAGAGGGAGGGCAAACGATCCAAGAAATAGCTGACCAGGCCGGTGGGAAGGTCGAGTCGGCTGGGCGGCGGCAGTCGACCGAGAGCAACCGAGGAGTGGATTCGGTCGGAAGGCTTCGCAGCAAATCAAGTGTAACGGACTTAATTGCCAGCGAAATGGGTAAAAAGAGGGAGGGTACGAGTCATGATAATGAGTGGACCAAGCTCTAGGGGAAGGGTGGCAAAAGCAAAAGGAGGGAAGTGCTCCGAGCGAAGGAAAGACTGAATCAAATAACTACACCACGAGGTCGCTTCAGGGGTAAAAAGGATTGCCTGCAAGGCACCGGTAAAAACCCCGAAGCCGGGCCTCGGATAACAAAAAGGAAAAGAAACCAAAAGGCAGATCACGCTCCGGGCGGATCGAACCCTCGACCACTGAGTGCGCGCCCGCGCGCCCTCACGACTACACCATCGCGCCGACAATGCTTGCAACGAACAAACCGGTAGCTGATGTCGACTCCGGCCGCAAACTTGGGAGACTTCCTTCGAGTATTGATGGCAGTGCAGGCTGTGCTCCTGACAGATGCGAACTACTTGATGAGGTCTGAACTTCAAAAGAAGAAGAGGCGACGTCTTTCACTCGACCAACAGGGTCTGCCGGAGGGCAAGAGTGGTGCGTCACTAAGGCGGATGCGGAACTCGACGGTCGAGTCAAATCAGTCTCGAGGGGAAGGGGGAATCGCACCTGGGGGTCCTCAACGTCACCTGAGGCCGACGACCATTCGTCCTCGTCCATGTCGGCGAAGGCAATTGCTGCTATTTGGACGGTCGAGGGGGATTGTCGCTCCGCTGTACAATGCTGTGAGAAATGGCCACCTTGACCGCAATTAAAACACGCCATGCTGGCGGGTACCCCACCCGATGCTGGCGAGAACCACGTGTTCCGATCCTTCCACAGGTGTATGAGATGATCACCACTACTGTCAGGAGAAGTCGAGAGTCGAACAGAAGTGATGTATTTCAGCGTACCTATGAGATGATCACCACTACTGTCAGGAGAAGTCGAGAGTCGAACAGAAGTGATGAGAAGGAAGCTAAGAAATGGAAAGGGGGCCCGCGCTGGGATATGCCCAGGCGCGGGCGAAATCGCTGGAGCGCTGAGGCAGTCGCGCGCGGCTAAGTCCCCACTGCAAGGGCGGGCTAGCGGCGCGCGCCCGAAAACCGCCGGCGCCGGCGCGCTGAGGCACTCGCGCGCGCCTAAGTCCCCACCACAGGGGCCAGGCTAGCAGGCGCGCGCAACGACCGAGGCGCCCCTGTCGAGCTGAGAGTGGACTCTTCACACCCCCCCCACGCGAATGCGAGGCAGATCCAAGCCGTGGGTGTCGAGTGCGAAGGCCTAGTGCGTAGCAGTGTGTCGAGAAAATCTTTGGGCCAAGAGCCTTTGTGAAGATGTCGGCCACCATGTTGCTGGTTCCCACATGCGAGAGTGAGATATCGCCCCGATTCACCATGTCCCGAACAAAGTGCTCGCGCAAGCGTATGTGTCGAGTGCCGGAGACGCGGACAGGGTCGTGGGCAACTGCGGCAGCGGCTTCATTGTCAGTAAAAATGTGAGCCGGTGCAACAGGTTGGACATGGAGCTCCTCGAGCAGCTGACTGAGGTAGATCCCTTCCTTGCCAGCATGCGAGAGGGCGAGGTATTCAGCGTCGGTGGTAGAATCGGCAACTCGAGATTGACGCTTGGACGACCAAGACACGGCGGATCCGGCAATGTAGAAGACGTAGCCCATAGTGGACACCGACGTATCGACGCAGGCCCCCCAGTTCGCGTCGGAGTAGCCAACCACGCCCGTGATGCGTGTCTCGCCGCAAGCATAAACCAGTTCGTCGCGATATGTGGCCCGGAGATAGCGGAGGATGTGCTTGACCGCGATCCAGTGACGACGTCCAGGGTTGTTGGCGAAGCGGGCCAGGTAGGACACGGCGAAGGCGATGTCGGGGCGGGTGCCGAGCGAAATGTAGAGGAGCGAGCCGATAGCCTGCAGATACCATGACCTGATCCGTTCGGTGCCTTGACCCGGGATGGCGGTGAGCGAAAGGCCGGGGGTCATCGGGACTGTAGTGCCGCGAGTCGTGGTGTCGAAGTGGAACCGAGCAAGCACGTCCATGATGTACCGTTCCTGGGACAGGGCAATAGAACCGTCTTCGAGTCGCCTGATCTGGATGCCGAGGATGTACTCTGCCGGGCCGAGGCGCTTGACGCCGTAGCGTTGTTCGAGGCCCGAGATGACACGTTCAATTTCGGCCAAGTCGGGGCTGATCATCAGGAGGTCGTCGACGTACAGCGCGATGTAGTGTGGGCGTCGCCGATCGTCGATCCGAGAGTACACGCAGTGGTCGGTGCCCGTCGCCGTATAGCCGAGATCTCGAAGCGATGCGTCGATGTGTCGATTCCAGATTCGGCCAGCCTGTTTGAGTCCGTAGATGGAGCGTCGCAGACGAAGCACCTTGTCGGTGGGAAGGTCGAAGCCGCGCGGTGTCGTCATCCAGATGTCATGGTCAAGGTCGCCATGCAGATAGGCTTTGTCGATGTCCGCCTGGTGCACGTGCAAGCCGTTGGCGGCCGCCAGCGCGAGGAGTGAGCGTATCGAGGAGAAGCGTGCGACTGGTGCGAAGGTTTCGTTGAAGTCGATGCCGTCGCGTTGCCGATTTCCCTGCGCCACGAGCCGTGCCTTGTGGCCGGTGACTTCGCCGAGTGCATTCCGTTTCGTTTTCCAGACGAACTTGGATGTGACGATGGTCGCACCCGCTGGTACCGTGGATCGGTCCTCGATGGTGAAGACCTTGAAGTCGTCGCGCATGGAATTGAACTCGTCGGTAGCGGCCTTGGCCCACACTTCGCGCTTGTCACTCGACATTATGAGACGTTCACCACTACTGTCAGGAGAGGTTGAGAGTCGAACAGAAGTGATCTATTTCAGCGTACCTATGAGACGTTCACCACTACTGTCAGGAGAGGTTGAGAGTCGAACAGAAGTGATGAGAAGGAAGCTAAGAAACAGAAAGGGGGGGGCCACGCTGGGATAGTCCCAGGCGCGTGACAATGTACATCCCTAAGTCAGCCGCGGGTGAAATCGCCGGCGCGCCTAAGTCCCCACCGCAAGGGGGCGGGCTAGCGGGCGCGCGCATGAATCCGCCGGCGCTGGCGCGCTGAGGCAGTCGCGCGCGTCTAAGTCCCCACCGCCGGGGGCGGGCTAGCAAGTGCGCGCAACGACCGAGGCGCCCTCGGGAAAGGGAAGACGATGGCCCTTTGCGCTGAGGCAAGCATTGCAGACAAACTTCTCTACCTCTTCGTCACTATATCCGGCCCTGAGACCCTCCAGCAAACCAGCGGCAACCATCTTCTGTATGGAGGACGGTGCGAGATGGCCGAGGCAGCGATGGAGAGTCAGCAGGGGCACGGACGACTGTGAGCGAGAAAGGAGAGCAAGGTGCTGACATTTGGAATGATCAGCGTCCAGCAAGTAGAGCCCTTCGTCGAGTCGTGCGCCTTCAGCGATGTCGTTGCCGTCCTTGTCAATGTGGATGCCGTGTTTTGTGAAGGCGACACGGACATCGTCGGTGTCGCAAAGTCGAGAGACCGAGAGAAGATTGACAAACAGGCCCGGAGTGTGCAGCACGCCGGTAAGCGTGATCGGATGACCCGAGGCGGCAATGAAGGCGATGTTTCCCGTTCCGATGGCGTTGATGCCCCCTGCAATACCACCAATCTTCGTAGGAGCGATATGGCGATAGGTCGTGAACAGCGACTTGTCCGAGACCATGTGCGAAGTGGCGCCCGAGTCGACGACAAAAGAGTGGTTGCGAAGCTGGCGACGACGAGCGAGAAGACCGGTGGCGAGACATCCGACATGGTGTTGCGAGTCGACGGTCGAGTCAGCGGTGTCGGGCTTTTTGCCGTCCTCGAGCGCCTTCTTGCAGTCGAGAGACCAGTGATCCTTCTTCTTGCAGGAGCGACAGGGTCCTGGCGGCGGGTGTTGCGCCCTCGTAGGGCACTCCGCGACTCGGTGCGAAGGGCTGCGACAGGCGAGACACTTGAGACGAGTAGAACGTGACGACGACGAGGCAAGAAGGGCCGATTGAGTGCTGGGGATGTTCGTTGACCGAAGTTGGACTCGCATACGGTCGGCAAGCGAATCAATGTCGGGGAGAGTTCGTTGCGTGCGCTGTTCATCGGTGAACGACGCCTTGAAGCTCTCGAGGGACGGGTGGGCGATTGCAAGGAGGAGTGTGGCGAGAACATCATTGATAGTTGTCTTTGTGTCGATGATCTCTTGCGCAACGGCTTTGAAGTCCATGATCCACCCGTCGAATTCGGCAACCGTGCCGGGCATGGGACGGAAACCCCAGAGTCGTGAGAAGAGCTCGAGCGTGCGGGTGGCGTCGTCAGGGGCGTACCGCGATTTCAGCGTCGAGTAGATTGTCGGCGCTGTCAGGTCGGCGGTAGGGATTTTGTCGAGGACTGCCGAGACTTCGGCCGAGTCAATCGAATTCGCAAGGACCTCACGAGCGACGGCGTCGCGAGCGGAGCGTTGCGAAGGTGTCCAGTCGTCGGGTGCGATACCGTCGAGGACGTACGAGCGGATGTCGTCCGCTAGGCACAGGCGAAGTTGGCGTGTCCAGTTCGCGAAGGTCTTCGCACCATCCAAGCGTGCGTGCTTTGGAAAGGCAGTGCGAGTGGTGCCGGACGTCGTGGCGGGTGTGGCAGTGCCGGAAGCGGCAGCGGTGAGACCCGACAGCAGCGATGTAAGTGCGGCGAGCTGTTCGGCGGGAATCGGAGGGTTGGCACCCGTCGCGAGGGGTGGTGTCGTGGTCATGCCAGCTGGTGGCTCGTGGGCTTATAACCTATGAGACGTTCACCACTACTGTCAGGAGAGGTTGAGAGTCGAACAGAAGTGATCTATTTCAGCGTACCTATGAGACGTTCACCACTACTGTCAGGAGAGGTTGAGAGTCGAACAGAAGTGATGAGAAGGAAGCTAAGAAACAGAAAGGGGGGGGCCACGCTGGGATAGTCCCAGGCGCGTGACAATGTACATCCCTAAGTCAGCCGCGGGTGAAATCGCCGGCGCGCCTAAGTCCCCACCGCAAGGGGGCGGGCTAGCGGGCGCGCGCATGAATCCGCCGGCGCTGGCGCGCTGAGGCAGTCGCGCGCGTCTAAGTCCCCACCGCCGGGGGCGGGCTAGCAAGTGCGCGCAACGACCGAGGCGCCCCTGTCGAGCTGAGAGTGGACTCTTCACAGACATTGCCTCGCGCCATGTCTGTGGGTCGCTGGTGATGGACTTGACTGGTTGAATGGCTTCTGTGTCAGAGTTGTCGTCGTCGGTGGCGATGAAGGCGCGGTGGTGTTGGGTGAGGAAATCGATTTCGTCCGGCGATTCATCGCGCGAGTGGCGCCCAATGATGTCGAGTTCGTCGGGCGACTCCTCAGCCGATGCGGGCTCACGGTACGTGCTGAAGTCTGGGCGGTGCACGTCCGGTGGGCCGAGGCGAGTCGGGGTCTGTGAGCCGATGAGGTCCAGAGGGTCGGCGGAGTAGTCAGAGTCGGTCGGTAAGGCCGAGGGTGACGATGACGCAGCCAACGACGGTGACAGCGCAGGCGACGGTGACAAGGGGGTTGCGGGCGACGGTGACGAGGACGGCTCAGGAGACGGTGACGAGGACGATTCGGCATCTGTGGAATTAAGTAAGGTTCCGCCAGTGTACCCTGGGGCCACGTCAACGGCGCTCATGGCAGAGTCATCAAGAGAGGATGAGACGTCCATGTGCGCCGACCTTACTAGTGGGGTCCATGTCTTGACAACGGCTTGGGATTCGGTGGTCGGGCAAGCGCTGGCGAAGTGCGTGTCGGCGTCTTGCTCGGTGGAGTCGCTACGTAACCCGGGAAATTCGTTGTCGAGGAACCTGGCATTTCTGCCCAAACTGATCTTCTTGGTCGTCGTGTCGTAGAAACGGAAGGCTTTAGAAGCCAGGTCATAGCCGGTGAAGAGAACGCGAACCGCTTTCGGGTCGAGTTTCGAGCGAAGTTCAGGCGCGACTGTGAGCCAAGCCGTGCAGCCGAACGGGTGAAGCGCCGAGGCGTTGGTGCGGTCGCCCTGCCAGGCGAAGTTCGGTGTTGCCTTGTCCAGGGCCGAGTGTTCGCACAGGTTCTTGCAGTAGACGAAATAAGCTGCTGCCTCCTCCCAGAATGATTTGGGTAAGTGGGCGTCTGCAAGGAGGGCAAGGACACCTTCGACGATAGAACGATTGACTCGTTCGGCACGACCGTTCTGTTGAGGCGTTCGAGGGATAGAGTATTGTCGACGTGTGCCGCGTGCCTTACAGAATTCCGTGAACGCTCTCGAACAGTATTCGCCACCATTGTCGGTTCGGAGGACCTTCAGTTTTGCACCCGTCTCGAGTTCGACCTCGGCAAGCCATGTCTTGAACACGCCAAAGACTTCGCTTTTGTGTCCGATCGCGTATGCCCACAGTTTGCGCGAGAAGTCGTCAAGAAACGTGACCAGGTAACGCTTGCCAGTCAAGGACGACTCGGGAAAGGAAAGCACATCGCTGTGTACGAGGCCGAGTCTCTCTGAGGAGTGCGAGTCCGAATCGGGAAAAGGAAGACGATGGCCCTTTGCACTGAGGCAAGCATTGCAGACAAACTTCTCTACCTCTTCGTCACTATATCCGGCCCCGAGACCTTCCAGCAAACCAGCGGCAACCATCTTCTGTATGGACGACGGTGCGAGATGGCCGAGGCAGCGGTGAAGGGTCAGCAGGGGCACGGAAGACTGTGAGCGAGAGAGGAGAGCGAGATGCTGACATTTGGAATGATCAGCGTCCAGCAAGTAGAGCCCTTCCTCGAGTCTTGCGCCTTCAGCGATAGCATTGCCGTTCTTGTCGATATGGATGCCGTGCTTCGTGAAGGCGACACGGACATCGTCGGTGTCGCAAAGTCGAGAGACCGAGAGGAGGTTGACAGACAGGCCCGGGGTGTGCAGCACGCCGGTAAGCGTGATCGGGTGACCGGAGGCGGCAACAAAGGCGATGTTTCCCGTTCCGACGGCGTTGATGCCCCCTGCAATACCACCAATCTTCGTAGGAGCGATGTGGCGATAGGCCGTGAACAGCGACTTGTCCGAGACCATGTGCGAAGTGGCACCCGAGTCGACGACGAAGGAGTTGTTGCGAAGCTGACGACGATGTGCGAGAAGACCGGTGGCGAGACATCCGACATGGTGTTGCGCATCAGAGGTGTCGGGCGTTTTCCCGTCCTCAAGAGCCTTTTTGCAGTCGAAAGACCAGTGGTCCTTCTTCTTGCAGGAGCGACACGGGCCTGGCGGTGGATGCTGGGCCCTTGTAGGGCATTGTGCGACGCGGTGAGAAGAGCTGCGACAGGCGAGGCACTTGGTACGGGTAGAACGTGGCGACGACGAGGCAAGGAGGGCCGATTGATCGTTGGAGAGGTTCGTTGACCGGAGTTGAACTCGCATACGGTCGGCCACTGAATCGATGTCAGGGAGAGTTCGTTGCGTGCGTTGTTCGTCGGTGAACGTTGCCTTGAAGCTCTCGAGTGACGGGTGGGCGATCGCGAGGAGGAGTGTGGCAAGGACGTCGTTGATCGTCGTTTTCGTATCGATGATCTCTTGCGCGACCGACTTGAAGTCCATGATCCAACTGTCAAATTCGCCAACCGTTCCGGGCATGGGTCGGAAGCCCCAGAGTCGCGAGAAGAGCTCGAGCGTGCGAGTGGCGTCATCAGGGGCGTATCGCGATTTCAGCGTCGAGTAAATCTTGGGCGCTGTGAGGTCGGCCGTAGGGATCTTGTCGAGGACTGCCGAGACTTCGGCCGAGTCGATTGAGTTTGCAAGGATCTCGCGTGCCACGACGTCGCGGGCGGAGCGTTGCGAAGGCGTCCAATCGTCGGGGGTGATTCCGTCGAGGACGTAGGAGCGGATGTCGTCCGCTAGGCACAGGCGAAGCTGGCGTGTCCAGTTCGCGAACGTCTTCGGCCCGTCCAACCGCGCATGCTTCGGGAAGGCATTGCGATTGGAGCCGGATGTCGTGGCGGGTGCGGTAGTGCCGGAAGCGGCAGCGGTGAGTCCCGACAGCAGCGATGTAAGTGCGGCAAGCTGTTCGGCGGGAATTGTCGGGGTGGCGCTCGTCGCGAGGGTTGACGACGTGTCCATGCCAGCGGTAGCTCGATGGGCTTATAACCTATGAGATGATCACCACTACTGTCAGGAGAAGTCGAGAGTCGAACAGAAGTGATGAGAAGGAAGCTAAGAAATGGAAAGGGGGCCCGCGCTGGGATATGCCCAGGCGCGGGCGAAATCGCTGGAGCGCTGAGGCAGTCGCGCGCGGCTAAGTCCCCACTGCAAGGGCGGGCTAGCGGCGCGCGCCCGAAAACCGCCGGCGCCGGCGCGCTGAGGCACTCGCGCGCGCCTAAGTCCCCACCACAGGGGCCAGGCTAGCAGGCGCGCGCAACGACCGAGGCGCCCCTGTCGAGCTGAGAGTGGACTCTTCACACGACTCGCACCACCTCCTGATCCACCAAGTCGACCTCTGATCCCGAGTCGATCAAACATCGCAAAACCCTTCCAGAAGGTAGCGTCCACGCGATGACGTTGCGGGCGCGTACAATGGCGGGCTCGACAGGTCGGTCGGGTTCGTCGATGTCGATCAGGGGCGCAGCGGACGCCAAGAGAGACACACCCGACGGCACAAGAATCTGGAAAGAGCTCACCGAAGCAGTCCTTTCCGCCTTGCGAGATGACACCACTTCCGGCCCCGGATAATGACACAAGCGCGACGCGGCATCAGCGTAGTACAAGACATCTTCCACCGCGTCACTCGCGATGTCAGCCAGGCTATCGTCGAGACGATGTTGATCTGCATCATTTGCCGGCACGGTTGGATGCGAACTACTTGATGAGGTCTGAACTTCAAAAGAAGAAGAGGCAACGTCTTTCACTCGGCCAACAAGGTCTGCAGGAGGGCAAGAGTGGTGCGTCACTAAGGCGGATGCGGAACTCGACGGTCGAGTCAAATCAGTCTCGAGGGGAAGGGGGAATCGCACCTGGGGGTCCTCAACGTCACCTGAGGCCGACGACCATTCGTCCTCGTCCATGTCGGCAAAGGCAATTGCTGATATTTGGACGGTCGAGGGGGATTGTCGCTCCGCTGTACAATGCTGTGAGAAATGGCCACCTTGACCGCAATTAAAACACGCCATGCTGGCGGGTACCCCACCCGATGCTGGCGAAAACCACGTGTTCCGATCCTTCCACAGGTGGGCCTGTTGCCATTTACCGGCGCGGTTCATCCATCGAGCTCGACAGATCTGGGTACGTGCGTCGTCGTTTGGCGTGGATGGGGCGGTGCGTGGCATTTTCGCAATTGCTCCATAAGTCGCAGTACGAATCGGCGGGGTCGAAACTGATGTCGTGCCGGTGTCGTCGGCGATGGCGGCCCAGTCGGTAACCTCCTCGAGGGACGGGACAGTTCGTCCGAACCTCCCTATAGTCACGAGTGAGTTATCCCGATATTCCCGCAGCATACCAGCCCGCACTTCCCGCTTAGCCACATCACTCAACGATTGATAAAAGGTTGTGGCGAGTTGAAGGGGCGAGAGGCTGAAGCTGGGGTCGTTGTGCATAAACGCTCGGTAGCGGGCACGCCATTCGCCCACATGGTCGTAGGCTCGAGACGAAGACTGTCGGCACCCGTAGAAGTCGTGGGACACTCGGTCGGCAAAGCCAGGATCCGGCCAACGACGTCCAACTTCTGTCATCAGTGTCGTCCAGCAGTGAGGTCGTTCGTCCCGGAGCGCGTCCGTCATAGTATCAACGGCCCAGTCGTGCGGAGACTGACGGCGCTTGGGAGAAGTGGAACGAACGAACAAGGTCGCCACAAGCTGGATGACGCGGTCGCTGGTAAAAAGGTCGCTGGTGGAAATGTCGCAAAGTAGAGACAAGTACGACTTCCCAAATGTAGTGAAAGTGACCAACCGATCCGGGTTATCCCCTGTCCATAGCCCTTCCCGGTCAGGTAACGTCCCTCTCCAACGAGAGCTGATTACTGCCGAGGAAGGGCCGTCCCTTCGTGCGCTGTGAGATTCCCCCCCAGGGGAACGAACAAGGGGGTCAGCGGTATTGCCTGAACGTTCCAGAATGGTGTGTGGGGGAACGTCCAAGGGGACCGATCTCACCGGCGTAAACGTAAACTCCCCAGCCCGCGCTGCGGCTGGTTCAGAGAATCCAGCCCTCGCCACAGCTGGTTCAGAGACTCCGGCCCGCGCCGCAGCTGGTTCAGGTGAGCTTTTCAATAAACCCTCCACCAACTTCTCCAATTGCTGAACACGTGCCTCGGAGTCGATACGACGGGCTTCGGATTCCTCGAGGCGGCTTTCGAGGGACGATAGAGCGGTGGCGGTGTGGTAGGGTTGGGGCGGCGGGGACTTGGGCGGTTTCGCGCGGCCGGGGTCTTCGTCGCGGAGAGGAGCGTCTCGATCATCGGCGGCGGCGCGGTACACGTCGCGCTCGTCGGCCATGGCAATCTCGTGACTCAAACGTCGGCGATTGCGGGGCGAACGAACGCGGGCACGAGACGGTTGACGGAAAGGGTAGGAAGGATAAACGTGTTCGTTGTCGGACTCTGTGGAGGAAGTCGGGAAGGACAGCGACGCGTTCGTTGGTGATGAATTCGGCAACGGAGAGGAGGCTGAAGACTCAGGCTCAGAGAGTGGGGGTGAATGCTCGTCCAGGACGGTGGACGAAGCGGTTGTAGAGGTGCGGATCGTTGTCGGTAATGCCGAACTTGAAAAAAGTGACAAGCGACGTCGGAGGGGATGACGTCGTCTACACGCGTTGGTACGGTGACAGGCAACGTCGGAGGGGATGACGATGACTACACGCGAGAGACGAGGGAGAGAGCGAGAGAGCGCGCGAAAGCGCGAAGGAGCGAAAGGGGTGTCGACCGAGGCGGCGGCAGTCGACCGAGAGGCAACCGCGGAGGATACGCGGCTGCAAGGCTCGCAGCAAGTCCAGTGTACCGAACTATGGTAGCCAACGAGGTCGGACAGAAGAGGGAGGGCAAACGATCCAAGAAATAGCTGACCAGGCCGGTGGGAAGGTCGAGTCGGCTGGGCGGCGGCAGTCGACCGAGAGCAACCGAGGAGTGGATTCGGTCGGAAGGCTTCGCAGCAAATCAAGTGTAACGGACTTAATTGCCAGCGAAATGGGTAAAAAGAGGGAGGGTACGAGTCATGATAATGAGTGGACCAAGCTCTAGGGGAAGGGTGGCAAAAGCAAAGGGAGGGAAGTGCTCCGAGCGAAGGAAAGACTGAATCAAATAACTACACCACGAGGTCGCTTCAGGGGTAAAAAGGATTGCCTGCAAGGCACCGGTAAAAACCCCGAAGCCGGGCCTCGGATAACAAAAAGGAAAAGAAACCAAAAGGCAGATCACGCTCCGGGCGGATCAAACCCTCGACCACTGAGTGCGCGCCCGCGCGCCCTCACGACTACGCCATCGCGCCGACAATGCTTGCAACGAACAAACCGGTAGCTGATGTCGACTCCGGCCGCAAACTTGGGAGACTTCCTTCGAGTATTGATGGCAGTGCAGGCTGTGCTCCTGACATACGGGGGGGGATTTCTGGAAGTGTCGGCTGTTGCGGCGGCAGTCGACAAGGGAGCAACCGAGGAGGGGAGTCGGTCGAAAGGCTCGCAGGAAATCAAGTGTAACGGACTTAATTCCCAAACGATCGACAAGAAGAGGAGGGGCAACAAAAGAGAAGAGCGGACCAAGCTCCCGGGAAAAGGTGGTAAAACTAAAGGGAAGGGACTGTGCCAGGCCCAGAGGGGACTTAGCCAAATCAACCACTCCAAGAGGTCGCCTCAGGGGTAAAAAGGATTGCTCGCGGGAGCACCGGTAAAAACCCTGAAGCCGCGCCTCGGCTAACAAAAGATAAAACAAACCGAAAGAAGACTGCGGTCTGGGCGCCTCGAACCCGCGACCACCGAGTGCGCGCCTGCGCGCCTCACGACTACGCCATCGCACCGACGATGCTGTGAAACGAGGCAAGTCTCTGGTCAAGTCAACTCTACCCGCACATAGTCTTGGGGGGACTTCCTTCGAGTACACGCTGTCATCCTGACACAGAGCCCATCCCTTCCCTTCGTCCCTCCAGTACAGGTCCGCGATCTGTGCAAACTTCGCCACCGCGTCCGCATCGTCATATGCGTGCTGGGCACCTTCAGCATAGAGTGAAGGGAGGCGAGGCGGAAGCGAGAGCAATTCGGGAAGCGTAAGGAGTTCGGACTTGATGGTTGGAACTGTGACCCTGGCCGCTGCAACGACTGCCCCCCAGCGCGTCGAGTCGCGATACAGCTTCTCGACCCGAGCCGTGCTGCTGAAGAAGCCCCCCAAGGCTATGTGCGGGTAGAGTTGACTTGACCAGAGGCTTGCCTCGTTTCACAGCATCGTCGGTGCGATGGCGTAGTCGTGAGGCGCGCGGGCGCGCACTCGGTGGTCGCGGGTTCGAGGCGCCCAGACCGCAGTCTTCTTTCGGTTTGTTTTATCTTTTGTTAGCCGAGGCGCGGCTTCAGGGTTTTTACCGGTGCTCCCGCGAGCAATCCTTTTTACCCCTGAGGCGACCTCTTGGAGTGGTTGATTTGGCTAAGTCCCCTCTGGGCCTGGCACAGTCCCTTCCCTTTAGTTTTACCACCTTTTCCCGGGAGCTTGGTCCGCTCTTCTCTTTTGTTGCCCCTCCTCTTCTTGTCCATCGTTTGGGAATTAAGTCCGTTATACTTGATTTCCTGCGAGCCTTTCGACCGACTCCCCTCCTCGGTTGCTCCCTTGTCGACTGCCGCCGCAACAGCCGACACTTCCAGAAATCCCCCCCCCCCCCCCCCCCCCCCCCCCCCCCCCGTACCAACGCATGTAGACGACGTCATCCCCTCCGACGTCGCTTGCCACGCACCGCGAGCCTCTTTAGTATTCCCCCTAACACTCGTACTGTGTCTCGTGTACTCACTGGTTGCTGATCCAGTCCCCTCTCGAGACACACAATTTAACAGAACCCAGCCTCTACTGCCCTCTCCTCCCGCCCTCAGCTTCAACCTCTCCTCCAAGATGATCCTCCTCCTCCCAACACCCTCCATCCTCGTCCCCCACTTCTGCATCCCCCACCTCCCGCTGCTGATCATCTCCAAGACCAGCCCGGTGAATATTTCGATCGTCCTCCCCGCTCCTTCTTGATCGCGCAGACTGGCCTTGAGCTTCGGAAGTCCGAACATGCGTTGAACGGCCGTGTAATGCGTGTTGTCGATCGTGTCGAGCCCCAGTGCGTCGCAGAGCACGCCCCTTGCCGCGATCCAAACGTTCCTAGAGTCAACGCAGTCGAAGAAGTAGTGCTCCCGATCGTCCTTGGGCGCTCCACAGACGAGGCACGCGGGCGAGTCGTCGTGCTTTTGATGAAACTGCAGACTCCGAGTCGGGGTGAAGTTCCTGACGAGCTTGAACCACACCTCGCGTTCCCTCGCCGTCAATGCCTTCGAGTTGACCCCCTTCCAGAATCCCTTGAGATCGTCGGGCTGCAGCGAGTCCCTGAAACCGATCGTGTCGGTGAAGGCCTTTGCATTCAAGACTCGGCGGACGCGACGGATGGTGTATGGCCGATCCATGCTGAGCAAGTTGTATTGTGTTGATTGGTCTGGGAGAGCCGGTCTCGGAAGGCGCTGCGGCGGGTCAATCGGATGGGGCAGGATCGACTCGAGCGGCGTGGTGGGGCGGACTCGGGGAGGCCCGTTGATTCGTACTGCCGCCACCGGTTGAGCTATTGGTGTGAACCTCAATCGATTGATCGCATGTCGGTACCATGCCACGATGTGCTCTCGTTGTGGGCGGCCCCGTTGATCGTATTCGCTGTTGCTGACGACCACATCCGTCGGCGGCGTCCAGAGATGAAAGCCCCCGCCCGGGTACAGCTCGCGTCGAAACAGGTCCGCTACCTTGGCGTAAATGGCAAACGCAGCATAGTCGGCGTCGTAGGGTGGTCGCGACACAGCTGGTGAATTTTTTTTTTGTAGAAACCGTTCATCATATTGCCCCCAATTCCTGTTCCCCCTGATTGGCCTACGGAAAAACTAGATGAAAGTCGACGATGATAACACAAACCGCCCGCAAGATGCGAGAAACGGGCCAAGTCCACCAATCCGATACTTCGGATTCAAGTGCCCCAGCCAAGCGGTTGCTCCCCCCCAGGAGACGAATGAGAGAGAGAAGGAGAGAGAGAGAAAATGAAAAAGAACTGGCGTACTAACGACAAGAGGCCCACCCCGCACCCACTTCCCAACTCGGTCGAGACAAAGACAGGAGAGCGACTGCGCAGCTACCCTGACCCGCGAAATCCCAAGTCTATGCTCGGTCACAACAAGACGCGGTGGAGGCCCCTCAAAACCTCCACCTCAGCAGTCCCTGGCCCCTCAAAGCCGACTTTCTGCCTGTGTCTGCTGATCCCTCCCTTACACTCAGAACCCCGAAGCCAGAGAGCGCGAGCCACCGTCGAGTCAATCCCAAATCGCGAGCCGGTCCATGAGCAACGGAGGCAGACCTGTAATAAAAGAAAGAAAGATGAAGAAAATATATTTAGTATACAGTTTTTGTAAGAGGATGTGTGATGTGGGGTGTGTGAGTGTGGGATGGGGTGGGGGGAAATCGAACCTAGCCTCTACTGCACTCGCCTGCCTCTTGCTCCTCCCGCCCTCAACTTCATCCTCTCCTCCAGTACCACCCTCCTCCTCTCCACGCTTTCCATCCTCGTCCCGTGCTTCTGCATCCTCCATCTCCCACTGCTGATCATCTCCAAAACCATCCCCGTGAAGATCTCGATCGTCCTGCCCGCGCCTTCCTGTGCGCTGAGCTTGGCCTTGAGCTTGGGGAGGCCAAAGAGTCGTTGAAGCGTCGTGTACTCGGCATCCTCGATCGTGTCGCATCCGAGCGCGTCGCAGAGCACGCCCCTCGCCGCGATCCAGACGTTTCGCGAGTCGAAGCAGCCGAAGAAGTAGTGATCGGTGTCGTCCACCGGCGCTTCGCACACGAGGCACGCGGGAGAAGTGTCGTGCTTTTGCTCGTGCTGGAGTTTGCGCGTCGGGGTGAAGCGGAGGATCAGCTTGAACCAAACTTCCCTCTCCCTCGCCGTCAGTGCCTTCGAGTTGACTGCCTTCCAGAAGCTCCTGAGGTCGTCCGGCTGCGGTGGTCCCTTGAGCCCGAGCATGTTGGTAAATGCCTTCGCGTTCAGGACCCGGCGGATGCGACGGACTGTGTAGGGGCGAGCCATGTTCAGCAGCGTATACTGGCTCGCCTGTTGTGGAAGCACCGGGTCCGGAAGGCGCTGCTCCATTGCGAAGCGGGCCACGGGCTTGGGGATGATCGCCTCGAGTGGTGCGCTGGTGCCGATCCGGGGAGGCACGTTGAGTCGTCCCGCCGCCACCGCCGCCGCCAAGGGGGTGTTCTTGTGTCGATCGACAGTGAACCGGTACCAGGCCGCGATTGCCAGTCGCTGCGGGAGCCCGCGTCGATCGTACTCGCTGTTGTCGCCGAGCACATCCGCCGGCGGCGTCCAGAGGTGAAACCCCCCACCCGCATACAACTCGCGTCGATAGAGATCCGCCACCTTCGGGTAGCCCTGGAGACGAAGGTAGTCAGGTACATGAACCGCGTCGATGGTCTGTCTCCCTCTGATGGGGGTGTGGAGGCTGCCGAGCAGGGTGGGCAGCGCGAGCAAGTTCGCGGTGGTCAAGGCCCTCGGGTTGACCTGCGCGTCGTGAAGTTTCGGAACGCCCAGTGCGGCGTGCCATCGGGGATGAAGGTCGTTGGGGATGGGAGTAGATGGATGTGGCCAGAGATCGGTGGCCAGGTCGAGGTCGGGCTGAGCTCGCTGGAGTGATGCGCGCGCAAGTCCTTGCCAAATCGCGCCGGAACCGCCGAGAAGAACGTCCCAGAGCCGTGCCGCAACCGCGTCCACAACGTCCCGCATCCTTATCACCCCGAGTCCCCCCTTGTTCTTGGCGGTGAACACAATGTCTCTGCCGTAGCTGGTCCTGCCCTTGCCCCCACGGACGAAATCGACGAGCATGTCATCGAGCTTCTTGACGACTTCGGGCGGCGGGATGTCGGCTGCAAGGAAATGCAGGATCTTGGGAATGGCGTACCGATTGACGTAAAAGGCACGGGTGTGGTGCGTGAGCCAGCGATGCTGAACCGCTTCCAGCGTCGCCTCGAGCCGTTCGATGAGATTCGCGTAGGCGAGTTCGGTGTCGCCGCTGGGGTCGAAGGGGAGGCCGATCCACTCGAGCGACTTGCCTGCGGCCTTGACGACGATTGGCCGTTCCCCAGGGTCCCAGCGACGTCCAATCGGTAGGACGACCGTCTTGTCCGTGTTGAGCCGGCCATTCGTTGCATGCCTCCAGTCGAGCGCCAGGTCATCGAGCAAGTTGAGTGACTCCAAGCCCGCGACGGCGACGACAACGTCATCGGCAAATGCAAGTGATGTAATGGCGCGGCTCTGTGGGTACGGATGAAGTGCAGGTATGGAGAGATTCAGCGCGATGTTTCGACGGTGTAGAGCATCCAGGAACGGCTGAAACACGATGTCCCAGACCGACGATGACGCCGGGTCCCCTTGGCCGAGCCCACACGTCAGTCGCACCGGCGCCGTCAGGAACCCATTGATGATGTAGCGCGCCGAGGTCGAGTCACCCGAGTAGAGCATCCTCAGCACGCGAAGAAAGGTGGTAGGAGCGCCCAGAGCGTCGAAGATGGCAAAGATCCAGTCATGCTCGACGAGGTCGTAGGCGGATGATTGGTCAAGAGACAAGAGCGCGGCCGCGGGGAACTCGGTCCTGCGCGCGCCAAGTTCCTCGATCAGGAGACGAAGGTGTAGTGCAGCGTCGGCCGATCGGCGGTCCTTGACGAAGCCGTGCTGCTGCGGCGGGAGGAGATCGGGCAGAATTTGGTTCAATCGGGCGACGTAGACCTTGGTAAAAATCTTGTAATCGCACTCGCGCAGGGTGATGGGGCGATACGACGAGAGTTCGGCGCGATCGGCATTCTTCTTGTGGCGCTTGAAGATGAGGCGCACGAGTCCCTGGCCCTGCTTGGGAGAGAGTGAACCGCGCTCGATCATCGCGTTGTAGGCCTTGGTCAGCACCTTGGACCACGCCTCCGGTGCGGTCTGATAGAGTTCGTAAGGCACGCCCGACGGGCCCGGCGATCGCCCCGGGTGCGTCGTCCCGATCGCGGCCACGACCTCGTCCTCGGTGATGGGTTGCTGGAGGAGATCAATCTGCGCTTCCGAGAGTCGGCGCAGAAAGAGCGGATCTGAGCGCGGGTCGTCGCAAGTCCGTGCCGCCCTGATCGGCACGAGGAGTTCGTCCCGAAGTCGGTCGACGCGTTCCGGATCACGAGGCTCGATGTGGTAGAGGCGCTGGAAATGCGCCTGCGTGTGGTCAAGAGCGACATCAATGTCATGCGTTAGCTCTCCGTTGCCCAAGCGCAGTGCTGTGATCTTGGAGTCCGAGTTCCGCGCCGCGAGCTTGGCGTGGACCGGCCGCGACAGTCGTTCCTCGGAAGCGATCTCGGGGACGTGGGCTCGGATCCGGAGTAGGCGCGCGCGCTCCTCGACCGCCCGCTTGAGTTCCTCGGACGTCCTTGTCCATTCTGCCGTTTCCGCCTCCCCCCATACCGGTAACGCCTCCAGATCCTGCACCCTCCCCACCAAATACTCCATCCGTTCCGTCCGCTCCCGATGCAGCCTCCTCGCCATCTCCCCACCCCTGTCCCTGCACGCCTCCAGAACCTCCTCAAGCTCTCGCACCGGATCCTCCCCGCTTGCCCCTTCCAACCATCCTTCCATCATCCGCTGAAATTCCACCGTCTTGAAGGTTGTGGTATTGATTCGATGTAGTTGGTTGGATGTGGTAGGTAGGCTGAGCTGTGGGAGAGCCGCATCAAGATCGTCTGAGAGAGCCAGTACGATCAAGACCGGTTGGTGATCGGAAAGATCCTTGGGATAGTCGTAGATCGTCGAGGCCTGGTCGAGCCTTTTTTGGTGAGCTCTTTGTAGGAGAAAGTAGTCAAGCCGGGAGAAGGAGTTGGGTCGCTTGCGATTGGGATTAGGTCGAGTGAAAGATGGGGTGATGGGGTGCTTGTAGCGGATGCAGTCCGTGTAGGCCGAGTCGAGCTTGCCCATCAGAATCGGCCAGTGGTGGCCGCGCCGACTTTGGTTCCGCCGATCGACTTCTGGGCGCGGGCAGTCGTTGAGATCGCCGCCAAGGAGTCGGAGGTGGGATTTCTGTGTTTTGTGGAGGATCAGTTTGTCGAAGAATTTTGCTCGTTGTTTTGGGTCAACGGGCGCGTAGAGGTTATTGATTTCTAGAATTTTGATGTCGCCCCGCAGACGAAAGGAGGTGACGAGGAGCCGGCCGTCGAGTGCCGAGTGGGTGCGCAAGAGCTCGGCGTCGATCAGGGGCGAGTCGGCCGGGATCAGGGTCAGGCAGTGCTGGTTGATGAAGAGCTTGCCCTCGTACTCGTCCTTGATGAGCTGCCAGAATTTATGAGATGATCACCACTACTGTCAGGAGAAGTCGAGAGTCGAACAGAAGTGATGAGAAGGAAGCTAAGAAATGGAAAGGGGGCCCGCGCTGGGATATGCCCAGGCGCGGGCGAAATCGCTGGAGCGCTGAGGCAGTCGCGCGCGGCTAAGTCCCCACTGCAAGGGCGGGCTAGCGGCGCGCGCCCGAAAACCGCCGGCGCCGGCGCGCTGAGGCACTCGCGCGCGCCTAAGTCCCCACCACAGGGGCCAGGCTAGCAGGCGCGCGCAACGACCGAGGCGCCCCTGTCGAGCTGAGAGTGGACTCTTCACACCCCCCCCCACGCGAATGCGAGGCAGATCCAAGCCGTGGGTGTCGAGTGCGAAGGCCTAGTGCGTAGCAGTGTGTCGAGAAAATCTTTGGGCCAAGAGCCTTTGTGAAGATGTCGGCCACCATGTTGCTGGTTCCCACATGCGAGAGTGAGATATCGCCCCGATTCACCATGTCCCGAACAAAGTGCTCGCGCAAGCGTATGTGTCGAGTGCCGGAGACGCGGACAGGGTCGTGGGCAACTGCGGCAGCGGCTTCATTGTCAGTAAAAATGTGAGCCGGTGCAACAGGTTGGACATGGAGCTCCTCGAGCAGCTGACTGAGGTAGATCCCTTCCTTGCCAGCATGCGAGAGGGCGAGGTATTCAGCGTCGGTGGTAGAATCGGCAACTCGAGATTGACGCTTGGACGACCAAGACACGGCGGATCCGGCAATGTAGAAGACGTAGCCCATAGTGGACACCGACGTATCGACGCAGGCCCCCCAGTTCGCGTCGGAGTAGCCAACCACGCCCGTGATGCGTGTCTCGCCGCAAGCATAAACCAGTTCGTCGCGATATGTGGCCCGGAGATAGCGGAGGATGTGCTTGACCGCGATCCAGTGACGACGTCCAGGGTTGTTGGCGAAGCGGGCCAGGTAGGACACGGCGAAGGCGATGTCGGGGCGGGTGCCGAGCGAAATGTAGAGGAGCGAGCCGATAGCCTGCAGATACCATGACCTGATCCGTTCGGTGCCTTGACCCGGGATGGCGGTGAGCAAAAGGCCGGGGGTCATCGGGACTGTAGTGCCGCGAGTCGTGGTGTCGAAGTGGAACCGAGCAAGCACGTCCATGATGTACCGTTCCTGGGACAGGGCAATAGAACCGTCTTCGAGTCGCCTGATCTGGATGCCGAGGATGTACTCTGCCGGGCCGAGGCGCTTGACGCCGTAGCGTTGTTCGAGGCCCGAGATGACACGTTCAATTTCGGCCAAGTCGGGGCTGATCATCAGGAGGTCGTCGACGTACAGCGCGATGTAGTGTGGGCGTCGCCGATCGTCGATCCGAGAGTACACGCAGTGGTCGGTGCCCGTCGCCGTATAGCCGAGATCTCGAAGCGATGCGTCGATGTGTCGATTCCAGATTCGGCCAGCCTGTTTGAGTCCGTAGATGGAGCGTCGCAGACGAAGCACCTTGTCGGTGGGAAGGTCGAAGCCGCGCGGTGTCGTCATCCAGATGTCATGGTCAAGGTCGCCATGCAGATAGGCTTTGTCGATGTCCGCCTGGTGCACGTGCAAGCCGTTGGCGGCCGCCAGCGCGAGGAGTGAGCGTATCGAGGAGAAGCGTGCGACTGGTGCGAAGGTTTCGTTGAAGTCGATGCCGTCGCGTTGCCGATTTCCCTGCGCCACGAGCCGTGCCTTGTGGCCGGTGACTTCGCCGAGTGCATTCCGTTTCGTTTTCCAGACGAACTTGGATGTGACGATGGTCGCACCCGCTGGTACCGTGGATCGGTCCTCGATGGTGAAGACCTTGAAGTCGTCGCGCATGGAATTGAACTCGTCGGTAGCGGCCTTGGCCCACACTTCGCGCTTGTCACTCGACATTGCCTCGCGCCATGTCTGTGGGTCGCTGGTGATGGACTTGACTGGTTGAATGGCTTCTGTGTCAGAGTTGTCGTCGTCGGTGGCGATGAAGGCGCGGTGGTGTTGGGTGAGGAAATCGATTTCGTCCGGCGATTCATCGCGCGAGTGGCGCCCAATGATGTCGAGTTCGTCGGGCGACTCCTCAGCCGATGCGGGCTCACGGTACGTGCTGAAGTCTGGGCGGTGCACGTCCGGTGGGCCGAGGCGAGTCGGGGTCTGTGAGCCGATGAGGTCCAGAGGGTCGGCGGAGTAGTCAGAGTCGGTCGGTAAGGCCGAGGGTGACGATGACGCAGCCAACGACGGTGACAGCGCAGGCGACGGTGACAAGGGGGTTGCGGGCGACGGTGACGAGGACGGCTCAGGAGACGGTGACGAGGACGATTCGGCATCTGTGGAATTAAGTAAGGTTCCGCCAGTGTACCCTGGGGCCACGTCAACGGCGCTCATGGCAGAGTCATCAAGAGAGGATGAGACGTCCATGTGCGCCGACCTTACTAGTGGGGTCCATGTCTTGACAACGGCTTGGGATTCGGTGGTCGGGCAAGCGCTGGCGAAGTGCGTGTCGGCGTCTTGCTCGGTGGAGTCGCTACGTAACCCGGGAAATTCGTTGTCGAGGAACCTGGCATTTCTGCCCAAACTGATCTTCTTGGTCGTCGTGTCGTAGAAACGGAAGGCTTTAGAAGCCAGGTCATAGCCGGTGAAGAGAACGCGAACCGCTTTCGGGTCGAGTTTCGAGCGAAGTTCAGGCGCGACTGTGAGCCAAGCCGTGCAGCCGAACGGGTGAAGCGCCGAGGCGTTGGTGCGGTCGCCCTGCCAGGCGAAGTTCGGTGTTGCCTTGTCCAGGGCCGAGTGTTCGCACAGGTTCTTGCAGTAGACGAAATAAGCTGCTGCCTCCTCCCAGAATGATTTGGGTAAGTGGGCGTCTGCAAGGAGGGCAAGGACACCTTCGACGATAGAACGATTGACTCGTTCGGCACGACCGTTCTGTTGAGGCGTTCGAGGGATAGAGTATTGTCGACGTGTGCCGCGTGCCTTACAGAATTCCGTGAACGCTCTCGAACAGTATTCGCCACCATTGTCGGTTCGGAGGACCTTCAGTTTTGCACCCGTCTCGAGTTCGACCTCGGCAAGCCATGTCTTGAACACGCCAAAGACTTCGCTTTTGTGTCCGATCGCGTATGCCCACAGTTTGCGCGAGAAGTCGTCAAGAAACGTGACCAGGTAACGCTTGCCAGTCAAGGACGACTCGGGAAAGGAAAGCACATCGCTGTGTACGAGGCCGAGTCTCTCTGAGGAGTGCGAGTCCGAATCGGGAAAAGGAAGACGATGGCCCTTTGCACTGAGGCAAGCATTGCAGACAAACTTCTCTACCTCTTCGTCACTATATCCGGCCCCGAGACCTTCCAGCAAACCAGCGGCAACCATCTTCTGTATGGACGACGGTGCGAGATGGCCGAGGCAGCGGTGAAGGGTCAGCAGGGGCACGGAAGACTGTGAGCGAGAGAGGAGAGCGAGATGCTGACATTTGGAATGATCAGCGTCCAGCAAGTAGAGCCCTTCCTCGAGTCTTGCGCCTTCAGCGATAGCATTGCCGTTCTTGTCGATATGGATGCCGTGCTTCGTGAAGGCGACACGGACATCGTCGGTGTCGCAAAGTCGAGAGACCGAGAGGAGGTTGACAGACAGGCCCGGGGTGTGCAGCACGCCGGTAAGCGTGATCGGGTGACCGGAGGCGGCAACAAAGGCGATGTTTCCCGTTCCGACGGCGTTGATGCCCCCTGCAATACCACCAATCTTCGTAGGAGCGATGTGGCGATAGGCCGTGAACAGCGACTTGTCCGAGACCATGTGCGAAGTGGCACCCGAGTCGACGACGAAGGAGTTGTTGCGAAGCTGACGACGATGTGCGAGAAGACCGGTGGCGAGACATCCGACATGGTGTTGCGCATCAGAGGTGTCGGGCGTTTTCCCGTCCTCAAGAGTCTTTTTGCAGTCGAAAGACCAGTGGTCCTTCTTCTTGCAGGAGCGACACGGGCCTGGCGGTGGATGCTGGGCCCTTGTAGGGCATTGTGCGACGCGGTGAGAAGAGCTGCGACAGGCGAGGCACTTGGTACGGGTAGAACGTGGCGACGACGAGGCAAGGAGGGCCGATTGATCGTTGGAGAGGTTCGTTGACCGGAGTTGAACTCGCATACGGTCGGCCACTGAATCGATGTCAGGGAGAGTTCGTTGCGTGCGTTGTTCGTCGGTGAACGTTGCCTTGAAGCTCTCGAGTGACGGGTGGGCGATCGCGAGGAGGAGTGTGGCAAGGACGTCGTTGATCGTCGTTTTCGTATCGATGATCTCTTGCGCGACCGACTTGAAGTCCATGATCCAACTGTCAAATTCGCCAACCGTTCCGGGCATGGGTCGGAAGCCCCAGAGTCGCGAGAAGAGCTCGAGCGTGCGAGTGGCGTCATCAGGGGCGTATCGCGATTTCAGCGTCGAGTAAATCTTGGGCGCTGTGAGGTCGGCCGTAGGGATCTTGTCGAGGACTGCCGAGACTTCGGCCGAGTCGATTGAGTTTGCAAGGATCTCGCGTGCCACGACGTCGCGGGCGGAGCGTTGCGAAGGCGTCCAATCGTCGGGGGTGATTCCGTCGAGGACGTAGGAGCGGATGTCGTCCGCTAGGCACAGGCGAAGCTGGCGTGTCCAGTTCGCGAACGTCTTCGGCCCGTCCAACCGCGCATGCTTCGGGAAGGCATTGCGATTGGAGCCGGATGTCGTGGCGGGTGCGGTAGTGCCGGAAGCGGCAGCGGTGAGTCCCGACAGCAGCGATGTAAGTGCGGCAAGCTGTTCGGCGGGAATTGTCGGGGTGGCGCTCGTCGCGAGGGTTGACGACGTGTCCATGCCAGCGGTAGCTCGATGGGCTTATAACCTATGAGATGATCACCACTACTGTCAGGAGAAGTCGAGAGTCGAACAGAAGTGATGTATTTCAGCGTACCTATGAGATGATCACCACTACTGTCAGGAGAAGTCGAGAGTCGAACAGAAGTGATGAGAAGGAAGCTAAGAAATGGAAAGGGGGCCCGCGCTGGGATATGCCCAGGCGCGGGCGAAATCGCTGGAGCGCTGAGGCAGTCGCGCGCGGCTAAGTCCCCACTGCAAGGGCGGGCTAGCGGCGCGCGCCCGAAAACCGCCGGCGCCGGCGCGCTGAGGCACTCGCGCGCGCCTAAGTCCCCACCACAGGGGCCAGGCTAGCAGGCGCGCGCAACGACCGAGGCGCCCCTGTCGAGCTGAGAGTGGACTCTTCACAGAATTGTGGTCTGATGAAATGCTCTTGTAAGAGAATCGCGGAAGCTTTGAATGTGGAAAGGTAGGTGTAGATATTACGTCGTTTTTCCGGGACCCCCATGCCCCTTCTTACGTTCCAGGTGATGATGGTGTGCTTGATCATTAATGGGTAGTCGAGGTCGAGGCGCTCTTGGCGGTGGTGACGTCCTCAAAGAGGGGAAGGGCGGGCAGGACATCGTCCTCGGGCTCGTGGTCGGACCATCGTTTTTCCTCAGCTACCCCTCTTCCTTTCCCTCTGTCCACCTTCGTCACCTCGACCTGCATCGCCGCTGCCGCCGACATCGACCTCGTCACCCTCCGCCCCTCTATTCCATCCTTCACCACGACGCGGCTCTTCCCTTTGATGATGACTCGCTTGGCGTCGGTCGGTTCGTCACTTGGGTCACTGAGGTCCGCCGCAGTCTGCGACCTCTTCATCACCTGCTTCTTGAACTTCGCAGCGGTCCCCCTGATGTTGATGGAGCGTATCTCACCGTCCTCGTCCCACGTGGCAAAGTTGTGACGCACCAGAGGGGTTTCAGCGTTGAGCCTCCTCTCGATGCTTTGGTCCCGCTCAAGTCGTGCCTGCTCAACCCAGTTAGCTCTGATCCTGTCCCACTCCTCCCCCTCGCGTAGCGACTTGGCGAGAGTTTCGGGTGACAGAGGTGGGGTTGGTTCATGCGGCGTCGATTCGCGGGAAGCGGTGGCGGCGGTTGCTGTGGCGTCGCTGTCGTCGTCATTGTCCAGCCTGTTCGTTTCCCCTAAGTCCGTCGCTTCCGCATTCTCCGCTTTCGTCGATCCCCTCGCTTCGTCCACATCGCCCACCTCCGTCGCCACCTCCTCTTCCTCCATCTCCGTAGCCACCTCTCCTTCCGTTTCACCTCTTTCATCCGCCATCACCTCATTCTCATCAATCACCTCTCCATCGGATCCGCTGCAGTCCTCCAAGACCGACTCGTCCTCGCTTTCAATTTTGATGACCTCCGTTTTCGCGGCCGCCTCCGATTCCATCTCCGAGTCCTCCGAGTCCTCGTCATCCGCCTTATCACCAGCGTCTTCCTCCCCCGATTCCTCCGGTCCCTGTTCGCCCTGGCCAGTTACCTCTTCCTCCTGTCCCTCCTCGACCTCGAGCCCGGCGAAGTGATTCTGTGATGCGATCCTGTTAACAACCAGCACAGGAATGGGGGCCTCGGCCTCCGCGATGTTGGTGTTGTGGGTGATGGTGTTTTTGTTGCTGTTGATGATGCCGTTGTGAGCCTCCTTCCGCTTCCTCTCCTGATCCAGTCCGCAGGTTCCCACGTGACCCACAAAGTGGCACCTACCGCAAGCCGCCTCCTTCTCATAGTCATGGCGAAGGGCGGTAACCGGGATGCCTCAAGTGGGAAGGTCGATCCTCGAAGGTAGAATCTCCTTCAAGGTCGTGTTGGGGCGTTGGAATAGGGAGTCGTCATCGAAGTGTAGGAAAGCCGAGTAGTCTCCGGCAACGTGGGCGAAGGCCGAGGCGTTGTCCACGCTGATAACGCGCAGAACCTGCACAAGTTGGCATGAATGTCCCTTGCCTGACAGGTCTTGCACAAGTGATTGGAACGATTTGATGATGGCATCCATGGAGGGCACTCCTTGAACACCGACGTTGATTCGAAGCTCGACCATGTTATGGTGGAACCTGTGAGACTTCGCGAAGCGGGCCTTCGCCGATCGCCAAGTGAGAGCGGGGGGCGTCGTGAGCGCCGCGTCACGTGCCTCGCCGGTGACGAACCCAACCGTAACGCGATGGTGAGCCGCCCCATTACGCAGGATTGATGAATGTTGTACGCCTAAGATCTGTGGTTGATAAGCCGCAAGATGGTCCGGCAGAGGAACTCCAGGCTCAAAGCAGATAGGAGAGATGGGCGATAGCAGCCTCGTGACGCAGGCCACGAGATCGATCTTGTCGGCATGAGTCGCTCGCGAGGCGCTCTGGTGAGACAGAGTCACTTCAAGGGCGTAATCGAAGATGTTCTCGACGGACCGGTTCGCGTTCAAGGCCGAAAATTTCAGCGATGTGGCGGTGGCGACGGGGTAGAGTTCGGCGAAGTAGATGGCCTGGACCCAGCGATCCATGCGGTTTCCGGGTACAGCACCCATGGCTTGTAGGAGGCTGCCCAGAGCCTTGGCACGCTGTTGTTGTTGTTTCTGTTGTTCAGGTGTTTGAGTCGCCATCTGACTCGCAGCGGCAGCATAGTTGGGTGCGGCGGTGGCGGGGCCCGTGACTTGCGTCTTCTTCGAGCTTATCGGGATCCGGTCGCGGGGGGGCTGGACGCTGGCGGCGGATACCGGTGGTGGCGGTGCCGGCAGTGGGGACCCAGGGTCTCCGGTAGACATCTTGTCGGTGTATCACTTGTTAACTCGAGTATCGAAGGCTGCAGTAGGGCGATTGTGAAGTGAAGTGAAGTGAAGTGGAGTGATTTTTTTTTTTTTGTAGAAACCGTTCATCATATTGCCCCCAATTCCTGTTCCCCCTGATTGGCCTACGGAAAAACTAGATGGAAGTCGACGATGATAACACAAACCGCCCGCAAGATGCGAGAAACGGGCCAAGTCCACCAATCCGATACTTCGGATTCAAGTGCCCCAGCCAAGCGGTTGCTCCCCCCCAGGAGACGAATGAGAGAGAGAAGAGAAAGAGAGAAAATGAAAAAGAACTGGCGTACTAACGACAAGAGGCCCACCCCGCACCCACTTCCCAACTCGGTCGAGACAAAGACAGGAGAGCGACTGCGCAGCTACCCTGACCCGCGAAGTCCCCAAGTCTATGCTCGGTCACAACAAGACGCGGTGGAGGCCCCTCAAAACCTCCACCTCAGCAGTCCCTGGCCCCTCAAAGCCGACTTTCTGCCTGTGTCTGCTGATCCCTCCCTTAAACTCAGAACCCCGAAGCCAGAGAGCGCGAGCCACCGTCGAGTCAATCCCAAAACGCAAGCCGGTCCATGAGCAACGGAGGCAGACCTGTAATAAAAGAAAGATGAAGAAAAGATATTTAGTATACAGTTTTTGTATGAGGATGTGTCATGTGAGGTGTGTGTGTGTATGGAGTGGGGTGGGGGGAAATCGAACCCAGCCTCTACTGCCCTTGCCCGCCTCTTGCTCCTCTCCTCCAGTACCACCCTCCTCCGCTCCAGGCTTTCCATCCTCGTCCCGTGCTTCTGCATCCTCCATCTCCCACTGCTGATCATCTCCAAGACCATCCCCGTGAAGATCTCGATCGTCCTGCCTGCGCCTTCCTGTTCGCTGAGCTTGGCCTTGAGCTTGGGGAGGCCAAAGAGTCGTTGTAGTGTCGTGTACTCGGCGTCCTCGATCGTGTCGCATCCGAGCGCGTCGCAGAGCACGCCCCTTGCCGCGGTCCAGACGTTCCGCGAGTCGACGCAGCCGAAGAAGTAGTGATCGGTGTCGTCCACCGGCGCTTCGCACACGAGGCACGCGGGAGAAGTGACATGCTTTTGCTCGTGCTGGAGCTTGCGCGTCGGGGTGAAGCGGAGGATCAGCTTGAACCAAACTTCCCTCTCCCTCGCTGTCAGTGCCTTCGAGTTGACTGCCTTCCAGAAGCTCCTGAGGTCGTCCGGCTGCGGTGGTCCCTTGAGCCCGAGCATGTTGGTAAATGCCTTCGCGTTCAGGACCCGGCGGATGCGACGGACTGTGTAGGGGCGAGCCATGTTCAGCAGCGTATACTGGCTCGCCTGTTGTGGAAGCACCGGGTCCGGAAGGCGCTGCTCCATTGCGAAGCGGGCCACGGGCTTGGGGATGATCGCCTCGAGTGGTGCGCTGGTGCCGATCCGGGGAGGCACGTTGAGTCGTCCCGCCGCCACCGCCGCCGCCAAGGGGGTGTTCTTGTGTCGATCGACAGTGAACCGGTACCAGGCCGCGATTGCCAGTCGCTGCGGGAGCCCGCGTCGATCGTACTCGCTGTTGTCGCCGAGCACATCCGCCGGCGGCGTCCAGAGGTGAAACCCCCCACCCGCATACAACTCGCGCCGATAGAGATCCGCCACCTTCGGGTAGCCCTGGAGACGAAGGTAGTCAGGTACATGAACCGCGTCGATGGTCTGTCTCCCTCTGATGGGGGTGTGGAGGCTGCCGAGCAGGGTGGGCAGCGCGAGCAGGTTCGCGGTGGTCAAGGCCCTCGGGTTGACCTGCACGTCGTGAAGTTTCGGAACGCCCAGTGCGGCGTGCCATCGGGGATGAAGGTCGTTGGGGATGGGAGTGGATGGATGTGGCCAGAGATCGGTGGCCAGGTCGAGGTCGGGCTGAGCTCGCTGGAGTGCTGCGCGCGCAAGTCCTTGCCAAATCGCGCCGGAACCGCCGAGAAGAACGTCCCAGAGCCGTGCCGCAACCGCGTCCACAACGTCCCGCATCCTTATCACCCCGAGTCCCCCCTTGTTCTTGGCGGTGAACACAATGTCTCTGCCGTAGCTGGTCCTGCCCTTGCCCCCACGGACGAAATCGACGAGCATGTCATCGAGCTTCTTGACGACTTCGGGCGGCGGGATGTCGGCTGCAAGGAAATGCAGGATCTTGGGAATGGCGTACCGATTGACGTAAAAGGCACGGGTGTGGTGCGTGAGCCAGCGATGCTGAACCGCTTCCAGCGTCGCCTCGAGCCGTTCGATGAGATTCGCGTAGGCGAGTTCGGTGTCGCCGCTGGGGTCGAAGGGGAGGCCGATCCACTCGAGCGACTCGCCTGCGGCCTTGACGACGATTGGCCGTTCCCCAGGGTCCCAGCGACGTCCAATCGGTAGGACGACCGTCTTGTGTCAGGATGACAGCGTGTACTCGAAGGAAGCCCCCCAAGGCTATGTGCGGGTAGAGTTGACTTGACCAGAGGCTTGCCTCGTTTCACAGCATCGTCGGTGCGATGGCGTAGTCGTGAGGCGCGCAGGCGCGCACTCGGTGGTCGCGGGTTCGAGGCGCCCAGACCGCAGTCTTCTTTCGGTTTGTTTTATCTTTTGTTAGCCGAGGCGCGGCTTCAGGGTTTTTACCGGTGCTCCCGCGAGCAATCCTTTTTACCCCTGAGGCGACCTCTTGGAGTGGTTGATTTGGCTAAGTCCCCTCTGGGCCTGGCACAGTCCCTTCCCTTTAGTTTACCACCTTTCCCTGGGAGCTTGGTCCGCTCTTCTCTTTTGTTGCCCCTCCTCTTCTTGTCGATCGTTTGGGAATTAAGTCCGTTACACTTGATTTCCTGCGAGCCTTTCGACCGACTCCCCTCCTCGGTTGCTCCCTTGTCGACTGCCGCCGCAACAGCCGACACTTCCTGAAATCCCCCCCCCCGTACCAACGCGTGTAGACGACGTCATCCCCTCCGACGTCGCTTGTCACTTTTTTCAAGTTCGGCATTACCGACAACGATCCGCACCTCTACAACCGCTTCGTCCACCGTCCTGGACGAGCAGTCGCCCCCACTCTCTGAGCCTGAGTCTTCAGCCTCCTCTCCGTTGCCGAATTCATCACCAACGAACGCGTCGCTGTCCTTCCCGACTTCCTCCACAGAGTCTGACGACGAACACGTTTATCCTTCCTACCCTTTCCGTCAACCGTCTCGTGCTCGCCTTCGTTCGCCCCGCAATCGCCGACGTTTGAGTCACGAGATTGCCATGGCCGACGAGCGCGACGTGTACCGTGCCGCCGCCGATGATCGAGACGCTCCTCTCCGCGACGAAGACCCCGGCCGCGCGAAACCGCCCAAGTCCCCGCCGCCTCAACCCTACCACACCGCCACCGCTCTATCGTCCCTCGAAAGCCGCCTCGAGGAATCCGAAGCCCGTCGTATCGACTCCGAGGAACGTGTTCAGCAATTGGAGAAGTTGGTGGAGGGTTTATTGAAAAGCTCACCTGAACCAGCTGCGGCGCGGGCCGGAGTCTCTGAACCAGCTGTGGCGCGGGCTGGATTCTCTGAACCAGCCGCAGCGCGGGCTGGGGAGTTTACGTTTACGCCGGTGAGATCGGTCCCCTTGGACGTTCCCCCACACACCATTCTGGAACGTTCAGGCAATACCGCTGACCCCCTTGTTCGTTCCCCTGGGGGGGAATCTCACAGCGCACGAAGGGACGGCCCTTCCTCGGCAGTAATCAGCTCTCGTTGGAGAGGGACGTTACCTGACCGGGAAGGGCTATGGACAGGGGATAATCCCGATCGGTTGGTCACTTTCACTACATTTGGGAAGTCGTACTTGTCTCTACTTTGCGACATTTCCACCAGCGACCTTTTTACCACCGACCGCGTCATCCAGCTTGTGGCGACCTTGTTCGTTCGTTCAACTTCTCCCAAGCGCCGTCAGTCTCCGCACGACTGGGCCGTTGATACTATGACGGACGCGCTCCGGGACGAACGACCTCACTGTTGGACGACACTGATGACAGAAGTTGGACGTCGTTGGCCGGATCCTGGCTTTGCCGACCGAGTGTCCCACGACTTCTACGGGTGCCGACAGTCTTCGTCTCGCGCCTACGACCATGTGGGCGAATGGCGTGCCCGCTACCGAGCGTTTATGCACAACGACCCCAGCTTCAGCCTCTCGCCCCTTCAACTCGCCACAACCTTTTATCAATCGTTGAGTGATGTGGCTAAGCGGGAAGTGCGGGCTGGTATGCTGCGGGAATATCGGGATAACTCACTCGTGACTATAGGGAGGTTCGGACGAACTGTCCCGTCCCTCGAGGAGGTTACCGACTGGGCCGCCATCGCCGACGACACCGGCACGACATCAGTTTCGACCCCGCCGATTCGTACGGCGACTTATGGAGCAATTGCAAAAACGCCACGCACCGCCCCATCCACGCCGAACGACGACGCACGTACTCAGATCCGTCGAGCTCGATGGATGAACCGCGCCGGTAAATGGCAACAGGCCCACCTGTGGAAGGATCGGAACACGTGGTTCTCGCCAGCATCGGGTGGGGTACCCGCCAGCATGGCGTGTTTTAATTGCGGTCAAGGTGGCCATTTCTCACAGCATTGTACAGCGGAGCGACAATCCCCCTCGACCGTCCAAATAGCAGCAATTGCCTTCGCCGACATGGACGAGGACGAATGGTCGTCGGCCTCAGGTGACGTTGAGGACCCCCAGGTGCGATTCCCCCTTCCCCTCGAGACTGATTTGACTCGACCGTCGAGTTCCGCATCCGCCTTAGTGACGCACCACTCTTGCCCTCCGGCAGACCCTGTTGGTCGAGTGAAAGACGTCGCCTCTTCTTCTTTTGAAGTTCAGACCTCATCAAGTAGTTCGCATCCAACCGTGCCGGCAAATGATGCAGATCAACATCGTCTCGACGATAGCCTGGCTGACATCGCGATTGACGCGGTGGAAGATGTCTTGTACTACGCTGATGCCGCGTCGCGCTTGTGTCATTATCCGGGGCCGGAAGTGGTGTCGTCTCGCAAGGCGGAAAGGACTGCTTCGGTGAGCTCTTTCCAGATTCTTGTGCCGTCGGGTGTGTCTCTCTTGGCGTCCGCTGTGCCCCTGATCGACATCGACGAACCCGACCGACCTGTCGAGCCCGCCATTGTACGCGCCCGCAACGTCATCGCGTGGACGCTACCTTCTGGAAGGGTTTTGCGATGTTTGATCGACTCGGGATCAGAGGTCGACTTGGTGGATCAGGAGGTGGTGCGAGTCGACCCGAGCTTCGCAACGGCCCGTTTGACTGCGCCGTTGCATTTGCGCCTCGGCACCCAGGATAAGTCCGACCGATGTGCTGTGTTCGCCACCGCTCCTTTTTCGTCTGGTGCCCTAGATCTCGGTTTGCGACCATTCTTCGTTTGCCGGGTAACGGCGTACGACGCCATCTTGGGGCTGCCATTTCTTAAGGACACAGGCATGCTCGTTGGTTGGGGCGCCTTCACCGTCGCGCGCACCGGCCCTTCGCAACCCGTCGCCCAGGATACGCACGAATGGGACCGAGCCGTCACCGTAGCACCTATCTTATCTGGTTCTGCCATTGGCTGCAATCACCCTGGGTTGCTCCCCGACGACGAGATCATCGGCCTCGAGCCACACAACCCGCTGCTTGATGTCGTCGACGATCCGGCGCTCGACGATTTCTCTGAGTCCGAAGCACGAACACGATTGGCTGCCTTACTCGAGAAATTTTCTGATGTGTTCGTAGATTCGCTACCGATGGACCAACTCCCACCGTACCGGCCAGTCAACCACGAGATCCCGTTGATCGATCCCACCGAAAAGGTCAAACCCCGGGTATACCCCCTTGCCGACAAATATCGCAGCCAGTGGGCGGAACACTCAGCTAAGTACACTCGTGGTCGATTCTGGGTTTCGGGTCCGATCGATTCTGCGGCTCCGGTCTTTGCCATTCCGAAGAAGAACTCCCAGACGGCTCGTTTCGTGATCGACCTCCGCGCGCGCAACAGCAACACCGTCAAGCGTTTTTCGCCCATCCCGGACATGACCAATGTTCGATACGAGGTGGCTCGATCGCGTTATCGCTCTAAATTTGACGTGGCCGCGGCATTTGAGCAGGTTCGGGTCATACCGGAGCTGTCAGGAGCACAGCCTGCACTGCCATCAATACTCGAAGGAAGTCTCCCAAGTTTGCGGCCGGAGTCGACATCAGCTACCGGTTTGTTCGTTGCAAGCATTGTCGGCGCGATGGTGTAGTCGTGAGGGCGCGCGGGCGCGCACTCAGTGGTCGAGGGTTCGATCCGCCCGGAGCGTGATCTGCCTTTTGGTTTCTTTTCCTTTTTGTTATCCGAGGCCCGGCTTCGGGGTTTTTACCGGTGCCTTGCAGGCAATCCTTTTTACCCCTGAAGCGACCTCGTGGTGTAGTTATTTGATTCAGTCTTTCCTTCGCTCGGAGCACTTCCCTCCTTTTGCTTTTGCCACCCTTCCCCTAGAGCTTGGTCCACTCATTATCATGACTCGTACCCTCCCTCTTTTTACCCATTTCGCTGGCAATTAAGTCCGTTACACTTGATTTGCTGCGAAGCCTTCCGACCGAATCCACTCCTCGGTTGCTCTCGGTCGACTGCCGCCGCCCAGCCGACTCGACCTTCCCATCGGCCTGGTCAGCTATTTCTTGGATCGTTTGCCCTTCCTCTTTTGTCCGACCTCGTTGGCCACCATAGTCCGGTACACTGGACTTGCTGCGAGCCTTGCAGCCGCGTATCCTCCGCGGTTGCCTCTCGGTCGACTTCCGCCGCCCAGCCGACTCGACCTTCCCACCGGCCTGGTCAGCTATTTCTTGGATCGTTTGCCCTCCCTCTTCTGTCCGACCTCGTTGGCTACCATAGTTCGGTACACTGGACTTGCTGCGAGCCTTGCAGCCGCGTATCCTCCGCGGTTGCCTCTCGGTCGACTGCCGCCGCCTCGGTCGACACCCCCTTCGCTCCTTCGCGCTTTCGCGCGCTCTCTCGCTCTCTCCCTCGTCTCTCGCGTGTAGTCATCGTCATCCCCTCCGACGTTGCCTGTCAGGAGCACGTCGATCGCACCGGCTTCGCAACGGTGACGGGCACGTACACGTCGCGGGTCATGCAGTTTGGTGACACCAATGCGCCCAATACCCTCAACCTCTTAACCTCGGCGATGTTCCAGCCGTGTCTCCCGTTCGCCAAGATCTTTTTCGACGATGTCCACGTCCATTCCGATACCCGTCGCGCGCACTTGAGACACATCAAGATCCTGCTGATGACATTGAGACATTACCGGTTCTACTTAGGATCCAAGAAGTCCGAGTGGTTCTCAAAGTCGTTGGACTCCTTGGGCACCATCATTTCCGACGTCGGCATCGAAGTCGACCCCGCCAAGTGGGTGCGTATCCGTCAGTGGCCGATCCCGTGCAACAAGACCGATGTCCAGCGCTTCCTCGGCACCGTCAACTGGATGCGAGATCACCTACCGCACCTCTCAAAGATTTTGGAGCCGATCACCGCGTTAATGGCGCAATCGACGTCATGGCGTTGGAACGAGCGAGAACAGCAGGCTTTCGATACCGTCAAGTCCCTTGTGCCCGCCATCCTACGACCGATCGATGGCGCCAAGGTTACCTCGGGCGAGCACAAGATGTACCTCTTCACGGATGCCAGTCGGGTTGGCATTGGCGCTTGTTTGGCGTCCGGGCCCAACCGTTCGCAGGCCGTTCCAACGCGATTCTTTTCCGCTAAGTTCAACGGTGCTCAGCTCAACTATCATGTCACTGATAAAGAGTTCTTGGCTGTCGTCTCGGCGTGTCGGGCGTTCGAGCAGCACTTGATCGGTTACCCCTTCGTCATCGTCACCGACCATCAGGCCCTTCGCACGATAAAAACCCAAAAACTGCGCCAAACGCCTCGGCACATCCGCATGTGTCTCGAACTTAGCCGTTTCGACTTCGAATTTGAATTCATTGCTGGCAAGAACAACACCCTGGCCGATTCGTTGTCGCGTCTGTGGGAGGTCAAGGAGGGATCGCACGAGGATCAGGTCAAGGAGAATGAGTTGGAGGACATGTTCTTTGATGGAGAACGCCACGAATTCACTACACCCGGTGAGAGCCTCCCTGAGGAACGTCCTTGCACTTCACCATCTCCCGATCGGTTGCCTCCTGTTGATTTTGCCCTCGGGCCCCAACACGACGATTGCGAGGCAGGCTCTCCCGGATACTACGCGCTCAAGGAGGAATCGCAAGACGAGGACGTGAATGGACAGGAATTAGGGAATTTGTTCTTGAAGGAAGAATGCCACGAGTTCATTACGCCCGGTGAGAGCCTCCTCGAGGAACGTCCTTACACCTCACCTTCGCACGATCGGTTGCCCCCTGTTGATTGCGCCTTCGGGCCCTGGGGTCACGGTTACGACGCAGGCTCTCCCGGTTCCCCTCATCTGGCCGAGAACATTATGGACGCCGTCGATTCGTCTATCGGCCGCCTCTCTCCTCCCATCGCTGTCAATCGAGTTCACGCTATCGCTGCGGCTCCCGCCAACGACCCGCCCATTCCGGTCGATGCCGACGCCGACGAACTCGATTTGTTGGGAGTTGCCACCGATGACGTCAACGACACCCCTGTAGTCCATCGGCCGCCTGATCCACTGCCCCAACCCTTCCTCGACACCGTCATCCGAGCATACGCCAACGATTCGCAAGCCCAGGTCATCATTACCGACCCGCTATCATGGCCTATGTTTCGGGTGACCGAGGAAGGGAGGATTTTGCGTGTACATCCAGATGAGTCTCTTTCCTTGTTTGTGCCTCGTGGTCTCGCTACTGGCGTCGTCAACTCCGACAAGGTCCCATCGCTGCGCGAGCTCGTGCTTTCGGAGATTCATCGAAGTGTCGGGCATGCAGGACATCGCATCACCTTGGCCGCCATCCGTCCTTTGTACTGGTGGTCGTCCATGTCTGCCGATTGCGCCGAGTTCTGCCGTTCATGTGAAGACTGTACCCGAGGCAAGGCGTCCACTCAAGTCCCCTATGGCCGACTGCATCCGATGCCGATCCCTTCTGGTCCTTGGGAACAAGTGGCCATCGACTTCATGACAGGACTGCCTCCGGTCGAGCTCGAAGGGATGATGGTTGCTCAAATCATGGTGGTCACTGACACTTGGGGCAAGATGGTCCACCTGATTCCCCTCCCAGCCGATGCCGACTCGGAGCTCGTTGCCGAGAAGTACTACGCCACCGTCTTCCGACTGCATGGGATGCCTTCCGCCATCGTTTCCGACCGTGATCCCAAGTTCACCTCGCAGTTTTGGCGGGCATTGCAGGCAAAGATTGGCACCGTCTTGCGAATGTCAACCGCGGCACACCCCGAGACGGACGGATCGAGCGAGAATCGGATCAAGATGGTCACCCAAACCCTGCGGATCATGGTCTCGTCAAACCACGAGGCTTGGGCATCTCGTCTTGTTGAAGCTGAGTTCGCTCTTAACTCTTCTGTTGCTGTGTCCACGTCGCTGTCGGCTTTTGAGGCAACCTACGGCTACCTTCCTCGACGTTGGCCCTCGGATTCCTGGTCTGTCTCGGACGTCCCTCGTGCGGAAGCGTTTGCTCGGATCCGACAATTACGGAACCTTGACGTGACGGATGCGATCATTGGAGCACGCCTCAACCAGTCCCATCAGGCCAACAAGCATCGACGCCCAGACGACCCCGCCTTTCGGACCGGCAGTTACGTCTATCTTTCGACAAAGAACCTGGCAGTTCCTGACGGCATGAAGTCGAAGTTGTTGCCGCGCTACATCGGCCCCTTCCGTATCCGAGCGGCCATCCCTGCGACGTCCAGCTACGACCTCGAGCTCCCTCCAGCGATGTCGCGAGTGCACAATCGTTTCCATGCTCGACTGCTTCGGCCTTGCGTTGAGAATGATGCTGAAAGGTTTCCTGGGCGTGACCCCGCAGTTCTTTTTGTCGAAGACGTAGCCGACGCAGCCGACAATTCTGCGATTCCGGAACGGATTGTTCGCGATTGGCGGAACGCTCGGGGCGCTCGTTCGTTCTTGGTTCGATGGGTAGGCCGTAACGACACCGACGATACTTGGATGTCAGAGCAGTCCATTCGCCTTGACCATCCGTCCGTCCTCGACGCCTACCTCGCGCGCCTCGATCGCTCGAACCGCCGCCTCGCCGCACGGTAGACTTCCTTCTGGGGGGGACAGTGTCAGGATGACAGCGTGTACTCGAAGGAAGCCCCCCAAGGCTATGTGCGGGTAGAGTTGACTTGACCAGAGGCTTGCCTCGTTTCACAGCATCGTCGGTGCGATGGCGTAGTCGTGAGGCGCGCAGGCGCGCACTCGGTGGTCGCGGGTTCGAGGCGCCCAGACCGCAGTCTTCTTTCGGTTTGTTTTATCTTTTGTTAGCCGAGGCGCGGCTTCAGGGTTTTTACCGGTGCTCCCGCGAGCAATCCTTTTTACCCCTGAGGCGACCTCTTGGAGTGGTTGATTTGGCTAAGTCCCCTCTGGGCCTGGCACAGTCCCTTCCCTTTAGTTTACCACCTTTCCCTGGGAGCTTGGTCCGCTCTTCTCTTTTGTTGCCCCTCCTCTTCTTGTCGATCGTTTGGGAATTAAGTCCGTTACACTTGATTTCCTGCGAGCCTTTCGACCGACTCCCCTCCTCGGTTGCTCCCTTGTCGACTGCCGCCGCAACAGCCGACACTTCCTGAAATCCCCCCCCCCGTACCAACGCGTGTAGACGACGTCATCCCCTCCGACGTCGCTTGTCATCTTGTCCGTGTTGAGCCGGCCATTCGTTGCATGCCTCCAGTCGAGCGCCAGGTCATCGAGCAAGTTGAGTGACTCCAAGCCCGCGACGGCGACGACAACGTCATCGGCAAATGCAAGTGATGTAATGGCGCGGCTCTGTGGGTACGGATGAAGTGCAGGTATGGAGAGATTCAGCGCGATGTTTCGACGGTGTAGAGCATCCAGGAACGGCTGAAACACGATGTCCCAGACCGACGATGACGCCGGGTCCCCTTGGCCGAGCCCACACGTCAGTCGCACCGGCGCCGTCAGGAACCCATTGATGATGTAGCGCGCCGAGGTCGAGTCACCCGAGTAGAGCATCCTCAGCACGCGAAGAAAGGTGGTAGGAACGCCCAGAGCGTCGAAAATGGCAAAGATCCAGTCATGCTCGACGAGGTCGTAGGCGGATGATTGGTCAAGAGACAAGAGCGCGGCCGCGGGGAACTCGGTCCTGCGCGCGCCAAGTTCCTCGATCAGGAGACGAAGGTGTAGTGCAGCGTCGGCCGATCGGCGGTCCTTGACGAAGCCGTGCTGCTGCGGCGGGAGGAGATCGGGCAGAATTTGGTTCAATCGGGCGACGTAGACCTTGGTAAAAATCTTGTAATCGCACTCGCGCAGGGTGATGGGGCGATACGACGAGAGTTCGGCGCGATCGGCATTCTTCTTGTGGCGCTTGAAGATGAGGCGCACGAGTCCCTGGCCCTGCTTGGGAGAGAGTGAACCGCGCTCGATCATCGCGTTGTAGGCCTTGGTCAGCACCTTGGACCACGCCTCCGGTGCGGTCTGATAGAGTTCGTAAGGCACGCCCGACGGGCCCGGCGATCGCCCCGGGTGCGTCGTCCCGATCGCGGCCACGACCTCGTCCTCGGTGATGGGTTGCTGGAGGAGATCAATCTGCGCTTCCGAGAGTCGGCGCAGAAAGAGCGGATCTGAGCGCGGGTCGTCGCAAGTCCGTGCCGCCCTGATCGGCACGAGGAGTTCGTCCCGAAGTCGGTCGACGCGTTCCGGATCACGAGGCTCGATGTGGTAGAGGCGCTGGAAATGCGCCTGCGTGTGGTCAAGAGCGACATCAATGTCATGCGTTAGCTCTCCGTTGCCCAAGCGCAGTGCTGTGATCTTGGAGTCCGAGTTCCGCGCCGCGAGCTTGGCGTGGACCGGCCGCGACAGTCGTTCCTCGGAAGCGATCTCGGGGACGTGGGCTCGGATCCGGAGTAGGCGCGCGCGCTCCTCGACCGCCCGCTTGAGTTCCTCGGACGTCCTTGTCCATTCTGCCGTTTCCGCCTCCCCCCATACCGGTAACGCCTCCAGATCCTGCACCCTCCCCACCAAATACTCCATCCGTTCCGTCCGCTCCCGATGCAGCCTCCTCGCCATCTCCCCACCCCTGTCCCTGCACGCCTCCAGAACCTCCTCAAGCTCTCGCACCGGATCCTCCCCGCTTGCCCCTTCCAACCATCCTTCCATCATCCGCTGAAATTCCACCGTCTTGAAGGTTGTGGTATTGATTCGATGTAGTTGGTTGGATGTGGTAGGTAGGCTGAGCTGTGGGAGAGCCGCATCAAGATCGTCTGAGAGAGCCAGTACGATCAAGACCGGTTGGTGATCGGAAAGATCCTTGGGATAGTCGTAGATCGTCGAGGCCTGGTCGAGCCTTTTTTGGTGAGCTCTTTGTAGGAGAAAGTAGTCAAGCCGGGAGAAGGAGTTGGGTCACTTGCGATTGGGATTAGGTCGAGTGAAAGATGGGGTGATGGGGTGCTTGTAGCGGATGCAGTCCGTGTAGGCCGAGTCGAGCTTGCCCATCAGAATCGGCCAGTGGTGGCCGCGCCGACTTTGGTTCCGCCGATCGACTTCTGGGCGCGGGCAGTTGTTGAGATCGCCGCCAAGGAGTCGGAGGTGGGATTTCTGTGTTTTGTGGAGGATCAGTTTGTCGAAGAATTTTGCTCGTTGTTTTGGGTCAACGGGCGCGTAGAGGTTATTGATTTCTAGAATTTTGATGTCGCCCCGCAGACGAAAGGAGGTGACGAGGAGCCGGCCGTCGAGTGCCGAGTGGGTGCGCAAGAGCTCGGCGTCGATCAGGGGCGAGTCAGCCGGGATCAGGGTCAGGCAGTGCTGGTTGATGAAGAGCTTGCCCTCGTACTCGTCCTTGATGAGCTGCCAGAATTGTGGTCTGATGAAATGCTCTTGTAAGAGAATCGCGGAAGCTTTGAATGTGGAAAGGTAGGTGTAGATATTACGTCGTTTTTCCGGGACCCCCATGCCCCTTCTTACGTTCCAGGTGATGATGGTGTGCTTGATCATTAATGGGTAGTCGAGGTCGAGGCGCTCTTGGCGGTGGTGACGTCCTCAAAGAGGGGAAGGGCGGGCAGGACATCGTCCTCGGGCTCGTGGTCGGACCATCGTTTTTCCTCAGCTACCCCTCTTCCTTTCCCTCTGTCCACCTTCGTCACCTCGACCTGCATCGCCGCTGCCGCCGACATCGACCTCGTCACCCTCCGCCCCTCTATTCCATCCTTCACCACGACGCGGCTCTTCCCTTTGATGATGACTCGCTTGGCGTCGGTCGGTTCGTCACTTGGGTCACTGAGGTCCGCCGCAGTCTGCGACCTCTTCATCACCTGCTTCTTGAACTTCGCAGCGGTCCCCCTGATGTTGATGGAGCGTATCTCACCGTCCTCGTCCCACGTGGCAAAGTTGTGACGCACCAGAGGGGTTTCAGCGTTGAGCCTCCTCTCGATGCTTTGGTCCCGCTCAAGTCGTGCCTGCTCAACCCAGTTAGCTCTGATCCTGTCCCACTCCTCCCCCTCGCGTAGCGACTTGGCGAGAGTTTCGGGTGACAGAGGTGGGGTTGGTTCATGCGGCGTCGATTCGCGGGAAGCGGTGGCGGCGGTTGCTGTGGCGTCGCTGTCGTCGTCATTGTCCAGCCTGTTCGTTTCCCCTAAGTCCGTCGCTTCCGCATTCTCCGCTTTCGTCGATCCCCTCGCTTCGTCCACATCGCCCACCTCCGTCGCCACCTCCTCTTCCTCCATCTCCGTAGCCACCTCTCCTTCCGTTTCACCTCTTTCATCCGCCATCACCTCATTCTCATCAATCACCTCTCCATCGGATCCGCTGCAGTCCTCCAAGACCGACTCGTCCTCGCTTTCAATTTTGATGACCTCCGTTTTCGCGGCCGCCTCCGATTCCATCTCCGAGTCCTCCGAGTCCTCGTCATCCGCCTTATCACCAGCGTCTTCCTCCCCCGATTCCTCCGGTCCCTGTTCGCCCTGGCCAGTTACCTCTTCCTCCTGTCCCTCCTCGACCTCGAGCCCGGCGAAGTGATTCTGTGATGCGATCCTGTTAACAACCAGCACAGGAATGGGGGCCTCGGCCTCCGCGATGTTGGTGTTGTGGGTGATGGTGTTTTTGTTGCTGTTGATGATGCCGTTGTGAGCCTCCTTCCGCTTCCTCTCCTGATCCAGTCCGCAGGTTCCCACGTGACCCACAAAGTGGCACCTACCGCAAGCCGCCTCCTTCTCATAGTCATGGCGAAGGTATTCGATCAACTCTACTACGTCAGCGATGTAGTTATAGCCAAGAGTGATGAATGCATTTCAACATACCTATTCGATCAACTCTACTACGTCAGCGATGTAGTTATAGCCAAGAGTGATGAATAGGAAGCTAACAATAAGAGACCCGCGCGCCCCAAGTCCACAGCCAGCGAGCCTGGGGCTGAGCCAATGGCCCAGGCTCGCTCCGCGCGCCTAAGTCCCAGGCTCGCTTCGCGCGCCTAAGTCCTGGGCCGGGGCGCCCGGCTCACTCCGCGCGCCTAAGTCCGCGCCCGGTTCGCTCCGCGCGCCTAAGTCCTGAGCCGAGCGGAGAGTGGATTCCTCACACCCCCCCCACGCGAACGCGAGGTAGACTTGAGCCGTGGATGTCGCGTCCGGAGGCCTAGAGCATAGCAATGTGTACCAAAAATCTTGGGGCCTAGCGCTTTGGTGAATACGTCCGCAACCATGTCTGCTGTGCCAACGTGTGAGAGAGAGATATCACCTCGATTGACCATGTCACGGACAAAATGCTCGCGGAGGCGAATGTGCCGGGTGCCGGAGGTGCGAACGGGGTCGTGAGCGACGGCGGCCGCGGCCTCGTTGTCGGTGAAGATGTGAGCTGCAGCGATTGGGCAAACGTGGAGCTCGGAGAGGAGTTGGTTAAGGTAGATCGCTTCCTTACCCGCGTGCGACAAGGCCAGGTACTCGGCATCAGTGGTGGAATCCGCTACCCGAGTCTGACGCTTCGACGACCAAGAGACAGCGGCGCCTGCCAAGTAAAATACGTAGCCCATCGTTGAAATGGATGTGTCGACGCAGGCGCCCCAGTTCGCATCAGAATAACCAACCACACCCGTGACTTTTGCTGGGCCGCGGGCATAGAGAAGCTCATCGCGGTACGTGGCGCGAAGGTAGCGAAGGACGTGTTTGACGGCAATCCAATGGCGGCGGCCGGGGTTGTTGGCGAACCGGGACAGGTACGAGACGGCGAAGGCAATGTCGGGTCGAGTGCCAAGGGAGATGTAGAGGAGGGAGCCGATGGCCTGTAGGTACCACGAACGAATGCGCTCCGTTCCCTGACCCGGAATTGCCGTGAGCGAGAGGCCGGGCGTCATCGGCACCGTAGTGCCGCGTGTCGTGGTGTCGAAGTGGAAACGGGCCAGCACGTCCATGATGTAGCGCTCCTGGGATAGAGCAATGGAACCGTCGTCCAGGCGGCGTATTTGGATTCCGAGGATGTACTCCGCGGGGCCGAGTCGTTTGACGCCGTACCGCTGTTCAAGGCCGGAGATGACACGTTCGATCTCGTCGAGGGCTGGACTGACAATGAGGAGGTCGTCGACATACAAGGCGATATAGTGAGGCCGCTGCTGATCGTCAATGCGAGAGTAAATGCAGTGATCAGTGCCTGTTGCCTTGTACCCCAGATTCCTGAGTGATGTGTCAATGTGACGATTCCAGATGCGACCGGCCTGCTTGAGACCGTAGATTGAGCGTCGCAGCCGGAGAACCTTATCGCTCGGGAAGTCGAAACCGCGTGGTGTCGTCATCCAGATATCATGATCGAGCTCGCCGTGGAGGTAAGCCTTGTCGATGTCGGCCTGATGAACGTGGTAGCCATTGGCAGCGGCAAGAGCCAGGAGGCAGCGAATGGAGGAGAAACGGGCGACGGGTGCGAAGGTTTCTGAGAAGTCGATGCCGTCGCGCTGTCGGTTACCCTGCGCTACAAGACGTGCCTTCCGCCCCGTGACTTCACCGCTTGCGTTGCGCTTGGTCTTCCAGACGAATTTGGAGGTGACGATGGTGGCGCCCGGCGGTACAGATGAGCGAGGCTCGATGGTGAACACCTTGAAGTCGTCGCGCATGGCGGTGAACTCGGCGGCGGCGGCCTCAGCCCAGATGTTGTGCTCGTCGCTGGACATTGCTTCGCGCCAGGTCTGGGGGTCGCTAGTGATCGATTTGACGGGCTCGATGGCGTCGAGGGTGGGGTCGTCGTCGTCTGTGGCGATGAAGGCGCGGTGGTGTTGGGTGAGGAAATCGATTTCATCCGGCGATTCATCGCGCGAGTGACGCCCAATGATGTCGAGTTCGTCGGGCGACTCCTCAGCCGATGCGGGCTCACGGTACGTGCTGAAGTCTGGGCGGTGCACGTCCGGTGGGCCAAGGCGAGTCGGGGTCTGTGAGCCGATGAGGTCCAGAGGGTCGGCGGAGTAGTCAGAGTCGGTCGGTGAGACCGAGGGTGACGATGACGCTGCCAACGACGGTGACAGCGCAGGCGACGGTGACAAAGGGTTTGTGGGCGACGGTGACGAGGACGGCTCAGGAGACGGTGACGAGGACGATTCGGTATCTGTGGAATTAAGTAAGGTTCCGCCAGTGTACCCTGGGGCCACGTCAACGGCGCTCATGGCAGAATCATCAAGGGAGGATGAGACGTCCATGTGCGCCGACCTTACTAGTGGGGTCCTCGTCTTGACGGCAGGGGCGGGCGTGTCGGCGGGAACGACGAACTGACGGTCGGTGTCGTCTGCATCGACGGGCGTGGTGACTGGCAGGCCGGGGAAGTCGTCGTCGAGGAAGGTGGCATTGCGACCAAGTACAATCTTGTTGATGGAATGGTCAAAGAAACGGAAAGCTTTGGAGGCGAGGTCGTAACCTGTGAAGATCACGCGCGCGGCCTTGGGGTCGAGCTTGCTGCGAAGGTCCGGGGCGACCGTGAGCCAGGCTGTGCAGCCGAACGGGTGGAGGGCGGTGGCGGTGGTGCGTTGGCCGTTCCAAACGGATTCTGGAGTCTGTTTGGCCAAAGCTGAGTGTGAGCACCTGTTTTTGCAATAAACGAAATACGCAGCCGCTTCATCCCAAAAGGTGGCCGGCAGACGGGCGTCCGCAAGGAGAGCGAGCCGGGAGCGCGGCAGGCGGGGCAGGGGGAGCTGGTGGCAAGCATGGCCGAATGCGAGGTCGAGAGTCCTGCCGAACGAAGCTGGATGCGAATGCGGTCCGTAAGCGTCGTGAGTTCGGGAAGGTCGCGTCGGTTTCGCTGCTCGTCCGTGAACGTGAGTCGGAAGCTGTCGAGGCAAGACGGGACCATGGCGAGCACGTGGGTGGCGAGCACGTCGTTGAGCGATGTTTTGGCGTCGCGTATTTCCTGAGCAATCGACATGTACTCGCGTAGCCAAGTGTCGTAGGCCTCGACGGAGGCAGGCATCTTCCTGAAGTCCCAAAGGCGAGCGAACAACTCGAGAGTGCGTGTAGCGTCGTCCGGTGCAAAACGAGCCTTGAGAGCGGCAAAGATGCGCGGTGCCGACAGGTCGTCGCTGGGGATGGCGTCGAGGGTGGCCGATACGTCGGCGGAGTCGATAGAGCCAACGATGATTTCCCGGGCGGCGTCGTCACGTGCGGCAAGCTGGTCGGCGGTCCAGGTCGGGGGAACGACACCGTCGAGAACGTAACCACGAACCTGGTTCGGGAGTGCAAGACGGAGTTGACGCAACCAGTTGGTGAACGACTTGGGGCCGTCCAGACGAGCGTGCTTGGGAAACACGACCTTGGATGCGGTGGCGGCGTTCCCCGGCACGACGGTGACGGCCGGGGGTGCGGCGGCTGCGGCGGCGGCGGGTTGCGAGGCCTGCAGAGCGGCAAGCTGGGCCTGTAGAGTGGCGATTTGTTCGCCGATCGAAGATTCAGGGGAGCTGGGATCCCTGGGGGCCAAAGGCGAGGCGGGAGAGCTGTCCATGATGTGATGGTGCGATGGACGTGTGCGGCTCGAGTGGCTGGGCTCGAGCGAAAAAGCCTCAAGCGGCGGGGCTGGTAGCTCGTGGGCTTATAACCTATTCGATCAACTCTACTACGTCAGCGATGTAGTTATAGCCAAGAGTGATGAATGCATTTCAACATACCTATTCGATCAACTCTACTACGTCAGCGATGTAGTTATAGCCAAGAGTGATGAATAGGAAGCTAACAATAAGAGACCCGCGCGCCCCAAGTCCACAGCCAGCGAGCCTGGGGCTGAGCCAATGGCCCAGGCTCGCTCCGCGCGCCTAAGTCCCAGGCTCGCTTCGCGCGCCTAAGTCCTGGGCCGGGGCGCCCGGCTCACTCCGCGCGCCTAAGTCCGCGCCCGGTTCGCTCCGCGCGCCTAAGTCCTGAGCCGAGCGGAGAGTGGATTCCTCACAGAAGGGCGGTAACCGGGATGCCTCGAGTGGGAAGGTCGATCCTCGAAGGTAGAATCTCCTTCAAGGTCGTGTTGGGGCGTTGGAATAGGGAGTCGTCATCGAAGTGTAGGAAAGCCGAGTAGTCTCCGGCAACGTGGGCGAAGGCCGAGGCGTTGTCCACGCTGATAACGCGCAGAACCTGCACAAGTTGGCATGAATGTCCCTTGCCTGACAGGTCTTGCACAAGTGATTGGAACGATTTGATGATGGCATCCATGGAGGGCACTCCTTGAACACCGACGTTGATTCGAAGCTCGACCATGTTATGGTGGAACCTGTGAGACTTCGCGAAGCGGGCCTTCGCCGATCGCCAAGTGAGAGCGGGGGGCGTCGTGAGCGCCGCGTCACGTGCCTCGCCGGTGACGAACCCAACCGTAACGCGATGGTGAGCCGCCCCATTACGCAGGATTGATGAATGTTGTACGCCTAAGATCTGTGGTTGATAAGCCGCAAGATGGTCCGGCAGAGGAACTCCAGGCTCAAAGCAGATAGGAGAGATGGGCGATAGCAGCCTCGTGACGCAGGCCACGAGATCGATCTTGTCGGCATGAGTCGCTCGCGAGGCGCTCTGGTGAGACAGAGTCACTTCAAGGGCGTAATCGAAGATGTTCTCGACGGACCGGTTCGCGTTCAAGGCCGAAAATTTCAGCGATGTGGCGGTGGCGACGGGGTAGAGTTCGGCGAAGTAGATGGCCTGGACCCAGCGATCCATGCGGTTTCCGGGTACAGCACCCATGGCTTGTAGGAGGCTGCCCAGAGCCTTGGCACGCTGTTGTTGTTGTTTCTGTTGTTCAGGTGTTTGAGTCGCCATCTGACTCGCAGCGGCAGCATAGTTGGGTGCGGCGGTGGCGGGGCCCGTGACTTGCGTCTTCTTCGAGCTTATCGGGATCCGGTCGCGGGGGGGCTGGACGCTGGTGGCGGATACCGGTGGTGGCGGTGCCGGCAGTGGGGACCCAGGGTCTCCGGTAGACATCTTGTCGGTGTATCACTTGTTAACTCGAGTATCGAAGGCTGCAGTAGGGCGATTGCGAAGTGAAGTGAAGTGAAGTGAAGTGAAGTGAAGTGCAGTGAAGTGAAGTGAAGTGAAGTGAGGTGAAGTGAAGTGAAGTGAAGTGAAGTGAAGTGAAGTGAAGTGAGTGAAGTGAAGTGAAGTGAAGTGAAGTGAAGTGAAGTGAAGTGGAGTGAAAAGTGAATTTTTTTTTTTGTAGAAAACGTTCATCATATTGCCCCCAATTCCTGTTCCCCCTGTTTCGGCCTACGGAAAAACTAGATGGAAGACTACGATGATAACACAAACCGCCCGCAAAAGTGCGAGAAACGAGCCAAGTCCACCAATCCGAGATTCGGATTCAAATGCCCTAGCCAAGCGGTTGCTCCCCCCCAGGAGACGAATGAGAGAGAGAAAGAGAGATGAAGAGAAAGAGAAAGAGAAAGAAAAGAAATGTACTAACGACAGAAGGCCCACCCCACAGCCACTTCCCACTCGGTCGAGACGAAGACAAGAGCACGACTGCGCAACCACCACGACCCTCGACGCTCCAAGTCTCTGCTCAGTCACAACAAGACGCGGTGAAGGTCCCTCAAAACCTCCCCCTCGGCAGTCCCTGGCCCCTCAAAGCCGACTTTCTGCCTGTGTCCGCTGATCCCTCCCTTGACTCAGAACCCCGAAGCCGAAGAGCGCGAGCCACACCGAGTCGACGCCAAATCGCGAGATGGTCCATGATCCGCAACGGTGAACCTGTAACAAAAGAAAGAGGAAAGCGAGCTATTTAGTGTACAGTAGGAGAAAATGATGTCACGAGAATTTGGTGTGTGTGTGGTGGTGGGGGAAAGTCGAACCCAGCCTCTACTGCCTTCTCCTCCCCCAAGCTCCTCCCGCCCTCAGCTTCAACCTCTCCTCCAAGATTATCCTCCTCCTCCCAACACCCTCCATCCTCGTCCCCCACTTCTGCATCCCCCACCTCCCGCTGCTGATCATCTCCAAGACCAGCCCGGTGAATATTTCGATCGTCCTCCCCGCTCCTTCTTGATCGCGCAGACTGGCCTTGAGCTTCGGAAGTCCGAACATGCGTTGAACGGCCGTGTAATGCGTGTTGTCGATCGTGTCGAGCCCCAGTGCGTCGCAGAGCACGCCCCTTGCCGCGATCCAAACGTTCCTAGAGTCAACGCAGTCGAAGAAGTAGTGCTCCCGATCGTCCTTGGGCGCTCCACAGACGAGGCACGCGGGCGAGTCGTCGTGCTTTTGATGAAACTGCAGACTCCGAGTCGGGGTGAAGTTCCTGACGAGCTTGAACCACACCTCGCGTTCCCTCGCCGTCAATGCCTTCGAGTTGACCCCCTTCCAGAATCCCTTGAGATCGTCGGGCTGCAGCGAGTCCCTGAAACCGATCGTGTCGGTGAAGGCCTTTGCATTCAAGACTCGGCGGACGCGACGGATGGTGTATGGCCGATCCATGCTGAGCAAGTTGTATTGTGTTGATTGGTCTGGGAGAGCCGGTCTCGGAAGGCGCTGCGGCGGGTCGATCGGATGGGGCAGGATCGACTCGAGCGGCGTGGTGGGGCGGACTCGGGGAGGCCCGTTGATTCGTACTGCCGCCACCGGTTGAGCTATTGGTGTGAACCTCAATCGATTGATCGCATGTCGGTACCATGCCACGATGTGCTCTCGTTGTGGGCGGCCCCGTTGATCGTATTCGCTGTTGCTGACGACCACATCCGTCGGCGGCGTCCAGAGATGAAAGCCCCCGCCCGGGTACAGCTCGCGTCGAAACAGGTCCGCTACCTTGGCGTAAATGGCAAACGCAGCATAGTCGGCGTCGTAGGGTGGTCGCGACACAGCTGGTGCTCCCGGTAGGTAGTGAAGGGTGTGCAACTTGATCGGAAGAGCGAGAAGGTTCGCGAGCGTCAACGTCCTCGGCTTGACTTGCGCATTGTGCATCGATGGTACCTTCAGCACGGCCTGCCATCTTGGGTGTAGATCGGTTCGGATCGGAGTGTAGTCGCAAGGCCACGCATCGGTTGCCAAGTCAAAGTCGGGGGCGGGATGGGCTCGTACAATCGCCGCGCGCGCAAGTCCCTGCCAGATCGCATCCGAACCGCCAAGAAGCACGTCCCAGACGCGTGCCGCAACCGAGTCGACGACGTCCTGCATCCGCATGACCCCAAGACCCCCCTTGAACCTCGGTGTGAAGACGACGTCCTTGCCATAGCACGACCTCCTCTTGCCGCCGCGGACAAAGTCGGCGAGAATGCGATCAAGCTCCTTGACGACCTCGAGCGGTGGGATGTCGGCGGAGAGGATGTGCAGAATCTTGGGAATGGCGTATCGGTTGACGTAGAACGCTCGGGTGTGGTGTGTGAGCCCTCGGTCCCGTGCCGAATCGAGCACCGCTTCGAGCCGTGCGACGAGATTCACGTTGGCGAGTTCGGTGTTGCCGGTGGGGTCGAAAGATAGGCCGATCCACTCGAGCGACTCGCCCTCGGCCTTGACGACGAGCGGACGATCGCCAGCCTCCCAGCGACACCCGATGGGTAGTACGACGGTCTTGTCGGTGTTGAGCCGGCCATTGGTTGCGAGCCTCCAGTCGAGCGCCAGGTCGTCGAGCAAGTTGAGTGACTCCGAGCCCGCGACAGCGACGACGACGTCATCGGCAAACGCAAGGGATGTAATGGCGCGGCTCTGTGGGTAGGGGTGAATGGTAGGAAGCGAGAGGTTCAGCGCGATGCCTCGACGGTGCAGAGCATCCAGGAACGGCTGGAACACGACATCCCAGACCGACGACGACGCCGGGTCCCCTTGGCCGAGCCCACACGTCAGCCGCACCGGCGGAGTCAAGAAGCCGTTGATGATATATCGCACCGTGGTTGAGTCACCCGAGTAGAGCATCCTCAGAACGCGTTGGAAGGCGGCAGGAGCGCCGAGAGCGTCGAAGATGGCGAAGATCCATTCGTGCTCGACGAGGTCGTAAGCCGACGATTGGTCAAGAGACAAGAGCGCCGCGTCAGGGAACTCGGTGCCGCGCGCGCCCAGCTCTTCGATCAAGAGTCGCAGGTGGAATGACGCGTCCGCCGATCGGCGGCCCTTGACGAAGCCGTGCTGTTGCGGTGGGAGCAGGTCCGGCAGCACGTGGTTGAGTCGCGCAACGTAGACCTTGGTGAAGAGCTTGTAGTCGCACTCGCGCAAGGTGATGGGCCGGTACGACGAGAGCTCGGCGCGATCGGCCCTGATCTTGTGGTGCTTGAAGAGCAGGCGAGCGAGTCCTTGCCCCTGCTTCGGTGAAAGCGAGCCGCGCTCGGTCATCGCGTTGAAGGCCCTGCTCAGCGCCTTGGCCCACGCCCGCGGCGCTGTGTGATAGAGCTCGTAGGGCACGCCAGATGGACCCGGCGATCGACCGGGGTGTGTTGTTGCGATTGCGGCTACGACCTCGTCCTCGGTGATGGGTTGCTGCAGCAGCTCGATGTGCGCTTCCGAGAGTCGTCGCAGAAAGAGCGGGTCCGAGCTCGGGTCATCGCAAGTGCGCGCCGACCTGATCGGCGCCAAGAAATCGTCCCTAAGTCGCTCGACGTGGTCCCGATCGCGCGGCTCGAGATCGTAGAGGCGCTGAAAGTGCGCCTGTGTGTGGTCAAGCGCGACGTCAATGTCATGTGTCAGCTCTCCGTTGGGCAATCGCAGTGCTGTGATCTTGGAATCCGAACTCCGTGCCGCGAGCTTGGCGTGGACCGGCCGCGACAGTCGTTCCTCGGTAGCGATTTCGGGTACGTGGGCTCGGATCCGAAGTTGGCGCGCGCGCTCGTTGACCGCTCGCCTAAGTTCCTCCGTCGTCCGCGTCCATTCGGCCGTCTCCTCGTCCCCCATCACCGGCAACGCCTCCAGATCCTGCACCCTTCCCACCAAGACCGCCATCCGCTCCACCCGCTCCCGATGCTCCCTCCTCGCCAGCTCCCGACCCTCCTTCGCGCAGTTCCCCAGCACCACCTCGAGCTCCCCCACCGGTTCCTCCCCACTCGCTCCTTCCAACCATCCTTCCAACATCCCCTGGAACTCCGCCGTCTTGAAGGTCGCCGCGTTGATACGATGTAATTGGTTTGATGTCGTTGGTAAACTATTGTTGGGTTGAGCCGCGTCTCCTCGCTCGTCCGAGAGAACTAGGACGATCGAGACCGGTCGGTGATCCGAAAGGTCCTTGGGGTGGTCGTAGATCGTCGAGGCTTGGACGAGTCGCTTTTGGTGGGTGCGCTGCAGAAGGAAGTAGTCAAGTCGTGAAAAGGACTTTGGTCGCTTGCGGACGATATTGGGTCGAGTGAAAGATGGTGTGAGCGGGTGTTTGAATCGTATGCAGTCGGTGTAGGGCGAGTCGAGCTTGCCGATCAGGATCGGCCAGTGATGGCCGTGCCGACCTTGGTTCCGCCGATCGATCGCCGGCAGCGGGCAGTCGTTGAGATCGCCGCCGAGGAGTCGAAGGTGGGTGCTCTGCGTCCTGTGGAAATGTAGTTTGTCAAAGAATGTGAGTCGTTGTTTTGTATCGACTGGTGCGTAAATGTTGTTGATCTCGAGTATCCGGATGTCGCCTCGAAGTCGAAAGGAGGTGACCAGGATTCGTCCGTCGAGTGCCGAGTGGGTGCGCAAAATCTCGGCGTCGATCAGGGGCGAGTCGGCGGGGATCAGAGTCAGACAGTGTTTGCTGATGAAGACCTTGCCCTCGTACTCGTCCTTGATACATTGCCAGAGTTCCGGTTTGATGAAGTGTTCTTGTAGTAGAATGGCGGATGCTTTGAATGTTGATAAATAGGTGTAAATGTTGCGTCGCTTTTCCGGGATCCCCATGCACCTCCTCACGTTCCAGCTGGTGATGGTGTGCTTGATCATTATTGGATAGACGATGTAGACGTGCTCTTGGCGGTAGTGTCGTCCTCAAAGAGTGGGAATTCGGGGAGAATGTCATCCTCGGGCTCGTGGTCGGACCAGCGCTTCTCCTCCTCCACCCCTTTACCCTTCTCCGCTTTCGCCTTGGCCCCCTCGACCTGCATCGCCGCCGCCGCCGACATCGACCTCGTCACCCTCTTCCCCTGACCCGCTACCTCCTTTCCTGCTCGACCTTTGACCCTGTTCAGAACGCGCTTGATATCGACCGGGTCATCGCTCGGATCGCTGAGATCGGCCACCGTTTGCGACCTCTTCATCTTCTTGTTCGACCCGGAGCCGGTGCCACGAATGTTGATGAATCGCAGTTGTCCATCTTCCTGACCCCACTCTGCAAATTGGTGGCGAACGAGCGGTTCCTCCGCGTCGAGTTGGGCGTTGATGATCGCCTCCTTTTCTGCTTGGACACGTGCAGCAGCTTCGGCGTTAGCTCGGTCCCACTCCGCACCCTCGCGCAGCGACTTTGCCAACGTCTCAGGAGATAGTGGAGGCCACGAGGGACTCCGAGGAGTCGACTCGCGGGAAACCGTGGTGATCGTCGTTTGGTCGTCGTCGATGATCATGATGCTGTCGTCCTGTACCCCCTGTTCCTGCTCGACCTCTTCTTCCACCTCCGTCTCCGTCCCTTCGTCCTCCTCCTCTGCTCCATCTTTCATCACGTCATCCCCATCGTTTCCTTCGTCCTCCCTTTGTTCGCTTCCCTCCGAGCTGTCGTCCTGTTCGTCCTTGTCGTCGTCCTTGTCGTCGCCTCCCGCCTTGTCGATGCCCGCTCCGGCGTTCCCATCCGAGTCCGAATCCTCGTCGTCCGCCTTGGCGCCCGTATCCTCGTCTCCTTCTTCGACATGCTCCTTTTCCTCGCCCTCCTTTCCTGCATCCTCCTCCTCGACGTCATCCTCCTGTCCTCCTTCGACCTCGAGCCCCGCAAATCGGTTCCGCGATTCGAGTTGGTCGGTTCCGAGGGCGCGGCTAGGGGCCACAACCTCGGAAGCGTCGTTGTCGGTGTTGTTGGTGTTGGTGGTGTCGTTGTTGTTGTTGTTGGTGTTGGTTGGGTTGTTGTGGTACTTGTTGTGCCTTCCGGTGTTGTTGTTCGCTTCCTTCTGCCTCCTCTCCTGTTCCAGCGCGCAGGTCTCCACATGCCCCACAAAGTGGCACCGAGCACAGGCCGCTTCTCGTTCGTAGTCGTGACGAACCGCCGTATGCATGTTGCCTCTAGTGGCTAGAGAGACCTTCGACGGTAGGAGCTCCTTCAGCGTGTTGTTAGGGGCTTTGAAAAGGGCGTCGTCGTCGAAGCGGATAAAGGCCGAAAACTCGCCGGCCAAGTGCGCATAGGCCGAGTCGTTATCGACGTGGATCACGCGCAAGACTTGTACCAGCTCGCAACGGTGTCCCTTGGCTGTGATTTTGGTGACAATTGATTTAAAAGAGTCAACAATGGCATCCCTGGATGGGACCGCTGCGACACCGACGTTGATACGCAGCTCGACCATGTTGTGGTAGAAGTGGTGGGCCTTTGCGAAGTGAGCCTTTGCAGAGTGCCAAGTAAGCGCCAGTGGGGCCGTAAGCGCCGAGTCACGTGCCTTCGCCGAAACGAATCCCACGGAGATACGGTGGTTGACCACACCGGCCCTGACGAAAGACGAGTGTTGGATACCCCTAATCTGGGGCGCAAACGCCGCAAGGTGCTCGGGAAGGGTGACCTCGGCGTCGAAGCACAGGGGCGATTGCGGGGAGAGCAGTCTCGTGACGCAACCGAGCAGATCGGCCTTGTCCGCGGGATATGAAGGAACAATATACCACTGCACCAAAAGGCGAGGCACCTCTACTTCAGTGAGCGCATATTGTCCTAGAAGTGAGATGGAGCAAAGTTCAACACCCCCCTGTGCGCGAAGCTGAAGAGCTTGTGGCAGTGGGTGCGGCTGTGAGGCAACTGGGCATGTTGATCAGGTCGCTTGGGCAAGTGCAGCTTGGGCACTGTGAGCACTGTCGATGCGCCAGGGTGCTTGGCACGCCGCTGGGCAAGTGCGGGGGCCGGGACGCTGAGTGTATGCGCGCAAAATTGCCTGACCCCAGGGGGGATTGAACTCATGACCTGCTGGTTGCTCTGGGCTCATAACCTATGAAGGAACAATATACCACTGCACCAAAAGGCGAGGCACCTCTACTTCAGTGAGCGCATATTGTCCTAGAAGTGAGATGGAGCAAAGTTCAACACGGGAGAGGCCTTCGAGGCGCCTTGGACGGTCAAAGTGACGTCGAGAGCAAAGTCGAAGATGTTTCGAATGGATCGATTGGCGTTGAGAGCCGAATACTTGAGCGATGTAGCGGTAGCGACAGGGTACTCGTCGGTGGCGAAGGTGGCTTGCAACCACCGGTCGGTGCGATTGCCCGGTACAGCACCCATGACTTCGAACATTTGGGTCAAAGCCTTGGCACGGTGTTGTTGTTGGGTCTGCTGCTCGGGAGTCTGCTTGGTCTTTTGAATCGCGGCGGTGGCGTAGGTCGCGGCGGCGATAGGGACTTGCGTCTCCTTTGTCCCAATCGGGACGCTCGTCGCCGCGGACGCCGATGGTGGGGGTGGGCCGGTCTCGCCGGTCTCCATGCTAATGTAGGCTGATGTATCACTTGTAGCTTCGAAGGTGGTGGGTGGCGCGATTTCGAAAGTGAAAGTGAAAGTGAAAGTGAAAGTGGAAGTGAAAGTGAAAGTGAAAGTGAAAGTGAACCGATCCAAACTAAAGGATTGCAATATATTGGTCCTAATTGAGCTGCCTAGAAATGAGGGTGACCGAGTAGTTTAGAGGTTTAGAATCTTCGTTTCCCATCACCGATTACGAAGGACTCGGGTTCGACTCCCGATTCGGTCGTGTTTTTTTTTTTCTGCAAATATATATATATATATATTTTAATGAATACGTACATTGTTGATTCATTACAACCTGCTAGCCTTTCATATTAGGTCTACACTTTTATATGCATCCATACATAATGCCGCGAGTAAATGGTGCAATTACAAATTACACGCGCGCGCGTTTACCTCCGAAGCTTGACCCATCTACCCCGGTAGTAAGGTGCAAAGTTCACCTACAAATGGTGCATTCTTCGCGCAAGTTGGTGCGTTTGCTCCCAAAAAAATGTGCGTTTATCAATTAAGGATGGTGCATCTACCACGTAGCTGGGCAATCTGCTGTATCTCGTGTAGTATGCCATGTTTCACACTGAAACTTGACGAGCTCCCTTACAAGATCATCAAGTACGCCCCCCCTTGGTAAGAAGCACTCTCATCGGGAGCTCATGTAGTTGAAAATTGTGCCCGTACTCCCTCCAAGTGTAAGGCGCCGCTCCGCTTACGCCTCACAACGACCTCGAGCCAACCGGCCTCACGCTTGCCCTCGCGCGCGGCGCCGCCGCGTCTCTTGACCTTAGTCCTTTTAGTAGTCTTTCTTCGCCTGTGAATTACACTGTTTGATCCTTTCAGTTTGGACTCGGAATCAGTGAGGCTCGAGAGCGATCTTGTGCCTTTCACCGAGTCCCCCGGGCTCGGCGAAGACCCCCACTGCAGGCATCGAAATATTCACTCTTCCTTTTACTGGGTACTACAATGGGTCAAGTGATCCGAGCATGCATGCCACTGCCCATGCAAAGTAGCTCTGCATCCACTGCACAGCTGCGCATTGCCGCATGCGACCTTGGCCAATTTGTCGGGGTGCAGTGCATGCAGTGACGTGGACTCACTGCAATGATTTGTCACGTGACTCACGTCTCCGGGTCACTCCATCCGACTCAACCTCCTTGCCGCAATTTGGATGCTATGCTATCCAACAGGTTAGGTTGTCTGGCTCTGACCGCTTCATCTGAGGATTGATGCAATTCACCCAAATTGAGCCTTGAGCATCGTGATATCGCCCGCGGGTTTGGATACGGACCAGTGGTCATTCGCAGCCTGCCTGACGTGTCGCGTCGCGCCAATCGACGACTTCTACTTCTGACTCATGCTCACCGCGCCACACCAGTTCCTACCATCCGTTGCTCTCGACCAATACTCGCCTTGGTTGCAATGATCGTGTCGCATACGTCATGTCCAGTCAGCAGAAGAGTGCATCCCTCCAGAACAAGGGTGGCCGGCCCCGCATTAGGACCCGACCAATCAACGTGACCCACCTGCACGTGGCGCCTCCGTGACGTCCTCGACCAGCGTCTACCCAGAAGAAAGACTTGTGTCAGCCGTCACCTGATCTCATTGGCCAATCTCCCTCAGTGACGCACTCCAATCAAACCTCAATGACTCCTGAGAGCTGCTCCGACGATGTTGACTCGAACACCGACTCAGACCCCGCCATTGACGACTCTGAAGCCAGCTCCTCCAATGGCGGCAAAGAAGCCATGGATTGACTGCGCCAAGTCGTCAACCTCCTCAAAAATTGTGCACCCAACCATCTACAGCTGGAGTATGACACAATGCAAGCTAAACATCAAGCGATCATGTCGTCAAACTGTCTCTGGTCGGCGGAAGAGAAAGCCGAATACGGCAATGGCCACTGATTCTTGGCAACTGAAAGAAAGCAGACGAATGTAAGCTCAAGGACACCAGACAAATTATCGAGCTTCCTTTGTACATAGACACCGAAGTATGTCAGTGGTGGTTCCAGGCATAAGCAGTCATTGGTGGCTAGTCGAAGTTGCCGAGTGGAAAGCAGAATTGACAACATTCTTCCTCAACAATCCCCCTCGTATCCTTCATTGAACCAACCGGAACGAGAGCATGAATGGACAGCGTGCAAATAGGAACGTTGTGTCGCCATAGTATAAATTCGTCACGGTGCTCCATTGATCTCTTTCTTTCAGCATCCGGCGGATCACCTGACAATGATTGAATGGCACCCGCTGATCGGCCACAATTTGCAATCCACTTGGAAGGAATCACGCAAAGAAGTGCTTCGCATATTGCACCAGTGCTCGAGCGCTTGCATGCGCTACACTTGAGACGATAGGAAAATATACTACAATGCGCGGCCGAAGGACAAAGATATCGAGCGTGAATGCTCTTCACACTTGAAGGTGAGTTGACCAAAACCTCAGACTCAGAGATTCTTCGTTTGCTGTCTTTGGGTTCGTGGCTTTTGCGCATGCGCTGACAACCATTTCGTTCCCGCACTCTGCTTTGTAAGATTATGATTCCAGCCAGCAATGTCTCGGTCACCTTGATCTACAGACTTGGCGACCATGAGGGCCGGGTGACTCTAGAATCGGTCAGGAAACCGGCCACGGTTATGTGGACTATCGCTCGTCAGATAGTGCTTCGTTGTGGCAGCACCTGTAGCACTGCGTTCCAAGGTGAATCACAATCATCATGATGTGTCCAAGAGAAAGCTGTACTTGTTTTCTGATTGCATTGCTGACTCGGGTTCATTCACAATTTACGCGAGAAGGTGTTGTCCGACTATTGCAAGAAGTGGGAGAAGATCCACCGGGTCACTCGCCATCCTAACCGGGCCATTTGGGCCAAGCAAATCAAAAGACGCGCGTACGTGTTGGATGTTGTTATACATACTCGCTTGCGGTGTGACATGGAGTCAGAAGCAAACTCTGAGCCCTCCCCCTCCCCTCGGTTTGACGGAGGGGACTGAAGCTCCTCATCCAGCTCCTCCTCCGCTTTGCAGTCAGTCATTCTACTGTTGATCTCAATGACAGTTCAAATTTGCTTTATATTGAGGCTGACACTCATGTGTATGCAGAATCTGTCCCACTCGCGCTCAGGGAGAGTTTGCTGGAGCTCGAAGTAAAACCCCTGGGATCGTCCAAGGTTGAAATTTTCGTGCCTACCCCCATCCTAATTGATCCTTCCATCGGCACAATGGACACCACTCATTCCAATTTCGATCCTCAACGTACCACTCCGTTGGTTTCGCGAAACCCGCAAAACTCCCCAGCACCGTCAAGCGCAACAATTGGTCTGATGCCAGCTACGCCACGAATGAGACTCCAAAGGGTCGTAAAAGGTCGACTGTCAGGATCATAGCCTGTACTGCCATCAATACTCGAAGGATTTTTTTTATTTTACTGGGGCTCATAAATTGCAATCCTTCGGGTTGGCTGGGACCGCTACAAAAAGAGCTAAAAGAGGTTATAAAGCAACGACGGCAAGCAATTGGGTGAAAGTCAAACCCCTGCGCGCAAAGAGCGCTGCGCAGATCAAAACCCGCCGAGCACCTAACGCGGACTCCAACGGGCGGTGAGTACTGCTGCCGCTTCACGTCCCAAGAGCGGGAGCGAAGATACTCGAAAACCAGGCAAGAGCGCCTAGAGAAAGAAAAGGGGAGAATAAACAAAAATTCACGACTGGAAACACGGAGAACCAGGAATACTAAGACAGAGAGGAGGGGAGGAGGAGGGGAACACACCCGAGGGGCCAAGGGAGGGGGTCGAAGCCAGAGCTAGAGGTCCCCAGGGACTGACAGGCCGCAGCCAAGCCCCAGCTACTCGTCACCCCGACAGCGCCTGATGTCCTCCCTTGGCTGAGTCTCGAGTGCTGGCTGTTGAGCCGTCAGGGCCGAGCGAAAACGATCCAATACAACGAAACGAGCCTCGCCTTGACGCGAGGATATTGACCAAAAAAACGAGCGACCTTTCTTCCCGATCCATGCCGTAGATCTTGACCAACGCGAACGAACGATGTATTCGACGGAATCCAACACACGGCTTAGGAATAAAAGGAGAAGTGGCTGAAGCGTAGTCAACAACCGAGCAACAGGAACGAGATGAGGAAGAGAAGGGAGAAAGGGGGGGAAAGAGAGGGGAGAACTTCACAAAGCCTCCAACGCAACGACGATCGACCCGGCTTGCCGATCCATCCAAGAACGAAAACCGCTACTGCACAAAGTAGAGAGAGGGAGAGGTGCGCAGCCTTCCACTGCGCAACAAGTTTCAAGACAGTCAGCTTCTGACCGGAAAGGAAGGGAGGAAAATGGGAAGGAAGGACTTAACTCGGTCATCACACCTCCCAATCTCGAACCCCAGGCACAAAACCCGCTCGAGAGAGAAAATCTCGCTCGAACGCTCTGAGCGCACTGGGAAGCGAGGGAGGGGCCACGACGTTGTCCAGCTCGAACCGCTGATGAACGCGCCAGCGGAGCAGGTGCAGCCGCTGGAAACCGATCGCGCAGGCCAGCCGAACCCACATCCATTTCGAGGTCGTTCTCCCACGACCCCGCAAAAGGGGGAGCCCCATAGTCAGCTGCTCCGGAGTGAACGTCGACGGATCGACGTCGGTATCCTCGATGCCGAGCTTGTCAAGCAGAATGCGTAGCACCCCACCCCAGAAGCTGGTCGAGTACGCGCACTCGAAAAAGTAGTGGGACACCGTCTCGATGACCGCTGCATCGTTGCCACAGAACAGACACGTCGGCGAAGAGGCATGACCCTGAGTATGCTGCCTCTTGCGCGTCGGCGTCACGTCGTACATGAGCCGCCAGTGGGTGTCCTGCTCGACAGCAGACGCGAACCGGTCACGAAGCCATCTCCAGAAAGCAACAGTCTCCCAAGTTTGCCGCCGGAGTCGACATCAGCTACCGGTTCGTTCGTTGCAAGCATCATGGGCGCGATGGCGTAGTCGTGAGGGCGCGCGGGCGCGCACTCAGTGGTCGAGGGTTCGATCCGCCCGGAGCGCGATCGGCCTTTTGGTTTCTTTTCCCTTTTGTTATCCGAGGCCCGGCTTCGGGGTTTTTACCGGTGCCTTGCAGGCAATCCTTTTTACCCCTGAAGCGACCTCGTGGTGTAGTTATTTGACTCAGTCTTTCCTTCGCTCGGAGCACTTCCCTCCCTTCCCCCAGAGCTTGGTCCACTCATTATCATGACTCGTACCCTCCCTCTTTTTACCCATTTCGCTGGCAATTAAGTCCGTTACACTTGATTTGCTGTGAAGCCTTCCGACCGAATCCACTCCTCGGTCGCTCTCGGTCGACTGCCGCCGCCCAGCCGACTCGACCTTCCCATCGGCCTGGTCAGCTATTTCTTGGATTGTTTGCCCTCCCTCTTCTTTCCGACCTCGTTGGCTACCATAGTCCGGTACACTGGACTTGCTGCGAGCCTTGCAACCGCGTATCCTCCGCGGTTGCCTCTCGGTCAACACCCCTTTCGCTCCTTCGCGCTCTCGCGCGCTCTCTCGCTCTCTCCCTCGTCTCTCGCGTGTGGGCATCGTCATCCCCTCCGACGTTGCCTGTCAGTTCCCATCCGCCAATCTCGGCATGCTGGAGTTGAGAGCGCCCCTGCAATGTAGCGTACACGATGACAGTAAATGCACCTTTTTTCGGGAGCAAATGCACCATTTGTAGGTGAACTTTGCACCTTACTACCGGGGTAGATGGGTCAAGCTTCGGAGGTAAATGCGCGCGCGTACTTGGTAATTGCACCATTTGCTCATGGCATTAACCCATTTTCCCCATCTTGATTTAGTCCGGTGATTGCCCTGTAATTGTTTGTCACAAATGGGAGTTCACCACTCCAAGTTTGGCCTCTCAGCACCTATGTAATCCGCATGACTTCGGCCTTCCCGCGCCTCAGACCTCCTTATCAATTTGGGACCGGGGGGTCGCTGGAGAATCATGAGGCGGCACGGACCGGATCGTTTTGGGAAGTTGTGGGGCAGGACAACGTAGCAAAGTGCCCCCCGATCGAGAAGTCGCGAGGCGGTGAGGACGCGGCCTGGAGGGGCAGCCGCGGCGCAGCCAAGCGATCTGTTCTCTAGAGAATCTCAGCAGTCTGAATGATGAGATGAAACGATAATGTGATTGCAACGGATCTGTTCTCTAGTGAATCTCAGCAGTCTGAATGATGAGGTGAAACGATAGAGAAGACGGAGAGAGGCAGGCCATCAGGGCATTGAGAGGTGTCATGTTGGACGACAGCACGAAGGGAAACTTATCCACAAGGTCAAGTGTTGATGAGCGAGGCAATCCGCAGCGACAAGATCCAGGTTGCAAACGACGGGCGCCATGCATGGGCGATGCTGCTGATGGCCAATGAATCGTGAGAGCGGCGGCGGCGAACTGGAGGTAGCTGGCAAGGGTCTGCATTAGATCAGATCTGACGGGGGTCAGATCAAATTTAGATCAATCAAGCCTCGATAAAAAAAAATCCAAAAGTAGGCGGTACCTATAGATGGTGCCAATGTGATTTGAAATGCCAACTGTGGCGCACCTGATCACTGCATGAGAGAGAAAGGAGCGCGCCATCTGCCATCTGGCATCGCCGCCGCATTGGGTGTTGGCCCCGCGCCACAGAAATATTACAGGGTGTGGTCCTCCTCTGTTGGGCCTTCGTTGCAGTGTCAGGTGCTGACTCATTGCAGACAATTTCTCATAGGGATCATGCGACCCAATCCAGTCATAGAAGCGGGGAGCTCCTCCAAAAAACGGCGGCTTAGCAAGGTGATCACTTTGGAGGATGATGAGGATGAGGTTGTGGAGGAAGAACATGAGGATTTCAACATGTAGACATGTAGAAGTCTTTATGTGCCAAATTAGGCAATTTCATGTGTCAGATCAGATCAATCAAGGCAGAATCAGAAAAATCCAGATCAGATCTGATCTGATCTAATGTGGATCCTGGGTAGCTGGGCGGAGGCATTGACTCGGCAAGGCTGGAGAGTGCGGGCTGACTAAGTCCGCGCACGAGGGAGGCGGCGCGCGAGCGTGAGTTGAACAGGCTGGTGCGGGGGCGGCAAACAGGCGGCGGCTTGGCTGCGAAGGCGAAGCGGCCGAGACGAAAACGGGCGGTGGTGTGCAGGCTCAGCAGGCAACGGCCGGACGGATGGACCATGACAGGCAACGTCGGAGGGGATGACGATGCCTACACGCGAGAGACGAGGGAGAGAGCGAGAGAGCGCGCGAGAGCACGAAGGAGCGAAAGGGGTGTCGACCGAGAGGCAACCGCGGAGGATACGCGGTTGCAAGGCTCGCAGCAAGTCCAGTGTACCGGACTATGGTAGCCAACGAGGTCGGAAAGAAGAGGGAGGGCAAACAATCCAAGAAATAGCTGACCAGGCCGATGGGAAGGTCGAGTCGGCTGGGCGGCGGCAGTCGACCGAGAGCGACCGAGGAGTGGATTCGGTCGGAAGGCTTCACAGCAAATCAAGTGTAACGGACTTAATTGCCAGCGAAATGGGTAAAAAGAGGGAGGGTACGAGTCATGATAATGAGTGGACCAAGCTCTGAGGGAAAGGTGGCAAAAGCAAAGGGAGGGAAGTGCTCCGAGCGAAGGAAAGACTGAGGCAAATAACTACACCACGAGGTCGCTTCAGGGGTAAAAAGGATTGCCTGCAAGGCACCGGTAGAAACCCTGAAGCCGGGCCTCGGTTAACAAAAGGGAAAAGAAACCAAAAGGCAGATCGCGCTCCGGGTGGATCGAACCCTCGACCACTGAGTGCGCGCTCGCGCGCCCTCACAACTACGCCATCGCGCCCACGATGCTTGCAACGAACGAACCGGTAGCTGATGTCGACTCCGGCCGCAAACTTGGGAGACTTGGCTTCACACACACACACACACACACACACAACACACACACACACAAGTGAGTTTCTGTGGTGTAGAGTGAGTAGTTGACCTCCAAGCCCGTTAAGCTTTACAGGTCAACACAAACACGCGATGCCGGATCCGCCCGGCGCCGATGCGCCCCCGCCCGAGGACCTATTGGGTGGTAATGGCGCGAGTGATTCATCACTCAACACGCAAACGCGTGAAGCGGTCACTGGAGGAACCGCGAATCCTCCAGCTTGGTCGCCCGAGGCAACTCAGGTCCGGTTGGACCATGAGAAGCTGATGAAGAAGACCTTCCAAGTGCTCGGGATTGTTCCCTCCAGCAAGTCGACCCGCCGACTGATGGTCCTGATGCACGACGCCTCGACCCCGCCTTCGCAGGCGCCAGCGCTCGCACGAGCCGCCCAAAGAGCGGTGCGAAACGACGCAGCCCCGGCCTCCAATGTGATTCGAGTCATTATGGATGGTCCTGGATCACCCAGAGGTCCTGTACAGACCGCGCTGCGCAAGCACTTTGGATTGGCCGAGACACCGTTCATGTTCGCGCGGCCCGAGGGCGTCGTGCTTGACCCCGAGGTCGAGAAGCTTTTCTCGAAATGCGTGAAGCTGAACCCGATTGTGACGAAAGCCACGAAGAGGTTCCCGATCGCTCGTCACATATACGAGCTTGTATTCGAATCCGAGCAAGCTTGTCTTGAAGCCGCTTCAGTGGGCCCATTCCCCTACCACGGCAAGGAGATGGTTACCGAGCTCCCCAGCGCCTCTCCCCTTAACCACGTCGTGCAGGTGCGATTCACCTTGCCCTCCTCCTCCAGCGCGATCCCCGCTTCCGTGCTCCGAAAATCTCTCGATGATGCTATCACCCTTTCGTTTGGCCGCGCAGGTCGCACGCAAGGTTATACCCTGATGCAATTACAGCGGGGCCTCGCGGTCGATCCGAATGGCGATCCGATGGCCATGACCGAAGACGGGTTCCACTGCGCGTACCTTCGCTTACATGCTGATCTTTTCCAAGGCTCCATCGAGACGCAGAAGGCTGCGCTCAACGCCGCTTTGCCACAAGAGATCGAGATCCTGGGCGCCAAGTACGGCTTGCGACACAAATTCGAGACGCACTACTGCGCGGTGTGCGATCGCGCCGGACACCAGTGGGGCGCTTGCAGGAAGCCGGTTTCGACTCTGGCCACCGCCGCCCCTGTTCCGGGGGCCTCGACCTCGACTTCGACTTCGACCACCGGCTTCCGAGTTGCTGGAAAGAATGGGAAGCACGGTGGGCCTGCCGCATTGAACTCTCGTGTCTCTGGCGCGAACATGATCCAGCTGGGACCTCGTGCTAACCCCGCAGGTGCAGTAACCGCCAACAAGGACGACGCGAACGACGGCGACGACGAGTCGATCGTTTCGACCGAACCGGAGGGCGGCGACACTGGGGAAGAGACGTCGACGCGTGCGACCCTGGGCTCAACAAAGGAGACGCAGACGACGACGGCGGCGCCCGTTTCGACCCCGACCTCTCCTTCGCCTTTGTCCGGTGGCACGTCGGGATCATCGGCAACCTCGACAACCTCGATAGCCTCGACGAGTCCTCGACACCTTCGTTCGAGCTCGGCACCCGGCAACCGACGTGTCACCCGGGCGGGATCCGCCATGATCCTCGGTGCATCAGGGGGTGATGGCTCAGGGGGTCACAGGTCCGAGGTGACCGAATTCGAGGGGGGCGGCGCTGAACTGATTTAATCATGATTGAGTCACTCACCGTGTTGACGTTCAACGTCCGATCGATGAAGAACGCAGTCAACCAAGTCAAAATCATCCGTTATCTCAAAACCCTTCGGCCGGCCCCTGCGGCCATCCTCCTGCAAGAGCACCACCTCAGCTACAACGCGTCGCGCGAAGGCTTCGAGAGTGCTTGGCCGGGGGCTTGTATTTGTTTCACTCCTCATGTCCTTACCCTCATACCCGATGGCTCACCTTTGGCGGGCCATCTCCTTTCCTCTACCCCGGTCGTCTTTGCAGGAGCTCCTCGTTTCGACGGTCGGATTCTGCGCTCGGTGTTTCGTCTTGAGGAGCTCGATGTCGAGATCATCAACATGTACGCGCCGGTGCAGGAGGACGATCGTCGCGACATTTTCGGGCTTCTGCACTTCAACGCCCCGAGACCCAAGATTCTTCGGATCTTGGCCGGCGATCTCAATGATTGTCCGGATGTATCGGTCGACCGAGTGTCCATCACCGATCGCGCTTGGACTCCTGTATCGCACTGGCAGACCTTGCTGTCAAAGATCGCGTTCAAGGCACTCGACACGGTCCGACATGTCCATCCTTGCACCCCTGCATTCACTCGTCCTCACTACCGTGGTAGAGGGGAAGAGCGAAAGATTTGCTCGTGGTCGCGGATCGACTATATTCTTGTCCAATGCAGTTGGGCGAACCGGTTGTTGAGCGCTTCTACGCTCTTCGATGCGCCCTGTTCGGACCACAGACCTGTAGTTGCGACTTTCGCTTTGCCTACATCGAACGCTGATGCCGAACCCCCCCTTTCTCTTCCCTCCACGAGCGATTTCATTTCGAGGCTCAACCCAATGGTCTTTGACGATCAAGACTTTGTCGCATCGATTCCCGGGGTCGTCAACGAGGTCTATCGAAGGCTCGAGGGGACCGCTCCGCTCGGCGACGTCTATGACGCCGCTCTGCGGGCGGTTGCAGTCGCTGGCCATGCACGATACCGCTCGACTCGTGCCGACATGCGCCGACTGCGGGCCGAGAGCCAATCCGTCATGGAGGCTTTGGAGGCACGCGGTGAGCACATGAATGAGGCCGAGCGCGATGCGTATGCTCTTGCCAAGTCGCGGTTGGACCAGTTGGCGGTAAAGGAGGCTCAGTGGCTGCGCATTCGTGCGCATGTGCCGTCAGTCGACTCGAGGGAAGGTCAATCGGCAAGCATTCGCACGCGCCTCAACCGCCGGAGTCGCCAGACGAGCATCGTCTCGCTGGAGGATGTGGATGGCACCGAGACCGTTGACATGCAGGAGGTGCTGGGTATTGCTTCACGGCACGCGCAGTCGCTCTTCACGCCGGACCCAGCTCGTGGCGACCCGACGAACGCACACCGGTCCCTGCTCGACCCTATTCGCGCAGCGAAATGCTACGATGACGACCGCTCGGACCCTACGTTCGGTCGTCGGCTGCCTCGTCAAGCGAGAGTGGCGCTTGACGAGCCCTTCACCCTCCTCGAGGTTGAAGCGGCGTTGAAGAAGACGGATTCGGGGCGATCACCGGGGCCCTCGGGCATTCCGTACGAGCTCTTCAAGGTGCTGCCAACCTACTTTGCTCCCAAGCTGTTGGACTTGTTCAACTCGATTTGGGAGGGCGGCAAAATGACGGCGTCCTTGCCAGAGGGGCTGGTGCGGCTCTTGTCCAAGAATAAACCGGGGGCCAATTTGAAATCACTGGGGGCATACCGACCGATCACATTGCGCGAGACGACCTACAAGGTCCTCAGCAAGGTCTTGGTGGCGCGACTCAATGGGGTGCTCGGCGAGCTTTTGCCGCCGGCGCAACACAGTTTCATGCCATCAAGACGTTCAGCGGACGCGGGAAGTCATCTCACTCTCCTTCTCGAAAAACTCAAGTCGCTAGGCACTGATGTTTTCCCCGAGGGCGCCCTCTTGTCTTTGGATCAGCAGAGCGCGTACGATCAGGTCGATCACGCCTGGATCTTCGAGGTCTTTGAGGCCTTTGGGTTCGGTGAGCGTTTCATCTCGCTGCTGCGCGCTCTCTACGATCCCGAGACTCTGGGGGTGCACTACCTTGTCAATGGGTTCCCCACGGACTTGGTGCGGTTGCTGTGTGGTCTCGGTCAGGGGGATCCCCTCTCGTGCCCGGTTTGGAACATCACATTCCAGCCCTTCCTCGACGCCCTCGTTCGGCGCGGGATCGCGCTCGACCTGCAGACGGTGTGGCCAGGGGGGCCGCGTGCGCAGCTTACGCATCTGGCGTTTGCCGACGATGCTGTAGTGGTGGTGGAATCACCGGCGGCATTGTCGAAGCTGCAAACGTGGTACGAGGCTACCAACGGGAAGACCAACATGGACAAGACGCTGGTGCTACCACTCGGACCGAACTGGCTTCGGGACGAGACTGCGCAGGCGCTGCCAACGGTGCAGGAGGGGGAGAGCTTCAAGTGGTGCGGCTATGCCTTCTTTCGCCACGGTGACTCGAAACTGTTTTGGACCCATGTTCTTGACAGGATCAAGGCCAAGACCCGCGCCGCTCGAGACCGGACACTTTCGCCGAGTGGGAAGGTTTTCTATGCCAACGCTCACATCATCTCGACGGTCCTACACGTGCTGTCCTTCGACATACCGCCTCAATGGTTCATTAAGGCGGCGGAGACGGTACTTACGGACTTTGTCTGGGGAGGAACAGGGTGAAATACCGTCGCTCACGATTTCGTGTACCAGGCTCGGGAGGACGGTGGCTTGGGTTTGATTTCGATTGGCGACATCGTTCATTTGGTGGCGCTTCGATTTTGGGATGCTGTGGCGGGCTCGGACGAGGCGATCTGGGTGCCCCTAGCTCGCGAGAGCTGGAGGTCCCTCGTCGCTGCAACCCGCGATTTCAGTCCGTGGGGGTTCTTCAGCAGCACGGCTCGGGTCGAGAAGCTGTATCGCGACTCGACGCGCTGGGGGGCAGTCGTTGCAGCGGCCAGGGTCACAGTTCCAACCATCAAGTCCGAACTCCTTACGCTTCCCGAATTGCTCTCGCTTCCGCCTCGCCTCCCTTCACTCTATGCTGAAGGTGCCCAGCACGCATATGACGATGCGGACGCGGTGGCGAAGTTTGCGCAGATCGCGGACCTGTACTGGAGGGACAAAGGGAAGGGATGGGCTCTGGTTGGTCATCGACGCGGGTTCTGGCAGCACTCTAAGGAACCCGCCCTACAGCACGAGCACGTGTGGTCGCGCGTGGGTCAGTTGCTCAAGGCGAAAGCGTTGCTGCCCAAGACCGCGTTGCGACCTGCTCGGATACCTCTCAAGGAGGCTCCCCGTCCTCGGTGCTTCAACTTCTTTGGGCTCTCCCGACCTTTTACGATTCGCAAGCTTCGTCGGCTTGTGAACAAGGTGCGGTTCCCAGGGAGGGAGGACCGTGTCAAGCGTTTCCCTGATGGGACTCCTCAGAGCGATAGGAAGCACTTCTGGAGATGGCTTCATGACCGGTTCGCGTCTGCTGTCGAGCAGGACACCCACTGGCGGCTCATGTACGACGTGACGCCGACGCGCAAGAGGCAGCATACTCAGGGTCATGCCTCTTCGCCGACGTGTCTGTTCTGTGGCAACGATGCAGCGGTCATCGAGACAGTGTCCCACTACTTTTTCGAGTGCGCGTACTCGACCAGCTTCTGGGGTGGGGTGCTACGCATTCTGCTTGACAAGCTCGGCATCGAGGATACCGACGTCGATCCGTCGACGTTCACTCCGGAGCAGCTGACTATGGGGCTCCCCCTTTTGCGGGGTCGTGGGAGAACGACCTCGAAATGGATGTGGGTTCGGCTGGCCTGCGCGATCGGCTTCCAGCGGCTGCACCTGCTCCGCTGGCGCGTTCATCAGCGGTTCAAGCTGGACAACGTCGTGGCCCCTCCCTCGCTTCCCAGTGCGCTCAGAGCGTTCGAGCGAGATTTTCTCTCTCGAGCGGGTTTTGTGCCTGGGGTTCGAGATTGGGAGGTGTGATGACCGAGTTAAGTCCTTCCTTCCCATTTTCCTCCCTTCCTTTTCGGTCAGAAGCTGACTGTCTTGAAACTTGTTGCGCAGTGGAAGGCTGCGCACCTCTCCCTCTCTCTACTTTGTGCAGTAGCGGTTTTTGTTCTTGGATGGATCGGCAAGCCGGGTCGATCGTCGTTGCGTTGGAGGCTTTGTGAAGTTCTCCCCTCTCTTTCCCCTTTCTCCCTTCCCTTCCTCTTCTCGTTCCTGTTGCTCGGTTGTTGACTACGCTTCAGCCACTTCTCCTTTTATTCCTAAGCCGTGTGTTGGATTCCGTCGAATGGATCGTTCGTTCGCGTTGGTCAAGATCTACGGCATGGATCGGGAAGAAAGGTCACTCGTTTTTTTGGTCAATATCCTCGCGTCAAGGCAAGGCTTGTTTCGTTGTATTGGATCGTTTTCGCTCGGCCCCGACGGCTCAACAGCCAGCACTCGAGACTCAGCCAAGGGAGGACATCAGGCGCTGTCGGGGTGACGAGTAGCTGGGGCTTGGCTGCGGCCTGTCAGTCCCTGGGGACCTCTAGCTCTGGCTTCGACCCCCTCCCTTGGCCCCTCGGGTGTGTTCCCCTCCTCCTCCCCTCCTCTCTGTCTTAGTATTCCTGGTTCTCCGTGTTTCCAGTCGTGAATTTTTGTATATTCTCCCCTTTTCTTTCTCTAGGCGCTCTTGCCCAGTTTTCGAGTATCTTCGCTCCCGCTCTTGGGACGTGAAGCGGCAGCAGTACTCACCGCCCGTTGGAGTCCGCGTTAGGTGCTCGGCGAGTTTTGATCTGCGCAGCGCTCTTTGCGCGCAGGGGTTTGACTTTCACCCAATTGCTTGCCGTCGTTGCTTTATAACCTCTTTTAGCTCTTTTAAAAATAAAAAAATAAAAAAAATCCTTCGAGTATTGATGGCAGTGCAGGCTGTGATCTTGACAGAGTTGATCCGCCGATTTCGTCTGGACGCAACTCGAGGTGTTGCACCGGCAACGCCAAGTGACGGGTCACGATGTACACGCGTTCCAGGACTTCTCCGATCGAATGCGCGTCCTCCAGATGGAGATTGGGTTCCAGGTCGTCTCGGATCAGGAACTCGCCAAGCTTGTTCTCCTCGGCACCGATCCCGAGCTGTGCCGACTCCTCCGCACGCATGTCGTCTCGTCGCTAGCTGGATGGTCCGATCTCTCACTCGAGAGACTCGCTCTCGATGCTCCCGCCCCAGCTGTGGTCTCGGAAACCGACGTCTACAGCGATGCACCGGCGGAGCAACCCGGGGTGTCAGGATCACAGCCTGCACTGCCATCAATACTCGAAGGAAGTCTCCCAAGTTTGCGGCCGGAGTCGACATCAGCTACCGGGTCGTTCGTTGCAAGCATCGTGGGCGCGCGGGCGCGCACTCAGTGGTCGAGGGTTCGATCCGCCCGGAGCGTGATCGGCCTTTTGGTTTCTTTTCCTTTTTGTTATCCGAGGCCCGGCTTCGGGGTTTTTACCGGTGCCTTGCAGGCAATCCTTTTTACCCCTGAAGCGACCTCGTGGTGTAGTTATTTGACTCAGTCTTTCTTTCGCTCGGAGCACTTCCCTCCCTTTACTTTTGCCACCCTTCCCCCAGAGCTTGGTCCACTCATTATCATGACTTGTACCCTCCCTCTTTTTACCCATTTCGCTGGCAATTAAGTCCGTTACACTTGATTTGCTGCGAAGCCTTCCGACCGAATCCACTCCTCGGTCGCTCTCGGTCGACTTCCGCCGCCCAGCCGACTCGACCTTCCCATCGGCCTGGTCAGCTATTTCTTGGATCGTTTGCCCTCCCTCTTCTTTCCGACCTCGTTGGCTACCATAGTCCGGTACACTGGACTTGCTGCGAGCCTTGCAACCGCGTACCCTCCGCGGTTGCCTCTCGGTCGACACCCCTTTCGCTTCTTCGCGCTTTCGCGCGCTCTCTCGCTCTCTCCCTCGTCTCTCGCGTGTAGTCATCGTCATCCCCTCCGACGTTGCCTGTCACTGGCAGAAATGCGAATGTGGCGAAGCAAACCGTAGCGCTCTGGCACGAGTTCTCGGCCACTCACTATCAGGGTCCCGTCATGGCCATACTGCGTAGGCGTCGTAGAGAAGGCTCTGGGCCTTTTTACTCAGAAGCTATACAGGTACGAGTCACCAATCGAGTACAGAACAGCGTGGAAGTAGCACTCCTCGAGGAGTATCGAGGGCCCGGGGTTTCTAGGCGGGGAACCAGTGACGAGATGAGGATCACAGCCCAACGGGCTTGCGACTTTGAAGAGTCTCTCTTCACTTGACTGTAGTATATGAGTGTAACATAGGTTTATAATGACAACAGATTAGGGGCTGCAAAGATAAGACTGCCTAAACAGCCGCTTAAAACACGGTCTGTGGTTCGGATAAAGTCGCTTTAGGACCGCTTTACGCCGCATAAGAGGGCTTACGGACCGCTTTGCGTATGCAAACAAAGCGCGCGAGGAGTCTTAAGCGCGCCATAAGAGTCCCTTATCTAGGGACACTTAAAACAACACTTAACGCGCGCGCGGCTTAACGATTGGTTAAGGGCGCTTAAGAGCAGCTCTAGGCCGCTTAACGACTGCTTTACGAGGTTCCGCGCGCTTACGCGCGTTTGGCCATTTTGCTGATGCTCTCCTACCATGGGCCTGCTCGAGCGCCCGCTGCTTGGCGCCCCGCGGCTCGACCCTCCTCTTCCTCCCGCTCTGATCACCAGAACCAGCCCCCCGCGCGTCATGACAACAATTCAGCCGATCTTGGTATTGCGACACATCTACGAGCCCGCCGTGCAGCTGTGCAGAGCGGACAGCGTGGTCAGCGCGATGGCCGACCCGACGCTGAGCAGTCGCTGAGCCCGCCCCACCACCACCTCCTCATGCGCCGGGCTCGAATCACGCTCAAACCCCTCAAGCCCCACGTTTCGATCCGCGACGACCTCGGCCCCCAGACGGCCGTGTGAACCCACTGCAAGGCTGGACACTGGGAGTGCGAAAGGTCCAAGTCGACCGGACACTTCAGCACGTGCTGCTCGCAGGGCAAGGTGCAGCTCCCTACCCCTCCCCAGCCCGATCCCGAGTATCGAAATCTACTTGAAGGCTCGGGAAGCGGTCAGTTGTTCCGTCCAACAACATGCGTTCTGCAGTAGACTCACATGTTGAATTGTGCGACCCACCTACACAGAACCTAAAGCATTCCGCGAGAATGCCCGGCCGTACAATAACGCACTGTCCTTCACTTCGCTCGCTGCTCACTTCGACCAAACTCAAGTGGGCACGCTAGGGCCCTCCGTGTTTCGCGTGTTTGGTCGCCTCTATCATCAATTCGGCGCCCTGATCCCTGCCGTGAATCAACGCCCAGCCCTTGCTCAGACATGGTTCATCGACCCGGCCAACACCGACACTCGACAAGTTGGACCCGACGGCGCAGAAAGTCGCATACAAAGAACTACGTTGACCAAGCTTGAGTCCGTGTTGCGTACCGGCAATCGTTTTGTGAGGCAGTTCGCATGGGCCAAAGTTCGCGAAGGTTGGAATACGGCCAAAGAGAACGCCTCTGCCTACCACCAGGCCGAGACCGACGCACCCACAACCTTCCTACGTCGAGCACAGAAATGGCGATGTTTGTCTGCGATTCCGACACCCACACGGAGACCGTGGACCGCAAGACCTTATTCTCCAGGTGCACAGTGATTGATACCCTGATGGTCGGCACAAGTACCAAATCGTTAGCTCGCTCCATCGGTCTCCGATGCCTCTCCAATATCCACTAATTTTCTCTGCCGGAGGAGATGGCTATCACCCCAGCTTTCCTCTTTGCGGGTTCAAGCAAGCTGGGTCACCCTTCCTCGGAAGACCGCCACGATGAGGATGAAGACGACGAGGAAGAGGGCGAAGAGAATGGTGATGGTCGGCTCTTTCTCGGATGTTCCATTCTGTCTAGGCGTAGGCACAGACTGACATATAAAGTTTGAACATCTAGGACGATGGTCAAGTAAAGGGGGCTGAGGTGGAGAGTCGCGACTTCGCAATTCTTTGCGTACTACTTGCACAAAGGCGTCGAGTACTTCTCAATCCCGCATTGCACCCAACGTCCCTTCCTGGTGTTCGTGATCGACGGAGACTTCCAAGCCGACACCGATCGGCTAAGATACATCCATTTCACCAAGAACGCTTGCGCCTCACCACGGGCCAAGGCGTCACGGGCCTGACCCCGGATCAAATTGGACGTTCGGTGATTTTGGGTACGACGCTCAAGAATAGACTGCGCGGGATCACGAAGATGCGATGGTTTGCGTCGTCAAATATGGAAAGCATTCCGCTTCCACACTTTGGTATGATGATTTCTCTCTCCTCAGTGTGTGCATACGAGCCCTATATGCTATGCTCATGATGTTGGTGATACAGCAGGACTGCGGGGAGATTGCGTTGAGGACTTTGGATGAGGAACGAAGCAGAGCAAGCATTATGATCGAAGTACAGCGGTTGAACGATTCTCTATTCATCGCTGAAACAGCCTGCGCGTTGCTTGTTGCCGGACTTGGCTTCAAACCCTCGTGCAATGAGATCCAGACAGTTACATGCGTTGTCGTTCGGCCCCAGTGCAGCCTTGATCTCCGGCCGTTCGGGGTTGCGACGCTACTAGTTGCCTTTATTCACGCACAGCTTGCGGTTTCAGCATCACATGGCTAAACTGAAGCGTGCATTTACTTGGCTTATCCTTTTTGCATCTTTGCTTGGTGTCGTGTGTTCTAATTCTTGATGAATCCAGCAACTTGGTGAGGCTGTTCAAGTTCAAGTTTCACAGTTGATGGCTGTCTTCAGATCCCGGACTAAAACAGAGCAAGATCACGTGAATTAATCCCACTAGGTAACCAACCAGTGATCAGTATGCTTGGTCTGAAGGTCGTTCCGAAATATGTTATGCGGATCCAGCAGTTACTAACCACCAGTGGCAAGTCACGTGTCTCGCCGGCGTGCCTCGCATCAACAGCGCGATTGCCATCAGCTCTTTGGGCTGCAAGTTGGGTCGCCAGCTTGCCACCCGACGTCCCTCTCGAGTTGGCCTGAGCGGTCAGGTTACTGAGGATGATCAGTATTGAGCTGGCGTAGACCCAAAACGGTATAGGTCGACGGTCGTCCGCAAACGCTCCCCTGGACCATGGTTCACTCACAGTTCGATTGCGCTCCTCCGCGGCGCGAAGCATCGCTTCTCTCCGATGTGCGCCTTCCTGATCCTGTGTCGAGTCGAGAGCGGCAGGCGGTGGGAGCGGGGAACTTCCGAGTGTTTGGGACAGTGTACGAGGCGAGGGCTGTTCAACGACTCCACTCGACATGCTTCGCGGCGGTGCCTTGGCGGTCGGCTGGCCTAGGACATGACCTTGGCCGCCTAGCTGCTCGAAGTGGGACTCCTTGCCACATAACGCACCCACTGTAAAGAGTTGATCATTTGCGCCTACAGCAATCAGTGCGGTCGCCGCTGAACGTCACAGACTGCTCTTCCACTCGCCGAGGTGTGGGGAGTGGTGGACTCGGGTCACAGCTCACGTACTGGAAGCAGAGCCACAGGTGGATTTTGTTAAGTTGGGACCGGAGGTCGCTGGGGATTCGTGTGACGGCACGAGCCGGATCGTTTCGGGAGGTTGCGAGGCAGGACGGCGTGGCAAAGTGCTCCCCGGTCGAGAAGTCGCGAGGCGGTGAGGACGCGGCCTGGAGGGACGGACGCGGCGCAGCCGAGCGATCTGTTCTCTACCGAAACTCAGCAGTCTGACTAGGCGAGTGAAACGATAGAGAAGAGGGAGAGAGGCGCGAGAGCGCGCGAGTCGGGCGAGGTTCTAGCAAAGGGAGCGCGCAGGGGATCTAAGGCAAACTGGGCGGGCACAATGCGAAGCTACAAGACCGAACTCCAAACGGGCCATCGAGGCTCTAAGAGGGGCTGTGTTGGACAGCGGACACGAGGGGAACTTATCTACCATGGTCGAGTGTTGGTGAGCAGGGCGGTCCGGAGCGACAAGGTGCAGGTTGCGAACGACGGGCGTCATGGATGGGCGATGCTCTGATGGCCGATGATACATGAGGACGGTGATGGCAAGCTGACGGTGGCAAGGCGGAGGCAACTGTTCGGCAAGACAGGAGAGGTAGATCGACTAAGTCCCGGCGTGTGAGACGGCGGCGCGCGAGCGTGAGTTGAACAGGCTGGCGCGGGAGCGGCGAACAGGCGGCGGCTTGGCTGCGAAGGCGAAGCGGCCGAGACGAAAACGGGCGGTGGCGTGCAGGCTCAGCAGGCAACGACCGGACGGACGGACCAGGATGTGGACGTGTTGACTAAGGCGCACATGGGTCGATGGAGCGAGGCTGGTCGTGTGTATCAGGCGACGAGGCTCGGGTAACAGGGGGCGCGGCGAAGGCGCCGAGGCAAGGCGCGTGGTGGCGAGCATGGCAGAGCAGGCAAGGCTGGCAACGACGGGCAGACGGAGCAAGATGTGGACGAGTTGACGAACGGTGCACATAGGTCGAAGAGCGAGGCTGGGCGCAAGCGTCATGCGGCGAGGCTTGAGGGACAGGGGGCGCGGTGAAGGCTCGCGGAGGCAAGGCGCCGAGGCGAAGGCGCGAGGCGAAAGGCGGACCGGCCCGTCAAACGGCGGCCCGATGTCGAAGTGTTCGAAGGCTTGACAGAATGCAATTCAACAGATTTCGCCGTCACTGTATGTATGACGCACTGGTTAGCCTTCCAAGGGTAAACCAGTTGTAGGACACTTGGGCACAAGTGTGGGCCTGCAATAGAAGGTTGAGTCGGAAAGGACGAGCCGATGTGGCAAGCGTAACTGAGATTCCAACCGAGACAGAGATCATAACCCTCTTACCCTAATAACCCTATGCTTACCATAACTACTCTCTACCACCCTATTACCGTATTTACACCTTTTTATTTGATAGATTTAACAGTATAAGTATAATACCTAGAAGCATTTGGAAAAGTCGCAGTGAACTGCATTTGCAATCATTTATCGTTTTTTTGGTCGTCTCGCTCGGAACGCCGATCTGTCGCCGACAGCTGTCGAGCTACGTCTCCTCTTCTTCCACTCGGATTGGAAGCTCTTTCGCCTCCGCCGATTCTCGTCGGATCCTTTGGAACCATCACCGAAACGGCACTCGAGGAGCTCCGGGCGTCAGTTCAGGAATCCAAGGGTTGAGTCCTTGGTCCTTGTGTCTCTGTGAATCACCCACGCTTTTAGTGGGTATGTGTAAGGTTAGGTATGCCCCTCTGATGTGCATAAAATACAATCTGTCGTTCTTGACCGCTAGGCTAAAAGCAAGTCGTAACTAGAACTCGACAGTTCTAGCTACTCAGAGGCTACTTATGGGGCTGTTTGTAAGGCATCCCCTTACAGTATGATTGAATTTGATTCAGGGTCAATGAGTCCTACCACTGTTGGCCTAGCCAGTGTGCTTAGCCGCATGCCCAGCGACTTTTACAAATGTTTCTGGGTATTAATATGACACTGTTATCGAAATCCATCAAATGAGTAAATGAGATCCTAATCGAGTGCACTTCAGTTTGAAAAGGCTCGTTGGCGGTCGTGCTGGAAATTTCTGAGCATTGTACAACTTGTAGAGTAGTTTTGAGAAATAACTCAACACTAGGCGGCCACATTTGGACATTTTCAGTCAGAATCCGGGAAAAATTTGGACATTTTACCTCGAAAAAGGCCATTTTTTAGCACCTCGGGCAGACATAAAATATACGCCTCAACAGGCGCGCGCGCAGCGCCCCCTCACGCGCCTTCCAAGCCACAACCCCGGCGGGTTGCAACCTTGCTACCCCAGGTAGCAGGTTTGGCCCAGGTTACGCCCAAGTCTCTGCTTCGAGTCGATTCTGGGTATACACAACACTCTCACAGCTGCTAGATTGATTAGGAAAGTGGGTAGTAGATGCATTCCTTCCTTCATCTTTTTCTCGCATCTTTCGGGTGTCGTCAGAGTCACATGTCCGAAGCGGTCGCGCAGGATTTCGGTCCCGAGATCGAAGGGGCCGAGCACACGCGTTGGAGCGCGTTGGCCACGCGCGCGCACGCGCGCCGAGGCCTAGCGCAACACGTGAGGGACCTTCCACTTGACTTGCCGCGTCAGCTCATTGTAGCGTCGCCATCGACTGTACAGGGCCCACGGATCGCGTTCGTCCTCTCGCTCCCTCTCGTTCATGCACTTGACTCGGCGTCGCCATGCCGCCGAAGAGAAGATACCGCTCTGTGTTCAACGTTCGCCTGCCAAAGTCCAAACCGTCGGACCACCCCGACCACCCCGACTTTGACCAGCAGGATGCCTTTCTGCCTATCAACTACTCGACCCCCTACAGAACCTTCGTCGACAAAGGTGGTCGTAAAAGGAAAAAGAAAGAGCCACCCAATGCGAGCTCGTCAACAGCACCCACGCCCACGCCCACGTCCAGCTCCGCGTCGTCCACATTGCCCCCCCCCACAACACGAACTCATCCCAGGCGCTTCGGCCTCACATTACGCTCGTGGAAGCGACATCACGCAACAAGATCTGGACGACTTTGGGCAGGAAGGAGTGTGGGTGGATGAGGAGGACTTAGGTGGGATGGACCTTGCGTCGGAAAACGCGCTGGAATCGACTGTTTACACCCGTGTCGACAACTCCGACTCACCCCCACGCCCCACCTACCGACAACTCTACGTCACTCCGCCCAACACTGCCAGACGAGAAGGCTATCTCAAGTATATCACGCTTGACGCTGAGCTTCGGAAATCGCTCCGTGCCAAGCTGTTTGGGCGCTTCCTCGAGTTTCGCCGCGACAGCACGCTCCATCTACGACCGCTCGTATCGGAAGACGATCTCGATGACCACGATGCTCCGCCGCCATGTGCGTGCAATTGCATACTCACCCGCGAGATCATCTTGTACGATGTGACGGCATGTACGTGATAAGGCAGCTCAGCTTCACTGTCCCCGGGTTCAGTCACGAACCGAGCACTGGCCCAACTAGGGTTCATCTCTTCGACCGCTTCAATGCCGATGACCGCCTTCTCATTTCGACTGGTCGAGCAGGCCCACGCGAGCTGGAAGGTCAGCCCCCGCGCTCTCACCGGCTATGCGGACGGCCTCAAAGAGTATTACTCCGGTTGTGGGTGGGGTCGAGGTCACTACACGGGACATCCTTGGGTGAGTTTAGACGGCGCCATCATTTTAGGGGCACATGCTTAAAGCCTGCCTTCCGCGCATGCAGGACAAAGACCTTCGGAAGCAACTGCAAAGGGCGATCGACGAGTACCGCGCTCTCGTAACATGCGAGAAGGACAGCGGCGACCTTCTCGTAGGCACCGTCGATTCGTATCCCAACAAGTGTCCCGCGTACTTCGGGCCAACGCGACTTAATCAACCTTGTCACCACGTCACATTGGATTGCGTGCTTGCATACGACGGCAACTTTCAGCAAACGCGTGAGAAAAACTCGAAGCACGACGTCCAAGGAATCGTTCCGGACATTTTCTTGGCTGAGGAAGAGGTTCAGGCGATGAAGGCCGAGGTTGAAGCTTCGGTGCGGCCGACCAAAAAGGTGAGTAATGCTGCTCTTTGCATTTGCCTTAATGGGATCGCTTACCTCTACACCCACCCACCGTCATAGGCGTGCACAGAGTCGTGGAAGGTTGCCGACGACGGAGCTGGTTCAACCTCGTCACGAGTAGTCGACACCGGACTCGTTGCCTGCGTATGCCGTCATGACGTGAACCTGAAGATGGTCAATCTTGAGAGGTCTGGTGAAAAGTGAGCGCAGAGCTGTCTGGTTGGGACGTAGTCGCTTCCGCTTTCCTCTCCCAGTACTAATGCGCATATTCCCCTCCGACCGCTCAGATTATACTATGCGCTTGCCATCCTCAAGCACATTTCAGAGCGCCTTCCTGAAAACGCCAAAATCGGAGTCTTATACGACATTGCTTGTAACTTCAAGCACCACATTGAAAAGGTTCGCATCGATCACGACAGGTCCCTTCCTCCTCAGTTTCGTTGGCACTGACCAAATGCGCCTACTTTATCATTTGTCACCAGAGGCAGCTCCTGCCAAAGCTTTTCAAGCGACTGGAGTTCGCCACGAGCGTCTTCCATGCATACGCCCATATCTGGTCCTGCCAAGTCGAGTTCAACCCCCGCCTCATTCCGAACTTCGGGTTGACTGATGGAGAGGGCTGTGAGCGATTGTGGAGCGGGCTACGGTCGCTCATTCCCATCAACCGCCCCTCGAACAAGTCCCATCGCTTCGTCAACCTGGCGGTCCGTATCCAAGCACTGAATGACGCGACCGTCAACAAGCTGGGTAAGCCGCACCTGGATCGCAATCATCTCAATCACAATGCTGACACTCGATATGTTTTATTTAGGGGCCTGGTTCTATCGTCGCTACCATGAGGCAAACGACAAGGGTGTCGCTGCTGAGGAAGAGCTTAATAGCATCATTGCCTACGATTCGAGGTTGACCGAAGATGCGCTCCGCCGCGAGTGGGAAGAACAGCGACTAGCGCAAGTGCCAAAGACAGCTGCGCAGCAATCGGAGGCGGATCGCTTGAGGGAGAGCGACCTCTACGGACTTGTGGAGAGCCTCTACAAGATTGAGTCGCGAATGTACGTAGATCATCTGGCCAGGCCGTCGCTCACTGTCTATGATTCTAACTTGCTGGGCTTTTGAAAAGGGATACCGAAGAGCCCGATTCAGACGTCTTGGAATCGCTAAGCGCCAAACGCCGCAGCCTCGGGATGGACATCGATCGAGCGGCAATGGCACAGGCTCGTTATGTCACGGGCCTCTCGTCCAAAGGTCAGTTGAGGTGTGTTGCTCACATGATTTCTGTAGCTTGCACTGATAGCTTAGGTGCTGTGCAGAACTTCGACATCTGTGCCAGTGCTCTGTTGCCCAAATTTCATCTCGAAGTGATTGCCTACAAAACCAGTCGGGAGAAGCTACTTTCGACGGGTCGTGGCAAGGGAGGTGCAAAGCTAGGTCAACGAGCAGCCAGCAGAGCTCGTGCTACAGACGGGAAGATTCATTCAGGCGCGGAAAAGGCTCGCAAGACGTACAACAAGGCCGTTGAGGCCTTCCGTCTCGCGATGGGATCAACACCTTCGAGCCTACTCAACAATCTCCATATTTCCGACAGCTTGAAATCGGCGATCGACCTCGATGAGACGGATCCGTTCTGGCAGGACGGCTTTTTCACGCATGTTGAAGCTGCTTGGGCTGTCAATCCTTGGGTCAAGCGAGGAGTAACAGCTGTGCGCGCCAAGGATCGAGTCGGTGAGGAGAAAGCGCGGATCGGCGCCGAGGTGCGGCAAGCTTTGGCTTGGCTCGAAGATGAAAAAACTCGTCTCACTAGTTATCAAACACTTTGGACTAACGTGTCGGGTAAGTTTTCGATACGGCGTGCTCCATATCACCTCTTATGTCGCCCTAACATCTTTCAAACCGTCCCAACAGATACCCTTCCTGAATCCATCGACCCAGCTGATGCCAAGTCCATATTCAGCACTGAAGATGTTGAAGAGATCCGAGGCCGCGCGCTCATCATACTGGATCGCCGGATGGAGCTTCTGCAGCTGCGCGAATGTTCTTGGTCCCAGAACGACCATTTCTTTGATGTTTGGCTCGAGACTCGCGGGCAGTCAGAGGGCCAGTCCGAGCCCATGCCTCCTGCACTGTCAGAACTTCGTGGTTTACATCAACGATTGAACGCAACGGGAAGAACTGTCAAGAAGGCGAAACATCACCAGCGACCTGTACATAATCGATCGGGAACACGCGGTCCTATGGAGACATCTGGCTCGACGACTCGGCGCGGCCTCCATCGCTGGCCCGTGACGTTCAGCAAGTGCGGGCCATTGAGGCGCAGATGGATATGAGCGACGGGGCTGAAGTCGCAAAGGAGGTGGGGCCTCTCTCCGCACAACTCCTCGAGAAGGACGGTGAGATGGGCAGCTCTTCGGATGAAAGCTACGGCGATGACTTTGCTGGTCAGGAAGACGAATACTTCTCGGACGTTTAGACCAGCTTCTGATTTAGATTGAATTAGTGGAGCAAGCTTAATGTTGAAACAATGCACATGGTGTTTGCAAACTAAAGTCGTCTCAATTGCTGTGGGTGAGAGTATGATCACGGTTTCATAGAGAGAAATATTGTCAGACCTAATCTCTGGGCTGCGCCTGCCTTACTCCTGCCGGGTGACGTGCCGGGTGACATTTCAGTCAAAGCGTGTGCAACTGCTCGAGTACCTAGAATGTCTACCCCGTGAAAATGGGTGAGTGGGTTCGATCAATATAGATAATGTATCTCCTACCCTCGGACAGGGTTGAATAGCAAATTTGGCATGTGCGTGCAAGCCCTTCTTCCGAACAAGATGGCTCGGCGGTTTCCCTTACCAGTGCCGGGTGACTTTTCAATCAAAGCGCATGCAACTGCTCGAGTACCTAGAATGCCTACCACGTGAAAATGGGTGAGTGGGTTCGATCAATATAGAGAATGTATCTTCTTCCGAACAAGACGGCTGGGCGGTTCTCTCTCTCTGAGGATTCCCGCTCGAAGGACTCGACTTCCTGCCATGGCGCGGCCAAAGACCCTTTGCACCGATCCCGATCCCTGCTACTGAGACTTGCGCCTGTTTTAAGAAAAGCTTGGTGTCAAGGTCTCAAGATCAAGTCTATGCTTGACGGGAGGTCGGAGATCGTTTTTCCTCACCTCCTAGACTGCGCAGACCGGTGACGAACAAGACCTTTCATGGCGTCAGATCAATTAGATCCGCGCATACAGCAAACAGAGATGATGATGCAACTATAACCCTTAGTTCGGAGCTTCAGGAGACCCATCCGGGAAGTCAGGTCAGCCCTCAGTGGACCGCTCGATACGGCGACACTCTTCGGACGGCTCTCATGGCCGACAATACCTCAGAGCCCCGGTGATATCATAATCTGAGAACATGCCTAACTCGAAGATCGCGATGAGAGCTGAATGGCCTCATACGGTCGAGTCTTTTAGCATTCGGATTCACCAGAAGTGCTGACAATTCATCTTAATGCGGCGAATGCAAGAATTCTCTCTGCTTTGAGCACTCACCATGTGGCCTGAGGATTGGCGGCCTATCTCATTGACGAGAAGGGATGCTTCTCAAGTAAGAGGTAGGTATCCGGGGCCCATCGAGAACTTTCCAGTCTCAGACGCTTTCAAGTCAGCCGCCAGGTACGGCTGCCGATTTGCCATCGATCACTGTGTCTCGGAGTCAATTGAGTTTTTTGCTCCAAGAGCCTGTTACAAGCCTAAGCCTTCCATGTTCTCACCGAATGTATTATCGAGTACGACCCACCTCTCATCAAGCACGTACTTTGTCGCTACTTCGCTACTTACGACTGATTACCTACGTGTTCCGCTCCGCTTCATTTGCGCGTTCAGGCTTCTTCTCGGAGCGCGCGCCGCTTGAAGTCAATCGGCCGGAGGTCGTCACCGTGGCCCAGCAGTTCTGATTGGCACTTTGGCGAAGACCGAGCCCGGCCAGATGCAACCCTTGCCCGTTCACTTTAGTGTCTAATAGATAATAAAGGATGCTATCATATACTGCAATTAGTGGAAGCGCGTTGCGAATTCTGTTCATTTATTCTTTGCTCAAAGAGTCACTTCCGAAAAGCAGACGCTCCGTCTGGACCACGAATCAGGGAGCACTCCATTCTCACTAGGCAATTCAACCCTATATGATACTTCGGAAACAAACCAGAACAAGAAAGATGATGTTTGCGAGCAGTATTACGTCACTGGCACATCCCACGTCAACAAGGAGAGGTCGGTCTCGAGCGGCCCAGGGGAAGATTAGGCACGAAGGGCCAACGAACAATCACCCTCCTCGCCTTTAGTCATCAAGAGCCGGATGCATATGAAGCAAAACTATGAAATAGCGACTGCGGTGGCCTGTGTTGTCCAACGAATTCTGGCCCCTCACCAGCCAAGATCTCCGCACCGCATGCGCGTCGACGAGTCCGGCTGGCGCTGAGAGCTCGGCCATCGTCACCTCACTCGCTGTCCTCGTCGGAGCTCGTGTTCCGAGTCCGGCGGTCAGCATCGCTGTCGCCGCCTTCATCGCCGTCGGCCATTGCCTGGTCTGTACTTGACCCGATTACCTCCTCCTCCAGCCTGAACTTCAGCTCGCCTGCACGCAGCAATGGGATGATCCGATCCAGATCTGGTCCCAACAATTTGAGCTTGCCACTCGGGCTTCGAAAATCCGCTTTGCGAAGGAGCGCGCCGCGCTGAACAATGATTCTGGCGTTGTCCCGGAGGGCCTTTACGTCACAGACGAACTTGGGCGATTGGATTTTCTCGCCGTCCAGCACGGAGCGTCGGCGCAGCGCGGACTCTGAAGACAGTGAGCCGGGTCAAGATTAGGCACCGTGTATGGAAGAGTAGGCAGGCTGCACTTCTTGTACTCACGGAACAATTCCTTGAGGAGGATGCTGTACCATTGGCGTTTGGTCTCAACGTTCTTGTCGGCCACGGGTGCGTTCCAAGCTGTGCGCAGACATTCGCTGATACATCAATTGACCTCTACTAGCTGTTGCCCTTTCCTGAGATCTGGTAAAATCTCGCCACTCACCGGCGCTGACAATCTCGGCCCGCTTGTCTGCTATAATCGCTGTGCCTGCGACGCAATGCGCAAAGTCGCGGACCAGCGGTCCCTGCCCCTTGTCGGCCCAACCCTGTCGAAGCGCAAACGCCGCCCCGCCCACGGAAGCGACCACAAAGCGCTCCTTGTTGGTCTCGGGTAAATTCGAGGAGGCGATAGCAAACATCTCGATGCCGTAGTTGTCCGAAAAGATATTGGCCTTCCGAAAAGGGAACGGTGAAGAATCGATAAGCGAAAGGGCCTCCGATCTGAAGCTTGGACTCAGAAGGACTCTCACCAAGGATGTCAAGGATGCTTGCAGTCGCTGCCTCGCCTTTTTGATCATGGCCAGGTTCGTTCTGCTTCGAGGCTGCGGAGCCGATGCAAGGTGGGCCGTTCGAAGCTGCGGATCCGATGAAAGGTGCGCGGCCGCATCGTCCTCGGCCTGCTCCAATGCAAGAGCCGCGAGACACTCCGCCTTCTCAGCCTCACTGCTGCAGATTCTGTTCCAATACACGCGCGCTAGGTCCTTCCTTTGCATCAATTTGGTTGGAACTGAATGTGCTTATAGAATGCATTGCTCAGCGTTGAGTTGGTCAGGATAGACGAGGAGGCCGAAGTTGAAGCGCTGGCTTACCGGTATGCCCGTCGTTGATCAGAAGCGCTGCAAAGAATCGACTTTTCTGAAAGTCGTTCCATGGGTTGCTCGCCGACAGCCGGCTAACGGGCGAAGTGATCTGTCTCAAGTCGTCCGGCCGAATCTTGTTCTCGATGCAGTATTCGAATTCTTCGTACAACCTCTGCACTGCCCACGCCTTATGTTGTTCTCGTTCCGTCTTGTTGGGGTTGCGCGTATCAGCGGAGTACGCCTGCTCGTATAGCTCCTCCGGCAACAGCCTCTTCGCCGGCGTCCAACTCGCTCTCCTCTGCTCGGTCATCGAAGTCGGGAGCTTTTTCGGTGCAGCATTGGATGGTATTCCGGTCTGAGCGAACTGGTAAGGTGCTGTGGAAAGGAACGGCTGATGGACCATCGAACAGCCGGCAGCGTCCTCTGCAGACACTGACTGCGGGGACGCTCGCGGGTGGTTCAGCGATGCGCGGCCTGCCTCCTCGTTTTGGGAAACTTGTGCGGCCCGCGACGTTTGGCGATCGTGAGCGGAAGGTGCAGTATTTGAAAAACCTGCCGCGTCAAAGACAATACCCGTGCCGTCAGGATTGTTCCCTCCTTGTTCGACCATGCTTGCGATGCGTGCGAGATTGTTGTTTGCTGGCGGAGCTAGATACGGGCCATCGATGCGTCCAGGATCGGGGAACGTGGGACGGTAAACTGGTTGGTTGGACGAAGCAGGTCCCGGAGACGATCGATAGTCGTACGACGCAGGATTGGAGATGGCCGTTACGCCAGCGGAAGTGGACGCTGGATCGGGTGCACGACGGTGTAACGTCAGAACAGACCAATGCTGTACGCTATCGACGCGACGGCCACCCACGTACCCGAACAGTCGTTATATGCGGACTGGTAGGAAGTCCAAGGCGAGGTACGCGACTCGTACCCAGAGGCAGCATATGAACCTATGTGTCAGATGTGATTGTGAGTCGGTAGTCCAGCCAGAGCACCCGTACCGATCGGCGGCAAACATACTGCTGTTCATCGCCGGAGCGCCAAACGTTGGCTGCGATTTGGAAGGTGGTTGATGGGATTGACTCATCATGACAGGAGCAGCAAAACTATGACTGATCCGGTGTTTCGAAGTGGGCGTTCGTTTCAGACTGTCGCAAGACGGATGCTCATTGTATAGTTCGTTACTTCGTATACGTAGTAGGGGGCGATTGGGCAAAGCAGAAGAATGGGCGGTATGCGCGAGCGCGACGCGTCGCCGCCATCTCCAGCGTCTCCGGAGTCGTGACGCGTCGACGTCCCAGCCAGTCCCGGCCCCATTTGTTCCGCGTGACCCGTGCCGAATCACGTGTTCGAGGTAGGGCACCTGTACAGCTTGCAGAGGACAGCAATAACTCTCGAAAAATATCCAAAAATCCGAAAACACTATTGTTCGCCGACTGCGCCTTTGTTTCCAGGTTTTCCATGGAGTTGTAGTGGGAGTGAACGTCTCGGCAACTCGACATCGAGGTGGGCATACCTCAACTGGGCCAAACCTGCCACCCTGGGGTAGCAAGGTTGCAACCCGCCGGGGTTGTGGCTTGGAAGGCGCGTGAGGGGGCGCTGCGCGCGCGCCTGTTGAGGCGTATATTTTATGTCTGCCCGAGGTGTTTTTTAGAGGGCCGCCTATGGCTTGGCTTTCGGGGGTCCTACCGGAATAGGACCCGGGAAAGCTCAGCCCAATTTGCGTCTCGAAAAACAGCGATTTTAGGCCGATTCGTACGTCAGGTGTCTGAAGGGTCGGTTTGTACATTTTAAAACATATCTTATGAAATTGCCCAAAAATCGCTTTCCAACAGCCACAAATATGAAAAATTGCTCCGACGACCGGGTCCCAGTCGAATTTGACAAGTTTGTGGCTCTGTGAATGTAGGGTGGTTCTTACTTTGCACAAGTCTAAACCCCTGTTCAAGAACGATCAATAGCCGGAGGCATACCACCAATTCTCGAAAATCGTAACTTTGTCAAATAATGCGGGATCTCGAGCACGTCGTCTAGGGACAGGTGAATTCGTGACTGTGGAGGGACTGTTACAGATGACAGCTATTTGCATAGCATCTAAGCTTCGGCAAGAGGGTTGAGTCAGACAGAGAGCTTCCTCACGAGACGCCGACAAAATCGGCCGTCGGCCTCTGACCAGGGTAGCAGGCGGCGGATCGGCGATGTTCGGCGGTGCAGTGGGTACACGGCCTAGTTTGCGTTAGTCGAGGCGAGAGTGTTAATAATTGGATCACTTGATCCGTTGTAATATCCAGTAAATAAGAGTGATTATTTCGATGTCTGAAGGCCTTAGTCGCCGAGCCCGGGGAGACTTCGGCCCGGTGCGCGGGCACGATTTCCGACTACATGAGATCCTGGTGAGAGTGCTTCTTACTGGAGTCGGACGTACTCGGTAGTCACATAAGAAAGCTCGTCAAGTGGCAAATGCACCGTCGTCAGTTGGTAAACGGACCACTTTTCGGGAGCAAACGCACCGAACTTGAGCAAAGAGTGCATCATTTGTAAGTGAAGCGATGCGCGCGAAACGTTTTTAGTCGGGAGCTCAGAGAATGAGCGTCGAGGTCTGCAGTAACCTCAGTGATATGAATTGCATGATATTATGCCACAACCACACACACCCAGAAGTCTGAGACGCTGCGGAGATTAATACATCAGCGCTTTTGACGGCGCGTGTTACCCTTCCGGCTGGCGTTGAAGACTCCGCCTCGAACAGACGAGCTCTTCCTAGACCCAGACTCGTCGTCGAGTTCACCGATCGCCCTCCGACTGACCCCGAGCTCTCGATCGAAATCACCCGCACGTCTCTCCTTGGATTTTCTTGATTGGTGGGTTGTCGCGCGTGCTTCGGAGGCCACAGTCATTTTACGCGGCAACGCGGCCCTCTTGGCCGAGCGAATCGATCCCTCAATCTTGCCGCGATCATCATCCTCAGCGTCTTCGAGTGACGCTAATTTGCGCCGCTTTTCTTTTCTGGACAGACCCGAGAACGCTGTGCGCTTTGGGGCCGGTCTATCATCCGTCACTGTGGTAGGCTTGATAGGCTTGCGGTCTCTGAACTTCTGGTTGTGTTCGTTTAGGCCGGCAGCTGGAGCGGGACAAGAAGTAGGTGAGATCGTCTTTCGTCGCTCCTCCTCCCCCCTCCCCCTCTCCTCCCAGGCTGGACTAACTTTTCGCGATATTTTTTTCCTGAGTTGTTTGGAACCAAGTGCGAGCCGGCCTGGAATGAATCTCTCGTTCGTGTTGAATCAGGTTGCGGCCTTTGGACAGTTCCATCTCACCCTTTCTCGTCTGGAGAGGAGTCGATAGAGCGTCCGAGGCGAACAGCAGCTGAGCAGGTCAGCCGATGCGCACAAGAACAGCGACAGGATGCGAAGAAAACAACACCGACCTCGGTTTCCTCCCTCTCCTCGCGCTGCACCGCCTTGACTTCGCTCTCAAGTTCTTGAAGTTGCGCCAATACATCGAAGTGCGCCTCCACCGGTATCACTCTTTGTTGTATCGATTCGGGCGGCGCATGCTTGACTGCAAGCTTAACCAATTTTCGGTCCGATTCTCCGACCAGCGTTAGCGCTCTGTGAGTCGTGCAGATCATTATATCATTGGCGAAGGGTCGAGTTTCGACCGTGTTTAGAGTATCAGCACGCAAGCCGCCACTCGCACGGTCTCGAGCTTTGCAAAGCCTCACCTTCCTTGCCGGCCAGCGCGCGCTGTCCTTCCCACCCTATGCAGATAGATCTCGATAGACCTTGGCATCTCATAGTTGATGACATTGTCAATACCCTTAATGTCGAGCCTGTAGAGAATGCGAGGCGTCGAAAGCGAAATCGAGTCAATGTCAGAGCGGCCGCAAGGCCAAATCCATCAAGCTCACGTACCCGCGGGAGGCCAAATCAGTAGCGAGAAGGAACGAACATTCGCCCTCTCGAAACCGTTTGAGACTCTCCAGGCGTTGCTCTTGAGTAAGATCTCCGTGAAGCTCGTCAGCTTTCTGCAAGCCTTGACCGACGAGCGAAAATATGATCTTCATGCGATGGGCCTGAGCCTTCGATCGAAAAAATATTATGGTGCGTCCGGTTGCGAAACTTCGGGCGCACAATGTGACCAATAAGGCTTCCCGGGTTCGCTCGCCAGACCGAAAGCCGCGCTCGATAGCTTCTCCCGGTCTATCCCCGCGCACTCGAAGGACTATGTTCAGAAAAGGCATCGGTTCAGTTCGAACAAATGGGTCGGCCAAGATCATGTCACGATGACGCACATTCCTGCACCAAACCTGGAGCAGTGGCGCCCATCTGGTCGACCTTGACGCGCACAGGCTTGTTCATCGACAGCCGAGTGAGCTGGGCGATGGACTCGGTCACAGTAGCGGAGAAGAGCAAGGTTTGGCGTGACCGAGGCGTGGCCTCAATGATTTCTTCGAGCTCGGATCGGAAACCCTGCATAAGGCATGATCAAAGTCAAACTTGTCAGGTCCAACACGCTTAGACAGTCACTGCAAAAAACCGACCTCTTCGAGCATGCGGTCCGCTTCGTCGAGTACCAAAATTTCTACGCCGTCCATGGTGAACGAGGGCGTGTTGCGAACGTGATCGATCAACCGTCCGGGCGTGGATACTACGATGTCGGGACGCTGCTTGAGCTCGGCTTCCTGTACTTTGAGAGACAGTCCGCCAACACAGAGACAGAACTCGACGTCCGTGTAGCGCGCCAACGCTTTGCCCACGCCGTGTACTTGCACCGCGAGTTCGCGAGTGGGGGTGATGACGACAACGCGAGTCATGGAGTTTCGGCGGTCCCGGTGGAGGAGGCGCTCAAGCACGCCGATCCAAAAAGCCACCGTTTTCCCTGAGCCAGTGGCCGAGCTCGCTACGATGTCCTTGCCCATCATTGCGATCGGTATGCATTCGCGTTGAATTGGCGTTGGGACGGCCAGACTCAGACTGCTGAGAGCGAGCAGAAGCTGACGAGAGATGGTGCAGCCGGGGAGAGTGGCAAAAGATAAATTTGTGCTCGAGGACGAAGTGACAGTGTGGGGTGCAAAAAATGCTTTGATGGCGGCTGCACCATCGGGTTCATTCGAGGAGTCGGCCTTGGGCGAGTCCGACCCTACCGAAGTTCCAAAGCCTTCCTCGTCGACAAGCAAATCCGGATCTATTTCTGCGAGCGCTGCAAAGCCTGTGGTAGGTGCCGAAAAGATTAAAAACCTGTTTCGGGTCAGGCGCGGGTTTTCCATAGGACGGAGAAATTGATCGGGTTGCTGACCGCCAGTGTGAGGCGCGGATCGGCCCTCGCTATTGTCTTCGGTGCTGTCATCGTCGCTATAGTCGCTGCCATCGCTGTTAACACTGCGGTCCGATCCTTCAGCGATTGAGCTTGGGGATACAGGTAATCTGTCCGCAGATCCTTCGTCCTGTGTGCTGCTTGTCTGTAGACCGCGATAGGCCCGTTTTCCAGAAGATGTCGAGGCATGGCCCTCATGCACTTCGTCGACGCATTGCTCGAGCCAGTTTCTATCCTTTGCATCCGCATCGACATGAGATCGCTTCCCCGGAGCATATGCCGAAGGCAGGCCACCTTCATCGCGACTGCCAAAACCCGAAGAAGCTACATCTTGTGAAGACGCGTTATCAGCTCTGCTTGAATTGACGACCTTCCGGGTGGGCGCTCGACGAGCGATAATCTCGTCTACTGTCACGCGAGGCTGAGAATTGGTCAACGGGGCCGAGTGGGAAGAAAGGGGTAATTGTCACTACAAGCCTGCGATAGAAGCCCCCGCACCTTGAGACCGAGTCCGGCCTCTACTCACAATCGCATTTGGACGCCGCACCAGATACGGATCCCCCGCATCCTGACGGTTCGGGTAGTCAGCGGTCAGTGCTACGGTACAAAAATAAGAAGGTCACACCGAGCTCAGAAAAGCTCCAACTGACCCAGACGCTGTTGCGGCTTGTGCCGACGTAGCCTCCCCCAAGACCATCGAACACGAAGCTCGAGTTGATTTGGGCCCCTTCGTCACCCATAGCTCCGCTCTCGCCTGCGGTGCTCTCATCGTCGCCTTGGGTCGATGGTTGATCCCTAGTCGTAGTGACTAACCCGGCCTTCTTGCTCAGCAGCGTGGGTCCGCCTCGAGCTCGTGCGACTTTGGTCTCTTCGCGCAATCGCTTCGCAACCTTGGGTCGAGTCGCAGGGATGGGGGCGGAAGCGATGATCGGGCCCAACTTTGCCGGCCCCTCCTGAGGGTTGAGCTCATCATCGGAGTCGAGTGTGTAGACGAAGTCCGACATTTCTTGTCCTCGTGTTACGGCAAGGGATAGATAGGACACAGCAGCGACGGATGTTCGTGGGACTCGGCGACTGGCTGCGAAGGGCCGCGAGCAGCTGCGAGCGACACAAGTGACAGCAGGCGAAACCGCGAACTACCGCAGCGACAGCGCGCGTATGACGGGCCGATTGGGTTAGTAGAGATAGAGAGCTATAGAGAGCTATAGAGAGAGATCAAAAATAGGAAGGATGAAAAAGGGAAGGTTGTCAGCCAAAGACAGTGAATAGCTTGGGCCTACTGGACTGGTCCCACCTTCGACACCTCCTATCTAATTTACTTTCCCCGAGAAGGATCTACCCTAAAATATTTTTTTTGACCCTCACGCCGCATGTAGAAATTTTGAGTTTGCCGCACGCGTGAGAGTCGACCACAAGATGTGATGGTCACGACGAGCTAGGGACTTTTACAAGTTCTGGAACACGGCGCGCAGGCCGAAGTACCCTTCGTTAAGCATCCGGTCAGCTTCGCCCCAATGCCATGCGAAAGTCCTAATTTCAGAGTACATCCACAGCCCGAGCGCGTGGCGCGTGGGTTCTGATGAAGGGTGTAACAGCAGCGAGATACCTGCTTTCCGGCGAAGTGCTCCGAGTCGCCGTCGCCGTCGCCGTCGCCCGTCCGCGCCAGCGCGTTCACGACAGCGGGACCACGCCTGAGCTCTCTGTAGTAGAAGTGTCATGTAAACCCAAGCGCTTGCTATACACTCAATACTATATAGATCTCTCAACAGTTCCGTACCACAAAGCATTCCAACCAAAATCGTACTCGGGCTGTGGCCCCATTTTCATGGTTCAGAAATTGCAGAAATGGTTGTATACATTACTTACCCTAACTAGTTAAAAAAAAGTGTCGATCCGCGACCATGTACCTAAAATCGCTGTTTTTGTCTGTGTTGCGGGCCGAAGGGCCGCAAGTGGTGAATGTATCAGTGTACTGTTGAGTCTGCCGCACCTGCCTGTGGTATCGGCGTCCCAACCAGAAGTCATATACGACCCTTTCTGCATTTTCTGGACCATAAAGTAGAGCTACAGCCCGACTACGATTTTTGTCGATTTTTGACATGGTGGGGAACTATTGAGCAGTTTGTGTAGGATTTAATGTATAGCAAGCGCGTGGGTTTGCATGACACTTCTTCTACAGAGCTTAGGCGTGGTCTCGCTGTCGTTGACGCGCGGACGCGGGCGCGGCTACGCTGCGCGATGCCCCGTCGATCACGTGACGTGTTTTTTTGCATCCCGACACCGGTTTCAGGGGCTTAACAACAACATGACGTTCAGGCGCTGTGAATACTCCCGCGCTACTCTCTCTAATTTTCGCCTTTTCCCTCCCACTCTCATCGAATTTTCGTGACAACCGCGCCAAGTGGTAGCGCCGTACCATGGGCCTGCTCTGGCCTGCTCGAGAGCCCGCTGCTGGGCCCGCTGCTCGACTCTCATCTTCGTCCCGATCCGATCAACAGAATCAGCTCCCCGCGCATAATGACAACCACTCGACCGATCTTGGTATTGAAGCGTCCGCCGTACAGCTTTGTAGAACGGACAGCGTGGTCAGCGCGATGGCCCGATGGCCGAACCGACGCTGAGCTACTGCTGAGCTCGCCCCACCACCACCTCTTCCTGCGCAGAGGCAAGTGCGCAGGCCTCGAATCAAGCTCAAACCACTCAAGTACCGCGTTCCCATCCGCGACTACCTCGGCACCAGATGACCGTGTGTACCCACTGCAAGGCTCGACACTGGGAGTGCGAAAGGACGAAGTTGACCGGACACTTCAGCACGTGCTGCTCGCAGGGCAAGGTGCAGCTACCTCCCTCTCTCCGGCCCAATCCCAACTTTCAACAGCTACTTGAAGGCTCGGATAGCGGTCAGTTGCTCCGTCCAACGTCATTCGTCTGTAGTAGACCCACATGCTGAACTGTGCGACCCACCTACACAGAAGCTAAGGCATTCCGGCGTTCCGCGAGAATGCCCGGTCGTACAACAACGCGCTGTCGTTCACTTCGCTCGCTGCCCACGTTGACCAGACTCGACCAGGCACTCAAGGACCCCGCATGTTTTGGGTATTTTGTCGCCTTGTCGCCTTTACCATCGACTCAGGCACTCTCGGCGCCCTAATTCCTGCCGTCAATCAGCGCCCAACCTTTGCCAAAACATGGCTCATCTGCCCGGCCGAGGCCACCGACACTCAACTTGGCCCCGACGGCGCAGACAGTCGCATACAAAGATCTACTTTGACCAAGCTCGACTCCATGTTGGGCACCGGGACTCGCTTTGTGAGGGAGTTCGCATCGGCCAAAGCCCGCACAGGTTGGGGTACGGCCAAAGAATGGGTCCTGCGCCTCTGTCTAACACCTTGCCGGGACCGACGCACCCACAACCTTCCTCCGTGGAGCACGGAAATGGCGATGCCTATCTGCGATTCCGACACCAACATGTGAGGTCGTGGACCGCAAGACCTTAATCTTCAGGCGCACGGTGATCAATGTCCCGACGGTCGGCCCAAGTACCAAGTTGTTAGCTCGCTCCATCCGTCTGCGATGCCTCTCCGTTCCCCACTCCTATTCCCTGCAGGAGAAGATGACTGCCTCCCCAACATTCCTCTTTGCAGTTCCAACCAAGCTGGGTCACCCTTCGCCGACGAAGAGGATGAAGACGAGGAGGAAGGGGACGAAGAGAATGGTGATGGTGAACGTAAGCGCCTTCGGCTCTTTCTCGGATGTTCCATTCTGTTAAGGCGCACGCACAGACTGACATTTAACGTTCTAACACCTAGGATGAAGCTCAAATCAAGGGGGTCGAGGTGGCGAGTCTCGCGTTCACAGTTATTTGCGTACTACTTGCACAAACGCGACGAGTACTTCTCAATCCCGCATTGCACCCAACGTGCCTTCCTGGCGTTCGTGATGACGGATACTCCCACGTCGAGACCGATCGACTCAACTTACCTCCAGTTGCATCAAGAAAACCTCCGCCTCACCACGGGCCAAGGTATCATCACCTTGACCCCGGATCAAATTGGATGTTCGGTGATTTTGGGCTCAACGTTCAAGAATAGACCGCGCGAGAACACGCAGCATTATCAAGATGCGATGGCGTGCGTCGTCAAATATGGAAAGCCTTCGCTGTTCATCACGGTGACGTGCAACCCCGAATGGCCGGCAAACAAGGTTGCACTGGGGCCGAACGACCAAGCATGCAACCGACCGGATCTCATTGCACGAGTGTTTGAAGCCAAGTTGAACCGACTCTGCGACGACATTTTTGGCAACAAGCAACGGGCAGGCTGTTTGGGCGATGAATGGAGAACTGTTTCTTTGCTGTACTTTGTAGTGTGTTTTCTTAGCCTCTGTTGAAATCATGTAGACTGTTCGATTCTCCTGCTATTTGAATTTCATCCTCTCGTTAATTTAACGGGTTCCCACTGGTACCTCTATATATAAAAAAGGTGAGTTAAGGAATGTACCTAAAATCACTGTTTTTAACTAAGTGGCGGCCCGGAGGGCCGCCTGTGGTGGATGTGCCAGCATACTGTTGGGTCTAACGCACCTGCCCGTGGTGTCCATGTTCCGATCAGAAGTCATGTACAAGCTCTGTGGTACCTTTTGTATTTTTCGCGCCAGTCGAACGAAGCTACAGCGTTCCCAGTATTTTCCTTCACTTTTTCGTTGACCTAATACAGTGCGAACACTTATATTGTATTCAATGGGCGGCAAGCACGTGGCTTTGTATGACAATGCTTCTACAGCAGAGCTCCGCCCGACGGGCGGGGCGAGGGCTGGCGTCTATCACGTGATGCGGCGCGCCAGCGGTGTCAGTGTCATTCCGGCAGCCGACCAGCGGCATTAGGTGCTGAACAACAAATCACAGCCCGTGAACAAACCCGCGCCACTCCCTCTAACCTTTTCTTTTTCTCTCCCACTCTCATCGAATTTTGTGACACTCATTCAAGGAGAAACCCTCGCCACTATGTCCCGGTCCTAAGGTCGCCAAGGAGAACCATCGCAACCTCGCCAAGTCTTGGCCGCGATGAGTGAAAAATAGTTTCTCTGCTGTCTTTCGTCATTATACCGTTCAATTCTCCTGCTATTTGGAATCATATTCCCGTTAATTTAACGGGATCCCACTGGTGACGTCTAACTACTGAAACGCCGAGCGCCAGGCAGGTGCGGCAGACGAGTCCGGGTCAACAGTATGCTGGTTCCTTCACCACAGGCCCTCTTACCCTCTGAGCCGCAACATAGTCAGAAACAGCGATTTTAGGTACATGGGTCGCGGACAAAAAGTAATACAGTAAGGAATAGTGTAGTAAAGAGAGTCCAACCAGTGGCAACGATTGACCGTGCTGTAGGCCGAGGTCTACCGAGGTCTTCCTACTAGTTCCTACTAGCGCGTGCTCGGACTCTGAGCTCTGGGAGGGGCTTGAGCATTATGCATTATCGGCGCGTCAGGAATCCCCCCCGATCATTCGATGGAACTCACGTATTTCAAAGGAGGATCGAATGGACCGTGATACGCTACGCATCAAGTTCAAGCTGCTGCTTCTCAAAGAATTTGGTGACGACTTCGAACCCCGGCCGTTTCAGATCAATGCAGTTGCTGGTCTCCTCGATGCACGAATACGTTCGACGCAGTCTTCGTCACCGCACCAACAGGGTCCGGCAAAAGCACGCTTTTGGAAGCAATGAATATCGTGTTCGGTAAGCGAACAATTGCAATCATCATCTATCCCTTATATCCATTGATTGAGCATCAGGTAAGCAAGACTCCTCGCCAATGTGTCGGGCGTCTACTGACGGTCACGCTCTGAGCAGTCAACAGACCGCGAAGCTATGCATGAGGGGCAAGAAGGCCCTTTTTGTGTCCAAAAAAACGTGGGAAGACGGCACATTATACGAGCAATTGAAAGATTCCCTTTGCAAAGTCGAGTACATCTTCATTGAAAGCTTCAAGACCTTGTGACCTTGCCTTTTCTGCTTCAAGTTAGCTGACCATGGTCTATTGTACGGCATTGTTGATTTCGCAAGTCTCCAAAAATGCATGCGCGCAACGTTCGTTGGAGTGAATTGATTTTCACTTCCTCATTCCGAGAGCGGATCAAATTACTGGTTTACGACGAGGCACTCAAGATAGCCGAGTGGGGACTCACTAGACGAAAAGTCCGAGTCGGCGCTATGGCGCATACCACCGAGGGATCCAACGCACTTCGCGCCGAGTATGCTCAAATTGTTCAATAACGTCTCCGAATTGGTTGTCAAACTTTGTTCCTCACTGCGAATGCGCCACCCGATAAAATCGACGAATTCTAGGGGTGGGCAACATCTCCAAATCGCGATTTTTTTTGCCAAAGCCGACCTGTTTCGCCCTAATCTACGCAACATCGTCGTCGAAATGACACCTCAAACCAAAACTGCAATGACAGATGTTCTCAAAATCTTCAGCGTCCGATCCGACCCAAGTACCATCGTGTAGTGCAATAGCAGGGAAAGAACATCGTTTGGTCTTTCTGCGCTGCACAAGAGTTGGGGTCTCGAAGTCACGGTCGATTCTCCGCTTGCTCGAAAGTTCACCGCGGTGCGATCGGAGTACGCAAAAACGAGGATGTCAATGATTTTGAGTCAATCTTGCAGAAAGTCTTGCAGGAAATCTTGCAGAAAAGTTGTCAAGCGCTCGCTTGCGCCGCATGCCAAGGCGAAAAATCCGTCACGATGTTGCATGGCGTTGCTCTGACGATTGCAAGTGTACGCTGAACGCTGCGAAGTCTGAAGTGTGAACACGACAAGACAAACAACCGGTGAGAACTCACAAACAACAAGTGCTTTTTCCTACGATATTGCGACTCAGTGCCGTGTTCTTGCACACCAAGGCCATCGGTATTATCTGGCATGTCCTCACTGCATCTTGCGCGGTACGACTGGAAACGACGCCATCGATCGGCTCTCTCCAAGCAGTATCTGCGCACCGAGACAGTAGGTTTTGAATGCGGCCAAAGAGAAACTGATTGTTGTCTGCAATTTTGTCGAGCCCTTCGTCGATGCAGTCGGATGTCAGACGGTCGGCCCAGTGTGATCTCGTGGCTGGGAACATAAGTTGGCTTTGATCTCTTCATCTCCTGAACAACGTTCGAGTCAGACTGTTCCAAGATAACGCGATGTCAGCTACAATTTGGAGGATTGATCGTTTGGGGATATGGAATTGTGGTAGATGGCTGCATTACCTACCTGCTTGGCAATCAACGTGTTTACGTGTTGATGCGATCTCGTCCTTTGCTGCCATTTCGTCGGCCTACTTCTACGATCAGATTGAGCACGTGTTCGAAGCTGGGCCAGTGACCGTTAAAAGCTTTGGGCGATGCGTCAAGACCTGAAGGGCTATCGTGTCTGGGTTGAAGTACCACTGGAGGTATTGACATAGCGAGATTTTGAGCGAACGGAGCTTCTCGTATACCTCGGCCTGCGGCGTTTCTTCTGACGGGATGAAGAGTTGTACTTCCTTTTCGATATCATCGGTGGTCCGAAGGTTTCATCTTGATGCGTTGAGATATTGCTGGCGATGTGAAGTGGTTGCGACGATCGAGGGAGAAAAAGCGGGAGCCACCATACGCAACGGCACGCTCGGACCACTTTTGGGCTTTTCGAGAATGCAGACTTTGAGCGCTGAGCTGCTGCAGCTTGACTTCAACTTCATCACAAGATTGCTCACTTGGCACGTAATATTTTTTTAAACTATAAGAGCTTAGTACTTCACTGGTGTGAAAAATTACACAATACTTGCCATGATGCAGCAAACCACCCTTTTTTGGCCCAGAGAATTCGGTGCGCAACCAGGCCAGACCGGGCCAGACGCTGCCTGACGCTGCAGGACGCTGCCAGACGCGCCGCTAATGTGTAAGCTTGTGTAAGTCCCTCCCAGAGGCTCGCCCCAGATCGAGACTCTCCTCGCGTGGCTTGCATCCCGAGAAGGTGACACTCCTTGTTGCAAAGAACTGTACCAAGGGTACGGTTTCACTCTCCCCTATTCCTCGCCTTCTGTCGCCTCCTGCGCTCTAGTGGTCCACCGTTCGCCCCGCACGTCCCCAACCTCGCGTCGTGTTCGCGTCAAAGGCGCTCAGCGACCACGCCAGTCGCCACGTGTCAGCTCATAATGGCATCGAGTTCAATTGCAGAATTTGAGTATGCTTTTGACGAAGCCTCCCTCGCTTGCTTGCCAAGATATCTGGTGGAACCCGTCGTCGCGATGGGCCTGAAGCTTCGGCCGTTGTGCGCTTCGGACTACGTCAAAGGGCACTTGGAGCTATTGTCGACCTTGACCTTCGCGCCCGACATTGGAGCTCGAGCGTGGTCAGATCGATTCTACGAGATGAAGCACACACAGGCGACTTACTACCCGCTCGTGATCGTCGACACCGCAGCGGACCGGCTTGTCGCGACGGGGACTCTGGTTGTCGAACGCAAATTCTTGCGCAGCGCGGGCATGGTTGGGCACATTGAGGACATTTCAGTCTCGCCATCACAGCAGGGAAAAGGCCTGGGCAAGACTCTCATCGCTGCCTTATCAACCCTGAGCGAGGAGCTCGGCTGCTACAAAGTCAGTCAGCCAAGATTTGACGCATCCTGCTTCGAGTCGCTTCACACGATGCTAGGCAGCTTCAAGTGGCAGCAACGCGTTCTGACAAGTAGGTCTCCGAACTTTTGACCACAGTCCATCCTCGACTGTGATCCCAAAAACGTAGGTAAGGCGCAATAGAAATCCTTTCTGTTGAACCCGGAAACGTCTTTCTCTCCGAGCTGATACTCCTACATTCTCGAGCGATTCAGCATTCTACGCCAAATGCGGGTGAGCAACATCGATGGGCCATCGTGGAGCTTTCTGTGTCTAAGAGATTTCAGATTCGCGACACAGATATGAGAACAAGGGCGTCGAGATGTCCAGGTACACAGTTGAACCTTTAACGGGGGCGGACTAAGTCGACGTTTCCCGCGGCAAACCGTCGACAACCGTCGGAACGTTGGAACCCACCCCCCACAATCATCATCATGAGTCCCATTTTGCTTTATTTTGACAAATGTTGCAAGAAAAACATTTTGTGCGGCCAGATGTCCTTTTAGAGCGAGTTTTGCGCAACTCCAAACGGTTCGAATCCGAATCTGTGCGCGGGACAAGCACGAATTGTCCCGTCAGGGCTCTATTCAAAGCACAATGGTTCTTTTCGGCCTTTGCTGCAAGGATTTGACGCGCCGATTCAGGCTCGCGCGCACGGACCCTTTCTCCCCCGTGGATGCTATAGCAGGACCCGGGAAAGCTCAGCCCAATGTGCGTCCCCGAAAATGTACAAATCGGACCCTCTGGACCCCAAACTGCGACTCAAAAGTGGTACAAATCGAAAAATGTGGCACTCCAGATCTTGGATGTACGTCCTGGATGTGGTACAAATCGATGTACCCCGACCTCGCACCTCCCTGGTCGTCCCCTGCTCGGCCGATGGCCGAGCACGTATCAGCGGCGGCGGTCTGGGATCAGTAGGCGCGCGCCGCGGGCCAGCTGGCGGTCCATTAGTTTGAATGAGTTTCGGAACGAAATTGGACGCGCACTCGGAGCCGATTGTAATGCAAAAAAAATGCGCTTCACGCTCAGAGAGCTCACAGACGCTCACCAAATCAAGGGCGCTGGAAGTGAAACAAATGCCAATAGACCCCCCTGACAGCCTCTGACCACCCTCACCATGTGCCACGTCGCGAGCATCTTACCCTCTGCGCACTTCCCTGCGTGCCCTTGCTGAGGGTTAAGAGGACAGCATGTCATCTACAGCAGCCCCTCCAAATGCACCAATTCAAGTGCTCTTAGACGACGTGCTCGAGATTCCAGATGAGCAATTCGCCGCGATGTCTCCTGTTGCCGAGCTCATTGTCGGCGAGCTTCTTGCGTTCGAATTTACCCGGCCTGACCTGACCGCAACCCTCGCCGTATCCGAGTTCGAGCCGACATTCCATGAGCCTCAGATTCGCCCCGATAGCAACGCCCGTGTATTATTCAACAAAGCTCACAATCTTCGAGAATTGTACGCCTCCGGCTATCGATCCATCGAGGTTCGATCCCCTTGCACGTCGATAGTGGAACACATGCCAATCGGTTCCGAAGCATTCTCGCAACATCTGGACTCTGTCGAGCAGCTGAAGTCAACCATCTCGGATAACGTTGATTGGCTAAGCAATGTTGAGGTCAATGACAAACGCGACGCCGCGTACATCAAGCTGGCAAGCGCCTTGCTTGTTGCATTTCGAACCCCTTCACTGCAATCGAGAAAAGTTGCTCATCACGTCGGCGTCTGCATGCACCACAGTGCGCTATATTTACACAAAGCCGTCACCAGCAATGCCTCACTGCAGTGTTGAGAGCACCGAATCCCTCGGACTCGTCTCCAACATTGTGATTCAGGAGCTCTTTCCTACGCAAGCCAGTTCCGGAGTCTTCACCAATCGCAACAGCCGCGGCCAAGCTCGAATCTTCTTCTTGAATGGTCACCGGGTCGTCAGCTGCCTTGACACTTACAACTCGAGCATGCAGACCGTTGAGCCCCCAGCTGGTTTTGGCTTCGACGGCCACACTTGGCGAGTCCTGGACCCACAGGCGCAAGCGCGATATTACCAGCTGCAAAGCTTCAAAGGGGTCCTTGTAGCGTCGTTGGCCCCGATTCGAAAGGGACTTGCGCATGCTGGCGAGGAGAGGGGTATTAATGCAGACGGAGGGAGCGGAGCCGATAAGCGGTCGGGATCTTCGCAGGGTCCAAGCGGCCGGCTGTCAAAGCGGACGCGACGTTAGTACCGGGTCGTCGGAGCGATTTTTCGTATTTCTGGCTGTTGGAGAGCGATTTTTGGGCAATTTCACGACATTGAATTTTTCATGTTTCGGAACTCTTCCAATGTACGACCGAAAATAGGTACAAATCGACCCCTCAGACACCTCATCCCGATGTACAAATCGGCCAAAAATCGCCGTTTTTTCGGACGCACATTGGGCTGAGCTTTCCCGGGTCCTGCTATAGCTGTGCTTCCCACACACGCGGGCTCACGGGCGGTACTCGCAACGCACGTTCCCTTTCGGGCCTTCACTGCGTTGTCGACGTTTCCCCCCGTGGATGCTATAGCTGTGCTTCCCACACGCGGGCTCACGGGCGGCACTCGCAACGCACGTTCCCTTTCGGGCCTTCACTGCGTTGTCGACGTTTCCTCACCAGCTTCTGCGGCTGCGTTCACCACCTGTAGGGACAGGTGCGTTCCTCACTCCCAAGACTACCTCCCAGCTGACGAGGTCGCTGATCGAGAGTTCCATCTTGCCGGACGTTCACAGCTGCTAGCAGCTCGTTATGAAACCCTCGACGTGGCTCGCTTAGAGTAGCTCGGGGTAAGTGCTTCGATACACCCAAGCTTGTTGCACGGTGTACTTTGCACTTGGATCCCTGCAAATTCTTTGTAGGGGCATTTTGCTCCGGGCCCTTGTTGGGCAACGAGCTAAATCGCATATCTCTCAGCAGACCCTTTGCCGTCCTTTGCACCAACCGCGCCCCAACTGTGTTTATACAGTGTCTTGCCTTTGTCGCAAAGGTATGCTGAGACGATCAGTGGACTTGCTCCATCATCAGTTGCAGCCGACTGACATCCAGAAGCTTGGGTCGCAAAGCTCCCAATTGTCATCCCGCCCACCATCTTTTCGGCGCTCCAATCCCGTCATCGTATAACGAAGCTGGCCTAAAGGCCGCCCCTGGAATGTACCCATCTGGCGCGCCACAGTGGCCGGGGCCGCATGAGCCTGCACTAGCCTGCATGACCACTGCATGACCAGGCATGACAGGACCCGGGAAAGCTCAGCCCAAAGTGCGTCTCGGAGATTCAATTTTGTGCATGTCGGGCCCATTTATGCCATGTGATATGCTACATGACGTATTTTTTGATGGTAAAGTAACTTTTTCAACACAGCCCGATACTTTGGTCTCATACCGGAATACATGCACCCCTTGGATAGGGATCTTCGGTGTACAAATCGGCCTAAAAGCGGGGTTTTTCGAGACGCAACTTCGGCTGAGCTTTCCCGGGTCCTGGCATAGCCTGGCATGACACTGGCATGACCTGGATCAGGCGCCTTCGCGCAAGAAAGCGCGGTCATCGGCGTCGTTATCCTAAATACTACATCGCTTACACCAAGCATCACTAGCAGCGGCCTAGAGTCGTGGAGCTTTGACCCAGGACAACTTCGAGGTCCTCATGTCCCCTTTAGGCCCCTGCCAAGGTCGTTTGTTATGGATCGGTCAGTGGTCCATCTTAGTCCTGCAGGTAATCAAATGTGGTCCACCGCAGGCGCAGGGATGCCGATAGATGGGCAACATACGTCTCTAGAGTACCGCATCCTAGAGTCCCGAGGATGTGCGACTGACCCTGCTCGTTCATCTCCACTCTATGGATCAGATTGCGAGATGACAGGGCTCAACCCTTACCTCCCACCGCCGACGCTCGGCCAAGGCGAAGTATTCCAACCTGACCGGATACTAGAGGTGAGCTCCGCAGGACTGCACTCAGCCGGCACAGACATGGCACTTGCCTAAATTTGTCCAGTACTCGCCCATTGTAGATCGCCATGATCGCTACCGACAGCGACCTGCGGCCACTTGATGAAGGCCTCGAGATGATCGTCCGGACCGAGCGGTGCGCATGCGTAGTGATCAAGCATCGTCGCGAACGCTAAGAATGGGTTCCGCGCCGTGCCTGCGTCCTGATATTCTTCTCCATTCTCACAGCCACGTACTAGACTCGATGAACGATTGGTCAGTCGCCCGTGAAGTCAGAGCCGTGCGCCTTGCATCACGTGACGAAGCGGTCGCCATCGGTGTTAAGTGGAACCCAGTGGCACCGGTACTGATGTAAGGTTACGAGCATCGAATGCAGGTGCATCAAGCAGCATGGAAAGACGGGCTTGACGAAAGCTTGCCTCGACTCGCCCCATTCGATCAAGGACGTCGACGCTGCGTGCAGGGCCTACGTGACCCGGCACTTTGATGCCCCGGCTGTGATCGCAGGAAATTCGGTCCATGCGGACTTGTTCGTCATTCGAGTTCTGGCCAAACCGATCATGGAATCATGCTCCAGGCTGAGCCGCTTTGCATTCTGACGCAAACTAGGGGTTTTATCAGAAAGGACCTTCCGTCCCTGTCATCCACGCTGCATTATCGCATCGTCGACGTCAGCTCGCTCAAAATTCTCGTTGCACAATGGTACCCGTCGGCGCCTAAACCGCCCAAGGAGAAGTCTGATTCACAGCACAGGTGAGTCGGACTTCACGTCCCTTAATATCCGCCGACTTTCAACTACTGTTGTCCCCTGGTTGTTATCGAACGCCTAGTTAAATTATTTGCTGTTGTTTCAGAGCGATGTCCGATATCCGAGACAGCATCGAGGAGCTCAAGCACTATCGCTGCCACTTCTTTGTTAATACAGACTCTCCGTGATCTGAATAGCCAAGCTCGTGCTCAACCGCCTCGATCGAGCGCTGTACCCATCAAAGGTCCTCCTAGAGTGTGAACTCAAGACTGAATTATGTAAAGCGAGGGAAGTCGAAAGCTGTAATCTACGAAAGAGGTGGCAGACGGTCGTCCTCCTGGTTTAGACACCTGAAGCTTTCTCGAAAGCGGCATACAGTTGTTGTCGCCCACGCTCCAACTCTTCCTCGTCATCGTCCTCTTCTGAAATCATGCTCTGTGCCATGGTCTCGACCTCTTCCCGTGTTGCTTGCGCGCCCATGAGCAACGATGCCTGTGAAGAGCGTAATTCACCCAAGAACAAGAGGAAAGGGAATCAGCTACTTGAAACCTCGGAGGAGGGCACCTGTTCACCATTCGTGCTGCATTCATACTCACGGCAAAGGTATAAATGTTGGGGACATCGACCGATAGGTCAATAAGACCTGTGACGAGTATCTGAAGCGAGTCGAGCATGACTTGATGTCGCACGATGTTTTTGGTCGAAACATCCGAAAAGAGCTGGCGGGTAATGTTGACATCATCGGCTTTCTTGTCGACGGCGGCGTCGGCCAAGGCAGCGATGAGAATGCCTCGGTACTCTGATGGCAAGGCTTCGACCGATGCTGTCCCTTCTGCAATATTTTTGACCGAGAAGAACTGTGACCGGAGACGAGGCAAGTAGGGGGTCAACACGCAAAGTCGTGTCCGCAGAAGCCAGAACCATGAAGAAAAACTGACCTCCTTGACACTGTTGCCTGACCGTCGCTCCGCTTCTGCCCGGGACATGCTGATAGCGTTAGGATCGATGGCACCATCATCTTCGTCTTCATCCTTCTCTTCGGCATGCTCATCCCCGTCTACGGCAAGGTCCTCGCTCTGAGTCCCGTCGGCTTGTGCAGACAACTCCCCTTCCAAAGGCTTCGTTCTTGGCGCCAAAATGAGCTTGGGTCGTTGACTGGTAGAGGCTTCGGCAGCAGAATCCGAACCCCCACCGCTGAGCAGAGCAAAGGGATTGCTCGGTGTGGCAGGACGCGCAGCTTCTTTGGCCTTGTTGGCCTTGGCGGCAAAGGCCCCAGTAGGGCCAAACGTGAACGGAGCGACATTCTCTCGAGTCTTGCCGAAAGCGCTGAGATCGCCAGCCTTGGCAGGCCGTTGAGGAACGGGTTGGCTCCAACCGTCTGCTGCGGGAGCACCGATGCCATCACGGCCTTGCCCCCGCCGTGAGTTGGGTCGCGACAGCTGATCGTTGAGCCGGGGGAGACCCTTGCCGCCTGAGCTTGCCACTCTTCGGCTCGACTCCTCGGCGGCCCGTTGTGCATCGGAGTGAATTTCGGAGATGAGCTTGGGGCCGGCGGAGTCGTGGCGGGGTTGCCAGTGATTCGATCGCAGATCAGCGACGTCGAGGATCATGAAGCGCATGCGCGACGGTGTCTTTGGGTTGTTGGCAATCGTGTGCATCCTCTGAAAGTAGATGTCCATGTGTTGCTTCGCCTTCGCATTGTCGAGGTGCTTACCGACGGTCGTCAGCAATCGGCACAGCGACTCGACATCCTCCTCGTCTGGGTTGTCCGTGTTGGCCAGAAGTTTTTTGATGCACTCGTGCATGATGCGTTCCGTCAACATCTGCAGTCGATACAACTCGCCGATGAATCGGACGAGACCGAGTCCTCGTCGCTTCGCCTTCGCCGCGGCATAGTATTCCTCGGAAAGCAGCTCAGCCTCTTTCGAGGGCTCGGATTCTCCCTTTTCCTTGGCTTCTTTCTCGGCTTGCTCATTCAAATCCTTCTTGGCGTTGTCATCAGCCGCCTTGCCAGCCGCTGCTGCCGCTGCTGTCTCCTTCAGCTTCCATCCCGATTCGTAATCCTCCTGGCACCGGTTGAGCAAATATTTGCGGAACAAGGCGCCGCCGACAACAAAGGAGCCATCGGCACTCTTGACCGACTCGTCCTTGATGCTCATCGAGACTGTCTCCATCAATTTGCGACACAGCCGGGCGTACATCTCGGACCAGTTCGCCTCGTCGGTCGCCTTTTCAAAGATGAGTGCGATAACCTGTCGGAGGATGCGGCCGTCGGTTTCGGTGACACTCTTGTCCGCCCATTCGAGAATCTGATTGGAGATCGACTCGAAACGCTCCAGCGTAAGTTTATTGAGCAAGGCCTTGACCTTGCGCTGCACCAGTTCGGGCGAGTTGGCGTCGAGCGTGGGAGCGCCTCCAATAACAGTGGGTACCCAGCCAGTCTCACTTCGCGGCGCAAGCGTTGCATTCTCGAAGCCGTCACCAGCCGTGTGCTTTCCACCTCCGCCGTGTCCACGGTCACCCCCAGCACGTCCGGGCTCTTCGCGGCGCTTGCCTCGTTCGCTGCGGATTCGGCCAGTCTGGGACGGCGCCGCCGGGACAAAAGCACCACCGGGAAGACCACTTTGACTTGTCGTGCGAGACATGTTGCCTGCTCGCCCGCCGCCAAAAGCCCCACTAGCAGCTCGCATCGACGACTGCGCGAAGCGAGCTTCGCTTGTACCGAGGGGTGCCTGGCCAAAACTGCCCATCGACCCAAACCCAGCGCCCACGCCTCCAACACTCGCACTCCGTGTGCCAAATCCGCCTGCTGGTCCAGCGCCACGCCCAGGCACTGCGGGGGGGCCCATAGCCGCTCGTCGGTTGCCAGCTCCGAAGTTGCCTCGACTCGAACCGGCTTCAGCGCCCGCATCTATCATCCCGATCGCTTCAAGATTCGGCAACGCCTCAGGCTTTTCCGTGCATACGTTCATGAACTGTAGGAGGAACTCGCGATCGTATCGGTAGCGACCCGATTCAGCGTTGGCGTTGAGCTCGACCTTGGGCGAGTGGATGTCTTCAGGATATGAAACCGAAGCGAGATCGTCGATCTTGCGCGCCTCGGACAATGCGGCTGTGGAGGCACCTGCGGCCGGCGATTCGTCGACAGTATCGACGGCACCTTTAGCGAACGGAGCGGGAGCGCCAGAGGCGGGAGTTGCATTGCCAAGTTGGATTTGCTCGGCGAAGCGTGCTTTGGCCAGGGCGCCACCGAGATCCTGGCTTGCCGAAGCCCTCTCATCCCGAACGGGAGCCGACTGTGATGCCGGCGCAGGCGAAGAGGCGATAGAAACCGCGGCAGCAGCGTTGTTCTTCTCGGCATCGCCAGACTTCGCCTCGGCTACCTGGGCTAGGGCCTCGGCTTTCGGCATCACCTCCTTCCCATCAGCGGCGATCGCGGACTTGGTCTCAAACTCGGCCACAGACTCGTCCTTCTTCTTGTCGATCTTCACGGTTGGTACGGCAACTGCAACCTCGGGCTTGGTAACGGCGGAGGCGGGTTCCGTCTTCGGCTCGTCCTTGACACTGGCGTCTTCTGCGACTTCGAGCTTCGTTTCGGGTCTATCTTCGGCAGTAGGCGAGGTCTTGACCTCGTTCTTTGCTATCTCTTCCACCGGTGTTGTCACATCCTTCGCGAGTCTAGGCGCGGGCAGTGATGTCGTCGCTGACGCAGACGCTTCAGACTTATCAGCCTTCGCACCCGCAGCCTCGGTGGCCTTTGGCGCCGTCGCAGCGGCCGCGGCCGCCGCTGCCTCTTTCTTGGGATCTCGGATCTGGATTGCTGCACTCTTGCGCGGGGTCCAGATAGCGGCATCGGCATTCGGTTTAAACTCGGGCGCGTGAGCAGTACTCGACAAGGCGCGAAGGGGCGTGCCGCTGGCGCTCGCGTGAGTGGGATGGAACGAGGGGTGGTGGGGTTGAAGGGCGGCAGGAGGTTGCGGCGAAGAGTAAGCCGAGTAGTGTGGCGTCGTGGGCGTCGTAGAGTGGGAATGAGACGGCGAGGGGGACGGAGCCAACCCGGGAGTTGCCGTAGCTGCTGGCGCGGGTGACCGTATGTTGGCAGGGGTCGAGGATCCATTAGGAGCAAGGGAAGATGATACGTTCGGTCCACCTTGCTGTGACGGCGCATAGGCGTTCTGTGGCGGGAACTGCATGCCGTAATAACCATATTGTTGCTGTCCATACGGCTGCAGAGCAGGAAAGTACGTTACGTCAACATCTGCATCGAATACGGGCACCAGGCAAGTAGAAAAGTGCGTCAGAACCCACAGGTTGCTGCCAACTAGGCTGTTGGCCATAAGGTGCCTGCTGAGAAGGCAGGCTCGAGCTCTGCATGCGAGGGCTTGTCGGGCCGGCGTTGCCAAAAGAGCGGTTGCCAGGAACATTGGGCCTGCCTGCGACGATCGAGGCACCGGTGAAAGATCCGTTTCGCTGAGCTGAGGCGCCCCCGCTCGGTCCCGGGCTGTACTGGCCGACATTTGCGGAGTGCATAGCAGGCGACTTGGGCCCGTAACCGGGTTGGACGAATGAGGAGGATGCGGGCAGGTGCGCGAATTGGAGCGATGGCGAAGGGAAGCTGCCTTGAGAGAGGCGAGCCGAGTGCTGCTGCTGCTGCCCGGGGATGAACGGAGGTGCTTGTTGCCTCGGGGCAAAGGAGGCCGATGCGCTCGACAGTTGAGAAAAATGCTGGGGTGTTGTGGAGGGACTCGAAATCTGCGGGGGACGCGATGCATCGTAGCCCAGGCTCGGTCGGCGATCATTGCCACTCGGGGCCGGCGAAGATGCGGGGGCCGGCGAGGCGGCAGCCCCGCTTCCAGTGAAGAACGAATGCAGGTTGATGGGCGCTTTAGCAGCTGCGGCAGGAGAAGATCCCGCGGGGACGGTTCCGAACGTCTTCGGGTTGCCATTCGAAGCCGGAGGGGGTGCCGCAGGTGATGACGACAGCACGGCGTTTCGGTCGTTGACGTTGCCGAATGCAATCGCTGCCGGGGGGGGGGGGGGGGGGGGGGGGGGGTGGGGGAAGTCGATGAGTGGTCAGCTCCTGTCAAATATTGTTTCTATGAGAGGAAAGTGGCCAAAGAGCCCATGTCCAATTCAAGCAACCTAGGTGGAGTACACGTACCATCAGCAGCACCGGTCCTGATCGCATTCACTCGGGATGCGGGAACGTTGATCGCGTCGACCTTGACGCTCTGGTTCCTCATATGGCCACCTGCAGGGGCCGATGAGACGGCAGCGCTAGCACCTGTCGCCGCGGCGTTGGCCATGGCTGTTGCAGCAGGGATCAAGGGCGAAGCACCTCCAAAAGTGCCGCTCACGGGTACATCCTTGCCCTGCAGAGTCGGGGGCGAGGGCTTGGACTTGGATGCTGCCTGTGCGTAATTGATGCCGGCGATCGGCGCACGGAAGGCTGGAATGTCGGACACGGCGTAAGCGTTGGCCTTGATACCAGAGGACTTCTTGTCACTCGCAACCGAGGGGCCGCTTGCAGTCGAGCCTGGAGCGGTGCTTAACGAGTGTGCAGCCGAGGGAGTCCTGCTCATTGATGAAGCGAGCTGGCGCGGCCGGGTGAGATCGCGAGTCTCTGCGGGCGAGGTGACTTTAATCGGATTGAGAAACGCAGGCCCGAGTCAAGACAACGAGACGCAATGACCAGGAAAGTGGCAGTTGTAGCGATGGTGGGTAGGGCGGTGGGGCGAACGCGGTCCGAGGAAGCGGGAGGCGGTGGTCGATCGAAATCGGCGGCGTGCGAAGGAAGCAACGACGACAACGACGGGAAGCGGGAAGACGGGAGTCAGCGATGGGCGCGGCGCGGGTAACGGTGGCCGTCAGGCGAGGGCGTCGGACAAGGACAATGTGGCGTCGGCGGTACGTTCGGATGGAACGCAGAACCAAGGTGTGTAAGAGGGTTGGATCTCGGTCAGCGCCCGCCCTAGATGGCCTAACTCCAACCGCCAGCAGCCCGCAGGGGAAGGTCCCCCGCGTGTATGCGCTCACATTTTTGTCGTGCGGTCGACGACGACACTTTTTGGTTTAAATGGGAGACTTGGGGATCCAGGCGTCGATCGGGATCGAGTACCAGAACAATGAGCGAGCTGGGGGCGTGCTCGTCTGTAACAGAGGCTCCGAGTCGACCAAAGAACAGTCGCTGCGGGAGGGGGAGGTGGGTGGTGGGCCGGTGTTCGACTGTGGATCGAACGTCGTCGATGTTAGAGGGTGAGTGTGGGTCGGGCCGTCCCTTCGCGCGTGAGGCCGTGAGGGCTTGACCATACCAGGCCTGGCAGCAGCGCAGAGCAGCGCGCACCGACCTATCTCACAGGCCCGACGTGCCAGACGTAGCCGGCACTGCAGCGCAGGCAGGGCGCAGGCGCGCAGGCGGGCGCAGGCTGGCGCAGGCGGGCGACTGGCGGGCGCGGGCAGGCGCAGGCAGGCGCAGGCAGTTGCCACGCTGGCATGCTTTTGTACCAGTTTGTACCCAGCAGGCCAGCGAACCCCCTCCCCCCCCACCGCCCCGCCGCCTCAACAGTTCGCTGTGCGGGCACCCGTCAACAATGCTACTCGAATTGCTCCGTCAACGTGAGTTATTCCTGGCCCCTGGGCCGTGCTGCCCAGGCGAGGTTCACGTAGCCAGCTCCGGCCGGGCGACGCTCGACGCAGGCCGTCATTGACCGATGGACTGACAGTTCCCACCTCCTGGAATCGAGAATGCAGGCTATCTCGAGATGCTGCGGTCGGTGCCGTCGCGGTGGAAAGTCCTCATCGTTGACGAGTATACGCGCCCGATGCTCAATTCAGTGCTGTCGACCTACGACATCCTCGAGGAAGGTGTTCAACGTAAGCGCACATTCTGCCGTCGACCGGTGCGACGTGGGCCACCACCACGGCACCAGGGGGGCTGGGACAGCAGGACCTGGGACGTGGGGAGTGGGCTCACGATCAAGCCAGACTCCCGCGTCTCGTCTCCGGGTGACATGCAGTACGCGACATCTATCATCACAACATCTATCTCACTCGGCACTGGCTCCAATTCGCCGAGCCCATTCTGGAAATGACATAGCTCCACTGGAACCCTGCTCACCCTCGTACCGGCGTTCGGCTCGGCTTTTGCACAGAGGTCGATGTCATCACCGCGCCCCGTTCGCCGCAGCCCCGTCTGGCGGCTATCTACCTCGTCATGCCGACCGCACAAAACGTGGACCTGATTTTGCGCGACTTTGCTCCCCACTCGTCGCCCAACTCCAACTCTGCGCAGCGTTCTTCCAAGAAACGCGAGCCGGCGCATTCGAGCGCACAGGCAGAGCCTCCCCGGTACGCTTCGGCCTACCTTCAATTTTTAGAGGGTCAGTCCGTCTTGTGTTGCCGACTCTACTCTCGACGAGCAAAAGCGATCGGAGTCCAACCTGCCTCTTACCGGCGCGAACATCTCCGGCAGGCATCGACGACCAACTTGTCGGTAGATTAGCGTCTGAGCTTCCCCACACCTATCTCCTGGCCCTCAAAGAGCTATACCTCAACCTCCACGGTGCGTCACGGAGTGCGAAGCAGATCCAACAGCGTCTTTCCTAACCCCTCTGTCTCCATCAGCGCTCGAATCTCGGGTCTTCAGTCTCAAGTCGCCCCACGCCTTCCTGAGCCTTTTCTCACCCCCGGGAGCAAAAGTCGACGACAGTGTCGCTCGGTGGAACTATGAAATTTCTCGCATGAGTCACACCGTCAGTCATGTGCGGCCTCCATCGAGTGTCGCACGGAAAATACTCATTTTTGAACTTTGGCTCGAATTACTCGCTTCCTCAGCTCGTCAATGCTCTGGCGACACTGGGTGAATATCCCGTGATTCGATACTACAGCCCGCCTTCCTCATTTCATGGTCTGCTCGGGCCCGCTGCTGCCGCTGGGGAACCCATGTGCAAGCGGTTGGCCGAGCGAGTGCAGGCCGAGATCGACGCGTATGCTCGGGACAACAGCGATTTCCCGGTTAGTGATTGACGGGCTGTCCGCCTTTTATCTCCCCGCGGCCTGACAAACTTGCGATGCTGCATCGGTTCACAGCCGATATCTGATCCCCCACGGCCTCGCGGAGTTCTGCTCATCACCGACCGGTCGATGGATCTGTATGCGCCATTCGTTCATGAATTCACATACCAAGCCATGTGCAACGACCTGCTCGACATCGAAGATGGTCGCACGTATAGGTGAGCTCAAGTTGACGAAGTGGCCAGGAATATTGGCGTAACCCACACAAGTCACCAATCGTCGCAGGTACACATTTCGCAATGCTGCGAACGATGTCGAGGACAAGGAAGCCATTCTCTCCGAGGAGGACAGCGTGTGGACGGAAGTGCGACATATGCACATGAAAGATGCGCTGGACAAGCTTATCGCCGACTTTAAAGCGTATGCAGGGGAGCACGATGGCAAGTTTGGTCAAAGTGGAGGAACGAGCTTGAATGACATGAAGGACATGCTCGCAAGTCTTCCCCAGCTGCGAGAAGCTAAAGAAAAGGTGGGTTCTGGGTCGCCAGTACCCCATCGATGTGCACGTGCAAAGTCATCTCACTCTATGCCAATTATGCGTTCAGCTTTCGCTGCATCTGACAATGGCGGAGAAGTGCATGCACCTGTTCGAAAAGAAGAAGTTGCCCTCGGCCGCGTTTGTGGAGCAGGTATGTCGGTACTGGGCTTCGGCGATCCCGACCGTACCGCCCACTTATTTTGATCCCTTGTCGCAAAGTGCTGCGCCACAGGTGTCACACCAGAAGGCAAGATACCTAAGACTTTAGTGGAGGAGATGGTTCCGCTGCTTGATGATAGATCAGTGAGGTAAAATCTGAGCCCCGGGCTCTACGCAAAATAGGGTATAGACGCATTGTCACGAGAGCTGACATGAGCGAACGAGCACATCGCAGCTCGACTGACAAACTCCGGATCATTGCCCTGTACATCATGCACCGTGACGGCGTGCCGGAAGGCGACAGGAGGCGACTCTACCAGCACGCACGCTTGGCACTGCACGAAATGGACGCTGTCGACAATTTGTCGCAAATGGGGATCAACGTCTCGAAAGACTCCGGCAAAAAGCGCAAGGCTCTGTTCAAACAACGGCCCGAAGAGGACTCGTACGACATTTCACGATTTCAGCCTGCGCTCAAGTACATGCTTGAAGAGCACATTGCAGGTTCCCTCGATCAAACAACGTTCCCATATGTGCGTGATGCACCTCCGAGTGGCGGCTCGTCATCGTCACGGGCAGCATCTGTCGCGCCGACTCAAGCTGGCTCACTACGGAGCGCAAGGCCTCAGTGGACGGCCACGCGGGGGCGACGGACGATCGCAGAACTCCGTCAACGAGTGATTGTCTTTGTCGCGGGAGGTATGACCTTTTCCGAGGTCCGAGCTGTGTATGTCCGGTCACTGCTTCCCTTCACGTCATGTCCCAGCGATAACTTACGCAAACAACTGACCGCGCCTTCAAACAGCTACAAATTGTCCGAATCCGCCAACAAAGACATCATCATTGGTAGGCAGGCAAACGACGTCTACATCGGTTACAGATCGCGTCTGATTGCACTTCCCTCGCTCCCAACCATTCACAGGTTCTACAAGCACCATCACACCCGAGCAATTCGTCTCGGACCTCTCCAATCTCGATCGCGGTCCTCCGGGGAGCGACGCATCCCCAATACCGCCAACTGCACTCTCGGCATCCCGGAAAGGAAGCAAAACCTCGATCCTGGCATCGCATTCGCACCAAACGAATGACAGGTCTCACCCTCATTCACTTGCCCCTCCATCAGGTCAAACTCGCTACGGCCCGGAAACCCATGCCCACTCCCATTCCCATCCTCATTCGCAAGGAGGGGGTCCTCCTCCCGGTAACCATATGCCCCCGCCCCCCAACTCGTATCCGTCGTCCACTTCTTCGCGAGATCCTCGAAAGCTCTCTCCCCTCGAGTATGCTCCCTCGTCGCATTCATCCAGTTTGTCGCCCCACGCGTACTCGCCCGCGCATATTACCTCGATCCCGTCGCCCTCGTCGATTCGGTCAGTCTCGACGTCGTCGTCGGCGATGCATACCTCGGACCCGACTACTGTAACCCCGAGGGGCAACAAAACCCAGGGCTCCTCAAATGTCGCGGCCGAGGTTGGAGAAAAGGAGAAAAAGAAGAAGAAGAAGCTGTTTGGATTCTGAGCCCTTTTGACTGCTGTCTTCGTAAGCGCTTGTTTCGTCACTACTATTGCAGGGGGTCGGAACCTTATTACTACTACAGTTGGGTAGAGACAAATACGATCAGTCCATATCAGTACTGAATGACCTGCTTGGGAACCACCGGATGCCAACTCACCACAGCGCGCTTGACCTCGAAAAACCTGTCAGGGAGAGACGACGTTAAAAAGTCAGTCCTTCCCGCCATCCACCTGCCCGGCAGGGGCAGTTGTTGCCGGACGTACCGTTTGAGATAGAAGACCTGGAACGCGCATACGGAGATGAGCATCAGGGTCTGCACAATGCTCCAATACTTGACGCGGCTGTTGGTGCTTTCGGCAGCTGCACGTTCCAACAAAGAAAGGAAAACCCCGCGCTCAACCACTCAGCACCGAAGCTCTGAAGAGCAAGGTCGTACCAATCCCAAGCGGACTGACTATCCCGATGGATGCGTTCCCTGACAACAATGTATTCTTGTTCGTCCTTGACCGCTTCCAATGCTTGACTTAAAGTCCGGATCTCTTTTTCGATAGGGGCGGTGTGGCCTGACGGGGGAGGTGAGTGAAATACATCACTTGGGTCCTCAGTGCTTTACCGTTACACTAGTCCTCGAAATGGAGCCGGCCACTCACCGTCGTCCTCGACATACATGACGCCGTGGACGTTGAAACTGCAGGGTACCGTGGCCACATCAGCTCCACGGTTCCGTTTATGGCCCGCGGCGATCCGAGGCGGAAAACGGACCTTACTGTCTTGCCCGTGACGGTGCTCATCTCGTTGGAGAAGCAATAAGTGTAGCGTCCGTCAACCTCGGCGGTGAACGAATAGGTGCCCGTGTCGCGTTTGCGTTGCTCGTTCATAACGCGGTCACCTGGGCCCGAGAGCCAAAAGTCGATGTCCAGGTGACCTCCACCGGCGACTTGGTAGGTCACTGTCATCTGCAAACGCCGCAGCAGCAGAGGAAGGAAGGTTTCGGACGACCTCAGCTTCCGGATCCCCGAGGTCGGTGCATCGCTTGTTATAGAGATTTCGATGAGCCATCCAGCGCGATCGGACGGGCAAGGACCACGTCACGCGGGGGTCGCAGAATCGGTCCGAGCACTGAGCGCTTCACGGGCCCGGGAAGGAGCTGGATGGGGCGAGGAAAACAGAGACGTACCTTGTCCTCGGTGTGCAAATCCTCGAAAAAGCATTCCTGCGCGAAGACGAGCATCCAGACGGTGTTGAGTGTCCGGTACGGCCGTGGAAAGACTGGCTGTTCATCCCCGGGGCAGTACGGTGGCGGACGACCACCCCGACGGCGCCTGTGTTGCCCGCTCTTGACTGACCTTGACAGCCGCTCCAACATCGATCGTGTGGGCATGGACCACGCTGACGAATAGGAACGCGACCACAACCACAAAACATGACGAAACGGCTCGACCCGAGACTGGTGTACACCTCATATCGCGATTCAGCTGCGCGAATACGAGCGAAACTGAGAAGTGGACCCGCGCGACCTAACGTGCGTAGACGTGCGTGACGCGTGAGGACGCCCTCAGACGCGCAGTGACGTGCGGCGCAGGGCGGCACAAGGGCGGCGCTCAGACCAGGCAAGGATCCGCATTAGATGAGATCACCGTCAGATCTGATCTGATCTGATCTGGATTTTTCTGATTCTGCCTTGATTGATCTGATCTTGATCTGATCTGAGACATGAAATTGCCTAATTTGGCACATAAAGACTTCTATATGTCTACATGTTGAAATCCTCATCTTCTCCTCATCCTCGTCCTCATTCTCACCATCCTCCAAAGTGATCACCTTGCTAAGCCGCCGTTTTTTGGAGGAGCTCCCCGCTTCTATGACTGGATTGGGTCGCATGATCCCTATGAGAAAGTGTCTGCAATGAGTCAGCACCTGACACTGCAACGAAGGCCCAACAGAGGAGGACCACACCCTGTAGTATTTCTGTGGCGCGGGGCCGACACCCAATGCGGCGGCGATGCCAGATGGCAGATGGCGCGCTCCTTTCTCTCTCATGCAGTGATCGGGTGCGCCGCAGTTGGCATTTCAAATCACATTGGCACCATCTATAGGTACCGCCTACTTTTGGATTTTTTTTCTCGAGGCTTGATTGATCTGAACTTGTCCCATGGAACGAAGACGACTCTCGGGTTTCGGCGTGCTGTCTCGAAGAGGAAGGTGAGGAGGATCGGAGTCAGTCGCGCTTGATCTTTGACCCGGATCTCGTCGGTTGAACTCTGGCTCACCAAGACCGTTACACCCGGTGACCCTTGGTGACCCAGTGTGACCCCGCCAGACCCCGCCGGTGGCTAGTGACCGGATCGGACGTCCGGCCTTGGCTACTTCTAGACGCCTTGACCGCTTCGCCCCGCCGCTCATAACCGCTCATTTGGATCCGAGTCCTGCGCTACGGGTCATAAATTGCTCGCATGGCTTCCACTAAGGCCGGTAAACCCATCACCTCGAGGCGGACAGCCCTGTATCGCACTTTGCACGACCAAGTCGATAGCTCGGCGCTGTCCAACGCGCTCAAGACCTGTGACAAACGTAGGTCGGGCACACTTTTCATCGTACACACCTGGCTCTGTTCCTGGAGTTGACTCGGTCGCCCAAGCTCCGCGCGAACAGTGCTCCGACTAGATCCCCACGACGAACTGGCCTTACAAACCCGGCTCCAGCTCCTCATCGCTCTCGATCGCTTCACCCAAGCTGTGACGGCAATCGAATCTGCTCATTCGGCCACATACAAACCTTATTGCTGCTACAAACTCGCGCGACCGAGCGAGACTATCGTTCTAGTGGATGACGACGGTCGTGAGCGCCAACGCGAGCAGCAAGATGATCGCACAGCCTTCGTCCTCCGAGCACAAGCTGTGAGGACTTGGCACAGCAGTGCAGTGCTGAGGCCGGGTGAGCGAATGAGATTGCACGTTCTAATCGAATCTTCTGGACTATCTTTCCCGCAGCTGTACCGCTTGGAACGATTCGAAGAGGCAAGAGACCTGTTTGAAGACTTGATCGCTTCGACGGACGAGGTCAGTGTCGAGGCGATAAAGATGTCTCCTCAGCTTGAGCCCTTCTGAAGCTGATCACTCCATTTGCATCTAGGCGTCACCGGAGGTTATAGACCTGCGGGCGAATGTGGACGCCTGCTTGCAGCACCTCGCCTTCGTGTCGACGACCGTGCCAAATGCGCTCTCTGTTTTTACAGCTGCCAGACTCGATCAACTTGAGAACTCGCCAGTGCCCCAGCTTGTACACCACAAAACCAACTACAGCAGACCTTCGGCATCGCAATTGGTCGCGCAGGCCGCCCCCAAAAAGCCACGGCATCGTCGACCCGAACACCTCGCTGCTGCCTCCACACCACCTGACGAGGATCGGTGGTTACCCAAGCGCGAACGAGCAGGGGCCGAACATATTCGAAAAAAGGAGATCAAACGAGGCAAGATCAAGGAACGACTGGCGATGCAGGGTGGCACGAGTTCTATGGGTGCGGCCGCTGAAGCAGGGCAGACCGCTAGCAGGAAAGCTGATCCAAAGAAAAAGAAGGCCAAAGGTCGCAAGTAGCGGACCGGTAATTGGTACAACTATTATGATTGGGAACAGGTAGCTGGAACATAGTACTGCAACACTGAGGAAGAGCGCACTCCTTCTTTCAATCATGACGACAGTTGTGTAGGCAAGCGAGCGCCGTAGCATGCTGAAGCGGGCTCGAACCGAGCCTACCTCGTGGTGCCAAGGATACACAGGAGAGGGGCTCGACGGGGCTCAGCGCTCGGTGTGGCGTGAGGAGCTGAAAGGCCGAAAGGCGGGAGAAGCGACGATACTACTACAACAACCTTGCGACGACTTCCACCCGGACCGGTTTCCGAGGGTTTCCGCGCGAAGCTTCGTCGCGTTTCCATCTTGGCTTTGCGACGACCTTTGCTGCAGAGCTCGGCCGCGACTTTCGACGCCGTCGACCATGAGATGCTAGCACGTCCCGGATTCCAACTCGCAGCGGTGAATGCTGCGGTTCGCGTTCGGACAATCGTGCCCTCGGTAGCAGCCGTTCGACGACGTCCGGTCTATACCGCGACCGCGCCTTCTCACTCGCCGCGGCGCGGTGGTGTCGCGCGTCATCCCGCGTTTGAGGACCTCTCGATCGAACTCAAAGACTTGCCCGAGTTCCCGACCCGGGCAGAGCAAGTCAGGATTCTGAATGAGCCGTCCCAGTTCTACCAGACCCTACTTGTACGTCCACGTCAAACGCTCTTCGCCGCCGCTGCCGCTGCTCATTTGTGCTCGGTGGGGGTTCGCGGTCGGCGGTCCGGCAGATCCCTGGCACTTGGCACACGGCACTTGAACCCAGCTACGCCCACTGATGCGGTTCCACTTGACATTTCTCAGCACCATATCTCTTTGGCCAAGCATAGAATTTTCATCGCGTCTCTCTACGTCGGCAAGGAGGAACATCAACTTGTGAGAGCTCCGCACCGCAACCTCCCACTCGGGTCCCCATACTGATCCGAGCAACCATTCACGGGCTGCGTTTCGCACGAACCACTCGGCAACCAATCCATCGACACCTACGAGCTGATAGGCACAAGCTCTATATGACGCACTTAGGCGATCACCTGAACTAAAATTAGTTCTGCTCCTCGACTATCTTCGTTCGACGCGCGAGCTTCCTAGCCCTTCTTCGGCATCGTTGCTCGGGTCATTGACAGCGGCGTTCCCGAAGCAGGTCGAGCTGCGACTGTATCATACGCCCAACCTCGTAGGATGGCGAAAGAAGATGGTCCCCAGGCGGTTCGACGAGGGCTGGGGACTTCAGCACATCAAGTGCTATGGGTTTGATGATACCGTCATCATCAGCGGGTCAGTCCTCTCGAGGCGGGGCCGAGCAGCGAAGAATTGGTCCCGTGAATCGTCGGTTGACTTGCCCATCGCCTCTTCCAAGCAGCGCCAATTTAAGCGACGACTACTTCACGAACCGGCAAGACCGCTACATGGAGTTCAGCTCGCATGCCCCTTTGGCCGACTACTTTTCGTCGCTGCTTGAGCGCATCTCATCTTTCTCGTACCTAGCTACGGCTATCGACACGTCGACCCAACACCCCGCCATCGACATTCGGTGGCCAAATTCCAATATTGGCTCGTCCCCGATCGAAAGCGCACCTTCCTTCTCAGAAGATCTCAAGCTCGCTGCTGGCAACTTGGTAAATACTCTCACCAAGCAGTGGGCGTCTCGCTCCCCGTCTGATCGAGCAGGCTCAAGTTCGAGTCGAACCGGCCCGCCTTTCGATACCTCGGTTCGACCCGTAATTCAAATGGGTCTTTTTGATGTTAAACAAGAAACGGATATGGCTGTCCCGAGCATCTTCAAGACCGCGAATGCGTTGGCGACGGCCCCTGGAGGTGCGGCAACAACGTTGAATTGGACCTCGGGTTACTTCAGCGTACACGAGCAATACAAGGCCATGGTTCTGAGTTCCAAGGCCGGTGTACGGATAGTAGCCGCTTCACCAGAGGTGATGTACTAATTATCGCCATCGGCCATCGTGTCACTTCCCTGCTTAACCTGTTCCTCTGTCGACGTCACAGGCGAATGGCTTTCACAATTCGCGAGGGGTATCCAAATACATCCCGCCGGCGTATACGCACCTCCAGCACCAGTTCTACAAGCAGATGATCGAACAAAGTCAACGACGCGATCGGGAAAGCCATGTTGAGCTTCGCGAGTGGAAGCGCCAGGGCTGGACCTATCATGCCAAAGGTGAGGAGGGAAGGGTTTGGCCGCTCTTCCCTGCTTAGTGCTGATTATGTTTGCTCACTAACAGGTATCTGGTTGACCCCCTCGCTCACTTCTCCTACTCGCTTTCCTCACAACCATAGCCCGAGGTCGGACTATAATGACCTCGACGGCTGGATCCGGCACACCCATCCAGTGCCGCCATGGCTGACCGTTATCGGCTCGTCCAACTATGGCAGTCGCTCGGCTTCTCGCGACTTGGAAGCCAACGTCTTGCTGACTACCAGTTCGCCACGACTGAGGAAGACGCTGGGGAAGGAGTTGGAGGCGTTGAGATCATATGCAGTCGACATCGTCAACGAAGAGTTATTCAAACGCAAGGATAGGGTAGTTCCTTGGGGTGTCAGAATTGCGGCGAAGGTTATTGAGGACATGTTGTAAATCCCTGAAGGCCTTTGGAGCTGAAGGTTTCGTTTTGAAAGACGGGGAAGTCCCAGCCCGGGAATGACCCAGTCTGAGATCACAATGGGCGGAATGCCCGGAATATCCCGCACGAGCGTAGCTGCTGTTGAGGACCAATAAGAGAGCCCGGTTCAGGCCCCCGATTCGGCTGATGCCGGATCGTTACCCCCTCCCCCACTCCGCGAGAAACGGTGGTGCAAGTGACCTGTCCCCTAGATGGATGTGGGCTGAGGAGAGTGAGGACACTGTGGAGTCGTCCACACAGCGTGGGTAAGAACCGTCGACGTTTCCCACGCACCACGAGCGGTTCCCCGATTAACTGCAAAGAGGCGGATGGATAACGCCGGCGCCCCAGCGCCGTCTTCTCGGAAGCCCAGAACAGAGACTAACATGCATCTTATTAATCTCTTCACAGAGTAAGTGGGATGCTGAAGTTTCTGCGCTCTCAACAGGGGTGGAATTTCTCGTGCTCGTGTGAGGTGCGCCGCCGCCTGCTGGGACGATCCGACTTTTATGCGCGTTCCCGTTTCGGTACTATTTCGAGCTTTGCATTACTTGACTGCGTTTCGCATATGATCCCTTGTCGAGTGTATGCAGCGAAAAGTGATAATCCGAGTCATGGGCATCGAATACTCGCCCTTTGTTGTCAGACTCCCGAAGAGAGGGTTTTCCGTGAGAGGTTCAGGACCCGTCGCCCCCTGCGCGGGCCCGCTAATCCCTGAAGCTCTGGAAGAGCTGAAGGTTTCGTTTCGAAAATTGGGCGGTTCCAGCTCAGAATTGGTGCAAATCTCAAAGTGTCTCAGAATTCGGCCCCTGAGTCCTCAGGCACAGCTTCCCCGCACTTTATGAAAACGCGCGCGGCGTTGTTCGGCCTAGCTCAGGGATCAGGACTCAGGAGACAGGGACCACGGAGTCACGGACCCGGCGGCGGGGTCGCTCTTGGTCCTTGACTCCTTGGACCTCGTCATAAAGCATAGGGGGGCGAGGGGGGGCCGGTTGCCATAACGGGGCGGGAGGGCAAGAACTAAGAATAGCACAGGTTTCACGCCCTTCGAGCCACGTCGCTTTCGAAGCTTCGCCTTGTCATTCGTCACTTGCACACGGCCCGACCCACCCTGCACACTCTACACTTGTGGGCTTGTCAGACTCTGCAATCTTCTTGTCATCTTAGGAGCGCGGACCTAGTACCCAGACCTACAGCATCCGGACCTGACACTGGCCGGACCTAGCACCCGGATTTAGCCTGTCTTGATCCAGATCCCCGAACTCGAGTCAAATTCTGCTGCTGATTGTGCCCAGTTGCACGCTTCTCGAGCCAACATGTCTACTTTGTCGCACCTTGTTCACCTTCAAACATTTGAAGCGCCTTCTCAGCTGAATACACTTGATGAGTTTGATGAGATCAGGTTAACGACACAAGTTGGCCCTCGAGCTCGAGAGCAGCCAGTCGTACTACACAGTTACTATGGTCCAAAGGATGATTCAGGGTCGACTCCGCAAGCATCTTCGGCTGTCCTCAAAACCTCGGTGTCTCTTCATCTCTGTCTCCCTACTTGTCACCACGCCACCTTCATCTACCTCTTCCGCGACAAGCAATGACTCCGACCCCCTCTCTGACTGACCGGCTGCCAACATCATACGACGCTCTAGATTACGAGCGAACTTCCCTCACCCACGAGGACGTTCAGAACATTGTCGAAGTCTACAACGCCTACCTGACGACCTTAACCAACATCGTCGATCATCGCTCGGTTGCCGATTTCGTTCGTCTTCAGAAACCGGGGAACTACGGCGAAGTCGCACTGGCTACGGCGGCCGGTCAAGTCGCCAACATATGGCTTGTAGGCCGAATCCAAACCATTGATCCTGCAGGGGGAATCGTGCCAAAGAAGTAAGCGAAGCCACGTGTTACTGGAGATCTACGCTAGCGCTAACCAAGATGCCGCAAACTTCTATACATGCCCCTGAACAGCCAGCAATGGCGCCTCGAGCGAGATTGCGTCAGGCCTGAAGATCTCGACCGGGAGATTCGACTGGAGCTGTTCGAGTCCGACTCGGAGGTCGTAAAGTTTCGAAATTGGCTCCAAGGAGGGGTGTCTCAAGCCCTTCATCAGCACTGGAAACTTCCCAAGAATCTTCAAGGTGAGCCGCTTGCTGAACTTAGGCGGTGTTAGGCGTGCGAGCAGGGTGCTGATTCTGCTGCTGCTTCCCATCGGCTACTTTAGAACTTGCGGAAGTGGCATCGCCATTTGGGCGCAACTCAAATAGTGCATACATCCACCACCGTGTGGTGACCACAAAAGAGTGAGTGCGCGTTTTCCTCACCTACTAAGTTCCCGCAGAAGGGGCCAAACTAACACTGGTTTCACAATGGCATCCTCTGCAGCTGTTGGAATCACGTCTTTGGCCGCGACATCCCGTTCCCTGCCAGCATCAAAGCCTCTATCCCTCCTTGGCTGGGGACGGATAGTGAGGATCCGGCAAGGGAAAGGGAAGATTTACAATTTTGGAAGGAGCTGTTGCAGCTCCGCTTTCAAGGAAAACCGACGGAGCTGGCCGCGCCGACGCCCTTCCCGGTTTCCTTCGCAGACGACCCGAATCGACAAAAATACGCACACACAATTCTGCAAGCAGTGGATGTGTGTGGGATTATGTGCAACGTACAGATCCATGTGTACGAGGACAAGAGAAAAGAGCAATGGATTGCACGCTGTCAATTGACCCCGGTGGCAGCCCGTATCCATATTATTGTGGGCCTGCCGCCCGAATTGCGATGCTTGCATGAATGGACGCCTCAAAATTCCGGAAAGACTTCATCGGCCATTCCCCTGTGAAGAGGTATGCGTACGAGGCCGAATTCGAATTGGACTTTGCCGACCTCACTAATAAGGGTAAGTGGAGACACCGATGCGCCTAACACTAAGTCATAAGTCAACCTGACATAACCCTTCTTCACCCCCGTCTGACTTGATCTTTTTGGCTGCTCTTTTTCTGACTTGATCTTTTTTGCCGATGAAGTCTGTCGGGAATTTTGAGGCGTGCCCTGGCAGCCAACAAGATCAAGTCAGACAGCGACAATAGCAGCGCCGACGAACACGAATTCGGCCTCGCGGGCTTCGAACAGTTGGGCGCCTGACCAATCTACTCACTTTCTAGTACATAGCTCATTTTTACCAACTGGTATAGAATGAATGCCCTTTCGATGTTAAACTCGACCGCGCCGCGCTTGAGAGGTTCAGGGACTCGTCGCCGCCCCGCGGCGCGTCAATCATTATATGGAGCAAAGAAAGAGGGGCTCAAAACTGCTCTGCGTTGGGGAAAACCATGGCCCATGGCTCCAAAGTTTAGGCTTTCGAAGCGGTGATCCAGCTTCGCACCTACAGCCTTTCCCGCCATCTGACCCAAATTCCAGATTCCCTGCTTCGGTAGCTCATCTTGATCCCCTGGACTCGTCAGTATGCCGGTTATCCCGCTCTCAGTTCCTCGCCCCTCGCCGTCGGTCCGTAGGTTGGTGTTCTGTGGATCAAGGAGGAGGCGCCCGACAGGAGACGTCCAGGTCCACTTCTCCCACGGGTTCCCTCACCGGGCAATTCGAAGGCACTGTATTCGGCTCCTCGGCAACATGACTCCATTTACCCATCACGCATCAGGTGGCTTTTCCGCCCCCTGAGCGGTTGTACGATGAGGTCAGTGCGATCTTCCAAGGGCACGATGGGCAGGAAAAAGGTGACCGCAAAACAATGAGCTGTGTCCGGGCAACTCGATGCGATGCACCACGACTGGGGTTATACTAGACGTGTTCACACCATCGCTCTTGCTCTTGCTACTTCTATTCTATCCTCTGAGCTGAACCCTTCAACCCGCAACATAAAAGCCTGTCATGGGATTTTTTCAGACCGTCGTGACCGTGGTTGCGACCCTTTCGAGCCTCGGCAACTTCTTGGCGGCAATGCCCCTCCTGCGGGGCGAGCATCCGGGGGTCTCGAGTGTCGAGAGCAAACCTATCGAGCCGCAAGGAAGTCCGAAGGAGCTACCGTACGGGTTATACTCCGACTATTGGCCGTCCTTCACTTACCCTACTGGTGGGGAACGGTGGGAGGCCGGATCGGAGCACATCGTCCGGTGGAATCAAAAGCTACCGCCGCATGTCACGTACTCGCAAGTACCTCAGACAGCCGACCTCGTATTGGGTTATTGGGACAAAAAAGGGATGCAATCGGGCGAGAACCTTGAACGTGAGCACTCATGAGTCGGCGCTGTAGTCTTGACCATTGAGCTTGCGCGTGACATCGCAGTGCCACCGGGCCGCCGACGCGTCACACTGGCTGACACGACGTTGACTGTGAAGCAGTGAAACACCCTTTGGTCAAAAACGTGTCTCTCTACATCCATGGCCAAAATCTCGTCAAGTTTAGGCTGCCTTGCATGCGCCACTTGAAGGAAAAAATATCGGAACGTCAATAGTGAGCCACAGCCACGAGCCCGAAACGATTGACCTTCGAGCTTTGACCCCGGTTTGAGCGGCAATCCCTGATCCTACAGTTTCTTCGCCCTGATCGGTTCTACCCGCAATATCTCACCCACCTTCACCATTACTGTCCCCAAATCATCTCGTTGCAGCGCCGCCAATCAAGGAAAACCTCCCTCCCAGGCTCCCCTAATCGGGGAATAAAATCACGACGTCGCTCCCGAATGCATCATCACGAATGCATCATCATGTTCTTGTCGACCACTAGCACCAATATGATGCTCGCCTCGGTTCTACTTTCCTTGTCCCATATCTTGTTTCTTCCTCAAGCACATGATTTATTTTGGATAGAGCTCTATCACCTATAGCCCGCCTGACTCACTCGCAGTCAGACGTCACATCGCGAATCCTGCAAAAGCGAAATGAAGTAAATCACACACTGTACTTACTGGGCTCTACTGGGACACTTGGGGACTCTCGGAGACTACTCTAGCGGCTACAAGCGGACTTTAGGGAAGACTCAATGCGATGACCTGCGATGACGCTCCTCGGATAGCCTCAGATCCCCTCGCCCCTCCCGGGTCCCCCTCTCCGCCACGCACCGCGACGTCGGACTACTGACTTCGAAGCAGCGCGGAATGGCTCCCACTCGAATGGGATTGATGGTGATGGCTGCCCGCGTACTTGCGCTGCTGCTCGCGGTCCTAGCGCCATCCGTTCAAGCGAGCGATCCCAGTCCGAGTTCGAGTGCGACCACTCGCACGTCGCCGGAGGGTTTGCACATGACCGTCATCCGCGAGACGATATTCATACCTCGCGAGACGCAGCCTGTGGCCGTACAGCCACCATCGAGTTCGCTGGTTCCGGCTTCAGGTCGAGCCGCAGAGCCACCGGCCGACATCATCACCATCGTCACTAAGCTCCAAGGTCAGTGCCGTCGCTCGGTGACCTCATCAGTCCCGAGGCTGGCTCTTCCGCTTGCATGATCGCGCACTGGACTGAACCTTTTCAATCTCAACTCGTTCTGACTACAACTCTAGCACTCCATCCCTTGGTCACCTACTTCGTTCACCATCCAAGTCGCCTCGTCGTTGTACTCGCTCCCAAGCTCGGTTGCGGGCTCTACTTCGTTGCCTCCCTCGTTCTACGTCTCATCCGATGGCTCGTCCTCACCTTGATCTACATGCCCATCCGCATGGTCATCTCAATCGTCATCCAACCTTTCCTCCCCCTTTACCGGGCTGTCGTCTCCCTCGCCCCTGTATGGACCATGCTGCTTGGCGCGCTCGTCAGCGGCATCGCTATCGGAGTCTTCACGGGCCTCTCGACAGCCGAGCCGACGCGAGAAACGATCGTGGCGGCGCAGGTTTTGGCGGCTCGCTTGGTCTCCCTCTCCACATCGACCATTTCATCGGCGAGCGCGGAAAATCGGAGAGAAGCGTCGTGGGAAAAAATGCGGTCGTCCACTTTGTCCTCGAAGAAGCACACGAAGGGTGGGCTGAGGTATAGGGGCCCACCCGAACCCATCTCGGCTCCCGGAGGATGGACCGAGCGTAAGCAGAGAGCAACTACATAGGTCGAATCTGGGAATGTAAGACGTTGTGTCCCATCTTTCACCGTTTGTAGTACAGTTCGTTTCCTTCGGAATTGTTGTATATGATACTATACTGTGCACGAATCGGTCAGTTGTCGAATCGCGTTCAGGTAGTGAAAAGTTGGGTCCGTGATAGAATGACCTTGTCTTTCATTACAAAACTTCTTTCTGTGGAGACGAATCCGCTCCAAAGATTATCGTTCGTCTTCCTGGGCATCAAGCGGGAACAAATAGCTCCGGGACTCAGAGCGTGGTGTGCTTCTGCAAAAGCGACGAGACGATCTCGAACGCGACGAACTGCAGCGAAAGGGCATTCGATGTTAAACATACAGTACTCGAAACAATATTCAAAAATACGTCGCCTAGACTCACTGTGGAAGCGGCGGCGGGTACACTGAGGGAAACGGCACAGGGGGGCGTGGGGCGTCAGCAATTCGCAAAAGAATACCCAGCCGCTTGCTCTCGGCCCGCCCAACGGATCACTTACGCTCGGATATCTACAAACGAATGGGCCGGCGCCCAAACCGAATAAATCAGCAAAGCCATACACTTGACAATTACCTCGCCGCCCAAAATTGTGAAGCGAGCTTACACGTTGGTGTGATCCCCCTTACGAATGCGCTCGAGCCTTCTTCTCTGTAAATTTTGGCAAAGGTCGCAGTGATATAGTTGATTCCCCGGGGAGGTTGATCTTGGAGCTGTATCCGGGATTTGACCACGTCTGAAAGGGTTTGGGCGCGAGAAATAAACAAGGAAGAGAACACATGAGCTAATGGGGTCATTAGGCGAACCGGTAAGACTCACCGAGCGGATAGCTGTGGCGAGTCAAGGGTAGGCAAACGAGCACAGCCAGGCCAGAGACAAGCACCATCAGTCAGCTTGTTCCAGTACTCGGATTTGCGGGTGAATAGGACATACCAAGCTGTCCAATACGCGATTCCGCCCACCGCGCCCGACGTCAGTGTTGCCCACACGGGCAGTTCGGTGGTGTGGAGTGAGGTTTGGAACGTTCGCTTCGAGTACTCGTATCCTGTGGGCAAGCACGAGCGTTGAGCGCCATGCATGAGCTCTCTGTTAAGAAGTAAATTGATGGGGACAACCTTCTAGCTCACCGAGATAGAATCCTCCGTAGGCTGCGAAATGAATCGAGAGAAAGGTCAAGAGATGTTTCTTTTCGCGTGAAAGTACGGAGGGGAACGGACCTGGGATCTCACGCAAGACGGTGATCTGAAGTCAAGAGAGGAGGCACATTGTGGATCAGCGAAGGCTGCCCAGTACATAAACGTAGACTTTTGACTGCCCACCCAGTATCCCCTCATGATGCCTCGCTTCCACCCCCACTTCTGGTGCATTTCGCCGACAGTTTCCCGCAACCGTTTTGGATTCGGACCATACTGCGCTTGCATTCGAACCTGCAAAGTGAATGTGATTCGATTCAATTGGAGAAAGGCAGGAAAGCCTATCAACTCGAGGAGCCCGGCGGCCACCTACCTTGAACATCTCGACCGGACTGGCGAGGACGGATTGAGCCGCTCCTGCCATGGCCCCAGCGACGACAACTTGAGCGAGCGACAAATCCGGGTACGGCGAGACAAGCTTCCTCGCTTGTTGATTTGCACCAAATAGAAGCGAATTGACACCTGCCACACCAATCAGCGGCGAGACCATGCCCTTGTACCTGAATATAAGTGAGCCGAAATGGGGCATAAGTGGCAAGCTTCGGGATCAAAGAGCCGATGCTTCAGTCGGGTCTTAGATACGACGCTCGTTGACTTACAGGGCCAATATTCCCTCTTTCTTGATGGTCTGCAGAGCGATATCAAGTGGCCCTTTGAAAGCCCCACGGGGCGCCGTCTGGGCACGGGTTTTGATCGTGTCCTGGGAAAAAGTGGAGCGCCAATCGAGCGAGCGTGAGCCAGGCATGTAACTTCGAGCTCGTAGTGGTTGCCTGGAAGAGGACACGTCGATGCTCACAAGAGGCTGTCCGACCAAGACCTGAAGAAGATGGGGACGAGGCAAGTTAGCGTGGGTGCCGTATTGGTGAGCTCTGTTCACCGTTCTGACCTACTTGAGCCATTCCACCCGCGGAGCCTGCGATCAACGACGACAAGGTGGATGGCTGTCGGCTTAAGAGCTCATCCCTCGGAGTGGGGGACACCTCCGTCATATTCCACAATTGTCGGCAGCTGTGGGGTTTCCGAAATGCACCAGGGGGAGACTAACCGCGCCGCTCGACTGAACGCGGCCCCTCCCTCGATGGCCCTCGATCACGTCACCGAGCCCTACCGAGCCCGTTTCGGGGTTTGCGAAACAACTACAAATTCTCGTGCACAAGGTGCAAGCCCCAAAGTGTCCCCAGATTCGTTGCTGTGGCCGAAATGTCCGTTCAAATGAATTCTTCCCTTGGCGTGTGTGTTTTCGTTCGGTGTATTTGAGTAGACTACTGCCGAGAGTGTCTCTTTCGGAACAGGAAGCAGAATAAGTTTTACGAAAAGTGGGCGAGCATCGACTGCAAATGGCACGGCAAGAATACAAGTGAAGGTGAACAAGATGCAAGTGATGAAAACAAGAGTAGACCTCGGGCTGCCTGCGCGCAGGCAAGTTTATGCGATCCAATTCTTGAACGCATACCTGGTCAGAGAGCACGGGTCAAAACGGTCAGCTTGGGCCTGCCACCAGTAAAGGTCTTCGCCAGCGCTCACTTTTCGACAATCTTGGTTCTGTGGTCCTTGTCGTGACCGCGACCACCACGTCGACCACCTTTCTTGCTTTCGTTCGCTCGCTCGACTGGCACTTTGCCTCGCCTCATCCCGCTCGAGACCCATTCCTTCCAAAGATTGCCCTCCGGCGCGACGTTTCGCAGGTTGTCGGCAAGCTCGTCGCCGAGTTGGAATGTCACGGGCGCGTTCGGGACTCGTGACGGTCCAGATCGGAAACGAGTCAATCCACCTTCGGATAATCTGGCTTTCCTGACCTTCATCGCCGCGGCCTTTTCGGCCAAAGAAAGCTGTCTCGACGCCTCGATCGCGGCATTGACGGACGGCGCATTGAGCACGGAGGCGATCCTGGCCTTGGATGCTCGCCGTTCGGCCATTTTTTGCTGCTCGTCCCGAACCAAAAGCTTCCTGTTGCGCTGTTGTCGCGTTTTCCGCTTGGGAGGGTTCTTTTTGGAGGGTGCGCCCACATCGCCGGTCTTGGTGGCGTCGTGGCCCTCGTCCTGATCCTGATCCTCGTCCTCGCCCGACCCAACTTCATCCTCGAACAATTCCCACAGGAATTTTTGCTGGTTTGAGACACGTACTCGGTCCATGGCCTCCTTGACAGGTTGGCCGCGCCCTTCGCGCTCCTCGAGGGTGGTGTAAATCTCGAGCGCGGACGAGAGGAGCGCTTGGTGCTGGCCGTGGGCGGGGTTGTAAGACGTTCCAGGATGGGGCGTAGGCACAGATCTAGGACCATGTGAGTCGGCCACACCGAGCAATGCATGTGAACGTAATGATGATGGCGGCTGTCGATGTCGATGACGATGTTGAGAATGTGGCAACATGATTAAGGTCAGAATCAACTGGTCTGGTCCGCAATTCTTGATCGAGACAAGAAGGGGGGTTGCTCACCTTGGGCTTGATCTGACCGAAATGCCCCCGCATGACTTGTTGCATCGACATGTCGACATCCATATCGTCTTGCTTGACGGATACGACACTGCCCCACGCATCGTACTCTTTGCCGCCACCGATGATCAATCCGTTCTGACTCGCGGCAGGCCTCTCGTCGGTGGTCTTGACGGCCCACAGCCCCTGTCCCTGTCCGTTGCGCCCGACGATGCGCTTGAGACGTTCTTTGGTCTCGCGATTGACCTTTGCGGCTTTGCGTTGTTCCTTCTTGACGATGGCCGAGGCATGAACCGGTACGGCACGATTCGAAATCGGTGGCACGGCGGACCGAGCAACGAGGATCTGCTCCGACTTGAGCGGCTTCTTGAACGAGGTGCCCTTGCGCATCTTGGCCGCGGCGGGGGCCTGGACGTGGTCACGCAGCAGGGCATGGCGCACAGAGCTGGACCCGACGCTATCGACTTGGAACAGTGCATCGGCGTCGGTGTCTGTTGCGGCAGCGCGGGACGCTCGGCTCGCAGCGGCGGTCGAGGGGGTCGGTGCGAGTGCCGCTCGCGCCGATTCGGCCGAGGAGGGAGCGGCCTTCTTGGAATTGGCTCGTCCGGATCGTCGGGTTGTCATCGGGGGAGCGACTTTGGACATGGCCGCGAGTCGTCTCGAGTGGGTAGAGGAGGTTATAAAGGTTTGGCACGCGGTGAGGTTGCACGTGAGCAGAGGAGAAGCAACGCGCCCAGAGTCGGCCTCGATCACTCGCTTCAGTTCGCCTCAGTTGGCTGCGAAGCATGGCAGAGCACGCTTTTAGCAAGGCGCGCGCTCAATCTGCCACAGCAGCGCGAGAGGCGGTCGAGCTAATTGCGAATTACAAACTACCAAGCGCCTCGACTTATTACGAATCCTTCCGAATCGCTTGTTCGAGTCCGATAACAGTACAGCGCGCTTGGCTCGCGTTTCGTCGTCTTGTCGCACCTCGCTCGTCGACGTCGCACGGCTGCCCGCTGTTTCCCCCCTGCAACAGGTTGCCCACCGTGCCACTCCCTCCTCGCTTGACCGCCAGGACCCTGGCTAAAGCTCAAGCCAAAGCCAACAAGGGTACCGCTGTTGCTGCATCGACCGACGAAGCCCACTCACCAGCGCTGCATTCGCATTCGCATTCGCACTCGCACTCGCACTCGCATTCGGTCAGCTCGTGGATCGTCCAGCAGACCAACACAGCGACGGAGTTTGACGCATCCGACGCATCCGACGAGATGGACCGTGATTCCGGTACCCACTTCGCTTCGAGCCCTGACGGCAAAGCTGCAGAGGCAATCCGAGTCGCTGTCACCAGCGGCTCCACTACCGCGAGGACCGAGGCCCTCGAGCAGCTCGTACAGCTCGTCACTTCACGTGAGTACCTGCAGCAGGTACTTTCTTAGACGTCGGAATGCGAAAAAAGCGATTTGTTGACTCGATGATCCGCCCCTCAGGTCCTCTTAATGAGGCTCAACTTCAAGACGTCGTGCGAATCCTTCTCCTCACTCTCGCCTACACCGACGGGCGAACACGCCACCTCGCACTGCAGGCTCTCGAGCATGTGCTTCTCCAGTCTCATGAACAGCAGAAATCGAGTCCATCGGCTACCGCCCATGGCCCACCACTTGTAGCCGGTCTCCTACGCTGGCTCGAAACCGAGGCCAAACGCGCTGAGAAAGGGGGTGCCGCTTCGTCTCGCTTTGTACCTCTTACATGGGCCTGCATCGTGTATTCGACCTGGCCCGTTGGAGGGCAACGAGCCCAAAACGGCGAATGGTCCAATCTCGTTAATTCGCTCGCCGCCTTGGTCTACTGTTTCCTCGACGGTCGCCATGACGTCAAGCCTTCGCTGCGCAAAGCCGTGCTCACCGTGGCTCGCCGCGCCGTGCGGTCGGCGCCCAACGTTGTGCCCAGTCTGGTGCAGCTGCTCACCTCAGCCACAAGCAGTGCGACCGCTTTACGGAATGCTCCGCTCCTGGGGCTCACCATGGATGTGGTGCTGCGGTTGAAGCCCAAGAAGGGTGTCGACACGTCCGCAATCATGAAACAGGTGCGGCCGGCCGTTCAAACCTTCTGGGCCCAACACGTTCTCGGGGCCAAGTCGCTTCCGCCAAAGCACGTTATGCATGCCTTTGACGATTTCCTCGCCGCGACAGCCGGAGATGATGCTGCAGAACCGTCGTGGCTCGCCACGCTGGAAACATCACTGTCGCAAAACCCGGAGGTCGGCATCGCATCCGTGGAAGCGTTGCTCTCGAATCTACCCGAGTCGGTACTTTCAGCGACACATTTCCGCGGACGGTGTATCCCTCTGGTCTTGGCCTCGACCAAGTCGGCCGCGGTGGCAACTCGAGAAGCCGCGACGCATGTAGGGTGCAAGCTCGTAGCGGGAATCGAATCGGCCTCCGCCGACGACGTCGGAAAGCTCCGCAAGTTCGTGCTCGACTCGACCTGTCAACTATTGAAATCGGGCAAGACGGCGTCTCCCGACCATCGCGCGGCTCTGTACATCATCCTGTCGTCAGTCCCACCGTCCGAGGTGACCTCGGTCGAAATACAAACGACCGCCCTCGCGGCGTTGTCCAAGGAGTCGAATGAGCCCGTTGTGAGGGCCTTACTCCAGGCCGTCTCAATCCATGTGCCCTATCTATTGGCTCAAAACGTCGCGATCGGCGCGTCACAGACCGGCTCCCTTGTCAAGGCGATGCAAGAGACGAAAGCGACGACCCGCCGTGCAGCCCATGCTGCCGTCGGGGATGTATTCTGGGCTCTATCTCAATCCCCGACCGAAAGAACAGATGCGGCAGTCGCTTTCGCGACAGGGGTGCTTCCGGGAATAGAGTCGGCCCTCAAATTGCTGGGATCGAATCCTGTCAACGCTCCCTCAGGTCCGCTGGAAGGGTATGTCGCCATTGCTGTGTTGAAGATGCGGCTGCGGCTATGGGACATCAAAAAGATTGGTAAGGACGAAAGCCTTTTCCGCTTGGCTCTGTAGATGTGTGCTATGTTGACTGATGTTGCGATGCGCCACTCCACGCAGAGGACATGCTCAAGGCCAACATCACCATGAAAGGCTTGCTCGTGGGTGGGGCGAAGCCGTCGTTTCTGCTCTGGGACAAGGTATACCGCAAAGCCACCACGGCCGAAGAGGAGCTTTGGCTCCTTCGGGCTATCGAATCTGTCATTATTGCAGACGCCGCGACCGTGGAAAAGGATGATGCATTGCAGTCTTCTCTCTTCCAAGTAATTGCCCACCTCATTCTGCACAGCAGTCACTTCGAAACGCGGACAGCCGCGACACGAACTCTGGCTTCCCTGCAGCGCACCTACTCGAATTTGGTCCACTCGATCGTTGGCAGAGGTTTGCTCGATTGGATCACTCAGGTGAGTATCTGGACTTGCAAGCGGAGTCAAGCCGTCGCTCATCGAGCCACCACGCTTTTCCCTGGCAGGATCTCTCCGCAGCAAAGACCAAGCCGACAAGTGAAGACGCGCCGACGCCGGTAGACCTTGCACCTCGCTTTCGACCCATTCTCTTGGCGTTGGCTCAATTTGAAGACGAGGTCGAGCCCACGCAACGGGAGGAGCTATTGACTCGACTCGTCGTTCTCGCCCACCATCCCCGCATCACTTCAGGGAGCTCTGCTGTTTGGGTCGACATGCTTTTGCGCGCAGGCTTGGCTCCCGAGAGGGTTGTCGAGAACCGTGTGGATGAACTTATATCGCTGGTTCTCACGAACGCTCCTGCCGATGTCGAGGTTGGTCACCAACTTGCTCCCCCACTTGCCGTGGTGTCCCTTCTGACTTCCCGTTTGATACATCATTCGCAGGCTAAAACCCTTCCCGAAGCAGCGTACGCGGCAGCTTCGTCACTCGCGTTGATCAACCCCACCACCATCATACCCCGCTTGTTTAAGCAGTTGGGTGAGGATCTCGATCCGAAACAACTCGACTTCATTGGCACCACGGAGTTTGGGATCTGGTCGACATCTGAAGGCACGACCTTTGTGGATGGTGAGTGATTGGGTGGGGCGGCGGGTCGTGTTGCCGATAACTGAATTACTCTCACTCTGCGCGCTCGCAACAGTGCTTGCGGCGGCAAAGGCGAACGAAAAGGGCACAGCAGCCATCAAAAAGTCCAAGGATCGCGAGATTGAACTCTGGGAGGCTGAGTTGCGCGAGGCACTGGCCCGCAAGAAACCACAGGTCTCTACACTATCCAAGGCCGATCAAAGGATCTTCGAGCAGCAACTTGTTGTAGAGGCCGACACTCGAAGAAAAATGCGCTCCGCGTTGGGTCGAGTGCGTCGAGGATTCAAGCTTTCAATCTGCCTCGTGCAGTCGCATGCAGAATTGGTCAACGAGTATCTCGCATCCATCATCAGCGAAGTCCTGTCCGTCATTGCATCCCCCGCGGCTAGCCTCGTCGCCGAAGATGCATTCGACACATACCTTCTACTTGGTCGCGTCTGTTCGCCTCGGCTCGGCTCCTTTGAAGGAGCGCTAGGTGTCGCTGTGCTGCGGAGCTTGGACGCGCCTGTCGTACCCGAAAGCTTCCGCGCTGAGCCCTTGTCTGCGCTGGTGACGCGAGTACTGTACCGCATTCGCTTCCTCGCCGAAGAAACACCGTTCGACTCCGCAACCTTTGCTTACGCCGCGCCCCTCGTCAACAGCGCAACACGCGCCGTCGATCTCAAATCAGCGTCGCTCGAGTCCGTGCTCGAGCAAATGACGCTTGCTTTGGACTTCCTAGCTTACCATGCTCGTGCTTGCGCCGGGACGGCTTTCCCCCGTCTTGCCGTCATCAACGATATCCTTTCCGTGTTGTCGTCCTTCCCTGCATTGGCCCGCGCAGCGACCACCACCTTGGTCGACGTTTGCGAGGCCATCAGGGACAATGCGAGTGCCTTAGAGATCGAGACCGTCCTGGCCGCGCTCAGGTCCGAGGAGACTTCGCTCAGATTCGCGTGTTTGCAGGCGGTTCAACCGCTCGACTTGACCGACCTGGTCTTTCCGGCCAACCTTTGGGTCGCATGCCACGACTCAGACCACCGAAATCGGGAATTAGCGGTCACGGCGTGGGACGACAACGCACTGGACGTCCCGGAATCGTTTCTGGAGATCCTCCTTCCTCTCTTAAGTCATCACGCCGCAACGATCCGAACTTCGGCCGCCGAGGCCGTCGTCGCTGCTCTTGCCACCCACCCTACTCAGTTAGACGAGACAATCGCACAGCTGGCAGCAGAGTACCGAGACAAGGCGAAAGAGATCGTACCGCAGTACGATCAGTTCGGCATGATCATCGAGGAGTCGCTGACAGCCGAAGACCCGTGGAAAACGCGCGAGGCGTTGGGCACGACCTTACGCTTGGCCGCGCCTTTGTTCGAACCGAGACACGTTCAGAGCTTCTTCGACCTTCTCATTGACGATAGCGCCCTCGGCGATCGCAAACAAGCCGTCCGATCAGAAATGCTTGAGGCTGCGATGTCAGTCATCGACTTCCATGGCGCGGAAAACCTCCAAGCGTTGATCAACCGCTTCGAAGAGTTTTTGCGGCGCCCGAGCACGGGGGACGAAACGCAGGACTACACCTTCGAGTCGCTTGTCATCCTGTTGGGCCGACTAGCGCGCCATCTTGACCCTGCGGATACACGCGTCAAGACCGTCGTTGCTCGACTTGTGGACGCTTTGAAGACACCTTCCGAGGTCGTTCAAGCCGCAGTGTGTGACTGCTTGTCTCCCTTGGCTCGAGTCGTCTCGGATGAAGTTCCTGCACTCGTTGATCAGTTGATGGACGAACTTTTCCACGCGGAAAAGTACGCCGAGCGACGTGGTGCAGCCTTTGGGTTAGCCGGATTCGTTCGAGGGCGAGGTATCTCCACGCTGAGGGAGTTCAGCATTCTGGGCCAACTGCGAGATAATGCGGAGGACAAGAAGTCGATGCCAGCGCGACAAGGTGCCGTCTTCGCCTACGAGATCTTGTCCACCGTCTTGGGCCGGCTGTTTGAACCTTACGTGACCGACATCTTGCCAACGCTCCTTGCTTCCTTCGGTGATACCTCTAGGGAGGTGCGGGACGCGACTCAAGATGCGGCGAAAGCGATTATGAGTCAACTCAGTGGCCACGCCGTCAAGTTGATGTTGCCGACTCTGCTCGAAGGGCTGGATGAGAAGCAGTGGAGAGCCAAGAAGGGCGCGATCGATATGATTGGCAACATGGCATTCCTGGCCCCTCGTCAGCTGTCGCTCTCGTTGCCAACAATCTTGCCCCGCCTTACGGAGGTCCTGATGGACACGCACAAGCAAGTGCGCGAGGCGGCCAACTCGAGTTTGATGCGTTTCGGCGAGGTAAATACTTCCTCAGTGGGGTCTGGGTTAATCGTACCGGTGGTATCATGTGGACGCTGACTTTTTTCTGTTTGCGCAGGTCGTTACCAACCCCGAAATCCAAGTCATGACAAGCACTCTGCTGGATGCTCTCGTTGATCCAGCCAAAAAGACAGCAAAGGCACTGGATGCGCTTTTGTCTACGACTTTCGCTCATTTCATCGATTCCTCGTCTCTTTCCTTGGTGCGTACAGACACGTCACCAATCGCTACATTGCAAGACTGACCTGCCTTTCACCTGGATAGGTCGTGCCAATTCTCGAGCGTGGATTGCGCGAGCGAAGTGCCGACATCAAGCGCAAGGCTTCGGCCATCGTTGGCAACATGGCCACAATCACTGAGTCCCAAGATCTTATTCCTCACTTGCAGCAACTCGTCCCCCTACTGCGAGGCGTGTTGATCGATCCTGTCCCCGAAGCTCGCTCCACGGCGGCCAAATCGATGGGTGCACTCGTCGAACGACTAGGCGAGAACAACTTCCCCGACCTCGTCGAGAGCCTCATGGCTGTCCTCAAATCACCTTCGAGTGGTGTCGATCAACAAGGTGCGGCGCAAGGGCTCGCAGAAGTCTTGCAAGCGTGCGGTATCGACCGTCTCGAAGGAGTGCTGCCGACAATCTTAAGCAACACGAGCAACCCGCGCGTTTACGTGCGTGAGGGTCACATCTCGTTGCTCGTCTTCTTGCCCGCGACGTTCGGCGAGCGTTTCTCGCCTTATCTCGGTCGTATCATCCAGCCCGTGCTCAACGGTCTTGCCGACGATTCGGACTATGTTCGCGATGCCTCAATGCGCGCTGGCCGTATGATTGTCGCCAACCATAGCACAAAAGCGATCGATTTGCTGCTTCCCGAGCTCGAGAGTGGTTTATTCGACCCCAGTTGGCGGATTCGTCAGAGGTTAGTCGCACCGAGATTGATCGGTGTTCCTCTGTGATGTGCGCGACTGACGTCTTGAACCGTTTACTTGCCTTCTTACAGTTCGGTCCAGCTTGTTGGAGAACTTCTCTTCCGAGTTTCTGGTGTCTCTGGTAAAGTGGACGGCGACGAAGATGCCGAGGACGATGTCGACGAGCCGAGTATCGGGTCGGACGCCGCCCGCAAAGCTCTTCTTGAGACCCTTGGCCGCGAGAAGCGCGATCGCGTTCTGTCTGGCCTCTATATTGTGCGCCAAGATTCGGTCGGCGTGGTGCGCCAAGCGGCGTTGCATGTTTGGAAGGCTCTGGTATCTAATACGCCTCGCATGGTTCGCGAGATCCTCTCGGTGCTCAGTAAGTCGTGCACGTCGGCATCTCTCACGATCTGGTCGATCTTCTGACGTTTCTGTTGCCCCACCTACCTTGCCAGTGCAAATCATTGTCCGAATTCTGGCAGCCCCAGGAGCAGAGCAGCGAGCGGTTAGTTTGTTTGGATATATTTTGTTGTGGACATGAACTGATGGGTGATCTTTCCTACAGACTGCTGCTACGACACTTGCCGAGACGTGCCGCAAACTGGGCGAGGCGGTTATTGGCGAGGTTATTGGCATTCTTCGTAAAGCTATGTCTTCCTCCGATCGTCGCCAACGAGAAGGCGTCTGCTTGGCGCTTACAGAGTTGATGGCCAATACCAACCGATCCTCGCTCGAAGCACACGAGAGCGCTATCATCGAAGCTGTGCGCAATGCGCTCGTCGATCCCGAGCCGAGCGTGCGTACTGCCGCGGCAAGGGCATTCGACGTGGCCCAGCAAGTTATTGGCACACGGTCAATCGACGAAACGATCCCGACGCTGCTTGACGCTCTGCAACAGCCGGGCGAGACGGCGGATGCTGCCCTCGCCGCCCTCCAAGAGGTGAGTAATATTCTGATGCAGGCGCATAGCTGCGGCACAGTCCTCGTAATGAGTACTAACACCAACTTCATTGATCCTAGGTCATGCAAGTGCGAGCGGAGAAGATCTTCCCTGTCCTGATCCCTCGCCTCATCGCGCCCCCAATCACCGCGTTCAATGCTCGAGCTCTCGCGGCCCTGGTTCGCGTCGCTGGTAGCGCGCTCGGTCGTCGACTTACGCAAATTATTGATGCCCTTCAGCATGCTCAAGGCGTTGAGTCCGATAGTTCGACCGCAGGAGACTTGGACGACGCCCTGTCGGCCGTTCTTGGGTCGGTTGAGGATCATGACTCGGGCCTCGGAAGTCTTCTGATGCATATGCTGTCACTCGCCAAAGCCGAAGCTCCGGCGAAGCGAGTCGTTGGCTGCAATCTCTTTGCGCGCTTTTGCTCGGTCACGCAGGCCGACTTTGATGAGTGAGTGGCCTTGACCTGAGGTCGAAGTTGCTGTATAGAAGAGGATGCCTGACGCCACGCTTGCTTGCACTGCCAACAGCTTTAAGGTCGATTGGATTCGTCAGCTCGTGTCGCTCTTGGACGATCGGGCCCCTGAGGTAATTGATGCGGCTTGGGAAGCACTTGATGCGCTTGTCAAGACAGTCGAGAAGGATGAAATGGAAGGCTTTGTCGTTCCATTGCGCCGGACGATCGAATCGGTCGGTACGCCCGGTGTCGCCGTCGTTGGTTTCTCGAGGCCCAACGGCCTCAAACCCCTGCTGCGTCAGTTTTCCGGCTTGTAGCTGAATCAATAGCAAGCTAGGTGGCTGACGGGTACTGTTGGTCTGCTCATTGTACAGCCATTCTTCTGCAAGGCCTCTTGGCAGGGACGGGCGAGCAAAGGGAATATTCGGCTCACGCTCTGGGTGACCTCGTCGAGCGTACCGACCCCGCTGCTTTCAAGCCTTACACGATTCGTGAGTTTCAGATTCGACTTGCAGAAGCGAAAGACCGCCCTTGCCTAACGATTTTCCGACCCCCTAATGCCCTTCCCCGATACACAGAGGTCGTCGGCCCGCTTATTCGAGTGATTGGCGACCGCTTCCCGCCGCCAGTCAAATCGGCCATTCTCTCTACTCTGACTGTCCTTCTCAACCGGGTTCAGCAGTTTGTGAAGCCCTTCTTCCCGCAATTGCAGCGAACGTTCATCAAATCCCTCGCGGATGCAAGCAGTCTCTCGGTCCGAAATCGGGGCGTCACCGCTTTGGGCGTCTTGATGCAACATCAACCTCGTGTCGACGCAGTCGTGACCGATCTGGTCAACTTGGCGACGACAGAGAGTGGCGAGATCCGAGATTCGGTCGTCAACGGTTTGGCCGCTGTCGTTTTCTCGGGTGGCAAGAATTTGACTTCGGGACCCCAGGCGGCTTGCGTGGATTTGGTTTCGCAAGCGTTCTCGGAGCACGGACGAGGTGAGTGTTCTCATGAGTGTTCAAATCTTGCTCTGATCAAGTATCTGACACCAGAGGCGTTATCCCCTCCTCCATTTAGAGCCTTACAATCTCGCCATCTCGCGCCTGCTCGCCGGCCTTGCGACCCACGACCCGAGCTCGATTTCGTTCCTCGTCCAGTCCTTCCTGCTGGGAGAGCTTCCTTCGACTGCGCTTTCTTCGATCGCGATGCGTGAGCTGATCGACACCGCCCCGCGAGTCTTGTATGAAGTTGACCCCTCGGGGACGGTCGAGAAGGTGCAAAAGAACGCGGGTTCGGGCATGGCGCCTGCGATTGCACGACCAGCCCGGGATACGTTGGCGTTGTTCAAGGAGCGCAGTCCGTGGTGTGATGACGAGTCGTTGTTGGCTAGTTTGTAGGAACAGAAAAGGGCGAGACGATGTCGTAGGATCTTCATATTGAGGCTTTCCTGTCGTCTGATGAAGCAATCCAAAAAGAAAGAATGGCCTCGTTCCTGATCTCTCTTCTCTTTCTAGTAATGCGAGGGTCCACCCAACAAGAGATTAAAAAGGCTCGGAGATCGTGATCGTGGCAATCTAAGACGTGTTCGTCAAAGTCAAGGAATGTTTCCAGCCCCATGACGGTTGTTCACTTGAAAAGCCTCGAGAAGGCATTCGAAGCCAAGCCAGTGACCATCGACCCTCCCAGCCCACCGACGGATCCCAATAGGCCCGACATGCCGACCCCGGTAGCCCATCGGCGTTTTGCGTCCCGGTCCTAAATGTCGAAGGTGAGAATGAGAATGTGAGGTCAGTGAGCGGTCGGTGGGCCGAAGGGGAACATTGCCACAAAGCTTACAGCTGCCGAACGAAGGGGATGGAGAGGGTTTCAGGGGTACGCGATCTCAGTGGTTAGTGGATGCTGTCCATTTGAATAGATGGAAGCTAGATAGCTGACTCACCGTATGTGTACCCTACGGCATTGGTGAGGTTGAAGACCAAGGCCAGCGCGACGATGGGCAAGAAGGAGAGGTTGAATTTGAGCAGTCCGACAAAGAAGAGCGCGATCCAGATGACAGGGAACTGTTCGTGAGGTTAATGGTCGTCAGTGACCTTGCCTGTCGAGGTTGGTACCGGTTCCACTCCGTTCCTCTCGAGCCCTTGAAGTTGGCTTACGGTGTAGAGCGCGATCCAGAACATTTTCGCGTCAATGACGTTGGCGACTTGGTCGGGCTGTGGGATTCGTACAGGGGAGTCAGCCGCGACACGAGATTTCCGACTGTCGACCCCTCTGTGGAGATACTGACACTACGGCTCTCAAAGACCCAAAAGGCGGTCCCGTCCTCGTCGACCTGGCTCCAGAAGCGCAGCCCGACCAATCGCCGTCCCGAGACGTTCCTGACGGTCCAAAAGTCGAGCGAGAGCAGTACGACGACGAGGACGGTCTAGAAGGGGGACCAGGAATGGCGATGCGTTCAAGCACGGTTGGACATGGATGTGGCGGCGGCGGCGGCGGGACTGGGGACTGACCGAGAACACGTAGGAGCTACTGACGAAGCCACAGAAGAGGTAGGTCGCGACCGCGGCGGACCGGAACAAGTACAAAAACACGAGTGCGCCCGGATGAGCGGACTGGGACAGGATCGAGGCCGCGCCGGTGTTGTTGTTGTTGGAGTCGTTGAGCGGCGCGGCGGCCTGGGACGAGCTGATGGAGGTGAGCACCGGTGGGGCGGCCGGCGGGGCATTCGTGTTCGAGTGGGGCGTCAAGCTCGAGTTCGTTGGCGTGTTCATCGAATCGTGCAGTGGTTTTTGGTCCGAAGCTATCCGACCCGAGAGGCTGGCCATGTCGCGTAGTGTCGTGTCGTGTCGTGTCGTGCGTGGGCTGTGTGGGACTTTGTCAGGGGCTCAAACGGCGCAGAGACGGCTGGGAGACACGAGCGGTTTGACCGTGTTCGAGCCGAGTGCCGAATTAGTTGGTAGTCGCGACTGGATTAGTTGATACTGAATTGATTAATCGCGACGCGCGTGGCTCTCGTGACTTGCACGGGACCACACAAGCCTACACAAGCCCGCAGAAGCGCGCCAGCCGCCGGGCCACTATTAGAGACTATTAGTGGGCCACACTCGCTGCCACTCGCCGCAACAGGCCAGGCCGCAACTCGCCGCCGTCCCACTCCGCAGCGAGTCGAGTCGATTGCTCATCCTTCCGTTCTCTCGGCTCTGCACCCCAACACCACACTCACTCTCCCACACAATGGAAAGCCCCACACAGGACGATGTAGCAACAACAACAACAACAACAACACCAGTCCGCGACAGGCCTGTGCGCAAGAGGCCCATATCCCGGCACACGCTCCCAGAACCATCGGGCATCTTTGCCATGCCCCCGCCGCGGCCACAGTACTACACTGACCAAGGTCTGCGCAAGGTCCGACCGTATTGGTACGCCTTCAATGCCTACGCCAAGCAGCGCTGGCAGAACAGGTCCTTGATCGATGTGTGAGTCCCTCAAGAGCTGAGACGGCTGAGACGGCTGAGCCAGCTGCCCGCCAGCAGACCCCTGTTACCACGAGCTCCGCGGGACAAGCGGCCAACTGATCGAGACGCTCCCTTACTTTCAACAGCTACAGTGAATTCAGGTTGGCACTTCCCCCCCGTAGAAGAGACACTCTGTTTGTCCTGACCTCCCGTCACAATACACCTACTGACCGTCACGACCTAGGTGATTGGATCAGAGACCGCAGTCACGAATACTATGTTCGTCCATTCATGAAAGATTTACCCTACCGCATGGTGATCTCACTGCCTACCGCTTCCCCATAGATCTGGTCCATAGAAACGGGTCAGTCTCGAATTGAAATCGGAAGAATTTGACCCAGAAGGAACTCACACCCAAGACTACTCTCATTTCAGGTGCCATCATCGTCAACAACGAACGGACGACCCCCGAATATATCCTCAAGAACGGGGACATGATATCCAACGTCGTCCATCGGTCCGTTCTAGTGTTAACCCCCCTGCTATCGGGGCTCAGATCACTCATCTCACCTGGCGGCCTCCCACCACACAGACACGAACCTCCCGTTGTCGCAGGGCCCATACGAATCATCTACGACGGTCGTTTACCAGGCAATGACGGAGAAACGTTGGTTGTCGAGAAGCCAGGGTCCATGCCTGTCAGTGGCTCCTTCCACCATCAAACCTTCCATGCCCGTTCAAACTGACCCGACGATGGCATCCTCTTTGCAAATCTGTAGGTTCATTCGACAGGGAGGTACCACTTCAACACCCTCTTATCGATCCTCAAACATGATTACGACCTACCTCTCGTGCATAGCAAGTCCATGTTCTCAATGAATGTGTCCTCCTCGATCGTCGAATTTGTGGCCCTGACTTGTCCCCCGCTACCGTGCGCAGCTTCAAATCGATTGGATCGGCTGACCTCGGGCGTCATGATATGTGCACTGACTGTCGATGCATCCAAAAAACTCGGAGCATGGTTCGGTGGCCAACGACGTGATGGGGGTACGGTGCATAAGGAATATGTCGCTCGATGTGTGGGCAAGTTTCCAGAGTACGTCCATCATTAGGGGAGCCGCTCTTGAACCGGCGACCAGCAGCTCAAGATCGCTGTTTGTTGGCCACCAGAGAGGAAGTGTCATGTGAAGAGCCCCTGATGACGATCGATCGTCAGATCGGGATCAACGTCGTTCACTCTGAAGGTCGAGTACGCCGCTTCTGCTGCCCTCTGCGTCTTCATGCGAATCTAACATCTAAGTCTCTCGCGAGCAGTCCGCCAAGACCATCTTCACGCGCCTCAGCTACGACGCAAAGAGCAACACCTCGGCCGTACATTGCCGTCCCATCACAGGACGGTCGCATCAAATTCGCGTTCACTTGCAATTTCTCGGGTTCCCCATCGCGAATGATCCCATCTATCAAAATTCGGCAGCGTGGGGAACGAGTGGCGGAAAAGGTGGCGTGTTTCCCTCGTCGACTGAAGAGCGTGAGCAGTACGTCAAGGGCGGTTCGTTTGGAGGGGAGGAACGAGGTGGAGGTGATGAGGATCGACAAGAGAGGAGGGACAGAGGGGACAAGCTAATGAGGAGCGCGCAACAAAAGAGCTTGGACCTTTCCTCGATAGCGGCCGCGATGAGTTTGGACGACCATAGCGGGCCACACACCAATGCTACAGGCGACGAGAGATCGAAGGAGGAAGGCAAGGCCAAGACAGAAAACGAGCCAAACAAGGCCCAGAAGGATCTCGATGACGAAGGGGTCGACCTCGATCGCAAACCGCATGATCCGAGCATCACCCCCGCAGCACGGACGGCAATCCTAGCCCTGCGGGACGTCAAGGATGAAGCGGACGGGTGGGCTCGTTCGAGAGATCTGCGCGGTCTCGAATTGGCTCGTTTGGGTGCCGAGGGTCATGGGTGTGTTGGGAATGCCGAGAGGGCCATGTTGGACGTTGCACAGTCGAAGGCCGAGGCTGAGGAGGGACAGTTCACGGATGACGTTGAAGCTACGTCGAAGTGGGTCGAAAAGGATCCGACGTTCTGCCGTGACTGCTTCACGCCTTTGGTTCCGGACCCTCGACCCGAGCAATTGTTCATTTGGTTGCATGCGCTACGATGTGAGTGTGCGCTACCCAAGCTATGCGGGGTCCGAAGCGAGCAAACTGACCCTTTAACTGACTGGACTGGTGCAGATCGGACGACAGAATGGGATTACAGTTCCCCACTGCCGTACTGGGCCGAGGCAGATTATGACGTACCTCTCAGTAGCATTCTGGCGTGAAAGAGAGCATAGCGTTGTGACGGTTACCACTCGTGGACCATCCTCACTGAGAGAGTCGCGCAGGTAGCACTGCTGACTTTTAGACGTGGGAACAAGAAGTGAACGGCGAGCATACGGTGTGGCAGACTTTCTGGGTGGCATGATTACCCTTGAGAATGCTACGAGCAAGCCAGAATGAACTGTCTCTCATGAGATGAAAGCCCGGCCGAGTAAGTTCAGCCAGCTGACTCGAGTCGGGTCCGAAACATTGAACGACATTGAAGCGGTCGACGCGTCCTCACTGTCACGATCGTCGCTTTGGACATAGTTTGACATTCGCTTGCTCGCGCGATCGTCAGCGAGCCGGCTCAAGCTCCACCTCGAGACCTTCGTCCAAGTTCCAGCTCCAAAGGGGTGACCGTAGCCCAGCATGAGGTTCTTCATGGACGACATGGAGTTCATCTTTCCTTACGACAAGATGTACCCTGGTCCGTCACCCCTCCTCTGTGCCGTAGCAGGCGAGGGATCCTCTCCTGAGCTGTTCAACTGATCGCCCGTTCACTCCGTGCGTCTACACCCCGCATGCATCACTCCCTCGACTCGTACCAACTTAGAGCAATACGCCTACGTACATGATCTGAAACGCTCGCTCGACGCCGAAGGGCATTGTGTGCTCGAGATGCCCTCGGGAACGGGCAAGACCGTCTCGCTGCTCAGTCTGATTATCGCGTACCAATACGTCAGTCGGTAGTCATGGGCTTGTTCGGCCCCACAACCACCACCTCAACCCATTCCCCTTGAACTCTTCCGCCCTTTTACAGCACGAACGCAAGATGGGTCGCCCCGAACGCAAGCTGATCTACTGCTCGCGAACGGTGCCCGAGATCGAGAAGGCTTTGGCCGAGTTGAAGAGGCTGATGAAGTACAGGTTCGTCCTCAGAAACTGTCTTTGTCCCAACTATGATGTTCTCTCAACAATTCTGAATGCGACTTTCCTCTCGTTCACAGGAAAGAAGCGTACGGGATCGATGACGTCGACTTCCTCGGCATCGGTCTGTCCTCGCGCAAGAACCTGTGCATTCATCCCTCGGTCAAATCGGAGAAGAAGGGAAAGGCCGTCGATGCGAGGTGTCGTGACATGACCAATGGGGCTGCCAAGGCAAGGTGGGAAAAGGACCCCGAGAGCGTCGAGTTGTGCGATTTCCACGAGGTTCGTTCTCCCTTCGCTTGCAGGAAGTGACAGCGATGAGGTCAGCCATTGATCACGGATCTTTGTGGCTACGACAGAAACTGGGCGAAATGGACCAGGATCGGTTGCTACCTTTTGGGGTGCACACGTTGGACGATGTCAAGGCGTATGGGATCAAGTATGGCATCTGTCCTTACTTTGCGATCAGACGAATGGTCAGTCGAGCTCTCTAGAGTTTCGTCTCCCTTTGTTGCTTGTCTGATCAATCTACCTTTCGCTTAGTTTGTCCACGCGAGCGTCATAATCTACTCTTTCCACTACTTGTTGGACCCCAAAGTAGCCGAGCAGGTTTCCAAAGAGATGAGCAAAGATTCGATTGTCGTCTTTGACGAGGCACACAACATCGGTCAGTCGGATCGCTTTACCGGTGGACAGTTCGTGCGTCAATGTTGAGTTCACCTTGGGCTTTCCTTTCCAGACAACGTCTGCATCGAATCCCTTTCCATCGATCTCACACGGCCGATCTTGGACAACGCGGCGGAATGTGTCGAGAGGCTGGACGAAAAAATCAAAGAGTAAGTTTGGATCACGGAAAGTTCACGCCCCGGACACTCTCTCATAGATCTAGAACTATATTGCAGGATGAAAGAAACGGACAAGGAAAAATTGGAAGAAGAATATGCGAAATTGGTGGAAGGGTTGAGAGGGAATTTGGGAGAGGATGCGGAAGCGAACGGAGAAGCCGATGACTTCATGGCCAATCCCAGTAGGCGCCTTCACTTCGCGCTCGCATTGCGTTCTCGTAGGCTGATACGGTCACTACCAGTCCTTCCGGCCGACATCTTGCAGGAAGCGGTGCCAGGCAATATCCGTCGAGCGGAACACTTCACCGCCTTCCTTGCTCGTTTCGTGGAATATCTCAAAACCCGCATGCGCGTACTGCACGTCGTCGCCGAAACACCGGTATCCTTCCTTCAACATCTCAAGGATATCACCTTCATCGAGAAAAAGCCGCTCAAGTTTTGCGCCGAGCGGTTGTCTTCGCTCGTTCGAACACTCGAGCTGACTCGCATCGACGAGTTCTCGCCTCTACAAAAAGTTGCAGCTTTCGCAACATTGGTCGCCACCTACGACAAAGGATTTCGGTTGATCCTCGAACCCTTTGAGACCGAGAACGCGACCGTGCCGAACCCTGTCCTCCATCTAGTCTGTCTGGACGCATCATTGGCGATTGCCCCCGTCTTCGAACGATTTTCGAGTGTGGTCATTACATCCGGAACCTTGTCGCCACTCGACATGTACCCGAAGATGCTTGGATTCGAGGCTACCGTGCTCGAATCGTACGTCATGACTTTGTCACGAGACTGTTTCCTCCCCCTCGTTGTCACTCGAGGCGCCGATCAAACCGAGATCAGTTCGAGGTTCGAAGTGAGGAACGACCCCGCTGTCGTGAGAAACTTTGGAACGCTTTTGGTCGAGATGGCCAAGGCTGTACCGGATGGTGTCGTGGCATTCTTTCCGAGTTATCTCTACATGGAGAGTATCGTCAGTGCTTGGATGGAGATGGTGAGTTGTCTGCATGCGGCGTTCAGCCTCAGCCCTCACTGTGAGGGCTAATGAGTCCTACCAATTCACCCGCAGGGCGTCCTCAACGAAGTGCTCAAACACAAGCTCATCTTCATCGAGACACCTGATGCACCCGAAACATCCGCTGCGTTGGACAACTTCCGACGGGCGTGTGACAATGGACGTGGGGCGGTGCTGCTCTCTGTCGCTCGAGGCAAAGTCTCGGAAGGGATCGATTTCGACCACAACTACGGCCGTGCTGTCATCATGTTTGGGATCCCATATCAGGTATGTCACAAGCCCTTGTCAGACGTGTTCACTTCATCATCAACGAAGTAGGATCTAATGAACGTTACCATTTTGTATGAACAGTACACCGAGTCGCGTATCCTCAAAGCCCGCCTCGAGTACCTCCGTGACGCGTATCGGATCCGTGAGAATGACTTTTTGACATTCGATGCAATGCGTCACGCGGCTCAATGCGTCGGACGTGTCTTGCGCGGTAAATCGGACTACGGATTGATGGTCTTTGCTGACAAGGTGAGTCGAGCAAATTAAGTTTTCTATCAAGGGATGGCTTGCTGATCGCGGTCCTTGACCTCAGCGATTTGCCAAGCTTGACAAGGTTCGTCATTTCATCGAGACCTCATAGCCTAGTCGTTTCATGATTGCTGACTCGTCAAGTCTTTTGAGCCCTCACAGCGAGCCAAGTTGCCCAAGTGGATTGGACAGTACATCAAAGACAGTGACACGAACCTCTCGACCGATTTGGCGATCGCGCATTCGAAGAAATTCCTGCGAGCGATGGCGCAACCATTCGTCGAATCGAGTAAATCGGCTTGGGGAATTGATCAAGTGAGCAACAAACTTGAACGCGTTCCAACTTTCCGACTTTCCGCCCCTGGGCAACTCGTTTAATTGAATCTTTGGCCCATTCTAGATCATGGAGAAACAAGCGGGTTTGGATCCGAATCGAGATCCTGACAATGACGAGCCCGAGGAGGAGGACGATGAAGCGGATGACTACGGCGATATGATCGATGATGAAGCTCTGATGGAGTTGGACGTCTGATGGGTGGGGGCTTTGAGATCCCGGACAGGATTCACGCTTGCAATATTGTTGTATTATCTATCTGATTTCAGATTTGCTTCGGATGGAATCTTGTGATGCTGCTCAGCCTCGAGTTCCATACAAAATGGGAACGCACAGATAAAGTCTAGAGACAAAACAGAACCAAGTGACAAAAGCCGGAAGGAGAGTGCGGCAAAGTCACACAGATGAGGTAAATTCCATCATACACCTCCACCACTCCTGGCCGAGTTCTTGCCCTCGTACGTCAAGCCGTTCTTCGAGCCGTCGTCGTTGGGATTCTCGGCGACCTTGGCGACGATATCGGTGAATGCGTTCGTCAACGAAAGCTCCTTCACTCCAGCTGCCATGTCGAGGAATCTGATGGGAACGAAAATCAGAAGTGAAACGCGTCAGCACTGTCCCGAGTGTGACCCCAGAGAGTGTTTTCAGGTGAGGAACTCACTCTTCAAGCGTGATCTTGCCATCTCGGTTACCGTCGACCTCGCGGATGATGTTGGACACGGTTTCCTAGAGAGGGCCAACACCAACAACGATCAGCGCCACGCCGACGCTAGCGAAATGTAGGCTGGTGACGTACCTTGGACACATTGGCGAATCCAAGACGCCTCATTGTCCGACTGAGATCTTTGTAGTTGATCTTGCCATCCTTGTCGACTGATATACCAATTCCACAAGCGCATCAGTATCGACCTCCACCTTCAAAAGCTGGACCTAGGCCCTCTCAAAACTCACAGTCCATCTCGTTGAACTTGCTCTTGAGCTGCGACAATTCCTGCGCCGAAAACACGGTCCTGGCCAACACCTCATCCTCAATCTCGACCCTCTCCTTATGCTTGCCCTGCCTCACATCGTCCAAGGTCAACTTGTTCAACCTCTCCTGCTTCAACCCCATCGAGTGTAAGAAGGTCGCCGCGTCCTTGAACTGTTGGTTCTGTTGCGCTTTGGACCACCCCAGTTCCTTGGCCATGATATCAATCACGGTCGGTAGAGCCTCGAGTGCGGCTTCGGCATTGAGGAAGGAGAGACGTGTTCTTCGAGCGATGACGTCGACGGCGGTGGCGGCGTATTCTCTTCGGCAGGCCCATGTCACTTCGGCTTCGATGTAGGGGTACACGGGGTCGAGGCGCTTTCCGTGCACGGGCCAACGTAAGCCGGTTGGTTCGGCCATGGAGCATACCGCCCAGGCTCGATCACCGTAGGTGTCTGTAAGGTGTTTGGCCACATCGCTCTGACCGGGGCGAGCACAGCTTCTGTCAGAATTGGTTCCACACACCCCACTTTGGCCCCAAGACCCTCAACTCACCTCGAGCCCGAATTGCTGAATCAACTTGATGAACATCATCTTGCTCCACCCATGGCTACCCAATAGCCTCAACTTGGTCGTCACGCATCCCCTCATCGGCTGTAACCCGTATTCCTGAATGGCCCTATCGACGGTCTCCTCCGCCATCGCGCGGTAAGTCGTCCATTTCCCTCCTGCGATCGTGAGCAGTCCAGAGGAGGAGACGTTGATCATATGGTTGCGCACGAGGGATTGCGTATCCTTCGCATCCGGGTCGGATACTAAAGGTCTCAAGCCCGACCAAGCCGAAAGGACATCGCCTCGACGAACTCGGATATCAGGCGAGAGGTAGTTGCGCACCTCGTTGAGGATCCACTCGATCTCCTCCTCCTTAGGGACGGGGTGTTGCTCAACCGCAGCGGGCGAATCAGTCGTGCCTGCGATCGTGTTGCCTTGCCAAGGCAAGAAGAAGATGACGCGACCGTCCGAGGTAGCAGGGTCGAGCAACCCGATCTTGGCCGGGGCGTAGTAATTGGGTAAGGTGATGTGGACACCCGAGGCGGGGGAAACGATGGGTTTGACGGAGGGTTCGTCCATTTGTCGGAGACCATCGGTGAAAGGTCCCGTGGCATTGATCACGCCCTGTAGACCGAATCAAGCCCTTTCAGCCGTCATGCTTGAGTAACTGCAGTGAATTAGGATAGAGGGCCCACCTTGGCTTTCGTCTCCCACTTCTTGCCCGTCAACACATCCCTCATCTTGGCTCCCTTGACTTGTCCATTCTGATCCTTGATCAACTCGGTCACTTCGACATGATTCGCCGCGACGGCACCGTATTGCACGGCGGTCATGATCAAGGCCATGTTCATCCTCGAATCGTTGTGTTGACCTGTCCGAGGAAGCGATAGCGTATCAAAGTCTCAGCGAATTGTCTTGAGCTCATCGTCGGAATCATCGCACTGGCTGACCATCATAGTAGACGACAGCGCCGACCAACCCATCGGCTTTGAGCATCGGGAAGGCCTCAAGTGCTTTGCCCTTGCCGAGCAGATAACTCGATTCCATGTTCGCGGATCCGGCGAGGATGTCATACATCTTGGTTCCGCTGTGTTGAGTTAAATGTATGCACAACGTGATTAGTTCCCGAGTCGTCTTGACGGCTACGACTCGTAGACTTACGCAAAATAGTACGGGACCTGCCAATATCTGCGGGAGGGGAGCCCCACAGGTCAGACCCTTTTGGCGATTCCAAACCAATAAAGGGCAACTCACTTGTAGATCGGCAACATGATCGGCAACGGGTGACTGAGGTAAGGCGCGGTGTACAAGAAGGTCTTGCGTTCGTGCAGAGCCTCCCTGACAAGCTTGTACTGCTCGTAATCGAGTTCAAAGACGGCTTTTTGCAAGTACCTCACACCACCGTGAACGAGCTTGGTCGATTTCGAGGAGGTGCCTATGAAAGTAGAGTGGAGTGAGAGATGAAGGGGAAGAAAAAGGGATCGAAGGTGGGGGACGTACCCGAACTGAAGTCGTCTCGTTCGACCAAAGCGACCCTCAACCCACGACTGGCCGCATCCAAAGCGACGCCAGCGCCCGTTGCACCACCTCCGACGACGAGCAAGTCGAATTCGCCATCCTCATGATCGGTCTGACCGGGTGCACTCGTCGCTTCGAAAGTGGGCTCCGAGTCGTGTGGCGACGAACTCAACGCCGACGAAGCCGAGGAAAGGGCCTTGTCCCAGACGTTTCGCAGTCCAAAGAGGTCCGAAGCCGAAGAAGCAAGGGAAGCCTTGGACCCCGCGCCAAGAGCCTTGAGCATCTCGGCACGAGTAGGAGGCGTCCAAGTCGACGAAGGTCTCCCGGCAGCGACTTCGACCGAATTGAGTTCACTCGACGAGGACGAGTCCATACGCAATGCCCTGGCCTGGAGGTACAGCGACTGCGGATCGGAAGGGAGCAAAGCATCCTCCGAGGCGTGGGATCCGAATTGGGACGAGTAGAGGGTGTACCCGAGGCCGGTGGTGGTGGTCAATCCGGCGGCGTAGAGCCACGTTCTCCTTGTAGCGCTCGCCGTCGCACGCCCACGCGAAAAGAGTCGCGAGGCCATGGTGGTGGTGGTGTTGAGAGGTAGTGTAGGGTTCTAGTCTGTAGGGATCATTTTTTCGGCCGTCAGCCTGAGTTAATTGACGCGAACGTTGAGGCCCGAAAGTGCCGAGAGCTGTCGAACCAGCCAGCGACGGCAGCTCGGCTTCTCGATGACGATTCCGAGATGCGGCTCGCTCAGACCGACCAAGCTTGTCGCAGCCACGCGTTCGTCTGGCGGACCATGTTCGTCCCCGATGCAGGACCACTGACCTTTCAGAACCAACAAGCTTGTTCTGTCCTGACGGTGTTGATGGTGTGTAGCGAAGACTCGGGTCGTTCGGGAAAGGTCAAAGAGTGCGAAAGGATGAAAAGCCGGCCGCGCGCCGATGCCGCCGACAACGAGCTCGCTCGGTGCCGAACGTCGTCGCTTTGAGTCGATCGTGACTTCTCTCGGTCGAGCGCAAGAGATACTTGCAAGTTTCTGGCCGACTCGGAGATGACCGAGGGGGAACTTTGGGCGGGGCTGGAGGGAGAACCAAGGTTGGGCTTCAGTACTGGATTTTTCGGATGGCGTGTGCACAAAGGTAGGGATCAAAACACGCTGCCTTCACGCGCTTCGCACGACTGTCGCTCGAGTTCCCTCGGAGTGCAACTACACCGGGTTCAAGTTCGGACGCGGTCCGTCACGCCGCCGCGCCGGCATACGGCCCGTCGACCGGGCACGGCGCCATCATCGACTTGGCGCGCGGGGTAGGGCGAGTTGCTGCATGGAATGAAAGGTGGAAGGCTGCCTTACTCTAGCCTGCAGGGTAAGAGGGTCACAAATCAAGATCAAACGCAAAATTGGACTCGTCGCTGTCTCGAAAAGACACGCTCATAAATCGCCTCACCCCCGGGCGAAAACGCAGTTCCAAAGATTCCAAACCAAGCTTTGATACAGCAACTGAACAACAAAGATCGTCCAAGAAAGGGTGGGGGAGCTACGTGTATGTTTCATGATGTGTTTATGTCCTGAACCTCAATCGTCCTCCTCTTTGGCAACCCCACCCAGCCTACTCCTAACGCGACTCGAACTGGTCTCCGTCGCCGTTGTTGCACTGGTCGCCGCGAGGGAAGGACCGAAACTGGTGCCCGTCGCTCGTGTGGTTTCACTCTAAAGAGGTGAAAGAGCTGAATTAGCCGACGAAGCCGGGTCGGAGAGCTCAGAGCGATTCAGCGAAGACTCACCCCACCGAGCGTAACCATATCATCCCCCTCCTCACTCTTGATTCCTTGTCCCACCTCCCCTCCTCCCACCCTGACCCCAACCTGGCTAGCACTCTCCAACCCATCCTCGGTCCCATTGCCAAAGCTCTCCTCCTCGTCCCTCTGACTCGAGCCCGAAATATCGACCATCCCCACCCTCCTCGCCGTGTCGAAGCGACTCGATCGATCGCCCTCGTCTTCTCCCTCACCGTACGAGGTGCCGTTCCCACTCCCGCTAGGAGTGAGACTCACCGTCGCACTAGGCGTTATGGACCCATCGTCCGTCGCCGCCATAAGGTCCTCGTCATCGTCGTGCTCGTGCTTGATTCCTACTTTACTATCCTCAGCCTCGGTCGTATCGTACAACCTCGACGCGGGACCCGGAGGTGGGGGTGGCCTCTTGCCCCCGATCGAAGTAGTCGACTTGGATGGATCCTTGGAGATGACGAATCCGATCCAGACGAGGAACGCGATCGAGAGCTCGACAAAGAGAAAGAGCGGGAAGAAGGTGAGGAACGAGAGGTAGGGGTGGTAGTGCAGGAGGTACCTGCGTATGCAAATTCAAGTCAAAGTTCAGCGATAGGTCAAGATTGACTTGGACTTCAGTCGTACGCGACTCACCTCAATCCGGTCAGATGGGCTTGCAGACCCAACCAGCTCTCGTAGACGTGCAGCTCGCCCTCGGCGTCCCACTTGGCTGCTTGCCCGAAATTGGTACGGCACTCGCCCTTTTGGAGATGGGCATCCCTCCTTCCAACCTCGATTGCGACGGTTCGGAAGGTGGATCGATGAGGGCGAAGGGCCGAATGGGATACAAGAGGCACGATGACGTGCTCGGTCTCGAGCGGCTGAAATTTCTTGTTATTTTTCGATTGCTCGGAGATGCCACGACGGAGTATCCAGGCAAAGGGGTTGGGGATCAAGTAGATGGCCCATTTGAAGGGCTTGAAGAGGAGCGAGGTCGAAGGTTCGGGCAGGGGTACGTGGGGCAGCGATGTGGAGAAGAAGGACGAATCGGGTTGTCGGAGCGAGGCCTGCCGGATCGAACTCGAGTCGTCAGTTTCGGTGAACGAATCGGGGAGTTTCCGGATAGCGCGGGACTAACCGGTCTGGAGACGTTGATCAGGGTCGCTCCATCTTGAGCGCGTAGTTCGAGCGAGACCATGAAATTGCCGATAGCGAGGTTCCTCGGGGTCAAGGGCACGACCAGTTCGAGCTGCACATCGTAAGGCTGAGTCGATTGATCGTACTTGCCGGGGGGAAGTTGAATCGAGGCGTACGGGGTCCTGTAGTGGCCGTACTGTAGATCTACACGGTGTCGTCCTCCGAGATCCTTGATGCGCACGGTCTGGTAGAAGGTGATGTAGGCTCCCAGGGCGAGCACGAGCGCGAGCACGAGCGCGGTACCGAACTGGAGGGACCTGAGCAGCAGCGACGAGGCGGAGGGGAGGTGCAGCCCATGTTGCTGCTGGGGTTCACGGCGACGTTTCTGGACCGGGTTGGAGTATGTCTGTGTGCGCAAGTTGCGAGGGCGGAAATGTGTCGCCGGGTAGAGTCGGGCAGAAGCGTGTACGGATCACGTGGCGGTGGCGATGAGGTCACCGGCGATGGAGGTCAGCGACGACGGGAGCCAACCAACGAACGAGGTGATCGACCGGAGAGGAGAAGCGAGGTACAAGTCAGCACCATCCAAGCCGAGATCGAGATCGATTTTCTCAATGGCCTACATTTGACATGGTGCCCCGCTCGAACACGATCGTCGAGGGAGTGCAACGGTGAGGCCGGTGAGGAGAGGTGAGGAGAGGTGAGGAGAGGTGAGGTGAGGTGAGGTGAGGTGAGGAGGCGCGGTCGGGAGGGGCGAGCGGCAAGGCAAGCAAGCGCACACGCGATCGTTTCTCACCTGCCTGCTCTGGCCGTCTCGATGCTATCGAAGCCAATTTCTCGATTACGATTACTAATCCAGCCGGGGTGCGCGCGCGCGTCATTCCGTTTGAATTTATTTTTGACGCGTTGAGCCACGACGCGCACGGTGGACGGCGCGCAGCTGTCAGCTCGGGCTGCACAGGCTGCCAGCAGGCTGGGTTCGCACTGCTGCCGCCCGTTCTCGCATCACCACGCCGGCGCCACGGATGACAACGACGGCTTTGACCGCTTTGACCGCTTTGACCGCTTTGACGGCGCAGGATGACCACGAACACGACCACGAACACGATCATCCCAACGAAGAGGACCAGTTCAAGGTGGTAGATACAGCTTCGCAGGTCGATCGGCATGTGCAGCAGCTCAAGACACTCTCGAAGCAGCTGCTGCTCGATGAGAACCCCCGCACTCCCGCTCGTGGTCGCCGCGAATGCATCGACCACATCGCCACGATCGTGAGTGAGCCAGTGACTTACTCGGACCGTTTTCTGCTGTTGACTGAGCCACTCTTTCCTCGCAGCTCGAAGAGTACCAACTCGAACCGTTCCTGCTCGATGCCCATCTCGTCGCCGTCCTAGCGCCTTACCTCGACCACCTGTGCGAGGTCGTGCTTTCCGGCTCGAGCAAGCGTGATCTCACCTCAATCGAATCGACCTGCTATGTGGTCTACCTCTTCGCCAAGCTCAGAGGACCAAAGGCCATCAGTGGGTCATTTCGTTGGCTTGAACAGGAGCGCCAGGCGACTCGTCGTTCCTCGTTTCTGTTTTCCCCCACATCCCCCACCATGGACCACTTGATGCTGACCCATACTTTTTGGCGTTCTCTCCACAACTACGCACCCAAACAACACCCTAGTCCCCTTGTTCCCACCAACACCTCAAGCCTTGTCCTCCCTCCTTAGTCTACTCGATCCCCTGTCCAAAGAACTCGGAACAAAACCCATCTCCACCGCCTCCCCATCGAACGACCCCGCTAGCGAACCCGTCCCACTCGCCTGGACGACCTGCTACGTCCTCCTCCTATGGCTGTCCGTATCGACACGGCTTCCCTTCCCCCTTCCTACACGTACGAGTGACTCCATCAAGGCGATAGGGCTGCGCTACCTCCAAGCGGGCAAGGGCAAGGAGAAGGAAGGCGGTCGACTCGTGCTTCGGGCTTGGTATACGAGGTCAGTGCCCAGTCCAATCTGAGCCAGACGGGATGGGAAACTCACACCCGATTGAAAACAACAGAAAGGATGCACCGATAGAAGAACTTGTCACGCTGACGAGTGAAACACTCGAGAAACCAAGTACCGAACTGCTCTTGGTCAGTCCCCTTAGCAATAACCCGGACTGATCCTCTTCTGGAACGTCGACTCATCACCTGTTGGCTGGACTTTACAGGCCTCCTCGATCCTCTCTTCCCTCCTCGAGATCCTCAAACAACCGACCATGAACCAAACTTCAGTCCTACTCTCGCCGAACAACCGATCACGCCTCTACGCCCTCGTCGAACTATGTCGAGCGTTCGGTAACAAGAGGGACGAACTGAGAAAGGAGCGCGTCAAGTTGATGGGGAGGCTCGTGGTGCTTGAATTGAGCTCCTCTGCGCAGAACGGTGAGAATTGCGAGGGGCAAGATGACACTGAACAGATTATTGGAGATTTGATGCAGACACTGGAGAACAAGGTCAGTGTCGGGATCGGATCTACGCCTTGCCTGCGAGGGTCTGCGGCTGATGTGCTGCCTCGAGCGCCGCGCAGCAATCAAATCTGCGCTACTCCGCCGCCAAATACCTCGCACGCATATGCGGTTTCTTATCCAGCCGAATCTCTTCCGACATACTCGACTCCATTCTAGACCAGTTCGAGCAGTGCTTGCGCGACGACCAAGATCCCGATCAAGTTGAAGCTCGCTTGCAGGGATCGCTCTTGACGTTTGCGGAGATGGGGAGACGAGGCGTTTTTGGGATGTTATCGGAAGCCACGTCGGAAGTGGCGCTGGAGGTTCGGTTGATGATACAGAGGATGCTGAGGGGTGTTATACGGGTATGTTTCGTATTCTCAAGACCGGGGGATGCGTTGCAGAGCACTGATCGCACCGAGGTGGTCATTGCGCTCTAGTGCCTCACCTTCGACCACCTATCCTCGAAACGATCCTTCGGCACCCAAGTAAGAGACTCAGCGTGCTACGTCGTCTGGTCACTTGCAAGGTCCTTGGACCCCCGATTGATCGATATCGAATTGGCTCAGCAACTGGGTAAAGTGCTGGTATGCGTGGCCTTGTTCGATAAAGAGGTGGGGGTTAGGAGGGCGAGTAGTGCGGCGTTCCAAGAAGGGGTTGGGAGATGGGTCAGTTCTTCGCTCCACCTTGCGGATTATTAATCTGCTCAGAGCTGATTTTCTCCCATGACCACCACGCAGAGTATCTTCGTCGATGGCATCGACATCTTGAGAAAGATCGACTTCTTCACCATCTCGGTCCGAAGGCGCGCATTTACCGAGGCGGTACCTCTAGTTGCAGAGTGAGTGCGCTCACGTTTTGGACGAATTTCCCAATGAAATTTCATAGCCTGATGAGAAATACGCCTCTTCTACTACAGAAACCCCGCCTATCGCTCCGCTTTGATCGATCATCTGATGGCGCACTCGTTCCCGCACTACGAATTTGGGTTGCAATCCCTTGCTTCTCAAGCTCTCAAGGCGATCGTCTCGATCGACGCGAGGGAGTTGGCCCCTCCGCTCCTTACGGCACAAGTCGGTCTTCTTGATGTATCCGATAGGTCACCGTACCTTTGGCGTTGCTGAAGGCTTATCCGACGGACACGAACAGATCGAAAAGCTAGGCAAGACCAAAGACCCAACCAAGTTGCATGGCATACTCATGGGTCTGAATGGACTCGCGTTGGCCGCAAGAGCCTCAATCGAGGACCCTTTCGTTGATGCCTTGGATCAGGTTAGTACTCGAAGCACCGCCTTGAACAGGCTCTACCTTCTGAAACCCCTCGATTCCGAACCCGACAGATCTACGCCTCCCTCATCTCCTTACCCCCGACCCTCCGAGCTTTCCGAACCCCCCAGGTCCTCATAGCACTCTACAAAGCCCTTACCTCATCCCTTAACCTACGAACCCAACCAATCAGACCGCCTTCTTCAAAAGAATGGCAAGATCTCCTAGCCCTGGCGAGCGATTCTCCATCAGACGAAGTTCACCTCGCCTCCGCTCGGTTTTACACAGCTTTCACCCGATCATCAAACGGTGGAGAAGAGGAGGATGCTCATCTGGAGAATATTGTTAAAGCTCTGGGTGATCGCAAGCAGACGAAACAAGTTTGGGCTGCAAAGGTCTTGGGGAGCTGGACTTTTGCCACAAAGGAGAGATGCGAGATTGCAAATGGGGTCGCGAAGAGGCTGATTGGGTTTGTCGGTTCGAAGGTGAGTACCCGTCCTCTGTTGAGAAAAGTATGCCACTATGTACGATCGATTGACGACACCGCTTCACGTCGACCGTAGGGTCAATTGAAGGCGGGAAGCATCGAGGCGAAACGCAATGGGGTCGAAGCATTAGCCAGGATCGTATGCTCGGACGTGTCCTTGGGTGAGTCGAACGCGTAGTCACTCTCACCAACGACATGAATGCGCGAGACTGATCCAAACAACGAACTCGCTTCTCAGACTCCACCTTGGTCAGCGAAGCCTACACTTCCATACTTGCTGCCTTCCAAGACTACACCGTCGATCATCGGGGCGACGTAGGCTCCTGGGTCCGTCTCAGTGCGATCCAAGCGGCTTCAATATGCCTCAACACCGCCGCTACAAGAGACGGTTCTCCCACGATGGATCAACAGACCTTCGACCGGTTCGTGGCGAGTCTTTTGAAGCAGGCTGTGGAAAGGTTGGATAATGTTCGACTGGCCGCGGGTACGGTGTTGTTGAAGGTTGCTGAGGGCGTGAATGGCGGGAGGTTAAAGGAGAAGGAGGTGTTCGAAGCCGTTGCGTGAGTCATTCGACTGCCGGACATTGCAAACCGCATGTGTTTCATGTTCATATGTATGGTTCCGGCTCGTTTCCAGGTCGGATCGACAAGAATGGCGCGATCTAGCTTGGTCGTCCGAAAAGCTTTTACCTCTTTTGAGCGTACCCGAGTATCGAGCGCTGCTACTCGAAGGCAGCATAATGGCTTTCGTAAGTCTTACCCAGCTGATCGTCGCAATGACACGCACATCAATGACGAAGGACATGCATTATTACATCTCATAGACTTGGCACTCCTCCAGTACCCCTCTTATCGATTTCGCCGCCACACTCCCTAGCCTCCGCGACGACCCCTCAACCCCCGATTACACCTTCGAAGCTCTGATCGAAGGTCTTGTCGATTTAGGTCGTCAACACATCACGAGTAATCGACTCTTCGTCCCCGTTGTTGATGCTTTGGCTTCGATAGTGGAGACGGGGTTTGTCAATGAAGAGAACGAGCCGGTTGCTTCGCTGTCAGTTTTCAGAGCTCGCTTTCGTTCAAGAGAGGAAGCTGACGGGGTTTCAATTGATATCTCAGGCTAAAGTTTGCACTGGGCCTGGCGAGTCGGTCCCTACCCAAGATCAAAACCGCCGCGAGATTGACAGCGACGACCAAGTTGTTAGTACAAAGGTCGATACGTGGAGAGAGAGAGCACTCGACTTGACCTCGTGTGACCAAATCGCAGCGTTGTCGCCCTCCTATCCTTTGAGACCGTCCGGGCTCAAGCAGTGGACCAGGTCGGCGTGTTGCTTAGCCATCCCTCGGCGCCTTGGGTCAGTCGGTCCCCCTTTCTCTGGTTAGTGTATATATAGGTAACAGAAGTATGAACTCGTCCGAAAACGGAAAATGTTTTCTTTCTCCCCCACAGGTGCGTCAATTAGCCGCCGACGAAATCCTCGACCAAATGAGTTCGGGGACATTGCTCTTACCAGTCGACGAGCACTCCGGCCTACTCCAAGAAGTCTTACTGCAGACATTATGGTGAGTGACGCGACTTCCTCAGAAGAAAGGGCTCTCGTGTCGGTCAGAACTGAGCGGTTTGCATCGGGTCGCTCACAGGTCGCAAGGGGAGATTAAGGGGGAACAAATGGGAGTGGTGATAAGGCTTTTGACAGGTGGGGGCGCCTGAAACGCAGATGTCTTAGATCTCATACTAGCTCTCTTCAGTCTATATTTTTCATGAAACAGGCCTCCATGGTATAATTTCTGCCCTGAGAAAAAGCGACTACGTAATCGCGCGGCGCGAGGAAGGAAGAGACTCATAATAATGATCGAGCACGATCGACATGGCCAGGTATAATGGGACTTTAAGGCTACACAGAATGACTTCCGCGATTCCAAGGAAGACCGAGAGACAGATAAAAAAGGACAACACAGACGAGCCCAGGTGTAATCGGAGATACGCTCAACTATGAGCGTCAGCGAGTTTGACGCTCAGGCGTCGAAGCCCTTGATGGTTTGGTTTCCTGGGCCGTTGCTGAAGGAGGATGGGAAAAGATGATCAGCGCCTGCCATGGGTTTCACCAAATTCGCTGCCATATACGAACGTACCAAATAGCGGCATCGAACGCCGAGCCGTTCTTCATCAAAGACTGAGCGACAGTGTTGAGCGTTGTATAGGGGTTCCTCCACATGGGACCGAAAGCAGGGATTCCGGGATCGCAGCTCGCACCGACCGTACCGCCGAAATTGGCCGCGTTGAACCTGTTGCCCTGCACTGTAGCATGGGTGTGACAGGCGACGGTAACGCCGTAACCAAAGTAACCCTTGGGACCCGAAGAGATGAATTAATTATTGGAGAAGACGCCGTCGAAGGTGCGGGTATCGGAGGTATTGTACCTCTGCCACGACAAGGGACCAATCGCGATTTCGATCTTCATCATCGAGTTCCTGGCGTCCAGGACATTGTTCGTCACTTGGGTTCCAGTGAAGTTACGGTAATGGGGAGGGAAATCAACTGCGTTGATCCCGCCAAGCAATTGACGATCGTCGGTGATGATGCGGTTGATGGTGACGAGCGATCCGGGGGCTTGGAAGATGATGAACCCACCATCCGTAGCATCGGTGATGGTTTCACCTTGCACGACCGACCCAGAGCAAGCGAGCGAGATGCCATCGGCCCATTGACCGGCGGAGTAGGTGCCTGTGCTGTCGCGCTTGAGATTGTGGTGCTTGTTGTTGGAGTGGTGGTTGCGGCGACGGAATTGGGAAGCCCCGGAGGGGACGTGGCCGGCAGGGCCGATCTGGCTGTTCAAGACCTTGGTTCCGAAGCAAGCATTGTTGGTTCCCGCTGTTGTGGTTATTTTACTTGGGTATGTCAGCAAATCGTCCAGAGCAGCAGAGAGAGACTTGGACTGTGGTACTCGGGATCCCGTCGTGTGCAGCAAAGTCGGAAATGAGGCTCCTGTTGTCGGAAATGAGATGGGACTCCCGATCTTGTCGGCTGCATTAGGGTAGTCGACTCACGCGGGCGTCGGCTAATTCGGTGGTCTCGGAAATCGGGCTGGAGTCGCTTAGTCGGGAAGCGCAGATTCGGCTAACTCGGCCTAGCGTCACATGAGCGGATAAAAGTTCAGAGCAAGGGACCGTGTGACAGGAGCAAGGAATGGCGTGATCAGGACGAAGTATGGCGTGATCAGAAGGCCGAGTGTCGGAAAAGAGGAGGAAGCTGGCATTGGAGGGAAGACTCGCTTCTTGTTCGGAGAGAGACCACTAGACTAGACACGACTCAGACCGACTTTGGAGGGAGGCGACTTTCGGAGGGGAGGACCGCTTGGAAGAGGACATTTCTGCGAATCTATCATTCTCGGTTTCATTATCTGCGTGTTTCTCGGTTTCGGCATCTCGGTCTCTGCGCTTCGATAGCAATCGCCCCCCCCCCCCTTTCTCTGATCGTCCGCTCACTATTACCATAGGACTCACCAATCAAACTTTGAAGAACGGACCATCCGCGAGGCTCGAAAGCGCGGATATTGGAAATGACGTGACCGGAGTTGGTTCCACCCATTTCATTCAAAGCCTGTCCGCCGTTCATCCATCCGAGGGTGGGACGAGACCCGTCGATCTGAATTTTAGAGAGGGTGCACCCGTCCGATCCGACGTTGGCGCCGTACACTGCGGTCGACTGCGTGTTGCCCTTCACGACGATTGTGGCGCGGGTCGAATCGGTTGGCGCGCCGCGGGTGGAAAGACCTTGGCCTTTGTCGGTGAAGTAGATGGGGTAGTTCAATGGAATCACGGCACTGGGGCAGAGATACACGGTAGTGTTGGCTCCACCATCTGTGAAGATTCGGCAGTATACGTCAGCTCCCGAGGCACGGTCCAGGTCGTCGGACATGACAGGGCAGCAAACATGCATTTGAGCAACGAGTTGATGGCGGTATCGTTGGTCGAACTATCGAGGCAGTTCTTGGCATCGTATGCTTTGACCATCTTGTCGACCGTGGATTGCGTAGGGGAGGCTCAGGTGTTATCGAGCGCGCATAAGGCGTCGGGGATGACTTGTCCAACATTGACGATCAAGCCGTTGATGTTCAGAGTTTTCGCCTAAAAGTGGGTTGGACTTGGATCAGCGGATATACCACTACGCGAGGATGAGGGCGCTGCCTACTCACACTTTGAACCATTTGAATCGCGGTGATGTACAGGTTCGAGGTGAGTGCGGCGCTCGTGGCAGGGAGATACGTCGCGACGTCCGTGACGGGCGGCAGGACAGGGGCGGCAGGAAGGGCAAAGACCGGCGTTGTTGCGGGCGCAAGCACGTTGTACGGTAGTGTCGAAGTGGAGAGGATCGCGGGAGGCTTGATCACGGTGATGGTCCAATTTTATGGGGAGACCTCGACGCTTGATTAGCATTCGGGCAGTCTCACCGACGGGAGGGATGGGGGGTAAACCCGAAGGTTTCTCGCCCGCCAGTGCCCCAGTCGCGAAGGAGACCACCAACCAGATGAACGGCTTGTAGTGCATGATGGCCGGAGGTTGGGGGATCCAGACATGCACGGAGTGGGAGAAGAGATAGGATCTTCGTCGACGATTCGAGAAACCTTCGCGACCAGAGTATGTGGGAGAGAGAGCGGTGCTCAGGAGTCGGCCTGGACGAGTGGGCCGAGGAAGTTGTGAGCGACAAGTAGCTGCTGCTTGGCGGAAGAAGAGAGAAAGCACAACACGTTATGGTTCTATGGTATAGCAAAGCGGTCGATCAAAGATTAGATGAAATGATACGGGGAAAAGACGGGACCGAGACCGAAGACGAGAGAGACGAGAGAGCGACCGGAACGGCCGAGAGACAGGGACGGAAAAGAGGAGTAGCAGAACCGAGAAACGAGACCGAATATGAGAACGAAACGCTGAGACTGGAGACTGGAGACGAGGCCAAACGAGACTTGAAACACGCAGAAAGTGAGAACCAGCTAAGATGCTGTATTGGATCCTAGAAGTGGTCTAGCTGAGAACAAGAAGCAAACTCCCCTCAAACGTTCCGACCATTCAGGCCGCTGCGCTCCTTTCATTCCCCTTCACCCCTTCATCCGCGCATCCGGCCCGGTCTTCCACTCAAATCCTGCCAAATGGTTCGTTGCTGACGGTCAATCCTTGAGTCATCGAAGTGCTGAGTTTACCCGGGAGCGCTTTATCGCTGAGAAATCTGCCGAAACCGGTGTTTGATCCTGTCCGAAACGGTGTTGACCTTGACAATTTGAAACGACTCCGGAACTCGGTCTCGCTACAACCGAAATGACTCCTGAACCCGGCCCGCTATAGCCGCTGCTTCCGACGGGATTCCGAGTACCACAGTTCGAGGAGAATAAAGAGTGAGAGAGAAGAGCAATGATGATCCACCTCAAGTAAGTATTCGGCTCAAGTTTTTCGTGTCCGAGAACGCCAGGCAGGCGCGCGCAGGTTCCAGATTCAAGCCACTTCCGCTCAGCCTCGACGGTGCGCGCTACAGTGCGCTCGTAAAAGGGGAGCCTGATTCCACTCGCGCCTACTGGAAATTGGCGAGAGAACACAGCTCGACGGGCTTTAATTATGGTAGCTCTGCGGCCATCAAGACGATTAAGCCAACACCCCAAAAAGGAAATTGAGGTTGTAATCAAAGGGGCTGCCGTATCGTTGTCGGCCGGTGCCGGCCATCCGACTGGCAGAGGCTGCGCCACCGTTCACGCCTCCTGGAATTGACTCGGATACCACAATCAATTTAAACCCTTGAAGGCTTGACTTGAGCTAGAACTTTAGCGCCCCTGGGTATACTACACTTGCTCATACGCTTAAAAACCCCACTGATGTGTAATCAACCTCCCTGGCTGGCAGCCTGGTGGAGCGCCTGAGAGATCCCGCCTGAGCTGGCTCACTCTGCTGTCCACTGCTTAACTTGTCAGAGCCTGCACACGCCCATGAGTGGCAAGCAGGCGGCTGGGGGTTATATGAGCCCCCATCGGTGGTATGTGGCCGGCTGACAGTAGCTATCGAGGGAGCTTCACGCGATTCCACGGCCTCGTCCGATTCAAGAGCCAGACGCCGCGGGACGCCTGCGACTTTCTTCGGCTTTCTTCGGGGTCACGTGAGAAGAGGACCGTGCACGCTAGCGATCACGCGCCTGTACGCGCTCAGGTCAAGTTGAGCGATCGCAGCTCATCATCGTTCCCACCACGCACCATCCCTTCGTCCCCGTATTCGGTCCGGCCGCGAGGTGTGTTTCCGAAGTATCTCACGCATGTCCGCGATGTCCTATCATGTCGATGGTAGCCACCTTCCCAGCCACGGCGACAGTGAAGCGCCTCGACCGCGACCGCGTTCATTGATGGCGATCAACCAATCGTCATCATACACGGACACCGCATCCGCATCCTCGTCACCGTCCGCGTCGAGGAAAGCAGCCCATCGATCGGCAGCATCCATCTCGTCGTTGTCGAGCCTCTCGCTGACGCAGAACGACTACCCCCGCCCCGGCACGCTCTCACCGACACCCATGTCGCACTCGTACTCGCAGGCGTTCGCATCCACGCTCGGCGATCGAGACGACCACACCGCCAACCAGGCCACAACGATCGCAATCAGAGGTCCCGAGGGCGCCATCATGGACCACGCCAAGATGCAGAACAAGGTCTTTTGCAACTGGTGCGTACAACGTGGGTGCGCAGAGGCCTCTTACACCAGGCCGAGCGCGCCTGCCGGCCCCCACCACCGTCTTGTTCGGCTGGCGTCAAATCCCGAAGCGAGCAATCGTTCAGGTTAACTGCGCGTAACAAGCTCTTGCTTGCTAACGGTGTCCACAATCCGTTTATGGCGCATCTATAGGGTCAACTCTCGCCTCGAACCGCGCGGATTCGAGCCCGTGGTCAACCTCAGTCAAGATTTTCATGACGGCACAAAGTTGATTGAGCTGGTGGTGAGCATTGGCTTCCCGTTGTCTGCTTCTATATAGTCTGCTCTGATTTTCAAGACCGCATCTCATTTCGGTTCTACAGGAAGCTTTGACCGAACAGTCTTTGGGCCGGTACAACCAGATGCCGACCCATCGCGTGCAAAAGTTCGAAAACGCCAAGCTTGCCTTGGACCGCATCAAGGAGATGGGCGTGCACCTCACCAATATTGGTGCCGAAGGTACATTCTAAACCCCCTCCATGTCCGGTCCAAATCTTACTATCTGAATATATTTTTTACACTGCGGACCCTCAGATATCGTCGATGGAAATCTCAAACTCATCCTAGGGATGATCTGGAGCATGGTCTTGCGATTTTCTATCGCCGATATCTCGTGAGCCGTCACCTTCACAAATTCGCAGTAAGGATTAGATGCTGATCTCGCCTTTGTGTTGCTTTGATGTATACAGGGAGGAAGGTTCGCACGCCAAAGAGGGTCTCTTGCTGTGGTGCCAACGCAAGACGCAGGGATACGAGGGTGTGGACGTCCAGAACTTTACGCGAAGCTTCCAAGATGGGCTGGCATTGTGAGTGGCCCGTGCTGTGAGACCCCAGATGTGCCTGTCACCAAATCTGACACTTAGACTGTGCTACTTCTTCATAGCTGCGCTCTCATTCATCGTCATCGACCGGACCTCATCGACTGGGACTCTTTGCCCAAAGATCCAAGGCGTGCCGCAGACAACCTGAGAAAGGCGTTCAAGATCGCAGAAGAGAGGCTTGGCATCAAGGTGCGCACAACACATGCTAATTTATTTTGACATGTCTCTGACTCGACCGATCTGGTGCGCTATCATTAACAGCAATGGCTCGATGTCGAGGACGTCTGCAATCGAAAACCCGACGACAAGTCCATCATGACCTACGTTGCCCAGTTCTTCCATGCCTTCTCTACTACAGGTAAGCAGACACTACTCTTACACCGATTCTTCAGCCGTCTCTCACGCCCGACATAACGAACAGCCCAAACCGAGACCGAAGCTCGGGTGATTGGCAATTTCGTCGACAACATGTCATCGCTCATGTCAGCCGTGCATGATTACGAGCGCCGCGTTGGACAGGTGATTTGGCCATTCCTGCCTTAGTAATATTTTTTGATGCTTCAGCTGACAGAGCCGTTTGTGTATTCTAGCTCCTTGACTCTTTTACAATCGCGGAACAGGGATGGTCTCAGCCGCTCCCACCACAAATTTCGTTCGTTCAACTCAAGGCGGAGCAAACTGCGGTTGAAGAGTTCCGTCGAACCGAATTGCGAGCCTGGGTGACTGAGCGTGTGGACCTAGCGACACTGCTCATCAACATTCAGACGAAACTCAAGACGTATGGATTGAGGGTCTACCAGCCAACGGAGGAGTACTCGAGCGAGGTGAGTCGGCTAACAAGGTTTGATGGTCCTTGCCACGATTCCTTCCCGAACTGATGTTGGTATTCGTTTCTGTCTCAGTACATTGCTACGTGCTTGAACTCGGCCCGGAATGCGGAATTGGCACGGAAACAGCTCATTTGTGGAGAAATCAGGAGGTGCGAATGAACGAACTCGAGCTCGGGTGGGATTTTCCGATGTGCTGACGATGCCTCTTTGGATCACGGCAGACTGCAAGACGAAGCGTTGGCGCACGTTGTCGAATTGGCTGAAGCTCTGAGTCGGAAGATCTCGACTCTCCACTCAAGGCTTTCTGGCCTCGCCGGGACGCTCGATGTATGTATTTGCATCACGTCTGTGATGGGTGCCGTCCCCGCGCTGAATCTGAAGTCGCTTTCGTCTCTTTGAACCCAGTCCCAACTCGAATGCACACGCATGGTGCTGTCGAGCCTCCCATCGCTCACACACGGTCTCGACGCTCTGCATGCAGCTGAAGAGAATCTGATCGCATGTGAAGTCTCCCCTTTGGTCCCACGCGGCACCGTCCACTCGCACGAAAGCCTGGACTTCGAGCTAGAACTCGTGGCATCAAGTGCGAAGGGACGTATCGCGTTCATTGACAACCAGGTCCGTTTGGCTTAAGGTCGATGCATGGCAAAGGTGGCTCTACTGACACCTGCTTTGCCCCATCTCCTCAACTAGATCATCGCCCGGAAAGCTAGTTCTGTCTCGCCGGAGGAAATGGAGGAGTTTGAATCGGTCTTCCGCGCCTTCGACAAAGACGGGGACAATCACCTCGCGCTCGAAGAACTGGAGGGAGCTCTAGGGGCTTTGGGCATCTCGGAGATCGTGAGTACTTGTGTCCCCTCGCTGTTGATACATGCGATTCAGGGACGCCAGCTGACTGTTGATGGCTCCTTGCGGTCATGCCGTAGAATTTGGCGGAGATGCATGATTCGAATCAGGGAGAACTGGTCTCGTTTTCAGAGTTTATCACGTTCCTGGTGAGGATCATCACACCTCGCTCGAATTGAGCGATGCCCCCGTCGACTGACAGCGCTCTCACTCTACATCCTCGTTGCAGGTTCAACGCAGCGAAGACCGATTGACGGCCGAAAAAGTCCGGTCTTGCTTCCACTCCGCAGCGGCCAACAAGGTACGTTCCCTCGTATTCCAAGAGCGCAGTCATTTAATGAAGACTCGCACAATGCTTCACCTCTCGATACCACAGGGCTACGTCACTGAACTCGATCTGACCCGACTCGACTTGCCCACGACCTCGGTCGAGTTCCTCAAGGAATGGATGCCGCAAGTCGAGGTGGACGGAACCGAAGGGCAGAGTGAAGAGGGGGCCTGTTACGATTATGAGACTTTCTTGGAGACGTTCGTCGATTAGCATTATCTGAACTATGTTGTACAAAGCTCCTTACTCTTGTGAGATGAGGCGTCCAGACTCATCTCGCCGAGGCTCAACACGAAGCTTCGCTCACGTGTCACATGATTCCGATGTCCAAGGACTTAATTTCAATATGTATGAAACAGATGCGAGTCAGAGGAGGAGGAGGAGGTTTTCCAGAAACGGGGATGGGTTCGAGGGAATCGTAGAAATCATGCACATGGATAAGCGTTAAGAGATGGCAACAATGTCCTGAGGGTAAAAATCAATAGGCGTTCCGCGGAACGGAATATGCTGGAGTTGGACAGAGCGTGCGAGGGGTGAGGATGTCGATAAGTTACCATGGAAAGAAATCAGATTTGATGATATGGCGCGTCTTGATACTGGCATCGCGCAAGGTGGAAGTGGGTCTGAGTCGTGGGCGAGAACTCGGGGGTTGGATAAGCGTGCGCGTAAAAATTCGGCGATGGAAGTGGCTCGCCGTGGACCGGAGCATTGAAGGTGAGCGCGATCGGTGGGAGGAACAGATGCGAGGGAGACCGCGTGCGACTTTCCGCAAAGGACGGAGAAGACGTCAAACTTCGGCGCACCGACGAAGGTAGTGAATGCGCGTTCGGGGCCAAGCTCATGCTGGCAATCTTGAAATCTGTGATCGGAGCATTAGCACGAAGGTCTTCGGCAAGATCAGAAGTCTCGTACGAAGTGGCGGATGCGGGAGGCTGAGGGTAGCACGCTAGCTTCAATTGTCCCATGTTGCTCGTATAGCTGGCATACATCTCGTCGCGACTGTCGTGGCTGTAGGAGTCGCTCGTAGGAGGCAATGAGGTGCACTGGCTGTTCCGATGGATGTCGTAGTAGCGATTGTCGAACGGATTTGTGGCATGCTGCCAGCAAGCTTCAGGCAAGTAGTTGGCCACTTGTGCAAAGTGCACTTGGTCGCTGTCCTCGTAAGAGTCCTGGGAGATGTCCGAATAGCGACGGGCGTTGCGCTTGGAACCAGCGCTAGATGAGGACTCTCGCTTCTCGTGGCGATTTCGAGTCTTGCGCGTAATCACGTTCAATCGCGAAGCATCGCCCTTGAGGAAAGCACCCGAGGGATGGCTGCAGATAAGAAATCAAGCGGAACCATTAGTTCGAGGGCACTCTACGTCCGGGCCGAGTCGTCACGCACGAGAAGATGATGAAGTTGGCGGCACGAGTGTGGCGCTCCCCTGAGCGGCGGCGATCCGACAGACGCCTGGTCAAAAGATCCATGTGCGAGTGTACGAGTGTGCTAGTGTCAGTGTGCTGAACGTTCAAAGCAGACAAAAAGTGAGTAGATACAGCGAGCCCATCTCAGACTCACTTGAAGCCGTAGTAGCTCAGTTGACCTGGTTGCGAGTAGAGCAGGAGGGAAGAGAGGCGAGCGCGTCAGTATCCATCCCGAATTCCACTATAGCTTTGACCGGTTGTCGATAGCAGCTCCTGGTCCCGATTTGACTTCCGGTGAGCCTTTGTGTCCGAGCATACCAGCAGGTGTGCTTCGCAGAAATCCTCGGTCCGTCTCGATGTCCCTGGGCGGGAAGAATTCGAACAACTACTGCGAACAGCCAAGGAGGGAATGCAACGTACGAACGAACGATCCCAAGCTGTGATATGGGAGAGAATTAAATAAAAGATGAGTCAGCTCGACACGTCAGCACGATCAATCCAAGGCGCCCAGGGCATGAACTCACGATCGGAAGTCGAAGCTTGGTGCGAGAGCGTTTCTGGCGCGCGCGTCATTGGCCGAAATCTCGGAGGGCTGCAGTGACTGAGGGCCAGCGCCGCGTAAACCGGGGAGGCGGCCGGGAAAGCAAACTTCTGAAGTTTCGAGCGAGCAACAGGCGATGTTGCGAGCGAAATAAATTGGTTCTAGTACGAGGGAGCAATCCACCACTAATCCACCCCGCACTCGCCTTTCGACTCGCTCGGCGCGCCCGTTGGTCGCCTTTGGCAACCGGCCAAGCGCTGTTGTCGCTCGAGTCGAGCGTTTCGTGACGGCCAAGTATACGACGAGCAGTCTCCGACTTGACGACCTTTGTGCCGAACTCTATTGATGAGAATAGTGAATATATAATGACTGGCTTTGGTTTGGCCTTGGGGGCGAATTCCCCCACGACACCGCCCCGCGACCAGTGAAACCAGTGGAGATTGCGCCGCCGCGAGCGAGGCCTGTGGGGGTCAGCCGTCAAAGAGCGCCGACGCCGGACCTCGACGGGCCTCGTCTCGATCATCAATGACAAAAAAAAAGGCTCATCTATCGCAAGGTGTGTGTAGTACTACTTCAAAGGCCACCAGGTTCACCCCTTCACCGTCGACCTTGAGTTCGGGCGGCCATCCAGAATGGGATCGTGTCCGAGCTCGTAGTCCGCGACTGGAAAGGATGAGAAACGACAAGCATCAGATCCACGAACATGAGACAGGCCACACATCCTATTCGAACTCACGACAGTCATGGGCCCAATCGATCGAATTAATTCGACGTTTCGTCAAATCGATATATGCGTCAAGCTCGCAGAATCCGTAGTCGTTGCCAGTGCACTCTGGATGCTCGAGGGGGACGATGCCGTCGTTGAGTACCCAACGAACGAACAGGGACTTCTCGGATGAAGCCGACGATCCCGAGGAAGAAGTCAAGAAGTTGGAGGGGCATTCGACGATCTGCGAGTGAAGGTTGGCGGCGAAAGGCGAGATTGACGAAGCAACGAACGACTTCTTCTTGGGGATGTGCGTCGACGGCGGCGGGCCATCGGCGGCAAAGGTGGAGAAGTCAAGCGTGGTGATAATGGAGCTGATGACAGTGTCATGGGTTGCGTCGACATACAGTGCTTGGTCGAGCGGTAGGGGATAGCTTGAATTGACGGTCGAGTTGTACGACGTGATAGGTTCGAGGGTCACTCGGGCCAGCCACTCTTGTACCCACCCGAGGCCGAGCGCCGCTTGCGCCGGTTGACCGAACGAGTACATGTACCAGAACGCGATATCGTGCAGATGCTCGAAGCCGAGCCATTCTTCCTGAGTGAAGAGCTCGCAGAACGAGGAAGCGCCGAGGGCGACCAGCTCGTAGGCGCACAGCATTTGGGCGTTAAGTGCGTCCGATGTTTTGACCTCAGCACCTTCAATGAGGCCTTGCAGTCTTTTGACAGCCTCAGCTAGGTAGATATTGGACCACTCGTCCATCTTTTGCTTGCCAACGGTAAGTTTCGGGTCACCCGCGTTCGGGCACGTCATGTCTAGGAGAAGGCAAAGATAAATTGGTTCCCTCAGCGCGTCGTCATCAACGCGAGTGCCCAACAGCAGAGCATCGGTTCGAGACTCACAAGGCGACAAGGTGCAATTGAAGCCATGCCATTCGATCATGGGGAGCAGATCAAAGCCGGTCTCGTATTCGGGGATGCCAAAGAAGCCCGCGGCAAAGTTGAGGGAGGACTTGGTCATACGATCCTGCGTTTCGGTACGGAACAGCAGTCGAGATCGATTGGTCCGAGTCGCGGTGAGTGGCAGCCTACTCGATTTCATTGTTGCGCGGGTGCGAGACGGATACTCGAGTGGTGGAGCATCGAGCAGTTGGCCGTACATCTCACGATACTTGACACCCAATGCGAAAAGCTGCCCTCGGCCGAACGGAGTCAAGATTTCTGCGCCGAGCGGGTACGTCCAGTTGCTCAGGAAGCCGAGCTTGCCGTGGGCCTTGAAGCCTGACTGTTGTACCAGCTTTTGGAAGTCGGCAGGCCCGCTTCCTGAGGCTGGGTAGCGTGCACCGTGGCGATGGAGGAGTTGCACCTGCTTGACCGAGCATTGGCTCGGGATCTGCGCCGAGGTGCCGAGTCCGTGCGAGACGCTCCTCCACGGCGACAGGTTGCCGAGGTTATTCAACAGATTGAAAGCTTGATCTCCCGTAGCCTCGGTTTCGACCCTGCTCCCTGACATCAGAGACGAAGGAGGCTTCAGAGGGGATATGTCAAAGTAGGTCGGATAGCCCGTGGCTGCGGCGAGCGCTTCTGCCCCAGCTGCGAAGATGGCCAATCCAACGGTGTCAGCTATTGCAGTTCTTGAGCATTGTATTCGTGTACGCGAGCCAGACTGACTTGGTGTTGGACCTGCCCAGACTGACTTGGTGTTGGACCTGCCCAGCCTGGATAGATGGGCCATGCTTTGCCTCGGTCCTGGTCGTCCGGTCCGCGATCATGTCTCGGCTCTTGCAGTCGCCCCAGCAGCCACGTTGCGATGATCACCACAAGTAGAGCGGAGGATGCATAGTCGAGGTACCACGACCGATACAGGGATGGACGACCGCCGTTGTACCGAGAAGAATGGGACGACCCACGCGATTGCGGCAATAAGGGGGAGCTGGCGGTCGGGGGCGCGAGCGCCTCCTCGAGATCTCCTTGTCGATCGAGTCGTGGTTCCTCGTCTCTACGAATGAGGGATGGGTTCATGTTCGGTGACGTCGAGATTAAGCCTGATCCTGGGGATGAGGGTGTAGGGACGGACGCACGGACAGAGCAAGGCGAAGAGAACGTTCAACTTTGGCGGTTGCACTCGGAGCCCTCGGCTCGACGGGGGCGAGAGCGAAGCGTGGCACGTGACATCGGCACGTGACGATGAGCTCGAGACCATCTGGCCATCTATGTTATGATATTTATATATGATCAAAAGACTACCCCAAGAAGACGAAAATTGATATCGGCACTATTTTGGAGGGCCGCTGTAACAGTATAGGGGCACCGAATGCTTCGTCGCTGCCATGCAGTGGTTCATGAGGTGCCATCGTGGCTGTTCTTCTTTGACTGGCGCCCGCGATGCATGTGTAACCAACCTCCCTTCTCCCATTCTCCCGGCCTACGGAAACACAAATTGAACGGAACATCAGTTCACTGCGTACGATTACTCGTATTTCGGGGTCACAAACTCACTTGTACAGATCGCACTTCCTCTGAGCCACATCTGTTGCACCCTTGATCAACTCGGCCAGTCGTAAGAACCTCACCGGCTTGAGGCACCATCCATCGATCCCGTGTTCGACCAGTCTTGCTCGGGCTCGCTCCTCGATGTTCGCGGACACGGCAAGTATGGGGATACCTCGGTTGAGAATGTGCGACTGCGGAGGAGGAACTGCGGATCCTGACGAGAGGGAGTTGGACAAGAGCTCCTCACGACGAATGGCCGAAGAGGCGTCGTAGCCATCCATAATCGGCATGCTGTAGAAAAAAATATCCAGTCTTGATGAATTCGAGTATGGCGACAGTCGGCAGTCCTTCCTGAGTAGCAACTCACTTGAGGTCCATCAGAATGAGATCAAAATGGGCATTGTCCCTGAGAGCGTCAAGGGTCAAACCCCCATGCTCCACCACCATAACCCGGTGACCGTCCTTGACGAGTCGGCGCTCGAGCAGCGTTCGATTGATGTATTCGTCCTGCCCGGCCAAACACGCTCTGTCAGATGAAGCAGTCCCCGCACTATGCAGTCCAGTCATGGGGCACTCACTTCAACGACCAAGATGTTCAGACCCGATTCATTTTGCGCATTGGGGTCAGTCGCGCCGGCCAGCGCAAGGGGAGGCGGCGAGAGCGAAGGCATGCCCGAGGCCCGCCGAGTAGACCCCTCCCCTACGAGTATATGTGACGCGAGTGCAGGAGAGGCGTTGGGTGGTGAGAGACTCAGGGATGACGCAAGCCGGGGAAGGTGATTACTGGGCGCATTAGGCGAGCGTCTCAGAGAGGCATCGAAGGAAGCGTGCGACACCGATCTTGACAAGGTCCTGCCTCCGAGCGCGTGGAGAACGTGGTTCTTGGCCCCGCCAAGGGTAGCGTCCAATGTCCTCCTGTGGGGCTTCTCAAGATGTGATTGCGAGATGGCATTGATCAAGCTGTCGATCTCCGACTTTCGGCTGTCGCGGGAACGGACGCTCTCGCGACTGCCTCTCGATCCGGAGCTGGTGCGTCGGATGAGCGGGCGCGCAGCAGGTTGCGATGTGTCTCCGGGTAAAGAAGAGCTACCGTCCGAATCCAGATCTTGGTCATCAGGGAGACGGAAGGGAAAAATGAAGGTGAACTTGCTTCCTTGGCCGAGCTCGGACTCCACTCGCAATTGCCCATCGAGCTGCTGCACAATTCGCGCCGCGACGGCGAGGCCGAGCCCAATCCCGGTCGGTTGTGAGGTCTCTTGCTTGACGTGGTGCAATTCCGAGAAGAGTGCGTTGAGTTGCTCTTCAGGCATCCCACGCCCGGTGTCGGTGACCGAGATGCCAACGCGGATCGAGTCCCTTCGACTTATCGTTTCGTCCTTACTCGCCTCAACCATCTTTGTCACTTCCTCGGGATCATCCACCATCTCCCCGTACTCGATCGTGACTGAGCCCGATTCGGTGTACTTGACCGCGTTGGCAACGGTCGTGGAGAGAATTTGGCGGATCTTAGCTCGATCGCCGATGAGAAGGGTCGGCGTCCCTTGAGGGTTCTCGAACACTTCCATACTGATGCCTCGCCGTTTCGCTTCGAGCTTCTGCAAGCTGATCGCATCCTCGATCGTCGTGCGCAAGTTGAATGGCGCGTGGACGAAAAGCTCGCCCGCGCCAGACTCGAAGCGCGTCAAGTCCAAGAGATCGTTGATAACGTGGATCAAACTCTTCGAGGCATCGTGTGTTCGCTGAAGGTTCTCGTTGACAGCGCCATCGGTCGAGGCGTCGAGGGCGAGCTCGAGGAAGTTGAGGATCGCATTGAGGGGGGTGCGGACCTCGTGAGAGGCATTCGCAAGCAAGAGCGATGTGATCGAGTTGGCTTGCATCGCCTGCTCCTTCTCCCTGTGTATTGTAAAGCGTTGTATTGATCAATGACAAAGGCTTCGCGAGAAGAAGAGCGAGCATCTTCCACACACCTCCAAACTGAGATGAACTTGGAATAGATCAGTCCCAACACGCCGGCGGTGTCGATGGACTCATCACTCCAGTACTTTGAGCGACGGGTGAAGGTTTGTCGGTAGACCTCGAACTGTAGGTGGCCCCCCGGCGTAGTGGGACGCGGCGAATCCGCAGGATTCCCTCCCACCCAACTGATGGTTTGCGCGGTGCTGCGGCGCGCAAAAAAGATAAAGTCTGCTCCAGACTCGGATAACGGAATGACGAGGATACCGGCGATCTGCTTCAAGCCTTCAGGATCCGCGCACTTGAGATCCGGGAAATCGAGCATAACCTCGTTGCTGGCTTGCGTCGTCCGGAACTGTCGATCGCGCAAGTACTCCAGTACAGCAAAGAGCTCTTGTGAGTTCCCGACATCTCCAAGGATCTTGGCCTCCTCCCCCACGCTCAGGCATCCAAAGTCGGCCGAGAAGAGGTCAAGCAGGTCTCCGCCGTTCGCGATGAATCGCGTGGGCATCTCGCTATTCGCGCTGGTGTTGATGATCTTGCGCGCTTGAAGCCGTCGTTCGTACGAGAGGCGCTCGATCGTCCGGGAAAGCGAATCGCCGAGGTAGGCGCAAAGCTGGCGAATGGCGACAGAAACCCGCTGGCCCGTCGGCGCGTACGAATGTACCGCCACGAAGCCCCAGATCTTTCCGAACGCATACAATGGCACACTCATCGATGCTTGACATCCGAGCGAGGCAAGCACTTGGAACCGCGACGGGTCGACGGGTCGGATCGAGCATTTGGACAGATCCAGAGAAACCCGCGCTTCTTCTTGTGTTCTAGCGAGCATGCGAGCAAGCGGTTCGGTCCGATCGTACATGATGCCGATGCGCCCCTGCTCGAGTGATTCGCAAGGCAATTGCTCGACCGGGAAAGTCAGATCGCGGTAGAGCGTCGCCGAGTGCGGGCCTCTAGTACGGTCCACATGCTCTCCGACAACGAGTGCATTCAAGTCGTCGTCGAATTGTAGGATGAGAGCTCTGTCAAACTGGGTAAGCTCCTTGAAGATGCCGACAGTAACCTGCACAGGCGATCCATGAGATTTAGACAGCAAACTTAGTCACATACATAGACGGCTGATTCTTCTGCCGGTGCTCACCGAAAGGAACGTTTCCAGGTCTTTCGCCCGCCTGAGCTGCTCCTCGATCTGAAAGACCAATTGAACCATGTTGATCTCGCTGCTGTTACCAGCTCGCCGTTTTCCCAGTGCTCGTAGTGGCTTCATCAAAGAAACCGTGCTTTCAAGAATTTGATCGACGGTGGGGTCTCGTGATGGACCATTCGAGCCCTCCGGAACTGGTCCGGCGTCATCAAGTATGCTGTCGGGATACGGTGCGGGCGGGTCCCACTTGGTAGCAAGGGGATGTACCACATCGTTGACCAACTCGACCTCGAGAAGGAACCGCCGCATTTGTCGCACGGGATCGGGGCGATGCATGGCGCAATGCAGGCAGCGTCCAGCTTTTGACCGCGAGCCTTCTACAGCCTCGCCCTTCGATGGTAGCAGTGTGAGTCGGAACTGTTCAGGCGGTAAGGCTTGCACAGGTGTTCCTACAGACCGGCGTTGAGCCTCGGGGGGCTCGGGCGTCGAGATCGAAAAATTGTTTGCTACAGCTGCAGCCGCAGCTAGCTGGCCGCCGGGAACACCTGAAACTCCTCGAGACAGGTCTACATCCAACGCCAAACCATCATCGAGCGCGTCGACCGCGTCGAGAAAAGTGTCGAGCGAGCTTTGTTCGAGCAGGGCGGTGAAGTTTGGGATTGACAGCCATGTTTCGGCCTTGACACCAAGAAGCTTCTCCGAATTCTCGGAGACCTGCATCACTTTAAAGTTGCCGTGCGTGTCCTCCTCGAGGGCGAACAGGACGCCAAACGCTTGGACCGTTTGGTAGAATATCGGTTGCGGCAGAGGTGATTGGGGGGAGGACACCACTTCGCCACCCTCGTCGCGGGGCGAACGCACACTCGCGAACCACATTTCGACGCCTGCCGGCGTGATGAGCTTGTCGACCGATCGTGCTTCATCCTCAACAATTTTTTCCTGCTCTAAAGCAATCGGAAGACCCACAGAGCCGACGACTTTCGCGTCTCCTGGGGAACATGCATCTGCCTCCGTGGTTGGGCCTGTGCTGGGTCCTGAACTGGTGCTGCCTCGCGGGGTGTGAGTCATCGCCGGGAAATATTCTTTTCGGGTGTCGTCAAAGCGCGAGCTCATGGGGGTTTCCATGGGGTGAGGTGATCTGTTCGTCAAAGGCGGTGACCTCAGGACTGGGCCGTGATTCGTCGTGACGGCCGCGGTGTCCGGTTTGATCGACGTCTTCCGTCGATCTAGCAGCGGGCGAGGGTGGACTGCGAACGGGCTTGACTTCAGCAGAAATCCGAGTCCTCTTGGTTCATAGGAATATGCTCACCGACGTTGCGCATTGGGAATACTCGCTCGTTCCCAGTAACCGAGTATCGACGATTGGGATCCGAGCTGCGCGCCGGGCTGACTGGACTGGCTGGCGGCCCATCACGCGAGTCTCTTCGTACATTGGAAATGCTCGCATCGTTTTCGGGGATCGGTGAGAACGTCCTTTCAGCCATTTTATGTGCGGGGTCCAACCGTTCAGGCGTCGGCGCACTCGAGATGGCCAGGCTTTGCTCGGCGTTGATGCTCGTCGACTTTGGGGGAAGGATCGGCATTCCCTCTTAGCGCCGAGGCCCGCAGATGTGTCCGTGCACTTTGACAGCCGTAAAGAGACGAGGTAGATAAAATTGAAGAGTTCATCAGCGACTGATAGGTGCGGAGCAAGAGTCGTCGCAGTACTGTCATGCTACGTCGGGTGCCTTGATCGAGGCGCCATGAACGAGTCGTCCCATGCGGCATTGTCGACATGCGCATTGCGGGTGGGCAGCGGGTGGGGCGGCCGTGTGCGCGGAAGCTGAGATCGACATCCCTCGATCGGAATCGAGATTGTATCGAGGCCGTGCCCGAGTCCAACCCTACACAGTCGCAAAACGACGGGCTCCTGGCACGAGCAGGCTGAGCACACCAGACCATGAAAAGATGGCTCCGAAGCCTTGCAGCTCGTCTGTGCGACCACTTGTCACCTTCGACTCCCGGGATGCACAGAGCAGCTCGGCCCCCTGCTCGGCGTCCAATCTCTCGCACAGTCGTGACGCGTCCAAGTCCAGACCCGCTCCACACGGCACTCAAGCGAAGCTACTGAGCGAGTCGAGTCCGATGAGTCGGGCCTACTGCGGGCGGACGGCGGGTACTTAACACTCAGGCTCTGGAGTTGGCACCAGAACTTACGAGTTGGGTCCCTTCTGCTGTCTCTTCGTGTGTCGAGTAGATGGGAAGCACAAGCCTCAGTTGAGATTCACGGCAAACCCACGAGGCGCGACCAGTCGCTCGATATGTTCGTCACCTAGCGCCAATTCATTTGAAAGGTACCCTCCTGGCCCCGGCCGGCTGCCGCTGCGGTCGACACCCGACGGTCAATTCATCTCTTCATTATTTCAAGCTTCAAAACGTGGTGCCAAGGTATCTACGAACCTACTCAGATCAAAGACATACAACCATGTGATTTTGTTCGAAACTTATACGGACCAGCCTACCCGACTACAGGGGCTCGTCCCATCTACAACCCTCCTGAGTCCAATCTCGCTGATCAAGGAGAAGCTTTCAAAGGGATTTCGATGTGAGATTTCTGCATACTTCGCCTCTTCTCGCATAGTCGGTGTTCATGAATTGTCTAGCTTGAGGTTGGGGTCGAAGAAGTTGCAAATACATACATCGAGAAAAGTTACATGCCCAACATCTGGATCAACCAGGAACACGACCCTTGAGGCTACCGCTGCGGTGAGATTAATCTGGACGGTGGGCTTCGCAGCGGAATTCCGGGTGCGTGGAATAGCAGCGCGAGCAGGAGGGCCGCGTTGACTCGCGTGGGGTCACGATGAGGCGCGTCCCTCCGAGCGCCTTGAGCTTCGGTCCCCGGACACGGATTCATTACAAAGGCCCTCGTCAGCGACCTACTTTGAGCTCGCAGGACTGGAAGTGACGACCAAACCCAGGACTCACTTGCTATCACGCCCGATGACGTCCGCCCGAGGGGCCAGTCCGAAAGGGTACCACAGCGCTGCACTCTGGACTTCACCTCGACGCGCCGGCTCCATCTCGAGCTCGTCCAAGGCTTCGAACAGCGACACGAGTTCGGCCAAAGCACCCGGTCCGCGCAAGGTGTACATGTCGCGGTCATTCACCTCCTACATACGCTATTCTCTGCTCACTTTCGCCCTTCTCATGGCGCTGCTCATCTTGTCCGACTCGCCCAGTCTTTTTGGCTTGCGCTTGGGCCGGCGGGTTTTTGTGCCATCAAAACGTTTCCACCGACTAGGGGCTGGTCATTGGTTGCCACTGCCTCAACCATTTACGCACTCGGATACCCAAGAAGAGTACGGCGCGAGGGCGTTCGATCCTGCCTTTCCCAACAGGGTCGAAGAGATCGGCTTGTCGGTCGCCGGATGGAGATGGATACCGAAGCTGCGCTCGCGCAAAGGAATGCGAGAATGGAACGCATATTTGTTCGTGAAGCGATTGCTCAACTCGGAACATGGCCTCATTATCGTCGGTGATGAAGCCAGCCAGCAGATGATGACCGCCCTCGGTGGTTTGGTCGACCCGGAGGATGCGCAAACTCATCACTCGAAAATCGACTGGGGTGGCCTGCTGCGAGTCGCACGAGGCGGCTACTACGTCGACCCCAAATCGAAGGGGGCTCCTTTCAGATACACTTCGATCCCCAACGAGACGGCGGAGATTACGATCTGGCGGTCGACTTGGCTCAAGCGGTTGCGGAGGGATTTGCCGCACGTGCCCGATTCACGATTTGAGGCACCGGTGGTGCGGTTTGTCAGGCACGATACATTGGTCAATATGACCCGAATCACCGAGCTCGCCAAAGCGATGCGCTTGAGTCCTGTGTTCCTTAAGGAGGGAACGAGCAAACGATTGCGTCAAACCAACTGGCGATCACTGTTGCATCCATTGTCAACGGATCCGACATGGCGGGGTCAGCAAAATTCGGTGCTGCTCTTCAACAGTGGATCTCATTGGAAGAGCGACGAGTTCGGACTCAACGCCCAAGATCTGCTTGATGTCAGCCAGGCAATGGTGAGTCACAAATCGGGTCAGAGTCCAGTATCATCCAAGGATGTTGAGCTGAGCCTCGTCCGCACAGATCCGCGACCTCCTGTCCGAGCTGGTCGAACTGCCCCGCTTCGATATCATCGGTCGGTCGACACCACTGGCAGCGCCAGGGTGCGCCTACCACGTTGCTCCGCTCGATTCAGCCCCGCCGAGAGCGAGCGATTCTGACTTTTTGAACCGGGTGTGGCAACCGCTCGACTTGCAAAACTCATGGTGGGCGGCCGAGATGGATACAGTTGCGCGCAAGGGGAGGACGCGGGATAGTTCAGGCTCGTTGGTCTACATGAACGTCACAGAGATGGCTGGACAGAGACCTGACGCTCGAGTGGTCGGGGCGTCCGATCGACCGGATTGTCTGCATGTGAGTCGAATCGCGCCGACGAGACTTCCACACTGCCAACCTCCGCTGATCACGATAGCTCTCGTAGTGGACGCTACCCGGGGTACCTTCCGTTTGGCTGAGAATGTTGTGGCATATCATAAGCGGTGTCGATAATAGAACAGGCTCGTGAAATCAATCAACCGCCGTCTACACTGCATCGCAGCCGTTGAGCTTGAGCGATAACAGCGCAGGCCTCGCCATGTGCCCGAGGCGCACAGCATACCTTTCCTGAAATAGGTATTTGCAACGATTCTTGGTTCCAAATTACAACAAGTGGCACCCCTTTCAACAAGCCGTGGATGACTTTGCGAGAGGCGGGAGCGAACACTCGTCGGACAACCTGGCACTGGAGCTCGGCTGCTCCCGAGCGTCGATCTTCTAAATACAGTACTAGCATGGCGATAGGTATTCTAGAGAAGAAAACCCTTTCAAAACAGTCTTCTCCTTTTCTGGGTCTCTCTTTCTCTCTTCATTTTTCAGAGCTGAAGGCTTGCAGAGGTACTTAGTACTAAGATGCTCGTCAGCTAGCTTGGTTGGATACCCTGAAAAGGCCTGGGCTCAGCGCTCAGCCAAGGTGATCGCTTCGGGTTATTGTCAGGATCACGCCTAAAGCTGGCCTCATCAGCGGGCGCCGTCGCGCACTCTCGCCCGAGGCCCGAGGCATCCCGCAGGCTCGGGCAGGCTCGAAGAGGCTCGAGCGCGCTCGCCCGCTGTTATTGGCGTTGGTCGGACAGGTCAACTCTTCGCTTCATTCGATTTCCAGCCACGACAACTCGCTGCCGTCTGTGGCTACTTCGCCCAGCTGTTCCGGACCACCTGTCTTGCCCGATCGCCGATCTACAGGGGCGACACTCTTCAGATCCTAGGCAACTTGCTCTTGCTCGCTCCGCTACAACCCACCCGTGCGCAACCCGCTGCGCGTGGCTAGTCGCCGCCGGATTCCGCGCCCGGCCCAACACCGCTCAGACGGCCACGCTGAGCGTAACTTGTCGCTTGACGAGGACCACCTTCCGCGGCAATGAGTCGATTGTCCAGCCCTCCGAATCACAGTGGGCACATGTCGCCGTCTTTGAACGAGAGGGAAAAGGCTTACGATCTCGAAGACGGCGGCGACGACATGATGGTGCCCATCCGGACGGGCTTGCCTGGCCGACAACGGTTGTGGCTAGTCGGTCCGCTCTCGGCCAGGGTCAACCCGCTTCGAGTCGCCTTCGTGATCGGATCCCTTCTACTCGCCTGCATCGTTCTTCGACCCGCCCGCGTCCTGTCGGGACACCGGTGGTCGAGGGGATCGACGGCCCAGTGCGTGATCGTCATGCAGGGGGGATTCGAGAACTCGGGATTGGGCGATTACATTGGTAGCTTTGCGCGCGTGCTGCTCGCGGCCAAACGACTCGGGTGTGTCTACGTCCCGCAACACGTCTGGTCCGAACATGGCTACATCGCCTCCAATATCATGCATCGTCAACCGCTCAACATCAAGATTGACTCGATCAAGACGTGCGATCTCTCGGACGTGCTCGACATCGATTACCTCCACGACCTCGAAGGCGTTGGGTGCGACGTCCCGCTCAAGCCGATGCACAAGTCATGCAACGTCATCTCGTACAACCCGCGAGGCCGGATCTTGACGGGCAACAAAATTCACTGCATCCAGGACGAGTGGAAAAAGGACTGGGACGCCGTTCGCGGGCTGAACCACACGGTGACCCACACACGGTGCGGACCCGAGAACTCGGCGGCGATCCATCATCGATACGGCGACGTCAGTCTCGAAGGTGATACGCGAGCACTGAACCGACGGGAACTGCAAGATTTGTACGACGTCGCAACCAAGGTCGCTGGGATCGAGCCGCTTTGTGTCACGATCGTTGCCGAAGGGTACGAGAAGGATCAGATTGACTGGATCGACGGCCCGCACATCGTGGCCAGCACGACCGACGCCTTCGAAGCAATCGATATCATGACGAGCGCCAAGGTCCTTGGCGTTTCTGCCAGCAGCTTTATGCCTATCATCCTGCCGGTGGCCAAAGCCGAGACCCTGATCATGCTCGAGCACCGACGATGCGATTTCGGGCTGGTCGCAAAGGATAACACTCGACAGTTGATCATCCGGGAGCGGCGAAATCGCCTGAAGGAGCATTTGGTTGGCGAAGACGAGCTGTACAAGGAGATGCCATTCAGGCAGGGGTGTTCGCATTACATAGATTAGATCGCTGTCGGCGTCGATGAGCGAAGTTTGGGCCCATCCACGCCGTTGAGACACTTGGTTGCCGTTCATGTTTGTACCACCTATTCTACTATGCTATTCCATTATATACATGCGACACTCCTCCAAGTGAGGTCCTTTTCAGCTGACAGTCGGATATCATAGTTGAATGTTTGAGCCGTATTCTGCCCACAGACGACCTTTGCCGGCATACGCTCGCCGAATCAACTTCAAGCCCTCAAAAAATGAGGGCAAGACATAGTGGCAAACAAGTAGCGTAGGTACAAGAAGAGTTGAGACGGGAAACTACCTCGTCAAGGGTTGGCGATGGCATAGACCTGCATAGACTGTAGGACTCATCGCCGATCGGGGCAGAACGGAATCTATTTCATATGCCTCAGACATCTGTGCCATGCGCCGTTTCTTGCACGTGATCTGATAGTAACTCGAATCGAAGATTCGAAGCAATGGCACTCACCATCATGTCGCCTACTTGTCTAGCATGAACTCCCAAGTTTTGAGGCTTTGCGCAATATTGGAGACTCAACTCAAATAGTGAGTGACTTATAACATGTTATGTGCCTGGTCTATGCTCTCCCGTATATATGCCGAGCCGTCACGTGGCAAGTCGTGGCAAATGAAGGCTGGGTGGGACCCGGTGCACGAGCCTCGGCCAACTCTGGCCAACTCCGGATTACCCGGGACTGCAGCCAATTGCCATGGAGTCTCCTGGAGTGCCTCACGATCACGATGCAAACAGGCCTCCGGTGCTTACCCGCGCCTCCGGACTCCGCCCACAACGTGCTTCCTCACGAGCGATCGTGTGGCCGCCGATATGACGACAAGAGGGAATTATCTCCCGCTTCAGATATCGGACCGCGATGTGTCGAACCGAACCCAAGGCTTCACACGGCCGTACGCGAAGCAAGTGATTGTCGCGACGGCCCTCGTGTTGCTGCTCCTGTTCGGCCTGTCGAGGACGTCCTCCTCACGTGGCATAGGCAGCACGCGACATCCCGTTAGCGATGAATTCAGCTACAACAGTACAACCAATGATATCGCATACGTACAGTCGGGGCACATGCATGACTGGCAAGCGATCGCGCTGCTGTACACGCGCTACTCACACCCCGACGCGACGATTCATCTGCTCCGGCATCCGTTTGACGGCCCGGCGGTGGACGACATCAAGGTCGATTGGCCCTCGCTCTTCCGAGCCGCCGTCGTGACGGTCGTTTGGGTCGAGGAGAATACTGATTCGAACCGACAACTCGCGCACACGTACAAGCACTCGTCGCTGAACCCGGTCGCATACGAGTTGTTCTGCTTCCAGCGATGGGCAACGCTCTACCAATACCTGACCACGCAGAAGATAGACAGGTGCGATTGAAGATACACAGAAAGCGTGAATTCTATTTCCTATCTTTTCTTTGGGCTGACCTTTTGCGTGCCACATTCCCTAGTGTGCTCGTCTTGGACGCCGACATCTTCCCGATGACCAACATTCTCACGCGCTTCCCGTACAAGGATTGGCTCCCAGAAGAGCGCGGCGTATACATGCAGTTCTGGTCTCGCGAAAGGATGGGCGCGTTCGTCTTCTACATTAACAGCTTCTACGATCGACCGGCACGGTCCGTCTGCGCCGATCTCGATGCCATCGGGGGCATTTACGAAACACCCATGTGGGACGACCAATGGGTCAAGAAGCAGCTCGTTGATTGCGGCGACCAAAGACCCAAGCAAGTCAGCGATATGTTCCTGTTTGTCGAGTTTCAACGCGTCTACTCCATCACCCCCGTCATCAAGTACAAGCCAGAGAACCGTAGACTTCACGCCGCGGTCGGGCAACCGCACACCATGGGCGATGATGTGTGCGTCTCGCTCGAGAAGTTCAGGTCCCATGCCAACTGGATGACGGACGAGACACAGGACCGACGAATGCGTATCGAGGCGACCGAGGACGTGCTGTGGGCCCTCCACATGCAGGGAGATTGCAAGGAGTGGACATGCGCAGTGTTCTGCCCGAAGCTAGAGCCAGCCCACCGTAAGCTGGTGAATTGCTGCCGAAATCTCGCCTGATATCCGTTATATGGTCGTGTGTGATTGTAGAGTGTGATTGTGATGTATGATTTTGAACGTTGACTTGGAGTGGGGGGGGGCACAGCTCCGGAACCAAGCTCGAGAAAATCAAGGTACATAAGAGGACAATACAAGTGCACAATAAAAGTACACGTAAAGCCAGCGTTCCTTCGACTCAAGAACACCGAAAGGAGAAATCTACACCCTGTGCCTCCCCCGTTGAAGACCCGAACTCGAAGATATCCGAACCAAGGAATGACGAGACATCGACATCGAGCGCTGCCTGAGTCGACTTCTCGGCTGATCTTCGCGACGAAGTGCTAGCTTGAGTCGACGGTGCTTCCGAAGGGGCCAAATCCGAGGACGAGGTGGAGTACGATTGCACGGGATGGAACCGTGACGAGTATTGGTTCGTTCGGTGAAGGTTGAACGGTGTGCTGGTGCTGCGTGCGCGTTTGATGTTACTGATCGGCTCTTGGACGTGCGCGGCTGCGGCAGTGGCGACTTTGGCGAGTAGGAACCGTAGGAGTGCCGTGCCCTTCTTCGAAATAAGCTGCAATGTAGCAACATACGATGTAAGCCGACGCTCGAGCTAGTATGTCTAGTAGAACAAAGGCGGCGACGTACCGAGGCGGCTTGATGTCTCTCCATTTGCGCAGTCGCTCGGTGCACAAGGCCGGGGAACAGATCGATTTTGGGATCGTTGGGGAAAGCGAGACACGTCATGGCCAGCACAACAGCAGCCTACGGGATGGACAAAAATGATACACAATCAGGAAATGGGCCCAAATAGACGATAGACCCGAAGAATGGGGAGACCATCATGGACTCACCGCGACGGCCTTTGAGGTCAACCCGCCCCAAGGTTGCTGGCTACAAGAGGGCGAGGCGAAGATGGCGAGGAGGCGTTTGGCGTACAGAACGCACTGCATCTTGGATCTCTTGTAATCATCGTTGGACGCGGCGAGAACTTTGAGGTGGGTTTGATCGGGCGCGTGAGCGACTGATAATAAGGGCGAAGTGCCGGAGATCACGAGGCGACGAAACTTACGCAAGAATGGTCGATGCAGCCTAAGATACTCGGTTCCCAGCGACATTTGAAGCATGCTGTATTTGGTATGGTCAGATTTGGTGCGCGAACCTGGGTCCTCATGTAACTGACGACCCATCCTTGTCTAGCTGGTCTGTTGGACTTACCAAGTTCGCATCTCCACCACGTGATGTGCGGCGTAGACCGCAACAAACTGCCGTAGCTATCAATCTTGACTTGGTAGCATTCGGGAAGGGACAACTCAAAGTGGCTGAGCTCGTAATCAAAGTCAAGCACCATTCGGTACGAAACACCACGAATGCCGAAAGCGGCGTCTCCTATTCGCTTTGAGATGATCTGATTTATGGGGAAGTCTCAGCGAGTCGCCCCGTACTTGGCCTGTTTCCTTGATGAGGATGTCTAGGCTTACCGCGAGTTGCATTTTGGCTATTACGCTCGTCATTGGGGTCTCGGAGAAAGAGCGAGCTCGAGCAACCAAGGCGACATTAGCTGCCTCCTCGGTCTCGATCTCGTCGTCGTTCGCATCAAGTGGAAGCATGATATCGATCATGTTGAGGTCAAAAATCGTCCACGTCCGAGCAACGGCGGACGAGGAGAGCACGCAGAGAGTGAACAAGCTGTGGAAGAGTCGTCGGCGTTCCTCCGCCTGAAAAACAGAAAGCGGAACGCAGCATTGACCGGTCAATTCTGTTGGCTTAGGCTGGTAAGCGATGTATCTAGTTAGCTGACCTCGAACAGCGTGTAGCGACCTGGGGTGCGGTCCGGGTCACGATGTAGTCCAATAGAAATTGCGGCCTGACTTGCAAGCCCCAGAAGAGCCCTGATATAGTTGGTAAGGAGCATCAGTCACGCCATCTCGTTGACCAATTTGAAGATAAAGGTAAGGTAAAACCCACATTCCGGTACCAAAAGTCTCCCCGGTCGACATGAACACCCTGAAAGTAGCCAGGACCGTTGTCGCGCGAATGCTTTCCAAAGTCGGCGCCTCGACAAACTGCGCACCCGAAGTATTCGTTCAGTCAGGCGTTTTTCCTTCCTCTGCCACGCGCTCGAGAGTGAAGACCGGTGTGGAAAACTAACCCTTCCGTATCTGAGTGCCAGCATCGCAGCGCTGAGCCATTTTTCGACCATGGCTTCCTTGTCCGACTCAAAGCTGTCTCGCTTTGCTCGTTTCGCCGGCATCATCGACTGAACAGGATGACGCAAATGTCAGTTCCTGAAAGAGCCATAGAAGAAGAGTATCAAAAACAGCTCACCAAGCCCGTCGCGCAGATACCGAGGAAAGTTGCCATAAAAAACGGGTCGATAGCACCATGATTGTCGTCGCCCGAATTGAGAGCGGCGGTGAGTTCGGCCCATCTCTTCTCGAACGAGGGCAGATGGACAAGATGCATGTACCACGAAACGTAGCCGCAGTAGTACGTGATGGCGCTGAGCGCATGTTGCGGTGACGGCAAGAGCGCGATGACCTCGTGCAGGTCCGGCGCATTCAAAGGGAAGTCGAGATCGGTCGGGGGCTTGCGCGAAGCGTCCGCTGACCAAGAAGGATGCACGTCCGAGTGTGCATGCAAAGGCGGGCTCCGAAGCGGTGCACCCCTCTGGTTCTGTATTATAGGACGAATGGACCCAGAAAACGGCGACGATTGGGTAGGGATGAACAGGGCGTGGGCTTGGTCGATGATGGTGCGTGCGCTGGGACCGGCACCGGTGGCCGCCTCCTCAGCGGGCGCAATCTCTTGGATTGCTAGATGAGACAGGGCTTCACAAATGTCGTTGGCGCGAAGATCAAGCAATAGAGCACCCTCATCTTTCGACATGACCCCGACACTCCTCGCATTGGAGCCCGCCGTGGAGGCCGCGGGTGAGCTGTTTGCCACGGTCGACGTGATCGGAGGTGGGAGGTCGTCGAAAGGCCATTCCTTGAGCGTATCGAGCGAGTTTTGGGTCAGTAGGCTCGATATTGAATTCGAACAGTCGATACTCGACGGTGATTGCGAGAGCGTGCCCTCTCGGCGCGCAGAGTAGTAACGAACGAGCGCTTCGAGCTCGGCGACTTGCTGGCGCAATCCCACGGACTCCTGCACCTCGGCCCGTCGATCAAGTACCGGTGTTGCGCTAATATCAAAGAAGGACCCGCGTAAAAGAGACATGTGTTGAGCTGATGGGTTCCGCGTCTTCCCAATTAGTGCAGAATTTGCTCACCCTTGCCAATCGCAAACCTCGCTGGCTCGTTCACACTGATCGCACGGGGCGATACGGTTGCACCTCTTCCTCCTTGTGCGACAGTTAAAGCATGAACTAGGTTTTCGGATCCTAGTGAACTTCTGATGTACCCCCTGCTGGTCGTCTTGCTTCTGCTGCTTCTTCGTGCCGACGTTGGGCTTGTTCCCCGTCGCTGCCGAGGCCGTCGTCCAGCTGCTGCTGCTCGCTGTCTGGCCTTGAGGCGTGAAAGCGGCGTCGGACGACTTGTCTAAGGAAGGTCTCTTGTTGAGCCTTGGCCTCGCTGCATCGACATCGAGATGTTTTTTATTGGTCGTGTTTGTGCTCCCGCGTAAGTCTGCCGCAACTCCCGGGATGGGAGCAGCACTCGGGCCTGAAGCCACGGATTCGCCGTAGACAGCGATCGCGGTGGGTGCGGGTGTGGGCCGGTGTCTCGGCACTCGGTGCTCCTGTGGGACCGTCTGTCGGTGCAGACGTGGTGCGGAGGTCGTGGTCGTGCTCGTGCTCGTGCTCGTGCTCGTGCTCGTGCTCATAGTCAAGTTCGCAGTCGTGTACGTGTCGGGCTGGTGTTGGTCTTGCTGTTGCACGGGACCAGCCGTCGCTTCAGTGGGATTCAAGCCGGTGTTGGTCGCTCCAGCCCCGGTAGTATTCGCGCCGGCCCCAGCAGCAGAGTCGTGAGCGCGATCGGCGGCCAGCTCCGAGTCGAAATTGAAGTCAGTCGGATCCATAGTGCAGCAGTGTCGTGTCGTGACTCGTTATTGCAAGCGAGGTTCACTCGGACCAGCTGCAGTGAAATGGAGCAGGACCAAGAGGTGCACCGACAGCGACGAGCCAAAGTGGTCACCGCCGATTCTGTTGTGCGCACAGACTTTCCGACGCCTACGACGGCCTACGACGGCAATTGTTCCTGCAATTGTTCCTGAGCAGGTTGCAGTGGCGGCGGTGGCCTAGGGCTGGGTCACTAATTGTTTTGGCCCCGTCACTAATAGGTGACAAAAGTCGGACCCTCGGTCACTTATTGTTGTCACTGTCACTTATGTCACCAGATTTTCGCCTGTCACTAATGTCATTAAGTCCAATATTTGGTCACTAATGTCACTAAGTCCAATATTTGGTCACTAATGTCACTAAGTCCAATATTGGTCACTAATGTAACTGAATGGAAACGATGTACATTGCACTGTCGGAGGCAAGCTCTAGCACTCAACATAACAAAGTGCGCCAGAGAGACCATCGTTACATGGTCATCTCGTCATCAGGTGACCAAAGATCCATCGCTTCGTCTTCCTCGTCGTCCAACACCACTGCTGGGAGCGGAAGCGATGTTTGTTCGCTCCTCAGATGCTTGGTCAGGGGCTGGAAATCGACCCATTCGAAGATATGATCCAGCTGGGTCGGAGTCGTGACCCGGCATTTTCATGTTGGTAAATAGCATTCCAGACTTGTCATTCACATTCCAGGGTCGCCATCAGGTACAACTTGAAGCAAGTAGACCGGGTCTAGACCGGTACCCTCTAGTACCTATGGGTACTTAGTGACATTAGTGACAACGATTTCTGGGACCCCCTTGTCACTAATCTGTCACTAATTTGTCCCTAATGTCACGTCACTAATGTCACCTATTAGTGACCCAGCCCTAGGGCCCGTTGCACGCCGCACGGTGAGCGTGAAAATCGGCGATGGTGCTGGAAAGGGCGCTTATTAGCGCGGGGCGCACGGCGGCAGGCAGCCGGCAGGCACACCATGCGAATGCCGCAGTGACACCGCTGGCGCGCCGCATCACGTGACAGACGCCAGCCTCGACCCGCGCGTCAGGCGTCAGGCGCAGCTCTGCTGTAGAAGCAATGACATGCAAAGCCACGCGCTTGCCGTCCATTAAATACAATATAAGTGTAAACACTGTTTTACATCACCGAAAAAGTGAAGGAAAATACTGGGAACGCTGTAGCTTCGTTCGACTGGCGCGAAAAATACCAAAATTGCGACAGAGCTTGTACATGATTTCTGATCGAAACATGGACACCACAGGCAGGTGCGGCAGACACAACAGTATGCTGTTACATCCACCACAGGCGGCCCTTCGGGCCGCAACCTAGTCAAAAATAGCGATTTTAGGTACATTCCTTAACTCACCTTTTTTTTTATAAAGAGGTAGTAATCACATGGGCTCGCAAGGAACTGAGGAAATAGGTAATAGTTGAAGACTCGTCCGCTAAATATAACTATGATGTTCATTCATCTGGGGCCTCCGACGTCACTCGCAGTCCGCAACAGAACGACATGCCGTTGCAGAAGACGGTCGGTAGGTCATGACCGGTCATGCTTGATCTTCGTTCCGGTGCATCCGTGAGCTGAGACTAGTAGTCTAAGCCCTCTGGCGGTCTCCAAGTCGATCCAAGCGAAAAGGAGGCAGAGCCAACTTGCCATCCGCCTCGTCCCGCGACAAATCCCCTATGCCCAACCCTCGTCCATCAGGTGATAGAGGGATTACCGGAGGACTAGTAGAACCATGTTCCAAAATAGAGTCCGACTGAACCTCGGCGGGGTTGTGCGATCGACTTCGCGAGCGTCGAACGCCGCTTAGGTTTAGGAAGAGTGCTGTGCATCCGATCGAGTAGATGATGCTGTAGACCCAGGGGACGAAAAAGTAGGACAACTCGACTCTGTGGATTCATTTTAGTGGCCGATGATCAGTTTCAGGCTACGAGGTAAAGAGCTGTAGTTCATCCGCAGGCCGGTACTACTAGCGAACGTACTCGGCCCACTTTGGAGAATCGTTCGGAAGAATATAGATGTAGTTCCAGATGTTCTCGGTGGTAAAACTGAGGGTAAGCGTGACGATGACTGAGACGCACTGAGAGCAGTCGATATTCATTTAATGCAAAGGAGGAGCGGCCCGAGAATGTCGGTAGAGAGGCACGTGGTAAGTTTGGCTCATTCGTTCCGGGAGCAAGAGTGTCCGACTCTGACTCACGACAATGATGTCAATATACTGCTGTTTCATCCCACTGGTATTCCCGATTATGATTAGTTACTAGTTGTTGATATTAGTCGCCCCGCGCGTCTCGAGCCTGCCTCGCGCGCGCTCCCTTAGCGCTTATCTTCTTTCTCCAACTATCTTTACTATCTTCATCGGCTCTCGTACTTACGCACTTCGTGCCTCGGCCTCAGGTTAGTTACTGTGCAATTCTTGAACGATCTTTACTATCTTCATCGGCTCTCGTACTTACGCACTTCGTGCCTCGGCCTCAGTTCCTGAAAGGTTATGAGCCCACCTAGCCTATCAGCGGCGGGCGACCTCGACGTCCACGGTGACATGGCATCAACGCCTCCACCACCGTCATCAACGTCGTACCATACCAACGACGTCGCCTCCACTACCTCCGTCACGCTCACTAAAGAGCAATTCTACGAGCTGATCAGGAACCAGCGCCCCGCACGGGACGACGACGCATTCTCCATGCGTCAGCGCCTACCCCCAGCCAACCCTCCGGTCTTCCCCGACGACTCGAAACTTACGGAGGACAATTACGTTGACTGGGTCCCCACGATGCCGCCATGCTCGCCCTCTTGGGCTGGATTCAACGCTCGGACGAATCGAGCGACGGTCCCCGTTGCGAAGGCGGTCGTGCCGACCAAACGCTCTGCACCAGGCAAGAAGGGAAAATGGGATCGTTCTGGTCCTGCCCCGAGCAACTGCCCAGCTTGTGGTCAAGGCAAACACTGGCTCGACAAGTGTCCGGAATTGCGCAAGCGAGCCAAGTACCTCGAGCTCAAGAACGCCATGAAGGAACTCCAAGGCTCATCATCGCCTGCGTCCACGTTCGTGGCCACCGAGGCAGCATCCAAGGATCAACACCTGTCCGTCGTTTCTTCTGCTACGTTTGTCAACATCGGGCCACCGGCGGAAATCCTTCTGCTAGACTCGGCGTCGGCGTGCCACGTCGTCAACGATGCGTCCTTCTTTGACGGCCCCCTTTCGCCTACCCCGCAAGTCCTGCAAGGTCTAGGGGGAACGGTGAAGGCCTCGGGAATCGGCTCGGTCAAGCTCGTCTCCGATAATGGTACCAGGTTCACCCTCAACGACGTGATCTACGCCCCCGAGAGCCCTGCCAACCTCATCTCAGTCCGGGCCTTCGACCGCAAAGGCGTTCGCATCACCTTCGAACACGGACAAGTCGAGCTCCGCACGCCGCAAGGGTGCATCGCCACAGCATCAGCCATCGCGTCCTGCGTTTACAAACTCAACGCTTCGGTCCAAGCTGCCAGCAAAGATGCGCGACACACCCTCGTTGCCACCAAGTCCAATAGGCTACCTTTACTTACCCTTCACCGGCGCTACGGCCACGCCTCTGTCCAGACACTTAAAAAACTGGCGGCCTCTGGCCAGGTGGAGGGTTTAGATTGGCCCTATAGTGACTTCGAGTGTGATGGCTTCACCTGCAACGCGTGCCTTGCCTCCAAAGCGCATCGTTTGCCTTTCCCCTCTTCGTCGTCGCATGCCGCGGAACCACTCGCATTGGTGCACTCGGACGGTGCACTCGGACGTCTTATCTTTCCCCGAAGAATCCTTAGGCCATAAGCGATACCTCGTCACGTTCATCGACGACTTCTCGAGGAAGACTTGGGTTTACCCTATCGGGCACAAGAGCGAGGTCCTTCAGACATTCAAGGATTGGCTTCTGGAGATCGAAAACGCCACGGGTCGCAGGGTCAAAACACTTCGCTCGGACAACGGGGGCGAGTATGTCTCTACCGCTTTCAACGGCTATTGCGTGGCCCGCGGAATTCATCGCGAATTGACCATACCGTACACACCCGAGCAAAACGGTCGGGCTGAGCGAGCCAACCGGTCGATCGTCGAGGGCACCCTGGCTCTACTGTCTCACTCGGGACTCCCACGATCGTGCTGGGACGAGGCTGCCATGTGTTACATTCACGCCAAGAACCTCTCGCCTCATGCGGCCCTTGGTGGAGCCATCCCAAACAGTCGTTGGTCGGGCCACACACCAAGCGTAGGGGGTCTTCGGGCATTCGGTTGTCGCGCTTGGACCACCGTGCCGGCTCACCGACGGGACAAGCTCGACCCAAAAGGGATTCCTCTGGTCTTCGTCGGGTACGATCGACACGCGAAAGCCTACCGTCTTCTCGATCCTTCCTCCATGCGTGTGAGTCTGGGCCGCAATGTGACGTTCGTAGAAACCGAGTTCCCCTTCGCTATCGCGCCCACCCGAGTGACGCAGCCGTCCATCCCGGGTTACGCCCCCCAGCCCCCACCCGTCGAAGCTCCAACACCCGTCGAGCCTCCCCCACGGCCACCGGCCCCAACGCCTGTCGAGGCACCCGCGTCGCCCGCATCGACCAGCTCGGCCGACAACGACGACGCCTCATCGACCACGAGCGCAACGACGGAGTCAGCCGTGAACCTGCCGCAACCACCTCCGGATCCAGCTCCACTCGCCAAAGTCAAGCCGAGTTGGGAGTACGGCGACGTCGCCAAGGTTGGTCCCGATCCAGGGAAGTACGGTGAAGTCGACGCTCGAAACATCATTGATGGCCCCCGGACTCGCCGCCAACCCGTTCCCACCATGATCACGCGGGAACAGCCAGTCGACGGCACCGACGGACCCACCGCCTCTTTCAAGAGCCTGCTCCTTGCCTTCGCATCCACCAAGGCCGGCTTCGCAGATCATGACTTGTCGGTTGTTCGCGATCCGGCAAATTGGGGCGACGTCATCCGATCGGGACAAGAGGACGTTTGGGGCGCTCCGGCACAGGATGAATTCGATTCGCTTCTGAACGATTACGAGGTCTTTCAAATCGTCGAATCCTGTGAGCTCCCAGCGGGTGAGATCCTCCTGCGGTCGGGCTGGGTGTTCCGGACTAAACGCAACCAGCATGGCGACATCACCGATCACAAGGCCCGACTTGTTGCTCACGGATGTGCCCAACGCCCTGGCCTTGACTTCGAGAAGACCTACGCCCCTGTCGTCAAATTCACGTCCATTCGAGCCCTCATCGCACTCGCCGCGGCCAACGGCTATCACGTCCATCAGGCCGACGTCAACAAGGCGTATTTACACGGCAAACTTGACAAGCCTCTCTACATGCGCGTCCCTCAGGGCATAAACCTGCCAGGCAAGATCCTCAAGCTGTCCAAATCCATCTACGGCCTTCGCCAGGCCGGCACCATCTGGAACGCTGAGATCGACTCGACTCTGCGGTCCCTCGGATACGTCCCCACCAGGTCTGACATCTGTATCTACCGCCGCGAACACGACGGGCACTCACACTATATTGCCTTGTACGTCGACGACTTGCTTTTGGTTGGTCCCTCTACCGCCGAAATCGAGCGGGTGCTGGACGCGCTGGAACTCGCATACGGCATCAAACGTCTCGGACCTGCCGAATATATTCTAGGCATCCAAGTCAAACGTGGACAAGACGGCTCTATCACGCTCTCACAAGAGCGCTACCTTCGGGACATCCTTGCCAGGTTCCAATTCACCGATGCCAAGCCGGCAAGTATTCCAATGCAGCCAGGTGTCGTCCTTGACTTCGAGGACTTGGCGGCCACTCCTCAGGATCGTACGCGCTACTTGCAGGCCATCGGTTCGTTGATGTACGCCGCAGTTGGAACTCGTCCGGACCTCGCCTTCGTGGTCAGCTACCTCGCTCGCTTCTCCCAGCAGCCTGGCCCGGAGCATTGGACAGCCATCAAGCAGGTCCTCCGTTACATCAAAGGCACGCTGGACTTGGGCCTCACCTATCGCAAGACCAGCCAACCACTCCGTGGCTACTCGGATGCGAACTGGGGAGCCTGTCTAACGACCTCACGATCGACCATGGGCTACGCGTTCATCTTGTCCGGAGCCGCTATTGCTTGGTGCTCCAAACGCGAGCACAGGGTGGCCAAGTCCACTACCGACGCAGAGTACCTCTCTCTTTCGTACACAAGCGGTGATGCCATCCACCTGAGCGAACTCCTGGCTGAACTTGGCGCTCCGGTCTCCGGTCCAGTCGTACTCTACGGGGACGACCAAGGTTCGCTGGCTCTTGCGCAGCACCCGACCAACCATCAGGGGTCTCGTCATGTTCGCATCTCGGAACATTACGTCCGCGAGAGGGTAGCTGAGAAGGAGATCGAGGTCCGCTACATCGCCACCGGCGACATGATTGCCGATATTTTCACCAAAGCCTTGGGTCCCAAGCCGTTCATCTTCCATCGGGAGAATTTGGGTTTGCGAGGTGCAGTGGTATGACAGCACGGGGGGGTGTCAATATATTGCTGTTTCATCCCACTGGTATTCCCGATTATGATTAGTTACTAGTTGTTGATATTAGTCGCCCCGCGCGTCTCGAGCCTGCCTCGCGCGCGCTCCCTTAGCGCTTATCTTCTTTCTCCAACTATCTTTACTATCTTCATCGGCTCTCGTACTTACGCACTTCGTGCCTCGGCCTCAGTTCCTGAAAAATGAGATCCTTCTCTGCTCTTCGCAAATCACTCATGTCCACATACCCTCCGAGATCGATGCTCAACCCCGGAGATAAAGGCACTTCCAGAGGCTTGGGTGCTGATCCATCGCCGTGCTTCGTTGAGAAATCGTCAAACGAGCTCGGAGTATTAAATGCCGTTAGGGACGTCGAGAAGCGCTGTGCTGGCGATGGCCGTGTAGAACCAGTGAGCTCCTTGACGTCTTGTGACTCCATTTTGACACCCGTCGTACGAGTCGGGAAAGCGACCAGATGCTTCGGCGTGCTCGCGGGATCAGATGCCCCCAAAGAAACAAAACCGACGTCGGGTCGGATCGATCTTCGCCGAATCGAGGCATTGATCTGTCGCCGGAGGGTGAGCAGGAGTCCAATCGAGCCGATGTTGAGCTGGAACGGGTGAAAAATGTGCCCATGTGAGTGCCATTTCGCGCTGAGAACGCAGAACCGCATCGACTCACGAGACCGATTGTAAAGGGCACGATGATGACCATGAGAACCACCACATTCTGATATCTGATGACCAGACATAGCTCGGTCAGCTTTCCCAGCCTCACGGGGTGGGACGGCAGACTGAAAAACTCACGGCAAACTATGCGCAGCCGAGGTTGTCAGGTCCGCGTACAAGCTCTGCACATTAAGCAGCTCCCCAAAGTCCACGCCCTGGGACGGATTGTAGGATACCTGATTACGACTGAGCGCAGATTGGAGCAAAACAACATGCTTCCACGTCCGTCGCCAGGCGAAAGCGCACAAAGCGTCCACGATCTGAGGGGCCGCATGCGGGGAGCCGAATTAGTTGTGTCGCTTCTAGGGGGGTGGGGATCTGATCTCAAGGAGTCTGGTGAGAAGATAACTTACAAGGAGACCGACAGTCAAGGCAAAGGCCGTACCATAGAAGAACCCATTCGCCACTTTCGCCGGGACATACCCTTGTCGGCCAGTCCGAGTGGCTCCAGACCGCGAGCGCACCGACACGACGAGGAACGCTTGTGTCGAAGCCCACGTCACAAAGAACGCGTGCATCGATATCGGAATCCAAACAAAAGCGCGCCAAGTGTTGACGTTCCCGAGTTGCTTGTGCTCACCCAAGACACGGTACTCCATATCTTCAGGATTAGGGAGCAAGTCCAAATTGACCTCAGTGCCGAGCAAGATCCGATCTCAGTGGCCTGGGAGAGCGGCTTACAAGAATATGCGAGCATTGCCACTGAGGTCAGGAATCCCCAGAACGGTAGATGGAAGTGCAGACTATTGGATAGGAGCATAGGGTGAGCTTCATCGGAATTCACAGAAGCTGAAATAGGCCTCAAGCTTACTTTGTTGTGACAAACCCATCAACTTTGCGAGCGATCCAAAACCCTTCCGACTTGATTTTGCGCACGCGGTAATGGTAGTAAAGCATAGCGGTGTACACCATGGTCACCAGAATACCACTGTAGAGATATGGAACGGTCCAGCATTAGAGTTGCTTCATCAGCCGGTGCTTCATGCGAGCTACGTCTGCGACGGCGGCGGCCACCCTGCTAAAGCGAGGAGACTGGAAGTCGGAGTAGATGAGCCCACGACCAGCTTTGGCCAAAACTCACTATCCCGATATTGAGCAAAGCACGATGATGCGTTTCTTGAAAGCAGGTACATTCCGGGGATAGTAGTAGAGTACCTTGTTGAGCTGCTCGACGTCTGAGAAAATGATGTGCATCGGAGGATTCGTGGTCAGCTTCAACAGCTGAGCTTGACTGCCCAAGACGGCGCATCAACGTCGCGCCGATCTCGCCCAGGGCTGCCCAGGGATCCCAGGATTCAGGGCGCGAGGCTCGGCTGACGGCGCGGACAAGGTTTGATGATTCCGACGGCCACAAAGGCTGACGCTCAGGTTCTGCAGGGGAAGGCGGGGACCGAACTCACACGCATCCCATGGGTTCGTGATCGAGGAACCCGTCGCCATGCTTACTACAGTATAGCCACGTATCCTCTCCGCCTTGCCAGCACTCGGAGCAGCGGCCGCGAGCTCTGGCTGGGGTCGTGAGCTGCTGGAGCCTTGCGTTTGAAGATGAGTGTCGCGCGCGGGGTTGCTGGAAGGCTGACAGATCAGCGGATCCGAGCAGGTCTGAGCGGTCTAGATGTCCCGGACTCCGTGAATTGAGACTGGGTGCAATCAGAAGCCAAGTGTAGAGCTGGCACGTAATACAGCGAGCTGGACAAGTCAACTTTTGGTTGAGAGAATGCGAAGAGAAGGGAAGTGGCTCAGGGTGGGTGCAATGGAGATCGCTGAAGATCAAGCGAAACCCGAGGTACGTCCGACGATCAGTCCCTCGCACGGTCACTGTGCTCGTAGGGCCAGGTGGGGCCGTGGTCGTGGAATTCGATCAGAACTTGCCCCCCGCCGGTCGAGGTCGCCCGCCGTCCAGCCGGCGTCAACTCTCCGAGTTCCGGTCAGTCAACTTTCAAGGCACATCAGCACCTGCCACACCAGTAAAGCATGAGGCACCCGGGTTCGACACATGGACTTTGCAGCCACGGAGTCTCGGTAGCGCCTGGAATCTGTGTTTATTTCACTTTGCGAGGGCTGAAAAAACGTGGTAGGGCGCTCAGACCTTTTAGGAGGCGCGCTCGGCGTTCCGCTCGGGATCCGGCCCGCCCAGAGCGCGATGAAACACTGAGTGTTGCCTACCGAACAGAGCCTACGTATTTCAGCAGCTGCAGTCCTCGAAATTCCTGGGCTTTTCTTCTGCTGGTACTTGAACCGATCACTGCAGTCGTCTAATTATAATTATAAGTCGACCGGTACAAACTCCGAGACACTGACTCTATAGCCAGACCGCGGCGGCCCAGGGCGGCCCGGTCGACGGTCAACTTTCGCTGACTCGGATTCTCAACCAGATCTCGATTTCCTAGCTTGAACCCCTGCATCCACATACCTTAGCAAGCTAGGTAGGTACCATAGGTACGCAGAGGAGATGTTCTCCTACTACCGAAAAGTACGGACCTGGTGTCGATTCGCGAACGGCAGCCATTCACCTACCTCGGGATGAAGGCTGAGGAAGGGCTGAGTCGGAATATTCAACATCGCCCGATACAACCGAACTAGTGATCACGCTAGGAGTCTTGCCTTCGTGGATTAATAGGAAAATATCCAGCCAGATAAAAAACAGAAAGGGATTCTTGGGCGATTGGAAATTCGATGGCGCATCGCGAGTCGCCATGACGCGTGACGCGTGACGCGCGAGCTAGACCGTGCGCGGTGAACAGCGCACAGCGGTGAACCGAGTCTCGACGGGGTCGAGCGCGCCAGCTCCAAGCTCGTTTGCTGCCTTCATCCTAACCACCGATACCGCTTTTGCCGGCTGGTGTTAGTGCTTCAGCTTGGTTTCAGCTCAGCGTAGATCCCAAGTTGTCTTTTCGCTCGCTGCGTTGCTGAACGGCGGCCCAAACGAGCTCGACGATCGCGTGTCAACTCGGTCGTCTCGCACGCGCCGTCCCTCGCACCCGTCGTCCCCTCACACCGTCGTCCCTCACACTCAAAGCGCTGCACTTCAACTCGGGATGGATGCACAATCACCGCCACCGCAGCCTCGAGCGTCGACATCGTCCGAGATGCAGCTGCAGACGCCCATCGCGGGCAGCATCTCGGGGCCGAACCGATCGAACAGCGCGGCCGCAGCCATCGTCGTGTCAGATCAAGTTGTCTACGACCTCTCGCTCGCCTGCGACGCCGAACATGCCTCGGACGAATCATGGCAAGATGCGACCGCTTCCTCGCTCGAATGGATCCTCTCTCTCGACCGTAGCAGTAGCAACAACCTCTCCGGTGGGGCCAACGACAAGGGCAAGGCGAGGGAGAGCGCGGTCGTGCATTGGTACTGCGGTCACGACGGCGCCGAGGTGTGCTGGTCGCCGAGCGTGTTCCTCGTACGCCTATTGTCAATGAAGAGGCAAGGAGACGTTGCGAGGTGGAGAGACATGTTTGAAAGGTGAGAGTTCTGGCTGCCACTGCACGGCGGCGGTTTGCTCGCGCAAAGGAAGCCAGATCCCGCCAGGTGCTCTCAGAGATGATCCCCCCCACACGGCCCCCAGAGAGCAGACACTGACTCCCTCGATGAACTCGTACCTGCTCATAGACTCATGCGCGAATGCCCTCGGTGTGTTACCGCATTCCAGCATGCAAAGTCCGAGTTCATCAACAGGTTCGTTCGGCTTTCTTTCCGGCAGAGATTTCGGGATCCCTTGCGAGCAGCTCGATTTGATCCGCGGCTGCGTTCGCACACCCTTGCTGACTCAGCGACATGTCAACAATCAGGTATCTTTCCCTTCGCAAGAGTGAGGCAGCTATCAGGGGATTCTCGGACGGCATAGAGAGGCTTGAGCGTGATCGAGTACATCAAGCTTTTTACGACGCTGGGTTCGGGGTGGACTCGACCTCGGCGACGGCGCATCTTGAAGATGTCGCGCCGGCAGCTATCCAGAACTGTCTGGTCAATCATCTGTTGTTCCAGGACACCAACATTGTCAACCTTATTGCTTCGGGTCTACCGGTGTCCAAGCCGATCCAACTCCCGCCCGAAGTCACACCGGGCCTGCTCGCCCTCCGCTTTCATCGGGAGCGTGCGCTGCGTGATTGGACACAGCTTCAGCTCGATAGCTGCGAGCTTGTCACTCCTCGACACTATACGCATCGAGGACTTGGTCTCATTTTTGGGGCGCACCTCAAGCTACTCGCCAGTCGCGATCGCGGCGACTTCAACGCCGAGACCGTCATCCACCTACCCTACGTCGAAAGTCGAGTCGAATTCTGGCAGGCGCTGACGGCGGTACTCGCCTTGCTCGACTCTGAAACGATGCATTCGCAGCTCACTCGAGCGGCAAGCCTCTCCAATCCAGGTACTCCCTTAACAGCATCAGCTGTGGGGGATATCGTCCCGGTCGTGGCAGGTCATCTCGGAGACGTCGGGGATCACTTCCCCGACGTCCTGTCGTGCTTCCGGATCATCGTGGATCGACTGCAGGAGAACGTTTGGAAGGGTGCAGCTGATCGCTTCGAAGAGGTGACTCTGCACGCAATACTCGACAACACATCTTTCGAGCGAGTATTTGGTGGCACCCACGAGGATGCGCCGGCGACCAACGACGAGCCGATATTGAACTGGATCCCACCGTTTCTGAGCTCGGTGGCCCAGTCATCGACTCGCTTCATCAACTCGTTGGCCATCATCATTGCGGCATTTTTGGGTAACCTGCAAGCTTTACGCTTCGATACTGCGGCACGTACACGAGCCATCACTATCGCTGCGACGATCTTGTCCGATGTCTTCCTCGACACCGATGGCCTCATCGATGCCCCGTCCAAGTGGCCGCACGCGCGGGAAGCGGCCAAAATCCTGGACCTGCACGCCCCGACCATCGCCGATTTCGCGTTCGATCCGCGCTTTGGAGCCGAGCATTGGCGAAAGGCGACGAGCACAGCGATGGAGCTGACGATGCGGATCATGCAGCGTGATGCTCGACGAGTTCGCGATGCGATTCATACTTTGGGTTCCTACTCGATGGAGCTCAAGCGCGCCGAAGATCAAGCGAAGCGGTCGAAAAAAAATGTCCCAGCCACCTTCGAGTCTAAAGCATCAACTGCGTATGGCCCACCGCCAACCATCGTTGCGTATTGTGCACCGCTCTGGAAGAGGTCGTACGAGATCGTCCGATCGACGGACGCCCGGCATCTTGCCGCTATCGTTCAGGGCACTTCGGCATGCTATCACCTCGAGCATCTCACCGCTCGAACTTGGATATACAAAGATCAGATTCGAGCACAGATGAAGGCTGTCAACGCGGCGCTCGACCAAATCCGCTTGCCGTTGATCTCGCTGGTTGAGTCCTTCACCGACGAGGCTCCTGCAGCTTTGCTCGACTTTCTCGCCCGACCAGGTATCACGGAGAACTTCGTCGTCTGGGCGCTATCGCCGATCGAGCAAATGCACAACGTGGCGCAGGGCGTCGTCAAACAAGCGTATGACGTGTTGACCCGTCGAGATTGCCTTGGCGCCCTATTGCTGCATCACCCGGGCTCAGCCCTTCGCGGTCTTCTCCGATCATTGCGCTCATTCACCACCGCTGCAAAGTTTCTGCCGGAAGCCTGCGGTCAAGCCAAGCGCCTGGTACGCTGTCTTTCGGACGTGCTCGATGTCCTCTGCGCCACCGCAAATGGGCTACTGCGTGACGCTTCCTTTCTGCGTCGCGGCGTTGAGGAGGAAGAGCACCTTGGCTCGCGTCTGTTCGAGCTCTGGCGACGCATGTGTGGCGCGCTGGCGTTGGTCTTCAAGGAGACGCCTTCTTGGTCGACGTTCTTTGAAAACAGCGTCATGACGGAGTGGATGCGAGATGCGATCTTGTTTGGAGTCGACTTGCTTGAACAGCAGCACGCATTCGAGATCGCGATCCGCGATACCTTGCGAAGCGGCACCGACCCAGCCTCGACCAAGCAAGCGTCGACACAGGCCAGGCACGTCATAGCGGCCCTCAGTGAGCCACTTGAGGAGCTCACCTCCTGGCTTCGATTGAACGACGAGGACCTGTTGTCTGCGACTTTTGAGCTCGTTCGTTCGCTGCTTGGACGATTCGCCGAGTCCGACATGGCGCTGAGGAGCTCGACGGTGGCTCGCCTTCGCAAGATCGCGGATAGCAATCGTCGCAACCGCGCTGTGCGATCCAACATCCTTCGTGACGATCAGCTGCGCGAGCTCGTTGATGCTCTGGCCGTCAATGACGGTGACGAGGTGGTGGTCTACGAAGTCCCCCGTGACAAGAGCAAAGCACTTGCAGCTACCGCCGCTGCTGGTACGACTTCGAAGCCATCGGCGAGCGTGCTGGACCAATTGCGAATCCATTCGGCGCGCTGCAAATCATCGGGGATGAACGGTGTTTCGTCGACTGCTGCGTCGAGGAGACCGACCTCGTTCACCACCGGCAAAGGTGTCAAAGCTTCAGCACCGAGTTCCACAATGTTAGCTCGACCTCGCGGTGTACCTTGGACGAGCTATACGTCAAAGCCAGCCAAAGCTTGGAACTCTTCGGATGATTCGTCCTCCGAGGAAGATCACGACGGCGAGAACGCGGACAAGAAACTGTCCGGCCTGGCGATGCTTGCACGAGCGCAAAAGTCGTCGCCCAAGTTCAAAAAGATCACCGAACGTCGTACCGTCAAGATGATCGACAACCCGACTAACGGCGTCGTGAGCACGCGCATCAGGGGCCCTATGGCCACGCAGGATGCGGCGCAAGATGCAGCGCAGCGACGCGCGGCCAACATAGCTCGACTTCGAGGAGTGCAAGACTACTCGTCGCTACATCGGCGCATTCTCCAGTGGGACGTCGACAAAGAAGGACCGATCGCACCGCACTTGTCCAGTCGTCTCACCCCGCTGCGCTCCTCATTCAGCAGCGCCGACGATTACGTCAACAGCTTTGAGCCGTTGCTTCTGACCGAGTGTTGGGAGCAAGTCAAGGTGGCCCGGACTGAAACGGCGCAGGATAATCACCCTATCAGGGCGACAATTGCTGGACGTCAAGCCGTCGACGACTTTATCGATGTCTTCGTCACGATCGACCATGCCGATGTGCCACAAGGCACGTTCTTTTTCGATACCGATCTCGTGCTCCTTCGGCAAGGGCACCATCAAACGATTGCCAAAGTTCAGGCTTTTGCGCGAAAGCGCGAATTTTTTGAGGCGACGCTACGCACACAACTTGGGAACGACACGACCGACGCGGGACCAGGTCTGGTAGCGAGATCACAATGGCAGATCCTCAAGTTGTATACGTACGTCCCTGCTCAGTCCTTAAAAGATAGCCTTCTATGCCTGCGACTGAGTATTCGACGTGTCGTACACAGTTTGAGTACGATCCACCGCGAGTACGCAGCACTTCAGTCAATTCGCTACCTGGACTTATTCCGCGAAATTATCAGTCCACGAGCACCACCTCCCGTCCCTTATGACTCAAGAAATTTGAGCCGGATGATCTCGGCCTACCAGGTCAACGAGCCACAGGCGAAGGCGATACAAGGCGCCTTGCAGACGTCTGGGTTCAGTCTCATACAAGGTCCTCCTGGAACGGGTAAAACCAAGACAATCATTGGTCTCATCGGAGCGTTTATAGATTCGAGACCTCGAGTTGCAGCGCCGATCGTGGTTGGACAACCGACCAGCGAGGCCCACCGCGAACCCCTCGCCAAGATCTTGCTGTGTGCCCCTAGTAACGCCGCAGTTGACGAAGTCGCCAAGCGACTCAAGGACGGTATTCGCGACTCGAGTGGGCGCCTCATCGTGCCAAAAGTCGTGCGTATCGGCAGCGACTCCGCGGTCGACATCTCTGTGAAAGACATTTTTCTTGACGAACTCGTCGAACGCGCGCTGAGTGGAGGCGTCAGCGCGGCCGACGCAGCGAACGACTCGCAAAGGAGGATGCAGTCGATGCGCGCCGAGGTCGACCTGCTTCGCGCGACCCGTGATGAGAAGCTGGCGGCTTTGCAAGCCGTGAACGACAATGACGTCTTGCGTGAGGAGCTGCGGTATCAACTCAAGACGACCAAATCGCAGATCAACGAGATCTCGCAACGCCTCGATGCCGAAAAGGACAAGGCGCAGCAATCTCGCCGCGCGCTGGATGCGCAGCAACGCAAGATGCGGATGCAGGTCCTGTTCGATGCGGACGTCATATGTGCAACACTTTCGGGCTCGGGTCATGACTATATGGCCCAGTTGCCATTCGACTTTGAGACTGTCATCATCGACGAGGCTGCGCAATCGATCGAACTGAGTTCGCTAATTCCGCTAAAGTACGGATGTCGTCGGTGCATCCTTGTTGGGGGTCAGTTGCTGCACGAGGATTTCTATGCTTTCCCTGGAACATGCAATCTGAACTGACGCGGACGTCTTGACCCCTCAGATCCGTTGCAGTTGCCGCCGACCGTTATCTCCAACGCTGCCAAGCATGCGGGCTATGATCGATCGCTGTTCGTTCGCATGATGGAGCAAGGACGAGGGCCACACTTGCTGAGGTGAGCTTTTGAGGATGACGTGCTATCTGGCGCCGCTGAAATGAGCTCAATTTCCGGACTTGCATGCGGTGCAGCATCCAATATCGAATGCATCCGCACATATCGGCGTTCCCCTCGGCCGCATTCTACCAATCTCGACTCCTGGATGGCGAGGAAATGGAGAAGAAGACGCTACAGCCATGGCATTCCAATTCTTTGTTCCCACCGTACATGTTCTTTCATGTTCGCAACGCCACCGAGGTTGCCGGTCGTCACCATTCGTGGACGAACCCCCAAGAGGCCCAGACGGCCCTTGCGATCTATGAACGTATCATACGGGAATACCCGCACGTTGACCTGAACTATCGTATCGGTATTGTCACCCCTTACAAGGGTCAAGTATGGGAACTAAAGACAACTTTCCGCCGTCGGTTCGGCGACGACATCCTGTCCAAGATTTCCTTCAACACAGTCGACGTGAGTAAACCGACGTCGGACCCGGTGTCGGTCTGCTGTCGCTGATGTTTCGCGACTTCTATTTGCACGCTTGCACGCCTGCAGGGCTTTCAAGGGCAGGAAAAGGACATCATTATTCTTTCTTGCGTCCGTGGAGGGAGTGTAGATAGTGGTGTAGGCTTCTTGGCCGACACACGGTACGTTTTTGACGCGTGGAGTGCAGGTAGGGCAACCTGCTAATTCTTGAGCCACGCATTCCGCAGGCGCATGAACGTCGCTCTGACGCGTGCCCGCTCATCGCTCTTCATTCTCGGCGACTCAAACAAACTGCGGTCCAACGAGTATTGGGGCAACCTCGTTGCGGATGCTGAAGCTCGAGGCTTGATGACACAGGTCAGTACAGGTTTCTCTCGTACGGGTCTTGAGCAAGGATGCTGACGTTTGGCGGCGTTTGTGATTCAGGTCGACCCGGCTTTCTTTCGCTCCCTGCAACCGCCGAAACCTCCGACGATCCGTGCGACCGTCAAGCCTCACACCTCCGTGGCTCGTGCCATCGTTGCAGAAGGGGCACCCAACGCCTTGGTTCGGCCATCGAAGCAAGGTAGTGGTGCGACGGGTTCCTCGTCGAAGATCCATGGCATCAAGCGCCGCGGTTCGCCACCATCGCCTAGTAACTCTCCTAAGAAAGTTAAAGCTAGTCTGAACGAGAACAATGCAAGGGGTATCGATGCCAAGTCGGATGAAACGAAATTTCGTCCTGTTGCGGAGATCGTTGGCTCGCAGACAACCACGTCGCATCCAGCGTCAGCAACGTCGGCACTACCAACGCCAACTCCATTGATCATTGCCCGACCCAAACCCAAACCCTCGATGTTCATCACTAAAAAGGTGAAGCCAGTTACGCTCTTTCCGAATAGCTGCGCTCATTCAAACTGATGTAGGGGCTGACCATACTTCACTCGACTCGACGTTCCTCCTTATCTGCAGAAACCATCCGCTACGGGCAAGCGGCCGTGAGCGCTCAACGGTGCGAATATTGCTCTGAATTTTAGGAAGCTCATTGGTCCTTGTCATGTACTCAATCTACATGGAACAGATACACGTAGGCCTGTGCGGTTGCAATGATCAGCTCCGCAACCATAGCCCTGGTCCGAGGCTGAGCGGTGAGATAGCGACTCGAATTTCAAATCCGTGGTGCATGCGCATCTCGATACGTGCACTCAAAAACTACAAAAAACGAAGGGGAACACGAGCGAGGCTCAATGTAGGAGTTGGATCTGGCTAGGCTAAACAAGGACAAGTCGCCTGCCACTTAGCACCGCCAGCGTAAGAGTTTCGAGGTGAAACCAATTCGAAAGCAACAGAAAAAGAAAAGGGGACCTTGTCGACCGAGGTGGAGATGGCTTGAAGACCGTGTGCAGCTGAAAACGTACACTAGAAATAAGCTACCTCGTACCACGTGATTAGAGTACATGCTACTCACTGATGTTTAGGGTACCGTGGACCTCCTTCGATCCGAATGTGAGATCGACCTTGAGCGTCGATCCGAGGTGACGGAAGAGTGGAGGCTAGTGTGGAGAGTGAAGGCGAGGATCGAGTCGTCAGCCTCTTGCTGGAACTGCCTCGCCCGCCGTGAAGGGCCAGCGAGCACGATCGATCCATCGATCGATCAAGGGTCGAAGCAAAGACTCACGGGGTACGATCAAATGCAAGCGGTCTTGTAAACCAGGAACAACCTCAGTGACATGCCGTAGGCGCCATTCAACACTCGTCGACGAGTGGATAGGCTGATGGCAAGCCGTGACGCAGTGAGAGACGGTAAGGTCGGAGGCAGTGGCGAGGTGGGAAGCGAAAGATCACAGTGAGAGGGGAGAGGGGAGAGGGGAGAGGGGAGAGGGGAGAGGGGAGAGGGGAGAGGGGTGAGGTGGTGTGGCGTAAGATGATGGAGGTGATGTGGTGAAAGATGGACGCGAGACGGGTGAGCACGAGACGAGTCAGTCCGACCATACGCCACACGAACACGATCGCTAGCTAGGTAGACTAGGTAGTTACTCACACTTTTGACGGTGGGAGGGATCGAACGACAGACTCTACCACATCACAAAGGCCACCGTTTCGTATCCTCCTGAAAAGGGGGGCGATGTCGGCAAGACTAAGTGGTGCGAGAAGTGCAGAGCGCGTCGACGAGGAGAAGGAAGGAGAAAGAGAGAGAGGCGACGAGCTCGAGGTGGTCGCCGACTTGGGTGCGGGGTGTGCGCTTGGCAGAATGAGTCATCTCATCGATATGACGCCACGCTGTGACTTTAAGCTTTCGATCTTCTCCACCTTTGCCGAGCGCGGCCGAGAGCGGCCGATCGCGCCGAAGATCTGAACGGACAGGGGACCGTGCACCCCACATCGAGGCCAACGATCCACCCCTCGGAAAGACCGAATACCTTGTCGATCAAGCTCGGTCAAGTCTCAGCAAGTAGGTTGAGCTCCAGGGATCACCCCAGAGTTGAGATCGCCGCGATCGATACAGCGGTTGTCGCTCCAGCAGCTTGGTCCGAGTTGGGACGACCCCGATTCGACCTCGATGGCCGCCGCCTTGACCAGACCAAGATTGAGAGCAGAAATGATGAATATGGGGTACAGGCTATTTTACGCTACAATTTGAAATATTCCGATCTTCTCCACCTCTGCTGAGCGCCGAGCACGGCGCGTCGCGGATCTGAAATCGCGGACAGGGGACCGGCGAGCACCCCACATCGAGGTCAGTGATTCGGAAAGACCGGATACCTTGTCGATCAAGCTCGTTCTAGTCTCAGCAAGTAGATTGAGCGCTAAAAACCACCCCAGAGCTGAGATCGCCGCCCCGCTATCGATACTGTGGTTGTTGCTCCAGCAGCTTGGCTCAAGCTGGGGCGACCTTGCTTCCACCGCGATTTACTGCGAGCTCCAACACGGAGCTGGGTCGCGGTGCGAGGCTCACCGTGACTCGAGAGCTCCGACGCGGCGAGTCGACGGAAGGAGAAATGAAGAGTCGTCTCTGAGTACTCCAATAGAGGGAATAGAGATCGAGTAGACACCTTCAGCTTCAGAGGTAGTACGGCTGCTTGAGAGGAAATCGGTTATGGGCGGCAGAGATAGTATCTCGGTTTTTCGAGTACACCGTGCTCGTGCATGGGCATGCATGAATGTACGTCTATGTTGGGGCCATCTCATCGAACTGAATGGGTATGGCGACTCGGACACCCTGGGATGGTCCGAAGCGGCCGTCGAAGCAGTCGACAGCGCTCGTCCACGGATTCAAGAACGACTGCGGTTGAGGGTTCAAATAGACCAAATTTTCAACTTACCCAACATCGAACTTAGATGCCTATCTTCAAGGCACAGGTCACTGTGCCTAGATAGGGGTCAGGTACCCACTGCTCTAGGTTGGCGTGGGGGTCGATCTCCGATCAGGCTGCCGGAAGATCTGAGGAAAAAACGACCTGTTGGTTCGCATTTATCAATACTACCACGATGAGTAGGTACTGTTCCACTGCAACTTGAAGATAAATGTAAAGAGCATCGAGTAGGAAGAGTATTGCGTAGCTACACAGGTTGGAGTTCACGTGCGTTGTACCTGATGTCATGGTGCTTAACGCCGAAATCGCCAGCGGCGAACGCACGGTAAGTCCGATGGTTTTGTTTTAGCTTTGGCCTGCGTGAAACTCTCCTTACTCTTCCCATCCATTCTTTGATATCGAGTCTCTATATGCCGTGGATGATCGCCCTAAACCGATTTCTCTTCTCTCTTCTATCAACACAATTCAAGGATTTGTACCGTCTGTCCTTGCCGTCTACTACAGAGACAATGACCAGCCTACTAGGTTTTTCGCTTTAGACTTCAATCGATCTAGGAGGCCCAAAGTCGTGGGCTACAAGATCAAATACCCCCTGCTTGTGCAGGGGCATGCATGACTGTGCGCCTGACTTTCCTGGGCCACTCCATTGAGTTGCACGGGCGTGCACTGTCATACACGGTGTTGCATGCGCGGGGAATCGGGACCCGAGCATCCCGCGCTCGAGTGGTTCGCAGCCGAAGGCAGCCGAGGCGCCGAGACTGCACGCCGTCACGGGGGTCCCGGGGTTCGTACGTTTGCATCGCTGTCGCTGTGCTTCGATGAACCCACGCGTGCATTGGTATTCATAAGTGTTGATCAAGGGTTTGCGGCAGTATGGACTGGAACCAACTTCATCTCAGGCTACTCCTCGAAGGCTGCTTGCTCGCCCGGAGCCTCACGTGTCCTTGGATCGATTCACCAGTGGGCCCCTGCACGTTCCTGGCAAGTCTCCAGCTGTTCAATGTCGTGCAGAGACGTGTTAATGGTGCAGAGCAGTGCTGAAGCGAGGCGTAACGAGTCCTGGCGAGGCCTAGGCGCCACGCGGCCCCACGCCGCTCTACAGCCCTGTCAGGCCCTGTCAGGCCCTGTCCGCTCTGTCCAGCTCTGTCCGCTCTGTCCAGCTCTGTCCGCTCTGTCGCCGACCCTGGACAAGCTCTCTCCACAAAGCAGCCGTTTAGTCTCCCGCTGCAGCACCTATCTACCTCGCCTGCCCTGCTTTTGTACTCGCTCCGAGCTTGGACATCCCCCTCACCCATACCTTGATCTGCACCTACGACCCCTGTGCTCGCACTACACATACATCCACCACTCGTCCGCCCGTACGTACACCCCCCGACCCGCACTCCCCCCGCCTCGTGGCCATGTCGCACTCCACAACACCACCTGCATCGCTCGCAACGGCTGCCACGACCGAGTCGAGTTCGCACACGAGCCCGACCAGGCCCAGCACGAGCACGGCCACGATGAGCGCATCGATGACGACCACGACGGCGGCCGCTCAGCAGGACGACGATGACGCCGCTGTAGGCATCGCACCGGCCACAACAGGGCCTGTCGTCGATATGGAGGTATTCAGGCAGTTGTTGGAGATCGTGAGTATCGGTGTATCTGATGTGGCCCCGGTGCTGTGACGTGTTCGAGAGGGCTGGTAGATGGGGAGAACACCGAGGAGGCAAGCAAAAAATGACGTAACCCGCGGCGTACAACTAGGGCGACAACTAGGGCGACGACTAGGGCGATGAGCGACCGTAGTCAAAACCTATCTCGAAGCTGCCAAGTCGAATGCTGGCTACAAGTGAAGCCATCGTGTCCGGCGTGCTATCACGGACGCGGGTGCCGCGCATCCATTACCGGCGCAAGGGGCCTCCTCCTGTACACCGTGGCTGCTCGGCCGAATGCAGTGCTGACATTGTTGCTTCCGTCACTTGGGCCTTTGTTTGGCTCTACATCGGTCAAACTCACTATCGCACGTTCTACTCTGGGCAAATCGCAGGACGACGACGAGGAGCATGACTTTAGCAAAACGCTCGCGATAGACTACATTGGACAGGCCGAGACCACCTTTACCGAGATCGAGGAAGCACTGTACGTTCAAACTGCCCGTTTCTAGTTGACCTACCTGTTGCTGAGTCGACGCTCTACTTCCGACGCTTCGGTGCTGATTTTCTCGTGCTTCGCCCAACGCAGGGACGCCAAGGACCTCGACGCGTTGTCGCGCAAAGGGCATTTCCTCAAAGGCTCGTCCGCCGCATTGGGACTGCACCATGTCCAACACTCGTGCGAGTTGATGCAGCACTACGGCAAGTGCAAGGACGGCTCGGGCGAAGGCGCGGACCTGACCGAAGAGGTCGCCCTGCGGAAGTGCCGCGCTCTGTTGAAGCGGCTGCGCATCGAACAGGACGAGGCCAAGGCATGGCTGGAGAACTTTTACAAGGTCTAGAATGGGAAACGAAAATCGAGCCGGGATTGAGTGGGCCACGACGAGGCCATGAACGAGTATCGATACTCGCCTCACAAAACTCGGATCCCCTAGCGAGTGCCCCTTTTTCATCTGCACCCCTGATCGACAGAGATCGAACAATGTCCTCTTTCTTCAACGGTCCTTCGTCTCTCCTCCATGTGTTTCCAACTTGCATTGACCTCCTTCTCCTCCGTTTGTACATGCCCTCGTCTCGCCTTGCTTCACTTCTCCTACGTCTTGCGTCCCACGTCCCTCCTCTCTTCTTTGACCTACGGCTCGTCTTTTTCCGTGAATTAGGTATGCCTATATTCCCAAAGATTTGGCTCATAGATAAAGACCCGTGTGAGACTAGCGCGGCACGCTGGTCAGCTTGGCGATCTCTCGAGGCACCGGTGCGGACATCAGGTGTCTTGGCCTACATCTCGAGTACGAGGATCCCATAAGTTTCTCGTTCTGGGTGAATTGCCGAGCAGTCCAAGGAGCCTCAAGGAACACTGCTGTGGAGGTTCCGAGCGAGGCCGGGTGTCTAAACGCTTCTCGGAAAATGGATCACGTGACTTCGGACTCCGTCCCGCGGGCCCCGGCTCGACACGATATGACGGGCTTCTCGTGCCTACCTCCTGCTACATGCTACTCTTTCCTGCATCCTACCCTAGCCTTTTGGGGTAATCTCCAGTATCACCATCTGCCCACGTCACTTTGTTGCGTCACTCTTGTGCGCACCTGCCGACCGAGGCACAGTGGGAAAATGTGGCAGCCTCCGGTGACAAAGGTACGCCAGATCCTGTTCTTTCGCTTGTTCCTCTTGAGTCTCAACGATATCAATATGTTTTCCATCTCTTTATCAGCTCATTCGGCTATGGATCCCACTAGGTAACCCTCGATGAAACCGATGGAGATAGGGGAGCCTCCGACCCATCACAATGTCGTCGCTTCCCACCGACATCGAGCAATTCGTATCTTCGTCCCTTGCGGATTAGTCATCGTGCTCGTGATCTTTGTCATCTCCAAATCGGATCAATCGCTCCATGAAACCGCCGCAACATGGCGGGACCACCTCGTCAAAGGCTGGAACTTCGAACCTCAAAGTTCGACCGTCGTCTGGGCCGGATCCGACATCGGTCTTTCGCAGAAGATGCTCACAAAGCCGAACGATAATTTGCGAGCGACTTTCATCCATTCGGTCGTGAAGAGTAATGCGGCTACGTATCGGAACGATGGGCTCGACTATGATCTCTACGTCTCTCTCGCGATGCATGTCGAGGGTGAGTGCTTGCCTAAGCAAAACCTGTCCCGTTCCCGACCCATCGAATCCTCCTTCCCACGGAAAGTATGTGCCCAAAATACTCACTCGTGTAGCGTTGAGTCTTCGATAACAGCTATACCATATCATCACGACCAATGGCAAATCGTATCGACGGACCTATCGTACCTCACCACCGCGATTGCCTGCACTCACGTTTTCGCCGGCCAACTTTTCACCGTTGAGGGCTGGCAACACTTCCTCACCTGGTCTTTCGTGGTCAACTGCCCGATCCCGCCACAGCTGGCAGAAGCGATGGCGCAAAATACGGGATTGGTGCTGCATACGAAGATCGCCTGGACATACAAGGAAGATAGAGGCAAATTTAGCCATGCCCTTTCGCTCAAGGCGCATCATCCGGAACCGGAGAGCGAAGTGCTTTTGCTGTACTGCTCGCGAATGTTATCGCCTACGACCAAGGGGAAGTTCGACTAAACTTTTCTCTATCTTTGCCCAGTTCGGCATCTGCCTCTCGCCCATCTGGGGCCACCTCAATGCTCGCGCAACCTTAGAGTGGCGGGAAAACGTACGCCGTCTAGGCGTCGATACCGTGCACTGGCATGCGCGCGATGCGAGTGTGGCCGAATGGGTGCGACGCTACAACTCGGTCACAGGCGCCAAGGATACGTTCATGTATGCCCCGCCGACGAGTCTAGAGACCTACGGCCATCGAAAGAATCTTGCAGAGAATGGATTGTATGGCGATCAGGTGCGTCAAATCATTCTCGATCCAGATCACGCGGGGTTATTCGTCGATTGCTGATGCACTTAAACCCAATGATAGATCATCTACTACACCTCGTGCAGGTTCCAGTCACACCAACTCTATCCAACTCGTTGGCTCGGTTACCTCGATCGAGATGAATATTTCTTGCCCCGAAGCTTACCTTCAACAGTCTCCCGTCAACCGGCGAACGTATCCCCCCCGACCCGACAATACTCCGCACCTTCTTACTGGACTACTTTTCCAACGTCTCGGCCGAACTGGGATCGGTGTGCTTCGCGAGGTCCTACCACGCCGGTAAAGTCGATTTCGATTTCTCGGACGTGGTGCCTCCCCAGGTGGCGTCGACCCCCTTCCCGCTGCTCGGTTACCTCAAGACGTGGTGGCCACCTGCACGGAGTCATAAATGCATGCATCGCGTGAACGGGAATGAGATGGCGAGCGTGAAGTGAGTCACTTCACCTCGATACCGTCCAGAACAAGCTGACTGAAAGACTTTCCCGTCGTACCAGCTACGGTGAAGCTTGGTACCCCGGCTTCTCCCAAATCATTTACGACAACGTCACCTCCAGTAAACTCCCTTTCTATCTCTGGCACCGGCCCTCCGATGATGCAGGACCAGGTGTGGAACCTCCTTACCCTCCGAATGAGTTGAAGCAGTATATCGCTGATTTGTGGATACAGCGCGAGCGGACCTGGGCACGAATGCGGTGGAAGTGCGATAGTTTGCCTTGTCGCTTTTGAGCACATGTAGAAGACGCCAGTCGCAGAGATGGAATGTGGAGGGTGTAGAACCACACTATGGTTGCGTGCGGGTCGAAAAGTGGGATCGTCATCCGAAATGTATCGTACGCTATCACCGAGGAAGATTTGGCTCTGTAGGAATCGGGGAGGCAGCTTTTCACCAGTGCACAACAGAAAGCCCTATATGTATAGTTGCATCGCACGCCTGTATCATGTTTAATGTTACATCTACCCAAGAGACCTGTTATCAGTAAGCCGCGATGAAGGAGAGCTCAAGTCAGTACAGGGGCCTTCTACTCCGGCGCGAAAGGAAAACCCCGGACTAACCAGCTCGTCGCAAGTGTAGCTAATGTGCTTAAACTGTAGAAGACAAGTAAGCCACAAAATCAGCCTCGATCCCTTTTGCTCCGGATAAGCCTCTTCCGACATCAAACCTCAAACACGCACGAATCAAGATTGGCGCAGTCCTGTTCCCCCGGCCCGGTGAGCGCGAACTCGACGGGGAAATTTTTGTCCGAATCATGCGCGACCAACGAGATCGTCTGGTTGTCGAGGCCCTTCATGAACACGGCTGTGAATGTATTCAAGACGGAGTGGTTGTGAGTCCCTCTTTCCTCAGGAGATGATCGTGCTGGATCAGTGGGACGTACGAAGTTTCCCAAAACCACTGGCGAACGACAAGATCTGGAAGTCGGTTTCTGATGGGAAGCGGGGCACGTCATCAGTACGCCGCCAGATCCTCTACGATGCGCTGGCTTTTACTTACTTCCAATAATCCAGTTCTCGGTCAACGCATCCGTCGTACCGTCAAGCAACCTCTTCTTCTCGTGTTCCGGCACGTCATACATGCTGCCCTGCCCCTTCGCCGCTGATTCCGTCTTTTGATGAATCTCGGGATGCGAGCGACTCAACCCCGTAATGACGACGCGATCCGAGAAATGACGCAACGCATCTTCCTCCAATGTGTGCGAATCGGTAACGAGGTAGTAGATGACTTTTTGGTCCTTTCGGGCGTAGCGTTTGGCGATCGTAGCGGCGCACTTGAAGAAGTTGCTGTGGCGCTGGACAGTGTTTAGGCTATCTCGTTGGGGATCGGTCTGATGGATTAAGATTGAGGTGGGGGGTTCATTAACGAAAAAAAGAGGCGAAGCACGGACGGTCTGAATAACTGAACTCACCATCGCATCATCGCCCGTTCGGATCTGGATCGCGATCGAATACACGGTCGGCAAGCTGAAAAAGGAGCTGTACTCGGCGATGAAGCGCAACGGGTTGGGCTTGGGCCGGAAGAGGAAATCGGACATGCAGGCGTATGCGGTTGTAGGATCGAATCCTCGCTCTCGCATCGCCTGCGCGACGTTGGGGTAGTTGAACGACCGAAGTGTGACTCCGCGGTTCGTCATGAGCTATGTACGAGACACGGATGAGCAAAGCCGAGGGTCAGAAGCGTTAGACCTGAATGATGTTGTAGATGTTTCACCGACCTGAAGCCAACTGGGCTCGTTCCTCTTCTCCTCAAAGACATCCTGGGAAAAGAACCGGTCTAAATCCGCTCGTGGAGGGGTGATGGAGCTGATGAATTGCTTTTCCCCCTTCAAGGCGAGTTTAGGGTGGATCGAGCGATGCGAATTGGGCATCTCGGGTTGGGCCCAGTCGATGATGACCGAGTCGAAGAAGAGCTCGAAGGGGAGGTCTTCCCACGTGATGAGCAGCGCACGATCCGTGAGCACAGCATACAGAAGCGACGAAAAGATGCCGAGCAGCCTGCAGCGCGCCAACGCCACGGATCAGCATTTTCTGGCCCATCTATCGCCCTCTTCAACAGTCTACCCGTCTTCGACTCACCTGTCCGAACTGCCTCCGCACTGAACACCTTTACGACACATCACCTCGAGAACTTTGGATGGCCGCTTGCCATTTATTATGTCGTGGTGCAACTTTGCATAGTCCTCCATCCAAGGCGCATTCTGGCAGTGCGATGGCTGCCGCCCGGTCTCCCATTCCTCCTGAAGCGCCGCCCACCTGGATCACGAATCAAATAAAAGAGTCAGAACCGTCACACGCCTGCGGCCCTGTGAATTGGAACGAACTTTACTCTAGAGCCTCGTCTATACGGGCCAGGTCCTGCACCGACTTGCACGGTCGCGGGCCCTGCTCGAATCGGCGACGGAGCTGGACTCTGGGCTACTCCGATCGGGGTTCCCACCTGCGAGACGGGCCTCGTAATGAGTAGCCATTCCCGTGTCGATGCTTCAGCCTGTCCGAATTGGGAGGTTTTTTTATTTGGGTCAGTCGACTTGGTGTTACTTGCGGCGAGATGGATGGTTTCTCCCGCTCGCGCGTTCGTTCGCGAGCTCGGTTAGGTCAATCAACAATCGGAGGCCGGGGAATCTGCCTGACCTTTGTGAGCGCATCAACCATCCTCGTCAACGAATCGTGGGGCCGCTTCTTTTGCCAATCATAATTTCTGAGCACGGGGTCTTCTGCGGACCAATCGAGGCCGCTGGCTTGGTCGTAGCCCGCGCCATCACTGAGCCCGGAGGCGAGATAGCCATGGTGCCGTGCTGTGCTGAGGGCGACGAGGAGCATCAGGAAGAGCACGACGAGCACGACGGCGAGCGCGACGTGAGGTCTGAGCCTGCCAAGAGTTGAAAGGTGCGGCAGCCATCTATCCGGTATGATGCTCCTGCGCGAGTCCCACGAGGGCCTCCTAGACCCCGAGCTCGAAGGCGAGGGAGAGGGGTGCCCGATCCGGTCGTCGTAGGGGTCGTGGCCCAACTCCCTTTCGAGCTTGTCGAGCCCTAGCGTTTCGGTCGATCCGCTGCGGTAGCTCGAGCTCAGCAGCGGCACGTTGATGGTGTGTTGTTGCTTCTGCATCCTTCCCTAGCGCCTTGAGAAGGGGACGAGGAAGGGGAGGGGGGGCTCCGAGCAGAGGCAAGTACGGAGGAAGCGGAGGAAGCAGAAGGACGAGGCACTCGGGACGGGCCTATGCTGGCGCGTTCCGTACGCAGAGCTACGCAGAGCTACGCAGAAAGTACGCAGACCTACGCAGACGACAAGAGACGACAGCCTGGCAGCAGACGACTCGCGCGATGGGGTGGCGGAGCCCGAATTAACCAAACCCACGGTTGCAGTGTACGGTTGCAGTGTACGGTTTGCTATGTTGTGTAAAGCGTTACCACCCGCAGCAGCTGTTGAAAACAGGACAAATGTGAGACACCTGGTTAGACACCTGGTTAGACACCTGGTTAGACACCTGGTTAGACACCTGGTTAGACACCTGGTTGGACCTTCCTAGGTTGCTCAACAGAACCGCAGGGCGTGGTCTCGACTTGTGTCCAGTGGATTAGTAGCAGGATTATCGCAAATGCAGACTGTTCGGCAGTCGCCGAGCATTAGCGTGGAAGAGCTTGGACGACCTCCGCGCCCTTCCGCGCCTCTCCGCGCGCGCTCTCTGCAGCTGGATCGGGCTCTATCTGGCTCGTCCCGTTCTCCAGCCTCGACGTCGACCGTCCATATCGCCCACGATGGCCTCCTTACTACGCAACGTCTTCTCCCTCACATCACGAACGCGCTTCACTTCCACAAGACCTTCTCCCTCCAGCAGGACTACACCAACAGCCTGGCGATCCCCTTCCGCAAGCTCGATCTCCTCCACCCCGTCCGCTGCGTCCTCCTGGCTCCTCTCCCGACCGTTCTCCTCAACTCCCCTCTCCCAAGGTCTGGTCCGTAAACCGACCAAGATCAAACTCAAGACGCATAAAGGCGCGGCCAAGAGGTGGTTCGCGATCGCGAATGGCAACTTCAAGAGGGTCGGTTTCTTGCTCTCTGCAGCGATCAGGTTGGGTCATCTTGTTTTCATGACGCTGATCTCTTTCTATGTCCATTTTGTGGAACAGAGTCAAGCGGGGAAGGTTCATTTGAATGCAAGTAGTCGAAGGGGAGCGTGTGGAGCACGAGTTCGGAGTGGGACACCCTCCTCTTCTGAGCTGCTGCGAGCTCACTGGCTTTACACTCTCGGCAGTCCGCGTGCTCACACCATGTTTGATCGTTCTCCATCTTGTAGGGCGTGCTCTCACCGACCCGGCTGAATCGGTTAGGCAAGCCGGCGTTCGGTACGTTCAATTCCCTCTTGGTCATTTTCGGTCCCTTCGATTCGACGAGAAAGTGAAGCAGACCCTGACATTACCTACCTTTCGACCTCACCGTACAGCCCGACCGATCGAGAAGAAAAAGCTGAGAAGACTGATGCCGTATGCTTGAAGGACGGCGGAGTTGGTGGGAATGTGCCGCTAGGGAAGTAGGGCAAAGGCAGGATGACATCAAAGATGCAATATGAGCTATCCTGATTTGTCGAGCTCGAGAAAATCCGGTGGAACCATTCATCTGGTCGGCTCGGTGCAAATCAGTTAAGGGGGGTCCGATCGGATTCCATGTAGATGCTCGGGTACTTGATCGCCACCGGCGGTTTAGTCGTGTGCAAGACGCCGCCGGAAGCGAGGATCAAAGCGATGGTCAGGCGGTAGGAGTGAGGCTAGTGATGGACGAGGGATGACGGAGGAAAAACAGTTTCTTCAGCTGGGACTGGGAACGTAGTGAAGAGGATGACGTTGTTTCTGTGTCTTTGAAATCCTCTCGGTGACACCGTCAACGGGCCGAGCAGGAAGATCAAATAAGCGTACTCATACTCGGAAGATAACTCAGCGGCTCAGCGGCCGAGGGCGACATGATAGTAACTCGAATCCTTTCGAGTGCATCATGCTTGTGCAATGGCATACATGACTGTGCGGCTGGGTCTTATGGGTCTTCCCATTTTGGATTGCACAGGTTGACACTGTCATGCACTGTCATGCACGCTCGAGTGGTTCGCAGCCGAGGCGCCGAGACTGCCACACGAGGTGAATTCGGGTGCATCGTTGTGCCTCGATGTACCCGCGGGTACATTGGTATTCACTTGTGTTGATTAAGTTTATATGCAAGTGTGGACTGGACCCGACTTCATCGCAGGCTATTCCGGAGGCTGTTTGGTCGCCCGGAGTCCGCAGTGCCCTTCAATCGCTTTCCTGCTTCATTGCACGGTTCGGCCATGTCTCCCACTGGTATTCTCATTTCGTCGCTAACTCATCCTACCACATACTGACCCGTTGATCACTCTCGTGGATTGGGGTCCTCGCCCTGCTCCGACTCCGCCTCGGCTCGACGTGCACCGGGTGATAGGGTTTCGCATGGAAGCAGATCGCGGAGGGCCGATTTGATCCGAGCGTGCACGAGGGTGTGTTTGCTGTGCGATGTCTTGCAGAGGCATTTGACTGAGAGAAGTGGGTATGTACCGATGTGCAGATGCATGCATACGTATACACATAGTATATGCATGGCGCGACAGAGGCCGTAATCGGCTGCCAGCGACGGCGACTTTAGGCTCCGCGCTCTGGCCCGGTTCGCACGGAGTGGGGGTGGGGGCCGCAAGAGTGAAGCGTCGGCGTGCTTGCTCGAAGCAAGGGGGGGTGATCATGGGTTCAGACGTTCATATTAGATTAGATGTGGTAGCTCGGTGATTGATTTGCTCACTTAGGTCAATGTCTCGAGTACCACGCCCTGTCCAGCCACGGGCGGTATGACTTTGGGAGACGAACTCTCCATTGAAGGGGCTGCTCGTCCCGAAGGCGACTCTACTCATCCAATTGATCGGCAAGGCGAAGAAGACCTGGACCTCAGCCAAGGCTCCGCGCTCGGACCAGGTAAGGCCCAGTCATTGGACAAGACCAACCAGCTTCAGTTTGATTGCATACTTTGGGTGCCCGTCTAAGACTTTGTCTGAGAAAGTGAACATTGATAAGTATGCAAAGAAAGTCCCGACTCTTCTGAAAAAGCCCCACGGTGCCAGCCGCGCGTAGTTCGAGAAACGGTTAAACTCATTAAATTCATCCGCATCGACCATACACCAAACACTCAAAAGGGATAAGTTGGAAAGAAAACAAAGAGTCCCAGAAACAGAGAGTTTACGCCAGAAAATAGAGGCGAGTGAAAATGGTAGACTGAAGAAATTTCTCCCCCTTATTTTTCACTTACTAGCCTTGAAGATGAGCCTATAGAGAGAATGAAACAAGCCAAGTCATTGTTGTGGCGGACCCTGTTGGAGGCGCGTGCGACCGAGCTCATCCACGGCGCATCGCATTGCATACGAAGCGCAATCCCGCCACCTGAACGCGCGACATCACACCCAAGTGACCGCAAGGACTCAACAGAGACGGTGCAGGAACATGGCCGTCGACACAGAGCGGCCAGAGCCACCGCAGGCGTCGTCGTCGCGGTCATCGTCGCAGCCGTCCTCGCGATCGTCGTCGTCGTCGTCTACGATCGTCGTGCACAACCCCACCTCCACCTCCGCCTCTACCTCTAGCCCCGATTCCAGCTCCACTCCTGTTCCGAGCTCCAGTGCGGACCCCGTACGATCGAGGCCCTCGCCAGCTGCGATCTCGACGACCGAGACGACGGCACGGACGGCGACGCGGACAACGGACCATTCGGCTAGGGGCCCCCGATCTCCAGTGTCGCCCCCGCACGGCCTCGCCAGTCCACCCGTGTCGGCTCCCCATTCGCGTCAGTCCTCGTCCGGCGCATCGTCTGTCATTTACCACTCATCCAATCCATCCGGAGCGTCGACTCCCTCCGCCGCAGCTACCATCACGGATCACTCGGTGGCCTCGAGTTCGAACCAAATCAGTACAAGCACAAGCACAAGCACGATTCATCCCTCGCCCCTCTCCGCTTCAGCCTGTGCACTGACCTTCCCACCCGTCGGTTCGCAACCTGACCCGTCCTCCACGAGCTTCCCGACGTCATCGACCGCCACCCCTCGTCTTGCTTCGACGAGTCAATCGACCGGTAGAGCTGCACTCGGGTCCATCAAGACTCGCGAGACGCTCATGGCCACAGAGGAAGATCTCGAGTCATTGACCGTCACCACACCCGGGGCTCGTGCTCGCCACCCTTTCGACCGACGGCGCGACGATGACGACGAGAACGAGGAAGGAGAAGAAGGCGACAACGATGAAGGACGTTCCTCCGAACGAGGCAACGAGGGCGGCTACTTTCCCTCCACCTCTAGAGCGAGGTCTTCCACTTCAGGCGGAATTGCACACGTGCCGCCCAGCCCGTCATTCTCAGGATCAGGTTCCTACGCGTCCGTCGTTTCTGGAAGTGCTCGAGCCAGGGCTGGACCACCCTCGACCCCGACCCCGACCCCGGGCGGCGGCTCCAAGACGAGAGCGACCTCGGCAGTGGGTCTCCCTCCCATCTTGACTTCAGCGTCCCGCCGTACGACGGCTCGATCCGTCTCACGAGCCCGACTTCGCGCTGGTGATCGAGATGATGACCATGATGATGATGACGACGATGACGATCGACCAGGCCTGTTGCCGACCTCTTCGACACGAGCCGAGAGGCCCTTGAGTCCGGCCCCGATGTCCAGGGAGGCCATCTTGCTCGGTGATCGTGAGGACGACGAAGTCAGCGTGCGGGATCGAGGAGAGGAGTTGGTTCGCAAACGGATGAAGGAGCGAGCTCGCGTCAAAAAGGTTCGTGATCTCGCAGGAACTCCTGAACCGGGATGCGCTATCTGGACTTCAACAAAGCTGACATCTCTGGGGGTACCCGCTCGTTGGCTACCACAGGAGGCCGAGAAAGCGGCCACTCGCAAACGAGAGATCGAAAGGGCCGCGGCAATGAGGAGGACGACATCTTCGAGCTACTACGACCAAGGCGACTTTGAAGCTGGGCAGACGATCGGGATGGGCCTACCTTCTACCGCGACGGCTCACGCTGGTCCGAGTGGTGATGATTCGGCTCGAAATCGTTCGGTGTCGCGACCGCCAGCCCGCGAGTTCACAGCAAGCTATGCTTCCACTTCGGCAGCCCAGGGCGGACGGACTGTGACTGAGGGGCATGGGGTAGGTCGAAGCTCCTCCAGGGCCCCTGCAAGCGGAGAAGAGGAGTGGGCCAAAGGGGTCGGTCGCGGCAACATTGCGCCCTCGGAAGAAGGCGAGACATGGTCGCCCATGTTTCCCGGGCGACAACTGTCGCCACTTCGAGGGATGTCCTACACGTCTTCCGCGCGTGGAGGACCTGTCGGTGAGGAACCATCAAGCGAGCACACGGAAGAAGAAGTGGCAGAGGCCAGCACTGAAGACGGTGACGTGGACGGCGAGCATGCACTGCGCGATGCCTTTGAGGCCGATGAGCAAACCGACGACGACGACGACATCAACGATGCCGAGGTCGAGTACACGCTGAAAGATCGACAAGATGTGGGTTTCGGTGATGTGGCCTACCATTTCATTCTGGCTCTGATTGGCGATCTTCTTCTATTCACCGCAGGCCATCAACGTCGAGCATCCGTTCGGCCTGCCCATCTGGAAACCGGCTCTGTACAAGAAAGACCGCTCCATCACTCGCAACGCAGAAAAGGCTCTGCACGATGTACCCTCTTCGACCGTGGTCCGCCATCTGGCTCCGGGCAATTTGGTCTGGACACTCTTCTTTGGAACGGCTCTGTTCATCGTCTGCACATTGGTTGCGGGCATGCTGTGGTGCGTCCCTTGGGGGGGTGGCAAGTACGGTCGCGTCGTCTGGGAGCTTGGTGGCTATCTCTTTTGGCCGTTCGGCAAGTACGTCGAAGGATGGACCGATCAGTTCGACGACGAAACTAGCAATGACAGTGAAGGCAGCGCTTCAGCCTCTGCTCACGATCATGACGACATCGGTGATGTGCTTGACGAAGAAGAGGAAATAGATCGTGCATCTTTACGACGGGACCTCGAAAGCGCAGGAAGCACTTACGATCGAAGCCGAAGTCAGACTAGGTCGGCATCGTCACCTCCTGGTGGATCTTCTCAGCGCCGCGCGTCATCTTTCGGCAGTTCCCACTGCGGTGACGCGTCCGAGACGCATTTGACCGTTCGCGGTGTGCCCAGCAGTGCCTCTCTTCGAGTGCCTGGCGATTCTGCCGAGAACTCTCGGCTACTGGCCCCTGGTGGTCAGCAATCTGGCTACGGTGCTACAGCTGCGACGCCGGCCGGCTCCCCGCGCGGTCGAGGTATGCAACGTGCCTCGAGCGAAGACACGGTTGCCGCACCTTCTTGGCGACCTCACGACTTCAGCAAAGATTCGTCCGAGTCCGCTCATCGCGCCCTGCGCATTCGTGCGTTGGGCCGCACCATGTGGTGGGTGGCGTTCTACCTCATCATCGCGCCTCTCCTTCTGCTCGTCTGCGTACTGTGCTGGGGATTGGTATTCACGATCCCGATGGCCAAGTTGTTGTGGGTTCTACTGCGCCATCTGAACAACGAGCCTTTGGCGCTCCACTTCCGCTCTCCGCCCAAGTACAACGCTTTCGCCGCAGCCGCACCGACTGAGATCGAGTCGCGTTTCAGCAATAACGCGGCGGCCCCGGGCTTGGATCCTCACTCTGATCAGTCTCAGCTAGGTCCACCGACGTTAGCCAACGACTCTGGCGTGCAATACCCCTTGATGGCCGGACAGCGAGCGCCCCCCGTCTCACGCAAGTCGGTCGCCGCGGCAAAACGCCACGGTCGACTCTTCGGACCCCACTCTACCGTCCTGCTCTGCACATACCACGCAATGGGCCTCCAATACTACAAGTACACAATTGATGGAGTCAACATCCTCTTCGTCAACCTTATGTCACTCGTCTTCTTTGTCATCCTGGACTACTTCTACGTCAGCCCGCGCGTGGCAGAACATCACCTCGGCGGCGTTTTGGCCTTTATCGCCTCGCCGGCTTGTATGTTCGTACTGGCATTGCTGAGTGTCATCCCGTTATCGTACTTTATCGGCATGGCTGTCGCGTCGATCTCGGCGCAAAGTTCGATTGGGATGGGTGCTGTCATCAACGCTTCGTTCGGATCCATTATCGAGATCATCCTTTACTCGATCGCGTTGACGCGCGCCAAGGGCGAGCTTGTCGAGGGCTCGATCGTCGGCAGTATTCTCGCGGGTGTCTTATTGATGCCTGGTGCATCGATGATCGGTGGGGCGATGCGTCGCAAGGAGCAGAAGTTCAACGCCCGCAGTGCCGGTGTGACGAGCACAATGCTCATCATGGCCATTATCGGAATCCTCACCCCGACGCTGTTCTACGAGATCTACGGCAGCTTCCAGCTGACGTGTACCGATTGCGATCCTGATCATCGCTCCGGTACATCCGAGTCGTGCCGAACTTGCTACTACGAGCATATCAATCCTGCCGATGACCCATTTTACAAGTCGACGGTCAAGATCCTGTCGTACTATTGCGCCGTTCTCCTCGTCCTCGTAAGTTACGCGTGCGTAGAATTTATGTTGGCTGCCACAGCCTACTGAATTCTGATCACTTGCTTGGCACACAGTCATACCTCATCGGCCTTTGGTTCTCTCTGCGAACTCATGCCTCGCAGATTTGGCAAAATGCTCAAATCAAACACGAACCTCACTTGCCCCGGCCGGCGTCCGCCGCGCCTGGATCCCACGCCCCCAATGGTGATCGCGCCTCCCTTCACAAGCGCATCGTCCCGTCTCAACTTCTGCCTCGACATCGCTCGAGTACGATAGGGCGTGCGAGTGGTTCATATACCCCTTTGCAAGACTCGACACCCTTGGTCACCAGCACCAACCCCGAGGGTGGAGTCCCTCCCATGGAGCTACCAGAAGGCATGTCTGCCGACGAATTTCATCGCGCATTCGAGTCCGTCGCCGCAACAGGTGTTGCTATCGCTGCGCCTTCCCGTGTAGCGCATCTACCTCTGGCTTCCGCATCGGCCGGTCCAGGTGGCGCGCAAACGCAACGTTCGGCTTCGCATGTACGAGAAGCGTCGGCCGCGAACACGAACAAAGGCGCAGCGGACCATGATGCGGGAGCCGGTGAAGGAGGTCACGATGCGCCCAACTGGAGTCGTCTTAAGTCCGCAAGTGTCTTGTTGGGGTGCACGATCCTTTACGCCTTGATCGCAGGTGAGCACATCTCCCATTGGACGGGTGACGCGCAGGTCGTGCGAGTTTGCTGATTTCTGCTGCATCCTTGCGTCGGGTAGAAATCCTTGTCGGCGTGGTTGACGTCGTGCTCGAGGGATCAGGGATTCCTGAGAAGTTCTTGGGTGTAACTCTGTTTGCCCTCGTGCCCAACACGACCGAGTTCATGAACGCCATCTCGTTCGCCATCAACGGCAACATCGCGCTCTCGTACGTTCCAAAACCCCGACTCTTGCCGAGAAGGCCGATACTGTATACTGAGCGTCTCGTCTGTCTTTGACCGCACAGGATGGAGATCGGTTCTGCCTATGCCTTACAAGTATGCCTCATCCAAGCGCCGGCCATGCTCGCGTTTTCGGCCTTCTACAGCATCGGCAAAGAGACGCTCTTGCACCGATCTTTCACGCTCGTGTTCCCGCGATGGGACGTGATCGCCATCATGTTCTCGGTGTTTCTCTTGACCTACACCTACATCGAGGCCAGAGCCAAGTAAGTGGATGTCCTTCAAGCCATTGTTGGAAGCCGCTCTGCTGATCGATTGAATGCTCCGCCTACAACAGCTATTACCGCGGTTCCATCTTGTGCCTGTCGTACCTGGTCTTGATCGGCGGATTCGCCTTCGCCCCCGCAGGTCGAGACAGTAAGTCGCAGCTAGGCGGAATACACACTGGACAGTCGTGCTGATCAGCCTTTGGCCTACTTGCGCAGCCTCAGATAATCCTGGACTGTGGATGACCTCGGCTAACTTTGTTCAAGAGCTCTCTTTGCGCGATCACGCCCTCGCCATCTTCCGCGCCCTCTTCACCCGTTGAGCCGACACTGGTCCGCAATTTCGTCGCCCGGGTTCCCGTTTCTCCCCTCCCGCCCAGCAACATGTCAATATGTACATTTTCTAATCTTTGGTAGCATCTTCGTAAGGCCGGTGGTTAATTCACTTTTATTCGAGTCCACAACTGAGCGTTCCTCGAAAATGACGCGTACGCAACGTGGCCTCCGTTTTCAGTTGGAGGCAATTCGACATTCTGCATTTGAGGTGAGATTAATTTCTCCTGAGACGCTAAGATTACATTACAATAGGTCCAAATGTCACTGGTAACAGTTGTCAAACTTCGATCGAGACACAGGAATTACAACACGCCTCTCCTCCACTCCTCCGCGACCTTGCTCCCGCTCCCACTCGTGGAGCCCAACGTGCCCAAGCCCAGCAAGAACCGATTCGGTTCATCCAACATCAACCCCGCCCCAGTTTTCCCCGGTGTCATTCGAAAGAAGGTTCTCTTGGGCCGCCTGGGTTCGTGCGCGCAATTGTCGGTCTCTTCATCCAGCATCCCATTCTCCTCGTCCCCTCCTTTGTGCGCCGCCCGTTTCCTCCGACTGGCCGGCCCTTCCCCCCGTGCCGTCGATCCGAGCGAGGTGATATAACTCTTGGACAACTTGCGATACCTCTCCTGCAAACTATCCCCCTCCTCGTCCGACGAGACATAGCCTTCGTCCTGATGACGTTGGGTCTCTCGGATGCGGTTGGAGATGCGCACGTCGAGGTCCGAGTCGGAGTCTCCTGGGTCCGAGTCAAAGTCGAAGGGAACGGCGTGCATCTGAGCCGAGGGTGCAAAGGGCATGTTGCGCAAGTTCTGCAAGATCGCATTTCTGAACAACAGGGGACGAACGGATCAGTTTGTGGTTTGCTGAGACGACGAGGAAAGCGGGCTGGCTCACTTGGTGGTTTCGAGGTACTCGGCTGTGTTCGAATTCTCCATATTGCTTGCCGGTACATTCATCTTGAACTCGGGCCCAAAGTATTCGAAGTAGTCATTGTAGGGCAAGCTTTCGCTCAGAACCTGACCGCAAGCGACACCGGTTTCGTACGCCCAGGTCCGAGCGACGTTGCGTATTGTGTACCCTCCTCCACCGAGGATCATGAGGGGTACGTTGAACGTGCGCATGAATTCGACGCAGTCGGCATGACCTGTACACGTGAAGAGCAGCATGAGGGTCGAGTGCCTCGCCCACCTAAGCCTGTACGCGCTCGACACATACCTTGCATTGACAGATTGAAAGGTCCGAGCTTGTCTTCGGCCAGGGAGTCGGCACCGCACTGGAGCACAACTGCCCCGGGTCGATACCAATCCATAATCGCTTGCATCACCTGAAATGCAATAGATCATGACGTAAATCGTCAGCTTTGCACGGTGCGACGTGATTGCTCAAGCTCCGACACGCCTAATTTGGAGGGGCTTGTCAGTCATTCGCGCTGGAAAATGAAACACACCGGTCTGAATACAGTCTTGTAGCTCTGATCATCGATGCCGTCTTTGAGCGGGAAGTTGACCGAATAGCCTTTGCCGGGACCTTTGCCTCGATCATTCAGTGCTCCAGTACCGGGAAAGAAGTCGCCGAACTTGTGAAAAGATGCCGTCATGACCCGATCGGTGGTGAAGAACGCTTCTTCTACACCGTCGCCGTGGTGTACATCGATGTCAATGTAAAGTACTCGAGCATGGTATCTACCCGGGGAGGGCACGTCAGCCTTTTGCACAGGCAAGGAAAGGCTAGATCGTGGCCGTCGTACCTCAGCAGTTCGAGGATAGCCAGGACGATGTCGTTGATGTAGCAGAACCCTGATGCTTCGCGCTTCTTCGCGTGGTGCAACCCTCCGGCCCAATTGAGAGCAATATCGGCTTTGGCGTCGGTCAGGCGTCGGGCCGCGCCTGTGGGGTGGACCCAGAGAAGCAGCGCGTCAGCCGAGTTCGCTGGCGCGCCGCGAGCAAAGTTAACGCAGTGCGCCGTACTTAGAGATCCTCCAGCTGATATGGAACAAAACTCGAACAGGCCTTCGAATGCGGGGCAGTCTTCTCCGATCAGGACTGGAAGAGATGGACAAGTGTTGGATCAGCATGGCTTGCGAAGAGCGGAGGAGCGAAAGAGCCCGTCTGGGGTAGACTAGTTGCCTCACAGCGGGTTCCCCTGCACGTCATCTCTTCAGCGAGGTCGGGAGTGACCCTGGAGAGCATATCGATGAACTCGTCGGTGTGGAATCGTGTCATCTCGTGTGCCGTTGCGCGGGTAGGTCGCTGTGACCGACCGTACTGTGAGGTCAGCGACTGGCACCGGCGAGGACTGCGGCTTACTTACGATCATGTCCATGTGCTTGTCGAGTCCATAGTTGACGACGAGGTTGTGGGCCATCGTTACTCGGTGCGGTTTCATCGGGTGCACTGTTGTGCGGTGACGGTACGAGTCGAAACGAGGGGAGCATTGGATCTTAAAGTCAGTCAGCGCTAGCAATGGACGGACCCTCACAGGACATGGACTGACCCATACTATAGGCGTATGCTCCCACGTCCTCTGCAGTGACATGTCAATCCACTGGGTCAGCTCGAGCGCATGAGCTCGAGGAATCAGCCGAGCGCGGGCGACTGACCGTCATGGAAGTAGGCCACCCTGCGCTTGGACACGGGCGCCGAGGTCATGTTGCCATTGCTGTTGCGCTCGGTCAGCATGTTCGCAAAGCCGCAAAGCGAGGCAATAGCCTTGTGTAGCCGGTGCACCGTGCTGAGCGCGTTGATCGGGCGGGTGTTCGGGTGAGCAGGTCAGAGCAGCGCGGTCGAAGCCGGTCACTTAAGGCCAGGCAGCCCACGACCACACGCGCCTGCCGCTAGCTGCCGCTCGGACCTCCTCGACGATCCCGGCCAGGCCATCGTTTGAGACATTGCGTGCGTGTGCCCGCCCGCCCGCCGCCGCGCCAGCGAGTGCCCCTTTTTCCAAGCGCTTCCTTATTCTAGTTCATGAGTATTCACCAGACGAACGGTGTCATCCCTGGCACATAAGTATGTCAGACCAGAGGATGTCAAACCAGTCCCTTTTTTGCATCGGCTCATCGTGTTCATTTCCGCTACCTACCGCTCTGTAGGAACATGCCATTCGCGAGCGCACCAGGGCCGGCGGCCGTGGTCGCGTCACGGTCCCTGAAGACCCTGGATCATCGATCATCGGCGGCTGGCAGTGATCTAGTGATAGCCCGCCTCCGCATACCTCCCTCCCAACAGCCACTGGGCCTCAACAAGTCCGCGCTTTGGTGTAGACTGAAAATGCATACCTACTCCTGGGAACGCCTTCGACCTTCATCGGCAAACGCTGACTCGGTCACTTGCAAGGCGCAATCGATGATTGATCAAAAGGCTGCCCGCATCATCCCCGCGAGTACGAGTCTCATCGAAGCGGGCGTCTGGGCGGCGTAAAAGCGCGAGCGACGGGGCGGCGGGCGCGCCAGCCGTGCCAGCGTGGCTTGAAATTGCCCTGGCTGGGCAAGGGGGCGATTGCGCGAAGAAGAATATCAGAGGAAGGCCTTTCGCGAGCCCAATTCGTAGCGGCGACAATTGTTGAAACGCTGCTTGCTGCCTTTGCGCCTCCTCCTGCCACTTCGTCCTTTCCCCCAGCTACTCCCTGGCGATCGGAATTCGGCCGCTGCAAGCTCGACGGGCCCTTGTCGTTGTTGCTCCCCTGCCCCCCTCCTTTGCCCCTTCCTCTTCGAATGGAACATCGGCATTCGATCGCCATGCTACCTCGAACCACCAAATTGTCGTCGCCGCGCATGCTCGAAGAGGAGCAGTTCTATTCGTCGTCCGAGCTAGCGTTCGGGGCGGACTCCGACGGCGACGAGCGCGACGACGAGCGGCCACCGACGTCCAAACTGAGCGTCTACGACTCGACCCACGACCACGAAACCACTCCCAGCCTGGGCGATTCACTTCGGAGGTCACACCGGAGCACCGGCAACGGCATGAGCATGAGCACCAGCTACAAGATCTCTCAACAACTCCGGAGCCCGCCGCGGCTACTCTACGTCGTGGTCGTCTTGACAGTCCTGTTGATCTACTGCATCTGGCGCAACCCAAAATTGACCCACCAGCTGCCGCGCAACTCACTCTTCGGCCACGAGCAGCATCCCGTGTTGGCACCGCTCGACGACTCGGACCTCGAGGTAGCCCACTATGAGCCACCACCACCTGTACCAGCGGCTGAATCGATCCAGGCGGGCAAGAACAGGGAGGCCGCCGAGGAGGCTGTCCAAACCATGATGAACAGCTACGTCTGGCAACTCAAGCCGGTGCATGTGAGTTTGTCGAATATGCTGAAGACGTTGAGCAAGGTAAGTCGTTTTTCTGAGGAGGTTATCCCTGCGCGAACACGCTTGCGCCAGGTACTGACCCAGTCGGTGTCGCGCGCGGACCCTCGTCTGCACAGGAGGATCTGCGGGTACGGCAATGGTTGATCGAGACGCGACCTGTTTCGATGGCTGGGACTCCGGTGGGATTGGCGAGCTCGAGCTCGTCACCGAGAATACGCGAAGGTCCCGCGATGGCTAGGATCGGCAGCGGCCCCGGCAAATATATGGCAGGTGCTCGAGACAAGTCAGTCAACTCCAGCTCTCGACGGCGTTCCTTTTTACGCAAAACTTACCCCAGTACTGCCTTCTCTCTCCGAACTATCTCTTGATGACCGTGCAGGTACGACGATCTTGTGCGAGAGTACGAAACGGGACGACCCAGCACGGGGTGCCCTTCGATGCCGTGGGCCAGAAACTACACGATCCTTCACAACGCGATCTTGCAAGGAAAGAAACCTGTCAAAGTCTTCCAAGCGACATGTCCGGCCACCGCAAGCTGTGGCGGGATAGCCGATCGGTTCGTAAACCCGTATTTTGTTCGGCGGAGGCAATGCCAGAGTTGACTTGCACAGGCTGACCTGCTCTCCTCTCTTTTGCACAGATCGCTTGGACTCTTCACATCATTCCTGTACGCCATCCTTACCGATCGAGCCTTCTTCATCGAGTGGGATAATTGGCCGTTCGAGCTCCTCGCCGACGCCGTGCACATCGACTGGAGTCAGCCAACCGACATGCAGACAGGTCTGGCACGTCACCCCAAGATGGGCGTCACGAAATCGCGTATCTTGCTGCCCATGATCGACCTGCCGGATGACTACGTCGATGCCTTCCTTATCATGCGGATTTGGTCTCATATGCGAGATCACCCATTCTGGATCCGGGTAAGCTTTGCTCGATCCCAGTCCCGATTAAATTGCAGTCCCCGGGGAGACGTGTTCCTGACCATCCCGGCACTCCGCTCTCTGACAGTTCTGGACGAACCGTGGTGCGGTGTTCAGATCGTTCAACTATGGAGGAGTGTCGGACGTCTTGAAAGAGAAGGGATTGGTGCGCTCTTCAGCGTACGCGTGCTTGTCCGAGTACCTATTCCGACCCAAGGCGAATGCGTTGCGCTTCATGGTTCAATACACGTCACTGTTCGCGCTTCCCTCCGTGTTTTCGGTCGCCTTGCAGATCCGCACGGGTGATCAAAGCATGGTAAGCACGAAGGATGGCGTTGCTGGGTACGAAGCGGACTCGCTAACGTTTGGCTTTTAAACGCGCAATAGGAATTCGCAAAAAACGATCATTCGGACGCAGCATCGCATCGAGCCTTTTTCGAATGCGCCGAAAAGGTTTCCGCTCGACTAGCGCGACCCGATCAAAAGATCGTCTATTACCTCGTATCCGATTCGGAGGCGCTTAAGCGTGCCGCCCTCAACCAGTACGGTGACCGGGTGATCCTGAGTGGACTCAGCGCCGCCCATCCCGAAATCGCGGCGGAGGATCTCGATCCAGTCGAAGAGAAGAAACGAGTGCTCGACGGAGCGAGCGAGGCGTTGATTGAGGGATGGCTTTTAGGGAGTGAGTACACGTATCGCCTCTTTTTTTGGTCTTAACGGCCGAGGGCAATTGCTGATCTGTAGGATTGTCGATCATTCCTGCGCTACAGAAACCGACTTTCAAATCTTGTCCACCGACAGTGGGTTTGGCAAGATTCGTGAGTCAAGTCGTGCACGAGCGATACCACGGGGTGGCAGAGCCACTGCTAATCCGCGCCTGTTTTCTTGGTTGTACAGCGGTTTGGTCAGCCGGAAAGGAGGGGCGAACAATACAAATGCCCAAGACAGAGACTGGCATCGACTGCTCTAGTCCAGATGCGTACGTGGATACTAGAATCCCGGGCTCATCTGTATGCGAACGCTCACCTTATTCCCATCTCTCTTCATTCGTTGGTCCATGTAGCATTGCAAGCTTCGACAAGATGGCAGCTTCATGGTAGGTTCAGCTAGTCCGGTCCGAGAGTTCGAAGGCGACGATTATACGATGAAGCTGATTCCATGAGCAATGCGATTTTTCATCGACAGGTCACTCGGATAGATCCTCATGTGTGGCACATCACGTTGGCGCAAGATTGATCTCAGACTCCGTACATTCGCATGGTGCGGCCCAAAAGAAGATTTGTCCGCTTCTGCCGAAAATTCGTGGTTGGGCGACGGGGACTTCGACCTGTGCTCCGGCCTTTTTCTTGTCTCTCCTCTTGATTGTGACGACGTCATTTCCTTTTTGCGTTGGCTTCTCTCATCCCTTCCTCACGTGCCTTCCCCCGATTTGCCTTGGGCTTGCTTCATCGTTTTGTAACACCGTCACGCATACAGAAGGACTTAGACTCTTTCACATGGACAATTTTTTATCTTTCTATCTTCCCTAGCTACTGCTCTGACTTTCTTTTTCTTCTTTATCTACCTACTCTTCGTTTATATCTCCCCCAGTGTCGGACCCCGAGTCGTCCGTTTAATTTGTGTAGATCAGCAATGTATCTCTACTTGCATTATACAACACACGTCGCCGTCGCGCCTATATTTCAGTCGATGGCCCTTCAACGGTGGAGAGAGTCAGGGTGACGCTGGCATGTCAGATCGGACACGTAGAACTGCAGCGAAATGTGTGAACCGGTGACTCGCAGCCCACGTAGCGATCCGGCCGCGATACTCCCCCTTCGATTCTCATCGCGCAGCGTTCAGCGGACGCCCAAATTCGGGATCCCCTTCACCGATGAAACAGCGGGTTATTTCTATTGAGGAACTGCATCGCGTCCAATCGGTCATCGTCATGGGCCAGGGTTAAGTTGTGACGCGCGAACTGGAGCGTATTCCGAGCGACGTCGTATTGAGGCCAGTCTCGGACTGCGCGAGAAGCGGGTGAACGGGCAAGTTAGGGATGATACTCCAAGATGCGCTCCTGGGTCTGAAATTTGAAGTCTTTGCTACTTACGACCTGGTCCGTTAGGAGTCATGTGGTTGACAGAGTTGCTGGTAGCAGAGCGAGTGGCACGCGCAAAGGCGATCGCGTGCAACTTCAAGGATTAGCTCAGATCCACAGAGCAAGTCCATACAGATGGTGCAATTCACTCACATGAGATAGGAAGTCATGTGACGACTCAGACGGTGGATCTCGCTATCGCTTGAGTTGGGACGACCCCACCAAGCCGATAGGTCCGCTCCGTGTTGCACTAGTAAGGCAGAGGAAACGGCGCAGTCTCCGTCAGCTCTGGATTATTGGGAAGAACATCGTAAGACTTCACGAGTATAAAAGCCCACTCACCCCCAAGTCTCGAGTCTGCCCCCTCCCTCGGTTCATTCCAAACATAGTTCCAAGCCGCTTCACCAAAATCCTTCGGCGTCTCCCTCAAGAGATGTCGTCGCGGCGCCTGGAAGAACACATCGCCTAAAAGACTCGAGCCTTGTTTGTATGCGGGGGATAGACCAAAGGTCTCGTTACCGGTGTTGTAAGGGGATCCTTCGTTGAGCTTGTTGAAGGGATAATATTGCCAGATGGGATCGAGCAAGTCTTGGATTCCGCCAAAGGCGAACGAGAAGGCATCTGAGCGTGGGGCAGGGGGTGGGGGGGAGGTTAGATTCTCCATGACACGGAGTCGGAACCCTCGAGAACTCTCAATACTGACTCACGTTGCAAAGCATCTTGGACGGCCTGCTGAGAATCGAGTTCCGGACTTGCGAATCTACGTCGGCCCAACCCAGTTTATGTTCAGCAAACGCTCAAGACGTGATCAAAGCCTCCGAAAACTGACCTTGTCCCTTCGTCTATGACACTTCCCATGATGATCGGGACCCGGTTATAGGCACCTCTGACGATCCTCTCGCTCGGTCGAACGTCGATCCATGAGCCCTCGAACTCTCCTTCAAGGACCTGTCATTGCGTCGGCGTCAGTCCTCATATCAAAGTGATCCGTGCTTTATAGACAACAACAAAACTCACAGGGTACCAAGGGAACCAACCGTTGACTCCATAGGGGTCACTCAGTGTTCTCGTAGTGTCCATAAACTACTCGATCGATAGCTCCCGCAAGCATTGGGTTAGCCTGACATTGGAAGGCGGCCCGTACTCGTGCTGTTCTGGGGGCGGACATGAAGAGGGTGCTGCGAGGGGGTGCAGTACCCTTGCTGCGGCATCGTGCGGCCAGGGAACAGGAAATCTTACTCGATTAAAATGCGAAACGAGGGGGTCAAACTTTACTTGCGGAATGCGAAAACTTTGGCCTTTGGCATGACTCACGAAGATGGGCCTCCCGACATCATAAAGGCGGCTCTGAATAGCCCAGGCGGCGAGTAGAGCTGATGCAATCCAACCGACATCGCTCCAGCACTATGGCCAACAAGTGTTACCTGAAAAGAGCGATGATCCCGACAATGAGCCTGGCGGGCTTGCACAGGACACACAGTGGGACCCACTTTCCGTCTCACTCACAGCTTTCGGATCTCCGCCAAATTTCTCAATTTCGCGCTGTACCCACTGCATCGCCACGAGCTGATCCTTGAGCCCGACGTTCAGGTCGCATTCTTTAGGCCTCTGCGTGGGTATATGGGGTGGAGTGGGCGGTGTTCCCGGCTTGGGCGGTGTGGCCGTGAACCCTAAGGCGGCGAGGCGGTAGCTGTGCGGCAAAGAGTAGTTAGCCTTCAAGCCGGTTTGTATGATTCGTAATCCCGAATTGTGCTCGGCTTACTTTATGGACACGATGGCAACCGGCTTCTGCATCGACTGGGCTCAGTCCATCAACTGGCCGGGGTCGTAGCGCGGATCTGCGGCGTACCCCGCGACATAGCCTCCTAACAAGAGAGATGGGAAGGGTAATCTACCCGTTAACCCTTCTATACCACCCAGCACGGCTCTGTGTTCCCTTTCCCGCTTACGCACCTCCATGAATCCAGAACAGCACTGGAAGTAATCGACCGGGTATTTTTCGAGCCGGGGTGAAGACGTTGATCCTGGAGAAGATCGTCGTTGAGCGTCACCCTCGGCAACATGAACATTCCAAGCTTTTCACTCCTAACCTCAGACAATCTTCGGATCCGTCGTAGCCTTGCTGGCCGGGCATACCATTCTTCAGCCTCGCACAGCCTTGATCCCATTCAGTGGCATCGACAACGGCATCCCCGTCCCCGTCGGCCTCCCCATCAACCTGCGCTCGGACCGGGATTAGGTGGGATTGCCTGAACCTCGTTGGCTGATGGGCGTAAGGGATCGAAATCCACCCTATGTATGGATGTTTGACCCCGGAGGACTGCTCGTAGAGTTTCCCCCGGTACCTCGTTCCGGAAGAGCGAATGATCGTGTCGACCGGCTCAGCGTCGGGGCCATCGAGGCGCTGCTCTGGGGGTACCTCCCACTGCTCTGGATCCAAGTAGAGAGATTGGACCGTATAGTAGACGAGCAATAAGGAGATGGAGGGGATTAGGAAGCGTTTGGGGATCCGTACGCGCTCGGTGAGCCATTCCCACGCTGCCTGGTATGATAGCAGAAGCCGAAGCGGGTATCGAGCACGAGCACGGATATGAGCACGACCTGAAGAGTGAGCGTAATTATCGACGACTACGATGTCTACGGCGCGCGAACTTGGTGGATGGGGGTGTGCGGATGGCTGGCGGCGTTCGACGTCATCGTGGTCGTGGACATCCTGTGGAGCGCCATCCTCATTAAAGTCTCGCAGGAGGATCGAAGCCGACGTCGCGTCATGCCCACATTCTATTCCATAGCTGCTTGAGAGCGGTCCCTTCTTCACTGTCCCCATCTTGCTGGCAACGTGACAGTCGAGCGTTCCGAGACGACGAAAGCTCCTCGGACCGCCAGTAAGAACGAATCTGTCTTCTACAGTCGCTCGCTGGACCTTCTCGATCGAGGTGTGGACATGGGTGCACCACAGGTGATGCAACAGGTGATGCACGACTTACCACGGGCAAGCGATGGATCCGTTGACGGATGCGCGAGAGCGTGACGTTGGGCAGGGCGAGAGAAGAGACGAGAGGAGAAAGGAGGGACCAGACAGAGCTGGCACGCGAGAGAGGAGACGAGAGGAGAGAGGAGGGACCAGACACAGCGGGCACGCGACACGGAGCACCCACGGGCATGGCCTGGCATGGCGGCCGCGGGTAGTATCAAGTCCGCAGATTACCGCTCCATCCTGCAGAAGTAGGTAGCAGAGCTGTCAAAGAGTTTTATGAAAAGATGGTCACTCTGTAAAACTGTAGTGACATGAAGTCCCAGTCAAAACCCCAAGTAAGGGCCACAGGATCAGTATCATGTGACATCTTATTCCAGGATCGCTCGCTCGCCGTGGTGATCGGGCCCGGTCCAGCGTGTCCGAGCGGAGGCTGTGCTGCGTGAGAATAGGCGCAAGTAGCCATTCCCATCGACCTTCCGGGAGCCATGACGATGCATTCATTCACAATTCGGTAACAGGCTTGCTTTGGGAAGATTGAGTCCGGGTCTTCGGACGGCCCGACGACGATAAGTTCGGTCGACTTTCTCGGGAATCTTGAATCGGCACGATCATCCGGAGGACCCTCGATCTGTTTTTTTTTTTTTTGTCTCACTGCCACGAGCCGGGCTGCACCTGGCCGTGTAGCATTGATCACTACATAGGTAAGCACAGCTATGTTTGTGAAAATTGTAAGAGGAGGAGCAAGTCTCTCGCACCCAGCACTCAATGTTCAATGACCACGCTGTGGTGACTTCGATCGGGATGATTTTTCGCCAAGCTCATGCCACCCATGCCACTCAGAATATGGAAGCTCGAAGCTGAGCCGCTGCCTGCCGCTGCCGGAATCGCGCGCCTGTGTCTCAGGCTCTTCTCAGCTTGGCCATGCTTGGCCCAGCTTTGTCCCATTGCGGTAGATTGCGGTCACGCTGTGCGTGGGCTACGCTGGGGTGCGCTCGACGGTTGTAGACGGTTGTTTCGCTTCCTGTTTCGCCCTTCGCTGCCGGCTCACCTCCTCTGTTTGTCGTTTTCTTCGCTCCCACCCCACTCGTTCCCACCCCGAGCTTGCATCAGCCATGCTGTCGACCCTTACTGCAACCTTACTGCCCCTTGCCGCGCTTGTATCGGGAGTTGTCGCCCAGTCCGACACCTCGTCGTCGCAGTGTGAGTGCTTGCTCCGTGCTGCTGTGCTACTGGGCTGGCCAGCTCAGCTCAGGGGGTTGCGCCGTGGAGCCAATAGCGAGCTTGAGCTGATGATGCAACTGCGACCGGACTCTTGTATGGCATGTCACGTCCCACCTTTTCGCAGTCTGGCATGACCAATACCATGGCTGTGAGTGTGTGCAGCTCTTCGTTCATCTCGGAGCTTCTTCATAGCTCGCCGTGCATGTTGGGTCAGACTCGTGCCCATCGCTCAACGTTCAACGCCAGACGACGTGGTGCTCTCTCTTTCGCACGCGCACCTCGGCGGCACTGCGCCCAGCATTTCCGCCCACGCTGCCGACCCCGCCAAGCACGACCGCGCGTTGCGCGTTTGCGCAGTACACCTGCCTCGCTTGCCCTTCACTCAACCCGACGAGACCACATCTCTTGCTGTGGTGCATGGGACAGCACGAGCGACGATGCCATGACTTGTTGTTGCTGCACTCCGTACCACATGCTGATCCAGAGTCATGCAATCTTCTTTCTTCCTCGGGCCCGCGCCCGGCCATGGCGATCTCGTGGCATGTTCACGATCCCTCGTGGAATTCATCGAATCACGTGCGGTCGCGTGACCTGTGTCGTCTCGATCAATGTCTCGTCGCACTGCACCGCGAATATGACCCATCGTCATGATCTGCACTCTCAGGGCTCTCAATGTCGTCCTATGGAGAATACAAGACCAAGTGCCCGAGCCAGTCCTTTACCGCGGCGTCGTTGGCACAGTCCTTCCCCGATAGCACCGAGGCGCCGTGGACTCTCCTCGAGGAGTGGGGACCGACCTCGCAGGGTCTTTCAGGGTTCACTGTACAAATTCCAGGTCAGTCCTCGTTCTTCTTGTGTTGCTCCGTGCACTTTGATGCCTTTTGCGACGATCCCATCCCGTGCTCCCCGTTCGGCCGCCGCCATGGCTTCCAAGGCTACTGGGCTCGGGGGAATGGGCCACGTGGGCATAGGAAATACAGCACAGAGCGGTGTCACGTCGGCAGCGTCAGCTGACACGCAAAAACCGCATTTGCATCCATCGTGTCTTGCAGAAATGGACAAGGTCAGTCGGGTTCTCGACTCGCCTTCATCTCGGAAAGTCGGAGCTCCAGAACTGAGATTTTCACCCCTTCTCCTGGACTTTCCTAGATTGTCATGGTTGTCGGGGGTGTCTATGGGTGGCAAAACTTCAATGCGACGCCGATGCGAATCAACGAGGCGATCAACATTGGCCAGGGCTGCGGCAACCAGACCTGCATGGCTCACACTGGTGCCATGGAAGCGTGTACGTTTCCTCGAGCTACGACTCAGTCTTCGTGACACTTGGAGCGGTTGGGTGATTAGCTGTACTGATTTCACTCAACTCGTGGAACCTTTTCCTATCTGGGGACATAGACCTCGAGGCCAAGGACCTGACCAACGACTGGGCCATCGCTAAGCAGGCAGTCAACGCATCCGGTCACCAATGGTCGATCACGGGCCACGCCTTCGGTGGCATGGTCGGTTTGGTTGCTGCTTTGGGTCAGTCCGAATTCACATCGGCTCGGTTTGATCAAACCATGTAGTCATGAGTCATCGCGCCTAATTCGATTTCCCGTCATCTGTGCCACCAGATCTTGGCTACCGCGGCCTGTCACACTGGTCCCATGCGCAAGGTACCCCTTGCGTGTTTAATTCTGCCGCCGCCAAGTTGTACAACGCACTATATCAGGGTGAGGCCGGCCAACGCACGGTCTACGGCAACGATGCGGTCGTGAATTTCATTCCCGAGTCGGATAACTGCACCCACACTCTGCAAGGCTTCCACATCTATGGAACCAACTCGACCTACGGTCTGAACTACGACATCTGCAAGTACGTGCAGCTTACTAGGCTCTACGATACTCACCTGGCCTATCTCTGATCGCATTCGCACATCACGCGTGTCTTGCTTGCTCACAGCGAGACCGGCGACCCCAACTGCCTCGGCGGTAACGCTCCCGAAGATAACTACTTCTACTACACTCCTGTCAGCACCACTCATTTGGGGCACCGACCAAACATCTGCCCGGGTCTAATGCTGATTCCATTGACCGTGCTTGCGCTGTCGCCTTTCTCGATCGCAGATCGGAGAATGCGGCAATCCCAGCGTTGTAAACGTGACGCTTCAAGACGCCGTCGTTGCTGCCGAGGCTGCTGCCTACGCCAGGAAGCACCACAACACTAGCATTGCTACTGCACCCGTTGGTGTGTCTACGACGACGAGCGAGCCACCCACGACCACGCCTAGTGACTCCACGACAAGCCCCACGACAAGCCCCACGACAAGCCCCACGATAAGTCCCACGACAAGCCCCAACACCCCAGGCCCCTCGGGAACGACGCCGCCGCCTTCGACGGGCACCAGCATCAACGCTTTCTCTACCGCAGCCAACAGCTCGAGTCGCTCGAGCAGTGCATCCGGCATGAACCTCATGCCGAGCTTGATGGGTTTGCTGTCCGTCGCTTTCGCGTTGCTCGCATAATCTGGCCATCGCCCCGTACGCGGAGCTACAAGCCGCGCTGGGACTCCTGGCGCATCTCTCCAACTTTTTAACCCCCCACCATCTTACTTCGACAATCCTCGTTGCGACATCGTATGCGGACTCAACCAAGCTTTAGAATCGATACCCTTCAGCAATCGTTCCCTCGAGGCCTACTTGGAATACCGCCGTCATCGCTCCCGTCGCCGCCCAATGCCCCTAATGAAAAAGTATCGCCTCAGCATCACCCTTCCGCGAACCTGCCCCGTTCCCTTCCCCCCTCCCCCTCCCCTCCCCCCCCATCCCTTCCATGGCCTAGCTCGCCTTTGCCGCTGTCCCTTTCGCTCCTTCGCGAATCGCTCCCCTCTGTTGAACCTCCGTTCAAGGATGGTGAGAAGCGCGCTTCTCGCTCTCCTTTGCTTCTTTCCTTCCCCTTCTTCTAGGCAAAGACACTACTCTCCGCGCTTCGATTTCTCCGTTCTGCTGTACATAATCAAACCTGCATATTCCACCCACGTACCGACTCTCCTTTTGCAAAGCAACCGTGGCTTACCTTGGGAGAATTCGAGCAACTTTTGAATCATCGATGCCAAGTCGTGTCCTTTGAAATCGGAACCTCGGCCGTTCGGAGAGGCTCCCGAGAAAGAAGCCCCTTGCTTGCCCTCACAGCGCCTGAGAGCGGCGACGTGGTCTGGTTGTACTCGGTCTCTATCTGACCGTCTTGACCGTCTTTGAGCACCAGCGTGGGCATTCTTTCACTCGGCAGTGCACCGACTTGGACATATCCCACGCCCCCTCGCGTCAGGAAGTGGTCGGTCGCCACCGTTCGTCGTCCGACATCAGGTTCCGATCAATCAACGTCACCACGCCCAATCTCCGACGGGCGCCCAGCCTCGAGTTAGTTGCAGGCGACCAGCGCAGCGCTACAAAGTGGCTTCCTGGATCCCATGCGCACCTTCGACTCAGCCGCAGTACATCCTTCGTCGGATTCGTGCGTGCCGGCAACCCTATCGCCTCATTCGTCGACCGTCCTCGAAGCTGGGTTTGCTCCTGGGTTCGCTCGCTCTGCTCGTCGCAGTGAGCTACTAGTATGATCTGGGCGATCACTTCGAGCTCCTTTCCCGCGCGATCGACGTGAGACAAGCCAGTGCCAACTTTCGAGCTCGCCATGCCTTGATGCAACGCGAGAAGCAACCCAGACGTGCTGCAGGTCGAGTCCCACTCTGGATGTTGCCAGCGCATTTCGTTTGTCGTCCGATCCGGGCGACTTCGACTGCTCGCGCCGTGGATGCCGAGCTCGGGTTGAGCGAGCACCGGCTGGCAAGAGGTCGATGAGGATCCGGAATCAATTCGTCTCATTGCCTCTCAAATCCTCTTCTTCATTGATCGACCCAACTAGCCATGGTGAAAACGACCTATTGTTCGCCATCGGGACCGTTCTGCAGTGCGCTCTGCGAACAGGCAAATTTCGTACATTCCTGGCAAACTTGATCAGTTGAAAGAGCGGTTGCTCGATGAGACCTATGCCTCTCTGAAGCACGGGTCACTGGCACAGTGGAATTGAATCGTCGCTTATGCGAGCCCTCTGTTGGCACGTCCGACGCCACGGCGGAACGCTGGACGCAAGCGATGAGACGAACTGGCTGTTCAAAAGCGCCAAAAAGCAGTCTGGTACCTGGTGTCGGTGGAATTTGTTTTTCTCTTCAACTATCCCCTCAAACACTCTCTGTGGCGGCTCCTCGGTTGACTTCTTGGGCTGCGCATCGCCACATAACCCATCGCCGACGATCCCGGGCCGTCGAAGTCAAGGGGGTGGTATTTCAGCAGGCGCTACTTTAAACCTTTGCTCCCGGAGACATGTGCCCGTGATTTGAACGCCTTTTGGTCAGCTTTGCGAATACTTCCACGGCGGGTCTAGCTTCAAGGAACATTTTGGTCCAAGGCTCTCTGTGACTCCTGACAGGGATACAAGTCGACTGCGCAGCATGCACGTTTCAATCGCTGAACCCTTTTCTTCACAATAGAGCTTCAATTGTGCACGTTCCGTTTAGCCATTGGTAAAAGCTGTTCCGTAAATTTGGGATGTTTCATTTGAAGCACGCAAGCCGAAACCGAGAAAACGACATGATTCCAGCTACAAGTCAGACTCGATCTGCACTTGATGCAATCGCTGTTCATTCCTCTCCCTCCCTATCTGAGACGCGAACCCTCAATGGCATTCGATGGCCTAGATGCTCCTCGTCAATAATGAGAGGTCTAGTGACGATTTGGGAACGTCGTTCGATCTTGGAAGCCATGCCGTCCGCATCGCGCGGGCTAAAGGAGAATGAGTCGAGCAGAACCGAGGCGATGCTGGTTGGGTGGATGGATTGTCAGATATGGAGTTCAGGTCTTCGAAAGGCTCAGACAAGACTCACGCCTTGAGTTCGAGCAGTCTGCAAGTTGATAGTCAGAGCCGCCAGTATCGTAGTGTCAGCGTGCTGTCGCAAAACACTGCGGACTCCTGAAGTGAATGAAGGCTAGCAACTCACGAGAATCGGTATCCGATGCAAGCTCTTGGCCCAGCGAGGAACGTCATCATATTCGAATAGACCCCCGTATTGCCGGTAATTGATCCCTGCTCGCCTTCTTTGACAAGCCAACGCTCGGGTTTGAACTCCTCTGCGTCGTCACCGAAGACGTCAGGGTTGGTGTTGATGGCCGCGATTGAGACGACGAGGACCTGACCCTTCTTTACTTCCACTGACGAGCAAATATGCCAAACAAGTGGACTGTAATCAGTCAGCTTCGAACGCAATGAAACATAGCGGTACGAACTCGGCTGCCAACTGACCCGAACTGATCATCTTGCCGTTCGTAGCCGTGACCGGGGTACCAAGGGGAATCGAATCGTCCTCAGAGGCGCTGCGAACTGCACGCGAGAAGGACCCAGAATGGGTTAGTTAGGGAACGTGATTGTCATGCAATGGAAACTCATAGCTTACTCGTCAAAGAAACAGGAGGCTCGAATCTCAGCACCTCTCGGCAAACTGCGTCGAGGTAAGCTAGCCCGTTCAGATCGTCAGTGTTGAGTTCTTGTCGACCATGTTCCGCGGTCGCGTGCGCCCGAGCTTCTCGGATCTCGCGACGCAGCTTCGACTGCATCTCGGGACGGAGTGAGAGGTGATGCAGCAGCCAGGTGAGGGCAGTTGAAGTCTGAGAGGGTCAAGTCACATGTGCGGTGAGTGCGTCGAAGGGCTGAGAAATGACATGGCATTGCAGTGCCCGGAATGAAGACGTACCGTTTCGTGACCCGCCAGGATAAACGTCTGTTTCCATGGAATACAACTCTTTAGTCGATAAACATTGCTAGTCTTCCGGATAAACTGATAATGCACGGACCGTCATTTGACCCTGCAACTCGGCGTCACTCATTTTGGCTTTCGCCTCGCCCAAGTTGGATTTGACTACGTTGGGAGACACAATGTGGTTAGAGGTTTTTTCTCTGAGTAGATGATCCGAGTGGCGATTGAAAACAGGTATACTCACGGAGGAGTGTCATGAGATCCTTTCCACCGCCCAAAGCAGCCGCGCCGCCATCCTTCTCCAGCTCTCGCTTCTTCTCCTCGACAATCTTCCTGCTCTCCGAGTCCATCGTCTCAAACCCCTTCCTCACTGCCTGTACGCGCTTATTCGGGATGTATTTCGCCACATTGACAATCGGTAGAGCGGTAGCTAGGCGTCCAAGGATTCGACCAATCACGATTTGCGAGAGCGGAATCGTCTTTTGGATAGCGCCTCCGCCAGACAGCATAAGCTGGAATGCTTCGCCGAGTTCGTTCTTTTGACCCGAGAGAGCACCAAAATCATAGCCGAATCCGGCTGCGTGGATTCGAAACAGTCGCCATGAGCACGAGCGAGACCTGAGATTGACAGATCAGAGCTAAAGGAGTCAACTCACCCATGCCTATGATGTCCAGCGTCAGCCGAGACAGCCACTTTGTGACCTCGAGCATGACCTCACCCTCCTCGTGTGACTTGGCATACTCGTCCGCTTTCTCGCTTGACGAGAAAGAAGTTGCATCCGACTCAGCGGTGTCGATCAGAGCAGTCCAGCGATCCCTCAGCTTGTAGGACGACTCGAAAAACGTGGGCAAGAGATCGCGTAGAGTAGAAGGCGAAAAGGCAGGATTCATAATGCGCTTCTGTCGCCTGTGATCATCGCCTGAGCCCGTCAAGCAAGCGGGACCGGTCCATTTCCAGTCAGCAAATTTTTCAATAACTCCGAGGCGGTGAGCTTGACACTCCTTTGACATACCTTCGGCAAAAAGGAGTCCCCTTCCCAAAATTCTGGACAAGTTCCCCCTCACTTCGTTTGGCTTGGGGTACCGATAGCCGTTTTGCAGCAAGATGTGGCTGAGCGCGACCGGGTCGGTCAGGCAGAGTCGATCCTCGCCGAGGAATCCTCGGTACTTGAACACCCCCGGGTACTGGCGGGCCCATTCTTTATGGGGGACACCCGGTGGCTCTGCAATGATACGATCGAGGTTGCCCAAAAATATCGAGGTCACGGGCGGGTGCGGGATGGTCTCGAGGTTATGACGCGGCCTCACGACGACGGTGTAGAACAGGTAGAGTGACGACGCAAGCAGTAGCACAGCGGTCGCCTGCACGATGGCAGCACCGTTGTAGACGACGTGGAGCAACGGCAAGGAATACAATGTTTCCATTCTGAGAGATGGTTATTGGCGGGGAGCTGGTGTATATCGCCTTGAGCGGTGCCGATCTCTGCGGGCTGAGCTCAGGCCCTGTCGCGAGCCCAAGTTGCCTGGCGATTCGCGGAGGTGTAGTGCGAGTGTACAACAGCTCTAGGGTGCTTGAGCAAGATCGTACAATTCACGCGTATGTGAGAGTCGTATGTGCTTTGGAGTGCTAGATAATGGGGATTGAAGGAGGAGCGCGCTACGAGAGCTGCATCGAGACCGAACGTCGACGGTCTTCGGGATATCGGTCCAGTCCAAGCGGCCCGATCCCCGATAGAGAACGCCGAGCCCGAGGAGAGCCGGTGAGGTGAGGGCAATCAACATTTCCAGCTCCCACTGCAGACTCCCGCTGGCAGTCATGTTCTGCCAGCACCGGATGTGTGGATATTGATGCATGTACACGGGTTCGCCACTTGGGTGGTGAGATGCGGTTACATCTTCATTCGTTACTTTGATAGGACCTGCGATCTACTTGTCGGTACCACCTGATATCTGTTTGAAGTCCGTTGTGGCTTCCCGCGGAGTCCCGCGCGTGACCCGGATGTTCTGCGATCCGAGCGCACTCCGAGTCGGCACGTGCCCCGGGCCTGGGTGCGCACATCTAGCAGACGACGAACTCTCACCTGGCAATTCGTCGATTTGGTCCCCAGTTTCAACCCCTCATGCTCTACCTTCCAAGTCTGAACCATCGGAAGGAGGCCGTCGTGTCGTACGGGAGGGGACTCGAAGATCGCTGAAAAGTCGCCAGCGCCGCCAATACCACCGACAGCTCCTCTTGGCCCTCATCGAATACTCCTATCCTCCAGCTCGGGAGTATCCGCGCCGCACGCGCCTCGTGCGTGGACAGCGATGAAACAAGAGGCGGTCTTTTGTTCGCACAGTTTGAAGATTCGGTATCGGAACAGTTCCCAAACTCGCTTGCTGCCCGGCCTGGGCAGATCAGCAACCAGTCGGCGGATACAACGACACCGCACATGCTCGGACTCTGCGCGTGTCAGCCGATGACCGTCCCAGCGTGAAGATAACACTAGATCGAGTGATCTTGTGGGAGCTCATGGCACTGAAAGGAACCCCGAGAGGAGAGGATGGCAGGAGAGCTTCGGGCGCTGCGGAGACAGAAGAGGACGCCCCGACTCCTTCAACCATCCTCCTAGGCCGGCAGCTTCACCGCCTACACATCCGCCAGTCTTCGACACAAGAATCACAAACCCAATTAATTCTTCTGGAAGAACCTATTCAGTCAGCATTTGAAGGCGATGCTCACTCCTTTGAGCCTTCGCTCCTTACGCGACCCCGAAAGGCGGGGTTCCATTTCGGTCAGCATGGAACTTCCGAGCCGGAGAGCCAACAAGATGAAACAAGCGGATCACTCGACAGCTGACATCAGAAGCCTTCGTGGTCGACGAGAACCTCTCCAACATTCTGAGATAACGGCGTCATACTTCAGTGCGTCCCCGCGGCAGAGGTGTTCCATCGCGAAGCCAAGCCCCTGCTTCCGATGAGGCCATTCGACGCCTGGGGCGGTCAGCGCATTTTACCTCCCTAGATGGCAAAGACCTATTCGGATCAGAGGCGAAGATCGGGTGGGAAAGAAGGCGTCACCAGCCACAGGATGCGGCGTGGAAGACCGCGTTCTTCAATTGGCGCGGCACTTTCCCCGCCGTCGATGTTCAAAGATCCGCAGGAAGCCTCGTTCGGCCGCTTACCGGCTGCTTGCGATTCCCCACTTGTGTTTCTACCTTACCACCTTCTGAAGCACGGCAAGCCCATCTCCGACTAGAAAGTCAGCCACGCAGCGCCTCTCTTGGCTTTCGGTATCCAGTCTCTGGCAGAGATAGGGGTGTATGACGCTCTCGCGACTGCTGCTTCAACCTACGGTATCAGGTAATCACCGTCCCAGACATTCGGAGCTTTGATCCAAATCAGTCACCTTCTATTCGAATCGGTCTCAGCCAGTGGCAAAAGTTTCGATCACTGGAGTAGCCTGATTCCAGCCGTCGACTCGCTCGACATAATGTCGGCTGTCAGCCGCGCAATCATGTGGTACTGGATCTTTACCGGAGTGGGAGCCTTCTTGGTCCACGATATTTGTCTTTTTACAGGCGGGCGGGCACTGACCGAACCGTGTCGAGCAATGGGGAAGGAGTCGGCGTTCGGGATCGAAAGGGCAACGTCGGCTCGACCGTTTCACACTTCCTCGTGGATTGCCATCATTCGACCGGCGACACTGGTCGGGTTTCTGTGTATCCGGTCGTCAGTTTCTCCTCGCGGATTTACATCAACTACATAGCCAAAGATGAGTCCTTCGTAATCCGAGGATGCCCATGCTCGTATTCGCTCGCAGTCTTGGGTCTGAGTGGTGCATTCTCAACTGAATCAGAGAGCGACGTCATGCGCCAATAGGCTTTATCACGATCGCCGCCATAGGCTTGCTGGTGGCCTTGAATGTTCAAATCAAGAGGCCATAGGAGGAGGAGATGTTTTGACTGTCGATGTGGTGGAGGATGCTAGGAAGCGTTTACGATTGCACCAAGCAGATCGTGGAGAGGGACCAGTGGGCAATTCACCGTAGCGGCGGGAAAGAATTGCACCATCTGAAGCTCGTTGATACACAAATTTTGTCATCTTGAGGTGGGACATCCATCTCGACCTTATTATACTACTTACCTCCCAATAGGGGCTACACATATGACAAGCGGCTCCATTCACCCTGCAATCCTCGTGACTCCGTCGTTCCATGTTTCAACCCTCCTCGCGGTGAGATAAGAGTATGTCGAGCTCTTGGTTCTGTGAGAATCGCGAGCGAGAGTCGAAGCTGCTCAGTGTGATGAATCCGAGTGCATCGCAGGCGTATTCTGGACTTACCCGACAAAACCAACCGCTCGAGACAACAGCAACGAATCGAGCATGGAAGGATACCAACCACCGAAGCGCACATCTGTACGCGTACACATGAGTCTCGGTCAGCTGCGCAGGAGAAGGGAATTGCTGCACCAAGCAAGTAAACTGACCTGTGGCAAATTCCTGGTGGTTGATGCGCAGCCACCCCAAGTCGGCCAGTTTGTTGAGGAAGGGATCGTCCGTCGCGTCGGTAGCAAAGATGACCGGCAGGTCCCTTTTCCCTCCGATTCCGGACCACTTGCGATTCTTTCTCAACTCGCTTTGCACCTCGGTCACGGCCCTCGTGTAGCTTCCTACATCGTCCCCTGCGATCCGTCCGAGGGACACAAAGTCTCCACGACGTAGATGGACACCGATGAAGGGTTTGCGAGCGCCAGAACGTCCCATCAGAAACGTCAAAAGCTCATCGGCGATGTGCGAGATGTGCGCATTGTAGTGAAGATGCTGCCCGACCGAAGTCCAAACTGGATCGTTGGGAGACAACTCTTCAATCGTGTAAGATTGGTCTACGGCCCCTTCCACAAAGTGAATTGATGGGACTGATTTGGTTCATAAAGGCGGTATTAGCACAACTCCTTGTCTCGCTTCATCGTCAAATCCTCAGCTCTGGGGATCACCCACTGACCGTAGAAGAGATTCTCGAAGCACATCAGCTTCGTGTCAGGCGGATCCGGCGCATTCTCCCAACCTCCGTATATGCGCTGAGCGCTCTCGTCTAACCACTTTCGATTGCTTTGACTTGCCAACACCTCCATCGCGGGGAAACTCATGCTCGTCTGAATTGAACTAGGGACCGTGAGTTGACCAGGCGGGGGCCAAAAGAATGTCTGGACATTATATCCCTTCAGGGGCGCGTTGTCTTGCCACCCCCAACACGAGAGCTTTTCGGGTGAGGTGCCTGTTTCAAGTGGGATCTTGACCTCTTGCCACTCCATGATCGAGACATTCGTCAAGAAGGAGAACAGGTCAAGGTCGAAGAATTTGGAATAGCCAACGTTGGGAGCGTGCTCGTGTGTGGCCATCAGCTCGGATCTAAAGGCGTATGGTGACATGATAAGGTTAGACCGACGATGGTGTTTCAAATGAGTAGTCAAAGTCTCAATCTTAGATCTACTTACAAGATAACGTCTCGGTTGAGCAGCTGACCCAGATGAACGAGCTTGAGAATCTCCATCAGTTGATTCGCTGCCCACACATCCTCGCCCAGGACTAGCTTTAGTTACGGATCAAATATATCATAGAGGCTGAAGGCTGCGTTAGCTCACTGGTACCTCCATACGGAAACGAGGTCACGTAGCCATGGTCGTCTCTGAGGTTGTCTCTGAAGGATTTGAGTGGGATCCGGGTTTTGAGAGGCTATGTCCCGCACCAACGGAATAGAGGAAAGCCCACACGGTCACCTGATAAGCTGACTGGCAGAGCACAGCATATACCAACGCAAGGCCCAACTGACATTCTTCCTGGCAGGCACTTCGCCCTGCCACTCACCGCCGTGAGCGCCAATGAGTTTGCCGAAAGCGTAGCGGATTCCAGCGGCACCTCTGGCAGTTTCGCCAATCCAGCTACCTCGGTACAACTGTGCCATAGCATCGACAGACGAGTCATTCGTCATGCTGCGACTTTGTATCGCTGTCCTGTACACGACATAGACCGAGATGGGAAGTAGGAGCAAGACGAGGATTCGACGAGGAGCTCGTAGGGTGGACCGTAGCGTCGATGATCGCACATTCAATACATTGATCGGTTTCTGGGAACTCCTGTATCGCTGGAAGGTAGAAAGCGGTCCGCAAGCTCGATTCAGTACTCCGGTTTCTCCGATCAGAGGGCGTAAGGAGCCCACCCCCACATAACCAGAGAGCCAGCCTGTGCGCAAGGCTCGAAAATCACCGGTGCATCACTACCATCGGTGCCATCGATGTCGAGTTCGACATAACTCTTTCTCCGCTTGATCGTGCTATCGTCGTCGCCGCCGTCGACCCACATAGGACCTCCAACGCTCCCTCTGGGAGCTCTTGAGGGATGGCCCTGTCCTTGTCCTTGCCCTGAGCTCATGGGCCAGAACGAAGCGACGACCGAGTTGGCACGACTCCGTTCCCCATTCTGTGACGTCGGAATGTTGGTGCGTGCTACGTTGAGCAACGTGTTGCTCGTCGTCAGCTCATCAAGCGAAGTAATCGAGGCCGACGTGGACGGCGACGAGCCTGGCCGGACTCCGTCGGCTGCCACGTCTGGGTCATTCGAGTAACCGTAGGACCTGTACGATCAGAGAATAAGGCCGTACTGTATCAGTGTCTGATCAAAAATGCTTTGAACCTGCAGAGCTCCGGCGAGAGGCCCTTCTCTGCATCGCACAGTGCAGGCGATCGGGCGTGAACGTACGGTCTTCGCCCGAGTGCGGAGCTCATCGTCAGACTTCGGCGCAGTCGGCGGGCGATCTCCCGGGTTCCGAGATGATGATCGATGTGATGAGAGCCAAGCGTGGCTTGATAACAAGTTGAGTATGGTCGCAAGGTGAGGATGTTGCGTGGTGCAGCTACGCGAGCTCAAGTGAGCCGGCTGCAGTGTGGTGATGCGTTGTCGGCCACAGGTGAGACAACAGCCGAGATGGCCAGCTTCTGCTAAATCGGAATTAGGTTAATCGCGCGAATAGCAGGGCATTTTGGTCCCGAGAATGGCAACTCTGGTCCCACATCGGAGGCGACTTTGGGATCACATCGGAGCGGACTTTGGGATCACATTGATGTGGACACTTTGGGATCACATCCGAGGTCAATCTTGTACCACGTTCATGGGGACTTTGGTGCCACATGATGATAGTGTAGACGCCTGTATCTTTTGCAACATGTGGTGTATCACTCTGGCGACAGCAGTATGATATCTATAGTACTTCTGGCCGGTGAGACAAAGCGGACAATGCAGTAGTTGCTACATCGGGATTCTGCCCTGCTTGGCCGCTCCGGGCCCGTGGTGTCAGTGATCCGGCGCTCGAGTCGCCAAGGCCGACAACTCCCGAATGTGACTGCGCCGATGAAACTAGAAGTGGCACCGGTCACTCGCTTCTCTGATCCATGAAGAACAGTTCATAGAGATTGAGCGAAGATACAGATTCTAACAAGCCACGCGTCGACATCGGCGGACTTTTGTTTGTACGACCATTGCAGTTGAATGATGTTCAAACGTATTCCCACACAGAAACCTGGCTCGCTTTACCGCTCCTTCTTTTGCTGTAACTGCTCAAGTCAACAAACTCCGTTGTTAGATCTTTCTTGGTATGATGAAATCTTCGACTGTACCTACTTCGAGCATGCATTACCTAGATCAAACTTCAACTTTCCGTCTCGACATTGCGAGCAAGGTTTCCGCCGACTGGTGCTCGAGGTCACGCTTTCCGCTTCCGAATGACGCCAATTGCTAGGATTTGCAACAGCGGATGGGCTTCTCTCTTGAAGAACGGCAGAGTGCTTGCAATTTGATATCGCGCGTGGCAAATACTGGCGGAAATAAAGACAGGGCGAGGGAACTGATGGTCAGTCTTGAGATGAGAAACCTTTGTGTGCAAACTTGGAGCACTCACTCACTTTCGGATGCGAGCGTGGCCGTGTTGCGCTGCCGAAAGACTTCTTGATGCGCCAACGCACGAATGAAAGGGGCTGGACGTCGAACGTTCGGCCGGGGTTGGCGTCGTTGGTGATTGCCGAGGGTGTACACCAGCGCCGATGAAAGATCGTCGACCTGAACGAGGATCTGCACAAGGGACGAAGGAGGAAGGAAACAGAAAGACATGTCAGCCACCCAAACCAAGATCCTTTGATTTAATATCCGGGATGATCACCTTGAGTTGAGCGGAGGATGTTTTCTCGGTGTCCTGTCCGAGTCGTTTCTCGTACCCAAGTTCGCCATCCTTTCCCCGATCTCTTTTGCAGGCAGGCCCCCAAGCAACCATGGGTAATTCATAGAACCTCCGCAACAGGTCAACCTTCGCGGGTTGAGTCCAAGCTTTTAGAAAGGTGATAGGCTCTTCTAGACGTCATTCGATCCCCACTGCCACCTCCGACGGATGTTGATGATGAGTAGACGAAAGCGCGTCACCGTAAGGTCGCTCGACGACAGCGAGACAGCGTTCATATCTGCGTGGACCCCAGTCATGCTTCTGTAGATAGATCTCACCAATAAGAGTTAGGTCGATCCCAGGACGAAGCAAAACGCAGCGCAGCAAGCAGCTTCGACACGCCTCTGTAGCTAGAACCTTGGGGGCTCGAGCATGACAGCAAGTCTGCTTACAAATTCCATTCGGATTTCTGCTTGCGAGGAACGAGCGGCCTGAGACTGAGCTCGTTGTGCTCTGCAGTCGTGAGGATTTTGCTTGAGAAAAGTGCTTCGCGCGTCGTGTTCGACAGTTCGTTGTTTTGCGTTCCGCCGAGAGAGCTCGCAAGTATGCCGGTCCAAATCTTCTTGTCCTTCCGAGCCGGGAGTGGTGCGGAGACGATGATGTCAGGTAATACCTCGTCTGAGCTGTCTTCTTAGACTCCGTAGTATAAATCGCTTGCCGGAGTCGCTGGAACAGTTCGTGCGAGAGCTCGAAGCCCCGAGGCTGAGTCGGAGGTGCGAGACGTCGAGGACTTGGGGGGAACCGCGACCAAAACTGCCAAGAGTTTCGAATCGTCCTCATCCTCATATATATCCGATTCATCTTCCGATAGGCATGGCTCTGTCGAGCTTTGTTGTTGCAGCGCAATGGGTGAGCGGCCCCCTTTGTCTTGAAGCAGTTGGTTCATCACTCAAGTTCTTGACATGAGCGTATTTGGCGCCTTCTAGAAGGCACCCCATTCAGGCGTTGTTGTGCTCGAAATGGACGAGTATCCTCTCAACAAGGAGGAGAAAGCGTGATTTGGGTGAGAATTGGATGTGTACTAGTGGGAGAGTGGGGGGTAAAGACGAGGAGCGTGCGAAGCGTCAATGAGGAGCTCGTATCAGGGGCATTCGTGAGTTTGCCGGTTTCTAATAAGGGTCCTAACCGTTGCAGGCCCCAATTATAAGGAACTAGAGCTCACCCATCTGGTTTATGTGATGGCGTCAGTGATAACGTCATTACAGTGACAGCAAGTCTTTAGGTGAGCATTAAAAAAGGGTTTGCTACACCCTATGATGTTTGTTGCATGCTACGCTCGCTGCCTGGTCACGATCGTGAGGTCGGACCGCTGGGACCACGGCCGGGCCCGGAGCGGCCAAGCAGGGCAGAATCCCGATGTAGCAACTACTGCATTGTCCGCTTTGTCTCACCGGCCAGAAGTACTATAGATATCATACTGCTGTCGCCAGAGTGATACACCACATGTTGCAAAAGATACAGGCGTCTACACTATCATCATGTGGCACCAAAGTCCCCATGAACGTGGTACAAGATTGACCTCGGATGTGATCCCAAAGTGTCCACATCAATGTGATCCCAAAGTCCGCTCCGATGTGATCCCAAATTCGCCTCCGATGTGGGACCAGATTGCCTCCGACGTGGGCCCAAGAGCCGTCCTTATGTGAGCCCTGGCAGAGTGACGAGCTATTAGCGCGGTTATGTCCGGGTGCCTGCTAAATTCCCGCTTTGGGAGCAAGGCCTGGCCCAGCGCTGCCAGCGCCGCCAGTGGCCACTGCATTGCCAGGCGCGGCGCGCAGCAACCTTTCTGGCTGGCCGGAGGGGGGCGGGGGGTCAAGCCGTTGATGCCTTGGGTCGTGGTGAGACACTTTTTTTTACTAGTTAGGGTAAAGGACAAAAATGCCCTCGCTTCTTTTCATGAGGACAGAAATGCCCTTCTCAAAAGGACAAAAATGCCCTCGGATTCCAGACTTCTGTAATACTTGATATATCAGCTCACAACCAAGAGGGTAGCTTCTTGTAGTCTTTGTGATCAGCGACGTATACTCAGAATCTCCAGAGGTGCCGTGAGAAGTCAGTTATCACGGTCGCAAAGTCAGGGGCCTATCGCGACTGAAACGAGGCTCTCGAAAGCGAGCGATGAGTATAGACCGCAGTAAATATGAAACAGACCAGCACGCCTTCAACTTGTAGTAATATTGACACTTTTGACGCCGTATGCTCAGATTTCAAATGGTCGATCTATCTATCGCGTAACTCGTGTCCGGGCCTTTTGCAGAGGCCACAGATCGTGTCGCGCTTGGCCCTCTCGTCCGCACCCCGGAGTCGGGCCCGGACCCTGCACTTGATTGGACGTCCTGTACGTTGGGAAGATGTGGCGGAATGATAATGGCGCCGACTTCTTCGCCACCGAGTCACTATCGTCCTCATCATCCGTGACCTCATGTCTTGCACACGACGTGCCAACGACGCGTGTCAGACTTACGGAACGTCGAGCTGGTTCTGGTCATCAAGCGCATATCGATAGCCTGCATCTGTGAGCTCCTTCTTTTCGTAGAGATTTTCCCCCTTCTTGAAACAATGTTCCATTGTCGAAAGTCGGTGGTGACTTCGGCGTCCGGGCCGGGGGCGAGAATGCGGAAGGAGGCCAACGTCGATTCGCGAACTCGCGCGCCTCTACGCGTCGACGATCGATGAGGCCCCTGACTTTGCGACCGTGATAACTGACTTCTCACGGCACCTCTGGAGATTCTGAGTATACGGCGCTGATCACAAAGACTACAAGAAGCTACCCTCTTGGTTGTGAGCTGATATATCAAGTATTACAGAAGTCTGGAATCCGAGGGCATTTTTGTCCTTTTGAGAAGGGCATTTCTGTCCTCATGAAAAGAAGCGAGGGCATTTTTGTCCTTTACCCTAAAACTAGTAAAAAAAGTGTCGATCCGCGACCCATGTACCTAAAATCGCTGTTTTTGTCTGTGTTGCGGTCCGGAGGGCCGCAAGTGGTGAATGTATCATTATACTGTTGAGTCTGCCGCACCTGCCTGTGGTATCGGCGTCCCAATCAGAAGTCATGTACGCCCCTTTCTGCATTTTCTGGACCATAAAAGTCGAGCTACAGCCCGACTACAATTTTTGTCGAGTTTTGATATGGTGGGGAACTATTGATCAGTTTGTGCAGGATGTATAGCAAGCGCGTGGGTTTGCATGACACTTCTTCTACAGATCTCAGGCGTGGTCTCGCTGCGCGATGCCCCGTCGATCACGTGACGTATTTTTGGCATCCCGACACCGGTTTTAGGGGCTCAACAACAACGTGAGGTTCCAGAAACTGTGAATACGCTACTCTCTCTAATTTTCGCCTTTTCCCTCCCACTCTCATCGAATTTTCGTGACAACCGCGCCGAGTCTCTCGCGCGAGGGTAGCGCCGTACGATAGCGTACCGCCGTACCATGGGAGACCATGGGCCATGGGCCTGCTCTGGCCTGCTCGAGCGCCCGCTGCTAGGTCCGCTGGGCGCCCCGCTGCTCGACTCTCCTCTTCGTCCCCCTCCCATCAACAGAATCAGCTCCCCGCGCGTGATGACAACCACTCGACCGATCTTGGTATTGAAGCGTCCGCCGTACAGCTTTGTAGAACGGACAGCGTGGTCAGCGCGATGGCCCGATGGCCGAACCGACGCTGAGCTACTGCTGAGCTCGCCCCACCACCACCTCTTCCTGCGCAGAGGCAAGTGCGCAGGCCTCGAATCAAGCTCAAACCACTCAAGTACCGCGTTCCCATCCGCGACTACGTCGGCACCAGATGACCGTGTGTACCCACTGCAAGGCTCGACACTGGGAGTGCGAAAGGACGAAGTTGACCGGACACTTCAGCACGTGCTGCTCGCAGGGCAAGGTGCAGCTACCTCCCTCCGGCCCAATCCCAACTTTCAACAGCTACTTGAAGGCTCGGATAGCGGTCAGTTGCTCCGTCCAACGTCATTCGTCTGTAGTAGACCCACATGCTGAACTGTGCGACCCACCTACACAGAAGCTAAGGCATTCCGGCGTTCCGCGAGAATGCCCGGTCGTACAACAACGCGCTGTCGTTCACTTCGCTCGCTGCCCACGTTGACCAGACTCGACCAGGCACTCAAGGACCCCGCATGTTTTGGGTATTTTGTCGCCTTGTCGCCTTTACCATCGACTCAGGCACTCTCGGCGCCCTAATTCCTGCCGTCAATCAGCGCCCAACCTTTGCCAAAACATGGCTCATCTGCCCGGCCGAGGCCACCGACACTCAACTTGGCCCCGACGGCGCAGACAGTCGCATACAAAGATCTACTTTGACCAGGCTCGAGTCCATGTTGCGTACCAAGAATCACTTTGTGAGGGAGTTCGCATCGGCCAAAACCCGCGCAGGTTGGGACACGGCCAAAGATTCGGCCCTGCGCACCTGGCCGAAACCGACGCACCCACAACCTTCCTACGTCGAGCACGGAAATGGCTATGCTTATCTGCGATTCCGAGACCAACACGGGAGATCGTGGACCTCAAGACCTTATTCTCCAGGTGCATGGTGATCGATGTCCCGATGGTCGGCCCAAGTACCAAGTCATCAGCTCGCTCCATCCGTCTGCGTTGCCTCTCCGGTAGCCACTACTATTTCCTGCAGGGGAAGATGGCTTCCACCCCAACATTTCTCTTTGCGGGTTTCGCCAAGCTGGGCTGCCAATCGCCAGAAACCGAGAGCAGATCGACAATGGTGTCCAATCGCGCGAGGTACTTGCCGGTCTCGGTCTTGATGACGAAGGCGAAGAGGAGGACGAAGACCGCGAGGATGAGGATGAAGACGGCGAGGAAGGGGACGAAGAGGATGGTGATGGCGAACGTACGCGTCTTCGGCTCTTTCTCGGATGTTCCATTCTGTTTAAGGCGCAAGCACAGACTGATATTGAACTTTTGAACACCTAGGACGAAGGTCAAGTAAAGGGGTCGAGGTGGCGAGTCTCGCGTTCACAATTATTTGCGCACTACTTGTCAAACGCGACGAGTACTTCTCAATCCCGCATTGCACCCAACGTCCCTTCCTGGAGTTTGTGATTTTAGGATATACTCCCAAGTCGAGACCGATCGACTCAACACATCCGGTTGCATCAAGAGAACCTGCGCCTCACCACGACCCAAGGCATCAACGGCTTGACCCCGAACCAAATTGGACGTTCGATGACCTTGGGCTCGACGTTTCAGAATAGACCGCGCGACATCACGCAGCGATACCAGGATGCGATGGCGTGCGTTGTCAAACATGGAAAGTCTCCGCTGCTCATCACGATGTCGCACGACCCCGAATCACCGGAAATCAAGGCTGCACTGGGGCCGAATGACAAAGCATGCAACCGTCCGGATCTCATTGCATGAGTGTTTGAAGCCAAGTCCGGCGACAAACGGCGTGCAGGCTGTTTCGGCGATGATGTGGGATAAATGGATTTTGTTTCTTTGCTGTACTTCGTATTGTGTTTTCTCAACCTTTGCGCTGAAATCATGTAGACTGTTCGATCATCCTGCTATTTTTTTGGATTTCTTCCTCCCGTTAATTTAACGGGTTCCCACTGGTTTCTCTTAAATTTATCGCACCGAAGGCAGATGCCTGGTCCGAGCGCGGCTTCATGGCAGGAATGACTTGCGATGGAATGACGGTGAATGACTGTGAATGACGAGCGCGCGCAGAATGGATTGCACCGGCTGGCGCTCGCGCGGCTCTCAGCTTCGCCCCACACACCACCCACCACCCACCACCCGATCAGTCGACCAAACCGAACCATGTCCATCTTCCTCCAGCCCACTCCCCCCGCGTTCAAGGACCTGTACGCTGTCTGCCCTGCCCAGGATTGTATCTTCTCACCGCTGACGTTCCTTTCTTCCGTCCCCTCCGCGCTGCTCCCGATCTCTCCCACTTCCTGTTCTCCCACGCGCCGCTCGCCCCCCTTGCGCCTTGCCTTGCCCGCCGTGCCCGCCCGCCGTGCCCGCCTGTGCATCCGCCGCTGGCTGTCGCGTCCACTTGGGCCGTTGGCGATGGGCGACGCTTGAACGGCACGTTTGCGCAGTGGCAAATCCGCCTCGGACTTGCTGATCAAGGACCTGCCTCTGCACGGCAATGCGATCGAGGTCAAGGTGAGCTGTCGTGTGCATCGGTTGTCGTGTCTCGCTCGTTTTCTGTCCCGCTGGCCGCCGGCGCCGCGGCCAAACATGCGTCCACGCTCCACCATGAGCTGCGCAGCGTCGTGTTGTGCACCCCGGGAACTACCCTCTCACCGCGGTTGCAAATAGTCAACCACTGAGCGAGACGGGTCTTCAAGGGGCGAGTGCCATGCACCGCTCTCGCACGGTGGGGTCTTGTCTTTTCCTCCCGGAAACGCCGCTTCGGTCCGGTCCTTGCTCGATGCTTTCTTCTTGGGTCTTCTGAAAGATCGTGTGTGCGACTTTGTCTGCCACGCGCCCACTTGCTTGGCCGGCACGAGCTCTCCGCTCGCGGGGTTTGGCTGCGGTTGGGCGATCCTTGCATTGGCTCCGCCCCGACTCTCCCCGACCGTTTGCTGCTTGCGGCCTCTACACGACGACCGCAACGGACTCGGAACGCAGTTGCGGAAGCCTGAATTTTCTTGCAACCTTGCACCACATCCTGCGGCCGAAGCTTGCGTTGAGCCTTCGCCGACCTCATAGCGCTATCGGGACCGTGGACGGGCGACCCCCACGTGGCGCGCTCCCGCACAACCGTCACCACAACGTCCCGAACGCATGCTGATCGATTCTCCCTTGACCTTTGCTCTCCATCCCAGACCCGAGCGCCCAACAACGTCGACTTCAAGGTCGCCGGTGTGCGCGATGCCAAATCCAATCTCATTGTCGGTGACCTCGAGGGCAAGTATTCGGACCCCAAGAACGGCGTCACCGTCACCCAGACCTGGACCACGTCCAACATCCTCAAGACCCAGGTCGAGTTGGAGAACCAGATTGCCAAGGGTGCGTCCTCCAAACATACTTTTTGCTGGTCAGGGCGGCATGCGACCGGATCGTGCTGATTCGGTCCGTGACCGACGATATATCTCTCCCATCTTATATTTGCAGGCCTCAAGCTCGACATTCAGGGCCACCTCTTGCCCGCGACCCAGGCCAAGTCGGCCTTCGTGACGGCCATCTACAAGCAGCCGTCGTTGCACACCCGCGCTCTCCTTGACGTGTTCAAGGGCCCCACCTTCACTGCCGATGCCGTGCGTCCCTCTTTGCCTCAGCGCTCCCCGTTGGACTAGCCCGAGACAAATGTCCTGATGTGTTTTCCACTGCAGACCGTCGGCCGGGATGGTTTCCTCCTCGGTGCCGAGTCGACCTACTCGGTCCCCTCGGGCTCGATCACGCGCTACGCCCTTGCCGCCGGTTACGCCGCCCCGTCGTACACCGTCACCGTACACGGCCTGGCCAACTTGTCGGTCTTCTCCGCATCGTACTACCACAAGGTCAACAAGGATGTCGAGGTTGCTGCCAAGGCTATCTGGGACTCCAAGGGTGCTGCCACGCCCGGTGTCGAGTTCGGCTCCAAGGTCTACCTCGATGTAAGTTCTCAGAGAAATGACGCGCGTGAATCGCGTCGCTTACGATATCCGACGTCTAATGTACCTTACAGAACACGGCCTTCGTCAAGGTCAAGGTAAGCATTCGTTTGCCCATGCGCTGTTAGTTCGGTGCTGACATCGTGCCTCCATCTCACCACCGTAGGCCAACAATGTCGGTGTTGTTGCTTTCGGCTACACCCAAGCGATCCGACCCGGTGTCAAGGCCACCGTCGGCTTGGCCGTCGACACCACCCAGCTCGTTAGTCTATGCCCTCGCTTCCGCTACACTGCCCAGGCACACACTGATGTGCTCTTCACACCCAATCCTACAGGAGGCCGCTGGCGCAGCTCACAAGATCGGCACCTCGCTCGTCTTCGAGGCTGTAAGTCGATGACCGCGGCGAATGTGAAACATCTGCGCACCTCACTGACACGAGGACCCTTGTCATCTTTGTGCAGTAAATATGTTCGAGTAGTATCTTCGCGATTCCCAACACAACAGCTGGCCCATACAAATCACAAACCGAACTCGATTTTTCAAGTTCCCCTCGCTCTCTCCTCCCAAAGCTCCTAACCCAGTTTCATCCGTCTCCTGCAAAGACCTCGTTGTTTGAGCGCTCTCGTTGACTTTCTAGTTTGTCTGTCGGGCTTTTCTTGCAATGTCGGGCGGCGGATTCCGGAATCTTTGAGACCTCATGTCGGAGTCGAAGTGCACCTAGAGGAGGACAAGGTCCTGTAGAGCTGCCACCAGCTAAGAGCATGCAGCTTTTCTCACTGACTACCTAGTACCTATGTAATTCCTTCGAGAGGACATGTCTGGGTGTTTGGGACCAGCTTTTTGATACATTCGGAGCTCTGCCAAGCAGTTTCGATTATTCTGGAGCAAACAGATCGGTACCCAGGTAGACCGACGATTGACTAACGGTAGATAGGAATGACAACATACCGTTGGTCATTCTTAGAGATGCAAACCCATCTAAGCGCCCAGGTACCTACCTGCCTGAAAAGAAACGGGGAAAAATTATCTCGAGTTCGATCTAGATCCCGGTTTGATTACTCGGGCCAACCTGCGCCTTATGCGCTCGCAGCGCTTCACTTAGTAACGCTTCTGCCATGTTCTTTTCGCCATGAGGACTCTGGCCGTTCCGACTGCCGAAGTTCGATGTATACCGCGGTTAAGGCCCAGATGGCATAAATTCTCGCTTTCGTCTTATCGCCCAAAAGCATTTCGCGCGGAGCTTGTTGGCAGGATCAGGAGAAGGAACGATTGAAGCCTCCTTCCGATCCAAGACCCGACGACTTGCCGGATTCTAGAGAGCCGATGAACGCGTGTATCTCCAATTTGGGTCCCTATTTCTTGGAGTCATCCAATCCAGAATAGTACTTTTTGAGCCTAGAAACTTGTTGTGTCAGTTCACTTTTTCGGCGTGACTTTCAAAAAGTAAACGTCGCTTTGACTTCGGACAGACTGCGGACTCTTCCGGACTCCACCAAATCGGGATTCCCCAGCTGCGACCGCCGCAGTGCCGCACACTGTCACCTTCGACTCAGCACTTGCACTTCACTCTTCACCATGGAACAACTCAAGCAGCAAGATCGCAGAGGATCGATCCGCAAAGTCTTCGGATCCTTCATTCGAAAGAAGCCCCCGTCTTCTTCACCATCGTATGCCAATGGTGCCGATGAGGCTGCGTCAGTCTCCGGAGCCCTCTCGACGCCTCGCGACAGCCACCTCCTCGACCGGAGGCGCGCCATCCGGCCAAGCCACCGGTGCGCCTCCGCGTCGCGGTGGGGCCCCACCAACTCTCACTGATGCGTGAGCCAGTACATCCACTAAGACAAACCCAGTGGTTAAATCTCGCAGCTCTTTCAGCTTCGCATCAAGTGTCACGAAGTCGCCCTTCTCTCGTGGCAAGATCTCGGGCGACACTAGCCCGCCCGCCGCCATCACCGTCTTCACACTCTCGAATCTAACCCCAAGACCATTATAACCCGGAGACTTTGACGATCCTCCTTTACCACCTATGGGTTGTCGGCTTCGGACTATGTCTCTTCCTCGGGCATCCATCGATCACCCGTGCCGCTCGACGAGACTCTCCGCCAGCGTGCCGTAGACAACCTTGGGCTTCTGCCGTCCGTGCAACACCGTGCTTCGAATGGATCGGCCGACACGGTCTACGACGGGGACCGTGGGCGCTCGAAGACACCTTCATCCGACTTGGATCTACCCTCTCCCAAAGAGTTGGCGTCGCACCCCGCTTTACAAGCCTTGATCACCAAGGCGAACGGCTACTTCGGGACCTGCGCGGGCAACGTCTCGCTCGTTTCGCAGGACAAGACCGTCTACTTTGCCGAGCAGGGCTTGGGCGGGCTCGATGATCTACCAAGGAAAGATTTGGCTTGTGATCACATGTTGACCAAGGCTTCCGTACAAGGACTGCCAGGTGACGATGGTCTCAGAGGCATCGAGTTCGGGGAGCTCGGCGCCGTGGACCGCAGTGCCGAGGGGTTGATCATTCCGGACCTCAGCAAAGATTGGCGCTTCTCAAAGGCAAGTAGCGGGCGCGAGTGGTCGGGAGGCTGTGTTGATATTGAAGAGCGCTGACCTTAGATTGCGAACGCCTCCTTGGTCCTGGCCACAGAATATACTCGGAGAGTTTTCGAAGGGTTTCTACGCCGGCACCCCCATCCGACTTCCTTCGGCTCTTGGTGACTCGTTTCCCACACGACCCTGCGGTGTGTTTTGTATCCTTTCACAACAAGCTCGGACCGAACCTTTCACGAAGCAGGATCGACAACTTCTCGCCAACCTTGCGGACGAAGCCGGACGCGAGCTGTTGAAAGTCAGCCAGGAGCGAGCAGGGAAGCGTGGTGACAATCTGCTGGCCAAGTACGAAGAGCTGAAGAAGGCGAGTGCCAAGGCGGCCCGACGAGCGTCGAGTGACGCGGGGGACGATGCCACAGGTGGTATAAGAGCTTCAGAACAGCAAGGTGATGGTGCTTTACGGTCGATCGGACAAATGGATCAATCACTTGAGCGGGCTATCCGCGGCGGCAATCTTTTTGAGCGTCGAGCATCGCGGAACGGTTCGATCGATGCTCCATTTAGAGTGCAAATTGCCACAGGCTCCCCTACCCCGAGCAATTCCTCGACCCCAGGCGGAGGCAAGCCTCCCACCACCGCTAGATCGACTGCCTCTTCGATACGCTCCTTCGCGCTCGACGAATTGTACAATCTCTCGCCGGAAAGCGCGGCACCTGTCTTCCCGCGACGCCTCGCTCGGACCCCTCGCGCCGATCCTGAAACCGCGGGCGTCAACGCCCCCGCAGCTAAAGTATCGGATGGCATCAAGAGCTCATTCGATCTTTCGACAAGGATGATCTGCGAGAGCTTGGACTTTGACTTCTGTTGTGCGTGCACCCGATGACGCAGCAATGGTGGACCTTGGCTGAATGTTTCCTTGCCCTATTGCACACACGCAGATCTACTTATAATCAATCGCACAACTGGCAAAGCGGCTGTTCTATCCTCCCACAATTTGCCGCTGCCACCCCTGCTGTTCCATCTCGAATCTCATCTGAATGCGTCGACAGCTCAGGCGGTGCTCTACAATCGCTCCTCACCTTCTTCCGGGCAGCTTGCTCCTTCAACAACTCGAGAGGACGACGAAGTCGCATCGGGTTTGATTTTTCGCTTGCCAACAAGGTCGGTTCCGCTGACGGGGCTGGCAAGCGGGGGTGACGAGAAGGTGTTTGTGCTGGGTGCATTCTCGACGGACCCCAGAAGGGTGATCGGGAGACAGGATTTGGCCTTTGTCAAGAGCACGATGCCCATACTTGGAAAAGGATGCGACAGACTGTGAGGAATGCAGTTCAGTGCGATCGCCTCCAATGTGATTCGAGGGGATCTCCTTGGGGTTGATTATCACTCACAGCGTGCTGTTAGCGAGCCACCGGGCATGACATAGCACTCGAGCAGCACTCGTGGATGCCAGCTCCGTCGATGTCCACTTTCCGCCCTGGGCTTGACAACCGCGAGAGCCACTCGAGTTCACCCTCGACCCAATTCGAACGTTGTAGTTTTCGGGCCGATCTTGACATCGATCTGCTTCACGTCGATCGGGATAGTTCTCAACTCTCTTCCCAAATCATCATTCATGTGCTGAAGAGCTCCGTCGTCGAAAGGAAGTACTGCTGTTCCGAGAGTGTCTTGGTCGGAGCGCCTCGATGAGGTGAGGGCCGTCCAAGCGATCGAGGTGTGGAATCGGGGTTGCGGATAGTAAGGTTCGAGACGGAGCGAGATCACAGTCTGGTCGATCAACCTGGTCAATCGATTCATCTTACAACGTGAAGTAATATTCGAGGTCAGAGAAGGGTGCAGAGGCCGAATTGGAACGAGCGAAAATGTGGTCCACTCACATGGTCCCAGCCATTACCGATTTCGATGCCCAAGAATCGAGTGGTGCATTCATCATTTTCCAAGACGGCAAAGGTCGCGTACCTAGCTTGAAACCTGCCAGCGTTGACTTGGTTGGAATCAGCATTCGCTCGTCCCACGTGCTAGGCAATCGCAGGAAAAAATCACTCACGGCTCAATGACCTGCGCCGCTTTCCGGACTCCATCCAGCAGTGCCTGCCGTTGGTTTGTCATCAACATCAACGGCCTAGAAAGACTCAAGTGTAGCTCGTCTTGCTTCTTCTCTTCCTTCTGTGCCGAAGACGAAGCGGATAGGCCAGGCTTGCCCGCGAGGTACGACTCCGATAAGAGTGGGACGATGCTCTCACGGGAGACGGCAGATTCGTTGCTCGCGGCGGTGGCCAGTGTTCGACTCCGAGCGATGCAACGTTGGATAATGCGCTTGAGAGGTTCTGTAGCTTGGACTGACAGTCCATGTAGAGGGGCAAGACTATGTCAGCACTCCTTCACAGAGGCAGCGGCCCAGGGATGTCTCGACCTACTGGTGATGAACACGTGCGAAGGCCATTGCCCCGGAACGTGTGGATAAATACGCGTTCGAAGAGCTTGTTGTTGAGGTGCAGCTTTTTGAGCTGTGAGGAAGTGGACATTGCAGAGACAAGATGTGCGCGATCGTCGACTGGACCATCAGCCCAACTTGATTTACAGGGGCCGGTTCCAGTCGGGCGAAGTGGTAGCTCACCAGTGGTCCCATCCGATTCGATCAACGTGGCTGGGTCGACAGATGTCCTGGAAAGTTTGTCTTTCGGTTCGTCATCGAAATCGATTCGCGGCAGTTTCCTGTCCGGCGTGGATTTGCAGCACCCAAGTTCGTGTCCGACGTGTACAGCCACCAAAGTCAGCGCTTCTAGATCCAGCCTGCTCTCCTCTGTTGCGGCGATATAGCGAGGGTACTGGAGGACTACGATTCAACCCACCTCTTGATGGCCATCGAACCCCGACACCCGGCGCCCTGCGACTCGACGACGGACGTGTAGAGAGAGTGCCAGCTCACGGCGTCGCGCGAGACGGACCGACACGCCGAATCAACTCACGTGACTTGGAAGGCCTGGGCGGTGGAAAGCTCCGAGTCGGCACTGCAGCAGGCACTCGGGGCCGCTGTCAGCCTGTCAGATCCGCAGCCTCTGTAAGCCTAACATAAGTACCAGACACATAAGCTGACAAAGCTCTTACGAGACATTTCACCGACCTTGGTTTGGAATTCCGTGACAGCGAGCAATCGGAGCGAGCAGCTGAGGTACTACTAACTAGTAGACTTATTTTAGTAGTAGGGCCGCGGGTGCAGCGTGCAGCTCGAACCTGGGGCTGAATTTTCGTACTTGTACCGCGATCTTTGACAACTCGACTCGAATGAGTGCACTACATCTTGAATATGAGTACAGCTGCTTTTGTCTTCGTATACACCTGCTTACTTTTTACCGAGATGCACGAGGCGAGGCTGCTAGTAGGCGCTACTATTAGTCTCCGCCCACTACTATAGGCTCCGAGCGTGACTCCGTTCGCTAGACCATCGACTCCTCTTGTCCTCCGTCGCGGTCGCACGAGATGAGCCGCCGCGTTCCTGCGCCGGTCCTGACTCACGCCGGTCTCATGTCGCCCATCTCACCGAGCTCACCCACGTCGTCGTCGTCGCTGAGCAACACTCGACCGCTGTCGGCCGCTGTCTCGTCGTCGTCGCCCTCGGCGTCAACCTCAATGTCAGCCTCGCCGCCGTCGTCCGCCACGCCGTCTTCCGCAGCATCGGAACCACCAGCGGCGGAGGTGCGATTGACCCCCAGCTCGGAAGGAGGTGCCAAGGAGCCGACACTGCTGTCGACACTGTCCGCCAACGATGAGGAGTCGTTGCTGTGCCTGTGTGTCGCGCAGGACGATGCGAACGTTGCCAGTGTCGGTGTCGGTGGGGGTGCTCGAGCAGGATTGTCATCATCGTCGTCGTCGTCGTCGTCGGGGAGGGTCTATGCAGGAAGTCAGGGTGGATCAATTCATGTACGTCCCACTCGATGGGTCGTTCCACCGAGCGAGCTGATCCGACTGACTCCAGCTGCCCCCCACTACAGGTGTGGAGCTTGGCCTCACTCAGTAGGATCGCTCGGCTTTCCGGTCACACCGGTGCCGTGTTGGCCCTCGAAACCGTAAACGAGAACGGATGGCTCATCAGTGCTAGTGGTCAGTCACCTCACCTCGCCCCATCACCCAACTGTCCGCACGTCCGCTCAGGTCTCTCTGCCGATCCCGGCCAGCGCTGATCGTGTTGCTGCACAATACAGGTGATGGCACAATCAGGGTCTGGCACACGCCCACGCTCTCGCCCTTGTTCCTCATACACCCGCCCCACGACAACGTCGGCGACATCTTCTCGCTCGTCTACGTACCCGATCGCTTCATCTCCGACGACCCGCCCGACTCGGCCTCGTCCGAGGACCATGGCCACGACCATGAGCAGTCCCCAGCGCACCAGAGAGCCAAATCCATCTGGGAGCACGACGGCAAGCCATCATCGTTCCAGAATGCGCCCGGAAGGGGGCCGAGCAAGGAGAGGAACATTCCAGATAATTCTGCGCAGAATAGCCATGCGCGCGGTGGGGGGCGCCTCTTTGCAGGCTGTCAGGACACCTCCCTCCAAGTCAGTTCTCATCTGTCGGAGAGGACCGCATTCCGAGTAGCTGAAACCCTTTCGTTGCCCTCACTCAGTGGATCGACCTGCCGGCGTTGCCATCGCCAACCCACGCAGCTCCCTCCGACTTCCCCACATCCAGAACTCCGACCCCAGCATTGCCCCCCTACCTCTCCTCCTCCTTCCCCTCCCCAGGTCTCGCATCATCGTCTCCCCCCATCCATCGCGTGCCCAACAAATTCTTTGACAACTACGACCTTAAATCTCGCGCGATCCCCTTGTTGGGCTCACCTGGTCACACCACCCCCATCAGCTCGACGCCGAGAGCCAACACAAGCTCGTCCTCACTGACCGACCTGCAGGGCTTGAGTCTGGCCGCATCCGGCAAGCATGCCGTTACGGCTGGCGCCTCGGGTGCCTTTGTGGCCAACGGTGGCGATGGCTCGATCGACCTGCAGATCAGCGAAGACTGCATCGCCACCTTTGCGCACTACGGCTACATTGTGAGTCGACCACCCTACGCGTGACGGCAGCGGGACTGATCTTTGCTGCTACTCTGGTTCCTTTCGTAGTACTGTCTAACCTCATCTTGCTCAAATGACTCGCCCATCGTCATTTCTGGCTCGGGCGACTCGCTGATTCGACTATGGTCCCCCCATCGATCGTCGCTCTCGCTTATCCACACCTTGCATCCGCCACCGTCCGCACCCCCCACCTCCGAAGCCATTCTGTCGTTGGCGACGCACCCTACACTGCCAACCTTATTCGCCGGTCACCAAGGGGGTCTCATCACCATCTGGGACCTCGACACGTTCCAATCGCTGCGCATCCTGACGCCGCATACGTTTGACGTGTTGAGCATGGTATGTCTCGAGCGTGGAGAGCTCTACGCCGGCGATTCAGGGGGAGGTGTGACGCGATGTGACAAGGCCTTCACGGTTGTGCAGCGGTGGCAGGCTGCGGGGGATACGCACGACAGTCGCAGGGAAGGTGCGGTTCTTGGGATGGCACTGACCGATGGGAACCGGCGCGGCAAGGGGAGTGAAGCCGTAGCGGGTAGGAAGAGTCTTTTCACGGGAGGTAACGACCGCTTACTGAAGGTTCGTCGAACCCCAATAGGCTTGAAAGCTTCCTTGATTGATGTCGGCTTCTTGGGCCCGCCCACTCTTCAGGTTTGGGACTTGGTCGAGCCACCGGAGCTGACGAAGGAACAGGAAGCTGCTCAAAGTGACAAAGGCTTCCAAGGTGAGCAGAGAGGTGTGCTCAACATAGCTATAGCTAGACCTGCTGCTTACGCCGAAGGTTCAACGCTGATACCGACTACAGGCGAGCTTTTCCACCTGCTGTCGCGCTTCGTTGCCTACAAGTCCATCGCATCGCTGCCCAAGCTCCACGCCGAGGAGTGCCGACAAACGGCTCTGTACCTCAAGCGAGTGTTGCGCTCGTTCGGAGCCAGTGTCGCACAGGTCATCCCGAATGAGGTCGAGGGCAAGAACCCGTTCGTCTTTGCCCAGTTCTTGGCGAATGCGCTTCCCAAGGTCGACTCGGCGGGTGCGCCAATTCTCAAGCGCAAGCGTGTTCTGTTCTACGGGCACTATGATGTGGTCGCGGCGGACGAGGAGAAGGAGGGATGGACACATGACCCGTGGAAGCTCACGGGGAAAGATGGCTGGCTTTATGGGCGGGGAGTCACGGATAACAAGGTGCAGGAGCATTGTCGCAATATGAGGAGTGACGTGAAGTTGACTCCCCCTGTTTTCCTTCAGGGCCCAATCCTTGCGATCGCCTCGGCCGCATCGTCGCTGCAACTGTCTCAATCCCTCCCGGTCGATCTCGTCATGATCCTCGAAGGCGAGGAAGAGACCGGGTCAGCTGGATTCCAGGAAGTGATCCGCAAGCACCGCTCCTTGATCGGGGACATCGATGTGATCCTCGTATCTAACTCTTATTGGATCGGCGAGGATATCCCTTGCGTGACATTCGGATTGCGAGGAGTCATTCATGCCAGTCTCAAGGTACGTCCTAACTCGCTCTGCATTTCGGACCCTTATTGCTGGTTGGTAAATGGGGCACTGACGACTTGACCCCATGTTCTCATGCAGATATCCTCGGATCAGCCGGATCTTCATTCGGGCATCTCGGGGGGAGTCGTCTCAGAGCCGCTGGTCGACATGGTCCGGATTCTCTCCACGTTGACCTCGCCAACGGGCCAAATTCTTATTCCCAATTTCAATGCATCCGTGCGCGCGCTAGCGCCGGCTGAGGATGCACTCTACGACCGCATCATTGACCGCTGCTCACCGTTACTGCTGACCAAAGGCTCCCACGAACTCGACCCAAAGAAATCGTTGATCGACCGATGGCGGCACCCTGCTCTTTCAATTCACGCCGTCACTACGAGTTCCCCTTCCAAGGCGCTGATCCCCAGTAGCGCCGAGAGCAAACTCTCGATCCGCATCGTGCCTGATCAATCTCTGGAGGAGGTCATTGAGAGCTTGAAGCGACATTTGCAGGATGCTTTCGCTCGATTACGGACCCATAACCGGCTTCAAGTGAGCGTAACGACCCATTCACGGGCTGCCGCCTCCTTCGCTCTCACTCACTCAACTTTTTTGTATGCCGTCTCCTACGAACAGATCGAGATCAACCACACCTCGACCTTCTGGCTCGCGTCACCCCACTCTCCGGCGAACACGCTCCTTGCAGAATGCATTCACGGGGCGTGGGGCATCGAGCCCCTATTTATTCGCGAAGGGGGTTCCATCCCCTCGCTGCCGTTCTTGGAAGCCGAATTCGATGCCGACGCCGTGCACTTTCCCATGGCGACGGGGCAGGCGAATGCTCATCTAGGAGATGAGAAGATCCGGTTCGAACATCTCGAGAAAGGGCGGAGTATTGTGGGTGAATGGCTGAGGAGGTTGGACGCGTAGCTTAATATGGCTCATAAGCAATATTCTGAAAGGCACGAGATTGCTCTCGAGCCTCACTGATTCCGAGTCCAAACAGAAAGGATCAAACGGTGTAATTCGCAGGCGAAGAAAGACTACTAAAAGGACTGAGGTCAAGAGACGCGGCGGCGCCGCGCGCGAGGGCAAGCGTGAGGCCGCAGAGGTTGGCTCGAGGTCGTCGTGAGAAGCGGAGCGGCGCCTTACATATTCATACCCCCGGGCTCACTTAAATCACTCAATGCTCGAGCCCACGACGACGGCGCGAACTCTAGTTGCCGATTCGGTTCTGATCTCATCAACCAGTGATACCGACTCATTTCGGCATCAATCTTCCTGGCGCATGCGTCCTGTGCACGCTTCAATCTCTTGGCAATCCGATCGCTCACGCTTGGCGACGCATCGAGCCTCGGATCGATGAAGCTTGCTGCTTCTTTAAGCAAGCAAATTTTTCTTTTGCTCTCCCTCCAGCGCACCCCGCCCGCCCGGGCTGAAGTACGAGGTTCCACGACCTAAGCTCTACTAATTCAACCAACAATTTGATATTACATCGAAGCCTTAACCGCAGCTGCCCGAGCTCCAAAGACAAACAACGAGAGCGTCTAGTACCCCGAAAAGACCAACAACAAAGACGTTTAGTACCCCGATGGCTTGCCTCTCTGACCGTTTTGCCCGATGTAGAAGATTTGCTCTATGCACCGAGCACCGAGGCGAAGCGCCTCTTTACCTGGTGACCGTTTGCTCGCGTCCTGGCATCCTCCGAGCACGCTCAGCGAAAAGCCACTCGGCGCATGCGTCAAGGTGGTGGGATCGAACGTAGAGATTCGTTGGAGTACGCATGACTTGGTGGCCGTCGAATAATACGCTATTCTCTCCGATGCTATTCTCGAGAAGGCGATGCACTTGGTATAGGTGGTCGAGGGGATCACGTAGGCGGTCTCGAAGCTTTGGCCCAAGCCGAGTTTTCCGTGGCCAATTAGGGGTCGAAACCGTCGCCCTTCGGACCCAAATCTCGAGAGCGTGTATTGCTGCAAACACGTTCGAGAGCTTTCGGCAGGGAGACCATATCCCTTTCGACACGTCAATGATGTGTCTACCTCGCTACACGAAGTAGCGAACGGATCCGTGCAGCATGCAGTTCCTGTGCAAGTTCAGGTAATGAGTAAAAGAGCGTCGCTCGGATCAGCACGATCGTCATGACGTCTTTCTTCGGAAGAGGTGTGACAATGAAGTGAACTGACCATCCGACGATGTTGGGCAATTGACGCACGTTCCGTCGAGCATTCGCATTCCCTTGCGGCAGTTGAACAACACTCGTTGACTCGCCGGCCCATCCTCGCTTTCCAGTCTTCGAAAGCATGCTCGTCCTGACCGCAGACACCGCCAGAAAAAGCAGCACACCAAATCAGCAAGCTGACTTGCGGGAAGGCAGCCACACCGAGTCCTCTCTAATTTCACCGTTCTGCGCGACGATTTTGCCGGATGGACACGGCACGGCGCGACAGACCCCGGCGGTCTCCGCGCCGTAGCTGCACGTGATCGAGGTCCCAAACGCGTCGCACGACGCCGCATTCCGATCCGGACACGGTACACAGGAAGCACCTGTAACAGCGCGAGGAAAGATTACATATCGAGGAACGAGGTGGAGGAAGTGAAGATGATCAACTTGGGTTAGGGGCGGTGGGATCGTTGCAAGGTTAGCTTCGCTTCGGACTCCGCGTTGGTCACGTACCATCTCGCGGGGAAACGTAATAGGCGCCCAGGCATACCGTCCTTCGCACGCAATTGCCGTTGTCGAGGTAGCCGTAGTCACTGCGGAGAGCGTTCTTACATCAATTCACGTGGCAGTACCGGTAGAATGCATTCATTGCGGACATGTTGTACGCACCATGAGAGGGCCTCGTCTTCGGTGCACCTCAGGCTATTCCGAAACTTGCCGCTGCACTCGAGGCACCTATTACCTGATTCAAGCGGTAAGCATTGTCATCAGCATACGAGACTGAAAAATAATGATCTCATCGGTGACTTTTTGCTTCCGGCTTACTTGAGGTGCTGAAGTATTGCCCGTCCTTGCATCTGCTATCGGGCGCTCCGGTTGAAAATAGATAGTTGACGCGACCATCAGGCTCGTACCTGAGCGAGCCGACGACTCCGTGCACTAGGACCCCCACGATGACGAGGGATGTCGACAAGGGCGTCATGGTATGACGGCACGTCCGATGGTGGGCCAGCAGTGCGCTAACAGCTGGTAAACTGACAAGGAGATGGCCAGAGGGAGGGAAGTTGGACGCGACCGAATCGGATGGCCAAATGGGGATGGGTACGTACGTATTGATCGGCAGAAGCGGTCCGATTTTTCAAGGGTTAAATGAAAGAAGCGCGGCTGCTCATTGGTCGAATTAGCGCAATTCGCATTCCTGCGGATTATCTTGCGCGTCGGCATTTCGAGTCGCGACGAGTTTCGATTTGGGCACCTGCACCAGTAGCGGTAATTTTGCCTTCTTTGCTACCGGTAGGTAGGCCCTAGTTACGCAAGTGTCTAGGCCCTTGATTCAAGCACTAGGTATCAGGTAGGTACCTGGTAGATGCCGAATGGGTACTCCTCGGAGCTGCCATCGTGGAAGCGACATTTGTCTGGTCCAACTATAATTCCATGGAATCGGCTGAGACAACTCCGAAAGTCCGAGACACGTGGTGGGGCAATGTTGACAGCTTCTTCTTTCGCGTGTCTTGCACATCGTTTTAGCGCAGCCCAAAACGCCGATCGCGACGTGCGCGCGATCCATTGCAGACGGTGCCAGCCCCCGGGGACGCCTGGCCGCTTGGACTGAAGCAGGTTCGGAGCATATTGTGGACTAGTCTGGTGCCGTGCACGGTGCAATATTTAAGTGTGCTTGTTTGGGAACTGCATTCTCGGCCGTCGTAAGCAGTGACCTCTCCCTAGGGTGGTAAGGAGATCCACTGCATCCCCTGTATACTTCGTTCTTTTCGACTCAGATGCTGTAATGAGGGTTAAACGCTCGGACCTTTGCCACTCATGGAGCCTCGAGGCGCAAGAACCTTGGCGCATGTGCTAGGTATGTGGTTAGGGCAACACACTCACGTGAGCCTTTCTTCCTTGCCCTCAAAAGCGTGACTGGCATGCATGCGCACCTACCTACGTGAGCACGGTCCTCGTAAAGTCACGTAGGAATTTCTTGCACCGGCCGGATCGAGAGCCGCGCCGCTGGCAGTCCGGCGAACACGTCGCACGTCGCTCTGCAAATTGCTGCAGGCGGACATTACCAGGCCGAACTCGGCGACTTGAGCGGCTTTGCTTATGATCCACTCCCACTTCATCATTGATCAAGCGGGTCATTGAATGCCTGGAGTCAGATTGAAACCCGCCTTCCGGATGTGTCTCGCGGCGCTGGGGTCATCATTGTTACTTCATGTGCGTAAGATGTCCTGTGAGTCCTCAGAGCCCTTGAGAGCCCTCAGCCTCTCTTCAAGTACCCCTGCGTCCGCGCCGCTTACGCCCTCCTCGGTTCCGCACCGTCGACTTTTTCTGGAACCAGCTCGCTGCTCCAGCACTGCCACCCTCTGCCAAGGGTCAGTTGGTCCTCCAACATTGGATCCTCATCCAAACGATCCGTCGCTCACTCAGCAGTCTCCTTCCTCAGCAGGAACTTACAGCAGCCCGCTGCTTTTCCAGAAACCCTACAGGAGAGGGTAGAGATCGTACAGAGAGGTCGCGAAGAACTACTGCACGGCAAGTGAACAATAAGTACGCGTCGTCGATGTTTCGCTTCGGTGCCCCCGGCCGCTGCCGTATGCTTGCCGTTCGACAACGGGTCTGTGCTCTTGGCGAATTTTCTGACCCGCGTAGCTGCATCATCTTGTCATCTGTATCTTCCATGTCATGTGCACCGGTTATGGACCTGATTCGCAGACGACCAAGCCCAGCTGAAGGGTCCGCTCGGTCACGGTAGATTCACTGGCGGGAGGCCATGGAGTGGCAAAAGTCTGCGAGTCGCCTATAAGGGTCGTTCTTCGCTCTCGCCAAATCCATTTTTAGGCCAAAATTAACAGTTACTTGTGAGCGCTTATTTTGTTCTCGAGAATTTGTGTGTTTCATGGCATTATAAGCCGACTGAACTCTCGGCTCGACTTCTACATTTGCCTCGCAGCAGGATGTCGATTGTGAGCCAACTCGATCCCCTGCTCGCGAATGCGCCGCTGCCACCGTACGACATCTTGATCGGCACGATGGACCGCAACGAAAGGTCCGACTTTGAGAGACGTCGATACATGAGAGCGCTTAAAACTGCCGATCAACGAGCTCGGATGTGTCACGCTGGTGCTGCACGAAGACACCGGCAGCTAGGGCCGGCGAACCTCGGTCGGTCAACGTCTTCATGAGCGAGTGGATACATCGCGCCAAATGGCTTTTTCTCCTCGACATCGACGAGTACGTGGCACCCTACCAGGCCCTGGTCGCGGCTGCACGGGCTCTCGGCCACGACGAGAACCCCTTACGGCCTGGTTCGAGAGCGAGTACGGCAACGTGGGGTGTCTGGCGATACCCCGGCTCTGCTCACCTCCGATGGCCACTAATCAGGACCCCATCAAGGAGTGAGGCAAGCCCACGCCGAGGCAAGGGCTGTCCATCACAACTCCCTCGTCCCCAAGCTCATAGTACTCTGGGCTAGGCTTGTTATCGACTGGAAGGTCACATCCACAAAGCCACGTTCTCAGACAACCGGGAACTGGTCGAACTATTGCGCAAGAAGGGCGAGAATGTCATCAAACTGGAGGCGAATTGACCTTTTCATATCCACCACTACTGGACAAAGTCGTGGGACGGATGTGCCTGATAGACTCATGCACGCGTTGGCCATTCTCGTGCTCGGTCTGCACCCCTGTTTCGATTCGCAAACCGCTCAGTGCACTTTGCAAGCCTCAGCTTGATCTGACAGATAACCTGTGGTGAAGGACAAGGTAGTTGCCCGCCACAGATCTACACAGGAGGCCCACAGCAGTTAAGTGGCCCAGGGTTCGACTCTGTTTTGACGAGTCTACCTGGCGAGGTAAGCGGCCCTCGGCGCCGACCACAGCAGGGTTTTTCTTTTTCTCTTTCTGATAGATTCAATAACAGTCTAATTGTATTATGGCCTATGAGTCACCGGAAAAGTCGGAGAAGATGCATTGAAGCACACTGGCTAGGCCAAGGGGCACCCGATCAGGGAACAAAATGAGGAGCCTGATTTTAACAGTTGCTCATGACCGCGCCGCGTGTAGTCCGATCGGCGCGTTGGCCGAGTTCATCAGCGGACGGTCGCATGGCGCCGCGAGGCAGGCCTAACAGCTTGCGCCCGCGCCCTCCTGCGCCTGCCCCGGCCTGCCCCGGCCGCCTCTGCCCGCGCACGCCGGACGCGACGGTTTGTTGCGTCTGTCTCCCGTCCCCGGGTGTCCGAAGTGAAAGCCAGCCCTGCACTCGCTGCAACTGCTAGTCGTGATGTCCGCGATGGAGCAGGCAACTGCACGGGCAGGTTCACCTTCGACGGTGGCCTCAAGCAGCCATGCTGAATACTGCCGTGCGCTGCACGACTTCTCGCCACAACAGCCGTCGACTTGTCTCGCCTTCTCCAAAGGCGAGGTGATCCGCATCTTCGGCAAGGACCAGTCCGGTTGGTGGGACGGCGAGCTCAGAGGCACACGCGGCTGGTTCCCAAGCAACTATGTTCAAGTTCAAATCGCCCCCAATACGATTTCGTCCACGGTAGTCGCATCGCCTGCCACTGTCGACCGGCGCGTGAGTCTCTCGATCCTTGCCCAGCCATCACCAGCCATCGCCGTGCGCGCTGTGACCTCGTGTGGACATGGGCTCGAACTTGGAGCGACACCGACAGCGCACGTCGCCAAGTTCGCAAAACAATGTGCTTACCTTTGTTGTCTCCTACAGACCACGCCCAAACTCCCACCAAAGGAAGAACAGTCTGTCGCCGATGGGTCGCGCTCAAATTCCTCGGTAGCATTGGGCCACCGGGACACCGGCTCCCGCGAAAGTCTCGGCCCCCGCGGCTTTGCGACGACCGCGTTCCCTGAGCGGGGGAGCACGATCGATACGGTCGCGACAACCGAGCCGATAGCAGGTCCTACAACAAGCACCTCTCAGAAACTGGAACAACGCGCGACCGCATTTGAACGCGAATCTCAAGCGCTCGTCGCAGAATTGCAGCATGCGGTCACCCTGGTGCAAGCTGCTGTCAACGCTCAGAGAGTGCCTCACTACCAACCGACGACAGCATGGTGAGCTGGCCTTGAGTCAGGTGTTTTGATTGTCTCGTCCCTCAGACTTTTCTGACACGTATGATATGTATGCATGTCACTCCCAGTGTGATTTCATCTGTGCGCACCGTGCTTGCCTCGTCCGACTGCCTCACGCGCGAGTCGCCTTTCTTGAAACGCTCGTCGGCCCTCGCTACGTGCCGCAAGAAGATCCTGGCCTCCCTGGCCAGTCTTGTCAACCAATCTCGCAGGGCCTCGTCGCCCTCTACAACAATCGAACAGTCGTCCCTTGACGCGCAGGTCATGCTCGACGTGGCTCGGCAGGTCGCCGAGCAGGTCGACAACTTCCTCGATGAGGCGAGAGTGCAGGGATTGCCCCTGATTCCTACCGAACGCCTGGTCGACGATCGTAGAGGCTCCCCGCATATGATTACGCCACCCCTGAGCGCTTCGAACCCCCTCGAAGCCCCTCCGATGAGGGTAACCAAGTCGGCGCCGCTGTCGACACTGCGCATCGCGAGAAGCAATGGAGATCTGAAGGCACACAGAGCGGTGCAACCGCCGACTCCCTTACAACTCTCGCCCATCAAGGACTTTCCATCCGCAGGACAGTCATTCTTGAACATCGAAACGAGTCCGACAGATTTGGACGTACAATCACCCAGCTCGACGGTCCAGGTAGTCCACAACGCCAACGAGCTGGCATCCATCTTATCCAAGATCCACGATATACTCCTCTCGACAATCGCCGCGTTCATTGGGCACGTCCATGCGCACAGTCGATCTGCACCTGCCGCTAGCTTCGCTCGCCTGATCGACATGACCCGCGAGATCATTGAGCACATCCGATCCATCTTGCTCATCGTCGAAGCTGTCACCCAGCACCCGACTCTCTTGACCGTCAAATTGGACCAGTCCTTCGCTTCATCGAATGGGCTGAAAGCCGAAGTTGACAATTTGGCCGCATGTCGAGATCGGCTATATGTTGCCACGACCGCATTGGTCACTGCTGCTCGAGTCGCCTCTTCGGCTCCCGCCAAAGCCACATCCGCGAAGATTTTGGCGATCTCCCGAGAGGACGAGGAGCGAAAAGATTTATTGCAAGCTGCCACGGCCGTGCTGCGCGCGGGAGGTGACACCGTAAGCGCGGTCAGACTTTGCGTTGGATACGCCGGAGAGCCAAATTTCACTCTCCTAATCGGAAATCCACCGCCGACCTCGCCAACCGCCCTTTCCAGCCCGACCACTCTGACTCCGCCCACAGGCCCTGGTGACGGAGCAACCCGACGGCCGGAAGTCGTTGGTCGTAGAGGGCCGCACACGCTCAGCATGCTGGGACGAAAGGCGACAAGTTTGAGCTGCTTGAGGGAGCAATACGACTCACGAACTGTGACCGGAACTTTGGAGAGATTCTCGGTGGAAGAAGAGGATGAGACAGTGGCATATGGGCGTGATGGCGAGCACGTAGAAGCCCGTGTTTCGGGGCTCACGGTTGGTGGTATTGCTCGGGGGCGGGCAAGGAAGGAGAGTGCTTCTTCGGGCGATGAGACTGTCACCTCAAAGGATCTCGTAGGCCCCCGGGGTCCACAACAAGCCGGTGAAACCTACTTGGCAGCCGCTGGAATGGGGGCAGGGAGTCCGCCCATGGTTCGCGGCGACTCGAGTCGCACTTCCAAGTCGGGCGCGTCTTCGAGGTCCGGAGTCTCCACCGTCTCGACAAACGACAGCTCGCCTCGATCCTCGACTAGCACCGCACACACTGAACCCTCTTCCACCTTGGCCAAGGCTGGAGCCTCGATCGAATCCTTCGCCCCAATGTCGCTGGGCCTGGGCGGTAGCAGCCGGATCTCCGTCCATAGCTCCTCGGGAAAGTCGAGCTCGGACCAGTCGACAACCCTATGGTTCCTCGAGCGAAACTACGAGGCGCGCGAAATCTCTTTTAACGCCGATGGTCGCGTCACAGGCGGTACCTTGCGCTGCCTTGTCGAGCGAATGACCTTGCATGACACAACTATCGATCCGCTGTTTTCAAACACGTTCTTTCTCACCTTCCGCATGTTTACTTCGCCACCTCAGCTTGTTCAAGCCTTGTTCGCGCGGTTCGACATCGTCGCCCCCCAGGGTCTCGACGAGACCCAGCTCAAGTTGTGGAACTCGAAGAAGCTCATTCCTGTCCGGCTGCGTGTCTACAATTTCCTGAAGACGTGGGTCGAGTTGTACTGGAAAGCCGACCAAGATCTCATTGTCTTGGAGCCGTTGCGACTCTTCTGTCAGACGCGCTTAGCCAAAGCCATGTCCAACCCGTCGGCCCGGCTGATGGAGCTGCTCAACAAACGAGAGCGGGGGACGGATGTTGTGCGTTCGAGTACGCCCGGAGGAGTTGGGCCCTTGCCTCAACAAGCGCTCGCGGGCGCCCCTTCGCCCATCGTGAATAAGTCGCTATTGAACTCTATCAAGTTTATGGCTGTGAACGCGCAAACCTTTTCGATTGTTGATGTCGATCCGCTGGAGTTGACGAGGCAGATAACCATCCTCGAGTCGCGGGTTTACTCCTGCATTGGAGTAGAGGAGCTCCTGAGTGGCGACTTCGCCAAGCCCGACGGCTTTATTCGACAAATGTCGACGATGAGCACCAAATTGACGGGATGGATCACGGAAACGATTGTCAACGAAAGCGAATCCAAGAAACGTACGGCATTGCTCAAATATTTCGTAAAGGTGGCAGATGTGAGTTTTGATAACGTACTTCGGTCAATGCAGCCAAAGCGCAAACGAAGCAGCCACTGATAGCCAAGCTGTCGTTTCCCCAGAGATGCTTTCAAATCAAGAACTACAACGCTCTTTTTGCGGTCTTGTGCGCGCTTAATTCATCGACCGTAGCACGTCTCCGGCGCACCTGGGATGCGCTCGCCCCCAAGTATCGCGTCCTGCTCGACCAATTGCGGAAGGCAACGGACCACGGAAGGAACTATGCAGAGTATCGCGCTACCATCCGACAGGCTGTACCTCCTTGCCTGCCATTCGTGGGACTGTTCTTGTACGTGAACTCGGGCCAGCGGATCCTTCATCACTTCGCTTACGAGGACAGCTTTTTTGCCCCCCCCCCCCCAGGACCGACATCACTATGTGCTCCGAAGGAAATCCACCTTTCCGACCTTCCCCTCTGGACTCATCGCTTCGCTTGATCAATTTTGACCGCTTTCAAGTGAGTCCGATTCCAGGTCGACCGCACTTTCGCCCGAGCTGAGGGCTGATGCATTGAGCTTGCTTCCACAGAAAATGAGCAGAATCGTGGGCGACCTGCAGCGGTTCCAAGTCCCTTACAATTTTGTCATGGTGCCCGAGCTGCAGACACTGCTTACCCGGGCACTGAATGACCTCACGCACGGTGGCGACGCCGCCAGTTTGTGTGAGTTTGTGCACCCCTCGGACCTGCCACCAAGTAATCACTGGCTGAACTTCAGCGCTTTTGGTGTTCACAGACCGACAATCCCTTCTCGTCGAGCCCCGGGATGTTCAATGTTCCGCCTCTTCAGCCATATCCGGCAGCAGCCTGAGCAAGGGTTCTGATCTGTTCAACTGGAAATGATGACTCGTGCTGCGCAGCTGATGCCCCCAACCCCATACCATACTAGGATTCACGTGTAACCCTGTCCGTGTAGTATTTTGGACTTTCATCTCATAGCTCTGTTGTTGCACTACTTATCTATTTTCCTTTGCGGTCACCGCATATGCTCTCTTTTTCGGCTTCCCGAGAGTACTCATGCGTCGTACAGAGAAACCACCCATCGATACGTTCAATGCAGCCTCGACATGCCTTCTACGATCCTCATCAGCTCGTCGCTGGTCATCGTGATTCGCTCGTGCTCACTCCCACCGGCCATGATCCGCTCCACTTGGCTTGTGGAGACCGTGAGGAAACGCTCGATAAAGTCGCCGTCAATGAAGCCGGCCGAAGTGGCGACCTGGCGTTCGGATCGGAATGCGCGCCAGCTTCGGGGTTCCAAAAGTGAAACGTCAGCTGATGCGGCTCGCGTTGACTCTAGCATCGAGGAATGCACTGACTCTTCTTGGCGCAGTTCGCCTACACTGTCCATGACGCGTCGCATGTTGCGCTCCAGCTCCGAAAGGACCTTCGATGTCTCGGTACCGATGTCCAGGATCGCGCCGACCGAGCCGGCCGAGGTCGTAAATACAAGGCGAGGTGTAGCCACGCCGGCGAGGGCCTCGTCGAATTGGTGGACCAGCGCGCCTAAAGAAGCGTTTTGGTCAGCTCCGAGTGTATGAGGAATGTAGTACACATGTGCCCGATTTCCAACTCACCAGAGTTGAAACTCGTGACCAGTTCACCTAGGTGGAATCTCCCCTGGTCGACCAACTCGACCTCGGCTTGACCGGTTCGAGAGTTGTGCGTTTGATCCTTTGCGACCGTGAACAGATTGAGATCGCTTTCTGCGCCAACAAATTCTTTCGAAGTAGGCGACACCGGGGCAAAAGCGGTTACGTAATGTGGCGAATAGTCTCGAGCAACTTCGACGAGTCGGGAAGACCCAGCGGAACCGTTCTGCGATTTCCTTTCGAGCTGAAGCAGAGTAAGAGATCGAAGAGCGTCGCCAACCAGGATTTGGTCGTCCGCGAGGGAGACGAGGGAGAACGCAACGTAGGCACCACCCCACGTCGCTATGGGCTGGATAGCTTGCCAATCTTGACCGACACCGTATACAGTGACCTAATTGTAATTGTGCGCAAGTTGAGAAGGCGAGCGAATCAGGCGCTTTCCCGAGTGAGCAGCGAACTGAGGCAAACTGACAGAGGAATTGATCGCCGCCACAAAGGTGAGGGAGTCCACAGCAGCGAGCGAGTACGTCGACCCAGAGACGGAAACCTCCGCAGCGATCGAGTAGCCCGAGTCGGTCGCAGCGTCCCGCGAGATCAACAGGATACGGCCCGAGCTCGGCTCTGCCTCTGCGGCACGGATCAAAGCCGTTCCGAGAATGAAGCACGTCCGATCATTTTCGCCATCGTCAAGGACGGCGAGACTTTGTGCTTCCTCGTCGGGGTGTAGAGATATTGAGGCAAGCACTGCATGAGACAGAAAGAAAGGAAGAATCGCACTGAGAGCATCAGCAAGTCGAATTATACCCGAATGCGCTCAGGCAAAGTGTCTACCTTCGAAAGTCTCGTCATGGAGCACCTTGAAGCTCGAGGAAGATGTTTGGCGCCCTGTAACTCGATCGACGTCCCTCCGCAAGCAAGCTACGCCGAACGAGCGCGCTCGCACGCTGTGCACAATCTTGCGGGGCTCATCCTCTTCAAGGGAGATCGGACGGATGTCGACATGCTGGACCGACTCGATTCGTCCGAGGCGCACTTCAGAAGGACTTGCGAAAGCAATCGCGCCAGGATATAGAGACGAGTGTAGCTGTACCATGGCAGTGATACCCTGAGAGAGCGGCCACGACGAAAGGAAAATGGGTGAGCATCACAGCTGGTAGCCCAACTCGGTGACACAACTGAACTCACCTTGAGGTTAACACTTGAGTAGCTGAGACGATCACTTTGCCTAGAGATAGCTGTTACACGGTCACTTGAAACAAGAACGCTAGTAGTGGCAGCATCATCGCCGATTATTTGAGTCATCGTCACTGGCTTGGTCCCGAGTCGGGCGGACTTTTGAGATTCGACATCAAAAGTGGCGTCGGCGGAGTTGATGATGAAACTGACAAGGCTACCGTCTCCAAGACCAACGAAAAGGTGTGCCACACTGTCGGCGAAAGTTGCGAGCAAGAGGGATCGCACGAGATAGCCGCCAGCCATCATGTGGGAGGACATTTCGGCCATGGTCGGCAGATCAATCAATTGGACTAGGTTGGACGACCACAACGCAACGACAGCGACCGATCGAGTACCAAGTCGAGCGAGCGAGATAGCGGCAACATCGCTCGCAAGCTTGAGGGATGCCACATGCGATACCTTTCCTTCGCCTACATCCAAAAGCTCGATCTCGCCTCCTTGTAAAGCGAGCAAAACATGGTTGCCATCGGCTTCAGCGAGGGTGATCTGCAGTCCATGTGCAGGTCGCCACTCGACTTTCGTAGGAGCCGCAGATGTGACCTCTGCCGAAACAGAAACGACTTCAGATGCTGTGACCTGAACGAGATGGTTGCCCGACGTATGGGCGAGCAATGTCTGTACGTCCGAGCGTATGCCAGGAATCTGAACCTCGGCGATACCTTCGTCCCCATCACCGGTCCTCGATTGGTCGGGGTCCAGAATCTGCGTCTCGTTAAAGAGCGACATCACCAGCAGCCCACCATAGGCACTTGAAACAGTGTCGACCATATGGCGGCATCAGTCTAAGTTGTCGTCCCACTCTGCTGAATGGCCTCGATTGAAGACTAACCTGGCATCATTCTTGACTGCCCACATGCGTTGCACATTCTCGAGCGCAAGACCTGCCATTTCCACCACCTGCACGAGTAAAGTATGTAAATGACCATCGGAAAGATCAGGGACTGCTTTGTGATGTTGTGACGGGACACCTTGACTTCACCGTGCGCATCACTTACACCAGCGCCTTGACGAACAACTCTCAAGCTTCCTCCTTTGTATGCTCCTGAACAGGTAACGAGATGACTCGATGCGCCGCTTTGACCACGCACGACACAGCTATCCGTGATAGGCGCCAGACTCGGGTAGCTTGCGACGAGCTCCAGCTCGTCATTCGGACTCGAAGGCAGCAAGCGGATCAGCTGGGAATCTCCGAAGCGTGAAGCGAGGTATAGGATCTCATCGGCGAGGCAGACGAGGGCGGTCGGCGAGGAGGCCTTTGGAAGTGGAACATCTGGCTCAGTAACAGGAATGATGTGGTTCAGGGCACACTAGACACTTACATCTCCGAGGTCGTGCGTAAGCAAGGACTGCACTCGACCAGCAGAATCGCCACGAACATCGAGTCGCAGCAGCTTGCCATATATGTCACCGAGCAGGTATTGGCCTTGCTGACCAGGAAGCAAAGTCCAACTGTTCCAAAGAAGCCAAGAAAAGTGGTGGGTAAGCACGCACCACCGAGATATCGTTTGTCGGACTCACGCTTTGACATTGCCGACAGGCAGTGCACACTTGATAATTCGTTTGGGGCTGCTACCCACTTCCTTCGCTTTCCCCTTGCCTCGTACATCCAACGGCACCTGAGGAACCCACTCGATACTCTGTTCGCCTACTACGAGTACGCCATGGTGGCCGTGCGGGATAAGCGTCTCGGCACCTGCATCCTCCACTTCCGTCTCGGGGCCCGGTTCAAGTTCTTTCTCCTCGAGATCGACTTGGAACGACGCGACGGTCTGCTGGCCGTGCGCATCAGAATGCAACACCACGATGTTCGGTGATGAAATGCTATTCATCGCACTTGGGAGCATGACGATCGAGCGGACGTTCAACGCATCGAGTCGCAGGTTGTAGCTTCGCGAGAGATCGAGGGCCAAGTCGGCTGTAAGCGGCGCGTCCGGGAAGCCGACCTTGCTGGACCTTCGGTTCTTGGTGGTCCCACTGGTCGACTTTCCCCCCGCTGACATGAGCGGGATCACGCGCAGTTGCCCATTGTAGGCATGCACGAGGACAAGACGACGATCGGGGTCGACGACGATTCGCTGAAGCTCGGCGCGAGTGGCGAAACGCTCTTGGATTGAAACAGATGAGGTTGTGACGGGGTGCTGAGGTGTTTTGGAAGCGTATTCAAGAGTGAAAAGCTGATGCGAGGTAGTCAGGACGATCAAACTTGACGGTTTGTCAATCTGGCGACGTCAAAAAAGTTGTGCGGGGTGGGGAGGAAGGCCACGCGTGGTGACAGCGCAAAGGGGTACAGTATGGCACCGGAAAGATACGGGAAGAGAAAAAAAAAGCTCTGCTCGTCAGCAATGATCGCTCTGCCCTCTGCACATCGGCCTCAACGGCGACGATGGTGCGACGTACGGCGAGTTTGACGGTGGCGATCGCAGCAATCGTCGCGTCCAACTGCACGTCGAACGACGAATGCAGCACCCCGTCCGAGTCGGTGCCATCCAAGTCGATTTTGGAGACTTGGATTCGGTTCAGTTTGCTGTAGCAGAGGGGTGGTGTCGATGCAGAGTGTCGGCGCGCGGTGCAGCCGGTCGATCGTCAGCACCCGATCGACCGCGCCGGACGACCACGTGGAGAGGAGGAACTGACCTTACTAGCAGACAATCGACATTGGTCTGGATCCAGTCTGCTTTGATCGCATCGAGTTGCGCCGTCGCTCGCTGGATCGATGCGACGTACAACATGGTCCGCGGCGTCTCACCGAGTCAGACTGCACAGGCGGAGCACGATCGAGAGTCCAAGTGGGGCTCAGCCTCGGCTCACCACACTGCACCCGGACTCAGCCACCAGAATTAGAACGTCAGGATCTGCTGCGGCGAACATGTTTGGATCGGTGTCCCCGATCATTTCCGTAGGATTTTTCTTCTGTCAGAGTCTCTTGTTTGGAAGCAGATCCCCTACATGTCCGTTGTCTTCGGAACAGACTCCGAGTCGAGTGTCCGGCCCGAATTGAAGCTGGCACTTGGACACACACTTTACTTCAGCCACCGGGCTAATGATGCAATTCCGGAACGGATGCGCCGGAACGAATGCGCCGGAACGAATGCGACTCGCGCCGAGCTCCCCCGCGCCTGGATCAGCACTGGATTAGCCAGCCACTACAAGCCAAGCGCTGGAGCTTGCAGCAGGAGGCAGCAGGCACTCAGCAGGCCGGAGCTGGCAGGAGCCCACAAGAGCCCACAGGTAGCCCAGCCCACACCTGTCCACACGCCTCGGTTGCCAGCACCCTCCTCCACCCTACGGTCCCTATCACCCTCGGCCACCCGTCAACCAGTGCTATCTCTTCGGCGCCATGTCGGTCCAACTCCAGCCTTCGTCGCAACTGGGCTTCCAACGTTAGTCCAGTTTGCTTCTCCATCTCGTGCCTCGTACGGGCAAAACGACGAGCGACGCGCGCGACGTGGTGACGACCGGTCGCAACGGCGTGCTGAGCTCATCGAGGCGCGTGGGCCAGGGCCGGACCAGGCCAGGCCACCAGCCAGACCAGCCAAGCCGAGCGACCCATTCAGCGATGGTCCTGCTTCAACGCCAAGCCACGCTCACTGACACCTACTCTTTGCCTCTCATCAGGCCCGTTGACTCAATTGGTCAAGCGCACGCTCTCGGTCACCAACTCCAACTCGCAGCCGATCGCGTACAAGGTCAAGACGACCGCGCCCAAGCAGTACTGCGTCAGGCCCAACAGCGGCAGGATCGAGCCGGGCGAGACCGTCGAGGTGCAAGGTCAGTGGCTGGCGAATCACGTTCAGCACCCCAAACACCTCGAATCGACGCGTACGGTGGTCGGGGTTGCCGCCGAGGCCCAATCGAGCGCGGTTGAGCCGAGCCTCCGTCTGGGTGGCCATCGACCATTCCCGCTTCTCGTGTGGGGTCGCCGCCGATTCACAAAAGGGGCCGGGATGTGGCGGGTGCAACCTCTCTCGTTCGCCGTGCAGCTCCGAGTCGCCGCTCGCGCTTGCCTCGGCCCTGTACCAGCTGGCAAGGGCAACTGCAATCGCTTCATGTGACTGTGACTTGCACCCCGTTACACTCTGCGTCGTTCCGACATGATCATCACCGGTAGCGCTCCCGAAGTCAACGCGACCTGACAAACCTTTCCTCTCTTCTTCCATTCATTCCTGTCAACATTCGCAGTCCTGCTGCAACCGATGAAGGAAGATCCTGCTCCGGGAACAAAGTGCCGCGACAAGTTCCTCGTCCAGTCCGTCATCGTCACCCCGGACAAGGAGACCGCAGCTCTGCCAGACCTGGTGCGCCTCATCTCCCGATGCTCAGGACTGGAAGAGCCGAAAGCTGACTCGCCAGACGTCGGCTCTCTTTTGCAAACGACAGTGGGCTGCGGTCGAGAAAGAGGACAAAACGAGTGATCGGAGCATCATCCACGAGCAAAAAATACGTTGCATCTATCTGCCCGCCGCCGACGAAGGAGCAGCGAACGGGACCATACCTGAAGAAGAGGTCGGTGGCCTTCTTTGCCGCATTGACGGAGCACAATTCGTCTTACGTCGCTGATTGACTTCGCGTGACTTTCGCATCGCATCGTGATACACAGAGTACCAGCACAAAATCACCCAAGGCAGGCTTCGCCGATGACGCCTCGGCAGAAGCCCCGTCGTCTACTCGAGTCGTTGAGCCGGATTCTAAGCCCGCGGGGGGCCAACCCACGTCCGCGACGACCTCAAGCTCGAACGGCGCCAGCGAATTGACCAGAACCGCCGGAGGTGCCGTTGTAGGCGCAGTAGCGGCCGTGAGTCTCAGCGGTGCCGCCAAGTCGATCGCTCACGCCACAGGGGCCGCCGAGCCCAAGCGATCCGACACTGGCGCAGCAATTGTGACAAGTGACTCGAACAGCAGTGCTCAGGTCGAGAAACTTCAGAGCGAGCTAGCGAGTGCGCAGGCCGAAATCGCGCGGTTGAAGGAGCACCTCGCTTTGGCCGAAACAAATTCTGCGACACTTCGATCTCGCGGAGTCGGAGCCGCGGACAAGGGTAGGACAGAGTCGGGCGCCGGCCAAGCTGTTGCGACGGACGCGCCGGTCGAGCACGAAGGAATCCCATTCCAGGTCGTTGCCGGACTCGTGGTCGGGACGTTCGTCATTACGTGGTTAGTGCATCAAGCCTGTAGCGTCCGTCTCTCTAGTCAACTCGCTGATCACCGGCGCCACCTACTCTGTTCAGGCTATTCTTCTGAATCTGAGGAAGGTCATGTTCGCTCCACCCGACCCGACCCACCAACGCAATTCTTTTGCACTGGATTCTCATTCATTTCTCTATTTGCCCATCGTCTGGCCGCTCGTGTATTCCTTTCATGAAATGTTTAGGTCCCTCGCCGTCGTGATCTTCGATCTTCGTTCGCCGAGCGAGAGCAGCCTTCCTGGGCATCGGAGACCTCTCAGAAATGACTGGGTCCGGCACGAATCCGTTCAGTGGTGGGGATACACATGACAAGAAGGCGAAAGAAGCAACGACAGAAGAGAAGGCAAAACGAAAAACAATCGCATGGGTATGCGTTACGAAGGAGGGAGGGAGATGAGGGGGGTGATGGGAAAGGCTGGCGAAGGGTGGGCAATCCAGAAGGTGTAGGAAGAAGAGGCAGAGGAATATCACAGAGTTTTGGGATGGTTTAGAGTCGAAAGGTGCACAGAGAGAGGGTCGGGGTATGCCTTCGCCCAGGCCAACGAAAGAGCCATGCGTCTTTTGAGTGTGGAAAAGAAAAAATGACTAGATGACCCTCGCACGCTAAGAAGATTTGGGATCCTCCCCTGTGGTCGATGTCATAGATGGTGCCGAGCCCTCGCCGGCCGCCGCGCCATCTTTCGCTGCCTCCGTAGGTTCATCGTCCCGCTCGAGCGAGAGCAGGTGCTCCCTCATCTTTGCCTTCAACGCCTCTTGCAGTGCCATCAGTTCCGACTCGTCGTCGTCGTCGTCGTCTTCGGATCCAAGGGCTTGCAGTCTCGCGCGACTGAGGATCGATGTCGGTGCGCTCGATTGACCGCCACTGGCAAACGGTTCGGTGTACTCTTTCGGTGTTGGGTAAGGGACACCCTTTTCGACTCGTTCGGCAACCCAGTCGTACCACTCCTCCTTTGTGCGGTTCCCCAGTATGGCGATCACCATCGCGGTCATGTTGTCGGCGCCCAAGCCTCCCCAGTCCGGATCAGGGGCCAGGCACTGATCCATCAAGTCCTCACAGATCGTCGACAGCTCCTTGCGTTCGGCGATACCTAATCGAACGTTGTTGATGACTTCTTGCGACTTGAGCACATCCCAAATTCCTGTATGACGCACAGCACAGCGACAGTGATCGCAACATGGGGCCGGGATGTCAGCACCGAGAGGCTGCGGAACCAGAGGCGAGTGCCGAGGTGGACTGACCGTCACAGGCAATCACGAGGAACTCGTCTTCCTCCGTATGCGTGTGGATATTGATATCGGGATCGGCGGTGACGATTTGGTGCTCCGGCTCGAGATTGGCTCCCTGCTTGAACTCGAAATCGCCCAGTGCCCGGGACAGAGCAAGGTTGCCTACGGGGGTCGCCCACGGAACGTCAGCTTGTCTCCCACAGCGCCGCAGCTCGATAACGACGAGCCTTCAGCGAGTGCGGACTGACCATTGACCCGGTCCATCTCAACGAATCCGCCTGCAGCAACGATCCGAGACTTTTCGGCACGATCGGTCGGCTTGTGGTCGAACGACAGAGGCTTTGCTTCACCGCCGAGAGACATGACTGCTCTTGAGTCTCCAGCATTGGCCTGGCGAGAATGGGAGCCATCATTGGGTGTTGTTAGTATTCTGAGGCGCCTGCGGGTTCGCCAATCGGTGAATTCCCAAACGGCTTAAGTCGACTCACGCAGATCAGGGTCAGATCCGAGGTGATGATGGCCGAGACGGCAGTGCATCCAGACGGGTCACCGACAAAGTCAGGGTCTGTGAATGGTTCCAACATGAGCGCGTGCAGCTGTCAAGTCGAATCGTTCGTGTGGGCACTGAAGAACCGAGGACTGACTGGCTCGGAGGTCCTCGTCGGTTTCGAGATAAGCTCGCTTGAGTGCGGCTACATAGTCCTGCTTCTTGAACGCCTCGTTCGCTGCAAGCCGATGGTGCACCGTATCCCCCGCGAATCGTGCGACGGTGGAGCCTGGTCATCGAGAGCGAGCAGACGCGTCGATGTCGAGTGATGGGTGCACGATCGGGTCGTCCAGGCGAAATGAGTGGGAAAGGGAGCACAAGCAAAGAAGGGCCGAGTTCAGTTTAGTCCGAGGCGAGTGAGACCTTGTCGAGAAGACGAGGTGCGTCGGGGGACCGGTTGGCGATTAGAGGAGAGAGGACTAGACTGACCTCCGTGACCGTCGTACACGGCGAAGAAGGACGTCTTTGCGCCGTCGCGCTCCGGGCCGAGTGAGAGGACGTGGGCATGTGCGTCCTCCATGGCTGCGATGACGATGAGAACACGCAGCGGTGAGTATATCGAGTATGTGCGCGTGAGGATGCGGGCGTGCGTGACCCCTGTATTGGGCTCGGGGCCGCGAAGACGACGACCACGACGATGGCGACGTAAGCAAACTCAACTGGTCCTCCAGCCTTGCATCTCGCTGACGCCCCACATCAACCTGTACATAGCAACAATGGCAGATCATGCCTTGTAAGCAACGGCCCAGACATGGGTAGGGTCGCGTGCCGATCGCGACCGCAGTGGCGAGGCGTGTGTGACTGGGGCCCGTCGTCACCTGGCGCCGGGTTACGTTAGCCCTGGCTGCCTGGCTGCCTGGCTGGCGAATGGCGTCTGGCGCACGCTTGCCGTCGCACAGGGCGGGGAATCGGGATACGAGCGCGCGCGCCAGCCAGGCCAGCCAGCCCGTCGACCGACGAGTGAACGATTGAGTGAAGAGGCCCCGAGGGAGGCCACCGACGACAGCGACCACCGGTAATCGAACGTACCTTTCGTCCGCGCCAGAGGCCGTGTGCTTGTCGACAACGGGCTCGGATAGTGTTTGTCCCATGGTGGTGGCTGGGGTGGAGGATGAAGACGCTGGACAATGGTCGAGGAGGCGAGCCCAGTGGCAGGCGAAGCTGAGCGAGGCTGAGCCTGGCCGAGCGCTGAGCTGAGCAGAGCTGAGCGCTAGACTGAGCGCTGAGCGGGAAGGCCTAGGCTAGGAGTAAATTGGCGCTAATGGGGCTGGGGGGCGCCTCGTTCTAAATAATCACCTGGTGCTAATCGCTTATAATTAGTACCGCCCAGATACCAAAAACACTCGCGTCATCATCTCGGTTTCGGCGGTGTCGGTCGGTGTCGGTGCTCTCAACCGCTGTTAGTTGTCTGCCGTGTTGCCGCATCGTCCACTGCACTCTCGGTCGCCTCCGTCTTGAACATGTCTGACGGTGAGTGCTCTGGCGTCGTAGTCCCACTCGGGGCCAAGCTCGCATCGGCTGACTCCCCCTCACACCTCCACCCACCTGGGCCACCTCTGGCCACCTCTGGCCACCTCGCTCCACACCTCCAACTCGGCCTCCTAGCCAACGACCCCCGGCTGGACCAGTTCGTCTCCATCACGGGCGCCGATCCGAGTCGGGCTCGCTTCTTTCTCGACAGCGCCAACGGGGACTTGCAGGTCAGTGTCATCATTCATGAGCCTACTCTCGGCCTTGGGCTGGCATCAATGGAGCTCCACACCTCCCTCGGAGTACCTCCCAAGACTGACGGCCGCGCTTCGTCATACCCGGTCATGATGACCCCAATCTGCCTCGTCCAAGCCAAACTCGACTGAGCTTTTTTGTTTTTTGTTGGTGGGTGGGTGCCCATGACAGGTCGCCATGGCCAACTACTTTGAGCACGCGGGTGATGACTCGGGAGGCAACGACATCGACGTCGGCGATGACGATGACGGTCTCGACGATCAGGATGCGCAATTGTTACAACCTGCTACTCGAACTGCGGGTTCTACGCCCGCCGCAACCTCATCATCGTTCGCTCGAAACCCCTCGTCCTCGTCCTCGGGACTCGCTCGGGGAGCTCATACCTTGAGCGGAGAACCAGCACCCCCGCTTCCAGCCGGCTGGGGAGCTGCATCAGGATCCTCATCGAGGTAGGCCATCGTTCGACATCTCTCAAAGCACGTTCGGAACAGCGTGGACTGACACTCTGGGGTAATCGCCGTCTTGCATCGATAGCACTCGCTCTTCTACGCCGTCAAACCCGATCCGCTCCAGTGGCGGTCCTCGAGTGGCAGGCTTCCGTGATCTGGCTAGTGCAGGTCGACCCAGCAATTCCATCTCGTCGCATGGTGGAAGTGGACCTCGCATCGGCCGCATCGGCCGCATCGGTCAAACTAACGACGACGATGACCACGGTCGCTCCGGCGGCAACGATCCGCAAGAGTTCTTTGCAGGCGGTGGCAAGAGGTGTGTCTTCACGTCGAGGAGACCTGCCAGCTGTGTGTACGATTGTCTGACCGCGTGTATTCGCACTATCCTCGCAGTGGTCTCTCGGTAGAGAATCCGAACGCGAACCGAGGCAAGTTTGAGGACACAATCAAGGGTATTTTCGAGAAGGCGATAGAGTGAGTTGGGCGCGTGCTCGAGCCTGTGTGCACTCTGGCGCGCGAGCTGAACAACTGTCTATCGGCGGTCATGTTTTAGAGGTGCAAGACGAGCTGCTGGCGGCGGGGAGTCGTCTGAAGGTGCCAGCCCTGCAAATCCCCGAGGCGTTTTCGCAGGAGCCGGTAAGATTCCTTCATGACTTTGGGGCCAGCGTGGGAGCGAACGCTGACCCGGATGCTGCTGTGTGGAACCGATAGCCCATACACTTGGCTCTGATGAAGTCGCCTCGTCTTTCATACCCGACCCGGCCAGTGCGAAGAAGGATGATGACGACGACGACAATGACAGCGAAGGCGAGCAAGAAATTGCGATCCGCAACTTGACCTTTTGGAAAGACGGCTTCTCGATCGAAGACGGCGATTTGATGCGCTACGATGATCCTGCCAATGCTGAGGTACTCCAGGCGATCAATGCTGGGTGAGCCGCTGCCTCGCGCGCTAGCCACCGAGTGTCTTCTCACGCGCTGACCCAACGACTTTTATCCCTACCGCCTGCCACAGTCGCGCGCCTTTGTCCCTGTTGAACGTCCGCCACGACCAGCCTGTCGAATTGCGAGTGGCTCGTCGCATGAGTGAAGACTGGGTGCGCCAACCTCCGCCGCCAGAGGGGCCGTTTGCCGGATCAGGCCATCGTCTCGGCTCGGAAGCGCCATCATTTGCAGCGGCGCCATCCACTACGAGCCATCAGCCGGCCTCGACAGCCTCTGCCGCAATTAGCACGAGCTCCACTTTCCAAGTCGACCCATCACAGCCTACTACGACCCTTCAAATACGTTTGCGCAGCGGGGAGCGGTCAGTCGGCGGCTGATGCAAGCATGCTCCAATTGAAGAGCGATGTATGAATCAGAGCAAGGACTGACCTCTTGGAGACCGAAAACATTTTGCAGCATGGTCGCACGTTTCAACCATACACACACGGTTGGTGATATCCGAGCCTACATCAACGCGTGAGTAGGCAAACCAAATCTGGAAGTCACTCGCATCACATGCTGATCCAACATCGTCTCTTCATCCTGGAATCGATCCAGTTCGCAACCTGGTCAAGCGACGGCCAACTACGCGTTGCAAACAACGTTTCCTTCGCGCGACCTGACGGATGATAGTAAGACCATCAAGGATGCAGGGCTTCTGGGTAGCGTTGTTGTTCAGCGAGGGCTGTAGCGACATCCACACTGGGACAGGGCAGCGTCAACGTGAAACATCCCGCTGATGCCATATGCGATGAAATTTTGCGACCATTGATTGTTGATTTTGGTGCCATGGATCGAGGAAAATTTCTTTGCATGCTTATTGTGCTCGTCAGACTCGGCAGCTTGAGAAGAAAATCTTCCTCCCAAGGATCAGAGGCCGAGTCCGCTGTCGACACTGTGCTCATTTCTAAGCCCGATGATCAGGCCATTGGGCAGCTAAGTACTAGATAAGCAGCGACTTCGTGTTTGACCGATCCCCTACTGGTCCGGCACGAGTCTCGAAATGAGCTCCTGAGGAATCCCCGGCAGAATTTGAGCTTGTGCCTCTCTCTGCCTCGCTCGGCTTCCGAAATGGGAAGCGTGTCCAGGAACATCGCTGCCGTTCTTCTCTCGGACGGAGGCCGCGTGGGTCTTTCGAACCTTAATTTCCTACCCTTCTACTACTCCGCCGCGGTTGCTCGATAGCTCGTGAGTGGTGTTGCAGCTCAGCTTCCGACTTTCGATAGGTATGTAATTCTGATATACCATGCTCAGATCAGGTCCCCTCTCTTCGCTGTAGCCTCCATTGCAGTAGGTTCGGATCGACAGGCTCCGCCCGATCGCACGCAGTGTGATCAACGAGTCTAAAGACCTCGCCCACAGGTGGATCCAAGGACGTCACTCCCCTGGAGACCACATGAGATGACCGACCATCGACAAGCGACCTACCGTCGACTGAGCCCGGCGCCCCCGTCGCCGACGCCATCAGCCCCCTTCGTCCGAACTCCGAGCCGAATGCGAATGGTCCTGCTCATCCTCGCTGGAACAAGTGCGGCACTGGTCGGAGTATACAGGGCGGACATTGGATCGAGCGGGCTCGGGAGGCTTGAACGTTGTGGCGCGGATTTGTACGACCAACATGGTTTCATTCACATGGAGAAGAAGGCGGAGGGAGCCGAGGACATCAGGTGCGAAAGCAATGCTTCCCCTGCCTGTGGGCCATTGCTAGGGTCACTAATACGTAGCTTACTCCCACTTCGTTTGCTTCATCGAACTTTGATAATGACTCAACGTGCGCTCCACTCCTCAATATCCCGCCCAACACTCGTCGTGGCCCCTTCTCCAGATGGATCCCCTACACGGCCGAAAACGTTTACCCGAGCTCACTCGACGCCGTCGCCGACATCTACAACACTTCTGTCCATCCTTCCGATGCCGACCTGGCTTCTTCGCCCCCAGCTTACTCTACTCTACTCGAGACTGACCCCCAATCGCCGTCGCTGTCGTTTGCTCGCAACAGCACGATTGTCTTGGTCGGCGATTCCCACGACCGAAAGAATCTCGAATCGATGTGCTCTCGCGTGCCCGGCGCTGTGCGGCATGCCTTTGATGGACATCTCAAATGGGGATGTTCGCTACCCTCTATCGGCCTCAACTTTGTGTTGCTTTTTCATTACGGCCTAATGACCGAGGACGAGCCTTTCCGAGACGTTCATGATCAGCCTCCTAATCTCATTGAGCGCCGCGTCGACCAGATCCTGCTGCCGATGCTCCAGGACTTTACGCCATCGATCCCCAGTCTGATTGTCTTCCAGTCCGGATTCTGGGACCTGCGTTATTGGGGGTTGCGCGCTCAGGCCGAGGGTGCGAATGCTCAAGGTCGTCTTGCCGCCGGCCTCGTCAACGGCGGCGATCGGCCGTTGCTCTGGAGCGAGCTGAAGTGGTATCGGCGGAGGTTTGGGGAGGTCTTGGAGGCGCTGAAAGCAACATTCCCCAATTCGGGGATCATCACAAGGACGATCCAGCCCTATCGTGACAACAGGAATGGGCGGAACGTCGCGATATTCGAGATGAACGAATCAATCAAGGCAATCAGCCGTCGACACAACATTGCAACGATGCGATGTGAGTGTCCCGCGTAGGCAAGCTGCTGTATTCATACAGTACATAGTAACCCATTCATCTGGCGGGATTTTCTTTTTCTTTTTCTGTTTTTTGTCTTCCTATGTACAGGGGCGGAACTCTTGCAGGGCACCGAGTCGTACGCCGACGACCAACACTTTGAGATAGGGAGCTTGCCGTACCGACTCTGGATGAATATGGTGCTGTACCAACTTGAAAGAAGTTTGCTAGGCTGTCTCCACGGCGGTGATAGACTCTGAATATATACATTTCCTCCTCGCCGGTATCGTGCTAGGATTTTCTGGGGGTCCTTAGGAAGTGACTGCTGCGCATCCCGACAATGGCATAAGTCCTAGTCTCGCAAGTGACCATGTCTTCGCGAACTGGCAAGCTCAACATTCATACAAATGGAGAGTAGTCACCACTGCATTACATAAAGTTGGCTCACTCCCTGGCTCAAACGCTTTGCTACTGAACGCTCTCGCTCAGACCGCTACGGTACTACACGAACTCCTTGCAATCCGGCGGGGCCAAAGTCGGCGCTGACTGCCCAAATCCGTGAGAAAAGATCTCCCGAGCGGCAGGGGTAGAGCTCCACAAAATATCATAGCGAACTTTGATTGAAGTGCTGGACGAGCTCAAAACCGACACGGCAGGCTATCACATCCCCAGTGCATCCCGTCCCAGATCCGCTCACGCTCGATCCACAGGTCTCCAATGTATCGTTTTAGCTCCTCCACCTTGTACGGGGGAGGGTCACCTGAGCCTGCGTCATGTGCGAGCTGATGCCAGAAATAGAATGGAACAGCGGCTGAGGTGACATTGTCGTGAATGACCTGGTGAAACCCAGGATACCACCCTTCGCCGTAGCTGCCGTGACCGGAACAGTCGTCAGCCAACTCCTTGGCAGCATCAGAAGGAGATAGCTGCTGTGTGACTTACTGAACGCTTGCGCTCTCGTAACCATTTACGCGGTGCATACATTTGTGACTCAGCTCTGGTGGTATCCATGCTGCGGCGTATCCGAGCTCTGGAAAGGCGGTGGACGCGACCTTTGGAGGCACCACATCGTCGAGATCGAGTTTGTGGCCGTGGTAAGCCTTCTCCAGGCACACCGAGCCAATATCGGCAGCAACATTGGCAAAGTAGTCGGGCAACAAAGTGCGCAGCATTGTCTCTTCAGGTCGAAGACGCTGCCGGGTTGCCGCCGACATGGTTGGAGGCAGGATCTTGGGGAAGAAATCTTCGTCTCGGTCGAGGTAGCCTAGCCAACGCGTCGGATACAGCTGGTGTGACCGGAACTTGCACGAGTTGTAATAAATGACCTATTGTCGAATTTGTGTAGTTCAGTACTGACCCAGTGTTCCCAGCGGGTCTCAACTTGAGAAGAAGTTGACCCACCTGATCGCCATACAATCCGTTATCGGCAAGATTTTTCCGTTGGCCGTAGGTCTCGAGACTGGTCGGCGGAGCATACATGAACGTATCCTTAGCGCCTGTGACCGAGTTGTAGCGTCGCACCCATTCGGCAACACTCGTATCACGCGCATGCCAGTGCACGGTGTCGACGCCGAGACGATGCGCGTTCTCGCGCCACTCCAAAGTTGCGCGAGCATTGAGGTGTCCCCAAATGGGCGATAGGCAGATGCCGAACTGCGGAGTAGAGAGAGCAAGAAGGTACAAGCGATACAGTTTAGTCGACCGGTAGCTTGATCGGAGGCCGCAAGAGTCGGGAGGCCTTTAAGAACGCACCTCGCTCTCCGGCTCGGGATAGTGGGCCTTGAGCGAAAGGGAGTGTGCGAATTTGCCCTTGTCTTCCTTGTAGGTCCAGGTGAGTGTCGTATTCAGCGTCTCCCTCCTGTTTTGCGACATCGCTTCTTCTAGTTGCGTAGGTACTGGGCAATTGACAACGGTGATCCACGCGAGGTCGTGTTGCCAACCTTCGACTGAGTAGAACTGGCCAGCAAACTCATGCTCGCAGGCAACGCCTATGGTGAAGATGGACGGATCGGTCGATGTGAGCTGATGAAGTGCGCTGTGATAAGGTATAACTTAGGATACAATCATGCCCCATGTCAGTGCTCCGGAATCGTCCTCGCCGAGGAGAAGAAGATAACCCTCAACAATCGGGGTGGAAGAGCCAGGCTTGGCGCAGGCGCTCACCCTCGATATGCATCGCGAGGGAGACGTAGAGGTCATAGTCAAGGTCTTTCTTGCGGTACGTGTCCGCATTGCTCCTCACGACCGCGTGAATAAATGTGGCTCGGTAATTGTTATTGGGCTCGGCAAACATTCTCTGCGATAGGCCGACGTCAGACCCGGCCCACACCACGGTCGAGCCTTGCGAACCCGAGTTCCAACCCTTGACGAGGTGGTCTCGCCACGTTGCAGCAGTTTCATGGAGCGGTCGATCGGAGCGGGCGAACAGGGAGCTCAGCGCGAGCACAACGACCAAGCCACACGCCGCGGAGATCTGAATGACCCGATTCCTGGAAAGAGCGACGCCCGGTGATGACGGCTCCCCTATCTCCATCGGCACCATTGTGGGTTCCCTGGTCGGATCCATGGCCAGCCAAGCTGATCCGGAGAAGGCAGAGCTTGTCAATAACGCCAGACTTCGGCAGGAGATAGCAACGTCAACGACGCGACGTACCTTGGTTCCTCTAGCTTGTTCGGTGGATGGACACGGGAGTCGGAAAGGAGGTTTGTTCTGAGTCACTCGGTTACCTATGATGACATCCCACGGGGCAGGACAGGGCTCGGCCAGATCAGCATGCAGTAGGTAGCAAGAGAGCGTGGCGCCGACTCGCGATGCGATGGCTCGCTCTCTGTCGCTCCGGAGTCCGGAGTCCGTAGTCTTCCGAAGCAGTCCGAAGTCCTGCCTCTCTAGTTGTTCCTAGCCGCTCGCGCGTGGCAGGTACTGCCGGAGGGCAGGGCAGCCTGTGCGTGTGTACTAGGAGTGTGTCCCGCCGGTAAGGGGCTGCTATGGGAAATTTTATCCTACTCTCAAGAACCATCTCCCAAAGTGACTTACCGTTGCTGGGCAGAGTGCGCACCACCCTCTTTCAGGGGAGAGCAGAATGTTGCCTCGACAAATGCAGGGAGAAAGATCACCTCGCCCAAAGAAGTCGAAGGACGATGGGGCTTTGTACACTGTGAATTGATGGAGCACTGATCCTTCAACAGCGGCCAAATTGGGAAATTGGATCTGCTATGCGATATGTCTTGCCGGTTTTTACGTGGCCGATACAAGACGGAATAGGCGCACGCGTCGCGTCACACCGACGAAATGAGCCGAGACTGACCTGGAAGACTGTGTCAGATAAGTGGTGGCTTTATAAAAGGCTAATGCCCAGCCGTCCCCATAGATCGCTGACCATCATTTTGAAGGTGGCCCAGCGCGGATTTTGGGACATCCTCTATTGTGTATTCTCCGTAAAAAAACTCCTTGCCAAATGCCCGGACGTGATAGCCCGCCTTATCGCTGTCGTGAGCCGGAAAGTCTCACACGAATGCAGTCTCACACTTCGAGTCTCACATGAATGGCCCAGCCAGAGTGTGCCTATATGTATTGGGAAAAATAAAAATAAAATGCGAGACGACCCGATCTGGTGCCAGAGTGAGTACGTAGTGGCCCGTCGGCTGAGCCGGGGGTGGGAGACAGTTCATCAAAGTTTTCGACAAATATTCCAGATACAGGCTGAGGTTGAGTTTGCAAGAGGGGCCAGGGCGCACTAGTAGTAGATTAATCGCCCGCCGCATTATGCAGTGCCCCGGGCCTCCCCGGGCCCGCCGTCTCACCTCGACCAGCCTCGACCGTCGGTGCGTGGCGCGTGGTTCCGACGTGTGACCACTGACGTTGCATCTCGCGACTGCTGCCAGCTGCTGCCTACTCGCGCGTCAGATCACCACACCAACACCAACCACCCTTGACAGCTCTTGGCAGCTCTTGACGGCTGTTGGCCACGGCGGCGCTTGGTCGTGCAGTGGACACTGGAGCGCATTAGGACCGCTTTCCCCTGCAGTCTGTTCCGATTCCGATTGTCGTGGCCAAGACTCGGCGTTGACCGGTTGACCTGATCTCGCATGAGCGGTGCGGACCGAGCCGACAGCGCCGCGTATCCGAACGAAGAAGGAGCCTGCGCCGATCAGGCCGCGTCCAGCTACAGCAACCGCAGTGACACGCCACAGCAAGCCCCGGACCACGCACAAGACTACGAGTACGGCCACGACGGGCTCGGCGACGGCGACGGCGACGACGACGACGACGACCAAGGAGAAGAAGACTCCGACGAGGACGACGACCAACGACTTTCGATCGACGCGATGACGACCACTTCGTCCCATTCGTCGCGCCTGTCGCAGTCCAACCCCTTGCTGCGCTCGCAACAGAGTCAAGGCGGTATGGCAGCGTCCACGTCCACGTCCACGTCCACGTCGACCTGGTCTGGCTTCTTCGCACATAGCAACAACCAGGCCGCGCTGTCCATCATCGCCGTGTGCTGCTCCTCGCTGTCCATGACGGTCGCCAACAAGGTCAGTGTTCGATTGGACTGGGAACGCGCTGGTCAGGAGATGAGGGCGAAGGGGGATTCAATTGGCTACGTGACCACACCGCCGTCGTTGTCGTCGTCACCATCATCACCACCCGTCCTGCTCCGGCGCGCCGAGTGGGCGACGAGTCGGATACGATCAAGTGGTCGTCTTGACGCAAGATCTTCTTCGGTGAGGTACCACAGACCCTAACAAATGATGTATTGTCTCCCAACGCCGCAGTATATCGTGTCGGGCAGGGATTTTTCAATGAACTTTCTCATGCTCGCGGTGCAGAGTTGCGTCAGTGCCGCAGCCGTTCACGGGGCAAAGTCGTCGGGAGTGAGTGCTTTCCCTTCCGACCGACGTCTACGTTGCGGGTACTCAACACACCCCCGAACCGGGTTCATCGTGCTTGGCTACAGATCATCGCCTATCCCGACTTTCACTGGGATAGCGCTCGGAATTGGGCGCCCGTGTCGCTGGGTCTAGTCGCATTGATGTACTCTGGCTCGAAGGCCCTGGTCAGTCGGGGAGACTTCGACTCCGAGAAGGCGTCGGTCGAGTTGGCTGACATCGTAATCTAAACTCGCAGCAATATTTGTCGATACCTGTCTACGTGATCTTCAAAAATCTTACCATCATTCTCATCGTACGTCGGGTCCCAGACACCCCCGGTGCGATGGCCTCGCTGATGGTTGTCAAACTCGAACCATTTGTTGCGCAGGCGTACGGCGAGAAAATCTGGTTCGGCGGCGCCGTCACCCCACTCGAGCTACTGTCATTCGTTTTCATGGTCCGTAAATCCCAGAGGGTCTCGGCGAGATTGTCTTCGATCTTGGGCTAACAACATACGGCATCCTAGATTCTCTCCTCGGTGATTGCTGCCGGCCCCAATATTGTGGCCGCGTTCTCCCCCTCGGCCGATGAACTGCCGTCAGCAAAAGGCACCGACACAGGCATCGGATACCTCTGGATTGCCATCAACTGCCTCGTCAGCGCAGCATATGTCAGTCCCTACCCGGCCCAAGGTGTCCCCGCACGGTCAGCTCTGCTTACGACCTCAGTTATCTCAACAGATCTTGGGCATGCGCAAGAAAATCAAGGCGATGGCCTTTACCGACTGGCAGACCAGCTTTTACAACAACGCAATAAGTACTCCTGTACTCTTGCTCGCCAGCATCATGTTTGAGGGTTGGTCCCCATCGAACTTTACCCTCAATTTGTGAGTTGAGTCATTGCGGGCCGACTTCACTAGATGAGTGCTTTTGAGCTGACCCAACAATTTCCCCAGCCCCTCCGACGCACGGTCTCATCTCATCTTCGCCATGTTGCTCTCCGGATTTGTGGCTGTATTCATCAGCTTTTGCAGGTGCGTGTACCGCCCCTGGGCTGATGCACCGCGAGACGTATGGCGGGATCCAGAACTACAACGCTGAGCCGCCTAGTCGTGCCCTCATTCAGTGCTTGGTGTATTCGTGTGACGTCGTCGACAACGTATAGGTATGCTCTTTGCTATCCCCCCTTCATGTGTCGTAATGAGGTTCAAAGCTGACCTATGGGTTTCGCCGTCTGTAGCATGATCGGCGCCCTCAACAAGCTTCCTGTCGCGATCAGCGGCATGGTATTCTTCCATGACCCTGTCACGCTACGATCCGTCAGTGCGGTCACGATAGGTTTCGCGGCCGGGCTGTTGTACACGCATGCCAAGCAAGTGGCCAACGAAGCCAAAAAGAGAACGCTTGCAGGTCAGTCCGTCCACGATCTCCGGGGCTTGCACGCTTTTCTTCGGACGCTCGTCTAGGGTATACGGGCGTACGAAGCAGCTGAAACTGGACTCACGCTGTCTATGTGCATTTTAGGATACGCTCCGATCAAGTTGACCTCTTCAGGAGTCACCCACGACGAATCGGTTCAACGGGTCGGAACCCATAGCAAGGGGGCATCGGCGGGAAGGACGGGGGATGCTAGTCTTAGCTTGATTGAACTCCCTGCGAGGAGGGAGAGCGCGTTGACGAAAAGCCCAACATCGCGTCCACAAAGCTGAAAACAGAAGAGGCGATCAAATGCTGCCATATTGATCAGACGGTTCACATCCACAGGAACTAGTCTCGAGGGATTATTCGGGTTGTGATGGCGTCCGGTGTTGCATTAAGCCCATGCCGAGTTCGGGAGACAATGTACCCCAGGTGCTTCGGCAAGGCACAGTCATCATCCTCGTTGCCTAGATAGAAGGCCCCTCGTGTATGAGGCTAGCTTTGCCGCGACCACAGCTCTGATTAAATTACAATGCACGGGGTTCTATAGTGTCCGCATCGTCTCCGCCGGACTCGATCACGTCGGATTCCGACTAGCTGACACCTTTGGTAGTTTGATGTCTGCGGGCCTGTTGCTCCAAAACCTGAGGTTTAAACGCGTGTCAGCAAGGAGCTCTGGCAGTCTGGGCCCGGACGAGGACGACCTTGACCTACTGTCTGCACCATCCCTGATTCTCTTCATCGAATCGGTCGAAGCACGCGCCGTTGAATGACCACCCAGCATGCTCAGTTGTCGTCAAGTCAAAGATGCACCTGCAAGCGAAATGAACGTTTTTGGCAAGGTAGAAATATGACAAATGAAAGAGTGCTCGCGCTGCAGAGAAGTGAACCCACCAAGCGGAGCATTGATATTTGGCGCTGGCCTGGAGAGACTCGACATCGAGCACATCGCGCTTATTGCAAGCCGTTGGCTTGACCAGCGAGTTGATCCATTCCGTCAGTGCCTTCGTTGACTCGCCGCATCGATCTTGGAGCTCTCGGCCGAAGCCTGTCCGTCTGGGCATCCTGAGGGCATTCTGAGCAACGGCGAAGTCCGTTTCCTATCATCCCAGTCTGTATTCAGCAAGCATTCACGAGATCTGAACACGATCCGCCTCTCGAACCGTCACTCACCTTTCCGTTCTCTAACAGCAAGGTTTGTAATGCGAAGTACGCAGCGGGATTTGGGGTGTGTAAGTCACGTTTGGACGAGGGCAGCCTGGCGAGCTTGATCTCGTCAAAAAGTCCCATTAGAGTTTGTCGCCAGTCGAAGGTTGTTTCGACGAGTCGTCGTCCTTGAGCACCATACTCGCGTCTCAAGTTAGGTTCCCCGATTAGACGATGAAGCTCGTACGCATACAGAGGCGCGTCCATCTTGTCGTCCATCGTTTGCTCGATCAGAACTCCAGCGGCTTCCGGAGCGTTCTGATCCACGGCACCGAGCTGTTCGGGCAAAGCGCCGACACGACCAGACACCACAGGCAAAGCCATGGCCATAGCTTCCGCGACGGCAATAGAGATTCCTTCGCCCATTGTAGGGAGAAGGAAAATATCCGTCGCAGCCAAGATTTGTTGAGGCTTCCCAACCGTTCCCAACACCCGCACGTAATCTTTGACCTTGTTTTGGCCGATTCTCGCTGCGACTTCGCCTTTGAGTGCGCCATCGCCAACCATCAGAATGATGAAGTCGCCAGGCTTGTACTGCCCGATACGCCGCAAGGTGTCAGCGATGAGCGGGACAAGTGTTGGTCGCTTTTGGGGGTCTAGACGGCCGACGATGGTGATGACCGTCGTGCGCGGGTCGATTTCGAGAGCATCCCGTTTTGCGGCAGCGCGTTCAGACGGGGTTGCAGGAACAAAATCACCGACTTGTATGCCAAGTTTGACGACACCGATCGATCCGGCGTCGTGGCCCCGTGCAATGAGCCAATCACGTAGATACGACGAGCAGGTGACCGTCCGGGATAGGAATCGCTGAGTGATCACGGAAAGAGTAGGGTAGCCACCGGACTTCCAGCCGTCGTACGCTTCATTATGAAGATACTGCGTAGCAGACGTCAAGCTCGAATGAGTCATGTGTCGAACGCAACTCGAAAGGTCGTCGCGAGCTTAACTTACATCAATCATTTTGACGTGTGGCATTTGCTCCGCCAATGCCGGCAACATCTCGTAAAAGAGCTGCGAGTTGCTCATGATTATTTCGTCGATGCCGCGAGATTGCACAAGGTACTTGATGTAACGTGGAATGTCGTTGGCGCGCAGAAAGCTCGGGACCACGTGGACATCGTGGGTAAATTGAAGGACGGCAGGACGCAGCTCGAGTCCCTCGGGGTTCTTGTACAGCGTGCAGACAACAGTGACGCGATACCCGCGCTCAGCGAAAAGCTGTATTTGATGGAGAGCCCCAATGTCGGCCCCCCCGATGTAGAGCCACGGCACGACGAACATGACCGCCTTGGTGAAACGCGCGAGGTGTGATTCGAATGGGGCGTCCCACCGAATCGGCTCCAGCTGCCTCGATGGTCTGGCCGCAATGTCAGGGAACGTACCACTCGTCAAGAGCGCCGGATGTTTTTTCTCGATACGCCGCTTCAGATCCGAAAACCCGTTTACAAACATGTTGCCCCATCGTGATTGACGAAACGTCGCAGGATTTCCTCGATACCAGTAGAGAGGCTCGGGAACACTCCCACCCCAGTGTCCGTTCTGTCCGCAGGTGCCAAATGCGATAGGACGCATGTGAGTGGGATCCACTCGATGAAACTCGCAAACCGCCAGAGGGATGCTCTCACCTCCGCCAAACACATCCAGAAGTCCCAATCCTCTCCCCCTACAGCGAAGTTCACATCGTCGTATCGACAGCCCGAATTGACAATGGCCCTGGATGTGTAAACCGCGGCGTTTGGCACAAAGTTGCCCTGCGAAAGGTTTTTGAACGCTCTCAGCCTGCCGCTCCCTGCTGTGACACGGACTGTAGACTGGCCGGAGTAAAAGCGCTCAACTTACGTTGAAAAAATTGGCTGATCCAGAGTGAACGCCTTGGACGATAGTCTCGTTGTTCGCGTTGAACTTGATGACATGGAAACCGCCAAGATCCCATTCTGGGTTGGACTCCAGCATCCACACGGTCTGTGAGCCAGCTGGGTCAGCTCGGAGCGTTTTGGGAGCATGGCTCTAGAACGCCGGGAAAAGGTGGGGAAACATGCTTGCGCACCTTTTCGAGAGCTGTAAGCTCGTACAGGTCATCGTCGTCTAAACTGGCGATATAGCGAGGTTGTAGACCTGCAGCGATGCGACTCTTGCTGAGCAGCCAGTTCAAGGCCACGTTGCGGCTGGCAGCGAGGCCTCGATCGCCCGTGTTCTTGAGAATGACCACCCGAGGATCTTTGGCGATACTGGCGAGCATGGCGAGCGAGTCCGTCTCGTTCGAATGATCATCGACAATGACCCACTGGATGTTCTGCAAGCTCTGGCCGAGCACAGTCTGCGCGGTTTCGAGCATGAGGCTGCGGGGGTTTTGAGTCGCAGTGATGATGGAGAGCACTGGCGCGTTCCGACGTAGCTGACCCGACTTGGCCACGTCAGGAGCCAGCATGAATTGGTTGGAAGCCGGTCGATGCGCAGAGATGGGAGTATTGTGAAAGTGGATCTTCTCGTGAACAAAATGGATCGGTAGGGCATTGTCCGAGAGCTTGAAGTCGTCGGAGATAGGCCGGTCGGTTCGTCTCTGCAGAGCTCTCGACAAGCAGCGACTGTTGCTGTTGGGTGTTCTGCCCGGTAGGATCCAACGCGGCAGCAACTTCCAAGATGGCTCGTCGCACGTCGAGCTATTCCAGAGCGAGGGTGTGCCTGTCGGATTTGTCGACTTGAGGCTGGACCAAAAGATGAAGAACAGGAGCGCGACCCCAATCAGGAGCGGACTATTGAACTTGCGCCGCCTCGCCAATTTATATGGGCTGAACACGACATTGGGTGCACGACGTGGTTTATGACTGTTGATAAGACCAGGACCTGCCACCGACCCGACTTGATGGAAGTCGTTCCGCGCTGGCGTTGCTCGCGGGGGTGTGGTCCCGAAGCTAGTTGCGGACGCCGGCGACATCTTCGGAGGTGGGCCCGGGGCCAGGCGGTCACAGGAGGAGTGGCGTACCAGCCTAGCGTCGATAACTGCAGCCTTGAGCGCGTCCAACTCCCCTCGGTGTAGAGGTGCTAGCGAAGTGCAAGTGGGAGTGGATGGCACAGAGGCGGCCGCGGTACTTTTTGAACGATAGGCAGGTCCCCCGATCAGAGCGATCAGTGCTCGACGCGCTCAGCTGCCCTGACGAAGCCCTGACGTGTCAGGACTAGGCCGGCCGGCCTCGCAGCCTGGGACTCCCTCACATCTGGACTCTTCGGATGCCGGACGCGGGAGCGACGTTGGGGATGGGAGTCGGGTCCCAGTACACCCCTCGAAGTAATTCCTCGGCAGCCGAGACACACATCGCCGATCGCTAATACTACATGTTACGCCACTTTGATGTAATGATGGAATACTAGGACACCAGGTAATACTCATGGCACACCGTACACCGCGGGCTTATTCAGAGTCTGTAAGTTAATTATAGCCTTTTAGTCTTTTCGGCCTTTGCTGCAAGATTTTGACGCGGACAGCTCAAGCGCGCTGGTCTCGGCCTAACGGGGCCCGCTCGCGCTCCACTCTTCGAACACGCATTCTTTGGACCCTGTGCCAGCACGCACTCTTCTCGGCCCCCTTGGGCCTCCCGCCTTGCTCACCCGCTGGCGCGCGCGGGGTTTTATTATTATTACTGGGGCTCATAAATTGCAATCCTTCGGGTTGGCTGGGACCGCTAGAAAAAGAGCTAAAAGAGGTTATAAAGCAACGACGGCAAGCAATTAGGTGAAAGTCAAACCCCTGCGCGCAAAGAGCGCTGCGCAGATCAAAACTCGCCGAGCACCTAACGCGGACTCCAACGGGCGGTGAGTACTGCTGCCGCTTCACGTCCCAAGAGCGGGAGCGAAGATACTCGAAAACCAGGCAAGAGCGCCTAGAGAAAGAAAAGGGGAGAATATACAAAAATTCACGACTGGAAACACGGAGAACCAGGAATACTAAGACAGAGAGGAGGGGAGGAGGAGGGGAACACACCCGAGGGGCCAAGGGAGGGGGTCGAAGCCAGAGCTAGAGGTCCCCAGGGACTGACAGGCCGCAGCCAAGCCCCAGCTACTCGTCACCCCGACAGCGCCTGATGTCCTCCCTTGGCTGAGTCTCGAGTGCTGGCTGTTGAGCCGTCGGGGCCGAGCGAAAACGATCCAATACAACGAAACAAGCCTCGCCTTGACGCGAGGATATTGACCAAAAAAACGAGCGACCTTTCTTCCCGATCCATGCCGTAGATCTTGACCAACGCGAACGAACGATCTATTCGACGGAATCCAACACACGGCTTAGGAATAAAAGGAGAAGTGGCTGAAGCGTAGTCAACAACCGAGCAACAGGAACGAGAAGAGGAAGGGAAGGGAGAAAGGGGAAAGAGAGGGGAGAACTTCACAAAGCCTCCAACGCAACGACGATCGACCCGGCTTGCCGATCCATCCAAGAACGAAAACCGCTACTGCACAAAGTAGAGAGAGAGGGAGAGGTGCGCAGCCTTCCACTGCGCAACAAGTTTCAAGACAGTCAGCTTCTGACCGAAAAGGAAGGGAGGAAAGGAGGGGAGGAAAATGGGAAGGAAGGACTTAACTCGGTCATCACACCTCCCAATCTCGAACCCCAGGCACAAAACCCGCTCGAGAGAGAAAATCTCGCTCGAACGCTCTGAGCGCACTGGGAAGCGAGGGAGGGGCCACGACGTTGTCCAGCTCGAACCGCTGATGAACGCGCCAGCGGAGCAGGTGCAGCCGCTGGAAGCCGATCGCGCAGGCCAGCCGAACCCACATCCATTTCGAGGTCGTTCTCCCACGACCCCGCAAAAGGGGGAGCCCCATAGTCAGCTGCTCCGGAGTGAACGTCGACGGATCGACGTCGGTATCCTCGATGCCGAGCTTGTCAAGCAGAATGCGTAGCACCCCACCCCAGAAGCTGGTCGAGTACGCGCACTCGAAAAAGTAGTGGGACACCGTCTCGATGACCGCTGCATCGTTGCCGCAGAACAGACACGTCGGCGAAGAGGCATGACCCTGAGTATGCTGCCTCTTGCGCGTCGGCGTCACGTCGTACATGAGCCGCCAGTGGGTGTCCTGCTCGACAGCAGACGCGAACCGGTCATGAAGCCATCTCCAGAAGCGCTTCCTATCGCTCTGAGAAGTCCCATCAGGGAAACGCTTGACACGGTCCTCCCTCCCTGGGAACCGCACCTTGTTCACAAGCCGACGAAGCTTGCGAATCGTAAAAGGTCGGGAGAGCCCAAAGAAGTTGAAGCACCGAGGACGGGGAGCCTCCTTGAGAGGTATCCGAGCAGGTCGCAACGCGGTCTTGGGCAGCAACGCTTTCGCCTTGAGCAACTGACCCACGCGCGACCACACGTGCTCGTGCTGTAGGGCGGGTTCCTTAGAGTGCTGCCAGAACCCGCGTCGATGACCAACCAGAGCCCATCCCTTCCCTTCGTCCCTCCAGTACAGGTCCGCGATCTGCGCAAACTTCGCCACCGCGTCCGCATCGTCATATGCGTGCTGGGCACCTTCAGCATAGAGTGAAGGGAGGCGAGGCGGAAGCGAGAGCAATTCGGGAAGCGTAAGGAGTTCGGACTTGATGGTTGGAACTGTGACCCTGGCCGCTGCAACGACTGCCCCCCAGCGCGTCGAGTCGCGATACAGCTTCTCGACCCGAGCCGTGCTGCTGAAGAACCCCCACGGACTGAAATCGCGGGTCGCAGCGACGAGGGACCTCCAGCTCTCGCGAGCTAGGGGCGCCCAGATCGCCTCGTCCGAGCCCGCCACAGCATCCCAAAATCGAAGCGCCACCGAATGAACGATGTCGCCAATCGAAATCAAACCCAAGCCACCGTCCTCCCGAGCCTGGAACACGAAATCGCGAGCGACGGTATTTCGCCCTGCTCCTCCCTAGACAAAGTCCGTAAGTGCCGTCTCCGCCGCCTTAATGAACCATTGAGGCGGTATGTCGAAGGACAGCACGTGGAGGACCGTCGAGATGATGTGAGCGTTGGCATAGAAAACCTTCCCACTCGGCGAAAGTGTCCGGTCTCGAGCGGCGCGGGTCTTGGCCTTGATCCTGTCAAGAACATGGGTCCAAAACAGTTTCGAGTCACCGTGGCGAAAGAAGGCATAGCCGCACCACTTGAAGCTCTCCCCCTCCTGCACCGTTGGCAGCGCCTGCGCAGTCTCGTCCCGAAGCCAGTTCGGTCCGAGTGGTAGCACCAGCGTCTTGTCCGTGTTGGTCTTCCCGTTGGTAGCCTCGTACCACGTCTGCGACAGCGTTTGCAGCTTCGACAATGCCGCCGGTGACTCCACCACCACCACAGCATCGTCGGCAAACGCCAGATGCGTAAGCTGCGCACGCGGCCCCCCTGGCCACACCTTCTGCAGGTCGAGCGCGATCCCGCGCCGAACGAGGGCATCGAGGAAGGGCTGGAACGTGATGTTCCAAACCGGGCACGAGAGGGGATCCCCCTGACCGAGACCACACAGCAACCGCACCAAGTCCGTGGGGAAACCATTGACAAGGTAGCGCACCCCCAGAGTCTCGGGATCGTAGAGAGCGCGCAGCAGCGAGATGAAACGCTCACCGAACCCAAAGGCCTCAAAGACCTCGAAGATCCAGGCGTGATCGACCCGATCGTACGCGCTCTGCTGATCCAAGGACAAGAGGGCGCCCTCGGGGAAAACATCAGTGCCTAGCGACTTGAGTTTTTCGAGAAGGAGAGTGAGATGACTTCCCGCGTCCGCTGAACGTCTTGATGGCATGAAACCGTGTTGCGCCGGCGGCAAAAGCTCGCCGAGCACCCCATTGAGTCGCGCCACCAAGACCTTGCTGAGGACCTTGTAGGTCGTCTCGCGCAATGTGATCGGTCGGTATGCCCCCAGTGATTTCAGATTGGCCCCCGGTTTATTCTTGGGCAAGAGCCGCACCAGCCCCTCTGCCAAGGACGCCGCCATTTTGCCGCCCTCCCAAATCGAGTTGAACAAGTCCAACAGCTTGGGAGCAAAGTAGGTTGGCAGCGCCTTGAAGAGCTCGTACGGAATGCCCGAGGGCCCCGGTGATCGCCCCGAATCCGTCTTCTTCAACGCCGCTTCAACCTCGAGGAGGGTGAAGGGCTCGTCAAGCGCCACTCTCGCTTGACGAGGCAGCCGACGACCGAACGTAGGGTCCGAGCGGTCGTCATCGTAGCATTTCGCTGCGCGAATAGGGTCGAGCAGGGACCGGCGTGCGTTCGTCGGGTCGCCACGAGCTGGGTCCGGCGTGAAGAGCGACTGCGCGTGCCGTGAAGCAATACCCAGCGCCTCCTGCATGTCAACGGTCTCGGTGCCATCCACATCCTCCAGCGAGACGATGCTCGTCTGGCGACTCCGGCGGTTGAGGCGCGTGCGAATGCTTGCCGATTGACCTTCCCTCGTGTCGACTGACGGCACATGCGCACGAATGCGCAGCCACTGAGCCTCCTTTACCGCCAACTGGTCCAACCGCGACTTGGCAAGAGCATACGCATCGCGCTCGGCCTCATTCATGTGCTCACCGCGTGCCTCCAAAGCCTCCATGACGGATTGGCTCTCGGCCCGCAGTCGGCGCATGTCGGCACGAGTCGAGCGGTATCGTGCATGGCCAGCGACTGCAACCGCCCGCAGAGCGGCGTCATAGACGTCGCCGAGCGGAGCGGTCCCCTCGAGCCTTTGATAGACCTCGTCGACGACCCCGGGAATCGATGCGACAAAGTCTTGATCGTCAAAGACCATTGGGTTGAGCCTCGAAATGAAATCGCTCGTGGAGGGAAGAGAAAGGGGGGGTTCGGCATCAGCGTTCGATGTAGGCAAAGCGAAAGTCGCAACTACAGGTCTGTGGTCCGAACAGGGCGCATCGAAGAGCGTAGAAGCGCTCAACAACCGGTTCGCCCAACTGCATTGGACAAGAATATAGTCGATCCGCGACCACGAGCAAATCTTTCGCTCTTCCCCTCTACCACGGTAGTGAGGACGAGTGAATGCAGGGGTGCAAGAATGGACATGTCGGACCGTGTCGAGTGCCTTGAACGCGATCTTTGACAGCAAGGTCTGCCAGTGCGATACAGGAGTCCAAGCGCGATCGGTGATGGACACTCGGTCGACCGATACATCCGGACAATCGTTGAGATCGCCGGCCAAGATCCGAAGAGTCTTGGGTCTCGGGGCGTTGAAGTGCAGAAGCCCGAAAAAGTCGCGACGATCGTCCTCCTGCACCGGCGCGTACATGTTGATGATCTCGACATCGAGCTCCTCAAGACGAAACACCGAGCGCAGAATCCGACCGTCGAAACGAGGAGCTCCTGCAAAGACGACCGGGGTAGAGGAAAGGAGATGGCCCGCCAAAGGTGAGCCATCGGGTATGAGGGTAAGGACATGAGGAGTGAAACGAATACAAGCCCCCGGCCAAGCACTCTCGAAGCCTTCGCGCGACGCGTTGTAGCTGAGGTGGTGCTCTTGCAGGAGGATGGCCGCAGGGGCCGGCCGAAGGGTTTTGAGATAACGGATGATTTTGACTTGGTTGACTGCGTTCTTCATCGATCGGACGTTGAACGTCAACACGGTGAGTGACTCAATCATGATTAAATCAGTTCAGCGCCGCCCCCCTCGAATTCGGTCACCTCGGACCTGTGACCCCCTGAACTGTTGCCCTCTGAGCCATCACCCCCTGATGCACCGAGGATCATGGCGGATCCCGCCCGGGTGACACGTCGGTTGCCGGGTGCCGAGCTCGAACGAAGGCGTCGAGGACTCGTCGAGGCTATCGAGGTTGTCGAGGTTGCCGATGATCCCGACGTGCCACCGGACAAAGGCGAAGGAGAGGTCGGGGTCGAAACGGGCGCCGCCGTCGTCGTCTGCGTCTCCTTTGTTGAGCCCAGGGTCGCACGCGTCGACGTCTCTTCCCCAGTGTCACCGCCCTCCGGTTCGGTCGAAACGACCGACTCGTCGTCGCCGTCGTTCGCGTCGTCCTTGTTGACGGTTACTGCACCTTTTTTTTTTGTAGAAAACGTTCATCATATTGCCCCCAATTCCTGTTCCCCCTGTTTCGGCCTACGGAAAAACTAGATGGAAGACTACGATGATAACACAAACCGCCCGCAAAAGTGCGAGAAACGAGCCAAGTCCACCAATCCGAGATTCGGATTCAAACGCCCTAGCCAAGCGGTTGCTCCCCCCCAGGAGACGAATGAGAGAGATGCACCTGCGGGGTTAAGGTTCCTCTCCCTCTCCCTCGTCGTCCCGCACGCCTTAGCGTTTCGTGTTGTGGTTCCGGCACCCCCCCTGCCAGTCTCTACTCACTCAAAGTGGGTAACATCCCTCGTAAGCCCTCTGCCCTTGTTGGACAGTTGGACTGATGAGCTAGCCTGCCACTACGTTGTAAGCAGCCGCCGTACCCGCTGCTTTGCAAGGTCGTATCGCACCCACTGCTTAGAGCAAGGGCGAACTTTTCGAGACTCGCACTATCGCGGCTCGCTGTTTCTAGCTAAGGTTCGCATTCCGGATCACGACTGTCCTTGTTGGGCATGTTGCCAAATTCCTTGTCCTTGTTGGGCAAGTTGACTCATGGGGCTACCTTGTATACAGACCTCGTTTGGCCGCGTCTACCTACCGCGTCGCCTTCCTCCCCTGCCATCGCCCTGCGCTTTTCGAGCAAAGGTATGCCCTATCCCCCAAGTCAGTTGCAGTGTTTTAGTTACTAATCGGACCTGCGCTCTTTGAGCAAAGCCGATCGACCATTTTTTTGAGCTCCTCCCTCCCACCCTACTTGTTCATAACTCCTGTTTAGAAAACCCTCCGTTTGTTACGGAGTGCGGGTTTTTCTCTTATCACTGCAACTCGACTCTTCCATCCTAAAACAAACGCCACAAACAGCGCGCACTATGGAGGAGTCGACTTCGAAAAAACGCGAGACGACCCTGCCCCTGGGCTACCGATACAACTGGGCGCTGGAACTCAAAATTAGGCACTTCGCCCATCAAAGCTGTGCCTAGCGAAACGGGTCCTTCCCTTTACTCCCTCATCCTTCCTCCTGCAGTCAGAGGCGCTGCGGCTTTTGAGGTCAGATTCATCGCTAGTTTCCAGGGGAGAATATGTTCATGTGGGAGTCCGACTTAGTCACTCTTAGACTAGGTACCGGAAATGCACGATGATGGTGGCTACCTCTAACTAGAGTGCAGGCCGGAACAGACTCCCAAGTCCGGAATCCGAACGCTGTCGGTCCTGTCACGTGCGACGCACTCTGCGTCGACCATCGGTCGCCTCGGCGCACCATCGGCTTATAGTGAGCAGCCATAAGCTTGCGCGGGACCCTTGGGGCACAAATGGAGCACGAGCCTCTTTCGCTGTCGTCGGTGGACTTGTCACTCACAGCCCTTGTCACCAGCCTCTTCCATCGGTTGCTTTCCTGAGGTTTATGAGCCGCGGTGTGCGTCCGCGGTCTGGTCGACGCGGATTATGCTGAGCATTTTGTCGACTGTGACCCTGCCATCAGGATCGTCTGATGGCGATCGCCGCCGATCGGACTCCTCGCCTGATCAGCTTTCGCAGGCCACCGCGGCGAACGGAACCTCGGATATCAATGCAGAGGCGATCACGACTCCGCCTGCGTCTCTGCCGTCAACGCCTCCAGTTCTCGCGGTATCAGAGCTTTTACCCACCTCGTTGGAGCACAATCATCCCGTCAATGACTCGCAGGCTTGGGGCCTCGCGACACGCCTCCGTCGAGCCACGGCGCAAGCGCACCATGACGTGATGTTGCCACGCGTCGTGCACCGGCTCTCGTCAGGTGACCTACCCCTCCCCGTCTATATCGCCTACCTCGAAGCCCTCTCCGTCATCTACGAGTCTCTAGAACGCTACTTGGATCTCAACGCAACTTGCGAGGTGCTTAGTCCGACGTACGATCCGGCGACGCTCGCGAGATCGGCGGCGATCGAAGCCGATCTGAGCTACCTCACCCTTAAGCTCCCGCGTGCAAATCGTACAACATCCATCTGTAGCGGTCGGAACTGGCCCTCTGTGAAGCTCTACGCAGGACGGCTGCATTGTCTGGGTTCCGGCAACAGTGGCCTGCCGCACGAATCCTCGGGGCTCGCAATCGCAGCGAAAGTAGCGCAGGAACGCCCGGCGCTTCTGCTCGCTCATGCTTACACGCGTTATCGTACGTCGGCCTGATGACCCGAGATCGCGGCGATACAAGTGAGCTCATATGTTATTCTTGTATCATGCAGTTGGGGATCTTTCTGGCGGGCAATCAATAGCCCGCTCGGTCCGACACGCCTATTCGTTACCGGATTCCGGCGAAGGCTCACAATTTTACGAATTATTTCCATCCTCGCATCCGAGACGGGCCGGGGTTTTCGAACGCGCGAATATTCAAGAAATCAAGGATTTGAAATTCTGGTTCAGGGCAGGTTTAGACTCTGCAGGCCGCGCGACCAACAATGACCTCGCAAAAGCAATCGAGGAGGAGGCCAAAGTCGCGTTCAAGTACAATGCTGACGTAGGTTGCACCATCGTGGATCGTGTAGTATTCGATGGTACCCATCGTACTGACTTGAACTCTGCTACTATCAGATCTTCTCCGATCTTGAGCTGTGCCTGGGCCAATTCGAAAGTGCGGTCAGCGACGGCGACAAGAGTGTAGCAGAGTCGACGCCTGACGAGAAGGGGACGCTGCCGCCTGTTTGGATGTTGGGTTCAAATGCGCTCACCAGGACACTCACGATGAAGTTGACGATCAGCCTGGTTGTGCTCTTGGCTTACGTCATCTCGATGATATAAATCAAGCCACGGAGGTAGACCAGTGAGCGGTGATTTCTTATCTATATCTAGCTCCTTTGTTTTGCTTGCAATTAGTGTTCTGTATTTCAGTCTGTATCCACAAATATTATAAAGGCAGCCCATTGTCGGGATTCATCCCATTCTTGAGCCAGAACTCCACCATGCTAGGGTGAGGATCGACCTTCTCTGCCCGCACCGGCTCCTGGTCGGCTTTGGCCATGTCGTTGACGATTCGTATCAGCGACTCCATATGTTGACCATACCAACTGTTCGCCATGCCATTATCTTGCACGGCTGCAGCATCTGTTATGCGCGAGGAGGAAGATGGACCAAACAAGTACAGGGGTCAGTCGCCTCTCACGAAGCTTGGTGTCGGGGCTCAGCAATGCTTGGCAATCAGACTCACAGAACCCGTTTGGTTCATGGATAGGACGCCAGGAAAGATCTTTCTGATATACATCCAACCTGTAGATGATGCCCAGGTCAGCTTTTGACAGGACACAGCGACCACTCGTATACGTAAATGCACGAACACTTTACAACCCTCTGCGCCAGCTTGATCGCGCCATCCACCTTTCCGGACCTTTTGCGCATTTGCAAACTTTTGTAGACAGTTCTGTGGGGCACGATGAGGGTGAAGATTACTGTGACGTCAGTTTTGTCGAGTTCATGTGCACCAACTGGACCAGACGAGTAGTTACTTGCCTCGAGATCTACGAGAAGTAGGCGCAGTAGAGTCAGCGGGGGCCGCGTGCGGAGCCCAATCGAACCAGCTTACCTCGCCCTATGTAATGGTACATGACCAAGGGTTCGAACGCCCGTGTCGGGTGTCTTCCATCAAAGAACGTGCCGACTGGGGTAGGCTTTTCGGAATTGTCCATGAGGGTCACTGGATGTCCATTCACGGTGATGATTTTGGCTCTGGACCGGGGTACGTTATCGTGTCGAACCAAGTGGGCACCCGGCAGAACCCATCCCTGCTTGCCACGCGTATGAATGAGGGTCTGTAGCCGAATAAATAATTTAGCTGGCGTCGAACTTGGCAGCATCTCATCCCTGGCACGCACCTTTGTAAATTCGAGCTTCTCGTAGTGGGTATTGTGGTAGATATCGCTAAAAACGGCATGAAATAAGACGAAAGGAACGCAAAGAGACTGTTAACACTCGCCGTCAGGTGCTGCAAACGAGACATTTTGGGGCTGACGTACCGGAGTGTTTGGTGTTTGAGTACAGAACCGTCCTCAGGCAGTCGGTCCACGCCTGCGTTCTTCCATGTGACGCGCGATACGACCACAGCGTCGGCGTTCTGATAGAGCCAGTTGCTTGCGAGCATTGACCGTAGCGGGGCTTCCGGCATCTCGTCGATCCGTAAGGCTCGATTCGGCGAGCCAGTCAAGACGGGGGTAGGTACGTAAAACTCGTCCACATCGCAATCAAGGATCCACTGCGTCTTGGTAGCGTGGTATTGACTGCAGTGCTCGAGTGAGTTGATTTGAAAGTTCCCGCCTTGATCTATATTGGTACGTGAACGACGAATGTTTCGCGATCAGAAAAGAGTCGTCAGTCCATTCTCGGCAGAGAGCCGAGCTGAAAGACCAACTCTTATTCCACACGTGCAGGTGCACGGTCCCCGTGGCAATCCAGGGCTTGAGCATTTCCATAGTATTATCCGTCGATCCTGTATCGTACCTGTGTAGCCGTTCACTTTCTGTGTCAGCTCTGTGGCCCCGTTACACTGGGAAGATTCTATTCTTTAGCCTGACAAATAGAACCTATCGACTCCCATGGCGCGATTCTGAGGATGGGCAGAACCCAGCCAAGAATTAGATTGGAGCCGTGTCGAATGCACAGTATGGGCGAGAACTCACGTAAAGGAGCCATTCATTGATGAATCGAGCCTCGTTGTGGATGCTGGCACAGATGGCGATCGTCCCGAGTTCTTCGGCCGGAACGGTGAGAAGGCTTTCGACGAGCGAGTTCTTCGCCAATGTCGCTTCATTCTCTTCCCTCTGGCGCTCGACAGCACTAGGTAGCCCCGCTTCGCTTTGCGGACATGTTATTGGAGTCTCGACCTGCGAGGAGCGCGACGACGAGTGGCTAGAATAGAGCAAGTAGCCGCAGAGTATCCCTGCGCAGAACACGGGAATGCAGGGTCAGACTCTGGGTCAGAATGGCGCTGATCATCCGCGTATCCTCTTTGGTTGAGAGCTCACATGCTAAATAGTGTATACACGGCTTCCACTGGATCTGCGATCGCATCCTGTGGAGGCTTGAGGTTTTGCTCGACGTCCGGCGCGGTCAGGCGATCTGGGTGTGGAGGCCGATCAGGCTCGAATGCTGACGGGACTGCGACGACTCGGACTTCGGCCGGCACGCGGAGGCACGCGGGAAAGCGTCACAAACAGTGACGGGCTCGGATGCTGTTGAGGTTGGGTGTAGGAGAAGAGAAGGCGTTGGTGCAGAGTTGGTGTTGGCTGGATCGCCTCTGTGTCAGGTTGCGAAGGAGGCACCGGATACGTCTACTTATTAGGGTTGTTCGGTCGGGGAGCGCTTGGGCATTCGCTTGCCTACCGCAGACCTGCTTGCTCCGGCGCAACCTGGCCTCGCCCAACCGCGACAACCTCTGAGAACCTCTGAGAACCCGCCCATGCGCTGGCCGTTGGCGTCTCTCACGAGAAGACGCGCGTCGCGTGAGACACGCGTCGATTGTGGCTAAATGCCGAGGGAGCGTGAAAGCCACTGATAAGCTCAATCGCGGGCTCCTTGGGAGAGGCTTACAACTTGGCAAAAACTCACCTCAGGCAGACTAAAAAGTAACCAGTCTTAGTAGCGCCGCCGCGCGGCCAGAAAACCCTATGCAAATAGGCGACCTGGGCCCGTAGCAACACTGCTACCGACGGTAGCAACTCGGCGCGGGAACAAGCTCGCAATGGTTTAAAGTCATTACAATTGATCCGGAAATGATTTTCCGGCTTGACCCTATGACGTAATTCATTGGCGGGAGAAGCTTGTAGAGCTTATAGAAAAGCTTGTTGAAGTCCAGGTATATCCATTAACGCCTCAGCACTGCTGAAGCCGTGGTATGTCTGGCCCAATGCAACACGTGATCTGACGCGGGTTGCGCGAGGTTGCGCGCGCAGGCGCGCGTCCGAACAGGTCCGAACCTGACGGAATCGACGCGTGTTGTGCGTTGTTGATACGTAGACAGCTCTTGTCCTTAGGCCCGCTTTCGCCCGTACATTCAACACAAGACCCATTGGTCTCGCCGCGAATATCCTCGTCCTCGATCGCTGAACCGCATACACGTCACACGTCACGTCCCTCGTTGATCTCCGTTGATCTTGTGATCCTTTCACATCGCCAACTCATACCAACTTTCCACGCTTCGGCGCTCGACAAGCCCCACGTGTATGTCCGGCGATCGTTTTCCGGGCTTTTACCAGAGAACGAGCTTCTGAGGGCCTGCTGACATCCACGTCTTGACTATAGATTCATCGCGTCGCCTCGGAACATTGCGGGCTCCTTCCCTCCTGGATAACCATTCACAAACAAGGCTCTGGGTGCGTGGTGGAAGTGCGGCTGCGCGGTCGTCGACGCGCTGTTTGACTGGTTTAATGCAGCACCGTGTCGTTCTGACCTTCCCCTGTTCGCCTTCCAGCCTCTGCCTGCACGATGTTCTCTTCCAATGCCATTTCGTCTAGCGAACAATATGATGCGTACCATCCAAGTCCTGCGCCGCCCAGCCGACCGCTTGACGCTCCCGCGTTCGCAAACATCGATTATCCAACCTATTCGCTCGAGTCGGGTAGTCACGCGTCCGCCTTCCCAGACGACCTCCCTGTCCTAGGCAGCACAGCTAGCACAGGGCACCCATCAAGTCGACCCTCCTGTCCCGCCGATTCCGCCGCCAATCGCCTGCTGCCTGACCCCCTTCAATTGCCAATGGAGGAAGCCAATACATCGTCGGGCGTCCTGCAGCCCTCGCCGACTTTCTCATCAGTAGATGGAAGCACCCCGACAATGCATCCATCACCACTTTCCGCCGCGGATCAACAGTTCGCCCGCGTCGAAGTCCCTGTCGCCACCGTACCGATCCAAGTTTCGCCTTTAACGCCAGCGAAGAGGCCGATGGGCCCTAGCCTCCACGAACAGAGCAAGGCTATCCCTAAGCGCAACTGTCGCAAATCCGAACGACTTATGCACGAGCAATGGGCCCAGAAAAGACACGACGAAGAGCTCGAGTATTGTATCCGACACAATATTCGACTCGATTATTTGAGGAGCATTGTTGCGCCCGTGACTCGCCTTGGCTCTCCCACTTCCTGGAATGACTTTGTGCAGAGCAAGTACTTCGAATCGCTGGCAGTTCAAGATGGATTGGAAGGTAGGCACAGCTCTTGACTACCTGACTACCTCGTGCTAAATTCTAGCATAGCATTGCACTACGCTGTTGTTGAACTAACGGGCTGGGTTGGTCCGCTTTAGTGCCGACCAATTTGGTGGAGAGGGTTAAGCTCGCAAAGCCATATTGGAACGACATAAAGGATGACGCAGAGGCGATGACGAGGTTTGACGCGGCGCTTGCCTTGGAGCGTGAGGAAGCGACGCAAGCAACGCAAGCGACCGAAGGTTCATCCTCCATCAAGATCGCCAGAAACAAGCCGATGAGTCACGAAGCCATCAAGAAAGCGCGCCGATGCATGCAAACCGCGTTGGAAACCATGGTGAGTCCAAGCTCAATTTGATACTGCTCACAGTAAAGTAACTGAAAGGATCATAACACCCTCAAAACCAACCCAGAGCACTTCATATGCGCAAAAATATGGACTCCAATTGTTTGCTGTGGTCTCTTCTGATCTTCCTGAACTCAATAAGGAGTGTTTCATGGTCGCGAGCCCCGGTGGTTTGGCCTTTGCCTATCGACAAGACTGGGGCGATAGTTTGGGTTCAAGACAGCTGCTCTCCGACTTCGCGGATTGCGTTACCGGTAGAGCGTTCTTGGAGGACAAAAAGGCCGAATTGGAAGCAGCTGGTCAGTAGGTGCACGCGCCGACAGACTATTTTCACTTGCTGATTGACGTCCGTTACGCTGTCACGCAGTTTGGGAGGCGCCACTGAAGGAAGTGAATCTTGAAACAAAAGCCTCGTGGTACAGCACGATTGTGAAAAAACTTTTAGTGTGGACTATGTTCTAACCGAGATTTCAGTTGCTGCTCACTTGTTGACTGCTAACGATGAGTCTTCTTCTCGGTGCAGATGATGCCGTGATGCGACGTACCAAGAACCAAGGGCACGAAAACAAGAGCAAACCGCCCAGGTTGTTGTACGACCCAACCGCGCTCATGCAACAGGCCAGTATCGTAGTTGAATGTGGCCCGAGCCTCAACTTGGAGACGGACTTCGCCAGCCCCATGGGCAAGCAAAAAATGTCGGGGGCCGACTTGGATCGTATCATTCCCCTGCTGCGTGCAGGAGAGTTGAGATTCAGGCTAACGGAAGAGGTACTAGCGGATGAAGAAGATGAAGATGGTGCAGCTATCCCTGCCAACGGCCAAGATGGCAGCGCGGTGAGCCGCCCCGATTCCGACGAGCACTCTTAGAGCTTAGGGCAGCAGCTCTCGACGCCGAGATGAGCCGGCGCGCTGGGACGGACATGAAGTGTAGGGCTGAATTGGAAGATACAACGAGTGGATGCCGCTGGACGAAGCAAGATGACTACTGGACTTAGTACACCAAGGATCGTGTCTGTAGTGCACCAAAGCCGCGAGCGTATGCTGCATGATGTTCGCCGTAATGATACCTCTGCTGCTTCCGCAGAACAAGAATACTGAAATGCTCCGTTTTCTGAAAATTTCGGATTGTAACATGCTCTGCGTCCTCCGAAATAGACTGCTCTGGATCCGCAATTCTCTAAGTGCGCTCTGACATACGCAGTTCCGGATTTCCGCGACTGAGTATTCGAGGTGTTCGAGGTGTTTCGAGAACATTTTACACTGGCGCACGGCCCAAAAAGTCTTATCCGATCTCTCATTATGACGACTAGCGACCGAGTATGACGGTCCATGCTCAAGTGCTTGCCCCGAGTTGAACCCGCCAGCATGTCGTGCCTCGTCCGAAAGCGTGTTTCACGCGGTGTGGGCATCAGGTATTTGCCACGGTGGTCCCGACGTTTCGGTCCATCTGATCTGTCCAATCAACTCAGTCTGAAGGCGAGCCGGTCTTCTCAACTCCAAAGTACCAGGCGACTCTTCGTGCTAAAGTTGAAATCATTATTACTAGGGTTTGAAGTGTGAGGAACACTGTCAGGGAATCTCGCCGTTCCTAGCATCCGATCCAAGTGGCGCTGCTTTCGCTCGGTATGTAGCAAATCGCACGTCTCGTATTGGCCGCCTATTACAAATATTACACCCCACCTTGCCGGGAATCCAGTGAGTGGGCCCGGGACTCCGACGGGTAACTCACAGTCGCCGCTCCTTCGCCCTTGCAGGCTGACATGTGGATGCCTGTCCATGCCAAAAGAGAATTGGTTTGTCGCATTCACATTACTTTTTGAGCATTGTCAAGGAGTAGCTTGGCGGATCCCGGCTGGTGTGGGACTGCGGCGACGCCACTAAAATTGAAGCTCCTCAAAAGCGACTCAAACTCCGGTTGAAAGTCGATGAAAGGGTTCAGATTTTGTCACAAAGCGATTTCGGTGTGTTGAAAACAAAATTTAGACGTTCACAACGGATTGGAAACATCCGAAGTTGCCACCGGCCGCCGGCGCCACCAGATGTCAAGCGACGCCAGAATACCACTTTTTCTTAATATTGAATAGATCTCATTAACAGCACAATTATTTTAGTACCAAGAAATCTTCGGACAAGTCGGAGGAAATGCTTCAAGCACACTGGCTAACGGCCACAGGTATTAGCTTGGCCGCCTTATTTTGCTTTGTAAGAGTAGATATTGCGCACATTTCGCTCCTTCAGCTCCTCTCAACGTCCTGTCCGCTGCTGAGAGCGCGTAGTGAGTGAGGCTCGGAGTCACCGACGCAGTGCGGAGAGCGCGTACGTAGTGAGGCTCGGAGTCACCGACGCAGTGCGCCGGCCCAATAGCAGGCAGTTAATTTACTCACTGATGACGCGTGGGCTCTTCGGCACCCATGACCAGTCAGAACCCAATTCGAATCGCAAGGGTTTCCCCGGAGTGTATCACATCGGACTCAATCGGAGTGATCCCACAGTGGCCTCTCCAAGGCGGCAACTTGAGCTAAGCCTTGAAATTTCAGCTTCAACCTCCCGGATGATGTCAGCACAAGTCGAGACGCATAGAGCATGCGACAGTGCCCACAAGCAGCGATGCTTCTAGCAAAATCGTACTCAATTCCGAGGAAGGGGTGGCAACAGGCGCCTTCAGGTGCAGTGCTCACGGGAACATGGCTCGGGCAAGGGGAACCTCCGACCCGTGTTCCCGTAGGAGGACGCTCGTGCGTACATCCAAGTATTGCGATTGAACCCCGCCTGACGACAGGAGATATGTTGGTCATACTGAAGGGACCTGCTCACTCATTTTGACAAGGTTCGTGCTTCAGTTACTCGAGTAACAACTGGCGTTTCGAGTGAAAAGTCACTCGGCTCGGGCAAGGGGAACCTCCGAGCCATGTTCCCCTGATAAGAGGACGCTCTGCAGAGGCACGCTCGCACTCCCCATTACTTCCGACCATCCGAACAGTGGGCTGAACCCTGCCTGACATGTCATGGTTCGTGCACATTGATATTGCAAATGCAGTAATCATTGTCACACCATTAATCATTCGAACTCATGGTATAATTACTGCAGCCAGTGTTTTTCACATTTCATTCTTCCGAGTCAGAGTCCGACAAAGAACGCTCCTCGTCGGGAACCAGATCATCAGAGCTGTCCGAATCGTATAGCATGCCCTCTTGCTGCTCCAGCATCTCATGCAAAGCCTTTGCGCCTTCTACATTCATGTCAGCATCCAGCTGCTCCGTGATGCGCCGCGCGAGCAGACGATCGTCATCGGTGGTCCGGAACGACTCGGACGGCGCTGCATAGGCGCCCGAGGCGTCCTCCCGAGGCGCAACACTACGCGCGCCAGCTCCAGTAGCTGTTGTCGTCTTGGAGACGTTGCCCGGGTTCAACAGCAGATGCGGGGTGAGACGCTTCAGAGCTCGAGGGACTGGTTCGTGCGTATCCGCTGGTCCTCTGGTCGTGTACCACAGCAGTAAGAAAGTGCTATCGCGGAACCAGTCTCGTTCGCGCTTTTGAAGAGCCCTCATCCGAGCTTCCAGAATGACGAGGGCACGGTCCCGGATCGTTGCGTAGACGGTACTGCCAAATGCGCGTTCAACACGATCATGGTCATAAATCGTTGGAGCGGAATCTATTTGTGTTATCAAGAACGTATCAGCATCTAGACTAGTGGAGTAACGTTCGACTGACAACTGACCTGTCGCGCTTAGCCAAAGTGCTTGGCGACTAGAAATGAGGTCGTGCTCGTCTTCGAGCCAAGCAAGGGTTTGTCGCACCTCGGCGCCAATCCGAGCGAACTCCTCCGCAGCTCGATCCAGGTCACGCACAGCAACGATGCCCCGTTTAACCCACGGATCGGTGGCCCAAGCAGCTTCAACATGCGTGAAAAACCCGTCTTGCCAGAAGAAATCAGTGTCTTCAAGATCAAGAATCGATGCTAGGCTACCAACTGATGGAAGATTGTTGAGGAGGTGCGATGGTGAGGATCCGCCTGCCGTTCGAAACGCGTTGACAGCCTTGTTGTATGCCTTACGTGCCTTTTCAGCGCCAGAGTGAGTCTTGACTTCCGTTTTGCGAGCTTTGTTGGCCTCTCTCTGACCAAGTGTTGACCCGCCCCTGCCGCGACGCGTCGATAGCAAATTTTCACGGCTAGTTTTGTAGGCAATCACTTCTCGATGAAGCTTGCGCAGCGCAACGGAACACTGGCACAAGTGACGAAGCTCTGTGAAGCAAATAGGCACGTCATCGCAATCAGGAACAGGGAAAACTAAGTAAGATAATTAAGGCCAACCTGTGGACGAGATGCTTGTCCCACTTCTTTGCAGTTGGACAATTGCTGCTTGATCGATCTCCCTTGCAAGACGATCGTGCTTCGAATTCAGCCCCACAAGCGCTTCTGGTTCAGACTCGTCACTGCTCAGCAAGATGATGAGTCAGTGAGAACGAAGGACAAGCTCAAGCTCAAGTAGTTATCACCAAGCACGTACATGATGCAGTCAATCCTGTAAAGTTCCTCAGCAAGTTTATAAAGCTCGCTTTCCCTCAAACGATCTTCCTCAGCTTCCTGCGGAGCTGTTTTCGACGCTTGCGCTCGTCGCTGGTCTTGCCAAGCGACGCGGAGCGCCTCCTCCTCCCAGGTGGCATCGTGGGCGATAACGGCGTCAAGTTCCTTTCGAGCAGCAGTGCTCCGAGCCTTGGCTGAGCGAAGTCGGCGGGTGAACCAAGACCCTAGTCGTGTGCAAAGAGTCAATGCGGCGAAAGACGAAGCGGCGACTGCGGAGCACTGACCAAGCCTTGAGACGTTCGCGTCGTTCACTGCCTGCGTGCGGACCGCCAAATTGACGAGGCGGTGGGACTTATTTGATGGACGATTGATGGGGATGAGGGAGCGCAGCGCGCTCCATAGTCGCTCACAACCTTCTCCATCAGTGAATCCAAAGTTCGGGATGAGACGGGGGTTGTAGTCAACCTGGCAACCCCAGGTATGGGCGTATGCATGGAAGACACTTGTGGCGAACTCGAGTCGCTCAAACAGCTCAGGCAGCAGATGCCTCTGAAAAGGTTGAAACACAAAGCCCATATGATCAGCAACGACATATCGGAAAGGGGCCCGACCCGAGGTGGTCAATGCAAACCTTCTCAATGTGGTGCTTGAAATTACAAGCGATGTCGTACAAAATTCCAATCCTAGCATCTGGGGGAAGATGGTCCGAGATGTGCTTGACAATGGCTAAAGCGAAGTACAGCCTAGGTGATTGGAGTGCAGGCATGAGCATCAGCAGTGAAAGTAAAAATGCAAGTTGGAGTTGAAGAACATAAGCTCAATACACTCACTTTTCGCCGGTCTTCTCAAGATTCACCATTTTTAGGGCGATATCATGGCGGCACACGCCGGCGACAAGTCCTGTATCGATCTTGCGCGACGAGACTCGACCAGCGCCCCCGTCAGCAGCCTTCCACGACTCTGTGCACGCCTTCCGACGGGGCCGGAGCGATATTACTCAGTATTCGAGGCGGATCGCAAATATATCACGCTCCTCACCTTCTTCGTTGGCCGCGCTGTATTCTCGACGAGTGCTTTCATGTCCAGGACGGCTTTATCAGACAGAAACAAGCTCGGCACTATTCCTTGGACGTCGTATGTCGCATTATTTTCTCGGGTTTGCTGGAAGTTGCCGTCGAGCGCGATCATATAATCCAGTTGGAGGGTGTGATGGGGTCGGTTGAGCCGTTTCGGCCCGAAGCACGCTGGGCATGTGTTGGCCAGCGCGTCGACGGTGCCCAAGAGAAAGTCGCCAACGTCGCGCTCAGATGCTTCGATGGCGCGAAACTCGTCGATCGCCCGCTGCCATTGCTTCCTCAGCTCTTTATCCTGAGCTCCACAATCAGGCAGCAAATGAGTCCAGGTAGAACCCATGGCAAAAAACCGATAACAAATGCTCACATATGGGTGTCCATGATAATGCTCTGGTTTCGACCACCCGTTGTCCCCGAAATAGTCTTCGAAGCCTGCAGCGTGGCCAGTGAGGCGTAAGGGGCGTTACGCCAACGCGAGTTTTCTAGGCGGATCATGCGGAAGGAGAACGCTGATCCTGGGTTGACAGCGGTCGATGCTATAAACCCAAGTTGAGCCAGGCGTACAGCTTCCGCAATACAGGGCGGATTGGAAGCGCAGAACGTGACTTGCTTGGAATAGACTGAAAGGCAAGGCGCAGAGGGGGTTTCACGTGTCAGTGATACCAGGACAACGGCGAGAAAAGATGCATCGCGCAAATCGGTGAACGGAGCTGGCATGACACATACCGGTCAGTCCGTCGTACAGGACCACCTCGCGAGCATACACGTGCTGACAGTGGCACGGTGAAGGAACGTTCAAGTCGTCCTTGTCGCTGTTCGAAACGAGCGGCAGAAACTGCCCATTGGTGCTTATGTGTAAATCAAGATAGAGACCCAAAAAGGCAGCGCGCTGACTCTCGCGCTGCTCGTGCTCGAGTGTGATAAACTTGAAGTAACCTTCTTGCTTAGCGGCAACCGGCGGATCGGAGACGCGGGGAGTTGGTAAAACCTCCTGTGCGAGTTCCTGGTGAGTTGGGCGTTGGGCGTTGTAAGTCGGGGTCGGGTGGGTCCCAGCGCTCCATGGAAAGATCCATTCCCCCTAGGTCTTCGTGCTCGGCCTGCTGAGCAAGAGGGAAGTCCCTGAGATAATCCTCGTTGAAATCATCGTGGGAGAAGTTCAGGTCATTGGCGAAGACTGAGGTCGAGGCGACAGGGACGCGTTGGTTCGTGCTCGTTTCGACGTTTGACGTTGCAGATGTGGTGGGAGTGGCATCCATATCTGTCTTGGCCTTCCTCGGCCTCTTACGTCCTCCTTTATCGACGATCGTACCTCCGAAAGTGACAAGGCACAGCGGCATCGTGGCGTATTGATTCGGGCAATCGGGATGGTCGAGGTAGTCCGAAGGCTTGATCCGCGGAAAGCGTGGTTTGAGTCGCGAGGGGCGGCCCATGGTGACTGAGCGGAATGAATACGAGAACACAAGTGTAGTAGCTCAGCAGCAACGAGCTCCGGGTGGGTTAAGTCTGCGACGATCCAGGTAGTACGTCCTGCAGGAAGCAGCGGCGGCCGCCTGCATGCACGCGCGACAGATTCCTTGCGTGCCAATTTGACGTGTTCCTCATCTTACAACGCGTCAAGCACGTGACTGGACACCCGCCCATGAGCATGAGCCCCGGCCTCAGGCGCTCAGGCGCTTAGAGTCTTAACATTTAAAAAATTACGTGTGGTTACTGATTCAACTCGAAATCAATCTTTGCTTCTTATTATCTCTCATGTCGTCACATGATCAATGTAGTGGTCTTAACGGACTTGGAAGAGGTGTACGGGCCTGTCCCGGCGCCGAGTTGCTACCGTCGGTAGCAGTGTTGCTACCGGGCTCAGGTCGCCTATTTGCATAGGGTTTTCTGGCCGCGCGGCGGCGCTACTAAGACTGGTTACTTTTTAGTCTGCCTGAGGTACAAAAACTAACCGTGAGCCTGCCCGCAGTCATCATTTTTCTCAAACTAGTTTTTCTCAAATGCCTGCCAGTTGGCCGCTCCAGTTCTAGTTGTAGGTAGGTGTACCTAGTACTCGCTACGGTCGTGGCTGGTGATTCAGCGAGCAGAGGCTTAAAGCAGTATAAGCTGCACCTGATGAGTGTAGGCAGGGCCTTTTGCCCATCTACCTACTTCCTGCCTGCTCGACAGTGGGGTGCAACATTGAAGGCCGGCGAGCGGGGTGACGAACGATTGGTCATCTCGTGCCACGCGCGTGTCGGGCTTGAACCCGGGTGACCCAATGTCAAGACACGGTCCGTCCCCCGCCCCGCCCCCGTGCCACTACCAATGACGTCTGCGAGGTGAGACGACCTCACTTATCTATAAGAATAGCAACAACTGTCTGAGAGCACCGGGCTTCTCCTCGAGTGTTCTTTCGAAAGTTGAGTTGTTTCGACACTCCTCGTTGCGCGGGGGAAGGCTGCGCATCCCCCTCTTCTTTGCCTCGTGGCCTTTTTCTTGTTTGTACGAAACGGAAAGCAGGGTGGACGGCACTGGACGCTCAAGAACGTTTAGTAAGTGCCCTGTGGAAGTCTCCCCTTTTCTTGTTTCCTTCTCTCTCCGTTTCTCTCTCTCTCCTTCTTCCTTTCCCTAGAAACTCTGTGACTCAGATATTCAACTGACTGCCTTCGAGCCACGCTTTCGGCCCCGACTTGGTCGCATTGGATGGATCAGCAAGAAGGATCGTTCGTGGCGCGCAAGATATTCGCGACATGGCGTTTTTTTTTTTTTTTTTTTTTTTTTTTTTGGGGGGGGGATTTTGGATCGTAGTACTAAGTGTCTGTCATTCTCAACCCCCCACCGGCCCCGCCTCCACACAGGAATACTCAGGCACGGCTCCCTACGGGAAATCTGCGCAACCGCAGTTGACCGCGGTTGCACGATGGCGCCGAAGTTAATGCAACCGCGGTCAACTGCGGTTGCGCGGATTCGCAACTGCGGGTTTTTTTTGGTTTTTTTTTGGTTTTTTTTGAAACTGCACGAGGTCGCCAACTTGGGAATGCTCCAGTACGCCCTGCAATTCTCAGTTGGCTCGTAGACTAAGCGAGAACAGCCTGACTTTCAGACCTTACCTAGTGCAGCAAACAACTCGTGATATAGTCTCAAGTGGTGCTCTAATTACATACACCAAACCAACCTAAGAATGTGTAACATCTCCAGATGTGGTGTTCTTGAAATTGGACAAGGTTTCTAAAGGATTGAAGCTAATGAGCAATTGGAAAGACCGCGCCCCTGTATCTTCCGGACGACCGAACGGAGAGCGCTCTGCCTCGTGTCAGTGCCAGGCGTCGACTCAGCGCAGAGCGGTCGCAGTTGAATGTGGAAAAACAGATATCGAATATGTGTCGGGAGCTGTCACAGCTGGCCCTGCGCCTTGCGCAAGCTCGGCCGCGGTGGGAGGCGGCCGGGCCGCCTCCCGTATTCGGGATGATGGACACAAGTTGGCGGAGACGCTCGACGCCGATCAGGCTGAGGGTGCGAGGACCATCCACATCGAATCTCTCGTACAACCCCCGGATGTCCATGGCAACTGGGAAGACATCGACCAACGAAAGCAATCGCTTCTCCTTCAGCGTTGTTACACCTAGCTCAACAAAACACACAACTTCGCCGGCGCGCTGTGAAATGTCGGCCTCCATTGACATCTGTGGATCCCAGACGAGCTGTCAAGAATATCTCCGCTGAAATTAGATGTGTTGAGTTGATTTGGTGGTACTCACTCGCACAAATCTAGCCGTCTTGCAGTTAACGGTGCCTTGCGTGTTTCGCATCTCGTTACCGGATCCGAGCAACGTGACTGCCGATGCACCTGCACCCTCAAGGCGCCGCCATCCTTCGTCGAGCGAGCTGCCAAATTCCATCGCATAGATGGTTCTTGGTATAGTCGTTTGCATTCGACCCCAGAGAGTTATCGACGTGACACTGCCTCCGTGGAAGACTGCGACCTCTTCGGTCAAGTCGACGAAATTTTACGAAGGGCGTCGCGCCGTTTTCTTGAGCGTGTGCAGCTTCTAGCCCGGCAGCTGGGCATGCAAGGCATGATCCCTCGGCGAAGTGTCCCGGAGATCGTTCATTGTAGGTATGTCGTACTTGAGTCGAAGGATCATCATCATGCTCCGCATCTCCGCCGAATTCATGCCAGACTCAACGGGTTTTGACTTGCTTCTCATCCCCCATTTGATGTAACCCATCATCGTCTCCGTTCCGCAAGCCGAGTACTCACGAAGCGGCCCCATTCTTTTCATAACATCGGGACCGTGCATAAGACGATGAATTGTGGCGGGGAACAGATGAAGAAACTCGGGATCTCGATCATACAGAAGCTTCTCGCGCAGTAGCAGCATCTGTTCGATGAGAACATAGAGGTAGGTGTACGTGATGGAAACCTTGCCCCCTTCATCGAGCTCGTACAGACGAAGTTATTCGAGCCGGTCCATGTCCGGTAGGCGATCGAAAAAGTCAACGGAATCGTCGATGAAGACATCGGTTTTCATCGCCGCAAACATTCGGATGGTGGCGCCGTCAGTCGCTCGAACTCGGGTTCTTTGAATTGCTGGTACGAAAGCGGTCCCAGGTCACGCAAGATGAACAGTTCCCGTTCGATTGCTTTCCATTTTTTCCTTTTCTCGGCTAAGGGCCTGACAATCACACCCTCCACTCTCGCAAGGTACGGCCGAGACAACAGCTGCGCACGAGTCATGCGAGCGATCGCGTCGGAGGTCAACGTGAGGCTTTACTTCCTCATCGATCGCAGTCATCGGACGTCGCAGAAAAGATGCGAGCGCGGAAGTAAAGCCTTCCGATAGGTGAGGGTGCACGACGCCGAGAAGTCAGGACCACAATGTAGAGCGAGTGATGAGAAAGCTACCAAGAGTAAACAGCCGCGCGGGAAGAAAGCCCCGCGCGCTCCCTAACTTAAACAGATCAAACTCCAATAACAAAGTGACTAATGACTAAACACACGCGCACCTCGCGCAGATACCACAGGCACAGACACATATCAATTAACAATCTCCCTCCCCTTGGACATCCTCTTCCTCTCCCGCGCCTCCCAGATCGTTCTTATCACTTTGCGTTTCACCCGCACGGGAGTCCGTATCACTGGTATCTCTGTGACCATCATGTTCCTCCTGCGCTTCTGAGCCCCATTCGAGTACCAGATCGTCGAGCTCCTTCGGACCGCGCATCTCCTCTTCGTCTACGACCATCTCTTCTCCCTCGTCATCTGCGGCTTCATTGAGATTTCCTTGGAGATCGTCTTCGTCGCCGCTTTCGTCCGCCCCTCCGCCGAATTCTCGATCCATATCATCGGCGTTATCTTCATCGACCGCCATTGGGATCGCGTGACCGACTGCTGCCGGTAAAAGACGTCCCCGAAGGTCAGAATGGAGATTGGCCCAAGATGAGTAAACTTGTTGACGGACCTGGTGTAGCTTGTGCCTCCCAAGGCCCCTTTCGCTTCCAGCACTTCGCTAGTTCTTTCGCGCCTGGCCGTTGCTGTTCAATGTCCTTTTTGAGATGCGCTGTCCAGGTTCTTCTTGCAAGCCAGGTTCCAGACTTAGGCAGGCACACCGAGCAGACGCAGTACCTCCATTCATTGTAGTGCGCTTTGTCGTGCTCGGGCAGTTCGACAAGACCGTTCAACGGACGTGTGTCTGCGAGCTTCTTCTGGACGCGGTTGATTTGTGCTTGCTCGATCTGCTGTGTCCGCTGCGCAACTAGGTCTGGTTCGACTCTGCTGTGAGACATGACAGAACCAGTGTGTAACTGACGCCTTGGAAGGGAGAATATGACGTTACAACCGTAGGGAGAGAAAGAGGGGGCGGAAAGGCACCCAGTAGCCACCGCTGGAGGCGCCCGTCACCGTTGTCGCGGCTCGACTAATTGAAAGGCACGCTGTCTCGGACAGCGGAGCCTCACTGGTGACCGAAGATGACAGGTGCAAGTTATATGGATTACAACTAGCTTCTGGTGTCAGCTCGATGAAGATACGATAGTGCTGAGATAGGGAACACCAGTACTCACCTAGCTTCTGGTGTCAGCTCGATGAAGAGAGAGCTGAAGAAGCTAGGCGCGCGCAAGCTCTATTTCTAATGCCTGTGGCCCGTCGTAAGGCCTTGCCTTACACTCTCCCCTCCTTGACACAAAGCTCCCCTCTGAAAAAACACTCTCATTCCTCGTTCCGATGTTCCCAACGCTCCAATGCCTCCGTGTCCTCCAGTGCCTCGGCAGGCTCCCATGAATCGCTATCCGACGGCCATGAAACCCAAGAGACCAAATATTGAGTCTTCCCCGCTCGGACCCTTTCATCGACGATGTCCTCGATGACCCACTCGGGTTCTCCACCTACGTCCACCGGTCCCGGGCGCGCGGGTTCTCGGCTTGGGAACAATTCCGAATCATTTGAGCGGTAGGCCTTGAGCTTGCCCGTGTGGAAGAACGGTACCGCGGAATCGTCCTTGTTGAGTTGCAAGGTGTACGTGGAGATCCCTGGCTACGCCGCAACAATGCGATAAGGGCCGTCGAAACGGTCCATGAGCTTGGCTGCGCGGCGCTTGCGGGTGTGAAGTCGCTTCCTGCGGTCACTTGAGTCGAGCAGCACAAGGTCCCCGACGGCCCATGAAGGTTCATCCGCGCGGTCCTTGTTGGCTTGGGCGGCTTGACGAACTTTGGACACAGCGAGTTGGTCTCGTGCCTCCTCGCATGACTGGAAGCGAAGTGCGAGCAGCTCCTCAACCGATGGGAGCTCCTCGTCGCCCTCAATAGGGGCAAGCGGGGCGAGGGTGGGTGTGTACCCCAGGACAAGCTCAAACGGGGTCTTCCCCGTCGAAACGTTGACCGACGAGTTGATGGCATACTCACAAGCGGTGAGACATTCAACCCAATTGGATTGTTCCCTGTTGACAAGCGAGCGTAGGATCTGGAATGCGGTCTTGTTCGTCTTCTCGCTGCGCCCGTCAGTCTCGGGGTGGAACGCCGAGGAAAGTTGCAGCTTGATGTTCAGACGCTTGTGCAGGGCGGACCAGAACTTGCTCGTGAACAACTTGTCACGATCCGAGACAATGCGTTGAGGCAGGCCAAAAAAACGATGCCACCCCTCATGAAAGCGGTTGGCAACATCCGCCGCTGTGTCGGCTTCGCGCGCAGGGATGAGGCGGACATATCCCGACAGTCGATCGGTGATCGTCAAGACACGGTCGAACCCCTTGTTTGTTGGCAACGGTCCGACAAAGTCAACGGCGATGTCCGTCATGGGGCGCACTGGAACGGGAAGGGAGTGAAGCTTGCCCGCGACGCGAGTGGTACGGGCCTTGGTTCGTTGACATGAGTCACATTGTTGCACGTATTGCTTGACGTGGCGGGACATGTTCGGCCAAAAGTACGTCTGTATAACAGTCTGGTACGTTTTTACATCACCTAGGTGCCCCAGCGCGTCATGAGCATCGTGAAGGATGGACTCACGGAGCGGGGCTAGTAGTGGAATGACAAGCCGGCCCCGTAAATACAGCAATGCGTCAATAATCTTGAACTCCGATGCGACCGACGCGATGTTGTTCAGGGCTTGCTGGCAGAATGCGTCGGTTTTGTACGCGTCGACAATTTGCTGCTTGACGACATCCGAGAGCGAGACTTGCGAAATGTTGGCCACAATGACGGGAAGTGGCTCGGGAAAGGAGTACCTGCTCATCGCGTCGGCTACAATGTTCTCCCTGCCCGGGATATACTGGAGGTCGTAATCGAATTCAGCCAAGGTGTCAAGCCAGCGCGCCTGGCGTCGCGAGATGACCGTGCGCTGCGTCTGAAAGTGCTCAAGTGTGGAATGGTCGGTAAGGATGTGAAAATGGCCACCCAGGAGATCAATGCGCCATTCCTTGAGAGCCTCGACAATAGCTAAGAGTTCCTGCTCGTGCGTAGGGTAGTTGCGTTCAGCTGGGATGTATTGACGCGACCAGTAGGCAATGGGGTGTGCGGTCTTCCAATGCGAGCCCTGCAGGAGCACACCTCCGATACCTTGAAGACTGGCGTCGGTCATCACCCAGAATGGCATGGCATCGGCAGAGTGGTCGGGCGGGCGTAGGCAGTCAAGGGAGACGACAATGGACTTCATGGCTTCGAAGTGACAGACCGTTGGAGTTGTCCAGAGGTTGTCGATGGAGGTCAGCCCTTTGATTGTCAACGGGGTCAGCGCAGCGGTATGCTCGGCAAGGCCCGGAATGAACCTGCGGAGGTATTGCACCAAACCGAGAAACCCCTTCAGTTCCGTGACGGTCGCTGGGAGATGCCAGTCGTGGATGCGCTTGATCTTCTTGGGGTCGGCGTGTACGCCGGAGCGGTTGATGATGTGGCCAAGAAACTCACACTCCGAGGTGGCGAGGTTGGTCTTTGATGGCGAGCAGTAGAGTTCGGCTCGGCGCAGGGCGTCCAGAACTTGGCAAACACGGGCCTCGTGCTCCTCCAGCGTATCGGCGAAGATGGTGATGTCGTCAAGGTAGACGAAGCAGATGGTGCCGAGTAATCCGTGCAGGGCGTCGTTGACGCGGCGCTGGTGGGTGGCGGGCGCTTTGCAGAGTCCCATGGGCATGACCGTCCATTCGTACAAACCCCAGGGTGTCGAAACCGCGGTCTTTGCTATATCCTCTTCCGCCATCTTGGTCTGAAAGAAGGAGTTGGTCATGTCAATCTTGGCCCAGAACTGCGCTTTGGAGCACGTCGACAGGATGTCATCGGCCAGGGGCAAGGGTGTACGGTCCTTGATGGTGTGCCGATTGAGGTGGCGGTAGTCGTTCACCCATCGCGGTGCAATGGTCGGGTCCACATCCGAGCCCTTCTTGGGGATGATGAACGCCGGCGACGCGTACGGCGAACGTGAGGGGCGAAGACGGCCACTTGCGAGGTGCTTTTGAAGCAGCAGGTACCATGCCTGGCGGTGGCGTTTGGCGACCGGATAGCCGCGCAGGTTGATCACAGTGCGCGGGTTGTCAAGCTCGATATGGTGTCGCACCGGGGATTGATAGGTGGCAACCGGTGGAATGTCGTCAGGGAAGCGATCAGCGTAAACCGCGCGGAGGCGCTGGTCGAGCGCGGCAAGGCGGAGCTGTTCGTCTTCGTTGACGGGCGCGATAGCGGCCACGGGCGACGTGCCGCGCGGCTGGGACGATAGTTCAAGCAGGTCAATTGGCTCCTCCGGGTTGTTCTTACACGTGAAGTGGGGGTGTGGGAAATGACCTAGGTCAATCTTGTGCGTGTAGATGAAGTTGCCTCCCAGAATAAGCTCGAGGTCCCTCCCAAGGGGCGCCACTTCGGCGTACGTCGGGCCCGCCGCCCAACGTCCATCAGCCAGTTCGACCGGAACTCGAACAAAATGCGTGCAGGTGAAGACGGTGGGAACTTGGTTCTGCATTGCAAGAGTGTACTTCGTGTGCTGTTCCAAGGCCCGTTTTTCCAATCCCAATCGCTGAACGAAGTCCTCACTGAGGAACGTTTGAGGCGACCCCGAATCTACGAGGGCCGAGGCAGTGAGGGTACCATGAGCACCACGCAGAGAGACGGGTAAAGGCGGGAACGAGCGAGGGGCGCACGAGTAATCGTCGTCTTCCGAGTCACTGTTGAGGCCAGCAAACGCGGTTGAATCACCCGTTTCTTGGAACGTCTGGATGGCCGCCACCATACCAGGACGAGTGCGAGCGGCGGGAGCGGTCGACAGGGGAGTCGACGAGGTGGCGGGCGCTCCGGGAGCAGGGGCATAGCGAGGGCAGTTGCTAGACTGGGCCACGCGCCGGTTGTAGTATTCCAGGCGCATGAAGTATTCCCGAAGAGCCTCCATCGAAGTTTGATGTAGCTGAGGTGGGTCACTGGCTTTGTATACGTGCGTGGGCGGGACAGGAGTGGATATGGCGGGCGGGCTGGGCTGGGCTGGGGGCTGGGCTGGGGGGGGGGGGGGGGGGGGGGGCGCGAGTGAATTGCGTCGTCTTGCGGAGGCGGAGTGCGTGTGGGCTTGTGCGGAGGCGGGGCGTGTGCGGGCGGGGCTGGTGCGGGCGTGCTGGGCTGGGCTGGGGGGGGCGCTGGGCTGCTAGTGCTGCAGGGTCGTCTTGATTTGAACGATCCTGGCTAGTCGATTGGTTCGATGGTTCGAGTACGGCCGGACCTGATGAGCGTAGGCCGTATCGTTGGGGTACCAATGAACTCGACGTTGTCAAAAAAAAAAGTGAAAGGCACGCTGTCTCGGACAGCGGAGCCTCACTGGTGACCGAAGATGACAGGTGCAAGTTATATGGATTACAACTAGCTTCTGGTGTCAGCTCGATGAAGATACGATAGTGCTGAGATAGGGAACACCAGTACTCACCTAGCTTCTGGTGTCAGCTCGATGAAGAGAGAGCTGAAGAAGCTAGGCGCGCGCAAGCTCTATTTCTAATGCCTGTGGCCCGTCGTAAGGCCTTGCCTTACACTAATCTCCGCCACGCCAGCTAGGAGCGTTCGCTTCCGAATTCGCCCCTCTCCTCTCGCTCCCCCCACGCAACTCGCCACGCCGCCTCGTTCGCACCTCTGCGTCAGGTCACGCGTGAACAGCATTCTCAAATCACTTCCACCAATGTCGTCCAGCAACTCCGAGACCATCGACTGGCGTGGTCGTGCTGAGCAAGCCGAGCGAGCCTTGGTACTACATCAACTTGAGTCCGAGCGCGATCTTGCCTGCGCGCAGCGTGACGTAAGTTCTTCAAGCACGAGTTGCTGCGCTCGAGACCGCAAACGAGGGCATGAGAGGAAGGACTGAGGATATTGAAGACCGCGATGGCGTCAAGGTAGAACATGGCAAGTGGTACCAGCTCGTCCCCACGCTTGATGCTGTGTCTACCGGAGCTACTAGTAGCACGGACCGCTTTAGACCTTCCGCTGCTAGGCCAGTGCTACGGTGGACTCTCACCTCGCAAACCCCTCGCAAACTTCTTGCAACACTCACTGAATTGTTTTTTGAGCCTCTTCAAAACGATCATTCGCACTGCAGGTATCAAGTCATCGAGGTCGGGAGCTAGTAGTAGTCGCAAGCGTGTGCTCAACACGACGCAGCTTTCAAACAACGTCAACCACGCCGAGCACCTCACCACCGACCCCACCTGCCTCAAGCTCCAAAACGAGCTGCAAGGATATGTACGACAGGAAGCAATCAAGGACCACCTGCACTTGATGAAGCTGGACGACGGCAAGGACGACCCCGAGGTCAACATCAAGACGACGGCGCTGCGTGAGGTCAAAATCGAGGCGGCCCACGTGGCCATGGCCAAGATTGAGCAGCGCAGCAACGGAGCCGTCACGCTCACATGGCCCGCCGTAGCTACTACCATCGCCGAAATCGCAACCTCTACAATCTTCGAGCCCGGCGTTGCGTTTGGCTCGCAGCACGACATCAGGGTCCAATTCGCTGTCGATGGCATCGAATCGAGGTACCCGGCTCTGCATATGTGGCCGGCTACTTTGCTCGTCGTCAAGCAACTTCTCGCCACCAAAATTGCGAATGTGGCCGATCATTGAGAGGATGACGACGAGCGTGTCGAGGGTCACTCGCCGCACCTCGCGAAAGGGAGGTGGCAAGGAGGCGGCCAGTCCGGTCAAACATTACAGTAAGTAAATCGTTGCCGGGATCACATTGGCACCTTAAGAGCTAACCGTACATCGAGCCTGTACTCGATCTAGCCGTTCAAGAGCTTTCGCGTTTGGACTTCGCCACGTTGAAGGGCATTGCGGCCTCCTTTGACCCCTCAAACGCTCACCGCGAGGATTCGCAAGACGGCGGCGAAAGAACTATTCCCCGTCAGTTACCCCTGTTCCGCTGTTACAGCTTTATCTATTCCGAACCAGGAAACGCATGCTTGGGGTCAATCGGTACTTGCGTAGAAGCTGGCGGCTCAAATCGATGCTTGCAAGGCCTTAGTCGGCAAAGCAGACTGTTCCTTTCTTCAAAGCCGAATGAGCGTCAACCTTCTGACCGAAGTGTTGTGGTTCAGCATGTATTTGAGTGTAGCTTTCTATCCCACGCCGTGTTCGTTTCAGGAGCGTCGATTCAGCATGTTTGCTCGTCAGCCGCCCAAGTCGACATGGTTTCGCTATGGACAGTTGTTTCTTTTGGAGTCCGTCTGGACATGATTAGTTAGCCTATACATGTTGTCACCACACATCTGAAGAAAGAGAGTGTGAGTTGAAATAGATTCCGCTGGCCTGATGTCCCAATTCGTCCAACGTGCTTGCAAAAGTCAGGCAAACGAACCAGATTTTTTGCCGATTGCGATGCCCAACTTCGGCTTCTGCTGCAAGGATTTGACGCGCCGATTCAGGCTCGCGCGCACGGATTCTTTCTCCCTACAGCTGTGCTTCCAGGACCCGGGAAAGCTCAGCCGAAGGTGCGTCTCGAAAAACCCCGTTTTTAGGCCGATTTGTACACCGAATATCCTTATCCAAGGGGTGTATGTATTCCGGTGTAAGACCAAAGTATCGGGCTGTGTTGAAAAAGTTACTCTACCATCAAAAATTACGTCATGTAGCATAAACATGGCATAAATGGGCCCGAAATGTACAAATCTATCGGACGCACATTGGGCTCAGCTTTCCGGGGCGGTACCGGTGCCGGGGGGTGCGCTTGCGCTAACCTCCCAGGCGCGCGCGGAGGGTTAGCGCACTCGATTGCGCTAACCTCCCTGCGCCAAATCGCTGCCTCGAGGTTAGCGCAATCGGAGGTTAGCGCAATGGGAGGTTAGCGCAATGGGCCTGAGTTGGCCTGAGTTGGCGCAGGCTGGCTGACACGCGGCGCGAGCTGGAGCGTGTCGTCCCTTCTTGTGTTTCTTGCCGTTTGTGCAATGCATTGCATGCCAACAACATGCAGCTGTCACTCTCATTCTGGAACCGAAACGGCTCTGTCGCTGCCGCTACCTCTTCTCCGCCAGCCTCAACATCAAGCCAGGGCAGCGGGATCGGTTCCAGTCGCGACACTCGCGACGGTGCAACCCAATCTCGGGCCGACAAGCGTCGCATTAATGAACTTTCAAACGATGGGCAGGATTCATACAGCCAGTCCAAGATCGAGTCCAGGATCATGCTGAATCGACATCGAACGGTTCGGATGCGCATGGACTGCAGCAAAATACGGATGGCGATGGCAAAAACATTCACTCCGGCGCCTACAACATCGTCAACGATAACGACCAACATGCAGTGGAAGACTCGCCGATAGAGGATCACGATCACGATCACGACCGCGACCGCAACAACGGCGACATTGCCGGACCTGCAGAGATTGCGGCGGCACTCAAATTCAGAAGACCGAAGCAGCTGGCAAATCCATCTGGGGCAAAGCGCCTACTAGCAAAGGTGAGTTGCACTGCATCAGCTTCGGCTTTGATTTGCGACGCCCAAGCTCATGCTTTTGAGTTTTCCTCATCCATCAGTCCTTTCGTCCGACGATGTTGCCGTGCGTATCTTATTGGATCCTTGGCACTTCTTCGATCAAATCTACGTCTCCAAAAAACACGGCGCCGCCAAGGCCTTTGCTCGCGCCTTCTCCGATGCGGTTTTCATTCCCAACTCCGATGATCGGGTACTGCTGGAGGCTCGATTAGCGAAGCTCGGAATCACGTGGGAGGAGGCGCGTTCGTCGATGGATCCCCCCGCCGAGTGTTCTCGAGCCTTTAATCCGGGAGGTCTTCGAGAAATTCGGGGCGTTGATCGATGCGAAGACCACGCAACCGCTCTTCAACAAGGCAGCGCACGAGGCAGCAAAGCGATGTCTTGAGGCGATACGCAAAGGCCAAGTTTCCGATCCTGTTGGCATCGAACTGTACACCGACCGTGGGCCTTGCGGAGGACCAGACGGAAAGGCGGATGACGGTGTGCGTGTCTACTCGTGCCAGCGCGGCACAAATAGTCTTGAGGGAGGGATCCACCGAAACGTTCGTCAAAGGTTCCCAAAGTCCGGTGTCACTCCGTACCATGCCAATGCTTGCCTTTCGGACTATGTGCTCGTGCACAACTCCACAGTAAGTCTGTACAGCCGTGCTCACACACGCTGGAACTGAATTTGTTTTCCTATGCGTGTGCTTGTTTCACAGGTTGGGACGTTTAATCGGACAGGGAAGGCATATGTAGGGCACTTCGACCTTTGGCTCACTGTAGAGCTTCATCGTATGCGGCGCAAAACGGCGGCATACCTCCCAGCCCACCCTACGAATATGTCGGAAACTGTCAACCCGCTTCTCTACGCTCCGTCCACGGAGACATTCGGGATTGTGCCTATTGTGGAGGTGGCTCAAAAGTCCAACAACATCGAACCCTATTGCGTCGAGAGTGGCGCTTTCCGTTTCGAGCCCCTCAAATGGTCACCGCGGAATTTGCTGCACAAGAACATGGGACGAACAATTCAGCAGATGCAAATCCAGCTGCCAGCCGATCGCAAACTCCGTCACACCTGGCTTGCAAAACGCCAAGGTACTCGGTTTGCGGTATTGCACGTTCACACACCAACCGAACGAGCGCTGTACAAGCATATCTTGTCCCATCTGGAACCATCAACTTCTCGAGACCAGCGAGCCATCCGAATCGCCGAGCGCTGGAACGCTTATGCCAACGGCATTGATATATTTTACAACGTGAGTCGCTATTTCGTCGTGCCTCTGAATTTAAGACCGAGCTGAGTGCTTGAAAATTCATACGTAGATGCCGGAACACATAAGTAGTTGGGAATCCAGATGGTCGTCTCTGGCCAATGCTCAAGCCATAATGAATATGGTCGAGAACGACGTCAAAGCGACCCAAGCGATGATCACCGACCCCTCCCGCGGTCGCAATGTCAGCCCGCCGCCCGCCAAGCCGTTGCTCGGCCACAAACCTCCGGTCTCGGGGATGCTCACCGATGCAGAGGTCGAAGCGTCCAATCCTCCAACATCATTCATCCGCCCATCCGGGGCGATGGACACAAACAACAATGGTCCGCGTGCAGGGATTGCTACCAGTGGCAGTTCAGTGAGCGTAGTCACCGGGAAAGTAATGCGGCACTGTCGGTTTTGCGGTCAAGCCTCTTGCAAGTTCAAGGGATCAGCGTCAGCCCGACAGGGATCGGAGATTCTGTGTGAAAACCCATGTGTGGATTGCGGGAAGATGTATGGCTTGAGTGAAGAGAGGGATCCGAATAACCCAGAATCACCGAGGTTTTGCAAGGGGCTGACCACGGCTGAGATGGGTGGTCGAGCTCGATATAAGAAGGAGTGACATAATCATAAACCGCTGTGACATTGTGAAGACACTCTTATTCCTAGTGCAATTGTATATCATGTACCACTTATCTTTTTCGTTCCTTCTCCTTCCTTTCCCTTTCGAACCTTCCCTTTTTTTTTCTCTCCTTCCTCCTTTTTTTCCCTCTCTTTCTTTTTCTTTTCTTTTTCTTTTTTTTCTTTTTCCTCCCAGCCCCCCCACCCCCCGGCACGGGTATGGGCCCGGAAGTCCAGGGTCCATGAGACACTGGACCTCAGCGATGTTCGTGCCGATCCAACGGTTCGGAACAAAGCCACGTTGGGTAGGGCCGATCAGGGACTCGAGCAAGGGAGCGAGGCGCTGGTTGTGGGCTTGGGAGATGATGCGCTCGTCCGCATTGATGAGCGATATGGGGCGTTTGTTCGAGAGCTGATCCCTCTCGCCGCGTTTGTGGATGAGATGGATGTGGGCGGTGTTGCGGGGAAGAGGTCCAGGCTGACGGGCCTCGGTGGGGATCGAGTTGATGACCTCTCGAAGAATCGGGCCAGTGGCCGGCCACGTAGCGCGATAGAACTCAACCGGGAGGCCGTCAGGCCCTGGCGAAGAGTTCGACTTACACGCCTCTTGAGCCTTTGTCATCTCCTCCAACGGGTACGCTTCCTCGAGCTTGAGTGAGTCCGCGGGGGAGAGGCGAGTTGAAGCGAGGCCGTCGATGATCGCCTTCAGGGCCGCGTCATCGATGGGGCGGTCCTCATAGACCCGCTCGAAGTAGTCGCTGGCCGCTCCAAGCATCGAATCAGGGTCGGAATGAACAACATCGTTGACCGTGAGCGAAGGGATCAGGTCGGATGCTCGCACTTTGCGCAGGCGGATGAAGATGGAAGAGGGACCCGCCAGAGATGGGTCGAGGCGGGAACGCAGCGCCGCGCCGTAGCGCGAGTGGTCCGCCCTCTCTTGCTCCGACCCTCCACGTCGGAACCGAGCGAACGTCCGGGCCAGAGCCTGCAGCTCGGGCAGCAGGCGGTGTTTGGTGGACGTCCAAGCTGCTGGTGGATCGTTGGGCGTCTGGAGGAGGGCTTCGTTGTAAAGGGTGCGGACAATGGACGTGAGGTACTCGCAGGTCGCGTCGCCCTCGATCACGTGCAAACCCAGCTTGAATTTGCCCGGACCGATGTCGATTGCGCCCGGCACTTGGAACCGTGCCACAACCATTGAGTGCGTCGATTTGAGGACAGGAGCCCAAATTTTGTGATCATGGAAGAGGTCAACCCAATCAGGCGAGACATAGATGCGGTCGAGGCGACGGCACGTGCCGGGCGCTGAGCGATTCGTCGTGGCTCGTCCTTTGGGATGGTGGAGCCGATAGGCGTCGAAAAGATTGTTGGCCGTGGCAAGGTCGCGCATCTCCTGACCCCCATAATTCGTTCCGTTTTGGTTCTCCGAATCGAGGGGTTGCGACTCAACACAATTCCAGTCCCCCCCGACTAGGAGCGCAGGCGGCGAGGGTTCGTCACGTACGACTTGTCGGAGGGCGGTGCTGAGATGTGAGAGGAAGCGCTTTTTGTCTGGCTTGTCGGAGGAAGGCGCGTATACTACTACAACCCGGACCTTTGAATCACCCACACGAAAGGTGGCGTCGGTGACTCGGTCCGGGAAAGAAAAAGAGGCACGAAGAGTGTTGGGAGGCGACTCGGGATCAATAGTAATGACCACGGAGTCGCTCTTCCAGAGTATGGCAGTGTTGTTGAAGGGAGTGAAGAGAGCGGAGAGCTTTAAGTCTTGGCACTCCTGAGTCCACTGGGCCACCCTTTCGGGGGAAGGTCGGCCAGTTTCGCTCAGGAGAAAGACGTCGGCGTTATGGGAGCGGAGATTGGAGAAAAGAGAGGCACGCTTACGGTCTTCATTGATTGACTGCACGTTGGCAGCAACAAAAGACACGTTTGGGATCTTAGTTGTGCTCATCATCTTGGTCCATAGCGTATTCCACGTCCTTGGGAGGTGCTTCTTGGTCTTCGGCTTCTTCGTCGGCCTCGTCGTCGGCGTCGGCGTCATCGGGTCGGGCTTTGGGCGCGGCTGAGGGCAACGGCGTGGGCGAAGAGGGCTCGGGAGTCGGCTCGGAGGCTTCGAGGGCAGGCGCAGTGGGAGGGGCTTCACGAGTGGCTGGCGTGGAGAGGGCGGCAATCGACTTGGATCGAGTTATGATCGACTTTGGCGTGGCCGGAGGAGGGCTTGGGGATGGAGAGGTGGTCTCTGAGCTGGGGGACTCCGAGGATTTTTCAACGAGGGAAGAGGCAGTTCCCTGGTTGGAGGCAGGCTGGGGGGCAGTATTGGAAGGGAAATTGAAGGAGAACTCGGGGCGGGCAGTCTTCGACAGAGATTCGGGCTGAGCCCTGTTGGACAGATCTTCAGTCTGGGCAGCCAGATCCTGTTCCACTCGACGTTTTTTGGTCGTGCGGTCGGGGGCGGAGGCCACGGGGATCGACTTGGACCCGGCGGGGGCGGCGGTGGTAACGGTGGAGGCATGCGGGGCACGTGACGTGGGGCGACCCTGGGGGCTCGACGCGTGACGGCCCGGGCAGTGCTGGGTGGCGTGCGAGGTGCTCTCGCAGGATTTGCACGCCGGGGCGACGGGGCAATCCTTAAGGACGTGAGCTGCGGAACGGCAGAAGACGCAGTGGCGCATGCCACCGGTGATCCTCAGTGGGATTCGCTCAGTGACACCGTCACGAGCAATAGAAAGTGAGGCAGGGGGCAACACATCTACATCCTTAAGGGCAAGGATAAATTCGTACACCCCAGAGATGTGTTTCGTCTTTCCAATGTATTGGATGCGACGGCGGAGGACCGTGCCATAGGCAGCGATCTGCTCATCGAATAGGCGGAGGCCCTCGGGGTCGGAGAAAAAGCCCGTAAGGGTGCATTGTACAACACCTCCTTTAGTAGAGCTGTACAGCTTCTCGACTTTGCACAGAGTCTTGCCAACAGTAAGGCCGTTGGCAACCAGGGTGTCGAGATCGGCGGCCTTGGGAAAGCGGAGGCCGCGCTGACCCTTGATGACGCATGGCATTGCGCCGGTAAGGGCAGGGTAGTGTTTGTCGAGCGCGAGGAGGACTTGCTCGACCGAGGTTGAGGGTGGGGTGTTGATGATGACACAGTTCTCGATGTTGTGCATCAGGGGATGGGCGGCGACGGCAGTCGAGGTGTTGGCGGTGGCGTTGCCGTGCTTCGCAGCGGAGCGGGCGCCGACCGCGGCGGAGTATGATTTGGTGGTGGTGGCGGGGGCTTGGCCGGGAGGATCGGGAGGGTCAGGGCGAAGTGGTGGTATAGCAGCAGGGCTGGCGTTGTTGGTGTTGTTGTTGTTGTTGTTGTTGTCCATCTTCCTAAAGACGAAAAGCACAAGTCACTCCGCACCCCTGACCACTCGCGCGAGTCGTTACGGAATAGTAATTGCAGCAAGACGAAGGACAACATTGGTGTGTTGCTATCACAATATGGAGCTTTGCGACCAAAGCTTCTGAAAGTCAGTCGGCTGCAAGTGATGATGGAGAAGTCCATCGATCGGCTCAGCATACCTTTGCGACAAGGCAAGTCACTGTATAAGGGCGGATCGGCGCAGAAGGCGCGAGAGGAGGCAAAGGTTCGGCTGAGAGCTGTGCAATCAGCGTGCTGTGTTGCCCAACAAGGGCTTACATAGCTATATGCCCGTACAACTGAGTTGTATGAACAAGAATGCAGAGTACATGTCGCAACAAGCGCAGATGTATCCAGACACTCACCTAGTCACCCCGAGTTACTCAAGGCGAGCCACGTCGAGGGTGTGAGACGAGCTGCTCGCAGCTGTAAACGTCCAGCAAGACGCAACGCTTCGTCAGCTGGGAGGTAGTCTTGGGAGTGGGGAACGCACCTGTCCCTACAGGTGGTGAACGCAGCCGCAGAAGCTGGTAAGGAAACGTCGACAACGCAGTGAAGGCCCAAAAGGGAACGCGCGTCGCGAGTGCCGCCCGTGAGCGCGTGAGCCCGAGTGTGGGGGAAGCACAGAGGACCCGGGAAAGCTGGGCCCGTACCCGTGCCGGGGGGTGGGGGGGGCTGGGAGGAAAAAGAAAAAAAAGAAAAAGAAAAGAAAAAGAAAGAGAGGGAAAAAAAGGAGGAAGGAGAGAAAAAAAAAGGGAAGGTTCGAAAGGGAAAGGAAGGAGAAGGAACGAAAAAGATAAGTGGTACATGATATACAATTGCACTAGGAATAAGAGTGTCTTCACAATGTCACAGCGGTTTATGATTATGTCACTCCTTCTTATATCGAGCTCGACCACCCATCTCAGCCGTGGTCAGCCCCTTGCAAAACCTCGGTGATTCTGGGTTATTCGGATCCCTCTCTTCACTCAAGCCATACATCTTCCCGCAATCCACACATGGGTTTTCACACAGAATCTCCGATCCCTGTCGGGCTGACGCTGATCCCTTGAACTTGCAAGAGGCTTGACCGCAAAACCGACAGTGCCGCATTACTTTCCCGGTGACTACGCTCACTGAACTGCCACTGGTAGCAATCCCTGCACGCGGACCATTGTTGTTTGTGTCCATCGCCCCGGATGGGCGGATGAATGATGTTGGAGGATTGGACGCTTCGACCTCTGCATCGGTGAGCATCCCCGAGACCGGAGGTTTGTGGCCGAGCAACGGCTTGGCGGGCGGCGGGCTGACATTGCGACCGCGGGAGGGGTCGGTGATCATCGCTTGGGTCGCTTTGACGTCGTTCTCGACCATATTCATTATGGCTTGAGCATTGGCCAGAGACGACCATCTGGATTCCCAACTACTTATGTGTTCCGGCATCTACGTATGAATTTTCAAGCACTCAGCTCGGTCTTAAATTCAGAGGCACGACGAAATAGCGACTCACGTTGTAAAATATATCAATGCCGTTGGCATAAGCGTTCCAGCGCTCGGCGATTCGGATGGCTCGCTGGTCTCGAGAAGTTGATGGTTCCAGATGGGACAAGATATGCTTGTACAGCGCTCGTTCGGTTGGTGTGTGAACGTGCAATACCGCAAACCGAGTACCTTGGCGTTTTGCAAGCCAGGTGTGACGGAGTTTGCGATCGGCTGGCAGCTGGATTTGCATCTGCTGAATTGTTCGTCCCATGTTCTTGTGCAGCAAATTCCGCGGTGACCATTTGAGGGGCTCGAAACGGAAAGCGCCACTCTCGACGCAATAGGGTTCGATGTTGTTGGACTTTTGAGCCACCTCCACAATAGGCACAATCCCGAATGTCTCCGTGGACGGAGCGTAGAGAAGCGGGTTGACAGTTTCCGACATATTCGTAGGGTGGGCTGGGAGGTATGCCGCCGTTTTGCGCCGCATACGATGAAGCTCTACAGTGAGCCAAAGGTCGAAGTGCCCTACATATGCCTTCCCTGTCCGATTAAACGTCCCAACCTGTGAAACAAGCACACGCATAGGAAAACAAATTCAGTTCCAGCGTGTGTGAGCACGGCTGTACAGACTTACTGTGGAGTTGTGCACGAGCACATAGTCCGAAAGGCAAGCATTGGCATGGTACGGAGTGACACCGGACTTTGGGAACCTTTGACGAACGTTTCGGTGGATCCCTCCCTCAAGACTATTTGTGCCGCGCTGGCACGAGTAGACACGCACACCGTCATCCGCCTTTCCGTCTGGTCCTCCGCAAGGCCCACGGTCGGTGTACAGTTCGATGCCAACAGGATCGGAAACTTGGCCTTTGCGTATCGCCTCAAGACATCGCTTTGCTGCCTCGTGCGCTGCCTTGTTGAAGAGCGGTTGCGTGGTCTTCGCATCGATCAACGCCCCGAATTTCTCGAAGACCTCCCGGATTAAAGGCTCGAGAACACTCGGCGGGGGGATCCATCGACGAACGCGCCTCCACAGCTTTTTGTTCCAAACAGGCGATCGGACGGCCTCCTCCCACGTGATTCCGAGCTTCGCTAATCGAGCCTCCAGCAGTACCCGATCATCGGAGTTGGGAATGAAAACCGCATCGGAGAAGGCGCGAGCAAAGGCCTTGGCGGCGCCGTGTTTTTTGGAGACGTAGATTTGATCGAAGAAGTGCCAAGGATCCAATAAGATACGCACGGCAACATCGTCGGACGAAAGGACTGATGGATGAGGAAAACTCAAAAGCATGAGCTTGGGCGTCGCAAATCAAAGCCGAAGCTGATGCAGTGCAACTCACCTTTGCTAGTAGGCGCTTTGCCCCAGATGGATTTGCCAGCTGCTTCGGTCTTCTGAATTTGAGTGCCGCCGCAATCTCTGCAGGTCCGGCAATGTCGCCGTTGTTGCGGTCGCGGTCGTGATCGTGATCGTGATCCTCTATCGGCGAGTCTTCCACTGCATGTTGGTCGTTATCGTTGACGATGTTGTAGGCGCCGGAGTGAATGTTTTTGCCATCGCCATCCGTATTTTGCTGCAGTCCATGCGCATCCGAACCGTTCGATGTCGATTCAGCATGATCCTGGACTCGATCTTGGACTGGCTGTATGAATCCTGCCCATCGTTTGAAAGTTCATTAATGCGACGCTTGTCGGCCCGAGATTGGGTTGCACCGTCGCGAGTGTCGCGACTGGAACCGATCCCGCTGCCCTGGCTTGATGTTGAGGCTGGCGGAGAAGAGGTAGCGGCAGCGACAGAGCCGTTTCGGTTCCAGAATGAGAGTGACAGCTGCATGTTGTTGGCATGCAATGCATTGCACAAACGGCAAGAAACACAAGAAGGGACGACACGCTCCAGCTCGCGCCGCGTGTCAGCCAGCCTGCGCCAACTCAGGCCAACTCAGGCCCATTGCGCTAACCTCCGATTGCGCTAACCTCCGATTGCGCTAACCTCGAGGCAGCGATTTGGCGCAGGGAGGTTAGCGCAAGCGCACCCCCCGGCACCGGTACCGCCCCGGACTTCCGGGCTCACCACCCGTGTCCGGCATGCTAGCGGTGATGGACTTTGAAAAGGCTTACGATCGTCTTTCCCACACGTACCTTGATGCAGTCCTCTCCGCCGTTGGCCTCGGCCCCAAAGCCCGCCAATGGTACCGAGCGACCTACACCAACCAATCCGCCTCGATCTTCCTCAACGGTTGGCTCTCTGCCGCTTTCGACATCCTGTCGGGCGTTCGGCAAGGTGATCCCCTGGCTCCGTCTCTCTTCGTTCTGGCGATCGAAGGTTTTGCCTGTCAGATTCGACTGAGAGTCAAGGGCATCGAGATTGCGGGCCTGCAAAACATTCGAGAACTCCTCTTTGCCGACGACGCTTGCTGCGCACTCCACAACCTCTCGGACCTCGACCACCTCAATCGGGCGATCGAGCTTTACGAACGGGCAAGTGCCAGCAAGCTCAGCAACGCCAAATCTTTCCTCTACCCCCTTGGAGCTTTTCGGGATCGGCCGGTCGCCCCAGATCTCGGGACCTGGCGTCTCAGCGATTCGCAGTTTCGCTACCTTGGTATTCAGGTCGGGGTGGAGATCGCCGAGGATGCGGGCTGGGAAGATGTCAAGGCCTCGACCATCGCTCGGATACGCTCAATTCCGATGTACGATCTCCCATATGCAGCCAAGTGTTCGATCATCAACATCTACTGCTACACAAAGATCCTGTACTACAGCCGATTCCTCCCCGCCCCCAAGAGCGTTGTCAAGGAGATCGAGGATGCGGCCATGCTCGCCATTCACGGTCGAGCTTCGGATGGTACTCAGCGACGTCCGAAGGTCTCCCGGTCGCGCCTCTGCACCCCTCTCGATCACGGCGGCTTTGGTTTAATTGATCTGCCTCGGCGTCTAGCGATCGATCACGCGAAGTGGGTCTTCCAGCTCCGGGCCCCGGACGGCTGCTTCACACGCCATCTCTTCGACATCCGCATTCGCCTCCAGGCACCGAACGAACCAACCCCTTTCACCTTGTCCAGACCGGCCCCCAACCAGCATCGTCGCCCTTGGATCTGGATCTGGTGGGCATACTTTTGCCATCCTCCCCCGAAGTGGGACCATGCGGTGAGAAAGACGAGAAAACTTCTTCCTGCACGTTGGGTCCGATACTTCGAAGCCTGGGCGTCGGTGACCACGCTCAATCCCCCGGAACTCTCCAAGAGCCAGAACCTCGAGCAATGGGCGACGCACGTACTCTACTTCCCAGCGGGCCACGGAATACAACTCTCGGTAAACCCGACGCTTTTTCGAAGGCCCGATGGCGAGGTGATGACCCCGTCTTCGTTTGTGAACGCGTCCAAACGCCACCAAGTCTTCATCTTCCCTCCTATCTTCCCCAAGGGACACCAGAAGGTATTCGATCTGCCTGAGCAACGTTGGAACGCTTGGTGGAAGGCTTTGCGCAAGGTTCGCCGGTTCACTCGGACGCCGAGGATACCGGCCACCTTCTCTCCCTGGAGTCCCTCCATCCGGGCAGCCAAGTCGCCTCCCCAACCAGCCCTCACCCCAACAATCGATCGGCCTCCTGTGTGATGTGCCTCTCGGAAGCACCCGAGTGCCTGGCCCACCTCGCGGTCGGCTGCCCATTTGCCCGGCGTCTCTGGTCTGCTCTGTCCCCGACCCCCCACCCAGTCTTTGTGGACTTTGTATGTCCGGTCGTGTCTCGCTCGGAACGTCGCCTTGTCGAACTACGAATCCTCTTCTTTCACTCGATCTGGAAGCTCTGTCGCCGTCGCCGATTCTCGTCGGATCTTTTGGAACCGATCACCGAAACGGACTTCGAGGGGCTTCGAGCCTCTATTCAGGAGTCCAAGGGTCGCCTAGTGTCTCTGTAAGCCACCAAAGGGGGTTTTAGTGGGTATGGTTGATCCTGGCTCAGGGTCAATGAGTCCTACACTACTGGCTTCTGCCAGTGTGCGTAACAGCATTCCCTCCGACTTTTCCGAAGATTTCTAGGTATTATTATAACTATGCTGTTAATGAAGTCTATCAAATAAAAAAATCAACGCATGCCGACATCATGGTCACCGCCGACTCAACTGAAGCGCCCTTGGCATCATCAACTTGCAGCATTCGGCTCACTGACATGATCGGCATCAATTATGACTGAGTTTAGATGATATCATTACAACCTCGATGCTACCCGGTCGCTCCCTATGGCTCGTGCAACTGGTGTCACTCACTGTCACTGTGACCGACCCGGCCTCGCTCGATAGTACGTCGTTCCGATCACGCTGACGCAGATCTCACTGATCAGCAGCTTGTTCTACCGACTCTGTGGTGCTCCCCAGGTCATCTCGCCATCTGGTGTCTGTATTTCGTGTGCTAACCACATCGATCCATTGTTCTGCACTAGGACCTAGCCTTGCTCGGCGCTCCTCGGAGTCACATGCACTTGTCTCCGTTCAGGAAGCCCACAGATGGCCATGATTCGACTTCGACAGAAGTGTGAGCAAGCTTTGCTCTATCGCCCGCTCGCTGATGCAAATGCGCTTGCCTTTATATCGAGAACAGTGCCACAGGATACACTGCTTCGCCTCCGAGTCGATGCTGTGGACGGGAGCTTCGAGGTGAGCAGCCAGTCGGTTATCCAAGCTCGACGAGAAGATGTTCAAGACGTGTACAGGCATATTTCAGGACCTGATCTTGAGCTATAGGGTAAGTCTCCAGTTCGCTCCTACACTATGACCGGTTTGATTATGATCCGTCTCGCAACAGCAGGCGTCCGATCGACTCTTCGAGTTTGATCAGTCGAGTGAGTTAGCCACTAGACGATCCACTGATTATAGCACGACACTCATCATCAGCCTGGTGTGTCATTAACAGGTTTATTGGCCAGATTCGAGGGTGGAAGGTGAATCGGCGTTACTGGGCACGTGTGAGCTTGATCGAAGTGCGCCGAGTCGTCGAGCCGATCCCGACTTATAGTTAGCGATTTCACGAGTTGAGGCCGAGCGCCTCATCAGGCTCAAGGTTCGTCTCTTGGCTCGAGTCGTATGCTTGATATAATGCAATGGCATTGGCAGTGGCACTTCACTATATCTTTACTGTACATGTAAAGGAGAGCGAAGAAAGGGATATTATAGGCTACTACATTATTACAATCGCGGTTATGTGCGGTTGCAACCGCGGTCACAAAAGTTCAACCGCGGTCGTGCAGTTGTAACCGCAATCACTTGATCTACTACAACTGCGGTTGGTGCGGTTGCGACCGCGGTTTTTAACCGGGTATTCGGACTGTGTAATACAGTGACTAAGATTTGATCTGGGTCCAAATCTTGCCTCTCTTGTGTAGCGCTGAAATGATAAGTTAGCATTTCAGAAGCCGCATCAGCCCTCCGCCGAAATCGCTGAGGGCCGAGTCGTCGGTTGATTAGTCATCAACTCTGGGGCTCGCACCTGACAGTGGCCTGATCAGCGACAGTGTAGTCGTAATATCACGTCATATGAATACGACGCAGTCAAAAACGCATAGCCCAGCATCACCACCCATCGAAGCTTGACCCCCCGTAAAAAGCATTGACCATTCCCCCACTCACTGGTCGAACATCGCCATTTCTTCCGCCCACTCGAGTCCGACACACCATCGACTCCTCCATAGTGCGCGCTGTTTGTGGCGTTTGTTTTAGGATGGAAGAGTCGAGTTGCAGTGATAAGAGAAAAACCCGCACTCCGTAACAAACGGAGGGTTTTCTAAACAGGAGTTATGAACGAGTTATGAACAAGTAGGGTGGGAGGGAGGAGCTCAAAAAAATGGTCGATCGGCTTTGCTCAAAGAGCGCAGGTCCGATTAGTAACTAAAACACTGCAACTGACTTGGGGGATAGGGCATACCTTTGCTCGAAAAGCGCAGGGCGATGGCAGGGGAGGAAGGCGACGCGGTAGGTAGACGCGGCCAAACGAGGTCTGTATACAAGGTAGCCCCATGAGTCAACTTGCCCAACAAGGACAAGGAATTTGGCAACATGCCCAACAAGGACAGTCGTGATCCGGAATGCGAACCTTAGCTAGAAACAGCGAGCCGCGATAGTGCGAGTCTCGAAAAGTTCGCCCTTGCTCTAAGCAGTGGGTGCGATACGACCTTGCAAAGCAGCGGGTACGGCGGCTGCTTACAACGTAGTGGCAGGCTAGCTCATCAGTCCAACTGTCCAACAAGGGCAGAGGGCTTACGAGGGATGTTACCCACTTTGAGTGAGTAGAGACTGGCAGGGGGGGTGCCGGAACCACAACACGAAACGCTAAGGCGTGCGGGACGACGAGGGAGAGGGAGAGGAAGGGCCCGCGCGCGCCAGCGGGTGAGCAAGGCGGGAGGCCCAAGGGGGCCGAGAAGAGTGCGTGCTGGTACAGGGTCCAAAGAATGCGTGTTCGAAGAGTGGAGCGCGAGCGGGCCCCGTTAGGCCGAGACCAGCGCGCTTGAGCTGTCCGCGTCAAAATCTTGCAGCAAAGGCCGAAAAGACTATCGACTTATCTCGAAACGATACTTGGACAGTAGATGAGGCACCGCAGCCAACAAGGGACCGTATCTGAAGCGGATAGGCCCAGGTCAGCGCTAATTAGAAACGGATTTCCGATCGAGGCAGAAACCGACCTGACAGCATTGTCGTACAGTTCCAGCAAAGTAATCGCCATGAACTTTATGTTGCTGGGGAACGTGAACACTTCTCTTTGGACGGGACAGGCAGAGGCATTGTCATTCAGTACTTGGGCAGTTCAAGGTTCAAAGCCGTGAAGACTGGCTGTGCTCGGGCATTTGGACGAGGTATATGCTCTTGACCTCTTTGGGAAGTTGCGCGATGTGACTGGAAGGATAAAAAGGGTCAGGACATGACAAAAGCTGTCGTTGAGCTGAGAGGACTTCCGAATGTAAGGGGACTGCGATTCAGAATTCGAAAGATCATCAGAACAGGAGTCAGCTCTCTGAAACGCATCAAGTCCGTCCCAACTCGCCCAGGTCCAATCACTCAACGTGAACTGTTCATAATTCGGTCTCCACCACTGATCCAAGAGATCTGGACCTCCCAGCCCCTCACCTGCTTGCTAAAGATCGAGGGATTAGACAGCGCATCGTCTCGAGCTTTGGTACGGAAGCGCATGTCGAGTCTGAGGCCGAGACCAGGCTAGTTGGGTTCGTTGGGCTTGAGGTAGTCACCATGGCTGAAGGGCAGGATACGATTTGAGCTCTGCTTTTTACAGTGGATCGAAGTCGAGTAACGCGACTGACAGCTTGAAGTAGGCGTGGGCGACTTGGAGGAGCAAGAGGTGCAGTGGGTGGCCGCAGCCTGTACACGCCACACCAAGATTTAGTCGACCTTAGTCGCGTGCATGAGGTAGTAAGAGATAAAGTCCTGGGTATTGACTCACCGTGTGTACAAGCAACATACTTCCGACCTGTAACAAAGCCGAGCGCCGTCGCACTAGTAGCCTAGGTCAGTCTGAACCTTCGCCCCAGACGGTTTCGCAGCTGACACGTGAAGGCAGCCCCCATTAACCGTCTGTCGAATATCATACTGCTCAAAATCATTCTGACTTCAACGCCCCAGACGCAACCCCCAAGCATAGCTTTTCAAAGTTAGGCTCAGCGTTCGCAAACAAAGGGCGGGCCGAGCTCACAGTCGCTGCAACCGCGCCGAAACGGACCAGTCGTCTTCGTTCTGCGGGTCCTTGGTATTGAACACACAATCTGGAGGGTATACCCAACAGGTAACCCCGTCATAACGGTCAGTTCAACCACCGCCACTCCTCGACGAACCGAGCGCCGATCGCCTTCTACGGACCCGGGTTCAAGTTCAGGAAACACTTTTGAAATGTCGCAGCGGCGTGCCTCACTACCCAGAGGATAACTGATCCCTCACGTCATCGACGCGTCAGCCAAAGCTCGTTCAACTCGTTGGTGAGTGTACCATCTGCTTACAGAACGAGTGGGTCGGATATGATGGAAGTTGATGTAGTTGGCAAGAGTACAGAGGCGGAGAGTTGCTGTCGCGAAGGGCGATGCGGTTTGAGCGCGAAAGGAGACCCGAGCGTTCCTTCGAACTTTATGAGCTTCGGATCGCCGTTCGCTCAGTCTTTTCGGTGCGGACCCCGTCGCGCGGGCAGGCCTGCAAACAATCAATTCTTACCATCAACACGAAATGAACGATTGCAACCTAGCCGCAAACTATCGGCGCCTCCCCTTCCCCCCCCTCTTCCTAATCTCAGCGTTCATCTGCTTAATCCCCTCCTGTGCATTCGCGGCCCTGCAGCTCTAGCTCGCCCCTAAAGTGCTTCCAGAGGCTTCTTCCCTACATTGGCATTCAACGCCTGATAATCGCCTGCCGCGAACGGAAGTGGGAGCTCTGTATTGCAACATGCGAAGAAGGTGAACCATTACTGTAGCTCATATCGACGCCAGGTAGTGACGTCAAATGAGCCAACAAAGAGCATTTTGTCGGCGTCATCATTCACTAGCCCCTTTCGCCGCTAGACGCTTCGCCTTGCGCTCCGCCAAAAAGGCCTCAATTTGTTCCTTCACGTCCGCAGCATCGACGATATCTTCCCACCTGAGAGGAACACGATTAAATGGATCGGTCGCATCCGAGAGGTAATGCTGCTTGATCGTACTGCGATCGACAACTGTCTTCGATGATGGCAAGCGCACAGGATCACGCATGATCTCATACGTAAGAGGATCTGCCCACGCCAATTGGAATGCACATCGTCAGGATCGGTTCTCGATCGTGGCCAAATCCCATTCGACTGACCAAGGAAATCATCGGGTATTTCGCCCATCGCATCGTCCTCCTCCTCCGCCGCTTTGATGACTTCGACTTTCTCGACGAGCTGAACGATCTCTCGCAGCTCCACATCGGTCTTGATCGCCGTCTTCCTCGCAATCCTCATGGCTCGATCGAAGAGGTCCTTGGAGTAACTCCGCCCATCCTTGGCCACTGCGTATTGAAATTCGCTTCTTGGCCCGAGTTCGAGGAAGATCGCCAGCACGTCCGAAAGCAATTCTTTGGGCCGGAAGTTGAGCTTCTCCGGTTCGCGCACCTTGAGCTCCTGACACCTGGGACCGGCGAGCATGCTGAGGTTCATGTCGAGCATCGCCGCCAGCCGATCGACAATCTCAGGCGTCAAAAACGGTTCTTGTGCTTCGCCGGCAAACAGCTTCAACAACCTCAGCGACTCCGTGCCGAGATCCAGGTCGCCTCTCACTTGACCCTCGTACTGGCGCAAGAGCTTTTCCTGCTCTTGTCGCTCCGCCACCGGTCGCGCATCCCAGGCGGCCCGATCGTCCATTTGCTTTTGAATATCGGCTATCTTAGCAAGATGGCTAAGGGCGTCGTCAAGCAAGTAGGTCGTATCGTTCATGAGCAAATTCGCGAAGCGCACGTATCGATCCAAATTCCTACACGGCAATTGAACTCTCGGTCAGTACGTCGCCATCTCGGAGCCTGTGCGAGCCTTTCGACTCAACTGGCTCTCGAGCTTCAAGGCCTCTCTGTGCGACTGGTTGCTCCACACTAATTTGAAGAGTTGCGTGATGTAGTATCGGGTGTTGAACTTGTCGTAGAACTGCGTGTGCGATCCCGTAATCTCAATTTCTAGTGAAGTGTGATATGCGGCCATGGTCAGGTTAACGTATTCTTGAGCGCGATCCGTTTATATTTTTCTTACCGATGTATGCATGGATAAGGCACGGCATGAGGTGCTTGAGAGCAAGGGGGTTGAAGTTCAAAACGTCGCCGAGGCAACCGGTGGGATAACGAGGCATGGGTCGGGTAAGGTAGTACATAATCTGGGATCCCCAAGCCAAGCGCTATCATCAATAGGTGCTTAAACACGGTGGAAAGCACAACTCGGAAGCGTACCTCAACGAATTGGCCTTTGAGATATGGGTTCTTCATGTATGGTGTCGAAAGAAACACGAGCATGAACGTGACGAGCTCGTCTTGCGACTGTTCAGCAAGAACAAGTGGTGCAGCTCTACAACTCATACTAGACTCGTCAGTTCTTTGTATGTATGAAGAGAAGTGCATCAGGGAACTGACTTTGAGGCGAAGCTCAGGAACTCGGTGATGTCCTCAATGAGGAACTCGGGCAACATCCGGAAACCGAGCGGTGTTTCGTCCGGCATGGGTAGTCTGCGAATGGTCACGCATGGCATTTTGTAAACGTGGGAATGAATCACTGGACACGTCATAGTCGCGGATCGACAATCAGACTCACTGGACGCGGACCTGAGGGTGTTGCTTCTTGGGATCGACTTGGCGCACAAGCCATGCCATGACGAGGTTCGCGAACCCAAGGCAGTTCGACAGATACGTCGTATCAAACAGTTGGACTTGGTACGCCTCGAGATGACTCTTGAACATCTCTGTCCTCTTTTTGTAGCGCTCGATCTCCGCCAAGGCACGCGCTTCCCCCGGGGTGCCGCGGTAGGTTTGGTCCGTCTCCATGTCGGCCAACTCGCGCGTCATGTGTCGGATCTGTTGCGAGAACCCTTTGTGCTCTTTGATGGCGTGCATAATACCGAGGCGAAAGTAGGTGCAGCAAAGGAAAAAGACTTCGGAGATGAAATTGACTGGTCCGAGCTGGGCCTCGTCCGCTGCTTGCAAATAATATTCTTCACTCTCGCTCTGGGTCGCGCTCATCTTTGTTTCGTCCGCGATATCGATTCGTCGTGATTTCTTGTAGTATAAAGGATCGATCTTGTCAATCTGAAAGGTGAAAGGTGCAGGACAGGCGGTGAGTGCAAAGATCGGACAAGCGGCAAAAGCGGGCTCGGACGGCGCACCTTGCTGAATTGAGCATCCGTGAAAGGTTGGGCAAACGCGAGCAATGCAGTGTGCAAATTGATGATGAAGCCATGGCTCGAGACAGTTCTCGCATCGACGCGCATGGCTGATCGTTTGATGTTGGTCCTGGCCACGTTGCCAAAATAACTCAACACAGCTTCGCGGGCCACTGGACCTGATCGGACCACGTTGTTCAGAATTTGGAACAGGATGTGCTGCAAGGTGGCATCAAGCAAATATGAGTACGACAGCCAAGGGTCTGAGCAGCAGGTGAAGCGACGCACCTGAACACCTGAAAGCGTACCCCGCAGACTTTGCGCTGCGCTGTCCAGATTCCCTCGGCCTTGCGTCGACGGTTCGGGGAAGTAGAGCTTGGCGATTGCAGGCTAGAGCAACAGGTAGGGCATATCAAGTCACTGCGTGTCCTGATAGCCCTGGACTGACTTGAAAAACTTACGAACGAGTCTGGAAATGCGCTCAAGCGCAGGAATGGACCCAACAGAGAGAGCATCTCAATCAGGGGTGCCTGGGCTTGAGGGGTCCCAGTGACGACCCAGTTGTGGCATTGCGGAAGTGTAGAAGCGACGCCTTTGATCTCACTCAAAGTCTGCACGGCGCCGAGCACGTCACGCCAACTGGCCCCATTCACGCTAGTCGAGCCGCCAATGTCCACCTTGTGTGCGATCAACTGGGTCCCGAAATGTGAGATGAGTGGACCAATTACCTCTTCCAACCCCCCCTCTTCGTCGTTCGCGGGCGACGGTGTGAACCGACCGGCCAAGTCTTGCAAAAGGGCCGGAAGATCTGTCGACTGTAAAGTGCTCGTTTTTGGGCCCGTGTTGGACATGGGGAGCAGCAATCCAGCCAATTCCAAGGGCCCAGGTGAAGTGGGTCTGATCGGTGTCAAAGATGACAGTTTTCAGTGGTCGAAAATTCGCAGGCAAGTCAAAGGCACGTTGAGACTGACGTAGTGTGCTCTTGAGGAAACATGGAGGGGTCAATGAGGACGAGCCCAGTGTAAGACACGATGAGAGCCTTGGCCTTGTTGAGAACTTCGACGCGCGCGGAACGGTCTGCGGCCGAAAGATTCTGCGATCGACAAACATCGCTGCGTCAACACATTACTGATCCCTAATCTTGCACTCGACTGGCTAGACTTGCAGCGTACTCTGCGGGACAATAGCTTTTGTCGCTCGGCTCGCTCGCGCTTCCAGCATCCGCCGAGATAGCCGAATGGGGTCTGGTTCTCGGGTAATGATGCCACGACGGTGATGATCTCGGGGTCGTCGGTCATGAGGCTCGGTGAGAGGGAGAGACGAGCCAGGAGCAGTCGATCGATTGATTCGGCATCGAGTTTGAGGGGCGTGGCTGGGTCTGCAGGGTGTCAAGGATTTGCTCAGGAGGGTTGTAAGCCGCAGGGCCGTAATGTGGGGGTGCGCGCAAAAACCAAAAACGAACCTGGAGCTGTCTCGGCGGCAATTTCTTCGGCGACGTCCTTGAGGTAGGTGATGGACCAGTTGAAAGCTTCGGCTTGCTCTCTCTGCGTACACACACCGATATCAGCGCTTGAACAGGCTCGAGGCAGGTCGGGATAGGAGGTGAACTCGGCTGATTCTCCCTCACATCGAGCGTGACGCGCAACACGGTTTGCAGTGTGGTGTGCTGCCAGTCCTCAAACGACTCGATCGAAGTCGACCGGGGCAAGGTGGCCTGTGGAGTCGAGGCTCCGTCGGCTTTGGAGGTGGAAGGGGTCGGGGCCGGGGTCGGGATGGGCGTGCTCTTGTTGGACAACGAGGCCTTTCGGACGATCGACAGGACGGTGCTCTTCAGCTTAGCTCACTCGACTCGGGTCGGCTAGATGCAGCGGGCTGACACGCGTTGAATGTAGCGGAAGGGATTAGGGACTCACTCGCACCGGGGCGGCTGGTAGTACGATGCTCCGCCTTGACTGGGACGGCGACTGAGACGGAGCTCGAGCAGGAGCGGGAACGGTGGCGCTCGCTCTGGAGGTCGACGTGGTCGAAGTGGAGGCCTCGGACGAGGACGACGACTGCGTTGATTGTGACTGCTGCAGCTTGGCCAGCCGTTTCATGCGGATCTGCAGCGAGCGGTAGCCACACGGTCAGTCCGACCAGGATCGGTCATCAGCTCATCGTCGTCAGCGCCTCGGCGGGCAGGTCGGTCAAGCGGTGCCCCCAATCCACCACACTGCTCTACAAGGCGGGTGACAAGTGCGAGCAACGGAAGAAGAACCGCCACGAGACCCCAAGAGGATACACACCTTGTCCTGGTCCGACATGGCGTCATCCGTCGACGACATTGCGAGCGCGATCCGAGCTCGAGTACGAACACGTCCAACTCGATCAAGCGAAACGACGACTCGACGTGGGCAGCAGCGGAGTGAGCACAAGCTAGCAGCACAAGCCGCTTCGGCCCCTTCCGGCCTGGCAGGCTTTGGGACTGAGTCGACCGAGTCCTACCGAGTCCTACGCCGTACTGATACCGGATTCGCATCGTAAAATTGGACGCAAGAATCCGAATATCAAGCAGTGCATGTTTTTCTTTCGTTTAACCGGTGCAAAGGTCACTACTGCCAATACGAAATTATCCGGAGGGCCTGCACAAGCGTCTAAAGACGGGGACGGCTCTCAGCACCCGCGCCAAAATTGACATCACCACCGCCCATCATCCCCGTCGTCGCTCCCATCGAACAGGTCAGAATCATCATCGTCCCCATCTTCGTCAGGATAATCATTTCGGTAGTCGTTCTCCTCTGCGAAACCCAGCTTCTTCGTTCGATCAGTCAACCCGGTGCGAAAATCAGGGCAGCCCGGGGCAAAGACTTTAGTTCCTCACCGTTCGAATCCTGATCATCTTCGTCACCAAGCTCGTCCGGATCGCTGTCGTCCGCTCCCGCACGGAGTAGATCGTCGTCGTCGTCGTCATCCAGACCGGCTCTGGGGAGAGGACAGAGCGAGTCAGATATCAGCCAAATCGCCACGCTTGAGGAGCAAAATCGAACGCAAGCGACCTCGACGTACAGTTGACCCACTCTCCTCAACCCTTCCGACGAGCCCACATCGATGGTCGTAACTGAAGATCTCAAGTCTCGATAGTACACGTCGTACACGTACTCGTCGTCCTCCGCCTCGCCACCCTCCTTCGCGTCCCCCGGACCCAGGCCCGGCTCCAAGCTTGGTAACACGATTGCTGGAGCCGAATTAGAGGCACTGGTCGGGTCACCGACTGCGAACACAAGTCATACGAACACCCAAAATTTAGTCGGAGAGTCCATTTTCCCTTCCGGTGGAGGTCCCAAAAGTCAAAGTGATTCAACGCTGCCACGCACGATTTAGATACTCCTGCAGCATCGGAACGAAATTGGACATGATCTCGTCCTCTTTCGCATTCGCTGACGATGTCGTAGTGGGACGTAGTCCACGACTGAGGGCGAGCGAGCATACGGATAAGATACTAACAAGTAATTCATAGTCGAGCCAAATGGCTGGCTTACCCCTGTCTTGGGCCCTGATTCGAGAGCTCGTCGCCTTCACCAATCGGCGCGGCTTCGTAGATTCGAAATCGATCGGGCGTTGAGCGGGCACTCGACGACGCACTGCTGCTGGTGCAATCCGGTTGTTCATTATTAGGGTATCTCAGTCTACCAGCTGAGTGCATCACTGCACTCACACAACCTGTGGGGGCACTCCACCGCCGAGCTGTCTCCTCCGTCGGGCATCGCTCTCTTGCTCGTATCGGGTTTGACCAATGACGTGGTAGCGCGTCGGTTTCATTGACTCTGCACCGGTTGGATTGACAAGGTCCCCTGTACGACTGTTGCTGCTTGTAGGTCCACGCTCCAGAGACGTGGGCAGCTTTCGGGGGGTTGCAGCGAGTGCCGGTGGCTCAACCTGCCGAAAGTCACTTGGGAGTGACGGGAATGATCCTGGCCCGATCTGAGAAAGTTGCCCCCGGGACGAATCTTGCGGCTCGCGAAAGAAGGCCGAAATTCGTTCCTGCGTCACCAATGAACATCATAAACCAAAGGTCGCACGGTAAGCCAGCCGAACTCATCAGCGCTTCCACACCCAAAGATCTCGAGCTTTGGCGCTGAACCAGTAAACAGAGGCGTACTCTGAGCTTGCGAGAGGAGGTGTCCGAGTCAAAGGTATCGAGTGGAACGGTTTCGGCGAAATGAAAAACACCTGCAAGATCACCGCATCACTCCATCAGCTCCCCTCGTCTCCGACCTGCGAGACTGCCTCGCGGTCAGGAGTGCCACACGACCTACCGCCGGGCGCTGGGGTGGATGTGTTCGATCTCCGACGTTTGTGCGTCAGCTGGGATGACACCTCGGCTTGTGCACCATCCTGTATGACTGTGTGGGTGTGCGTTGGTATGAGCCTGCCATGTGTTCGCTGGCAAATCCATCCGGACACGGGTCGGCTAGGCACTGCGAGACGGACCCAGCGCATCCAATGGATCGGATTGCTCAGTGCGCTTGCGCTTGATGCGCAGAATAGAGTAAGCAGAGCCAGGCGACATCGCTTTTGTGGTGCCACGGTTCGGGATCGAGCTCCGCTGAACTTGGCGGGAGGCTGAGGAGAGCAGGATCGACCAACTCTACGAGCGGTCCGAGCGGCGCGCTCTCGTCGCTGGCATCGCCGTATGAAGCGCCGTCGTCTCGTCGGCAACTCATTGGGAACCACATGTGCGGGCCTACGTAGAAGGAATACGCGAGAATAAGAGACAGTAAAATGTGACTACTCAACCACTCTTCTCCCATGATGGCCCTGTGAGGCTCCTTCATAGCAAATCACCAGCTCGGAGTTACCGCAGTGACGTACGATCGAGTCCGATATGTCGAAGCATCGAAGGAAGCTTCAGAGCCCGTGCTGATAAGTCCTCTACTGGGAACCCGCTTAGTCTCAAAACGATTTCCCTCCCAGCTACGAGCATGCCACACCGTCGACGCGCGAATCAGCTGCTTGGATGCAGTGTCTGCTCTCAGCTCGCAAGGCTGGGTCCGACTGCCAGTCCGGCCCCCACCGGCCGCCCCCACCCCCACTCGATCGTGCGAGATCCGGCTTAAGCAATCGTGGTCAGCAGCAGCACAGTACGGATCCAGTGGCCGCTGCATAGGCATGGAAGAATATACGCCTAACCATGAAAACCAACAACGACGAAGGGAGCGAGAGTCGCGTCAGAAGGAGACCGAGAGACAGGGGGCAGAAGTGAAGTGGTGATTCCGGATAGCGGCGGATTGGCTCCTAAGATGGACCCGAATCTTTGAACGAAGCTAGAACACTGTACGTTGTTACCAAAACCCCACAGATATGGTGAGCGAATTAAGTTCATATGCTCTACTCAAGAGATGGTCTAGCTGAGAACACGCCTCTGCCTGCCCCGGCCGCATCTCAGAGTTTCGCCTGCTCTTGCAAGGGTATGCTGAGACGAAGGTGCCTGTTTCCACCCTCATCGGTTGCAGCCGTTATTTATCCCACCCTCCAGTCCTTGTCACTCGCGTTAAAACCTTTTCGATCTCCTCTCTTCTCTCATTCTTCTCTATTTTCCCATTCTGCCTTCCCACTACGTTCGTTTTCCGTCTCTCGTAAGATGGAGCACTCGGTCAACGACTTTTTGTCAACTGTGAGCTAATCTTGGGAGTGAAGAACGCACATGTCCCAACAGGTGGTGGAACGCAGCGGCAAAGCCTGGTAAAGAACGTTGACGGTGCAGTGAAGACGTGTGTCGGAGGCACCGCAGCCAGCAGCTCCCGGCACGTCGGCGCGAGCTCGATCGGCGCGTCCAATCCTTACAGCCAAGGCCGAGAAGAACATTGGGCTCCGCGACAGACGATAATCGAAAATCCGGGGAGTCAGCCCCCTTCTCGAGTCTCGACACTCCTGCACGTGGCTTGCGCCCCGCTTGAGCCCACGGTCCGTTCGCAGTCCGGCCTTATCTGCCTCAGGCCTGGACGTCCAACAGTCGGTAGCTGCCTAACATCCGGTACTGCCTTAAATTTTGATCCTGCACGTACGCAATGCCAAGCCCTCCCTCCTCCGACGCTGTGGTCGCATCACCGCCGACTTTCCTCGGCGTACCTCTCGGCCTGATCTCGCTGGTGACCTTGACCTGTCAGAACTCGGCTTTGACGATCGTGTTGCACTGAATTAGTTCATCAGCTTCGTCACCTAAACCAAAGCATGATTCGTCTCTGACCGTGTTGCTCTGTTCTCGCTTGCGCTCGATGACTACACGTCAAATTGGCAACCCGCCTCGTATTGGCGAATTGGCGTATCGCTTCTGCCCGGCTCGCCTTGCTGCTTATCTCCGACGTACCGTCCATGCTTCATTCGCAATCGCGCCATACGCATATCGCCCTTCGATCCGTCCTTCATCTTGATATTGAGGAACGTAGTCGAGGATTCGCGTCCCTGCGGACCGCATGTACTCGGCCCCGGAAGCCGTTCTCTTCAACGAACTGCTTAAGGGGTCAATCTCGTTCTCCATCGCGTTTTACAACAATTTGCGCCTGTCGCCGTCATCGCGTGCCGCAAGCGCTTATGCTCCCATCTCGTCTGAAGAGGAGACGTTCTTGGAGGAGTCTGAATTGCAGGAGATCTCGGAACGGCGCGATGCCCCGGACCAGCCTTGGCACGAGCTGTGGACGATATCGCGAATCATCTATTCGGTGAGACAGACGGCGCTTGACGTGTTTCGTGAATTTTCAACGTCGGCCGCGCGTTTGTTGTCGACACATCGCACGGAGTGCTGCCCTACACGGCCAGCCCTTTGGGATGGGGATCTCGCACGGATTCGCTCCTGGTTTCCGCAGGGTCTGACTCGCGCTAGCTTCGCGGTGCTGGATCATACGGATTCCACGGTGGACACGAGAAGAAGTTGAAATTGTCGTTTTCTGAGCGCATGAAACCTATTGCAGACGGTTAAACACCTGTTTGGGGATGCTTAACATCTATTCCATTTATAGCAACCGCTAGTGAGCTGATGCTGTAATGTTTTTGCATTCCATATGGATTCCAGAGTACCAAAATCTAAGTTTTGCAGAAGGGTTTCATAAGGAACGCGTACTGGACACGGACTCATGTTATCCGTACGAGCGAGGGTCGCGCGTGTAGTGCTGCCCTTCTCGACAACTTCGTAAGCGGCATTCAACTGACATCCCGGAACACTCGTCGGCGGTTCGTAGGTCCGACTGCTGGAAACTGTCGATCCCGGCTTGCCTTTATGTCATCCAAAACAATGTGAGTTCTTGATACGCATTGCAGTGTGCGTGCAGCTTCAGTTCGTAGTAGCGGCCAGCTGTCTCGACGTCCCGACATTTCAGGTCACATTTGTGAGTTGACGCGCCATCAATCAGTTGCTTGCAAGCGAAGAACAAAGACCTAAGTCTTTCTTGGCGTGATCGCAGAACCTCAAAATCTTGACGACCGCTCTGTTCTCGGTCATACTTTTGCGGAAACGACTATCGGCCAAGAAGTGGCTCGCCCTCTCTTTGCTCGCCACCGGGGTCGGTGTCGTTCAATTGCAGACGTCCGCTGTCAAGGAAGTGGCTTCTAACGCTGTTGGCGATGCGCACCTGAAACGCCTTGATGGCCTTGTAGCTGTGGGTGCGGCATGCATGACGAGTGGACTGGCGGGCGTGTATTTTGAGCTCGTGCTCAAAGGATCCCAGGTCGACCTCTGGGTCCGCAATGTTCAACTTTCGTGCTTCTCAATTGTTCCCGCACTACGCCCCGTCTTTTTTTCCGACTTCACACCCTTCAACAGCAGCGGTGCGCCCCCCACATTACCCCCGGGGAACGAATCGCGGCCGCTATTTGCATACTTTGGCCTGTGGGCCTGGGCTGCAGTGTTGTGATGATGCAGGTGGTTGGCGATCTTGTTACCGCGTTGGTCATCAAATTCAGGTGAGTTTACACAGTGACACGGATTCCCGGAAGATCTGGCGGTAGTGACACGTGCGGACGCTGACGGCAACCCGGACAAACGCTGTGACAGTGACAACATCATGAACTTGGCTTTGCGACCTCGCTCGCTATTATTCTTTTTTTCATCGCCGGCATGATTATATTCGACTTTCACGTCACCCAGCCTTCCTCGTTGGCACATGTCTCGTCGTTGGAGCGACCTATCTGTACAACCAACCCGAGAGTCAACCACGACTCAGAGCCGTGGACTCCTCGGCCGCCGCCGCTTTTCCTCTCGCCCCCATTTCCGCAAGATCGCATGGACCGCAGATACCCATCGTCGTATGATGCTTTTCTCGTTGTATTGGAAGTTTTCTTTTTTTTTTTTTTCTTTTTTTCCCGGTTCTTTGTTGTTTGTTCATGTCACTTCTATTGTCGTTCTTATAATAGTCCACATCGCGAATTGAATTAACCGTTCAAGGCCTCTCTAACCCCTCTCTAGTGCATCGTTTTTCAGATCTTATAAAAATGGGACACGCCATGCCATCGTCATGTGTGTGGCCTTTATACTCGGGGAAGGATGGCCGCGGACGGCAGTTGCTCGCCAATGGCGACGTGCGGTTACGAGATCACGCTATAGCCCGTGACCAAATGAAATATCGACATCGAACGACTTGCAGTTGCCCTAGTGCGCTCCCACACTACTCTCTGACTCCCCAGCCTCTTTGACTTCAGACTTCCTGCCTTCGCATCTGGCTATAGGTTTGTTCAGACCCAGCACTTGCAACACCTCGGAGTCGTCTGCGCTCTTTTCCCCGATCAGGGTACGTGTCGCAGGCTTGCAGCTTCCCCCGGACCAGGGTCTGAGAATCTGAGGATCTGACGTCTGACGTCGCTGCAAACGGTACGCGCGACGCCGGGCTGCCCCCCCCCCCCCCCCCCCCCCCCCCCACCTTGTGACGAAGCCCCCCCGGACCTGCATCGGCGTGCGCTGTAGGCAACGGGGACCACCTACGCTCCCGTTCTGGGCCCGATAGCAAGTCATCGTACTCAGTCACTGATTCAATCTGTCCCCTTTTTCCACTGCATCGCGCGTTATTGATAGATCCGCAAGATGGTCTCGACCACCCGATCGAACGACCACCAGGCTCGTCCGCCAGCATCCCTAGCGTCTGCCGGTGCGACGTCACCGTCACCGTCACCGTCACCGTCACCGCCATCGAAACGCTTGTCGTCCAAAAGGATTGTCCGGATCGTGTTCTTTGCGCTCGTGTGTGACCTTCTTGCCTTCACCATGCCGTGAGTCCCGTCCTGCTCGGAAGGTCCTGAAGAACGATCCCGTTCACTGAAATCTGCCGCATACGTCGCCCTGGTCCACCTCATCGCTCACAGGCTTCCTCTTTTTCCCCGGTTGATCGACAACTTCGTGCTGGAGGAGTCCAAATTTGCCGCCTTCTCCCCGACGCTCTTGTCGCGCACCCTGCATTTCGTACGGACTTTGCGCGCCAAGCTTTTCTCCTACTCGTCGCTGGCGCCTTTGACTCCCCAGAGCACGGCTCGATGGGACCTCACATTGCTCGGAGGCCTCCTTTCGTCCCTCTTCTCGCTGTGCCAGTTTGTCATTTCGCCCCACCTCGGCGCGCTGTCGGATCGCTATGGTCGCAGGCCGGTCCTCCTTGCGTCGATGCTCGGGAATCTCATCTCCGCTCTGCTGTGGCTCTTCGCAAATCATTTCGGCCTGTACGCTCTTTCGCGTCTCGTCGGTGGACTCTCAGAAGGGAATGTTCAACTATCGATTGCTGCCATAACCGATGTCACCTCCCCCGAGGAGCGATCGCGGTCGCTCGCGCTGGTCGGAGTCGCGTTCTCCCTCGCCTTCACCCTCGGGCCTTCGCTCGGAGCCTACTTTGCTTCGCGTGTCGTAGGAAGAGGACAACGCATCACTGTTGCAGGCCACCAGCTCGTACTCAACTCGTATGCGGTTCCCGCTCTGGTTACCTTTGTTCTACTCTCGATCGAGACGCTCTACCTCGCATTGCGCTTGCCCGAGACGAGGTGGTGGAAGGAGGACCAGGCCGAAGAGGATAAGGCCAGCGCCACGTCGGCGCCGAAGAAGAACGGCGCCGATGAGAAGGCAGCGGCGGCTGCTCTTAAGCGAACGCCGGCGGAAAGGCAAGCAAGACTGAAGGAGTTGCAATGGCTCCATTTCGGTTTCTTGTTCTTCTTCTCAGGTGAGTGAAGTCGGGCCCTACCCTGTCGAGCCGAGTTCGAAAGATGACTGATTCTCTCTCGGCGCGCGGGTTTCAGGTGCCGAATTTACCTTGACGTTCTTGACCTACACATTGTTCGACTACACGAATGCTGTGAGTTTTGGGTCGCGTAACGAAATGGAAACATGACCCTCTTTGCTGATTCGGGGAACGTCTTTGTGCGGGTCGTTAGCAAAATGGCCGCTTGCTTGGCTACATCGGTATGCTCGCTTCGCTCCTTCAGGGGGGTTACGTGCGCCGCATGAAGTCGTCGACCTCAGGCCCTCCCCGCCTCGTCCGAACGGGCATCTGGACTTGCTTCATCTCACTGGTCCTCCTTGCCATCTTGCCGCACGTGGGACCCATGTCGCCCACCAGCCGTTTCTCCAACGCCAACATTTTCCTCTACTCGGCCGCAACCGGGTTCGCGTACGTGTCGTCGACCGTCGTCACGAGCCTGACGGCGATCGTGTCGTTCGAAACCGATTCCGACGTCGAGAACGTCAAGAATGGTAAAAAATCCCATGGCGAGGCGTTGGGCAAGTTCAGGTCGAGCGGTCAATTGGGGAGGGCATTGGGTCCGCTCATCAGTACGATGGTGTACTTCGTTTGGGGTCCGACTTGGGCCTATGCGTTGGGATCAATCGGAATGGCGGTTGTGGCGAGCAAATGGAGTCGAGGGATGGGTAAGAAGATCAAAGTCGAATAAACACTGAAGGCGACTGATGTGCCACTCGAGGGGATCTGAAGGCCGAAGAAAACGCAACAACAAGATGTTGACCAGACACCGGTCACGCCGCGTCACCGCCGCAAAGGCAGCAAGGATAGTGTTTATAACCGTAGCATAGTCATCGTTGCACTTGAATAAGATGACTTGCCTCTATTGTTAAACTGATAATACAACGGTAGCGATACAAGCTTGTTGTGCGATCACTCTAAACGAACATTGGCCCGGCCTCGGTTTTCCCCTCTCCAGACGGTAAGGGCCGCCACCGCGGTGACACCGTTGACGACTGCCACAATGGCGAAAGGTGCGCCTTTCCAAGCATCGAACAGCCAGCCGGCCGAAGTCCCGACGAGCAGGATGCCCAACCCGCCCGACACGGAATACGCAGCCGCGATCACTCCTGCGACTTCCTTGCCTTGCTTTTGGACCAAGGTGCCACGGGCCTGAGCCACTAGAGCGAGCGAGATGACGATCCCGCCAATCTGTGATATGCCGGCTAGGATCGCATAGACGATGGGCACCGGGCCGCGAGGGTCGCCGTGATGGGGCAAGAAGGACCAGCCTATGAAAGCGACTGTTCCGAGGGTCGAGGTCAAGGCGAGCAGCAGTGTGAACGATAATGACGAAGCGAGGAAGCCGACGAGGGGCGAGCAGAGGAGGGAGACCAATTGAACTACGCCCGTCAGGATCGAAGCCAATATCAAGGCTCGTCGACAGACTTCAAAGGGCGGATTGCTAGGTGTCGGGACGTCTAACGCTGACGATGGCGTGGAGCAGAGCCCATTGGAGACAAAGTACTGTAAATGAGTTCGAGCAATGAGTCAAATCGGTCAGGTGGGTCTGAAACAAAAGCAGCAGCACTAACGTGGTTGATCAAAAGAGGGATGAAACCCGTGACGATTGTCGCGCTCGCGCGAGACTGCACGAGGGGTGGTGGAGCGCCACATGTCAGTACGCAACAATGCCACGAGCGGCTTTGTGGGCGAGCGCATCGCACTTACCGTGAACGATACCAGGTAGCCTAAAGCTATGCGAGGCTCTTGACGAGCAATTCGGACGCCGAGCGACATTTCTTTGAGGGTAGCGATGCTCTTGTCCCGGAGCGTCGAGTTTGCTTGCCTTTCGCGACTCTTAATCGGTGCGACTGTCGACGGTCTGTTGAGACCGACGATGAGAAACAGACTCTCGACGAAGGCTAAGGCAGCAGTGAGATAATAGGTGTATCTGAGAGCAGCTCGTAGCGAAACATTGGCGAATCGAGCCGATATTTGGGCCGGTAGAGGGAGCAAAACGAAGACTGAGAGCATCACCCGGGTAACATGCAGAAGAGGACGAGCACGAGGGCGTTAGTCTCTGCACTCGCCGCGAAAGTTTGAGGATGCGAATTTTGGCACCGAGGGTTGCGCGTACCTGCCAACAATGCACCCAACCCCGAGGAGAATCCGAGCAGCCCGGCAAACCGAGCTGACTTGTTTGCTGCGCTGGTCGTCGCTCGCTCACTCGACGTCGCCAACAGACGGGAGTGCTCGTTCGACAATCCCGTTTGATTGGAAGATGTGGGTTGGGAGTGACCATGGGGAGAAGACGTGCGTACATCGCCGTCTTGACCGGTCCCGATGTCGGATTCGGACTCGGACTCGGGCAAAGCCGTCATCGAGGAGAGCGCTGCACTGAGCGCGGTGACGAGAGCGCTGGCCCCGACCGCGAACAGCATTCGAGCGATTATGAGGACAGACAAGGGGACGTTGACGTAGGCCACCAATGCGACGCCGCACAGTGCATGGCCTGCCACAGCGACCCACCGTACCCCTATCCGGTCGGAAATGAACCCCCACACGCTGTAGCAGCCGAGCGCGACGAGCTCATCCGCGAGCACGAGCTGGCCCGTCATCCGTCCGGCGTTGGGTACGTCGAGCAGGTCGAGCAGGAACGGTTGCGAGGCGTTCAGGAAGACGAGCAGCGTGATGGACAGCAGCGTCGAGCTGGCGAGCGCCACCGCGTTGATCGGTCGCACCGAGCGATCGAGGCCCAGGTAGGCCGTCAGACGGGAGGAAGAGGCCGTCGATCGTGGCATGCTGCTCGAGGGTCGGTGGTCGGCGAACACGCCATGGTCGAGCTCCGTTTCGGGTTCGGGTTCGTATAGGCCAACGAGTGAGGCCGTAGTCAGGCCCGCCATGTCGTCGTCGTCGTCGTCGTCGTCGTCACCGCGCGGCGAAGGCGTGGGAGGCGACAGGGGGAGAGCCGAACGGACGGATCCGACCCGACTGGTCACGATCATACATTGCGCTCATTACGAACTCGGTCAGGCTTGAACCTTGTGTAAGCAGAACCATTTGTAAGAAGGGTACAAGTCACGGAAAAGAACAAATTATACGGATACTTGCTCTCCACGATTTCGATGATACATATTATCAGTGCTCCGCGTGTGATCGCTCTGGACCTTCGTGCTCTGACCCGGTGATTAATGCAGAAGCCAGACAGACATTTGCAGCATCATGGCGTCACCAGTGCCAAGATGACGGAGGAATCTCAAGGTCAGATTACAACAGCCATCAGTGGCGTACAATAATACACGGCTACTTTTGCCCCAGAGACTGCCGTCGAGATGAATGCTCGCTTCGGTCCTGCGCAGCGGTGCACTACGAGACAGACAGTCGGTCGAGTCGACGGACCGTCTCGCTGGACGCCCTCGATGCCAAGCGTTGACCCTGAAGAGAGGTGGAATTCTTTCCGGACGCGTTAGATTTTCGAGAGTCTTCCAGTGAACTTCGAGTGGATGCTTCGTTCGACGAGGGCGGCGACGGCGATATGCTCGAGTCGCGGGCGGGAGACCGCATGCATGGCGAGACCGAGACCGACGATGCTGTCGAGGTGGAAATGACGGAAATCCGGTCGTCCGACTCGTGTGAGTTGGGGGTCGACACGGAGACAAGGGGCACTCCTTGAAGTCTGGGGCCAGCTGAAGTTTCAGCGGTCACCTCAGCGACGCTTGGGGCCGAGCTCGAAGAAATGGGCGAAGGATCATCTGCATCGGCGGTGATAAGACCCTCCTTTTGTGCCAGTTCCCACAGCGTGCGAGACAGATCTTCGACCGCGTTTAGGGTATAGGTCAATCGCCAGTCCAACAAGGCGAGCACGTCAACCTCCAGCTGAATCAGCTCTCGCATGGTCACTCCGCCGACTTTTGCAACACGTCGCTGCGACAAATGGCCGTCGCATTCCGACTTGCACGCCACGAGGAGGGCGGCCAGGACGAGGCGATGGATCGTGAATGTATTAATGAGAGGGTGGGCGAGTGATTCGCTCTCCTTGTGCTCTTGCTCCGTCGACGATGACACCTCGGCTCGAGTTGGTTCGACGGTCGGGAGTAACGGCACCGAGGTCACCTCATGATAGGGCGCGGGAGGACGTAGGCGGGATATCCGATCGAGATAGAGTACAGTCAAAAGAATCGCGTCCCTCGGACACGGCATATATACGATCAACCTGAGGATAGAGCGACGGTGGGATCAGCAGCTGCACGGCGATCTGCGACTGGCGATCATTGCACGACGGTCGGCGCAACTCGCTGCGTCAACGCTCGGCACGGCAACACACCTTGACAGATAACCTTGGAGTGCGAGATTGGGAGGTTCCTTGGCGTGGAAGCGGGTGATGGTGCCCTTGCACGATGACCGTAGCGCCTCGTTCGCCTCGACGGCGTGGGTGAACAGTCGCTCGACACAGCACGTGAGCACGTCCGGCGGCAGCGTCAACAAGCGATCCGTCCAGGGCGTCGGGCCAGCCGAAGGAGCGCGATTCGGTTTGACCCGCGCACCACCCACACCACGTGACGAAGGGAATGGCATAGATATCGAATCACACAAGCGTGTGTGCGTCCGTGTATGACGACAATCGTCGGTCGAGTCTGCGACGTGCATGAAGCACCTGGATCGACATTTAAGTCGAGGCTAAGCTCAACTAAGCCCTCCCTCTGGGAGGGGCTTAGGACTTATCGGCGCGCCTGGCCCAGTTGCCCTCCGAAATTTCAGGGCCATTTTGGGGTGGTCCTCTGTAGCGTGGCAAGTACTTACGATTATCCAAACCGCAGAGATGTTATTGATCTTCTACTAGAAAAGATGGCCTGTGCCGAACGGCAAGAGGATACCCCATCTGTAGGCGAAGCTGTAATGATCTGAAGTGTGTAAATTTGGTCAATTTGGTCCCGAGTGGTCCGAGCGGCAGCTGCTGCAGCCGCCGGCTTGCGCACTTCGGCGTGTGCGCATCGGTTTCTCTCCCGTCCCATTCCGCATCACTCGTCTTCTCGGTACTATGCTCTTCGCTTGTTCTCGGTGCAACACCGCGCTCATCTCAGAATGACGCGCAACCGCAGACGCTATGACTCGACGACTCGCCAGGATCGCCGCCGTCAGGCGGATCTATTCGCTCGGTTTCGGCTTCACAAGCTCTCACTATGTCAATACCTCTCGTGGTATTTCAGCCCATCAACACAACACGATGGTGTTTACGTTTGACGTCGCGTCCCGGCTGTCGAAGTACATGGTTGACTGGGGAAAGGTGCTGGGATCTGGCCGCTGGTTAAGGAGATCCCTGATATTTCCCATCGTACCGTTTGTTCTTGGTTTCATCTCGACAACAATATTGCGTAGTTTTGGTCGGAAACAGTCGGGTTTGGCGAAGAACTTCCGCGATTCGGAGAGACTGGATACCTTTAGGATCTTGTTGATTTTGTAGGGTGGAGCGCCGGCGGTGAGGAAGAGTGTTTGACAGCCAAGTATGAGACGCCGCTCCGCAACTTGCCCATTACGGGGCGAAATGCAGTCGAGCCTTCCATTGTGTGGCTCATAGCTCCGGCGCGTTCCCTTTCGCTGAATCCCCACTTGGCGATCTTGATTGCCTCGTCATAGGCAAGCAGCTTGACTCGTTCTCGGAACGAGTCAAGCGATATCAGCTCAGCCCAGCGCTTGTCTCCATTGTGCATCTCTGGAGACTGTCGGAGATTTTTAGTAGCAAGATATCAGTACGGGGGTTGTGAGCATGCAAAAACCTGCGGCGGATTGAATGGGCACGTACGATGAAGATGAATGAGACAGTATGGGAGGGATAGCTCAACTGCTGGTACAGCTCTCCGTCACCCCATGTTTCCTTGCATATGAAAACCGCTTTCTTTCGCTCTTAATTGAGATTGTCGGCCTGTAAAGGTATCAAGACCGTGGCCCGTGGGACTCAGCACCGGCGTCGCCTCAACGGCCAACCGAATAAAACCTACCTGATGTTGGCTCAGCGCAGTCAGAGGACTGACAACTATGGTCACAGCCCGGCGTCCGTAAACCAAATACATGGCTTGGAATATCAAGCTCTTCCTTGAACCCGTTGGAGCAATGACGAACACAGCGTCATACTGATTTCGAGTCTTGAACCGCTCGAGCTGAAAAAGTCCCGCTCGAGCTTCGATTTGCACCGGCCGGGGGACGAAGTCTTCGCCAAATTTGTCGACCAAGAGGAGTCTGAGCTTCGTGCATAACTCAATCAGGTCAACTCGATCTTCTTGAGTTAATTGTGATCTCCAGTGAGCAGCCCGAGAGCGACGGGTAGGCAGTTCGGGGGTTGTGTTGGTTGAGTGATGGTCCCTTGATGTCGCTGGCTTTGCTCTCGAAGCTGATCGTAAGGGCGACTCTCTGAACTCAATCGATGGAGGCCGACGAGGTGTGCCCTTGACAGGCGTTGGCGTTTGTACGGGCATGGTGGACCATGAGGGCGGTAGCGACGTCGTGGACTGGCGTTGTGGACCGAAGGTGAGGCCGGTGAGGCGCGGCTGGCTGATTCACGTCGGCGCGAAGAACCGTCCCTCTGGGTCCGTGCGCGAGCCAGCTCCAAGTCGAAACTAACGACTTCTCACCGCTGTAGCTCAATGCATAGGACATGCAAGAGTCTTCCCTTGGGTAGATGCTCGAAAAAATAGCATAAGAATGCGCCTATTGCAACAAATTGTATAGGCTGATTTTATTTGCCATGCTACAGCAAGGTGGTACTTTTCTGGGCCAGAATTTCGATAGGCAACTCAGCCAAACGCGCGAATAAGGTACAAGCCCCTCCACAGAGTGGAGGGTTTCGGAGTGGACACTGGAGGGTTTCGAGCTTAAGTCGAGGCGGTGCCTGGCGGCTGGAGCGGCCGATCGATCACCGAGGACTCAGGAGTCTCACGGCTGCGAGTTTGCTTGCATCGCAGCTAGTGCCGAGTCAACTACTGGGTATCCACTCCCCTGTCTAAGTTCAACCGAAATAGGTATCCATTTAACTTCAAGTCGTTATGAAGAGCCTCACCTCGAATGAGGAAACTCTTCGGCCGCAACTCACCCGCTGCTGCGCAGGCGAGACGAGACCTCTGCAGAGGGACATGTTGAACGGCCTCGAGAAGATGCTGTCTCTGTTTTTCTTCTTCTCGTTTTCGCTGGCGAATCTTACGAAAGCAGAGTCCGTCCGGAAACGGATCCGTAATAATACATCTAGGGGGTTCTACAAATGCTTCGGGTCCGGTGATACAACAGGCCGATGCTCTATGCCCCCGTCAGAGCACAAAGTTCTTTGCCCACGAATCGATAATCTTCGTTCCGGGCTTGTGCTGCGCGAACCTGAGATCTCGGGCGATGATCGCGCCATGGCTGTTGCGACTCTCGGGGAGGAAGACGAGGTGCTTCTTCAGTTGCGGGAGCGCATTGAGGTGCTTGAGCATATCGAGTTGCCCGGCCGTGAGGATCGGGTCCGTCGGAACGCGTTCTTGAGCGGAGGAGGCAGTTGTAGGTGGGGACATTGAGCGAACAAACGGTGGGGTGCCAACACCATCGTAGGATCCGAGGAACTTGAGAGTGGCAGGAAAGCCCGTTTGGTCATCATTGTCGGACTCATACGCCGCCGACGCCGACGCCGACGCCACCGCCTTGCCCGCATGCCCATTGCTACGTTCCGACAGCCGACCAGAGAGATCTTCTCGCAGTCCGGCCGCATACTCGGGATTGTCCGCTCTGACGCTCTCGGCCACTTCGGCCAAGCCAACGCCCACCCGCGCCAGCATGCCTTCTCGTCCACCTCCCATCTCTTTGCGCTCGCTGAGGATCCGTCGCCGAGATTGGCCAGACGCCAGCACGAACCGACCAAGGAGGAAAAGCACGGTGGCAGGGAGCGTTATTGGGATGAAGACGATGAGGATGAGAGACACCGGCCGAGAGAAGGGATAAGTCGTGGGTCTGAGGAGCAAGGGCAAGCGGAAACGAAAGCGTCGCTTGGGTTTCGACTCCACCGGAGGTTGTACAGGTGCATCGATGGGTCGGTAAGAAACGATGATGGCAGCATCATTTTCCAGCTCTATTTCGAGTCCTCCATCACGAATGTCGATTTGGGCATCGTCATCGTTGTCTCGCTCTTGGGCAACCTTTTGGGCCTTGGCACGCGCCAATGAGAACGGGTCGTGCGTCTCCATGGCCCCGGTTGGGTACGGCACAGTGCGATCGTTGACGGTATTCTGTGGGATTAATGTCCAGAGCCATGAGCTGCAGCCGCAACGATGAAAATTCGATCAAATTTGCCTACAGCATAAAGATCGCACCGTTCGAATTTGCTCAATGCTTTGTAAAAGCTGTAGCGCGGGTCCGCCTACCGAGGGGGGACCAATCAGACTCGCATAGCGGAATGGGTCGCCGCACTGTCTACTAACCATGACCGAGAGCAAAGGCTCCGCCTTTTCTTTCGTTTTGAAGAGTCGGAGAGAACTCGATTTGCGTTTCGTCGCATCTTGCTGATTGCCTTCAACGAGCGAGGAGGGCAAGTAGCGATCGGTGAGGTAGAGCTGAGCGCCGGAGCGTGAAAGGAGACGAGCGCCTAGGAACCGGAACACGTTCGACCAGACAGACTCGTATCGAGGGCTGTGAGAAAGCAATGCGTGTATTTAGCCACTTGAGCACCTTGGACCCCTCACCGGCAGATATACTGGCTTACATGCCGATCCAGGGGGAAGCGAACGCCGTAAAGTTAACGGGTTTGACATCGTCAAAGAAGGACGGCGAGCGACTCTCGAGCAGGCCAAGTACGTATCGAGCCACAAGTCCACCGAGGGAGTATCTGATGGTCAGAGCATTCGAGAGCCAATTTAATGGTCTTAGGTGGACAGAGGATGACCCAAAGTCGACGAGACTTTGACTGACCCTACAATCGAAAACCGTTTGACCTGTCCTCCATCTTGAGCGATCCTTTCGCATTCTTTTTGAGTCAGACCCCAAACCGAATGTGTCAGAATCGGGAGCTCCTGAAAATATTCGGATTGAGAATGGTGCACACCTTGATCAATCTCCCGGACGACGCGCTCGGCGCAAATGTCGATGCCGTCGTAAGTGTTTGTCCACTCGTTAAGTTTGGCAGGCTGCATTTGTGGCAGCGAGGAGAGACACCGTCAGCGGGATTGATCATGGCAATGAAGGCGGTCTTGAGGAATATTCGACTCACGAGTACGACCAACTTGACCTCGTCGGACTGCTGCGTAGATGAGGTCGACTCGAACGACTTGGAGGAAGACCGAGCCGAAGTTGAACCGACGGCGCTTTCGAGCGCCTTGACGTGTTCCGACGCCGAGCGGCAAATGTAAGCGATGTGGGAGGTCTGTCCCCAGAGTCTGTGCAGTCCATTAGAAATAATTTAAGTGATGTGGTCTCAATATTGTTCGGAACCTGTCGTATCAGGGGTCGATCGACTCGAGTGCCGTTGTCGTCGTCAGCGCTGGCCGAAAGGTGGTCGTCGTCCGATTCGACTCGCGATTGAGAAACGGGATCACTGGAGCAGAAGGAGACTGACCCATGACAGACGACGAGTAGGTGGGCGGTGTACATCTGGGAAATCCGCTTTCAGAGCGAAAGAGGGTAGCCTCGACTACACGGATAAGGATAGGAAGGAGGGAGGCTGAGCCCCAAGAGGGATTTCGTCGATCGGCACCGCGCGTGAGGCCGTTCGATCATGTGGTGCCGGGCTGTGGGCTTCGGGCATTACCAGCCTCGGACTCCGCGCCGGCTCATCGGATCTAAACCTCGCATGAACTCTCCTAGTCTCCTCGTGCGTTTGAGCTTGTGGAAACCGGGAGCCAGACACTATGACGTTATCGTCAAATAAGCAGGGCTGCGATTATTTTTTTCAATCGAATCAGCGTCTCGAGCCTGGTCTCGAGAGTCTCCTTCCGAATTTCCGCCGGGACCCTCGACCTCAACAAGGCTGTAGAAGTGCAGGCTCATGCTGCATGATTTTCGGCTTTCGCTGGCGTTGAAAACCCGTCAACTTTTATTTGCATTGTATTTTTCCTCTCTCGGACCAGGCTCTTGTATGCCTGTGTTGAAACGATTGGGGCTCGAAGTGCCGGCGGTGAACCGCTACTACCAGCTGGTCCGGGCGCACGAATCGACAGTCTTGCGCGGTCCACTGTCCAGCCTGCGTGCGCCGCCTTGGGCCACCTCGGGCGGCCTGGCGCTGCCTGGCGCTGCTGCGAAGCGCGAGAAGGGAAACGTGACGACTTGACACGCTTGACACGCTTGACTCTTGAGCTCGTCTTTGCACCGGATCAAATCCCACAAGCTCCCCGGCCATGGACGAAGCGTATCTGGTCACCTCGTACCCTCTGCCCTCTGCGGTGGGCTTTGCGGAGCATGCCTCAGCCTCGCCACGTCCCTCGTCGCTGCCATTGATCAGCTCGGTCGGCTACACCTCAACGAGCGCAGCCAGGCAGCCGAGTCGCGTGCTCGTGGCAGCGCCTGCACATGGCTTGACCCTCTACAACGTCAGTCCACTTCACCCGTCTGCTCCAATCGGGTTTGGCTCAGGCTCGAACTCGAATGCAGCGGTGGCAGTAGTAGCAGTAGCAGTAGCAGTAGCAGCAGCAGCAGCAGCTACTTCGTCCTGACCGTCGCCGCTGCTTATGCTCGTGCGACGTTCCTCGCCGTCGCCGCGACTGACGAGACATCTCCCCCATGTACTCCCTTTTCAGCTCGCCGACCAGACAGCACTGTCGTCCATCACGCTCGGATCGAGCTTTGTCCCACGTACGCCACCGGCCTCGCGCTCGACCGCGGCCTCGAGCTCCCAGTCGGCACACGCCCGCTCGACCCGACAAACATGGATCGCCGTCGCAGCTTCCCACGACGACCAACGGGGCGAGATATGGCACTGGACAGAACAGGAACGCAAGGACGGTAGCGCAGAAGCCTTGCCGTCCCGGTTGGTCTACCCCGTAAGTCCCCGCGCTACTCAGCATCCACTCGCGGTGAGGTGCATGGCTCTGACATCACAATCAACACCCTTCGTCTGCAACAGACCTCGGCACCGATCGTCGGTCTCGTTGCACCTCGCACATTGCCGAATCATCTGCTACTGCTCGCCGAGACGGGCACTCTGGCGCTCGCCTCGAGCGAAAATCTTGCGATCGGCGCTTCGGTCGTCCTCTCCACACCCTCGTCCTCGTCGACGGCTCCAAAGCCCATATCCCAGTCTCTGCGTGCGGTCCCTCTCCAGGCTAATTCGAACTTGCTTCCACGGTCCGTTCTCGAACTCTTGCCTCACCGGTCAGGCGCGCATGTCGTCTTCGTGTCGAGGGCATACGCGGGCGACTCGCACGCCGCAGCTTTGCCGCCGGCGACTCCGGCCGCAAAACCCAAGAGAACGAAGCGTCCCACAGCACCCGTCATCGCTGGAAACGTCGATACACCAGCTCGAACCGAGATCGATGTCGTTCTCGTCGATCCCGAGGTGAGAGACGATGAGGACGAGATGGCTGCGCAACCGCAAATGGTTGTTCTCGGTTCGGTGGAGGTGCTGGGTGACCAGGTCGTGGTCAACGACGAGGGTATCGTCACAGCTCTGGTTGGCAGCGACTTGGTGTCATATCAACTTGCTTTCCCTCAAGACTATCCCACGACGACCTATGCTGATCTTTTCAACTCGAACGAGCACCCCATCGAGGCCAAGCTATCCCTCTCTGTCGTCAAGTCACTTCACCTGCCGAGCGAAAAATTCACACCTTCCAATACGACAATACTCGCCTTGCATTCTTCTTTTGTTCTGCAGTGCTCCATGCTGATGCCAAGTCGAAGCACCGAGGAGAACGCATTGGGCGTTCTCGCCCTCGTTTGGGACGTACGCCTCGGCGTCGTCATCTCCAGCACTACAATCGTCCTCCCATCGTCGATATCCTACCCGAGCGGACACTGCCTGGCACTCGCTCTGCCTAATTTGACTACCGCAACCTTGGCTCTGGCCCCTCTCGTCGATGCCGAATCATCTTCCTCGCCCAGCCGCATCGCCATCTTCAGCCTGCCCTTGTCGACCGTTCCCTCGGCCTCGGTGCTCGCTGCTGTAGTAGGGAAACAGCACCTTACGCGCCAGTATCTTGCCACGGACTCTTCTTTAAACGGAGCCGTCAAGACGATCGTACCACTGCGACACTCAAAGACAAGTCCGAACAAGGCCGCGCTTCTCGATGCCAGTATTGATGCTCGTAGCAAGGTCTTGCGCACACTCGAGCCCCTTCTTCGATCAGGCGACGTCAACGTCGATGCTGCCGACGCGGCTTTTGATGCCTTCATCCAGGACGAGACGAAACGCTTGCGGGCGTACCATCTTGTCAAGCTTGAGACAAGTTTGGAAAAGGAGCGCGAGCGACGACTCGCGGCGTTGCAAGCTAAGGAGGCGCTGAAAACGACCGGGAGCAAGTACAAGACCGCAAAGCGCAAGATCGAGGAAGCGATCCAGGAGAGCGGCCTCGCTGCGGAGGCGTGGCCTGAGGTGACGGCGAAGCGCATCAAGGGTGTCAGTGACGTGTACCGCTACAAGTACTACGAGGATCGCAAGCAGCTCGAGACGAATAAGGGCAGCGTTGCAGTCGACCAGAGTAGGGAGAAGGCCTTAGCCGCGATCGAAAAGCTCGAGCCGGTGCTTCCCTCCTCGTTCGTCACGGCGGTCCTGAGGCTTTGCTTCCCCGAAGCCGTCGAGACCACGGCGATGGCATCCGGGAGTTTGGAGCGTGGAGCGACGATTTCTACATCGCCGCGCCCACATCCTCGTGGCATCCTATCTTACTTGCTCAAACGAGGCATTGTCGGAGATGGCCAGATCCACGGTAGCCTGGTTCGTGAACTTGCTTTGGCGGAGGACTGGGTAAGCTGAGTCTTCGCACGGTCTACTTCGTCTGCCACCCTCCTGACCTCCTCGGAATCTGAATTGCAGACTAACATCCTCTTGGCTCTCCGCACGATGCCTGACATCCCTGAATCAATTATGACCTCGACACTGCGTCGTGTCACTGCGGCCAACGCCTCCTCGGATCCTGTGCCTGCGGACATGCCCCGCCTGTCGACATTGCTACGTGCGCTCGTCGCATGCTCCTTCGAACCTGCGCGGTTGAGAGAAGCGTTCCGGAACCAGCTCAACGCCGTAGAGGCTCTGGCCGTACTGGAGGTGTGCGATCGGTGGTTGAGGTGGTGGAGTCGGCACGAAAATGGTGGCGTCGTCGAAGCGGAACCGACGGATGACCCAAAGCCGAAAGCACCCAAACGCCTCCCTCTGGACCCCTTTGCTGTCCGCGCCTCCTCCTCCTCGGACGAGCAAGCCGCGTCTCGCGGTGCCCCTCCCCACATCGAATTGGTTCTTCGTTTCGTACAAGGGATCCTCGATGCGCAATTCATCGCCTTGCTATTGCATCGACCTTCGCACGCTTTGCTGCGGCGGCTCGCGACGCACGTCGACGAGCACTTGAAGCGAACGATCCAGCTCGAAGCTCTGGTGGGGCCATTGGCCATCTACGCCAGGGCCAAGACCGAGCAGAAGAAGGGGGGTGCTCAAAAGGGCGAACTTGGGCTCGACAAGGGTCTAGGGGAGAGCATGAGGCGCAGGGTGGAGGCGCAGGAGAAACACGCGCGGGTGGGTATGTACGAGGTCGAGCAGTTCAATCTGGGTTGAAACAGTTTCTCCCCCTTGCGGTCTCGACTAGCTTGTATTGTGTCAGTCTATTGCATGTCAAAAATGTCTTCTGAAAAGCGCCTTCAGTCCGCCCATCGAGTCCCTAAAGGCTTTGCTTTGCTCATCACGCCTCGTGAGCCCCATGCTAATGCGATCCCTAACAACGCAACGTCGACGCCCAATAGCGTGATTGCACCCAACATAAATCTTGGGGCAAAGACCTTCCAAACGAACAAGTGGCGACGGAAGTAGATCGCAAACGTCGAGGCGCAAAGCGTGAGCACCGATTCGGTAGTGAGGTAAGCCATGACACTGCGGACGAGCGAACGGGGTATGGTCGACGCGGGCTGGTCGCGCAGTGGGGAAGAGACGTTCCACAATGCGTAGAGTGGTACCACCAAGGCGGTGAGCAAGTGGGGCGACAAAGTGTTGAGGATGATCAAGGTCGGCGAGAACGGGTAGGTCACTTTGGGGAACCCGATGAACGCCGTCGACCATTGAATCGAGACCAAGGCCGCTTGATGACCGGTCGCGAAGAAGGCGAGGTGCGCGACAAGGGAGAGCATCGACCCCTGGTAGAGTGAAAGACCCGGATTCGCGACTTGCGGGGTTTGACCGTTGAGTAAGGCTTCGAGATTCGATTCGTCAGTGATTGCCGACAAGAGTGCAGTGACGTCCCGCTCGGAATCATAGACCTCCAAGAGCGAGAGGAGGATGGTGAGGTGTAGAACAAGCGCAATCTGACCCATGGGCGGGTTGACCAACAACAGCAGCGTCAAGCACGCGGCGACGAGCAAGAGATAGCTTCCCCCCAAGGCATTTGCGAAGCCAATCATCTCGGTCAGACGTGGCGCAGTCTTTTCGTGAACGCCGTCGCGAGGTGTAGCCGTCTCAACGTGCACGCAGAGCGGAAGGTAATGCCACAATAAGGAAGCGGTCAAAACGGCACCGATTTGCGCCGCCCTCGCGAAACCTGTTTTAAGACTATTCGCCAAAGGGAGGAGGTCGTGTGCCGGGAATGCTGCAATGAACCAATCAAAGGTCCAGTACACACTCACGCAAGCGAGGCTACCTCGGACGGGGGTTGTGAGGAACAAGCGAGCGAGGGGAACGTCGGAAACGGATTGGGCTAACGAATACCGCACAATCGTCGGCAGGGCATTGCTGGTCAAGATGGAGAGGGCTAGCGCGATCAGGGCCGAGACAGATCCTGGGGGTCGATAGAACGTCGCCGTGCAGAAAGGTGCTTGCTCCTCACGGCATGAGGTGCTGTACGCGAGGCCTTGGACGCACACCAAGGCGACCGTATTGAAGGCAACGATTCGGCGTCGTAAGCGAGCTTCGGGGGCGACAAGACCGCGCAGAATACTTATAACAATCATTGTCGAGATCAGGAACCGCACAACCGCATCTTCAAAGACGGTAAAGGAATTCGTGGTGAAGATAGCGGCATGGGCAATTGTCGGTAACAAGCCGACGCACGTTCGGGCCGCGGTCTTGAATGCGCCGGCGGAGACTCTTGGTACGGCAATGAAAGCCACGGAGCCGACCGCGACGAGCACCGAGAGGAGTACTCGAGCGTTTTCGCCTAGAAGTCGCGTTGCACCGAGGAGGTGCAGTGCCACCAAGCCCCACGCTGTGACTGCCGCTCCTTCGACCCCGGATCCGAGCCGAGACCTTGTCGCACCACCACGGCTTGCACCCTGGTAAAAAGCGAGGCTGACGACCGTCCCGAGTGAGAGTACCAGTAAGCCCGTGAACATGCGCACGCGATCGAATGTAGCCCAAACCGCACGAGCGCGTTGCCTCGTTGTGCGTTCAAAGGACCAGAACCGCTCCAACGCCTCCAACTCCAAAGCCGCCTGCTCTCTTCCAGGCCCATAGGCGCCTCGGAAGGTCGATTTTGCCAAGGCAAGCTTGAGATGGAGTTCGGGTAGCGCGCGTGCGAGATCGCGATTCGAGTCTTGGGACGTGTAGACTTCGAGGTAGTGAGACAGCTGCGAGGAGGCAATGACGGTGGCCTGAAGCAGTGTAGATAGGGGTGTGAGGGTCTCGTCCTGTCGCGCAGGCTCCGCGGCTTTGGTAAGCTTGACGAAAATACTCCGCTTCGGAGTAGGCGCAGGCGGGCGATCCTTTTGGGCAGCTGGTAGTGACGAAGCTCGGTAAAAAAGCTCTGGTATCGGAACGCCGAGGTTGCCGAAGGGTATTGGCAGACCCAGCAAGAGCGACAGGGTGGGGACGAGGTCGACTTGAGCGACTGAGCGGATCGGGGAGACCAAGTCCTTTTCCGGGCAGATGAGAAGCATACGATCCTCGAACGTGGTGGACGCATCGGAAGCCCGAAGAAGCTTGGCGACAGGGTGCGCCTCTGAAGTCATCGGGTGTCGGAACCAGTCGGGCGAGACCAGAGCCGGGCCTTTGGAGTATACCCACAGCGCTGCATCGACCTCTTCTCGACTATCGCCGCCGTGGTCGCCGCGATCGGTCATACCGTGGTCTCCGAAGACTACGAGCAGGGTATCGTTGTCCAGCTGCTGGACGATCTGGGCAAGCATTGCCTGTGCCTCCCGAAGCTTGCGCTGCGCTTCGGCGTGGGAGGGTCCAAAGCGATGGCCTGCATGGTCGAGCCCCAGCGTGTGGGCTATGATTATGTCCCACTCTCCTCGTTCGCCTCGCATCATGGGGAAGAGGTGTTCTTCGACGCCGTGGTCTACGGTGTCGAGATCTTCGACATTGAACGAGTCGAAAGGCCACACTGCCCCTTGCCGCCAGACCGAGGACCGTCCAACGTCCGGTTGCTCGTCATGGACCGCAACGGCTGTGGTATTGGGTGTCGCAACAGGGAAGAGGTGCAGCCATGTGTCGTCACCGACGAAAGCGATGCGTTTGCCATGCCTGCGCGCCTGGGCCAACCAGTTATCCTCGACAATGCGTTCGCCTCCGAAATTGCTCCCCGCATCGACGAACGTGGGTAATGAGCCCGTGGTGAGAGCCTTGAGGCGCTGCAGAGTCGTCGTCGGAGCGTCGGCGATGAAGTGGGACAAGAAGGAGCGTGTCGGATCGGCCAAGGTCAGTTCGGCGGGCAGGGTCAGCTGGTTGGAATAGAACCGCGCACGAGGATGGCGGACGAGGTACTGAGGATCGACGGGGAGGACAAAGTCGGCTCGGAGTGCATCAATCACGACAAGCACGAGTTTGGTGTGGGTCGGCGGAAGCGAACACGCCGGATCGTGGGTCGCGTCGGAGCGCAGGGGTTGACATTCGTTGATCTGGTCGAGGGCCTGACGGGTGAGGAGGAAGCCTCGACCGACGAGGAACAGGCCGAGAAGGTGGAATGCCACCACAAACAAGGTCGCAACGAGGGCCAGATGCTTTGGAGAGACGAATGCCAGAGTGCGAAGCGCGTGACCGAGTCGAGCGACTAGAGGTGGAGGCGTGGGACCGGTGTGCTTGGCCGAGTTGACGACGGCTTGTGCACGTTGAGCTGGCTGAGCATGCTCGAGACGTGTGGCACGATCAAAGGGCCACTGTGCTTGGTCGTCGTCCTCGGAGTTGGTGGCTCGTGCGAGCTCGGGCGGGGTGGTCATGCGACCCGACTCGACCCAGCTCTCGGTCGAGACGGTCAGGCTTCGCTCTGCGATGCGAAGCGATGTCGGTCAGTTGAGCAAGAGACGAACGAAGAGCGCGGCCAGGACTTGCCACAAGGAGAGGGTTGTGACCGGTGCGGCACCAGAGAAGGGACGGACAGGAGGTGAGCAGGGAGCACAGCTCAGAAGCTGGAGAGAGCGCGACAGGAGGCGAAAAGGAGCGCGCAGCAAGGATGATCGAAGAGGTCGAGAGTGGAGTGATCGAACCAGATCGAACCGCCGAGCCTCGCCTAGCCTCGCCTAGCCTCGCTCCGCACCGGCTCAATCTGGCTCTATCTGGCTCTGGCAGTGATTCACCCCCACACGCGCTCTCCCGCGCTCACCTGAGACTCGGCCCTCATCCTCCTTCCACGGTCAGCATCCAACACGATGGCAAAACGATCCTCGGGCACGATACCACCGTCCTCACCCCAACCACAACCACGACCAAGCCACCAGCGACAGAAAGCTCGCACCAGTTCCAGATCGAGGTCGTCGTCACCGCCAGCCTGGACCAGGATGCTGCTGCTGCTGTCGCTGCTGATGACGGTGCTCATGCCCAGCCCAGCGATCGCGGCCGGATCCTCGTTCGCGTCCCAGCCCATGACATTCTGCAAATGTATCTGCTTTGGCAACTCGACCATTCTGCCCATATTTCGACCCCGCGACCCGCTCAGACCGTGTCTGACCTGCACACGACAGGTGAGCTCGCCCTGGACAAGAGCAGAATCCGGATCCCAACCAACGTGATCCGTGATCAGCGGTGGTATTGAAACATCTTCCGATGCCCCCGCCTCCAGTTCTGCCTGGAACAAAAACTGCCGGCCTGCTTGAACGCCAAAGCGAGCGATGAGGACTTGGACGTCGGCACGGGCGAAACGGGGGACGTGCAAGCTCGGTGTTTCCGTAGGTTTGGTCTCACACTGGCAGAGCGAGCAAAGCTCACATGTTCTCTCTGACGGTTGGCTTGCAGAACGCGACTCTCCGAAATCGCACGTGCTCGTCGTACTCTTCCTTGTCGTTACGAGTTCTCTCCTCCTCGGCGCCGTGCTCAAGCAGAATGGGATCGACCCGGCCCAGCTGGCGACACGAGGTGGATTCTCGAGCACGGTCAGCGTAAGTGGAAGCTGTGCAGGTACTAGCTTTTGGCTCTCTGTACTGAAGGCCGTATGTCGGACTTGCACAGGACTTGTCGCACTGGGCGAATTCTAAATTGCGAGGACGGCGGGGCGTTGGATTGAACGGACCCGACGGTATGGCTTTCCATGCGCTTCCCAGGCAGGACCGATGACCCTGTTATACAACTGTACCTATATCGACATGAAGGGGGCTTGCTACCTATCTGTGCGCTCGAGAGGGAGCATGAGCCTGGCGAGTGTGGTGCGCCGCTCGGAACGAGGACAGTTGCCCGCGTCGGCCGAAAATCTTGCCGCCTACTGAAGGTGGTCGTGACCCTTACGCTAAGCAGACGGCGCGAGATGTGAACCATCTCCTCCGTTTTGCGGTGACAGCGGAATGCTGCTCTCACCCACATGTCCTTGTATCTGGCCCAGCGTGATTCTGGCCTATCGCCGACCTAAGTCCGAGTGGGTCCGAGCTTGAGTCAAAAGAAGGGCGGAGCGGGTATTAGCTGCTGCTTTTGCTCCGCTCACCTCATCGAGTCCTCGCGCTCAGCAGCCGCCCATCACAGCGCATTTCATTCTTCTCCTTGATTGAACACGGTGATACGGTCACGGATGGCATCGGTCAACTCGAACCCCAGCATGCAGCGATGGCTCGCCCGACTTACGGACCTGCCCCAGCTCGTGCTGCCGACCGACTACGCGAGACCATCCGGTGAAGCCATGGTCGAGGCACGCGAGAAGCGCACCATCGACGACCGCATCGGCAATGCACTCGTACGCCTCGCGCTCTATGATGAGCTAGGCGACGACTCGGACTCGGACTCGGACTCGGAACCGGAACCGGACCAGAGGCAGAGTCGGCAGAATCAGCGCGAGGGAATCGATCAGACGCTTGCCGCTCGAGGTGCTCGGGACCACCGTCGACAGAGCAACACTCCGACGCCATTCCACCTGTTGCTCGCGTCCTTCGTCGTGCTGCTGCATCGCTTCACGGGGGAGAACGACCTCGTCATCGCGACCTCGTCTCCGTCCTCGCCCGATCCGCTGCTCCTGCGCATCAAGCTCGAGCCGAGTGACTCGTTCTGGTCACTCGTCAAGCGCGTGCAATGGCTCGAACAGGACGCCGAGAACGACAAGGTCCCGTACGAGAAGCTGCTCGAAGCGCTCGGCCGCGGCAAGAGTAGCGAGGCAGAGCGCGGACAGCGACAGGACGGTCCTCCCGAGGCGCCTCTGTTCAGGGTCCGCTTCTTCGACGAGACCGACGAGACCGAGACCTCGTTCGTGCAGCAGACTTCGCTCACGTCCGATCTGACCGTCTTCGTCACTTCGACCGCCCACGACTCTCTCTTGGCAGCCGCGGCGGGATCGTCGCTGACGCCCTCTGCCTCTGCCTCGGGTACGGCCACGCCGACCTCGTTGAGGACCTCGCTCCGGGCACCGACTGTCGCGCTCACGCTCTCGTACAACTCGCTCGTGTTCTCTCAACCGCGTATGGCGACCATGCTCGACCAGCTGCTTCATCTCGTACACCACGCCGCCGCACATCCCCTCGACGCGATCGGATCCATCTCGCTGTTGACCCACAAGCAGCGCAAAGTCTTGCCCGACCCTCGTGCCGATCTCGAATGGACCGGCTACCGGGGTGCCATCACCGATATTTTCAGTCGCAACGCCCGAGTATTCCCCGACCGAACCTGTATCGTCGAATCCTTGAGTCCCACCGCCGTCGGAGGTGCGAACAGGCTGCGCAGCTTCACTTACCAGCAGATCGACGAGGCGTCCAACGTGCTCGCTCATCACCTTGTCGCTTCGGGCGTGGAGAGGGAAGAAGTCATCACCGTCTATTCGACTCGAGGCGTCGACCTCGTTGTCGCCGTTATGGGCGTACTCAAGGCAGGCGCCACTTTTAGCGTCATCGACCCCGCCTATCCACCCGCGCGTCAGATCATCTACCTTCAGGTCGCTCAGCCTCGGGCTTTGGTCATTCTCGCCGCTGCGGGATCGCTGCCGCCGCCCGTGCGCAAATACGTGTCCGAGTCTTTAAAGATCCGCGTCGAGGTCCCCGCAATGCAGCTCTTGGCGTCCAGCTTTTTGCTGGGATCTGCTGCGACCGAGGGCGAACCTGATGCTCTGGACGGTGTTCGATCCAAGGCGGGGCAGGCTTTGAACATCCCCTTGGGTCCGGACTCGATCGGGACATTGTCCTTCACGAGTGGTTCGACGGGTGTTCCCAAGGGTGTGCGAGGACGTCATTTCAGTTTGACTCATTTCTTCCCTTGGATGAGCAAGACCTTTGGCCTGAGCGAAACAAGTCGTTTCACCATGCTGAGTGGAATAGCTCACGATCCGATCCAAAGGGATAGTAAGTTTGAATACGAACTGTTGCGTGTCTACAAGCTATATATGTCGCGTTGGAATGGTTCTGACTTCCTGACCTCCTCCCACAGTCTTCACGCCGTTGTTCTTGGGCGCCGAGCTGCACATCCCTACTGCCGAGGACATTGGAACTCCCGGACGGCTGGCCGAATGGATGGCCGATAGCAAAGTCACCATCACTCATCTCACCCCAGGTCATTTCTTTTCGACTTGAAAAATCTCACCTCGTGCTCGCATAAGGCTGAACCGTGTCTTTGCTATTACGTACAGCCATGGGCCAACTGCTCTCCGCTCAGGCGACCCGCTCGATCCCTAGCTTGCTCAACGCATTCTTCGTCGGCGACGTCCTGACCAAGCGAGACTGTACTCGCCTTCAGCAACTTGCGAACAATGTGCGCATCATCAACATGTTTGGTACGACCGAGACGCAGCGTGCCGTATCCTACTTCGCCATCCCTTCCCTCTCCACGGATCCCACGTTCCTCAAATTGAGGAAGGACATCATGCCCGCTGGCCAAGGAATGATCAACGTCCAGTTGTTGGTCGTCAACCGCAACGACAAGAACCAAATTTGCGCCGTCGGCGAAGTCGGCGAGATTTACGTTCGCTCCGGTGGGCTAGCGGAAGGCTACTTGCAGTTGCCCGAGTCGACGACGGAGAAGTTTGTCGCGAACTGGTTCGGCACCGGGGTCGAACGCGAGGATCGGATTCAATCGGGCGACGAGGCGTGGAAGCCTTACTGGAAAGGAATGAGGGATAGGATGTACAGGAGCGGAGATTTGGGCAGGTACAACCCCGATGGTACGGTCGAGTGCACAGGTCGCGCCGATGATCAGATCAAGATCCGTGGCTTTAGGATCGAGTTGGGAGAGATCGACACCCATCTGAGTCGACACCCCGCCGTGAGGGAGAACGTCACGCTCGTTCGAAGGGACAAGTACGAGGAAAAGGTCCTCGTGGCATACTTTGTGCCATTGATGGGCAGCAAGGAACTGGAAGGATTGGTCAGCGGAGGCGAAGACGACGGCGCTGGTCCCGATGAAGGGGCCAAGGTCACCGCAAGTGAAGTCGCGAAAGGCTTGACAAAGTACAGGAGGTTGATCAAGGACATTAGGGACTACCTCAAGACCAAGTTGCCGAGTTATTCGATTCCGACTGGTGCGTTTCGCTGGTCCAACAGGATCAGCAGATCTCCGGAAACAAACTGACAAAGGCTTTGCTGCTTTCCCCAGTGTTCGTCCCGTTGACGCGCATGCCCCTTAACCCAAACGGCAAAGTCGACAAGCCGGCTCTGCCCTTCCCGGACACTGTTGCCGCGGCCGCCGCTACGACAACGACCCACGCCGCCCCGGGCTCGGCGCCGACGCTAAGCGTGACCGAGAGAGCGATCCACGACATCTGGCTCAAACTATTGCCATCGCCCCCGGCTCAGATCCCGACGGACGAAAGCTTCTTCGATCTAGGTGGCCACTCGATCTTGGCCACGAGGCTCATCTTCGAGTTGAGGACAACGCTCGCTATCGGTGCGCCTTTGGGGATCGTGTTCGACCATCCCACCATTGCTGGCTTGGCGAAGGAGTTGGACCGCTTGAGGGACTCGGACTTGGGCCTCGCCAGTGGTGAGCGATCGGCCAAGTCGGGCTCGACGTCGAATGCGAATGATGATGAGTACGCGGAGGACGCGGATAAACTCATGGCACGATTACAGGCCAAGTACGAGAAACCGCAAGAGGTAGAGGGGCCAAAGACCGTCTTCCTGACGGGCGCGACGGGGTTCTTGGGCGCCTTTATCCTCAAGGACCTACTTGTTCATCGTCAGAGCCAGGTCAAGAAGGTCATCTGCCACGTGCGTGCTAAGTCGCCCGAAGCCGCTCTTCAGAGGTTGAGGGAAAGCGGTCAGGGCCGTGATGCCTGGGACGAAGCTTGGGTTGAAAAGGGTCGGGTGGAAGCGGTCACTGGCGATCTAGAAGCCGATAAGCTAGGGATGAGCGAGCAGGAATGGGACAGAGCTGCTCAGGAAGCTGATGTCGTCATTCATAACGGTGCCTTAGTGAGTTTTCCTTTCACGCTTGGGTCGTCATTTGCTCGCCGCAGTAGTGGACGCACGCCTGACGACGCTGCTTTGCTCAAAATATCAGGTCCACTGGATTTACCCTTACACCAAGCTTCGAGCGGCGAACGTTCTCGCTACGTTAGCAGTTCTTGATCTTGCCGCTGCGACTCGGCCCAAGGTCATTTCGTTTGTCTCGACGACGGCCGTGATTGAAAAGGGTCACTATGTCCGCCTCGGCGATTCCCTCGTTCAACAAGGAAGTAAGGGTGTGCCTGAATCGGACCCGCTCGATGCCGGCAAGGAAGGCCTCAAGGGTGGTTACGGTCAATCGAAATGGGTTTCCGAGCGGTTGATCCTCGAAGCTGGTCGCCGCGGCTTGGCGGGCGCGATTGTTCGCCCCGCTTACGTTGTTGGTGATTCGACGTCAGCGGTGACCAACACCGACGATTTCCTGTGGCGGCTCGTCAAGGGGTGTATCCAACTGGGCCACATCCCTGATATCCACAACTCGATCAACATGACGCCCGTCGATCACGTTGCTCGCATTACCGCTGTTTCAGCCCTTCAATCCCCTTCAGAACCTCTGCGCGTTCATCAAGTTTCGGCACGCCCCCCACCCCGGTTCAACCAATTTCTCTCGGCGTTGCAGCGGTACGGGTATCAGGTCAAGAAGACAGAATATCTACCCTGGAGGACGCTCTTGGAGCAGCACGTGCTCAAGTCGCAGGACAACGCCCTGTTCCCCCTGCTGCACTTCGTCTTGGACGACTTGCCCACGAGCACCAAAGCCGCCGAGATAGACGATTCGAACACGATCGCGTTGCTGAAAAAAGCCGGGGAGGTCGAGACGATGACTGTCGATGATGGGTTGGTAGGCTTGTATCTGGCTTGGTTGGTCGCCGCGGGCTTCTTGGAAGCTCCGGCTGTGCCGGCGTCAGAGGGGAAGAACGTCTTGGCCTTGCCGGCGTTGAGGTCGGGTCAAATCGCGAAAGCGATTGGTCGTTCTTCGGGCCATGCGACTTGACGGCCTTACAGCAGACTTGGCGTCTTGGAGACTGGAACGCAGGCGGTTTTTGGTGCGGTGGAACTTCAATAATAAAGCCTAAATGGGACGAGGTCCTGGGAACAATAGTTTAGAAGGCGCGTGACGTTTGCACATGCAGGGCAGCAGTATCATGCTTCTAAGTGGAAGAATCCTGCTGCGTCGAGAGTAACCCAGTTATTGTGGTGGTCTCGAAGTCGTACGCGCCATTGAGGATAGGGTACGCGTCAATGAGATTAAGACGCCTCCATCTTGTGAAGAAATCTCAAAGAGCTATTGTTGACAACAAGGTTATGGACCAGAATCTCGATCTACGTGGTACGGCGGAAGGACGGACAGGGAGGGGTACGACAAGAAACGGAGGAATCACAAGGGACCACACAGGGTGTGCACACTCTGGTGTGCACACAGAGAGTGGATGTCTATAGAGGGGGGAAAGCAGCTTTCACCACGATTTTTCAGGTTGAGGATGAGACAAGGCATAGAGCCGTCGCATGAGGACCTCGTATCTGCGAGACAATCGAAGCATCGGGTTCCGGCATAGGTTAGTCTCGGTCGGTCGAGCAACGGAGCCGAATCGTGCAGCGAGCGGCAGATTGGAAGGAAACGAAACTCACGTTAGGATCGTCATTGCGCTCGACGGTACCGTCCTGATCAAATTGACGCCCATGCCGCGATAGAAACCCGATGGGCCTTCCGTCCGCAAGATCCGTTTGAACAAAGCCGCCACGCCTTCGTACGATCGGGTAACAGGCGGGGTCGCCCCCTCGTGAGGTATCGGTCCCGATGTCTGTGTCTGTACGTTCTTTTGGATTTGAAGTCGGGTACGGAGTACTTCGTGGGGGTAGGTAGCTACCGATGCGATCATTTTAGACACCGAGGAGCAATAGAGGATCGTCGAGGATGGGATGTCGGATCCGTCAGGCGGTCCTACAAGAATCGGCGTGAGGGAAACGAATTAGAATTGCGAACGAGTGACTGATTCAGATGGGGCGGAAAGCTTACGATTGTAGACTTTGAGCTGTTCATAGAGTGGGAATTGAAGCGCAATATGGCTGACGCCAATCAAGCTTGGGACCATCCCTCGGTAGAACGTTTGTATCCCTTCGGTGTGGTAGATTCGTCTGATGGCGTCCCATGTATGCGAATACCGCGGCTCGTTCGGTCCTGTGGTTTGGGTCTGAATGGGCCGAGATCGTTGATCAGCAACAGCTACGGCCGCTATCACGGTGCGCGGTCTGAGTCGCTTACCATGAACCGAGTCTTGACGACCCAGAGAGGATTTGTGACGATTGTCCCCGTTGCTCCGGCGACCATGGCCGCGACGATGTGCGATATCGGGTCATCGTTTCCTGCACGTCATCAGATGTGTGTGAGTAACCAAGGATGCTTTCCAGCCAAGCGTCTGAGAGGGTGAAGCCGGAGTCGCTCCGTCCATCGGTCGAATCAATCGAGATGTTCGGCGGCGCAGTTCAAGGATCAACAACAGTCTCGGAATCAGACGCCCTCCCGGGAGTATTGTCTAATATTCAGATTCATCCGCCCCTTCGTGCACCACCTTTCCCCCCGCAAGGAGTTTGAAGGGCGTAGAGGAAAGGACGGAAGGTTCGTCAGAGGTCTAAGGATGTAAAGTTGATAGTCATCTTGTTCCTGTAGACTGTTGTTGGGGGTGGCCTCTTTACGCGCTCGGCTCATTTATGCTTTGTGGGATCTTGGCCCCATTGTTACGAGTCTACGAGCCGGACGAGACGCGTGCGGATGAAGCACGGGCACGAGGGAGGAAAAAGGAGACAAATGCGCCGAGAGTGGCCAGCGGACGGGAGGGAGGGAGACTGACCTCTTGATCGGCCCATGGTCGACTTGATCTTGTCGTACACGGTGAAGTAGATGGCCCATGTGGGGAGGTACCCGATGATGGTTGGTCCTAGGCCTCGATAGAAGCCGCGGAAGCCAGCGGTCGATGCGATGTGGACACACGTGCCTGGTCATCCCCGTTCGACCGTGCGAAGAGAGCATCGAGGAGGTCGTCAGTGAGTGCCATGCACTAAGAAAGGGAGGGACCAGATGGTAGGCATGCTGGCTCGCCGTCTCAGGTCATGATCACGGGGACAGTGCGTGCATGAACACCTGGAGAAGAGCCAGGGTCCGATCGGCGACGAGAGGAAGGAAAAAGAGCCCAAGCGAAAGAGGGGCGCCGACTGCGAGACCGCGAGACTGCGAGCCAGTGAGAGCCAGTGCAGGCCTGCGCCAACGCGCCACGCTCGCTCGCCAGCGGCCCGCCAGCGGCTCACCAGCTGGTCCAGCGGCCGCCACCCGTCGGCTCGTGCAATCGCAGCTCCCGCCAGTCGCCAACGTGGTCCTGTCCTGCCCCGCGCAAATCAGGGACACGACCCAGAGCAGGGCTCGATGGCTTACCTATGAGTCCTCTCGGAGCGGTCGTCGCGCCCGAGGCTTGCAGACGAGTCTTTATGACGTCGAGCGGACAGGTGACGACCGAGGTGACCAGACCCGCGCCCGCGCCGGCTAGCATCGACTCGGCGCCATGGAACCACACGGTCGAGCCTTTGGGATCCCGGTCGGTGAGGGTGACCCGCATCTCTGCCCCAGTTCAGCTCACTCGGGAACGGGGGGCAAAGGGGGGCGAGCGCGAGAGGGCAACCAGCAAGCAGCGGCGTGCAGGAGCGTGCAGTCGACGGCGGTTCGACGGCACTCTACAGCACTTGAACGCGAGCCAAATTGCCCAAGATTGCCCATGCGTGCAGGAGACGGGACCGGTTGGTTCTCGGCCGCGCCAAAGTCCCTTTAAGGAAAATGCAGTGGCCACTTTGGGGAGGTATGGACGCAACTCCAGAACGCCTAAGGGCATGACCACTGCAGAGCTGGCGTCATGAAATTATCAAAGGGACGGCAAGGATATGGGGTGATCGCCAAAAAGGGTGGGCGGAGCAACGCGGGAGTTAGTGAGTCAACGGGAACTCCGCGGAAGGGAGGGATAGGGTGCACCTATTCCAAGGAGGAGCGTAGGTTGCAGGGAAAGACGGAGAAAGAGGGGAAAAGGAAGAGATGATGACCTAGGGCAAGGCGGAACAGGTGTGTAAGTCTTAGTCAGGTCAGAGGCGATTGCCTGAACAATCTGGTTCAGCGCCCGATAAGGGTCATCTCTGTTTGTAGGTAACTGGATGTCATATTCCCATGCCAGTCCCCCCAACTTGACGTTATGCCGCTGGTGGCTGGACATGGCCTGGTACTCGAGAAATCGGTCCAATGGAGCAAGTCAATCACCGAGCTACCACATCTATTCTAATATGAACGCCTGAACCCATTCGATGGGTGGTCGAAGCAAGCACGGCTGACGCTTAACGCTCGTGGCATGCAGCCCCCACCCCCACTCGGTGCGAAACCGGCCCAGATCGCGGATCGAGTTGCCGTCGCTGGCACCTGTCCGGCTTTTGTCGCCCCTGCTTACGTGTGTATACGGGTGCATAGATGTATTCGGCGGTGAACAAACATTGACGCGCCGCGGGGCGGCGACGAGTCCCTGAACCTCTCAAGCGCGGCGCGGTCGAGTTTAACATCGAAAGGGCATTCATCTCAATTCTGTACCAGTTGGTAAAAATGAGCTATGTACTAGAAAGCGAGTAGATTGGTCAGGCGCCCAAGTGTCCGAAGCCCGCGAGGCCGATTTCGTCTTCGTCCGAGTCGGCGCTGCTATTGTCGCTGTCCGACTTGATCTTTTTGGCTGCAAAAGGGGGAGGCGCCGCCGGGGGTGAAGAAAGGTCATGTCAGGTTGACTTATGACCTAGTGTTAGGCGCATCGGTGTCTCCACTTACCCTTATTAGTTAGGTCAGCAAAGTCCAATTCGAACTCGGCCTCGTACGCAGACCTCTTCACAGGCGAATGAATGGCCGATGAATTTTGAGGCGTGCCCTGGTATCGTGGTGCCGAGGAGGTCTCAGTATATATATATATTCCAAAAAAAACACATGGTTCAAGAGTAAGAGACCATGCTGATGGGGGCCCACCGCTGCACTCACCGATCCGCTGGCAACAGGCTGAGGTGCACTGGCAAGTCGACCATGGATACGGGCTGAAAAAGGGGTCAATTGATAGCGTCCAATCCATCGCTCTTTTCTCTTGCCCTCGTACACATGGATCTGTACGTTGCACATAATCCCACACACATCCTCTGCTTGCAAAATTGTGTGTGCGTATTTTTGTCGATTCGGGTCGTCTGCGAAGGAAACCGGGAAGGGCGTCGGCGCGGCCAGCTCCGTCGGTTTTCCTTGAAAGCGGAACTGCAACAGCTCCTTCCAAAATTGTAAATATTCCCTTTCCCTTGCCGGATCCTCACTATCCGTCCCCAGCCAAGGAGGGATAGAGGCCTTGATGCTGGCAGGGAACGGGATGTCGCGGCCAAAGACGTGATTCCAGCAGCTGCAGAGGATGCCATTGTGAAACCCCAGTGTCAGTTTGGCCCCTTCTGCGGGAACTTAGGTGAGGAAAACGCGCACTCACTCTTTTGTGGTCACCGCACGGTGGTGAATGTATGCACTATTTGAGTTGTGCCCAAATGGCGATGCCAATTCCGCAAGTTCTAAAGTAGCCGGTGGGAAGCAGCAGCAGAATCAGCACCCTGCTCGCACGCCTAACACCGCCTAAGTTCAGCAAGCGGCTCACCTTGAAGATTCTTGGGAAGTTTCCAGTGCTGATGAAGGGCTTGAGACACCCCTCCTTGGAGCCAGTTTCGAAACTTTACGACCTCCGAGTCGGACTCGAACAGCTCCAGTCGAATCTCCCGGTCGAGATCTTCAGGCCTGACGCAATCTCGCTCAAGGCGCCATTGCTGGGCTGTTCAGGGGCATGTATAGAAGTTTGCGGCATCTTGGTTAGCGCTAGCGTAGATCTCCAGTAACACGTGGCTTCGCTTACTTCTTTGGCACGATTCCCCCTGCAGGATCAATGGTTCGGATTCGGCTTACAAGCCATATGTTGGCGACTTGACCGGCCGCCGTAGCCAGTGCGACTTCGCCGTAGTTCCCCGGTTTCTGTAGACGAACGAAATCGGCAACCGGGCGATGATCGACGATGTTGGCTAAGGTCGTCAGGGAGGCGTTGTAGACCTCGACAATGTTCTGAACGTCTTCGTGGGTGAGGGAAGTTCGCTCGTAATCTAGAGCGTCGTATGATGTTGGCAGTCGGTCGGTCAGAGAGGGGGTCGGAGTCATTGCTTGTCGCGGAAGAGGTAGATGAAGGTGGCGTGGTGACAAGTAGGGAGAAAGAGATGAAGAGACACCGAGGTTTTGAGGACAGCCAAAGATGCTCGCGGAGTCGACCCTGAACCATCCTTTGGACCACAGTAACTGTGTAGTACGACTGGCTGCTCTCGAGGGCCAACTTGTGTCGTTAACCTGATCTCATCAAACTCATCAAGTGTATTCAGCTGAGAAGGCGCTTCAAATGTTTGAAGGTGAACAAGGTGCGACAAAGTAGACATGTTGGCTCGAGAAGCGTGCAACTGGGCACAATCACTGGCAGCAGAATTTGACTCGAGTTCGGGGATCTGGATCAAGACAGGCTAAATCCGGGTGGTAGGTCTGGCCAGTGTCAGGTCCGGATGCTGTAGGTCTGGCTACTAGGTCCGCGCTCCTAAGATGACAAGAAGATTGCAGAGTCTGACAAGCCCACAAGTGTAGAGTGTGCAGGGTGGGTCGGGCCGTGTGCGAGTGACGAATGACAAGGCGAAGCTTCGAAAGCGACGTGGCTCGAAGGGCGTGAAACCTGTGCTATTCTTAGTTCTTGCCCTCCCGCCCCGTTATGGCAACCGCCCCCCCCCCCCCTCGCCCCCCTATGCTTTATGACGAGGTCCAAGGAGTCAACGACCAAGAGCGACCCCGCCGCCGGGTCCGTGACTCCGTGGTCCCTGTCTCCTGAGTCCTGATCCCTGAGCTTGGCCGAACAACGCCGCGCGCGTTTTCATAAAGTGCGGGGAAGCTGTGCCTGAGGACTGAGGGGCCGAATTCTGAGACACTTTGAGATTTGCACCAATTCTGGGCTGGAACCGCCCAATTTTCGAAACGAAACCTTCAGCTCTTTCAGAGCTTCAGGGATCTCTACTCGCTTCTCTCTTGTTCGCACGTCTCTTCAGGATATTGCACAGTTATTCGCCCATGCCCAAGCCCGGATCGAATCGACCTCTCGCGACCTGCCTCGTTGAGAAACCCCTTCCTTCACCCACCGCAGACTCAGTGCACGTCGAGCTGACGCGAAGTAGGAGCAGGGCGAGGAACACAACGCATGAGGAGTGACCAATGGAACAGTAAGCGGTATGAAGAGTCAGCGACAGGGTGAAAATACCTATGCAACGTGCAGGGGGGGGGAATGGTTGAAGGGCATGTGAGGCTCATGCAGAGCAGGCTGAACGCAGCGAAGCCGGCTCCAGGCCATACTCGTGTAAAACCCTAATCAAAGTTTATGATCACCAATGCACGCGTGAGCACATTGATGTACGGCGATGCACCTGTAGGCACCGCAGTGCAGTCTCGGCTCCTCGGCTGCGGACCATTCGACCCACCGTGGATCAAGCTATCAAGCGCGGGACACTCGGACCGACTTCCCAGCGCATGCATTTAGTACTCGACAGTGTGCACCCGCACAATTCTATGAGATGGCCCAGAGACCCAGACGCACAATCATACATGCGATGATGTCTTCCGAAACCCCGAATTACTATTTCTGCCGCCGGATACCGGTTTTCTCTCAAGCCGCCGAATTCCCTCTGAAGCTGAAGGTGACTAGTCGATCTGCATTCCATCTATTGGAGTACTTAGAGATTACTCTTCATTCTTCCTTTCGTCGACCGCTGCGTCCGAGCTCTCGAGTCACGGTGAGCCCTACACCGCAACCCAACTCTGTGTTGGAGTTCGCAGTGGATCGCAGTGGCAGCGAGGTCGCCTCAGCTCGAGCCAAGCTGCTGGGCCAACAACCACTGTATCGATGGTGGCGATCTAAGCTCTGGGGTGAGTCTTAGCGCTCAAAATACTTGCTGAGACTTGAACGAGCTTGATCGACATGGTATTCGGTCCGGATCGCTAACCACGATGTCGGGTGCTCGGTCCCCTGTCCGCGATATCGCTTCAGATCCGCGCTGCCCCTGCTCCTCGCTCCGCAGAGGTGGAGAAGATCGGAAGCGGCGGCACCATCGCTATGACTCATCCAATCAGGTGCACGCTAGGCCACCCTCAGGCTCGTAAGTCACAGCGGCCTGGCGCTGACGAATCCGCTGCCTCACACGGGCGGGGGCGCCGAGGGGCATTTCTGGGACCAGACCTGGCGGAAACAGTTTTGGCACGCGTGTTTCTCTGTTTCTTCTTGTCCATGGTTCTCTTTGTCGTAGACTTTTTGACCGGCCACGCACCCCCGGTTGGCTACCGAGCAGCCTCCCGTACGGGTTTGAAAACTACCCAACTTGAACTTGGGCTCGCACGCGAACCGGCGTGAATGGGCATACGGCAGCCCCTCGACCTGGGCCGGGGTGGCCCGGCGAGGGTACTGAATTCCGAGTGTGAGGTGACGCACCGCCACTTAATCGCACCGATCGCAAGTTCTCGAAGACAAGGCGCGTGATTTACGCAAGCCCCACACAAAGCGGAAGTCTCCAACCGTAGTAGAACGGCGGCTCATTTCTCATCGATCGATCGATAAGTGTCCGAGCGGAGGATCAGCCGCAGCGCAGGAGAATACAGAAAATGCTGGGTGGTGATTGCAACACGAGATGTGAAATGAGCCGAAAAAGACAAGAAGAAAGGACAGGAAAAGGAAGCGACTACTGCACCCGTGACCGCCCCGGCTAATTAACATCAGAGGAGCGCGATCCCAGTTGAGGACTTTCAGGCGCGACCTATCCCAGACGCGACGATACAACGCAGGACCGGTCAGCGGCTCAAACATCAGGACATCTCATCTTGAACCTCAGAACAGCTAACCTTTGCCCTTGTCGGATCGATGCGGTAATCGCTCGTACGCATTCGGCTCGGGCGGGGCCACCTCCGGGGTATCATGGCTCGATTCGGCGTTTAGGGCAGCTGCTGTTGGAGCCGTCACCATATTGGAAGATGCGGAGGCAGATGTATTGGCTTGATTCAAGCCACAACCTTCATGATCTTGATCATGGCCGTGATCGTCATTGTGGTGTCGACGTGCGGGACGCTGGCGCGGAGGTTTGGCTACCCGACTGTCATTCGACCCGTCCGAGGAGGCCGACTCTGATCCTGACTCGTCCGACGAAGACTCGTCAAACTCCTTGGGCTTGTGGTAGATGCAACAGACTGTGCAGCAAGATGACGTGGTCGTGAGCACTCAGCCGTGGTTACCGCCGCCCACAGTGAGAAGAACGGAGGGGTTGTGGACGTCCACCCCGCCCCTGCCGCCCCTGCCGCCCCTGCCGCTTCGCTCCTTCGCCCCACCTGGAGACTCACTCTTTGACTTTTTCCGATTGAGCATCTCGTTGTCGACGACGTCATCCTGCCACTGTACCCTTGGACCACCGGGTAGTGCCCGCCCTCGCAGGCGCAACACCCCGACTCGACGTTGGTCTTGGCCCGTTGGCTCGTGCGCGTCGTCTTTGGCATCGTCGTCGTCATCGTCATCGTGCTCGATCGTCACCGTGCGACTGCCATTCGAAGGTCCAGTAGGTGAAGCGACCGCAGTCGATGAGCCTGCCACGGCGGTCGCCCGACCATGTTGACGAGCGTACTGGGCTGGAGTCTCGACGGGCATGTTTGAAGACGGGCTGAGTCAGTGCAGTGTAGTGTCAGTTGCCGGCCGGGAAGCAAGGTGCGCTGGCAGAAAGCTCGCGTGCCGAAGACGGACTGCCACCGACTCCACCAGACTCCACCGCGGCCGTCTTTATCCTTCAAGTTGGTGGTCCATCCAAGACTCTCCGGAGACCGCACGAAATGAATGTTGTAAAGGTCTCACCGTGACCGTGAAAGGTAAATGGAACCAGGCTGATCGCGGCCCCATCTATAAATTCCAAAACGATCTCAGCTCCGCCGCCGGGTTCAACGCCGGCCTCAAGTCTCCATGTCGATTCCCGGCCCGCTTGCCGGCCCACCCGCGCGCAGTCGCAGCCCCACTCGGGATGTGCAGTGCAGTTGTCACTTTTGCCCCTTCTTATTCGTCCCGGCCCGCTTCGTCTTTCTCCTCCCCTTTTTTTGTAGAACCTGGTCAAGTAGGGTTGCACACATGCCTGCTTCCCCGCCTCGCGTGATCGTGACCCGACTCCTGCCGGCGACGGCGACACATCTTCTCATCTGTGCTTCGCGACAGCGCCTCCTCGAACTGGTGCAATGGCAGCACGACGAGACCTGTCCTCGAGCATGGCTCAAGGATGAAATCGTCAAAGAGCACACCGTCGGTCTGGTCGCTACCTTGGGAGACAAGGTGAGTAGCCTCCTAATCCTCGCGAGCAACTCGATCAGGCCCGAGCCAGTCAAGTGGGGCCCAGCACCTTGCCCAAAACCAGAATGGAGGGCCTCGTTCAATCCAATTTGTTGCGAATCTTGTCCCCCGAGACGGATGATCTCTAGGATGTTTTGGGTAGGAAAGGCGTGTGTGCTGATCTCAATGTTCTTATACCTGGCCTGAATAGATTGATGAGGACCTGCTCGCCGTCGGTGCGTCCGCTTTGATGGCCTCCAACTTGGTGAAGCTCGCGCAGCGTTTTCCAGCTTCTGACCAGTCGACTGCTCGCCTTTATTGTCACTACAGTCTCGAAGGATCTGAAGGTGGTATCGACGATGTCAGCTGGATACGACCATGTGCAAGTCTCGGCTCTTCGGTCGCGGAGCATCAAGCTGGGCACCAGTCAGTCCTGACGAATTGTCACCCTTCATCTCAAACCGCGTTCTGCACTCACCCGTAACTGGACCTGTCGTAGCACCGGACGCTTTGACCGACGCAACGGCTGATATCGGTGCCATGTTGACATTGATGGCAACCCGACGAGCCGGCGAGGTCCGAGATATTTCCCGGCCCGGCCCCGCGCGGTGGATCGCTTGCTGACGGCTAGCCTGGTTCTACCGCGGTTCTACCGCTAGTGTAGGCTTACCGAAACGTGATTGAAGGGAAATGGCCCACGATGCCGTGGTCCCCCTTCCTCCTGTGTGGGAGTGGTCTTCAAGGGGTGGGTCTTAGATGTCTCTCAGCCGCCAAACTCGGTGTAGAGCTTTGGGCTGACTTTTCTCCCTTCTTTCGCGTTGTCGTTGGCCCGTTCATCGCAAATACCCCGAATCAGAAAACAATCGGCATCCTAGGGTTCGGTAGGATTGGCCAATTGACGCTCAAGCGTCTACTCGGATTCTCTCCAGCAAAGGCACTGTACGCGACCTCCCGGCCCGGCTCACCGCCCAATCAAGACTATTACTCGCTCTTACCTCCGAACCCAAACAGCGCCGCGATCGAACCAGCTGTCAATATATTGCTGTTTCATCCCACTGGTATTCCCGATTATGATTAGTTACTAGTTGTTGATATTAGTCGCCCCGCGCGTCTCGAGCCTGCCTCGCGCGCGCTCCCTTAGCGCTTATCTTCTTTCTCCAACTATCTTTACTATCTTCATCGGCTCTCGTACTTACGCACTTCGTGCCTCGGCCTCAGGTTAGTTACTGTGCAATTCTCGAACTATCTTTACTATCTTCATCGGCTCTCGTACTTACGCACTTCGTGCCTCGGCCTCAGTTCCTGAAACCAGCGACCTCGATCAGAGACCTCGCCGAGCGCTCAAACATCTTGATCGTGACCTGCGCGTTGACCGAACAGACCAAGGGACTCGTCAGCACCGAGTTTTTGGGATGGATGAAGAAAGGTAGCTTCGTGATCAACACCGCGCGAGGGCCCATCGTCGATAACGTTGACTCTCTGAACGGGTTATCTGCGCTGCAGTGCAATCGTCGCCACGGTCCGGCGACCCCGAAGCCGACTCCTGACCCCACTTGCCGATCACACTGGGATTCACCAGCCCTGCCAAAGCTTGGCAGATGATGCCACTTCATCAATACGGATGTTTCGAGCTCCTGAATTTGGGGCGGACTTATCTACGTCCGAGTACATTTGTATTTTGGGAGTCCAAAGACGTTGGAGTGTGTGGCGTCTCTGACGCTCGGTGGTCATGACGGCCTGGTCCGATGCGAAGCGTATCCGAGGCAGTCGTGGCCGTGTTTTACCGTCATCGAGGGAGGTATAAGGTGTGTAGATGCCAGGTGCCAGGTGCAAGATGCAGGGTTAAGGGTGTTCGAGAACGTCGCGCTGCCCATCGCTCCGAGCCGAAAAGCAATCGAGGGCAGGTCCAACAAAAGGTCGTTCGAGCTCAGAGTAGTGCGAGAAGATGCTTCATAACATTTCAAATTGTACCGTAGAATAGCCTGTACCCCATATTCATCATTTCTGCTCTCAATCTTGGTCTGGTCAAGGCGGCGGCCATCGAGGTCGAATCGGGGTCGTCCCAACTCGGACCAAGCTGCTGGAGCGACAACCGCTGTATCGATCGCGGCGATCTCAACTCTGGGGTGATCCCTGGAGCTCAACCTACTTGCTGAGACTTGACCGAGCTTGATCGACAAGGTATTCGGTCTTTCCGAGGGGTGGATCGTTGGCCTCGATGTGGGGTGCACGGTCCCCTCACCACGGATTTGAAATTCGAGCGGGGTCCAGTCAGCTGATCAGTGATAAGCGCAGGCGATATTGCAATCGCCTTTTACCCCACGCGCGCGCGCCGATGCGGTGCCCTTCCAAGATTCGCCTTCTTCGCCGGAGCCGTCGTTGGCGTGATTGTCGCTGGCTCCCGACTGGACGTCCTCTCCTTCACCAGCGCACCACTCGGGAGCGAGGTCATGGTTGCCGACGCCGATGACAGCCACCCTGCATCGTCTCCGAGCTCGGATGGGTTGGTGAGCTTGTCCACTGACTCAAGCGGTGCTGCTCGACCCTCGGCCCGGACGAAGCCCCCGCCGTTGGCCGGCTCATCATCGTCATTCTCCCCCTCCCCCTCGCCGGCTCGCCCACGCATGCAGTCACTGGGCCCTCGCGCGGCATCCTCGCGAGCGGCCGGCCCGAGCACAGTCGTATTGACGCCCCTGACCGCACGATCATCGTCGACGACGCGTCTGAGCCAACTAGACGTGTCGACCTCGTCGTCCGCTTCGCTGCTGGCGCCTTCCTCGTCGGGATCGGGATCGCCGCCGCCGCCGCAGCAGCAGCAGCAGCAGCAATCGGAAGCTTATCGAGCCTGGCGCCGAGACTCGAAGGAGCGCATCGAGCAACAGCAGCACCGACGGCAGCACCGACAGCCACAGCCACAGCCACCGTCACAGTCACCGTCACAGTCACAGCTGGCACACCATCGCCACGACAAGCATCACCCCCCTGCGTATCACTCCGCTCTGCCATCGGGCGTCGCGGTGCCTACTCGATCAGCTTATCCGCCGAGCCCGAGGTCCAGGTCGGCTCATCCGATCACCAACGGCTCGGAGTCCGGATCGTCGACGAGGAACCACCACTACGACAGGCCCAGCCAGGACAAGGCCGTCTCCTTTGTCATCGGTGCACCCTTGTCCGATTCGACCGACGATGAAGATGATGCTCGTGCACGCGATGGCGCCTCGAAACCCAGTAAAAGACCGACGCCCCGATCGACTCCGGTTCGAGGAAGAGCGACAGGGTCAGGTGCAGTGCAATCAGAGTCCAGCTCAAGGGTCGGAGATGCACAAGCGATCGAAGACCCCACGGAAGAATACACGATCGAGGACGTCATTCGACTGCAGGTGCGCTCAAACTGGTGCCATCTGAGCCGTCGGCTTGCCGTCCAGAGTTCTTCCCATCTCAATCGGCTGACCGGTCCATGCACTGTGCCCTGGGTGTATGTTCATAGATCGCCCAACCCATACACCGGCTCGATCCCAACAACTTTGACGCCCTGCTCAAACTTGGGATCGGAGATTATACATTCAGCCTGCGCGCTGCTGCTCCAGGCTCTGCCCCAGCTTCTGCTCCCTCAGCCATACCCAGTGCCGGTTCATCACCCGCACCCCCCTTAGCGACCCAACCGCACCCTGATCGCGTCAGCTTAGGCAAAGGCAAATTTAGCGAAGTTCTCTTGGCGCAGAAAGAGAACACCTCGGTGGGTTTCGCAAACGAGGAAAAGTGTGGAGCTTGAACTGACGCTCTCAATGTCTTTACTCGCATAGTTCGCACTTAAACACACCCCACTGTATTCTCACCACCCTCTTATTGCGAGTCGGCTACTGCGAGAGCCCACAATTCTAGCCCAGTTGCTACCCCATCCGAATCTAGTCAAGGTAGATTCATCGTTCTGGCTAGCCATGCGAATGCTCAAGAACCGGCGCTCACTCCTTTTATCTAATATCGCCAGGTCTACGAAACAATACGAACGCCTGGTCACTTCTACCTCGTCGAAGAAAACCTGCAGTCCTCGGTCACGCTCGAACAGCTAGTCGCTTCGTACCCCGATGGCATACTTCCTTTACCGCTTGCTTGGAGTGTTCTCAGGCAGTTGGCTAGTGTGGTTCGGAGTCTACACGAACCGTTGCGAGTGTGCCATAGGGATATCAAGGTAAGTCCCAAATTTGGTCATGACTTGTGCAGCGCTGGAGAGCACTAATCCGCTGTCATCCGTTTGCACATCCAGCCTGAGAATATTCTCGTCCATGTCAGCTCGTCGCCAACAGATCCGCAACCGACCTTGATGCTCAAGCTGCTTGATTTTGGTCTAGCGACCCACTTTTCTGCGAGCGAAGCCAAGTTGACGACTTGTTGCGGCAGCCCAGCTTATCATAGCCCCGAGTTATGGCGTGGCTTGCGTGAGCCGAGCGGCGCTGTGCGCTACTGGGTGAGTTGGAAGCCGTAGCAACACGACGGGGGTATCAGACACTCAATGGTCTCGTCACCTTCACAGGGTCCGGAAGTGGACATCTGGTGCGTCGGTCTGACCGTCTTGCGATGTCTGTCGCCGAGCAAATACCCACTTGGCATTGCGCACTCCTCGCTTATCGCACTGGCGGACAAGGTGGTGGATGCCCTGCTCGTGGTCAAAGACGACGCGATGCGACAAACGCTGGCCGTCCTCCTCGAAATGGACGGTTCTTTGCGTATGAGATCTTTCGAGCAATTCTGTCTGCGCAAGGACGTACAGGAAGTCAAGCATTTCAAAATGCCGGCGAACGCTCCACGGACGACGCCGAATTCCCCTGCGGTAACAGATCTCTCCTCCCTCGAGGCTTCTCCCAAAGATGCCGCCGGAGAATTGCTCGGGCAAACCGAGGCTGCTGGAGAAGCGCAAGCACCTTCGCGCAAAGAGTTCAAGAGCACGACTTTCATACCGATGGATCCGCAATACTTTCTCGACCTGCCTCTGCTGTCATCGTCGGACGTCCCAGATGGACCTCGACCGCTGCAAGTGTGCGCCGTCGACGGCGACGCCATGCCAATGCGTTCGCGGTCGCCGAGCCGCACTCGATTATCTCGTCATCGACATTCGTCGTCACTGATTGTGGACTCCGCAGACCGACTCGCACATGAATTGGCTACCCCTGACTCGCCGGCACCCGCCATCGCGTCGGATTTGGACCCGTCCGTGCAAACTAATGTTTCGGTGCCCGCTACGCCCCTCACGCCTCAAATGAACATGTTCGCATCATTGCACGACCCTTATCCTCCCCCCATTGAGCTCCTACTTGCCAATCCGACCCACGAATCGATCTATCGTGCCACCTCCTACATCAAATACGCACTGCGATGCGCTGGTATCCTGTACCATGTTCGCGAAGAGGCGAGAGAACGCCGGAGCTCGGTGATTGGATACGACGCGAAGAGCTCTCCGCCAACGGCCACGAACTCTGTCGACCTGGACGACTCGTACTTCTGTCATCTCGAATGCGTTGTACGCCTTCCCGACATGGATCTCTCGTCCAAAGCGTCCTCAGCTTTGATGGCCGCACTGCGACCGCCCATGAGCCGAGCACACACGACTGGAGGCCCTAACTTTCGCAGCAGCTCGACTCCAGCTGCACGTGACGGGCGACAACCGCGACAACAAGAAGCCGGCGCTGGTAAGAAGAAAGTCGAGGAGGTCTCGGCTTTGACCTTCTTCCTCTCGATTCGCAAGGCTGCCCCACCGTTCCGGCGCCGACATTCGACCCGCCGCCGTACGCCCGAACGTATCAGTGTGCAGCTGTCGGATGCACGGGCCCTCAAGCCGGTCCGAGATGCACTCCGCTTTGATAGCGTGTCAAAGCTCCCGGGGGCCAAATCCAGCGACTTGGCCGATACCTCGGACTTGGATCGACGAGGAAGGCTGCCACGAGGCGAGGACAAGCAGACCACCTTCAGAGGCACCCACCACAGTGCAGAGAGGAGTTCACGAGATCGACGCCCTATGTTGACTGTCAGTCTATCTACGGGACCCAAAGGGCATGAGCCGAGGACCTCAGCCTTGGGACTTTCGACGGGTCCTCTCGCAGACGGTGAAGTGACGCCGAGGAGGCAAGGTTTTTTCGACTTTGTGGCGGGATGGACCAAGGCAAGCGGCGCAGCAGAGGCCAAACCTGCGCGAACCCCTTCTTCTGAACAAATCTCCAATGTTGAGGCTCAACGGGTGAGATTGGCAGCCATGGCTATAGGGCACACCTAGCATGCCATGCACCTGAAATGATGCCGCATCATGTTCACCACTGTATTGCGGACCATCAGGATGGTGCCGCATAATGAAATGTTGTAATACCAGTCCGTAACCAGACGCACAAGCTCTGATCAGCGTGCAAGCGTTGTCGGAGGGGTTGCTAACGCTTTTGCATGGACCCGGGCTCCCACCCCGAGTGGCATTCATGATGACGAGAGCGGACCCGCCATGCATCTATCCGGCTTTCATACGGACCAGCCGTTGGAGCATACTTGCGGACAATGCGAATATGAACGGTCACGAGGAAACGCACGTGCTCGCGTTTATTTCATTTCATCCCAACCACGGCCCATCCTTCTTGTACAAGCCTCTTGGAGGCCCACAGGTATCCGAGCCCAAATACTGCACACGACACGGTCAGGTTCATAACGACGAACAGATCTGGTAAATGAGCTGGTGGTGAAGCGACGAGCTCGACGACGTGCAACAGCGCGATCGTGGCGTAGGAAGCCTTATGCGCGGGGAGAAGAGTGATATATCAGCCAGGGGGAATGGGGAGTTGCCAGAATTCTCACAGATAAAGCTTACGATCGAAAGGTATTTGACGAAGGATCGCCGCAGTGCCAAAGGATTGTACCCGATCACGTAGTTCCATCCGAGTGTGAGCACGAGGTAGGCAAGTCCCACCCCATCGCGCTTCAGCAAAGGCCACATACTGTTCGTGAAGGACATTCAAAAGTCAGTGGTAGTTCATGGAATGGGGGGCTGGGAGGTTATTCGGGTGGATTCCGTACCTGAACACGCCGACGTTGTTCAACAGCACGCCCCATTCCCAATCCATCCGGCCAAAACCGGCTTCACGTCCTCCCATCAGCAGCGTTATGGGCATCAGTGGCAGCAGGATGCTCTTCTCGTGGACCTGGAAGGAGAACATGAAGAATGACATTGAAGAAACGAAGAGAGCGTGGGGAAGGAGCTTGATCGTCTGAATTACGTCCGTAGCGGACTCCGCGGTGGCTGCTGGTGCTCCATTCAGCTGCGCCGATTTCGTGTGGCCAGTCGCCGCTTCGTTCTGGCGCTTCCTGATACCAAGCTCGCGACTGATCCACAACAGCCCAATGACCGAAGGTAACAGGGCCACGAGAGTGAATACAAGGGCGAGCCGGGCCAACGACGCCACGGACGCAAGTTGTCGCAACTTGACCACGACGTTGATCGCACACCAGAAGTTGGCAACCTTGTCCTCGAACAGACCTCTGGAGAAGGGGAATATTCTCGCGAGGATTTGGAGGATCTCCGAAGGCTTGGAAAGGAAGGGCGAGAGAAGTAGACCGAAAGAGACGACGGTGATGAAGCCAAGATTGATGAAAAGCGACATGCCCAGACGGCCGCCCCTATAGAGGCACTTCCCGAGCAGGTAGGCGAAGCTGAAATGATGCGTCTATCATGGTCAGCGGCGCTGGAAAAGGTCAAACCATTGAGCCATGCCTCGGGCTCTACGCACATGGCAGGGCTGTAGTACAGGGCCATCTGCTTGAACCCCAGGGCCCCAACGAAGGCGACAGCTCCGAGCAGGTCGTAGCCACTTTGGAAGAAGTTGAGCGCCCACACGGTCAAGCCCAGCATGAGCGAATTGTACCTGCGCGGTGGTGGTATGAGCATGGGCCAGTCAGTTCCTACTGCGGTGCGGGTATGCTGGGCCTCAAACACGTACTGAAAATGACCATTGTCGATCAAGATCAGAGCCGGCTGCAGCAGCACGCTTAGTGTCGCAACGATCTGTGCTCGGGAGTAGGTTTTTTAGCAAATATACTTCAAGCGGGTCAGGTCGCGCTGGGAGACTCACGACGGGTTGCGCACGCCTGCTACTACTCTCTTTCTTGGCGTAGTTGCGGCTGCAGTAGACTACGACCGCACTGATGTAGACGAGGAGATCGCCGACTATCACCGTGGTGCGCATCCAAGCCTTCATTTCGCCAGTTTGCTCTAGCTGGACCATATTCTGCTCCCACGCCGCGAGTGCATCTTTTGGCGCGTCGCTCGGGGGACGCCATGTAACAAACTCTGCGGTGCGAGGCGTCAGTCGGGCGAGGAAGCCGAGCAAGAGGGAGTGGTACGCCGTCAGAGGAGGATAATCGAGGCGCCAATAGTCGTAGTCGTGATGGTACCACCGGGTGATCTGGATGGGATCATGTCTTGCATACGATGACGGAGCTAGATGCAGCCACTTGGAAGTGAGTGTTGCAGACGTGAGAGAGAGCCAATGCCGCTGGGCTTCGAGATCGCCGCGCAAGGGAGGGACTCCGAAACCTGCGACGACCATATCCAGCATCAGACCACGGATGTTCGTCTCACAGTTTAGCCTTCTTCACCAGCAAATACGACATCGCTTACCCGAGTACTCTCCAAGTCCGACGATGCACTTGACGAGCACGACGAACGCGACGGCCAAGGTGAGCGTTCGGGTTGGACCGACAGCGGGCTCGAACGACTTGGTCCACCGCCGCACGGGCGAGTCGGTCTGTTGGAGCAGAGCCCTCCGTGTTTGGCGAGCTTTGTCGGAAGATCTGTTGTCGTCGGTGCGACGAGTGCGAGTCGCATGGAAGTTGGATATGAGCGATACGCCGCTCTCCGACGCCGAGTCCAATTGGTCACGGTCGCGGTCCTTAGCGCGCAGCCGTCTCGAGATGGTGCTTTTGTGCGACTTCGCGGCGGTCGAACCTGCAGCCGAGGTGCTTTGATACGCTTGCTGACGTTGGGGCGCGAGGTGAGCTGGCCAGGGCGAGTGATGAGTGGTCGTGGACGCAGCAGCGGGATAGTGGGTGTTGCTGCTCGGGTGGTGGTTCTTTCTCTTGCTCGAAGTGGTCGCGGTCGCGGTCGCGGTCGTAGAAGGCGCTCGGGTCGAAGCCGACCCAGGTATAACTCGAGATGGGGCGAGTTGCCGCGTCGAGTACGATGGTGGAGCAGTGGCCCCTGTCCCTATCCCAGCCCCCGCCCCCGCCCCCGTCGCGCCCCCCAGACTTGCGGAGTAGCCGGCAGCAGCAGTACCGCGGTCAACGACGCGGTGCGGACGACGTGTGGATGCGGAGGTGGACGAGTACTCTGAGCGAGGGCGCGAGTCTTGTTGTGATCGTCGTGACTGGGTGCGCTGCTGGTCGAAGCCGTCGTCCGCGTGTGGCTCGAGCGGCTCGAGTGGCTCGCGGTGGTCGCGACTGTCGCGGTGGCCGCGGTATTGGTTCGGCCCAGGATGCCGGTGGGGCGGCGGCTCGTCGAACACGGTCGCCTCGAAGCGGTCCCCGTCGAGCAGCTGCATCGATCTCGAGGCCGGGATCGCGACCGGCGTGGGGTGATGGAGCACGTTCAGACGAGATCGCTCGTCCACTCGGCCGTCTGACATGGCCGGAACAGGTGAGGGACACAGGAGAGGTCAGAGTAATGCGATTGGCATGGGGTAAGCTCAGCAGGGGCGGGGCCGCGCGAGCCCAGTGCGAGAGAGTGCGAGCCCCACGCGAGGCAAGTGGGGCGGCTCCTCTCAGACTGCACTCGGCTGCACGCGTCCAAACAGGACTCGCGAATCCGGCGTTCGCGCACGGACCACGTCAACCAACTTGGGCGTGGGCGTGACCTCTGGCGTGACGCGTGACGCGTGACGCGCGGCGTGGGCTCTCCTTACCACAACGAGACCCTTGTCCGGCTCGAAAGACGTCGGCCGTCGTCCCTCGCCTAACCCATTCGGTCATGGCTGTGGCTGTCCAAGCACCATCGCGGTCGATCCATTCCCTCGGGCATGCGACACTCGAGTCGGACATGCACGCCGAGCTGGCGACGAGCGCGGTGGTATCATCGCCATCGACAGCGTCAGCGCTCTCGTCATCGTCGTCATCGTCGTCGTTGAGCGAACAGGGGCGGCCACCGTACGCCCGCACGCAACAGATCAGCTCCAAGCGGCAGCGCTACACCCATCAAGACGAATCGATCTGGACCGAGACGCTGCCCGACCATGTGCACACCCCGCAACCACTCGCAGAGGACGATCTCGAGGACATTCTTGCGTAAGGCCCAAGCGTCGCCCCACGTCGTCTCCGAACCGCGTGCGTGCGGCTGAGAATCGCCGAGTCGCTACATACAGCCGTCTCGTGGGCGGCTTTGGGGCTTGGAGGCAAAGCTCGCAGCTGAGGCTTCTTTTCTCTTGCGCATCACATTCCACAGGATGCCCGTTGCGGTCGAGCTCAAACCTCGTCGGTCTCAGGTTAACCTGCTGCACTCGTCCTCGAATCAGAATCTGCGCTCGCCGGCCTCATCGGCGCCCCCACTTAGCCCTTCGTTCCATACCAGCGCCTCACCCTGGACGGCCCACTCGAATTCACCCGCACGATCGCCTGCCTCAAATTCCAAAGCTTCGAACACCACATCACAAACGGCCACGAACCGCTCCATCCAGTCGCACACTTCCCGCGCCAGGTCAAGAAGTCAGTCACGCATCGCTCGGCCCATCGACCTCGTCGCACCACCAATGCCGTCCCGATCGGCACCACCGCTAGAGACGGAGAATAGGAACGAGACCGAGGGGAAAGAAGAGTCAGAGGAACAGAACGAATGGGAAATCCTTCAAGTTGCTGAGCCAATCACTCGCATCCCCACCGAGCCGGCCGCCCAGCCCATCGGCGAAATCTCCTCGGATGCGCCGGCAGTCAAATTCCCATCCGTCAAGGCGATTACGCCCCGACAAAGTCCAACCGCTTCGTCAGGAACCACTGGCAGTGGCAGAACAGCAAGAAACGCTCCTCCCCGTACGCCAGTCAACACGAATGCTCCTCTACGCTCGACTCCTTCGCCCTCGACGGGCTCGACCTCACCGCCCGTTTCTGGTGGACCCCGGAAATCCAAAGCATCGCCTTCGAGTTCGTTGAACTCTCGCACTCGAACACGATCAGCTGCACCGAGACCACAAAAGACGTCCCCTTATCTCGACGACGCCGACGCTTTGCCTGACGCAACCCCGCCGTGGATGGCTGCGCCTGCCCCGATCGTTTTCCGAAGTGGCGAGGACGGGAGTCTGAGAGGGCAAGGTCGGGTCGATGAGATGGTCTTGCCGGCCGTCGCCCGTCGTCTTGAGGCAGAACGGCTCACGGCTGCTTCATCCACTACAAGTAGTCTGCTCATCACCGAATGGGACGCGCAAGGGAGACCTGTTCGAGCCGGAGACGTGCTAGCGCCACTTACGAAACAATCCTCCAGTGGCGCGTCGCCGAGTCCATCGGCAAATGAGCCAACAACGGAATTCGGAAAACGTGGAGCTGGGGATGCACTTGGGGCTAAAAATACCCGACCCCAAGTGTCTCTTAAACCCTTATCGCGGACATCGTCACTGCCTCATCCGATCCCAGCACCGGTCCCGTCGCCTCCCGTCCCAACAACTCCGGTCCGACGCCCGGAGAGACCCTCAACTCCCCAACAGGATTTGACAATAAATGGCGAGGAGATCATCTCCAAGAAGGGGCTTTGTGGCGGCTGTACCATCTCTTAATATCATTGGGCGTTCTTTCAGTGTAACTGTATTTTCGTCTACGTTGGCCTTCACCTGGACATCTCTACTTTGCGCGGTTGCCTGCGTATTGCAGCGGACATTTTATTCGCGAGATAAAGATGAGAACACTGGTCCTTTACATGTTTCTCCGATCGGCCATCTGTACTAGAGGGCTCGACACGAGGGGCCAGACCCGCGACATGGTGAAACTTCGTCTGAGGCTGGAGAAAATTATCTCTAGTGCCGACGACAAAGGCGCCAACTTAGTGTACGCAGGGGAGCGTAGCTTTTCAAATACTACAAAGTGCTACTTGTAAGTTTTGAAATTTAGACGAGGCATCAAGGAAGGACGTTTGGCGCGGATATTAGCCATGGGCTTTCCCAGTCTTCCCCGGACGTCGAGCAAATCTCAAGCAAATCGGCCCGAGGACTGCCGATGGCGCCGCGGGAGAACTCGCGATCGGCAGACCTCAGGCAGCCTCGGGCTATGTTCCACGATCTACGCGCTCCAGCTTGGTTGGTTTCAACGCCCTGCTTACGCTTCGCAACCGTGGCCATGGCTCGACGCATCACAGGCTTGCAGCGTCAAGTGCTGCATACCTACAAGCGTGCCCTCAAAATGATCACGACCAAACCTCTCGTAGGTGTCTGCGAAGCTGTGCGGTTGCGATGACGTCGATTTCCACCCCCACCCCGGGGACCGCATCATTTTGTACCGCCTCACACTCGAAACGGCGAATCTGCCATGCAGCGATTGCTCCACCACCGTGCACCGCAACCTTGCACGTAGCCTAAACTAACAAGTCATCTCGGCTATGTACGCAGCACACGCGACCGATGTGGTTCGCCTTCGTCTCGCACCAGTTCCGATCGCCCTCGCTCGGAGGCGGTCTGCGCAAAAAGGACGTCGGCGCGATCGAGTACTACCTTCGTCGAGCGGACAAAATGCTCGATGCGTACGAACCACCCTCGACGACGAGCGTCGGCGTGACGGAAGAGATGCGACGCTCGGTTCAAGGCCAGCTGGGTTGGGTGTGCCGTCGACCAAAGGAGTGAAAGTCACACTCGCACGATGCGCTGGAGCCCCGAGGCCACTAGGCGGCTATGGCTGTGCTTGGAAGTGGGATAGGCACTAGTCCAGCCTTGAAACGTTTGCCGTCAAGCCCGGTCACCCTCCCGCACATGCGACATGCTACGGCCTGGCAGCTCGGCCCCTAAGAAGACCGGCTGGTGTCGCCCCCTCCTACTCGCTTATGCGACTGCCGCAACCACGACCCCCACCTTGCCTACTCGATTGAACACGCAATCCTGATCTGGGTTGATGCGGTGCACGTTCGACAGCATAACTCGACGGATTGCAGTGGGGACCGGTAGGCGAAGAATTGGACTCGGACGACTCGGCGACTGCGACAAGATCGACTTTTCCCCCATACTACCACATGATGCCGGAGCGTTGGGTAGATCTGCGTCCCGGTGTGGCAGCAAGTTTTAGGGTGGATTTGTTTTCTGCTATAACGTCAAGTACAGTTGAAATATCACTCGTTTGGTGGCAGACGCTGAAACGTCTGAGAAGAAGAATTGGCAAGTCGGCGTGGCCCTCTCAAAAAACCGATAATCTGGGGAAGGCCCAGGATTCAACAAGGAGACCTTTCAGGTCAAGGAATTTACGGGAACCGAAATGTGAAGAAGAGAGCGAGACGGCGTGGGGCTCACACCTTGAGAAGAGGCGGTGACTGGAAGAGGGAGTGGAAAACTTTGCCAGAATTTCTTTGAACCTTCGAGCCCAAAGAATGGGCCGGGCCCGCCGCGAGTACTACAGGGCATGCCTCACCAAGGGAGTTGATTAGGTTTGCTCCCTTGAAATTGTAGACAGCTGGTCTACATAACCCGACGGGCAGGGTACTAGCTGATCGACCTGGCTCTTGCCTACAAAGTTTGCCGCGATCGAGAAATGACTCGGAGGTGCGCTGCGCACATGCGGCGCATGGTTGGCGCTGTATAATACGCTGTAGGCCAAAGGCCGCCGCGGGGGGACGTGGCCCGCGTCCGATTGTTGGCGGTGCATTGGTTCACCTCCGGCCGTCACATCGCCAATCACACCTCATCATGGTCAGTTGCGCGGGCTCATCCTGGCCGTGGTGACTCAATTCAAAGGTCCATCTTGTGCCTTGCCTCCGGTTCCGCGCCCGTCACCGCGGTTGTTTCACAGCTCACGCTCACGATTCATTCGACCTCGACCCGCCGTCCACGCTTGGGTGCCATACGGCTGCTGTGCGCGCGTCCCGAGCGCTCGAGCGGGTCACGCCGCCGATGTTCTCCCTCGATAAGCCGTCTTGAGCGACTCAGACAACGAGATTTCGCAGTCCGAGTCTCTCCCCATGCTGGCGTGTAAAGCACGACGTCGGCCGTCAATGAAACGCCCGTTGACCTCATCGAGCGGCATCAAGCAACCGTGGATGCGACTGCCACCCGGCTCATGGGTCCTCCGACACGGCTGACCCTCACACCCTGCTGCTGCCTTTCACATACTCTGCTATCGCCGTCGTACAGTCTTCCGGAGTCGCCGTTAACGCGCAATGCGTTGAGACCTTCACAACGCTCAAGCTGGGCAAGAGTGAGTTACCACCGACCGTCATGCCCTCACCGCCTCCGAACCCGCCGATCGCAAGCCAGCAGCTGCACGACACGTGCCATGCTCACCGACACGCTTTGTGACACGTTGCAGAGCTCAAGTACATCGTGTTCAAGCTCGCGGACGACAACAAGGAGATCACGGTCGAAAAGTCGTCCGATTCGGCCTCGTACGATGACTTTGTCGCGGACCTGCCCGCCGACTCGTGCCGCTACGCCATCTACGACTTCGAGTACGAGAAGCCGGGAGAAGGCAAGAGGAACAAGATCTGCTTCTTTGCGTGGTCGCCTGATGATGCCAAGGTCAAGAACAAGATGCTCTACGCCTCGTCCAAGGACGCGCTCCGTCGCGCACTCGTCGGCATCGCCAGCGAGATCCAAGGCACCGATTATTCCGAGATTGCTTACACCGAAGGTCAGTCTTGTTAACCGGTCGCATTCGCTCTTGACCCGCTCGCATCGCTGCGTGTCTGCGCCTCCTTACGCCACTTGCTGATGGGCTCTCCTCGCGTCGAACAGTTCTCGACAAGGTCTCGCGTGGAACTGCCTAGGCCATACCTACCATGAATAAAGCGCACGAAGGGGGGTTCAGCATCATTCGAGTTGGTTGGCCCAAATCAAGAGTGGGGCCATGCCGGGGGCTGGACGAACTCAAAATGATGTAATTGACTTTCGCGATTTACACAACAACGACCGCAGCTACCGGATACGGAAGTTCAAGGGTTGCACCGGAAATGTGCATGTGCACCCCAACTTGTTTCGCAATGCAAGGTGCCACAGTACATGAACCAATGCCGGTAACAACAAACGCCTGCGAACTATCGGGTGTTTCGACGGGGAGTGGTTCCTGGGTAAGGACACTCGAGGTGCCGTCGGCCGTGAGTCGGAACCTTCAGGTGGACCACTCGAAGGAGCAGCAGAGATTATCGTCGAACGAGCCTGATTGATCCATGACACGCACCTTTGGACCTTGGGTAGGGCCTTGTTCACTAAGAGGTGCCGGCACGGAGTCGAAGCTCCTAAGAAAGAGTTTCACAGTGGTGCGGCGGAGCCAGCACAGGCGTCGGTTTAGATGGGGGGGCAGTCTTCGGGGAGAGGTACGTGAGAATTTTTAGGTAATCGACGTGTGGGGATCTCGGTGGTCCCTGCTTGAAAATGTGCTCGAGGGACGAGAGAAAATGAAATCCTCGCTCGGGCCTTCTTATGCCCCGCCCCGCTCGCGCTGACGCATGCTATACGCGGGCCTACGCTAGTGCGCTGCTAGCTTGCGCCATGCCCCTGCATGCCCAGGCGCGCCACTTTGAGGGTCGCGAGTCGCACTTCCGGCGCCAATCTCGACCTCTGACCCCCACCGCAGTTGCCGCAGTCCCCTTTCCCCTCATATCCCAGTCCCCCACAAGCCGCTACTCTGAAATCGAACACGCTCACCCGTCTACCGCTGCCACTCGACTCGACTTTTCAGCTGTACGCCGCACCGACGACCCAGGCAGAAGCGTCTCCACGCCGCGCGGGAAGCTCTAGTCGGGCTCCAGTCGGCCTTGCTCTCTTGCCTGTCTAGCCCCAGCGACCGCCAGCCTGCCAGCGACCGTCAGCGCGTCAGCGACCACCGCGCCCAAGCAGCCTCAGCAGCGTCAGCGCTCACTTGATCCCGCAACTTGTCCTCGTCGTCGTCCTCGTTCACGTCCGACCCAGATCTCGGATCGATTCTTTGGACCACACCCCATCTCTTTTCCCCTCTTGTTATCAATCACATCTCCACCAAGCCATGTTGCCGCAACGCCAAAAGGTCGACATCAGCGTGAGCATCACCCCTCCGCCTCCTGGATCTCGCCCCCACCTGGTCGAGATCCGGGCCTGGGCCCTCCGCACCTGCAGCCTGAGTGGGACATCAGGACTGAACTCTGGCCCTTTCTCGCCCCTTTTACCCCGACAGTCGTTCAGCGAGCAAGAGCGAGAGTTGTTTCAAAAATACGGCAAGGTCCCCAGCCACAAATCGCTCTTGGGCAACAAGTTGAAAGTGCGCTCGCTCATGACACATCTAGCCTCTGCTTAGTGTGTTCTCACATGGACTGATTGCCGTACCTGTTCGGAATGTTCTCCCTCAGGAACGCAAGTACTTCGACTCGGGTGACTATGCTCTCTCGAAGGCCGGCGTCGAGCCTCAGCACATCGTTGGAAAAGCGATCCCTTCGCCCCAAGACATCCCACATGCCTCGCCGCCCAACACAACCTCGGGCATCTCGACCAGTCCTTCCGGCACGACTTCGAACCAGGGCTTGAGCACCAGTCCCTCGGCATCGACGCAGCACTCATTCGCCAACACTTTCGGAAGCCCAGGCAAGGAACCGATCGGAACCGCCGTGCCTCAATAAGCCCAGGGCTTGGGACGACAGGGGTCTCTCTCGGGCTACAGCCGTGCGAATTTTCATTATGTGTTTTTCGTTTTCACATCCCGATCTATGTTTTCATCCAACCTTTTCCCTTCGGCTCCTGGGCCCATGACTTCCCCTCACAATCCCGACGCCGTTCCCGTTTCCTATTCCGATTCCGCCGTTACCTACGTCCGGCCTTGATTGGTACCAGCTCCCTTCTTTTTTCAATTAATGAGCAGCATCAACGTGAACGTGAATTTCGCGCGCATCGACTCGAACATGACGACCATCGACGCCTACCTTCCGACTCGGGTAGTAGCGGCGGCGGCTTTTTATCGGCCTTCGCTCCTCGATCTGTGCTTCGGCTTTTCCCGGTCCCTTTCCCATGTATGAACGACTTGTCCAAAATTCTCGAATCTACCTCTCGTTTTTTGTCTTCGTGTTGCTCCTTCTCTTCCTCGTTGTAATAGTATATCGCGCCGCACGTCCAATGACCTGTCCTCTCGGCGTACCTTTTTTGGTGTTCGGCCTGATCAGCCTCGCAAACGACGTTGACAACAGTTCATGATGGTATCGCTTGGCTTCGAGTGCTGCGCTGGGAGCGCTTCGGTTTCTACCCAACTTCCGGATGTTTAGTTTCCCTTCCTAGACATTGAGGGTGCCCAAGCCTGTTGCTCAATCGACAAGACAGTCGATGGATGGCAGGCGCGGCGGCGGCACCAACTGAAGTTCCCCTAATCAATCTCGACGTAGCACTCTTCGGCGGAACCAAGCCTCTCCGGAATCAAGCCTCTCTGACGCGGACGCAAGCCATCTATAAGCTGGACTGAGATTAAAAAAACTACACGCGCGGGCATCATGTCATGTCTCCCACTCTACACCTTCACGCACTGGGGCTTGCCCGCCCGCCGCCCCGTGCTCCTATCAACTTCCGGGCTCATGCCCTGCCCCTCCGGATCGTCTCGACTGAGCCAGGTGCCGGAAAGCCCTCGATCGATCCTTTACGAGAATACGTGATTGCACAGCGCATACATCATGACTTCAACCAGGTCCCCTTGGACCCACGGACACATGTGCGCGTTGTCCCGAGCCGAGTCGACCCTGGCCGAACTCATCCGATACGCGTCGATGCGAGGAATCCCGGCGGCCGCCACGAGACGATTCGCGATCTCGTTCATCGCCTCGATACGCGGGTTGACTTGGTACAAGGGGTCGGCGGTCAGGTCCCGGCCAGGGAATGACGCCGTCGTCTCTCGCCACACGATGCGGATCCCGAGCCTCTGCTCGATTCGACCCAAGTGCTGCAGCGCAATCTCGAGGCCGGCGGCATAGTTGTCCAGCGAGGCCCACGTTGCAGCCCATAGGCCCACGTTAACGACCGCCACATCGGGCCATTCGTCGTCGTTCGCGCCGCTGTCCCACCGAAGAAGCTTCTCCCAGTCCTGCTCGGACATGGTTTGATCGACCATGTCGAACATCTCGTACTGCAGCGACGAGAAGCGGACGTGCTTGTCCACGGTGACTTTGGCTTGCTCGAGCATGCATATCGAGGCCATGAACGTGTGCGACATCACCGAATCGCCGACGAGGAGGATGCGCCGCGGGCGAGACGATTTTGCGCGCAGACACGACTCGAGTTGATCGTTCCAGAGCGAGATCGTCTTGTAAGAGCTGGCATCATCGGGTGTCCACCGCCAGACGCCTTCCCTCGACAGCCGCGTCTCGTTGCCACAGCTCGGACCCCAGTAGTTCGAGTCGAACGCGTGGGGACACCGCTCGAACGAGTAGAGTCGATGCTTGCCCAAGGTTTCCGAGATCTCGTTGAAAGTGCGCTTCCTCCAGCTGCCTTGACCAAGCGCGGCCAACGAGAGCGGCTGCGAGGGCATGGATGCGGGAAGGTCCTCCTTGACGTGAACGAAGCGAGTGAAGAGGACGTCGTTCTGCAGTTGCGGATGGCGCCAAGTTGTCTTGGCAAGATGGAACGCATCCGAAGGGTTGACGCCTCGACACGGCCCCTGGGCGAGGCGCTTGAGCTGCGTACGATCAGGTTGGTTCTCGATGTGACCCATGATAGAGCATGGGCTGACGGGATCGGCTACAGGGGACGGTAAACTTGAGTACTCGCGTGTGATGGTGATCTCAACTCCACCCGCCACTGCGGGGAGAGTAAAAGCTACGCCACCGTCGTCGAGGCGAGTGACTGGCAGCTGCCGTTTCGTCGTCGAATTCGCGAGGCGGACGGACAAGTAGCCAGCAGTGGCTCCCGAAGCATCAACTACAAACGTGGTACCAGCATCAACGTAAAGCTGTGGCAGCTCCGTGCGAGAGTTTGAGGACATTCCTTGGGCCAAAACCGACAGTGTGAACGCCGAGGGCGGGATCCGCGCGTACTTGTGCTCGAACGCAAGGACGGCGCGCATCACACCACGACCATAGCTAGCGAGGGCGTTGTAATCCTCATGCGCAAGTTCGGCGTATTGCTCGGTCCCCCTCATCTCGTAGCGACAGAACCGGTCACCCATTTCTTCCCGCCACGAGCCGGGGAACGCCTTCTGCTTGATGCGCTTCACACACTCGTCCCACGACTTGGCCCAGTAGTGGTGGATGTAGAAAGGATAGTCTCCATCCTGTTTGAGTTTCTCGTCTCCCTTTTTGTGCAAGGGATCGACCAATTCGCGTTTGTCTGAGAACGTGGCTTTGTGGATGTCACCGCCCAATCGGTACCGAGCCTGGAGTATGAGCTTGGGGACGAAAAAGTTGCGGTCGACAGCCCTTGCCTCGGTGTAGGCCTGCATCACTCCTTGCTGCGGTCGCTGATAGTGACCATTGGAGGTGAAGCAAAGCCGAGGGATGGCCACACCCCCCACGTTGCCGTACTCGCTTTCGAACCAGGCCGTGAAGGGGCTCTCCTCGTGGCCCATACCTCCTGCGGCCGCGACCTGGGTCTGGTTGCGTGCTACGTACTCGTCGATGTCAAGAAAGAACAGCCATTTCGAGCGGAGCTTCCACTCGCTCATGAAGGTGTCGACCGACCGAGGCTGGGCCCATCTGCTGCTGTCCTCTTGCGAAACCAGCGTGACCCATCCCAGCTCGACAAGCGGCAGGAGGCGCTCGCGCGTATCATCGTCGCTCATGTGATCGTAGACGACAAAATGCTCGAACCCTATCAGCATGTGGTAGAAAAGCCATTCAATGATGTCGGGCCCTTCGTTGCGCTCCATCGTGCCAATTAAGAAGTTGTACGGCGGCCTCGGCGGATGCGCTAGTAGGTAGTCGATTCGATTCACGATAACATCCGAGTCGGCGTCCTAGCCACAGACCAAAGGGCAAGTCCGAGCAAACATGTCTGTCAGCTATGATTACAACAGCTGAGTTGACTGCTATCCGGGAAGCTCACCGCTGGGCCGGGGAGGAGGGAGTGCGCAATCTGCTGGAGTGATGTCGCGGCGAATCTCTGGGGGGAGGGCGAGCCCGTGCCCCATATTGTGCCGAGGTGACGAGCTAGCTGAGGATGCGTGCCACCGGAAAGACTCCATACCTGTAGGGCACATAGGGAGTGTAATGAACCATCACAAGTTATTGGTCAGGATCGTGGTGAAAATTTGGCGACGGCACGAAACACGGCGCGCTATGCGACGCCGTCCAATCCACGTCGGAGTCCGAGGCAGGCACGCTGCGGCTCACGCACATTATGCAGGACCACGACACACAAGACGGCAAGAGAGATCCTGAGGAAAGTCTTGGGCTTGACATGACGCTTCCACGTGTCCGTCCCCTGGAGAGACATGATGCGCCAGCAAGGCGAGTGGAGCAGAGCCGAATTCGAGGCAAGGTAGGCTGACGATGGGGCGGAGCCGACCACGGTTTCTTAGCTGGAGTGCCACGCGAAGATCCCAATAGTGCACGCGACTCGGCCACGTCTGACGCGTCCGATTGCGGAAGTAACAAGCTGATCGAGGTTCCGAAGTCTAGAATCTCGGCGTCTGATTCGACGTAGTTCAATACATCAACTGTTGCAGAAAATACTACTCACCTGATGAGAGGTAATTCACTGCTTTAAGAACGTTCAGAAACTATTGAAATGATACCGTAAATATTACTGACCTGATTTGAGGTAGCTGAATACGTTAATCGCTCGAATCAGAAGACAGGCCGCGCATGTAGCGGGCATTGTTCTCAAGTGTCTCACCCCCCTCCCTCGCTCCAACTTCAACCTGCATGATCCCCGCCCCCATATGCATCTCAAGTGCCGATCGCGTCAACGTCTGCGTAAACATGTCGGCGAGCATCTCGGCGATCGGAAGATAGTCGAAGATTATTGTCACCTTCTCATACCCGTCCTTGAACAAATCGCTGTCTGACGTAGTAGGCGCTTGTTTGGATCCTGGAACACCAGATTATTTGTGAGAGCGCCCTGAATTTCGCCTTTCAACTCGATCGGCGCGCGAATCGTGATCCCCAATTCCTCGAGCAAATTCTGCAAGAACTGACACCCTCGAGACGCATGAGTCAGACTGATATTCTGCTTCCGTTGATGACGTCGCCACTCGGCTCTGAAACCGTGAACTCCAAGAAACTGGACCCGAAGGCCTCCGGTTCGACATGCTCAGGCGCCCTACGATAGGACCCGGGAAAGCTCAGCCCAATGTGCGTCTCGGAGATTTGTACATTTCGGGCCCATTTATGCCTTGTGATATGCTACATGATGTGATTTTTCATGGTAGAGTAACTTTTTAAAATAATCCGATAGATTGGTCTTACACCGGAATACATACACCCCTTGGATAGGGATATTCGGTGTACAAATCGGCCTAAAAACGGCGTTTTTCGAGACGCACCTTCTGCTGAGCTTTCCCGGGTCCTCCTACGATCCCGCTTTCCGACCGGTGCCGCCCCAGCCGGTCCAGGGGAATGAAAAAGCAACTCCTTTCTTACTTAAGTTCTTCCACCCCGGGTTTTGTTCAGCGGGATCAACGTCCTCAGCCAGACTACCCTCCCGGGTTTGTACCTCGACTGGTGGGGCTACTACATCTCGATTTGGCGCGACTGGTCCAGGTACTACGACTACTTTGGACTTCACACGCCGGGAACTTGTCCCTGAAAACAATGTCATACTTCGCGATAACATTCACCGCGCCCCCCACCGCGTCCCATAGGCGGTAGGCTTTAGATTCTAGGACGCGTCCGAGGAAGATTCAATGGAAAACCCCTGGGTGAAACTTCTTACGTTGTTCGGGATTCTAGAGAGGCTATGAGCCCAACGAGCTATGTACCACCAGTGCGCCGCTCGAAGACGACACAGTAGTTCATGAACCGAACGCTCCACCATGGCTAGCTAACACTTAGTACTGTCATCCATCGACAAAACATATAAAATGTGGTTGTCACTGGCTAGCCGAGCTCCGCGGGTTGATCCCTTACTCGCTTACATAAGCGGCCGACTGTCGTGCGGTGGCTGGGCCTGGCTCGGCTCGACTCGCGCTGACTGACAACCTCAAGCGACACCTGCGACAACAGCCGAGTGCAGGGCTTTTGAGGCCTCAAACTGGTCGAAGCGCTCAGCCTCGCTTGCGCTCTCCACCCCACGCATACACCCAAGAACCCAGCACCAACACACCCGACAACAGGAACATGTCTGATGTAGGTTCATCCCCTTCTGACCGGCCATGCTGTCGGTGATCAAGGCCGATACAGCGGGATCGCGTCGCCTCCTGGCTCCGGTCCACCGTGGCCCATCCGCTAACGAGAGCCCCCCTTGCGTGACACACCTCCTTCACAGACCCGCCAATGGGGTTAGTCGCTCAAGCGAATAGCTGGCTGATGCTGGGGGCCCATGATGCTGACCTGTTGGCTGTCGCCCCCCGCTCGTCGTCGTACAGAGATCCGCTTCTCGGCGACGCGTAAACGCCCCTACTTCTACTGCCCGACCACGTCCGAGTCCGTGTGGGAAGCCCCGCCTGCTTTGACCCCGGAGAAGATCTCAACCCTCCCTGGCGCGCACCATCTCGCGTACGAACCCCCACCACCTGCGGGTGCCGCCTCGCCCTCGACTAATGCCAGTGCCAGTGCGAGCGCCGCCCCCACCTCGGCCACGGCGGCGCATGCTCCTACCGCCGCCGCCGCCCCTGCTGCTGCTCCTGCCACCCAGCAAGCGGCTGCAGCAGCCTCCAAGCAGCAAGCTCCGGTCGATCCCAATGCGGCCCCAATCAAAGTCCGCGCATCGCATCTCTTGATCAAGTCCGAAAAGTCGCGTCGCCCATCGTCGTGGCGACAGCTGCACATCACCCGCACCGTCGGCCAGGCGCGTGAGATCCTGCAGACGCACCAACAGAACCTCCAGGCCGCCGAGGATCTTCCCAAACAGTTCGCCAGGGTCGCCAAGGCCGAGAGCGACTGCAGTTCGGCAAGGGAAGGCGGCGATTTGGGTCAGTCTCGCTTTCTATGACGGCCATCGCGCTGTCGCTCGAAGGCACAGGACCGATACTGAAGAGCTTTCGCGTCTTCTCCTTTTCCCTGTAGGCTTCTTTGGTCGTCAGCAGATGCAGAAACCTTTCGAGGAGGCCGCCTTTGCCCTCAAGGTGGGCGAGATGAGTCCGATCAGTGAGTGCTTGAATACGCTTGGTGTCGAAATTCGGTATCCTGACAAGGTTCCTCGTCACTTTCAGTTCAAACCGACTCAGGTCTGCATCTTATCCTTCGAACGGCTTGAGCACGGCAACGCGATCGACGACAGGGACATTCGAGCCGCCCCTTGAGGACTATCCCCACCCTGTCGTTCGACCCCTTTCTTTCCTTCGGCTCTGCCTTCTCTTTCATGTTTTGTCTTTGTTCCCCAGGTTTCTCTTTCTTCTCCTTGTTGGCTATCGTCTACCATCAACTATCCTCGAACCGATTGTGGTCCATGAAGAGCCGATCCGGGGAAAAATAACTCGTGAATTGCTCGATATAGAAAAAAAGCACACGGTTGTGGTACAACAAAGGTGAATTGAAGAATGCGGAAAAGAGACGAAAGACGATAGAGTCTTCTTCGCTGGCACCGGTGGGGGTGAGCCCCCTATTCACGTCGCGGTGCGGCAGCTTGCTGCTCTTGCTCGACTCGGCCCAACAACTGTGCCATCCGTCTTTCGGTCGAGAGGAACATTGATCAGTCAGCGCACTTGGGCGAAGATACGGACAATCTGACCGAGCCAAGAACTTACAAAAAGTACTCCTCGCAAATGCTCGAAAAGTAGAACTCGTGCTCCGAGTTGTGCGGTTTGACGAGATTGTGCGCCACCTCGTGCGCTAGCGTGTGATAGGTGCTGATTAGGGCGTCGTGCAACTGCCCTTGCTGCACTTGGGGGTCATACCAAGCTTCGTAGTAGCGTAGGTTGAGGTAGATGGAGCCGTTGCGATTAAAGGCGATCAAGGGTCCTGTGCTGTCGAAGAAGATGTGGAGGGCGCGATGGTCGAGCGTGAGGACTTCGCCTACAGGGAGGACGATGAGTCGAATGAAGCGGTCGATCGAGTGGACGTGGTCGCGGACGAAAGTTCGGCTAAATCAGACATTTCAACTCCGACCACGGGAAGAGTCAGCCCAAGTGTTCGTGGAATTAGTACCAGAAGCTCGTTGACTCACGGATCCGCCACCGTGCGATCGATAAAGAACTTGAGCCCGGCGACATCCCCCATCGATACGAGATTGGTTCCAGCCGTAGCGTCGCAATACGACTGTTCCGATTCTTTGACCGACGTCTTGTCAATCCCATTCGAGACCGAGGAGCCGTGTTCAGGCCGCGAAGCCTGTAGTCATGCACACACTCAACACTAAATCAGTCCCACTGTGGTCTCTGAACTCTGGGCGACTGCGGCATAGTTCTCCTCGTGTACGGTACGCACCTGTATAGCTTTCCGAACGTTGGAGCGAATCGCATCCGTTGAGCTCGGTGTAGAACCTGCAGTCGAGGTACCCGACGTCGAAGGCCTGGGAAGCCTCGGAGGTTGATCCCCAGTCAATGACGATGACGACGAGGAACGAGGCACCGAAGCGATCGAGCCAGCCCCATTGCTCATGCTCGATCGACTGAGGGAACTCTTCATTTTGGAGAACAGACCCTTGTCGTTGGAGGAAGGAATGCTGGGCGAAGAAGAAGGTGCCGGAGACGGAGATCGACCTGGGCTTCCGGAATCACCCAAGGCTTGTTGTTTCAGGGCTGCGAGAGAGTTCTGCGCCGCGGGGCCAGTGGCGCCTATCCCCGTGCCCGGATTGGGTGCAAGTGTACCCCTCTCCTTGGAGTCCGATCGTCTGGGGTAGCCGGACGATGTAAGAAGAGCATTGACCGCGTTCTCGACCTTGGGTGGGGCTTGCTGTAGCAAGAGCTGGCTCAGGAAGGCGGGGTCCGCGTCTGGGAAAAGTTGTTCCAACTGCTTGACTTCTTCGGCGGTCCTTGCGGCATCGAGTTGAGCTCGAGCTCGTTCCTCTCGCATACGTAGGTCCGCGGCTTCGCGTTCGGCTTTTCGGGCGTTAACGATGCGGTCGACGTTGAAGCCGCGGCGTCGAAGCGCTTTGAGAGGCGTCGACAGGATCGTCATGTAGAGCAGCGTGTCGTTGGCTCGTTGCTTGGACAGCAATAGTCGACAGAGTGCCGTAGCGACCTTTCCAAACCCCTTGTCAGTCAGCACAAGGCGCATTTCGACTGGGGCCCAGACTATCTCACCTCGTAATAGTCCAACTCAACATCTCCAGCGATGTAGAGCAGCAAGTCCCCTTGGCTCGAGGCCTTTGCGAAAGCACTTGCCGCCTGCGAATGTCGCTTTGTCGTCCGCCCGACGCTCAAAGTCCGGACCAGCTCAATGGACCGTACTTCGATGACCTGTAAATGCTTACCACCACCGGATTGGATCCAGTCCGGATCATGTCGAAGCTCCCCCTTCCCGTATTGTTGTTTCCGTTCGGACAAGAAGAGAAACGTCCTTTCGACGACGATGCCATGAAGCTCATGGGCACGCTTCGAGTTCGGATCCGCTTCGCCCGAACTTCGGTACCCTTCCGCAACGAGTTTCGAAATCCTCGAAGCGCCTAGCCCTTCGGCCAAGGCTTCGAGGGCGTCCTCTTGCGGACAGGACCACACGTCCGCTTGGAAGACGCGGAACGATTGCGGGTCGTCGTTGATCGCCAGATCGCTCGCTCGCGACAGTTGGTACGTCAAGGCCGAACCGTATCGGCCTCCGTCTTCGTCGTCGCTGTCGTCATCGAGCAAAGTCGGCTGGTTGGGACCGCCGTGACTCCCCGTCGCGACCCTTTTGGTGCCGAGGAAGAAAGCCGACATGCGTGCTCGAGACTTGAGGGTGAAAGGCAGCGATTGGAAGCTCGCTGCAACCATTCGCAAGAGGGAGAGGTAGCGTTCCGAGGAACCAGAGAGATCAAGGAAGCGATCAGGATCGGCGATCAACATCGCCGCAATCTCGTTCATACTCGGAGAAGCCTTGACCCCGATCGTGACCAAGAAAGGACGCGCGTTGAGCCCAAAGTCGGGGATCACGATGAACAAGGTCTTGAGACCGGGAGGGAGAGCCTGCTCGGTCTCGAAAAAGCAAGTCGAAGGTGAGACGAGGTTTCCCCCGATGGGGATGATGTTGGCTCGTTCGAGGGTCGAGAGCTCATCCGAACCAAAGTTCGACACGCAGGACGAGAGGTAGGCGAACGTCTGTCGGGCCTTCTCCAGCGTCTTGGGAGGTGAGAGCAGGATCGCCGAAACGAGGTCTCTCGCTGGTGGGTCTCGAGCGACCTTAAGCTTGGCCGCTTCGTGTTGGTATTGCTCATCGAGGACCGCGAAGCCCAAACACGCGCAGTCGACGTTCGAGTAGACGTCGTGTGGCTTCCCAAATATCCTCTTGCCATCCTTGATGGCGGGGACGAACGGCAAAGCATGTTTCGAAGGAAGGTAGGTCGCCGCGAATCCTGCCGTCGCGTACTGCTCGAGAAAGTACTCGAAAGCGGCCCGCTGCCTCGATGCGTCCTCACTGTTTGCCGCGATCTTGAGCAGCTCGGCCACCGCAGGCGCCTTGAGCAACCCGAGCGAGAACATCAGCTTTGCCTCTTCCGACGACGACCTCCATTCCATCAGGGACTTGGTCCAATCAAGGAGAGGTAGAACCAATCTGCGATGCGCCTCGGTCGGCTCATAGAGCGTTGCAGCCATATGGCGCACAGTCTTGGTCTTTCCAATTTGGCCCTCTGCGTCAGGGGCCGAGATGATCGGTGCTTCGCCTTCTTGGGGTAGCCAAGCCGTCTTCCTCAACCGATCTAACTCATTCGCCGTCAGCGTCGCGGACACGCTGACGAGGTATCTCACTACATCGACGTGGGACCACCCTCCTTCGGCTCCCAGTAAGCGAGTGAAGACGAGCTGGAGTTCGACGTGACGACGAACGCCTAGAGCGAGCAAGACCTTCTCCAACGCTCCTTTGACGGCCGTCCCGCTCGGAAGAGTGACGATGGGAAGGTCCTCGAAGAGAACAACGGAGGGAAAGTAACTCTCGCTGGCTAGTTTCTGGCCCTGACGAGTCGGCATAAAGCGCAGCGGAGCCATCAGAGTCGACAGCTCGTGTTGCCGAGACGTCGATAGTGTTGACCAACCTCGGGATATGGTCATTAAGAACTGCAAAAGGAAGGAATCCGCAATGGGGCTGGGTGAGCTATTTACACTCTCTTCAAGGCCAATGCTGCCTCTGTCAAGGTCCTTACCTTTTCAGCGAACGGAGGCGAAACCAGCACATTCGTTTCGGCGGATGTTTTTGCACCCGTACACGCCGGCGAGACAACATGACGTGCCCAATCCAACGAAGTCAACTCCGTAAACTCAAACACCCTTGCCAGATCTGCACCTTGAAACCTTCGCGTTAACTCGAACGGCAGCGTGTGATCGGGCAGAGGAAGATCGGGTGTGATCGTCTGGGGGTTGAGGTACGTCTTGAATGCCGAAAGGGGTAGGATTCTCTCCTCTTCAGTCGTCCGATCACGCAGAGACAACATCGCCGAATCTTTAAGTCGAGCCAGTAAGGAGGGAGAGTAGGATCGATTCGCCGCGAGGGACAGCCACCATCTGAAGGCGTCGCCCGCTTCGGCGATCGTGAGAGGGTGGGTCGCGAGGTCGTTCAAGATGTCCTCGAGGCTGATGTCCTTGACCAAACCTTTTTCGTGCAAGATGCCCATCAAACGTGGAGCCCCGGACGAAACCAATTCGGGCACAACCGGAATACCCTTGATGAACGTCAAGGCCGGGTTGGGTAATCGCACTTTGGACGCCGGTGTCGGACCCAGCTGAGAAATGAGCGTGATCGATGTGTTGGCGTTGGATTGGAAGAACGCAGCCTCGGTCAGCGTCGAAACGATCTCTTGCGGTGTCGAAGGGGTGTAAGTGAAGAAGCGCATCAAGTGTAAGGCCCTCTCTTGCAACCGCTTTTTCTGCTCGTCGTCGATCTTGGCCGTGTACAGGCGTGCGATCTCAGACATCTCCTCTTCAAACACGGTCCGCGCCAATACGCCGCCCATCGCGAGTAATTCGCGATTCCAATCAGCGACGTATTTCGCCTGGAAATCCAGCGACTCCCTCTCGACCGTCGACACGAACCTCGCCGCGATGCTGGACGCGCATCCGGTAGTCTGGAACGTCGGGAACCCAATGAAGACGCGGCCACTGGACTCGAGATTGGACAATAGGCCGGCAAACACCTGACGCGCATTTTTCTCTTCGGTCGTCGCCACCGCCTCTTTTCCGGCTTGCGAGGCGTCGAACTCGTCTTTGCCGGTCCAGATCAGCGAATAGACCGTCGTTGATGGTAAGCCTTTCTTGGTTGCTCGTAGCATTTCAGTGCTGAATTGTCTCGTCGGAGTGACGCGCAAGGTCGATGAAACCGTCCTCAGGAACAGCGACACCGCCAGCAGAGTGAAAGGGTCCTGTATCGGCGTGGCGGCGGAGGACGAAGCGGTGGGCACGGAAGCCGGAGCCGGAGTGGCACTTGACTTTGATGTGAAGGCAGCGAGCATTTTGGAAGCGAAAGATGAAGCTGCAGCTGCGGGGGCCGAGGCGAACGACGGGGTTGGCGCTTTCGGCTGCACCGCGTAGCACAACAGCCATCGAGAGACATCGACCTTGAGTTGCACTGGTGCCTCGTCGATACGAGTGAGGTGCAGGATCTTGAGGGGCGAGGTTGCTGCAAGGTGGGAGCGAAGGGGTATCGGTCTCGAAGGTGCCAAGGTTTTGGTGACGCGGAACAAGACATGGCCGTCAAAGTGCATCGAGACGTGGCGGATCTTGGTGGTGAACGCGAGACAGGTCGTCAGGAAGCGAGCAAACACGAGCGGGTCCGGCATCGGCTCGGGTTCCCGAAGATCCATGGAGAACGTGGACCAGGGATGCCCTTCGGAGGAGCAGTGGTTCAAGCCGCTGGGGTCTACCGCCGTCTTGACGTAGAGTTGATCGCCTCCGTCTTTCCAGAAGAAGAGCATGACTTTCTCTCCCGAGGAGACGAGAGGCTCGTCGCAGATGGAGAAGAGCGAGTAGAAGCCGACACCGAAAGCGCCTGTCACATGAAGGCGGAAGCAAGACCAAGTCGGGAGAAAGTTGAGGATGAGCCAGCAAGGCTGCCTCCGAGCTCACTAAAAACGCACCAATCTTGCTCTCATCCGGATTCCCCTCGGCGATCTTTTTCAACCTCATCCAATCCTCGTCACGGAATACCTGCCCATCGTTCCTGACGACGATCTGCGCGAGCTTGTGTTTCTTGAGGTTGGGCAAGCCGCCGGTCGCCTGGTCGGAGGAATGGAGGGTCGTCGCCGAGGCCGGGTCGACGGTCGTACGGAAATGTATCTCGACGTGGCTTGCGCCCGCGTCATCACTGTTTTGCAGTAGTTCCCGAAATACTGGAGTAGCATAACCACAAAGGTCAGGACGAGAAGGTGCGTGCGCAAAGGAAGTGACCGCCTTGGCGAGCTCGGAGCAGAGCATTGCCGTTCGACGGCGAGCGTTCAGTACTGACCAGTCTGTTCCCCGCTGTACCGGGCGAGGATCTTTTCGATCAAAGCCCTTTGGTTGACCTAGAGTGCAGCAGATTCCATCCCCAAGACGCTCGAGAGCGAGCCGTCGACGTCAGCCCACGGTGCGCGTGAACGGGTCTCGGGTGCGACGCGTGCCCAGTGGCGCGCGGGATGAACGCCCGAGTGAGTTCATTTGGTGCACGACCACTCACCGAGACCGCTTCGTCGACGCCTTGGGATAGCAGATGCTTCAGTTGCTTCAAATCGGTTTGCATCGTCCAGAGAAGGGGTCGGGAACGAGGCCGAGGGGGCGCTGCGAGCGACGACGTTCGTCGGGGAGGTTACGACGCGAGGACCGAGCTGAAGGTCGGTCCGCCGACGATCGGATGTTCGGGCAACGACCAGCACCGACGCGACGTGTGTACAAGTCTAGAAGAGATTCCAATGCGACAAAGCGAAGCGGAACGGAACGGGGCAGCACGACGATGCGGTGTTGGTACAGGAGGGCGGGACGGCGCACACCGGCCCGAACTCGACGCCGACTTCGGAAACTGGACTGGAGTGCAGTGCAGCCTGCAGGTGGTGCGACCTGGTGCGACCTGGTGCGACGTAAATCAACCGACGCCCAGCAGCCTTTTACGCGCTGACGAGTCGCGACGCGGTCAAGACTGGACTGGGCAACTTTGGGCACAATCTTACGGCGCTCTTTCGACCCGGGGAGACCCGGGGGCGCACAAAAGAGACGAGCGTAGGACTCGGGCAAGAGACAGGAATGAATCGATGAGAAAATGCACAACCACAACTGTAAACAGACCGACGACTACGCTCTGAGCACCACCTGTCCGGTCGCCTCGGACAATCCCGCTGCGACCCTTGGCTAATCCCTCCCACGATCGACGAAAGCAGGCCATCTAATCCTCAAATCCTTCTACGCTAGCGTCTCGTGCCCGACTCGGTACTGTTGCGACGGTCGCAGGAGAAGGAGAAGATTCGAACAGGTCCGTTCAGGAGAGCGCGCCGAAGAAGAAAGAAGAGAGCGCAATGCAGTGAATCGAACGTCAGTTCAGATCGAACCCTTGCCAGGAGAGTAAGCCCTGGAGCGGTTGCTGTATCTTACAGGGGTAAGTCGTCGGTGGTCGCTCGGCAGGCCTCCACCCCCACGATCGGCGCACTTCGGGCACGACCAGCACCATGAGCGGACCTGTATAAGAGAGATCCAGCATCTTAACCAACATCAGAACCCGGATATCCACGTCCATGTTCGACCTCCCAGCGTGTAGCTCGTCACGGACCAACAAGGCCAATCGCGATCGAGTAGAAGATCACCGGTTGCTCGTGAGCCGATCGTTGCTGCAGAGAATGGCATGGCATGGAACAGCGACAAAGGACGGTGCGATACATGGGAGTCAGCTCGAGAGTGCATGCGATCAACCATCGTTTTGCACCACCGAACTCGAGTGTCGACTCGAGGGCAAGCGCAGCGTCGCAGGCCTGATGGTGGTGGTCGGGACGTACCAGGTATCGGTACGACTGGCGGAAAGGGCCCAGGATCGATCCGTGAAGTGTGGCCATGATTGGGCGTAGAGATATACTGCGATGATGGGCGGCGTACAAGCTGGCGACCGCTGCAGCGCGAGTAGTCAGTCGTCCTAGGTCGTTCTCGTCCTCGCTCGTTAGCGCCTGTTAGCGCGCCCTGTCGGTCTCTGTCGGTCTGTCGGTCGGGCGCCCGTCTGCGCCCATCTGCAGCCGTCCTCAGTCGTCTGCGCCAGTCTGCGCAGTGTCTGCGCCCGTAGTAATACGTACCCGATCGGCTCTGCTGCCCACGCTGGCCTGCGCTGCGGTTCGCTCTCGTCCTCAATCCCGATTCCCCGCCGGACCAAAGCAAATACCCCAGTCCACCTTGCACGCTACCACGACTCGACAACCCGCGTGATCGCCGGTCTTCACACTTGTCCTGCCATTCGAGATGGATCACCTTTCCCGGCTACCCTCGGAACTTCTACAACAGGTCCTGGACCATCTCAGCGCCAGCCTTAGCACCGTTACTAGTCCCGGCCTCGGCCTCGACCTCCCCTCGCCCTCGATCCAACAACGGACGAGAGAGAGAGAGAGAGAGATTATCCATTTCAAGACCTTGTCGCGCTATAGCACATGTAGTCCAAACGGACGACCATGGCGCGGGAAGGCCGAAGTTGAGAGTGGAGAACTTCCATTCATGACACTGTGCCGAATTTGCGAACTTTGATTGCTAACGTATTATTACAGGAGCAAGTCTCATTAATGGTACTGCTTGAAGGGGTGGTGGTCGGAGAAGAGGCAATGGAGGCCCGCGAACCTGATATTCTTGCCTGCGACCAAATCACGATGGACAGGGGGTTGACATCCGCGTTCGCACTGATAAACGCGGAACAGCGGCTTCGCGCTGCCCTCGACGGTTCCCTTGTCGTTGAGCCTGTAGAGGGTAGGGCGACGAAGGAGAACAACGTTGGTGATCAGACCAGCAAACATGACCTCGACTCGGCCCTGTTCGATCTCGGAGACTGACCTCGACCGGTGGCCGTGCTCGTTCCGACAGTCTTGGTTACTGCATAGCGACGACGTCAAATCTTCATCGACGTAGTAAACCAGAATATCCAAGCCGACGCGCTTCAGACGCTCGATCTCTGCAACGAGCGCCCGCAGGAAGACGTTGGTGCGGTAGGTCGCGTGAACCGTGCCACGGCTCGAGCCACCCGCGCCGATGAAGAAAAGGAAGAGGCGTGGCTCCGACGACAGGATGTCGTCTCGAAGCGCCAACTCGGGCGAGCGCAGGCTGTCGAGGGCTTGCTGCTGGCGAGTTCCATTCAAGGCTCGTTCTGAGTGAGGAAGGGAAAGACCAAAAGAAAAGAGAGAAAACCCCGCCGTCCGGGCCAGAGTCACGCAGTGGTCAGTCACCGGGGGGGGGGGTGTTAGGCGTGCCACCAGAAGCTCGATCGGCGCCGGGAGGGCCCCTGTCAACTTGGTGCACTCACCGACGACGCGGACACCCGTCGCGCTCATCACTTGGTCGACGAGGCGCTGAACGGTCGCTTTGGCGTGGACCCGGGAATTGTGCACTGCTGCCTGGCGTTCTGGCTCGGACTGCAGCCACTCGATCGAAGGTGCGTCGTCCGATGTGCCAGCATGCGACCGATGGGCGTCGGTGGCAGCTACTGCGAGCGCGTCGGTAGGGGCGATTGGGGCAGGGGCGCGAGGAGCGGGGCCAGGAGTGGCGGTAGCGGGCACGACACGAGGCATTCCGGCGGTGTTCGGCGTCGATTAAGCGCGTGCGCTCTTGCGTCGAATGAAGGGCGTGATCTACGGAGGACGCGTATAACACCAGCTCGTCTTCCATTGGGCATCCGTTCCGATCGTACAATCTGGAGGAGATGGCCACGGGGCACTTGGTACCCGGGTCGATGCCGACAGTGACTACATCGCGGTTAACCCCGGCTTCGAGCTCACTCGCCAACTCGTCGCAGCCCGGAATGCAGGTGGAAATTGGTGGGAGCTCGTAATCGCCCCACGACTACCCAGTCGATATGAGGTGCAAGGAGGAAAGGCACTACAGGAGGTTAGCAAACTTGGGTTTACAAAGGATCAATGCCCCCCCGCTCAGCTCGCGTAGGATTGGAACGTACCTCCCCAGTCGCCTTTTGAAAGATCGCCTGCAGCGCCTCTTCCCTCCCGTTCTCAACCCTCTGGATCATTGGCATGCCCCCGGGGAGGGTGGGAGGTTGCTTGACCGCACGTTTGGGGACCCAGCGCACCGACTGCTCCTCGTGCCCCACTCCCTTTGGGTTTGTGGCGGTCTTTGGGACGGAGGGGATCTTGCGAAGACTCTGAATCAGCTTGCGGAAGATGGGACCCGCGTCCTTGGACGAATGCCACGTCGGGTAGTGCTCGGTGACGAGGTCGAACGTTTCGTATACCGTTTCTCTCATTCCTCGTTCCGATGTTCCCAACGGTCCAATGCCTCCGTGTCCTCCAGTGCCTCGGCAGGCTCCCATGAATCGCTATCCGACGGCCATGAAACCCAAGAGACCAAATATTGAGTCTTCCCCGCTCGGACCCTTTCATCGACGATGTCCTCGATGACCCACTCGGGTTCTCCACCTACGTCCACCGGTCCCGGGCGCGCGGGTTCTCGGCTTGGGAACAATTCCGAATCATTTGAGCGGTAGGCCTTGAGCTTGCCCGTGTGGAAGAACGGTACCGCGGAATCGTCCTTGTTGAGTTGCAAGGTGTACGTGGAGATCCCTGGCTGCGCCGCAACAATGCGATAAGGGCCGTCGAAACGGTCCATGAGCTTGGCTGCGCGGCGCTTGCGGGTGTGAAGTCGCTTCCTGCGGTCACTTGAGTCGAGCAGCACAAGGTCCCCGACGGCCCATGAAGGTTCATCGACATCGAGCGTGAGGATGTGGACCGAATGGCCGTTGGTTAACCACTGACCATGTGGAACGCGGTGGGGACCAAAGAGCTCGACATTGAAGAGCTGCAAGACGACGAGCGGTCCCTTGCCGGTCAGGTAACGCGGAACGCCATCCGAGTTGGGCTTGAAGAGGCTTCGGTCGGACTGGGCGGCGGTCACCTTGCGCACCTTGGTGAGTGGGCCGAGGTCGGCGTCGTCACTGTCGGAGTCGCTGGCAGGAGCATCCGACCGGGGTGGGGTTGTGACGGAAAAGATGCCATGAATCGTCGCTTCGCAAAACGCAAACCACTGGGCCTCCCATTCGGGGCTAATTACCCATTCCTCGCCTCCGCCTCCTCCTCCCAGCAGCACACCCTTCGTGTCGACTTGTCGCCTCAACATCTCGCGAACCCTTTGACCGGGGCCGGCGAATTCCTCGTTCGTCGTCTGCGCATCAGCACGCTGCGCAGCCCACGGGATCCAGACCCCATCGAGCCATTTGACAAGCACTCGGGCAACCTCCGGTCCCTTCCAGAGGATGATTGCGGTACGGCGCAAGGACATCGTTATAAATTCCGGCGCAAAGTCCTGTGAAGTATCGGGGGCCGGGTCGAGCTTCGGTCAGTACGAAGCGCTCACTTGGCTATACCAATGCAGTAGCAATTCCACCCGAAGGTGTCAAGGGGTGCTCACCGGTCCGATGCCTAAGCTACGACCACTTTTGATCTTGAGCGCGTGCAGTGCCGGAAGCAAGACCTGGGTCGGCAAGAACTTGAACTTCCCCTTCACCAGGTCGCCGAGCGTGTGCTGGCGGCGGAGTTGCACGCGCTCAATCGGACCGATCATCCTGTCGAGGTGTTCTTCGACGACTTGGATTGCGTCGAAGATCATCCCGCGGGCGGATGCGTAGATCGTGTCGAACGTCGCGGCATCCGGGACGATCTTGTGCGCGGTCTTGTACGAGGCACGGAGAGCGGCCTCGAGCCTGGGGTCTGCAGTGGCCGGGTGGGTCGCCCTGTCGCGTAGCAGAGGAACCAAGAGAATCGCCTCGACAATGCGCTTGAGGCTCTGGTTCCGAAAACTCGCTTCGGCCACCTTGAGCTCGTAGACTTGGTGGCGACCCGCGGCGGTGGGGGTCACAAAGCCGGCCGAGGCGAACACGCGAAGGACCGCAGGTACCCGATCCTTCCACCCAAAGAGCCCGACGATCAGCATAACCACACGGTCCTCCCACCAATCCGCCGAGTGAACGAGCTTCGGCACGAAGACCCTGTGCCTCTTGGTCTCGATTGTTGCTCGTATGACGCTTGTCCAGGCCTGCAGAGTGAGACAGGGGGGGAGGCGTGCGCAGTGCAGGGCACGCGTCAGGTCCACACGTCCACGTTCAACGGCAACGAGACCACGTCACGCATACTCACATACGAAAAGCAAATGACGTCCTTACCACCCGAGACGCGACGAAAGAGGGCTCGCTCTTCTTCGTATGCGTCCGACCCGACAGACGCTTCATCGGGGAGCGTGAGAGGGTCGTCCAGCCGGGTGCGACCGTTCCCGCCCGTTCCGGCCCTTCCGTCCTCGCGCAGCAGGTAGAGTATGGACATGAACAACGCGCGCCAGCGGTTTTGGTTCAAGCCAAGCTCCTTCCACTGCGCGCGCGTCAAGAACCCGAGGCATCGACCGAGCGCATCGGCGACGACGCTCTCGATCTCACGGTGGGAGGTCGCCAGGAGGCGAAGGAATGGTTCCAGAGCCTGTAGGGCAGGCATGGGGCGTTCGGGGGTGTCAGAAGGGTGGGGAGGCATAGTGTCTGACTTTTTTTGTGTCGAGAGCACTTGTAGGCGAATGTTGATGGTCAGGAACCGAGAGATGGGTGGGCGATTGGGTCCGTGTGCCCACCCCGCCCCAGCGCCGGCGCACCGTCTCCTGTCCGAAATTGATTTCGGACGCACACCTATGCGAGACGACAATCGCATCCACGCGCGAGTGGAAAAGACCTAAGATCTTGGCCCACGATCATGTCCATTCACGCAAGGTGCACTTGTGTAGTAGATCATTCCAGCGTATCGAACACAACGAGAGATCATGGCATGATCTCAATCACTACGAGGTATCATCTGACCAGATCAACTCTTGAGCCATTTTGAGGGTCAAGCCGATCAAACTCGTGAAGGACGAAACCCCCGGAACCGCCGGCCGAAACGGGTCCGTTTCTCATTCTCTAGGCGCCCAGGAATGATCTCGTAGAATACCTATCTCTGAGTGTAGTTTGCCCACCGTACGACCTGTATTCATGGAGTTTATTCATGTGAAGCTAACAAGTTCTACGATTCTGATCCGGAACGACACCTGGGAAATATCATGAGGCTACCTTAAAGTGCGAGTGGCGACTCCTACCTACGAAAGAAGGCGGTCGACTCCGAGTCGACGGCGCAAGAAAACCCCGAGAGCTGCGACGACGCATCGACCTTCTTTGTCTTTATACGGCTTTACCTATCAATCTCCGTTGCTGCAATGCTGTAGCTGCGCGAATCGGATTCGTCGACGACCAAAGCCGCATCCGAGTCCACGTCCATCAGCTCGAGCGAGCTTGCTCGGTTTCGAGTGGCCGCCGGTGGTGCGCTTGCCTCAGCCTGACGTGCCGTCCTTGCCGGGGGTCTTCGAACCCGATGTGCGCCTTGCCTCAATCCTCCGGGCACCATGGGTTCTCGGACCAGATCGTCGAGCGTACCCGTCATTGTTGACATTTTGTAGATAACTCCGCCAGGACATTTTCCGCCGCCGCCGCTGCTGCCCGAGTCCGAGTGCTTCGAGAACAGGGCACGTACTTCGGCCGCCGTGGTCGCCTTGTTCCTTTCGATCGACTTTGAATTATTGGACTTGCGAGTGCGCTGTTCTGCGCTGTCCCCAAATTCGGGATCGACCAAGCGGTAGTCCGACGCCCTGACGGTTCCTTGCACGGCGAGCTTGCGCGTCGAGACCATGCGGGCCGGCTGCTCGGCTTGACGTCGTCGAGCGTTGGCGTGGTCACGTCGGAGTTCAGGGTCTTGAACGGTCGAGATACTCGAAAGAGAGGGCAGAGGTCCGGTGGAGGAGACCCCGGGTTGGTGGACGAGAGGGGGGTTGCGGCGAATCGGCGCATAGGCATATCGTGAGACTTTCGACGGGTCTTCATGTGGCGTTCCCTCGAATCGCACCCTGTACCCTTGCGAGACAGCGGTGATCGATGCCTTTGTCGCTTTTGCGAACGTCTCGTCCTTGTAGTGGTGCAGCAGATCTTGGATAGGATCGATCTCGTCGCAAAGGGACTTGACCTCCTTAATTTGTTTCTCCGTGGGCGCCGGCTCCGAGTCGACGTTCCTGATCAACGCCCCCGCGGCGCCATCCCAGCCACTCTGCCACGTCGCCGCGTCCAACCACTGCCCAGGCAAATTTCGAAGTCCTGTAGGCCCGATCCCTGTGATGCCCCCGAAATAGTCGCACCCGAAGATGAGGCTCGCGACGAATCGCTGACGAGAATTCCACACCGCGGGGTGAGCGTCGAGCACGGCAAGGTCCACCAAGCTAATGTTTTGGTCCTTGCCCGATAGCACGGCGCGATAGCGGGCTTGGTCGGCGCCGAGAAGCATGAAAAAGTCGCTGTCGGCGCTCACGAGGACGACGCGGTTGGGTTCGAGCGCAACGTCGCAGATCTGGCCAAACTTGGTCGACGCCGAGACGAGGGGATCGGCCTCGTGGGCCGCGACGACGAGCAACCCTTGCTCGGACCAGCGAACAAAGGTGGCGACTCGGGTTGGCTCGTCACCGTGGCGAAAAGCGACCTCCCATTCTTTGCTCGATTGTCTGTGAACGCACGCGGCGAGGGTGTCGTTCGTGATGAAGGGGACGGGGTGGATGACAGGGGTCGATTTATCGGAAGGCTCTTGCGGTTTCTGGCGATCTTGGCGATCGAGCACGGTGTCCTCCTTGAGCTTGGGCCGAAGGATGGGATGATCAAATACCACGACCACTTGGATCCGCCTTGCCGTCGCTGCAATGATTACCTCGAGGTGTCGAATGATCGCATTGAGGAACAGCCGGCCTCGCTTCGGCTCGTTGTGTTTCGCCCGGTCCGTCGCGGCTTTGCGCTGACGTGCGAACGCGGTAGCGCCGTCGATGATGGCGACTAAGTGTAGCACAGTGATGGACAGCGTAGAGGTTCAGCTAGGGTCTGCTCGGTATATTGTCCCGGAGCAATTACGGCCTGCGAAGAGGCTCTGAGGAAGCGACTTGCCATCAATTTTGCCGACGAGGGAAACCAGCGCGCTGCTCAGGTTGGTCTCCCGAGAGAGAAGGGCGTCTGGAACGACCTCCAAAGCGTTACCGAGGCAGTCGTGGCCGTGTTTGACCGTCATAGAGGGAGGTATGAACTGTGTAAGTGCAAGGCGCAAGGCACAAGATGCAGGGTGCAGGAAGAATCAAGGGTGTTCGAAACGTCGCGCTGCCCGCTAGCTCGCTCCGAGCCGAAAAGCAAACGAGGGCAGGTCAAACAAAAGGTCGTTCGATCTCAGAGTAGTGCGAGAAGACATCATAATATCCTAAATTGTACTGTAAAATAGCCTGTACCCCATATTCGTTATTTTTGCTCTCAATCTTAGTCTGGTCAAGGCGGCGGCCTCCTTTCGGAAGATCGCAGTGGGGAGCTTGAGCGTCCACGATCTAGGCAGCGAGAATCCGCCAATTTTCTAATGAACAATGGTTCGACGTACTAGAAAAAAACTAAACTTCTTTCAATATGATTTTGTATTTGGGTGCCACCCTACTTGCATGACAGCCTCGACTCGCTGCGTCGGAGCTCTCGCCTGAAGCCGACCCCGCAACTCAGCTCCGCGGCGGACTCGGAGTTCGGGGTCGTCCCAACTCGGACTAAGCTACTGGAGCGACAACCGCTGTATCGATCGCGGCGATCTCAACTCTGGGGTGATCCCTGGAGCTCAACCTACTTGCTGAGACTTGACCGAGCTTGATCGACGAGGTATTCGGTCTTTCCGAGGGATGGATCGTGGGCCTCGATGTGGGGTGCACGGTCCCCTTTCCGTTCAGATCTTCGGCGCTCTCGGCCGCGCTCGGCAGAGGTGAAGATCGAACCCTTAAAGTCACAGCGTGGCGTCATATCGATGAGATGACTCATTCTGCCAAGCGCACACCCCGCACCCAAGTCAGCTACCACCTCGAGCTCGTCGCCTCTCTCTCTTTCTCCTTCCTTCTCCTCGTCGACGCGCTCTGCACTTCTCGCACCACTTAATCTTGCCGACATCGCCCCCCTTTTCAGGAGGATACGAAACGGTGGCCTTTGTGGTGTGGTAGAGTCTGTCGTTCGATCATCCCCCCCTTCCCACCCTCTCTACCTGTGAGTTGATGCCTCGTGCGACTCGACGAGCTTGTTTGTGCCTCGAGCGGTGAATGCTGACTCGATCGTGGCGACCTCCCCCTCACCTCCCCCTCACCTCTTCACCCCCCCCCTCATTTCAACCTCATTCGACACTCCTTAACCCTCCCCTCCCCTCTCGCCTCACCTGACCCTCGTTTCACCCCACCTTGATTCCACCTTGACCTTGACCTTGACCTTGACCTCCCCTCACCCGATCCCACCCTATCCCATCCCACCTCGCATCTCGTTTACCTCGTCTCTCGTTTACCTCGTGTCTTATCGGTGGTCGTCTCTCCTCACTCGTCTTTGACCCCTCCCAATTTGCCTTCCCCAGCCTCCCTCCCCCTCCTTCCTTCCCTCGTCGACGCGCTCTACACTTTGTGCATCACTTAATCTTGCCGACATCGCCCCCCTTTTCAGGAGGATACGAAACGGTGGCCTTTGTGATGTGGTAGAGTCTGTCGTTCGATCCCTCCCACCGTCAAAAGTGTGAGTAACCACCTAGCTGTGATCGTGTTCGTGTGGCGTAGGGTCGAACTGACTCGTCTCGTGTTTACCCGTCTCGCGTCCATCTTTCACCACCCTACCTCCATCATCTTACCCCACACCACTCCTCCCCTCTCCCCTCTCACTGTGATCTCTCGCTTCCTACCTTGCCACTCCGACCTTACCGTCTCTCGCTGCGTCACCGCTTGCCATCAGCCTATCCACTCGTCGACGAGTGTTGAATGGCGCCTACGGCATGTCACTGAGGTTGTTCCTGGTTTACAAGACCGCTTGCATTTGATCGTACCCTGTGAGTCTTTGCTTCGACCCTTGATCGATCGATGGATCGATCGTGCTCGCCGGCCCTTGACGACGGGCGAGGCGGGGCTGACGATTCGATCCTCGCCTACACTCTCCAGACAGCAGCCTACACTGCGTTCCCGAATCGACCGATCTCACCTGCTCGGATCGAAGGAGGTTCACGGTACCCCTAACATCAGTGAGTAGCATGTACCCTGATCCTATGGTACCAGGTAGCTTACTTCCGGTGTACGCGTCAACCTCCAGCTGCACACGGTCTTCAAGCCATCTCCACCTCGGTCGACAAGGTCCCCTTCTGTTTCTGTTAATTTCGAATTGGTTACACCTCGGAACTCTATGTTGGCGGTGCTAAGTGGCAGGCGACTGGTCTTTGTTTAGCCTAGCCAGATCCAACTCCTACATTGAGCCTCCCTCGTGAACCCTTTTCGTGTTTTGTAGTTTTTGAGTGCACGTATCGAGATGCGCATGCACCACGGATTTGAAATCGTCCTCCTCCCTCCCTCCTCCCTCTTTCTTCTCCCTCAACGTCCAGCCCACCCTCCGTTCCAAAACAAAGCATGTCCTCTTCTGACACCGAGGGTTCTCTGATCGTCGCTATCCCCAATGTGCAACTCGCGCATCTCTCCGGCGGTGTCTCGACACCCTTAGCGACAGGAACGCTCCAACTCGTCAACGTCATTGTCGCCTCCCCCGCCTCCGCCTCCGCCTCCGCCTCCGCCGCCACGTCGAGCTCCGTCCTCCTGATGACGTTGCAGGTCCAGGGTGAGACCGAACCTATTTTCGAACTCGTGCTTGCTCCTGAATCACGTATCCTTAGCGAGGGCCCATCGTCCTACATCGTACCCAACTACCAACCCGGTGCTTCCAAGAGCGAACAAGAAAGCTCCGGTTCGATCAAGGTCACGCTCCCTTCGACGATCGATACCGTTTCACGCGAAACGTTCGAACATGTCTTGTGGGGGATGACGAGCTTTGCCTCCAGCTCTTCCGCTCCATCAGGAGGAGCTCACCCTCCCGCGTATTCACCTTCCAATTACGGCACTGCCCCTTCGTCACCGACGCTCGGAGCGACGACCATCACCCCTTCGACGAACGACCTGCGCTCGCAATTGGTGCTCGTCGATTCGAACGGCAACCTCGTCGGCACCTTGGCGGACAACGTCTCCCTACACGAAGACGCTTCCCTCGCACAAGAGCAACAAGGAGAGAACGAGAAGGAACCCGTCATCGTCGAGGCTTCGGCTTTGACTTCGTCATCCGGTACAAGTTCAGGAGCAACGACGCCGACCTCGGGTGGGGGTCATCATTTCGATTTCTCCGTTCGACCACTTTCGGCCTTCAACCAAACGCCGAACCCGAGCAACTCGACCATCATCACCTGGGGTGATTATCTCTCCCATGGCATCATCGTAGGAGGTGATTTGGTCTCACGTACGCTCGAATACGGCGCCGACACCCTCGTTTCCAGACGCGCGCCGACGAGCAAACCTTTGGTCTTTAGCGAGACGACCAAGAATCGAATGGGGCAGACGACCGCGTACAGTGGGCAAGTCGTCAAAGTGTCGAACAAGGCGGCCAAGATGGTTGGTGATGCGGCGGCCAGAGTCGGGGATAGGATCGGGAAAGCCACGGGGATTCAGAGTAAGGATAAACCCCACGCGAACTGATGGGACCGTTGAGGGCTGATCACGCTTCCCACCTCAATTATATTCTCACCAGCTCAACCCTCCGGTAAAGCTCCCAAAGGTCTCAAAGGTCTCGTCAACAAATCCTTGATCGCCTTCAACACCGTCCTCGACGCGACCGAGACCACCGCCAAGCAACTCCTCGTGAGCGGCGGGCAATCCTCGACCAAGGTCATTCACCACACCTTGGGTAACGACGCGGCGCACGTTTCGGCTCATGTGGGAGCGGGGGCGCAGAACGTTTTCTTGGTTTATTTGGATGCGAGAGGCGTAAGTAGGAGGGCGTTGATGAAAGGAGTTGGCAAGGGGGCGTTGAGGTGCAAGATGCAGGACGGAAGGGAGGTCGTTTTGACAGATGATAAAGGTCAGGCACCGAACGCGGAGCTGGGAATGTCGCCGTCGCCGCCGACGACTTCGGAGAAAGGGGTTTCGATTAAGCAATGAGGGTTTCCCTGGCGACTTGGCTCTTCGGACCCACACGGAGAACCGACTCGACTTGTTGAAGTGGTCTGTAATGCGAGCGTTGTAAAATTGAAGCGAGCTGTAGTCCGGCAAAAGGCATGATGACCTCGCCCGGGCAAGACTGCGACATGGTAGAAGATCTGACTGATGCGAGTATGCGAATGCAAGCAAAATCACTGAACGCTAAAAACACAACAAATCTACGTGAAACGTAGATGTACCGGATCCGAAAGTGGAGACGAGCCCCTACCAGACAAGCTCCCACGTAGAGGATCAAGCCTTCTGACCCGGTTGATCGTCCCGATGGGTCGGACAGAACGTCCCCGGTCGTTCCCAGTACTCTTCGATGCAGTCCGAATGCATGACGCAGTAGCACGAGAGGCGGACAAGGTCTTCGCCGATCTCAAAGTCTTCGAGACAGATGATGCATTCTTGGGGTTGCTTCGTCGTTGAATCGCGGGGTATCGTTTCGGAGGTAGCGGCGAAAACTAAAGGATGTAACAAACTTGTGTCAATATCGATAGATAGAGTATAGCTTCATGATGAGAAGGAGGTGACTCACTCGCGTGTTCGCGGCCCAAACCCTTGAGCGCAGGCCCACCGTCGCAGCAAGCTTGAACATGCTGTTCCCGAGCCACCGTCGACATGGACGAGGCAAATGCTTCATCACAGATCGGACACGACCCCATCGTCGTTCCCTCGGTCGTCCCCAGACATGTCGAGAGGTGTTCAGCCATGGCCTCACCGTCATCGGGTAAAACGGTGTGACAAATGCCGCATTCGATCCAGCCCTCCTCTTGCTGGACGGGTGGATCATTATGGTCGATCGGCCGAGCACGCACGCGGTCGGCAGCGACAGCAGGAGCATTGTCAGGGACAACGTTGCCGGCCGGAACCTGCGCGGGTTGAGGAGCCTGAGCAGGGGCGGCGGGTGGTGGAGAAGGCGCTCGCCGCTGTTCCGCTCGACCACGGCGAGCTCGGTGGTGCTGCAACTGGGCCTCGCCCAGTCGAGCTCGTTCTATATCCTCGACCGCGCGACGTAGCTCGGCCATCTCCCGTCTCGCTTGTACCTGATCTTGTTTCAGATCATGCTCCAATTCGGCCTTCATCGTAGACCGGATCATCTCGCGCTCCTCGAGGGCCTCCGCCCCCACTTCTCGATCTTGTTGCCGTTCCCGCTGCATGTTACGGAACACGATGCCCGGTATCTGTTTCGATATGTCGAACTCGGCATGGTCCTGCAGCAGGTCGTACATGCACGCGAACCAGAGATTCCCCGGGTTGGATCTTTGGCGGGACAGACACTCACTCCATCGTTCTCCATCGACTCGCGACATTTCGGTTCGCTCCAAGTACTCTGTCGTGCGACTGTGCACAAATGAACGATAAAGTCGCCAATTAATCAGCGCACAGTGATTGCACAACCCGATTGCGGTCTTGTCCCGTCGCGTCGCACAGGAACTGCACGAGGCGCTCCCGTACGCAAGATACGCCGGGAGCACGCCTCGAGCGCCCCAGCGAGCGAGCGAGCGACGGGGGCCCAACGACGTACGCCTTGATCCTCCTCTTGACACTTTCGGCGATCTTGTGACAGGGGATCGTCCCACTGACGAAGGTGTTTTCCAGCACGATCCCCAGCACTGTGGCTTCGTTCGTCCTCGACCTTGACCAATTCGGTCGCAAACTGAACAGGCGTTGCGCGTCCTCGACGTCGATCACGCCGCTTTGGCAAATCGTGTACATGAGATGGTCTTCGTAATGCGGGTTGCGGGCCCATCGAATGGTATTCCCATGGAGCGGTATGATCTGCGAGAGCTCGATGGCTTTGGCTTGTAGTTGAGCGGCGTTCATCGTGCGAGAGGTGCGGGGTCGTACGGGTGTGGGCGAGCAGTTCGTGACGCGAGGGACGTGGTGACCAGGCGCCTAGACGGAGTTACACATAGACTTGCTCCAACTTATCGATGGTTGGTCCTCGACCCTGCGAGCGGTGAGAAAGCTTGAAGGGCGATCGGCAATGAGTAAGCGAGGGTCGAGAAGGAAGAGGAGAGACCGCGTTGGCCAGCGCCGCCCGGACGCGCGCCCGTCCAGTCGCATAACACGAAGTGACGCGTCGAGCCACGTGATGCGAATCTTTCGCACGGCTAACGATAAACTCTTCCGCAGGGCTAACAATCAACTCTTCCGCAGGGTTAAACAATAAATGGCACGGAAGCTTTTTGTGGCATGCAGGATACAGTTGGGTAAAGACCCATCTTACTCAAGCTGGCTCCTGTCCTATCAGGTCACCACCGTGACCTTCCCTAGCGTGACTCCCGCTTCGGAAAAGATTTTCAGGCCTGCTCAAAGGTATTCTTTATCAGCTCTTACCCTCTCTGACACCCCGACGAGTCCACCAACCCACTCACGCCTCAATCATGACTTTCAACACCCCTGCGACCGTATTGCCCTCCGCACCACCCTTTCCATCAGGCACACTACACATCCCAAGCATCGACTTGATCTCCTCCGCGGTCGAAGCCGTCACCGCCGTCGCTCCCCTGCTCTGCGTCTTACTCCCAGTCGCGTCGATACCGGTCCATAATGTCGGGGTCAGACAAACGACGAGATTGTAAGCGTACATCTTGTTGTGGGCTTTGTTAGCTTCGATGGCGCGGAGAATGTCGACGAGTTGTCCGAGCAGGTTTCGTTCTGGCGCTGGAAGGGAGGGGAGCATATTCGTTCGCAGGTAGACTTCCGCTTCCGAACGCGGGAGTGGGCAGGAGATTATGGTACTTTCTAGGGAGAATGGGAAGATTGGTGTCGGTAAGGAGCAAAGGTAGAGCTTCAGGAGAGACGCAGCGAGGTGAGGTGCGTCGGGGTAGGTAGGTAGAGTAAGAGTGTGGCCTGAAGAGAGTAATAAGATTCAGCATCGGCTAGGCAGATGGAGAATGGAGTGGGGTCATTCGCATACCTCGATCGTAGGCAGCTTGCAAGATGGCCACCATCATTGCGCTCGGACTCTTTCGAAAAATACCCGTCGATTCGGATCCTACAATAAAACGTACGCTGGAGAATATCAGCCCACGCTCTCGGGCCTTGTACCAAGCGTACCTACCTTGCGTTCGCAATACCTCGAAGCAGTCGACCACGCAAGACGGTGGCTCTTTATCACCTTCAGCTCCCATTATCTGGGGGACACGGTCATCCTCGATTTAGTCCTGGCCGCATTCAACAATTCTCGAGGAAGAGACTCGCCTCGGAGAGAGGTACGCCAAACTGCTTCGAGGAAGTCCGATCCAAGGAAGCAGCAAGGTCGCCATGACTTTCATGTCGCGCGTTTGCTCTGTGTCAAGGACGTGGTCTCAGCCCTGGACTTTAACAAAAAGGCAGACTTTGGAGCAGACTGACGCATACACCTCTGGCGGAAATTCGACGCTGTAAGCCTCAGCAACGTTGGGTCTCAGCTGTGGACGTGTCTAGCTCCGAGGCCTCGGGCGAGGCTCACCCCAAGAAAATCGCACTGCCCACTTCTTTGGATAGAGCGCCCAAGGTCGCACAATGCACCATCTTCCTCGTCGCCTTGGCTTTGCCTGACAATAACCGACTCGTGAACAGCGCCAAGAGTGCCTGTGGGTTCTCGTGGAACGAACCCGTTAGTCCGATCCACTGCGGTCACTCGGTGGTCTCGGGACTGACCCTTAGTGGCCATCCTCCGCCGACGACCCAGACCTTGAGGACATTCTTGCGCGTCTCTCGGCTCAAGTTCAGAAACAAAGAGATGAGTCTTGCTGTTGGCGGTGGATTCGGAACTGGTGAGGCTAAGAGGATCTGCACGCAAGGTGGAGTGGGGAAACGATTGGGCAGGTTTTTCTAATTCGCCTCTTGCTCACTTGGACACGCACCAGTGAGTAAGGCCCGTTCCGAGCGTATGCTTCAAGTCGATTTGTGAGAGCTTCAAGGATGGTGTCATATCCTGGTGAAGTAGCTGAAGGGAGGTAGCAGGCTGCGAGGACCAGGAGAGGTGTCTTCGCCCCACTGCCAGTGGACCCGGAACCGGATGTGCGACAAGTGACCTGGAGAGCGGAAAGAAGCGGGCTAAGTAGAGCAGCCTTCACTTCCAGGAAGAGGGGAAGGAGAGGAGCCCACGCGGTAGAGCAGTGTTTCGAGGAGTGGATCATCCTCGGCCTGGTAGCTTGAACCACCCCCACTTGTCGCGAGCTCGGCCATCGCTCTGGCTTTCCGGTCCCCTTGGCTCAGACCGGCATGGTCGGACAGGTTCTTCCATTCTTGAGGCAAGGCAGCTCGTTGTGCGTTGCTGGCCGCAGTGGCTGCAGTACTAGTCGATCGAATAGGGGCCGTCGTCGAGGAGCCGAGCGTGGAGGAGGCGGTCCAAGCGAGGGTGCTCGTCGCCTGTGTCCACGTGGAGGAGATGGTGCTGAACCAGCTGGCTCTGGTCGATGTTGTCGCATGTGTGGATGTAGATCTTGCGGGGGACCGGGAGCGTGACCGGGAACGTGTACGTGAAGATGACGGTGAAGGCTGCAGTAGCTGTGGTGATGATGGCTGTGCAGCAATGTCGGTCTTGCGTTCTAGTTGCGCGATTTGATTGTGGTCCGATGTAGGCCGGGACGTTGACGGGATGGGCTCTGACATGGCGCGTGGGGGGTGGGGGGGGGGGGGGGGGGGGGGGGCGCGACTGCGGTGCGACGAGAAGCGAAGCCGCCCAAAAGTGGGGGGAACCACGGGTACACCCGCCAGCCCCAAAGCGCACGGACCCCCTCCCGAGGCTCAGTCCCGGCGAGCCATCCTCGTGCAGCTCTCCTCGACACTTTACGCTCTCGACGTCCTCAGCGCAGTCAGAGGAGACACATACATCAACACGCCCGTCTCAGGTCATGGTCCGTTTCAAGCACCGCTACCTGCTCGTACACCTCCTGTTCCCCTCGCTCGCCCCCGAAGACCCAACCCCGCCGCTGCACGACTCGGACTTGATCAAGGTCTTGCGAGAGTCGTTGTTGGTCAACTTTGGCGATTTAGGGGCGGGCACGGTCGGTGGATTGTTTAGTAGTGAGTTCACGCGCGACGGGTGTCGCAGAGCGTCTGCCCTCCGTGCCCGGGTCGGCCTTCGCAATCACTCTCATCTGCTCCTCGCTCGTCTCGCGTAGAAGCGTTCACCGAGATCTGGACCCAAGCTGATTCTTCTTTCTTTGGTGTCCAACAGTCAAATACTTTTCGCCCGCGACGCGCATGCTCATCCTCCGCGTCGCGAGGGAACACGCCCAGACGCTGTGGTGTGCTCTGACTCTGTTGCGTCGCTTAGGGGGCCAGACCGTGATCGCTAGGGTGTTGCACGTCAGCGGTGAGTGAATCGTGTAGCCCTACTGGCTTCGGCTGGGGGCTCTTCCGATCTCTGATGTCGTTTGTGCGGGGCGCCGAACAAAGGTACGATCCGGAAAACCCAACTCTCGGCCATTTCGTACGACCGACTGTTGATTCTCGAATCGGCTGGGCGTCTCCGGCGCAAAGGGAACGACAAGGATGCAGACGAGATTGAAGCGCAGGTTGGGAAAGATGAAGAGAAGATCCTAGAGATGGACGCTTGAGGCCCCGAGGACCAGACGAAAGTTTTGTCGAGGGCCTAGCGGGCTAGCGCGGTGCTGCTAGTGTTGTCCGCAAAATGCAAAATGTTGTTGTACACGTATTTTCCAATCATTCTGGGCACTCGTAATCACTGAGCTCGGGATCGCTCCAGAATAACTCGGTAGGGCTCGATCAACTCTCGAGTTCGGCTAGTGCGCAAATTCGGGGCCCCACTTGCATCTTTGACCTTGCGCGGATGGTCCTCGCTTCTTCTCTGTCTCTCAGCGCCGTACCCGAACACACGCACACACACACACACACACACCCTCCCCATCTACCATCCTCTTGCCTAGATGGTCTCCTACACGTTTATCGACCCTTCAGAGGTAGCCCAACTGTACCATTCGGGCCTCGAACCAGGGCGCGATTTCCAAGTCGTGGATGTGAGGGATGAGGATCGGATAGGGGGACATCTGTACGTACTGCACCTGCTCAACCCAAGATATGGTGGCTTCAGGTGCGAATTTGGGTCGAGATAGGCTCAGCTGTGGCGTCGATCTACGTCGGACAGCAGGCGTATGACTAATTCGCTGTTTCGTGTCGACCGTCCAGACCAGGATCGATGCGAGCACCCTCCGAACAACGTACCTTGCAATCCGTCCAAGACCTCGTGGTCAAGCTGGAAGGAGGTTAGTGGATCCCACACCGCAACGATGGGGTCATTCCAGCCCGCCCTCAGAAGAACGAAGACGGGGCTGACAAGTCGACTTGTTCCTGATTCGTAGTTCCAAAGGTCATCTTTCATTGCACCCTGAGTCGTACGTCTTCGAACTCTGACCTTTGCTCCTATATCCCCACCGATTTATACTTGCCCAACTTCTGACTCTCCTGCTTCCATCCCGCGGGGAACCGAAATGCCCCGGCGAACAGAAATCCGAGGCCCCAAAGCCGCCTCTCTCTACTGCACGGCACTGAACGAACGACACGACGCACTTGAACTCGGATCCGCAACATCAGATTCGACCATCAAAAACTCTGGCAATCCCACACCAGCACCTTCAACTAAGGACTCGACGAACACACGGGCCGCTCAAAACTTTTCCCCGAATCCTTTCGAGTTGAACGCATCCGCTTCGGAGCAGAACCGATCACAGCAAGTATTGGTGTTAAGGGGTGGTTTCGGCGAGTGGCAGAGGATGTACAAGGTTCGTCTTGACTGTTTGGACTCGGGGAAATCGCTCGCAAGCTGATGAACTTTCTCGATTCCAATGCAGGATGATCCGAAATTGGTCGAAGGCTTCGATCCTTCGATTTGGGTAGAGGGGGAAGATTACTAGATCCCGCCGCTGGTGGAAAACCCTACTGAGCACCTATCCCATATTCGATGCGTGGGAATGATTTCCGGGTCGTACCCAGCAGCAACGCTCTCTTCCAGGCAGCACGAGGCAGTGAACCAGCCGACACAAACTCGGTGGATCACGACACTGGGATTGCACACGGCGCATTCGTTATAGGTGGTCGTTAAGAACAAAATCCAGGGCATAAAAATAAAACTCGACGTCATGGAAGTCGGGAGTCTCGTCACAAAGAGAGGTCGTTAAACAGAACGGATGCTGAGATCAAGAAGCGAAAAGCGAGAAGCCGCCGGAGCACCTGGCTGCCGGGAGGGGTGGTGACTGAAGTTTCGCACTGGGCGTCTCCAAGGTAGTTGACGATGATCATCTAGATCGAACGTTCGAGGTTGACGTAAACGTGTGGCTTCAGGGGTTGGATAGCTGCTCGGCGGACCTTGGATCCGGCCTTGGGTACGACCATGGAGGAGCGAGCCCGCATGATCTTGACGGGATACGCTCGAGATGCCTTGGTCGTCGTCCTGTTCTGATCGGTGGGTGAGTCGGGAGTCTGAGCTACGGCGGGCGAGCTGATTCGGGCTTTAGGGTTGGGGGTGATGATCCTCGAACGCTTGGCGAGGCGCGCGGCGGCTTGGTCTTCTTCCGATTCGCCGACGATCTCGGAATCGTCCTCTTCTTCATCCTGACCGACCATCAACCCACCCCGCTTTCTGATATGCTTGGGGTTGGACCTAGGCGTGAAAGCCTTGCCGAACGAAATTGCCTCTACACTACCCTTCGGCTCCGTAATAGCCCTTGCCGTAGGCATCGACGAACCACCCACGACCGATCGAACGAGTTTAGCGAAACGATAAGGCTCCGCATCGAGCATCTCTCGGTTGTCCTCGTAGTCGTCTTCCGCATCTTGGAGTGAACGACGATGAGGCGCGTTCTTCTTGGGGTTGGGGATAGTGCTCCTCTTTACCGAAGGCATGGTCGAGTCGACGGTGCTGCGCACGACGACGACGTTGTTCAGACGCTTGATGCCGATCGAGCGGCGGGTGGGGAGCGCTGTTGGATGAAAAGATGGTTCAGGGTCGATTCGCCTAAATAGGTTGGAGGGACTGGGAAGGATGGAGAGCTGACCTGATACGTTTGAAATGAGGATCGAAGATGTGGCGATCAACGCCAGCAAAGGAGCGGTCAAAGGGCAAAGCATCGTGAGTTCTTTGAGCTGGGCGGTGAGGGGCAGGAGGGGGGGTGCGCGGGCTGAGACAAGGGGGTGAGAGTAGCAAGTGGTGAGAAAGAAGACAAGAGGCGATTCTCATCTCTCGACACAAGGGGTGATTACATCATCGCCTTCGACTCGACGGAGTAGTCTATCTCTCACGTAGAGCGAGTTGGCGCGTCCGTTCGGTAGGAAGACTCTGGTGCAGATTTTGCTCGAACGGAGGGGAAGGCGGGTTGGGTCACTGCGCGCGCGCGCGAGAGGGCGGGCCGCGACGCGCATGAGCGGAAAGATGGCTGGCCGGCGCGCTTTCCCGAGAAGTGGGGTCCGAGCGCATCCGAGCCTTGGCACCGTCTTCGATGGGTAAGTGATAGTCTGGAAGGAAGCCTCTCTTCATGGGGAATGGGTCAGGAAGCCCAGAGCGCCTCCGCCGTGCGCCGCGCCTGCGGCGCGCCCGTTGTGAAACCCATCATTCTAGTCTTCGTAGCTTAGACTTTGACCTTCTCTTGCATTAAAATCTCATCTCATCTCATCTCATCTCCTCCCTTCCGTTGAGAATCGTGTGCAGTGCCGTCAGAACCTTCTGCTCCAAGTGGCGATTGCGACAGGCCGCGCTGCAGCGTTTCCCAACCGACCCAAAAACAACACAAAAACAAACCCCATTCACCGCACAAACCACCCACCACGACCTAATTCTGCCTATACTTTGGCTCCACCCCCGAACCCACAAACCCATCCTCACCCTTCCCGATCACCGTGGCTCCTTCGACGGACCCACAACAAACGCCTCGATCGCCTTCCACGTCGCGATCGGACACGTCCACCACCCGCCGAGTTTCACAACGCTTGGCCCGACACCCCGTACCCACTCCATCGTCCCGAAGTAGTCCTCAACCTCGGGACTCATCCCCAAACCCGTCACCCGCCTCTTCAACCGCATCCTCACCATCGCCCTCCCCCCGCCCCCTTCCTGCTTCTACAACACTCCCTCCGTCGTTTACACCGACACCACCCGCGCTTCGTCCTCGCACCGCGAGACTTACCTTGTCCTTTGGCAACGTAGGACCCTCACCCTCTGACCGTATACAGAAACCCCCTTACAACTTTACTCCTCCGTTAGCCACAACTTCAACAGCACCTCCCTCACGAACAGCGCTCACTCTACCGCCCACCAACTCCGCGCAGGGCACGGCCCCCCTCCCCTCTCCTCCCCCTCCCCGCCCTTCTCCCCCCACGACCTCCTCCCCAACCTCCTCGGGCTCAACGACATCTACAATCCGCCAAACCCCGCCCCACCTACAACTCCAACAGGCGAATCGCCTTCCGACCCACGACCAGGCACGTGCACCTCGTGCTTCTCCCGTGCCGCGACTCTCTACCCAGACAGTTGCCCTACCTTCTACCCTGATCGTAGCCCCGTTACCCACACCTGGTACCCTCCTCGTGCAGCGGCCCCCTCCCCAACCAACGACTTGGACCCCGTGCTTCCTTGCAATGGCAGACCACGTTACCCAGATGCGAGCGGACTACAATGCCATTGAGGATCTGTCAGATGAAGCGGCCCTCCGACCTCTTGCGATTCTGTCGATCACCTTGGCGCGCCTATTGATTGGAGCCAATGTGGTCGAAGAAGATCTGGAAGCGGCTAACGCAGCCAAGGAGGCGGCGACCCGGGCGCTTCGGGACAAGAGTACCGACCAGGTGACTGAGCTCAGGATCAACTACGCTCAGTTAATGGGCATAGCCATGGGACTCCCTCTGCAGCGCAACGCACCCAACGCACCAGTTCGACCGGGTGGCACCGACCCCACGACACTTTGGCGCCAGCAGACCCGAGTGGATGTGGCTCGCAACCAGGGTTTGAGCAAACTCGGAGCTGACTCCTCGGACGGACTCGACACACTGGTCAAGCTGATGGAGATGTGGCATGTTAGCACAGACTCATCCTTGTTCGAACCGAAAACGATTCCCGACTTCCCGGAGCCCCTCAACGTCATGGCAATGTTCAAGTTGAAGGTAGCAAGTGGCGCCAATGAGCGTGCCAGGGGGCTACTCGAACAGTTGATTGCTTGCAACCCTGATTGGGGATGGGCTGATTTCGTTGCATGGGCAGAGAGCACGACCACCACCCCAATCCAGCGTACCAACAGGGATATAGCCGCCTCCATCAGTGAGATTTCCTTCGACTGGTGGGCAAAGCACACAGCACCGGACGGTCGACAAAGCATGCCTGCCATCGAATTCAGCCGAACCATGCGCAATGCTTGCACTGACGCCCTTAGTTCCCCCCACAGCGAGCTGGTCGCGTCGGCGATCCTCGACAAGGTTGACGTCTCTCTCCGCCACTTACTGGGACCCAACATGGCCCGGGTGACGAACGTGTTGGATCTCTGCAAAATGATTGAGAGCATACCTCGGGACAGCTACCAATCGCACCTTGCGCAGCACGAGCGGATCGCGGGCCTGGCCACACGAGCTGATATCCGTAAGGAGATGACGTCAGGAGCCGGCAGAGCGACGGCCGCCGACCGAGGACACTCGGGAACCCAGCAACAGGGGCGCTCGCCGTGGGCCTTCGACGGGTTCCGCTCAGCGCCGGATCCGGCACCCAAATCGCATGCCTCGCTCCCCGCAGGATTACAAGGATCGTACTTCACGTCGGAGGACTCGCGCAAGCCAGAGCACCTTCTAGGTATCTCCTACTCACGATTTGATGATACGTCATCCGGAAGGCGTGATTTCGCGCTCGCATGCACGGCGTACATGAAGCAGAACCCGCCAACGACAACGAAACCGAACTCCTCGGCCTTTCCCTTGACGCCGGGAACGCAGGCCCCGGGCGCATTCCGTTCGTGTGACAAATGTGGGAAGGAAGGCCACATCTCTCGTAATTGTTCAGGTTCGCCGGTCAACGAAGTTGAGCGCCGCTTGCGCAGCCTCGTGCGAGCCGACTCCGTCCTCAACCGGGGACCCCGCAACGCCCAACGCACCCGAATGGTGGCATTGCTGGCAGAGGATGACCAACTCGACATGATTGACTTGTACGAGACGTTGGCCCAGCTCCCATCGACCGACAACTTGGAGGATCAGGATTTTGTGGACGCCTAGGTAGACGGGATCAACTACCTAGGCCCGAACCTCAAGATCATCCCCCACCGAGACTGTTGGCCACCATGGTTGTTGAAGGAAACCCTGGTGGCAGACAACTCGATCTGCTCAATAACCTACGGATCAAAGACGCCCATCACATCACCAATGGTGTGCCCAGCCCCGTCCCCCCAGAGCGAATGACAACACCTTCCCCGGTTCCCCTTGATCCTCTTGTCTCCTTAATCCCCATAGTGGTTGATTATCTGCAATGGAAAGAACGCGCGTGCGTACTTGAGTCGGATAGAGACAGATCCAAGAGCAAGGACCCAGGGACAGCTGGAGAGTCAAGTGAAGCGCTGCTACTTCTGGGAGAGCAGGTGGAAGAGACATTGACCCCCTATGACCCTCCTCGCCCGTTCTCCGAATCACCGGAGCCTCCGGAGGAGAGCGACCCCCCGCCGGAGGAGAGCTCCTCCCCGCTTCCCAAGCCATTGGAACTGGTTCCTACCACGGAGCAACCAGAAGATGACCACCCCTTGGTTGCAATCCCGCACGACAACAAGAGCCCATGCATAGGCACAGCGGAAACACCCGATGACAGGCTGGCCTTCCAGGATCTCGACAACGATATGGACGACGCATGTCTACACGAGCTCCAACAAGCCCAGCCGCTTGAAGCCCACCCCGAATCTGAACAATCAACAAACGTGACAAGGCCAAAACCCCCGAGACCGGAGCGCAGACGGCCAGTGCTCAAAGTGCTCAAGCAACGGCGCGAACTGACCTGGCCCCCAGACAAGGGCAAGACGACCTTGGAGGACACGGTTGCCGCAGCGCTTCGAGGCCGTCTGTTCAAATACCCTGCACACGTGGGGGCCCCAGGTAGTGACGATACATCCCACCAACACTTGCTCGCCATCGTGGATGACGGGGCGGAAGCAATTGTCCTAAGCTCCGAATGGTTCGAACAGATGGGAGATGCTGCTCCGAATGGTTCGAACAGATGGGAGATGCTCTGGGGCTCACTGTGCGCACAAAACCCGGGGAGGACAGGGCCTTCACAATGGCGAATTGCTCTCGTCACAAGCTTCTTGGTGACGTTGATATTACAATCTCTATGGGGAACTCTACGGCGACTGTTACGGCACAACTCATGCCTTCAGGGGGCCTATACGACATGATATTAGGCAAACCGTGGAAATCAGCGATCAACGCGATTCACTTTTCCACCCTCGACTTGATCATGTACCCCATCAAGAACAGCCTCCGATACGGGAAACTATGGAATCGTAACCCCCTAGTGACGCCGCGTTTCACTAACGTCCCAGATGATCCGCGAGACGTGGTCACAATGCTCGAGGAGCATTGGCTCCGGTCAGAGCTGAGCAAATTGACACCACCGTCCGCCCCTGACCGCGACGAATGGGTCGCGGAGACATCGAGGCGCATTCTGTTAGTTCATCGCGAGAACGAAGAGATAGACCCCAACTGTGACCTCTCCAATTTCTGGACGGACGTCGAACGCGATGCAAACGTGGGTGATTCCTGGGAAGAAGCAGCCCAACACCGCCTCGACAACCTGGCAACAGCATTCCCGGGACTGGCTACGACACAGGTGTCTAGATCATCCCCCCTCGATGCACGCAGAGACGAGCTCCGGCGCATAGCATTTGTAGGCGATGCGACCGGAACCAATTTGACAACGGAAGAACGCGAGACAATTTTGTCGCTGCTTTGCGAATATGTTGATGTGTTTGCATTTTGCTTGGAGGACGTCACAGTGACACCAACTATCAAACACCAAATTCCCCTCTTACCCGGCCACCACCGCACAAACCCTGGTTGGGTTTCGACCATCAACTCACCCGATCAACGCAAGTTTCCTTATGAGCAAGTTGACAAAATGCTGGCCGCTGGAATTATCCGGGAAGTTGACAGGAATGACGTCACATGGTGGGCAAACTCCCGTGTCGTCCCAAAGAAGGATTTGACAGCGGTCTCAAAGTCCAAAGCTGAGCTCAAGGAGACGCTTGAGGAAGCAGTCGCAAGATCACTCTCGGACAGGGGCGGATGGGCAGAACAAAAGCTGCACGAGTTCCCCCACGACAAAGCGAAAGCGCCAAAGTTTCGATTGGTTCATGCTTACCTCCAGGTTAACGACGCAACCGCGAATACAGCGTTCCCTATCGGCGACCTCGACGCGATGACGGAGAGGCTCGCGGGAAAATCGTTCATCACATGCCTCGACATGCATTCAGGCTATTTTGCAATAGGCATGGACGAAGAGGATGTGTTGAAAACCACCTTCCGTGTCGAAGGCCGCGGGTATTTTGCGTACAATGTCATGCCCTTCGGTCTGAAGGGTGCCCCCGCGACATTCTGCGAACTCATTGCCACCGCCTTTGGCCCAGCGATTGGTACCACTATGGAAGCCTGGATGGACGATCTCGCAACCTCAACCAACACCTTGGACGAACAACTGGAAAGGATTCGGTTCATACTGGACACTTGCCGAGAGCACAAGCTATCCCTCAACCCCGCGAAATGCACGTTTGCGCAGTCTTCGGCCGTATGGTGCGGATCCCACCTCTCCGCCAAAGGCAGAGAACCTGACAAGGCGAAGGTACAAGCAGTCATCGACTGGCCCAAACCGAATACACCTTGGGAGGTCTCGAGTTTCCTCAATTTTGCGGGTTACTACCGTAAACTCATCAAGGGTTTCGCGGCGATCTCCGAGCCCCTTTCGGCACTCACATGTGGTGTCCGAGTGGAACAATCTGCCCGCCGGAAGGACGGCTCGACCGCGAGAGGGGCTTACAAGAGGGCAATGAAAACTCGACCTATGGACTGGAAATGGGGACCAGAGCAAGAAGGGGCGTTCTCGGCAATCAAAAGGGCGTTATCAACATTCTGTCAATATATTGCTGTTTCATCCCACTGGTATTCCCGATTATGATTAGTTACTAGTTGTTGATATTAGACGCCTCGCGCGTCTCGAGCCAGCCTCGCGCGCGCTCCCTTAGCGCTTATCTTCTTTCTCCAACTATCTTTACTATCATCATCGGCTCTCGTACTTACGTACTTCGTTCCTCGGCTTCAGCTCGTGAAACGTTCCCCATCTTGCGGTCGCCAGACTGGAACCAGCCCTTCATTATTGAGACGGACGCCAGCAAGAAAGGGATGGGCGCCACTGTCACAACGCTTCACGTACGCCCATTCAGGAACTGGAGAAATGGTGACTAGGACCCACCCAATCGCATTTGCCTCGAGGGCAACATCGGCAGCTGAGAAAGCGTACCCAGCGTTTCTGCTCGAGCTAGCATGTCTCAAGTGGGCAACGGACAAGTATGAGAAGTACCTCTTTGGCAACCAGAATAAGAGACTGACGAGCGTGTAATCCAACCGTCAGTTAATTGCAGATGATAGTAGCCGTAGTGCTAAATGTACGTACCTGACGAGCGTGTAATCCAACCGTGGAGAGAAGACAGCGGTTGGTGCGCATCGCCAGGCTTCACTAAACAAACGCGCGCCTCTAATCAAATAGCCAATAGCCGCCTTCCTGCTAATCCTCATTCACAACACACCAACTACCAGGTCGAGATTGTCACGGATTGCATTGCGTTGGCGGGCATTCTGTCCAACGAAAAGGTGAACCATAATCACGTCCGGTGGAGGGAAAGTATCCTCGCATTGGATATTGTCAAGTTCACGCACCAACCCGGGAAACAGCATAATGCTTGTGATGAGCTGTCTCGAGTCGTGGAGCACCTCGAATCATCTGAGTCAATATCTCCGGAGTCCAAGCTACCTATCGATTGGGACGAATATATCCAGAGTACAGGACCACGCCAGATGCTTCTTCTGGCGGAAGCGACAGCTCGGGCGGAACAGGGTAACGACTTGGCTACGCCCTTGTTCCCAACTCAGCCGGATGACGGGCTGGCGGACCAAGTCATGTTCCTTGAACAGGCAACAGCATTGACCGCACTGGACGCCCGATACAAGGACGACCCCCTGTTTCAACCATTGGTGACATTCTTGACAACATGCCAATTCCCCACCAGGGCATCACACTCGGAGAAGGGCCGCCTCCGCCAGCTGGCTAGGCGCTACGCACTGCGGGCCCCTGATGTCCTGCTCTTCAAGCAAGGTGAAAAGACCAGGGAGTGCATCCCCCTCCATGAACGACAGCAGTTGATTGAAGACACGCATACAGCGCTGAACCACGCAGGCAGAGATCTAATGGTGGTACACCTCTCTGAACGGTTTTACTGGCCCGGCATGGCACAATCGGTCGCTCCAGTAATTGTCACTTGCGAACGATGCCAACAATTCGGGAAACGAGTCATCCGGGCCAAGTTATGGCCGATCACGGTGCTAGCACCAATGGACCTTCTGGCAATGGATTACTTCTCCTTACCCGTGAGCCCCAACAAGTAGAAATCAGTCCTGGTGGTCACAGATCTCTTCTCTCGCTATGTATGGGCCTTCAAATTCAAAGGAGAAGGCACAGCAAAACGCACCATCGAAGGATTAGTTGCGATCATCAAGACCTTTGGAACGCCACGGATCCTGATGAGCGACGGTGGAACCCATTTCAAGAATGCAAACGTCGAGGCGTTCTGCGCAGACAAGGGCATACTCCGCATCACTACCCCGCCCTATGCACCGCATACCAACGGGGCCGTGGAAGGAGCCAACAAACGCATTCTGCAAGCGATTTCCCGCGCCACAGTTGGATCGGTCGACGCCACTACCTTCTCACCCTGGTGCCAGTCACTTGAAGCGGTGGTGTACGCGATGAACAATAGGATCATCCCTGCCACGGGATATCGACCAGCGGATCTGATGTTCACCTTCGCGAGGTCGATGCCTTCCGAAGGGGCACCCCCTGAAGAGCAAGCAATCGAGATCCTCGCGCACGCGCTCACGTCGTGGGCCGACCTGACACTGAGGGCAGCATGCATGGTCGCGGACGCAGAGGGACGTGTCTCGACTGCGTACCAGACCATGTTGGATTCCCAAGCACGCCGGAAGGAGGCCAAGGACCGCCAACTCCAACGTTGGAACAAAGCCATTCCGAAAGACGAAAGGGACCGCCCATTCAGGAGAGGCGACCTCGTCCTTGTTCATGCCTCTTGGCTTGAGGCAAGTCGAATTGGAGGGAAACTTCAGGCACACTGGCTGGGACCGTACCGTGTGGTGGCTCCTGCTAAACGCACGGACGACGCGGAGAACCCCAGTGACGAGCACGTGACGTTCTGGCTCGAGTCGCTGGGGGACAGCTCGCCGGTAGCCGGACGCTTTCACGCTAACCGGCTCAAGCTATTTCACCCACCGCACGACTTCCCGCTTCCAACGACAGAACCAATGACCCTGGACGAGTTTCATGCAGCACAGCGACCTAAAAGACAACCCCCTCGTACCCAAAATGAAGACCTACCAGGGGATGTCTTGGACGACGACACCGACACCGAGGACTCATGAGGACGGGAATCGAGAGCGCTGCTCAGGCAACGGCGCGAACTGACCTGGCCCCCAGACACTACGTCCAACACAGGTTCTGATCAAAAACTTCACACTCATTATACGACCACAAATTCACCACATCTCCTGGCTATTCTTAGATCTCGTCGCCAGAGCTCCTTTTTCATTTGGGGGGTGTTCTGGGTCAGGAAGCCCAGAGCGCCTCCGCCGTGCGCCGCGCCTGCGGCGCGCCCGTTGTGAAACCCATCATTCTAGTCTTCGTAGCTTAGACTTTGACCTTCTCTTGCATTAAAATCTCATCTCATCTCATCTCCTCCCTTCCGTTGAGAATCGTGTGCAGTGCCGTCAGAACCTTCTGCTCCAGGAACAAAGAAGAACAGAAGCACAAATAGCGCCCTGCAAAACCAAGTAAGGGGCTATCATCTCTCTGCGTTTGAAAAGTTGGCGCGAAACTTGAAGCCGAGGCTCGGGCTGGCACCTCTCAGCGAGCTCCCGCAGATACAGAATGTGAAGCCCCGAGGGCCATGCCGAAAAGGCGCTAGTCCGGCCGTATTTACATGAAACACCAATTGAGTACATACTACGGCTATCTTCCATCGGTCTATACGTTTTCAAATTGCTGTACTCGTATATGCTCGTCAGAAGGCAAAGGAGTCCAGCGCTTCCTCAACCCACTTGCCCCGGCTCTGAATTCGGCACTGGAAAGGCAACGGCGCCGTCGCGAGGCCGTCCGTGAAACGATTCACGTCCACAGGGATCGCATTGCCTTCGTCATCGATTTGAGGTAGGAGCTCGCAGGCCCACATGATGCGGGTGAAGGCGATAAAAAGCGACCGGTCCGCGATGTGCATGCCCGGACAGATGCGACGACCGAATCCGTAGGTGTGATGACCCCTTTCGGAATACTTGGTCCCCACGAGCTCACCGTCGACGACGAAGCGGTCTGGGTTAAACTTGTGGGGTTCCGGATATACCTCCTGTAAAGTTCAAAATTGAACTACATAAGATGAGCAGTCGTACTTAGGTCTAACGTAGGACGTGCTCACAGGATCGAGATGGATCGCCCAGTGGCACGCCAGCACAGCTGTGCCCTTGGGTATAAAGTAACCTGCGGAGGACCACATTCGTGAGTACTACTCCGCTCGAATCCAAGTCCAATGATACTGACCATTGTAAGTATCGTCTTCCATAGTGCAATGCGTGACCCCTCCCGCCGTTACGCTCCTGAAGCGCATGCACTCGCGTAGGATGGCTTGGCAGTACACAAGGTCGTCTTGATCACTGAACTCGGGGAGTCGTTTGCAACCGACGACGCGATCGATCTCTTCTTGGGCTTTGATTAGAACCTCGGGATGCGCTACCATCAGAAGGATGAAGGTTTCCGTCGCATCTGAAGTCGTGATCGAGCCGGCAGCTGAGAGCAGGGAGGGCCAACAGGTCAAGATCGAGGCCGGTCCGGCCTTCTCTTCCACGCTCCAAGACGGGTCACACTAACCATAGATAGAGCCAGCGAGGAACATTCCCTCGATTTCGGAGATTTTGTACTCTTGCCGCAGTCTGATAATATCGGCTGCAAAGGAGACGGGGGCACCCCCTTGCTGGACCTCTCGCTTAACGTCGTCGTAGTGGCGTCTGTACAACGTGTAACTCATGTTGAACAGCTCGTCGCCCCGCTTCTTCCATGGCGCGAGAAATCTCGGTAAGCGGTTCAGACAAGGCCAGATATCGACGATCGAGCTGCCGATGACCGCCAACGGTCCCAAATAACTACCGATCTCGGCCATCTTGGTGATCGCCGGATCGTCCCAACTTTGAGCCCGCTTGTTATATGTAATTTGCATGATGTTTGAGCCAGCGAACCTATTTGTGTTTAGTCTGGATAAACTGTAAGGCCAAATAGAAAGAGAAAACGGTGAATATAACGCTGAGATAGACTTGCCTCTGGGCATGATTCATAAAATTTTGAGGATCCCGAAGCAAGTCCCGGACCAGCTGAGCGCTTTCCATCGATTGGATGCCTTCGTAACAGCTCGAGGCCTTGATGTTGGTGATGGGGTGGAGTAGTCGCCTCTGCTTGCGCCAGCGATCGCCATAAGGCATCAAGACCATCCTATACCCGCGAGAGGCAATGTCGGATATCATGATGCGGTGTGGACGAGACGAGTAGATTCTGGAACGCTTGTCGAGTAAATCCACCGCAGCCGAAGCTCGTCCGAGGATGACGAAAAGCTGAGAGCCGAGCTTGATCGAGTAGATGGGACCTGGGTGCAGTTGGAAATCGGATGGCCGTAGCATCAGCCGTTCGCCCTTTCGGCCTCGATGCGGCGCCAGTCTCCTTTCGGCTGACAGCGCTCGGATTCAGAGAGAGTGTCGGCTTCCCGCCGGACCAGATTCTTGACCCCGAAGTTCGGCCCGAGCGTGATCAAAGGGAGCCTGCCTGAAGGGACTCACCTAGCTCCCTCGTCCACTGTTCCATCTTGAACCACGGCTGGCGTTTCGGAAGCACGAACATGTGACCAAGGAAGGGGAGCGCACCCGCTGGACTCGGTGGAAGGTGCCGATTGGCGACACGCTGTCGCCGTAGAATGAATAGGAGCAGGGCCGTCGCGCAGCCTAGCACGACTAAATCGCTCGTGCCGGAAAAGGCACCAGCCATGACAATGCGAGACACGCAATCGCTCGGTGAAGTGGCGGGGTCTGGGTACTTTGCTAGGGTGCAGACTCCTACCGAGACGTGACAATGATGGGAAGAGGCAGAGGAGCGAGACGGTGCAGCCAGCACAAGTGTCATCCGGATAATCGACCGCGTGTGTTCGGGTTCGGCCGCGCGTTCGGCGCCGCTGGCCCGACAGAGAAATGCTTTCCTCCGCTCCGCAGTCGACCTAGGATTAAAATCACCTCACAATGCAATTTTTTTGTTCCTCGCCCCCCTCGCCCCCTATCGTACAAGATACGGGCAGCTATTTACTGCAAAAATATACAAGCTGGTGCGGGACGAAACCCAGGCTGCACAGTCCAAAAGATTGACGTTGACATCGAGGCTACTTCCTGTTCAAGTGCGAGTTCTATGTACCGGCAAGAATCAGAACTGGGAATGCCAAGTATTTACATGTACTTCTACTTCATGTCGGAAGTGGACCATCGTCGACGAAGAGATCGTGGCCTTGGCTTCGGTACCGGAGTCGGACGATAGCCTGTCAATAAATGAGATCCTCCCGTACGCCACTTGCATGATGGTAGATCCGGCGACTCTGGGAGCACGATCATTAGTTTGATGAACCGTCGTCGGATACACAAAAACTGACCTGCGGGCATGGTTCAGCGAGCAGTCGAGCGTTTGCAATATGTCCTCGACCCGTCGGGCACTTTCAAACGACTGGAGTCGCTCGTACGTGCTTGCCGCCGTGGTCACGGCCGTAGTGCATGAAAGACAGCCTTGCCCACGATAGGCCAGCTCGGACGCCATGTATAGTCGTTGGCGCGATGAATAGATCGCCGATCTGTGCTCGAGCAACTTGATCGCGACGGGGACTCAACCGATAATGACGACCGTTCATAGCCCGAGCTCGAGAGCATAAAAGGGACCTGAGAATCAAAGAAGTTGCGCAGCGTTCAGCAAAGCGCTCGACGAGAAGCGGGTTCGTCCCATGTTTTGGCCGAAGACCCCCGTGTCGCCCCTTCACGAGGCCGATCACACCGACATCAAGGGCGTAGGGGGTAGGAATCGAACGAACCAACCCAGTTCCGTGGTCAACCTTGATACACGGTCCTCCCTTGGGAAGCATGAACATGTGACCTAGCAAAGGCCATCCACCTTGGGGATGGCAACGGGCCTTTGCGAGGCCGAACGAGCTCGAAGGGGCGCGCACTTCAACAGGAGCGCCGCTGTCGCTCCCGCGGCAGGAACGAGAGCGCAAGCCACAGAATCGAGATAGACGGGCGGAGTGATCGCTTTGACGAGCATGTGGGTGGTGGGATACGATGGTGATCAGAGAGAGACCGGATGATATGGGGTAGAGGTGGGAGAAGCGAAAATCGAATGGGAAGAAAAAAGGGTGACCGGTCCCATTTCCGAGACTTGCTGCAGGGCACTGGCCCGTGTCTTGCACCGCGCCCACTTACCAAGCCATGGGACTGTGGGGGGAAAGTACTTTATTTTCTACTGAAAGTCTCCCTTGTCGGGATCTGAGGACAGCTACCTCACCAATTGCGTTTTCGGCAGACCGGTCCTCCAAACATCCGGTTATACACACCTCGCGACACACAATCAGGCTCACGACACGCATGTTCAGGTCCACACACGATCGATGACGCAGTGAATTCCTCAATTGGCGCGGGTTGGCGAAGGAAAAGGCTTACTGAGGCCGAGCGCTAATTCGGGCTTTGCACGAGGAGCAAGTTAGGAGAGTGAGGACGACAGAGACCTTGTGTGCCCGATACCGAGGAGGGGTCGCGCGAATGCATCTGAATGTTTTGCCGCGGCGCGGCGGCAGCATGATTGGCACTCGTACAGAGGACTGGGGAAGCGAGAAAACCAGTGACAAAGAGAGAAAGAAAGCAGTAAAAACTGGCGACGTCGTGGTAGGTAAGTTGAGCAAATGTCGACAGCTCGGCGGCCCCGATTCGAACCCCCCGTTTCGGGTGCACACCGGGCCGTCGCTCGTCATCCAGAACTGCCCAGAACCAGAAGACAAAGCGTGACGATCGTCCAACAGAAAAACGACACTTCGCGTGTGATCTACTTATGTACCAGATACATCGCAGTTGGGGGCCAGCTTTTTCAAAGCTCGTTGTGGTACTCGGGATCCCGTCGTGTGCAGCAAAGTCGGAAATGAAGCTCCTGTTGTCGGAAATGAGATGGGACTCCCGATCTTGTCGGCTGCATTAGGGTAGTCGACTCACGCGGGCGTCGGCTAATTCGGTGGTCTCGGAAATCGGGTTGGAGTCGCTTAGTCGGGAAGCGCAGATTCGGCTAACTCGGCCTAGCGTCACATGAGCGGATAAAAGTTCAGAGCAAGGGACCGTGTGACAGGAGCAAGGAATGGCGTGATCAGGACGAAGTATGGCGTGATCAGAAGGCCGAGTGTCGGAAAAGAGGAGGAAGCTGGCCCGGGGGGAATGGAGTGTCCTGGCGTTGGAGGGAAGACTCGCTTCTTGTTCGGAGAGAGACCACTAGACTAGACACGACTCAGACCGACTTTGGAGGGAGGCGACTTTCGGAGGGGAGGACCGCTTGGAAGAGGACATTTCTGCGAATCTATCATTCTCGGTTTCATTATCTGCGTGTTTCTCGGTTTCGGCATCTCGGTCTCTGCGCTTCGATAGCAATCGCCCCTCCCCCCCTTTCTCTGATCGTCCGCTCACTATTACCATAACTGTTTTCGTCATGTCGATCCCACATCGATGGTAAGCCCACCCTGCCTGGACCCTCAAAAGGTCTTTGCACATGAACAAAGCGGCGGAAGCTAGCGATTGCAACTGGATGCGACTAAGACGAGATATATACTCTATATACATGTTTTTACAGTACCGCACGGAAGAGGCGTTACGCACGTCCGTCACGGTTGCTGCTGAACGGCGAGCTCGATAGCTTCTTCGGCCCATTTGCCCCGGCTCGAGATCTTGCACTGGAACGGCAGCGGGTGGCTCGAGAAGCCTTCGGAGAAACGGTCGATGTCGACAGGGATCGGGACGCCATGCTCGTCGACCTCATGCTCAATCTTGCATGCCCACATCATGCGCGTGAAAACAATGAAGAGCGAACGGTCTGCGATGTGCATGCCCGGGCAGATACGGCGACCAAACCCATAAGCGTGATGACCCCTCTCTGCGTACTTGGTCCCGACGAGCTTGTCGTCGACAATAAAACGGTCCGGGTTGAACACATTCGGCTCCGGGTAGACCTCCTGTGGAAATTATCTTAATAGGTGGTCAGCGAGGACCGCTGCTTTGGTGAGGCAAATAAATCAGATCGACTGACGGGATCCAGATGGATGGCCCAGTGGTTTGCGAGAACAGTTGTGCCTTTCGGAATGAAGTAGCCTGCATGGTGCGACAGCGCTATGGTCAGTATCCTAGGCCATGCGCTCGGTGATCCAAGGGTAGCACGCACCATTGTAAACATCGTCCTCGGTCGAGCGGTGGCCAAGACCGCCTGCAATGATCGTTCGGAATCGAAGGCACTCTCGGACGACCGCTTGGCAGTAGACGAGATCGTCTTGGTCGCTGAACTCGGGCAGTCGCTCGTGACCGATAACGCGGTCGAGCTCTTCCTGGGCCTTGGCGAGCACGTGCGGGTGAGCGACCATCATTAGGATAAAAGTCGAGATACCATCGGCTGTCGTGTCCGAGCCAGCACCTGAGCAGGAGCAAATTGTACATGTGTCAGCGCAAGTCTCGGGGCTTCGAGGATTAAAGAGACGAAACGAGACTTACCATACATCGCTCCAGCGAGGAAGATCGCCTCGGTTTCAGACAGGTCGTACTGGGAACGGAGGCGCAGAATCTCGGTCGCAAAGCAGTGCACATCGCGGCCTTCCTTGACCTCATTGTTGACACCGTCGTAGTGAGACTTGAACAGGGAAAGCGTCTCCTCGAACAAGGTGTCGGCCTCCTGCTTCCACGGCGCGAGAGGCTTGGGGAGGACGTTGAGGAATGGCAACGAATCGACAATGTAGCGACCCGCCACAGCGGTCTTGGTCATCCTCTCGTTAATCTTGCGCATCTCGGTAATGGCGTGATCATCGTGAGTCGGGGCGCGCTTGTTGAAAGCGACTTGCATGATGGTCGAACCGGCGTACCTACGCAGTCCGCAGAAGATTTTTCTGACGATTAGCGAACTTGTTGCCTGATGCAGCTGGTAGCCAAGCGCCGCACTCACCGTTGGCAATGACCCCAGAACATTTTGGGCTTTTGAATCATGTCTCGGACCAGTTGGGCACTCTCCATAGACTGAATAGGTTCGTACGAGCTCGACGCCTTAGGGCTTGTCAACGAATGCAGCAGCTTCCTCTGCCTCCTCCACAGATCGCCGTACTGCATAAAGGTCATGCGCAACCCACGCGAGACGAGATCCGAGGTCATGATGAGGCGTGGTCGCGACGAGTAGATGGCCGAGCGCTTATCGAGCAAATCCATCGCCACTGGGGCTCGGCCAACGACGACTACGGTTTGTGATCCAAGCTTGAGCGTGTAGATGGGGCCTGTGGCGCGAAGCACGGTGGCACAGTGGGAGGCTGCATCAGTTCCATGCGCAAGAGAAGAAACCTTTTCCGTACGCGGGAACAGAGGGCCAAATCCCGTCGTTCGGGCTGCACGACGCCCTGCGACGACTTCGCCATGCAAGTGGGGCTCCGGTTGAGCGGGGAAAGAACTAACCGAGTTCGCGAGTCCACTCTTCCATCTTGACCCAAGGTCTACTCTTGGGGAGCATGAACATGTGCCCAAAGATTGGGATCGCTCCCTTGGGGCTTGGGGGCAAAGGACCTCGCTTTGAAGCATTCTGCGCGCGAGTGTACAGGAACGCCGCGAGGAGAATCGCCGCGCCGCCGAAGACGAGAAGTGGGGTCGACTCGTAAAGCGCCGAGGCAGGGGAATCGGCAAAGGGTCGTGGCGACATATTGAACGTCGAGACAGTAGCTACTGTGTGCACAAACACAGGGAATGGATGGACAGGATGTATGGGCGGAGAATGAGAGGGAAAGAGCGGTATGTTGGTATAGTTCTGCTGTGAGAGGCGGGTCCTCCCCACTCGATCGGCTTTGAGCGCAGTCGGAGAATCCAATCTTGCGTGCGACACACGCGAGCGCCCGATGCCGAATCAGCCGCCATCCGTTTCGGCATCCCATCTCGACGACCTCTGCACCTTCTGTCGCTCGTACCTTGCTAGTTTTTCCGACCAGTAATTCCGCAAAGTGATCCCATATAGGTGTGAGATTTACATTTTATGATCAGAGCAGCATAACGACATCTCCTGACCAATTGCAGGGTCTACACGTACCGGCGACTTGAGGTCCAGTCGGCCCGGCCGCGACAAGTGCGGATCGAGCGACCGGTTGAATTGACTTCGGTTCCAGTCACATGACCGAGACACGGGCGTTCGCCTCGGGGTGATCAGTTGGGCCGCCGCTGCAGTTCCCTCTACTCAGCTGAGCTCGAACGACAGCTGGCTACCTAGGCAGGTACTTGCCATGGAGTTGTAGTTCCGTACGCTACCGTGACCCCTGATGCACCAGTTCAGCAGCACCTACTTGTATGAGATAGGTGACGTGCCAGGACGCCGAGTCGGACGAGTGCACTCGTGACGGCCCGACCGGTCGATCGGAGCAGGCCCAGCCGGCGCAGGTTACGTGATGCAGTGTCCCCAGACCACTTCACGGTACTTAACATGTATTGCCCCGGACAAGCCAGTAGTAGGCTATGGTCCAAGAAGATCAAGGGATGGTCATTAGGCTACTTATGCAGCAGAGAAAGCCGACACTTGCGCACATAGCCAAAGACAATAAATGACATGCGTCGGATAAAGAGGTCGAGGAAGTCGATAATGTGCGATTGGGCATCCACACGTACGTCATCGTATTAGACACCTGACAATGTAAGACCACTCTACTGCACCTGGCGTGATGAAGATCGTGCAGGGCTGGGACCGCGGCCCTAAGCGTGCTCGGTCCACCTATATCTCCATCACCCAGCGAAGGCAACGAGATCGAGTTGGCTACGAATTGGCTACTCCAAGAGGCAGACAAAGAGGTATAAAGAGGTATAGCATCGTGATGCACGACGTAGGTGGAGAACAAGCTGTAGTTCTTCCATAAGACCGGCGCCAGCTATCCGCAGAGGGGCACCCTCCATCGGCGCCACGAAGAGATCATAGCATGCGAACGCTTAGTCGAGACCCAAGGACGTCACCCATCCCCTTCGCTCTTTCTTCGTTCGTCGTGTGCATTCTCTAGTGGGTCGAATCCTGACAGGCGAGCATGGCATGGCGGCAAAAAGAAAGATCCTGGGAGGTTCGATTTCCCCCTCAACGTGTGACGAGCCCCTGCCACGTGGAACGACCTTCGCCGGACGCGAAATCGGGTGACAGTTGCAAATGAAGTCACTTCGAGGGGTGGTGGGATGGAAGTGGACATGTCGCGGCTAGACGTGTCGGTACGAACTGGCCGGCTATCGAAGAAAAGCCCGCGAGGAATGAAGAGAGGAGAAAAAGGGGGGAGCTACGAATACAGCTGACGAGCCGAGCACAGGGACGATGATACGGTGGACAAACAAGGATCGCATTGCACAGTAGCAAATGCAGTGTTGTTGATGCTGACGATGGCTGTTCGGTGATGCTGAGAAGTACCTGGTGGACAGAAGGAGAAAAGAGCGCACGCGCGAAGACTGCTGCCGACCGACCGCCAGCGCGTCAGCACGCTTCAGCACGAGATAGCACAAGTCAATGCGTGAGCTTGCGTGCTGAATTTCACGCAAGAGCACGCTCCAGCACCTGCCAACACTGGCAACATCCAGTGGCTTTGACTTTACATAAATCTAACACCCCTTTTCAGGTTTTTTTTCTCTGCGTAGATAAGCGAATCTGTGGAATCTGATCAGGCTTGATACAAAAGCACACAAAAAAAAAGCAGGTTACAGAGCAGCAGCGGCATTGCGGCAAGCAGGCGAGAGCGCCTCCAACTTTCTCTTACTCCCCCATCCCGTGCTTGGCCCATCATCTAGGGCTGAAAAAGCTGTGCATCGAGAGGTTAGCTCATTCGGACCTGTCCAGATCCAAGTCGGTCGAGACCCGAGAGACGATAGCGAGGATTCTTTCGACTTTCGTGCGTTGGCTAAGGAAAGAGAGGACTGTGATGGTGCGATCAACGACAGAGTTACAGTACTAGCTGTAGCTAGTCCAAACTAAATATGCTATAATAAACAAGGTTGCTGATGGAAGAATGAGAGAGATGCTGCTATTATACAGGCTTGCGCGAAGAAATGGAAAATTACAGGACCATGCGGTTCGAATCGACGCTGTTGGCGAGGATGTTGTGCGAGTGGTACTCTTCCTGAAGAGCCGGCCTTGAAGGTCGAGCACCGAGCATCCCTTTGCCGACTTCGAGCATCCTCAAGAACGAGTTCGATCGCTGTGGCCGCAGGACCGCGTCAGCCGCCCTCTCATCAGCGTAAGCGATCGGGTAACTCGGCATGTCGTCGGTCGGTGTGAGAGGTGCGGCGTGGACTCCTCGTCGAGCAGCGCCAGCGGCCTGCGCCGACATTTGGTATGCGATCTTTTGCGAGCGAGGAATGGAGCCATGTCGAGCGTGCTGGCCGCGAGACCTCTCGAGCTCCATCATCTCCTCATCGTCCGACACTGATTGGAAGTCGTCGGACAGGGTGTCACCCGACGAGGACGAGCCTGTCGGGGAGACGCGTGGTCGGTGCTGAGACGGGCTAATGGAAGGGCGGCGAGATGAGGAAGCGCTGGTCGAGCTTGTCGCGTTCGAAGAGCGACGGCCCGGTGTCGGGGAAGGCGTCAGGAGTCCGGTTTCGCGGGCCTTTTGCGTTGTCGCGGTAGAGCTCCTTCGGCTTGGCGTACGAGGCTCAACGGCGTTCATGGATACTGAGGCGGACGAGACGGAAGAGCGGGTCGATTCGCGGTACGGGTGGCGCGAAGTCGAGGGCACGGGTCGGCGAAGGAAAGGAGCAAAGTGCTCGAGGAGTTCTTCCTCAACGATTCGGAGATCGTAGTCGAGCAAGAAGAGGAGCTGACGTTCCATCAGGTTGACCTCGGCGGAGGAGAAGAGGGCGCCGTATCGAGTCCAGTGCTTGTTCTTGGGCGACGAGTCGTTCAAGTACTTGGCCGCGACGATGAGAGTCGCTAGAAAGACGCGGTGACGCGTGCAGTGCATGCCCTTGGCGACCTTGGGCAATCGAGACTTGAGACGTTCGAGGTAGACGAGGGTGCACAACAAAGTCGGCACCTGCACGTTCGACTTGTCGACAAGGATGGTGATAAACTCCTCGAGCGAGGGAATCGCTGAGGCTTGCGAGTCGAGAACCGGGAAAGCCGACTTGGTCGGCGTGGGAGGAGGCGACGGCAGCGAAGTCGGAGGTGCGGGTCCGCATTGAATGACTTCAACGGCCTTGGCGGCGAGATGAGCTGTGTAAAGGTAGTGGTATTTGCGAGCATGGTCAGTACAATGATCGAGGGTCACTGGCTGGACTCGGGTAGAGGTGTTCGCCGTGTCGCCCGCGAGGCGCGCCATTGGCTCGATCACTCATTTGAACGCGCCCCCAGACGCGCGCCCTGTTCGGACGGCGCGACTGGGCAGAGGCGGCCGCGGCGGCCGATCACATCCTCAGACGACGAAGCGAGCCCGTGACAGATGTAGCGCTTGATGAAAGCCAAGTACTAAATAAAGCCCCCGTAAAGTACGAGACGCTACTCACAGATCATCTCCGAGGTGACGGGCGCACGAACGAGTTCGAGCAACGACGGATCGTGCAGGAACTTGGGGATGAGCGACGCGGGGTGGCGGCGGTTCATTGAAGGGATCGGGTGCACGAAGCCAGCGGTCGAGGACGAGGTGGATTGTGTGGAAGAGCGACGATCCATGGCTGAAAAAGAAGTGATCCTTTGGGGTGAAGAGGTGGTGGTGGTGTGTTCGAGGAGAGGGGGACGTGCGAGCAAAGCCGAGATGTGCCGAAAGTGCTGAGTCGCGACGGGTGAGCGGCAGCGGCAACGAGCGGTCAAGTCGAACTTTGTATGGGCAAAGTGATGAAGAGGAGGGAGAGAGGTGTTGAAGAAACGAAGCGCGAGGTTGACAAAGCAAGACTGACGATCCTGGTCAAATGCCGAAAGTGATCACCAAGTAGAGAGGCGAACAGATTGTCGCAAAACCGAGAGACGGCTGCTCGGAAGATGAGGCGAAGCAGAGAGAAGGCGGGTCAGTTTCGAAGCCAAGGCGCAATTAGCACACGCGACGCGCGCCCGCTGATGCGCTGTGGGCGGAGCGCGCGGCCAACGCGGAGGACCGCCCTCTGGACGGAAGCGAGCGAGGGGGCTGGCTTGGCGCCGAAAAGGTAAAAACCGCTGCGCGCGCGCGGGCACGAGGGCAAGGGCGCAAAGGCACGCGCGCAGAAGGAGGAAGGCTTCGGAGGCACACACTAACCAAAGTGGAAGATTTCGCGGGCGCAGATCAACCCCGTGCAACGAGCTGGGAGAGGGTGTGTTCTCGTCTGACAAAGATAGTCGGCGAGAGTGCGATGGCGACCACGACGACCGATGAAGGAAGCAAGTTAGGTGGTGGAACGATTTACAATGCGTGGGAGGTCGTGACAGGGGCTGCAGAAGGAGCGTGATTCTGCGACAAACAAGAAAGTGGGGGTGGGGGTCAGCTTCTGAGGAAGCGCGGATGCGCATGTATCAAGTGGCGTATGTGCGCTGTGCAAGCTCGAGAAGCTGTAGTGCATCGTTCCCGAATGCAGTATGTTGAGGGCACCCTTGGGCCATCACGGTCGACACAAGTATCGAGCCCTAGGAACAGCGATCTTTTGAATCGCGAACGAAGCCCGAATCCAGCTTAGAAAGGGGCTGCCAGAAGCACCCGAACATACCCGCGCGCGCGCGCGCGCCTGCTGGATCAGGCAAGAGTGAACGCATCGACGCTTGGCCCTCGAGTGTTCCGAGACAAGCTGCTCAAAGTATCGCGAGCGTCGATTTTCGAATGCCATTTACGTCGACCCGCTTCCAACCACGGGTCCGCACTCAAAGCGCCCGCATCGTCTGCCCCTCCAGTCGCGGGCTAATTCCTTCCGCTCGGCCCATGGCCCAGATGTCAACACATCGGCCCCGGGCCCAGCAGGTGTCGCGAACCACTCTGCGCTCCGCGGTGCGGGAACGCTCCCCATTGCGCCCAGATGGAGAAAGTCGGCAATATCAAGCAATCGTACCAGAACGAGTGATGAACTCACCTGTAGTGCCCTAGGATGAATGCTGAGCGTGATCAACTTCAGAAGCTTGTTGGCTTGTGGTCGAGACGGCCCAACTGCGGTGTGAGTGCGGATTGATTTGATTGATCCGATTCGATCCTGGTCGACAGGGGGTCGTGATGCTGCGGGGCGGTGAACCTATGTTCGAGATTGGGCAATTGAGTCGGCTCAGTGTTGGAGAAGGTGTAACCTCGAAAGCTGCGGGCGAGTGGTCGGGTTCCGTGAGCAACAACGACGGAGTGGTAAATGGGCAAGGAGAGAAGGATGGAACAAGAAGCTGCCTCAAAGCGGTAACCGGCAGCGCAGAACAGAGCGGGAGAAAGCTGGACCCCGCCGGAGATCAGGGCGGCGCCACCTTTGCACTACCTATCAGGGCGCGCGCGCAATCGGTGCTAGGTGGCCATCGAGTGCCTTGTTACTTTGATCGCCCGGCTCATCCCAGCAAATGCGCCGCACTTGTGAGTTAACCCCGCAAGCCCTGCTGTCGACGAGTACGTCCTAATGCCCGCGCTGAAACATGATGACCGAACATAAGCGCCAAAGTACATCTCTTTAGTGCATTGGTACTCAATCGCGGAATTTCCCCCCTAGACAATACTCGAATTATTCCTTGCGCAGGATGATGAAAAACTTGTGCAATCATTCCCAAGTGCACGCGCCCACCCTCAGTCCTCGATTTTCTCAGGACCGGGATATATGGCAAAGAGAAACACAACGATACCGCGTGATCAACAGAGAAAGTCCGGTGAAAGCACCGGCGGCGCCCCTTGCTGGTGGGATTGCTCGCAGCTATCACTGGGTACTCAATCGTGCGACCCGAGCTTCGAGGACGTCTCCCGCAGTTGCAGATGAATGGGACCTGACATCGGCACTGTTGGCGATCGCCTTGAGCCAGCCCAAGCCACCTTTGAAAATCATCCTCGGTGCACAGTGGAAAGTCATGATTGTGGTGAGTAGCCCGGGTAGGTACGGTACCTAGGATAGCTCTTTGTTGTGGACAAAGCGTCGCTCCGAGCACGCTTCCAATTCACACTACACCCGAAGATGCTGGCGCGAAGCCGATCCGTTGAAACACAATTCGCACTGCGAATTACCGCATTCGGCACCCGTGCCCACATGATCGGAGACGAGCCAGCTGATCGCCAGCAGCCGCCTGCAGCCGCCGGCCTGAAAGGCAATGACAACTCTTTGAGACCCCTCAGAGAATACGCTTGTCCTAAGTAAAGAATTTTTCGAGGCCTTCCCGAAACACCGGTTCGGCAGACCCGCCGGCGCACTCTCAAGCATCAAGCATCAGGCCTCAGGCTACTCTTTTAGTACCTTTGAGTGCGTACCGGGCATGCACATCCAGGTAAATTTATTGCACGGGAGCGCACTGAAACGCGAGTGGGACTTTTGGTTGTCGGCGCGCTTGCAAACCGGCACTAGGAGCTACCGGAGCATCCGGCAAACTCACGCCGAATTTGTAGACACTACCTGTTCAAGTGCCGACTCTAAGTAAGCTGTACGGCGGAGGTTCCTCATAGTTTTATAAAGACACCACTAACATCGATGCCAGATTGCCCCATAGGTAGCTACCACTTGATAGCCGGAGCCGGACGCTGCACTTGATCTAAAGTCTGCCCCGCTATGACCTATCAATCGGCGGCGCAGCCAAGCTTTGCCACGAACACACCATATCCAAGGCTGGTCGCTACTTCAACAGTCTTTCCTCTGAGATTGACCGGCCTTTAGTCGCGCTTACATCACAGCCGTAACAGCCCGACTCGAGCAAATGGTTCATTCACGAGTATAAAATAAAAATAAGATTAATTTGAAGGGGACTAACATCAGTCCTCTTCGAGCCAAATGCTCTCCGAGGCACGTCGTCGGCTTTGCCTGCTATCGGAAATGAAAAAAGCCCTGGGAGGCGCCCCTAACCCGGTCATGATAAGCTTTGTTTGACGGCTTGTGCTCGCCCTGAAGGGGTGTAATTCACTTTCAGTCCGAATGAACCATCGGCCGAGGGAAGCTGCGAGATCCGAGATCGCAAGTCCTTTGTCGAGCACCGAGCACTACGCGCGGTGAATCAGTCGTTGCCTTTGATACTCTCCAACTATGACTTCAACTAGTAGCCCGACAGGTGACAACAAAGAAAGCTAGGTGAGAAAAATTCAAACATCTGGGGATCTTGTAGGGCTCTGGAGAATGAGACCACGATAGTGCTCTGCCCACACGCGATCATGAATGAGAAATAGGCAACTGAAGGAGAGCGGCGCTCAAGAACGCCTACGAGTCGGCAGCCGGATCAGCGTTCGGCGCTCGGTTCAAATTCTAGCCGTCATAAAAACATGAAAAAAAGTTTGCAAGTCAAACCAATGTGGGTATTCGAGTGCGGATTTTTTGGCGTGGAAGACTTCCCAGTCTCGCGTTTCGCTCTCCGAGATGTTCCGACTGCTGATCCAACAGGAAAACTGGGCCGGTCCCCCGGGATATCGAGCATTTTGAGCTCCCGATCAGAAAGGGAAAAAAATGAGAAAGAAAAACCCCGAAAAAATAGCCCTGTGGCTCATAGAAACCTCCAGGAACATGTGGCGAGGTTGATTGGAAAAGAAGCAGGCAGACTTTCATGATCAGCACCCAGTAGTCGTCCACGTAGACACGCCTTCAGCTCGTAGCTGCTGTGGGTCGTGGCGATTGTGAAACCCACGTGATGAAGCTGCTAATTCCTACTACTAGTTCCTACTATAACCCGAGCGGCGAGCGCCTGCCTCGGCGACTTTCCTAATCAGGACGTGCGGCGGCCGCCTCAAAATCTCTCTCTCCGCGGAACCTGCCCAGCTTGGAGCCGCACTAATTGGCAATAGAGCTGAGGGTACTCCCCCATTCCAATGCTTTGGCCGCGCATGGCCGCGCATTAGGTAAGCGGAACGGTTGCGCACCCAACGCTCTTACTGCCGTCAGAGTCGCTGTCGGCGCGTCGCGGCTATCATGGGGGGGCTAGAGCCTGCAGGTGCATGAGCAATGACTATGAGCAAGATAGCCCCTCAAGAGTGGGCAAGGTATTGTGTTGTGGCACTCTTACTTACATCTAGCTTCTACATTTACTAAGAAGGTACCGAATAAGCATCACAGGTCTTAGGAATGACGAATTACCTACACGGCCAGCCCTTTGGGATGGGGATTTCGCACGGTCTGATTCGCGCTAGCTTCGCGGTGCTGGATCATACGGATTCCACGGTGGACACGAGAAGAAGTTGAAATTGTCATTTTCTGAGCGCACGAAACCTATTGCAGACGGTTAAACAACTGTTTGGGGATGCTTAACATCTACTCCATTCATAGCAACCGCTAGTGAGCTGATGCTGTAATATTTTTACATTCCATACCAGTGGGATCCCGTTAAATGAACGGGAATATGATTCCAAATAGCAGGAGAAGTGAACGGTATAATGACGAAAGACAGCAGAGAAACTATTTTTCACTCATCGCGGCCAAGACTTGGCGAGGTTGCGATGGCCCTCCTTGGCGACCTTAGGACCGGGACATAGTGGCAAGGGTTTCTCCTTGAATGAGTGTCACAAAATTCGATGAGAGTGGGAGAGAAAAAGAAAAGGTTAGAGGGAGTGGCGCGGATTTGTTCAAGGGGTGTGATTCAGCACCTAATCATGCCGCTGGTCAGCGGCCGGAATGACACTGACACCGCTGGCGCGCCGCATCACGTGACAGACGCCAGCCTCGCCCCGCCCGTCGGGCGGAGCTCTGCTGTAGAAGCATTGTCATACAAAGCCACGCGCTTGCCGCCCATTGCATACAATATAAAGTGTTCGCACTGTTTTAGGTCAACGAAAAAGCGAAGGAAAATACTGGGAACGCTGTAGCTTCGTTCGACTGGCGCGAAAAATACAAAAGGTGCCACAGAGCTTGTACATGACTTCTGATCGGAATATGGACACCACGGGCAGGTGCGGCAGACACAACAGTATGCTGGTACATCCACCACAGGCGGCCCTCCGGGCCGCCACCTAGTTAAACACAGTGATTTTAGGTACATTCCTTAACTCACCTTTTTATATATATAGAGGTAGTAAGGTAGTAATGGATTCCAGAGTACCAAAGTCTAAGTTTTGCAGAAGGGTTTCATAAGGAACGCGTACTGGACACGGACTCATGTTATCCGTACGAGCGAGGGTCGCGCGTGTAGGCACGAGATGCCAAGGTGGGTGTACTCTTCCAATCACCAGGAGAAGCCCGAGAAGGCCGAAGCAACTTTAATGGTTGTTCGGATTTTGCAAGTCTCGCTCGCTTGCGCCCGCCGCGACCGCCTGTCTCGCTGGACCTGATAACCCTGCAGCTCAACCTTCGACGCCGGTGATATTCCATCCTGCTTCGCGTCCTGGATCCTCAAACGCGAGACTCTCGATAGTCGACCGCTGGTAGGGAGATTTGATGCCGAGACAAGCACTCTTCCTGCCGAAACTCGGACTAGACCTGGTCACCTGGCTCAACTTGGCGTTCAGCTCTCCTGCGCACATCCCCCAAGCGGGGCCAGTCCAGGTCGGTGAGGCAATCTGAGGTGAAGATTTATCAAATGAAAAAGAGCAGTATCTTTGCTTTGCTCAAAATGCTTTTATTCCAGCGAAACCCTTGCTCAACAAGTAAGCCCCTTGGATAAGGAAGAGGAAGAAGGATAGAAAACCGTCACTCGAGCTTTGTTGATACTGTTCTCAATACGCCGGTCTTGTGCACGATCCCTTGCCCTTCCTTACTTCACATCGTCTTTTTCAATGAAAGAATCGGAAATCAGGATGGGTCTGACCCAACGGCGCGTCGTCCATCCCCTCTCCGTGCTTGCTCAACCCCTCGTTCCCGTCGGAGCTCGCCTCCTCATCCCTCCTACGATTTTCCTTCGCTTGCCACCACCACAAGCCACCACTCGTACCAATGAGGATGGCCGAGGTGCAGAGGTTCATGGCATTGCCTGGGATTTGACGCTGCCCAAACTTGGCGATGAAGGTCCACCCGGCCGCGACGCCGCCGAGGTTGGCGAAGAGGACGTTCAATGCCAACGCACCGGCACGAGCTGTTTCGCTCGTGGTGTTGATAGCCGTCCAGGACAGGATCATTACGGCGTTGGCGTGGACGGCACCGATGAGGAAGCAGGCCGCGTAGCGGACTTTTGCGTTCAGCGTCGCGATGAACATGATGTACGCCATGAGCATCACGCTCGAGCAGATCACGATGTAGATGGCGCGCCTGCGTGTGCGGTACGAGAGGTAGGCGACGCCGAGGGTCCAGCAGATACCGACGGCATGAGGTGGTACAGTGAAGAGCTGCAGTGAGACAACAGAACGGTGAGGGTAGATTGACTTGACGATCGAAGGGAGGAAGAACACCTGGCCCTCTGCGCACAGATGGTGAAAATCGGAGAGTTAGCAGAGATTCGAGGGAAGACACAGTGAGGACAGGAGGCGTGACGAACGGCCAGTCAGATTGTTGCACGTATTGAGCAAGGCGCACACGATCGCGGTCTTATTGAACATTCCTTGAAGGTAGAGCCGCTTTGATGCCTTGTCGATCAATGTGGTGGCGCCGACGTTCTCCGACTTGACTCGATTCACCGCGAGCTCCTTTTCGTCCGCCGACAACCACGTCGCCGTTTCTGGACTTGCGGTCATGACAAACCAGGCCATGATACTGACACCGATCGTGATGAAACCTTCCTGTGGGGGATGTAGCGGATGAAGGTGTCAGGGTGTCGGAAGTCTGCTGCATCAGGCCTCTGCGTTCTGCTCGACGTACAGCAAAGAAGATCATTCGCCAACTACGGACCATTCCAAAGGGACGGGCTTGTATGAGACCACTGGCAAGTAGACCTGGAGTGTTGGAGAATTCAGTTTCCGCCGTGCAGGAAGAATCTAGCTGGGTCCCTTCTCACCTCCAAATGCCCCCGAGACCGGACTCGCCACACTGGCGGAACGAGTGAAGCATTAACATCTCAACGCTCCACCTTGCTCCGCTCAGCGTTCACACTCACCTAAACGAGGCGATCCTAACCGCCAGCTCATCCTTCCTATACCATCGCGACATGTAATAAACCGACCCCGGGAGCAAAGCGCTCTCGCACACGCCCAAGATGAATCGTAAGCCCATCATTTGGCCGAACGTCTTGGCGAATGCATTGGCGACGGAGAAGATGCCGAAGAGGAGGGTGATACAGGGGAGGAAGCGCGAGGGACCGAAGACTTTGCAGAGGTAGTTGCCGGGAATTTCGTTGACGAGGTATCCGACTGGAGACATCAAAGAGGGGAACAGATGAGTTTGAATGCACTGATGCTTGTGGACCTTTGACAATCGTCGAACGAACGCAAAGGTCACTTACTGTAAAAGCTCGTAACGAGCAAGTTGAAACTATGGGATTGTTTCGGAACATCAGTGGTCCCCTTGGGTCGGCCGAGCTGTCCGAGGCGGACGATGCTTCAGGGGCTCACTCATAAATCCCCGTCATCTGAAGGTCTTTCTCCATCCCAGCGATTCGGGCATTCGCCACATTCGCACGGTCAACTAGGTGACAGGAGACTTATTAGTGACCTGTTATCTCCCGAGAGCGCCTGTTGTTGAGCTCGGGGACTTACTGAACGAAAATAAGCACATGAGAAATACAGGCGCGATCACGCGTCGATCAATCTTGCGCCTCAGGGCCTGAAAAACTACTTGAATGTCAGCGAGGGAAAAGCTCGAATCAAGATACATCGGATTCCCGACAGGACAACTCACCGTCTCGGCTCGGACATCTACGTATGGCTCTACGCCTGAATTTGAGGAAAAAGGGGCAGTGTTTAACGTTTAGCTCTGCGAAAGGTGGCCGACTCATTCACAACCGGACGCAAAAGCACGTCAGCCGCCTCGAGTTGACCTACCGAGCTGTTCAACGAGCCCGACCTTGGAGTCGCCACTGGTGGGCACCGATCGAGCATCGGGTGCATCCAAGGTGGAATGAATGGACGATGGCATGACGGGACAGGTGGCGTCGCTGGGCTGAGCGAAAGGCATAAGGGAGCGAAACAGGGCGACGCAGCGGACGGGTCGGCGGTACGTGCGGTAATAGGAGAAGGCGGGCGATACGAGCTGATACGAGGGCCGAGCTGCGACAAGGGACATGGGCGTGCCTCGGCCCGAGGGAAGATCGGCGCCTCCGCCCCCACATCGTGCGAACGTGTGTTTGATGTCCGTGCGCGTTCGGTCTAGATAAGTTCGACTGTATATGGCCGTCATTCAACTCGAGCATGATATCTAACTGGGATGGGCTGTTCCCAATCTGGGTGGCGGAAACAGACGTTGCGCACCGGAGAGTCCCTAACGAGTAAAGTTAAAAATTCGGTCCCCGGTGCAGCTCGTCGGCCTCAACGTGATTGAAACACATGCGACCCAAAAGGTTCCGCGGTCTTTCCCTGATCGAGGTCAAGGGATTGCTCGAGCCCGTCCGAAACGATGTACATGTGCGTCCGTCACTTGCCTCGAAGTCGCTGTCCAGATGGATTTGACCCGGGTGTGTTGTCATGGTTCGGATTCCCTGAGCTAGCCAGATCCTCGTGATCAAATGTGATCAACCGGTCGTACGTTGGGTTTCAACCATCCCGGGTTGGGCCAGACCTGGTGCACCGCAACAAATGAAGACGTTCAACCGCATCAGCTCAAAAATCCTTCTCCCCCAACGTAATCCCACTTCCCGCCAAGTATCCTCGAAAAAGAAAACCTACCCTAGCCACAACCTTCCCTCTCAACAACCCCAGCGGGACGGGTCCATAATCTCTCGAATCCGTCGAGTTGCTCATATTATCCCCGGCCAACCAAACATGTCCTTTCGGGACCTTGCAATACTCGACTTTGCCCAACCTTCGTTCCCCGCTCGGGTCGACGCATATGCTATCCCCTGGGACACCAATGACGCGTTTGAGGATTTGGTGGGACGGGTCCAAGGGTGAGATGGCGGAGACGAGGGTGCCTCGGGTTGGGGGGGATAGACGGAGAAGGAGAGGAGAGTTGAGGATGTAGTTGCCTCGATGGGATAGAGTCGGGTACATCGATGCTCCGGAGCACTGGGGAGGAAATTCGACATTGTTGAGTGGGACAATGACAGCGACTTGTACTCAAGACGAAGACCTCACGGGACGAATCTCGGCGATGTACTCGTTAAAGAGGTGCACGCCGCAAATGACCTGCACAGTCCCGTCACGCGACGACGACGTCAGCTCCCGACCACTACACAAGATGGGCAAACATACCTGAGCAGTCCGAATACAGAGTCTCCCCACCTTCCTCGCATCGAGCCTGCTCGCTCTCGTCTTGATCGACATGCTCTGTCGATCGGATTCCAAGCGAGAAAGGAAGGCTGCCGATGTGGGGTCACTGGAGTGGACGAACGAGAGCCTCACACGGGATCGCGCGGATCGAATGCCGGCTGGCTCAGCCCGAGGTAAGCCCAAACATTTAGTTGCGATTTCGAATGATCATGATCGTGTTGTAGGAAGAAGGGAAACACATGCTATGCAACAGAAAGGAGAACGGAACGAAGATGTTGAAGAAAGAAGAAGGAAGAGTGCCAGATCGTGTTTCCCCCCGGGTGTGTCGATCATTCGTCCGCCTCATCCGGCCCGACCGAATCCCCCTCATCGAGTTCATGATCCCAGTTCAACCACTCGCCATACATATTTGGTGTCTCTCCCCGAATAAAAGCCTCGAACGTCCTCTTCAACACCGCGCTCCAACTCAAGTCCTTCGCATCCTCCTCAACATCCTCATCGGCCCATTCCATGCTCTCGAAATCCTTCTCGTCGTCACCCCATTTCGGAATGGGGATCGCTTGCTTCTCCTCCCCCTTCTTTCTCCCTTTGCCACTGTCCCCACCCTCACCCTCTTCGGAAGCCTCCTCCAAGCTCTCCAGTTGGGCTTTTCTCACTCGTCCCCTCGCGATCCTCTCACCCTTGACGAACCTCTCCCCCAAATCAGGCCAATTCCTCGCCGCATCGAACGGGATCCACCAGAAGTTGTGGAAGTGGTACGAGAAGGCGCCCTTGAAGAAACCGTCGAACCCGAGCGCGTTGGGAGCGGCGTTCGTTTCAGCGGGGGTGTCGAAAAAGTCTTCAAAGCGTTGGAAGTAAGGGAACGCGGGGCGGTCTCGTTGGTAGTATTCGCTGTGTGGGGGGTCGAGACGGTACTTTCGCGTCAGTTTCCAAATCACGGTCATGTACCCAGGGACTACATCGCACTCACGTGTTCAACCAAGCCGGATCGAACAACGCATCAGGCAACCTCAACAACAAACCTTCGACTCCCGCATCCTTGGTATACCGACTGATGGTCATGGGATGGAAATCCAAATCGTTCGCAACCGCGGTCCTAAACAAGAAATTGCCCAACGCCGAACCTCTTTGCATCTTGAGTACGGCGGTATTGTACTTTTCCAACCTCGACCATCGGTACGCGAACGCGCCGTGCCAGTTGAACAACTCTTCCCAATCGCGCAAGAGGATCGTATCGGCGTCGAGGTAGACGCCTCCGAAGCGGTGGGTCAGGACGAAACGCGCCATATCGGAAAGGACGACGGTCAATCGATCATACTTGTGACTAGTCGATCCGACCCTTTCGAACAATTCGTCCTTACTCGTCGACGATGTTGGACTTGAAGCTTGCGTCGCATCCCCAGTCGAAGTCCCCACCATTGTCGAGTTGGCCTCAAGTTCCCTCGCTTCGGCCAATTTGGCCTCGGCTTGAACAACATTGGGATCAGCATCAGGAGCGGCGGCATCGACGACCTCCTTCTCCGCTTCCAGCACCTTGTCCTCCCTATCGTCAACGACGAGTTGAGCATCCCCACTCCCATCGGCATTCGACCTCTTCTTCTCCTCACCATTGACCTTGTCCCCCGCTTTGGCCAGAGGATTGGCGCCGTACTTGACCCCACCTGAATTGAACAGGCCCATCTCCCTCCACCCTTTCATTTCCTCAACCCCATCCAATTGCTCGGTCGTATTCCACAACCTGAACTTGACGACGTCGCCGAAACGAGGGTGCAACAACGGCGCGGACCAAGGGTTGTTGGCGAGATCCTTCCTCATTTTGGAAACGGCGTGTTGGTCGGGGAGACTCGAGGCTGCGCCGGGGTTGATCCAGATCCAGAGTTGGGGACGACAGACGTTGGGCTCGGGTTTCAAGCCCATCTTGCGATCGAGGCCGAGGTGTTGAGTGTAGAGGAACGACAGGGCGGCTGAGTAAGGCTTGTCCGTGAAGGGGCCGGCCCAGAAGATGTGGAACAGATGCGGGTAGTCAGGGTCGCACGCTGGATCGGCGGTAGGGTGAGAAGAGTGACGTTTTCGAGCGACGCGAACAAAATCGGGATCGTCCTGCGCCGGTGAGGCTTGGGCCGATGCCGCCGTCAACGTCAGCTGTTGTCGACTCGCCAAAGCCGCTTCGAAAGCCGATGCCGCAGAGCTGAGCAAGGCCGTCATGTCCGCTCGATGCCTCTCGACGACCTCCCTAGCCAACCTCGTCGATCCCGTCGAACTCGCGAGTGAAGGGGCGAGCGAGAGGAACGTCGTTCGCCACGCCGACATGTCCCCCCTCCTCAGCGGTGTCTCCAACCCTCCGTTGATCCTCAACACCTCGAGACAGTCGCGTACGTATTGCCGTGTCGAAAAGTCGCAATGGTCCATGACGACGTCCATGTCGAGGGCCGAACCGATCAGCGGTCGCGGTGGGTAGGAACGACGTTTTCCCCCTCCCGCTAGAGGCAATTCGATGTATTCTCGTCCAGGACCGATCGGAATCAACTCGGCTCTGGGTGGCGTCGTGATCTGTGCATCCTTGGGATGCTCCTTGGGCGACGAAGTCTTGCCCGCTGCCGTCGTTTCCAACTCGGCACGTAACCTCGCTTGCTCCCTCTCCTTCCTCAGCTGTTCCGATGTTTTGCGTGCCAATCCGGGGTTCTCGATCTTGATCGGTCGCACCGGTTCGACCTCCTCCCCACTCCTAGAAGGCACCTCGACTTGCCCCAACGGCCCATCGACGGGTCGCGACGACGGGTAGTTCCCACTCGCAATCTCCCATCTCCACACACGTTCGATTTCGTCCGAATCAAAGACCAGAGTCGACGGTTCGCTCGATGCGTACGATTCCTTGTGAAAGAAGATTCGCGCAAGTGGTCGGACCATCCATTTGAACCCTAGGAGTAGGAGCAGGAAGCACGCCAAGGCGGTGCCCAGAATGGCGATGATGATCCTGAGTGCCGAGGTTGGTGTCGTCGCGACCGATGAGGTCGTTCCGTTCGGTCCTACGGCGCCGATGTCACTGTTTGTCCTCCTCTTGGTCAAACTCAGATAGCCCGAGGACGAGGAGGCCCCCGTTCGGAGGAATGGCCACGGTCTCGAAGGGTGAAGCAAGGTGAAGACGGGGATGACGAGTTCTCGCGGTGAGCCGGGGGAGGCTGAGCCGAACGCGGGCGGTGCTCTACTGCCGAGCGGTATGCGCACGGGGGTGAACAGTCTCGATATCCTCGGTGGTGGACGGTAGTTTTGTACGTTCGCGTACGAGAGCGCGATCTTCTCGGCGACGGCGCCGAGTGGGGGGGAGCTGCCGCCGAAGCGGTTCGGAGTCGAGGCGCCGGAGCGGGGCGGGGTAGTGAAGGTCGGCAGCTGGGGTGAGGCCGGACGACTGAGCGAGTGGATCGCCATCGTGGTGATCGTAGTTCAGACGCAAAAACAGGTGAGGGTGTGTCGTGCGTGGTGGGCGTGGTGAGCGTGGTGAGCGTGGTGAGCGTGGTTTCGTAGGAGTAGGAGTGGGCGTGGGCGTCCGTGTGGTTGTAGAGGGTCCGAGCTCGAGAAAGCGGTTCGAGCGCTGCGAACGTCGAGCGACGGATGCGATCGACCGAACGCCCGCGCGGGCTATAGGGGTCGTCACGAGAAGCACGAGAAGCAGGAGAAGCGCTCTGTCTTGGACAGATGGACCTGGTTCCCAAATAGAACAGGAGGTGCGGTCAGTACACCGTGAGGTCGAGCGTTGAGCTCGTGCTCGCTCGTGCTCGTCTGCCCGCCTCGGCGCGCGCATCCAACCGCCCGACATGCTCGGCGATGCGCGAACTGAGCGCCATGCACAAAACTCCGCCGCACCACTGGGGAACGAGTGAGCCAACCCCGGGCAGAGCAGAAGCAGCTCTACTTGATTCGTTTCGGTCATGGCATCATCTCCAATGGCTTCCCCTCCCCCCTTCTCGCTCCCCTCTCCCCTCTCCCCGCGTCGCACGGGCCTTCTCCTCCCGCCCGTTTCTCTTGGCGACCAGCGACACGCCAACCCAATCCCAAAGCTCACCTCTGTCTGTGTACGGTGTATCGAGCGTGACCAGTCGTTCGTTTCCCTCCTCCTTCCGAGCGGGGTCCACTGCGTCGACTACTCTCTGTGGCGTTGCGGAAAGTGGTGTGGGGTGCTGGTCTTGGAAAGAGGTCGGTGTCGGTGACGAACCCAAACTGCACGCTGCACGGCTGCACGGCTGCACGGCTGCACGCTGCACGCGCGACAGTTCTTGGTGGATGTGTGGAGACGCGGTTGCTGTGCTGTGCTGTGAGAAAGAGAACGAAAGTGAGAGCAAGACCGCGCGCGTGTTCACGCTAATGCTTGCTCGCGTTCGCCCAGGTTCGCCCAGGTTCGCCCGCCTGCTGGGGCTGCCTGCAGTGGGCTGCAGCTGGGGTTCGCCCCGGTTTCATCCCGGTTTCATCGCATTCGCCGCCGAGTCGCCCCGGGGCGGTTTCGTAGGTTCAGTACTCCCCGCGGCGATGTGTTTGGCACGTTGCGGCCGAGAAGGCGGAGGCGGTCGACAGAAATGACAGTGTGAAAGTCGGGGGTATATTACTCTTCTTCTTTTGGGGGATAAGGCACTACATGCAAACAACACTCTTGCGATAACATCCCCCCTGTAGAATAGCGCACAAGGGGTGCGACGAGCGACGAACGATCGGTCGGTCGACGTCCCCCTCTTCATGCCTTCCATTTCTCTACTTTTGGTGCTCCTTGTTCTGCTTTATCACGTTCAAAGGCCGGTCTTCAAGGATCGCCTGCGTTCCGAATCAACATCCCTGTCGCAGAAAACGAGGTCAGTCAAACGAAACCCAAAACCCACCCCCACCACCCCAACAACCCAAACTCACGAATGTTATTCAAGAACGCCTGCACCATATCCAAATACCGACTCTCCCCTCCTTCCAACTCCTTCTCCTTCTCCACCAACAACTTTTTCACATCGACGAACTCGACTTCCAATTCGTGCAGGATCGGCCTGTTGGGTTGCGAGACTTGGGTCAGGTCGATTTGGAACCCTTGGTGCGTATAAGTCATGCGGTCTTTGAAGCGAGTCAGGTGGGCGTTGGGTGAGGAATTGGGGGGGAGGGTAGCTGGACGGGATGGAAGTAGATCAGCGAACGAGGTCGGGGTTTTTTTTTTCTTTCGGAAAAGCGAAAGAAGGAACTCACCCGGCAATTCGGTACTAACCGAAATCCTCCAATCAAAGCACCTCTTTGGACTCGCGATGTTCATATCCGCCAACCTCGTCTTCTCCACCACCCTCAACACCTTCCCTTCCGGGCCCTTCCCCTGTGTCGTCACGCGGACTTTTCCGCCTCCTCCATGCGGTGAGTTGTGGAACGAGTCCGTTTCCCGTGTGTGCACGTATCGCACGGGGGAGGTGAGACAACCTTCGGAGGCGGATTCTTCCACGCGCGAGTTGAGGAGGACGTTGTAGGATTTGTGTTGGTTCTGCAGCAAGGGAGACTTGGTCGCTTTTTAGCCAAACATGGAGCCAACTTGGTGGTGGGATTTCGGGACTGACGAGGGTCATGTTGCTGACGAAGCGCGTGTTGGAATCGTCCATGATGACTGCAAAGAAGAACTCATGCAATCAGCACAATGATCCTTCTCCGATAGAGCTGGACCCTCCCGGACTGACTGTGCTCGATCGGCGTTGGCAAGCTGAACCGGGTCTGGTTCTTGTACCTCACATCGACCAGTAGGCCCACCTTGGCTTCAATCTGGTCACCCAAGTCATGCATTTTAGTCACAACCCTTTCCCCATCTTCCGTTGGGAGGAGAACTGACCTCGACGACATTCCAATCCAAACCCTGACAGAAACCCCATAACCAGTCCGCGACCTCCCGCGTGAACTCGTCGATCGGCTTGACGTTGAAGATACTCGGTTCCAACGTGTTCTGTGGTGGCGGTGGTGGCGGCGGTGGTTTGGGTTTCGGAACGGGGGCCGGTGGTGGGATTGGTGCGGGTGCTGCTATTGTTCCAAAGGCTGGGGCTGTGGCCAGACCGGAGGACGAGGTCGGTCGACTGTTGGACGTGGCCGAGCTGATGGAAGCTGATCTGGACCGTGGTGGGGATGGAGCGGCGTAGAGTTGGGATGAGGAAGTGAGGGAGGGGGATCGGGAAAGATGGGGTGTCGTCGGTGTCATGGACGAAGCGGGGCGGGTCGAGCTCGGCGGTCGCATCGGCGCGACGGCTGTGCTCGATGCGCCGCTCGCGGTCGGCGTATGCGAGCGTTGTCCGAGCCCAGAAGGGTGGTGCGTCGCGAATGTCGCCGACGGGTTGGCATCGTACGAATCCACTCTGGGCCTCTTGCGGTGGGAGTAGGCCTCCGTGCGTGGAGAAGGGCCACCAGCCGACTCGACCTGGTGCTGCGGATGCGGTGGGTGTTGCTGCTGCTGTCCGTCAGGGTCCAGCGAGTCGGACCCAGACCCCGGTTCAGTCGGTTCGACGGAGAAGTAATTGTCCAGTCGATTCGAACTCGAGGATGGGTCGTGCGATGAGTCTGTGTCGTGGCCTTCGTCGTGGTCGTTCAACAGCAGGCTGATGGACGGCGACTGGCTCGGGCGACGGACGGGAGTCATGCTTTGCGGTGGGTGTGGGTGTGGGGCGTGGGTGTGGGCGTGTGGGCGTGGGTATGGTTATGTGGGCCTGTGAGCGTCTATGCAATGCTGCGTGTTGGGTGAGCAGAGGGAAAGACTCCGAGTCCGTTTCTCCTCCTCTTCCTCAGTCCGTTCGATGCGTGATGGCGTGACGAGGAGAAGGAACCGAGACGTGCGAGCGCCCGGAATCGGTGCTAGACACAAAAACGCGTGACCTCTGACCGGCTGATGGGGCAAGAGCCGGAAGAGGGGCAAGAGGAGCAACTTTGCCTGCGATCCGCGCCGCTCGTGCGTCGCAATCTCTCTCACCCGGGTAGTTAGGCCGGGTGGCTAACCGGGACTAATTGGCAATTGCCGGAACGCCCTGGGCCGTTGATAACGCCTCCGGGCCGTCGCTCTACGTTGTACAAGAACGCCTCGACCTGCACTCGATCGGTCCTTGTGGCGCAGATGAGGTCATGTGAAAAGCGAAGATATCCTGGTCCATTGCGAGCCGAAAGTTCCGAAACTTGAATGTGCCGTACGACTCGGAGGCGTTTCCTGGGACGGTCACGTGCTCGCTAATGGCGCGTGGCGGACGGAGTTAGCGGGACTTGCAGCGCGAGCTCCAACTTGCTAATGCTGCTCTGGAGAGCCAATCAGCGCCAATATAGTTCAATCCGGCATCTGTAATCCACAATTGCACAGTCCGATCTCCTCTCTCTTCTTCCTTCTCCCCCCCCCTCACCGGCTGGGCTGTGCGACGATCAAGCCATGTCGAAAGCAGCCGAGGCGTCCAAAGACAAGGTCAGTCATTCCCATCTCGACGACATCGTCCATCAGCTCTGGTTCTGACAAGCCTGTCCTCCTCCCAGGGCAACCTCGCTTTCCGACAAGCCAACTATCCCCTCGCCCTCGCGCACTACACCACCTCGATCCAGCTGGACCGCTCTTCGTACCTCTACCCTTTGAATCGATCACTCGTGCACCTCAAGCTGAGCGAATGGAGACACGCTGAGAAGGATGCTACGGTCGCTTTGGAATTGGATCCGGTCGAGGCGAGCAAGAAGGCGTACTACAGGAGGGCTTTGGCGAGGAAAGGGATGGCAAAGTACAGGTTGGCTATCAAAGGTATGTTCAGGCGAGACGGGGCGGCCATGTCATCGCTACGAGGGCTATGGCGATCGGTAGAGCAGCGCTGACTTGTCCAGGCTGCGATCGGCTCACCCCACTTATGGATGGAGGACAGACCTCGAGCAAGCCAGGGAGGCGGGAGCAGAGCCAAACGACATCGACCAAGAGCTCAACGACATCAAACAGCTACTCCAAGACAGTGGTGCTCAAACGACGCAACATGAATTGCCCTTACCCCCACCGCCGATCCCAAACAAGCTGTCTGCCACGCCGTCCGTGAGTCGCTTACTCCTGCCACTTAGACCGTCGGAATTGCGCAATCTGATGGTCGGGCCGGGGACGCTCACAGGAGCTCCCGAAGACACCTTCTTCGACATCGTCGGTAGAAGAACCTACGTTTGAAACCCCACCGTCCCCACCGCCCGCTCAACCGTTCGGATCGAGCAAATCCGCTGCTCCTTCCAAAGATCGACTCAAAGCAGCCCTCGCACCCCGACCTCCGTCTTCAACGAAGAAGGAGAAAGAGAGTGTCCCTACTCTCAGCTCCGAGACCAAGACGACGAAGTCGAAACCCACGGGGGATCTAATGACAGCCGTTTCGACGAGATCCTTGACGCGACCGCATGCAGGCGCGGCCACTGGTGGATCGGACAAAACGACCCCGTCTTCGTTCGCTGCAAAGAAGCAACAACGCACAAGTCGCTTCGCTTCTTCGGCACCTGTCAAGGCTTCGTCCAAGACGGCACCCAATACGGTTCCTCCCCCACCACCGGCACCTCCCGCAGCAACAGAAGCAGTAGCGCCGACTCCACCGCCGGTCGAGTCGCTTCCCAAACCACCTACGAGCACGTCTGCCATTCCTCTAGTCCCACATTGGACACCCACACCACCTTCCAAACCCCTCCAACTCGCAAGTCCGCAACCCCTCCCTCACGTCCCTTCCTCTAAACCCCCGCTATCCTCATCTACCTTCGAACAAACACTCTCTTCCCCGTCTCTAACCCCTTCAGACCGCCTCACCTACCTCCGTTCGATCCCTCCCTCCACATTTCCAACCCTCCTAAAAGGGGGTGCTCTCACACCCGATCTTTTGACCCTCATCATCCAAGCCCTTGCATCCTCCTCCGATGCCGAAACGAACATCGAACCCGACGTCGATGACTGGTTACTCAACTTCGTGCATCATCTCGCCAAAGTCGATAGGTTCGATATGAATGTCATGTTCTTGGAGGAGGCGGAGAGGGAGCTAGTGAGGGGGGTCTTTGATAGGGCCGAGAGGGGATTGAGAATCAGTAAGGGGAGATGGGGGCTTTGATGAGGACGGATGGGGAGAACAGGGAAAAGTATCTTGTATTCGCATCGAACATGAGGACGTGCTTTAGTAATCAGTCTGCATAGAGCCAACACGTTCTCAAGACTTTGCCGAAGTACAAGCACGTGCTACCGTCGATGAAAATGGGGAATCGGAGTACGTTTGCTCGACAAAACTAGCAAACGCATTCACGACTATAAATACGTCTTCGCATCAGGCACCTCCCACATCTCCCTATGAGTCAATCCTGTACTAACTACCATTCTCACTCCCTACCCGCATACCCCTCCGAGTCATCCTCTTCCCCAGCCTCAGGTCTCCTCAGTTCGTCCTTGAAAGCCTTAGTAATAATCTCCGCATCGACGGGGGATAATAAACCGACCACGGTCGGGTCTTGCATCTTTCTGCTCCCCGGACCTCCCCTTACTGCTTGATAGTCTTGATTAGAGGTGAAGGGTCGGGGGCGGGAAATCAAAGATCTTCGCGGAGCTTTCGTCGCTATCGAGGTCGTGATAGGGGTCAGACTCGACGTGCCGCCCGACCGATCCCCTTCTACCATTTCCCCTCCCTCACATTCATTTGATAAACTCGGTGTACGCTCCCCACTATCCTCCTTCCCTTCTTCATCTTTATCCTTACTTCCACTTCGTGAAAACCACTCCCTAGTCCCCCGTCTTCGCCGCTTCCGAACCAGACCTAGAATGACCAACAACAAAACGATCAAGACGCCCAAGCTGACGATTAGGGCGATTGCCCAGGAGGGTAGAGCGAGGGAAGGGCCGGGGTAAGGTTGTTGGAGATTGTTGGAGGTGGGGGTAGGGGAGGTGGATTTAGGGCCTGAGGAGAGAGAGTTGGGGGAGGGGGAGGCGCCGGCGGAGTTGGCGGAGGCGGAAGCGGAGGCGGCGGAGGCCGAGGCCGAGAGGGAGGATAAGGAGGAGATCAGGGTTGAAGGGGCTGCTGTCTCTGTTTCATAAAATCAAGGATCGTTCGTCAGCCCGAAACACCAAGTGAGTGGACGGTGCCGAGCTTGCCAAGATTCAACTCACGAACGGCCCTAAAAGTCCGCTGATGCGTCTCCCCCCCATTCAACTTCGTCCCATTGCTCACCACCACAAAGTAATACCTCCAAGTCTGATTCGTGCCCTCAACCCAACTCGTCTGATTCACAGGCCACCAATCGTCATCCGGACGGATCGCGAACATTCCTCGCGCAGTCTCGATACCGAGGTAGGAGGTGGCGAGCGTTTCGGAATCGGCTCGGTAGAGATAAGCGTCGATCCCTCCGGAACCGATAAAGAGGGGGTATTGGGCGTTGAAGATCACTTTCGACCAGACGGATTGAACGAGGGTCGTGTTGGATTGAGGGTAGCAGGTCAAGATTGAGTTGTCGACGTAGTTGCAGTCTGGATCTGGAGAGCGGCCAAAGCGAAAGAACAAGGAGTGGATAGTGTTGTATCAGCGAGGGGTCACTGTCTCTGTAGAGATGGAGAGGCTTACACCCTTCGGCATAAGGAAGGCGTTTCCAGAGATCGAGATTCGCTTCGGTCGAACCCGTACTACGTTTCCTCCGGTTAGGCTCCGTCAGAGAGGGCGAGACTTGGGTCGAGTCTGAGCCCCTCTCCGGTTGTCCACGGACGGCTTCATCCTGGTCTAGTTGGGATAGACGCTCATTCCGATTCCATTCGGTGTTGTCCGATTTTTCTCGCTCTTGTTGTTGATCTCGACTACCCAGCTCGAAGTTCCCTTGCGCCAGGGCCCGAGCACGAACAACGTCCGCGACGACGCCGATGCCAACGCCAAGCGGCGGCGGTTGGAATTGGAAGCGCCGACGAACGCCCTGAGGACTTGCTACGGCAGGAGGTGGGGTAGGAGTAGGATGTAGCGCTGGAGGTTCGGCGGTTGGTGGTGATGGGTTTGTTGGTGCTGGAAAGATGTTTGGGAAATGTGAGGTGGAGTGAATATCCTGCGATGGCGTCGCCATGGTTGGACACCCGTCGTCGGTGTATGCAGGGGGAGGATCGACTCGGAGCGTGCGCGCGTTCTTCGGTGGCTCCTAGATGCTCATCAACGAGCTGTTGTGAAGGAGTGACGGTCTGACCGGGCGGTCGACGGGTGAAGATAATGGGACTCTGAAATGACGATTTGTGCTCAGACCATGGGTGTCGGAAGGGAGCGCTGTTGCGCAAGAAAGAAGGGGTCGTGTCGAAGGGCGAACCGCGATGAACGAAGTGAGGCGATGCGGCCGTTACCGAGACGGTACCTGCGCACTCTCGGGGTCCGGCTAAAGTCGTCAATCGACCGATCGGAAAATCGTGGTTCGATACGGACGAGGGAAGGACGAGGGAAGGACCGAACTAAATTACCTCGCGTATCTACTCTTTTGGTGACGCGGAAAATTGTGATCTCACAGCAGTGGACGCCAAGTTCGAGAAAGCACCTCAGCTGTCGAAGTAGGTGGGGTTCTTGAAGAACGACGCTGCGGTGCGTATATTACACCGAGACTTTTTCAAAATACACTTGACCCGACAGTTGGAAAGATGGCTTCCCGGGGCCTAGACATCAACTCGATAAATTTGCAGCCCTTCAATGCCGACCGCGCGGCGGGCTGCAAGGTATACGTCGTCGTCACTGCCAACCCGTGCCAGCCCTTGCCAGCCAACGAGCCGCTCCGCCAGGCTCCGCCCAGCCTGCCGAACGACCGGCGACCGCTCGCTCTTGCGCTGGTTCCTGTGTCGCACCACATCCCTCCATCCCGACCCAATATGCCGGCCTCCTCTACGGATCCTCGCATCTCTGACCGAGAAGTGCATGCGTAAGTCATCGAGCTTTGGATCTCGCCCTCCCTCCCGAGGCGGCAGCGATCAGAGCGGCCTATCATCGTCGTCGGTCCCCTGGTTCCGCTGCGCCTCGTTCGTTACGGCTTACGACGAGGTGGAAACAACGAAGGAGAGTCCTGGTCGGGAGGGCTGTAGTCTGGCCAGAGTGAACAAGCAAGACGCACCCACCCCGGCGTGTTCCACTCATCTCGGTCGCCCGCCCGTCCGCCGCCGCCGCTCAACGTTCAACCCGACGGACCTCTCGACTCGGATCCGACACCGGCCATCTTTCCTGACTCTAACACAAGGCGCACCTTGCTGACCGTATGCTTCCATCGATACATATCACCTGCGAACACGGCGGATACTCGATGTCGCTGCACTCTGAACCTGCACCTACCTGGCCTGGCCTCCACGCTCCGCTCGTCCATATCGTCCTCGACCGACCTTGGCCTCCCTCCTCGGCGCCGACCTCTGCACAATCTCGGCTCTGGCTTCACAATCATCCGCAATTGCTCTCCGAATCGACTCGTAACCGGCTGCACCGCATTCGCATTCGCCGTCGCCCGCGCTGTCCCAAACGATGACGATCGATAACGACCTACAGCATCAACGTCGCCGCCGCCGTGAGGAGATACGATGTCGAGCCCAGGTTGGACTACAGGACCGTCTCCGCCGTGAACGGTCAGTTTGGATCCATGCCGCGATAACAATCGGGTCGCAGGCAGCCTTCGGATGATTGATCCACGGCCCATTCTGCCGCGACTGACCCTTGCCTGATTGCCACCTCCCCCTCTAGGTCCTCTGGTGGTGCTCGACAATGTCAAATTCCCTTCCTACAATGAGGTACATACTATCCGCCTCAGGCTTTCCCCCCGAGTTACAGCTCACGAGTGAGAACTCGATACATTTCCTCCGCAGATCGTCCAATTGACCCTGCCGGACGGTACCGTCCGAGGCGGTCAAGTGCTCGAAGTCTCGGGGCGAAAAGCCATCGTCCAGGTCTTTGAAGGCACTTCCGGTATCGACGTCAATGCGACCCACGTCGAATTCTCCGGCTCGAGCATGAAGCTGCCCGTCTCGGAGGACATGTTGGGCCGAATCTTTAACGGATCCGGTAACCCGATCGATAAGGGACCCAAGGTTTTTGCTGAGGAGTACCTCGACATCAACGGTGCGTCTTTTGTTGCATACCTCGTTTTGGAAGTGCAGGCCCGGTTCTTATAATTCCCCTCGCGTGCCTGCTTCCCCCGCATTCCTACAGGGGCACCGATCAACCCTTACTCGCGTATCTACCCCGAAGAGATGATCCAAACCGGTATCTCGACCATCGACGTTATGAATTCGATCGCACGTGGTCAAAAGATTCCCATCTTCTCGGCCTCGGGTCTGCCGCACAACGAAATCGCCGCACAGATTTGCCGACAGGCCGGTCTAGTCAACAAGGGCGAGCGCAACCCCGACGGTGCCCCGACCAAGGGCATCCACGACGGTCACGAGGACAACTTCTCCATCGTATTTGCCGCGATGGGTGTCAACATGGAGACGGCGCGTTTCTTCCGTCAAGACTTTGAGGAGAACGGCTCGTTGGATCGCGTGACGCTCTTCCTCAACTTGGCCAACGACCCGACGATCGAACGCATCATCACCCCTCGTCTGGCCTTGACCACGGCCGAGTACTACGCGTACCAGTTGGAGAAGCACGTCTTGGTCATCTTGACCGACATGTCGTCCTATGCTGATGCTTTGCGTGAGGTCTCGGCCGCACGTGAGGAAGTGCCCGGTCGTCGTGGTTACCCCGGTTACATGTACACCGAGTGAGTGCTTGTCGTCCTGCACCGAATTCGGATATTGCGAAAGAGTGCTGACTTCCGGTGTGCTATGATTAGTTTGTCGACCATCTACGAGCGAGCCGGTCGCGTCGAAGGTCGCAACGGATCCATCACCCAAATCCCCATCTTGACCATGCCGAACGATGGTGAGCGCTCCTCCTATCATCATTTTCGATCGCGAGAATACATGAGCTGACTTGTGACTCGTCTGAACAGATATCACCCACCCTATTCCCGATTTGACGGGCTACATCACCGAGGGGCAAATCTCGGTCGATCGTCAATTGAACAACCGACAGATCTACCCGCCCATCAACGTCTTGCCTTCGCTGTCCAGGTTGATGAAGTCTGCTATTGGAGAGAGTGAGTTTCGTCTCTTGGGCTCTCCCATAGCTTGCTGGGCAGATTGGGCAGAAGTTCTTTGACGTGCGCGTTTGCTCACGCGATATTTGTTTGCTCCTGCCACAGAGCTGACACGAAAGGATCACGGTGATGTTTCGAACCAAATGTACGGGAGTCTTTATGGCGTGTGACGACCAACGTAGTTGCATGGCTGACCTTGACTACTTCATTTTTAAAGGTATTCCATGTACGCCATCGGCAAGGATGCCGCAGCCATGAAGGCTGTCGTCGGGTACGTCACGGATCATCTCCTGTGGCTGTTCACTACTCTTGATTAGGAGCTCACCCTTTCCTTTGACACTTGGTTCGTGATGCAGCGAGGAGGCCCTCTCGCAAGAAGAGAAGCTCGCGCTCTCTTTCCTCGGTCGAGTGAGTGCCTTATTGTGGAAAACCCAAACATCAACCGGGACTGATCGCTCTGCTGTCTCCACAACTAGTTTGAAAACGAATTCGTCAACCAAGGCTTGAACGAGAACCGTTCCATCTTTGACTCGCTCGACCTCGCCTGGTCCTTGTTGCGCACGTTCCCGCGCGAGCAGCTGAACCGTATTCCCAAGAAGATCCTCGACGAGTTCTACTCGAGGAAAGCGACGAAGGTCACGCCTCAGCAATAGGCAAATTTCGAAGTTTGGAGGGATGTTTTGTGTGTTTGCGTTGATGGTGTGGAATGGGGACCGAATTGGATGTGTGGCCGGCGTTTGCCTTTACTCGGAAGACGTTCTTTCCTCCGTTTGGCCTTCTTTTTCCCGTATCCTGTTCTTTTTCTTTCGCTCTGTCATCCGAGCTGTGTTTTCTTTCTTGTTTGTCTGATTGGAGCTCTTGCACTTCCCTTGCATTTGGAGAGACATGGGCGGTCACGACGCCGAGCTTGCCTGGGCGTTCGTGTTGAGCTCGGACCGCTCGTTCTGACTTTCGCAACTGGCGTGGAGGGCAGCAGTCGGTCGTCTCCTCCCTCTCGAGCTCCCGTCCCCTCGGACGCGAACCATGATTTTGTAAGCTCCCTTCCCACAAAGCCCACAACTCTCTCGGAACATGGCACGCTGATACCAGTTTGCGGCGTCTCTCCCGACAGCTGCAATTACTGCGCCAACCTCTTGGTCGTCATCGACTCGGGAGCGGGCAACAAATGGGCGTGCAAGACCTGCCCTTACGAGTACCCGATCAAGAAGAGTGTCAGTCAAGGTCCTGTCCTGGAAGGAGGCGAACTGAAGAACGCTCTGATACTGACGACTAGTCGAGTTCAACTTGGGGGGCAGTATCGCGAACGGGAGTTCCTGACCAGGAAAGAGGTCGATGATGTGCTCGGTGGGGAGGATAGCTGGAAGAATGTTGATTCGACGGCATGTACGTCTTTGCCCTGGCCGTGGTTGAACACGTGCGAAATTCATCCCATGATGAAGCTGACATTGCCCCTCCCCCCTTCCCCCTTCCCCCTTTTCTCCCCCTTAAGACGATTGCCCGAAAGAATGCGGCGCCAACCGAGCGTTCTATATGCAGATTCAAATTCGATCCGCGGATGAACCTTCAAGTCAGTCCTTCTTTCTACAGTGTTGGTGAAAAGGACCCTCGCCGATCGAAACCTAACGTTTCGATTCGGTGATTTTCGGTTTCGTAACAACCAGCTACTTTCTATCGGTGAGTGCCTTGCTTCCGACTCCGAAGAGGTCCTCCCGAGCACTACTGACTTTCGGACCCGGAACCCTTTCCTCCTACTCCTTTCCGAAAGGTGTACAAACGCGAAATGCGCATTCCAATGGCGTGAGAACTGAGTTTTGTTCCGTCGCCAAGGACGGTTCCGACCGCTTCGAGGATGTCTAGTCAGTGGGTGGGGAGGTGTCTGATGAGTCGAGGGTCTCCTCTTCGTATGTCTTCTCTATGTTGTAAAATCGAACCTTTCGCTTAAGTTTTCCGGGGGCAGTGCATTCGTGAACCAATTTTCGCACCTCGAACGTGCTGCGCGAAGTTCCCTGTCTCTCCCCCACTCAATTCGCACACCAGAAGGCCCCTAAGCGAGGGGACCGATCCCGAAGAGAAGAACAACTTTACTAGTCGGTATCAGTTTTGCAGTTGTAACGAATACTTAGGTACAGCATGAGAATAGAAACCAAGGGTGTCAAGAAATCAAATGAATTCTCAAACCCCCTTTGTATGTGGCTCATGATCGCGGTGGTGCAGCTCCTCCTCCTCCATTAGCATTGCCACCGGCACTCGAACCAGCACTCGTACTCGTGATCCGACGGGTGTTGGTGACGAGCCAATCGTCGTTGTCGGTGATGCGCTTGACGTAACAGGTCCAATACTTGAGCACTGGGGAGGAGCAGGTGGGTGCGGAGTGTGAGTGGGATGATGAGGCTTGGGTAGGCAGGGACTAGCTAGTACTCACGGTCGTTGGACAACCACACTGGTCGATAAGGTGAGAAGTGCTTCTCATCGGCATCGGGATAGGTGGCGAGATCTGTTATTGACGGGGGTGCAGTACCAGTGTCAGCGATTAGGTCATCTCCTCAGCGACGACCCGTTCGCGAGGGGGCTCACATTCTTCGAGTGTGACGAATCCTCGCTTCGCATCAGGTCGATTCATGACGCGTGATTCGCGCTTCTCAAAGTCTGTGGTCAGAAGCAGACTTGAATGTCAAGACCTGTACAGCGAGTCGCCGCCTGCTCACCTCCACCACCTTTACTCACGCAACGTCCAAGCGTGCTTGAGCAGGGGCAACAAGGGTTCGTTCTGCCTCCCGCGCACGGTGTTGATCGACGCGATGTCATTTTGAATGTGGCGGAAGAGCGAATGCATCAACCTCGACGTCGCGTCGTAGCCTTCTCCGGTACCGGTCGGCACCGTCACGGTGATGTAACAGGAGCCGAGTAAGAGCTGTGGCGTTGAGGAAAAAGAAGGAAGCTGTGAGTATACCGAATTGTGCATCAGGTTGGAAGAATGAACCCACATCTTGCTCCGCGAGTACGAAGCCTGCAAGGGTCCTCCCATTCGCAGTCAAACTGGGCGTGTTCGCACCACGACTCCCTTCACCCTTGGATCGAGGCTTCCTCGCCGTCATCCACCGCAATGCCAGGTAGCGCCGCGTCGATGTGGTCGGCTCAATGTTCTGTACGACAGGGCGATGAAAGTCGTCAACGATCCGATCGGGAATATAAGATTAAACGCTTGCTACTCACCTCTCGAATCGCTTGTTCAAACATCCTGCAAATCGAAGTCACGACCGAATCACGTCAGCCAGCGAATCGAAACGAATTAAGATAGCGCTTAGGAACCGACTCACGGCCACGAATCCGTCGCCAGCAACAAGACCTGCTCGAACGTCGACGCGAGCGGGGCCACGCTCTCCATCATGTCGGGGACGGCGAGCGTGCCGAGAACGTGGAGCATATAGAGCTCGCGGCACATGGCGACCAAGTCCGGGAGCTGATCGGGCGGAAGGGACGTGATGGGCCAAACGTCGCTTTTAGGGGCACGCCACGCAAAAGAGGTACGTAGATCAGTTTATATACCGCGGACGCGGTCATTCTGAGTCATGTACTCACTACGACATCTCACTGAGGCTACCCTGCCGAGCGTGAGAGAGCTGACAGGTTCGTCGTCCACCAGGGAAGAGTTCTCGTGCTCGCCAACGTCCGACACTGCTCGATCCAAATCATTACGGGGGTTAGCTATGCTCACATACGAGACGCCGACGCCAATGCACAGAATTCACCCTTTAGTGCCACCACCACCACCGCAATCGGAACAACGTCGATACTTGTCCGAGCAACTAGCGCATGCGACCTCGGGCGTGTACTCGACCTCAGTTCCCGGCGGTGCACCCCTGAGCACGCACGTCAACTCGCCACTGCCGATATCACGTCGACAAATGTCACATGTCAACAGGTTCTCCTCGCCCTTGGCCCGTTTCTTCGATGCCGAAGTCGGCGCCGGATGAGGGGCCGATCGATGCTGCGCAGATCCAGTCGGCGACGCTCCGTGGTTTGGTGATCGTCCCAGCGTGAGGCTTTCGAGTCGATCCACGGCTGCGGAAAGCGTGTCGGCGTATGTGGCTTCGGGTTCACGGTTCGCCGATGAGGGCTTGCCTCGGGTCGATACAGGCACGCACCCCAGGCAATAGTATACCCCCTTTGGGACGACCTGATCTTTGGCCTTATCGATCGACGTGCCGCGCAGAGACAGTTTGCCGATCGGCTCCGCGCACATTTGACACGACACCGGCAACTCGAGACAGGGGCGTGCTGATCCAGGCTGCGTCGATTTCTTGACCGCGACCGCCTTGACACCCGGAATTAAAGAAGGGACCAGATTCCCGGGGGACGCGGCGAGGTTCTTGCTCGCTTCTTCTGCCGCCGCAAGTTCTTCCCTGATCTTTCTCCGTTCAGCCGCAGCGACGAGCACAACTGCGGATGGGGAACTCGCCGCTTCCGACGTCGTTGCTGACCCACTCGAGCCGGGAGCACTGCCAGGCGTCATCGGCGGGGTCGAGATCAAGCGACTATCGTAGGAGCCCGACTTTGAACTGTGGGTTCCGGCGGTACTGGTGGGCAGAGCGTTGTGGGCAAAAGTGAACGCGTGTGACGACGAGTGGAGGGCTGGGTTCAAGGTCCCGGTGGGTGGTCCATGCCACGAAGGGTCGGAAGTATCGGTGCTACCAGGCCCCCCGGGGGGAAGTGAAACGGGAGAAGCGTAGCGGAGCGGAATCGGACCTCTCTGAGCAGGAGCGCGGAGAGGCGCTGACGAGTTCCTACTAGAGTCGTACGCTCCTTCGAGCGGCACCGGATGCGACGTCCCGTTCGGACGAAGCTGGCCGTTTGTTTGGGTGCGGTAGGATTGGTCAAGTGCGGACAGCGACGAAGAATGGTAATCGTGATCCGTTGGAGCCGCTGATGGAGCGTCATACTCGTGAGGGAGGTAGTAGTGGCCCGTATGTTGCAAGTGAGGCTGATGTTGCGGCTGGAGTTGAGCCAGGTTGGCGGCCGAGGCCCATTGTCCAGATGCCGAGTAGGATGGATATTGCGAAGAATGATTGGAATCCCGGCTGGTCGAAGAGGAGCGCGAGACTACCAGACATTTGTAGCGCACCCGGGGGGGTCAGCCATTTGCTCAAAGCGCTTCGCATGTCGGGTCATGACCACTCACCTGAACCGGCCAATGCCGGGTAATCGTGGTACTGCCATTCACTCTGATAAGGCGCGTAAGGACCCAGATCTGATACCACTGTATGAATAGGAGCTTCGAATGGTGCCGAGCCGACAGTGGTCCGTGGGGTAGATGAAAATTGAGAATGCATGGCTCCGGGCCACTGCTGTTGCCGCTGCTGTTTGTGTGGACGATGAAGAGGAGGCTCTTGCTGAGACTGCTGCGACGCGGACCAATCCGGTCCGTGGTGGTTATCGTTCAATGTTGATTGGGTATGAGAGTTGTCGAACGAGTGCTCGAGGGGGTGTTGTGGTCGAAATGGATCGCGTTGATACGGATACGCATCGGCTGAGGGATAAGAGTCCGAGGTCGAGTTCGGTCGGTGGTGGGCGTCATATGCGAGGAGCTGGTACGGCCCCGGTGTCCCGTCCGAGTAGCTTGAATTGGAGGTCACATCCTGGTACGCGGTACCCACAGGTTGGCTGTAAGATGGAATGGACTTAGAAAGGCGCGAGGTCGACGCGAGGCTCCTGTCGTGCCCAGGTTGGGTCGTCGCCGCTAAGCACCGTGGATCCCCCATCGCTGATAGGCCCGACGCAGGATACGACGCATACGACTGATCGATGAGGTTGTTGGCATCGTAACTAGATTCGATCTGTGCACCCCAAGACCCGGAAGCGCCAGCGTAGACGTTCGCCTGCAGGTATTGCTGGGCCTGGTGAGCTGGGACCTGGTATCGCATGTCGTCTTGCCGAGGTGAGGACCCGCACTGCAAGGCGGCGCTCGTGAAGAAGTCGAAGCCAAGGCGGTCCGAGTCGTCGTCGCATGGGAGGTCCGAGGGGTGGCTCATAACGTCAACGCAGTGCACGCACGCCGAGGAGGTATCCTGTAGAGCCTCCAAGGCTTGGGAAATCTAGGACCCTAGCTGGTGTCGTTGTCGTCCTCCCGCCGGTCGCTATTCACCCTCTTCGCCCGCCGCCTTCACTACGTCGTCGACCGGCGGCCGGTCACCTCTTCGCCTCAAATCGGCCGCTGCGCGTTGGTTATGTCTCGGAGCTGTCGCGTCCTCCACACGATCCCGAGAGAAAAGAGCGTGACGGTGTACCGCGATATGAGGACCAGAAGAGGGTCAATCGAGGTTTGAACTGGTACTCCAAGATGTAGCAGGAGCTCCAAAGTCGAGACAGACACCCAGTCGAGGATTGCGAGTTGCGACCCAATCAGGCGCACCTCAGATAATTCCGGGCGCTCAAAGCGGAGTCCGAGAAGGCGGAACAGACGGAGCTGCACGACGTTCGGCGGTGGGGTGCGGCACGAGCGTGTGTGAAAGAGCGAGCGAGTGAAGGCGAGTCCTCGAGTTGAAGTAAGTAGAGCCTTGGGAACGGTCTGTAAAGACGTACGTAAGTTAGGTAAACCCCAATCGCTGCAGCGCTGCGATGACGGAGCAAAGATCCAGAGCCGAACCCAGGCCGACGTGATCGCGCCGCCGACTTCTGAGCTCGCAGGCAGCTGCTAGGCGTTCACGGGGCCAGAAGTGCTTGGGGCCATTGAGGAGGCAGGTGGCCTCGGGCGGGGCGGCGCGCGCGTGGCCTTCTCGGCACCGGTGGGTTACTCGGACGGAACGGCGGATTCCGATGCCGAAATTAAAAATCAGGTCTTCTGTTGAAGTCCGATCAACGGGACAATTAGCTCGCTTGCAGCCGCGCACGGCGAGTAGAGTCCGAGTGGTGCTGTGGTGGGGGGGAGGAGGAATCGGCGGATACGCTTCGTTCTTACGATTTTGGGCGCATGCAGTGGTGTGTCGGCAGGAGGCGAGATCGTCCAGACACATCATTCGAACGCGGTGATCTTTGACTCCGCCCTGTTTCTCGTTTCGGGTTTGCCTGTGTGCGCTTCTTTGACAGCAAAGCAACTTGTTTGTACCCACCTTCTCCGGCCCGGAGCGTGCATGCATGACCCCTGAATGCTGCGCGTCGCTCCCGCCCGTTTTTCGCTGAGGTATGCGCTTTGGCAACCCAGATCCATCAGTAGTCCAAACCCTGTTAGGATCTACCCATCAACCACGCGCAAAACCGCAGACTTTGATAAAGCCCGCTAAGGAGCAGGATCCTTGATCTCATAGTCCCTAATCCCAATCCATCTCGAGAGCCACCACCTTGACCCACTTCCGTTGCTTCACGGTCCTAAACTGATCTTTCACTCGAGACTCCCTCGCACCTCGTCTCTCCCTCGTCCACACCGTCTAGCCCCGCTTAGAAGGTCTCTTTATCTTGTTCAGAATTTTCTGAGGACTAAATGTGCTGTAGCGCGATAAGGTCTTGAAATGATGATCTCTCTCTCTCTCTCTCTCTCTCTCCCTAGCCGCGAGGACCGTTATAAAGCTGCTGTAGTCGACTAGCTTCGTTCCTCTTCTCTTGAGATTGGAACCCCTTCAGGAACCGATCATGCAATGCAAGTCTGTTTCACTTGTCCCGGAGTGCTAGAGGACCGTGCGTCCTTTTGTTTCCAAGCTTCTCAAGTTGATTGGTCCAAGCTCCAAGACAGACGTACTGTACTTTCGGCGCTAGCGAGCTGATCCTCCCCGATTGCAGCCGCCAGAAACGATCGCCCGAAACGACATCTTTGCTCCTGGCGCCGCTGGGGGGCAACCTTGGCTCTAAAAGCTAGCTCCGAAAATATATTCGAACTGAACCACCGAGAGCTGTAGATCTTGGTAACGACTCATTTACGGTTGCTACCTAGGTAGTTACGTAGTCGGGGTCTTAGTTGAATGGGAAAGTCGAATCATCTCTTCCATGTCTTTTCCTACCGTTTTCACGAGATCCGATTGGACGAGCACCCGTGGATCAAGTTGGCCTCCGAGGATCGACTCAGTCCGAGTGTCTGATAATACAACGCACGCTCTTGCAAGCTTTGAGGTGACTCGACCAGATTTTGTGCGATGGGAAAGTTTGCTATGTTTAACTGAACATGTCATCGTAGCCACTACCTCCGGGCGGGGGCTGCATTCAGTGGTCAGGAGAGATCGATTAGCACGCGCGAATTGAATACTTTCTTCGCACTGATGTACGTACGAACTCGTCACCCCAGCCACCTTGTCGACCACCTCGCCCACCTCCTGCACCACCCGCTGAAGGTCCAATGGGATCGAATCGAGCACCCGGTGGCACCGCACCAGGAGGCAAGAACCCATCCCCACCCCACCTTCCACCACCACCACCACCACCACCTCCGCCTCCTCCACCTCGTTGCGGTCCGAAATGATCCCCAAAGATCGGATGATCAGGTCCGACGAACATCCCACTTCCCGCAGGACCGTTTCCCCCAAAGGGATTGGAGCCGCCCAGTCCGGTCGTCCCTCCCAACCCACCTAGAGGAAGCAGATCGGATCGACCGACGTCGCCGAATGGATTGCCTCGACCACCCGAACCAGGGATGCGCAGAGGGTCATGATCGGGTGTTGCTTCGGGTGGAGGACGGGGTCGGGATCCGCCTGCGGTCGAGTCGATCAAAGGTCCTCCTGGATCGGGGTAATAAGGGCCGCGAGGGTTGGCGAGGGGTCGGTCCGCTCCGGCGGCGGTGGTCGCACCCGAGCCTTCGCTGGAGGGAAGTTCTTCGTATCCGCTCTTAGAAAGACCAGGAAGAAGACGCTGGATGATGTTGATGCGATAATTGTTGATGAGCTCTTGCAGTCGGCGTGGGGTCGCGAACGAGTCGGCGAGCACTCTCTTTGCCGCCGAGGCTTCAGAGGCGCCGGTGGGGAGCGAGAGCGGGAACGCTGATCGGGAAAAGTAGTCGGCTAGCAGTACATCGTACGAAATGGACTTGGTGTCCTGTGTGGGTAGTCGTGCGATGATCAGCCGTGAAGATCTGGCCTCGAATGCGCCCTTGTGAGCCTCACCTCGACAGCAACTGCAGCGATCAAGGCCCTTCCACCCATTTCAACGAGCGAGACGACAAACTCCATCGACGACTGCTGGTGTCTGTACTTGAACTGGATCGAGGTGTTTGTGACAGAGCCTTCCCACCGTTGGGGCAGCTGGTCGACATCCGCCGCAGCGGGGGACGCGTCATCACCCGATTCACTGTTGCTGTTGCTGCTGGTAGGTTTGGGCTCTACAAGACGAAAGTCGAGCGCCGAGTGGATCGAGTGTACGAGTAATGCTAGGGCATGCAAAGGCGTGGACAGCGTCGCCGTCTTCTTGGCATGGGAACTGGCGTCATCGGCGGTCGCACCCGGGGTCGTCGAAGTGGGGCTCAGGGTCGATCCATCGCCAGCGGCGGTCGCACCCTGTGCGTTCGAGGACGAGGGCAGCAGCCTGAGCGCAAGCGTGACGAGATTGTCTGGCTGGAGCCCTTGCATCCTTGATGTGGATGTCGGGTGTTTGCGTGTGGTGGCCGGAAGGTAGACCCGCTGGCCGCGTGTGCTGAGGTGGGGGACGAGGGTTGTTGTTCATTTCATGTCTTTAGTATATATCACTAAACAATTCAAGCTTTGTCTTCAGTATCACTAGAAATCTTTGAAAGAAGTGGAAGGAGCATTTATTAGGCACATTGGCTAGGCCAGTCCTAATTTGGCAACAATTGATCATTAGCTCGACCGCTGCGTCATAGCTAATACGTCGCCTCGCGCCTGGGAATATGCGAACCACCTGACCCGCTAACCCGCTAACCCGCGAGACGTCTACCCCTGGCAGGCTGCAGGCTGCGACACGCGGCACGCTCCTGCGGAGGTCCTGAATCCGGTGACGGCGCCATAACGGAAATTGATGATATCTGGTGGTGGTAGCAACTCGACGCCGACGATAACCCTTCCCGCGCCGATGCGCTCCGACACCTCGAGCTGCACTCCTCGCAGCGCCATGAGCACCACGCTTACCCCAGGTTCAGCGCAAGGCGAGGATGCAGCCCACGCCAATGTTGTGTCAACGACGAGTACAATAAGAGCAGGGGAAGAAGCCCAAGGAACGAGCGCCTCCGAGTCAGGGACCGTACAGCAAGAGCTTCCTCCGCAGGATCGTGGATGGCCAGCGTGGCGCTTCGTACTCGCGAGTTGCTTGCTCGACCTCTTTGTCAGTTCTGTGCAAAAAGCATCGCAGGAGGGGGTCCAATCAGTGGCTGATCATCCTACGCCCCTACAGATCTGGGGTGGCACCTTCGCGTACGGCACTTGGCTCGAATACTACCTCTCGCACCCTCCCTTCCAGAACGAATCGCCCGTCTCGCTCGGTGCCGTCGGAACGGTCGCGCTCGCGCTCAACTACGCCGAGACGCTCATCGGTATCATCCTCTGCGGCAAATACCCGCACCATATTCGCAAAGGACTGTGGGCTTGCCTCGTCGTGTACAGTGGGAGTTTGCTCTTTGCAAGTTTTGCTCGGCAGGTCAGTAGCTTCGGCTCCTATTGGCTTTGTTTCCCAGATGACAGGGGCTGATCCGACATATCCTACGGCAGCTGTGGACGTTGATGCTCTTTCAGGGCGTGCTGGCCGGTAGCGCTGGCGGGTTGTTGTACGCTCCAATCTACGTATGGCTTTCGCAATGGTTTCAAGCTCGAAGGGCATTGGCGGGAGGAACCATCTTTGCGGGAGCAGGCGTCGGAGGGTGAGCAGATTCTTCCCTTCCCTCGTTGCTTCCTCCCATGCTTCGATCTAACCTCCTGCAACGCTTGCGACACCCCTAGATTCGCCTTCCCCTTAATTCTCAACGCACTTCTCCCTCCCTTGGGTTTCCGATGGACTCTTCGCCTTTTCGCATTGATCACCCTCATTATCTGCGGTCTCTCCGTCCATCTCCTCCAACCGCGTCTACCGATCGTCCGACCCCCACTCAAATCTCTCCCCTCCTCATCGCTGGCCCCCAATCAACTACAGGCGCGTCAAGACCATGCTTCGGCCTCCAAAATCTCCTTCTCGATCCTCTACGACCCTTCCTTCCTCCTCGTATCCGGCACCGTCCTCACACAAGGGATGATGTTTTCCCCTATCCTAACTTACCTTCCGACCTATCTCACCTCGTTCGAATCACCAACTTTGGCATCGCTCACTCTCGCAATTTTGAACGCGGCTACGATCCCGGGCTTGATCATGACGGGTCATTTATGCGATCGATACCCTTATACTTGGGTGCAAGCCGTATCGACCCTCTTAGCGACGCTCTCGATTTTCCTCCTCCTTCAAGCGGGGGATACTTTATCGAAAACCCTTATTTTCGCACTCTTGATCGGCGTCAGTGCAGGAGGTTTCGCTTCGACGTGGTTCCCTTCCTCCATCGACGTCGCGACACGTACGGGGAGGAAGAAGGATGCGTCCCAATCGGCGGTCGTGTTTGGGTACCTTGCGATCGTCAGAGGGGTGGCGTCCATCGTGGGACCCGTTATCGCGGGTTCGGTCTATAAACCGACTAGGGTGGAAGGGGGGGAGAGGATGGGTAAGTTTGGATTAGGGAGCTTCGTGGTGTTGAGTGGGACTTTGGGTGTGGTTGCGTTGGGTTTTGTGTTGGGGAACGAGTTGTATAGGAGGTGGAGGCGGGGGTTGAGCATGAGAAGGGAGGAAGAGCGGGTTGGGAAGGAGTTGGAGGAGCTCAAGTAGAAGTTATGCACGTTGGTACAGCAGCATATCATAGATCGAAGTGGAGCTTTTGTTAGATTGTTGTACACTTAAGCAAGTTGAAATAGAGCCCTCTCTGGACGGCGCAGAACTTTACACGTCTCGATTCCCAAAATCTAGCCGAACATACAACATCCCTTACACCTACATCAATCACAGCCTCGACCCGCCACGATTCCCCTTCCCCCTCCGATCCAGCATCTCAATTTCCTCCCTCCCACCACGGGGTGACCTCTCCCCCTTGGTCTTATGCCCCGCCCTCCTCTCCTTCCCGACGCCCTGGATATACAACCTCCAAAACACCCTCCACAACCCTCTCACCAACCCCAACGGAGGGATCCACCAATTCAGCCGCCAACTCCAGCCTGCTCGTGCATCCAACTTTTTGATCACTCTTTCGACTTGGGGCGTTAAATCGGCGAGAGGACCGGAATTGTCGAGCACGTAGTCGGCGTAGAGGAGTTTTTTGGACAGGGCCAATTGGGAGGAGAGGCGTGAACGGGCTTGGTCCGAGGTGAGCGAATTGCGCGATTGGAGACGTTGCAATTGAAGGGATTCGGAACTGTGGAGGTTTTTGAAGAGGGGAACTCATGAGGTCTTTTGTCGAAGGAAGGGAGCACTTGAAACGAAGCTCCAACGAAATCTTTGCGCCTCGCGCCCTCCCTATGAACCCCCTGCGAGAAGTATCTCATCTCCCCCGGTCCTTTGCAAGAAACTCACCAATACACCACCACGATCGCCCCACAAAACTTCCACAACCCCGCCTCTATCAACAACGGAGCATCGACGACGACGACCTTCTGACCCTTCAACCAATGCCCGACCAACTTCTTGACCAACAACTTTCGAATAGCGGGATGGAGGATCCCATTGAGGACTTTACGTTCCTTTTCGTTACCAAAGACGATCGAACCTAGTTTTTCGCGATCGAGGGTTCGATCGGGGAGGAGGATTTGGGGACCGAAGTGGGAGACGAGGGACGAGAGGGAGGAGGTGCCGGGGAGGACTACTTCACGCGCCAGCACGTCCAGGTCGATCAGGGGGAGCGAATGCGATTTGAGGATTGAGGATACCGTCGATTTGCCTGGTGAGTGAGAGGGGACGGGAGCTTTAGTTGGAGAAGAGACGGTGGGGTGACTCAAGTGGAGCGCCGGATGACGACGACGACGATATCGACATGACGATGGTCCGTGAGGGACGTACCCGAGGCAATCCCACCCGTTAGACCAACGACTATCGAGATGGGAGTGGAAATCAGTACGCAGTTGACTAGGTCTCTCTGTAGGGGACTGACCAAGCATGCTGAGAGCGGCGTGACACTGAGGTGAGCGAGTGGAACCGAACCAAGCCAGGCCGACCGATCAGCTCCGCTCAAGCGCTCAAGCTCAAGCCCGACCGACCGGCGGCGTGCCGAATATTCAGGATTTCATCTCGTCGAGTACCTCTCCGAGTGGTAGTGCGTGCAAACATAGTCAACATCTCCGTCATCTTTCCGACAATCTCTATAATGTACAACAAACAAAGATCACTGCTCAAGAAGAGACCAAACCCATTTCTTTTCGGTTCTCACTGCCTGAACCGCATCACGTCCACAAGACCTTAATTCGATCGGTCACGAACGATCAAAGCCGTTGGTAGTGCTCGGCCCGTAATGGCGGACCTCTGGGCGACTGAAAGGGACGTTCTGGTCGAGGTCGACTTGGAGGTCGAAGTAGAAGTTTTCGAAGCCGAGGAGGTCGTACTGCTCACGACGGGCGCGGTGCCGCTAAGAAGCATGGGTCAAATGAGGTCAGTGACTTTGTTTTTGTGTACATCTTGCCTCTTTTTTCTTTACGAGAACTCACCAAGCCACTCGATCGATGCACACCGCTCCGTTCGCAGCCGCGGCGTTCGAAGCGCATGTACCCAGGACCGTATGCGCGAAATTGATCGTTGTCGTCAAGCCGGCGAAAGCTCCGGTCGACTTGAGGTAACACATGCGGGTATCAAAGGCGAATTCAAAGTAGGTTGCGCCGGAGGTTGAAAGCGTGCGCGTGAGGCAGGCGTTGTAGTCCGTAGAGACGGCGCGAGACTAAAGAATAGTGTTTTTCGGAAGGATCGGTTAGCTACCGGACACTCGGACGGATTACAATTGGCCGAGCAGAACAACTCACATGTTCAGCCGACCCGGTTCCAGTACCTTGCAAACTGGGGTAGACGGACCATGCCGTCGTACCCGTTCCCGTCGCACAGACCGTCGACGAAGTTTGCCACATTGTGCACGCCGCATTTTTGGCTGGTGAGATTTGCAAAGGGGGGTGCGGATGAGTACATCAATGCCTGAGGGTAAGAAGTCTTCTCCCTCGGGTGCTCGCTCGCGACTTACTGGCAGTAGCGTAGACCGTGCAATTCGTCGCCGGGACGAACAGGTTCCACACCTTGCCATTCGTCACGGGGGTGAAGCTGCCAAAGGCGTTCGTTTGGGTGTACAGCGAGCAGATCTTGGTACTGTATCAACAGGCAGCAATGTTGAAGCATTATTAACTGCCTTGTTTGATTTTGTCTCGAACAGCTCGGTAGCGATCTTGACTTACGCTTGCGTGTAGGCAAAGTAAGTGCAGGCCAGAGTAGTGTCGCACTTGTAGCTGCACGCGTCGTAGGTGGTCGCCGATGACTGTAAGGAACAGAAAGACGAAGTCAGCAATTTGATTGCTCTTGAGTTGAGGATCGAGCCCCGCTTCGAAGAATAAGAAAAGTCAGGGGCTCAAACGATCCAAGACTCACGTTCGAAGCGCCACTCGGGACGGAAGCGACCATGTACGCGGCGTAAGTGCGCATCGCACGCGAGCTGTTAGCAGCCGTACCACCGACAGCGACAGTAGTCGGGCTAGGAATTGCGCTACTGCTTGAAGTCGTAGAGGAGGTGACTTTGCTCGATGTGGTGGTGGAGGAAAGGGAGACGGTAGACCTACTAGAGGATGTAGTTGCAGAAGGCGCCAGGGAGACCGTTGAACGCGTCGAGCTCGTCGTGCTCGAGCGACTCGCGGTCGCAGACTTGGTCGTCAAGCTCGAGGAAGTCGTTGTCGGGCTGCTCGCCACTACCTGCGGTACGCCATCGGGCAATGACTCGACCTGCGCCGTGCCACTCTTCTGGGAACTCGTCGTCGCCGTTGATCCCGAGACGTAGTAGATTTGCCATTCGCTCAAACCGATGTTGCTCGTCGTCGAACTGACGCCAGTGACGGTAAAGACGACCGTCGTCGTCGTCGTTGTCGAAAAGTTGATCGTCGTAGCTGTTCCGGCGTTCACCAGAGTCGGGACGGCGACAACCGAGTCATCGGAGAATGTGACCGTACCAGCCGTAACTTGGTCGTTCAAGTTGGGTCGGTCGTACATGACGAAACGGTTCATTGTAATCGGCGATGACCAGGTGATGGTCAAAGTGGCGCCAACACCTTGTCCGTTCGAAGCCCACTGCGAAAGCCCAGAATCTGGTTGGTTATGACGCTTGATCATACTTCAGCAAGGCTAAACGTACCTCTTGTGTATAATCTCCACCGCTCGATGTGTATCCACCTATAAGACCGTCGGAAGCCTTCTCGGGACCCTGACCTGGGCCGTTAGACGAGCTGGTCGCAGTGCCCAACATCGCAAGATCGGTACCCGGCGTGGGGCTGGCAGCAGCAGCTGAGCTCGTCGTCGTCGTCGTCGTCGTCGTCGTTGTGCTCGCACTGTAGTGGGAATGGGACAAAAGTCGAGAGTGAGTAAGAGCCAGCAATAGCATCCACGTCAGAGACTCCTTCGAATCACTCACGTAGGTACGACATAGTAGATCTGCCATTCGCTCAGTCCAATGTTAGAGGTCGTCGAACTCGTACTCGTGACCGTAAGCGTGACACTCGTCGTGGCACGGCCAGTAAAGCTAACGGCTGTAGCCGTTCCGGCATTCGCGAGAGCGGGGATCGAGACCGTAGATCCGTCGGAGAAGGTGACATACCCCCCTGTGATCTGATCGCTCAGATTCGGTCGATCGTACAAGACGAATTGGTTGATGAAGATGGGCGAAGTCCAAGTGATTGTCAATGTCGCACCAACGGTCTGGCCGTCCGAGGCCCACTGTAGAGAGTGATAAAGATGAGTCAGAATTTGGGATAATCCACAAACTTGTCGGAATGAGCACTCACTTCTTGCGTGTAATTGCCACCGTTGGTCGTGTAGCCACCAATCACGCCATCGATGGCCTTCTCGGGACCCTGGCTGAGGCTGCTCGACGAGCTGCTGGCGGTGCCCGAAAGCGCGATATCGGTTCCAGGCGACGGAGTCACTACAGCTGCAGTAGCAAAACCAGTCGGAGTTGGTGATGAGGTGGTGCTGAGCGCCGGAGACGAGGTGATGGTGATGTCAGAGGTATGAAAGATCAGCGTAAATTTTGCAGGTAGACGGGGCACGGATTTTGCTCACCTGGCCGCGACGTAAAAGATTTGCCACTCGCTCAAACCAACATTCTGAGTCGTTGAGCTGACACTCGTCACATTGAGCGTGACAGTCGTCGTGGAGCGTCCCGTGAAATTGATCGTCGTAGCCGTTCCAGCATTCGCCAGAGCAGGGATGTTCACAGTCGAACCGTCGGAGAAGGTGACGATCGCACCGGTGATCTGATCGCTCAAGTTGGGTCGATCGTACAGGATGAACTGGTTGATGAAGATGGGGGACGACCAGGTGATGGTGAGGAAGGCTCCGACACCTTGGCTGATCGTTGACCACTGGTGTGACAGATTTGCAAAGCGTCAGTTAGAAGAACTGCTACACGGCGAGGAAGTGGAACTCACCTCGGTGGAAGAGTTGCCTTGACCATTCTCCGTGTAGCCACCGATAATGCCGTCCTTTGCTCGCTCGGGCCCTTGCCCGGCAGCACCAGTCGAAGCGGTAGCGGCACCCGCGAGTGCGATATCAACGCCAGGAGAAGGTGTCGAGACAGGAACCGGCGCGGCCGTCGGGGTCTTGGACCTGTTTGTTATGATTGCAGCCGCGTGTCTGCGTGTCAGCTCACTATAGTGAAATGTGAGAATAAAAAGGAATCGCAAACTTACATAGATGTGCTGGTTGTCGTTGCGGTTCCGGTTGCGGGTGCGGATGTGATTGTGATTGCGGTTGCGATTGTGGTGGCCGTGGCCGTTGTTGTGGACGTTGTCGTGGCCGTGGCCGTGGCCGTTGTTGTCGTGGCCATGGCCGTTGTCGTGGCCTTTGTCGTGGCCGTGGCCGTGGTCGTTGCCGCCGCAGTCACCAAGTACATCTGCCATTCCATCAAACCAATGTTGGAAGTCGTCGAAGAGACCTTGGTTACTCGGAGCGTGACCTTGGTCGTCGTCTTTTGCGCAAAGTTGACCGTCAAACCCGTGCCATTGTTGGGCAAACTCGGGATCGTCACGACGCTGCCATCGCTGAAGGTCGCCGTCGCGCCAGTGATCTGATCGTTCAAATTGGGTCGGTCGTAGAGGATGAAGCGATTCATCGTTTGCGCTGAGCTGAAGTTGATGGTCAACGTCGCTCCGACGCCTTGGTGATCCGAACTCCACTCGGCAGCTTCGTTGCCTGTTCCATTCTCGAGGTAACCGCTCAAGATACCGTCGATGGCGGCGGAGGCCGGTTGACCATCCGCAGTGGTCGAGGAGGTAGCTGTACCCAATCGTGCCAAATCAGGTCCAAGTGCACCAGTAGGGGTCGAGGCTGCGGAGGTGGTCGTCTTGGAAGGCGTTGGCGTTGTAGTGGTCATTGACGAGAGCGCGCAACGTGGGCACGCCACACCCCAGGCCTGCAGCTCGGACAAGCCGACGTTCGAAGTCGAGGCCGAGACCTTGGTCACGGTCAAGAGCAACGTGTTGGTCACGATCGATTGATTGAAGTTGACGATGAGTCCCGTTCCATCGTTGAGCGGGTTCACGAAAGAGAGAACTCGTCCGTCGGAGAAGGTTAACTTTCCTGCCTGCAGCCAATCGTCTGAGTTCGGTCGATCGTACAGGATGACACCGGTGAGATTTTGCGGCGTCGACCAAGTCAGCTTGGCCCAGCTACCCACACCGCCATGATTGGTAGCCCTGTTGGGGATTGCAAAGGACCTAAAGGGTTAGTCTGCGCATGCGCCCATGAAACAAGAACGCGCTTACCATTCTGCTGTTTCGTTGGCCGGGTAACCAGAAATGACACCATCGTTCAAACCCGCCGCGCTGGTTCCACTTTCGACACTCGACACGCTTGGCACGGCCGTCAAAGCGACGTTCGTGCCCGCAGGCAATCGCTTCGGAGGCGTCTGGGCGCTCGAAGACGTCGTGGCCAGCGCTGGAGTGACGGCGTACTGGCGTTGCAACCAGTACACCTCACCTCGTCCGGCGGCCTGGCAGTCGGACAACGATTGGCATTCGTCGACATCGTAGGGCGTGTATGCGAAGAAGGCGGCGCACTTGGCCTTGTACTCGCTGGAGGTGGTCGATAAAGTCGGAGGGAGGTTCGACACCGGGTAGCCCATGTAACCCGCGAACGTCGGTGATCCAAGTGTGTACGCGCTAACGGCTTCTCGCGTAATTCGGCCAGTCGCGATATGATCGGCGTGATCTCCACCATCGAACTAATGGTGTGTCACGAGAAGCGGTGACATGAGAAGCGGTCAGATTATCCTCATCCTCTTCAATGGACCCGCTTTAGCCCCTGGGAAGACTCACGGCGGACAAATGATCCAAAGTTCGCACGACGGTCGGTTGACGAGCATTCAGGATCTCCACCAAAGCATTCTGCAGATCATTGTAGGTGTAGTACGCGTTCATGGACACAGTGTTGATCGTGCCGATCGTGCCAAAGTACAAGTCGCGTAATGACTCCGATCTGCAGGAAAGACTCCGAAGGTGGTGTTAATTTGGGGAGTTGATTCGGCGGCAAAGACTTGGCGTGCGCCATGCTCACCCGGTTACCGAGTACCCGGATCCATCAATATTGCCGTCCGGTAATCGGAACCAGAGCTTTTGCACACCTGGGGCTCCGATGAGAGTGCGCACGAGCACCGGCTGTCCACCGAAAGTGGCGAAGAATCTGAAGAACCAATCGCCGAAATCAAGTCAGCTTCTTGGTACCCAAGGTCGGGATAGGCTCATGAGTTTCGCTGAGACTTGCTCTGTGTAATTGTTGGCTACACCCATCATCTGTGCATACGCGGCTTCACTACCGCCTTCTCGACTTTGAGCGTAATCGCTTCCGGATCCAGAGTCGCCGGATCTGATAGAACATGAAACAGGAATATCAGTCCTAGGCACAAAGTACCAGATTATTTTGACTATGCTCACGTCAGGTAGATGGAAGTATGGCATGCATTGCTCGCGAGATCGCTTTGCAAAGCCGGGCCGGCGAACAAGAGGTCGTCGTCGGGATGGGCGACGATATCTGCAATTCACAGGGAACGAGGGTCAGCAACAGACCATGCGGGTAAAGACTGGTGACAGGGTGGCGGTGTACTCACAAACGGCACCACTGTTATAGGTCCGAGCGGAAAGGGATGCACGCAGAACGAAGTGTGTGTCAGTCGCCAGAGAAAGAATTCCAAGTCCAAATGCGCGAGACCGTGCCTTTGCCCCGGCCCTGTCGCCGGCCGCACCTCCACGCTCGCAGTTACGCGATCAGGGCGGCCCCTTTCGAGCCTGATTACTCACCCAAGGCAGTTAAAGACGCCCGCGGCTGTGGTGTAGTGAATCAGGGACAGCAGCAAGATCAAGTACATCCCAAACTTCATGTCCTTGCGGCCTGAGCTGTGCCGAGGCCAAAGCATGACGGATGGTGGGTGTCGCGTCGGAAGCCGCAGGCGGTGGCGCTTTGTTCGGAGAACGGAGGCCCACGTCTCAAAGGGAGGTCTCGGTTCGGATGAGGGGTAGAAGGGCGCGGGGCGTGCTGCGATCCAGGGGCGAATCGAGAAACCGGAAGTGAGCCTGGGATCGGACGTCGATGTACACTGTTGATGTGAAAGGGAGGGGTATATGTGAACGGGGAGGGTCGCTGAGTTCGACGTGTGTGCCACCCATTCTTGTTCTTATTTGCGCGACTCTAAAAAAAAGGAAGGCATCGCATCAGCCGGGGACATCTCGGCAGAGTCGAGTTTTGATCGAGGAGTGGACTCGTGCCACAGCCAGGTCGTGTGCCTTTCGTCGCGCGGCGCGGCACGGGGCTCTGAAATTCGCTCGGGCTGACTGTCGACGAAAAAAGTGTAAGCTTCGGGCTTGGGTGCTTATGGATACAGTCATAGCTACTTCAGCAAAATCGGGAGTTTTTGGGGTCTGGTTTGGCCAATCGAAAACTCACCCATGAAATCCCTAAACTCACATCAGGCCAGGATTATTAGACGACGCAGAACGCCCCCAGCGGAAATCCCGAGCGCCGGCGGCCAAGACTACTGATAAATGCCCCTTTGTCTCTCCAAAAGGGTGTCTCATCTTACTCAGCCTTGTGAATGGAGTTTGCCGTCGCGCTTGGCCTCGCGCGCGCTCAAGGTGAAACACGCCGGGCTCGTGCAATTGTCACGAACTTGCCTTGGCCGTCTTCATCACCTCTGTGGCTACGGTGGCACTGATGTGGAAGCACAGGTTCGGGTGGTGCTTTCTTGTTTTCGTTCTTTCTTCTTTGGGAAAACCAGGTCCCAGCTGGTCCTACTAGCTCTTCTGCCTCACTGCATCGATCACATCACCTGCCGCCTTTCCCTCTGTTATTCGTTGGCCGCCTGCAGGCGATTCGCGCAGCCGCGGTCTCGCCGAATTCGCCGATGAGTCCGACGCTCGACGGCGCACGTTTAGCCGAGGTGGCGCTTGTTCACTCCAAGGCTCACCTAATAAGTAGCTGTGCATGCGCCACCGTGAATTCGTGCATTTCTTGAGACTTGCTCGATTGGGATTGAAACGGCCTCTTTATCCAAATGCTACATTGCTACACTTGGGGCGTGAGATGAGCCCTTTGCGATGCGCTGCAACTTGTTGGGCTGTGATGGTTGTGGCGACGGCGGTCGTGCGCCGGTTGTGACTCTTGGGTTGCAGGACGTCTACGGCCGAAGTCCGAGTACGAGAGTCAAGACAGGGAATGATCAGCGCGGATTCGGGAACGGAATGAGAGCAGACACACTTGATCCTTTTTGTTTGCAGCTTCTGGCTCCCTTGGCTCGAGGTAGCCGGCGCGCACAGGGCGCCAAAGACGGACGCGGACAGGGGAGGGATTTTGGATCGACAACGCTCTCCTTTCCATCTTTGGGCCTAGGCGTTGACCGTTCGTGTGACGCTGGACGCGCGAGAGGCAACAAAATGAAGATCTGAAATGATGTTAAGTGATGTTAGGTCGGAGGGTTCTGATATAATAGCAAAGCCGACGGGCCGCCCGTGGCTGCGACAAAGATGGCGATGTCCCCAAGTCCCGCTGCTCCCCTCCCGTCCCCTCAGCCACAGCCACCCGGTCAGCTACACACCATGAATACTCTCATAGCGATCGCTCTACTCCCCCATATAGCCCAAGTAAGTCCCCCTCCTTCCACCCCAACACGGGGCGGGTTAGCCACGGCTGCCGTGCTCCCGAACTGAAACCCCTGGGTGTTCGGCTGTGCGTCCCTGCTCCCCAGGCGGCATTGACCTTGCGAGGACCGGACCAACTCGTCCAATGCGAAATCGCAAGTTTCAACTGGAGCGGTGGGGTCATCCCCTACAGCTACAACGGTAAGGCACTCGGCTGCGCAGGGCTGGGCAAAGAGAGGGGGTTGCGCGTGCCTCAGCTGTGACTAACCCGGTTGGTCGAGCGATGGCCTGAAAGCCGGTCCGGTGACGGCTTCGAGTCTTGAACAGAACAGTACTATTTGGCAAGGCGTGGATTGGGTTGTGGACTGGCCAGCAGGTGGGTCGTGCATTCGGGGAAAGCCTTGCGCTGGGGCGACTCATGTGCTGACGACCAACGCTCGACGCCCAGGCACGCCGATCAACTTCCGCGTCGCCACGGCTTTGGTGAGCACTAACTAGTCTTACGCACTTGGCAGCCTCGAGTACATACTGAGCTCTTTTCCATTTGATTTGGATAGAGGATGGACCCCTACCCTGATCAAACGTACGCCTACGCCGGCACCAAGATCGTCCAACCCAGTCCGAGCGGCGACGCAAGTTGCATCCCCGACTCGCATACCCACGAGACCGCCTTGCCCAAGTCAGTGGATGAGCCTCTGAGATGTTCTTCAGCGCGGAGAACACATGGCTGATGGTTTGCATTATGACTGCGTACAGTCAAGTCCGTCGAGAAATTGAGTCGGTCTGCCAAACACTTCGGGGCTGATGTGGTTCTCTCGTGCATACAGATGGTCATCACTTCGACCTTTAACCCGACGTTCAAGGTTTGTGCTCCGTTCAATGTCACCTGGACCGGTGGGGTCGGACCTTTCACCATCATGGGTAAGTCTGCGAATCGATAGCGTCTGCTGGGTCGTTTCTGAGCGAAGGCGTGCTTCACCCTGTGCGCAGTCGTTCCCGTCGACTGGGAGGAGTATGCGCAAACGTTCACGGCCAACGATCGTGTTTTCACCTGGACGCCGAGCGTTCATGCAAGTAAGTAATGAGAGCATGACTTAATCACCAAGATTTTGGGATTTGATCCGATTGCTCTTGCTCACCGGGTACAGGGAGTTCGGTCTATTTGACGATCGCGCCCGCGGATTTCAGCACATCTACGGTCGTGCATTCGCCGACGGTCTTTCTCGACGATGCACCCAACAATGAATGGTAAGCTCGCGGAAGATGATGGCACTCGCGGCGTACAGGCCAGAACTGACGTTGTTCTCCCCCTCGCTGCACCGAAAAAGCGTCGACCCGGCGTTTCGCAACGTCTCGTTCATCGCGCGACCGGAGAAGACGCACCCTCGTCTCGCCGGCGGTCCGATGCAACACAACCACATTAACCCCGGAATCACGATCGGGAACCGCATCGTCATCGGTCTCGGCGGTGCCCTCGTCCTTATTGTCTTTTACGTGAATCGGATCTTGACCAATCGAGTCCAGAAGCGGATGGCGTACGAAAGGCTCTGGTACCAAGGGCAAGCTTTGAAGGAAGCTGAAGCGAAAATGCTCTCAGGTTTCAGTGGGGGCAGTAGTCCTATTGAATCGTTGAAGGCGCAGACATTGCCGAACGATTCGAGTGGGACGCTGTATCACGATCTCCCCGTCGATTCAATGGGTGGGCCGATCCGAGTGGTTCGTTGATGGCTCGGACACGACAATGAGCTCCGGATTCCCGCCGCCCCTCGTTCCTTTGCTCTGTAGACATAATCTTAGTTACCTCAGCCCCTGTCTAGATCCGATCATTACCCTTCCTTCTTCCTGTTTCCTCATTCGGGCCCGGGCTGTACAAATCTTCCGAGCTTCTCCTTTCGTAGTCAAGATTACCACGCCCTCTTAGATTCGTCCTTACCCTGTTCTTTCTTTGCGTACACATCTTTTCTTTCCTTTTTTTTTTTTTTTTTTCGAAATTCCATGGACGCGACCACCTTTTCGCCTGTTCTACTGCGGCCGAGCCAGACGAACGCTGAGAATGGGGTCCGAGCGTCAACAGCCGCCGCCCGACGTCATCAACCTGCCACTGCAGTCACGGCGCTCTGTCTGGCCTCAGTTTCCCGCCGTCCAGACCGAGCGCAAGCACTTATTACGCGACGTCCATCGTGGGACCTCGTAACAAGGCGGAGACGGGAGTGGCGTGCAAGTACTACTCGCCGACGCTCTTCGAGATCGACTCGCTGCTGGATTGAACGAGGTCAAGCCACCGCGACGAAGGAACGGACCGGGACCGTTCGGAAGCGTGACCCACTCGCACGAACCACGATCCTCATCAAGCATCGGCCAGACCGTCCCCAAGGCCATGTCCAAACGACCTTTCTCGAGCACGGGGATAGCCAGCTCCCAAGCTTCCACTTCTTCCTCCCCTGCGCCACCGCCACGTCGTTCCCAACCGGCGTTCACGAACCGAGGCGATCTCTCCTCCTGGATCCTCTCCACCACGCCCTCGTCCAAGAACCCGGAACCACCTCTGCCCCAACCGATCTTCTCCTCCCCTCCCTTGACCGATCGTCGTTCCACCTTCGTAGCCCACGCCGCGCCCGTCACCTCCCTCCCCCAAGTTCAAGTTTTTCATGCGCACGTCAAGCACCTCATTTCCAAAGCCCATCCAAGAGAAGCCGATCATGAGATGTTGGGTTATCGAATGATCGGATTGAAGAGTGGTAAGAATGGCTTGGGAGGGGAGGAGGATTGGAGGGTTCAGGTTGGGGGGAGGACGACGGGGAGAAGGGGGGTAGGGGGACCATTACGGCCGTTTTGGAGAAGAGGGGGGAGGTCGATGTAGTCGTCGTCGTTAGTCGGTGGTACGGGGGTGAGTGGAGCAGAGTGGGGCCTTGAGAGTGGGTGGGTGGCGCTTGGTGCTGATACGGTCTTGTCGCAGGTATCATGCTCGGCCCCGACCGGTTTCGTCATATAGCAACGGTCGCAACTCAGGCTCTCACCGCCCTATCCGCCTCCACAGCTCTCACCGAAACCCTCGTCCACCTCCGACAACTAGACGATGAAATATCCCACCTCACCGCCTCCTCATCCCCGGTCAAAACGACCCCACCGGATTACACCTCCTTGGATCTGATCAAAGCTCAGCGATTGGTTTTGGCGAGAGGGAAGAGGTTGGAGCTGTTGAAGCGAAAGAGGAAGGAGGAGGACGTGGAGATGCAGAAGGAGTTGGAGGCGTTCGTCAGGGATCAAGGTGGGTTAGACGGGTGGGAGGAGGGAAAGGGGGAGGAGGGTGGAGAGGTGGAGGTCTTGGAAGGTGATGGGGATGGGCACGATTTGCCCCCACTTCCGGATTTGCCGTTGGATCTGACCCGGGAAGACGATGATCATCGTGAGGAAGGTGATCAAGCGTTGACGCAGGATGACGAGTAAAGCTTTGTAACGGTACTAGTCGTGTCTTGTTGTAATAACGAAAGCATCAGGTGCACATGGATTAGACCCATCCTCCCGCGCCCACGTGCCCCCCTCTGCAGCGCGCAACTTGCACATACGTTACATTTCATCTCAGTTGTCAGTATCTGAATCCTCCCAAACCAAAGCACAAAGAACAAGCCCCAATCCGCCTCTCAACCCGTCTTTTGCTTCTTCTTCGCCGGCTTCTTGGCCTCTTCCTCCGAATCCTCCCCCGCATCATCCGAATCCATCTCACTCCCCGAATCGTCCGAAGTAGCACTCCCACCATCCGAATCATCCGAATCGACCGTAAAGTCCTCATCGGGTGAATCCTCATCCTCATCGTCTTCCTCGGCCCCACCACCATTCTTGACAGTTTTCATCTTGACGTCCCCATCCTCATCATCCTCCTCTTCATCCTCCTCATCCGAATCGTCGGCTCCAAGAACGGCGGCTTCGACCGCGGCGATTTCGTCCATCTCGTTCTTGATCTTGATCTTCTTCATTCTCAAAAAGTCCTCGATCGGTTGCAACTCTTCCTTGTTCAAAGCCGAGAACACGATCGGGTGATCGGGGTCGCCTCGTAGACGAATCGAGAGATCGAACGTTCGAGCTGAGGGTAAAGCCCCCCCGACTCGAGCAAAGATGACGGCGGAGATATCGGCGTGAGGGACCAGAGTAGGTTGTTTGGAGATGAACAACAACTGCTTCTCCAAAGGGTACAACAACCCTTCGTTCGCTTTGAGGTTACACTTGACGGCTTGTTGTCCATCATGGGATTGGAACGAGCCAGGGGTCGTCACCTTCTTCTGCGCCATGACCCGGAACAAGACCGAGACAACTTCGTACGCCGGATCGTCGTAGTGCAGTTTGAGGTTGCCGTCGTATTTGTCCTTGATGGTCTCTTCGTCGAGGTTGAGGTCCAATTCGAGTTGTTCTTCCTTGATGAACTGCATGACGAGGTAAGGGTACCTCGTTTGACCTTGTCGAATGGGGGGGTCGATGTTGACGATGAATTGACAATGGATGTCGTCCGGTTTGGGCAAGAGGAACAATTTCTGGATCTGCGTGTACGCGATACGGTAGTCGTACGTCTTGCCTCGCAAGCGAAGGAACTCGGCGTGCATGTCGAGATCGAATCGTCCGCGGGGGGTGAGGCATAAAGCTTCGGGGATCGTGCAGAAGCTTTCACCGGTGATCTTGCCAATATCGGCTTTCTCCTTGACCGCGTCGTGGAAAGCTTGAGCGGCCGTGGCTTCTTCCCCATTCTCATCCTCGTCATCATCCTCGTCGTCGTCGTCTTCATCTTCGTCGTCGGATCGGTTCTTGCCATCCTTCGCTCCTTCGGCCTTGACCTTGTCCGTCTTTTTCTTCATACCTCTAGCCGAACCGGGTAGGTAGAACCTCATCTCTGCCACCTCATCCGGCATGGCCTTTAGCCTCTTCTTGCGAGCGACGGCATCCTCATTCTCCTCTTGACCCGGTTTGGGAGCCAAGGCGGAGGTGAACTCGAGGGCGACTTCGGCCTTGTTGATGGAGGTATTGTTGACTTGGGCCAAGGGGAGCGTGAAGGCTTGTTTGCCCGCGACGAGGAAAGCCATATCTTGGGCTGTGTAGTGGAGAGCACGATCAGCGATCAATCATTGGATGCATGGACCCGCACAACTCGGAACGCTCACCTTGGATCTCGGCGACCCCCCAATTCCATCCTCTGACACTGGTATCGGTCGTTTCGATCGTAGTGTTGTAGTACTGCAATCATTTCACCGTTTATCGCGATCCGATCAGCCCTCGATCACGGTTGATCGTACAGGAAGCGAATGGAGCCGAGCCGGCCGTTTTACCTGCTTGCACAAGTTGCCCAACCTCTCAAAGTCGTCCTTGAGGAACCCATCGAACGTGATGCGGTTCTTGGGGGTACCGATCCTCAATTGGAAATTCCTGGCGACCCTGTACGGTGCCAAAGAACAAGATCGAATCAGCAAACCCAGCTAGCTGCGCTGAGGGGGCGCTGAGGGAGGGCCTGCTCCTCCTCCTCCTCCTCCTCCTCCCGCCGCTTACCTGATCCATTGGATCCACTTGATATCACTCGACGGTACGGTAATCACACTCTCTTTTTCATCCGACGATTTCCATCCCAGACCACTGGGTGCGATCCTCAGTTCTGCACGCGGGAGGAACGCGGGTGGAGACGCGTCGGTGTCAGCTGGTGGCTCCTGCTCTTCGGACCAAGGAGGGCTGTACCGCCTGCTGACGTACTGCCTGGTGTCGGTCCCAGACCGTGGAAGATGGACTCGAATTGCGCGGTCGACATGGTTCCCTGCTTACGGAGGAGGGTGGGTGTTGAGCATGAACTCGGGGGGGGAGGGAATCGGCGTTTTTGCCTTTTGTCGCTCTTCACGCGCCGGCGCCGGGTGAATTCACAACGCGTCGTCAGAGATGGGTGTCAATGCGCACGGACCCTGAGCTCGAGCAGTGACTCGGAGCGAACTTTTTACTTTCGATCCTCCGTGCAATAACGCCCAGTGATCCACCTCAAACAAAAACAAAAACACGAAACAACCCACCCTACTTGCCACCTCCACCGAAAAACTCCTGCAAACCCCTCTGGTTCTCATCATGCGCACTACTCCCTATACCCCCCTTGGTCCTCACCAACCCTTCCAGATGTTCGGCCTGGTTCGTAGCGAGGACCTTGAATCTAATTCGAGGCAGGGGTACGTCGTTGGGATAAGGTCGAGGCAGCGCGGGGTTTCGTGGGGGTAGGTCCGGTATTGTTGGAAGGAGAAGTCGGATCGATTCGGGCACAGTGGAGGAGGAGAGGTCGGATTCTCTCCCGTTCGTCGGACGCGCGTTCGTAGCACTACTACTACTCAAAGCCGTCTCCTCCACCACCACCACCTCCTCCTCCTCCCCAGTAGATCCACCACTCTCCTCAGGCTCGGGTAACTCGTTCTGAACCCTGTCTACGACTTCCCCCTCTCGCACCAATCCCAACTCGAATCGACTCCAAGCCGTGTTCAAATAACCCCCGCTCTTGACGAACCTCACTTGAGGGTCCTGAGCCCGCGCAAACGCGTACCTCATCTCACTCAACCAAATACCATGCGCCACGAGCAAGATGTGTTGCGGCGTAGAGGATTCGGAAGAGGCGATGAGGTGGGGGAGCACGAAATGACGAACGACTTTGTCGGCTCGGAGGGAGACGTCGTTCAAGGATTCGGCGTAAGGCGCCAAACGGAACGCTCGGTGGTCTTCCCAGGGTAGGTGGGAGGAAGAATAAAGGCCGGCGTTCCAGGGCCATCCTTCGGCTTCTGTTGAGGGGTAAGACGATCGCAACTGTCAGCAATCGAACCTACTACGCCTTTCGATCGGGTGGAAAATTTCACGCCTCGCCCGAACCCAACCCAACGCACCTCCAAAGAACTGTTCCCTCAAAAGAGGCGAGACCGTAAACGGTGGTGGGGGTTGTGTCTTGTTCAACGAAGTGATATTGCGAGCGGTCGTTTGGGCTCGTTTCAGGTCCGAGCAATAAACCGCTACGGTGGTGGGGGTCAGGGGAAGGGAGGTCAGCGCTTTCAGTAGGTTTGCGCTCCTCGCTTACTTGGGGGGGGAGGAGGAGAGTGCGTTCTCAGAGGAGAGTGCATTCTCATAATTGGCGCAGACTCGCGCCCAACCCCTCCCCGATCCCATCCACCCGCATCTCATGCCCCCCACCCCCCACCCTCCACCCTCCACTCTTGAAACGCACCCGTGAGCGGCACGTCCTGAAAATGATTCGCCAGTCTCATCGATTGATTGAAACCATGATTCGTCAAGGGAGCATCTCGATGACCGGCCCAGATTGCTACACAAGGTGAGGAAGGCCAAAGTATCGATCAGTTCGTGATCGAACGCGAGAAAGCGGAGGGAGCCCCTCCCCCACACAGGATTGGGATCAAGTTACCGGTGACGTTATCCGCCGATTCACCGTGTCGGATCATGGTGACGATTAAAGGAGCCATGGTAGAGGGCGGCTTGGGTGTTGTGTGAAACGGCTGGGCCAGAAGGATGGGGCACAAAATGGCGGAGTATGATGCGCAGAGACGATGACGTGACCTCAGACTGACGTGACCGACCGGCGATATTGACCCGACAATGTGGATCGGATGGAGAGGGAACTAGGATCCCTCTAGGTGGACGGCCGGAAATAACCTCCGCCAGGCAAAGATCGAACTGGCTGATTGGATAGGATGAAGGCGAAGCGAAAGTGAAAGCATGACGACGACGGCGTGAACGCTGGCGCTGTCTGGCGTGACAATTTGCGTGAAGGCAACGCCGAGAACCCTGCCCGGCATTCACCACGGGCCGAACTGAGACTCTCGTCATTTGGCGTTCATGTAGCTCCTTCTGAGGCGAGAAGAGGTCCACCACCACAGAGGAATGCCAATTACACTACATATTACTTCCTCCTCCTCAAAGACCTCGTCGTTGTCGTCGCACTCCCATTACTAGCACCCTTGGACTCGCGATCCGAAGCCACCTCCTCCTTCTCCATCGCCACCTCCCCAACCCCAGCCCCACCTGCCCCCTCAACACCCATACTCCTACCTCTCAAACTCCTCCTCCCACCCCCTGACACCAATTCCACCACCCCCTCATGCCACAAATCCCCCCAGCGAGCTTCTTCAACGCGTCCAACACATCCGGGCAACGGATCAATTCCGCATCCCTTTCTTCGATGGAGAGATGCGTCGAGCCGGATTCGAGAGGATCGTGGGAGGTTGAGCTGGTGTGTCCTTGGCCTCCTAGACGGAGCACGGAGTCGTCGAGGGTTGGGTGAGGGGGTAATTGGTCGATTTGTCGGATGGGGAAGGTGCGCAGGGTCTCCTGTGCTAGCGGGGTCGAGAGTGCGCACTTTGGAGATAACGAAAGGAGGTCAGCCAAAGCCAGGAGCCGAGACAGACGAAGGAAAGAACCTACAGAGGGTATGTTTACCACCACAGGAGGAGCAGAAGGGTATCCCCTCGATTGCACCTCGAGTTGTACGAAAGGACAATGCGCCCTAGTAGTAGGATGCTCAACCATCGTCTCTTCATCTCGCTGAATGGTCGAAGAGCTTGAATGGTGATGCAAGTGAGGAGCGATGGGGTGAGGAGTCGTCGTCGGAGCTTCGACTGCGACAGAGACGGGTGCGGGTGTTCCTCGACGACGCTTGGGCCCGCCGGCGGGACTGTTCGTTACCGAAGTTGAAGTGCCGACTCCCCGTTCCTCGGACACGGCCTCCGGCTCCGCATCAGAGCGCGAGCGCTTCTTACTCGTCGCTGTCGAGCCGGGCGTAGTATGCCGAGTCGAACGACGAACGCTCGAAGGCGTAGAGGGGTCGGTCTCCGGTGCTGCGCTGGCTTCGACAGCAGCAACAGCAGGGAGCGGACTAGGATCCCTCAACGTCACCACGCTCGCAGATCGCCTCAGATTCCGTTCTGATCTCCTCGGGGTCAGCTCCACAGCAGGTTCTTGACTAGTTGGGTCGGGTGTGACGAGTCGAGGAGTCTGATCCAACGTCGGGATCGGGACGGAGATGTCGATGGGTGGGAGAAGGGCTTCGGGACGAAGGCGAGCTGAGATACGCCGAGGGGATTGGGTGGTGTCGGTTTCTGGTGTTGAGGTGCGAGCACGCTTGGCGGGCGACTTGGAGCGAGTAGATCGACGTCGCTTCGTAGTCGCGGCAGAGGACTCTTCGGTTTCCGCAGATGGCTTCGGAGAGGCCGGTGACGTTTCCACCGCGGCTCCGTCGTCCATCTCAACCGCTTCAGCCTCCACATGTGCCGGCTCGTCCTGACTCGCTGACACTACGATGGCGTCCAGCTCCTCTTCTTGCGGCACAACGGGCGACTCGAAATGAACATCCACCGACTCGGCATCATCCACCGTCGCCGCCACGGAGTGAAGCTCTTCCTCTTCCTGCTCCACGTATTGCTCCTCCCGTTCGACGACTTGATCCACCTCACTGAGCAACATCTCTTCGACCGCTTCGTCGGCTTCGGAATCCGAACTACTCGCCACTTCATCGATGTTCGCTTCCGCCTCGGGCGTCCAGGGATCTTCGACGGTCGGTAGAGGAGCATCGAGGTCAAAGTCGTGCTCTTCTTCTTGACCGTTGACCACTTCAGGTCCAACCTCTTCCTCAAAAGGCTCCAAATCGCCTTCCCCATCCCAAGAAAACTCGGCTCCCTCCTCGCCGCCATCATATTCGAACGGCTCCGCCTCAGGCGTCGTAGTAAAAGGCTCATAATCCGGCGTCGTGGAGCGAAGGGGGGCCCCAGACTCGAAGAGTTCTTTCACCCTTTCTTCTACTTCAATGACGTCGGGTGCATCGGGGAAGAAGGCCTCGGTGAGGGTGGAGTCTTCAAATTCTTCGGCGTTGAAGGGGAGCGATTCGAGCCTGCCTGGGTCGTCTGGTGCGGGGGTCTCGGCTTCGTGATCGGACGATTCCTCGATTGCGGCGGGTTCTTCGGCAAGATGCTCATCCGACGGTGCCTCGTCATCAAGTGCCTCGTCTTGCGGTACCTCGTCTTCCCAGGCGGGCCTTGACGGGACCTCCGATGTAGGCAAAGCCGGCTCAGCCTCCTCCTCAGCTTGCACCAAAGCCTGACCAGCGAACTCGTCCTCCTGCATCCGATAACCGATATCCAAATCCAAATCGGAAGGCAGACTCTGCTTCAGAGGCGAAGAAGCGACGATCTCTTCGAACGCGCGATCGATGTCGATCGGTTCGGGGACCCCGATAGTGTCATCCACTTCGATATCGACTTTGACTTCGATTTCGTCTTCCTCATCGTCGGAAATGACGGAAACGTTCGCTGACATGGTCGGGATCGACTCGTCATCATCGACGATGACGAGATGTTCGGAGTGGTGGCGCGCTTTGAAGAAGGCTAGGTCATGTTCGTCGATGATCGATGACTCGCGGGCGGGCTCGGGGGCATGTTCGAGCTCGGTAGGACTTTCGGCTGCGACGGACTCGATCGATTCGTCTGGAGCTTCTGTAAACTCTATCGTCTGCTCCGTCTCCTCGACGACCTCGAAATCGGGCGGTGCCTCGATGAAAGGATCCTCCTGCCCCTGCATCTCCTCCTCCCCCTCAATTTCTCCCTCCTCATCCTCATGCGAAGGCACCCGATCATATCCATCCGGATCAGGCGTCAACAACCCCGTCGGACCTTGCACACCACCTATCGTGACGCTTGAAGGTGGAGTTGCTCTCACGACCGAGACTGTGGAGTTCGAAGATCTGGCTTCAGGGGTGGAGGGGGATACTTCGGCCGTTGTGGAAGGGCCGGCTTCGACATGTGTTTGTAGGGAGAGTCCGGGTGTGACGTCGGGAACAATGTCGAGACCTGTCGGAATTACATCTGAGACTTGGACATAGTCGAGAAGAGCATCGAGGGAGGCGCTGGAAGGGGGCATCGTCACATCGATCGCTGTGAGGGCTGCATCGGTCGTGATCGTTTGCTCAGATGTCGGTTGCTGTCGGGGAGAAAGGAATAGGAGATGAGCACCTAAGGGATGAAGATGAGGTATGAACAATTTTGACTTACTGTCTCCGGGAATGGATTCTGAGCAGTCTCCTGTTGCGCCGGTTGGACAGGGAGTGTAGTCTCCATGAAGGCCCTCGGCGCCTCGACCCCAAATTGTGCCCAGATATCGCCCAAGCCACTGAAGTGTTGCTGCGAAGAGTCTTCCAAAGTCTCAGCTTCCGGAGAGGCCACTTGGACCGATGCTGTGTCTAGGGTGGACTTCGCCGCCGATTCCGCGGCAGCGCCGCCAAATTGTTCCTCTAACGTCGCTGCGGGAAGGGCGAGGGCGGCTCGAAGGGCTGCGTCCATGCCAACATGGGAGGGTTGCGGTTCCGAATGAACGTCTGAACTTGAGGCGACTTTTAGGGTCGTCGTCGTTGATGGAGATGAGAAGGTCGTATCGAAACGAATGGGCGAGGAAGGGTCCCATTCTCCGAGCTCGATCACATTACGGATCCGCGGTGGGGCAGGTGTCGAGTTCTCGTCCTCGTCCTGTGGTACCTCGGAAAGCGAAATCTGTCCCAAAGCCATGATCGAAACTCGGATCAGAGATGAGGAGTATCTCGAACCAGACCAGGGCAACTGACCTCATTCGAGACTTCGGCCATACCACCATCGGTGCTCTCCTCTTCAAGCACCACAAATTGAGCATCCTGACCAAGCTCTACACTCTGTTCAGACCCCGGTGTAGCAAGTTCCTCATTCCCCGTCAAGGGAGCGACCTCTTCTCGAGGTAATGTAGGTGGTTTCTGAGGGATCGCATCCTCATCCTGTTCTTCATGACTGGGCGTAGGGCTGGAGCTCATCAAATCGACGGGCGAGAGGATCTGCACGTCGTCATCGTCTTCCTCTTCTTCAAGTTCGTCATCCCCATCTTCTTCCATTCGATCATCAGTGCTGAACCTCCCAACCTCAGCCGATAGAGGAGGTGCAAAGCCGAAAGCCGCTTGTTCCTCCACGGCCGTTGCTTCCGCATCTGCCGTCGCTTGAGCTTGGATCTGGTCTTGGAGGATCGCGAGCCAGTTCCCCTCGGTCGACTCGGTCGCACCAAGTGTCGGTACACCCATCACTGCCTCATTGTCAAACATCGTCGATTGTGCAGGTACCGTATCGTCTTCATCCGGCGTCGGAGGTCGGTACTGGTGTCCGGTGAAGGCCATCTCGTGATCCTCGGTCTGTTCAGCGTCCACGTCCTCATCTACACCCTCGTCCAGGCCCGATTCGTCCTGGTATGCTTGTGCGAGCCCAGATCCCTCCTGCCCACCATCCTCCTCGTCGAACATCTCTTGAACGATCCGCTGCGTCTCGACCTTGACATCAACCCGAACTTCTTGATCTTGTCCTTGCGCGTACCGTTCGAGCATTTGCAGGGCCAAATTTTCGATTCTATCTTGGGCAGCGCTTCCATCGTCCTCGTTCTCGACCTGTTCGCTCTCGTCGTCCTCTTGATCAAAGTGACCGCCGTCGACTTCGTCGTCGTCGTCGTCTTCCCCCTCCTCCCCCTCCTCCCCCTCCTCCCCCTCACCATCACTCGACAACTCCCCCCCTTTCTCCATCCAAGCCTCCTTGACGATCTCCCACTTATCCTCGACCCACCTGACCGTTTCCTCATCCTGCTGTCGGCACGCACTGTCATACATCTCCTGCAACGTCTTCATCAACTTGGTCAACCGCTCAAGGGTCATATCCGGGAGGTCCTCGACTTGGAAATTGACGAGCGAGTCCAAGTCGTCGTCTTCCTCGTCGTCGTAGTCCTCCCCGTCGTCTTCGGGTTCGAGAGATCCATTTCCGCCTTCGGAATCAAAGATCGAACCGGCCGAGGCAGGCGATTGAGTCGAAGGTGTCGGTGCCCGACCTTTGCCTTTCAAATGCGCCGGAATGCGCGTTCCAAGCACCTGTGCGCTCGAGATGGAACGATTAATCAGCTGCGTGCAAGAGGAATCGAATCGAGACGCTGATCGATCCCCTCTCGTGACAAACCTCATCTTCCGCATCTTCATCGTTGTATTCGGGTTCTTGGACGAGTAAGCTTGGCCCTTTGATCATCGGGTCCCAGAGTTCTCCTGAACGGGCGTTTCTGAACGCTTCGGCCATCGAGGGAGGGAGGGGAGGTGTGCCTTCTTCGTCATCATCCACTTGTTCATCTTCCACGTCCTCGTCATCGATGGGTTGGAACACCCCTCCATCATCATTGACCGCATCGACTTCGTATTCTTCTTCCAAGATCTCAACGAATGAATCCACTTCGTCCTCTTGGGCGTCGACACGAGTAATCTGTTGCATCGATAGAGCGAATGCCGTTTGAGGGTCGAGGAGTTCTTCGTCCTCCGCTTGGTCTTGTTCTTGGACATGCTGTTCCATCTCGTCGTCGCGTAAGTCATCTCGAGCTTCTTCTTCCTCGTCCTCCTCATCATCTTCATCCTCTTCCTCTTCTTCGTCCTCCTCCCCATCCTCTTCGTCTTCCTCTTCGTCGTCATCCTCCTCTCCATCCTCTTCATCTTCCTCCTCAAGATCCACCTCCCTCTCCCGCTGAATCGATCGCCTACCCTCCGTTCCAAGATGGCGTTCCAACTGCGACGGACGAGGCGCCTCGTTCATCCATTCATCCTCTGCGACTTGTTCAGAACCTGACCTAACGTCATCGACGGATCCTTCATCGTAAGAGCCATCTTGCTCCTCCTTCTCGTCTTGCTCGTCGGAAGAAGATCCCAACTCGATCACTTCCGTCTCGCCATTCTGTCGAGGCTGCTCTCGGTCTTGTTTGCCCAAAATAGGGTCAAATGAATGACGCGGCGCTTCAGAGGACGATTCGTATTCCTCTGATGTTTCGTGGAGGAAGAGGGGACGGTTTGCAGTCCAAGGTGGGGAGGCGACACCCCGTTGGTCGTCCTGTTCGGCGTCGCTGTAATAGACGATCGGAGCCTCCCCCCCCCAGATCAGTTCGATGTTGAAGACAGACCATCTCATGGAGCTCCCAAGACGTACTCGTTCCCAGCGGTCCCCTGTTGTTCGATTCGTTCCACCGCCCCAAACACATCCCTATGACGGCCCGTCATCGTCTTTGTCGTCTCCGGTCCCACCGCGTCCGGGCCCCTCAAAACATTCTTGATCGTTTCCGTAACGCCTTCGACGAAACGATCGAACTTGTGCTCGTTCAACAGATCGAACGGGTTCGTTCCCTTGCCGAGCCTGGAAGGACTGGAAGGATTGACGTTGAACAAGGTGGGTCGGATCGACGAGACGTGGATCGGTCGGACGTCGAGGGACGTGGTGGGAGTAGAGAGCGCAGGAGCGAGCGACGTCCTTCGCGGGATGAGCAGCGACGGACGCAGGCTCGTTGGATAGGTTGAGGAAGAGGGGGCCGGTCGGGGGAGGGGTAGGGAGGGTCCGATGGTGGAAGGTTGGTACGCGTAGGCGTTGGGGAGTGGATGGTCGTGACGGTCGTGACGGTCGTGACGGTCGTGACGGTCGTGACGGTGGGATGGGAAGGTGCGCACGCTCGCAGCGGGGGAGGGATACGGTCCATCGGAGGTCATTGTGTGCTGGTAGGTTCACCACACCTAGGTGGGGTAGAACCCCGAACGAATGAACGGACGGGCAGGGCGCGGAGAGGAGAGAAGATGAGAGGCACGGATCGCATCCGATGCCTGCCCGCAGAGGCCCGCTCTCAGGCTCTCTCAGGCTCTCAGGTGTGGCCCGCAGTGGCCCGCCTAACAGGCGCGCACGGGCCACCCACGCGCGCGCGGTGAGCTGCGGTGAGTTTAAGCCGAGTGCGCGCGTCGGCCACACTGGCAGTCTCAGCCGATCATCTTTGTTCGTCCTCGCCGCCGGTGTCAGGCTTTTGGTTCGTCACTGTCCCACAGTATCGACCTGGGCATGGGTCATCCTTCTCAGTGTCAGTCCCACGCTCAGCCTACAATCGCAAGGCTACCCCAGCCCCTATCTGCAGTGACTCGTCGGCCGAGTTTGGCTGCTCAGTGCTCGGACTGGTCGTCATTTTCTCGCCCCGCCCGGCCCGGTGCGGCCCCGCATATACGTACGGCAGCTCAAGCTGACTGACACGCATGCACCGAACCCCCCACTGCCAAGTTTTAGGAATGTCGCCGAGACAGGGCATCGCAGCGATGCGAAGCATCATACCCCACCACTCTGAACCCCTTCAAGACCAAGTCCCAGACAGTGATGCTTCAAGTGACTTGACTTCGCTCGACCCTTCGTCCGACAACGACAGCGACTCGGATCATAGCGACCAACAGGACACCGCGACGACCCCTTGGTGGTGGTCCGCTTATGATCGTCGGCCCAGTTTGAGGTGTCGACCAGGCAGGGAAGTGCATTCCAAGATCATTCTCGACACCCCGCCAACTTCACGTGAGTACGTCAACAGCTCTTTCGTTCATTCACTCGTCACTGATTCTTGTGCGTCAACTTGCAGCGAAGCAAGAACCCTTGGCTTCAACGTTCAGGTCTTCGTCGTCGTCGTCGGCGGCCGACGTTGACCATCGTCGGCTTCGGAAACGGCCCGCGCGCACGATCGAACCGGCGCCAAGTAGAAGGCAGAGTAGACGCATCAAGGCCCACTTGCAAACACCGCGGGTGCACGAAGGTGAATTCGCTCGTCTCAGAATGAGCCTTGTCATCTCGTGGGCTCAGGCTCTCGAAAACGATCCACAGGCGACAAGTGCTCGATTTGGATCGACATTCCAACCGTAGGATCTCCTTCGTCGCCGATCCAGACTTGCCCTCCCGAGAACGACACACAGCCGTCCTCGGAACCTCGACCAGCTCTACAGTTCCCAACTCCTTCTTCTCCCTCGCTATGCCTCGAGCGGTCTCTTTACTCGCCTAGCCTTCTAGCGCCCGACTCGCCCCGCCCACCTTCCGAGTCTTTCGGAACGAACCCTGAACTGTCATGTGACTCGCCAACCCCATCCTCACCTATATTGACTTGCCCTCCTTACGATCTGGATGGATCCTTTGATCACATTGAGGATTCGGAAACGGAACGTGAAGAGGAGCAAGCCAAGCACAAGGCTCTTCTGCAGCATCACACGATCGAGGGGCCCGCGGACGCCGGAGCATCAAACGTCGTACCACCAAAGAATAACGCCATTCTCAACTTGACCTCCAATTCGACAACTCCAACGAATCCCCCGCCACCTTACACCCCATCGTTCGCTATGTCACCAACAGCAGACACAAGCGCTCCAAACGCTCTCCGCGCAATTCTCTCGCTAGCCCCAGTTCACGAAAACGATACCCGCAAGACGTTCTCGATCGATAAATCGGAATGGGTCCAACCCGAGAAGGATCTCAAAATTTCCGAAGAAGGTTTCCCTCCTATTTGGTGTCAGGTTCGTCAGCGATGTACTCTGATGAAGTCAGGCGTTCAAACCCAAATACTGATGCGACCGCATTATCGCGCGTTCCATCGATGAACAGAGTCGACAAGAACTGTGCGAAGCTTTACCGTATTTCCGAGCTTATCAAGGAGGGCACTATGATTTAGGCGAGAGGTGTATCGGGTACTTGCTTGATGGGTACCCGGCGCCTGGGGATCGTTGCGAGGCGAAAGGGAAAATCATCATTTCTCAGTTAGTTCGCGATCGGAGTCCTTTTGTGCGGTACTGAGGTGTCGAGCTGACCTCTTTTGCTCTATGACAGTGGTGGCGGCTGCTCCGAAGGCGACGGCAACGAATTCCGACTCGTACGCGATCAAACGAGGGAGAACATACGCGTCCGTGCCTTGATCAATTGCCACAAAACCCAAACGCCTGTCGTATTACTCGCTGGTAAAAAGTACGTTCCGCAGGGGAGTACTGCAATTGGAAGAACGGATGGAAGGTTCACTGATCAGTTTCACTTGTGCGTTCATAGTTATGCCCATTTCCCTTGGCTTGGTACAAGGGATGTGAGGTACTGCGTTCTGGGGTACTATATGGTTCGAGACTTCTGGGTGAGTGCTAAAGGCTGAGTCCCCAGGTATAACAAGGTCTCCGCCGCAGACTTACACAGGTCTTCAATTGTGCAGGTCGAAGCCGAACCGAGCAAAACGACCTCTGGCAGCGGCTACTTCACTCGCTTCAAGTTCCTCTTCGAGTGGGTCTCGTCTCAGGGGCAGCCATGGTTCGAGCAATTTATTGGTCCTATGAATGGTAAACGTTCGGCCCTCTCACCGACAGCTGAACAGATCGTTGCTTCAGGTGAAAGTGGCAAAAAGTGGTGCGCAGCATGTCAGCGCTGGACGCCGGACGTGTTCGAGCAAGCCGTCGCTTGCTTGGATGAAAGATGCGAAGCTTTTTTTAAAGTCAGTCGAAGGTAGCCTTTTTTCTTTGTAGAGAAAACCGATACTGATCTGTCTCATGCGATCACAGATCCCCATCCACGGCCTCGAATGGTCCGAAACCCCACGATCCTCCCTCTCCGATCTGAACTACCGATCCTCACTTTTTCAACCGCGCCATACCCCCCTGAGCCAACAAACCATTCATGTCCCTCTTCCCATCTACCCTCCAGCCCTACAAGACCTACGCACCTCCCTCGTCGACTATTCCCGCTCATCCTGGCGCGGGTTCTGGTGTCGTCAATGCGGACGACTGTCCTCGCGCTCGCAATGGTTCTCCCTCGTTTGTTCGAACCCTTCGTGTAAGGAGACGATCGACCTCGAACGAAGGATTATTAGCGCGGACGAACTACGATCGCGGAAACCGAGGAAAGCGCCGAGTTTGAGCGATCCTACGTGGCTCAGTAAGATCGAGCCGAATGAGGATTGGGAAGGGTGGGTGATTGATTTAGGCGACGATACGAGAATCTTGCAATTGTGGGCCAAGGTGGGATCGTCGAGAGAAGGACTCGCAGATGAGTTGCTCGAGCAGTATCAGTCGAGGGACGTGGGGGAGCTGTTGAAAAGGAACATGCTGACGAGTCATAAAGGTACGTCGTCCTCATTTCAACGACTGGTGTGAATCTCGAGCTGACCATACTCCCTCGACGCTGTTAAAGTCTCGGGAGGTTTCCTCACCTCACAATTCTCTTTCAACACCGGACAGTCCTACAATCACGTCGTATCCGTCGAATCTTACCCCTTCTCGGACCAACCCAACTCCTCGAACGCCAGCCCCTCTAGAACCGCTCCACCCTGCGTGACGACCGCTCGCAATCACCTTCATTCCGCCGTACGTTCGCTCTGTCCCGGTTCATCCGTGCTTCAACCAGGTGGATTCAACGAAGTCCTCTCCGTCGCTTATTATCAAGGAGGCAAGATGTCCTACCACGATGATGGGGAACATGGCGTTGGACCGATCGTCGCCAGTTTGAGTTTAGGGGCCGACGCGACGATGTCGTTCAGGAGGAAGATCAAAGGTGCTTCCAATACGACTTTGATATCGAAAGATGTGATGGAGGGGGGTGTCAGGAAGGCCAAGGCTGTTGCGCAGCTGCAGTTGAGGCATGGGGATGTGATGATCATGCACGGGGGCGGGGTGCAGAGGAATTTAGACGTGAGTTTGCAGTTTTTGTGATACAAAGCGAGGGAAGGAGAGCTGATATTTCCGTGGTCGTTCCTTATGTAGCATATGGTCGAGCCCGTCAATCTCAGGTTTGGTGAGTACCAGAATGAAGGTTCATTTTGCGTTTCCGTAGAACTCGTCACTGATGGATACACGTGCTCTTCCCACAGCTGCCACCGCTCGCTTTATCCACCCCAGCAACGGTTCGACCAAAACGGGACGAAAGAAGAAGACGACTCCCATGTCGGACGCCCTCGCCCTCGCTACATCAAGCGTGATCGCACCACCTACACCCACCTCGATCCCAGCAACCTTTAGACCAATCTCAAACCTCACTACTCCCGTGGTCCCGCAAGCGTTCGAGCACACGCTACCTACGTTCCCAGTCGACCCAGCCAGTTTACTCCAGACCCATATCTACAACCTCCCCCCTCTTCCTCCGAGTTGCAGCCCGATCTCTTCGTACGATAACAGGCCTTCGTATGTGTTATCTGGTGAATACCACCCTCGGAGTTTTGTGTTGCCGCCTCAAGCGACGGCGAGCTCGTTCGAATCCCAATACGGTAGGGGGAGTACAACACCTTATTGGCCGCCGCCGCGCCGGTGACAGCACTCCCGAGTCGTCCTGCCCTGTCGAGGAACGTTAATATAATCCTTGACCCTGGACCTACCACCTCCATCGGTGGATCGGACGGATCATCAGGCTAACCAAACTTCACCCCCGGTATGGCACGAACCGACTTTCGAAAACGAGGCGAGGCGGTCCGGTTATAAGCCTCAGCTACGAGCCGAGAAGTATTGAAGTGTGTATCCTCATTGTACTTAGCATTTTGTAACCCAGAATGAAACACTGTAATAAAAAAAACCTTGCACGATGAAAGTGAAGAAATGATATGCTGTATGTCACGTGATTCACCTTTACGGCGGTTGTCCGCTGTCGCGCTGTCCGTCACCTTGGAATCCTGCTAGTCCCAGGGGCCCACTGGCAGCTGGTCACCTGACAGTAGCCCGGGCCTCCGCGCGACTGTAGCGTGCTTTCGAGTCAAAAAGAGCAGAGCAACACGTCCCGAACTCGGAAACGAGCGTGTGTGATCCTGGTAGGCGCCGATCCCTCATGGTGTTTCAGTGCAGCAATTTGTAGAACCGCCGACTCGACTCGGCGGCGCGTCGACACGAGCGCGTAGGACGCGTCGCGACGCGCTTACAAGCTTTGGGAGAGGCGGGCCGAGCCAACGAAGGCTCGTTGGAACTGGAACTGGCGATCGTCACTGCCGGGTCCGCGCACGAAACGGGGACCGACGACTCTTTTCCGCCTTTATGTGCGGCAAGTTCCATAGGCTCTACATTTCTCCTATTCCTCACCACTGGTCCGACTGCATCATCTCGTCCTTCGTGCTTCCGTGTCGACCCGGATCTAGGGAGGCAACCGACGATGAGTGGCATCCACCTGATCCCTGTACCGGAACAAAGGCGGCGTCCGTCCTTGTCTCCAGGCGGTGGCGACCACCTACTTGATGTCGGCCCGTCCTCCTCCATGTCGTCGTCTTCGCTGCATCAAGGATCACGTTCGCCACCCCCGTCACCGTCACCCTCCCTCGCTCCCTCACCCATAATTCCTCAAACCTCCTTCGGCGCCCCCTGCTCGTCCGAACACGGCCGTCACCGTTCCTCACTCGATGGATTCACAAGCCCCAACATCGCCGCACCGGCCAAACGTCTCTCCAAGATGATCTTTGCCGACCCCATCCCAGAAGACCATCATGCCGATCTACGCTACGGTGAAACGCATTGGTCAGGCTTGCCTTCGCCTTCACCTTCGAGAACGAGTTTCTTGGATCCTTCGTCTGCAGCTGCCGGCCCCAGCGAGGTGGCCGCGTTCGGGCTAGGGGTTTCGACATTGGCACCGCCACCGATCGATCCCAACACTTACTCGAACATGATTCCCGACCTTTCCTCTCGAACGGAGAGTGTTATCGAATTCAATGTCGAACCTCCGGCGAAGGAGTATGCTTCCAAAGCGGTGTCCGGTGCTGCGGCGTCCAGCGACGGCGAATCAGAGTTCTCGCATCACCAATCGCTCGAGGACACGCCGCTTGAATCCACTCTCCCTCGAACGACTTACGTCCCACGGAGTACTCAACGAGCCCCATCCTTGACTACCCGAGTCACGGACGCTTTGATTGGGTGGATCTCGAGCCCTTCCTCTTCTCCCTCGGGATCGTTGTCTTCTGGATCCGACATTTCCTACGATTCACCCATCTCGACCGCTGCTTCGACGCCTCCTCGCTTCCGCTACCATGTCTTTCCCATCTCACCTTCGTTGCTACGACCTCACCCTCGTCACATCCATGGCGCAACTTCGTTGGTAACCAAGTCAACCCGATCGTCCAAGAAATGGATGCTGTTGGTTTGCGCCGCGCTCAGTGTACTCCTCTTCTACCATCGAACAACGCTCAGCCAAGAGCTCGAGCATTTCGAGTCTCTGTCCAGGACGGAACTTCAGGCAGCAACGGCTGTTCCAAAATCACGCCCATCTCGATTGGGCCCACTCAAGTCGAGGCTTCGCAAAGCCGCTCACGATCGTTTCAGGAAAGCGCCTTCTTATCGAACTAGCGCGTCTCAACTCTCGGCCAGTGACGAGAAACGCATCGAGGCAGGCGAGTACGATCGCATCCTCGCGCTGAACCAACCCCCTCGACGAAGGATCTTCGGCCCCGACGACTCGGGCCTGAATGCCAACATTGGTGACACCAAACGGGGTCGATTACCCACCGTCGCCGATCTTCGACGCCAATTCAACACCGACAAACAAGCCTACATGGCCCAACGCAAAGGATGGCACGAGTTCGAATGGAGGGCACCCCACGTCGACGCGAGTTTGCGGCGCTCCGAAGCGACCTTGACGGACGACGAGTTTGAATTGAAGCGATGGATCCGTCGTTTGCATCGAGGGATCACAGCGACGTCGGTGGGATTGGCGAGGAATGCGTCGCAGGAACCTTTACCGCTTGAATCGGTCGAGTATGTACCGGAGCTGGGGGCGATGCCTTATCTTTCGAGGGCTTCGGGGTCGATCAAGAAGTGGGAGTCGTTGGAGTTTCAGGCCATGTCGCCTGGGGATGGGGGGATGTGCGCTGGATCGATTTGGATGGACGAGTACGCTTACATGCATCGAGAGGTGAGTCAGTGGTGGTGTCGAGGCAAGGCTCGAGAGGAGTCTGTCGCTGACGTTGGATGGTGCCTCCTTCGGCCAGATCCTCAACGGTGACCGAGAACCTCGTTTCGTCTCATACCACTGCGAAACGGGCATGAACTGCGGTGGCGCAGCAGATCGGATCCTCGGTCTCACCTCGACCTTCCTTTTCGGCCTTGTGACAAACCGAGCCTTCCTAGCCGAATGGCAATCGCCGATCCCCCTCGAAGTCATCTTTGATTCCCCCCGCATCGACTGGTCCCATTCCTCGTTCAATGTCGATTCCCACCCCGTGCTAGGTGATCTCGATCTGGCGTCCAGGGCGAAGGAACTGGATATCGTCAACTTTGATCGATTGGCTATGGACACGACGTTCAGGTCCACGGTGTGGAACTGGCAAGAGGACAGACACAGCAAGACTTTGAAACCTGGGTTTGAGCAGCGTGATTTAGCGTTGCAGAGCCCCTGGGTCAAAGTGAGCGCCAGAGCAATCTTTGCGTTGCCTCATTTCTGAGCTCAAATAACTCACAAGAAGCCTATTTCCCTCGATACAGATGTACACGAACCGAGGCATGATCTCGCGCTCGTTCCATTACCCGACTCTTCAGCCCCGTCTGCAACAACTCGGCTTGCACCCCTTGACAGCCTTCTCCTGCATCTCAAACTACCTCTTCAAACCCAAACCGGCGGCCCTTGACCTTATCACCTCCTATACGAGTCTGATGGAGTTGCCGACTGTCTTCAGTGTTGGGATTCAGATCCGAACGGGGGATGAGAGTATGAGGAACCCGGAGCATGACCAGAGCAATACTGGTGAGTTCTCAACTGTGCCTCAAAACCCGTAAAGCAGCTCATCTAATCCCCTTCATTTCCCTTCTCTTCCCCTCAGTCGCCCGTCACTCTGACTATTTCCGTTGCGCCCGTGAGCTCGCCACGACCTATTCCCTCCCTACCCAACGCATCCTCTACTACCTCGTCACCGATTCGGCGCACCTCAAAACCGACGCCAAGCGCGTACTAGGTGAAGCCCTCGTCCTGACGGACATGAAGCCTCATCGTGACCATCTTGCAAGTTCGCATCACGCTGTCGATGGTGTGATGGGCGCGGTGGTGGAGAATTGGATTTTGGGCAAGACGGATATGAGGGTCACAACGCAGGATAGTGCCTTCGTACGTGTTCTTCTATATGATTGTCTCCGGCATGCAGATCCGAACTCAAACTGACTTCTGCCTTCTTCCTCGGTCACTCTCAGGGCAAATTGGCCGCATTCGCCAGCGGCAACAACCATTCGACGGTGACGTTACTCCCTAGGAACCATCCGGGAAGAAAGATCAAAGCCAAGAAAGGAGGCAGGGGGAATCTCGATTGCACCAAGGCTGGTGCCCTCGTGGGCTTTGATGAGTTGTCCTCGACGGGTAGTTTGGGTTAGGTTTGGTTGAAGATGAAAGAGGCTAGAGCATCGCATTGTTCGTTTATTTATCTTATCTTGTTGAGTGATTTCACTGTTGTAAAAAATAAACCCAATTGCATTCCTCAGTGCGCCGAACCGCGGTCCGGGAAGGTCTTGAGGCGATATCTGAAACTTCCGAGCTTCGCTCAGACCCGCCCCTTATCTCCTGTCTCGATTGGCGACAGGGGCTAACCCGTACCGTCGCACTGACGTGGCGTGACTGGGGTCTCACTTCCTCGTTCGTACTTTCTGAGGGCAGAACGCTTCCCTTCGTTACACGCTCAACATCGACTACTGTCCCCGAGCCCGGCCGTTGTAAGTGACACTCTGACACCGAGGTCTCTTGACTTGAGGTTGCGTCACTGGACCTCGGCCTCAAGGGGCTGGGCTCGTTCATGGCATACCGGCGACACTTGATGTGAACGTGAATGATCGCATTCAACTTTGAAAGCTGACTTATCCCGGTACCTATCACAAGAACCAAGCCCGCACGGAAGGTCTTACATGTGATCTCTTGCCGCTCCACGTCCACGTGTCCTTCGCCGATCCCACAACGCCGCAATCATGTCAGCTCTCCACCGTCGTACCGTCTCGTCTACAAGATCCTCACGGTCAAAGGAGAATCCACCCTCAATAAACCTCAACACCTTCCCTTTCTCCTCTATCCCTACTAATCGATTCAAGCCTCGCCATCTTATGCCAAGTTGCTTCATCTCCATCCTTCGTCGATATATCCCCATCCTTCGTGGATACATCCACCACACAAAATTGACCCTACCCCGAGTCCTCTGCGTCTGCCTCATCCTCCTCTACTTCATACTTTACCTCATCTCACACCTCATCACCTACGGTCGCTCACATCACAACAAACCCCTCGTCTGTCCCCCGACTACGGCTTCCATGCCCCTCTGGGAACGGCAACAAAGTCATCGCCGCGTGATCCCAATCTATGAGACATTGGATCAAAGCCACCGAAAGAAATTGGAAGTGCGGTCTATGAGTAGGTTGAGGAAGCTGAAGGAGAGGTTGAGTCCTCTGGTGGCGAAGAAGGCACCGCTCGATGATGGGATGGAGGTGGAGGAAGTGAAGCAGCCGGCGCGGCGGGTGAAGGAACCGAAGGGGAAAACAGGGGAAGAGAAGGCGGCGCACGAGCACGGACTCACCAATCTGCAAGATGTTCAACTCCCAAAGAGCGTGGCCTCACAAGTCGAGAACGACACTCGTCTCAAGCCCAAGCCCAAGCCGAAGGGGAAAGGCAAGCCGAAACCAAAACCCAAGGGAGGAAAATCGAAGCATTGGAAGCATAAGGGTTCGTCGGGCGGGAAGAAGGGCGAGGGCAAGAAGAAGGCCAACAAGAAGCCAAATAGTGAAGAGAAGCTCTCAATATCAGTATAATATAGTCTAATCTATCAAGTGCGCTACAAGATGTCTACACCAAGGGCCACCGCTAAGGCGATCGGCACCCATATCCCTACGGCTCCGAAAATACTACTCGAAACCCGCCCAGCTGCTCCCGTGTATCCGATCTCGTACGCCGTCTGGTTGCCGATCACGTTCCGGAACCAATCTTCGACCGTCTGATTGCCACCTACGGCTCTGAAATCAACCAGAACCTCGGTACCCTCGCCTCCGCGCTTAAGATAGTTGAAAAGCGAGACGGCTTGCAGATTGGGGAACCGGATAGCAGTGGTATTGGACGTCATTTGAACGAACCAGGTCGCTTTGAGGTAGAGTTCGTCATCAGACCGAGGGAAAGGGGGAGATTTCAAGGAAGGGGTATAGCGAGTTAAGTTGGGTAATGGCCCGGCGATATCCGTGTCGCCTGCAGAAACGGATTCCAAATCTCGGAGGTCAGATTGAGAAAGGGCGAGGAGCAGCGCACAACCCATTCGAGCCCTTGACTGACCGGCTTGATCGTAATAAGGGTCACTGTTGGGGAGCTCATAATAAAATGGAGCGCTGGTCTCGGCAATCACGATTGGGATAGGACCGCTCAGCTTGAGGGGGTTCTTCGAGCCAGTGGATCCGTTCGCCGGCGTCATGAGGTCGTAGAAAGATTGGAACCCGTCCCGGAACATGTTGGTCGCCGGGGCCTGGTTAACCAACTTTTGATAACCAAGAGAATAGTAGCTATCGAAGAAAATGTAGAGCAGCATGATAAGTAGGCTGTGCAGAATACTCTCGTACTCCGAGCGCGAAAAATTGACCTGAGGCCCGCAATGTCGACATATGCTTCCCCGGGGAAATAAGGTATATAGCCTTGGGAAGAGTCGCTGACTGCGCCTGACCATATGTTGGGTGCCCAGAGCATGTATGTCTGCAGTTCATGGCATTTTCGTCATTATGGCTGAGAAAGTCTGTCGTAGTCAATGAGTCGAGCTTCCAAACTTACCTCATTTGTTGCGGCGCGCACTGCATTGGTGACATCGACCCAAATTTGACGATAGAGGTTTGGTTGTAAGCCATAGGCCATCCAACCACCGTTCTGTGGGGTTTGTTACAAGCAAGTCTCGGAGTAAGCCACCAGAGCCACTCGAGCACTGGCAGGCGCTGCAAATTTTCTCCATTCATCGGCACGGAATGGTAACTGACCATTTCGAAGAGTAACCTCAAGTACACGACAATACCTTGCTGATTGACCTCCTTGACCGTGGCAGCAATTTGCTGTGTCATTGCGGGCGTCCACGTATTCAACGATGCACCGTACAAGAACGCCGGCGCGTACACGGCCTTGACGTTTCCTCGAACGATTCTTCGGACCTCGGGGAGATGGTACTCGACTTGGCGCATGTCATAGTTGCTAGGTGAGAAGTTGATGTAGTCGCCTATGATCGATACCCCGGCCCCTGTAAATGTGAATGGGTGAATGAAAGTATCAGTTGAGGTATGTTCGCTTCCGCCGAGGATCGGTGGATCCTTCGCTCGCTCGCCTCCACTTGATCTCGCGGATGCGACTGACCCAGTGCTCGATTGATATCGGTTGGTCCTTCGTGGGACCAGTCCGGCAATACTCCAATCGCTATCGGTCCTTGACGAATGCCATTCGAAGGAAGACCGGGTAGAGCACGGATCGGCTTGTAGGACTGAGCCGATACCAGCGCAGTGAGGTCGCAATTCAGCACGATAAGCAAGACGACGATGACATAATGGCAGCAGGTCGTCGCAGGGAGAGCAGTGGGAACAGTGGGCAGAGTGACCAGCGACCGTACTCGGTGACAAGGTGATAGCATCCAACACCGTCTCACGAGAAGTCACACGGATAACGCTCTACACTCTGTGTTCAAAGCAAGGAAGGGAGTCGCTATCCGTGGCTATGCAATGTCGAAGCGATGCCAAGACTCGAAGCGATCCTCGGCGTCCGCAGTGCCCATCGGCCCACCAGGCCTTAGGGCTCCTCGGACCGCTGCGCTGATGATGTTTATGTCAGGTATCACACAGAAACGGGCCTTCACCGTGGATCACCCGTTCTAAGGGGTAAACGTTCATCCGATTTTTTGGATATTGACACGATATGACACCAAGGCGTTATGTTCGTCGGGCCTCGGCAATATGCAGTGACCTCACACTTGGACACGGCTCATCCCCTGCGAGAAATGGTTCCGGCAGATTCAGGCGGATTCGGGCCCGCGCCAAACGCGTTGTCATCGAACTACGTATGCAGTCCATTGACACCATTCAAAGCTTGGTATGTAAACGAGGGTATGTTGAAGTCCGAGCTATGAGCAGCACGCGAGTGGAATATCGACTGGGGAGAAAGAAGTAACGGGGGGGAAACTACCGTACGAGCACAAGTATAGGGGGAATTTATGCCGAAGGGAGAAGAGTGTCCAGAAAAAAGTTGAAGATGGTGCGATCAAGCCGCTTCTCTCAAGCGACGGGGTGGTGCTTCTTGTGCTCCTTGTGCTCCTTGTCGTGCTTCTTGTGATGCTCCTTGTCGGCCATCTTGGGGTGCTTCCTAGACTCATGGAAAGACCCAGTCATCAATAAAAGTGAATTCGTAGCCGAGGAATAATGGTGAAGAGAGTAAAGAGACTTACTTGCTCTTCTTGACAAAGGTCGCGGGTTTGGCGGGTTTGGCGTCGTTGACCTTAGACTTGATCCCGGAAGCTTTGCCATGGTTGCGGCGGACCAGGTCAAGCTCAGCGTCGAAATCGACGTTCAAGTCTGCGTGGGTCTGTTTTTGACGCTTGTGAAGACCGGAAATAAGAGACTCGAGTCCGGCGTCCGGAAAGACACCACCAACACCGGGAAGTCCAGAAGCACCGGTGTCAGGTGTGGCGGCGTTGTGATCGAGTGTGACGTCGTTGAGTGCAGACTCAGTGTCCGAGAGGCTCTCAACGGGAATGGCAGAGTTGGAAACGGGAACGACGTTGTCGAGCCCTCGCTTGACCTTGTCCGTGGGAGATTTGACGCCGCCGCCGAAGAGACCGCCGAGGAGGGGAGCGTTGCTGACGATGTCCGTAATGGGTTTGGTAATTCCGTCCGTAAGACCGCGTTCGCCGAGGTTGGAGGCCGAACTGGGACGTGTAAGGAAGCATACAATGGTACGTATAGATGAGTGGGTCAGTCACGGTAGTAGGGCGGGGGTAAGCGGTGCACGTCACCGATAGGAGGCAACGTACGCCGGGGACTGGAGGGCGTGCGCAGCCGAGGCAGCCACGATGAGCACCGAGAGCGACTTGAGCATGAGCATTTTGTGGAAGTGTTAGTTGGAAGGTGTGAAAAGTGTGTCCGGTAGTTATGGAAGATGGGCAGATTCCACGACAGAGATGTGTGGGCAGGAGGGATAGAGTGGAAAAGGTGCGAGAAGACCACTTTTAGAGGGCGGGGCGAATCCCGGCGGGCGGATGATCAGCCGTCGATCACTCACAAGATGCGACCGGAGCTGAAACAAGACTTAGGGCGGTGCATGACTTAGATCGTTCAGTCCCTAGTCCGTCTCCAGAGTCCCGCTCGGTGAAACCAAGTGCGTTTTTCCGGAATGGCGCTCTTTTAGCACTTGGTACTCAGGGGCGAGGGGCCCTCGCGTCGAGTTCCGCTGAACAAGACTAGTCGGAGTTCATGATGCAAAAACTTTTACTTAGATGCCGACAGCTAACACGGCCCACACCGCCGTCTCCGGGATGTTCCGAGTGGCCGCGCTGGCAATTCGCATGCACAGACTTATGATCTCCATACTGACCAGTCGAACATCATCCTGATTAGTGACCACCTCCACCTCGCGGGCTGTTCATCACCCCTCGAGTCGGCGTGAGATCAAAAGCGCTCACTAATGGTCAGGCGTGGCAGACAGGAGAGGGGGGAGGAGAGCCTCATTTCGGTAGCACGTCACATGAGAGGAGATCACTCAGCTGAGTTGAACGTAGCAAGATTGAAGCCACCGCACCTAACCACGCCGTGTCGATCAGTAGCCTGGAGGCCAACCTGCACCTGGTACTAGGTAGGTATGTCACTTTTCAACAGCTTCGGTCGTTAAGCACGAAGCCTTTTTAGTGGCACCGATCATGCATCGTGTGAGACCGCTTTTGGTATTTTCGATGGGGCCCTCTCTCGCACAGGCCTACGTCCTTCTCGATCGAGAGTCCAAAGCTCGGACGTGTTGTAATGTAGCATGGCAAACGAGGACAGTACGAACTGAAACAGAGTATGTATGAGAAGGTAGGAGTTGAATAAGCGCCACCGAGAAGACCGCAGCGGCGAAGCTGTCAGAAACAGGCGCTAGCGAAATCGTCTAAAATGTCGGGATGTAGTCGTTGATCCGGTCCTTGGCGTTCTGAGCAATGCACTCGGCGATCCAGGTCAGGCTACGGATCTCTTGCTCCTTGAGCTTGAAGAAGCTGTAGAAGAGTCCGTATTGGAACTGCTGCATGAACGCGAGCTTGTTCAAGCCGACCTCGTGCTGGAAAAAGTGGTCCTCGAGCGAGGCTGCGCCGTCGGATGCTCCACCATTCCCTCCTGCCCCGGCCTGTGTCGAGTCGAGGAACGAGCGATACTCGACGACGGAGTCCAAAACGGTTTTGACTTGGTCGACATCGTCGGCTTTGGCCAATGTCGTCGTGCCTTCGGGATACAATCGGCCCAACGATGGGAACAGCTTGGCGCGCTGATCCTTCGTCAAGGATGTGCCGAACGAGTTGATCGTGATGTTGAGACTTCGTCGGTCGGCTTCGAACGAGAGGATCGGCGACATGATGTCGGACGCTGGCGATCCCAACGACAAGATGAACGAGTGGAAGTCCTCGAGGTAGGCTTTGTACAACTATGGCGGCGCGAGTGATCGTCAGAAACTAAGCTGATAACCACATCAAGGGTCCAAAGTGGGCTCACGGTGTTGCGGACAATCTCGATGTTGAGCTCGTCGAGATCCTGGGCGCTGAGGCAATCTCGGAAGTAGGGAGCTGTCCAGGAGGAAGCACGGCGCTTCGGTCAGTGTGGACGGGTCGAAGGCTTATTCGGACCAGATCAACGGGGAAACTGACCCAAGGGTGTCTCCACCATGACGGTCGAGTAGAGCTCTTCGACGTTGGTAGCGACGCACAGGGCCGGCATGGTGTCGAACACGCCGAGCGGGTGACATCGCTCGAGCAGATCGTGGGTGTCCCGCTCGTGCAAGGTGCCCGAGATGAGCAGCACGACGTTGTCGATCATATAGGCGTAGGTCATGTAGTCGAGGAAGGCGGTCAAGGGTGCGACGGCGTTGGACTTGATGTAGTTGAACTCCTCCACGAGTCGCTGGGTCGCCTTCTCGGCGATGGTCGAGGTCGAGATCGGGGGCGTCTCATTGGCCAGAAAGTTGCCGTAATCGGTGGCAGAGAGCTGCATGCGGAAGTCTGTGCGGGCGACGCGTGCAACAAGACCAGATGAAATATACCGGGATAGAGATGGCATTGCGGGTGGACTGACCATCGAGGGTCTCGCATTGGGTTAGGTTGGAGTACTGCGTCTGGGTCAACAGCCCAGCCTTGAAGCCTCGGATGATGCCTTCGAGGTAGCCCGAGTGCGAGTTGAAGAAGAGAGCCTCCATGTCGTGTGAACGATATGAACGATATTGGGGGTTGGACAAGGATGTGAGAGGCAGAGGTGGTCTTTGATCCCGCAAGGCGATGAGCACGTCGACCAGGGAACGAAGCTGTGAGCTGTGAGCTGTGAGCTGGAAGCGATAGAAGGGAGGTGTTCCACGAGTCAGTATACTGTGCGGTCAATCCGAGGGCAGGTACGCGCTGTACCACAGCAAGGCGGAACATCGGCGGCCGGGGCAGCCGATCAGGACGACGGGTGAGCCCCGTCACCCACGACGGCACTACTCCGAATCCCGCTTGCTGTGGCCTCGTCCGCCGCCACCGTCACAGAGAAAGCATTCTCATGATGGCTTCACGTGGTCCAGACCCAACAGTCCGCGCGTTATGACACTGACCTGCAGCTGAGCCGAGTTGGGGCGTAAGCTGGCGCTCGACGGAGTGGTGCGATACCACGCCACAGATCTCGTCTGGAGAGGTCCGTTTGATTGAGGAGCTGACCGTCAGAGCGGGACTGAGTTGAGACGCTGTAGTATGAGTCGTGAGTTGGAGGGGCGGCTGAAGCCAGAGCGAGGGCCAAGCGCCGCCGCCAGCCCAAAGGCGGAGTGGTCTCTCGCACGGACCCACACCTCGAACACCGAAGCCTCGCGCCACTATACGACGCCCGCAACCCTCAACCTGTTGTCAGCAACGGTGCGGACCGTCTGCAAAGCTGGCTATTTTTCTGTTGGAGCCCCTATGGGATGCAAGACATTACAGCAACAGCTTGTCAGCAATGGCCAGGGATGACCATGTATTGGGCAGAACCGCCGACTCGACCATGCGCAAATTGAAGGGGCCGATCGGAAGCGATCTGAACGTCGGTTGAGCTGGGGGTCTCAAGGCTTGGAAAATGTCGCTTCATATGTCGCGTCACATCTAGCTTCCATGGTATCAATGGTATCGTTATGCTGATAAAACATTAAACCTATAGCACCATACATCCGCCCTTCTATCATTTCCAGAACAAGATACACATCTTAGGATACTGCGAACTTGCTAGCACGACTATATCGAACATGCTTTCCCAGAAAAGAACCCCCCGACGACAATCCGTATTTCTAAGTCTAGGTATGTATGTGGTCTAGTATGTACAACAGGTCGTAACGCTTTTCACCTTTGCTCGACCATGACGTAACCCTTTCGTGGCCTCCTCGAGCGCTCCTTCCTTCTTTCGACCAAGTAGAACGCCACCACGGCCCCGACCGCTACGAGCGTCAGACCGTACGGGTTCGCCGCGATCGTTTGACCCAACCTGCCACCCATCCCTGGCTCGACCCGATCGACCATCTCGTCATTCGCATACGGAGTTTCTACTTCGTAAGTTGAAGGAGGCTCGCTTGGGAAGTCCGTGTCTTCTGGCCTTGTTTCGGGCGGCATCTCTGGATCCCAAGTTTCCGGCGCAGGAGGAGCATCTTGGTGCTCGTTCGAAGGCGGCGCTTGCGACCACTCGGCTTGGTCGGCCGTGCCCTCGAAGCCGGCCGAAACCATCCCGACTTGGCCCTGATCGACGCCAGAGTCATCAAACTCGACGTTCACCGTCACCGGTTGCTTAGCGGGCTTGGGCACCGCTTTCGCCGGTCGATACTTGGCGGGGATTTTGACGGCGGGGGTTGGCTTCGGCGGCTTGACTTGGAACGTCGGCTTGGCCGGGATCACGACAGGTTCAAGTCGCGGCTTAGTAGGCGCCTCGGCACGATCCTGTAAGATCCATTTGAGCGACTGCTCCATGATGGTGACCATACTCCAGTCCTCCTGAAACTTGTGGCTGCGGCAAGCGCCCAGGATCATCTTAGCACGGACCCGTCGCGAAGCCGCCGAGTTCAACAAGGACGTGGGCATCTCGGTCAAGTCTTTGGTGATCTCGAAAATGTCCACCGTATGGTTCCAGTCAACTCGGTAATGACGTAGCGCACCACTCGCGAATTCGAGGTCGGGATCGGTCGGTCGAGCCAATTGCGGGCCCCTGTCGGCGATCATCTTGGGCAGAGGCACGGGAATCGCGTGCGAGCCAAAGGCATGCAAGATCGCTTGCGCGCAGATGCGACGTTGCCTTGTGGTTTTACCAGGAGCAGTGCAACCGCTGAACCCGAGCGAATAGTCACCGTAGCCAAGAATTGTCGTGTGCGTCCCGTCGAGGAAGTAAGCCCTAAGTCCCAGCGTGCGGTATTAGCCGATTGCGCACGGTATCACGGTCCCAAGCCATGGCCCGGGATAACTCACCAAGGGTCCAGGATCTTTTTCGAGCGTTGACCATAATCCATGTACGCTGATGAGATTGAAGTAGAGAAAGCCGTGGGAACGCTCACACCCGGTTGCTTCCAATCCCACTTGCCGTAGGTATCCATCACCTCGTCGAGCACGGCCGAGCTGGGAGGAAGCCCGCGCGAACGACACCATTCTTGGCCAAACGAATGCGAGAACAGGATCGCACTGGGCAGCAGTCCCTGCGTCGCCTCCTCGAAGTCGATCTTGAGGCGAGAGATCGTTCGTGGGTGAAGAATGTAGTGCCAGTGGCCTTGCGGGTCCCACGTGTGCTGCGGCACCTCACGAAGCCAATCTCGGAAGGGGAGCATCGCCGTCTCGGGATCGGCGTCTCGAGGAGGGGCCGACCACGTCGATTGGCCTGAGGGCTGCAGGACAAAGTACTCGTCCCAGTCGATAGTCGAGACCCACCGCACGCCATCGGCCATCGCGCGCATGTGGCAATCTTGTCCAGCAATGCTCTGACCCCAATACCAGATGCTGTTCGCGACGCGGAGGATTTAGGGCAGGGGTAGGGGTTAGCTACGGCCTGCGGGAGATCTCTGCTCTATACCCGTGGTCACTGACCCTACGGTAGGATGGTCTCCATCGTCAGCCACACCCAGGAGCTCTTCGCGCTGCGGGTCCAAGACGTCGATCCCCCGAACGTTCCACTCGCTCGGGTCGACAGCAAAGTCGTGGTTCATGTGCGTATGTGCAGTCCTCGCCTTTGTGGCCCATTCTTGAGGAATCCCCCATCGAATCGGCACAAAGTCAGGGTCGGTCGCTGCGAGCTCTCGCACGACCGCCAGCGTGATCGGTCCTGGGTCCAAGAGGTAGGCGTAAACCTTGGTAAAGCCGAGCGATCTTTGGTACTGCGCCATCGCCGTCCGACATCATCGCCCATAGAGATCGCGGTCAGCATGCAAGGCGACGATGCATACTTACTGACACACGATACTTGCAACTCACACTGAGGTGGTCCCGCAGCACGGGCGCGTACAGCTCGCCGTGTAGAGGAGCAATGCAGATCGCGCCTGGTCCTCGACCGGAGCGGTGCTTTTCCACGTCCAATGGGGCGATGGATCGCACGTGTATGAAGACGTCAGCAGGAGGGGCTTGGCCGATTGACGTGAGGGTTGCGAAGCTGAAGAGAGTGGAAGTGCGTAGTTAATATCTCTTGTTCGCCAAGCCCGCGCGCAGTCTGGCGAAAGGACGGTCCCAAGAGAACTCACATTTCAGCCTCTTGCCAGTTTATAGCACGGTATGTCTCCTCGGGGATCATAGCTAGGGAGCAGACGAACTGGGCTTGCGAGAGAGTCATATATCTATGGAATTGAAGATTGTGCGCACGAGTCAGTCCGCATGCTATGAAGCACGAGAAGGGAGGGTTCACTCTTGATCGACTCACTGGTGTCTTCGCGAGTGGGCGATCATAGCTGTGACCTTGCCATCGCCGGCGTAGGAGGTACCATCGTACGCCCGCACAAAAATTGAGCATTCCACGATCCCCTCCGGATAGGTGAGCGTCTTTTGGGTATTCACGATTTCGACCCCGTTCAGCACGCCATGAATCATGATTTCGTGCCTTTCGTCCATCACCAGCGGCCTCGGATCGAGGAAGGCCGAAACGAGGTGTACTCGGTCGTAAGGGGCCGGGGTGTTGGCTTCGAGTAGATGATGCAGAAAAACTGGTGCAAGTGTGTTGGAACTCCGGAGCGTCTTGGAGTCGATGGCGTCGTAATCGGCCCAGGCTGGCAAGTCGTCCAGCACCTCCTGCCTTTGCGTGAATGGTCTAACCGGAGTGTCGATCGCGGTAGCGGGCTCGATCAGGGGCGCGTTGAACGATGGCCGATCCGTCGCGTCGCGTTTCGCCAGAGCCAGAGGCACATACTTTGATGGCCGCCGAGCGAGAAGGGCCGGAGGATGAAGCAGCGAGAAAGCACACACGGAGCAAATGACGAGTATGCAAATGTAGATCCGGTAATCGAAGTGCCACCAGTGTCGCCCATGCTTGCTCTCGCCGGACGCGAAGACCGCCGCCGTCTCGCCGTCAAGCTCGTCGAAGGAGCAAGTCCAATGACTCGGGTCGTGAAACGGCCGCTGCTTGTTGGTGCCCATGTTGGATTTCACGGCCGGGGTCGAGTGTACCGATATACCGTGACTGCCGTCCTCATCGCATGAGGCCTTGGGAGCTGTTGCGGCAAGTGATAGCGCCGTCATTCCGAGCGATCGCTCGAATGATTTCAGGGCGGCTTCGTGCGAGGGTCGACCCGGGACCGGCGGGAGGGGGGGGGGGGCTTTGTCCTTTTTGTGTTTGTTGTGGTCAGACACAGAGAGTAGGAGCTCAATACATCGGCACAAGGAATTGTCGGTAGGAGCGCGGTTGAGGCGGATGGGAGGCGATCGATTGCTGAAACGAAAAACAAAGTGTCATCACTCAAGCCTTGTAGAGCCTTGCAGATCAGGCCAGATCAGGCTGATGGGAGGAGGTTATTTCAAGACTCCCTACTCCCGAGCCGGGATGCGGCGGTGCCCGTCCTCCCCGCCCTAACCATCCCAGTCCCTCGGTCCCTCGGCCCCCGCGGTCCTCATTCGCGCGTCGCTTTTTCCGAGGTTTCGGTTTCATTCAATCTATGACACGGTCCACGTTGCAAGTTGCAGTCAGTCTGGCAAAACCTACCTACCGCTTGTGTGAGGCTACTCTTTAAGCAAATCTCCCCAGCGGGAGAATTTAAAATTGACTGGTAAGAGATGATAAATGGCGCTTGTATATCAGAGAGGACTCGGAGTCGAGACTCGAGAGCCAGCGGATGCCTGGTCTCTTACGTCATGCCAATTGACATAAGCTAACAAGCCTTGGAATTGCCAACTGGACAACTGTCCACAAAATGCGGTGCACGATGAACAAGGAGCTCTGTTTTCGGATGGCGCGTCGTCGGACCACGACGGGATGCGGACGACGCAAAGTGACTATGGCGCATGGTGGCCGTTTCACACTGGTGCGAATACCTTCAGCGGGTACGTTCGGAACGCCGCTACGACCTTCCATCTCGACCGAGCACGCGCGCGCGCCACGGCCGGCAGCCGGTTCGCGTCGACTTCGTTAGCGCCTCTGATTCATTTGTTGGGGCCGGCGATCAGACGCGTGTCGACGACGTGGTGTGGGAAGTAGCACTAGTGTGGTACCCTTCTGCGCGGATATACGGTACCCATCTACCTACCTATCGGTAGGTAGGAAATTAACTTCAAACACCCTTTTAGCATTTGGGGTTTGCCAGGGAAAGTGGCCGTTCAGAACATGTGACGACGCGAAACCACGAACCTCCACTGCATCTAAGCGGAGTCCGTACGCACGTATTCGTCAGGCCCGGGAAATGTGCGCTTGCCGTGTAGCTAATGTAACCGCCGCGTCTGCCTCGTCAAAAAATTAAGAATAAAAATGTCTGATAATGCAAGTGTTGCGCTCGGACGGTATGCTGACTTCGAAAAGGTCCTGCTTTACCTCGCGAGCAACCGGCGGCGGGCTCGGGTGCTTTGACGCGGGTGTTAACGAATCGAAGCCGAGACTGTGATACGCCTAAGAGAGCATGAAATGCATGGTTTACAAAACCCAACCGAGCAGCCGTGTAACTATGCAAAACCTATCGCTTTGGGCAGACTCCCTATTCTTTGGCCCTGTTGCGCATGAGAGGCCAAGGCCACTGGTCAGGAGGTGCAGTGGCGCGCTCGTATTCTATATATCAAGGATAACGCAAGTCCGGATGTCAACTTAAAATATCTTGAACACAATAGAACTTGGCCAGAGCATGTGACAAGCGGGATTCTCTCAACCACCAGACCTTGCCTTGAACAGAGGCCATAAAATTTGTCGGAGCTCAGCAATCGCCTTGGTGCCGTGGGTGGGCATCGAGCGATTTCAGATCATGGCCGACATGCAACAAGCTCGCAGAAGCAGACAATGATTGAGCTTGAGTGTTGATATAAACCGTAAGATATGTTTTACATACTAGACCTCCACAAGTAGGACGTGTAGAAGCAGGGTCTGTTTGAGCGAACGTAGGGACGGGGGAATCCGGGAGATCACCCGAGTGCATTCGCCCCAGGGCGGCGCCGAAGAAAGCTTACTCAAGTAGGAATCTTGAGGCGGCCAATGTAGACCTGTTTACAGGCGGCTTTGTTGGCGGCGACGAATGCACTCTTCGAAAGCTCAGAGCAGTTCCCTGGGAGCAACACCATCGCAGTCTCGTCGGCGGTTTTGACCAAATTCTGGTCCAGAGTGTTGAAAGAGGATTCGGCGCATGCATCTCTTGAAGGTGCCTTCACTTTTGGTGTACTGGTTAAGGCGACCAGGATGGTTTTGCAACACAGAGGGCCGTTCTGCCCGGTACATTTTTTGGCGCCATCCGCATTGCCAGTGTAGTAGATTACTGAGGCAAGTAGAAGCTGAAGGCGATCAGTAGGATGACATGGACGGATCACGTAAGGTTTCAAGACCCACCCCGAGCCTGTTTCTGGACGCGTACGCAGTTTTGGGGGTCAAGGTCATCGGGTTGGAATCCCCTGAAGGGCTGCTGCTTGGGTAGGTAGGGCTTGGACAAGCCATAACCTTGGATCTGCCCGTAAGGGTTGCCATAAACGCATTTACCGTCGACGAGATTGAAGTTGGTCCCGCAGGTAAAGGTCGTAGTACTGTTGCAGGTCTCGGCGAAGGGGTCCGTGCAGGTGAGGCATTGTTTGCCTGCAGCAGAGAGAAAAGCAATGGCAGAGACACATCAGGGCATTGGTCATCAGATTATTCGAGCTTACTAAGCCCCCAGAGCCAGAAGAAGAAGTGCTCACCATCAGTGGTGAGGTAGATCCCGCCGACGGCGCAGTCCACGGCTGCGCACCTGGGTTTAGGAGGCAAGACAAAGTTAGTCAAGGTGTGATCCCACAAGATAGGGAAGCAGTTCACTGGCCAGATACTTCAGCTGAGAATACTCAAACCTGTGTTTCTGTATAGGTGTACACTTCGCTAGGCGCGTGGGTGTCTTGGCCGCCTTTCATCTCAAGGTCATGATTGAGAAATCGGTGGCTGGGATGATCCCATGTCCGGGCATTAACCTAGAAGTTACATAGTGTTGAGGAGAATGCATGTTTTCGCCGCAAAACTTCATTCAAGAACGGGAAGAAATTATTTTACCATGATAATACTCTAAGATAATACTCTAAGCCAGTTGGACCGAGTACCAAAATTCCGGCCTCTTCTTCTCCGCGAACACTTCTATTTCACCCCTGTTCCCTGAGCGCCATCGCAGTCTTCTGCCAATATGCCTCGATCGAACGGCCCGCGTCGAGAGAGACTCTCGCGAGAGATATCGTTGAACTTGGGGAAGTACTCAACCTCGGATCGTTCCACCCTATCGCGTTCTGTTCTAATTCCTCGGACCTGAGGCACATTGCGGACGAGTCGTTAGTCGGCTTGATGCTCCTTCGCGTATCAGCGAGTGGCGAACCACAGGCTAGTATGTCGGAGGACGTACGACCTCTATCCGAGTTGACGTCTCTTGTACCGATGGGTCTCTTGCCGCAGCTCCATGGAGAGCTGCACCTGCCCCCGCGGGCTGCAGAAACAAGAGGTGAGAAAATCCTGATACGATGCCAGCCGGTTCCTTCTCAACTCCGAGTCGTCCTGGTGGGTCGTCGGCATGGACCAAATAAGCACTCGTGATCAGGAAGGGATTGGAAATAGCGAAAGGGCTATATTCGTGATCACGAACGAACGAAGTCGTGTCTTCCGAAAGGGATAGAGACATAGAATTGGACAGCACATAGGGCAGTGTGTCGGAAGCCGAGCACGAAGCTGATCGCAGGCAAACAAAGTCAACGGTGCATCCTCTGCACCATGTCCTGGTCAGTGCATGTCACTTTAACCTATCACAACCACTAGTAGTACCCATCGTCTCCTCCGGGCTTGACCATTGCCCATGCGCTGCCTCTTCTGCGAGTAGACGACGCACAGGCTGCAGCAGCGAGAGGTCAGGGGCTCAGCGTTGCTCAACGCAGGGCATAGGTCACGCACTCCACATCTCAAAAGAGTTGGAGGATTTACGCCGTCGAGTATGTGCACATCCCAAGCCATCCGAACAGGAAGTTGGGCCATTTCTTGCTACTGATGTCGTTCCGACCGGACAGACTCGTCTCACTTTTGGACGAGCTGCTGAGGTTCAGAATCATGAATCGCTTGGCTCACGGCTGCGCGCCGTTGGAGTTTGTAGTCCGTAGCTCGAGGGAGCGATACAGAACCCGCGCGTTGGCGTCAAAGGGTTGGATAGGGGGTGGATCGCCGCTAGGAGTCGTCATCGAGAGCAACGAAAACGAAGATCGTTGAAGCCACCAGTGAAGGTCGTGGGCAAGGGAGTGTGCATTGTGTGGGGGCCATTACCGCCTGCTCCATGATATTTTGTTGGTTAGGATGTTTCAAATAGTGGAGGCAATGCAAGAAAGGATGTACGCTGAGGAGTGCGAGCGACGCAGCACTATTGAGCCAAACGCGGCAGTAACGAGCACGAGGGGTCCGGCCAGACAAAAGATTCTTCTTGCTGCATGCGATCGAAGTTGGGCTGTCGAATGAGAATGAGAATTTGAATTCCAACTAGAACTAGTCTACCAAAAGAGACGACCCTTATCGGGCGCTGGACCACATTAACTAGGCTATCGCCTCTGACCGAATGTACAGCTCTAATTCAAGCTCACTCCAGAAAATCCCTCCAAATGTACATGCATACCTCTGAATCGGGAAGAAGACGCTCGATTCTCTACTGACACGCTGTGCTTCGTCAGTCAACAAACGATGCACTGCAGTGCGTGGCACTGGTCGGGACCACTGTGGTTCAAGCGGAGTGGAGGCTGTGGAGCTGAGCGCGGTGTACCAAGGAAATGATACACAGTAACCCAGCATATCCTACTCCAAAAGATTTCACTGCACGGCCCACTCTGGCCCACTGCTCGTCATCGCGTGGGACGGACGCGTCGACGCGCCTCCGCGCCTTCTCGCGCTCGGACCGACGTTGACCCAACACCCACACCCACACCCACACCCACACCCACGACTCCTTCACTCGACATCTGTATACGACTACTCTTATCGGCTCTAGACACCTGAAGTCCGGTACTTCCACTGCGTGAGCTCTTCGACCGCTCGTGACCGCGGTCCTGCCAGTTTCACCCCGGCCTCGACGCTACGAGCAAAGCATGGCCCCTCACCCACTGGCGAACGCGTTGCTCGATATGGGAGTCAACTTTGTCGTGCCTCGACTCAAACGGATGGTCAACAAGCCTGCGAATGAGAACAGACCTCGACCTACACCTCCACCAGCCACACCTCCCGCAGCGGGACCCTGTCCCCCGAACCACCAAGACGCGGGGACCCCTCCATCGGTCGACTGTCTGAACAACGGAGGACAGCAGTCTTCTGGTATGCTCAAGTGCGGCACGAAATGGCAAGCTACCGGCCTCTTGCATTGCGGTAATCTGTAGGTTTCGCATGTTCCTCCCGTCGACCGAGCTACTCCCTCTTCGCTACGCCTTGCGCAACCCTGACGACATTTGGTCCTGCCTGAACCCGGGACCCCTCTCGACAAAAGAACTCGCGGAGACCAGAGGGTAAACATCAAAGAGTGCTACACTGGTCGGCTAGGACCTGCAGGTTAGTCCCCTCCTGTCGCAGATAAATTCATGCCGACCTGAACGTCCGATCGCCTGATCGAATCGACCAGGCACTCATGGCGGTTCGAATAACTCACGCCAAAGAATCGAATTTCTGAGCTGGCCACCTTCAGAACCTGGTCAAGTGCACCTCTAGTACGTCGCATATGTTTGCTCCGGCTTGCATATGAATGCTCGTTAGTCCGTGCAAAGTCTGACCCACTTGAATCGCGTCGTCTCATGACAGTCAATGGAGTTATCACCTCGAAGCTTTCGACTACGACTATCCGAGCTCGGGTGCGTTCTTCACCTTGATGCAACTTCTCACCCGTGATCACCAAGGCGCACTACCACCTGCCATCTTCCGACTTGAGTTGGTCGGGCGTGAAGTTCGAGCGCAGTGCCACTATGGTACACCACCAGGCCAACCACGGACCAAATGGGCTGTTCCTTTGCAAGAGTTTGAGGGCAAGACGATGGACCATGTTCTGGAGGTTAAGTATGGCGAGGGTGGATATATACACTGTGAGTGCTCTGCGCTCCAGATTACACTGTTCACTCTTCAAGAACAGGTTTCAACCCACTGCTCGCGACATTATTACCTAGATCGAATCACTGATATCGAAACGGGCAAAGTCGTGATCGAATTTAACCTGGACGGTATCAACGTCGCTGCGAAGGCGAGCGTCAAATGTGGCATGTACCGGAACAAAGTGTGCGGTCCGGCAGCGTTCGCGATCGGTGATTTCAAGTTCAAGCGGGTGGCATAGCCCTACCGCATCGAATCCACCGTGCCCAGCTTGATTGCACCAGCTATTAATACCTCCCCATACTCGCATAAAGTACAAAAATTTGGCCCATCGGACGGTGGTCGGTATAAGCCGTACGATCAGAGTCGTTCCGCTTCAGTCCAGATCCACGCACGGCACGGTCCTATACAGTAGCCGCTTTACAACTAGTCGCATTCTCGTACCCTCATTAATTATCCCCAAACTGTAATCACTATTCCTATTTCTGTTATTCTTAATGGACCCAGCGATGAGACTCTAGATAATTGATCACTTCGCCGGCTCGACACCGGAATCTACCGGAATGATCGAGGCGGGCCCCACAGATTGGCCGTGAAGGTGCTCCGCGTCTCGCACTCAATCCCTCGCCCAGCGTCCACCGATGCAGCGACTCGTATAGGAAGGAGGCCGATGTCGAATCGATTACCTCCGGAGGTCTTACTGCAGATCGTCTCGTTCTCTGTCGCCCCCGCGTCTTACCACGCTTGGACAAGTCGGTCAGGGGCGTTACGATCGTATTGCACCGTCTCGACGCAGTGGAGGGATGTCGCGCAAGCCTTATTGATCCAAGCACCCGTGATCAAGACCGAGGCGGTTGCACAGAGGTTCTTAGCTCGACTGGGTGCTGTCTCAATTATACCGAGCTCGTCGTTGCTCTCGAACATCGACCATCGCGTCGGGGAACTTGATCTGGACAGGGACGACGACGACGACGACGACGACGCGATCCGGAATCAAGTGATCGAATTGCGCCTGGGCGACAACGAGATCTTCACCTCCTGGACAAATGGCTTCTCGAACATAGTTTCTCGGTGCAAGAGGCTCAAGAGGCTGTATGTGCTCAACGCCGACCAGGTCATCCTTGCCGAACTTGGCCATCATTCGAGTCAGTCTTTTCGCCCCGAGGGTTTCGGGATGACGCTGACTAATCCCTAGGATGTCTTGAGTACGAACAGACCTACACTATTTTTATGGTTGCAATCTCCAATTTGCTCCGCCTGCGTACTATTCAATACCTCTGCCTCCAGCATCTCCCTCCCTTGCGCCTCCTCCTACGCCGCTTCAAATTCCTCCGCTCGTCTTGCCTCTCCGATTCATGTCCCTCTCCCATTCGGGTCTTCCCCTTTTAATATCCCCGAATTCTCTCCCTCACTTGACCCATCTCTCCCTCTACGACGTCTATCGATCTTACGGCCTTGACGATGCCATCGACCCCGACATTAACAACTACGCGCTCCTCCTTAGGACCCTGGGACCCCAGTTGAAAGCCGCCAAGTTGGACTTGGTCCTTTATCCTTCCTTCGACTTCGATACATGGTTACCTACACTGGCGTCGGAATCACGTTCTCCCTCTTCCAACACACCGCAAGACGATCGGTATCGAGCAGGCGGACGATTACAACTCTTTCAGGTCTCGTCCTACGAGGCCCCCTCGCTCTTTCTCCTCCTTCAAGCATGTCAGAGTCTCGAGGTCATCATCGCCGATGTATTTCCCTTAGACCGGGATACAAGGACACATCTATTGGGCCCGACACCTCACTCCTTCGTCGGCCATGCGAACCTGCGAAAGATCCGTTTCCGAAGAGGGCCTATCCTTGTCGACGATTCGAGGGAAGTTGAAAACTACTCGGTGGATCATCGACGATTCCAACAAGGCTCGGCGCAGGAGGAGAATAAGTTGATCCAGAGTGTTTGGGGGGAAGGTGTCAAGGTTGTGTACGATGCTGATCAGTCCAAGGAGGGGAGACAGCGCTGGGGGTTGGAAGATGAGGAGGCGAGGTTCGGGCTCACGTTCGAGGCGTATTGTTTGGAGGAGGGCGTCCGGATCGAGTAATGCATCGTGATGATTTTATGGTGATACAACATGAGAATATGGCGCACAAGATGAAAGAAACCTACATAGAACGGTTACTACCGCGTACTGCTAGTCTGTCCCAGTCACTTGTCCGCATTGTTCACCTCCGCCTCCGCCTCAACTATTGGCGCTACAGGAGCCTCCTCCAGTCCCTTTTCGCCCTTCTCCTCATCCTTCGGAATCACCGCCGCATTCGTCCCTGCTGAAGCCGTCCCCCCCCACTTCTCCCCCAACCTCCTCATCGCCTCCCCCCATCGAATAGTAGCACACACCAAACCAAATCCAATCCATGCCAAACCAGCCGCGAACGAATTGGCCCCTCCCAGACCGATCGCTTGAATGAGGGGAAGGATGAAAGCTGATGCGGCCGCTGAGAGGGTATAACGTGCAAAGTTGTTAACGGCGATCACTTCGGAAGATCGGTGTTGCAAGACGTCGACGCAGTAGGTATTGGCGGCGGTGAGGATCATCCTGTTGAAGCAAACGGTGGCATTAGCTTAGGTCTCCTTCCAGCAATTCTTCCGGATGAAGACATGTTCTTGCGAAACTCCTCACATCAACCCAACCCCATTCACAAACAACAGAATGACCGTAAAAGCCAACCCGACCTTGCCCGAACCTAAATCGATGACCCAACCCAGCGCCAACACGGCACAAGGCAAGACCAGACCACCTCCAAGCAACGTCGCCCTCAATCGATCCTCGGGTACGTAAACCCCCTTCCGCTTCTTGAGCCATACTTTGAGAGTATGGTCCGCCATACGTCCGGTGAAACAAAAGGAGGCGAAGGCGTTGCCGACACCTGCAGCGCAGTAAAGCTTTCCTCGGTCAGCAAAAATGGAATCGGCTGGACTATCATGATGGTTCGCGCGGGACATCACGGACCTTGAGCCAAGTAGAAGGTCCCCAGAATAGCGGCGTTGCTAATCCCGTAGTTGGAGTGAATCGTGTCGGTTAATGGTACGAGTACGGCGTACGTAGTCAAGAGGACGAAGGCCGAATTGAGACTCTGCAGACGTCATATAAAAGGATCGGCTCAAGTCCTTCCGATACACCAATGCTCAAAGCCAATGCTCACAATCGCCAGAATATGCGGCAGCAACAACAATCGCAACGGCGCCAACGGATTGAGCCACACAAATGAGCACAAACTCGACTTCCACCTCGGTTCGGTCGGTAGACCCTCATCCGCTCTCTTCTTTCGTCTCGCCTGAATAATCCCTTCGATTGGGATCTCATGTGCCGTTTCGGGGAAGTAGAGGAAACAGAGGACCGAGGCTATGACACCGAGACCGCAGAGTATCCACTGCATCACGCGCCAGCCGTAGTTGCCTTTGACATATTCGGAAAGGAGACCGGCGATGGCCGGCGCGATGGCGGGACCGATCAGGATGCCTGGGTGGAAAATACATGATGCGTCAGTCTGTTGTTCCATATGTAAGGCCTGGAAAATCTTCGCGAACCCGAGTAGAAATAGCCCTGTCAAGGATGTCAGCTTAGAGGTGTGAAGCTCGTGCAAGAGAAAATAGTGACGTACCATCGCGGTACCTCGTTCCTGCCTCTGATAGATATCTCCTATACTCCCGGCTCCTACACTGAGAACAGCCGACGATCCAACGCCCTGAATCGTCCGTGTAACAATCAACGTCGCCAAATTATCCGACAGAGCGACGCCCATAGAACCCAGAGCGAAGATGGGGAGACTGCAGAGGTAGATGGGTCGTCGGCCGTAGAGGCCACTGTAAGGAGCCCAAGCGAGGGGCATGGCGCCTATGGTGAAAATGTAAACCGCGACGGTGATGTCGATGATAGTTGGGGTTGTGTTGAGATCTTCCGAGATGGCTGGAATGGCCGGGAGGAAAGCCGACGATGAAAAAGCTGCACGACGATAACGAATCAGATCAGATCGTAAAGAGTGAAAAACACTCGCCTCTCCGATGTTTCACTCACGAGCCATAAAAGCCGAAACCGCCACCAGTGCGACGATCAGCTTCTTCTTGCGGTCAGAGAAGCGGTCGTAGAGCTTGGACCTCTGTACGTCCTCCGCGTTCATCCATTCGGGAACGATCCCATTATCCGGATCCTCGTCCTCCTCATCGATGATCCCTTCCTTCCTCCCTTCGTTGTCCATCGTCTTTCGTCTTCCGAGTGTACTACTCCGTTCCCTACCCGCACGACCGGATCCACCCCCTCCTCCGGCACTATTCCTACTCGACGACCTGACCAAGGTCAAGTCCGCCATCGCTCCCGAACTAGGCAAGTCGTACGCCGACAGCGAACCGGGGAAACTACCCCCATGTTCATGCAATGATCTTGAAGAGACCGAAGTAGCTGAAAAAGTACGCGTTGGGATGGTCCCGCCGATAAGGGTGGATGAACTAGCGAGTTGTGGAGAGGCGTTCGTTGAAGAGGGTCCGGAGCGCGGATTGGTCGGAGTCCGCATTAGGGGACTTGTCGCGGAGGACGACTGCGGCCGATCATTTGTCGCAGGGACACTCATCTTGTAATCCAAGTATCGTCCACAATTCCTCTAGCCAATCTGGCCGATGTGCAACGGAAAGGGGTGTTGAGAGACCCTCGATTGTGGAGAGACACAGGACTTGCCTTCGCCAGTCGACTCGGCCGTGCTCTTGACTCGCCCCTTGAAGCGACCAATCGGCGCTTTCGCAAGCCGAAAACCACGGCGCGCCGGCTCGAGACGCTTGCCGAGTGCCGGCCGGCCAGTCCGTCACGGCAGCCTAGTGTCGGAGATGATGATCTTTATCGGTAGTCAGCTAATCCACAGATAGGTCGTTAGGTGTCAATCTGGTCTTCACTGACGAAGCAGGAAAATTAACCCACGATATCACTACCCAATCACCTTTGCAACGACGCGAAGCCAGTTCGCCCCGCGGGTGCAGCGGCGGAGCGGTCCACGACGAGCTGCGTCACGTGCCCTCGTCCTCCGCTGTGTGGCAGTGTGTGGCCGGCGCGCAGGCGGGCGATATCAAGCGCAGGCAGCCGCTAGCCTCAGTTCTAGCTCGTCCCACTTTCAAGTCCATCTCGCTCGCCGTCTAGATCCGCACACAGCATCATGCCACAAATTTTGAATGTTGATGGGGTCCCTGGACTGCCGTCAGTATGTGAGTCGATTTCACAGCTGCTTGTGAAGCTGTGTACTCGGAGCCATGCTGAACCTCGACCCTGCGCGTTCACAGTCTGTGAGTGATCGGCAGCTTTCTCACCAGTTCCCGTGACAAGTCGTAGGGCACAGAGGTAACCAGGCCGTCCTATCTCACAGCACATGGCCTCAAACTCCCTGCCACCGCGCAATTGGTGTACTGTTCCGGCCAAATCCACTCGGAAAACGGACCGGGAGGGACGGTTGTCGTCCAGGGATCGACGGCTGATAAGACGGTGCGGCACTCGAGGGGTGTTTGTGCCCAGGGTCGTTGGCTCATTAGAGTCTTGTATGTCTCCAGAAAATGATCATTGGCAATTTGGAGAAGGTGTTGAAGGCGGGGGGATCGTCCCTCACTCAGGTCAGCCTTGAAGCCCGTTCTTCCCCACATCCCGCCTTCAGCACTTGACCTCCGCTCTGAATTTTCTCGTCCTCCAGCTCGTCAAAGTGTAGGTCTAGGATCTCAGAAAGCCCTTGCACGATCTCACAAAGACACTAATTTTCCCCTCTACGATGCACACCACAGCAACATCTACATCACCTCGTTCGACTTTTTCGGCGAGATGAACGAAATCTACAACGAATTGATCCCGAACCCCAAGCCGCCGCGTACGTGCGTGTGCGTCAAGGATCTGCCTTTCGGGGCTCAGATTGAGATCGAATGTACCGGGTGGACCGAGGATTGAGGGAGGTGAACTGGGCCGGAGGAGAAGGCAGTCGGACGAGCAAAGGTTTTGATCTGTGCGTCGGGCTTGGGTGTGATAGGGGCTATAGGTGGAAGATGATTATTATAATTCATACATGTAAGGGTCTATAACATCAAATGTTTACTAGAAAAGCGCCATAGCTTAAGCCGACAGAACAGTTTTGGACGTGACGTGGTCGAGCAGAGAGGGTGGTCCCCGTCGCCGAACTCGGACCCAGCCCTTGCTTGACTTCTGGTCTGAGTGCCATTTGATTGATCGCCCGAGCGCGGAATCGACGAAGGAGTGTGTCGTCAGGTTACCCATACCCGCCTTGATCAGATCGACGAGATGGCAAAGCGCAAATCAGGTCAGTGATGCAGGAGACGGGGATGCCGTCATCGTCGCGTGTTCGTTCGTTCATCTGTGCGCTGTCCCTCGCTGTCCCCGGTCGACCGTCGCAGCTCAACGCCATTACTTGATCGGCAACGGGCTCGACCCGGATACTCGACAAGCGTCGACGGCGCGTCTTGGCGCGTACTCTATTCCCCACCCCCGTTCGACCTCGTCGCGTTCGACCTCGTCGACTCTGACGCCAATGCCTTCGAGTGATGTCCTCGGACTCGGTGTGGCTGGGGATGCGGTGAATGCGGTCGTCGCCGACGCGGCGCTGCAGCTGCTGGCTGGAGGCGCGACGAGCAGCCATTCGCGCGTCGCAGCCAAGCGCCGTCGACGCACCAACGGTCAGGCCGGTCAGGGCCCTCGTCGATTCTCGCGACACCCGTCCGACGATCTGCTGCACCAAGACGACGACGGCCACGACGATGGAGCCTCCTCTTCGCCTTCCTCATCCCTTTCATTACGATCCTTAGCTACTACCCATACCCTCAAATCATCGCACGTGCAGAGCTTGGCGCACCTCCCCGCCGATATTCTGTTGAGGATCGCCGACCTGCTTCAACCGATCCTGTCCCCTTTTCGAGCCGACGGCGACACCGACGGGCTGACTGTCTCGGGCGATGGCGATGGTGGTCCTTCACTCTCTTCGCAATGGATTGATCCAGGCACCGACGTCATCAATCTCCGATCGACGTGTAGGGCCATCTACTTGGCCATCGAACCTTTGCGAGGCACCGTATCCGGCGTCCGGCTACAACAGGGAGAACACCCCGGCGGCGTGCGAGTCCTCACCAACTTTCCCCTAGGCAAGAGAGCGATCGATCCAAGTGGCGATGGAAGCGAGCTCGTGATAGCTCGCACACGGCATCTGTGGATTCATTCGACTCTGCCGAGGAATGCCACGGACTCGAGCATATTCGCCGCCTCTACGATCTGTGGTTTGATCGAGGGGATGCCCCGACTGCGTACCTTTGCGCTCGTCCAAGCGACCGAGGACGAGGTCGTCTTTGGCTCGCCGTATACGGCCTTGCCGCTCCATCGCAAGATCTTCTCCTCGCTCTCTCGGCTGGAGCGATTGCACTCGCTTTACTTGTGCGGTGTCAAGTTACAAGCCCGCGCGCCCGTCTTCCCGCACGTGACCACACTGGTTTTGAACGCATGTCATGACTGCCCACTCGAATTGATCTCGACGTGCCCCAAGTTGGAAATCGTCAAGGCGTGGAGAGATTTTGCTTTGAGAGCGCAATTGGAGATGGCGGGCAAGTGGTGGCCTGAACAGAGGTGGATGACGGTCAAGCATGCGGAACTTAGGGGGTTTAGTGGGGTGACGGGAAGTGTGTTCCGGCTTAGTTGGCTGCGGAACCTCATGGTACGTAGGGTTATACTTCCACTCCCTGTACGCGGCTTAACACCATACATGTCGTTACAACACCCCCCACACAGACCCTTCGAGCCCTCCCCACCCCACCCGTGATCCCCCTCATCTCCCTCCGCCTCTGCGAAGCCTACGACTACACCGACCTGTGCCATCTCATCTTACCCGCCATAGCCCATCTGCCCCACCTCACTTCCTTCACCTGTATGGTCTGGAAGGATCGAAATTTCGGTCCGACGCTTTTGGGCAAGATCGCGGGGGATTTGCCGAATTTGGTTCATTTGGGTTTGTTGTTGGAGAATGAGGGTACAAATTGGTGGCCCGGGGATATGGTCAGTGTTTTGATCACACTTTTTTCATTGTGATCTGACCCGACGGAGAGCTGAGATTAACATTTGGTAAGCTCACAGGGGAATTACGGGCACGAACTGATGCGCTTCAAGAAACTCGAGACCTTTACTTGGAACTTTACTGCCGTCAGTCGTGAAAGATCATCATCACGCACTCTTCTCTCTCACTCCTCTAAGCGCCCCTTTACTGAATGGACCTCCTTCTTTTTTCCATGTACCTCAGTACGTCGGCCTCGACTGGGCCGCCACGAGGGAAACCAGTCTCTTCGTCATACAGTCCCTCCTTTGCCACGTAGGACCCAAGTTCAAACGCCTTCACTGGCTCCAACAATCGGAGTACGTCCTTCGATCGTCGATAACGAGCAAATGGGTTTGGTCGGATGATGTGATTGAACGGAGTTTGTTGGAGGAGGAGGGTGGGATTCTGGATGATGTTGATGGGGTGGGGCAGGGCAGGGACGGGAAGGAGAATAGGGTCGATGATGGGACGGTGGGGGCCGGGGTGCCGAAACGAAAGAGAGGGATCGGAGGAACGGCGAGGAAGAAGTTGTTCGATGTTGCGAGTAAGGGAGTGGTGGGAGGTGGGGGTGGGCGAAAGAGAGCTCCGAGTCGGTGGGCTTTAGGGATCGATTGGGAGCAGCAGGAAGAGGGGAGTTTGGATGCGGAGCCGGATTCGTGAGAAGTGGGAGGGGAGATGCAAGGGAGGAGGGGAGGTGTTTGAGCTGTGCCCCTTCTTTCTCGTGCTGCACATGGGCAGGTTCGACGACGGCGACGATTTTGCATTTTCTTCGATTTTGTTGGTTTGAGGCTTGGGTAATATTTTGGGTCGGCAAGGGGGAGGGAGGTGGGAGCTTTGCGATAGTGCTGGTGTGAATATTTTATCAGAAGCTTGTTGGTGATGTGATCGTTGTGATGTAATTTGTGTTGTGGTGACGAGATTGTGATGGGAGAGAAGGATTGTCGCTGAGAGGCATAGTCCGACTCGAGCTGACGCTTAAAAAGTGGCCATGTCAGACGTCATTCAAATATTCACCCACATCGCGCGTGCGTTGAATCTCGGCTCTCCTCTCTCTCTGCCTCTGCCTGCCCCACACCTCCCATCCACCACCATGAACCCCCCCATGAACCCCCGTCATCTCCCTTCCCAACCCCGAGCACAAACCCCACAACTGAACACAGCAGCAGCAACCAACTCGTTCGCCTCCGACCCACGCGTGCACTTCTCGCTCGCCGATCAGAAATGGGTCTTTGAAGCCGACGACGGCAGTGAGATGGAGTGGGATACGGCCAGGGGGGCTTGGGTGCCTAGAGTGAGTGCTCTTTTCTCTTTGCAGGCTCAAAGTGAATGATAGCTGATGGTTGTTTTTGTTTGGGATCGGTGTCGTCGTTCGGTCCTAGTTGGGCGAGGAGGAGGTCGCACAGCAACAGGCGGCGTATGCGGTCCAGGGCGTTGATGAATCCGTGAGTTGCTCGCTGCATCGCTCAGGCTTCACACCCCTCACCATCCGTGTGCCATCGATCGTCATAGGTCCCCGCGGCCCCCGTGTTGGCTCGTCAGAACGGCAAGAAGCGTAAAGCGGACCAAGTCACGCCCCAGCAGACCAGCACGGAGAGGAACTACTACAACGACGACGACGACGACGACGACGACGACGACAACAACACCAACACCAACACCAGTAGCAGCATCGCCTCAACTTCGAACCTATCCGGTCCGCCCGCCCAGAACAAACCCAACAAAAAGGCCAAACCGCCCAAAGCCAACACGGCCATCTTCGTGTCCCACCTCCCAGCTACGACGACGATCCCGCTCCTGCAAACCGTCTTCTCCAAAGCCGGCCTCATCCTCGAAGACGTTGACGGAAACGCTCGGATCAAGCTCTACCACGACGAAACGACGGGTCTCTTCAAAGGCGAGGCCTTGATCGTGTACCTCCAAGCGGCGAGCGTCGATCTGGCGATCCGGTTGTTGGATGAGACCGAGTTGGAACTGGGCAAGGGTCAGCAGGTGATGAAGGTCTCGGAAGCGCAGGCTTGGAGGAAGAAATCGGGTACGGCAGGCGAAGGGAATGCGGATGACAAGGGGAATGCGGAGGGGAAGCAGAAGCCGAAGAGGACCGAGTTGGAGAAGAAGAAATTGAGCAAGAGGGCTGAGAAATTGAATCAGTCAGTCTTCCTTCCCGTGCGCAATCAGTTTCTTCTTCTTCTTGCAGTTCCTCAACCGACGTCATTCTCACCACAGGCGACTGACCGAATGGTCCTCCGACGAAGACGACAACTCGGCCGCCATCGTTGCACGAGCCCGATCGAACAAAGTCGTCGTCCTTCAAGGCATGTTCACCCTCAAAGAATTGGAGGATGATCCGACGCTTTTGCTTGAGCTCAAGGAAGACGTCAGGGATGAATGCGAGACGATGGGTACGGTCACGAATGTCACGCTTTACGATGTACGTAGGGCATCGGATTGTAGTGTTGCGACTGAGGACTCAAGCCGTTGTTGGCATTCACAGAAAGAGGAAGAAGGCATCATCACCATCCGCTTCAAGGACGAAGTGTCAGCCCAGGCTTGTATCGCAGTAAGTCTGTTCCCTTCTTCATCACCTTTCAAAAACCATACCAAGACAACCTACCCCTGCCCTCTCCCGCTCCGCTTCTCAGAAAATGAATGGTCGTTTCTTCGGTGGTAGATCCATCGTCGCGTCCCTATTGGACCCTAAACAGAAGTACCGTCGTACAGGCCAAGGCGTCAGTTTAGAAGGCACGGGATTGGATCTGGAAGCGGACGAGGAGGCAAGCAAGGCCGAGAAGGAGAGGTTGGCGAGGTACGCGGAATGGTTGGAGAAGGGCGGCGATGAGGAGGGTGGCGCGGAGAAGGCTTCGTAAAGGAATGAGGGGGAACAACGATGTGCATGCGATTTGCAGTAGAATGAGGCTTTGATACGTAGAATAGATGAAAGAAGATCACAAAAGAAAACACAACCTGTTCCAGTAGGAACGGGAGAAAGCCGATCGACAGCGAACAGGAGGTCACGAGTGGACAGATTGATGATGCAGAATTCATTCGAGCTTGGAAGCAGACGCACAAGGGCGAAGTCGGATGGTGGTACATGCAGCTGCTCGTAGAGGCTTGGAAAATTCAACAAGATAATTTGCTTCGTCATAGCAAAGCGAATGGACGTTGAAGAGCGATTGTGACCCAAATCACGATGACACGATCGACTCGCGCGACTCACGCGACGGAGTCGAACACCCGGAACCCCCACCGGCCGCATTCCCCTTGACCCTACACTCGCGCGAACAATACGTGCTCCCACTTCTCGAAGTCGGGTAGTTCAATCCTTTATTGCCACACGTCGCGCAGACCGTTCGGACGCCGACGCGAGAGCGTCGTTCGAGTTCGAGGAGGAGTGGATCCATTTGATCGTTTCCCCCTCCTAGATTGGGGGAGGAGAAGGAACGATGTTCGAGACGACCGAATTTAGGAGCGACGAGAGCAGAAGGGGGTACGATCCCTCCATATTCGGGCGAAGGGGGTTTGCCATTCGCAGAGACCTTGCGAGAATGCATTCGGGGGCGAGAGGTAGGGTAGTCGTCGCATGCGGAGGTGACGTCGACGAAGGAACGATTCGCTGCACCGGGGGCTTTGGCGCGTTGGAACGCATTGTCGAGCTTCTTCGAGCTAATCTTGGATTCGTGCACCTTCGATTCGGGCTCAGGGTCGGCTTCTTCACGCTCTATAACCTCTTCAGGTGCAGCGACCGCATTCGAGCGTTCGTAGATGTGCGATGATCCAACGACGATGTCATCGATGTCACTGTCGAGGAGAAGCGTCGCCCCTTCTCCTTCCTCCCCATCTTCTTGTCCATCCTCGTTCTCATGCTCGGTCTCTTCAGCCTCTTCCTCGAGTAGTCCCCAGTACGTCAACGGAGGTGCGCTATCGTCGTCCTTTTGCAACACGTGCCTGAGCGCATCCATAGCCGAGTTACCATGAACCTCGTGACCATGATGCAGCGAGCCGAGGAAGCGACTAGAATGGGCTTTGAAGCTCGACCAATTCCATCGTCTCAAAGTCCCCGTAACCCGAGCATCATCCACATCCGTTGACTGTCGATAGGGCAAGCTAAAGCTCGCCTGCACGCCATGACTATCGATCGCAGGCAGCTCGACGGCTCGACCTTTGCCTTTCCGAGTTGTCGAACCAAAGTCGGGTGGAAGGGTGCAGATACTCGCGCTGGAAGCGACGCGAGCCAACAAGCGACTGGTCGCGTTCAACGCCGGTAGCGAGATGTTCGAAGCGAAGCTGGCTGCTCCCGCAGAGACGATCCGACGACGACGTCGAGGAATCGCACCTTCGCTCGTGAGCCCTTTCGACCCAGAGGTGCGATGGTCGGCTATCGATTCCGAGTGGGACGTATGCGCCGAAGTCGCCGACGAAGGCGAATGAGCCTCGGAAAAGTAGGACTCGGGTTCGGTTGTCGTCAGCGTGGTTGAAAGACTCGGCCTCGGCGAACTGCACGCCACGCTGGAAGCTTGCTGTCCGAGTGTGTCCTCGTCGTGCTGTTTGGGTGACGAATCGGGAGTATCAGGAGGCGAGGGATAGTCCGTAGGAGGGTCGGGTGCGAAATGGAACTTGCTCGGTCGAGGTGTGCGTCCACCACTGACCGAGGTCGACATGGGGAAGCTGGCGCTCGAGCCAAACCTCGACAGTGTCCGGGAAGGACCACCATACGAGCTCGACAGAACCGGACTACTCGAGTCATTCGATTGCTTTCGTGTCGGAACACCCTTGATCGTGATGGCCGACGATACGCTCGATCGCTCCGCTTCCGCCTGCTGAGCCTGCGCCCGCGCTTGCGCAGCCGCTTCGGCTTCCATGCGCATGTCCAAGACGGCATCGCCCGAGGTCTGACGAGTCGATCCACGTGCATTCGTAGCCGTAGACTTGGAAACCTCGCCCTCCCCCGCGCCGGCCTTGCTGATACTACCTCTACCTCTTCCGCGCTTCTTGGCCTTGGCCAAATGCCAAGCCTCGTCTGGTCCCTCGGTGCGATGGATCCCAGCTATCCGTCGTCTCGCTCGCTCCACCACTTCTTCACCCTCCTTGATCCCGACACCTCCGTGCAGATTCGAGCCGAGGTTAACAATCTCTTGCCAATACGATTCTGCTCGGGCCTTGTCCGTGACCCAAGTTTGCAACGCCAAGAGGTAGAGCAGGTGCACGGTAATGGTCAAGCGCAGCTTGGCCTTGAGAGAGAGATGAGGGTGGGCCACCGCAGGCGGCAGTACCGTCGAAGGGTGATTGTAGGACCGAGCAACGGAGCGCGATCGAGCGAATTGGGGAGGCTTCGATGTATCGGCCACCTTTATTTGCGAAGAAACGGACGGCGTCGCGATGGCGGGGTGGGCGAGCGCACGTTGCGCTATGGCCGCGCCTTGGGACCATAGATCCTTCGCCGATCCCGGAACGGATACGTCGTAGTCCATGGGCGGGCAAACGACGCCAAATCGATAGCTGTCGGTGAGCTGGGAGCCCGTTCGAAGACTGCATCAGTGCTCCATCGACCAGACAGTGCTCCAAGCGACGGCACTCACTCCAACCGAAAGATCGAGCGATCGTTCCAAACTGAAATATTTGCCCTCCGCAGACTCATCCTCGGACACACTGTCAGTTCCAGCGGTTCTCTTCACTTTGCTCCCCGACGCAGGTTGGACAGGCTTGTTGAGCTCGATCTCGAGTCCCGAGAGGAAGAGTTGGGCAGCGGCGAGAGCATCGGCATTGTGGGTGGTAGGCGGCGTGTGGGAGAGCGCTCGTGAGGACAGTTTCGGTCTCGCATGAGAAGCGTGGTGGGTGGTGTGAGCATGGTGTTCTTGGTGGTGATGATGGTGATGAGAGTGGGAATGCGGTGGGGATGTCTTGAAGAAGGAGCTTCCCAAGTCAGCGGGCGAAGAGGCGACGGGCGAGCAAGGACTCGACGGGTGATGGGGGTGCGAGTGCGACTGGTGTTCAGACCTGAGGCCTCGAGCCAGCAATCTACAGCACCGATGAGCGCATAGGTCAGCTTTGGTTTCGGGAGACACAAAACCTTCCAACTCACGTTCCGAGGGTAGCGCAAGCGGCCGACGACGATTGCTTGACAGCGAGCTGCAACTTTCCTACGGCTTGGGAATGTCGATGTCCAATAATGTCCATCTGTGTTTGACAGTCTTCGAGTCAGTATTCCAAATCCAGAATCACGACGTCAAGCTCGTCTGTGAATTCATATCGCCCGCCCGCGGCAAATTTATGTTCAAGTGGGCACCGGTTGAGGGACCCTTCTCGCCCTGACGCGGTTGGTCGTTCGCGCTAGTAGTGCAATGCGGTCGCGGGTCATCATGGGCAATTGTGAGATCTGCCTCGCGAGCGTGCCGAGACCCGAGATCGGAGGATTCGAATGACCCCATTGAGTGCTGTTCCCCTCACGTGTCCCCCGATACGGATGTCCCAAAGCAAGCATCCCAAAGCGGGGCCCCGGCTATCTGCGTTGGAGATGCTCCTATCGTCGAGCTGAGGGGCGTCGCCGACTCGCCGAGCCGAGCTGAAACAATGAGCCGCGTTCGCGTCACGCCCTGAGACTGATTAGCCTGTCCCCGGTCGCTCGTCAGATGAGCCAAAGTAGCCAGAGTAGGTGCCGTGATGATCATAACCTGCACCACCGCAGTCCGTCGTCGATACAACCCCAGCAGCATGTGCACACTGCGTCGAAAGGCCCATCGATGCGCACGTGCGCGCCCGTCGTCGTCGCCGAATCGTCGTCGGGCGGACCCACACGGCTTGACCGAAACTCAGACAGCCTAACTGCCGTCACCGATGCACGAACACCGAACGCGTGAACTGACCTGAGCACCCCATAACAAATCCTCGACATCTGGTTCGTCCTCGTCCTCGTCGTCCTCATCGTCCTCGTCCTCGTCCTCGTCGTCCTCATCGTCCTCGTCCTCGTTGTCACCCCCTCGAACGTCGACCTTGGCCGGCGACGTCAGATCGCGCTTACTGCCAGCCCGCACCCGGTGCGAGGTCGCGCCTGAGACCAGTCCTGCCGAGTCGTCATCTGCCGCTGCCGCTGTTGCCAGAGCTTGCTGTCCCGTCGAGGCGTGTAGGTTTGTGGGTAGACCGTGGTCGTGGTCGTCTTCGTGACGAGTGAAAAGACCCATTCGATGGTGGAATAGGGTAGTTCCACTTTCCCCTCCCCTGACTGGCTTGCGATATCGAAGCGTGGTTGGGAAACGGAGAGAGGAACCGCCCAGCTGGCAGCTGCAGGTCGATCACGCTTACCTGCTGGCGCCTCGATCTGGAAGCGCAAGGAAGCGCCGGAGCCGGTGCAGTGCCTGCTCGTGCCCACGCGCCGGGCCTCAATCTTCGATAGGAACTCTTGCTCCAATACGAGATCACAAATAAGCGCGCAAAGTCCGACAGCCGCTCGGCTCGGCCTTCCGCGCACATCTGATCTTCTACCACATGAGGAGATGTGAGAGGCACCTTGCAATGGCGATCTTTCCCTCTCCATTCTTTACGTGAAGAGATCTCGTTTAATGAACTCTTGCCGCAGACTCTACCCAGGCTTCCGAGGGGCGGAGTTGAGAGTTAGAGTTCAACCGAGAACCCACGCGATCGGAACAAACGAGCGGTTCAGGGGTGGAGCAGCCTCGGCCTGATGAGTCAGAAACCCTGACAAAATGACATCAAGGAGCCAAACAGGATGCGTGTACATCTCGGAGGCTCGTAAGCTCTTAGCATTGATTATCACCAGCCGACCGCACTACGGTGATCCTTCACATTTTTAACCAACAAGGCTACTCGATATCAACGCTGACGATCCGTACATCATCGAAAGGCTTATCCGTCTTGTCCGTTCGAACGTTCTCAATCGCATGGATCACGTCCATACCGCTCGTCGCCCTCCCAAAGATACTGCACAACCACATGACCCATCGAACATCAGTTCTAGTCCTCGGCTCGATCCGGACTGTTCGTTGGACTCACGAATGCTTGTTATCAAGCCAAGGTGCGGGAACGGTGGTGATGAAGAATTGACTGCCGTTCGTTCGGGGACCGGCATTGGCCATACTGAGCGTGTAAGGTCGGTCGTGTTTGAGAGTCGGGTGGAACTCGTCCTCAAAGGCTGAGCCCCAGAGGGATTCTCCTCCTGTTCCGTCACCGAGGGGATCACCGGTTTGTAGCATCTAGTGTCAGGGATATTCCTTGTGTCATCAGCCAGGAAATTCGGCTCGAACAATCCCCGAGAAGCTGATCGAACGTACAAACTTGGGGATGACTCGATGAAAGATGATCTCATCATAATAATGCTTCCTCGCCAACCCCACGAAATTCTCCACCGTCTTGGGCACCAAATCGCCAAACAATTCGAATGTAATATCCCCCTTCGTCGTATGAATCACCGCCTTCTTCCCCAACGGTCCCTGAGCGGCTGTTGTAGGAGCAGCGATTTGCATCTCGTCGCGCGTCGGTTTCTCGTTGAAGATGTCACGATCGTGCGATTTGTCGTCGGGGCTCGAGCGGGTGAAGAGATAGAAACGGGGTCGTTTCCATGCTGTGCAGAAGAGTGTGGGGTCCCTTTCCTCTGTTTGGTTCAACAAGGGATTCTCTGAAGTCGCCATCGCGAGGGTTGTGATTCCCTTCTTCGGCGGGACACCTTGGTACAGAGCGAGGTTGAGGTATCGCACCGTTTCGTCCTTGCCGAGCATTCGAGAAACCTTGTTCGTCACCGTGTTGACAACTAGTAGTCCCGTCGAATTCCGGGAATTGAGTCAGCTCAGCAGCAAACCCAAAGAGTCGATGATATCCTTAGGGCTCACCTTTGATACCGAGCATAGTTGGGTATATCACAAACTTGCCCCCTTCGTCCCAGACAGGTGCACCCACACTAATTCCCGAGCGATTCTCCAACACCGCTTCTAAAGCCCCCCTTTCCAACTCTCGTTCGGTCGCAAGACGGCGTCCGAATTCCATCGAGTCCATCTTGACCCCTGCCGTACCGGCTTGTTGCATCTCTTGCGTCGCTGTGAGCGATTCGTCGTAGGCTCGATGCAGTTTGCCCGTCAAGAAATTGAAGGTCGTCAAGCGTAAATCTGGGAGAGATAGAACGGCGAACGAATCCGAGGTCGGTGCAAGTGAGAGTGCGACGGGAGTTGATTTGCTCTGCAAGGGGGACAGACGGATGATCAGTATCAATCGGTAGCGCTTACGGGCGGTGCGAAGCTAGGAGATAGAATCTGACCTTTTTGAACTCGTACAGTCCAGTGGCACTCTTGTTGGTCCATTCTACACTGTGGGGCTTCTCGAATGGTTCCCGCGGCTCCCAGTACTCGACCATGCCTCCGACATCAATCGAGATGACGGTGTCGTACAAAGGATTGTACTGTGAATGTAGAATATGAGGCAGTATGAGCAAAGAGAACTACAACGTCTAAGGCGATAAACGGCTACTCACTGCCATGAGGTGCACACTCTTGCGATGCAGAGAATCGAGGACGTGCAGAGGTTTGCCGTCTCCACGCCCATCGTAGATCCGGATCTTCGGCGAGTCAAAATCGGTGCTGTTTGCCAGAGGTGCTGTCAGCTTCTCTGTCCTGCCAGCATCATAGAACTATGAGCCTTACATGGCCAATAAGGACCGTCCGTCTCCTCGACCGTGTAGCCAGCAGCAGATGCGAGGGTTGAAAGGCAGCTTGAGAATGTTGATCATGTCTGAGCGAATCGATCCGAGAGGTCAGGCTTTGGCTCGAGAATGCTCTCGCATCAAGGTTTGAGTTCGCCCTTACCAAAATTCTCAACATCAAACACTTTTGCACTGCCTTTCACTTCCAAACCTTCGACCGTCTTCCCACCCTGATCGCTACCCAAACTGGCGAGGGATTTGCCGTCGTCGGACGCGGCGATGGCGACGATGGGTGAGAGATGTGTGCGGTAATGCTTGACGAACTCGATCCCTTCTGCCTGCTTCTTCCAGAACTTGAGGTGTCCATCGACGGAGGAGGTGATGAGGAAGTCGGTCCTGCACCCAGAGAACACATAGGGTGGGATCAGTCTGTGACGCCCTCGGCACGGTGTTGGCTCTGACGGTGAACGCACCGAGTGAGTACGACACCGGTGACGGTATCTCGATGCATGAAGGACTTGTAGTATCGATCGGCGGAAGGAAGGTGATCGAGGTAGAGCTTCTCGTGCGCGAGCACTGTGGTTGAGAGGGTTCAGACATCCAGCAACGGGGTCGGGGAGCATGAAATAAGCCTTCCAATCTTTGCGACTGAAGCATGTAGCACTACACTAGCACTCACCTTTCCTCTTTTTGGTCGGTACAGCTCCTGCAGGCAAAGGCATCGGCCCGAAGTAGTCGTCGTCGTCGTCGTCCTCCTCCTCCCCGACGGGTTGCTGAGCGCCGTCTGCGGCTGTAGGTTCCCCTTCCTGATGTTCTACTCCGTTGCCATTCGTAGCTGCTTCACCCGTCGGCTCTAGGACGACAGCTGTTGTTCAATGCTCGAGGTGAGTGTCAGTTCCATTAAGGGCAGCGCGAGGGGGCGAGCTGCAACCGCTGGACTGACGAGCTTCAAAGTCGACCGCATCGATCTCGCGAGCTCGTTTGCCTAGACTTGTAGCTTCTGACGACATAGTGATCCAATCGTGGGGCTGGAGCCGGGGGTGTACGGCAGAGGGAAGGAGCAGAGGGGAGGCCGTTTACGCGCTGGGCTTGGCGATCCGGGGCAAGCGGTCCGTGCGCGAGAGACCAGCAATCACTGATCAGCGCGCTGAAGGTTCGGCTCACCTTTCGGCAACTATCCTCCTCCTTCGCCTCCGGTTCACGCGATTAGTCGAGGATGGCGTCGTCATGGAAGTGGAAAAATTGTATCCCTGCCATCCTCGCCTCGGGCCCATCGCTTCTCGCTTCCGCCGAAGAACGTCGTACGACCGCCGCAGCTGCCGAGCAGAACCCCCGAGATGTCATCACCAACAACTTCTACAGCCAGGACCGAGCTCTAACTGGTCTACAGCTCTTTGTCTCTCTCGATTCATCCAATGGATCACCCAGTAGTCGAACGGCGGTGTATCTCAACGCGCTCGATTTGTGCGAGAGCGCTTTTACGCAGCAAATTCTCGACTGGTTCATCGAGGTGAGTCACGATTCCCCCTGCCTTGTGGTGCTCGCGCCGGCCATCTTCACCCGCAAATAACCATCGTCATAATACCTGTTCTCACTGGGCTCGTCGCAGCATGCAGCGAACCTGAACCTCGACTTCATCGCACCAAAGCCAACCGTGATCGACTCTTCAGTTCTGCGTGAGGTACCCCACCATCTTCAACTGTAATCACCACTGGCACTTGACGATCTTCTAATTGAAACCTCTCACAGTGTCAATGTACCCCCTCAATATCCACCTCCACCTTCACTTCAACCTCCCTCTGCCGTCCAAGGCATCCTCCCCCTCATCTCCTTCCTCCGAAGCCTTGCGCGAATGGCTCACCTCCCCCACCTCGGTCCACCTCACGGTCCGACCCTTGATCACCAAAATGCTTCCCAAGCTCGCCTCCGTATTAGTCAAACAATTCCCGAATGACCTCAATCCTCGCTGGGCGCAGGTGAGTGTCACCTTCTTACCACATAGGAGGTGAACCGCTTTCACACGATATCGCGTCACTGATCATCTCTTCCTCCCAACCTTGCTCCCACCGCCCCCCCACCCCACCCCCATCAGCGCCTCGCAAACGACCGTAAATCCTATTCCTACCTTTCCAAAGCGCTGAACGATATCTTCCTCACCTTTGAACCCGGATCCGAAAATTGGATCGATTTACAAACGGTCAAGAGACATCTGGCTCGACTACAGGAGCACACCGCGGTGGAAGACCAGTTTGCAGGGGGAGGGGTCATTGGGGGTGTGATGGGTTTGGTGGCGAGGAGGTACGGGAATCCGGATGCGTGGAAGGCAAAGAGTGGGATGGCTAAGTCCAAAGAAGGGGAACGCCGTTCGAATAAGGTAGGTGCGAATCATAACAACGAGAGCAGATGGCGAGGCGGAATATCGACCTGACTTTTCGCGCTTCGAAGGCGACTCCCTCGCAGGAACTTCAGGGATGGGACTTTCCCGATCGACTTCTGGACGGGTCGGATGGGGAACTTGAACAAGGTCAGGAAGAAGGTGAAGAACAAAGCTTTGAATCGATTCTAACGGACGAGGACGCCGACCCCTCTGATGGGATCCTGGCCGAGGATCTGAGGAGCGCTGGACTGGCCGACGATGATGATGAGCAGATGGATTCAATGGACATTCTCGATCTCTTCGACTAGTTCAACGCTTCGATAAGAGATGCTAGATTTGTATGACACTATTGTTGGTTAGCCAAGATACCTGTAGGTTCATTTATATCCACCCAGTCATATCCACCAACCAGAACTCGTTTACTCTCAACTATCCATCGCACCATCCTACATTTTTGGCCCGTTCCCACAGAGGTGGCTTGCAAAAGTCTGATGCAAATGTAAAGGCGTTGAGATCAGTGCCCCTCCCCAAATCCGCTCCGCCTTGGCCCTCCTAGACCGACCTCGACATCCTTCCACAACTCCTTGGGTTTCTCGAACGCCGCGAAATGACCTCCCTGTGAAGCCACAACCTAAACCAATTAATCCCGGCCCCTAGACGACATACCCTCTCTGTAGCAACTCACACTCTCATGCGTCGTAAACTGAACGACGTTACCCGTCTTCTCAATCAGGACCCGCGGTGTCGGCATCAATTCTTGAGGGAACCACGAGAACCCAACGGGTTTGGAGATGAACCATTCCGGTTTATTGACGCTCATGGAAGTGCCGCCATGAACCTTTAGCAAGAGCGCGGAAATGAAAGATGTCAACTTCGGCCGGTTCTTAGGCGAGTGCACAAGTGAGGAATACGATGATAAGAGATAGAAGAAGGGGTTTGCTTACTTCGCGATAAGGGTAGACGGAGCGCGCGATCGTGTCCGTCAGATACCACACCGTCACCGAATCCAAGATGTCGTCGATTGAGATGTCCTCGTCGGACCAATCCAAGAACTTCTCGCCGACCCTGGGATGAGCCCAAACTCACATCTTGAGAAAAATTATTTGTCTCCCGTCCAGGTCCAGTAGCCAACTAACCAAGCAAGTAACGCCAAGGGAGAACTCTGCAAGACGAAGCCAATAGTCGAAGGTCGAGTCGCATGGAAATTGGCGTATGCACTACCTTCCTTGCGCCACTTTTCGGCGCGTTGCAAGCCGGCCTGCTCGTGTTTCTCCAAGGAGGAGGCGTCAAAGTCCCGAGGCGTCGGGACAGGAGCAAAGTTGAGATGAACGGCTGTTGTTTGAACAAGCAGAAGGACAACCATTTAGGTTTAGCTCTTCGTGCGTTTGATGGTACAGAAGATGCTCGGACGCTCCTTTGCAGTTATCACTCTTGACGCCGAGGTAGCGCGAGACCCACGAGCCAATGTCGCCTCCCTGAGCGATGTACCCACTGCATCCCAAACCGACCAAGAGCTTATCCATGACCTTGGAACACTCGATGATATCATAATCGCGATCGGTCGGGGGGCCGGATGTGAAGGTGTACCCGATCAAGGACGGTACGATAACGTGGAAAGGCAAGGCGGACGGATCGGAGGCGTAGCGCGTCTTGAGGTCCGTGAGGATGGGGATGAACTCGAGGAAGGATCCTGCGGGGAATCGTACACCATTGGTGAGACTATTTCTTGGTGAACTCCGGGATGATCGTAGAAGAACGTGCCTGGCCAACCGTGGAAGAGCGCGATGGGTTTCGCATTCGGGTTGGTCGAGAAGAGCGCGGCGAAATGGACCGCATGGGCTGCGCCTTGGTCATCCTCGATGTCGACCTTGTACTGTGGGATTTCGTTGATCTTTGCTTCGCGCTTGCGCCTGTACCGGAGTGACAGAGGACGTTGAAGAGTCAGCTCAACTGCGCACAAAGCCCAGGCGACCATGGCGCCCCACATGAACGTCGATTATGGCAAAGCGTCATCACGCCACGCTCGCACAGGCGGCCTCATCACCATCAGCTCCCGCTCAAGTGCTGCAGCTGGTACGTGGTATACTTACCAATCGAATCCATCCTCCCACCTCTTCTTGGCCTTGACGAACCACTCTCTCTTGACGCCATAATCCCGATCGGTCTGCTCCCACGTCAGCGCCGGCACTCGACCCAATCGAACGAGATGCGCCAGGTCCGACAACTCTTGGTCGCTGAACGAGATCTTGAATGGCGTGGGAGCGAGCGTTGCTCCATGGGGGAGTGTTGTGAAGGACATGATGGATGCAATGGGGCGGGTAGCGCAAGAGAGTCCGGTCGGGGCTCTAGGGAAGGTAGCGCAAGGTCTCACAGGCAGGCGATCAGATAATCGCGTGTGGGGCCCGGCCCGATGTGCACCGCCGAGCTCTCTGCACCATGATAAAGTCTCCACCGATCTCAGCTGTGTTATCTAGGCACGAGTCTAATTTTCTTGTCGTGATTAACCCATCATGCCTTCAACTCCAAGTTGCCGAATCGTTGATGTCTAGTAGCCAGCCCGGTGAACCGAATCCTTTTTCTAATGTTCTCTTATAGTTTTATTATTGTTTTTTGTCGTATCTTTTGACACTTCTATGGTCCTTCTTCTACGAGTCCGCATCTCGAATAAATTCTGCCGTTCACGGTTTCTCAATCCGACTCGATCCGACTGTAAGCCACCCAAGGCGGTTTTAGTAGGTATGGTTGATCCTGATGCAGGGTCAATGAGTCCTACACTACTGGCTTCTGCCAGTGTGCGTAAAAGCGTCCCCTCCCACTTTTCCGAAGGTTTCTAGGTATTAATATAATTATGAAAACAAAAACAAAAAACAAAAAACAAAAAAAAACAAAAAATCCCACTTCACCCAGACGCCGAGCGAGCGGGCATTGGCAGCCGACACCGTGCCAAGAGATGTGCCAGAAAGACTCGGGTGCGTTCGTGAGGCACATCACGCAAAATATGGACCGATTATTGTGACGTGGACGTGGGCTCGGAGACGCGAGTTCTTGACCTAATGGAGGGATCCCAGGGAGAGGGGGTGTGCGGTGTCTTCGGGCCTAAGACTCCGGCATCCGAGTGGACCCTGCGAACCTTGCGCAAGCGCTGCTCGGAGAAAGAGAAGATCCTCTGATGATCTTTAGGGGGGGTGGGGGTGTACAAGAAGGCGTGGTGGCGTTTGGAAGCGTACACAGAAACGAGGACGGAGTCATCACCTCCGACACCTCACCACGGTCGAAAAGGTCCGGTTCCGATTTCACCTCGGGATTCTACGTTGGTGGTGCTGTGTGGCAGGCGGCTCGTCCCTGATTGGCCTAGCCAAATCGGACTCCTACATTGAGCCTCCTTCGTAACCATTTTCTCGTTTCCCTAGTGCTTCCGATTCGCATGCACCACGGATTGATATTAGATCAAAGGGGGGGGGTTCAGGCCCATTTTATTGGGCACCAGGGACCTATACCTCAGAGAAGAAGAAGAGGAGAAAGGCAGCGAGCATACGTGGTGCCGTAATCTCGCGTTCAAAGTCAAGTCGGTGCCTTACCCGGGACGTCGACAGGAACATCATGAAAAAAGCAATCGGAGTTTTTCCATGGACGGCGACGCGCCTCGGCGCCCAGCGACCTGTTTCATTTATAAAAGGAAGCTCTCAAAACCCCGGTGCTCAGAGCTCAAAGTCCGCGGTCGAGTTGCGGAGAAGCCCATTTCCTACGGATTTGTGTCAGCCTATCAGTCAGTTCAGTCGGGGCCGACTTCCCGACTCAGGCCATGCCGTATGGCATCAGCTGGGAGCCCTAGCAGATCGGAGGGCCTGAGATACTCATTCTTCACAAGAAAACAACGTTGCAATATGCCTTTTACACACCGGTGCCTGCATGAAACACTCAAGTCTGCTGCTTCCTTCTTGGGCTTGATGGGGGAGTACCGGGTCAAAATTTTGAGGCGAGGCCGCGCTTCTGCAGCACGGCGGGGTCGAGTTATATATATTGTGTCGGCGCTGCGCAAGTTACCGACACCCACACATGGGAATCCATCATGGGAGGCGACACGGCAGACAAAAGTAGGCACACCTCGTACCTTTCAGGTGTCCGCCGACGTGGATGTAATTGAAAAAGCGGATTACGGCCTCCCTTGAAATATGGCGAAAAGCACCGACATTCGCTGGATGCATGTGATCGCGCAAGCTGCGACAGCGCACACTGGCCAACGGCCACGGCATAGGCGCAGGCGAGTTCAACGCCGACGCCGCTGGCCTTGGCGCGGAACAAGCTATCGTATCGATGACCAACACGCATTTCCCCTCCCCCCCTCGCACCCGTGCCAACCCTAGCCCGGTTCTCCCGTCGTGAGCGCCCGTACTGGATGGATGGACAGCAACATGTCATCGTCGTCGACTCCGGTGTCGTCGTCGTCGTTGTCGGCCCTTGCAGCCGGCGGTCCGGCGAACGGGAGCGGCAGCAGTGGCAGCTCTGGTGACCGTCAGGACTACTTTGGCACGCTCGCCATCGTCGACTCTGCCGGTGCATCTGCGAAAGCACCCGCCCCAGCGACACTCACCGGCGACAACAGCAACAATTACTACAACCACCAACCTCTGCACCACCCGACCGCGTACCCTTACCACGCCTCTTGGGTCGCAGGATCAGTAGCACCCGCACCAGGATCAGCAACAGCAGCCGCGTCGCCATCAGCAGGAGCCCCGGCAGCCTCCGCGCTCTCAGCAGCAGTCGGAGATCCATCCAACGTTCTCGAGCCGACCAGATCGAGGCCCAGCCTGCACGACCGCGGCGCACCGTTGGGATCACCCTCGACCTTGTCCAACGTGGGAGCGGCGTGGATCAACCGTTACCACCAAGCGATGCCTCGGCATACAATGTCGAACGGGACGACGACGACGACGACGACGACGGGCCCGGCATCTGCGACCTCCAGGGGTGGGACGCATCCGGTACATGCGATCGTCCCGAATCAGGGCCACCACGCTCACGGCCATGCACAAGCTCATCTGCATCACCCGGCCTACCCGGCCTACCCAGCCTCGTCGTCGTCGCACCACACGCAGCATTTCAACTCGGGCGGCGCCGCGCTGTCGCATCTGCTCCACCACTCCGACCAGACCGAGACCTCGTCGGCCGCTCCCCACTGTAATCCCCATGGCGGCCCCGCACCATACCCAACTCCTGTCACCCCTTCGCTCCTGTCATCGTCCAACATGCCATCGAACCAAACCTCGATGACGCACGTCGAATCCTCCGCTCTCGAGGTGGCACCGAACTCGGTATCGTCGTCGGCAGCGGCGGCGGCGGTAGCAGCAGCAGGAGCGACGGCCCCGGGATCGCTGCACACCCCTATGGCCACATCAACGACGACTACTACAGCGGGGCATCCTATCGCGATCTTTTCCCAGATGCACTCCCATCTGTGGCCCTCGTACCCATCTTCTACGGTCGCGTCGAGCCCAACGACCCTTGGCCCGGCAGCATCTCGGCCGTTAGCTCCGCCGGCGGCTGCGACGGCCCCCGCGCCGATCAACTCGGTGCACGAGCTGCTTTATTCGTTGCACCTGACGCAGTATTACGATGTGAGTCCTTTCTCCATTGGATCTGGCCGTTCACTACTTTCCATGTGCCCCAGCATCGCTGGTCATCATTGGGTTGTGACGTCGTACCCGTTTAATGGCCGGGCTATCTTTCTGGTGCTCTCCACTGATCCCCGCCGCCCGTGACTGCGTCGAACGCCGATCGCCGCCCCCTAAAAATTCGTGATCAGACATTCGTCGCGGAAGGTTTCGATCGACTCGAGTGAGTGTTTCTCTTTCGCGCATGTGCTTTCGGAGGTCCCCCCTTTACGTCGTGGCATCACATGTGACTGATTTGTATGCTCGTCTTCTTTATCTCCGCTCTCCTACCCCGTCTGGCTTCCGCTCGCGCTTCCATGATCGACGGTGGGCTCTCTTCGCGTCGGCGTCATGCCATTCTTCTCGACCTTCTTTCTCCGCGCGCGTCCTTTTTTTAGAGCGCTCGACGATATTACGGAAGCCGATTTCGAAGCCGTCGGCGTTCGCAGGGGGCATCGAAGGTTGATACAGCGACATTTGGCATCCATCAAAGGTAAATCGCATTCTAGCATCCCCTAGCGTATCATTTTCTTCTTCCGGCTGGCAGCGCTGTATCGACTTCACAACGGCGCCGTCGGTCTCGGGCAGCTGTTCGGAACCCTCGCGCTGATCAGCTTTCTGTCGGGCTATCTCTTGCGTGCTTCACCTTCTGTCTCTGTTGCAGGTCTACCCACCTCGGCGCCGTTGGTTTTGCCCATCGCTTTGGGGCATGGCGAGAACGGAACGATTTCTACTGTACCCGCGCTCGCAGTGGTCAAGAACAATGGTCTTGGCAAGGCGGAATGGGTCGACCCAACCGTTGCGGACCAGGCCCCAGTCGTGGCCGCAAATGCTGCGGACGAGTTTGCGCCCAAGTCCAAGATGGAAGATGAGGCCGAAGAGAGTGACGACAACCAAATTGGCGATGTCTCGTTGGCGACGACGTTGGTAGAGGATCAGGAAATGTCGAACCTGTCTTCTTCGACGGGCGTGTCGAGGGCAAGGGGAGGGAGCAAGTCGAGGGGCGTCAAGAGGAAGAGCATCGCTCCTGCGACGACGGCTCCTACTTCAGGTGAGGTTTGTCACCATTGGGTATGACACGAACAACCTTTCGAAGCTGATCAACGATGTGTGCACCTCGGTCAGTGACGCAAACGAACCGCAACGTGTTTTACATCCACCCAACGAACTCGGCTTCGGTGACTCGATCGACCACTGCCTCTCCTACAGCAGTTCCGATCCACAGCACCGCCGTCTCAACTTCGGCCGCTCCGGGTACGCGGATGAACCCGGCCAAACGTCGTTACCGACGTCACCCGAAACCGGACCCCAACGCGCCGGTCAAACCTTCTTCCGCCTACGTCGAATTCTCCACCTCGATCCGCGCCCAATTGGGGACCTCGAAATCGTTCACCGAGATCGCGCGCATCGTCGGTGAGAAATGGCAAGCCTTACCGTGTTTGGAAAAGGCCGACTTGGAACGTCGGACGATCGAAGCGAAGGAGGCGTACGCGAGGGATTTGGAACTTTATCAGCAGGGGAAGGAGTGGAGGGAGTACGAAGCGTATTTGAAGGAGTTCAGGGCCAAGTACCCTGATAGTGCGATCGGACCTTCGACGACGGCGGCGGGGGTGGCGGAGCTGGAGACGGGGTCGTCACCTGCTCCTTCGGGTTCGGGTTCGGGTTCGGGTTCGACGGCGGGGAAGGAGAGCAAGGTGGTGGGATCGGGTAAGGGTCGGGGTGGGAGACGCTCAAGTACGCGTACGGTCCAATTAGCTGCTCCGATGGACGAAGGCACGTCGACAAGTTCCGTTCGGATGGGTCGGCGCACATCGACCAGACGATCTTTGGCTAAAAATGGGGCACGTGAGGAAGTTGGTTCGGATTTGGATTTCGATTTCGATGGCGATGGCGATGGAGAAGGGGAGGGTGAGGATGTTGATGGGGAAGGTGAGACCGATGAGGACGCCTTGGTCGGCTCATCGACGACGACGATGACGAATGGGAGTGGTGTGGATGAGGAGGGGAAGAGGGAAGAGTTCGATAAGGAACAATGGGATGCGGTGAGAGTCTTGGCCAATGTCCATCGAAGGGAATCCGAGTTGTCGCGTTGAAGACAAGGGGACGTCGTGGGAACGACAAGTTGGAGGAGGAAGGGGATGGACTCTCAAGGGGGTGGGAGGTAAGAGCTCGCTTGCTGTATCTCTTCCTTCCACAGGAGGAGAGTAGAGGAAGGGAAAAAGAAGTCGGAGTTTCTGTTCATTCTTGTTGTACGACTCGCAAACAATTCCTTCAGTGTTCTTTCTCTAGTAGTTGTAAAAAGGGCATAGGAACGACAAATGATCCGCGCATTAAATAGCTGTTTATTTATCACAAAAGTCACAAGGTCCGAGTTACACAGAGAGTTGCCTTATGCATTCCATCCAATCCGATCAAATGGGGATCCACTCGACCTTGAACCTGCGCTCCTCACTCCCTACCTGGGTCAACCACCTCCCGTCCTCTTTCGCAAACCGATCCCATTCCCTCTCCCTGGTTCCACGAAGGACCAAGGTTTTCAGACGATGGAAACTCCCCCCTCCGCCTACGAGAAAGTGTTGACGAAGTATGGCGTTCATCTCTTGAACGTTGTAGGATATAGTTAGGTCGAAGTGTTGGAGATGGGTATGGCGGTTCGCGGAGAGCTTTTCGAGGAGGACGTCGAGGGGTACTTTAGGGTGCAGGGAGAGGTGGGTTAGGTTGGATGTGCCGAGGGGGGAGGAGGCTCCTCTCTCGTGAGGGGAGTTCGGTCCAAATGCGTCTTGTAAGAAGCGCTCATCAGGCCGATGGTGTATCGCCAACTCTTTCAACCCATTCCCCAGCGCCAAAGGGAGGGCCTCGATCAGGTTCGGGTAACACGATGAACTAGGGACGAGGGAAAGAGTCAGCGAGGTGAGGTAGGGGCATTGGAGGAGGGCGAAGAGGAGTTGGGAGGGGATCGAGGGTGTGCCGGACAGAGTGAGGGTTCTCAGTGTTGAGCGGAAGGGGAGGTATAGGGGTTCGCGGAGGAGGGAAGGGAAGGAGTTGCGCGGGAGGGGCACGAAGGAGGTGGAGAGGTAGAGGGTGTGGAGGTCTGGGAGAGGAGGATGATAGGCTCAGCTGCGAAAGAGACAAGTGGAGTGCGGCGCCTGTACTGACTTGAAAGGGAAGGTCCTTGCAAGGCCTTGACGGGCAACGACTTGAAATCGAAGAGCTCGACGGTCGAGACCCGTTCGGCCTTGAGCAAGCATGTCCTCGCCGTGTTGGCACTTATCCCATGGCCGGCGACGATACCCGACATGGCCAAGGCGTGGGTGATCGAATGGCTTGAGGACGTGTTCGAAGGTCGTTTCGAGGATAGCCACCGATTCGCAGCGGACGAAGTGGAGAGCTTGATCGAGGCGTTGAGCAGCGATTGCGAAGGCAGGAGAAAGAGGCGCGAGACGAGCGTGTAGGAGAGGAGAGCGCTGGTTCGACTCGAGTGGTCCGAAGGGAGGGTCAGGTCGATGATGTAGTGGACCAGTTCGAAAGGGAGGGAGTGGATCGGGGAGGACGAGCTCTTGCGAGAACAACGGCACGAGTCGGAGGCGATGACGTCGTTGGAACTCCACGAGGACGAGGCGTAGGAGGTGGTCGAGGCGGTCGAGTCGAAGGAAGAGATCGACGAGGACCTGTGGATGGATGCCATTACATTGTGTTTGACGCAAGAGTGGCGTTTGCACAGCCCAGATACGGTCGGTTGCTGAGGCCTGAGGGGTCGCCGCGAGCGCACGTGAGCGCGAGGAAGGCCAGGAGCAAAAGTCGATTACACCACCTCGAATTGCTCATTAGCGATCAAAGTGGGGGCTATAGTGGGCGCTAGTGGGCGCTAGTGGGCGCTAGTGGGCGCTAGTGGGCGCTAGTGGGCGCTTAATAGTATGGGGGGGAACCAGCCTTCCTCCACGCACGCTCTGTCCGCGATCGATCGCCCGAGGCCGAAGCCAGGAACTCTGCTGGTCGATCAGATGCGCTCGTCTGCGCAGGATGCATCAACGGCATCGACGACGGCCACTGCCAGCAGCAGCTACACGCGCCGAGCCACCTTTGCTGCGGCTGTAGCTCGTGCGAGTCGACAAGCCGCGGCGACTCAGGGCGTAGACGGTGACTCGCCCCGCGGCCAACCGACGGCGACTCCGAGCCCGAACCGGAGCCAGAGCCAGAGCAAGAGCCAGAGCCAGAGCAACGACACCACCACCCCACCACCGAGTACACCGAGTACACCGAGTACACCGAGTACACCGAGTACACCGAGTACACCGAGTACAGCCTCCCACCCCGAGACCACACCTCTGCTGCAACCCCATGCCTCGTCGTCCGCAGCGCACTACTCGAGCATCCCCAAACGTCCCTCGCCCCTGTCGCACCAACTGACGACGACGACCCTCGCCAGCTCCACCTCGTCCCTCGCGACCCTGTCGACTACACTGCCCAACTATGGCACCCTCTCACCCATCACGCCCGCATCCTCTGCGCCCACGTCGGGCGTGTCCACACCGAACCGCAGCTCGCGGCGACCGTCCGGCGTTCGTCACGGCGAGTCCGGCTCGTCCTGGCCCTCCCCGGGCGACACGAACCCCTCCAAGGCGGGCCAACTACGTTCCCGCCTACTCTTTGTCCTCATCGCCCTGCTCCTCACCATCTGCGTGTACGCGTCCTTTGTCGACGATTTCATGGGCGACGTCGAGGCCGCCATCTCGTGTGGCGCGTGCATCGGCCTGCTCGTGCCGCTGCAGGCCCTCGCTCACGTCGGCGATGATGCCTTTGTCGATTTCTTTGTCGGATTCTGTTCCAAGCTGAGAGTCAGTCTCATTCAACGACCACATTCGTGCCTCGCCTCCCCGTCCACTCACACTCACCCCCCTTTGCTCCGCTCCATCCCCCCCCCCCCCCCCCCCCAGATCGAAGACGAAGACGTCTGCGCCGGAGCGATCGGCACCCAGGCCCCTATCCTCGCCCACGACCTCCGCTCCATATCTCTCGCTTCCCACGCCGCCAAGAACTTTTGTTCGACCGTGTTTGGGCTCTGTCCATTGCAGCGCACGATCCCTTATAGCGTTCAGTTCTTGGACGGTTCCCAAGGTAACGATACGAGGCGATTGATGGAGCGACCGAAAAAGGTGTGGAAGAGCAAGGGGAGAGATCCTCTAAAGGTCATCCATTTGAGTGATGTTCATATCGATCGCAACTATCTCGTCAGTGTGGGAATGATCCTTGCTGAAGGTGGGCTGGGGGCGCTGATCCGATCGAACTTCGCATGCGCAGGAAGGTGCCAGCACCATCTGCTCCAAGGTCATTTGTTGCCGAGACTATGGCGAGCGGTCGTTGGGTCCAAACATCTCCCATCCTGCTGGAAAGGTGAGCTCGTCAAGACGAATTCGACAAGGCGGCATGTGACTGAAAACTGATGCGAGGTCCCAACTTTTGGCGGCTCACAGTTTGGGAACCGACATGCAAGTCCTGCTTCCATCACTCGGGGTGGGCAACTCTCTCGCTGACCTCGTCCTGAAACAGTGCGATGCACCTCCGGATTTGATGGAGTCCATGTTCCGAGCGATCGATAGGTCAGCAGCTCCCACCGAATTCGCAGGCATTTCCTCGGAGCTAACATGCGTTCAACATTCCCATCAGGTTCGTTCCCGATCGAGCGTTCATCATTTTTACGGGCGATGTCGTCGAATCGGCGGTATGGACCGTCAATGAGCTAGTGCGTGAAGACATTTGTACGCTCGAACTCGTACGACTTTTCCGCTCATCCAGCCAGTCTTCTTGCTACAGAAAGTAACCTCCGATCTCGAAGCGTGGCACAAAGACATGGTGCGCAACCCCGCCACCCCCTCCTACCCCGTAATAGGGAATCACGACGTCGCGCCCGTCAACGCATTCCCACGCACCACATCATGGAACCGCGAGAGCGAAAACTCCACCACTTCGCCCGAAATGCCTTCTACATTGGCGATCGCGCGCACCTCGTCGGATTGGGTTTTTGAGTTGGCCGCTAGGGATTGGGAGAAATGGATTGGGTCTAGGGCGAGTCGGCAAGTGCGGGAACATTATGGGTGTTATTCGAGGGTGCATCCGGGGACCCAGTTGAGGATCATCAGTTTGAACACGAATTATTGGTCAGTCACCCTGCTGCAAGGGCCGATGAGGGTGTTCTCCAAAGACTGATGGTGGGGTTTTTCGGGCTTGCAGGTATAAACAAAATTGTGGGTGCAGATCATTAAAGTCTTGGGTCATGATCGAATCCTCTTTGACTAACGATTGGAATCTGTTACACAGTCTGGCTCTACGATCATGATCAACCGCTTTGGGACCCGAACGGGATCTTGACCTGGCTCTCGCACGAGTTGCACGCCGCCGAGAGAGCTGGTCAAAGAGCTTGGATCAGTAAGTCCAGATCGGTTGAGTTGTCACAAGAAATATCCCAATGCATTGACTGTCTTGACTTTTTTTTTGCGATGTTCAGTTGGGCACATGCCATTCGGTAAAGTCGACGCCTTGCGTGACCAATCGAACTACGCGAGTCAGATCTTTGATCGCTACCACGATACTATTGCCGCTCATTTTTATGGACATTCGTCAGTAATTGGTTTTGGATTCCTCACAGAGCTCGAGCTGCGAGCTCATACAAAATTTGTGTACCCACAGCCATGTCGACGAGTTTGAAATATCCTACCCGGATTATGATGACCGGAGGGCGGAGACGGCCCATGGAATCGCTTACATCTCTGGCGCACTTACACCTGCCAGTAAGTCAAAGTATTCCCTCCATCTCCAAGTTACCTCCCAAGTTATATCCATTGAGTTATGGCTCCTCACTTCCTCACAGGTGGGAACCCCGTATTCCGGTTGTATCACGTCGATCCGGACACGTACGAAGTCCTCGATTTCATCCCTTACTACACCAACAAGTCCGAACCCTCGTTCCAGATCGACCCCGTTTGGAAACCCTATTACTCAGCAAGGGAGAGCTATGGGACGATTTTGGAAGAGAATGGGTTCGGGGATTCGAGGCCGAAGGAAGGAGAGAGTTTGAGTGGGAAGTTTTGGCATCGCGTGACGGAGGTGTTTGAGAAGAACGAGTTGAGTCGTTCACGTCGGGGTTTTCGGGTGCTGATACGATTGTTCGGGCTGACCTTTCTTGGATGGGTTTGGGTGGTTTGGACAGGACGGCGTTTCAGATCTTTACCAACCGACTCAGTCGAGGTGGTAAAGTCGAGGATTGCTCGGGTCCGATCTGCAAGAACAATACGATTTGCATGCTGCGCAGCATGAGGTCCGAATCCAACTGCGTGAGTCGGTCATGGACATTGAAAACCGACGTGGTGGTCCAGAAGACTGACGTTCCTTGCTCGTTTCGCACAGGCCGTCATCCAACCGGGCCTGAGCTTCAAGGACCAGAAACGTGATACCGAGGTCGGTTCACACCTCCCCCCCCCCTTTCTCTCCAAGCGAAGCTTCGCCTTCGCTGACGTATTCCCCATCCCTCCTCTCTCCAGGCCGTGACCGAACCCCAACGAGGTGAAGGCGAAGAAGAATTCGCGCAATCGCGCCAACACGATTTCTTCGCCTGTGAAGGCCCGGGATTGGGGAGTATGTTGAGGAAGATCGCGCAGGGGGGTTTTGATACGGGCAAGGTGGATCGGAAGGAGAGGGGGAGGATGATGGGGATGCAGGCTTTCGGTGGAGGTGGGGATAGAACGGGGCATTTGGGTGTTTTTGAAGGGATGTTGAAAGAGCGGGTGGAGGTGGAGAGGAGGAAGAGGAAGAGGGGGAAGACCTCGCGGTTGTTGAGCAGATTCAAGAGGGCAGAGTAAGGCGGATCAAGCCCTGGGGAGGACGGAGGATGTTGATCTTATAGCTCGTGAGCTACCTCCTTTTGTTTTCTGTTCTAATCGATTGTTGTAACGGTAACGGAGGATGAAACTCATCGGACCTACCAGACAGATGTAGTTTGCACGAGTGCCTGAGTGTGCTTAGCCATTCATGCGTTGAGCTCGATGCCCGAGCGGGTCCGAGCTTTTGCGCCGGCCGTGCCAGTCCCAACCTTCGCCGACGAGCCCGAATCCGCCTGTCTGCCTCCGCCTGTCTGCCTCCGCCGTCTGCCTTGATCGGCGCACCTTGCACTGGCTTCGTCAGCTTACCACACCACCTACGAATGGCGACTGCTTCGACCTCTACTCTGAACAGGCACGAGTTTCTGACTATCGGCACGCACTGCTCTGAAAGCACATGCAATCAGTTGGACTGTAAGTAGCTCAGCGCTCGACGAGAGCACTCTTGTCATTCCCGTCGTCGTTCGTCAGCTGATCCAGCTCGTTGTGTTGCCTCTCTCCGCCAGTCCTCCCTTTTCGATGTCCCTCATGTTCGAAAGCGTATTGTTCGGACCATTGGAGACCACCGAATGGACACGATTGTCCACGGTACGACGCGAGAGCCCATGACGTAAGCGCTCCCCCCATCTTCGTCATTCGTTCAACCCCTGACGAAGGTCGAAAGGGGGCCCTCGCCACCCTCACCGCGTGGAGTTGAGAAGCTGACACGTCCTTTTTGTCTTCTTTTCTGCGCTTACGTCCCACCGGAACAGAACATCATCCCCTCCTGCCCCCTCTGTTCCCAACCCGTTCCCCACCCCCTCTCCATCACCCCCGACGAAGCCGTCTCGACCCACCTCGAATCCGGCCAATGCCAAGCCCTCAGCGCCCTCAACGCCCTCAACGCCCCAACCCCTTCCGGTCGTCCGAGAACCCCACCCAAGACGGACAACATGTGCAACGAACGCAAATGTCGCACCAAGATGGTCGTCCCGATTACGTGTGAGGGGTGTAGGAAGAAATTTTGTGCCAAACATCGGTGGGGTAAGGATCATAATTGTGGGGCGGATGCGGGAAGCAAGGTAGGGAATGTGGGTAAGAGTGTGGGTGGGACGAGTGGTGGGCTGGGTGTGTTGAAAAGGGCTCAAGAGGCGTTGGTCACCGCGACGACGTCGACGACCTCATCGACAAGTTCCAAACCGACGGCCAAACTCAACCCCGTGCCTTCCACTCCGGTCGCTCCACCGAATCCGAAACCAACAACGAAAGATGAACCCAAGACCAGAAACAAGATCATGAACAACCTCGGTGTTCCGACCAAGATTGATAAAAGGGCCATGGCCGAACAGCAGAGTGCGCTCAAAGGGTTGGAAGCGAGGGCTAAGAAAGGGCAGGTGCTGCAAAATGGGCCCAATCTCGGAGGAGCTGGTCGTCACTTGAGAGCGGGCGCTGATGACACACGTTTCATTCGTCCAGTTTGTTGAACGAGGACGAAAAAGTCAAATACGCGACGATGCGAGCGATGCACGCTAAACAAAGTGGCGACGGCAAGGACGGATGTCTCGTCTCGTGAGAACACGGAGGTCGTGGTGGAAGGCGATCTCATATACCCTTCGCATACTCGTTACCGCATTGAATAAAAACAAACTAGAACAAGATTGTGTGCAAAATATACAAAACGTTCCCGAGAAATCTTACTACAAGCTCAGCGGTTTTGAGACCGTTGACTAAAACGACTAAAGCTGCACCTCAAATTGATGACGGACCAGCATGCGGGTGTATATGGTGCTTTTGAGAGGATTACGATAGGCACACCCTCTTCCATAGGACCAGCCCTTCGAGAGACGATTTTGACAATAGTAGATAACGGTCCCGAGCCATTCACACGCTCATGTCCGCTGTCTTGACGGAGTCCTCGCGAATCGATCGACCGCATTCCACAACTGCCCCTCCGAACTGGCCATGGACGACGAACCTTGCTTCTTGATCGCTGTGGTTCTCCCATCGATGACTTGTTCGGTGAACTGCGAGTTCTTGGCGCAGTACTTGGCTAATGTGCTTTTACCTGTTGAGGGGGAACCGGCCAGGAAAACTTTTGTGTGGGCAACGAGAGGAGCTCGGGGTCAGTGGTGTTTTCTCGTTCCATGCTGGAGACGAATCAGGACGTACCTTCCGCTTTTGCAAGAATGTTCTTGTCCACGATACCCACGATCGCTTCATCGAGCCTATCGAAGTCAGCTTGCGCCTGATTCGCCCCGACCCCAAGCAGCGCCCGCAAATCTTTATCCAACTCGACGCTCCCCAAAACGCCCTTGAAGCTCGTCATCTTGACCGTATCCCCGAACTCGCGCTTCCAATCTTCGACAAATCCACGGAAAGCGGCGTGGTGTTCGGCTGTGATCGTCTTGGTCATGGAACCACTGTGGGCGGAGAATTTACTTCCTGGACCGGCGCCGTCGAACCAGAGTTCGATGGGGTAATCCATGGCGAAGTAAACGGTTTTGACTTCGGGTCGTTTCGCAACGGCTTGTTTGACCCAGGCGATCAGTGACAATCCGCATGGTCGCAATACGTCGACACTGACGGTCTCGGTCCTCCAATGCACAGCCAAGAAAGGGGAGAGTGCTTGGGCCATCTGTTGTCCGAGCAGAGTCCAGTGCGACGAGTACTGGAAGTACTGATACTTGCGCACGGGCTTCGATCCAGGAGCCTGATAAGGTCTCACAATCCCGGGCGTCAGGATCTGATGACGAAGGTTGTATTGAATGACGATCACGTCTGCCGTTGTGCCCGTGTTCGGGTCACGGGCTTGCAAGTCCTCGATCATACGCTGGGCAAACTCGATGCCTTCGCGATCGATCTTGGCCGCCCCACTGTTCCGAAAGAACGCCTTGGGTTCGTACGCCTCGAGTTCGAGGCCGAGGTTGGCGAGACATAAATCGTTGAGAGGGATGATGGCTGCATCAGCCGGAAATTCCTTGCCTCGTACCATTCCGACAAGTTGGCCTGTTTTGGCGCTCGATTCGCTCTTTTGATTCTGTGACTCGCGGTGCGCCAGCGCAAGGAAATCGGCGTGAGTGATCCAGGGGATGTTGAAGCTGTCGAGCGTGTCGATCGAGTAGTAGAGGGAAAATGGAGAGGTGTAGCACGTCGAGAAGCGCGACTTGTGGACTTGGGGTAGAACGAGCGTTCGATTGAGCGCGACGGCGAGCAGGCCCAATTGGTAGAGGTGCAACTGCGCCTTGGTCTCTTGCTCCCCGATCCAAGCGGCGAAAAGAAACTTGCGATCGTCTTCAAACTTGGGCTTCAGTGTTACGACTTCGACTGGTTTGGATCCTGCGGAGGCTGCGAGGGCAGCAGCCGCGACGACGGCTTGCAGTTCCTGCTCTAGGTGATCTGGGTCGTCCTCATCGACGACGTCCTCTTGGTCGTCGTCCTCGGCGTTCTTGCCCTCGCTCAGGTCGGTGTCGTCTTCGATATCGGGGTTCTGCTCTTCGCGATCGGGATCGTGATCATGTTCGTAATGATCCCCGTCCCTGTCGCCGCCATCGTGGCGATTTGTTTGGTTGGATGTCGCGTTGTCTTTCGTTCCATCTTTTTCACTTGCTTCTTCAATACCATTGCTCGGCACCTCGTCCTCGTCGATCGGATGCACGTTTTGAGGTACTCCCTTGTCTTCTGTCGTCGGTTTTGCCGGGATGTCAACGCGCTGTGGCCCGCCAATTGGTCGACGCCCAGCGCCGTGGATGGGTACTGGATCCAGTGCTTCAGGTTCGTCGTCGGGGTTCGAGACATCCTCGTACGGCGCTGCCTCTGCGAGCACGACCTCTCCTTTTGTTGGTCCGTTGGCGTGGTTTTGGGATTTGTAGCGAAACGTATCCGAATACCCTGGTGCCCAATTGTTGGGATGGACTTTAGAAGCGATGCGCACCCACCCACTGAGCTCGTCCGTAATATCCGTTCGGGGTGTCTCAGCGAGGGAGAACAGCCCAAACGCGACGATGAGACATGTCAAGAGCGTCAAGAGCACGCTCGGCCGCGTCGACCCATGGCGTTCGAACCATTGCCCGACTTTCTCAAACACCCTGGAAGTGGACTTGCGCCGACGGGTCTTCCTTAACAAGGCGGCGTTCGTCGGCGATTCGTTGACGTACCGGAACGAGACGGACCCATTGCCACGTCCGCGCCGTGGGGGCGTTGTAGGTGGGGAGCGCATCGATGGGTTCGTCATGCTCGGGAAGAAGACGCGCGTCGAGGTTGAGAGGGCACGTCGGTGGAATTGCGACGTGGGCGATGTCGAGGGCGTCGAGCTCGTCGGCGAAGGCGAGCTACCAACTGCGCGTGGACGGACAGGTCAATAGGAGCACGAGGTCAGGGATTGTGCTGAGGTAGGGCTCGTGAGTTGGAAGGGCTCGCCGAGTTGGGAGGGCTCTAGGAGTGGGAACGTGGGGGCGAGGTAGGCAGGCAGTAAGGGGTAGAGAGTAATGAAATGGGTACTTGCATTGCGTGACCATTTTGTGCGGTTAGGAGCGGCTGGGCCAGCCAGGCAATCAATAAGCCGTTGCGAGGCGCGCTCGTTGAACCCAAGACGCGGAAGGCGCGTGGAGGGACGCGGCCTGCAGCGCGTGTCGCAAGTGATGAGCTTCTTGAGCCGGGCACCGAAGTGGAAATGAGTCGAGGCCACCTAACGTAATGGGGACGACTTTTGAGGGAGCGCGTAAGTCTCGTACGGATGGGTTCTGTTCCAGCACTCGAGTCGGTGGCGTGTGGACGTGCGTGTGGGTGTATGAAAGCGGTCAAGATCAGAGAGAGAGAGAGAGCCAAGCTTCCGGAAGTCGACGTCTGCTCTTTGAAGCGATTATTTAGCGCGTGGAGCGAAGCGCGTTCGATCACCTCGCAGTAAAAAGATTTGTCGCTTTGTCAAATGTTTCGGGGCTACTACTATCGCTGGGTCGTTGAAGTCGAACAATTTCTTTGGTCTTCCACTTTCCTTTCGGGGCTGTGGCGTAAACCACAAGGTGCTTAGGCATCCTGGGACCGTAAATATTGCATCGAGATGTCGCACAGTGCACTGCAGTCGGGCGAATCTGTTTTTGACTTTCGTCCGTCTAGATGAAAACTTCGGAGAAGCACGAGCTAGTTGCGTTCAGGCACTCGTAAAGATGAGAGATTTTAAATTATCAGTGACCTTAGACGTTCAATTTCTGTAACGTTGGTTACCTAACTGGAGAAACATGATGGCATTGGGCGCGTCGACATCGGCGAAGTCGGCGTGCGCTCGAAGATCGCCGCGTGCATAATGGCTTGTACGAAGGTATCTGGGAGTACAGAGCCTGAAAACAACTCACTAACGTCACTCTCACTGTCCTGAAGTGGCGCACGTTCGCAGTAGAAGAATGAAAATGTGTTGATGCGTGAACCATGGAGACTTTGTCTAGAGCACTTTGCTCAAGGCACGGTGTTTCACGTATCACGTGACGGAGACGCGAAAACCAACACGCGGACATGACTACGAGAATCGAACGAGTGTGGGAAACCGGTACGTATTACAACATGGTGTTGAAGGAAACACAAAAAGCAAGTTCTAGCCAAGAAGATAGCCGTAGCTGGACGATCTAGACGCCGAAACCGTAGAGGGTTCGTCCGGATCGCTTGAGGGCGTAAACGACATCGAGCGAGGTGACCGTCTTGCGCTTGGCGTGTTCGGTGTAGGTGACCGAGTCACGGATGACGTTCTCGAGAAAGATCTTGAGCACACCTCGAGTCTCCTCGTAGATGAGGCCCGAGATACGCTTGACACCACCACGACGCGCGAGACGGCGGATGGCGGGCTTGGTGATACCCTGGATGTTATCGCGCAACTGTGAGATGCGAGACATGGTGGGCGATGTAAGAACATTTAGCCAAGATGTGCAAGAGGCGTAAACGTTGCAAAGACTCACGATCTTGCGGTGACGCTTGGCTCCGCCCTTTCCGAGTCCCTTTCCGCCCTTTCCACGTCCGGACACTGGCGACGCGCGAAGCAAGGAGATAGGGGTCACCAAAAGTCAGTACATTATCATGTTGATTGGAAGCAATGTAAGACTCACTGTTTGTTTAGGTTTAGATTGAGGGGTGGTAGTAGTGGGTGTGATTGAAGAGTGCTTCGATTGGGCTGACTTGGATTAGGTCAGGCCGAGCGTGAGAGAGAGAGAGAGAGATGTGGTGTGTAGGAAGTCAAGAGGTAACGCCACCACGATGTGCAAAGTCGTTCTCTGCGTCTGCGTTTCCTTTGCCGATTGAGAGAGCGAGGCGTTTTGACTTGATCTAGGTCGGTACGCCCCCATGTGCTGCCTCGACCTAGGTCACCACTTTTCAAACCCCCCCCCAGGCGCCCAGGCGCCGCGCAAGCGAATTGAGCTGCGGCTGAGGCGTGGACGCAGCGCTGCCTCGGGTTAGGCGATGCGCGGCTTGGCGTAGTTCGGGGTCGCCCGGGGGTGCCTCGAGCTAGGTGAGGCGCTTGCGCTCGGTCGTTCAACTTGTACCATCATTCGACGCGCCCTAACCACAAACCTGACATTTTCCATGAGCCAGGACCTGGATCACCTAACTCGAGGCAGCGGCTCAAGATTGACCTGACCGCATCACCCTTCGACACTCTTTCGCTTTCCTTTCACCGTATCCTCTTCCACCCAAGCCCAAGCCCAAGCCCAAAGCCCCTTTTCCACCTCAAAACAAACCCCCCATCCTCAACAATGGCCCGCACAAAGCAAACTGTTAGTCCACCTCACTGAACTCAATGAACGACTTCGTGTACTGACCATGATCTACGATATCTCAACACTGCAGGCCCGCAAGTCGACCGGTGGCAAAGCCCCTCGCAAGCAACTTGCTGCCAAGGCCGCGCGCAAGTCGGCCCCCGCCGCCGGTGGGGTCAAGAAGCCTCACCGCTACCGCCCCGGAACGGTCGCGCTTCGTGAAATCCGTCGATACCAAAAATCGACCGAGCTCCTGATCCGCAAGCTCCCCTTCCAACGTCTCGTTCGCGAGATCGCGCAAGACTTCAAGACCGATCTTCGCTTCCAGTCGTCGGCCGTGATGGCTCTTCAGGAATCCGCCGAGGCGTACCTCGTCTCGTTGTTCGAGGACACCAACCTGGCTGCCATCCACGCCAAGCGAGTCACGATCCAGCCCAAGGACATCCAATTGGCCCGTCGTCTCCGAGGCGAGCGATCATAACTAGGGTCCCTTGTTTTATTTTTCGTCTTTTCACTCCTCGGCGGTCATTTTTGATTTCGCCTTGGCCTACTTGGTTCTCAGATTTCACTCTCTACTTGATGTTGTAACAAGATGTGCTTTTACCCTTCCAACGCTTTCGTGTCTTGGAGAGAGGAATGATCCCTCAAGGGGTTTGTGCGCGTAAAAGCGTGGTCCCGGGGGGAGCACATGACGATAAAGAAGCACTCGAAGTGGTCTCTCTGACCAAGCTCGGTGTTGAGCCGTGGGTGTTTGAGCCTCTTGACCTACACTTGTTGCGCATGACTCGCCCCAAACGACTCGGCCCTCGAGTGAAACTGATAAAGAACGCGCAACGACTCGGATCGCGATCGGCTTTGTGTCAAGAGTCGGAATCGCGTTCGCCGATCGCCTGAGCCTCGCGGCCAACGGACTGCTTCGCTGTTCGCCTTAGCTCTACTTCCGCTTCGTTTCGCTGTTGATCCGACTCGGCCCGGTCTACCCTCTTCCGGCACACGGAACTACACGCCATCCCATTTTAAGAAGTGAGCAATTATGATTGGTGCTGTAGCATGCGATATGCTTTGGCTGTGATCGTTGCCGCGTTGCTCGGAGACAATGTTGGTCGAACGACGGATCTACGCCCTGACGCCAGGCAGGGATGTCCCTCGACGTACGCCACAAGGAGGAACCGACTCGTGCAGCATGCGGGCAAGGTCATACGAAGGATACGGCAACGGAACATTTGTCGTTCCTACGACGTTTCGGCCATCTGGAGGGGGACCAGGGCCGTCGTTAACTATGCGATCCGCTTGGGTCGCGTGCCCCGAGCGACAGATCCGCTTTGTTGCATGCCCGCGGCGAATGCGTTCCGGTCAACCCAGGATGGATCTGCTTGAAGGGTGGATCTCAGTATCGAGGATTTGAAGATGCCTCGAATCGGCACGTTAACGAGAATGTTGGGGTTCGTGCCGCGCGTGCACGGCCCGACTCGAGCTGGACGCGTCGAAGGGCTCTTTCGGGCCCAAACCATAGCGAGCCGTTGCACGTCGTTTGGCACTACGGTCGGGCACATGCATGAGATTGGGTTCGGATGTATGCTCGCGCTGAAGGCCCGAATCGGGGTAGTGCTCGAGGCGCAGCTCTTTCGACGGCTCACTCAACCTACAAAATTAGTCACTTCGTTTCGTTCCCCAACCTCCTTCGCTAACCATCACAACCGTTTTTGTCATAGGATCGGGTACATCGAAATGTACGAAGCCACTTCTATCGACCTCGACAGGTCGCCATCTCTGTCATCGCAGTCCTCGGGCGCATCATCGGCTTCCTCGTCGGCACCCATCACCCCTGCTTTCGCCGCACTCTCATCATTCCCTTCGAGCCGCTACCCGCACTCGTCCAAGGCTCACCAAAACTCCATCTCGGCAGCCAAAGATGCGTTGTCCAACCTCACCAACGTTCGCCTCACCGGCCCCTCGGTTAGAGGAACGCCGACGAGTCTCGGCCGAAGCGGGTCGGCCACCGGCGGCTCCCCTTGGAGCGCAGGACATCGCGCAACGATGAGTCTCGACACCAAGACGATGCACAAGAGTCCGAGTAGCCGCGTGGGGTTGATGGGTCGTAGTGAAGACGAGCCTCTCTCATCTCAGTCAGGGCTGGGCCGCTCCTCGCCAAGTCAGGTTTTCGGCAACGGGACATCGTCGCCGAGCCAATACTCGTCGACGCGGATGAGCGGATCCCCGACACGAACGTCGCCGACATGGATGCCCCTTCCTCACTCACCTGCATCACCAACTCGGTCTTTTGATCATCTGCAACACTCGCCCGGCAAGGTGAACCCTTCGATCTTCTCGACGCGCGCAGAATCCCCTGGTTCCGCCGCCCAGCTGCGCAATGCTTCCCCGGAGGGTCTGGGAAGGGTCGGTTCGATCCGAGGGGCGTTCGATGGGTCGGGTTCGGTTTCTTCGACTTCGAACTCGCCGAGAGCGTTGGGTCACAGGCGGGCCATGACTCTGCCGCACAATGGCGGGCTCGGGCCGAACGGCCTCCCTCAAGCAGCGACAGAGTTGATCGGTGCTGGCGAAGTGGCTGGTCAGTCGGGCCACCCACTTCCTTACGGGCAGATGAACCCTACTAACGAGAGACATTGCAACAATTCCCCTAGGTTTGCCCGGCCGGGTACGACTCTCCCGTCCCGCCCATGCTTCCTCGCCGTTCGCTCCCTCGGCCGTCTTTTCGTCGTCACACGGCTTGTCACAACAAGCGGGGTCATCTCCTCGCTCCGCGGCGGCCATGTCGCCCTCGATGACCTCGCCCCACTTGTTGTCTCAATCCGCGAAAGCGATCGACGGCCAGCGCCGCAACCTCGCCCTGTACGAATACCTGTGCCGCGTTCGCGAAACGCAAGAGTGGCTCGAAGCGTGCATCACCACCCGCCCTGCAGACGCCGGCCCTCTCTGGTCCGGTGACAACGTCAACGAGTTCGAGCAATCGCTTCGCGACGGCTATGCGCTCGCCCACTTAGCGCGCAGTCTCGGTTCAGACGCGTGCAAAGGACCGATCTACAACGACCCGGTCCGTCATTTCCGCCACACCGCCAACTTGGCCATCTTCTTCCGCTTCATCCACGAGGTCGAGTTGCCGGACAACTTCCACTTCGAGACCGTCGATTGCTACGATGGCAAGAACTTGCCCAAGGTCATCTACTGCATTCATGCGTTGTCGGCGTGGCTCCATCGACGCGGTATCACGGCGGGCATGCAGAGCTTGAACGGTCGGGTCGAGTTCACCGAGGAGGAGTTGGCCCAGGGTGCCAAGGGCCTCGATGGCGTGCGCATGCCCAACTTCAGTGGTATTGACAAGGCGCTTAACAAGACCCAGGGCGGACCGCCTCCTGAAACCGAGCGCCAGAGGACGGACCGGCTCCTCGGTGAACGAATCGACGATATCTTGGGGCTGCAGGCTCAGGCCCGAGGCGTGCTGGCGAGGAACAAGGCCGAACGTTTGGCACACCAGTTGATGGTCGAGGAGAGAAGACGACAGGAGGAAGCAGAAGAAGCGCTACGCCGACAGGAGGCTGAGGAGCGACGTCAACGGGAGTGGGAAACTGCGGAACGACTGAGGACGGAGCGCGAGGCGGAAGAAGCCGAGCGTCGTCGCATCCTCGCCGAGGAAGAGGCTGAACGTCGACGCATTCTCGCCGAGGAAGAGGCCGAACGTCGACGCATCGAGGAAGAGGAGGAAGAAGAGCGACGGCACATCGCCGAAGTCAAGGCCGCGGCACCGGCGTTGCTCGCGTTCCAAGCCGTGGCTCGTGGAGTGATCGCTCGTCGCGGCCTCTTGAATCGGATCCGTCACATGCGCTCGGCCGAGAACTTTGTTGCCGCCGCGCAGGCCCACGCCCGAGGATGGCTCGCTCGTACGGCGTATGCTCGCCGCAAGCGATTGGTCCAACGCGTCGAAGTCGTGAGGGCGACGAACGCGTTCCAATCCCATGCTCGCGGGTTGTTGGAACGTCGCAAGCGCGAAACGCAACGCCAACAAGTTGGGTTCGTCGCCCCTTGCTTGATTGGTCTGACGGCTCAGGCGCGAGGCTACGTGGGACGCAACAAGTTCCTGGCGTGGCGTGAGCACATGTATGCGCATGAAGATTCGGTGATTGTCCCACTGCAAGCGATCTTGCGAGGTGCGCTCGTCCGTCGACGATACGACGACAAGCGCCGACAGCTCTATTATGCCGACGATAGGGGACTGTTTGCTCGCATGCAAGCGCGAATTCGTTCGGCGAGACAAGAGGACCAGTACCGTCAACTACGCATGGGTACAAATGTCCCCATCTCGACGCTCAAAAACTTTGTTCGCTTGCTCGACGATTCCGAGTTTGACTACAACGGGGATATGATGGTCGAGGCGTTGCGCAAGGAACTCGTTGCCGCTATCAAGGAGGCGCAGGATCTCGAGGATGACGTCAAGGATCTCGATACCAAGATCGCTTTGCTCGTCAAGAACAAGATCACGCACGAGGTCGCCCGCGCTCAGCGCGCCGGCGGTGGGGGTGGCCTGGCGCCGCTGCGCAAAGCGTCCTTGCTCGCCGCAGCCAAAGACCCGTTCGCGACCGACGCGCTCGATCGTTCGACCCAACGCAAGCTCGAACTGTACCAGCAGCTATTTTGGCATCTTCAGACGAGCCCCATCTACCTCGCGAGGCTGTTCGCCAATATGCAGCGCCTTGGCCTTTCGGACAAGGTCATTCGTGCGATCGAGTCGACGACGTTCGTCATCTTTGGGTATGCGCAGGCGCAGAGGGAAGAGTTTCTATTGCTCAAGTTGTTCCAGGTGCGTGGGTGGAACTAAGCGATCATTGGTAGTCTTGGGCCGTTTGCTAACTGGAGCTTACCTTGGCTTCTGCAGCGTTCGATCCAAGAAGAGCTTCACTTCCTGCCCTCGATCGCCGCCTTTGTTCGGGGCCAACCCATCTTTGCTCGGCTCTTCCTGCAGTACGGCCGCGGTACCGCCCAGCGACAGTATCTCACGAATGCGCTCGGACCGCAGATCCATGAAGTCATGCAACGCGCCGGCCTCGACCTTCGCACGGACCCGATCGAAATTTATAAGGCCAAGCTGAGCGCCGAAGAGGATCGCACGGGGGTGCCACCGGCACGACCGGCGGATGTCGACTACCTTGGCGCGATCTCGGATCGAGAGACGCGCGAGGAGTTTGGGAGACGTGAGTGCGGATTCAGGGATATGGGGCTTCGCGTCGTGATCTAATAACTTGAGGTGCTCCCACTCACAGATCTGGTCGCACTGAGGAGGAATACCGACACTTTCTTGCAGGCTTTCTATGACTCGACCCGTTCGATGCCCTACGGCATTCGCTACGTTGCGCGCGAGGTCCACCAAGCTCTGCACGCTCGCTTTCCCGACGAGCCTGCGCACGAACACCTTCGCGTGGCGGGCCATATCGTCTTTTACCGCTTCTTGCAGCCAGCGATCCTCGCTCCCGAGACGTTCGGCATCGTTGAAGGCGTCATGACGCCTCGTCAGCGACAAAACCTGTCTGAGGTCTGCAAGTTGCTGAATCAGATCTCGGTCGGACGACTGTTTGGTGAAGACCAGCCTCACTTGCAACCGATGAACGACTACATCGGGGCATGCGTTCAGGACTTTTCGCGATGGATTACGGACTGTGCGTTGACCAGGCTTGTTTGCTTGGTGGAGGAGCTTCGCTGACCGCGCTTGATGACCGCCACCATAGTGATCAACGTCGAAGATGCCGAGCTTCACTTCCATTCCGACGCTTACGTCGACGCGGTTGCGGCTCACCGACCCATCATCTACATCTCGCCCAACGATATCTATTCGACGCATAGTATTATCGCCGAGAACCTAGATGTTGTCGCTCCCGAGCCGCACGATCCGTTGAAGGCCATTATCGAGGAACTAGGGGGTGCGCCTGCTTCCAGCACGGGAGAGCTGAATCGAGCGAGGGCCGATACGGTGCCGTTGACGTTGATGACGCGACTGATGACGCAAGAAGGTGCGCCCACGACATGCTCTATGGGTCGTTCGATGCCTCCTTGTGCTCACGCGTTTGCAACACTTTCACGTTTGCAGATCCTGATGCTCCGTCCAAGGCCCTCTTCGCGTCCGTCAAACGACGCGTCTGCGCCATGTTAAAGGTCAAATCGGGAACAGACCTCGAACAGCTGCTCACGCAAGAGGTCACGATCGATGATGAGGATACTTGGGCACTGGTCGTGCGAGAGGAGCTCGAGGAGGAGCGCCGACAGGCCCAGCTGCAGAGGCGGCAGATCATCGCCCCACTGGATGACACGAGAAAGTAAGTGTTGAACGTGACGCGGGAGAGTGCGCATGGAGCGTATAAACTGATGAGCCTTTCATTATTGAGCAGACTCACCTTCCACCAACTCGTCATGGCGACTCTACGCGACGTTGTTGCGTTACGCAGGACGGGCATGATCTCGAGCGAAGACAAGTACCAAGCTATCCTCAACGCCATCGCGTCCGACATCCGCTCCAAGCATCACCGTCGAGTGCAGCGCGCAAACGAGCTGTCGACGATGCAAGCGACGTTGACCTCGCTGCGGGACAAGAAGCGATACCTGCTGGAGCAGACCAAGTCGTACCATGTCTACATCGACTCGTCGATGGCTTCGATCCAGAAAAAGACGTAGGTCGTTGACGTCCAAGAGTGCCAGCTGTGGCGAAGACTGATCATTTCTCCTCTGCTACTCACAGCAAGAAACGACTCGTCCTACCCTGGTCGAGTCAAGCGAGCCATCAGCGCAACCTCGAACGCGCGGGCAAGTCGTACAAGTTCGGTTCGCACTTTTACACGGCCCAGAAGCTGTACGACAAGGGTGTGCTGCTGTCGATCGACCAGTACTCGCCGCGCCAGTTCGAGGAGATCTCACTCACGCTCAGCTCGAACGAGTTGGGCAAATTTGAGATTGCGGTCTTGTACAAGGATACGACGGTCAAGGCCGTCGAGGTCAAGCTCGAGGATCTGTTGGAGTCCCAATTCGTGAGTTGGCTCGAGTGTGACCTATTCGCAGGCGTATGTTGACCTCACCTCTTGATCCTACCAGGTCGGCAAACAAACGGTCGAGATCGGTGGTGTGGCCAAGGCGAATTTGGGTATGCTGGTCGACCTGATCAACCACAAGTTCTACGCCTCGTGATCTCGACAGATGCCTCTTTGTAATGGTTGAGTAGACCCCCCAACTTTGTTTTTCACGTTTACGTCTTGGTCAATTTGTTTTTATCCGCCCATTATTTCTGTGGACATTGCTTAGACACTTGGTAGTCGCAATGCACACACTGTCCATGCCCATTCTTGGACGCTGGGTCACGTGATTCGACTGGCCATGAGCGGCGTGCGGCGGCCCCTCTTTTCGCGCTTTCGCTCAGCTCGGTTTCCCCATTGTCGTCCAGCTTCCCGCGTCGTGATGGCGAGCGCCACCAATCTCGTTGCATTGCCACTCAAGAGGACCGAAGGGGCGAGTTGAATCGAGCCCCTGTGTGAGATGGGACAGAGCCACATGAGCTGACGCACCAAGCTCTCCCACGTGTAGCTGCCGAGCCTGGCGTCGAGTGTGGTCGAGCACATCGCGTCGACGTCCGACACAACCCACCCGGATGCAATCGAGGCCGACGCACGGATGTGGTCGCAACAACGGGCCAGGATGGTCTCCAAGCTCGACAGTGCCAGTGTAGATGCCGACACGATCGTACAGCTCTCGGCGTGCGTCGTTCTCTTCGCCCTCCGATGACGTCGTCGGCTTGTTCGGAGCGCCGCCCGTCGGACTGACGACCGCTTTTCCCCATCCCCTACAGCTATTATGCTCAACTCTCATTCATTATTACCAAACTACCCATCAGGGTCAGGCCATGATCGCTTGCGCTGTGCTCAACTTGTCTCACCCGGCCGCCGAGCTGAACCAATCGGTGACTCTATCCTCTCGGCAGCTCATCGAGTTCCACTGGTACCCATTGTTTGCGTCATCGGCTTCGGCCCCCGTCGTAGGAGCTTTCGACTCGGCGGTATCAGTTCCCATCGCGAGCTTGCACTTTGAGCGGGTCGCAGTCCTGTACAACATCGCCGCGATTCACTCCATCCTCGCGACCGCGACCAAGCGGATCGATGAAGCGGCGATGAAGAGCAGTATTGCCGGACTTCAGGTACGACAACCAACTATGGGTCTCGCGGCCACAATTTGCTGAGCTGGGACTGGCCCTGTGTACCATTTCTACAGAATGCGGCCGGTGTGCTTTCCCACCTTCTCACTCTTCTCCCCCTTCTCGCCGACGAGGATGACCCAGAGCAAGACCCCATGTCGCCGGACTTTACACCCGAGTCGATCGAGGCCCTTCGTGATCTCTGTCTCGCTCAAGCCCAAGAAGTGTTTTGGCAGAATGGAGTCCTTGGTAAAATAAAACACGCTCTCGTGTCGTGCTTGAGTTGCCGTTCGGTCCGCTGAAGAAATGGTCAATATCGCGCAGGTCGACTTAAAAACGGAACCATCTCAAAATTGGCTGTCCAGGTCTCTTTGCATTACTCTTCGGCTCTAGCATCGGCAAACGCAGCCAAGACGAAGCTCAAGGAGACGCAGTGGACGGGGACATGGGCTTTTCCTGATGTGAGTCGAAATCGCGTATCTCCGAGGAAATGGACCACCGTGGTTATGGTCTGATGCTCCCTAAATATTTGCTCTCCCAGTCGCTCTTGAGCTATATGTCCATCAAGGCCGGTCACTTCAATGCTGTAGCACAGTACCGGAAGAGTATCGACGATCTTGGAGCCAACAGGTCTGTAGGAGGCGATGCGATCGAGCCCTCGACCCATCGCCCCTGACTCAACCATGCTCCTTCTTGCTTCCCGAACAGATACGGCGACGAAATTGGGCGACTCGAGGTGGCAGACGCTGCCGTAAAGAAGGCATTGACGGTGTCGAAGCGGGGCGTGGCTGACCCGGTAGTCCGAGATCTCAAAGTGAGTGATCGGAACACCTGACCCGAGCAGTCTTTGGGTCGCAGCTGACAACGAATTCACTCACCAGTCCCTACAAACCGTTCTCACCGATAACTTGGCTCGAGCGACCAAAGACAACGACCTGATCTACCTCTCCACGCCAACACCTCTGTCTTCCCTTCCCCCCATCACACCCGCCGCCATGGCTAGAGCCACGACGGCTGCAGAAATTGTCTCGCCGCTCGATCATTTGCAAATCGGGAGGTTGGGCAAGCCGTTGTTCGAAGGTCTCGTGCCTTGGCAGGTACATGCGGCGGTCAAGGTCTATGAGGATCGAAGGGAGACCTTTATCAAGGACGAGGTGTTGGAGAAGAAGGGAGCTTTGGACGCTTTGAGCACTCGGTACGTTCCATACCGACGGGCTCTCTCTCCCTCTCTGGGGAAGCGCTCAAACCCGATTTTTGCGATTTGCCGACACTCTTGTACAGGACTTTGCAAGAACTCAACCTGCCGGCGGCGATCGATGCCGTCTTGCAACCGACGGCATTGCCAGCTTCGGTCCTGGATCAGTCCCGCGAGGTCAAGGCCGAGGGAGGGACGGAGAAGCTAAGGTCGTTGATGCAAGACGTGCGGAGAGTGGCCAGGGTCAACCAGAAGCTCCTGAACGAGGCTGTCGCCCTTCTCTCACAAGAGTCGTTGGAGGATGGGCAACTTCAAGCTCAGTACGGCGCTGGTGCGGCGCACCGAGTCGGCTCGGGAGAGGCTCAGGCGGCGCTCAGGACTCGGGCTGACAACCTCGGAGGCGTCATGGCTGCTGCCGGCCAGAGTGATCAGCTGGTTCGTAACAAATTTGGCGAATGGGAGACCAAACTGGAGCTCTTGTGCGGTGACGAGGTAGGCAAGCTAGAGACCTGGAAACCTCAACCGAATGGACCAATGCTGATCCATTACTGCCCCTGGCTCCTGGACACTAGGCTCAGCTTGACGAGTTCGTCCCTCAAGTTGGCGCCTCGCTGACCTCTGGCCTCAAGTCGACACAGTCAACCACGATCCGGCGACTACGGTCCTTGATCGACGATCTCCACGAACTGCGCTCGGCTCGTCAATCCATCATCGACGATTCGCGACGATTCGTAGACGCCGACACTTCCGTACGGAGCAAAATCGAAAGAGCCGCAAACGACTTTCTCAAGAAGGGTGCTAGCTTGTCGATGAGCATGTTTGAAGGGGTCTTCGAGAACGAGTTGGCCAAATTTGATGGGTTGAAACAGGCGATGGAGCAGAATGGAGCGAGGACGGAAGATTTGGTGGGGCATGTCAAGGTGAGTCGCCGGAGGAATTCTAGGGTCTTGCACCAAAGGTTAAGTCCTCGTTGATTCTATGATGTAGATCGCCCATGCATCATTCGTTGATTCGCGTCGCACCGATCCGGCCTTGGCGAGAAGGACCCAAGCACTCGAGGACCTTGATGGAGCGTATCACAAATACCGCGAGATCCTGACAAACCTTCAAGAAGGACTCGGGTTCTATAATGACTTGGCTAGACTGTTGACGGAGCTTCGGGATTCGGTCAAGGAGGTAAGACGACCCTCGGGGCTTCGCGTGAGAGCTCAGCAGCTGATCATGGCCTTTCTTCGATTGGGCCCTCCAGTTCACTCAAATCCGATCGCACGAAGTCAGACACATCGAACAGGAGCTCAGAGCGCACATGGAGAATCTCTCGATGCAGAGCGAAACCAAAGAGGAGCCGGTCGAGGAGCCGAGGAGAAGGATCAGCCCGCGGAAGAAGACAGTGCCCAAGGCAACCTCGTCGTGTCCTGCCCCGGCAGCTGGTGTTGCTGAGCTGCATGGTAAAGCCTGGGATCCTTCGATGGGTATTCGGTTTGGGTAGATGGAAGGGACGGTTTCATTTCAGGTTTGTGTGTTGTAATCTTGATTCGGATCGTCCTGTGTCTCGTGATGCCTCCGTTCTGACATTCGCAAAATGATCGATGTGGGGTTCCACCTCTCGCATCGACGCGCTTCAGCTCGAGCTCTCCTTCGCACCTTCACGTGCACAAGCCTGCTATTCACAGCATGTCGATCCCACCGCCGCCTGTCGATTTCGCGTACTTGCATGACTCGTTGCAACAGGATGCGGACCTGAGGGAGAAGATCCGGGATGCGGTCAGGGACGTCGAGAGGGAGGAACGAGCGATCCAGGCCGTGTTGAACCGCGTGCATTCCGTCACCAAGCAACAGGGTCCGTTGGAGGGTGCTGATGATATAAAGTGTCGTACACTCGGACTGTCGTCACTGACCTGTTCTCTCCATTCCTTGGCCCCTTTCCTCCTCGGCAGTCACGGAGCTGCTCACCTCGGCTGCCAGTCTGAGTGCACCGCTGCAATCCTCGATCGCAAAACTAGCATCCCTCATCCCGACCGACCAATTCTACCGCTACAACGACCAGTTCTCCCGTGCGCTCCAAGTCGCCAGTTTTCTGATCGTGTTCGCTCGCTTCTTGCTTCAAGGCGACGTACCGTCCAAGAATGACGTCGAGAGTAGTCTTGGCAGTAGGTTATGATCAGCTTTGTTGGTGGCAAATATTGCACGACCTTGTACTGACCATGGTACTGGTTCTGGTTGTACTCGCTTCGTGCTCGGTCTTGCTCCTTCCAGTCCAACCCGAATGGAAGGATCATTTCTTCCTCCCGACCGAGGAATACCTGCATTCGCTCATCTCGCTGCTCAACGAACTGGTAGGTTTGGAAGTCACATACCTTTCAGCAGAAAATTGTTCACTGAGAGTATCATTTCCATGCATCCTCCGCAGTCTCGACTGGCCGTAAATCGAGTTACGCTCGGCGATTACGAATCCCCCCTTCAATTTTCCCAGTAAGTTCGATCACAATCTGAGCCCCGGATGTATGCTTCGGCTCACTCATTGCCACCTGCGTCTTATCTGCACGACCTTCTGTGCCGCCCAGGTTTGCTAAAGAGCTCTCGACTGCCTTCGGACTGTTGAGCCTGAAGAATGACAGTTTGCGCAAACGCTTCGATTCGATCAAGTACGATCTCAAGAAGCTCGAAGAGGGTCAGTTGCATACTCTACGGGTGAGTACTCTCGTGAAGGAAGCCGTTTACTTATTAGCTTGTTCATTCCGAGCAGTTGTGTACGATCTCTCCTTGCGAGGGCTACTCAAGTCGGCTTCGGCAGTGGCGTCTACCCTCTCGACTATGGACGAAGAGCAAGCACCAACAAAACGAGGGAGGATGGAACTTGCGTCCGAAGGCTAAAACTGAAACCGAACTTGTAGTGAGAGCGTGCTCTCTTGGATGTGGTAAGCGCGTGATGACAATTTGGCATGCACCAGTAGGACCTCGAGACAACTTGCGGTAACCTTCGGAATTCATACAAAAAAAAACCCGAAATCGGAAACTTCGCATCTTTCAATCCAGTCGCTTAAGCTGGTCCGTGCAAAGAGCTGAATGTCCTGCAATGACTTTCATTTTGAAATTTTTACACGTGGACGTGGTGAAAGGCAAAAATTATAACAGACTATGTTCAGGCGGAATTAGACCGATCGTTGGGGTCAAAAAAGTGTCCATATAAAGATCCAGATCGAGCTTAGAAAAGCGTGGCTTGAAGAGGGACCTGTGGTTTATAGAAGGGATACCTCGTATATCAATATCATGGCCATGCTGGAGCGATCAAAGGGGTCTCGGTTAGGGAGGAAATACTCACCTCGACGATAGCGGGACCGGCCAGGGTATTGTCGTCCGTGGCGGTGCCGTTCGTCTTGGTGATGACGACGTAGTTCTGGCCGTACAAGCCCGAAGGGACGGTGACAACGCCATCGGAAGGAAGAGCGACCGACTCGGCGCCGAGGGCAGTGATGAAGGTGGCGAAAGCGCCGGATTGGGCGTTGGCGTACGTGAGCTTGACCTTGTTGCCCGACTCAAGGGCACCAGCAGTCAATACGGGGAACGCCTTGACGGGGAGAGTCGGGTTACTCGAAGGGCACGACTTGATGAAGCCCGCTGCAAGCGAATAGACTTGGTTCAAGCCGAGCGCCAAGTCAAACGGACTGGGGAACGAATCGAGCTGTTGCGCAGCACCACGGATCCAAGCCGAGTGGCGAGCCTCAACAGCAAGTACTTGAGCCGCGTACTGCAAGTAAGCCGGGTTGGTGATCTTGTTCGCCGCACCGATGTAGGCACTGACTCCGACCCCTTCGAGGATCTGCGCTACAGCGATGAAGGTCTCGGGCGAGTTGTCCGGGAACGAGTACTCGCAGGCGGCGGTCGCTTGCGCGCCGGCGGCTTTGAGGGCATCGGTCAAGAACGAGACGTGGGTTGTCTCGTGCGAGGCGATCTCGGACAGGCGGTAGCGAACCCATTCTGGAAAGGCAGCGGATTGGAATGCTTCGGCAGAATACCTGTGCGAATAGACGTGAGCAAGGAGCCGCGATCAGCAAAGGCGCAGGGGAGCCTGTCGAGACAGGAGGGGGGGCGGCTTTCTGGTGCCGACAACGACGGCAGAGAACGCGTACTTTTGGAGACCCTGCTTGTAAAAAGCGGCTTCGAGGTGCTCGCTGAGGAGAAGAAATTCCCACGTGGGTCAGTTTCCTGTTTCGAAAACGTAATAGGCCGCATGGACGGGTTCCATTCCTGGGCTCGTGCCTCTGCAGTGCTCTATCGGAACGTACAGAGTAAGAGCATCTGTGATAGGAAGCATATTCGCAATGAGCCACCGTCTTTCTCGAAGCACCGTTTCATGCTTGATTCTGGGATGTAAACTCACAGTTGAGGATGACGGGGTCAATGTCGGTGGATTTGCCATCGTTGTTGCGCTTGCCGAGAGGGGCGGCGATCGCGAGACCGGCAACGGCGAGGTTCGTAAGGAAAGAGGTACGCATAGTGAGTGATTGGACAGGTGCGATAATTTACTGTGGAACGTGTGTGGGAGAAGAGAGAGAGGAAGGAGGAGCAGGAGCAGGCAAATGATGGGGGATCAAGGTCCTTGGCAGACCGAAAATTGTACCAGTGGGGCCACCTGCTGAATTGCCGGCTGGTACGAGCGCATGAGCCGACCCCAGTGAGAAGGGGTCCGATCGTACGAGACCGGTCGGTTTCAGACATGGCAATCGCTCTCTGGCCCAATCGCCTTATTGGTTCTGGTCCCTTGAACGCAAGGTTCGGCCCAAGTGATTAGGCTACAGCTGATGTCATTCCAGCGATGCCATCGAGCTCAATCGCTCACTGTAAATGAAAAGCGCGGTATTCGCGGGAAACAGTCGTACGAGATCGAGGCGCGCGCCATCGGTCCACCAGGCACTTTTAAAGTACTTTTAGCGCGAGGCCGCGAGAGCTCGCTGTGGGCCGGGCCATCTTGGGCCCCACACGGGCGCGGAAGAGGCATTGGCATCGGATATCGGCTGATGCACCTCATCAACGAAATGTCTCAGTAGCAGGCATGAAGGGGGGGGGGGGGGGCAACGAAGCGACATGGACAATCCACATAAATGTCGGTCAATAATAGACACCGATGCAGACTCCTGCATTGGCCCCCAACGATCTCGAGTCGTCACCAGGAGCTGCACATCACGTGATCGGGGCACCTTCAGGAAATAGAGTTTAAAGTTTAAACGCCTGCCGTCGGAATCCTCGAAGCACCGATCGAACTGCTATATGTCGTCGGTGTAGGGAGAAAGATCGCTTCTGGTCCGGTCGGTCTCACTACCTATTGAAAGGAAGCTATTACTGATCCAGGTATCGGTAGCGCCGCTCCCATCGTTGACCCGAGGGTTGGAATGCAAACTAGTACAGCGAGGACGCTTCAGCGTCGCAAGCCCCATGTCTGCCAGCAATCACATACGGGAGGGGAGCAAATGTCGAAAGACACCTTGGCACCTCTCTGTTCTAGGGCTGCGCAATGACCATCATCTCAGGGAAGTCTTTTCGGTCGAGCCACTGTCCACTGCGCCACGTTGCCCCCGGCTGAACTCCCTCAGAGCCCGCGGTTCCTCAGCACGCTATGGTTTAGCAAGCTCTGACTGGATACCGGGATAAGTGCTATCCCCCAGTTGGAGTGCATCAACCCGTGCTCGTGCCTTGCTCGTGTCGCTGCCAATTGGTATAGACCGTGGGCTCTCCTAAGCAAACTTTGATCCTCTCGGATCGCCAAGCTTGTAGTGACCAAGCGCGTGGCATTGATCACCAGCATGTGCGTGATGGGAGTACGGCAGATCACTTGGAGGGATCCTGGGTTTTCCTCTGAGCTCAAGTAAAAGTAGCTACGCAGTGCACAGCGGGATCCAGAAGGCTGCGTCGGCGTCACCCTGGGAAGGGCTTTCGCCCGTCCAACGGTCTCGGCGGTCAGTCGGTCACGGACCCCATCGCTTGCTGCTCTCCTCCGCAACCTATCTCTCACTTCCACGTTCTCTCCTTCTCACGACATCCCCCTCTCATTCCTCTGGACTTGAACCTTTGCCCTCACGCATCGTCTTTCATTTCGTTCAAAGTACACCCTCCTCCACACGGCTGTCTTGCGATCCTTCATCACTCTCGTCCTGCTCTCCGTATCCGCGTCTGCGGGTGTTCTTGCTCAAGGTGTCGTTCACGGTCAAGCCCTCTCCCGATGTTCTCGACATCATCCGATCCAAACACGATATTATTGCGCGCTTCCCTTGCCACCTCTTCCCACCCTCTCTTCCCCTGAGTGTCTCGACAGCGCATCCTTGATGGTTTCTTGCTCACTGCCCCACCCCTGTTTTGCTCGCTCCTCTCCATGCGGGCCGTCGCTGTCCTGCTTCGTACAACGGTGTCGGCAAGCCCGTTTTTTCCGCCGGTCGCTGGCGAATTAGTGAGTTCTGATCTATCCCCTTCCCGTATGTCCTCGAACCCACTCCCGGCTGACGTTCTCCCTCACCTTTGCTCTGGCTATCCTCAGGCTGCACACGCGGTTCGTCGATCAAGAAGCGCGGCTCAAGCCTCTATTGCACCACTCGCGCGGTCTGATCGATTTGGCTCTTGCAAGTCCTCTTTCATCGCTCTTATCACACGCATGTCTCGCATACACCACCACTGCACTTCTCATGTCGCACGAACTGTCGCTGCTCCGACGGTCCGACCACTCCATCACTTTTCAGTTTGACCTACTAGATCTTATGTTACTCAGTTGTTACAACTAGAGCTTCACCTGGCATCACCTAGCATCTTCTCTGCGCTTTCTCGCTCTGTACGCCATGCCCTCATTAATGCAATCGATGCTAATCCACTGGTCATAGAATCTTACATCCGAACCGACGCGGTGGTGAAAGAGGTCCGAGCTCAAAGATCAGTGAGCTAAAAGTGGAGCGCAAGGGGAAGCGTCGGGCCGATCGATACTTTGACCCTTTTGATCCTCGCATTTACATATCGCGATAAGGTCCCGCTGAACATCACCTCCCATGTCCAAGCCCGTCACTTTTATCCAAGCCCCTGCGCTCAGCTCAGCTCCGCCAGGGAACAGCGGCGATAGCGGACATTCTCACTCGCACGATCATGCCCATGCTCACGACCACGATCACGCTCACAACCACGCCCACGACCATGGAGCACAAGAACACGGTCACACACATGAAGTGATGGAACACCCGGGTCAGTGCTTCGAACAGAAATGGTCGAGGAAGGCGCTCCCTCGGCTCGTAGACGAGCGGCATCGGATGAACTGACCTGAACTCGATCGTGGGATCCGCGGGAAACAGGCAAATTCGCCGAGAGGGACCTTCCCGACTACAGTGGCCGTGTTTGGAAAGAACGAGGGTTCACCATTGGTATTGGAGGGTCAGTGCTTCGTCCTCGCAGAGAGCCTCGTTTATCGGGCGGCGGCACGGGCCACGACGCCGATGGAAGATACAGAGCTCATGTCATTCTTCAATCCCCGGAACAGCCCTGTTGGGTCAGGCAAGACGGCTTTGACGTTGGCGCTGTGCAGGATCTTCCGGGATACGCACAACATCGGTGAGATCTCAACATCGTGCCGCCCTCCAATGTGGGGGTCGGGCCACGACCCGCGGATCTAATATCGCCAAGGTCCGAGACTGACAGAGAGTGGACGCGCCCTTGTTCCCCGTCTGTACAACAGCTGTCGTTACGAACGACATCTTCACTAAGGAGGATCAAGAGTTTTTGATCCGAAACGAAGCATTGGCAGACAAGGGCAGGATCAGGGCCATCGAGACGGGTACGTACGGGCATTCAGAGGGGCTCACGCGCTGAAGCTGTGCGAGTTTGCGCTTGTTTGGATCTGACCCAAGTTTTCCTGTGTTCGGGTGGGTGCAGGTGGCTGCCCTCATGCCGCCATTCGGTAAGTCTTGGGGCTCGTTGCCCTGGTCCCAGAGTCAAGGATGGGCAACTTTACTGACCGCCGGCTCGTTGAACGTCCTTCTTCCCAGTGAAGACATCAGTGCCAACATTGGTGCGCTCGAAGGGCTCCAAGCCGACTATGGGTGTGACATGCTCGTGAGTCAGACCTATACCCGATTGTAGCATGGCTCGACCCTCCTGAACCCGGTTTGAAAAATCTTTGCTACGATGACCAGTTCGTTGAGTCTGGTGGTGACAACTTGGCAGGTGAGTTCCATGCAGGCTTCAGTATTAGAATCCTCAATTTTTTGATTGATCTTCATTGACTTCGTTGCATAGCCAACTACTCTCGCGAACTGGCCGATTACGTGAGTCACCTTGCGTAGAGATTTCGTCCTGGCGGTTCAGTTGATTCCGAGCCTTCTTCCTTGACGACCATTTGCAACAGATCATCTACGTGGTGCGTCAAAGACTTCTGCTTGATCGCTCAATGCACGGGCTCATCGCTCTCCTCCGGTTCTTTGTATCTAGATCGATGTCTCGGGAGGTGACAAGATCCCTCGGAAGGGGGGACCAGGCATCTCTCAGGTGAGTGATGGTCTCGAGGCCCCGGCCATTCAAGCTCTTGGCTGATAGACCGATTACTTTGTGTCGTCTACAGAGTGACTTGCTCGTCGTCAACAAGGTACGTTCCATGATTCTCATATTCAAGCTTTTCACTGACCCTGACTTTCGCTGAACCCAGATCGACCTCGCGCCGTATGTCGGAGCCTCGCTGGAAGTGATGAAGAGGGACGCCGACAAGATGCGTGACCACGGACCGACCTTGTTTACGAGTGTCAAGCTGGGGCAAGGTGTCGATGGTGTGGTCGAGTTGATCAAAGGAGCTTGGAAGGCTGCCACAGGGGGCCACAGTGCATGAGCTGAATGCTCAGAGGTTAAAAAGATTCTAAGGGGGCAGGAGACGATGCAGTCGAGTGCGCCTGCAACGTAATCTATTCTGCCTGACAAGATTACGCATTCTCCGAGTCAGATGATGGGGGTCGGGGTTGGTTACCCATCGTTGGGCGCAACGCCGAGTTCAACCGAAGCGAACGGAAGCGAACCGAGAGCGGGAATTGGCCCGGCCGGTGATCCGCCCGGAGCATGTGGGAGCAGCATGTGGGGGGCACCTCAGGCAGACTAAAAAGTAACCAGTCTTAGTAGCGCCGCCGCGCGGCCAGAAAACCCTATGCAAATAGGCGACCTGAGCCCGGTAGCAACACTGCTACCGACGGTAGCAACTCGGCGCCGGGACAGGCCCGTACACCTCTTCCAAGTCCGTTAAGACCACTACATTGATCATGTGACGACATGAGAGATAATAAGAAGCAAAGATTGATCTCGAGTTGAATCAGTAACCACACGTAATTTTTTAAATGTTAAGACTCTAAGCGCCTGAGGCCGGGGCTCATGCTCATGGGCGGGTGTCCAGTCACGTGCTTGACGCGTTGTAAGATGAGGAACACGTCAAATTGGCACGCAAGGAATCTGTCGCGCGTGCATGCAGGCGGCCGCCGCTGCTTCCTGCAGGACGTACTACCTGGATCGTCGCAGACTTAACCCACCCGGAGCTCGTTGCTGCTGAGCTACTACACTTGTGTTCTCGTATTCATTCCGCTCAGTCACCATGGGCCGCCCCTCGCGACTCAAACCACGCTTTCCGCGGATCAAGCCTTCGGACTACCTCGACCATCCCGATTGCCCGAATCAATACGCCACGATGCCGCTGTGCCTTGTCACTTTCGGAGGTACGATCGTCGATAAAGGAGGACGTAAGAGGCCGAGGAAGGCCAAGACAGATATGGATGCCACTCCCACCACATCTGCAACGTCAAACGTCGAAACGAGCACGAACCAACGCGTCCCTGTCGCCTCGACCTCAGTCTTCGCCAATGACCTGAACTTCTCCCACGATGATTTCAACGAGGATTATCTCAGGGACTTCCCTCTTGCTCAGCAGGCCGAGTACGAAGACCTAGGGGGAATGGATCTTTCCATGGAGCGCTGGGACTCACCCGACCCCGACTTACAACGCCCAACTCACCAGGAACTCGCACAGGAGGTTTTACCAACTCCCCGCGTCTCCGATCCGCCGGTTGCCGCTAAGCAAGAAGGTTACTTCAAGTTTATCACACTCGAGCACGAGCAGCGCGAGGGTCAGCGCGCTGCCCTTTTGGGTCTCTATCTTGATTTACGCATAAGCACCAATGGGCAGTTTCTGCCGCTCGTTTCGAACAGCGACAAGGACGACTTGAACGTTCCTTCACCATGCCACTGTCAGCACGTGTATGCTCGCGAGGTGGTCCTGTACGACGGACTGACCGGTATGTGTCATGCCAGCTCCGTTCACCGATTTGCGCGATGCATCTTTTCTCGCCGTTGTCCTGGTATCACTGACACGTGAAACCCCCTCTGCGCCTTGCCTTTCAGTCTATTCCAAGCAAGTCACGTTCTGCGCTTCCAATCCGCCCTGTCTTGCGGAAGCTGTACGCCTGGCTCAACTTGGGTTTATAGCATCGACCGCTGTCAACCCAGGATCAGCGTTCTCCTTCCGCATGATCCGCCTAGAAAACTCGCGTTGGCGTAACGCCCCTTACGCCCTCACTGGCCACGCTGCAGGCTTCGAAGACTATTTCGGGGACAACGGGTGGTCGAAACCAGAGCATTATCATGGACACCCATATGTGAGCATTTGTTATCGGTTTTTTGCCATGGGTTCTACTGGACTCATTTGCTGCCTGATTGTGGAGCTCAGGATAAAGAGCTGAGGAAGCAATGGCAGCGGGCGATCGACGAGTTTCGCGCCATCGAAGCATCTGAGCGCGACGTTGGCGACTTTCTCTTGGGCACCGTCGACGCGCTGGCCAACAAATGCCCAGCGTGCTTCGGGCCGAAACGGCTCAACCGACCCCATCACACCCTCCAACTGGATTATATGATCGCGCTCGACGGCAACTTCCAGCAAACCCGAGAAAATAATGCGACATACGACGTCCAAGGAATAGTGCCGAGCTTGTTTCTGTCTGATAAAGCCGTCCTGGACATGAAAGCACTCGTCGAGAATACAGCGCGGCCAACGAAGAAGGTGAGGAGCGTGATATATTTGCGATCCGCCTCGAATACTGAGTAATATCGCTCCGGCCCCGTCGGAAGGCGTGCACAGAGTCGTGGAAGGCTGCTGACGGGGGCGCTGGTCGAGTCTCGTCGCGCAAGATCGATACAGGACTTGTCGCCGGCGTGTGCCGCCATGATATCGCCCTAAAAATGGTGAATCTTGAGAAGACCGGCGAAAAGTGAGTGTATTGAGCTTATGTTCTTCAACTCCAACTTGCATTTTTACTTTCACTGCTGATGCTCATGCCTGCGCTCCAATCACCTAGGCTGTACTTCGCTTTAGCCATTGTCAAGCACATCTCGGACCATCTTCCCCCAGATGCTAGGATTGGAATTTTGTACGACATCGCTTGTAATTTCAAGCACCACATTGAGAAGGTTTGCATTGACCACCTCGGCTCGGGCCCCTCTCCGATATGTCGTTGCTGATCATATGGGCTTTGTGTTTCAACCTTTTCAGGCATCTGCTGCCTGAGCTGTTTGAGTGACTCGAGTTCGCCACAAGTGTCTTCCATGCATACGCCCATACCTGGGGTTGCCAGGTTGACTACAACCCCCGTCTCATCCCGAACTTTGGATTCACTGATGGAGAAGGTTGTGAGCGACTATGGAGCGCGCTGCACTCCCTCATCCCCATCAATCGTCCATCAAATAAGTCCCACCGCCTCGTCAATTTGGCGGTCCGCACGCAGGCAGTGAACGACGCGAACGTCTCAAGGCTTGGTCAGTGCTCCGCAGTCGCCGCTTCGTCTTTCGCCGCATTGACTCTTTGCACACGACTAGGGTCCTGGTTCACCCGCCGACTTCGCTCAGCCAAGGCTCGGAGCACTGCTGCTCGCAAGGAACTTGACGCCGTTATCGCCCACGATGCCACCTGGTCGGAGGAGGCGCTCCGCGTCGCTTGGCAAGACCAGCGACGAGCGCAAGCGTCGAAAACAGCTACGCAGGAAGCTGAGGAAGATCGTTTGAGGGAAAGCGAGCTTTATAAACTTGCTGAGGAACTTTACAGGATTGACTGCATCATGTACGTGCTTGGTGATAACTACTTGAGCTTGAGCTTGTCCTTCGTTCTCACTGACTCATCATCTTGCTGAGCAGTGACGAGTCTGAACCAGAAGCGCTTGTGGGGCTGAATTCGAAGCACGATCGTCTTGCAAGGGAGATCGATCAAGCAGCAATTGTCCAACTGCAAAGAAGTGGGACAAGCATCTCGTCCACAGGTTGGCCTTAATTCTCTTACTTAGTTTTCCCTGTTCCTGATTGCGATGACGTGCCTATTTGCTTCACAGAGCTTCGTCACTTGTGCCAGTGTTCCGTTGCGCTGCGCAAGCTTCATCGAGAAGTGATTGCCTACAAAAGTAGCCGTGAAAATTTGCTATCGACGCGTCGCGGCAGGGGCGGGTCAACACTTGGTCAGAGAGAGGCCAACAAAGCTCGCAAAACGGAAGTCAAGACACACTCTGGCGCTGAAAAGGCACGTAAGGCATACAACAAGGCTGTCAACGCGTTTCGAACGGCAGGCGGATCATCACCATCGCACCTCAACAATCTTCCATCAGTCGGTAGCCTAGCATCGATTCTTGATCTTGAAGACACGGATTTCTTCTGGCAAGACGGGTTTTTCACGCATGTTGAAGCTGCTTGGGCCACCGATCCGTGGGTTAAACGGGGCATCGTTGCTGTGCGTGACCTGGATCGAGCTGCGGAGGAGTTCGCTCGGATTGGCGCCGAGGTGCGACAAACCCTTGCTTGGCTCGAAGACGAGCACGACCTCATCTCTAGTCGCCAAGCACTTTGGCTAGGCGCGACAGGTCAGTTGTCAGTCGAACGTTACTCCACTAGTCTAGATGCTGATACGTTCTTGATAACACACATAGATTCCGCTCCAACGATTTATGACCATGATCGTGTTGAACGCGCATTTGGCAGTACCGTCTACGCAACGATCCGGGACCGTGCCCTCGTCATTCTGGAAGCTCGGATGAGGGCTCTTCAAAAGCGCGAACGAGACTGGTTCCGCGATAGCACTTTCTTACTGCTGTGGTACACGACCAGAGGACCAGCGGATACGCACGAACCAGTCCCTCGAGCTCTGAAGCGTCTCACCCCGCATCTGCTGTTGAACCCGGGCAACGTCTCCAAGACGACAACAGCTACTGGAGCTGGCGCGCGTAGTGTTGCGCCTCGGGAGGACGCATCGGGCGCCTATGCAGCGCCGTCCGAGTCGTTCCGGACCACCGATGACGATCGTCTGCTCGCGCGGCGCATCACGGAGCAGCTGGATGCTGACATGAATGCAGAAGGCGCAAAGGCTTTGCATGAGATGCTGGAGCAGCAAGAGGGCATGCTATACGATTCGGACAGCTCTGATGATCTGGTTCCCGACGAGGAGCGTTCTTTGTCGGACTCTGACTCGGAAGAATGAAATGTGAAAAACACTGGCTGCAGTAATTATACCATGAGTTCGAATGATTAATGGTGTGACAATGATTACTGCATTTGCAATATCAATGTGCACGAACCATGACATGTCAGGCAGGGTTCAGCCCACTGTTCGGATGGTCGGAAGTAATGGGGAGTGCGAGCGTGCCTCTGCATAGCGTCCTCTTATCAGGGGAACATGGCTCGGAGGTTCCCCTTGCCCGAGCCGAGTGACTTTTCACTCGAAGCGCCAGTTGTTACTCGAGTAACTGAAGCACGAACCTTGTCAAAATGGGTGAGCAGGTCCCTTCAGCATGACCAACATACCTCCTGTTGTCAAATGGGGTTCAATCGCAATACTTGGATGTACGCACGAGCGTCCTCCTACCGGAACACGGGTCGGAGGTTCCCCTTGCCCGAGCCATGTTCCCGTGAGCACTGCACCTGAAGGCGCCTGTTGCCACCCCTTCCTCGGAATTGAGTACGATTTTGCTAGAAGCATCGCTGCTTGTGGGCACTGTCGCATGCTCTATGCGTCTCGACTTGTGCTGACATCATCCGGGAGGTTGAAGCTGAAATTTCAAGGCTTAGCTCAAGTTGCCGCCTTGGAGAGGCCACTGTGGGATCACTCCGATTGAGTCCGATGTGATACACTCCGGGGAAACCCTTGCGATTCGAATTGGGTTCTGACTGGTCATGGGTGCCGAAGAGCCCACGCGTCATCAGTGAGTAAATTAACTGCCTGCTATTGGGCCGGCGCACTGCGTCGGTGACTTCGAGCCTCACTCACTACGCGCTCTCAGCAGCGGACAGGACGTTGAGAGGAGCTGAAGGAGCGAAATGTGCGCAATATCTACTCTTACAAAGCAAAATAAGGCGGCCAAGCTAATACCTGTGGCCGTTAGCCAGTGTGCTTAAAGCATTTCCTCCGACTTGTCCGAAGATTTCTTGGTACTAAAATAATTGTGCTGTTAATGAGATCTATTCAATATTAAGAAAAAGTAGTATTCTGGCGTCGCTTGACATCTGGTGGCGCCGGCGGCCGGTGGCAACTTCGGATGTTTCCAATCCGTTGTGAACGTCTAAATTTTGTTTTCAACACACCGAAATCGCTTTGTGACAAAATCTGAACCCTTTCATCGACTTTCAACCGGAGTTTGAGTCGCTTTTGAGGAGCTTCAATTTTAGTGGCGTCGCCGCAGTCCCACACCAGCCGGGATCCGCCAAGCTACTCCTTGACAATGCTCAAAAAGTAATGTGAATGCGACAAACCAATTCTCTTTTGGCATGGACAGGCATCCACATGTCAGCCTGCAAGGGCGAAGGAGCGGCGACTGTGAGTTACCCGTCGGAGTCCCGGGCCCACTCACTGGATTCCCGGCAAGGTGGGGTGTAATATTTGTAATAGGCGGCCAATACGAGACGTGCGAATTGCTACGTACCGAGCGGGAGCAGCGCCACTTGGATCGGATGCTAGGAACGGCGAGATTCCCTGACAGTGTTCCTCACACTTCAAACCCTAGTAATAATGATTTCAACTTTAGCACGAAGAGTCGCCTGGTACTTTGGAGTTGAGAAGACCGGCTCGCCTTCAGACTGAGTTGATTGGACAGATCAGATGGACCGAAACGTCGGGACCCCCGTGGCAAATACCTGATGCCCACACCGCGTGAAACACACTTTCGGACGAGGCACGACATGCTGGCGGGTTCAACTCGGGGCAAGCACTTGAGCATGGACCGTCATACTCGGTCGCTAGTCGTCATAATGAGAGATCGGATAAGACTTTTTGGGCCGTGCGCCAGTGTAAAATGTTCTCGAAACACCTCGAACACCTCGAATACTCAGTCGCGGAAATCCGGAACTGCGTATGTCAGAGCGCACTTAGAGAATTGCGGATCCAGAGCAGTCTATTTCGGAGGACGCAGAGCATGTTACAATCCGAAATTTTCAGAAAACGGAGCATTTCAGTATTCTTGTTCTGCGGAAGCAGCAGAGGTATCATTACGGCGAACATCATGCAGCATACGCTCGCGGCTTTGGTGCACTACAGACACGATCCTTGGTGTACTAAGTCCAGTAGTCATCTTGCTTCGTCCAGCGGCATCCACTCGTTGTATCTTCCAATTCAGCCCTACACTTCATGTCCGTCCCAGCGCGCCGGCTCATCTCGGCGTCGAGAGCTGCTGCCCTAAGCTCTAAGAGTGCTCGTCGGAATCGGGGCGGCTCACCGCGCTGCCATCTTGGCCGTTGGCAGGGATAGCTGCACCATCTTCATCTTCTTCATCCGCTAGTACCTCTTCCGTTAGCCTGAATCTCAACTCTCCTGCACGCAGCAGGGGAATGATACGATCCAAGTCGGCCCCCGACATTTTTTGCTTGCCCATGGGGCTGGCGAAGTCCGTCTCCAAGTTGAGGCTCGGGCCGCATTCAACTACGATACTGGCCTGTTGCATGAGCGCGGTTGGGTCGTACACCAACCTGGGCGGTTTGCTCTTGTTTTCGTGCCCTTGGTTCTTGGTACGTCGCATCACGGCATCATCTGCACCGAGAAGAAGACTCATCGTTAGCAGTCAACAAGTGAGCAGCAACTGAAATCTCGGTTAGAACATAGTCCACACTGAAAAGTTTTTTCACAATCGTGCTGTACCACGAGGCTTTTGTTTCAAGATTCGCTTCCTTCAGTGGCGCCTCCCAAACTGCGTGACAGCGTAACGGACGTCAATCAGCAAGTGACAATAGTCTGTCGGCGCGTGCACCTACTGACCAGCTGCTTCCAATTCGACCTTTTTGTCCTCCAAGAACGCTCTACCGGTAACGCAATCCGCGAAGTCGGAGAGCAGCTGTCTTGAACCCAAACTATCGCCCCAGTCTTGTCGATAGGCAAAGGCCAAACCACCGGGGCTCGCGACCATGAAACGCTCCTTATTGAGTTCAGGAAGATCAGAAGAGACCACAGCAAACAATTGGAGTCCATATTTTTGCGCATATGAAGTGCTCTGGGTTGGTTTTGAGGGTGTTATGATCCTTTCAGTTACTTTACTGTGAGCAGTATCAAATTGAGCTTGGACTCACCATGGTTTCCAACGCGGCCTGCATGCATCGGCGCGCTTTCTTGATGGCTTCGTGACTCATCGGCTTGTTTCTGGCGATCTTGATGGAGGATGAACCTTCGGTCGCTTGCGTTGCTTGCGTCGCTTCCTCACGCTCCAAGGCAAGCGCCGCGTCAAACCTCGTCATCGCCTCTGCGTCATCCTTTATGTCGTTCCAATATGGCTTTGCGAGCTTAACCCTCTCCACCAAATTGGTCGGCACTAAAGCGGACCAACCCAGCCCGTTAGTTCAACAACAGCGTAGTGCAATGCTATGCTAGAATTTAGCACGAGGTAGTCAGGTAGTCAAGAGCTGTGCCTACCTTCCAATCCATCTTGAACTGCCAGCGATTCGAAGTACTTGCTCTGCACAAAGTCATTCCAGGAAGTGGGAGAGCCAAGGCGAGTCACGGGCGCAACAATGCTCCTCAAATAATCGAGTCGAATATTGTGTCGGATACAATACTCGAGCTCTTCGTCGTGTCTTTTCTGGGCCCATTGCTCGTGCATAAGTCGTTCGGATTTGCGACAGTTGCGCTTAGGGATAGCCTTGCTCTGTTCGTGGAGGCTAGGGCCCATCGGCCTCTTCGCTGGCGTCAAAGGCGAAACTCGGATCGGTACGGTGGCGACAGGGACTTCGACGCGGGCGAACTGTTGATCCGCGGCGGAAAGTGGTGATGGATGCATTGTCGGGGTGCTTCCATCTACTGATGAGAAAGTCGGCGAGGGCTGCAGGACGCCCGACGATGTATTGGCTTCCTCCATTGGCAATTGAAGGGGGTCAGGCAGCAGGCGATTGGCGGCGGAATCGGCGGGACAGGAGGGTCGACTTGATGGGTGCCCTGTGCTAGCTGTGCTGCCTAGGACAGGGAGGTCGTCTGGGAAGGCGGACGCGTGACTACCCGACTCGAGCGAATAGGTTGGATAATCGATGTTTGCGAACGCGGGAGCGTCAAGCGGTCGGCTGGGCGGCGCAGGACTTGGATGGTACGCATCATATTGTTCGCTAGACGAAATGGCATTGGAAGAGAACATCGTGCAGGCAGAGGCTGGAAGGCGAACAGGGGAAGGTCAGAACGACACGGTGCTGCATTAAACCAGTCAAACAGCGCGTCGACGACCGCGCAGCCGCACTTCCACCACGCACCCAGAGACTTGTTTGTGAATGGTTATCCAGGAGGGAAGGAGCCCGCAATGTTCCGAGGCGACGCGATGAATCTATAGTCAAGACGTGGATGTCAGCAGGCCCTCAGAAGCTCGTTCTCTGGTAAAAGCCCGGAAAACGATCGCCGGACATACACGTGGGGCTTGTCGAGCGCCGAAGCGTGGAAAGTTGGTATGAGTGGGCGATGTGAAAGGATCACAAGATCAACGGAGATCAACGAGGGACGTGACGTGTGACGTGTATGCGGTTCAGCGATCGAGGACGAGGATATTCGCGGCGAGACCAATGGCTCTTGTGTTGAATGTACGGGCGAAAGCGGGCCTAAGGACGAGAGCTGTCAACGTATCAACAACGCACAACACGCGTCAATTCCGTCAGGTTCGGACGCGCGCCTGCGCGCGCCACCTCGCGCAACCCGCGTCAGATCACGTGTTGCATTGGGCCAGACATACCACGGCTTCAGCAGTGCTGAGGCGTTAATGGATATACTTGGACTTCAACAAGCTTTTCTATAAGCTCTACAAGCTTCTTCCGCCAATGAATTACGTCATAGGGTCAAGCCGGAAAATCATTTCCGGATCAATTGTAATGACTTTAAACCATTGCGAGCTTGTTCCCGCGCCGAGTTGCTACCGTCGGTAGCAGTGTTGCTACCGGGCCCAGGTCGCCTATTTGCATAGGTTTTTCTGGCCGCGCGGCGGCGCTACTAAGACTGGTTACTTTTTAGTCTGCCTGAGGTGGTGGGGGGTTCCATTATCGAGTGCCGCGGCTCCGTGTGCTTCCAAAGCTCCCAATCTCGTCCCTGCGGTGAAAGTCACTCTGACCCGGCTTGATTCGTGTACTCGTCCCTCACTTCTCGCTCTGGGATCGCTAGAAGGCCTGAGATGAGCCCTGCAAGCAGCACCCCAGCGAGTTGCGAAGCGGCGACTGACGATGGTTAAGCAGCCACTTTGTCCCCTCCATGGTGGGTGGTCACCAGCCACTGACCTCCTCGGGAACCTCAATATGCACAGTCCTTCAGTTTGAGCAGCAATACACACGAATCACGGATGCAATCTTGGCTCGTTCGAGAGAGTTGACGAAGCTACCGCCGAACTCAACTCCGGAACTGATCGAGGAAGCATTGCAGGCATTACCAAAGCACATTCCCGAGAAAGGCTGGGGTCTCAAAGGTCAGTTTGATCATATTTGCGAATGAATCTGCGCTACTGCTACAATTTCGTGAGTTGACAGTACCGCCACTTCGAGCCCGACAGCAACGACGGACTTGCTTCTCGACAAGATTTGCCCCGCTCTGGCAGTGGGACAAGCGGGTCAGTGTTCATATGAGTCGTGTATAAAGAAGAAAACGAGTCGATACAGTAATCATATTCATTTACGGTGCCCTCAGGCCCTCGATACTATGGCCTCATCACAGGTGGGGTCACCTCGGCAGCTCATCTCGCCGACAACCTCGTCACGTCCTTTGACCCGAACGTTCAGGTCCATCAACCGGTGAGGGAAGCTCTTTTGTATCTGCTTTAAGCAGACCATTTGCTGAGTCTCAAAGTGTATGTATCCAATATCAGGAAGAAACAATCTCCACCATCCTGGAACAGATCACGCTTTCTCAACTCCTAGACTTCCTCTCGCTCCCTCGGGATCGCTTCACGCACAACACCTTCACGACCGGAGCCACGGCGTCCAACATTCTCGGTCTAGCCCTAGGTCGAGATTATGTCGTATCATGCATCAAGGGCTCCTCGTGGTCCGTCGCCGAAGACGGGTATGGGGACGTGCCGGTCAAAGTTTTCGTTGCTGGGGCACACGCGAGTGTAGCCAAAGCTGCGAGTCTTGTTGGGATCGGGAGGAGGAATGTATACATCTCACTGATGAAGTGAGTGAGGAGTCCTGCGACTTTGATATGGTTCGTCTAGAGAAGATGCTCCGGGAGAATGAGCAGGCCAAGGTGGGGTCGATCGTGGTGATTAGTGCGGGAGAGGTCAACACGGGGTTAGTCTCGGGGCGTCGTGGTCATTGTCGAAAAAAACGATTTTTGACCGCACCGGATCCGCTACACCAGAGGATGGACCGGCGAGGTCCACAAAATTCGGCATTTATGCGACCAGGGTGGCGCGTGGCTGCACGTCGATTCAGGTCAGTCCAGCGGGCCTCTCGGCGGGCCTTTCGACGAAGCAGTTTTGACTTACCCTGTCCCCTCTTTTCTGCCTTTGCGTCATAGCGTTCGCCGTCTTTGCAAGCGTCTTGCCCGAGTTCAAGCACTGGGTAGACGATGTCGCGCTCGCAGACAGCATCTGCTCGGATGCGCACAAGTGTCAGTCCGATCCCAACCCACGCTTTGTGCCGGAAAGCAGACGGGCTGACTCTCAATTGCGTGTCAATACAGGGCTGAACGTTCCATATGATTGCGGCATATTCTTCTCGCGTTCGTCGGGCCTGTACGAGCTACTGGGACCGGGGCAAAACTCCCCGGCCTACCTCCGCTCAACACGGGTGTCAGTTTCGAGCTCCCCCACGGAGACCACGACCCCTCTCTTGGATCCGTACCGCACCATGACATCTCCACTCTTCCTCAATGTGGAAAACTCTCGTCGATTGTGGGTTCTCTCTTCACCGGCGTCTTGCTCGTCCCGGGCTGAATTTCGCCCTTGAGCTGCTTCTGTTCCCTAGCCGAGCTCTCCCTGTCTACACCTCGTTAATCTCTTTGGGAAAATTGGGCTATGCCGACCTATTTGCGAGCAACATTGCCTTTGCTCGTCGCATTGCATCCTACCTCGATTCCCACCCAGCCTTCGAAGTCCTCACGCCTTCCTCTCAATCTCCGGAGTCCAAACTTCGTTTCCGACAACTCAACATCGTCCTCTTCGCACCCTCTATGTCCAAAGGGCCAGTACGTTTCAGAGGCGAGAATGGCGCTGATGTCCTCCGACAAGAGATCAATAATACTGGGAGGATGTACTGTACGGGCACAAAGTGGAAGGGGAGAGGCGCGATCCGCATCGCGGTGAGCAATTGGTTGACGAGTGAGAAGCGGGATTGGCCTATTGTGAAAGAGGTCTTTGACAGAGTGACGGAAGAGGTCACCGAGTGATGATGTGGCAACATACATTTAGACCCTTCCGGACATTACGTATGACTGGTGGACACTGGATGATTATCTCTGCTGATTTCGGACTCTCCTGCGACCTCCTGCGACCTTCCCCAAGCCAAACCATGAGGGCATTGCGCAGCCGCGGATGAAGCTGCCCTTATGCTCCACGGGAGTGACATCATGCGCTTCATGGTGATCAAGCCGCCACCCCACGAGAAACGCCGATACCCAGTACTTTCAAAACAAGCTCTCAGAAGTCTGTCTTACGTAACACAAACCACGTGTAGACCCTGTAGAAGATACGTGAAATGGCGAAGATCATAAGCGCAGTTTTTAGCCATCAGAGATATCTCTAGCGTGAGATCACGGCTCCCGCGCGGCACTCTGGCTCTCCGCTGGAGGTTCACTCCGCTTTCCCTTCGACCTCCTAGAGCCTCTTGGACGCGAACCGGTACTCACTACACGAGAGAGATATTTCAAACCTACTCTTTCATCTCCCTCGCTGTACCCATCCCGCCCAGCCACTGCCAACTACTGCCAGCCGAGTTGCTGATCTCTCGCCCCCACCTTCGCACCCTTTCTCATCGAAGCTCATTCAACATCATCCAATGCGCGCCGCGGCCTCCGTCATCGCCCTGGGCGCCTTCGCCGTCTCGTCCGTCGCGGCCAAGGGCCCCACCTTCCTCGCTTGGAACAACATCATGCCTTCAGCAGCTTGGGGTTTCGGACGTTTTCCTTGCTCTGCGGTCCATGCAAATGGATCTTTCTACGGCAACGAGTCGGCGTGCGCAGCCGGAGCGATGAAGCGTGAGTTCAAACGTAACTTGCCAGGATTGCTTCTTCGTTCAAATTTCGACTCGCTAATGCCGACGTTCTATTATATCAACTTATCAGTCCCCGGTACGGGTGCAGGAAATGAGGAAGGGAACCAAGGCGATGGTATCAAACCGACCTTGCCTCAGTGCTCTCGGTTCGGGCGCAGCGGGTCCGTCCATCGCAAAAGTTCTTCCCCCAGGATCCTTCCATCTGACCCTTCTTGTTTTTCTGATTCATAGTGCCTATTTCTGTGGTGTCTCTCGCGCTCGGTTAGTCTGGTCTTGTCACGGGGTGCAGGACCGACTCGGGACATCACACCTCCTGAGCTCGGACCGCTTCCTTTGCTCCCGCCGTGCACGGACTTGCTCATGCTGACCTTTGTTCCGCACACCATGTCGGGATAGCTGCAAGACGGACGCCAACTGCGACAATGGGTTCTGCCACGATGGTCGATGCGGGTCAGTCTGGTAGTTTTCGACGACTTCAAGTGAAACGCGATGCCTGACACCTTTTGACATATCCTCACGCGCAGCGGTGGCTTCGGCTACAAATGCAATGGCGACGACACGGTCTGCTCCGGTTATCTCTACTGCAACGCTCAAAAATTTTCGAGAACCGCTGCCGGGACATGTGGAGGACTTGGCTCGTTCTGCCAAGTAAGTATTGCATGCCGCCTTCTGGAACTGCAGACCCAGCAGACTCACCGGCGGTTTCTTTCCTGACAGGATTACACCCTAGGCTCCAAGAACTTCACGGCCGAGCACAACTTCCAAATCTTTAACCAAAACTGCGTTTCCAACTACTGCAACACCAACACGGGAAATTGCGACACCAGGAGAAAGGTGAGCTCAGGGCCCACGATGATCACCGCAGTTTCAACGAGGGTTGCTGCTGACACCTCGTGCGACTTCATACAGCTCGGCGAGTCGTGCAAGTCCGACCCCGACTTTGCTTGCGTGGACGGATTGATCTGCAAAGCCAACATCTGCGCCAAAGCGGCAAAGGGAGAGGTCAAAGCCCGACGCTCTTTCCACGCTGGGAAGCGATCCGCTCTCTGCCTCGGCGGGACGGACTGTGTCCCCGAGGTGTCGATGTTCTGAGCGGTGACGCGGTGCCGACAATGTCGATGTTCCCTTTTCCCTCACTCGAGGTGTCGTGTATACCCTCCATCTGCGCGAATGGCAAGCCCACCCGCTGCGAAATTTATCTCTGGGATGTGTCGTTTGTTTTATCAATATTGCTCCCGCTGAGGTTCTGTAGTGCATGTGGCGCTTCTAGTGTGCTATAGTTCCGCTTGGAATAGCGCTTCTCAATGCTTTGATTCTCTTGACTGCGCCATAAAAACCCCCCCTTCTTGACCGCGCGCCATAAAAACCGATGACAAGTACGTATTTATTGCAAAGATGTTGGAGTGCGCTAGAAAGGTACGACATCGCTGACGTGTCTCATCTTCCCACCCACCAAGGGGCCGTCTCTCGCGCCGACTCGACGCAATTCCCCTTTCCTCTAGCAGACTGACTCGCCGGCTCTTGTGTTGAGGATGAGAGCGACAATGAGACCGTACAGACCGATGACCTCTGTTTAACGGTATCTCGAAAAGGTCAACGAGGACCGGTGGACGAGGCAGTGAGGGCGGATGCGGCGGAGCGGCGCAACGGAGCGCAAGTAGGACGGCAATGGAGGGTGAGACAAGCGTTCACGATAAGATTAAAACGAGAAGATTAGTTGGTAATTCGGCTCAAGTTCGTCGAGGTGTACCGGACTCTAAACGAACCAGCGAAAATCTACGGTATGCGAATCAAGGCCCGATCAATCAGTGGCTGACTCGATACCAGCCCAGTATAAGAGCAATCACACTCACCAGCATGAGCACCATCGCGACGAAGATCTTGGACTGGAACATATAGGCCCGAGCGCACTGTGTATAGAACATGAGTCACTTTCAGCTTCGCCCTCCGATCGAGGTCCGTACCGCGAGCCGAGCTAGGCTCACGGCATCACCAACGATCCCGACCGCATGACCTGCTGCCAGCCCCGTCAATCCACAACTCAGGCCGGCTGCGAGATGAATGAATCCGGCGTAGAGCGAGTACGGCACGTCCGGTGAGAGGCCACCGACGATAAGCACCGAGACGACCAGCCCATATACGGCGATGATACCAGCCATGACGACCGGGATGAGCGACTTCACGTCCAATCCCACATCGCAATAATGATGTCAGCGACCTGCATCGGATGCATGAAGTCGAGAGCCTTGTAGATGGCGATCGAGAGCGGGTGCGCACCTTCATGATGAGGTCGGGCCGTAATGTACCCATGCCCGAGATTCCGATCCCTGCCTTGGCCGTCCCGTATGCTGCTCCGATTGTCGAAAAGACCATCTGTAGAATCGGATCAAGTGAGGCGAGATGGGGATGCGGTGTGTGATATGGTCAGCCGTCCGGTTCGTTCGCGCATGAGTCGACGACGATGTCATGATCGGGCAGGTGCCAGCTCCACGCCGAGTAGACCAGCCTTGGGCATCTGGTACTTTTGAAGCCACCAAATCACTGTTGCTCCCATCCATCGTTCGCATGGTTGACCTGACTTACAGCACAGAACACGCCTGCGAACCCAAAGAAGGGCGCATAAACCGGGCAGCCGGATGTCGACATGGTGGCTTGCTATCGAGGAAACAAGGTATACGGTTCCTGCCAAGATTCGTTCAATGTGCCGAGTAGTGTCGGACGAAGAAGGGGAGTGCTGGACTCTTGCGAGAAGTGTGGCGGTGAGAGCTGCAGAGTAAATGGGCGGAGCGCGACGTCCAGTGGGGGCGGTGGCGCGCTGAACAAGTTGGGCAAGTCAAGGCCCGGGTTGCTCAAGCCTCAGCTAGGCCTCAAGCCTGCTCTGCTCAAGCATCGAACGCAATGCGATCAGATTCTGCGATATGAAATATCGAGCTTAATCGGGCCCAATGTAATTGGTCTGGGAAGCAGGGTTTTTTCCACGTAGGCACGATCGAGCGTTTATACCGCTGCCTACTAGCTATGTCTTGAATCGAATCCCGACAGATGCATACATGCGGCCATCCCCAGAATGCCGAGGAAGCAAAAGATGAGTTTTCGAAGTCACTCACTTGAAAGAAGGTGATACAACATTTGGACCAGCACACTCATGCCATAATCTCGCCGACCCGACTCCCAGCTGCTCGGCCTTGCAAATCAATCAGGCACTAACTTTGGCCGACAGCTCCTCAGCGGATGCGTGAGATTCGCAGGCGTCGAGAACAGACATAAAATATAAATAGAAGAGGATACTTTTGTTTGCGTAATGTAGAAATCATCTATATGAGAGGTTTACTAAATTACGCGCTCAGGCACGTCAACATCGCTCGAGCCTGCTCAGGAGACAAGATAAGTTTCATAATACTACCTTATTAATCGAAGATGTAACAGGGAAGAGGTTGAGATGTTGGAGCTCAATGATGGGGCATTGAAAAAAGCAAAGAAAACGGAAGACGTTTAAGTCCTGAACACCCTAGGGTGCCAGCGAAACCAACGCCTGAGGCACGCCTTGATGCTGTCCTCAAAGGGCTTTCGGAACGGTACCGAGTTTTTGCTCAAGCAGTTTGTGGCCGTGGGTGATCCACATGATGGAAGGTAAAGGTGAGGGATTGAGCCAGAACCTCGAGGGTGAGGAACTGAGACGGTGGTACTCGAAATGTTCGTCGCGCCGGACGTGGACAAATTGCGCGTCACGGGGACCGACGCGGTGCGTGCGTGGACCGCATCTCCTGTCGGAAGCGGAACGAGCTAGCAAGTTTCGGAACGAATCCGAGCCATGCAGGGGCATGACAAGTAATGGGTCGTTCTATGACGGTCCGCGGGAACAGGAAAGGCGCTAGACTATAGTAAGGACTACATTTAAACTAGGGGATTGCGAGGGATCTCGGATAGGTCTGGTGGACGGAAGCAACGCATGGGTGGTGAATGAAATAAGGTGGGGTGAGGTGCCAAGATGAAACTGGTGAGGATTAGGGAGTGAGAAAGGGAGTTGTTGGTCGCAGGAAGGAAGGAAGCAATTTGAGAGAGGACGACTAATTGTAATAATTCTGGAAAGGCCGAAGGAATATTTGCAGGTACTAGGGCCCGGGGGCGCTGTGCGTCCACCTCCCCTTCGAGTTTGGGATGCTGTGGCGGGCTCGGACGAGGCGATCTGGGCGCCTCTAGCTCGCGAGAGCTGGAGAGGTTCCTCGTCGCTGCGACCGCAATCTTCAGCAGCACGGCTCGGGTCGAGAAGCTATATTCCGACTCGACGCGCTGGGGGGCAGTCCTTGCAGCGGCCAGGGTCACAGTTCCAACCATCAAGTCCGCAAATGTTACGCTTCCCGAATTGCTCTCGCTTCCTCATCGCCTCCCTTCACCCTACGCCGAAGATGCCAAGGACGCATATGACGATGCGCACGCAGTGGCGCAGTTTGCGCAGATCGCGGACCTGTGTACTGGAGGGACGATGGGAAGGGATGGGCTCTCGTTGGTCATCGACGCGGGTTCCGGCAGCACTCTGAGGAACCCGCCCTGCCGCACGAGCACGTGTGGTCGCGCGTGGGTCAGAAGCTCAGGGCGAAAGCTTTGCTGTGCAAGACCGCGGTGCGACCCGCTCGGATACCTTCCAAGGAGGCTCCCCATTCTCGGTGCTTCGTCGGTTTGTGAACGTGGTTCGGTTCCCAGGGAAGGAGGATCGGGTCAAGTGTTTCTCTGTTACGACTTCTCAGAGCGATAGGGAGATGGCTTCACGACCGGTCCGCGTCTGCTGTGGAGCGGGACACCCACTGGCGGCTCATGTACGACGTGACGCCGACGCGCAGGAGGCAGCACACTCAGGGCCATGCCTCTTCGCCGTCGTGTCTGTTCTGTGGCAAGCATACAGCGGTCATCGAGACGGTGTCGCACCAATTTTTTGGGTACTCGGCCAGCTTCTGGGGTCGGGTGCTACGCATTCTACTCGACAAGATCGGCATCGAGAATGCCGATGTCGTTCCGTCGACGTTCACCCAGGAGCAGCTGACTATGGGGCTTCCCCTTTTACGGGGTCGTGGAAGAACGACCTCGAAATGGATGTGGGTTCGGTTGGCCTGTGCGATCGGCTTCCAGCGGCTGCACCTGGTCCGCTGGCGCGTTCATCAGCGGTTCCAGGAGGACGGCGTCGTAGCCCCTTCCTCAATTCCCCGCGCGCTCAGAGCGTTTGACCCTTTCAGGCAGGCTTTGTTCCTGGGGCTCGAGATTGGGAGCTGTGGATACCGAGTTAAGTCCCTCCTTCCCTCCTTCCCTTTCCCTTCCTCTGTTTCCTTTCTTCCTCCTCGAGTGGGCCTTCGGAAGTTGACGTGCCTCGAAACTTGTTGCGCAGTGGAAGACTGCGCGTCTTTACCCCCCCCCCCCCCCCCCACCCCCCTCCCTTTTCTTTTGTGGCCTAGGGTGGTTTCCTCGTTTGTATGGAACCGCAAACAGGGTGGGTGTTCAAAAATGCCTGTGTGACCTGCTAAGTGTCCCCTTCCTCTCTCTCTTCCTTTCTGGTGGCTCAGATGTTGACAAGAATTTGGGTCACACCCCCTTTCTCCCTTTCCGGCTTCTGGACCCGAGCTGGTTGCATTGGATCCGCAAGAAGTATTACGACAAGGACTAAGAGGTACTCCACGACTCAGCTCCGAGGTACACGAGTGAGATGATGAGAATAGCGTGGAGAAGGAAACCCAGAAGGAAAAAAGACGCAAAGACAGAGATAGGCGCGCGCGCAGAATAAGGAATTAACCAAGACTAATAGCAATGAGTTAGGCTCTCAGACCCCACCTCTAACAAGAAGGATCGCTCGCTTTGGTCAAGATTCTCGCGAGATGGCGAGGCTCGTTGGGGTTTTTTTTTTGGATCGTTTGCCCGGCTGGACGGCTCAATAGCCAGCGCTCGAGACTCAGCCAACGGTGGACTTCAGGCGCTGTCGGGGTGACGAGTAGCTGGGGCTTGGCTGGGGCTTGTTAGTCCCCGGGGACCTCTATCTCCGGCTTCGACCCCTCCTTCGCCCCTCGGGTGTGTCACCCCCCTCCCTTGTGTCTTAGTTCTACTTCTCCGTGTTTCTGGTCGTGGCCTTTTGTATATGTCTCCTTAGGTGCTCCCTGGTTATCGCGTATCTTCGCTCCCGTTCCTGGGATGTGAAGCGGCAGCAGACTCACCGCCCAGCGGGTTTTGTTGATCTGCGTGGCGCTCTTCGCGCGCAGGGTTTCGGTTTTTTCCCATCTGCTTGTCGTCATTGCTTAGAATAATAGACTGACGAGCGTGTGACCCAACTGTGAGTTGATTGCCTATGATAGTAGCCGTAATGCTAGATGTACGTACCTGACGAGCGTGTAATCCAACCGTGGAGAGAAGACAACGGTTGGTGCGCATCGCCAGGCTTCACTTAACAGACACGCGCTTCTAATCAAATAGCCAATAGCCGCCTTCCTGCTAATCCTCCTTCACGACACACCAGCTAGAGCCTCTCTTAGCTCTTTTTGTAGCGGTCCCAACCAACCCGAAGGATCGCAAGTTATGAGCCCCAGTAAAACAAAAACAACAAAAAGAGCCACAGCGGGGGCAAACTGGTGCGCGGCCACATTGACTTCTACTATAGGTCCGCACGCACGCACGTCCCGGGCCCTCAGGCTGGCAGGGGAGAAAGAAAAGATCGGCGCGCGCGCGCGCCTGAAAATTATTTGATGGAGGTGTTTTGGTGGTGCAAGATTATCAGTAGAGTTAGCGTAAGGAACTAAGTCAAACTGGTTCACACTTCAGTATCGGTGACGTGGACACTCGCGCAGCGAGCAAACTAGTCAGGCACGCGTGCTAGAGGTCCGTGCTCAGGAACAGTTCGTAACACGTTCGGACTCGAGAGTAGTACGAGCAAACGCGTAAAAAATACGAGTGTCATGTTACAACCATCAAGAACACTGCTTTTCATCATTGCTGCTGCTACAAATCACGTTGAAGCGGGTCAGAGTGACCTTGATGCAAAAAGTGGCCTCGGTGACGGAGTGGGTCTCCTTTTCGGAAGTCCGCAGCGCCGGGGGAGCTGCGATGCCGAGCGGCGGCGGCGAAACGGGCGGGCGCCATTGGCACCGATCGAGCGATCGCAAGCGCTCGTTTGATTCGACTCTCCCGGCCTCACCGCAAGTATACGCGCCACACCTCTCTCTCTTCCTTCTTCTTCACTTGCTCTCTCTCTCCTTCGTTGCCCTCACTTTGGCCTTCCTCGTCCCCGCAGAGTTCAATACACCTCCTCCGAGTGAGTCCGCTTCATCTACATCTCTGCCCCTTGATTCCATGCCCCCACCACTCATTTTCCACCCGCCTTGAACTCAATCGATAGTATCAGCTCCTGTCGGCCCCACGTCGTACCGACCCAATTCTGCTTACCCGCCCATCGAGCCACGATGAAGCTCGAAGTCCCCTTTCAGCTTCTTTCACTCGCTACCCTCGTTTTTGCCAGTCCTCTGCCCCTTAACAATGGTTCTGTCGACATCCATTCCGAACAGCCACGAGACCCGAACTTGCGCGATCCCATCTTCGTCAGCGTGCCCGAGCCGGTCAAGAACAATCCCCCACTTCAAGGCAATCCGGCGGTCAACGGCACCAACACGACCTTTTCTGCACCTTTTACCCCTGCCGGTGGGCTCTTGTCCCAGAACCCAAAGTGTGAGTCACCCTGGTCGCCTCTCGAGTGGTCGCACGAGCTTGGTGACCTCGGTGCGACGGACACCAAGCTCGTACATCGGTCGCACGGCTGCGGTCCAGCCACGGCCGTCACTCCCTCACGGACTAATCATGCCTCGTCTTCAACAGACCGTGTCAAGTCCAATTTTGATTATCAGAGCTTGAGCGTCGGTCTCCACCAAGAATTAATCGAACTTGTAAGTGCTGGATCAGTTTGGTGCTACACGGCTCAACCGGTGGCCGACTAGCGCTGATGCCCCTATCCACTGCTGGTCGCTCGGTCACAACTCACCGCTCCTCCCAGGATCTGTTCCAAGATGCCCTTTCAAGGTCTGTCAACAGTTATGTCAATGGTCTGGGTGGACCTATAGCTTATCGGCGCGACCTGCCCGCTGATTTCGACAGGTTCTCCGTCGACGAATGGGAGGCTGCTGGCATCACCGCCGAGGATCGCTTCTTGATTGAGTTTATGGCGGACCAAGAGGTCGGTCACGCGACTGCGCTCACCAACATGGTCGGTCCTGAGAGGGTTAGTGATATCCCTACGTCCTTCCTGCATCTCAAGTGTTCTTTCGCTGAACCGAATGCGATCTTGTCCACACACAGGCGGTGAAGCAATGCATCTATCGGTACCCATACAAGACCGTCCAAGAGTTCATTCTGTTCTCACACTTGCTCACGCGCTGGGGTGAGAGTGGTACTCTCGGTTTCTTGCCCCATCTCGACAATAGAAACACGGCGCAGATTGTCTTGCAAGCGATCACGACCGAGTCGAGGCAAGAGATGATCTTTCGCCAGTTTCAGGGCCTGTTCCCCATGCCCATGTGGTTCGGCAAGTTGATCCCCCTCTCGATGTCGCGATCACATACAACCTCTATCACTGCTTGCTGATATTGAATTGACGTTTATTCTCCCTCTGTAGTTACCGGCGTGCCCCAAGCGTTCCAGTGGACCTTGCTGCAACGATACATCAAGTCCTGCCCTGCGAACAACCCCACGATCCAGTTCCAGATCTTTCCCGACTTGCTCATCACGAATGCACCCAATCTGCTCGGTCACCCTCCCGCCATCACTCGCAACACAAGCGGCGTTACATATCCTGGTCGTGTTATTCAGTTCGAGTGGGAGGCTCCCGGTAAGGTCACTGGGTACGATGACAAGTACCGCACCGCCACGACCGCTGGACCGCCCAAGGTATACCCTTTCGCCACTCTCACCTGCAGAGCCTGTCCCGGGTTGTTTCTGACCCTTACTCTACCTTTTTGCATGATAGTTTGCTGCTTTCGTTTCGCAACTCAACGTCACCTACACCGACCTTGTCGACATTGATCTCGCCAAGCGCACCGCAGGTACGTGATCAGTCTTCCTCCCTCAGAAGCACAGCACTTGACGCCTTCAACTTTGTTACACATCTTGATGCACAGCCACGAAGCAACCTGGCGCGCTTGAGTTCCCTGGTGCCAACGGCCGCCCGGGAAACTCCCAGGTCAATGAAACCGTCTTCGTCGTTCTCACCGACTCGAAACCCTTCCTTACCCCGTAAGTGGACGCTTGCGATTGGACTTTCTGTATCCTTGGCTAGAAAGTACATTCACTGATAAATGTACTATCTGCGATGTAACATCTACAGCGGCAACATCACGCTGATCAACCCACACGTCGTGGCGGGTCCTGCGCTGTGAGTTTGACTTTGGTTTCGGTAGCCCCTATATTTATTGGCGCCTCGATAACTCACCCTGCTTGTGCCCATCTTACCACACAGCTACCAATCGGGCTGAAGAAAAACCCTCTCTTTCTCTAGCTTTTCCGGCCAGACGTTATCCTTACCCAACTTGCTCGATTCCCGATTCGTTTCGACCGTCTCGCCCAGTTAGGCCGTTTCTACCTCTGCTCTTCTTCGATACAGACAAAGAAAATGTAGTGCGCTTGTACCGATAGTCATGGATGGGGAATATAGGAAAATCTGGACCCTTTTTTGATGTTTGAGGCCGATGCCGTCTCGCAGAGGTCCAATGCGACTTGGAATCGCGATAACGACAGAAGCCTTCATTCCACCCTCACCTCGCCCGAATACCGTGCCCAGATACTTTACAACAAAGATAGCCTCGACATCCCTCCTGCCCGAATACAATCATCCTGTCCTCCCCGTACCGTTCAGTCCTTGGACTTTTTGCTCTTCTTCTTCTTGGGCTCTTCAGCCTCAGCAGCTTGAACGGGTTCGACCTCCTGAACCGCAGCAGCAGCAGCAACGGCATCGGCGTCCCTCTTGCCCGCTCTCCCTTTCCCAGTCTTTGTCGCACTCCTCTCGATCCTCCTCTTCTCCTTCTCCATCTCCTTCTTCTGCTTCTCCAAAGCAAGCCGTTCTTTCTCCTGTTTCTTGGCCTGCACGGCCTCGATCTCGGCCTGCGAAGGGCCCTTGAAGCGCCCCTGTTCGTCCAACGAGACGTTGTAGATCGGCAACGCGGTCGAATGGGTCGACTTGATGTGCAGGGTTTGGATAATGTCGAAGCCGTCGTTGGGGAACGGTAATCGGACGGCGAGTTGGGGGATCACGCACAGCAGGTTGTCGAGCAGTTGCTCGGGGGTGTGGAGGCCGGTCGAACCAAATTTAATAGAGCTGAAACGACGAAAAACGAATTTAGGAGGGGATGCTCAAGCAAGTGAAACTGCTGATCGTGCAGGCAAAGAACTGACAAAGTCGTGCCGGTGTTCACCTGGACATAGGTCGCAGAAACGGCTCGCTCGAGCTCAGCCTTGAGGTCTTTGCGGGTGATGGTGATGGGGACGGGTTGTCTTGAAGGAAGTTATTGGATTGTTAGGAATTGGATTGGTAAGTAAGACGAAATCGTAGCGGTACCACTCCAGGCCAGGCAGAAAAGCTCACTTGTTCGCCTCTCGGAACATTTTGCCGATCGCTTTCCCGACCTCAATGACGACCCGGTCATCGACGAGGAACAATTCGGCTTCCTTCAACAGGGCCCGCTTGGCCTCGAACGTCTTGTGCTTGTTGCGCAACTTGTCGAGCCCGACGACACGCGAGATGAAGTTGATATCGGACGTGTCGAGCAGATCTTTGTACTGTCGCTGCGGGTCCTTGACGAACAAGGTCACGGGCGATTCCTTGGGGTTTATCAACGCATGCTTCAACGGTCTGTTGATCAAGCGGCGAAGTGGGGTCAGGGATCAAGTACGAAGTAAAAGGGGAGGAGCTTGGAGCTCGAAGCTCCGAGGCGAGAAGGAAACTTGGAAGGAATCTTGGGGGTCGGAAACTAACAATCGGATCGGCTTGTGAACGGGTCGCTTGGGCACCTTCTTCAACCCAACAACGAGGGAGAGCTTGTGCTGCTCATCCTGCAGGAGATCGAATGACGACGTTGACTTTGCTTTCTCGAGATGGGCCAGGAGTGCGGTCAGCGCCTTTTCGACTTGGGATTTGTTCACCGGCAGCGACTCGAACGAAGGCACGACCGCGGGGGCGTTGGGAATGATCGACTTGGGCTTCAACAAGGGAGGAGGCGGTTGCGCGATCGAGGCTTTGCTAGTGGAGGCCATGATTGTGGTGATCGGAAGGGGCCGAGGGTGAAGGATGTGAGAGTGGAGGGAGAAGCGGAGCGAGGAACGAACGGGCAGAGGCGCATGAATCGGTGCGAAGCTGCCCCGAGCCGCGCCCGGCTGCGAAGAGCGAAGCGCGTCACTTCAAAACTATTCAAACTCCGCTAATCTCAACACTAATGGCCAGTCCTAATCTCAGCCCAGCTCTTCATTAGTCCTCGCCCATCCTTGCGCCAGGTCATCCACGCTATGGACGCGATCGAGCTTCCCTTTGATCTGGTCGAGTTGATCGTACTCGCACTCGAGGATCAACAGAGCCAGGCTTTCATTCACTCGGCTTGCAACACCTTTTTCGCGCCAACTGCCAAATCCACGAGCGCGAACTCGTCGACCACGGGGACGGAGGCATATTTTGTAGCAGTTCGACAGGAACCATCAGGATGCTGGCCCCTCCTACCTCAAGGATGGAGGGACTACTTTGAAGCTGTCGACCCAGCCCAGAGGGGCCAAATACTCCAAGACCTCGCAGATGGCAAACTGCGGGTGAGCATCGCTCGGCGGCGGCCTAGCTTCCACCGAGAGCTCATCATTGCGTCGAGTCCAATCGCTACAGGATGATTACCCGCCGTGTCTCTCATCGTATCTCGACTCGTGCCGACGCCTTTCGTTCGATCGCACATGTTCCCCGATCCCGATCTTGGCCCATCCACCGCGGTCACCGTCGGGGTACGGACAGGCAGGTCACGTGCCAATCGACATCGGTGCGGGTGACGCCCCTGACTTCAAGTTCAACCCATCGATCGGCACCAAGGGAAAGAAACTACGACAGGGACAGAATCCCAAGAAATCCCACGAGGTCGATCGCTTCTCCCATCTCGTTCAAGAGATCAGATCGACCAGGCCTGGGATCACGAACATCATCGACGTCGGCTCCGGAAGGGTGAGCTCTTGTGAGCGCTCGTCTCACGCCCGCTTGATCAGAGAGCTGACGCAGCGATCGTATCATATGCTCATGTAGGGACATCTATCACGTGTACTCACGCTCCCCCCCCTGAAGCTCGATGTTCTCGCCGTCGATTGGTCGTCACAGCAGATCTCGGGATCCGAATATCTCGAGACCCTCGGCAAAGCACGTTCGGCTCCTAACCAAACCGAAGTCCAGCCATCCGTTGATACACCGGCAACGAGCCCAGTTCCCGACAAAGGCACTTTGACGCATCTCACATCTTCATTGGACGCCCCGTCGATCGCGCAACTCTACACCCTGCCCCAGGCTGCCGAAAATGCCGAGCCACCAGCACGAGACGTCGAGCCAGCAATGTTGGTCACATTGCATGGATGCGGCGACTTGACCATCTCTGCACTCCAAGGTCTCTTCCTAGCTCCTTGCCCACTCCCGACTGCGATCCTTGTTGGCTGCTGCTACAATCTGCAAACGCCTTCCTCGTTTCCGCTTTCTGATTTTGTCGCTCGAGCGCTCGGCACCACCTCACTAGGGTCAGAAACGAAGGAACCAATGACACGGTCACATCTCAGGATCTCACCTCAATCTCCTGGGTTGTGGTACCTCACCCCCACGAGTCAACAAGAGCTCAAGGAATCGATCGTCAAACTGGGCTATCGAGCACGACTCGAAGCCGAACTAGCGGCCCAAGGTCTAGGCTCCGAAGGGCAACGTCGTGTAGGAAGGGTGTCCAAGTCGCAAGACTTTGACGACTATCGTCTCAAAGCTTTGAGCAAATACGGCGAAACGGAGGTCCCTCGCTTGAGATTCGGGTCCGACGAGATGGGCGAGGAAAAGGCCTGGATCGAGGCGTTGTACCAGTTGCAGGTGTTTTGGACGTTGAGGTGTCATCTGGGTCCTGTTCTGGAGACGTTGTTGGTCTTGGATAGGTTCGCATTCTTGGTTGAACGGTTGGGGGAGGTTGAGCAGGAGCAGGAGCAGGGTTCGTCGAGGAGGTCATTGGTGTTGGAGTTGAGAAATTTGTTCGATCAGAGCTCGGGGAGCGTGAGGAATATGGCGCTGGTGTTGAGGTAGAAAGATCGAAACCAAGTCATGCTCCGATAAGACATAAATTACCTCCTTCCAGCTGGCTTCGTATAGCACTCGAGTCGACGACGCACAGAGATCGATCACTCGCCCTACTTTAATTTCCCATCTGTCGAATCTCCCAGGGTATTCTCGTCGTGCAATTGGTGCTTCATCCCTTCGTCTCGAGCGCATTTTTTGTGAAATGGGATGGGTGTGAATAAATCTTGTGCCTGGCCTTGAAGCTGTGGTAGCTGATTTCTGAATATCCAATTGAAGGCCCGTGCTAGAGAGCGACGAAGGAAAAAACGGCGAGAGGAAAAACAGGAAAAGAGGCGAATTGAAACTTTTCCTGCTCGCAGCTGAGACGGTAGCGCCGGGGGGGGGCAGAGGGGGGCGGCGAAGGCGCGCGCGCCGAAAGCTATAAAAGCCGGGTCCAAGGTGCGACCTTCCTTTCTCTTCTTCAGACCACACTCAGTGAGCAAAACCGCACCAACATGCTCGCATCCACCTCCCCACCCCAACCCACTGACTCAAACCTTTCCTTCATCGTCACCTTCTTCCTCTGCGATCCTCCTCTACTCCCGCCTCACAGGTCAGGATCTATTTACAGGTTAGTCGCCGCTTCGCTGCCTCTTCAGCTTCGCAGCCAGCCGGCCTTGTCGCGGCGCTTGCGAAGCTCGAGCGACGCTCAGCAACCATCGAACATCTTTACTGACCTCATCCGCCTTGTTCCTTCACTGCCCAACAGTTCCTTTCCGATGTTGTCTTGCTGACTCAAAAGAGCCACAATTCGTTTGCGGGTCACGATGATTGATCGGCCGTCATCACCGTTTCGCAGAGTGAGAACCTTTTGCCTATGCTTCCTCTGCCTTTTGACCTCGGTCTTGGGGACGAGGACGTGGGCTCGATGAACTCGGCCGGATTCACCTTGCCTTCTTCATGAAGGTACTGTCGTGGCTCTTGGATTGGCTCGCTTGCTTGGCCTCGTTGTCATTCAAGACCCTTTCTGTTTTGGAGCCTGTGCGATCCGTGCCTGGTGGTGACGGACCTTTCTGAACCTGCCACAATCAATTGTAGTTGCTTTCTTTTGTTTTCTGGTAATGATAACGTCCCGAGTTGTGCTCTTAATCTTCCTTACTTGCCGCCGCATCCTGCGAGAAGGAAACTCAATCGATTTGAGAGCCTTGAGGCCTGAGGAACTTGCGAAGCTCGAGGTACACCCCCACGTTGACTCAATGCTTCCTCGAGGGGCTGGGACCGAGCGAAGCATAGATATACGAAGTGGAAGCCACACAATCCTAATGCTGTAGTGTATCGCCCTACATCCCTCATGATGTCGTTCACTTGCCTCGCATCGTCGTTGTTGATGATCATGATTTGGATGAACGCGACGCGTCGCCCGATCGGTGAGCAAGCGCCTTTTCACTGTCCCACTCTCACTGGTCGACCGTCGACTCAGGTCCGTCGTCTTGGTCAATTGGAACTCGCGTAGGGTGTCGTTGCGATAGGCTCGTTAAAGAGTCATGAACGGTCCGGTGTGGCACTCTGATTCAAAACATACGCTTAATGACATTGTCTTCAGCTGGGCTATCGGAGAGCCCACTGCAATGCGCTGACGCGTCCTGGGGGGCCGGCTCTCCAGAGCATTACCGGCCGAGTCAGACATGACTCTTCCGTGCATTCCAGAAGGTTATCTTCTCTTTCCAGTCTTCTTCCCGGCCGGTCCTGTGGTCGCGAATCGCATCACAGCAGCGGTCAACCCCCGTCTCGACCAGGCTTCTCGCAGCGAGGTACGACCGTACGAAAACGTTGACGGATCCTGCAGTTTTGTTCAACCACACCGAGTCACAGCCAAGATCGATCGTCAGCGAAATTGATCACATAGTCCCTGAAATTGAGGAGTTGCGACTTACCCAACTGAGCCGACTGCTCGAGACAAGATCGAGGGAACTTGTGAGGGTCACGGTGGAGGGATATACCAATAAAACCCCGAAACGGTCCACTGCGAGTGACAGTGATCGAACAGACCCCTTTGTCATCAGTCCTGACACTCAAAGTCGCAGAAATAAACTTCTCAAGACGTACATGCCTCGAACTCTTCGTGATCGACCCTCAGCCCCTTCAAGCCTCCCAGCACTTCCGACACGTCCTCCGAAGGCATGAATGCGTCCTGAATAGGACGGCGGGCGCACTTTTCATGAGTGCTATCAGAGTGCATTCAACTAACGAGTATGCTTTTCCAAATCTCGACGAAAATGCTTCCCAACGTCGACATACCTCTGCACGCATCCTCCTAGATCCCGCGACCGGTGACAAGATCTTTCTGTCGAACGTGAAAGCCGATGAATGGTGGCGGGGTGTTGAACTCGTTTCCGAGCGGGCCTCTAAAGTCGATGGAAAAAGCTGGTAGGTGATGATATTGATATCGTTGTGGAAATGGAAGTGGAAGTGGAAGTGCTTGCCGACGGAGTCCACGAGGGGTCGTGCGAAGCGAGGTTCTCGAACGACGTTGGGTCGAGTTGAGTCTGCCAGCGATGAAACGGACAGGGTAAAGTGCAGACCGAGACAGGACGGATCAGTACCAGCCAGCTGAGCTCATCCCTAGATATCGGTTTGGAACTGCCCCCGCTCTGAACGAACCTGAACACCTATCGTCGAGGCAATAGACCTGCTGTTCAGGCGGTGGAAGTTCCTCGTCCACGCCGTCCCATTTCTCCTGCGCGATCTCCGTTAACGCTTCGCTGTCTTTACAACTCGCAATGCGTTGCAATGCGGTGAAATTGAACACCTATCCGTATCTCTCGTCATCGGCCCAATACGTCACGTCGATGTCGAACGCTGCGATTTCCCCAGTTGGTGCTCCGATGCCCCAACAAAAGAGCTCCACCTTCGACCAGTTTGATTTTGGCCCATTTGAGGATTGGCCCACCGATTCTTTTTAGACGAAGCGGTCGAGGTCGTAGAATTCGGGGAATGGCTCGTCCATTCCTTGGTTTCGGAGTTGCATCAGGTACATTAAAAAGAAAGTGAAGCACTGTTAGTCGTACGAACTTCAACCTGCGAACCTTCGGTCCGCGATTTCGATGATGGTACATGTCTGGTGAAGTATCGACTTACAATATGGCGACCCGATCCAGCAGTTGTGCATGATCTTTCAGACGATAAGTAATTGGTTCGCTGCGCAATCGCACTCGTTTCGCCCAGCAGAAGGGTTTAGCTCGGCGATACGGACCTCCTGCTAACCTCGGTGGAGTGCAATTCGTGGTACGCACAACGTCCGGAAGACGGAAGGGTGGCTACCTAATGCTTATCCTCGAGGAGGTTGTCTCGCAAACTCGAGCCGTTCGCTCGAGTGGAGGGCCTGCCGATACGAAAGTGACCGTGGGCGCAGAAGGTGAGATCAGTGCCTCGCTCCGAATTGCAGGCCAATACCCGTTATTTTGTACCTTGTTTGGCAGAGGTATCGTCATGACATTATGCTCATCTTCGTCCACGGTCGACGTCTCGCCTAGCCAAGCCCCAAAAATCGACCGGTCGCTTCAACGCAATCCGGGCCGACTGCAGGCTGATGGTCGATATCCGACCCGTGGACCCGACGTAGGACACGAATACGACCAGGATGCCTAGACCGATGATGATAAGGGTGATGGGCCCACGAGAGTGTGGGAGCAGTCTGTAGAAGCCGACGCGTCGTCTTTGCTGGGCCTGACTCTTCTTGCACGGACCGTTATGAGGTGATGGATGGATGTTGGATGGTTGGACAATCACCGGTGTCAGCAACTTGGGTCACGGAATGCCGGTGCTGGACAACGGCGGGTGTACAGCGTGCGCAGGGTCACAACTCATCTTGATTGAGCTGCCGACGTGGTGGAGCTCACCCCACGGTCCAACGGTCGAGGTTGCTTGGCGTCGCAATCGAGTGTTCGGTCGAGGTCAAGGTCATAGTCACGTTGTCTGACTCGGAGCGGGTAAAGAGAAAGTATCATAAGGAAGTGATACTCACGCTAGGTGTGGCATTCAAGGGAGTGCTGGCCGGGAACCCACTCGTCCGTGGGACTCTCCATTGAGCTCCTAAGTGGACCAACGTCAGAAAGGGAGCCCACTCAGTCACAAGCCAGTTCGAGGAGCGAGTATCTGAGGAATTAGGTAGGAATTGATGGTTCTGGATGTGCGAGAGTCGGAATACGTCTGTATTCGCGACACGAACCGGCGAACGAGTGATCGAGTTTCGGTCGAGAGCCCAGACGTTGGCATGCTGCCACCGAGTCGCTCGACCGCCAATCAGTACCATGGCCGGCAGCGGCAGCGGGTGGGTAGACGGCGGTACACATTACCTCTCGGCGGTACGTGCGTTGGCTGCAGAACGTCCATAGGTGGCCGCTATGCTGTTCACTGGCCAATCCGCAGTCTTCGCTCGGGACTCGGTTGCGCGCAAGGGAAGGTGGGTGGGAACGGCGGCCCATAGCTGGGAGCCCTTTATGCCAGTTTTTGCCCACGCCGAAATCACGTTCAAGCTGAGGAGTGGCCACTTTGGTGGGCTTCGTTTCCCAAAACTCATACCGCTCGACCTTGCGCCGGCCCGTGGCTGGCCAACGCCCTTGGTAGTACTCGAGTCATCGATCCAAGGAATCATCGATCGAAGGGATCATCGAGCTACAGCATCTAATCTAGTACACCTTTAAAGGTCTGAACCGATTTGAAGGGCCACCCCTCCTCCCCTTGCTTCCGCACGCCCCCACCCCCACTCGTGCGAAACCGACCCAGCCTGGCAGTCGCCTCGCTGGCAGCCGTCCGCCGTCGCCGCTATGTGTGCATATGTGGGCATGCATGCGCACATCAATGCATACTCTTGCAGACCCGTTTTTATCCCCTCTACACGACATTTCACGGCTATACACCCTCGTGCACGCTCGGATCGTATCGACCTTCTGCGACCTGCTTCGCCACCGCCGAGGGCACGTCGAGCCGAAGCGAAGAGGGAGCCGGGCGCGGACCACGATCCACGAGAAATAATCAGCGGGACAGTAGGCGATATGAAACGTCAGCGACAGAGTGAGTATACCTGTGGGAGGCTTGGCAGGAACGTGCAAGGGGGAAGTGGATCGAATGAAGGGCACGACCAGGCTCACGCTCCCGGGCGATGAAACACCCTTTGGAGTGGGCTGAGATAAAGTCGGATCAAGTCCATACTAGTGTAGGTTCCTAATCAACTCGGGGCAGTAGCAGTGTACACGTGTTGATATTGATGCACTGCGATGCAGCCGTATGCATCGACGTGCAGTCTCGGCGCCTTGAACGGCCCGAGTTCTGGCGCGAGACACCCGGATCGACCGTAGGATCAGCATCCCAGGGCATGCACCCTCGGACAGGAGAGTGTACATCCGTGCGGTTTAACAGGGTAGCCATGGACCCCATAATCACAGTCAAGTATGCCCATGCCCAAGCATGGTGCGCTCGCAGAGTTAATCCAAAAGGACAGGCACGATTAGCCTTTAAACAGTCAATTAGCAAATTGACTATCACTTTTGTAGCAGATGGTATCTGCTCGATCTCGATTCCATTCGTTGGAGTAGGAATTAGTATTTGACTATTTTCGCGGCCCTCGACTCGCCGCGTCGTTGACCTCGATGTGGGGTGCACGGTCCCCTGTCTGCGATTTGGCTCCAGATCCGTACCGCGCTCCATCGGCCGCGCTCTGCGTTTTGGGCGGCCAAACGCCATGATTCGTGCACTACCCTGGTCACGTTTGAACGCGTTCGGGTCCATACCAGTATCCTCCCACCCGTAAGTGCTTCCCTTCTCAAATTGCCCCTGCTCTTGCTCGATCGATGTCCATCGGGTGGGACGACCGACTCTTATCCGTTGGTGGTGCTCCCATGCTGACCCCAAGTCCACCAATACATGATCACCCCCGACGTTCCACAGCCCCGCGATGGGTCATTCGGCTCCACCCTGAATGACATCACTTTCGACCTAGCTCGTACCGCCCACTGCTCAAGAACGGTGAGTCGGCTTGTCGTGCGACGTTGCTGCCCGCACCAATCGACGGTCGCACAGTAGGCGGTCGCGTAGAGGAGGTCGCCTCGGGCCCCCTCGATCTGATGGTGCTTGCCTTGCCACTGGACGAGCCTGGTGACTGACACTGTCATATGTTCATCGCTCTGCACTAGCTCGAGCTGGACCCATCTCCCATCGAGAATGGCAACGCTCCGCACGTGGTCGGGGTACAGTAAGTGATCAAGCTCGACCAGCCTTGCAAGCCTCGGCTGACCCGTTTCGCGCTATAGAAGAGCATATGTTAGGCTTTGGACGGTGAGATGGAGATCTCACAAAGTGTAGAATGTTCTGCTCGTGTTCCTTACTAGACATCGAAGTATGGTGAGTCAGTTCGTGCGACGTTGCCCTCTCGCCCTCGCTCGGTCGCACAGGGGGGTAGGTGTTCTGTCGACGGTCGCACAGGGGGGTAGGTGTTCTGTCGACACGGACTCGACCTCGCTCGATCATGCATCGTCATCATCATCATCGTCAGCCATCATCATACATCATCATTATCGTCAACATCCAGAGGTCGCCGCCACATCAGGCGGTCGTAACGTGTAACGTGTAACGTAAGATGGTTGGTATCAGGGTGTCCCGTCCCGTTCACGCAACTGGACGGGCTCACCTGTCACATAGGAGCAGAGAAGGAGCATGCAGAGCACTGAAGCTCAGCTCAAAGTGTGATGATACCCGCGGCCGGTCACTGACCGTTGATCGTTCACGGTGGGGCGTTTTTTGAACCCAAAGACAGATGTAAATTCGAATTGTCTCGCTGTCCATGATCTTCGCAGTATGTCGTTGTGGTGTCCAGGGGACTGCAGCTCGAGGCTCAAGATAGGTAGATACCTGCCCCTCCAGCTACCCCTTCCCCTCCCCGAGCTACGCTGCATTGAAACCATGATTTCCACCGTTGTAAGCCTTTCGACGATTGGTGGGAGCACTCGCCCCGAACTGAACAGGTGCATACAGTCGCTGGCTTCCAATTTCAAGATCCCTTGAACATCGTTATGATGGTTGATCCAGGTAAAGAAACTAGGAACATGGGCAGAATTTAGCCAGGTATGAAGGTGCAGAGATATTGAAATTTCTGTGCACGTTGTACCGTACCGGAGGTAGTGTCGGCTCGCTGTCGCAACGACACGCTGTGTTCAATCAGCGACGAGCGATGGGCCGGCCTCGTCTCCGCCCCTTGAAACCTGAGGTAGACCTGAAGGGCAAGGATGCTATAGTCACGTGGCGCGGCAAGACAGCTTTATTTTGGCGTCAGAATTGAGCTGATCTAAGCACAGCAGGCAGGGCTCAAGCTTCGATCCTCGCCTCGAGGGCAAGCCTTTGCCTCGAGGGCAAGCCTTTATATGCGGCTGAGTCACCAACGGCCGCGGCCGCCGTGGAGTCTTGGACCTTGGCTGCTCTTGTTTCACGTCGCGACCTGTCCCCACGCGCGATGCCACCGGCCAAAATATCCCTCACGGAGCCTCACTCATGACGATTTTCCTCTCTCGGCGGTTGTAACAAGGTGATTGGGCATGAACACCCACTCGAGTTGGCGTCCGCCACTAACTCATGGGTCGGCAGATAGGTCGTACGTCGGCCAGCCCTGATAGGCCGGCGAATAAAAGTCGTACGTCGACCAGCGGACCAGCAACCTGAGGTCATCGACATTGTGGGGGCACGCCGCTCGGCCTTCAAGAGCAGAATTCGCCATCGTTGTTCGGTACGCACCAGCCGGTTTTCGTCGACCCCCCCCCCCCCCCCCCCCCGACCTCCGACGCGCCGCCGGTCGACGTCATGTAGAATGGCAGTTCCTCAAATCTTGCAAACCACACAGCTGAAGCACGAGCTACAAGGCTTCTTTGGACCTGTCGTCAAGTGAGCGGGAGTGGTAATTGAGCGCCGGGTGTTCCTTGACGCTACAAAGGTGGTGGAGGTTGAGCTTGGACGGCGCGATCACCCTCTTTGGGTACTGCCGCCGTAGGTGCCGACTGACAGGTAGCTACGTACCTACTGTTGAGCAATGTACAAGGCAGGTGTACATTTGCATGCTTATCTGGCCGCCCGGTCACTCAGACCACAATCAAGCCCTCATGAAAAGCTGCCCAGGTACCCGTGGCGCTTATAAGATGACTCCATCATTCGATTCCCTGAAATTTCATTTGGGCGGTCAGCAACTATTTCGCCGGGTGCTGCCACCTAGCACCTCAGTAGTTCCCTCTCATCATTTTCAAGGTGTTTCAAATGGGAAAGGCGACTTTGGCAGATCAGCCTACGGTCGGTCAGGGAAAGACCACTGCCAGCAGGAATTTTTTGCGTGCACTGGATGGTGGATCCGCTGACGGCAGGTCCTCTCATTGTGGCAGCTGATTAACAAGACCGAAGATTCCCGCGAGCACCTGAATCTTGACTCTCGATTCAAGCCGACGCGGAGCAGCGAGCTAAGGTCATTGAGGTCTCGGATCCAAGTCCGACGGCACGGTCTCGGCGCGACGCAGGGTGGCCCAGCTCAAGGAAGTGCTAGCGCACGACCGGCGGAGGAACGCATTGCACCGCTTGCTTAGCGCGGCCATGGAGGGAGCGGAGGGTTCAGCAGGATCGACAAGCACACCGCGCCAATTTCTTTCTCGTTATGTGCGAAACCATGCAAGGTCGGGTGACTCAGGTACACGGTGTCGTGTTTGAGCAATTAGCAAGCGCTCGCCACTTCATTAACGACGGGCTGCTCGTGAGTTGTGAGTCCGCGGGACGTAGGTAATGCCTAATGAACGGTCCACGGCGTGAGGGGCCGCCGGCGGCCTCGCAGCAGCCGATTTCGGTTCCGGCAGGTTCCGGCCACGTTTGCGGCACCGCATCGGTAGCTCGCCCCCGGCGACGAAGATGAATCATTTCCCTCCACTTTTCTACCTGCACACCAGCAGCTTGGCCTGTTGAAATATCCTCGACCTGGAAATGCCTTCCACGATGTTGAAAGGTGACAATGGCCTGCTTCCCCTGGCCAAAGGTCTTGCCTGTGAGTGCAGGTTTTGTATGGCAGGGCCGGTTCATTTGGTGCTGCGACAAGCTGCTTTTCGGACTTAGCGACTGACCGTGATTGCCACTTCTCGCACGCTGTTCCTGCTCGCACGCTATTCCGCGGAGCTCAGGTCAGCGCTGCAAGGCACGCAAGACTCGTGTTTGGCTTGTCTTCGTTCTGGTGAGTGATGCATTGCTTGTGCTCTCGCGTCTCCTGTTGCTCGACCGAGTCTCAAGGGCCTGGACGTGGGGCTGCCCGTGCTGACCATAGTCGGGTTCCCACGCATATGTGCGGCATACTCAAAAATCGCCTTCGGCCTTCTGACCGATCTCAAACAGCTCAATTCAAGCATCTCCCAACAGATAACATCGCTTGTGTCTACAACGAGGATCCTGCGAGCCAACCGGCGAGCTCCGAGTTCATCGTGTCGACTTCCTCTAGCTCGCCAAACCGCAGCCGCCACGGGACGGTGTCGCCTCCTGTTGCCGGCTCTTCACCGAGTCAGTCGAGTCCCCCTTCCTCTGTCTGACTTTTTCCCCCGACATATACCGGTTTGACGATTTCAGAACTCCATACTGACTGGCGTTACCCCCTCTCCTTCGCACAGTACCGGCATACGCCCCTTTTCGTATCGTTTCGGATGCCTCAGCGTATACCAGCACTGCTTCGGGTTGGCATGCTGTTGGTGAACCAGTAGTGTCGAATGCACTCGGCAATAATTCTGGCCTCTGCTCCCTGGACCCGCCGGATCCGCACGAGGTGTACATACCCCCGAATGACTCATATCAACACAGGCCACTCTCCGACGCCCGAGCGGACCCCTCAATGGATCGCCCACCTCTAAATCAACTCCACACAGTGCTCCACGTCGCACAGAGTCAGCTCCACGTATCGAGTTGGCAGCCGCATTCGACGGTCTATCCACAACCACATTTATCATCCTACTCCCCCACACTGAACAGCCTTCCCTTGTACCCGCCACCGGAAATACCCACCAACTTCAACCTGGCGTATTCATCGTTGCATCGGTTCGCGGATACCAGCGCGAGGGGGGTCAACACGGCACCATCATCCATATCCCACTCGCCGACCCTCGAGAATAGCTCGAGGAGAGCGTCCGCATCGACCATTCCGTCGCAGACCCCAACCCCAGACCCCGATGTCGCGATGCACCGCAATGCCGATGGCGGTAGCACCATCGGAGGTCGCAGATCGTCCGAGCCAGACCACGCAAGCTTCGCTGGAAAGCACCCCTCCTCAATCCCGAAGTCACCACGTGGTGTTTCTCTTCATCGACATCCTCATCGAATCATAAGCGATCGAACACCAGGCAGCAGTCCCTCCACTCTGCTCTCTCCCCTTCTACCCCTCGACCTCGCTTGCGTGCAGGCCGCAGGAGCCGCCGAGCTCGGATCAACGGCATCGTACGACCACTGGGTCGCGGCGGGGTTGCCCATGCACGCGATTCCGGACGGAAACGAGGGCGGGGCGTATTCGGAGGACTTGGAGAGCGATGTACGACCTGAGCTGGGGTTATGAAACCGCCACTGCCTGGGGGAACCCGAGCACGTCGGGAAGCGGCGGGTAGGTATCTGGACGGAGCCTGATCTGGCGTTCTTGGAGATCTTGTGGATCACAGGGGCTATTCGGAGAGTGATCGTTTGCAAGAGGTTGGCCCGCTTAGGTGTATGAGCGGGATTAAGTGTGTAATTATCTACGACTAGTAGTATCGCATAGTACCGCGCACCGCAATCCGTTTAGCATAGCAACATCGCCGTTAAATACATTTGCGTTTCCATGGTGTCTAGTTTTATGGTCAATGACATCTCTATCGTTTCTGCAGTGCCAAAATGACCAAGTTCGAACGATCAGCAAGCGCATGTGGATGATTACGAAGAGTCGTTGCCAAACTGACCTTGCTCGCAGCTCCACGCTTCGCTTTGGGCTCGGCTTTGGCCGAGACCGACATTTGCGTTTTTCTCCGCCCTACACTCTCTTGCTCGGGAGCTGTGGCGACCGACGACGAGCGAGTGTGTCGTGACCGCTTGCTCACTTTGCTGGCGGCAGTGGCTGTAGATAAAGTGGACAACGGCGATCAGTCAGCGGGTGTAGTTGCACCGCGCGAGCCCGAGTGACAAGCTCTTGCACCCACTCTTTTCCTCGTCCCGCTCTTCATCTTCGTCCTCCCTTTCGTCATCCCTGTTTGCCTCGCTCGCCTCGTTGCCATCGTCTTCGTCGCTCATGTCCGTCAGGTCGCTTTCGCTATCCGCGCCTGCGCCCGCACCCGCAGCCTTGTCGTCCGACGCCGCTTTCTTGGTCGCTTTGGTCTTAGTCGTAGATTTACCTGCACCTGCTCTTGTCGAAGTCGTGGTTGATTCGCGCTTGGCACGCTTCCTGCCCTTGGGCCGCTCGTCTTCTTCGTCCTCCTCTTCGTCCTCCTCTTCCTTCTTATCGGACTCGGCGCCACTCTCCTTCTCCTCGTCATCACTATCATCTGGCAGCGTCAGGGAGAACTCTCTAACGGGTCCCAATTCCGGGCTGGCTGGGTCGCCCTTTTTGCGCAACTTCCTCTGCACCAGGAGTTCGTTGAACATCGATTCGGGAGCCATAGGATCGATCTCGGCAAGGGACTCGTCTTCCTTGGTTTTGGATCTGCCCCGCGCCTTGCTCGATGTCGAGACGGGTGGTGTCACGGTCGATGATAAAGAAGAAGCAGGGGGAGGGTAAGAGACGAGAAGTGAGAAGGGGCGGGGTGGGAATCGACGAGAGATCCATGCGGGTGCCGAGGGCGGCTTGGTCGACGATTTGCGAGAAGAGGCTTCTTGGGGAGCGCCTACATCCGATCTTGTCGAAACTGGAGGCGAGTTGGCCTCCGAGTTGGAGTCTTCTTCGTATTGCTGGAAGGCGGGATTCAGATCATTGGGAACGGGTTGTCAGCTCGAGCTCCGCGAGGTCGCCTGGACAGTCAGCGAGTGCGGACCGACCTCATCCTCCCACGTCTTTTCCAGCTCAGCGAGGTCATAGCACTCGTCGTACTTGTCCCAAAAATGCCGCATCTCGACGTTCTCGGCGTCGCGGTACTCCTCAAAGCCCTCGCTGACCCGCGAGCGGCAGTAGTTGCGGAACTTGAGCGCGACCGACAACATCTCCCAATGGCGGTCCGGGCCGATAGGTCGATGGTAGATGAGCGCTCGGAAGAAGGCTAATTCACCGGGGACGGTCGAGAGGTAGGACGAAGGGGACGTGGACGGGGAGGGAGAGCTCGAGCTCGAGCTCGACGTGGAATCCTCCGCCTTGGCCGACGAGGACAGCGGAGGAACCCATGTTGGTGGAGCGACCATTTTGACTCGATTGATCTTGTTGTTGATGTCGTGCAGCCAAGAAGTGAATCTGAACGGTGGGCGCGGTTGTGGGACTGGTCGAATGTGACGTACACCGTGTGCACACGATTGACGAAGGAGCGACGGCGTGTAAGTTCGTCGAGACGGAGACTCAGTATCTACACGGATGTGTGTGTTGTCCGAGGAACCGTTGAAATAAAGCAGAGTAGAGCTGTAAGTAGAGCGCGAAGAAGCGGGAGCTCTGGAAGCTGAACTCGGTTGCTCGTTCTGTGTCTAGAGGATTCAGGCGTGCGCGCACGGACCATGAGGCATGAGGGACCACGTCGCTGGGTATAATGTCCAAGTTCGGACTTATGGGAGTCTCACAGCCGCTCGCGATGGTGACTCCGATTGGAGGCACACCGTGTTTGTACAACATTTTTGCATCAAATAGTTACGAAGTAAGAGAAAGAAGCGACATTGCTGCCGAGTGAAAGACGAAAGGAAAAAAAAAACCCTCCTCAATCATGAACGCTCGCCTCGGAGACGACGGGCCAATTGGATGTCCTTGGGCTGGATCGTGACTCGCTTGGCGTGGATGGCAGCCAGGTTGGTGTCCTCGAACAACGAGACGAGGTACGCCTCGGCGGATTCCTGAAGAGCCATCACGGCCGACGACTGGAAGCGAAGATCGGTCTTGAAGTCTTGCGCGATCTCGCGAACGAGACGTTGGAAGGGGAGCTTGCGGATCAGGAGCTCGGTCGATTTTTGGTATCGACGGATTTCACGAAGCGCGACCGTTCCGGGGCGGTAGCGGTGAGGCTTCTTGACCCCACCGGCGGCGGGGGCCGACTTGCGCGCGGCCTTGGCAGCAAGTTGCTTGCGAGGGGCTTTGCCACCGGTCGACTTGCGGGCCTGCAGTGTTGAGATATCGTAGATCATGGTCAGTACACGAAGTCGTTCATTGAGTTCAGTGAGGTGGACTAACAGTTTGCTTTGTGCGGGCCATTGTTGAGGATGGGGGGTTTGTTTTGAGGTGGAAAAGGGGCTTTGGGCTTGGGCTTGGGCTTGGGTGGAAGAGGATACGGTGAAAGGAAAGCGAAAGAGTGTCGAAGGGTGATGCGGTCAGGTCAATCTTGAGCCGCTGCCTCGAGTTAGGTGATCCAGGTCCTGGCTCATGGAAAATGTCAGGTTTGTGGTTAGGGCGCGTCGAATGATGGTACAAGTTGAACGACCGAGCGCAAGCGCCTCACCTAGCTCGAGGCACCCCCGGGCGACCCCGAACTACGCCAAGCCGCGCATCGCCTAACCCGAGGCAGCGCTGCGTCCACGCCTCAGCCGCAGCTCAATTCGCTTGCGCGGCGCCTGGGCGCCTGGGGGGGGGGTTTGAAAAGTGGTGACCTAGGTCGAGGCAGCACATGGGGGCGTACCGACCTAGATCAAGTCAAAACGCCTCGCTCTCTCAATCGGCAAAGGAAACGCAGATGCAGAGAACGACTTTGCGCATCGTGGTGGCGTTACCTCTTGACTTCCTACACACCACATCTCTCTCTCTCTCTCACGCTCGGCCTGACCTAATCCAAGTCAGCCCAATCGAAGCACTCTTCAATCACACCCACTACTACCACCCCTCAATCTAAACCTAAACAAACAGTGAGTCTTACATTGCTTCCAATCAACATGATAATGTACTGACTTTTGGTGACCCCTATCTCCTTGCTTCGCGCGTCGCCAGTGTCCGGACGTGGAAAGGGCGGAAAGGGACTCGGAAAGGGCGGAGCCAAGCGTCACCGCAAGATCGTGAGTCTTTGCAACGTTTACGCCTCTTGCACATCTTGGCTAAATGTTCTTACATCGCCCACCATGTCTCGCATCTCACAGTTGCGCGATAACATCCAGGGTATCACCAAGCCCGCCATCCGCCGTCTCGCGCGTCGTGGTGGTGTCAAGCGTATCTCGGGCCTCATCTACGAGGAGACTCGAGGTGTGCTCAAGATCTTTCTCGAGAACGTCATCCGTGACTCGGTCACCTACACCGAACACGCCAAGCGCAAGACGGTCACCTCGCTCGATGTCGTTTACGCCCTCAAGCGATCCGGACGAACCCTCTACGGTTTCGGCGTATAGATTTATTGATTATTGTGCTTGTGCTCCTTTGATTTCCCCCCTGTTGTAACACATACCGGCATTCCAATCGACACTTCGTTTTGTCACGGTCAGGTGCGGCGAGCCCCAGTAGGCAAGTCTTCTGCAGGGCTACCTAGAGTAGCGCCGTTGGTTGTGATGCTTTACAGAACGGGCGTATATGTAAGCGCCCCTCACGGCTAGAATTATCGAGTTCTAGTACGGCTTGCTTTTAGTCTAGTGATAAAGAACGAGAGCTGGTGGTTATGCACACCAGTGGGAACCCCTTTAAACCAACGGGGTGATGTTCAACTAGCAGGAGAGCGTCGTGTCGGCCATGATGGCCATCGCGCTGACCACGCTGTCCGTTCCGCAATGATGGCAGGCTGCTAGCAGCAGTGGCAGTGCAGCACCGCTGGCTCGTATACGTGTCGCAATACCAAGATTGGTTGGGTTGTTGTCATCACGCTCGGGGGCCTTATTCTGTTGATCGGAAGTTCGGAACGGGACGAAAAGGACTAAAGGAGGGTCGAGCAGCGGCCCCTGGGTAACGCGGCGTCAGGGTGAGCGGCCATCGCAACTTCGCCGAGTCTTGGGAGCGCGAGTCAGGGTCTCCCCTTGAATGAGTGTTACCAAAGTGCAATGAGAGTGGGAGAAGTAGAGGGAGGAGTCACGCGGGATTATCTACAGCCTCTCGACCCTCATGCTGTTGAGCAGCCCCTAAAACCGGTGTCGCGATACGTCACGTTATTGACAGCACCAATCGCGCGGCCCGGCAGGGTCCGGCCCACGCATCAACGACGGCGGGCCCACTGCATGCCTGAGCTTTGTAGAAGAAATGACATGCGGACCCGTGCGCTTGCTATCGACTGCTATCTATATATCCGTCTACCTACATCTACTTTGAAGATTGCATCACAAAGTACCTCTATCAAATAAGGGTTGCGCGCCGCTTTTTCTTTCCCACTTGAAGGTCCAGCCTGAGGAGGTGCGGGCGGAGCTCGCAGCGGCCTTGAATCAAGCAGAAAGGGGGACACTAAGTACATCAAATACTACAGAAGCCGCTCAACGGTTCCGCATTGCGAGGGCTTAAGCTCAATTATCATGACCGAGACAATGCAGATATGCCGTACATGACTCCTGATTGGGACCCCGATACCACAGGCAGTTGCGGCAGACTACAGTATGCTTGTACATTCACCACAGGCGGCCCCGCAACACGGTCAAAAACAGCGACAGCGATATAGGTACATGCCACATGGGTCGCCGATCGACACCTTTCAGCTAAGAAGGTAGTACCAGAGGCGCAAACCTTACAGATCAGTAGGCCGGGACTCGGGTGCACGGAGATGCCTTACATTCGTGATTCACTCAAAGTTCAAGCAGAGTAGTCGTACCGGGCTTTGCTTTGGATCAACAAACAAGTCAGTCCGTGCATCCTGGGCATTTTTTTGCCCCTCATCAATAGTAATGCACTTTCTGCCGCACAGGCGGACCAGCCGGAAAATGCAAGCCGATCGGGAAATCGTCTTTGCCCCACAACGAAAAAACGTGAAAAAAGAGCCGCGGGGCCGCGGGCTTCCCCACCTTGCTCAAAAAAGCTCGCCACCGCCACACCCCGCTCTCCTCGCTACCTCCAACCGCCTCACACCTCGAAAACTCATCACCCACCGAAAGAAAACATGTCAACCCTCGACCTTTTGAGCCAGTCCCCCGTGCCTTGCTACGTCAATGGCGAGGCGTTCAAGGGCTCGGGCAGCTACGCCGTCAAGGACCCTCATAGCCCGTCCAAGACTTTGCACGAGGTGTCGTCCGTCACCATCGCTGACGTACCCAAGGTGCTTGAGGCAGCGTCTAAATCGTTCAAAGCATGGCGAAACGTGAGTCTTGTGCCAGACGGTGCACTGGTCCAGGTCATCCCGGGACGACCCTGTGGGGACACCGCCAGCCCCACATCCGGAACTTTGAGTCGCTGATTCGCGCCTTGCTGCCACCTGCTTCATGACGATCCCCATCTAGACTCCCGTCACGCAACGTCGCGACATCTTCAACAAGACCGTCGAGCTCTTCAAGGAGCACCAAAGCAAATTCGCTGGCATCGAATCCGCTGAGACGACCTCGGCGCCCGGATGGGCCGGCTTCGATGCTTTCTTGGCCACCGATTCGCGAGTTGCAATCGTCTGTGCTGAGATGTGTGACAGCGTGTGATATCAAGTGCTTATCCACATTCCCCATGATTTGCAGCCTCGCGGAATCTGGTGCCGTTGCGACGGTCGCTCTTCGTGGAGAGATTGCGACGACCGAAGCAGGCAAGCGAGCTTGTGAGTTACGTGCCTTGAACTTGCTCTTATCGAGGATAACGCAAGCTGAACCGTATAACTCACAGTCATAAAACGATGCCCCTATGGTACTGTCTTTTCAATGGCACCCTGGAATGCACCTTTGGTCCTCAGTATGCGTTCGGTCTCTAATCCCGTGAGCTCGAATCCCTTTGCCGCCGGTCTCTCCTCGGACCTGACCTGACCTCCTCACCGAATACAATGTTACGCGACAGATCATCGGGGGGAACGTCGTCATCTTGAAAACGTCGGAAATGTCGCCCAAGACCCAGTTGACCTTGGCCCAACTCTTCCACGACGCCGGTCTCCCTGCCGGTGGTCCGTTCGATCAAGGATTAGAACTCGCATAACAGGGCCCGAACATGCAATTCTGACAGGCGTAATACTTGCTCTTGCACAGTCCTCAACGTCATTCATGTCGACCCCAAGGATGCCCCTGCTGTCGTCGAAGCCATCATCGCCCATGACTCTGTGGGCAAGGTCAAGTGAGCAGGCCCGCTGTACCCGCCGGATTCGTTGAGGCTCGTGTAGAGAGCTAATCCCGATTCGACCACAGCTTCACGGGCTCGACTCGCGTCGGAGCCATCATTGCCGCCACCGCCGGAAAGCACATCAAGCCCGTCGTTTTGGAACTTGGTGGCAAGGCCCCTGCGATCGTCTGCCATGATGCCGACCTGAAGACGTAAGCCCCGAGGTAGATTGTGGGGCTTCGTCTGATCAGGTAGCTGATCTCTTGACACTCTTGACAGCGCATGGAACGCAATCGCTTTCGGTGGATGGTTCCATTCGTGAGCAACTCACCTTATCACACTGCCCTACTACGCGAGAAGCGTCAGCTGACCACGATAAACCCCTTTCGCAAAATTGCAGCGGCCAAATTTGCATGGCGACGCAGACCGTGATCGCTCACGAATCGGTCGCCGAGGAACTGCTCCAGTTGCTCAACAACCACAAACCTAATGTCACAGCCGCGGGAGAAGGTGCACCTCTTCGTGGACTCTTCACCGAGGCTTCGGCCCAACGCGTCAAGGGCATCATCGACGATGCGGTTTCAAAGGGCGCCAAGATCGCAGTTGGCGACGCCAAGGTCGAGGGCAACGTGGTGCAGCCGATCATCCTCAAGGATGTTACACCCGAGATGCGTAAGTTGAACACGGTCAAGAGCGTGTACCGACTCCTTGTGTCATGCTAATGTGAACTTGCACGATGTCTCCCTATGTAGAAATCTACCGCACCGAGATGTTTGCTCCTGTCTTTTCTTTGATCACTGTGAGCACCCGCGGTCCCAATGCATTATACTCTCGACTCATACTGACACACTAATTCATTGTTGCGTGTTCCATAGTTCAAGGACGAAGAGGAAGCGATCCGCATCGCCAACGACCACGAATACGGTCTGTCGGCGTCCATCTATTCTAAGGACGTCAACCGAGCTTTGTCCCTGGCCGACGAGATTGATTCGGGAGCTGGTCAGTCCTCTTGATTCTTGCTGCCGATATGAGAGTGAGAGTGTGCGTTAGGTTTCTGATTGTGCACGTGTCTGTCTTGGGCTTCACAGTCCACATCAACGGTGCTTCGGTCGCGGATGGTGCCGCACATCCCCATGGTGGGTGGAAGAAGAGCGGGTTCGGAAGGTGAGATTTCTTCTTCGGGCGCTTTCGTCGCGATCTACTCATTGACAGTGGGTTTGCTCTTCCAGGTTCAACGGCATCGAAGGTATTCGCGAGTTCACCCAACTCAAGACGGTCACGATCAACGAGCCCCACGGCCAATACCCGATTTAAGATCTGAGATAAGGGGGCTCGGAAGGACTTTTCGCGTGACTATCGATGGCACTTGGGTATGAAATATTTCTGAAATTTGATCATACGGGAAAGACTTGGAATTGAAATGCAGAAGCTTCTACTGCCCAATCTGGACTTGCGGCTGCGCGCGGACCCCGAGGCCGTCAATCCGCAGCACTTTTCGTACGACGTCAGCCTGTGCACTCGTTCTCTTCACCGCCTTTGACTCTTGCCCTAAGCTCGACCGGAGCTTCTACCGCTTTGATTTTATTTATTTATATTTTTATTATTATTTTTCTTGTGCTGTTTTGGTGAATTAGCCCCTGTCTGAGATCATCCACCCGGCACCGCTTCACCTGTGGCCCCTGCGCGCACATGGATCCCCCAGCAAAGGTGCTGCGAGCGCTGGGGGAGCGCAGGGTGACGGGGCCAGACGGGGCCGACACTGGGCCGACGCAACGCGCCCATTGGTTGACGAGGGTTGACGTGGATTTTCATTGGGCTCCGCTCACCGGCTCACCCCCTTCTGCCGGCTTGTGCTCACTGCATCTCGCGTTCGACGTCTCGGCGACAACGGCATCACATCACCAGCATGGCCCCAAACGCGATCGCTCTAGCCATGCAACAGAACCTCGATGCCGAAGCCGAGGCCGATCGTTTCTTGCAAGAGCAGGACGAACGGGATGAACGAAGTCATGGAACGATTGAAGGAGGAGGAGGGGGAGGACCCAACTCTGCAGGAGGAGGAGGGACCGGCGGCGCAGGAGGGGAGGGTTTGAAGCTGAGCTCCAAACCGCTTGAGACGAGGTTGGTGATGCAGAACAGTGGGGAGAATGACGGCGATGACGACGAGGCGTTTCGGAGAGAGTTGGACGAGTTGGAGAGGGAAGAGAGCATGATGCCTTCGAGTGCGGTCGCGACACCGGCGGTCAGTACGAGGTTCAGCGAGGAGATCTTTTGCAGTACACACAACTAACAAGTTGGGACGGGTTCATAGGTACGACGGATGCATCCGGCACCTGTCATCGCCGTCTGGATCTTCTTGTCGTCGTCCGTCATCCTCTTCAATGCTCGGATCCTGGGTCGGTCCCCTCTCTGCGGTCCAGCGCGCTTGTAGGACATTCTACCATGGATTCTGAACGTAGTTTTACCACCTCACAGGCAAGAAGGAAGGTGACTTTAACTTCCCTTACCCCATCTTCCTGACGACCGTGCACCTCCTCTACGCGACGATCGGCACCCGAGTCCTCGCTCGCTTCACCCATCTCTTGGACGGTCTGCAAAACATCAACATGACCTGGGACCAATACACGCGCAACATACTCCCCATCGGAGCCTTGTTCTCGGCCTCGCTCATCTTTTCCAACCTCGCGTACCTCACCCTCTCGGTGTCGTTCATTCAGATGCTCAAGGCCTTTACTGCTGTCGCGGTCTTGACGATGAGCGTGATGATGGGCCTTGAGCAGTTCAACAGGAGAACGACCATCGTCGTGTGCTTCATCTCGATGGGTGTCTTTATTGCGAGTTACCACGAGGCCAATTTGTGAGTGTATCGCCGGGTTTTGGAGGTCGTCGTGCGTAAAACGCGCACTGACCGACGAACATCTCTCTGTTTCAGCGTATTCGCCGGTTTCATCTTCCAATCCTTGGGCATCTTGTTCGAAGCGACACGACTAGTGTAAGTCATCCACTTTCTATTAACCTAAACGGGAAACCACTTCGAACCTCACTTCGATGCTCGTTAACGCCCCACAGAGCGATCCAAAAACTTCTCCAAGGCTTGCGGATGGACCCGCTCGTCTCGCTGTACTACTTCGCACCCATATGCGCGGGGTTGAACCTTCTTCTCGTGCCTATATTCGAGGGGTATCGGCCGTTTGAACTCATTCTCGAACGGGTGGGAGGGTGAGTTACGATGTAGACCACTCGAGTTGAGATGATCTTGATGAGAAGCTGACATGTGGTTTTGCGTGTTCATCTTGCAGTTTCACCTTGTTCATCAACTGCAACTTTGCATTGCTGCTCAACATCTCGGTCGTATACCTCATTGGGTGCGCGAGCTCGTTGGTGCTCACGCTTTCGGGTCAGTCTTCTTTCTTCGAGCTGGATATGGGTGGGACATGTGTATTGATGACTGTGGTCTGTTACGTTTCGTCAAACCCACTCCAGGCGTATTGAAGGACGTCCTTCTCGTCACCGGCTCCGTGGTGCTCTACGGATCGCCCATCTCGTTTGCCCAGGTATGAACACAGGATCCGTGTCGCCCGACCCAAGAATTCAACTTGTGTACTGCTAAAACCTCTTCTGTCCATGTAGATGCTCGGATACTCGATCGCCCTCGGTGGTTTAGTCGTGTTCAAGACGCCGCCGGAAGTGATGGCGGGGTATATTGCGAGGGTCAAAGCGATTGTCGGGCGGTAGGAGTGAGGGCGGACGGACCAGGTAGAAGAAACAGTTTCTTCAGCTGGAGTTGTGACGCAGTAAAGAGGATGACGCTGTCTCTCTGTATGTGTTGAAGTTCTGTTCGAAAAGCTGAATCTGTAACGACGTGCTTCCCCTTGTGTATTGATATTTCCTTTTTTGTCGTCTGAGTTTGTGCAACTGGTGCGCGGTATCTGGCTGATCCAATTGCGGGTGGGTTTTAATCGTGCAGTAAGATATTGAAAAGTCTGTTGGAAAAGCTGTGCAATTTAAAGCTGTGTAATATGGATAAAATTGTAAATCCTCTCGGTGCCACCGTTAACGGGCCGAGCAGGAATATCAAGGAGCTGTGGTGCATGCGCTGAGAACCCGAACCGAGTGTCCCGCGGATGGATGATCCCCGGCGATTCGAGCTCACTGGGGGGAGTTTGGTGGGGAATATTTCGCCGGAGAAGTAGGGAGTGGGGAGGATGACATAAGAGATGCAATATGAACTATCCGTCGAATCACCAAAGGTCTTGCGCGAGGATGAAGTCGACGTAGTGAGGTGTCGAGTTCGAGATATTCAATATCCGGAGAAACCATTCCCCTGTTTAATTTGGCTCGCTGCGAAAGACTCAAAGAGGGGCCCGCTCGGGTTCAACATCATCGTGGCAACCTCGGAACTTTGTCATGAAGAGAGGAAAAAAAGATTCAACCTTGACGATCCAGGCCCCGTTTGCCCTCATTCACAATTCGAGATCTCGATAAAGGCGATCGAGATTTTTCTTGTTTGATCGGGACTTTCAAGAAGAACGGTGGCGGTGCTGTTGGACGGGCTCGGGCTCCCGAGTCGGACGCAGCAACGCCTCGGGCCCGTCGATTGGAGAGCGAAAGAGAGCGAATCGGCTCAAGTCGGCTCAGCTTTGCTCAGCCTGGCTCAGCCTGGCTCAGCGCCCTGGCAGAGAGCACGCGGCGACGACGAGCAACGGGAATCCCTTTCTCCCGTTCACCTCTCTAGCGCAACTAATAGCACCCCCGCGGTCGGGATCGTTATCAAAGCAGGGAGAACAGCTCGACATCCGACTTTGGATCGATCCACTCCGGGGACAAGCTGTAGCTGCTCCGACTCAGACCCGGGGAGCGACGACGAGAGCGAGCAACGCGCGCGTGGTTCACACCAAACACCACCTCAGCTGAGACGACCGAGTCGACCCGGAAACCGACCCAAACACCTCGGCTAGGTACACGTACAGCCGTCGCATTCGGTATCCTCTTGGTTCCTCAGACGCATTCTTGGACTCCATCATGGCGGTGAGTTGGTCTCCGTCGAGACCATGACAAAGCAGCCTCCGGTCGGTTCGAGTGACCGAACGCGCTAGTCACCCCACCCCTCCCATCACCCGAGAAGTCCAGCACTGACATGTCCCTTGACTCCAACACCCAGGATCTCTCGAGCAAGATCGCGTCGTTGCACTCGCGCATCTCCAAGGAGCACAAGATCCTCGAAGGCTTCCAGGCGATGCGCTCCGCGACCTCGAACCAGGACGTGATCCGCACCTGCGACGCCAAGATCCGCGAGGCGCAAAAGACGATCGGCTGGTTCGAGCAGAGCTTGCAAGAGTTGCAACAGCGCGCTGGAGCGGGCGCAGCAGCGGCGGGACAAGGCGTGGGTGGGGTAGGAGGAGCCCACAGTCCCGTCCAACAGCAGCAACACAACTCACAACGCGGCACATCGTCCATGGGTCCCGCGGCTGGATACGGCAATCGACCGGGGGCGAACCAACCCTACACCGGTGGAGCACCAGGTGGCAGGGATCTTCCCGCACCTCCACCCGGCGCGATGCCGACTTACCTCCAGCACCAGTACGGCCAAGGCTCGATTGGAGGTACCTCGGGTCGCGGCGACGATGCTCGCTCCGAGGGTGTCATCATGGGCGAAGGAACCGCCGTAGCTAAAGTTCACTACTCCAGTCTGGGTCAGTCTCCAGTCTGGGCCACTGAACCCGAGCGGCTCTTCGGAAGCACTGTGCTGATCTTGTGACCACGCGCGCAGACCTAATCAAGGCCGATACCCCGCTCAACACCGCCAAGATCTCGCGCATGCTGCACCAACTCGAATTCAAGCTGCACGTCGAACGCCAGTACAAAGAAGGCATCGACAAGATGGCCAAGCTGTACCTCATGGACGGCGATAAGAAGGCGCGCGCCGACACGGAGAACAAGCGCGTCGAGTCGAGGCAGAAGATGGTCCTGCTCAGCCAGGCGCTCAAGAGGTACAAGACCTTGGACGTGATGGGCGAACTCGGCGAGGATGACGATGGTAAGCAAAGGCTGATCTTTTCGTTCGAGGTTGCGAACACATGGCTAAATCTTACTTCGCCGTCCCCGCTCAGGCATCTCGGAAGACGTCAAGAACAACATCCGAAGACCACTCTCGGGTGCCCTGCAGATCACGATCCGTCAAGCCCGCGACCTTGCTCACGCACCGCAACCCAAAAAATCCAAGCACTCGTCTGAAACGGTCATTTACGTCAAGGTCGAGGACACGCCGCGCGCGCGCACGCACCCTTCCAAGACTGATCGATGGAACGAGGACTTTGAAATTCACGTCGACAAGGCCAACGAGGTCGAGGTGACCATCTACGATCGGATCCCCGGTGCCGAGGCGCCGCAGCCGATCGGGATGCTGTGGTTGCGTTTGAGCGACATCGTCGAAGAGTTGAGGAGGAGGAAGACAGGTGCCGAGGCAGGCCCGGGGTGGGTAACCGCCGCAAGGGTCAATGCCCATCCTGGGAGTGGCGGGCATTTGGGTGCTGCGGGGATGGACCAACCCGTTATAGGCGAAGGGTCGGCCGCAAACAGGGCGCTAAGTTATCGAGGCGCAGGGGGTGAATTCGGGCAAGCCGGTGGGGCCGGCGAGGGCATCGATGCTTGGTTCGCTGTCGAGCCCGAAGGTGCTATCATGCTCCATCTCAACTTTGGTCAGTTCTAAGCCGGCAGCTTGTGGACGTGTACCTTCCGACGCTGACGATTGCCCCTCATCTCCACTTTGCTTTGCACAGTCAAATCAAACGTGCGTAAGCGCCCCTACGACGCCGGCGGGCTCGGTCGACAAGGCGCTGTGCGCAAGCGAAAGGAAGAGGTCCACGAACAGAACGGCCATCAATTCGTGCAAAAGCAATTCTACGCCGTCGTGCTGTGCGCGCTCTGCGGCGAGTTCTTGCTCAAGGGTGCGGGGATGCAGTGCGAGGACTGCAAGTACGCGTGCCACAAGAACTGCTACCAGAAAGTTGTGACCAAGTGCATCAGCAAGTCCAACGCCGATTCTGAGAAGGACGAAGAACAGATCAACCACCGCATCCCGCATCGATTCGAACCCATCACCAACATCTCTCCCAACTGGTGCGCGCACTGCGGTCTCGTGCTCCCCCTAGGTCGCAAGCATGCGCGCAAGTGTTCCGAGCCCAACTGTGGTATCACGGCCCATGCCGAATGCGTCCACCTCGTCCCCGATTTCTGCGGCATGTCCATGGTCATGGCCAATCAGTTGTTGAGCGACATCAAAAAGATCAACGACGCCAAATCGGGCGCACGTAGGGCCAACCAAGCCGTCGCTCCTCGACCTGGTCGAGTGGCCGGGACAGGGACCGCTCAGCCTTCGCCTTATGCGCAATCAACGACAACGGTGGGCACGACGCCGGTTCGACGCTCAGAGACCTCGAGTGATGCAGGCTACGGTGCTGGTCTGCCGCCGCAACAACAAGGGTATAGACCGTCCGAAGAGCTGGCGGGAGAGATGGGCCGCGTCAACCTCCAAGGGGGCGCAGCGCCTACTTCGACTTCGCGGCCGCCACAGTCGGCAGGACCGGCCGCGGCGGACTACAGCTCGTATGGTCAACAGCCCATATATGGTGCGGGGGGAATGCAGCAGCAGCAACAGCCGACCGCCTATGGCCAAAACCGAACGAGCGCACAAGCAAGCTCCCCCGTGTCTTCGACGCGTCAAAGCACGAGCTCGACCTCGACGATCGCGAGCTTTGGCAACGATTTGCAAGGTTCGAGTCTCGGGTCGTCGGACCCGATCCGAGGGGCACAACAGTCGTCGCAGCAGAAGCAGTCATACCCCGGTGGTGCATACTCGTCGTCGCAGTACACTTCGACGGCTCCGACGAGCGTGTCGTCGCAACATTCGTTGGGCTCGTACGGTCAACAACAACCTGCGCCCCAACAACCTCAGCCGAACGTAGGCTACGGCGCTCAAAGGGACCAGTACACCGCACCTTCGAGGTACGAGCCGGTGGCGCAATCGCCCTCGGAATACACCTCTTCCTCTTCCTCGCAAATCCCGACCCGCCCCAGCGGTGTTACCACTTCCTCTTCCTCCCAGGCCGCGTCGCAGCAATCTCCGTCGCCGCAGAGTCGTCTTTCCCCTTCCAACTCGGACCCACGTCTCGCGGCGTCCGCACAACAGCAGCCGCAGCAGCAACAAGGCGCACCCAAGACGCCTCAGCAACAGTTGCAGCAGCAGCAGGCCGAGCAATACAAGCACCTACGAGAGCTTGAAGAACGCGAACACCAGAAACAGTTGCAGCAACAGCGCTTGGTGCAGCAGCATCAACTACAGCAGCAACAGGTTCCGCCGCAACAACCTCAAGGAGCGTACGAGGATGCCCAGATGACCCCTGACGTCTCGTCGCTGCCCCCCGTTCCCCCGCAATCGAGCGCTGTGCGCCGTGGTCTTCAGCCGCCCGTCACGATGCCCGCTCCTCTCCCCGTGGCTGCTCCATCGCGCCGCCGTATTGGCCTCGACGATTTCAACTTCCTCGCCGTGCTCGGTAAGGGTAATTTTGGAAAGGTCATGTTGGCCGAGGAAAAGGTTTCGAGCCAATTGTACGCCATCAAGGTGCTCAAGAAGGAGTTCATCATCGAGAATGACGAGGTCGAGTCGTAGGTTGTCATTGCTATTCTGTGCGTGTCGATATTGACACTGACCTCGTTCCGCACCACGCTGTTGCACAGCACCAAGTCGGAGAAACGAGTCTTCCTCGCAGCCGCGCGGGAACGTCACCCCTTCCTACTCGGTCTTCACTCGTGCTTCCAGACCGAGACACGCATATACTTTGTGATGGAGTACATCTCCGGCGGTGACCTCATGCTCCACATCCAGCGCGAGCAATTCACCCCACGTCGAGCGAAGTTCTACGCCGCCGAGGTCCTGCTCGCGTTGGAGTACTTCCACACCCAAGGGATCGTGTACCGCGATCTCAAGTTGGACAACATTTTGTTGACGCTCGATGGGCACATCAAGGTTGCTGATTATGGGTTGTGCAAGGAGGACATGTGGTTTGGCAAGACGACCTCAACGTTCTGTGGAACGCCCGAGTTTATGGCTCCCGAGGTAAGACTGTTCTACCGACCGGTCCTGTTTCTCACCCGGTCTCAAAGTGCTGACTTTGGAGCTTATTCTTGTAGATCATCCTCGAGCAACGCTACGGCCGCGCCGTCGATTGGTGGGCCTTTGGTGTGCTCATCTACGAGATGTTGTTGGGTCAATCGCCCTTCCGAGGTGACGACGAGGACGAGATCTTTGACGCCATCCTCGAGGACGAACCCTTGTACCCCATCCACATGCCCAAGGACTCGGTCTCGATCTTGCAGAAGGTTCGTCCACTTGCAGCTGCTTTGATTGACCACTGAACAAAGATGCTGACCGCTTCATCTTACTTTACCGCTCACAGCTGCTCACACGCGATCCGACCCGACGCTTGGGAGCTGGCGAATCTGATGCGGCCGAGATCAAGGCCCACCTCTTCTTCAAGGACACGAACTGGGACGACATCTTCCACAAGCGTGTCCCTTCGCCCTTCTTCCCCAACATTGTGAGTGTTGGCTTTGCGCACGGTGGAGTTGAGTGAGATGCTGATGCTGATGCTTCTGTTCTGAATTCGATTCGCAAACAGACTTCGGCAACGGATACGAGCAACTTTGACTCGGAGTTCACCAAGGAACAACCGACGTTGACGCCCGTGCATTCGACCTTGTCGGCGCAAGACCAGGGCGAATTCGCCGGCTTCAGTTGGACCGCCGCTTGGTGAGTTCTCTGGGGATCTAGACGACATTTTAGTGTCCTTTGAAGACTGACGCTACTCACGCTGCCGTACCAGGGTTCCGAATTGATTCGGGATTGGCCTCCCGGAATGACCTCTTGCTTTCCTCCTTCTTGCGAGGAACGACACCACCCTTCTCTTCTCCTTTTTGACGGGATATCGACGATTGTTCTGTTTTCTCCGTTTGATGATGTCAAAAAAAAAACTCCTCTTGATCTTTCGGTATTTCTCTACAGCCCCCTGGTCCCGCCCCTCCCGTCTCGACTTTGCCTCCTCTATTCGCTCTTACGTCTGATTTGTTTCCTTTTCCTTTTCCTTAATGGATGCACGAATACCGTATAGAGAGCCTTTCATGATGTATGGCCAAGCGATGAGTGGTAGGGAAGGTTTTTGCCGCGCACTCACTGAGAAGAGCCGTCGATCGAGCCGATCACTGCGCAGTGCCAGGAATAGCTCAGGCCAACACGAGCTTACTTTACAACATGGGTGGCGGTGGTGGTAATGATGGTGGCGTTCGATCGACTCGGTCTTTTACCAATAGTTCCTCTTCATAAGCCGTTCTCATGCCCATTCCATCATCGCGTCATCGGCATCGCCAACGAGGGGGCGACTTTGAAGCAGCGAAGCCGATTCGTCTTCTTTGACCCAATGCCTGCGTGTTTTCCCGCGTCCAACATCAGTAATGCAAGGACCAGGAGTGATGAGAGGTGTTGGATGGAGAAGTGAACCCACCTTCCATCTGAAGACGTCTCGGGTCGCGCATCCGTCAGGCCATAGAAATCAATAAAGTTTATTCGCAGCAGCGGATGCGTCTCCTTGAACGTCGCCAGCGCCCTCCTCGCTAAAATGCCATGATTCCTTAACGGGCGTCTCTTGAAGAAACCATAGCACATGATGCCGGAACTGCATGACGAAGTCGAGAACCAAATGATGTGCGTCGACGGTGGAACGAGCGCGACGACACGTTCCATCAGGACGTTGATGAACCACCTGTAGTTTTTCTCGTCCCACATGGTGAACCAAAGGCCGACATTGATGATTACATAAGTCACGGGTTCCGGGTCCTTGCTTAGGCCGTCGAGGACGTCGGTCCAATCATCCTTGAGGAAGTATTGACTGAAGCGCACGTGGGCTCGATCTGAGGTCTCTATTCCGGTCGACAGGGGATAGTTGAACGACTTTTGGGAATGTTGGTATGTTTTGCAATCCGTCGTCCAGTCACACAGATTCCCGTAGGTCCCGTTGTGCAACGTAGGGTACAAATGCCCGCAAAAGCTCGAGCGGAGGATCGAATCACCGAGGTACGCGACGTGCTTGACGGACGGAATCGTCTCGACGGACGCCCTCACATTCAGTGCGCTGCGTTTGCATCGATAGGGGGCAAAGATGTACGAGTTGAGAGAGGTGTTGATTATCCGTTGTGTTGAAAGAGAATGGGACACGGACAAGGAGATCAAATTCTGCTGCCGTGGCTAGCGGTCGAGAGAGGGGCTAAAACTGACCGTCTCTCTCGAAATGAGTCCTAGCCCAGGACTTCCGGGAGTCCCTCGGGTTGAGATGCTTCAAGCTAATCCATCTGCCCTTGGCAGTGCCTTCATAGTCCGCAGTCGTGCACGCCCTGAACTCGTCGCGTACCTCGGACCGCCTCGATTCCGCGACGTACAGTGGCGTCTGTCCGCTACCTCCAACCGTCCAATGCTTCTCGTTGTCCGGACAGTCCGGCTGCCCGACACTTTCGGGGATGGCCCAGACATCGTAAACGCCTGCTTGTGACGCCGCGTGACGGTGATTTTGGTGCGTCCTGTCGTGACGATGTGGTTGTACAGCGAAGCGATCGAAGGCACGGACTCCGCCACGGGACTGCGGAGGTGAACCGAGTACTGCGGACTGCATTGTCCAGTGCCGATGATGGAAGGCTCGCATTGTATGATGATAATGAAAGATTTACCTGCGACAGCGGTCCAGTTGCCACTTCCTGGGACTTGGATAGTGTAGGAGCCTGCAATGTCCAGGGAAGACAGGAGGTACAGAGTGAATGGTCCGATCGCGAGAGGAAAGCGGGTCCTCTTGGTACTCTCGACATACCCCATTTGACCGATTCCTGATCCAGAAAGCTCTTCCCTGCTGTCTTGATGTACAATTGTGTATCGAGCAAGTCGTACACTGCTCCACAGTACCGTGGTCGTCTATAGCCTCTGAAACCTGTCGAGATAATCATGATGGCCAAAACAATCCACGGCATCGCCGCGGCGGCCTTCACCAACATCGTCTTGTTTGATCTCTTTTCTCGCTTTTCGTAAGTGCGCTGTACTACGTTGGGGGACCCCATCTCCTCGGAAGATCGGTGATACGAAGCTTTCGCCGGAAACAGCGCGATCGATTCCAGATCCTCAGACTCGGCATCGGCATCGTCGTCCGAGTAATGGTCTTCATTTGTGTATTGGTTCATTCTTCTTGCCCAGTTCCGATCAAGTCCGTGTGTAGCTTCCAGCGTTTGTTTGGTTGCTTGCCCAAACTCGGAAATTCGGTCCCACTGCCTTTATGCTCGAGAGCAAAAGGGGAAAGGAACGAAAGGTTCGGATCTGTCAACTCAACAAATGTACGGGAGTTATTCTGGTAGCGAGGTCTCTGCGGCCTACCTGAATCCAGTCTCACAGGCGAGAAAACTTGCTTGGGTCGAGGCTTCGGCATCGGGGCCCCGATGCCGAAGCCTCGACCCGCCAACGACCTCGGAGATGGCTGTCCCGCCGGCGACCGCGGTTGAAGTGGGCGGGGGACTCCACCGCGGACCTCTTGGGACGGCACAGAGCTGCTGGTCTGTGGCGTAGAGATGAACTGATCAGGATCATCTACGCTTTGCAAGTGGGGTACTGCTATCGCTGTACTCGCCTTTGGAGAGCGACCGCCGATCAGTCCTCAACTTGGTGGCAACTTAGGAGCAGCCGGCTTGGAAGGCTCAGAGGCTCGGCTGGGCCGTCGCACGACCAATTCGGAGGTGATACGAATCGACCCTGCTCGAGTTTGCCTTCCGAAGTGATAATGAGTGTTTTGAAGGCGTACTTGCTCGTTCGAAGTAGGAGTGAGAGGCGTGACTCGCGAGACACGCAAGTCGACCTTGGCAGTTGGTCGACTTCAAGCTCGGCGAAGTCGAACCGAATGATCGGCATTCTGCGCGGCGGGTCTCGTCGCTCTCCCAATGCAGGCATGTCGATCACTCGAGTGGATCCAGACCCATCGCCCCAGGCCTGTGCCTCAACGTACAAACACCAACTTCGAGTGACATGTTCACAAGCATTTCTGTCTTTTTCGAGTGTATGACAACAATTTCATGGCCGCTACGTTCAAATTACGAAACATTCGTGATCATCTTTAAGAGTTGACCCTCGCACTCTGGTCGTCCTCGGCTCGAACTCGCCAAATATCCCAAGCCCATTGGAAGAGTGCGTTGTCCGCCGCACCAACCCAAGGTCGCACCTCGTACATCCACGGAATAGGCTGGTCCTCCCTCACCCAGTGTCTGTAAGTGAAACACGCAAGATGTGTCTTGGGGATCAGCAAGCATCGAACGCCACGCACTCCGCCGCATCAAAACTTAGTGCTCACCTCCCATCGGTCGATGTCTCGGGTCTCGCATCCGTTAAACGATAGTAATCGATGAAATCGACCTTGAGCAAGGGGAACCGCTCTCCAAAAATCCCTAGGACTCTCTGAGCCAAGATCCCATGATGCCGCAACCCCCTCCTCTTGAACATATTATAGCACACGATCCCCGGACTGACGGACGGGGTCGAGGCCCAGATGATATGGACCGAAGGCGGGGTGACGGCTTGGACGTAACCCAGTAACTCGGAGACACGTTGCATGTATGCTTCTTCGCCGATGAGGGCGAGCCATAGACCCACGTTCACGATGACGTGCGTGAGGGGGGGAACGCCTGGACTGACGAGGTCGGCTAGCGTGTCTTGCCACTTATCGAACTCGTCCGTGAGGAAGCGCTGGCTGAAGCGGACAACACCTCGATTTGTATCCTTCTTGACGTTGGAAAGAGAGTACTCAAAAGTCTTGGAAGAATAATGATACGTCTTCAGGTCGTCCGAATAGAGGCAGTTCCCTCCAATTTGTCCGTCGTGGAGTGAAGGGTAGAGATGGCCGCAAAAGGACGTGCGCAGGATCGAGTCGCCAATGTAGGCGACATGCTTGACCGAAGGGAGCTCTTCCAGCGATTTTTTTACGTCGAGTCGCGTTTGCTTGCACCGATAGGGGACGTAGATGTATTGATCGGTTGTGGTGAGGTTCGTGTCTGCAGGGGAGACGGTTATGGGTCAGCGGCAGATTCTCAGGAGTTCTCGAGGGAAACGCCGGGTGGATACTTGCCTCGATCCTGCAAGTGACTTTGAAGCCATGGTGTGAGGCGGTACTTGGGATTGATGTGGGGAACACTGATCCACCTGCCGTGTGCCGGGCCCTCATAGTCGACCGCGGTGCACTCTCTAAACCCGTCTGAGACGAGCCGGGAGGATTTTGGAGCTTCGACAACGTGCAATGGCCGTTGTCCACTCCCCTTGACGGTCCAATGCTGATCATTTTCCGAACAATCTGGGTTCCCAATCACTTCCGGGGTGATCCAAATATCGTAAAACCCGGCCTGGATCAACGTGTGTCGGATCTCGGTCGTTCCTGTCTTGAGATCATGTTTGTAGAACGCCGGGTTTGACGGTACGGCTTCGGAGACCGGTCCGCGGAAGTGCACGACGTACTGTGGACTGCACTCTTCTGTGCCGACGATGGACGCGTCGCATTGAACGATGAGGGTGAAGGGTTCCCCGGCCTGGGCTGTCCATGCAACCTCGTCTGTGGGATGATTCAAGGTAAAGGGTCCTGCGTTGAAATAAAAATATTGGCGTTCAGCTCGGCCTCTTTCATGGCAAATTTGAGTATTTAGACAGAGCTCTGCTGCTACTGACCCCAATTGACTTTCCCTCGATCGAGCAAACTCTGTCCAGGGGTCTTGACATACACGGTCGGATCGAGCAAATCGAACACGACCGGCGATGACTTTGCCCACCACCAGTCGCTCGGACCGGACGTTCGAAAGAGCGTGTAGGACGCGTAGAGGAGGTAAAGCATAATCGATGGGACTACCATACGTCTCCATTTACCATGTTTGAACTCGTGGACCCAGCTGTGGGACTGAGGGGAGGTGTTTGGGGCCGCGGGAGGATAGTCATGTGCTGAGTTGTGTTGGGACTCATCGAACCTCGTCCGGTTGAGGGCATCCTCGTCGCCAAAAGCAAACAAGTCGCTTCTCGGATCTTTTCCTTCGTCATCAAGAAAAGGTACGTCTTCCTGTCCCTCTAGATCATCCGTAAGCTTGCCTCGTGCCGTCGGCATGGTGCTCGAGGATTGGAGAACACGCAGAGCACAATCCGACTTGAGGGGTCGGAGGACGAATGAGTCGGCTGGAGCCTAGATACGTGTTAGGAAGTCTCAAGCCCGGTAAGTCTTTGCTGGCGATTGTCCGTCGAGGCAAGAACTAACGATTGATCCGAGGGCAGGTGTAAGAGGTGGTTGTGTGGACCGAATCAGTACGATGAAGGAGGACAGCCTAAATGCCAAGGCGGCGGGATCGGACCTCCCCCGGCACAACCTCGAGCTTGGCTCACGTGCACCTCTCACGTGACCGCGTGACCAGCAGCCGTGTGAGCTCGGGCCTCGGCCTCTATCGGAGATCACCGCCGTGGAGGAACGGCCAAATGCGCGAATCGGACCATCGATTCTGCAGCAAAATCACAACTGCGTACTATGAACTACCACACTAGTCCCACTATACAGGCCATCAAACCTCCCTTTCCTCTTGGTCCCTGACCCTCCATACATCCCATGCCCATTCCAACATGGCATCATCTGCCGACTTGACCAGCGGTCGCATCAAGTTGGTCACCGTTTCGAAATCACTTTCCATCGGCCAGTGTCTGAGCAGCATGAAGACAATGTTGATCATTCAAGACTTCCTCGGGGCATGTTCGGGGGAACGTTCAGCTCACCTTCCATCCGTCGAGGTCTCGGGTCTCGTATCCGTCAAACTGAAGTAATCGACGAAATCGACACGAAACTTCGGCTTCGCCTCTTTGAAATCCTTCAAGACGCGCTGCGCCAAGATTCCATGATCCTTCAAAGTCACTCTCTTGTATGCCTGGAAGCAATTAACCCCGGGGCTGACGGACGGCGTCGAAGGCCAAATAATGCGCAGCGGAACCGACGAATTCGAGGTGTGGAGCATCGACGTGACGAGACGGAGCGCATCGGTGACACGGTCCATGTAGCCCGCTTCGGACCAGGTGACGAACAACATCCCGACGTTGAGCACGAGGTGTGTCACAGGTACGTCCGCACCAAGATCTTCGAGCACTTCGGGCCATGTCGACGTGTCGCCGGTGAGAAAGCTTTGACGCTCGTTCGATTCCCATTGGGCGCTGCAAGGACGTGTTCAAAGGTTTTCGCTGTGTGCCTCGAGCTCTTGGGGTCGTCGGGCGTACAGCCGCCACCGAATGATCGGTTGTGAAGAGAAGGGTAGAGATGACCGCAGAAGGAGGTGCGCAGGATCGAGTCGCCAACATAAGCGACGTGCCGTACCGAAGAGAGCGCTTCGACCGACGCCGCCACGTCGAGTGCTTTCCTCTTGCACCGGTACGGCGCATAGACGTAATCCGCTAGCGAGGTGTTGAGGGCAACTGTGACAAGGAATGTACCGAGGAGCTAGCTGGAGGAAAGAAGCTTGACTCGAGTAACAAGTAGCTGCCATGTGCTCAAATTGCTTACGCAGATGACTGCGCGCCCACGCGGTCCCTTGATACTCCTCTCGGACATGTCTCAAACTGACCCATCTCCCCGGTACCGGACCTTCATAATCTGCGGCATCGCATTCCTTCATCTCGTCCAAAACCGTCGAATCGACGGAGGGCAAGACCTGCAGAGTCGTCTGCCCGCTCCCCTGGACGTACCAGTGCCGATTCTCGTCCGGGCACGAAGGGTGGTTCGGATCGCCCCTGACCGCCTCGGGTAGAATCCATAGATCATACACGCCGGCTTGGGTTACGGTGACGTTGATTTGGGTCCTTCCGCGTGCAGAGTCGTGTTGGTACAGGCTCGGGATCGAAGACACGGCTTCGGCGACGGGGCCACGGAGGTAGATGATGTATTGGGGCGCACAGGCGGGCTTCCCGACGACGTCGGCGTCGCATTGGACCACGACGGGAAAGACGTGACCGGCTTTGACGGTTCACTTTGTTCCTTCGGGCACGATCAAGCTATACGGACCTATCAAAGGTGGGGATCGCGGGTGCGTGAGCGATTCCACTGAGGTCGGGGCAGTGTTCTACCATTCACTGGTCAACTCACCCCATTCGACGTGGTTTTGATCCAAGAGGCTCGCACCACCCGCTTTGACGTACAAATACGGATCCAGGAGGTCGAGGATGACCTCTCGCGGCGGATGTAGTGGTGGAGGAGCGGAGAAGAAATCGAGTGCTGCACGTTCAAGGCTTGGCGAAAGCAGCCACCAAAGCAAGAGGAGGGTCAGGGTCAAAGCCACAGGCCCGCGCAGGACCAGGCCAGTCGAGCTTGTTCGAAGGCGATTGATAATATATGATGACGACTGTTCGCTTCTTCGAGGTCGTAGTCGGTGCGCAAGGACAATATCTTGGAGGGCGGGTACGAGTCTGGGCGAGGGTTCAGAGCCGTCGATTCGGAGCAAAATTCGGCTTCGGCTTCGGCTTCGGCTTCGTCCTCTTCGCCGGAGTCTTGTTCGTTGCATCCATGTTCGGGGTTGCGTTCGAAGCGGATTTCCATTCGAGCCCGAGAAGAGAAAGCAAAACCGAGCTCGGACTGAAGTAGTCGGCGACCGGCGATCGCTCCACGGCCTGCGAGCGAAGGCCGGACTCCGAGTCTTTCTTGTGAGCTGCGTTGTAGGGCGCGCCAGCGTTCGAGTCTGGTCTCGAAAGTCAGCTCCACGACGAGACTTTCGGACTCATTATCGAGTGGACTCACCTCGTAGTTTGCGGTGGGATCTGAAGTTCCGAGGGCTCCAACTTGAAGCTGACAGTTACTAGTGGGTTCTGATCGGGTCCCGGTGCAGCGGATGGCAGGAGCGGGAACCCTCAAATTTCCATCGCCGGGAAGCGCGCCGATCAAATGTGGGGGGACATTCTGTAATACGGCAATTAGCGCAACAAATAATCCCCAGCGGTTGGTCTAGGCCCGTGCCTCTCTCCCCCACACAAGAGCGGAACGTCGAGCGTACAAGTCGCACCGTGCACGTGACCAACGAGGGGCGCGGTCAAGGGAGGACCTACCTATAGCACACCCATAGCATGTCCAACAAGACTGCCACACCGGTGCCTTCGAGCTCTCTCGGGTCATTCAACCATGGCAACGGCAACGGCAACGGCAACGGTCTCGCTGCCTCGGGCTCGACCCCCGCCGCCTCGACCTCGACCTCGACCTCGACCTCGAACCCGAATCACGCCAACAACACCGCAGGGGCCCATGCGAAGGGCAACGGCAGCAACACCTCGTCGTCACAAGCACCCGATCCGGTCAAACGAAGCGCCGTGCCCGTCGTGCTCATTATCGACCCTTCAATCAGGTCCATAGCCCAGCCCTACACCTCGCTCGTAATATCGTACGTTCCCTTTTGACATGGAACGATCAACCTACAACTGATCAAACTCCTCCTCTCTACACCTACAGCACACTACAGCTGTTACATCCGACCGCTCAGGTACGTCTTACTCGGGTCTCGCACCCACCTCCTTTGCGCGTTCCTCTGCCCATCATCAGCCAGCTGACCCCGGCTCGACTCCGCTCCGCAGCTGCTCGTCACCGCCCTGCAACCCGGATCCTACCCTGCGACGATCCACCCTCTCCAACCTCCGGCTGCCTTTCTCGCATCGCTCCCTTCGATCGTCAAGCGCCCCGCACGACCGTCGCACGCGACCTCGCTGTGGCGCTCGCCTGGATCGCACCTTCTCCACGCGATACACACCGCGCGCAAGCTCATCCAGGCCCAGATCGTCGGCTCGTCGACGGTCAAGACCCAGCTGCCGCGCTACATCGTTGTCATCACCGCGACCGACCTCTACAACAACGGCGAAGGCGATGAGCTCTGGCTCGATGACGATGCCGACGAGCTCGAATCGTGGGAGTCGGTCGGGAAAACCTTTACCAAGGACCCGCATGCCACGACCCTCTTGTCCGTCATCACCCTCGGCAATACCCCCAACCTCGAGGCCTTTTGGAAGATTGTGCGTTATTTCTTCCGTCGAGAGCAGAGCGGAGACGGTATGGGAGCGATCGTGGACTGACCACCCGAAGATTTCCTTCTGTTGACTCGTCTAGTCTTCGAGTCGCTTCCCTCCGGGCTTGATCTACAACTCGACCGTTCCTTCTCCTGCGGTACCCTTCACCTTTCCACTCTACGCACCGGGGCATGCGTGCTTCCTGCTCGGGTTCTACAACGCCCGATCGGCGGCGGCATCGAATGCGGCCCTGCCCAGCAGTGGACCTCCGACGCCGCAGACCGTCTCAACCCCGAACGCGGCCTTGAACAAGCGACCCGCAGAGTCTTCTACCACAACGTCTGCGGCCACGAACCTGACAACTGGCAACACGGGCTCGGCAACGAACAAAAAGATCAAACCCAACCCCAACCCGTCCCTGAGTTCGCCCGCGCCCGCGCCCGCCCCCTTTGCAACGACGCAGTCCAACGCCACCACGGCCGCGAACCCCGTCAAGACGAATCCGGCGACGGCGAATAATGCTTCGTTGGTCCCCTTGTCGCTTCCCCCAGGTCTGTCGGCTGAAGCGATTCAAGCGTACGTCGCTGAATTGCGAGCGATCGCGGTGCGCAACTCGACGGCCCCACCGACGCTCGCCGACGTCCAGGCCATGGTCAACTCCTACGCCGCACAACAACAGCAGCAACAGCAGCAACAGCAGCAACAACAATCACAACAACAGCAGCAGACGTCTGCGCAGTCGGCTGCGGCGGGGTCATTTATGACGGTGTCCGCAGCGCCGGGCGGGCGATCGGTACCGGCACCAGCACCCGACCCGACACCACAGCGAATGCAAGCGCAGGTTCAGCAAATGCGCCAGCAGCAACAGCAACAGCAACGAAACCACACGGGTGCCGGGACGACGTCGTTGTTGGGGATCACCAGCGTGTCCGAGCTCACGCAGGCGCAAATGCAGAGCCTGCCGAGCATCCCCGAGGACATGAGGAGCAAGATCGAGGCGCACCTCAACCTCATCCGCGAGCAGGTCCGCGGCCGCAAGTTGACCGAGGAGGAAGGGCATGCGAGGATCCGCAAGTTGCAGGAGTTGGCCAACAGGTTCGTGCACAACCGCGTTCGGACAGACGGTGGCTAGGAACTGATGTCCTCGTTGTTTTCATTTCCCATCAGTTCGCGGCTCCACGCGGCTCAGCAAGCCGAAAGAGAGAGACTGTCATCGCAAGGCAGCAGCGCTCTGGTCCAACAACAGCAAGCCGCCGCCATCGCCGCCGCGGCCGCACGAGGCCGTGGGCCACCACCGGCCAACACCTCTTCGCAGCTACCAACGTCGCAGGGTCCCTCCCAGGCCCCAGTGGCCTCAACGTCGACGACGAACTATGGCCAACCACCCGGAGCGAACGCTTACCCCGCTTCCTCCCCTGCGCTTCCGGGGGGACCATCGACGGCGACCGCGCAGGCTCCGACGCCAAATGTTGTCCCGGCCTCGCCGAGAACGGTGTGGAAGGGCGGCATCTCGTGGGCGTTGAACGAAGGCAGCGGCAACAAGCAGGATTTCACCATGTACTGCGCCATGACACCCATGACACCCGCTTCGGTGCAGGAGCTGTACGTCATAGTTTGTGGCTTCCCTGTTGGCGAACGATGAGGCTGATAGCCCGAGAGTTTACGACTCTTTCTCTTCATCCACCAGAGCCGATATTAAACTGTCGCAACAGATCCGCATCTCAAACCTCGCATCGATCGAATTGTCGACGTTGCAAGGGTTGGCGGGCAAGCATCGGTTGGCAACGGCGAGCTTATTGGCCTTGCCGAACGATAGCCTCCCACCCGAGTTGCGCGACAAGCAGATGGCGATGGGGACCGATAACGAGCGGTTGTACACCATGTTTGCGCAGAGCATGGAACAGCGTGCCCAGGTAAGCCGTTCGTCGTCTCTTCGAGTCGGGTCCGAGGGGGCTCCCAGTCGCTAAACGCTCCCGCTCTTGTCTTCTTGCGTTCGTAGTGCGGCATCATCCGGTTCGGTCAACTCAACCAAGGCTTGGTCATGGTTGCCGTGCCCAAGCAACTCAAGTTTATTGCCATCGTCTTCACGCGTGTGCCTCTGCTCGATGAATGGATCAATCCGCCTCCGACGGGGGCGACAACGTCGAAGACTTCTCCGCAAGTATCGAGACCTCTACCGATTGTACCGACGAATGCAGCTCAGCTCCAAGTGCAGCAACAACAGCAGCAGCAGCAGCAGCAGCAGTTCCAGCAACAGCAACATATTCTACAACAACAGCAGCTGCAACAACTGCAGCAGCAAAAGCAGCAGCAACAGCAGCAGCAACAAGCACAGGCGGGGATGTTCGCCACGTCGCAATTCAACATCAACCAGTTCTTGGCTGCGCAACAACAACAGCAACATCAGATGTACGGCGTACCTTCATCAGGGGGTTCGATGGCGATGCCCCAGCAGGGACAGCTCTCGGCGAGCGAATTCGCCGAGTTGCAGAGGTTGTTGGGTGGTGCTGCGGGAGGCTCGGGGTCGGGATGAAGAGGCACGGGCCCCCAGTTGCAGTTGAGGGACCTCCGGACTGGGGGTTGATTTATTGTGGCGGGTGTTGTAATTCGTACTTGGAATGTGCAAAGGTCTGATCGAAACCCCTATAAGGACATGCAGCCGGCTTTGGAGTGCTGCCCTTGCTCAATAGAAAGGAAAGGCTTTGCTGCGCATCGCGATCGTTGATAATAGGTCTCGCAGAACCCCCATGTGATGGGTCTCAAATAAAATCACATCAGTGGGCTTGAGGACGTAGTGGGCGAAGTGTCCTGCAACTTGAACGCTCTCGCAAGAGGTCATCGATGCCAAAGAGCGCGAACAGAATTCGTTCTCGGAGACCCCCAGCCGCCGGAGTCACCGAGCTTCCGAGACCCGCATTCGGGAGCAGTGTGAGGGCGATTGCCGACAAGGGAGTGTGTATTTGTTCAGTTCGGGAGGATGGAGCAAGATTAGAGACCCCTTACAAAGCCGCTCGAGGGCCCTGCAGGACTCGTTTGCTGGAAGGGCGACGTCGACCAGCGCCCCCCAACTAGAAAAACACTCCCCGGAGAGCAATCCGGCGATCCACTGCTTAGGTCTTGGACGAAACAGGCCAGTATCAGTTAGGATTAATGCCATGACACGGCGCAAGGCGAACAGACGCCGGGGTCAACACATTGAGGGCCCGCGCTCCAGCGATGAATCCTCGCGACGTATCCGATCGGCGAGGCTGAGATGCTGGAACGGCGCGGCCTTGTTGAACGCGAGGGAATGCAGCTCGAATAGACCATGACCTTACTGGACTGTACCTCCCCGAGCGATCTGTTACTGCACATAAGCGCCCTGTAGATCGAAGAACGGGTTGAGCTTGGGGTACGGTGTCACTGCGGAATTGCCACTGCATCCCGGATTCATCCGGTCGGCCTGGGAAGACGGATGCACTTGCACGTCGGATGCGGTACCACCAGTGCCAATGCCCCCATTCGAGTAGGAACGTTTGTTCTTGGTGAAGGAATGCGAGCTAATTGTACACTTGTCCAGAAGTCTAGCTGCTTCTACACATTGAGACTCGGTCTAGACTCTAGACGCTCACAGACGACAGCTGAGGCTTCAACTTGTGGTGCGAGCGAGTTCGCCCAGCAAGTCAGCAGGCCCCTTTCTCCCTCTCGCCGCCCAGTCATCCATCGTTGCCTCTGCGCCTCTCCCTGTCCGTGTTCTCCCGTGTAGTTCCCGCGCCCCCCAACTTTCTCGTTGTCGCGATGTAAGCATCCCTTCGTACATCACCGAGTTGGATCATGAAGCTGACCTTTGGTTTCGTTCACTCGCCCACGCTCCCAACGGGTCTCACATCGCAATCGACGACGACGCGCGCCAGGCCGGCGTTGAACTATGCGCAGAACGAACGAGCGCTCTGTTTCCATGGACCGTTGATCTATGAGTGCAAGGTCAGGCAAACAACCGATGCGCAGGCCCAGGATCACGCATGTTCCGTGTACAAAGACATAATTGTACCGGTTCGCTGACCCACCCACGCTGGCCGCGATGCTGCTCGACCCGGTCTCGTCGTGCAGGTGCTCGAAGCTGAGGTGTGGCCCAAGGACCATCCATCGGGCGAGAGTGGTCCGCATTTCCGGGTTCACTACAAAGGCTGGAAGAACTCGTAAGCTTCGTCATCGCAGAGACCCTTACTGCCGCCCCCCCCCCCCCCCCCCCCCCCCCACTCAGGTCCCATACGGCGCGGCGATCACGCCTACCAACTCCGCGGCGACGGACCGATCGATGTACGCTGACCTCCTCTTCATCTGGGGTATGGGTGTCTTGATTCACAGATGGGACGAATGGGTTCCCGAAGATCGACTCAAAAAGTACAACGAGGAAAACATTCGCAAGCAAAAGGCGTTGATCGAGGCGCAGAGGACGCGCGACGCCGCCGAGCGTGAACACCAGCGTCAGACCTATGCCGCCGAACAAGAGGCCAACAAACGAGGTGCTGTGGCGGCTGCGGCTGGAGGAAGTGGTGGCGGTGCAGCTGAAGGTGCGGCTGGTGCGGGGGCAACGAACGGCAGTGGTGCGGCGAGTGCTCCTTCGTCCTCGACGGGCGCGGCGACGGGAGCAGTGGCGGCGGGGGTCGCACCGGCCTCGAGTGGGGCCAACGGTGCGGCTGCCTCATCTTCTACAGCACCAGCGGCTGGTGGTCGCAACGAGGCGGCCAAGCAGCGGGGTCAGAAGAGGACGCGGGATGGCGAAGGCGAGGACGAGTACGTCAAGCGTCCCGAGATCAAGATCGTCATCCCCGACAGCCTCAAAACTCAGCTCGTCGACGACTGGGAAGCCGTCACCAAGAACCATACGGTCAGTACCCTTTTCGCTTGGCGGTAATTTATGCGGTGCCCGACGGAGCGGTGAGGTTGGTGGACGGGACTGAATGAGCGGCTGACACCCCAGCCACACTTTCTTCGGTCGTTAGCTTGTACCATTGCCGAGGGTACCGAACGTCGATACCATCCTCGACGAGTGGAACAAGTACTTGCAGAATGAGGATCCGGATCGCCGTCGGTACGTGATGCTGAGCTGTAGGCGCAATCCTGTTCCCCCAGGAGAACCGCGACTGACCGACTACCTTCACTGCGCAGTCTCGCCGCCGAAGTCGCCGCCGGACTAGGGATGTACTTCAACAAGGCGTTGGGAAACAACCTCTTGTACAAGTTCGAGCGAGGGCAGTACGCCGAACAACTGGCCAATCTGCCGGCGGGGCGTCAAATGAGTTCCATCTATGGCGCTGAGCACCTATTGAGGCTCTTTGGTGAGCCTTCACCAACATCCCGCTCATGAATCGCGGATGGGCCGGTCCGATTCTGATCTTTCTTTTTCACGGATCGCTTTCTTCCATATCGCCACCACAGTCAACCTGCCCGAATTGCTGGCGCACACGACGATGGACCCCGAATCGGCGCTCGTGCTCAAGGAGAATATGGCCCAATTCCTGTGGTGCGTCAGGACGAACTTTACGGGTGCATACCACCTCTCGAACCCCTTGATCACTAATACGCGACATGTTCCTTCGTCTTTCCCTCCCCGTAGCTGGCTCGACCTGAACAAACAAATCCTGTTCGCCAAAGAATACACAGCGACCTCGTCGGGTTACCAAAACAATCACCGTTGACGCATCCACTCTTTCTTCGCACCCCCCCCCATCCGTGTTTTCTCTGTCTCTTTTTTTCACCCCCCCCCCCCCCCCCCTATCGAGATCGACTCTCCTCTTCAATCTTTTGCATGTAATACATTGTGATATTTTTCTTCCCCCCCAAGATCGTAGCCTGCCTACAGACTGACCCGAGGATTGGTTAACCAATCGACCGAGGGGTCGGCGAGATGATCGTCGAAATCGCCGATGAGGGTCGAGTCCCCCTGTTGGACGCGGGTCAGGGTCGTGGATAGGATGCTGGGATCGGATAAGGTCAAGGAGGAGGAGGAGGATGGGGGAGAGGGGTGTAGGATTTGGAGGAGGGGGAATAGGTGTGAGCCTGTTGGTCGGGAAGAGGGATAGAGGAAGAGAGTTAGGGTTTTTTTTTAAGTGAGGGTGAGGGGGTGTTGGGTTTCGAAGCTCGAAGCCCGGAAAGAGGTGAAGGACTGACGAGAAGCGGTAGTTGGGTCGTCGAGTCCAAGCGTTCGTTGTCGACCTGTGCAAGTGCCAGAGGAGAGAATCGTTCAGAGAACTCGTCTCGGACGAATCTGCGCTCGAGCATCGAGAACTGACGACGAGGACGACGGCGGACGAGAAGCGTGACCTCAACTTGTCGGCGACGAGTTGCAAGGTCGGTGGGATCGAGAGGTCCGAGAGACGCGAGTTGGCGAGGTAGAGACCGACAAAGGTCGTTTCGGTTCGCTTGGATTGGAGATGGAGGTCGGCCTGGGTGATGGGGTGATGGAAAGGGGGGGGGGGGGGGGGGGATGTTGAAGGAGATGTGGGGTGAGCTTCGAGTTAGGGGAGGGAAGGGATTCACGGCGAGGAAGGAGGGGCAGCTTACGATTTGGAGAGCGGCTTCCATCATGGGGGAGAGGGTTGTCCATTGGTGCAAGAGAGGGATGATATCGGTTATTGTGGTGAGCGCGGACGAGGTGGAGGACGAGGTGGAGGACGAGGTGGAGGACGAGGTGGACCCGACCAGGAGACCACAGACCGAGCAGGACGTGTACTTTGAAGCGTGCAGCACCAGCTTGACGTACGCGAGGGGGGAGAGCGTGTACGAGGTCGAGGTCGAGGTCGAGGAGCCTGCGGAAGGGGCCACGGTTGAAGGAGCCATGGTGTGTGGTTGATGATACGAGAAGGCGGATGAGCTGGCGAGTAGCTGGCGTCCAGTTGCGCTCGGACTTGTCCCTCCGCGCGGTGCCTCGCGGTGCCTCGCGGTGCTCTGCGGTGCTCCGGCCTCGCTCGCTCTCCCACCAACCCCGCGACCTGCCAGCTGCTGACCGTTCCCCGCTCCCATCACCCAGCCAGCGATCAGTGAGCCGAAGCTGTCGAGAGCTCGAGATCCGGCACAGCACGCTGAACGTATTCCACTCTGCCAGTGTCGTCGGCGTTTATGCAATGGGCAAAGTGAGCCGACCGAGCCGACCGAGCCGAGCTGATGCCCCCCCCCCCCAATCATGGATTATCCAACCTCAACCTGTCGCGAGCGGAGCTGACTCCCGTGTACTCTACCCGCCCACGCGTCTCTCCCAGATCGCCCGAGGCTCGCAAATACTTTTTTTCGACCCATTTCTGGGGGTCAGTCATCTGGTCCAACGTCCTCTAGGTCGGGTTGCAAGACCGGGACCGAGCTCGTCGCTCGTCGCTCGTCGCTCGCGCCTCAGTCTCGCTCGGCTCGGCCTGGCGTCGAAGCAACTCCCCGCTTCGACGATCACTGACTTCCTGCTTTCTTGAAAATAGCCCATTGGCCAACTGGGGCCTCCCCCTCGCCGCCTTGGCTGATCTGAGCGGCAAGGACCCCGAGTTCATCTCTGGCCCCATGACCGTCGCTCTAACGTCCTATTCGCAAGTGCCCCGCTCCCCTCTTGTGCATTCGAACGCGTCGAGTGCTAACTGCCTTTTGTACCCTTTGCCTCTCAACAGGATGGTGTTTATGCGATTCGGTACGTCGACGGGCGTCATGTGATCGTAGTATGTGTCGCTTATCCTTTCGTGTCCTTTTTGCCCCGACAGCCTGGAGAGTTCAGCCGAGAAATGTCAGTCCACTCGACAATCGATGCGAACTTCTCTTGGAGTACTGAACCTTTCCGTTTCCAACATAATCGCTAGTACCTCTTGTTCGCATGCGTAAGCCCAGGCAGCTAAACCATTGGAAGCACGCCAAGATGGGAAGAGGCCCTGATCCCAAACTCGGCCTTGTACACCTCGCACTTCGATGCTCTTCGCATTCCTCTCTACAGCACGCAACCAACGCAACAGCACAACTGGCTCAAGGCTTCCGATTCGTCAAATGTACGTGTTCAGAGTTGAATCGAGCGAACAAAATCCGGATAATCGGGACTGACCGAAATCACATCTTCGTTCATCTTCTGAACCACCGCAGACCACTGTCAGTAGTTGCCCTTTTCAGCGTGTCGAGGGGACCCCAGACGCTTGCACAATCGAGTAGTCGAGCACGGGGACCGATGGGATGCTAACCTCTTTGTCACCTCTTAGACTCGGGTGAAAAATCCCCCGTCGTCGAAGCCGCCAAGGATGCCGTCGGAAAATGAACAACAAAAGCGGACGACAGACGACATTTGTATGCTACGCCAAGGAGCCGCCTCTCTCTTTCTGTTTGGTCGGGTCGGTAACTTCTCTCTTCCCGCACACTTTTTGTAGACCGCTCTTCACTTTGTTTCACCCTTTCAGTTTCCTCCTCCTGGCTCTGGTAATTTCTGGACCGGCTCTTCTGCCTCGATTTGAGAAATGATGATGTATACACAAACCTAAACCAAGCTAAGGCAGGCGACGGACGGCAAAGACAAAGGTAGGGGGGCATGGCGCGATGGCGAGTACGTCGCCCCTTTCCCCGGGCCCAGGCCGCTCCGGACTTTCCCGACAGAGACCAGTCACAAAGTCTGGCCCCCAAGGCCTGAAGCTCCGAGCGCTTGTCTTGGACACGGAAAGAGTACCTGTATGTTCAAAATCTTCGTTCCCAGGTTACAAGACTTTGATTGCATGGTGCAAAATCAGCAGTACCGATGCTGAGAGCATACAGGCAGTCCGAGGCCTTCCGAGGCTCTGTTCCCAAAAGGCGACGCGGGCCCGGTACGTGGATGTTTCACAGCCATGTCTCACCCGCTGAAATGGGAAAATTGGAGCTTGCTGTAGTGTCCAACCGAGGCTCAGATTTGCTGATGAAAGGGTGCGAAATATAATCTAAAGCCCAAGACCAATGCAGTTCGACGCTCTGCAAGCAGGGTCTTGGTTATGCGCCATCATCATTCATAGCGAAGGACGACCTTGCGATCGCCGCCCTGCCGATCAGTGACGTTGCGTGTGGGGTCACACTGCCTCGTCTCTCCCTTTCACACTCCGAGCACTGCCAGGGACGCCGCCACGCCCACGCTCACCCCTCTCGTCGTCGTCGCAGCGTTCGGACTCTAGGGGACCCATCGATATGCCCCTCGACTTTCGCTTGCTTCTTATCCTCGCCGCCCTCGGCGCGCTCTACTTGTTGCCCTCTGATGTGTCGGCCGACTTCACCGATACGAGCGAGGGCCCCGGCGAGGAATTGGCGGGCTCCGAATCTGGATCCAAATCGGAGATGGCCGCGCGAAAGGCTTATACACCCACGACGTTCTTGCCCGGCCAGGTCATCGAGCCCGTCTACAACTCGAGTCTGACGGTGGGTAAGCGGTTTCGGTACAGCTACTTGCCGCTCTACGATTCGACGGAGTACATCTCCGTCACGCTCGCGGTGCAGCATCGTCGCGAAGAGGCTCGAGCGACTGCCGGCGAGGGGTTCACCAACTATACCGTAAGGCACTCCTTCGAACGGATCTGCACGACCGAGTGCCGCTCGTAAAGGTCTCTTTGCTAATCCTTGCCCTCGTCTGCATGTCTACTGCCTCCACCACCACAGTTGACGAGCTCTCTCGCGCGAGATGCATCGGACACCGGTAGCGGCGGCAGATTGCAGAGCTGGTTCTTGGTCCCCCAAAACGCCTTGCCGAGCGATGATGGGACTTACTTCTCCTTCGTGAGTAGATTTCTTTGCGGACACCTACACAAAGGAAACGCAGGCTGACGAGAATTTGTCCACCTTGTCTCTATGGGGACAGATCGAGACGGTCGAACATCAAGACACCCAAGACTCGTCCAAGTCGAGCCACGACGATCGGCTCCACAATTACTTGGTCGAGGTCAAGCTGGTTCGGTAGCACTGGGGTTGGTTCTCGAGGGTTGTTTCGGGGTTCATAAGTAGTTGTTCAAAATTTAGTGACGGTGTATCTCGGGGTAAAATAGATGTCGGTATAACTTCTTGCTCTCCCCTTAGAAGTAATGCGACTTGTACGATCCAGCCAGATCTGGCCTCTTCACACTCAGCTGTGGCGGCGCAACATTAGTTCCGACGTTTTCTGTCAAGGGTGGGTCAGTATTGCGTTCTACCTCTACCTGGCAACACAGACCCGTGGGGAGGCAGGTGCGCGCTCTTTCACGAAGGTTCTAACTTCTTGCCAATTTCCCTCAACGGAAGCCTCGCCGCTGTGGCAGGGGAACGGCTCTGACAGCGCATACAGTCAGTCAAGCTACCGCCGGCCTGGCCCCAGAGTCAGACGAGTCGCGCCTTACGCCATCCCAGCATCGCGGCGCGCACCGCCCCTCTCCTTTGGCCCCAAACTTTGTCGCGCTAGCGCCTGCAACGGGCCGGCAGGCGGCGGCACCACCTTGCGGCCCTATTGCTTCATGACCTAATCACTCTAGCCGAGGTGCTCATCCCCTTTCGTCAAGGTATGGTGTTCACAGGGACTAGCACGTTGAGTCAGGATGTTGGAGTATTCCAACGTGATATAGTAGGCTTTCACGTTCCCCTGCTCGGGCTGTGCACATTTTTTGTCTATTTGGCGGGCTCTCCCGGCGCGACACGTCGTCAGTGAAAGGGGTCAATGACCGCACCGGTCGGGGTTGGGCTCGCCCAATATCTCCGATCTTCTCGGGGGTGCGCTAGCTAGCGGCATACGCAATGCGCCGGACCGTTGGAGTTCTTTTTCCCCTCCTCCGCATCACTTGCCTTTGACCCAGCTGTCATTCAGCCCTACTACTGTCTTACCTACCACCACGATGATGTACTTTCAACTCGCGACCGGCCTCGTCCTCTCGACACTCGGGATGCTCTCGACGACGACGTCGTCATCATCGTCGCTCGTCGCCGCCGTGCCAGTCGCGCCCGTGGTCGCTCCCCGCGCCGCCGCTCTCACCTCTCGCAATTTCGGAGCCCCACCCTCGCACGGTCAGATCCTCTCCCCTTCACCGAACGCGACCCTGACCGTCGGTCAAGCGTTCAACTTTACCTACTCGACGTGGAACAATACGATCGCGGGGGTCGTGTATGACGCGACGCAGTACGTTCGTGTGAACCTCGTCACGTACGAAGGGAGGGAACCTCAAGGCGCGGACGAACCCGAGAGTAGTTACAATGTGAGTTTTATTTGCGTCGAAAAAAAAGGGGGGGTTCGGTAAACAAAGTACTATGGTGGCTCATTTTCGTCCTCGCGTTGCATTGGATCCAGTTAACGAGCTACCTCGCGCCCGATCCGTCCGTCGGCAACGGTGCGCCCCTCTCGGTCTTTTTCCACATCCCTCAAAACGCGATTCCAGCCAACAGGACCGATACCCAATATTTCACCTACGTGAGTCGTCCTTACCTCCCTGTTCTTCACACTCGACAAAACTTATAGCCTTTTTTCTCCTCGATGCAGCTCGAAACGGCGGAATACCAAGTCGGGTCAGCGACTTGGAACGCCGATCGCAGTCCTTACCTTTCCTCGGTCAAAATCAAGTTGACCCCCTGAGATCGTATGCGATGGCGTGGATGGATCTAGTCTTCACCTCCCTCTTATGATCTTTTGTGTATCACTGTTTACATTCAAACCCCTTACCCGGATCTTTGTGTAGCTTATATAACTCGCGGTTTCGGTAATTGACACTTGAACATGGACTTGCGAAAGCGCGAGGATCAGCCATTGCGGTGAGGTCAAGTGATGTGGGGTCTTCTAGCCGTTCGTCGAGTTCGTCGTCGCATTGGCTTCAAGCAGGATGCCCGACATGTGTTCCATCCACCACCGACGAGCCCTCTAACACTACTGATTATGATGGTGACGAGTTCTTTTTCTCGTTGCAAACCAAAAAAAAAGAGACAGCCTAGTCAACTCCTGCCATCCTTCAACACTTCCCACAACACCCGTCCCAAGCACGAATCCAAAAACGATCCCCAGAATCTCAATCTCCCTCCTTGTCTTTCTCCCCGTCCCTTTTTTGGGGGTTGTGAATGCGTAGGAATGGTCGGAGATCCGGAGGAAAGGAGGGTAGATCGATGGTTCTGTATCGCGCGTTTAGATGACGGTCGAGGCGTTGGAAGCGATCTGTGAAGGCGAATAGGTGGGATGAGTATCGTGTGACCTCGTGATTTTGCGTTCGAAAGAGATGGACTTACACGGGGCCACAGGTCGGCGCACTCCTTGGCGACCGGACCAGCGATGGCCGAACCCTTCATCTCACCCTTGGGGTTGACTGCAAACGAACGGACGCAAGACGAGAATGAGCATCCCGTCCTTCACTCCCGCTTTCACTCCTCCAAAACTCGAGACTGACCAATAACACCGGCGTTGTCCTCGAAGTAGAGGAAGACACCGTCGCGACGGCGCCATGCCTTGCGTTGACGGACGACGATGGCGGGGTGGACCTTCTTTCGGAGATCGGGCTTACCCTTCTTGACGGTAGCCATGACCATGTCTGCATGAATTAATGCGAGGGGAGATGGCGAGTTTCTCTGCGTCAAGATGCGAATCGAGTTGGGGCCGACAGCTGGAATGGGTGCTTACCTCCGGCGGAGGCGGCGGGAAGTCGGTTAAGACGGGCACCGAATCGAGCGACGGAGATGACCTGGTGATGTAAGAGGATGAGGTAAGGGTCAGAACATCGTCGCGGGCAGTGGTGTGGTCCCATCATGTCCTGCAGCTGCTCAAGTCCCCGTCCTCCGCTAGCCCATCCCTCGCCGTATGTTTCCTTCCACGCGACTGTCATACCTCCCCAGCGTACGATGGATGTATACTCACGTAAAGGTTTTTGGCGCCCGAGTTGTCGGCGCAGTTCATGACGGCTCCGACGGGCAAGGCCAGGGTCATGCGGAACTTGTTACCGGCCGATCCACCGCGTCCTCGTCCAGATCCCATTGTGGCTGATTAAAGATTAAGGTCGGGGGGTGAAGAAAAGGGGGTGAAGAGTGGAGAGCTGGTTGTCGAGAGGCGGATGACTGTTGGTAGAGGGACACGGGAAGGACGCAATGCGAGGGTCAGTTGTGCACTCGGGGGACGGTGCGATCGAGTGGTGTGGTGCGAGTCGTAGGAGGGACGTTGACGATGGTCCAGGGGTGTAGGTGATGATTTGGGTGCAGCGTGTGACTCTTGCGGCGATGAAGGGTGTGGTGTGCAGGCGTATGGGCCGTCGTCGTCGTCGTCGTCGTCGTCGTCGTCGTCTCCGCGCCTGATGGAAAAAAAGCGTCGTCGCGCGGGTGGGCGATTGCAGGCGTGCAGCGAAGGCGGCGGCAGGCGGTCAGGCGGACAGGCGGACAGGCAGCAGGCGGGAGGCGGGCAGTACAACGCAATCATCGTCCGAGGTCGAGCAGGCCCCCAACAACGTCTCCCAGAGTTGGTCAACTTACGGGCGAGTGGGTGTGGTGAGCGGTCGACAATGCTGTAGGAGACCAGGTCGTTTCAGCAGCTGCCGGAGGTGCTTGACTCTTGGGTTCCACCCGCCGCAGCCAGCCGCAGCCCGCCGCCCAGTCTCGCCCAGTCACGAGCAGTCACGCGGCCTCACGCGGCCGGCCTGGCAATTTTGGCCGGTGGCGAGCGGTGGAGAGGCGAGCCTATGAGCTCGGACCCATTCGTACGCCGCCCTTGGCAACGCTCGGATTTCCCCCACTCGCTCGGCTCTCTGAGGCCCAGCTCTGGATCACTTTCGCACCTTTGCCTTTGGCCTAGGCCCCCCAGCTTTCACCAGACAATCATCCTTCAAACCGCGCTCTCTCGCCACCATGTCAGCCCACCGCTCGGCCTCACCGGCTAGATCGGATGCCTCGGGCAGTTCCTCCGCCGATTTCGACTTTGACTTTATGCAAGGCAAGTTGCAATTCTTATCGAGCTCATTTTCCTTCATTCTACTCACCCAAGCCTGAGATGGGTTGGGCACAGAACCCGAATCGTTCCGACCCAAGACACCCCCTCCAACGACGGCAACTTATACCCGCCGAGCGCTCGGAGGTCATGGACCCTTACAAGGGCCCGAGGAGGTTCAGGTTCGACTCGTTGGCGGGCATCCGCTATGGGGTACGTGCTAAGCAGGCGGCTTGTGGACAGTAACCATACACCGTACTGATCAGAATCGCATCCCTTGGGCAGGTCATCTCCTCTACCCCGCCGCGATCGCCCTCTCGCGCTACCTCGAGACCCACGCACCTTCACTCCTCCACTCCTCCCCCAACGACTCCATCTCGGATCCCAAAGGAAAGGGAAAAGTTAAACCCAAGCGCATCATCGAACTAGGCGCAGGTGGTGGTCTACCCGCCCTCATCGCCGCGTTGGAAAGCGACCCTTTAACCAAAGTCGTCATCTCGGATTACCCCGATCAAGATTTGGTCGACAACTTGCAGCACAACATTGCGTTGAACAGCTTGAGAGAAGACAAGATTCAGGCCAAGGGTTTCGCGTGGGGTCATTCTGTAGCGTCTTTGATCGAGGGTGTATGGGGGGATGATCAAGGGGAAGGGGAAGGGGAAGAAAAGTTTGATGTGGTGCTCCTCTCGGACGTCGTCTTCAACCATTCCCAACATGGGGCTTTACTCGAGTCGTGCCAAGCCTTACTGAAACCTGCGCCCATTGGATCCGGTCGCTCGTCGGCATCATCAACATCATCCCTTCCCGTCCGACCAATCGACCTCACCCCTCCCGAATTGGACCTCCACTCCCCGCTCGTACTCTGCTTCTTCTCGCACCATCGCCCGACCGACATCCTCATCAAAGCCGACAATGGTCTGATCGAACTCGCCAAAACGAAAGGATGGATCGTCACCAAAGTATGGGAGGATCCACATGCCGGGGTCAGTACTTTCTCGGGGCAGGCAGGATGAGCTTTCTTTGTACTGGAAGCCAACCTGACGTGGGTCTCTCTCTTGGCGGTGATTCTATTGGGACAGCCGGCTTTCCCGGAGGATAAAGGCGATTTGGCAATTCGAAGTACTGTGCATGGGTACGCGTTCACTCGACCCTCCCCCTCTCCTACAGCGACATCGACAAAGGAGGCCTGATCGAGCAACTTGTTCGACTCGAGCGCGTATGGCCCTCGTCGTATCGCCAGAGTATGTGATGGATTGTCTTTGCAAGAGGGAAACAGCTACATAACGCAATGCTATACGTCGACCAAATCATCTTGGTATGAAGACGAGAGATTCCCCGAGAGGTCTCGGTAGGAAGACGAACGTCTACGAACGACAACGATTCTGCCTTTCGACGCGACCTTCTTTCCTTTCCTTCTCATCAGCTCGGGGCGGCTCCCTCTCCGCCACCATTATTCTGCCCTCCACTCCCAGCCTCACCCCCAGTCCCAGCTCTAGGTTGCCCTGCCGCTCCTCGAAGCCAGTTGACCGGATCCTCCGTCCCCGTCGGTAAAGGCAACCTACACTTCCTAAAACCCGCATGATCCAACTGCGTAAAATCATCGACGTGTACTAGCTGCAAGAGGTACTTGGCGACGTAGACGAGTTCGCTATCATTCGCTCCGGATCGCATCGCGTCCTTGTACGCTTTGACGCGGAGTCCATTGCGCGGGTTGATGGCGCTGTCGCAATGAACGACTTTCGTGAACGTGAGTTTCTGGGTTCTTCCTGCTGCTTGAACCGAGCATAGGTACCTACAAATTTCGGGCCAGATCATCGACGTGGATCGTATTCAGCGACGAGTAGTGGGTGGGGAATTTGGCCCACAGGATCGGCAATGCTTTCACCTATCATGTGATTCCTGATCAGCTTCGGAAATAATATTCAGAACCACCTGTTGGTGCATACCTCGTGCTTGTAAGGTTTTCCCTCCCGTTGCGAGTAGACGGAAAACATCGGCGTGCGGTCGAGCGTCGTGATGATGTTGTAACGACCAGGTGCGCTCTCCCCGATGATCTGTGAGGGGAGGGCGAGATCGTTTGAGCTCTTCGAGGCACTGAGCTTAGCATGTGGCGTGCACTCACATCAAGTTCTACTAGTTTGGTTTCTAGCCAACGCCAGGATGTTTGACTGTCAAACGAGCAGGCGACAAAGGGAAAATGAGTGATCGAGATCTTGAAGAGATCTGGATAAGAGCACCTACCTCCAAATGACAATATCGTAGAATGGCGAGATGGCGCCAAGGAATTGATGAAGGTATGGCCGGGCAAAATCTGAGCATACGCGAGGATTGCTCAGTAACTCTTTCTCGCACTACAGTAAATTCGGCCCAAGGTTTGCTTACGAGACGCGACGAAATTCTCTTCCTTCCAGAGCGCTGAGATTGAAATAAATAAATAAAAACGTGTAAGCCTCGCCGAGTTCTTGGGGTCCGTAGAGAAGCTCGAAAAACCGACCCGTATCGAGAATGCAATAGTCGAGATCCAACACCAGCAGCTTCTTGCCTGCAACGAACGTAATGCAGTCCGTGTTAGTCCTGTACGTTACCCCCAAGCGCTAAGGGACAGCTCATAATGTACCAGCTCGGGGCGGGTTCATCTCGTCTATCTTCAACGCCGCGATCGCCTGCTTGAGTTTGCGCATGTTACGAACGTTCTGTGCGGCCTTGTACTCGGCCGAGTTGTAGTCGATATCGAGCTCTTGTTCTCGTGCCGTCGTCGGCCCCGCCATCTCCTTGTGCTCCTCCCCCTCCGGGGTACCAATCTGGTGGTGGGGGGGGGTGTACGAGAGGGGTCGGAAGATCAGCATGCAACGTTTCTCGAGGAGTGACAGTACTACGTCCGAGAGCTTACCATCATGAACTCTTTGGGTTTCCCGTTGGACGTGACAGACAAGCATGACTTGACCTCGACCTCATCGCTCGGTAGCTTGCCCTTGACCAAACCGACGATCTTCTGGCGCTCCGGAGGGACCGAGGTCATGGTCCAAATGGTGAGTTTTAGATCGCCTACGGTATCACTTTCCACGACAGTCAGGTCGTACTGCAAGGAGAAGTTGGGAGTCGACCGGAGCGGAGTGGAGTCAGTTCTCCAAGGCTCGTTCCAGGAGTCATCCCGAGTCGTCGCGTTCCAAGACTACAACCAGTCGGGATCTCACTTTTTTGCCTTTCCACCCCATGATCAAGATGTACACGACCTCGGAAGGAATTTTGAGTAGCTCGCCTTGGTCGAACGGTACCACTGCAGGTTGGGTGACGGACACGTCCACCGTCGTCGTCGTCGCCGTGTGGGGGGGAGGAACGTCGAGAGGGGCGTTCGATCGCTCCATGGGTACGGCGATCGTCGTCGTCTCTGGTGGGCTCTGGTCTGCCATACTTGGAGGCCAAACGGAGCGATGAGGGAGCGTGGGAGAGTGAATCTACGAAGGAAGAGAGGCAGAGGGTACGAGAGAGGCAAGTGGTCGAGCGCCTCCGCCGGGACGACGATCGATCGGTCGCGAAGCGAGTCGCAGCAAGTGGGGGCACCCGCGGTACCCGCGGTCTGATCTTCCCTAGAGGCACTCGCCTATGAGTCATACTCGCCGCGATCATCGATCATCGATCAGCGCTCAGCGCTCACGTGGTCGAATGGTGTAAAAGTGTGGAACATGATATTGGGTGTTATGACAACAACGTGAAAATCATAAGAGGAACAACAGACGAAACCGAGTCGTACTATGCTACAAATGACATTGAAATACCGCTTTCCCCCACCCGGTTTGGAAGAGCTCGAGCCTCGAGGATGAAACAAAACCGTCGATCAAGTCGCGACCACCTCAGCTGGTGCAGTAGCTTCCTCTGAGGTACTCGTCGCGGAAGAACGAATTCTACGCCTCTGCTCGGTCTCCTCGCGCTTACGCTTCGATGTCCCACTCGGTGCGACGCCGGACAGGAGCTTCGGCGCGTCGACGGACGTAAAGTTGATGAACGTCGGCGCACCTGAATTGGATCGCTTGCCCTTACGACCTGCCATCGAGGGGCGACGGGTAGGACTGGGAACTGATGCAGCCGTGGGGGCTCTGTGAGGGGTGGGAGGAGCCGAAGATGCTGTCGTTGCAGTAGGAGAAGCTCCACCCGGCGCCCTTCGCTGAGGGCTGACGACAGGCGCCGAGCTCGAATAGCCCGAGTGCGACTGCATGCGCACGTGCGCACGAGGCACCTGAGCGTAAGGATGGTAGCCAGCCTCATAGTACGATGGCTGAAGAGCATTAACGTGTTGCGAACGAGGAAACGCCCCAGCTATCGAAGGGCGTCGGTGGGGGTGTTGCTGCGCAGGATAGGGTTCGAAACCATCATACACCAACTCGGGGGACGCGGGGGCCGAGCGAGGACGTGGTGGCGAAGTGTGGGCGTAATGCACATGCTGTTCCCCATAGGGCTGCGAGGGTGCTATCGTGTAGTTGAAGCCGAACCCGATCGCTGTGTGGGGTGGGTGGGCATACGCCGGCGAAGGGGGCATCATCGCCACCCTCGAGGGGCCGTGGGATGGCGGCGAGTACGCGTATACGGCGCGCATCGGAGTAGGTGATGATGAAGGGACGTAATGGGGAGCGAAAGCGGTCTCGCTCGTGTAGGCCGAATATTCTTCGGCGTCGAGCATGACCCCTGCGACGTGGTAGCGCTGCACTTGCGGGGTCGTTGGCGTCGGTGGCAGCGCGACTTGGCCAGGGAGCAGATCCTTGACCTCGTCAAAGAACTATAGGGAAGTGAAGAACCACTCCAGCATCAGCATCTTCGTGTGCAAAAGAAAAAAGGAGGAAAAAGGCTGAGCTTACTTGGTCGACCTCGGCTGCCGAGGCAGGCCTTTGGGCCCTTCCGGGTGGGCGAGGAGATAAACCGAGCCCGATCGAAGTGGGTTGCACGATCGCGATGGGCTGGACCGTGGGCCGGTGACGACGAGCCGCGAGCGAAGGTTGGGGCATGGCCTGGTGCTGCGGTTGCGAAGGTTGCTGGTGCCGCGGCGGCGCAGGCCCACCCTTGACGGATAGGGGATGTTGCGGCACGGCGTGCGTGGCCGGGAGGCCTTGAGGCTGCGCCGCGAGCGCCTCGGAGGCGTACCAGTGACGATCGTCAATCAGGTGGGGACGCTCGTCGGTCGGAGTCAATATGGCCTCGGACAGAGGTGAAAGCGAGGACTCGTTGATCAGGTTGTCCGTCGGCGCCGCAGCGTACAACGAAGCGGGGTCGCTGGCGACCGTGCTGTGCGACGAAGATGGTCTCCCCGCGTGCGGGTGATCGTCGTCTCCGGGGTAGTGAATGTAGAAAGACTCATCAACGGCGGGTTCGACCTGGGCGTGCCTTCCGAACGCCGAATCCGAGAGGTCGGCCGAAAAGTCAGTCGTCTCGACGGGGTAGATTGCAGCCGTCCAGTTAGAAGACGACGACTCGAGGGGCTGTCGGGCCTGGCTTGCCACGACGTGGGGCATGTTGGTGGCTGTAACTGACGCTGAAGCAGGTAAAATTGTTCCCTCCACTTGGGTCCTAGATGCGAGGACTTGTGTGTCGGCAAGGGAGAGCTTTCGCCGCCTCGTCCAGTCGCAAGCTTAACTGCTCGAGGGGTTCGGAGACGAGGATAAGCTTTCGGAGCTGTGCTCGCGCTGGGGTTCGCGGTGTTCGAACGTGCGGAAGGTGAGTGGGAGTCGTCAAGGGATGGAGACTGGGCAATGAGAGGATGGGAGAAGATGAAGAAACGCTGGAAGGATGTAAAGCCTCTTCGGTAATCCAGTAGCCAAAGGTACGTAGGTGCGAACCCCACCACCTCTAATCATCAGGCACGCAGCGCGCTCATCATCTACTCGACTCCCCGCCGACTGAGCCGCCGAGCCGGGATCTGGGCGCTGGGCGATTTCTCGGTGGCGTGCGCGAGCCATGGAAGCCCAAAAAACGGCAAAGAAGGAGACCCCGACGATCGAGAACCTGCCCAAGGGCGCCAAGGGAGTTGGGGCCGCAGATGACTTTTGCGTGCCAGGGATGAATTAAAATCGTTCCTACCTAACCAGGAACCTAATCAGTGATCGAGGGATCACGCGACGGCGCAGTGTGTACCTAGTCATCGCCGGTCATCATCGCACTGCATCATCGCCATGGCCCATGCTTTCCAGGCACTCAATTGTGCCTTTTCAAAAAAACACCGTGGAATAGGAAGGGTGGTTGGTGCTCACATGATTGGAATCACACTTTTGGTGGTTTCAGAAGTGTGGGGGCTGCATGGATCTAGTGGCTATGACTTTACATAAGTCCAACCCCCCTTTTCAAGAAACATGGATTTTGCGTAGATAACCGAATATGTGAAATCTAATCAGGCTTGATACAAAAAAGCAGCCGGTTGGCCGGGCCGACCCCCATGTGGGGTACCTTGGGGCAACTTTATCTTGACGGAGCAGCCGGCACCTCCAGTGGATTAGGAACCTCGAAAACAATCAGGTATAGGCGGGTAAAGGTTCCTGATTACCTCAACGCAGAAATGAGGCGCTGCGGGCGGGCGCGCGACTGAGGGAACGACCGAAAGAGGAAATTTAAGTTTGGACAGGGGGGCGCCGCAAGAACGGGAGGCTAGAGGTGGCCGTCAATGCGTTAATTGCGTCGACGTCCACGTACCGACGTATATTACAGCGAACTGGTAGCGACATTAAAACACACTCTCTATCGTCAACACGGTTGGCGCTATCCTATCTAGGCTACAAGTAAAATCGCAAGAGTGCAGTACCCTCCTTAATACCTGATAGCCATCGAACTCGAAAAGAACCTAGCTGTACTAGCGCTCACTGGCCAGTCGTCATCTTGGCCCCCACCCCAACAGTTGAGGCGGGACCCATTTGCTTTTAAATTGCGCTTCCGGAGCTTGCGACATGCTTACTTTTGACAACGATGTCGAGCAACACTCTGATGAAATCTGTCTCCGTGAGCGGGTAGACACTTGGTACTAAGCTATAGACTGACCCATGATGCCGGCGGTCCGTCGGGGACGAAGGCTCTGCAGCCATCTCTGCGCGTCAGGCATACATCCGCAACAGTCCGCAAGCGCGTCATGGGCGTTTGCTCGGACTGCTCCAGAACTCGGGGTTCCATGTCAAGTCGAAGGGTACGTCGGAGTCCCATGATGATTTTAAAGTCGTTCAGACCTATTAGACTGAGATGTCCGTACTTAGACTTAACCGAGGTGGCTTTTAAGGTCGACTTGCCTCCTAGTTGAAAATACTTGAACTAACAATCTTCAGATGCAACCCAATCGACCTCTAGCACGGTACGCAAAACCTAATCCGCGAACTCGAGATGCATTGCGATCTAGACTCGAGCCCGTCGAGCTGCGCACATGCGCGGCTCCTGCCACGGGGGCATCTTGGAACCCTCAGCCAGTCCCCGGTGGCTCGAAAAGGACCAGACTGGGTCCTACAACGAGAACGCGCCCTGAATGCCCCTAATTCAAGGCACCTGAAAGAATAATCTCTACTGATAGGTAAGAGGAGCGGCACCAGAGCCCGCGTGGATGCCACAGGGCTCCGATCATGAGCAAAAGGCGATCGGAGCACGAATTCTGCATGCAAATCTCCGGCCTTCGGGAATGCTCGACCCCTCGAACGGCTCAGCATGCGCAAGTTTGGTCTTGATCTTCTCGGAGGTCCTTTTCAGTACATCGCTTAGTGCATCTTCTCATTCGCAGTAACATGTAATCAAGGGAGCAATCAAGGCTTCATCGACATCAATCTCCTCTCGTACATCATCGTCTAGACAGAAAAAATCGCTTTGCGGTGTGGGATCGAACCACCCCTTCAAAAGTTCAGGAGCTCCGAGAGGCTTCCGAGTCTTAGGGGTGGGGGCTCCGAGAACTGGACAAGGTGAAGGTGCAGTACTTGTACTTAGCAGTATGCTTCCTTGCTCGTTCCCTCCCGTATCTTCACGGTCCGGACCATGGCCTCCTCCTCGAAGCGGAAAGCAGAGAGTAGTATTCCCTCAAGCTCAAGCATTATCCGACCTCTTGCACCATCATCGCACCATCACCATCGACGTACCCCCGCGAGGCCCTCCTCGACAACTCGACTCGGCCATCCCCTTATTCGTTCGATCGCGGCACCGCCGACTCCGAGGGACCTGCTTACATGGGCACAATCAAGTGCATGGAACTGTATCTCTATTCTGAAGCGGTGCCCCGTACCTCAGCAAAGGCCTCAGGTCCCTTCTTCGACTTGACCCGGACCCCTTCGCGCACTGATCGTACCTGGAACTCGGAACGCTTGCACAGCTGTTTCCTTCCTTTCAGGGTCAGGGCTTGGCTTCGCGCGCATCAGTATGGCCACGACGGGACCTGAGGCCTGACGATATCGTAATCGAGTGTGCCACCCACACAAGACAGGGGTCACATAACGACGATCTCACGATGTGATGTATGCACTCAAGAATCAAACACTGCAGTGAATAAAGACGTGTGGGGTTCTACTCTGATTACCAGGCGATGACTTAATCCTTGAGTTTGAGGAAGCCCTCGATCGACTTTGTTATGGCTTCAATCTCGACGGCCAGTTCGCTCAGCTGCAGAAGGACACCACGATGAGAACGAATCAGCACCGAAACTCGATCCGAAAGCTGATAGTGACAAGGACCCTGCAAAGTACGGACCTTTTGTGCCTCCTTGTCCCGGACGTGCTGCGGCTTCTTCTCCTCGTACCCCGGAGCGGCCATGCCATCCCGGATCTTTTGCGCTGCCTGCTCTTGGAAGGCCTTCTTCTTCTCAGCCTTGGCAATCTCTTGCTCAAAATTGACCACACCCTGGGATTTTGGAGATGGGGGGAAAACGCGAATCAGCTTTCCCCGGCGCGCGCTCGGCCCAAGTCACAGAAATTCTTGCAAAGTGAGGCTCACCTTGAGCATGACGTTCGTCGCCAATTCAGGAGAAACGAGTTCACCGACGCATCCTTCGGGGATATCGGCCTCGTTGTCGACAATTGTGAGTTGCTCGCAGCCCTTGATCAAAGGTCGCAAAGCCTTCGCCGAGGCTTGCAGTGTCGACGCGAGCGCGGCGTTGTCGCGGACGTTGAAGATGACTGCCAAGTAGCACGCCGGAAGATGGTCAGCACATGCACTTCGAGGTATAGCTGAACGGGCACTACTGACTTTGCAGCTTGGAGTTGATGTTGTACGAGACTGCGATCGATCGCGTCGCGCGGATCGCGGCGAAGGCCAGGTCAAAGTCCTTCTCGGCTTGCTCAAACTCAAAGTGAGCCGCCTGTTTAGCAAACGATACCGTCAGAATCAGTACAATCTCTTATGTGCACAACCCAGACAGCATGCACGGATTTGGGATCACTCACGGGTTCGGGGTATCGAGCGAGCGAGATCGACTGGGTCTCGTTCCCTGGTCGTGTCGGCAAGCGGTGCCACAGCTCCTCTGTGACGAAAGGCATGACGGGGTGCAACAACCTCAATCCATTGTCCAACACGGTGAACAACGTATCCTGGGCCGAACGACGGGCCTCCTGCGGTGCGTCGACGGCGGTCATATCCTTAATCGCCTCGATGTAGACATCGCAGATTTCGTACAACCAAAAGCTGTACATGTCCTCGGTCGCCTTCATGAAATGACGTTCGGTCAAGGTGGGGTTGACCGACGCTGTAGCGCGGTTCAACTTTTGGAGGATCCACTTTTCGACGAGCGATTCGCGCCCCGTCGGCTTCTCCGATGCGGGAGGGACGTAACCTTCTTCGAATTTGGTGAGGGCGAATTTGGTCGCGTTCCAGAGCTTGTTGCAGAACTGCGGAGACAAACGAGGGGCGGGATCAGCATGGCATTGCTATCGGGAGCTTTCGCTCTGACTACCACTCACCTTGCGGTATCCTTCGACGCGCAAGATCTCGAGGTTGATATCCCTCCCACCGGCGGAGTAGTTGGCCATAGCGAAACGCAACGCGTCCGTACCGCACTGCGGGATCCCATTAGGGAAATCCTTCTTCTGCCCTTTCTCAGCGACCACAATCTCCTTCTCAACCAAATTGCCGATTCTCAATTGGGCATGGAGCGCATCGAGCGAAGCGCCTTCGATAACGTCGATAGGGTCAATGACGTTGCCGAGCGATTTTGACATTTTGCGTCCGTGGGCGTCGCGGATCATGGCGTGGCAGAATACCTCGTTGAAGGGCATTTGACCAGTCAGCTTGATGCCGAGCATGACCATGCGCGCGACCCAGAAGAAGAGGATGTCCCAGCCGGTTTCGAGCAAGTGGGAAGGGTAGAACGCCTTCAAGTCTTGAGTCTGACGTAGAGGAAAGGATTTGTGGGATTATGACCTATACTCGAGAGTTTGCCCACCCGCGAAGACGAAACTCACCTGATCGGGCCAGCCCTGGATGGAGAAGGGCCACAGACCCGACGAGAACCACGTATCGAGCACATCCTCGTCCTGCTCGAGCACGAACTTCTCTCCCGGAAACCTCTTCTCGGCCTTCTGTTGCGCCTCCTCCACGGTCTTGGCCGCAACCCACGACTCGCTACTCAACCGATCCTGCTCCTTGCCCTCGATGTTGACAAAGTAAGCGGGGATACGATGACCCCACCACAATTGACGCGAGATGCACCAGTCCTGAATCGTCTCGAGCCAGCGGTACCACTCGTTCTCCGAGTTTTGGGGTCGGATCAAGAGCTCCCCAGCGCGGGTGCGCTTGATCGCCTCGTCGGCCAAGGTCTTGGAACTGACCCACCATTGCGGCTTCATGACGGACTCGATAATGTCGCCCGACTTGGAGCAGACGGGGATTGACATGGGGTTGTCGGCCGCGCCGACGTACAGATCCATCTGCTTGAGCTTCTCAATCACCGCGTTACGCGCGTGGAAGCGCTTCATGCCTCCGAATTCGGGACCGGCATTGGCGTTGAGCGTGCCATCGTCGTTGAGGATATTGATGAACTCGAGGTCATGGCGTTTGCCGACCTCGAAATCGTTGGGGTCGTGCGCGGGCGTGATCTTGACCGCACCGGTCCCGAACTCCATATCGACGGCAATCGCATCGGTGACGATGGGGATGCGTCGGTCGAGGAAAGGGTGTTTGGCGAATTTGCCGTGGAGGTGGCTGTAGCGCGGGTCGTCGGGGTGCACGGCGATGGCGGTGTCACCGAGCATCGTCTCGGGACGGGTCGTTGCGATGATGAGCTTCTCGTCCGAGCCTTCGAGAGTGTACGCGAAGCTGGTGATGACACCGAACTCGAACCGTTCGCTGGTGGGGTAGCCGGGGACGTTGAGCAGAGTGCGACCCGTCAAGACTTTTTGGTCGACCTACGAGGCATTGTGAGTCATGGGTCAGGGCTTGAGCTCTGTTCCGAGGTCATATGGGACATACCTCGAGCGCACTGAGCGTCGTGTTCATCTGCACACACCAGTTGACCAATCGGTTCGCACGGTAGATGATGCCCTCCTCCTGCAGCCTGACGAACGTCTCAGCCACAGCCTTGGACAGAGCGGGGTCCATGGTGAAGGCGACGCGATCCCAATCGCACGATACGCCGAGTCGACAGATTTGCTTGGTGATGCGTCGCTGGTACTCTTCCTTCCAGGCCATGCAGCGCTTGAGGAACTCTTCGCGGCCGAGGTCATGGCGGGTCAAGCCTTCGAGTTTGGCCAGCCGCTTCTCGACGACGGATTGGGTCGAGATGGAGGCGTGATCGTAGCCGGGGACGAACAAGGTCGTGTAACCCTTCATTCGGTGCCTGCATCCATCAAAGCCGACTCGATCAGCTTTGCCTCGACGAAGGCAACGTGATTCGCCGGACTGACCATCGGATGAGAATGTCCTGGAGCGAGCAACCCAGAGCATGACCAATGTGCAAGCTACCGGTGACGTTGGGTGGCGGCATGGGGATGACGAACGTCCTGTCCTTGTCCAAGCGGTCAAAGTCGATCTGGCCGTTCTCGTCACGGGGCAAAAAGTCGGGATTGGGGTCAAAGTGGGAGTGCTCGGTCGGGTTCTTGGACGGCAATGCGGGCACGAAGTAGTTGGATTTCTGCCACCACGAGTACCACGACTTTTCGACGTCGACGGGGTTGTAGCCCGCTGCCATGGGGTTCGTCAGGTCTGGCGAGTCGGAGGTTCAGCTTTCGGAGCGCTTTGCTCCGGTACAAGTCTCTATGCGAACGCACCCTTGATGTGACCCTCGGGCACTTCGATGAAAGGAGGTTCTTCGGGAGCTGCCTCCTTAACCTTGACCTCCTTCTTCTTGCCCTGACCTGCCGCGGCGGGGGGTGCGAGACCGGCGACTTTCTTGAGCGCCTTTTTGGCAGCCAGGGAAGCTTCCTTTTCCGCCTTTTTCAACGACGACTTGGAGGGGGCGGCGGGCGCTGCCGTCCGATTCTGGTCAGGGGTCGCGACGCTGGCGGGTGTGGGGTCGGTGCTGGCCATGCTGGAAGCGGAGGGGCGGCGCACGGACGAGGTCGAGCACAAGTAACGACGAGATGTGCGAGGCGAGGTGCACGCAGGGGTAGTGGAGGTGAAAGGTGGGCGATGGATCAACAAGCGTAGAGAGTTTGATACCAAAACCCTCGCCACGTTGAGGGCTGTGTGGGGTTCAGCTGAGGATGAGGATGAGCAGGATGAGCGTGAGAGGCAAACGAGGCCCAGCCTGAGCTGGTCGCGCTCCTCCGCAGAGACCTTTTGCGCCGACCGCCGGCTGTTGACGCGAGGCGTCGATTTGCCAGCCCGACGAGGCCTCTGCCCTGACGCTGCCCACGCGCGCCGTGAATTCGATCGTTGACATCCTGGCCTGCTCAGTGGCCCCTCTCTGCCCCTCTCGTGTGCACGTGAGCGCGCGTTGAGCCACCGAGGCGGGAGCATTAGCTGGCCAGCGACCACGATGCCGATCATCTACAAGCGATCCGAGTCGCCCGAGTTTGACCTTTCCGATCCAAAGTACCACTCTGCTTCTTCTTCAAAGCATGTCCTCGCACTGGATGTAGATGAACTGGACCTGTTGCCTCCCGTCGCGGTCGTGTCGACTGGTTCGAACGCGACGACCAAGAACCACGACCATCAACGGCAAAGGGCGTCGTCGTCGTCTTCCGCTCCGAGGTCAACCCCGGCCAAGAGGAACTTGTCCCAGGCACCACCTCCCAAGAGATTGAGGGTCCAGGAGGGGCACATCTCTTATGATCGCGCGTCGACGTCGACGTCGAGAGGGCCCATCAACGCGTCCCAGCACCACGCCCCGAGCGACCATCCCCGACGACAAGCAGCACAACCGAGGCCAGCATCCCGGGCCCCACCACCCAAGACGACGACGACGACCGTTTGCAAACGTTCACGACCCGCACCACCACCATCACCTTTCTCCCGGCAGGTCACGAGTGACGAGCCTCCGTTTGGAAAGCAGCAGCATGGCGCGCCAACGAGGCCTCAGCCGGGTATGCCGACTCCATCAACCTCGCCCCCTCCACGAGATTATCCATTTCAGCGAACGGTGAAGCAGCCATACCAGACAAATCGTCAACAGCCACGGCCACGATCATCCCCCAGCGTCGAAAGGGCTCCCGTCGTTCAGGATTTGCCCAGTCCCGACCACCCGCTTCGACCTCGTCGGGCGATCCATCCTCCCGACCGCGAGATGAAGCTTCCGATCGGACCATCGAACCCGCGTCAGGATCGTCAGGACCTTCAAAGAATCACCTTTATGAATCAGGGAATTGCCAAGGCCAACGCTTCACCCTCAGTTGATGAGGTGTTCCCTCCACGGCGCGCTGTCGAGAAACAAGCTCGGCCGCCTACCGACGATTTACCGAGATCTGACCAGAATAGCACCACTCAGCACCCTCGGAGGAACCCAAAACCTGCACCACGAACAAGCAGCGAGATCGAGAGGAGTGCACCTGGGCCGCCGAGGAAAGAGGGCTTGATGAGGCCCGCTTCGGTGCGCAAGGCCCAAGAACGTCGTACGACAGTCGTCGTCAGCGAAGATCGACCCACACCACCACGACCGGCGCGATCACTTTCTCGAGACCAACCCCAAGATGACCTCATTGAACAACGTGGCTACCCGTGTCGTCGTACGGACCCAGCCCCACTTCCTCGTCGGTCCCTCGATACGCAAGCACCCCCACCCCCACCTCGTCCACCTCCTCAACCGCAAAGTCCCGCTTCACCACCCCCAAGACCCTCGAACCCGAGCCCGAGCCCAAAACCATTTCCCAAATTACAATTCCCCAACGTCGAAACCTTCCTAGCGAACCTCCCCCTCCCTCTAGCGCACCTCACACCCACCGTCGCCGCGTTCGGATGTTCGTCCCAAGCCGATCTCTTGGCGCTTTCAGCTCGATCGGAGGGTGGGGCCAAGGCGAGGAGGGTGATGATGGATGAGTTGGAGAGGAGGGGGGATCTGACGCCGTGGCAGAGGATTGTGGTGGAGGCTGAGTTGGAGGTGTTGGGGGAACGGGCGGCGGACAGATGATGGCCGTGCTGGTTTCGAGTGTGGATCATGTTTATCTGTGGCTTTGTCTGAAGTGGGAGCCTATAGTTCGTATGTTGCCTTTGTGAAGCTTTTTGTTGACATGATCAAGATTTCCCATCCTCATCACGAATGGCCTCCTCGGTTGATGCGAGCTGACGGTATCGAATTACAACAATGCGAAACGAACACCACGATGCACAGCCCCCCTTACTCTTTCCACCTACCTACGGATCATCCAATCCCCCTCTACCCAATCCTAAGCACCTGCAAAGTCGTACCCTCCCCATCCCAACTCGGCAAAACCTTCTCCTCTTTCCCACCCTTGCTTCCCTCCCCTTCCCCCTCCGAAACACTCAACCCTTCCAAGCCCTTCTCTAACCCGATCTTGTCCAACATAGCCCCGACCCAGCCCACATCCGTCAAGAGTGCTAAATCCCCCTTGCCACGTTCTTTCTCCAAGCGAGATTTAAGAGTGGTGTAAGATGCTTGCCTTCCTTTGAGTTCTTGGATGATTTCGAGGGGAAGGATGGACTCGGAGTGCGGTGGTGGTGGTGTGGTTAAGGGTACGTAGGTGCGTACGTCAAAGATTCGGAAGAGGACGTGATCGACGCGGATGAAGAGGCGGGAAAGGACGAAGATGGAGAACGAGTTGACGCGCTGTTACGAGGAATCGTCAGGGTTTTTGTTTTTGTTTCTGTTTTGAGGCCCGCTTGTAAAATTTCGAGTAATGAAATAAGTACTCACAACCCTCACTACCAATTCTGCGGTACCGTTGTCCCCCAATTCATCCTCGAACAAAGGTACCTCATCAAAGAACAAGATGGGGATATCCTGTCGCGCTAACAAATGAAGAGGGATCCCCGGATGTCCTTCTGGGGCTGGTGTGAATTCGGGTGGGGCGGATGTGGTGGAACTGATCGTTCCGGGATGGAGGGAGGTGTAGGTCCAGTCGTAGGGTTTTTGAACGGTCACCTCCGAGTGGGAAGAGGATTCTTGCCTTGTTCGGGAAAGAAGGTTTGGAAAAAGGGGCTTAGCCTCGCAGACTTTTGGGAGCAGGAGGGGGGAATTTGATAACGCTGGACTCACGCTTTGGACCATTCTGCCGCATGAGCGACTTTGACTTGGGTACTGCTGGCGACCGCTCTGAGCGCATCGAGGCAATTGCATTCGATTTTGAGGTTCGTAGGATGGTGGGTGAGCGTGAGGCGGTTGTTGCCGAAGCAGATTTCGGGGAGGGGGAGGTGCAGGGAGGAAGAGGCGCTGTGTGGGGTGCTGAGGTCGGTTAGTAGGCGACTTGAATGGAAGGAAGGTGAGGTGAACTTTGCAAGGGGGTAGGCACTGACTTGTCGGCGTCGGTGGCGGAGAGGATCGGCTTCTTGACGGTTTCGATCGTCCAGTCCGCGATGTGGATCCCTTTCGAATGGTCCGAGGGGGAGGAGAAGGGCTGCGGAGGATTGCTCGCCGATCGGGTCGTCATACTGAGCTGCACTCGCGATGAACGGGCGAGAGGAAGAGCCACGGCGAAGAGGGCGCGCGCCGGGTCTGGAAAGGGGGTGGTGAAGGAGGGGTGAAGGGTGGTGACGTGTTGAGCAAAGGCCGGCTGGCAGGCTCGACGCTGATCAGATCATATTCACCACGCTCACCCTCGCTCACCCGTTTCGCTTGCCCCCACACCTCACTTGACGCGCACCATGACGGCATCGCAAACAATCGAAACCGGTCACGTCGACTCTATCGTAAGCTCCAGGCGTTCCATGGCGTGCGATGATCCTCCCAGACTGACCCACCCGACCCGCTTTGCCGTCCTCCGCGACGGTCGCGCTACCCGTGCCCGTGACCGTGCCCGTGACCGTGTACGAACCGAACCGTGCAGCACGACGCCCAACTCGACTACTATGGCCGACGACTCGCGACGGGCTCATCGGACCGTACGATCCGACTGTTCGAGGTCGAGGGCGATGATAGATATCGATTGGTAGACACTCTGCGAGGGTTAGTTTGGTCGTCGCCGTTCCCCTCGACGTGGCCAACGGGCGCGCACTCGGTCCTACACGAACGAGCAACCTCGTACAACTACGCGAGAGCTACCAGCTGATCCCTCCACACGGATTCCTACCGCACCAGACACGACGGCCCGATCCATGCGCTCGCGTGGGCCCACCCCTCATTCGGCTCCATCCTCGCCTCGTGCTCGTTCGACGGCAAAGTCTTTGTCTGGAAGGAGAACGACGGACCTCAAAAGGGGTGGAGCAAGGTCAAGGAACACTTGTTGCACACCGCTTCGGGTCAGTTCTCCGAACACCGAACGGACGGATGGGGTCCATCGAGGATCCTGACCCCTCAGGTCTTTCGCTTCTCTGGCCGAATGCGGTCGTTTACTGACTGGTCTCCTCCGTTCTGTCTATCCCCAGTCAACGCCATTGCGTGGGCGCCTCATGAACTCGGTCCTATCCTCGCTTGCGCCTCTTCCGATGGCAAGGTCTCCGTCTTGACCTTCAACGGTCAGTCTACCCCACCCCACCCTGACAACACGACCCGAACGGAGAAGCCACGGAACACGAGGCTGAATCACATCTCCTTCGTCGATCTTTTCACATTACATTACAGATAACGGTACCTGGGACGCATCCCTCTTCCCCGCCCATGCGCTCGGCGTCACGTCCATTTCGTGGGCACCCGCCGTCGGCGTCGGCGCCTTGACCTCGGTCGACGGGCAGCAGGACGGTGGACCCTTGGCGATCCAGCAGGTCAAGCGGTTCGCGACGGGTGGATGCGATGCATTGGTCAAGATTTGGGTGTGGGAGTGCGTACCGTGAAGCCCTGGTGTGCCGTTGCAGAGGCGCTCAGCCGAGTTGTCCTGCGTTCACCGCCGAGGTGCGAAATGCTAATGATACTCCCCCGACTCCGCTCACAGGGAGGAGACAAAGTCGTGGTCACCTGATCCGATTCAACCCATTCTGGAAGGGCACGTCGATTGGGTTCGAGACGTCGCATGGGCACCGAGCGTCGGCGTCGGTCGTGCGTACCTCGCCAGTGCCGGTCAGGTGATTTTGTTTTTGCCTGTGCAGCGATGCTCCTCTTGTTGATCTTGAGAAAGGAAGCTGATGTATCTCTCTACTTCGTACAAATCAGGACAAGACGGTATACATCTGGACCCAAGATTCGCCACGTGCGACATGGAACAAGGTCGCGCTCGAACCGACCCCATCCGCGCCGACACAAGCTGGTGCCGGTGCCGGTGGCGAGGGCAAGTTCGGCGAGGTGGTGTGGAGGGTCAGTTGGAGCGTGTCGGGAAACGTCTTGGCTGTTTCGAGTGGTGAGTTTTAATTTTTCGCGGTCGGTGGGCTTTGAAGGTGTGAGGGAAACGCTATCCGGCTGATCTTCATTCGTGGTTCTCTCAGGCGATGGCAAAGTGAGCTTGTGGAAGGAGAACTTGAAGGGCAAGTTCGAGGAGGTGTCGGTGAGTGCTGAGAGATGCTAGATCGGTGCATGTGGTATGACTCTTGGGATGTTGATGATCGCTTTTCGGTACGCAGGAATTGACATCGTAATCTTCTCTTTGTGCGCGTGGGCGGATGACTCTTTTTTTTGATACGGTTTCTGGGACCCCTCTCTTTGCTTCTTTGACTGCCGATGCTTTATGAAATGCTTGATGTCACAATAACCCCTAAAATTTAATGAGAGCGTCATGCGTCACGTGCCAGAGTCGTCTCAAGTCGTGTGATCTGCGCCTGGGCTTGTTTGGCACCCCCCACCTTGTACGCTCTCTTGCTTGCTGTCGATTGCTGTGCACGTCACGTCGAGTCAGCCGCGCGTTCGTCCTCAAGTCTCCGTCCTGGCTTCATCCGCTCGCTCCTCCCCCAAGAGACCCGAGTGCGATGGCGCCTGACGGTGGTGAGTCCAGCCACGTTCTGCAGCTGTACGTTTCACTGCTGACCATGAGCACACCTCCAGGAGAACCTCCCCGCGGCGCAGGTCGAGCTCCGGCGACGGCAGCACGAAGCTACGCCGCTGCCTCATCCTCCTCCTCGGCGTCGTCCTCCGCTGCACCCCATGCACCCGACGTACTTCCATCTGCTTCCTCCGTGGCCTCTTCTCCGCCTCCGCTTCCTCCCAAAATTCGCTCGTGTAGATCGAGTTCGGCAAGAGCTATCCCTACCCCCGCCGACCTCTTCAACCCAGTCCCGACGAGCTCCTTTTTTGGATCCGACCCCGTATCCTCCTCCTCGCCCTCTTCATCGTCTTCTCCCTACTTTCATCGAGCCTCGATGAACCCCACGGACACTCCACGTGTCCCGCCGCCTCGATTGCCAGCATGGACGAACGGCGCACGACCCTCAGCGGTCTATGACGACGCGCTCCACTCGACGACGAATCGAGTTCGGTCCGGCTCGTCCGGCTCGATCACCGCGGCCACGGCCTCGACGGCGAATGTCAAAGGTGCTGTTGGGATCACGTCCATGTCTGGCGTCGAGACGTCGTCGTTTAGGAAACCTTCGATCTCGCCCAAGCACGCTTTGCCTACATTGCCCCTGAGTTGGTCGTCGATTTCGCCTCAGTTCGCTAGAGCACCACCTCCACCACCACTACCGCCGTCGTCCCAAGGGGCAGCGGTACCGGGGAAGGAATTCGGTGGTGAAGCGATGGTGCCTTCGAATCAGCAGTCGAAACCGGCGCCCTTGGGATGGGCCTTGCCCCCTCAGCCCTCCACTCGCGGCGATACGACGGGGTGGGAAGTCGACCCCAGCGCCCCGCTCACCAGTTCGACGCTTGACCACCAACAGATCGAATTCGCCCCTCCTCCCTTTGCGATCCCGCATCGTACACGTACGACGAGGGCGCGTTACGGCTTCAGCAACATCGCCGGGTTGGGTTGGACCGCGCCAAAGATCTTGGAAAAGCCTGTTCGGGGTGGGGTCGTCGGAGGGATATGGCAGCATGGCGTGTGGGACTTCAAGGTCGTCGACACACCCGAGAATTATCCGCCGATGGGGGAGTTGCCCCCAAAGCCTGTGAAGGAACCGGTGGTGCCAGCGACGATGACTACCCCCCTGTCCCCGACAAGCGAGACGACCGAATCGCTCGATGCCATGCAGGTCGACGGCGAGACCACCAAACGATCCGACGCCGTCGTCGCCGAAGTCTCGATGCAGCAAGCTCCTCCCCCACACAAGACAATCTCGCGAGCCGAACTCGATCAAGCCCGACCGCACCCCCACCTCTACTACGTACCCCGCCAACATGCGTGGGCGCTCTTTGCCCATTTTGAGCAGACCGACGCTCACCGTTCCTTTGTCGACGATGGTCAAGTGCGACTGTGGGTCTCGTCGTATGAGACGGCTGAGGTTCTGCTCAAGCGACTCGAGCCTCCGCTTCCTACCCCCTTTGAACCCTTCGATACGATGGAGCTACCCCTTCCCGCTCGAGAAGTCTTTGATGCCGCCCGTCGCGTCTGCCTCGACCCTGAACCCGAGTACGTGACCAAGATCGACGAGCCCAAGTCCGGTCGGTCGATCCTCTTTTCGGAACAAGAGTTGTACCCCTGCGTCATCCCTATGCACGTCCTGCACGAGTTGCTGAGGACGAGGAGTGAGAGCCCGAGTCCCGGTGATTCGGCCGAGGATGCAAAGTTGAATGCAATTCAGACGTTGTGGAGGTGGGTGACCTCACTTCTTCTCTGGAGTAGTGTATCGAAATTGATCCGTCTGCGACCCTTTCTTCAGATCCCTCGACAACCTCCTCTTCAAAGCCGAACAGCGACCCCTCTCGATCAACGGCAAAGCCTTTGCGCGCTGTCTGCCCTGGGACGAGCTCACGCGCGCCATTTTTGTCGCCATTCTCGGGTTCAGACTCACGCCCGAGGAGACGCTCTGTCCACCGAATCTCGTTGACTCGACCGACGAAGGACGAGTGAACCGACATAGGTTGTTGAGGTGTTGGCTCGAGTTGGGACTCTGGATCGAGCATGTGCGCAAGTTGGAGGATCAAGCGAGGATCCGTAGAGTCGCGACGAGGGTCGAATTATCCTCGGGCGTGGATGCGATGAAGAAAATCTTGGGACCCGATACACTGGCGAGGGTTCCAGCTTCGAGCGCTTGGGCCATTGCTGGACGGTCGGCGATGACGGCCGGGTTCGATGGTCCGGTCAACCTGTCGCATCAACTCGCTCAGGCGTATCACTTCTTGGGCGTAACGCCTGATTTGGCTGATTCGGTCGTGGAGGAGGTGTACAAGGAGCAGGTGGGGAGGTGTTCGGCTTATACGGCGGATTGTGAGTTCAGTCCCTGGCCTTTCGGGGTGAGGAATGTCAGGGCTGACGCAGTATTATCACTTTTCCTTCCCACCAGTCCTCGAAGCAATTCAGGAGATCAACCACGATCGTCATTCGGACGTGCTCGAGATGCTGATCGCGACCGAACGTTCGATCGGGCGCGTCTCACTCTCGGACCTGCGCAACGCCTACAAAGAACTCGGCCTCGAATTTGACCATTCCCGTTCCGTGACCGACGACGAGATCGCCTTCCGCTTCGGACAGAGGAGGGAACAGGTGACCGATCCTGAACGGAAGAAGGTGTTGAAGGAGGCGATGAAACAGATTGCCGATCAGAGGGATAGCGAGTTGCTCAAGGTCATGTTGCTTTCTGCGAATGATGAGGAGGATCGACCGGCGATGTCGTTGGAGAAGGCGTACAAATTGTTGGAGGCGACGCCGGAAATGTCGGATGAGATACTGAGCATGGTTTATGATGTTCGAGTACGTTTCGGAGAAAAGGGGGCTCGTGGGTCGCACATCGGGCGCTGATCTTGACTTTCGCGAATGGTGCAGATCGCTGACGCTCCGGGTCAAGTCGATGTAATGACCCAAGCTCTGGCGACGATCGGTCAGGCCATTGGCAGCGACGCCATTCGGGTCAAACTGGGTGGTGATACGGGTGAGTATTCTCAAGGTGAAAATCAAATCCCATGGATACCCAGGGCTGACCTGCCCGGTACCAATCCCCAGCTGCTCTGATCCCCCAACCTGCACCGGACATGCCCGTCGGTTTAACCAACATCGCCAACACGTGCTACCTCAACTCGCTCCTACAGTACTTTTTCACCATCCGCGAGCTGCGTGAAGCCGTACTCCGCTTCCAGCCGACGCCGACGACCGACGTCTCGGCCCTCAATCGCGTCGGCGGTCGCCTCGTCACCAAAGCCGAAGTCGAACGGTCGAAAAAGTTCGTCGTGCTCTTGCAGACCTTGTTCAACCAGCTCATTCACTCCCCTTCGACGTCCATCACCCCCGAAACGGAATTGGCGTATCTCGCTTTGGTGCCTTCCAAGGACGAAGCGGAGGTGCTGACGACGACGTCGCCGGCGGACGACCTCGTCATTTTGAATGATCCGGCTCGAACGAGTGGATCCCCCATCGCGACGACGTCCATGTTGCCTCCGACGAGCGATGACTCCGACCTCAAGTCACCCTCTTCGTCGATCCTAGGCAAGAGGCGGAACTCGCACCTCGACAGTGACATCAAGGGAAGTCTGGCATTGGACCAGGTCCGCATCGAGTCATCGCAGGCTCAATCGCCCAACCAGAGTAGCTCGGACGGAGCTTCACCTCCTGCGGATCTAATCGTCGATCTCGAAGCCGCAAGTGTTTTGAACAGGGAAAAGAGTGGGGCTTCATTGTCGAGGTCTTCGTCGAAGACGGTCGTCGGAGAGTTGTTGGGGTCCTCGGACGAGCAGCGGAAGATGAAGAGGGGTAAATCTGTCGACGGTTCGATTTTCGGTCACGGCGATGAGATGAAGGTCGACGATGATGACGACGAGGTCATTATCCTCGAACCTCCTACCGGAACGTCGATGACCAGGCCGCCTACGCTCCCGCCTCGGCCACGACGACCGTCCAAGGCGGTGACGAAACTCGAGGATCAAGTTTCCAACTACATGTCGTTTGGTCGTCAGAACGACGTCACCGAGTGCATGGACAATGTCATGTTCCAGATTGAATGTGCGCTCAACCCTGATGGGACCCCGGACGAACCCAGCGGATCAGCGACGACGAATGATGTCTCCACTTCGGTGCTACGCAGGTCAGTAGTAGACAAGGTGAACAAGATGTGGTTTCTATGAACTGATAAAGAGACCGTTCTCTGCCGACGAACAGAACGCTGTACGGCAAGATGCGCCAACACCTCGAATTCACCGACCCTTCCGTGCCCGAGCCGATCCGTATTCGCGAAGAACCCTTCTTCTCCTTACTCGTCGACGTCGCCGAGGAAGGTCACACCGTTTACGACGGCCTCGACACCGTCTTTGACGATTCGATCGTCACGATCGAGGGACACGAGGCGCGACGGAGGATGAGGTTGGTCGACGTGCCTCCGATCCTGCAGATCCAACTGCAGCGCGTGCAGTACGACCGCGTCGCGCAGAGGATCTTCAAGTCCAATGCGCATCTCGATTTTGGCGAGACGTTGTCATTGGATCGGTATCTCGAAGTCGAAGAAGGCGATGTCGAAGCCGCGCAAAGGCAGGCTTGGACGCAGAGCAAAAGGGACGAGATTGAGATCGCTCGCACGAAGTTGATGGCGCTCAAGTCGACCAAGACGGGGACGAGCTACGGTACGAGCATCAAAGAGGCGTTTGCGCACCTGTCGACCCTCAAGGACGAACTGGGGGATCTGTTGACGAGCAAGTTTGCGCACGACTCGCTCGAAGAAGCGGTTTGGATCGATCAACAGATCGTCGAACTCGAAACGCGCATCAACGACTCGAGGAAAGCGATCGAGGAGTGTTGGGCCGCCCAGGCCAAGACGGTTTACGAACTCGCGGCAGTGTTCATCCACCGCGGCACGGCGTTGAGCGGGCACTACTTTATCTATCAACGCGATAGCAAGCACCGCGATCGGTGGCTCAAGTACAACGATTCGGTCATTACCGATGTTTCGGGTGAGGATAAGGTCTATCTTCGTTCGAGGGACGATACGAATGCGTATTTCTTGGTGTATTGTCGTCGCGATCGGCTGGATTCGATCGAGTCGATTGCGAGAGAATTTTAGCAAGAGTCTGTTTCGGCCCGGACGACGGGGGAATGTGCAAATGGTGATAAAGAAAAGAAAGAAAGAAAAAAACCTTGTTTCGCCTTTGTCTAGCAACGTGTGTTTTTTGGGGTCCGAGTGTTGGTTGCAATCGCAGCGTCAGCATTAGCAGCAGCAACCATTGCCAGTAGCGGTAATGTCCATTCGATCCTAATGCCTGCGTAAAGCGAGGCCCAGTTCGTAATGGGAAATTGGGCGTGCCCGTGCAAAGATGGGTTCATAGGCGCGCCGGGTAGCAGCTCGTGCCTTGGTCTTTCTGGACACCCGCCAAAGGTTCGTGCCAGCGTCAGTGGGGTGTGCGTGCCGTCGTCGCTGTTGGATCGAGTGTGCTGACCCTGTGATCCTACCCCTCCTCCTTCCTCCCCTTCCTCCTCTCGTACGACCTACTCGCCCTGTGTCGTTGCCGATCGCCGACCTCATCCACGCGCCCCTCCGTGGCTTTTTTCGCGGCGTCGTGGCTCCCCTCGTCTCGGCTGCTGTACGACCCCTACCGTACCACCTACGACTTCGACGACTGGACGTTCGACTGGACGTATTGCGATTCGTCTGGATCGACTGTCGGCTCTCCTGCGTGTGGTCGTGTTCGTCTGTGGACGTGCCTGCCTCGCCTCTGCACGGCTGTGTTTCCCCGTGGGTGTGTGGGTGTGTGTGTCTCGCTCCCCGCCTGGCCCACGCCGACGCCCATCGCTGGCTCGCTCGCTGGCTGGCCCGCTCGCAAAACGCAATTCGCACGCCCTCGCACCACCACGCACACCCACGCCCACACCCATCCGGCTACATTCGCCATCAACTATACCCGTGGTCGACTCGACTTGATTGTTGTTCGTGCATCCACCCCACTGCATCATACACCGGCCTGCTGCTGCGTGTGCATCGCCCTGGCCTCGACGCCCGCCGACGCCGACGCCCACGCCCGCGCCTACCCGTAACGCCCTACGCCTACGCCTACGCCTACACCTGCCTACCCGCTTCGCGCGCCTTGGCCCGACGCCCCGCTCGCCCGCCTGCAGAACGACGCCTATCCCCTTCTCCTCATCCTCTTGCACTCGCATACCCGTGCTCCAACAGATGTCGAGCGCACAGCAAGTCCAAACCTTCGGCAAGAAGAAGACCGCCACCGCTGTTGCCCTCGCCCGTGTAGGTACCATCCAGGAGAGACCCAGCAGGACGATGAACGACGCTGCGGTTCGCTGATCCTGATCACCTCGTTCTTGCTTCACGCATCTCGTAGGAGGGCAAGGGTCTCATCAAGGTCAACGGTATCCCCCTTTCGCTCTACGGATCCCCCATCCTCCGACCCAAGTTGTACGGTGAGTAGAGAGGGCAGGCTCGGACTCGTCTCGCACGCACCGAAAGCCGTGGAGACTGAGAGTCGCTTTCCGCAATTCACAGAGCCCCTCCTCCTCCTTACCTCGTTCACCTCGTCGACCAACTCGCTCCCCTCGCCCCTGTCCCGCATGGACATCCGCCTCCGTGTCTCCGGTGGTGGACACACCTCGCAGATCTACGCGCTCCGCCAGGCGATCGCCAAGGCCGTCGTCGCGTACGTCGCCAAGTACGAGGATGCCGCTTCGGCCCTCGAGGTGCGCAAGGTGCTCGTCGCCTACGACCGAACGTTGCTCGTCGCCGACCCGAGGAGGTGCGAGCCCAAGAAGTTCGGCGGAAAGGGTGCCCGCGCTCGTTTCCAAAAGTCGTACGTCTCTCATTTCCCTTGCCGCCGCGTCGGGATTTGTTCTCCTCTGTCTTTGTATTGGACGCTGATCGCAACTTTCCACTCACAACAGGTACCGTTAAATATGCGGTCGATCCTCGAAGCCGCATGGCGAGACTTGGATATGCGATCGGGTCACAGTTGGGAACGTGCATCGTCCGGCTTGGTTTGTGTTTGCGTATCCGGGTATTGAGATGCTGCAACGAGTTGGGTTGGTGAAGAGGTTTGTGCCTGTGTGTGTGGTTGCGAGGCTCGGAGAGGAGTGATTTAGCATGCGATCGAAGAGGCTAGCGCGCACTCTGCCAGGCCAACATGAAAGGAGTCAAATTTTAGTAAGAAGTAGCGTTGTAGTGCTTCTCCCCTCTTGCGAGGCGCTGCACCTCGAGGGGTGGAAGAATTTCGACCGCGGGATTTGTCGTGGCGCGTTCGGACCCATTGCGGTTGACTTGTCAGATCGCCGCGATTCCGCGCAGTCCGGCGTGGCGGCGAAGTCCCTCTCGAGCGGCTTCCACTAGCTTCCACTTTGGGGCAAGTGCCAGTAGTAGCGAGCATCTCGCGACCCCCATCCGCTTCTTCGTTCCGGTCGACCCGATCACCCATGCCCCACCGGTAGTACTAGAACGAACCATGAGCTCATGGCCGCGTCCTTTGATGAATCCATCGCATGTAGGAGGGGCGTATCATGCGTATGCGAACTCACCTTCGTCGTCGTCGTCGTTGTCCGGTGGTCAAGGAGGGGTACGGAGTCGAATCTCGCATGCCGCAATTTGGAAAACGTTGACAGTCAGTTCAGAGGTTGAGGAGGCTGATTTACAAGGCGTTGATGGGTTGAATCCTCGTTTGCAGCTGGCGGTGTTGGTCTTTCTGCTGTGGATTGCGCCCTCCCCACTTGGACCTTCCCGCCTAGGCCATCCACCACCTCCGTCGCTCCCGGGTGTCGGCGACCTTGGCGGTGTCGAACCACTGGATCACGTCTCTCAAGAAGGAACGTCTTCTCCGCCTCCTCCCGGAACTCAAGCCCCTTCCATAACCGAAACTTGCCCCGTTTGTTCGCCCTCCGACGACCTCTGTGCGAAATGGGGCTCCCAAGTCCTCCTGCGGTCGCGCATTTACCGAGGCACGCTCCATCGCTTCGGCCCCTTTTTCGACAAACTCGCCCTTGGGGAGGACGTCAAGATTGGTTTGTTGGGGGGTAGCATCTCGCATTGCGTCGATTTGAGTAAGAAGGATTGTTATGAGACTCGATTGGCTCAAGGCTTGAGCAAAGAGTGGGGGGTCAAAGTGGAGGTCGGTCCGGTTCTGGAGGCAGAGTGGGGGAACCTTAATTTTTTATTTCGGCTGATCACAGCCCCCTTTTACTTCTTTCGCGTTCCCCACCAGATCCTCAACGGCGCCCTCTCGGGCATGGGATCCATGTTTTTTGAATCATGTTGGGCCTCGCACTTTCTGAACCGCGTCGACCTCATGCTCGTCGACGTCAGCGTCAATGACGTGATGACCTCGCTCAAGAACCCTTCCTTCGACGCATTGTTGAGGTCCTTGTTAAGTCACGACGACCGTATGGCCGTTTTGGTTTTAACACTGTTCTCGCCCTTGATCGGGTGGAGGGATGGATCGGCTCAGGTCGAGAGTATTGCGCAGTATTATGATGTGCCGGTACTCAGGTGAGTTAGGACCGTCAGGAGCTCCCACGAGGTGACCGCAACTCAATTCGGTCACTTCCTATACCGTGTCTCGCAGTCAAAAGAACGTCGTCATCCACCACCGGAGACAGAACCCTGCTCCCGAAATCACCACTCTCAAAGACACGGAAGCGACGACCGAGTTCGACCAGTGGTACAACCGCGCCAACGCCGAACCCAAAGATGGAACCGAGCCCGTCACGGTCGCGTTCCCTCCGGGTCATCATCCGGGACCTAAAGGGCACGAGTTGATCACGGATTTGATCACCTCGTTCTTGAGGCACGAGAGGTGCGTTCATGAGAGGGATCGTGGGGTTGAGGTAGTGAGGGGTTCGATGCGCGAGTTTGACGTCTTGGACATGGATATCCCCGAGGTGAGTTCGTCAAGGTGGGGGGAAGGCCGGACTTGGTTGGCCCGGATGATCTGACTGCGGTCTGCTCTTGCACGCCAGTGGAGCGCCTATGCCCTAATCGATGGACGTAAAGCCTCAGTCGCACCTTCCCTAACCTGCTATTCCGCGACACCCACCACCACAACTCCCTTCCGCATCCTCTCCCAGCGAGGCGGTTGGACCCCAACGCACTGGAAGAACAAGTACTACCTCATGGCCGACAAGCCTGGCGCTCATATCGTTTTCGAAGTCAACGTCCCCGAGAGTGCGATCGTGCAACTCATGTATTGGAGGAGTAGTACAGTACCGCTGGGCAGCGCGATGGCCTGGTTCGATGATGAGGATGATAAGGTTGAGATGCTGAGAGGCAAATGGCTTGAGAAGGCGACCGTGCCTGCGTAAGTTTTCAACGGGCTGACCACTTGGAAGGTGTGATGAAGAGAGTGTACTGACCCACGAGTTGGTTCCTCCTTGTAGGTTGGCTCGATTCATGTTACCGGCGGAATGGGCGGGTAAGAGGAGGAGGTTGCACATCTCCGTCATGGACCATACCGAGACGGGCTCGCACGAGTTTCGCCTCTCGACGCTCATTTACTAGGAGCGTCAAAAAGCTCGGGTCAGTTATCGGACTCCCTTGAGAAGTGAAACCGAGTATAATCTACACCGGTCGGGCCATTCTTTATCCCTGGTGTAACGATACGGACTCGTTCATCACAACAGCAGGAAAGCTGCATGGCTACAGGAATTCATTGCATAAAAAAAGGGAGCCCTGCTAGCACACGAAAACAAGAAGAGCCCCTGCTAACGACTCTTTCATTCGCCTTTTCCACCCGATCGTCCTCAGCCCTTGTTCCTCGGCTCCATCATCCTCAAACCCCTCTTTCCCGCTTCTACAACGCGCTCAATTTCTACAAGTCAACATCATCCCCCTCACTCATCGCCCATGCTCCTCCTCCCCCTCGTGCTCCTCCCCAAAATCAGCCATCGCCTCTTCCCAACCGTCTTGCCCGCCACTCCCCAACTTGATCGACCCTTTCTGCCCATAAACGTGACCCTCGAACGAAGACCTTTGTTGATCGAACTGGTTCGTAGTACGCTCTTTCAGAGGCATCGAATCGTGATCGGTGTCTTGGTCCGCCAAGAGTTGGTCCACGTCGTGCAACAGTCCCCCGGAGCGAGGACGATCTTGCTCCTCCTCGTCTTGATCTTGATCGTCGTCGGGATCATCCTCATCATGTTCCCCCCTACCCAAGATCGCCTCCTCATCCTCCAATTCGACCCCTCTCCCTCCTCCGACTTCGACGGACCTCATCGTCAATCGATACAAATACCAACTCGTCAACATCCCCATCACCGACCCCATCACCACGAACACCAGATTCACGAATTTCGCCCGAGGGTCCATCCGATTCCGAGAATCCGGATCGGCGAAGAGGAACATGCGCGATCCGATCCACACGTGGAGTAAAAGTTTGGGCGTGATGCAGAGCGTAGAGAGGAAGAATTGGAAGAGGGTCACCGTTTCGATCGAAGCGAAGCTTTCGTTTCACGAACAAAAGTCGGGGTCGTTTTTAGAGTCAGTGAAGGGTGGGCTTCTTCCCTTGAGCCAATTCGAAGGCGGTCAACGAGGGACTCACAATGCGTTCGAATAAGGAAACGGAAACGGACACAACCTAATGAGGATGCACAACCCCAAGCCTTTGACCCTCACGGCCCTACCCAAAGCGACGAACGTGGGCTCCCTCGCCAACATGGGTGCATAACTACCGATCATCTTCCTCGTCACGACGAAACTCAAACAGCCTCCGATCACGCAGCCCAGAGCGGCGATGATCCAACCTTGGAAGGTGCCGAAGGCGAATCCGCAGAGGGTGATGGTCGTGCCGTAGCCGAAGAGAGGAGGGAAGGAGGTGAGGATGATGAGACTGAGCAGGACGAGGCGTCCGGAGGGGCCCATGTCGCTCAGCGTTTCGGCCCAGTCCGCCATCCACTGTTGGAGAGAACGCATGATTAGTTCGTTCCGATCACGATCGTGTACACGTCCGAATTCCTGCGTGGCGCTCTCCTAAGCTCCGCCGCATCCAAAGTCTCGGCCATCACGCCACCCAATCACGGACCGCACCCATGGCCCCCGTCGATCGCACTTACAGCGAACAACTGCACCGGCGTCAAGTAAATCACCAACGCGATCGTGAACACATGCAAGCCGACCCATGTCCAAAAGATGAGCTTGGACGTGGAGGAGAGCGAGTCGTAGTAATCGCGCGCTCGGTCGAACGTTTCTCGGGCGCGGTGTTGCACGTTGCGGAACATGGTGGGTCAGTGGAGGAGCGCGGTTGGGCAATCGAAGGAGGGCAAGGTGGTGGAGAGGGCTCGAGTGCGGCTAGTCACTACGGAGATGGGTGGGAAGGCGCCAAGCGAGACTCGGCGTTGCTGCGTTGCGAGTCGGGGAAACGCGTCTCGACGTGGCGCGGGGGGCCTGACGCGTGGGGACTGCAGGCTGGGGCTGGCTGGGGTGGGGAGCAGCGCAGCGGAGGACGGCGCACGGTCCGGCGTAGGTAGAACCAGACGAAACTGGCGGGGTCCAAGAGAAAGAACTCGAGAACAACGGAATGCTTCTTCTTCTTGATGTGGTGTGGTTGGCGGGCTGTAATTGCCCAGAGGTGACGGCGAGAAAGCCACTCGAGAGTCGACGGGACGCTCGGCGGCGCGTCCGTGGCCACGGTAAACCCGACACCGCCTTCGGTCACCTGGGGAGTGGCGATCCTTGCTCCAAGTCGTAGAGATGAACGATAAACGGTGTGAAAGTTCGAAACAGACATCCCGGTCCACGTAATCCTTTCTCTGCGCACTCTATAAAGTCGAACTCGCGGAAACAGCTCTGGAAAAAACGTTCACGACGAAAAGATCCCGGAAAAACACATCTTTCTTTTCAGTCCATGTCCAAACAGCAACAACCCAACGACGAAAAGCCTCCCTCGAAAATCCGGTTCAAAGTCAACGATGGTGGAGTGGAAAAGACTAGACAAAAGACCGAGGGCAGCGTCAAGTCGACGATAGGCTGGGCCATAATACGTCGCCGAAACTCCATACGAAGCTCGTCCTCTCCCATCTCCAAGAAGCATCCTCCTCCTTTGCTCCATCATGCTTGTCCCGAGTCATCGAGGGGGCCGTCGTCTTGTGCATTCCCATTCGGAATCACGTGCGAGAAAAAGAAAAGAGGCGTTTATGCTGTCCACGATCAAAGAGATACAGATGAGCAATTAGGATTGCCCGCGACTTTTTGCCAGGAGGTATGTACTGACCTGAAGCAGCGGCGGCCTTGGCAGCAGCGACGGCTGAAGAACATACAAGGTGTGAGACGATGCAAGTTAGTTCGTACCCTTGGGACGGCCTGCTCGAATTGGGCTCAGCAAAGCGCACCCTTTTGTGTTCCCATGGCGGCGTGACGAGCGTTGCGGCGGAATTTGGGGTCAACCTAGGACACCACGGATGGATGAGATTGATCAGGTTCTGGTGCATCGCAATCGCAAGAGAGTGCAAGGCAAGGGGTAAGGAACGTACACCCTTGAGCGAGGGGTACTTGTTCGTCTTGGGCTTTTTGATACCGTTGCGGTGAGCTTTCTGTTGGGTGCGAAAGGTGAGGGCGGATGTAAGTCAAGGCAGGAAGGAAGACGGGTGGTAGGTACGAGGATTGCAACGCACTCGGGTCTGGTTGTGGGCGGTGTGGTTCTTGGACTTGGCCATTCTGTGCACGGAAGAGCGGAGCGAAAAAGGGTGTCAGGACTCGGTGTACGTCGATCGTAAAATCATCAGAGTGTGGTGTGTTCCGATCGTTCGTGGTCGTGGTGATTGAGGTCGATGGCAATGTATAGTCGTCGTCGTCGCTCGTGGTCGGGGTCGGGGTCGGGGTCGATTGCGTCTCCCGCGTAGGTCGCCCGAGCCTAGCTCCCGGCCGGCAGCCAGCCCAAGCCCAAGGCGTGGAGGTGCGAAACCACCACCAGCCACGACCATCCACCCAGATGAACCCTTGCCTCCTCAGCTTCCGATCCACTGCACATCGACGCAGTCATTCCTTCCTCATCCTTCTCTACATCGCCCATGCGGTCCAGACGGCGATGCTAGCCTCAGTTCGTCGTCGACGTCGCTCCGCTCAGGCGCGGATTCGAATTTTGGGTGGTGTGGGTGGACCGGAGCGGGGGCGGACGGGTGCGACGAACGACGACGACGACGACGACGACGACGACGACCGCAGTGGCCTCCCCACCCATGGGTCGCAAGGTCGTGGGCGTAGCATGTCCAAGATACCGGTCATCCAATCAAGAGGATCCGAACGTACGTTGATCTGTAGAGGCCTGTGGTATAGGGTAAACGACGAGGGAACAGGAAGGGTAGCCAACTCGCCTGCTTGGCACCCGGCCTCGACCCTGCCTCAGCCACTCCTCAGCCCTCCTCAGCCATCCCATTCGTCCGCAAGCGAATTTGGGCGGGCCACAACGCGCATGCGCGCGCGCACGCTGGCCAGCCAGCCCACGGCGCCTACTGGATTTCCCAAGCCCGCGCTGCACTGTTTTCCTGCCTTTCCCCCTGTCTTTTCCGGCGCACGAGCGGCCTCGATCTTTGCCTTGGTTCGCCCAAATTGGGGTCTTTTAAACTCTAGCATCCTTTTTTTGAAATACTTTCGGAGAGGATTTGTAGGATATACTCCTCTTTCAACTTGCACAATGAAGCGGCTACCAGAACTACACAACTGCCAGCTCAAACGCAGAGAGAATTGAGAAGAAAACTCCGATTTGGCACTCACCTTGTTTCAAACCCGACACACTGACCTGGTAGAGGAAACGCCTGAAGGCAAGATCGAGTCCATGAAATGGCAAGGAGGATCAGCAATCGAACTCCCTCCTCGAAAAACAACTCCCTCCATCGCCCACACACAAAACACACGCACAACCGCGCAGAACCCCCGACAAAGCCGTGAGCAACCCCAATCGCCAACCCCCATCAATCTCTTCAATTCAGTAATCCAGACATAAAATATTGATATCTTCAGCCGACCTCTCCCGGGTACGGTTTGTAAAGTCGTGACCCGTTTGGCAAAGTGGAGCGTCGTGGTCCTAGCGGACCTCTTAGTCCGCCCGTCGGTGATGGTTTCATCATGATGAAGAGATGGATGGGAGGGAGTCGTCGGGTGTACGCCTTCGGCTTGGTGCGGAAGGGCTCGAGCGTGTGTGTGTTTGTGCGTGCATGGGTAGATAAAAAGATGAAGGAGCGGGTAGAGACTCTTACATGTTGAGCCAAGCGAGTATCGCCTCCCTCGTCAGAAGTTGCCATCCAATAGGATTTGACCTGAAGCATTATCAAGCCCAAACAAACCAAAAGTCAGTCGCTCCTTCCCCACATCTCCAGACCCAGAACACGGCGGTCGATGGTCGAAGGCAGGGGCTCAGACATGAACACATAGCATCGGCATCGTCCGTCGCTACAAGGAGGGGGGCGAACCCCCACCCTTCTAGCAGAAGAGCTGTGTTTGCTGAGATAGTGAATCTTGATAAATGTTGGAAAAATCGTCATGGCCGAGGAGGAAACGTTGCGATGGGGGAAGGTCGGCTCTCAGCGAGGTGGAAAACTTACGATGGGTTTGGTGCGAGGCTCGGGCGATGTGCTGAAGAACGTGAGGAGAGACGTATAGTATCAGTTCCCTCCCATCTCTTCCACGGAAAACAACGTCTGGGCTCAACACCACGAAGGCGTTGTCACTGGTCAGCCAAGGCTGAAACTTAGATGCGATAGGTTGTCGACAAAATGTGTATTCGGTGTTCCAAAAAAGGGAGCACAAGGGAGAGAGAAGCCAGAAGCCCCTCCCGCCTTTGCGCGGTCCTTTTTGTATGAAGGAGGTAGTGTAACATCACCCCAAAAACAAACGCGCTTCGTGGTGTAGAAAGTCGTGTTGAAGGGAAAGGCTTACCGACAGGGAGTCGAGGCTCATCGAGTTCACAGGTGGAACTCGTGGGTCGGGATCTGATGGTGGAACGATAAACCAAGCTTTGATCAGTCACCTGTTGGAGATGCGTAGCACCAAGTCCAAGTATCCGTAGCGTGTCGCCGCAAGTCGGAAGAGAGCTCAGCGTGTGAATACAAATATTTAAAAAGGAGATTCGTCAAACGAGCGGCCGGTTGTTCACCGGAACACGCCGTCGGCTACGGTAATGTTAGACCCCAACTTTTTTGTTCCTTCGCGCGAACGAAGGAAAGAAAAAGCTCGAGTTCTTCATGGCTCTTCTCCTACGGAGGTGTCGGGAAGTGGAGGACGGAAGAGGACGAGGAGCGCTCACCATGTGTAGGTCGGACGCCTTCGCGTGGCCTTATCACGTGTCAAGACATGTCTGATGAGATACACGGAAGAGGGGTCGGTTCGCACGTGTAGGCTCAAGCTGCGCTGCAGGTACAGGAGGCCAGCGGAGGAAGAAAAAATCAGGTTGGTGGTCAGCGGACGGCTCACGAAGGAGCGGCAAAGTAAAGGCTATCAAGTGGGTGATGGGTGAGGTGGATAAATCAGATCAAGTGTAGATTTATAAGAATATCTGCATATCGACGTGAACGCGCAATCTCGAGAGCTCGAGCAAGGGTTCGACGTGGGCCGTGGATGATCGGAAAACGAGCGTTCGCAGCGGGTCGGTGCAGAGGCGTCTGCAGTGCCATGAGTCCCCGCAGACAGCCGACCTGACCGACGACTATCGAGCACTTGTCGCTGGGTGTGGTTCCTCATCACTTTGTGGAGGTTGGAGGTAGGTGCGGTGGGCAGGACGCCTGGGGTGCACCACTGCACCGTGGGGGTCGGAGCGACTTACGATGCGGCGTGGCACTTGGTCAGGAGCAAGCCAGCTGCAGGGCCAGAGCAGAGGCAGCGAGCGGCGCACCGTTCACGCGTTCACGCGCGCGCGGATGCGGTGCGATTGGCTCGGGTTCCTAATGAGCGTTTGCGTCGCTAATGCCTGCGAGCGTGTATTACTAATTGCTGGCTATCGCTGACGTGCGTTGATCGCCAACCCCCTGATACCGCACGCGCTTTCCACCACCACCACCACCACCACCACCACCACCACCACCACCACTCGACTCGACTCGACTTGGGAGAGTGTGATATAAGCTTCAACCGACTGCCTCCTGCCAGTCGTTGGGCCACACGAAAAGGGAGACGACGGGACCGTGTAACCCTGTTCGTCTTGGTCGTGACACGTTGTACCCGACACGACGGCCGGCTTGGACTGGCAGCTGCTTTCCCCCCCCCACTCGGCACCGGCACGAGAAGCGCGCGCAGTCTCACCAGCACATTCCGAGCTAGCAGCTGACTGATCGTGGGCTAGAGAAGGCCTTTGGGGCCGGCAGGAGGGGACGAGGACGAGGACGAGGACGAGGACGAGGACCATGTCGTACCACTACAACAGCAACCACTATGACGACTACCATCATCAGTCGACCAGCGCAGCAACTTTCCCCTCGCCGTCGTCGTCGTCGTCCTCGTACCTCCACGCGGAGCAGCCTCCGTCGGCACCACTCGGACAGGCACCGCCTCCTCAAGCTTTAGCTCCACAAGGTCCGTCTCAGGTGCACTGCGAACACTCTGCGAGCAGTGCTTGCTTCATACCGTCTCACACGGCTGATTGACAACTCGACTGCAGACCTCGAGGTACCGTTCTATGCACGTACGAGCGCGGCTCACGGCGAAGAGCTACGACACCGTCATTCCATCACCGCCGCTCCATCTCAGCCGTTGCGACCGTCCCAGACCCAGTACGACCACAATCTAGCCGGATACGACCCATCCCATCCCCACCCTGGGTATACACGCTACCAAGCTCCCGTTCCCGTTCCCGTTCCTGCTACAGCTCCTGTTCCACCGTCACAACCTTATGCCATAGCCGCCGCTGCCTCGGCTCCTCGCCCTCCTCCTGGCGCCTATGTCCCTCTACCGCCGACTGCTCCTCCTCGGCCGCCTCTTCCACCCGGTGGACATAGCTCCTCGTCCTCCTTACCCGTCAACTCGGTCTCTGCCCCGCTCTACCCGACCGTGGACGACTACACCGCTCGGCTCGAGGCGTTGCAGATGGGCAATCTCTTCCCCCCAGATTCGTCCTCGTCCCCGGCCTCGTCGCCTTCAACCGGTCTGAGACCCCCACCTCCGCGCCCGTTGACAATATCGCCCCCTTCCAACTCGAGCCTCAATCACCACCGCCACAGTAGCCCAACAACCCCTGATCAACTCTACCCTCGCGACCAACGCGACAGCTTCACCAGCGGATTCATCGCCATGTACGGTGGCTCGCCCTCGCCGCAGAATTCCCCCCTGCCGTTCACGAACAACCTCTCGTCGTCTTCTGTGCAGTACCAAGCCCAGCAGCGCTACTCGAGCGATTCGCTGACTGCTGCGTCGCCGATTCATGCATCACATCTGTCCAGCGCCACGGCCATGGCCTTGCCGAGTCCGCCCTCGCCTCCGTTTCGATCGCAAGCCGCCGCATCGCTCGCCGCCGTCACGGGGATATCGAATGCTGCTTCCACCTCGGCTTCAACTTCAAACAATCCTTACCCGTCCCATGCCTCGCATCCCAGCACTGACTCGTCCGCGACCCGGTCCTCGAACGGATCCCTGCCGCGACCGCTCCCGCACGAAGATTCGTTCTATTCGGTCGCGTCCTCGACATGGTCACCGGGGCAGCCGGGTCATCAGCATAATTCGAACCACAGTTCGACTTATAGCTCCCACCATACGAGGAAGTCGCCACCCCCACAGCATCAACCGTACGAAGCTGCGCTGCCTAAACCGTCGGGACCACCCCCTTTCGTCCACTCCGCCTCGTCATCAAGTGGACGGTCCATCTCCGACGGGCTGACGTCGGACTATTCGAACCCACCGAGGTCGGGTAGCCTGGAGCACTTTCGAAGCACGGCCAGTCCGACCGAATGGGCGAGAGTGAAGGCCATCAACGGCGGCGAGTCCCAGTTCGAGCAGCAGCAACACTCGCAGCGGTCTCATCAGCCGCCGAGTATCCCTGCGACCGTCGTGACGTCTACGCCTTTTTCGAGCTCCTTCTCAGTGCCTGGCTTGACTGCGATTGATGAGTCGGAATCTCCAAATCCGGCATTCACCGTTTCGCCCGTCGAGTCGCCGAACATGACGACCCACCCGGTCTTTTCCAGAGCACCCAAGCGGTCCATGACGGGCTCGTCCTTGTCGCCGCATGTGCCCTCGTCGCTTTCGCCTTCGACCTCTTACCATAGTCTTAAACGAACGACCTCGGGTGCTTCGACCTCGACGCAGGCGACGACGATGTATGCGACCCCGACCCCGTTCTCGTTCTCCGCCGCCGATCTGCCCGAGTTCCTCAACCCCGCTCTTCTGTCCCACCTCGCCGTCTTGCTACGCGACTACATCCCTCGATCGACGCACACCAAGTCGAATCGCGAATACCCTCGCTCCTTCACCTCGCAGGACATCATCAACACGTTGCAATGCGCGCTCGTCGCCGGTCCGTGCCCAGTCGACCCGCATGACCGCAAGCTCGCACTCTCGATCGCTCGATCGTTGCACGAGTCGCTGTGGTTCCATGAAGTCGATTGGTCCGACGCACCTATTTGGGACGCACCGGCTCCGACTATGAACGCCGCCAATTCGGCGAATCATCGACTCTACCAATTCGACGACGGCGAGCGGAGGTCGGAAGTGCACGTGTCAAAGGATGAGACGCAGGACGAGGACGAGGCGCCCAAGGGGGTGTTGACGGCTTTGACGGGGTGTTATTCGCCGTTCTGTAATCAGTTGGAGGATGAGGAGACGAGGTACAGGTGCTATGCTTATGATTGTTCGAATCGGGCAAAGGTCAGTTTTGTGAGAGTGATTGTATGAGACGAGGAGAGCTAACCAGGCTCTTATGACGGTGCACCTAGCGTGGAACTGCGCTGCAGAGACAGACGAGTTCAATCTCAACCTTAACCGTGGCCGAGACGGTCAGTTCCTACCTACAGCCTTGCGAGAACAAGTTACGTACTGACTTGGTTGGTGACATCAAGCAGATTGATAAGCCGCCAGAAAACTGGGTCACCTCGGTCCCGGCCTCGGTCGTCAGCTCCATGTCAAAGCATGAGATTGAGTACCAGAACAGGGTCTACGAGTTGATCAAGGGAGAGGCCGAGTATTATCATGATCTTGAGCTGCTGGACTCGGTACGTCTTGGCATGCGACTAGTGGAGTGTATTTGCTACCGGGAAAACTCACACCATGGTACTCGCAGCTCTTTGCTCAACCATTACGACAAGCAAACCCGTCTATCCTCCAACCCGCATCCCGAGTCGAGCCCTTCATCGCTGAAGTTCTCCAGAACGTCGGTGAGGTCCGCAAACACTCTGGCGCTTTCCTCGACGCTTTGCAAGAGCGGCAGAAGCAGGCCCATGTCTTCCATGGCGTCGGGAGGATCATGCTTTCATTCGTTGTGGACTGGTCACCGGATTATACGAAGTTTGCGGTCAATTTCCCGTTTGCGGATGCGGCTGTCAGGGAGGAGATGGGGAGGAACCCCAAGTTCAGGGACTTTTTGGGCGTGAGTCGTCGTTTGGCATGCCACTCTGGAGAACGTACAAAGACTGACGGTACACATCTTCATCAGCAATTCCGCTATCGACCCGAAACGCATCGCCACGACTTTCACCACTTTCACACCCGAGCGACGATCCGCGGCGTGCGCTACCTCCTCCTCCTTAAGGACATCCTCAAACTATCCCAAGAAGACGATCCTGATCGTCCCTACGTACTCGAAACGATCAAAGTCATCGAACAGCAAGCCGCGGCAGCGAATAAACTGATCAAAGTTACCGAAACCAAAGTCGCTTTGAGGGAATACGATCGTGACTTGGTCCCCAAAAGGGAAGGGGAGAATTTGAGTTACCTCGACTTGAAGAATGAACAGGAACGCCAGTACTTTGGGAGTGTTAAGGTGCTTAAACGGGTTGATGGGGCTGTTGGGACGGAGTGGAGCGAGTGTTGGTTGGTCTTGTTTGATCATTATCGTGAGTTTTTTCCCGGGTCGGGAGCTTGTTGCGAGAGTCTGGGGAGCTGATTGATGGAATGAATGCTCCGCAGTGGTGACGACCAAGATGCCACGGGAAAAGGACGGCAGGAAGCGATACGTCATGACTCGACGGGTGAGCTCAGCTTGGACCAGAGTAGAATGGTTTCCGGGGTGACATAACTGATGAAGCTTTCCATCTGCAAATCATCGTAGCCCGTTCCACTCGACCTGATCCAGCTTAAGACGACGAGCTTTAGTGATCCGCCTCAGCAACGGACATCGGGCTTCCATCTGCGCAGTGCTCGAGCCGGCACCCCTGGATATGCCGATTCGCCTTCGAACTCTAGCTCGACTTCCCTCGTCTAGTAAGTCCTTCGTGGGTCTGCGCGGTGGTGTGCTTCGAATGTTACTCATCGTTTCATGTTCCCTACAGCCCCATCCACTTTTATCAGATGGGCCGTTACGACGGTCAAGTCTACTTTTACGTCGAATCGCAAGCGACCCGACTGGAGTGGGAGCAAAAATTCCGCGAAGCCGTCGATCTGCGAGCGCAACGGCAGTCCGTCTCCAAGGTCATTCGAATGGACCTTCTCGCCGAAACGACGTTTGGAGCGACCCATGTCGTCGGCTCCTTGGATGCGATGACGAGCCATAACGCCGTGGGCAAACCGACATGTTCCGTTCCGCTGGATCTAGCGGATGGTCAAGCCTTGGTCATTATCGGGTGCGCGGAAGGGCTGTTCATTGGGTACCGGGGTCGACCCAAGTCGCTGCGTCAGGTTGTCGCTCTCTCTGGGATCACGCAATGCGCCGTACTGCCCGAGTACGGCTTTGTCCTCGTCCTGGCGAACAAGGTCCTCATCGCCTACTCACTCGAGGCGCTCATCCCGTCCGGTACATCCTCGAACAGCTCCATCTCCCGGGCACCGCAGCGTCTGAGTGGTCAAAAGGATGTATCATTTTTCCGCGTCGGCAAGATCGGGACCGAAGCGCCCAAGACGTTGATCATCTACGCCAAGAAGGGCGGCGTCAAGGAATCCATCTTCAAGGCTTTGGAACCGGTCAATCACTCGCATAAAGGTGGCGGTGGCGGTGCGGGTCATAAGTTGTTCAGCTTTGGTTCGAGCAAGACCGAGAGCTTCAAGTCGTACAAGGACTTCTTCATCCCCGCACTCGTGAGCGGCTTGCAGTTTCATAGGAGCAAATTGGCTTTGATCGGTTCGCGCGGCGTTGAGATCATGGACCTCGAGGACATGAAAACAATGACGGTGCCTGCCTTCCCCTCGTCTCGCCACGACCGATCGCTCGTCTCGCTCGCCGAACGATGCGAAAAGGCCCAGGCGCTCGGCATGTTTCGCTTGCAAGGCGATCGCTTCCTCCTCGCCTACACCGATTTCGCCTTCCACGTCACTCGCCACGGTTTGCCAATCGAGGGGTTCACCATCGAGTGGGAGTCCAAACCCGAGAGCGTCGCGTTCCTATCCCCCTACATCTTCGCCTTTTCGCCCACCATCGTCGAGATCCGCCACGCCCTCACGGGCCAACTCGCTCAATTCATTACAGGGTCCCAAGTCGCTCTTATTTACGACGGCACAGCAATCCCGACCTCCCCTTCGAACGACTATTCTCCTCGAAGATCGCAGTCGTCCAACGAAGTTGCTCCCGCGGAGAAGAGGCTTCATTTCAGTCTCAAGTCGGGACATTATCATCTCGTTTACGAGATTGATGTCTTGCCGGGCTTTCAGAGCATTCCCGAGGCGGAGACGCCTTCATTCCCCAGTGGGTTTGGCGCGTAGTCTTAGGGAAAGAGAAGGGGCGATGTTGTTTTATTTAAAAGTGCAATTCAAGAACACTTTGTGGGGGGGTTTCATGATTTTCTATGTCGTGAAAGCCTGCCTTGAACCTTGAAGCTGGGGAGATGCGGTTGAACGCGAGGGCTTCGTTAGAGCCCACGTCACAAGACGCGGTTTAGCTACCAGTAGAGAGCTATTTTCCAAGTTCAATTCCAAGAGACGTTCAATACCTTGTCCTTCGTATTTTCCTCCGTCTGAATTCCAGCAAAAAAGAGGGTTGCTAGTTTAGAGCGCAGAGTTGTCTCTGAGGAGGCGCACGACAGGAGCTGGCGGGAGGCTCGAGCGCCGGGAAAGGCGGAGAAAGTCCAGCTCACCGTATCATGCTGTGAATCTTGCGGACATTCTCTGCGGGAGATGGTCGCGTTTAACTGGAACAATTATCTGTATGCATGATCAACAAGCGTAGGTGGTTGCTGCTGCCCTCCCGTCCAACGTACGTGTGAGGCTCCGAGGCGGCAGTGAGACTGACCCCCTTTTCGGCGCTGGGGCGCTTCGCTCGGGCCTCTTCGGGTCTACAACTTGAACTTCCGCTAGGACCAGAGGAAATCCAGCGCTAGATGTGTCTGTGGTCACGAAGGGGCCGTCAAAGACGCAGCAAACATGGACACCGATGGTGTGGTTGTTAAGGCGTTGCTCCCCTCTGGACACGGAGTCGTCGAGTAGCTCCAGAGCAACCACACCCGAAGCGTTACTATACCTGTTGTACACCATACACACCAAAGTCCAGTCCTGGCAATCAAAACTATACGTAAGTGATTCCAAATATCTTCTCTGTCCTGTATGAGTCCTCGTTCGACTTGTACTATAAGTCGTCGTAACGATCGCGCGCGCCGCTCAAGACGTCAACACAAATGATTTCCCGTTCAAGCTAAAGCCTCGAACACAGGGAAGCCAATCTTTTGATTGGACTTTTTCTTCTTCCAGCTGTCCGAATCGTGACTTCGAAAGGAGTTTGATGGCAGTAGAGGGACGACAGCCTTCAGCTCTGAACAATTCCCCGAGAGGAGCCGCCGAGGCCCCTGGTGCACGTTAGCTTGCTCCCAAATCCACCCCCAATGTGCTGCAGGCATAGTTGCACATCGTCCGTATCTCAACCTGAACCCTTTCATCATGACTGGTGTACGGCCCCCAGAATCGACGTACGTCATCGGAAGGGCTTCGAACGTGTAACCAAGCATATCTCGGCCATTTTGCCACCATTTCAATGCAAAGCTTGGGATTATATTCTGGATGCTATCATAATCATCTGCGTGAAAGGCGCGAGATCGCTCTCGAACCTCATTGATTCCGAGTCCAAACTGAAAGGATCTAACGATGTAATTCGCAGGCGAAGAAAGACTACTAAAGGGACTAAGGTCAAGAGACGCTGCGGCGCCGCGCGCGAGGGCGAGCTTGAGGCCGCTGAGGTTGGCTCGGGGTCGTCGTGAGGCGTAAGCAGAGCGGCGCCTTACACTGCGGAGGCTCAACACATGATTTCTTTTCTTTCTTTTCGTTTTCGTTTTACCTGAGTTCATGAATAGCAATCCTCGAGGTTGGCTGGGGCAGCCAAAAGAGGTTCGAAGCAGTGGCGACAAGCCGATGGAAAATTACACCCCTGCGCGCAAAGAGCGCCGCGCAGATCAAAACTCGTCGAGCACCTAACTCAGACTCCTTTTTTTTTTGTATGAAACTCATCGCTAATTTGCAAGACGAGAAAACCCCCTACGGAACTAAAGTAGATGCTGCCCAGTATGCACGATGATGACCACAACCGCCGCTCGATGCGTTGTAACTAGCAGAACAGACCAACCCGATACATCCGAGTTCAAGTCCCCCCCACCCACGGTTGCTCCCTCCCAGAGACGAATGAAAGGAAGATTGAAGATAATACACAAGGAATCGGGAAACGATGGAAGAAATGTTGGTGGTGGTACATGTGTTGTACAGGCGAATCCGATCATAGTTGTACAGTTGAACCTTCTTCGATCTTTTGACTTCAGACCCCCCTGAGACCGCCATACTCCTTGAGGCCCCTTAATTCTTTGACACGCGTCGAACAAGGCCTCCGATGGCACAAACATCCCGCTCAATCCGAATGATTCACGTGGTCCAAAGGGGGGATGTAACCCCCTGCGACCGCAGCAATCACATACCCCTTGTACCCAACTACGCTGGATCTGCACCGCGAATTCCAAACCCCTTTTCGGTTACCAAAGTCGGCCCCCCCTCGCGACCGCACGACCCCAGATCACCCCCATTTCAATGACTGCAACTGCGAAACGGGCCTACTTCGCACAAAAACACACAATCCAGAGATTTCCGGGGAAAGTCACGGAGCATGTGACAGTCCATTGGACACGCCTCGGTCTGCAGCGCGGGCGGGTGGCCGTCAACACCGGCGCGCGGCTGGAGACAAGAGGCGGGGTATACCTTCCGCAGGGGCCTCGCTTCCCTGCGGCGTACTCCCAATCTCGGAACGCACACTCGAGTCCCGTTGTACGTGCAGGTGGTTCCCAATCACCGCAGATACTGGGGAAAGAAGGAGCAGGAGGCCCACGACGGTGATGTCATTGGGTGGGACCTCGCTCGAGTGTGGATGTGTATGGCGGTTCGGTACCCGAGTCACCCGCCGCGCGGCCGCGACTCCGAGCGAGCAGCAAAGCAAGGAGAGGCGAGCCACGCAGGCAGTTTGTGCCGGCCTTGAACAGGAGATCACGGAGTCGCTCGACCGAAAGAGAAAACAGACCCGGCCCTTGAGAGGAGTGGAAAACTCACGGCGGAGTCCAGGAGGGGGCCAAGGGGATCCGCTTTCGCTGTGTGTCATCGTGATGTGGCAGAAGCTCGAACCAAGGGCGACGATGCCCGCCGGCGCAAAGAACCCGAGGCTCCTGGGGAGTACGGAAGCCTATGAGGAGGAATGGCAAAAAGAGCGAGAGAAAACAGGTTCAGTATGCTGGCGTTTTTGGGAGACATTGGAGAGACTGAGAAAGAGGGAAAGGGGACTTGTGATTTTTTGGGTTTGGTTTTTGCTTGGGTAGGGAGGGAGCGCCGTCTACTTCATCGTGCCAATCTGAGCTCCAACCTCTCCTTCAGTCCGGCCATCTCCTTGTCCATGCTCGACATCGCTCTGGCGTGGCGATGGAGATCCCAGCGTCGGTTGCTGAGAGTGTCGAGCGCCAGCGCAATGAAGGCACGGATTGGGCGCTGTTTCGACGCCGGAAGGCGAGCGCGCAGTCGAGGGAGGCCGTGCTCGATCTGAAGTGCTGTGTAGTCGAGGTCGAGGATCGACACGACCCCCAGCGCGTCGCAGAGAATGGACCTAGCTGCTTGCCAAAATTGAGAAGAGTCAGGGCAATCATGCCAAAAGTGAGTAAAGTCATCCTCCACCCCTGCCAGGCTGCATGCCTGCACAAGGCAGCAGGCTGAGTCGCCATGCCGCTGCACAAACTGGCGCTTCCGCGTTGGCGTGAAGTGGTACGCCAGCTTGAAGTCGGCGTTCCTCCACGTCCACAGATCCGCAACAAAGTCAAAGGTCGGAAGCGCTCGCCGGATGGAACTCCGAGCCAGATCGCCCCAAATCGCAGTTGACCCGCCGGCCAGCACGTCCCAGATCCGTACCGAGACTGAATCCACCACATCTTGGATGCTCACGACGCTGAGACCACCTCGCGCCCGTGCCGTGAAGACGACCGATTGCTTGTAGTCGCTGCACCGCGGTCCTCCCTTCACAAAGTCGGCAAGCTTGCGCTCGATCGCCTTGATCACGTCGGATGGCGGTATGTCGGCGGAGAGAGAGTGCAGCACCTTGGAGATGCCGTAGCGGTTGAGATAGAAAGCCCGGGTATGGTGCGTCATCCATCGGTCGCGCACCGATAGAATCACTCGATCAACCCTTCGCTCAAGATCATGGAATCCCAGCCTGTTGTTGCCGTCAGGCGCAAACTGGAGACCGATCCAGGGAAGAGACTCGTCCGGTGCCACGAACGACAGTTTGGACAAGTCCGCGCGATCCCACAACGTCGCGCCCAATGGCATCACCACGGTTTTGTCGGTGTTTAGACGTCCGTTCGTCGCGAGTCGCCAATCCCGAGCTAACGCCTCGAGCGAAGCAATAGCTTCCGGTCCAGCGACAGCGACGACGGCGTCATCCGCGAACGCCAAATTGGTGATGCATCGAGTCTGCGGACGAGGAGCCAGCTCCGGAAGAGTGATAGTCAGCGCAATGTTGCGCCGACTGAGAGAATCAAGGAAGGGCTGGAACACCACATCCCAGACAGAAGAAGAGAGAGGATCGCCCTGGCCAAGACCGCACAGGAGTCGTACCGTCTCGGTGAGGAAACCGTTGACAATATACCGCGCTGTGGACGTCTCGCCGTTGTAGAGCATCCGCAAGACGCGCTGGAAGGATTCCGGCGCGCCGAGAGCCTCAAACACCGCAAAGACCCAATCGCGCTCGACCATGTCGTAAGCCGAGCTCTGATCCAGGGAGAGGAGCGCTGCTGTCGGGAACTCTGCCCCACGACCCCTAATCTCGTCGATCAGGAGCCTCAGATGCAAAGCCGCGCCCGCTGGTCTTCGCCCCTTGACGAACCCATGCTGTCCGGCCGGAAGAACATCGGGGAGGATCCGGTTCAGACGAGCCACGTAGACCTTGGTGAAGATCTTGTAGTCGCATTCCCGCAAGGTGATCGGACGATACGATTTGAGGTCGCACCGCGCTGCACCAGGTTTGTTGTGTTTGAACAAGAGGCGCACATTGGCCTGGCTCTGTTGTGGAGTAAGGGAGCCTCGAGTAATCAGCTCGTTGTAGGCTCGAGTCAAGAGAGGGGCCCAAAGCAAGGGGCAGGCTCGATACATCTCATAGGGGACCCCTGAAGGCCCCGGAGATCGACCTTCGTACGTGGTTCGAATCGCTGCGAGCACCTCGGCTTCGCTGATGGGCTCGGCCAGAATGTCGACGTGCGAATTCGAGAAGCGCCGAAGGAAGCGAGCGTCGGAAAGCGGGTCGTCACAAGGTCTTGCTGATCTGATGGGTCCCAAGAGCTCATCCCGCATCGTCACGACCTGTTCCGGATCCTTCGCTTCGACAAGGTAGTGCTGCTGGAAATGAGAATGGGTGTGCTCGAGCGCGCGCTCAATGTCAGTGGTGAGCTCGCCATCAGCGAGCCGGATACTCTGAAACTTCACATCCCGGGACCGAGCAGCCAGTTTGGCATGTACCGGACGACTGAGACGTTCCTCGGATGCAATCTCGGGCATATGCGCCCTGATCCGGGACTGCCTTGCGCGCTCGTTCACAAGCTTGGAGAGAGCGTCGTGGGTGTTCGTCCAGTCGATGACGTCAAAGGGGCTCATCACCCGACGAGACTCAATGTCCTGCAGTCGAGATACCAGCATCATCTCGAGGGCGTTGCGCTCCCGATACAGACGCCGAGACAGCTCGAGAGCTTGGACCCGAGACTCCGAGAGTACGCGCTGAAGGTCCGCGACCGGATCCCCAGACGGTGCTTGCTCAAGGAGAGGAGTGACGAACTCCTTAAACTCGGCGTGTTTGAAGGTCGACGAGTTGATGCGGGTCAGAAAATGAGCCGCCTGGGGAAGGCAGAGCTCCTCTTCGACCTCGGCACCACTTGCGCGAAGCCGAAATGTGACCGTAACCGGTCGATGATCCGACATGGATCGAGAGATATTGTACAGAGTGGAAGCAGAAACGATCCGTCGCTCGTGTCGCCGCTGCACCAGAACAAAGTCGATGCGCGCGCGCGAAATGAGCCGGCCGTCCTTGCTGAGATGCGGGCGCGTGGTCGCCGGCGACAGTGGGTGCATGAGCCGAATGGCATCCGTGTACACCCCGTCGAGCCGAGACATAAGCACGGGCCAGTGGTGGGTGTTCGGGCGGTCCACCTGTCGCGCTCGATCCACCGCGGGAATAGGGCAGTCGTTGAGATCGCCCGCGATGAACCGAATGTGAGAGGAGACGGTCGCCCGAAAGTGAAGGGAGGTGAAGAAGAGGAGGCGCTCGGCGGGTTGAACCGGAGCGTAGACATTGTTGAGTTCGACGACGTCCGTCGAACCCCGCACATCGAAGGTGGTCACGAGCAAGCGCCCGCCGAGAGACTGGCGCGAGCGACGATGACCACCGAGAAGAGGAGAAGAGCTTGGAATCAAAGTGAGGCAGTGTTGAGAAAAGTAGGCCTCGCCCTGGTGGGACTGGGCGTACTCGTGGCGTATGTGAGATTGTCGTGATTTAGGAACATTGTGTTCCTGGAGAAGGATCGCAGAAGGGGGAGGTGTGAGCGAAGTGAGATACGAAAGAAGCAGACGACGTCGTTCAGGGGTATTGAAGCCCCTGTTGACGTTCCAGGTCATGATGATAAACTCAATCATTACGATCGCGCCCTCGTTGCAGCAGCAGCTCCCTTAATGGACAACATAGGTCCGAATGTGGGTGAGGGGAGAGGGTCCGCGGCGGTCGATTCGTTCCAGTCCGATGTGCGCGCGACGCTGGTGAGACGCTGGATACGCTCGGACCGGCGAAGACCCTGGGAACTTCCTTCGTCCGCCTCCTGCTTGGGCTCGGGCTCGGGATCAAACACTGGACCTGGAGACGGCAAAGGCATCCAACCGGTCACAGACGGGGTGCGGTCCAACTCGGTGATCTCATCGTACAGAGCGGCATCCTGTTTGCGCTCGCGATCCGACACACGATTCATCCAGTCGTCGGGAAGGCCGTCCATATCAAGCTGATGGTGACTGGCCGATCGGGACCGCGTCAGCTCAGGGGTATGCTCAGGAGTCGTCGAAACAACCTCAGGCACAGCGCCCGTCTCGGCCGACTGCGATTCCCCTTCTTCCGCGTCACTCGTCTCCGTGTGTTCCTCCTGGTTCCCCTCCGCTCCGCGGTCCTGCAGATCCGACAGATCCGAAGGCTCCAACGGCGGCACCTCCTGCTGTTGTTCCAGCTGTGCCTCGACTACGCTCATCGCGTCCTCGTCGTCCTCGAGGGCCTGAGCGGGCTCCTCCTGCGCCTCCTCGGCCACGTCGCCGGCCAGACTTGCGAATGGGTTTGCGGCGACGATGAAACCGCGAGGGGCGGATGCTGTGGGTGTAGAGCTTTGTGAACGAGTAGGGTAGACTCGTGGTGAGTTGTTAGTGTCCCTTGAGGGAGATGCGTTCTTCTTTGAACGCTTGGACGCGACAGGAGACATTGGGGGAGAGGGAGAGGCTACATCACCTCTGCGTTGTTTTTGGGGGGTCGAGGTGTGCTCGATGTTGCTTTGGGGCTCGGCCTGGGGCCTTTGGTTGTTGTTGTTTTTCTGGGCGGCCTGCTGACGCTGGACCGGCTTTTGAACGCAGTTGTCGGAGTGGCCTACAAAACCGCATCGGCGGCAAGAGGCTTCGGCCTCGTAGTCGTGGCGAAGGGGCGTGAGTGTTGCGAGTCGTCCCCGAAGGTCGATCCTCGTCGGTAGAACCTGCCGAAGTTGAGCACCGTTGTTCTTGAACAGGTCGTCGTCGTCGAACTGGACGATGGCCGCGTAGTTTCCTCGAGCGACGAGGTACGAGCCTTGAACGACCGTTAGAGGCTGCTGGAGTTGGAGCAAGTCGCACTTGTGGCCGTCCCCGGTAAGCTTGGCGACGACGCCTTGCAGTTTGTTCCAGAGGTCGTCGTTCGTGTATTCGGCCTCAGGACTGATAATGAAACGCAGTTCGACGACGTTTTTGACGAACGCCAAGCGCTTGCGGACTTGGCAAAGGAGCGTTTCCACTCGATCTTGGTCGCCGCGTCGTGGACTTGGTCGAGCGCCGCTGCGCTAGCGCAGCGCACCACGAACTTGAACCGGGTGTTACCGCTTTGGATGATCGATTCCGGTGCGACTCCATGAATGATTGGAGCGTATTTCTGGAGCTCGAGCGGGAGGACAACTCCTGCGGGCAGGTTAAAACACAACGACGTGTCGGGCGACAGGGTACGGAGCACCTTCGAGTACAACTCGGACTTCTCGCGTTCGGTGGCCACACCGGTGTGTTCGAACGTGACTTCCAGAACTGCACCAGACGTGTCGGCGATTGGTTTCGTTGCATTGAGTGCGCTGAAGCGCAGGGAGGTGGCCCGGTCCTTGCCGAAGCCGAGTGCGTCTTTGAGCACAAGGATGCGGGTGCCCTGGCGTGTGCCATCTTCGACACTGATCATCTTCAGGATTCTCGCGACATCCTCTTTCCTCTTCTTTTCTTCATCACGCTTTTCCTGATACAGCGCTAGGCCGGGGTTCGCTGGTCCCTCGGCGGCATCGGCCTCCGCCACCGCGTCGCCACGTGGTTGTCCCGTCGCTGCCGGCTCCGGAGGGCCGCGGCCCGGATCAGGCGGTGCCTGGTCGGACATCGGGTCGTTAGCTGGTGTAGCAGTTGATGTGTTCGATGTATTGACGTTTGCAGAGGTAGGGTAGTGCGATTGGGATGAAAGATGAAAGATGAAAGATGAGAACATTTTTTTTTTTGTAGAAACCGTTCATCATATTGCCCCCAATTCCTGTTCCCCCTGATTGGCCTATGGAAAAACTAGATGGAAGTCGACGATGATAACACAAACGAACATTTTTTTATTTTTTTGGGGGGCTCATAAATTGCAATCCTTTGGGTTGGCTGGCGAACATTTTATTTTATTTTACTGGGGCTCATAAATTGCAATCCTTCGGGTTGGCTGGGACCGCTAGAAAAAGAGCTAAAAGAGGTTATAAAGCAACGACGGCAAGCACTTGGGTGAAAGTCAAACCCCTGCGCGCAAAGAGCGCTGCGCAGATCAAAACACGCCGAGCACCTAACGCGGACTCCAACGGGCGGTGAGTACTGCTGCCGCTTCACGTCCCAAGAGCGGGAGCGAAGATACTCGAAAACCAGGCAAGAGCGCCTAGAGAAAGAAAAGGGGAGAATATACAAAAATTCACGACTGGAAACACGGAGAACCAGGAATACTAAGACAGAGAGGAGGGGAGGAGGAGGGGAACACACCCGAGGGGCCAAGGGAGGGGGTCGAAGCCAGAGCTAGAGGTCCCCAGGGACTGACAGGCCGCAGCCAAGCCCCAGCTACTCGTCACCCCGACAGCGCCTGATGTCCTCCCTTGGCTGAGTCTCGAGTGCTGGCTGTTGAGCCGTCGGGGCCGAGCGAAAACGATCCAATACAACGAAACGAGCCTCGCCTTGACGCGAGGATATTGACCAAAAAAACGAGCGACCTTTCTTCCCGATCCATGCCGTAGATCTTGACCAACGCGAACGAACGATCTATTCGACGGAATCCAACACACGGCTTAGGAATAAAAGGAGAAGTGGCTGAAGCGTAGTCAACAACCGAGCAACAGGAACGAGATGAGGAAGAGAAGGGAGAAAGGGGGGGAAAGAGAGGGGAGAACTTCACAAAGCCTCCAACGCAACGACGATCGACCCGGCTTGCCGATCCATCCAAGAACGAAAACCGCTACTGCACAAAGTAGAGAGAGGGAGAGGTGCGCAGCCTTCCACTGCGCAACAAGTTTCAAGACAGTCAGCTTCTGACCGGAAAGGAAGGGAGGAAAGGAAGGGAGGAAAATGGGAAGGAAGGACTTAACTCGGTCATCACACCTCCCAATCTCGAACCCCAGGCACAAAACCCGCTCGAGAGAGAAAATCTCGCTCGAACGCTCTGAGCGCACTGGGAAGCGAGGGAGGGGCCACGACGTTGTCCAGCTCGAACCGCTGATGAACGCGCCAGCGGAGCAGGTGCAGCCGCTGGAAACCGATCGCGCAGGCCAGCCGAACCCACATCCATTTCGAGGTCGTTCTCCCACGACCCCGCAAAAGGGGGAGCCCCATAGTCAGCTGCTCCGGAGTGAACGTCGACGGATCGACGTCGGTATCCTCGATGCCGAGCTTGTCAAGCAGAATGCGTAGCACCCCACCCCAGAAGCTGGTCGAGTACGCGCACTCGAAAAAGTAGTGGGACACCGTCTCGATGACCGCTGCATCGTTGCCACAGAACAGACACGTCGGCGAAGAGGCATGACCCTGAGTATGCTGCCTCTTGCGCGTCGGCGTCACGTCGTACATGAGCCGCCAGTGGGTGTCCTGCTCGACAGCAGACGCGAACCGGTCACGAAGCCATCTCCAGAAGCGCTTCCTATCGCTCTGAGAAGTCCCATCAGGGAAACGCTTGACACGGTCCTCCCTCCCTGGGAACCGCACCTTGTTCACAAGCCGACGAAGCTTGCGAATCGTAAAAGGTCGGGAGAGCCCAAAGAAGTTGAAGCACCGAGGACGGGGAGCCTCCTTGAGAGGTATCCGAGCAGGTCGCAACGCGGTCTTGGGCAGCAACGCTTTCGCCTTGAGCAACTGACCCACGCGCGACCACACGTGCTCGTGCTGTAGGGCGGGTTCCTTAGAGTGCTGCCAGAACCCGCGTCGATGACCAACCAGAGCCCATCCCTTCCCTTCGTCCCTCCAGTACAGGTCCGCGATCTGCGCAAACTTCGCCACCGCGTCCGCATCGTCATATGCGTGCTGGGCACCTTCAGCATAGAGTGAAGGGAGGCGAGGCGGAAGCGAGAGCAATTCGGGAAGCGTAAGGAGTTCGGACTTGATGGTTGGAACTGTGACCCTGGCCGCTGCAACGACTGCCCCCCAGCGCGTCGAGTCGCGATACAGCTTCTCGACCCGAGCCGTGCTGCTGAAGAACCCCCACGGACTGAAATCGCGGGTCGCAGCGACGAGGGACCTCCAGCTCTCGCGAGCTAGGGGCGCCCAGATCGCCTCGTCCGAGCCCGCCACAGCATCCCAAAATCGAAGCGCCACCGAATGAACGATGTCGCCAATCGAAATCAAACCCAAGCCACCGTCCTCCCGAGCCTGGAACACGAAATCGCGAGCGACGGTATTTCGCCCTGCTCCTCCCCAGACAAAGTCCGTAAGTGCCGTCTCCGCCGCCTTAATGAACCATTGAGGCGGTATGTCGAAGGACAGCACGTGGAGGACCGTCGAGATGATGTGAGCGTTGGCATAGAAAACCTTCCCACTCGGCGAAAGTGTCCGGTCTCGAGCGGCGCGGGTCTTGGCCTTGATCCTGTCAAGAACATGGGTCCAAAACAGTTTCGAGTCACCGTGGCGAAAGAAGGCATAGCCGCACCACTTGAAGCTCTCCCCCTCCTGCACCGTTGGCAGCGCCTGCGCAGTCTCGTCCCGAAGCCAGTTCGGTCCGAGTGGTAGCACCAGCGTCTTGTCCGTGTTGGTCTTCCCGTTGGTAGCCTCGTACCACGTCTGCGACAGCGTTTGCAGCTTCGACAATGCCGCCGGTGACTCCACCACCACCACAGCATCGTCGGCAAACGCCAGATGCGTAAGCTGCGCACGCGGCCCCCCTGCCACACCTTCTGCAGGTCGAGCGCGATCCCGCGCCGAACGAGGGCGTCGAGGAAGGGCTGGAACGTGATGTTCCAAACCGGGCACGAGAGGGGATCCCCCTGACCGAGACCACACAGCAACCGCACCAAGTCCGTGGGGAACCCATTGACAAGGTAGCGCACCCCCAGAGTCTCGGGATCGTAGAGAGCGCGCAGCAGCGAGATGAAACGCTCACCGAACCCAAAGGCCTCAAAGACCTCGAAGATCCAGGCGTGATCGACCCGATCGTACGCGCTCTGCTGATCCAAAGACAAGAGGGCGCCCTCGGGGAAAACATCAGTGCCTAGCGACTTGAGTTTTTCGAGAAGGAGAGTGAGATGACTTCCCGCGTCCGCTGAACGTCTTGATGGCATGAAACCGTGTTGCGCCGGCGGCAAAAGCTCGCCGAGCACCCCATTGAGTCGCGCCACCAAGACCTTGCTGAGGACCTTGTAGGTCGTCTCGCGCAATGTGATCGGTCGGTATGCCCCCAGTGATTTCAGATTGGCCCCCGGTTTATTCTTGGGCAAGAGCCGCACCAGCCCCTCTGCCAAGGACGCCGTCATTTTGCCGCCCTCCCAAATCGAGTTGAACAAGTCCAACAGCTTGGGAGCAAAGTAGGTTGGCAGCGCCTTGAAGAGCTCGTACGGAATGCCCGAGGGCCCCGGTGATCGCCCCGAATCCGTCTTCTTCAACGCCGCTTCAACCTCGAGGAGGGTGAAGGGCTCGTCAAGCGCCACTCTCGCTTGACGAGGCAGCCGACGACCGAACGTAGGGTCCGAGCGGTCGTCATCGTAGCATTTCGCTGCGCGAATAGGGTCGAGCAGGGACCGGCGTGCGTTCGTCGGGTCGCCACGAGCTGGGTCCGGCGTGAAGAGCGACTGCGCGTGCCGTGAAGCAATACCCAGCGCCTCCTGCATGTCAACGGTCTCGGTGCCATCCACATCCTCCAGCGAGACGATGCTCGTCTGGCGACTCCGGCGGTTGAGGCGCGTGCGAATGCTTGCCGATTGACCTTCCCTCGAGTCGACTGACGGCACATGCGCACGAATGCGCAGCCACTGAGCCTCCTTTACCGCCAACTGGTCCAACCGCGACTTGGCAAGAGCATACGCATCGCGCTCGGCCTCATTCATGTGCTCACCGCGTGCCTCCAAAGCCTCCATGACGGATTGGCTCTCGGCCCGCAGTCGGCGCATGTCGGCACGAGTCGAGCGGTATCGTGCATGGCCAGCGACTGCAACCGCCCGCAGAGCGGCGTCATAGACGTCGCCGAGCGGAGCGGTCCCCTCGAGCCTTCGATAGACCTCGTCGACGACCCCGGGAATCGATGCGACAAAGTCTTGATCGTCAAAGACCATTGGGTTGAGCCTCGAAATGAAATCGCTCGTGGAGGGAAGAGAAAGGGGGGGTTCGGCATCAGCGTTCGATGTAGGCAAAGCGAAAGTCGCAACTACAGGTCTGTGGTCCGAACAGGGCGCATCGAAGAGCGTAGAAGCGCTCAACAACCGGTTCGCCCAACTGCATTGGACAAGAATATAGTCGATCCGCGACCACGAGCAAATCTTTCGCTCTTCCCCTCTACCACGGTAGTGAGGACGAGTGAATGCAGGGGTGCAAGGATGGACATGTCGGACCGTGTCGAGTGCCTTGAACGCGATCTTTGACAGCAAGGTCTGCCAGTGCGATACAGGAGTCCAAGCGCGATCGGTGATGGACACTCGGTCGACCGATACATCCGGACAATCGTTGAGATCGCCGGCCAAGATCCGAAGAGTCTTGGGTCTCGGGGCGTTGAAGTGCAGAAGCCCGAAAAAGTCGCGACGATCGTCCTCCTGCACCGGCGCGTACATGTTGATGATCTCGACATCGAGCTCCTCAAGACGAAACACCGAGCGCAGAATCCGACCGTCGAAACGAGGAGCTCCTGCAAAGACGACCGGGGTAGAGGAAAGGAGATGGCCCGCCAAAGGTGAGCCATCGGGTATGAGGGTAAGGACATGAGGAGTGAAACGAATACAAGCCCCCGGCCAAGCACTCTCGAAGCCTTCGCGCGACGCGTTGTAGCTGAGGTGGTGCTCTTGCAGGAGGATGGCCGCAGGGGCCGGCCGAAGGGTTTTGAGATAACGGATGATTTTGACTTGGTTGACTGCGTTCTTCATCGATCGGACGTTGAACGTCAACACGGTGAGTGACTCAATCATGATTAAATCAGTTCAGCGCCGCCCCCCTCGAATTCGGTCACCTCGGACCTGTGACCCCCTGAACTGTTGCCCCCTGAGCCATCACCCCCTGATGCACCGAGGATCATGGCGGATCCCGTTTTTTTTTTTTGTAGAAACTGTTCATCATATTGCCCCCAAGTCCTGTTCCCCCTGATTGGCCTACGGAAAAACTAGATGGAAGTCGACGATGATAACACAAACCGCCCGCAAGATGCGAGAAACGGGCCAAGTCCACCAATCCGATACTTCGGATTCAAGTGCCCCAGCCAAGCGGTTGCTCCCCCCCAGGAGACGAATGAGAGAGAGAAGAGAAAGAGAGAAAATGAAAAAGAACTGGCGTACTAACGACAAGAGGCCCACCCCGCACCCACTTCCCAACTCGGTCGAGACAAAGACAGGAGAGCGACTGCGCAGCTACCCTGACCCGCGAAGTCCCCAAGTCTATGCTCGGTCACAACAAGACGCGGTGGAGGCCCCTCAAAACCTCCACCTCAGCAGTCCCTGGCCCCTCAAAGCCGACTTTCTGCCTGTGTCTGCTGATCCCTCCCTTGACTCAGAACCCCGAAGCCAAAGAGCGCGAGCCACCGTCGAGTCAATCCCAAATCGCGAGCCGGTCCATGAGCAACGGAGGCAGACCTGTAATAAAAGAAAGAAAGATGAAGAAAATATATTTAGTATACAGTTTTTGTAAGAGGATGTGTGATGTGGGGTGTGTGAGTGTGGGATCGGGTGGGGGGAAATCGAACCCAGCCTCTACTGCCCTCGCCCGCCCCTTGCTCCCCCCGCCCTCAACTTCATCCTCTCCTCCAGTACCACCCTCCTCCGCTCCAGGCTTTCCATCCTCGTCCCGTGCTTCTGCATCCTCCATCTCCCACTGCTGATCATCTCCAAGACCATCCCCGTGAAGATCTCGATCGTCCTGCCTGCGCCTTCCTGTTCGCTGAGCTTGGCCTTGAGCTTGGGGAGGCCAAAGAGTCGTTGTAGTGTCGTGTACTCGGCGTCCTCGATCGTGTCGCATCCGAGCGCGTCGCAGAGCACGCCCCTTGCCGCGGTCCAGATGTTCCGCGAGTCGACGCAGCCGAAGAAGTAGTGATCGGTGTCGTCCACCGGCGCTTCGCACACGAGGCACGCGGGAGAAGTGTCGTGCTTTTGCTCGTGCTGGAGTTTGCGCGTCGGGGTGAAGCGGAGGATCAGCTTGAACCAAACTTCCCTCTCCCTCGCCGTCAGTGCCTTCGAGTTGACTGCCTTCCAGAAGCTCCTGAGGTCGTCCGGCTGCGGTGGTCCCTTGAGCCCGAGCATGTTGGTAAATGCCTTCGCGTTCAGGACCCGGCGGATGCGACGGACTGTGTAGGGGCGAGCCATGTTCAGCAGCGTATACTGGCTCGCCTGTTGTGGAAGCACCGGGTCCGGAAGGCGCTGCTCCATTGCGAAGCGGGCCACGGGCTTGGGGATGATCGCCTCGAGTGGTGCGCTGGTGCCGATCCGGGGAGGCACGTTGAGTCGTCCCGCCGCCACCGCCGCCGCCAAGGGGGTGTTCTTGTGTCGATCGACAGTGAACCGGTACCAGGCCGCGATTGCCAGTCGCTGCGGGAGCCCGCGTCGATCGTACTCGCTGTTGTCGCCGAGCACATCCGCCGGCGGCGTCCAGAGGTGAAACCCCCCACCCGCATACAACTCGCGTCGATAGAGATCCGCCACCTTCGGGTAGCCCTGGAGACGAAGGTAGTCAGGTACATGAACCGCGTCGATGGTCTGTCTCCCTCTGATGGGGGTGTGGAGGCTGCCGAGCAGGGTGGGCAGCGCGAGCAAGTTCGCGGTGGTCAAGGCCCTCGGGTTGACCTGCGCGTCGTGAAGTTTCGGAACGCCCAGTGCGGCGTGCCATCGGGGATGAAGGTCGTTGGGGATGGGAGTGGATGGATGTGGCCAGAGATCGGTGGCCAGGTCGAGGTCGGGCTGAGCTCGCTGGAGTGATGCGCGCGCAAGTCCTTGCCAAATCGCGCCGGAACCGCCGAGAAGAACGTCCCAGAGCCGTGCCGCAACCGCGTCCACAACGTCCCGCATCCTTATCACCCCGAGTCCCCCCTTGTTCTTGGCGGTGAACACAATGTCTCTGCCGTAGCTGGTCCTGCCCTTGCCCCCACGGACGAAATCGACGAGCATGTCATCGAGCTTCTTGACGACTTCGGGCGGCGGGATGTCGGCTGCAAGGAAATGCAGGATCTTGGGAATGGCGTACCGATTGACGTAAAAGGCACGGGTGTGGTGCGTGAGCCAGCGATGCTGAACCGCTTCCAGCGTCGCCTCGAGCCGTTCGATGAGATTCGCGTAGGCGAGTTCGGTGTCGCCGCTGGGGTCGAAGGGGAGGCCGATCCACTCGAGCGACTCGCCTGCGGCCTTGACGACGATTGGCCGTTCCCCAGGGTCCCAGCGACGTCCAATCGGTAGGACGACCGTCTTGTCCGTGTTGAGCCGGCCATTCGTTGCATGCCTCCAGTCGAGCGCCAGGTCATCGAGCAAGTTGAGTGACTCCAAGCCCGCGACGGCGACGACAACGTCATCGGCAAATGCAAGTGATGTAATGGCGCGGCTCTGTGGGTACGGATGAAGTGCAGGTATGGAGAGATTCAGCGCGATGTTTCGACGGTGTAGAGCATCCAGGAACGGCTGAAACACGATGTCCCAGACCGACGATGACGCCGGGTCCCCTTGGCCGAGCCCACACGTCAGTCGCACCGGCGCCGTCAGGAACCCATTGATGATGTAGCGCGCCGAGGTCGAGTCACCCGAGTAGAGCATCCTCAGCACGCGAAGAAAGGTGGTAGGAACGCCCAGAGCGTCGAAAATGGCAAAGATCCAGTCATGCTCGACGAGGTCGTAGGCGGATGATTGGTCAAGAGACAAGAGCGCGGCCGCGGGGAACTCGGTCCTGCGCGCGCCAAGTTCCTCGATCAGGAGACGAAGGTGTAGTGCAGCGTCGGCCGATCGGCGGTCCTTGACGAAGCCGTGCTGCTGCGGCGGGAGGAGATCGGGCAGAATTTGGTTCAATCGGGCGACGTAGACCTTGGTAAAAATCTTGTAATCGCACTCGCGCAGGGTGATGGGGCGATACGACGAGAGTTCGGCGCGATCGGCATTCTTCTTGTGGCGCTTGAAGATGAGGCGCACGAGTCCCTGGCCCTGCTTGGGAGAGAGTGAACCGCGCTCGATCATCGCGTTGTAGGCCTTGGTCAGCACCTTGGACCACGCCTCCGGTGCGGTCTGATAGAGTTCGTAAGGCACGCCCGACGGGCCCGGCGATCGCCCCGGGTGCGTCGTCCCGATCGCGGCCACGACCTCGTCCTCGGTGATGGGTTGCTGGAGGAGATCAATCTGCGCTTCCGAGAGTCGGCGCAGAAAGAGCGGATCTGAGCGCGGGTCGTCGCAAGTCCGTGCCGCCCTGATCGGCACGAGGAGTTCGTCCCGAAGTCGGTCGACGCGTTCCGGATCACGAGGCTCGATGTGGTAGAGGCGCTGGAAATGCGCCTGCGTGTGGTCAAGAGCGACATCAATGTCATGCGTTAGCTCTCCGTTGCCCAAGCGCAGTGCTGTGATCTTGGAGTCCGAGTTCCGCGCCGCGAGCTTGGCGTGGACCGGCCGCGACAGTCGTTCCTCGGAAGCGATCTCGGGGACGTGGGCTCGGATCCGGAGTAGGCGCGCGCGCTCCTCGACCGCCCGCTTGAGTTCCTCGGACGTCCTTGTCCATTCTGCCGTTTCCGCCTCCCCCCATACCGGTAACGCCTCCAGATCCTGCACCCTCCCCACCAAATACTCCATCCGTTCCGTCCGCTCCCGATGCAGCCTCCTCGCCATCTCCCCACCCCTGTCCCTGCACGCCTCCAGAACCTCCTCAAGCTCTCGCACCGGATCCTCCCCGCTTGCCCCTTCCAACCATCCTTCCATCATCCGCTGAAATTCCACCGTCTTGAAGGTTGTGGTATTGATTCGATGTAGTTGGTCGGATGTGGTAGGTAGGCTGAGCTGTGGGAGAGCCGCATCAAGATCGTCTGAGAGAGCTAGTACGATCAAGACCGGTCGGTGATCGGAAAGATCCTTGGGATAGTCGTAGATCGTCGAGGCCTGGTCGAGCCTTTTTTGGTGAGCTCTTTGTAGGAGAAAGTAGTCAAGCCGGGAGAAGGAGTTGGGTCGCTTGCGATTGGGATTAGGTCGAGTGAAAGATGGGGTGATGGGGTGCTTGTAGCGGATGCAGTCCGTGTAGGCCGAGTCGAGCTTGCCCATCAGAATCGGCCAGTGGTGGCCGCGCCGACTTTGGTTCCGCCGATCGACTTCTGGGCGCGGGCAGTCGTTGAGATCGCCGCCAAGGAGTCGGAGGTGGGATTTCTGTGTTTTGTGGAGGATCAGTTTGTCGAAGAATTTTGCTCGTTGTTTTGGGTCAACGGGCGCGTAGAGGTTATTGATTTCTAGAATTTTGATGTCGCCCCGCAGACGAAAGGAGGTGACGAGGAGCCGGCCGTCGAGTGCCGAGTGGGTGCGCAAGAGCTCGGCGTCGATCAGGGGCGAGTCGGCCGGGATCAGGGTCAGGCAGTGCTGGTTGATGAAGAGCTTGCCCTCGTACTCGTCCTTGATGAGCTGCCAGAATTGTGGTCTGATGAAATGCTCTTGTAAGAGAATCGCGGAAGCTTTGAATGTGGAAAGGTAGGTGTAGATATTACGTCGTTTTTCCGGGACCCCCATGCCCCTTCTTACGTTCCAGGTGATGATGGTGTGCTTGATCATTAATGGGTAGTCGAGGTCGAGGCGCTCTTGGCGGTGGTGACGTCCTCAAAGAGGGGAAGGGCGGGCAGGACATCGTCCTCGGGCTCGTGGTCGGACCATCGTTTTTCCTCAGCTACCCCTCTTCCTTTCCCTCTGTCCACCTTCGTCACCTCGACCTGCATCGCCGCTGCCGCCGACATCGACCTCGTCACCCTCCGCCCCTCTATTCCATCCTTCACCACGACGCGGCTCTTCCCTTTGATGATGACTCGCTTGGCGTCGGTCGGTTCGTCACTTGGGTCACTGAGGTCCGCCGCAGTCTGCGACCTCTTCATCACCTGCTTCTTGAACTTCGCAGCGGTCCCCCTGATGTTGATGGAGCGTATCTCACCGTCCTCGTCCCACGTGGCAAAGTTGTGACGCACCAGAGGGGGGGTTTCAGCGTTGAGCCTCCTCTCGATGCTTTGGTCCCGCTCAAGTCGTGCCTGCTCAACCCAGTTAGCTCTGATGCAATTTTTTTTTTTTTACTGGGGCTCATAAATTGCAATCCTTCGGGTTGGCTGGGACCGCTAGAAAAAGAGCTAAAAGAGGTTATAAAGCAACGACGGCAAGCAATTGGGTGAAAGTCAAACCCCTGCGCGCAAAGAGCGCTGCGCAGATCAAAACTCGCCGAGCACCTAACGCGGACTCCAACGGGCGGTGAGTACTGCTGCCGCTTCACGTCCCAAGAGCGGGAGCGAAGATACTCGAAAACCAGGCAAGAGCGCCTAGAGAAAGAAAAGGGGAGAATATACAAAAATTCACGACTGGAAACACGGAGAACCAGGAATACTAAGACAGAGAGGAGGGGAGGAGGAGGGGAACACACCCGAGGGGCCAAGGGAGGGGGTCGAAGCCAGAGCTAGAGGTCCCCAGGGACTGACAGGCCGCAGCCAAGCCCCAGCTACTCGTCACCCCGACAGCGCCTGATGTCCTCCCTTGGCTGAGTCTCGAGTGCTGGCTGTTGAGCCGTCGGGGCCGAGCGAAAACGATCCAATACAACGAAACAAGCCTCGCCTTGACGCGAGGATATTGACCAAAAAAACGAGCGACCTTTCTTCCCGATCCATGCCGTAGATCTTGACCAACGCGAACGAACGATCTATTCGACGGAATCCAACACACGGCTTAGGAATAAAAGGAGAAGTGGCTGAAGCGTAGTCAACAACCGAGCAACAGGAAAGAGAAGAGGAAGGGAAGGGAAAAAAAAGGGGGGGGAAAGAGGGGGGAGAACTTCACAAAGCCTCCAACGCAACGACGATCGACCCGGCTTGCCGATCCATCCAAGAACGAAAATCGCTACTGCGCAAAGTAGAGAGAGGGAGAGGTGCGCAGCCTTCCACTGCGCAACAAGTTTCAAGACAGTCAGCTTCTGACCGAAAAGGAAGGCAGGAAAGGAGGGGAGGAAAATGGGAAGGAAGGACTTAACTCGGTCATCACACCTCCCAATCTCGAACCCCAGGCACAAAACCCGCTCGAGAGAGAAAATCTCGCTCGAACGCTCTGAGCGCACTGGGAAGCGAGGGAGGGGCCACGACGTTGTCCAGCTCGAACCGCTGATGAACGCGCCAGCGGAGCAGGTGCAGCCGCTGGAAGCCGATCGCGCAGGCCAGCCGAACCCACATCCATTTCGAGGTCGTTCTCCCACGACCCCGCAAAAGGGGGAGCCCCATAGTCAGCTGCTCCGGAGTGAACGTCGACGGATCGACGTCGGTATCCTCGATGCCGAGCTTGTCAAGCAGAATGCGTAGCACCCCACCCCAGAAGCTGGTCGAGTACGCGCACTCGAAAAAGTAGTGGGACACCGTCTCGATGACCGCTGCATCGTTGCCACAGAACAGACACGTCGGCGAAGAGGCATGACCCTGAGTATGCTGCCTCTTGCGCGTCGGCGTCACGTCGTACATGAGCCGCCAGTGGGTGTCCTGCTCGACAGCAGACGCGAACCGGTCATGAAGCCATCTCCAGAAGCGCTTCCTATCGCTCTGAGAAGTCCCATCAGGGAAACGCTTGACACGGTCCTCCCTCCCTGGGAACCGCACCTTGTTCACAAGCCGACGAAGCTTGCGAATCGTAAAAGGTCGGGAGAGCCCAAAGAAGTTGAAGCACCGAGGACGGGGAGCCTCCTTGAGAGGTATCCGAGCAGGTCGCAACGCGGTCTTGGGCAGCAACGCTTTCGCCTTGAGCAACTGACCCACGCGCGACCACACGTGCTCGTGCTGTAGGGCGGGTTCCTTAGAGTGCTGCCAGAACCCGCGTCGATGACCAACCAGAGCCCATCCCTTCCCTTCGTCCCTCCAGTACAGGTCCGCGATCTGCGCAAACTTCGCCACCGCGTCCGCATCGTCATATGCGTGCTGGGCACCTTCAGCATAGAGTGAAGGGAGGCGAGGCGGAAGCGAGAGCAATTCGGGAAGCGTAAGGAGTTCGGACTTGATGGTTGGAACTGTGACCCTGGCCGCTGCAACGACTGCCCCCCAGCGCGTCGAGTCGCGATACAGCTTCTCGACCCGAGCCGTGCTGCTGAAGAACCCCCACGGACTGAAATCGCGGGTCGCAGCGACGAGGGACCTCCAGCTCTCGCGAGCTAGGGGCGCCCAGATCGCCTCGTCCGAGCCCGCCACAGCATCCCAAAATCGAAGCGCCACCGAATGAACGATGTCGCCAATCGAAATCAAACCCAAGCCACCGTCCTCCCGAGCCTGGAACACGAAATCGCGAGCGACGGTATTTCGCCCTGCTCCTCCCCAGACAAAGTCCGTAAGTGCCGTCTCCGCCGCCTTAATGAACCATTGAGGCGGTATGTCGAAGGACAGCACGTGGAGGACCGTCGAGATGATGTGAGCGTTGGCATAGAAAACCTTCCCACTCGGCGAAAGTGTCCGGTCTCGAGCGGCGCGGGTCTTGGCCTTGATCCTGTCAAGAACATGGGTCCAAAACAGTTTCGAGTCACCGTGGCGAAAGAAGGCATAGCCGCACCACTTGAAGCTCTCCCCCTCCTGCACCGTTGGCAGCGCCTGCGCAGTCTCGTCCCGAAGCCAGTTCGGTCCGAGTGGTAGCACCAGCGTCTTGTCCGTGTTGGTCTTCCCGTTGGTAGCCTCGTACCACGTCTGCGACAGCGTTTGCAGCTTCGACAATGCCGCCGGTGACTCCACCACCACCACAGCATCGTCGGCAAACGCCAGATGCGTAAGCTGCGCACGCGGCCCCCCTGGCCACACCTTCTGCAGGTCGAGCGCGATCCCGCGCCGAACGAGGGCGTCGAGGAAGGGCTGGAACGTGATGTTCCAAACCGGGCACGAGAGGGGATCCCCCTGACCGAGACCACACAGCAACCGCACCAAGTCCGTGGGGAACCCATTGACAAGGTAGCGCACCCCCAGAGTCTCGGGATCGTAGAGAGCGCGCAGCAGCGAGATGAAACGCTCACCGAACCCAAAGGCCTCAAAGACCTCGAAGATCCAGGCGTGATCGACCCGATCGTACGCGCTCTGCTGATCCAAAGACAAGAGGGCGCCCTCGGGGAAAACATCAGTGCCTAGCGACTTGAGTTTTTCGAGAAGGAGAGTGAGATGACTTCCCGCGTCCGCTGAACGTCTTGATGGCATGAAACCGTGTTGCGCCGGCGGTAAAAGCTCGCCGAGCACCCCATTGAGTCGCGCCACCAAGACCTTGCTGAGGACCTTGTAGGTCGTCTCGCGCAATGTGATCGGTCGGTATGCCCCCAGTGATTTCAGATTGGCCCCCGGTTTATTCTTGGGCAAGAGCCGCACCAGTCCCTCTGCCAAGGACGCCGTCATTTTGCCGCCCTCCCAAATCGAGTTGAACAAGTCCAACAGCTTGGGAGCAAAGTAGGTTGGCAGCGCCTTGAAGAGCTCGTACGGAATGCCCGAGGGCCCCGGTGATCGCCCCGAATCCGTCTTCTTCAACGCCGCTTCAACCTCGAGGAGGGTGAAGGGCTCGTCAAGCGCCACTCTCGCTTGACGAGGCAGCCGACGACCGAACGTAGGGTCCGAGCGGTCGTCATCGTAGCATTTCGCTGCGCGAATAGGGTCGAGCAGGGACCGGCGTGCGTTCGTCGGGTCGCCACGAGCTGGGTCCGGCGTGAAGAGCGACTGCGCGTGCCGTGAAGCAATACCCAGCGCCTCCTGCATGTCAACGGTCTCGGTGCCATCCACATCCTCCAGCGAGACGATGCTCGTCTGGCGACTCCGGCGGTTGAGGCGCGTGCGAATGCTTGCCGATTGACCTTCCCTCGAGTCGACTGACGGCACATGCGCACGAATGCGCAGCCACTGAGCCTCCTTTACCGCCAACTGGTCCAACCGCGACTTGGCAAGAGCATACACATCGCGCTCGGCCTCATTCATGTGCTCACCGCGTGCCTCCAAAGCCTCCATGACGGATTGGCTCTCGGCCCGCAGTCGGCGCATGTCGGCACGAGTCGAGCGGTATCGTGCATGGCCAGCGACTGCAACCGCCCGCAGAGCGGCGTCATAGACGTCGCCGAGCGGAGCGGTCCCCTCGAGCCTTCGATAGACCTCGTCGACGACCCCGGGAATCGATGCGACAAAGTCTTGATCGTCAAAGACCATTGGGTTGAGCCTCGAAATGAAATCGCTCGTGGAGGGAAGAGAAAGGGGGGGTTCGGCATCAGTGTTCGATGTAGGCAAAGCGAAAGTCGCAACTACAGGTCTGTGGTCCGAACAGGGCGCATCGAAGAGCGTAGAAGCGCTCAACAACCGGTTCGCCCAACTGCATTGGACAAGAATATAGTCGATCCGCGACCACGAGCAAATCTTTCGCTCTTCCCCTCTACCACGGTAGTGAGGACGAGTGAATGCAGGGGTGCAAGGATGGACATATCGGACCGTGTCGAGTGCCTTGAACGCGATCTTTGACAGCAAGGTCTGCCAGTGCGATACAGGAGTCCAAGCGCGATCGGTGATGGACACTCGGTCGACCGATACATCCGGACAATCGTTGAGATCGCCGGCCAAGATCCGAAGAATCTTGGGTCTCGGGGCGTTGAAGTGCAGAAGCCCGAAAAAGTCGCGACGATCGTCCTCCTGCACCGGCGCGTACATGTTGATGATCTCGACATCGAGCTCCTCAAGACGAAACACCGAGCGCAGAATCCGACCGTCGAAACGAGGAGCTCCTGCAAAGACGACCGGGGTAGAGGAAAGGAGATGGCCCGCCAAAGGTGAGCCATCGGGTATGAGGGTAAGGACATGAGGAGTGAAACGAATACAAGCCCCCGGCCAAGCACTCTCGAAGCCTTCGCGCGACGCGTTGTAGCTGAGGTGGTGCTCTTGCAGGAGGATGGCCGCAGGGGCCGGCCGAAGGGTTTTGAGATAACGGATGATTTTGACTTGGTTGACTGCGTTCTTCATCGATCGGACGTTGAACGTCAACACGGTGAGTGACTCAATCATGATTAAATCAGTTCAGCGCCGCCCCCCTCGAATTCGGTCACCTCGGACCTGTGACCCCCTGAACTGTTGCCCCCTGAGCCATCACCCCCTGATGCACCGAGGATCATGGCGGATCCCGCCCGGGTGACACGTCGGTTGCCGGGTGCCGAGCTCGAACGAAGGCGTCGAGGACTCGTCGAGGCTATCGAGGTTGTCGAGGTTGCCGATGATCCCGACGTGCCACCGGACAAAGGCGAAGGAGAGGTCGGGGTCGAAACGGGCGCCGCCGTCGTCGTCTGCGTCTCCTTTGTTGAGCCCAGGGTCGCACACGTCGACGTCTCTTCCCCAGTGTCGCCGCCCTCCGGTTCGGTCGAAACGACCGACTCGTCGTCGCCGTCGTTCGCGTCGTCCTTGTTGGCGGTTACTGCACCTGCGGGGTTAGCACGAGGTCCCAGCTGGATCATGTTCGCGCCAGAGACACGAGAGTTCAATGCGGCAGGCCCACCGTGCTTCCCATTCTTTCCAGCAACTCGGAAGCCGGTGGTCGAAGTCGAAGTCGAGGTCGAGGCCCCCGGAACAGGGGCGGCGGTGGCCGGAGTCGAAACCGGCTTCCTGCAAGCGCCCCACTGGTGTCCGGCGCGATCGCACACCGCGCAGTAGTGCGTCTCGAATTCGTGTCGCAAGCCGTACTTGGCGCCCAGGATCTCGATCTCTTGTGGCAAAGCGGCGTTGAGCGCGGCCTTCTGCGTCTCGATGGAGCCTTGGAAAAGATCAGCATGTAAGCGAAGGTACGCGCAGTGGAACCCGTCTTCGGTCATGGCCATCGGATCGCCATTCGGATCGACCGCGAGGCCCCGCTGTAATTGCATCAGGGTATAACCTTGCGTGCGACCTGCGCGGCCGAACGAAAGGGTGATAGCATCATCGAGAGATTTTCGGAGCACGGAAGCGGGGATCGCGCTGGAGGAGGAGGGCAAGGTGAATCGCACCTGCACGACGTGGTTAAGGGGAGAGGCGCTGGGGAGCTCGGTAACCATCTCCTTGCCGTGGTAGGGGAATGGGCCCGCTGAAGCGGCTTCAAGACAAGCTTGCTCGGATTCGAATACAAGCTCGTACATGTGACGAGCGATCGGGAACCTCTTCGTGGCTTTCGTCACAATCGGGTTCAGCTTCACGCATTTCGAGAAAAGCTTCTCGACCTCGGGGTCAAGCACGACGCCCTCGGGCCGCGCGAACATGAACGGCGTCTCGGCCAATCCAAAGTGCTTGCGCAGCGCGGTCTGTACAGGACCTCTGGGTGATCCAGGACCATCCATAATGACTCGAATCACATTGGAGGCCGGGGCTGCGTCGTTTCGCACCGCTCTTTGGGCGGCTCGTGCGAGCGCTGGCGCCTGCGAAGGCGGGGTCGAGGCGTCGTGCATCAGGACCATCAGTCGGCGGGTCGACTTGCTGGAGGGAACAATCCCGAGCACTTGGAAGGTCTTCTTCATCAGCTTCTCATGGTCCAACCGGACCTGAGTTGCCTCGGGCGACCAAGCTGGAGGATTCGCGGTTCCTCCAGTGACCGCTTCACGCGTTTGCGTGTTGAGTGATGAATCACTCGCGCCATTACCACCCAATAGGTCCTCGGGCGGGGGCGCATCGGCGCCGGGCGGATCCGGCATCGCGTGTTTGTGTTGACCTGTAAAGCTTAACGGGCTTGGAGGTCAACTACTCACTCTACACCACAGAAACTCACTTGTGTGTGTGTGTGTGTGTGTGTGTGTGTGTGTGTGTGTGTGTGTGTGTGTGTGTGTGTGTGTGTGTGTGTGTGTGTGTGTGTGTGTGTGTGTGTGTGTGTGTGTGTGTGTGTGTGTGTGTGTGTGTGTGTGTGTGTGTGTGTGTGTGTGTGTGTGTGTGTGTGTGTGTGTGTGTGTGTGTGTGTGTGTGTGTGTGTGTGTGTGTGTGTGTGTGTGTGTGTGTGCCCTAACCCTCGAATTTTGTGTTTTACGCAATATATTTGCAAAAGCTGGACGGCTTGTATCGCGCCGGTGGGTTAGGGGTATACTTGGACATTGCCATTGTCTAGACCTGGGTTCGAGTCCCAGTCGGCGCAATTTCGCTTTCTTTCTCTCTTTTTCTCTTTTTGCTTACCGTGCGACTTCTTGAGGTAGCCAATGATCCAGATATCCAGCTCCACGAAATGCATTCTCCTTCTCTTTTCATTGTTCATGCAATGGTAACACTCGAGCCACAGGGGTGGGGAAGTTAGGTGGGAGTCTTGCGGATCAAATTTGAACCTTCAAATCAATTTTTTTGTTATCAAGTAGGCAGAGAAACCCGGAAAACCGGGACACATGAGGCGGAACAAAAACAGACAGAGTGTATATGAGAATATTCTAGAAGAAAGGTTATTTTCCCCCCAAGGGTATGATGCATGCCTGACCAACCCCGGTTTACGAGTGTTGGATAACGGCGACCAAGTCACCCTGGGCAATACTGTCGCTCGGTTGAACGGAAACGCGTTGGACCTTGCCGCTGACGGGCGCCGAGACGATCTGCTCCATCTTCATCGCCGAAAGGACGCAGATAGGGTCACCGGCCTTGACCTCCTGGCCCTCGTGCACTCGGACCTCGACGACGACGGCCGACATGGGCGAGCCAACTGATCCGGGCTCGTTCGTCGCCTTCTCGCGGTGCACGGTCTCAATCGCGGCACTTCTGTCCTCGACCTGGACCGCACGCAGCTCACCGTTCAACTCGAACAGGATGTCGCGCGTGCCCGACGAGGTGTCGACGGGCGAGACGGCGATCAGCTTGACGATGAGCGTCTTGCCCTTCTCCATAGGGATGTGAATTTCCTCACCGACCGGGGGCTTGCCGAGGAAGAAACGCGTCGGCAGGACCGACAAGTCACCGTACTTGGTCGTGAATTCCTTAAACTCCTCGAATACCTTGGGGTACATGCAGTATGACAGGACGTCAGTCGACGTGATCGTCGAGCCGTACTTCTCGATGAGCTTGGCGCGCGTGCCCTCAAAGTCGTAAGGTTCCATGTCCTTGCCCGGTCGCTCGTCGATGCGCTTCTTGTCGCGAATGATCTTGGACCTCAGCGGTTCCGGGAAACCGCCCGTAGGCTGACCGAGGTAGCCCTGGAAGAACTCGACGACCGAATTGGGGAAGTCGAGCTTGTCGGCTTGGTCGATGACGTTCTGTCGCGTCAGCTTGTTGGCGACGAGGAACTGGGCGAAATCACCGACGACCTTGGACGATGGGGTAACCTTGACAATGTCACCGCACAGGATGTTGGCATCGATGTAGGACTTGACAACCTCTTTCCATCTACCGGTCAAGCCGAGTTGGGTCGATTGGAACATCAAGTTCGTGTATTGTCCTCCGGGCATTTCGTGGTCGAACACACCCGAGTCGGACGCTCGGACGTTGGCGTCGAAGCAGCTGTACAGCGTGCGAACCGAAGACCAGTAGAGGTTAAGCGCCTGAATGTTCTCGTGCGAGATACCGGTGCCGAGGTTTGTTTGCTCGAGCGCCGAGCAGACGGCACCCATCGAAGGCTGCGAGGTCGTGCCGGACATGGAATCAATGGCGACGTCAACGACATCGGCACCCGCGGCGGCGCAGGCGAGCATCGACGAAACCGAAATACCGGCCGTGTCGTGCGAGTGGACGTGGATCGGCAAGTCGGGGAATTTATTTCGGAGCGCACCAACAAGGATCGTTGCGGCCTCGGGCTTGAGGATACCGGCCATCTTCAAGCAAAAGCTCGGGGGTCAGTCACGTCGGCACGCGGGTAAGAAACATCGCAGATGTCGCAACTTACATCCTTAATGGCAAGCACGTGAATGCCGCAGTCGACGAGCTCCTGGGCGAATTGAAGGTAGTACTCGAGCGTGTACTTGGAGTGCTTTTTCGGGTTCGCAACGTCACCCGTGTAGCAGATGGCGGCTTCGACAACACCACCGGCCTTCTTGGCCGCGTCGATACCGAGCCGCATGTTGTCGATGTAGTTGAGCGAGTCAAAGACACGGAAAATATCGAGACCGTTCTCCACGGCCTTGCGCGAGAACTCGTAGATGGCGTTGTCGGGGTACGAGGTGTACCCGACAGCGTTGGCACCACGGACGAGGGCCTGGAAAGGGATATTGGGGACGAGCTTGCGCAACGAGCGCAGACGCTCCCACGGGTCCTCGTACAAGAATCGCATCGCGACGTCAAAGGTCGCACCTCCCCAGCACTCGAGGGCGTACGCATTCGACAGGGCATGCGAGGTCTCCTTGGCGATGTTGGCCATGTCGACCGTACGCAAACGAGTCGCGATGAGCGACTGGTGGGCATCGCGCCACGTCGTGTCCATGATGAGGACACCGGGGTAGGCGCGAACGGCCTTAGCGAAGGCCTCGGGACCTTGCTCGACGATGATGTTGCGCCATCCGGTCGTGCAGGGCTCGCTCGTGTCGAGGGCCTTGGTCTCGTCCTTGGGGTCGATGATGGCCGGGATCGGGATCTCTTCGTTCAAGCCGGGCTCGCCCATTTGGCCCTTGATCGTCGAGCCGTTGACGACGAGGTCGCCAAGGTAGGCCAAGAACTTTTGGGCACGGTTCTGCGACGTCACGAGCTGGAAGAGCTGGGGCGTATCGTCGATGAAGGTCGTCCACGTGTCGTTGGTGATGAAGGACTCATGCGACAGAACACGGAACAAGAAGGGGATGTTGGTTTTGACACCACGGATGCGGAACTCGACGAGCGCTCGGAGCATCTTGCGGCGAGCGATCTCGAACGTCGCACCACGGACCGTGCACTTGACGAGCAGGGAGTCGTAGTGAGGGGTGATTTGCGCACCAGCAAATCCGGATGAGGCATCGAGACGGACACCGTTTCCGCCGGCTGATCGGTACACTTCGATCTTGCCCGTGTCGGGCTGGAAGTTGGCGGCCGGGTCCTCGGTCGTGATGCGGCACTGAATGGCGTACCCACGTTTGGTGATGGTGTCTTGCGTGAGACCGAGCTCGGGGAGCGAGGCACCGGCGGCGATCTGAATTTGCGCGGCGACGATGTCGATACCGGTGATTTCCTCGGTAATGGTGTGCTCGACCTGAATTCGGGCTGGGGATGACGACGCGGACAGAGTGCGAGTGAGGTCAATATCCAAAGTCCGGAATTGCAGCGTGAGATAAATCTGAGGGCAACTCACGGTTGATCTCGATAAAGCAATGTCCCTTCGAGTCGACCAAAAATTCGCAGGTACCGGCGTTGCGATACTTGACAGCCTTGGCGATCTTGACGGCGTCGGCGAGGAGTTGAGCTCGGAGCTCCTCCGAGATGTTGCTCGCGGGGGCGAGCTCGACGACCTTTTGATGCCTACGTTGAACGGAACAATCACGTTCGAATAGGTGCACAATGTTGCCCTGGGAGTCACCGATCAACTGGGCCTCAATGTGCTTGGGCTTATCGAGGAAGCGCTCGACAAAGACGGTGCCGTCACCAAATGCCGATTTGGCCTCGGAGGTCGCCATCGCGAAGGCGTCCTTGAAGTCCTTGGCGGCACGAACGACTCGCATACCTCGACCTCCACCACCCATTGCGGCCTTGATGATGACGGGAAAACCGTACTTTTCCACGAAGTCGTTCGCCTCCTCGTAAGTCGAGATGGCGCCGGGGGTACCGGGCACGACGGGGACACCAATTTGAATGGCTGCAGGGAATGTGTGCGAGAGGTTCACAGTTCATTTTCCTCGAACGTGTAAGCGGAAGGCTAGTCGAGAAGTGCTGGGGACCCACCCAAGGTTCGGGCCTTGATCTTATCTCCGAGGCCGTCAATGACGCTGGGCTGGGGTCCCACGAAGAGCAAGCCGGCATCCTCAACGGCCTTGGCGAAATCGGCGTTCTCTGAAAGGAAACCGTATCCGGGATGGATCATGGTCACATTGTGCTCTACGGCAATCTGTATGTTGTGGAAAGGGCGGTGAGGCGAGCGCGCAAAGTCAGTTACTATCATATTCGTTCTCCAGGAGCAAGCGGACCGCTCCCGACGACGAGAACGGGAGCTCCCGAGGCTCGCTGCCCGGTTGCACCATCCTGTGAGCGAACAAGCTATACTGACCTTGATGATGTTCTTGTAGTCAAGGTAAGCCGCGACGGGGGTAAGGCCTTCACCGACGAGGAAAGACTCGTCGGCCTGCACGATGATTTGCGCGGGGAATGACCGGATATCAGCTCCGGTTGCCCCAGCCAACTTGCCGAGGCGACGGCGATCGTTGCCGGGGCGGAAGGGGGGTTCCAGAAAGACATTACCTTGTTGCGATGGGCCGAGAAACGATCCTCCTTGGAGTAGATGGCGACGGTGGTCATGCCCAACTCATGGGCGGTTCGGATGATGCGGATCGCGATTTCCTGTGTACGGCACCATCGTGGCTTTGGCGGGGTCAGCCAACTCGGCCAAGCAGGTCACCCGTGAAATCGTAATCAGCGGTCCGGGGCGGCGACGGCAGCCAGCTGGCGCGCTCGCCGGCGTATAGCTTGGCGCAGCGCTCGACCAACCCGACGGAGCTTCATCAAGCCGGAGCCAACCGAACACAGCACTCAACTCACACCACGGTTCGCGACGAGCAGTTTGCGAGGAGGTTGAGCACCTCGACCCAGTCGTCGGAGGTTGTTGATCGACGGTGAAGCCGCCCCCCCAGGCGAGCCAGGGCGAGACTGCCTGCCCAGGTGAGAACGAGCCGGCAGCAGCAGCAGCAGCAGCAGCAACGTCAGTGGGGGTGGGTCTCAAGGCGATAACGACGGCTCGTGTTCGCCCATCCTACGCACGCACTTGGCATGCGACTGGGACCGCGGCTGAAAGCGTGGGTGGAGAACTCACTTTGGTGTCTTGAGCGCTAGAGCTACGTCAGCCATGCTATGCGACGGTTGGAGCTACTGAAGTGAGCGAGATAGGGAGGACTGCCGATCAAAAGGCGAGGACCCCGAAAGCCCAGCTTGTCGAGCGCCGGACTACATAGATGAATTTTGGGCGATTTTTAGGCAGAGAGCCGATCGTTCAGAGTCGCCTCTCGTTATCCATCGACACGGTGAGAATTTTGACAGCTCAATTTTCAGGTGAAGACTTGGATTTTACACAGAAGCACTTGTGCGGTAATGCCTTCACCGGCTCGTAGAATCCGAGCCGGATCGACTTCATTCGGGGAAATCGCGATCGTGGGTCTTACGGCCGGCACACGTAGAACAGACGCCTTTGTCGATTTGGCGCGAGTCGAAACGTATGATCGATCTATCTGGCGATTCGAGCTCAGGAGGCCGCACCGTAACGCCGAGGAGGGGTGCTGCACATCATGTTGTTGAGAATCAAGAAGCTGGTACAGTCATCCGGATAGCTTTACATCAGCAAAATATATCGCTCACTGCCTGCGAGTGATAATGCCTCGCAGCTCTATCGCGATCCTTCACCGATCCTATCGGCCCATCGCTAGCGACTTGACACTGCTTAGTCTGGAATTGGAGGGCAAGACTCGAGCATAATGAATTGCCCCTCCGAAGATCTGTTATTCCGATCACAACGAGAGGAGCGCGTTCGGACCCCTCGACTTATTTACTCACGCGCGGCCCCCTGTCTTTTCGGCCGCCGCTCGCGACGTCACCGACAACGTCCACCAGCTTCTTTGAGTCAGAAGTCTCCATTCTCAGTGCGACCGATGTAAGATCAGACATTGTTTAGTTTCATTCTATATATAGGGGTAGTTGTTTTGGCCGCCAAGAGAACATCTCTAATCTGTTAATCGGCCGGGTACTGTCAACGGACAAGTGCACCAAAAAAGGTAAGGGGTCTGCTACAATTGTCAGGGTCTGTAATAAGGAATTTACCTACCTGGACACCGTCTTAGGTATCTGGACTACCTAGGTACCCACCATCAGTTGCATAAATCCCTATTCGGAATGTGGAGCTGTTGAATGGGCTCGATGGACGTGCGAGAAAAGCGAGCAAAGTCTTCCAAAGGGCGAAACGCCCGAGCTCGCGATCGCTCTTCGCTGAACATGCCAGATGCCCGCGTCCAGGCTGCTTTTGATCGTCCGCGAACAAACGTTTCAGATGGTAGAGTGTGTAACTCGGAACGAGTCCCACCCACTGTTTGTTGGCCAGAGATAAATAACCTAGGTAGGCACGGTCCTAGTCTTGAAGGGACTTTTCAGTCACGCAATCTCCAACGCCAACGTCCGTCCAGAACCAAGCATTATTCATCCTCAAGAGTCGCACGTCGTCGACCGAACGGCTTGAGTTCGTTTCGGCTAGCTCGGGCCCTCCGAGTCGGTCGTCCAGTTCTGCCTCTCACCCTTCAAGCGCTTGCTTTCACTCCCCCTATAGGCAAAGCCTCGGCCTCAAGATGATCCTACATGGGTCACGGTACCACTTGGTCACCCTCGTCCTATTGTCGGTCCTTGCGGGTTCGGCCCTCGCCGTCTGGCCTCAGCCTCGAGCGATCTCCCGCGGTACAGGGACTGTACGACTGTCCAAGCGTTTCTGCATCGTGATTGACAAGGAGGACGAACGTCTTTTCAAGGCCAAGATTTCAGATGTAAATGACACGCCGAACGTTGCAGTTGGCGTTGTGCGGGAGATGCAGCGAACGACTAACGACCTGACGGACCATTTTCACGTGACCCCAAATCAGTTGGCACAAGCTATCAAGCGATCGCAATCGAGAGTTCAACACGACACTCATGCGCTTCTCAAGCTGGACCGGGGGGCTTCGTACCTGTAAGTCTGTTATACTGGGGAAGCGATAATGCTTTTCCTTGTACTCACGCGACGGCCTAACAACGTCTCCACATGGGCCGCTTCGGCAACAGACAATCCGTCCGAGAAGCGGCGGTCTTGACGACACTGTCGCTTTCCATCAAACCCGAAGGACGACGACGTCCGATCACGTACGAGACAAACCTTCCGTATGAAAAGCAGGATGAATCTTGTACGTTGCATCAAGTGACCTCCATGTGCTGCTTGCAAATGTAGGGCAGCTCATCCCAAATCTTCTCACGATGGACGAATTCTTTTTTCGCATCAGATACCCTCACGGTCCCTGCAAGATGCTCGAAGGGCCTGTGCACCGGCACCCTCACCGCCGAGACCACTTTGGGCTTGCTAAGGGGCCTGACGACGTTCGAGCAACTGGTCTACTCGTTCCCCTCGAACGTCAAATCGAAGTCCAAGTTCATCATCGACATGCCCATCAAGATCGAGGACAAGCCAGCATTCCCCCATCGCGCGTTCATGCTTGATACAAGTCGTAACTTTTACAGTATAGGAGGTAAGTCTCGACCAAGTGTAGCTGACATAATGCATCTCCGGTTTCGGACTTACCTCGTTGCTGTCCTGTTTCACTCCAGACATTTTTCGCACCCTGGACACGATGAGCTCGGTCAAGCTCAATGTTTTCCATTGGTCAGTACGTGTCGTGTTGATCTAAGATAAACCACGCTGACCAGTTCGGTGTGTACAACGCAGGCACGCGACCGATTCGCAATCGTGGCCCCTGTCTCTCCCCGCCTTCCCCGAACTTGCCAAAGCAGGCGCGTATTCGCACGATCAGATCTATTCGACGAGTGACATCAAACGCGTACAAAAGTATGCGAATCTGAGGGGTATCTCGGTTTTGCTCGAGATCGACATGCCTGGTCACACGGCTTCGATCGCAGACGCTTATCCGCAGTACGTAGCCTGCGCGAATCAGGATTGGACCAAATATGCCAACGAACCACCGACTGGTAACTTACTCTTCGCACCGTGATTGCTCTGTGGAACTTGTGTGTTGATTTCTTTCCATGAATTTGCTTACTCGCACAGGTCAACTCAAGCTTGGGGACGCCGAGACTAGGAAATTCGCGAGTGCGGTCGTGAAAGATGCGAGCTCGCTGATGAAGTCGCCCTATTTCTCCATCGGAGGCGATGAGATTGTCAGTATCGCACCCTGCGACTTCGCGTAAAAGACGAAGAGTTCACGCACTGATGGAAACATCAATCCAAATAATGAATCGCGCAGAACGAAGTCTGCTACCAAATCGACCCAACGACCTCTGCCGCTCTCAAGCAGCGGTCCATAAGCTCACTTCTTAAAACCTTCTTCGACTCGGTGCATGGCGTGCTCGAGGTGGCAAAAAAGACGCCCGTCGTATGGGAAGACATCGTTCTCAAACACAACGTCTCGGCGGGCGGAAAGAAGGCGATCGTCATGACTTGGATTTCGGCGACTAGTGTCCAAGCACTGGTGCAAAAGGGATATCGAGTCGTGCATGCCTCTTCGGATTACCTCTACCTCGATTGCGGAGGTGGTGCTTGGGTGGGCGGTACAACGGGCAACTCCTGGTGCGAGTGAGTAACACGTGGACTGGCGGTCCTCACTGATCAGCATCAGGAGCTGAGTTTCGCGTTTGGGGTTTTCACAGTCCTTTCAAATCGTGGCAAAAGGTGAGCGGCCTACCCTGGGACGTCTTCAGCATACGCCCCCTTCTGACTGCTCCTCTTGTTGCCAACACAGATGTACTCTTTCGACCCTTATGCCAAGATCACGAGCTCTCAACGCCGGTTGATCATGGGCGGTGAAACATTGCTCTGGTCCGAGCAATCGGATGGCTCGAATCTCGATCCTACCACCTGGTGCGAATTGTTTATCTCGATTCTACTCTCATCGACTGCAAAGAAGGCAGCTGATACTCTTCTAACCACGAATTCACTCCTATCAGGCCACGAGCAGCCGCAGCTGCCGAAGTATTCTGGACCAACAACGCTAGCCGCAGAGCGATCGACGCGTTGCCGAGATTGCACGATTGGAGGTATCGCGCCGTCCAAAGGGGCGTCGCTGCGATTCCGATCGGTCCTGAATAGTCAGTCCTCTCACTTCCCACCACTCTAGTTCCACCTACGAGAAGTGCCGCTTACCGAACCTTTATGTCCTGTACACAGCTGCGCATTGCGGCCGGGTGCTTGCAACTTGTAGGGCTCTTCCGCCACGCGCCTCTTTGACGATCCTCCTACGACAACCGATATCCGAAACCCCTTTTCCAGACTGTTCATATACGCTCTTCACGCCAGTCAAGTAGTATGAGTGAAGTAGTATGTTCTATTTTGTAGAATTGCACAAATAACCCACGGCGCTTGCGCGCCTGCTATGCCGAAGGAGTTCACAAAGATCTCACCAATCACTTTCAAGGAAAGAAGGCGATAACGAGAGCCTCGGGGTTTAATCCTCGTCCCAGTTGGGGTTTTGTTTTGGTGCTGCCGGTCCACCCGCTTGCCTCGACATGATGATAGAATCGACCCTCAAAACCGACACGGCCGCATCAGTCCCATACCTCAACGCCCACCGTGTCGCAGCCAACAAATCAAAGATCTCGTGCTTCTCCGCGTCGATCAAACCACCATTCTCGCCTTCGATATTGACACCAATGACCCCTCTCTCATCAGCTTGATGAGCAGCATACAACCGACTCAACGTCTCCGTCGCGTCCAGCCCCGCGTTCTCCGCCAACGTTCGCGGGACGACCTCAAGCGCATCGGCGAAACGTTTGATCGCATGTTGAGCCAACCCAGGGGTCTTTTCACCAATCTCGGCAATTCGTTTGGCGAGTTCCAGTTCGGTCGCGCCCGCACCGGCGACGAGACGAGCGTCCTTGAGGATCCCTTTGACGACGTTGACGCCGTCGTCGATCGCTCGTTCGATATCGTCCATTTGGTTCGTCGTCGCACCTCGCACCACCACGGTCGCCGTTCGGGTCGCCTCGTCGGCTTGACGGAACACGGTGACGCGATCGCCCCCGATCTCGACCGTTTCGACGATGTCGCATTGACCCATCTCGTCGATCGTCGGGGCTCCGAGACGCGCGAGCGGGGTCGCGCCGACGACGCGGCACAATCGTCGCAAATCGAATTTGGAGAGGACCTTGATGACGAGGATGCCGTGGCGGTTGAGGTAGTGCAGCGCGAGTTCGCCGATCGACGAGCCAGCGACGACGACGTTCAATCCCGAATCAGCGAGCTCTTGGAAGATCTGTAGTGCGCGGTCGATCAGTTTTCTTGAATGAATCATACTCATTCGTCACCACCAGGGGGGCGCACCTTTTCCATATGCTTCTCCTCCCCTCTGGAAAAGTTGAGCAACTCCTCCGAGTTCTTGAGCAGGACCGTTCCTTTGGTCTCGGTCTGCGCAATGTCGATCCCGCAGGTGAAGACGCCGACCTTGGCGTTGGCGGCCTTGAGCACGGTCCCTTCTGGTTCGCGACCAAAGACCATACCGCGCACGACTCGGCTTTGCGACAGACCGCCTCCGAGGATCTTGACGACTCGGACGTTGTCGACGTTGAACTGTGGATGTCGACCCAATGATGCAGTCTTAGCAACACTCCAAGCTGTGTGTCTGGCATGCATAGTTGACCCACGTTCTTAGGGTTCTTGGGCATGACGGCCATGACGGCCTCGGCGACGAGTTTGGACAGGAGGTCCTCGGATCCGTACTGCTTGGAAGCGAGCGTCGGCTTGAGCGCGAGTTGGAGACTGGCGTCGGTCAAAGGTGTTTCGAGCGTTCGGATCGACAGCTCTGTTTGACCAGATGGGGTTCGTCAGTGGATCGCCGCAAAGCTGACACCGCCACAGCAGAGAGAAGGGCACTGACTCTCCAATTCCTCGATCGCCCTGTCGCGGGCCATCTCGTACCCCAGCACGACCTCACTCGGATGAAGCCCCATCGTCAAGAGGTATTCGGCCTTGCGAAGCAGTTCGCCCGCAAGTATGAGCACGAGGTTGGTGCGGTCGCCCATCTCGGCCTCTTGTTGCTGCGAGGCCATGACGAGCACCTTGCCGGCGGGGTGCACGACCTCGAGTTCGCGGATGATGGTCGCCGCGTCCGAGGTGACGAAGAGACGTTCGAGGTGGTTGATGACCATCTTGTTGCGTCCATTGGGGCCTGCGGTGAGGAGTGAGGAGGTTAGGATAGGGATCATCAGAGTGTTGGTGGCTGCGATGTCACGTACCAAATGAACTGAGGGATGCGCCGAGGGAAAAGGGTCGCGAGATAGGTCCATCCATGCAGGGTAGGTGGGGTCAGTCACTGAGGTGAGGCAAGTGAAGCTGGTTTCGTTGAATTGCTCACGTCCTGACGATCTCTGCCAATTCTACGACGGCGTGGATGTTGCTGTGGGTGTGAGTAATCGAGTGATCAGGGGTCGATCAGGCGCGCGTCAGCTTGGCCGTGGAGGTCGTTGTCGTCGTCGTCGCCGTCGTCGAGTGCGAGCCAGTGTGTGCCATGGGAGCAGAGGTGACGAGGTGCCACGAAAGCTTACCGAATGACAGCTTCCTCGATACCGGAGTGCATCTGTGTGAGAGAAGAGCGGGGGAATCAGTCGGGATGCTCGTGCGGAATGTGGCGCGACGCGAGCACGAGCAGATCACGGCTGCGACGAGGAAGCGCCGAGGGGCTGACTGACGTTGTAGCCATCCTTGAAGAGGTTGTTGCCCGGTCCGGCAGAGGGAATACGCAAGGAGCCCATTGTCGAGTGTGGGGGAGCAGCAGAGTGGAGCCAGAACAAGCCGAGTTCAGTCGACACAGACCGGTCCACACACACTGTCTACGGTCTGCAGGCAGCTGCAGGCGCGTCTCTCCCGCGCGCTCGGGCCTCTCGCAGCCTCTCGCAGCCAGCCGCGGCCAGCCGGCAGTTCGCCGTCGCAGCCGTGACCAACCAAGCCGAGCAGCGGTCTCTCATTCCGACTTCTCTACACTCGCCTCGAAGCACCACCCATTCAGCCTTCGTCTCCGCCCCATCCCCCCTTTGAGCCAGCCCAACATGGCTGCTCCGACACTACCCTCGCCCTCCGTATCAACTGATGCTTGCCCTCCGCTGGCCTCGTCCTCGTCGTCGTCGTCGTCGTCGTCCTCGAGCCAGCGCGGTCGACCGCCACCCGCCGTTCATCTCGTTGCAGGAGGGTCAGTTCCCTCTCTCAGCGCACCTCGTCAACTCACACGAATATTCATTCCCTCACTCAACCCCACAGCCTCGGAGGAATGTGCGGCTCGGTCGTCACAGCCCCCTTTGACCTCGTGAAAACGCGGCTCCAATCCGACATGTTCCATCCCACTTCCACCTCCGCAACCTCCACCGTACCACGCGGACCGATGCGACAGCTTCTCGGAGCATTTGCAGATACAGGTCGAATACTGAGGTAGGTGACCCAACCTACACCGTCGACCGCTCGTATACACTCTCCCCCACGCCGATCGGCAACTCGGCTTCGTCGCGCTTCGCAAGCCGGTCCTGCGGATTGCCGCCAGTCGGACCTGGATGTACGCGCATGAACTCACCCCTCCACACCCCTCTGCCCGTTCACTTGCACCCGTGCAGGGATATCTACAAGTACGAAGGACCGACCGCACTCTTCAAAGGACTCGGCCCCACACTTGTCGGCGTCGTACCGGGAAGGTCAGTGTCCCCCACCCTTGGCCACCCCCACGCGCCTCGCCCCTGTCTCATCCTGATTTCTCCCCGCCATCGGTCCCCGCTTTCTTCCAGGTCCATCAATTTCTTCGTTTATGGAAACGGAAAGCAAATCTACGCCGACGCATTCAATCACGGGCAAGAGAATGCACTCGTCCATCTTTCGGCAGCTGCAACAGCAGGTCAGTCCCAAGTGGGGGTGGATGAACTGTCTCGGGTCAGCCGCTCACTTATCGTTCACAATTACGCAGGTGTCACCACCGCCGCGGCCACAAATCCCATTTGGGTCGTCAAAACGGTCATGCAACTGCAGCAGCAACAACGACCCGGCAACTCGTCCTCGTCCACCTCTTCCTCTTCCTCCTCCGCTGCTTCTCGAAAACCGCTCCCTTCCTTCCCGACGACGCTCAACCCTGCAACAGCGACCTCGTCCTCATTTTCCCACTCCTTCCGCTCCATCACCTCACCTCCACTACCTCTCTCAACCAAACCAACCTCCTATACGACCACCATGCGCATCTACCGCAAAGAAGGGATCCGAGGATTCTACAAGGGCCTTTCCGCAAGTCTACTCGGGGTCACAGAGGGGACGATTCAATGGGGGTTGTATGAGCAGTTCAAGCTTTTGGCGAGGAAGGGGCAGAGTTTGGAGGAGAGGGAGAAGGTGGGGAATGGAGGTTGGAGGGTTAGTGTGGCGGCGGGAAGTGCCAAATTGGTCGCGACGGTGATCACTTATCCTCATGAGGTCAGTTGCTGTGGTGAATCTGGCTGTTGAACACTCCGAGGGCTTTCGACTGATTGATTGAATACTGCTTTTCTATAGGTCATTCGAACTCGATTACGACAACCCTCCCCACCGGGTCAATCACCGCGCTACACCTCTTTGCTCCAATCCTTTAAGTTGGTCCTAGCTGAAGAGGGTTGGCGAGCCCTATACGGTGGCATGAGTCCTCATCTCTTGAGGGTTGTCCCCAACGCTGTGACGATGTTTTGGGTCTATGAGAAGGTTGTAGGGATGTTTGATCAACCTGGGCGGAGAATGGAGGCGAGGAGGGATTGATTCCACGGTCACGAGGGTCATTCGATTCGCTCGGAGATCCATCATGGACCCTAGCAGGTGGATGTGTTTTTAAAGCTCCTTTGCAACACTGTTTCCCTTCGCATATTATCTTGTTCTCTTCACACCACTCTATCGATCACGTAGCAAATTGCAATAAAATCGCATGCAAGATGGACTTGCGACGACTTTGGCTCTCGAGAATTTTCTCGAGTTGACGCGCTCGCGACCACCACCCGGCTCCTCATTCTCCGACGCCCACTCGACCTCAGCTCCACCGACTGTTCACGCGCCATGTCAGCTATCGTGTACGTCCTTCCAAAGTTTCTAAGCACTCGTTCTAAGCACGCTTCCGGCTAATCCTCTTGGCCCTCCTCTGTGCATGTACCCAGCGCCGTCGAACCCGTGACGTCCGGAACGGCGCTGCTCAAGACCTCCGTCGGGGAGATCCTCATCGAGTTATGGCCTCGTGAAGCACCAAAGGCATGTCGGAAGTGAGTACAGCAAGTACCTAAACCCAAGTATGCCTCTGCTCACCTGATAAGCTGATGCAACGGACTACGCCCATCGTCTGGTCGTACGCCTGAACTCGATCAGCTTCGTCCAACTAGCGATGGAAGGCTATTACGACGACCTCCCCTTCCACCGCATAGTACCCGGCTTCATCGCCCAAACAGGTGATGCAACAGGGACGGGAACTGGCGGGGAGAGTATCTATGATGAGGGGGAGTTCGAGGATGAGTTCTCCCAGGTTCGTTCTTTGATGCTCGTCCGGCGGATGGGTGGTGGTTGGAGGCGTAGCTAATGATGTAGGCGATGATGAACATGACAGAGGCTCAAGTTCAATCGACGGGGGTTGTTGGGTATGGCGAACCAAGGTCGGAATACGAACCTGTCGCAGTCAGTCTCGCCACCTCTAACTTCGAGTAACCCCAACCCCCACACCCGTTTCCCTCCCCTCGAGCTAATCTCGCTCACGAAACCCCCCATCCCCACCTCCAACCCGGCCCCGCCAGATTCTTCTTCACCCTCGACCGCGCCGACGAGCTCTACCAACGCAACACCCTCTTCGCGCGCGTCGCAGCCGGCGATACCCTCTTCAACGTTCTCAAACTAGGTGAAGTCGAACTCGAACCCGGTACGGATCGACCCGTTTACCCACCCAAGATTCATTCGATTCGTATTCTGGATAACCCTTTCGAGGACATCGTGCCGAGGATCACGCCCGAGGAGAGGAAGGAACAAGATAGGGCCAAGAGGGAGATGAGGTTGGAGAGGGCCAAGCAGAAACAGTTTGGTAAGAGGAAGGGGACAAAGTGAGTTTCGAACGGTGAAAGACGGAGGCGAGAAGGGAATTGAACAGGCTCGACGTTACCGGGCACGAGGGTTCACCTTCGATTCGGAAGAGCATGGGTACTGATACGCATTTTCGCACCACCGCAGAAATAAAGCGCTCCTCTCTTTCGGTGCCGAACCTGAAGAAGAAGCGCCCATCGATCCCGACTTGGCCAAAGCCAAGTTCAAATCCGCTCACGACGTACTCGACGACGGCCAATTGAGTAAAGAGGTCATTGATGATCGTGGGATATCGGCGACGTTGCCTGATTGGATGCAGGCGCCGACCAGCGCTTCGGCGGCTGTACCGACCGCTGGGAAAAGAAAGGAGGATGAGAAAAGGAAAAATGATGCGGAGGTGAGGGAATTGGAGAACAGTTGACACGATGGAGTAGTTGAACTGATTTTTCCTTATTCGTCACCGATACCCTGCAGGAACCCAGAATGGCCGAATTGACGTCGTTGCGACAAGCCAAGGAACAAAAGACCAAAGCTGCGGCGAACCCTACTGCGGCGGATAAAATCAGGGACGAGATCGCCAAAGTTCAAGCCGACCTCAAACGAATGACCCGAGATGAAGAGGCCGGATCATCGGACGAGGATGAGAGGGAGACGAGCAAAGCCAAGAAGCCGAAGCGGAGTGGTCCTTCGTTGTTACAGCTCGAGAGGGAAAGGTATCAAAAAGCCGGTGCGATCAAGAAGGAGCATGGCAAGCCGAATGAGGATGACATGTTGTCGATCCTTGATGGGTTCAAGAGCAAGTTGAAGCAGGCTAGACCCAAGGGGAAAGAAAAGGAGAAGGAGAAGGAAATTGGCCAGAATCGTAAAGAATCGGACGAACGGTATGGGATTGACGAGGATGACGATTCCGACGTCGAGGATTGGATGTCGCATAAGCTCGTGTTCCGCAAAGATGCGACGTTGGACCAACATACGATTGACGAATACTCGGTCGTTGATCCTTTGGCGAAGGAAACGGCGTCCTTGGCGGAGTTGCAGGAGAAGAAGGACTCGAGAAGGAGGTACCCTGGGGACCACAAAGATGAACGAGGAGGAGGGGGTGGGCGATTGGATCAACGCTCGAGGGACTCGGGAGGTCGAAGGGATGGTCGGTCATTCAGCAGGGACGACGGTGGTCGAGGCGGTGGTCGAGGCGGTAGTGGTAGTGTTGGTGGAGGGGGAGGATTCGATCGCCGAGGTGAACGGCCCGAGGTGCGCGGCGATTGGAAGCAGGATCGAATGAGGACGAATGACTTGGCCTAGGCCGAGGCGAGATTGTGCATGATGATATGCAATGACAACCCCCCACGCTTGAATCATACTTTAGCTACGTTGGGCACTGTCTGATCCGAGAGAGCTTTTGCAACCTTGAGTCGCAATCGGTCGGTCGCACCGGCCGCGTGAAAAGGAGCAAGAGGCCCGTTGCTCCTTTCCCCGCCGTATGCTTCCCTGAGCCTCCCTGAGCCTCCCTGAGCCCGCCGGCGTTGACGCTCATTCCTCTGCGTTACCCCTCATCGACGGGCTGAGACCTGACTCATCCGTGACCGAACCCGACCCGCCCAACCGCTCCTTGCTCCGGGTCGATCGCCCTGACGATTCCTCTTGCTCGTAGTGGTACCTCTCATCGCATCGCTATCGCCTTTGAGACAAGTTCGCCGCTAACTCGATCGTTCGTTCGAGACTAGTGGGGGTAATACGGAACGAATCACGCGCTTCGACGTGGGCTAGCGACAAAGTGACACGACCTCACCACGTGACGACGACATGGATTCTCCCTCGCCAGCTAGCACCTACTACTCGACCGTCGATACGCCCTCTTCGAGTGGTACAGCCGATTCACCCCCTGCTGGTGATGCAGTAGTGGTCCAAGGTGGCGCTCTCGACGACTCGGCAGCGCTCGTCAATCAACTCGAGTCCATGAGCCTTCGCGCCTCCTCCCAGTCCCCACCTCCTCAACAACCGCCTGGCGCATTCCCCACCGAATTACACCTTGGTCCGACCCATGCTCCTGCCACAGCATCGTCGACCGTAGGCGAAGATGTCGCCGCCGTCAAAGTCGAGTCCGCCGGGGTGCCGCCTTCGTTGCAGCCAGCCGCAGAGGCTCCTATCAGGGCCACAGCCGCCGTGGCGCGACCTGAACATTCGTCGCCTTCCAAAACTTCGGATGTGCTCTCCATCAACTCGAACGCGAGCACCCTCAGCTCCCCCGGGTCGAACACCATGATGCCCTCGCCGTTCCCCAAGATCGCGACCGATCCCCACTTGACCAGACCGATCGTGTCGCCCGCACCGCCGTCTCGACGCACCGTCGTCATCTTTCAAGAGGCGTGCGCAGGTCATCGTTTCATTCGCTCTTCGGACGTGACGGGCATCGTCGAGCGGCCGGAAAGGATCCGGGCTGTCAAGACTGGAGTCGCAGCGGCGTGGGCTCGACTGGAGGCGCGCAACGTCGCTCAAGGAGGTGTACGATGGATGGGCAACCCTCCTGCGACGCCGGACTCGGACGACGTCGCCCAGAACCTTGGCGACCTGCTCAACAATATGAACATCCAGGACCTCAAGGGCAAGGGCAAGGAGATTCTCGGCGGACCATTTGACGTGCTCCAGTCTACAAGTCGGGCCGCCATCGACGACCCGGCGATTCGATTGATTCACCCACTGCCTCACACCGCTCCCGGCGCACCGGATGTCGACATTGCTCCTCCCCCTCCAACCTCACCCCCTGCTGCCTCGACTCCGACCCGCGCAAGCCGAGCCTCAGTCGCCTCGACGCCGACTCGGTCCGGGAAAGAGGAGGCGACCCCGGCTTCAACCTCGACCCCGACCGCCGCCGAACGCGGTCCTGCGACCTTGCCGCCTTGGCCTCAACAGCTCGCTAATTTATGTAGAGGAGCATCGACCGCCATCGCGACCGGTGCGCGTCATTCCGAGATTCCGGCGCATCTGCCTCAGGGCGACCTCTACCTGTCGGAGCAGAGCGAGGATGCCATCTTTGGAGCCATTGGCGCTGTGTGTGAAGGCGTCGACAGGGTCGTGCAGGGTTCTAGGACAACGGGCAATGGGTATGATCGGGCCTTTGTGGCTATTCGTCCCCCAGGTCATGTGCGTCTTTCGATGATCTGCTAGCGATCGGGAATAGTAGGCTGACTTTTTCGTCTATCTTGTACGCTGAACAGCACTGCTGTGAGGCCACGCCGATGGGCTTTTGCTTCTTGAACAACGTTGCCGTTGCTGCGGCTCATGGTGGGTCGTATCGGCTAATCGACTCACGCCGATTGGGCTCCTATTGACAGCTCCATATGCTCTTCTCAGCCCACCTCAATCACGGCATTGAACGAGTCGTCATTCTCGACATTGATCTGGTATGGTATGACGAGGGAAGGTGGTTATCCAAACTATCTGATCACTGATGCGATGGTTAAATGATTGGAATAGCACCACGGCAACGGCACTCAGGACATCGCGTGGCGCATCAACGCCGACGCCAACCGCGCCGTTCAGGAGTTGCAGGCAAAGTCTCCGCGCAAAGGTTCGCCGCGAAAAGGGGCTTCGCCTCCGTGCCGGCCCGGTTTGCAGATCATGTATGCGTCGTTGCACGATATCTTCTCTTATCGTCAGTTCACATTTCCCGGGCTGGCGTGGTTGTCATTCCCGTAGGCAACAGGCTGACACGGGATCTCCTCATAGCTTGCGAGGACGGTGATCCCTCCATGGTCCAAGCCGCTTCGCTCAATCTGGCTGGTGGACACTCTCAATGGATCTCCAACGTGCATATCGAACCCTTCGGGACGGAAGCCGAGTTCCACGAGAAGTTGTACCCTAAATACCGCCAAGGGTTACTCGGCGCGGCGACGAAATTCCTCGAGCAAACGGCTTCGCGCGACGGCGAGGATGAGAACAGGACTCTGATCATTATAAGTGCAGGTGAGTTGAGCCCCGCCCACACAAGGCGAACCCAAGTTGCTCACGCCCTTCTATGGTGGCACAGGTATGGATGCTTCGGAGCACGAGTCGGCCGGCATGAGCCGTCATCGACGCAACGTCCCTACAACCTTCTTCCACCGCTTCGCTCGCGAGACGGTGGGCCTCGCCACGACTCACGCCGCCGGGAAAGTGCTGGTCGTACTGGAAGGTGGTTATTCAGATCGTGAGTGCCTTTTCGGCACCGAAAACGGGGCTCGGCCCACTAAAGATGACCCTTTGATGGCAATCCTCCGCTACCAGGCGCGCTCTGTTCGGCGACGATGGCATTGATGGTCGGCCTGACGGAGTCACCACGCCTGCTTGAGAAGACGTTCCTCGCCCAAGACGGCAACGAGATATCGTGGTGGGAAGAGAAAAATCTCGCCAAGATCGAAAAGGCGTGCAAACCGAAGCGCGGGAAGCTGCACACCCCCTTCGCTGCGGGAACCGCCGCTTTCGCTGCAAACGCTTCCGGGGCGAGCACGAACGGCGCTACGGCGACGGCAGCCACCGTGGATCACCCCGACGCATGGCTCAATCGAGCGGTCGAGATCTTTGCGGCCATCGAAGGATCCGAGACGGTGGCCGCGCCGAACAGTGACGCTGTAGCGGCAGTCAAGGACAAAGCTGGCTTGGGCTCGCGCACTATGCAACTGCGTGAACGAAGGCCTCGCGGGCTGGGCCAAGATTTGGGCTTTGGCGGTGGTTCAAGGGATTCGTCGCCGCAACCGTCCGCACAATCGACCCCCGACAAGAGATCCGGCGTTGGCGCAACACAGCCATTCGTCACGGCATCGACGTCCAGGGGGAACAACCTCATCTCGGGCGAAAAGGCTTTCACGGGCCTCGTGAGGACCCAAGACATTTCATCGCTCAAAGGCCGAAGCCAAGGCAACCTGGAAGCCAGTCACGACTCAAACGCTGATTCGCAGTTCGTCATGCGACATTGCCATACCTCTGAACGGACTGCGCCCGCGAGTGATCGCTCAGCTGACGACAGCGCGATCGCTCTCTCGGCCGTCACGCCGGAGCACCATGAGAATGCCCATCCGACGGTCGCGCCTCGCATCAAATTCACCTGGAAGCAAGGTGGGGTCGAGTAGCTGTTAGATACTTTTCCTGGGTGTTTGCAGACGTGGCCATAATCAAATACCGTAGCTAGGAAGCTGGGTAGAGGTCCCCCTGCACGGTGCTGTTCTGTCAGGTTCCTGTGCAATGCTCTATCAAGCGACGGAGCACCTGCCGGCTCCTGGTTTGGCCTCATAGAACCTCGGATACACGCTCTGCATGAGACATCATCGACTCTGAGTCGGTTATTTCAAATTGCAGTTGACCCAGGCTGTTGCACTAGACGAATCGGAATCGGTGTTCTTTGTACCAGGGTCGTGCGACCTCATGTCGAAGAGTTGGAACCTTCGATCCAACGTTCCTCCCGCGTGAGCTTGAATTCCGCAGCCTGTCCGATTGCGCGACGACCCGGCCGAACACGGTGGTCGCGAGCTTGTGAGCTTTTTAGCGTCAGCGAGAAAGCGCGAGATGGGCTAGCCCAGGCGCAGCGCGCGGGTCAGGTCGGTCAGGCCGGTCAGGCCTGTCAGCGCTTCGGCACTGAAAGGAGGTCAGGCTATGAGCCATCGACCCAGCGGTTCGAGGACCTCTCCGATGCCGATGCCACCGGTCGGTGGACTAGATCCGGTCCGGGTGGTACGACTATTTTTCCTGTTATTTTGATCCCAGTTCGACGCGCGTTGACAGGCATTCTTGCATCCGCGCCCGCTAAAATGCGCAAGCTGACGCCTATTGCTAACGTCGTCCGATCGCCGGCATGCGGCCGGGTGGACTGGGACGGAAACACGCTCGTCTCGTCAACGTGCGAAGGGGACCAGATTGCACTGGTATACCCAAAACTGAAAGAAGCGAAAAAGACGGCTGTCGACTATGGTACTATATATTTACTAAAAGAGAGGATTGTCCACGGGGTAACTCGTCAATTGGTATTGTCGAATCGAAGAGAAAGGGTATGCAAGCCGGAAAGGGGCGCCGGACGGCGGGGTGCCCCATCCGCGGCCCAAGGGGTACGTCCTCGAAGCAACGCGTTCACGAGGCCAGGGCCGTGCAAGGATACCAATATCGAAAACGTCGAGACTGATTTGGGAGCTCTACCGTGCGTACGGGTGCGTCTGGTGTTGGGCTTGGTGAGAAGTCGCGTGCGATTTCGTCGGGCCAACGCCTGCCGAGTCCTGGCCAGGGTTGGGCCATGGCGAATTGAACTCGAGCTCATCCGTGACGACTTTCTTGGCCCGTTCTGCCTTCTTGGCCTGCCGTGCTTTACTCGGTCGAGGCTTGAGCTTATAGAGTCCCGCCTCGTCTCCGCGAACCAAAAGCGTGTGCCGCCAGCCGCTGAGCTCGCTCGTCTCCTGCTGCCCCAACATCGAGCGCAGTTCCGATGTTGTTAATCGAACAAAGTTGTACACCTGTGCGGGTGGTGGTGAGAAAAGGAGAAACACAGTGGAAGGAGGGCATGAGATCAGCTCCCTGCAAGATGTCGATGCACTAGCGATCAGGTGCCATTGGAACTCACATTGAGTTGACCTGCAGGGGCACGACCGTCGTGCGGAGACAAGAGGAATCGCAAGATCAGTATGGCACGCCCTGAACACTGCCCATCTTGGGAGTGACTGGATAGCGGGACTCACGCGTAAAGCTCGCAATGTTTCCATGGCCAAATAGCGCCGGCAAAACGTCGCGCGTGAACCGCTCGTTGTGAGAGACGACGAAGGACGTACCGGGGGGGCTGCAGCCCGCGTCAGCTCGACCGCCACACTACTACGCAGTGATGCGATGGCACTCACTCCCAGCTTATCACGTCGCTGAACTCGCTCGGGTTTGCGAGCATGTGGTAGAGCTTCAGAATGAATGGCTTGGGTGCATCGTCATCGAAGGAGGGCTGCCCGGTAGCAAGCTCAAGCTGTCAGCACGACGTGCTGATCGCCCTCCGTCGCCAACGTTTGTGCTCACCTGGGAATCCGCTTCAGATGAAGTGCGCCCCCCGTGGAAAGAGCTAGCACTGGTCGAGCTGAAAGTTCTGACGTTCGGCGGCCTTGGTTCGACGGTTGGGATATATGGGTTTGCTGAAAGCACCGAGGGCGGCGTCAGTGAGTGGCCGGAAATGTGTTGGGGGGACAGGGGTACCGGTAGCCCATACGACGAGGACGGGTACGAGTGAGATGTGGCCGCAAAGTAGCCCGTGGGGAGCCTGGTATGAGGTTGTCGCGTGTTTGCATATGACCATTCGTTGTTCCAAGATGTTTGCAGTGTCGGGTCGCTGATGGCTTGCCGAGCTCGGGGGCTCGAGTCGTAGGACGAGCGGTGAACGAATGGGGGTGGAGCTCTGTACGCCAGTTCCTGTCCTCCGGAGTGACCACTCAGCGAGTTTCGAGGTGTCGGCCAAGGCTCGCCGTATTGGCCGTACAACGGAAATGTCGGGCTGGGCAGGCAAGAGTCGTCCTCTTCGCGAGAGTGAGCGAAGGCCGGAGCGCTCGTCGCCGCGGACTCCCGAGAAGTGGAACCCTGGGCTGACAAGTATCGGTACGACGAGCTTCCAGACGGAGAGCGGAGGCTGTCAATCTCGCCATAGCTGTACGACATGATGGTTATTTTTTATCCAATCAGGTAGGTGGTCTTCAAGACGGGCGGGGCGAGGAGCAAGTGAGGAATGGTGCAGAACGACAAAAGGCGGGCCAGATCAGTGGTGGGAGGTCGGTCAGCGGCTGTCGGACTCCACTTGACGGGCAATCTCTGGCTTGCAACGCGGCACCGATCAACAGTCGACCTGGTGGCCAGGCGCAGCGATCGAAGGGTCAGCTAGGACCCGTCAAAGTCAAATCAGGCCCCGTGTTTCATGAAGCCCGCATCAGCACAGGAGTCAGGACAGCACAGCCTGAGACTTTCACAGATCGACGTTTTTCCTCTGTGAGACATCTTTCGCCGCCGTCCTGCGAAAGCTTACCAGTTGCCACTTCCCAACTTCCCAACTGAGGCAGCGGTGCTTATACGTGGTGTCCGGCGCATCCCTAGGCAGGCGTTTTCTTTGGCTAACGATCGCTCCTTGACTGATTGCTCCGGCCGCGAAATTAACAACGCTTCGCCGGGAATTCGAAAATGAATTGGGTACACCTACCTGGAAATGCAAGTGTGTTATCCTCAAAAAATTGAGCCCCCATAATTATCTGATACCTCCTAGGTAAGCCGGCTCCTGTACTGCAGTTGCCAACGTGTAGACCTGCCCCGACCTACATTCACGCAGTATAGTGTGGCGAGGTCCCATTTACTCATGCCGAAGCGGATGGCGGCCAGTTGTACCAACCTAAGTAGCTAGTGGTCGGTAGGTATGTTCTCCGAATTTTTATTCATTTTATCTCGGAGGTACCTACTCCGTCTGGCTGATCAAGCCCCTCACGTCCAGGTCCACACGAACTATCTGGCAAGTGGTCGGATACCTGGGGCGCCGTCTCTATAGGTGAGCAGAAGGCACCGTCTCTATAGAACAGCCGAAGGCATGACTTGTCGATGAGCTCGGTTTTTTGACCCGCCTATCGGCACGCTGAGCTTTTGCTGGTCCTTGCACCCAGCTACCAACTATCCGACGTTCATCACATCTATCGTCGATGAAGAGAAGAAGTGTACGCTCAAGGCCCGCCCGGGGACTCAATTGCAGGATGAACTTGGGACTTCAATAATCACCGTTTTTCAAGCGCGAGCGAACTTGCCTGACGGCCCCGGAATAGAGTGTTTTTGACGTCTCTGGGTCCCACGACCTCACGAGCGAAGGAGCCCGTCGCGCGAGTTAATGCAGCGCGTGCCTGACGCGTCAAAAGTGAACTAAGCGCCGAGCGGGGTCCGGGACCCGGCCCTGTGGCCCTGTGACCATCCGCCCGTACTGAGTCCAATGTATGCAAGCGCCGAGCTGAGCGTCGAGCGCTTAAAAGGCGGCGCCTTGAGGTGGCAGGCGTGCGGATCCTGGTAGATCAACGTTCGCATCTATGCCCGGACCCCTTTTTTACTATTACTCCAGAGCCAGGTGATCCTTTTCCTTGTGGCTTAGATTCCTCCAATTCTGTAACATGTCGCAGGCTGGAGTTTCTTTGTTGGAAGGTGAGTTTAATGGTAGGCCGGAAAGTCTGGGCGTTGACAGCTTTTGATTCTCTCGATTTGAATAATTATTAGCTTGCTTCCTTGCTCTGCTGCGGTACACTGAGCAGTAATCGCTATGACAGGTGAGTGACAAAAAATGCCCCTTTTTCGAGGAGTACTTTTCGTGGCAAGGATTTTTGCGCCGCTGCCGTAAATAGTAGGTACCTAGGTAGGAAGGTATCCAGATGAAAACAGAAATCAAAGCTCCTCGTTCCAATCCTCGTCCCAAGGCCACCACAGACGGCGCGCGATACAGCGAGATCTAGAGCTCTAGAGGCTAGCCCAACAATGTACTCCCGTGAGCACCTTGGTAATGTGAATTTGTAGTGTGTTCTAGTAGCGATTTTTGTACATCCAGCATAGGTTGTACCGCACTAAGTGCTAGCTTTTTCGCCGTGCGAATCAGCGAAGAGCTTCACAACGAACAGAAAATAGAGTCAGCCCGGCGGGCATGATCAGAGACGGCCAAGGATGATGTGTGACGAATTGCCGCCGATAGGCAGATTTGCGCAGGCACTGAAGACGATGCCCAAACCTAAAAGTTTGTAAGCCGTAAATCGCACCTGTGTTCCAATCACTGGTACCTCCCAGGTCTCTTCCTGCGAACGGGCCGATCAACTGAACACTACAAGCGCGCTCAGGAGTCAGTACACGTGCCGCTGCTCGACCAGGCGGGCGGGGTCACGCGTGACGTGTCACGTTTCGCATTGCGCTGTGCGAGCATCGGCCGCGATGGTAGTGCGCAAAATATTTTTCCACCACACGTGATTCCTCGCTCGTCAACGCGTCAACCTCAGTGCCTTGGTGTGGTGGAGCTTGGAGTGCACTCAACAGCCTGCCAGTCTCTATTTATAAAGGTACCTGCCTCCCACTTTGAGTGCTTATCCGTCACTGTACTCTTGTAGATCGTTTTAACCCAGCTTGGGTACGACACTCAGGTAGGTACTTACTTTTTGAGGTAGGCTAGCACGACCTTACTACCATGCAGCGTGTTCACGCGTGCTTTTCATCAAGAGTAGCTTGGGCCTCCAATTGATCCATATACCCAGCTTCGAGTCAATTGCAAGTCGAACGCGCCACCCGCCGTATCCTTTCAGCCTGGGTCGCTGAGGCGAACCGAGCACCGGGGTCCGGTCGATCTAGCTGGGCTTGAGAATCTATCCACCTACCTGAGCACACCTGGCCACCTACCTCAGTGCATTATAGATTGGGGTTTCACAAGATGTAGGCTACTGGAAGAGTACTCGCCGGAGCTCCGAAGCTTCGAAGCTCGAGGAAAGCGAAGGCATGCCAAACCCCTTTTCCATCTCCGATTTGAAGCATACAGATCCATGCTCAAGCGTTCACAGCTCTTGCTTGGGGTACTTCAAATAGGTACATACTACGATGATCTCGACTACATGGACTGTCGAATTCCAGTTGAATCTGTCTGACACCCGCCACTGCAATGCATAGTCCGACCGTAGACCCGCGTGCGTGGTGCCAAACGTATCCATGTAGGTAGGCAATAGTACCTGACGTGTAAGCATGTGCATGCAATCTCAGGATCTGCGGGACCTTGCATTGATGACTGGATTTGTCACTGAAATAATCGCCCGTCGTCGTTAGGAATCAGGTACGCCGACCGAGTCATGATCAGTTCGTCGGCTTAGAGGCGCCAAGCGCCAACGGTAGGATATCTTTCGGTCCCGGCCGTCGGTGTTAGGCCTCTTCCACCCGAGCAGAGACTGCATCAAGGCTACCTGTGTAGCGCGGCTAAGCGTTTCAGCTATCTTCCTGACTGCTTAGGTGCTTATATACTTGGGTTAGGTGCGTCAGAAAAAGCCGGGTGAAGAAGTACATTGTGAAGCATTTATGGCGCTCGCCCGAGGTTGCGAAGAACTTGGGGTATCGACTGCCGTGCAGTGGTCCAGATTCCGACTCGGCGCTAGCCCGGGCCCTTTCGGATTTAAGGGCCTACCGCCGGTCCCAAGGGGTCTGGGCAAGTGATGGACACTTGAGCTGCAAAGATTCGGAAATCTAGCCCAATCCTGCCGTACTTACCCCTCTATAGTTCGGTAGACTCCGCCCATTGGTGCCTAGCTCTGTTCGAAATCGGCGCCATCATCCGGAGTTCGAGATCGGACTTGATAGCTTGATCCCCCCCCCCCTGCGTAAAGAAGGACCGCTTCGACACGGTGTGCTCGGTGTTTGACGCCTCCCGGCGCGAGAGGGAGTTCATTTCCGAGACAGGACTTGTCTTTGTTTGTAAACGAGCTGGAACAAAATCCCGATCTCGCACCCACAGCCTCGTTTTATTCCGGGCTTCGCGTCTTGATCGACCTGTTAAGCCTGTTAGCGGATCAATCGGTGGTCTCCGTTTTTCATGCGGTGCCGGCGCTTCCTTTCGATCGAGCTGCGCACCGCCCCCTGCAAATGATGGGTTCCGACTTCTTTACCATGGCACCTGATCACTGGGTAGGTACCTATGAATGTAGCTAGGTAAACTTAGGTAGCTAGCTAGCCCAACCTACCAGGCCCTCGCTCCTTACGGGAGACGAAACCAGACAGACAGCCCCCACGGAGGTTTTTTTCTCAGGAAAAGAGTGTCTTTCTCCCTTCACCTGGGTAATGTGAGCGCCTCATGAAAGTGGCTTCTTTACTCAATAGAAAAAACAAAACTCACAATCCTGCGACATGTACCAGAGACGGTCTACTCATAGCATGAATATCATGCTGCCGGGATAATTGGGAGCGCGGGGCTGTGACCGTCGTTCCCACGCGCTCGGGACTTGACAAGAAAATTGATATGCACCTACCGGGGGATACACCGCGCGAATGTCAGGAAGGTGGCACGAGAGGAAAATGAAGTGACACATATCTAGGATGGTGGGCTTTCGCAAGTAGACAAGGATCTGAAGCCTTAGGTTGAGCGCACAGAATTCACCGCTTCCGGAGCTCCGGAGGCTCAGGCCCCTAACCGCTTCGCATTATTTGATTGTCCCGGCCCGCCCCCTCACGCCCCCCAGCTGGAGCCTTACTACCACCACAACGAAGCTGTGGAAGAGGATGAGATGCAATATGAGCCTGATCTGGTTCGTACAAGGCAAGCCATCGGCTTCCCCCCCGCCAAAACTTATCAAAAAGCCGAAGTGCGACCACACTCCCTATATAATATGCAGCTGACTCAACGTCTTTAACCACGGATCAAAACGCGAAGCCTCAAATTTCAAGCACCCATAAAATCGTTACAACAAGGGCGAATACTAAAACGAAAGAATTGATCATCGGTCCACGAGAATCTGATGGGGTCTAACCACTCCGAGGTGCTCAAACGTATTGCGCCGACCCTCCATCTTCGACCTTAAGTTTACGGTCGACGAACCTGATGACGAAGGCGAGCGCGGCGGAGCAGAGGAAGACGAGGTCGAATAAACGAGAGAAGACGGAGAATTCGGGGAGGGTATCTAGGAGGCTTGTTGTTGTATCGTTCGATCCAGGGGTGGAAGGTAAGGAGATGAGCGAAGTCAAGAGATACATCGCCTATGCGGAGATGGAGGGAGCGGTAAGATCAGCATTTGCTCGTGGTCTTTTGACGGGATTCACGGTGTGCCTACCATCAACTCGGCGAGAAACAGCAGCATAAAAGAAGCCGAGACTCCGGTCGAGGTCGCGCGGAAAATCTGATGAACGGCAAAGGGCAATTCAGCACTGAGTAGACCGAGGAGATCGCGCCAGGCATGGAAGAACGCACCCTCGAAACACTTGCGAGCACACTTCGCATGTTGGCTAGGATGATACTCGCAATCAAGATCAGACCAAGGATCCTCGACCATACGGCAATGTCGATATTGACATCGAGCAGGATCGCCAATCTCGCCAGCAATGAAGTGATGAGGTCGGTGCCATCCTCATCCGGACCAGCCGATTTGTTGGGATGACGCGGATTCCTCGAGTAACCAAAGACGAGGTTGAGACACGAGACGAAGACCCTCCAGACACAATACACGCTCAGCAACCACCCTGCGACGAGCCACACGCGCCCTCTGAACGATCGCCCCATCTCCCTCATTTGCTTGCGGCGCTTCATCGTCTCGACGCCTTTGGTCATCGCACCTTCGATCGATTCGAGGGCGCCGACCTCGGTTTGAAGGCTCTTGAGATGAGCTGCGGCGGGGCTCTTGGATGTCCATCGGGAAAGGAGGGACTGGCCCGCGGCGGATTCGGCCTCTCGAGCAGCGGAGCCTTCGGCGAGTTGGAGTGCGCGAAGACGTTGCTGAAGGTCGAGACGAGTCCGGTACAAGGACCGCTCGGCCGACAAGACTTGAGCCTCCGTCACGGCCTCACTGATAAATTTCGGAGAGGAGTGTATCAAGACTGTCAGACGGACGCTCTGCTACCTCGGGACACGAGCTAAGCGGCTACTGACGAAGACGAGATCATTCGCCATTCGTACGATTCCCACGCCGTGTTGATCGCTCCCAAGCCCGAAAGCGCGGCGATGAGGAAAACACCAGGCACGCAAATCTTTGAAAGAAGATTGTTAACCACCCCTGTGAAGCAAGAATAACCTCGATCAGCTCCATGTGCAGCGTCTCCTAGCCCAGTGATAAACTTGCCGAGGGACGTCGATCCTTCGACGACAATTTTGCTTGCAATGTACCATCCGATCCAGTTGAACGCAACCAAGTAGAACATAAAGGGCAAGAGCACAAAGACGAGCGTGCGTGTGAAGGTGCTCTTGGACGACTTGGTCCGATTCGCGAGCAAGACACACATCGCCAGAGGGATGACGAAGACGATCAGGCCGAGCAAGGCGAGTAAGCTGATGGACCAATTCAGTGTCCGAGCCCTGCGTGACCGTGACCTAGAGTCAGCCCGACAAGTTTGAGCTGCTAAACATGTCACGTCGACCCACCTATCCGATACGGCATCGCCAAAGAGCAGCAGGGTGAAGAGCATCGACGACTCGGAGAAGGCGAGACAGAACAAGGCCGTCGCCGAACGGGTGTAGACCGCGCTCGAGCTGCCCTTGGTTCCACTGGGCAGCACCGCGCTCGATTCCTTTCTCGGCGGGTTCGTGCCGAGTCTCTTAGTGCGTACGGTAGGACTCTGTGGTAAGGCCGACGAGATTCCAATTTTGGTGTTCGACGCTCCGTTGTTCCCTGTTCCTCCCGTTCCCGTGCCCGCGCTGGCTCCCCCACCCGCCCCACCAGCGTGACTGCTCGTGCCGATCGAGGGGCCCAAGTTGAGCAGTGCGCTCCCGTTACTGGTATTGGCTTCGTCATCGATTTCTTCCAATGCGATCGCCCCCCTTGAAGGAGATTCGAGCGGTGCGGCCAAGGTCGAATCCTCACTGACCGATCGCAGGTCGACGAACAGCGACACGTTGACGTAGCGTGAGGCGACGACGAAGAACGTCGACCGCAGCAGCGTCAACGCCGCCGTCTCCCACACCACACTGCTCGTTGAAGTCCCTCCTGATCCTCCAGAAGCAGAGTTCATCGTTTGGAAAAGAGTGTACGAGGTCGTCTGGAGCCAAGCAGCCTAGAGAGGACTCGGGAGGCGCTCTTCGATCGGCCCCAACCCGAGAGCGTGGCCAGCGCGACAACACCGAAGCCGAGGAGCGCGTGCCACTCTCGAGTGCGAAAACCAAGCCAGACCAAGCCAAGCCGACGCGTCGCTGCTGCCGGCTGGAATGACTCTCATTGGGCATGCACGAAATCTAGAGGGCAGTATATACTGCCCACACAGTGGGGCAAGGCACTGGGCAGGCCTGCCCGGGACGCGCGCGAGCGCCAGCCTGAATATTCGAAACCAATATTGAGCTCGGGCCGCCTTGTTTGAGGCGTGCCCGAGGCGGATGCGGGCGGTGTGGGTCAGCGTGGGTCAGCGCGCGAGGCCCAGCGCGCGAGGCCGGGCCCCTTACTCAAATGTTTTGGCCACATTCCACTCAGAGTCGTTGGCTGGGCTGGCGGTGGCATACTCCTTTGTGGCGATTTCGCATCCTCCTTTGCAAGCAGCAGTTCGAGCTGCTCGAGTCGTGTATCCATCGCAACCCGAGTGCCTTGCCGCTGGTGAGTGGATTGATTGTCGAGTTTGGCCGGCACCGTGCACGCGTCTGTCCGTGATGAGGTCGCGAACGAACTCTGATTGACTTCACTGCGTTTCGCATCTCCACTCTCCTCGCCCGTATTCGACTGAACGAAGAGGGCGCCACGTCTCCCTTGACCTACTTCGACTGCCTATCTACTTGCTGTCGACTCGCACGACCGTTGTACGATCTCTCTTGATCAACACTGAGTGCGCTTGGAACTTCCTCACGTGACCGTCATTCCGAGCTCTCGGTTGAACCGACGAGCTCTCGTCTCGACTGATCTCGCCACCAACGCCACCAATTCCGCAATCGACTCACAGTATTTTCAGACCAACGCGACGAAAGGAATGACTCCCAATTCCTCCCCCATTCGTGGCTCGGCTAGCACCGCGCACTCAGTCCCTGTCACCGATTCGAACGCCGATTGCCGCGACGAATTCGAATGTCGAGAGGACGACGGCGAGCACGCCGAGAGTGAGCATGAAGCAAGCGAGGGTGAGGGCAATGAGCAGGGCATGGGAAGCCTTGCTGCACGACGTGAGTCTCTTGTCCTATCCGTCCTCGGACTCGGGGCAGACCCGGGACTTTGGCGCGAATTTTTACTGACGGTTGCTGCTCGCCACCCGCCGTCTGGCTCTGGCCGAGATTCTAGTTCAAGCGTCGAATAACGCGATCATCGCCAGTTGCACTAGCACATCCAACTTGGCGCCCAAGACAGTCAGCGCATACGAAAAATCGCTCAAATCTTACACCAAATTCATGGCTGAAACGTGGCCCGGCGCTTGCGTTCGACCGATCGACCCAGATATGGTCTTGAATTTTTTGAGCTCCGAGTCCAAGCGACCCGCGCGCAGATCAGGTACGGGTGTCGATCAAGGCGAGGACATTGAAGGCACGACCATTGGTGTTTCGGTGCTGAAAAATGTGAGTATTATATCTCAACTATGGCTTTTGACTGGCCTCTGCACCTAGCGAATTGGGCGTCTATTGATCGCGCCATGCCGGCTTCCCCACCGTTCATAGCATCTCAACGCCCTCGAACATGTAAGCTCGCATGCCTTTCCCTTCGTACCCGCAATGAATCTACTCCCTTGAATAACACATGTTGCTTGCTTTTGACGTGCCTCCAGTACCGTGTAATCGATTAAATTGATCGCACAAGCGTTGCGGCCCGGGGCAAGCCGCGAGATTTTCCCCCGATCGGTAATCTCGAGGCCGGCTGGAAGAAACGCGAGGCCGGTCGAAAGAAGTCCGCCCAGACCAACAAAATCGAAGGAACGGCATCCGACAATGTCACCAAAAAAGAACAACTACAAATTAGTGAACACCTTCTTTGCCAGGGGCCGACCGGTAAGCTGACTGCCGTACACTCGGTGACCCGGTCGCTTCGCAACCGCGCCATGTGGGCAGTCTCGCTCGCCACGCTATTCCGCGGCGACAACACTCGTGCTCTCGCCTTCTCGGATTTGTCAATGCGAGCGCTCGAGCGCTCGAACGACCGGATCACCCGCCGATCAAGACGCTCTATATCGTGGCCGATTCGGGCAAGACGAACAAGGAAGGTCGTCTCGACTACAAGCCCGTTGCCCGTCATTTCGACCCTCGTATTTGCAATGTCGGCGCGGTCGCCTTCTACATGTGGTTCCGCGATGAGTACACTGGAGGACTCCCATATGGTTCGTTCGAGCCAGATTTCTCTAAAGGCAGTTCGAAATACGGGTATCGAGAATGGTACAACGTCCCCCTTTTCCCGAGCGCATTTAGCGGCGACGCACAGCTGCATCCGATCTCCTACTCGGGTGAGTCGGCACTCTTGGTGCCTGATCGGAGGGCGCTTAGCTCGACTTGCTGAGATCGGTCGGTCGCTGACTGAAACCTTTGCTCGTCTTCGCTTATGCCTGCGATGGGGATGGGATCTTCAACTTCGCCATCTTCTTCGTCTAGGTCACAACGTTGCCGTTTCGACGTTCCTCAAGGAGTGTGATGTGCATTCTAGTCACACGACTCATCTCAGCCGCATTGCTGGTGCCCAAATGTCGGCGGAGAGAGGCGCGAATGAAGCCGACACGAAGGCTCTTGGAGGCTGGAGCGATGGCACCTTCCGCAGCGTCTACCAACGTGGCGATCCAACCACCTCCTTCATTGCCCTCGCCGGTTTTAATGGAAAGTTTCCCGAGAGGTACTACGTGGCTCGTGATATCGAGGCTGGTATGTCTACTCCTTCATCGAGCTTTTTGGTCTGGCAATATTGACCTCTCCGTCCCGTCGCTTTCCCAGATGTGCCTGACGATCTTCAACGACTTATCTTCCCATGGGTCGAAGCCGCTTTGGCCGAATTCGAGGAGCGCTTTGAGGCCGATGAGCTCTGTCAAGACAAGGCGTTGGTTGGTCACTTGAAGCTGCTCCAATGGTTCAGACTCGTCATCCTTCAAGATGCGGCGTTTTTGATTCAAGCCTTTCCAGATGCACCGATTTTCCAAGCGAGCCTGTTTCAGTCGGACCGATTTCGAACGTGGGCTCCGCATTTTGTGGCCAGTGTGGAGGGGAATGGCCGTGAAGAAGCCGCCCTCAAAGTGGTGTACGGCGGCCTCCTTGATTCCATCGTCGACAGGCTTGGCGCCCAGCAATCCTCGGAGCGCCAGTCTGCAACTGCTCACCTTCGCAGCGATAATCGTCGAATCTTGGAACTTCTCATCGAACAGCATAATCGAGGCGGTCACTTTCACGGTCATGTAAGGAAGCGACGACGACACGAATTTGTCCGCGACTTCGATGACGACGATGACAATTCCGACGACGATCGTCGTGATTTGTCGGATGCGCACATGTCCGCGCCTACAAGTACGTATCTGCTACCTTCTGCGTGCATCAACTGGTGTTCCTACCCAATGCTTACTTGCCTCTCCTTTGTATTACCCTTGTATTAGGATATCGAGATGCTAGTCGGAGGCCGCACCCACCGCAATCGCCTTCGTCAAGCCCAGCCTTAGCTTCGCCCTCATCGTCTCGAGGAGTACCGGCACCCGGGGCCCATTCCCCCGCCTCGCCGTCCCGATCTGTCAGTTTCCGAACCCCGCCTTCCCGATCGACGAGTTTCCGAACCTCGCCAACCCAACCAGCGATCTCTCATACGGCCATGCGCGCAGCTGTCCCACCAGCCGCCGCGGGCAATCGATCGGATCGCATGCGCGTGGGCCAATCGCTGGCGTACCGATTACCGTCTCATCATGCGACCATGGACGCACTCTTGCGACCTCCAGCAGGCGACCAGTTGGAGGATGTTGGCCACCTGCTCGCCGAATACCGACGTGTCAAGGAGAGAAACCCTATGTATGTCGATCCGCGACTCGAAGCGCTGGGCCTCGATGATCTTGCCCGGTTCCCTGGCACGCTCGTAGAATGGAGCACCACCATCACACCCCCCGGATGGCTTCCCGTCGTTAAGTTCAATCCTGCTACAAATGTGGAGGATGTGTATCTCCTTTACGAAACGGGTGTGGCAAAGGATGGGGATCGGCGAAACCCGTCGATGCCTTGGCGCGAAATGGAGCGCCGCTTCGGAACTCGCTGGCGCGGTGCGCCAGGTCAAACCGCACCCGGTGTCGAATGGACTCGCATAAACAGGGTCCTGAAGTTCATCAACGAGGCCGTGGAAGGAGTTCAATCTCGACATGGTACCTTACAGCAACGAAGTGAGCTCGTTGTGGCAAGCATCAAGACGGCGCTTGCCCCCGCGGACTTCGCAAGGTACCGAAAGTTCTACGAGCACATGCAGAAGAAGGACACGCGCGAAGTCAATGGAGCGCAACTCAACAACTACGATGCTCTCAAATTGGCGGTCCGAGTCCAGTACCAATAGTGTATGGTCGAGTTGGGCATATTTACCCCACAACATGCATCGAGGCTGGCACTTGGTTCGCTTCCGTCGGGGGGCATCGGCCCCTCGCCGATCTGTTCATCTGTTCGACCTCATCTCGCCCCGGCCTCCGTTGTTTCTGTTTTTCTGAACCCTCTCTGTCTCTCTTCATCTGTACCCTCTACAGCTGGCTGCACTCTGTCGCATTCCGTCCATCGCTTTTGTTTATTACATGTGCGAACCCTTTTGTCTGTGGCCGACTCGTGATCGGTTCTGTCCTCCCCCCGTTCACTTCGTTCCCCGCAGCTTCACTTGGTGGCTTCCGGTTCCACTGCCAGAGGCGACCACTTCGGCCCTTTAATTTATCTTCTTTAGCCTTCCTTGCGAATGCATTTTCAGTCACTTTCATTTCGTAAAAATCTTTGCTTGCTCAAGTAAGTCAAAATCAAGCCGGCCTTACAAAACCTCGCGATCTCCGCGAGCTGATTCGGCACCTCATTTTATTTTGGCCGGAACGAAATTGAGCGAGTATCAAATTGAGGAGGTGCATATAATACACTGATTCCTGAGGAGTACCCTAGATACTAGCCCTCGTTACGAACAAAAACCCGTATTCTACTCCATTCCATAGACTACTCCATCTGCATTTCCCATCGCATATCTCGAGAGGAATTCTCGCTCCGGCGCTTTGATCACGGCAGATCGAGTCTGAATAAAATCACACTAGCAGGCTACCTGGCTCGACGTGATCAAATGTATCCAAACGTCGAAAATCCTCAACGTACCTGCTATTTCATGCGTTCATTCGATGCGATCGCGATCTCGGGCTGCTTTTCGCTCTCCACAGTAGTATGGGAACGGATTTTGTGGGGTCGAACGAGTCGAGTCGAGTCTCGCGATCGGACCTGATCGATTGCACGACGTCCTAAGGCTCCTGAGACTGTCGGGGACCTCACGTAGCAAGCATAGCATAGGACAGGTGTACACTTACCTTACGGTAAGAGGAAATGATAGGATTGACAAACATTGAGACGATGAGAGCGGAGAGCGGAGTTGAAGTTGCGTTTCGAGGACGGCACGTGAGAACGGCGATCCCTCGGCCGCGCTCCCTTGTTCCCTTTTCCTACCAGCCCCAGGAGCCGCTGACTCCGTGTTTTCCGGGCCTCCGTGGCCTAGAAATCCTACAACTTTTTGAAGGACTTTTACATTTGAGATTATCCGTTATCCACCTAGTCTTATTTCAAAACTGAATCAAATCTGAATCACCGTGTCTCAGATGCGCCGAAATCCCGTAGCCGAAGCATAAAACAGCCAGGTTCGCTCAGGAAACAAGCTCAGGCCCTGTCCTTGCGCGCGCACGGTCCCCGTCGACGAGGCCGCGCCGCGGGGCGGAGGGGTTGAAAAGACTCGGACGAGCTCTCTAAAAAGGAAAAGAAAAGCACGTGTAGTCCGTCCGCCAGGTACACACCAGATAAATCTAAAACGATGAGATATTTTATTAGAATAAAAAAGCCAAGGTATAGGAAGTGATAGTGATAGTAAAGGAAGACCGTCAAGCTGGGCGGCTGGGCCGGCTGGGAGGGGGGACGGTGGGGGGAAAGATATTATTTTATTTCAGCATAATATAAAAAAGTAATAGGAAATAGGAAGTGATAGGAAAGGAAGACGAATAAAAATTAAAACAAAGGTATAGGTATAGGGAGTGACAAGGATAGGCAGGAAAGGAAGGAGCCCGGGGGCGCAGAGGAACGGTGGGCGTGGCGCGACCGGTCTGACTATCCGCTGCCTGGGCCTCGAGTGGCGCTGCCCGCTCGCCTGCCCCAGCATACTATCCGGGATAGGATCAGGGTCGCGCGGGCAGGGGGCGGCGCTGCCGGCGCGCGCGCGGGGCGCCTGCCGAGCGCTGCCCGGTCGTGCGGGCGCGCTTCCTACCTATGCGCACTGCGCACCCGCAGCGCATTATGCACAAAGCCATATATAACGACGAGGAAGGCTGAAAATTGCAAAGAAAAAAAAAAGCCCCCGCTGCTATGGTTGAAACAAAGGCGAACGAGAAGTGGGAGAACAAGCCAGTTATCAAGGTGTAGGAGCTGCTAGATCCTCCCCTTCTCGCTCTCGCTCCCTTTCACTCCGTGCGTCGGCCTCGCTCGATCGAGGTGTTGCTTCCGTTGCTGTCCTTGGTGCAGATGTCGGTGTTGGAGTTGCTGCCGCGGGTGCTTGGGGTGGTGCAGCGGCTGCGGGCGCCGGGACGGGGCCATTCCGCACGGCAACTTGTGGCACCCCCTCTGGCGGGTGTGGCCTGATTTGCTGCCCTTGGCGCACATAAAGCAACCATCCAAGCAAAACGCACAATCCCACAATCGCAATCGTGCCCGTCAAGTCGTCATCGCCATCAATGAAAAAGTCATCCTCGCCCTGGTCCTCGTTACGAACGCCACGACGCCAATCCGCCGGTTCCTCATTCGCCTCGAGGGCGCGTTGCGCGTCAGTGAGATCATTGTGAGCGGGTGCCCCGGCCGCTGGAGCGGGTGCAGCTTGCTGACCGACTTGTGCGGCCCCTGTTGCTTGTTGCCCACCTGCTGCAGCGGCATCACCCCCTGCCGCTGGCGCTGCTGCCCCTCCTGCACCTTGCTGCGCGGGTTGGGGTGTCGGCTCATATCCCCATCGTTGCTGAATGTCGCGCCACGCCTGACCGAACGACCAAGCGTGGTTCGCGGTATTCGAAGATCCTACGATACTCGTCGGCGGGTCCGTAGCGAATAGCGCCTTCGCCTTGGTCTCGTCCTCGCTCGCGTCGACGAAGAATGCGTCATAAGCGGCACGGGCGTACAACGACAGCAACGAAAGTACCGAAGGGAAGTAGGCGTCGTAAGAATTTTCGAGCGCCATGTCGTAGTACCTCTTGGCCATGACGTAGTCCTTGTTCACGCCGTGACCATGTTCGTGCATCCACCCGAGGTTCCACATCGCCATTGCGCTCGTACGGGTGTTGACGGCCGAAAGATAGCACGCCGCGGCCTTCTCGACATTGGAGCCAGCGTCGTTGCCGATACCCTTGTAATAATAGTCGCCCATCTTTACGAGTGCATCGACGTTGTCCTGCGCGGCCGATCGAGTCCAATAAGCGAGCGCGAGTCGATCACTCGCGTTGTCGACGTGTCCAACATCGAGGAACGGCATACGCAGGTTCTGCTTGTCCCGGTCGAGGATCCACGCGACATTGTTCTGCGCCGGCTCGTACCCTCGTTCGGCCATGATCCAATACCCGAGCAACGCCTGGTGCTCATCCCCACGTTCCCAAGCTCGCTCCGCTTCCCACCACACCTCGTGGCCCCAGTCCCCTCGCTCGGCGACGAGTTTGTAGAACTGCACGGCCGTAAGGCATTGCTCGGCTCGATCGGGGGAACGAGCGCTCAGCTCGGCGAGGTAGTAGTACGACTGGAACGTATCAGGTACGCGGTTACCGTCTTGACGGATCGCGTGCTCAAAGTAGGTCGTCGCCATCACGAAATCGCCCATCCCAAAGTGGTATTTACCGAGGTTGACTTGCGCCTCGGCCAAGTCTTGTTGAGCCGCGGCGCCAAAGTAGAGGGTCGCCTTTTTGAGGTCGCGCTTGACGCCGAGACCATCCCGGTACATGATTCCAAGGCCGTTGTTGGATTCTCGATCGCCGCGGGAGGCGCCTCGGGAGAACCATAGGAACGCCTTGGCGTAATTGGCCGTCGCGCCTTCGCCCCGGAGATACATCCTACCGAGGTATCCGGCGGCGAGACCACCGACCATGGCGGTATGATCATCTGCGGTCGATTTCTTGGGGTCCTTGGTCGCATCGTAGATTAGTCGAGGGGCGTCTCGGACCTTGGTCCCCGGATCGCGCGTCGCCTCCTTACCGTCGGTCGCCCAAACGGCCGATGTGACTCGAAGGAACCACTGGCTCGCCGCACGGAAGTTTCTCCCGCCTTCCCAGAGGTTGTCTTTCAAACCTGGCATTCCGACTTGCAAGCGACCTCGACCTCCCCTCGTTCCACCGAGACCGTTACCTCCAAAGCCCTGGTAGTACAAACGCCCGAGCTTGAACTGGTACGTCACGTCCCCTCGCTCGGCGTGAAAGTGGTGGAACTCGAGCAGATCTTGCCATTCTTGTTGGGTGCGGATACTGAGCGCGCCCGACGGGGACTTGACCGATGCGGAGGCACCGGGCCCGTAGGATCCGCCTTCGAGATCCGAGAGACGGATCTTTTGCGACGGCAATAAGCGGCCACCCGGCGGTCCGGCGTTGAACGTGACCATTGCTGAGAGAGAGAGAGACGAAGGGGATGTGGAACGTGAGGTCAGGACCCATCACTTCAAGCAGCTCAAGTCTAATGAAATCACTTGCCCGCATCAGCTGCTCGTTTGTACCAGCCGAGTGCATCTTTGCACGACTGCTTGGTCCCGATGCCGACCCAATGCCGATACCCAACCGTCATGGAAGCGGGGACGTGTCCAGAGAGTCCAGCAAAGGTATAATACAGCAGGGCCTGTGTTGAGAATGGTAAAGGCTTCAGTCATGTTGCACCAGTCAGTATTGTCAAGCAGGAAGCAGACCCACGTCGCCCTGTTGTCCTTCACCGGGGGTGCCTCCCAGCGCGGATCCGTAATTGGACCCGTAGATAAAGCCGAGTTTGTACTGCGCCTCGGCTAGACCGTGGTCCTGCGAGGCCTTGGTGAATGCTTGGATAGCCAAGCTGGTGTTGGGTTTGAGCGTGAGGTGGCCCGTCTGTAAGAGTGCAGGCCAGAAATTCAGATCAGAGACCCAAACTCGGAACCAGCGCAGATGGGAAAGCTCGGCGCCGAACTGACTAGATACAAATCTCCCAACAACAGCCAAGCCTGAGCGTGACCCATTTCTGCCGCTTCTCTTGCGATTTTGACGACCTCTTGCAGGCCTTCAGTGACCTCATCGACGGTGAGGGATTGCCTCGGTCGTCCCGAATTGGCCGCACTGCGATGCTGGAAGCTCGCCAATCGATGCCTCCATGCCGTTCCGACCACGACGGTCTCCCCTTGTTCGTTCGTGAGCTTTTTGACGCCCTGGTCCGACTTGGACGAAGCGCTGAGCCTGATCAAACTGGTGACGGTGGACCCGAGCCTGCCGATCGCCCCTCGGACACTCCAATCGGGGCTGGTCAGGCTCGAGGCGGTCACCTTCGTCTTGCCCGAGATGGCACCGAAGGCCTTGCGGAGGGCGCGCACACCTCGACCTGTTGTGGTGCCGAGATGGGATTCGAGGAGGTCGAGAAAGGGGGTGTAGGACGAGGGTTGAAGCAAGGGGGCGTAGGGCGTCGAAGCGACCGCGCTCGAGTGCAGCGTGATCTGGCTCAAGTACCTGTCGGCGATCGCATACTTGTCCGCAGCGGAGAGTATCAGGTTTTGCGTGATGGGCGGATATGTTTCATGGTTTGGCTGTGTGGTATGAGAAACAGGAAAGAGGGGGGAGAAAAGATGAGAGGGACGAGTCAGTGGTTGATGTCGTGGTCTGGCTGAGGTTCGTGTGGGGTGGTGGTGGTGGTGGTGGTGGTGGTGGTGGTGGGAACTGCGCTCGGCCACGTCACACGAGTCGCTTCGGCGAGGCCCAGGGACGACGACGTAGAATGCGTTCATTCATAAGACCAGAAAAGAGTCGGCCCTTTTGGGGAGTGGTCGAGTATGGTGCCGGTATGCTTGTAGAAGGAATGCAAGGCGGCCACGTCACTGAGGATGGAATAGAACCGGCGAACGGACCTCGGAGAGAGGCAGTTCTGTTGCAGCCTCGGAAGCCTCAAAGGGGATCTGCTGAATGTCTTGCGCATGCACCACTGTGATCAACGAGCTCGAGTGGTCAGCTTGGGGCGTCGCAGAAGTGGCGCCGGTGAAGGGTGAAGACGAGTCGGTTCGCACCCGCCTCGGGCTCGATGACGAACGGCGAGCACGGGACGGAACCATGGGACTGACCGAGTGCCACGAGAACGAGAAGCGACACCGAGCCGAGTGATCGCCATACGATGGACCTCATTCTCCCGCGCACGAAACGCACCAACTCGCAGAGGGGCGATGCACAGAAGAGAGGCTGCGGCAGTCGGTTTGGTCGGATGGGATGCTCACCGAGTCAGTCAGTGGGGCAGAGTGGGGCCGGCACTGGCTGGCACTGGCTGGCACTGGCAGCGTCGACCGAGTGAGCGGCCTTGACGACCATTCGCATTAGGTTTAATTAGGCATTAGAACGCGCTGGTCCTGGTCTCTAAATCAAATAAATACCCAATCGGGGCTCAAGCGCTCACCCTTCGCGCGTGCGCGTCGCACAAGCCGCACAAGCTGCGAGGCTCGCCCAGTTAATGTGGTCCAGCGCCCGATAAGGGTCGTCTCTTTGTAGACTAGCTGGAATTCAAAATTCTCATTCTCGGAGCTGAGCGCTGCGCACTGTGGTTGAGCTCTGCTCGCTTGCATCAATCGACCTCGTCTTTGTGGTGTGCTTGCGCGGCAGTCGTCTCTTCTTGTCGGAACCTTCTTGCGCGGTCCGTGTGAACGACTGTTCGCGTGCATCGACCGATCTCTGCCTGTGCGTGCACTCCGCCACGATGGACGCGAGTGAACCAGCACCGGGCGCCAACGCGGTCGAGTCCGCCAAGAAACAGTGGCAGGTCAGTATTACCGGAGCCATGGAAACAACCGGCGCCCTTCCCAAGAGGATATACTCATAAATCGTCCCTCTCTTCCTTCCCCGTGACCTTGGTCATGATTGCAACCGTGACCATCACAACACGCATGCACGCGCGTGTACCTTCTTGGATCGACCTTGCTCGCGCGTCGCACCTTCTCGGCCCACACAACACACACACACACACACACACGTGGCTTCCGGCCTCGCTCATCCAGGTGTATCAAGCAGCATTAGGTGCGCCATCCGCACACAAGGTCACAAGGTCACAATGGAACAACACAATCCCAATTCTGACGCTGTTCTTTCGCTACGACACAGACCGAACGACACCCCACACTTTACGCCGATGGATGTCGACGCTCGTCCTGTTCCTCGTCTTTTTCGGCCGGATCCTCTGGGCCCAGGCCTACTACATCGTCTGCTATGCTCTTGGGTCAGTCTGCAGTGTAAAGCGCCTAGCTCTACGCGAACGCCCACCTCGAGCGTTCGGCAAACTCTTCCTCCCACAGCATCTACCTCCTCAACCTCTTCCTCGCCTTCCTCCAACCCAAGGTAAGAGCTCAAACCGAGCCCCTCGCTCTTGTGCTCAACAACATTCCCCTTGTGCACAGTTCGACCCCTCCGTTCCCGACATCGCCGAATCCGACATCGCCGACGGCGCCCCCGGACTCCCGACCTCCATGTCGGCCGCCCAAGCGCAATCCTCCTCCCTCAACGACACCACCGACTCGGGTGAATTCCGTCCCTTCATCCGCCGTCTGCCCGAATTCAAGTTCTGGTATTCCGCGACCAAGGCGATCGCTTTCTCCTTGTTGGCGACCTGTTTCCCCTTGTTCGATGTGCCCGTCTTTTGGCCCATCTTGTTGGTCTACTTTTGTGTGTTGTTCTTCATTACGATGAGGAGACAGATTGGGCACATGAGGAAATACAAGTAAGCGATCGGGGGCTTTATTTCATGCGTTTATGGATTCGCATGGTCATATTGACATGAGGATTTTCTCGCCTTTCATCAGATACCTCCCGTGGGATTTGGGCAAGACCTCGTACGGGAACAAGTAGAGGAAACGCGGGGAAAATTCTAGGTGGTGGGCAATGGTTGGTACACGATACGATCAACGAGTCCAAAAAAGAAGCCGACAAAGGCCTTGGAACCGAGCTCTCGGAGGCATAGAGTGGAGCGTGGGCCGGAGTAATCTTCAACGACGGCTTACGAGTGCGAGTGCAAGGGTCCGAAGGGGGAGATGGGCTAGCAGGTGTGATTCGTTATTTGCTTTGTACGCTTGCCATGCAGATTCGCCGAGACATGTTCAGAAGGAGAGCAGGTGCTCGTTGTGGTTGGCAATTGGGGAGATCGGAAATTGTTAGATTGGCTCGCATACGCGGGACTCTCCCGATTCGCCGGTGTTGAAGCCAAGGACAACGAGGTAGTCGTCAGAAAACGATAGTGTTACAACAAACGCTCATACTCGTACAAGCGCGCTCCTCCGGCAACTCGTCCGAGTGATAGAAGCCTCTCTCGCCAGTTCCGACCCGCGCGGTGCTCATCAAGATCGAACCAAATGTCTCCACGGATCTTCAAACATATCCTCGTTGAAATACGCTTTCGGCTGTGAGTTGTCGGATCCTTGACGATCGTGGTGAGAGTTTTGGGAGGGTGGTGCGTCGAATCGCTGGCGCTATAGAGCGAGCGTGGAAGAGGTTGGGTGAGCGAGGCAAGGCTGCGTCACGAATAGAGTGTAAGGGGGTACCATACCTTGTTGGCCCGTCCGTCATTGCTGCCTCTGCCTCTCCCTCCGCCCCTCCCTCCTCCTCTCCCTGCACCTCGTCCGCTCCGGCCGTGTGCTCCGTGTGCTGCACGCCCATGATCATGCGACTGGGCATCCTGCTGTTGCTGTTGTGGTCGTTGAGCGTACGCATTCTTGGCATTCGCCCCCGGACTGAGGATGACCGGTGCTGGAGTAGTCGCCGTCGTCGTGGCTGATGAGGTTGGTTTGCCCTTGTCCTCGTGCTTGTGCTTGGGTTTCGCTGGGGCATGGTTGTGCTTGGGCCCGCTGGTGCTTCCGAATGAAAGGGGGAGTTCGGCCATGGTGGGTTGGCGAGGGAAGCGTCGAGATGGCGTGTGAGGTGATGCGCAACTGGTCAAGCGTGTGAGTCTGTCCACGCGCGCCTCTGTTTCCCCCCACCTCCACGCGCCTCCACGTGCCTCCACCTCCACATCCTCCTCCTCCTCCTCCTCCCCCCGGCCCGGCGTGACCGACCGACCGACCGACCGACCGCACACCCCCCGCACGACCGCACCCTCTATCGCCCAAGCTGGCGACGGTCAACGCCCAACAGCAGGCTCCGACCAGCCAGGAGTGGTTGGCCAAACTCAAGGCGACTCGGGTCAGTCCCAGTCCCACTCGTGACTGTATTGCCCCTCCCTCTCCCTCCGAGTTTCCACCCAGACCACCCTGACGACCCGCTCTTTCTGTCTTTCTGTCCTCTCCTACGCACGCAACCCTCATCCCAGTTGGAAGCCGCCCAAGCGACCCAGTTCGAGCTCAACAAATCCTACGACCAAGCCTTCTCCCTCTACCTCTCGTCCGCGCAATCGTACCTCTACCTCATCCGCCACTGCTCCGATCCTCTGCAAAAGGAACAGCTGAGGAACATCAATCGAGGCGTGTTGGAACGCGCGACGAGGCTCAAGCAGAGCGGTCAATTGCGAACTCGCACGTGCGGGACTGGGAACGGGAACGGGAACGGGAACGGGAACGGGCTCGGTACAGCGGCCAAGGGCAAGCGCAAGCGCGAGGGCAAGCGCAACGAACGACTCGGTCTCGGTCAGTGGGAGCAACGGTCGAATTTGCTTCTTCGAGGGAGGTAACATGCTCACGGCGACGTGTGCCTGACCACAGAGGAACAGGACTTGGTCTTGGAAAGATCGAGCAACTTCAACCAGAAACGATTCGAGAGATGGGGTGACGCACCAGCACCAGCACCAGCACCATCACCAGCACCCTCATCGCAAGTCCCAACCGCTCCTGTGCCCGGATCCCGAACCGAGAACTTATTCCCCCCTCGACCGTCCCAACTCAACAGATCGCGATCACTTCCAATCGCACAACCTTCTCTAGTCTCCGCATCAACTTCATACAAAAGACCCTCACCTACCGCCCCCGTCATCGTCCCCGAACGACTCTCGGCCCTCGATATCGTGCAGGACAATATCGGCGATTGCTCACTCGTCTCGGCGTTGATCATTTGTGCTCAACACGCGGCGACGTTCGGGACCAAGGTAGGTTTTATCGCTGACGATGGAGTTATCCGCAATTGTAGAGGAGCTGAGCTTGGCGTTATGGGCGGTCTTGCGATCATATAGCTCGGCCTGGATTGTCTCTACCCCAAGGATGCGCAGGGCTGGCCTTGCAAGAGTGCGGATGGGGTATACGAAGCCAAGTTTTGGCTCAATGGTTTGTGGAGAAGAGTACGTCCTCACAAACCTTCTGACTGTGGACCGTTCGCTGATCATGGTGGAAACCTTCGATTCCCTTCGCAGGTTGGTAGGGTATTCCCGAGAGGTCGGCACCTGATCAAGAAATGGGAGACTCACCCATCCGGATCATTTTCGCTCGCAGTGTTCGATGACCAACTCCCGCATTCAACACTCACCTCCGAACCGAGGTTCGCTACCACGACCCATCGAGATCAATTGTGGCCGGCGTTGATCGAAAAAGCTGTCGGTCTTTAGAATATCGCTCTATCAAGTCGAGGGAACTACGAGCTGATTTCCCAGGCCGATGCGTCACGACCCAGTATATGACTTTGATGGGGACGTATGATTTCGCTGGCTCGTGAGTGTTTGTAACTAGATTTGGAAGATTCGATGATGCGCTGCTGAAAGATGATAGCTTTTTTGCCGACGCAGCAATTCGGGTATCGACGTGCAGTAGGTGGTCCCATGCCCAACCTCGAAGAGTTTGACCTCTTTTTTCAAACTGACGTAAAGACGGTGTTCGACGCAGTGCTCTCACCGGATGGATACCTGAGCATATATCACTCAAGTACGTTATGTTCCCTTATTTGGCCTGACGTGATTCACAGCTGATGAAAACTTGATCGCCTCGATGCCCCCCTCAGTTCGAACTTTCGGTCGGAAAAGACTTGGCAGCGGTTGGTCAAAGGATGGAAAGCGGGGACGTGTGTACTTACGCTTGGGACCGGCAAGTCACCACGGGAAGGCTGGGAGAGCCGACATAGCTATGCCGTCACTGGTGAGTAACCCCTTTGCTGCACATGTATGGAACTTGCCAGGGGCTCAGTGAGCGCGTCTCTTACAGGTTTGACGGAAACGAAGGAAGGGCATCGACATGTCCGATTTGTCAATCCTTGGAGAGCGGCGATGTGGACCCGAGACTTGTCGGTGGCCATGCCTGAAACGGAGAAGGACCACCCCCGGGAACCTACCGAGGTCGATTGGGATACGATCGCGAATTCATTCGAGGCGATTCATGTCAATTGGGATCCGAAGGGGTTTGAGCATACGTCTATGGTCCATTGGTCAGTGTTGGACCCCTTCGAAAGATTAGAGACTGCGCTTACTTTTCGGCTGGGTGGCTTTGCAGTTCGATCCCAGGTCCATCGACCAAATTAGCCAACGAGCCCCTCAGTCCTCGGTCAACTCGACTGCGACTTCGCCTCGCGTCGAGTCCGACCGTTCCAGCCGAAGTCTGGATCCTCTTGTCTCGACATAGGTCCATAGCGAATGATCGGAACGAGTTCATCGGCCTTCATGCCGTCAAATCCTTAGCGGGTGGGGGTGGACATGGTCGGACCGAGGAGCCCAATGTAAGTGGGGGACGGGACGGGAGTCCGCCCGGCCAGACGATAGCTGATCTACTTCCGAGCGCACAGACCGATTACACCGATAACCCATTCCTATTGTATCGCCTCCTCGTCGACCCTTCGACGCTCTGCTACGAGCTGTTCGTTTCGCATCGAGCCTCGAGCCTCGACGACACCAGATTCACGCTGGGAGCGTTCGCACAGTTCCCTGTCAGCATCGAGGAAGGGCCGCTACCGTTGGCATTCTCAGAGTCGGTAAATTGGTCGTCTTCTTCTGCAGGAGTGTGGTTGGGGGGAGGAGGTGCTCATCATCCGATCCTCGCACAGATCGAGTCACAATGGACCTCCAAAACCGCCGGAGGGAATCACACCTGCCCAACCTTCTACACCAACCCACAATACTCAATCCGACTCGTCGCACCACCGAACAAACCCAGCGCCAGAGCCGTATTGAGCCTCACCGCAGAGACGAGCAAAGACGTTTCGATCAATGTTAAATTGGTGCGGAATCGGGGAGAAAGGGCCGATCGACTGGAGGAGAGGGATGTGGTGGCGGGGTCGTCGACGTATACGTATGGGATTGGGTCGTTGAGGCATGAGGATTTAGCGGGTGAGTACAATCTCTGAAGACCGCTACCCCACGTCCCTGCTCGATAGGCGCGCTGAACGATACCAATCTCTCCGCTTGCGCAGTCAACACCGCGTACACCGTCATCATCTCCTCTTTCGCCCCCGAAGCGCTCGGCACCTTCAAGCTCTCGATTCAGTCCGACATGTCCATCGTGGCCGAGGCCATCCCTGCTGAAGGGGCAGGGATGTTTGCTCGAGTTGCTAGAGGGCAGTGGTCAGTGACACTACTCGAACAGTTCTGGTGATGCGAGACTAAATAACCTTCGTCCCATATTCAGGTCATCTACCGAAGATCCTTCCGGGGGGCAAAGCATCCCACGCCCGCACGAACAGAGTTGGAGAATTGCCGCAATGGACAAGACGACTAGGCTTATGTGAGGATCAAACTCTGCGCCTTTCAAGTCGCGTTCCTTGCACCTGACTTGTGCGTGGAGAATATCCCCGCAGAGTGCGATTACAAGCGCTGGACCCGCCGGTTGGCCTTTCGTTGATCCTTCACCCGCTCGTGGATGAGCAAGGGAGTCTCGGGCCAGCGATCGCAACGACCGGTGTGTTTTCAGATGCGGCTTGCGGCGTCGTGATTCGCGTGTTGAAATTGCCGGCGAATGCACTAGGTAAGACTACAAACTTCGAGAACTCGCATCCAGACATGGACTGAGATCGTTGACCATCCTTGATCACCAGGCCACGTCGTCGTCGCTCGCACTTCGAGTGGACGACTCGAGCAACCGGTAGATTTTAAGCTGTTGTTGTATGCTGATCAAGCCGTAACCCTGACTCCGATGTAATGAAGGACGCAAACTCGTTGGACATTCCAGATAGATTATATATGCAAGAGAAGGAGTGACTCTAAATCAAGAAAAACTTGCCTGATTGTTCAGGTATGCGCAGCAACGCCTGGATGGTGCGATTGACTCGGCGATGAAGGAGGATGTCCTTTTTTGTTTCATTCAATGTTCGCATTGAACTTGGCGACTTGTTTGATTCTGTCCCACAATTGGACGACGGTGCCTTGTCCACGAGCCGACTCTTCGGGGGACACCTTCGCGCCCTTCCAAAGTTTCTTGGGCCGACCTCGACCACGCGGCGGCAAAGCGAAAGGGTGGGCCTCGGTATTGAAGACGTAATCGTCAAGTGAGATGTGCTCACGATCCGCGAACAAGAGGTAGTAATACTTGAGCGTCTCGGCCAGCACGAACGATTCCTGTGAGTCCCGACGTTCCACATCACTGGCGTCATTGACATTCACCAACCCCGCGAAACCGAACTCGGCGATCGAGTGGGACACCCAATCGACGAACATGCGCCAACCTCGATCTTGCCACACCCGATCTCCTGTGATGCGCCACATGTAGAAAACGGACTCGATCGTTTCCGGTCGACCGATGTAGGAAGTATCGCTTTGTTGAATACCTGCCGGCGGTTGACCGAGCCCTTCTTTCGTTTGAGGTAAGGCGGGATCGTCGGGTAGGAAGAAGAGCAGGTTTTCGGGCATCAGACCCGTAGGGCTTGACTCGTAGGCCCACTGACACGTCTCCGTGAACGCTTCCCCCGTTTCCAAATCTTTTTCGCGCGCGAGTAACTTGGCTCCTAAACCCAGCATACCTCCGGCGAAACATGTGAGGTGTTCCAATTTTGGCACGTAGTTGCTTCCGCGGGAGTTGTTGTCGCCGATGTTGATGAGGTTGGGGTGATCGGGCACTACTCCGACGGGTCGGATGATGGACCCGTAGGCCGCGTCTATCGCGTCCTTGTACATACGAGCGTATTGCCCGTTATCGTAGTCGCCGAGTAAATGTGCCATTTTGATCTATGAAGTTGGAGCACATCAAGTCAACCAATGGATCGCGCGCCGATCACTCGTACGAGACAAGCTGTGCCGAAAAGTTTGCCCCCAAGCTAACTCACCAGGTACTCGTAGTATGAATCCGAGCAGCCACCAAAAGAGACCGTGCCTACTTCGGGACCTGACGAAGCCACGTTGACGGACATCGGCAAAAGGTGACTGGGACCTTTGGTGCTGACTTCGTTCAGCTTGTTGGTCGTCCTCTGGACCGCCTGGTAGTAGGTCTCGTCACCGGAGATCATGCTCAGTCGAGTGAACTCGAGTGAGAGGGTCCCCACCTCTGCCAGCCAGGCGGTCGAGTGGAAGGAGTCGGAAGGGTTCTCGCCGAGGAAAAAATTGTTGTTAGGTACCGCGAAGTTGGTGTTGAGGCCAGCAACCATCCAGGTCCCCAATTCGGTGGCGCGATTGAGCATCAGTGGATCGCCAGAGAGGTCGTACGCTGAGATGAGGCCGCCTAGGTACCGAATCGTCGTTTCGAAATAGGACATGCTATGCCGCAGCGGGAAGCCGTATAAACTTGACATCGGGAGAGGAGGCTCCCGCTGGGTGGGGAGCACCAACTTCTCCAACTCGGGGGCCTTGGGTGGGGACTTGGCGTTCGAGTCGGTACCGCTGAAGATGGTGTAAGAAAAATCGACGGCCGAGACATGTTCGCGGGCCAAGTTGTACTCTTCGTTCAGGCCCATGATAAGCAAGGTATCCAAGCTGTCGATGATGACCGCACCCCACCCGTTGAAGTGATCCGTCGACCCTCCCGACACAGGCTTGACCTCATCGTGACCCCACTGGGTCTTGTAGCCTTCCCAGGCGTGCAGGAACGCTCTCTTGACCCACTCACGACGGTGCCCCTCTTCGTGCACCCGTTCGTCCGACATATCTATCCTTCCGGTGTACTGGACCTTGGGACGCTTGTGTTCCCCCCCGGGCATGTCCCCCTTTTCCAAGTTGCCGACGTTGAGGATGGGCTCGTGTAAGCCTTCGTGCAGCAAATTGAGCTCACTCAACGGGACTTGCAGAAGTCGGCCCGTCTCCGGGCCGAATCGCGTCTCACGGCCATAATTGACGACTTGTTCTGTGGCCGCGTGAAAGTATTTGAAGGCGCTGGCCAGATGTCGAGCGGGCGGGCGGACTTGTTCGGGGAGAGACGCGGCTCCTTTCTCGGCCGCGAAGCGCGACTCGGCAAGCCAGCCCCGTCCCTTCCAGCTCGGTGGCATGTGAGACCATGGGTCTTGCGTGCTCGGGGGGATGGGTTTCAAATGTTTAGCTCCCTTGTTGGGATAAGCGCCTTGTATGTCCGCCGCTAGGTGAGGCGATACTTTGTTGGAGGGTGGTGAAACATGGGCCCAGCGGTTTTCGGGATCGCCCAAGTACCCATTTCTGCTTTTTTGTCCCAAAGGTTGGGCTCCGTTGTTCAAAAATTTGGACGAGGAGACCAGAGTATACTGAGCTTTATGAACTGACATAAGAAATAGGGCCAAAAGAAGGGGTCCCAACAGCACGACGGTTCCACCGATCGTCCAGCAACGGTGAGGACCCCACCGCCCCCATCGAGGACGCGGTGTAATAATCGGCTTGAGGTGGCGCACATCTTCCGGGAAAGCGATCTCCTCGTCGAGTAGAGCCAGTGTCATGTCGTAGGTGTAGTGCGTGTTCGCGTCTCGTGCGTCGAATCCGGCGTGTTCGGCCTCGCGCGCTTCGAGGTGTGATCCCAGGTGGCCCGACGATGACGACGATGACGACGATGACGACGACCCACCGCGATCGCGATGTAACAACTCTGGCAGATAAGACGCCGACATTTCTGTTGATTGACCGTCAACGGAATAGGATTAGCCGAGAGAGAGACCTCGGATGCGCCTGTCGCGACCCCCACGTCGTCGGCCCGGGACAGGAGGTGGACAGGGGATGGACCTTTCCGCCTTCTGAAACGATCGTTTCAGCTGAGACGGGCCGAGAAGGGCCGAAGCGGCAAGCGCGGTTTCGTGCTTATCAGGATAGCCGTGTGAATGGCCCATACTCCATTCGAGCTGACGTGGTTCCGCACAGGCTGAGGTAGGTATGCCTGAGGAATCGGTATGCCACTCTTTGTATGTCCGTGAGGCTGGAACCTGGGATTTTGCCGGGCCGAATTTGGGGACATCACGCGCGGTGCGCATTTTAGAATTTGCAGACGCTTGCCGTTCTGCGCCTACAGCCCTTGGAGCCCGGAGGCTCGGGAAGTGGGAATTCAAACCCAACAGTTTTACCAACCTTCAGTAGTCATATTCATTCTCAATTCCTCTTCATGCAGACTGTGCACACCCCGCGATTGATACCGGGCCACCGTCACAACAATTATCCTCCTCAAGCCCAGCGCGCCTACCGCAAGACACGTCAAATTACAGGTTACATTACAACAAAAGATATTGCGATGCGAGTTACAAGATCGTCGCGAATGTCCGACATTGCGAGGAGGGGTCTAATCCTCCTGAGAGAGAACCGGAACGAGGTGACTGAAAGCGGCGGCTTGCTGGACCCTCGACCACAGCTGAGGTCGCGTGCCTTCTCCGGTTCGACTTTGAAAGTCTTGCTGCTTGGGCTCGCCCGGCCCCGTCCAGAACCTTGGCGGCTCCTGACCCGGCGCCGTGGGAAGTACGAAAGGATGCGCCTCGGTGCTGAACACGTACTGGTCGAGAGACAACAGCTCGCGGTCGGAAAAGAGCAAGTAAAAGTACTTGAGCGTCTCAGCGAGAACATAGGACTCCTGCACATCAAGTTGACGTGGTTCGACAGGTTGGAACACGTCATCTATGCCAGCGAAGCCATACTCCGCGATCGCCACAGCGGACCAGTCGACAAAGATACGCCATCCCATGTCTTGCCACTTGCGATCGCCCGTGAGTCGCCACATTTGGAAGATGGACTCAATCGTTTCGGGTCGACCGGCAAAGTGGGTTGCAGTGTGACGGACGCCAGTAGGCTTGCCCCTGGGTTCGCGAACCTTGGTCCCATCAGCTCGGGTCTGAACTCTGAATCGATCAGGATCATCGCGCTTGTAGAACGTCAAAGACTCTGGCATCAAGCCCGCGGGGGTCGATTCGTAGGCCCAATTGCACGTTTCGGTGTACGCCTTCCCCGTCTCCACGTCCTTGGGTCGAGCCAACAACTTGCCTCCAAGGGCAAGCATCCCCCCGGCGAAGCAGGATAGGTGCTGCAGCGTGGGTCGAAGCTCGGCATTGAACTCGCCAATGTTGGTCAGGTGGTCTTGGCCGGGGAGCACATCCACAGGCCGTATGAGGTATTCGTAGGCCGAGTCGATGACCTCGCGATACATGCGGGCGTACTGGGCGTCCGGCCCATAATTGCCAAGCAAATGTGCCATTTTCATCTGAGAAGGTGGTAGCAAGCGATGTGAGCACAGTGACTAGCTAGCTAGCACAAAGGGGTCGAAGGCACGTCATTCCCAGAGTGCCTCATGATTGGCAGAGACTGACCAGATACTCGTAGTAAGAGTCTGAAGCGGCACCAAAACTGAACACGTCCGACAGCCACTCGGGTCTGCTGGTATCGATGAAGGACGGGAGCAACTGTCCCAATCGCGCACCCCGGCGCGCGCCATGCATCTTGCCGCGGGGGAATCGGGTGTCGAGGGTGTCCATGGTCCTCTGCACAGCCTGGAAGTACGTCTCGTCCCCCGAGATCATGCTGAGGCGCGTGAACTCGAGACTGAGGGATCCGACTTCAGCGAGCAACGTGCGACCTGGGCGAGTTCCATCCGGGTTTGTGCCAGGCTCGTAGTGACCCTTGGGGGCGCCAAAATCGGTATTGAGCGCAGGGAGGAGCCAATCGCCAAGTTCAATCGCACGAGCAAGCATGAGCGGGTCCTTGGAGAGGTCGTACGCCGAGATCAGACCCCCAAGGTAGCGAATAACGGTCTCAAACAAGGGCATCGCTTTCTGTGGCTTCGCTTGACTGCCGCTAGGACCTCGAGGGGGCGAGCGCGGTCGTGCAGCGGTGGGGAGGTCCATGTCGTCGAGCCTGGGGAGTGTGTCGGAGAAGCTCAGAGGGGCCAAAAGGTAGGAAAAGTCGACCGCCGAGACATGTTCGCGCGCTAAGTTGTACTCCTCATTCAGGCCCATGATGAGCAAGGTGTCGAGGCTGTCGACGATAGTCGCCCCCCAGCCGTTGTAGCGATCGGAGTAGCTACCTGAGATGGGCGCAACTTCGTCGTGCCCCCACTGCTTCTTGCAGCCCTCCCATGCGTGCATGAAAGCTCGCTTAACCCATTCCCTTCGGCGTGTCTCTTCCATTACCCGCTTCTTTGACATGTCGATCTTGCCCGCGTATTGGACTTTGGGCCGCTTCGCGCTCCGTCCGAACGCCCCGGGTTTGCCCAAGTCGCCGACCTTGAATTGAGGCTTCTTCCAGCCCTCGTGCGAGAGCCCGAGCTCACTCCTCGGAACCTGCGGCGGCCTTCCCGTGTGTTCGTCGAACAAGGCAGGCTTGAGATACCGGATCCCTGCCGGCGGCTTGCGTTTGGGGCCGTGGAGATTCGCCTGACGCCCCAATTCGCGCGTGTACTCGTACGCCTTGACAACATACTCTTGTGGGGGAAACGTCTGCTCCGATAATGGGTCGTGGCCCCGACCGCCAGCAAAGCGCTCCTCCGCCAACCATGCTCGACCCTTCCATTCGTCGGGAAGTCGAGACCAGGGATCCGGCCAAGTCGGCGGGATCAACCTCGTCCTCGACGCATACCTCGTGTACTCCTGGTCGAGCGGCAATCCGAGTATCTGTTCGCCCGTCAACAGTCCATCGTCGAGATTGTTCACTTTTGTCGGGCGTTTGATCGTGTTTTTGATAGGCTCGCCGACGCCATTGTCGCCCAAATTTCGGTCATAGGGAAATCTTGGAGGGGGGCCTCCGAACGGGTGTCTCGGGTGTCCAAAGGGCCCGTGTCGAGGTCTGAAAAAGCGGCTATGGCTGTCGTAAGAAACTTTCAGTCGTCAGCTCAGAGTCCATGCACCCCGTTTTGCGAAGCACATGTCGGACGCAAAGACACATGGTTGGGCTGAAAATCGAGACACTGCTCCGGTCCCGCAACTCACACGATGTACACGAGGCAAACGCATCCAAACATGGACAGGGCACGCATAAGCTTGGTATTAGAGTTCAGTCGAGTCCAACCCAAGGAATAAGGCTGAGAGGTCTGCGGATAACGCTCGAAAGTCTGACCATTGACATTGGCATTGCCGATGCCGATGCGACAGGTCGGGAGCAGCAATGAATCGTTCGAGATATGCGACGCCGGCAGGGCGTAAGTGTAGGGTGATCGACCGTAGCCAGGGTGGTAATGGTAGTAGTCGTCGGTCGAAAGGCTACTCTCGCCTCGATAGCTACCGAAGCCGAGCGGAGGTCGGGGAGGGAACGACGACAGCGACATGGTCGACATCGACGCGGCCGAAGGGCCTGTGACGCCACTGTAGACTCTACGCGGTGGCAGCGCCTCGTCATCGTCGAGGATGGTCATCGTTGCTGCACTGAACGGCCAGACCTAGATCCCGAACTCGTTCAATGCTACTGTGAGCTCCAGCGAGTGAGCCGCGTAGCTCACAGCGTGTCAGCGCTCACACGGTGGTGACGCGTCGACGGGTTGTGAGCCGAGCTCGACGCGGACGAGCTCCGATTTGAAGGCCTTGAGCCGTTATTACCGCACCATCCCTGGACGAAATCATGATGTTATCAACTTGAGACTCTAATCTTCATGTACAGACGCTTTGCAGGTATTGTAACACTACAACTTTCTGTTAGTAGTTAAACCCTAGGGAGGGAAAGTGCCAGAGTACCAAAACCGTCGCCTCAGACCTGGTCATGAGGTGGTTCAAAGTCGGTTTGGGTAGAGGCTTAGTGCCGTCCACGCAAGTCGCTAGACTGTTATTGAAATACATTAGATATAAAAACCTAAATAAAGACGAGTCGGCCTATGCATCGTCGGCGCAAATTTCACAATCCCAACACACTTGCGCATTTCATTTCAGAGGTGAGACTCCAAGAGGTCAAATGCCAGATAGCACACATTCAGAGATGGTGAGTCTGATTCTCCTTCCTGCATCCCTGTTCTGTATGCTAGATGATGCAGGCGGTGCACAGCTAAAATCCCAACTTCACGAAGATTATCTTTTAGAAGGGCACATCACTCCCCGCGCGAAAACTGATCGTAGTTCGCGCGGTAGGATGGTGGAAACGGTAGGTGGACACGTTTTGAACTAGACGTCAAATTCAGTGAGAGCTAATGTAGTCGAGTATTCGTCGCAGACAGGATACTCAGTACGAAAAAGCTCGTGAGCAGCTAATTGAAACCGGTCACTGAGGGCCTCGCCTCTCCCGCCGATTTCAAGACGATCAACGACCCCGAGGTCAGGGCAAAATACAGTACGTTCTACATCATCCAACTAGCATTGCTTTCCACCAGATTACGCTCGTCGCGCCGTCGCGCGTTCCTCGTGTTGGCTCACGATGTGATTCGTGGCAAGTCGACTCCTCCATAGTGCGCGCTGTTTGTGGCGTTTGTTTTAGGATGGAAGAGTCGAGTTGCAGTGATAAGAGAAAAACCCGCACTCCGTAACAAACGGAGGGTTTTCTAAACAGGAGTTATGAACAAGTAGGGTGGGAGGGAGGAGCTCAAAAAAATGGTCGATCGGCTTTGCTCAAAGAGCGCAGGTCCGATTAGTAACTAAAACACTGCAACTGACTTGGGGGATAGGGCATACCTTTGCTCGAAAAGCGCAGGGCGATGGCAGGGGAGGAAGGCGACGCGGTAGGTAGACGCGGCCAAACGAGGTCTGTATACAAGGTAGCCCCATGAGTCAATTTGCCCAACAAGGACAAGGAATTTGGCAACATGCCCAACAAGGACAGTCGTGATCTGGAATGCGAACCTTAGCTAGAAACAGCGAGCCGCGATAGTGCGAGTCTCGAAAAGTTCGCCCTTGCTCTAAGCAGTGGGTGCGATACGACCTTGCAAAGCAGCGGGTACGGCGGCTGCTTACAACGTAGTGGCAGGCTAGCTCATCAGTCCAACTGTCCGACAAGGGCAGAGGGCTTACGAGGGATGTTACCCACTTTGAGTGAGTAGAGACTGGCAGGGGGGTGCCGGAACCACAACACGAAACGCTGAGGCGTGCGGGACGACGAGGGAGAGGGAGAGGAAGGGCCCGCGCGCGCCAGCGGGTGAGCAAGGCGGGAGGCCCAAGGGGGCCGAGAAGAGTGCGTGCTGGCACAGGGTCCAAAGAATGCGTGTTCGAAGAGTGAAGCGCGAGCGGGCCCCGTTAGGCCGAGACCAGCGCGCTTGAGCTGTCCGCGTCAAAATCTTGCAGCAAAGGCCGAAAAGACTATTCGTACCACAGCAACTTCATCGTCGGGACACCGAGTCGCATTCGGTACATGGCAAGGGCGTTGCAATATAAAGGAGCGAAAGAAAGGGAGGACTAGAAGATTGGTCTCTGTGCTGGTACTCTGTGCATACCGAGCTGTTACCTACGCAGCTGTAGGCTCCACTTCGGCTCCCTCACTGGCGCGTCAAGAAATTCGGCGCCTCCGTCGGACTCAGACGACGTCACTGAGAAGTGCTTCGGACGCCGATGATAGCGCAGGGGCGGAGGGGACGGGACATGACGATTCAATAAGATGCTAGATGGTCCGTTTGGTACATTGCGAGTCAAAGGAGAAGCGAGAAATACGGATCGCAGGTGTCCCGACGGTGTGCAGTGGAAGAGGCTGTACTAGTACTAGTAGAAGACGACGACGCGTCCATCGCCGGTGTCTGTGGCTGTGCCAGTCGCTTCGATCAAGACCAAGTAGTCAAGTTGCGAAAATAAATGCGATGCCATCCCCATCTCCTGCATAAATGAGTGGTTGAAGCCTGCATAAGTGAGATGCTGCAGCGCATAATCCGTGTCTTCGATCTCGAGCTGGACTTGATCGCGCTCTTCAAGTTGTTGGGTACGCTAGGCGGCCACAGTCGCAGTTGGTTGAGGCCGAGCGCCAACGGATCAATCGAATCGCCGCTCGCTGCCTATTACAGTCTCCTCTCAGCTTCTGAGCCCACCGACTGAGTGCTGACCAAACCAGCCGCACGCTCGCGGGGGTTCACTGCCAAATGGCCCATACCGACACTAAACCGAAAGGCAGATTTCGGGCTGAAGCGTGAACGGCCCAGTGGGTAATGCCACAGTACTTTGGGACTTGACCGTCGACATTTGAAAAATTGCTCGAAATTTCCGGTCGCATAAGTAAAGGGCGGGAAAGCGCGCAATGTGGCGCTAAAGTGGAGGCCGGCTCGATAAATGCGGGCAAATTGCGTCGTTTCAAAAACCAACCCGCGACTAGCCCCGCGCCCGCGCACCTTTGCCTTTGCTCGCCTTTGCAAAGCAAAAGCGCTCGCCCCCTCCCTCCCTCCGCCCGCTCACCTGGCTAATCCTCTTCGCCTCGACTTTGCTAATCGTCCATTACAACCCACCGTCGCACGTCGTCGACTTGCCAGTCTCGCCAAGTCCCAAACTTCCCATCAACCCCGACGGAACTCTACCCACCCGCTGCACCATGTCGGACAAGAGACAGGCTGTAAGTCGTGGTTTCGAGCCCTTGTCTGACGTTTTCCCACCCCCGTTGCGTGCTCGTCGTCTGTCGTCCAGCCTACCATCGCGGTCTCGCCCTCTCAGCCAGCCTTTGCCGAGCTCTTTGGCCCGGCGCCGTCGTCGCGCCTGCGCTTGTTGTGCCACCCCTGCCGTGCCGTGAGCGGATCGCGGGCGCGTGTCTCCCCCCACGCCGTCGCGATGAGGATAAACAACCGGCTTTCTCGACGCGTCGATGCAAGAAGCCCCCGAGACACAATCATGTAACGAGATCATATTCAATTTCCATCGCATGGACTGACCTTCAAGTTTCGTCATATTTTCTTTATTATGTAGCTCGCCAACGCCTACGTCGAGCTCGCCTCGTCGCTCACGCGCGCTGCGAACGCGGCCGATGCCTACGCCAGAGAACTCGGCGTCGCCGCTACGCCCGCCCAGCTCGAGGCTCTCGTAGCCAACCCTCCCAACCTTCCTTTTTACGGAGCCAAACATGGCAGCAAGGTATGTCTCACACTTGTAATCGACTCGTGTTGCTGCGGGCCGCCCCCTTGGCAGCGCTCTCGAAATCGAAGCTGACTATGTTTATCCCTCTGCCGGTCACGTGCTACCGCCTCAGGCCGCCGCTGCCGCCGCTGGCTCCGACGACGAAGAGGACGGAGAGGGCAAGAGCAAGAAGAAGCTCAAGGTCAAGAAGGTCAAGGACCCCAACGCCCCCAAGCGTCCTGCTTCGGCCTACATCGAGTTTCAGAACTCCGTTCGTGAACAATTTCGCACGGCGGCGCCAGAGGCTACCTACCAAGAGATCTTGAGGAAGATCTCGGGGATCTGGCAAGCCATGTCCGACGCCGAGAAAAAGGTCGGTTGACAATCGTCTAGTCGTTTTCGGTCGAAGCGATCGTGTCCGCGGATGTTGACATGCTGCGAGGGGACTATTGTTTTGCGCAGCAATGGAACGACATCACCGCCGAGAAGACGCTCGAGTACGAGGAGGCCAAGAAGCACTACAAGCCCGTTGAAGGTGCCGAAGCTGTCGCGGCCCTCCCCGCCGTCATCACCGTGGGCAAGGACGGCAAGGAATACACCGGCAAAAAGCGCGGACGTAAGTCCAACGCCGAGAAGGCCGCCGAGGCCGCGCACGGACTCGTCGACACAAACGGCAACATCGATGTCGCGACCGGCGGAATTCTTGCCTCGGGCTCTGGCGACAAGAAGAAGATGCCCAAGTCGAGCAAGAAGCAGAAGGATGCTGCTCCCGTAGGTCCCTTTGTCATCGTCGCCCCCCGATCCCAAGCGACTGATGTCCTTCTGCTACTTTGCTCTTTGCCCAACATTCTTCGTGATTCTCTGATCGCCTCCTACAGGCTCCTTCCGAGAGCGAGGAAAGTGAGTCCGACTCGGATGACTCGTCGGAGGAAGAGGAGGAAGTCGCTCCCCCGCCCAAGAAGTCGCCCGTCTCCAAGAGGGGCAAAGCGCTGCCAGAGGAGAAGCCCAAGTCGAAGAAGGCCAAGCACTGAAAGCCTTGTCCTCATCTCCTGACGGAAGCGCTGTTGTAAGGTGATCCAGTCTATATGTTGTGATCTGGGGGGCGACTGAGGCAGCGTGTCGTAGCGCGAACATGTGCGATGCGTGATGTGGGATCTGCGCAAACAATATTGTCAATTTCTAGTACCCGATGCCACGGAATTGCGACGATCTGTATGAGGTGTTTTTTCTTTTTGCTTTTGAATTGTGGCATGGGTAGCTCTTCTTTCTCGCTAGTGAATGACGAGCATTTAGTTTCCTAATCTGAGCTCAGTGTTGTGTTCTCGACAGGGGCTCGTCCGCTTGCGATGAGTAGTCTCCGCGATTCCGCGAGCTAAACCGTAGGGCACTAGAACGTTGATCGAAGCCCGCTCTTTCTCCCTTTATGCGCAAAATTGGGGCATGCCTTGCCAACTTGAGTGGGTAGACTTTATACTCGAGGAAGGAACAGCCGCCGGCGACGGCCTCTCGCCAATGATGCCGAGCCGATTACGATATCACGCCAAACTGGCATGGCCAAATGAGAACTGGAATCAACGACACCGAACGGCTTTTGTCAGACAAACTCCTGCGAACCGCATCGAGGTCGAGCTTGCGTCGGGCCGAGTGCTCTTCCCCGTCGGCGGTGCCCATGCACCACGGATTGGGAATCCAAGTCCGCTCACGTGACGCGACCTCGCGCTGCCTCTCGAGAGCTCGTGCCTCGCGCGACGACGTCAGCCGCTCGAGCGCAGGAAGGTTCCCTCACACTACCTCGGACACCTTCGCTCGACCAACTACAGCCTACCACATCGAGTATTCGCGCTCACTGCTCTTCTACCGACGGGATAGTTTGCTCCACTACCCTTTCGACCTGTCTCGCACCTTCTGTGGGGTACGTTGTGCCTCACTGCTTTCTCCGCGGGCCCCGGCGACCCGCCCTTGTTGATCCAATTCGTCTCCGGTGAATCATCGTCTACGTCGAGCCTCCAGGCACCAAGTCGCTTCCCCTACATCACCAAACCCACATTGGAGTGCTATTGAAATATAAACGTAAGAGTGGTGCTGTTGGTGAGTGGAGCCCTGGGCGAACTGTTGCATGGCATGTCATTGAACAGAGTCGACGCTGACCTTGAGCTCGCACCCTCGCGATCGTGTCAATCAGTTGGCTACGTAAACGATCCTGTCGCACGACCCAGTCGTAGAGAGGTCAGCGATCGGCTTCAGCAATACGATGGCATCCACATCATCTCGCTACCTTCGCCCGGCTCGTACATTCAGTGGCGACAGCGACGAACACTCGCCAGCGCAGCCGCCACGGAGGCATTCTCGCGAACGCAAGGCGCCCCTTCGGAGACCGGCGCCGATTTTGGCTCACTCACGGGAGAGCTCCAACGAAGGTGACTCCGAGTCGTCCCACCCTGGCCGCAACGAATTCAGATCGCTCGATCGGGAATCAGCAGATGCCTACACCCGGCTGCAACGCCCAGGCTCGAGCGGATTCATCGGAGCCGAGACTCTGCCGAGATGTTCGCCCTCGACCGCGTCGTCCATGTCCTCCATCGGCAGCTCGTTCGATCTCGCCGATTCTTCCGCCGCTTCCCTCTTCTTTTCGCCTCCGCCGATCCAACAGACCCGGAACGCGACATTTGACCAGGAAAATGTTCCGAATCGAAGAGGAATGGCCGGGCCTCGCAAACTCGACCTCGAACTCCAGGATCGTCCGCAGGAGACGATGGTCGTAGCAGAACCTCGATCCGCCAACGCCATGTTGCAACATGTGCGCGTCAAGGCGTCACCGACCACATTTGGATTCCCCTTCGCTTCGTCCATACTTGCGACCTCGGACTCGTTCGCCGACTTGCGAGGACCGGCTAGTCGAACGTCCGTCCAGGATCACGCTAGGCCATCGGCGGCGAGTCAAGGACGATCGGATCCAAGCCGCAGCAACAAGTCTGCCTCAAGCCATCGCCTAAGCAGTGATGTCGACCTGGACTTGAGCTTTGATTATCACCAAGAACCCGAGATGGTCTTTGGTGACGAAGTATCGATAGAGTCCGCATCCGCAGAATGGATTGGCATCGACATGACGGGCCGTCCGGCCGAGCACGACGTTCCGGAAGGTGAACTGGTACGAAGCCCGAGTGGACGCTTGTTGGGGACTCATAAAAAGCGCGTGAGAAGTGCTGTCGACCTACGAGCTCAGTTTAGGATGGCGGAGCAAGCAGTGGCAATTCCGATGATCGAGGACGTACCGACCGAAGATGCGCTGGGCACGAGACAGGGGTTGCTAGTTGATGAAAGCACGCACGCCCCTTCCGGGATTCCTGTGGGCACTTTTGGACGTCGTGTTTCAGCACCGATCAAGACAAAGCGGCCGACTTCATGGGGAAACGGCTTCGCCTTCAATCCGACGAACCCCTTGATGGTGCCTCTCCCCGACTCCCCCGGCTTCACGCCTTCGCCCTCACCAACTCTTACAAACGAGTCCAAGACGTTGGCGGCACCGTTCCGCTTTCTTGAACGCGCTCGTAGTAGCATGCGGCTGGCCAGTCCATTGTCGACGCCGGTGTTGGGTCAGTCATCTGTCGACGTCAAGGGCAAAGGACGGGCCACACCGGACGAGAACCTCGTCGGCGTGGACGAATTCCTTCCGCAGCAAACAGAGGAGACCACGGCGCGGCGACAAAACTGGGCGAGCCAGTTGGCCCAGTCAGCGATGGTAAAATGGGGATCCCCTACGACCTCGAGCCACGAAGGCCGCAGTGCAACACCAATGACGACCAAGTTCCAATCACCGCTGCCCATGTCGGTGTTCGATCATCCGCAGCACTCATCATCGTCTGAAACGTTCGACACCGCCGAAACGACACCGATCCCTGATGTTGGACAGTTCGGAGAGCAACGAGGTGCTCGCTCAGACGTCGAAGATTTCGCTGTTTCGAAGGCGTTCAAGCCTGCTGAAGGTTTAGCCGGACTCGGAATCGCCTTCAACGCGTCCGACAACGAGGGCCGCTCCATCCGTCAGCCGCTAGCTTCGCGTCAAGCTCGGGCTCAGCCAAGCTCAGAGGTCGTGCGTCCATATGGTCACCGTACGATTCCCTCCCTTTCCGTCACTCGCCCTATCGAAGACGGGCACGAGACTTCTTCCGTCACCTCGAGGGTTTCCGCAGTCGATCCGACCGCATCTCGACGAAATTCCTGGCATTCGGGCCAGTATGGAGGCGCAATTCCAGGTTTTTCTGCGCCCTCAGTAGCCCGTAGACGATCGCTGTATGGGAACGAGACTCTCCATGTGCTCGTACCCCAGCCGTCGCCCCAAGGTCGAATGGCCCCACAGACGGGGCCCGCTTCCCCACGTTTCTCCTTTACCCCTGCGCCTCTCCAACTCGTGAAGGCACACTGCCCACCCCCCGAAGTCGATGCGACTGCCGGACCTTCCATATCGGTACAGGCACCCATCAACTCTTCGCTTCGTCACCGACGACCCCATTCAGTGAGATCCCTCGTCGAAGCCACCATCACTCGACCGGGACATTTCATAGAGACGACCGTGCCGTCGAAATTGTTGTTCCTGGCCGGCTTTTTGCTTGGACCTTGGTGCTGGATCATTGGAGGGTGGTGGCTGCGGCCCTCGGATGGGGAGCTGAGAAGGACGAGAGGGACGAGGTGTCGAGCGGAAGGGTGCGCTTGCGGAATGATGGTGCCAGAAGACCGACTGCGCGGGATCGCTCAGCGGCACCTCACCCCCAGTATGGGGCTGAAGGCTCATTTCACGAGCGTCGTCGGAGGTGGTACTGATGAGTCGATCAAGTGGATGGGCCTGGATGAGTGGGTGTTTACGAATCGCGTTCTAGCCGTCACGAGCGGAGTCGCTGTGGTGGTAGTGGTGGCGATTGCCATATTTGAAGCGAGCATGGCTGCTTGAAATGAAGAGCTCGTTTCGCTGTCCGTCGCACCGCTAGCAGTGTCTGTAATGAGATCTGATCCCGGTCGGGAAATGCTGACAAGAAACGGTGCGCTCGCTATATCCCAGTGTGTTATCTCCTCAAGTATGCACTGCCAGATTTGCATTGCTCCAGGTACAATACAACAATCTAGACTGCGGGCCTTACACGCCCGGCCCTCCATCTAAATAGACCGTCGATCGCCACGGGGAACCTCCTTTCCAAATCCTCCTCCCTCATTTCGCCGCTCATCAAAGCTTCGTCCAACTCGTTCCACGTCTTGTTACTCACTTTCCACAACCTCCTCAGCTTTTCAATCCGCGCCAACTTCATCGCCTCGACGAACGTGGTGTTCGACATCGGCGCCGGGTTCGATGGTCTGCTCATATACTCTCTCAACATGTCCGGCGTCAATTGATCGAAATCGAAGAGCGCGTGTCGTCGACTCGCAGAAGCGATCCGGCCCGCCATGCGAGGATTGCCCAGCCCTCTTGCTATCCAGATATCCCAGAAGGTTCGCTCGGCAGACCTAAACCTGCCTTCGACCTCGTCTTCGGAGGCTTCGTCGCTACGCACGAGGAGCAAGTTCTCGATGATCCATGCTGCACGCTCCATTTCGCCTTGGCGAATGAAGGCACGTACGAGGGCGTTGTAGGTCCCGGCATCGAATCGAAATTCTTCGGCGGACAATTCGCCCCAAATCTTTGACAGGTCATGGCCGTGCCCCGCTTCGAGCGCAGGGGGCGAGGATAGGGTGTCGAGTAGGATCGTGACCGGAAGACAGAGGTCGGTGCAATGCGCCGCACTGATGCGTCGTGTTGGGGGGCGCATCCTCAAGTGGTCGGAAAAGATCGAAGGCAGGTTCGTAGCCACGCGTTCGGTCTGCACGGGGTATCCATAAGCGTCCAAGACTGAAGCATGGAGGCCGTTCCAAACGGTCACGACGTCCTCAACACCCATGGCCGAGGAGCCTGGCGCAGTGTGCACAACGGCATCGCGACGAAAGGCGTCCATCAAAATCGTGTACAGCTCAATTGAGGGTCGCGCTCCACTGCCGAGGACAAGTTTGAACGTGTCTAGAACCGTGTGACCATTCGCGGTCCTTGCCTCCGCTTGCAAGATCGGCGCAAAGATGTGCAGCAATTCGTCCCCTCTCGCCAGAACCTTGTCACGCTTGGCGCTTTTGGATAAGTCCTTTCGGTGAACGTCAAGTGGCGACAGCTGTAGGAAATTGCGCGCGAACGTCTTGGCCTTCGCACGGATCGTCGGGGAGGCGCGTTTCGCGCCAGCGACCATCGATGCCACAATGATTCCGAATGTGACCGAAGTCGGTTCGATGCCTCTACTCTTCATCTCTTGGAGACAAGCTTGTGCTTTCGCAGGCTCGTTCGCCTTGACGTAAGCGTTCAACAAGATCGAAAAGGTGAAGACGTCCGGTCGGACATCGTCCATCGCGACAGGGAGACTTGTTGGCGACTTGGCGGACGAAGGCGACTCCGTGGACGCCGTCGATGTTTCACTAAACGAGGCCAGGTTTCGGGCGAGCGTCTCGTCCATAACCTTGAACATCTCCTCCGCGACGTCGATCAGGCCAGCATTACAGACGCTTTGCAGCAGGGTGTGGTAAGTCACCATGTTGGGTCGAAGCCCGCGTTGAAGAGCCTGCTGAAACCACTGCAGCTGGGTAACGACCGGCGTCTCGGTGAACACGGCGGCCTTGAGCATGACGTTGAATGTCACCGTATCCGGCACGAATTTGGGGTTGGGAGAATTCTCGAGAAATGCAAAGATGTCGAAAGCCTCGCGGTACTGACCCAACTCGACGTGAAGGTTCATCAGGGTCGTCCATGCGCTCAGCGTCATCTCGAAGCCTTCTTGGCGCATCTTGGACATGATGCCGATGACGGCATCGAAATCTCTCACGTTCGCATGAGCGCAGATGAGGGCTTCGTATGAGCCAGCATTGGGGTTCAAAGACGCCCTGCTACCCCACTCGCCCGCTGCAAGTCGGCGAAAGATGGCGTAGGTCGAGTCGATGTCGTGCCTGGTCGCGTAGCCAAACATGAGCGAATTGATGGTCCCGATCGTGGGTCGGTCGCCGTGGGCTAGGAGGTAGTCGTCGACGGCTGTGATTGCCGCCTCGAGATCGTCGCAGCTGACGTAAGCTTCGACGAGGTTGGAAACGAGACGAGCGCGATCCTTTGCAGTGGTAGGATCGACGACATGTACGGCCTCGGTCATCGCCACGCGCGCGTCTGCAAGGCCTGTAGATCGACCCGCTGCTCTTACGTTTCTCGCCACCATCTCGAGGGCGATTCCGGCCTGTGGGAGCTGTCCCAGTTCTTTCGCCAACGCATCGACGCGGTTCGGCGACCCGAGTTCGGCAGCGGAGCGAATGACCATCTTGTACGCATGCACGACGATAGCTTTCGTTCGATCATTCATTGGTCCCGCTTCTGCCACCCTTCGGGCCAGCTGCAGAACTTCGACGGCGAGCACTTCAGCATCGAGGTTGTAGTGCATGCCCAATAACCCTTCGAGCAAGGTCGCATTCATTCGCAGTCGCGTCATGTCGCCCAGAGGGTCCAGCGCTTTCTCCTCATCGATCATCGTCTTGATCTGTAGCGCGCGCAAGGTCGATCCCGCGGTGGACAGGTACTCGACAAGATGAGGACCCATGGTCCATCGCATGCGGCGCGACGGCAGAGAAGCATAGTATTCGGGAGGAGAAGGACCTAGTTGTCCGAGCAGTGAGCCGTATTGGCGCCGAAGATTGGAAGAGACCGGGTTCGCGGTGTCGTACAAATGCAGCAGATTGACCATGTCCCAGCCGCAAAAAAGATGGAGGGCCTGTTCGGCGCCGATCGAGGAGTTTCTGGACCAAGCCTCCAGCAGGATCGGTGTGACCACTTCTGCGGTCTTTTGCCTTTTGGCGTGTGCTTCTGTACCCTCGTCTCCGTGCGCAAAGATTTGCTGCAGGTGGGCGAGGTACGTCTTGGATAAGGTGTCGTCGCGATCCACGTGCACGTCCGGGTCGAATAAAAGGGCAGCGGGTAAGCGGTCTTGCAGGGCGATTGCATCTATCCAAAGCATGGCCTTCGAACGCGGATGCCTAGGATCGTCCATCACCAACTGGTGAAGGTATTCCTCCATCTTTCTCCCCGCCTCATGCCGCAACCTCACGATCCGCCTTGCTTCCTCTTTGACCGAAGCGGGACCCCCGGGCTCTAGAGTCGGCAGTTTCAACGCCCGGACAAAGCTCGATGTGAGTTTGACGAGGTCGAGCCTTTCTTCGAGCTCGAGCTCCTGGAGCCGTGCTGGATCCTCGACGAGCCAGGTCGTCAAAGCTTGTAGTTGATCGAGGCGAGATGCGACCGACTCGAACCGACTAACAAGTCTTGTCCGTACACCACGTCTCGAATAGGATGCGACGGGCACAGGCCTCAACGAGATGGGTTCTCGGCCGAACTTGTAGATGGAATCGCGAAGAAAATCTCGTATCCAAGGGACCGATATTGCATCCGCATCGATGGGAGAATCGTGCGAGCTGGACCGCCTGTCTGCAATCGAAAGACAAGCGTGTTAGACGAGGTCTTGCTCTCTGGGGCGTGCAGTTGCAGGGCATAACTCACCACGCCTTTGCTTTCGTATTTTGGGGTATCTGTTTTGAGCTGGGGGTAGTCCACTGCCATTGACAGCGGACCCCTCCTCCGTAAGGCTCGCATCCTGTTGGCCAGAGCGATCGGAGACGAGAGATTGCGAAGTCGGGTTAGAGGTCCGATCGACAGGATTCGGCAAAGAATCGGGTCTGATGGGCTGCTCGTGTTCACCTGCGGGTGTCTCGTGTGTGGGCGCGCTATAACTGGTGGCTCTGCACCTCATGCACACTGTTGTCCGTCCACACGGGCATGCTCGCAAGAGGTTGGAAGACGGGCGGCGTGAGTTGGAGGTGGGAGCACTCGAGACGGGTACGCGACGAGCCGTGCCTCGCGGTATGCGCACTCCTGTTATGAGATCAACGCTCGGAGCTGAATACGGCGCTGAAGATGACGTCGAAGGTGAGGGAGACGACGCGAATGAGGACGAAGACGAGGATGGGGAAGGGGAAGGGGAAGGGGAAGGGGACGGAGTTGGCAAGGTGCGCGAAAAGAAGCCAAAGGATGGGTACAAAAAGTCGAGCGTAGGCGACGATGAAGCCGACGAGACTTGGGTGCTACTGGGTCTAGTCGACGAAGGACTCGACAAAGACGAGGTGGTCGATACTGCGATCGCGGGTCTCGCGGCCGCTGCTCGATCGGGTCTGATCCACTCGAGCAGGACGTGCGATGACGGCAGTCGCGGTCGCGGTCGCACCGACATGACGAAGGGGGGGGGTGAGCTGTAGTCGTGGGGAGGGCCGAGTCAGTTCTTTGGCCTTGAAGGTTTTCCGGGAGCGTATGCCGTACGGTCGTGTGCGCCGTGCTGCGGGGAACGGCGGCGACGAGTAGGTCAGCTCCTGCATGCTATGTGATGATGCGGAACGGCTGCAGTAGCTTACATCCAGCAATCTGATCCCCCTGTATCGTCTCTGCTGCACTTGATCTCAGTCCGATGCCCGATGGCGATCCAGACGGTGCACAACTTGCTGCAACCCCCCCCACACCGTCAGATTCGATTTCGCGAGCGTGTAAGCAAGGAGAGGAAAACGAACCGGCGGCCATCGGCGGCGCGCCCTCAGCCAGCAGCAGCCAGCAGCAGCCAGCAGCGCCGCCTCGAGCAGTCAGCCAGCCAGTGCGACTTTCAGCCAGCAGCAGGAAGCAGCCGCCACACAGCCACACCCTCGCACACACTGCCAGGAGCTTCGCCTTCGTTCGCGTCGAGCCTCTGTAAGCTGTACGACGGCGCTTTCCCCTCCCCTCCCCTCCCCCACCGACCATGGCCTCATCAACAACAACTGCTCCCGCCGTCCCCCCGACCCGAACGGACCTCGTCCTGATCCCCTTGGCCGGCTCGACGTTCGGCTTCGTCTCCGGGGTGCTCACCTCGTCGCAGCTCGCTTCCAAGCAGTTCCTCGCCGAGAATGCGCATCGCTTGCCGACGACCGTGCAAGGGTGCGTACTCGTCACTGGCCAGACCGCTCACTCTTCCTTTTGCTCGTTTGACGCCGGATGGAGCAGAGGCGTTGCACTCTCGGCACAATCCAGAACTGACTGCCCCCCCCCCCCCCCCCATTCATCCTCCACCCCACCTTGTCAACGCCCCTTGATTGGCCTCGATATTCCGTAGGTGGTATTTCTACCAAAAGACGAAAAATTACCGCGTGCTCTACTCGGGCGTGATCGGTGGACTACGCACCGGTGCTCGACTCGGGCTCTGGACGGCCTCCTTCGTCGGATTGGAACACCTCATCCAAACGCGCTTGTTGCAACCCGTGCTCTCTTCACCGACCCTGATCGCGTCGGAATCGATTCGGGAACAGGCTCGCGCGATCAAGACGAGGTGGCTGAGTGCGACGATCGCTGGTGTGTCCATCGCCTGGGTCGCGGGTAGGATATGTCAGTTCGGGCTCAAGCCCCCCCGCCTTCACTCCAGCTACCACCGTCGAACAGCGTGCGAGGATGATGCTGATTCTGCATGTTGGTGTGGATGATGATACAGACCGGCTCTCTAGATACGCGGCCACGCGACGGTTCTTACTCGGCGCTTCATTGGGTCTCGTGTCAGGCGCCACCTACGATCTTCGAGATTGGCTCAAGACCAGGCTGCCACCGCCTACAAACACCTGACTAGCATCAATCTCTCCAGTACCGTCTTGCAGCACAATCCCAGTTTGGCACATGTTGTAACATCGCATCCTTCGCATCCTACCAACACCTTAGAAAGTAGATCAGGACCTTCTACCGGTACCGCGCAGATCGTTACGACCCTCAAAGATGGCATTTTCCGGCTGCATGTGTCTCATCTGATGCTTGACGCGTTCGACCCCTTCCAGTACCCTCAATAGGTTCTCACTCGCCAGACCTCGGATCTCGTTGTCCGACCAACCGCGCTCGATCAATTCGGCAAGGAGGTCTGGATAGTACGAGACGTCGGGCAAATCGATCGGTACCGAGATGATGCCGTCAAAGTCGGAGCCGATCCCGACGTGCGAACGACCTGCCAGTCGACCAATGTAGTCCGCGTGGTCTAGCAAAGTAGGCATCAAAGATCACTTCAGCAACCAGGAAAGCTTTTGAGCGACCAACTACGGGAACAGCCCTGCCCGACTCACCCGCCAAGAGCTTGATGCTGGCCCTCGGACCCTTTCCGTCGCTAGTCTCACTGATGAACGCCGGTGAGAAGTTGAGCATGATCAACACGTCCCCACCTGGGATGGGCAAGTCGACCTCGTTCGTATCGTTGCCCCACCCTTGTCCACCTTCCCCATCCTGGGTGAGGTCGAATCGCCGATTCGGGAACGATAGTTTGCCGATTCGGCGCAGAATCGTGTCGGGTACGTTGCGTACGACGGAGTGAACGCCTCGGGCGTTCGAGTGACTGCGAAATCATAAACTGGCCAAATCAGATCGCCGACGGGTGCGAGAACCTGGTTTCACTCACGAGAAGATGACGGGACTTTGACTCAAGCTCAACGCTTGACTCGCCGTGGCAGGACTCGTATGGCTTAGATCAACCATCATGCCCAATCGGTTCATCTCTCGAATCGCCTTCTTTCCGAACTCCGAGATTCCATTCCAGCGAGGTTCGATCGGCGTGCCTTGCATCCCGCACGAGTCGGCGAGCGCATTGTGACACGTATGCGTGAGCGTCACGTACCGAGCTCCGAGCTCGTAGAAAGCTCGGAGGGAGGACAGGCTCGAGCCGAGTTGATGCCCTCCCTCAACCCCCAACATCCCACCGATGCGGCCCTTCTTCATCGCTTTCCTCCAGGCTTTGGACGTTAACGTCAACTCGAAATCCTTGAGAATGGGGGAAAGCAATCGATTGAGTGAATCGAGCAAAGAATTGTGCATCTTGAGGGCTTGTGAACTCACATCCGAGTACTTGTTGATCAGCAACTTGGCGACGTCAATCTGTTCCAGTGTGTCCCTGACCCGGAACGTAGGGATTGTAAAGTTGCCATGATTGTCGATCGGGTATCCCGCATCCTCCTGTTCGGCCGGGGCATGACCGCGAAATTTGATCAATCAGCTCAGTCTTCACACATATGGACAGGAACGCGTTGAACTCACCGGACATCCGACATACGTCGACCAGAAACTATGACATACAATCCTTCCACCCATCAGAACTAGCTGCGAAACGGCCTGCTCCTAGTAGTACCGACCGCCTGACCTCTGAAGGACTCACAATCCGCCGACCTTGCCTTTCCTCAGCCTAGGTAGATCCACATGGCCCTTGATACCTCCCTCCTTCGTCATATCGACGTCTTGGAACTGGTTACGGTAGTACTCCCTCATGAGGATAGGCAAGTCGATGTGGCCATCGATGATGGGGCTCTTCGAGAGCAACTTGAGTGCTCGGGCGTGCGCATTCGCGGGCAATGGCTCAAAGTTCCACCGTTCGAGTCTAGCCAGGTCGGTCCTACAGAGGTCGGCGACGACGAAGGTCATGGCAATGAGATAAAAGGCCTGGAGTACGCGCTGGTACCATGCGAGGAAGGTCTGATGCCGCCTCGATCGGACCGAGGACCGTAATAGGCCCGAGGGTGACTCGGACATGATGATAAGCTCATCCGAGTCATTGCCGGTGCGAGGGGTGACGTAAAGTGGAGGCTGAGCCGACTCGCAGGATCGGCGAGCTTCTTCGTCGTCCAAAAAGAAATCGTTCGGGTAACCCATCGTATCGGACGAGCAAATGAAAGACTGGGATACTCTTCAAAGGATGAAGTCGAGGTTGGACTCCGCGCACCGATCGAGGTTTCCGCGTGGTTGTCGACCGCGAGGTGCATCCACGGACTTTGCACAGAGGCGCTGTCTCCCAGCCTCTGGTAAGCGCGGCCCTGGGCCCAAGCTGGGCCCCACACGCTCCACCGACGACAAATTTGCCAGCGTGCGGGAGAACATCCAATGCAATGACAAAGATTCCACGCTACAGCCGCCGTACGACACAAAAAGAAGAAAAGGAACAAGAGGATGCACGGTGGTGCCGTCAACCCATACCGGTCGATCCTCAGATCGTAAAGAACGGTTGATCCTTCTGTCGGGAGCAATCGGGGTTGGGGTTTCACTAGTCAGTCTCGCAATACGGGCTGTTGCTGCGACAGGTGGACTGCTAGGGGCTCAAAGTACATACCTGTTGATTCTGAGTCGGGTTTTGAGAGATGTTGAACGGGTTTGGTCGGGCCAATCCAGTCGGTTGCGCTTGAACGAGACCCCCTGTTCGAGTCGCGAATTGGGCTCCACTAGACCAAGCGAAGATGAACTCTTGCACGATCAGTACGACAACGAAGGTTTGGTGCATATACGATAACTGTACACTCACACTGGGATACGCATATTGCCAATGTTGCCGAACGTGTCCAAGCCATCTTCTCGGCCACCTGCGAGCAGCTGGGCGAGCTGGGCGTGCTTGCCGTCGTCCTTCTGTGGCCGCTGTCGGGCCGGTTGCGCCGTCTGTTGCGGGTGCAGCGCAGGCGGCGGACTGGGCTGTCGCGGGGGTGTCGGAGTGGCGATGTTGTCGTTGAAAGTCGTTTGAGGTTGCTGTTGCTGCTGAGGCGGAGCGGCGAAAGCGGCGAAAGGGTTGTTGGCACCGAACGCAGTCGGCTGGGGCTGAAGTGCCTGCTGTTGCTGCGCCATCTGCTGCTGATACATGTACTGCTGTTGGCGCATGTACTCCTCTTGTTGTTGCTGTTGTGCGTATTGTGCCTGCAGTTGAGCTTGTTGTTGGGCGTATAGGTATTGCTGCTGTTCTTGTTGCTGTGCGCAAGGGGCGAGAACGAAGGCTTTAACGTCAGCCTATTCTCGTCCAGGTCGCTACGTTCAACACCGGAAGCCCATCACTCACCTGACGCTGCAGCTCCATCATCTGGGCTTGGCGCATCTGTTCCTCCAGCATGGCTTGCTGTTGCGCCGCATAGGGATTGAAGCTCGCCCACCCCGTCTGCATCGGTTGTTGAGGTTGGGCGTCGATATCGATAAGGTTGTTTTGGTTTCTAAAAATTCATCAGGAGCCTCGATCAAATTCCTTTCGAGAAAATCAAAGCCCATGTGTGGAGCAGAACGTACTGCCGTTGCTCATCAAACAGTCCATCGCTCCCGCTCTGGGCTAGTTCCCTTCTCCGCCTCTCATCTTCTTCTCGACTCAGCCTCATCGCCTCTTCCAGATCGTTGTCGGCCTGACTCCTCTTGGCCTCCTCCTCGGCAGATCGCTTACTCGCAGCAATCGCAGCCTCAAGATCTCCATCGCCAGAACGCGCTCCGGATCGATCAGGTCGCGCTTCGGTCGATTTGGGCCGGGTTTCGGCTCCGGACATGCGGTCACGCATGTCACGTCGGGTTGCGCGTTGCGATTTCATTCGTCGCTCGTCCAACAGCAGGTTTGTGATATCTTTGGCCTTTTGTCGAACTGCACGTAGCCAAGACGATCGAGCGAATTCTTTATGAGTCTGCGACCGCGTCATTTCTGCATTCTGCGATGTGGGGGTGTCAACGCACCGTTCGCTCCCTGATCCTTGCCAAACTCGTCGATGTACTGGAACTCTTTCAGTGTCTTGACAATGTAAAGATTCTCCCTGTGAACAAGGTGCGGTGCGAGTGTGAGCACGCGTACGCAATGATGTCATGGAGTCGAGAGGAGATAGGTGAACGCCGCTACGAGGCCGGTACTGCACAACGTCGTCTACACTACACCAGTTCTCTGTAGGAAATGCCCACGCACTCCAGCGAACTGGACCTCAACTCACCTAAAGTACTGCACGACGTTCTCGCTTCCATTGTGCAGGATGTAGTCGAGCAGGGTCAACGACTTGAAGACGTGGCGCCAGTTCTTGCCCTTGTCGTTGAGTCGCTTGTCGAGCATCTCGATGATCTCGACAAAGTCGTTACTGTGCAAATCGAGGTGACGACGTTTGAGACTGGTCAGCTCTCGGCTTCGCGGATCGCAGTAGTCTGCCGTGGCTGAGTGTCAGACCGTCCTCCTCGTCCGACAGGGGCCGGGCGGTGACAAGCACTACAGACCCCACCGGATGAGGCCAAAGAGGGAGCACGCATCATACTCACGCATTGAATGTCAAGACCGCGATCTCACTCATCCTGTGGGTCACGCCAACGATAAGCGGCCGTCAGTACTTGCCGGTCGACTCGACCGTGTCCGGAGACGGTCCGGAGCGGCTCAATAAGACCAATCCGGCCATCGCCATCGCCACGGGCCACGATCGTTTGGGCAGGCAAACTTACTGAGTACCCGACGGTCCCCAGGGATCGTTGGAGGTCGCATCGCGCACTTTGGTCTGCGCGTCGGTGAAGCCCTTGATCGAGTTCTTGGCCACCCTGTGAGGCGTGACCGGCAGCGAGTGAGTTTCCCGGTCGCCAGATCGCAACAGTCGTCGAGGGCCGTGCGGAGGGGTGAGCGGGATGTGACTTACCTCATGACGCTCTTGCCCATGTTCTGCATGTTGGGCTAAAGTTGTAGTGGCGAAGAATGGGGCAGGGCGTGCGTTCTGCGGATGGCGAGGAGGTGAGTAGGCCGAGCCGACCAGGCGACGACCCAGGCACGTCTCAGCCGCACGGTTCAGTTGCCCATAAGACCGATCAGACACGAGGCGGTGCTCACAGGCTCGCTGGTGGTCCGTCGGCGGCTCTCAGCCCGAGCGCGCAGCAGCTGCTTTAGCAGCGCCTGTGGGAGAAGGGGTCTTTCCTTTACAAAACAATATATATCGTTAAAGCTGGTGATGGCTTTGGATTATGAACTCTCTTTGAACGCTCGCTGCAGAACACTCACGGCTTGCTAATGCGGTGACGGCGGACTTGAGAGTCGGCCGCCGGTGACTGGATCTGCATGCTCATCTGCGGTCGCGAATGCCGACCAGCAGGGAGTATCTGGTTTGTAGGGACTCGCTTGATGAGGTTTTGAATTGCCTTCATCCACCAGCCAAGGTGGATAGAGGTCGCAGTCCACGGATGAGGAGTGGGCCGGACTTTGCACACTCACGTGACTTTCGATTCCATGCATGTGCACTCGTCCGACCCGGACGCCACTCCGAATCGCCGCCGATCAACAGTCAAAAAATAATGAGGCTCCGGAAAACTAAAGTACGCTGAAGTCGAAGTCGTCCTATTACGTAAAGGGTAAAGGTGGTGCCTTTTCCTAGCCATGTGCAATGCTTCGGGCCCGGCCGCGGACTGATCGCCATGATGCCGATCGCCGATGTGATGCTGCTTCACCTGCAGGCACCCGGGGAAGGTTGCCTCAACTTGCTGTCGATCCTTCCCCCTTCAACCACTACGGCCACCTTGATCTCGAGTCGCCATCATGACCATGTCAAGTGAGTATCTGAATCTCCTTGAAGTCAACACTCCTTCGCTTCTTTTTCATTGTTTGCAACTTAGACGCCTCCCCCAATGGCACCTCGTGACGAACGACCTCGTGGCGAACGGCCTCATACGGCCCCGCGCAGCCCCACACTGCAGCCCAAGGCTCCGAACACTGACGTCTGCTCGCCGGCCCGCCAGAACACATACTCAATGATCCCAAAACACTCGTAAACGACGCCCTGTCAGGTTTGGCGTTCCTCAATCCTGCCCTGACTTACAACCCAGCCACGATGACGGTCATGGTTCGCCAAGCCGATCACGACAAGGTCCACCTCCTGTGTGGTGGTGGTGCGGGCCATGAACCCGCCCATGCCGCCTTCGTGGGCAAAGGGATGCTGTCCGCCGCCGTTAGTGGCAATGTGAGTCTAGTGCTGCGCCACGATGCTGCGCCACGATGCCCCGCTGCACGATTCTCCTTCCGTACTCTGGACTCCGCCAGTCAAACTTGGGGCCGAATGTGGGGAGCGACGTTCTGATTGGACGGCCGAGCGCAGCGAGTATTATGGCAGCGGGACTGACATTCTGTGCGACCACGTCTGTGGTAGGTTTTTGCCAGTCCGAACGCAGCCCAAATTGAAGCCGCTCTGGGCCGACTCTCAAACAGCAAAGGGTAAGCACTTGAAGCTCAGCTCCAGTGGGGGCACGCGTCAGTCGGTCACGCACTGCGCACTCATGTTCGGAATAACACCAACCATTGACCTTGTCGACTACTCGTATGTAGGCAGTTGATTATTGTTAAGAACTACACCGGTGATGTGCTGCACTTCGGACTTGTCAAAGAACGGTGGGCCGCGACCCATTTGGGAGAAGATTCGGTTCGCCTGTTGGTCGTTGGCGACGACGTCTCCGTCGGCCGAGCTCAGGGTCAACTGACCGGTCGCCGAGGATTGGCTGCCACTGTCCTGGTGTATAAGATCGCCGGTGCTCTCGCGGACACGGGCGCATCGCTGGACGAAGTGGAACACTTGGCGAAGTTCATCGCTAGGCGATCAGGCACTTGTGGTATCGGATTGGACCACTGTCATGTTCCCGGGACCGAGCAAGCCGAAGGGTACCTACAACAAGATGAACTCGAGTTTGGTCTGGGAATACATAACGAGACAGGCGTGCGCAAGCAAAAACCGATCCCTTCGGCGAACAGGATCGTCGAGGACTTAATGAAGTGGCTCACGGATACCGAGGATAAGGACAGGGCCTTCCTGGACTTCAAGAGCACGTCACTAGTCACTCTCCCTCACTTTCCTCGGATAACTCGCTCACCTGGCCCCCTTGTATGTCAACAGATGACGGCAAGGATGAGGTCATTCTCCTCGTCAACAACCTGGGTGGGATCTCCGAGATCGAGCTCAGTGTCGTCGTGAACGAGGCATCAAAGTGGCTCGCTTCCAAGCACATCACTGTGGAGAGGTTAGTTTGCGAGTAATCTCGCTTTCCCTGTCCGGTGGCTGACCACTTCATTGCCTTGGTCAGAGTTTTATCGGGAGCTTTTATGACGTCGCTCAATTTGCCTGGCTTCTCCATCTCCCTCGTTCTGCTACCTCGGGAGCCTGTGGCGACGTGAGTCTCTCGTCGGCTGCGCAGCTGCGCGTATGAAACTCAATGTGCTCGTTCGCCCCTGTACTAGCCCCTCGACTTTCACCTCAAACCTCTGCTTCGACAAGGACCTCATCTTGGAGATGCTTGACGCTCCGACCGAGGCCCCAGCTTGGAAGTGGCATTACAAAGGCCGCCCGGAGGCGCACGTCGAGGAAGAGAAGGACGATCAGAAGAATAGCAAGAAGAGAAAGACCGAGGTCGATATCTCCGGAAGCGATCAGGTCAAAGGACCGGCCCGTGAGTTGCTGATTCGCACTCATTGAGACTCATCGATATGGTGACGCTGACGCTGGCGAGCTGAAATATTAGCGACCGATGCAAAGCTGTTCAAATCGGCGATCGAGGCCGCGCTGCAAGAACTCGCTAAAGCCGAAGCCGAAATCACAAAGTACGACACAACTGCGGGCGACGGGGATGCAGGTCAGTTGTGCTACTCGTCTTCACGAGCTGTGGAGCGCATCATCTTCTGACAAAGGGCGTTCGTGGGACCACCAACAGGGCTCACCCTCAAGGCAGGTGCCGAAGCACTCCAAACTAAAATCTTGTCAGATGTGATCCCAACCGACAAGGACGTTGTCGCAACCTTGGTCGGCATTTCTGCCGTCGTCGAGAAGGAGATGGGCGGGACGAGTGGTGGTCTGTACTCGATCTTCTTCGCCGCGTTGTCCAAGGGCGTCCTGCAAGCTGCCAAGGACAAGGGGGAGAACAAGGCGACGAACGAAGTTTGGGCTAGGGCTCTCGAGGTGGGCCTAATTCCTGGTGATGGCAGCGTTTAGCTGCATAGATCTAACATCATATTTATTATTTCCTTCCTTTTGCCTCTTAGCTCGCCCTCAACACGCTCTATAACTACACCCTGGCTCGACCTCCATCGAGGACCTTGGTCGATCCTTTAGCCGCTTTCATTATCACATTCGGCTCAGACCCTGCCAACTTTGACAACGCTTTCAACCAAGCACAAGAAGCGGCCGAAGCGACCCGAGCACTCGTCGCAAAAGCTGGACGTGCCGCTTATGTCGACCAGGACAAGATTGAAAAGGCCAACGTACCTGATGCAGGGGCTTGGGGTGTGCTGAAAATCTTGCAGGGCGTCAAGGCGGCTTTGGCGCGTGAATCCTCGAGCACGACTGAGACGGAGAGAGGCCAGGAATGACATGCAAATCGATATGTTCCAATACTATTCCCTCACAGCAGGGAGTCCAGTTCTATGCACTAACAACGAGAAGAAAAAAGGAGCTTCTACGGGGTGAACGAATAAAGCCCACTTCACGGTGTCGACACCGAGAAGCCGTTACCAACACGTCGATACATGTTACACATACAGCAAGAATTATCGCGTCAATATATATAAAAAGGGACACTCAGACTTTGACTGGTCGGTCACACTCTGAGCCACATTAAGAACCTTTCCTTGTGTCCGCTCCGCCTTATCCCCTCTTCGACACCCACGACCAAACGGGCGACATCGACTTTGAGACTTTCGTAAGCAAACTCGAACCGACTTGGCAGAGCTCCGGGGAGGGGTTGATAGGTGACTCTAGGATCTCGCGCAATCCCATGCACGAGATGGCACTGAATCTGGGCAGAGTGAATCGCACACCCGAGCGCGGGTTTGAGCATCTTGATCGCTTTCGGTCGAGGTGCCAGCAATGTCTCTTGATCCGATGAGTCGTATTCGGGTGACGATGGAGGAGAAGGGGGCGGTATATCGGGTCGCTCGAACCACGAGCGAAACACCCGGTTCATCCCATTCGCAACCGTCATCGTCCAAGCGTAGCTTTCCAGTGTCGGAGGAGAGCTCGCAGCACGCCAGGTCTCGGGTGCTTCGAGGTGCAGGGGAGTTTTGGCGGATGCGTGGACCGTACGAATGTGAAGCGCCAAGATGTTGTTTCCGAACGACTGATCGTCGTCTAAAGTAATGGATTGAGATGCTGTCGTCGAGCCCGTGAACCCAAACTCGGCGAGCTCGATTGACGAAGGATCGTTTGACACAAAGGAAGAAAACGTGACTCGGTGACGAAGGCTTCGTCGCGTCGCTGCGGGGGCGCACGATTCGAACAACACTTCGTACTGCTTGGAGCAAGCAAGGTGTCGGAATCGGGCCCGTAGGAGGTGCGAGATCTTGGCGCAAAAGTCATGCCTGGCAGAAAGATCGTGCCGTCAGCGACGGCGTCATAACGTCGCCGACAAAGCTCGGGCACGTGACCTAGCGTAGCGCTAGGAGGAGCTTCGGCTGGTCAGGTGCGACTCACGAGACCGTTCGGAGTCTTGTCAGCTCGCGGGCAGGGATGTTCTCCAGAATGTGGAGCCAAAGATCGTCATTCAATTCGACGAGTCGGCTCGATGTGCCCACGGCGGCGCATCGATCGAGATCCTCCGCGCCGTCGGTGGCCGAGAGCGTGCCGCTCGTCGCAGGGGCCTGACGCAGAGCACTTCGGCGATGCTTCGACTGCGAGCGCGGAACTGTGATCGAGGAGTCGATTGTGACTGGGAAAGGCATCGTCTTGGGCTGGAGGCGAGCGTAGTCACTGGACGCCGGGCAGAGATCGCGGGACGGCCCGCGGGCGATAACGACACCCCAATGCGGGGTAACAGCCTAATCACGAAACGGCGGCTGTCGATAGTAATTGAGGTTGGATGCGATCCGCGTCGCTGAGCGCTCCGAATAGTTGGGCTAGCTGATGTGAATGATCTTGCAAGTGGGCGAGTAGGACCGAAAGGCGCGTTGAAGTCAGGCGCAATGGCGTAAGGGTAAGATCAGAAACGGAGGTCCGTGACTGCAGATTGGTCGCCGAGCAACGATCGCGCTGACGCGCCGACATCGCGATATGCTGAGCACAAGAGCCTCCGATCTCGATGATAAGTGCAGACCGCCTTGTTACGGTATTGCGATTTTTCAGCTGGTGGATTGGACGATCAATCTCAAGTATTTCTGGCAGCTGTCTGAAACACAATTTCACTATTGGTCTCCGGTAACAGGAGTGGGTATTGCACGCTTCCAGGAGACTGTTGCTTAGCCGGCCCGCGGGCCGAGAACGTTGAGTCGGAGCCAGAGCTCAAAAGCCAGGCAACCAACAGAAAAGAAGAGTTTTGGTACAAGCGGACATCAGAGTGTCTTCGACTGCTGCGCCTTGGCGTCGCATGGCCAAACGGCTCCAGCTGGCCCCTATCATCCTCTCCGCAAACCGATGAGCAAGGGCTTTCCAATTGATGATAGAGTGTTAATGGAAGTTCGAGTGTTCCTCACATTAAATGCTATCAATGTCTTCGAGTGCGTGGGGCGGCGATTCACATTTCCCTAGTGGACACCGAGGACTGAGTAGTACAACTACTGCAAGCGGTCGACGTGCTCGATCGCGAACGAAGCCACGTCAACGGTCAGTTTCCGAGGGCGGTACAGGTGGGAGCGAAAATATTATGAATCGCGCTCAAGAGAATCTGGAGATCCCCGAGCTGTCAAGACGAGCTTAACATAAGCTGAAATTTACTAAGGGGTGGCAAGGCTGGTCAAATACTAGTGTACAGGGGCCTAGTATAGGTGGATTGTTCAGCAGACAGCGCGGGCGCGCGGGCCTTGCCCGTCCGGGACTTCCCAAAGCGGCGAGATTCGAGGCTCTCGCCGCTCTCGACGCTCTTCGCCTGCCTCCTCACAGGCCAGCTCAGGCGCAAAATGGGCCAGGAGCTGGCGTGTCTGCGTGGAGGATGAAGGGAAATGCATCTACGCTGTTTCTGGCTCACCGCGCAATTAAGGTATTCTCTCGCCGCCCCACTCAATTGCCCATCGTCTAAGATTTTTCGCGGCGGGGGCCCTGAGCATTACTCGGCTCCGACTGGCCTTCCCTCCCTCATATCGGTCGATTCGATTCGAAATCTCCTCGAGACCTGGCCTTCCCTCCTCATCTCTGGTCCATCACCTTGTCTCCCATTTCTTTTGGATCAAGCTTGTCCTTTTGACCCGGACATACGACTCGACCATCTTGTGACAGAACCCTGCGTGCACCTACACGAGCATACTTTCAGCTAGTGCCGACGAAGCGAAGGAGTCCAACAGCAGATCTCGCCCCCCACAACTTCGGCCCAATCTCGGCGGAATTCGCTTTCGAGCAGCGCGCCTGCCATTACTCTCGACGCGGTTCATTTCATCTTTCTTCCTTCTCCTCTCTCCCCCGACCGCTCTCCCCGCAGCTGTGACCAGCTTTGACAGATGGGACTGCTATCAAGGAAGAAGACGACCTCGAACCCTCCGCCTGCCATTTCAGGGCCGATCATCCCCGCCGGCTCCGCTCTCAACAACCATCCGACGGCGACGGTCCCTGCAGGAGCAACGCATTACCCCTCGAGTAGTGGTGGGGGCGGCGGCTACGGCAGTTATTCGTCCAACAAGTACAGCCACGAGCGAGAGCAGACTTCTGGCTTACCCAGCCCACCTGGTTCACCCATTGAGACCGATTGTAAGTTGGTCCTGTTTTGTGTACTACATGGCGTTCTTTCTGGGATTCTCGGAGGTGCCGTCGTGGCAGTCAGTCGCCGGGGTGGGCGCGCACGGGGCGGCGCTTCGTGGCTGGTCGTCGCAGTCCGACCACGGCGAGGAGGCGCGCCAGCCAGCAGCGCCCCGCGGAGCGACTTTCAGGCCCTTTCTGTTCACCCTCGCCCTCCACTTCCAACGATCTTGCGACCGTGATTACGGCCTCCTCCCCGGCTTCGCTGCACCGGGCACCATCGACGACCCCCGTCGACTTGTATGCTGACCTGAGTCATACCCCCTCGAATGTCGACCGCCGACGTATGCACAGACTCGTCGAAGCAGCTCCAACACCCTCTCACGCCGCCGCACTCGGCTCAGTCGTACTCGTCTCGCCCGATGCAAGTCCAGCAACAACAGGCGTACCAGACCCACGGCGGCCACTCATCCTACACCAAGTCGACCTCGTCTTCCCGCGAGATGCGCGATGATCGCACCGCGAGCTCGAACCAGAGCGGCTCGACCGCGCAGACGTCCTATCACGAGCGAGACGTACAAGGCAAGCTTGAGAACCTCGGGTTGCACGGTGGATACCATGGCTCGGACCAAATGAGCCTCGACAACGTCGATATGCACGACGGCACCCCGACCGGTCGACCGGCGTCGGCCGCGACGAACAGTACCGTTCACGGCGGCCATTCGTCCGGCGGACATGGCGGTGCGCGCCCCACCACCACCGCCGCGGGTGCCGCCTCGTCGTCGCCGTCACATCTGCGCCAAGCTCCGCTCACAGGCGGCGGCGTCCCCCCCTCTCGAGGCGTATCGACCTACTCGAACGTCTCGACGACGCAGAGGCAAACTACGGCGGGGCAGCGGCCTGTTTCGACCAACCTCAGCGTCATGTCCCCTACACCCTCCAACACCTCCTCGGCCTCGCGCAAGACCTCATCGCGGTACAATCTCAGCGATTTTAGCTTCAACCGCACCCTCGGTACAGGGTCCTTTGGTCGTGTACACTTGGTCAGGTCGCAACACAACTCTCGGTCGTACGCGATCAAGGTGCTCAACAAGGAGCGCGTCGTCAAGATGAAGCAGGTCGAGCACACCAACTCGGAGCGCGAGATGCTCGAGCGCGTGCGGCATCCGTTCCTCGTCAACCTGTGGGGCACTTTCAAGGACTCGAAGAATCTGTACATGGTTATGGACTTCGTCGCCGGTGGAGAGTTGTTTAGTTTGTTGCGGAAAAGTCAGGTGAGTTGACCCTTCTTCCGACTTTGGAGTCTTTGGTGTGATCCAGGTGCTGACTCTGCTGGCCGATGCCCCCCACAGCGATTCCCCGACCCCGTCGCAAAGTTCTTTGCCGCCGAGGTCGCGCTGGCGCTCGACTACCTCCACTCCCTAGATATCATCTACCGCGATCTCAAGCCAGAAAACATCCTCCTCGGCGCGGACGGTCACGTCAAAATCACCGACTTTGGCTTTGCCAAGCACGTCCCCGATATCACCTGGACATTGTGCGGTACGCCCGACTACCTCGCTCCCGAGATCGTGCAATCGCGCGGCTACAACAAGTCGGTCGATTGGTATGCGCTTGGCGTTCTCATGTTCGAGATGTTGGCTGGCTATCCGCCATTCTTCACCGAGGACTCGAATCCGATGCGTCTGTACGAGAAGATCATCGCCGGCAAAGTACGCTACCCCGGCTACTTTGCTCCCGAGGCCAAGGATCTGCTCAAGTCGCTGCTCACCCCCGACATCACGAAGCGATTCGGCAACTTGGCCAACGGCTCGCGAGATATCTTTTCCCATGTCTGGTTCCAAGAGGTCGACTGGGAGCGGCTGTACCGAAAAGAGATCCCCGCGCCTTACGTTCCCAAGGTCGAGGGCGATTGGGACTCGTCCAATTTCGACGCCTACCCGGAAGTTGACATGTCAGAGTACGGCAGCACCGGGCCCGATCCCCACGGTCACCTCTTCACGCTCTTCTAGATGCACCGCGCCACCCGCCACGACCCCGATCAAGAGCCGGCTCTCTGATCGACCGCTCCTCTCCAGTGCGTTCCGCCATGTTGTGCATTCCCCTTGGGACGGTTTTGCCCTCCTTAAACTATATCATTCGTCGTTCCCTCCTTCCTGCTCTCGGGCGATCACCTCGCCGTGTTTATTGTGGATCTGCGTTTACGCCATTATCTCCTCTTGTAGCCTTACACCGTCAATATATTCAACCTCGATGTGAACCGACTGCTTGCATGCACGAGAGAAAAATACGACCCCTGTTCAAGCCTCGAACGACTGCACTGCCTTGAGCTTGGTTGCCTGATCGTGAACGGTGTCTGCGTTAGAGCAAGCTTCTCGGGCATTCAAATGCGATGGGCGACGCTCACTGCTAGTCGAATCGCGCTCAGCCGCTCGTCGATCTGACCCTGGACTGATTGGAGTCGCGAGACTTTAGCCATGTCGATCGAATAGAACTGTCGGCACAGGTCAGTTAACTCTCTGTGCAGAAAGGATGATCGGCCTTGTGGTCAGCACGGTGACGGACTTCGTCTGAGACGAAAGGCACAGCCGACGTCTCGACTTGCGATCGCAGATCCGCTAGCTCGTCCTCGAGCTCCTTTTCGGCGAATAGTCGAAGCGCGTGGGGCGGGGGTCTACTTGGTTTCGCCCTCTGGAAAATAAAATGGCTCGGGTTACTGTAATCAGTAGTGTGAAATGAGCGTCACCAGATTCGATTCACTTGCCACCAGCTTGTTGAGTCTTGATTTGAAGGTGTGCCTGCCGCCACTCCGTGAGGACGAAGGTGCCGGAGGGGTTGGCGGTGTCAGGTCGGTCTCGACGTTCACGAGATCAAATTCTTCCGTGACATCCTCGGCTGGATGTAGACGAACTTCGCTTCGTTCTTGAGTGCCCGAGTTGGTCTGCTGCGATTCCCTCTGTCGATGATCGATAAGCGTCTCCGATCCGTCGGTGCATGGGTGCTCGTCGTCGTCATCTTCGGTCTCCTCCTCCTAAAAGTGGACCATCGTTAGTGCGCGACACGTTGCAGCTATCTCCAGCCAGAAAAACGCACAATCGAATTGTCAATATCATTTACAGTTTGCTCCTCTTCCGTATCGGACAGCAGTCCGTGTTCCCTCTTCCAAAGCTCAAGCTTTCGGGCGGTGGGACAGCTAATTCTGCGTTAGTAGGGTATCCAGTGGGTTACAACACTGCGCGTACACCCACCTGAGCGACCGCATCATCGTAAGCATGTTCCAGTTCTTCCTGGGCGGCGATCAGGTTCCTTCCCTCCTCATCTTGCAGCTGCTGGCGTAATTGTGCATCCTTGAGCTCGCCCCTCAACGATTCGGCTTCATCGCTCGTCTCGGTCAATCGCTCGGACAAGTGCTTGACTTGGTCCGTCAACTGAGCGATCATCCTCTCTCTCTCTGCCCTCCCCGCTTCCAACTCCTGAAGGCTTTTCCGCATGGTCTTGATCTCCGCTTCGTGGAACTCCTTTGACGCGAGAGCCGAGGCGAGGTCGGTTTCGAGCTCGATGATGCGCAGCGCATGGCAGTCTAGACCTTCGCGCAACACGAGCAATTCTGCTTCGTGGTGGGCAACATCGCTCTGGGCAGATGGTATTCTTACATTGAGCCAAACTTGCGTTATGTGAGTGTCGGTCGACGCACCACTCACATGAGCAACGCCAAGCTGGTTCCTGAGATGGGCGATCTCAGGTGCGGCTTGAGAATATTCGGTCGCAAGTCGTTCCTAAATCGGTGCGGAGGGTGAGCGTCACGACGTACACTTCGAAGAGAAGTGAATGGGTGACCTACCAACTCAGCCGAGGTTCTTCTTGCTTCCTCCTTGCGCTCTTCAGCGTTAACGAGCACCTCAGCTCCAGTCAGTCCTTGATCAAGACTAAACGAGATCTGTGGCATACAAACAGGGTTCTATCAAGAGTAATTTTTGACCGAGTTCAGCTTCTTCGTACCTACCTCTGTCTCGATCGAACCGATTGCAGCTGGTCGCCGCGAGTCGATTTCGGTATCGGTGTCGACGTCGATCCCGCTCAATTTCTGGTAGACCAATGGTGTAGTATTTGGGAATTAGACCAGCACCAGTTACACCCACGCGATTCATCGGTGCAAGTCTTACTCGAAGGCGGGGTGATACCCTACGCTCTTGTTTGGTATCCTTCAACTTCATCCTTGCCAGCGCTAGCGGCGCCGTCTTGTCCGTCAATGCGATCGTACTAGGTCCAAGCGCCGAGGTCGAGGGTCCTGCGAGGGTACCGGTCTTCATACGAGTATCCAAAGAGTTGTTGGCCTACATGAGATACGTGGATTAAGCGATTGAGGGATATGCGCTCCGAGCGCTCGGCGAAGTTGAGTGAACTTCGACAGTGTTGGGACTCACTTGTAGAGAGGGGCTCAACAGGTTGCTGACGTCTTGGAGCACCATCTCGGAAGAGGTAGCGACCAACTCCGTCGTCCTTGACGTCTCGTACGAGGTGTTGTGCGGCACAGGTCAAGAGGGAAAGAGACATGCGGGCGGGTGATTGCGACCCAGACAGACGCGCTCGAACCAAGATAGGAGGTAGTGAGCTGAGATGTGAGCGCATGAGCGGCGGCCCGATGAACCCCCCCCCCCGGCCGAACGCAGCCAGCCATCACATTCCGGAATCCACCTTGTTACAACAACACAATGATATACATGATACTATCTTCTACGTATCAGGGACGACCCAGCTAGTTCTGGACGGCTGCTCGGGCGTGCCCATGATCAAATCAACTTGCCGCTTGCCCCGCGACAGCTTGCCATTGTCTCTCTCGAAGCCCCTCAGATACAGCTCATCCTCCTCATCGTCGTCCCAGTCCATGGGAGCGGCCGCCGACAAGCCTGCCGGAAGGAAATCAGGGGTTGACGAGGCACCCGGTCGGAAAGCCGCCCCGAGTGCGGCGAAAGAGGGTACCACGGGGGCCTGGGTTGAGATTGTGGCCGATGAGGTGCGCGATGCTGCAGGCGTGTCCGGAACGAGTGTGAACGAAGCCATGTTGGCTGTAGAGCTCGATTCTGTTGTGAGCATCGAGTCAGCAGCTGCGTAGATGATAGACCACTGTCACGCACGCATTGAAGTCGACTCACTTTTGGGGCTTACGCTCTTGCGCTTGTTCACGCGATGTGCACCCGCTTGCTCCGCCACGGTCTGTTCCGCGACCTTGGACGCAGATATGGCCTTCTTCTTGATCCCAGCACCAGTTTTGGGTTTGCCAAAGCTGACTTCGCGTCGATTGAAGAGACCCTTGGAGGAGCTAATGAGACTGTCGCCGCGAGGCAGGGGTCGCGGCTGTTTTCTCGGCGGTTTCGAACGAGGCGCGGTGCTCTCCGACGTCTTGTCGCGACCATTGTGATCTGTCTTGGACGAGTCATGTTTGGACGAAGGAGCTGCAGCATTTGTACCTCCCGATTTTGACTTGGAAAAGGGCAAGGTGGGTACTTTGAAGCTGTCGTGTTGCGAGCCGCCAAGAGTTGACGAGTCCAGGCCGAGCAGGCGCTTCATGGTGGGGCTTTCGGCAACAAGTGGTCTCTGATCTCGTTGTTTCCTCCTCGCACTCTTATCGAGAGACAGTAGGCTCCGTGTTTTGAACGGCGACGGCGCAGGGACAAGTCGAAGTGCGAGCGCGTCGGCTGGGGTGGCGGAGGGGAATAGCTTGGCGCGATGGTGCGACAGCAGGGCAGGTGAGGCGTGTGGCCCAAAGAGTGCTTCGACAACGTCCAGCCACCATTGCTGTACTTCGTCACGGTCCTCAATCTCCACTCCTTCCTTCTTCTTCGCGTTGCTGACCTGCGAGTCCGCCCCTAACCCAAGCGCGTTGACGTCCCTCATCACCCGCCAGATTTGTAGTCGATCGGTCAAAAAGTCGAGCAAGAGCTCTGGGTCCAGGGTAGAGGCATGCCGCTCCGGGTCTTTTTTTTTCTTGGCCTTGACCTCGGGCGACTCCAGCGGGGCCGGTAGAGTGATGAGCGTGAGGAGCAACAGGCTATGGAGTAGCGTGCTGGAGAGGGCAAAATTTGCATCAGCTTCCGAGCCTAGAGACAGGCTGTATGCGTAGTGTCCACAACACCTACTCGAAAAGTTCACCCGCTGTTATCCATTGTGCGTCATTGACCTCCTTTTTGGTCCAAGCCACGGGCTTGTGCACAAGCTCTTCTTCGACGCCCTCTGGGTGCATCGAGCCGAGTTTTCCGCCCTGGCCCGGAGCATCGTCATCAATGTGGGTCACCGCTTGCGGATGTTCGACGTCTTCTTGAATCACAGGGAGTGACTTGGGTCGATCCTTCTCTATTTTTGCCTCTTCGGCGACCCTCCACTTGCGATAGGTATCGAGCAAGAGCGTGACTTCCTTGTCGGCAAGCTTGTGCTTTTTGCCCGTCGGTGGGAGTGGACGACTCTGGGCGGTGACGGGAGCGACGTTTTCGGTCGAGGTCGGTTTCACGAGTGCCGGGATTGTGTTTCTCCATTTCCTGTCAAAGTCGTGGAGCGGGAGGAGTATGCTGCGGATCTTGTGCTCGACCTCGGCGCGGGGCCGTTCCGAAGCGAGCGCGAGCAGATGGTGCCCAAACTGTCGCGACTTGCTCTGAACACCCAAGAAGGACGGATTGATTAGCAGGTTCGCTGTTGAAGGTTCGCCGCTCCGACACACTCGCACTCACGATGATGTTGTTGTGCACGTCCGAGTAGAGCGCCTCGAGGTAGGCCTGGTCCAGCTCGGATCGCCGCTCGGATGGATCAACGATCGCGTAGGTCGGGTGCGCGGGCCAAGGGATGGGACAGTCGTGGGGCAGCGAGTAGAGCAGCACCTTTTTGGCCATGCTCGCTTTGAAGGGGGCGGCCCGTCTCTCTCCTCCTTCCTTGGCTGGGAGGACTATCCCGACGCGACTTGCAGTGAGTTGGAACCGATGAGCGAAACGTCGTCATGCGCGTCGCAACGCAGACCACGGCGGCAGACGGCGGCAGACGGCGGCGCGAGGCGGCGCGCTAGGGCGCGCTCACTCGCATCAAGAAATGAAATGCGCACCCTTGTCGCACCTCGTGGCCACCACCTCTGGCTATATATCTAAGCACACCAAAAAGTGGCGCGCGCAGCGCCCTTCCCAGCGCCGCTCTTAAGCGGCGTACTCATACAGATTGCTCCCCCTGCAACCCGGGTTGCTTGAGGACCCGAGGCCAGGGGCACACGGAGGCTTGTGTGGGCTCCAACAGTTTCATCTCATGTACGTGCGTGCTCAAATCAGGTTATTCTAGTCATCGTAGTGTGTAATTCGTATTTGGAACACTCAGTGTCAATTTTTTCGGTAAACTATCAGCGAGGAGAGGTTCGATTAGGAAACATCATTACTAAAGTGATAAAATGGCATTATTGAACGTGATAGAGTCTCGTGCCCTTTCACCACGCTAACAAACGCAAAGCGACACTGAGTGACAACGAGCGACTTGACGCCTCTTCACGCTTGACGCGCCGCTATCGACCACGTGCAGTCCTGGTCTTACCCCTTCCTGTCGCCGTTACGCTCTTCGTCATATATCTATACTTGACGCCATCCGACGATCCGATATGTCCAGCCTGTCTGCTCCCAGCAACGCGTCAGACTTTGCCGCTCCCACCCGTGAGACGCGTCCTCGTGTTTGTGATATGGGTGGTCCTTCTGCTCACCACCGTTCCTCGCTGTTTCTGCACAGCTGCTTCGGTGCAATCGACCAACAGCGCAGACATGGGGTCCGTACTGTCTCCAATTACGGTTCAGACCCAACAGAACCACCTTCCTGCGCCCAGCGGCGCGACTCCCGAATGTGGACGAAGCACACCGCTCGCCTCAAGGCCGACCTCGTCCAACTCAATTGATCAACAAATCAAACAGATTCAGGAAGAGATTCGAGCTCTCCATGATGCCGTTCGTGCGTTGCCTTCAACTTCGCGAATGTCGTCGTCGCAGAAGCAGCCCCATGTGCTCTATGGCTTGCAACGTCGCCTCGAGACAATGAAGTATTGTCTGCATCATGGCGTTCGGGACGACGACCTCGACTCGTACGTGCCTCGTGCGATCCGAAGGAATGACACAAACGACTGGAACGCTTTCAAGACGAGCCGCTTTTTCCACTGTCTCGTCGAGAAGGACGGACTCGAAGGTGAGCGCGGCGTCTGCCTTTCTAGCTCATCCCGAGATAGTTCATTTTGGCATTTCAAGACGCTCCTTTACGCTTCTTTGACTCACAAATTGATCACTCTGTACCCCTACAAAGTCTCGAAAGATTTTTCTACGCTAAACACAATTGGATCGCGCTACTGGGAAAAAGTCAAAGACTCGCCAGATCTTTATGAACAATGGAAGGAAGCGTGGGCAAGTGAAGCCGAAGCGCGTGAACACGAGCAGACCACTCGTCCCTTCAAGCGATGGCGAATCGATCCTGCTGCCATCACCAAACTGAGTCACAAGTACGAAAAGACGATACACGAACTGGTCCGTGACAATTCAGCTCTTCTCGTTGGGCTCTCCTCAATTCTCATGATCCTCCCGCTGACTTAGATAGCTTGGCACTGCATCAGGTTAATCAGCATGCTGACACCTACGGATTCGACGCGTTAGTCATCGTCGGCTCGAACAAGCTCGAGAATAAAAATGATCGTTTCATCGTTTCGACGCTTGGCGACGCAGCTTTCATGCGGCGCCAAAGCTGGGGTTCTCAAAAGAACGATGTGCTCGTTAACTTCACGGAATGCATAAATGGCACCCGGTTCAATCAGGAGCGAGACGAGCAATTCAAGATGGAAGGTCTGTCAGACAAGCTTCAGAACGGACCTTGTGCTCGGCGATAGATTGGTGCTGATTCCAAGAACTGATGAGCAGCTCATCATGGTGATGTTGACAAGGCGTCTCACCGAGTGCTCTGCACATGGTATCGCATTATCATTGACGATTACTATAGTAAGCAATCACTCCACCGCTCTGCGCCCACATTTGGCAGCCCATGACTGAAGTTTTGTGGCCGTGCAGATCAAGCGCTCCGTCGTCGCCACAACAGAAACAAGTCTATTCAGCCCTACGTGCCTTCCAAGCTTACGAGCTACAACCAGGAAACTCTTGCGAAGGATCCAACCGCTCTTGTTATCGAGCTCGGAAACGGTCTTCACGAGCGTGATTTCCGCAGTCCTACCAATGGCAAGAAGCCGACCGTTGACAATTTGAGAAGAATTATTCCATTGATGCGACAGGGTGGGCTTACGTTTTCGCTCAAAGAGGATATCGGCCAGGTCTCTTTTGACCGCACTCCTGCCGAGAGTACTTTGATGAGCGAGCAGTCGGAAACGGAGCCAGAAGACCAAGACACTGGATCTGATTCTGGTTCTGATTCTGGTTCTGGTTCTGCTTCTGGTTCTGATTCTGATTTGGGAGCTGCAACATTTTGATTCCGAATCCGACTACATTTCTGTTGTTCAGTATATTGTTGGTGCGCCTATCGCGCGTTGAGGTAGATTGCCAAACTTTTTGTAGTCGTTGAGGTGATATCGACCTGTGTGTGGCAAGAGGTATTCAACAAGTTTCCACGCATCTTGACTAGCTTGACTGTCCGTCCGTTGATCAATTATGCGACGCATTTTTGATCGCAAAGCAAATCGCAAAGCAAATCGATTTACCCGCGCTAAACGTTTCAGATTTTACTCCGTAGATTCAGGCAAATAATGGATGTTCAAATAAAGCACTCACTCATCCTACCTAATGTCAAACTGCAGTTAAGCTCGTCCCAGAGCTTGGGGGGTGACCAACAGCAAAGCACCCAAATTTCTTAGACTACCCCTTCGGACCCCCCAGACGCCGGCGAAGTGACAGCAGAACCTTGTCGAGAATGTCCGTAATAACACGCTTCGCGTAGGGTTCTTCAAACGGCGTGCCCACGGTGAGAAGGAGAGCCGAGATTATCCGTTGGCGCTGGAACAATAGATATAAAACAGAAGCAGGGAACAAGGTAGTTCACCACTTCTGACCTGCAGACGCAAGATCGCAAGGTGTCCGAGCTTGCTAGCTGACCACGGTGTTCTAGCTGAGGGCCAGGGAAATACGACGCTGCATTACGCGTAATCAATGCCTTTTCTGCTGAATTGTCAATGGAAGGGGGCGTAAAGTCGGCATCGATATAGTGGCAGCTTGGTGCTGAGGCGTCAATGACTTCGTAGTAGCAATTCTCGTTGTTGGCCGAGTCGCTTGCATACAAGCGCTAGCGTTCATAGGTCGCGCTCGGTGCCGACTACGTATTGCTTCACGCCTGGGACAGGCAATGTGCCAGGTGGCCACTATATCTCGTCTCGTGCAAATACTCGATGATCTTGATCTTTGTGTCCCGCAGACAGAATCGCTGGTTGTAACTTGGTATGAATCGAGCCGCTGAGGGCATCGGATCGGCTGTGACGCGACGGTGTCGGTGATGCTGTGAGAGGAGAACGCGCGCGCTCGGTGACGCTCGGTGACGCTCGGCGCGACGTGTACCCCCGGGGGTACACAGTGGGACACTTCTCTTTCTCACCCCTAAACCCCACTCCAAGTCCAACATGGCACCACGCGCCACCGAGGGCGAGCGCGCTTGGCTCGACATCGACTCGCATCTCATCCGTGACGAGTCCGGCCAATGGCGTGTCCGTTGTGAACTTTGCAACAAACACTACAAGCTGCCTGGGGGGTACAGGTCACTCGACGCCCCAACTGTAGCACCGGAACATGCACATGAGGCCAAACGAAACCTGAAAAAACATATCATTCGTATACACAAGCGCACGTTCAATCCGTCTACGGTCGACAGTCGGTACAGATGCAACGAGGCGGCGTTTGAGCTGATCGGTACCGACCGTGAGGTCCAAGCGGTGAGTGCTAAACAGCTTTCCCAGGAGATCAGATACAAAATATGTGGAATTCGGCTAAACCTTTGTTTATGTACTTATCTGATCTGATTAGGGTTTTGGCCACCTGAAGAAAAGATACCGCCGGCAGTTGCAGGCCAAGCTTGACGGGTTGGAGGCGCCAGGGAAAGCGGACCGTGCGAGGCACGACGAGTGGGCGGCGGAAAGGGCGCGTCGGCTGGCGATGGAACCCGAAGACATCATGATTCAAGACCCAATCCCCGAGGACGACGAAAATTTGGCCTATGAGGTCCGGGAGGAGATCGACTACGTCGTGTGGCCTGTTTGGGATGAATGGGCAGGGCACAAAGGGAATGGACGTCTGCCTCGGAGCCTGTTGACCGTGCTCATCCATTGGAGGATCGTGTTGTTCGATGCATACGATGACCAGAAGTGAAAGAGAGGTGGAGGGAGCGCGAGAGTTTTGAAGGAGTATAGGACCCGCATCCAAGACTTCGACGACATCCTCGCGCGCATCTTCACCGTCCCCGTCAACATTGCCGCCGAACATGAGGAATCGCGCCTATTCAGTGAAATCCTTTCACCCCTGTACCACGAGTGCCAACGCCCCCTCCCTGAGGACGAAATAAGGACCGACGAGGACCAGGAGGGGAGTGACCGCCTTTTAAGATGGATCCAAAAGGCGTACCGCCCTTTCCTCGGGAAACGTGTCCCGGACTAGTTCTGGGATCAGTTAGAAAGCGAACATCGCACCTGGCAAGCAGCGCTCAGACCATTTGCAACGACGGTGCTCGTCCACGTTCCCGAACCTCCCAAGCCGCCCACCGATGCGGACCTCGAGCCCGAAAGGAAGAAGACCTGGGACTCCTGGATTGTTGAGTGTGCCCACAGGTGGTTGGCGCTGTCGAGTGAACAGAGGGACGCGTATTGTTGGATGCGCAAGAAGGGGTCCGGCGGTGAGGGCGCCGCGTCGACCTCGGGGGCACGAGAGGAGGACGCGATATCGGAACACAGTTCGGCGACCGGCCAACATTCCGACCACGGATCGGCGGCCGGCTCGGAGGCCGAAAGCACCCTCTCCACCCTCTCCGAGCTGACCAGCCTGAGCGAGCTGGAGCGCGGCCTGGATACTGGGACATGAGGCACCATGAGTGTCAATTCACCGGTTAGGCGATGACCGTCTCGAGTTTTCCGTGAGCGTGTGTAGCTGTCTAGCTTGTATGTTGTGTCAATGGAGATCCTCCACTGCAACCATGATTCATTCCGAGGGTACAACGCACTCCGAAGGCGGAAATTCTTGTTCAATTTCAAACCTTAGGGCATGGCGTAGATACACTACAACAGAATCCCGCGCCTCCGGAAATGAGGAGGCGGTATGCGACGACGTGCTTCATCAATTCTGGGACACTCTTAACAAGCATTGTACAACCGGCGTGGCGGTGTGTACCCCCCGGAGGTACACACGACCGGTGCCCTCTCCAGCTATGTACCCCCGGGGTTCCACGGCTCAGGCGCGGTCCGTCGCCGACGCCCTTGCTGACTGCACTACAACAAACTTCCACGCACCCATTCAAAGCTCAGGATGTGTCTGCAGCTACTGAATGGAATAACCTCCTGCGACGAGACCGACGAAAATTTGTTTGCTACATCCGACTTGCACTCTGAAAAGCCCGCAAGGCCAACGGACTTCCCTGACTGAATTCTTCGTTCGAACCACCGAGCAGAGCGAAACTGCACTACAACAAACTTCCACGCACCCGCTCAAAGCCCAGGATGTGTCTGAAGTTACCGAAAGGATTAACTTCCTGCCGTTGGAGAATCGTATATGCCATTATACAGTGATCTGCCACCGGTGACCGGCTTTGCAACCCCGGGGGTACACAAGCCGCAAGCGGGAAAGCGCCTGTGCACCCCCGGGGGCACGCAGGACCGGTCCGCTCTTCCGCTGTGTACTCCCGGGAGTGGCCACACCCCGCGCGCCGAATGACTGTGTACCCCCGGGAGTACACAGCTTTGTCGGCGGATCAGGCCGCGTCCTCCCGGGGTTACACTCTTGTCACGCGCCGACTCTGACTGTGTATGTGTACCCCCGGGAGTACAAAGCCCCTAGTACAAGGTCCTTGGCCGATGGACCGATATCCCTGCTCACTCGACTACATAAACTATCACGTCAACGGGGTAGAAGGTATGCGGTGACGTATTCGATTCTTGCTGACATATTATCGCAAGCACTGTACAACGAGCGTTCCGCCGCTGCGATTTCCGCTGCGTACTCCTTGGGCGTGTAGGGTCACGCACCCAAGACCGCAGGTCCGAGTCGAGTCCTCCGTGTTAGTAGTACTAGCAATGAGCGCCGTTGTTCACTCGGAACGCATCTGTACCCACTTTGGGGTTCTGTTGGAACAGACAACTACAGCAACACCAATCCTCCCCGCCCCCCGCCCCCACGGCTCTGGCAACGTTCCCAACTTACCTGAACCTGCAAATGTCAGCACCGATGCTCACCGAACTGCCGGTCAGCACCAAGCAGAACCTTCCACTGGGGTGTAATGCATTCCGGCGCTCGCATCCGTTGTGTGCGATCTTAATCGACCGAGCGCACAGAGCATTGTCACTGAGAAGAGAAAAGGAACTTTGAGCTGTAAGGTCTGGCAACGTTCCCAAATCTGAACCTGCAAATGTCAGCACCGATGCACACCAATTTCCAGTCTTTAACTTAGCAGAACCTTCAAGCTTGTCACTGCACGCACTGCAGTTCGGCGACTGTGGCCGTGGCGACCGGCTCGTGGGATCGTGGTCGTCAACGCGTCAACGCCTGATTAAGGCTGACATTCGATTTACTTTTGTGCACTTTGGCGTCCACATTCCACCATGTGCGATATGGGCGGCATACAAAAAGCAAAGTCCTTCAATAACAAACAATCTACAGTCAACAAATGCGCCAAACCATCCCTAGCTAGCCCATGGGCTCGTCGAGAATCTCGAGGTCGTCCGAGGCTTCACCCCCTGTCGAGCCTGACTCTCCGCCGCCCTCCCCGAGCTCAGCATCATCTTCTTCCTCAACCTCCTGCTCCGATCGTGAGCCCAAAAGTTCTTCCATTCGTCTTTCATACACATCATCGCGGTCTCGCTCGGCCTGCTCCGCGGCTGGATCGGGGGTCAGGCCAAGTTCCCTTCGGAATGCGTCGAGGTCGATGGTTGTGTGGCGCACGTCCACGGCAGAAGGACCTGATGAGCGGCGGCTCGACTCAGCAACGAGGCTCTGCATTTGAGTATTATTCAGCGTCGAAAGGCGGCGACCGAAATGACGTGGACTACCGCGCGAACGGCGCGACACCTGTTTCGGCCGTCCGGCGAAAAGTCCCCCGATCAAACCGAATGCCGAGGGCCGCGATTCATGAACTGCGGGTGAACGCGTTCTGAACCAGACAACCGAGAGATCATCGCGCTCGGCGAGCCGATCCAGACGCTCTTTGAACGAAATCTGTCGGCGTTGAAGCACATGCCACACCGCCGTGCCAACCTCGCCCGCGCCATCAGTTCCGAGAAGTTTCCTAGCCGCTTCGATCGTTTCTTCGGGAACTAATAGAAGGGGCGACGTAAGGTACAGCACCATCACAAAGAAAGAGTGTGTCCATCTCACCTTTGTCCTCTGCCCATGCCTGAGATACCCTAACAAAGCGAGTGTCCTCATCTTCGAGCCACGCGAGTAGTTGTCGAACCTCAGCTCCGATTCGAAGAATCTCTTCTTCCGCCCTGGCTTTGAGTAGAACCGCCTTGATCCCTTTCTGAACGTCGGTATCGATCGCCCAAGGCGCAGTGTCTTGTTCGAAAAAACCGTCTTGCCAGAAAGCGTCCGTTGGCGACAGAGTCACAAGCGACTTTATCGTGGTAGCGAGCGGCAAGTTGTCCAGAATCTTGGCCGATTGCTCGGTCGCAGCATTTCGGTAATCCCCGACCGCTTTATTGTACATCTCGATTGCCACTTTTACTTTCTTGCTGTGCGTCTGTGAGACGCTGACAAGCTTGCTGGCTTCGACTTGACCGATTGTCGCGCCGCTTCGTTCCCGACCCATTGAGTCAATTCGTTCTTGACAGCATTGCAATTGGACCGTCGCTTTGTGTAATGCGCGAAGTTTGACTACGCAGTTGCACAAATGCTGGAAATCTAGGTATGTCATGGGACATCAAATATCAGGTGGCGGTACTCATAAAGATAGGACGCGCGCCGCACCTGAAGCTGCAAGTTCCTTCGTACGATTGTATTCTTGTTGATAAGCTCTTAGCTGTTGCTGCAAGCGAGCCTTCGCTTCATCGGAAGCCATTGGATCGAATCTGAACACACAATGCCAAGACACAGTGTCAATTTTACGCCCTTGTCCTCCAATGGGGCTTGACGCGCCGAACGTACAGCCTTTCTTCCACGTGGTGTAGCTTCTGTACAATGTTGAAAAGCTCGAATCGCTCCTTGTCCTCATTCTCCCGACGTTGACTCGCCGTTGTGGCCGCTTGAGCAGCTCGCTGTAAATCCCATTGCGCGAGAAGGTCAGACTCGGACCATATTGCCGAAACGTCGCTCAGATCAGTTTGTGCCCTTCCAAGCTGATCTTGAGCATTCGACAGTCGTCTGCGGAGCCAACGGCCTAGAATGGACGATGAATGAAGGGACCGCACGATTGAGTAACGAACACGGCGTGAAAGTGTGGATGGCAGAGCATACCGAGGCTGTCAACACCGTTCTTGTTCATCAGGTCAATGCGACGCGAGATGTTGACGCGCCGGTGAGAAGCGCTCGCAGGACGATTGATCGGGATGAGCGATCGGAGCTGACTCCAAACGCGTTCGCATCCCTCCCCATCCGTCAACCCAAAGTGCTGAATCAGGCGCGGGTTGTACTCGAGCTGGCAGGGCCATTGATGAGCAAAAGCATGAAACACGCTCGTGGCAAACTTCAATCTCAGAAACAAATCGGGAAGGATACCTCTCTGCGGGCGATCGAAGTACAGTACAGGTCAGCGGCGCCCCAGGGCCAGAAATCTAAGAAACGACGGATCCGCCACTCTTGCTGACCGATTGCATGTAGCCGTCCAAATTACACGCAACATCATACAGCACTCCGAGTGTATCGTCGGACGGGAGTTGGTTCGAAATATGTTGCAGCAGCGATAAGCCGTAGTAGCGCCTGCCTCATCAAAAACGAGCGTCAGGCCTTGTAAGCGGGTGAGAGAGGAGCTGAGCTGACGAACTTTTCACCTGATTGATACAAGTTGACCATCTTCAACGCGATATCGTGACGGCAGACACAGGCAACTAGGCCCGTATCGGACTTGCCCCGCGAGATTTGTGTCGCACCGCCGTTGGCCGCTTTCCACGAATCAGCACAAGCCTTCAAGACGCAAAAGGAAAGGCGTCAGCGCGTTGAAAGGATCGCAGGGGGCGGCTCGGATCAGCGGACCTTTTCTGACTTCTTGCTGTCGCCACCATCACAGATCTCCTTCATCGATTCGAGCTCATCTTCGCCGAGGAAGAGGGCTGGCGTCGACTCCTGAGGATCGTATTTGGCTGAGGTGTCGCGAGAATGTTGGAAGTTGCCATCCAGAGCAACAAGATGCTGCACTTCGACTCTATGGTGGGCTTGGTTTAGACGCGTCGATCCGTAGCATGCTGGACACTTGTCCGAGAGAGAATCCGCGACACCGAGGACGAGGTCGCCCAATTCTCGCTCGGATGTCGTGAGAGCCCGAAATTCGTCAAGGGCGCGCTGGAGTTGCTTTCGCAACTCCTTGTCCTGCGCAAACGATGATAAACATCAGATAATGCTCAATAGCAATCATGACAGGAGGTCGAACTCACGAATTTATGCTGACTCAGGCCCGGCCGACCCCATCCAGTTTGCTCATAGAAAATGTCGAGCCCGCGAGCTGCTCCATCGACAGGAAACGGCGCGGTGCTCCACCAGGAGTCGAAAAATTGGAGAAGTCGAAAGGTGAATGCAGAGCGAGGAGCAGCTGCGGTCGATCCGATTAATCCGATCTGAGCAAGGCGCTCGGCGTACGTAAGGCATGGGCTATCGCTGCTGGATCTCGGACAAAAAGCGATCGGCACCTCGACCACTGCATTGATTCAACCATTCGACCTTGTCAGCGCAACGTTCGACACAGCGACCCAATTCGCCTGATTCACATACAGCTTATGAGGTCGTACACGTCAAGCCGTAACGTGAGGGGACTCTTGCATGAACAAGGCGGCGGCACTTCGCTAGCGACCGAACCCTGGCACAGCTCCTCGTCCACGTCAATCAAGGGCCGTAGATGACCTTTGACCCCAGCGCAAAACGCGATGTACTGGCGCAGAAGCGCTGGCCGTTCCAAGCGCCTAAGGCGAGCGTCGTTGAACACGAATTGCTTGTACGTTCCTTGCTTCGACTGACCACGTGTGGCTGATTCGAAACTTTCGACTTGGCGCAGGTCAGCCAGTGATAATCGCTCGGCGATTGCACTATAGTCAGGCGAGATTGGGAAATGGGATGTTCGATCCGGAGAGTATGGGGCTGGATCGAAGTCGTGTTCGAAGCCACCACCGTACTCGCTGTAACGCTCTTCATCCCAATCCATCCCACTCGGGTTGGCGGCGTCACTCGCGGCTTCGTCGGAATCGGCCTGAATTGGAAGGGCCATTGGACGCTGAGGAGACGGCGAGCTAGCTTCGCCAAAATCATCGAAGGTTCCTTGCTGGATTTGGCGGGCAGTGTAAGTAACACGGTGCCGGGTTCCGGGGATGTTGGTGCGGAGTCGGGCGTCCGATCGGAGGCCTTGAGGCCTATAGGAAGGATGCTCCTCAAAGTAGTCCAGACGGACCTTGAAAGGTCTCCATCGATGCCTGCCCATCGTCGATGTGAATTGCGTAGCTTCGAGATTTAGGAAGGGTGTCTCGATAGTTGATGCTCTGGTTAGAACTGAGGCCGGTCTCACTTGGCGCTGAGCGGAAGCTGAAAGAGACAGGTCTGCGGGCATACTAGTACTAGTCACTAAATGCTCAATCTCATTAGCAAGTTAATCTTGGCCTGGCGCCAGCGGCCAACCCGGGTTCAAGGGGGGGCAACCTGTATGGGTACGCCGCGCGCGCCACTTATTGGTGTGCTTAGAAATATAGCCAGAGGTGCTACTAAAAGTAAATGAGAAGCTCAATCGGGCTGGCTTTCTCTTGGCCGGTTCGTCTTCCCGCACCTTTTTAGGTGGCGCAGGTACACCTTACCTGCACACCGACGCCGACCACCCACCTCATACGGGGTCACTGCGCATCAGATCCCCATCTACCCTCTTGGGATCGCAAGCGTATCCGCTTGTAGACTGCCATAATGTCGTCCGCCGTAGCGGCTGCACCCGACCTGGCGTCTGGCTCCGTGCGCTGGATCGACGAGCTCAGGAACGCCCTGCCCAACACGGTCATCCTCACACCCCGCGACCCACTGTCAGTCATGCCCAGACATTTGCTCGTCCTCGTTCATGCGGGACATCTTGTCCCAGCGTCTCGCACCCCCTCTGGCACAGGACACTGACCGAGATCTCCCTCGCTCCCGCTCTGCGCATACGCCTGCCCTTGCTCTACGGCTCCGGCGGCTTGCAGGTACCAACTCTCGTCGAAGCTCTTCAACGCGGCCATCGACTCGCCCGCGCAATGTGGCGTACTCGTCGCCAACACCCAGGAGGTCGTCACCGCAATCCAGCTCGCCCGTCGACATGGCCTCAGCTTCAGCTGCAAGGGTGGCGGCTTCAACGTCGCCGGGTGGGCCGTCCAGGGCGACATCATCCTCGACCTCTGCCTGCTCGACTCGATCGACGTTCATACGGTAGACTCGACCACCGGCCAATTCAATATCGAACCCTTGTCCCAGCTTCGGACACCTGCTCCGGCGAGAGAATCGTCTCTGCTGCCCCAGGACGATCAGCTCGCGAGGAAGCGCAAGGCGGCTGGAGCTCCTGAGCCACCCCCCAACGACGCCCACGGCGCTTCCTCGACTTCCGAAGATGAGACCGCGGCCTCTTCGATCAAGAGATACGCTCCGAACGTACGCACGGACAGCCCTACCCCGTTGCGACAGGCATTGGGCCCGAGTGATCCCTCCGACGCCCACTCGGAGCACGGCCAGACCAGCACCTCGACCGCTCACTCGTCGCCTTCCTCGTCACGCGACGGTCCGCACGGCTTGACCTCGGGTTCGGGTTCGGGCTCAGGGTCAGGCTCTGGTGAAGCGAGCGAGGAGACGGGCTCCACGAGTCACCCCTCGAGGGAGGCGAGCCGTTCCGACGGCAAGGGAACATCTCCAGCGAATAGCCGTACGGATGCGTCGGCCGTCAGGAGTAGCGTCGTCGAGGGGACACGTTCATGGGTCGAGGAGCAAAAGACTCGTGGTGATGGTCAATCTTCGCTTCATGCTATCGCCCTGCCCCATCAGAGCTCCCAAATCTCGACACCGAATTCACCCGTGACCAATGCGGGCGTGCCACTAGAGCAAGCCGCGGCGTACGACACACCGACCACAACACCCGCCTTTGCGACATCCTTTGCGAACGCGTTCGTACCGACCATTGCGGGTGGGAACGGCGTCGGTCCGACCGACTTGGCTGGGCTCGTACCATCGTTTAACATGTCGATCGACTCGACTCGGTTCGTCTTCGACTCGTCGGCCTTGCACCGCGGCTCACTCAATGCCAACAGCTCTACCAGCGCACCGGTCCCCTCTTCGTTTGGAATGAACTTCTCGAGCTCGGCAACGGCAGCGTCTTCGTCCTCGGGAACCGCTCGCACGGTCGCCAGCAACTCGAGCCGATCGAACTCCTGGACGTCGAGCCGCTCGCACGCACTCGTCACAATCGGGGCTGGTGCCAAATCGAAAAACATCGATGCTGTCACTGGTGCTTTGTCATATCACGCACCTCTGGCGGCCTACCCCGTCGGCTGCGCCGTCTTTGCTTCGGGCGGCTTTGGCTTCATGTCGCGCAAGCATGGGCTAAGCATGGACAACGTCGTCGAAGTCGAGATGGTGCTCGCTGATGGTCGAGTCATGTACCTCACTCCACCCAAGCGCGAGAGCGCCAAGGGTAAGGAGGTCGAATTGTCCGAGGAAGAGCTTCGGCACGAGGAAGAGATGAAGGAGCTTTGGTGGGCTTTTAGGGGCGCTGGATTGGCCCTCGGCGTGATTACCAAGATCAGGACCAAGGCGTTCCCCGTCGGGTTGGTATATTCGGGTAACCTCATTTTGTGAGTTCTCGAGAGCAGGGTGTCTAGATGCTGGTTCGAAGTTGCTGACCCAGCCCGTTGTCGTCGTCCCGCAGCCCTTTCAATCACATCACTGCCCCCAGTCTGATGAAGCATTGGCGAGATTGCATTAAGAATGCTCCGCGCGAGCTTTACACGAACTTGGTCTTAACCGCCGGACCCAACGAGTCGTCTCACGTCATCGTCATCCAATTGTGCTACCTCGGCGATCGCGAGAAAGGCGACCAATACCTCCAAGCCCTTCTCTCATGGGAAGGCGAAAGGTGTCTCCTCAAGGACGTCGAGATGCGCACCTACCTGACGCAACAGCAATCGGTCGTGCAAGTGCTCTCGGCGCAACGAGGGCATCGATGGTGCATCCGCGCCGACCTGATGAACTCGATGACGGACGACTGCATCCATTCGACTGTCGACCAGTTCAAAAACATCCCCGAGCGTTCGGCTTGGCTCTTCGAATTGGCCGCAGGGGCGATCGCTGATGCGCCGGAGGAATCGTCGTGCTTCCCTCGCTCGCATCGCAAAGCACCCTTCCAAGTCGCGGCGATCCATCAATGGAAAGAAAAGGCCGACGACGCATTGTGGGAACTCGCGGCGCGCCGTTGGATCGACTCGACCATCTCGCCTTATTCACCTGGCGGTTCCTACCCTTGCTTCTTGGAATCGCAGGAGAGCATGCAGAGGATACGGAGCACGTTCGGTGGGGGTGAGAGTTGGGAGAGGCTCAAGCGCGTCAAGAGGCGGTACGATCCTGATAAGATGTTGAAGCATTGCTTCTGGATCGATGAGGATGACGCGCCTCCGGAGCTCGTCTGCGGTGCTTGAGCGATCAATGGGATGGAGGAGGGTACATCGCGAGGCGGGGTTGTTTCATTATCTTATCTCTTCCTGTCTTCTTCAATCGTGGGCCCATGTGCAGGTTTTGACGTGGTTTATGAGTTTCTTCGGAAAATACTCTTAGGAAAATGGGTTAATGCCGCGAGTAAATGGTGCAATTACTATGTATGGATGCATAGTCTTAGGTGGACACTGCTTCCCGTTCCCGCTCTCGCTTCTCCTCACTTGTAGCCGTCTCTCTGTACCCCAGCACCCTCGTTCGTTGCGATCTTGCACCTGCGCAAGCTTTTGTTCTATTCTATCGCTCTGCAACCCATATACGCTCGCGGAAGGACGCAGAGAGGCCGAAAAGGGTGCGACTCGATTGCATTAAAAGTAGCCGCCTTCGTACCTCGGTTTGGTGGGGAGACCGCCCAAACTCGATGCGAGGGAGGGTGTCCCTGAACTTCCTCCCCCTCCGGTGGGATCGCTTTTCCGTTTGCTACTCCTGCCATTCCCGTTCGGTGTACTCCTTCTACTGCTATCCCGCCCACTATCCCGTCCACTGTCTCGTCCACTGTCTCGTCCACTATCTCGTCCACTATCCCGTCCACTATCGCGACCTCCCTGCCGCCGATCATCCTCGTCATAAGTGCTCCGCAAATCTTTCCTCCCTGATCCTGGCCCACTGATGGGGGTCCCACCGAACCGATCATAAGTCGAGTCCTTGAATCGTATGTGTCCCCCACCACCTTGGGAAGAATCTCGCCGCCCTCTCGGCGTCGACTCTGATCCTGACTGTGATCGTTGATGCTTTTTCGATGAGGACGAAGATGCCGAGGGTCTGGTATCCCTCAAATCGGATCGACTCGATCGATCATCGCCATAACTCAGTCGATCGGTCAAGCTCGATCGACCATGATCACGATCCCTCGAATCGTGATAACCATTCCGCCGCCCCGGATCGGTCCTCCTCGAAGCGAACCAATCATCGTCATCGGCGGGATCGAAGCGTTCGTGGGTTCTCCTCTTATCGCCTGCCATAGGTTGTCCCCTTCTCCTCGCAGCAGCTTCGGAACCGGTTGGGCCACCTCTCCGTCCGACGCGATTGGGTAAGCCAATCGCCCAGTCCCCCAAGGCTTCCCGATTGAAAGCCGAGTTATCGACATACTTCATCGGATGCCCTCTCGGGATCGGGCACTCGTCGATGAAATGGTCCTTGTTTGAGCCACAGTTGGCACAGGCGAGGATCACTTTCCGCTTGGTCGGTTTCGCGCCTCGAGTATCGTAGATGCGCCATAGGCTCGGACAATTCGTTGGAAGGTGGAGCGTCGAGGAGCAATGCGTACACCGCGCGCCGTAGTTGCCTCGTACGGGGTGGGCGGCCGTGCATTCGCGTGCCATGTGGCCTCGGGATCCGCAGGCGGAGCAGACGAGGGAGACGGGGCAGTTGCGAGCTTCGTGGTCGGCGTCGACTTGGGCGCAGATGAAGCACTGCGAATGGGTGCAGTCGCGCGACGAGTGGCCTTGTTCTGTGCAGCCCGAAATCAGCTTGGGTACGGTTAGTCCCGCGCGAGGCGTTTACTAAGAACTGAGCTCGACCCACCTCCGCAGAGTACACACGACTTTGATGGATCGGCCTCTTTGTAGTACCGGCCAGTGACCTGGGAACGACATCAAGGGGGTCAGCTCTCGTTTCCGATGCGAGCGTCAGATTCTTGGGTGAGATCTCACCTTGGCCTGACTGTCGTCGACGATTCTTCCTTGGATCGCTTTGGCGAGGGATGCTTCATCGTGCCACTCTTCCTCTTGTTCACTGCTCTCATCTTCTTCGTCGTGATCGTGATCGTGATCGTCGTCGTCGTCGTCGTCGTCATCCTCGGTAGCCAAAACGTCGTGGGCAAAGTCCCTCATGGCTTGCTCCTCCCTCTCGAGTTCGTCGGCCTGCTGTCTCCGTCTACGCTCGTACGCGGTCTCATTCTTGTGCTCGTCCTCTTCGCTAACGGTGGGTGTCTCGAGTAGTTCCTTGGGCACGACCGAAGGTTGCAGATCGACGACAAAGAGACCATCAAAGTCACCCTGCACCTCGCCTTCCTCGACGTCGGGCGAGGGTTCCCGGGAGCCGTTGGTCGTCGCTTGACTGCGATTCTTCTTCTTCTTCTTGTTCGCGCTCGATCTACCTCGCTTGGAAGGGGGTGCTGGGTCCTGATCGTGGGTAGTGGTGGAGTGTGATGTCTCTGCGGCGAGAGGGGCTGGGGCTGGGGCTGGGGCTGGGGCTGGGGCTGGGGCTGAGGATCGAATGGAGAGAGTCGGGGGAGCTGTCGAGGTCGAAGCCTGCGTCGTTGCGGTGCTCGTCGTCGAGGAAGATGCAGGTGAGGGTGATGGCAACCTCAAGCTGATGAAGGGGGACGATGTAGTGGTCTGGGTCCCAGTCCCATCTGCGGTTGCGGTCGGTTCGATCCGAGTCGCGGGTCCGATCGAGAGCGGGCCCGAATTGGGCGACAAGAGCGAGGATGAGATGGCCGTCGTCGACTGCGGAGGCGGCGATTGCAGGGACAAGGTCCTCTTGTTGGACGTCGTGGGCTTTTTGGGCGACTGTAGGCGACCCATCTCTTGCGTGGGTTGGGTGTGCAGTGGTCGGATCCGAGCGCGGACGGATGAGCGCCCGAGGCCCCGAGCTTGCGAAACCGGAAGCGGAATGAAATGAAATCGATCCCAGCGATCCGACGATTAGTAATGCGCAATTCGCCCCCAGTCGCAGCCCAGTCCGCGTTTCTCGCAGCGGCCACAGCGGCCACAGCGGCCACAGCTCTCCGTCCCACCCCCCTTCTCCTCTAACCCCCCACACAGCATGCGATATGCCGCGCTCCCCCCAATCCATGCACCCACCCTCCGCACCACCGATCGTCGCACTCGATGATCAAACGGCGGCCCTGGTCCGATCGTCGCTCGTGATCTCGTCGTTGCCATGTGCGCTGCTCGAACTCGTCCAAAACGCCTTGGACGCCCATGCCACGTCGATCAAGCTCGTCGTGAACCTCACCCACTGGACGATCCGTTGCTGCGACAACGGAGACGGCATACCCGCCCGCTTCCTCCCTTTGATCGGTCAACGTCATGCGACGAGCTCGAGCTCGACTTCGACGTGGACCCGGCGCCGAGGAGAGGCGTTGGCGAGTCTGGCGCAGATCGGGTGGTTGGAATTGAGTACACGGGCCAAGGATGAACAACCGGGCTGGGAAATAGGATTCCGTGGGCGGGAACGTCTTTACGAACGCAGCGTACCACACCGACACCGATCGACGCCCATCGTGGACGCTGCGCAAGCCCAGCCGGCTCCAGCTCAATGTGGGGGTCAGCTGCAGCTGCAGATCCCCCCTGGCACCGGCACGACTGTTACCGTCCGGGACCTGTTTTATCAGGTCAGTCAAGATTCGGCCGCGATCACTCCTTTTGTCGATTGACTGAACAAAAACCTGGTGTCCCCTTGTAGTGGCCTGTTCGACGGAAACCGCTGAGCTCCCCCTCGGGCCGGTCCACAGCCCTGACTCAATTGCGCAAGGAGCTCGCCACCGTAGCTCTCGCCCATCCCGCCGTCGCCTTTTCGCTCGTCGACACCTCGACCAACGACACCCACTCCCTCTCGTCCACTCGATCCAAGACGGTGTTGAACGTCCAGAAATCATCGACCGATGCGTTGTGGGCGAGGTGGAAGCAGGTCTGGGGCAGAGCAGGCGTAGAGCACGTCCACGAGTTCCACCTTCATGAGCGGACCGATCAGACCGACTTGGAGGGATGGCAAGCCGACGGCTTCTTCTCGCTCGGAGCATCTCATTCAAAATTGGATCAATTCATATGCACGTTTGCCTTGTTGGGTGTACGGATCGTCTAATGTGGACCGGGCTGATCAGATCGCTCGCCATCTTGTGCGCAGTCGTCAATTCGAGACCCGTCTCGACCTCTGCTCTGTACGGACTCATCAACGCTCGATTCGGAACCTCTTCCTTTGCTCGCAACTCTTCTTCACTTCTCGCAACACCCCATCCTTCGCTCGGCAAGACCGCGACGACACAAGCCGCGCGCAAGAGCCCCAAAAAGGTCGCCGAACGGTACCCCATCTTTGCGCTCAGGTTGCGGCTACCCGAGGATCAAGTCGATTGGGCACTTGAACCGGAGAGGCGGGTAGTCGAGTTCCAGGTTAGTTGCAATGGAAAGAACACTGGGTTGGCGCAAGCGTTCATATGATTGTCGAGCTGACACTTGATCTGCCCACTTCACTGCCCAGGACCCGGATCGTGTCCAAACTTTCGTCCAATCCGTCGTCGACGCATTCCTCCGTGCGCACGGTCACCTTCCCCAACCCACATCCAAGGCTCAATCCGGAACACCTCTTTCAACGGCTTCGGCTGCCCCTCCTCGCCCCATTAGTCTCACTCGCTCGCGCTACGAATTCCAGTCCCCTCAACGCAAGACGACCCCGGCTCGCGAATCGCCTCGCGCGCGTCCTCTGTCACCTGACGGGCCAGGTCCGATCGTCTTTCCGCAGCCAAGAGAGGCGGGGAATGTTGCTGGGCAGTCGGAACACGATCCAATCGAATGGGTCGACCCCCGAACCAAGCAACGCTTCTTGATCGACCCTAGGATGGGTCATTCTTGGTCCCCCGCCGCGGGGGGAAACAGTCGCGACCCCAACGCCGAAACGCCGGAGATTGAACCCACAACGAGGAGCGTAAAGAAGAGCCTTGTCGATCGTTCAAAGCTCAAGAGGGCTCGACTGGACTCGGCGCCGAGTGAGAATGGTAACAACGACGACGAAGAGATGCCGACTTGGTTGACGAGCACCCTTCGGGAATGGCACAACCCCATCTTCCCCGCCAACCCCGCGCCTGTGCGCTCCGTCGTCCCTCATGCTACGTCGGGCCCTTCGGACGTGGCGAGAGCACCTAAGAACGTTCTCGGTCACTCGCATCGGTTCCACAAAGCTTCTTTGACGAAAGAGACTTTCATCGCTCAGCTCGATGCTAAGTACCTTTTGGTCAAGTTGCAGACCTCGGTCGATTCGGAATCGTCCTCGAACGAGTCACAGGGTCGACCCACGACGACGACGACGATGGAGACGTTGGCGGTGATTGACCAACACGCCGCTTCTGAACGGGTGAGGGTGGAGAAATTGCTACAAGACTATTGCGGAACCGTCGCCCGAGGCGGTACTGTTGCGACGATGGGGTTGAATGGCGAAGAAGGGGCGTTGATCTTGGTCTCGTCGAAGGAAGCCGAATTCGTGAAGGAGCACCTAGGCGACTTCGAACGATGGGGGATCATTCTTGGCTTCGACGCACCTGACAGCGTCTCAGGGAACAGGAGTACGTCATCATCGACTCTTCCAACCGATTACGCCCAACTTCGACTCCTTCGAGTCCCCAAGATCACTGCGGACCGCCTCTCGACCGAACCTAAACTTCAACAAAGTTTGGTCCGATCATTCGTCGCCTTACTCGAGAACCAACCCTCTTGCTTATCGGGACCCAGTACGAGCAGTCATGGTGTGCACTGGACGCATTTGCTCAAGAACGCGCCACCCGTGATGATCGACTTGATCAATTCGAAAGCGTGTCGAGGGGCGATCATGTTCAATGACCGTAAGTCCTTTTTTGCCCTGTAAGGCCGACCTAATCTAGAAAGTCCACCCAGCTCAACCCTTCCAGATTCATTGTATTTTTCCCAAAAAACCCGTGCACGCTTAATTAGACCTCACTCCACTTCAATGCACGAACCTCGTCACCCAACTCGGCCAAACGCACTTTCCCTTCATCTGCGCCCATGGGAGACCGAGTTTGATGCCGTTGGTCAACTTGGCCCCTGCCACGAAGGAAGGATCAAGATTGAGCTCGAAGCGAGGAAAGTTGGATTGGGGGAGTTGGGGTTGGAAGAAGGTGAGGAGTGATGATGCGATGTGATGCGACGACGGGAATGGTTGGGAGCTGAGAGTCACGGTCACTCGCGAGGCACACTAGGGAACCGTGTCGAGAGGGATGTTTTTGTCGCAGACTTTACATTCTCGATAAAGGCGCCCTTTTCATACCTAGGTAGCTTATAAGAGGTGAATAAGATCGCTTTGAGCTCAAGACTGGCTTCCCGAGGTTCCTCGGTCGAGTCCAGACACGAGAGGGTTCAACGACAAGAGCGCACTGGGCATCTGATACATCAGAGAGAGAGCATTTTCTGGGAGGGGAGGCCACTTTGGCTACGAAAGAAGAGAAGGGGGGTGTTCGTTATCGGAGACAAAAGAAGAAAACCCCACACAATGACAGCAGAGGAATAGTTCAGAAGGGGAAAGATGGCGCTCGATTGCGAGGAGCAAAGAGGGAGGAAGGGGGTTCGAGGTGGGGCAAAGCTGATCTTGTTTGCGGAACATGTATAGTGGAAACAGGAACAAAGGCCCACGAAGAGCAAAGAAGAAAAGAAGGCAGAAATTGACACAAAAAAGAAGGCTAGGCGACATACAGCGGTTCACACCTACATCATTGGAACGTGCCGAACGACCGTTCCCCAAGTTCTGTAATGCTGTCCTCGTTCGGTGTTGCTGGTGCCGACGGTTCTGTAAAGTCGTGGGCGGAACAGGCGAGGGGGTCAGTACGGATCACACGTTTATTGATCTCGACCAAAACTCACCGGGTGTGGCCCCACCGTCAAAGAACCTAAACCGCAGACGATGGAACATGGGCAGTTTGGGTGCCAAGCCCACAAGGATGAGCGAGACGAGGTTGAGGGTGAAGAAAGCGGGGTGCGAGTCGTATCGGGTGTAATGTGTCGACACGAGGAAGAGGGCGATGGGCAGTGTGGTGAGCCACTTCTTGGCCGGGGTGTGCTGCGCGCCCGAGTCGATCTGCTCCCACAACGTCAACGAGTCGTACGCGCCCGAGTTGTTCATGTCGAACGGAACGCCTTGGACGTAGTGGAACATGATGTACGAGATCTGTTCACGCTCGGGTACCGTCAGTGGTGTGTCGCGTGCCTACACACGCTGGGGAGGGAGGAGGGCTCACGAAGAGATAGCCGAGGTTGACGATGGTCCATATCAGATCCGGTGTGGTGCCCGGAATAATGTCGAGGATGACGATCCCGGCGATGATTCCGATGACATGGATGAGCCAAGCACCTGTGGGGAGGGTGACTGTTCGTTCGTCAATGACCTGCACCTGCGAAACTAGACCCGCACTGCCTGATGGCACGCCGAGCCACCGATGACGACGACGGCCTCTGTTCGCCTCCACCTCGTGATCCTGGCCGGGTCCAGCGCGCCAGGACTCCTTTGGACGATGGCCCACTCGAGAAGAGTGTGATTCTGGCATGGCCATCGGACCACAGAGCAAATGTTACGTCGTCCGTAGGCATGGCCTCGGAGGAGACCACGCCCGAGTCAGAAGCTCGCTCGAATACGAACGCGAAAGCGCACCCTTGTAGTTGACCCATTCGGCATTGACGTTGGTGAGCGCGGCCTGGTCGAGCGAGTCGTCGTAGTTGATTGGTACCTCCTGCACGGACAGCACGGATGCACTCCGAGGTCGTCGCGTCGGGGATGCTGCCGAGCCTGGGTTCGAGCTACCCAGACCCGACGCGCTGGCCGCTGACGTCGCAGCCGCGCCGCTCGTGTCGATCGTCAGCGCGGTCGCTGCACCCGAGGAGCTCGCCGAGGGGGGGCCAGTCGAGGCCGAGCGCGCACGTCGGAAAGGTGGTTGGGATGGCAAGGCCGACGATCGCCCAGTAGGCGACAGCAGCGCCCGGTTCGCACTCATGACCGTGACGAGGATGCAGGCCGTTTCAGTCGAGTCGGGTCGGGTCGGCTCTGGCGCGCCGTGGGTGGGGGCTGAGGCTGAAACCGAGACGCCCCCCGGAGGCCCAGAGCAGCCCAGCCGAGCAGCCCAGCGCTCACAGAAGCTCACAGAGGCCGACCGTAATGGCGCAGCAAGAGGCGGTGGCCCACGCCTCCCCGACGTCAGCGCGCGCGGCAAGGCTGCACGCGCGTCCCCTCAGCTGCTGACGAGTCCCCCTCCCCGCGCTCACATCGAATCAGCTCCGAGAATAGCAGTAAGACGCTCGAGTTTCATCTTGTGCAAAATTACAGGGCACTAGACAGTAGTACCAGATAGCAGGAGTGCTTCCGTATGCTTCGATGGGCTGCTTAGTGCCAGTACTGCAAAAGATTAAGCAAAGGAGTTTAGTGGCAGAATCCGTTGACCGACGCAACTTGAGCCATCAACATTTGCTCGAACTCTGTTCCGCCAATGTCACTCACTTTGGTAGCAACAGGACGAACGATCTCCCACGCTTCATCGAGAATCTTGGCGACTTAGATACAGGTACAATCAGGTCCCTCCCGAATGTCAGCGAAACGTCCAAGTTTGCGCCGTTTGAATCAAAGACTCACCTTCCTCGGGGAGGGGTCCCTTTTCAAGATCGACCAGGTTGGACTCGAGGTCGCTGTTGGAGGATGCTCCAATAAGGATTTGATCGCCGTGTTCCCGCTTGAGCAACGAGTGGTGATTGATCCAGCGAAGAGCAACCTGGGCATCCAGCGTGATAACCAATACTTCAGCCCCCTGCATCCCCGAAACACTCGGTCCGGAAGGGGTAACTCACCTCGCACATGGACAAATTGTTCTTTTTTGCCACAGGTTCAATAAGAGCAAGAGCATCAAAGTAGTGATCGTTAAAGTACCGCTTGCGGTAGCCTTGCCCCTGGCCCGTCGCTAGGTCAAAGCTGATGTGGATATTGCGCAGTGAGTCAGATCCGTGGATGTCTGTGAGGACTCCCTTCAGACCTTACCGAGATCCTTTATCCACTTGCATATCCAGGCTGCTGTAACGACCGGTGAAGAGACCCCCCGCGAGTGGCTTGAACTCGTAGAAGGATATGCCGAATTTGCGCAAGCACGGAAAGAGTCTGCGGCCGAGAGTGAGGAGCAGCCAGTCGTTAGCCAACATACCTACAGCACAGAGGTGACCAAAGACCCAGATCATTAGGTGCCTACTCTGGCTCGACGTTACGATGCAAAGCGTTGTAGATGCCTTGGTATGCCGTTGGCTTGATCCAGCCGTTCGTTTCGCAGAGCCCAACAATGTGGGCCACTTCCCAACTCTGCAACAACGACCGAAGCGACGTGTAAGACTCGCTGATAGGCGTATGCATGCTCATAGCATTGATCGTACCATATAGTTCGAGATGCCAAAGCGCTTGAATCTTCCCTCGCGGTACAGCTCGTCTACGGCGGCAAATGTCTCATGGAAGTTCCGGGGCATCTGACGGCAAGCCGCATGATTATGTGTTAGGTCAGTGAGGTGCGTAACTTAACCAAGTTAGATGTGAATCAATTTACGAAGGTACCACATGTCAAAGCAAGTCCTTTTGCATGCCTCGAGTTGCATGTCCAAGAATTTGCGCAGGTCGGCGCGCGAGTGGGTGATGGGGGTGCCGTCACTCGTTTTGGATGGGTACAGCTTTGTGCCGACGACCAGTCCACGCTTCGTCCAGTCAGTCTAGAGGTCGATACGTCAACGCCGGGGTCATAATTTCGGGCGGGCATGACTGTTTACGGTCCGGCGTAGAAACAGCAGTACGACATACCTCGCCGAGCATCTGCTCCGAAGTGTGCGAAGTGTAGACGAACGCCGTATCAAGCTCGTTGTGCCCATGTTTCTGGAAAATGTCTAGCATGCTGCACCGGCGAGAAGTGAGTGCCGCAGAGGTATTGGGAGCCGGGAAGAAGAATGTGGGGCCCCGGCAAGTGGAGGTCATACGTCAGCACGTGGAGCAGGCTCAAGCCATTCCGGAGGTACATTTCGTGGTACCTACCCTTCACAATCCTTGATAGTGTGTACTCGAGCACCTTCGGTTCCTTCTTTCCCCCATGTCATCAAGCCTAGTACCACTCCTACGTTCGATGAGGCGGTGGTGTCTGAGGAGCTCATAAATGGTGGTCTTTGAGCTGTCAAGATAGAAGCAAAGGGACAGCACTGCACCTTTCGTCAGCTAGGCACGCCATGGGATGTCACCCGAGACCTTGACTCACACGGAGACAAGAAAGATAGGGTAGAACGAGAAAGAGGAAGACTAGGAAGTCTATTGGAAACAGGACGAGCCCACACTCGCGCTCCACCTCCACTTGCCTCCACATCTCCGGGAATAAAGGACTCCGCGCCGCCCTATACGCCAGCCGTCGCCAGGCCGGCATCAAATTCGCCATGCATAGGGGCACCTATAAATACAGCGAAGGGTGCGGGAGGTAGGTAGTCTGATTCTTCCCTAGGAGAACATATGTTTGGCGGGATGTATTCACGTCGTCTGCTCACCCTACTGTCGGCGCGGTCCCCTGTAAGTCTAGCCCTCGCTCCGGTTCCGGCGGCGCTCGGCCCGTCAGAGTTGTTCACAAATCCATTTCATCCCAGACACCAAGTGGCACCAAGTGGCACCAAGTGAGTGCGATTCAAGATGCGAAGCATCCGGCATGCAGCTTCTAAGCACGAAGAACGGGACTACAATTGGTTGCCATTGTTGGTTACGGGGGCTCGAGGCAACCAAGCTCACCCAACACAACCCCCTATGTCTCGACCAGACAAGCATTTATGGCATGGCTCAAGGGACCACGTTGCAGCTGGCTTGGACACCCCCACGTTTCCATGGGAATCTGACACGTAGCTTAGCCCCGATCAGAACTACGAAGATAGTCACTAGGTAGATACCTGCCTGCGAATGCGTATGTACCCGGTAACTTCTACTTCCGCCCGGAAGTCACAAGCTGCTACGGAAGCCCACTAGTCCTTGTCTGTGCACAGGTGTGTCTGTGCCCGCTTCGTCCAATTGAACCGAGAGGCCGGTACTGTCTTGGCTGGGCCGCGGAAAAACCCGGCACCTAGCGCTGTTCACGTTCACGCCCAGGCAGCAACTTCGTCGTACGAGAGGCGCGTCTCGCCGGTTCGGAGGCCGCTGTGTGCATCCTTCCCAAATGTGTACAGGCAGCCCAGCATATACAACCGGTAACATGACATGTAGGAGGTGGCTTACCTACCGACTGCAGTTGAGGGCCTATGCCTTTTTCTAGGCACCCGATTGGCATGGGTCCTGGAAAAGTTCGGTCTCCGGACTCAGTAAACCGAGAGTTTCGCCTCATCGATACCCCATGGAGACTATAACGTTGACCACATCAGCGAGCCCGAGGCGAGCTCCAGCCCAGCGTGTGTACACGCAAAACAGGCACGATTTAGTTTCATACCTGATTCTCGGGCTCTGTGAGCAAACAACTCAAGCTCGCCGGGAAAATTAGGTAGACCGACGACCGGCCAAGGCGGAGCGCTTCAGGCCAAGGCGCGTAAGCGCGGCCTGTTCCGCCCCGCCGGAAAATAACTGCACAGCTGGTTGAAAAGTTACCCATGGGGGCTTCGACCTGCACTTAAAACATTTGTCATCGCAGCACGTTAGGTTGGCACCTGCAGGTACAGGTAGGTGGATGCTGGGGTCCCTGTACATGATGCGCATGGCTTGTAGAGCCACGCCGGTAAGTGAAATGCTGCCAGTCATGACTAGTCATGGACGGTGACTATTTGTGGATCAGAGACATTTGGAAGAGCGCCGTGGATGCAGCCAGCAACCACCGGCCTCCGCGCACATCCACGGAGGTAGGCACGTACCCGGTGCATAGGCACCAAACCCACATGTTTGAAGCCGCTGACCGGTAGACAAGCTTCGAGCTCCCATGGACAGGTTCTCAGCCTTTTCTCCGGAGAAAACTTGGCTCCCGAGTCCAGATTTACGGCAGCCTGGACGTGACATGATTCTTCTCGCACTGATTGACGTAAGGCCAGCAGTGCCTTGACTCTCAGATCAGAGCAGTGCTAGTAGGTACAAGGAGCATTATTCTCAGCTACTTACGCGGGTAAGTATGTTGGTAGTGGATCCATGATAGAGACCCTACCTAAGGTTAGGCAGGTCGATCAGTAGAAACGACGTCACGAGTACGACTCGCGGTGAGTCGCGGAGCAAATCCGACCCGTCCCCCCACCCCGCACGTCTCAAAAATTAAGAATGACCTTCGGGCGTGCCTGATACCCCACGTCGGTCGATGGAACGCGCTTGCTCCTCGGTCATCAGCTACTAACGGTCGTGTTGGCACCACCCGATCTTCGGTAAAGTAGATACCTACTACACCGCATAAATTTTTGCTCACCTAGTAAAGTCGAGTAGTGCATGTGCTGTGTTCAAATTGTTCTCACGGGAAGGAGAGCGCCGCCGACAGTCTCAGATTGCTTGGCTGAACTGCGCATATACTGGATCGACGCCTTCAGAACGATTCACCCCCATTTTCACTCACCTGCCGGCGCTTGTACCATCACGTTATCTTAACAAGCAAACTTTGCTTGCGCACTAGCAAGATCATTTGGTGTCTGTCTTTATTGCGAGCCTTCTGATGACGATTCCGCGGCAGATAGTCAGGCGGGGCAACTTACGTTTTCTTAGCGGCTTCTAATTTTCCGAAGCGACGACGACGACGGCGGAGCATGAGGACGGTCTAGCTACTTGTCACTTTGAAGGCCACCGTCCATGTCATAGCTTGGTAGATAGGTAGCACCAAAACCCAGGGTCGTGCAGCCGACGCTGCACTCTGTAGCTCGCTCCTCATCGGATTGTTTGACGTTGTCTCCGACTCGGCTCCGCGTTCAAGCGAAGAACGCAGCCTCCTACTTGGAGGGGGAATCACAAAGCTCTTGAGCCCCAGCGTAGAGACACGAGTGTAGTTTACGAACGTGAGAGGCGCTCCTGAGGGGTTCAACAGCGACGTCTGCCTCAAGCGAGAGAAGCGCCGCTCCTGAACAAAGAGGGGCTCAGGCCAGTGATTGGCCGTACGGCTGGCAACATCTGGGCAGCTGCGCCGGAGCAAGCAGATTTTAGGGACTAGCCGGTTTGCGCTCGGGGGCGGCCCAGTGCCATGCGTCGAGCGTGGGGAAGACCCCAACTCGACCGACGCGACCCCCTCGGGTCTACCCGCGCGCCGCCGACGACTTCCTCTTTGCATTGGCGCCGTCCCCGACAAAAGGGCCTTTTTAAAAAATCACCACCTTGGGACAACGTTGCCACCATACTTTTTGTGTTCTACTTGCACCTTCAATTAACATCACACATCACACATCACCAAGAGCCTCAACCTCCATCTTCGTCCTCTTTTGTGCACGCCATTTTCGAGCCTTGACTCACGCTCATAATTGAATCCCGTCGATCCGACCCGATTCTCGCGCGCTGCGCTGGCTGTCACGTTCAAATCTCTCGTCGGAATCGCAGGCGCCCTCAAGTCGCGACGCTTTCACGGCCCGTCTCTCTTTGCCGCAGCCCCTCCTTTTCGCCTCGATCTATCTACAAACCCCCGGCCGCCCTCTCTTCAGCTTGACATCATCTGCTTGCGTGTCCTCACAGCTTCGACCAGACCTTTCATCGACGCCCGCAGCAAATCGCGGTGCTCGACTTCCGTCGCCCACCGTTCGCTGTCCCAACCGGCCTTTGCTTGTCTCTCCCACTCCGCTCGTCAGCGTCACCGGAACATGGTTTCCGACCGCTTCTTCGGCTTCCAGGGTCAGTGTACTCCATTTGTTGCATTCTGTAAGCTTCTGCGTGCTCATACCGCCGTCTTGCTTCCGCTGTAGACACCGCATTATTATGCGATCATGTCATCTCGACCCTCTTTTCGGTCGGCTCATCCTCGGCCAACAACGCGCCGTCCACACCTGTCTCGGTCGTCGGCGGGCTCGAGACACCACCGACCTCACCTCCTACTAGCCCTAAGGACCAACCACCCATCTTGGGCGAGTTCATTGTGAGTGTGCAGCTCCTTTGTTTTGCAATTGTTTCGTTGTGCATCGACCACGACATCTCGGATGCGGACCGGCAATTCTTTACGCCGCCACCGGTCTGTTTTCCATCGTGATCAAGCGCGGGGGGACTGGCGAGATGCCCGGGCAGGATCATCATCGTCACGCCGATCGCCCAGAGTGGTTGTGAATGAGCGTGCTTCTCGCCCTGTTCAGGCGCTGGCGCGGGCGCGCTCAGGGCCGCCCGCCGCCAGGCCGCGCGACTCTTAAGGCACTCGGCGCTGCGCCGCGTGGTGGCGTGCGACATGTGAGACCGGGGGCAGGTTCCACCGGCCTTGCCCGTGTTCGGACGAACGCATCGCCGTCCCGCGAAGCCGGGCATGAGACGATCGCCTTCTGCGCCTTCTGGAACCTTGTAGACCTTCGTATGCTGACCGAATCATTTGGGACAATCTATCACTGCAGGCATACGCATTGTACCGAACACGACTACCCACCAACATCATCTACCAGGCCTTGTTGTTGCTCTCTCGCCTCAAGGCTCGCTATCCGTCGGCCCGAGGGACCTCGACGTCCCCTCACCGACTATTTTTGTCGTCATTGATGCTCTCTTCGAAGATCTCGATGGATGACACCTACTCGTAAGTTGATGCATTTATTTTCCGCTAGCCCAATACCTACCTGCCCCAGTGTCTTCGGATACCGTAGCGTGACTTGTAGTGCACGGTCCCATGTCGCTACATTTTCACGTGCTCCCCGCACCGCCCCTCGTTCCCCACCCGAACCTGGCCGAAGCCGGATGGCTGACCTCAAATCTTGCTCACTTTGTTTGTTGGGATCACAGGAACAAGTCTTGGCAAGTTGTTGGTCAAGGACTATTTTCACTTCGTGAAGTGAACCAAATGGAGCGCGAGTTGTTTGCCTTCCTTGTAAGTACCGAGCAGGCGCGGAGCGAGATCGTGCGCAATCGGAAGCTCAAATTCTAACTTCACATCTTTCGTTCGCCACTTGCAGGGCTGGAATGTCGTTGTTCGTGACGAGGAGCTCGCAGCTTGGGTTAGCGAGGTCGTCGAGCCTTACAAGGTCGACCGAGACGCCGTCAGCTCCCCTGTCCTCCGCAAGGCCATGGAGGAGCGCAAGCGACGACGCGACGAACCCGCATCGGCTTCCGCTCATTTGCCTACGCCATCGCCGTCCGTCTCCAGATCACCTTCACCGGATTCACTTCGACACCGCAGGGCGTCCGACGCCGCCATCGCGATGCTTCATGGTGCCAACGCCGCCGTTCCTTCTTCGTCGCAGCGCAGCACCCGGCAGTCGAGGCGTTCGCGTACCCGAACACCGAGCTATTGCTCCTCGCCGAGCTCTTCTCGTGGATCATCCGCTTATTCTTCCTCAACTTCATCGCCCGTCTCCGGAGCCACAACACCTGGGTCGCCTATCACCCCAGCCGGACCGCTGACGCCGAGTCACTGCGTCAAATCTTTCCCCGATCCTTCTGGCGAGACCAAGCACACCACAACGTCGACCCCCGCCAGATGTGAAATCGCGTCATGGTGATGCCTCTCCTGTTTTTCTCTTGTCCACTACACTTTATTTTGCATCCCTCGCATTCCATGCATTTCCGCTTCAGAGTTGTTGCTTTCTTAGACTGATCGTTGCATTTCGCTCCGCATGATCTTTTACTCGCTTTCTCTCGTCACGCTCTTCTTGCACCCCTATTACATCGCTTGCATAGCATTTTCTGTTTCATAATGACATCCGCTATTTTTATCGCCTGTCGTCGAGTCGCTTCCAGCTGTTTCCCCTCGTTTCGAGCCGGAATTTCCGAGCACGTGACATCCGGCCGAGAAGGGTGGGTTGGCCACCGCGAAAGGCCAACCGAACACACACGCATACAGGTACGTATCCTACCTAGTGTAACCTTCACAACTTCCTGATCCCAACTTCCTAGAACGTACCGGTAATTATCTAGGTCGGACCTACCTTTTCGGCGCTGCATTCGGGATTCCGAGCAGCACATAAATACAGGCTGACAACGCCAACAACGCCGACGCGCGGATGGCGGCAGGCCCCACCACCAAAGTCGCCGGTGCGCGGCGGCTCTTTCCGACCTGGAAAACGATGAACCGGATAATGCGCGCCCCCGCGCTCCTACGGTACTCTTGAACCACTATGTAGTAGTAACTCGCTGGGTAGTCAGCCGCCCCGCGAGACTTCTGACCGGCAGCCAAGCTGAAGCGAGCAGTGATTTTCGCTTGATTGCAGGTTGCTCAAGCGTACTGTCTGCGGAAATTGCACGCCGGCTAGTGAGCTAGATATGTAGGCCGCTAAAAGGCCTGCACATGTGGTGACACGACCCTTGCACTGCATTGCATTTCCGACTCTAGGGAGGGGTGCCTAGATTGGAGTGTGAGTAGGTCTAGGGTAGGCACATCTCTCGATGACCGCACAAAAGATATCGAGAGCCTTTCCGGCTCATAGGATGTCCGAGGCACTTGCTCGAAATCTCAGCCTCCGTTAGCTTGCGCATGACCTCTGCGCGCGGCCACGATCCTCTCGCTTTCAGAACTTGCCAATATTAGAGGTGGCGGATCTGGTCAACCATACATTGTTGATTATCAGAGGTGGCAGCGGTGCACCTCCGAAGCACCCAGCTGGGGTATACGTGTTCTGGTTAGGAGCCCGGTCATCATCTTGCGGCTGGGGTGCCCCAGTCTGTAGATCATGACGTCAGAAGGTAATGAAATTGCGTTCCGTCGAACAAGATGAAATTCCGTCCGTGCTGCGTACGCGCACTGGCCGTGGCGTTCGGACGCAAACGCCGACTACGATCGCCCACTGCTCGAAACTAATCGAGACCAAACTTGTATCGCAAGCTTCTGGAAGGCTTGGGCCGCCGCCGAAGAATTATCGCCGATGACCGAATTCAGAGCGGCGTCGTCATGGTGCATCGATGCTATGTTGCGATCATCGACATCACCCTGAGGGTCAGCTACGTCTATGCGTGAAACCATCGTGCTGCCAGTCGATGGCGAAGAGCCTACCTCGCTTGCTTGCCTGATTGTGCGATGACGACGCATCGACACTAGGCGTCGTTGGGCCCTGAATCGGGGCCGAGGGAGCGGGGAACTCGCGGGGAGACTCGGGTGTGCATGACGTAGAGGTATCGACACCTCTTATCGGTTCGAGGCCACCGATGGTCGACGTCGAGGATGGCCGGCTCAAAACGACCGGTCGACCGAGATCACCCTGCTCGCTGACGTCGGCCTCGAGGGGAATTTCCGCCAACATATCGATCCCGAGCTTGGCGCAGACGCGCTCAAAGGTTTCTGGGCGTCCGAAGATGTGATGACGAGTGGATGAACCAGGACAGATAAAGTGGGCCATATTGAGTACTGCGCCAGTGATCTGCGGTTGATGTTCGCATAGAGGTCGAGTTTGGTCAGGAGGGGTGCAGGCCCACCTCTTACTCGAGCATGATCAAGACTGGACTAACAGGTATGCCGACTTTGCGAAACATGGCTACACCTTTGCGCGTGTCGACAATGGCTACATTTTGGGGCGTGGAGACAATGACTGACCCTGTAGTGTCGTAGTAGACGCATCGCCTCTTAGTCAGCAGCGTCCCGACGGCAAGCTCTGCGGGGCTCGTCCAAGACCTACCGTCGACCTGCACAAGCTGGCCTAAGCTCAACGTAACATCCCCCGTCCCAGGTGGTGTATCGACGACCAACACGTCCAGGTCATGTCCCCCCGTCCCAGCTCGCCAGTCCACCTCGAAGAGCAACTGCTGAACGGCTTTCATGACCATCATCCCTCTCCAAACAACAGGCGTGTCGGCTCCGTGGTCCGCGTCGGGGTCTTCGGGGTCAGACGTAGTAGAGGCCGAGTTGGGCAGGAGGAATCCCATCGACATGCAAGGGATACCGTGAGCTCTCATCGGCGTCAGGCGATTGTCTGGAAGAAGATCAAGCGGATGCATCTCGAGGTCAGAACAGGGGACTGAGAGCTGGTGGCCATACGTGCCACCTGGGACATGCTGAGACACATACACATACATACCTTGGGTCAAGATTGGTTCTCCCAGGCCTTCCAATCCCATGAGCTTCGGTATGGACGGCCCGAAGATGTCGAGATCGAGCAAGCCGACTCTCAGTCGATTGCCGGAACTTGCTGGAAGTGAGGAGAGCGCCAGTGCGAGGTTCACTACGGATGCACGCATGAGACAACGTGTCAGTGTCCGTCGAGCTGTGTGCGCCTGGGAGTATGTCGATGGTGAACGTGGTCGTAGTCGTGTGAACCTTCGGCTTTGGATTTGCAAGCGCGAGACAATCTTGAAGGTGTGCAAGAAAAGCGCCGATCTCGACGTTGCCGTCAACGCTTCCGAGGTACAGTATGCCCTACTCACCCGCTACACTGCTCTTGCCGACACCGCCTTTGCCACTACTGACGACCAGGACCTGGTTGACGCCGACGAGCTTGCGTTTGGCGGGGATGCCTCGTTGAGCCCGTGGCATGGTCGGTGGTGCGTCGGAGCGTGGCAGTCCCTGTAGTTGTGATTGCAAACTCGGAATAAGCTCACAGAGGGCGGATACATCAGCGTGCCGAATGAGGTGTGACTCACCAAAGGGTTTTGGTGCGACCATGTCGGGCGCGATGATGTGAATGCGCGCACCCGACCGCGTAAGGGCAGATGCAGATGCAGATGCAGATGCAGATGCGAGCAAGTGCACGGGCCAGGTCGCACAAGCCAGGACAGCGGCGCACGCTGTTGCTTGCCTCGCACGACGGAGCGAGTAGCCGACATGAGGAAAACGGCGACCGATCGCGAATGTTCGCGGAGTTGTCGAGTCCGAAATGACGAGTAGAGAAGTGCCTAGCGCAAGGCCACTTTCTATTATCGGGCGCGGCGAAACGGAGGAAGCTGGCAGAAGCTGGCTGAAGCTGGCGCGGCAGGGCGCGGCTCGAGCGCAGAGGTTGACTGAGCAGTGAGAACAGCTCCAAAGAAGGGAAGCAGAGGCTAGTAGCAGAGGGGGAAGCGCGCCGCGACGCGAAATTGCCCGCAGGAGCCGAGCGGGCAAGCCGTTGGAGCGTCGCCGTTACGTTGACGGTTGTTAGTGGGGCGAGCGCCAGGCATCACCGTCCATGTTAGTGTGTAGCCGACCCAGAAATTGTTAAGGCTTTTTTATTTTCCGGCTCGACCACGGATGTGGTAGCTAAAAATACAGGAGCGCTGGATGATTGCACCGCCATGGGTAAATTCCTCCGAGGGCCGGGCCGGCTCGGAGCCTCGAGGCACAGCTCATGGCGCGCCAACACGACCGACGCCTTGCGCGTCGATTGGCGTGAACCGTAGAGCGCTGGGTCTATTTGAGGCTATACCGCGTCGAGTGCACGGGCCTTTGGCATCACCTTCGCTCATGATTCAAGAACGTGTTACGGCACTCACCCCTCTTTATTCCCGGAATTGATTTCCGTGCCCACTAGTCCGGTCATTCAGATCCATTAATAGTTCTTTAATCCTTCCACGCCTCGGGCTCCCGGCTCTCGACGCCGGGAGCGCGGATCCCGAGCGACGATCGTGAGCCCCTGGGCCGTCGAGGGCCGGGGTCCATGACGCCTCGCGTGAGGCGCGCTGCAACGGATTGTTCCCCTCGCTCGTGGATCCTGATTTAGCACACTCAGCGCAAAGCACACTCTTTCCCTCCTGCCCTTCACATCTCCGCAGCCTTCACGTTGTAACCCTCGACCATATTACTACTCCGTCAGACCCCCCCACTCCCATCTAACATGGTTCACATTCGTTTTCTCGCCCTCCTGTCCCTCTCGGCCTACGTCGCCGCGTCGTCGTTCGCCCCCATCGGCTCCCGCATTGAGTTGGCCGTCCACAAGGCTGCCCACGCTGACGCGCATGCTAAGGACCCCAAGGCTCACCACCATACCGCACCCGCAAAGCATCACCACCACCATGTCACCGTGCCCGAGAAGCATCACGTTCGTTCCGAGGAGGCCGCCGTTGAGAAGCTTGCCTTGCCTCAGAAGGCCGTCAAGCACCACCACCACCACTCCAACAAGACTGAGCACCACCACCACAAGTCCAACAAGACCGAGGTTCACCACCACAAGAACGCAACCAAGATCGAGCATCACCACAAAAATGCGACCAAGGTCGAATACCACCACCACACTGAGGTTCACCACCACAAGAACGCAACCCAGGTCGAGCATCACCACAAGAATGCAACCCAGGTCGAGCATCACCACAAGAATGCGACCAAGGTCGAGCACCACCACCACAAGGAATCGACCAAGAATCACCACCACAAGGAGACAGCCAAGCCCCACCACCACAAGGAGACGGCTAAGGCTCATCACTCCCACCACACAACCACGACGACCCAGCGTCACCTGATGATGGAGACCGAGCCGACCACCCATCAGAACCACGTTCGCGTCATCATCGACGCGCACAAGCCCATCGCGGCCAAGCCCAGACAGACCCACGCACCCAAGGTTAAGCAACGCCACCATTCGAAGCACACCGACGCCAAAGGCACAAAAAAGGCGATGCACAAGCACCACCACCACAAGGCGGCTCCTCATGTTCCCGTTATGTGAGTTTTTAGGCTATTTTCCTGATCAAATCCGAGGGTTTATGAACCTGACCCCTTTCGTCCTGACTCTTGAATATTGTACAGGGCACGCGTCGTTCGCCGCGAGGCGTAGAGGCTGATTCCCGGCTCACCATGGACATTCTTTAAGACTTCATCTGCATTGTTGGGGCTGCGCTTGTGTTGCCTGTCCCCTTCATCGTTGCATCCTTCGCCGTACTCTTCGAGAAGGCGCACCCTTGTTTCACTTTTCCTCTCCGACTTCTTCATACTCGGGGGTTTGCGCAGTAAGGCGCAATGTACCACTTTTTTTCTTCTCATATCGTTCAAACTCTGTCTGCCCTTGCACGTGCCTAATCCTCCTGAGCTGGCTGGGGACTGCGCAACAATCTCTTTCGATGGCTAGTACGGTCCGAACCATGGCTAGCAACAAGGTCTCCTTCATTTGGGCTTCGTTACGATCCTTCCCACTGTGCGGGCATTTGTTTCAGACGTACGCTACACCAGCAACGGCGCTCAAGAGCATGGCATCCACGTACTCGGGCAATTGCTGCTCGAACGTCTCAAAGAACCTCATACCAGGCTTCTCCTTCAAGCCTGCATGCCTGATTGAAGAAGGGTACATCCCCTTCGAGTCGAGGGCGCTGTAATCAATGCGTAACCTCGCCTTGACGGCGTCCGAGCGTGAAGCATCGCCGCGTTGGCCCTTGGCACGTTGTTGTTCGCGCATGACGGCACCGAAAGTTTCTTCGTCGAGGTAGACGACGAGCGAGAGCACGAAGCGCGTCACTCCGTAGCCGGCAACGGACTTGACGTGGTGCCGAATCACGCCTCGTGCAGGTGGTTCAGGAAGATCTGCAGGTCATGTATTCGGCGGCTTCAGCGTTTGCACGCACGCGGCAAGTTGTTTGAAAATGGGAGCTTACCCCAGGAAACGACATCGGCATCAAAGGCAATGACGGGCCAGATCAGGCCAGGGTGCAGCATCTCAATCTCGAGCGAACGAGTGCGAGAAATGGAGTTGAGGCTCGATCGGATAGCTTTGACCGTGAATGTTTCGGCGAAAGGGGAGACGTAGCTTGCCTCGGTTGGCGGCAGTGGTACCTTGTAAGTCGTGAGGAACTGGCTCACGGGGAAGATGATGTCTGTGGTCGGCTCTCAAACAAATCAGCATATGCTCACTCTGCGAAATAACTTCCTCCGTAAACGAACCCCAATCAGTTGAGTGGTCATGAGCGCGCAACGCCTCGGGCACCTTGTTGCTGGCCGTGAGCCCCTTGGTGGCTTCGACGAGAAGATCCTGGAAGGGTGCGCCGTCGACGGACGCGACATGCAAGTCGAACCGAGGTGGTGTGGTAGTCGTGTTCTCCATGTGTAGAACGAGCAGACGTTTCGGGTGTAAGCGGTCGTAGGGGGAACTCGCAGGTCGCGTGAACCAACCCAGCGACGCAGCAGTGATGAAGGTGAGGACGACGGCCGCGTTGGAGGCGCTTCGAGGTCCGAAACGGTGCAGGATAGGAGGCAGCTGAACGAAGTTGATTTTAAGCGCATCAGTTTAAAGATCAAATTGATTGATCTGAGCTCACGGACTTGCCACAGGAAGCGCCAGGAAGCCAACAGCGGCCGTAAGCGAAGCGATGATGAAATCGACAGGAGCGTCGGCCCCAAGGCGACCCGTCAACGGCACAAAAATGTCCAGAAAACTCACCAGGCCCTCAACTCCGAGGACGAGTCCAAGAACTTGCTGGAAAAAGTAGGTTGCAAGATGGACCTCTCGTTCGGGGCCCGAGGTGAGCACATAGTCATTGACGACAAGGGCAGTCAAATTCGAGACCATGGCAACGGCGTAGAGGTAAGAAGATCCGACACCTAGCGCATGTCCAAGGCACAAGATGACGGTACTGTAGATAAGTTGACCCATGAGTGTCGCATGCTCGAGCAGCGAGGATTCGTGCGCCTCGAGAGCTGGAGAGGCGCCGTGGGTGCGCACACGCTTGGCGATCGATCGTTGCAAGAGGCAGACGGCGAGAGCGGCGGGAGGACCAAAGAGATAGACAGCAAAGCTCTCGTTGCTGAACCTACGGATAGATGGCGCTTCGTTAGGGCAACGGCTACGAGACCGAAGGTTGCCCGAGGCTTTGACTAACCAGGTCATGGTCTTGCCCATCACGATCGAGGTAGCCGCAGCGGCCAAGTTAGAGCCGAGGATGGCCGCCAGAAGGGAAAGTCCGACACCGGCGGTCGTCAAGAGGTAGAGACGCTTGCGCTGTCTGACGAGTCGATCCGAGACGACGATGAAGGCGAGGGTTGCCAGACTTGCGTAGATTGCGGTAGCTAAATACGGGCAGAGTATATATGAGTCAGTGATGCTCGAACACAAGATACTCCGTCTCTCGAGCAACGCACCTTGCGCCCTCGAATACATGATGAAGATTTTGCCGCCCATGCTAGAGAAGAAGATCGTGTCGGCCGCGCTCTTCATCTTCGGCAGCTTCTTCGCCGTCAGTGAATTGCCCAAGGCCGTCTCGTTCGAGGTCAAGTATTCGAGCAAGGCGAGCGTGTTCTCTCCCATGTGTTGCAAAGCCCCAGGTTCGATCAGCTCGGGGACATCGAGTCGAGTGTGGTAGAGGTAGGAGTTTTGGACGAGTGCCATGTCTGCCATCCGAGGCTCTGTCAGTCTCTACGGTCTCTCTTCGTGGTTAATCAAATCGAACGGCCCAACTCACCCAATCCAGTAAGATTGCCGTACTCGACAAACTGTCGGAAATCGGTGTCGGAAAGAATCAAGCCCGTCTGAAAGATCTCGCTGGCTAGGGTGGTACCGTAAGGTCTCGGCGTCTTGGACAGGGCCTTGATCATTTCCTCCGAAGTCGCTTGGAAGACGATCTCGGGTCCTCCAACACCGCACGCTTCGAGGTTGATGACGGCTCGGACCGAGTCCTTGAGCGGGTGCTGCGTGATGAACAAGTGCGAAGCGTCTTGAAGCGATTCTTCTCCGCCGTTGAAGACTGCGCGCACACACCACCATCTCATCAGCCTTTCTGCTCCTCTTGCGCAAGAGCCAAAGATCGAGCACTGACGAAAGATAACGCTGTTGCTCAACCTTCTCGGGGTCAAGGCCATGACCCTCAACGCTTCCAACATGGCTGCGACACCAATCAGGTCATCGGCAGCCCCCGGACTCGGCAGCGTCGAATCAGTGTGAGCGTTGACGAGTACGGCATTCTTCTTGGAGGCGGCGGTCCCATCGGAGAGCCGGACGATGACGTTGCCGATGTCGAAGTATTTTTTCCACACCTTTTTGTCCATGAAGTCTGCACAGGCACGACAATTGGGATCAAAGATCAGTTCCGAGCCTAGGGGCAAATTGAGACCGGGGAGTCGAAAATAGCCGAGCCATACTGGGAGCACGTGACTGAACAGCGCGGACTTACCGAACAAATGTTCCCCTGATCCAATTCTAGTGGCGAAATATGATATCAAGCACCGAAATCTCAGCGCGCAGTCTCAGCGCGAAGGAAGGCATGCATGCCTTAGCATGTACATGGCCGGATACAACTCAACTGATGCCACGTTTCAATCTGAACGGGGTGACCTTGCATCCTCGCGACGACATCGTCCCTGATACGATGCACCTCATCCAGGACCCACCGCTCGGTCTCGACCATCTCCTCCGTTCCAACGATCCTGTACCTCGGTTCTCCATCGGGGTGAGTCGCCAAGGCTCGGATGATGTCCATCCCTCTCGTCTCGCTGAACAAAGGTGTCTTGCCATCCGCAGCGAACAACGAAGGGTTCGGTGTCGGCAAGGTGTAGTGCACACGGGTCGACAGGTAGGCCAACGAGACCAGGAGCGGCAAGAGCACCGCTGCAGAGGGGAGGAAGCCCCATCGGCGGTGCTGCAACGGCACTCGCGAAGCCGAGGCTCGAGCGCCAGGGGCCCCGGCCCCGGCGGCGACTGGCTCGGACGACGGATTGTGATCCACTTCGAACTCGGTCCCAAGCTGGGGTCGATGCTTAAGGATCCCCTTGATACTCGGATGTCCGTTGTTCGACATGTGGCGAGGCGCAACCGACGGTGTGGACCGGGCTTGAACGCGTTGAGCAGGAGCTGCGACGGGATGACGAGCAGGAGCAGGCCAAGACGAGACCCATTAACGCTACTTAACGCTCGGCCTGGCGCGTCGGTAAAATCCGGCAAGATCCTAGATTTTGGACCTCGTTTGTCCACCAGTTTTTTTTTGGTGTTTTCGCCCCCAAAAACTCCTCAAAATGTCCAGTCCATCTATACGGGCGCAAGAATAGCTCTAAAAGTGCTTAATACGCGGCGCGCGCGTCAGGCTGGGCTTTCGGGGGTCCTCGGACGAGCGCCGCAGACGATGTCGTCATCTTGTATTTAACAAGTCGTCCACTCTCAGCCTTTCTCCGCGCCGAGCTCCACACCATGGCGGTCAGTTCATCTCCGGTAGACTACAGTACGTACAATACCCTGCTTATCCGGTCAAGATCCAACCTCGCAGGTCTCGGATGATCCACCATGTCAAGTGAGTGCACCCGGGGTGAGGTCGTCGCAGCGGAGTACGTCCTCCCGAGCTAAATGTTAACTTGGTCCACTGTCCAGTCCGAAGCCTGCGCTATCCAAGACTGTCTCATGGCCAAGCACTACCAAGAAACACGATGTCAAGATGTGATTGATCGTGCGTAACCACTAAAGCCTGAACTCGCACCTGCCCTCAGCTATGGACCCGTTCGAAACCCTCTCTCTCTGTGAATGCCTTAGGCCTCTACCAGTGTTGCGACAAGATGATTAAGCAGAACGGCACCTCGACCGCTTGCCCCAAGCCAAGCGTCGTCGACAGGAAACTACGGGAGATCACAGAACGGAAATGAGCGTCCGACGGCCCAGTCCCACTCTCAACAAAGCCCCGTCCCAACTGCTCGAGAGCGGCTCCGGGTCGCTACCGGGAGGTGCCCCACATCCATGGAAGCGGCATGAACATCGGCAGACGTTCGTGGACATGCGATGAAACTACCCGTGGCTTCAAGAAGTGCCACCGGAGACGTCAACATCTTGCTGCACACAACCTCACACAGCACGAGTGCAGGTGTCATCGAGCCTCTGGAGGCGCCTCAAAAAACCAAAAACGTATGAAATAAATAGATTGCACGGACGGGGGTCTTGTCATTAGATAAACTTCATAATATATATAGAGATAAAGAGAGGAAAGGAGACGTCATGCCTGGTATCGAGCGGGGAGAGTTGTGAGGAGAGAAAGATAGGGCACCACACGTTCCGATTCCTAAGTTCCAGGTGTAGAGGAATTAAAAGAGCCGCCCATTTTAGTGTGGGGAGGCGGGAAGATCCAAAAGTGTATCGACAATGAGGGGTATAGACGATTGAAGAAACCGCCCATCAACATTGTACTCCGGGGTACGACGAAGCCTTAACGACCTCCCGACAGGAGCCCCCTGACGCGAAGAATGGTGTGGTCAAGCACCTCTTGCTTGGTCTTGAAGACGAACAGCCCAACCAATGCGATCGAATAGCCGAGCATTTGTGTGAAGGTGACGGTCGAACCCATGAGCAGCACCGAACCACCGACCAAGAGGATGTCCTTGACGACGCCGGACAAGGTCAACACGAGCGAGCTCGCGCACCCGATCAAAAAGACAACGGCGACGTTGAGCGAGAAAGCCGTCATCGCATTGCCGAGTAGGATCGGTGCACCAACTTGGGACAAGGCGTTCTCGAAGGGAGCCCAGCCTTCGAAGAAGGGGATCAATAGCGCGTTCAAGCCGGCGCAGACGGGGGCGAAGAAGTACAAGCTCTGCAGAGGTCCCATCTTGAGGCCGGTAAGGAGCTTTTGGATCGAGACCAGTCGCGCGGCTTCGAACATGATGCCAAGCGTCTGGCAGATGAAACCGCTCAAGACGAAATCGATCTCGCCGAATGAAGCCAACGCGACACCGCTCGAGATGGCGATGACGATCATGAACGTTCGAGGATTCATCTTTTCGAGGCCAGCGACGACCGACAGACCGAGGACGGCCACCGAGGTGAAGGCCTTGAGCATTTGGATGAACGAAACCGAGAGAGTGAGGTAGGCGAGGTTGGAGAAGATGAGTGAAGCCTATATGATCCAGTCCAAGGGGATGTATCAGCAACCGGTTACATGTGACTCTCCATAGTCCGCTCGGGGAGACGTACCGAGAAGAGGGCGCCGATGGGCACGATGTTGCGGAACCAGCGATCCCACGACATTTGCAGCGCATCAATCCCATCGAGGAGATGTGTGAAACGAAGAAGCAGTCGTGTGCCGATGGTTGCGAACACGAGATGCCAGGTGGTGAGGAAGATCGGGCTGTCAAGGTGGGAAACGAGCCAAAGAGGCAGGTACGTCAGTTTTTTTGTCTCGTCTGAGGTACAGGTATGTCAAAAACCACTCACTAACTGTAGGATCAGATCGTGACAATGAGCGAAGCAGATGTACGTCAGGGTCAGCTCGCGAACTCGGTCGGTTTGGCTGGGGGGGGTGGGGGGAGGGGTTCGACATCGCTGAAAGCTGGCCACCCCTCTAGAGTCGACTCACTCGAACTTGAGTGTCCTCAAGATCCATGCATTTTGAATGACTGGTACGGGAGTGAAGTTTTGTGATTAGCGCCAATACCTTGTCACCGACGGGGCGGGGCCCATCGCCGATTGCATTCGCCGGCGAGAGAGGAGGCAAGCCCAGCCAGATGAGGCTGGACGCGGAGTCCGAAGCGAGCCTTCCGACCTCAATTGCGAGTGAGGACGAGAGGACTGTGCGACTTACTGACGCCACTCGAGAGGCAGATCCAGATCATTATGATGTAGCCTGATGGATTACCGGAGGTACAGACGCTGTCAGTTGAGTGTTGCTGCCGGACAAGCACTGTCGGCATACATCCACGTCGATTGTGGGTAGCTTCTGTCGCACCAAGGATCCCCTCGCGCGCTTTTGGGCACCGACAAGATGTCATTGTACCTGCCGAAAAACACGTACCTGGCCAAATCTTGGTCGGTTCAGTCTTGCTGACAACATGCTGAGGCGGGGCCTGCATCGACAGCTTGGATTCGGACATGCCGGTGTCCATCATCGACTTTGACGACATGGGGTCCTGGTGCTCAGTGAACATGGGCAGCTTGATCTCCTTTTGTGACGACATGGTGTGCGAAACGGTGGTGTACTAGCTAAGCTCCTCTTGGGTAGGACAGGGGCTCGATTCGATGGACACGAGAGGGTGTGAACGAGGAGCCGCGGTGACACCGGCGGTCCGATTGAGATGAGCTGCGGAAGGGAGAGGTACTTGCGAGCGACGAGGCTGGCTGAGACAAGTGTCGGGGATCGGTTTCTCGAGCTTCTCGGTCGATTTGAAGGAATCGGAAATCCGTCGAAGTGCTTGTTTGAAGCGCGGGTAGGAACGGGGTCGAGAGCGAACGAAATGGTAGAAAGCAAAAAAAGGAGGGAGGAGTGAGAATATACTCCCGTGGGTGGAGTGAGTGAAGATTACCCGGCGAGCTCGAGCTCCCCAGATCCAACTTGACGGTCTCAATTGCGCCGCTTGGGCTGGCCGCGATCGCACAGGGCGGCTTGACGCACCCGGCCGTGGCTGAAAGAGGAAGGTGTGGCATGTGGCGCGCTGGCTTGCCCGAGTTTTGTCTCACGAGGCCGCCGGTCGGGATCAAGATTGGAGGCCCAGAGCTGGGTCCGAGTGAGCTTTATGAATTGCACCAATTTTTGACATCGATGGACTCTGCGCTTCACGCGCCGCTTAGGTCTGGCAGCAAAGTCAACTTGCAGACAGCCCCTGACGGCGGCGGCCGCGCTCCACACGCCGATCAGACTCCGACCCTCTCTTAAGGATGGCAGACAATACGAGAACGTTTTGTTTCTAATTGACAGAAGACCTATTTGGAAAGGTAAAGGGTGAATGTGAAACAAAGAATGAGAAACTATGCGAGCGAGTAAAAAGCTTAAATCGACAAAAGAGAAAGGCAAAGGCATTTCAGCGTGAGCAGAAATGAGGGGGTAAGAAAAGAGAAAAAGATTGCGATGCTGCAATCGAATCGTGTAGAGGAAACGAGAAGGGGCAAGGTGGAATGTGCAATGTCCATGTGACGTAGAGTCCAAAAACAACGTAAGCAGGAATGAGCGACGAGTCGCGAGTTGTAAGAGCAAGGTAGGGGGATATGGCCGAGCCACGAAAGCTGGGACCGGGCTTGCCAAGGCAAGCACCGCGCAGTTTCAAAGACGGACGTTTATGCCGCAGGCTTGCTTTGCGGTACTTGTCGAGAAGTAGGTTGCGCCTGAGAGGCAGCTGGTCCGCCAGGGTTCTTCTTGACGAGCTTGCCACCGACGGGCCGGGGTTGTCCACCAAAGCCAGGGATCTCGGATTCACCCTCGCCTTCCAACAGCTCGGCCACGACCTCGCCGAACATCTTGCTCGGCAGCTCGACGACGAAGTGGAACAGAACAGAGAGAATGACCGTGACGATGAAGAGGACGAGCCACGACACGCCGAGGACCGAAGACGCGCTCGAGCCGTTGTTGTGCATGCTCAAGGCGAGGTCGGGGACGATCGTATACGTGATTGCGGGCGCGAGGAGGTACATGCCTGCACTGGCCTTGCCAAAGGTGCGCATGACCATGTTGCCAAGGATGTTCTGGGCGAGCCCGGAGGTTTCGATAGCGAAGAGCCAGCACGTCGCAAAGATGGTGTCGCAGAACGTCAACTCGGGATGGTTTTGGACGTTGATCGTCGCCATACCCTTGTTGATGTTGTCGCGCAGGATGGGAACGAATTGCGTTACGCAGGCGATGGCAATCAAGGTCACGTGGAGCGTCAAGCGGCCGGTCGTCGACCACTTGGTGCGGATGCGGTGCAAGTGACCGTGGGCGTGCATGTCGGCAAAGACAAGACCGATGATCGCGATCTGCAGCGGGCGTGTTCGCAGGTGAGCGTCATCATTCACATGCGCAATCGTGAGTTCACATTCAAACTCACTGCAAAGTAGTTGAACGTCGTCCAGGAGAACAGACCGAGCAAGACGTAGATCCAGTAGCGGTTCGACGACAGGTTGCCAAGCATCATGTGCGTGACGTATACGGCATACGAGGACTGGAAGAACCAGGGCGAAGTGAACAAGTTGGCGCCGAAGGTCTTCCCGGCGAGAGTGTTGGACTCGTAAGTCGTGAACTGCATGTCGTGGATGTGTGAAACGTTAGCTATCAAAAGCTATCGATCTGAGAGGGTGGCGGACACAGTGTGGTCTGGAACGCACCAAGTTGAAGACGAGCGTCGCGTAACCGGCGAAGCTTCCGACCAGTCCCCAGTAGGGCTCGTCCATGCCGACCTTGTTGCAGTTGTGTGTTCGCCCACTCGACGAAAGACCCCACTGCAACGCGACGATCGAGCAGACGGGGAGAATGAAACGGAACGGGCGGATCATCATCGCACGCGTCAGACGGGCCCACGAGATGAGGGCACCCTTCGACTTGGAACCAGATGAAGGCGAGGGTACATCCCACAACGGTGTAACGAGGGATCGGCCCGACAAGAGCAGGAGAAACGTGATACCGAGGCCGGTCGAGCTGTTCAGACGGGGGAAGCGCAGGGGTGCGGGGAGCGTCAGCGAACGAGCTTTATTGCTGTAAGGCAATAAACTCACCGAGTGATGTAGAGAGGACTGTTGCGCTGGATGAAGGCGTAGTCGTTCGACGAGATGGTCGCGGAAAAGAAGGTGCCGTTGAGGACGATCCACGCGGCGATGAACTTGATGCCGTCGAGGTAGCCCAGGCGCGGCAGCTTGATGTGACGCTCGTCCTTGCCGCTGTCGGCGAGGGTCGCACCGGACCAAGCACGGTACAGGGCTGTCATACCGGTGGCCTTGAGCGGGCCACGACGGTAAGGAGCAGGGCTGGCGTGGGGTTGCACTGCGGACGCGGGGCCTTGACCGCGCGTGTGGCCCGCGGTCGAAGGGGCGATGTATTCACCCAGCGAGTCGGCGGCGCCAAGACGCATCTTCTCCTCGGAGGGGGTCATGGACCCTGCGAGCGTCGGTGTCGAATCCATGTACATGGCGTTGGAGAGCGGGTGCGCGCTCTGGCCGCCCTGCGCACCGCCGTTGTTCTGGTAGCCGTACGGCGAGAAGCGGGTCGACGGACTGTTGGACCCGGGCGTGGTCGCGTAAGGTGGCCTCGTCGACGGACCGAGCGGGGATGGGTTCGGGGGCAGTTGCTGCTGCGACTGGTAGCGCGGCAGCGAGGGCGTGGACCCACTCGAGGTCGCATAAGGGGAGTAGCCAGGGTGGGCGCCGTGGCTGCCGTTGACGAGGTCCTCGCCCGAGTGCATCGACGAATTCGCGGACGACGAGCGGAACGGGCGCGGCACGGCCATGTTGGGGTCGTCGTGGTTCTGGGTCGCGTACGGCGATTGGCCGTAGGGCATTTGAGGGTAGCTCATAACTGGGGAAGAGGTGAGGTGGCCAGAGTCGAGTGTTGTATGAGGGGTGAATCCGATCGAGGATGCCTGGCCAAAAGGAGCAGGTCGCTCGGCTAACGGGCGGTGGGTTCGCGCTGGTCTCCTCGGTGGTGGCGTGGCTCGCTGCAAGGAAGCGCGTGCGCGGCTAACAGCTGCTGGGTGATGGCGTTCGAGTGCGAAGTCGCGAGTGCTCTGCGATCGGTCGGACGCGGTGCAAGGCGCGATCAAACACTCGGCACAAAGGTCAAGTCAACCGTAGACGAGCAGTAGATCCGGGGTGATCGGGGATACGTGTCGATACCGAGGACGCTTGGAGCTGTAGTGGCCAAGTGCGAGGGCGTTCAGCAGGCGGTGCGGGGCGTCGCGTGAGAGAGGGGAGATCGAATCGAGCGCTCAGGCAATGGGGGGTCGCTCGGGGACCGACGCGGGCGGGTCGAAGGGAGTTGTACGACGTCGAGTCGATGGGGGATCGGACGAGTCGAGGCAGAGAAGGAGGGTCAACCGATACAATCAAGCGTCGTAGACGGTGGGCGGGGTGTGAGGGGACGAGGGTTGAGCCAAGGTGACGAGCGCCCCGGGCAGTGGGCACAGTCAATTCGGTCCAGCCGTCGCCTGTCGTCGCACGTCGAGGCGTCGCTCGTCGGGCGTGTCGCCCGCCAAAACAAGGACTCTCAGGCCGCTCCAATCGCGGTCATCATCGCATCGCGTAATCCCGGGGGTCTCGTTCAGGATACCAGTACTATGTGAGCCGCCGCCGGTGCGTCATCATCCAATTCCGTGCGAGCGAACTAAAACTTCCTGAACCTTTTCTGGAGTAATCGCAGAACCTCAACAGCTTTGAAGATCGCTCTGTTCTCGATCATACCTTTTGCGGAAAACATTATCGGCTGGCAGGAAGCGCCGCCGGCTCGCCCTCGCTCAGGCTGCCAGTGGGGTCGGCGTCGTTCAACTGCAGTGGCACTGTAGTCTGTCGGACTGTGGTCCGCTACCAAGAAGTGGCTCCCACCCGTGTTATCGGCCATGTGCACCTCGGGGATCGCTTCAGAGACCTTGTTGCCGTTGGACCTTGGTGCGGCATGCATTACGAATGGACCGGCCGGCATTTATTAATTCTGAGCTTGTGCTCATGAAGGATCCCTGGTCGATCTCTGGGTTCGCAATGTTCAACTTTCGTGCTTCTCAACCGTTCGTGCACTACTCCCCGTCCTTTTCATCAGTGAACGATTCGAGCCTTTCCCTACTATGGCCTGTGGGCCTGGACCGTCGTCATTTTTTCCCTTTCTCCGGTTGTGTCTTGTAGTTTCCGGAGCGCGCGCATCGAGATGCGCAAGTGGCACCACGGATTGAAAATCGAGTGATTGGTCAAATTCGTGCGCAGTACGCACTCACCGAGATTTCAGCACTCGTACAAGCGAGTGGACGGTCCATCTCGAAGCATCTGGCGGGAGAGTAATACCGAAAACGTGCAAGAAGGCGTAGATACCCCACCTCATACGACATAAACCCCCGTTCTCGAGCGAAGGCGACTCGAGCACGCGGCGGCCGGCGCCAGTTCGAAGAACGTGATCGAAGGCCCGAGTGATTCCACTACATACCTCGTCTTGGAAATAAGAATCTAGTGTCTCTATCACCAGAATTCCGTTCACCAGAAATCAGCATGTTCTCAAACCCTTTCATTCTACCCCGCCGGCCCTGATCACCGAGGAGCTTCGACTCGATCGGAATGATGAACCTCGAGTACGTTGCGAAAACAGTATGCATAAAAATTCCAATAGAACACATAAATGAAAAGCATGCACATCAACATCGTTAGGAAATCCTAAGCGTATCATCAAAAGCCGCCACCCGCTCCCAAGCAGAACGGGCTATGCGTACGTCGGGATTCCTCCTCCACCACCACGTTATCGAGAACTGGGTATACCATTATGAGAAACCGTAAGAGAATCGAGTTCATATTGAGGGTTCGTGTGTACGATCATGAGACAACGCAGCTCGACGATCTCTGGCCATCAAGGTCGCCGTCTTCTCCCGGTCCACTGCCTCTCGTTTCACCTCGCCGCCTCGCATGGATCGCAACTCGAGCCGCCTAAATAACATGAGGCGAAAGCATCAGCCTAAGATCAGGTGAAGAGTTCAACTTGGTATTGACTGGCCTCTTCGAACGCTTCCCTGACGCCACGATCGAACCTCGCCGAACACTCGAGATACCTCGAAGCCCGAATCGACTTGGCCACTTCCAGACCCTGATGGACGCCGATAACTCATGCATTAGTCTCCGCACAGCTTCATCCTAAACTCCTCTTCCTCACCTGTTCGTATTGTACAGGGTATTCTTGATACCGCGCGAGAGATGCCTTGGTTGCAGGATCGTCTCGAAGATCACATTTGAGTGCGACGAGGCAGACCTTGACGCCGGGACAGAGCTCGTGCACCTCTTCGATCCATTTGGTCACCACTACTCATTGGAACATCGTGATCAGCATACTTGAGATCAGCCGCCCAAACGTAAGCGGTACACTGACTTACCATTCTCGAGTGACGTCGGCTGATCGACGGAGAAGCAAATGCAAATAACGTGCGAGTCGGCATACGACAACGACCGCAATCGATCAAAGTCCTCCTGCCCTGCTGTATCCCAAAGCGCCAACTCGACCGGTACATTCTCGATCGTCATGTCTGGTGAAGAGGACGATGGCGAGCGGGGTCAGCCGGTCAATCAAGGTTTTCGGGACTCTCGAGGGAGGACCAACCGACTCACCTTTGACGTGGTTCTCGAAGACGGTTGGCTCGTATCTCTATAAGGTAACAAGGTGATCATTGTACGCCTCGTTAGTGATGGGGATTTGGGCGGCTAGGCGATGCGCCAAGAAATCGAGCTGACCTCGGGGAAATGACCGTGGACAAAGACGTTCAGAAGCGACTGCGAACGAGAGGAGCGCCTCTAGCGGTCAGTACATCTTATCCGAGAGGTCAAGATGATTGAAACACGAAAGCGATTCGGTACTGACAGTCTATTGGGACAGAAATGGAAAGTGAGGCCAACGTTGAACGAGTTATTGAGGCGCGTCAGCTCCTGCAGTGTGGCGGTACGAAAGCCAATAGCGATCCCGAGATGGCTCATACCTTTCCACATGCACCATCTCCAATCACGACCACCTGTAAGGAGCGGTAGACGAATACGTGAGCTTGCGGTCACTCGCCGAAATGGAACCTCTTGCGAAAGTTGATCTCGAGCTGAGAAGAGGGACCCACCTTTCTGGAGAGCTGTGGTATACAGGTGTGACGCGGGGTAGAGAAGTCAGGTGTCAGCTCAAGCATGACCTGAAGCGTGCCGAATGACGACGAGACTCAACGGGTTTGCCGGTCCTTTGTGCCTCTTGCGCCGGTGCTTCCTGATTCCGATGACGTTGTGGCTCGTCGCTCGAGCCGCCAAAGCCGCAGAGGGGTGGCATCGTCTTGATTTTGAAACTGAGGTGGGTGTTTTGAGGCTGCCGAGTGCAAACGTGCCGGGGAAGCACGCAAAGTGCGCTGTGCCGGTGCTTTCGGTGCGGTGCTGTGCCCGTGAAACTGGTCGCGAGGAGAGGAGCGAGTCGCGTGCAAGTGGTCTGCTGGTGGCCTGCCAATCAAGTAAAAGGTAGTGGCAGTTAGTGGAGGTTGGTGGCGGCGTAAGCTCGAAGCCTCCGCCTGTGTAATATTAGCGCGTTCGGCGGAGTTGCCCTCCGAGACTTTGGCGTGGAGGCAAGCGGAAATGATAACTAAAATCTGCTTCTATCATTAAAAAGCTTGTAATTCGAAGGCCGAACCGTCAGAGTCTTTCATGGGTGTGCTACAGCAGCGAGAAAGTGCCAAAATTCACCTTTTGACCCAGGCGTCGCCGGTCGTTGTCTCGCGATTCTTGAAGTTCGAGAAGTTGGCAGCCTCTTTCGCACCACTTGCGTCCAGAAATGAACACGATGGGTCGCTAACATTTCGGCCATTCTTCAAGAAAGTTCCTGTAAGTTGGCAGATCGCCTTTTCTCAACTGGATCCAAAAAGCGATTTTTGCGATTTAGCTGATTCTTTCTGCTCGTCAACTCACAAGAAAAGAAAGCACCTCAAAATGACTCTGAGAACTCGGAGGGCAACTGGGCCAGGCGTGCCGGTCTACGTAAAAAATTATTACTAGAGAATGAGAAGAGAGTTTCGGTTGAGCTTAGTGGCGGCGTGAGCTGAGTACGGGCTAGTACGGGCCGCCTCAGATGATCTCATGTTTCCTCCCCACATTCGACCCGGACCGAGTCGCACGGTCGATATCATCTGCCAAATTCGACACGTGCAAATGGCGCCGAGCTACATCGACTCCAAGGGAAACCTCCACGACAAGGCCCCTTGGCATCATCAAGTCCTCGTCTTTATGCAGGAAGCCTGGCTTGCTTTGTGGCTCTTCTTCTCCACTCTGATCAACGTCAGTCCACACTGAGGCCGCTGTCCGAACGTCTGTTGGCCGAAGCTCTGGAGAGCGCCAGCAGACTGAGTGTCTCGGACGCAGGAGCTGACACCGTCTTACATCTCACATAGCCAACTGCAAGTAGAAGAATCCCTGCAGGGCGCTCGATGCGAGACACGAGGAGACGAATCCGAGACGAACAGCAAGCGAGGAGGCCGTCGTCGGCGAGCTCGAGTTCAGCCCATGCATCGGTACGGGGCGGCACTTCAGGAGGCAACAGTGGCCGAGGAGGAGGAGGAGGAGGACCAACACCTGCGAGAGGAGCTCGGACCATGAGCCATATAGGCAACGGAGGGCCTGGTGAGTTATCGATGCTCCCCGTCGAGTGGACCGGCGAGAGGCCCAGTGCATACACTGACCTCTTCCTTCTCTACAGTCGTGAGCGGATGCCAATCAGGGTCATGTTGTTGAAATCGTTCTTTCACCGTGTCTGAATCAGGATTCCTGTACTTTTCATGTCTTCAGAACGAGCCTCGAGTCGTCTGTGTAGCCGAAAGTTGTACCCGAGTTGCAAACCTTGTCCTTCTACTGTACAACTTGACCAGTGGCCGCGAGCAGAAGCATGGCATTGCCAACAAGAGTTGAGACGGAAACAAATCATTGCATTTCATTTTCATAGCCAGAACCCGGAAACACGAGCAGAGCTAACAGCGCAACACGACAGCACAGCACAGCACGGCACAGCATAGTCAGGAACTACGTGATCACGAGTAGAGGTCATCCTCCTCCTCGGGCTGAGTGAACGCGGCTCCACCAGCTCCTGCGTCCGCACCGGTCGCCTCGGCCGAGTCGGGGAACTTGAACGACGAACCGAACCCTCTCGATTGCTGCAAGTTTTGCGCGAACAGCTCGTAGCGGCGAATGTCCTGGTCGTTGACCGAGCGACGGGCGAACGACATGGCCTCCTCGAAGTGGGCACGCGTGATCTCGGGCACCGGGTCGTCCTCCTCAGCAACGTCCATGGCGGCGTCGGCTTCGGCGGCGGCAGCTTGCTCCTCCTCGGACATTGTCGCGGCCTTGGCCTTGCGTTCGCGGTCGGCCTTCATGTCGGCCTCGATCGAAGCACGGATCGCGAGCTTGGCGGCACGCTGGCAGATCTCGGTCAAATCGGCACCGGAGAAGCCGTGGGTGTTCTTGGCCAAGAAGTTGAGGTCGACATCCTTGGCAATCGGCGAGCGCTTGAGCGCGGCCTTGAGAATCGAAATTCGCGAGGGCTCGTCGGGGAGGGGGATGTAGATGAGCTGATCGAGACGTCCGGGACGGAGGAGCGCCGAGTCGATCTGGTCCGGTCGGTTCGTTGCGCCGATGATGAACACGTTCTTCTTGGCGTTCATGCCGTCCATCTCGGTGAGGATCTGGTTCAACACACGGTCACCGGCACCACCGGCGTCTCCTCCTCCTCCACCACGCGCCTTTGCGATCGAATCCAACTCGTCGAAGAACATAACGACGGGCGCGGCAGCACGAGCCTTGTCGAACACGTCACGGACGTTGGCTTCGGATTCACCGAACCACATTGTCAAAAGCTCGGGACCCTTGATCGAGATGAAGTTGGCCTGGCACTCGTGCGCGATCGCCTTGGCGAGCAAGGTCTTACCCGTCCCAGGGGGACCGTAGAACAAAACACCCTTGGACGGTGACATGCCGTACTTGAGGAACTTTTCGGGGTGCTCGACGGGGTATTGCACGGTCTCTTGCAGCTCGATCTTGACCTTCTCGAGGCCTCCGACATCGTCCCAGGTGACGGTCGGAATCTCGACAACGGTCTCGCGCAACGCCGACGGGTTCGAGGTGCCGAGAGCGAAGCGGAAGTTGTCCATGGTGATACCGAGCGAGTCGAGCACCTCGGCGTCGATCGTGTCCTCTTCGAGGTCGATCAGGTCCATTTTTTCACGGATCTGTTGCATAGCCGCCTCGGAGCAGAGCGACGCCACATCGGAACCGACGTAACCATGTGTGTCGGCAGCGATCTAAAAGGGAGTGGTAAAACAAGCAGATCAGCACACAGCGATGTGGATCATACCTCCCGAGGGTGAGCTCACCTTCTCGAGGTCGACGTCATCAGCGAGCTTCATGTTCTTGGTGTGGATGCGCAAGATCTCCAATCGACCGGTGGCATCGGGGATACCGATGTCAACCTCACGATCGAAGCGACCGAAACGACGGAGAGCGGGGTCGATCGAGTTGGGTCGGTTGGTAGCGGCCATGACGACGATGTTGGACCGTGCCTTCATGCCGTCCATGAGCGTGAGCAATTGGGAGACGACTCGTCGCTCGACTTCACCGTTGGTCTTGTCACGCTTGGGAGCGATCGAGTCGATTTCGTCGATAAAGATGATGGCGGGTGCGTTTTTCTCGGCCTCCTCAAAGGCCTTCCTCAGGTTGCTCTCCGAGTCACCGGCCATCTTGGACATGATCTCGGGACCGTTGATCAGGAAGAAGAAGGCGCCAGTCTCGTTGGCGACCGCACGTGCCATGAGCGTCTTTCCGGTACCGGGCGGTCCGAACATGAGAATACCACGCGGGGGCTTGATACCGATTGACTTGAACAGCTGGGGGTGGCGTAACGGCAACTCGACAAGCTCACGGATCTGGGCCATTTGCTTGCGGCAGCCACCAATGTCGTCGTAGCCGACATCGGCGAGGTTACCCTCCTCATCTTCTCGCTTGATTGGGTCACCCTCGGTGTGGATGACGGTGTCTTGTGCGACGATGCAGTATTCGGCCGGGTCGGTCTCAACGACCTTGAACTCGACACTCCTGTGAGTCGATGTTGCACATCACAGTAAGCGCTTGGTCAGTTTCATATGCCTGAACCCAAACCCAAGACAGGCTTCCGTAAGCTTTAGCACGAACCTTGCGGCACCCTTGGCGAGGAAGGTATCGCCCTTTCGGACGGGTCGGTACGCCTCGAGGAAGTAGGGCTTGAGGAATACGTTGAAGATGTCACCCGTGAGACCTGAGATGGTGCAAGATTGAAGGAGAGGCCGCGTTAGCTCTTGGTCTAAGGTGGTCAATGCGACCAAGAGCGCATGGGGAGGTGGGGAAGGGGGCAGCGACTGACCCTCGATCGAATCGTCGAACGGCAAGACATGGATGCGTTTGCCATACTTGATGTCATGGCAAGCGTGGACCGAGGCGATGTCTCCGAGCTTGACACGGAGGTTGTTGCGTGCGACTGCGGTTGGGAAAGAGCGTGGGCCGCGCAATCAGTTGCCATGCCAACCTCGTGCGTGGTCCTCCTCGAAACTGGGTACGTACCCTTGTTGATGTGGATCTTGCCTTCCTCGACATCGTCAGAGGACAGGACGATGAGGACTGTGGTGCAGATCAGGGAGATTGGGCGACAAGGGTGGGAGCACGGGGCGAGGAGGTAAATGGCATTGTCAGCAATTTGGCACGCACGCAGCCGGACCGGCAAAGTGGGCGCTGGTGTAGCGAGACCCGGCCACGGATGAGACCCGAACCCATCGCTCCAAAGTTGCCCATACTAGATAGTGCTCAGCTTCATACATGGAAGCACGATACCAGTGGTCCTGAAATGACAACAGCCTTTGACTTCTTCGAGCACCTTCCTTTCGGGGCGCCACCTGGCCCGCGCCGATCGGTTCGGGGGTTCGGCCACGTACACGATCGACCGCAGCGAACGGCGAGGTCGAACAAGAGCAGTCAGGGAGTTGATAGGAGGGACTGACCTGTGTCCTTGCGCTTCTTGCCTCGCACAATGATGGTGTCGCCGCGGAAGAGCTGCAGCGTCTCCATCGTTGCCGGGTGGAGCGACGCGACCGAGTTGTCATCCGACGACGATTCATCGACGATCAAACGGTTGGGACTGCAATTCGAACCACGGGCCAGAGGAGCAGTTCATCAAGGTCAGTTGCTGTGATGGGTGCACGAGTCACGCAGCACGCCTCAAGTCACAAGGACCCGAGCCAAGTGGCGGACGCACCTCTTCTTGGGGCGCAGGATCGCGGTTGCCGCGTCATCGGTCTTGATCGCCTTGGAAGGATCGTCAGCCATGATGGACCAAGAGCGAAGGGATTGGGCGATGAAGGGAGGTGGGGGAAATGAGGTTGAGCGTCGACTGGGATTGACACGTTGCGGGGGGGTAACGGGTCAAAGGCGGCGAACAGCGTGAGGACTGAGCTCAAGAGGCCCATCGACCCACGGCGCTGACGACGCTCACAGCGCTCACACGTCAGAGCGCGTCTGCAGCATGCAGCGGCCTGCAGGGCCTGCCAACTGCCTGTGGGCTGGGCAGACCCACGGCCCAGGGTCTCGCCCTGCAGATGTTCAACTTGGTTGGCTCTGACTCGGCCAAGAATTGGCTCCCAAAGAGTTGGAGTCTGGTATCATGAAAATTGCAGACAAAACGTTGAAGGTAACGCCGAGCACAACTGAATCCAGCGCCCACTTGTTGTGAATTTGTATCTTACTACGCCTTTCTACCAATGGCCCATGGGGGGCTACGAGTTGTCAACGAATACCATCAATTGGTCAGTTTCGAAACCGCTTTGAAAAAGAGTGAATGTCATTTCATGTGGTGCTCATCGAATAGAGACCCAGAGACACTGGACAGGGTTGTCTACAGCAAAAGTCCAAGACGCGCCGCTGGAGTGGGGTTGCCGAAAATGCCGAGACAGGGGCTACCCGGAGTTTCTCTTCCGGCAGAATGCAGCCGGCAAATCGGCCTTGTCGCTCCGGGTGGCTTTGACCTCGGTCGGTCAGATCAAGCTATTACTGAACTATGAGAGTCGAATGTCATGTCCGAATGCATCGCTAAAGCCCGCATTCTGCCTGATTTGCTCCCAACGCCGCTCTCAACCTCTCAACGCCGAACGTCCCCGAAATAAAAAAGCTTGGCCTTGGCTACTAACGCCGTCGCCTCGGATCCAAGCCCACATTTGTGCAGCCCACATTTGTGCAGCTCGACAATGAGTTGATGGCAGGCCATATGCGACGTTCCAGCGGTGAGTGGCTTGAAATTACTGACCGGACCCTCCTGCGAGCGCCATGATGTCTCTCGTCATCAACCCTTTTCGATTTCGGGGAGTCCGGTCACTAAAGCACAACTCCCGCTTGTCAGGCTCCAGTCTTCGGTCGGATAGGCTAAGAAGGAGTAGAAGGACTGCCTGAGCCTCTGGCGCGAGTGGTGGCAGCCTCGGTGATAGTAAGCCGGCAGAGGCCGGCAGACGAGTGGAATCGCTTGGCCAAGCGCCACCGTGCGCGGGCCGCGGCGCAGATCGTTTCTGATCCGATATCCTGACTTGGCGACGATACGAGTGCGAGGGTAGCTACATTGGATGTTGGCGACTCCCGGTAGGGATACCATGCAATTCTTTGTCCAGAGAAGAAGGATGGGAGCCCAGGTTCCCCCTCCTCTGGATGTCGTACAGCGGGAAATAGAAAGTGGCCTGCTCCGTTCGGAGCTCCGCGAAGCGGGCCGTTGTACGTCGTCGGCTAAACGTTGGCTGGTTGCGATCTGTACAAGAGCTCCTGGGGCGGGCAGTGACTCACAGAGTACTGAACCGACTTGCTCGTTCGAATTGATCATGGAACCAGTGCTACTGCTTATGCTATGCACCACTCCTGCACGATGATCGCCCATCTTGCAATCGATCTCGTAGGCTGAGTCGTAGCTAGAGTCCGTTGACGATTCCAAACGACGACCTCGGCGCTCGATTGTTTGAAGTTTCGAATCGATGATAAGTGAACGCTGGGGCACCGGGCTCGCGCGAGTCGGCGATCAATTTCTCGTCCGTGCGCTGGGCCCGAGGCTGGCCGAGGTGGATCGTCGCCCCGGCCGGTCGTCTTTGATCTACTCTTCCACCCTCTTTGACTCCGCTCCCATCCGTGTTCCCCCGCACCAGCGCCCCTGCTTTTTTTACCCCTACCTAACCCTCAAATCAAACCACCCCACCCAATACTCTACCATGTCTTCGCAACACTCTGTCGTCAGTGAACCCGAGTTCGAACGTGAGTTGCCCCCCCCCCCCCCCCCCGTCTCCATCCCCCTCGGCGGGTTTTCAAAGGCGCGCGTCGTCCCCCTCCGCGATTGCCGCTGGGCACTTTCCGTCGGTCAGCGTAGTCCGCTGTCCGAGTTGCACCGAGCGCTGACCGTCGATCGACGAACCCTTCCGTTTTCCGACCTTCGCAGAGGCCAAGAACGAGATCTACTCGACCCTCGCCCCCTTGTTCAGGGAACAACCTGAGCTCGAGAACGCTTTCAAAGGTGCGGTTATCGCCATTTGAGCTCAAATCGCTCGTTGCGCTCGCCGTGGCTTATCTTTTGTCCGTTCCGTATCCCCTCGCTGCCCCCAACAGTCCTCGCCATCCCCGAGCGAATCATTCAGGTCAGTCCTTGATCACCCATGCTTACGTTCATCCTGTGCCTGCTCCTCGATCTGACCGTGCTTGCTCTCTACTGTTGCTCAGTTCCGCGTTACCTGGGAAGACGATAAGGTCCCCGCCGCGCCGCTCCCGATCGATTGGCAATCGCGCCTGCTCGCGCGCAATTTGTCGCAGAAACTTACGTCGTGTCCCCTCTCTGTTCGTGCAGGGCGTCTGCCAAGTCAACAATGGCTTCCGTGTCCAGGTGAGCATCCAGAATATACCCTTCGTTGCCGACAAGGCCCACACCACCGATGCGCAGATACTGACGTGAAATTTCCTTCTCCGCGGCCCCGTCCCCCGCGGCTCATCCCTTTCTCGCCTTGCTCTAGTTCTCCTCCGTCCTCGGCCCTTACAAGGTGAGCTTCCTCATTATAGCCCTCCGAACGAAACTGTATACCTATAAACTCATCATATCCCATTCTCGTCTCTTAGGGTGGTCTCCGTCTCCACCCCTCGGTCAACCTCTCCATCTTGAAGTTCCTCGGTTTCGAGCAAATCTTCAAGAACGCCCTGACCGGCCTCCACATGGGTGGTGGTAAGGGTGGATCCGACTTTGACCCCAAGGGCAAGTCGGACGCCGAGATCCGTCGATTCTGCTACGCCTTCATGAAGGAACTTTCGCGCCACATTGGTTAGTCGCCGCTCAGGCCCGGGACAATACGGAAAGTCCGCAGAAAGACTGACTCGTCCCCTCCCCTCCTCCTCTTCACTCAGGTGCTTCCACCGATGTTCCCGCTGGTGACAGTAAGTTTGCATGAATCTGTGCTGTGGTCGAACTCGAGACTAACCAGGACTCTTTGTTAGTTGGTGTTGGTGGACGTGAGGTCGGTTTCCTCTTCGGAGCCTACAAGCAACTCCGAAACGAGTGGACCGGTATCCTCACCGGTAAGTAGCAGTCATGGAGCGCCGTTTCAGCAGTTCCAGTCTGACGGTTCATGCTTTGTGCGGCATTCGGCGCTCTCCAGGCAAGGGCTACGACTTTGGTGGATCCAGGATTCGCCCCGAGGCCACCGGTTACGGCTTGGTCTACTACGTCGCTCACATGATCCAGGAGCTCGAAAAGGCCGACTATACCGGCAAGAAGGTCGCCATCTCGGGTGCCGGTAACGTCGCTCAGGTGAGTAACCGGAACCTCGCTTGCTTCGATTGAGTCGCCCTGCACGGACCTGTACTTACGACGGCTTGTCACTCCTGCCTCCTTCTAGTTTGCTGCGCTCAAGGTCATCGAGCTCGGCGGAATCGTCCTCTCGCTCTCCGACTCCAAGGGTGCTCTCGTCGCGACCGGTTCGACCGGCTTCACGCCCGAGCAGATCCACAAGATCGGCGAGCTCAAGCTCAAGGGCAAGTACTTGACCGACCTCGGACAAGTCGAGGGCTTCAAGTGGGTCGCCGGTGGCCGCCCGTGGACCCACTTCAAGTCGATCGACATCGCCTTGCCCTGCGCTACGCAAAACGAGGTCTCCGGAGACGAGGCCAAGGCGCTCGTCGCCGCCGGTTGCAAGTACGTCGCCGAGGGCTCCAACATGGGTTGCACGCAAGAGGCGATCGACGTCTTCGAGGCCGAGCGCACCAAGAGCAAGACGGGCACATGGTACGGTCCGGGCAAGGCCGCCAACGCCGGTGGTGTCGCCGTTTCGGGACTCGAGATGGCGCAAAACTCGTCGCGCATCCAATGGAGCTCCGAGGAGGTCAACGCCAAGCTCAAGGACATTATGGAGAACTCTTACCAACTGTGCTTCACCACGGGCAAGAAGTACGGCAAGGACGGCGAGACGCCTTCGCTCGTCGCCGGTGCCAACGTCGCCGGTTTCTTGAAGGTCGTCAACGCCGCCAATGCGACCGGTGACTGGTGGTGATCGGGAAGGGTGGCCCGGTGTTGTACAATGTTGTGTTCTTGGCCCTCTCCCGCCCTGTTACTAGAAGCGTCTCTTGATCAATCCTCTGGTCTACTTTCCTCGCATTGAGCCTCTATCTCTCTATTCTGATGGGATCTAGCCCATCGAGGAAGAAGAACTGAAAAGCAAACATGCGCCAAGTTTGCCCTACCTACCGAGTAAACGTGGGAATTCTTCCCCAGAGACGAGTTGCCTCATCCAAGAGTGCTTTTTGAGTAGGGGTAAAGGGGGGCAAGTCGCTGACGGAGGGGTACTACTGCACATTACTCACGATCTCGTTCGGAATGAAATTGTTAGCTAAGGTGTAGGGTTGTATTGACAAGGGTTTTGCAAAAACAGGAGTATCATTGTTGAAGATGGAGAAAGAGCAGAGCGACGAAGTGAAGTGTAGAAGAAAAGGGGACTTAAGAACCTGCAAGAAAGACAAGTGTAAGGGAGAGAAGCGAATGTTTATATGGGGAAGGCAGGAAAGGGGGAGAAAGAAAAAGACAAAAAGACAACGTGCGGAGAAGGCGAGAACGAGACGGTTACGTGGTGCAGTGTATACGAAGGGGGGTCGGAGTAAGGAGTGTTGCATCTGACGAGCATCTAGATGACGTACGGTGGGCGACGAGTGCGCGAAAGAAAAGAAAACGACATCGGTGCTATGATAGCCTCAGAATCGAGAGGAACAACCCCATTCCTTTGCAGTGGACCCTGTGGCCACCGAATCATTCCGAATTGGATGGGCGAAGAGAAGGGTCGGACCTCTGGTCGTGGAAAAAGAAGACTAAAAGTGTCTGTTCGTCATGCTATGCTGCTTGTCCGATTCGTCATCACAGATATCGCATCACCGCGAGCGCTCCGACAGTGAACGCCGTCATCATGATGCCCAACTCGATGAACTCCTGCTTTTGCGCCGCTCCGCCAGTCACGCCGAAGAGCGAGGGGAACGACATGTCGCGACCTCGCGTGGTCGCCGTGATGATGGCGATGATAGTCTGGCCGTCACCGTTGACGGTAGCCGCAGGCGTCGGCGGTTGGGTGTAGTTCAAAGGCGGCGCTCGCTCGTTCGCCCAGAGGAATCGGGTGCCCATGGCGCGGAAGTCGGACGTAAGTTCTCGGGCGACGGCGGTGGCGTTGGTCACTCGGTAATCACGCATGTCCTGCGCTCCGGTGTTGTCGCTTTCGAACTTTTCGTACTCGAACTGCATGATGAGCTTGAGTCGGGGAAACGTGTCGAGGAAGGTGGTGTTGGTGACGCAGTCGCTGAGCCAGCCTTGCTGCAGAGCGGCTTGGGTCGCGCCGTCCGTGTGGTTGGTGTGGTAAGCAGCACCGCATTCGGCGAACATGCAAGCCTTGGTGGGCTTGTTGATGCAGTAGTTGGTGTACCAAGGCGTGATGGTGGTGCGCGTTTGCGGGTTCAGCCCCATGATGACATTATGGCAATAGCCTGGGTTCTGGACCTCGTTCTCTTGTTGCGCCGCATCTTGACCTTTGTAGTAGATGGACAGTCCGATCCAGTCGACAACCTCGTCACCAGGGTAGTAAGGAGCGAACCCGTCGTCTGCGACAGTGATGGCGCCGTCCCCGTTCGTGTCGAGCAAGGCGAAATCAGCAGCCGAGGTGGCAGCGAACGATTGACCGTAAGGGTATCTGAACGAAAGTGAAGGCGGAACTGGGAGTCAGCATACGATGCAAATTTGGCGACGGCGCAGTCACTATTCGTTACCGCCGGTGTCAGGCATAGAACTCACCCCTGAACGGTATTCGGCGCCCACACCATGATCGTGTCGGGTGCGATCGCCTTGACGGCATTGTACATTTGATGCCACGACTGGTTGAACGCGGTGGGTTGCTGGCCGTACTGGTTCCATGTTCCTTGCATTTCGGGTGCGTAGCGCAAGAAGACCGTTCGGTTGTATTTGACTTGGTCTGTGAGAGGTAGGAGGGGCCCAAGCGAGCAAGGGGGTTCACCAGACCACATCAGCGCCCACACCCACCGATACGAGCGCCACACCAAGTCCATGCACGACCTACACTCAAGAATCTGGGACCCCAAGGCAGTGAAGTCACTGGTTGCGACGGCTGCAAACCCGGTGGCCGGATAGACGGTCAAGAAGATGGCAGCGTCGGTGTTGGTTGCCTCGATGAGCTGTGACGGACGAGCACATCAGGAGGGCGTCAGAACGAGTGGAGTCGCAAATCTGGACACGAGAGACTTCTGGCTAACCCTTGCAGGGGCGGGGCCACCGACACCAGTGACATAGTTGAAAGGCGGTAAAGGAATTTCTTGCGCGAGCTGGAAGACGGGCACGTTCTGGCCTAACCGCTGGTTGAACACGTCGGGTGTGTCACTGTAACCTGCAAGCGACGGGCAGTGCGGGTCAAAATGATGTGTCAGTACCTGGGACTGCGGGCACGAATTCCGTTATTCGATGGGCTGTTGGGTGTGATGATCGCAAATCGTCGAGAGGCGGCTCTGTGCGAGCACGGAGTTGTCGGCGCCCGAGTGGCGACGTCAGGCGGAGTGATGATCATCGCCTGAGCCGAGCGAGTCGGCCGTCGGAGCCATTGACGACCGTGACGTCCTCGGGAGCATCGACGACGAGAGCTATCTTCGACCGCGATGAGCCCGGGGATCCGTTTTGTACGATCAAGAACCCTGTCGGCACCTCTGCGTTCCCACACGCCGATGCGACCTTCTCTGCACACCCAGCATTCGGCGCACCCACCCCCGCACGCCTGGGCCGCCCCTGGCCGTACGGAATCACACCTGACACGATCCCTCTTGGCCTTGCCCTGAAGTCGACGGGGGAGGGGGGGAGGCAAAAAAAGGTTACGACTAGCACCCAAGATGTGGATTCACTAACCTGTTGCCGGATCGAACCAAGCACCGAACAAGACCTGATTGCCCGGGGGTTCGTATCGAGCCGCTCGTGTGACCGGTGCCGCGCCCAGTGCGAGCAGCCCGATCGTGAGCGCGCCGAGCAAACGCGTGCGACGGGCGAGTGACGGTGACGGCGACGGCGACGCTGCTGGGCCAACAGCGCAACTTGTCCGACTTGTACTTGTCGACGGTCGACCGCACGACGGCGGAGAGCACGATGAACACGACGAGCGAGTCATGACCGAGTGAACGGGGTGATTGGGTTGGGTGAGACGGAGCGAAGAGGGGCGATGCAACGTGCGGGCGCGCGACAAGCGACGGGGACGGGCGGCGCAAACAAGCGGGCGCAGCAGCGACCTGCAGCGACACTGCAGCGACCTGCAGCGACTCAAGCGAGAGAGCGGCGATTGGGGGACGGAACTCGGAACCAGGCCGAACGCGGTCGACGCGGGTCTAGCACGCCGGTGGGGAGAGAGCAGAGGCGAGGAGGGCGGTGACACGTCCAAAGGTGGGCGTCAATGTCGAAGTCGAGCTAAAGAGAGGAGAGCGTAGGGTGGGAGAAGAGAGAACAGGGACAGGCCTGGAAGCCCGTCGTGACGGATGAATGGGTGTTCTGCGACGCGCGCGAGCATTTGGCACAGATGCTGGGCGCGCGCATGATCATCGTTCCACAACGCCAGGCGCTCAGGCCCAAACTTCGCAGGGCGCTCGGCGAGTCGGCGACCGGACAATGGTGCGATGCTGCTCGAGTCGTAACTCGCTTGTTGGGTCCGGATCCAGGTCCATGTACGACAGCTTAACCATGGCCGGATCATGGCGGGGGGAAATTCTCTCGTAATGCGAACTCTTTATCTGGGGCCTTGCAGCATCGGCGGACACCGATCGATCTGGATCTCGCCGAGGATTTTGCGACAGACCGCGCCCACCAATCACAACCTGATATAGCGTCATGGATTCACGTGATATTCATTCAGATTACAGGAGCTGGAACCCCTACAATTTGCCCTTACCCTGGAGGAGCGTCTCCAACGAAGAAGTCGTTGTCGCTTTCGTCTCCTTGACCAAAGCCGAAACTTGTCGGAACGCGGGATGCGATGAATCGACTGCATCACACGAAGATCAAAAAAGTAAAAATTAGCAGACTGGATGATCCCTACTTGTAAGCACTGACCCATGAGCTGGAACAAGGCACTCTCCGAGGTGGTAATTTGTGCTCCGGAGGCTTGCATTCGCTGTGAGCATGCAACAAGACCATTCGACATCAGTACCGCGATACCTATAATTTTTAGTTTTATACTGTCTCGCAATGTAATGACAATCGAAAGCGAGCCCCGAGACCGAGCACGAAAATCTGAACTCACGGCGAGAGCGACGCCAACTTCACCCTGGTTGCACGACGACACACCATCGGCCAAGATGTGTACGCTGTAGTTGCGCTCAAGGAGATCCAAGCATGTCTGTAGCACACAGACATGGCTCTGACCGTATGTCGTCCCAACGAATCCCGGTCCGAACAACTCAGGTCAGTCAAATCGTTCTTATCCCGGTCACACCGGGCCTGTGCAGAAACTGCTTCGAGGAACCAAACTAACCTCGATACCGAAAATGACGACCGACTTGGTCTTCCACTCCTTCAACTGGGCCTCGACCTCGGGCAACATCATCGAGAACTTTGTCTTGGAGATCGCTCCTCGGTACAACGACTTGGGGAGCTTCTCGAGCGAGAGCGGTACGGTCGCGCCGAGCGCCTTGGGGTTTTGCTCCGTGACGATCACGGGCACTTCGAGTAGAGCGGCGGCCTTGGTCATTTTTGCTGCCGTGTTGATCACACTGTCATACGCATGGCTGAAGGATTGAGGGGGATTGAAACACAACGGTGGTCAGCTGGTCCAAGATCTCCGATCAAAGGACCGATGCCGCGATCGACCGAGACAGTGTGGGGCCGGTCGCCTACATGACAGGTCGGAAGCGCTCTTGCTGTGCGAGTTCGAGAGAAGGAGCCGAGTCAGTCCCAAGCCCATACCATTCAGAGCCAAGAAAGATGTGCACCTACGATATCGCAAACGAAGAACGCCGTCTGGGAACATCGCACGAGTGCCATGGACGATTTGCGGAGATCCGTTTCGGTCAGTTCTGGTCCCGGCCCACTGCCAAGTCCGGGGGTTGAAGGAGATCGTGGGGAGCTCGAGACGCGACAGAAGGCTTACAGCACCGGGTACGAGCTTGACCACTCGGGCAGAGGATCCTGTGAGAGCTTCAAGCATGGTAAACTGGGTGTGGCTTGACGGAGTGGGATTGGAAGCTGATGTAGCCACGAGCCAAGCTTCGAGCGACCGGATTCAGTCGAGGAATCGGCCTTACCGCTTGCCGAATGCGCGCGATCGGGAGCGGGGCCCGGCTTCGGGGTAGATAGTACATTCTCTTGGAGCAAGTGTATCGGCTCCACGTGGGAGTTGTGGGTTTTCATACTGTAAAAACGCTCTTTCTGGCTGGGCTTTCGATTTTCACTCCGGTCAGAGACTGCAATGGCGTGTGCGCTGGAACTGCCGCCCAAGAGTTGATTGCCTCGGGAAACTCGCTTCGGATATTCACCAAAATCAAGGACCACTTACCTGATGGCTCCGTACTTTTCAAGTGGGATTTCACACTTTACTTTCTGAAATCCAGGAGCTCGACCAAGACTTGACTGCACACAAGATCCAAGAGTTTCGGCTGTCTATTGCGGGACAGAGTCGGAAGGGTACTGCCAAAAAAGAAGGGAACGATGACCACGGTCCGGAGTCTACCGGGAATCTATTCGCTGCTTGATGCAATCCCTTTCAAGATGTCCTGATATTGTCGGAGCCTCAACAAGTTGCGTTGCAGTAGGACGATCGTCGCTTTGCCGATTCCGGGGCAGTAGATCGAGGCCTTCGATAAAGTTTCGGGGTTGTACATCAGTGCTTACGACGATGGCAAAATCCTTGATTGGGTGGCAGGTATCACCTTTTCTTTGATGTTGGTTTCAAAGTTTTTGGACTCGGAAAAGTTGACGGCGATGACGCCTTCTTTCAGAGCATCGGTGGAGATCTTGTACGCCGCGCTCGGAACCTATGCCAGCAACGAATCGCATCATACATCATCAGTAAGGTGATATCTCCGCATCGTAAAGACAAATCAGCCCTATCACTGACCCCGGACACGACGACATCAGAAATAGCGAGGCAGTCTTCGAGCTTGAGCGGTGTCGACTGCACGAAATGGCGAGGTTGGAACGAGGGGCGGGGCTTCTCTCCTTCTGCGGCGGGAGCCGACGTTCTCCGTCGGGTGAACTCTTGGATGCCATCGAGATCGACAGAAAAGACTCGTGCACCGTCGTTGGCGAGAAGAGCGGCGAGGGGTCGACCGACGACTTCGGATCTGAAACAAAGACGAGGGCGCATGGATCAGCATAATATTTTCCCGGAGACTGCGTGTGCGAGTGAAAAGTGACGAACCTGTTGATGACGGTGATGGTTTTCCCAAAAGCGCGAGAGCCATAAGGTAGGACGGGATTGTACACTTGACAGTGCTCGAGCGTTTTGACTATCGCCAAAGGGGTACACGGCAGGATAGCCTTGACGAGCTCGGGCTCGGTGGGACCCGATCCTGAGGTTGAAGCAGCGGGGGGTGAGACGACTTGGGCAGCGAGTGCAATCTTGCGAGGATCGATGAATCGCGTGTTATGATAAAGGGAAAAGAGCCTGGTGTAGTGAAGGTCCGGACTGATCAGTTTGGGATCGTCCTCTAGGCCGAGAACAGTAACGTGACCTCGGAGCTAGAGCGAGAGCTCCGAGCTCTGACCATGGAGAAAGAGCCGACAGGCCGGCCAGACATACCATGTAAAGTTGAGCCCCTCGACATCCTTGAGCGGACTAACGGCCTGTTGCAAGTAGCCGTCTTGCCTGGGCCCAAAGATGGGGTAGTAGACCATGATGCCATGCACCTCGTCATCGGCGTTCGCTTCCAAGATGGCTTCCTCGACCTCCCCTTGCTCGGCCACAGCATGGTCCTGGCCTTCCTTGATCGCACCGACTTCTCGCAGTTCATAGTTGATCCCTACTGCCTGGCATGCCTTGGCGGTCCATTCGGCGTAGGCGCGTGACGGCGCATTCGAGTTGGCGAGCAGGCCGACGAGCTTGGGTCGAGGCGACGAGGTCGAGATCGTGGCGATGATGGCCGCACGGAAAGGCTTGGCTACGGATTCTCCCGTCACCGTCGTGCACAGCGTCGTAGGGACTTCGGTCGACATGGTCGTGTTGATAACTGTGGGGAATATCGTTCGCAGTGGAGTGAGGAGTCAAGTCCGCACGCGCCGGACCTCGAACCCGGTCGGGTCTGCGAAGCCCTTTCACTGACGCGCCGCCGCTCAGCCGACGGAACTCCGACGGAGAGCCGGTCCCGGAACCGGACAGTCATGTGACGCAGCCCTCTTGCAAGAATGGGGTGTGTCTGCAGGACTGCACAGTTTTTTCTTCTAGTTTTACCACCTTTTGTAAAGCGGACTGATGGCAAAATCACTGTGCCACAGGATGGAGAAGCCCAAATCACCTTCAAGTGGAATTTCATCCAGAGCCAAACTTCTTCAGCAGCCTATCCTCGACGCCTTCACAGACCCACCTGTACTCGACAATGTCCAAGTTCTCCTTCTCATTCTTCATCAGCTTGTGATAGTCGACGGCAGGTTGCCCCGGCATTGGTGGTGGAGGTGCAGCACCAGCGGCTGGACTTGCCCCCATCCCTCCCATCCCGCCCATCTGCGCCATCATGGCTCCATTCCCATCGGCAGCTGCAATTCATCGACAGAAAGACATCAATTGCCGTTCAGAGCGAACTGTCGCGTGGATCGCGTTGAGGACTGACCGTTCTCCTCGCCCAGGATCAACCGATAGACCGAGCTCAGCCCAAACAAGCACAGGAAATACCACGAAACGGACGAGACCCAGCTGACGTCCATGTCTTGGGTTTCAATTCCTCTTTGAAGCATCGACTTGAAGCGAAGGGTGAGGGGGAATGGTAGTCGAGCTGTGGGTGATGGATGGTGAGGATTTCGGAGAGCATGTGGGGGTGGGACGTCAGCCGGAACCCACGGGTACCCAGTCCTGAACACGCTCAGATGATCGTCACGCACTAAGGACGAATCCTTCGAAGAAGTATCCGATGTAGTACATCAAGATGGTCTGCGAATTATATTCGCATTGTCTTAGTGCCGCGCTCAAGTAGGGCTCTTGAACGAAGCCTGCAACGACCCACCTGAGGCAAGAACCCGACAGCCTGCTTCTTAAGCATATCCAACATCCCATCCATCACTCCCGGATCAGTCAAAGCATTCGCAGGTGGTGGTGCGGCCTCCCCTTCTGCTCTAGGCGGTTCCTTGAGGTAGTAGCCCGACTTGTAGGCCGAAGCGAGGTGGGCTTTGAGAGCGATGAAGGCCGCAGGCGGAAGGAAGGACGAGTTGCTTCGCAAGATCAATCCCCGTGTAAGAGATCGCCTGAGAGATAAAAGAACGATGCCAAGCTTCAGCTCGGGTTGCATGTTGTGGCAGTGGGTGGAGCGAGCCCGACGACGCACTGCTCGCGAATGGCCAGGAGAGGCTGTTGCTTGGGCGGCGAGTTCATGCCCATGGCTACATAGTGGCGAGTCAGACCACTGAGCAGCATGATGGCAGTCAAAGGACCGAGGACCTGTGAGGGCGAAGAGTACATAGGATCCTTGAGTCTATGGCCTCGACGCGAGGGCAGCGACTAGAAGTACGTCTACTACGTACCCAGTCCCGGATGGCTGTAGAGCGTCATAGAGCGTTTGATTAGTCTCGTTATTGCCTTTGCTGTCAGTAGGATTGCGACTGACCCGGATCCAATACCAGGTCTTGCTTCATCTTTTCGACGTTAGGCGCGATCGCGTTTAGATAGGGGGCGAAAGGGCTTCATCGCGGCGCGCAGGCCGGCCTGCCACTATTCTCTCAAGCTTCCTTGAGTCTCGTCGGCACCCCCTCAGAAATATTTTTCTCGCTCAAGATTTTTGGTTCGGTGTTGATGGTAGAGAAAAGACGCACCCAGGAGAGCAGACGTAAAGGTCCGACTCGACTGCAGTGATGACACATTTATCGCCGAGGCTCGAAAACTTTGGCGCCAGGGTTTTGTGTCTCGGATACGAACAAGGAAACATCTCTCGAACATTTTGACTTTTCGTCAGCTCCTCCTGCTGAGAAACCAAAGTCTGGCTTCCATTCCGGATGCCAGGGTCACGCCTGCGGAACTTGGCACTGCCACGCTGAGTACGCCGCGGGCGTCGGCATCCACGAGGGCCAACGAGGGACGGCCAAGCACAAAGCCCGAGCCCAGCAAAACGATTGTGAGCGCCAGAGAGCGCCAGCTGCAGGCGTCTGCTCCAGCCGGCCCGTTCACCTGATCAGTGATCGCCTCCTGCTGCCCTTCGCACGACGACGACGACCTTCCAATTCGCACCTTACAGCCGCTGAAAACAACAAGTCATCCACCATGGCAAGTCATCCCCTTGCGCGCGCCCCTCGAGTGGGAACACGTTGCACCTGCGCGCTGTCCCCACCCCAAGGTCTGACGCGCCGGTCGGCTGGCTGTCGAGTCTCGACGGGCGCGCTGTACGGTGCTCGGCCTGGGCGAGACGACGCGGACCACCTCGACTGACTGGCTCGCAACCCACGCAAACTGCAGGGAAAATCACAATCCAAGTTGTCGCCTGAGGACCTCAAGGACCTGCAAAAGAACACCTATTGTCAGTCGAAGCCTTGCCTCGTCGTACTTCCCTGGTGCTGGCCTGGCAAGAACCGCTCCCCCACGTCGTCATTGGGTCATCCCAAGCTCGCGAGTCCAGCCCGTCCAGCCCGTCCAGCCCGTCCGCGGCGTGCCCCAGGCTCTGTACTCGCCAGATCGGAACGTCGATCAGGCGTTCATGATCCGAGGAGATCGTGCCATTATCATACATCCGGTGCTGACTGCGCGTGCCCCCCCCCCACCTCGCCTTGGACGCGGGCTCCACTTCATGCTTTTGATCTCTACAGTCGACAAGAAGGAGTTGCAGCAATGGTGAGTGCTCCAACGATTCGCACCTAGATCCGAGAGACCGCGCGCTCACTGTTTCTTCGCAAACCCACCATCAGGTACAAGGGCTTCGTCAAGGATTGCCCTTCGGGCGTCCTCAACCAGGACGAGTTTGCGCGTATCTACAAGCAGTTCTTCCCCTTTGGCAACCCCAAGGCGTTCGCCGAGCACGTCTTCAAAGTATTTGGTTAGTTCACATCTCGTCTCTTCGATGAACGCTCGCCAGTAGGGCTGTAGAGGCCGATCTGACCATTTCCCGAACTGGCGCCGGCTGCTTACGAGCAGACAAGAACAACAACGGCACGATCGACTTTCGAGAATTCATCTGTGCTCTCTCCATCACGTCCCGAGGCCAGCTCGACGAAAAGCTCCAATGTAAGCAGACCTGTCTCCTACGCGCCACCCTGGACCCCTCGTCTGACTTTGGCTCTCTCTTTCAATGACTTCAGGGGCATTCCAGTTGTACGACATTAACAGTGATGGTACCATCACGTACGACGAGATGCTCAAGATTGTCACTGCCATTTACGACATGACCGGCGAGAGTGAGTTTCCCTTCACTATCGCACGTCCCACTTTTTTTGTGGCGCAGCTGCTAATGTGTCCGTGCATCGATCTGTCTTTGTAGTGGTCAAGCTGCCGCCTGACGAGGATACCCCTACCAAGGTCAGTTGTCCGCACACCGGTGCAGTACACTTTGCTTGGCTCTCAGAAGGCTGACTCCGATCTGGTCCACAGCGAGTCGACAAAATCTTCCGCCTTATGGATCTCAACCACGACCATCAGGTACGTCTTGTGCGATCGCGATCGAAATGCTCTCGTGCAACACGGTCTGACCCCACCTCACCCACTTGCGCGTGCCACGCAGCTTACATTTGAGGAGTTCAAGGAAGGAAGCAAGAAGGACCCCACAATCGTCCAGGTGAGGCCCGAGTGAACCCTATCTACGCTTGACATCTTGACAGCGCTGACACGACGGTTCGTTTTGATCCCACCGCCAGGCCTTGTCGCTCTATGACGGACTCGTATAAGTGTCGCGCAACCCTCCGCTACGGATTCGCTCCTTCACTCGAGTCCATCTATGTCTTCGTTCCCTCAATTTGTATCCCCCTTTTGGGCGCCGCGTTTGTCCTCTATCTTCGCTTCCTACCCCGTTTCGTAGGAACTCGGAAGTCTGTCGCAGATCCCGCCTTCTGTCATCACTAAAAAGAACTACTTCATCACTCGTTGGCTGCGGCACTGAGTTCTACTCTTGCTGGTGGTTATCGAGGACAACCCGTGGTGTCGACAATCGGTTTTGTCATGATCCCGCGGTACTGTCAAGTCGATACAGCTTCCGGGGTCAGAAACGTCAAGAACAACATGCTCGGCGTACGAGCTTTCAATGACATTGGAAACATACTAACCCCTTGGCAGTCACAGACTGGTAAAGAACTATACTTTGTAAGATGAATATGATAGAACACATGACGTTTGTCAGATAATGACGGACCCCCCCCTTGAGCGAACCAGCGCGTTCTCCTTTCATGGCGCGAAGATGATCTGCCCATCGGAGCACACCGTCCCAGCCGCGACGTTGCCCATGAAGAAACACGTCGGTTGGGTCGACCCTTTCGCAGGAGTCAAGCACAAAGAGAACATCGTCGGAGAGTCGCATCGAAGGTAGGTCGTTTGCGCTGCCGCAGTCGGTGAGGGAGTGGCTGCGGTCTTGGTCGAGTCGCGTTTGATCGACGTGGTCTTCTTTGTTGTCGTCGTCTTCTTCGTTGTGGTTTTCGTAGTCGTTGACGACTTGGTTGTGGGTGTAGCAGTAGTGGTGGAGGCGAACGTGATCGTGGTTCGGGAAGTGCTGGTCGGCGAAGCGTTGGTCGACGAGGCGGTGGAGGTCGTGGTGGTGCTTGAGCTCGTAGTTGTCGTCGTCGAAGAGGAGACGCCGGCGCTCGTCGTGGAGGAAGGACTCGACCCGCCGGAAGGAGCGATGACGACGGTGTTGTCTTGATCAAAAGCGCAGCTGTTCAGCACGGTCGCAGGAGTAGACTTGGTCGAGGTGCCGAGGTATTGCACCGACTTTCCGGGGTTGGGGAAGACGACCTCCTGTCCCTCGGTCGTGGTGCACGTTCCATCGGCGAGCGTGTTGGCTCGGAAAGGAGTGGGACCGGTGTACGAGGTCTGCTGGCTGGGTCCTTGGATATCGACGATGGCGCAGTTCATGTACTCTTCGCGATTGCCGATGAGGTTGAACCACGTCCAAGCGAAGGTCGCCTTCTTCGCCGAAGGGAGGTTAGGGATCGAGATCGTGAATTTAAGCCCGATCGGGCAACCCCCAATGATGGAAGCGATGACCGCGAACGTCTTGCCTTGGTCGTAGGAGACGGAGAACTGGCATGATCCACCACCGTGGACGGCGCTGCCTGCCAATTCGACCGTGTACGACGTTCCCGAGACGAGGGTGTCGACGGAGTTCAGAGTCGAGTACGCGGAGGGGGTGTTGTAGCCTTTGCAGGGGTAGTTGGCTCCGTTGGAGAAGAGAGGTGAGGTCATGCTATAGTCCTTGTTCGCTTCGAGCGTTTGCTGGGTAGGTACACAAACCGGACATTCAAGTCAAGTCAGTCTCTTATTCATCTAAGGGCCACCACGCTTAGTTTCGATACACTTACCGGATCATACTTGGAGTTGATGGCCTGTAGGATCAGAATCAGGTGGGGATATGGGGCCGTGTCAGCAACCCTGTTTCATGGAGAAGGATGATCCTGTAACCCTCGAAAGAGCGAGATGGCTTTTCGAGTCGACCATGTCCAACGGATCCCACTCCCCTCGTCGGAGCGCCGCGCTTGCCGAGGACCCATCTGCCCCGATTCGGCACTGCGCAATTTTATGCCCGACCGAAGGACCAAGAGTTGGTGATGGTAATGGTGGACTCACGTAAGGATGGAGCATCTCGATGTGAGCCAAGGCGGGGGCCAAGTGGTTGAAGAAGGAGACCAGGATGACGAAAAGACCCATCGAGGGTGCGAATTGACGAGGCATGGTGAGTGATGTGGGGTGATGGGGTTTGGGGTTCCGACCGGCGGAGAGAGAGATCCGAGCTTTGCGATGGGAAAGGGGTTGAGCTGGTGGTAGCGACCGGCACCGTGTGTTGTAGAGGTGGAGAGGTGAAAGCGGACTCGGGGGATAAGTTCTACGAAGGCTGTCGATCAACGACGAGCCGAACGAAGAATGGCGAAACTCGAGGGTGGTTCGGAGATGTGAGAGAGACGACGTCAAGCCGGCTTCGGAGACAAAGGGCGAACGGATCGAGGGGAGTGAACGGAACGAAACGGTACGATAGGGAGTGATAGGGAGCAAGTCAAGAGACGGGAGCCAAGTAATCCACAAGATGGTCAACGTCTTGGGGTATACACCAGAGTACACCAGACCCCTCTCCACTTGCAATTTGTCGGAGAAGTCCAAGAGAGCTGAATTGGCGGGAAGGGGCTCCGAGCCATTATTGACACGCGCGCAGCCGACGTCACCCAAGTTGCCAACCCGTCCCAACTGGGAAGCCTGAAGAATGTCGATCCGCTGCTGGATTGGGCTTTGCTGCCGCGCCGCCTCGCGCGCGCGCTTTTTCCGCACGCCCAAGAGTCACGTCGTGGGGCTATGCACAGCTTACAAGCTGTAATTCGAGCGCTACCTATATTGTCTCACTCACCCCAATCGCAATAATCCTTGTCCTTGAATCTACACAGCTTCCCTCATGGCAGATTCGCGCGGAGATTTTCGGCAGGCGAATCGGCGGCAATCTGCCCTGGCTCTCTCGAACCGCCTTGGGCCCAGGATTGCGCATTGCTGAGCAGCACAGGGTTTTCCTCGGCGAGAAACAGCGCAGCCCCCGGTCCATTCTCGGTCCTCTTCTCATGATTTACTGGCATCCCGCTAATTCCTGAATCGGCTCATCACTCAAGAATCTTTTCCGTATCAGTATAACCGGGGGCCTTTCCGTATCAGGATGACGAAGTTACCCTCGGGAAGGTAGCAGTGATAAGCACGGGAAGACGGGGCCTGAAAGTGAACCAGAATGCCGATTCTCGCAAATTGCGAGGAAGGTGAAGAAGAACCGTCTGCCCATTGATCGCCCTGGGTGGGATTCCAGGAAACATGGGGAAGTCTACTTCATGATCGAGTGAGAAGTCATCCCATTTCCCACTCTTGCCTCATTAAGGGTTTGCCGCCGCGGATACCACGACCTTTTTGGCGTTTTCGGCTTCCCTGCGATCACGATCTGCTCGGGCAGCGGCTTCGAGTGGTCGATAAGGTGCCGCCCTGCGAGGTGAGACACCTTTCTCCTCGTCAGTGAATTGCTTCCCCACAAAAGGAAGTTCTCTAGGCCCATAAAGCTGGTGTGGGGAAAACTGACCAAGGGAAGGGTCGATCCTTTGAGAGAACGACCATGCCGTGCGAATGCGAGATGTACCCTTTGATGAAACCCTGATCGAGAAAAACACCAAGGATCGAGATTCGAGAACCGAAATCAGTCTGATAGGCTTGGCATCGGGAAGACTGGGCACTGACCTTGCCGATGAGGTTGGCGAGGATGCACTCCATCTCGTCCGAATCGACGGTCTCGTCCCCTGATCCGGCGATGCAATACCGCCTTAAATCGGCAACGCTCATTCTTGGTGGCTTCCCTTCCAAGATCCATCTGAATGGTGATATTCATAAGATCAGCACAAAGTCATAGGATCGCGAGGGGCAACTTACGCCTTCTTGATGAGATTCCGCACGACGCCTTCCCGCGCGCGCTCGACGACGAGGTACGTCCCCCGTTCCATGAGCCGCTTTTCCGTGTACAGCAGGTGCAGATCGTAGGCTTGTACGTTCCCCGATTTGTACGCCTCGATGAAGGGGCGATAGATCGTCTCCAATCGACCGGCTTTTTTGAGATTCCGTTGGGTAGGCAAGATACCTCGCAGTAGCATGATGGGGATAAGATACGATAGAATTCGTCTGCAGGGAGGTGCATTCGTTCAGTGCATGCTTGTAATACATAACACTACGTGTACGCACTCTATGTTTTTAAAGGCGCGATGATGCACCATACCCAGAGCGTTCGAGAATTGCACCTCGGCCTCGGTATAGTCCTCCCTCAAGAATGCGAGGACACCCATGTAGTATGTGTAGGTGGTTTGGTGTCCCTTGGGTATAGCGGCGAATCCGGTCAATCCGGCGGCGTTGATGCCACGGACGATTGATTTGCACAGATGGGACGATTTGAGCTGTGGAGCGAAATGGGCCGAGTAAGCCTTTACCCTCAGAAAAGGGGCTTCTACGCTGGGCAAAACCGACCCTGAAGTACGTCTTGAAGAGTAGTGTAGCCATGTACCAGGTCCCGGGTTTCTTGGACTCGTTGACACTCCCATTCCTATGCGAGGTCGCGCAGCGCTACGATTAGTTCAGACTATGTGAGGAGGATGGTGCTGATTGTGAGCTTACCGATCGTTCAAGCATGCTGAGAAACACTTTTGCAGTAACCTCGACGTCTCTTCCAGTGCCCGTGGTTTCTGCTTCTGCGCCAGATAGTTGTCGTCGGCCTACAACGTCAAATCTGTTCGGTCAGCCGCGACGACTTCGCGATTCGAATGAGGAGAGGATGGGACTGACGGCTATCGAAAGAAGACGGAGATCGTTGCAAACTTGAAGCAACAAAGGTACGAGTGAGCCTGTCGGTTTCTGTTCCGAGACGAGGTACTTGTACAATACGCTGCGAGGTGGGGAGGAGAAGGAATGAGCTCGGATTGTCGGTCGCAGCTTCAGACGTGTAGAGCCTCTGGAATACCATGGCCGCTCGTAAAGTTGAGTATAGCAGGATGGATGACTGACTTTACGAGCTCGTGTTGTTTCGCACAGGCGGTGATGGAGTCGCCTTCGCTCGGTAGTGGGGGTGCTCCGACCGTCGGATCCGGTCGCAGGTACTGCACCCGAGTGTAAGAGAGGCGGGATGAGCACTCGTGACGATTGCAGCCTGAGAGTACCAGCGAGGAGTAGAGGCGTACGAGTTGGGCAATGACGACCTGTGTATGCAACACCGCCATCTCGGCCCATGGCCCGGGCTTGTTGCGCAACCGTTGCTGATACACCGACGCATAGGTCCATCCATTCGTCTGTGATCCCTACTGATCAGCCGTCTTCTCCAAGTCTTCGACCCCCCCCCCATGTGACTGACATTGGGTAGTCGTTCCGAAGGATGCACGCCGAGGAAGAGGCCGACGACGTGCGCCTCCGAGATGGAGAAGCAGTCCGGCAACGAGCGACCGACGTGACCGGCCAAAGCCATGTCGAGCTGGCTGCAGAACCCTTGTGGGGATAAGACGACCATGTTGCCCAAAAATCGGCGTTGAGGAACGGATCGAGAGGCGAGGATGATGGAGAAGAGGCAAGAGAAGCGCGCGAGGGCTTTCAACGTCCGTACAGGGGAACCTTGGACAATCACATTTGTTTCTTGACCATCGACACCCCACGCTGCTCGGCTTTGGGCTCACACTTTTCTAGCCATGGCCAAGTAAGCTTCCTATACGCCCGACATGTTGTGCACAGTTGGACTCTCCCTCCAAGCAACTGACATCCTTCCTGGCCCCCTATCTTGCCCCACTCACCTCGTTCCGCCCCCTCCGTTCCGTTCCGTTCCCTCAGATCCCCCAGTCCCCGTCGCGTAGCGATAGCTCTCATAATCCATCGTCCCAAAGCTCAAGATAGGCCTCATTTCCTCATCGTCTCATCGCGCAAACACGCCGATCGTTGGGTCCTCCCCAAAGGCGGCATCGAGAGCAGTGGTGGCTCGTCCGAAAGTGGGGTCGAGAGTGCGGAGGAGGCGGCGAGGAGGGAGGCTTGGGAGGAAGGTACTAGGCCTTTTCACAGCGTCTGCATGGCTGTCGAGGTACTTTGCTGACGCTTTTTGGTTTCGTTTTCCGACCCGAATCAGCGGGCTTGATTCAGAACTCTTCCATACACCTTTCCCATCTCGTCGTGCTCCCCGATCAAAAACCTCACAAAGCGTCACCGTCTCAAGACCCTTCCGAGAGCGGCTTTATCCCCTCGACAACGTACTCGTTCGAACTCTTCTCCGTCACGAGTATGGATTCGACTGTTCTGGCAGAGGAATGGCCGGAGAAGCAAGAGAGGAAAAGACGATGGGTTCAAGGGTGGTCGGAGTTGAAGGAGGTGTTGTGTTGGGGAAGACGGGACGATGTGATGCGAGAAGCTTTGGGATTGGCAAAGGCCAAGTTGGGATGAAGGGCATAGAACAGTATATAGGTGCAGATGTTGTTGAAAGAGCAGTTTGGAATTTTGCGATCTTCCAGTGAGATTCACTACTGCAATTCCAGTGGAATCCAGTCGATTTCCAGTCAAAATTCAGTGGAATAGTCGATTTACAGTCAGAATTCAGTGAACCCAGTCGAAATTCAGTCAAAATTCAGTGAGATTCAGACGATTCAGAGCGTTCCAGTGAGGAGCATGTACGAATTCGTGCTAGTTGGTATGCCATTCGGAAAGCTATATTGGAACCCGGGAAGTGGCACTCAAGAGTCAGAGTACTGAGTAAACGTAAAAGAAACACAGATGTACACGAGCAATCGGATTGCACATCACGCTCGAGGCCAGCCCCCATTCCCCCGTCTTGTGCGACCATCTTCAACCATCTTCAACCATTTCCTCAAGATTTCAATCCATCACTCATGCCTCCTCTTCCTCTTCTGTACCATTACTCTGAGCCAACCCACTTGTCGCCGGCATCGGCGGAACGGATGGTCTCGCGGCGTCCGGGTCCGAAGAATCGTCGTCCTCCTCGGCCAACATGGCCTGCGCACGCTTCATCGCCTCGGCTTCGTTGCGATAATGACCTCCACGCTTTTGCGCGAATTGCTTGCGGTGTGCGAGTGCTAATCATGACCAAGAGGACAGGACCATAGATCAGTCCTCGTCGTAGGCAGCAGACGACGAATCACACGGCAAAATCGTTCTCGGACTCACTCTCCTCATCGGCAAGCTCATCGTCATCGTCATCGTCGTCGTCGTCCTCGCCATGTGCACTCGAAGGTCGTTCGACCTTGACCATCTTCTCACTCGACTCGGACCCCCGCCGCGAATTGGACTCGGATCCCCTCCTGGACGAATTGCCGGGAGAAGGCGGGGTCGTATGAACGGGCGACGTGGGATCGTCACCTCCAGCAGCTGCGTCGGCTTGGCCGAGTTCGAAGCCCGGGATCTCTATGGACATTCGCAGTGGGTGTTGGGATCAGTATCGCTGCGCTGAAGCCTGGTGCCCTGGTGCGGGTGTGAGATTTGGTCGAGAATGGTGGAGGTCGAGACGGACTGCCGAGTTGCCCGGCGGGGGGGGGGGGCGCAAAGCATGGCTAGGTAACACTAAGGTATGGTCGATGCACCGCTGGAGCGTTTGATGCTCATGATGCGCCATTGTATCGACCGTCACGTGACCAAAGGGGGCCTCAAGGACGTTGGACTCGTGGACACCTTCAAAGTGGACGACGACCTCCTGTTCGAGTGCTAATCCGTGCGCGCGAACTGCGGAATGTGTTACTGACTGTCGAGGTCCATGACGGTATCGGTTTCGGCATCGTATCGAACGTAAGGTGTTTTGGGTTCCGAGATCTGCGGGGGGGGGGGGGGGGGGGGGAATGCGTGCGCCGGGCGCGGTGTCAGCGCTGTGTTGTTCCCGTGGAGCCCAACTGGGGAACGTCTTCGTGGGGGTCGCCCCCATCGCCGCCGCGGGTCGACATCGTCATCGTCATCGTCATCGTCATCGGCCAGGTTGTGCGGAGGCGCAACAAGGGGACAGCGTGCAGGAGCGATGAGCACACTGACCTTCATCGTCGAGTCCTTTTGTAGTTCGTTCAAGGCCAAGTTGCCCTCGTCCCACACGAGCGCGTTGCCGTTCGACGTCGCCGCGCCGCCGGCCGAATTCGAGTTGGAGTTCTTGAGGATGCCCCTCGCCGGTTGGGACGAGGCGGAGCGGGACGTGCGACGTGGTGCGGGTGACGCAGGTCGGGACGCCGTCTCGGTCGTCGTGGGGCCGTCGATCGCGTAGTCCTCCGACATGGTTGATGCGGGGTAGCTGGGGCTGGAGAGTACGGGGTAAAGGAAAGCTAGCGGCTAATCGAGTACTCGGACGGTCGGGAAGACGATCGAAACTGTAGGAAACTGTCACGCGCTGTCACGCGAGCATCGACAAAGCTGATTACCAAACGCGCGCGCGTCTCGATTAGCACTTGGTCTGGCTACAAACGCGTGCACCAAAAGTTCAAAACGGCGTCATCGGCTTGCGATAAGTGACCTCCACGGAACTGACCCGATACACGCTGGCTGGCCCGAGCACGAGGCTGGTGGCGCCGACCTTTGTCGCCTGGATCCGATGCTTTCGACGGGGCTCAAGTCCAAGCGACGTACACCATCACCGACGACGTCTCCCTCGGCCACCACCACCACCACCACCACCGCCACCACTTCTCCGACCGCACCCTCATCGGGGACAGCAACAGCCAGGGCCACGGCGACCACCTCGTCACCGTCCAACGCAAACGGAGCACGACGCGTCGAGACAGTGTCCAACCGCACCGAGCTCGCCGTCAACGCGGTAGAGGGATCGACAAGCGGTAGTACCTCCGACCACAAAGACTCGGATGCGAGCCTGACCACAACCACGCCTGCCATGGCATCCGCATCCTCCTCTCCTCCACGGACAACGCCGACCGCCACCACCACCACCACCTCGGACATCACATCGACCACAACTCCGCAACCCCTCTCCCCGACGCGCATCGTCGACCTGTCCTCGCCGACGTCTTCCCCCGTGCATAGTGGCACAGCAGCCGTCGTCGCAGCGGTGCAACACTCGGCCGCGACCGCCGCTTCCTCTTCTTCCCCCTCCTCCTCAGCCTCGTCCTCGTCCAACACAGCGTCCCCCTCGTCCCCCTCGTCCCCCCGCACACCATCAGCACGGAGGGTCAAGCTGTACCGGCTCAGGGACGACGCATGGGAGGACCTCGGCACCGGCACCTGCGCCGTCCACTTGGTCGAATCGGCGCCCGTCCTGACCGCCGACGGTACAGAAGCCCACCACTCCATCTCGGTCGAGGATGGCTCTTGGATCATCGTACGCAAGGAGGTGGGCTCGTCGAGTCATGCCGACGAAGGCGAGGTGCTCTTACGGTCCAAAGTGATGCCGTATCCACCGGGCTACCTCTCGGACGACGACGACGACCTCGAAGTCGCTGCCGAGGATGGTAAAGATTCGCCCGAGGGCAAAGTCATCGACGCTGGCGGTTACCAGAGGCAACAGGATACGCTCATCGTATGGACAGAGAGGGAGACGGATCAGGAGATGGCTCTGAGCTTTGCGACCGCTCAAGGGTGTCATGAGATCTGGCAGTTCATCAAAGCCGCAAGGAAATGGAGTCGTGAGTAGAGTCGGGCGTCCGTTATCTGGGTTCGTACTAAATCTCACGTCGAAACCTGCAGTCGAACACCCTTTGACCTCGCCCTCGCCGTCACCTTCGAGGGGATCATCGCCGCACCCCTTCCAGGTCTATGCGCATCAATCGACCGCCAAACTTACCGACCCGACATTGGGGAATCTGCACGAACTGGAACACACGATTCGATCCCTGTCGAGGACCGCAGTCGGGAGGGAACGCACAGCGAGTACGATCGTCAAGAGCGACTTCATTCAAAAGCTCATTCGCGTGCACGAAGAGGCCGAGGATCTCGAGAGTCTGGAGGATTTGCATGCGCTGTGCCGGGTCATGCAAACCATCCGTTAGTCCCCTCAGACCATCGACGGGAGCTTTTCTTTTTCTGACTGCATCCGTCACTACACACACAGTGCTATTGAATGACAACGTCATATTTGAGCTCGTACTGCGTGACGAGGTTATTCTCGGCGTCGTCTCGATTCTCGAGTGTAGGCTCGCTTCATCTGAACTTGACTTTGGCGCGCCAGGAGGTGCTGATTCCCACCTCCCAATTATCACAGACGATCCCGAGTTTCCGACCATGAAGGCCTCTTACCGGGCCCACCTCGCCGATCCATCTCACTTTACCCAGGTCGTCCCAATCCGCTCTCCGGCCTTGCTGGCCAAGATCCACCAAACCCATCGTCTCCATTACCTCAAGGATGTCGTACTCGCGCGAGTCCTGGAGGATTCGACTTTTTCGATGCTCAACTCTGCCATCTACTTCAACGAAGTCGACATCGTCAATGAAATCGCCGGCGATCCTATCTTCCTTAGAAAGCTCTTTGCGCTGTTCGACGAGGAAGAAAAAGACGAGAAGAAGATGGCGACGACACCGACCAAGACCGACAAGGGGAAAGGCCGAGCACTGGACGCGACCCAGCCCATCGGACCTCAACTTCCCTCCTCCATCGCTCTTGCCACCAGCTCGTCCAACGGCGACACCCCGACCGACAAGGATGCCGAGTCCATCTCCTCGCGGGATCGACAACTCGATGCGATTCTCTTCTTGCAACAGTTCGCGACCATGGCCAAGAACCTGCAAATCGCTTTACGCGCGCAATTCTTCCGCTCCCTCGCCGACCGAGGCCTGCTGCGGGTTCTTGAAGTCGCTCTAGCGCGCTCGATTCGAACCGACGAATCCGCACCTCAGTTGCGAGGAGCGACGATCGCGATCCTCATGACGCTTGTCGACCACGATCCCAACAATGTGCGGAGTTATAGTTTGAAGCAACATGCTGCGCGCAAGCGACCGTTGATGGGGTTTTTGATCGATTTATTCTTGAGCGAGGAGGACCTCGGGTTGAAGGCGCAGATGAGTGAGGCGTTAAGAGTATTGGTCGATGCTGGAGGCGAGGGAGGGCCACTCGAGGTGAGTAGTCTCGTGGGATGTAGGCTGGGTTCGCTCTTACTGACTAGGGTATGACCTTGTTTTACAGGCCCCACCGCGTATGCGACCCGAGGACCCCGAGGCGGAAAAGTTTTTGCAATACTTCTACGACCATTGCGCGCAAGCATTGCTCGCGCCGATACTGAAACTTCCCGACTCGGGTTCTGGTACGTCACCGACTTCGATCTCTCGTTCGGTTAACCCGGATCCTCATATTGACAACATCTTCGTCTGCTTTGCACAGTTCCGCTCGAGCTCTCGGTACCTCGAATTGCCTTGTGCTCGCACCTCTGTGACCTCCTCTGCTTCTTCATCGCCCACCACACCTTCCGTTCCAAGTACTTTGTTCTCTCCTCATCGGTCGCGACGAACGTCGCCAAGCTCTTCCAAACGCGCCACAAGCACCTTCGCCTCGCCGCCTTACGTTTCTTCCGCGCGTGCATCCAACGCAACGACGATTTCTATAACCGCTTCTTGATCAAGAACGACCTCTTCCGCCCGATCCTCGACCTCGCCGTGTCGGAACGCGATCGCGACAACCTCCTCGGCTCGGCGTGCCTCGATTTCTTCGAGTTCATCAAGAACGTCAATGCCAAGGGCGTAATCAGTCATATCGTCGAACGGTACGGGGATAAAGTACGTTTGCTCGCTACTACTTTGAAGACGTTCGAATCGGTCGTGATCAAGTACGAACAGAATAAGGAACCGCCACCTGCTGCGTTGACGACGACGTCGACGATGGGCGCACCTTCGCTCGATGGATCGGCGAGGGCGCATGCGCTAGGTTCGTTGGGAGGTGTGTCGATGTCGAGGGAGAACAGTACTGGTTGGGCGGGGAGGATGGATGTCGAAGAGGACGAATCGTATTTCAACGGATCGGACGACGAAGACGAATTCGGTCCTCCAGCACTGAACCCTTCCTCACCGACTTTATCGAAGAAACGACCTGGGGAAGAGGAGGACGAGCAGGCTTCGTCGCCTGAACGACAAAAACGAGCAAAGTTGGAGGCTAAAGCTTCAAGTGCGGCGTTGTTACCTCTGGTTGATTATGGGGAAGATGAGGATGAGCCTTTGACGGATGTAGATGAGGAGGTCTCCAGTGGGGAAGGTGGGTTCATCAAGGATGATCCGCCTGTACCTTCGGCTTCTCAGGCAACCTCGACAACGGACAAGGAAGCTGAGGCCCCAAGGGAAGCCCCAATACCGAGCCCCGAAGCGCCTCCGCCCCCACTGCTCAGTCTCGCCGAGCTGAAGAAGAAGAAGGACGAGGAGGACGATGGCGCGTTGGGCTTCCTCAATAACAAGAAGTCGTCCGCGTCTACCGCAGCTGCTAGAGCCTCGAATGCGACCAATAGGTCTACTAGCAGTGGTGCCGCTGGGGGGATCAAGATTTCTCTGGGAGCGAGTGTCAAGGGGACGTTTTCTCGCCTCGGCGCTGGGTCAGGAGCTTCGTCAAGTACGAACAAGAAAAAGGAATAGTCGTCGGATCTGTCAACAAGAGGAAACAATGGATGAAACGAAAAAGGAACTATTGCAATCGCAGTTGTTGTGCCACAGTATGCAGAGGAACGCGGCTAATTCACTTTTATCGTGCGTGAGAACGGAATGAAACCTTTTAGTCGACCTCAGAGTTTGCCCTGCTGGCGTCAACTCGAGAGAACTTTGTCGTCCAACCATTTTTGCCAGTCTTGGGCGGTGAAGCTGCTGCTGATGGAAGGGTCGATGATGCCGTCCAATGCGACGGTCGGAGTGACGTGCACGCTTTGCAAGCGAGCGAAGCGGATCGCAAGCTTCAGATTCGCGGTGGCTGAGCCCGGATATTAGCTGTGGCGTCAGCAAGATACCTTTGGGAGTGAAGAACGCTCACCTGGGGTTCCACTGTTGCCCTCTCCGACCCTGATCGCATCCCGAAACGCGTCGCGATCGACACCATGCTGAGCCGCCAAGTCGGCAAGTCGATCGCGGGTCGCGTTCGGCGTCTCCTTCGAGCATGGTTCGTCGTAGTAGGCTTTTTGTCCGTCCATGAGGGCGTAGAAGAACGCGCGGAACTTGTCTCCGACCTCGGGGTCACTGTAGGAGGATTTGCCTGATTCGACGAGGACTTTGCTGAAACCAAGGACGGCTTCGTGCACCAACGTCGACGAACTGTGCCTGTGATCACGAACGAGTCGAGCGAGAGCGTACACAAGCGTCAGGCTGACGATCTGGGGCGAAATAGCTGAGGTACAAATGGCCGTATTACCATGGCTGTGGAACTGTGGTGGAGATTGTCTTGGCTTTCAGCGGAGGTCTACTAGACACGTTCTGCGCCCGAACTTGCCTCACCTTGTCGAAGGATAATCTGCAGCGGAAGCTCGCCGGCCTCGATCCTGGGGATGAGATGATCCCTGACGCCCTTGAGTTGTTTCTGAGAGAAGGGGCAGATCAGATCGACTACATCCACATGGCGATCGTGCCGTCGGGGGAAAGAGAGAGATAATCGGCGTCAGCAGCGAGTGATGGCGTGACGGCGATGACGACATGTGGGGGTCAGAGCGGCAGTGGGAATTTCGTACGACCATAGCTGGAGTACACTCACGGTACAGCTCGAGCGTATGAGCCGCACTCGGGCTTCCGATTCGGTGGGTAGCAAATTGGGGTGGTAGAGCCATGGTGGAGTCTGGCAGTGGGCAGGAGTGTTGTGCAGGTTTCAAGCGTTGGAGAGGAGCCCGCGCGGCAGGCACCGTTGCACCGTTAGCTATGTACATAACGGAATAAGTGACATTTCCGCCAATTACATAGCGACGGTTGAGAAAAGGGGGCGTGTCACCCACCGTCTTTGTCTCACCAAGCACGGGTCCGAAAATCGGCTCAACCGCAGAGGTTCCCGTGATGCCTCATTTCCACTCGATGAGGTCAAACGTACTGGTGTTCCTATCGACCCGTACCGAGAAGTGGAGGCGGAGGCTCGATTGACGGATGACGAGGATTGACTGACTCGGACGACCCACCGGCCTGACCTCGATCTCGAGCATGGATCGGCGAGCAACGAGACGATCTCACCCCACCAGTCAACTTGTGTTACTACGCCAGATCGGATGAAGAAGTGGTTATGGGTAGAAAGGTTGTTATATTTGGGTATCACTGTGGCATTGCACGTTATTCAAAGAGTGGTCGTGGCCCCCAAGAGTATGAGGAGTCCTAAAACAATCTTCCCCTTCCCAGGGCCTTCAGACTCATTCTCCAAGCAAGCATTCCACCACATTGCCTTCGGTGCCCTCATGATCAGCTGTAGACAATTGGATAAGGACTTCGAGGACATTGATGGCGTTCCTGAACTGCGTTCGCATACCGCACAAAGTTGGGAGGACGAGTTCGAGTGTTGTGGCCGCTTCAGGGAGATCGAGTGTTGCTGTCTCGCCCATCGACGTCTTCAATTCTATCAACGCCGAGAGGAGCCTGGGATGCATTGGTGTGAGCGCAGAGATCACCTCCACGCCCGAGGCGTCTTTCGGATCGTTGATAGGTGTTGAAAGGGAATGCTGGCCCTCTCGGGTGCTTGTCCACGCGTCCGGGCTGGACCCATCGGATTGCCCCGAAGGGAGCTCCTCAAGGACGACATCCGTAGCCGAGTCCCCGTTTTCCTCTTCTTTCGTCGGCAATTCTTCCGCACCTGCAGAAATAGCTTGTACTTGTGCTCCACTCCCACCCGGAGCGTTCGGAAGCGGTGTCTTGGGTGGTGGAGTGATCCGTCGAGGAGGCCGGCGACGGGACCCAGATTCGGGGGAGCATCCTGCCGAGGTGGGCATCTCTTGCTCGCTTGCACATGTGGAGTCCGCCGAAGAGGTCGCGGGTATGATCAGATTCTCGGGTCGGGGTTTGGTTGTGTGGTCCGTTTTTGAGGTGGGGTCTGAAGCTGCGTCGAGCTTGGACGTCGATTCCGACTCGACAGGGGTCCGGGATGGTGACGTGCTAGAAGCGGAGAGAACGAGGGGGAGCACGCTTGGGAAACCTTGCTTCGTCGACTGACTCGCAGCAGGCGTCTTACTGCTAGTCCGAGGCTTATTGCAGGGAGACGAATCTGCTTTTTGCGACGTTGATTCAACGCCATGTCGAGACTTGCGACTGAAAGGGGACCCGTCCCCTCCCGGCGAGGCGATCGACCCACTTCCCGATCGGCCCTTGATGGGGCTTTCACCCGTGGCGATCGGACCCGTGTCGTCCTCTGGTCGGTGTTTGGGTTCGTATTTGCGCTCAGATGGCTTGTGATTGAGTGAAGAAACCGTATCTTCGATCTTGGGTATGGCGTTTGGCGATATTCTCCGGGCCGTCGAGGTGAATTGTTGACTGCGCGAACGAGTCGGTAAAATGTGAGGCTGGAAATCCCATCCTCTGCGGGGTCCTCGCGGCTTTGTGGGGCTCACCTGGTTGTTCGAGAAGTGGTCGAAGACCCCTCCGATGACGAGGGTGAGATTGGACTCCCTCCCGCCGCCGACGTAGCGATGATACTCCTTCGCCGAGCACCTGGGCTCTTCTCCAGCTCTTCGGCGGTGTAGGACAAGTGTCGAGGAGTGGACGGGTCCGACCTGGGTGGAGAAGCTAGGATCTCTTCTTCTGCTACACCGAGGCTATCGACACGGCTCAGCTCATCCCCCGACACCCACTGGGCCGCTAAGCTGGCATCTTCAGGCATCCCCGCATCCCATTCGCCACTTGAATGGTGTGCACCCGCGGTCGAACGTTTTCCACGTTGGCTCGTCATCATGGGATTGCCTTCCAAAGCGACCTTGAGATCACGGAAGAAGACGCGCGTCGGCGAAGGCGCCGATTCGTGCACGTCTTGGACCTTGTCTGAACTCCCGACGGAGGTGGGTTTGAGTCGGGGTAATTGAAACGGTGATCCAATATGACTCGACCTCCCGGGAGTGTAACACTCCTCGTCGGGGTTTGACGATCTGAGGAAACTCATCAACGATTCCGACCCTGGCGATTCGGCCATTTGCAAAGAGATCTTGCGCGTATCCGGATCGAGCGATCGCGCAAATTCATCGGCAGCCTGGGCTTGTTCCTGCGCTCTGGTCATGCGAGACGTTGAACCCGTCACCACACTCCCCAACGACCCGACCCGACCCGTGCGAAAGAGGGAGCCGGAGGAACGACTAATACGGATGGATTTGCGGAGTGCTGCGGCGATGGACTCACTTGTGCCACCACTGGGTTGGTGAGATGAGATGCCGGCGGATTGCTTGGTCCGAGCGAAGAGCCCACTGCGCTTCTTGACGCGAAAGCTCGAGGTATCGGCCACGGATTCTCGGGAAGGGTTCTGCATCCAGTTCGGTGGTCCCGAGTTGAGGATGTCTGAGAGTAGGCAATGCCACCCTTTAGTTCCGGAGCCGAAAAGGGGACACTATCCGAACCTACCAATGAGGGTCTCCCGCTGGCCCGCCCGTCGCCTGGCCGAACTGTACCCGAACTCGTCCAGGTCATCGTCCAGGTCATCGTCCAATTCCTCCTCCTCATCACTCTCCTGTACCCGCTTGGCAACCGCATCCCTCGCCTTCCACTTGACCCTAGGTGAGGTATTGATCGGAGTTACGGATGAGAATGATTGAGCTGGGGATGAGTAAGAAGAGCTCGTCGCACTGCTTAGGCTCGCGCCGCTGCTGCTGGTGCTTAAGGTCGTCGTGGCGACTGGTGAACCCATGGCGAGAGATGAAGTGGGGACGACGCTTGCAGGATCAGAGTGTCTTGAGTGGATGGGAGGTGGGAGCTTGGTCCATCCGAGGCCGCGTTGCTGTTGGGTGTCAGGGTGAGGGAGGACGAGGGAATTGATCTCGCATTAGCACGCGGAGGTGAGCACAAGGGATTGCCGCGCCTCGAGCCAGAGGCCTGAGCGTCGAGCCCCTCTGCGCCTTGTTCAGCGCCAGTGTCTATCCACAACTCACCGAAGTTTGCGAAGCTAGAGGATTGCCCATCGAGCTACAGAGCCGGAAGGATGGAACAGCCCGTCCCAGGGACCATGAGAGCAAACCTAGCCCAAGAGCGTCACAGCGAGGACAGGTACTACGAGACACCCAAAGCGAGAAAAGGAGACGCCGAGCCGCTCGCGCTCAGCACGCTTGCACAAACCCAGACTGGCCCTGAGTTCACGGCCCGGACCCAGCCACGGTGATGTCGATTTTTTGGGCTTTCATGTGCGTGAGAACACGGATTAAGCGGGGGCCGTGCTCTCGTAAAAGAGATCCCGGCACCTTCGGCTCCGTGTTCGGGTCATCCGTTCCGAGTCACAGTCCCAGTCCCAGTCCCACCAAACTGTCTGGACGCCGCTTCGATCGAAGAGGGCGCGCACAAGTCCGAACAAGGCGAGGCCCTCGCAAGGAAAGGCCTCCGTTTCGCTGCATGCACCCACTTCACACTACTTGCACATTCCATTGCATAGAGCGAGAGACAAACAAGAAAAATAGTCGAACTTTAACCACCGTACCATCAGGTGTAGTAGTCCAAGAACAACAAAGTCCCCGACGCCATGAGCAAAAAGACGAGCAACCATACCCGACTTTCCCTATTACGCTCTTTGGCCTTTTTCAACTGCACGTTTCCGTCATCGATCTTGCCCGTCACGACCATGGCGTCGTCGTACAACTTGTCCGTCAGCTCGCTCTGCGCCGAGAGATGTGTCGCCAATTGGGTTTGCAAGGCCGAAATTTCGAGCAGGGATGATTCGGCATGCTTCAATGAGGCTAGATCGGTTTGAGTCGCTTGCAGGAGCGCGGACTCTTCCCGTTCGAATTGTTGAATTTGGTCCTCGGTCAACATCGTCGAGAGCGGATCGGTCGAATCCTCGGCGATGCCCAACATCGCACCCGCTGATTGGGAGGCCGAGAGGGGCATCGGTGCTGGTCGATAGATTGAAGGCACGCCGGCGGTATGACCTCCCCTTTGCCCTGGCCCTGGTCCATTGTTCCCAAGCTCCTTTCCTTTCCCCTTGATCCGTGTGTTGTACTCGCCCTGGGCCTGATGAGCGAGCTTGACGCCGTACTCATCCATGCCGAGCGCGCCTCCCCCACCTAAGCCGCCGAGCGTCTGCGACTTGGCAAGTTGCCGAGCGACGCGAGCCTCTTGCTGCGAGCGTTGTTGTTCGGATACGCGTGCGAGCAATGTGTTGAGGTAGAGGATAATGTAGGCTCGATGAGACTTGACCGACTCGAGAGTGGCGGTACGGGACGAGGAGGCGGTCGTATCGGTCAATCCGAGCATTCGAACGAGGCCGCCATTGGGGTTCGCCTTGGCTTGATGGGATGCGCGAACTGTGAGAGCGAGAGTTTCTATAAAATGAGTCGTGAATCTCCGGGAAGGAAGCAACACCTTCGAAGATACGCGCGCAGACCGACCCTTCTCGAGCTGTTCGAGCTGCCGTACGCGGTCGACGCTCTTCCTCAGCGCGACCTTGACCCCAAAGTCTATCTCGTCCCTCTCGCGGTCGTTGAGCCACTTGACACCTTCCCATGCCGCAAGCCCTTTGGAGGTGTCGATCGCCCGTGGCGGGTGGTGGGCGTGGTGCGCCGAGCTCGAGGTGGAGCCGAGGTCGAGGTAGGCTCGGCGGATCGAGTGCAGGAACGAGGCGAACGATTTCAGGTTCGAGGCCTAGTGGGGAGGTGGTAGTCAGTATCCACTTGAACGGGAGCCCGTTTGATTGTGTTCATACGCACGACTTGTTCGGCCTGCTTGGCCCAGGCCTCGTCGGCGTGGGGTGATGGCGTGGCACGCGCTGCCTTGCCCTTGGACGATGAAGCCTGCGATGGTGGCGGGTACCGACCGCCAAGGGACCGCACCGCCTCGTGGAACTCGTTCGTTCGATTGATGGCTACGATGGCCATGATGGCGACTCGCCGCGGAGAGTAGGGCTGTGTGTGTGTGTGAGGTTGAGGCTGGGAGCTGGAAGCACACAATTCGTCGTCACGCGTCACAACCGGGCGCGTCAAGCGGCTAATCGCGGCTAATCGCGGCTAATCGCGGCTAATCGCGGCTAATGGGCACCTCTCAATTCCCGATTAGCGGACCTCGGAACGGTAATGCGCAGTCCGCACTTCGCAACCCAGCACGTGAGCACGACGTTCCAAGCGGTGACGTTTACACATTTGGCTCTCATCTCCTTCGTCCGTTGTTTCGTGTCGGCAGTCGAGATGGTGTCGTACTGTAAGCAACGCGACCAGAGCTGAACCTGAATGATCTTCCCGCTAATTCCACACACTTTGAACCCCTTAGACGACGAGCTCGAGATCGAGGACTTTGCCTGGGACGACGCCAAGAAGGTCAGCCCTTCCCCCGCCGTTCGTTCCTGTGGCCAGAACGTCCGAACTTACACGAGCCTTGTGAATGAAGCACAGGTCTTTCACTACCCCTGCCCATGTGGTGACCGCTTCGAAATCACGAGGGTGAGTCCTCGCCACCACGGGGCTACCGTCAGTCGGCCGAGCTCACCATCAATCCCCGCCTTTTACTACAGGCTCAACTATCCACAGGCGAAGACGTAGCAACATGCCCAAGTTGCTCTCTCATCGTTCGAGTCGTTTACGATATGGTACGCCGTGACAGCTTCGGTTACACCCGGGCGCAATTTTTCATGCGCGTTGAAGCTAACCTTGATGCTTCTGTTCGGCAGATGGATTACGAGGATTACAGTGGAGACGAGGAGGTATGAGTAATTGGAGAAGCAGATAAGGTCGCTTCTATCCAAGGACTATGCGTCTAAAAGGAGCGTCAGAGCACTCCTCGGCGACTACACGCGCAAGCCCTTTCCCGGGGATTTCCCCGCGAGTTTGCTCGAACGCAGGCGGATCGCGGGATATCCAGGGTTTTTAGGGATTAGTGTCTCAGGCGGGAGGCTCCCCCGTCTGTAAACCAGGCGCGTGACGACCTGGGAATCCCGTGCAGACCTTTAGGAGTGCAGGTACCAGGCTTTGCTTGCGGTTTCATTCTCGCGTTATCATATACTACATTTATAGCACCACGTTATGCCTTTGAGAGCGTACAGTGAAAGCATCAGAAAGCCTTACAGGATCTATCTCGGCAGGGAGTACCCCCTACTAAAAGCACTATAAAGCACTATAAAACACCCCTTATTCAAATTAGAATCAGGAATGAAAACCGAAAAGGCTGAATTTTGGACCCAATGAAGCAGTCCTGTAGGCCTTCTGGTGTCTAACTCAATTACCTGAGCAAGTACCTAAGGGTTACAGATTGGAAGGGTGCCATTTAGGTGACGTCAGCCCAGCTGCCTCCCGTGTTACCAATTCGAAAATATCCCGGGCTCACCTCGGGTCCACGATCTCGAATCATGTGCACTCCCGCGCTAATCCGCTGTGGATGCTGTCGATTGCGACCTCTGATTAGCCTGAATAATCAAGTCATGGGTTGCGGAGCGGGCTGAAGAGCCCCTGTGCGGGAGAGACGATGGCTGCTCGTGCTCCCGGCCGGCGCGTCTTCATCCCCCGCAATCGTGATTGACGAGTCTCGACGACGGCGAGTGGGTACAGTGGTAGTGTTTCCACCGATTTGTCTTCTGTTGTGGGAAGGGGTTTTGCTCCACTGCACTTGTGCAAAGGGGCCTGTGTCAATCATCGAAGTTGAACGAACAGCCCCGACCCCTATGAACAAAGCCCTGTTCCGCCGAGAGAGGACGTACCTGTCGGTTAGGTTCATCTGAGGAGGTGACTCTAACCGTAGACTCGTTGTTGCCAATTGAGGCAAGAACTTGACGCCGAGACACTGGGGCGGGAATATCTGCGGGACTGGAAAATACGCCACCCGTCATCTGCGGGTTCGAAGTGCAGAGAAGAATCCGGTCATTGGCCGCATGTAAAGGTTTGCTCGCTCTCCGCCAGCCGTACTACTATGATCGGATTCACGGAACTTACCCACTGTTGCTGTATGGGAGTTGCGGAAATGGAGGTGAACACAGCGTGACGAAGAGGGGGGGGGTTGCTGACTCGAAGTCAATGGGTGGTGTGGACGTTTCAAATCGTCAAGGGAGCACCGGCTTTAGCGGCGCCGGGCTTAGGAGTCATTTCGGTTGTAGCGGCGCCGAGTTCCGGAGTCGTTTCAAATGCTCAAGTTGAACGCGGAGTCACACCGCTTTAAGTCACGCGCTTAAGCATTCACCCTGCCGAGTCCTGCGTCTGCTGTGCACCTGACGCGTCGCGTTTTCCAATGAGGTACCTGGCCGGAGATCAACTTGCTTGCGTTTTAAATGTTGGATGTGTAACGATGAATGTTACACCGTCTCAGTATTTTCCTCGGATTACTAGTCATGAAGCCAATCATTCCAGCTTCTTTTCATTTCGTCATACACTCAGATGCAGCAGACAACTTAATGGGCAAAGCCAACGAATCCCCCGTGGCATGTCGTTTTCGTGATCAGGTCATTCACCCAGACCAAAGCGTCTGATCCCCAGCAGCTCATGATCCCCCGCGAGAGCCCGCAAGGGCCTCAGACGAAACCTACCTGGGAACTTCGGGATGAAGCAAATCTGGCCGCAGCTCATCGCCGCGCCTGGGAATCCCGCTCCGGAGGGTTGGGCGTGTAGGCTCGTTTGACGTCAAGCCGTATCACACGACTTTCCGTTTCGACGACCCGAGGTCTACAAGTCGGACATTATTTCAAAACCAGATCAAAAAACTCGAGTCACACACAATTAGGCCGCTTCGAAACGATGAATCCGACGAGCCGATGTTGAACACGTTGGGGAAAACTCGAAGGGGCGCCTGTCGGGCATCCGCCACCCCGCCAAGTCAGTCTTAGGTCGTTCACGACATCCCTTGCTTTTCACATCGTAGAATGATGGTTCATTGCGGGATCATTATGCTGGGAGCTCCAAGGAAGAGGATTAGAGGTTGGCAAAGGTTTCAGAGCAGGGAGGCGGAGACGATTTCCAACCATTTTCTCTCGGTGGCGCACTTTGGTAGCAGCAGACTCGGACTGTTTTCACCTGGAGGCGAACGATTTGATATGTCGATTTTCAACTTTCAGAAGTCACCTTCAAACGAAGTGCCACGTAATGCCCGCTTCATCCCTGAAGTTGCTGGCTCAGACCTCATCGGGTTCTGGCTTTGCCGTGTCGCACGCGACTGGATTGACATCATCGTAAGCGCGTAACTTTAAAGCCCGCGAGCCACTTTGAAGCTTAGCTTCGCAACCACTCCCTCGCAAGCCCTCCAAGCCTCCGCCGAAATCCATCGAGCATGCCGAAGGATACAACTGATGACGTGGCACTGTCTAGAAGGGTGAGTATCAATGCCGCCTGTCTGAGCTCCCTGTCGAAATGAACTGACACGCGTCGACGCGCGTCCCCGACGTGGGATCGTTGCAGAGCCTCAAAGCTGGGGTGTGGTACACTGTTGCCAAGGTGAGTATTCATAGAGATTATATTCATTCACATTCAATAGCCTCATCACGGTCCTCCCACCTCTCTCTGAACCAGCTCGCAGAAGAAGCAGGTCCGTGAACCTTCACTCAGCTCAGCCCTCGCCAATCCTATTCAACGAACCCTGATCCTCTCGGTTCTCGTATGGTTGCTTTCCAGAAATGGACGGTATCAAATGTGCCGTCTCCGAACATTTCGTCGCCGCCTTGACCGAATTCGTCTTCCAAAAAACTCGTCAGTGGCCAAACCTACTCATGTTTTCAGCGGAGAGACAAGTTTTGACCGCTTTTGGAAGGTGGTTTCGAATACGGCCTCTCTAGTATCGTTGGCCAAGGATTTGGAAAGGTTCGCAAAGTGAGTCTCAATCTTGAATCGGAGACTCCGACGGACCGTGAATTGAAGTGACTGACTTTGTCCGGTTGTCGTGAAGTCATGCGGGGCGAACGGCGATCATGATCGATGATGTCAAAGTAAGCTGGACCGTCCTGATTTATCAAACCACCCCATCCCACACTACGGAAGGACTGACCCCCTGTCTTCAATCCCACCTCGCAGCTCGCAGTCCGACACAACGAAGCGCTCGTAAGCTCAATTCGTCCCCTACGGCAAAAGAATATCTTGCCCATCAGACTTGACCCTTCATCCTCCTTGTTCGAGTAGTACGAAGCCATATGCACCGAAGCACTCCAACGGGGACTGGGTTTGAAGGATCTCAAAACGATCGCTCGACCTGTAGCTGCTAGAGGGTCAGTTACCAAACGCACCGCTTCGACCAAACTGGCTTCGACGAGTAAGGCGAAATCGAACGCTGTGGCTCAGACGAAAGGGAGGGTCCCGGCGAAAGCGAAGGTGACGGCGAGTAAGGTTGGGGGCACGAGGAAGGGGAAAGAGAAGGAGAGGTTGAGGGACTCGGATGATGATGAGGGAGAGAGTTTAGGGGAGGAGGATAGTGATGATCCGAGATTGGAGTCGAGGAGGGGGAGCAGTGAGGATGAGGAGGGAGACGAGGATGACGACGATAGTTTGTTGGATAGCGATGATAGTGAGCCGGTTAAGAAGAAGAAGAAGGTGGTCAAGAAGGGCAGTGATGGCGGGAGTACGAAAGGCAAGGGCAAAGCGAAGGCGGTAATGGTCAAGAAGAGGTAGTGGAGGGCCGGGGTTCGGTGAATTTCAGGTTGACTGCGCCTTTCGCTGAAAGGTCTTTCGAGAGAGCGGGAGGAAGATGCGAGAGGATCATGTTGCACGTGCATGTACATACTACGGTTACGAATCAAGTATGCAAAGAGACTGCTACCACTTGCACTATTTCACCCTCCTTCCCCGCCACTTTCCCTCATTTTCTAACCGCCTTCTTCTCCAACCACTGCAAATAACTCAGATAATGATTCTTCTCGATCACCCCTTTGTACAAACCCTTGTCATCCACGACGACGACATACCTTACCCCCAACTTGACGAACAACTCATGCACCAACTCCATCGGGGACCTCAGGGACACGGTGATGGGTGCCATATCGACCAACCAAGAGAAATCGCATCCTGCGGGGGTGGCGACTCGGGATGCCTGAAGCGAGATCCCTTGTCTTGACGCTGACGCGACCCGGAAAGTACAGGGCGTAGTAGGTGAAGAAAACGTGAGACTGGATCGAACCAAACCGAACTCCAGTTCCTTCGAAGCGAGGTAGCCGTACATCCTTTGACCTCCCCCTTCTTCGGAAGCGACGATGGGGAAACCACCGCCTACACCTTGTTCGTACAAGGACGCGAGTTTGGAACGCAGGGAGCCAAAGGTGTTGTCTTCGTCGAGGGAGATGACAGGTGTGTCGGACGCGAGGATGTCGCCCGGAGTGGACTCGTGAATGTATTCGAGCTTGGCTTTGTGGAGAACAAACAGGGGTTAGTTTCTAAGCCTTCGAAGCGATTCGAAATAAAAGAGATGACGCACCATCGAGATAGGGTAGATCGTTGAGTCTGTGATACAGAGCGCGTGAGTTTCAGTGGGGTTCAACGATGATGCTGAATGAAGACACCCGACTCACTCGATCACGAGGTCATAAATACTCCTCGGTTCGATCGCATCGCCGACCGTTTTCGCCACCACGACCCCAAGCATAACGGGGACCGTATCTACAAACACCCCATCACGGCGAATCAGCTTCTAGCTCTCAGCCTTTCAGAAATCCGCACTCCAATCCTCACAAGCTAACGTCGACGTCAATTCGAAACAAATCACCGCCAAACTGACCGTCGTCCTCGTCACTCCCGCCAGCGCCGAAACAGCTCCAATCATGGACCAAACACCCGGTAGAACACACGCTTGGCCGAAGGGGAGAGGTCCCTGTTCGTTCGAGGTTCGACATGCTGCGAATACAGTCCAGGTTGGGTTGTGGGCGTGCAGGACTTCGACGAGCAGGCCGGCGATGCGGCCTGTGCAGGCCCCAACGACGAGGGTGGGAATGAAGATACCGGCCTGCAAGGAGGTTCGACGAAGCGGTGGTCAGCGCAAGCTCGCCTAGCGATCGGGTAAAGGGGTGACACTCACGGGTAATTTGATGCCAAACGTAATGACCGTCAACGCCGCTTTCGCAACCAAAGCGAAGGCTACACTCCCAATCAAAGCCCATGCTTCGCCAGGTACATCCACACACAACGCACTCTTATTCGTTGAATCGATATGACATTCCGAGAACAACTCGGAAATGAATTCCGTGCCTCCCATCTTGGTCCAAGGGTTATAGAAAGCGATGGCGACGGTGATGAGGGTGACCAAAGCGACTTCGATGATGGGATGAGATCTGAGGAAGGTCCCATTGCGGACGCGACGGGTCCACCAGATGTTGGTTTTGCAGAACAAAGCGCCGTAGATGCCTCCAAAAGCCCCGAGGAGGAGAAACCCGATTAATTCGAACGTGTGCCAGTCCTGTGAGTACTTCGATTTTTACAATCAGCCCGGAAGGTTCCTGTCGTTGCAAAGGTAGGAACCACCCACCCTGTCGTAGGTGACCTCAAAAAGAACAGTCTTGCCCGTCCCGAACGGATCCAGCATCTTCAACGAGATCGCCGCGATCATGGCGCACCAAAACGACCTGATCATCGTCCTCGAAGGAAAGAAGTACGACACCTCTTCGAGGGAGAACAACGTGCCTCCTACAGGAGCACCAAAGGAGACCGAGACACCTGCGGCACATGCGGCACTGAGGATTTCGCGTCGTTTACCTTCGTTGCGATCGTACTTGGGGAAGAAACGTGAGGCGATGTTGCCAACCGCTGAAGAGATGTGGACCAAGGGACCTTCTTTACCGAGGGAGAGACCGGACGCAACGCTGAAGGAGAGTCCGACAGCTTTAGTAACGAGCGTCCATGTTCCGAGGTAACCTCGGATGACCATGCCCGAGAGTATAGTCTTGATCTCTGGGATACCTGAACCGGCGGCAAAGTACATGACTTTCCGAGGGCGAGGCGTCGGGAGTTGCAACTTGCCGTCGTCGGCCCTCAATGAGTCTTCTGGGCGGAAGGACACGGAAGGGGAGGGACTCAGGCCTGGGCGAGAAGAGAGCAAGGCGGGGAAGGCGGGTGAAAAGCCCGGGTGGGGTATCGAAGGCGAGTCTTTCGAGGAGTAGACTGAGTCCGAAGCTGTGAGGTAGATGGTCAAAGTCGCAGCGAAGACCGCGAAGAGCACCTGTCATCATACCCAATACTGATCGATTAGCGCACCGATTGCCTGAAATACTTGGGTAAAAACCTTACAGCGATGCAAATAAAGGCGAGGTAAGCGATAGCCTCGGCATAATGCTCGGATCCGCCCTTGTCGACCCAAACCTGTGCCCAGGTGCGCCAGTTCGCGCAGTGATCCTCTACCTCCTTGACTTGTGGAGCTTTCACGACCGACATGAGACTGAAGATGGACCCGGTCCTTCCTCTTCGAGCTACGGGACAGCAGAAGCGTTTCGCGAGCCGTGGGTTGGTCGCGCAGTATCCGTCTTTGAGATCAAAGAGGAGCATCTCGGAGGAGGTGATCATAAAGGCGACCAAGGCGGTGAGGATTCCTGTAGGACCACAGAGGGTCAGTAACATGCAAACGAGGAACAAGTTTAACCAAGTGATCCTCACCGATCACGGTCACCAATATCCAACCCTGGCTTCCGTCCCAGAGATTTACGAGCTGGCCGCGCAGGCCGTCGGTGCGTTTGCGCAGTCGAAGCTTGCGCATCCGATACGAGTGCTTGATCGAGTCCTATGGTGCAGAGGCAAGTCAGAGACGACCCCAAATTGAATCCCTGCGAGTGCAGGACTGACATGAATCCAATCTGATTAAGAGGTCAAAGGTTCGTGTTAGTTGATGACTTTGTGCGGAATTGCGCGTGGGCAACTGACCGATCGTATGAAAGTTGTCTAGAGCACCCAACGGGAAGAGTTTGCCAGGAGGTCAGAGTCTTGCACTAGCGTTTCTCCCAAAGGCACAATTCTGTCCTTACCGTACCTGTGCATCGACGGCCATTCGAAATCAGTTCATGCTCACGACACCAAATTCGAGATAATCACGCACCACTGCCTGATGCCATTCCCCGCCTCACCCTGCAGGTCATGCCTAAACTCGCCATCATACCCCTTCAAACTCGGAGTCCCCTTCCCACTTTTCCTCCTCCTCCCTCCCCTCCAACTAATGCCTTCCTCTGCCTCATCCCCTCTCCCCCAATGTTCCTGATCCGAAAACAAACTCGCGCATTCATCATATTGCTCTCCCTCTGGGTCGGCATTGGGAGAAAGGGCGTCGTTGAAATGTAGACTGAGCGCTTGGGGGTGCCCAGCCGCGCCGGCACCGGAATGGGCCCCACCCGAGATGTAATCCGACACGGCCGCGCTCAACTTGCGCACGTTCTGTATCCCACTCGAACTTGATTTGACGCGGTGCAAGAGGAGAGGGCTTCGTTCGTCTCCAGTCGAACTGGGCGTAGGTGTTGATAGTCCAAATGCGCCGAGAGAGGGAGTCGTGACCGTGGTGTTGAGATGAGGCACCGGGACCCGTGCGGCGGCGGCGGCGGCGGCGGCGGCGCGTGAAGGGGAGCGTGAACGTGACGACGATGACGGAGCTTGATCTATGGCCGTCGATACTGAACGCGTACAGGAGCGAGATCGGGATGCTGAGAAGACACTACTAGTCGACGGGTCCATGATCGAGGCAATCGGTGGCTACGGGTCGGGAAGAAGGCGAAGGACGAGGGTGGCGGACGTGCCGCTGGCGTCGACTGCGAACGGATGATGCTTCAGGTGGGGGAGAAGGAGGACCGAGCACGGGTCGCGCACTGCACCGGGGGGCCGCGGTGGATGACACACGCTTCCCACGTGACCCTTACCACCCAAGATTCACCGAGCAGATGGTCCAATCTCTGGAAAAGACTGCGATTCGGAGGGCGAGGGGAATGAAGGCAAGCGCACCACTAGGACGCGTCAATAGTAGGGCAATGAGTGCGGCGTTTATCGATGGTTGTCGACTCGAGGTGGTCCGAGCTCAAAGTCGACCGCGCCGTGAATCGGTCACAGCCCACAGATCCGCCCAGAACAGGCCCAGACTGGCCCAGATGGCCGCAGCGCGCATCCGTCGTCGCGAGAGAAAGCGGCCACGCTCATACGCACCCACACCCACCACCTCGCCCTGCAAAAAGCACGCTTTCGGGCCCGTCGTAGGTGTCTTCACTCGGTTGACCTTCCCCCCATTCGAGGACATATCCCAGCCCCCCGCGAGTCAAGTCGAACGCAGGAAGCCACCAGCGCCGGAGTAGAGCATCCCGTTTGGGACCGCAAGAGCACGACAGCACCCATCGCGACCAGCAGCGTCCCACGTCGCTCCCGCGCCCGAGTCGGAACACGTCAGGAGGTGCTGCCCAACCCACCGCACCGTCCGACGTCACCCCAACCCCGACCCTCGTCGTCCCTGCCTCTCCACCCTAGTCACCCACGATGAACATCTTTCGACTGCTCGGCGACCTGTCGCACTTGGCCTCGATCCTGATCCTCGTGCACAAGATCACAAAGTCGAGGTCCTGTCGCGGCATCTCGTTCAAGACCCAGTTGTCTTACTTGCTCGTCTTTCTCACCCGGTTGGTCTACCCACAGCACACGGTGTTGTCGTGTTTCTTCGCTGACACGGGGGTTTCTTTCTCTGCTCTGATTCTACGTCGTCATTCGGACGATCTCGTCACGCCCTCGTGCCTTTGCCGAATCCACCGCGCCAAACTCTTCTCTCCACCACTTGTCGCTCCACGCACACACGCACACGCACACGCACACCTCATACCCACCTTCAATTCTCCCCTCCCCAACCAACGAACAGCTATGTCGACCTCGTGACTGGCCCCCATATCTCGCTCTACAACACGGTGATGAAGATCTTCTTCATCGGTTCGGCCGCCTACGTCATCTTCCTCATGAAGATCAAGTACAAGTCAGTCCGGGTTCGAGTTACGACGGGGATGGGCATAGGGAGGAATGCTGAATCATCTTTGGTACATGATCGTTCCCTCCCAGGCCGACCCAGGACCCCGCACTGGATACTTTGCGTCTCGAGTACCTCTTGGGCCCTTGTACCGTATTGGCCATGATCTTCAACTACCGATTGTGAGTAGCTTACATTACGTCTCCCCCTCATTGCAAAAGCTCACATACCTCCCTTCTCCTTCCTTTTCCCCCCAGCACCCCCTCCGAGCTCCTTTGGTCGTTCTCCATCTACCTCGAAGCCGTCGCGATCCTCCCGCAACTCTTCATGCTGCAACGTACGGGGGAAGCCGAAACGATCACGACGCATTACCTCTTCGCGCTCGGCGCCTACCGAGCGCTCTACGTCCCGAATTGGATCTATAGGTATTTCACGGAGGATACGGTAGATCCGATCGCGATCGTCGCCGGCTTGGTGCAGACCGCTTTGTTTTCGGATTTCTTTTATATTTACTTTACCAAAGTGATGAGGGGGCAAAAGTTCGAGTTGCCTGCGTAGGCATCCTCCAAAGAGGGGAGGGGAGGGAAGAGGAGGGAAGGGGAAGGGGAAGGGGAAGGGGAAGGGGAAGGGGAAGAGGAGGCCGGCAAGCTTTTCTTGTTTTTAGAGGAGGAAGAAGCAGCGTGGCGGGTCCGGAGAGGATACGAAAGACGAAAGACGAAAGAATGGCGCGCGGGAGGGTTACGAATCCCTTGATGAAACGTACAGTGCAATCCTATTGGTCTCTCTCTCTCTCTTCTTTTGACTTTCATTTACAACGTCACAAGACAAGCAAGGGGGGTTAAATGCTTGGTATCAGAGAGGGAGAGATGTTTTACAGGCGCAAGAGGAAGCCAATCTGTACACAGTTACGACTGATTCCTGAAAAGAGGCTCTAAGTGGCGGGTCTATTGCATTTCGAGTGACATGCCATCGTTGATCTGGTCAGGATGACCAGGAAGGGGAACGGTGTCAGCGGTGAGGAGGAAGGGTCTGCAGCCGGGAATGGAGACCGACCTCGTAATCGGCCAGTGTGATGCTATGAAACGCGTCATGGGTACGTCAGTTTCAAATATCATGTATTCCATCGTAGACAAGATATGACTCAACTGGTCCTTGTAAATGGTGTACCTGTGATTGGGTCAGAATCAGCTACAGACTGCTCGTTTCGGAACGAGTGCGATCTCCTAGGCTCACCATTTCTTGAGCACGATTTTTTCACTGAGGGGAAGAGGTGTGATCAATATGTGCTGGGCGATGAAATGCTCGTGATTGTAGAGCGTACGCACGCTTTTGTTCCGGTTTGTGCGGCGATGAGTTTTTTGAGATCGCCGACGGTATCCTCCGAGCTGGAAAGGGTGGACGGAAAGAGTGGGGAAAGGGCAGGATCAGAGAGTCTATCCAGTCGAGAGCGATTAGTTTCGTGTTGAGATGGGCTCACTCGCACTTGACGCGAACTAGATATCGGTTCGTTATCGTCGTTAAGAGGATGTAATAGCAAGGAAGGACGGAGAGGAGCGCCGGTCAGCGCATGATGTCAAGTCGAGTCGAGTACACGCTCGTTGTAGCTCGCATACCCTTTTGACCGAGTCGATCGTTGGCGATGATTTCGATCAGTGCCACTGGAAGTCGGTTGGAGGAGCATAGAATAAGAGGGCATGGTCATGAACGAGGTGGAGGTGGGAGGTGGTGTGGATGGCGGATGGCGGACGGAGAGGGACGAAGGGTCAGCTCAGAGGAACTGGGAAGCAGCTCAGAGGATGATACTGACTGTTTGAGAGTGGTTGATGGCGATTTCTGCGCGTGTTCGTCCAGGGAAGCGGAGTGGGGTCAGGCTCGAGTCCAAAGCTAGCGCCTGGTCGCGCGGTGGCAAATCAGCGCTAATCAGCGATTAATCAGCGATTAATCCGCTACTAGACTCGGCTGGAATCAGCTTGCCGCGACAGGCGCGCGGTGGGCGTCGCAGCCGGCTCCGCTCGCACAGGCCGCCTCTCCTCTGCCTCACGCCTCCTGCCTCACGCCCTCACGACCCGCTGCCCCGGCGCATTCAACCCCGCGTTCGACCACACACAGCCACCACTTGCACCTACCAGACCTTCACTCGTCCACCCCTCTTCACCTGCTCGCTACCCACCCGTCCGCTCTTGCACTCCACCCTCCGTCGTCCGTCTGTGGTCATCGCCCGTCATCCGACCCCGCGTAGTCAGCGATGGTGTACCAGCCAGAGATCGTCCCTTCGAGCCAGCAAGGACAGGCATTGCAGGCGCGTACAGCACCGGTCACTGGTCCATGCACCCCGTCGTCCCCTCACCCCCTCACCCCCACTGACTCTCCCACTCTCCCACCACACAGGCCGCGATCCAAAAGCAGTTGGCCTTCCTCGGCTGGAGCACCGAGGATGATACCGTCATGGCGCAAGTCGCACCTCAACTCACTTAGTCCTGTGTTCGCCTTTTGGAACTAAACCCCCTTCCTTCTCACACAGTGAATACTGCTTGGTCATGCTCGGTAACCGCAAGACCGCAGGTCAGTCCACCCCTCGGTCGTCATCGTGACCCCACGCTCACGCTCACTCGAACCCACTCCCACACCCGCAACAGCCCAAATCTCGACCGAACTGTCCGACCTGATCGGGTCCGACTTTGACGAGTCCTTTGTCAGCTGGCTCTTTGCCGAACTCAAGTCCCACTACCCGGACCCGGCTTCCAATCCCGAAGCGGCTACCCCCGCCGCCTCCGCTGCTCCTCCTACCCCTGGCGCCGCGATTCCCCCTTCGTCAGCGAACCCCTCCGCCGGCTCGGACTCGTCTCGACCTGCCGTCGGCATCCGTGGCCATGCCTCGATCCCCGCTCGCCCTGGAGCTGTCTTTGGCCACGCCGTATCGGGCATCAAGCGAGACTCGCGTGACATGGACGGAGGCGTACCCTCCGGACCTAGGGACGTGCAGCGACCTCGCTTCGATCATACCGGCGTCCCATCCGGACCGAGGAATCCCAATGGACCTGGAGCGGGAGGTCGAGGTGGTCGCATGAACGGAGCAGGAAATGGTGCAGGCTCGTTGATGAACCGCATGGGCCCGAGTCAGGCGAGAAACAACCCGATGCCACCTCAGAACGCCATGGGTATGCCCCCGCAGGCTTTCGAAGCAGTAAGCCCCTCGTTTCGCTCGTTCAATGGTGACGGGGTTACTTACCCACTTTGGTTTTATGCAGATTGCTCAAACGATCGAGGCCGTCAAGCGAGGCGCTCACCCTTCGGCCCTCGCCGCGATCCCTTACCCCGCCCTTGCCTCGCACCCTCTGGCCGCGACACTACCACCCCAGATCATGGCCCAAGCGCAAGCTCACGCCATTGCTCAGGCTCAGGCTTTCGCGGCCATGTCGAACGCTTGGAACGTTGCTCCCAACGCGGGCCCAGCAGCAACAGGAGGCTTCAATCCGGCCGCAGCTCCTTTCCACCCTGGAGCCGCTGGATTCGGTGCTCCTCCGCCTGCCCAACAACAACACCGCCCCCGCCACCCCGCCCAGCCTCCTGTGCCAAAGCAGATCGCCGTCGTGCTGCCGAGCAAACCGAGCGAAGAGGCCATCTGCAAGCATGGCGTCGATTGCTCCAAGCCGCAATGCCCTTACTCGCACCCTAGCCCCGTCGCGACCAAGGAATCGGGTCTGGTTCTTTCGAGCGAGGCGTGTGAGAAGCAAGTTGCTTGTGCTGATCCCGTAAGTTTACGTGAATGCCTCATACCTCGGGAAGCCACACGCAAACTGAACCCCATCCACCGCTCCGCAGGACTGCCCGAAATCGCACGTCTCGCCCGCGCAAAAGACCTCGCCGCCTACGAACACCTCGACGAACTTTGCCGGTCAAACGACCTTCATCCCCACCCCCGCACCTCAGGTCGCGCCCGTCCTCCCTTCCTCCGAAGCTTCATCGACCCTTGCCGGCGCAGGGGAGAAACCGTGCAAGTTCGCGGGAAGTTGTACCCGCCCTGGATGCGTGTTTGTTCATCCTTGGGATAACCCTTCGACTGGAGGTTCTATGCCCTGTAGGTATGGACTGGGCTGTACGAGAGCGGATTGTCATTTCTCGCATCCGCCTGGGAGGAGGATCGGCGGAGGGGGTGCAGCAGGTGCAGGAGCGAAGAGGAACGTTTCGGCTACTTTCTCGAACAAGACGTTGGGGAAACCGAGCGCGACGACGAAGAAAGAGGGTGGGATTGGCGCTTGGCCCACGGAGGACAAGGAACATATCTCGGAGAGGTTGAAGAGGTTCGCTGGAGGGGAGGCACAGTCGAATGGAACGACGACGACGACGAATGGTGAAGGGGTGAAGAGTGAAGAGGAGGGGAAGACAGAGACGATCATCCCTGGTCAGACGAGTCAGGAACAACAGGATCAGGTCGAGATCAAGGGCTTGGAAGCGGAACCTCAACAAGCCAAGGTTGAGTAACTTTGAGCTGGCACCCCCGCAACACATGAACAGCCGTACATATGGAAAGCGTCTTCGACAACAAAAACCCGTCTTCTCAATCTACCGTCTTGCTTTGTTCTTTTTTTGTGCTTTACATTCCTGCGACGTTTCTCGTCTCTCTCTTTGGTCACTGGGTGCGCCATCGTGTGAAATAGTAGAATCGGTCCGACAAAAAGGGGGGGGGGTCCTTCTCTCTTAATCCCGTTCTGGGGTTGGAGCATAAGGACACCCCACTCAACATTTTTTCTCTTTCTGGTTGCGAATGTATCGTGAGAGCTTGTGTGTATGTGTGACTTGAGATTTGTGATTGAATTGCAGATCTTGCAGATCTTGGGGAGACAAGGGTTCTAGTAATGACTGCCGAGCTTGCGGGCTTCCATCATGCCTTGTTTCCTCGACGCCAACCGCATGGCTTCGATCGCTTGCCTTAAAAAACCCCGATATATCAGTGCCAGATCTCTTCGAGCAGCTCATTTCCTCGATCGTACTTACCTCTTGACCTTCCTCTGCAATCCATCCTTACCGGCCATCCCCAACACCCCAGCGATCAACTCGATCGTCCTAGGGGAATCATCATTCGCCGGAATCGAATACGTCACCAACCTCGGGTCCAAATCCGTATCCATGATCCCGATCGTCGGGATCTCATTCGACGTCGCTTCCCTCAACGCATGCTCGTTCAACGTAGGGGAGAGCAGGATCATGAGATCGGGTTTGAAACTCGTCGGAGTCGGTTTCGTAGGCGCTTTCTCACGTTTATCTCGACCGCCTCCGTAGGATGGGGTGGGGGGAACGGTGAAAGGGATTTCGGAATGTTTGAACACCTCTCGAGCGTTCGAGATCGTACCCGGCAACCATTTCGTCACCGCGTACCCATTCGGACCCAACCTCTGCGCGTTCGTCCAAAGCGTTTTTTCGGTCCCCTTCAAACTCCCGACGAAGACGACGATGCCGTCCCTTTCGACGACGCCACGTACGACTTGGGCCGCTCGACGGAGCGCGGGTAGGGTTTGACGTAGGTCGATGTAGGAGATCCCGGTGCGGGTTCCGTAGATGGAAGGGATCGCGGCCCGGTGCGTGAGCGCGGTCGAGTGGCCTAGGTGCGCACCCGAGGCGATGAGGTGAGAGATCGTGGTACTTGGAGAGGTTGGGGGACGAGGGAGGTTATGGTGCGGTCGGTATTGCGAGGTGGCGTCTTGGGTTGATCCGAGGTGGGTCATTTGGGCGTCTGCAGTGTGGAGGAGAGGGAGGTCAGGGATGGAAGGAAGAGGGACAGGAAAGGGGGATGGGCTCTCGTACTGACCCGTGTATCGACGTGCCCTTCGTTCGGATACTTTGGTCATCATTTCGGACCATGATTGTTGGGCCTGCTTTTGACGAGAGGTCAGGACGGGTTGGGCGGGGGAGGAAGGAGTGGAAGAAGCATCGGTCGAGCTCGACGACGACGGCGAGGAAGTCGAGGTGGAAACGGCTCTTGTCAGGTTGAGGGACGAAGAAGTCGACGCGGGGAGGCTACGGATGCATTTCGACAACGACATGATGGTCTGGTCTCGAGACGAGCCGAGGCGAGCTTCCGAGGAGCTGTATCGGAGAGGACGAGGAGTCGTGTGGGAAATTAATTGTTCGAGACGTTGCGGAGCGAGCCGCGTTCCCGAATTAGTCCAGCTTTGTATTCGCCAAAACTCGACGCGGGCTAATGGCCATTCCCACGCGCCGTGCTCGCGCCGTGCTCGCGCCAATCAACCAAGCGGGGCCCGTGCGCGCGCGCCGGCGAGGGGGAAGCGACTTTTTTACTGAGCCTGAGCGGGAGCGGGACGGCCCTCCGCCGCCCGCACCGGTTTCGCTCGTTTCCTCTTTCCCCATCCCCTCCCTTTCTCTCATTCATCCATACGTAAGTCGCCCCGTACATTCTCACTTCCTCCCAGATGTGACTGGCTCAGAACTTTGGGGAAGCTCTCGACGACCACGACCACGACCCCGACCACGACCCCGACCACGACCCCGACCACGAAGGACCCGCGAAGCTCTGTCGCTGGCTTCCGCTCGCGCTTTCGCACACACATTTCACGCCGCCGCCACCCTCGTTAATTGCCGTGGCACTCTTGTTCTTGGCCTACACCGGTACTAATATCGCCTAATATCGCCCTTCGTTATTATCTCGAACAGACCTCCATCTCTAAATATGTCTGACCACGAGGACGTGAGTGGCTGAATCCGCATTTCGTTCGGCTGGTTGGAGGCCACGCGCGTCTGGCCCCGGCCCACACACGCGCACGTTGGGCATCCCTTGAGGAGCCGAAAACTGATCGATCGCGCTCTACTCTGTTCTCTCTCGCTTAGGTTCCCGCTTTGGTTGACGGCGCCCAAGCCGATGAGACCGTTTTCGAGGGTGCCATTGGTGAGTCGCAAGAAAACAGGCTCCGGTGCTCCAGAACGACAAGACCCCGATGCCCCTGCCGCCACCCGCGCCGCCATCGTTCGTAGCAAGCGTGCTGATTCTTCTTTGGCTGTCTTCCACTCTCCCCTCTCTGCTCGGCTTGCGCTCTCTCTTCTTTTTGAAACTTGATGACGTATCATAGGTATCGATCTCGGAACCACCTACTCCTGCGTCGGTGTCTGGCAAAACGACCGAGTCGAGATCATCGCCAACGACCAGGGTAACCGCACCACCCCTTCTTATGTCGCCTTCACCGAGACCGAGCGTCTCATTGGCGACTCGGCCAAGTAAGTCTTGCGCACGTCTCACACAGACTCGAATCAAAGTCGATGTTGACGCCCTGATTCGGCCCTTCAGGAACCAGGCCGCCATGAACCCCCGCCAGACCGTCTTCGACGCCAAGCGTCTCATCGGTCGACGATTTGACGACCCCGACGTCAAGAAGGACCGAGCCCACTGGCCCTTCAAGGTCATCGACAAGGAGGGCTCGCCCTTCATCGAGGTCGAGTACCTCAACGAGACCAAGACCTTCTCCCCCGCCGAGATCTCGTCCATGGTCCTCTCCAAGCTCAAGGAGACCGCCGAGACCAAACTCGGCAAGGAGGTCAAGAAGGCCGTCGTTACCGTCCCCGCTTACTTCAACGACTCGCAGCGTCTCTCGACCAAGGACGCCGGAACGATCGCCGGTTTGGACGTGCTCCGTATCATCAACGAGCCCACCGCCGCCGCCATCGCCTACGGTCTCGGTGAGGCCACCGAGAAGTCCAAGAAGGAGAAGCTCGTTCTCATCTTCGATCTCGGAGGAGGAACTTTCGATGTCTCGCTCTTGACCATCTCGGGTGGTGTCTTCGCCGTCAAGGCCACCGCCGGTGACACCCACTTGGGTGGTGAGGACTTTGACAACGCCCTCTTGGAGCACTTCAAGAAGGAGTTTGAGAGGAAGAACAAGCTCGACATCTCCGAGGACCCGCGTGCCCTCCGTCGTCTCCGATCCGCGTGCGAGCGTGCCAAGCGCACCCTTTCGTCCGTTACGCAGACGACCGTCGAGGTCGACTCGCTCTTCCAAGGTACCGACTTCTCCGCCTCGATCTCGCGTGCCCGCTTCGAGGAGATCAACGCCGCCACCTTCCGCTCCACGCTCGACCCCGTCGAGAAGGTCCTCAAGGACGCCAAGGTCGACCGCACCAAGGTCGACGACATCGTCCTCGTCGGTGGCTCGACCCGTATCCCCAAGATCCAATCGCTCGTCTCCGAGTTCTTCGGTGGCCGACAATTGAACAAGTCGATCAACCCCGATGAGGCCGTTGCCTACGGTGCCGCCGTTCAGGCCGCCGTCTTGACCGGTCAGACTTCGGAGCGCACCGCCGACTTGCTCTTGCTCGATGTCGCCCCGCTCTCGCTCGGTGTCGCCATGCAAGGTGACGTCTTCGGTTGCGTCATCCCCCGCAACACCCCCATCCCCACCAGCAAGTCGCGAACTTTCACGACCGTCGAGGACAACCAGACGACCGTCACTTTCCCCGTCCACGAGGGAGAGCGTGTCACGTGCAAGGAGAACCGATTGCTCGGCGAGTTCGAGCTGTCCGGCATCACACCTCAACCCCGTGGCCAAGCCGAGCTCGTCTGCACCTTCGAGGTCGACGCCAACGGTCTCCTCAGGGTCTCCGCCCTCGACCGAACCTCGGGCCGCCGCGCCAACATTAGCATCACCAACTCGGTCGGTCGCCTCTCGTCGACCGAGATCGAGCAGATGCTCAAGGACGCCGAGGTGTACAAGCAAGCCGACAAGGAGTTCTCGGCCAAGCACGAGGCCAAGTCTGAGCTCGAGTCGTACATCTCGTCCGTCGAGTCGACCATCACCTCCCCCGAGGTCGGCGCCAAGATCAAGCGTCAGAACAAGGCCGCCGTCGAGTCCGAGTTGGCCAAGGCGCTCGAGCGCCTCGAGATCGAGGAGTCGACCGCCGACGAGCTCAAGAAGGCTCACCTCCTGCTCCGTCGCTCGATGCAAAAGGCTATGTCCGGTATCTCTGGCCGAGGTTAAATCGGTCTAAGACCCGATATCTCCCCCGATCCAACCAAAAACGAAGAATCAATCAAAAAGGGCCAACAAAAGCAACGCCAACCTCAACCCCTCCCCTTCATCACCACCTCTTAGACTATTTCCTTTCTTCCCTCTTTGTTGCTTTTCATCCTTTTCAGTCTGTTCTTCTAGGGGATTCTTCCTTTTTCTTCTTCTCTTGACACCATCTTTGCACCAGGGGCCCCTCACGACCTTGTTCACTTTTTGTGCTACTCTTTCCCTCCGCTTTTCTCTCTGTCTCTTCTCCCACTAGGTATTTTCGTAGTCTTGGGCTCACTCGCCAAGAGGAAAACGAGTAGCTTTCGTCTACCTAAACCATATCCATTTCTTTGGACGTGAGAGATTGAGCTGAAGGCAGAGTATGCTCGAGAACGAGGTTGGCTGGCTTGGTCCTCCAGGTTCATCATTGCACCGCGTGCACAGCCAATTGATGGACAACAATCCATAAGAACATACGTTTGATCATATTGTAGCACCGAGTACCATCTTCGTTTCTGAGACAAGCCGATCATCGTCTTTTTCGCTTGTTGTATCCGGCTCGAGATAGGAGGCAAAGACCACCCCTCGGTCTGCGAGTAATTATTCGACAAGATACGACCCGAATGGTCAGCTGAATCCCGAACTCTGATTGCGATGCAAATCGTTCGACTGACCTGCCAGATGTTCCGACTCGAGCTTGATCAACGCATCCTCGAGTTGGCTCGGGGGTGGGTCTAACCCTTGAAACATTTTCTGTCGTTCCCAGGTCGTCCGAGCCGAGGGTGTGCCGGCGAAGGGGGTGACGAGGTTATCGGACCAGTGAAAGGTTTTTGAATGTGGATGAGAAGCGTTGTAGGATTTTATGATGAGGTGTCAATGTTGGATTAAGTCTGCGGTGGTCAAGAGAAGAATCGTCGGCCCCACTCGGGAGACCGACCCGGGAGCCGAGCCGGGCTCCGGGACGCTGGCCCAAACTGCCGAGTCCGAGTTCGCCGAGCGACACCTCGACAACAGGCATGTTGAAACGGGTACTCACACCACCCACTGGTATTCATCACCTCACTCATTCTCGACCTCTCAACTTTGAGCCTCTCCCCCATCTTCCAGCTCTCCCTCACCTTGCGATCAAATATGTTCCAACTCCACCCTTCCTCCAATTCCTTCGCTCTGAAATTCAAATCATGCGAAAGCGCAGAGATGTAAATCTCCAACTGGGACCAAATGGGGGGAGGTATGGCGTGGAATAGCGCCTCTTGTTCGAGGGACCATAGCGATTGGTAGAGATAGGAGCGACGGATGAATTCGGCGACGTGGTAAGGGAGAAAAGGCGCGTCGAGGTTAATCAGAGACTCTAAAGTGATCACTTGTTCGGGCATGGATGGGTCGGAGGGGGATCGAGCGGGACGCGGATCGGAAATGGTACGATGTAGACGTATAGATGTGAGTTGTGCTTGTCAAAGCCTGAGTGGGTGCGCGAATGCTCGGTCCTCGCCGTCGGCAACTACTAATTCGCAGGCCCTTCGCCGCCGAGACGGATCACGTGATACGACTCGGCGATCGGTGACTCGCGTCAGTCGATCAATTATTCCGCTCTGGTCAGGCGACGTTTGTTAGTTCGTAATCTGATCCTTCTTTAAACACAGACTAAATCAAGAGCCGATCTTATCTCAATCTAGCTAGGTACCGGACATGAAAGGGTTCGTGCAGTTAGTCACGGGCTGAAGTCGGGCTTGTGCCTTGCGACCCGGCGCGCTTGTCTCGCACTCTTGGCCCTGAAAAGAGACGCTCCTTTCTCGACTCTAAGCCCCTTCCTCCTCCCCCTGTACGACACTAGACCCATTTGCGTTCGACGCCTCCCTTGTCCTCGAGCCGAGCTCTCCGTTCTTTCTACTCGAGATCGCGGGCAAGGCTAGAACGGTACACAGATGGTCATCATGACGTACGTTCCTGATGAATCTCAACGCCGGGCGACGCGCTGCTTCCGTCATGTTTGAAGAGCAGAGTGCGCGTGCGAACTGATCGAGCTGATCCCTGCTGGCATCCTTCACTGCCTCATCCATCCCATTGATCCGGGGCGCGATGTCATCAGCAGTGGTAACGGCAACAGTGACCACCATGTCGAGATCCCCCGCTTCTTGACCATACAGGACAGAGCTCGCGATGCCAGCCAGAGCGTGCTGCACGAGCCTTTGCACGATTGGTCAGTCTACTCTTGCTCTCGAGTCTTGCGGCCACGTAAGAAGCCCGAGCGCCAACGCGCGCGTCGTGCTCACTCGGCGGTGGTCTGGCCAAGAGAGCGCGTTCGGCTCGATCGCCAAAAGACTGACTTGATTGCTCCCAATGCGAAAACATCCTGTCACAGGATCATTCTTGGCTACGAAGGCACGAGGGAGACGCTGCACTTGATCGATCAAGGTCGAGGAGGTCTCGGCGTCGTCGAGATGAGGAGTTCGATTGTTAGTTTGGGTCACGAGAGCCTTGCTTCGAAACCAGGAAAAGGGGCCAATCTTTTTCACCGAACGTCCGTTCGAGGAGTGCTGCTGACTCGTATGGTCTCACTCCGTGTCTCGTACACGATTCACAGACACCGAACGATGTCAACTTTGGCTTGCTCAAGGTCGAGGGCCGGATACTGCTGTGGACTTATATGCCCGAGCATGCCATTAGCGGCGTCAGACGAGGTGCGCAATTTTCGCTAGCTCGCTGCAATAATTATCAGAAGGTATGCTGACGTGGAGTCCCCGTTCTAGCTCGAGCACTGGTGCATGGCCGTGCCCTGTTGACAATATTCAAAGTGGGTCCCCTCGACCTGTATAAAACGCCCGAAGCATTGTGCTCACTCGTGGCCCCGCTTCTTTCCTTGCGCGCAGCACGATGCGACGTTCACCGCCAGTCGAGTCGCCGAGTTCACCCCCCAGATCACACGCTACAAGCTCAAACTTGATCGTGCCCTTCCCCCAAACACTTCCTCGCCTCCTACACCGGCCTACCATTCTCCCAAGAGCTCACCCGAGATCACACCGCGACCTCCTTTAGGGATGCGACTCGCCTCGGATGACAGCGACTCACGATCCGTTGCCGAACCTAGGTCAAGCAATAGCTCGTCACGCAAGGAGCAATGTTCGGATATCTACAAGGCCATGATTGGACTTGACATGTCCGACCCGGACCGTTCCCCTCCTTCGGCGGCTCGCGATCGATCAAACCAGCCGCCGCCTTCGAGATCGCAAACGCCACGCTCTGAAGTGGATGGGATGCTGCGCGATCAAATACCTTATGCATCGTATGCACAAAAAAACCGGACCCAGTCGTCGTCGACGCGACCTTCCCCTCAGGGTCCTCCACCACCTTCCAGATCTCAGCCGCGGTTCGACCCTACTCAGTGCTACCCCTCCCCTCCCGCCTCGGCCGATCGCCATGCACCGTCTCGGCACCAACCCGTATCGTCTCGGTCATCGATCGAAACTGCTACCGAAGAGAGGACCGCGATCCTTTACGAGATCGAACATGCTTCTCCTAGTCGGTACTCACCGACCGAGTACAGCGCGAGCGTTTACGGTGGTCAAGCCGAGGATACGTATTCAATCCGCCATCAACCGCCGGCGCGCTCAATTTCGAATCACTCGATCAATTCCTCGACTTTGGTCGAAGAAGAGGGGGGGCGAGAATCCTCGGAGGAAGCTCGAAGGAGGGAAGAGAGGGAACGGTTCGAACGCGAGTTGGCGATCAAGAGCTTGAGGGAGAAGAGGGAGGAAGAGGCCAAGCTTCGAGCACGGGAGGTCGTGGAGAAGGAACACCAAGCGAGGATAGAGTACGAGCAACGACAGAAGGAGAGGGAGGCTTGGGTTTTGAAGGCCAAGAAGGAGAGGGAGGAGAAGATGCGGTTGGTCGAGTTGGAACGACGGAGAAAGGAGGAAGAGGTGCGGAGGGAGGAACAACGACGGGTTGAAGAGGATCAGAGGAAGAGGTTGCAGGATGCGGCGACGAGGGTGCAGAAAGACCAGGAGAGGTTGTTGATGAGTCAGCATGCGCTGTTCAAGAAGTTGCAGGACGACGAAGAGGCGCTGGTCCGTGCGCAGGAGAAGAAGAAGCGACAGCATGAACTCAAGGTTCGCTTCGCGCAGGGCAAGATGACGTCCGCAGCGATTGGGGGGACGGCGATCCTCGATGGCGAGGTGTCGGTCCAAGGTGGGAACTCGATCGTATGGAGGAGGAGATGGTTCGAGTTGCGCGCGGACGAGTTGGTGTTGTTCAAGAGTGCGGCAGAGCGTAGTCGGATCAAGGCGATCGCTTACAAGGGAATCGTCAAGGTGGTCAATTCGCCCGAGGAAGCTGGGGTCGCGAATTCGTTCATGTTGACGCTCGATGACGGCGATGACTGGACCTTTTTCAGTGAGCTTGAGCCTTTTTTTGGCTGATCTTTCTCGACCTACGAGCTGACACGACTTGTCTTCCTCTTGCAGCCGACGAGTCCGCCGCCAAGGACGTTTTGCTCTCGGCGCTGGAAGTGGCGGCCGGCATGTGATCGGGTTGACTCGACGGAGCAAATAAAGCAATGTAGGACGATCGTATCATCATAGACGTCTCATTATTATTTTTGGAAGAGTGTTTGTGTTTTCGCATTTCGCAATTGCAGTCAGCTGGTCTTTCTTGCTTTCTCGTCTGCCCATCTAGGAAGATTCGAATGGATTCGAACGTCGGTGATCTAGACCATCGCCAACTCTCGCCAACTTCGGACTGTGGAGACTCACAGTACTCACGCTCGACTCCCTTCTCATCACTCGCTCACTCGCTCACCCGCTCACCCGCGCTCGACATCATCACCTCGCACCTGCACTCGAAGCCTCGACCAGAAGTCTATCACTCGAGTGTCGAGGACCATGTGGCAAGAAGAGTCGCCCTGGGGATCAGCAGATGACGCTCTGCCTTCCAGCACGTTAGACTTGCCTCGTCGACCGCCGTCTCCCTTGCCCAGCTTCGCGAGCTTCACTTCCAGCAGTAAGCCCGTGTCCAGTTCGACGGGGGGCTGGGGGGATGATGGAGGGTGGGGCACGAGTGTCGATGAGTCGATTGTGGTAACGGGTGGTGTGGCTTCGACGAGTGCGGTTACGTTGGATGGGGAGGGGGAGGACAAGTTGGGTCATGAGGAGGTGGAGAGACGGTCAGCGACCGTGGCGGTGGGGAAGGAGGAGGAGGAGGAGGACATGTGGACCCCACCTACGACAAGGACGAACACTGAGGATGAGAGTCGATATGGTGGGCATGATTTGACGGGGATAGCTACAGCGACCGCGAATGGAGAGTCGCCTCCACTGGGTTATGCCAAGCCTTCCACCACCACCCGGGATCAAGACACCGAACCCCATAACGATACGGAAGCAGGAGGGGAAGGAGATGATGATGGATGGGGAGAACACGGCGCATCACCGGTCCTGCCTCCGATCGCGAACCTGCGAGTTGACGACGCCGAGCCCGATCTCGATCTGCCCGACAAAGGCTGGGCAGGCGATGACGATGGATGGGTCCCTCCCGAAGTCCCAGAACCTCTACCGACTTTTGGTGACGTGTTTGGGAAACCTACGACGAGGAGGGAGAGTGTTGAGGAAGGGTGGGGTGGGAATGATGCGGTGCCCAGTTGGAATGCTGGGGCAGGGGAGAGGGATGAGGGAGGTGCAGAATTGGATCGGAAGGCGAGTGAGGCGAGTGAGGCGAGTGAGGATGGATGGGGTGGCGAGATTGATGAGGCCGATCTGGATGTGAGCCTGCAGACGTGTGGGCTGTGATGAAGCCCTCCAAAAAGCTGATTCTGCGCGATACCCCTTCATCACATAGCCTGAACCAGAGGCTGACCCGGATCGAGGTAATGACGAGGAGGAACCAGACGAGACGACGACGGAAACGATCATCCGCCAGGCTTCGGCGGTCAAGGACGGTCTGCAAAAGACGGCAGTACGAACGGCCGAGACGATCCAGGGTAGTAGCGCAGTCGCGGCGATTCGGAATGCCGACACCACGTCCTTTGGACGACGGACCGTGTCGGCGAGTGAGCCCAGCGCCGCAGAGGAATCGGACGGCTCGACTAAAGCGCCGGTCAAGAGCTCTTGGTGGGGGTCCAAGTCGACATCAGACGCCACTGCTACGGCCTCAAACCCGTCCTCTCCGCCGCCACGGATAGCTTCGCCCTCGACTGGTCAGGAGGAAGGCGCTGCACCATCTCGGCTCGGTCGGCTCTTGGGTCGGCTGCGTCGGAATCCTGGCGCCAGCAACGAAGGGCCGACTGCGTCGGAGCCCAGTGAAGACCTACCTCCCGAGTGGAAGCCGAGAGACCTGGATGCACTGGACGCTTCGCGGCGGTCGAGCCCCCTTCAAGGGGATTTCAGTTCAAGAACCGCACCTTTGGACGATTTCTTCCACGACATGCCTCGCAAGGCCATTCGCGTTCCTACAGCTCCACCTAATGACGACTTTGGTCTGCTCGGTGCATTCTCTCAAGCCTCCTCGAGACCGTCCTCGAGATCGAAGAAGGCGCCCCAGGCTCATGATCCCTTCGACCCCTTCGCCGACCACGACGAGCCGGCCGTTGCTGCACCACCGGCCTTCAACATCTCGCGTAACGGAGGCGTCGGTGCGTCGTCCTTTTCTTCGCCTTCGAGCTTCAAGATGGTTTCACCACCAGCAACATCGTCTCCGTCACGTGTCAACTCTTATGTGACCAACACTTCGCAGCGGGCTGGGTCACCAGCAATTGTGGCGCCGCGTGCTCGTGCCGAGCAGTCCGAAGATTCGTTCGACGCCTTTTTTGACTCAGTGGCCAGCACGAACAAAAAGCCCGCCTTGTCGACGACGAGTTATGAAGATTTTGACCTCGCGATGCCCAAACCACAAGCCGGTCCGAAGAAGACGTTCGCTGTCCCTCCTCCTTCGATCTTGCCCCGTGCCAACCTGTCACGAGGGCCGACGCTCGTTTCGGCCGCGCCGCCTTTACGCGCCGCCTCAGCCTCACCTACGTTCGTGAACCCGCTCGCACCTCCTCCGCCCCCTTCCCAGCCACTCGCGAGTCGGCAGCTGATCAGCGAACTTGCGCGACCGGCTTCGTCGACGGGGTTCACCGCGCAGCAGAGGGGTGCGAGTCCGGCTCCGACGGCCAGTGCTCCGGCACCTTTGCTCTCTCCTCCTCCGCCTCCTGGTATGGGCGTCGTACCACTTGCTCCTTCACCCGTGGGATCGATCAAGCGCTCGACCGGACCGGCTGTCAAGTCCCATGTCCCGCCTCTTTCGCAGGGACCGCTCTCGCCTGATGACTTCAGTTTCTTTGAGAGTTGATGCCGACGCCTCGCGCTTGGTTCGTGAACCCCCTCCGAGATGTTATTTGAAGGTTTATCATTTTTGGATTGTACGCTATGGGCGTTCCTTCTCTAATCGATACCTTGTGCAATCGTACTCGGTGTTTTACGTTTGACTGCCTGTGCATCTTGTATGCGCTGCAGCTCTGGCCTGACTCTTTATGGTGAGCCATTGTGACAGCCGCGCCGCGCCTCGAAAGCAGCTCGAAAGCGGCTTTCGCCTGCAGCTGGTTGACGCGGGTTGTGCTTCTTCTCTCCCCCACTCACTCCGAACCACACCCGCCGACCCACGTTGGCCTCTGTGTACCGTTCCCGGAACCCGACACGACGCGGAGACACGATGACCGAGCTTCCCAGCGATCGTACACCAACACCTGCTGCTCCTACAGAAGGCGATGAGCTCTCGTCGGATATTGTAGCTGCCACGGCTACGGGTACCGGTACAGGGACGTCGGCGCGTGCTGGTAAGTGGTGCTCACGCCCAGCCGCTGGCCGCTGGGCAGGCGCGGACGAACCGGCCTCTTCCACGCCATAAGGCCATCAGAGGGGGCTGAATCCCCAGCGAAGAAGGACTGAGACGGTGATCGATCCTCGTTCCACGTCGATCACGTGTTGATCGTCATCTACCGCAACAGGTCCAGTTCCAGCTGCTTCCAGTGGTAGCCAGGCGGGAAGGCAGAAACGACATCGCGACGACATGACGCCGACCACACCTCGCGTGAGTTATATCACCCCCCCACCCCCCCCCCCCCTCCGCCTCCGTCGCGTGGTCGCTTCTTCGAGCGCCAGCCCTTGAATGGCTTACCCTCGGGGTGGCGATTCACTTTTGAGTTCCGGAACTGACCATTCGGATTTGCCCCGCTTGGACAGTCTGAAGACGAGACCAAAGTCTTGGGCGGACTGACTCCGTTGGCCAAGAAGGGGTCAGTTTCCAGCTCCAGTGTCCTCCTTGGGGTTTCCTATCAATACCACGTAGACCTGTATTCCTCTCGCTAACCCAAGGACGCTGACGCACTCCAGCCGCGTCCAACCGGATGCAAAATCCAAGCTCGTAGCCGGAACCGGCGCCGACGACGGACCACAAGGCGTCGCTTCGACCTCTTCGTCGCTCGCGTCCAGCTCCACCGCCGACGTCGAAGCCGAACAAGCCGACATTGACGACAACGACGAAGAAGATGAAGACGAAGACGACGAGGATGAAGAAGGCGATACACGTATCACCCCACCTCGTTCGGCACCTACGGGTCTGGAACCCAACTCGCCCCCACCGACGCCAATGCAATCCACGAAGCGCGGCGCCGAGGGACAGGAAACCAAGGCGATTCGGAAGAGGGTCGCCAACCTCGAATGGAAGGATGGCGAGCAGGGTGTCTCGAGGGTAACGACGACGAATGAGTCCGACGTGGAGATCGCCGACGTCGCAGCGGAGGTTTCAGAGAGTGCCGAAATGGCGGAAGGGGAAGAGGCCCAGGTCGCGGATGAGGTGCACGAGACGGCCAAGGGGGTACATCAGGAGGATTCAGAGGCGGAGGACAAACTGATGAAGGAACGGGAAGCGAGCGTCGCGGCCGATGTCGCCGAGTCGGCACAGATGTTGGCTCAGGAGGATGAGGCCAAGCAGGATCAGGACGAGCACATCGCCGATGTCGCTTCCGAGGTGGCTGCGAGCGCAAAAAAGGTTGCTCAAGAGGATAAGAAGGATCAGGAGGTTGCACAGGTTGCTGCTGAAGTCGCGGAATCGGCCAAGGTCCTGGCACCCGAGGTCCCGACCGAGCCGACCCCGCCCGCGAATCCTCCTGCCACAGCGCCGACCGCACCAGCGACGACGTCGTTCTCGGCATTCTCATCAAGCTCTTCGCCTTTCGCCTCCGTCTCGGGAGCATCCCCTTTATCGGGCATGGCACAGCCCAAAGCATCGACAGGGTTCGCGGAGTACGTTCCCCCGACGACAGAAGCAAAGCCAAAGTCACGGACCAGCTTTGGCGGGGAAGCCGCTCCCTTGGTGACATCACCACCTCTTCCTGCCTCTCACCCCGAGACCGTCGCCTCGCCGCCCACGACCGTCGACTCGGCACCCATCAGTCTCGTGGGTAGGAGCTCACCGAGCGCCGAGCCCGTCCCCGTCCCCGCCAAAATCATTCCGACTTTCACCTCGTCGACGTCTTCTTCAACTTTTACCGCCACCACACCCTTGGGGGACAGCGCCTTCTCCTCTGGTCCATCGTCCTTCGCCAAGTTTGCCTCGACGAGTGGTTTCGCTGCTGCGAGTAGCTCCTCGAAGGATCCATTGGCTTCGACGTCGACGAATAGCGGTGCGCTCGGGTCGACTTCGACAACGGCCTCGGGAGGGTTCGGGTCCTTCTCCGGTGCCTCCCCCTTCGCTTCCATCTCTTCCAAGTCCAAAACCTCCGCCTTGTCAGCGCAAGGCTCTCACGAAGAAACCAACGGCGACGAATCGACCGGTTCGTCCTCCACCCGTTCACGCAAGATGGGCGAACCTGAAGAGATCGATGAATCGAAGCGCGTCTTTACGGAACAAGAGGTCGTGACGGGCGAAGAGGAGGACGAGTTGGTGCATTCGGTGAGGAGCAAATTGTTCGTCATGCATGAAGGGGCTTGGGCCGAGAGAGGGGTCGGTTTGTTGAGGTTGAATAGGACACAGGGGAAGGAGGACAAGACGGGCGCGAGATTGGGTACGCTTTCGCGAGTGATTGGGATCTGCCCCCCCCCCCCCCTTTTTCCACGAAGAGCTGACCCCTACGTTTCGCCAATGCTTACATAGTCATGCGAGCCGATGCGACTCACCGTCTTTTACTTAACGCCACCTTGTTCCCCAGTTTCTCGATCGAAGTCAACCAAGAGAAATACGTCCGGTTCGCCGTCATCGAAGCTGGGGAACCGACGTCGTACATGTTGAGGTTGTCGGGGGCGACGACGGCGAATGCGTTGGTCAAGGCGGTTAGTGAGGAGGTGGATCGATTAGAGTAATTAGATGAGGAGGGGAAGCGTACGAAGGGGATTTTTTCTTTTTCTTTTTGCTGTTACTCACGCTTTCTCTTTGCTTCGTACGTGTCTTTTATGGGCCTGTCTGGAAAGGCGTCGCGTCAGACGCTTCTGACGATGATGGTAATCAAAGACGGTCCTCCTCAAGGAGGGAAGTTTCGTTGCACTCTTCATTCAGTGAGAGTGTGGAAGGTCGCAAGTGCATCATCTCACCAAAACAAATGCAGCATGGGTTCTCCAAGCCCCTTCAAGTAAACACATTCCCCCATAAATCCGACCCCACCAACTCCTCCACCCCACCGCCTCTCAACACCTCCCTGATCCAATCCTTCGTCTCCTCCGTCGCCACTCCCGCAAGCCTCACCACCCCACCCTGACCCTTCTCCAATTTCGTATACGACCAAATAAGGGAGTAAGGATGCGCTTGATGGTATTGCGTTAGATCGGAGAAGATGGTGGAGATGTGATTTCGGAGGGAGGAGGTCCGAGGTCCGAACAAGAACAAGGTCGCGTAGACGGAGTAAGGCGCTAGACGAGCTTTGTAAGTCGTTGGATGGGTTCTTTGATGAGGTGTGGTTGGATGTGGGGAAAGTGGTGTGGTTGCGGTTTCATCCTCGAGGAGGAGAACGTCTTTGACGACCAAGCGAGAACCCAAGTGGATTAGGTTCCTCGATTCGTAGCGGTCGAAGGCCCATTCCTCGGTTTCTTCTTCTTGAACCTCCAAGCGACCCGCATCGACCGAAGTGGACACCATCGAAGACCGTCCGGAGGTGTACCAGTCCAGGAGGATCAAGGAACTAGTTCCATCGGCTGATAGATGGAAGGACTGGGTTTGGGAATACGAGGACGAGGCGAAACATGTTATAGGGGACGGCAGGAGGATCAACGTGGAGGAGGGGGAGATGTGCGTCGTTAGGGTTTGGAGGGTAGGGGTGAGCGGGGTTGTAGAAGGGGAAGAGGAGGTGAGGTAGTGACCTTTGCGGAGGCGGAATATCTTGGTGGAGCCTGCGAGAGCGGGAGGCGGTTTCGGAAGAGGGGCAAATAGGGGTGGGGGTGGGGGAGGGCGAATCTTTAGCGCACGCTCCGTGGGTTGGTGCAGTGCAATCTGGGCATCGGTCGTACTAATATCGCAGGAAAGCAAGGAGATATAACAAGGGAAGATACATAATCGTCCGACCCAAGACCACAGACCGGATCACAGACCAGGTCACGTGCCTCGAGTCGGAGCTTATCTCCTCGTCGTTGCCTGCTCACACCACAAAACCCCGACCCCACTCACCCTGGGTCAACATGACCAACGTCGCCCGATCCCTGACCTCGACCTTCAGATCGATCCTATCCCCGGCGACCATACCGCCACCGTAGCCAATGAGGTAAACGCATTGTAGCCCATCGACAAAGTGTCGTTTCGGGACGATGAGCTTGAGTGGGTAGCAGAAGGAGACCGTCGAGAAGCGGGCTTGGTGCGAGGAGCGGGTGAGGATTAGGGTTCCGGATCCGGGGGGTATGGCGGTGGTGAGTTTGGTCATGCGGGTAACGATGGGAAGGGGGATGAGCGGTGGTGGGGAGGAGAGAAAGCCTCGGGGAACGGACCGCGGAGGAAGCGGAGGGGAGAGGAGGAGAGCCTACTAATTATAAGGAGAGCGGAGGCAGCAAGTCGGAACAGAGGCGCGCTCGAGGATCGTGGCTTTCACACTCCTGCACACCGCACACGCACACGCACACGCACACGCACACGCACACGCACACGCACACACCACGTTCCAACCATGGCCGAATCCGAATCCGACTCGAGGGATCGTCACAGGGACCGGGACAGCCACAGGGATCGTCACAGGGACCGGGACAGCCACAGGGATCGTCACAGGGACCGAGAGGACAGGGACCGTTCGCACAAGCACCACTCGACCTCGTCCACCCGACGACGATCCGCTTCCCCCTCTTCACACGACCGTGACCGGGAGCGTGACTCGCATCGACACTCTTCGTCGAGCAAACGGAGCAAGCATGAGGCGGAGCACGATAGGCATAGGTCGTCGTCGCATCGAGACCGGGACAGGGACAGGGACGGTCGAGGGGATCGGGATGGAGACGATGACCGCGATCGAGGGAGGCATCACCAGAACAGGTCGGTCACACGCATCGTACGACGACTAGGTCTTCGACCATCTAACAGCTTTCTTGTCGTCTCACAGCTCCTCCACCCCACGCGAAAGCTCGGCCGAACGCGCGGCGAGGAAAGCCGAACGCAAGGCCCGGAAGGCCGCCTTGGAACAGGACGCCCGCCAACTCGTCGCCGAGACCTCCTTCTACTCGGCGAGCGACAACCCGTTCCACGACGCAAACTTGGGCGACAAGTTCGTCTGGGGCAAGAAGAAGGAGAAGGAGAAGAAGATGGGTATGACCCCCGAGGAGGCGATGAAGAGGGATCGCGAGAGGGCCATAGAGTCCAAGGTGAGCCTGCTCTCAGCTTTGCAATTTTCCCTCGTTCGAGGGCCGAGCGCTGACACTGGCACACACACTAGCTCGAAATCGAACGCCTGAACCAACGTCGAGCCGAACGCGAGCAAGAGATGCTCCTGCGCGAAGAGGAACAGATGCGAGCCGCGCGCATGGCCGAGTCCGCGCAAATGTCCGCCTGGATCGACCGCGAGGACGACTTTCACCTCGAGCAGGCCAAAAAACGAGCCGAGATTCGCGTGCGCGAACGTCGTGCTAAGCCCATTGATTTCCTGGCGCTGAACCTCAAGTGGAGTCAACCGCCTCTGCAGGAGGGTGACGAAGGCTTCGAGGAGCAGGAGGAGGACGAGGGTGAAGGCTTGGACGTCGACCTCGAAGAGCCCTACACCATCTTTGATGTGCGTTTCGCCGTTTATCCGAGTACGATTCTTAGCGCTGAATCCTGACCTTCCTGCCTTCCCGACAGAATTTGATCCTCGAAGACGCCAAAGAATTGCACGAGGACATCAAGATGTACCTCTCGCTCGAAAAGAGCGAACAAAACCTCGAGTTTTGGCGCTCGCTGCTCATTGTCTCGTCATCCTCACTCGAAGCACTCAACGAAGAGCGAGCAATCGGTGCGACCGCCTACGCCAAGCAGACTCAGGCCAACGCTTCGGTCAAGGGCGAGATCACGCGCCTCCTCTCGGGCAAGTCGCTGGACCAACTCGTGACGCTGCAGAACCAGGTCCAGTCCAAGCTCTCGAGTGGCGAACCCGTCGACGTTGAATATTGGGAAGGTCTGTTGAAGGAATTGGTCGTGTGGAAGGCCAAGGCCAAGTTGCGCGACATGCACGAAGTCGTCCTGGCGAATCGACTCGAACAACTGCGCAAGAAGCAACGTGACGAAGCGGCGCGTCAAGCCGAGGAGGTCAAGAAGGCCCTTGCGTCGGGTCTCAACCCTGATGACGAGGATGAAGATCAGGATATGGAGGATGAGGATGATCAGGCGATGCACCTTTCCCGACCTGCGGGTCCGGAACCATGGAGCGAAGATCTCGAACCCATTCAATTCGATACCGTACCAAGCGAACTACGTTCCTGCGCCGTCGTCGATGCCGCGGAAGAACGAGCCGCTTTACAAGCCGCACGACTCAAGGTCGTCCAAACGCGTTTCGTCACCAAAACGCGTGCACCGAACGAAGTCGGTGGGGTTCAACAATCGGCGCAAGAGGCGGCGATTTACCAAGCTGCGATTGGGCAGGGCTTTGGCGATGAGGAGGAGTTGTTCACGGGTGAGATTGAGATGAACAAACAGGCGTATTCATGGGAAGACAAGTACCGGCCGCGCAAACCGAGGTACTTCAACAAGGTTATGGCTGGGTACGAGTGGAATCGGTACAATCAGGCCCATTACGAGTGAGTTCTGACCGCGTGGCCTTGTAAAGTCGTAGGAGGATGGGTGTACTGATACTCTCCTTCTGTTGGAAACGCCCAGCTCGGACAACCCGCCACCCAAAGTCGTCATCGGGTACAAGTTCCACATCATCTACTCTGACCTGGTCGACAAGACCAAAACACCGCAATGGCGCATCATCAAGGACAAGGACAACCCCGAGATGGCGACGATCTTGTTTTCCGCTGGTCCACCGTATGAGGATCTGGCGTTTAGGATTGTGAATAAGAAGATGGAGCATTCGAGTAAGAGGGGGTTCAGGAGTTCGTTCGATCGGTGAGTCGGGCTTGTGGAATTTCGGTTGGAGGTTGAAACGAGGGAGGGGAAGACTGACCATGGATCTGTATGCTCTCGCAGTGGTGTGCTGCAGCTTCATTTCACGTTCAGGAGGAATTTCTACCGCAAGTAAGAAAAGGAAGACGGGTTTCGGCTTGTCTCATGCAATGCATATTGTCACGGTTGTACGAATTTCGTTAGTAGGGCTCCCACCGCGGGGCGCTCGAGCAGAGGTGACTCGGCGATATGATTGGCACATGGACTCGGTCTCGGAAAACAGAGCGCTCGCTGCGCAGGTTCCAAACCGGCCATCGTAAGAAACGATGCAGCCCCAAGGAAAGCCACCTTGGTCTCGACCCAGCGCCTACCAGCCGGCAACTTGAGATGAATTGTGCCTGGCCGCCGAACCCGAGCAGCTCCGCACCCGCGAAACCCGCGCGGGTTGACTTGTTGCCGCACACCACACACAGTACACACGCTCAGAACCACAGCGATTGGACTCGATCACGTTCTTCGCCACTTCGGGACGTCTGCCAGGAGCCAAGTCACAACGCCCCGGAGCGCCATCTGCCACGTGAACCTGCCAGATCGTCGCCCATCGTCGCGTAGACTATACGTCGTTGTGGGTCGCCTACCTCGCTCCTCCAGGCACACCGTCGAAGGACCCAACACCTCAAGAACATCATGCCCTTCCTCAAGTCGTCCAACATGGCCTCGACATCCAAGCCGACCCTCTTCACAAGACCCAACCACCTCCTCGCACCTCGACCCCAACACCTCCCCCTCGCACCTCCCCATCCCCAGCGCGCACTCTCCACCCACTCCCTCTCCCGCACCCTGCGCCTCTCCCCCAAAACCCGCACGCGCCTCCAAAACGTCGCCTTCCTCACCGCCACCTTGGTCAGCATCATCACCGTCTCGTTGGCGATGAGTGGTTCGGCAGGGGTCGGTTTACCTTGTCCTGCGCGACAGGGGACCAGGGTGGGGATGCAGGATGAGAACGGAAAGGATTGGGCGACGACAGGAACGAAGGGAAAGAGGAGGTGGTTGGAGGAACCTGTCGTGGTTGCACAGAGTGGTGCGCCGAGAGGAAAGGAAGGACAGGATAGGACTGGACCGCGGACAGGGTTGCAACAGGAGGAATCGAGAAATTGAAGTGACAGCGCAGCTGTAGTGGACGAAGAACTGGAAAGCGTTGGAAACGTTGTAGTCGCATGGTCGCATGGTTGAAATTTCTGCATCGTTCGCGCAGGGGGAGCTATCCTTGGTGGAAAAAGATGGCGAAGGGCTTAGGAATTGCATGACGAACTACGAAGCCATCGCCACATTTTCGACAGCTGCAACTGCCTCTGGCACAACTTCTTCTGCTTGTGCAGCGGGTGCCGAAATAGCAGCAGTCGACTCCGAGACCTTCTGCTCGCGCTGCTCCATCGCCTCGGTCAACGTCTTTTGGTGCGCGCTCGCCGTGCGTGTCTTCAATACTTCCCTTAGCGCCATCGTCGCGTCTGGTGGGAGCATACATCGAGCGTACAGCGTCAGCTCATCTTCACAACACCGTGTACGATTCGATTAAAACCACCCACAGGTACTCGACCCCAATGTCATCTCCAACTGCAGCGCCAAACTATGCCCCTCCGGCATAGGTTGACTCGGATCATAAGCCGTGACAACGGGTGCCTCTTTCCCCAACAAGAGATCCTCATCACTTTGTGCTAGATCTTGCGTACTCGATGAATAGGTCATCAACCTGTGGGAAACGTCTTGAGGGAGATGCATGATCTTGCGATAGGTCCCACCGAGGGAGTACTCGCGTTGACGACGGAACATGTTCTTAGGGTCGATCCCGTCTTCGAGCATGATGGAGCGGTAGGTCTCGCCTAAGGATCCGGAAGGGTAGGTCACGGCGTAGCCTGGCATCGGGAGGACGACATCAAAGATTGTGTAGGTCTTGGCGTCGAGGTCTTCTTGAGTCAGGAGCTTGATTTTCGGGACGCGAGCCGTTGCCGCTGCTTGTTCGGCGGTCAGCCCTGTGTTCGCAGGGGTGGGTTCGTCATCTGTTGTGAGCGGAAAGGATAATGTTAGTTTTGACAGACCCATCAGATGGCAGAGGCAGCACTTACCCTCGTCCAGAACCGGATCCAGCGGTTCAGCCACAACCACCTCCGGCTCGTCCGGCTCCCCCCCATCCTCCTTCAACTTCGCCCCCTCAGCCAACACGAAATCCCCTGCCACGGGCTCCTTACACCCATACATCTTGACCCTTTCCGAAACGACCCTATTCCAGATATACGACTGCCACGCATGGGCATACATCATCCTCAAACTTTTGGGGATCGAACTCAACGCGCCCAAATGACTCGTCGTGCCGTTCTTGGCGTAGAAATCGACCATAGCTTTCTCGGCGACGGCGCGACGGGGCATCGCTCGGGAAGCCTCGACAAGTTTGCCTTCGTGGAAGAGAGAGCGGGCTAGTGCAACGTCGTCACCTTCGCCTTGACGATGAAGGAGGATAAGATGGGAAGCCAAGGCCCAGTCCGTTCGGAGGAGGGCCAAGCCAATCGCGTGCGTTGGTACAGGCGCAGTGCCGAACCGTTGCATGCCATAGTAGTTGACGAAGCCGTGTTCACGCAACGTCGACATGGCTCGTTCGATCGTCGTTGGTGAGTCGGCAACAACGTCCCTGAGTGATACGGAGACCAGTCCGATTTGAGCTCAACTTCTCTGTACAGCATCCGTATCAACTCACCTGAGCGTGATGACGAATCGATTCCCCTTGAGCATCCCCAACGTGAACATCTTCTCCCCATACGCGACATCCGCAATCCTCACCCCCCGATCCATATTCCCCCAAGCGTGACTACCTCCGAAACCTCCCCCTCCCCTCCCTCTCCCTCTCCCACGATTCCCACCCCTTCCACCTCTCCCATTCGCGGCATTCCACACGTCCTCAATCGTTCGGTGCCCTCGTTTCATACTCAATCTTTGCACAGTCACGGCTCGTTTATCCTTCGTCCCCGCGGCGCCAATGTCCCTTGATTGAAGGTTGAGCGTTCGACAAAGGCCGGAAAGGGCATCGTGCATCTCCTTGTTGGCTTTTTGGAGGGTGAAGTGGATGTAAGGCGGGAGCTTGGCTTTGAGATCACCTTCGGCAGCTGCGTAGGGATTCAGGATCGTCAGGTCTCCTCTCCTTGCAATACTTCTCGCGTTCAGGACATCCGAACGTACTCCGGGCGTTCCGATCACGACGATCACCACCGCCTACTCCACCTCGACCACCTCCTCCTTTTTTCATCCACGCGACTTGGATAACCTGTTGGCCGCCTTCGAGTTCCTTCATCTCACTTCCGAAGCGCGAGTCGAAGGCTTCCCTCAGGCCTTTGTGTAGGGCAGTGCGAGCTTCTTTCGACTCGATGATCTGTCGGAGGAGGAAACAGGTCAGATGAGCATCCACTCCAAAGGATAAAGTATCACGGATCGCTGTGATAGCTTACTTGGGATTGGAAGACCGGTTTGGGCGTTCCCGGTGGTGCTGCTGGACCGGCGAGGACGAAAGTTTTGAATTCGGCGAGTTTTGCCTCGTCCAGAAGGGGTGTGATGATCGATTCGGCCCTATCGGTCCACAGCTGAAAAGATGAGAAGAAGAAAGGGGTTCAGGAAGGAGGGATTCAGAACTGATGACCTGAATGCGAACTCGTGACAAGCCTTACCTGCTGCGGGTCCTCGGGCGTCGGCTCGACTTTGCGTGTCTCGAGCTTGGGAGGTTTCGGCGCTTTCTCCTGCTTGGGACCATGGATATCCTTCATTCGAAGCACTTGTCCATCCAAGCCGACCTCAAAGACCATGAAGTCCGTGAACCTGTTCAAACCGGAGCGGACGCCGTTAGCTCAAGGATCGGGTGCACGCTCCGTAGCTCCCTGACATACCTATGCTTGATGATCGCCGCAAAGGGAGGCACATCCCGATCAACGTATTCGGTGATACCGACTTCAGGTTCGAGAGCGGGTCGAATCCCCAAGGAGGGTTCGATCAGTTTGAAGAGGCCTTTCTCGTTCGCGAACGAGAAGGGCGTCGAGGTGGACGTCGAGGTGGATCGAACCGCCGGGGCTGCCCCAGGTACAGAGTCCGTCGTCACTGTGGTGGTCGACATGGAAGGTGCGTCTACTTTGAGGCGCTTGGCTGATGGTTCAGGCGATGACATGGTTGGGTCCGCGACGAGCACGAGTGAAAGAGGCCAACAGAGCTGCGCAGGTGCCGGTGGAGCCTTGCGAAAAGGGGGAATGGAGACGATCGCGGCCAACTTGAAGCCTGCAGTGGCCGCGGCGGGGTCGTGCTTTACCCAAAATTCACTACAGATCGATAATTTAGGCTAGTCCACGTCGCTTCCAAATTTAACTGAACTCGAGGATTCGATGATCTGAACTTGGACTTGTAATTGCAAGTCATTTTGCCTGAGCCCATGCCGGCCAGTCGAGGTGTCGAATTTGCCGACGGCTCCGACTTCACAACACATAAAACAGCACAATGCTGACAAGCAAGGAGGGTTGAGAGGGCTTTGCTTCGATAGGTCCTTGTTTTTTCACTACCTGCAATAGTATTTATCTTTCCGTCGCGCCGTACATGATCTGCTCAAGAGAGTGTATTTCATTGCGCGGGAGTCGAGTCGCGGCGGCGACTCATGCCCTCATGTGGCGGCCGGCATCACGCTTGCCGGCCAGCGCCCGACGCTTGAAACTGCTTGAAACGCGCGCCCTGCAGCCCACTACACGCTCGGATAACCATTGTCTTCTCTCCCACACTTCACTCACACTTCTGAGACGCTCTCATACTCGCGACCTCCAACTATCACACAACATGTCCAACGGAAAGACCGTCCTCGTCACCGGTACGTCCACCCTCATGATCAGAGCTCCCGGCGCATCTCGGCCTACCTCACTCAGTCCGGCGGCGGGCCCCACTTACCGACTCTGCCCGTCTCGCGGACTCACCCCACGCTGACCACGTGTGCTCCTCCTCTGACCCCACAGGTGCCTCCGGATTCCTCGCTTCGTACGTGATCGATGCCTTCCTCAAAGCCGGATGGAACGTCCGAGGTACCGTACGTGACCTCTCCAAGGGCCAGCACCTCCAGGACCGTTACCCTTCCGGTTCCCCACTCAAACTCGTCCAAGTCAAGGATCTCGTCACGGGAGAGGGGCTTGAGGAAGCTATCCAAGCTTGTGATGCAATTGCTCATGTTGCAAGTCCTTGTGAGTGGATTCGATATTCGCTCGGAGGTTTTTCGGTGTTGGCGCACCCTCCCCGCCCCCACCCTCGCCGGAGAAACTGACGAGTCATCTCTCCGATCCGATTCGGCCTCCTTGTGACCTGACTGTCTTCACTCCAGACCATTTCAACATCACCGACCCCAAGAAAGATCTTCTTGACCCCGCCATCGAAGGCACGCTTTCAGTCCTCCGAGCCGCCAAAGCCGTCGGCGTCACCAAGATCGTCGTCACTTCTTCCTTCGCCGCCGTCACCGATTTCACCAAAGGTGGACCGTGGAGGGATTATACCTACACTGCGGAAGATTGGAACCCTTCGACGATGGAGGAAGGTCTCAAGCCTGGTCAGACGGGACCGTTCATCTATTCCTTATCCAAGGTCGGTCGAAGTCGGATCGAAACATTTGAGGTATGCCATGCTCACAGGCGACTTCGCTCTTTGCAGACTTTGGCTGAGCGTGCGGGCAAGGACTATGCTAAAGAGAATGGTCTTGAATTGGCAACGCGTGCGTTGAATCATTGCGAAAATTCTCGGCATCCTTCAATGCTAACGTCTCCCTGCCCTGCCCTGCCCGCCCGCAGTCAATCCTCCGATGATCTGTACGTTCCCAGCGTAGTAACCCCTCATCCCATATTTGACTTCGGATATGTGATATATAGATGGACCCCCTCTCCAACGCATCGCCGATGCATCCGAGGTCAACACATCAAGCGGTGCGATCTACGCCCTCATCAATGGCTCAACCAAAGGCCAAGTCCCCGCGAACCGCTTGCCGCTCTTCTGCCATGTTGAGGACGTCGCTCGAGCCCATGTATTGGCACTTGAACATTTGCCCAAGGTTGATCAACAGAGGTTCTTGCTTTGTGGTGGGGGGTTCACTTGGGAACAGGTGAGTGAGCTCGGATCGAATGGGATCTCGTGCGCTTGAGCAAAACTTCACCTCTCGGAGTTAGGGGTGAGGGGTCAACACAATAATATAATTTGTGCTGATCTCAAATTTCCATACGCCTTCAGGCCATTCTCCACCTCGAGAAGTCTCGACCCGACCTAGCCTCGCGTCTCCCCAAGTTGCCCAAAGACGAAGACCGAGCCGACCTTAATGCGGGACCCTTGGCCAAACTCGACTGCACCCCTGCCAAGGAGTTGTTGGGCATAGAGAGGTTCAAGACGTGGCAAGAGACGTTGGAGGAGACAATCGATCGATTGGTGGAGATGGAGAAACAGTGGTAGTGTGCAGTTTTTAGCAAGCGGACTTCAATGGAGTGGGATGGAAGGCGAGAAGGGTGCTGGGTTGGAGTGACGAAACGGGAAGTTGTCGGCGCGGGCGAAGGCGCGGCCCTTCTCCCAATAATTTGGCGCGAAATTGTGTACGTATGGATTATCTGAGGGGCCAAGAGAACACAATTTGCATGTTAAACAACCAGATCGTTTGCGAGATACAATTTGTGACGGATCAAATCGAGCACACCGAAGCCCCGAGAATCGCGCGGGCATTCGCACCACCGCCAGTGCTGCCACAGACGCGCGCCGGACGCATTGAGGCACTGACACTGTCAAAAGCGGGCTCTATGTCCGAACTGGGCCAAACGTCCGAGGCAGGGCACCCGAAACAAACTTGGCTTGCTGGGAGGTCGTACTTGACCATTGTCATCACTGCCTGGAGACTCGAACTTCTTGTCGTTCCGCCATCACTTGCAAACTCGTACAACGCCCGGCTTCGCCTCTGTAACGGAGTCACATCGCCCCCGCAAGAGTCAAGTCTTCTTGCCGATCTGCAAGCCAAGCCTCGATCGACTTCCGAGTCCACCGTGCCTGTCTCGCTTCCGAACCGGCTTCGACACACCGCCGCGAGCCCATCGCAATCCGCCCGCAACCCTCATAGCCCGTTATCAAGCGAAACATAACAAGGATGGGTGCCGAGCGTCCCCCAACACTCCGTAACCTCTCCATCCCAGACGTCGCCATCCTCCCTAAAGGTCAATCCAATGAACCAGGGGAGAAATCGGCCGTCCTCTCGGTCGACTTGACGAACCCATTCGCCGCCGCCGCCCCTAACAAGCACAATCCCTTTGCGAATCGAGGGCAGCAGTTTTGGCTTGTTTACCTTGCTTTGTGCATGAGTTCTTTCCTTTCGGCTTTGGATTTGACCGCTGTTTCGACGGCACTTCCTTCCAGTACGTTTCGAGTGAGGAAGACTTTTGTGGGAAGCAGTCGAGCCGACGCGCTAATTTCACACCCTGTCCCCTTCCTCAGTGGCCGCGGAATTTCAATCCTCTGAATTCTCCTGGGTAGGATCCGCTTACGCCCTAACATCAACGGCCCTAATCCCCTGGACGGGTAATCTAGCTTCCATCTTTGGCCGAAGATCGACCTTGCTCGCTTCATTGGTTTTATTCGCTTTGGGATCGGCACTAGTCGGTGCGGCGAGGTCGATGACGATGGTTATTGCTGGAAGATCGATTCAGGGTATTGGTGGAGGTGGAATTTTGACAATGGTGAGCCGAACTTGTGATTATTAGAGAGTCCAGAAGGCTAATATGGTGTGTTACTTCTCTTTCTGTCGGCAACAGACCGAAATCGTCGTGGTCGATCTGGTCCCCCTTGCCGACCGAGGAGCCTTCTTCGGAGTCATTGGATCCGGTAAGCAAAGATCTCGGTGCGCCCGGCTGCCTCGCACAACTGACCAGACGCTCTTTATATTCAGTGTGGGCGGTCGCTAGTGCTATCGGTCCTCCTATCGGTGGTGCTCTCGCCTCCGCCGGGGCCTGGCGCTGGTCAGTCCCCTCCCGGTCCCTCAAGTGTGCTGCGATTATAAAACTGATCCTTGGTTCTCCTCCAGGCTATTCTACATGAACATCCCCCTCGCCGGAATCGCTTTCGTCCTTGTCGCCTTCTTCCTCCGCATCAAAGCCCCTGAGACAACCCTCAAGGAGAAACTCGAACAAATGGACTACCTCAACATCGTCTTCGTCATCGGCGCGACCTTCACAATCATCGGCCTGACATGGGGTGGTGTAGCCCACCCATGGACCTCTTACCAAGTCCTCGTCCCTCTCATTCTAGGCTTCACCACCATGGGCGTGTTCCTCTGGCTCGAAAAGTCTTATGTCAAATATCCAACGATCCCTTTCGACATCCTCAGCCATCGAACGAGTTTGCTCGGTTTCGTGACCACCTTCTTGCATGGAATCGTCTCCCTCGCCGCGGTGTACTATCTCACCGTCTTCTTCCAAGCCGCGAAGGGTGCTAGTCCCGTTCAAGCTGGTGTCGATACCTTCTCACTCAGTTTGTGAGTGGTTCCGTGGGAGAATCTTCACATTTCCTTTACCCGCGGCTAACTCTGGTTTTGACCTCTTTTAGCACTGTTGCCCCCTTGTCCATCATCACCGGTGTCGTCATCGGCTATCAAGGAGTCTACAAAGCCTGGAACGTCCTTGGCTGGGCTCTCACCGCCATTGGGTTCGGCATCACGGCGTTGATGAAGTTTGATTGCTCCAAAGCTGCTTCGGTTGGACTGTGAATGATGCTACCTGAACTGCGCGTACGCGATGAGTTACCGAGTGCTGGCGTACTGATCAAATGTTCTATGGCTCTCCTCCCAGTCCGATTTTGATGGGTCTCGGTCTTGGTATTCTTTACTCGAGTACCAACTTCCCAGGTATGCATCAAAATCTTGTGCTCTTCCAAACTGGTCGAGGGTTTGCTCACGTTTCGCCCGCTACATGTCCATCACAGTCCTCGCTCCTCTCAAGGCTTCGCAACAACCGCATGCGGTAAGTCTCGAGCAACTCGGGACCTCCACGCATACGCCCACAATTCAATCCGATCCCTCTTCCTTCCCTCAGATGGCTTTCTTCTCCTTCATGCGCGCCTTCGGTGAAGTCTTCGGCATCTCAATCGGGGCAACCATCTTGCAAAATTCGTTGGCCGCGAACCTGCCCAGAGAATTCCTCGCCCTGTTCCACGGCGAAGCGGAAATTGCTTTCTCTGCGATTCCCAAAATCGTTGATCTGCACGTCAACCCTCTCTATTCCCTTCGAGGAGAGTCAAATCCCCCGGAAAGCTGACACGTCCGCCTCATCCACCCACAGTGCCGAACCCCTCCGTTCCCAAGTCCGAGAGGCCTTCGCCTTGAGCCTTCGCGTCATCTGGCTCACCATGGTCTTCATCTCCGGATTAGGGTTCCTCTTCTCCCTCTTCATTCAGGATATCGAGCTTACGACGGAGACGGATGATCAATGGGGTCTGCATGATGGAAAGTCGGCGCCTAAAGTTGGGGATGAGGAACAGAAGTGAGCTAGACCCGTGCGGTGGGGATCGTCGCCGGTTCGATGGGTCGTTGGGAGATGTGTCGGAAGGGAGGGGAAGACTGGTCTGTGATGAAAGGGTCACCGCAATTTTCATCATTTTTATTTCATTTTTCATCTACACGCCACTCAAGACGACGCTGTCGCCCGTCGTAGAATTGGCCCGTCAGAGGTCTGGAAAAGGGGGCAAGGGAGAAGAAAAGGAGATGAGAAGCGCGCGTCGAATACCGTGAGGCTCGCGGTCGTGCCCGACGAAAATTTGGTGCGGGCTGTTCCAGCTCGCGGTGCCGATCATTTCTTCCGAAGCCCCGTGGGTACCTACCTACGTGCTGAACGTTTAGGCGAAGAGCCGCAGGGTGGCGCCTACAAGCCTATTTCTAGCGGTCTCCGCAAGCTTCCAATTGCTAGGACTGCGGGCAGTCGCGTTCAGCGCGTAGGACAGCTGACGACGAGTCAGACTGCAGGGCTTTGAGACGTTCACTTGGGTGGGCAAGGCTAGGTGATAGGTCGCTACGGTACTTTAGACGGGTCTTCGGGCAACCGGGGCTTGGTTTGAGAGGTCGACAAGATGAAAAGAGCCGCATCATTTGACCTTCTGGGGAGCAGCACGCGAGCCCGATCCCCGAGCTCGGACAGGCTTCGAGACAGGGGTGTCCAGGGCTTACCTCTTCACAGGCAAGGGCTGGTATGGTATAGCAAAGCGGTCGATCAAAGACGATATGATACGGGGAAAAGACGGAACCGAGACCGAAGACGAGGGGGACGAGAGACGAGAGAGAGAGAGAGAGCGACCGGAACGGCCGAGAGACAGGGAAGAGAAAAGGGGCCCAAACCGAGAAACGAGACCGAGTACGACAACGAAATGCTGAGACTGGAGACTGGAGACTGGAGGCGAGGCCGAACGAGACTTGAATCACGCAGAAAGTGAGAACCAGCTAAGATGCTGTATTGGATCCTAGAAGTGGTCCCCCTAAGAACAAGAGCAAGCTCCCCTCCAACGTTCCGACCATTCAGGCCGCTGCGCTCCTTTCATCCCCTTCACTCCTTCATCCGCGCATCCGGCCAGGTCTTCCACTCAAATCCTGCCACATGATTCGTTGCTGACGGTCAATCCTTGAGTCATCGAAGTGCTGAGTTTACCCGGGAGCGCTTTATCGCTGAGAAATCTGCCGAAACCGGTGTTTGATCCTGCCCGAACCGGTGTTGACCCTGACAATTTGAAACGACTCCGGAACTCGGCCTCACTACAACCGAAATGACTCCTGAACCCGGCCCGCTACAGCCGCTGCTTATCCCGAGTACCACAGCTGGGCACTGGAGCTCACCAATGCGAGATCGAAGTGCAATAAGGCTTGGCACCTAAAACCGGCCAACGGCGACTCTCGCCACGATAAGTAAGCTCAGGGTTCCAGTTGTGTCGTAGATGGGCTGAGAGGATTGGTCCATGCCCGAAGCCCGGCAGGGCTGGCAGGTGCTGGCAAGGCTGGCTGCAGTGTGGGGTAAGCGGTGCGAGCCCGTGCGCCTGCGTGCCTGCGTGCGAGCCCGTTGGCCGCCACGTGCGATCCCGATGCACGGCCGGGGTATAGTTGGCGATGCCGACGAGTCGTCACTCGTCACATACCAACCCCAGGGTTTTCAGCATCGTGTCACACCAAGATTCATGGGCAGACTTTGACCCAAGTTCCGACTCGGTCGATTCTTGTTGTCTCCCTCTCCTTTACCACTTCCTTAGAACTCAGTCTACAGGTACACCCGGAGCAGCTCCAATCGCCTCATCAGTGAACGCCGCCGCGGCGATCTAGCACGACTGCACGACTGCACGTGGCGCCTTATCCCTCCTACACGTCGACCTCGCCGCCCCAAGATCTCAGCCGTGAGGTGAGACAAGTTTAACTTGTGCTTCTTTCTTCTACACGTCGACCTCGCCGCCCTACGATCACAGCCGTAAGGTGAGACAAGTCAACTTGTCAGACCGAACAAGCTCCGAGTCCGTTGCCAGCTTGCATCTGCAGCTTCTGCAACCTCGAACCAACCTCCAATTTCTTCCGACTTCGCCCCATCTCGATCTAATTACCATCTCACAAGGCAACACCACGCCCTTGACCATGACCGAGTCCAAAACTTCCAACGCGCTCCCCAAGTCCTCGACGCTGGACAACGGCGCCGACTCGACCGAAGCTGTTGAAACCCCTGCCAATCAGAACCCCTTCGCCGGCAAAGGCAGTCAATTCTGGCTCGTCTTCCTCGCCCTTTGCGTCTCTTGCTTCCTCTCTGCACTCGACTTGACCGCCGTTTCGACCGCACTCCCAGCCAGTGAGTTTTCGACCTTAGCCACGCGGTCGGTCTCAGGTTATCTTCGGGTCAAGGGGACAGATCCTAACGCGATTTGTCATTGCGCAGTGGCGGCCGAGTTTCAATCCACCGAGTTCAGTTGGGTCGGATCGGCTTACGCCTTGACCTCGACGGCTTTGATTCCTTGGACCGGAGGGTTTGCCGCCATCTTTGGTCGAAAGGCGACCATGCTAGGGTCCTTGGCTTTATTCGCTATTGGCTCGGCCGTCGTCGGTTCGGCACACACGATGGAGATCGTCATTCTTGGTCGTGCAATCCAGGGTATTGGTGGAGGTGGAATTCTTACAATGGTGAATTGTGATTGCAGGCGTGTGAAGAACTTAAGGGCGGGTGCTGACCTCTCATGAGCTGCTCTCGCCAGACCGAAATTGTCGTCGTCGATCTCGTACCGCTCGCCGAGCGAGGCGCTTTCTTCGGCATTTTTGGCGCAGGTGAGTGCAGGTCCAACCTCCTTTAAGCAACTTACGATCTGACGTACTGTATCACACTTCACAGTCTGGGCCTTTGCCAGTGCGATCGGTCCCCCCATCGGTGGTGCCCTTGCCTCCGCTGGAGCTTGGCGATGGTAAGCCTCTTATACCTACCTTATGGCTTCACGCCTACTCACCCGGAAGCTGATTTACGCATCTTGCCCGGCTCCAAAAACAGGTTGTTCTACCTCAACCTTCCTCTCACCGGTGTCGCGGCCGTCTTGGTCATCTTCTTTCTCCGTATCAAGGCCCCTCAAACGACTCTCAAGGAAAAGCTCGCGCAAATGGACTACTTCAATCTCGTCTTCGTCGCCGGCGCGACCTCGACCATCCTCGGTCTGACCTGGGGCGGTGTGACCTACTCATGGTCGTCTTACGAGGTCCTGGTTCCTCTAATCATCGGTTTGTCCCTGATGGGTTTATTCCTTTGGCTCGAGAAGACATACGCGAAGTACCCGACCGTCCCCTTTGACGTGCTTCGTCATCGCTCGAGCTTGCTCGGTTTCATGGCCACTTTCTTGCATGGTATCGTCACTCTCGCGGCTATCTACTACATGACGGTCTACTTCCAAGCGTCCAAGATGGCGACACCTGTCAAAGCTGGAGTCGATACTTTCTCATTGAGTTTGTAAGTAAAGTACTACGCAGTCATCGCGCGTCAAAGCTGCTTGCTAACTCGCAGGATCTTGTTCTGGCTACGCAGCACCATCGCCCCTATGGCCATCGTCACGGGTGTCTCGATCGGTATCCTCGGGACCTACCGCAAGCAGAACCTTTTCGGATGGGCTCTGGCTATGATCGGCTTCGGCTTGACCTCGATGCTCAAGTACAACTCGTCCAAGGCTGCTTGGACTGGGTAGTAAGTAACCATGACACGCATGTCAAATGCGTATTCCTAATCACAGTCCCTGATCATTCTTCATCTCTTCGTAAACAGTCCAATTATCGCCGGTATCGGCATGGGTATCCTGTACAGCGCCACCAACTTCCCCGTCCTCGCTCCTCTTAAGCCGTCTCAGCAACCTCACGCCGTAAGTCGAAACCGTGTCTTTAAGACCCTCTTGACCGCAACTTGATCCGCCTCTTGCCTCGTCTCCAAAAGATGGCTTTCTTCGCCTTCGTGCGTTCGTTCGGCCAAGTGTTGGGCATCTCGATCGGCTCAACGATCTTGCAGAACCAATTGGCCAAGAACCTCCCCGAAGCGTTCTTGGCCATGTTCCATGGCAATGCCGAGATCGCGTTCCCGGCGATCCCTATCATTCCTACTCTGTGAGTTCAATTTTGATGAAGAGGTTCGTTTTCGGTATCGGAGTCTGACCCATCAAGTCGTTCCTCCTGACCCAAAGTGCCGAGCCGATCCGCTCCCAAGTGCGTGGAGCGTTCGCCTTGAGTCTACGCGTGATTTGGCTCGTCATGATCGGCATCTCTGGGTTAGGATTGATCATCTCCTTCTTCCTGAGGGATATCGAATTGACCAAGGAGATGGATGACAAGTGGGGGATGAGTGACAAGCAGGAGGGGACGTCGGCTGCTGCTGAGATGGTGGAGCAACGGGTTTGATTGAAACTTCGGTGGAATGCGGTCGCAGGAGGTGTCGATCTCGATGGTACATACATGGCTACGAGTAGACTTTTTCTTTGATCCCAGTTTCAGTTTATATAGATCTTGGTATAATACGTAATGAAGTTCGAGTCCCATAGCATGCGAAAGAATGAACTTGAAGCTGCCAGCTTTAAATTTACACGGTCGACCGAGCGTGGCCGCCGGTTGGTTGCCTTTTGCAGCCTTCCCGCCAGTTCCCGCCGCGCTCAGCCGCGCTTTTGTCCTTTTGTTGCGCTCCTCCCACCCACGACGCGTCGCGCTCCCACCCACCACCGTGCACCACCCACCCCGTGCTCGTGCTCCGCCGCAAAGACGGACGACCAAACGGACGCCCGTTCGTAGGATAGGACGATGATCAGGATCCCGTTGGCCCCTCTACGCCTGACCGACTACACGCGCCTTACGTCCCCCTTGTCACCTCACAAGCGGAAGAGTGGCCGTAGTAGTGGTTCCGGTAGCACTGCAAGTTCGAGGACGAGCCGTTCGAGCGTTTCGTCGGTCGCCACGCCCAGTGGAGACGCGTCGAGTGAGGCCAGTGCGAGTACGAGGACGAGTACGAGTACGAGGGGCACACGCTTGTCGAGTACGATGGCGTCTTCGTTATTGCCTTCACCTTTCGGAACGACGACGACAACTACACCCCCCCTTGCGCGGAGTAGTAGCGAGGCGGGACGGCCCTTGAAGACGCTGTACGAGGCGCCGCGACCTTCGTCATCCTCCTCGGCGCGGGCGATGGCGCATGAAGACGAACAAGGCGACGACGATGACGACGATTCACCCGATGAACTGGTGGCACAGACGAATCGAGCAGCAACTACACCACCGAGGAGGTTGATGGACCTTTTCCTCAGCTCGGCGGCCAAGGAGAGGGAAGCATCCGTCTCGGCAGGTCGAGCCCATTCGCCGCGCTCACCGCAACCGCGTAGTCGGACCAGGAGCGAACCCGTTCATCTCAGTCCGTCGAGGAATGCAGCAAGAGCATCGGCCACGCCTGCTCCTGCACCCACGAGCAAGGATGAGGAGATGGCTGCGGCACCGAGTAAGTCTAGTCGATCATGCACCTCAGCTGGCAGCACTTGCTGACTTTTGTTACCCGAAACCAGCGTGGTCGTTCTACGAAGATCCAGTCGAACCCGCACCCGTCGCGTCGACCACAGCGAACGGAGCAAACGACTCCACCTTGGATACCGAAGCGGACGAAGTCGAATACCACGACGAGAACACGAAACCCTCACCAACCTCATTGGCGCGCCTACTGCGGCATCGATCCCTCGCCCCCGTCGAAGCACCGAGGCTAATGCCCTCCCCCACCTCGATGACAATTCCTTCCGCGCCCGTCCCGCAGACCCAAGTTGCCCCACCTTTGACGCCCCCACCTACTACCTTGGAATGGAACGAGATGCACACTATCACGGCGATCGCGATCCCTGGGTCACCGCCTTCCATCTTCCCCACCTGGGACCCGATCGAGGACTCAACCAGAAGGCAAAGCTTCTTCGGCGATACGGGCAACCATTCGTTCGACTCGAGGATATCGTCCTCGCATGGGTGTGACGAGATAGGCAGAAAACGAAGTGGTCTTGGAGAGGAAGAGCTGTTAGAAGAGGCGCATGAGGGGAAGAGGATGAGGTTGTCCAGCGAGTGAAGGGGGACGCTCCAGCCTTTCTTTTTTTTCTATCTCTGTACGCTCTTGGTTTTGTATCCGAACATTACTTGGGGGATGTTTGCTTTCCTTTGTTAAAGATAGGTTTCTTCTTGTTACGTGCAACCTAGCATCTATCGTCTCATCTTGACTTCGTCCCGCAATGGCTGATGAAAACTGCGATGACATAAACCCGAACCCTGTTTTTCTTAGAACAAACCGCCGTTCCTTCCCTCTACCCATCGACCCCAACCTGAATCGCGATCCCCATCGACGCCAATTCGGCGACCAACATCCTAAACACAAACGGCACGGCGACCACTTCCAACTGACCCTTCTGCCCGAGCCTCTGCACCTTGATCGCTCCCTTCTTCCCCTCCTTCACCTTCTCCTCCCTGTCCTTGCCCTGCCCTCGACAAACCATACAATACTCCCCACCCGGTCCCGTCGAAAGGTAATCGTCCCCCGTTCCCAACGTGATCTCCCTCGACAACGCAACCGGTTCGTACCCCAACGAGACCATGGACCCACACGACCGACAGACCCAACACGTCGAATAATCCGAACAATTCATCAGTCGATCCTGGAGCAGGTAACTCGTGCCATGGGCCAACAAGGCATCGCGTTCCATCTCGCCGAATCGAATGCCACCGCCCCTCTTGCGTCCTTTGACCGGTTGTCGAGTAACTTGGTCCAACGGGCCAGTCGTGCGTACTTGCCATTTATCGTTGACCATGTGACGCAGGCGTTGGTAATAGACGACGCCGAGGTAAATGTCCGCGTGGAACTCTTCCCCGGTGATACCCGAATACATGGGCTCGTTGCCGTAAAAGTTGTATCCGGCCGCTTTGAGTTGTTGGCCAAAGTATTCGGCCGGGGTATCGTCCTCGGAGAAATTGAAGGGCGTGCCGTCCTGGGCCAGACCGTGCAATGCCCCAGCTTTGGCGGCGATCGATTCGACGAACATCCCAATCGTCATTCGGGAAGGGAACGCGTGAGGGTTGATGATGACATCGGGTTGCATCCCCGATTCCGAGAAGGGCATATCGACCGCGGGGTACTTCTGCGAACACACACCCTTTTGTCCGTGTCGGGACGAGAACTTGTCACCGATCACGGGCGCACGAGGGATGCGCAACTTGATGTGCAACTTTTGCGCTTCGGCGTCCCCCGAGTCCGAGCCAATCAAGCGCACTTCATCGACGTAGGCCTCTTCATCACCCTTGTATTTCTCAAACTTGGTCGTCCCCGTCGTACGATCAAAGTAGGCGCAAATCGGCGTGCGTTGCTTGACCTTGACGCCGAGGAAAGGTAAGCCATCGTCGTCAATGGTGTTACGTTTGTCACTATCGAGGCGCACGTCGTTCCCCATCGCAAAATGAACCTCTGGCGCTCCACCCGATCCTTTATCCCCTCGCACATTCTTGAGATCGATGATCTGCGACTTGTAAACCGACCCATGGGCGAAGCCACGTTCGTGCGCGGACTTGTTGAGGATCATGGCGTCTTCCATATCGTAACCCGTGTAGGAGATGACGGCGACGATCGCGTTCGTACCGTTCGGATACCCGTCCATGCCATAGTCGTTGTGCAGCAACGGGCGCACGATCGGCGTTTGACCGCATTGCAGGCGGTACAACTTGTTGTCTGTGCGGCGTTGCAACGCCGTCGAAGGCGTTCCCATCGTTTGTTTTGACATTTGACTAGGAGAAGGAACGAAGCCACATGTCAGCAGCCGTAAAAAAAGCATCCGTCTGAATCGCATTTACCATTGGTACATATTACGAGGCGACTGGTTATAATCCGAAAACGGCGTCAAGTTCGCCAAGAGGGACAAGACGTTCGTCGGCGAAAACTCGATATGGGACGTAACCCCCTGTTCGACCTCTTCAGGCATACAAGCAATATTGAGGTAGACCTGTTCGAAAGGTCCAACAGAATCGGTCTTGCCGTTCCCGAGATACTTGACATCTCGCATCATGCGTGCGCGGGAGGCGAAGAGGTACAAGCCGGGGTATTGGCCTCCCTTCGAGGTAGGGACGAGCCCAATCTCGAGATCGAGAGGGACGTCGTATTCGCCTTGGGTCTTCCACAGTCGGAGGATTGTCGCCATCTTGGACGCCAGGTCAGGGGTTGCGTACCCGATGATGCGACCGTCGAGTTGGATAACGACAGTTTGACGCCCGTCGATCGAAGGGTCGAAAGGTTGCGACATGCCGAGCGAAGTCAAGAGGACAGGGAGGTGCGAGACCTGGAGGTGCGAATGCACCAAACGGCACTTGTGTGCGAAATGGTTCAACAGACCACAGGGGGATCCATCGGGGGTATGAACGGGGCACAAGAACCCCCATGCTTCGGGTAGCAGTTTTCGTACGGTCGTCGTTTTGAGTTCCGCAAAGAAGGCACCACGATGGACGGAACGGAAATGCGAGATGTAACGCGTAAAGTTGAGCTTCTCCGCGACGATCGTGTACCCCGCCGCTTGTTGCAGGTCCAACCCCGAGGGGGAGACGAGATTTCCCGTCGCGAGAAAGTAGTTGAGTTTTTGGCCAATGTCGGCGTTGACCCTCTGAATTGTCTTGAGGATGTAGTTGTTGTCGCTCAGTTCGCACGAAGGGACCTTCCGCCGAATATCCTGTTGGATCTGCAGCTTGATGCCGTTAACGTATTCGTCGAGCTTCTCCTTGATGATGATGCCGTACAGGAACCCGGGCATGAGGATTTCTTGATGTTGGGGCGAATCCGGGTTGTCGGCGCAGCAGTCGCCTCCGACGAGGGCGTACAGCTTGCGGATCATGAAAAAGAGCATGCGTAACTTGTCGCGGGGGTCCTTGAGGTGCACCAGCACGATCTTGTCGAGCAGGAATTGACCGACGCGCTCGTCCGTCCAGTCCTCGGGGCACTGCAGTACGACCCTGAACTTTTCACCCAAAAAGGCAAGGCATTGCTGTTGCGTGAAGAGGCCGTAGGTCTTGAAGCCGCGCAAGAGCAACTCGACCCGATCGGTCAAAAAGGTGTTTTGGAAGTCGTTCTGGAGGATACCCATGAATATCTCCTTGTCGGTCGCGCCGACGAGCGCCTTGAGAACCATGACGACGGGCACCATGTACTCTGCTTTCCTCCAGCTGAAGCGCAGGGTCGAGCCGCCGTTGGAGAGGTAGTGGAGCGTGTTGGTCTGGGACGTCTGATCGGGTCGTACGGAGCGGATGGAGACACCGTACTGGGTGTAGGCCGCTCCTCGGTTCCCGAAGGAGGGTCGGATGATGGACGTGACGTGGTTCCGTCGCGGTACGATGAGGAAACGAATCAATCGTTCGTTACCGTTGATGATGAAGTAGCCTCCCATCTCCTCGGCCTCTTCGTGGTGCTCGACCATTCCGGCGGGTGCGAGTCCTTTGAGGTTGCATCGAGTGGACTATGACAACAAAGACGAGTGAGCCAACACTCGAAAAGGACTGATTGGCTCGGTCGCCGAGAGGAACGCACCTTGACCATCATGGGCATGTTGCCGAGTTCTCGCGTGGTTTCTCCGGCGGGCACTCCGTTGAGGGACCACGACACCTTGGCCGTCATTTTGGACGCATACGTCGCCAAGCGTTCCCGGGCCTGACGGACGATCCAAAGTTGAGATCAGAACGGGGAAAGCGAGCTCGGCATGCGAAGTCTCACCTCGCTGGGGTAGACTCGTCGCTGAGCTGATCCGACACCTTTGATCGGGACCATGGGCCGGGCGACAGTCAAGTTGTCGATTTTGACTGTCGGTCAGAATACGACACCCTCATTAGTGACGGTACGGGCGACCGAACGAGAGCGCTCCTGCAACCCACTCTGCAACCGATTGCCCAACGAGCCTTCGGGACCTTGCCCATCGAAAATGACCTTGGGGTCCAAGTCCAACACGCCCATATCGAGCAAGCCTCTGCCATGTTCGAGCTCGCCACCGGGTCCCAAGGGAGCACCTTCGAACAGCGCATCGAAGGAATCGATATGGGGTGCGACCAGGGCTTGCGCGGCGGGGTATTGGGCCGAGATGGTCGACGGGTCGCGGAATCCGTTCTCGCGGTCGAGCGTGCGGAACGAGGTCGAGGCGATCCCGGAGCTGCGGCTGTTGTTGCTGCTGCTCTTCTTGGAGGGGCCTGCGACGGCATCCGAGTGGAGCGCTGCTGTCGAAGGACGGCCGGGCATCGTTCGGGGTGGAGTGGGGTGTACGCAGGGGCCGACTCGGGCTGGAGCTGGGCTGGAGCTGGGCTGGAGCTGGGCTTGGGGATCTCGCACGAAACGAATCCGAGCCGAGCGCGAGCGGGTCGGTCGAACCTGGCGGCGACAGGGGGAGAGAGCGGCGACTATGGCACCTGCCAGTCGAGTGTCGAGCTACAGCCGAGCCCTGAGCCAAGGTGTTACGTGGGCAACGAACCTCTGCAACGACCTAGAGAGGGGAGGGAACGAGCGCAGGATGATGGGTCGCAACCGAGAGGGGCGTAGACTGGCGTAGGCTGCCCTGGCGGCTGTAGGCTCTGGCGGCTGTAGGCTCTGGCGGCTGTTTGTCGGCCGAGTCGTCCTTGCGAAGCCACAATTGCGCATTACGCCTCAAATCATCATTACTCTGGGTGTTTCGAGCGGTAATCCTCCTGCGCGCGCCGCCAAACCATCGCCGCGCGTGCCTCCGCTCTTGCTTGCTTGCACACTACACCCGATCCACGACATCTTGCACCGGACCACGACCACGACCACGACCACGACCACGACCACGACCACGACCACGACCACGACCACGACCACGACCAGCAAAGCACGCGTATTCCGGTTCATCGCCTCGTAGGCATCGACGGTGCAGCTCGCGGAGGTCGCCATCTCGAGGCGCGACAACCCCTGTGTGATCGCGCCCCAAGTCACACACGCCCCGCCAACTGCTGACTCATCACACCATCGACTCGCGCTACACCAGACCTGGATTCTACTGGTCATCCACTGCAGCGAACTCTAGGACCCTACACACTGCCCAGCCCAAGCCATGGCAGAAGACGCAGCGGCGCTGCTAGCCGACTTTGTCAGTTCGCTCGACAACCTCCCCAGCGAAGTGCAGCACATCCTGCAAGAGATCGGCCACAAGGAAGCCCGTACGAACGACGTCAAGAACAAGGCTCTCTCCCGCGATCAGGCGATCCAGAAGCATGCCCGGCCCCTCGCTTCCGGGGGGCAGGGTTTGCTCGAACCGAATCCAAAGGAGGACGAGCTGATCAAAAAGATACGGTCAGTTCCGGACGATCGAGTCGTGTGTTCGTGTACAAGCCTTTCTGATTCCGCACGTGGTCGCTGCTCGCACCACAGGCTCGATCTAGACAAAGCCGAGACCTCGGCCAAAGAAAAAGTGGCCCTCGCTGAACGAGGCGTAAAACTCGTCAGTCCGCGTGGCTCACTGTCCTTCGTCATCCTACAACACCCTACTCACACCATCGTCCTGCCCCGAACCAGATCTCCCGCCACCTCACCCGCCTCCAATCCCAACTCGAGCTCGTCACCTCGGCCATACCCCCGCTACCAACCCTCCCTTCCTTCGACCCCGTCATGCCGATCCTCCCAACCCCGACCCCCGTCTCCCAACCCCCGAACCCCAACTTCAATCCCAACCAAGCCTCGCAAACCAGCTTTGGTGCCTACAACCACCCCGGTACACCAGGAGGTGGTGTCAATTTTCAGCTTCAGAGCCAGGCGCAGAGGAAACCCGCACAAGGAGCGAACTTAGGAACGCCAGCTCAACCTTCACCTATGCAGATCCCGATGCTGCAAGGACAAATACAACAGCACCTCGCGGCCCATTCGCCACAAGGTCAATACGGCTTCGCGACTGGTGCTGGGATCGCGACAGGTGCGGGAGGCCCAGGGACCCCGATGGGTGGAGCGGCGAGAGGAGGACAAATTATCAATCGACCTGGCACGGGCGCTCGGCCACCAAATCAATACCCTGCTCAGCAAGCTGGCACACCTCTCTCAGCCAACTCGAACCCTCTTCTCCATCTCCAACAAACCCTCGGGGGAGGAGCGACGGGCGCCGCGAACCTCGCGATGTTGCAGCAGCAGCAACAGCAACAGCAACAACAGCACGCGCACATGCAGCAACAACAACATCAATTGCGGATCCAACAACAGGCCCACGCGATGCAACAACAACAATTGGCGAATCAACAGCAGTTGCAACAGTTGCAGCAACAGCATGGGGCCAACGCAGCGAATAACAAACGTAAGAGGCAGGACGAGGAGGTCGAAGCTGCTGAAGTCGAGGCGGAGGGGGAGGATCTCACACCGTATTGTTTCTGTCATCGACCGTCGTTCGGAGAGGTGAGCGAGCTTTCAAGAGCAAAAGATCGGCAGACGTGTGCTAACCCTCGCTCTCGTCCCCTTCTCTTCACAGATGATCGGATGCGATGCCCCGAATTGCCAGATCGAATGGTTCCACCTCTCGTGCGTCGGGCTCAAATCGACCCCCGAAGGCAGTTGGTATTGTCGCGATTGCGAACCCAAGATGCAAAAGGGGGCGTCGAGGAAACGCCGATGATTCCTGTCTGGTGGGCTCTCTCCTTCTTGCAATTTGCCCTTTTTCCATGTAATGCTCAGTAACGCACATGTTGTTCTCATTCCACGCGAATCGTGTACACTTTCGGAAAATAATGTCTTTAATCTCTTCACATTGCATGCAATGGTATTACATTTCTTCCCCCTCCTCCACAAAACCCTTATCGACCGCCGCAATGCCCCCTGCACACAGCACACAATTACTCGCCAACAGATCGTCCAACGCCTCCCTCAAGCTCTCCTTATCACCCGACACGGTCCCAACATGGTTCGCGGGCTTGTCCAAACGCGGCGTCGTCGAGAGGTCGCCACTTCCTCCCAAACGTAATTTGCCTGTGCCCGGGATCGCTCCGCCGATCGCACCGAGCAAAGCATCAGGAAGCACAAGTTTCCGCAATTGGTCCAACCCCTGTACTGAAGCGACAGCGAGTTTGAGACCCTGATTCTGCGTATCCTCCGTCAATGTCCTCCTCGTCCGTACGGGCGCGGTCGAAGGAGCCAACTTGGCCTGAAGGTCCAACATCCTCCTCAACGCGACGGGCGAAAGGATCTTGGTCACTTCCTTGATCAGACAATCGGCATGAAAGCAATGCTGACAAGGGAAGACGTAGAACTGTCGTGTCAGAAGTTGCAAATGACAACTCCCGCACTTCTCCGATGCGTCGACGGTGATGAAACGATGGCGCAAGTCGGCGATATCGCTCTTGATTTGTTCGGCGCTACGCGTCGCTTCGTCCATGTCTTCTTTGAGGCGTTCGATATGGGCCGAATACCCTTCCAGGGCCGAACAGATCTCTTCCTTGAAATGATCGATGACGACGAAATCGGGGAAGAAGGGCAAGACATCTTCAATCTTGAGCAAATCGGTACTTTCGAGAAACTTCATCGCCGTTTTGACGTCGTTTTTTTGCGCGACGACGTGGTGCGCGATCTTGAGCCACAGCTTTTTGCGCAATAGGTCATCGTCTTCGGGTTGATCGGCGCTCATCTTGGCTAGTTCGAGATCGTCGTGTTCAAGCGCGAGGTCGACCGCGGATTCGTACAAGGCCATCTTGCCGTAGATGAGCACCGAGGCTTGCACACACTTGTTGGCGCGACATAACCGCAGTGCGTAGTCGAGGTCATAGTATGATTCGCCCGTGATTGGATCATCAGGGCTGACGGAGAGGAAGTGGAGGAAATCGGCTTCGGATGCGGAAGGATCAGTTGCATAGAGGGTAAGCAAGGCATTGTGGACAGAGGTCTCGGTGTTTTGCAACTGTAGGATCGAGTACTGGAGGTATCTTCGTATCGGCCCCAGTCCTGAGGAGGAAGATGTCGATGGTCGTGGAGCGCACAAAGCAGGGATGAGCCGTCGAACATCGAGTGATGGCTGTCGCATGAAGGTCTCGACCGTCTCGTTCGGTGCATGTCGCAAGAGAACGGGAGCGAAGCGGTAGTAGGCATCCAAGCCCTCCTGCGGGTATCGACGGCCAGATGCAAGAGTCAGATCCCACCTCATTGCTCCAATCACCCGCAATCGATCTCACCTGCTGGTTTAGAGACACGAGCGCATTCTTCCAGTTCTCTTCCAGGACCCAGTGCGTGACGATCCGCTCATGATCGCCGACGATTGAGGCATAGTACAGCGTCAGCTCCTCCCGTCCGTGCGATTGGAGGAGGTCGAAGATCGTGGTCGGGTCGAGGTTGTCCTGAGGATTGAGGATTGAGGAGTAAAATCAGCGCGGAGCTCAAACCACACAGACTAATCGATGAGACTCGCCTTGTAAGTCTTGAAAAAGTTCCTCAAGTCCTCCTCAATCATCGGTTTCTCAACCTCAAAATTTTGCGCGTCCTCTGTCGATCGCTCCGCCGCGGCCATATCTTCCAATTGATTGATCTTGGACAAGTAGATCTCGACGAGCCACGTCGCAAGCATCATGCGTTGCGTCAAATCCTGTGGAAACCGACGCGAACCTGGCTCAGAAAGTTGGTCCGATGGCCAAAATTGGGGTCGAGCTCATCGACTCACGCTCTTGTTTATCCGTTCCAACTTGGCGGTCAAGTAGTACCTCAGCGCATCGCGTTCGTTCTTATCGACGAACTGTAGGGCGACCTCTTCAAAGCTCTTGGACGACTGAGCGTAGCATTGCGCCGATTGAATATAACGCCCTTGAGCAAAGTACGCATCCGCCTCGGCCGACAAGACTTGGTCTCGTTGTCGTCGAGTCTGGAAAAGATGGGAGACGCTTAGTGATGTGTCCCGGCAGCACACACAAAACAGGGATCCCAACGCGCACCTTCGTGTATTTGCGTGCAAGTTCCCAGTTCGACCGCTGCAGGTACGTCTTCCACACATCCCGATCTTCATCCTTGATGACGAGTTCGAAGATAGACTGATCGGTATGCATCCAACATGTCTTGCGGATCGGATCGGTCGACAGTCGGATCGGCTTGACTCCGGAGGGCTTTTGCGGGAAGTGAAAAGAAGTCAGCAAGTCTACTCTGGAAAGATTTACTCTGGAAAGACTCCTAAAGGTCCAAGTGCCTCACCAGATCCAGCGGTTCCTCAAACACGATCTTGTCACTCAAAAGCCCGATGACGCGAATCTTGTCCTCGTACAAAAGAACAATATGCCACTCAGTCAGAGCCATACTGATGGGAGTATCTATCCGCTCTGCAACGTGTCGGTGCGCGTCCGAGTAGGAGCGCTGCAACGAGCTGACGTGGGTCGGGGCGGTGGGTTGGGAAGGGAAAGGCACGAGGGAAGCGGATTCGATGACGCCATCGCCTGGTTGGAGATGGTCCGACGAAGGCGGTGGAAAGGAGAGTGCGCCGTGGTAGATCCCCGGGCCGGTGAGCCAAGCAACGCTCCTGGGCAGGCCCAATCCGACGATATTGCCCTTGGAGTCAACTCGGACGGGGGCAAAAAAGTGAAGTTCCGAACTGATCGGCTCGCCCGGCAATTCAAGGGATTCTGTGAGAGAGATAATGTCGTCAGCCAAGGTCGCCAGCTGTACCCTCTGCTGCGGGACTTACTAGGTTGCGCCTCTCCGCTCGAATAGAGCGCCATGACGGCCTCCGACAGGCCACCGCCTTCTTCGTCGGTCGATCTCCCTTCGCTCAAGGTTCCGACGAATTGATAGATGCGTGTCTGTGTCGTTGCAATAACCGCTGCTCGCTTGCCCCACGACTCGCGTCTCAATCCTGTGACAGCCTGCCGATCGGAAAGCGTGAAGAGGTTTTTGACGTATCGCTCGGGAGTTCCCGACCTCCCTGGTACAGGCAAGGAGAAGGATGTCGATTCGCTCAATGTCGGATCGAGCAAGCACGTCTCGAGGATCTGACCCGATGCGGTGCCCAACAAGATGTCGCGAGTCGAGAACGTCGACAGCACGGCGTTCGAGCCATTGCCCTGCCCACCGCTCGCCGAGGCCGTGGCCGACGACCACGACACGGACTCGATGATGGCGCCTCGCAACCTCTGCAGCGGCTTGACTTTACGACTCGTGTTGGAGCTCGAACTGCCGATGGGCAAGGCGCCGACGTAGACGTAGAAGTTGTCGCCGGTCGTGGCCGAGACGATGACATGTCGCCCCGTCGGATCGACGTGAACGCGGTGCAGCTTGGTCGATGTGGACCCGTCGCGTTGGGAGATAGTCGGAGGTGGTATCGGAAGGTCGATGGTGTCGACTTCGGTGGGCCGGTCGAGGTCGATGCGGATCAGCTGCGGTGACTGGCCGCCGACGGTCGCGGTGGGGGAAGCTCGCGGCACGCCGACGACGCACAGCAGTAGCACGTTGGAGCTGCACGACAACGAATGCAGTGCACTCGAAAGAGCGAACTGCACTCGGCCCAGAGAGAAGGCGGGAGAGTCGCCGGCCTGCAGTGCAACACGCCGTCGGACATCAGGAGCAGTGTCGGTGGTGATGGTCAAGGTCAAGGTGGGGTACGATCGGGGGGTGTGACGAAGAGAAGAGATGGCCAGACCTCAGCCATTGGCCATCGGCCCCGAAAGCGCATGGAATATACACTGACCTCGTCGCCTTCTGGCTGGTGTCCATACACCGCGCCATCGACCGGCTCAAAGCCCTGCGCAACAAGCGGTGCCGCGCTGTCGACGTACTCGTCCCATCCCGTCCCCGTCCCCGTCGACGTGGCCATCAGTGAGCTAATACGAATCACCAAACCCTGGGTCAATCGAGTCGCTGGCTTCCTCCTCCCACGTAACGATGCTGCGCGTCCGTCCGGCTTGAGCTGGGCTGAGGCTTCTGAGCTGATTTGAGTGGAGGCCACAGCAGTGCCACAGGCTACAGCGGAAGGAGAGCCGTCCAGCACGAGGCCCAAGCGCGCCGACATTCACCCTGCCGCTCCACCGACTTCCACCGACCTCCAACGACCTCAAAAGGTGACTTGGTCTGAGATGCTCGCAATACTTAAGGACAACGTGAAATGCAATCTTCTAAAACACAAGCACTGCAAGAACCGGTATACGAGATCCGTCGTTATGATATGCAAAAATCCGCTAAGCCTCCTCTTTCCTCCCCTCACCACTGGGTAACTTCCGAACCACTGCCCGACCCACATCCCCTTGATTAGTCGGCGCGCCACACCCTTTGGGTTCCAAAACGACCTCCTCCTCCTTCAGTTCCGCCAATGCCTGAGCGGCGCGCTTCATCCTCTCCAACTCTTGCGCGAACGGACTGCGAGCTCGGAGGCGAGCACCGTAGATGAAGAGCACGAAAGGCGTCACCGACAATAAGGTCGCAAGACCCGAAGTTAGGCCACCGGCACCTTGGATGCCGAGGCGGTCGTACAACGAATCCGTGAACAGAGGAAATACAGCTCCGACGAGACTGAGAGATAGGTGTGAGAATAAGGCAGTCCGAGTCAGCTATAGCGCCTCCATCAACCGAGATACCAAGCGCATGCGACTCACTTTCGGGCAAACGACATCGCTGACAGGGCAGAACTCGCATAGAGGGTATAGGAATCGGCGAGGTAGCTGAAAACAGCCAGATAGATGAGGAGGATCCCTATAGACGCCGCAGAGGGAACGGGTGATGAGCCAGATCCAAGGAGCGATACAATCATCGTCGTTCAACCCTCGCAACTCACCAACGTAGAGGATGCTGACGCAGATACACGGCACGATCCAAGGGATGGAAGTGAACGACGTGAAGGTAAAACTAAAGCATCCCACGGGGACGAAGATTCCTCCAGCCATGGCCGAGTACAAGCGAGCTTCGGGACCCCGTCGCCCGACTTCCTTGATGTACTTCTTGTTGCAGAAGTGGTCGACCACAAGGCCAACGGAAGCTCCGATGAATTGCGCAGCGTACGTCATTCCGGCTTCACCAATCGAAAAGCCGTACAATTCGCCAAACACGAGCGGGAGCGAAACGAGTTGAATGTAGAGGATGGCCCAGCAAAACGCGATGTAGGCCGAGAAGGAAATGAGGATCGGCTCGGTGGCGAGCATCTTGACCGGTCGCGACAAGGCCGTAGTCATCATGTGCGTGAACGACCCTCGCTCGAGGTCGAATTTGCACTGGTATTTTGAGTCACCCGTCTCTTTTCTCAGTCGAGCCGCTTTGCGCGATAACAGCACAGAGGCCCGAGTCTCGCGGGGGAGGACAATGCACCCCAGTGCGAGCGTAAAGAGCCCCGAGGCGCCCATGGTGATCCATTGGATGAGTCGAAAGTCGTAGTTTTCTTCGACGTAGCCAAACATGATCGGCCCTAGACCGGTCTGCAAAGTGTTTGATACCGGGATCAGTCCACCGGACTGCGTTGCCTAGACAATGGCAATGCAAGGCGACCGACTGACCGAAGAAAACGCGCTCCAGGCGAAAATGGCCATCGGCAGGCCGCGCTCCTCGTCACTCCAAACATCGGCCAACGTTCCTCCGACGAGGGACACGGCCGTCGAGCCAGCACATCCACTGTGCACATACATTCCACAAATATACCGGTGCCCGTCAGTGGACTCGGCTATTTCCATTTTCCATCGATTCGGCCCTGCTGTTGACACTCACGAGATGAAGCGCGCGACCAAGATGGTTTCGATATTCTGCGCCAGTGCTTGAGGCAAAAAGAACAAGGTGAAGATGAACGCCGAACCGAAATAGATCCAAGACCTTCCGTAGACCTCTGAAAAGGGGGCGATTATCAAAGGAGCCGCCTGCAAGATTCAACCGTCAGTACGGACAGGGATGAGTCAAAAAGGGGCTTTCCCGAGGACGAGTCGAGACGATATACTCACGCCGAAGGTAAGGGTGAATAAGGTCACACCAAGTAAAGCCATTCCTTTCGAAACACCCATTTGATCTTCTATTGAGCCGATAGAGATACTGTAACCTGTACCACGAACGTGCACGTCAGCGCGGGTGTCGAGATGGTAGGGCCCCTATGGAGAGAACCGTCCGAGCGGACTTGTCTCGCCGACGATACGGAACTGACCCGAGACGGAGAGCGACACGATGGCGCAGAACATGATGCCGCTGCTCGACAGCAACCACTTTCTTCGGTTTGTCCAGTTGCGTGGATTGGCAGGGTCACTGTGGTACAAAGTCGAAGCAGGGTCAATGAAAGCGTTTTCGGCAGCCCATCGATGCGGGGCTCAAGGGTTATGAGTCACCACGACGCGGCTGCGACGAGCGGGCGACGGCGGCGGCGGCGACCACGCGACGAGGTTGTCACCACAGCGTGTCATGTGCCTCCTCTCAAGGAGACAAGTACACCGCAACTCACTCTGGGCCATCCCAGCCGACCCAAAACACCTCTTTTTGTTGCAAATTGTGATCATGCACGACCAATGACTCGTCCAGCACGAGCGTGTCCTGGGTCGTCATCGATGATTCGCTCGCTGAGCACCGAGTCGGACGGCAGTCTGCCGCAGAAGGGCGAGGATCGTCCCTAGGCGGCGCTGAGATCGATCGTGAGGTATTTCGCGGTGGTGGGGCGGTCATATCCGAATCTCCATATACGACGGTCTGGATGAACTTGGTGGAAAGCAAAGGGAGGCTTGAGCGAAGGGTGGGGGGCGGGGAGAGCGAGCTGTAGTCACAGGCGGGCCCGGCTGTCTCGGCCAGTCGGCAGGCTCGGCAAAGAAATCGGCACCGAAATTCGGCATGGGGCCGGCTTGGTCATGCGCGGATCTGATTGATTACCCAAGCGCCATGATCGATGGCGTGCCATCGCCCTTTAGCCCCCCTGAGAGCAGGAGCACACTGTACATGGGTTGCACTCGGATAACCTTACCTTACCTTACCTTACCTTACCCTACCCTACCTTACGACCACGACAACGACATGCACATTAGGCGTCTCGCGACACGTGTCCTCGCAACCAACGCGGTGATCCCGTCCACCCCAGCCCAGCCCCAGCGCCCGCGCTATTCACCACCCAACAACACGCTGACATCTCCTCAGCAGCATTCGACCGTCCTCTATAGGACCTGTTCGCCGTTCTATCGCATATGGCCTAGTGCCGTAGCACCACCTCAACCCCCTTGCCGACCTTGGCAAAGGGACGGGGAAACCCACCAATCGATTAGCGGTGCAGACAGAACCTTGCCCAGAGGTGGCGAGTGCTATCTGACTCCACCTTATTACATAACCACTAGCCAATCTATGAACCGTCTCTCTTCCATTGATCATTTGCTTTATGCACCCATGCTAGCCTTCGAAGCGCTCCTCCTAAAACGACGAGTACTGCACGGACGCTATGCGCACCTCAAACTACCCAACCCTACCCTACCCGCTTACATATACATACACACGCACGTCCTAACATACCCTCATTCCTTTCTTGTGACATTCTATGTTCACTATCGAGGACTACTGTTGCCAGCGCTGCCCGAAGGACAGGATAGGAGACCCCTTAGATGCCTCTTCGAGGCCGAGAGTACCACCCAGACATATTTTCTACGATACCTTCGCCGGACGGAACGCGCATCTGACCTGCTTCATGACCCGTACAAACACCAACTCACTGCTATCCGGCGGCTCCATACCACCTGGTTGCCTGACGATTCCCACACCCTAGATAAATCACAGAGCCCCGCACCACACCTCGACTGGAAGTCGACAACGTCCTCTTTCTGGGTTTGTAGGTCATCCAGCACGATCATAACATACTTGTATCGCGGAGCAGGCGTTCTGAGACCTGCCACACACGCCCTCGCTCCACAAGGGACCGCCTCGGGCGCTGAGCCCAAGACCTACTCCTTGAATCAGCGCGCGACTCACTTAACTAGGAGAAGCTACCCCTGTCTGACACCGAACCTGAGCACGTCATTGATCACCTCTTGTAAAGCCCGAGCGCTTAATTTCCCACCCGTTCAATGCCTGGTAACGAATAACGGCCCATTTTCTCCACCCCTGAGCACGTCATCGAGTGCCCCCTGGGAAGCCCAAGCGTTTCATACTCCATCCGTCCGGTGCAATTTGAACCCCATACTCCTTTCACCTCGCCTTTGCCCCCTCCCACACAACAACCGCTTATACGACACGATGGTCCCCAGACCCTACGTAGAAACCGACTTCAGAGCCATTCGGACTACCCAACCCCTGGCACATCGACTCGTCATCTCTAACCTTCCTGCTACTTCTGATAACATCGCAAAACTGACGGCGGAAGGGACCATTGAACACCTACTTGTCCAAGCCGGCATTAGCGTCAATGAGCAGCCAGTTTTCTTTCAGTCGCACGAAGTCCTTAACCTCACCGGGCTGTCGGACCCTCCCCAATCAAGATACAAGGCCCTAAACACGGATTATTTTGAGATCATCGGGCCCAAGGACGAAATTGAATTCACCAGCAAGATCTTCAGTTTTCTGAATAACGACAGCAAGCCGTACTGTGAGTGGGACAAAAGAACGCCGACCCTCTCCTGTTCACTACAACAGCCTCTGACAGCCCAGACTTCCAAACGTCCAGACCCTTCCTCGTTCGAATCCGAGCTAGTCGACGAAAACAATCACCGTTGGCCTCGTCTTTTCGCTCATTTCACCGACGTGAAGGAGAACGACGAAGTACGATGGGTCCGTCTAGCTTTTGATTCCGTAAAGCATTCCGGCAAGGAGAGCTACGACACCATCGAGCGAGCCCCGGAAGAAGCAATTCGAAAGGCGATAAAAGCGCATTTGGACAAACACTTCGAAGACATGAAGAACGTCCCCGCCGAGTCGTGCATTTCGGTCACCAACGATTCAGGTACACGCGGCGATCAATGCAAGGTCCTGGTCGCGGTTCGTATGGCGAGTGCTTTTATGGTGGACAAGATCACAGCCACGAAGGACCGGTCTACCCTCAGTGCAAAGGTCAACATCCCAATGCGACCCACGTCTCGTTTGACGCCACAAGTGACTACGGAACCACTGCTGGTCGAACAAACCATCACCGGGGTTTGAAAACGCATCGTGAAAACGCGAGGGATGCGAGAGCCCTTCGCAATCGTCGTCTTATGGGCCAAATCGAACAGGGACCCCCAGAGTGTGGCCTCGTACCTGATGAGCTGCCTTAAGGATGCCGAGACTCGACATGCCGCCGAGTACCCCCAGGATCCCATTACGCGACCCAAAGGCACAATTGTGACGACGGACTACGAGCCGGCTACCGGCCCGGGCCAGCACCAAAAAGCGGTCTTTCGGTTTTCATTGTCCACATCCGCCCTGGCAACACACATCGTGCAGATGGTACCTTTTCTGCCGGCCCACGACAGATTCGGCACGAGTTGGCATGATGGCGACGAACGTGTAGTCATCAAGGTCTGCCTAGACAACGAGCGCGCTGATGCTATCTCTGCCCGATTCAATAAGGCCACGTCGGAGTCGCAAGGGGCTATCGCCGAAAGTGCTCGACACATCGAAAATCGGATCGACATGATCCAGGACGTCTTCCAGACCCTCGCCACAACGTACGCGGAGGACAAGCGAAGGAACGAACAGATCGCGCAAGAAACTCGGCAAATGATGCATGCGCTCCACATGAGCAATCAAGCGCTCTTTTCATCTCTATCGGGCGTACAAGCGTCAGGTCAAGCGCAATTCGCTGTGATGACCGCCAGTACCCAACTCAGCAATCTCAGGATGGAGCTCCTATTCAGTAATCATCCCAAGGACAGTCAGGAATACCAAGAACTCGCGCGAGAAGTTCAAGAGGCACGAAGGACGGTGTGCGACGCACAGGCGGCATACCAGCAAACGCAACACCAAGTCACCCTGGCGCTCCGACAAGCAAGTCCCGTATACCTGCAGCAACTGGCCCATGACGGTCCAACCATCCCCAATGGCAACAATGCGAGCGGCGCCGCAGATAACGCGATGGACGAACGTGAAGAATCCGGAGGCTCGCCGAGCAAGCGCGGACGATACAATCAAGAAGGTGACGTGCACACGACAAGCCCCCAGCCACAGAGTCGCAGCGAGCATGAAGGAATGTCTATAGTAAGTGACTGGTGGCAGGTTCTCCAACGCCGCTCGCCTGATGATACAATCACCACCGCAGGATTCGTGAAGGTCGAGACCGAACTCCGAAGCTGGCACCTCCGCCACCACCCTGGGGTGTATAGCAAACTCAGCACGTATGGTCTACTTGCAATGACGATTTTTAGTTCCACCATACCAGCACCGGCGAAATGCCTCACCGTTCTCCTCGCTATCGTTTTGAACAATAAGTTGGCCTACGCAGCAACGCCAATATCAATTGCCAGCCTCAACATAAATGGAATCGCAGATCCCATCAAGCTCCAACAAGTCCAGAATAATCTGCTACACTCAGAACACCATGTCATCAGTTTTACTAAGCTCAAATTCAGAACTGACACGCAGCTTCCTCTCAATACTGGGGGTTTCCAACCGGTCCTCACCCCATCAATCCGGGCGGGTTCCGTCATGAAATGGGGGACGCTCCTTCTCATTCGCAACAATCTGCCGCTACTGGCTTCCTATACTTTTACCGATGGACCGCTGGCAGGACGGGTAGCAGCTGCGGACGTATTGATTCGAAGTCAAGGAGGAGCAAGGATGGTGCCAATCCGGATCGTATCCGCCTACTGCCCACATGGAGGATACGCACGCAATGCGGAAGGTGACGGTAATGCGATAACGCTTTTTGGGCGGCCCTCCAGGACCTCATACGAACAGGACCACCGAACTGGGCCATAGTGGGTGACTTCAATGCAGTGCTCGACGCTCGCGAGACCACAGCAATGGTTTTCCCACGACTCAGACCCACCGCGGTAGAATACTGCCGCTTCTTACGCCAGACCAACGGCCACGATGTGTGGAATGAAATGGAGTCGGTTTCACTCGCGGAAAATTGGACACATAAGGCATACGGGGAAGCGCAAACCATCAGCATCATAGACCGTCTCGCAACGTCAGCGCCGGCGGGGAATGCGGATATCCATACGTTGCGTCAGGTTATGGCCACTGATCACAGACCAATTCATTGCAGACTATGGTTCCCGGGTCTCTGTGCGACAATTGAGGAGGCGAGCGACGACGGACCTCGGAGGGTTAAAGTTCCGCCGCGGAATAGCGACACTCGGCCAAAATTTCGGCAAGAGATGGAAGAGGGCGTTGCTAATTCGCAGTCTTTGAATCGAGTTGCCAAGGATGGAACAGTAGCCTCACAAGAGGCTTGGAATGCGACTTACGATGAATTTTCCAATCTAATAGTAAACACTTCCCTCCAAATATTCGGCGAACGAAGATCGCCAGCGGTCGGGAAACGCGAGTTTGTCGGATCGCCAGAGTTACGACAATTGAGTCAGGACCGTCACCATATGAATCGCTATATATACGCACTCAAGACTAACTCCATTCATATATTGAGAAACAAACCGGACACAAGAAGATGGTTCGAGGAGCTCCATACCGACCTAGAAACGGCGACATTGCAACGTCTCCAACAAGAAACAGGCAGAGCAGTGTGGTACCCCCCCGAGGATGAAGTGTTAGAAACCGCGACTGTCTGGCGCCGCCAACTCTGCAAAAGAATACACGCACAAGAGAAGCGGGAGCGTAAAGAACTGGCACAGAGGTCTGATAATTTTCGGATACAGAATGTCATCAACGGAGGTTCAGTGAAGAAAATCCTGATACCACGTACGTCACTGATACAACCACGTGCGGTAGAAACTGTGGATGGAAATCTTACCGCTGACCCCACAGAGGTACGGAACACGTGTAAGCAGTATTTTAGCGCTTTATTCCAAAAAGAGGATGACAATGCTCTGACAGACAAACCTTGGATGAATACGGAAAGTTCCCGGAAGTTTCGGGAGGCTACGCAACGCGACCCATTTGTCTGGCCTAGGCCCCTGATGCTCAGCGACCTCCGGGCGCTCCTCGGCAAAGGCAATAGGGAACCATCCCCCGGTCCGGAGCGATGGGAGAAATGGACAGTAACGATACTTGGAGACCAAGCGATGTCTGTTGTTCTGGCACTCCTGAACTATGTACTGGTGCACAACTACTTCGACAAGCTGCGCGACCACTATCTGCTTCCGATGTTCAAAAATCGCGGACTGTCTTCCCAACTGAGTAATTACCGAGCGGTCTGTTTTGGCAATTTCTTGGCGGTCACAGCGGCTGGATGGTTTACACGTCAGGCGCAAGCTTACGCAATGAAACACCACATGATTCCAGAAACACAGGTGGCCGTCCAGAGCGGTGTACAACAGCGCGACCTCACAAGTTTCCTAGCGAACCTAGAAGCCTGGGCGTTCCGGGCCAAAACTCCGATCTACGGGCTAGTACGAGACCAAAAGAAGGGCTTCGACCTGCTCAGACCAGAAGCTGGGTATGACGCCTACCATTTTTTCGGCTTTGGCCCAAACGCAGAAGCTTTTGACCGAGCCCGATTGGCACACGGCGCTTTTATCGTCAAGACACCGTACGGCCTCGCGGAACCTTTCGAAGTGGACGGGCAGATGAAACAAGGGGATCCCCCGAATCCTCTTCGTTTCTCCTTGGCCATGGCTATGGGCTCTTACTGGCTGGACGAACAAGCGTTCGAGGACCCACTACTCATCACAACACAGAACAGGGCACGCTCAAACAACCATACACAAGCGGATGAACTGACCCTCAAGATTACTCAGGTATCTGCGATGGACGACACCATACTACTGGCCAAGAGTGAAAGGACGCTGGCAGCGATGACTCTCTACATGGAGCATTTCCAGGAAGCCTACGGAGCCCAAACCGACTGGGGTACAAAGACTCGAGCCATCATAATGGGCCTCGGCAACCAGTCTGATACACCAGGGACAGTCCAAGTTGCCACTCCTCATGGGAGACGACAGGTCACTGTCGACCCAGCACACGTTTTTCTCAAAACACCGTTCGCTGCGCCGGACCGACAATACACTCAGCTGGAAAGTATTGTGCGATCGATCGGGTTCCCGAGCACGCCAACGAGGCGACTCCCGCTCTCGGCATTACGACGATTCATCGAACATCAACTAATTAGCAGGCTGAGGCCACGACTGGCTTTATGTCCTATCCGACCGGACGATGCCCTTAAGCTAGACCAGCTTATAGCAATGCGGATCAAAGAGTACTATGGATGGGTTTTCACACCGAGCGCTAAGTTGGTCACCCTCCCCGTCGCTAAATTTGGATTCGAGCTTACTAGTCTGTGGCGACTGAACGGGGCTATGGCAGTCGATGGACTACTACGAGACCTGAACCATCATATTACAGCTTTCGCACAGATGGCAAGAATAACGCTGGCCGACCTACAATGCCAACACCATGGCTGTATATCGCCGCTCCTGAACCCAAAGCCCCTGTCTTTCAAGCACTCGCAGCAGATGGTTCCTCAGATCTGGAATACGGCACTAGGTGCGCTACAACACTGCGGGAACCTCCGAGTACTCGAAACCGACCAGTCGAATCGCACCGACTCAGGTATTAGTGCGGAACATGCATACCTCCAAAGCGGAGGGGCCAAACGAAACGAACCGCAACTACAAAAAGCCATGGCGGCGCTTCCAGCAGGCCTGACGGACCTCCAAGTGCTACGGAGAGGCCCACAGCGCGATAGACCCGACCTCTTTGCTGGATGGCTGCACCCGAACACGAGATTGGTGCGACAATGGTCTAATCGCTTTGATGAAACTTTACTGGCGGACGGGCCGGTTAGGTTGTTGAAGACGCGAGCACAGCGACAAAACGACGCCGAGCAGCAGATCAAAATCACACTCCTTTCCCTGATAAATTTTCGAGGCCAACAAGACCAGAATATTTGGGCTACGGATGGCTCACTCATCGTGTTACCCACAGGACTCACATCTGCGGCGGCAGCGGTTGTAGGGCCATACTCGGCGGCTCGTGCGGCACTACCGGCGGGCGCGACTATCCTGCAGGCAGAGGTGACAGCCTTGATCATAGCGGCACTGACCTCACACTTAGAGACCTCACATTTTGGGTCAGCAATTCAGGTTGTCGCAGATCACCTTACCTCCGTCAAATTCGCTGAGAATCTGAAGAAAGATCAAGTTGCACCAAAGAAACCGAGGGCCGCATTTGCACACTACACTTGGCTCGAACACCTGCTGAGAACGAGTGATTCGATACAAATACGGCACGTTAAAGCCCATACGGGTGGCGGAGACGAAGTATCGCGTGCAAACACTCGAGCAGATGAGGCGGCGAAATCGGCACACACTCAACCTGACTTCTTCGTGCTTTTCCCGGACTTTGCACTCCCACAATGGACAATCCAGGCATCCCTTGGCGAGCAAACTGCTTGGATAGAGGGTGATGTGATCAAGAAAATCTACGACCTACAAGAAGCATGGCAAATCAAATCGCTGCCCCAGAAGATCGGTAACGACGTTCAATTGCTACTCCAAGTCGCTCATTCCGCAGGACGGTATCCTTACCTTCGCGCAATTTCGACGTACGCAGCGCAAACACAACTCCAGCTGCGGGCACACATCCTTCCCACCGCCTCGCGATGCTCAGAACGATTCGGTACGTCGTCTTTGTGTACTATTTGTGGATTGGCAGAGGAGACAGAGAAACATGTTTTCAGGGAGTGCGAGGCAGGTCGTGGACTGCGGGAAAGAATTGGACAGGACTTGTTTCAGATGACGCGTAAGGAACTGGAGATGAGACACCACGAATGGACGGGAGCACAAGTATACGAGCTTTCCAATTTCGCTGCAGGGCTAGTAACGGGACATCTATGGTGGTATGCGATGCCGATGATCCCAAAACCTGACATCTACTGGGCCCTCGATGAGCGATCTCGGACGCGGCTGGATCGGACATGGCATCACGAGCTTATAAAGGGAGCCGGACGGTTATGGGCGGCGAGAATGAGGAAGTGGTGGGCACTGCAAAGGAACACGGAGCAAAGGAATTCGCATTAGTGACAGAGGCGGTGGTGGCGGCATTCCCCACCTGCCTTTGAGGGCGGGCGCTGAGCTGGACGAGGGAAAGACTGATGTAAGCCCTGGAATGGGGGGCATCGGTCCTGGTGACAGCAAGGTGACGGCCTACGTGACATGAATATGGTGGTCCAGCGGATCTAGCAATTTGTTAGATTCTGTCTTTAAACAAGACTAGCTGGAATATATGGATTAAAACATTAAAACTCTACGGCGGATAGTCTCCCCCCACCAGAACCTCCTCCGATGTGGGTCCAAGTGACTCCTTTCCGATCGAGGGGATGCAAGTTCGCGTGTAGACTCTATAGATTCGACTGAGTCTATCCTCGTTCACGCGCGCGTCGATCACGACGAAGCAAAGTGAAAGATCAATCTGAGCATGCTGACCATAAATTTACACCAATTTTTTAGATGAAAGGTAGTGACAGAAAACAAACATTGAAAAAGACAAATGAGAATGCAAATGTAGACGACACGACACGACAAAAATCGAGGTGGAGAAGGAAGCCGAAAGCACTGCAACGGGGAAGCATTCATTCGAGGGATGCGGTTGGCTCGCGTGATCTGTTCCCTCGCTTTCTCCGTGTAATGCCTTCATCGGCTTCCCCAGCTTGCGCCCCAACGCCACTCAATGTGCTGTCCCGAATCTCTCCATCGCTTCCGATCGCCCGACGGCGTTTCATTCCCGTCGCCGAGCCGTCGATCGCAGGTGGGGGCATCGCATTGACGCCGTCGGCGTGTTGTCGCTGGTGTTGGCGGTCGAGGCCGATAATGCGGAGGCGTTCGATCCAGCTGTATTCATGATAGGAAAGGTACAGTCAGCAAAGATATATGCTGGTCGGATGACATTCCAGAAGCAATTCACTCTTCGGCACGCGCGACTGAGTCCGAAAAGATGCCAGTCACACCCCTGAGCATGTCCAAACTCTCTACGGCGAAAGTCAGGATGCGTTCGGCGGCGTCTTCGGTCGGAGCTAGAGCAGTCGAGGAGCCTGCGTTCTCCGTCGTTGCTGTCGAGGAGGAAGGTCCCGGACTCGGTGCGGAGGCAGCGGCGTACGGATCCTCCATCCTCTCGGCTCGTGGTGTACTCGCAGTGCTAGGTGCGCCTATCGACTGTGCTCTAGCATTCCTCGAACCTTCGATTGCAGACGCCCATTTGACCGGCAGGCCCAAAATGCTCTGTCGGACGTATCGCTTGGCTTGCTCGGGAAGCGCCACGCCGGCATACTTGGACACGACATCGACGACCTTTCGGATCGTCTCGACTACATCGTGCTTGATCTGGGAAAGGCGTGCCGATGCAGAAGCCGTGACGAGGGCGTCCGATTCGCGGCCGGTATGTGAGTGAAGGGAAGCGATGAATTCTCGGAGTGTCGCGATTTGATGATCCAGATGCGCCGTCGCGTACTGGAGGAGGGGAACGTACAGGGGCTTGTGAGCAAGCCACCAAGGTGCGAGGAATACGCTAGAACACTCACTAACAGCCACTGAAGGCAGTATCGCAAGCTCTTCAAACTCTCCTCACTGACTGCCGCACCCAGCCCTCCTGCCTCAACAAGCACCGTCTGCCACCTTGACCTCCCTTCGGCGCTGACCTGTTGAGTGCCGACCTGCAGTTGTTCTTCATTGACCGCCCTCCCTTCTTCCTCCCCATCAATACCCATGGATGATCCTTTGCTATGCCTCCTTCTTGTCGAGGAAGAAGATTGAGCCATCTCGGCATCATTCGTTTTTTCATCGCCGCGCTCTTGTTGAGACTGGATCGCCGGCAGTGGTGTCTGGTCGGTCGTCGATGGGCTCGAGCCAAATCGGTCGAGTTGTCGGCACGCAAAGTCGTCGAGCGAGCCTAGTCGTAGGTTGTTGGCGATCGGTCGTCCAATGGTCGAGATGGACGACTCGACTACGCCAGCTCCGTACTATAGCGGTTTTGACGAATGTCCGCGCACCGCGCAAGCGAGGAGGACAAGGGTTCGAGCGCAAATTGGGATGATATGGCCGGCGTGGGGGACCGATGTTCCGCGTGATAGAGGGGGGTGCATACATCAAGGGAGCGGTAGCAGCAAAGGAAGGTGCGAGGTGAGAGGTGAGGGGGTCGACAGAGTGTAGAAAGAGTCAGTACACAGTCTCGGGTCATGTCATTGCATGTCAGGCGCAAAAATGTGGATGTGCTGCATCAATGGCGGAAGCCGCTTTGACGGCCGGCCCGGATGGGTGGAGTGGGGGAGGGGGCGCTCGCGGGGGCGAGTGCTAACTCGCTTAGTCGAGGCGCCGTCATCCGTCTGACATGCGAAAGTCGACGCGCGCGCGCGCGCGCCGAGCGAGGGGAATTTCCATGACGAGACGAGAGGCTCGACGCCAGCAGGGAGGGGGGGCAAGTACCGCGAGAAGAGAGCAAGACCACGACAGAGAAGATGCAACAGCACTGACCTTGACAACCCGAGAATTGGCCTTGCTCCTTTCGTACCATTCGATTCCGCCTGAGACGATTGGCAGCTGCGACACGCGAGCGATGAAGTTGGGGTCATTCACGTTCACGTTCCCAGTTTCGGCGCCAGCTGCACTCGAGCTCGTGCCGTCGTCGCCGAGTCCTGACTTGTCGTTGCCGTCGTAATTGTGATGCAAGTCGTCCGACATGGTGCCTTCGGATGTGCCGACGCTCGACGAGGTTCTCGTGTGGTCGAGATATGAACTCGAGGTTGAAGCCGCCGAGCTCGAGGACGATGCGCCACCACTGATCGTCGACGGTCCGGTCCAGCCGCTAGCCCGACCGTTGGTGACCGTGTACGAAGTCGAAGAGGTGGTCTCGGATCCATGCGGGTGATCGGAGTGGTTCATTTGGGGTTGCTGCGGCGTCAAGGGTGGTGCGGTCCCTCCGTTACTGCTGCCCCCTCGCCTCATGATGCCGAGTGCAGCAATTGCCGTACGCATGTCCTCGTCCAGTCCGTCGTTTGTAGCACCACCTCTGGCGTGGTTCGCTGCTGCCTGATCGTCGTCGAGCATATCCTCGTCCTCGGCTTGCGACATCGACGACACGGTTGAAGGTGATGGAGGTGATGAGCGAGGGACTGCCCCGTTACCGTTGCCGTGGCCGTGGCTGCTCGTCAGGCGCGTCAGGTCCGAATCGTCGTGATGTTGCTGCAATGCGCCGGTGGGTCGGTCGGCCAGAGCGCTGCTCTCTTTGGCCGCCGCTTTGGCTTTCGAGCTCGACGGTTTGGTGATCGTAGCCGCTGAGCGAGACGAGCGGGCTACCATGGCTGAGATGTGTCGGTTTGAAGATCAATGCCAGTGATGTACCGAGCTGAGAAGGGTGGTGGCTGCTAATGACGCTGAGGAGGATCAACGAGATCAGTAGTGATCGTGATCAGTCGGAGGAGCCCCCGCCCGGCGCCTCTCTTCTCACGCGCGTCTTTTTGGATCGAAGTCCCATTCCCCGAGTACGGTGTCTTGCCCGTCATGAGTTGGACTTTGAATTTTTAATTTTTCTTTTGTTTCAGTGGCAAGCTCAGGTCCTTCACTTTCTAGGATCGTCTGATTTGCACTAGACCTTCAACTTTCCAGACGAATCGGACACGGGCGGCACGGGGCCGTTGCGTTGACCTCTTTCGGGCTACCTTTACACGAATACGTCGTCCTGAGCACCGATACAGCGTCCCAACATGCCAGATCGTATTTTTCGATCTATTTCCAGCTATCGTGTGACCTGCAGAGAAGGTGTCACACGCAGAAACCATCATGCTTGTTTTGTTCACCCGAGCTCGGACGCTCTCGGCTGCTCAGCGCCGTTTGCGCAATGAGCGGCGAAACCCGTTCATGGTCCATGTGATTCGAACAACCCCCTTGACAGACTCTTGATTGCATAAGGAATATATTTTAGGCTCGAACCTTGGCTTAATGAGTGAACAGGCTGATCGAGAAAAGATGGAAGAGACCTGTCAGCGCTGCGCGTTCACACGCCAAACGGGGAGTAACAACTCACCGCAAGTCCGTCATGACGTAAACCGCCTGGTCCCCATCGGCGGTCTCAATGACCTTGGAGTCCATCACCGATCCCCCAGGGGCAGCAAAGTACCCGACGCCGGATCGGGTCGCTCGCCAAACGTTGTCGGGGAAGGGGAAGAAGGCATCACTCGCCAACGAGACGCGACCCTTGATCTCGGTGAACCATTCGGCCTTCTCCTCCGTCGTCAAAGGCGAAGGGGCCTTGCCCTCGGCAAAGAGACCCTCCCATTCTTTGCGCTCGGAACCACCGGCGGGAGCATCAAAGATCTCACCCGTAACGAAGACGTCGGTACCGTTGGCGCGGTCGGCGCGCTTGATGCCGCTTCGCCATTCGAGAGCGAGGACGCGAGGGTGGTGACGCAACCACCATGCGTCGGCCTTGAAGCCTGCCAAGCGCGTGCAGTGAATGCGCGATTGTTGACCGGCGCCGATACCGATCGTTCCACCTCGGTAGGCGAAGCAGACCGAGTTGGATTGCGTGTACTTGAGCGAGATCGTGGCGACAATCAAGTCGGTGAGAGCCTCACTCGAGATCTGAAGGGAGGCGAGTGTCAGAATGGGTGGGACAGTATGCTCATACACACTCTCAACGATAGGAGTTCTCACCTGCTTGTTCTTGGAGACGATGTTGGTGAAGGTCTCGGCCGAAATCTTGGCGTCGTTTCGGCGTTGCTCGAGCGAGATGCCGTAGACCTGACGGGTTTCGGTCAATCCAGGCTCGTACGCGAGATCCATCTGATCGGAGAAGATACAGCAACGTCTCAGTCAGATAGTCTCCAATCCTTCACCGACTGTATACCTCTCGAATGCGCTCACCTGCAACACGCAGTATTTGCCGCCCTTCTTCTTCTTCAAGATCTCAAGCGCGGCGGGCTCGTATCCAGGCGCAATGATACCGTCCGAGACTTCTCGCGAGATGATTTTGGCCGTCGGGACGTCGCAGGTGTGGGAGAGGGCGATAAAGTCGCCGAATGAGCACATGCGATCGGCACCACGAGCACGGGCGTAGGCCGAGGCGATGGGGGACAGCTCTCCGACTCCAGCGACGTCAAAGACCTTGATCTCCTCGTCGGACAACTTGGACTCGACGGCGGCACCTGCGGGCGAGACGTGCTTAAACGAAGCAGCAGCGGCCTTGGCAGGCTCGAAGGCCCTCGAGAGTTCAGCAACGAGAGCGTACGATCCGAGTGCATCGAGCAAGTTGATGTAGCCGGGCGAGCCCGAAAGGACCGAGAAGGGGAGCGTGCCCTCCTGAACGTAGGCCTGGGCAGGCTTTTGGTGGGGATTCGCACCGTAGCGCAAAGTGAGTTGTTGGGCTCGCTCAGTGAGCAAAGCCTTGTCCTCGGGCGAAGCAGAGGCGATGCCGTCGGCGGAAGCGTATTGGCGGCGGAAGTAGTTGGAGATGGCCGTGTCATATTGCGACGTGTGGGTGAAGGCCTGCGTATTCAGATCGGATAGTGGTTAGTGACATCGGGTAGATCATTCTAGCAGGGACTTTGCAAGGACTAGCCTTGACCGCCATCCTCCTCCGGAAGTCCTCCGTGACAGAGCCGTTGCCCTGCTTCCACTGGGCGAGGAACTCGTCGTAGTCCTTGGGATCGGACAGGATGACCACTCGGTCGTGGTTCTTGGCTGCAGCTCGGAGAAGAGTCACACCTCCAATATCGACCTCCTCGACTGCCTCGGCAATCGAAGGAGGCGGAATTTTGGCGATGGTCTCATTGAAGGGGTAGAGGTTGCAGACCACGACCGAGATAGGGGCGATCTTTTGTGCCTCGAGATCGGCGGTGTCGGAAGGAATGTTGCGCGCGAGGATACCTGCGAGGAAAGAAGATGCGATTACTTGAATGCGATCTTTACAGCAGTCATATTCCCGCAACTGACCTCCGTGAACGGCGGGGTGAAGGGTCTTTACGCGACCTCCGAGCATCTCGGGAGCGCCGGTGATGTCAGACACGTCGCTAAAAATTGGCGGGGTCCATAAAGTAGTCAATAGACACTCTTCCATCGTTGGTTAAGGTCCACTGGTCAACTCACCCAATTTCCATACCAGCTCCGCGAATCGCCTTGGCGGTTCCTCCCGAACCCAAAAGCTTGACGCCATTCGCCACGAGGCCCTGGGCGAAGGGCAAGAGACCGGTCTTGTCGTAGACCGACAGAAGGGCTGTTTTGGCGTGAATGTAGGCGATGGCGGCGGCAGGAGGTCGATCGAGGCGATGCAAGAGGGAGGGAACACGTGTGGGGTTAGTACGCCGGTTAACGAGAATGGGTCCCAACGAACGGGAAACGCGGGGTAGGCGCGGGGAGGCGCGAGTGTAACAGAGCGGCTTAGTGACTGACCGATGGGTTGTTGCTGCGACATGTTGGGCAGAGATGGGTGATGTGCGTTTCGGGGATGTGAAACAGCAGGAAGGACAGAAGAAGCTCCGCGAACGTGCTTCGAGTCGCCGCGAGACGCCGGCCGCCTCCGCTAGTACACTCCAGTACACTTCGCACGAAATGGCGCTCTCGGCGCGCAGTGCCTCGTGCTCCGGCGTGTCCGTTTCACCTCTTTCCTCTCCAACTCTCGAGTTCGTCCCAACATCGTGATCTCTGGTTCGGCCAGATTATTTGTGCTACATCGTCCATCGTCCCGCGTCGCCCAAACTCATCCGGACGCTTTTCCCGTCGCCTGCAACTGCACTTCCGCTGCTTCGCAAGCTGCACTCTTCCGCGACTCGGCAACGATGACCTCACTTCAGCAGAAGCAGCAGGATGCTCAGCTCATCGAACTGCTTGGCTTCTTGACCGACCCGCAACCCCAAGTCAGGCGAATCGCACTGGCTTCCTTGTTGTCAGTCTTCGTATTCTCCATCTACGTCATCGGGTATATAAGCCCATGTTGAGGCGAGCTCCGAGCTTGGACCGGTCGCTGACTGATCTCGCTCTCAATACTTGAGGCAGGCCCTACACCGCCGCGGACAAGCGAGAACGATCCCTCTTCAACCGAGATCACTACATTGAGCAAATCGCGACCATGTGTGCCGACCAAGAGGTACGCATAATCGAATCGACGCTCAGTAAACAATCTCAGCGCATGCACCCAGCTGAAACGTGACCGGACTTGGTCTACCTCAGCTCATCGCACACGACGCGCTTTCGGTCTTGATCAACCTCACTTCCTCCATCATTGTCGCCGATCGACTGGCCAAGATCCCAGGATTCCTCACCGGTCTCGTCAGAATGATCATCGTTAGTTCTCGCCTTTGTGATATCTCCGAGCAGAAGCACCGAGAACGGAGCAGCATTTGATCAGACCCATCTTCATTCATCGCACATAGGACGAGAACGCTTTGTTGTCCGATCTGGCCTGCATGCTCTTGTCTAATCTCTCCAAACTCGAACACTTGTCGATGCAACTTCTCGGCCTCCGCGTCCCCTTCAACGTCTCGAAGTTCTCCAAAGCGACCGACAAGGATGCTGAGGATGACGAACGACCGAGCAAGATTGTCAAGGAAGGGGAGACGGACGAAATTGAAGCTCTTGAATTGCTGCTCGAGGTCTTTCTCAAAGGTGAAGGGAAGCAATACAACCCTAATGCCAACTACGATTTCCTGGCCAGCGTGTTCGCCAACGTCTCGACCGTGAGTTTCATTAAAGAGCCCGACTGTGAAGCGGAGATTGTGAATTTATGACGCCTGACTCTACTCCTCTCATAGATCCCACTCGGTCGCTCTTTCCTCTTGTCGACAACAAGCCCGGATGCCGAACCGCCTTTGGTGAAATTGATCTCTTTCACCGAGCACCCTTCGACGATCCGTCGCGGTGGTGTCGCTTCTTGCATCAAGTGGGTGAACGTCATCACCATACCATAAGATGGAATCTGACTTACCGGCAGATCTTCCTCAGAAACTCTGCCTTCCAAAAAGCGGGTCACACGCGACTGGTCGTTCCTTCGAATGACCAGCCCCCGGCGTCGGGATGTATCGACCTCTTGCCGCAGATGCTGCTGCCACTCTGCGGGCCCGAAGAGTTTGACATTGACGTGAGCTCTTTCCCCCTGCGCCAGGGTCAAAACCTCCTCAGCTGACCTCGCTTTGCTTTCTCCGGCTTTCAGGTCATGGACGAGCTCCCCGACGTCTTGCAACTCCTACCCGATACGAAGAAACGAGAACCCGACGCCGCGATCCGCTTGATCCTCGTCGAAACGCTCGTTCTTCTCGCCTCCACCCGTCTCTGTCGCGAAGCGATGCGCAAACGCGGTGTATACGCCGTGATCCGGGCAGCTCATCTAGCGGAAACAGTGGACAAGGTCACCGAACCAATGGTTCGATTGGTGAACCTTCTGATGAGGGATGAGGATGAATCGACGGCTTTGGAGGAAGTGCCGGACCCGTTGGAAGATGATAAGAAGCCCGATCACGGGTTCGAGACGGCACCTATTGTGGGGGCGGATGGGAACGAGGTCAATTCGTACGGGATAGCAGAGAGTGGACCGGTTCCGGTCGCTCATGCACCTTCTTCTGTACCGGCATCCATGAAGTACGAGCAGGTCGATTCGGAGGACGAAGAAGAGATGCTGCTCGAAGTATAGGGAGGGGAAGCACACGTATTGATCGCTTGCAATCGCATCCTTCCTCGTTACGCATGCATCTTCTGTGAACGACGTGACAAGTTGCATGATCAAAGTATAGGGTACACATCCGACCTTCTCTGTTCCCACAGCGGCATATCCCTCCTCACATCTTCCAACCACCCCAGATCCAGATCGGCCATCGCAAAAGTCCCGTCGTCAACCCCATCCGTGTAGGGTTTGGGCTGTCGGTCGCTACACTGCGCGAGAACCTCCCCCCAAGGTCCGACGATCATGGCGTGGCCGTAACTTTGTCGTGTTGCGGTGTGAGAACCGGTTTGAGCGGGGGCGAGGATGTAGGACTGCGTTTCGATCGCTCGCGCTCGGAGGAGGACCTCTGCTCCGATGGGAAAGAGATTCAGTTCAGAGCGATTCTGTTGGAGGATGGAAACGTGGATACTGACCCCAATGCGCGGCTCCTTTGGATGAAGATGGAAATGACAGCTTTAGCAGTGAGACCCCAGAGTACCCGCTGGACAGAAAGCTGGGACGAACCTGTCCGTAAAGTAAAAGCGGAGGGGTAGGTGATGATTTGTGCGCCTCTTCTCCTCAACGCGAGCGAGACTTCAGGGAATCGCAAGTCATAACACGTCAAAAGACCCACTGGTAAGGGCGAACGGTTCAGCACGGTCAGTACCAAGATATGTTACTTAAGATCTGAAGCGGAGGCAGTCCCTCACCTTTGCCCAGCGGTGTCTCGACGGGATCGAACAATTCTGCGCCTGGCTTGGTCGTCTTGCTCTCGAGAATGACGGTACCGCCTCGGATATCGACGTCGAAAAGGTGGATCTGAATGGCCAGATATCAGTACTCTCAAAGTCTCTCGTTCCAGATCGGTACGAACTGGGTACTCCAACCTACTTTGCGATAAGCTGCTCGGACTTCGCCTTCGGGCGAAATCAACTGCGAACGGCAAGCGAGGGAGGAGCTAATCAGCTGATAAACCTCATCTCATAATACGACTGACCACTCGAACCGACCAAATTGGTGTTGCAACACCGTTCCTCCCCTTTGACACTCTCATGAACGCCTACGCCGACCCAAACCTTGCTAAACTTCGCTTGAGCCTGGATCGAAATACCACGACGGACATCTTCAAGAGGATACCCGGAATAGCAATGCAGAACGCCTTTTCGACTCACTTTGACTCCGTCAATGAACACGCTCTGATCCAAGGGTCTGGAAAGGCCAGGCACATCGGCAGCGGAAGCGATAAAGTCGGACGCTTCGGGTAGCCAGACCAAGTCAGCCCCGGCTTGTGCTGCACGACGGATGACCGATCGACACAGAGCGACGTTGTGAGTCAGAGAAGGAAGCGAACAGATTTGAGCGACCGCTGCGAGCATCTTGGGGTTGGGCACGCGGGTAGGATGGTACAGAGTGCCCGAGGTTGGGCTCGCACGACGTGGCAAGGAAGGGGAATGTGGGGGTGAATTCGTCCGGCTTCCCGACAGCGTCGATCTTTGAGATTGGGAAGGCCGCGTAAGTCGAGGACTGTTTCAAAAGTTTCGCGTATGTGAAAAGAGTCGGGAGCCTTCTTCTTACGGCGGCAGGCAGCCGGAAAGAGGTGGGATGCAAGATTCAACGTTCAAGCTGGACGGTCGCGAAGCAACGTCACGCCTCAGTACCTCAGTCCTGCTTGCACCGATGTGCCTGAGTCACTCAGAAGCTCGAGGCGCAACGCTAACTCAGCGCTCAGATCGCACGGCAAGTATCGAAAATCGTGTCGTCGGCCAAGATAGTAAGATGAAGCAACAAGAATGTGGTAATCATGGCAACAAGAAGATTCGATGATACCTAAAGGATACAACAAGGGTGCGCATAGGCACGTCGAAGAGCTTGTCAAGGCTTTCCCGGTCGTTTCGTTCCGAGTCGAATGCGCGCGTCGAGAGCCACCGATCGAAGATCTTCGTTTTGACTTGGGTATGAGAGATGGTGGCGCTTGTGCACCACCTATTACGACCACTGCCACTTGATTGGAAGGACGCCGGTGTCAAGGCTGCCGAGCTTCTTGAAAGCCGCGGTCGAGAGATCAAGCGAGCCGTCTGAGCAGGGAATAAATTTGCAACGAGAGCAGCATCAGTACCGATCAACCAAATTCTAAGAAAGAGCGGGTTTGGTTGACTCACAACCGCATCCCGGGCATTCATCGGCGACCCTGGCGCGGATGATCTTCTTGTTGGACGTGTTCATGATGGTGACGTAGCGACCACAGTGGGAGCCGCCGTTGACCTGAGGACTGTTGACCGCGACGATAATGGTCGAGTCCGAGTTGTACTTGCCGCACGAGCCCGCGTTTCCGTCTTGGGTGTACCACGTCGCTCGACCCTTGTAGGTCGTCTTTCCAGCGGCGAGAGTGAGCTGCGCGGTGGCGGGGGAGGGTGAGGAGCGACCGCGAAGAAAACAGGGGCCGTCAGTCTCGGGAGTCCTGCCAGGCCGCGGGCGTCATCAAAAGAGCTAGCAGAACAACTAACCTTTGCTGCTCGCGTTTCGAGCTCTTCCTGCTCCCCCGATCGCTCCACTACTTCAGAGCGAGACATTAGTCCGGAGGCATTGTCCGGAGCAGCCGGTGAAGCGATCGGCGCGGCCGAGACCAAAGCACCGAGCAAGATGGAGCAAACGACAGCGAAACGCATTATGTTGGTGGTGGAAAGCGGAAGGTGGTGAAACGATGAAGTTACTGGAAGTCGTTAAATTCGTCAAAAGGTGCTTCGTACGAGTGATGGAGACGGAAAGAGACAAAGACAAGGTTGAGAGCTGCAGCGATGTCGATGTCTCGACTCGATGGCGATATACCGGCCGGCGGAAGTGATACCGAATTATGCCCGGGATTAGAATCGGGCCCAGTAGTGAGAAGTAGCCTAGGGCGGGGCTTTCGGATAACAACGCAACCCCATTCTAGGTCCCTCGGGCCTTACGACCGCAAATGTCGAGTGCGATCTGTACTTGATCCTCGGTGAGACAACACGACCCCGATCAAGTATTGCGACGCCCACGCGGGCTGGCCCCGTGCGTCGCGGATCGTGATCCAAAGGGGTAAGCGGTCCAAGCGCTGCGCATGGCGCGCGCGGCCACGAACAAAAAAGAGGGTCCTCATCAACTTCGCAGCGTAGTCCCCGGAAACCGATGGCCCGATGGGTCACTCGATTTTCCGTCCTTCTCGGTGCCCGACAGGCCGAGACCACACAAAGGTGATTCTGGATGATCTTCGGGGATTCTAATAAAAGCTCGCATCCAACCCTTCAAAGGTCTGGCGTCTCTAATCGCAAATCGTGGGCTGGTGACTCGTGGTGAGGCGGCGGCGCTGGTAGCGCCACGGCCAAGCTGAACTCCAAATTTTGCCAGCCCGCGTTCCTCAACACCCCTGTCTTGATCACGCGAGGAAGGTCTCCGCCTGTAACATGCGCGCCAAAAATCATGGCTGACGCAGACAAAGAATTCAGAGAGAACGAGGTGGTTGGTCACCGTCATCCTGTCCGTGGTCGTGATGGCACCCTCAGAAATCTGCAGTATTCGTAAGCTTGGTACTACTGGCTTCACTAGGCGCAGACAGGCTATTCCCCACAAATGAGAGACGATGTGCTCGTGCTCAAGACGAGTGAAGTAGAATGAAGCTAGTAACAGATCTGCAATCGCCATTTTTCGTAGCTCCGTAGTGCTTTGTGAGTCTAAGTGCGCCCAGGCCCGGCGAACTCGATCTCTTTGAGCAAAAGCCTTCGAGAGACGAGTCGCACGCAAATCCCTCTGCACATAATGCTCTCAACACCACGCGACATGCCAGTCCTTGAATGTTGCATAGAACTCCCCTTCAAGCGTTGCACAAGAGACAATCGAAACAAAGTAGACAAAAGATGATGCGACCCAAAACCCCCGAGCACGAGCGGCCGAACGGATGAATGCGCCAGACGACTCGTGATCTTTGTGGTGGTAAGACAAGGAGAGTTTTTCGTGAGGTGCACATGCGATCGTTCGTTTTGTTTACTCCTTGATCTCGGCCTCGGTCTCGATGGCAGAGATGGCGGACCTCTTCTCGGCAATGCGGCCGGCGCGGCGCTCGCGGGCAGCCTTGTTCTTCGTTCGGCGGGCTTCCATCTGGTCGGCGAGGATCTTGGTGCGCGATTGCTCGGCCTTGGCCTTGTGGATGTGGTCCATGAGAACGCGCTATGAATGGACAGAGCAGGACCGATTAGCTTGGGAGGCAGCAGGACATAATTATTTGAGTATGGACTAGCCTTGTTCTGTTTTAAAGTTGCAGCGGCGGGGTCAAAGAGATGTTAAGGTTAGCAACGGGTCGCAGAGCAGGAAGATCCGACGTGGCGTAATTGACGTGCCTTGAAGACGTTACCCTGTTGACGAGAAAGGAATACAAATCTCCAAAAGAGTCAGCTTCTTCGGCGCGCCGACTGATGCAGCGTTCCAATCATTTTGCTCTCTGGAACGCACCTTGGCCTTCAAGTACAGTTCGTGGTAGCTGCAGCAGTAATAAACATTATAGGACCATACATGAGCATACATAACCCCTTATTCAATCCCTGTCTTGCCATCGTCTCCTCCACTCACAGGTGCTTGTTGATCTTGCCATCCTCTCGGTACTTGCGCAACATGCGCCTGAGCACACGCTGCCTCCTCATCCACAAAACCTTGGTCGGCATACGCGCATCGGCGGAACCCTTCCTCTTACCGGCACCGGTGTGACGTCCCTTGGCCTTGGCAGCCTCGTGGTCGCGGGCGCGGGCACGCGAGTGGATCACCTGGGGCTTGACGATGATGTAGCCATCCTTGCGGAGAGATCGGATGCTGTTCAGAAAAGAGGGCCGCAGTTCCACGATCAGATGGTCAGCATACATTCTTCGTTTCCTTTCTGCTCCCTGATCCATGGTGCACACTGCGGTGGTCGCTCGATCTGCGTCCTGGTCGGGGCTCGGCTGCGGGCTAGCGCGCTTCGCACTGGGCGGTTCGATTCGCGGAGGGCGCACGGCGCACGGCGGGCTAAGGCTGGGACGGGCGACACGGCCTACGCCTGATTTGAGGTGACAATAGGACCTACTTGGCACGCGAGTTGGCGTTGGCGATCTCGGACAAGTGCGAAGGGTCGAGGTAGATCTTTCGCTTTCCGACACCGAGGACCTGTAGGGGAAATGAAGGGGGGTTGGGGCGATTGGTGGGCGAGGCGGGCGTGGGCGTAGGCGGCACAGAGAGACGACGGCGCGAGGGCGAAGGCGACGGGGACGGGGACGACAGCGGTAGAAAAAGTCAATTGACTGCCGCGACACAACGACTACAACACCGCCCATGATGACAAGGTGTGGTCATTCCGGATGATCACGGTGAACGTACGGAGGCGGCCAGACGCTTCTGGGATGAAAGGTTCGACATGATTCGTGAGACCTGCAAACGACGCCGCGAGGATGCAAAAGCGCAAAGCGACGATGGCGACAGTGGTTGAACAGCGCGGGCGGTGGCGGCACACACGGAGACAGCGAGCGACCAATCATAACGACGGGCGAAAGAACAGTGGAGTATGGGAGTTGAACAGTCAGTACATCGCTGATACGGAACTTCGTCGCCAACCACAGCAGCTCACCTCTTGCTTGGGACGACGAGCAGGAGACGAATGCACTCCCCGCTCGACAGGCGCGGCCAACTCGGGCGTCAGCTGAACGCTCGCCAGTCGCTCGCCTGTGGGCTTGCCCAGGATGGCTTGACTCGCACGGGCCTCTTCTGGCCTGGCCTGCAGTCGACCCCGTGGGCCTGGGAAGGATAATTTTAATCCATCTGAAAGCGGGGGCAGGCAAAATGTTTGTGACTCACAGCACGCATGGGCCACACTTGAAATGCTGCTGCTGCACCACCTTGTTAGTCACACTCGGATCTGCAAACTGCACTCGCCGACTGGGCGGGCGAAGATTTTGACACTGCAGCTACGATCGCGTGCCATCGTTTCAGTCTACACACACGTGGTTGAACGTTTTTGATGAAGAAGTACAGCTTACGTGAAAATGTTCCACACATTCATCGTCTGCGAGCCAAAAGCGACCAGTGCTCACGTGACCTTCCACAAGCCTGCCGCCGCACCAGCCGTCGGCCACAAAGTCAGCCAGAAGGTGCCAGCCAGAACAGCTCTCTCGCCCAGATGCGTAGGAGGGCGCAGACATTTTCAGTTGCCTAGTCACCCCCTACTCGTGTTCTGTTTGGCTCTGACAGCAGTTACTAAATGTCGGACAAAGCTTTTTGTCCGACCTCATCAGCATTATGGCGATGAGCCTCGCGGAGCTTGCCAAGGAGGTCGAATCAGAAGCGACAGTGGAGCATTGGAAGGGTGGCCTCTCAAATCGAGATAAACTTGATGTTCTCTTCAACTTCGTGAGCTTCGGTACCGACATTCGGATCATCTCCCGGCTGCCTCGCCCTTGGTCAGTGTGGGGTCCGCCGAGAAAGCAGCTGGGGGTGATCTCGTAAATGCGAAAGGGTAGCTCCTATGTGTTCCGCATCCTCACTCGCCACCTTTAATTGCGTCTCGCTCGAAAGCGGGCCCCAAGTTGCGCAGGAATGCCTCGACCCGCATCGCGTAACGGCATCGAAAGGGTATTGACGCTAACTCGAGATCGCCCCTGAATCTAACGCCCACTGCCGATCCCTCGCGCTGGCGGCGGCGGTTTGGTCACCCAAGCATCGAGACAACGTGGTCGTGGTCGTGGTCGCGGTCGCGGTCGCGGTCGCGATCGAGTCTCACTCCAACGACCGGATGGCGACCCCCGCCCCCGCCGTTGGGCATCACTATGAACTGAGTAGCTACCAGGTAGGCACCGGAACCTACTAACTTGATGCCAAAACCACGTTCAAACACCTAGGAACAGGGCGACATCGGACCGTCCTGATGAAAACTCTGGCTTGTGCCATTCAGGAATCGATTGGCAGTGTCACCTTTGGTGAACGGCGCGCCGAAACCCTTTCCCTGCAAAGAAGTCGTCTTCCACGTGAGATTGCGCACCAGTATGCTGAACATATGCGGCTGTTATTTCGACAGTGTGTAAAGTACTCTGAATTGGGGAAACACTCATTCATTGCCATTACAACTGCAGCGAGCAGAAATGCCGCATGATTCGCGAAGGGTTTGCAGCTTGGAACTCGATGCAGCGACCTGAGTCGCTGGACCTCCCAGTATGGACGTCTGCACAGAAAATAGTTGCAGCATTGCCTTTCATGATCGAAAAGCGTGAAGCTCGCGAGGATGAGGGTACTTGTGATGTCATAATGAACCCGCGTCTAGCAGAGAAACAAAAATCGAGAGCGTGTCGACGCGCCGGAGGGTTTGCTCATATGAAATCCAAGTTCGCGCTCTCTCCGGGCTGCGAGTCGCGACTTCACGTGCAATGCATCCACTTGGGAGCGAAAAGTACATATCCCAGACCTCCAAAATTACAAGGTAATCGCTACGACCCGTTGCGAAGAGCACATCCTACGGATGGCCAAGTCATCGACTCGGAGAAGCCGTCGCCGAATTTCCTGCGCACCTAGGGTCCAACTCGGTCACTGCGGGTCACTTGTACCATCAAGCTTTGCCCGTTGCAGATAAGAAACGGGGGGAATCCATTTGGGCGAGAGCTTGGGGCAAGAACTAGCTTGGGTTTTGGCGACCTTGTAGCGGTGCCGGTGCCGGCTGCGGTCGCATGGAGCCGGTCGGGTCGAGGGTCCTTCGTGGCTTTCGCGAAGAGTCGACTCCCGGCGCCGCGGCGCGTGTTCCACGACCGCGGCCTTTAATGGGCCATTAGAACTGGGTCCCAAGTGCCTAGCCGACGACGAGAGAAAAGGAAGGGCACCAAATCCCAGATTTACAAATGGGCCATCTGAGACCTTGCGGTCGGTCGCGGAGCGCCTCTCGCTTGCCGCTTGCATGAGCGACAGATCCGGCCCGGGGGACTGCGCAAGTCCCCCAAAGAAGGAAGGAGCGAGCGAGGCCAGCCCAAAGTACAGGCCACCGGGGAAATCGCACCGGCGGTCCTCGCTGCCAAGCTCAGCGCAGGACATCCATTTTTTTGGCATTTCTAGCTGAGAGATTTTCACATTCTCAAACTCGGAAAATTCCTGCTATCGGCGGATTGTTGCGGGTAGATATGAGCATGGTAGCAGATAGTCAATCGAGGTGTGATAGAGTCGCTACGTACTCCGTCCGGCATCAATCTTGTCGCTGCTTTGGGCGACAAGGCGGGCGGATGACCCACCCAAGGTGCGGGCCTGGCAATTGATCGCCCTCGTCCTTGAGCTTGATCGAGGCACAGGCGCGCGCGCGCGCGGCGACCACCGCCGGCGCACCCTCAAAATCTTTGATGAAAATCCGAGACAGGGCCTTACTCCGCGATTCCGCGGTCCCGGACCAAGGCCTGCTCCTCCACCCCCTTCACCCCGCGCGCTGCGAAGCCTTCTGGTGACCTGTGGTCAAAATCGAGGCCGGCGCGTGCACTCGACACCTCGAAAATGGTCTGGGTATGGATCATGCTTATCCCGGTTCCGCAACTTCATTCCTTCTCTTCTTCACCTTCACCACACTCTCATCACTCACCCCCGAGCTCCCAGCCCTTGTCCCACTTCCCGGCCCACCCAAACCTTTTTCAAGCCCCTCAACATGCTCGCCTCCGCTCTTGCTCTCGCCTCCGTGGCTGCCCTCGCCGCTGCTCGACCCATCTCGGTCGCCCTTGCCGCTGTTGAGACTGCTCTCTCCCTCCCCAACACCACTCAGACCAACAACGCGACCTTATACTGGCGTGAGTACTCTATCCGGTCTTCTGTTCCAGTCTTTCGCGTAGCACCGGCAAATGAGCTCGGCGCTTCTGGCCTCCGCGGAGAATTTAAGGGGCCCGCCGCGTGGCACCCCCTTTGTCGTGTGCGGGCGCCCCCCCTCAAAAAGGCCCCATGCTCCCATTGTTATCGTGTAGCATCCTGACTGATCCAATCTACTCTCATTACGTGCATTTCTAGAAAACGGCAACGCCGGTGCCTGCGGCCTCTACTCGAACGACACCGACGTCGTCGTGGGCCTCCCCTTCGAGTTTTACTCCGACCTCGGTGCCGTCTCTCCTTACTGCGGCTCTTACCTCTTCGTCACCAACCACATCAACAACGTCACCACCCCCGCTCGTATTGCCGATGCCTCCGCCACCAACGGCACCCTCTCGCTCTCCGTCGCTACGTGGCGAGCGCTTAACGGTGACGGCACCAACTTGACCCAGGTCACTTGGCGCTTCGCCAACAAGACCGAGGCCGCCGCCGCCGAGGTTGCTTTGATCTCTGCTACCCGTGAGTCAATTTTCTGCCTTTGCCGCCTGGGCATGGTACCTCGCGCGCGCACGACACAGTTCATTGCGCTAGCCAAGAAAAGTCTGCTGACGCCGTGCGCCCCTGTCTATCTAACTAGAGCTCGCCGTTGCCGCCGACGCCGCCGCCGCCAAGTCCGCCGATACCTCTGACGCCGCCGCATCCTCTGCTGCTCAGCAACAAGCTTCCACTAAAGCTGCCACCACCCAGGCCGCTCAACAGCAACATAAGACCTCTGCTGCCTATGTCGCTCCCACCACCACTGCTTACGTTGCCCCCACCACCACCACCAAAGTTGCCCCCACCACCACCGCCTACGTCGCCCCCACCACCACCGCTTATGTCGCCCCTAAGACCTCGGCTTACGTCTCCCCCACCACCTCGGCCTACAAGGCCTCGTCGGCTTCGTCGGGCTCCTACTCCGGTACGGCTACCTACTTCACCCAAGGTGGTGTCGCCGGCAACTGCGGCCAAGTTCACCAAGACTCGGACTACATCGTCGCCTTGACCTCGGCCATGTACTCCGGTGGATCCCACTGCGGCCAAGGTGTTCGCATCTGCACTTCGTCGGGCAAATGCATCTCCGCGACCGTCGCCGACTCGTGCCCCAGCTGCAGCTCGAGTGGTGACTTGGATCTGTCGGTCTCCGCCTTCAGCGCCCTCGCTTCCCTCGACGCCGGTGTCGTCGGCATCTCTTGGTCGTTCGCTTAAATCGATGATCCTTTCCCTCCTCATCGATCCGACCAAAACCCACTTCCTCTCTCGCGCATCATCATCTTTTTTGGGTTGAGCTTTTCCACAAGCTCTTTTTTCTCTCTTCCTCCTCGTCGTTGGCCAACACATTCGCATCGTCATCGCAGTATCATAGAACCCGACACGAAACGTCTATAGAGCAATCAACTTCTGCTACTACTATTTAGACGCTGTAGCATACTAGACACTCCCTTGTTTCAATCCTTTTCACGCCCACCCTCCTTTCTCTCTTCAACCTCCTCAAAAAATCGATCGAGTAGATCGCAACGACGTCGTTCGCTTCTTCTTTTAGACGAATGCATTTGCAACACGAATTCAAAATCCTTTGCATCTCTATGTCCATTATCCGCTATTTGTGAGAGAACAAGTTTAGCAGATCACTTCAGGCATGATGAGCGGATGCAAAGCATTGATCGTCTACCAGACTCGTGGCTCATGGATCATGGCGCCTGGTCGTGGATTCCAAAAAGTCTTAAAATGTAGTGCAAGTGAGGCAAGTTCACCCAGTAGCTTGCGTTTGAACCGCATGGATATATCTCTTTAGCATCTCAACGTACGTAAAAACCACCAACACAAGGAAGAGCCGCCCCTAGGCATTACCAGGACCGAGCCTCACCTCCCTCCCCTCTCTCTCAATCACCTCATGCCGCAGGGGGTGGTGCTCCTCCCAAATTAGCGAACGGTGCACCACCCCCAATAGGAGGATTCGAATGCGCATCCTTCTTGACGCTCTCGTACACCTCTCCGAGGATCCCCATTGCGACGGCGCGTTTGCGAAGCATCGCCGTGGGGACGCCTTCCTCGGCCAAGACGGTGTCGCACACTTCTCGGATGACGGACTCGACTTCGAGTTTGGCGCCTTTGAATAGCGCGTGAAGGCCCTGCATTTCATGTCGAGGGATCAGTGTTGATTTCTCGACCAGCCCGGCCGAGTTCAGAGCAGAAGGCTTACCATCTGAGCAGCCTTGTCTTCAAGCTCCTTCTTCTTCTCATCGCTCAAGCCCGACTTCTCGGCTTGCGAAATAGCCTCAAAGACATCCTTGAGCGCATAAGCACTGCGCACGGTCGAGACGGTCTGCCCGATGATGTGGGCCGTCGAGCGCGCCGAGTGAAACCAGCCGGCGACGCCAAAGGGGATGATGCCCGTCGTCGCGAGGTAGTGCTGCGACTTGGACTTGTACACGAACCCGACGGTGTGCAGTAGCTCGACACCGTACGACTCTTGCTTCAACTCTTCGGCTTCGATGGTCCACATTGTCCGAACTGTCGGAATTGACCCACACACAAATGATATCCCTCAGATCCGTCATTCGCGACAGCTCGCAAGGATCCGATTTGGAACGATAAGACTGACCCCCTGAAGCGATCTGCTCATCCTCCTCCCCTTGCGCTTGCTCCGAGAACAAGGCCAACTTGGTCTTTAAACGTTCGACGAGGTTCTTGACGCGTTCTTGGCGCGCCTTCTCCTTGTGCTCCGCAACCTTCTTCTCGGCTTCGGCCTTGGCTTCCTTCTTCTTGCGCTTGGCCTCGATCTCCTCCGGTGACGGTGTCGGAGGTGGTGGTTGGGATGGGTCGTGGGTCTTGGGCGTCGCGTCATCCTCTTCCTCGTCTTCGTCTTGCATCGCCGCCTTCATGTCTTGGCCCAGGGAGATGGTGCCGATAATGTCCTGGACAGGAATGCGCGGAAGTCAAAGAAAGTCAGGAAGGGTGTCGGGCTCTCTTCGATGCCTGAGAATGAACCGACCTGAAAGCGTTCCCCACCAAACAACTGCGAGAAGATGGCCTCCGGATCGACCATGGCTTCACCGTCCTGTCCCCCACCGTCGCCCTTGCCCTTGCCGAACTCGTTGTAAGCGTGCCGCAGCCCCGGGTCCGAGAGGGTAGTGTAAGCGATCGCGATCTCCTTGAACCTCTCGGCGGCGGAAGGGTCGTCGGGATTCTTGTCGGGGTGAAACTTGATGGCCTGTCAGAACGATCGGGATGGAGGCGAAGATGAAGATGGGCAGGTTGAGCGTAAGGTCTCGGGATGAGATTCTATCGGGAGCCACACTGAACTGACCAGTCGGCGATATGCCTTCTTGACATCCTCGGTCGTGCACGTGACGGGCAATCCGAGTCGTTCGTAGTAGGTCATATCCAATGGTCGCTCATCTGAAGATAAGAGAGAGTACGACTCGGTCAGTGTCGGACCACGCAGGCGATCGCCGAAGCCGGCCTGCTGCTCAAGATTGACTGACCTGTTCCAATCCTCCTCTTGGCCTTTTCTTTACCCGACTTGTTCGCGGACGAAGACGACGACGACGAAGAAGCCCCGGGCTTTATGATCCACGTCTGACTGCACTTGGCGCAGGCGAGGTTGAAGCCGTCCTTGAGCGTCGACTCGGTCGGTGTCGGGCTGAGATACTCGACCAGGGTGCGACAGTGCGGACACGTGACGGTGATGTAGGCCTCCTTGAGCCTCGATTGCACGGTCTGCATCGCGGCACGGTCTAGAGGTCCAGTGGGATTGACTTGGTCCAATGCTGCTGGGTTGGATGCTGGTGCCTGTCCTGCAAGACGATGGGCCTGCGATCGATTCGATGAGAAGGCTGATCGCCAAGTTGGACCGAAGCTTGCGTGTGAAATGGAGGCCAGGCCCGTCTTTGGGAGTTGAGACGTTGAGATTTCAAGCTTCAAGCTTCAAGCTTCAAGCTTCAAGCCCGAGCAAAGTCCTATTCTACTAATGCGCAATTCACGGTCTGGCGCGCTCTGGCGCGCTAGTTCGTCCGCGGTGGCCGGCCCAGAGCGGTGACCACCCACCCCCGCCTTCGCCTTCGCCCTCGCCTTCGCCAGGAATCTAGCAGCGCAGTGCGTCACTCTGGAAGCTCGACTCGAACGGCCGTAGGATGTGGAGAAGGGAACCGTCACCTCAACTGCAAGCATCATCCTCGCTCGGCCCCTTGCCGCCTCTTCCCGAGACTGCACCACCGCACGGAGCCATGTACGATGACCCGTATGCCGCCCAGCACGTCGCGGCTCAGCAACAGCAACAGCAGGGGCAGGGGCAGGGGCAGGGGCAGGGGCAGCCGGGACAAGCTCTAGATGGTCAGTAGGCTTCTGATCGTATCGCGCTATTCCTTCCTGATCCGGTGCTGGTGGGCATGCGATTCGGGTCGCTCTTGTGCAGTGTATGGAATGCCGATCGAGTCCAAGCGAGACAAGCGACGGCGAGACATGGTCGAGCGCGTCGCACGCCTGCACGAGGATACCATCGCCCGAAGAGACAGGTCAGTTGCCTTCACCGCCATCCCCTACATGTTACCTATGCACGGCATCGTGCCCCCGGAAGGTGGGGCCCGCTCGCAATCGTGCCCATTGCCCACGCCCACCACGCCCACGCCCTGCGCCTGCGCTGCTCCGCATTGACGTCCGACCGCCGGCCCGCTCGAGCCAGCAAGTTCGTCACGCCTCTTTCGCCCAACCACGCGCGGCAAGCGGCAAGCGGCGCCCGGGCTTTCGGTTCCAAGCGCGCCTGAGCCTCGGAGAGCAATCGAGGCGCTCCTCTCTCTGCGGACCCCTTTTGCTGACTTGGAGATGCGAACGCGTTCCATACACCCACAGAGTCTTTCATGAACTGTCCGACATTTTCGCCCGTACGACCGAAGAGTTGCTGCCCCCACCCGTCTTCCCCAATGCAGGCGACCCCTCGGCTCCGGTCGAAACCTTGCCCCCCTCACTCGCCTGCACCGACCCCGTCATCCCCGACATGCACCCGACCCAATTCCTCTTTGGGTTGCACCGCCTGTCGATGGAACGCTCCAACCAACTCGTCGCGACCAGGCTCTTTCATGCGCACCAAAAGACGGTTGCGCGGAAACTGTACGAAGCCGAGGTCGAAAGGATTGAGGAAGAGTACGAGTCCGCGGCCAAGGGGGTCGTCGAGAGGTTGTTGGAGGGCGTCGAGGAGAGGAGACGGAGGTTGACTGAGGAAAAGGATGGCGAAGGTGTCACATTAGGTACGCGTCTGACCCCGCGCGAGCTCTGCCACGCCCGTATGGTGCTTGAGCATCCGTAGCTCACCCCATCGTCCCATTGTTCCGTCCACAGACACCTTCCTGGATCCCCAAGCTCGGTCACACGGGACGAGGCGCATGCGAGGTATTCCAAGCTCCTCGTCGCGTCGAGCGCTGTTCTCCTCGCTCGATTCGTCCGACGTTAGCGGCGCCGGCGTCTCGGGTGATGGTGCGAACGACGCAGGTCCTTCGTCCGCAGTCGCCAACGGTCTAGGTGGCATCAGTTCGACGCACATGCATTCTCTCCTATCCTTCAACGGCGTTCAAGATCCATTCCACCTCGCACAGGCGTTCCTTCCTCATCCAAATCACCCGACTTCGCACCCTTTGCTCTCCTCGCTCGCGGCCTCGTCAACGATGTTGGTCGGTGGCTCGATGGGCCTCTTACCCGGATCAGCCTCGAATGCTGCTTCGACCCTCTCGGGAGGTGGAGGACATTCTATGAAGCGCAAATCTGGAGTACCGAGGGCCCAACCGGGCTTACCACCTACGAATTTCACCGTCGCTGTTGGAGTTTATGCGTTCCAGAACAAGTGTCAACCTGGTCTCAGTAGTCTGAGAGTGGATGAGGTTGAGTTGGATTTGGGGGAGGTGAGGAGGAAGAAGGCGAGGACGGGGACGGGAGGCGCAAATGGGACTGGAGGTGGGGGAAGAGGGAGGAGAAGGGAGGAAGTGTGTTGAAGGTGGTGGGGCGGCTTAGATGAGGACGGGTTTTTTGCTGTGTGTAAATGTGTATACCTTTCTCGTCGCTCTGGGTGCACCTTGCCCACCTTATCTTCGTAATCGCATGGACGGATGCTCTCCCTTGCAAGCACATCACGAATTTTTCGGTGGTCTAGCTCCAAAGATCCTCGATCCGACCCTAACGTTATTGGACCCCTGCTTGATCGCCTGCACGAAATCATCGCTCATCCCCATACTCAATCTCAACTTTCTTCTCCCTTCCACCAACTCCTTCGCTCCCTCCCCTTCAACACCCCTCAAAGCGAGGAGGAGATCATCCCTCGTTTTTCGGAGGAGGGTGAAATTGGGGTTCTCTTGGCCTTCTTCCCCCGCTTGATGAGAAGCGTCGATCGATCCGATCGTCATCAGGCCTTCTAGTCGTAATCCGGGACATTCCGAAAGCACATGTTTGGCCAGATCGATCAATTCGCCCGTCTTGTTAGCTTCGTCGGTGGACGAGGAGAGGGACAGAGGGGCAAGGCCTGATTTGGACGCTTCACCCGAGGTGTTGATCTGGAGATAAACGGCCAAGGGTTCGGGAACGGGTGGGGCAAGAGCTTGACGCGTTTTGGAGAGGGCTGTGGCGGCTTTGGTGGAGGTGAGCGTTTCGACGACGGCGAGGTTCGGAACGGCTAGGGGCCACGTTTGAGGAGACCAGACGGGAATTAGTGTGGGATAAGGAGAGGTCTCTGGGAGTACGTGAGGGAACGTACAGGCAAGCATCTTGGCCTTGTTGGATTGCAGCGATCCGATGAAGTGGAAGCGGATGTCACTAGGTAACTGATGGAGAGGAAAGCCCCGCGCCCCACACGGCGCTCGAATCAGCTCCCGATTGCCGACGAGGTAGGGCATGCGTAAGGCTTACTTCCTTGGCCTTATCAACGAGTTCTTGAGGGTAATTCTCTCCAAAGTGACGGACGCCATGGTCGTACAGGGCCAGAATGTCGGACGACGGCTTGAGCTTGGACACGGCGACCAGCGTCGGCTGTGCGGATGAACAAAACTCTTGCGATGTCAGCAGTCTTGGAGACGCATTCCATGCATCGTTTGAAGTTATCTCTCGCCTTGTCGCCTTCTTCTCTGCTCTGCGCGGCCTGGTTGAGCTCGTCGCGGATGGTGTTGTAGTTGTGACGTAGCTCTTGAGCTCGTTCATCCGAAGCGGGTTGGATCGTCATATTGGGGGCACGTGCAACAGTGATGGATTTGCGTTGAGCGGAGCGTTTTGAGGTGTGTTGAAGTGCTCGGACGAGGGTACGTTGCATGCGAACCGTGTGAGGGTGACTGCGAGGCCGATGACCCACGAGCCTGAGAGCCGCTCCGTTCTGGATCAGAGAGGATCGGCACGCGTCGGGTCGCGCTTGGGCGGAGTTCATGCATTCATGATCGACCGTAGTGACGGAGATTAGTAATACCCAGCCTGCCGCTGCCTGCCGCTGCCTGCCGCTCGAAGCGCGGCATTGACCCTTCGCACTCCCCCGCGCTCCCTTCCCTTCGCCGGCGCCCTTCCTTCCGTATCGACGTGCTTTCCCGACACGCCCACCCTTCTCGCCCACCCGTCTTTTCCGTAAGCTGCATGGCCATGTCTACATCTCTTATCAAGCGGCTGATGTATGAAGCCTCTTCCCCACCCTTCTGTCGGCTGATTACCACCGTTCTCTCGCAGGAATATGAGTCCCCCACCCAGGCCAACGGCCACGGCCCTCTTGCCGACGGCCACGAGGACAAGATCGATTGGGATTACTTCATCAGTGACAGCGGTCGCAAGTGGACCCCTTCTGCTAGTCAGTACAATCTCCCCCCTCTCCTCCCTCTCCCCTGGGCTCCGACCTTATCTTATCGCCGGCGCAAGTCAGCTGACCCGTCCTCGCTCCATCTCTTTCCCACCTTTGACTCACGACCTCCTTGGCGCACCAAAATTCATTTTTCTTGCTCGCCTTCTCTTGGTTTTCGCCGCGATTCTCCGAGCACAGTCCGAGGTCTGTTTCACCGAGAGGAAATTCCGGGCATGATCTCTTTCCTCGCCGGTAAACCCAATCCGACCACCTTCCCCTTCTCTTCGATCTCGGTGATGCTTAAGCCGATCGTCCCAACCGCTGAACCCGAGACGCTCGTCGTCGAGGGGGAGAACCTCAACGAGAGCTTGCAGTACGGTCCTACCGCAGGTTTGAAGAAGTTGGTTAATTGGTTGGAGGATTTGCAAGTGATGAAGCATTCGAGGAAAAAGGATGGAAGTTGGGGCGTTAGTATCGGTAGTGGCAGTCAGGATCTGATCAACAAGGTGCGTCGGGTCGGGTCGAGGAGAAGATAGGGGTGGAGTGTCGCGGGGATTGCAGAGGCTGACTGGCCTAATTATACGGCAGGCCTTCCACTCTTTGGTCAATGAGGGCGACACCGTCTTGGTCGAGACACCCCTCTATTCGTGAGTGCCTCGTCGCATGGGGATCGGACCCGGAAAACCTTGCCAGTGCTGAGTTCGCCATTCACCCGTTCTACGCGCAGTGGGACCATTGGTCTGCTTCAGCCCATGTCGTGCGATTTGGTCGGTGGGTGGACAACCCATTAGTATTCTCTCGAGGTTCCCTACTACAATGTTGCTGACAACATTCCGCGACGTCCTCGTAGAAATTCCAACCGACGCCCAGGGTATCAACACCCCCGTGCTCGAGGACATGCTGGCCAACTGGGCGACCCTGCACCCGAACAAGCGCTTTCCCAAAATCATCTACACGATCCCGACCGGCTCGAACCCTACCGGATGCTCGTCCCCGCTCGAACGTCGCGTACACCTGCTCAAGCTCGCGCGCCAGTATAACCTGCTGATCCTCGAGGACGACGCTTACCACTACCTTGTGTTCGATGTGACGAACCAGCCCCCCTCGTACTTTGATCTTGAGGCGCAGAATGGGGGCCAGACGGGTCGTGTCCTTCGTTTCGACTCGCTGAGCAAGATCATCAGTTCGGGTTAGTCCTCGAGGCCGTGTCCCAAGAACTGGCAAATATTTTGACCTCTCACTGACATGATTCCGCCCTGGGTGGTTGCTGACCTTCCAGGCATGCGATTGGGTTTCGTCTCGGGTGCCAAGGAGCTGTTGAGGATCATCGACCTGAACACGGCCAACACCAACCTGCAACCGGCCTCAACGACGCAATCGATCGTGCTCGTCCTGCTCGAGCGGTGGGGGCACCAAGGTTTCATCGAGCATACGCGGCGCGTCTCGGCGTTCTACAAGGAGAAGCGGGACATGTTTGAGAAGGCGGCTCGAAAGCACTTGGGAGGGTTGGCCGATTGGGTCACGCCTGATGCGGGCATGTTTGTGAGTGGTTGGGCTCCTTTTCACAAAGGAGAAGCGTCGGTGCCGTTAGCTGATCGTCTCGTGAATGCTGTCCCGCCACAGTTGTACCTGAACCTGCACCTCACCTCGAACGAAAGTTCGGGCGATTCGAACGAACTCATTTCCAAGAAGGCGCTCGAAAAGGGAGTTCTCGCTGTACCAGGCGTTGGGTTCTCCCCTTCAGGATCGATCAGTTCGTCCGTGCGCGTGTCGTTCTCTTTGGCGACAGAGGAGGATGCAGATAAAGGATTTGCGAGGTTGGCCGAGGCCGTGAGGGAGGCGAGGGCCGCGGCCAGGGTCGTAGACGAGTAGTTTTGGGGAAGTCGAATTCATTTTAATTGTCGTAAATGAAAGCATAGAGGTTTTAGTCGGATTTCGCTGGAGTGAGTCGGTCGGCCAGTGCTCGGCCGAGCTACTGCCGAGCTACTAATTATATAAAGACGGGGCAGAGTCGTTCCCTCGACTGCCGGTCTCGGCTGGCTTCGCTTCGAGCCCCCACAGTCAGTCACAGTCACAGTCACACGCACACCCGCCCGTCATCCTCGTTCGCGAGCTGTTTGCGGCGCTGGATCTTGCACAGCGGTCGAGAGCGTAGGTGGAGCAAAGGATCGGAGTGTGACGACTCTATGCCCTCGAGTGAGGAGGGACTAGGCTCGGGACGCACGCGACTGTCGAAAGGATTCAAGTGGCGACTCGACGCGATCTCAAAAACACCGAGACGTTCGATTTGAGCTCGACAGCGACCGCATCAGTCTCGCCGCGTCGTGAGCGTGCTCGAGCACGAGATGAGGATCCTGTCTTGGAATGTGAACGGGATCAAAACGTTGCCCTTCTACCACCCGTGAGTGCGAGTGGAGGTGTTGACCGCCTGCTGCGATCAGGGTATGAACTGACTGACGCTTTTTGGATGTCGTGTGCTCGTGCTCGTACAGGTGGAATGCACTCAAGGAGCACGAAAAGATCATTGAGGCCTTAGAGGCCGATATCGTCTGCATCCAGGGTGGGGTACACCTTCCTCGTTCAGTCCAGCGCGTTCTCGTCGCGCGCAACTGACCATTGCCGGTTGAACTCCGCCTTTGGGGAGACAGAGACCAAGATCACGCGCAAACTGATGGGCAAAGACCTGGCCGTAATGAACGGGTTTGACGCCTTCTTCTCCTTCCTCCGTCCTCCGGCTGGACGCCACGGGACCGCCATCTTCACTCGTCGATCGGCGTTGGTCCCCGTCAAGGCCGAGGAAGGATTGAGCTCGGTGCTGATCCCGAGCTCGACGGCGAACGAAGGTCGCATCGGGGGCTATCCATGCTTCTCGGACCAGGATGATTGGACACATGATGATGTGGTCAAGCTCGAGAGTGAAGGCAGGACGACCGTCATCGATTGTGGCATGTTCGTCCTGATCAATTTGTCAGTGGCCGATGTACACTTTCCTCGTGGCTTCTCATCCGTGTTGATGTCTGGCCGAGCTTCTTCACAGATACTCGCCCAATCTGACGAACGAGGACCGCCTCAAGTTCAAGAACGACTTTAACGTGCTCATCGACACTCGTGTGCGCAACCTCATCCAGCTCGGTCGTGAAGTGATCGTCGTCGGCGATTTGGTGAGACGTCTCGGGTGATCTTATTAGTCGACAGCTCCCGATTCTGACCAGAGTTTCCTTCGTGTCTCACAGAACATCGTGCTCCATTTGAACGATACGAGTGAACCACACAACATCAGCAAAGATGGTGACGTGTCCCAGTTTGATGCACCGCAGTACCGTCGGTGGCTGCAGAGCTTCGTCGGTCCCTCCGGCCCCATGATCGACATCGTTCGGCACTTCCACCCCAACCGTAAAGGGATGTACACCTGTTGGGACACCAAGACCGAAGCGCGCAAGAGCAACCACGGCGCACGCATCGATTACATCCTCATTACCCCTGGTCTACGACCCTGGGTCAAAGAAGCCGATATTCAAGCCGACGTTCCGGGATCCGATCACTGTCCCATCTACGTCGATTTCCATGATGAGATCGAGATCGAGGGTAGAGGGACCGTCAAGCTATGGGACGAGATGAACCCGAAACGGAGTGGATCGGATAGGGACCCGGCCAAGCAGCCTGAGGCCCCGCAATTTGCAACTAGGTTCTACTCCGAGTATTCGAGCAAGCAGAAGAGCATCAATGCTTACTTCACCAAAGGGCGCGTACCGAGCGCAACGGCTCCCCCTTCGCCGGTACCTCCTACTGCATCGGCCTCATCTCCTTCTTCCGTTCAGCCAGCTTCACCTGCTTCTCAGTCGTCGAATGTACCTTCGGACAGGGCCTTGGGCAAACGTCCTGCCGTTCCAGAACCCGAGCCTTCTCCCCCACCCCCACCAGGTGGCCAGCAAAAGCTCTCCGGCTTCTTCAAGCCCCCACCGCAGCCCAAGCCCGCGAAGAAGACCAAAATCACCAAGGCGAGTAAAGTCAAAGTCTCCAAGGCCAAGACCAAAGAATCGACGTCATACACTCCCCTGGTAGCGTCGGCAAGCACGTCCACACACCCCGCAGCTTCTGAAGCGATCGAGCTCCTTTCCTCCTCCGACGAAGATGAACCCACTTCAAGCTCTTCCTTCACAACGACAACGAACTCAACTTCGACTCGAGCACGTTCCTGCGCAGCCGAATCACCCTCCGAAGTTTTCGATCCGTCCGATCTAGAAGCCGCTTACGAAGCCGCGAACGCGACGACGACGCAGTGGAATTCCATCTTTGCGACCAAGGCCGCGCCGTTGTGCGATGTGCATCAAGAACCGGCCAGGCTTTGGACGGTCAACAAGTCGGGGATTAATAAAGGAAGGAGGTTCTATCTTTGTGCTAGGTAGGTTCTTCGTCGGAGTCGCTCGGTTCTTCATTGGGGAAGTGAGATGTTGATGTGGGGGGCTTTTGTGATGCTGTGCAGACCCGTCGGTCCTGGGTACGATAATGGTAAACGACCCAAATCGAGCGTCAACCCAGAATGGCGTTGCGATTTCTACCAATGTGCGTCCGACTCATCATGGCCTTGAAATGTCAAGATAGTGACTCGAAGCTGACCTCTTGGTCTTATTAGGGGAGACCCAAGTCAAGCGACCGGCTGGGATCGCCTTGGATCGAGCGGGCAAAAAGGCCAAGTCTTAATCGTGCAACTGCTTATTTGTGTCTCGAAGTTTCTTGTTCTCGTTTTACAACTGTTGTCTTTATCTCCCGCTTTCGACGCAACGTTGCCAACTTCGTACTTCCGTTGCATGATACTATCATATCAGGTATCTAAGGCTGCTTGCGGGCTTTCTCGCGTAGTTGTGTAATCACTTTGGGATTGAACACCTCATCCCCTTCGACGATACTGTAGGCCCGAATACAAGGGATCAGAATCGGATTTGCCCAGATGTATTCTATCCGATTTGCAATCGACTCACCGTGAGCGTCTCCAAGGCATCCCCCATTCCCACCACTTTCGGCCCAACAAAGCCTCGAGGTTCTTGCTCGCTCCGAGATCGAACAAAGGTTCCTCCGGGTCCACAGCGACGATCACTCCCTCCTCTGGTCGATCTTGCTCTCCCTCCATGAGGACAGATAAAGATGAGGTTTGATTTCGAGGTGCTGGAGGTAGGTAGATGTATATCCGAGGATCGTAGGTGTTGGATTTGGAAGAAGATCGAGCTCGATGACGACGGATGCGCTCGACTTGGACCGCTGACAGGCCCTGGCGTGCGTTGAGGATGATGGTTGTGATCACTAAGGAACAAGAGAGGGCCTTTTCAGCTCCACAGAGTTTCCTTTTATGATTGAGCGTATACGCGAGCGAACTCACTGGCTACCCCAACGAGCATGACAAACACCGCCGTCACGACAACGAGGAGAGGACCAAAGTGAGGTGAGGACAGCAGAGGACAGGGGTCGTACGTGGGATCCCGGTGTCCCCGGACTCGTAAGAGCGGCGGATGACCGGACGAGCTGTATACGCGGTATGCGATGAATAGACCATACGCATAGCTGTGTGGAAGGTGAAGGGATGAGCCTGACCGTTGGTGGTTAGACGCTGGGCGAATGTCACTAACCGAGTGACAGGTCCGCCGATCCAGCTGAGCTTTCGGTCCCACCACCGCTCACGAAGCTCGACCGAATTCCAGGTAGTTTCGTGCACTCTCATCAAGGCCTCGTATATGATTGGGACGAGCGGAATAATGGAGATGCCGATCAACAGGACGGCGGCCTGGCCCCAGAAAAAATGTGCAAAAATGTGCAGAGGTGAGCCCGGGAGTCCGATCGCGGACTCCAGGTTCGCGAAGACTTACAACGAGGAAGCAGAAGAACGGTTCGATAGACTCTCTTGCCACACATGCATCCATGAATGGACAGTGATGATCGAAACCTGGTCTGTGAACATCAAACCAGATGCTTCAGTTGACAGCACATGGCACTCCGTTGGCCCGAGAGCCGACTCACATGCATACACCACAGTCGTTACAATGCCGTGCTTTGACGGGTCTCCATCGATTACATTGAATACACATCTTGGCTTTTCCGTCGGAATTGCATTCGAAGATCTGCCCAATTGAAAACTTGTGAGACTGAGTGACTGCTGAGTCGGGAGCTCTTTCGCACACAGGTCTTCGGAAGTTGGGGCTGTGGACATACCACCTTGCGCTGTTGGATCTCGATCGGAGGCTCGCCATCTCCTTCTATCCGATGCGAGGCGAAGCGCACAAGTCCAAAACACAAGGTCGCGACCGAAAGAAGTACGATGAACTGCAGTTGATACATGCGGGCGACGGAATGTCGTCCTCGGACCAGTGCGAGGTAATTGGCTGTGGACTTCGACAGCCAATCAGCTCGTGACTCGTTAGTCAGGGCGGAAGTATGTGGGCCAGAGCCCACCTGTTTGTACCATGGCGAGATCATATCCCTTGTAGGCCAACACGACCAAGAGCGGCGGGATCAGCTTGCCCAGAATCACGTTCGGTCTCGTTCATCGACTCCGAGCTCTCCTCCTCCGTGCCGAGGCCGGATCGGTGTTGCCCGGGGCATGGAGCTGCGTCTGGGTATCGATGAGACGAGTCGACTCCTGTGCAGCCATGAGTGCTCTACTCGCGGCGTGCTCAAGTGTCATCCGACCTGGCTGACTCGAGTCGATCACTCGGCCGTCGTGGGCCCGTCCGGGATGACAAGCTGCCCGGTGCTCCGTTCGCACGCGCCTCGATCGAGGCTCGCTCGGCCGCTCTCGGCCGACTCGTCCCGGGGCGGTGACGTAGTGCGAAGACCGGCGCTGGCGATTGGCTCCCACTTGGCGCTGGTCACAGTGTCTCCTCTTGCCAATTGCACCTCCTTTAACCAGCCACGGCACTCCTTGGCGCAACCCTACCCTGACCAACTTTTCCTGATCATTCACCACCATCCAATAGTGAGTACCTGCGCTCTGCTCGCACCACCCATGCTGCGCTCGAGGAACACGGCTACCCCGACTCACGTGCTGATCACCTCGCCGACCGCTGCTCCTTACTGCCCTCGCCTCCTACAGTGGGCTCAACATTCCCCGACTACTATGCCATTCTAGGTGAGAGCTACCAGCCAGATACCTACATCCACCGTGTGCCGCACGACACCAATTGACACGTCATTTCATCTCATCTTGGATCGTGGCTTGGTGACGAGGCAGGCATCGAACCGAGCGCCACACCCGAACAAGTCAAGACGGCCTACAAGCGCAAGTCGTTGCTCTGCCATCCCGATCGAATCCCTGCTGGTCCAGGAGCCGAAGCCAAGAAGAAGAAGGCGACTGTTGAATTCCAAGCGGTCAGTCATGAATGATGGGGAGGGGAAAGTTCGCCGTCTGTTCGGAGAACTGACGACGTGGTCGGTACATCTGCTCGGATATCTCCCAATCACAGGTCGCGGATGCGTACTACACCTTGTCGGACACTTCTCGGAGATCCAACTATGACCAACTAAGATCTTCGCGCCCTTCGTCGTCCCGGACATCCAACTTTGATTCGTCCTCCTCGTACTTCAACTTTTTCAACTCGGCTCGCCAATCCAACACCGCCGATGCGCAAGAAGCGTACGACGACGACAAGGAGAGCGATGCAGGGACCCAACCCGACGCGGAACACGTCTTCGGTAGCGTGTTCGAGGACATGCTGAGACCCGAAGTCAATCGACACGTGCCCGTTTGGACTTGGGCAGGCGCAGCGAGTGGCGCCGTGCTCGGATTCGTCAGTCAGGCCTTGATGGGTTTAGCGACAAGAAAGGATGAGCTCACTGACGTTGTAGCTATCTTTGCCTTTCTCATCAGATTGCCGGGAACTTACCAGGAGCCGCTGTGGGTGGCTTCGCCGGCTCGAAACTTGGGGCCGTGCGAGATGCCAAGGGCAAAGCCGTCTACACCGTCTTCAAAGAGCTCGGATCGGATCAGAAAGCACAAGTACTGGCCGCTTTGGCCGCCAAAGTGTTTGGGATGGCAGGGATCGGGGGACAAGGATCGCGATAGTGGTGAGAGGGGGTGTAGATGAGAGTGTTCGTCACTTCCCTTGATGGATTTTCGCGCGGCCTTACGCCGCGATTTGTGAAATAGTATAATTTGACTCTGCAACAATCACGAAGACAGCACGACATGGCCGAGACGAGTCTCCAAGACACTACTTTATCTCGAGCATTTACGGTGGCGGGAGCTTCCCATCGAAAGGTCCCGCATACACAGCTTGACCTCCGGCGAATGACTGTCCTCGCTCATTCGGGTCACTGCCAGTGATAACTTCTTGGGTCAGAACAATGTATAGTCACTTCAAGCCACTTGTCTCGGATATGCTCGACGCACCTGGTTGCTCGGACAACGATAGGGACGAACCCCCCGGGCAGAATACTAACGTCGGGATGTTCGACCACTCGGAAGAAGGCGTTGATAACTCCACTATGGGCCGTGATGGAGATGAAGGTCGAAGGATCCGTGTCGAAGATCTGTGATCCCACCAAAGAACGAGCTCTCTCTCTCGTCAGGTTTGAAGGCTTGTATGTCTCCTCGGACGGGCTCACTTGGTTTAATTGTTGCTGGATGCGAAGAGCTTGCTGCCGCGGGGATTCCTGGTAGTCCGTACTCCAGAGTTGATCCTGCAGCTTCCTTGCACGTCAGCATGATGTTCAGATCTATCCTATCCCATACTCCCATCACTAACGTGTTCGGAGAAACCGGGCTCGATGTCGTAGGTCGGGAATCGCTCGCGGATGATGGTCTTCTCCGAGCGCTTGTCGCAAGTGTGACAACCGATCGTCTCCCTAAGATAAGTTTGATGGAATCAGACCCGAATCATCCCGGTCAAGCCAGACGAGGCCCTTACCTTAGTCGTTCCAAAATCAGAGGCTTCAACCCCTTGTTCAACAAAATGTCGTGCCAGGTGATTTGCAAGGTGTCCGCCGCTCGCGTAAAAGGGCTTGAGTAGAGGCGCTCGGGCAAGGGCACACCCTCGGCGACTTGTCTCTTCCACGCTGTGTTTATGTCTTCAGCTTGTCGCCGTCCGAGAGGGGTGAGCGGGGGATCAGGCCCCCACTTCAGGTGTAACAAGCCCGAATGCAAGTCAGCTGCCATCGAACAGGAGCAAAAGGGCAGATACTGATTGGACCAACAGTGATATTGCCGTCGGTCTCCAATCGGGACCAATAAGCATCCCAAGCTGCGGTCCCGTACTTGCTCTCAGCAACATTATGATAGCCTTGCCCATGTCGGGCAAGGTAGACGACCTTGTACGTCGTCTGCTTGTCCGCCTCGCGGTTGAGCTTGTCAATCTGGGCGTGAAAAGTGTGCCATCGGTCGGGACCTTGCTCGATCAAGCCGAAGGAGTCGTCGAGGAGGTCGTAGCCCTTTGAATTGAATTTGGGGTCGGCCTGGAAGTTATAGGGTAGGTTAGCTTTCGCTGAATGAGAGAAAGGCATTGTGATGATGCATACCTGCTTGAAGACTGAAAACGAGAAAACAGTATCAGCCTTCAGTACTCTGGCCTCTGTAGGGTGTAGGGAGCGGAGGGACCGCATAGGAGCACAGCGCCGAGAACACTCACATCCTTGCACCGTGGTATACCGAGTCGGAGCAAACGTTGTTCCGAGAGACTGGTATTGGGAAGTTCCTCCGCCTGTATCGATGATGTTGCCGTTCATGCTGTTTCCCAAGAGGCTCAACGCGCCGGTCAAATATGAGACAGTCTATGTGGAGAATGTGTAAGCTCGTCAGTATTCCACCACATGTTAAATGAGCGTTTGAAGATATAACAGATTGACAAGAGTGAGCGTATCCCAAGCCACACCGGGTCACCCGAAACGTGGCAGCGCGACCGATGTGGGGTAGCTGCCGGTGGCAGCAATGTGGCCGAAGTGGACGACTGGCTCACGTTTTGGACCAGGAGCATCAAACTCGTACTCTAAGCAACTCAATCCAAGATGCTTGTCGCTGGGCTGTGGGCGTTCGAGACAATGCGATGGTCCCAAATTGTGCGACGGAAGCGGCGGTGGAGCAGGTGGGAGAAAAACCCGTGCGCGACCAATGACTTCCCGTCTCTCTTCTCTGACCTGCGTAATCTTGCGTAATCATTAGATTGGCCATCTCACTCCGATGACTTACACTCGCTGTTACTTCCAAACAATCTGATTTTCACACTAGCAGCTACATCAAACTCGCACGACCACCAATTTCTTCACTCGCTTGACCCGACGGCAAACCGTTGGCACTTCGCCCATCCACGAACTCGTTGTAGCTGTCAACGGGCCAGCACAATGAGGTCAGTCCGAAGAAACTACCGGGCTACTGGGCAGTGGACTGGGCTCACATCCGACGAAGTCGAGTCAGTTCTTCAGCAGGTACCGACGGACGGGTCGACGCCATTGAAGTGTCGAGGTGTAGCGGAGTGACGTGAGTCTAAAAGGAAGGAGAGTTCGTTAGCTCGTCCAGTTACGTCCCTTCCAGCTTACTCGCCGGTGGCCACGACGCACTTTGGGCTTTTCTTTTGCTGCGCCATTGAGATTGGTCTCGATCTTTGTCTTGCTCGCCTGCTGCGCCTTGATGGTGCTCAGGATCAACTCGAGCCGCTTATTGACCGTCGCCTGTTCGGCCCTCGACAAGACTTTGTCCGAAGCCGCCGGCCCACCCAACGTTGTGTAGGTGATGTCCTCGTTTTCCGTCTTGCCTTTTGACTCTGCCGAAGATTCGAGAGCGTTCGTGGTCGAGTTCAACGTCTCGTGAATGGCATCGAGGTGGGCGTTGTAGACCAGTGCTTGGAGATCGGCACCAGAGAAGCCTTCGGTCTTGGCCGCGTACTTGTTCAGATCGACAGATGGGTCGAGAGCGATTTTTCTCGCACTTGCTTGTATGATCTGAGAAACATTCATCCAAGTCAGTCCGGCCCTTTCTCTGAGTACCAAGTCGCGTCGCACCTCAAGTCGATCCGTCAAGCTGGGCATGTCGCAAAGTAGGGACTTGTCGAGACGCCCGGGTCGCAACAGAGCCGGATCGATCAGGTCGGGTCGACTGCAATCAAATAATATCAGCTCAGCCTGAGCATCTGGCGGACATGTAAGATGGCTACTCACCTCGTCGCGGCGAGAACGTAGACCCCATCGAGACCCTCTGCACCGTCCATTTGAGTGAGCATCTGATTGACAACTCGGTCTGTGACTCCGGTCGAGTCGTGACCACTGTGTTCGAATAAGCGGCGGGATCAGCTAAATGATGGATCATGGGAACGTATCGTCAGAACTCACCGTTTTGGTGCGATGGAATCAAACTCGTCAAAGAACAGAATGCAAGGTTTCGCCGCTTGCGCTCGTTCGAACAGGTCCCGCACACTCTTCTCACTCGCTCCGATGTACTTGTTAAGGATCTCGGGACCTTTGACGGAGATGAAGTTGAGGCCGCATTCCTTGGCGACGGCGGACGCGAGCAAGGTCTTTCCGCAACCCGGGTAGCCGTACAGGAGCAAACCGGAACGCAGTCGGAGTGGACAACTAGCAAAGATGGCGCCATATTTCGTCGGCCACTCCAAGGTCTCGCGCATGACCCGCCGCGTCTCATGAAGACCACCGATATCGGCCCACTGCACGTCCGACTTTTGCAGCTTGACGTCTCGCAGTGACAACGGCATAAAGCCGATCTGTGCTGCGTGGAAGTCGTCGATCCCAAGCTCGAGATTTGAGGTTGAGGAGGTCGTGCGCATAGCTGACTGATGGATCGCACGGCCCACGAGATCGCTTAAATCGGCGGGAAGGTAGCCTTCGGTGAGACCGGCGATGATTGTGTAATCCAGTGACGAAGCGACCAAGCCAGTGGTTGCTGCCTTGGCACCGACGAGGGCTTTCACAATCTGATGAACGGGGGAGGGGGGCGTAAGATCAATACGTGTGGTCTCAGTTAATGTAGCACTGTAGCTCAAGATACTCACATCCTTGCGCCCGGCCTTGTTGGGACCCCTCAAGGAAATCGTTTCACCGAGGAGGTGTGTGGTGGTTAGTAGGGGATGTAGAGACGTCGAGGACTGAGCCGTGGCAATCAGAACGATCGGCCGCGAGCTGAGGGCGGGCGTAGCCAATGACAGGAATGTGTGTGCGAGATGAAGGGCAGGAAACGAGTCGGCGTGCTCGACTTCGGCGCCAAGCATGCGGTCCAAGTTGTCGAGGACGAGCAACGCAGGGGCATGCCAGTACGCCTCGTCGAACCAATCCTTCATTTTCGCTTTCAGCGTCGACTGCCGCTCTTCTGTGTACTTTGAGCAATCGATGTAAAGCGTACCTGGACGTTGGAAAAATTCGTTCATCAGCTTATCGTAGCTGTAAAAAAAGTCGGCATTGCTCCCACGCACGAGTCAACGTCCGAGGGTCGATCTCGAGCTCCCGACCGATCTGTTGTACCAGAACCGTCTTTCCTGCCCCAGAGTTCCCTGTGACGAGTATTCCCGACGCTGCACAGACCCATGGAGCGTGAGTACGGCGCGAAGCTGCATCTCTGGATTCCTCCTACTTACTGGGGATCCTCTTGCCGTTCAGAGTTCGAGCTGCTAGCGAGTTCACAACGTGCGAGCGAATCGCTTGCAGCTTATCCTCAACGCCAGCCAGCACTGGATGCACGCGGGGAGCCGCTTTGGTTGCGACAGAACCCATGTCGTGGAGTGGGAACTCCTTGTGGCCGTTTATGGATGTGGTAGGCGGAGAGCGGGGCAAAGGAACCCGCGAATGCGCAGTTTTTGCGTATCCATTCGTGAGGTGGGTCGAAGATGGGGAGGAGGCGGACTGTGGCTTCGCCTCGTTCGCCAACCTGGCTTTGCGCGCTGCCAATGTCAGACACGCTTGGAATCTGGAGAGGCGGAACTGAAGGGGTTCAGTTCGAGAATGAAAGAAGGTTGAGACCGAAAGCTCCGGGAATAGATTCACTTCAGCAATTCGAAAGACCTGTCGAGACCAATCCCAAGGTCTTGCCTCGCGGCCTCGCTAAGCCAAATCTGTCCATTCTGGATCTCCCGTCCGAGCTTGATGCGTACGTCGACTTGCTTTCTGTGGGAATCCTTCCCTGCTTCATCGGGGTTCGTCGATGGCGCATCGGGCCCTTTTGTCGGAGGTCTGGGATGGTGCGATATGGCCACCCGCAGCGACGGAAAGATGCGGGCTAGTGCATGGTATAGCGTGGGAGCTATGAAAGCATCGTAGATTGAAAACTCTTCGTTGGATCCAGATCGGAGGACGGATGACTGTGGCTCGGCGATGTCCGACGACGACGAACTCGGCATCACTTCGAGGGGCAACAGTCGCACCAGTCTCTTCCGGACGCGGTCCCACTCCGGGGACACCGATGATGGGACCGCGGCTGTGTCGGAAGAGAGATCGTGAACCTTGGGAGGTAGAGGCTGCGGTTTGGCAGATCGAGTTCTCGGCGCCACGAGCAGTTCTGTCGCCGACGTAAGCAGTACGGCGGGTGAAGCTGGCGGTGTTGTTGCATCTATTGTGGCGGAGTGGACAAGCGTCAGTCTATGGCCTCATCGACACGTAAGAAGACTGTGACTGACCAACGGTAAATCGGACGAGAGTCGTTCCCCCGACCCAGCACCCGACCATCATCCCTTCCTTCACCGCTCGAACTTGATTGAGCAAATTCATTTCGACAAATTCGGCGTTTGTTTCCTGTGCAAGTGCGACTCCGGATCATCAAGATATTTCTGATGAGACTGACTCGACTTGGTCTTGGGCGAAGTGGGCGTGAAAGCGAGAACTGACTAGGATCTCCCAGTCATCCGCCGAGACGGGGGTGACGGCGACGGAGGTGGCAGTGGGGAGGTCTCTCATCAACTCGATCGTCACCTGTCATGAGCATTGAAGAACCCTTTCGGGTCAGCGATCAACTCGTCGGCGCTGAAAGCTTGGTGGGGGAGGGGCAGGCGATCTGGCGGCTCGGAGGTCAAGTACTGACAGGCATCCCTTCGCTCATTCCTAATCCGAGCATCACAGCGAACTGCGGATCGACTTCGACCTTGTCTCCAAGTGTACCACCGTTGGACCGGGCATGCTGTGCCACCGAAGCCACGCTTGAAGGTAGGCCGGTCCAGCCGACGTAGGCCTTGCTCGTGCCATTGCTGCTTCCACCCGTCTTCTTGGAGGGTGGGTTCGTTTGCGAAGGAAATGAGAGCTCAATGACTAGAGATTGGGGTGCCTGTGGAATGAGATGTCGGTCCGTGGGAGTCAGCTAGGCTGCGACAACGGCGGCTATGCCCGTCGGACGAGGTGGAGCGACGAGCGCGGACTTACAATGCCTCGCTCGGTCAAGGGTCCTGTGATGGACAAGGGCAAGTTGACGAGGCAGTTGCGCAGCGAGGCGAACGTCAGCACCGCTGTGCGTCCCATCCTACTCGAAGCTGCTGCTGCGGGATGTGAGCCCGCGGGGAGATTGACCGGCAGATGAAAGACGAAGCCGAAGCCATAGCCGAGGCCGTCTCGGGTAGACATCGTCTGTCGCTCGGCTCACGCGAGGTGCCGGCTATCCAAGCACCGGCTCGGTCGGCTTCACTGCAGTGGTTGGCACGCTCAGGGCAGAGAAAGTCATGTGCATGACGAGCACAGCCAAATTATTCCTCTTTTTAGCCCAGTCAAGCAATGCATTGCAATAATTCAACAAACAGATAGGTCTACATTATACCTCACCCTGACAAATACTCCCACCCGGGTTTCTCCCAAGCAGCCACCGCTGAAGAAGAAACTCCCGTCAAGCCCTCGATCGCCAGTTGTTGTTCGCTGCGGCAGGCTTGGTATTGTTTCCACGACTGCTCTTGCTCGGCTCGACTGCCTCCTTGGACTGGCGCCACATCACGCTGTCACTGACCGAGCGAGAACCGCCGGAGTCTCTAGCTCGGCTCTGACCGCCGACTTGACCGGGTGAATTCTCGTCGCGACGCGTGGCATTCCCAACCCCGGTTCGAACATGCGGCTCTGTAAGTCGTCCAGGATATATTCAGGCTCCCGAATGAGTCAGTCCAGTAGATGTATGGCTGCTCACCCTTTGGCAGGGTTCGGAAAGGGGTCACACCGGCTCCACCGGCTCCACCGGCTCCAAGCTTTGTCGTGACCCTCTTGCTTTGGAAATCACTGCAGATTCGAATCAGAGTCGGCCGATCTGGGTCTTGTTCGGTGTATTTCTGGTCACATGCTCACTGAGTCTCGAGCCAGCTCTGGACCTTGCGAGCCATCTCGTGCGATTCAAAGTCGACGAAGGCAAGGCTGTGCAGCCAGGAACCAGCTCCGTGGTCAACTGCACATGAAACGATACTTCCGAAGAGGGTGCTCACCGCTTCCACTCACCCTTTAGACTTTCCATTCACTTTGTGCTCCGAAAAGCTGATGCTGCGTAGAGGTACATCGATCCCTACTCGCAAGCAAAGCTCGCGGATGTGTTGATCGGAGGTCCACTGACGATGGTCCGGAGAGATTAGGGCTTGATCAATACCCGTGATGCATTTTCTGAGCGAGTTCACATCTTACCCAGTGCATATCTCCGATGTAAAGCGCAGTGTTCAGTGGGTCTCCCGCGGAAGGATTGCTCTGGGCAACTCCCGACGATCGTGAGTGCATGACAGGGGCGCTGGAGTGACGTAAACCAGGTTCGACTCTGAGCCTGGACGGGTACTGTTCAACACAAGCAAGAGAACCAGGGGAGAGAAAGCAGATGCTTCATATCCTTCTAGGTTCTGACTACGCAATGACGTCCACCGACCTTGTTGCTCGAGTCACCGGGCTGCTCCTGACGGTCATCCTGAGAATGGGCAGCGTCGTAGCGGGAACTCGCGGCACTCTGGGACATGGTTCTGTGTCGGGAGAGACCACCTCAGAGCGAAGCAGTAGTCAATAGAGGTCAGCAGGGGGGAAATCAACCAACGGTCAATGAGTCACGGTCGCGAGAGCATAAATTCGATGGCCCCATTCGACGAGAGCGCGGGCTCGATGACCTCACAAGGCGCCCACCCACCGTCGAGCAGCCGCATGATTGCTCCATCGCATATCAGCGACGGATCAATACAGAGGTGTAGCAGCGATGGAACCTGACCGCATGGACTCACACAAACGAAGCTGCTGTCAGTGTTATGGTTGCGGAGTTAGGTCGGCGGGGAGCCGGAGCTGACGTCAAGAGCCAGAACACGAGAGGAGACTAGACGAAGGGAGACGAAGGGAGACCCAAGAAGACGGCTCCTTCGCTAACGGGCGGCGTGCACGGGCCACCGCTGCCCGATCGAACTTAGCAATAGCCGATCCTTCAGGCAAAGACGAACGGGAGGAAAACTTCGATTGATCAACATACTGATACAACATCTACAGTACATCCATTCAGAGCCCATGTCAAACTGCAACATGTTGCTTCACTGCGAGGCGAGCCGCCAAGCTCGTCTAAGCGTCGATGCATGCATCGTACGGTCCCAGCCAGTGCGCGTCATGTCCTACTCCGCACTGATCGTCGGAAGAGGAGCTCGATGACGAGGTAGAGAATTCCATCGACGAAGCCCTGGGCCAAGACGAGCCATCGACTAACTTTGGCGAACTCGGGCGTGACATAGTCTTTGGTGACCAGTTGGTTGATGACTCGCGCGACCGAGACCGAGAACAGGACGAGGTATGCGAGCGGGTACAGGCTCATCAGAAGCGACAGGCGTCGGTTCAGTTGTCGTGCGCTCAGCTTGCGCGGCCCCTTGTCCGGCGTTCGAATATGCGATTCGGCCGCTTCCTCCTGCGAACCAAAGCGATAGTTCGGGTTTAGCATCGAGGCTTCTGCGCAAGCAGGTGTCCGCAGTTTGGTAGACGGTATGGGTCGATCGAATGGCACCTGTTCGTTGTCCGGCGAGCAATCGTCGGCCGAGTGCGATGCCGAGGACGTAGGTAGTGCGATGATGATGGCCGAACTCCTCCGTGTGGGGGGCGCCACGGCTGTGTCCTCTGAACCGACTGACGGCCTTTGGGTTGACAGGTGCTCCTCGGGGAGCGGTGCCAGCGAGTGTCGGTGGATCTGTGTCATGTCGGATGATCGAGGATTCCACGAGACTAGACTACTGAATCGTCGCCGGAATCCTGGATCTACGATCGCCGGCTCCTCCTCTTCCTCGTCGGCGATCGACGACATTGTGTTCCCAAAGATGGACAAGTCCCGTCGTTGGAAGAAGATGAAGAGAGCGATATCTGACCGCGGCAGCGAAGGCACCAGCATGAGTGGGCCGATTCCGAAAGCGCGCACAAGTGCTAAAATATGAGGCTGAGCCCATCCAAGATTCCGACCTGAACTCACAAATGCCAATGGTCACAAGCATCGCAATGCCTCGCGGAATGAAAAGCATGATCTTGGCCTCGAGACTGCTGGAATCGTAAAAGCAGCTGTGATGGCGAATTTGAGGCAGAGCGGTCAGTGTTCGATACGACGAAGTGCAGATGCGCGTCTTGCACTCACATTCCCCCAAGATCAACCATATTCCAGACAATCTGTATGCCGTAGACGATGGGTGAACCTGGATTAGCAACTGCCCCAGATGAGGATAATGAACCGGTCCCGGTGGATCCCCACTGACCGCTCCCGCAATGCTCGGCGCGATCCCAATAGCATACGCAAGGCCCCCAAGAACCCAGCTCGCACCTCGCTTCTCCAGCGCAGTTGTTAATTTAGATAGCGGATGCACGAGCGTTGTATAGGTCACCAGCGCGATCATCACCGTCCATACCGCGCTGACGATGGTGCAAGCCTGAAAACGTTGTCAGAGCGCATGGGACCATGTCAGTACGAGGGTCGAATGGTCGATTGCGCAGACCGTGAACGACGAGACCCAGATGAAGGGACTCACTTGATCTGATGGCACCGATGCGGGAAAACAACAACAGCAGGAGATACCGGGCGTGATCAGCTCGAGTCTCGTTGGTCAGCGGTGGGCCGAACCGCTAGTCAGGGAGGCAGTAAACTGGCTCGAACTTGGGACACATGCGCACTCGTGGATGTGGAAGCACTTACAAAAGAAGCCAAAGATATCGCATGCTGCACTGTTCGTTCCAAGCGCTCGTCCTGACAGGCTCAAAGACGTGCCAACACTGCGGTACAAAGGGAAACAATGGGACGTGGGACCCCCGAAGGCGAGTTGCGAGGAGGCTGGTCAGCGATCTAGCGCGCGATGTCCGAGTCGGTGCTACGCCTTGATCGGCGCGAAACAATGCCCAGTCGAGGCGGGCATGAGCTCGAAGAGATTGGATAAAAAACCAGATCTTGTCCGATGCGTTGCTGTCGCGAAAATCGCAGGTCGTTCTTCATGCAGGCAGGTCGGTTGTCGCCGCGGCGGATCAGCCGACGCGGATCCGCAATCAATCGCTGGCCTGGCCAAGCTTAATTTCGATCATTTCGCGGCCCGGCGACGGGAACAACAGTCCAAGTCGTCATTGGTCGAATTCGGTGAGGGCGGCGGGCGAAAACATTGCGTATCGTCGACGAGCGTACATTCCTCGGGTCCCAAGGTCGAGATGGCACAGACGAGCAAGCCCAAACCGAGTACTCACACGACGGTGAGAGCGACGATGAAATCGACGATCCCCAAGCCTAGCACGATGCGCTGCCTCAGTCGATTCTGACCCGAAGAGAACGACACAATGAATCCGACGATGATGGAAGTGCCGCCCAGTAATGACTGTGGATGAGTAGAAAGGATGACAGCGAAGCCAGGCTCAGCAACACATTCCCGTGGCAGTAGGTAGGTGGCACCTCGGCTCTCGGCATGGAACTTCGTCGGGTGCTGCGCCGCGCCGAACACGCAGCAGCGCAGCAGCAGCCAGCAGTCGATAATAAGGGCAGGGGGCGTGGCGCACAGTCCGACACGACCGTGCTGAGCTTGAGGCGGCACCAGCTTCGGCAGTAGGCCAACTCACCAGACAAGCCACAATGAGATTGGCAACCTTGTCGGCGTTGGTGAAGCCCCCTCGAGTCGCCATGATGGGCGTTTCGAGGCCACGCGTAAACCACCGCGTTGCGCTGCGTTGTCGATCCACACGGGTTGACGCAGAGCGAGAGAGCAGTATCGCGCGAGGGCTGGCGAGCGGAGGTCGGTGTCTCGGTCGTCCAAGGGGTCGTTGTTCTTCTGGTTGAACAATGCGCCAGGCTGAGGCCAAGGCAGCAAGTGCGACACCTGCTGCTAACGTGAGGGGCGAGCGACAAGGCACCGCAAACAACGCGTCGACCGTAGTGTGATCCGGGGGATGGGGTGTCAAGTGGGTGTCATCTCGACCGAGCGCTCCCCGCGCACCGCGCACCGTGGGTAGCCTGCGAGCGCGGTGCTGGTGGCGCGGCACCGAGCGCTCGGCGAGGGGTCAGTCAGGCTCAGGGCGGCCGCCGTCGCGAAGATGGGCGGCGGGCGCGGGCGCGCATCCGGTGTTCCGCCGCGTCCGAGGCGTGTGTGGAGGAACCGCTGCACCCTCAAGTCCAAATGCGAGTTCGACAGGGTCGACATCTCCCGAGCGCCCCGGTTCGACGATCGAAAAAGCCGAAAAAGTGCGGATCGTGAGCCATGGGTAAGCTGGCCCGGGACTTTCAACCTGCAGACTCCGAGATGCAACGATGGATACTCGAGATTCGAGATTTTCTTGTTCCAAATGCCCTGTTCCTTAACCAGGCACTCGAGGATCGCAACTCGGAAGACTTTGAAGGAACCCCGATCATAGCTCTCGAAAGATTCAAAAGTGAGTTTGTGTGCCTGGGGTCCCATTACTGGTGCAGGAGAGTAGTATCTCGGATCGCAGACATTATTTGGCGTCGATTGATAGCTACTAAGTACTCCCTAGGTGATGTAGGTATTGGTACTTCGGTAACAAGACCTGCTACCAACGCGTCAACCGGCCACCTACATGCTAGAAACGGAGCGCTACTGTCAAAATGGCAGAAAAGTGGAACAAAGACAATAATGTGATTGTTCTGGTCACCCCTATAGGTAGGTAGTGTGTATCGAAACAAACCCCATCCGCGGCCCCGCGACGCAACGACGGAGCCTTGTCGGAGCCACCCGCGAACTTTGCCAAGGCCGCGGACTTTGACTCGCCTCCCGTCGGCGCCCGATCTCAATTGGCAAGATCCAGATCCAGCAACCACCGACTGAGCAAACGTTCACGGTTTCTCTAATGAGATCTTTGGCCCAAGCTACCTACCCTATACAGCTATTCGCCCTGAGTTCTTGTGGCAAGCTGGCGTTCGACGATGAGATGATCTTATGAGGGATGAATGATCTGGGCCGTTGGAATCAATGTCTCTCGGTTCCGGCGATATGCCGCAACGATCCACGGGCCAGCGGCCGCTCGGGCGCGGCGTCAGGCAGGCTGAGGCTGTGGCTCCCCGAAAATGTGTTGTATGATGTCGGGCCTACATACGTGAAGGAGAAAGATAGCGTCTAGATAGGTACCGAATGATGTCTACCGCAACTTGAAGTTGATATACCTAACAAATGGACCGGCGGTTGCTGGTAAATTCAGCTGGAAAAGGCCGAACAGCTTGGCGTCCAGGCTCACCGCGCTCGGACACCAATCTGCATCTCGGCTACTTCTAGAAGATCGCCATGCTCAAGACATTTGTTCGGCGGGCGCCGGCCCCGAGCTGTCGATCACTCATTCACACAGGCCCGGGGCCTTGGAGTTCGATGAGCCCTTTGAAGTGAGATCTTATCCCAGGTGAGCAACAATCTTAATACGCCAGTCAAAAAAACAATCTGCCGAGTTTTGGTGCTCGGTGGCCGGCACGCGCCAGTGGCCGGGGACCATCAAAAAATTGACTCCGAAACGAAACATTCCTATCAGAAGGTCGCTTGACGATGAGTTGACGTATCGTTTCAGTAAGGGAAAAACACGAGATGATGAACAATGCAGAGAGCAGCCAAAGAAAGAAAGAAGAGAGAGAAAGAGGAGGCGCACAAGCGCAGCGAGTCAAACGCGAAACCTTCCCTGGGGTAATCAACGAGGGGCGGAGGGGGCGATTCTAAGTTCGTAGTGGAAGCAATATGCAAAGGAAAATGACTTGAGGGTTTGGGAAGCAAAGGGTGGGAGGAAGCAGTAAAGAAGGGAAGAACGAGAGAGAACGGGCCCTAGTGTCTGTTTGTTCTTCCCAGGGTCATGTATAGAAGTGTGCGTGCGAATGGAACAGGAAAGGAGAAGCACGGAGAGTCCAAAGGAAGTGTTCAATCTACCGCTTGACGATAACCTCGAACTTGCCAAAGTCTTCCGAAGACATGGCCCAGATGGCGGACAGTCCTTCGGCGACCGACGCGAACGGCTGAATGACGATCGAGCAGAGCAAGTGAACGATGATTTTGTACCACGGTTGCCCGTAGTCGAGCTCCTGGAACAGGATACCGATCAGGTACAACGAGAAGAAGGTGATGAAACAGAAGTTGGCCGAGATGGCGATCCACAAGGGCGTGACCGAGTGCTCGATGAAACCCAGGGGTAAGTTGACGATCGTGACCGCGAGCGTGAATACACCGACGATCCACAGGTTGATGGCAAAGTTGGGCAAGCCGTAGAGACCCTTGATGTCGCGAATACCCATGAACCAACGACGACGCTGCTTGAGGAAATCGCGCAATGTTGTCGGCGACTGCTCTCGGACGATACCGTGGATACGACCCGACGTGAAGCCTCGTCGCCATGCGTCCTGCGAGAACTCGAAATCTTCGGCGAGCGAACCGAAGTCCCACGTACACTCGTTCTCCATCTCGCCGTTCGTCATAAGGAAAGATCCGTGCACACCGAAGACGGGGCGATGGATGACCGAGTTTTGGAAGTGGAAACGCGCGAGGTCGTCACCAACACGGATACCATCGGCGACGGTGAAGTACCAATTATCCCAGAAGCCTTCGCCGTTGTACAAAATGATACCTTGACCGAAGTGATGGGGCGTGTAACGGATGAACTCGATGCAGTGGCGGAGCGATTCGGCGTCGGTAACGGATTCTTCGTCCCTGCGGTCATCGATGCCAAAAGTGGGCTGGCTGGTCAGCTTTTTGCAATCAGATGCAATCCAAATTAGAACATACATTCACGTACATGTGCAGAATCCAATCATAGACACCGAGCGAGACGTGATAACGGAAGTAGTCGAGCGCACGAGCCTTGTACTTGGCCTTGCCGAGCGGCGACTTGTACGATTTGGGGCAGACAATGTTTTGCAGGTCGGGGTAGACGTAGGGCTCGTCCGTCAAGACGACAACCTTGACGGCGGGGTGGTACTTTTCGAGCTTGATGAGCTTGTTGTAACCACGTCGGACGGCGGCCTCGTTAGATCCCTTAGTGACGAGCACGACGAAGAAGTTGCGGATGTACTCGCGGTGGACGGGGCGCTTGTCCATCACTTCCTTTGGCGGCGAGCGATCGGGCGTGACGAAACCGACGTAAGCGAAGAGGCAGTTGGGCAGCGACAGCACCCACACGAAACGCCACAGCGAAGAGAAGGTGATCACATCGTAAGTCCATTCACCAGTAGGGTGGTAAATAGTCCAGATTGTCGTAAGAGCAGGGATGACGAAGATGTGACCGACCCAAGCCCAGCCCTGGATATTGAGCAACCAGCGCGTGCGCATCGCTTCCTTGTCGTGCGACAAGTCTGAAGTCCAGCGGGTCGAGTGCAGTTGCGCGAGCACGTCGGGATCAGTCGGGTCGGGGACGGCGGGACGAGTGGTGGGAGTGCGCCAGTTCATGATCGTGTGAAGGTTGCCAGTCATCTTGGTCCACTTGCTAGCCGAACCACGAGCCAAGCCCTTGACGAGTACGATGGGACCCATGATGAGGACGGTAGCGAGGCCACGCGCGGCTTTAAGCGGGAGCGAGCCAGCCGTGTTGGGCTTGGTGACAAAGAGACCATCCCAGATGTACTTGCCGAGCTTGAGACCGACGCGATCCAACAAGTGGTAGCCGACCCAGGCGACGAGGAAGTTGGTCATCAGGGACAGGATGTAGGTCGGCGTGACGACGTTCCAGTACGACGTGCCATTCTTCGCAAAGTAAAGGAGCAAATGGGGCATGACACCATAGAGGGTAAGGAACTGCATGAGGTAGAAACCGTACGAGATCTTGCCGACCCAGACGAATATACCCCACGAGGTGAACCACTGCATCGCGTGAGACAGCTCGACCCAGAGCAGAATCATGGCAGGCGGGATCCAGTTCGACATGAGCATGTACTGCGGCCAGACGTTGGACGGGTCGTAGCCGAACTTGGAGTCGTAGACTGAAATGGAACCAGCGGCGCGATCGGCGGGGCCGGCGACGGCTGTTCCACCAGCGATCATCGCCATGCCAAGAGCCATGGCAGCGCACTCGATACCGACGGTCAACTTCCACGAGTCCTGGATGACGCGGACGAAGCCGGCGGCGTGCAAGTCGGCAAAGAACAGGCCGATCATGTAGAGCATGTTCGGCGACGAGATCCACCACAGCGAGACGATGATGGCAGCGTAGAGAGGGTAACGACCGCGTGTCGGCAAGGGCGCGAGCACAGCGGCGACGATATAGACCAAGACGGAGCCCCAGAACTGATCGTAGGTCGTCCAGAGCGCCGAACCGACAACGAGCATGTATTGATGGTTCGATTCGGTGAAGAGGTCGAGGCAGAATTGCAGGAAACCGGGGAAACTGCCGATGTTGCACCACGTAGGGACCCACAGCGACGACGAGATCAAGAAGGTGTTTTGAGCCTCCATAGCGGCGTCGAACAGGTTCGCCTTGCACGTCCTCCACTGAATGAAGCCGACGACAATGGCGGGGAAAGCCAAGCGGATCGAGCGACGGAACAGAGACGACGACAGGGTGAGCCAACGAGGTCCCGGGGGTTTGCGAGGCGTCAGGGGCTTTTCAGGCTCGTCGTCACCGTGAACGACGGGGGCTTTGGGTACGGTCAGCGCCGACTTGAGGAAGGATGCGGCAAGGACGCGACCACCGAGGAGGAAATACATGCCGACCGCGAGCTGACCGTTGCGCAGGAAGCCTTGCAGCGATCCTTCGGCGAGTACGTTCGGGTGCGACGACGACCACGTCAAATCAGAAAAGTGATGGGTGAAGATGATGATGGATGCGATGCCACGGAGACCGTCGATCCAGTCGAGTCGGTTCGCTCGGCTGATGATGACCGCTGGCGGCTCCCGTGGGCCCGGGCCCTTGGCGCCCATGTCGGCCGGACCACCGATTGCGGGCGAGCTCGGCGGGATCGGCGCGTAGAGCTTGTTGTCCTTTTCAAGTGTGATCTCGTCACCATAACGCGAGTCGGCGCGACCGTAGCTTTCCTTTCCGGGAGCAATCTCGGCAATCGCACCACGCGACATCTCGCTGCCTTGGTCGTAGGAATGACGCCAGTCGTTGTTCAATGCGACACGCGACGAGTTGGCCGGTAACCCAGAGTGCATGTTCTCTGTCCCAATCGTCGAGGCGCGACCGGACTCGATGCCCGAGTGCTGCCCAAACGAACCCTCGCGATATCGGCCAAAATTGGAGGGTGATGACGGGTTGTATTGGCCCTCCTGGTACCCTGTCGCATAGCCGTGGTGACTCGACTCCGACTGTCGACAGAGGGAAAAAACAGAGGGAGCGAGTCAGCACAACCGTACAGAGATGACACACTTGCATCGCCAGAGCGAGGTTCAAAGCTGTGTGAAAACAGAGGAGAGTACTAACGTTGTAGGCGTTGGCGGTGCGGTCGTAGCTACCGTCGCTGCTCATTGTGTCGGGTCGCTGGTGCCTCTGTGTAGACTGATCGACTTTGGTGCCACTGCTGCCACTCTCATGGCTGCGCTCGTACGAGTCGGCACCGGTCGGTGACCCCGGTTCAGAGTGGTCGCCACCGACGGCCGAGTAGCCCTGCACGCCCGTAGCGGACAGGCCTTGGTACTTGCGCATCTCGGCATCCGAATCGACGAACGACTCACGGCGCGACCCGAGGTTCGAGTCGTCGTCATAGTCGTGAAAAGGGCGTAGGGGTGCACTGGCGTCCATGTCGGGCGATCGGCGTGCGTGATCGGCGTGACCGGGTTGGCTGGCAGCGATGTGGGCTTCGTAATCCGCTGGGTTATGGGCCGGACTCGATGAGAACATGCCACGGAAGACCGTGCGGCGAAACGGGAGGGAGATCTAAGCGAGCAAAGACCAGGTGTCTGCTGCGTGCACGACCGAGGGCACAAACGACGCAGGGAACGAGCGCGTAGACCAAGTAGACGCTGCGGGCGGAGGCAGACGGGTCGGCAACAATGGAATGAAGGGAACGAGAGAACGGCGAGCGATCAGGGTCAACTAAAACTTCAAAGTAAACTTGGTCGGGTCATGCTCCGTTCCGTGTTTGGTGGGAAAGGAGAGGGCGAACGATGGGCGCGTCGCGAGAGCGGGCGAGGGTAGATCACACCAGCTAGCGCCCGCTCGTGCCCGCCGCGCGCGCTCCGGCGGGCGACGTATTCACATCACACACACCACACGCACGCCCGCAAGCCAAGCCAGTGTGCGTGCGACCCCGACCCAGCGTTGGACGTCTCGTGCAAGTCGATGCAGCAAGCTGTGACACCAAGGTCACCAACCTACGCCTCTGGTCCTTGCATCACATTGATCGAGGTGTATCATGGTCCAAAGGTCGATGCATGGTGATGTGCCGAGGCCGGATCGCTTCGCAGCCATGGACAGCGCCGGGGGAAGGTCATCGCTTCGCCGCGCCCGCCCGTCGTCGTTCGCCTGGCACCGATCATCGACCCAGCCAGCACCGCCAGGCGGCGCTCGGCCGTCGTGACCCTGACCAACGCAGCAGGGCACAACAGCACTCCGCCATGGCCCAGATCAACCAACGCCGACCCTCGACTCCAGACCAGAATCCAGTTGTATCGACAGATGACACCCAAGTCGAGTACAGGGGGGACAGGGGAATGTGAAACTCACCTCGTACGAAACGACGCCCCAAGCGTGTCGGCGGTGGTGGTTCGGACGCAAGTCGCGCGCGAAGAACGACACGCGCCCACGAGAGCAACAGCGCTCGACAAAGGGCGAGAGCGAGGGTCGACGACTGGTGCAGGGCAGAAGACGATCACAAGACCGAAACGAGAAGAACAGAGAGACGGGGGCGGGGGATGTCGTGTCGGGGGAATGGGCGACGACGGGCGAGATCGAGGTTGAGGCAGGAGCTAGAGAGCCCGGCGACGATGTCGTCGCGCAGGCCCCATGTTTGGGGGTGGGCATGCCAGCAGCTGATACCAGCGACCGGCAGTCGCGCTGGCACTACGCGTTGCCGGCAGGCGCACGCGCAACGCCACACACTCGTCAAGTCGTCCTATTGCATTCACCTTCAACGACTACTCAATGTGATTTTCAGATGCTAGTAAAGAGAGAGAGAGCCTATGCGAGTCCTAAAATCAAGGGGAGAAAACCGGACAAAAACCGAAACCGAGAGAGAAGAACCCATCCCTGCTGCACCCGGCACCGGCGGGCGGAGATCGCTTTTCACGGTTTTCTCTGACCAAATAGGAGAAAGTGATGTCCGCGCAAGCGCCACGCTACCCAAAGAGACTGGCACCCCCTTCAGAGAACAACAACGAGATCGATTCACCGTTATGTGTCTGGGACGTCGATAGCGATGCACGTCAGGAAAATATTGGTCGTGGAGCAATCGCAGATGGAGAAGAAAAAATCTGCGAGTACTTACTCGGCGAATTGACTCGGCGACGACGGGAGAGATGTCCATCACCTCCAGTTTCCCGTGGGCCTGCTTTAAATGCTCAGTCTGGCAGATCGTGTTGGACACCTGTTCGTCACATCATGAGAGGGGGGTGTCAGAACAACCGGAAGAGGTACGAGGAGGGATCAGTGAGCACCTACCACGAGCTTTTCTAACGGCAATCGAGCCAACTCGGACATGCTCTCTCCAGACAGCAAGCCTGGGCACCACAGCGTTCGTCAGTAACTTGTTCGATGTCCGGAAACTTTTCCACATAATTGAAGTGACTTACCATGGGATACGACCGCATATACTTTCCTGGCCCCACTCGCCAAGATCGCGTTCGTCGCCAACTTGATCGTTCCACCCGTGTCGCACATGTCGTCGATCAAGACCGCGACCTTGCCCTTTACGTCACCGACGAGAATCTCCATCCTCGCTTCGGCATTGGGTGCAGCACCCTTGACGCGGTTGCGGTTGATGAGCGCGAAGTCAACGTCGAGGCGATCGGCGAGCATCGTCGCTCGCTTGGCTCCTCCGGCGTCGGGCGAGACTATGATGGCGTTACGCCAGTCGGGGATGTTCTCCTTGACCCAGTGGATCATCGACGGCTCGGTCCAGAGGTTGTCAACGGGGACCTCGAAGAAGCCTTGAATTTGACTGGCGTGCAGGTCCATCGTGATGACGTGATCGCAACCGGCGATTTGCAGCATGTTGGCGACGAGCTTGGCCGTTATGGGTGCGCGGGACTTATCCTTGCGGTCCATGCGCGAGTAAGGGAAGCACGGGATCACGGCGGTGATACGCTTCGCTGAGGCGGTCTTGCATGCCGAGATGAGGATGAGCAACTCCATCAAGAGATCATTGGGGTCGTTGAACGGTTCCGGCGCCGGTTGGGACTTGTTGTTGGGCACGTGGAGCGAGGACGTCGAGGCCGATGTCGGAAGCGGCGTCGTCGGTCTTGACCCGTTCGGAGTTCCCGGTCGGGAGGCCTCGAGCGAGCTGTCGCCGTAGTGACGGGCCTTGGATCCAAAAGGGTACGGGGACGGGTTGAAGCCGGTCTGGACGATAAAGACGTCCTCTTCACGGACGGACTCGCCGATCGAAACGGAGGTTTCGTTGTCGCTGAACTTCTTGACGGTGCATTTGGTCAAGGGGATCCCAAGTCTGTGCGGGTGCCGGCCAGAAGAAATGAGATGAAGATCAGTGTCTACGACCTCTTCCATAGCTTCGTTGTGAAAGCTGTATGTCCGTCTTGCTCATAACATTCCAAGGGGCGGCGACCGAGAATCTTGTCTCGGCCAGTCCTGCTTGAGGCCCTCGCAATACTTCCAAATTGTGTCGATGTACAAGATGGAACGGTCCGGCTCGTTTGTAGCATCTCGGACCTGATCCAGAGCAGGGTATCATGCTTTGCTTGGTGACAGAACGTCTTCCCACCCCTCCAACTCCGAAGCCGTCGAAGCTGATCGTCCGCGCTCGTGAGGCCGTGAGGAACTGACGATGACCCTTCCCGAAGGTACCGTAGGAACCGCCTGCCTCGTGCTTGTAAACGGAAGGCTCGTCCCGACTTACCGCTTGGCGATCTGTTGGGCCAACTCGGGGTGCGAGTTACCTAGTGAGAGAGCAGAGATGGAGTTAGTGCTGGTTTCTTGAGAAGTGTTGGGAAGGCGATGGAGCCCTAGGGACGGGCAGCGGCTGCACGGAAGCGCGTGAAACACATGGGAAGACGACGGGGACGAAACCAGATGCAGCTGTAAAGCCGTGGCTCGAAGGGCGATGTAAAGCAACGAGCGAATTACCCGTGAGCAACTTGATGCTGGAACCGTCACGCATGGTAAGCCAAATGGGGATGTTGATCCAGTCCTAGCGAAATGATGGAAGCAAGCGACGACAGGCGGCAAGACACGAAGCGAGCTGTACGGCGGACGCAAGGCCTGATGGTGGGGTTAGGGTGTACGACGAAGGGAAACGAGTTGACAATCGACAGTCGCAGTCTTGTAGGCGAGATCAAACAAGGGAGAAGAAGCGGGCGGCTGGAAGGGTGCAGGAATGTAAGATGAGGAGACAGTCAAAGAGGGGCGACCGACTGCGACGAGAGGCCGCGGAGAGGGCCGGACGGGCGATCTACTGGCGATCTCCACACCACTGCAAGTGGCCCACGTGAGACACGACCCGGCGCATGGACACCGAATGAACGAGTAGTGTACAACGTCGCCTATATGTCATTGCAACTATCTTGCATCAAACATCACCTTAACTGGTCGTTCGAGTCGTATGGTTGTGGCAGGTGCAACACAAAGCCAGAAATTAAAAGGGTCTCCTTCACTTCTTCAGAACTCGGGGTGAAGGATCTCTTTGACCCTAGCCGCAACCTCTTCTGGATCGCCCAGTACGTCCTCCTGTTTCACGATCAAATTAATGGGAACATCAGCTTCACGTGTCAAAAATATTGATCAGCAAAGGCATAATTTCCACTCACGGCGAATCGAGCGCCATCTCTAAGTAAAGTCAGAGGGCAAGTCATGACCGTCAGTGTCAATGGGGCTTTCACAGACAAATGCAGTAGGAAGCGTTCGACTCACCGGAAGAACAACCACCACATCATCCCACCACCGATCGCGGCCAAGACCAGGAACAAGAGCACAATACCACCCAAGAGCAACGCGAGGAACTTGTACTGGAGCAAGCAAAGAAGAGAGCGGATTGGACAAAGCCTAGTTTTAGCAACCACTCCAGGCTCTACAACCACAATCCTCGTTGCAAGCAAGGGACTCACATCATCATTTGACATCTTGGTCGCCTCCATCGCCGCGGCCCTCTCTCTCCTCTCGGCGAGGATCGCCTCGGTCGGCGCCAACTGACGCACCCTCGAGTCCATTCCTGGTCGCCAGTCCTCCATCGACTTGGGCACCGGTTTGCCCAATTCGATGAAGGAAGGGTACCTCGTCTCGGTCCATTGCTCGATCCGACCGCACAAAACCGCGATCTTGATAAAGCTCGGATCGTTCGCCACGGCTTTGGCGTGGATCGCACGGGCCATGTCGCGGAACATGTAGGCGACGTCGCGAGGGTTCGTTGCATCGAGGATCAACCTCACCGCCAAGCCTTTGCGGATCTTGACGTTCTGGTGGAAGACCTTGGGGTTCATGAAGCACTCCTGCAAGGTCGCCATCGCCATCGCTTGAGGAATCGCGCAGAAGTTGAAGACGCTCTGGTTCGACAGCAGGGTCAGGTAGTCGAGCGCATCGGTCGCGTGGCTCAGAGCATCAACCGTCATCTCGCTCAGTGCCCACAGCGCCTTTTGCTCGTTCCCATGCGCGTAAAGATCCTCGGGCTTGTCGGCATACTTGGACCAGAGTTCGGCCGGCCAGAAGACGCGACCCTCGTCGGTGTCCTCGCGGAAGTCACGCAGGATGTTCGTCTTTTGCAAGAGCAGACCCATCGAGTTACTCAACGAGACTTGCTCGCCCAACTCGGGTGCTTCCTTGCCCGAGGCCGAAAAGAGACGCGACAGGCCTTCGCCGACGAGTCCGGCGACAAAGTGGCAGTAGAGGTCGAACGAGGCGAGCGTGTCGACGGAGAACCTGCCACCGCTCTCGGCGTGGACCTTGGCGTAGCGCGCCATGCCGGCTCCCATCTTTTGCGTGATGTCCGCAATCGCCTTCTTGTAGCTAGAGGTAAGGTGAGGAGAGCTCGTCAGCACTCGTAAGCGCAGACCGTGAGAAATGTCTCGAGACTGACTCGGGTCCGAGACGCTTGTACTCGGCAATCACGACCTGGAAATCGACCAACAGGGCGCGGTCCTTTTCGTTCGGTCCGGCTGTAAGAACAGTACGTCAGCTTATTGTCCCTGTGGGCTCTAATGCCGGCAACCCTACACGAACATTCAGTAAAGTTCCACCCGTCCTGCTCGAGCCTCTCGTGGAAGTTGACCAAAAGAGGTACCTTGGCGTCGATGTCGAGCGTCATGTCGTCTTCGATCGTGTCCAACCCTCGTAGAATGAGGTAGAACAGAGCGATCTGTGTGTGGAACGGAAGAACGAGATGAGCCGGCTGTACAGGGCGGAAGTGTGGGTGGGGGCGACCCAGCGAGGTGACTGACGACTCTAGACAGATCGCCTTCGAGTTCTTTGATGACGGCGGCGAACGATCGCGAGGTGGCGTCGAGGAGGCCCCAGCATTGCTTCATCTCTTCACGGTCCCTAGTGGACGGATGTCGCATCCGTTGCATGGACGTGGTCAGAGTGGGGGGTCGTCACGAGGTGCGATGCGCCGGATCGACGCGATGGGGAGCAGGGGCATTGAGCGGAGAAAAGGGATGGAGGCAGGTACAACAGTATCGGCGTGGCGTCAGTAAGCGCACGCATTAAGAAACGATACGCTGCGTGACTGACCATCCTGATTCCGGGTTGTCCTCGATGCGGTGCAGAGGATCGCGCCAGACGGTGTAGTTGACCAACGCGCGCGCCTCGGACGGTCGTCGCAACGCCGCGAGGATCGTCGTAGCCTTTCCCATCCTGACAAAGAAGAGGTTTTGACGGTCTTGTTGGGCGAGTGAGTACTCTTTTGAAGCGCAAAGGAAAAGCGCGATGTGGTAGAACGCGACACGTATGCGGTCAGTCGAATTGAGTCGGAGTGGGGGGGGTTCGAATGGAGAGCTTTGAAGCCCCGAGCGGAGACGGCATCGATCCCGCCTCGACGGGGGCTTACCACACCGGTCAATTTCACATTAGAAACCAAAGCTAATTCGAAAGCACCGGCCCATCGCTCGCGACGGACGAGCGATCACTTTCCTCACTTACAACTCTCACACCCCCGCGTGGTATCGCTCTACACTCTCGTATTTCGTGCACGGTCGTCCTCTCCAGGTGGGTTGAGCTCAATCCCAGCTCTGGCACCCAGGTCTGCGCGACCCACAAGCCACCGCTCGGGGCCGGTTTCCTTCGCAATGCCCGTGTACCCGTAGACGGAAGCCCCTGTCTCGGCCCTCCCTCGTCCTCCGAGCTTTCCCACTGACCCTGGCACCTCCCCTTGAACCGTTTAGACCTTCAAACACCACATCCCACCTCACCTCATCAGCCCACATCACAAACATGGATCTCGCACCCCTCCCCGCGCCTCTCCATCTCCGACCCCTCCGAATCCGTTCCGTTCCCACTTCCTTCGCGATCGTCGAGATGCAACGTTTCCTCGCCGATGAAACGGCCACTCGAGTCCTGAGTGGCGCAGGAGCAAGTGCGATCAAGGAGGCATTGGTGCGATTGGTCAAACGTCTTGAACAGGAACAAAGCGAGGAGTCGGCTTCGAGTGCGACGAAGGTGGACACATCGTCGATTTCGGAGAAGGAAAAGGACAAGGGCAGGAAGAGGAAAGTCGTCGAATCGGAGTTGACAAAGGACAAGATGCAGAGCAAAAAACACAAGAAGGCATAGTCGGCTTCGCGTCAGCGCCGAGCTTGAGCTCGCTCCGATTTCTTCGTCGTCGCATTTCTGTTCTGTGCATCTTCCGCGTCTCGTAGTACCCGTCGCAGCATTTACAGCATTGTAGCATAACACATCGTTCTCTGACCTCATTCGCTTGTGAGACCTAGTTGTTATCGACGTCTCCCTCCGAGTCTAGCCCAAGCCGATCAGTCCTCATCCTGTACCTCCTCCCCCAACTCCCCACTAACGACCGGATCCACCCCCACCTCCTTCAGTATACTCATCACTCCAACCTTCTTGACCTCCTCCAAGACCTCCTCCTCCTTGACCAACAACATACCCGCGAAACCTAGCGAGTTGACACTGATATGCTGCTTGGATCCCGAGGCGCTCCAGCTCTCTTTTGAGCGAGGTATGATTTGGAGGTACTTTTCGGTCATGATGAGGTTGTAGCTAAGGCCGGAGAGACCACCTCTTGAGGAAAGGGGTGGAGGCGCCGTTGTTGTTGAGGGGTCGGGGTTCGCTCCTTCCGACGAAGATTTGACGAGCGAGGCCCTTCTTAAATGCTCGATCATCAAGTCCAACAGGGAGAGGAAGGTCATGCCGAGGTAAGAAACAAGATCGCCGTTCAAGGGCGGTGCAAGCATGACGGTGAAGGAGGCGTAAGGAAGAGGGAGTTGAAATGGGTCCTCTGGTGGCCGCGCCGCGCCCCAGCGAGATGAGGGAAAGAGTCAGCTAGATTTCAACTGGGGCCAAGACGAAGAAGTCTCGAAGACCTACTGGGGTTTGAGGGTTTGCTGTCTTGGATGAAGTTGTCGAAGGGTGCGACACCGTTCGACAAGGGAATAAATTGGACGCTGCAGAGTATTGAGGATGGGAATAAGAGTCAGCGATCGATCTCCTGGACAAGCTGCGGATTCATTCGCAAACGAACTGTTTGTGGGGTTGCCTGTTAAGCATAAAATATTGAAGTGTTTAGTAAGCTGAGTTTTGGCACTGCCCTGATCATTGCGAGACTTACGAGGCACCGGATAAGGGTCCACAGTTGTAGAAAGCCAAATGTTTCTCTCTCGTCCCGAGCGACTTGAGCACCGAATACGTCGCCAATAACTGCAGCGGTGTCAAGGGCCGCTCCTGCTTCTCAAATTCCTTAGTCACCAAGAGGAAATGTCGCGGAACGATGCAGAATTTGTTGAGCTGTGTACACAGCGAGACGGAAGGGTTTCGTGATTGGCATGAGCAAAATCTTCGCTAGGATAGATCGAGCCCGAGGCACGAGCAACGCACGAGCAGGACAAAAGTGTCTCCTGATGCATCAGAAAGATCCTCCTTGACCTCTTCCTCGTGGACGTAGAGATCGGGCTCGGGATACGGCTCGGCGAAAGGGTCTCGGGGAGCCGGTTTTGGTTGATTGGTCGAGCCCGAGTCCTTTGCTGCTGTGGGCTTCTTGGCCAGCTGGGGTGCATACCGCAGTTCAAACTGTAGTTGATGAAATACAGTCGTCAGGTCTGCTAACCCAGCTCGAAGTTTATCCGTCGTCAACGCGCCAGGCGGAACTGACGGGTATTCCCGTGTCCCGATCATCCAACTCGATGAGCTCGCTGTCGGTGTCGAGGCATGCGCCTGAGGTGGAAGCCTTGGAGTAGCTCTGCTTGATCTTGGTCGAGATACCACTGAAGGCGGCGGTGGAGCTCATGGTGACGTGTTTCACACTCGCTGGCCAGAGCGTAGATTAGTAGCGAGTGGGGCTCAGAGTGAGAGAGGAGAGTGACGGGAGAGTGGAGGCGCTGCGGAGCTCCGTTCGAAGCGCTTCATCAGCTTGCTTCTGCTTGCTTCTTTCCATCACACCACGCACCACCTCCTCACCACCCTCAAATCCAATCATCCGAAATGAACTTTATCCGCTCTCTACTTAACGGCTGGATGCCCCAAACGACCGAACAGGACCTCGCACAGGCCAAGTCGACCGTCGAGGTTCGTTCAGTGCCAGCATGTCGTCATCGTCCTCAGCCCGGCCTCAAGTCGTGAGGACACGGTCTTCTCATGGTATCTGACGGAATCTTATTGTGCATGCACTCAGTACCTGATCAGCTCGGCCCCGATCGCGATCTTCTCCAAGAGCTACTGCCCCTATTGTCAGTCGTTGTCATCCTCGGCGATCGGGTGCTGCTGTCGTCCGATCGCCGACGATAAGCAGGTGCAGATGCATTGACTGACGCAAGCGGATTTTCCCGTTTTGCAAAGGCGTCAACGCCAAATCACTCCTCGCCAAGCTCGGTCAGAAAGGAAACACAAAGGTGGGTTGGGCTTCCGTTGTCTACCTACACCCCGCTTCGGCCTCGGAATTCTCTAGAGAAGGCGCATGCAGCACTGATCGTACTGATCGCGGTAATTCGGTCCGCAGAGCATCGAACTGGACCATGAGAACAACGGTGTCGCTATCCAACGCTACTTGGCTGAACGAAACCATGTGTCGAGAGTCACTGTACCTCAGGCGAGTCAGCATTTGTGCGACATCCCTTTTGACCGGTTCCTCATTCATGTCGGTCTTCACTTCTGCAGATCTACATCAAGGGCCAGCTCATCGGAGGCTGCTCGGACTTGCAGTCCTTGCATTCGGGTGGCAAGCTCGAACCGCTCCTCAAGGCGCTCTAAGAGGGTTTGGGCAACGCAGAGTGCTAGAGAGTGTAATCTATACCGGACGATTATCGCTTTCTCATCTATCAGATCACCGCGACCACCGAAGAAAGGCTCTTCCGCCGGAAGCCGTGTCACAAGGAAGACGGAAGAATGCACTGCAGTGTTAGACGCCGAAACTGACGAACGAGAGGGTAGACCGAACAAAATTGAAGAGAAGAACGACGACGAGAGCTTTCTTTGCGATTGGTGAGGTGAACGGACTTTTACTATATAGAAGAGAACGGGAAAGACGAAACAAACAACGACACGGGCAGTGCACCTTTATTTTTTCTCGTCTTGCTTTCCCTTGTCTTTGCCTTTGCTGAACATGCCACCTGTGTTTGACCCATCAATGCACAGCAAGGGTCAGTACTTCCCCTTCGTGCAAATGGGAACAGATTTGGGAGGAACTCAACGGAATTGCTGGTTGTTCTTCTCGGCCCTGGCCTTCTCCTCTAAGTGGAGGTCATTCAGAGCCTTGACAAACGCCGGGTCGGGGTTCGCCTTTTGCAAGTCCTCGATCATCTTCTTGCCCGCTGTGGTCGAGGAGGAGAAATGAGCTGTTTTCAGCGTGCCGTGCGCCGGCCAACGATAGAATAGACTTTTAATCACTCGTGACCAGACCGAGCTTGATGCGTGCTTGGGCTTCGCGGAACCTGGCCTTGGGGTTGTCTCTGTTGGGTGCAGGCAGGATACGTCAGCCCATCTTCGACTCGACTCAAGGATATGGTGCATCTTTTCGCATTCGAGCAAGACTTTCGGATTCGAGCAAGACTCACGCTTCTATCTTGCGAGCTTCCAATGCACAGTCGAGGGAACGCTGCCAGTTCGCCTAGGTACGACAGATATGGGTAGAATCAGCTTCTACTTTCATCCTTCCTTGCGGGAATGATCAAAGTGTTGCTTCGGGACGGGCGATCGACGCTCGGACCCATCCTCTTTCGTGTTCACCCCAAAGTCGCCTCCTCCTGGACGCCCCACATGCTCTCCAAGCTCGCGCAAAACATCCGAAGCTGACCTTCTTGAAATGTATCATGGCCATATTGATGTGGGTCGACACGATCGCCTGCTTGACCTTGTCGGTCAACGCTCGCTGCGCCTTCGCCTCGTCGTCAAGAGAGGCCTCGGCGCTACTTTGCGAGGGACGATGCATTTTGGGCGTAGCGCCCATCGCTTCTTGGATCGAGCCATCAAGACCTGAAAGAACATGAGGAAGATGGGCCGATAAGGGGTCAGTTGTGGGTGCATGGCAGAGAGCTTCCATCAGCGGAGCTTGGGTTGTGTACGGTGCTCCCCGGAGCGGAACACGGACATAGACCCATTCAGGGTCTTTTGCTAACTACAGCACAGGGATTTTATCAGTCAAATGACGCTACCTTACCTCGCAAGGAGAAGAGCACGGTGTGGTAGTCCTGCAAAGCGCCTTGGAGATCGCCGGCCTTGAACTTTTCGTTGCCCTGTAAACGGACTTGAATCGCCTTGTCGACCGTTTCCTTCGGGTGACGAACGTGATGGATCAGTCGGTGCATGATCCTGTGACCTGGGTCCTCGTCATCGCTGCCGAGGAGGCATGTCTGTGGTCCGCTCTGGACGCTCCTCGCATGTGGGGGCAGGGGGACCACTCGCAGACTCACTCACCTTCAACTGCCTCTGACGCTCAACATCGGCCATCTTCAATCACACAAGCCTCAGATGGGGTGGTTCGTATGGGGGGTGGTGGTGTACGAGTGCTTTTGCTACGCGCTTTGTGGAGGCAATCGTGAGATAGGAGCGCGGACATAAAGGAGCGCAGCCGGCGATACAACAACCCAACTTGGCCAGAACGCTAATCCCATCCTATCCCATCTTCACGGTGAAGTCAAAAAAAAAAAACCCCGTCTGCCAGACTGACAGACGGCCGTTCGAAGCGCACGGACCGCCGCCGATCAAACCGGGCTTCGCATTCAGCGCCCCAAGACTTTTGCCCCGGTTGTCCCCAACTCTTGCCTTTGATGTGCCCCTTGTATTTAAAGCAGCGTGCATCGGTGTGTAGGTAACCAAGGTTGTGCGCATCTCCGCAGAGTCAACACTGGCGCAAGCTTCCAGTGGGTAAAACTCCATGGAGTAGTTGGCCTTCAGACCTGCTACCCTCGGTCAAGAAACAAGATCTCTGAACAGGTCACCACAGCCCTGAAGTTTTGTGAGTGATACTTTGCAACACCGGCCTCTGAAAAATTGACTACTAGACGACGATCTGTCCTCGTCGGACCCAATATTAGCTCCTCGGCCAAGTGCCCTTAGCCCCTCTGTGGATGGGTGGGTACAGCTAGAGGTCACCAGGACCATTCGCTATAAACGGAACAAGCTTTCGAACTCGTTCATCTCTCAGATGCCGCAAGTGCATGTGACGTCGGCTGAGCGGTCGGAAAGTCTTGATCGATTTCGCATACTATAGTAGGATCGTCTTGGTGCCGAGGTGCTGAGGCCTGAGGGCCCACGCTAGCGTCGGCAACCAGCTCGTTTGAACTCCTTCGTCACAGTTCGTCACCGTCGTCGTCGACTCTTGAGCTTCCTCTTGACTTCGCTCCACAACCCTATTACCCCAAGTCCTTACCGGTGAGTGCTGTCTTTGTTGACTCCCAGTAGATCAACCTCGTGCCACCGCGTTATACTCGATTACTAAACGCTTACCCTGCACTCGCCTTTCTCATCTTACTCTCCTCCACAGCCTCCACTCAATCTCTCTCCGCAACCATGCCCGCAGCGAAACAAGAAGATCTGTCGATCCCTACCACGAACCCGTCCTACGTACTCCGGGGGATCGAGGACACTGCCTTTGAGGACCGTGATATTCCCACCGAATGCGGTCCCCATGAGTAAGTCCCCAGCAACACCCGGCCCGTCTCGCGGGTGATGTGGGGCCCGGCCCGCGTTTCCGGTCGCCGTCTCCGAGGTAGCAGCATGCAGGCTCGTCGAAGCATTTCATTGGAATAATGCTGACAGTTTCGGATCTTGACCCAACAGTGTTATCGTCGCTCCCAAAAAGACGGGTCTCTGCGGCTCGGACGTACACTACCTTTCGCACGGCAAATGTGGTGCCTTCGTCGTCGAGAAACCCATGGTCCTCGGCCACGAGACGGCGGCGGTCGTCGTCAAGGTCGGTTCCTCGGTCAAGACGCTCAAGAAGAGTGACCGAGTCGCTCTTGAACCGGGAGAGAGTTGCCGCAAGTGCGATGTGTGCAAGGAAGGCTTCTACAATCGATGCCCCGACATGGTCTTTGCCGCGACACCGCCCTATGACGGCACACTCGCTGGCTTCTACCGCCTGCCCAGCGATTTGGCTTACAAGTTGCCCGAGACGGTCTCACTCGAGGAAGGTGCCCTCATGGAACCGCTTAGTGTTGCCGTGATGGCTGTAGCCAGGGTGGCTCGCATGCCCCTCGGCGCGAATGTCGTCGGTGAGTCGAGGGCCAACATCTGTCGATATACGCCACCCCCGACTTTAAGAGCTGATATGAACTCGCGTCGACCACCCTAGTCTTCGGAGCTGGTCCCGTTGGATTGCTAACCATGGCTGTTGCCAAAGCGTTGGGAGCCCGAAAGGTCATCGCCGTCGGTGCGTGCTCCTACCTGTAACAAACTCTCCGGCGTTCCCTTTACTGAACCCTGTGCTTGGCTCGGCCCCCCGTTATGTAGATATTCAGCAAGCTCGACTCGAATTCGCTGCCTCATACGCTGCCAACGATTACTTCATCCCTCCTCCCACCAAGGAAGGCGAATCGCGTCTCGAGTATTCGAGTCGTTCGGCTCAAGAGATTCGATCGCGCTTCGGCTTTAGTGAGCGTGGTCCTACCGGTGTCGACCTCGTTGTTGACTGCACGGGTGCAGAGGTGTGCATCCAGACCGGGGTGTAAGTTTCGTGTTAACTGCGGTCTGTCAAGGTTGAATTGAACGAGCTCCGTCGCTGATTTGATCAAACTCAACCCCTGACAGTTACGTCGTCAAGCACGGTGGAACGTGTGTCCAAGTCGGGATGGGCAACGACAGCATCAATATCCCCATGTCGACCTTGCTCGTCAAGGAGGTGACGCTCAAGGGCTCGTTCAGGTACGGCCCCGGCTGCTACGATATGAGCATCGACCTCGTCGCGAGGGGTTTGATCAACCTCGATCGCTTGATCACGCACCGGTAGGTTGTTTTGGGCTGTGTCGGTCTAACATGGCCAGACCATTCTCTTGACGATGCCCATCGATGCCCATGCTACATGGCTGACTTTGAGCTTTGGGTTTTTCTTCCCAGCTTCTCCTTCCGCGATGCGAATGTGGCATTCAAGGCGAACCAAGCCGGCAAAGGTGCGGACGGGAAACCCCTCATCAAGGCGATTATCGATGGGCCAATCGACTCGGAGAAGTAGGGTAGTCAGACCCGTTTGAGTAGAAAAAGAGATGTAAGCCGCGAACATCATTTACAGGACTCCCCAACTTAGTAAAGAGCTGCCGACGGAGTCCGAAGATGTGCCATTTGTAAACCAACTTCCACTTCGGCTCAGGATGGAATGGGGCCTAACTCGTAAATGACCTCGCATGCCTTGCCCCCTGGCAGCACTCGTCGTCGCGCGCCAGTCTTGACTCTTTGACGCGTCGACCGACAACGAGAGAAGGAGCGCCACGATGAAGTACATTCTTGTCAGCGGTGGTGTGATCTCCGGAATCGGAAAAGGTGTTATAGGCAAGTCCCGGATATGCTCCGTGTCTGCCACCTGTGATCTGCTCTACGGGCGTAGGCGGCGGGGCGTGACTGATATCGACTTCGCAAGCTGGTGCTGACTTGGGGGGATTTATCGTGGACTTGGCCTGACAAACACAGCGTCCTCGACCGGGTTGCTGCTCAAGACGCTCGGATACAATGTCACCGCCATCAAGATCGACCCGTACATGAACATCGATGCTGGCACCATGTCCCCGACCGAGCATGGCAAGTCACCCGTGCTATCGGCGTTGCTGTCGGACACGCTCAGCTGCCCAATAGCTGATGCGCTACCCTTTCTTACACGATCCGATCAGGCGAGGTCTTTGTGCTCGACGACGGAGGTGAGGTCGATCTCGATTTGGGCAACTACGAGAGGTACCTCAACGTGACCCTCGGCCGGGAGAACAACATCACCACGGGCAAGATTTACCGCGAGGTGATCGAGAAGGAGGTCAGTCTGAGGATCATCACCAGCACCACAACTTTGAGGGACCAAATTCGCTGAAACGGATAAAATCACGGCGTTCTATCTGCACAGCGCCGAGGCGATTATCTTGGCAAGACGGTGCAGGTCATCCCTCACGTCACGGGAGCGATTCAGGATTGGGTCGAGCGCGTTGCTCGTCAACCCGTCGACGAGTCCGCCAAGGAACCTGATGTCTGCATCATCGAGGTGAGCTTTCGTTTACGTTAAAGCGCAGAACTCTGTGGGATGGACATGTATTGGCGTTGTGTAATGGCTCATTCTTTCTTTTGGCGCACAGCTTGGAGGTACGGTCGGTGACATTGAATCCGCGCCTTTCGTCGAGGCGATGCGCCAGTTCCAGTTCAGGGTCGGCATCGACAATTTCGCCCTCATCCACGTCAGTCTCGTGCCGTCAATCAACGGCGAGCTCAAGACGAAGCCGACCCAAGCTTCAATACGAGATCTCCGAGGACTCGGGTTGACCCCCGATCTGGTGAGTTTTCACGGTCGTTGCGGTTGAGGCGATCACGCCCGTTCTCACACCTCATCATTACCTACTTGACCGACTTGACATAGATCGCCTGCCGATGCCCTTGCCCTCTCCCGCTCCCCGTTCGGGAAAAACTGTCCAACTTTTGCCACGTCCCAACCGACCAAGTCTTGGCCGTCCACGATGTCAACTCGCTCTACCACGTCCCTCTGTTGCTGCAAGACCAAGGTCTCCTCAAGTACCTACAGAAGCGTCTCAAGCTCTCGGACGTCCAGACCGACGCGCCGAGACTCGCACGCGGTGTCAAGTTGATGAAGATGTGGAAGGAGCTCACGCTCGGCCACGACCGGTTATTCGACAAGGTCAACATCGTGCTTGTTGGGAAGTACACGGCGCTGCAGGACTCGTACACCTCGGTTGTCAAGTCACTTGAACACGCCAGTCTGCAATGCGCCCGCAAGCTCATCGTCACCTGGGTTGAGGCGTCTGATCTCGAGCCCGAGGCGCAGACGGAACGCCCCAAGGAGTTCCACGCGGCGTGGCAAGCCGTTTGCACGGCGAACGGTATTCTCGTCCCCGGTGGCTTCGGACTGAGGGGAACAGAAGGCATGATCGCCGCTGCGAAGTGGGCCCGGGAGAAGAAGGTGCCGTACCTGGGTATTTGCCTCGGGTTCCAAATCGCCGTGATCGAGTTTGCTCGCCACGTCGTCGGCATCAAGGAGGCGCACTCGGCCGAGTTGATGGAAACGACCCCGGAACCGGTCATCATCTTCATGCCCGAGATCTCAAAGACGCACCTCGGCGGTACGATGCGCTTGGGCCTGCGCCCGACCCAGTTCCAACCCAACACGGAGTGGTCCAAGGTCAGACAGTTGTACGGTGGCGCCGGGATGATTTGGGAACGTCATCGTCATCGTTACGAGGTCAACCCCGCTTACGTCCAGCGGATCGAGGAGAAGGGTCTGCTCTTCACCGGTAAAGATGAGAAGGGTGAACGAATGCAGGTCGCAGAGTTGAAAGGTCAGTTCCAGGACAAATGGATTTAACACTGATGCATTGCTGACCGCGAGCGTGTCTATCCTCCTCGAACGCAGACCACCCGTACTTTGCCGGATTGCAAGCTCACCCCGAGTTCTGCACTCGACCGCTGAACCCTTCGCCAGCCTACCTCGGTTTCATTGCCGCGTCGGCAGGGTGCCTCGACGAACAACTCGAACGCCAAAAGTCGTACGTGCCGCCACACCCGGAATCGCATCTGCGCATCCCGACACCATTGCCTTCGCCGAGGCTCGCGAGTGAGGGTACGTTCGCTTCGGCCCAAGCTGCTGCGGTCACCAAGGGGATGGCGACCTTGCAGGTCTAAGAAGCTGGCGGAGAGTTTCTACCTTGAGTGTAGAGTTGAATTTTTGTACCAGTCTTTTCTCTGTCTCGATCGAATTCCGGGTGGTTGTGCTCGGAGCATTGCTCGGTCCCTATGACCTACTTCTCTGTTTTGCTTACTTCCTATTCAGCCATCCTGGCCCCTATTACCTTGGACATGTAATGGACTTGGGTCCCCTGTACCCCTTTCAACTTTCACCCACCGCCGCCGTCGCGTCGTCCGAGTCATAAGCCCCGGCGCGCCCCAAGCCAAATCGGGCCAGAAAATAAATCAAGGCGCGTGACTTGACGAGCTCGCGCCGCGTCAAAGTCTCCCCTTTCTTTCCTCTTTCGAACCACCTCATCCGTCTCATCAACCCTCCTTCTCGCCAGCTCGGGGCGGACCTCGAACGACCGCTTCTTCGGGTCGAACAGTAGTACAACGAGCTAGGGGTGCTCTCGGATAGCGTTCCAGCACACAGCACTGACGACAGCTCTGGACGACAAGGGCAGTACAAGCGCTCGAGCTTCTCTTCGCACGGCGCGCGTCGCACCCAACACACCCGAGGACCGTCCGGCCGGAGCGCGACGTGTAGTTGGTCGGGAGCATGGCCACCCCCGCAGCAGCAGCCGCCATCTTCAAAGCCGCTCTTCCCTCTCGCAATGGAAACGCAGGCTCGGGCTCGGGCTCGGGCTCGGGCTCGGGCTCGGGCTCAGGCTCTGGTACAGGAGGTACATCGATCCGAGGAGCTGCCGGAGGTGCTGCGGCTGGATCTGCAGGTGGGAGAGGCGTTCGAAGGAATGAGGATGTCGGAATGAGTGATGCTTCGAGTGGGGTTGTTAGGAAGGGGAAGGTGGGAGGTCATCGATCGACTGGACCGATGGGAGAAAGGGTGAGTACACAGTCATCCCAGGAGGGCCGGGGACGCAAGGCGTGGTGGACGTTCGGCAACGGACACCGGCAGCTGCTGCAGTCGCTGTCACAGCACGATGGGTCGACAACACAGCTAGCAGACGTGCAAAACTCACTTGGTGCTCCGGGTCGCATGCTCCGGTGCATTTCGTGAAAGGAAGCAGCTCGTTTGCTTTGAACGGGACGTGACTTGTGAATTCGACGCGCTGCAGCCACATCAGTCAACCCCGAGTTCACCGCCCACGTTGCCCGGTCAATCTCTGCATAAAGGAAGGAATGCTTACCAAAGATCATTGTTCCCACAGCCGGGCAAAGGGAATCGAGGCGGTAGAGCAGGGCCGAGTGGAGGTCGAAATCCAGGGCCCGCCGTGATTCACGGGACAAATCGAAACGTCGACTCGGCCCAGAAGACGCCTCGCTCGACCAATAACATCGACAATCTGCGCTTGTTCCTCAGCATGCGCTACTCAGTCGAACTGCGCATGCTCAATCTCGAGTACCTCGCCGACGACCCGACCCTCAAAAAGTACGGCATCATGCCTCCCGGTCACAAGGACAGCGCCACCAACCTCGCCGCCGTGTGGTGGAAACTCGCCGCCGAGATGTTCCCAGAGGTACGCCATCATCGCATCTTGAATGTGGTGGACTAGAAGATAATGTGGGCTAACATTTGACCCCGAATCGCTCGCACATAGGTCGTCTCACTCTCCCTCGCCAACAACAATTTTCCTTCCCTGCTCCCTTTTTCACCCCATCTCCTCACGACATCACTACCCAATATCGAGAACCTGTCGCTCGCCAACAACAGGCTCAGGGCCTTCCACGACCTCGACCCGTTGAGTCCTCATACGGGCAAGGTTCGGAACGATGGCAAGCCCAAGGGGTTCCCCAAGCTCAGGGAGCTCGTCCTCAAGGGCAACCCCATGGTCGAAAAGAGCGACTACAAAAGGTGAGGAAGCGTGGAGTCCGATTCCATAGCACTCGAACTGAACAGGAAAGTCAACACAATGTTCCAGACAAATCGCCCGGCGGTTCAGCACTCTCTCCTCGTTGGACCAAGAACCATTCGACACGTCCATCGCTTTCTCGGACCGACCCGGCGATTCCGCGTCGGATCTCCCCGCCGGTCTCTCCCCTGGTCTCGCTCGACAAGCCGCCAAAGGGCGAAATCGAGAAGCGATCGTATTTCCTGTGCCAATCGCTCCAGGATTCTTTGACCTCGAAGTCACGCGCGACTTTGTGGCCGGCTTTTTGGGCAAATTTTTCCCCGCCTACGACTCGGATCGTTCGACGCTGCTGCCTGTGTATGCACCCTCCTGTACCTTTTCCTTCAGCACAGACACGGTCCCACCGTCGAGGTCACGAGCAAAGCGCATCGGTGCCAAGCATGACAAGTTTTTGCCGAATCAGCACAAGCTCGACTGGAAGGACTACATCACCGCGACGGGGAGCCGGAACCTGACGCGGGTTCGAAGGCCCGAGAAACGCGTTGCGACGCTCCAACTCACGCCTCAGGACGTCATTCGGTCCCTTAAGTCGTTGCCCAAGACCCAGCACCCGCTCGACGATCCGACAAAGTTCGTGTTTGATTGCTTCACATTGCCTGCGTTCCTCGGGCCGAGCGCACCGGGTGGAGAGCCCGAGACCGTCATTATGGCTTGCGTTCATGGCGAATTCACCGAATGCGAGTAGATTACTTGCCTTGCCTCTTTTCCTATCCTTCCTAAATATTTGAGCATTCACTAACCCCTGCTTCCAAACCCGCGGCGCACAGTGCCCTGCAAAGGTGTTCGATCGTTCGATCGAACCTTCATTCTGGCGCCCGCACCTCCTGGTTCCCCGTGAGTAGTAGTCTTCAACGCATATACGTGATCTTCTAACGTGGCCACTGATATGTTGAACATCTCGTACCTCGCAGAGCGCACAATGCTGGCTGGCCGTGCGTGATCGTATCGGAGCAAATGACTGTGCGTGGGTATTCAAGCCCCATCGCATGGGCTCCTGAAGGCAGCAAGGACGGACCCTCAGCAGCAGCTGGACCTGCCTCAACTGGGACTGCTACTCAAGAACGAGCACCAGGGATTGTACGTAGTCACGTTTAGTCCGAGGATCGAGCGACGCTTCCGCAAAGTCTGAGCAGATTTTCATACCCGCTTGGGGCGCCGCAGACGGACGAGCAACAGATGATTGTCCTCCAATTGCAATCCGTGACGAACCTCACGTACTCGTTCGCGTATATGTGTCTCGAACAAAACGCCTGGGTCCCCGAAACCGCCTTGGCCAACTTTCAGCAACTGCACGCGAGCGGTGCGATCCCCGCCGAGGCCTTCGTTAAGCGCTGAGCTGAGAATGGGTCGGCGATCTCTTTCTGGCGCGCACCGCCTCAGTCCCGTTGAGGCCGTCGTCCGGGATCGATCAAAAGAGTGCTTCTTCGACCGTGGCCTATACAATCTTTGCCTCTCAGTCCCGAAATACACCTGCCCTTATTTGTAGTTTAACGCATTCTTCAAACGTGTTCCACGCTTCCATGCCTGGCACTCCGCCCTCCAGCTTCAACCGTGACTCCGTCGACGGACGGGGCTCGGTAGCGCTACGTCGCGAAATATTTTGGGCCCGACACCAGCAATGCATGACCTGAACGGAATGATAGCCTTGAGATGATACCGAGATCATATAGCAAGTCAAAAAATTGTCCGTCGGCTTGCCAAGAATTGGCGTCCTTATGACATATCCTGATCAGGCATCTGCAGATCGTCACAAAAAGCAAGGCGGTGTCGCAGCCGTTCGGCGCGTTCGGCTCGGCCCATTCCGTGAACCAAACCACGCGCTCCAGTCGATTTCTGAATCGCGAAACTCGGCCTCCGCTCGTGCCTCTGCCTTCACGCTCCTTTTCACTGCTTCCCTCGACTTTCCTCGGCAGAAAGATGGCCGTGGCGGTGAATACGCCTGGAAAGGATGAACTGGTGCATCTGGTAAAGTTTGATCCCGAGAGTGAACTGCACGTCGCGGAATTGAAGCGTCAGAGGATAGTGAGTCAGCTTTCAAGTTCCTCCACGTGATTCCGGCGCGATCGAGGAGGGGGTCATATTGAGATCTCGTTTCATAGTGAGGAGATGCTGATACTGGGTCGTGGGAATTCTCAAAGATTTGCGGTTGGAATGAAGATCTCGTCGAGGGGTGGTGCAACAAGGCTCGCCGAGGACTGAAGGTGCGTGGGATGACTCTCAGGCAAAGATTCAAGAACTGCAGTGGGAGGCTGGAGCCAGTAGATCTCCGCCACGATGTGCCGGAGCAAGAACCCGAAAGTCTGACGTTCTTCTCGTCGCTGAACAGGGTCTGGTATGGGTTATGAGGTCGTCGACGCCGGCCGCTCAGGCTTATTTCGCCGCCAAGCCCCTGCCCGAACTCGAAAAGCTTAATTTGACCAACGACCCCGAAGCTCGTTCCCCTCGGCCGATCTCCGAGGACTTTAGGCCCATTGGGCATGCATCTCTGGTGAGCTACAGGAGCTATATGCGCGAGAATCCTACCCCCAAGCTGATCCGACCGATTCCGAACCCTTTCGTGCATGCAGGACTGGGAAGACATGCTAAACGATGAGACGCTCGCTTCGAAAAAGCTCGGCAACATCACCTTCACCTCCTTCTTCCTCCTCCTCTCGCAGCAAGGTCTCGGTCTTGGTTCGCTCGTGATGGACCTCCTCGAAGCTATGGCCAGAACACCTGAATACGGCGCAAAGTACATCACATTGACGACGCTTGATGGGGACCTCGCTCGTGATCCGGCATGGTGGGAAAGAACGTTGGGGCTGGCGTTCGATCCGAGTAAACGCATCAATGAGGATTGGTACGCGCGTCGTGGGTACGAAATCTTGAGGAAGAATGTGCCGAGGTACCCCGAGTTTCACAAAAAGACCGGTGAACAGGTCATATTGAACGCTGTGGTGGGTGGCATCTCTTTCCCGGCCATTAGGACGGCACACAAGCCGCTTCGGTAAACCACGAGACTGACAATCGGCGGTCGCTCTTTTCGGACAGTACATGAGGAAGAAACTGTGAGCGTCGGAACCGTACAATCTTGGTTCGCTATGAGCTTCCTCTTGAGGTATATGAACAGGATCATGGTAATGCAAGAGCGCCATAGCGCCTTACGAAGGTCTTGAAGGTCGACCCGAACCAAGAAACTGAGAGCGATGGTGTAGGTGTGTAGGTGAGAGAACGATAAATTTGCGAGGGCAGACTATGCAGGAAAAAGAACAAAGAACAAAGATTGGAACTTCCTATCGAATCTCTCGTAGCTTGAATACGACCGCGACGGTGAGGATCGTCGCGAAACCGATGAGGAACGCGGCGATGATCAACACATCTCGATAGTAGGCATCCGTGTTGAATCCGAAGAGCGAGATCATAATCACCTTGGCAGAGATCGAGACTTTGACGCCTTGCAACGTGTCCACGATCATTAGCCCGCCCGAGATTTCTGGATAGTATGAAGACGTTCCCAAGATTAGCCCTGGTTCAATCCTGTTGCCGATAGATGGAAGACGCAGAACCCACCATTGACGGTCAAAGCTTCGAGGAGGTATTTTAACGGACAAAGCCACTGGATCCATCGCACCGCGGCAGGGATCGAGTCCAAGTGGATGAAGAATCCGGCGAAAGCCTGCGTCGAGAATGCGGACACAAAGATGAGCACGCATGCACGTCATCGCGATGATAGCTCGGGGCATACCATTTGAGCGAGATTAAGAATTGAAGAGATTAGAATCGCATTGCCAGTGTCTGTGATGACCGCGGCGAGCAGGAAGTTGAGCACGGCCGTCGACATGTTGTAGAGCACGAGGATGAGCAAGTATTTGAAAAAGTGGGCCGCGTCGGGGCTCAGGCCAACCATCCAGTACACGATTGAAGAGACGATAAGGATCGGAATGATGCGCAGAGGGATGAGATCGAACACGATTCGCGAGGCGAGCCACGAGATGGGCGAGTAGTATCCGTTCGCGCGCTCGCGCAGGAACAGGCTCCTGTAGTTTGCAAAGTTTGACAACGCCGACAAGGACGAGAACGCGATCAAGGAACCGAGAAAGAAGAGCGATCCGACGCGTGATTGGAAACCGCCGATCGTGAGGTCGACCTGGAAGTACATGCCACCGATGAACGCCCCAAGGATGGCTGCGGTCCCGACATGCATGACGACCAAAGAGTGGTCGCGTTTCAGATTGCGCAGCTCGCGTTTGGCGAGCGCCTCGAATTGTGTAAGCGCACAGGCCTGCGGTTTCGAGTGCATCGATGCGGTCGGCGTGTCGATGAAGCAGGTGTTGTCGCCCCAGTTTCTCTTCTCGTCGTGCCCGTCGCTCGTAAGCGTGTCTCCGCTGCCAAGCTGCAGCAATGGCGCCACCGCGAGCTCGAGGAAGTGATCAGCCGGGTTCCACGCGTACGGTACGGGGTCTCCCCGGGTTGCGAAATAGGCGCTCGCGTTGTGGGCGTCGCCGCAGTACATCATCCGACCGCTCGAGCCGAACAGGATGAGCTGATCGAACAAGTTGAACATGGGTGACGAAGGTTGATGGATCGTGGTGATGACGGTCGTACGGACACCCGTGACGCCTTCGGTCAGATCTTTAAGGACTTGTATGACCTTCTTGGCCGCGGACGAGTCGAGGCCACTCGTGGGTTCGTCGCAGATGAGAACCGCGGGGGTGGCGAGCAGTTCCAAACCGATGGAGACTCGACGACGTTCTCCACCACTGATTCCACGGTGTTCTGTATCGCCGACGACCGTATCCGCGCACTCGATCAGACCAAGAAGGGTGAGGACCTCGCACACGCGTTCCTTCCTCTCGGACGGGGTCGTGGTTTCGGGCATCTTAAGTTCCGCAGCGAAATGAAGGCATTCCCGAACGGTCGCGGTTGCAGGGAGCACGTCATGCTGGTCCACGATTCCGACCTGGACCTTGCGGGAACGAGCACCCTGGGCAAGCACAAGGTGAATGCTGCCCGTAGTGATGCCGTTCTTGCGTTTGCCGGCGAGGAGTTCGACAAAGGTCGATTTTCCGGCGCCGGTCGGACCGAGGATGGCGCACAACGTTCCAGGTTGCACCCTGCCACTCAGATTATCTAAGATAACGCGTCCTGCTCGACGTCGTTGACCGAGCACGCCGAATCGTCGCTGTGGCAGCGTATAGCTGAGTCCCGACCAGTGCATACCAACCGCGCCATCCTGCTGGTCGTCCGCCAACGCCGTTGCGGCTCTTCTCGCCTTCTTCTGCACGACGCAGCCCCAAATCAAACACCCAAGCAGAGCAACGATGAAAGCGCCAACGATGGCCAAGCCGATGATGACACCGTGGCTGAGTCCCGCGCCCGCAGTGGTCGAATCGTTGACACGCTGAGCAGCAAGCGTCGCGATCGTCGCGGATCGTGTGCACTCGCTGTGTTGGCACGAGTTGAGTTCCAGCCCTTGGGCACCAAAGATCGTTTGAAGCACGCTCTGTTTGAAGTCGCAAACGGGGCCATCGCCATCGCACGTGACCTCGATGCCACCGTTGAGGCCACCAATGGTGTCAGTGAGATCGAGTGCGCCTGTTCCGCAAAATTGAGTGCCCGGAATGCAGCGACATCTGCACATGCGCAAAAAGTGATTTGATGGGCCGCGGTAAGCAATAGGGTCTAAGGTTTGCAAACGCGCTAATGCGGTGATCACCATGAGACAGGAGAGAAGTTCAAAGAGAGAGCCCCGACTAACTTGAGGTTCAAGCACTGCCAGGTCACCGTCGTCTTGCCATTCGTAGTCGCATTTTGTTGGGTACACGTGTCGGCAGCACAGTAGAACTGCTCAATGAGGGTCGTGTTGCCCGTCGGCGCGGCGTAGAACAGCGTGGCCTGCATGCCCCTGTTCGGCACCGACGACTTGGCGTAGAGCGAATCGGCCGTGTCGAACGAGTTCTGAAACACCAGGGCTGTGGTACCAGCATAGACGGCTTGCAGCGTTGGATTCTGCATAGGACGAAGCCGTAGTCGGGGTGGACGGTGAATCCTTTTGTCAGCGTTGGAAAAACTGCCAGGACGAAGTCCCGGTGATCGACAGAGGGTAGTCTCAGGATCCGACACGGCGCCACGCCGAGACAGGAGCTCTGGAGCCCCCAAAGTTACACAGGGAAGCGTCAACATACCACTACATCACAGTATGTGTACCCTTCGGTCCACACATACGCTCCCGAGTTGTGCACGATGTCGTCGTAGACACCTGAAGTGGTGAACGTCTGCCCCGACACGCCGAGATTGTTGGTGAGCGCGGCGAGACAGGTCGAGCTGCCGTTGGCAATGGAGCACATCAGGCCCGACCACCCCGCCGTGCATTGGGCCGCACATCCAGTGCTACCAGACGAACCGGCGAGTGCTATGTTAAACGGAGCACGCGAGGAGGTGCTGGCGATCGGGTTGGAGCAGACGAGCTGGGAGCAGTTCGCGCCGCCGAACCCGGACGGGCAAGAACAGCTGTTCGTCGACGAGTTGAAGAGGCCATCGTTGTCGCATGTCCCAGTCGTGCTCTGGGAGGAGACGACCGCGACCCAGGCAAGCGCAAGGAGCTGCACACCTGAGCCGAGTCGGAGTCGCAGGGAGCTGGTCATGGCCGCCAAGGCAAATGGGCGACAGGGTGCGGTGCTTGCAGGAGCAGGTGACGACTAGAGTAGGAACTGTGAGGGGACAGGGCGCCAAACGAGACGCGAGAGGCGAGGCACGGCAGCACGGGTGGGGAAGGCCAACGATCGACAAGCGCACTAGCGCGACGGCGAAATTGAAACTCCAGACTCCAGCAGGACCCCCGAAAGCCCAGCCGGAGGCGCATTTTTTTTTTTGACATTTTGAGGACCCAAAATCCTGAAAATCGTCGAGGCGCATTGCAAAAAATTGACATTTTGCGACGAAACACAGGTTTTGCCCCCGAGGCGCCTTTGCAGATTTTGACATTTTTCCCGTGGGTCGACGCAGTTTTGGCCTACCTTGAGCAGCCTTCAGCATGACTTTGGGCCCCTTCGCCTTCGCTTCGAGGCGCGCGTCGCGATGCTCGCGCTTGTACAGGTCACTAGTCATTTTTTGTATTCACCTTCCTTAGTGCAATGGCTGTTAGGGATTAGGTACCAATAGTTCCCACGGTTGAAGCGGCGCCGGTTCCGTTCCGCTTCACTTCGTTCTGACATTGAAGCATAGCACGACAACAAGATTTCATGCTTGTTTCTCGACGAAGACCAGGGCTACTATTTGAACGGACGATGACTTCGATCGGTTATCGCCGCTCACCAACATGACGATCGCCGAGCTCCTCGCCTTCGATGTATCATGTCGCTCCCGCCGACGCGTCTCTTCACACCGAGTTGTCCAAAGACAAGCCCACCCAGTAATCGACCTACCCTACCCGACTCTCCAGACCAGACGCGTTTCTCGCCACCGATGCTCTGATCAACGCACGCAAGAATGGATATCGACCTTTGGCCGTCGCGTCGACAAGCAGTACGGAGCGCTAGCACGACGCTATCGTCATTTCGGATCGCTTGACGGAGTTGTAACCACTGCCACACCTTTGGAGATCGGATCCCTGATCTGCTTTGGCCTCGGGCGTGGCATGCAGCTGCGATCAAACTGCTTACGGAGAAGAACCGCTGTCCATAGGAGCTTCGCCTCATCGAGCAAGCATGCTATTCCACTCACCTCATTGATGGCACTATGCCGTTTCACATGATTGATGGTCGACAGGTCATCGAGTCATTAGGCCCGCCAACGACTACATATTATCCCACAAGGATCTTACCTCATGTTACCCCGACGAGCGCATAATCAGCACGTGCGCACATGCCCAGCAAAGATTGCCGCCCTTCGGAGCGTGCCCGGGCCGCGAGACACCGCCGGTAGAACCTTTACAAGCCACATAACTGCCACCGCGGATACAAAGAGCTTAAGTTCAGGAAAACGGAAGTCTGACAACGAAGTAGCGAGCCCGCCAGTAAAGCAAGGAAGGCCCTCTTGATGCCTGGAGCCACGCGCGACACCAGCCGAAGCGACGCGCGCCGCAAGCCACTTTCGATCGGCCGCCGCGCGCCCGCAAACGCTCGGAACGCGTTTTCGAGGACTTTTGAGCGATTTTTGGAGCATGGAGAACACATTTGGGTAATATTTCCGAGGCGCATGTGAAATTTTGACATTTTGGGGCCAAAATAGGGTAAAAAACTTTGACAAAAAGGCCAAAAAAGGGCGTTTTTCCACATGCGCCTCTGGCTGGGCTTTCGGGGTCCTACTCCAGCGGAGACCCGCATCCCGAACATCTGGCGAGTGATCTCGGGTGGCTTTCCCCGGCCAGGCGACCAGTCGCCACTCTGAGAAAAATTCGGTGCCCACGTGTTTCGACAGATTGGAGCAGCCTCCTTGAGTGGATCAACCGGGGTTTTCCTTCAATTTCAGCGCACCGAGCAGCTACGATAGAACAGAAGGGCCCATGGACATCATGAACGCAGGGCGTCCGTGTACTAGGCGTATCCGAATGCAGCAACGGGCTTGGAACGGCAGCGAACGGCAGCGAACGGCGCGGTCGCCAACTTGAAAGGGCAGTAATAAGCGCGATCAGATGCCGCGTCGTCGATAGTTGATATTTTCTCGTCGATAGATTGATCACAGGAGGTGCGGGGAATTGATGAAGAGGAGGGTGTGGGTGGCATGAGGCTGAGCCGAGTAGGTACCTAGGAGTGCACTCAATAATCGAGAACGATCGCACTCGGAGCGGATGTTGAAAGCGAGGAGATACAAAACCGTGAGCGACCGCCGACTTAGCTGCCGCTTATTGCTGCCCTTTCAAGTTGGCGACCGCGCCGTTCGCTGCCGTTCGCCAGACCGGTCTAGTACATAGTCGGGCACGGCGCGAGCGCAGGCTGGCAAGGTACGGTCACTGCACCTCTCCGGAAAATTATACCCACCTCTCAGCGGCTCTGACCCAGCATGCACAAAGAGGGTTGGTACTACAATGGACACCGTTAACAAACCTTGCGTCCCCATTCACAGTGACTTGCATCACTTCGCCAGACCCAGTGGTTACCGTTCAACCTTGGGCAGCAAGTATCTTTTCCTGCAACTTGCAGAAGGTTCGGAGGCGACTTGTATAGCTCTGTCTCACCAACGCGACCGCGGACACGGCACGTGCTGGCGCTGGGCCCGGCGCACCTCGATCACAAATCACGAGTCCGGCTCCCGAGAGCAGATTCAAAGCGCTCGGCTCAATTCGCCCCGGATCTTACAGTCAGTGCCTCTTGGTCTCCTTCTTCCTCAACTTAACTCGCTCTCTACCCAGCACCCGTATCGCCTAGCCCTCCTCACCTTCCTAGCCCCACCCGCCAATCCATGCTTGGCTTCCTTACCCTCGCTGCCGCTGCCCTCAGCGCGTCGACCGTCGTCGCTCAAACCTCGACCTCCAACTCGACCGGAGGTGTCAACGTCAGCTCATTGCCCGCTTGCGCCCTGAATTGTGCCATCTCGTCGTTGTCGGGTTCGGGCGTGAGTGTCTCATATTTTCCTGGGCCGTACCTTGTGATGTTCTTGGAGTGCTCTGCCCGCCCATGATCGTTGGGCCTTTGGCGCCTCTGTTCGAGGGACGGACAGCCGCTTGGCTCGGGATCCGCCGCACCAGCGTCCCCCGCGACGGCTAAATTTGACCTACAGCACTGGGCGGGGGAGCGGAGGCCTCCCGAAGATTGAGCCTCCTCCGACTTCCGACTAGTTGGACTTTCTGCCCCGTTTGTGAAGTGGTTCTTGGATGGCTACCAACATTCGCGGATTCTCTATTCTGTGCTTCCCTCGATAGCCAAGCTGGAGAGCCTGAACTGATCTTGACCACTCCTGTTCGAGACTGCAGTGCGCGACCGCCAACGTCACGTGCGTCTGCACCGATTCGACCTACCAACTCCAGTTCTACAACTGCCAGACCAAGGGTATGTTCAAATCTGCAACAGCTCGACTCGGAAGGTCTTCCCGTCGTGCAGATGGTCCCCTCGCTCGAGCACCTGCACCTCAGAGGGGACGAATTCTCCACGACGATGAACCTGGATGTTGTTTGTGCCAATTTTCTGACTTTGATTGCTGACTTCCTCAATCTCTGCCACAGCTTGCAACGCTACCGACCTCCAAGCCGCTTTGGCCTTTGGTGCCAAGACTTGCGCCGCGAACGGCACCCCTATCAACACCGGCGTGGTCCCGAGTGGAGGTTAGTCGACCCACCATCGTTGCGCCGAGAAGGAGGCCACATCTGACTCGTTGTTTGACATTTTTCTTTTTCATCCTCATTCCATTCGTCTGCGAACATGGGTCGCCTTCGTGACTACTCGCAAACGTACAACCGCCAGCTTCGACCACCGCTGCCGGGGCATCCCAAACCGGCACGGCTACGTCTGCGAAGACCGCCACGGGCGCGGCCACGTCCGCTGCTGCTGCTGCTGCTACGACCGCCAAAGCCTCAGGAGCCGGTTCTCTCGTTGCCCAAACGCTCGGTGGCCTATTGGCTTTCGCGGCTGGTGTGACGATGCTTTTGTAGGCGGCCCCTGTGACAGAGTCCGTTTCAGTTCCAGTACGTTTCAGGTCGACGGAAGTTACCGACGATCGCAGAAGGTGCTGGTCTAGTTTGGTTCACTGTGGGGAGACTTAGACTTGCAAAAACTTGAGCTTCGGAGTGTAGGGGTTGAGCGGGAGGGGGTAGACATTCGTTTCAGTGTTGGCGATAATCGACTGGTTTATCAGCGATCAAAAGCCCTCAATGCATTGATCATTCGTAGCTGGAAGCAATTTAAAGATGGCTCCAAGTCTTCCTAACAGTACTACGATGAATGACTACCCAAAACGTGCCCCAAAGCTGCCCACGTTGAATTCACGAGCACCACGTGACCTGTGAATCCAAAATTGCACTGGCCTCTTTCAGCTTCTACGACTCGGCAAAGCACGTCTGGACCCCCACAAGATGAGTCGATATAACGAGAACAATGACATGACACTGTCGCTCCTTTAGGCTCGGTTGCATGTCCGAGCTGACAGTGCCCTGCTGCGCCGAAATTTGCAGTGGACGATCGAACCACAGCGAACTCACTGTACCTGGAACTCACCCAAGGGTAGACGTGGGTTCGAATCCCGGACCCCCACGGTGCCGGCCTCAAGGCTCTGGTTCCCTGGACCCTCCCCTCGGCTGACCAAGCCGAGGTGGACCTAACCCTTGGGCAAGCCTGCTTATGTCCTCACGAAAGGGGATCCCCGTTGACACTTGGTCGAAAAGGGGAGGGTGTAAGGGGATGCCTTACAGAAACAGCCCCATAAGTAGCCTCTGCGTAGCTAGAACTGTCGAGTTCTAGTTACGACTTGCTTTTAGCCTAGCGGTCAAAAACGACAGATTGTATTTTATGCACATCAGAGGCGCATACCTTACAGCTAACTAGAACTCACTGTGCTGGCCTGTGCGCGCGGGCAAAGAGCACCTGCCACGCGCCGGCACCGACCCCACCTGCTTTGTCGGTTGACCTTTCCTCGTTGCCTCCTATACGTGTCCCGACCTCAGCCCACACTGAGAACGCATTCAGCCATGAACGGACATGGTCCAGCCGCAGCACCCCCGCCGTCGGCAATGAATGGCTCGCACCACCCGAGAGGAGGCACTAGGCCGTCACTAGCTCCTCTGACGACGCTGGGGCCGTCAGGACCGCCGTCGTACCACCCTGCACACCCTATGGCCGGTCCCAGTTCGTCGAATGGGCTGGCCTCGGGGTTCGAGACGGCCGTTCCAGGCTCGACGCTATTGTCAGCGGTGCCTTCGGCCTCGGCAATGTCCTTGTCGGCGACGACGATGGCACAATATAGCGCTGCGGCGCGTCGACAAGCGCGGCTCGCAGGTAACGTCCCTTCGCCGTTACCGCGTACAGAACCGGACGATGGTGGACCTCCGTTCAAGGTGCCTATGCACGCCTTGTTCACGCGCATTACTGCGCTCGAACCGGGCGTTGAGCTTCCGGCGATCGCGGATGAACGGGACCAGCAGCGCGTCAAGCAATGGATGCAGCGCGACCTCGACTACGAGCGCACCAACTTGGACAAGAAACGCTTGAGGACGCTCGAGGCGCAAAGCCTGTTCGATGAGGCTACAGTTGGCCAGGACTGGCTCGGTCCGAGGCTGGCGAACGAAGGCAGCGGAGCCAAATCGACGCCGAGCAATAGGCTGCGGATCAAGACAGAGCAGGAGAGGGAGCGAGAACGACGGAGCGGGAAGCGAGGTCCTCATCGCAAAGAGGTTAGGATGTGAGTTCATACTTCATCTCGCTGACCGCAAGGCCTGCGACGCAATTCCAATCGCAATACTGAACGATATTCTTGCTGATCTCGTCTCCGAGCAGGTCCAAAACTCAGCTGAGGGAGATCGCAAAGAGCAAGGAGTGTCTGGTGCCCATACGTCTGGAGATCGAACACGAAGTCTATCGCCTGCGAGATACGTTCACCTGGAATCTCAAAGGTACGTCGACCCACTCCTCGAATCGGCGCAGCTCATGTTTCGAAACTGGACTCGTGCTGACATCTCTGGCGGACGTAATGTACAGAAACGATGGTGACACCAGAGATATTCGCCTCGCATCTTTGTGAGGATTTGCGATTACCCTATGTCCACTTTTACAAAGAGGTGGTAGCTCAGATCAAGCGAGCGATTGAAGACGCTCAAATGACCGAGAACTATGATGCATACCTGGCCAACGATCTCGGCCTCACAAGAGAGATGAATCGACGCTGGTTCGAGGAGGGACAACACAAGCTAACCTATGAGGGCGGACTGGAGGCTCGACCCGATCCAGATGAGCCGCCGGAAGCCGGCCACTCCGCACTAGATCCTGTGGACGAAATCATCGAGATGGATTACCGGCAAACCATCGATCACCTCGATACAAAGCCCTCCTCCGACTTCGTGCTCGAATTCGGGGACGGCTTGGCTCCTGCGCCGCAAGAAGTATCTGGCGTCGTCAAAGAAAAGTCAGATGTGCCGGCTCATTCTGATGACTACGCGAACGAGGAGCTCCGGGTCACGATCCAACTCGACATAACAATTGACTCTGTGCAGCTCGTCGACCGATTCGAGTGGGACCTCAGCGAGGCTCAGAATTCGCCAGAACAGTTCGCTGAAACTTTTGCGACCGAGCTGGGTCTTAATGGCGACTTCCAAACCGCCATATGTCACTCGATCAGGGAGCAGCTCGACGTGTTCACCCGGTCGCTGTGCATCCTAGGACATACCCAAGGTTTAATCGTTGCCGACGAGGAACTACGCCGCCAGTTTCTCACGCCCGTTTCCGAGCCGATTCGGTTCGAGAGTGCAGCCGATTATACCCCTCTTCTGAATCAACTCACGCCAGATGAGGTCGATCGAAACGACAAAGAAAGGGAGCGAGAAGTACGTCGCAAGCGCCGTCAAACGAAAGGACGAGGGGTCACGTTACCCGACCGTGATTTTGTCCGGACGCATCGTACTATCGTCCCCAAGTCGACCGGCGTTCCGATCATATCGTACCAAGATGCACGAGGCGAGACCGTGTACCCCATGGGCGAAATCGGGATGCCTTACCCGATCGTGGCCCCGTTCTCGATCGAGAAACCTCCCGACCTCGAGATCCACGCCGCGTCTCCGCTCAAGCTCATCCAACCCAAGGCTCAACTCGGGATCGGTCACACTGTCGATGGTAAACCTAACAAAAACGTGCTGAAGAGGTCTCATGGTGATGGTTTAGGGCATTCAGCGGCCGGGGACGGATCAGGCCAGACATCAGGCGACGCAGCCAAACGCTCGGGTGGTCAAGGACGTGGAAGGCGCACTAATTTGGAGGCGTTGGGTTTGCATCCACATATCATTGAAGGGTCTTGGTTCTGTGCTAATTGTGGTGTGCCGGACTCGATTGCCGTTGGACGCCGGAAAGGACCCACGGGGGCCAACAGCCTTTGCGGTCAATGTGGTGAATCGCAGAGTACTTCCGCCAAATTTGTGACAGTGCTAATTTCTGGCTCTTCAACTCCATGCAGGCAAATTTTTCCATCGGTACCGTCGGAATCGCCCATGCACCTACACCACTGACCTCGAGACGCATCGCCAGGCCAAAGCCGCACTCGATGCTGCCGCAGCAGCAGCCAAACTTGCGAAGAACCAAGCCGCCGCTCAAGCTCGCGCCGCAGCCGCAGCCGCAGCCGCTGCCGCTGCCGCTGCCATCGGTGATGACGCTACGATGGCCTCCGCAAGGCTCAATATGCTTTCGGCGGCATCCGATCGCGGTGGGACCCCAACGCGCGACAACTCATCCGACGAGTCTGGCCACGACGACTCGGACTCGGACGACGGATCATCCGTGACCGGAAGATCCGCCCGTCCAACGCCGTCCAATCAGTCTCCCCGAGGTCCCTCTCCGTTCGTCCGTGAGGGTACAGGCGACTCGGATCTCAGCTCTGCCTCCGACTCGCCAAGGCGACCAACCCCTTCCGACGTCCGCACAATGTCTATAGGCGGAAAGGGCATCCCTCCCCTTCCTATGCACGCCCCTGTCGCCTCTCTCGTGGCCAATCTACCTCTACCGGCTCAACTAGCAGATGTAGGACCTCCTATACCTCCCGTGAGTCAGGCTGAGCTTCTCGTCCCCGGCCGCTATGAAGTAATGAAAGATACTGAGGATTTGTCGTGCTGTATCTTTATCTGCTCGCCAGGCCTGGATGCACGCTGCCGCTGCGGAACTGCGGGCCAAGCAGGTCGACGACCGTTTCGATATCATTCCTCGCCCTCGCCCGATGGATCCGACCGCAGTCCAGGACTGGCGGATACGCTGTCTTGACTGCCCTGGCAAGGTGAGCTCAAGCAATCATTCAGTCGCAGGCGATGATACCCTAGAGTTCGATAGCTTCCGGAGGCTGATCAGATTCTGGTCTTTGCGTACTTTCTGCAGCTCTACAACGTCGGACCTGGCGAAACTCTGGACAATTTTAGTGTGCATTTCAAGAATCGAGTGCACCGAGGCAACGTCGAAGCGAGGCTGAAGGGGCTACCCCCGCCTCCTCTTAGCTGACAGAGGTTATTACTGCTTTGTGTTGTTCTATATGTTTGCAGGAAAAGGCCCAATATCTGATGTGGACTTGATATATAGTAAACCGCTTGTCTAGGCACCTCCTTGCTGGAGACGAACCACAGCAGAAGGCTCGGGGTCGGACAGGGGTGTCACGGCCCCGTCATCTTGGCACCTTGCCCGTCGAGTGCTACGAGTGGACTCAGCAGCGGCCAATCGTGCTATACATGCCAAAGTTGAAACTAAGTACATATATTTACCTAGGTTGTTGGGGTTGGACTGTGATTCGTTACCTAAGTACAACTTCGCCGGTAAACAGCGATCTGGCTGGGGTGGGGTAGGAATCGAATGCGTGGACAACGGGTGTCTGGCATTGACGAGTCAGGAATCAAGAGGTCGAGCAGCTTGTGATTGTACCAGCAGGCGTATAAGTCCACACTTGATCTTCAAAGAATCAGACACACGATCCGCGGCTGGATTAGGTATCTCGGTAGGTATCTCAATTCAGTCCAAGAGCTGATTAACGGCGGCTCGGACTCTGAACCGATCGGAAATTGCGTGCACAATGAATGCACCGGCACCATCACTCACCGATCGGTCCGATATCTATACCTATACGTAGGTAAAGAGAGGGAGGTCAGCCGTAGGTCGCTAGGCTGGAGCGCCCATCCATCCGTTCACACTTGTCAATGTTTGAGCCGGTCAGGTGACCAGCGGAGTCAATTAGGCCCACCTTGCGCGGATCCTTCGGTAGGCCGAAATCTACCTAAAAGAACATCTCCCTACATGAAACGCAATTATTTACCTACTGCCTACAATCTGTACCGGTAACTGGGCACCATCTAGTCTCTGCCTAGGTAGGTACCTCTAGGTACAGTAATCGACATGGGAAAAGGTAGACAGACATAATTGAGGGTTTCTTACTTTCTTGCTTTATGAATCCTAACTCCCATGTGCGATGCTTATTATCCCGCCAGGCACGACCCGGCACGAGCTCGCCACGTGCCGATCGCGTGCAACCAAACGGCCAGGGCAGCGGTAGCGATTGACCTGAGGCTGCAAGTACTCTTCACTGAGGCGCGCCCGGCCCCGTCTCGGAAACTGAAGCCCATGAAGCAGCCTTGTATTAGGTAGGTCTTAGGTAGACGCGTCAACCACTCAACGCCGCCCTAAAGGCATCTAGCGCATTTCCTAGCTTTCAGGGGGAGTGATGCCTAGGTAGTTATATATACTAGGGGCATTTGTTCAAGGCTCTACGAGTTTTTCGGTACTCTGGGTGGAAGGTATTCTCGTTGGGGAGTTCTTCGAGCGCTGCACTGGCCGGCCGGCCCACTGCCGGCCCTGCCCAGTGTCCAGGCACCGGCCGGCCAGAGATGCTGGGTGAAAGCGCTTCCTACAGCAAGGGAGTGGGGGCTTGGGCAAGGGGGGGGGGGGGGGGGCTCTCGAGGGCCGGTCCACGATTGAGAGCGGTTCATCACATATTCACCCAGCTGCAGCAGCGGCGGATAGAGAAGGCGGGTAAAAAGAGGCGTCGGTTGAGTTGGCAACGGCGGTCAAAAGGAAACCGACCGCCGCCCCGGCCGGCCCTGCCGCCGTGCGCCGTGGGTCAAGCCGTTTGATTTCTGCCCGCAGCACCTACGTGAGTAGCAATATGTATTAACCGTAGTATGCATACACGCCATAGAGAAACGTGTGTCCAGATAGCTAGAGCTAGAAAAATAGGCGCATAGGGAGCTACAGCGGAGACATTCCGAGTGGACACAATTCCTGGAAAAGGTACGACACCCGAAGGAGAAAGCTGGCTCGTCCGATCGCTCGAGTTGGCGGGCCCTGGGCCTGGGTGGATCGGCCTCCGGGTCTCGATCTTGTGAGGGGGCCGTCAACTCTTGTTCGACTATGCTGACCTACACTTCCCCGTTGCTTGCGTCCTGCCTGCGGGGGTCACCTAACGACTCCATCCTCCTGTGCTCCTCGCCGTCTGTACTCCACCTCGCCAAGCTTCACCTCGACAGCACCCGGTTAAGTGCTCTCGGATCGCCCGCGACCGGGTCTGATCTGTGAACTTCACTGCGTTTGGAACACGGAAGTTCAAGTGATCCCGTTCCCATCTCCACGGGTGTTTGGAGCGCTAGTCGAATCCCAGCTCGCATCTGCTGTGCGGTACTGCTTCACACGAAACCTACGACAGAACACGACCTGTGCTTGTCTGATTTCTGTGGTGCGGGTACCATTATCATCGTCTCTTGCGGACGATAGATTGTTCTCCAAGTTGTCGTTGATCTCCGAGCGAAGCAAACCTCTGCGGAGCTCAGCCTCGCGCCCGCGCGCGCCTCCCCTTTGGATCTGACATCACTCGATCCATTTCTTTCGCCTCGTAAGGCAGATCAAATCGACCTCGCCGACTTCAAAAGGTCCGCCGTTCTATCGCCGTGTGACTGATGTGGTCGACTGAAGCACAACATCCAAACCACGCCCCGCCCGTGCCCGCTCCCTCTGGGCTCGCCGTTCAACATCGGCGCTCCTCCGTCGCTCTCTCGGCACCGAACTCCACCTCCTTGACGAGGTCCACCCTGGCGCAGCACGACACGCTGCAGCACTCGCACACCGCAGCACCAGCACCATATCACCATCCATCAGGTCAAGCACCTCGCGCAATCTATGCTTCGCGTGTCGACAACCTACACCTCGGTGTGAGTTGTATGTCTCAGCCGACCGACCAAATCGGCATTGCGCAGCCTTGGGCTCCCGAACGGCTCGCCGAACAGCGGGTTCGGGGCCGCGAGGGGTCAGCATTGGTCGGATCTCAAGCCCGGTTCCACCTGCCCGGAATAGGAGCGACAAGCAAAGGCTGTGCTGCGCCCAAACCCGGCTCTTCAAGCACATGTACTGACAAATTGTGTGTTCATGCTCGCTGGAATGGCGCCGATATTTTTTTCTTGTGCAGAATCCCGGCATGGTGATGGCTCCAGACGCGCGACCACATTCCTGGGCCGGCCAAGGCTCCGCCCCGCGACCATTTGGAGTTCCGACAGGGATCGAATACCTTCAAGAGTACCCGAACTACCCTCGAACGCCCCTCGAGCACTCCACGCACCCTTCGATGCAGGCCTACGCTTCCTTCGCAGGTCCCTCGCCTCGACAATCGAATGCTGCGCGGCCGCTGCCTTCCGCAGGCGCGTCACCTGCCTTCCACCCCTATCAGTCACCCAAGCCCAGGTTACCGGCACAGATCACTTTCATCAATGCGACGACCACCGCGGCCGGGGGGTTCGACGGCCCTGGCCAGGTCAAGCAGAAACGAAAGCGGATCATGCCGGAGCAACTCGAGCATCTCTGCGAGCTATTCGACAGAACGGACTCGCCTACCTACGATATGCGCGAGCAAGTTGCTGTCAAAGTGGGAATGACGAATCGGGAGGTACAGGTGAGTCTCATCGATTCTGCATGATTGTGCATTGCTCTCCCCCTCAAGTCGTGCTGACGTGTTGTGTGGCACACTCTTGCTCGTGGCCTTGACGTTAGGTGTGGTTCCAAAACCGACGTGCTAAGGTGGCCCGACAGCAAGCAGCCGAAATGCCGCCGCCGCCGCCTCGAATGGAACCTGCCAAAGCGCCCTCGGTTGTCAAGCCTTCGCCGGTCACATCCTACACCTCGCGCTTTGCCGCTGCGTCGGAAGGGTATTTGCCCAGCGAGGGTGGGCAGTGGAAAGGCCGATCATACGCCGCTGATGGTCACCCTGGCTCGCCAGAGGAGGGGTTCACGCATCAAACCGCGTTGTTCAGGGCGTCGCCCGGACCAGCCCCGGTGCGACCCTCAGGACTTGTTACCGCCGAGCCTGATGGGCTTGGCCAAGCCGTGCCAACAAAAAGACGGCCAGACGAAGAGGAAGGTCAGCCGTATCCGACGCACTTCCAGCGACCCTCGCCATCGCTTGCTCTGCCCTTGATGTCTCCGAGTGCCAATTTCCGCTCGCCAGGAAGCTCGGGATCTCTCGCATCGCCGTCTCTGGGGTCCAATTACTCGCCATTCGCACCCCTGCCCTCACCCTCCCAGGCTTCCTCGTATCAGGGAAGCCAGACCTTTGGCACACCCTCAGGGTATTCGACCTCGGGCTCGTCGTATATATCGGGATCGGATATTTCCTTCTCGCCTGTCTCGTACTGCAGTAGTCCTGGAGGTGGCCACTTTTTCCGCCTCTCACTCGACTCGCCCGGCGTCAAAGGCGCATCGCCGAGAGCAAGCCCACGTCCTGGCATGTTTGACCTTTCACCTATCATTCCGAGTGGGCTTCCCGAGGGTCCGATCCAGCTCCGACCGATCTTATCGCCCGATATCTGGGATGAGCGACACCGGGAAGCCATGCGCGAGCGGCAAAGGAGTTCGGACTGTCCGCAAGACGAGGACGACAATGCGCAGACTTTTGGCTCGCGTGTCGACGAGATCAATATGGAGGCACTGTCCAAAACCGAAGACTCCGGAAAGGCATCAAAATCCGGCTTGGGTCAGCGTCGACCACAGTCATCGCCTACAACGCTCTCGCCCAATTCCAAGTCCGCCCAGCTCGCGTACTCGTCACGGCTGGCGGCGGATCAGTCGCTCCGAGCTCAAAATCTGGGTCGACGCTATACGATTTCAAGGCCGTCCTCCCTTTCGACAAGCACCGCGCATCAGACCGAAGAGGGTGGGAGCGACAAGCTGACCGATGACCAGCTAGTTGTCCGTCTTGGCTCGATCCAATCGGCTCAGCCGCTCGGGTTGGGCATGCTCGCGGTTGCGGCCAGTGAACAGTCGGGTGGTGGGGATGAAGAGGACGAGGCCGAGCTAAGGGCTCGAGAGCGCTACCTGGCCACGAGGAGGCTCTCGCTAGCACCTACAGCCCTTGTTGAGGATTCGATGGGCCGAGGGCAGCAAGAGAGCTAGCTGATGGCCGAAGAGTGAGGCTGCCTCGCAGAGGCGAACACCCTCAAACCGATATCGTATCAGGGGCCTGTATCTGCACGTCATGGAATTTTTAAGTTTCTGTGTGTACTGTTCATTATTGGGGAGGGGAGTTTTTCGTAGGCATCATGAAGGTGTTTTGTACTACTATGGGCCTACAGTGACCATTTCAAGGCAGCCGTCGCTTCGTTCGGTCTAACACCAGGGATGACATCGAAGAAAGGACCATTCGTCGGAGTTATGTATGCCATGTGGTGACAGTGACTTTCTCTGTCGAGCAGGCTCGAGCACCCGCGCTGACGCGGAGAGGGCGGGGGACCCTCTTTTCGGCTTGGATATCCAGAGATGATGAGAACGAGTGAGACTATATGCGCGTCTAGTCCAAAAGACATCATGAAGCTTGATTTTGAGATGAGCGTGGAGCTGTACATGTGTTGCAGCAATGTGAGCGCGCTTTGACAGGCCCTCGCCTGCTGCCGGGCAATCTGGCCCCTATCTAGCTCGAAGGGCCGAGATCGGCAGGGTTTTCTCGCTATCGGGCACACATGAATGCAGTCAGTGATCGATGCCGTAGATCACTGGTAGGCTCTCGGATACAAACAATTATATAATGGGTCATCCTAGATGTCCGCAAGTCAGCTATCGAATTGGCTCTTTTCATCATGATAGGGACCCGGCAGGGCCCCAAACCGCACCTTCACGAAAGTAATGTGCGGTCAAGTGTCGGACTCGAATCGGATGTGCTACAACTTGAGGTCCAACGGGCCGAGCCAGCCTTCGAGCCATTCATGCACCCAGCCCATGCCATGCGTCAAGTCGTCGTACGTGAGGTAGGTGATGTACCACCCCCTTTGCCAAGGGATAGACAGCCCCACGGTGGCTGGGTTCGAGAACCCAGAGAGGGTCAGGGTTGGGCGTTCGAGCTTTGCGGATTCCTGACAAGGCTGTAGATGAATTACATCAAGGCCTGTGAAGGGATATTATAAAAGACCCTGTCTCTGTCAGCCCAAAGCAATCGATGAACGAGAGGAGGAGGAGCCCTTCGACCGTAGGCGTCCGCAATATAGGACTCGTCGGATACGAGGTCCAACGAGGTCGTCGATTCCGGCATCGCATACGTGGGCTTAGTCTCGTCCGACCAGACACTCCATGGGACCAAATCAATGATAGCGCAGCTGCAGCGACGGCGAGAGCCAATACAAGAAAGCCGTCGTGGAAGATTCATCTGAACAATAGAAAGCGTTGTGGACGTCCAGCAGACGGAGCGATTCGAGGGGAAGTGCGGCTCGCTCATCAACGGTAAACGACAGCGCTTGAAGGGCCTGGTGGACACATCCGGGATTCGTATGGTCGATTTCCTGAGGCGGCTCCCTGACCACGGGCGGGCACGATAATCTACACAGGCGCGGGACGAGGGAATTCAGAAAAAGTATGCCAGTTCCAGATATGTTCCTCCCGCGCCACCCCGAGCAGCGGCACCGTATCGGGTGCCAGATGTGGAAAAATGAAGTGGTGTAGTGCGCTTTGCCGTATTGAATGAGGTCTGTGCTCGAAGTCTCGAGTTGAAGGTCGCTTTGTCGGGCCCATTCTCGGAATGCGTCTCCAACAATTTGAGTGTGGGAACTTCGGTAGGCGAGTGCAAGAACCAAAGTTACCTTGCGCCTTAAATGGCTCCCTTCTGATTTCAATCTGCAGCGATTGAAATTTTTAGCCTTTTTGGCTGTGTAGTCCAGTTGTGAAGGGGCTGGCCTTTCAGCGAGACGCCGCCGCAGCACTGGTTCCGTCGTCAAGGCAGGCGCCCTGTGCTCGTACTAGTCGCGACTCAGATCCTCTTGAAAGTCCTCGTGTATGGACTAGCGTCGCTCCTCCCGTTTTTTCACCTTGAAATACTTCAGGAGGGTGATGACGAGCGTTTCGTGGGCCAGGCCGGCCTCGACGAGGCGACCAAACACCTCCTCATGCCGGCTTCGATTCTCAACCAGTGACCACATTGCACGGGGTTGGCGATCTCCATCTAGATCATTTGATTTTACTCGTCCGAGAACAAGTTGCCCAGCGGGTGTTTGAGAAGCGGGTGCAACTGAAGTTGCCCGAGCAGGGCTTGAATAACCCTCGGGTCCTCGTCGGACCGGCCGAGGACGATGCCACATCGGAACAACCGAGGCTTGACTCGGACGATGATCGACAGGCGCCGAGACGACAGGCCGAGGCTCTTCAGGTCTTAAACCTGGCTGAACCAGCCATCGTCGCCCTTCGTAGGACGGGCCCCCTCTCGACAGTGTGGAACGTCGAGTTCTCGTTGCCGAGGTGTGTAAGTAGAGTGCGATCAGAGCGAGCAACTGGTTGGGCAGCAAGAGCAAGCCACAGGTCGCAGTCATCTCAGAAGACCTGTTGAACAAGGGGGGCAGTTAGGAGTAGATTTATGGTTTGGTGCACGGCGTGAAGTGCGACCAAGTTGTCCGTGGAGGCTAGCCATGCTGCTGCAATCCGCGAGTTGCAGTCTGGGCGTAATGCTGGAACTGGGGCTCGTATGCGTTCAACCCACCGACGGAGGCGTCATAGAAGCGGAGAGTGCTGCGGTTCCGTTGAACGTAACGGAAACTGACGATAGCAGACGAGCAGCACGTGACTTCCCCCTCGTCGCGAATGGTACGGTATATACGAAGCTCCCCGAGAGTACTGGGGATCCGAAGAATCTCTCTCTCTTTTCTTACATTAATTCTGGCGCCATTCGTCTCAGACCTTTTTTTCCTCTTCTTTGAGGAGGGGGCCCGGGTGGCGTGAGGCGTGAGGCTCCTCGGAGATGTCCCGCGGCCGCCCCCCCCCCCCCCCCCCCGGGGACCCGCACCGCCTTCGCATGCGACTTCTTTCTTCCGCCCCGCGAAAGTTGTTACAATCCAGTGTCCGATCTTCTGCTCGCACCATGACCACCGCCGCCGCTGTACCCCGCATTCCTATTCCTGTCAACCTGGAGGTGAGCTCTCCGGAAGGACAACCGGACCGGTAGGGACCGGTAGAGACCGGTAGTTAATACGTTGATGCCTCTCCACGCGGGGCTTATGTCATCGACGAGCGAGCACTGACTGGCCCTCGATGGACCGGGACTTTGCGAGCTGACCCGCTTGGCGCTTTGTGTTTCGGTCTTGATAGATCACTTCGGATTCTATCTGCCCATTCTGTTTCATTGGCTACAAGCGCATCACGTCCGCGATTGACCGGGCTACGGCTTTGGGGCTCCCACTCGACTTCGCGATTTCCTTCGCGCCATTCCAGCTCGACCCTACTTTGCCAAAGTCGCCCGGTGAATCCAAGAAGGAGCGCTATGTCCGCCGCTTCGGGGACAAGTTCCATCAGATGGAAGCTCAGATGAAAGAGCGTGGCAAAGCCGAAGGCATCAACTTCTCGTACGACGGGCCCGTCTCGGCGACCGAGGACAATCACCGAATGATTATGAAGGCACGAGAGCTGGGGGGCGAGGCAATGCAGAAGAAGTACGTCGAGAGGGTGTTCAGCTCGTACTTTGAGGAAGAGAAAGACCCAGGAAGCTTCGACGTGTTGGCCGACGATGCCGAAGCGGTGGGCATGATGACCAAGCAAGAGGTATGTGTGACTCGAAGGAGCCGGCGTTGCCTGGGCAAACTCCAGGTCGGGGCTTGGTCTCGATAGGGTTGGTGGCCTGCCCCTTTCAAAGTGGCTTATTAACTATCTACCATTACACCCACCAGGCACTCGACTTCCTCCATTCGGACAAACTCAAGGCGGAGGTCAAGCTCGGAATTCAAAAGGCCCAAGCCCGAGGCATCTCCGGCGTTCCCTTCACCATTATCAATCGTCAGCCAGTTCATCTCGCCGTCTCAAAACGTCCAGAATTTCATTTCATATCCCTTCTTCCAACGCATCGTGCAGACAAACTGGCGATTTCGGGCGCGCAAGAGACCGACACATTCTTCGATGTGTTCAAGCGCATTGCTTCTGGGGAGCTCAAGCCCTGAATGGAGAAACCATGGTCGCCCTCGAAATGCGATGAAGTCGCCGCATGATTCAGTGCAGCAGATGAAAATTGTCGGGAGCTAGTAGAACGGAGCAGATAAAAGTCTCGGCTGTGCCGACTGGAAATAACACGGTCTGGGGGGAAGTGAGAAGACGAAGCAACAAAAGGAGTGCACGACTTGACGGGGTGCACGAAGGTCGGTAAAGCATTTGGACAACGGCAAGTGAGGACATCGGTGCGGCTGGCCGGCGGAAGGGGTTGCTCAGATCATGGTCCAAGCGGCGCCGGTTACTGTACCGAGAGTGATGAGGCAGGTCCAGCTGCCCAAAATATAGGCAGGTGCACCTCGAGAAGCGGGCGGCGGCGGCGGACTTTGGCCTCCCGTGGTTCCAGGGCCTCCGTTCGTGTTGTTCGAGGTCTGCGTCTGCAAGCTTTCGCTGTTGGCGGCGGCGGGGTTTGAAGTTGGCGGCGGCTTCGAGCCGACCGATTGATTCTGAGGAGCTGAACCGCCAGGAAGGTCCTGAACCGGTTTCTTGGTCGGGTCGGAACTGCCGGTACTGCTGTTGCCAATGGTCGGTCCGTCCCCCGCGGGAGCTTTCTTGAAAGTCTGCGCAGGAGCTTTCTCAAGAGTCTGCGCAGGAGCTTTCTTGTGAGTCTGTGCAGGAGTTTTCGTCTTCTCCTTCCCAGGTGAGTTCTCCTTCTTGCCGGTCGGCGATGGAGCGTTGGGAATTCTCGTCTCTGACGGGGGCATCTCGGTCTTGTGGCTCTGCTTCGACTTCGGTGTGGGTTTTGCCTCCGTGAGTGGCTTCTTAATGGACGGGTTCCCGATCGGCGGTGACTGATGAGCGGGCGAGGTATGACCAGACGTCTGGTGCTGTTTGTCCGTCTTGCGAAGGGGGGTAGGCGTCTCAGGTGGAGTGAGCTTCTAAATATGTTCGAGTGCTGACAAAGAATGCTCGTGCGGATCACCCACCTTGGAATGCTGGCCCTCATGACCAGTAGGCGATGGGGAATGATGAGGGTGCGTCGTTGAGTTTACGAGAGGAGTCTGTTCGGCATGCTCGACCGATTTCCCCGTCTGCGAAGACGATCGAGCGGGACCGTCTTGCGAGTTCCCGATCGAGGGGTGCTCGTTGGCGCCGTGTTTCTCATCGGGCGGCGGGCGTCGCTCCGGATCTTGCGCCAGCTTGTTCACCTTGTGTTGCTCTTCCGACTTCTTCGAGTTGAAGGTGTTGAAGGTCGATTCGCCCTCATGTCCTTGGCCACCGCCAGGAGCTTTGCTTTCGCCCTTCTTTGTCACAGGAGTACTGGGCTCAGAGGCGTTAGTTTGTCCTTTGCCTGCGAGGCTGGGCGAGCACAAAGTGTTATGGAAAGCCGTGGCGCGGAGTTTGTCGGCGGCGTTGCACTCTGTTCGTCGGTACAAGAAGTGACGAGCGCGCCAGAATCAGTGTCTCCGACGGACCGCAAGTTTACATGGCTCCCAGGCTTGAAGTCGCACTCACTCTGGGTTTCGTAGCACTGTACAAGGCCGTCGCGGTACGGCCCCAAAGGGCAAAGGCAGTCTAAATCTGCTCGGCCCCGACAATGGCTCGCCGTCTGTAACGGAGGCAGTGACTCAACTATCAGCGAATTGAACGTCTGGATTACGGCAACAGCACGAGCCGCGCAGCGCGTGAGCCTCGGATAAACTACTTGCATTTACACGGAGTGAATCGTACACCGATTTTGCGCAGGGATGAGCACACGAAGGTAGCTTGCTCGGCGCCGCCAAGGTCGTGGCCACGACGGTCGCCAGGGCGAAGAAGGTCACGCGCATCATCCTTAGGAGGCGAAAGGGGCACGAGCCTTTGTTGATCGATGATACGGAGGTCACGACTACGACGGGAGCGAAGAGCAGGAGGGACAAGCAGAACAAAGGACGGAGGAGTTGAACGAGCGACGTACGACCACGGTCGATGCAGGTGAGACGGCCTACTGCGAGCTTGAGAGAGAAGTGGCGAGGAAGAAGCAAAGAGGTGACGCGAGCCCGCTTCCCAGGGGTAGGCGGCAAATGCGACTGAAACGGTCGGTGGAAGTCACTAACAGCGCGTATTAGGAGGCGGTGTCAGTAAGCCACACGCGCCTGTTCAAAAGGAGCTACTGCATGAAGTGGCCACGAAACCGGAGCGGCGAGGCCTGTCAGCCGGGACGACTAGGCGCCATTCTATATTGAACCGTCTTTGTTGCAAGTATAACACAGATGCCCTGGACATTTTGCGATTTTCGCACACTGCCAAGCTTGCGGGACCTATCGCCTCCCATCATCCTGCTAACTCCTCGCCGCTGGAGCCTCCAGGTCGAAAGCGTGCCGTTGGCCTCCTGTCTAGGTCGTTCGTCGTACTGGCGCAACGGGCTTTGTTGGACTCTGGGGCGAATCGGACCAGACCAGCCGAAATACACGGAGCCGAGATAAAAGTAGACTTTACAGAGCCAGAGGCCGCGTGTGCAGAGCCGATACTGGTGGGGTTTCGCCCAGTGCAATGTAGAGAAACGATGGTCCTGTTACGCGTTGTGAAATCAAGGCCGATCGATGCGATGTCTCATTCATCTTATGGGCAGGGCGATCGGTTGGGCCCAACGCCGTCGCCGGCTCTCGTCGCGCTCGCTCTTTCCACGAAACACTCTCGACGGTGAAACGACCCGAACCTCCTCCATCCCGCTTGTCCAGCCACGTACAAAGAAGAGAGGTTCCGCCTGCTCGTTTGGGCAGGGCCGTGTGTGCCGCCTCAGTAGAGTAGCGTTGCCTAGACCGAACACACGTCGGGGTGATCCGTTTTCTGGTTGTTCCAACCCGACAGCCGTCCGCGCGATGGTGAAACAGTCGCGGTCGCTGAGCCTCGCTCGACACCCCAGCACCGCGCCACACGTGCCCTCGCTGTTCAAAAAGTCGGCGTCTTTGTCCGGTCTATCAGAATGGATGTGTGAGTCTGCTGTCGCCTCTCGTGCGTGATGTGTAGTGCGAGCTGATGCGACCGAGATCTCGATTCTGGCAGCTCGACACCTCAACTTCTACCGGTAAGCGCAACCGCAGCCCGGCCAGGACGGCGCAAGCTATGGTCGCCTGGCGCGTTTACTGACTCTGCAGTCATCTTGCAACGCTCGTATTTTTGCATCTCAACGCGCGTGTCATACCGTGCTGTGCCATGTAATCCCGATCCTGGCGTACCCACCGTGTCCGCAGCGTGAGTCTCGTTCGTCCTCGTCCACGGTGGCTTAGGGCCCACGTGACGGCGACCGTCGGTGTCGCCCCGGTGTACTAGCTCGGTGTTGCAAACGTGGCTGAGATCAAACTCGTCTCCGTATTTTTAAAGGTCCACATGCTTTTCTTCCTCTTCATGCCATTAGTCTCGTCGGGCATTTTTTATGCCTCGAATGGCGCGACAAAGGTGGCCTATGTCGACGCGCTCTTCATGACCGTCTCGGCGTCGACCGTCACGGGACTCAACTCGGCCCTCTTAGGACCCTTGACGAGGTGGCAGCAGACGATCGTGAGCTACACCAAACGCGTTACTTGTTCACATACTCCCGCCACGAGCCGCTAATGTGTCGCTGCGTGCTCCCGCTCGGGATTGCCACATCTTGCTTCGTTTGTAGCTCTTCGTAAGCCCCGACCCTGCTACGACTGTTCGGCGCCCCCACGGCCGGGCAATTGACCAGCACCATCGTTCTCAATGTATCGCAGATCAACATGTGTGTCGGCTCTACCGTATTCGTCTCGCTGATAACGATCGTCATTCGCCTGTAAGTCGCTTCGCCACCGCATGCAGGCCCTCCGTCGGCTGACGTTCGATTGCCCACAATTATCCTCCTGTTTCACTGTCCTTACAGATCCTTCTTTCGACGCAAGTTCGAATACATGGTCGAGCATGACCCTGCGGCCCGTCAGCGAGTCAACCGCGTAGGCGCCGAGGAAGCACAATTGGAAGGGCGTTCGTTCCGACCTTTCCCCATTCATCTACGAGCCAGCGATATCGAATTTGCGACTCACTCTCCAGCAGGCTCGAGTCCAATCTGGACCAGGGAAGAAAAGAAGGAAGGCGGTGCTAAAAAAAAGAAGAAGAAAGGCCCGCTGCGCACCGACATGATCACGCGCGTCGATGTGCCTGTGCGCGTCAACCAGATGAACGTCACGGGGTGGCTCAGCGATGAAGCGAAGGCAGCCGAGGAACTCGCGACCACGACCCAAGCCGAGGGCACCATCAAGGCGGGGGAGTTTGGTGGGGTCATCACCGCCGAACCAAAGGCCGCCGAAGAACCTGTGGCGCCTTCAGCACCTCACGCCACCGCGATACACATCGATGATTCGACCAAGCCGGACCGAAGTCATCGCCACATTCGTCGTACCAGCGACCCTACTGCGCATGCTCCTGCTCCCCTCTCACCTACGTACCAGAGTGTTGGCCTCCCCAGAGTGATGACTCTGGACACTCACCATGAGCACGACCACCGCCATGGCTCTCTGACGTCGCCGGCCTCACCAGACTTTCCGCGGTCTCGAACAATCGAGTTTCGAGACAACGGTGATTCAAACCTGAGGATGCGACGTACACGGACAGGAGCTCAAGATGTGGATGTCCGTCGACGGCAGTCGCAAGGCAACCTTCGCGACATTGAAGCTCGCACGTTGACCCGCACCGGCACAAACGCACCCGACGCGCTCAACACAGGCTTCGGTGGGTTCCCCAACCCCATCGTGGTGGCGGCCGACTATGCGCGCAAGCGAATCCCCGTCTTCAACACCGTCGTGGAACGGAATTTGACGCTACCCCCGACCCAAACGCTGGCTTCGGTGCACTCGGGACTTGGCCCACCTACCGATACGCAGAATCTCAAGCCAGTGTCCTACATTTCTTTCGACGCGGTGGTGGGTCGCAACTCAAAGTTCCGAGGACTCACGTCTGCGCAGCAAGAGGAGCTTGGAGGTGTCGAGTATCGCGCCCTACAACTCTTGCTGCGGATCGTTTTCGCCTACTGGATTGGACTGCAGCTTATTGCCGTCCTCGTGCTTGCACCGTGGTTGACGTATTCAGAGAAGTACCGGCCTGTTTTTGAGGATCCACAATGGGCCGTGTCGCCAACGTGGTTTGTCTTCTTCCAAGTTTGGTCCGCATTCAGCAACAATGGCATGAGGTGAGCTTCCAGTGTCCGACCTCGCCTTCGCCTGCGGGATCACCACGCTAACCCGCCTCTTTCATCGCCAAAAGTCTGGTTGATGCCTCGATGGTCCCTTTCCAACAAGCCTACCTGCTCATTGTTGTCATGAGCATCCTCATTCTGGGCGGCAATACTGCCTACCCCGTCTTCTTACGCATTTGTATCTGGATTATCTCCAAACTCGTTCCACGACGTTCAAGAACCCGGGAAACTCTCCAATTCTTGCTGGACCACCCTCGTCGGTGCTATATCTACCTCTTCCCGTCCCATCAGACTTGGTTCCTTGTCTTTGTGCTCGTTATCCTCAACTCCATCGACTGGATCTCGTTCATCGTGCTCGACATTGGAAATACGGAGATCGAACGGTTGCCGGTGGGCACTCGTATTATTGATGGTCTCTTGCAAGCTTTCGCCGTGCGGGCTGCCGGGTTCGCCATCGTCACGCTCTCAGCCGTCGCTCCCGCTCTGCAACTCCTCTACGTCGTCATGATGTACGTCGCCGTCTACCCCATCGCCGTTTCGATTCGCAGCACGAACGTGTACGAAGAGAAATCTATGGGCGTTTTCGAGGAGGAAGAAGATGAAGACGATGTCGAAGCACGCTTCGAAAAGTCGCACTCGGCTTCACAGTACATCTCGTACCATGCTCGAAAGCAGCTCGCTTTCGACATGTGGTGGCTGGTGCTCGCCGTGTGGCTCATTTGCATCATCGAGCGCCGCCTGATTGGAGATTTGGAGTACCCCGAGGTCACAATCTTCACCATCATGTTCGAGGTCGCCTCTGCATACGGTACTGTCGGCCTATCTCTCGGCACTTCGCGCAAAAATACCTCCTTGTCGGGAATTCTTCGAACGCTCTCAAAACTTGTCCTGTGCGCCGTCATGTTTCGAGGTCGTCATCGTGGTCTTCCTGTCGGTGAGTTGTGATGGCTCTACGCTTGCGTATCCCAATTGCTGACCTCTTGTATTGCTGTACCTGTGTATAGCTATCGATCGATCCATTCTTTTGCCGTCCGAGATCAAGACGGCCGAAACAGGATCGACGCGTGGCGATGGTGCCTCCGCGCGTCGTGGTTCGCGCAGTAGTTACGCCAGTTCCGGTCGCGACGAAGGCGGTCCTGGAGGGGAGGGCGGGCTTGAGACGGTCGAACCGGAAACGGATGAAGCTCGAACGGAGCGCGTGCGTCACGAATCGGGGCGAGAGAACTCGGGCGGCGAGGCTTATGGATTTGAATACACCAAGCCGCCGACAAAACCACTTTCACGGCCTGAAGATGAATCGAATAAGAGTGACTCCAACGAAGGTGGTGTCTCGAACACTTCCGACAACACCATCAGCGAAACTCGATGACCGCAGTGAGGGGTGCGGCAGCGCTGTCCTTCAACGGTCACTCTTCAACTGGCCTTGTATTTCGTTATTTGAGTATGTTGTAACACGACCACTACAATGGCGCTTATGCTGCCCATCAGCCATGGTGTGCATGGTGGGACAAAAGAGATGATGGTGTCGCCGGATACTCTAGCGACGCCGTCGGCACCTTGGGAAAGTTCCACTCGTCGTGTGAACAAGTCATTTCTACTTCGTCGAATACGCTTGTGCTACCCCTCTCGAAGCCCAACTTGTGCTCGAACAAGTCCAAGCTCGCCGAGTTGGTCGCCCCTATCCGCGCAAAAAAGTTGTTCGGGGGGATACCGAGCACATGGGAAACGTAAGGCAGAAAGATGCGGAGCGCCTCGAACGCATATCCTTTGCGTTGATTCGATGCCATTGGGATCATGATCTCCACCTCGCACTGCCGCCGTCCCGTAGGCAAAGGATGTCGCTCCCGAGCCCGAGGATTCGAGCTCGATTCGAGGTCGGCTCCCTCCTCATCGTCGGATGGGTACATTGTCGAGAGGAACACATTGACATCTCCGATCATCGCATCCGAGGCGTCATGGTTTCGAAGCTGGTCTATGGTGGCTGAGGCGTCAAGAGGTGTGGGTTCTGTCTGGGCGAGCACGATGAAGGTCATCTCTGTGGGCAAAGATCAAGCGGTGAGTGGTCAGGTGATTGCTCCTTCCTACTCTACGCTTGGATGTTTGCCGTGTGCTCACTATCTTGGTCGACTCTCCACGACTCTGCAGAAGGACATCGCACCACGAAGGTTGGCCGAGTTCAGTTTCAGCCCAGCCAAAGCTCAGAATCACAGCACCTGGCGTGTGAGTTTGCCGATTCGAATGACCTTGCATTGCGAACTCTTCCTCCAACGTCAATGGTTCGGATGCTGTCGCCTCGCGTACGGCTGGATCGGACATCCACTCGTGGTAACGTGGAACGTGGTGTCTCCTGTCATACGTCATCCGTCGAGCAAGCTGGGTCAGTAGGATGAACATAAGCTTCGTCCAGAGGGCCATGAGGGACGGACCGATAGGGTACAAGAACCACGCGAGGTCCTAGCAGAGCTGTGCTTTGGTTCTCGAGCATGGCTTGGTTCCTGATTGGATAAGGTGGGCGTATGGCCAAATATAGCTAGCTAGTTGGACGCCCCAGGTGGTCGGTCCATCTCGCGCGGGTCGGCTGAAGTCGGCTGAGGTCGGCTGCCACCGACTTTGTGAATGTTTGCCTTGGTTCGCCACACCGTTGGAGGTGCTTGATAAGTGGTAAGCAGTGCGTCAACCCTCACAATCGAGAATAATCTAATTTCTAATGTTATGAACATCGCAGTGGGCATCGGTGATGGAAATGGCTGCATTCAGGCAGGCGCAGTGCAGGCAACCAGTTCTAAATGAAAGCGAGACCAGCTTTCGCAAACTCAGTGATATATATAGTCTCGAGTGGCCAGTTGCTGCCGGTAGAAATTCGTTGAACGAGCGTCTCCGGTGGTCGGCGCTCTCGCGCGGCTCCACTCCCGAACCAGAAGACGGCCTCCGCTTCAGTGGATTACGGTTTCTTATCGACCAGTCCAGGCAATCAGAGGCTTCTTCAAGTACTCGTTCTATCTTGCGACCTTCTCCACCTCCGGTAGCGAGACATTCGCCGGCGACACTCGACCGGTCGCATCGAGCACAGTTCCGCACCTGGAAGGCAGGTGCTGGATTGAGGTGCACGACTTCGCGGAGGTACTCCAAGTGCGGCAGTATCTATCGATCAAGCGTGGTGGAAGCAGAACATCGTGACAAGGTGAGAACACCCCTTCTTGGCTGGCTGCATCCCCGTGCCCTGGCCGTCGAGGACTCGACACTGATCCCGTTCCTCGATCTACCTGGCAGCGCAGCGCAACACTCGGGTGCGCGCGACGGCTCAACTGCACGCCTATTCGCACACGCGCCTCTCGCTCGCGTGAACGCCCTTTGTCACATCGCTATACAAGACGCCCATCGCTCCTTTAAAGCTGGTACACCACCTCAAGCAGACCACGTCAAGATCAGCTGGCCTGCCCAAGCTTTGCTAATCCTCCCATCAACTCGATTTCCACGGCGTCATAGCGTGTCAGTCGGTCGATCTCAATCTGCCACTCGCACGCGCCGCTCCTCGCGCGCCGCTCCTCGCGCGCCGCGTCCTCAACTGCTGCGCGGAATGCGTCGCCGGGTCGCGCAGAAGGCTGAAGGTGCCGCACGACCACGCAACACCGCTGTTCTCGCCGCATCTATCGATGACCCGTTCCTGAGCTCCTCTATCAAGGCCACGACTGCCAGAGCGTACTCGCCGGGAACCCTCTTCGGAGCTACCGCGGCGGTCCAACGGCCTCCGAGGATCCAGCACGCGCCCGAGGCCAAAGCGATCGCATCCGACGACACCAACACGTCTTCTTCGTCCACTTTACCAACTTTTCGTGCCCTCGCGTCGAACTCGGCATTACGGCTACAGCGCGCGCACATCGTCCGCTCAACCCCTCATGCCAAGAGAGTGCCGTTGTCGCCGATCAAACGACGCGTCGTCCCTGCCCGACGGAAAAGGGGCGACGAGGGCGACGAGGTCGAGTCGGGACCGAGACGGCGGCGTAAAACGGACGACGACGACGATGGAGGCGACGTCGAGGAACTTGAATCTTACGCCCGTACTCTTGAATTTGAACTGGAGGAGGATACCCATTTGGCACCGTTTGAAGAAGACGAGCCATCGTTGCGGCTAGCCGGAGAAGCGGACAGCAACGAGGACCAACACACGCTCGACGAGGACATCCTCCCTTGGAACGAGCACGAGTCGACGGATCAATTTACACCTGATGTGCCTGCGGCCCTTAGCACCCACGCTGAGCGGAGGGCAGAAACCGATGCCGTGATCGTTGCTTCGACGGATGATGGAGATCGAATAGGTCAACCGCTAGGGAAGAGGGCAACAACCACGACAAGAGATAGGCGTCCGAGTCGAGCCACTATAACAGCTGTTTCAACACGTCAAGTCCGTGCTACACCTCCCCAGATCACTTCTTCAGTCGACGACGCCTTCTCTCGCGCGGCCGCAGCCCTTTCATCGCGTCAGGCCGCCAACTCGGCCGCATCGTCGTCGATCCGTTCTCTTGTCTTTGCGTCCTTCAGTCGGGCTGCGGCAAGTGTCGAGAGTCGGAGTAGAGCCGAAGCCTCAATAAGTGCAAGTAGAAGTAGAGCGCAAGCTGCCAGCGTGGCCAGTCTCTTCTCCGCCGCAGCTGAAAGCATCTCGGTGCGGGACGCGGGTGGGACGACGGCTGCCGCCACCTCGGCACTTTCATCGACTTCGGCAGCATCTGCTTCGGCAGCGTCATCTGCTCTAGCATCGACAGCGACGCAAACAAGCTTTTCGATCACTTCGACCTCCTTAGCCACCTCGTCGTCGGAAACGGGCGTATTGGAGACATCCTCAACGGCTTCGGCAACCTCTGGGCCAACGGCAGCCGCGTCTACGTAAGCTCGCAACTCCGCGATTGATGCCGAGACGCCCGGAAGCTGATCTGACTTGTCCTTTGCAAATGTAGATCCTCGAATCACCGACTGCGGGATATCCTACTTCCTGCCCTACTCGTCCCTCTTGGTCTGATACTACTCGCCACTGCATTGTTCCTGTGCACGAAGCGTCGCAACAGCAAAGACCAGGCGGGGACCGCAGGCAACGAGTCTTCATGGGGTGGCAGCGGCAACGACGGGGCGATGATAGGAGCCCCTCCTGCTGCCGCGTTGATGGCAGCCGCAGCAGCGGGTACTTCCAACTCGAGAAGTGGTTCGAGCAGCAACAATCCGAGCCAGGACAGCTTCGGGACAAGCCCCTCGGCGATTGGCGTGGCTTACAGTGGTGTTGAGCCCCGATCAAAGTGGGGCCGAAGATCGTTGACAGACGTCATCGCCGGTGGAGTCCGCGCCGCCGGAGTCGGAGGCTCTAGCCGAGGACGTGGTCAAGTGACGTCGACGACGAGCAGTTTCGGCGGAGGGCGCCAACCCAGTATGACCGGAATCTCGGACTACGCTGGCACCGCGATCGACTACCAACCTGGTCAGATGCGGCCCGTCGCGACACCATCGATCCTCAGCGTCTCGATGTCGGGAAGCAATCCCGGCACCCCCGTCTTCCAGCAGCGTTACGACTCGCCTCAGCATTACGACCCCTTTGCTCCGACCATCATCCCCGTCGCAGGAGCCTTCGCCCACCGTTCCTCGTCTACCAATCAAGAGGATTATGGCGACGACCGTGGTAGCTTTACGAGCCGCGACTCGAGAGACGATTTCGATCCATTCGCCCGTCAAGACCTGAACATCGGGGGTACAGCGGCGCAAGGAGCTCAACAGGCGGTACCATGGACGGAACAAGCTGGCCTCGGATGCCTTTCCACTCCCGTCCTCCAGCCCCCAGCCTTCGAACGTGCCGAAACGGCTCAAACGGCCGTTACTGCCCGGACGCATCAGACGGGTGATTCAACCGATGTGTATCAAACAGACATGGCGCCGAGTGGGGCAGAGTCCGCAATTGACGATACCTCGGATGAAGAATTGCTGGGTACGCCAACGGTGATCCAACAGCCCGTTCATTTCGGAAGCTCTGGGTCCTCGAACGGTGGATCCGGGAATGGCAGCGGTAGCAGTAGAGGGTCCGTCGCGAGAGCGAACATGGAGAACCGACCGTCGAGCTCTCACAGCGATCGATCGACCGGAACGCCGAGATTGGGGATGGGTCATGGTAATGCCGGTGGTGTCAGACGAGGCGATGGGAGCTGGTGGTGAAAGTATAGCAGTTCGACCTTCTTGGACCTTATTGATTACACCTTGTTGTATTCTCGCTAACACGTTTAGTGCTTAATGATGTAATCTCCCCTGTTTTGCGATGTGAACCCTGGTCATTGGGGAAAAAAAATGCTCGTGGCATTCCACTTCAGGGCCACGGAATACGTTATAAACACACAAGAAAAGATGTCAGAAACGAGAGACAGAGGAGATTAGGAGGAAGTGAGAGTCGCTTGCTGGTGGCTGACAATGTGAAATTTGTGAAGGTGAGGTATATACGGGAGAACACGCGCGGGCCGGTTTGCATAAGGGGGTCGTTCAGCATATACGTTGAAGAAAGATAACACATCCGTTACGAGCATTCAAGTTGAGCATCTCACAACTGGTTGAATATCGACGCACGACATGGTCAGCTCGGGTTCACGGGAGATTCATCCTGAGATGGACGTGATCTCGCTCTCACCTTCAGTTCGGATAGGACCCTTCGAGCTAGCATCTGATACTGCCATGCGTTTCCACCCTGTGTGATTGCAAGAAGATAGTTAGCAAAGCCCTCTTAATACACCAAGGCAAAAGGGGAGCGTGAACGCACGATACGACGGAATTGCAACCCGTTGATCCCAGGCAGTAGCGGCATCCGCACGATGAAGACCTCGAAGCGGACAATCATCTCGTTCGAGACGCTCGATTCCTCCCCGGTCGACGACGTGAATTTTGCCTCGCTGCCCGAAGTCCCCGGTGTCGGCGACTGCGAGGGGCCTTGAGGCGCATCGTGGATCGCACCGAACGAGGAGGACGAGGTCGGATGTCGCTCTTGTTCGCCCGTTTGTCCCGGCCCATGGGAGGGGATATGTGAAAGAGACGCGGTGGACTCTTCTTCGCCAGCGACTGAAGCCGAATCCTTGTCTTTGCCGAGCAAGATCCTCGAAGCGCGGCGTCGGATCGTCCCTTTGTGGTGCTTATCCTTGTCCTTGAACCCACCGACGGTCGAGAGGTCGATGGAAGGGACGTGTGCACACTCGAACCCACTCTTCACGTTACGACGTTGCACACCTAGCCGATCCAACACGCGGATCAAATCCGTACGTATAGTAGCGACGGACTTGGTTGTGGTCGTGTTGACGCTCCACAGACCCCACACGGGTTTGACGACGTCGGTGTTGCCCTGCGCCGTACGCCCGACGAAGCCAACATTTTGTACCGCCTGGTGTGTCGTATGACCCGACTCCTCGCCTCCCGACGAAGGGACCTCGGCGAGCTCCTCAGCCTCGAACTCCGATACGCTGGCACCGAAACCCGAGGTGGTGGCGGGGACAGTCATCGATCCCGACGCCGCTCGCGAAGCAGGAGACTGTTTCTCCGCAGGCGGTCCCGATGCCGACAGAGGACGGCGACCGATTTGCCCCGTTGAGGTGTGCCCCGGACTCGCGCCCATCGACACGCCTCTGTGGTGTCGTCCAGGGCTGGACTCGCCGACCGTACTCGCGCGATGAACACCCTGTCCTTCGGAAGGGATAGCCAAGGGGACGTCGGAGCCACTGGGCGTCAAGGTCGCACCGTTGCAAACGGGGGCTGTCTCGTTCACTTGTGGCAGCGCGGCAACGGCAGTTTTGGTACTCGCTTTGTGTGCAAAGCCACCACCGACACTCGCTCGTTGCCGATGAGCCTTGTAGTTAGGATTGGTACCATTCGAACTCGACGAGGGCGACGACGATCGGCTGAGCAAGGAGCTGAACCGCCGAGCAAAGTTGCCCGTTGGGGACGAAGAAAGGGGTACATCGTCCGCGTGATGAGCCTCAGACGAGTTCGCCGCATCGTCCACGGGCCCGTGGGACTTTCGGGCGACAGTCGGAGAAGCCTGCTCGAGCGTTGATTGGGGCCGTGCACCGAACGATCCAGATGGCCTCGGGGAACCCGTTATAGGCGCTGAATCTTGATGATACGAAGAACGCGAGTGCATTCTTCCGGTGGTCGACGACGACGGTCGTGGGTAGTCGTTCGAGGTGACTTCTCGGGGTGCGGTCGACGGGTGCGATGAGAAGGCGTCTCCGGTCGCACGCTGCCTTGGCTGCGGTGTCAATGGCATTCGAGGAGTCGCGATGGGTGGAGGCGCGGACATGGTTGAAGAGCCGACAATCGGGCTGGGAGGAACAGGACCCGATCCGGCTTGGTAGGCCACGGCCGGCGCGAGAGGTGGTGGCGGACCCGTCAACGAAAGGGTCGATGAAGCAAAGACACCTGGGCCCCAAATACGTTCGCGTTCTTGCTTCTCCCGTACGAGGAAGTATATCGAGATGAGGGGGTGGAAGCCTCGGGTCGGGTCAATGTCGAGCTTGATGCCTTGACTGTTCGTCATCATTGGCCCGCCAGAGTGGGAGGTGGCCTCTTCGCTATTACCGTGACTCGCTTCGTCTTGACTCTTGGACCCGAGCGAAGAGCTACCGCTGCTGAAAGCCGCGTTGATCCCGCTCGTGAGCTTCTTGCCGACGAATCCAAGTCCGGAAAACCGCTTATTTGCGGTCGACCGTCCGACGCCCTTCATGTCTTTCCCGTCAACGCGGGTTGCGGGTCGCTCGGCCTCGGGCGAATCACCATTCGGTCCTATCGATCGACCACGTTTGATGTCCCAGGCTCGCAGTGCTGTCCTGTAGCTGTCATGGGTTAGAACTTGACACAGCGATTCGTAAATCTCCTGTTCGGACCCGAGCTCGAAGCCGCTCATGCCTTTGATGATTTCGCGGTCGATCTCTTCCGCTCGCAAAGGGGTGCGATGAGGGATATGTGACGAAGGTGGACCCGAAAAGCCTTTAACTGTCCAAGGGTGACTCAGCACCTCGCTCATCGTAGCCCGGGCAGCCGGGCTCGTCACCAGCATCCGCGACAGGAGGTGCTTGCATTCTAGGAACACCCAACAGCGCTGCATTAGCTCGAGCTTCCAAGAGCTGTGTTCGGCGAGCGGATCATGCTCACCTGCACTGAGCCAGTTGGGGTACTCGACTTGTCCTCGCTTAATCTTGGCGTGGAGCGCCGGCATGCTCTGATCGTCAAATGGTACCTTGCCGCACACGAGCACGTAGAGAACGATACCAAAGCTCCACACATCAACCTCGGGTCCCGTGTAGGGCTTCGCGTTCAGCAGCTCGGGTGCAGCAAAGTAGAGCGATCCACAGAACGTCGACAACTGCGACGTCGGCGAGTACAGGTTCGACAGGCCGAAGTCGATGATTTTGATATTGCCCGTTTTGCTGATGAGGATATTTTCAATTTTGAGATCTGCAGAGAGATGATGACATGCGGATTAGCTCAATCTGATACGTCTCGGCTTGACTGATCAGACGCACCTCGATGCACGATCGAGTTAGCGTGACAGTACTCGAGCGCACTACCAATCTGCCGAGCGAACTTGCGGGCGCTTCGCTCACGCAAACGACCATGCGATATAATGTAGTCAAGCATCTGTCCGCCATTGACGTACTCGGTCACAAAGTAGTAGTGATTCTATTACGCAGGAAGCAACAGTTACGGTCAGAGGGTCGGACACACAGAGCGGGGTCCACTCTGAGTTAAGGAGGACTCACGGGGTAGACCATCATGCTCTTCATGCCGCACACGTACGGATGATGCAGCAACAAGCACAGACTCCCTTCACGGATCGTCCGAACCTCCTTGCTCTGATCTTTGGCCGCCGCCTTGGCCAAGAAGGACGCGGTCGGTGGTTTGTAAGGCTCGACCGGTTTGCCCGACACCGTATCTGGTGGGGGTGGACGTTGAGCAGCGGCGGTCGAGGTGAACCTGGGGATGATCTTGATGGCCACCTTTTTTGACGAGCGCAAATAAGGAACAGAGTCAGTGAGACCGTAACCAGTTTCGAGGCTACTCGCTCGAGCATTCTCACCTTTTCGCCCGTGACGCTGCTAACGCCCAACTTGACCTTGCCCATACTACCCGCGCCGAGCGTTTTGCTCATCGTGTACTCCCCCAACACCCGACGACTCCTCGACGACGACGAAGGTGCGGCGGACTCTCGTTCTCGTTCCCGATGGGCCTCATGTTCCCTCTCCCTCTCCCGCTCACGTCTCTCCTGGCGCTTGGCCTCCCTCTGTTCGGCCGTGGCATCTTTCGTTGGCGTCGACGCGACCCCATTCGTCCGCCCAGGACTGTGGGTCACAGTCCCTGGAGCATCGGATTGACCGCGTGACCGAGGAGTTGTCATCGCCGGAGTCGGTCCAGCCACGCTGTTACTCCTTGCGACACTTGCTCCAGCTGGTGGTAGTCCAGTGGTTGGGGAGGATGTCGGATTTCCTGGCCTCGACGGGGAGTCGGGCGCCATGATATGTCGCTCGTTCGGCGCGTTGGTATCGCCCCTTGCCCATGCAAGACCGTTGATGGCGGTAGCCGCTTCGACACTGCCAGCAAGATCCGTATCGCCATCGGCGCTAGTCCGTCGCCCGCCCACGTCCGCCAGTCTCCCCTCGTCCACCCGATCATGTCCCAAGGAGGCGCCAAATTCGCTCAGGCTATCACTGTCAACTCGTCTCAACCCATCATCGGGTGGTGAAGAGGGGGTTGTTGATCGCGTATGGGTAGCGCTCGCGTCGGTCTCAGGGGTGCACGAGGTCTCAGTCGTGTGAAGCTGAGCGTCATCGATGAGCGACTTTCGATCGCGAACGGGTGTCGCAGGGATAGATCGATGAGAATCGGGGTCATCGAAGCCGACCAACGAGGCGGGGTGTCTCGGCTTGCTCGGCGATGGTTCGGGGGCGAGGTAAGACGATCTGGTCGATTCGGGCGTGAGCACTGACGGAGGTCGCTGTATCGGACTCGAAACCGGTTCGAGGGAGGTCGCGAAAGCTTGATCGTCGTGAACCAAACGCTCGTGCAGGACCGGGATATTGGGAGGGGGTGAGCCGGCTGCGGCGATGGCCGACTCGGGCTGAGGCGGCGAAGGGTGCAGTTGGTCGACGTGCGAGGTTGCGCGCATCCTCTCGTCCGCTACTGAGGGGACGTCGACCGCGGCGTCTGGACGAGGTGGGGCGTCGGTCGTGGCGGGTACGATCGTGGTATTTGTCACGTCGTCGATGGGGGTCGAGACGGGTGAGGGATTCATAAGAGGGGGAGAGGGGGAAGGTTCGGCCGGTGCTGCTGCTGCTGATGTTGGGACGGTAACGGGTGGCTGAGCGAGGATAGGAGAGGGGTCTGTCTCGGCCAGTAGCGGGGGCAGAGGGGGGGCGGCCGATGACAAAGGCGCTTTGAGCTCCGAAATTGGCGTCGATTCCAAGTTCGAGATGAGGTGTGGTGTAGCCATGGTCGAGGTGTGTTGCTAGATTACACTGCACTGCACTGCACTGCACTGCACTGCACTGCACTGCACTGCACTGGTACTGGCCCTGCACGTGGCCGAGACGGTGTGTTGTGGCACGGCACGCGCCCCTTTCGCTGTCTGCTCGCCCGTCACCGAACCGAGCAGGCAGCCGGTCCTCGATGACCTTCTGGGTGGGCCGAAGTAAGCTTGTGGTCAGTGGACCCGCTCCAAGCGTTGTCGGTGCTCCCGCTTGGTCGATGCACCGAGCTAGACCGAGTGGATCTGCGCTGGGTGTGTGTTCCCACTGGGCGGTGAGGTCGTCACGCGCTGGCGACTTGTCCTCGAGGGTACCTGCTCCGCTGCAGGGGACTAGGCGCGGGCACGGGCGGTGGGAGAGCGTTCAACGACGATCAAAGTACGACCACACGTGTTGCCGTTTCCCTGAGCGTGCGCGAACAAGCCGTGTATCGACCGGGAAGGCGGAGTCACGCGCGCGGTGCAGTGATGATGACGACGTCGACAACGACCAACCGACGTAGACGGAGCGGTGTTGTTGGTGCAGCGCCTTGGGATTGCTTGACGGCCACGACTGGCTAGCTCAGGGTCGACTCTCTGTGCCGATGGGACCGTGCTTTCCAGGGGCAAAGTACGTCGAGTGCGGTACTGGTGTCTGGAGGTTGGCGAGTGCAAGGTCGAACCAGTCAAGTCCACCTCCGAAGCGGTGCTCACCTGTGCCTCACTTGCGCAGACTTGCGCTCACTGCTCACTCTAGCTCAGTAGTCTAACTACTCATTTGAACGCTCGTTCTATTAATTCATTCAAGGCGGCTCAGTCAGCGAGCGGGCCACGCGCGCCACTGGCAGGCTGGCAGAGGTCAGCCGGTCCAGCGAGCCAGCGCCCGCGCGCCGAGGCCAGACTACGCCAGAGTCTGCGTCATCGACTGGCGCGGGCGGGCGCGGGCCTTTTCTGGGCTTGCTTGCGAGGTACGACCGCGTAGGACCGCGTAGGACAGCGTGCGAGCCAGTGCGAGCCAGTCCAAGCTCTTCCAAGCTCCAACGCTCACACACTCTCACTTGGCCTTTCGCTCGCTCTCGCTCTCTCTTTGCAACACCCCTTCGCAGCACAGCAATCACAGCAAGGATGGCCACTTCGACGACGACGACAACGACCAGTGGAGGAGGTGGATCGCCCGCGGCATCGTTGACGAACTTCTTCAACACCCATCGTCGAGCGGTGCTCGTCACCCTCGCCGTCACGATCGGGGCCACTGGTGCATACTACTACAGCTCCTCGGCACCGAGTTCGGGTCGAGGTCGAGCAGGATCGGCGGGACGAGGCTCAGCATCGTCGTCGTCGTCGAACAAGAACGGCGGTGAGGGATCGGGCAGTGGAAGCGGCGACGAGGCGGCCAAGAAGAGGAAGAAGAAGAGCAAAAAGCCAAAGACTCGCACCGCCACGCCCACCACAGCCGATGAGGGCACCTCCAACACCTCTTCTTCCCAGCTCGGCATCCCTTCTCCCCAGGGTGAAGGTGGAGAGCAAGGTCGGTCAGCGAAACACGGCATGGCGCTGCGCCGCCGGGGGTTACCCTCACCCTTACCGAGCTCATCTTTCCGATATCACACTCCACCCAGACCCCTCTGAAGCAGATATTGAGATCATGGATCCAGAGGTGAGCGGTGCAGACACAAGACGCTTCGACGCAGCGCAAAGCAAAGCGCCAGCGCCGACACTGACACTCGTCCATCTCTGCTTGCAGCAACGAACCAAACTCGCCCTGACGCTCAAAGCGAAGGGTAACAAGCTCTACTCGGGCAAAAAGTACAGCGAAGCGATCGCATGCTACTCGCGGGCGATCGCCTGCGAGGAGCAAGCCGTTTTCTACTCGAACCGAGCCGCCTGTGCGTACCTCACTCTACGGCTGCGTTGGATCCACAAGCTGACCTGAGATACACGCTACAATTGAGAACAGGCTACACCAACTTGAACGAGCAGGAGAACGTCATCGAGGACTGCACCTCGGCGTTGCGACTGGATCCGAGCTACATCAAAGCCCTCAACCGACGAGCGACAGCTCACGAATCCATCGGGGGCATCGATCACCTGTACCAAGCGCTGTGTGGTACGTATTGCATTGGCGGGAGAAAGTCCCTTCGGAGAGGAATGCATGGCGCTGACTAGGACACGTCTGGTCTCCTTTACCCTGCGCGCAGACTTCACCGCCGCGGCCATCATCGACAACTTTTCGACCGAATCGACCCAAGTCTCGGTCGAACGCGTGATGAAGAAGTTGGCGGGTGAAAAGGCGACGATCGCGCTCAAGGACCGGGAGCCCCGATTGCCGTCACCTACCTTCATCAAGGCGTACCTCGAGGCATTCCGACCTCGTGAGTCCTTGAGCTAGATCAACGGCCCCTGCGGTCCATGCGCTGATCTTGTCCTGGTGTACAGAACCCGACCCCGAGGACCCCGAGGACCCGTCTCAAGGTGACCAAACCCTCAAGCTCGCCTTTGAGGCCTTGCACGCCAAGGACTTCGTTCACGCCCTGAGCTATTTCAACGAGGCGATCGAGCAAGGCATTTCGACCAACGAGGGCAAGGCCGCGGCGCTCAACATGCGTGCCACGTTCCGTTTCATCATGTCCGACGCACCTGCCGCTTTGGTCGACCTCGACGAAGCGACGTCGCTTTCGCCGACGGGCACGCAGAGTTGGGTCAAGAAGGCGAGCGTGCACATGGAGCTTGGGCAGCCGGAGGAGGCGTTCCGGGACTTTGACAGAGCGTCAGCCATCGACCCCGAAAACGCTGATGTGTGAGTGCTGATGAAGTTCAAGGTTCAACCTTATCGGCTGCAACTACTGATGTACGCGTTCTCCCAGTTACTACCACCGCGGCCAAGTTTACTTCATCACCGGTGAATTCGACAAGGCCATCACCGAATACCGTCGTTCAAGCGAGATCGACCCGAGCTTCATTTTCTCCCACATCCAACTCGCAGTCGCAAACTACAAGAACGAGGCCGTCGAGAAGGCGATGCACCAGTTCCGCAAGTTTCTCAAGGACTACCCCAGGAGCCCCGAGGTGTTCAACTACTATGGCGAGCTGCTGCTCGACCAGCAAAAGTATGAGGAGGCGGTGCAGAACTTTGAAAAGTCGATCCAACTGGATAAGAACTCGTGAGTTTGCTCAGCCATATATTGGCGAATAGATTGAGCAGTGGGTGTGACACATAATTGTCCTTCCCCCCACAGCGTCCCTCGCAACGCTCTGTACGTGACCAACCTCTCTCATGGACCTTGCAGCTTTATCCGTTGACTAACGAGCACGCTCGTCATTTCGAACTCAATAGACCTCTTGTCAATAAGGCCTTGGCTGTCTTCCAGTGGAAGCAAGACTTTGCACAAGCGGAGAAAATCTGCCGCGAGGCACTCGAGATCGGTAAGTCCCCTCTTGCCTTTCACCTTGCTCGCCACAACCGTCTGACCCAGAATGTATATCCCATTGCCGTAGATGAGCAATGCGATGTCGCCGTGGCTACTTTAGCGCAGCTCTTGCTGCAGCAGAACAAGGTTCACGACGCTGTTAAGATGTTCGAGCTGAGCGCGCAAGTGAGCCGCACCGAACCCGAGCTGATCAACGCCCTCACCTATGAATGCGTAAGTGCAGCATTATGAACTGTTACGGTTCACGACCGACTCACGTATACACGAATTTTCTTGTTCCACTCTTAGGCTACTCGAGCCCAAATCGCTTTCATCGACGCGTATCCATCCTACGCAGAAAAGGTATGCGCGGGCTTGGCCCCATTCCATTGCCGGTGTCACATAAACGAGTTGCTGACGTACCGCGAATATCTCTCGTTTCTCACAGCTCGGCTTGAACCGGAGTGCTCCTACCGCTTGATTTGGACCTACCTACCCTGCTCCATAGTCCCTCCTCAAGCTCTCTCGCCGACACTACTGGTCCTCACGATAATTTGCCTGGAGGAGCCCATTCCCTCTTCGCCCGTCTTCCCTAGCTCTTCCTCTCTCACATGTGATATATTTCTCGCGACGCACCCTTGATAAACGGAAGAGGGCGGGGAGGATTCCTCTGTGATGTAGTTCTATGGTGAAAATTTTACCTAGCATGTCCCTTGGCAAAACCTGTCATCACCACCACTTATTACCACACCAAAACTAGAAATCACGATGGCCTCTCGGCTTCCCGCTGGGCTCCCGAACCTTACCGCTTGCGACATCCCGAATGAACGCGAGCACATCTGAGCACATCGTCGAAAGCGCGACGGGAGCCGCAGAGATCGGCACTTGGGAATAATGATTGGAACAGGGGCACCATATCTTGGGGATTTCACAAGGTGATGCAAGTCTGCGGTAGGAGCAAGCGGTTTTGCGATTTATTACCTACACCCCGGCCTCGGAATCGACCGTTGAAAATTCGATGACAAGTTGTCGGTACACGGTACGTAAGGTGTTCTCCCATCTTCCCGATATGAATTACAGGCTCATGCCTAATGCTTCTCGGAACGACGTTTTGCGTTTAATTACAGGAGCCCCTTCACTTGAAAGGGCTAGGCTGAAAAAAAGCCAACGGGCCGCGGGTCGGTAAAGGCAAAGCGTAAAAGGTCGAGGCAGATCATCAAGCGCGGGCGGCGGTACGGCCATGCGGCGAGATTATTTGGCAAAAAGTGTCCCGAGACCGGGTCCGCGTCGCCCGCGTCGCCCGTCCGAGTCGAACCCTCGTTTTGCCAGACTCCTTCAAATCTTCGAGGTTCTAACCCCACGGGGAAACCGACGCGGCGAGCTGCGGGGAAGGCATTATCAGTCACCTGCTTCGGTCTTATCGGAGGACCCGGGAGGTGGGCACCACCTCAGCACTGGCACAGTCGCGAGCTGAGCTCTTCGAAGTGCTCTGTGCTCAGTATTCACTCGTTGTTCGAGCGGCTTACGGTGCCTTACTTAGTAGAGCTTTATAAGAGGTGCGAGAGGCAAGGTTTTTGGTTGATCCTTTCGTCAAGGTGAGCTACATTTTCTTGGTTCTTTGGATGGCCACGCCCAGGCCACGAGCAATTAAGCGGAAGCCTCCCCATAGCCGTGCCGAACATTTGCGCAAAAACAGAGGGATTCATAGAATAGAACAGCCGCCGAGCATACTTTGTCTTTGCGGTCTTTGCGGGCAACGTGTAGTGGCGAAAGAAGCCTCTCGTTTTGCGTAGTTCGTTCAATCTCGCGAAGAAAGATCCGCACACGACAACTTCTATGGACCGCACACGTGGTCGGACCATTAGAATTGGCCCCCTGCCCCCATACCCTTCTTTCTTTACAATTGAGTTTCTTCGCTGAATTGTAATTGTGTAGGATTTCAGCAACTTTACAGACCTGCCTGTAAATATCTAAATATAATGTAGCCACCTACATGGGCACGGAACGGATAAATTAAGTTGGTGTGTGGGGCCGTCCCGTTACCCATGTCTAACGCGACACGAATCTGCTGCGAGCGCGACGAGATCATCACGCCGATGATCGCGGGCGTCGGTCGGGCTCCGCAGCGGTCGGCCGACGGCCACCCAGCGCTGCCACCGGACCAGGCTTGCAGCGGCAGCCCATGTTATCTGTTGGAGTAAGACATGTTTCACAGACTTGACAAGTCTTCACGCTCTCCAGCCAATTGTTCGTCAATTTTCGCCAAGTAGGCTGTGGCGTGACGAGCATTTAACATTGTATCGGTATTGCCCTGGACAATTACTTTCCCAAGCGAATGTTCTACGCAAGACAAGGAGAATATCCGGAGGGGGGAGGAAAGGATCTACGTAGATTACAGGATGGCCGTGCATTCGGTGCAAAGTCGACCTTCGGCCAGGGGCGAAAGCTAATGCTCAGCGTAGAGTGTCTGGAGGCGCGGTCGGCCGTAGCACGTGGCGTTAGGTATTTGAACAATTTTCTGAAAGCTGACCGGCATCCGCACGACGGCTGGAAGGAAGGCCGAGGTAATGTTGTGCCTGAGGCGGTAAATACCTAGGATCCGGCTCTACCACAGATGTGTAGCGTCTCCAAGTAAGCCGTAACCACCAGGGACCGGTGCCACAGGCAGAGACGTCCGTGGGTGGATCGAGGCACTGAACCGACGGTCACACCGACCGGACGGGCTAAATTTCGGCTCTCGTGAGCCAGCACACTACAACTACACTACGCGTGCGTGTTCGCGCTGGCCTTAAAAGGTGCTCAGCTGCTCGAACGAAGGGCCGACCTGTCCGAAAACCCGGAAGCCGTCCGGGTCCAAAAGTGCCCGATACTCACCGCCGACACGGTCCAGAGTTTCGTCTCTAGTCGCGAAGGGCGACCTCCAGGGCGGCAGAGGTCCCCGACGATCAGCGTGAGACTTGAGGATCACGTTGAATAACCATTGGCGACGACGGCCCTCCGTTCCTCCACTCGTTCGTCGCCGCTGTCGCAGTTTGTCGCAGTCGCCCTTGTCCTGCCAACTCTTCCATCTCTTGCATCTCACTCTGCTGCAATTGTTTCCTCCGTCGCCCATCCTTCTCTTCCCTCCCCTTTAGCTTGCATCGCACCGCGGCATCGCTCAGCGAGCTCAAAGCTTCTCTCGTCCGACCTCAACCCCGTCGAGCTTCTTCCCACATCGACTGCCCAAGCTACAGACACCATCTCCCGAATTCGACACATACGCTCGTTGCTCGAATTATTAGTTGGCTCTCGGCGCTCGTCCAGTCTGTGAGTCGCTACATTTCGCCCTGGATCGTCGGTGCCTTTCCCGGTTCGACTGCACGCGACCGTGCAGGTGGCTCCCGGCTCCGGAGTCCGGCTCCTCATGGGCTCTAATTGTGACTATGTGAACCGAATACTGACCTACAGTCTTCTCATATTTTCGTCGTCACCAGAAAGAACAAAAAGAAACCTTTGACGTCCGCCCTTCTAGTAAATATGTCGGCACTCGCTCCAATGGCTCGTGCTGCCTCCATCCCCATCCCACGCGTCGCAGGAGGCGTCGTCCTCAAGCCCATCTTCGTTCACCCTTCGCACTTTGAAGGATCGGCCCCAACCTCCCCCTACCTTGGCCCTTCTGCTTCTTCACCATTTTGCTCTTCCTACTCCATGGCCACGTCATCATCGTCCGAGACCCCCGACACCGAAACGCTCGCACGCGTAGACAATCTTTCCCTGGACTTCTCGCCACCCTCGCCTTCCTCGTCGCTGACCTCACTCGACTCGCTCGACTCGTGCAACCCTTCGACCGACTTCTTTGCCGCCGCGTTTGGAAGAGCCACTCGTAAATCCGATGCCGAGTCGTACTTCACCTTGGACACCTCCCCCTCGTCTTCCAACTCTTCCACGCCGACGTGCGAGTCCCCGACGGCGTCGTTCAAGCCGGCATCGGAGGCAAGCGAGGCAAGCGAGGCATCGACGTCGCTCCCGACCGTCTTTCCCGCATCCTTCCCCTTCGCTACCTTTGCTGCACCCGTATCTCCTCCCGCTTCACCCCCCGTTTCGGCGGTCCTGCGTCGAGCCTCGGCCGCGGGGGGATCCATGATGGCGCGCTCCGTTTCGTCGCCCGTCGAGACCCAACGCGAACTCGATCAGCGCCGCCGACGACAAGCAGACGCGAGCGAGCTCATGCACGAATCGGCTACCAAAATGGCAAGGACGCGCTCAATGGCGGCGTTCGGTAGTTCTTCGATGATGTCGCGCGCGCCGTCTGGCTTTGGCCTCATGCCCGCACGACCCGTCACCCCTGTCACGCAGCCGAGCTGCCCCTCGCCGCTGGTGACACCTTTCGAGGAAGGGTGGGGCGCGACCCTGCCTCCCCGTGAGAAAGCAGAACCTGCCGCGCTCCCTCCTTTCCCCTTCAACCACGTCGGCGTCAATTACTCTCCAGGGCGATTGAACCGCTCGCACTCCGCAACCTACGTGCCTCAATATCGCGCGCCTCGGTCCCCGGAGATTTCATCACACCTTTCCGACGCTGCGATTACATCTTTGTCGGTGTCCTCCTTTTCCTCGCAACTACCCGACGCACCTTTGATGGTCACGATCCCGAACTCACCTTCGATGACCCGTCCGCGACGGTCGACGCTGGGCCTCGCCGCCCTGACGCCGATCATCCCAACGCAAGGCTTCGAGGTAGCTATCGACGCCCTCCCGCCTATGGCACCTGGGCGACTCACGCGTGGCGCCTCGTTTTCCTAACATTTCGCATGCAATGCTCTCATTCGATACGCTTTCGACTCCATCCTAGCTGCATTTCCTTTTCTTTACCGTCCTTCCGGCTGCATTCGCAACGTCCGACTCTGCAACCTTCCCTTCTCCGATGCTTCGATGCCGAACTATGTAACGACTTGGTCGCCGTCCTACAGTCGTTTTCATCAGTGTGTACATCCTCTTAGTATCCATGACCCCACCCCTGATGCCTGTGCCTCGGGGAGCAGTAGATCTTCCGCATTTATGTACGCAGTCGTCCGGGGTCCATTCTTGTATTTGTTGGATTATACTGCAGTGATGCAACAGAAATTTGAATATCAACATCACTTGGTTTGCCACGCCTCGTTCCCTCCTGGCGACTTGACACGTCAAATAATTGAAACTTCCTCCACGGTCGATCTAAGGCGCGCCGGGGCCGCGTTGTGATGCCGATCGGCGCGATTCTCCGTCCCGATGCCGATCCCATCTGTGCCCGTATGGTGCTGCCTGCAATATTATTATCAGTGCCTGCTCGGAACACATGTAGAAGGAAATTCATCGTTTCACGATGACTTGTTCCCACTTCGGTAAATCACCACTCGCAAGTAGGCAGGACCTTACTGCGAGCGACCATTACATCATTGAGTCCTCGCCGCTCGCGCACTCTGCGTCTGTGCTGGCGTACGTATTCGTTCATTCCAACCTCACGGTTTCAAATACCTACCACATCTGTACATCAATTATGCATGTCCCCATCCGTCCCAACCGAACCCATAAGTCCGGAGTGTAAATATCCTGCAGAACGCTGTTCACTTCCGCGAGCAGAGGGGCCGGAGACCATGTCCCGATGCGCTTGACGACAGCACCGAGAAAGGCGATACGACGATCCACTGCGCAAACAGGCGCTAGATTCGGGGTCGGTGCCGAGCTCGAGCAGCATCTCCTCACCCACCTCAAAAGTCCTGCTCCCCAAGCGACGAGGGCTAGCACAACGGATGCCTAGGCCGAAAATTGCCGCGGAATCTGATGTCGAGGTTGAGCTCAGGATGAATGTAGAATGGCGTGCACGTGAACGTGGTCGATGCCGAGGAAGAACCACGCAGGGGCGCAATGATCTTGCCCTTTTCAGCAGAGGAAGCAACGTCCGCGATACGCTTGAATCCGAGGGTAATTCGGGGATTCGGGGAAAACCGACATAGTACAGCCAAAGAAGCACCAGTCAATAGCTGCGGGATAAAGCGATATGAACATGTCAGAATTTTCTGATGTTCGTACTGAGCAATGCAGCCGTAGCCAAAGCGCGCCGCTTACAATAGAAAAGCTGACCGCGGCAAGTCTCCCAGTTTCGAGCATGCAAGACCTCCCTTTCTCCTTCCCATGCTGTGATTTCCCGAGACACCGAAATTCGGAACCTCTTGCAAAATACATCCGGTCGATCCGATACCATCGGGCTGATTCGAAGATCGCAGCAGCAGCAGAGTAATTCGAGCAGAGCCAATCATGATGGGCAAAAAGTCGTCGGTGCCGACGTCCAAAAGGCGCCCTAAATTGCTCGTGGGCCCAAAAGGCTCGGTCGGATTGGGTTCACGCGGTGCTCTCGAATCGAGGCGGAAGCTCAATCGAACGGCTCATCGAAGTGTGCCCTCAGCCGCGGCGAAGAAGCAACCAATGCAGAATGAAACGGAAGCTTTGCGATGCCTCCCGTATCCGATCGAGGCTAAAGCGCCCACTGCCCAATCTGTCCCCCTCCCCTCCCCTTCGGCCCCATAATCCTCAAGCCGGCACAAGATGTCCATCATCTTGCAATGACTGCAATTGGCGTCGAGTGTTCAGGAACGAGTGGATGTGAGATGTTGAGACGACTGCATATCGAGTCGCGATGGGTGTCGAGAATGATTGCTCTTCGAGATGAGTTGACGCCACCGCGAAAATTAACGCTGGGTGAGTCAGGCGAAACGATTTCCGATGTGAGCAGAGTGTATGCGCATGAAGGGAGGGTGAAGACCGACGGAGATGGAGTCAGTCGGGGTATCGAGTCGAGTAGGAATACATGGTGTCACACCGTGGGGGCGAGGGAAGATGATGATGGGTGGAAGTGAACCGGCAGAGTATGGTCAGAAGGAGAAGAGGATCAGAAGAAAGAGGGCCCGGGCGGCAGACAGCAGTCGCTTGAGGACATTTTAGCGAGCGACCGAACGGGGGTCAAAGCGGCAGCAGATCGGCTGAGGACCTGACCCCCGAGATCGTTAAAGGGAATTCTCATCGGCAGTCTAGTGCGGTTAATCATCCGACTCTGTTCTACCCAAAAATGAGAAAACAACGAACAGACACTGCACCAGTCGGTTCCGCTGTGGAACGCGGCCTGAACGTACACGTGAAAAGAAGAAGAAGAAAAATAACACAGCGAACCCCCACAAAGCCTCTTCCCATACCCATAATTCATTCCCATTCTGTTGAAAGTTGCACGAGCTGCTGGCAGCGGGCGACGACGTTAGCCGCGACTCAGCAGGAGGGGGAGGAGATCTAGTACTAGGTAGTCAAATTTGGTGTACATAAGACTTACTTTTTTGGGACAAAGTTGTTGATCATCGAAGTGCCCGTCGTGACGACTTGCACTGCCGATTGGCGGACAAGGAAAACCCCTGTAACGCCAGATCCCCGAGGTGGAGGTGGAGGTGGATGACGTAAGCAAGAGGAGGACGGGGGTTGATGGCGAGGTTGACGATGGACACCAAGGTCAAACTAGAGCAGCATGGAATGAGGGTACGTCGAAGGTGGAGGTGCAAGGGTGAGGAATAGACATAGAGGTGAAGGCACTGAGGGAGAAGGTGGAGGTGATTCGAGGTGGAAGCGAAAGTGATGGCGAAGGTGATGGCGATGATGGTGAAGGGATGAAGAGTGAAGGTGAAGACGAAAATTGGACGTGAAGGCGATGGAGGTGGGGATGAGTTGTGAGGATGGATGAAAATGAAAGGGCTTGCAAAGGTGAAGGTGAGAGCAAGATGAGCCCAAGTCCGTCGTAACCCCTTGGTCACACGATGTCCTCTGACCCGCTTTGACCTGATTTATAACAGTAACAGCAACAATGAACAAGAAGTGTTCTTGATGGTTAATAATACCAATTGTATCTCCATGCGCCTTCTCGTACTACTTTGAGCACAAACGTGTCGTGACTTTCCATGGTTCGGAGTCATTTCGAGGGGTCAGATCGAGTTGGTGAGCCAGGAGCGTGCCTCGTCACCCGAAACTTGTTCACGTCCGGCGGTACCCGGGGTGTACCGTTTCGCTGGTGAGCACCGTCGATGGTCGTGAGTCCGAATCCACCCTATGGTGGTAAAGACGCAGTCCTCTTCTATGTTTGTTTTTCCAAAAAAAAAGACGCTTTAGTCCCAGCTTTTGGGTTTTTTTAAAATCGCCTCGAGATCCGGCCCTAACATATGTCAGGCCCGCCGACCGTCATGTCTTGTCGTCGGAACAGAGACCGCCATGATTACAATTGCAGACTCGGCAACCATCTTCGTCTTTATCTGAACAGTCGCAGCCTAGAAATTTTCGGTTTGAGAAAATTCGAGTATGCACAACATCTACATCAAGACCTCCATCCTCACCGTCTTTCCGCACTAGACTTTTTCCCCCTTCGCCGAGAAGACTTGGTCTGTTTGCCAGCGCAGCAGCCGTACACGTAGGGCTTTTTCAGAGTCGGGACTTTCTTGGCAAATACATCAATCTTCGAATTGAAGCTGCCGGTATTTTCTGATTACTGGGCTTTACCACGTCGCAGAGTGCCTTGGCAAGTCCAGGACTTGTTCCTTTCACTCGCGTTGCCGATTGAGTGCATGTGTCGTCGCTTTCAATAAGCCACTTTCACGCCGACGCTTGACTAGCTTCACTCTTGACATTTGGAGCCCCCACCCCCACTCGAGGGCAGTGACTCGATTGAAGGGCACGTGAGCTGAGGCTCAGGCTCCCCGGTCCACCAAACACCTTCGGAGCCGGCTAAACCGGATTCGGGTCCTGTCCATACCCTACATGTAGCCGAACTCGGCCATACATAGCAGGCCTCGACTCGAGGCGACGCCGGCTGGCGCCGGGCGCTGCCCGAGGTCCAAGCGCGGGCGAGACACTGTTTGGCGCCTACTAGGTCTGTTTCATTTCATTCTCCGTCCAGACTATCCGACTAAGCTGTTCCGGACAACGCTCACAGCCAGCACCACTTGGGAACCGAGTCAGTGAATTGCTGCCTCGTCGCCGTCTGCCATGGCCATGTATCCCTTGTACTGACCCTCATTGCCCCATCCCCTCCGCTGGCCCGACATTACACAGCACCGCCGAGTCGCGTGGCCTCCAACGCGTTAGCGCGTGCGGCCTGCCGCTAAACTCGACTTCATCATTCCACCGTGGACTTGTGACACGTCCAAGCTTGAGGCCGCAGCACACATACGCACCATCCACAGGCGCCTAGGTGGATATCCGTCGCAAATAAGTAGCCTCGAGCGCCATGATCGCCTCGCGGACAATGCTGCTCGTCCCGGTCTTGTTACTGGCGGTGTTCAGTCGGACCAGTCACGCACAAGGCATGGAATTGCCGACGGGAACATTTGCACAGAACGTTACGTCAGACTCGACGCAACTGACGTGTACGTGTCACTTGTCCGCCGTGGACGCACACGCTGCGCCGTCGTGACACCTGGGCGCTGACTGGGCTGCCTCAACACCTCCAGACACGTCCCTATGGCGATCTGATACAGAGGACGGGTTCTATCAAGGTCGGTCGGCGTCTTTGAGCATGCTCGAGCTATCATCATGGTCCAGGCGCTGACTTGTTGTACACAATTGTCCTGATCGCAGCCTACTCCAACCTGTCCGATGCTTCCGTCACCTTCACCTTCACCGGCGTGGGGGCAACTTTTTGGTCGGTCCGCAAAGCCGACCGGGGGCTTTGTCAGTTGATTGTCGACGGTTCGGTAGCCTACACGTACGTCCGAGCCGACCCCTCCGACATATTCGAAGCGGATGGCCTGCGTGTGGGCCAGAGCTGACCCTGAAGGTTTTGGGGTATGGCGTATAGAATTGACCTCTACGATGACTCTGGCGTCTCCAAGGGCCAACAACAGATCTGGTCCAGTGGAGTACTGACATACCAACAGCATACCATCACGTTGGCGCAGGTTGGCCCCGATGCTCGGTTCGGCTACTATCCCTATCTCATCACCGAAATTTGGACCGAGTTCGTGCCCATCAACATCGCATCGTACACCGCGACAGAGTCCGTTCCCACCGCCCATCCCACCGGGGGCTCGCATGGACAGGAAGTTTCTGATGCATCGCGGGTCGCCCCCATCATCGGAGGCGTCGTGGGCGGAGTGGTCGCCCTCATCCTGATCTCGTTCTTGCTCTACCTCTGGCGGCGAGACAAGAAGACGCGCGAACGAGGACGGACCGAAGGTGCGCCTGTTTACAAGGTCCGCAAGGCCGGGGAAACGATGGCGATCGAGGACGAGACATCACCCTATGCGCATTCACCGTACAGCCCGGGACCTTATGGCCCGCACGGTCCCGGCGGTGGTTATATCGCCAGTGCGACGGGCACCCAATACGGCGGTTCGAACACCCACGTGCACCCTCACAACCTGGCGCTGATGACCCACCACGGTGCCACCCCGTCGCCGGTACATTGGGCCGGAAATCAACACCTGATAGCGCCGGCGCATCTTCCTGACCTCACCGACTCGTCCGGTTCCTACTCCTCGGCCTACCCAGTAACCGACGCCACAAGGTACCCCTACGGGCAACGCTCGATCTCGACACCGTCCAACGCGTCCGTATATGGCGCTCACCACTATCCTCACTATGCCGCGAGCTCCCGCGAGCCCATGACGCGGTCCCCACGCGATTATCCTTACGTCACGCAGAGTGTCGCCGACGACACACGGAGATTACCCGTCCCCGAGATTTAAGTGGCGTGACGTGCCGTGACTGCGGGGCGGAAGGGGGTATCCTGAAACACTCAGTCCTTTCATCACATTCGTTGTATCATCCGTGATTCGATTATATTATTGTGGTATGTATCTTATTATTGGAGAGGACTTCTTGCAAGCATGAATGCTATCGCGCACACGACACGAAAGTGAAGGCGCCGCGAGGAGGGATGAACAGAGCGGCATGCAGAACGACGTTGCGACTTTTGGAAGAACAATATTATGAAAGACTAATTGGGCACGAGGGAGAGTGCTCGCAATTGAACCGGTAACGTGACTCGAACCCCATGATGGAAACGATATGAGGGGTGTGATATATCCATGGTATATGTATGCGGACGCGAGGCGAGGTTCAGTCACGACTCATGTGGTAGGGGCACGACTTGCCCCTCTCCAACCACGACTTGATGCAAGTCCCATGGAAATAGCAAAGGCAGTTCAGCCGAGCCAGTTTGTCGCCGACGCTGAACTCGTCGTAGCAGATGCCGCATTCCGAGTTCTCCAGTGGCCCCGGTTGGAGGCGGAAGACGAGGTAGCGACCATTCTGGACGATCGATCCGCCGCCGGACTCCAAACAGATTTTGACGTGGAGCTCTTGCTCCTCTCCATCACCGAGCGAAGCAAGCACAAGTCCGCAAACTGGGCAGTCGGCAAGGTCGGAAGCGTCCGACGCCCCTGCGTCCGAGGTGCTCGCCGAGGCTACACCATTGTTCGTGTGTGTCGACGGCAAAGTGGAAGGACTTGGTCGTGAGAAGAAGGTCGACGTCGAGTGGACAGGCGGGAGGGTGAAGGAGATGGCAGCATGGCAGTCCCCACAAGTTCGGTGGATGGACGAAAAGTTGTCTTCGCGGAACCGTGCAGACGGTTCTTCAACCACTTCGGACGAATCGAGATGGTCAAGGTTGCTCGAACACGAATGGCAAAAGATCAGACCGCATCTGTTTCAGAGATAAATGAGCATTGAAAGTGAGTGCGCGTCTTTTGACAAAACGCAGAGCTGAACTGACCGGCGACAATGATGCTTGCGAACAAAGAACGAGAACTTTTTCAAGCAGTTGCGACACTCGCTGACGGCTTCGTCAGATTCCCAGACCGCCGTACGTGAGTCGCTTCCCGGGATGGGTGGAAGGGCCCTTGAAGACGACGTATGGGTCCGATTGATAGGAGGTCGGGTCTCGTGCAAAGGGACGCGGAAGTCGGGAGCGCCTGACAATTGTGGTGTAAGATCAGGGAACTGCGACGTGCTTGCCGAGAACCCGAAATATTCTGGAGCACTGGTCACTGGGGCCGATTGGGCAGACTGCGTCGATATGAGACTAGGTGGGGTCGCAGCGCTATGACTCGTGTACACGGACCGGCGATCCTCGTCGGGATCCGCGTCCTGTCCGTCGTACACGAACTCGTCGTCAGACTCTGCAAAAGGTAAAGATTCGCGACGAATATCAGTCGGTATGCCCTCCGGATCTTGATCTGACTTGCAGGAATCCCACACCTTCCTCTGCCTCAGAATGAGGCAAACTTGACTTGACCAAAGTCAACTGGCGCAGAACAATCTCGAGCTCAGCTTCTGCCTGCCTTCTTCTCTCGCAATTTTCATCGGCGCTCATGCCTTGCCTCAGCTCATCCGCCGCTCGATCGAGACTCGCGACAGCTTTGCGAAGTGCAGCGACGTCTTGTGTACCATCAAAAACGGCGAAATGGTTCTTGGCGAGGAAGTGGGCGCGAACAAGATAGTCAACCTGGCTGACCTTGACCGATGATGAAATCTCATTCCCGATTGCATCGACGCGATCTGCAGACTCGGCCAAATCCGTGGGCCCCGAGGTCGTCAGGTCGGCGTATCCGAAGTTCGGAAGGTCCGACCGTCTCCTGGCTACTCTGATCCATCTCCGCCTTCTGACCCATTTCTGCCCGCCCCAGCTTGAAGCCGATCCACTCAGGACACGGGCCAGCTCCGCCGAAGGCTCCGACGACCATTCGTCTGGTGCAGCTTGAAACGAAGTTGCGTAGGACCAACCATCTTCAGGTGACGATAGATGGTCGGTCAAGTCGACGGTCCAGTCTGAAAGCCAATACCAAGCCGGCTCCCCAGCATCCATAGATGACGAGGGATGGGCTGAGGGGCTGACCGGCTCGCCTCCGGCCGACAGAACTGCAGAGAGCGATCTGAAAGCCGCGGAATCGTCAACAGCTTTGCCGCTGCTGCTGTTGCTGTTTGTCCGCGACACACCTCCTCCACCGACACGACCTCCCGACCGTATCTCACGGCGAGCAGGCAGCACGAGGTCGCATTCTTTGCCTACGATGGGCAGTCCGACCTCGCTCTTGGAGACCGGAAGATCCTCGATCTGGCTGGTCGGCTGCTTGGGGATCGTAAATGCCGCTCGCTTGTCATTGCGACTAAGAGCCCTTGATGTCCATGGGTTTGCATTGAATGCGGCGCCGAGGCTTGAGATCTTCCTGAGCGTCGGCTTGGCCAGTCGTTGGTTCTCCTCCAATACGACGGCCACGGTCGAGTGGAGAGCGAGAGCGTTGTAGTCCGTCAAGCTCTGAAATGAAAACTCAGTCCATCGCGTCGCTTCGTACGAGGCTAGAACCGAGCAGATGCGCGCTTCAAAGACGGCAGCAGCAACTGTCATGGACGGGAAGAAGCGCCCTGGCTTGTTAGTGGGAGATTCGAGATTCGTCTTCGGTTGAACCCGGTCCCAGTCTGACTCACGATCGTACGCTGCCTCGCCCCAAGCGTTGCGTACCATAGGATTTGCACCACGCTTGAGGAGGAAATGGATGATCGGCAGGTGACCCTTGGACGCTGCGTTCATCAATGCCGTGAACCCGTGCCTGGATTTTAGGTCGATGCTCGCACCCGAGTCGATGAGGAGCGTGGCGATGTCGAGCCAGCCGAGCGAAGATGCATTATGCAGGGGCTATGAACGCATGAGAATATGATGCAGATATCAATCACCTGTGACATCAGCGTACTGAGAGAACCGATACTCACTGTCCACCCATCGTTGTCCTGCGAGTCGACGTTGACACCCGCCTCATTGACGAGAAACCGACACACGTCGATATGGCCCTTGAACGCAGCTTTGTGCAAAGCCGTCTCTCCATCGACGTCTTCCAAATCAGCCAAAGCGCCAGCTTGACTGACGAGCCATCTCACGAGGTCTGCGTGTCCCCTGGCCGAGGCGAGCTGGAGTGGGGTTTGACCTGACGCGCTAGGTTGATTCGCCAGCGCGAAACCGGTCGGGAAGTGGTCCTCGTCGTCACCGGTCGAATCGCTAAGTAGTGACTTGAGTCGGTTCAGTTCACCGGCCGTGCACGCCGCGGCGATCATGGATTGCAGGATGTCCCTGTCGGTTCGCGACGAGTTGGAAAAGGGGGTCGGGCCCAACGTGGCGGTGTCGAGGACCTCCAACCGTGACGGTCGAGCGGTCGACGGAGTGGTCGACATGCCTATAGGATTGTCATTGTGAAGAAGGGAATGTATGCCAGTTGGGGTGACGGAGATGCCATAGCTGGTGGACAGGGTCGGCGTGCCAGAGGGGTCGCGGACGGCCGAATTGGACGAGGTACGCTTGCGCGTGATGGTCGACGACGGCGATCGATGTATGGTGATGGGTCGCGTCGGCCCCGTATCCGTTGACAAGAACGGTGGGACGAACGACGACGAGGTGGGATCCAGTGCTGCGCTGGGTTTGGCCAATACGGGGGCGACGAAAGCGGGGGCTGTTGCGGACAGCGACGACTTTCTCCGTTCTTGCTGCTGAGTGTGGGGTGGTAAAGGGGGCGATGGCGACGGGTTGCCGTCTTCGCGCTGTTCGTGTGGGCTTGCTACGTCTACATCAAGGTAACCGTTCGGTTCGCGGTCCCACTCGCCGCCGGAAAAGAGACGGGCCTCCTGCTCGAGATGCTGTCGCGCCCATGCCGACGTCGCCGAGAACGACGATGACGACGATGGCGAGACCGTTCGCTTGCTCCTAAGGGAAGGTGGAGCCAACCACTCGGAAGATGTTGGTAAAGGTGACAAAGGCGAGGAGGTTTGGAACTGTGGGTTGGTACTACCTGGACGAAGCAAGGCTGACGAGGGCGGTGACGATGACGATGACGATGACGATGATAGGGGGTCCGAGAGCGGATCACTGAGCACGGATACGACGCGACAGAGCGAGCGGGGAGAGTACACCGCATGAGCATCGACCACCTGATCACAGTAATCAGTCGGGTTGACTTACCCCGCCATGCGTGTTTTGGCCCAGCTTTGGCTCTGTATGGCGATCGACGGCAACGAGTTGGAGGACGCGAGAGAGCGAGAGAGGGTGAGACTCGAATGGGCGAGTCACGCTATACATAGTTACTCATGGCGCTGATACTGCCCTGATCGCAGCCCTATTAACGCAGCATATCGCAGCCAGCAGCAGGCCGCGCGACTTGAGTACTTGACGACGACGTACTTCACCTTGGCTATCCCGAGTCGGCCGAACACTGCCGAACAGCTCTCCCCACCTCGCTGCACTTCCCTCGAGTGCATCCAGCTCCACGGCAATCCTCACTCCACGACACATCAAACCTTCAAATGCCCCCTTCTAACGCCGGCAAAGCCGAGGAGGCTCTGAGCACGCGTCTGCTGCACGCCGATCACCACCTCGTCGCTCGGCCCGAGGTTGCGCCGGCCATCAGGTGAGCATGCAGCGAATACGGGCATAGACTAGCAGCGGAGCACGGTGCGACATGGCTGGGGCGCAGGAGGCCCCTTCATGTTGTTGCCGAGCGACGCGAAGGACACGTGAGCTGATGACAGTGTATTTCCCATCCTTTGCACCCCCAACAGCGTCAGCACCACGTTTCGGGCCCCCTCTCCTGCGCAGATCCTTGCCGCCGCTCCGGGCCATTACACTACCGAGTGGGATCCGTCCACTCCCTCGCGGGACATCTACTCCAGGTATGTGCCAAGTGGTCCTCTTGTGTCTCCTCGCTTGCCATGGTGCTCACATCATGGCCCTCTTGGACGCGGAACCAATCCCGACGGCAGGTACACCCAGCCGGTTTTGACTCAAGCCGAAGCCGTGCTCTCGTCGATCATCGGCCAGCCGACCATCGCCTACCGTAAGTCCATGCTACACCCTACCTGCTGCCGGTCATATGCATCATTTTCGTTGGCCCGACCGTTATGCACTCGCGACCCATGCAACCAAACCAAAAATGTCTCCCCCCTCATCGCCGGTAAACTCTCGCCGAAGCCGGACGGAACTGACGACTTTGGATCTGATACTATTGACTAGCGAGTGGGATCGCCGCCACGTTCGCAGTCTTACTGTACATTCTTCCCGACGTCATCGCCATCACCGACGGCTACCATGGCTGCCATGCCTCGATCGAGGTCTACCGAAAGACCAGAGGCGAGGACCGAGTTGTGAGTACGCTTCCACCCAAAACACTCACCTCGATACCGACCGATCCAAGGAAGTCAGGGGCTAAACTTGTCCGTATCTTACCATTGTTGTGTTTCTAGAGCGTAATTAAGCTCGATGACGCCTATCCGAACGACAAGAAGTTGCTGGTCTGGCTCGAGACGCCCCTGAACCCGACCGGCGAATGCAGGAGCATCGAAGCTTGTCAGTCGAAGGTCATCTTCCGCGGCGGCACTACGAGGGATTCGCACTGAGCTAACCCTTCCCATATCTGGCTACTGCTTGTTGCACCCCAGACGCCCAAAAGGCCCATGCCGCGGGCGGTACCATGGTCGTCGACTCGACATTTGCCCCGCCCCCACTTCAGGATCCCTTCAAGTGGGGCGCCGACATCGTCATGCGTCAGTCCCTAGTCAAGAGGTAGATCGGACGCGGTCAAAACACGGCACTGACAAACATTTGATTCTCGTCCACAGACTCTGGTACCAAGTACTTTGGTGGTCATTCCGATTTGCTCTGCGGCACCGTTAGCGTCAAAGACAAGCAGTCGTGGCTGAACGTGAGCCGATAAGGCCCTCCCAAGGACACCGAGTGACCGAATTCACCTGATTGACCCACGCATGGTCTTGCCTTCGCAGCTGTGGCACAATCGGACGTACACGGGATCGAACGAGGGTTCACTCGAATCATGGCTCTTGCTGCGATCCTTGCGGACTCTTGCGGTCCGAGTGACTCGCCAAGCCAAGACAGCGACGGCTCTGGCACAGTGGCTCGCCTCGCTGACTCGCGCGGCGCCAAACTCCTCGCTCGACGGTCCCTCGGGCGTGGTCGCCCACGTCTTCCACGTCTCCCTCCAAATGGACTCCAAAGATTTTGTCGGTGAAGGTAGACAGATGACCATCGGTAGTGCATGCTTCGCCTTCATGACCACGAAGGAATCTTACGCCGTCCACCTCGGTCACGCGCTTCGACTGTTCGTGGTGAGTCATCGCCGATTGGGGATCGCAACCGTTGATCCCAGATGGCTGAAGTCTGGTCTTTGTCTCGGCAGCCTGCTACCTCGCTCGGGAGCGTTGAGTCATTGATTGAGCAGCGAGTCATGTCTGACCCTGGATCTGATCCGAGACTCTGTAGGTTGTCTCGGGGCCCGAGACCTGACCCATTTTAACCGAGCTGATGTGTCGCCGAGCCATTCATTTATCCAGTGCGTCTCTCTATCGGCTTGGAGGACTTTGACGATCTGAAGCGTGACTTGATTGAGGGTTTTAACAAGGTCTTGGCTGTGAGTTTGATAGGCAGCGTTCTAACGACCTTTTCGCCGTTCTGGGATGACTCAAGGCAAGATCGCCCGTCTCCCACCCGCAGATCGAGATAGGTCTCACGTCGAGCAAGCTATAATTGAGCCATTGCCTGTAGATGAGCCATTGCCGAGTGAGTATGACGCTCAGCTAGACACCACCCTAAGTCAAAGACCCGATTGCATAATGCAATCGATGCCCGATATCTCGATACTCAAGGTCCCACCGTAGGCCTAGCCCCTAGAGCCGGGTGTCTCAACGTTTAGCGTCACTGCCCCCCATGGCTCGACCCCGACTCGAGTTACCGTATCATAGGAGAATTCCAGGCTAGCGCTGTGTCGTTCGACGCACATTTCCGGACGCACTCTCCTGACGTCCCAATTCGGTGATGCGTTCTTTTCTTCGACGTCGGAGGAACACCCGTTGTCGCGGTGCCGTCGCGCGACCCTTGTCAGGTGGAGTCTCGGGAAGGCGCACCGTCGTGGACTGACCGCCGAGTTCGGTCGCTCAGACCCTCGCCGGCCGGAAATCCCGTTAGGAGCTTGGGAAGATGCAATTCCCGGCACGAAGAGGGGCTATACAAAGGGATGAAGAGACCTGGGACAGACGGGGGGCTTGGGAGTGTGGTCCGGTTCATGTTGTCCGACGGCCGACGGCCGAAAGAAAAAGATCCGCATGGGCAGCACGGTTTCGGAAATGTAAATGAGCACCGTGCACACGCATCTCCTTGAACTTGCATGGAAGCGCAACGAAGGCTCCGGTGGGACGATCCGTGTTTGGTTGGTGGGTAATCCAGGTTCGAGACAACGCATGGTAGCGTCCATTCGTGAGAGGATCGACGCCGCCGAGAGAGCGCGCTGAGTCCGCAACGCACGCTAGCACGCTCCTCGAGCGGACAGGGGCCTTTGAGCTCGGGTCCACTGTCTTTTCTCCCTCCAATCCAAAGCGTGGGGCACTGGGCACCACTGGGCACCACTGGGCACCACTGGGCACCACTGGGCAGAGACCACTGTCGCGGGCACGTGCTAAAGCGTGGGGGAATCATGCTAGGTGGAATGTGGGGGACCCAGGTGTTTGACATTTCAAATCAACCGATTTGCCTGCCTTCCCGGGGCAGCACCAGATTACTCCCTCGGGATGAGACGGAGAAATACCCCCAGGGTCCGAGCTCATGGCATGCAGTGCCAACCCACCTTGGGATGGATCAGGAAGGGAATAATTCGATATGTCATAGGATGTGTACATTACTTCTCGGCTCTGGTGCAGCGGTCATGTCAAAACAGGGTCCGGACTCGGGCTCCTTCTTCTGGTTGGGGAGTGGGGGAAGGGATCCGGGGCGCGCCTGGATTAAAAAACGAGGCGGTCTCCTGTCGTGATTGCGAATTTCCACTCAACCGATTTGCCCTCCTTTTCCCGTGTTCCCGTGAGTCGAGAGATGTTTCGTATCCGACTCGGTCGTCACTGAAGCCTTGTCAGCACCTCCTCCCTCCCCTCTCCTCCCCCCCTCTCCTCCCCCCCTTGGCTCTGCCTTCGCTACCGCTTGTTTCTGTAGATCATCGCACGTTCGTGAGGTCGTTAATACACAACATCCAGGACGTCGAGCACCTTTCTTTTTCCCATCCAACGCCTACTCACTCCATCCCCGACCCTGCCCGCTACGGACTTTGCTGCGCGTCTCGCGCTGTTGCACCGATCTAGCCACCGCAAGTTTTAACGCTCGGTCATCGGCTCCATCGTGCAGTTCGGCTTCGGCATCCACTGTAACTCGGAAACCCGCCGTTCCACAAAACTTCTGGCGCTGGTTGGACTGCCCAGGAACGTCGGCCCCGCTCATAGTCTCCGGAATCGCTGTGAGTTCACCCCCCCGTCCCCAAGGTCTCGTGATCGCAACCGAACCCAGCGGATCCGGGGAAATCTTCCATGACCGGCATGAACGCCGAACGCGGGGGGTGGGGGCTTCGTCGGAACCGACTGGATCGCTCGACGACTTGCGTTTCGCGATTGACGGTCCAAGGAACGACGAGTCGCGCGCGAATCGGCACGCACTCGAATTTTGGACCGATCCGTCGGGCGTGAGTCGGCTCTAGTCAGCAGGGACTTGCCTTGGAGTCGGGCGCGAGTCGGAGTTGGCAATTCTAACTTCGACTTGCGGTTCCACTAAGTTCATATCTCCCTCTTTTCGCGGCTGTATTGAACCGAAAACGACCCCCATATGACTGCGAGGAAAGGCCCCGTGCGAATGATTTTCGTATTCACGTTTTGCCTTCTCCTCGTCCACCCCCTCCCCCTCCCCCCTTCTCCCCTTTATCTCTACACCTCATTAGACTCCAGCAGAAAACCTCTGCCACGGTCGCTCAGCGCTCCTGAAATTGCGCTGCGGCCGCGCTCGCCCGAGGGCGTGCTTCCAGTCGAGATACTTCCGCGCGCGCGGCGGGCGATCCTTCTCGCGCAAGGCAGTTCAGGACCAAATTGGATCAGACCGACTAAAAAAGGTGAGCGTTCCCCATGTCGTAGTCGGAGACCACGGCTTGTGCTTGACCGAAAGCCTGGCATCGATGCATGCCATCAATGTGAGGAGCCGTAAGACTCTGTAGTGGCTGATACCTACGCTTCCGTCTCCGTCGAAACCACCTCTGTCGTGCCCGCTTCTGGACCGACGTCATCATTGGCTGCCGCCCCACTTGGGTCAGCGCCGCAGCAGCTTTCGACGACGACTCCGAACGTGAGCGCAGCACGTAGCAACATCGAAACTCCCGCGGCATTGCGGCTCCGCTGCTTACTCAACACTTCATACACGTGAGTGCCTATCTTCACCTCGTCTAGGTTAAGTCCTGTTTGGTGCCCATACTGAGTAGAACAATCGTGGCTGGCCCCTCGGTCGTACACTGAAGCAGGTCGCACCAGCTCGGACCTGGACCGCCGTCCCTTACCCCTCGCAGCTGAGCCTCGACTCCCAAGCCCGCGACGCGACGATCGAGCAGTTGAACTGCGATGTCTGTCGAAGCCTTGCTCGCAGCAGCCGGGGTTTCGTCGCGGGTGGATCAAGATCGGTAGGTGCTCGGACCTTTATGGGCTCACTTGCGACCAGTATGTTCGGGCGTCGTCGTGCACCGGAACACTCATGCTGTTTGCGAGACCGACACCCCCCCCCCACCCACCCGGCCCACCCCTGTGGGACTGCGCTCCGAGGAGGTGATCTGCGACCCTAGGCATCATCTGCCCCAGTGATCGCGCTGGGGGGACAGCATTCACAAGGCGCAAAGAGGAGGTTACACTTGATGTACTTGTGTGGTCTATTTCAGGTAGCTGCAACCCTTCCCTCGACCGCGAGGAGTGATGATGCGCATGCTGAACCATCCGTCCTCCTGAATTGGGCTCACCCGGAAGCCACACGCTGCCTGCTCGGGTTTCGCGCAGCAGCTGCTCTGTAACCCCTTCATTTGAGGGATCCCTGGTGTTGACCTCAGTTTTTCTCACTCCCCGCCTTGTGCAGTGAGTTATCACTCGAGGTGGTCCAGCAGCCTGTGCGCGCTCGGATGTGTGGCTTGGGCGATCGGGTACGTCGACTATTTCTGTGTTCTCCCACGGCCCTCGATCGCACAGCGAGGTAGACATGGTGAATTTCGAGGTGAATTTCGAGCATACAAACTGACTGTTTTCAATTGGCAACAGGACCGGAGACCCATCACACCTCCGCTGATAGCCAAGCTCGTCTGCAAAAGTCGAGCAACCGGACGTCCCGTGCCACTGTCGTGAGTACCAGCTTATGGTGACCTAACTGCGGGCGATCTCAAAGGCGGATCGCCCGCAGTGTTGTGGCTCGGACATCTGACAACTGAAACACTCGCTATATGAATGGTACAGTCAGATCGACACCTCCTTCCTCATCTGTGCCGTCGATCTGTGGACTTCCGATTTTGCCGACACCAACCTCACCCGCAACGTCTCACCCGCCCTCTCATGCGGGATCACTCCCTCAATGCTCCTCCAATCGTACGGGTCCCGGAATCCAACACAAACTTCACCAATGCCTGTCCACACACAGAATTCGAGATCGACGCCCACGGAACCAGAGCGAAGCGTCTTCTCACTGCGTACGCCACCACCCAGTGCGGATGGTGAACACCCCGTTAGGGAGGATTTGAAGGGAGGGATACGACGCCGATCATCTTCCGACGAACATAACGAGGTCGGCCGTAGCTCGACTCCTCCGGGAGGTTCGAGTCTCCGTTGGGCACCTCCGAAAGTACCTTCGCCGAGGGCACCACCGTCCCCGACTCTGTCCCCACGAGTCGGACACGCCCGCCTGCAGCCGGTGGATCAGTCGAGGGGCACGTCAATTACCACTTCGAACACGTCACTGTCCAGTAACTTCGCCCACACGAATTCATCCGAGACTCCAACCGATGGTCAGGAACGAGCGAATCGGCAGGGAGCCCCGCTTGCACCACTTTCCTCTTTGCAATCTGGGTTCATGCCATCTCATCAAGGGCTTCGACTACCACTACCGCTTCCGATGCCCATCTTCTCCAAGCAAGCTGCTCCCCTTGTACCGAACCTGATTGGCTCCTTGCACGCCAATGCGTTCAAATTGACCGATGATCGAGGCGAGCTGGGGATCTTTTTTGTCTTGCCCGACTTGTCGGTGCGGACCGAGGGCAGTTTTCGGCTGCGGTTGAGGCTCATGTCGATCGGGTTGTGAGTGACTCCTCCCTCTTCGTCACGTGGCGCCTATCTTCTACCCGACACAGCCTGCATCATTTTGGCTCATGGAAATCTTGGATGATGTTCTATATTTAGTGACACTCTGGACACCAGCGGGCAAAAGCTGCCCCTGCAAGCGACGACGTATACCCAAGTCTTCAATGTTGTGAGCGCCAAGAAGTTTGACGGGATGCTAGGTAAGCCCTCAATTCAAGTATTTGGACTCTTATGCACTAGTGAGCTCAATGTCGGCTGGTTCGATGCAGACCCGACGCCGCTGTCAAAGTGTTTCGCCAAGCAAGGGACGCGCATCCCGACGCGCAAGGTTGCTCGGACTCGCAAGCACGCCAAAAGACCCGCGGCCGAACTGGAGGAAGAAGACGAGCTAGCAGGAGACGACTAGTCGAGTCGATATCTTATCTATCTTTTGGATTACGAAGCCTCGCTGTGGCGTCGCAGGCTGGAGCGAGGGCAACATTGAATCTGGCGATTAGTTTAGAGCTTGTGTGTTTATCTGTTGTTGTGTACGACCTGCGCATTTTCAATTTTCCTTCATGGTCATGTATCGCCATATTATTTGTGTCGTCCCTTAGCAACGTCCACTGAAGATATCTTACAAAAAATCTTTTTAACCTTGGGCCGGAAACGTGAGCTCCTATTCCCCCATCCTATTGTGAGACCATGTGCCGACGAACGGGGTGAGATGTCGAGTGATTCACACGGCGGAGGAAGCTTGCAGTACTAAGTGGCATCTTTGATTGATTGAGATTCCAGAAGCAACTAGTTAGTCATGGTTCAACCCAGATGAAAGCTCGATCTGCGGCGTTCACAGTTGCTTGCCTTTGCAGGCTGCGGCGGGTACACCATTAGGGGACCTTGGGAGCCAGCTTGTGGCCGGCCGGCCGTCCGTCGATTTTGCCTTGGTTGTGTTCCTGCCACGACGTGTGGGGAAGCTTCGGGCCCCACACTTTTTATCCGGTTCTTCATCGGCTCTCATTCCTTTGCCCTAGGTTCTGGCATTGGGACGAACAGGTCTTCGTCGGACCTTCTCGAGTCCCTTCGTCCTCCGACGAAGTTGCTTTGTTGACGGTGACCTTTTGACACGCGCAAAACGGCGCGCCTGACCTCGCCCCACGTCCGGGGTAGTCAGCCTAATCGAGCGCTTCAGCTGGCTCGTCCGAGTTGTCTGATCCCGTCGCCAGCCCATTCGAGGTTCCAAGCCGCCAAAATCCACTCCACTCCACCCACCCCCACAACTAGAGCTTCCGACCCTTACTCGTTTCAGGAGATCGCAGGAAACGTACACAAGCTTGTGCGCGCGGACTCCCATTCGACTGACTTGCCCGGCCCCGGATTCGTAAAGACCGCGCCGACGTCACGCCCCTCTCACGCCTCCTCCGTCCTCCACCCTCTCGTACCACCACCCAGCATGCTGTTCGGCTACACCTCCCACCCGTCCTCCTCGCAGCCTTCTCCTCGCAACCGACGAGATCGCCCACTCCCTTTTGTGACGATGCCACCGGTGTCGTCGTTCCACTCGCAGTACGACCAGGCCAGTCGACCGCATAGTCCGTCCTACTATCGCTCCACCGTCGTCGAGGTGCAGTCGACCCTCTACGGGGGCAAGGACAGGTCTCGCGACGACATCACTGCCTTTGTAAGGGAGTGCTACGACGCTAATGCGGGTGAGCGCTTATGGTGATTGGTGGAGCATAGGCGAGGCCTCGAGACTGACGGCGACGACGGCGTAACCCTACCAGTTTTTGAGAACCCGCTCACGCTCGCGACCGGGCATTCGGCCATTGCCGAAATGTTCGGTACGTACTGCGTTGCATCGTGCACCTGCACTACCATAATCAACCGCTGAACCTTCCTACTCGACGCAGGTCTACTCCACGTCATTCCTGGGTCGATGGTCTCTGAAATGGGCGACATTGCAGAGTCGCATGGATATGGTAAGCGTTTGCAGCGCAAACGAGACCGAGCTCGGCAATCGCGTGGTGACGCTCTTGAGCTGACGCACGGGGGCACAACGCTTATGTTCTATCGCAGATGGGAATCGTCTCGTCGTGATGGAGCATGTTCTCCACGTGCAATTCCTGCCCTTCCTCGATCCTAATCATGCCCACCTCGTCCACTCGCCTTCCTCGGCGACTCTCCAGCGCTCCCACTCGTTCTTCTCCCTCCCGACGACGCCCCATCCCCAGTCGACGCCCGATTCGGCCGGAGGTATCTTTAGCAAGACAAGATCGGCAGGAGACGGCAACGTATCCCCGATCGGCCAAATCTTGAGTTCGCTCTCGCCACGCAACCTCGCCGTGACCTTGACGACTTTGCATCTGCGCCTGCATACGCGCTTACTTTTTAACGAGCACGGCAAAATCATCCGCCACGAGGACACGTGGGGAATTAAGGAGATGGTTGAAGGCATATTCCCCATCGTTGGTCATGTCTACGAACTGCAGAGGCGAGGGCTTGGAGCCCTTGCCGGCGTCGCCGCTCGAACGTTAGCCGGATTGTCTCGCGCCCCCCAAGCATCGACCTCATCTTCCTCTGGACGCCACGGGCGACGGAGCCTCGACGATGAGGCATCAACGGGGCGGGCGGGCATGATCACGCCCGAATCATGCCCGCTCGATGACGAGGGCGCTGGTGGTTTCTCGTCCTTTTACGCACCGGGTTCGCCCGTGCCAACGCGCAAATCGAGCATCTCCTCGGGGGCACCCACAACCAACCTTCCTGCTCTGCACCATTACTCGAAGCGGATCGCGACAGCGACGGCGCACGGTCTTGGACTACACCACCCACGCCATCATGGAGACGAAAGCGATGGCGGTGATGAGTACGAGCCGATGGGCTCAAAGTCATTGCCGTCGACGAGACGATGGGAACCGGTCAGCCCGCAGCGACCGACGACGATCGACTCGGACTGATGGATCGCCCTTTCTTTGCTTTGTACTACCCCCATTTGTGGCTCTTGTGTGACCCACTGTATGATTGGCATGATTTACATACCTTGTGTTGCACTCGATACTCATTTCGTTTCTTTGCGCCGATCGTTCCTCGACCCACCCTGAGCACGAGAGTAGATTCCCTTAGACATGAGAGAGAACAATAATAGCGGCAACATTTGCGTATCGAAACCCAGCGCATTGCAATGGAGCATGGCAGAGTTCAGACTACTAATGCAAATTGTGCGTATGCGGTTGCAAAACGAGACAGACAGTCCTCGAGGGGGGTCAACGGAGTCGAAGCAGCCCAAACAAGGGGGGGAGGGGGCGAAGCACTAGTACGACAGGCGGCAACTCTTCCTACAGACGGAGACAGGCCATCATCTGCTTCTTAGTACTCGCTTCGGAGGCCGTTCCCCCACACCGTCCCACCCGTCCATCTCCATGTCAATGTCCTCCGAGCCATCCCCTAGATGAGCATCGAGTTCACCTCCCTCTGCACTCGCCGCTGGCTTTGCTAGGACGACTGCAGCCGTGCCACTCTCCTGCTGCCGTTCCAAGTCGACGAGATCGGCAACCGAGACGGTGTGGAACCTTCGTTTCATCGCACCAACCGAAGAACCCAACGCGGCATCAACGACGGCCGACGAACTTGACGCCGAAGGGGAACCGGCCGAGGCATCGAGGTTGCGGTCACGCGACCCCGATGTCGACGATGACGATCTCCCGCTCGCGTTCTTTCTCGCCGAGTTCGGGTTCGCGCCCGAACCGATGTTGGAACGTCGCCGTGTGCCCGTGCCCGATCCCGAGCCGGAAGTGGATGTCGGTGTCATTGATCCGCTGGCCAAGGGGGAGGAGGGGTTGCTGGCGGTGGCACTCGATTGGGAGAAGAGACTCGGTCGCTGGGCAGCGAAGGGGGCGGGGTGATTGCGGAATTGTGGGGTCGTCGAGGTGGAAAGGGGTGGGGAGGAAGGGGCTGAGGTCGAGGCGATGGGGCTGGTGGCGATGGTCGATCGCGAAGGTGGGGCCGAATGGGGCCGGAGCGGTGCCGGTGTTGACGCCGATGTCGACGCGGCTGTAGAGGTTGCGGCGGACGAGCGCGACGCGAACAGGGACGACGCGGACCGTGAGCCCCCTCCAGCCGAAGGTCGTGAGTGTTGGTTCGAGGTGGACTGGTTCGTCGGGTGTTGGGGTGCGGGTGCGGACGACGCCTCCTCCTCGTCCTGATCGCCGTCCTCCTCCGCCTGCAGCGTCTCTTGCCTAGCCTGTAGACGAGCATCGATCGTGTGAGCAATCTGTGAACTATTCGACACGGTCTTAAAGTGGCGAACTGACGCAGATGTAGTCGATCAAACGTGCGACATTGAGCTGACCGGGTGGCCCGGACAGGGAAGATGACTCGCCGTGAACGAGCGGGTGGTCGAGACTGGCCTGCAGGAACTCGAGCACGTCCTGTAGTGCCTCCTTCTTTCCCGCACTGTAGGCTGTGATTCGGTGAGAGCAGACGACGGTCAGTTCCCGTATCGTCGTGGCGTCGTGATCGTCGTTGCGCGGTGGGTCGTCAAGCAAAGGCCGGAGGGGGTCCAAGCGAGTCGCACCGGCGTCGACACCACTTATACACGCAGTGCCCAAGCTCACCTCGTCGAGTCGCCTTCTTGCCAACCTTGAACAAGCCCGTCAACGCAAGAGCCGATTGACGAAACGCGGTCTGTAGCTCCTTTTCGGTCGCTTCCATTGCCGAGCCTCGAGGCAGGGTGTCGCTCAAGCCGCCGAGCGAGTCCATCGTAAGCTCCGACAGGCCGTTTCACACGTGGGTGAGTAGTAGAATTGGACCGATAGCGAGTCCCACAGCTGGTCGAGTCGAGACGCAGGTGGTGTGAGCGAGTAGGGACGGGCGAGGCGGTCCGAGTGAGCGAGACGAGTCGGCAGTCGGCAGTCGAGAGGCGAGAGTCAAGAGCACTTGCGAAGGGCAGCCGAGCGCAAAACGCCCGTCTCCGTTTCTAATCGGCTTATCGAGCAGTGCCCAATTCTTAGAACGACCATTAGTCTTCCGTCTTTACGCGGCACCTGTGCAAGCCACGTTGGTATTTCATATAGGGCCAGATGCACTCCTTCTGACAGGCAAGTACCTTGGCGACCTGCTAGTAGTACTACACGGCCCCACAAGCCCGCGTCGGTTACACGGTTTTCTTGGAGAGGAGAGCCTTCACCGATCGTCATCCGTCGCACCCAACTATACACCCGAAACTTTCTTCGTCGATAGGCTCACTGCAGGTAGAACAGAGTCAGTGATCCAATTCCTTCCTCGCACTCCATGGTCAAGGTGGCGAACACTCACCATCGTCGTCCTCGGCCTTTCGCTTCTTACCACCCCCACCGGCTCCTCTTTCACCTGGCGGCGCACACTTGGGGCAGAACCACTCGCCCTCGGGAATACCCTTGATCGGTGGGCTCAAACACGCGCCATGGAAGGCATTCTCGCACTGCGAGGAGATCAATGTCGAACTCAGCGCTTGATCTTGTCTCGCCCCATCGACAACGAGACGTACCATCTCGCACTCCAAGCTTTCCTCCGGCCCCTCGAACTTTCCACAGACCAGACAACTGTCCGTCGCATCGTACACGACAGGGAACCGGCCAATCTGATCCCACTTCTCCTGCGCTGTTCGACTTGCCCCCGTATCCTTGGTCGCTCGAGCCGAAGCGACAGGCGTCACCACCGCGACGGGAACGGGAGGACCGAATGAGAACCCAAAGCCGGACAGGTCCACGACGGGGCGGAGCGCTTTCGACGCCTGTGACGTTGAACCATTCTCGACCTCATCCGCTTTTTCGGTCGCATCCGGCGTGTCGACCTCATCCGCTTTCTGGTCCACCTCTGCACCCTTGATGGCGGGTGGACGAGCGATGAACAGGGTTGTGGCTTGACCCGCGGCAATATCGAGGATCTCGACTCCATCAAGCGGTTCAATTCGAGAAGGTTTCGTTGCCGATCGAGGAGCGTCGACACCTAGAGCCAATTCACCGTTTTGTGCGTTCTGCCCCCAACTGACCGTCACTTCGCCATCCTGGTCGTTGCTGGCATTGGCGAACAAGGTGACGCCGCCCGCGGCGATCTGATCCCACTTTATGCCTTGGAGGTCCAACACGGACTTGGGCGTCATCCAGGGCTAACGAACCCGACCCGACCCAACAAAGCTTAGAAAGGATGTTGCATCTACGATTCAAGTCAGCTTCACTCACCTGACCCGCACTTCCATCCCCTGACGTTTTCCATCGACCTGAACGAAGAAAAGGTGACGATCAGGCACTGGTCACAATCCACACCGCCCATGATCGCAACTTACCACACAGCAGTACCATCCCTTGACCATCAATGAACATCGAGTTGGTCGCACCACACGCGATCTTGACGATTCGACTTGTCTCGGTCGGATATTGAAAGGCTGGGATGGCGACCGGTGAAAGAGCATCCTCTTGCTTCCCGGTTCCAAGTCGACCGAGACCTGGTGAACCACAGCTTGTGGTCAGCATCGATACCGCGCATCATAACGTATACCGCTGAAACCTGACCCACCTCCGAAACCCCAGGCGTAGGCAACACCCTCCTCATCGAGCGCGATCGCATGCTGTTGCCCGCACGCAATCTGCACAATCTGCTTCCCTCGCAATACGCCCTGCACGAGCAGCGGCTCGGACTGTTCGGTGAAGAGCACCTTTGATGCGGCAATGTGTTCTCCCGTTCTCCCGTTGCCCAAAACACCTTTCTCGCCCGTGCCTACGGCGTAGACGCGTCCCGACTTGCACAGGAAGAGGGAGAAGGTCGTTCCGCAACTGGCGGCCACAACTTTCTCCCTTCGTAGATCGCCGAGAACGCGTGTGAACCCGGTGACATGCTCGTGTGCCTCGTTATCGTGTCCGCACTGGGAAGGTGATAGAAAGATCATGTGAGAGGATAGAGTCAGCGACGCCCTAGTTGAATGAAACGCATCAGAATTGACGGACTTGACCAAAGTGGTTCCATCCAGCCGACCATGCTTCACCATGCTCAGTGATCAGGATGGTGTGCCCACGACCCGTCGCTGCCGAGACAATGCCCTGTGATCTCAAATTCACCGGTACGTTCTGCTCTGGCAGGGACTTGAGGGGGAATGGGAACGAGGCGGGAGGGGTCGGCGACGGGGTGCCGTCGGTTGAGAGGAACGGAGTCGTCAACTCTGCAGGCAGAGGGTACGAGAGCTGGTAGTGTTCGTTGCGTCCAAAGAGGTAGGCCTAGATCCCCAAAAAATCGGGTGAGTATTGTGCATCTATTCGTTGGCGGCGCATAGAGAGGTCGTACCTCGTTTGAGCCTGCGTTCGAGCGAGAATGATGAAAATCAGCCTCTGCTTGCACGGGAACGCAGGCACTCACACAGCATGACTCACTCGAAATAGCGACAGCATGGCAGCTCGAATGGGACATGTGGACACTCTTGAATTTGACTGTTTTCGAAACGAGAAACCCCGTACGTTCGGTCAGCCAGAAGTTGCCGAAAGGAGGCACCGAGGGGCTGAATCGAGCCAAGCACCGGTTGCAGGTGGACACCCTCATCGCTGAGTGGATGTGGCAAGGATGCTTGTGTTGCCTTACCATTGGCGACCCATCGCATAATCTGGGCTGCGGGGAGATCCGGTCTATAGGGGTATACGAGTCGGAAATGAGCCAACGCGGAAGAAACTCGCGGTGCCGAGCAGGCTTTTTCCGGAAAGGGGGTCCCTACCTTTCGGGATGCGCGCTGCTTGGCTTGTTGCCGGTCCTGTCTTTACGACCCAAGATGGCGAAATCCGTCCTGTGACAAAGAAAGTAGCAGAAAAATGGCATGGTACGAAACAACATGACGATGTGCGGCGAAGATAGAGGGAAGAAACGGGGGAAAAGGGCGAATGGGGAGAGAATGTTAGGGGTGGCATTGGAGCGACAGAGTGCAGGAGTTGTGTGAAACAACGTTGACGGATCCGACGCAAAGTCAGCGTCGGCGCGCTCGGAATGCAAGGCCACACAAGAGGCTCGAATGATGAATGGGGACTGTTGAGGCACAGTCGCCGACAAGCGCGTGTTCGGCCCTAGCGCGGCAGAGAGGGGGGTAGTGAGGGGACAGATCCGACTTACCCGCCAGCGATCAAGACTGTTCGTCCGGGGTATGGCCACGTCAAGGGTCACCGCGGGAACAAGCGTGGGTCAGCATCCGGAAACGGCAAGGCGCGCGGGTGAGTGGGGGGATGATGACTCGAACTGCAGGTCGAGGGGGAGGAGGGCGGGCCCAAACAAGCAGCTAAAGGACAAAACGAGCGCGGGGCAAGGGCGGAGAGCGAGTACAGGGGGCACCACGAACGAGCACTTACGGCGGCCCCAGGCTTGCTTCATTGCGGTTTCCGGCCTTAGTAGTGCGTTGGCGCAAGGCGAAGGAGCGAGCGTGATCTGAAATCAGGACGCGGAAGCGGTGGGCGGCGCGCCGGGCCTCGCCAGCCTGCAGGCGCGGCAGGGCGCGGCGCGGCGGGGTCTGGCGGGGTGGGGTAGTGGTGGCGTGGGCGGCGCGGCTAGAGAACAATACCAGCTCGAGGCGAGGCCTCGTACTAGTACGGACCCGCGAAGAGTGCATGTTGGTCGCCAAACTGAGGGTGATACGGATAGTGTGGGGTTGAGATACATCGCGGTAATCGGCTTAGGATCCTTTCAGCTTTCAACGCCTCTTCGGAGTAGGTGGGTACAGAGGGTGGTGGTGGTAGACATGGAGCCTGCGCCCCGCGGTGGGGCCGGGTACTACAGTATTGAGCTCCTTGAAGAGGCGTTGAAAGCCGAAAGGATCCGAAAATATTCCAACCCACTTTAACGCCTCTTCAAGGAGCTCAATATTATACCCGGCCCCAACGCGGGGCGCAGGCTCCATGTCTACCACCACCACCCTCTGTACCCACCTACTCCGAAGAGGCGTTGAAAGCTGAAAGGATCCTAAGCCGATTACCGCGATGTATCTCAACCCCACACTATCCGTATCACCCTCAATTGGCGACTCACAAATCGCTCCCACGCGACCGAGTCGATGTCGAGAAGGCGCTCATGATCGAGCACTAGTAAGACACGGAGAAGCCCGATTCCGTGTGCCTCTTCTCCATATGTACCCGAGTTTAATCATCTCCTCTCTGATATCTGCGCCATCTCGCCGCGCGGCATCTGCCCACCCGTCGAAAAGCCGCAACCCCGCCGTGCAGTGTACACGTACGACATCAACTTCAGGCTGTAGCGCCGAAGCCTTCGCCCGCGCCACTCAACTTCACGCTTTTCAGTACAGGGGCTTGCCAACGACCATGAGGCTTCCTCGTTCTCCTATCGACAGGGTAGTCGAGATTACGCTCCATTGCCACTCAGACAAAGAAGATCGGGACTACTGGCTGACCGGCCTTCGCGTTGCTCTTCTCAAAAGCGCCCAGACCTACATCACGACCTTGGGGACGAAGATCACCACCCCGGAGATGCCACACTTTCAGCGCAACCTCGAGGTATGGCCTGGGGGATCGTTCAAGCTCCTCCTTAAAGGCGGTTACTGGTGCTACTTTCAACTTTCGTAAAATGCGATGAAAGATGTCGGACTCAACACCTGTTTACCGGTCCGTCTCACCTACAGGGAGGGAGCGGTAGTCGCTCAACCATGATCTTCAGGTGGGCCACTGTTGCTACTGTCGCCATCCAGGGCATGTTCGTTCCATCTGTCTGATTTTCAGGCCAAGATCCAACGGTAGGTTGTCGGACTTGTCGCGTGGCCACGTCCAACCCTCGAGCGACTTCAGACAGGGGCACCTGCGATAGATGGGCGACCGCTACCTAGAGCAAGAGGTCTCGACCCCACGCGCGGCGGACGAAGGTCATGTATTTTGCTGACTGGTGCTGGCCCATGTGTTACCAGAGCTCCTTCAGTCAACCGAGGTGCTGGTGGTCCCACCTACCTGGCCTTCGCTACATCCACAAGGCTTGTCAGACGAAGTGCGCAAGCGGCTCGGAAAATTTGGGGCAATTATCGATTCAGCGGAGGCCCCGCCGACAGGGAGACCCGTGCATCAAGGACTGCAGCCCGACACGCTCTGGGAAAGCTTTGAGCAGATGTGAGTGCTTGCTCTTCAATAGCGCCTGTATTGCCTCAGCCCACCACCGTCCGGACCACCATTGGCGACCACTACTCCCCGCAACCCTGCACCTACTCGTTCCTTGACCAGTCCCTATACGATCAAAACCCTCCGGCGCTTCATCAATGGGATCCGCTACCCTTGTTGGACGAAGGCGTAAGGCTATAAGGACCAAAAAAATATCACAAAGGCGCAGAAGCAATAGTTCTGGCTCTGGCTCATCGAAAACGCGGTCAAAAAGGACGTTCAACGGAAGCTGATCTATGGAGTGACACTAACATGCGTTCTTCTCACCACGGGCACACTGCTTCCGATGGGTGTCCACATTGCGGTGAGCGAGACACTTTCATGCACTTCTACTCTATTTGGGACCATTCACGTGAGTATTCGCGCCTGATCTTGTAGCTGCTGAGCGTTGCGCTTGGTCAGGCAGATGACGTCCAGCCCGGCGAGGTTGAGTCTCCTCACATCATGCTTGGCGACTCTCGGACTCCATCGTCGTTCGAGTCGTTCTTGCAATCGCTTTCAACAAGCTCTACCTTGCTCGATGGGATCGGCACAAAGAGTCAGATCCAACTACCAACCCCATACTTGCTTGCTCGCGAGGTTAGCTCGCATTTCAAATGTCGACTGCGAGGTCTGCCAGACGGCGAGCTTCTGATGGGTATGGAGCTTGGGAGTTTCGGTTTCGAAATTCCTTCATTCTATCTCTCTCTCTATATATAGCGCAGACACATAGGAAAGCTCATGTAATCGGTCCATCAATGGGGGTCAATGTATGTTCGTAGCATGGCGACCTACGCATCGTATCGGACCATTCCGGACAAGGCTTTTCGCTACCGCTCCGCGCTGTGACGAGGCAGTAAGATTCGAAAGATTGTTCATATTACAGTGTGCATGACATGCTCAAGCATTTCAACAGCTCTCGTGCACCCTAGATTTAGACGATATCATGCAGAATGCATAGCTCGTCGCCGACTGCATAAGCAAGACAGCCTCTCGGACCTCGGCGATGAGGCTCGCCGAGCCAGGCCACCGGTGCGACACGATAAAATGTCGTTCAAACCCACCATCGCATATTCGGAGTTAGGAGCAGCTGAGAAGAAGAACCATTAATATAAGCTGCTCCGTAATGGTCACGGGGAAGTGGCTGTACATGCGGTGAAATACGTCTGTGAAAGTCAACTTCAGGGCGCGACCGGTGTTGAGCATGCCTAAGCAGCGCAGGCTTGCTTCCGACGCACCACTCATTGCCCGGTCACAGCAGCCCGTCGCTCCAGTTGCAGCTGCCAGCAGCACCGCCGCACGCCATGACGTCGCTGCAAGACGTGGACCCGACCTCGACCCAAGCATCGTCGTCCCAAGACGAGGGCAAGGACAAGGAAGATGTCGCACCGCAGGAGAAATACACGCAGTCGCTCCGGACCAACATCAAGTCAGTCAAGAGGCTCCGAATCGACTTCGCCGTCATCGAGCCGCGACCGAGTCCATTCGGATCGATCAAGAGAGCGCGGTGCTGACGTTGGTGTTGACGGACATGGTTTGACGTGTACTTCAGATTTGCACCTCTAGCTGTACCACGCCATCGACGACTGCAGGTCAGTCTGAGGCCCGCTGTGGCACCCGCTGGCTGCTCCGTCTCCGTCTCCGACTCGGATCGCCCCCTCTCCCGAGCGTGTTGCCCACCGACACCAGAGGGTGTTCGCGGCGCGCCGGACTCGCCCGTGGCGTTCACGCACGCACGCAGGCCGAGGCAGAGCACACGCGAGGCGAAGAAGGGAGCCATCCCCGGTCGAGGATACGTCATCTAACACCACCGATTCACGCGGGTGGTGTACCCTGATCCCCCAGACCATGGCAGTGTTGGGATGGACGACCGCACTGCCACTCATGCTTGGTTTATTCTTTCTGTTGTGGTAAGTGCTATACCCCAAATTCTCCTCCGAAGGCGCGCCGGTTCCGGTCCCGGTTCCCCGCCCCCGCCCCCGCCCCCGCTCGTGACCGCGAATCCCCACTTGTGCTGATTCTTCTCACCTCGCCTGGATTCCTTGCTGTATCGACGTTCTCATTCTGATCTGTACAGCTCAATCCCCCTTCTGTGGCCCATCATCGTACCCTATCTCTTCTGGATCCACCTCATCGACAACTCGCCGACGCAGGGAGGACGAGCGAGCAAATGGCTTCGCCAAAGTCGGTTCTGGGTGTGGTTCGCAGGGTACTATCCTATCAGGTCTGTCGATCGTCGGAGTTTCGTGCAGTATCTTGACGCGCTGTACTTACTATCATCTCTTCTTCCTCGACCGCCAGTCTCGTCAAGGTGTGTTTCCCGTCCATGGAGCCGAGCTGCGGCGGACCCGAGCTTGATAAGAGCCCTTCGTAAACAATCAAGTGACAACAACTGATCTTTGATGGAGGATGTAAACAGACGGTTGATTTGCCTCCAGAACGGAAATACGTCTTTGGTAAGCTGGCAGACAATCACTCAAAGTAGAGTAAAAGCTCCCCCGACTGAAGAAGTTTCATTCGGCGATGTCTTGCACCCCAGGTTACCACCCCCATGGCATAATTGGAATGGGTGCAAGTGAGTGATGAGCGCAGATCTAGGCATGTCTCCATCCTTGTAGCAGGCTCTCACATATGCTCTTCGGTCTCCTTGTTCTGCAGTTGCCAATTTTGGGACCGACGGTCAGCTTGCACGTCTCGAAACTTACGAGCGCAGGCACTTACTGATCAAACTCGAACCCTGCTGCTCATTAACAGCCACTGGGTTCTCTAAGCTCTTCCCAGGACTCAACCCTCATCTCCTCACACTTGCCAGCAACTTCAAATTGCCGATATATCGAGACTTCTTGCTTGCGCTCGGCATCTGCTCAGTCAGTATGAAATCTTGCCAAAACATCCTCAAACAGGGTGAGTCAGAGATCTGCATCGGTCTGCAGCATCACCCAGATGAAGAGGTTTACAATTGTCTCACACTGCTTTGAGTCAGGCCCGGGGTCTGCTTTGACCATTGTCGTCGGAGGAGCCGCGGAATCCCTTTCGGCGCATCCTGGCACAGCCAACTTGACACTCCGTCGCCGAATGGGCTTCATCAAGCTGGCGATGCGTCAAGGCGCGGATCTTGTCCCCGTCTTTTCATTCGGAGAGAACGATGTGGGTTTATGCTGATGTCCGTTTGCATCATCTGCGACAGCTGACTCCGTTCAAAACTTCACTCGACACAGATCTTCGAACAGATGCCGAACGAGAGAGGGACGAAGCTGTACAAGATGCAAAAGAAGTTTCAGGCCGCTTTTGGATTCACTCTACGTCAGTTGACTTGCCCAAACGCTCACATCGAACAGAGCCCGACTGACATTTGACCTTCCCCGCAGCGATCTTCCACGGCCGAGGAATCTTCAACTGTGAGTGGCAAAACGTTGTCTGAGCAAATCTCGGTCAGGAAATTGATCAAAATTTCGCTTATCCACAGATAACCTTGGCATCTTGCCGTACCGTCATCCGATCGTGTCGGTCGTCGGTCGGCCCATCCGCGTTTCACAGCGTGACAACCCTACTAAGGAGGAACTCGGGGAGGTGCAGGAACGATACATCGAGGAGTTGAAGAGAATCTGGGACGAGTGAGTGCTGTTGCTGTTCGTTCCTACGAGACTGAGATCGAGTACTCATTCTGTCCTACGCAGTTACAAAAATCAACATGCCATCAAGCGAAAGGGCGAACTTCGTATTATTGCCTGATACCGAGGTTGAATTTCATGCTGTGACTCGCCACCATCTTGTGTGGTCCTCAGGTTCAAAATTGATTATCTCTGACCGCGATGTACGCGGCTTCAGTCACACGCGCTCGTCCGAAGATGTTTTCTGATAGTCCCTCCTAGCGCCTTATGCTTTGTAGTGTATTTCTCCCGAAGGGTTTGCTATCCTCACCCACGACATAGATATCTTGTCAAAACCCGAGCGAGCTGTCCAAGCGGTGCATGCTCAAGCGTGTATGTCGAAGAATGGCAATTTTCTCTCTTCGAAGGCACGTTCATGATGATGGTCAAGACTGTTTACAAGCGATTACTGAGACTTGAGGTAGGCTACAGATTGCACTAACTCCAATTGAGCTGTGGGAGAACGTGGGGGAAACAACATAACAAAGAACGAGTAAAGAGAACGAAAAGGCACACATATTCACAAACACCTCAAAGAACATAAGCGGGGACCCTCTTGAGAGCCTCCTCGTAATCCGGAGGTGCGCAAATCCAAGCCCCTTCGGCCCCTTCACCCATTTCGGACCTTAAATCCTCGCCACGCTCTTCGCGAGCCTCGCGTTCGGCGCGTTGACGGGCACAAGAAGGCTCAGCGTGTTGCGCCAAGGCCGACATGGTCGGTTCGGCGACTGAACCGATCGTAATGGGGATGAACAGTTCACGCTTGGTTCCGGGGAAGGCGAGAGGGGAAGGCGAGGGGCGAGTCCTCGCTGCAGCTCCCGGCGGCAACGTCGATGAGGGTGTGAAGAAGGGGTTGACGACCGAGGTCCCGTTCAAGTCCGACGTGGCGGGAGCTCGAGGGGACGTGAACGTGTTGGGGGCCGGGATGTCAAGGTCGGGCGAGAGTCGCTTCAGTTCGGTCAGCGTCGCTCCGAGTTGAGGCGAGGCAAAACCCATCTCGATCGAAAGGTAGAAGCGCGTCGAGACGTGCAAATGACGGCGATACTCTTGCATGACTGGGGGTCGGGTGCGGAATACGGGCGAGAACCACGAGCACGCGCCTTGCTTCAGCGTTGGGACAGCGGTGGGCTCGAGATCGAGCTCGGTCGAGTAACCATGTGCCCACGCAGGGTTCGAAGGGTCTAGACCGTGGAGAGGAAGAGCAATGTCGTTGATGTCGACCTGAGCAAGCTCGGTAGGGTCCGCACCAGGTCGCGACGAGTAAGGGATCCAGCCCCATCGGGATACGATCTCTTCCTCGTCTCGGCACCATGGCTCGACGAGCATCTCCTCGGGGTAGTTGAGATCGCGCACGCTGACACCGGGGGCACCCCACTCCTCCTCGATCGCGTCGTGCAGAGAGCAGCGTGTCGAGTCGCGCACATAGGTCTTGCGCACGAGCGCGAGGCGGATGTACAGATCTGTCGGCTCGAGGGGTCGGTCTCGGATGCGCAGCGACACGGGGATTGAAGCGTGGCCGCCGGGCGAGAAATGAGACGTCGGCAACGAAGGGTGGACATGGTGGAAGCCAGTCGGGATCGTTCGCAAGGTGAACGACTGTGCAAGCGAGGCGAGCATGCCCAGGGGGTGGTCATGCTTGAGCACGGGCAGCTCGGGGGCAGGTGCCGGGAGCGTCGAAGGGAGGATGTGGAAGGGCAGCGAGTAGATCTTGAGTCGACGCGGGGTTCCGTTCGGCGCGCAGGCGGCCGCGGTGATGGTGAGGGCCATCGAGTAGTGGATGCGGAACTGTGCGCACTCGAATGATGGAGGCCTACACGGAGAGATATGATATCAGTCACAGCTCATGATGGGAGGATCTCGCAAGGTATAGCGCATAGAAGACTCACATTCGGCTCGTCACTGGAATCTTCATGCTAAGAGGGATGCTGTACGTGCCCGGCGGGAGGCGCTCCTGACCGGGCAGCTCTGTCTCAAGCCCCTGCGTGTGTCGAGCAGCTTGGGCATCGCGTTTCCAGCACTTCAAGCCGGTCGAAAGGTCGACGCAAAAGTCGGCGATCATGCGCTGAGCCACAATCTTGCCTGTCAGGGGGTCGAGCAGATCAATCATGCCCGTGACGCCGAGTTGCATGCCGGCGATGGCGGTGAAGGGGAGGCCATCGGGTCGGACAATGCGCATCCACGGCTGGAAGTGGATCCTTTGCGAAGGAAAGAACGCAGGCGGGACGACGTGCTCGGAGTCGTCGTTGATGTGGTTCGACGGAGCGAACGACGCCTCGGGCGTTTTGAAGACGAGCTTGAGCGAAAAGTCCTGGGCGGACCAGTCGTCATCGGCCGGTCGTCTGGGCTCGTCAACTGCAACGGCTTTTTCGGCAGCTCGAGGAGATTTTGGAGCAAAACGTTGTCGAGAGTGGGTCCTTGTTTCGGAAGAGAAGATGGGTTCGGCGGGCTGCAGCGACTTGGCCATTGCGGACGTTGGTGGCGCCGACGCGACGACGCGCGCCGTCGGGGCCGGGAGCGCGAACCCCTCGAACGAGTTGCTCGCCGACATGGGGCACGAACTGGCCGCCGAGGTCGAGGGCGAGCTGACCGCCGTCGATTGCGGCGACGAGAACATGCTCGAACTCGACGACGAGGATACGGAGGACGTAGACGACGCAGAGGATGACGAGGACGAGCACGAGGCCTCGGCGTAATCCGGGCCGTCATCTTGGTCGGTCCACGGGGCTCGCGGTCGCGCCAACGCCGCAGCGGCGACATCCGCGAGGTTGAACGCGCCGGCCTTAGGGCGAGATCGCAGGGTGTGTTGCATCATCGACGCGGAGACATCATCAGAAGACGTTGCCGAAGAGAACGACATGGCTTGGAGTGGGCCGGAGGTTGGGGCTGGATGAGGAAGAGGGAGAAGTGACAAAAGCGCGGCGCGGCGAGGCCACGGTCGAAGCGCGTAGCCGGTGCACAGTCGAGTTGAATGAGTTAATGAGGCGTCAGGGCCTCGCGACGTGACGGGTCGAAGGAGCGGGCGCGCGTGATTCGGAATCGTCGTAGTCTTTGAGCAGCAGCGCACTGGTGACTGCCGTTACGTGTAATTTCGCTGAGTCGGCAGCAGTTTGTTGGAAGGAGGGAAGGAGCGCAAAAGGATCTGCAACTCGCCGCTTGAGTGGGAACCTAAAAAGATCGGTCTCGATAATCTGCTGTCCGTGCAGGGTTTCAACGGGGGCAAGAGGTGCGTCTGAGAAGAAAGGCTCCAACGGTCGTCGCTCGCTCGAGCGCAATTATTGGTGGCGGCGCGAGCGCGCGGCGGGCGGGTTCGTCGTAGCCCAAGGCCGATCGCCAACGGTTCGTCTCAAGTTTCCAATCTCGACTCTCGATTTTCTCCTCTAGATAATCTTCATCGAGTGAACCGAGGAATTGACGGCTGTCCTTGCGAATTGAATCTGCCAAATGGAGTGCCACGATCCTTGTTTGGCCCCTATGCCCTAATGACTGGAATGACTGGAATGACTGGCGAATCCCCCCGGACCTGCGGCTCATTTTCGACAGCTCGTCGCAAGCGTTCGTCGTATGAACCTTGCTAGAGACAACCCCTGAAGTGTTCCAGTGGAATGTACGACCCAAAAAGGGTCGCTTTCATAAATCACAAAAGGTGATCTGACGACCCAGAGTCATCCCAAACGCGAGCGTCATTGACCCCTGATACCCGTGGTGGATCAGCACGGAGCCAAGGTGGCGATCGGTCGGTCACTCAAACAGCCGGCGATCAGACAATCCATCGCCAGTTGGACTTGAAACCAGTTCGAGAGCCCCGTATTTTACCCCGTATTCACAAGGAGAGAGGATCCCCTCTGGAGATACATAGAATTTGTCCACATTTTTCGCAGGTGCTGGCAGTGTTGCTGGGCAGGTACGCAATCGCACTTCACGCCGGCCACGGTACTCGTCGCGTGCGGTGCACGGCGGCGCACGCGCAGCTGCGCAGTACTATCACTTGAAGTGGGGTTTGCGAGAGTGAGACTATGCGTTGTCCAAGTCTAACTATAGACTACTAACTACGTTCTCCAGCTGAGTTCAATACAGAGCGCCTCCCGGTTTTCCGTGACAGCCGGACATTGCAGTCAAGGGTCCGCATTAGATCTGATCTGATCTGACAGGGGTCAGATCAAGTTCAGATCAATCAAGCTCGAGGGAAAAAAAAAATCCAAAAGTAGGCGGTACAAAGATGGCGCCATTGTGATTTGAAATGCCAACTGCGGCGCACCTAATCATGAGAGAGAATGGATCGCGCTATCTGCCATCTGGCATCGCCGCCGCATCAAGTCGGGTGTCGGCCCCGCGCCACAGAAATACTACAGGGTGTGTTCCTCCTCTGATAGGCCTTTGTTGCAGTGTCAAGTGCTGACTCATTGCAAACGCTTCTCATAGGGGTCATGCGCCCCAATCCAGTCATAAAAGCGGGGAGCAAGGTGATCACTTTGGAGGATGATGAGGATGAGGACGAGGATGAGGATGAGATTGTGGAAGAAGAAGATGAGGATTCCAACATGTAGACATGTAGAAGTTTCTCTGCGCCAAAGGCAATTTCATGTCTCAGATCAAATTGATCTGCTCAGCTCAGATCAAGATCAGATCAATGAAGGCAGAATCAGAAAAATTCAGATCAGATTAGATCTGATCTGGCGGTATTCTGATCTAATGCGGACCCTTGATTGCAGTAGTAAGCGATGACGACCCCGGGCGCCGGTCGGCGATGAACGCCGGAGGCCACAGTGCTGCCGGTTGAAGTGACTACCGTGGTCACTGCGGGAGGCGCTTGCACTGGTCCTCATGATAAATTCCATGCTTAATCTTCTGCATAGACCAAATAATACTCTTCTTTGAGGGCTAGCATCTCGGAGACGCGACCAGGCCGACGCGTGGCGACCCGCCGACGGTGAAGGTCCGGGCTTTGGCCAGAGCCTGCGCTCGGTCCTCCTCGATCTCGTCACACTTCGCAGGAAACACTTGGTCTGTCATCGCGTCGCGACATAGAGGTCCGAGCGCTCATGTTCATGAGGCGTGGGGATGGAAGTATCACTGGCGCAGCAAACCAACTCTTTGATGTGATGAAACACTTTCTTTCGGCTGAAGTGTCGTCGGCTCTGACAGATTCGCAAGGTGCACTGGGGCCTGGGCCGTCGGTGGCAGCTGAGATTGCACATAACTAATCTTTCAACGACACCACTTCTGTCTGAACAGAGTTTTGTTCCTTTATGCTTCCTCTTTGACCCCTTTTCGTTGAGATTACGCTCACTGCGTCTTCTTCTCCTCGGTAACAGCAACAGCCTCGACAGCAACGACGGGGGCGAGGCCTTGAGCCGCCAACTCGGCGTTCTCCTTGGCGAGCTGTTCCTCGACGTACCACTCCGAGATCTGCAGAACAACGACACCGACCAACAAGGCGGCGATGATGGTGTTGCCGGCGCAGAGAACCGAGTTGTGCTCGACTCGCTTGTCCCAGGCCATGGGTTCGGCATTGCGCAGAGCCGCGGCGGCATTGCGGGCTCGATCACCCAAAGGTCCCGTGTTGGACTTGGCAAAGTAGGCTTGAAGACGCGTGAAGGTATCGGGGATGCTCGAAGCGAGGATAGACTTGTCGAGCGGGTCCCTGGGTCGAGGAGAAGCGGCGGTCAGTTCCCCATCTGGAGAGTGGCCGGTGGGTGGGGGGTTGCGATAGGCAAATTGGGACTTACTGAGCGATCAGACGGATCGAGGGAATCGTGATGACGATATAGACGGAAGCAACCAAGATCATCAGGACTGTAGCGATCGGAAGTAAAGTGTCAGCATATATGTGTGATGACAATCACCCACTGCATACCCTTATCTCGGAAACTCACGTAATGATGCGCCGGAGAAGTAGTAGGCCGTCTCGGACTTGCGGGCGAACTTGCCCACAAGCGACATGAACAGGATGCTGACCTAAATACCAAACAAAGCGATGGAGAACGATAGCATTCAGCGACACTGCGATGCTGTCGACGAGCACCCCGGAAGGCTTGACGAGCAGCAGTGGAACGGAGACTGACGACGACGTGCAGGATGACCTTGACGGTCATCTCGGCGTTCCACCAGGTGAGGTAGTAGTGCTCGACCGCACTGACGGTCCCCTCGGTCAGGATCTGCTTGCCAAAGAGAAGCGAGCTGTCCCAGACGATCGTCGTGAAGAGCACGCCGAGCAGGAACGACGCCGAGACGATCGAAGCACTGCAAGGGATGGTCGATGTTAGACCAGTCTGTCTACTTGTACAACCCGTTGCCTGACATGCCTTGTCAAGAGTCCCATGTTGATAGATGAGTGGGGTCGGACGGCGATGCTTGCGAGGCCAGAAGCGAACCTCGGCGGCGGGCGGGCTCAGTTGGAACAGCGGCAAGCAGCTCCGTGCTTTTGGACTCTTCTAGGCCGCGCTCGGTAAAGCCCGCCTCGGCACGAGGCCGGAGGCTGAAGACCAAAAGCAAGTTGAACATGTCAGCATCTCATCTCACATGACCTCTGTCAACAGCGGGAAAAGTCGTGACAAACAGCTAGTTCCATATATACAGTAAATGTACACAAGCCAGTCCATACTATTGCATTACATTTGACATCGATCACAGGGCCGGACGACCGATCGACGTACATCGGGGTTCGCCCGAGTGATTACTCTATTACTCTAACTAGTAAAAAAAAAGTGTGAGTTAAGGAATGTACCTAAAATCGCTGTTTTTAACTAGGTTGCGGCCCGGAGGGCCGCATGTGGTGGATGTACCAGCATACTATTGTATCTGCCACACCTGCCTGTGGTGTCCATGTTGCGATCAAACGTCATGTACAAGCTCTGTGGCAACTTTTGTATTTTCCGCGCCGTTCTAACGAAGCTACAGCGTTCCCAGTATTTTCTTTCAATTTTTCGTTGACGTAAAACAGTTCTTACACTCATACTGTATTTAATGGACCGCAAGCGCGTGACTTTGCATGATAATGATTCTACAGCAGAGCTCCGCCTGATGACGCGCGAGGCGAGGGCTGGCGTCTGTCACGTGATGCGGTGCGCCGGCGGTATCAGTGTCATTCCGGCAGTCGACCAGCGGCATTAAGTAGGGGCTGAACAACAAATCACACCCCGTGAACAAACCCGCGCCACTCCCTCTAACCTTTTCTTTTTCTCTCCCACTCTCATCGAATTTTGTGACACTTATTCAAGGAGAAACCCTCGCCACTATGTCCCGGTCCTAAGGTCGCCATTGCGCCAAGGAGGGCCATCGCAACCTCGCCAAGTCTTGGCCGCGATGAGTGAAAAATAGTTTCTCTGCTGTCTTTCGTCATTATACCGTTCAATTCTCCTGCTATTTGGAATCATATCCCTTCTATTTGGAATCATATTCCCGTTAATTTAACGGGATCCCACTGGTTGGGAAATTATTCTTCGAGGCCCATTCCCATCCACACCTCGGGCTACCTATTACCTACTTGCTTGCAGGATGAAATGAAAGTAACTCGTCAATCCAGACTATCGAACCCATCCCTCCTTCTTGAGCGCATGGTACTCGAGCTCGGCCATCATATCTTGCGCCCGGCTTCCCGGGTTGTAATCGTCAAAGTAGAGATAGTCGTCCGGCTTCTGGCAGAAGGTCACTTTGCTGCCTGTCCCATAGACTGCAAGAAGACAGGTCGAAAGAGGCATCGTTTCAGCCTCTAGTCTTCTGTCGGAGGTCCCGGCTTGCGTTGTGGAGGCGTGAGACAACGAAAGATGGGCGCTTCAACCGTCCAGCTCAGGAAGATTCTGACCACTCACCTCCTGCCAAGCACGGCGCAAGCACGGTCGTATACTTGTACTTTGAGGGTTTGCTGTTGATTTTTTGGAACAATCCATAAACATCGGCGACGATGACGTTGGGGTCGTTGCGACCGATGTCGATGATCTCCATGCGCAGGTCCTTGAGGTAGTTGGCCAGGTAGGACTGCTTGTTGAGGCGATTGTTGCGGTTCAGAGGGGGCATCGTAGGTAAAAGAAAGTAGACACCGCCTGTAGAATATGGTTTGAGCGGACACGCTGCGTCAGTGACTGCTCCACAAACTTATCACAGCTGAGAAGGCACAGTCACGTGATCGGACAACGCACCGACGGCTTTGAGCGTCTTGATCGAGGTCTGGATCTGCTTCGCGACTTGCTTGGCCGAAACATTCTTCTTCCTGCCTAGCAAGGCGTCGTTTGCGCCAGCATAGATGACGAAGAGTATCCGATCGATGGCAGGACGGGTAATGTCGTCACCGGAACCGGGAGGAAAGTCGGAAGCCGGGGGGTCAATGAAGCGCTTGACCTGGTCCAAGATGGAGGGGACGGGGATCTTGTTGCTTGAGCCCGTGAGACCCTGGACGAGCTTGTTGTTAGTTGTGGCACCGGCGATGGCCGAGCTGTTGAGAGGGAAGCCCAGATGCTGCGCCAAGATCTCGGTGTGGGTGAAGCCGTTTGTGAAGCGGTGCTGGTAATAGTTGCCGTTCGAGGGCCAGGTGTGGTTGGTCAGGTTCCATGTACCTTTGCTGAAGAACGAGAGAAGAGAATGCAATGGTCAGCGTGGGTGCACCTACTCATTATGAGCGTATGGACTCGGCGTGAAGTACGGACCCATCATCGGAGAGCGCATCGCCGAAGACCTGAAGCCGGTTGAGGTAGTGCTTCCGAGGCTTCGATGTCGCCGCGGCGAGTTGGACCAAGAGGAGAGCTGTTGCAAGCAGAACCAAGTGACGACTGGGAGCTGTGACCATGGCTACAGATATTGTTGGTATTGGGGGATGATGGCCTTGCTGTGCCCGATGACGACGAGACGACTATGGACAGGCGCGCGGTGGGATCGACGCTGCTTGTTTTGACTGCGCTCGATGTAATAGGCCTCCGACACAAGATGAGTCGATAAAGGAGTGTGTGACGAGAGGGCGTCGAGTCAAGAGAAGGGAGGAAGAGGACCGAACCGAATCGAGGTGACGGAAGCCGAGAAAGGAATGAGAGCAGTCGCCAGAAAAGGTGACGGTGCTGATCACACTCGTGGTGAAGGTTCCAAGTTTGGCGATCCCGCACCCGCGCATTTCTGCGCATTTCAAGCGGGCGTCGCGCCGCTAGCGCCAGTCGCGCCGTCACGGCACCTTTTTATTATGGGCCGCCATTTGGGCAACAAATGGATCTGCGCGCCCGGGGCTATTTGCGCGTTACGACTCGTTTGTACGCGCGCCGAAAATCGTGCAATTGCGCGCCATTGGGCCTTCACACGCGCGTCATTCACAGCTTTGCATCCCTTGGACGCACTTTTGGTCTCTAACGCGCTCTGAATTCGTTGGAGTAGCACGCTTTTCAGGAAAAACATCTGTTTCTGGCCCCTATTGGCGGGCCACGCGCGTTTCGCTCGCTGTTAGACTCGCTCACCCCACCGTATCCGCGCACGGAGGGGGTATTACACGCGCTCCAGCGCACTCATGCGCGCGCATGATTGAGCGCGCAATCTACTCAATCTGCACGCTTTTTAGCATTTTTCCAAAAATAAAAAGAAAATCGGAAAAATAATTTTGATTTTTTCAATTTTCATAGCTAAATTCCGAACCCCGCACTCCCCGCTCTTTACGATTTGCGCGCCTCGGAAGCTGCTTACGCGCGCTCGCAAACAGTGCTCACGCTCGCAGAATCGCAGATGCGCGCGACAGTCGCTCGACCGGAAACGCTCTCACACGCTCGCTCGCGGCGCTCTGATTCGCTCGCAGCTTTTTCCCTGCGCGACAACCGACACCGAGGAGGATTGCCTTTTTACTCCGCGGTGTCGATCTCATTTTCATGGCAGGAGGGCGTTTGCTCCGATTGCTAAGTCTTGATGTACTTGCAGATAGTGACATTGCTATGGTGTATTGGGTTGGCGGTGTGGCTGTTGAAAGCGTTCGAGGCTCAGGGCTGGGCACTCAGGCTCCATTGAGTTCCAGAGAACTAGTTAGTAGTAGGACTCGTTCCAGAGAATTATTTGTCGGGGAGGCCTGACAAATCCTGCGCCGGTGCTCCTGGCCAAGAGTCTTGGTATGCAGCAGCAGAATCGTATATCAAACATCATCACTGGAAGTCTGATCCAGCCTGAATCAGGAGGGGTCAAAGATTCGACAAAGAGCTCGAGCTCCCAGCTCAGCTTGCAACGTACCTGCACCCTTGGCGGCCAACTCCCAGTCCCAAGTCAGAATGATGCCATCTAATTTTCTCATGATGGCAGTTGAAGGCTGTTGAGTGAAACAGAGTCGTTATGAAAGCGGGGAATAACTGGACAAGGTTGACGTGGGGGCGGTGTGTGTGTGGAAGAAGGCGGCCGCGCGTGAGCTCGCGTGTGTCGCGCATGAACGACCGGAGACGAGGCTAGGCGAGTCGGGGGCGCGCAGAAGCGTTCGGCGGCGCGCGCCATATTTCGGCGCGCGCGGAGGCCCCGGGCGCGCAGATCCATTTGTTGCCCAAACGGCGGCCCATAGATTCGATCCTCGCCTACACTCTCCACACAGTAGCCTCCACAGTCCACATCAGCAAAATGGGCACTCGGCGCGCACCGCTTAAAGGCGCTTAAGCCCCGCTTAAGGACGCTTAACAAGACGTCAGGACGCTTAACAAGACGCGGGGCTTAAGGACGTCTTGTTAAGCGTCCTTAAGCGGGGCTTAAGCGCCTTTAAGCGGTGCGCGCCGAGTGCCCATTTTGCTGATGCACTGCGTCACCGAGTGGACCGATCTCACCTGCTCGGATCAAAGGAGGTTCACGGTACCCTTAACATCAGTGAGTAGCATGTACGCTAATCCTATGGTACCAGGTAGCTTACTTCTAGTGTACGCATCAACCTCCAGCTGCACACGGTCTTCAAGCCATCTCCACCTCGGTCGACAAGGTCCCCTTTTCTTTTTCTGTTGCTTTCGAATTGGTTTCACCTCGGAACTCTTACGGTGGCGGTGCTAAGTGGCAGACGACTTGTCCTTGTTTAGCCTAGCCAGATCCAACTCCTACATTGAGCCTCCCTCGTGAACCCTTTTCGTGTTTTGTAGTTTTTGAGTGCACGTATCGAGATGCGCATGCACCACGGATTTGAAATTCGAACACGGACACGGCGGGCACCGAGCGCCGCGCCGCAGGGTCGTGTCATCGCCCACCCGTTCATTTCACATGACAGCGCCAGCCAGTCTTGACCCTATCGATGAGCGCCAACGACCCATCAGCTCAAGACAAGGTGTGTTGTGTGCTCAGATCTTGCAGCTGCCGCTTTCAACGCCACCTCGAGACCGCCGCCCCACCTTCCGGGCCATGCGGAGGTCATCCACCGCCCAGGACTTGCCGTGATCTTAGACTGACTTAACTCTACGTCTTCCTTTCCATATCAACAATGACAGCGTGACAGATTATCGAAAGCTCTTGGCGCGGCCTTCCTTTCGCATCAAGTCGAATCCCTCGAGCGCTCGGTCGACTCGCTCACCTTTTCCTGCGATGGTCGACTCTTGCCGCCTCCACGACCGACCTCCACGGGCCGAACGGCCCAAGTGAACTCGACGTCGAATCACAGGAATGGACCGATCATGAAAGGCGGCTCGGATACGCGGTCCGGAACGAGCGGCGTCAAGAGACCCGTCAAGGTCGTCGATGCGAGTGTGCTCGTGCATGCCCTGCCGGTCGTGAAACGATGGTTGCGACAAGATACGCATCAGCTCGTCATTCCGCTGCAAGGTTAGTCATACGCTCGTTGGGGCTTCCCAGATCTTGCGCGGAACCGTTGCTAAAAGCCATCCCGCGCCCTCGTCTCGGTTCCCAGCTTTCTCCATATTGGACACTTTAAAAAAAGCGCCGGCAGCACTGCATGACCTTGCGCACGAGGCTACTCGATTCCTCGAGTCGCAACTTGCGATTGCTCAGCGGATCGAAATGGCTTTGGGTGGCCCCGGTCCCGAGGCGGATGCGAAGATTCGTCTGCGAGCCCAGGCCGCGGGGGAGGAGGTGTCTTGGGAGCAAGTCGAGCAACTCTTCCAGATCCCACCGGAAGCATATTCGCTCGTGAATCAAGACCCACCCGTCGACCCAGAGAACGAGGGCCCAACTGACGTCATCGAACCCCGACTTCCTAGCGCTCAAGATCTTCCGCGCTCATGGCGGTCACCATTGCAGTGTGCGCTCTTCTTTGCTTCGCAATCCCCCAAGCACTTGTTCGTCTTGTTTAATACGCTTCACCTCCTCGATGTCGTGGCCCCACCACCTCCTGCGATCCCTTTCATCTCCGGCTCAGCGAAGAAAGCCCCACCCCCGTCGCTCGACTATCTGGCCATTTCATCCGGCGATACCCTCTCTCGCTTTGTGCAAACGCGCTACGAGCGCTCGATCCCCCTCTACGTCGTGCCCAGCTCGGAAGTGGTCGCGGCGAAAGAATGGCTCAAGGCTTTGGCTAAAGAAACGGCGACGGCGACGGCGAAGGGAAACCTTTCCCTGGGAGCAAAACCCGATTCAAAGGAGAGCAAATCGAAGGGGTCCGCACATGCGAAGCGAAGGAGTGGGACGACGGGGGATCGTGGAGGTGCGGGGTTGAAAGGTGGGAGAAGGAATGGCGCTGCAACCGAGGGGAAGTTGTTTGTGCCGTGACGACGGAGGTGGCGGACGGAAGTATCATTCGGTGGACAGCATGCCTTTGTGATTTCCAGCATGTCGCTCTTCACTTTGGTTTTCTCGAACGTGGAATATGGAAACATGAAAAGCTGTGAAACTGCGATTATGCCATAAGGTGGGGTAGCAATCGTAAATACTCGAAAATGAAAGATCCGATGGTGCGGAGACTCTAGTGCGACAGTCCTCCGAGATATACTATCAACGGGGAAAATAATAGGGTACTACCAGTGGGATCCCGTTAAATTAACGGGAATATGATTCCAAATAGCAGGATAATTGAACGGTATAATGACGAAAGACAGCAGAGAAACTATTTTTCACTCATCGCGGCCAAGACTTGGCGAGGTTGCGATGGCCCTCCTTGGCGCAATGGCGACCTTAGGACCGGGACATAGTGGCGAGGGTTTCTCCTTGAATAAGTGTCACAAAATTCGATGAGAGTGGGAGAGAAAAAGAAAAGGTTAGAGGGAGTGGCGCGGGTTTGTTCACGGGGTGTGATTTGTTGTTCAGCACCTAATGCCGCTGGTCGGCTGCCGGAATGACACTGACACCGCTGGCGCGCCGCATCACGTGACAGACGACAGCCCTCGCCCCGCCCGTCAGACGGAGCTCTGCTGTAGAAGCATTGTCATACAAAGCCACGCGCTTGCCGTCCATTAAATACAGTATAAGTTTTCACTGTTTTACGTCAACGAAAAAGTGAAGGAAAATACTGGGAACGCTGTAGCTTCGTTCGACTGGCGCGAAAAATACAAAAGGTGCCACAGAGCTTGTACATGACTTCTGATCGGAACATGGACACCACAGGCAGGTGCGTCAGACACAACACTATGCTGGTACATCCACCACAGGCGGCCCTCCGGGCCGCCACCTAGTTAAAAACAGTGATTTTAGGTACATTCCTTAACTCACCTTTTTCTATATATAGAGGTAGTAAAGGACGAATGTACACAAGAAACAAGTAGGGGTTGCGAATGAAGGTGGGTAGGGTGAATCGTGCTAGTCATGCTACGGTGTCGAGGTCGAGGTCGTCAACGCCAGTGGTTCACCTCGTGGTATCAGCAATGAGCGGCGATCCTTGCCGTGCCGATCCTGGAGTTGAAGTTGCGACGGTCGATTCAGCAGGGGTATCAAGTGTCGTCGTCGTTGTTGTCGCCGCCGCTTCCGCTTCCGCTTCCGCTTCCGCTTCCGCTTCCGCTTCCGCTTCCGCTTCCGCTTCCGACTCGACCACGCTACTCCTTCGACTCGTCGGACGACTCGACCTCATTCCCATGAACCTCCTTTTAGGAGCGGGAGGGACGTATCTCGGCGGTGCGTCAAAGGTGTTGCCTTCGTTGAGTTGGACATGGTGCAGATTGAACGTGCCGTGGCGAACGACGCCCCCGGATCGGGAGGGGGACGACATCTCAACCGAATCGGCGGATTCCCGCGCGGGGGGTAAGTTGGCGAACTCTTCCTCGAGCCGACGTTGCTTCTTGTACCGTCGGAAGACGAGGTAAGCCACGAGGATGGCGGCTAACAACACCCCGCCACCGACGGCCCCTCCTATTATCGCGTCTCGACTGCTGTTTTTGGAGCCTGACCCAAACACGGTTTTCCTGCGAAGTCAAAAATCATGAGGCATGAGCATGGGTAGCCTCGAGGTGCCCATTGAGCAGATGGCCCAAATCATGAAACTCACGAGCACGTTGTGATACCGGTCGCGGGCTGGGCTCTCACCACTGTCCAAGGGGTAGAGATCAGAATCTAAACCGAAATGCTGTGCTGGGGTCGTGACCGAGACGGCGATGCGGCTCAAACGCACCTCTAAAGTCGGAATAGCTGATCCGGTTCGTGTTGTCCAGGACCACCCAAGTCTAAGGCAAGACAATGAACGTGTCAGCGCTTTGGTCAGCTCTGATCGTTTGGAGTACCGACACGGCCGAAGAGCAGAATGCGCGCTTGCTCGCTCGGTCCTTCGGTCTTTCGGTCATTCGGAACGGCCACTCACCAGATTCGCTCCCTGGTTGAAGTCGACTCGCCAAGGGAACGCGCCGGCGTTCGTGAGTGCGGGTATATTTTCCAACGACGTGGCATTGCCCGATCCGGATGCGATGGGATAGACTTTGTAGGGCGGTGTGCCGTCACCCTGTGGAGGCGGTGCAGGTAGCCACCATTCGAGGAATAGGAGAGGGGGAGGAGGGGAGAGAGGGGGCGCAAGGGTGAGTGTATGCACCGCGCTGTCCCGGTGCGCTCGTGAAGGGGCGGCGCAGGGCGATGGGCAAGCGCCTGTCTCACGTGAGGCCGTCAGACCCTAGGCCCTAGGGGCGAACAGCTCGCGCGCGAGGCCGAACAGTGTACAGAAGTACTCACTACGACGATGTAGGCCGTCGTGCACGTCGTCAATGGCGGTACAATGATGAAGGGCTCATACACGCGTGACATGGTCGGCCGCCGTGTATCGCACCGAGCGCCGATCGATGATCAATCAATGATCGCTTGTTGTCTCCTCTGTCGCCTACGAAGGATGACGGCGCTGGGCTACGCTGAGTCGAGACTTATCCGGATCGAGGCTCGAATGACCAGAGGCGGATGCTCGAGCTTGGCTAAAGTCTGGGATACGCACGAAGAGCTCCGGTGCTGCTGGAAGGCGTTGTCTGTTTTTGGCCGAGAGGTTGTGAAGGAGCAAGAGCACGATCACGAGCCAGTCGCGGCCGGGCGAAGGCACCAATGCTACGAGCGCTAGAGGACCCCCCCCCCCCCCCCCCGAAAGCCCAGCCATAGGCGGCCCTCTAAAAACGGCATTTTTCGAGGCAAAATGTCCAAAATTTTCCCGGATTCTGACTGAGAATGTCCAAATATGAGGGGCCTAGTGTTGAATGATTTCTCAAAACTACTCTACAAGCTGTACAATGCTCAGAAATTTTTGTTGCGCCCGCGCACCAAGTGCACCAAGCACCAAGAGCGCCGCCAGCGTGACCGCCAACGAGCCTTTTCAAAATGAAATGGACTCGAATAGGATCTCACCTTTATTTTTGCATTTGTAATTTGATGGGTTTAACACTATAATCTACATCTACATAAAAGAATGCACGACAAAATAAGGTTCTCAGCCGCGCGCTATATCCTAGTACCTAGAAATCTCTGGAAAAGTCGGAGGAAATGCAGTTAAGCACACTGGCTAGGCCAGTAGTGTAGGACTCATTGACCCTGAATCAGAATCAATCTTGCCCACCAAATCCCCCTTGGGTGATTCACAGAGACACAAGGCGAGCCTTGAACTCCTGAATTGACGCCCGGAGCTCTTCGATCGAGTGCCATTTCGGTGAGCGGTTCCAAAGAATCCGACGAGAATCGGTGGCGGCGAGCCCTGTGAATCTATCGACCGACTAGGAAAAGAAAGATACAGTCAGACCTGAGACAATTTATATCGCCCAATCTTATACCTGTCAAAATTTTCAATCTCCCGACTTTTTTGGCTGACAGAACCTGTCCAATCTTATACCTTATAATTTATGGGCTTACAGGTCAAATTATAAGATAAGAGAGAGCCGGAAATGAGCGATTGATCAGGAATTGGCCTCTCCTTCGGCGTTCTTGTTGACGAGCCGCCTGCTGGAAGAGTCCGAAATGCCCCGAAACAGCCGAGAAGCGACTTCGTATTTCCAGCGTCAGTAGGTCAAGATATTGTTTCTTGGAGCTTTCAAAACTTGTTAGGTGTCATCATGCCTCAGTAGAGGCCGTACATTGGCTGCAATTCAGTAATTCGGGCCTTCTGAATGTCCTCCCCAAACCATGCACGAAAATTCTTGATTTGATGTAGGAAGCTCAAAAACGGAGTTTCAGGTCATAATGTAGTGATCTGAAGCCGCACTCTCCAAGCTTATACCTGTCTTAATTTATGGGAAAATCCGTCCACCGAAAATATAAATTTTCTCAGGTCTGACTGTATCTTTCGGCGAGAGCGCTTCCAGATCGAAAGGAAGGAGAGGAGACGTAGCTCGACAAGTCGGCGTTCCGAGCGAGAGACGATCAGAAAACGAAAAACGATCGCAAATGTAAGGGGATGCCTTACAGGAACAGCCCCATAAGTAGCCTCTGAGTAGCTAGACCTATGGCGTTCTAGTTACGACTTGCTTTTAGCCTAGCGGTCAAGAACGACAGATTGTGTTTTATGCACATCAGAGGCGCATACCTTACAGCAAATGCAGACACTCTAATAACGCGCTCCAAACGCAAACAACGCGACTGTTACCCGCGCGCAGCTGGGCCGGCTCTATATGCCCTGCGCCTCCAGCCTACCGTTACCCTGGTCTGCGCTTCAAAGTTTGACCGAAGGGGAGGTGAGCCTCGACCCATTTTGAGCCAAAAATGTCCAAATTTGCGGGCTGCCTAGCCGATTTTCCGGTCCCCAGAATGTCCAAATTTGCGGGCCGCCTCTGGCTGGGCTTTCGGGGGTCCTAGCGCTAGCGAGCGCTCGGCTGGCGCACCGACACCGACGCTCAGCCTGTATCTCCTCTGCCAGCTCTGAGTATTCATCCGGCGTGGAATTTGGCGCGCATACAATAGCCCTTGTCATGCATGGCGCGATATGTCTCACTCGACATCCTGCAAGCTACAATACACATAAAATCACAGGCAGTTTAGGTACCTCAGTATCCAGTTGGGGGGGGGGGGGGGGGGGGGGTAAAAGGCCGAGGTAAGTCGAATGCAACCCAGAAATATCGAATCGCCGGACGAATCAAACTTATTACCGCAACACAAAGAAATAAAAGGTCGTAGCTGCTATGATAAATGGGTTATTCCTTTACGACGTAAGCCAGTGCACGTACGGTGCACTGCTTTTTCATCGTGTCCACCCGAACTGCGGCTAAGAAGGTGTCCGTTACTAAACTTGCCTAATTTATCGTTGGTCAGTACATAGTGTAAACCCGGCGCATTGACAGTGCGTCGATTCGGGTCTCACGGCTCGGTAAGCGCGTTCACGGACCCTGCCGAGGATCCGTCGCGTGGACAGGGGTATACCGATCTTTCCGAACGGCTGTCGCCGGCGATGTCTCACTGCACGTCTTCACTCCCAAGACGAGCTCCGCCACCTGGCTCTTTGTGACCCCGAACGCCGACCGGCACAGTCCTGTGTTGTGTTGTGCTCTAGACCAGGTTTCCGTTTGGCGCCTCATCGTCATGTGAGGCCCTCTGGCCACAAGTCATCATCGAGCTCAATTCGTGTCGGTGCCAGGCGCGGTCATCCCAGGCAACGGGCACCGGTGCTGACAGGAAATCGGCGCGTGCCTCGGGGAAAAGTGAAGCCCGACCAGACCGGTGAGGCCGGCGACGATTCAACTCGTTGGACTCCGCTCCCGCCGCGTCGATCACAGGCAGCATTCGTGGGGTCGCATTTGGGCAGCGCACTCGCACCGGGGTTCAAGGGCCGCTCGCGGACACCAGGATACCGCGCGGGGCCAGCTGTTCATCATGGTCAGTCGGTCGAGCACGGACGACGAGGCCGGATTCCTTGGGAAGCGGCCGGAAACCGGGCTCGCCGTTCGCAAGCGCCTCGCCGACGAGGGCTTGGAAGGCAACAGCTGACTCTGCTTCTCGTTCCATACCGTAATTTGCATCATCAGTTTCCGGACTTGCTCGTCATCCGTATCGCACTGCGGATCCTGTTCCTCGTCCTCGATTCGATCGCACCTTTCTCGCTCACGTGGACCGTCGCCTCAATCTGGTTATGGCCCGTACATCCTCTCGTGGTACTATGGCCGGTAGACCATCTCGACCTCCTACTATGCCACGACTTTTACCTGCACAACATCGTCACAGGATGGTGCTTCATCGAGTCGATCTGGTGGTTCTTCCACACGATCGGGAGGCACCTTGTCGCTCGTGGTTACTGGGATCTTCGCGAGGCCAAGCAGCCCCTCGTGGCCGAGGAACGTTGGAGGTTGTGGGTCAAGATGCTCGAATCATTCCCAGATCCGTGGGAATGGCTTGGAGGTGCTTTCCTGGCCGCCGGGGCTCGGTCGGCTCCGCTTGGAATGGAAGACCCGGCCGTCACCCGTGTTCGCATTCAGGACGTTGGTCGGTCCAATATCGAGCAGTTCGTGGCCCATTTCATGTTCAACCAGAAACTACGACTGGTGAAGCCTGGCTCGATTGAGCGGCTAGAAATTGACGCCATGATCAAGTTGCTCGAGATCGCGCTCGGTCGAACTCGAGGAGGCGAGTTCAAATTCCTCAAAGGTCGATCGCCACACAGAGTCTTCCTCGTCAACGACCAACCGATCCTCACGTCGCACCATCCGGCCATCTTCTACGTCACGATTTGGTTCGCGTCCGAAATGGGCAACATCGCTCTCTGGCTTGGTGGATTCAAGTACTACGGTCCGAAGAGATCCTGGCCCTTCCCCTTCTTCTTCATGAGGGGATCTCGCCCGCAGCTCGACGCATTGCATGACCCATCCGAGCTCGAAGCCATGGGTCGATCGACAAATTCCGAGCTGGCGAACCGAGTCGGCTACTGGTTCCATCCCGGATCTCAGCAGGCTCAACAAGAGGGTCTGACGCCGATCCTTTTCTTCCACGGCATCTCGGGCACGTACGGTCCAACACCTTTCATTCTGTACCTGCAGTACTGCACGGGGAGACCTGTGATCTTGCCCGAATTTCCTTATGTCACTATGCGCCTCTCACCCCCTTCGGCGATCCGTACCCGAGTCGAGACCGTGGCGATGGCTCGACGAGCACTTTGGCGCCACGGCTTTGGTTTGGCGAACGACACGAGCGATTCGGTCGACCCGACCAGCGGCGACGAAGACGACGATGAAGACTGGCGACGAGCACGCTGCGTCGTGGTTGGTCATTCCCTGGGTGGTGGAACCTCAGGCTGGATCCTCCGCGATGCGCCAGACATTGTCGCAGGGATGGTCCTGCTGGACCCCATGTCGATCGTGCTCTTCGCCGCCGACGGCCCTCGCAACTTCTTCCGCACTAGGGTCCGAACCGCGGGTCAGATCTTTTTCAAATACTTTGCGTTGGAGAGGGGGATCAATCACTTTCTGTCGAGGCATCTGCGGTGGACGGATTCGGTCATCTTTGGACCCAATCCGAACAGCGCCTTGCCTGAGGAGGCGAAACGGGCCATCGTACCCAGAATGGCGAGGACTGAGATCCAGGTTCCCTTTGACCGACCCAATTATGCACAATGGATTAGTGCGTGCCCCAATGGACCCATTGTGAGTGTGTTTCAATTCCGCCGGAGTCTTAGACAAATCCTAATTCGCCCTCGGTGTTCAATTCGTCTGCTCTTCCCTTTTTCAGCCCAGCCAAGTGTTCCTCTCCGAAGGGGACTGCATCCTTAACGTACCCGGCAAGCTTGTCCCTTACCTCCGAGGGTCCGGATTCGAAGAAGGGAAGAACCTCTTCGTTATGCCCGGTGAACACGCGGCGGTGTTGATCTCGCCTTTTTGGTGTCGCAAGATCGCACGGGCCGTGAAGGAGGTGGCGGATGCCGGGGAGAAGGTGTTGTATGAGTTGCTGGAAGAGGAGGAGAAAGAGATCGCGATGATTGGGAATGGAAGTGGGAGCGGGAACGGAAATGGGAATGGGACGAGTTCGAGTGGTTTGGGTCGGGAAAAGACGGATGAGGAGAAACGACAGGTCGAGGAGGCGCAGTGATCTGTATCGGATCGCAGGAGGTGGCTATTGTCTTATACCATCACGTCAAATTGTGTTGCCAAACCCTTTTGGTACTTCACTCCCTGAATAATAAAACAACATGTTGCATCGTACGCCGCCGCAAGAGAGAAACAACCCCCTCCATGAATCAAGCCACCGATTAGCTCGCGTTCCCAAATTTTGGGATCTTTAACCAAGCATCCGATCCGTAGCCTTGGACCGTAAAGATCTCGAGCGATCCCGAAAAATATCTACGGGAGAAAACGCAGACTCGAGCTTAATCCTTTGTAGCTCCGACGCTGGAACGCTCGCGCTTGCGCTCCCTCGCACTCACTCGGCGAACATCCTGGCCAACGGTAAGCCAATCCCACTCTTCATCTGCGCATCCTGCATCATCTCTTCATCATTCTCCTCCGCTTCCTTTCCATCCTCCTCCTGAGACTGACTCGACGCTCTCGCGCGATGTCGTTTCACCTGTTCGGCCACCGTTCCCTCCAACTGACCGACCGCACGTAATGCCTCAATCCCTTCAACAGGTTTCTTCTTCCTCCCTTCTTCAACCTCTCGTGTTGAGCCCTGTTGTTCATCCGCAAGTAAATGATGTTGATAGAAACGCCTCATATGCGCAAAGGTGAAGAGGTCCAAGCGTTGACTATTCGCAACGGGGATGACGACGTCCGGTGAAGTAGAATAGGAACGAAGGAGGATGTCTTGTTCGGTTGGGGGGAGTCCACCATAAGGCGGGATCCCTCCGGCTTGGTCCGAGATGCGGATGGAGACGTCGCGTGGTTGGTGGGATATGGTGATGGTGATGGGATGGGAAGAGGCGGCTTCGGCCCCGAGATTGACGATCGTCGAGTGGGCGGCTGATTTCAAGAGTTCGAAAAGCATAAATCTGGAATAAGGAGCACATTCTAGTGTCAGTTCGGGAATTCTATGCCGACGGGCGGGAGATGGAGGGTACCCACTCGAGATGTTCAGGGATATACGCAAACTCGTCCTCGACGCCTTTGCCCTCAACCTTGATCTCCACCAAAGCCTCCGGTCCCCCTCTCCCTTTGATCAACTCCGTACACCGCTTGACAACATCAATCAATCGGATTCGAGTATCAACGACTCCGACGTAACGATCCAAGTCTATCGCATGCTTGCCTGTACGTTGTCGATCTCGCAATTGGTGCGTGAGGCCGATGTGTTGTTCCGTGATGACGCGGCGGGAGAGACGAGAGCGGAGCATGCGTGTCATGATGCGGTCGACTTCGCGGGGACCCAGGTGATGGGGTGAAGTTTCGCAGATGCTGGAGTGGGGAATGAACGACGCGGAAGGGATGAGCCAATCTGAGGAGAGAAGGTTTCTGAAGGTTTTTCGCGCGAGGCCGAGCTCACCCAATGGCCAAGTCGGGAATGACGACACGATGCCGGTTCAGTGTCGATTGCATAAAGGCGCAAAACTTGTTATTGTCTTCGAGAGTCTTGATGACGGGGAACCTTCGAATGCTGTGCCCAGGGATCGAGTCAGGGGTCAGTCGGGCCGGCCTCAGCTTCGGCTTTGGCTTTGGCTACGGTGGAAGATCATGGGGCAGTCCGGAGACTTACGCTTCGAACGCTTCCAGGTATAGTTGGTATACATGTTCTATTCTTGGGTTACTGGCGACGACATAAGGCAATTCTTGCAGATCCCGGAGACGATGGGACAGTCGTGTCGGCAACTCGGTCCTCAACTGCCCGACTCAGAGCGGGTTCAGTCCAGGTGCGGAGTTTTAGGACGTCGGGGAAGCAACACATACAAAGTTGCCCGACTTGAGCAGCTTCTCCCCCTCCTCCTGTTCGCCCTTGTTGCGTCCATGCTTGCCAAAGTTGATGAGGTGCTTGAGCGAGATGGGCGTCGAGCGCTGTGCGGCGAACTTTTCGATCGTCTGAGGGCGAGAAAGAACCGAGGTGAGAGTGAGACAGCTAAAGATACGCTCGAGGTTGACCTGCCTTGTTGGAGTAGAATGCTGGGATCGAGTTGGTGCGTGCAGGGATGGCCGTCGCGGTCGTGGTTGCGAGCTGTCGAAGCCGAGCAGCCGAGCTCGAGGGCCTGCAGTGGGGAGCAGGTGGAAAGCATGAGCACGGACTCGGACTCGGTCGCTGAAGCTGTGCACTCTGCTGAGCTACATTGTGGGGGGCTCGGAGGGAGTCGGACGAGGTGTGAGGGGGCGAGGACGAAGCGGAAGAGACACGGCAAAGCCCCGTCCGAGTGCCGAGCGCGCCCCGGTGTCGCCTGGTGTCGCTTGAATAGGCTTGAATACTGAATAGGCTTGAATGACTCAAAACCATTGGCGCGCGCGCATAAGTCACTTAGTACTGTAGTAACCGGCACGCTAAGCGGCTTTGGCATTATCCCATCTATCCAAACGCACAAGCCACAGAGCATGGACGATTCGTTTGGAATGTTCAAGCACCCGTGAACGCACGGAAACGGGAAATTAATTATGGCAACAGCTACTCCGAGTCGCCTCGGCCAAAATTCGATCGACCGTCACAAGCTGTCACAAGTGGGGGAGGAGGGGGGAGGCTGGGGGAGGCTGGGGGAGGCTGGGGGTGGACGACTTGGCAACTTGAAGCCTGGCGCCGAGCAGCAGCGAGCAGCAGCGAGCAGCTCATTCTCCTTCCCCCCTCCCCCCCATCGCCGATGGTCAATCTTGTCGAACCCAACCCACCTAGCACAGGTCCCCGCCCTCGCGTCACCCCAACTACTTTGATCGCACGATGGCCCACCGCGAACGCGCAGTCGACCGTGCCCTTGCTCGCTCGCACCATTACCGCGAACCTCTCTGGCATCGCCACGGGTAGGAGGGCGTTGCAAATACGTCCCTTTCGCATAGCAGCACCTTCCACATCAAGCACGGGAAAAGGAGCCGGAGCAGGAGCAGGAGCGAATGCCGAGTCGTCGAGGAACATGTGGGTGCTCAGGACGTTGGGCACCGCGGACGATATGGTGTTTGTATGGGTCAACGATCCGACTCAGCCGACGCGGAGATCCATGACCACCGGTCGGGCACAGTTCATCGACAAGAGAAAGCGCAACGAAGGCGATGACACGACCATGGCCGAGTCCGAGCAAGAGGACGAGGACGAGGACGAGGATGAAGACGATCTCGTTTTGGAAACCACACCGCGTCACACCCGATGGACCTTCACCTCGTTGGGCGTCGCGACCAACATGACATCCTCACCCTTGCACGTATCTCCCTTTGATGCGTTCCTACAGCGCGTTCTGCTCTCGTCCTCGTCCACGTTGGGATCATCCTCGGCAGCTTCGATCGGCCAACCCATTACCACCGGCTCGCCTAGTCCCCCTTCAGGCGCAGTGCATTGGACACCGAGGCCGACAGCAGTTTCGTTGGATGGGTTCACTTTTTCCGTCGGTGGTCCGAATGGCACGGGCGATTGGGAAGTCAAGATCGCGACCGTTGGTCTGAAGGGTGGCGCCAGCGTCGGTTCTTCCAAAGGGGTCGTAGTCGAGGTGAGCGTCGAATTGAACACGAAGAGCTGTCCAATCCCATATGATCAGCTTACTCAATCGATGATCGACCTTCTCAGATCACCTACCTCCCTGTACCCTACCTCTCCCCCAACTCGACCTTTATCCGAGATTTCGGCTCGACCCTGTTCCCGACCCAAGCGCTCGCGACGGGTGAAATCGACTTTTACGAACCCGATCATGAGCAGATGTACGAGGCTGGGCTGGTGTCGACCGAGCAGGACAAGCGAGGGGAGTGGGAATGGTCCGACAAGCATTCGGCGTGGGCGTACCTGCAGTTGTTTAGGAAGGAAGGGATGTTGTGAGCACAAATCAGTAAAAGTACAGTCGCCCTTTGCTCCTACTAGGGTATTCTGCGTATTTCAGCTTGTTGTAATTGAATGCATACATCGTGGATGGTCATGGGCTCGCTTTATGAGAAGCAAAGCTGACATGAGTCTTCATAAGCCAATCCAACTCCGCACAAATCGACTGCCGAATGAGAAGGTGGGTCCGAGCGCGCCGCCTCTTCCCTTTCCTTCTCACCCCCTGTCCCCACTTGCCGTCACTCGCGTCGCCACTTCCACTCGGGAGAGTTCTTGACCGAGGCAGCTGATCCGGTGCCCCGGTGGAACCCAGCGTGTGGGGATGGTGTACCCACAAGCCGCGTACCTGCTGCGGGAACACCTCGTCGCGACCAACTGGTCGCTCGACAACCACTACCACGCCCTCACGCTTTCCTCGCGCAACCTGCTCGACTTCCCCATCCCCCCCGGCCTGCACCTCTCCCTCTCGCATCGCCCGACCTCCCTCCTTGCCTCGAGTCTGCAACTGTCAACGTTGGCGCCGAGCGGTTCGACGACGTACAATACGTATGCGCAGGCGAATGCACCCGTGCTGGGTCCGCCTGTCAACCCGTTGTTGAGTGGACAACTGGGTTACTTCTTCAGCTCGGCTCCGTTGGGGCATCAGAGCACAAAGAGGGAACAGCAACACCACAAAGCAGCGTCACCGATGGCTGCGAACGCTGGACAGGGCACTCTCCAGCTCGTCATTGATGAGCAGCCCGTCGATCTACTACAGCAACACACGCAGGGCAACAGCGAAGGTGGCTTCAGGTTCAGGGATGCGGTGCAAAGTTTTCATGCATGTGATCCGCCTATCAAGCCCCGGACCAGAGTGGCAGATCCCAACAACCCCACCACCGCGGGTAAGTGCTCCGACTCGACCTTTGGGTCCCACAATCGGCGAATCCGGTCGGCTGAACGCTCCTCTTTCCCCGCAGATTTTCTCATGTACGGTCGGCTCTACGCCCCTTCCCCTCGTCTAGACGCGCTCTATGCCCATCGTCTCGCACCCACCGTCCTAGGCCTCGTATCCCTCATCTCCGTGCCCGCGCCCATCGCACCTCCCCAACTTTCGTGGCAACCCAACGACGAAGCCTCCAGCATGACCATCAACGCACCCCCGACTTCAACGACCTCGGCGAGGTTGAGCGAGTTGGAGTTCAAGTTGCAGCATGATACGGGCAAGTGGTCGACCGAGTATTCGTACGCTGTCGGCGATGGGATGTGGGGTGCGAGGGGGTTGTACAATTTTGGGTATTCAGGCGCCAGTTCGGCGGGAGGTCCTTCTTCGTCGGGGGCTTCCGGTTCGGACGGAGTTACGACTTCTGACGACTCCCCCTCTTCGCATGTACGCGAACGCGTCGTCGACGAAGAAGAAGCGACTTCGACGGGGCTCAAAGGTCGTTGGTCAGCAGGTGGGGAGCTCTACTTTTCCGCCCAAGAACGTTCCGCAGGGATGTCGACCGGCCTCCGGTTCGCGACCATACCTTATCCCGAACTCCACGGAGACCATGCTTCTTCTCATCCTCAACCACCCACGGTCATGACAGCGACTTTGAACCCTTTCATGGGCCAACTTTCGCTTGCGTATGCCGTGCAGACGAGTCAAGTCGCTGCTTTGGCCAGTAGATTCGATTTCAATACGTATTCGTACGAAGCCGAATTGACCGTCGGTGGGGAATGGTTCCAAACGAGACGACATCGCGCCAAGATGAGAGAAGAAGGAAGTTTAGGAGATGTGGAGGAAACGAGGATCAAGGAAAAAATGAAGAGTTGGGATGCGTTTGAGAGGGGGACACAGGGGGTGTTGGGCCGGGAGGAGAGGAAGGAAAGGAGTCGGGACGATGATGAGGTTGTGGGGGTCGTCAAGGCGAGGGCGTCGACGAATTCGGTCAGTACCGAAAAGGAGCCGCTGTTCCTTCCCTTCCCTCCCATGCTGACGTACCCAATTTCTGTCCTCAGGACGTCTCGCTCTTGTGGGAAGGTCGACTGGGGGACTTCCTCGTCTCGCTGGGCGTCGTTGCGGATCTGAGGCTGGCGACGAAGAGTGCTGGAAGGGTTAGCCCAATCCGTAGTATTGGTGTGGGGTTGCAGTACTGGGGGTAGAGATGATTAGGCGCAAACATGTTGTGAGATTGGGTTATATTATCGAGGTCTTGAATGGGAAAGAACAAAATCAAAAAGAGACTACGAACTGTGTTCCGATTCAACCAGGAGAAAGATCCCCAGCCAGAAAGGAGCATTAATGGACCACAACAAATTAAGAGAACAGAGAACCTAACGTCGGATAGCAAAACAAGCCGATGTTAGAGCAACCTAGGTATAGCCGAAAGCGAACGAATACTTCTCGTCTCTTCTAACTGCAAAGCCCAAACGAGGCATTCCTTCTCTCGTTCCGTGCGCCCGCTCCCCTTGTAGCATTTCGAAAGTTCGAACCACGCTTCGGGGACGTCCCATCCGTAACGTTTCGTCAGGGTGTCGAGGAGTGCTTCGGCAAAGGGAAGTTTAGGGTTCGTAGTCGCCGTGGGTGTCGAGGTTGTTGTCGTTGAGGAAGGCACGGGGTCTGCGAGATAGACTCGGGCCATGAGGATGACGGCGGGGACATGGTCGGCTTGGAATGACAGGGCCTTGATGAGGCAGGATCGAGCGGCCTTCAGTTCGTTCTTGGCTAAACGGTACAAGGCCAATTGGGTCCATACATCGGCATCGTTAGGGTTCAGAGCTTCGGCTTCGGCGATGGCGCCTCGAGAGTCTTCGAGCTTGTGCGCTCGTCGGTATGAAGCGGCGGACATGAGCCATATGTCGACGAGCACCTTGGTCGCTCGGGGGTTCATCGAAACGGACGGAGCAGGGGCGGCTACGAAATCGGCCTCGTCGTTGCCCGTCACACTACCTCGGATACTCCTCGCTCGGCCCAGCGAGATGCTCTTTCGTCGAGCCAAAGGAGCGCCGTTCGACGTGTCGATCGGTAACGCGTCAGCGACGATCTTGAGCTCAGGCGCATCGCGGACTTGGGCGAACGATTTCGAGAAATCAGCCAGAAGTTGTTGCTGATCGATCAGAGCGGCCTCGGGTCCTTCCATTGCTTCGATGACGACGTTACGCGTCATGCGCATCGAGAACTCGACCTGCAATCGTTGGGTATCATCGCTCGAAAACTCGAAGCGATCCAGACCGTTCTCGATCGAGTTGAATTTGGGTTGACCGTTTCGGACCCCGTTGACCCCAGCCTCGTCCGCTTCGTCTTCGTCATCGTCGTCGAGAGAGGTCTCGATGACTTGCAAGGCCGCACCGAGATCCTTTTGAGCAGCGACGAGCAGACCGAGTAAGTGCCAGACCTCCTTGCTCGAGTTGTTGAGTGCCGCTGCCTGTCGAGCGCGATCCAAAGCAGGGTCGATTTGACGCAATTCGGCGAGTTGGTACGCGAGGTGGTAGAGCGTTTCCCATGAGTTGGGATTGAGTTGAACTGCCGTTTCGAGATGCTTCAGGGCCTCGGCATGTTGGTGTGGCCGCGATTCGACGTCGGCTTCTTTGGCCGTCAAAGCACCAAGCGCGACACCGCATGCTCGTTCCATCTTGCTTAAAACGACCTTGTCCTCGGCCAGTTGACGGTCCTTCTTCTCGTCAAAGATTTCCTTGGCCCTCTTGGCCAACTCCAAACCGAACTTGGGGTCGTTGATGTACTTGCAGAATAAGCGCGATCCCCATGCAGCGGTCTCGACGAAGTCGCGATCCGTATCAAAGTCGTTGGCGTAGCGGTCCTCTCGATCATCGTCGTGTTCGAGTCGAGGGGCCGACTCGCCTCGCAGACGACGGATATCCTTGGCGACCTGGACTGCGTCCGTTTCCCGCGCTTTGTTCCACAACTCAAAGTACAGGCGAACGGCTTTGCCGGCCTCATCGTATTGACCGAGGGCGACGAGCGCTCGAGCGAGATGGCGCAGCAGTCGATGGGATTGGAACGTGTGCGTCAAAGCGTTGTACATGACCTGGGATGAGATGCATGTGTCCGCTTGGGTGATTAAGGTGTCCCAGTAATAACAGATCCGAGTGTCCCGACTTACCTCGACCACTTCAGCAGCCCCATCTCGACCTGCGCCATTCCTGCGCCATCCTTCAGCGACCTCATCCAAGAACATGAGGTAAGGCTTGTTGACCTCCCCAGCCTTGGGCAACGACGTCGATGATCTCAAATTTGCCTCTTGCGACGACCCCGACGAAGGCGCCTCGTACTGGCCCGTCTGCTTCATCAAATGTCGGAACCCGCGTTGAATCACGAGAGCTTTGCTCCCCGGGAACAATTCGGTCGACGGCGCGCGACGAGACGGGTTTTTTTGTGCTGCACTGATGGTTGTTGCGCGGCGAACGTAAAGGCGATGGTGAGCGTAGGCGACGCGTGGATCACTGCGAGTGAAGCTCCCAACGCATGAATCAGCTCCGAGTCCGTCAATACCACACTATCAATGGGAGCTCCTCACCTCTTGGCCTTGGAGTGGACGCAGAGACGGTAAAGTGCGGCCTCGCCGACACCGTGCAGTTCGACGTCATCCATAGGCGAGTTCCTCGCCGACAGGACGGCACACGCATCCTCGTAAATTTTGGCGGCTCGAGTGTACGCCGCGATCGCTTCGTCGTCCTTTCCAAGTCGCTCGAGTGCGAATCCTGCAAAAGCCAACTCGACTCAGCGTCCTTTCTGGAACAAAGCGGATGAAAGGATAAGACTAACCTTCGGTTGCGTTCGCGAGTACCCTCAGGGTCAAGTCGTACGCCTCAAAGTCGCCCGCACTGGGCAACCCCTTGTCGACCTGCTTAAGCTCATTGGCGGCGCGATCGAATTCTCCGACCGAGTACAAGCCATACGCGCTGACGATGGCTGCCGAGTTGCGTTCGACGTCCTTACCCTGGCTTTGTCGGAGAGCGGCTTCGAGAGCGGCGAGGGAAGCCAAGATGTCGGGCCGGTCGTCGATTCGGACAAGTGGGGGCCACGCAGGGGCTTGACCTGGGTTGTCGAGCGCGTGCGAGGTCGAGGGCGAGTAGGACGAAGCTGCTGCAGCGCGCGCGAGCAACGAGTGAAGCAATTGGTCGGTTTGTGCTGTAGCAGCGGTGACTGTGGGGGGAAGGGGTGTTCAGGCGAGTCAGGATCTGCGAGTCTCGGACTGGGGCTGAAGAAGTCGGTCTCGCCGGCGCAAGCAGGTCGAGAGAAACAATCGCCCACGTCGAAAGATGCGCGGTTCGTTCGTATATTGTACCCGATGAAGAAGCCAATGAGGTTCGCCCATCTGAAGAACAATCCTCCACCCAGGGGTCCCCACTTGCTACTCGGCGCGTGCTGTAGTCCATGCACCAGGCTCTTTACATTCACTGTCATAGCACACAATCGTGACATTGTGCTCGTGACTGTGTACATGTGTTGGGTCTGATGTACCCTCCACGCGTCCCGTCCAGCTGCTGCCATCCGAGGCGGCACGACGGGGGTGACGATGACGATGACGTTCGTACGGTTGACGTTGCCGGTCGACGCAACAACTGAGGCCGGTCGCGCAAGTAAACTCATCGCATACTCACTAGGTCGTTGCGGGTTGTGTTTCGTAAACTTGCGCAGCAATTCCTTCCAATCCATCCCCTTGTCGCTGCTCGAGCCCGAGCCCGACTCGGCCGGCGAGTTGACCTTGCCCGACGAATGCGCCGGATGCGCCTCGGTCCACAACGCCAATCGACGCGCTTGGTCGAGCGTGATCGAGTACATGGAGCCTTTGCTGGATGACATGGCTGGTAAAAGTGATGCGTGCGGCTGGCGTGCGGGGCTGTGGTCGGTGCGGTGACCGGAAGGGAGATGCGATCGGCTTCAGCTGAAGAGACTCTTGAGAGCGTGGCTCGGCGAAGGGGGCGGTCAAGAGGCGGAGAAAGAGAGAACGGAAGCCTGGACTGGCTCTTTTCGTGGCTGCGTTGCTTGGAAGAGGATGCGCTGCTCCGGAGCGTGAGGGTGTCGGTAAGTGTCTGAGAGGTAAGAAGCAGCGAGTCAACCCGGAGTCGGTGCAGTCGTACGCGAGCGCAGCAGCCGGCGGCATTTGAGCCGAGCTCGAGTCGCCGGTCCGACGTCCGCCAGCACCGAGTCGGTTGAACGTGACCGCCGGCGGCCGACGACGAGTGATCTGGCAGATGGCAGCTGCACAAAATACTTAAAAGTAGCGGACCAACAAGCTGGCGCAAAGACTCATACAGGATGCGAAAACTGTCTCGAGCTTTCCACATAAAAAAACACCTCTTTTGCTCAATTCGCTCGAGCTCGACAGCTCACTAGAAACTGGGCAGGAATTTCACGTCTGAGAGATGGTAATCGTGCCACTGGCAATATAAGTCTGGTACGGTCCCAGACCGAGCAGAGTGCCTGTTCGGGGTATGAAGCTTCATGCCCTCTCGGCCGCTCAGAATTCTCCCAATGTGACAATTGACCGAGCTGAATACGGGCGGCGACGCTCGGACCTCGAGTCTTGTCACTCTCGTGCAAGGCAAAGGTCATGTGAGGCAGAGGTTGCTCTTGGTGGGGTGGTGACTGAGGAACCCGGAAAGAAGCAATCGGAGCGAGAGTCTTGAATTCACAGCGGCTCACGCGCTCACGTGCACTCAGCGAGACCACTGCAGTAGAGACCCTTTTACAGAGAGTACGAGACCGGCGGGTGTGCGCCACAACCTGATCGTGGGGTTCGCTCTCACTCCACACACACCTGGCCCTCGCCTCGCCTCACCGACACGGGCACCATACACACACACACTTCCCTCATCGCTCCGAATTGACGACAAGTCAGTCTCTCCGGTCTCGTCTTATCCTTCCGCCGTCGTGAATGCTGACATCCCCTCCTGCACACGGCCCCTTGCTCCTCCGAACAGTGGCGGCGTATGCTTCGAACGGCCCGACGGCGCAGCCCTCGTTCGGGACGCTCACCGAACCCCCTACGACGCTCAAGCTGCTCGTCATTGGTACGTGTCGTATGAAGGATAAGATTTCTATCTGCTTGGTCGGTGGGGAGAGGGTGGAATCTCCCGATGCGTTGCCGAGCAGCTTTGGCGTCGGAGCTGGCCTCGCTTGCTGGTCATGACGACAGCGTCCAACTCGCGACGACGAACGGCACCCATCGGCTCGGGACCACTCCATGCATCACACCGCGATCGACAAGCCCCGGATCGTACACATCTGGTACACCCATGATACGATCCTCGCAGAGTTCGTCGTGGTAGTCATGCGCAGGGCCGTTCGCTGTGCCATTATCGGCCTAACGGCTCTCCGGGTCTGCTCTGGGTCTGCTGAAGTGGCGCGTGACTCGGCGACAGAGACGAACCAGGAGCGGCCTATGTCGAGACCGCACACGTTCACAGGCGTGTGCTGCCAACACCAACGCCTAGTCTTGAACTGAAATTCAAGGAGGCGAGGTGTGCGCGGTCAAATGGAACTAACCCTCATTCCTATACACGGCTGGACCTGGATGCGATTCTCACAGGGGCTTCTTCGGTCGGCAAGTCGTCGCTCCTGCTTCGATTCACCGACGAGACCTTCTTATCCCCTGACGAAACCAGCGGTGAGTTTCATATTCGACTCGGCGTTCTCAACCAAGTCCTGACGCGTTCGGATACTTTCTCTTCCACTAGCCACAATTGGCGTCGATTTCAAAGTCAAGGTCATTGAGCGAAAGAACAAGCGCTGGAAGCTGTCCATTTGGGTACGACATCGACACTTCACGGATACGGACTCGAAGCTTTGCTCATCCCAGTACTGACCCGCTGTGTGGGATCCCAGGACACCGCGGGGCAAGAGCGATTCCGAACGTTGACGAGTTCCTATTATCGTGGCGCTCAAGGAGTGATTCTGGGTGAGGTCGGACGCGGTGCTCGGAACGGTCTCGTTACCACCATGTTGAGCTTCGCTGAACCTCTCGTATATCCTATCCAGTCTACGATATCACTGCTCGCGACACGTTCGAGTCATTAACGTCCTGGATTGCCGAGCTCGACACGTTCGCCGGAACGGGGTCGGGAGCCAAAGAGGTTCGTCCATTGCTGTCCAGGTCATCAATACATGCTTTCTTTACGGCTGATTGTCCTTCATTCGAGAATACTCCACAGGTCGTCAGGATGATTGTCGGCAACAAGACAGACCGAGAGTTCTCGCGCGTCGTCAGTACGGCCGAAGGGGAGGCGTTCGCCCAAGCGCAGAATCCGCCGTGGTTGTTCATGGAATGTTCGGCGAAGAAGGGTGGCGAGGACGTGACGGGCGAAGATGGATTGTTCAGTCGGGTTGTTGATAAGGTCAGTGATTCTTGAATGAGAGTTCTTCTATGTCAAGAAGGAAAATTGAGTGTGTTAACTCTTGTGCATGCTTTGATTCGTGCCCCCTTCCAGATCGTCGAAACCCCTTCCTTGTATATGAAGAACAACATCGGCGTCAACTCGATCAACAAGAAGGGTCCACCTGGTCAATTCCCCTCTGGGACCGTCAATCTCGACGAAGCCGAGGAATCCGGAGGCGGATGGTGCGCGTGTTAAGACTATGTTCTGGCGCCGTCTCGTCTCAGCTCCCACCTTCGACTACCGCTCGCTCACTGTTTCTCAAACCCTCGCATCTTTCTGATTGTCAACCTTGTTCATTTACACAACTATCGCCCATCCCGGGCTTCGCCGTACTGTGCTTGTACCTAGTATCATTCTCTCGCTCCTCGCAAGTTTTATGGTGAATATTAGCCCCGTGTCTTCTTTTCCCTCATTCCAATCCCCGTCTAGTCTTGTTATCGTTCGTTCAGTTTTACTTGTGTGTCAAAGTACAGATTCAGATCACCGCGCTTATCTCGAACCTGGCATGATAGTAGACAGGAGAGTGAAGCGTCAAGGAGTTTAGATACCTCGGCCACCGGTGACCTAGAACAAAAGCAAGGATCAGACATCATCAACACGCATCCCCCTTCGAAAACGAGACGATGTTCATCGCCACTACGAAAACTGACCTCGAGCGTGTGACCCGAAACGTAGCTCGCCAAGGGACTGCACAAGAACAAGACCGCGCTCGCCGCCTCTTCGGGTTCTCCAGGTCGACCCAAGGGGACTAAAGTAGGGAGGCGATCGCGAGGTAATGAGCTTTCCGATCTGTGAAGGGAGTGACTCAAGGGAACGGTTTTGGGGACTTACTATCGGGAAGTCGGTCCGAATCGGTCTGCTTGCCCTTGCCCTGACCCGGGATACCGAGCGCGACTTTTTGGCCGTTGACCTCGATGAACTCGCCCAACTCCTTGGCGGCTGAAAGTAGGTCCCCGAAGAGCATCAGAGGTCAGTCGTTGCGGGAGACAGAGTGGAGACTCGAAACGGTAAGACATACCAGTCAATCGAGACTTGATGTATCCGAACGCGACGGTGTTGCAGCGGACGTTGAAGGCACCTGGTTGGAAATCAGGATAGATCATGTCAGTGTCCCGTTCTGAAACGAAAAGAGAGAAGTAACTCACCCCACTCCTTGGCGATCGTCTTGGTCAACCCGACCACACCGGCTTTGGCAACGGCGTAGTTGGCTTGGCCGACATTACCGTGAAGACCGCTGTAATTGGATTACAGGGTAGGTGAAGGTGAGCGATGTTGTTCCCACACAGGTGGCTTGGCATCCTGTCGAGACTCACGAAGTGGAAGAAACGTTGACGATCGATCGGTTCGTTGCCAACAGCTTCGGGTCCTTGACTCGGAGGTAGGGAGCCGCCTCACGGATCAATCGGAAAGGTGCCGTGTTGTGGACCTAACATGCAATGAACGGAACGTGAGGGTCAGCATACTTATTCAAAATGGAGATGGCGGCGACGGAAGAATTGACCTTGAGCATGAGCTCAAAAGTGTCGTCGTTCATGGTATGGAGCATCTTGTCGAACGTGAAGCCGGCGTTGTTGACGATGTGATTCAAGCCTCCGTACTTGCTGTAAAGCGCGTTCAGCAAAGAGAGGAAGTCGGTGTTAGGCGAGCGTACCCCACGTTAAGACCGAGAGGGACCTCAGTTTCCCGAGGAGCTTGGCAACGGAGCCTTCGCGAGACTCACTCGACGGTGGCCTTGATGAGCTGCTTGGGGTAGTCCTGGGCCGTAACATCGCCTCCGACGGCAATGGCTTCACCGCCGGCTTTCTTGATCTCATCCACGACAATCTGAGCTTTCTCTGTAAGGCCGCAGAGCAGCAGAGGAAGAGATTAGTCTCGAATCAATGACATGCGGGGCTAGGTCTGCGCGCGCGCACGCTAGAGTCGAAGCCATTGGGCACGCCGGTGTAACGTACTCTCGTCCAAATCGGCAACAACGACCTTGGCGCCTTCTTTAGCGAACAAAAGGGCGCATGATCGACCGATACCTTGGGCAGCCTGAGTGAGATGAGGTCCAATCGAGCGAGTGGAGTGTTCTGGGTCAGCCGAAGCACCGGCGATGAAGGAGCGACGACGACGGTGAAATGCGAGTGAGCCGGCCGAGCCGGGCTTTCGACTCTACGAATGATGAACGTACACCGGTGATGATGGCAACTTCACCCGCCAACAGACCTTTTGGCGTCAAGGCAAGTTGGGAAGAGATGGCTTGGAGACGGGCGGGGGCAGACATGATTATTTTGAATGAGGACGGGGACGCGGGATGGAGAAAGGTACGACGAAGCTGCAAGCCGAGTAAATGAGTTGGGTCGGGAGGCAAGACAGACTCCGGGCCAAGCTGGGCCAAGATAGCCGGATCTTGGGGCCCAGCGATGTCCAGTCTTCGAGCTCCGCGGTTCAGCAGATTTGGCATGTTCGCATCAATAAAGCTTTCGTAACCATTCCCGCAAGCCAAAGGCTCCGGATTGAAGATCCCAAGCCTTGATCCAGTGTTGCATAGGCTCGTTGAGACAAAGCCACCCCTGCTCACGTGACCCTAGCCGGCTTATAGTTCGAGCTGGCGGGAGAATCTCCGCCGTTCCGATGGCAAGAGTAGTGTGGCTGACTGCACCTACACCCTCAGCACTTGAGTTTTAGTTGGTGTTCCGAATGCACCAGAAGATAGATCAATCCCTGCTGCACTGTGCTACCGGCCATGCAGCACTCGATCGTCTCGGCCGTAAATCTGGGGTCACCGTGGACGGGCGGACTCAAAATCAGTGCCCGACAGTCGCTGCCAGTGAGTCAGTGACCGTCCCCTACGATCGCCGCTATGCTACTCAACGTGAGGCCTTGGCCTACGAGAGTTGTCGAAAATATCATTCATGCGACTAATCTGGACAGGGGCTCCGGACCTGGTGCAACCCCGGCCTGAAAGAGCGACGTGGCGTCCTCAGAACGTCATCGCGAAAACACAGGATCTTGCGCCGATCCCCGCCTTGGGCCAATAATTCCGATCGATTCGTTTTACGGAATTAACGCACCGCGGGGCGGCGACAAGTCCCTGAACCTCCAGTGCCCTCTATGAAGTCACACTCACACAACTATGGCCCGAGGACAGGCACTACCTCCTACTTAGCCGCAAGCGAATAACCACCGCAAGACAAGGCTTAGTAGAGACTCTAACGACATCCACATTTCATTCAATTTCGACTGCATTTCATTTTAAATTTTCTTCTCTGCCTATCCTCATTCAGACCTATTTTCGTTTTCGTTGTCTAAACAAGGACCAGGAACCCTTTCTTCCCTCACCATGCGCTTGAGACCAATCAAGCATGAGCCTTCCCGGCCCTGCGGTAGGAGCCAGCCGCGCGTTCCGAAGAGTGATCCTTGTCGGCGGCCTCTTTCGCCTGCGCGTGAGCCGAATTCTCGTTGTTGTTAGTGACTGTTGAACGCCAAGTTACCAAACTCATCAGCCGGTATAAAATGTTCAGTGGGAATTGCGGGCTTGAACTCATCCTCATGACCATCGGTGCTCGACAAGTCAATATTCAGCTCGGCGTCCATTGCCGAACGCTTGACAGGAGAGGCACTGACCCGCCTAGGACTGAGTCGGACTGTCGGCGGGGGCGTGGTCTGGCGTGTCATCTGCCGCACATCAGACAAGGAAACTACATCAGGCCCATGCAATGTGCACAAAACGTTTGCCGGGGGACCTGTCCCTCCAAGCGGGAGCCTCGACGGTGCAGACAACCGCACACAGATCACCTTCACCCAGGGTGCCCACTGCCTAGCGTGGGATATTCTTGTGCAAGTCGCCGAGGGTGCTCATCGACAGTCACGGGGAGTTGCGTGGGATATCCTTTGGCGTACTTGCGACCGGTAAAAAGCCCCTCCCGGACCTCCGCATAAAATCGACTGTAATCGGGCAGGTCGAGAACATTCTCCGGGTCCAATTGGGAACAGGCGGAATCACGCCGGCGTCCAGCACCGGGTCGCCCCCCGTGACTCCATCTTTCCAATGACTGCACACACCCGTGTCTGTCCGCCCAATCATCAGACGCTGGAGCACACAAAGACAAGCATATACATCACTACTTACATCCTGGGTGTGATCAACTGGTGGTGGATGAAGACCACCTGCCGCTTCGCCGTTAGTAGGTTTGGCGTGTTGAATTCGATCGCTGGCCGGGCCGGTGAGGGTGAGAAATAGGAAGGAGTCAGGTCTCTGTCTTTCTTTGCAACGGATTCAACTTACATTAAGTATTTCCCAATTTCTATGCCGTTGCCCCATGTTCAGAAAAGGAAGGATCGCAACTTGGACATGCCCTGAGTCGCAACTTTGCCTCGGACTCGGACGCCACGAGCAAGTGCTCCTGCCGCTGCCTTTCCGGAGGCAAGCTTGTGCTCGAGACTGAGGACACAAAGTGTACCCCGAGTCAGCCTCTATAATGAAATCTAGTAGTAGGTGGGCTGGCCCTCTAGGTCGCTCCGCCGATGGACCACGCGAATCAGTGATGGCAGCACGCCATTCCTTGAAATCAAACGTTGTAGGCCTGCAGGCTGGGGACCAGAATGTCATTGGCTGTGCTTCGCTTGAAGATGTAGCCACTCTCGCATGCTGGACAACGCCCAGCGCATGAAGACAATAGAACCCGCAAAATCAATTATGTAACCTTTGATCGCCGAAGAGAGTAGCCCTGCAAGTTGTGAGCCTGACAGAGAATCTGCAGTTGTTCCACACTGGCAGTGCACGAAGGTTGACGTTGGACAAGACGAGCTGTCGCAACGAGCACCTGATCACTAGAGTCTAGATCCTCGTCAAGCGACTGCGAGGAACCAGATCTGTTCAGTCCATGATAAGTGTACTGAACTCGTTCGCCATGTTGGCAAGAGCGACTGCCTCTTGTCAAGCCAAGCTCCCAGATGCTGTCCAATGAGTCGCAATGACTCGGCGTCGGGCGGCACGACTAAGATACGTGAACTGGGAGAGATCGACGTCGCCGTCGCAGGGGTGGGGAACACAAATGCCACTTGTTACCAATGACTGATTTGTCGGACCGACTGAGCACCGTTCGTGACTGATTAACTCATCCCCGAGGGAGGTTGTACCATGAGCTACTGAGATGTTGATGTTCGTACACAGCTATCAGACGGAGCCGAAGCCTGAAGGCATGCTCAGCTTTCGCGCCGTTCTGCGCCGTTTCTGGCTGCCGGCTACTGGCCTTGCGCGCGGGCCTGTGCGGGAGCCGCCCCCCGCCAACGAGGATTACTAATGTTGAGACCGTCGCCAATTTCCAAGCGCGTCCCCCCCCCCCCCCACCCCGCCCCACCAGAGCCGCCCCCCGCCAACGAGAATTACTAATGTTGAGATTGTCATCAATTTCCCTAGCTCGCGCCCCCCCAATTTTCGTTGAACAAAACTTCAGCTCTAGAGAGCTTCAGGGTTTTATCAAGATCCGAGAGATTGCAGCGACTCTGCAGACCAGCCGTTGCATTTGTCTAGTCTGCATATTCCTCTTCAGATGGGCACAGTTGTCGGACTACCTACCTCCTGACCGATCATAAGCATGCTTCCCGGTCGAGTCATTTGCCGGAGCAGGAGCACTGGACCAGGGAGAGGTCGCTGCGCGCGCCGGCCCGCCGGTGCTTAGAGCCTGAATTGCTGAACGCAATTATACGAGCTGCACAAACTCAATCCAAGTAGAGAGATCTGTTGTTTCTTCTTTTAAAATCATTCCGCCTTGTCAAACCCGTGATTCGGAGAGAAGTTATGCCCCGCAGCAACGCATGCATACCCGCAGATCAGCGGCACGGACCGTCGCCTGTGACAAAAACGGCACAGGCACCCCGCCGCAAGGTGGGTGGGAGCCCACGGAAAGATAGGACAAAAAGATGACGATACTTCATATGGGTGATCGCCACCCCAGGTGTACGACCCCGCTTCCACCGGGCGGCCTCGATGTGCCCTCGCTCCCCCGGGATTTGCACCAGCTTTTTTGAGGGTTGCAGCTCCGCGAATGATTGACGGCGCATCGTCGTCATCAACGTGACGTTAGTCCGCAAGCTTGGGCAAAAGGCGTTGGCCACGGCCCGCCTACTGCCCGCCTTCAGCAGCTTGCGCCAGCTTGCGCCGCCTGCGAATCCGAACAACGATAGCGCGCGCTACGCTCACTACTCCTTTCCATCGTCCCTATCCAACCCCCTTCCACGTCAACCGTTAAACCGAAGAGGATCTCGACAACATCGAACTCAGCTTGCAACCTGCGAGTGCTCGCTGCCCTGCCTGGACCTCCTTCAGACCTGCCTCCGCAGCTCCGCCTCGTGCGCGACGTCCCTGCACGGTCGCTCGACGGCGCGCGTCGCCGGCGCCGCCCAGATCGCTACTAACTGTCGGGTAGCGGTCGGCGTCAATCTGACTGCGCGATCGGTGGCTCCCGCACCCACACGCGCTCGCTCAACCCCGGCATGGTCGGAGCCAAGCCCTCTAGATGGCGACGGGCACTGTGCGTGTTCGTGACGTTGCTCGCGCTGTTCTTGCTCGGGACGGTGGTGGTGTTGACGACCGTGGTCGAGTACTTTGGCGTCGACTGGCGCGATGTCATAACCGAGCCCGAGATGCGCCTCTACGAACGCTTGGCCCGAGAAGCCGCTGCCACGCAGGCCGTTCTCGCCAACAGCGGCGCTGCTCAACACCAAGCCAAGGGTAATGCTCAGGCCGTCGTCAAGTCCAAGCTCGCCTTCGACGACGACATCAGTGCCGAAGACGACGAACCGTCGGTGGTACGACTTTTCGAGGGAGCCGACAGCCAGCCCGAAGCCCTGGCCTCAATCGCGCGCAGCGACAACGGTGACGGCGCGCGGCCCGATCGACGGTCCCTCAACGCCGAGGCGTCCCTTCCGTTGGCTCGACGCGAACTCGCAACCCCGACCACGAGCACGACAGCAGCCGAAGCCAGCTTGGCCGCTGCGGTCGATGACTTTGAACGTTCGCTCAAGACCAAGCCAACGCCGCGGATACCGCGCATCATCCATGCGACTTGGAAGACGGACGTCGTCCCCCAGCGGTGGCTCGCAGCGCGCCAAGGCTGTATGGATATGCACCCGGACTAGTGAGTTACTCTGTCCAGCGTTACCCGCCCTGCCCATATGCTAAAGACCGTACGTCCACCTGCACTCGCCCTGGATTTTGCTCACCACAGCGAGTTCAAGCTTTGGTCCGATGCGGCTTCGCGCGAGTTCATCGCGACTCACTACGCGTGGTTCCTCTCGGCCTTCGATGGCTACACCTACCCGATCCAACGCGCCGATGCAATCCGCTACTTTGTGTTGCACCGTTTCGGTGGCATCTACATGGATCTCGACGTCGGCTGCAAGCGCCCCCTCGATCCTCTGCTGTACTACCAGGTGATTCTCCCCGCGACGATCCCCGTCGGTGTATCGAACGACGTCATGTTCTCCGAAAAGGGCCACCCCTTCATGGACAACGTCATTCGCAATCTCCTCACCTTCAACCACCAATACGGCACCAACTACCCCACTGTTATGTTTTCCACCGGTCCCATGTTTCTTTCGGCGCAGTACGGCCTGTGGCCGAAGGAAGACCTCACTCTGGCCGAGCGCCAAGTTCGAGTTCTTCCGCGAAGGTGGTACGGGAAGAATGCCCCCGCGAACGAGATGGGGGATTCGTTCTTTGAGCACTTCTATGGGTCGTCGTGGCACGCGTGAGTTTGCTCGGCGCCGACCGCCGCGGCTCGTCCTCGGCGATCATGACCTCTGGAAAGCTGACCGCGCTACTTGCCTACTGCAGTGATGACGCCGGTTTCATCACCTTCCTCGGCAGGTTTGGCATGCTCTTGATGTACCTCGGCGCAACGATCGTCGTTTGGGGGGTCGGTCGCATGATGTGGGGAAAGCGCTTCGGGATGAAGAAGCCGGTTCCGAAATCCGGACGGACGCACGGTCCAATCGCCTTACCGCTACACCTCGACGGTTCAAGCTTTTCGCTTGCCCGACCGAGTACACCGGGCAGTGCTCGACCCGACAGCCCCCTTGGTGGTTCGAGAAGCGGATCACCGAGCAGCTCGCGCCGCCCTTCCGAAATCGGCCCTCAGGGCAGTCGTGGCGTGCTGTACTACCTCCCCGTCTGGCTCATGCCCCAGGACGCTGGATCAAGAACGTCGACACCGACAACAGCGGGTCCTGGAACATGGTCACAACTCTTCTATAGCGACGACGAGGAGGCAAACCGGTACAGCCCCATCCCTTCGTACTCGCGACCGCCGTCGCCCTCGAACAACTCGATCCTTCACGCACCTGGGTCGATGCACGACGGCGCCTTCAACGGTACCCCACTATCGACGATGCACGCCAACGATGAATCGGCGCGCTCGAGTGAGGTCTTCCACCGGGCCTCCCTCGGTTCTGCCACCTCAGCGCCGCCGCCCGAATACTCGAACTCAAAGGGATGGTCCAGTTTTTTTCGGTCCCCTCGCGCGTCGTTTCTCCCCCTCACTGGCCAACAACAGCAACAAAATTCAGAAGCATGCACTAACGGCTCTGCCCATGCAACCGCTGCCGCCGCGATCCCCGAATCCTTCTCGCCCGAGCACCCCGCCCGGGGCACGCTCCCACCTCTCTACACGGCCTCTTTCTCCGGCCCGTTCTCCAGCCCCACGGGCACACCCCAATCAACATCGCCGTCGTCCAAGCACGCCGCCGAACGAGGGGACGTCCAACTCGGCAGAGAATGTCGTCCCACAAGTGATTCGTCCGCGACGACATTCACTACGGGGAGCGGAGAGCTACGAGGGCGAGGAATGGTCCGGACAAACTCGGGAGGCATCTCGCTCGGGAACAGCGGCGTCGCAACCGTCGACGGAAGGCCAACAACCGCCACGTCGCCTGAGGCGGCGAACGCTGCAAGGGCCGCAGAAGCCGCCGACGCTCAATTTGCCGATAGCAGCGACGACCACCACCAGCAGCACCAGCACCAGCACCAGCACCCGCAACCGCAACCGCCGCAGCAACAGCAAGCCTTCACCGTCACCCCCACCCGGGTTGGTGCCCTCGAGTCCGAATCGGATCTCGTAGGCCCCGATGTCGACCGCGAAGTGCACCGACTGCTTCATGATATGACGCCTGACTTGGCCAGGCCCCGCGCGAGGGACAATTAGAAAGCCCCAAAAAGGTCGACAATTTTACGGAGCGCGTCAATGTTTCCTCATCCCGAGGATCATCGGACGCGGAGGGTTCAGTCTTCCATCTTTCTAAATCAACTCCCCCTCTCTCCCCCTCCTCTCTCTTTCTCTCGCCGCTCTGCCACGGCACCTTTCCTCCGCCTCCGCCTCCACTACCCGCCCCTCCTCGCCCACCATCAGCTCTATTATCTTGGTTAATACCTACAACGGGTAGCTTCTTTGTCTTCCTCGTCTTTTTTGTGTGGATCTGCTCTGCCTGATCTCTTTGCATCCTTCTCCCCCTGACGGCGCTGCTTACTCTGACGGAAGGTCACTCGTTTTCTCTTTCTTTTCTGTTGAAGAACGAGGGGTTTCGAGGGTTGAGGTGGGATAGCCATCCATTGTGTTTGTGTTCTTTGAGCTTTGTGTGGCCCGTAAAGTGGCCTGTAACAACTACCGAAAGAACGTAACAGTTTGTGGCATATGAGAGTGAAGTATTCATCGCGAGTCTATAAAGTAGGAAGGCGCTTCCCATGCGAGCCTCCAGATGCCGCCCTAGCAGGAGATGGTGTAAGGATTTGAGCAATCCTCCTTGCACACCACTGCTGGTAAAGAGCCCCAGGTGGACTGGAAATACCAGAGTGCACCACCCTGACTGGTTCGAGGGCATACATAGGCACAATGAGCACTACTCCCCACCGGTAGTATACCTGCCTTTTACGGGTTGTGGGTCAGTGGTAGTTTGTGCATCATTGCCTTTCAGATCGACTAGTCCCTGAAGTTTCCTGGTGGAGTAGTGAGACTGACATCAGGTCTTGCGAGCCTTTGATCGCGGCATACAAGCGAAGCGGCTAATGCGATCAAAAGAGCCGCCCCTTTTGTCGCGCGCGCCATCGTCCCCGGTGGGCGCCTCGCCCGTCACGCAGGAGCTACTAAACGTCGCCAGGAGCGATCGATGCGTAGGCAGCTCTGGACACTTACGGTAAAAGTAACGAAGGCGACGTGCTGCAATTGTGAATTTCTCAGACGTGTCTTTGTGGCCGCCCGATGGCGCCAGCATTGCTCGTCCGAGCCGCCACTTGAGCGAGTGAAACTCCTGGCCTTAGACGTGGCGGCAATCCGACACAACCCCGCCAACCAGTGAGGCCGGTGGCGAGTCAAAGTCGGACCTGCGTGCCCGCGGTTGCTCAATCGTCGCGCCAAAGTCGACCGCGGTTAACTGCGGTTGCGCGGATTTCCCGTAGGGGCCAGAGGCCTGCCTTCAGTTTATGACGATCGGGATGAGACGCGTGACCTGGACGGTCGAGCGCGGAAATCTGCAGCTTGGAGCTTGGAGCTCCGGCCGAACAGCTTGTTTTGAGGCCTTAGAGCTTGGGCCCGCCGCACGCGCCTCCTGCCTCTTCACCATCCTCATCAGGGCTTCAACACAGGGTGTACGCAGTTCGAGTCGACAGATCAAGCGAGGAAGGCACCTCAGTGATTCAAATCGCTCATCGCACAAGATGTCGGGGATCTACCCGGGTACGTCGTCCCCTGTGCGATAGGGAAGTGTGCTGGGGTGCAAGCCCACACGCGGCAACTGCTCCGTCAGTCTCACGTCTTGGATTCGGTCTCGAAACGTCGGAGACACCTGCCCTGTGGGGTCGTGCGCGGCAACGCCGACGGGGGGCGTGTTCGCATTAGTAGGCAGCCCTTCGGGCGTTGCTAGTAGCTTATCTCGAGGCTGCACTCGTGTTCCTGTTGCTTGTGGTTGGCTGTATTGCCGCAATCTGTCCGCATACTCGTACACCGCGTGCAGTGTGCCCGTAACTAACCCGTCCTGGGGGTGGCGCCCGACTCCGCAGAGCCTCAGTATGTGTTAAGCGAGCCAGCGACGGCGATCCTGTCCGACACGCGTCAGACCAGCCTCACCCCGGCCGCTCTGGCCATCATCAACTACACTCTCGATGAGCTCTTGCAGCTCTGGGTTCATGCCGCGCTTACTCAATCTCCCTCGACACCGACCACCTCGATCACCTCGGGCGCCCCGCCGACGAGCGCGCCTTCCAGGTCGGGCCCAAGCCCGCTCGGACCTTCGGACGCTTTCACCACCGAGAGACTCAAGGCCGGTGTCATTCGCGTCCTCGGACCTTTGGGCAAGAACAGCGTGCTTGAGGCCGAGCTGGCCGTTCGCGAGTTGCTGAGGATGAGCGCCCCGAGCCTTCGAGCCGATCCGGCACTGCGCAGGGCCCAGCCAACGATTACTTCGAGTGCGACGTCAAGGGACGCAGTTTCGGCTCAACAAATTGTAACTCAAGCTGACACAATATTCCGTGCCCTGAGGGATTGGCTGATGATCATCTCGGGACTTGGGGGTGAGTCAGAAGGCACGAATATTTGCCAGTACAGAGCATTGTGCGATACTGACTCCTGTTGGATCCCAGCTGCTTGTCCAAATGGTGGTCCCACCAAACTTGGCAATCATCTTCGTGCGCTTTCTCCATCTCCGCCTCCTCCCGAGAACAGTAAGTCGCTCATTCACTGAAAATGCACTCGTCTCGGAAGAGCCGCTGACGTTCGGCCGATAACACCCCACGCCACCTAGATTCTCCTCATCTCACGTTCATGCTCGTGCTCTATGCCGAGAGGTGTCTTTCCCATGTCGCCGAGCATTTGATCCGAGCTGTAGGACAAGTCAACCAGCGTGGGCTCTCGGAGGCCGTCGATCTACGGGACGTGGAGCTGGCCTTTGCAGAGGACGATTTGATTTGGTCCTGGCTGAGGGGGATGCGGATCCGTGGGCATCTTGAGGCCGAAGTTGCCGCGTCAAAGTCGATCGACTCGCCGACTAATCTGTCTCGAAACCCCAAACTCACGAGCTCGCCGAAGCTGGGCCGGCCTTCCAGCCTCCATCGGTCAAGCTACGATTCGAAAATCGGGTCCATCTCAAGCGTCAAGGGCGATGGCCTGCCCAGTCCCACTCTAGCGGTAGATTCGGTCAGTCCCAGTCCATTTTGTAGCTGATTCAAGCACGAAGCTGACGACGAGATCTCCTGTTTAGCAGACTCTGGACGACTTCGAGTCACTGCTGCAAGACAATCGCACGATGAAGTTGTCCTTGACCCCCGACCGGCTGCGGACGATGGAACGACTCGGAGATTCAGGGCGAAACCAACTGAACGGCTCAGGTGTTGATGCGTCAGGGGAGTCTGCGCTCTCTCGAGTCAGCATCAACTCGACCGCTACTCCAATCCCAGTCAAGCGGCTCCAGGCTCGATCCCCACGACCGCCCGATGAGCTCGAAGTGCTTCAAGAGGATCCACTCATCGACATCCTCAACTCGCCCCCGCCCTGGAGCAGGCAGTCATCGAATGATAATAACCCTACCGGCGCCGGATCTGGCTCGGTTCCCATGAGAGTACAAGACTCGCAAAGTTCGAACGCCAGTTCCGACATCGAGCCCGTCGTGATTGAAGGTCCAAACGCGCGAATGAGAGGAATAAGGGCCAAAGACGAGCGCGAGGATCTCTTGTCCGAACGTCAGGTCAACAACGACTTGGTCGACTTCTTCAGCGCGCCTCCACCTAGACCCTCGGACACGCAGAGCATTGCCTCGGCCGCCCCTTCGTACGCCACAAATGCACCGTCGGCCTCACCGGCTACTGTCACGAATCGCATTGGCGACGCTCCACCCTCGCCTAGTCCCGTCAAGAAGCGCGGCGGATTCCGGACGCTCTTCAGCAAATCCAAAGTGGCTGCTTCGAACTCGGAGGAGAGCCTGTCGACGACCAGAACGTCGACTGATGCTTCCGCCTCGTCGTCGCCGAACAGCAAGAACCAATCGTTCCAATCAAGGAATGCCAAACCTTCTGCCGAGATGGTGTCGGCGGCGGCTCTACTGGCGACGGGCTTCTCGGAAACGACCGTTCGTCAAGTCGCACAACCCGTGCAGCGCCTCTCTTCTCTGGATCGACAAGCCTCAGCTGGATACAGCGGCTCGGAGATGGCGAGTGCTACGACGTCAGCCGTCTCGCAAGCACAGATGCAGCGAAATCGAAGTGAATCCACCGAGCCTCCGACCAGGCCTCCCCCGCGTCTTCCCCCAGGCCTTAGTGAAGAACCGGGATCATACCAGACCATCGTACCTTCGCGTGAAACGGCGTCTTCTCTTCGCTCTCGTGGATCGATTTCCTCGCCGCAGGTCGTTGACGGTACGACCTCTCAAACGTCGCGGTCACGAGCTCCGTCCCATGACGCCACTTCTGCTACCGACTCTATGGCTGGAGAGCACTTGAGCGTAACTCGTGGGATAAGCAATACTGCTGATGGCGTCTTGTTGGGGGCTGCATCTGCGGGCACCGCTGGCTTAGCCCTTGCTCGCCCCGAGAAGAGTCGCTCGTGGGAACCTACGGCTGGAACGGTGGCGACGCAGACCGATCGGATATCGACAACCGATGCTTCACCTTCCCCGGTCACCTATCACGACGATGCGGACCCGTGGAAGCGAGATGACTTGGTCGACTTGCGTCGACGGATGGCAGCTGCTTCTACCAAGGACGAGGCGCTCGAACTCTTTGATCAACAGTTCGGCACTGGAAACGCCGCTACTGTCGAGCCTGCGGCACTGGTCACGAATGGGAAGGTGTCGAACGGGTTGAGCGGTCTTGTAGGTGCGGCTGTGATGGCCCCTTTGGCCGCGGTTGCGGCTGCTGGGGCCACCCTCTTCGGCACGAACCATGACTCGACATCCAAGGTTGAGCCAGCGGAATCGAGTCCAGCGCCTGACGCCGGCGAGTTGCACTTGACACCGGATCAGGCCCAATACGACGAACGTGTCCAAGCCGCCATATTTGACTACTTCCTCTCCGGTGGACAGCCCGCATACGAACCCAACCCTCAACATGATCAGAAAGCGGGAGTAGGGGCGGAGGCGGAGGATTCTGAATCCGAAGCCTCCGAGGAAGTCGATCCCGCACCGCCGATCGGTGGACAGTCGACCGAGATCGAGGGCTTGGTGGAGAAGCATCGCAAGACTGGTGGATTCGAACCCCCAGTGGAACCATCTCAGGCAGGCCTCATTGTATGATCACTGGAGTTCGTCGTGTCAAGGAACGAAAGGCGGGGAATTGTAGGATTCTATTGCAGGCATCTCTCTCTCTCTTTGTATTTTTCCTTTCCTTTGGTCCAGCAGTGATTACTTGGGGCTATCTGTAGTTTCGACATTCTCTCCCTCTAGAACTCTGTGGTCATTCAGAATCTCAGTTCGACGACCCGACTCGAAACATCCTCCGTTCTGAACAAGCACATGCTTCCCAAACGAAGAAAGTGTGGTCATTATATATCACAGTACTTCAAAAGAAGTCACTACTCCTCCATAGCATCATCATCATCGTCATCGACCCACTCGTTGCCTTCCTCCTCTTGTCCTGCGCTCGCGACGATCCCGCTTTGGATAAGTTGGGCCAACAACTCCTTTACATGCTTCAACTGCTCGGGATCCGAGCCTGCTGGATCCCTTTCGTCTAACTGAGCGAGGTTTATAGAGCGGAGCGAGCTTGAGCTTTAATAAGACTTCCCCGATACCCGACAGAAAGCCCGAGAGAGACTGACCTTCAAATAATTCTCCATGCACAATCTCGCCTCACTCCAACACTCCTCTTTACTCTCCACCGCTTCCTCCCCTTCTATTGTCCCCACCGCACCATCACCCTTGTTCGCACCCTCTTCCCTCGAAGAACCCAATAACCACCAACTCCACCCACTCAGATACCACACTTCGGGATCCTCGTCATCCTCCATCTCCAACCGCTGCAAAACCTCTAACGCATCGCTGAAACGCTGCAGTTCCAAGAGGAGTTGGGCCAGGGCTAGTCGGGATGAAGAAGGGGGGTATGAAGGCGATTCGGCATCGAGGTTGCGCCAGAGCGACCAGGATTGGGTCGCTGCTTCGGAGGCGTCGAGGGGTCGTTGTTGGGAGAGGCGCACGGAGGCGAGGGTCTGGTGGGGAGAGGTCGGGGAGAGGACAGTAGTAACTCAACCTAAGAGCAGGATTGTAGCCACAGATAGATATGAGGACTGACTTGGAACACCTCTGGATCTGTGGAGTCGATTTGTGCGGCTTGAGCGAGGTACTGTTCACATCTTGCTTCGGCGTCGGATTCGAAGCTATGATGTGGAGTTGGGGTCAGCTCGGTGAATTTCGTCGGATGAGAAGCTTCAAGCCTTCAATCCTCAGGGCGTGCGAAGGGAAAGCACCAAAAATAGACTTCGAGTATCCGAGTTTCGGGACATACCATAGATCCGTCAAGTACAACTCGGTCATGCCGACCAAAGCCTTTGAAGCACTGCGCTTCAGCTCGCTCCTCTCCTCCTCGACGTCCTCGTCCGTCGTCGCTTCCGGTCTTGGTGTTTCCAACTTGACAAGTTTGGCCTGAATGATCTCGAGGGCTTGGTTGAAGTGTTGAAGCGAGTCTTGTGGGGATGATAGCTGGGCGAGGTATAGATGAGGCGCCGGAGATGGGTTCGGCAACGTTTTCGACAAGGAGAGCGAGGATAGAAAGTGCTGTTGGGGAGCAAGCGGGCGTAACCGAACATGCAGGGTGAGCGCTCCTCTCAATTGAGGATACCATTACGAATTCATACGTACCTGTCTAGCGACCTGCACCTCGCCCAACTCCACCTCGACCGTTCCAAGAATCTCGAAAGCATCCCTCAACAGCTGCCCCGCCGCAAGATCCCCCTCAGCCTGGATGGTCTGACAAAGATCAATAGCCGTCGAACATGTCGAACGTGCGGAGGGATATTCCTGGTGTGCGATCGAGGTCGCGGCCTGCACGAGAAGGGCTTGGACTTGGGCGATCACGGCGTCTACCGTCGGAGCCTCGGCGGGGACGACGGGCGCTGTAGCTCCGGTAGCGATGGTCTTGGTGTTGTTTTTTGTCCGCGACTTGTTCTTGGTTCGGCCCATCCTGTAGTGCGACGAGAGATTGGTGACTGAATAAAGCTCCGGTGTGACGACCGCGAGAGTTTGGGAAGGGTGTGGGCCTGTGTGGGTGCGAAGACCAGCGGCGCACGGACCTCTCGCTATGACTAATCGCGGGCGGGCGGGCATTCAAACATGGGCACGGCAGCTCCTCGTGCAGGGGGGAAGGGGAACAGATAGTACACTGCAAGCTGCGAGCGCAGCCAAAGAGAGAAGAAAACAAAGAGAGAGAGAGAGAGAAAGAAGCTCTAAACGAAGGGAGGAAAGGACCTCCCCCGATCCAGGAGGTGAATGGGAGAAATGGGGAAGGTGGAAAGCTGGAGCCAAGAAGCAAGGGATAAAGTTTGGGGAGGGAGAGGGAGAGGAAGAGGAAGAGTACCTCAGTTGCGAGTGGTGGTGGGCGTAGCAAGGGACGACAGTATCATTCGAGTCGGGCATAAAACACCTCTATCCGAGCAGGCATAAAAAAAAAACGAAAATGACCCCCACCGTTGAGCAGGGACACACATCCTCCGCAGGCAATCACAACAGCAAGCTTTTGTACCCATTTCCTAATCGAGTCCGCAAATACTGCTTCTCGCCCCGCACATGTTGATCCATCTAGTTCTTCTTCTTGAACTCGGCAATGTTGCGAGTGGGCACCGCCGCGACCTTCTTGGCTGCTACCAGAGCGTTCTTCTTGGCCGCCTGTTGGTTGTACGTCTTCTTGTAGAAAGCCTGTGATGTTATTCGCGAGAAATCAGACATCCATGGCCGGCCTTGTATCACAAAACAAACCACGCTTACGATGAACAGGAACAAGTAGCTGGTGAGGAGACCGCAGCCCAACGCGGCGGCACCTTCTGTACCGGCGCACGAGCCATAAGTAGGGAACGAAGGGAAGTACTCGGCCGTGAAGTAGGAGTAGGCTTGAGGAGGTGGGGATACGGAATCAGCTCTCAAGACCGCCGTTGAAAGCACTCCTCAAGCGAGGTGCAGACTCACAAGCAAAGTAGACGACAAAGAGATCGACGACGAATTGAGTGATCTGGAGCGTCGTCAAGTACTTCTTCCACCAGATCTTGTAGCCGGCCGCAGTCATGAGGTAGTAGTAGTACCTGCACACGCGCGAGACAAAGTTTTCGACGTTAGTTGCACGTTCGCTCGGCGGTGTTGAGCAAGCCTCCATACTTGCAACTCACATCAAGACATGGACGGTCAAGTTGGCAGCGATGGGGACCCACGAGACCGAGGTTCGGCCGTTGAGTTGGGTGTAGCACAGGGCGGCGGTGGCGGTGTGATGGAAGACGTGGAGGAACTGGAGCGGCTTCTTCTTGACGACGAGGAAGACCGTGTCGGCGAGTTCCCAGTCTGGTGATGGTTGAGGGTCACGAGATTAGTGTTAAGTTCGATTGGTTCGTGAAAGCGTACAGAGCATGATAGACTCACACTTGAACTGTGGTGTACACGAGGCCAAAGGGAACGGGGCAAGCGCACCTGATTAGCAGCGGCCCAAACACATATAATGCTCAGGCGGAAATGTCGCCGAGCTTACGAGGTAATTGATGATGTAGTAGGTCTCGAGCCTAGAGGTCCACGCCGAGGTGTGGCAGATGGCGTAGAAGAACCCGTGTTGGTAGAGAATGGGGAGAACCTGTTGAATCGGGCGAAGATGGGCGCAAAGATCGTCAGGGTGGTCCGAGTCCGAGTTGTCAGGCACGTCGCCTTTCAGGAGGCGGCACTGACCTCCTCCAACATCAACGCGAGCACGAGACCCGAGCCGGCCGAAAGCAAAAAGTTGTGGAGCATAAAGAGCAACTTGAACTCTGCATGGTCGAGTGAGGTGCATGGTCAGCGGTATGGATCGAGTCGCGGATCGCAAGTGCAAATATGCATGCGGGCAGTCCTATGGACGCGTCGAAGAGCGACGATCCTTCCCCCCACTGCAAGACACGCAGGGTCCGCCGTCGTCGTGCGTGGTCGAGGTCGACAGGCTGTCGTCGCCTCGGCCGCGATCCATAATCTCGGAGGGACCGAGAACAGAACCCACGACCCATGTCCCGGTCTTGCAGATCGTCTGGGTATCTATCGTCTTGGCTGCGTGTATGCATGCAGTGCGTGGCGGCCCGATGCCCCGGCCAAAATTTGGCTGGCTGGCCGTTCGGTGTGGTGGCCCTGTGGGTTGCTGCTGGCTCTTTCGCGCGAGAGTGCGCCGGCCCAACCGATCGAGTCGAGTGCGCTCCTCGCCGATCCGATGAGACAGAACCAGACACGCCGACCTAGACGCCCACAAAGCTCCGCAGTACACAACCACAACAGAACCCGGGAAGCAGGACGTCACGACTCACGGAACGCCTTGCGGTCCTGCATGAGGTACTGCCCACCAAAGATGACGGCGAGGTACACCGCGAGCGCCGACACGACCTCGGTATTTGTCGACAAGGGCGAGACTCCGACGGTCCACTGCAGCATCGACGACGGCAGCGACGGCAGCGGCAACGCGTCGACGAACGAGCGCACCGGACCCGCCGACGAGGCGAACAAGGACGAGGACACCATGGTTGCTTGCTGTGAAGGGGAGGGGCTACGAGGGGTTTCCTGATTTTCGGCACGAAGATTGGGCAACGAGGTCGAACACGTGCGGAGGCGAGGAGCAGCTGGGAAGCACAAGCTGGAAGGCCTGCCTGTCGACGCGCTTCGGTCCAGTTCGGTCCACGCCCGTCCTCGCCAGCTGCTGCTGCAGGCTGGGAACGCCCGAGTTTGAGCAGGTCTGAGCGCGGCTGCTTGGCGCAGGCGTGGGCATAAGCGTGTCTTCGCAACACGCCGCCGGACACTTTAGCCAGACCCAGCCAGCCAGTTTTTCCTGCGAAACATGCATCCAACCCGAGGCCGAGCTTTCAGCCTATCGCCGGTCACACTATAACCGAGGCACATAAATGTCAAAGCAAGGCGATGCTTCAGGCAACGCCCAGGAAAGCTTTTCGGATGCTACCCGCAATGAACTTGATGTGATCCAGACGACCCCTCCTATACAAAGCAAAAGCAAAACCAGAAACTATCCGCTTTCCAATCTGCCGATGATCCCTTTTTCCTTTCATTCCCATTCCCAATGACCTTAACCCATGGATTGACCATTTCTCAACGACGACAACGACGGTGGTACGACGAGGTTGTTGATGTGCAAGGGGGCTTGAGCGCGGCGGGTCAGTTTGCAGTAGCGTGAGCACTCAGCGCGCGCGCGCAGGTACGGACGTAGCCGCGAAGAGGGATCCATGACTTACGATGACCCTGGGTGAGTTGGGGGGGGGGGGGGGGGGCGCACAACAGTAACGTTGAACAAAGTGAGACCCGAAGAAGGATGCGGCCGGAACGAGCCAATTGGTATGTGCTTTACAGCGTCTCGTGAAAGCAGTGACAAGAAAACGAGGAGTGGTGATTGACGAGAGAGAGTCGGGGTGGGAGAAGAGCGAGGAGTGAGGAGCCAAGAGAGCAAGGGGCAGCCTATCGTGCCTCTGAAGTTGAGGGGCCAGGTCGCACCGAGTCAATACTAGTGCAAGACAGCAACAACTCGCCCAACTCTAATCTCTACTCAAAACATAGACAGCGTCCCTACACGGGGGGGAGCGAGTGCAAAAGTGGTGGCCGTGGACCATTTTGCGAGCCCGGGGTGGGGAAAGCGAGAGACAGGGGCGCGCTGGGCCGCCAGCGAGGTCGTTCTCCATCTTCGCCAAGGGACCCGCTCCGAGCGAATGATAGCTTCCTCCGAAGTCCGCATGACCGAACGAACGTCACGCTAAGCAACGGGTATCTATTTTACCATCAGTCACGTTTCCGTTCCGTCCCGTCCGAGTGACTCATCGGCCTCGGCGTGATCAAGCGAAGGCCAAACAAGGAAAGACCTCCTCTCCCTTTCGCATTACGGCCGGCGCGCTCACACTTGGATCCGGGAAGAACAGTATGTTCCGAAGGACTTGTCAAACCGATCAACTGACTATTGAAATTGTTAGGATCTATTATAGAACCTTGCTTGTAAATCTTTCCAATGAGGCCGCACATAGCTGCCGGAGCTGCCGCAGAAGCTTGACACAGAGTCCAATTGGGACTTAGAGTCGACGCATTGCAATAGCCTGGCAGCAGTACAAAGGTCTAAGAGGAAGTGTCGAAGGTGTTAGTAGACCTTGCACTGATATCGGGGGCCGAATAGCTTAGAGGTCAAAGCTTTTCCGAGCAATGGAAGCGACCCAGGTTCGACTCCTGGGTCCAGCCGTTTCTCTTCTTTCGTTGATCATTTCGGAATCATCGTTGATTCCAACAGAGATGACATCGTGGCACATCGATGCACCACCGTGCCCGGGCAGCTGACGGTGTCGTCTACTCCTCGGAGGTACATGGGTCAAGCCGCCGGGTGGCACACTCGGCAGCAGGTGATATCACAATCGGAACTCCACCGGGCGCGCCCGTGAGGCCATACCACTGCTCTTCCCTCTCTCCAAACCAACACCTCTGCCCTGCTGTGTCGCACCACACACTAGCTCGATAAATTCCGCTGTTCACTCTGATGCCAACCCACCTCAAGCAAATACCCGACTTGCCAGCTTGCCATACCCCTTGCGTCCGCACGCAAATCGGACTAGTTCGAGCGCGTCTTCAATGCCGCCGAGTTCATCCTAATGATTTTACGACTCAAGCTCCCGTTCATCAATATGAACGAAGCGAAGCTCGTGTTCGAGGGCGATCCTGAGTAGGACTTGGAGAGGCTTTGCCCACCACAGCCAGTGGAACTCGCGCTGGCTTCGTGCTCCGCCCCCCGGCATTTGCCAAGAACTGCAGTGGCCAAGCTGCTCGAGTAGCCGTCTGCCCCCATGTCGGTCGAACCACATCCTTGATATCATCGCAAGATCTGTGTCGATGCGGCTGGTGAAACTTAAATCAGGTCCACGGCGACCTTCAGCCTGGCAAGAGATCTCGCGCCGACCCTTACGTACACTGTGAAGGATGCAACGAGGCACTTTCGCACTGAGTTGTGTTGAAATCAACGATGATTCCGAAATGATCAACGAAAGAAGAGAAACGGCTGGACCCAGGAGTCGAACCTGGGTCGCTTCCATTGCTCGGAAAAGCTTTGACCTCTAAGCTATTCGGCCCCCGATATCAGTGCAAGGTCTACTAACACCTTCGACACTTCCTCTTAGACCTTTGTACTGCTGCCAGGCTATTGCAATGCGTCGACTCTAAGTCCCAATTGGACTCTGTGTCAAGCTTCTGCGGCAGCTCCGGCAGCTATGTGCGGCCTCATTGGAAAGATTTACAAGCAAGGTTCTATAATAATTCCTCACAAGTTGGTCACGATCGATTCAAGGGTCACCGTCATCTGCTCCGACGAAGTCTGCTTAGAGGTTCTCCTATTCCGGTCAGCCTGTGGGGTGACATTCCACGACTAGCGCTTCTTCCTATCTTTGAGTACAAGTCCCCAGGCAAGCACTCATCGGACCTCAAGTGGCTCGTGAGCAGGCTTGAATTTCGAGGGCCAAACAGCCAAGATCAAGCAACTAGCGATCAGCAAGAATGCTTCTCGTCGTGTGACAAGGCGTTCCTCCACGCCCGCTCAACTCTCGAAGGAAGTTTTCGAGCTACTCGACCCAGAGTTGCAGAGGAGTCAGCACAAGTTCGACAGCTACCCACGCATATCCCTCGACCGCGGCCCTCGCCCTCGAGCGGACATTTATACAAGCCGGTCCGAAGTTAACCTTGGACGTGCAGGGTGTTACACCTTCGTTTTCCCAGATGTTTGAGTATGCCATGCTTGGGCATGGGCATGCGTAACTGAGAGTCTGGGTGACATGGTGCCTCTCATTGAACTGAACCAATGTACACTGTCATGCACTGTCATGCACGGTGGTACATGCGCTGCGTACCGGACCCAAGTATACCACCACGTTCGACCTCGGCTGTTCGAAGGTTCGTAGCCGAGCCGCCGAGACTTCACGGCGGTGCATACGGGTGGAGTGCTGCTTGACCACTCCTGATGGCTGCATTCACCGTTGTCGAGTCTTCGGTGTTCGCGGCCGTCGTCGGCGTGGGCAACTCGTCGCTCTCTCTCTCTCCTCTCGTGTGAAGTCGCTGCGCTCGGCAGCGTAGGCACGCATCAACGAGATACATCGACACTGCTCAGATCAGCCGAGATTTCGATTCGTCTTTTTGCGCTCGCTCGACGATGTTCAGATCTGCCAATTCTGATGTTGATTCATGTTTTTGTCTTGGAACGAATGGGTCAATCATCAACGAGGATTCTTCCCCCAAAGTTTGGAAAAGATGAACTCATTGATCTTGGGGAAGGAGCGAATCGAGTGCTTCCCCGATTCACCGTCAAAGTACTGAGTAAAAGGCAAAGTGGGTGCTTCCTATCAGGTAAACTCAGGATTGACATGCTCATCTACAACGCTCGGCGCTGGGCGATACAAACTCGCGAGACTTGATGGATCGCTGCGAAACAAAGTCTGACATTGCCTGTTCTACACGATCGTACAACACATTCAGGCCAATGAGATACACCTCATTCGGTTACATAGTTCGCACGGGCCGGATCGAGACCCTGGCCAGAATTGTTGGCTACAGCAGCAGGTGTTGCGGCCGCCGACCAGGTCTGCCCCATCAGATCCAGTGGATCGAACCCTGCTCGGAAAAAAAATCCTCCTCGATAAGGAGTATAGAGAGAAAGACGCGACAATTAACTCACCAGATCCCAAGAAAACATTCAGATACTCGGCAGGCAGCGCGTCCCTCGATGCGGCACCGAAATTGAGACCTGCCATCATGTCGAGATCGAGTAGTGGTCCAGGATAGGGAAGCGGCCCCACGGTGGGATCAAATACACCATGAGGAGGTGGTTGCGTGGATTGAGGAGGCGAGAAGGGATGATACATCGAGTGAGGACTCTGCTGGGGTGATGCGCCGGTCAGAGAGCTCGTTATCGCCGGTGAAGGCGTGGTCGCGTCAAGGCGCTTCAGAGAGCCTTGTCGATGATTCGACCCGCCTTGGTGCGTGTCCCTTTTCCTCTTCAAAGTGGACGTTCCGGAGTGTGCCGAAGGCCGGGGTGATGCATTGTCTTGCAGTCGTGACTCTTCCGTGAGAAGGTCCTCGACCAAATCGACGGCCCGACTCGCGGTTGCACTGAGGGATCTCATGCCTCGTAGTACCTCGAGCGCTTGGCGTACTTCTCTTCGTTCCTCTTTCAGTGTCGCTTTGTCGGAACCCCTCTGAAAAAGGTCCAGACAAACGAATGATGCCGCAGAACCGATGCTGCAGAGGGGGAGAGTACCACACATCAGTCTGAGAGCACTTGACACATTCCGTCTCCGCAGATCTTGACTCACTGATAAGGCAACGTCCACAGCCTTGTGTCACCGCAATTCAGAGATTCGCGCAAGATTGCACGTGATGTCTCCAACGCTCGGACTCGACTCTTTTCAAATCGTCGCTCACGGACAGCTCGATGCAAGAAGGGACGGTGAAGGGCCTGCGGAAAGCCGGAAGCGTCAGCTCCATAGTACGATCAGAATCTCGGGAAGGACAGGGGGCTGACCAGAATTTTGTGTAGAGAGCCGATATAGAAAGCGTTGCGCGCCCACGGCAGAATGTCGTTATGCACCCAGGCAGGTGGATGGTCAATGATCGACTGCATGTCACGGTCAAGCTCGAGCACGTAGTCGTACGACATTTTGGCGCTGTCATCGATGTGGGCAAACATCGCCTGGATAAGGCTCGCCAGGCGGACGAATACGAGACCGTTCGAAGCAGGGGTGAACTCGTCCACGGGTCGCTCGATAAGATTGCCAGAGCTAAGATCTTGATCTCGCACATTGAGGGGTAAAGGAGTGGTCATCTGACTCGGTTGCGCTGTCGTCGTTCTTCGGTACGATATGTTGAACCAGTCCTGCGATGCGAGCGCCCACCAAATGCGTTTGTTCGTCTCGTACTCGATGAGGCGCTTTGCTCGGTCCGCCGGCTGCAAGGCCGAGTGGTTCGCCTCCCATGCTACGCGGGAAGGCAATCGATGAAGACCCAGGCCCTGAGCGATCGCGATACCGACGTTCAACAACGTTGGGAAGAGGGCTGTCGAGCCTCCATCTTGACAGGTGATGACGAGGAGCGCGATCGTCTGCACGGCGTAGAGATGGGGGACTTCTATAAAGTTGGAGTGATAAAGTGCGGCAAGCGAGGCAACAAGCAACGTTTCTGAAAGCTGCTTCGCGTCCGTCTCGCTCAGCCCGTCGGTGCCGAGCGTGCTGAGGAGTTCGCCCGTCATATGTCGGACCCCGCATCGCAGCTGAGCAAAGAAGAGCGCTAGCCATGCCGGATGTGTCACCTCCACCCTCTGATCGCCGGCTTCCCAGAATTGGGCGACTTCGTTCATAAAGCCAGGTCCAAAGACGACGCCATGATACCAGCCCATCCACTCTAGTGAGTGCCGGAGGATCGCCATAGTATCGTTGCCAGGCGGGATTACTCCAGCCAGGGATCGGATCGTTGGGAAAACATCAACCGGGTTTCGGGGCAGGCACGTGGGGTCGAACCCTTGTGGATGCGATGGGGATGAAATCGAGATGACCGTATCTTCCTGTCAAACATGTGAAGTGGTCAGTCCTTATGGAGCTGCCCTTGTGAAGCTGCCCTTGCGCTTGGAGCACGAGCTCTGGTCCGAATTGAGATTAAACTGACCCGTGAAGGGGCCGTTAGGCTTGGAGGTGCCAGGTTCCGGCCCAATGCCTTTTGGAGTGATAGCTTATGGTTAATTTCGCCGCGATCTCGTCCAGATGACACTGCCACTAACCATGAACTCCAGCGACAAGCTCGCGGCAACCTCCTCTTCCCGCAATTCCGATAAATCTTCGCCGAGTTCGTCCTCATCCTCGTCTTCCTCTCGTTCCCGGAGCTCGTTCTCTTGTGATGATGATGTGGATGGTTTCAGTGGGACGCCGTGATATTCCTTGTCTCCATTTGGCCGCGGTGATTCGTGCTGCGGCGCAGATCCAGGCCAGGGTGCACGTTTCGAGGTGGATGAGGTGCTGTCGACTCGGAGCTCGTCTTCACCCTCACGAAAGCCGGATGTAAGAGGTCCGATGTCCAAATCGTCCCTCATAGTTCCATCCTTTCGGGCGTCTTTGAGTTTTCCGAATGCTTGCAGAAGCAAGGTCTCCAAGCAAGCGACTCTATTCTTGAGGCCGTCAATCGTGGTTCGGACTTGCTCGACCTCGCGAAAGGCCGTGAAGGCGAGGAGATCGAGGTCGTAGATACTGCTCTCGGCTGGAGAGGCCGCTGCTTGAGCTGTCTGAGCTGACTGGAGATGTCCCGGTATCCGACAAATGTGGGCTTTGCCTGCAGGCACAACTCGAGCTCTAGTACTGACGGGCAGGACGGAGTCACTGGCCACGCAAGGCCGGGGCAGGGGTACTTACCTCTTTTAACACAGGGCGAGCAAGGTGATTTCTTGTCGCTGTGAGAGATCCCAATGATCATCGTCGTCAGTCATGCGGTTCGCATCAGCCAGGGTTATCCGAACCGGCGACCGTCGTCGGAGCCGTTGACATCCGATCGTCGACCCGGAACATACCATCTCGTTTTCTGCGGAGAAAGACGATATGGTCAATATACTCGTCGTGAGTGAGCATTATGCCCATGTATCATTGGGGCTGAGACCGACGCCAGCGGGTACGCAACAGATCACAATCTGGGTCGGGTCACGTGCAGCGATGACTTACCCGTCGGCTACACTCGCTGCAGGTCGTCGTCTGCCTCTGGCTCGATTTGGCGTCCAGCAGCTCGACGGGTATTGGCTTGTCTCTGGCGGCCATGGATGCCGGTGAACCGATGCCACTTTGTCCGCGAGGGCCGACTACGCGAGATCCGGCCAAGCCCAATCTCCGCGATAAGCGCCGGCGCCTTAAGTCCACCGCTGCCTACCGCTGCCTACCGCTGCCGACCGCCTCAGCCTGCAGCCTGCAGACCGCTGCCAGTGCCACCCCGCAGACAGCCAGCCAGCCACAACTGCCGAGCCTCGCGAGTCCGACGGTCCGCCGCTGACTCGCTTAGTCGCACTCGCATCGGCCTCAATCTTCATGCGTCGCGTTCTCGTAGATCCGAGTTCATAGGGTGGTTCGTCCTCTTCGACGTGTAGCTACTCCTGCGGCTGATTATCGACGGTGGTGGCAGGCCACTCGTCGGAGGAGCCGCCGGGAGGAACGGGTCGGCACCGAGCTCACGATGAGACGATGATGTGTCATGTAAGTGGCATCAGAGTGGAACCACGTGGTGGTGCGGCCAAACGGCTAAATCTTTGGGATTCAGAGAATCTGTGATCAGTGGTCACCATGAGGCGCTCATTCCGAGCCACGCGGGTTTAGGACCCCTGAGCGCGAGTCGCGGGTTCCATAGGTCGCCGAACTCGTACTCGGCGTTCGCGGTTCACTGGCTATCCACGTCGTCCTGCTTGCAGCTCACAGCATGAATGAAAAGTATTTTCATGATGCAGGGAGTTCAAGTCCACTCTGCCCATCACGAGGTGCTGACTGTATCTGTGCTCTTGCGGGGCTCGAAGGACATCGTCTCGAGCTGAGAGTCTCTCAGACTTCTCCTGTTTGTCGGCGAGAAGCAGCTAAATACGCTGACCTTGGCAGAGAGCGCAACTGCCCGCGCCGCTCGCTGAGCCTCGTCCCAACCGCGAGCGCCCCTTTCCTTAGTTGGACTGTCGCCGATTGTTCGGCCGAGCGAATTCCTCTTTGTCCCTCGAAAGTCGGACCAAACCCTTGGCGTTCTGATATCTTTTGACTAGCCCATCGCACCTCACAGTACGCCAACATACCTTTACCACGCCTGGCTCTCCCTCGACATGCCTAGCCAAAACACAGACCCTTCGGGGTACGATACGAGTGAGGAGCTTAAATTGGCCCCTGACATGGCGCAATCTCCGCTCGTGCTCGGGAAGGCGCAAGGTAGCTTCTTCGACGCAGATGATGTCGCACCTGAGTTCCTCGATGAAAATGGAAAAGAGGTGAGCGCGAGCGCAATATGAGCATCCTCCTGCACTGCTTCTGAAGGGAGAGGCGATTGCTCGCTGGCAGGTGTGATAGACGAGGTTTTCGCTGACCTGGTCTCACTTGTGCTGTTCTTGTCGGCGGTGGATCTTCATTCGATTTCAGAGGCCCATTGAAACCGCGCTAGACTTCTCAACTCGGTAAGGGGTGACGCCAGCTCTCGCCTTCGAGGTCCAGTGACCCGTCACGCGTCACATCCGGCCAGCAACTCACGGCCGCTCATACTCGTTTCTCGCCAGTCTGATGTCCCTCGATGATGATCCGTCTCTGCAAGTCCACACCGTCCGTATGTGGACCATCGGCCTCGGTCTCACTTGCTGTGAGTCTTCGTAGTCATACCCGTGTGGTCCCTCCCTTCATCTCGCTAAGATGATGTATCAAATCGTGAAAAGTCGGTGCGGCTTTGGGCCAGATCTTCTATTTCCGACCCCAGACCTACGGCGTATCGAGCTTGTTCCGTACGTCAGCCAGCGTCAGCCTGGGGTAAGACTTACATGGCTGACCGTCAAATTGAATGGCTCGCTGGCAGTTCAAATCATTGCCTACAGTACGTTCGAGTCGAGGGACCCCTGACCCGAGGTTTCGCCTGACGATGCAGGGAGACCGACCCGCCACAGTAATGGGTAACGCGTGGCACCAGGTCCTTCCCAGGGCCGCCAAGGGTCACTTTTGGGCCGCTCTTAACCCCGGACCTTTCAATATCAAAGAGCACGTCTGCATCACGGTGATGTCTTCGACTGGTAGCGGCGGCGCACTCGCGATTTCGACTCTCGCGGCCGAAAGGCTATACTGTGAGGCAGGAGGTCACAGTGAGGTTATGATGGGACTGCTGATATCTCTCTGGCCGTAGACAATATCGACCTGAATTACGGTATTGCCATCTCAATTATCATGGGTGCGTCAAAAGCGATTTGATGGGCCCCAGATGTCGTCGACTGACTTGAAACGGCTCCTATCACTAGCCTCGCAATTCTTTGGTTACGGCCTTGGAGGCCTCTGTCGCTCGATCGCGGTCTATCCCACATACGCACTTTGGCCCAATCTTATCCCTACAGTCAATCTGTTTGATACACTTCAGTAGGTACCACCCTGTTCGATCTTGTCCCGGGTCCTGTGATAGAATGGCGAACGGAAGGCAGGTTGGTGTTGACAGCAGGGCTTGACCCCTCTTGGCAGTCGGAACAAAGATGGCAACGTAAACATACGCCGGTACAAACTTTTTTGGATCGTGAGTATCTGTCAAACTCTTCCCTGTTGCACTACAAGCTGATCATGGTCGCGCGGATCCATCGCGAGGGCAGGCATTCGCCACGATCTTCGTCTGGGAATGGTTTCCCGAGATCATCGCCCCGACCTTGACAGGCATCAGTGTGTTCTGGTGCGTCCTGGTGTATTAAATTACGAGAATAAAGATGTCATGAATACGCTTTGACGCGATATCGGCATATTCAGTCTTTCAAACCGCACAAGTCGCACCTTTACGCGCATCTTCGGGGGGACGAACGGAAACGAAGGTCTCGGCTTGTTCTCGATCGGGCTTGACTGGCTACAGATTGGCTCGTGTGAGCGTGATCCTTGATATTCCGATAATGCGCATACAGCCTGTTGAGAATCACTGACGCTTCGTCCAATCGTTCCTGCTTGCAGCGTCCTTGTCCACGCCACTCGCTTCGATGATCTCGAACGGAATAGGAGTAGTGTTGTGCATCGTCATCTCGCTGGCGGGATAGTGAGCATGCAACTCGATATGGTTTTGACCAAATACACTCACCCCGTCAAATTCACTCATCCATTACACACCATTAATCACTGCACAGCTACGGCAACATCTGGGACGCAAAGAATTACCCTTTCCTCGGGCAAGCCCTGTTCTATGAGGTGAGTCAAGTGTGGCACCCACTCCCTTGATACCGTTCGCGTTTGCCCGTCGATCTCATTTCTTCTTCCCTGTTGCGGCAGAACGGTTCTATCTACGACCAACAAGCGATCCTCGATTCCCACTACAACCTCAATAAGACGGCTTTGGCCGAGCAAGGTTGGCGCACTCGTTGTGGCTTCATGCAGTGGAATCAATCTACAGAAGCGCTACGACCTGGAACTGATGCTTCGATCAGATGGATGCTTCGATTAGCTGGACGCTTCAATCAACTGACCTTGTGGTTACACGATCGCAGGTATTCCCTCTTACACGTGGACAAATGCGGGTAAGCACCGATAGCAGGTGTGCGATATCCATCGCCACCGCACATGAGCCGACGCATCTCTCACTCGCATCTTCCCAGTCTATATATTTGGGATCAACCTCGGTACTAGCGCATCTTTTATGCATGTTTTCCTGTGCGTAAATTGACCCGATATGTGGGTGCTACAAGATATAAACCTGACCGAGCGAGCACTGCACCGCAGCTGGTACCGCCAAGACATGAAGAAGGCCTTTCGCAAGTGGCAGACGAGGACGCAAGATGACCCGCACTACCTCAAGATGTTGGCGTGTTCGTCACCATTCCGAGAAGAGGCTCGGCTCCCAGAACCTGAACTGATCGCGACCCCCGGCTCGACGCAGATCCCGAGTGTGGGATGCTCATTTACGCCGGCGTGTCCGCAGCCGGGTTCGTGATGGCCCTTGCGACCCTTTATGCAGCTCACTCGGGTATGCCCTGGTACGCGCTCGTGATCGGATGCCTCTACGCCGCTATCGAGCTACCGAGTGAGCTCTGGCGATACAACGTCGCAACTCTAGCCGAAGCTGACGGCGCGATTTCTGGTTACTGCCACTGCAGTCGATTGCGTCATATCCTCAATCACCGGTAGCGGAGTAGTCGGCTCCAACATGGCGCGAATGTCAGTAGACAAATTAATCTAGATCCCAGTCCCGCTGTAGCAGCTGACTCAATGTCACCCACCTCAACAGCCTGGGCGCAGCTTTGGTACCGGGCAACGCTCGCGCGAGTCTGTACTTCCAGGTGAGCCATACGACACTCAGGAGGACTTGCTTCCTTCGACTGAGAGTGAATTCATCAGATCTACAGCAGCAACAGTGTTGCGCAAGGGGCTGGGATGGTCGCAGATCTCAAGGTGAGCCTCATCTCGGACTCGGAGTGCGTCGCCTCAAATCCATGGTTTGACCCCTATCTCGTTCAAATGGCTACAGCTGGGCCAAGTGAGTGGCCTTCATCTTAAATCGGGGTCAAATTAATATGCTGAGCCCTTGTCACGACTGCCATCTGAGTAGTACACCAAAGTTGGTCTTAAAGGAGGGCGACGGCTCGGGTTCAACACGCTGATCTGACTCCCCCCGACCCTCACACAGGTGCCGCCGCGTGCAATGTTTGTAAGTCTCCTATGCACGTCAATCAGTCTCCTAAGCGAGAGAGCAAAACTGAGTGTTCCCTCTGACAGATCGTCCAATCCGCCGGCACGATTGCTGGATCGATTCTGAGTCTCGTCGTCGTGAGTGGAGAGCCTCGTTCGTAGTCACTCTAAGCGCGCGTGGAGCTAAAGGGAGCATATCTTCTCAGATGAACTCCATCATCGACTCTCATCGCGAGATACTGTTGAGCGTTGAAGGATCAAATCTATGGTCGGGGAATATCGTCCAGTCCTTCAATTCCGATGTACGTCAACGTCCGGGAAGATTAGTTTTACAACTCTGTGAATAGGGATGAGCTGACTTAGAAGTGATAACACTCCTAGGCTGTGACGTGAGTTCTGACCGCCTCTTATCGTGGAACCAAGATGTTTTGGCTCATGTACCTATTCCCTTGCTCAAAGCTGGGGTGCATTGGGAACAGAAATGGTGAGTTAGGGCGCCATGTCTACGTCTCAGAATACTGATCCGACGAGCATGTTCTACACCGCAGTGGGGTCCTCGTAGGTGTTCGGGGCCATTTCTCAGACCGTTATTCGCATGATCTCAGGCGTGATCTGTCCTATTACCCCACTTACAGATAGCAAATACTTCATCGTGCCACTTGGACTAGGTATGACGGGCAGCGTTCTTTACCGCCCAAAAATAATTGAGTTTCCTGACACGTCCCGTCGCCGATCTTCAGTCATCGGCCTCTTCATCCCGATCCCTGTCTGGTTGGGTCACAAATGTTTCCCTAAACTCCACCTCGACCAAGTAGTCACGCCCATCATCTGCTTCTCCCTCGGCTACCTCTCCGTGCGTAGCCCCATACCGTCGTGACCCCGCAAAGGGCATGTCGCAGGGCGCTGACTCTCGAAGTCGTCCTTGAGCAGGTCGGCATCAACTCAAGCGTCATGGCCACCTTCATCATCAGCTTTTGGTCCCAATTCTACCTCCGCAAAAAGCGAGCGAATTGCTTTCGAAAATACAACTACCTCCTCGCCGCGGCTTTAGACGTGAGTTGCGGTTAGGCAATCCTCTTCGAGATTTCAGACTCGTTCATAGGCGTATCCTCGGACCCATCTAATTTCCTTTCTTTACTCTCATTAGGGCGGAACGCAACTGATGGTATTCGTCTCGACCTTCGCGATCAACGGTGGAGCGGGCAAGCAATACACCTTCCCCCAATGGGCTCTGAACCCACCGGGTCACTACGACTGTAAGGTCCCGTTCCGGAGCAAGTTGTCTACCTCGTCTCATTCAGCTGATCACTGCTGGCATGCGGCCCGGGGTATTTGTCAGACTGCGCTTCGAGTGCGACGACCGACGGTTAGGTGTCGGCCAGTCATCCCCGTCGTTCCCGCTGGCGAAAACCCTCCATGCAAATTAAATTCACTCTCCCCCTGTGACTTCTACCCGCGATTTGCCGCGATATCAGCTGTCAATGCAATTCGTTTCACGCGTTCTATTTGTCGTCCACAAAAAAGCGTTCGTAAACGATGACCTTTCTGCAGCTTGGTGACAAGGCAGTCGAATTTGCGGATACGACTAATCCCTGACCATCCGAGAGTAGTCATGCCAGAATGAAAGTCAACCAATCATCTGTTCATTGCGTTATGTACAAAATACATGCAAGGAAACAGTATCCTTGGGCTATAAAATCGTGATCATCACCTCGCCCAGTAGAGGAGGACTCTGCTTTGCCCTCTGCGGTGTTCATTCTTACTTGTGTTGCCGCGTGGGGAGCTAGCCCAAAGTGGGCATATGAGCCGCGTTTCGCACACATCGTGGGGGCAGACCAGTCGGATCTTGCCTCGAGACGAGCCTTGAAGTAAGCGGTATCATCACTCATGACGATGACCCCTTGGGGAATGGTTGAGCTGCTGTTCAAGCCTCCACCTCTCCACTTCTGCCGATGCCGAGCCGAGCGCCAACCGCCGAATGCCGAAGGCGGCCGAGCGCGCAACTGAACTGAAGCGAATTCGCGGACAGGGGACCAAGCACGCCACATCGAGGCCAACGATCCATCCCTTGAAAAGACCGAATACCTGGTCGATCAAGCTTGACCAAGTCTCAGCAGCTAGTTTGAGCTCTAAGGATCACCCCAGAGTTGAGATAACCGCAAGCGTTATAGTAGGTATTGCCCCAGCAGCTCTGTTCGAGCTGCGGCGAGCTCGATTTACTGCGAATTCCGACACGGCGCTGGGTTGCGGTGCGGGGTCCACCGTGACTCGAGAGCTCCAAGACGGCGATCCGACGGGAGAAAGGATGAAGAGTCCCTGCGTATCCAATGAATTGGATCTAGATCGAGTAGACGCTTTCAGCGTCAGAGGTAATTCGGCTGCTTAGGAGACAATAGGTCGTAGGCTGCAATTCAAATAAGTAGCTCAATTTTCGAGTAAGTCGTAAGGTCGAGTCGGACGAGAACTCGAACGTCGATCCGAGTCGGCCGATTTCGTCGGGGCCGGATCCGCGCAGATGTGACCACCAGTGCCTCATCGATGATCAGATCCATTCACCACGAAGAAGCATTTGGTGAATGACCAAATTACTGTGACGTCAGTACAGGACTCCTTCCCTTTCTTGTCCATACACGAAATGTTTCCAAGCGTGGACCCTCGTTTCTCAATTATCGCCCCCGACTTGGTCTGAATCCGTGCGGCTGAGTCTGGCTGAGTAGGCGAGAGCATGCACCAACCGCCTGCCTGGACCGCCGAGCCCCGGCTCTGTTTCTGTCTCCCTTCCCCCTTTCCGACGTTCTCGGCTCGAACCAAACGCGACCCCCTTGAATCTACCCGCACTGTTCCCATCTCCTACAACAGCTTGGGTTCACTTGCTACCTAGGAGACTCGCACGGCGCGTTCCGTTTGCAGCGTGCACGTGCACTCGAGTGCCGATTGGCCTGCGTGCGCTGTGGATTGGGTTGGCTCTTGGCTCGACCTCGGACTCGACCTCGAGTAGCGGGTCCTTTGCTGTTCACCTCGGACCCATCTGATCGGTGAGTTAGAGCACCCATGTACTGGGCTACCCTGAAACGTCGTGAGGCTCGACATGGACGAGGGACCACGCGTGATGGCTGCATTCACCGTCGTCGAGTCTTCGGCGTTCGCGGCCGTCGTCGTGGGCAACTCGGCGCTCTCTCGCGACTCGATTGGGGTCGCTGCGCTAGGCGGCGCTGGGCAGTGTGGGCACGGCTGCCGTCGCCATCGACGCTCGCTCGCCTGCCCCCCCATACATGGTATCGCACGCACTGTTGCACATGCTGACCACGTGCGATCTCGGTTGATCTTGTTTGATCTCGCAAGCAGTTGTCGTGCCTAGCCTGCAGACCCGCGCCAGTGCTCCGGTGGCCGCGCAAGTGCATGTCCAAGTCACGCCAATCGTTGTCGACGCTTGCCTCGTCGCTGCAGCTGGCGTCGCTCGCCCGCGTCAACCCAGCCGCGCGTCAGGTGCAGGCCGCCCAGCGCTCAGCAGTCGCCGCGACCTCCGCCGTCCAGAACCACACCCGCCAGAACCACCGCCACGCCAGCAACGCAGCTGTCTATCGTGTCGTGCGCGATGTCCAGGGCAGCTGCTTCGTCGTAAAGCGACACCGACGCCATGCCAGCACCGAATCCGCCGCAGCGTCGGCCTCGGCGTCCTCCAACCGTAGGGCCACCTCTGCGCTCGGCGGTCCTCAACGGCCGTCAGCGCCGATAGCGGCATCAACTTCCTCGTCAGCCTCTTCGGCTCTCGGAACTTCTCAGTCATCATCCAGATCCGCCAGCACCTTGGCCTCATCATCGAGTAGTCTGGGTCGCTCGCCATCGATTTCTACAACAGCAGCAGCTGCAACAGCATCAAGTTCAGCCTCCCTGCGTCGGGCATCGACTCCTCCGTCGTCGCCGAACCCGGTCGCCTACTTTCACTCGAATGCTCGAGCTGCACACCAGCAACCTGCGCATGCATCTTCTTCGAACCTGATTTCTCCGCCACCTCCGCCATCCTCTGCGCCCAATTCGGGACACTCGTCTCAGCACTCGGGCAGTTCTGGCTCGGGCAGCTTGCCCCCGAATGATCCGTCCTGGCTCCTGTCGAGTCCGCACCACCACGTCTCGGCCTCGCGCACCACGTTATCCTCCGATGGGCCGTCTTCATCCTCTTCGGCCCCGTCCACGTCGGCGTCGACCAGCACCTCTTCCTCTGCCCCCGTCGCCGCCTCCTCAGGTGCAGCAGCCTTGTTCAGTTCCGACCACGCCCGTTCTTTCCCCCACCACGCCCTACCGAGCTTCTTTGGCACCTCGTTGAGCATTGCGCGAAGAGGCAATCTTGTATTCAGGAATGGCGCGTACGGAATACCCAAAGCCGGGAGAGAGAAGGATCTGGCTACGAAGGGGAAGGAGAAGGCCGATGGAGAAACGGGCGAGCTGGATCATTATCTCAGCGTCAGCATTGGAGAGGATGCTGTGAGTCTTCGCTAACAAGGCAATATAAGCTTAATGATAGTGACTAATCCTACGCGGTTGTGCATGGTGCAGTACTTTTTAAGGACGGATTCTCTCGGTGTCGCTGATGGGGTCGGTGGATGGTCAGGCCATGCCGGTGCAAACCCGGCCAGGTGGTCGCGCAAGTTGATGCATCGTGAGTCGGCCTGCTTGCCTCGCGCCCGATTTCTCGTGGACGTTTATGAACTCAACCAATGATTGAAAATGCCCACAGACTGCTCCAACGAGCTAGCACGCTACGAGAACGTCGACGACGAGTTGTTCTTGCGATACTACGAAGTCGATCCCGTCGAGGTCCTGCAGAGAGCGTTCGAAAAGAGTCTCGCGGAATGCAAAGATGAGGTGAGGACTTTTTGTCGGCGCAAATACGAAAGAAGAGGGAACACGCACTGATCGGGGCTTGTACTACAATGTAGGGCGTTATTGGTTCGTCGACCGCTTTGCTCGCCGTTTTGCGCAATGATGAATTGCGTCTCGCGAACATGGGCGATTGCTGCTGCTGCATCATCCGTGGCAACGACTACATCTTCCGCTCAGAGGAACAACAGCATTCCTTCAACTTCCCGTTCCAGGCCGGCACGACGTCCAAGGACACGCCAATCAAGGATGCGCAGAGGTTCAATATCAAGGTCCAAAAGGACGACATCGTTATCCTGTCCTCCGACGGCCTGATGGACAACCTCTACGACGAAGACATTTTGGAAGAAGTGCTGAGATTCGTGGCTTTGACACCCGCGCCGACCGCTTCGTCTTCAGGCTCTGCACTCCCTGGCGTCACGGGACCGAGGTACACGCTGAACCGATTCTCGCCGCAAGCTGTCTCCGAGGCGCTCAGTCTCCGAGCGAAGAGCGTCTACGAGGACCCACGTGCCGTCAGTTCACCCTTCCAACAACGCGCCGTCGAGGAAGGCATTCACTTTGTCGGTGGCAAGAGGGACGATATCACGACTTTGATTGGCGTCGTCGGCGAATTGGAAGCCAGTCCGGACAGGAGATGACACCCCACTCATTCTCAGCCACCCCAAGCAGACATATGTATACTTCGTTCCCCGACCCCTTTGTTGTTGATGTTGATGTAGATGACGACCCCGAGCAAGAGTCTTGTTCTCAGCTTTCGTATCTCTTGCACCCTTTTCGCGTCGCCACGCTTGCCCCTCTTTGGCAACGCCTGTTTTTTGCCTGTTTTTAAGTGTTACCCTATGGAGCAATGCAGTCCCTTTGTCTCCACCTTTGTTCTTGCTTGTATCCTCGAACGCGAACAGTTCATAGTTTTAAGGTCATGCCACTCAAGACACCTCAGCAGATCTCAACCGACTTCAGATACCAGATGCGTATTGAATTGCATTTGAACGTATGCTTGCGAAACGGTGTATACAAGTGGGATGAGCCTTGTGAATGCGTCAGGATGAAAACGTGGCATGAAGAGTGTTGATGGTCTTGAGTCGTTGGATGAAGATCCTTGGGTTCTCTCCTCCCGGGAGCTCCTTCCTATGGAGCAACAACTCCCATTTATGCCTTCTTGCCCCAAACCTCCTCAACGATCTCCTGGCAAAGCTGAATCTTGGCCCACTGTTCCTCCTGCGTCAACTCGTTTCCATGCACAGTCGAAGCGAACCCGCACTGGCACCCCACGCTCAACTGCTCCAAAGGCGCATATTGCGCCGCTTCGCGGATACGCGCGATGACCTCCTTCTTGTCCTCGAGCTTGCCCGTCTTGGTCGAGATGAGACCGAGCGTGACGGTCTTGTGGCCCTTGGGGAGGTGGCGCAGGGGCTCGAAGCCACCGGAGCGCGAGTCGTCGTATTCGAGGAGGTATTGATCGACGTTGAGATCCTTAAGCAGGACTGTTTGGATCGAAGGAGGGGTGAAAAGAGTCAGCACCTCGGCTCATTTGAGCGTTCCCGTTAGATGACTACGTCTAGGACTGACCTTCGGCAACGGGTTCGTAACCACCACTGGCGAACGACCTCGATCGGAAGTTACCACGGCACAAGTGGATCGCGACCGTCATATCCTCGGGCTTGTCCTTCAAAGCGGCGTTGATCAACTTGGCGTAGTTGGAAGGCAATTGTCGGACGTCCTCGCCTCGCTCCTCGGCTGCTTTCCTCATCTCGTCCGAGCACAGGTAGGCCTACGGGATAGCAACATTCTTCGTTATTTTCGGTGGCATAACTCGGGGAGAAAAGTCCTGCTCACCAAGTTGGTGTCATCCAACTGGATGTACCTCGCGCCGGCCTTGTAAAGCGCATCGATCTCGGCCCGGTAAACGACGGCCAAGTCTTCAAAAAAGTCCTCGATGTTGGGGTACGAGTTGATGTCGATCGCGGCGCGACCGCCTCGGAAGTGGACCATCGTAGGCGAAGGAATCGCGACCTTGACTTCGGTGCCTTCGGCCGAGAGGCACGACTTGACGAATTGGTAGTCGGCAACTTGGATCGGCCCGGTGTGAGCCAACTTGCCCGTGACGGTCAACTGGGGCGCTGTGCAGCAAATTAGAACCTCGACTGGTCAGAAATTATGTTGCTCAAAGATCGATCATCTTCGAATACTTACGTGCTGCTTCGGCTTTGCCCTCGACGAGCTTGTTCTGGGTGACCGTGACACCTCCGAGGTGCTTCAAGAAATCGAGATGGAAGTATTCTCTCTGTAAAATCGGATTGGAGGAAAGCATGACGCCCCTCGTCTGAATCAGCACCATGCCACGGGCAAGCCAACAAACCGATACCCCCTCTCCTATTCGGCCTGGCGAAACAAGTTCCGTTCACCGGCCGTATCGTCCGCTCGCGCGTCCCGGCCCATACCGAAAGACTCACGCGGAACTCTCCATCACTGATACCCTTGAGGCCCGCCTTCTCCTGCTGTTGCACAACGGTGCGGATCGCGTCGTCCTCGACCTTGCGCAGTTCGGCATCGGTGATCTTGCCCTCGAGATGGGCTTGACGAGCTTCGTGGATCTCCTTGGGACGCAAGAACGAGCCGACTGCGATCGGTGCAGATGGGTCATTTAAAGGTCAGTCTGTCGGTCTTCTTGCGATCTCACCCTGAATGCAAAGAGATGTCGAGTCGGGTGACATGGGGTGACACCATCCGGTAAATCGGCACTCTTCAGAAGCCGGATGAAAATGTGGTCTTGAAATAGGCGCGGCGCTAGGGAGCGGCACTGCGGGGGAGAGGCTCATAGGGGATGCGATGCGGAAAAGGACACTGACCATGCTCGGTGCGGTTGATGATGGGGTTCTTGGTGACGACCATTTTGGTTGCGGATACGGGGTGAGCTGATTGTCTGGTGCGGACGGATAGAGGTAGGAGAGGGTCAGCGAGCGCTCAGCGAGCTCCAACGTGCGACGGGATTGACCTCCCAGGACCCCCCTAGGCTTTTGACGGCACAACGGCACAACGGCACAACGGTTCAAGCGAACCCGAACCGCGAGTTCATGGGTCACGTCACGTGCTCTGGCCCGCGCGCACTCTTCCTAGTACCCAGCGCTTACTGCAGCCGCGACTTGCCGAGGCCTCTGCCCGATCACGTGAATCACAGCACCCAAATCAGAGTGAATTGCGCGAGTCTACTCAAAAGATTCTATGGTCCGAAGCACAGTAGTGTATTGTTTGAAGCCATCAAATGGCGGATACTGCAGAATTGACGAACGCACCAACGTCTGAACGTTGACTGCGTCCGAAAAGACATGAAAACACATCGATCGGGGTGGGAGGGGAGGGGGGGGGATGGAAATACAACAAGACAGAAGGGGTCTCAGGGAGAAAAGCACGACATGAGGGGTGGAACCGCGCGTATACGAAATAGCAGGGGACCACATTCAAAGCAGGCGGAATGCCGCTTCTAGGCAGCAATATATTGAGATGGGGGATTAGACGCCTCGGCCCTCACGTCCAAGCTATCGAGAAGAAGATGAGAAATTAGCAACATTTACATGTATCTTGAGCAAGCGTGAGGTTGCAAAGAAGCAATAGTCGAAGAGCTCACCTCGATGCCGAGTTGACCTCCGGGGTGACACCTGAGGAAATCCGCTCTTCGGGCCTTGCCGTCTCGACCCCATCCGATTCGCATCTTACTCAGTGTAAGGGCCACCGCATCGCCGATCGCCAAAGCCGCAACCACACTGCTTGTCGGAGCAGGGAGAGCCGAGTCGGCCTCGTCCGTGACCTTCTCACCGGCGCTCTTGGTCGAGGCACCCGTGCCGGCATCGAGCCAGCCGGCGCAAGCACGTGCGAGGACCGAATCGGGGTCGCGCGTGACGGCGATCAGTGTTCGTACACGAGGTCGGATGATGGGCAACAGTCGCATCAACTCCGCCGTGGCGCCAGAGTGCGAGATCATGAGGAGCGCGTCGCACGGCGAGGTGGGCGAACAGCGGCAGATGACTCCGAGGTCGCCGTGTAGAGCTTCGAGAGGATGCAAAAAGACGGATTGGATGCCTGGGTAGAGGTAGAGTTGGTTTACACAAGTCAATTTGACGGATCGGAGAAGCTCGACGTGTTTGCGTGCGTAGAAACGATGCCATGCAAGCTCGGAAAAGGCAGCTTACCGAGGGAACAGAACGTGGCCACCATCTTTCGGCCGACGAGACCGGATTTTCCAACACCCGTGACGACGATCTTGCCGTGGGCGGGGAGGGAGGAAAGAGCGTCGATGACGTTGCGGAAGGCGATGTTGGATCTCGACTCTGCCCGCGATTCGACCGACGAGTCTTCGTTGTCGAGCGAGCCGACGTCCGAGGCGCGATCTTCAGCGCCAAAGCCGGGGCCGGGGAAGAGGTCATGATGCGCGAAGGGAGCTTCATCTTCGACGATCGGCTGCGCCGCCGGGGCGAGCCTCGCCGCGAGAGCCAAGAGGGCATAGGCTTCGTTGCGTACGATGCTCGATGCATAGGCTGCGAGCTGGGTCGGGTTGGGCTTGAGCGGGTCCAGATCGAGCTGACCACCGGAGAGCGAGAGCTGATCGAGCACGGGCGAGAGCGACAGGCCTTTTGCTGGCGAGAGGAACGGCGATGACGCGATGGACGATGCCGGTGAGGGTGCACTCGACGAGGCAACGGAGCGTGGTGAAGATGCTTGATCAGAGTCGGATGAAGAGCTGAACGGGCTCTCGGACAGGGAGGCGATCGACAGGTCCGACTGTCCTGCGAACACGCAGGCTGGCGTGATGGACGACACCGAGACGCCCGAGTCATGGCGACTCCATCGGTGCTGCTGGGGCTGGGGCTGCTGAGAAGGGTGCTGTTGGTGCTGGTGTTGGCTAGATGTGAGGTTCGATGTTGAGAACGACGACGACATTACGGAGAAATGAAAAGGAGCGTAGGGTAAGGGCAGGAGAAGAACGTGGACGAGACCGAGAAGCGATGCACGATGCGGGCGAAAAAAGAGCACGGAGCAGGGCATCGGACTCTTGTGACAAGACTTGCTCCGATGAGCGAAGGCCCTGCGCGCCGCTGATTAGCGCTGATTGATAAGAATGACGAAGCCAGGCCGATCGCGGATTCCGGCTGGCGGGCTCAGCCTTCTGGTTGCCCAAGGCTGGGTGGGCCTCGCCAAGGCAGCGCGTCAACGGATGCGCGTCAAATTGGCACATGCAAATCGGTGACAAGATCAATCAGAGAGGCTGACTCGATCTCCAAAAGTGCATCACCATGAGGCCTTCTAACACCCTGCCTACTTCCCTCCACGTGCGGTAGTAGTGTCAGGCTTAGGTCAGCTTTTCCAACCTGCCGGACTCTGAATTACGATGCTGGCACCTGGTTCTGCTCTCGATGCTCGAACCCGATGTCTGGAACATGTGCATACGTAACGGTTTGGTTACTGAAAGATTTTCCATTCTTGCTCGAAATAATCATACGACGTTCCACTACTACTAACTCATGCTTTCGATACTTTGCAGATCGATGCGAAAAAAAGAGACCTTGTGTAATCGAGGGCCCGATGGCCGATCCCACGTTCAACTGACCACGCTGCCCCCGCCGGTTCGACGCCGAGCATCTGCTGAGTGCATCGTTTGGGCAGGTTCAAGTGTAGTTCTGTTCGAGCTCTTCGAAGGTGACAACAATCGCATAGCGGAATCATCTTCGTTCCACATGAGCCTTCATAAAAGCCAAGTTAGCGGCATCATCAGTGATAGCATCATCGCCTCAGATCTGAAATAGCCAGGTGCCGATGGGATGAGCAGCACGTGAAATTCACGTGATTCGCTCGGCTGTGGTCGAATCGGGCTTGAGTCGGGTATCAGCTGATTCAGGAGGAAAATACCTACCGTCCCACTCCACCTGTGTAAGTGGATTCGGGGTGCTATGCAGAAGCTAGATGGCCATGCAATGAAGTCGTTAAAAGCATCACCTCCGTCTTGTCCGTGAAATGCCAGGCGATGCCAGGCAGCCAGGCTGGAATTCGAGCGACGAATACGGGCGTGACTGAGACGGCTCTGACTCCTGTCCTGACTCCAATCTCCTTCTTAGCCCTTTCATCCTCTCGAATCTGCAGCGCTGGCAGACCCCACACCTCCCCCTAGCATCCATTTTCGAGGTGTGAAAAGATGGAGAACCGACACCTTCCTCTGTCGAGACGATGGTGCTCGCCCGAATGCGCTGATTATCCTCAACACCCCGCTCGTGCGAGACGAGCTGTTCCGCAAGCTTTGGGCCGCAGGTCAGTCGGATCGTGCAGTGAGCTCAACAGTGAAGAGGAAAAACTGACTGACATGTAACTTTCTATGACAGCCTCCGTTCGTTACTGCGCTGATGGAGGCGCGAATCGGCTGTACGACGCCTATCGATCCAAAGAGCCTTCCCAGGCAGCACGGACAAATAGAGACGACCCAACAACTATCCACGATGACGATGACGATATGATACCTGACCTCATAAAGGGTGACCTGGACTCGTTGCGCGACGATGTCAGGGCCTACTACGAGAGCAAGGTCCGTTCGTCCAATCTTCGTCTCGGCTCATTCTTATGGACCCGACTCACATGAGACGTCCTGCTTCCATCTTTTACCAATCCAGAACGTCTTTATTGTCCACGATCCCGACCAATACTCGACCGACCTGGGCAAATGCGTCGTCGCTCTGACCGAATACGAGACCAAACTCGCTACTCAAGCTACCCCCTCCACATCCAACGAACCAGCACCACCACGGACACCCATCCAACATCAACTCGTCATCGTCGGTGGTCTGAGTGGTCGATTGGATCAGACGATCCATACATTGCATGCGTTGACGTTGTTGGACCAAGAAAGGGAAATGACTTGGGCTGTGGGGAAGGAAAGTTTGGCGTGTGTCTTGGGCCAGGTCAGTTTGAGATATGCTGGTACCTCCTTGGGTGGTCGACCGAGAAAAAGCTTAATTCTGTCCGATCATAGGGTACACACGATATCAGTACGAATCTCAAATACTTTGGCGATACGTGCGGCATTTTGCCCGTCGGTGAACCGGCCAAAGTCACCACCTCTGGCCTCAGATGGGATCTCACCCCCACTACTTGTGAGGCATTTGCAAGGATCAGTCCAGCCGACGCATGAGCAATGTAGCTGAGGGGTTTGCTGTGCCTCACAGTTGCGTATCCTACGTCAATTGCGGCGGGCGTCTCTTCGTCGAATCATTTGCCTCAAGAGACTATTACGGTCACGACTGACGTTCCAGTGGTTTGGACCGTCGAAGTTCGATCGACGACTCGACCGTGACTCTCGTTGGTGGATCTGGCATGCTCTTCTCGTATATCTTAACTTATCCGTATTTCTCTCAATACATCCGTTACCTTTGAGTTATCTACTCCATTCTTTACGCGATACTCAAGTTCGCAAAATTTCCGTGGCCCCCGAAATTATTCCGAGAACCCCCTAAGACCTTTCCTCGACAACCTTGTCGCTGCCTCATCTCCCTGACCTAAGCCTCCACCTTCATAAAGTTATAATAGAACACAATCGCATCGACGTACTCCTCCCCCTCCCCCTCGGCCTTCTTCAGCAAGCCCGCGTTCGGGATCAAGCCCGCTCTTTGGAATCCGAGCGAGTCCCAAATCTTGACCGAGGCGATGTTGTTGACGTACACGAGGTTGAAGACGGAGGCTTTGTAGCCTATTAGAACAGGACGGATTCAGATTCTAGAAGCTAGGATAAGCGAGACGAGGATTCAAAGTTGCGACGGACCTAGTAAAGGCGCGTAGTGGAGGTAGGAACGACCGAGCGTTTTGCCGACTTTGAGACCACGGTGAACTGGAGGAACGACGAAGCCGCCGTTGCAGTTCTGGTCGACGAGGGTCATAGATTCAGTAAGGACAGGTGAGGACCTAAATCGAAGGCACGCATTCAGCGCTTACATGTGAAGATCGACCCGGATAATTGGGCTGTGGTGGGGAGGAATTTCGAGGGTGAGATAGCTTCCTCATCGGGACGGTGTGACAACGATGAGTGCTTACTTTGATATCTGCCACACGAAACGAAAAGTATGCATCAGCAACCGAAAAATGCCCACATTCCTGACCGCCGTCCCACTCCCGCGGATCAAAAAAGATTCTTCCCGGAGGACTCATCTCTCGGCGACTCACAATACATGCCCACCACAGCATCTTTCCACTCCCTTCCAGCTCTGATGGTGTCTAATGCTAGGCCTTTCTCCCTGTAGGCTCCGTTTTCGGGTATTGTCCCGTCAAAGGGGGTCTCGTCGAGCAGACCTAGGAAACAGTCGGTACCTTCGCGTGGGGGAGAAGGAAGTCAGTCCAAGATGTGGTGCCTGAAGCTTCGGAGGGACGTGCCGAAAAAGTATCCTGCCTATTCAGTATGCAAACCATGGTATCAGCCACACTTCATCTCCACCATCGCCCCACGCTCTCCAATCAACCTTCCCCACCCATCCCTCCGCGCCACCCCACCTCTTTCTCCCCCAATTCAAACTCACAAACTGCTCATAGCTCTGCTCCCCCATCTGCGGATACGTCCTCCCTTCCTTGAGCACATCATTGAACACGCCCAGGAGGTACCCGATCATTTCCTCCGGGACGGTAGAGCGCGTAAGGGGGAAGACGGTCAGGCGTTTGGTGGAAGGATCTTGGTCGTGAAGAGGGAAGGATCGCGGTTCGAGGGGCGGGGTGACGGATGTTGTAGAGGGACGAGTTATGGTGCCGTAGGCGGACATGGTGGGAGAAGAGGTGGGAGAAGCGTGAGGAAGAAACGGAAGGGGAGTGAGAGACGTGGGGGGAGCGCGCAGAGGGGGGTCCTCGAGAGTCCTCGAGCGGAAGTGGGGCGAATCGGGTCGAATCAGGTTGAGGTGCCATCAGAGCTCTTCTTTCAAATAATAACTCGGGGGCTGTTTCAACTTCGACATGTGCATTACGTATATTGCATACAGACCAGAATTAAGGACCCCACCAGGGTTCAAACTGGGCGAGAGGGTAGCGTTTCGACTTGGTTCCATTGCCCCTTGAGAACATCGTCATGATGATTCGAACATCCTATCAATAGCTTCCTGAGAATCGACTGAGATTTTTGGGGCTGTGCATCGCGATTGATCTCTCCAAGTCAGCATGGTGCCGGATCACTGAGGCCAGATGCAATGAAGAAACTCACGACTCGACGGCTCGTGCCTTGCCATGTAGGCAATCAAACTACTCTTCAGACTCGACATCTCTTCCGTATCCGATGACGTCATTGTAGGCGTCCCCGCTACCCCTCGTGTACCCAATGGGCTTCCCTGCGTCGAAGGCGATGCGTTCGTCCTCAACTCGCCGACGTAGGATTTCCTCAGCGCACTCGCAACGATCGGTCGAGACGACGATGCCGGAGTTTGAGGTGAAGGAGGTTGGGGAGACGACATGGCCGAAGCGCGGAATGTCCGTGTGGGTGATCCAGACATGCTATTGATCGATGAGCTGCCTCCGAGAGGAGATCCGCCGGGGAGGATTGAAGGGGAGGCAAAGCAGGTCGAGCGAGTTTTGGGCGACGACTGCACGGGCGCCGAAAATTGCGGTGTGCCCGGAACGGTGCGATGCAGCAGATGGGGTGACGAGGAGCTTTTGCTTGGGGTTGAGGGGCGCGGGGGTGTCAGAGAGGAGAGGCTGTTGAGCGAGCGCATCGAGTCGGCGACGTTGTAGCAGAGCAGGATGAAAAGGCCCTTTTCGAGCAGGTTCAACGGTGTCGAGAGCGAGGGTAGCAAGTCGGAGAGGTGGTCAGAGGTGTATCTGCGTCGAGGGCGTTAGGAGCCGGTCTCAGTATCGAAGAGCTGTGACAGAGGACGTCCGCACTCACTTGTAGACCTGCGTTCTGGAGCTAATCCACCACAGCACGAGTAGGACAGCATTGGTGCGTAGTCTCCGGGCGACCTCCTGTCGAGTCATGGGCGGTAGGGCTCTTCGTTCGATCGTCGACAGTTCCGGCTTCGGTGACGACGCGGCACTGCTGCGTGTGGCCGCCACTGAGGTCGCCACGGTGGAGGAGGTCACGGCGGCGGGCGCGAGGGGTGCCATGGCTTTGACAGGTGTCGAGTTGCCTGCGCCGGCTGTCCAGCCCGACGAGAAGGACCGATGCGGTGTCGCACTCTTGTTGGTGTTGATGTGGGACAGCTCACGCGAGTTGGAAGGGGAGGCGGAGGCAGAGGCGGATGCGGAGGTCGAAAGGGGCCTTGCGATCGGAAATCGGGGCGAGGGCGAGCCCAAGGCGGTGGGCGCGAGGCTCAGCGGTGTCGATCCATTCGACAGCACGCGTGTCAGCGGAACGGGGGAGAAGGACGACGGCGTGGAAGAGGTCGCGCCAGGGTCGAGGTTGGGGTAATGGGACAGCTGTGTTCTCCGCGGGGACGAGCTCGACAACGGACTATTGCCGGCCGACGCGTCGGTGGTGAAGCGCACATTACGCGGTGCGGTGCCCGGTTGAGATGTCTGGGGCGAGCTCGTGTTGGAAGGAGCACCGCCGTGGGGTTCTTGTTGCTGCTGCTGCTGCTGCGACTGCTGAGTAAAATCAGGCACAGAGGCGGATGGTCGCATGCGACGTCCCAGCGGCGAGGGTGTGGCCTGGGTCTGGATCTGCACCAACGATCCGCCGTACGAGGTCGAGTGATTCATCGTTGGGGAAAGATCGAGCGACTACAAGTGTGTCGGTAGGAAACGAGGTATCGTTCTTGGCGTGATGATGACCGCGTGACCAGGGTCGAATCGAGTGGTAATCGTCGATTCGTCGTACGGGGGCGCGTTTTCAAAGCTGGCGGGTGTTGCTGTTGGGGATGTATGTCACGCGGGGCCACGCCGGGACAATGTGGATTGAGTTCGGGCGATGCGCGGTGGGGACTTGATGAACTGTGACGCGGCGGCGATGGTCAACGTCGTCGAGAGGTGGCCGAGGGAGGTACAGGACTTGTTGAAAGTCTCTTGCGGGAAAGCGGTCGAGCTCGAGCCGGGGAGGTGGTGCGAGCGGAGGTTGCGGGGTATATCACCTATGGGCGCAAGTGCAAGCTCAGGAGGTCAAAGGGAAGTTATTAGGGAACCCGTTGTGCGCGCCGGGGTCATCACAACCCGTCGGCTCCAGTCGGCGTTTTAGCGCGCTGGGCAATCCGGGCCTACGGCCGGTCACCCCCATTACTAATCGTAATCGTAATCGTAATCGTGGCAAGCAGGCCCGCCGGCGCCTCTCGCCTTGTCCTGAATTGGACTCGGATACTCTGTAGTAACCAGTGGGAACCCGTTAAATTAACGGGAGGGTGAGATTCAAATAGCAGGAGAATCGAACAGTCTACATGATTTCAACAGAGGCTAAGAAAACACACTATAAAGTACAGCAAAGAAACAGTTTTCCATTCATCGCCCAAACAGCCTGCCCGTTGCTTGTTGCCAAAAATGTCGTCGCAGAGTCGGTTCAACGGCTTCAAACACTCGTGCAATGAGATCCGGTCGGTTGCATGCTTGGTCGTTCGGTCCCAGTGCAGCCTTGATTTCCGGCCATTCGGGGTTGCACGTCACCGTGATGAATAGCGAAGGCTTTCCATATTTGACGGCGCATGCCATCGCATCTTGGTAATGCTGCGTGTTCTCGCGCGGTCTATTCTTGAACGTTGAGCCCAAAATCACCGAACATCCAATTTGATCCGGGGTCAAGGTGATGATACCTTGGCCCGTGGTGAGGCGGAGGTTTTCTTGATGCAACTGGAGGTAAGTTGAGTCGATCGGTCTCGACGTGGGAGTATCCGTCATCACGAACGCCAGGAAGGCACGTTGGGTGCAATGCGGGATTGAGAAGTACTCGTCGCGTTTGTGCAAGTAGTACGCAAAGAATTGTGAACGCGAGACTCGCCACTTCGACCCCCTTTATTTGAGCTTCGTCCTAGGTGTTAAAACGTTAAATGTCAGTCTGTGCGTGCGCCTTAACAAAATGGAACATCCGAGAAAGAGCCGAAGGCGCTTACGTTCACCATCACCATTCTCTTCGTCCCCTTCCTCCTCGTCTTCATCCTCTTCGTCGGCGAAGGGTGACCCAGCTTGGTTGGAACTGCAAAGAGGAATGTTCGGGAGGCAGTCATCTTCTCCTGCAGGGAATAGGAGTGGGGAACGGAGAGGCATCGCAGACGGATGGAGCGAGCTAACAACTTGGTACGTGGGCCGACCGTCGGGACATTGATCACCGTGCGCCTGAAGATTAAGGTCTTGCGGTCCACGACCTCACATGTTGGCGTCGGAATCGCAGATAGGCATCGCCATTTCCGTGTTCCACGTAGGAAGGTTGTGGGTGCGTCGGTCCCGGCCAGGTGTTAGACAGAGGCGCAGGACCCATTCTTTGGCCGTACCCCAACCTGCGCGGGCTTTGGCCGATGCGAACTCCCTCACAAAGCGATGTCCGGTGCCCAACATGGAGTCGAGCTTGGTCAAAGTAGATCTTTGTATGCGACTGTCTGCGCCGTCGGGTCCAAATTGAGTGTCGGTGGCCTCGGCCGGGCAGATGAGCCATGTTTTGGCGTAGGTTGGGCGCTGATTGACGGCAGGAATCAGGGCGCCGAGAGTGCCCGAGCCAATGGTAAAGGCGACGAAATACCTGAAACATGCGGGGTCCTTGAGTGCCTGGTCGAGTCTGGTCAAAGTGGGCAGCGAGCGAAGTGAACGACAGCGCGTTGTTGTACGACCGGGCATTCTCGCGGAACGCCGGAATGCCTTAGCTTCTGTGTAGGTGTGTCGCACAGTTCAGCATGTTGGTCTACTACAGACGAATGACGTTGGACGGAGCAACTGACCGCTATCCGAGCCTTCAAGTAGCTGTTGAAAGTTGGGATTGGGCCGGAGAGAGGGAGGTAGCTGCACCTTGCCCTGCGAGCAGCACGTGCTGAAGTGTCCGGTCGACTTTGTCCTTTCGCACTCCCAGTGCCGAGCCTTGCAGTGGGTACACACGGTCATCTGGGGCCGAGGTAGTCGCGGAGGGGAACGTGGGGCTTGAGTGGTTTGAGCGCGATTCAAGGCCTGTGCACTTGCTCTGCGCGGGAAGAGGTGGTGGTGGGGCGAGCTCAGCAGTAGCTCAGCGTCGGTTCGGCCATCGGGCCATCGCGCCTGACCACGCTGTCCGTTCTACAAAGCTGTACGGCGGACGCTTATACGGGTCGCAATACCAAGATCGGTTGAGTTGTGGTCATTATGCACGGGGAGCTGATTCTGTTGATGGGAGCGGGACGAAGAGGAGAGTCGAGCAGCGGGCCCTCGAGCAACCTCGAGCAGTACGACGGTACGCTATCGTACGACAGGCTCGCGCCAAAGACTTGGCGCGGTTGTCACAAAAATTCGATGAGAGTGGGAGGGAAAAGGCGAAAATTGGAGAGAGTAGCGCGGGAGTATTCACAGCGCCCGCCTGAACGTCATGTTGTTGTTGAGTCCCTAAAACCGGTGTCGGGATGCAAAAAACACGTTACGTGATCGTCGGGGCATCGCGCAGCGCAGCGTAGCCGCGCCCGCGTCCGCGCGTCAACGACAGCGAGACCACGCCTGAGCTCTGTAGAAGAAGTGTCATGCAAACCCACGCGCTTGCTATACATTAAATCCTACACAAACAGCTCAATAGTTCCCCACCATGTCAAAATTCGACAAAAATCGTAGTCGGGCTGTAGGTCGACTTTTATGGTCCAGAAAATGCAGAAAGGGTCGTACATGACTTCTGGTCGAGGTGCCGATACCACAGGCAGGTGCGGCAGACCCAATAGTGTACAGGTACATCCATCAGTTGCGGCCTAGTTGCGGCCTTGCACAGGCCGCAACACAGACAAAAACTGCGATTTTAGGAACATGGGTCGCGGATCGACCTTTTTTTTTTACTAGATAGAGTAATACTCGGGTCGCCTGCCTCCTCTTCTTCTATACCCCACCTACTGCCAGCTCCCACACTCACAGTGAGCGTCCCGACTCCCCACTCGAGCGTGCTGCGTCGCTGCGTCGTACCTATTTTCGCACGCCTCGCAACAGTGAGTGGCCTGAGTAGCGGCTTGCAACCAACCAACCTTTCTGCGATCGACGACCACTGACCACTGCATCACCTGATCTGTGATCTGGAACCGGCGGCAGTGGCCTCGGAACTGCAGTCGCTCGATCTGAGTCGATTGCTCGGCGCGCACGCGGTGCTGTCGCTGCTCGCCAACCTCTCGAATGCGCCAGTGTGGAACCTGCCGCTCAGTCTCTATGGCTTGGTCGTAGTATCCCACCACGCCGATGATGGCGGTGACTCGGTTCGCCAGGTTAGTCGCATTCGGCGCAGCAGGTTCCACGCACCGCCACACACTCGACGTGTCCCCCCCAGCGTCGATCAATCGATCACTAATGACGCGCTTCCTTTCGCTCGTACCCAGTTCGCCGCCCTGTATGCGTTCTCCTTCTTCCTCGACGCTCTATGGCTACTGTCCAACTCGACCTACGCCTCGACATGGTTCTTCATCGTCGCCAACTTCCTGCTCAAGGTCAGGCAGTGCTACATTCGATGACGGCCTGCGAACTCGGACCTATGCTCTTTCGGAATTTCACTTCAAGGCTCGCTTGCTGACACGACCTCCCCTGTGCATCTTCCTCCCGTCGCAGCCGGTGACTTTACTGTCGACACTGGGTCAACTGCGACTCCGTGGACATGCGACCTTCAGCTTGCCCGGCGGGTTCAGCCTTCCGGGAGGCAACGATCAGTTCGGCGGCAACGGTGGCTTCCCTCCCGCTCGAACAGGCGCGAATGAGACCATGTGGCAAGCACCGTCGGGTGCTGGAGGCTACCATGAGCGAACCTTTTCCCAAGAAGAACGTGGCGTACCTTCACCTTCGACTGCGGCGGCTGCTCCGACGACGGCTCCTCCGAGCGCCTCGAGACCGGTCGGCCCAGTCGCGGTGGGTGGAAATGCAGCGGGCCCGGGATATCAAGGGCGGAGCGAAGGAGGGGGATACCATACGCTCGAGTGAGATGCTTTTTTTTTGTTTTGGTTCATATTTCGACCGCGTAGTAGGCGCAACAGTTTGGTAATGCACCTTCTCCCGAAAGAAGGGAACCGCGCGAGACAAATAAAATCGTTCAAGTCTGGAAAGCAGAATTAGCCGGGATGACTTGAGCCGAACTGGGGGATGACACTTGCCTTCTCCTCCGCACACTGGACTGTTCACCCTGCGAGGCCCCACAACTTTAAGCGAGGAGCTACTTACCGCTCGTTCAATACACTATCCGGCTATTCGATCCAGCACCTCGCTTTCCTTGAACCGCTGTCACTGAGTCGACGCTCGGCTACCCGCGACCCGCGATCCCCGACCAAGGTCCAAGATCCCTCAGCCTGCGGTACACTACCCTTCTCCGCACACTCTCCGCTAGGCCTACCCGATTGAGCTCTACAACAATGTCTCGCCGAACCCCACGAGTCGTCGTCACGAATGACGATGGACCCCCCACGGACCTGTCCGGTCACTCACCCTTCGTCTACCCTTTCGCGTGTGCGCTCGCTGAACAACTCGGGTGGGACGTGAAGGTCGTCGTTCCTTCGAGTCAGAGGTCTTGGTAAGGAATATTGTTACTATCCGGTGTATCAGGAAGGGCATCGCGGGGCTTGATACCGGTCTTTTGCGAGCTCGAACTAACCCACCCCCCCCACTTTTTGGCTCGGACAGGGTCGGCAAGTCTTACGCTATCACCCAGGTGACCACGGGCCGATACTTTTACCCTACTGGACCGAACGGCACTGATGGCGAACAGTGCGAGTTGCCCCGACCTTTGAAGGAGGGGGAGAAGACGGAATGGGTCTTGTAAGTGATTCGACTGAGCCCGAGAGAATCTCCCGAACTGCGATAGTTTAAGGACGAGACTGCTAGGAGGAAGTTGTTGATTCATATCTAATATCTATCCTGATCCTTTTACAGACTCGACGGGACACCGGGTGGGTAGTTTCAGCTGGCCAGCGCAAAGGAGCCAACCTGGCTAATGTCTGTCCCATGCTTGCAGCCACCTGCGCCAACATCGCCATTCACTCCCTTTACCCACCGGGTTCGATCGACCTCGTCATATCAGGCCCCAACTTTGGTCGCAATACCTCGACCGCTTTCGCATTATCCTCGTCAGTAAATATGCGAGATTCGCTATATATCCTCGTCAGTGGCTCAGCCAGATTCTGACTGCTACATATGCCAACAACTTTAGAGGCACGATCGGAGCCGCAATGGCTGCGTCCTTGTCCCACATCCCGGCCATCGCACTCTCCTGGGGTCTCATGGAAGGCTACAAACCTCCCCCCCAATCTTTCATCCAAGGTGCCGTCGACGTATCCTGCCAAATCGCTTCCAAGCTCTGGGATTTAGGATGGGAACAGGCCGACAGCGAGCATCGCGTCGATGTTTATTCGGTCAATGTGCCTTTGATGCCTTCGATCATCTCCAAGGGGGGGCCGACGGTTTATTGGACTGAGATGGCCAAGACCAAGTATCAAAGATTGTTCAAATCGACGGCCAAGATCCCTGCGCCCGTCGTCAAGGACGGGGGACCCGCCGCAGTCCCAGCGGACAAGTCTTCGGTCGAACAAGGGAAGGAGCAGGAAGCCGCTGAGGGTCAGGCATCTGGGGCAGAGGCGTTGAGGATGGTCGATTCGCACTACCAGGCACCGCTCAGGTTTGTGTTTGCGCCTGACATCGGTCCTTTGGTTAATCCGAGCCCTGCGTCGTTGGTGAGTGGTACCATGGCTTGTATTTGGAGGGGCGATATTAAAATTTTTGCTCATCGGACGACTCCTCGTTGGGCATTGCAGCAAGAAGGAACGGATAATCATGCGCTTATGGTCAGTTCTGTTCTCTTCCCTTTATAAGACGTAACCTGTGCTGTATATCATGTTGGCTGAATTCTCGTACGTCCTCTACAGCACGGCGCGATCTCGGTCACGCCAATCCAAGCCGCTTTCGCCTCGGCTGACTTCCCGAGAGGGAAGGCGATCGAGACTGATGGGCTCAAGTGGAGGTTGTAGGATCGGGGGTGTGCAGGGGAAGATTTTTGGATATCGTATCTACATGGAAAGTATCTATTGGGTCTATTATAATCTATCATAATCTGGATAGGTCGGCCAAAGGGGACTCGGCCAGAGGAAACCGGAATCAAGATGGCTAGAAAACGGAGTGCTAAGTTGCGGACACGTGATGTGGCCGACGCGTTCGGTCGGACATTCCTCTTGGCTCCGCTCATACCCGCGCTCGTTCACAGCTACTTGGCCTGCCCTGGTCAACCATGGCCCCCACATCCTCGACCGCGCACCCTGGCGCGGGTCGTGTCGTCAACAAGAAGCCACGAGTAGCTCAAGCTGGTGAGTTGTCTCGCGGAGGTTGTCTGTCGTCGCTCGTCGCTCGTCGCCGTGATGAATCAACTCGCGGCCATCGCATGCTCGCACGGGCGCGCGCGGCGCGTACGAGTTCAATGACCCAATGTCGTGTGATGCAGCTTGCTGACTCGCACGAGCGGCTGTCTGAACAGTAACGACGGAATCATGGGACGACGACTTTCTGTTCCAAGGATCGTCCTCGTCCAGGTCTACCTCGCCTACGACGACCAAGCCCTTGCCACGCACACGCCCCTCTCCGGGTACTGCTGCAGCTGCTGGCACCGCGACAACGGCCATGATCACCACCCCAAAATCGGGCGTTCCTCATCGTCCACCCCCAAGGTCATCCAACTGCACTTCATCAGGGCCTTCCTCGAGGAACGTGTCGTCATCTTCCTCGCAATCCAACCGATCTTGGGGGCTCTCGACCCCCTCGACCCCTGCGACCTCGGCGCGAACGTCGAGCCAGTCCTCGGCCAAGGAAAGTCCACCCCTCTCGCTCTCCGAAACGAATGGTCCTTATCTTCGAGCAGCAAACAACGCCTCGAACGACTCCCTAGGCTCGAGTTGGTCCATCGACCCGGATCCGACCCTGACTTTGGCCAATTCTCGCTCGTCCCCGCCACCGCCGATGCCGAGCTCAAGCAAACCCAGTCCACCGCCGCCAGTGCCTGCTATTCCCGCTCACCACATGACGACACCTCGGCGGCCAACACGTCAGGGGCAGACAGGGCAGCTCAACCCAAGCTTTGTCGCTCAAGGCATCGTCGAGCGTTCCGATACACCTTCATGGGGTCGGAGTGGCATCTCGACCGCCGAAGACTACACTGAAATTGAGACCGAAGAGGAGTGCGCACCGAGGCAGCCAAGGCGCGGCGGCACTCGGGTCCGGAATTGGAGTCGAAACTCGTCCGCAACGACGTTGGATGAAATGATCGGGTTCCACGATGTCGCAAACAAGGTGGGCGCGAACGATATGCCACCTCTTTTGGTGTCGCAACATCGATCGTCGAGCACAAAGTGGAAACGGCTTAGTGGTATCTTCGGATCGGGGTCGACGGCAAAGAAAGCAGGAGAGCTTCAGAAGTCGGCATCGAGGAACGACTTGTCCGACGCCGCGACATCGTCACAAGTCACTGCGGGCCCATCCTCGAATTTTGATTCCTCGACCGGTCTACCGAGACCTCACAATGCCGAATTCGTAGTGCTCGGCCGAAAAAGTCGAATGAGCGTCGATTCAGCCATGAGCACGGACGACGAGGATCGAAGAACGTTCAACGCCGTGGCCCGGCAACCTCACTCCTCCCACGACTCGGGCTCGACCGTCGATTCCGCCGGTGGCGCCGAATGGTGGACATCAAGTCGGCCAGCCAACACAAGTCGACGAAGCTTGACCTTTGCTCCACCGCCACCCATGCATTCCAGACGTTCGCTCGATCTTTACCGTGAGATAGACGAGGACGGAGTCACCTCGATGGATGAGGCCGCCGACGCCACGGAGGCTGAAACGTCGGCCGACGATCGTGGAACGGGGAAAAGAATGGCATATGCTCCGGCGCAGGCGAGACTCTCTGTGGCTTCTTCCACGACGGTTTACACGAACATTCAGGCGGCAAGTAGCAATCCTGGGTTCGCTTCCTCGGCCAAAGCGTTTGGGCTGCCTCCGATGGCCTCGCAGAAATTGGCACCCGAAATATCACCACGATCGACCGAATGGGACCATATGGACCGTATCGGGGCCGACTTGTCCAAGAAGAAGCGCAAGCTGGTCAGGAAGCGTGCGTCGGACGTTCGTCAAACGGCCGGTTCTAGCTCCACCGTGCAACTTGACTCTGCAGACATCAATGGATCCTCGATCTCCGCTCACGCTTCGATGGCTAGCTTGACCGACCGTAGCGGCTTGTCGAACAGAGAAATACCCGCATGTTCTCCTCGGCCCGATCCGGACTCGAGTTCAATCCCCTCGATGATGCCTCCGCCTCGTCAATCCTCGAAGCCCCAAACGGGCCGTGTCGACGACATCTCCGCTAGCCCTTCTGTGACAAAGGTGTCCAAAAGTAGACGAAGAAGTCTCACAGCGCCGGTTTTGGCGGTCACTGTGGAGAAAGGGGCGGTGGTTGACATCCCGGATGATCCCGGGTGGCTGGCAGTCGAACCCTTTCCCCTATCCCCGAGCAGAGGACCCGCAATCGTCGAACCTCTCCCCCGACCTGCATCTCGTGGGTTGTCGCCGAGTCTGCTGCGCCGCAGATCGTCTAGCAAACCAACCCATCCACCGGTCGCGCACAAGAAGCTGGGGGAGAAACGTTCCTCGTCGCTCGTCAATTTGCTCACCAGATCGGCCTCTTCCCTTCCACTCGTCGGCAAACGAGCGCCGAGCCCTTCTCCCTCCATCGGTTCATCAAAGTCCTCCTCGATCCTCTCTCGCAAGGGCCGGGACAAGATCAGTCGTTCGCTCTCCAGCAGTGTCCTCGGATCGATCTCGACGTTGCCTCCTAGCCCTTCCCCAGCTTCGAGCTCGCGGCCCTTTCTTTCGCACTCACAAAGTATCGGCAAGCAGGTGCCCCCGCCTGCGGCGAAGCGAGACTCGTTCGTCACTCGCGCTCGAGCGCTATCGAAGGGGCACAAGACATCGCGACCGATAACCCCTGCGCCGGCCGAGATTGAGACGCCGGTGCAGCACATGGACCGCTCGGGGTCAGTCGGCAGATCGGGCGCCGCTCCTCCTTCACGACCCCGCTTGGCTGAAGGCTGGAGCTTCTCGCGTCCACTCAGTGGCGTCTCGGATAGGTCGGAAACGGGCTCGACTACGCTTGGGGGTTCGGCGCTTCCTCCAATCATCACGAATCGCAAAGTGGATCGAGTTGTTTCTGCGACACGCGAGGGTAGTCGCCCGCCCAGTCCCTTCGTCAAAGGTCATCGACCTTCACTTTCGCTTTCGGCAGTCATGCCAGGTCGTCCTTCGTCGTGGGCCCCGCCTTCGTCGCCGTTGCCTCCTGCCGTACCCAAGGAATCCGTTCCGGCTAGATCGGCTCTGGGTTTTGATCGGACTCCCAAAGCTCAACCACCACACGCACCGATGGGAAGTGGACGTCCACCATCACGCTTCTGGGATGATGATTTCGCTTCCATCACTTCATCGTCGATTCAAACTACGAGGAGAAACAGTCTCGGCGACCTCAAGATCCCACAGAGAATCTCGATGGCACAGGCTAGGATCGAAGAGGATCTCGAAAGGGTCAAGCAATTCGCTCAGGGAATCGAACGTACGTTCGCCGGTGCGGGCGTAAAGTGTCTCCTATCGTGAATCACGCTAATCCCAAATGACTCTGAGTATGGCAGAGCTCAAGCTTGTTCGAGCGCAGTACCAGCAACTACTACGCACGGTCGCGCATTCTGCGAGATCGTTTGACATCAAACCAAGTCAATTGGAATCTTCGTCGCGTACGACACTCCGTCCCGCATCACAAGCGATTCGACGGCTTGAAATCGACTACGGGGCGTGGTGGGAGCAAGCGGATGCTCTCGTCGATCTAGGAGATGGAACGCCGCGAGCCGTGGAGCCTCGACAAACGCCTGGATCGATCGCAAGTCGTCGTGATCGCTGCGTCTCGCTCGCCCCGAGTCCTCCGCACAAGGGACGGTGGAACGATTCAGCAGCCTCGTCGGACGAGAACGAATCGGCATGGGGAGCAGACTCGGCGGACGCAACTATGACACAGCGAATTGGTCGACGGCCCAGCTGTTCCTCGATCGAAACTAGCGTATTCAGGAATGGTGTGGCTCGTCGTCAACACGAGATGTTGCGTGGCGTGCTCGTTCCGGGACCCAAAGGCGCTTCTTTGCCCTCACGCGGACCTCCTTCACCCCGCCCTACCCTGGCGGCTCTGCACAGCAACTCAGCCGGGTTGAAAGGCACTCTACCTTCCTCTCGCTTTACGGGGATTGATGGTCGTCCTGCTGTGCAACTTCCCCCGACGCCCTCCAAGAAGTCACTCCGCAGAGTATCGCGAGCTGGCGTTTCAGGGATCAAGGAGTTCCTACTTCGACTACGCAACAAATTCGTGGTCGAAGATTTGGCCTTCCCAGCTTCAGCGCAGTTTTATCAGGAGCCCGTGGACTCTTTGCCGTCGAACGGGCGAAGATCCATCTCCAATCCGATTGATCCGACGTTGGCCAACAGTCCACGCGATCGATCGTCGATGCTGCGAGTCGACTCGGAGGAGGAAGAAGACTGGGACCAAGCCTCGCTCGCGCCTTCCCCAGCTCGGCAAGCGCCCACTTCGTCGGTCTCGGGCGGTGATTACAGAGGGGTGGTGAGCAGTCCAGGTCTGGAGAGAATGATCCTGACGACCGAAGCGATGCCTGGATTGGTACTCAAGGTCGCGGAAGTGAGGGAACGGTGCGAGGAGTGTGTCGAAAGGTTGCAGAGACTGTCCACAGCAGTTGTAGTCTAGGTTTTGAGCGTAGAGTAACAAGGGAAGTGGACCACGCTGAGGCCAATACTGGGCAGGGTTGATAAAGCTGCGAGTGAGATCTTTCCGGCTCTCAAGGCGATGCGATAGGCTGTCCAGCTTCAAGAGCTACACGCGCGACCCTCGCTCGTACGGATAACATGAGTCCGTGTCCAGTACGCGTTCCTTATGAAACCCTTCTGCAAAACTTAGATTTTGGTACTCTGGAATCCATATGGAATGCAAAAACATTACAGCATCAGCTCACTAGCGGTTGCTATGAATGGAATAGATGTTAAGCATCCCCAAACAGGTGTTTAACCGTCTGCAATAGGTTTCATGCGCTCAGAAAATGACAATTTCAACTTCTTCTCGTGTCCACCGTGGAATCCGTATGATCCAGCACCGCGAAGCTAGCGCGAGTCAGACCCTGCGGAAACCAGGAGCGAATCCGTGCGAAATCCCTATCCCAAAGGGCTGGCCGTGTATGGTGTTGCGAGGCGCCTTGAAGGCTCAACAGCGAGTGGCTTCGCATTGGACAGAGAGGCTGATCAAGCGGTGACACGAATATAAACATATGGTATGGAAAGGAAGCAAACGAATAGCACAGCGAGCTTTTTGGGCCTCATCATTTCGTGGAACGCCTACCTCGTCATTGCCACGCGACGCCATCGTCAGCGCTCCAGGTCGAGTACTTGACGACTGACAACGGGATCACGTGAGATCTAGGTGACCTACCTTGGAACACGACGTCAGTGACTTGACAAGCACTTGTCGAGCGAGTTGCTCGTATCGAGGGTGTGGACGGATGCCAAGGGGTGAGATGAACGGGGTGAGCTGAGATGTGGTCTTGCGTTACTTAGTGGAGAATCAGGCGAGCAGGGAGACCGGTGTGTGTAGTGTCCTCGTGAAGAGATAGCAAGCGATGTCCTCCGTATGGGGAGACAGGGGCCTGAATTACAAGAGGTGGAAATCCAGCAGATGGGAGTGGAGAGAAGGAAGAGGGCGACAGGACGACCGTCGACGCGTCGCCCGTGTACAGCCCGTGACAACTCCTGTCCGACCAACGGCTCTCTTACAGTTATTTTTCTGCGCAGTCCTAGCACCGCACGGCCCAGTCGCATGCTCTCACAAGAGACTGTCATGGGATTGTATTCGAAAACAACAAGTGGTGCGGAGGTTGAAGCTGCAAATTTTGATGTCACGTCGCTACCGTACAAATAGCTTCTTTTTGCCCGGCGCGGCGATGACCCGCTCGTGCTCGGCCTGGTACAGTCGGTAGCCTTCTCGGAGGTCGTCCGGCGTCAACGGACCGTCGTGGTTGGCCACAGATCGCGCTGCACAAATCCAGCAACGACGTCAGCACGCCCTCGACGGCTCAATAGGTGAAGGACTGACCCTTTTCGACGACCTCTCCGACGAACACCTTGGCAAATCCACGCACGACGGTCAATATCGGAGCCGAGACCGATTGTTGAAGCACCGAGTTGACAAGCTGTAGGTGCATATGCACCCTGAAGCGTCAGCAAGCTCACGTGCCACCTATTCGATGCTCCGCGGGCGGAAACTGACTCGACGAATGACGGCCTTGTTGAGACCCGATCGACGGTACGCTTCGTATCGATCCATTTGAGTAGCGTCAAAGTGTTCCAACAAGACGCGCAAATATTCTTTCTGTTTGGCGCTCTCCTTTTGGTTCACCCCAAACTGTTGTGCAGAAACGAGGAATCGACAGGTGGGTGTGCGTGGGTGATACGTGGCGCGTGTGGGGGTAATCCGAGTCAGCTTTCACCGCAGGCCATCGCATCGTGTTCGGCTCGCAACCCATGTAGAGCGCTCAAACGACACTGACCTCGTCGTCCGAGAACAGTAGCTCTTCCTCGTCCTCATTGTCCTCATCCTCGGCATCCTCGACCGGATCCGGGGCGTGCTCGTCCTGCGCGGCCTCCTTGTCCTTACCCTTGCCCTTGCCCTTGCTCGCCCCGAACCCTGGAGCCGCACTGGCACTGGCACTCCTACTCCTACTGCGACTCCTCCCTCTCGGCCAGGGCGAGTCCATCATGCCCGAATACGGAGGCGACGAGGCCCGAGGTGTGCCCATCGACGCCGGTCCGGGTGAAGCGGCTGTTGGGCGGGCCTTTTTGCTCTTCTTGACTTTGGCTCTGATCTGGGACGGGGTTGAGCCGGATCCGTCTGTTGGTGGCATGGTTTGGGAGAAGGTTCGCTTCATCGGGGGCATCGTGGAAGTGTGAGTGGGTGCGAGAGGCAAGGGAGTGTTGGAAAGAGTCGGGAAGGAGACCAGAGGAGACCAGAGGAGACGGCCAGAAGATACTTTGCGCGCTCACGTCGACACCCAGTTCTATGCTCTCTCTCTCTATCCTCATTGCAACCTCGGCACGTCATGGCTCCACCTCAAGCGTCAGTACCAGCTCAACTCGACGGATTACGCCTGGAGCCAGCTGAAGTGTCATTCAACTGCACAGATCACCCTCTGCGGAAGGTGCTGCCGAGCCGTCGAGCTCGACCTCAGTTCACGTCAAGCCCTACGACGCTGCCTCGGATGCTGCACCGACAGCTCGACAGCTGGCCGAAATGGAGGAGGACGATCACGAGCACGAGGATGAGGACGATGCCGACTTGGAGGAACTGGAAAAGGAACTCGATGAGAACTTTGACCTCGGCGGTTTCAGGGAGCGGAGGATGGAAGAGCTCAAGTCCCAGTACGGGTGCTCTCGCGCAGTGCAGCATGTGTATCCCATCAGCATCACTGACCGAGATCCCGCATGGGGCCGACTTTCATAGGATGCAAGAGATACAAAAGATGAGGCAGAGCGATTTTGGAAAGTACAACGAGTACACCAAGGAGAAGGACGTGATCTCAGCTACCGCGTATGTCCACCCCGTATCCCTCCCACGGACCGGTCAAAAAAAAAAGTCCACGTCGCGACGCGTCGAGCTGAAAGCCATCTCGTTTTGGCAATTGGTACATCTCCCCGGCGCGATGGCTCAACCCGCACCAGCAAAGCAAGTCGATCACTCGTCCACTTTTACCACCGAGACTTTCGGAGATGCAAGATCATGGATTCGCATCTAGAGGTGAGCCGATCTATCTCCGAAGAAGGGATCTCTCGGTCTCCAAACGGCGGCCATCTTCGGCCTTCCTCCATCTTCGAGCGCGCGCACATGGCACAAGCTCGAATGACGAGGCGCCCGCCGCTGCGCTCGTCCGAGCTAACCAATTCTTGACTTTCCACCATGCACAAAGTGACGCCGTGGCGTGCTAGGCACAAAGAACACGCTGACAAAGAGGAGTTCCTATTGTCGTCGCATAGAAACTTGCCAAGAAACACTTTGACACACTCTTCATCAAGATCGACGTCGCGAACGCCCCTTTCCTCGTAACCAAGATGGACGTCAAGGTCCTGCCCTGCGTCATCGGCTTCGTCAAAGCCGTCTCAAAGTTAAAGTAGGTCACTCTGCCGATCGTCAAAGGGCAACTACTCAAAGGAAGTCTAACGCAAGCATCGTCACCTTCGACAGGATCGTCGGCTTCGAAGAACTGCCAGGTGGTGACAACTTCACGACTTCGGCGTTGGAATTTGGCTTGATCCAAGCCGGTGGGTCTCAAACCTAGTGCCGCGCCACGAGCTCGCGTGGGCAACCGGGACGAGGGCTAATCTAATCTGACCGGCTTTTCTTTTCTTTTTTTTTTTTTTTGCTCCAACAGATGTGATCAAGGACCCAAAATTGACGGCAACCGCAAGTCGTGTGATTGGTACAGCCAGGAGCTCGGGAAGCTCCAACTCAGCCAGCCGAGGGATTCGAAGTAGCTCCCGCATCGGCGCTAGCAACGACGAGTCAGACCTGGACGATTGATGAAGTGAAAGGGGTTCTGCCCAAATCGTGCCTTACCTAGGTAGGTACCCAGGTAGGTGCCATGGCTACCGGCCTACTGTGTGCCTGCCAATACCAACTCTACTTCAAAGCTAGTCTCTGTAATATAAACTCTACACGCATGTGCCGTGCGGGGTGCAGAGGCCATCGCTGCAACGAGAAGAGGTGTGCTCGAACTTACAAATACCCAGGTAGTAAGGAGGGCTGTCCGATCGATACCAACAAGTACCTACACGTGCTGGGTTAGCACTACCCACACTTTCAGCAACTCAGAGTGACCCGAAATAGTTGCGTTGTGCTCCTGATGGGTTTGTAAAAATGGGAGCAAAACCCTGTCATGAGCGACAGCTGCCCCACTGGGTCTGTGCGCCGGAAGCCCTAATCGAGCCAGGCGGCGATGATCGATGCTCGGACAATATTTCATTTTGCAAGCCGCGCTCGAGGGCGGGACTCCGCGGACGTCAGCGAGATTAGGCACCGTCACCCTGCCACTGCACTCAAAAGGCTCGTCGATGGTCGCGGCAAGTCCTCCTACTCAGTTAACTTAAGTGTAGACGAATGGAGCTCGAATGCGTCGGTAGACTAAAGTTATGAATTCAACCGCTTAGATGCGGGGACATGGCAGCTAGTTAGGTAGGTACGCAGTAGGTAATAATAAGTTTTGCTAGTCCTCTTTTTCGAGGCCCAATCTATCTATGGACCCTACTTTGAGCATTCGGTAACGAGCCGTTTCAAGAGAACAGTACTAGCTTCCCTACCCAGATAAAGTAGAAGGTTGTGCCAAAGGGGCTCCATTCTGTCGTCTAGCTACTTTAGGCAATACGCCGACGCCTAGTACTAACAACACTGCTGAACATCAAATTTGGGTAAGCGCTAGGCAAAGACGGCCGCCGGCACGTGATTGGACCAGCCCGGGGTTAATAGGCAGGACTCAGCGTAGGTGTGAAAACTTAAAAGCCTCTGCGAATTTGGGTACCTGATGCGCTTGCAAGGAGCATTTTCTTGCTCGGTACGGTGACGGACATGCTCCAGACTCCGCGGAGCCTCCAAATTGAAGTCGAACCAACACAACCCCTGATGAGTGTCGAGGACCTGAGATTAAAGGCACTAGTGCGCTTGTGTGCTGTTGCTGACTGCTATCCTGTTCAGGAGCCGAGCCGGCAAGTGAACAAAGGTCTTTTAATTGTGGCCAAATGGGGTCGGCCAGCCGTGCCTGGCGGCAACACAAAGTCGGCAGACCCTTGACGCTTATAAGCAGACCGCCTGGGGTAAGGCTCCGGGGACCGGGACTCCGGGACTCCCCGTGTTGCATCCGTGCTGGCGCCGGGCGAGTCTCCTGGAAGCCGAAGGATGCGCGCGTGCCGCATTAGACCCGGAAAAGGCATTTCGCACCCTCCATTTACACGTCCCTTTGAAACCCCGGCTGGGCTCGCCAGCGCACGCCACGAGAGCGCGAGCGCGCGACTGCGCAAGTTCCATCTCGAAAGAGAAATTGCAGCCGGGGAGAGCGCTGCCACCTTTTCGAGCTAGTCCTGACAAGCACAGCCTCAGGACTTCGAGGGTGCTGGCCCCAAAGGCACTCAAATGGTTTCTTCGGTTTTTGGGCAACGAATTGTGATGGAATCGCCGAAGAAAGCAAGCGGGGAACGCAGAGCACGGATGGTTATCGCCGCGTGTCGCGCTCGTTCAGAAATTGGGAGGATCAGAAGCGCGCATGGGGGGGCTCTGATCAGCCTAGCTACGGATCGTTGAGCGCGAAAGGGAAAGCTCGCCGGTGATCGTTTTCGGAGATCCCCAGTGAGGAAAAGGGTGTGAGAAGAGCTGGCTGCTGTTCGCTCCTTTGGAGGTAGCAGTGGCCTGCCTATGGGAAGTAGGTCTCCGAGGTCTCCGAGCGACTGGCGCACGCTCACGCCGTCAAGTTCAGATCAGTCGATGCCCCATTCCATTTTTTCGCTCTTGCGCTCAGCTTCTCCGTGCTGCGCCCGTCGAGTTGCCGCGGCGTTACATCGCTTTTCACTTGGACTTCTTGCTTCACTCTGAGCTGGTGGTGACTCCTGGTTGAGTCTCATCCCCGCCTTTCTGCGCTCGATTCAGACCCTTCTCCAGCGAGCACTGCAACTCGCCCGCTTTGTGTGCGCCGGCGTCTGAGAACTTCGAGCCACCCTGCCACTCTTCTGCGCTGGTTCGCACGTACTGCTCAGACATCCCGATTTAGTTGTGGATCTACCATGTCATCTTCAATGTCACCCAAACTCCCGACTCTGTCACCATCTACATCCAAGGACGCCACCCTAGCCCCCTGGCTCACCCAGTTGTCGGGCCCACAGTCCGACTCGATCTCGGTACCGTCGTCGGCTGCGCCGGAGACCCTTCGAGCCTTCATCGACCCTCATCATTCACCAGGCAGCGCCGAGGAACAGGATGACGATCCTGACTTACCCGCTCTAGAAGGGGGGTTCAGAAATTTGAGTGTCAGCTCCGATGGCACCATCGATTCTCTTCTTGGTGAGTCCTACACTGCCCGCTTTCAATGAGCACGGCACGCAGTTGCCTGAACGGCCTTTTCGCGCTTGGGGACTGACCCATTAACCATGTGTATCGACCCCGTTGGCCCGCCTTCTCTTATTTTGGACTTTCAGACGAGGCTGTGACACCTCCTCAATCGCCCAGACTATGCGACAGCGCTCATATGACTCCGCCAACGGTCTCGATTCGACGCCCTTCGACGGATCCTGATCACGACGAGTTGGCAGGACCAATCTTCTCGGAAGCAGGGGTCGCGCCGTGCTGGACTCCAGAGTACTCGACTTTTAAGAAGCCGGCTTTGCTCGAAGTCACTCCTCCAACCCCGCCTCGCGGACAAGCCGAGTGCCCGTCGGACGGCGACTCCCTTTCCCCGACCTCGCCGACCAAATATTCACCCGGGTTGGCTACTCGTCGCGCGCAGAAGGGCAAGCTGTCGACTCGTGCGCTGCTGTCTTTGCAAAAGATGCGGTTCGAGTCGCCGCCCGAGGCGGGTCCAGGACTGGGTGTCGGACCCGGATCTGCTGGCTTCGACGGTCTCGGACGAACGCCCAGCCCTCGACTGGAAGATTTCTCCAGTGCCGGCAGCGGAGCCGGAATGGTCTTCCGCCTTGCTCTCGGACTCGGTGAGGAGAGGAGCTCCATCACTCCGACCCAAGATGTGTTCGGACTCACTCCAGTCGATGTACCGAGGACCCCGTCCCTGCTCGCTTCGCCGACACGACTTCGCCACCAGAGGTCGTGGGACTCCTCTGCCCGCGATGCGCCTTGGCCTCTCGCGGATAGCCTCCCCAATTTGTCGTGCTCGCCCACGAATAGGTCGCCTGCATTGCGACCGCTCAGGTTCTCCTCGCCCTTGCTGTCAGCTTCACCTCGCGATCGCCAACAGGGGTTCTCATCCCCTTCGACCCCTCAACTCGGTGGACCAGCTTCTCCAAGCTTGTCACGCTCATCCGCTTTCGCATCCGCGTTCAATCACGGACCGTTGGCACCCCTCACGCCATCGCACATGCCCGGTGCCCCTCTCCTCACCAGCGGCTCGCAATTCGATTGGCACTCATACGCGGTTCCCGACTCCCCGGTCGGCGCACCCACTCAAGGGAATGTCTCGCCACTTTTGTACTCCCCGGTCATGCTGAGCAGACCGTACATATGCTCGACACCACCTTTGTCAACTGATCGACCCACGTTCGGATCTCGACCCAACTCGCTCTACAAGATACAATCATCGCCCTTGTGCGGATGAACGACCCGGGGGGTGGCTGGCCCCTTTCCCGGTTCGGAGTTCTGCTATGACGACCCAACCCCAGGAGACTGCCCGTTCTGTAGCCTTTTAACACTCGCTTGTAGCATTCCATGATCCTGTAGCCTTAATTTCATCATGCCAGCACTTGTGCCAGGTCCTGTCTCGCAGACTGTGTGATGCGCCCGCGAATCGCACTCCAGTCAGACCTCTTCTCCAGGATCGGATTCAACACGTCTCATTCGTTGCACACACACACATTTCTTCAGGAACAATCGAAAGATGATGCTAAACACCGAACCCGAACTCGGACTCATTCGCCTCTTGCACCTCTGCAACGAACTCCTTGGCCATCTGAAGCATCTCGTCAACCATCGCATCGCGCTGCCACATCGTCTTGCCATGCCAGATGATGTCGTAACACGCCGCTCGCAATTGTTCGAGTTGATCGACGTTGAGTGCATCGGTGCCTTCGCTCAAGTAGTTCCACAGGCTCTCGACACGGTCGGACGAAAGGACGAAGTCCGGGAGGGGCTCCGGTTCAGGGGTCCGACTGTCGACGACGATCGGGGACGACGGCGCAGCAGCAGCAGGGGCGGCGGGAGCGGGAGCGGGAGCGGGAGCCGAGGCAGATTCGGGATGGGCAATGGGTGATATCGAAGCTCCCGAGGGTCCGGCTATAGCGTTGCCAACCAAAGGGGCCATCGCGAAAGCAAGCGTTTCGGCGGAGTTGAGGCTGGGTGTGGCGCCTACTGCGATGGGTGTTGGTGCTACGCCGTTTGGTACGAGTCCGACAAACTGGCCACCTGGGAGTGCGGAAGGCAGGATAGGAACGGACGAGGAAGTTGATGTGGTCGAATCCAACGCGGTGTGAGCTCCGATTATGCCATCGACGCCTCGAGGGCGCTTCGAGGGTCCTTCGGCATCAAACTCTTCGCCGCCGTTGATGGCACTCGAGCCTGGAATACCATCTTCGAAGCGGGCACGTTTTGTCGACGTACGCAACTCGCTCGCTGCAACATCCTCCTCGCCATCCTTGGGAGCTCCACTCATGCTCACGCGTCGCTCGGCAGTGACGCGGCCGCCTGCGGCAGCTGCTGCGGCTTTTGCACCGTCAGCAAAGTCGATGGCGGGAGGTGGGTCGCGGGTTTTCCTCGCTTTCGAAAGGCCCTTCTTCTCCTTCTCGATCAACCGCTCTGACATCTTGGCACAAGCAGCCTTGAAAGCCGGGTCAAAGTTCTGATCGAGCATGACTCGAGCTCGGTTGACCATCTGCCCGGCTTTGATCGGCGCGTCCTGGTCCGCTTCGGTCCAACGGTTGACCTCAGCGTTGTATTGAATGCGCAGGATGTCGTCCAAGAACTCGTCGGGCGTGTAGTAATGCCCCTTGTAGAGCCATGCTGCCATCGACTCGAGGTTGACGTTGAAGTAAGGCTGCTTGCCGTGGCCGATGATTTCCTTGCCGGCTTGTTGCTGCACGCGTCGCTCGTTCATGTCATCGACGATCCAATCGTCGTAGAGCGAACGAGCGAATCGTCGGAACGTCTTTTTGAGATCGCTCAAGATGGGCGTCAATCGCCAGATGAGGTAATCCATCAACTGCTTGTCCGCTGCCGTCTGCGCCTCGACCTCTGCTGCCGTGGGCTCGCGTGGCGGTGGTGGTGGGGCGATCGGAAGTTCAGCCAGGATGCGCTTGCGTCGAGGCATCACATCAGGGAACTCGTTCGGTGGTCGTCTGACACCGTCAATGACATCGTTAAAAAAGGTCCTGCGTTGCGCCGAGCTCGGTTTCCCAAGTACAACGCGGTTGTTCTTGACGAAGCCGAACCAACTACGAACATCGGACGGCAGTTCGTCGAGTTTGCCATCAACGATCGCGAGCAACAAGATCGGGTCCGATGGATCAAGCCCCTCAAGCAAGCCCTTGATCGTTGATTTGACGGCATCGCTCACGCTCTCGCACCAGGTGATGAGATTCGGGATGAACAAGATCGACGGCTTGTGGCGTTTCGCCTCGATAAAGAGTTGTACACATGCAGCTTCCATTGTTCGTCCCGAGTCCGACACGAGGGTGGCAAGGTCGAGGCCCTGAACATGGAAGCCTTCGAGATGGTGAAGGGCTGCGGCACCGATGTAGGATTGACCCATCCCAGTCTCGCCGCAGATGAGCATGCGAGGTCGGAAGATGCGTAGTGTCTCGTAGGCTGCACAGAGAAGATAGGGCCCGATCAGACAAACGACTCGCGCTAAAAGATGTGAGGAATGGGACAGAGAAACGGACCTTGCAGCATCTTTTCCTTTTCGAATCCACCTCCGTCATCCTCATACTCGGCCTCCTCGAGCACGTTCGCCTTCTTGACGTCCGGTAAGACCCTCTTGAGCGCTGTCTTGACGGCCTCGAGAGAGTCGGAAAGGAGGGGCACGAGCTGCGGAGGCAAGGGCGCGGCGGCCGATGAGGTGGCCCTTGCCGACGAGGGAATCAGGTTCTTTTGCGAGATGACGAAGTCGCGAGCAGTGACATCGATCGTCGTAGGTTCAATGACGAGCCGCTCGTTTGTCTTGTAGATCTGTGGATACGTCCTCTGCACGGCGTTGAGGGCCGCTTCGGTGCACAGTGCCCTCAAATCGGCACCGCCGTAGCCTTTGGTAAGCATCGCCAGCTCGTCCTTGAACGAGTCCGCGATCGGAGGGTTCCACCCCGAGGTGTGGATGTCAATGATCTTGCGTCGGCCATCTCGATTCGGCAGAGGGAAGTAGAACTCGCGATCGAATCGGCCAGGTCGTCGAAGTGCAGGGTCAATCGCATCCGGTCGATTCGTCGCACCAATCACGATGACTTGCCCGCGGCCGTCCATACCGTCCATGAGCGCGAGCAACGTCGAGACGATCGAGGCATGAATCTGTTCTTGCTTGCTGCTACGCACGGGTGCCAGACCATCGATCTCGTCGAAGAATATAATACTCGGTTGACACTTTTTGGCTTCTTCGAATAAGAGACGCAGTTGACGTTCGGCTTCTCCGACCCATTTTGACAAGCAGTCGGCACCCTTGCGCATAAAGAACGCTGGTGGAGAGGACCGAGTTCTGATCAGTCTCCGTACAGTACCGCGTGAGTTCTGCAGCTGCTCCAGTGCCTACATATTTTGCGACCCTCGGTACTGCAACTCGCAGCGAGAGCGCGAGCGAGCAGGGTTTTCCCCGTCCCAGGAGGGCCATGAAATAAGACGCCTCGAGGCGGAGTTATGTTGAAGCGTTCGAATACCTCGGGGTACAGAAGCGGCAGCGAGACCATCTCCTTGAGTTGTTGGATGTGTGAGCCCAGTCCACCAACCGAGTCGAACGAGACCGATGATGACACGCCCAAGGGATCCGTGTCGGCCAATGCAGCGGGGCCACCGACTTTGCCAAGATTTGAAGGTGTACCGGCGAGATCGAGAGGAGCGGCACCACCAGCGAACATGCCGCCAAAGCCACCTGCCGCACCCATGGGGAAGGCCGAGCCCTTGCGTGGTGTTCCGAATGGGTTTGCACCGTCATCGTCGGATGACTAGTTGCGAGTAGGGAAGGAGTCAAAACGACCGGATCAGCGGCTGCTGCGCTTGAAGGACTCGGGTGAGCAAGTGCGGAAGCGACCTACAGAATCCGACGGAGGAGCTCCTGCGCCTCCCGGGTACAGTGCCGACCACTCTGTCTTGCCCATTTCACTGAAAGGCGTCCGCTTCTTCTTCTTCTTGCCCTTACCATCGCCCGAATTACCGTTCGTCGCAGCAGTGATGTCCAGCGGGCGATAGTAGTCGATCTTGCCCTTCTCGCGCAGCTGCCTGGGCTGGTTCGCCTTGGCCAGTTGGATGTCCGAATCATCATCATCGTCGTCGTGCAAGTTGAGTTCTTCGACATCCTCGTCCTCGCTCGTCACGTCGCCCGAGTCGAAAGAGACGTCGCTGTCGCGTCGCTTGCTCTTGGACGATTTCCTGTCGTTCGATGACGCGTTACCACCCAATTTTGACCTAGTTCTGCGCTTCGATGAGCCGTATCGACGGTCGTTATCACACATATCGTTGTCGTCCTCTTCGCTGGCGACAAAATCGTCCTTCTTGTAACTGCCATTCTTCTTGCTGCCTCGACGCAGGGCCCCCTTTTGCTTGAACTTTTCTTTCTCTTCCTCGTCGTCGGTCGACGAATCGTAGACGACGGGGCGTGAGGTGCGTCGACCGGAAGCGGTGGTGGTGGCGATCTTGACTGCCGGGTCGAGCTTGAAATCGTCTTCGTCATCCGATTGGACGACCGCTCGCGCTCCCTTCCTGGCCTTGGGTTTCACCTCGTCCTCGTCCTCGTCCTCGTCGTCGTTCTGTTCATCTTGCTCCATCACATCATCGCCTTGCCCAACTTTGTTGCTGTACTCCTCGTCGTCCGAAGTGTCGACGACGCGACGCGCCTTCTTGTGAGACTCGGTCGGCGCGGGTGGGCCGTTGTGGGCGTTGAGTGAGGACGTTCTCGTCATGCGGGCGGTGGAGGTGGTCGGGTTGAGGGTGATGAGGAAGCTCGGGTCGATGGTGCCGGGAGGTGGGGGTGGTTGCGACGGATGACGCGAACTGGCACGGGTCGAGCCGGCCATGCAGGGTCAGGCGTGAGCTGGTACGGAGAGGCGAGCTGTCGAAGATGTGGAGATTGAGGTCGGATGGGTAGATCAAGGGGATGTCTGAGAGATTGTTGCACGCTTGGATATGCGAGATGAACAGCGATAAGATGAAGGAGCTCTTCCTCGCGCGCCGACGGTCCCGGCGGTCGAGCTATCGCCGGGTCGAGGGGTCTTTAAATGGACTCTGAATGAGTAGAGTCGAAAAAGGACACAAGTAGATTTTACGTGTGCGTTGCTGCAATGGCGATGCAGGTGTTGAAATCGATATGAAGCGGCTGAGCGAGATGCACCCCAAGTCACGTCACGAGGAGCCGAAGTGGAGAAGCTGGAAAAGCGTGAGAGAGGGGGGGCTGTCAGCCCACGGGGTCGGGAGAGCGAATAAAACTACCCGAGTGACCTGACCCGAGTTGAGGGGTCGACGATGCGCGATCGCAGCCGTGATCAGGGTGCAGCAGGCCAAGGAGCGCGCGCTGCCACTGCGCCCGCGCCGAGAGGAGAGCGCTCAGAGCAGTCTCAGAGCTGGTCAGAGCTGGTAAGAGCTGGAACTGAGCCGGTGGCGCTCGGTGGCGCTGAGTTCGCGCGTCTGGACCTAACCTGCCAGCCTGGACGATTATAGACGCAGGTAGACGCGCCCGATCGCGTGAGATCGCGTGTCTGCGCCGGGCTCGGCTGGCAGGTTGAACGGTGGCCATTGCACGTCTTTCCACGTTCATCGTTTTGGAGTCTCGTAGACCCAACCCCCGTCCCTGCACTTCGCAGTCCTCCGACCGCAGTTAGGCGCGGGTCTTTGAATCGATCCTCTCGCCAAACGGCTCGCGCGTCGGCTAACAGACCCCTCGCCACGAGGTGCATACGGGCCAGCTGTGACCCCACTGACGCGTACAAGACACCGCACACCATGGCCCCAGCACCAGTAGCTCTCAATCCCGTCAGTATTCGTACATGGCTTGTCGTACAACACGTGTATGCATGCACGCTGACCGCGGTGATTGCTCTACAACCTACCACGTCACCCACGCGTCGTTGACCCCGTTGGCCCGCTCCCCCTGCGAGCGAGGCAACACACAGTACGCGCTTGCACTCGCCATCGACGACCTGCGCCGACTCGACCCGCAACTCGAGCGCGACCAGATCAACGTCTTGACCACACCGGGCCGCGGATGTAAGTCTGCCAAGCTGGTCCGCGCTCTCGCAACCTGCCTCACGAGTAGCCAGCGACCACTGCTTTGGCCCACACGTGACTCGAGACCCCCACACTGACCTGCCTAGTCGCTACTCACTATCCTCTCGTGCAGATGGTCAAGTTGAGTGCCTTCTTTGCTCCAACACGACCGAGCTAGGTCCCAACAAGGCACTGCCCGATGGAGGGCTCGTCAACGGCATTGGCTCCTATCGCAACTTCAAGGCGCGTACCCCTAGCAAATCATCCCCACCCTGCGCGTGCCGAATTCGAGACTGATACTCTCTCGCTCCTCACAGACCCATCTCGAATCGACGCGTCACATCGTGGCTCGTAGGGCAAAGTCGAACCCCTCTTCCACCAGCTCGGCCACACCGGTCCCAAAGTCGAACCGGGCCGTCGCCGGCACTTCCTCCTCGACGACCAAAGCCGACCCCAAGTCGGCGCTCCTGTCCTCGGACTCGGATTCGGATTCCGACAAGGGTGATCCTTGGTCGTCTTCGTCTCTCGCGAAACGTCGCAAGGCAGCTGCACTCGATTCCGACGCCGACTCGGACCTCGAAGTCGTGCCCAAATCGGCCTCCTCGATCGCACCCGCCAAGAGACCTCGCACCTCGCACCCGGACCCCGTCGACCCAGCCGCCGTGGCTCAACTCAGCAAAGATGTTAAAGAGTTTGCGGAAGCGATTGTGGCCGGCAAGATCAATCGTATCGCGGTCGTGCAGCAACGTTTGGATCTCAAGGTCCGAGCCAGGGCTCTAGGCGTCGACTGGGACAAGACCTTCGCTCCCCTGTTCTACCCTGCAGGCCACGCTGCCGGTGCTGTACCGAGCGCCTCGCAAACGCCTTCGGCCTCGATGAGTGCAACCCTGGCGAGGCTACAAAGCGCTACATCGGCACTTCCGAACCGATTCTCATCCTCGTCCTCGTCTTCCAAGTCCCAGTCCGCAAACAAGGAATTATGGTCCTCTTCACCATCCTCCGCATCGTCCATACCGAGCTCGTCCGGGCGCTACACGTCCAAGGAGAACTACAACGCCCTCGAAGCGGCGAAACAAAGGATCAGGGAGAAACGTCAGCGACAAAAAGAAGAGATGCAAGGCATTCGACGCAAGTCAGACACCGCTCCACCTCCTCCGCCGGCCCCACCCTTGTACTACGAACGAGCGGCACAAGCCGCCCAGGCAGCCGCGCCCACGGTGCCGCCTGCATCTTCTGCCCCATCTGCGTCCCTGATCCCCGACATGCCCATGGTCGACCCAACCGATCCCTTCGCGTCGCAAGGCTCTTGGACTTATACGACCGTCAAGTACGAACCTCCTCCCGCCTCGGCCGGCCGTCGCCCTGGTCCGTTCGTCCCTTCCATGAACGACTACTCGGCGGTCGAACACGACCATGGGCTGCCTTCCGCCTCAACTTCGTTGGCATTGCAGCGCCAACCCTCTCATGGTGCACTCGCCGCTGTTGCCGCTAGCGGTCGCGGAACCAAGGTAGGGGCTTCGGCCGTCAATGCCGCTCGCCCGCGAGCTGGCGGCTTCAGTACTGCGGTACGCAACATGTTGCTCGAGGCCCAACTCAAGCGCGACCAAGAGGCGGCACAAAAACGTCGCGAAATCCAGATGAAGGAACAACATGCCCGGGAGGCGACGATGCGCGAGGCTCGAGAATACCGAGAAGCTCTGCAGCGCGCGAACCAAGAGATCGCTCCTTTGGCCGACGCGTCCACGTCCCAGGGTAAAGCTGCCTCGCATGCCGATCATCTTGCCACTTTGGCTGAGATGGCCGCGAGGAGGTATTGGCGCCCCGAGGAAGGCATCATCGACTCGACGCTCGATGCCTTGTCCGTCACGCAGCTGAACATGAACAGAGCCGATCCGGACGAACAGAATGAAGAGTTCCGCGTCAGGCAACAGGACATTGACGAGTGGTTCGCGCCGGCGCGTCAGACGACCCATCATGCAAGTGTCACGGTCAAGCATGCGGCGAGGACTTTGGGTCTTGAATCGCATCAGTCCATCTTGCCAGGTTTCAAATATCCTCTGTGCGAGTTCCAGATCGTTTCTGTCGCGTGGATGGGACAGCAAGAGGAGAGCAAGCTGAGTGGCGGGATCAACGCCGACGAGATGGGACTGGGCAAAACGGTGCAAATGCTCGCGGTTATGGCCAGTCTTCGATCCAAAGATAAAGAGATCTGTACCAATCTCATTGTTGTCCCCCTGGCGTTGATCGCGCAGTGGGAGAACGAGATCGCCAAGTTTGTTGAAGGGTTCAAGGTCCACGTCTACCACGGCTCGAAAAAGGCCAAGACGGTTGAGGAGTTGACCAAGTATGACGTTGTCTTGACAACCTACAACACTCTCGCTGGCGAGTGGCAAGACCCTGCTAAAGAGGGTTCAGGTCATGGATTGCTCTTCAAGCTTTGCTGGTATCGTATCGTGATTGACGAAGCTCGTGAGTTTTTATTTTGCGGAGTGCTGTCGCGGCGGCATAGCCAACTAACCACCTTGCGGTCCCATTACCAGACTTTATTCGAAATCGTATGACGAAGATGTCGCGAGCATGTGTCGAGCTCGACGGAGTCTTCCGTTGGTGCCTCACCGGCACGCCAGTCATCAATTCTTTGGCCGACTACTTTCCTCTTCTCAAGTGAGGAAGAATGTCGAGTGTCGAGCGTGCTGACAGAATGCTGAAGCTCTCAGATTTGCCTCTTCGCTAGATTCCTTCGCATCCGTCCTTGGACGTCGTGGGTACATTTCCGGTGAGTGTTCTAACTACATGACATGACCCCGTTGAGTGAGCACCGGGCTGATGCGACGATTGACTGTTCAACAGCGACTACGTCGTCAAGCTCGAGAAATCCAATCTGATCGAAGCCGGCAAACGATGCAACACGATCGTCGACCGAGTGACGATTCGTCGACGCAAGGACGACAAGCTCGACGGCAAGCCCCTCGTCGAGCTCTTGCCCAAGACTGTCAATATCGTCCATCTGCGCTTCACCGACGATGAAGAGCGTGAAGCGTACGATGAGGTTGAGCGACAGGCTCAGGTTAAGATCTCCAAGTGGTTGAGGCAAGGGACGCTGCTGAAGAACATGTCGTGCATCTTTGTGCTCATCCTACGCTTGCGCCAAATGTGTCTTCATCCGTCGTTGATCGCCGTCGAAGGGACGAGCCAGCTCAACAAGGAGGACGAGTACCGCAAGGCCGAGACGCTGTTGTCGCCCGAGTCGATCAAGCGACTGTTGGACGAGCGCCTGAGGATCGCGATTGCTCGAGAGGCGATCGAGGACTTTGAGCTCGAGGATCCAGTCGACGAGGAGTGCGCAGTTTGCTTCGAGCCGATTTTGCCTCTCAGTCTCGGCGGCGAAGGCGTCGTCACCCCTTGTGGCCACTGCTTCTGCCGCACATGCTTGATCGAGATCCTGAGGGAGGCTCACCGCGAGTTGGACTTCGGCGATATGTTGGGTTACCAACAGGACGAGCGACCGTGTCCGACGTGTCGTGCACCCTTCAGCGAGGACAAATTGATCGAGATTGAGGCCTTCGAACCCGACGCTCACGAAGTTCGTTTGGCCATCTCCCGCAAGCCCAAGTCGCCCAAGAAGAAGGCCGAAGAAAAGGCCAAGTCCAAGCACCGGGCCGTCATCGCCGATTCTGAAGAGGAGGAGGAAGAAGAAGACGTTCTCGACGACAGCAGTGACGATGACGTTTCAGACGTTAAGGAGAGCCCATCGCGCAAGGCCCGTTCGGCGAGCCCATCGGGTCGTGCACAACCTGCTCAATTGATCGTCATCGACTCGGACGACGAGGAACTGCCTCCTCCCTCGGCCTTGTTGGCAAAGCTCGAAGTCAAGCCCAAGGTTGAGAAGGACGTCAAGCCCAAGCCCGAACGAGAGACCAAACCCGACATTAAGCCTGAGGCCAAATCCGACCGCAAACCCGATATCAAGCCCAAGGTCATTGATCGCAAGGGGAAAGGGAAAGCCAAGGCCGAGTCGGACGATGACTACGTCTTTACCGACGTCGAAAACACTCAGTCCGCGCGCAGAACGAAAGCCAAGGCCGAGCCGTGGGATCTGAAGCCCAAGATCAAGCCTGACGTCAAGCCTAGCACGTCTCTCGATTGGTTGAAGCCCAAGGTGAAGCAAGATCCTTTCCGGTCGCCTGAGCGACTCCGTCCCGGTCAAGTCATCTTCCAGCCCGTTGCCGAAGTTGATGACAACGACGATGTGGTCGAGAGGTCGTGGTATCGAGCCGTCGGAAACAAGACCATCATTCCTTCAACCAAGGTGGGCGTTTGAGGCCGGACCAATGATCAGGAGCGCAGGCCCACTAAACGTTTGACTTGGATTATCGTCACAGATGCAGTATTGCTTCAAACAACTCAAGGCATGGAAGGAGGAAGATCCTGCCATCAAGACAATCGTTGTCTCGTCCTTCGTGTCTGGGCTCGAGATCCTCGATACGTATCTCCGCGGCCGCGGTATCGAAACGGTGCGGTACCAAGGCAGCTCAAATGCGATCGAGAGGAAGGAAGCCATCCACCGACTGGACACAGACCCCAACGTCAGAGTGATGTTGCTTTCGATGAAGGGTAAGTCCTTTCGCATCAGATAGGACATTATGTTTCACTCATTACGTTTTGTCTGATCGTATTCTCTTCCGCTCGTCCTGCAACAGCCGGTGGAGTCGGCCTCAATCTGACCTCGGCATGCCGGGTCATGTCCCTCGATCTCGCCTGGTCGGGCTCGACCGAACTTCAAGCCTTCGACCGCGTCCATCGTCTGGGGCAGCGTCGACCGGTCCTTATTGAACGCATCGTGATCGAAGACACGATCGAATCTCGCATCCTCAGTCTGCAAGACCGCAAGATGTTGCTCTCCGACATGAGTTTAGCCGAGGGCAAAGCCAAGAACGGCTTGGCGGGAATTAAAGTTCCCGAACTGTTGGGCGTGAGTTTCCCATCAAACTGGTCTACGGTCAGATTGGAATTCTCACTTACGGTTGTGGATGATCTTGAGAGCAGTTATTTCGTCTCGGAGTTGATGGCAAACGACTGCAGACTCACAAAGGTCGAATTATCGGACAAGCGGGGGACCGCGATCCGGGTTCCTCCGCCCCTGAAGACGAAGGCAATCCGTGACGCGATGAATGCAAGATGGCTGGGCATCTGACACCAAATAAAATCAATCACGTCTCTCGTATTCTTTCTTGACTTTCTCATGCATTGTGCATCCTGTGCTGTAACGGCAGTAAAGTGGTTTCAACCTGGGTGCCTCGCTGCAGGAGCAGATCATGCGATAATGCGAGAGCTTGCTTCATTACAACAGCGACTAGTACTAGCAATAACTAAACTTCGACGGCCAAGAAAGACGAAGAGTACAAGGTGGTTGCGAGCAGCGGACGGGATCATTTCAGTCCAGAGAGCCAAATGGCTTGAAGGGTTGGTTTGCGATGATGAATGGACGAGGGATCTCGGACTCGACAGAGGATCTCAGTGGTGCCGACTCTCTTCGTTTCTCCAAAGTCGCGATGCGGGAGAGCGGTACGTCAGGCGTTGAATCGCGCCGTTCGAGCGAGATTGGTGCCCGCTTTTCGAATTCTGAAGAAGGCGGGGGAGGAGGTGGGTCTCGAGACGAGCGTTGATCATGCTCGGGTGGCGCGCCCAGTGCGGGTGAGTAAGGTGTCTGCGCTGAAGGATGGTCGAGTTCGCGGTCCGAGGCAAGTTGGTCTATTTCCTCGCCGTCATCGTTTTTCGGAGGAGATTCCGCCGCCGTGAGAGCGCCGGCCACCGTTTGATCGACACTGATTTCGGAGTTGGTCGGCGGCAGTCGCTCGGAGACAGGGATGGGATTGAGGGGGAGGGATGGCTCAACTGGATCGCTCGATAGAACTGGATCAGATGAAGGGCCTTTATCCGAAATTGCGAGTTGCTTGACACCGAGTGAGGGCGGAGCTACTTCCTCGCCCACGCCGGTGGGTGCTAGGACTGGCTCTGGCCCTGATGGTTGAGCAGCAAACGCGATGTGACCTGACGTTGAAAAGGACGTTGAAGGGGCAGAGGCAGAAAGGCCAAGTGCATTCGAAGTTCCGCCTGCGGCATCGCCATCGAAGGCAGACTCTAGCTGCGAAGCAGGTGCCACGAGCATTGCACTCGTCTGAGCTGCTGCGGCAGCCTTGGCAACTGCACGTTGGGCGAGGTCCAGTTTACGCTGTTCGACGATCCTAGCTCTGAGAAACAAAACCGCCAGTCGAGTAGTCAGCTTTGAGACGAAACAGCAGGCTAAGCAAGAGCCCATTGAACGTACTGAAATATGATTTCCTTCAAGCCCTTCGCATGCTCGTCCCTCACCCGACCTGCCATTTCCCCACTTGCAACCATGCGATCGAACTCCAGCAACTTTGCATCGACTTTCTTCTGGATAGCAGGGGGGGCGGGCGGAAAATTGTTCGAGTCGAGAGCGGGCGAAGGCGAAATTATCGAGGTTGACGAGGTCGATGAAGAAGTCCCACTATCCGCAGACGGTGCGACACTGGAGTGGTTCTCCGAAAGGTCTACTCCTAGGCTTGGGAGAACAAGACTCAAGGCAGGACTTGGCAGGGCTGGCCCTGAGCCCTCAGTGGCATGGGATATGGGCAGTGACACAGGTCGAGCGCTCCGAGGTGACTGGGCGAGCATACGCGCAACTTGACGCTGGGCTGGCGCGACACAAGAGTAGAAGTGCAAAAGTGGGTGCACACCTTTGCCCGAAGTGTTACGGACGAGCCCATTAGACGCAGAGCGGGCAAGACCCGGAGCGGTACTCGCGGAGGCGGGCTGGGTCGTCGAGGGTGATTTGGCCGGTTTGCTCCGCGCGAATGCTGGAAGACTTTCGCCTCGTGTTATCAATTGTTGCACCTGTGGAAACCAAGAGCTGGTCAGCCAAGCCCGTAGAGAAAGTATTCGCACTAGCTTGACCACTCACAACCAACGGAGTGGTAGAGCCCGTTACAGGCGCCAATGACGTCTGCGCTTGAGGAGTGTTGAGCCGCGACTTGCTGCTCGCAGACGTTTCGGGTCCAGGCAACGGCTGCTCTACTGTCGTAGGTTGCCCTTGTGAACGCCCAGACAAGTCCCCCCAGAGGTCTGGTAGTCCTATAGAAAAGTGAACAGGAGGGGCGTTGACCGGTGAGACCGATCCCGTAGTGGCGGGGTCTTCGAATCTTGATCCCTTACTCTTGCTGTTCCTCGTCTTGATGGGTGGAATCTCGCCGCTCCGTTCTGCAGACAATGCCCTTAATGCGAAGAGTTGGAACAACTGCGTCTTTGCGCCCATCGATAGTCTGCCCAGGTCGACGGTCCGCGCCGGCCGTTCCACATGAGGTAAGTCCATCAGTGCTTTCCCCACACGAGTGAGGGACTCGGCCTGGAGCAGCATTGCGTCGTTAATGGTGTTATGGTCCAGACTGGGATTAGACGCTTGATACCTTTGGAATTGCGAGGCTCGATTCCCCCAGTTGTGAACGATCGTTGTGGTCGTTTGTGCAACGAATGGAGCTGCGTCCGGGAGGCCGTGAAGTGGGGAGGCAAACGTGTTTGCTGGCCCTAGAGTACTTGGTTCCGTCGGAGATGCCGTAGGAAGGCGGGGAGCGGGGTGGAGAAAGATACGATCGAGTTCTGAAAGCTCGACGCGTGCGGGCAGGCTGAGGTGGCAATCGAGGGGCTGACACGACGGGGTGTAGTCGTGGAAAGCGTGTTCCATGGGTGGTGGTGGGACTCTGCGGGGTAGAGGGTACAAAGGTGGGGCAGGCACATACATCCTTGGAGGTAGGAAAGGCTGGGTTGGTTTGTCGGGTGGAATGTATCGCGGTTTAGGTCCGCCGGAAGACCGTTGGGGTGCAGCCGGAGCAGATTTGACTTGAACTTTTGTAGAGACAACGGGCCGAGCTTGTGGGACCGAGGGTGGCATTGGATAGGTACGCGGAATACTTTGACTGTGAGTTACCCCTCCTTTCCCATTGACACCAATGAATTGTGTCGGTCCAGCGAGCCTCTGCTTCTCCGCAGCTTCCCCAACGGCAGCAGAGACGCGTGCATTCAGCCGCTTCCTTTTTTGTGGCATTTGGATCGGCTCGAACGGAGTCGGAGTTTGACCCCGTTTCAGTTGATGCGCATTGATGAGCTTCTGAATTCTGCTTGCCCTCTCAAAGACTGCGCTCTCTTGTTTGAACGCAGCCGGAGTGAGGTCACTGTAGAGGTCGTTGGGATCGTGCGAAGTTGTGTTCGACTCTGCCGCCGGGCTGATCGGCTTGGCAAGGAATGGGGCCGGAGGTTGTCGATTGGATATCCGATTGACGTTTCTCCCCGGGTTGGTCGAGGCAAGTTGAGCGGTAGCGACGTGGGTTGCAGGTGCAGGTCTGAGCTCGGTGCGAGCCGGAGCGGCCGAAGGTTGACGAGCGGCCGTGATGGGATGGGCGGGAGGCAGGCCCTGTGAAGGCTGGGATGGGCGGTGCTGGGCACTCGCACGGCGCACGGATGGTGTCGAACCCTCCGCCCGCTGTTGACTTCGAGCTTCTTGGGAAAGGGAGTGTGCGGATCCATTTCGGCTTGTCGCTGTTGCGGTGTTCACGACAATGCTTGAGGTAGCACCACCGGCAGAGATCACACAATTCGTTGGCGAAGGCTGTAGAGTTACTCCGGGCGGGGCCCAAGGTGGGCCATAAATAGGTGGCGTCCTCGTGACGGCCAGCTCGCGGTGAATCTTGATTTCCTCGGCCATCTTCCTCTCCTTGGCCATACTTTGCTGGTCCAAAATCTCGTACTGGTACGGGGTCACCGAGCCCGACAGCGCTTGCCGGACAGCGTGCCAGCTCCACAAGCTCCATGCGCACTCTTCCCTCACCTGATCCCACCACCCCCATTCCGTGGCGTCCCGCGAGACGGAGGGAAGCACCATCCTCTCGAATCCTCGAAACACCGAATTTGTGACGAATCGAATCACTTCCAGCACGATCGTGGCCGAAACCCGTTGGTCTGGGGCCAGAGAGTGGATCCAGCAAGCTGCCAGCGAACCAAGAATGGGTAGCTCGAATATGCCCTGTTGCGCGCAGTAATCTGCCCACGCTCCGTAAACTGCCGGCATGGGTCGAAGAATCAGAGTGAGTCAGTGTCTCTGTGTGTACATATCTATCTGCTAATCAATGGGAGCAGCCACTCACTAGCGACATATGTTGTTGCAAGGACGCCTTCGACCTTGTGATTCCACGGTAAAGAGGCCAGGTCGCCTACTCGAATGATGACCCCCTTGAGCTTGAACGCTAACTCGATGCTGGGGTCAAGGTGGGCTCGAATATCTGTGGAAGGTACAGAATGCGACAGATTGATATTAGTGGTTGGATCAAGGTGTTCTAGTTTCGATTGAGAGAGTAGTAGTACTGACGGAATCCCAGGGCCGAGCTCAACACTCGAATGCGGTCGAGGTGGGCTTCATGTGTCGAGGCCAATCGCTCCAGCGTCCAGAGCCTCGGCGACTCGGGATGATCGTATGCGCCTACCTGGGGTGTTTGTCTTAGTGATTGTGATCGAGATCGAGACTGAGGCCGAGGTTGGGTTGGCTCAGGAGAGCGAGCTGTGTTGGAGGTAAGAGGCCTAGACTGGGTGTTGGAGGGCCGCCAAGTGAGAGCTTCCACCGGCTGAGAAGGTGGGGCGGCGGCCGCGTTCGAGCTCCAACCGGAGCGGGCAGGTATGAAGCTCGTCATGTCCTTTGGAGAAGCATACGGTGCGGCCCTTGTGGCTTCATTCGTCTGACGATGTGTGGACCCATTGCCCTGTCTGTCCGTCGTGGTCGCGGTGGTCGCGGGAGTCGTGTTTGAGGTCGGGAAGGTGGAGTGCGCCTCGCGCTGGGGCTGAGGCTCGGGCCGGTGCTGGTAGCGGTGGTCCTCAAGTGGGGCGGTGGTGCTGGCGTCCGAGTCGCCCGTGGGCTTTGGCAGCGACGGCTGGTGCGCGACGTGGGTGTACGGGATGCCAAGACTTGCAGCATGTCCGTACCAGTGTTGTGCCATCCAATCCCCCGACGTATCAGGGGGCACCAGGCGCACTCGATGACTGGTCGAGGGGCTCTGCTGCATGCAGTCGATCCGAGACCGGTCGACAGTCGGCGCGCTCGATTGCGAAGAAGCCCACCAAGTCAATCCGCCGGTGCCCGTCGAAGCGGAGTTTTCAGCTGGCTTGCAGTACCATCTCGGTTCCTGGCCCTCCATTCTTGCCCTCCGTTGTCTCGGTGACGCGCACCCACTCTACCTCTCCCAGGCTTTCGGCGTGTGAAAAGTTGCGATCAGTGGCTCGATCGCGCCTTCGCCCCGGGCAGACAGGTCACGGGGTCGAACAGAGCTTTGCTTTCGCCGACCGCGAGACCCAGACCGGAACTTGACGCAACCCCTGGATCCCCTGCGACGCACTGATAGGGACGACGATGACGGGATGACCAGTCGATAGACGAGGTGTGGCCGCAATTATTAGCAACACCACTATCGGCCCATCGGAGACTGAGCGGAGCGCCGGTGAGGCGGAGTGCACGAGACGACGGAGGGAGAGTCAGCCGCAGTCGAGTGAGACGCGGGGTCACGCGCGTGGGTGGCCACGGTCTGCAGCCGTCTGCCACGATTGAGGACCCGGCGCGTTCACAAACGACTTTGAAAGAGCAAGGAAGCAGTACTGGAGCGCACACGACAACATGCACGACTTAGGTCATCTTAATTCTTTCTTTGACTATGTTGCCTGGGTGGTACGTCTCGCCTCCCGAAGGAAGGACGATGGCGGGAGGGGTGCGATCGGCGCGATGGGAGACGTCTCTGCTCAGGATCGATGGTAGGGAAACATACTCTCTCCACTGCAAAACGCGGGTCGTCAACGGGAACAATCACGGCCATCGAGGAACGACGAGACAGCCTTCCCGACGGGGTTTCGGAAAGTCTGATCACGTGGTTAGACCTTTTCTAGAGTCCGCTCGAAAGCGGATGCGATCAAGTCGAGCGACGAATGACCGCTGGTGGTCCGCCGTCGGAGCTTTTTTACAATGCTCTAGACTTGGTACCGCCACACGTATCCTGTTGTCAACAAGCTTGTGGTGGTGTTGCGAGATTGCGTGTGTTGCCGAGAGCGTCGCCAATCAACGTGACAGGAGGAACTTGGTAGGTGCCGGTGCTTTCAACTTTGTCGCGGTTCGTCGTATGCCTTCCGATACAGACGCTCGGTCGCGGGTGGTTCGAAATCAACCATAGCCATCTCCTACGGTGGGTCTGAAGTGAGACCGAAATCCGTGCATGACGAGGTCCCTCAGCGGGCGATCTCGGTCGTTGTCACGTGATTAAGCCCTCGTTGAGTGTGGGACCTAGAGGCGGCTTGTCCATCGGGCACGAACTTGTGTTTGGCTTGTCGTTGGATCGAGATACGCTCGAAGTTCGTGTTGTAGGCCGGTGATGTCGAGTGACCCCCCGGCGAAAGTGTTCCAGATCCCTGACGTTTGGAGCTCCGGCGATCCTACTTCACGCGATTGAGCCCCAGCATGACCCGTTCCCCCTTCTCGGCACGATTCACGACGCCTTCGAACGCTTTGGCGACACCACTTTGAGCCCTCTCTGCCAGACCATCGGCCCCTTTCAGTGCCTTTGTTTGCCTCTTTGCCCATTGCTTGCTCGCGCTGGCCGGGTCCTGGGGGTTCCACTTGATCGCTAGGTGCATATCGGCCTTGGCACGATTGTAGTGGTGGTGGTAGTAGAGGGATGGGATTTGGTGTAACAGCGATGGGGACGCCTCCAGCAATTTCAACGTCGCGTGAACTGTCACATGGTGAGAAGGGCGTGGTAGATTCAGCTGGGCATCCATTTGTAAAGCCCGAATGGGAGAGGGGCCGAACCTTTCTGCTCGATGGCAGACCATTCTGCTTGCTCGTCTTGAATCAATTCTCTCAACTGGGGACGATACACGGCACGAAGGTTGCTTCGTTCGTGGTGCACGAGAGGGAGCAATTGCCCGAAGCGTCTCCATGTGAAGCGGTACAAGGATCTTTGACGGCTCGAGAACGTGATCGTGGTAGCGGTGATGATGGTTTTGCACATCTTGGCCTGTCGATTGATAAACCTGAGAGCGGAAACGAGCGAGAAGAAGCTTGTACTCGCGACAGAAGGTGGTAAAGAGGTGAGAGGAGGTGGGTACTACGCTTAAACTCCCGTGCTCGCTCGACCTCGCCAGAGCCTGCCAGAGCTCGCAAGTGGGACAAGTCGATCGCCGGCCCGGTAACAATATGTACGGGAGGCTTCTCGGTGGTCAGCCGTGGCCACACCCGTCAAAATTCTACAACAAAATCATGGACAGAAAAAGAGACACGCGCACCAATTAATTCTCCCAGGTCTGGACAGAAAAACTAAAAAGGTACCAGAAGCGCGATGAGGCAACGGATTCATCAGCGCCACGCCGAGGTGAGACTTTCGAGTAGCCGAGCTTAGGGTTTCTCCGTGAAAGGATCCCCATATGATCCACCCAATATCAAAGAAGGTCGAGAGATGTCCTGTATACAACAGCAAAGTATGCAATATTGGGCACGATGATGCATGATTATGAATGACGATGCTGAATGATTATGGCGATGATCGACCAAGGTCGAATCCGAGGGGGGCCGGGGTCCCTGTGTGACCGACCGAGGGCGAGAGGTGAAAGTCGCACGAGCTGACTAACCATACTTCGACGTCTTGTGAGCTTCACCAGCAACATATCCTACACGTGTGAATTTCCCAACTGACGCTCCAAAAGCCCATCTCCCCCTTTTCCAAATCTAAACACAAGCCCGAGAGCGCAAGTGGGAGCCTTGTCGAGATCTTTCTCTCACTTCTTCCCAATCACTTTCAGAGCCTCGTACAAATGCGGGTTGGAGCGTGGCTGATCTCGGTCGGAGATACATACAGCTCGGTCTGTTCTAGATTAATGAACAGGTAGCATTTTCAGTCACCAGGATTGCCGAGTATCAGATCGAATGAGCTCGACTCCGGGAGGCGATCTCCTCAGGCTGTGCGACCTCGTGCTGTTCGACCGATCGACCAGTGCGGGCAGCAACTTGAACGCCGCGAGCTGACCAACTGATCTCGAGCAGTAGGTTGTACAAGTCAGGCCAAAGTCAATAGAACTATAGCGGAGTTCTGGAAGGTGAGGACGATCATGCAGTGATGGGCTTGGAGTCAGCATCATGAGTCCGAGCATCACCAGCTGATCAGAGACGGCCGTCCCACCCGATCGACGGCGCTCGAACAAGAGCAAGCAGAGCAACACTCGTGGATCGGAAGGTTAATACCTTGGGTGAATTATCATCGCTAGTCTTGAGTAACAAGTGGCCGAAGGTGATCCCGACTTTTCGCCTTCGCTAGGCCGAAAGTGCAGAGCCAGCTGAGGCGGATGAGGAAGAAAGAGGAAAGAGAAAGAGAGGTGTGGGAGGTCACTACTCACTTGGGGGTGGCCAAGCGTGCGTGATTGAATGGGGTATATCGATCACGCCATCTCTCTTGATCTTATCCAGCTCGGTCCAGTGCCGAGCGCGGCGCGGCGCAGATCCGAAAGGTAATCGCGGACAGGGGACCGTGCACCCCACATTGTAAGTCAACAATCCATCCCTCGGAAAGACCGAATAGTTGTCGAGCAACCTCGGTCAAGTCTCAGTAAGTAGTTTTAGCTCTCAGAATTATCCCAGAATTGAGATCGCCGCAATCAATACAGCGTTTGTTGCCCCAGCAGCTTGATTCGAGCTGGGGCGACTTCGATTGACTGCGAACTCCGACGCGGAGCTGGGTTGCGGTGCGGGGTACACCGTGACTCGAGAGTAATCAAAGGAATTGGATCTAGATAGAGTAGACACCTTCAACTTCCGAGGTAATTCGGCTGCTTAGGAGACAATAGGTCGTGGGCTGCAATTCAAACGAATAGCTCAATCCTCGAGTAAGTCATACGTAGGCATGGGTATGCCTAACTGAGAGTCTGGGTCTCATGGGTTTTCTTATTTGAACTGCACATAAACACTGCCATGCACTGCCATTCACGTTGGTACATGCGCTGGTGACTCGGCCGCACCCGACCATCCCGCGCTCGATCCCCGGCGATTCGACTCTTGCAGGCCCCCACCCCCACTTGTGAATCGATTCAAGGGCACGTGAGGCTCAGCCTCCCAGGTCGTCCACACCCCCTTCGGAGCAGGCTGAAACGAAGCCGAATCTAGTCCATATTCGGGCAGAGCCCTGATAAACACTCCTGAATGCCAATGCACGCGTGTGCACAGCCATGCACCCATATGCAGCGCCGTGCAGTCTCAGCGCCTCGGCCGCGAACCGAGTGAAAACGTCGACGTGCTTCAAGCTGAAAGAAGCAAGGGGAGGGTGGGCCCTACCCCACCCATCAAACGGGTTCAGAAGATCGAAAATGTTGTAGATGTTGGACTTTGATTGATGATCCCTTGTGTTGATGACTCGAGTACCACGTCATACCCAGCTGGCACCAGCTAGTAGTAGTAGCGGTATGCTTTTCAAGGGGAATCCGGGAAACCACCCGAGGTCTGGGAGACCTCCCCAAAGTCTGGGAAACCTCACCAAAGTGGGCATTACTCATGCTCAGGGCGATCTTGGCGCGGGCGAAAATTGGCGACAAGGAATCCACTGGCTTCCCCATGGGTCGCTGGCGTCACTGCATTCGCGCCTCAAGAGAGCAAGGCCCGAGGCCGTAGCCCGAGTAGAGCGTTGACGCGTTGGCGACGTAGACAGCTTTCCGCTCCCTCAACTCGGAACAGCGCGCCAGGTGAAGAAGCCCCTCGCGACGAACATCTCTTACGCTCCTCACACTAGGTACCCAGCTCGTACCCAACGTCACCTCCGAACGAGACGATTGGAGCTTTTCGTTGTGGGTGGGGGGAAGGGGATTTCTGCGATCGTCCCACCTCGCTGCTCTGATTCCGGGGAAAGCCAAAACCCCACCCCCTCTCCAATCACTGCCTGTCTCACTCTCTTGAACCTCGTCGGCACCGAGCTAGCCAACACCGTCGCACCAACCTCGTCCGCGCGCCCAACTCGTCCTCGTCACAGCGATTATGTTGGCCTATTCCTCTCGTAGTAGTAGGAGTAGCACCTGGTCAGTCGCAGTCAGCTCCGTGGGTACCTGTGTCTCACGTACCAGCAGAGTGATCGTCGCGGCTGAGCGCTGAGCGCCGAGCACTACGTCGCACGGGTCATCACAGCGCCGCCCCAACTGAATCTTGACCCATTCACCCCCCCAGATCCGAGCAGCAGCATCACCAAAGATCACCCTACTGCCCCACCATGACCTCTCCTTCAACGCCGATGTCGGCCTCGCCCTCCCCCTCAACGAGCGCGCTTATCGAGCATGCGAAACCCCCACCTGGCAGCAGCCACGAGCGGAGCACCTCGAGCATCTCGCCCTCCAAACGAATCCCACTCAAGCGCCAACAGCAAGAGCAGCAGCAGCGACAGCAAAAACTGGCCCAACGACCCAAAGAAACGGTGCGGCACGATATCGAGTTGCTCAGCGACTCTTCGTCCGACGACGACGACGAGCAACCCGACGAACCGCTGTTGCAAAGGAAGAGGAGGGCCAGTCAAAACAACGCCGCTTCGACGACCGCAAAGCCTTCGTCGGCTCGAGCGGGTCCGAGTCAGGCCTCGAGGGCACCGGCATCCCACAACCGACCTGGAAGGCCAACCAAGAAGAGTGCGCGGTCGTCGGACAGTAGTGCCGAGTCCGATGAATCGACCGAGACCTCGGGGTCGCATTCGTCGTCTTCTTCCGCGACGCCCATGATGGAGCGCAAAAGGAGGCTTTCGAAGGAGACGCTCAAGCCCAAGAAGAGGAAGACCTTGGATGGAGGAAAGCGAGCAGGTGCAGAGGATTCGGACATCTCAGCGAGCAAGGCAGCCAACGCCGGCGTCGCCTCAACTGTGCAAAAGAACGCCAGCACAGCCAAGCTGCAATGGCAAGTGCCGAGGAACCAAGGGCACGACCCTGTGGGCGGCTTGCATACCGCGGGAAAGGGCAAGGGCAAGCGGAAAAGTACCGGGAAAGGGGACGAGGATGAAGTCGACAAGGCCCTGTCGTGCGAGCTTTCATTGGTGGCCGACGAAGGCGATACGACCAGGGAGAAGGGAAGGGCTCCCGTCACCCAGCAGCGGGGACCAGATGACGAACCCTCGTCGACCAAATCAGCCGCGACAGCTACGATGCACCCGGCTCGGTTGAGGAGCAAGAAATCGAACGAAAGGCTGTGTCAAGATGATTCGGAGCGGAGATTCAAGAAGAAAAAGGACACCGAGGGTGAGGGAGTCCATCAATCGGCAATCACAGCTGGGCCAACCCCGACCACGATGAGCGCAAAGCATCAAAAGTACTCAACCGGATTGGCGCTGAATGTGGCATCGAAACCACCTGCGAAGACGACACCGGGTGGACCTGCACTCGCCAACAAAGCACCAGTATCGGGATCTGGCGCAGCTTCGGCCACTCGAGACGCTCCATCGACGAGCTCAGGTGCCGTAGCATCGATAGCGCAAGCAAAACCTAGCCCGAAACAGGCCCTCACCTCTTCTTTTCGACCTCAAAATCCTAATGAACTGGAAGTGGTCACAGCGACATCGGGAATGTCGACTCCCTCGAAGACCAAAACCCCCAAGTCGACTGCCCTTTCCTCGAAGCCATCAGCGCCTGTCACATCGTCAACCGCTTCTGCAGCTTCTTCCACGCGAACGGGTATGACCTCGTCAACACCGAATCTCTCGCAGATGAGAAGGATTCCAAAATTCGCGCCAACGCAGCAATCGGCACAGCAAGACCCCACGATCGAGACTGATGACCAGAGGCTTGCGTCGAACAGTCCGCTCGTCGGGGCGGGGACACCGTCGGCCACGAATCACCGTCCCGAAACGTCGCGACGAGTGAGCTCAAGCGGTGCGTCGGACTTCCGCTTTACGCTGAAAGAAGAAGCCATCACTGGCTATAGTTTCTCGGGGAGATCCAAAGTCGACGACCGCGTCGACCTTGCCGAACCGGTCTTCATCGGCTCGCGAGATGACGCCGTTGCCTTCATCGATTTCGCACTGGCTCGCAATTGGTTCCGATCGAAAAAGAGGCTCTTCTTGAAGATAGAGACCACAGCGGACCCCGAAGATCCGCGGTCTAGTATGTCCCTGGCAACCATCGCTCCCCGTTCGCCCACAAGTGACAACTACCTCGTCAGCGCCTTCGCCCGACCGGCTCCAGGTCCTCTCACGCCAGAACTTCGCCGCCATCTGACGGCCCAGGGCGAGTATGCAGCGACGATGCTCCTCGTTCGTGCGATCTTAACGCCGCACAAAGGACTCCTCGACGTCACGAAACTCCTACATTCCGCCGCTTACGACTCCAGTCTTGGTCAAGAAGACGTGGACTCTTTTGTTGACCGACTCCAAAAGGAAGCTTTGATCATTTGGCACGACTACAGGGAGCAGCACCCTCGACATCATCTGGTCAAGCTCATGCCCAGGATCATGAACTTGGGCGAGAAGGACGTTTTGCTCGTATGCGATCAACTCATCGAAATCTTCGAGAACGGCTGCGCAACAACAGCGAAGGGGAGCGTATTTCTGGGGTTCGGGTCTTGGGCTGGCAAGCTCGGTCAAGACATACTGACATGTACAAGGGTGAGCTTCGCCGCTTTGTGCTGAAGCGTGAGAATAATGCTTACTGAGTCCAGAATGTGGGCTTGCGTCACCCGTAGGCCCTGATGCAATTCGCTGAAGGGAAGCCAGCATACTGGAAGAAAGTGGAGGAGGTCCTTACACGTCTCGCTCTGCTCTGCATCAGCGATGGATCGCAGACAGCGACAAGCATGTACCGAAAATTGAATGCACAGAGCCTCGAGGCACGCCATTCCTGCGCCGTCGCGGAGAGGCGTTACACGCAAGAAGGCAAAGCGTGGCCGGAGCCCCGTATCGCGAACCCCGCAACACAACCGACTCAAACTAGAGCCTCTGGCCTATCGCGGCCGCATTCACCACCTGCTGCGATTCACGCCCCGAGTAAACCGATAGCGGGAGCCGCGACGTCAAGCTTGCCTTCAACATCATACCCCTCGACATCGACCGCTAAGCCTATCCAATCTTCGGTTGATCCGATTGCTCCTGGCCCGTCTGCAGTTGGACAAGGCACCGCTGCTTCTACACTGACCTCGACCTCCGAGGCGGCCGTTTTTTATGCGCCACTTCGCCCTCTACCTCTCCCACCACCTGAGGAGAGGAAGAGCATCACCAGACCAGCGGCAAACGATCCTAGGTTGGCAAAACGGTACAGCATCGGAGGATGTGGCTCGATCACTCGAGTTGTGCCAGCGGGTATGAACGCTTCAAAACCCGATTCAGCCTTGGAGCGCCAGTCTCCGCCGATTGCGGGGGCGATTGGGGCGGCCCCTCCGATCCTCGATGCGTTACGGCACGCCTCTCCTGCTGTCATCGGCCAAGCCACAAAATACGTTTCCGACTTGGGAAACGGCACGAGCGACATCCCTCTGACTGTCGGAAAAGATTATCCGGCACGATTCTTGTCGGCTTCAACGCCCGTCCCAACTTCCACGACTTTCGTGTCGTCGATCATGCCTGGTCCTGCTTCCGTGGCATTGCCCGATGAACCACCCAGCACAGGAAGACGGCCTTCGTTATCGACAACCCTGCCCGATCGGCCACTCAAGAGGCTCAAGCTCATGGCATCCCGGATGACAAGCCCGTCAGATGTCCCCAGGCGCGCCTCGAAACTCCCGATTAGCGAAGAGCTCGAGCCCGTGCTCGGGAGTCCTCTGAGTTCGGCCGCCTCTCGTGACCCGACTCCGGTGACGCATTTGTGCCAGACTTCCCTATCTTCCGCACGCCGTGAGACCCCCGTCAACACACCGACAGGCATGAGTAGATCTCCAACGGCTCCCAACGTCCACGCTTCCTCGAACGGACGGGCTTTCGTCGCACCCCCTCGAGCACCTCGATCAAGCAGTGTCGTTGAAACCAACAAAGAAGCTGGCTCTTTGCGACCACTCATCTCGGGACCATACTACCACGAAGTGGTGGGCCATCTACTGGAGCCTGTAGATGTCCACCTACTTGATTCGAAGAGGATGTGGTCGAAGCAATTCGTACTCGACGATCCGCAAATCCTTGGTCGTCTGCGCGAGCCAAATCGAGAGGATACGGATCTCGACGCCACAGAGCTGCCACTGCGAGCTCGAGGGGTATTTCGTCGGAATTCTGCGGTGGACGATGGGCTTGAGAATGTTTTGTGGCCTTCCGACATTACGCTCAGTGTGGCTACCGGCCCTTTTGGATCGTGGGCAAGAACCTGTCCGGTAGCAGTCTCAGACATCGTGCGTGCTTGGCTTGTATCAATGAATCGCAACTCAAAACTGATCTATTATCCTGTGATGGGTACTCTAGGTTCCTGGTACCAACATGGATACCTGCCATTACTTTGACCTCACCCCCTACCTCGCTTTAGGCCACAACGCTTTCATCATTGCAAAGCTCGGTTCGGTGCGTTTCCCCCCCGGCCTGCGATTCTCAATCGAGGTGTGCACGTCCTTCTCGGCTGGGCATGCTCGTCGCCAGATCAAGGAAGAAGAGGACGAGGACAAAACTTTTGAGTTGTATGAGGGTTTCAAAGACCGGGCGATGCGATGCGACTCGGTCAAGCTGTCCCTAGCGGATCCGAGGGCACCGACCAAGCGGATCGATTTGCCGGTGCGGGGACTCGAGTGCGAACACCTCGAGGTAAATTCTCTGATGGCGGGGACCTGTGCGGACATAGCTCATCTTTTCTGCTTTGTCTTTGATCCTCCCGTGCAGACCTTTGATTTTGAGACACATCTGGCTTCGTCGACCAAGGACGATTGGAAGTGTCCGTTTGATCACACCCTCCTTCAAGGCAGCGACATCGGCTGTTCAAAATTCTGCCCTCCCTCGAAGCTGTGGATCTGCCACTATACGCTTGATAACGTGCTCAAAGGGGTTCCCGAAGAGTAAATGAAACCAATTCCCTGACCCACCTCACACTGTAAATGCTAATTGTGGTCCAACCCCATGTCGACATAGTGCGGTGGACGTCTTCATCGAGGCGGGTGCAAGTCAAGTCAAGGCGGAAGAGGCCGAATCACCCATTGAGCCGTAGTGCTACGCAAAAGTATCTGGAAATAGCGGAGGAACAATATGCCATAATCAAGGAATACCGACCTTGCAGTGACCTTTTGCCTTTCCCCGGTTGAGGGCTCCTCATCCCGTATTCACGCTTTAGCATGCGTTGTAAAAATTTCGTATATCCACTTTCTTCTTGCAATTTCAGTTTAATTCGTGGCCTCCTCCGATCAATTCAGCTCCGAGTGGAAGACATGAGCAACTCATTGACTTTCTGAAGGATCGCTCGTGACGGATTTGTTGACGGGAAGGACTCCAAGATCCAAGCTAGACGGGACCGGATGATATTCTTTGTTGGCCGTGCGGCAGACATCTCAAGCTTGCCTGCGTCGTTGTAGAGCTTGACTGTGGGTGTGCGCAGGAAAAGGGTCAACTCGATCCTTGGGTTTTTTGTCGGGAGCGGTGACACGACGTACCAAACAGGATCAAAGCAAGCGCCACTCCAAGATCGTTCGCCTCGCTCTGTTGCGCGGATTTGCCCACCTGCACAACAAGACTTGCACCGCTCTTCCCGAGTGCCTCTTTGGCAAATGTGATGGGACAGTCGAGGCTCGAAAAGAAGCCAAAATACCCCGCCTTGCCGGTCTTGGCCACCAGGACGAGATTCGGATGGCCATCCTTCATCTGCTCAGAGGCCGGTATTGCTGGGATGGTCTTGCCCGCAAGAATTCGTATTGTCGGCGTAGTGACAATCATTGAGTTGGTGGGCTCAGCACCGAGAATCAAGCCCACTCCCGTCCGCCTGATCCATTTCACGGCTGTCTCGTCCCCGTCGCCGCCAGAGCCTTGCGCAGGCAAACTTGCCCGACCTCTCTCTTCCTCCAAGACCCGTTCAATCACCCGGTCGACGTCCTGGCGCTTGGCTTCCAGAATGAGCTTCTCGTGGTTCCAAAACACGTCGGCGGTCAATCCCCTCGACCAACTTTCGTGGTCGTCACCGCTTCCTTGGACATAAGTGAATCCGAGCGCTCGCTCGAGGCCATCTTGGTCCGAAGCAAGTTTGCTTGCGCTGACGCAGATGATGGGATAGAAGGACGGGAACGAAGTGGCCGGAGAGGGGTCGGATGAAAGCCTCGACGCAGGGGAGATAAACACGGGTCGCAAGGGGCGGTCGAGGGCGAGTAATGAGCTGAGGTCGTAAGACGAAGACTGGGGGATCGCGATTGTGACGCGGGTCAGATGACTTCGAGAGACGATCAGCACCTGCTCCTTTTACATAAGACTTACAATCAGCTTCTGTGCCCATTCTTGTATCCTTGCTTCGATCTGAGAGTGTTCGGACCGGCTGATAGTAGACGACAAGGTCCACAAAGCTCCATCTCGTTTCCATTCCTCGATCGATACCGTCGAGTTCTCAGAAGTCGGCGGGAGAAGGATGCATCGGGCCGCGTTGAGTACCGCACACCATGTCGGTACCGTCTTTGACAACGCATCGGGAAAACGCTGCGATGAAAGTGGATCGCAGGTTAGTATGAAGAGCGAGTTGGGAACGGACATCAGAGGATGCAGACCTTGCCCCTCCGAGTGGAGTCAACGAGCGTGACACTGCAATGGGTGGTGTAGTTAATTCAGCAGATTCCGTAAACTGTATACCAAGTAGCATTGTCTCGCCTACCCCTGTCTTTCTTTGATCAACGACAGCAAGGACAAGTTTGCTCCTGTGGGGCAAATTCCATTGGATCGTAACGATGCGTCAATTCCCCACCCTCACATTGCTCCTATAGAAATTGGTTTGTAAAGTCACTTCTGAGATTGAAGTCGTGTTGCCCTGCGTGGCCATCGGTCGACTTGAAGTACGCGTGGGGCCGAACTTCCCCGGGAACCGGCTTCACGTACCATGCTCCGGCCCGTTGATTCGCTGCAATGCAAGATGTCCGATGGAGCCATCAGTGAGTATCATGGCTGTAAACATTTATTAATCCTCCACTCACGAACGATAGGGAAGTCGGGAAAAGCTGCTTTGACTTGCTCGGACACAAACGCAGCATCCTCCGAAATCGAGTGCAACCGATTATAGCTGCTCGTGCTCGCACAGCAAACCTCGAGACGTCAGTATGGTAAGACCACATTGATGGGATGGGTATAGATTTGACTGACGTATCGCGTAGTTCGGATCTGATCGTTTTACGATGCGCTTGAAACGCGTCGCCAGATTCCGACGGAAAAATCAGCCGAGATCCTGATGCTGCTGGGTTCCCAAATTCCATCCTTTCGAACCAATTTGTATTCTCGTAGTCTGCGACCCCGAGACCAAGCTTTGGATGTGTCTTTCGGCGGTCAATCCAAGACCAGACACCGATCTTCGGCTTGCGGACGTTCGCCAAATTCGAAGGAGTGACTGCTAGGAAGGAAAGGGGCGGCAAGCTCGCCCACGGTACGGCTTCAGCAGGCTCATTTTGCACGTGCAGGCTCTTTTCTCCCAATCCTCGATTTGGCCCTTCGGTGTTTTGTGGGGTTTTGATTATTATCTCAGCAATGGAAAAGAGGAGGGGTTGAGAAGTAAGAGAGGAACGCGAGAAAACTCTAGATGCTACACAACCCACGCAAACAAACTGAATCAAACGAGACGATGGAAGGAAAAAGGAAGAACGAGAGGGAGAATGTAGTAAACACGGAAAATGCATCGTTAAAAGAAAAAGGGACGAGGGGCGAAGAAATTCTATATCGGTGGGAGGGGAGAACAGAAAAGAACGAATCTCTATGTTTGCGGCAGGTCGTTGCATGACGTGGGACAGGTGTAAAGAATCGCGATCTTTCTTGCTTTGCGAAAAGGTCGAGGTCGAAGATGCAGGAAAAGTCGATACACACACGTGAGGAAGGGGATCGTAAGACTCAATCAAGGACTCGATTCCGTAATCGTGTGTTGGTTGACCTTTCGTTGCCGAAGGCCTCGGTCGTTAGTACAAAAGAGTGCGAGTTGTTGTCGGGCATGCTGAGCCGCGTGTTGGGAGGGGTAAATAATAGAATTCGCCGGTGGTGACCCCTTGGCTTCGGGTCGAGAAATTTCCGTGTTTGTTGGTCGCTGACGTGTGAATGCAATTGTTTTATGGTGTGTGGAAAGTTTGCTCAGGTGGGCGTGAGGTTGTAGAAGGGTGTAAAGAGGCGGTCGGAAAGTCGAGAGATCGGGCGCGATGGACGAAGACGATGGACAAAATGAACAGACAAGCGCAAGGGACGATGTACAGAGTCGCAAGCGAATGGCTTAGTTCCAGAAAGCGGACGAGCCGCCGTTGGACGAAGCAGCAAAGGCACCGGGGCCCATTTGGCGAGGGGCGCCGCCGTAGCTGCCGCCGTAGCCTCCACCGTAGCCTCCTCCTCCTCCACCTCCTCCGCCACCATATCCTCCACCGAATCCACCAGCAGAGCGTCCTCCACCGACTCGAGCATCACGAGTGGGACCGCTGCGGGCGCCACCTCGGCCACGTCCGCCACCACGTCCTCCACCGCCGAAGCCACCTTCGAGCGCGACAGCCTCGAGCCAAGCGGGAACTTCTTGCTTGGCTTCACGGAGGAGCTCGATGAGGGGACGAGCGACGTTCTTGTTGCCACGGTTGAAGAAGGCGGTCGCGGACCCAGTGTTACCGGCACGACCGGTACGACCGATTCGGTGCACGTAGTCGTCAATGTCGGTCGGCAAGTCGTAGTTGACGACGTGCGTGACATTGGGGATATCGAGACCACGAGCGGCAACGGCGGTCGCGACCATGACGGGCGTGCGACCGGTGCGGAACGTCTCGAGAGCGTACTCTCGCTCGCGCTGGGTACGGTCACCGTGGATCGAGGTCGAAGGGAAGCCCTGCTGGGCAAGGAAGCCCTCGAGCAAGTCGGCCATGCGCTTGGTCTCGACGAAGATGAGGGTCAAACCTCCAGGAGGGAGAGCGTGGAGGATGTCGAGCAAGACGGAGCGCTTGTCCTCGTCCTCGACGTACTCGATCTTTTGGGTAATGTTCTCCGAGGTCGAACCGACTCGACCGACGGACAAGAAGATGTAGTCCTTGAGGAAGTCACGGGCGAGCATCTGGATGTCGCGAGGGAATGTGGCAGAGAACATGAGCGTTTGGCGGTCCATGACGCCGGGCATGTCCTCGCCTTCGACGATGCGACGGATTTGGGGTTCGAAACCCATGTCCAACATGCGATCAGCCTCATCGAGGACGAGGTAGCGGATGTTGGCGAGCGAGATGCGGCCGCGCTCGATCAAGTCAACGAGACGACCGGGGGTGGCGGAGAGCAAGTCGCAACCTTGGTCCATGGCGCGCAGCTGCGATACAACATCGGCACCACCATAGACGACAGCAGGGCGGACCCACGAGCGGTACGCGAACTTGCGAGCCTCATCGTGAATCTGCGAGACAAGCTCACGCGTGGGCGCAAGAATCAAAGCCGTAGGGAACGACTTGCGCGAGCGACCGTAACCACGGCCTTGCTGCTCGACGATGGGGTTGGGTCGGGGACCACGCGAGAACGAGGCCGACAAGATGGGGAACAAAAATCCACCCGTCTTTCCGGAACCGGTCTGGGCGCAAGCCATAAGATCGCGACCTTGGGCGACGATGGGCACCGAGTACTTTTGCACGGGCGTCGGCGTCTTGTAGTGCGCGAGCTTAATGTTCTCGAGCAGATGAGGGTCGATGGGGGGCGAGGTGAACTCGGTCACGGGGTCGGGCACATCGGTACCGGTGGCCTCGACGGGGATGTCGGCGTAGGCATCAAAGTTGATACCGGTCTGTTGCTTGCTCACATCACCGACGTCACCAAAGAGCTCCTTCTCGAGGCGGGCGTTGGCCGCACCGGGGATGTGCTTGCCGTTCTGCCACGAGCCCAAGCCGTCGTTGCGTTGGTGGCCACCGTGGAATCCTCCACCGGCTCCACCACCGCCGCCGGTGGACCATCCGCCACCTTGGCGAGGTGCGGGCGCTGGGGTCGACCAGTCGGCTCCTCGGGTCGGGACGAACGCGGGAGCATTGGCGTTGCCCCAGCCAGCGGCAGCAGCGGGTTGCTGGGCAGCAGCGGGGGGAAGACTGTTGGGCAGTGCGAGGAGCAATATGGTCAGTTTGCAGGGATTTGTGAGCGGCACGAGGGCTTGTTCAACGGGTGCCTTTCGAATACAAGCGCGTCTGGTCTAGGTTCGGCGAGAGGGTGGCGAACGCCCGTCGGCAATCGCGGGAGAATTCCTGGTGAACCCGATAGCGACCCCCGGCCCAACCAAACCAAGTCGATCAGGTCATGCACCCGTGCTTGGTCGGAACAGGGCGGGGTATGCTTGATTGCTGGGTGACGTCGGGATCGCCAGGCTGAGGCCGCGTCTGGCCCAGGCCTGCGAAGTTGATTTCGGCGCGAAGGAGAGGGAGAAACCGGTGAACGGGCGGGCGCGGGCACTTACGCAGGTGTGGCTTGGGCGGACCTCCTGGCATGGGGAGGGACGTAGGCGGATCGAGGGGCGCCGGAATTACCGGAGACTGAAAGAGAGCCTGTTTCGAGTTGCGACCCGGGTACGAAAGACGAGGCCAAGCGGATGGTGAGACAAGGGCCGACACGGGGACGGCGGCGAGCGAGCGGATGGAGGCGAGTTGGGGTGGGCGGGCATAGGCGTGGGCGTAGGCGTGGGCGTAGGTTGGGCACGGACGAAAAGTGCGAGAGCGACCGAGTGCGACGCGTCGATTTCGAAAAGTGCGGGTGGCGTCGTGCAAACAAGTGAGCAGAAAGAGGAATGTCAGTACCCAGTATCATCGAGAAGGGTCACGGCATCTCCAGCAACTCGTCGACGATGGCTGGCCATGGGTCGCGACAGCGGTCATGGCATCGTCTCGGAGTCGTGCTCGACCTGGCCAAGTCAGCACGAACAACGAGGCCCCGGTGAACGCGGAAGAAGCACACAGAGAGCAGGCAGGGCACTGACCAAAAGAGCTCTCTAATCCATTTTGTTGTTGATGAGCAGACATATACGTGGTAGGGGGTGGAAGAGCAGAAGACTGAAGCGTCCAGGCAAGCGAGGGAGAAGTGGAGGGGATGGAGGGAGTAGTTGGGTATGAGACGAAGTCGTCGGGGAGGAACACAAGAGCAGGTTGATCCGCCAATCGCCGTCGTTCGACTCGGCTGCGAACGATCTTCTACGATCTTCACGCGGCCCGGCCCGCCTCTCGCGCACGGACCCATATGATGTACAGCCGAAGCTAACGATTTGGTATTTTCTCCTCCACCGAGGTTAATCTTGAAAATATCCCAAAGAAGAGAAACTACACTTTGGCCTTGCCATCACTTCCAAGAATCTTCTTGACCTCGTCTCGTTCCTTCTCCTTCTCCCACACAGGTCGCTAAGGCAGCAAAAATCACCCAGTGGCGGCCAAGTCAGCAAGCCTGTCCGTCAGTCTTGGTCGAGGGAAGTAGTAGAGTACTCACAGGGGTCTCGTACACCTCCCTCGTCCGGCCGTACGTGATGCCTCCCAACCTCGAAACGGGAAGCAGCCTCTCCGTGTCCACGAGCAAGCTGTCGTCGATCAAGTCATCTCGGACGTGGAATCGCTTGATGCGACCAATGATGATCGTACTCGTGCGGTCCTTGTTGTCGTTGTGGATAGGGTAGTGATGTTCTGTCAAACATGAAGCGAGGATATCGCCACAAATATGTGAGCCAACACACGGGGCAGAAGAATTGACCATGTCGGATTGTGCGACTAACCAAGTTCACATTCCATCGAAAACCCACTCTCCCCGACCCTCGGCGCGTCGATCGTATCACTCTTCTTCGGCGTTAAACCGGACAAGGCCCACTCGCTGACCCCCTTGGGTGCATCGATCGAGGTGTAGTTGGCCGCGTCGACGAAGGGCTCGCTGATGATGTTGGTCGTGAAGTTCTTGGTTTGGAGGATAAAATCGCACGTGTGCTTGGGCTTGTCCGGTTCAGGGTGGTTGATCGAGACCATCAACATGGGAGGATCGTGGCAGGCGATGTTGAAGTCTAGTGAATAGAACAAGATGGTCCGAGGTCCAGTTAGTAAGCATTGTACACGGAACGGTTCGGACTGCGGGCAGAATTATCAGGAGCGGCGAAGGGGTGGACGTACAAGAGAATGGGGCGAGGTTGGTTTGTCCCTCAGAGCTGATGGAAGAAATGAATCCCACAGGTCTTGGAGTCTGTAGAGAAGCACACAGGTGTTCGCGGTCAGTACCTGCAGACGCCGCAACGCGCGCCCTCAGTTCCCGGCCCGATCCTCTCCCGGCCGGAAACTCACCACCCCCTGAGTGCCAGGAAAGCGAACGATGCCCAGAATGTCGAGATCAGCTTCCAGAGTCACGGCGGCACCTTCTCTGCAGCGGACTCACCGAGATCATCAACTTGTACAAGCTGGCCTTGTTGATCTTGCCGTCGCTCGGATCGATCGTCCTGAACTTGACGTCGTCCTTGCCGCTCCACAGGCCGGACTTGACCCCGTCGAGCTCGACGTTCTTGGAAGCCCCTGATCCGGGAGTATAGTTCGGATCGACGGTTTGGGTGACGTTCCATGCCGTGGAGGCGGGGAACGCGGCTCGGCTGGCTTCGACCTGTGGGAAGAAAGTGGGGGCGATCCCGAGGACGTGAGCAAAAAGGGGGGGGGGGATTGCGGATCGAGGATCGAGGATCGCGGATCGCGCAGAACGTATGCCGTACCTCTTTGAAGGGGGGACGGTTCGTCATCGCTCGGGAGGTGCTGAGGGTAGTATGGAAGAGGTGACGGAATGTAATAATGGTGTGCGAATGGCGCAAGGCGACAGGATGTGTAGGTGGGAAGAGACAGGCAGAGCTCCGCTCGGTCACGTCACCTTTCAAGCTGCTGCTGGCTCTGGCTGGCTCAGGTCAGTTCGGCAATAATTCGGCTACGGGTCGCTCGCACGATGTAGAAGAGCACACGGTCTGGTATTGCGAATTGAAATAGAAAAGGCTTAAAAAAGAGGGATCGCTGATCCACAGGCTCGACCTCATCCCGCGTTAGGGCCCAATGAAGTCATAGAAAGTTCAGGTCATAAATTGCAGCTAGTGTTCGTTCGGAGACGGGTCCGATCCCCATCGAACGTCGAGAACAGTGGATAGATCAGCGTCTAATTAAAGAATCGCATCGTCGATTGATCATCCCTTTACAGAAGGAATGCAATGACTTGACTAATGTAGATAAATTTTGTTCTTCATGTCTATCGTGTTCGACGTCGACTCTGGTGGGAGGAAGGGGAAAAGGGGAATTTGAGAAGAAGGGAACACGAGGGGTTAAGGTGATTCTTGCGAGTCGGTGACTTCGTAGCACAAAGGAATATGAGGTGGGCACCCCGGAAGCGGGGGGAAATTGCGAGGGGCCACGTCGTTAGCGAACGAAGCGGGCAAGGCCACGCCCTCAGCAGAGGCGTGGGAGGATCCCGAGTGAGGAGCAAGGTGTAGTGGAAGGACGGCATGCACGATCGAAGTGGTAGGTACGATGCCGTATCAGCTAGACCGTCGGCAGGAGCCGAAGGTGGCTCGATAGGACGAATGGGTGGTAAGCGAAGAAGCGGAAGACGGCGGTCGCCTGCGAAGCTCAGCCTGAGGTTTCCGCCGGCGGGGTGAAAACTGGTGAAAATGGGTGAAAATGGGTTTCGGACGCGCGAGGACCGATTTTGACCGGACCACCCTCCGCTCCTGGGCCCGTCGAGGAGCGGAGCGTCGAGGGGGACGGCAGCTGACCTTTGCCCGCCTCGTACGTCGATCCAGCCCCTTCCCCCCCGTCCCACCAAAAGATCGTAAGTCGTCACCCGTCGACGTTGGTTCGTGTTGCTCGACTCTTCCTGTTGCGCCGTTGCGTCCCGCGTACGACACCGCAACCGCTGCCTGCCCGTCGAGTCTGGCCCCAGCTTCGCTTCGCTACGCCTCCGCCTCGCCTCCGCTGGCAGGAGCGACTCGCCCCAGCGCTCTGCGTTTTTTCACCCGTCGATTCGGCTGCGGCGTTTGCTCACCATCCCGAACTCCCCGGCCGTCGTCATCGACGTCGACAAGCGGTATTGCCGTCCATCGAATCTCTCCTCGCCATTCCAACCGGGCTCATCAGTGGAAGGGGTGAATACGTGGTGCAGAGCGTTGTCGCAGGGGCCTAGACGAACGGTTGGCCGGGCAAAGCCGCGATCGGCGTAGCCACGCGACGCTGCTGCACCCCGAGCGCTAGCACGGCGGTCTTGCACATGTGAAAGCGTGCTTCAAGCATAGATGGGGGATGATCAAGGCTAGGCTCAGGGCAGAACCGTCGACGAAAGTGCAGGTAGCGCCGACCCTCGACCTCGACTAGACTCGACTCGACGCACGGCCGGCCTTCGCGCGACCGGCCACGGACGACGCACGGGAGCAACTAAATACACACTTGCGCGCTCATCCTCACCAACACCGGAGGCTGACCTTGGTTCTACACACCTTGATTGACCCACACACAGAACAGACGTCATCATGTCTTTGGTCGTCCCGGAAGCCCACGTGCAATTCCAGCACATCTTGCGATTGCTCAACACCAACGTTGACGGCAAGCGCAAGATCATGTTCGCCTTGACCGAGATCAAGGGTGTCGGTCGTCGTTACGCCAACGTCGTCTGCAAGAAGGCCGATGTCGATCTCAACAAGCGGTCAGTTCACGCTCGCTGCTACAAGGTCATGGGGAACAGGCGCGAGGCTGAGGCTGGTGGCGCGTGACGGGATGGACGATGGCGGCCCAAGGGATGAGAGAAAGATCGTACAGCTGACAAATGTCTTTATCGTATCGCCAAAATCAGTGCCGGTCAACTCAACCCCGATGAGCTGGAGCGCCTCGTCACCATCATGCAAAACCCCACCCAATTCAAGATCCCCAACTGGTTCCTCAACAGGTATGCCATGCCCCGCCAGTCGATACGGCTCCGGATGACGAACGCGCGATGCTGACCAGAATTGGCTTTGGCTCTTGTGTAACCGGCTCACAGGCAAAAGGACTGGATCGATGGCAAGTACGGCCAGCTCTTGTCCAACCAACTTGACTCTAAAGTGAGTTTCCATCGCCTCGTTGTGCGCGTGCTTCACATACAGTTGAGTTGATACCTCGTTTCACGCCGCTGCTGCAATCTCCCCACTAGATGCGTGAGGATCTCGAGCGACTGAAGAAGATCCGCCTCCACCGAGCTCTCCGTACCTACTGGGGTCTTCGTGTCCGTGGTCAACACACCAAGACCACCGGTCGCCGAGGAAAGACCGTCGGTGTCTCCAAGAAAAGTGAGTCCTGCGTCTTTGATGCTTTCCGCTCTCTTTCGAGGAATTCGTTGTACTAACGACGCGTCCTTCTGCTCTCGCGCTCTAGAGTAAAAGGTTCCTTGTGGACTATTATCACTTCCCTTGGAAGCCTCCTTCAGACGCCTCAATACTTCTTGTCCTTGTTAGGGTGTGCTTTCTGTGGAATGGTACATGAGCGCAGGTTTCTCTTTGCATCCCATTCATCTTTCGTGGCGATGCGGCGAGAGCTTCGTGAGAGATCACCAGTCGCGTATATTCGCGCCTGACCGGAGTAGAGCGCGATGGTGGCAGCGATGCACCTCGATCACTGGTCTAGAAGAGCTTTGTCGAGCGCACAGTTTTCATTCATGGAGCGAGCGTTTCCTTTCCATCCCGCTTGCCGTCGCAGCTAATTAGGTAGGAAGATTCATGTGACCCACACGAAGAAAACCCACCATCCGCAGCGCGGCCTCCGCAGCTACTTTGGGTTTGTGCGCTTCCGCGTAGTGCCACGCCAGTCCACCACTGCCTACAAGCTGCAGCTCATGAGGCGCAGTTAGACTTTTTTGTATTGTCCTTCGAGCTGCGACCAATTGATCTTTGTCACTGAGCTACAGCGCATTCTTGGCATGGGCAGAACAAGTTCAACCTCGGCTGGCCGCTCGAAAATGTTGTCTCGGGGGGAAGTTAGGCATTACAGCAGCAGGCATGAAGCACGTACTCTCTCTGCCCTAGCACCTCAAATACCAATAATCAGGGGCAATGAAGTCATTACCGATTCAAAGAATACATAGAATAGAAGTAAATCTAGAACTACATTTTTGATGCCGGTAGGGGCAAGGATCGGGCAAAGGGCGTGAAATGGATTACCTCTCTGAAGAAATGAGCACAAACTTCCTCCTTCACTGATTCGCCACCCCTCATGACGTGCTCAATGATGTAGGACCGAAGCAAGTTGCCATCGTCACCCACGTCGTTGTGGTGGCGGTCGGACGTCGGACTCCATTGAGCCGCGACAAGCGCTCGGCCGCGCACCGTGCCACGCGTCAGCGTCATCGCCGGTGCTGCGACTGCGAGGTGAGTGGATTGCTGTGCGGCCGTTGCGAATGCCGAGATTACTTCTGCACCTCTTTCTCTCGTGGTTCGACCCTCGACCGCCGACTTCCATTCTCTTTCCTCTCTTTCCATCTAACAGTTCTTATTCCCTTATCCCTCCTCCTCCTTCTTGGCTTCTCGCTTCCAGCCTGACTCAGAAAGGATCAACCTCACACTGCTCGCTCGAGCCCTAAACCACGGATTTCCCAAGTCGAACTCTCCCACCGCGTTGCGACCATCTTTAAAACTCAAAAGGGGCTGGGAACGTCATCGATCCGACTTGCACCTCTCGTTCATTTAGACCACAGCGATTATGAAGTTGATTACATTCGAACTCGCTTCGACGTTGGTCCTGCTATTGCTGCCGAGCTCGACCGATGCACGACCGGCGGCCGCTGCGGCGTCGATCGCAGCAGTCAAGACCGCGCCTGGCGTCATCGAACTTCCTTTACAACGCTTGTCGAAACGCACCCGAACGAGGGACGAGTTCTTGGCCAAGGCGAATTTCATGAGAGCGAAGTATGGCTTCGACACATCAAGCACGACAGAGTCGCGATCCAAGGTCAGTGCTTCGCCTCGGCTTTAAACAGGTTACGTCGCGTCGGAATTAGTTGCTGCGAGCACCCAGGTGGCGCGGCACCGCCTCGGAGTCCGAGATCTTGGACGGGCTGCCTTTGAGACACTCGCTGGCATTTGACCACCCCGAGCCTTCTGCGCCTTTTCAAACCTGCACCAAAAATTGATCCGTACTGACATGATTTTCGGTCCACTGGCTTGTGATATCTACAGAGACGAAGACGCGCCGCTGGAACGGTGACGATGACGGCCTTCCAGGACGCCGAGTACGTTGGAACCATCTCTATCGGGACGCCCGCCGAATCGCATTCCGTCATCCTCGACACGGGGTCGGCTGACCTCATCATGGCAGCCGATGATTGCAAGGGATGCGCGGCGACGACGAATGGGTACTCGGCCGCGGATTCTTCTTCGTCAACGAGCACGTCAACATCTTTTTCGATCACCTACGGCAGTGGAGACGCATCGGGTACGCTCGTCAAAGACAATGTCACAATTTCTGGGTACACCGTCGCTTCACAAACTTTTGCGTCGTGTACGACGATGGACAACCTTGTTGCTGGCAACATCAGCGGCCTGCTCGGTCTCGGGTGGCAGGGGCTTGCGACCTCAGGAGCGGTGCCCCTCGTTCAAGCATTGGCCAACAGCGGTGACCTGCCTTCCAAGGTCTTCGGGTTCCAGTTCAAATCGTACGCTTACGACAAGCTGACGAGTGACTACATGACCGGCGGCAAGATGACGATCGGTGGCACCGACACCTCGGCGTACTCCGGCGACATCAACTGGGTCAACATCGACTCCAGCAAGACGTACTGGCAAATTCCCCTCGATACCATCACCGTCGGAGGCACGGATCTTGGCATCTCGGCCGATAATGTCGTCATTGACACGGGGACGACTTTGATCGGGGCGCCTGTCGCAGCTGTCGCCGCCATCTATGCTCAAATCAGTGGCGCCGCAGCCGTCTCGCTCAGCGGTTCTTCCGGTTATTACTCTATCCCCTGCAGCGGCACCTACAACGTCGCATTCACGTTTGGTAACGTCAGCTATGCAATCCCATCCGATGCCTTCAACACTGGCCAATACGACTCGAGCGGAAACTGCCTCGGTGCCATCTTTGCGCTCACCTCCAGCAGCAGCACTGGCACCGGTTCGAGCTCACTGCAGTGGATCATCGGCGATGCCTTCTTGACGGGTGTCTACTCGGCATACCGCTTCTCCTTTCCTGCGGCTGTTGGTTTCGCCACACTTGGTTCGGGTGGATCGGCGGCCTCTGGAAGCAGTTCGTCGTCTTCATCGACCGACTCCTCTTCAAACAAGTCGATGACTTCGGGCTCGACTCGCTCGGCCTCCTCTTGGACGGTTTACCCCTTTGCCTTTACGCTGGGTCTCCTTTCTTTGATCTTGTCCACCGGATTTGGACCTGGTGATGGTCCCAAAATATAGAATGTCTGCACTCCTACTAGCGGCCTTGGCCGTCATTCGCATGTTTCACACTCGCCACTCGCATCCCCTGTACCACTGTTCTTTATTTGCCGAGTCCTGACTGACTTCTATCGTATTTTTAATGGTCTGAGCGCTTCCCAATGTGCAACTGTGCAAATGTGCAATCCATGATTTGAATACCAGAGTCGATCACATGCTTCGATCCGAAGTGCTCCCGCAGACCGCGTTCCCTTATTAAGAATTTTACTACGCCTTTGCTCAGAATAAAGAATACTGCGAGAGTTCGGAAGTGATCGGAAAGTTTATGTCCTTTTTGTTGGACCATCCCAAGTGGGAAATTTGATCGCGCTGCTTCGCCAAGGCGGCAGCCCCTGTCTTGCGCGGCCCACCGTGATCCCTGGAGAAGGAGGGACGGACGGATCGATCGTGAAAGTCAACATGCTCATGAAATTGAGTCAGATGGTGAGCTACTGCAAACATCTGCCTTTATTGTAGGCGGTTTGGAAAGTGGGACTCCGGGCGGCATACCGCGTGCTACCTGCCTCGCGTCACGGGACCGTCGACCCTGACCGACTCGCCTCCGAGGAGTCCTCAGTCGGGCTCGCGATCCTGTCGATCGGAAGACTCCTGGACCAGTGGAGGCAAATGACATTGGGTACGAAGATTTTTGATGCATGATGTTATGATGGTATAGCATTTCCTTTCTGAATGAGCTGGCTTTTTGGGTAGCCGGAAGTTGTACGATGACGAGGCAATGGGCTGGCGGTTAGCATTAGGTCATGATTAGATCGTCGATTACCAACTGCAACCGATTTCGAGGTTCGTTCCCAATCAGGCGAGTTGGCGCCCGCGTGTGACTCGACCCACTGCGGCCGGACTGCTCCTCTCGCCTTCCCGCCCATCCTCCCTCGAGTGCAACGACGCTCGAACAATCTGTGTGAGTTCCAAGTACAGTCAACATCGAATGCTCCTCGTCTGTGACGGCCTAGCTGATGTGCGCGCTCTTCATTACAAACGGTCAACCCGCCCCCGCCGCCTGTTGAGCGTTCAATGTGCAGCCCCACCCACGCGCTTATCCACCCGACCCCACAGCCTCCGTCCCTCTCTCCCTCCTCGCCCCGCCTTTGACCCACTCCATCACCCAATATGCGAACCGTTGCCTTGCCCGCTACCATCTTTGTCGCCCTGTGGGCTGTCTGCTCACAGGCGACCCCGATGCCGCCGACCAACTATGTGTTGGCGCCGCTCTACACGCCGTCTAACCCGTCGGCCGCTTCCGATGTCTCGGCAACGAACGCCCACATCATCAGCGACTCGTGAGTGGTCCGGTCGTCGATCTTATCTCGGCATCCTTCGGCGCACCCGCCATGCGCCTGCTCACAACGGTGCTGATCACTCGTCATGTCCATATCTTATCCCGCGTAGCTACTTGATCGTGCTCCAAGACCACCTCCAAGACCACGAGGTTGACCAGCACCACGCACGCGTCGAGCAGTTGCACGCCGCCGATTCGCGCTTGCGTCATTTCAAGCGCATCGAGGAGCACCGCGCCCAGTTCGGTGGCGACGGCGGCAACCTCTTCATGACCCAGGTCATGGACGAGCTGCACGGCATCAAGCATCGCTTCGACATTGGCAAAAAAGCCAACAAGAAGGCCCGCAAGGCGATGCGCGGCTATTCGGGCAAGTTCTCCCAATCGACGCTCGATGCGATCCGTGCTATGAAGGGCGTCAAGTACGTCGAGCGGGACTCGATCGTCCAGGCCTATGAAGTCGAACGGGGTGCTCCTTGGGTAAATACCTTCTTTATACCTCCTTTTGCCTCTTCTTCGGCCACATTGTTCCCCTCCGCGCCCCGTGCTCGCGTCGGATGAACGGCACGAGTGGCACGCCATCCCCACAGATCCGGGGTGGAGGTCCGAGCGTGGCCTTGGCTTGGTCCGGCATGTGCACATGTGGGCGAGTTTGGCTGACAGCGATTTCGGCACTGTGTTTTGTAGGGTCTTGCTCGAATCTCGCACCGCAAGCCCTTGTCGTTCGGAACGTTTAACCGCTACGAGTACGACGGCCATGGTGGTGAAGGTGTCGACGCTTACGTCATTGATACGTGAGTTTTGAGTTCCTTGCTGAAGGATCATCCGCTTTGGTAGCTTACGACACGGACTTCGTCTCATGTTTCCACGATTGATCACACAGGGGTGTCAATATCGACCACGTCGAGTTTGAAGGTCGCGCCAAGTGGGGCAAGACGATCCCTCAAGACGCCGACAAGGACTTGAACGGTCACGGCACACACGTCGCCGGTACGATGGCTTCAGCAAAGTACGGCGTCGCCAAGAGGGCCAACATCATCGCCGTCAAGGTGCTCGGTGCTGGTGGAAGTGGTACGATGTCGGACGTCGTCGCCGGCGTCGCATGGGCTGCCGATGCGGCCTATGCCAAGGCCAAGAAGAACGATTCGAAGCACAAGGGCTCGGTCGCCAACATGTCTCTTGGCGGTGGCAAAAGTCAGGCGCTCGATGATGCCGTCGACTCGGCCGTTGAGGACGGTCTTCACTTTGCGGTTGCAGCTGGTAACGATAACCGGGATGCTTGCGCTGTGAGTTGCTATGGAATTTTTGGGGGTCGAGTCATTATGAGTCGGGCACTAAATCTTGTGCACTTGTGACGCGATTTGCGACCGCAGTACTCGCCCGCCGGCGCTGTCAACGCCATCACTGTTGGTGCTTCGACCATCGCTGATGAGCGCGCCTACTTCTCCAACCACGGCAAGTGCGTCGACATCTTCGCGCCCGGATTGAACATCTTGTCGACCTGGAACTCGGGCAACACCTCGATCAACACCATCTCGGGCACGTCGATGGCCTCGCCCCACGTCGCAGGTCTTGCCGCATACTTCTTGTCGCTTTACCCCGACGGCTTCAACGTTCAAGAAGACGACTTTTCCTCCGAGTCGTACGAGCAAGTTTCGGGTACGGCGCAGATGGTTCTTGGCCGCATTTCAAACTGGCGAGCGTCCATCCGCAAGAGCGGCGCTTCGGCCCAGGCCGCCAAGCCTCTGTCGCCCGCTGCGCTCAAGAAGGCGTTGGGGAAGATTGGCAGCACGGGCCTCTTGTCGGACGCCAACAAGGCGCCCATGCCTGCCGGCTCGCCCAACATCTTGATTTTCAACAACTACACTTCGTCGACTTCCGCTCTCGAGGCGATGCACGCCAGTGTGCAGGAACTTGAGGCCTGATTTCCTCCGAGACCACGAGTTTTCGGCGACTTCTGTACACTTCCTTCGGACCAGCTGAACTCGGAACAGGTGATTATCAGCTTTTGTCAATACTCTCTCGACTGTGCTGGGACCCTCTTGTGTCATGTTACAATGTCTCTTTTTCATGTCCCCGCCAGATCGTCACCACATTGCTTCGTTTCTTTTCGTCGTCCTGCCGCACCGTGAAATTATAAACCTATTGCATTGCGTTCGGATCGCTCTGAGAGGACTTGATCAGACAAAGGAACGGTAGAGAGTGGACCCGGGGCCAAGCTTTTTGTGCGCTTCCCTTTCGGACTTGCTCGAGAGTCAAATCTCGTTTGGCGACCGGGCGTGTAACAGAAAAGTGCTCCTCCCGCCAACGCGTCAGCGTCAGAACCGGTCGCATCACCAAGAAGTGGGCGTCAAGCATACGGAATAGGGGCGGGACATGTGTCGACAAAGGGAGTTCCTGGCACCAGCCCGATGCTCAATCGAGTCGATCGAACCGGCCCGCTTGTCTGGGACGAGCATGGCTAAATCCGCGGTCAGCGGTCCGACGGCCTAGACTTTCGACCTGATCAGAATCTTGCCACGGGCTGTCAGTCGCGATTAGCGGACAAAACTTCGGAACTCCTGCACCTCAACCTATTAGGTAGGTTTGAGCTCAAGATTGGCAGAAGAACATGATGACGTCGCTGCATTCGCATTATTCCCGTGTGGTAACTAAGTCTTGATTTACAGTCTTCCAGAGTCTTTGTTGTCAGCGGAAACAATGTTCTTGTTGTCAGCGGAAACAATCGGCACCCCTCCGACCCTGCTCTGCCTGACTGGCCTTGCCTTTGGCCAAGGACCTCGATTATAGGCCCCTTAATGGAAAAGCTGCCAGCGCTCTGCCAGCGCCGTCGACGGCATCGCCGGCCATCGCGCGGAACAGGAATTGGGGTCCAGCGTGATCAGGCCAAGCTCTCTCGCAGATCTTTTTGAGGATCGGAGTCTTCGGGACGATTGATACATCTCGAGCCTTTGGCAAGCGTGGCAGGTCTGCACTGCCAGAGATGTTGTGGAAATCCGGAGTCCGCGGGCTTAACAGAAAATGAATCCGAACCTTGACCTTATCTCGGCTATCCAAATAGATGCCAATACCTCACTTCAAACCTGCCTTTCAGAACGAGTTCGCATCGTTTCCGCCCCCTGGATTATGGTGTACATACGACAATTTTTTGCTGTTCATCCAAAGTGCAAGTCTCCGCTTCAGAATCTCGAGCTCTGAAGGCAGCCGCTCGAGCAAGTCAGTAAGAGCGCTGCTCAAACAGAGATTTGACGTATTTGCTGCTCGTTGAACAATTGTCATGACAAAGGACCTGTTTTTTCGCGCGACCAGCCGATAGTACCTTCAACCTGCCGAATACTTGATCGAGGCGAACAGATGCGAGTCGTCAGCCGCGCCGGCGTCGGCCGTTTTGGGAAGGTTTTGGCGCCTTCTCAAGGGCTCGGCTTCAGGTCTTGCTAGAACACGCTCACTCTAAGTCGACAAGTCTTTGGGCTCTGAATGTGGACCAGTGAATGGGCGGTCACAGCGCTAATTTTAAAAGGTCCATACCTACCTAGGTAACTGGGAATGCGCAGGCGGAACCTGCAACGAGCAACTGGTGAATGAGAATGAGAACTTGAATTCCAGCTAGTCTACAAAAAGACGACCCTTATCGGGCGCTGGACCACATTAACTGGGGCTGACTCGATCAAAAGAACATCGGCCCAATCTGATCTGAATGCACAGGCGGAACCTGCAACGAGCAACCGGTGAGACTCGATCAAAAGCACATCGGCTCAATCTGATCTGCAGCGCTGTCTGCATGATACCGTGATTCTGCGCTGGCGCATGCATCGGACCCAACTAAAAACTCGCTGCTTGCATGTCGGTGTGGTAGACAATAAGAACAAAACCCTTCCCGGTAGAGATAGTCGTCCAAGAAATTATCTCTGTTTCTGCCCCAAACAAAGCAGGCATGCGGGATATTTCTGCCAGCGCGTCTCCTGGGCGTGTACGGATCGACCGCTGCCCCAGATATCGGAGGTTCAAGAAGGCCCAGCTACTAGGTAGACGGGTGAAAATTAGTTCAGTGGCTTCCACCAGAAGTAACTAGCTGAACCAAGCCAACTGCCTCGCAAAAGTTGACAACGCACTTACTTAGCTTGAGTCGGCCCTGAGCCCGACGACGACGTGCCCACGGCCCACTCTGGGCAGGTCCCAATCTGATCGTCGCCTTGAGCCAGAGCGTGTGCCTAGAACGTTTCATTTGGACGCGCAGCCGCGGGGGGTCAATGAATTGAACTGAAACCGACCCTGCGCCGAACGGGCTGATTAGATCGCGCCGAAATCGCACGGCCTGGCCTGTTGCCAGCCTTGCGCATTTGAAGCTAGCCTAATAACTAGCAGCGCCAATGCACAGCCAATTGTCCACCGCCTAGCCGCGCACCTACCGCACCTTTCCTCGATCCAGTTCCCATCTTCGACTCCATCGTAAGAGCGCAATGCGAACCGAAATAGCTGGGATGGAGTCGGATTTGCAGCATAAGAACCAGGCATCCCGTAACAAACGGGATGGGTTGAAAATCTACCCACGAGAGACCATAGATAAGAAAGTAAAGGAAAGAACACAAGGCTGTTTTTGTATTTATTTATTTTGTAGGGTGGGTGGGAGGAGACGAAAATAGAACGACTATGCTTGTAAAGCGCGATTCTATTAGTACTCGGAATACTGCAAAGACTCTGAGGACTATGGCATACCTATGCTTGTAAAGCGTGTCGCTTGGAGACAAGAAGACAGGAAAGGAAACAGACCTCAGACGCTGGCACGTCGAGGGTGGGTCTGTGTAGCAAGGTAGCCAAGTCAGTCAACGTGTCCAACAAGGACAGTCGAAAGCAGGAGTACCCTGAGGTAGAGCCTGAAGGGGGGTGATGTACCTCGGCTCTTTGAGCGAGACGCAGGCGAACGGGAGAGAGGCGCAGCACTGGCAGGTGCAGGCAAAGGGAAAACAGACCTCGGACGCTGGCACGTCGAGGGTGGGTCTGTGTAGCAGTGTAGCCAAGTCAGTCAACGTGTCCAACAAGGACAGTCGAAAGCAGGAGTACCCTAAGGTAGAGCCTGAAGGTGGGTGATGTACCTCGGCTCTTTGAGCGAGACGCAGTCGAACACGAAAGAGGCGCAGCACTGGCAGGTGCAGGCGGACGGCTGCATACAAAGTATGGAGCGTCAGTCAACCATCCAACAAGGAGTGTTGAAAAAAAAAGAGAGGCGTACACAGTGGCAGCTGTTCGTCGTCAACTGGTAAGGCAGAAGACTGGAAGGCGGAAACTGTACGGTATCGCTGGGGGGGTCCTGTGAGAAGCTCTGAACCTGTCAGCCAAATGGCGGCAGGAAGAGTTCAAGGAAGGCCACTGACCTTGGCAGGAGGTGGCAGAGGTACACAGCGATACTGGTACGGCAACGGCAAGCAGTGGGAACTGAAAGGTGCGGCAGGAGCGGGCTTGGTAAACTCTTGCGCAAGTGCGGCTTACAGACCAAGGCTCGAGGCAGGCGTGCGGGGCGCGGCTTACTGCAGGAAGGGCAGGCGTGCGGGGCACGGCTTATTGCAAGAGGGGCAGGCGTGCGGGCACGGCTTACTGCAAGGAGGGTAGAGGTCGCGCGCGCTTGAGTCCTCGGCGTCAAACTCTTGCAGCAAAAGCAGAAAAGACCATCATCTTCCTGCAGGGACGCCTTCTTCCCTTAACCCCCACCGAGCAACGATCGTGCACCAGGCAGGATCGGTTTAGAAAAGACAGCACAGCTTGACACGGATCTACGAGTTCTACCAGTCTGTGTGATGACTGTCATGTCACCCACCCACCCCACCTTGGATCATAGGAGCAGCGCGGCGAGCACTAGCAGCGTTGGCAGCAACGGCGGTGGGCTACGAAAGACGTTTGGTGCCGTGGCTCGTCGTGTGTCGCTCACTCGACGCGACTCATCCGAGAACAAAGCCGCGAGCATCAACAAACTACCCACTATCCAGGACTTGACCAACACCACCTCGAAACGAAGGACCTCCGTCTCAAGCGTAAGCGACGCCTCGTCGCTGAACCGGAGCTCTGTCTCCTCGCTCCCCGCGCCACGCTTCTTGCTCAACAGCTCCTCCCCGGCGAGCGAGCTGCCTCAGACATGGCTTGAATGGAACAAGGCGTACCAAATGGTCAGTCGCTGAACCCTAGCGGAACTATTAAATACGAGTGCCATGAAACTGCTGCTGACTCCCCATGCTTCGTCGTCTTCACTTCACTTCTTCAGGGTTTGATCGGTGAGCTTGACCGACTGTTTCTGCTGAGTGCTCCGGGCTCCGACGCAGAGCCTCGCGGCCTCCCAGGAGCCGAAGTGGAGTCGAGCGCTCCTTCGATATCTTGAAGCTCTTGGTGCCCCGGCCCTTCCGTACAACGGTTCCCACAGATCAGGAGAGCTGATTGCTCTTATTTACATGAACAGACTACAATGATCCACCACCACCGCCGACCAATCTGTGGATCGGCTCGGAGAACGCCTCGCCAACCGGTCAGTATCGAGCTCCGCTGCCGGCCGACGAAGGCGCGCGCCAGCGGGCGGTCGACAACCTCACCTTGCTCAACCACAAGCCCTACGAGAGGCGTGGATCTGTTGGCGTCTCCCCCAAGACGTCAAAGAAGGAGACCGAGTTCGCTTCCGAAATCGACAGCTACAGAGCCCCTCAGCCAAATGCCGAGGACGATGATTTTGACTCTCAACCGCTGGATCGAATGGTCCCGATCGTGCACAAGATTCATGGCGACGTCGGTCTCGTTCCACCGCATCCAGAAGATCTAGCGACACATGAAGCCCTGCTCAAGCTGGCGCAGAGTGCCAAGAAGCGTTTCAACACCAATGGTGGCACGGTCTCGCTCATGGACCAAAGTTCTCAAGTCTTCCTCGCCGAAGAAGGTTTCAACACGAGAGAGTTGCCCCGTCAATGTGAGCGACGGCTCGTTCTCCGTGAATGCGAGAGAAAATCGTGGGGCATAGTCTGACAAACGCTCCTGTGGCATTCCCGTCCCTCAATTTGCTCTCACAGCCACCATTTGCTCACACACGATGCTCAAGGCGGCGGCGACGAAGTCCAAGGAATCACTGGTTGTGCTTGACATTGCCAATGACTGGCGCTTTGCCTCGAACGACTTTGGACAGTTCACCAAGGGTTTCTACGCCGCAGCTCCGATCATGCTGCCATCGGCGCTTGGGGACTCGGAGGAGCGACAACCGTGCGGCATCTTCTGCGTCATCGACTCAAAACCACGAGGTGCATTCTCAAAAGAGGATCGCCAGGATCTGGAGAGGATGGCCGACGCTGCTGCCGAGGAGATCCTCAAGGTTTCGCAGGAAAAATCCGCCGCGAGGGCCAGTACACTCAAGACAAAGCGGGAGGCTTGGAGGCGCTCAAAGCTCGTTCGACGAGTCTCCGAGAAGACGAGTCTCGAGTCCGTCGAAGAGCAGTCAACGCCTCCAACATCTCCGGCCATGCTCCAAGCAGGGGGTGGAGGGTACACCCTCACTGCGACGTCTCTCGCAGCTGTTGAGCGTTCAGACTCGTCTGGGTCTTTGGAATGCTCTAGCAACGGCACGCCTTCCGCTTTGGCATCCAAGCGGGGCTCCCTCGCCGACACCGCGTCGGACGGTGGCTCGGTTGATCTTGCCATCACGGTTATGACCCCAACCTTCGGCAGGCGACGAGGACGCTCGGGAGTGCATGCTTCGGCGGCCCGCGTCGCACCCGACATCAAATCCATGCTCGACCTCTCATCGCAACTCGTAGCTGAGTCCCTCGACATCGACTTCACCTACATTGCTGCTGTCGATCTGCCCAAATCTTCTGCGCCTCATGTCGTCGGTGACAAGCCGATGCGCCTTCTTTCCTCCCACAACTTGCCGATTCCTGCCCCCCTGTTCGATGTCGACCTCCATCTTGAGACGCTGACCTCGCACCAACAGGCGCTCTTGTACACGGATCCCGACTTCTCCGGCGCCGAGGGCGAATTCTCGAGTGGGTTGTTGATCAAGATCCTGACGACCGATGATGTCGGCTACATCCTGGGCGCTTTCACTGAGAACCCGAGGAGGTCAGTTGTCTGCCAGCATTGCCCTATGCCATGCGCCTTTGCACTGACATCTCCGTTCTTCTTGCCAACAGGATTCTCAACAAGCAAGACTTCCACTTCATGAAGACCTTCGCCAATGACCTTGCCCGACAAGTGGCCAAGCTTTGATTTGTTTTCGCCCCGGCGAGATGTGCACCACGAGGGGTCGGCTTGCTTCTTCCGAGTCGCTTGCGGTGCTTGTATCAAGTGTGTTTCAATAGGTTCCTCTGTACACTTGTTAAGCGTTGCTGCTGTGCTTCCGCTTTGTTATAGATTGCTGTTTACCTTTCGTTTAGTGTTGTAGATTGCGCGCGCCCTTCCTGCTTTGACCAATGGCTATTCCCAATTCAAATATTAATCTATCTCCCTGTGGTATACTACACGACTTTCGCGGCCAGTAATTAGTAATTCTCCATTTCATGTTCAACATTAAATACGATTAGCCAATCCATCCTTGTCGACCTAGCCCCGTCCCGTCGAGCTGATCGCAACCCTCACCATTTGATCTTCTCGACAAAGGATCGGATCTCGGAGAAATACTGATCCTTGACCTTTTCGCCGTTGCCACTGACGACTTCCATGATGGCGTCGTTCAATTCGGAAGAACCCAAGATGTCGACGTGGTCGGCTGTGGTTGGACCACCGCGAGGATCAAAGGCGAGAGGTTCGTGTTTGATCTCGTGAGTGATCACTTTCGATCCGCCGGGGTTGTAAAGAGGAAGCTTTGAAAGAGGACAACGCGCGTCAGTATTGGCTCTGGACTGCCCGTGGTTCGAGAAGCAACTCACCTTCCATCCTTTCGCGCACATTGCTCCAAGAGAAAGTAGCGACACCGTGCCATCGCCATCGTTGCTGTCGCAACGAGCAGAGTTGGGTCCCATCAGGTCCTTGCAAGGGGCACACGGACCTTTTCAGCACCTGAACTTACAAGACGACACCACTCCTGACTTTCGGGATCGACTCCCCGTCGAGCGTGACCGAAGGGTCTATCCACACCCTTCTCGACAAAGGCAGGTCAAGTGGCGGCCGAGGTGTTTGTTCCATATCACCGCACTCTGCATCCGGATCGGTGCAGACGGGTTCTTCGACCGTGGGTGCTTCGTCGTGCTCGTAGCCACCTTGTTGGTAAAAGTAGGCGCGTTCGGTTTCTTTGCCTGTACCATAGACTGAGGCGCCAGAGAGGCTCGAACTCCGTCAGTATTCGTTTCGATCGTGCAGAGCCCGAACGAGAATGCGGCTGCTTACGACAATAAATCGACAGACTAGGAGCATTCGGCAGCGCCACCTCGACAGGGTTCGTCCACTTGCGATGATCGTCATCGTTCTCTTTGAGCTGCACCGGATCACTCTCGAATCCGAACGAGAAATTGCTATGGATCATCGTCTGGTACGACGGTGGCACGTGGTTGAGGATATAAGACGTCGCTTCTTCGATCGTCAGGTTGGGGTTCGCCGTCGATCGGGTGATGTCGGTGTTGCCTTCTTGGGTTTCCGGCTTGAAATAGCTGTCAGCGGAGGGGGTCTGTAGTCTCAGTTACGGCTTTTTGGGGTCCGAGAAAAGAAGGCTGTGAAAGCAACTGACTAGATTTTTCCCGCAGTCAACGTCGCGTTTGCGTGGTCATCCGGAGCGGAATCTTGATCGCCCCAAATCGCATTCCCACCCTTCAGCATCATCGAAGCCGCTCCAGCCCAAGAACGGAACAACTTGGCGCGCTCTTGACGCGAGAAGTACTTCTCGAGCAGGTAGACCGCTGCTCCGTTGAGCTCGACCGTGTCGCGCATTTCACCGGACAAAAGAGCCGACATGGCCTTGGGGACTCCGAGCATGGTTCCGGCGATGTTGATCTGTGAGGAAAGAAGAGCATGAGTTTCAACTCTTACAACTCGTACGAGGGGGGATCTTGCAGCTCACCCAATCGGAAATGTGTTCTTCGACCCACGTCGGTCCTCCCTTTCCATACTCTGGATGCTCAGCCCATTTCATGAACCACTGCGCGCAGAGGGATGGGGATAGATCCGCGTTAGCTGCGCTGAGCTGAGTGACCGAGTCAGAAAACTTGGACATACCAGTACGACAAGAGATCCCATCGAATGTGAGAGCAACGCCGTCTTCTTTCCTCCGATTGCGAGATTGTAGTCGATCTGGGATTTGAGACGGGAGAAGTACTGATCTCGCACTTCCAAGTTGTAGTAAGAGAGGCGCCAATCGTCTGTGTGAATATGAGAGCGCTCAGTTCCGATCAATCGGTCGGAAGTCAACCAATCAACAGGGCCAAACCTACAAGACATCAAATGCATGTCGTTATGATCGTAGTTGATCACAGCAAGATTTTCGATGACTTTCTGCCAGATCCAATACCCTGGCATGAAAGCCGTCGCCGCGTCGAGACCTTGAGCCGCTCGGACCTTGTACCCGATCGGATCGAGACCTGTATGCTCATCCAAGGACATAGCCTTGACCCAGGTATCCTTCGACGTAATCAAGGCGCGAATCATTGTCGTTGAAGCCCAAATACGCTTACGGAACCAAGGGGCAGCGTCGGGGGTCGTTGACCACGATTCCAGACCCGAAGAGACTGGAGTGTAGAAATCATCAGAGTCAGTGACAAACTCATCCATCGGTCTAGCGCAGTCGCATGACTGACTGATACCAGGAATAATAATAACCTAGAGAGGGGGTTATTTGCCGGTGGAGGAGAGGAAGTATCAGGTGCCAGGTTGGAAACCTTTCTCTCTCCCCTCTTTCGATCAGTCCGGTCAGGACCAGACATACAGCATGCTTCTTCTCCAGACCGCGCTCAGCAGCTTCCCTGCCGATAAGGAAGTTGGTCGAGCGAGCGTTGAGCCACTCCCTCCCCGGTGTGAACATGTCGGTCACGTTGAGACTCGTGAGCGAGGGCAGTTCGGACATCAGGTTTTGCAGGTCAAACTTGGACATGCCGTCGCCAAAGTCGAGGTTTGCGAGTCCTGAGAGAGGATCTCCCTCCGTGAGGAGCCATCTACAGTAGTAGAGTTCGTAAGTCAGCTTTCGCTAGTTGAAAGCCGGGCGAAAAAGACGAGACGGCGTCTTTCACGCTCAGCATCGCTCTCGTTCCGTCTCGGCGGGGTGACCGTGAAGTTGCGCACTGACCCCGACAGTATGCCCAATACGCCACCGACGATGAATACGGTCCTACGCTTCCTCCACCACGGAAGTTTCTTCTTGGGCTCGAAGGGCCCCTCGTGTATCGCCTTGAGGAACGAGTCGGACAGGTCGATATCGCCGAACTCTTGCCAGGGCGTGTTGACGACCGAGAGCTTCATCTTGCCCGTGCTCGGGTCGAGTTCGATCTGCGGGTTCACCGGTTGGTCGCCGATCTTCATCGACAGAGACCGACTGAGCAAGGGGACGCGTTGGACCGACGAGGACGAGGTCGCTCGCATCGCGGTCCGGGGTGCCCCTGTCCCGGGATTGAGAGGCACGCCCGAGGGCAACCTACCGGGCGCATTCGGTCGGCGACGTTGCTTGAGGTTGGAGCTCGCCGACGCTTCTACGCCTGACGATGGTCCCGAGGTATTGGATTCTGCCATGCCGCCGGTCGAACGGGTGCAGTGCCGGGGGCTGTGGTCGAAGGGGTGCCTCGAGTTGGCTCCGTTGCGACGCGAGTGTGACGTCGTGAGTCGAAAAAGCGCGAGCCGCATAATGAAGATCGATCATGCGCGTGAGCGTGATCGCCGCCAGCGCGAGCCAACTAATAAGTGCGCGCGCCGAATTCGCCGAAGCCGCCCGATAATATATGCCCGCCTACGCGATATGAAATGTTTCACACTCCTCTCGTTGCGGTTTTTTTGTTTTTTGTTTTTGTTATATTTTTCGAGAAGGGTATTTTCTCGTCACCTTTGTTGACAGAAACTTGTCGTGTGTCTGTAGCCTGAGCCAGAAAAGGTGTTTGCCGCCTAATTCAGCGCGCTGCGCGCTGCTCCCAGGCTGCAGGAGGATCCAGGCTGGTGCCGCGCCGTTGCACGTTGACCTTCGGACTCGCCTGCTTGAGCTTCAGGCTCCCTCTGACCGAGCCGCTCACCCCACTCCATAAGCTCGCGCGTGGTCGGTCGAACCATCAACTGCGATGCAGGGACACGGAGGAGGAGGCACGCCGCCGTTACGACCGGGCGGTGTTCGCCCCTCGCTGGAGCCGAGATCGCAGCCACGGCCGTCGTTGACCGACCTCAACTCGCGACGACCGTCCAACAACAACAGCAGCACTGCGCCTCCGTCGTCGAGGAGACCGAGCAGGAACGGGCAAGGAACTCGCAACGGCAACGACTTTGACGAGTTTGACAAGGTCAACCACGGCGATCTGGCGTGGCAGAACGACGAACAAGCCAGTACGTTGCGCTCCACGTCCAGGTCGAGCCAGCCCGCGCCCGAGTCGGAGCGCATCCTCACCCGGCCTCACCCGGCCCCACATACGCTTCTCGAGGCTGACCATCACCCTGGTCTCCTGCGCAGTGCTCTCATTGTACGGTCTCACAACCTTGGCGCCTGTACGTCGTCCCTGCGCCGATCAACGGCAAGAGATGCGCAAAGCTTCCTCCCCTTCCCCCACACGAACCTGACACGCCTCCCTCCGCGCGCTGCCCATCACACTTGGCTGTGCCCCACCTCTCTTTCCACCAGACCGAATGGCAATCTGCAGAGGCAGTGGACGGCACCTTCTCGGAAACAGGTCAACCCACCACCACAGCCGCAGCGACCAAAGGGGATGAGCCGGATCCGCTCGGGCTCATGCGAGGCGGCGTCTTGGCCTCCAACCCGGATCTGCCCACCGACTTGCGCTCCGCCGTGCTTCTGCACTCCAAGTCGTTCGACCCCAAGGTGTTCCTCTCGACCGTACACCCTAATGCAACCTTCAAGGATCTCAACAAGGGCAGGGACAGGCTCAAGGACAGCCTCGAGCAGAGGAGTGGGGCACTCAAGCTCTTGGTCCAGGCCGAGTGGGATCGGTTCGTCTCTGTAAAGGCTGCCACAGAGAGTGAGTCGCCGAAAAAACGTTCATAGTCGAGCTCCTCACTGATCATCATCATTGGTGTGGAATTCACCAGTGGTCTATGAGGAAATGCGACAGCCTCGAGGACCTCTCGCTGCTGACGCAGATCATGGGGTCAAACAAATCCGAGAAACCCTCAAAGGTGAGGCCTGAATCGCTCCAAGCTGGTCGGAGAATGCTCGCTGATCCCCGCAATCTTGATCCGTTCAACGATAGTCGCATCCACGCGAGCCGACAACGTCTTCCAACCCATCCTCGACGCCCGGACCAAAGCCGAGCGACTGAAGTCAACCCTCGGCGTCTTTGAGCGAAGCAAATTCTTCTTCAATCTGCCCACAATCCTGGGAGAAGCGGTAGAGGATGGAAGATACGAAGTGGCTCTGCAGGCTTACAAGCAGGGGAGGTATATCCTAGCGAGTCGACCGGCACAGTTGCTCGGCCTTCCCGTAGCGACGACGCCTCAACAGCAACAGCAGCAGAAGAGGATCTATGACAAGGTACGCAACTGCGCACTAGATTCGACCCGTTTCCAAATCTCACCGGGTCCTCATCTTTGCACAGGTGTGGGGTCAAGTCGAAAAGATCATCGGTGACTTGCGCGCGACTCTGGGAAAACGGTTGAGGGACACGAGGCGAGGACTGGATGAGGTAGAAAAGACCATCGTGTGAGCTTTGAACGCTTAACAGATTGTGCGAGTACCAAAGTTCACGTTCGTCAGCTCGGCCCACAGTATTCTTCTGGAGCTCGATCCAACAGACGACCCGGTCTGGATTTTCTTCGATACTCAACACCGGCACATCTTGCAATTGTTGAGGACGTCGGCCGAGGCTTCGACATCTAGGATACGAATCGCGATGGATAATACCACTGATGAGATGAGCGCACCCGACTGGGACCGCAAGAGCGCAGCCGACTTGAGGACCTGTGTCGCTTCCCTTGAGGCGCTCGACGGGGAAGGCGTTCGTGGTCAGTAGAGTTCACATCCTCACCCATTTCGGAGCAAGAACTGATGTTTCTTCGTGTCTACAGAAAATGCGGCCGGAAGCGACGTTTGGCGGTTGATTTACGATCTCGTCCGCAATCTCAACGAGGTCATCCTCCAGAACCTGCCGAGTTTCTGGAAGGTCGCCAAAGGCTACATGGAGGGCAAATACCAAAAGGTTGAATCTACTCCAGCCGTTCTGGTTTCGAAAGTGTAGCGCAATCTGACGAGGCCTTCTGTTCCCCAAATGCAGAAGGTGTCATCCAACTCGTCATCGAATCCGGGCGTACGGCGTTCACCGACGCAATGCCGAGTCATGTCCCAAGACATTGTAACACTTTACGTATCCCTCCTCTCCACCTTCTTCGGTCTTTCCTCTGCCGGCGCATCACCCCCAATGCTGCCCGACCCCGCCGATCCGAACGCAGTCCCTCCCCTCCCCTCCTTCGTGCCACCGACTGCAAACGCCACCTCCAACTGCCACTGGCTGCTGAGGGCACTGCATGAGATGGTCGACTGTGCGAGTGACCTGACCGCACTCGAGCTGGCTGGTGAGGCCAGTCAGAGTCTCAAGGAGCTGGTCGGGACCTCGAGGTGGAGATTCGAGGAAGCAATCTGCTCAAGTTGGGTTCGCGGTAAGTTCAATCAGAATTGCTTGGCCGAAACGATCAAAACTGACCATGAGGCTTCCGTCACCTAGATGCTAAGGTGTTTTTCCGACTTGAGACGTGGCATCCTGATCCGGACGAACCCTCAACTACGGCGTACTTGCGGCAAGTCGCGGCTTTCCAACGCTTCTGCGCAATTTCGGCTTATCGGATCGCCGGTGGGACGGAGGAACGGGCACAAGCCTTGATGGGGTCGAACGCATCGTCGAACCCGAGCAACCAGCCGGGCTCACGGTCGCGCTCCGACGTCAGTCTCCCGACCGAGTTCGTGAAGAAGATCCAAGCTGCATTTCTCGATGGATTGTATGCATTCCTGGACGGGTTGGTGCATGTCGCTTTCTCGGATCCGGAGCACATCTTCGCGAGTCCTGCGCCGGGGTCCAAGAACGGAACGAGTTCCACGGCGAGGAGAAAATTGGTCACAACGGGCGAGGATGGGCGACCCAAGGAGGTCGATATCCGGAATGTCGTAAGTACCATCCATCTGAGAGCCATGGAGTCCGCATCAAACTGATATGAGCCTCATTGTTGGCACATAGGATATCCGAGTGCTGCTCACGGTGTCGAACCTGACGCATCTCCGCGAAACCTCAATCCCACGCATCATCAACCAATTCCAATCGGCATTCAAGATTGACATGGCATCCGACGTCCAAATGCTCATGGACGTGACCGAGCAACTCGACAAGATTCTCTTCGACGATTACGTCAAACGCAAGTCGGCCGATGTCGCTAAGATCCTGAGGAAGGGTGTGTTGGGCGGCACGGTCGATTGGTTCGAGGCGGCAAAGCCCACAGAGGTGCACCCGTTCATCTACGATGCGTTGTTGAGTTTGGTGTTGGTGCATGCGCAAGTCTCGGCGACGGCGAGGCCTTTGGTCGCGAGGACCTTAGGCAGTCTGGTCGAGGAGTTGGCGAATGTCGCTCTCGATGCGTTTGGCAAGGTCGAACGATTTGGTATGGGAGGAATGTTACAGGTCAGTAGACGAGCTCCATTCAATGTCGCTCGTTATTGTACTCCGACCTGAGACATGCTGTCTTTTTTTCAGGCGACACTCGAGATCGAGTTCATGCACCAGACCCTTTCACAGCACGTTTCGCCCCTAGCAGATTCGACGCTTCAGTCCATCTACAAGACCATTTCGCAATCCTACTACCGTCGCCCGACACCAGACAGCGCGCAAGAATTGCAAAAGGAATTGGAAGGGTTGAAGCGAACGTTGGTTGCCAGTCGTCGTGCGACGGCGCTGCAGTTCTTGTGCTTCCGTAAACCGAGCGCGGCGAAGAAGGACACCAGTGGAGGGGGAAGCGGCGAGGCGGTGTCGAGTCCTGTGCCGGGATCACCGGCACCTCCTGTGCCAGAGCTGAACAGGACGAGGAGGGCCGCGATGCCTCCACCTTCGGGGTTGGCTTCGTTGCCTGAGGGCTGAGGCGGTCAGGGTTATGGAGTAATCTCTTATCTTTTGCGCGTAACCTGTTTTTGGGTGTGATTTTTTGTGTCATGTAGTTCATTTGCAACCTGTTCTCATCTCATTGGCCTGGCTGACGGCAGTCTCAGAAGTAGTGACTCAGAATGTGGCCCTCGCTGAGTTGGAGTGCAGGCTGCATGGCTGCAGGCTGGCAGGCTGGACTGAGGCTAGTCTGGGCTCCCCACTGAGAACGACCTGGAGCAGACGCGCGCATTCGCCTTTTGGGCTCTTTCCGCATTAGTGTGGACCACTTCTTGCCGTACCCCGTCATACGGGTGCGGTGACGAGTGGTTTCATGGCGAACATTAAAGGTCAGTCTGCCGTACCATACGTCATGCTTAGCTTCCATGACCACGGGCAGCTGACATTTCTCGTTCTACGACGCTCTTCGCACGCTCTTCGCACGCTCGCCTTTTTTTTTTCCTCTTCGCACCCGCAGTTGCTTCTTGGGTCTTTCTCGATTTTTTGATCGATGACGTGTCCTTGGCGCCGTTCCCGTTTGCCAGAGTGATTCGATTTCGATTCTTTACGTGTCGTTGTTCGATGGGTACTTCCGTTCGTCCTTGAACGACTCTTCCCCTTTTGTCGGGGGAAGAGGGGTGTGCGATCCGTCTTGCCTCTTTTCGTCCATGTAGTTTCGTCGCATCCACGGCCTCTTCTAGGGGCGAAGCTTTCCCGTTGGGGAGAACCTCTGCGTTTCAAAGGCATACCGAGGTTTTATTATCTTGTGAATGCTGAGCGAGGTTTCATGATCCGGGATGTGGGGTACGGCGAGGCGCTTAAAATGGACGAGGGGTGCGGTCGTGACCCGAGGTCTCTACACTTTCCATTCTGATGTCGTCGTTTTGCAGCTTACCTTCAGTTGCAATAAACATGTCTTTTATTCTCGTCATCCTTGAGCTGTGGTCGTAAATTTATTACACACTCAAATCTCGTGTCAGAGGGTCAACGAAACTTTGCAAGCAGATGAAACAAGAATGGGAGGGTAGTGTTAGCAAGAAATAGCCTGTTTCCGCCTTGTCAAAATTGAGAGCGTCATGTTCTTCTGGGTGATGAATTGCAAGTGACGGACTGCCGGTACAAGACGGCCGACGGCCCAGATGTGGCAATGTGAAACTCGCCGCGCCATGATCGCGTGGCGATCGCTTAGCTTGTACTTCGGTGTAATAATCACCACTTGAGCCTGTCGCGACGCGGCGCGCCGTCGCGCGGTCAGCCCGCGCTCTCGCCCGTGAGGCCGTGAGGCGCGAGGAGGCGCGCGCTTGAGCCCAACCTATCGCAGGAAGTAGCAGGCCGTCTTGGAGTGTGGAGCACTTTGCCAACTGACTGTAGCTGACGGTCGTCGTCGTCGTCGGATCGTCGTTGTCAATCACGCCCTCGCTCTCGTCTCGCCTCGTCACCTTCGCTCATTCTCCTTCGAGGTTCGATCTCCGTCAGCTTGGCTCGTCTACACTTGTGCTTTCCGGATCTTTCCTCTTCTCCTTCATTCCACCCAATCCACCGGCTCGATCGCGCGCGGAGTTTGGTCGACTCTGTCGTGTGATCCACGCTTCCATCTCGAGGACGAAACAAGCCGGTCAGTTCTACCTTCTCTGCTTTTCGGTGCGGCAATCACCACCTAGAATCCGTAGAGTATACTCTTGTGATGGGTTTGGACCCCAGGATGTTGAGGGTCCTGCAATATGCCAGTTAGGGGAGCGCTGTAGACACGCGCCGTCGAGCGTTTGACGACGGGCCGGCAGCGACGCGGCGCCGCGAGACAGGACGGGCCAAGACGAGATGACCAACACCTTACGCGCCCTTACGCGCCCTTACCTGGACACCCTCGGTCACACATTGGCTTCGCATGCACTCGTGAGAACTTGGCTGACCCTGGTCCTACATTCAAATCGTCTTCACTACATCAGGCCCAACTATCGCTGTCCGGAGCCGAGACGCCGAACTCGACTCAACCGGCCGACGCGTCCAACAGAGATCGTCCCTTCTCGTTCAACGTCAACGACCAGGGCAGCCTATACTACGGCGCAACCCCGATCTGAACCCCGACAACCCACGGTCTCGCTCAACAACAGTCTCCAGTACATCCTTGCCCAACACGGATCCACTCGGCTGTTTCGCACCTCGCAACTTGACGACTGCCGCGGATTGGTCCGACTCGATTCACGATGGCGACGGCGATGGACCCACCGCCCATCGCGTCGACTTCTGCTTCGATCGCAAACGCAGCCCCTTCCATCACCAACGCCACGGCCTCTGATGCGTTAGGGGATGCGTCTGCCCGCAAGCTCAAGAAGAAGAAGCAGGGCCGAGGTCGAGAAATGATGGGTCAGTCCCGTGCTTGCCTGTCCGACGCATTGGCGCGTTGAACCCCTGATGGAGACTGACGCACGCCTGCTTTCTACCACACCTCACGCTCTCCCTCGTATGCCTGACAACACAGTCAAAGTGTTTTACTCGCTCAATACACCACGGCCCAACAACTCTAGCAGCAGCGGCAACCATCACAACTTGCCGATATCCTCACCAGCTCCCGCCCCGGCATCGACCCCTGCAGAGTCACCCCTGGGTTTCCCTCTCGACCCTGCGCTCGCGTCCTTGCCGGCAGCAACGAGCGCACCGACCGCCGCTCAGTCATCATCCTCGATGTTACCTCCGTCACCATTCCCGGTTCCTCAGCAACAGAGCTATACGTGCATCGCCCGACTGCAGACTCCGGTGTGGGTGCAATTGCTCGGACCCAAACCGACCGTGGCGCAGCTAGACGAGGGCGTGATCGAGTATGGGCGCTTGACGCTCAAGACCTGTTTGAGCGCGATCTGCATCTCGAGGTGGGTCGAGAAGCATCTCTTGACTGCGAAAGAAAGGCTGAAAACACTCACCCGTTTGCCCTGCCTTATACGTACAGGCCCGAACTGGTGACAGATCCCTCAAAGGACTACGCCGTTTCGAGTCTCGACCCTTATGAATCATCACTGGCTGCTGCTGCGTCCAACTCGACATCCTCGGCTGTCAACGGTCAAGGCCTGATGGAGGGCAAAGGCATGCTGTCATGGAACCTCGCCGAGAAGCGGGAGGGGACAACATGGGTGTGCGGACGGGTGGTGCCGGACGAGCGACAAGCGGCTCGACGACGGATCAAGAAGCGCAAAGGGGACGATGGATCCGGGATCGCCGAGGATGAAGACGAGAGTAGTGATGATGAGGAGAAGCACGAAACCCTCGAAGTGTGGCTACAGCTCGTCGAGGTGAGTCCGCCGTCGAGATTTGATGAGGCGAAGAGGACATCACGTGACCTGCTCCCCTTCGGAGCGAGACGCGTCAATCGACGAGCGATCGAAGTTGCATGTCCCGCGATGCTGACGCCCCAACTTGATCATCGCGTCGTTCCTCGCAGAGACCGTCCTTTACCCAGATGCAGTTCCTGACGTCACTGAGGTCATTCGCCAATCCTGCGCAACCCCACGACTCGTCCGATCGAGCTTCGTCCCCGCCGCGTCGACGCGAGCAAACACTGTCGGGGCAAGCAGCGCGCCAAATGGCCATGCGAGTGGTCAGCGGGGGTGCTCCGCCCTTAGGGGATCCCGTCAAACGAAAGAGACCACGCGATTCGGATCGCCCGCAAATCACTCTACCGCGGCCGTCACTGGATCTTTCCACCGCCTTGCCACCACCACTGGTTGCATCATCAAGATCCGATGGCACAGCGGCCGTGACCACGCCGACGACAGCGTCTTCGACGATGAACCAGGTCGACGATCCGCGCATCGCTGCGTTGCTGGCGCAACTCTTACCTTCGCTCACCGATTCTTCGACTTCGCCCCCCGCCGCATCCATCGACTCTGAAGAAGCCCGTCAGCTATTGCCCGCGATTCGCACGCTTGCGCAGTACTACGGCGTCTCGGTGCCGTCCGAGCAGGCCGGCGCCGCGGCGGCGGTCAGTCAAACAATACCAGGCAACAGTCAGATCGGCGAAGAAACCTCGACCACGAAGCCTGGGGAACAGTTGTCGAAGGCCAAGTCGGTGGAAGCTTTCACCCCCATTCCGGACCATGCCCCTCTCGCCGACGGCGCCAAAGGGCGATCGAACCCAGCCGACGCGACAGGAGGTTGTTTCAATTGCAAGCGCAAGAAGAGCACGGTCTGGCGACAGAGCCACCAAGCCGATGGGACGCGCGTCACGTGCTGTAACGCATGTGGTGCTCACTACAACAAGTATGGTCGTCATCGCACCAAGGGTCAGCGCACGTCGCCTGCGCGTGCCGCTCAAGATGGCAATGCCAAAGCCTCGACCAGCACGGCCGGCGCTCCCGCTCGCCGAGGTGGGAAACCGTTGCAAGGCCGATTGACGGCGGCTTGTGAATCCGATCTGAAGAAGGTCAAGACAACAAAGAAGGGAGCGGCTCGTGGTCCGGGTATGGTCGCACCCCCCAGCCCGAGCAAGGTCATCGGTCCGCGACACACACCGAGCGGGTCCTTTAGCCACTTTGGAGCGCATTCGTTCACCTCGCCGCAGCGCCACAATTCTGCTGCGCGTTTGCGAGGCTCAAATCACCGCAGCGGCGGTTCATCGAATCCCTTCGGATTCGCTGCGACGTCGCCGACACGAGCGAGTCATCAACCTCATCTCAGCCTCTCGGCTGCAGGTTTAAGGAGCGGGTACGAAAGCGATGGCGAAGGACTTGGCGTGTCGACCTCATCCAACTTTGCCTCCATCTTCGGCATCGGCCACCACAGCCCATCACCTGAGCGGCCGTCGTCTCGCAACATGCCTGCATACCTTCTCACCGCCAGCCCTGGAACGGCGCTCGACCGAATTCTGAGCGACACCAACATTGACCTCGACTCGTTTAACACTGGCTTGACCAGTGCTGCGGGTATGTCGGGCCTGAACGCGCTGACCGACGACGCCTCGTTGCTCAAGGACACGTTGAAGCAACATTTGGCCGCGGACCAGGATGATGACGAGGAGGGCACGCTCGATCGCGCTCTGAGCATGTACCTGAGCTCGTTGGATGATGACCAAGAGAAGGAGAATGAGCGTCCAGGATCGCTGTCGACGATGGCCATGGCGCTCAATGACGGTCCCTCCCCGACCGACCCTTACGCGATGATCGATCCGACTCTTCTTCCTACTTCGTACGCAACGAGTAATGCCCTTCGAACCGACGCGCCGACGACCGACGCCGATCCTTTCGAGTCTGTTCTGTCCTCACTTCGACGCGACTTTAACACGCGCCTCTCGTCCAATGCCTTGACCGCGCCCTCGTCGCCTACGCCCTCGAGCCCCTGTGTCCAGCCTCGAACTAGCTCTGCTACGCCTGGCTCCAAGGGCAAAGCCCCTGCCTCATGCGGTCGACCCGCACCTTCCGTCGTCGACTCGTTCTTAGACGGTCTGGTGCCAGCTCTCGCCTTCAACACTGTATCGAACGGTGACACCCCCCTGAGCGAACCCGAATCTTGGACCCCGACGAGCTTTGAGCAGAACGACGATGTGACGATGACTCTCAATGCCTTCACATCCAACAAAGCACCGTCTTCGACAGTTACCAGGATCGTGACGTCGAGAAGGTCATCGGGCGGAGACGCTGTCAGTAGGCGGCCGCATCACCCTGCCGCAGCCAAACACCTTCAACCTCACGTCTCGACGACGACCTCGGACACCGATTTCGACTTTGGCTCGTTGCCCCCGTCGTCTCCTCCTGCGCTCCCTTCCGAAGCTGGACCAACGCCGTCAGAATTCGGGTCATGCATCACACCCGATGGGGAAAGGTACATCGACGAAAGCCCTGCCTCGGGCGCGGAGGACGCGATCATGCGTAGTGCGGACCCAGAGGCGTCATCGGGTAAGCTCATGGCCTCGAACCTCGTTTCGAGTTTGAGTGAAGGCTCTTCGGGCACCAACCATGAAGAAGCAATCAAGGCTCTTCTGGCGGGCGGGACGGGAGGCACGGTGCAACTCGATCGGGCGACGGTCGACAAGCTGTTATCGATGATTGGCAAGAAGGGATCGACACCGTCGAGTACGAACGGTGGTGACGGCGCTGCCAAGAAATTGTACACGAACATGTTCGCCTGAACGGATATAATGGCTAGACGTTGGGCCCGCTTGTACTTTATCTTACCCCTTTTCTCTGCTTCAGCAATTCACCCCTTTTACCGTTTTCGCATTTCCACCACCTTGCATGATTATGGATCTAGTTGTGTTTCACGTTTGTCTTTTGCATTTGGATTTTTCGATAATCGCCTTTGCTTCTTGTTCAATACATTACAGTTCGGTCTTGCATTTCAGAGCGTCCGTGGAGAGTGAGGGAGACGTGCCGTGGGATTGCTCAGAGAAGGTCCGAGCTCAAAACGACTTCGCAACACTCGCGGAGGATTGAGCGATGTTGCCCGACTTCACTCGCCGATCGGGTATCTCACATTTCTCTCGTCCATCTTTTCAGCGGTTCGAACGGTATTCATTGGGTCGGGACAGCTATAGACACGGTTCGACGGGGGTTTCGTATCAAATCCTCCCCTTCCAAACCGCTGCAGGCTTCCTTCGTCGCGCACTCGTTCGCCCGGTTAGGTGCCTTGACTCCGACCAGTGAGTGCAGCCATGACTGCATCTTTCTCAAGTGGGTCTGTAATAACTTTCTTCCTCTCTCTGGTAGTGCATCGCACTCGTTTCTCAGCTCTGGCAGCTCCGCTTCGCCAGCGCTCCGTCGCAGCCTGCACGTGCCGAATCGCCCCATCCGTCCGTCTCGCAACACCGACATGGAACGCTTCCAAAGCTTGGAGTATCTCTTCCACTCCCGTTCGATCTTTCCACGCTTCGACAAGGACGTTCGATGACGAGGCCGAGGCTGTGGAGGGTGAACCGGCCAGACCGGCGGCCGTCGTTCCGCTCGCTCCGATCTACAAGGTCACCCCGGACGATTCAAAGAGGTTGACCAGGTTGAGGAATGTCGGCATCAGTGCACAGTAAGCACGATCGAGATTTAAGTGACGCTATGATTCAGCACTGATTCTCCCGACCTCCTGTACATCGATCGAACATACTTCCGACCTCCTGTACATCAACCGAACAAATTATTTCCGTGTCGGCGCCCGTGTGCAGTATCGATTCGGGCAAGACGACACTCACAGAACGAATCCTCTTCTACACCGGCCGAATCGCGAGTATCCACGAAGTTCGAGGGCGCGATGCTGTTGGTGCCAAAATGGACTCGATGGAACTGGAAAGGGAGAAGGGTATCACCATTCAGTCGGCTGCGACGTTTGCCGATTGGGATGTCAAGCAGAGTCCGATCCCGGGTCAGGAGGGCAAATATAGCATCAACATTATTGATACACCCGGTAGGTCTGACTGACTTTGATAGACAGCCGATCTGTCATATCTATCGGGAGGAAGTAGCGGGGACTTACCTTTTCCGAGTTGCCGACAGGTCACGTCGACTTCACGATCGAGGTTGAGCGAGCTTTGCGAGTCTTGGACGGTGCCGTCTTGGTGCTGTGTGCCGTTTCTGGAGTCCAGGTAATTCTAAATAATAGATTTTGACCAGTTTGATAAATTGCTGACATGACTCCTGTTCGGTGGGCTCGCTTTATTCGGCGCAGTCGCAAACGATCACGGTCGACCGACAGATGCGCCGCTATAATGTCCCTCGCTTGTCTTTCATCAACAAGATGGACCGAGCAGGTGCCAACCCGGAGCGTGTGCTGAACCAGATCCGCAACAAGTTGCGCATCAAGGCCGCGATGGTCAATATCCAGATGGGCGAGGAAGGCAACTTCAACGGTGTCGTCGATCTCGTCAAGTGGAAAGCCATCTACAACGAGGGCGAGAAGGGCATGAACGTCCGAGCAGATGAGATCCCGACCGAATTCATGGAAGCTGCTCAAGCTAAACGGGCCGAGCTGGTTGAAGCCCTTGCCGAAGTCGACGATGAGATTGCCGATGCCTGGCTCGAAGAGAGGGAGATCTCGAGTAGCGAGTTGGCCGATGCTATCCGCCGTGCGACCGTCGCGCTCAAGTTCTCGCCCGTGTTCGTTGGGTCTGCTCTGGCGAACAAGTCGGTTCAGGCCGTCTTGGATGGCGTATGCTTGTACTTGCCCACACCTGAGGAATCGCCGGCTTTGGCTTTGTCGGTTGCCTCCCCCAACGACCCACCGCAAACCCTGACCCCGACGACCGAAGCACCGCTCGTCTCGCTGGCATTCAAGCTCGAAGAAGGGCGTTACGGGCAATTGACCTACATCCGCGTGTACCAGGGTCGATTGCAGAGGGGTGGAACGATCACGAATGTGCGCACGGGCAAGAAGGTCAAGGTGCCGCGGTTGGTGCGCATGCACTCCGATGAGATGGAGGACGTCGACAGCATTGGAGCGGGTGAGATTTGCGCCATGTTTGGTGTCGAGTGCTCGAGTGGCGATACGTTCTCAGACACCCCCGGTGGCGGAGGCTACTCGATGGTGAGTCTCTTGATTCTGAACTTCAGTTGGCTCGGCGCTGATGTTGCCTTTGGTGCTCAATCAGACCTCGATGTTTGTGCCCGAGCCCGTCATCTCGCTCGCCATTCGACCCAAGGGTCAGGAGACCCCCAACTTTTCGCGAGCGCTGAACCGATTCCAGAAGGAAGACCCGACATTCAGGGTTCACGTCGATGCCGAGTCACAGGAAACGATTATCTCTGGCATGGGTGAACTGCATCTCGACATCTACGTCGAGCGCATGCGTCGCGAGTACAACGTTGAGTGCGTCACGGGCAAGCCGCGAGTGGCATTCCGAGAAACGATCCAGGAGCCGGTTTCCTTCGCGTACACGCACAAGAAGCAATCGGGTGGTGCTGGTCAATATGGTAAAGTGGTTGGGCGCATTGAGCCCATGGAGATGGATGAAGCGACTGGCAAGGACACGGCCTTCGAGAGCAGTGTCATCGGTGGCAACATCCCTGCGGCCTACATCCCCGCTGTCGAGAAAGGTTTCAATGATGCACTAGACCGAGGTATCTTGACCGGCCACCCCATTAGCGGCTGCAGGTTCGTGCTCGAGGATGGTGCGGCGCATCAAGTCGATTCGTCCGAACTTGCTTTCCGGCTAGCGGCCCAGGGAGCGTTCCGTGAGGCTTTCCCCAAAGGTCGGCCTGTCGTGCTTGAGCCCGTGATGAAGGTCGAAATTGTTGCACCTATCGAGTTCCAGGGTACCGTCATTGGCGGTATCAACCAACGTCGGGGTACGATCGCTGATACCGAGATGCGCGACGAGGAGTTCACGCTTTCGGCAGAGGTGGCACTAAATGACATGTTCGGATGTGAGTTTGCATCGACCAAGGAGGAGGCGCAGTGAGGTATGACCTATTCTGACGTGCAACTTGCTTTCTTGTCAGATGCATCGCAACTTCGCGGCATGACGCAAGGTTAGCTGTCGACCAGAGAATCTTCGAGGTGGTGCAACTCACAATTGCTGATTCCTTGATCCAAACTTTCCGCCATTGTCAGGCAAGGGTGAATTCTCGATGGAGTACCTCCGACACGCCCCTGTCTTACCCAACGTCCAAAAGGAAATGATTGAAGCGCACCGAGCCTTCACTACAAAGAAATGATGACTGTACGACGTGTGATTGGTCGTAAGATTCGGTCGGCCCTCTTTCTCGCTCGGGCTCTGCTTCGGCGGCGCATGCGGCAATCTGTCTGGCATTCACGAATAGATGTGTGTCGTATCTTGTTAGAGCCTAGCTAAGGACGTGTAGTAAATATTTGCTTATGCAATAGTCCACGCCACCCCCACTCTCTTTCCCCTCAACTCCTCATCTCGGTGTCTCACCGGATGGCGCCGGGTCGAAATTAGCTCAGACGCTTACGCGTCCGAACCTGGTGTCACGCGATCAGTTGCGCGTATTGGCGCCATGGGGAGACGGGAACCGGACTGCATACACCCAGCGTTATCATTCTGATGGCAAAAGGTGGTAAACGACCTCGGCGGGTCGGACCATGCTTGACCTCCACTGCTGATACCCGATTGGCTATGGTTCCTGTGAAAGGACTCTGACCATGGCGATGTGTTGGATGATTTGCAACGCTCTTTGAAGGCTTAGCTGAAGCTTTTGAGGCGAGGAGTCAGGCTTGATTGGGCTTATCAGCGGCCGGCGCCCCACACGGTTCCAAGCGCTAGCTCCCCCGAGCGGTGCCGTTTCCGCTCTCTCCCTCCTTCCTTCCCCACCCGTGTCCCTCACCGGATACTACCCCCTCCCCTTCTTTCGCATAGCAGCATGATCTATCCCCAGCAACGCCGACGACAGCAGAGGGTCGCGACCCCTGGCCGCATCGCTCTGGCGGCCGGTCTCGCTTCGGCGCTGTCGGCGCAAGCGATCGCCTTGCCCGCCAGTGGGGCCGCCGGTGCTCGTCCCAGCGCTATCGTGGGCGAGTCGACGCCGCGCAAGAGTATCAACTTTGGTCCCCATGTCCCCGCCAAGCACCACACCTCGGCTAGCCCCGATGCGAGCATCGCCATGTGGAATGCGAGCCCCTTCAAAGCCTCGTTCGGCACGGAGCCCTCGGCGTATGGCGCCACCTCAACGGCGGCCAACCTCATCGGTTCTGCTGTAGCCCAAGCCTTTGGTCAGTTCAACCTTGAGGTCCTCGACGTGTGACTGACTTCTACTGTATCTGGACACCTGACCCTCGTTGCCTATCTTCCCGGTTGATTATCCGATGCCGTGCTCGCTTGGGGCCTTGCCGGCGCCCGTCCGTCGATTGCCACCGACAGTCGAGTCGTTGCACCCTTCGTCCCAGTTCCGCCTCGTCAATGGCTACGTGTCCAAGCACAACAACGTGTATCATGCCCACTTCCTCGAGACCCTCGGTGGCATCGATGTCGCCAACGGTAACCTGAACGTCAAGTAAGTACCTGTCTACTGCCCGCTCTGCCCTGCCCCGCTCGGCGCCTTCCCGCCTCCGCCGCCGGTCGCAGGCTCGAGTCAGCGAATATGTGATCGAACGTGGCTCGCCCCGACCCGACTCGGCCGAGCTCGCGCTTGGTCCCTTCCACCTCGCGATCGCCGAATGCAGAGTCATGAGACTGAAGTATTTCCCAATGTCCATCTACCCCATTCTAGTATCGATCTCGATACCAACGACATTGTCTCGTACGGTGATAGCTCATTCGCCAGTTCCAACGTCGAATCGTCGTCATCGTCGGCGGCGTCGTCTTGGAAGGCCAAGGTTGCGAGTTGGGCCGCCGAGGCCGAAGAGTCGGCCGTCGAGGCACTCAACGCCGCTTCGCAGACCGTCTTCGGCGACAATGGTCCCCAGGGCGAGAAGAAGGACGACTTTGAGATGTATGCGTCGCCTCCCTTGGTCCCCGAGGGCAAGATGACTCGAGTCGTCCGAAAAGGCGCGACCAAGCCCAACGATCCCCGTCATGGTTTGCTCACTTTCCTCGCTGTGCAATCGCCCAACTCTGACCTGAGCGAGCTTCTCGTCTCGGCTCCCCGTGCCGAGCTCGTCGACTCCTTGGGGGTTGAACGTGTCGTTGGCGCTACGCACACCCACACCATCTTGAACGCTCCTTCGGCGCTCGAGCCTGTCAAGGCCACCCTCACGTATGTTCACGATGGCAAGAAGCTCCAGCTCGCCTGGAAGTACGAGATTCTGTCTAACGACAATCAATACGAGGCCTACGTCCAAGCCGATGCCGCTGTCTCGAGCGACGAGGAGGTCTTCCTCGTCGTCGACTGGGTTCGCGACTACCGCCCCACCGGTGGCGAGATGGGCATCGAGGCGCTGATGACTCCCATGGCTCTCGGAAAGCGCTCGAAGCTCGCCGGTGCCTTTGGCGGCCAACGCAAGCCGGTCAAGTTCTCCAAAGGTCGCGTTGGCACCGTCGTTGGTGGATCGATGCATGAGGCCGAAGCGCTGCTGCGCGATTTCGCGGCTCCCACTGTCCCCGACAAGAACGCCAAGCCTTCCTACAAAGTCTTCCCTTGGGGTGAGAACGACCCTACGGAGGGCAAGCGTGAGGTTTTGAGCGGCAAGAAGCTCCTTATGGACGACGAGGCCTCCCCCTCCGGCTGGCACACCGTCGAGTCCGAGTTCGAGCATGAAAAGGCTACGCTCTACTCGGACACGCGAGGCAACAACGTCTTTGCGCAGGACAACGTCGATGGTGGCAACTCGATGAACGGTCACCGACCTTCCGGCGGAAAGTCGCTTACGTTCGATTTCAAGCTCGGATGGCCCAAGCCTGGAACTCCTCTGGAGCCTAGCAGTACGTTCCAAGAGTGTTTTTCTCTCTGGGAAACTGCATTTCCTACGGGAATGCACAGGCCCGGCAGAATGCTGATAAATGCCCACTTCCCATTCCTGCAGCTTACATCGATGCCGCCATCACGGAGCTTTTCTACACGAACAACCTTATTCACGACTTGTTCTACCGCTATGGCTTTGATGAAGTGTCGGGTAACTTCCAGTACGTCTATCATTCTCCCTCGACCCTCGACCGTCGTTCTCGCTGTTACCCCTGACGCTCGCTGTTCTTGTCCTCCAGGGAGAACAACTTTGGCCGAGGAGGTCGAGGCGGTGATGCTGTCCAAGCCAATGCACAGGACGGTTCGGGTGAGCCCAACTCAGCACGACCTGTTCTTCTTTTAGAGACTAATGACCCTGAGTATGATGCGCAGGCCAAAACAACGCAAACTTTGCCACACCCCCTGATGGAAGTCGGCCTCGTATGAGGATGTACTACTGGACCGGCAGTCAGCCGTACCGCGATGGCGACTTTGAGGCCGGCATTGTCATCCACGAGTACGCGCATGGTATCTCGACTCGTCTCACCGGTGGCTCCGCTCAATCGGGCTGCTTGGGCTGGGGTGAGGCTGGAGGTATGGGAGAAGGATGGGGTGACTACTTTGCGTCGACAATTCGCATGATCGCGGCGAACCAGACCGATGTGACGATGGGCGAGTGGGCCTCCAGCCGTAAGGGCGGTATCCGCAACTACCCTTACACGCTCAACTTGACAACCAATCAAGACACCTACAAGTCGCTCGACAAGCCCGGCTACTGGGGCGTCCATGCGATCGGCGAGGTTTGGGCTGAAATGTGCTGGGAGATGATGCATAACCTCATCCAGAAGCATGGATGGGAGAGCTCGCTCTTCCCTCCCGCGCCGGCTGATGCGGACAAGAGCGATTTCTACAACCCGAACTACAAGAAGAAGGTGCCTGCCAAGGGCAACACCTTGGCCATGCAGTTGGTCGTTGATGGACTCAAGCTTCAGCCTTGCCGCCCCACCTTCCAGAACGCTCGTGACGCCATCTTGGCCGTAAGTCGCTCGGGACCAAGTCGTCTCTTACGCAGCTTGAATCTGACACGTTTGTCTTGTTGCACTTGTACACAGGCCGACAAAGCTCTTACCGGCGGTGACAACCAGTGCGAGATCTGGAAGGCTTTCTCGAAGCGTGGTCTTGGACCCGACGCTGTATGTGCCTCTTGTTGCGTACCATTGGATCCAGGTGACTGCTTGCTGAATAGTCACGGCGCCACTTCCTCCGCAGGTTGTTGTCGGCTCTACGCCTTGGGGTGGAGGAGTCCGCACCGAGGACTACAAGTTGCCCAAGACGTGCGCGAACAGAAAGTCTTCGTAGAGGTGAGCTCATCATCTTCAGCACTCTCGGTTATTTATGATCCCTCAGACACTGACATGACAGTCTCTTGGTGCAGCAGTCCTTACACCCATTGCATTGCGCACTGCGCCTGATTATCGTCGACTATCACTATCACGAGTCATTCCTTGTTTGTGTACACAATGTCATACACACGCACCTAGCCCAGTTCCCTCCCGTTCCTCAATCCTCCATCCCCTGTACTCACACTTTTGTAGTTTCTCTCTGCGTTCATGTCAATTGCTCATGCCACATCCATCGTATCTCAACTCGCGCGTGCGACCGTGCGGGCTTGGCCGACGGAGAGACACTTCTACTTCAACACAAAACTAGTGTACAACATTAAACTTTTGCGTGTGGCAGATATGTCGCGGCGGCAACCCGGCAAATCTGTAAATGGGCTTCGCACGGGTTCGATCGACGACCGGATCGAGCCATCGGAACTGTCTGATCAGCAGAGATCCCCGCAATACCTTGACTTACCGCTCCTGAGTATTTATCTGCGCAAACCTGCCTCGAACACCGCCAACTACTTGAAGCTACAGCGGTAACGTTACCTCGGAGGCATGTCGAGCGCTGCGCTTTGCGGGTTGAAGTAGTAAATGCCCCAGAGCTAGGGGTGGACCGGCTAGACTGAGGGGTGCCGACCTAGCATTGCTCACGGCAACATCATCGACCTTCGATCTCTTATCGCTGCTCGCCCATAATCGCTCGGTTTCGAGCGTCAATAGTGGCCGACGGACAGAACAAGCTCCGGGCACTTGCCGTTAAGTTTTCTGCGAAAAATGGTCGGTTGATTGAGCCCAGCGCGCCCAGCTTCGGTAATAATGAATCGCCGCGGCCTTGATTAACAGTTTATGAGAGCCGTGGGTTTTGAAGCACTTGTCCCCGACAAAGCTATTTGCTGATGATGTGCTCGTGGAAGAGGTGCCTGGATGGACCCGTAAACGTGACTCATGAAGACGGGCAACGCTCGCCTGTCTTTCCCGCAGAAAATTGAAACCGTGCGCACTCGCTTCGATTTGCACCGAAAGACACAAAAATAACAAACACCTTGAGGTCATATTAGAGAGGAGTCCTCTGTCACCGACTCGGAGGCATGGAAGGCTGTGAAGGAATAGTATTTGGCATAAGAAATGAACCGAAGGAGGATCGAGGTATTCGAAAGGAAGGGATGAAGAGTGGGATGGGTGGGGATGATCGCTTTGATAGACACGTAAAAAGGGAAGGAAGAAATCAGAGCGGAAGAAGAAAGAGAAAATACCCCAAAAAGAAGGAAGAGAAAAAAGGTGGTGCGAACCAACATCCTCTTTCCGCACACAGACCAAAAAAAAGGGGGGGGGGGGAGCCAGCATAAACAGAAAGAACCGGAAGAATGGAGATTAAGGAGACGTTTTAATTCTTCGAAACCCCTTTTCTCTATTCTTGCGGGTCCTCCTCGTATGCGACCTCCTCCTCATCGTCGACGCCGGCCTCTTGGTATTGCGTGTACTCGGCGATGAGATCGTGCATGTTAGCCGAGGCTTCCGAGAACTGAAGTAGGGCGGCAGCAAAGGGGAGATGTCAGATAAGGTTTGATCTCGTCACCGAAAGGCCTGAACGAGGGGACTAACCTCCATCTCGTCCATTCCTTCTCCGGTGTACCAATGCAGGAAAGCACGGCGTCGGAACATGACGTCGAAGCTGAGCGAAGTTGGGACAAGGATGAGCATGCAATCATGCAAGACTAATCAAGCACCCCAATCACTCACTGGTCGCCGACACGCTTGAACAGCTCTTGGATCGAGGTGTTGTTACCGATGAAGGTGACGGACTGCGGTAGTCGCGATTGATCAGGAGATCAGCAACCGAGCTTTGTAAGATAGCACCCGATCGGTTGAGGTCTCACCATCTTGAGCCCTCGGGGAGCGACCTCGCAGTGTGCGGACTGAACATTGTTAGGGCTATCGGAAAAGACGCGGGACCGATCGATCAGTGATCTTGCGCTTTCCCGAATGATGAGGCCCGCTGGAAAGCCCACTCACATCCACTCGACAAAGTATTGCGAGTTCTTCTGTTGAATCGAGACCATCTGGTCCTCGACCTCCTTCATCGAGACCTTACCGCGGAAGTACGCGGCAACGGTCAAGTAACGACCGTGGCGGGGGTCCGACGCGGCCATCATGTTCTTGGCGTCGAACATTTGCGCCGTCAGTTCGGCAACAGTCACGGCGCGGTATTGCGACGAGCCGCGGGCGGTCAGGGCTGGTAAAGTATACGCCAGTACGGATCCTTCGGTCAGCACGAACGAACAATATGGCTAAAGCCAAGTAAACTCACGAGCGAAGCCGACGGTGAAGAAATGAAGACGAGGGAAGGGGACCATGTTGACAGCCAACTTGCGGAGATCGGAGTTGAGCTGACCGGGGAATCGCAAGCAGGTGGTGATACCGGACATGACGATCGAAACGAGGCCGTTGAGATCGCCGTGAGTCGGTGCCGAGAGTTTAAGAGTGCGGAAGCAGATGTCGTCTACAATGGAGGACAAGGTGTCAGCCAGCCGGCTCTCATCCAGGAAGAGAGAACGGCAGACTCACAAAGAGCCTCGTTATCAATGCAGAAAGTCTCGTCCGAGTTCTCGACGAGCTGGTGAACCGAAAGGACGGCGTTGTAAGGCTCGACAACGGTGTCCGAGACCTGTTTGGAAGGATTACAAAAAGCTGACATGAGCGGATGTGTCGGCACAGTTTGGTCAAATCATTGCTTACCTTGGGTGAAGGAACAACGGAGAAGGTGGCCATCATTCGGTCGGGAAACTCTTCACGGATCTTGGAGACAAGGAGTGTACCTGTTGGTGTCACGTGAAGAGTGAGACGTCAGCACGCGCCGTTCGCGTCAAGCGAGGATCAGCTATCGACGCACCCATGCCGGAACCCGTTCCTCCACCAAGCGAATGAGTCAATTGGAACTGTGAACGCATCCGATCCCGACGTCAGTATCCCGAGTTCCCCACCCCACCCCACCCCACACGAGCCCAAGCTCTGTTCGGACTCACACCCTGGAGGCAGTCGGTCCCTTCGGCCTCCTTCCTGACCACGTCCAAGACCTGGTCGACCAGCTCGGCACCTTCGGTGTAGTGACCTTTTGCCCAGTTGTTACCGGCACCGGATTGACCAAAGACAAAGTTGTCGGGTCGGAACAGGCCGCCGAGGGGTCCACCTTGGATCACGTCCATCTAATAAAGCAACCGATTTGAGATCAGTTTCCGTTTTCAAAGTATTGGAGAAGCCCAAAGCCCCCACAACTGACTGTGCCGGGCTCCAAATCGACGAGGACGGCACGGGGCACATACTTGCCCGTCCCGGTCTCGTTGTAGTAGACGTTGATACGCTCGAGCTGGAGATCAGTCGTACCGGTGTACCTGTCGCGATGCAAACAAGAAGACAAGACGATGATACACATCAATACTTCGCGCTCGACGCCGAATACCACGTCTCGTCACTTGTACGCGTCGCGTATCGCTTACTGTCCCGAGCCGTCGATGCCGTGTTCCTCCGAAACGACCTCCCTGTAAACGCTCGTTGTCGGGGTTAGTCTGTGCCCGACAGTAGGTCACCTGAATGGCTCAAAAGTACTGACCAGAATTTGGTACCAATCTGTCACCCGGACAAGGAACAGGGCGAGGGGGCGAGAACGAGAAACCCCAGAAAGGGCCGAGAGGGAACGAAGACACAAGAAAGCAGAGAGGCTCGATCAGCGTTCCGGGACTGGGCGATGGCATCAAACGTCGTGTCGACGGGTAGAACGACGCTGCACAGCCAGCAGGATGGTGATGATCGCGTAATACTGCCTGCTCCCTGCGCGCCGCCCAAACGAGCCGGGCGTCGTGGCATCGACAGGGATTCGGGATCGTGCCTGATTGATTGCCCCGCCGGCGGTAGTTGGTGCTTCCGACTCACTTGGTTACCGCATTGTCTAGTTGAAGCAAACACCCGAACATGGTCAGCTCACACGAAAACTGATGATCGAACGGCTCTCCCCGGGCGGTGTTGCTCGTCGCGATTTCGGCCCTCCTCCGTCCACTGGCCTCCACGCGGCCTGGGATTCGCTCAGCGGCCCATCTACTGCAGGGCCTGGGCCAACGTTGAGGCGCGCGCGCGCGGAGGGCCAAACGCGGGTGGAGGGGTGGAGGGGGGAGGGTGGAGGGGGGTGAGAGGGGAGGGGGGTTGGTGACTGCATTCATTGGCTTAGTCGACTAACCCAGCTTGGAGAGAAACGATTTCCCTCATCTCTTATTCTGCTGGGGTCGAACCAACGTCGAGATTCGTGAGTCGACGATCAGGGCAAGACGGGGGGCGCGGCGACAGGGTGGTACAACAAGACGCGAAACGGGGGGGAGGGAGCCGCACAGAGTCAGGGCAACGACGCGTTGGGTGAGAGATGGGCGCGCACATGGCAAGCGACAGGGCAGGGGAGAGGGGACACAGGCAACATGGGCGATCAGCACAGATCACGCATCGACACACTTGGGATGTACTGACCTGTTGAGGTGGGAACGGGTAAGAGGTATCGAATGGATGTGCTGGGACTGGACTGGGAAGAGAGTCCGCCAGGCGGGGGGAGGGCGCCCAGGGGGAATTGGCCAGCGCCGATCCTGAACTCTAATGCCCGGCTCTGTAATGCACCACGCGTTTCCTATCCCCCAATTTCGCCCCGGTCGCCGCGGGCTGCCGGGTTGGGCGCCAAACAACGCGCCTCGCCGCCACTCAACTCGACCACACCACCGGTCCACCGCCAGTGGCAAGGCTCCGCAGGTGCTTCGATCAATGCGTGTATCAATTACAATCAAGTACATGTCTGACCATCCGAAAGAAAGAGAAACATAACAAGGGGAGAAAACGGGCGCATTCCGCGGTCAGGTCGGAATTGCCCCGGCCCAACTTTCGTCGTCGAAAAATCATTCAACCACCCCGGGCGACCGGGCCTACTAGGGAGGGTTGCGACGGCGTGTGGGGCGACGAATCACGAGGTGGTGCAGAACAACGTAAAGAAAATGAAAGACGAGTAGAGATACTGTAGGCGGGCATCGCGTGGGTTCAGTACATCTGGATATGCTGTGAGAGAGGCCGTCAGGCCGGCCTCTGCGGCTCTGCCCAGTCAACGCTCGTGACGCGTGGTCCTCGAGAGTCGAAGCCCAAGCGTCGGCGACACGGCTGAATTCACGCACTAGTATATATTAAAAAAGCTTCTCCAAACCAACATATCCGAGGACCAGAGACCGGGAGTACTAGGCGTGTACAGCCGGCGCCGCTCAGATGAGACTGAGTTCCAAAGTCCACACCCGCCGAGCCCAGACCTTGATCTGCCGTGCTTGGTCCGTCCCCTCGTCCAATGTCAACTCGGTCGCGTCCCACCAGCATTTACGCTGTTTCGAGATGGCTCGACCGAGTCAGTGTCGGACATGAAGCTGGACAGCTCTGGATAGGGCCGAAGACTCACTGCGGGTTTCCTCCAAAACAGCAGCAGCTTTTGCGCCGTCGCAAGTTGTTGCGCATTGACGTCGACCGACGGTCTGACCGTCTCTCCCTCGGGCAGTGTGATGGGTGGGTGGGTGATGCCCGTCTTGAGGAGGACCAAGGCGATTGACGCAATGCAGCACCGATTCGGTTCGAGCGAGCGGTAGCCCCACGCGTCGTCCCGTTCGAAGCCGCTACACGAAAGGAAGCAGGGTCGATGTGGTTTAAAGCATAAGTGATACGCACTGAGGAAACTTCACATCCTTGGTCAAGGAGCAGAGATGAGGTCGACTGGACTCACCTCATGCAGAGCATGTCGATGAGATGCTGCTCGGCGACGTTGTTCTCGCGGTTGACGTTGCGCTGCAGGGCCGTAAAGATGCTCTTGCGTTCCAGCAAGGCTTTACCGCAGTCCATCTTGAGCTGCAATAGGGTCTTGTTGGGTTTGCCCGCCTCGTCCGTCCCCGCGACCTCGTCAGCTGTTGTTGTCGGTGGGTGCTTCTCGTCGATGAAGCTGTCGGCTGCGGCGTTGAACTTGCCCTTGGGTGGGATCACAAAGTACTCGAGTTCCTCGCGCAGTACGATAATGGCTTGTTTGAGAAAGAGCGGGTTAGGTATGTTGTTGGCGGCAGCCTGGGCGGATTCGGACAAGTTCCGTCGTGGCCCTTGCGGCGGTCCGTAGAAGGCGTCGCGTGCGGTGGCAAAGAAATTGAGCACAAACTCGAGGCATTTCGCGTCAAACTGGGAATACCAAGGATGATGTTCCGGGACGGTCACTATCCTGTCATGCCGGGTAGAGAGTCATGGAACAGGGGCGGGCGAACGAGCTGGGTCTTTGTGGTTTGCCGTTGGCCAACCACGTGAGCGCCGGCCCATTCGACGAAGCTGACAGGGTGGCAGCCGAGGAGGAGATACAGCACCATCACCCGCAGAGTACACCATCCCGGGAGAAGCGAGCCCCAAGCGAGGACGATGATGCTCAAGCTCGAGTAGTCGGATGAGCCTCTACGGTGTCGATGACGGCGGACGAGGTCATACGCGAGGTCATACGCGAGGGCCACTAGGGAGCTTGAGAGGCAGCTGGCGGAGCTGCTCCAGGCTCAAGAAGCCAAGACTCACATCGACAAAGTAGACGTCCTCGCCATCGTCAACGTCCTGGGTGCCATCGAGTCGAGGTTGTCGCTGTGCCGAGAGCACGACGCCGTTGGGAAACAGACACAGCAGCACGCTCTCGGGCAACTCCATCAACGCCTCACGCTCGAGCGAGAGACGGTGGCCACGCAGGCCGAGCGAGACGTTGGTCGGCGCCGTCGAGCTGGACGGGTCTGCTTGGTAGTCCATGTTGTGCGGGGGGCGATGCGGTGAGAGAAGGCTCGGGAAGAGAGGAGCACAAGTGGGGGACGACTCGGGTGATCGAGCGCCGCGCTGGGCTGCTGAACGCTGCTGGGCCTGGGCCGCAGTGGGCCGCAGTGGAGCGCTGCTGCCACGCACCGCCAGGCACAGCCAGAAAGGGGGTGCGGAGGGGTGCGAGTGGCCTGACGAGCCAGGCCTGACGCAGCCGAGCTAGACCAGAGTGATCATTGAGTGCGCTCAGTCTCTTCCTCCCCTTCCCCTTCCCCCTCCTCGCTCCTTTCACGGCATCGATACAACTACGCGACACAACAAGAGTGTTGCATACATCTCCGGCGCCTCCTCCACACCACCCAGCACTTCCCGGCTCGAGCGATTGCCGATTGGTCTTCTCGTACTTGCCGCGGTCATTCGCAGCTCCGTCCTCGCACTCCCGTCCCGCGGTCATGAGCTCGTCCGCCACTGCTCCCTCCACCTCATCCACCTCTTCCAACTCCAACGCTAAAGATCAACCATCCGACATGGTGCGGGTTCCCTCCAGCGTCGTGCGCGTCTTGATGCTCCCCGGATACACCCAGAACGCGACCATCTTCAAAGGTCGCATGGGCGCCATCAAGCGCTCCTTGCCGGCCTCGGTCGAGCTCGTCTTTATCGATCCTGCAAGTCCATTCATTCGGACCCATTCGGACCGTCGCGGTGATCAGGATATATAGACTCATACTATGCATTCCTTCACCAGACGCACGTTGTCGACATGCCGACCAACTCGTCTGCCGATTTCGACTCGTCGGCAACTTCGAATTCCGACTCCCCGGAGACGACCCCGCGGTGCTGGTGGTACGCCGAACAAACAGAGGTCAGTGATCTGGCGCAATCTCAACGAGTTCGGATCGGGGTACTGATCATGATTTTCTCATCAACACGCAATAGGGGTATCGGCATTTCGCCAAGATGGACGAAACACTGGAATACTTGCGCGAATTCATCATCACCCAGGGCCCCTTTGACGGGTGTTGGGGCTTCAGTCAAGGTGAGACTACCCTCGGTCTCTCGGCGGAACCACGAAACATCTCGCTTACTCATCAGTTTCCCTGCAGGTGCCGCATGCGCTGCGATCTTGACTGCGCTCGTGGAAAACCCTTCTTTGCACCCCATTTTTGCCCGAGACGGACCCAACTGGCCCCCAGCGCCATTCAAGTTCTCCATACTCAGCGCCGGCTTCATGCCCCAAGACCCAATCATGGCTAAACTATTCGACAAACCTTTACACACCCCGACCGTTCATGTCCTCGGTCGAGCGGACACGATCGTCTCGAACGATCGATCGACGCCTTTGGCCGAAGCTTTTGTCGACGCGAGGGTCGAATGGCACGAGGGGGGTCATCATACGCCTTCCAAGGCTTCTTGGAGACATTTCTTCAAACATTATTTGGAATTATTTGGACCGGATGGACCGGGCAAGGAGGGCATCGATTCGCTGCCTTCGCCGTCGCTCGGGACTTCGTCGGGGACAGCGACGCCCGAAGGGGGGAGACTGTGAACGTGCAAGTGGGGCACTCGCCTTGATCACGAGAATGTGTAGTGTAGATTTCGACTAGCTAGACTGTACAAAGAAGTAGATACATGCAGACTGTTGCAAGTGCTGCGCCCGAGAGCGTGGTCCAAGCTAAAAACTGATTTCAGCGCGAATGAATGCCGGCTTCTCCACACCGGCCACAGCAAGCGGCGTACTGCTCCGCGCACCCTGCTCCGCGCGTCTCACTGGCGCCTCGTTCCCCGCGCTTCAGAGCCGAGAGCCAATCGGGACCGGTCCCTTTCGTTTCTCGCTTTCTCCTCCTCTCCAACCCTAGCCCCCACCTCCACCACCATCACACCACCATCATGAGCGAATTCAAGTTCACGTACGACGAAGTCTCCAAACGCAACCACAAGAATGACCTCGTCGTCATCGTCAAGGGATTAGGTACGCCTCAGCCGTGGTCTCTCTTTCTCTGTTTCGCCTCCACCTTTCTCGCGCGATAATCGAGGCCATCGCTGAACCTCCTCACCTCGCTGGCTTTCCGGGATCTTCTACAGCTTATGACCTGACCGATTTCGCTCCGGAGCACCCGGGAGGAATGAAGATCCTGCTCAAATATGCGGGCAAAGACGCGACAGAGGCCTAGTAAGTTTCACCCGAGAACGCTGCCGATCGGTGGCCAGGACACGGTGGTGGTGGTGGTGGCAAAGATCCTTGCGGCAGTCAGACCCTGATTTCACTCATCGGCTTTCTCTACGCAGTGAACCCATTCACCCTCCGGGTACGTTGGAAGAGTACCTCCCCAAGGAGAAGCATCTCGGCAAGGTCGATATGACCGGCGTCGAGATCGAAGTCAGGGAAGAGACCGAGGAGGAGAAGGCGAGGAAGATCCGCGTCGCCAACAAGCCCGATATCAGCGAGATCTTGTCCTTGTATGACTTTGAGGTGAGGTTTCTCTCATTTTGTGGAACGACATGGGCGTGGGCACCTTCGTCGTCGAGGCATTGAGATGTTTTGTGACCCACGCCCATTGCTTTCTCAACGAGGGCTCATCGCGGAACTTGTCTCTCCTTCACCAGGCCGTCGCAAAGTCGATTCTTCCGACCGCAGCATGGGCCTACTACTCTTCGGGAGCCGACGACGAAATCACAATGCGTGAAAATAGGTCTGCATACCAAAGGGTCAGTACCGTACTGCATTACCTCGTCTCAGACACCTTCCGTATATCCCGAGGCGATTCCGACCTCGCTCCCGCGCGACGATGTTCGCCTCGGCTTCGGAGATCGTTTCCTCTCGGCGCGACAAAAGCCCGTGACCGCTTCGACGGGCCGGCGCGCCTGGCTGACTCCCTCGCGGAAAGGGGAGGCTTTCGCGCGCTCAATGTTCGGAAGATCCGGTTGCGAACCCTTGCAAGCCAAGATGCACACAAAGTATCTGACATCACCCGTTTTTGTATTATCCGTTGCAGATCTGGTTCCGTCCTCGCGTACTGAGGGATGTAACGAACGTTGATTTTTCATCGTCCATCTTGGGGATGCCGACTAGTTTGCCCGTCTATGCGACCGCGACCGCTTTGGGGCGGCTGGGGCACCCTGATGGAGAAAAGGTACGTAGAAAGTGACTTAGACGTGGCATCGTGAAAGTAGTACTCATCGCTTTCGTTTCGGATGGGAGTAGAACTTAACATGGGGGTGCGCCGAGCACGACATCATCCAAATGATCCCGACGCTCGCGAGTTGCTCGTTTGACGAGATCGTCGATGCCGCCAAGCCGGGGCAGAACATGGTCATGCAACTTTACGTCAACAAGGTGAGTTATTGTTCGAGCAGTGTCTATGCTGTTCCTCCTACTGACGCAAACCCTGTATTCAGGACCGAGCCATCACTGAGCGCATTGTGCGCCACGCCGAAAAACGAGGTGTCAAAGGCCTCTTCATCACCGTCGATGCGCCCCAACTCGGTCGTCGCGAAAAGGACATGCGACAAAAATTCTCCGACGAAGGCTCGGACATGCAAAAGGGTTCCGAGGTTGACAAGTCGCAAGGTGCAGCTAGGGCCATTTCGTCCTTCATCGACCCCGGTCTGTCATGGAAGGACATCGAGTGGTTCAAGTCCATCACCAAGATGCCGTTGATCCTGAAGGGTGTGCAATGCTGGGAAGACGCCGTGTTGGCCGCCGAGGCGGGTTTGGCTGGTGTCGTCTTGTCCAACCACGGTGGACGACAGTTGGATTTCGCAAAGTCTGGCATCGAGATCTTGGTCGAGGTCATGGATGCGTTGAGGGAACGGGATTTGCTCAAGGGCGGCTTCGAGGTTTACATTGATGGTGGTGTGCGTCGTGCTGGTGATATTCTCAAGGGTGAGCAGGTCTCTTCCAGCGGTTCGGTCGGATCATAGACGAAGAGACCGATGAGTCGCTTTCATTATACAGCCGTCGCCTTGGGAGCCAAAGCTGTCGGTCTCGGCCGTCCGTTACTTTACGCTTACTGCGCCTACGGCAAAGAGGGTGTTTCCCGCGCGCTTCAGATCCTCAAGGATGAGATGGAGATGAAGTGAGCAACCCTCCTAACTTTGTGAAAATGGCCCCAGCTGACTCCATACCTCCCTCCTCCTAGCCTTCGCTTGATCGGTGCTCCCACCCTCGCGGACGTGACCCCCGAGATGGTCGACATTAGAGGCCTCTCGAGTCGCAACGTCGACTCCAACCCCGATTACCTTATGCGAGCCAACTACGAGCCTCTCCAAGGTGTTGGGAATGGGCTGGGTGCCAAGCCCCGATTGTAGGAGAACACACCAATGGAAGATGGTTCATAGTTTAGCGAGGGTGATTTCTTCGGTTATGAGGTCTGGTGTGTTTCGAATGAACATTGCAACAATATCGAAGTCCGAATATTACACTTGATGAGTTATACAAGGTGGTTCCAATTGATGGTTCCACTACATCCCGACGAGTAACGATCGCAGCCTAAGATTATGCAGTTGCTCTAGGATGATGAGCCCCGAGATCTTCACCTGGCGGTTCCGCGGCTTTGTTCGCCATTCGATGGACCTGAGCCAACATGAATTTGATCGGTAAGGATATCCCACCATTTGATTCGAGCCGTCGTACTGACCTCAGTCCACACGTTAAGCGCGCTCAACTTCGAATACCGCTCATCCAAAACCCTCGCCAACCTCCTCGCTTCCTTGGTATCCTTCCTCGCCGCAATCGAAGACGGTGGTGGTCGCTCACCCGGCAAAGCCCAGATACCAAGATGGATATGCTCGTCCCTCTCTCCCTCGTCGGCATCCTCTATTGGTTCGGGGGAGTCCGTTCTCCGGAGTGGAAAATCGGCGTCGTCTGAAGACGGGGGTATCAAAGGCGACCCTTGATGTAAAGGCGTCTTGGAGCTGTTCTTCTTGTTCAATGTGCGTTGCTTGAGTTGCGCCGAAATACGTTCGGCTTCCTCTCGCATCGATTTCTTCAGTTGCTCTAGAGTGACCGGATCATTCAAGAATCTGTCAGCTCAGCTTGATGATGTGAAGCCCGGTCAGTAGTTATCGAGACTCGAGACTCACGTTCTCTTTTACGCATGATATGCTCGTAGGTCTTCTTAAACTTTTTGTCCCATTTGGCCTCTGATTATAACAAGCGCGAAGGATCAGTCAGTCTTCGTCATCAAATCATTCCGAACGAAAAAAACAAGGCACTCACTTCCGGCCAGATACCGCTTCACCGGTCCCTCCTTGACCAACCCCAAATCATCCTTCGGGATCTTGAGCACCTCCACCTCCTGCTCCGGCTCCATGGGCCTCACCACACCCGTCAACGAAACCCTCTCGCGCACCATGTTATCGACATAGTCGGGTCGATGGAACGGTTGCGTCGAGGCATAGATCGTCTTCTCCAAGTTGGTATAATGTCGACCGAGCGAGAGGTCGGAATGGCCTGTTGGACTGTCGCCGTTGGCTCGCTCGACTAAATATGTATTCATGGCGATCGAGAAGGCGCTGCGCTTCCTCTTGACCTCCCCGTTGTGAGCGGTCTTCTCCGTTGGCACGGACGTATCGATGTGCATCTGAGATGTGGATTGAGTCAAATTATTGGCATCTTGAGGTTCGGAGCTAACAGGAGTCGGAGGCGCCATCTCGGCGGCGCGCTCATGATGCAACTGAGCATCCTCGTGCGCAGTCGAAATCTCGAGGGGCAGCTGCATGCCCGTGTTGGAAACGGGCGAGGCCAGCACCTCACCGTCGACATCGCTCTCGTTCTCGTCAGCGGTGACGAATTTGACAAAAGAGCTGATGGCCCGGTAGCAGTATTTGGCAGGGGTCGTGAAGGCGAACAGTGGGAGGTCTGGTTTCGCGTGGAACAAGAGGGTCAGCACACAGCGTGGCTGAACAATCGTCGCTGAACAATCGTGGTTGGTACTCACCGTGGCACATACCATCGTAGATCTGCAAGTGGACCTTGGTCGGAGGGTATTCGGCGTGACGCTTCGTCCGTTCGGGGTTGGCGTCGAGGAGGGCTTGACGTATTGGGTATCGGTCGGGATGTGCAGCTCGGTGGGCCATCTGCGGGGCGAGTACAGATCGGTTGGCCAGACTAGGCACAAGATGGAGCTGTTCAAGAGGAACGAAGTGACTGACGTATACGATCTCATCCCTCAACACTTCCCTGTCACCACACATGATATACATCGAAGGAAGACCGCCAAGACTTGGTTGCCAAATGGGTGAAACGAAAGGATAGACGAGCTGGTCGTTCGTGGCGTACAGCTGAATCTGATCTCGGACTTCGACTTCCTCGCCATCGATTTTGAGCTTGAGCACTTTTCCAACTTCGGCTTTGGACTCGCCGTTGGCCTGTGCCGACCCTCCCGACCCGTCCGGTGCGCCGTCCTTGCCCGTCTCCGTCTGTTCGGCGCGCTGATAATCTTCCGGGAACTTTTCGACCTCTTCCAAAAGTTGCTCTCCTTTGCGATCAGCTCTGCTCGATCCATTGAAGAACATGCTCGTCTTCTTGGTCGCCCTACGTTCTTGTTCGAACGTCTCTGCGGCATGTTTGAGCCCTTTGATCGATGTTGAGCGGTCTGCCCGTTCTTGCCATTCGGCAGGAGGGGGTGGCCAGAGCATCGACGGCTTGAAGAGGCCCAAGCCGAAGGCGGGGATGACGTCGGTCTCGGTATTTTGCAAAATCGAAGGGAAAGAATGAGTGAGATCACACCATGGCGAGATCAAGACGACTGTGCGACAAGAACGTGTCAGGCCCCGTTGCTCGGACGTGATTGAACAGTCACGGCGCACTCACTTCCAGCAGGTGCCGGCAGGCCGGCATCTCGGATCAAGCAAGAAAGGGCAAGCGTCAGCCCACCCCCTGCACTATCACCAGCGATAACGAGCTTTTTAGGATCGACGGGTTTGTGCTTGGCTCCAATAGGCGGCCGAATGAGATAAATGTAAGACGCCAGCGCATCGGCGAGAGCGCAGGGGAAGGGGAACTGCGGACTGAGGCGATACTGCAGCGCAAAAGCTCGGCCCCCAATCTTGCGGGCATACCTCCAGATACTAAAACGATGCGTGTTGGGACTACCAAAAAAGTAGGCGCCACCATGGATGTAAAGGATGCACCGCATTTCGTCGAGGTCGTGTTCGTACGCCGAACCTTCCTCGTCGCCCTCGTAAGCGACGTCTTCGCCCTTGGCTCTTCGTTCTTCCCGTTCACGGCCGAGTTTGTATCGGCGTTTGTGATCATCTTGCGACTTGCGCTTCATCGCCTCAACCTTTTCACGTTTAATTTGCTCCAGATCATCGTCGTCGACCTCGTTCGCATCGAGGCCGTGCCAATCCTTCTTCATCGAGATCCATTCGCCGTTGAGCGCGCCGTCGGGGTTAGGACACCGTTGCCACCACTCCTTGCCTCCCGCGACGTTCTGAATGTCGTCCTCGCCCAAGGTGTCGATGAGGATGCGATTCGCTTCGAGTCGGGTATCGAGAGGGATCAACACCCTGACGACGCGCACCCACCAAGGTGCCGGAATGAAATTGTTGCCGAAGGCTTGTGCTTCCTCCACAGTGTGCTCGGTCGCCTTGACGAACTGCGTGTTTTGTGTAGACAAGTACTGTGGTCAGTTAGTACTCCGTCTCGGCAAACGAAAGCGCTCCGCTATTCATTGGCCGCGCCTCGAAAGCCTCTTTTCGCCCCGCATGTCCGACGCGTAGAAGTCACGTGTCACCGCGGCGTGACTAAAAGATGGAGAGGAGAGCGCTTACAAAGTACTTCATGACACTGAACGCTTCGTCAAAGAGGAACGAGCCCCGAGCTGATCTGCACGATCGCTCAATTGAAGGTCAGTTTCTGAAATTTTTGCGTGACACGTTTAATCGGTCATCCGTCGATCAAAAGTCTAGCGACCAATTGCGCGTGATGGCATCGAACCGATCGCTACGGCCTAAGGCTCGAGTTCGCCGAGCACTTTGGCGAGACGATGAGGGGCGAATGCCCCAGTCCACGATGGCGAACCGGTCCACGATGGAGCGAGTGACACGAGAGGAACGTACTGCTTCGAAGTGATCTTCTTGTGCAACGCAAAATGACGACAGCCAGCCCAGATGATCATGCCCAGTCCGCTGACAGACATGGTCAACGGGTTTAGCGGTAGGAAGTCCATCGCGGGTGTTTGTCGTCCGTTTGGGTGGGGTCTTGAACGGGGGTGTTGTCGATTGTTGGAGAGGACCAAGACAATGGATAGAGTAGCCTCGCTATAAGAGAGTGACTCCGGTTTAGTACCTCGTCCGAATCCGAATGCGCGAGGTGGAGGGGGTCGGCCTGAACGTCACGTCGCGACGAGTGAGCGAGTGGAGGTAGCGAGCGGCGCGAGGACGGCTCAGGACGGCAGCTGGCCCCAGCACGAACGAGAGGTTTTGATGAAAATTCCCGGTCACGTCGAATGAGCACAGTGGGTCAAACCAAATTAACTGAGTTTGACATCTCGATTATGTGTCGGTCGTCTGATGTAAGGTGCTTGTCGAGCGCATGGAAGCTAATTTGGGCCATGCCGAGTCCGCTTGCCACGAGAGAGCTCGAGGGCGCCTCGAGACAGCCAGGAGAGAGCTAGATCGCGCTGGGTCTTGCTGGCGCATGGCACAGTCGACACACTCGCCCAAGTCACGACTTATGTTATATATGGTAAAGAAAAGTATTGAGATGACAACGCTCCAGTCTGAAATTACTTGTTAAGCCGCACAACGAGAAAGTACTTTCCAGACCCGCCGTCCACAGAAAAGACTCGGACCTTATGGGGCTTGCAGCACCTGTTCGATGAGAAATGATCTGTCATGAGTGACCGTCGGCAGTGGAACATATCGCCCTTGACCGTCTCCTGGCTTACCATGTCCAAGAACTGCTCCCTCCCCATCGTCACAAATCCACTGCGCTGCGTATCGGCCCTCTGGAACGCCTCCGACAACTGCCTCACAGTAACACAACACCTGACGAAGGCGTCGAACGTGATACCGGGTGGACCAGGATGCTGCTGCGGTGCACCGCTTCCGGGGAACTTCATGACCGGTGGAGGGTTGAATTTCTTTTGTAGGAGGTCGACGGTGCGCGGGTTGAGGGCGAAGCCGAACGAGTTGAGCGCGTTGGCGAGTTCGTACGACTCAATTGTACCTTCATGGTGATGTAATGATGGTGGTCAGGCATGGTAAGATTCGACGAGACTACTTGTCTCTCTCGGGGGCCGCCAGGCACTCACCACTCCTGTCTCGATCAAAAGTGCGGAACACGTTCTGCCATTCCTTGATGTAGTTCCAGAGGCCGGCGAATTCGTTGAATCTAAAAAAAATGGAGTTATTAGCCTAAGCCTCGAGTAAGGCTATGTCCTGAAACATTGCCAACGCACCCAATCGTTCCCGAGCGGTCGTTGTCAAACATGTTCAAGAGCATCTTGATCTGCGAGGGGCAGCAAGCACGATATATCAGCCGGATGTGGATCGGCATATCCTCGCGCCGTTGGCATGACGTACAGTCTCGTCCGAAAAGGGCGTGAAGTCGCCGTTCATTAGAGCCTGCTTGAGCTCGATATGGGTGATGGCACCGGATCGATCGAGATCAACCGAGTTGAACCTGAGGGAGAATTGAACGAGACTGGCATCAGCAAGGCGGGCGCCGCGCCTTGACTCGCAAATCAACCACGAACCACTGCTGAAGCTGTTGCTGATCTGCACCTCCACCGTATGCACCAGCTTGGGGTGCGCCATAGGCTTGCTGCGGCGGCTGGCCATAAGCTGAAGAGTCGCAAAGCAACGGGGAGGTCTGGTTAGCGCCTATTCTGACTGCTCATGGCGTCCTTTCCTTCTCGGATGCAAACCCACCTTGTTGAGGGGGTTGTCCATGATGCTGCTGCTGACCATACTGCCCCTGAGGTTGTCCGTAGCCTAATGATGGAAAATTTTCAACATGAAGAAGGGGGAGAGCAAGAGTCAGACGTCATCATTAAGAGCTCGCCCCTCGGGTGTGGTGCGAGCCAGTCGCCGACACTCCAGCAGGACGCCAACGGGTCGTATAGCACACCTGATTGGGGAGGCTGTTGTTGACCGTATTGGCCTTGGGGTGGCTGACCATAGCCCTGTTGCGCTGGAGGCTGACCGTAGCCGCCGGCTTGGGCGGGAGGATAGGGTGAATTGTGGCCTACGATGTAGAAGTTAATGGCGGAAATGAGCGCCTCGCTATACCACAAGCTTCAGATAAGAGCTCACTCATCGTCGGCTGCGTCAGAGAGGGTGCAAAGGGCTGCTGGGACACTGGAGCTAGTCTGGAGCTCAACAGTCGACCCGGCGTCGGCCACGGGTGACGCCGGTGACGGGTCCGCCTCACCCGAACAAGCGGCGCGCTAGTCTGCGCCAGACTCCAGTCCCGGGAGCCATCACGGAGTGGCTGTACAAATTCCGATCCCCGATGTGCCCTACAACTGGTGCTCTGGTCAGAAACTCTCCTTCACACGTCCAAGATGAAAAACAGTCGATGCGCCTCGAAGACGATCAAGATCTGAGCCGAGATTTCGCCTGCAAAATGGCCACCTCCGAGTCGGCGTTCGGGCACCAGGCCGTTCCGAGTCGGCGCTGGCTGGTCCGAGCTCAGCGCTCATCTCAGCGCTCATCTCAGCGCTCATCACAGGCGCGTCGCCGGCCTGACTCGGCAACGTCTCTCGTCCGAGGAGCCCATTTTGCTATCTTGTCGCACAGTGACACACCACCGCACACGCCGACGTCACCCCACTTGCAGGAGACGCTAACCGATCGTACTGCCCCGCAGTTCTAGGGCGTGACACCGCCCTGTAGCGCAGGATGGTGCTGCTCGCGTCGCGGTACGCCAACTCGGTCGCCCGAGGCGCGGTGCTCTCGATCGCGGCCGGCCTGTCCTTCATGCTGATTGCACGACATCAACTCGCCTTGCCCCATGCGTACCCACCCGGGGTGGCCCAGAGAATAGGCTCCCAAGCTGTAAGCTCACGCCTCCACGCGTGCTGCACTCCATCGCTGTCCTCTGACGCGCCCTCACCTCTTCAAAACTTCCAGTGGGACGTGGCGCTCAGAGCGTCAACGCCCGGTCAGACCATCGTTAACGCCGAAAGCTCCTCCTCGTCTTCCTCGACACCAAACACTCTATCCGATTTTGAAGATGAAGACGACGACGATGCCCTCGACGACAACGACCTCGGCTTCGCTCGCGGCGAGTGGAACCCCTTCCTCGCCGAGACCACGCCCATTACCGAGATTCAGATCAAGACGTGCATGCTCCCGCCGGGGCTGTACGATCTGTGTTCGCCGACGAGCTCCAAGAAGGAGGATGCGACGAGGGGGGAGTGGAAGAGGGTCGACAGGGATCTCAACAAGCGCGTCGGCATCTACTATGCTTACCTCTACTACCGTACGTCCACCAGCTCGGAGTCGAGTTTTCATGTCGTGCTGACCCGTCGACTTTGCCCTGCAGGACTCCTGATCCCGGGTAGCTCTACACCAGTCATCACAAATATCACTTTGATCGATCAAGAGGTCGAGCTCGACAGTACCAAGTGAGTCAGCAGCACGAGGGGGGGGGGGGGGGGGGGGAGGACGCATCACGATCCCAAACCTGACGAAAGCGAAACCCTATCTACCTGTCTGGCATCAGTGGCGTGTGGACTCGCGTATCTGCAAATATCAGGGAGGGCATCTGGCCACGTATGAAGCCCATGTACCTATACTACCGATCAACGTCCCAGCATCTCATCAAAGCCGCTCGAGCAGCCTCGCCCGATCGGAATGCCGGGGACAGCCTCGAGCCCATCACCCAGCTCGATGTCATCTATGGCGGTAACGAGGTCCAACCGCTCCCTGGCTACACCAAACTTCCGGTCATGATCTCGGGTGGCGAAGACGACGAAAAGGCTGTCGGCACGGGTAATCGAAAAGGCTCTCGAGTCGGGTCGACGCTAGCGTATCGCAAGATTGCACAAAGTGAGGGTCTCTGAGACAAGCGGTTTTGCTAGCATATGCTCAGCACTCACAAAGTCACCTATCGCACCTTGCAGAAAGCGCCGCCGCCCCTCCGTTGCGATTCTCGGCCGAGGGCACCTATACGATCCTCCAAGTCGCCGATCTGCACCTCAGCGTCGGTCCAGGTAAATGCCGCGACCTCGATTTCAAGCAAAGGACCAACTGCGAGGCGCTCGGTGCGGACACCTACACGCTGCAATGGCTTGAAACCGCGCTCGATGAGGTCAAACCTTCCCTCGTCGTCTTGTCGGGTGACCAACTCAACGGGCAAGACACGTCGTGGTCGGTCCAATCGACGATTATGAAGTTCGCGCCTTTGATCTACAGGCGCTCGATCCCTTGGACCGTCGTCTTTGGGAACCACGATGGCGAAACGACAGATCTGGACCTGAAGCGACAGATCGATCTCATGAGTCGCTTGCCGTACTTTGTCGGTGAAGCTGGTCCTTCTTCGATCGCCGGATCAGGCAACTACGTTCGTTCGGTCCGAGCCAGCGATTCAGATACGGTGCTTTCAACGTTGTACTTCCTCGATTCGCATGCCAACGTCAAGAAGACCGCACCTTGGTCACAAGCAGGCTATGACTTTATCAAACCTGATCAGATCAACTGGTTCAAGGGGAGGTCGGCGCAGATCCATACGCTCAAGAGGCCTTACACACCGTCGAACGTCCAGGCCACGATCAAGGGCTCGAAAGCGAGACCCTCCCAAGCCAATGAAGCGGCCAGGCATGTCCCGCGCGGCTCGGAAAATCGAACGACGGCCCAAACCTCGGCGCTGGCGTCGGGCAGCAATGCGGCGGCTCAGCGTGAAGATCCAGACTGGGCCCCGTCTGGGTTAGATATTGGCGGGAAGCGCATGAGGAAGCGCGCACTTCATGCGAGACAAGATGACGAGGATGCCGATGCGCTTGGCGACGGGGAGGGCGACGATTCCGTCCTTGGGCCCGACGACAACACCGAAGATATCGCGAAAGCCATCGCGGTGGAAGAGGCGGGCAACAGCGACGAGAAGATCGATCTTGGCTATGGGATGATGCCTGACGATGGAGCCAACATACAAGACGCAGCGACTGGGCACGAGACCGATACCTTCGTCAAGGGCAACCCTCTGCTCGAGAACGAGAAGGGACTCGAACCGACCGTACTCCCCGTGGGGCCGACCCGAGCTGCCCCCTTAGAAGCCAAGCCGAACGCGCTCGTCTTCTTCCATATCCCTTTGCAGGAAGCGTACGATTCGCCAATTGACGTCGGAGCCGACGGTACGCGTCTGTTCTTTGGTGAACGGTTAGAAGGCAACGGCGCGTCCAAGACAGATTCGGGCTTCTTTCAACAAGGCCTCTTGGCGCAGAAGGAAATGATGGCCGAGAGCGATGGGCCCGTCGATGCGTTCTGGGACGGCGAGTCGTCCGCACCGACCAAAGGTCGACCCGAGGTCAAGGTCGTCGCGAACGGGCATTGTCACATTAGCGAGGACTGTCGAAGGGTCAATGGGATTTGGCTCTGCTTTGGGGGTGGGGCTTCGTATTCGGGCTATGGTCAGCCTGGGTTCTTGAGGCGCATGAGGGTGTACGAGCTGAGTGACTATGGGGAGACGATCGAGACCTATCATCTCCTTGATACGAAGCAAATCATCGATCGGGTCGTGCTGGTCGGGGAGAAGGCCATGGGGTCCTAGAGGGGTTTCAGAGGATCCATTCGTATTGATTTCGTCTGTTTGTCGTTCTTTAGGACTCATCGGCTCCTGTGTGTGTATTTTTGGCTCCCTGCAATCCCAAATTAATTATGATTAGAATGTGGTCCCGGGATGATGCGATATGGCATGGCAGTAAAGTCGGCTGCAAAGCGCGAAAAACAAAGGTGAATGCTAAGTAGAAAGCTAACAAGCAACTATGTGCGGTAGAAACTCGAATGTAAAAATGACTGAATACGAAGGAAAAGAAGGAGGCCCGTACACCCATTACTACTGCTATTACTGATAGAAGGCCAAATGAGACACTTTCTTTTACGACGACAGGTATTCACGATCCTCCAGCCAGTCCAAGCACGTCCTCCCGCACCCGCGATGCAAGATCGGGATCGTCTTGGCGCCGTCGACCCTCTTCAAGGAAGGCTTGAGGAACGTGCCCTCGGCGACCCATTCGTATCGTTCGACCGCAGTGCGGAAAAAGACTTTTGCTTCGCCATCGTGGACTGGAGACTGACACACATTGGCAAGCGGGTCGAAAGGTTGCGTCGATACGGTGGCGCCGTCATCGACGGTTGAAGCGACGGACCAGGACGAATCGGTCGAGGTGCCGGAGACGGTGCGTTCGCGGCGGGAGACGCACGAGGTCGGGAAAGGGGTGGATAGGAACGGTTCGACGAGCGAGTCGGGAAAGTTTGCGGGTCGCTCCCATAACGAGATGCGCAGAGGAGGATTGGGTTGGGACGGGGTGGGAGCCGAGGAGGGCGAGAGAAGGTAGCGCGTCATCGTTTCGACCAACGACGGCACCGCGAAATGGACTCGCAGAGGGCCCAACACGCGCTTGGAATCGGTATCGTCGACCTGGTCGGACGATTTCTTATCCTTGGAAGTGACGGGAGGCGGCATGAAGGGGTTGGGATGGAGGGTGATCTGCTCGAGGTTCTCGAGCTTTAGGATCTCGGCCGGCAGGTACCGCAGCTTGTTGGAGCGCAGACTGAGGGTGACGAGCCCAGAGAGGCGACCGATCCCAGCGGGTATCCGATCGAGTCGGTTTTGACCCAAGAATAGTTGCTCCAGATTCGGTAGAGTGAAGAGAGAGTTCGACAAGGACGATGCGGTGAGCTCGTTGTGGGTCAGGTTGAGCTTGAGGGGGACGGAGAAGCTGAGGGGCGAGGAGCGCGAATTCTGCTCGCCGGGGGTGCGGCCGAAGGAGACGGTGGAGCTGCGAGCGAATGAACGTGTCCCCGTGGCTATTGTACAACCTTTTGATCCAAACATGTTGGGGGTGGTCGTCGGTACTGATTGTGTTCGGGAGAACGAGCATGTCGACCCTGCGCCGAGTAACAGCGACGACTCGGAGGAAAACATAATACCGGTCGATGTCGACTTGGGCAGAGGCTGAGGTAACCTTCTGAGCGTCTTGAGTTCCCACACCGAATCAGGTACGAAAGCGATACCTCGATTACTACGCGCGATCCAGGTGATGCATGCAGTGGTCAGTATCGTGGGTGGCGTGACTTGGGGGTTGTGGGGAAAGCCCAGACCTACCTCAGATCGAGATTGCCATTGGCGGTGTCGACGGCAGTCGCCAACACGACGATCCAATCAAACTTGGCAGGCCCGACGATAGAAGGCAAGTTGGCTTTGCTGAAGACGTCTTCAGATTTGATGCCGCGGTCGGCGATCCACGCGTCCATCCAGCCGCCCTCCTCCTCGTCATCACCCAACCCGACGATAGCGACGGGCGGTGAGGCGCATGCGATGTCGTGTTGGATCAGAGGGGCTTGCCATGTCGACTTGGCAAATAGCAGAGTACCCGAACTGGATCGCAGTGATCGACCCTTTTCCTCGTCAGGGTGTGCGCCCAAGCAAGCGCCGAAGGGTGAATGGTGGGCGGCGGACGTGGCCGGGACGACGGCGGCGGACGTGGCCGGGACGACGGCGGCGAGGTCGAGTGGGGTGCATGACGACGGAGGTGGCGCTGGAGACGACAGCGACAACGAGGCCCGCTTGGCTTGACGGAGTGCACGACGACTGTCGACATCCTCGTCGGGGATGACCCATCCTTTGGCTACGGCCGACAGCGGGTGAGGATCGATCGAGGGTACGACCATGCTGACAGAGAGCGCTGAGCGGCCGGAAGTGAGGCGAATCTGCGGAGGCGACCGTTGGCGAAGAGTCAGTCAACCGCGATCGGGCGGGGGAAACCAAAGGATATATTATATTCCGATCCGTTCAATCCAAATGCCATCTTTTGAAACTCACCTATGAACAGTGGCCAAGTCGCTAAGCGACCGCGGTGATAAAAGGGGAAGGGGGAGGAAGAAGGGCGACCGGCCTCGAAAGGAGAGAGGAGAGCTCATTCAACTTGGCGCGCCCGGGCTCGGCAACGGCACGGTCCGAGCGCGGCGAAGGCGGATCATCAACCAACGGTCGGAATACTCGGTCCAGGTCATCTGGAAGGCCAGGACCGTTTTATTGGGAGTACGGACGTTCTCGAAAGAGCTGTATAGGAAATACTGCGTCGTGCGGGCTCATTTCTCAACTGAGGGGGTTCTTGCTGCTTGGCAACCCCCTATACATTCAAGGACATCCTCATATCCAGGGCGCTGACATTTACATAACCTCGCCTCTCTCACAGATTTGAGCCTGTACAAATTCTTCCTAAGCAGTCTCTAGGAGGCCAGGGGGTGTCTCAGACCTACTCTCCTCCATGCCAGGTGACCCTAGACTTTCCGGCCCCAAGCGGCCACAACAAGCTCGTCCACGACACGCAGTCCCAAGTGCACACCGGCATAACGACCCTGTCGACGCGATACCCCGATGGACAAATCGGGCTGCAATTCGTTTGCTCATGTAAGTCGGTCGTTCGCGCCCATGACGGCGCCGGGCCACCAGCGGACGAATAAATCGTGAGAGCGATGATGACGAAATATATGGCAATTGTGATGAGTCCAGCACGGATCGCGAGGATAGATACGCTTCTCAGGACCTGATTGCGTTCGTTAGTGCGACTTCCTTGGGACCCTTGCCCTCCGCCGAGTCGGCCGAGCTCGTCCTGTCGTTGAAGCTCGTCGGAGACTTTGGTGGGCGTGCTCTCGACAGATTTTGACATCTTGATGAGAATACACTGTATGTGATCACCGCATCAGTACGCAATAAAATAACGCACGCGGTCCGCAAACGCTGAGACATGCCACCTTGCTGCAGGGACAAAGGAGACTCACGTGACGTGGACCGGGCCGCTGCAGGGGAGACAGTGGGGACGGTGGAACAGGGTGGAGCCTCGGTGGAGTCTGGCCGTGGATCGAGAAGCGAAGGGTAATCGGGACTAGTCGCGTAGAGGAGGATGGGGGGCTGGTTGGGGGAGTGCAGAAGGGAAAAGGAGAGAGAGAGAGAAATCACCCGAGCGCACTGCCTCGTTCATTCGGCCAACAAGGTTGGTCTTCCCTTTTTTGGTATCATGATCAAGCCTGATTAGACTTCACATATTCAATTACTTACGCAAAATCAATGTTCCTTGAAAATGGGGGAGGGGTAAAGTCAAAGCCACTGGATCTATGTAGCCCTCACATAGAACCACCGAAAGGTGAGCCCAAATCTTCCCAGAATCCTTATCCTTAAAACTATCTACTAATCTACTAAAGACGTAACATGCGTCCCAGCTAGCTACTGTAGCGCTGCTTCAGAATCGGTCGGCCAGCCACAGACCGTTTCGTCTACGTTCGCCGAGGTTTCATTGAGTAGCACGTGACCCTCTGCTACCCGAAGCAAACTGCGACGACCTGTTTTGCGTGTCTACCACTTCGTAGCGTAGTTCCTTCAATCATCCAGTTCCTGCGACTGCCGAAATGTCATCTGCAAACTTTTACGTCCCGTCTCCTGTACGACAATCTTCACGCCGCACGGAGAGCAGAGGGGCAGCAGAGACGTCGGCAACCAACCCGACTCCTGCTCTAATCGCACAGTCGCCACCGCCAATCGATCAACACAACGTCGCGCAAACTGGTTCGTCAAGTCAATCTGCACCGGCAGCACGTCCGGTAGTGTCGACCAGTGCGTTAATTCCGCCGTTAGGGGCCCCGCCAGCGTGTCACGGCTTGCCGACAATGGGCTTCACTCCACGTCGTTCCGCGGCCTTCCGCGACATTCTATGAGCCCGGTTTAAACTGAGGCGCAGGCTTCTCCATCTTTCTCCCTCCTGCTCTTCGCACCTTACCCATCGCACCTCATCCCATCGCCACTCATCCCATCGCCCATCATGAAAGAAGCCCCAACACCACTCGCGGATGGCGAACGAACAGCTCTGTCAGTCGATGACGTCGATCGACTTGCCGCAATACGGTCCTGGCCCAGGACACGGCTCAGGTAGTTGTCACAATGCTTGGGAAGTATCGGTTGATCGATCTCTCAACAGGGATGCCTCCGTGTAGTAAGTAACGCGAACAGCAAAACGTCTAGGGGAGCAGCCCCTTGACATGATGTCAACCAACCATCCATCCAGCCTTACCAAACAGCACTTCCCTTCAACACGTCTTCGTTGAATGTCAACCCTCGAGTTGCTTTCCTCCACCATCAACTGGTGACAGTGCATTCGTGAGTTATCACTTGACATTGGCTGTGCAGGCAGGTGTGATGGAAAAACTGATACGAACAACAGACATTGGATCGTCAGTGACAGGAGGTGACCCTATCCCCGAAAAGCGGGGGCACCCACCGTGGCCTGTCTGGGAAAACGACATCGATGCCCACAAACACCCCATATTCTACAACAACGCTCGCGAAGGAAGCAGGCCACGGGAAAATACAGCGGAAGGATTGACTTCGTACGGTTGAGAATCCAGGTCCATTGGACACTAAATGTGAGTCTTCACTGTCATTGCTACAGATGGACAACAGCAAGAATACTGACAGTTGTAATAAACGAATCACACAGAAAAACAGGCTTTGGTTCCGTGGATTGCGGCTCACCATCCCGTGGCAGATCCTCAACGGCTCGGTTCGGTGGAGTGACCGTCGTGTTGGCAGGTGTGTGCCAATCTTTCAAAAGCAAAGCGCAGGGCAGCATGACTAACTGATCGATTGGACTGCAACATCACAGGGGATCCGAAGCAATGCCTTCCCATTATTCCAAGTCATCGCCTGCACAAATCGTCGACGCTTGCATCATGAATGGCGACTTCTGGGGCGATCTCTCTGTAAGTAGTAGTCCTTGCCTGACTTTGAGACCCTATACTAACAACAGCCCACGGTGCGAGCGCAGACAAACATGCGTCTTCTCACCGCTGCAGACCGCATGACCGCAAGGGAACGCGCGAAGGCAATACGTCGATAGGCGAAAAAGTCGAATACTTCCGAGATCGAGCAATTCTGGCGCTCGCAGGTGGATCAGATCAACGACATGGTGTTCGACCTGCTGCCGGGTGACGCTCAAACGTTCTACAGCGCGGATTCGGTCGACAATGAAGACGAATCACTGTTCTCGATCGAGTACCATCAGAGTCTCAACATCGCCGGAATGCCGTTGCACCCTGCAAGATTCAAAGTGGAAACTTGGACCCCGCCGCGGAGCTGTGCAACGGCACAAGACTGTTGTCAACTCGGTTACACACCCGCGTGCTCGAGGCCATCATTCTCACAGGAGATCATGCTGGACAGCCAGTTTCGTTGCCACGGATCACGCTGAAGACAGGGCCATCAGCTGAGCTTTCGTTCCCTCTGCATCGGACGCAGTTTCCAATTCGGCTGGCAATGGCTATGACGTCCAGCAACTTGCAAGAGCAGTCACTTGTGCAGGTAGGAGTGTGTCTGGAGACGCCCGTCTTTTCTTAAACGTCCTGAAATGAAGGCTCTTTACATTTGATCGTCGTCCCGCGGTCCTCTCCCGATTTGAACCACTGCACTAGGGATCCGTTACTGACAGTACCGCAGCTGTTGCAGCAAAGTACATCACATTTCAGCGGGTCAACGGTTACGGCGTGAGGTGGTGCGCGGAGCGTACCGCCGAACCTAGTAGCACTAAGATTAACTTATGCAGAACCTATCGAGGACGGAGGGCTGTTGGCCGTGACGCAGGCAATGAAGTGGTAGCGTGGCAGGAACGGGCAGGTCAGTGGTCGTGCACGAGCAAAGAGAATCGGATTTGTCCTGGAAGAAAGACTCACAACGAGGGTAGGAAGCTAGAAAAGAGCGCGACGATGCGAGTGGAGATTAGTGGAGAGGACCAGACGCTAAGTCGGTAACTGGCTTTAGGGGTCGGATGAGAGGTAGAGATGGGAAAAACTTGGACGGGATAGGTGGTGGAGACTGGGGGAGGGTAGTGGTAATGTGGAAGAGAGAAAGGAAGGAAGTGGATATCAAAGCCCGTCCTAAAACCACCTCCTTTGACCATTAAGGTTTCAGAGGCGGGTAGGAAGGATGTCGGGAAGTGAGGGGAGGTCAGTTGCAAGCAAGCGCATGATTTGCGGAGCGGGACCCAATAATAGCTCATCCGGTCGTGGCACGCGCCGTGCGCTCGAGTCTATAGTCATCAACCGCACCAACCACGGGTTGGGAGGGTCGGGAGTGCCCAGCGCTGAGTGCGGCGTTGCCCGGTACCCACCTCTCTAGCTTAAACCTAAAACCTTCCGAATTCCCGGTGCATCTTTACCTTGGTACCCACCGGAACCTGACTGGGACACTTGACTTATAGAGACCGTATTTACCAGTACACAGCGCAGGTCACTAAGAGTAAGCAGTCAACTCGGTGAGCTCGACGACAACTTGAAGTAAGCACAATAAACCCAAACGCCCAGTGACCACATGCCGACGACTGTTTTCAGAGCTCGGAGGGGAAGTCAAATTTTCCGCAATTTATCTTGATGCGTAGGAGCTCGCAATCGGTCTCCCAGATCGCCGAGTCGGGACTCGATCTCCCAAGCCCTACCAGAGGAGAGTCGGAAGATGGGAATGAGACAAAGGAAATGAAAGCTCAAAGTCTTGCACGTGTTGACAATGTCTACCACCACTAGGCGCACCTGATTGGGATAACTCCTGATCCGGAGCACGTCGGTAGAAAGCGAGACGGAGTTCCCGAGAGTTCCCGAGAGTCACTATCGATACCGTATTTACTGTACCTCTGCCAGTGATACACGGAGGGTTAAAGCGGCCGCTACCCTAGTGGTTACTAGGCTCGAGCCCCTCGGTTAAGTAGACGACAAGCTCAAGTTGCAGATCACCGATCCGTAACGTAAACTTGCCGGATCACACTTGCAGTTTGCTATCCAGGCCTACCTATCTCTATCAGGAGGTATCGGGGAGCCGGCCGTGCATCTTACGAGCTAGTAGGCAATCTCGCCCCAGTCTCGCCCCAATCACTCCCCTCGGTGCCGGCTTTAAGAAATCTGACGCTCGAGGCAACCGTGTGGTCATGCGGAGCCCCACCTGCTAGCCGAGGGGTGATACGCATGGCGGCAATATCACTTATAACCTCGACAAGCTAGGCGACTACCTATCTACCTTGAGTGGGTGAAAATAACGCTCTCCGAGTCTGGGATTTTTCGCTACATGTGGAGCTTCGGACCACCTGTCGTATGTTGGTCCGAGCACCTCGGTCCCGCCGGCGCACGGGGTCAGCCGCGGTACGTTGGATCGATTATAATCGATACAGTGGCAGCCAGATATGGACGGTGCACGATGGATAACGGCGAGAATAGAGAGGGTTCGCAGATAGGGGTGTACGCTCAATCCTAATGCATTGCAAGAAATAGTTATATAGAGCTCTGGATAAGGCGGATAAGGCCGATCCCTAAGCAGACCTTGACTAAGCCGGGGGTATCAATACAATCCGGCCATTCATCCCCTCAAGACGCTTCCCAAGTGTCCAGAATCGAAACATAAAAATCACCCTTACTCCGCACATCACGTCCTCCGGATTGTTACCTCGAGCTCCGTGTATGCGAGTACCGACGATGACGAGCAGCCGGCAACAGTCTAGAACGGCACCCACTTGGTCTTCCCCATCAGGATGAACGACTCGTAAGATGCAAAGTCGCGAGGTAGTTCGGGATCGAACGTCATGAGCTCGGCCCATTGTTGCAGCAGCCTTCGCCAGTAGCAATCGACCGACGCGGGCGAGAGGTAGTGGCGGAAGAAGTTGTACGACGTATCGGCGATCTGCTCGGCGCGGTCGTCGTTCTCGATGAGCCATTGCATCGTCGCGGGTAGTTCGTCAAAGTTGTGACCCGGCGAGACGACGATATTCTGGTCCGGAGAGTTCATATCCGAATTGAATAGGTGGTGGAAGTGCTGGACATACTTCAACTTGTGCGTGACGAAGACGGAGCGACACTGCAGCAACTGCTTCCCTCGGCCCGAGTATGCGAATCCTTCGACGTGTCCCAGGTACTTGAAAGCACAGTGCTCTTCCGGGGCGAGCACCTCTTTCTCTATCGTGGACTTGTCCCCCCACTCAAGATCCGAGACTGCACCCCACTTGTACTTGCGCGCAATATCCCACAGCTCCTTGCGAATATCGACCATGAAGGCGCCTTTCCAGAATAGCTTGGGGACCTTGTCTGCCCACTTGATCCTCTGTTCGTACTGCTTGCATTTGTCCGCAACCTCAACCATGCCGCCAACTCCAGGTTCGGGCCAGGAGAAGAAACCAAAGTCGGGCATGAGCGTCAATTGAGGCTCCTTCTCTCGACGACCGAGGGCCCACGCTGCGCCTGCTGGCATGCCCGTGTCGCCGGTTTGCACGACGAACTCGACATCAGGGAGCGGCTCGAGGGAACCGATTATGGCGTCGCGGATTGATGCAAGCACAGCTTTAGTTCGTGTGCCTTGCTGGTCATCTGAATAGCTCTTGACGTAGAGCTGTGAAGAGGGTAATGGACGAAAAATTGGAGCGTTAGGCCAGCGGGTGGTGCCGATCGTAGCTTTCCGGATATCTCATGACCACAGACATACCCTGTTGTTCTTTATCAAGACTCGAGCCTGACTCTTCTTTTCTGCCTCATCAAGATGCTTGAGGGTCACTCCCCCCTCCTTCTTCCAGTATGCAACGGCGCGATCGATCTCGAGATAGAGGCCGGGGAAGACATTGTCGCACTGGGCCTGTGTCAGATGTCGGTCATGGCCAGCCTCGTACCCTTCTGCAGCTTCCCTCCAGCTTTTGACCCTGTTCTGCTCGAGGGTGCAGATCTCACTCAAGGTGGTCAAATTGGACTTGGGCGCACAGGCGTACGGGTTGAGCGTCTCGGGCAGGGGCACAGGCCTCGGTACGGGCTCCGGCGGCGGTTCTCGGCTGGCCATGCGCAGGACGGCCACGACAAGCAGAATCGTGGTCAAGGGCGAAATGAAAAGCCAGACTTGCACGAGACGAGAACGAGGCATGGGTGGGTTGTTCGAGGCCCCCCACGGCCCCCACAGTCCAACGGGTGATCGGCCATGAGTCGAAGCCGTTGGCGCGGTGATGCCCGTCACGCTGCCGCCATTGTTCAACGAGCGATAGGTCGCTCCGGCGAACGTCATCTCGACCTCGTGGTCGGTCGAGCCTTTACTTCCGACCGCAGGTGAGCCAGGTAGACTTGATGCGAGGGTTGAGAGTTGGTCGGTGATGGTCCGTCGCACGCGGTGGAACATGGTGTCAGCTCGACAGGTGGTGATGTCGTCGTCGTGAAGTCGACTTCAGCCGGAGCCCGCTTGCCCCGCCTCGTTAACGCCGTTCGGGCCAGGGTGAGATGAGGTGGTCACTGGTATAAGAAGCGCTATGGAGTGGCTCTAGTGAAAGCAAAGGTCTGCGCTGGTCTGCGCTGTGAAGGCGATGTAGGCCTCAGTTCGGGTGTGTCTGTCGTGTGGTGTGCCTCGTCGAAGTGTGGCGCTGAGGGCGATTGCTCACGAAGCTCGCAGGAAAACCCCAAGGTCACGCGCGGTCAGGTCACTTGGGTCTATTTGGGGTAGCTTGGGGTTTGGCGTCCGTGGCCGTCCGTGGCCGTCGGGACCGATCGACGGCCAATATGAACAAATTTATGTGTTTCTAGAGGTCTTTCGAGATTTTGTAACACGGACCATAACGCATACAAAGTGACTATGTTATTTCGTACGTTTGTGTTCTTTGGGTCTTCGTCTCATTAACCCATTAGCGAACTGTGCTCTCTACGCGCGGCTTGCAGAGATTGGGCAATGCGGAATTCGTTACAAGAAAGGACAGAGGACAGAAGGAAATGGGATCGGAGGTGCACCGTCAAGATCGCTTACGCGGTATCCTGACCGGCCACGAACGAAAAGTGAACCTCCTTTCCAGTCAACTTTCGGTAGACCGACGAGAAGGTCTCGAGCTTATACTCGAGGGAGGTGGCATCGCGTTGGTCAAGGAATCTGTCAAGAGTCGGATGTCGTAATGATCAGACAAAGTCGAACATCACGGTTCGAACAAGGTCAAACGTCGCTTACACCTTGATCAACTTCGAGCCGTCGACGTTTTGCCTCGTTCTCTTTCCGGTCACCTCCTGCACAAGAGTCAGAAAAGGGACGGGACGAACACCAAGAAATAAGTACCTTATTGTCAAGGTGATACCGCAATCCACTCCCTCGATCAAGAGGGAGCTTCACATCGCTGTATCCAACCTTTCCTCTTGATGCTTCATCGTGCTCGTTCCCCGAGGGGTGCGTGGGAGCGAGCGAAGCTTCCTCGGAGCCACAGACGTGACTACCGAACATTGGGGGGGTGGAGATAATGGTAGCGTCGGGGAAGAGTGGTCAGAAACGTACCGTGGGGAAGACAAGGTCGTCGAGGATGGCCGAGTGGACCTCCTTGAGCGTGCGCGAGCGAGGGCGCATCTGCTTTTGTCGGGAACCGCGGGTTGGCTTGCGCATCATTCGTCGCTGTCCGATAAAAACGACATGGCGTTCTGAAAACTTCTTCTCGAGCTCGCGGGTCAAACTATGGTCGGGCAAAAGCGAGGGTCAGGCTCGAAGCCGAGAGAAAAGGACCGCATCGCTTGAGCGCGCATTGACTTACCGGCCCTGGATCTTGTGGAAAGCCTTGAGCTGAGTCATGGGCACGAAGATGACGATGGCCTTGCGACCACCCTTGATGTCCACCTCTCGAGCCGCCGAGATTTGCAAAGGTCGCAGCTCGGCCTTCAGCTCGGCGACGCCGTTCTCGAGATCGAGCAGAGCTTGGGCGACCGAGGTCTCGAGCGCGTCGGGGGCGGTGCGGGGGGCGTTGGCGCTTCGAAGAATCTTGCTGGAGGCAGACTGGTATTAAGGTAGTAAGACGGTTCATCAGTATCATCAAATCGCTGTGGTCCGAGGCTGAGCAGGGCGCTATGATAGACAACGAGGGGTGAGGGTGACGAGAACGCGCACGCGCACGCGCACGCAGACGCACAGCACAGCACACGAAGGCGTGCGCAGTGCCACACGCCCTCATGCAGGCGAATGATGGCACATTGCGAATAATTGCAGATGTATGCCGCCATGCATGTACCTCCGAGCCTGCCCAGAGAGCACGCGGGCACCACCAGGCGGGGCATTGAACTTTTTTACTCGGGCCTGCCCCGTGCTCGCATCGTCCTTGCTCGCATCGCGCCCCGACTGCCAGGCACAAACGTCGGATGCGATGTCTCGGGAGGACTCACCATTATGATCGGTTGTTGGGTGGTCGGGTCGAGTGGAAGCACGGGGTAGTAGGATCGCAGAGATGTGTTTCGAGGAGAGGTGAGGTATGAGACAGGCCGCGAGCGCTTGTGAGCCTGGGAGGGCTCATGATGGCGCAAGATCAAATTCCGCTTCAAGTTAGAGTGCTAGTAATCAGCCTTGTAATGGCGAAATCGACCGAATACCGGCGGTGAAGCCCCCTTCTTCGGCAAGGTACCGCTCTCTTGTCTCGAGGTTCATCGGTAGATGTTTGTGGTGTTTATTGACCTCTATTACTTCAATGGCTGCAATGGCTCCTGATCAATTTTGTGCTCGAAATTCTTTGCGCCCGCAACGAGTGAACCCTGCCAAATATCCAGATAACAGACTGTCTATCTTTTGTTACCTCAAAGTAGACTAGATTAGGATACATGTTGAAAAGGCAGCTGTCAACACTTTAGTGCACACTGTACACTTGCTGCAGGGGCTGGACGGCTGTCGGCTGCGCTCGGACCGCCTCTCCGTGGCCCTAGGGGTCTGTGCTGCGAGTCCTTTGTCATTCGGACTAAGTTGTCGACGATCGAAACGGTCGCGCCCTGGCTACTCCACTGTCCTACCATCACCGACACCCACTATGTATATGCTACATCGAATAACCCGCTCGGCCGATGTACCAGTTTCTACACACCCAGACGAAGCGCTCGACAAAACCTCCTTTCGGATCGGCAACGCAGGCGCAGTGGGGCCCGAGTGGACCACGGCCTCGTCGGCGTCGGGGAGTGATCACCGCGGGAACACCCTCAGCAACGCAGAAACGACTCCCAAGCCAGTCCCAACACGACTTGAGACTTTTCTCAACCTTCTCAACAGGTCGACCAAAGATTCCGTCCCCTTGACGATTGACATCCCCTCGAGCAGCCCGATGCGCCCTGCCTCGGTGCCGTCGACGCCGACGCCGATCTACGATTGGTTCGCCCAGACTGCATCGCAGGAGGATCAACACGGATCGACGAACCGGGAGCCGACGAGCTTTCTCGACGAAAACGACGAGCCAAGTCACCCCCTCGAAGAACATGGAGTACATCCGACGTCACCAACCTCTGTGCACGACGAAGCTTCAGATAGTGTGTCGAACTATTCGACCGACCTCGAAAGCAAACTTGTGGCGTCGACGACGTCGCAGGCAGTCACCGCATCATCGAAGTCGACTTCAACCCGATTCGAGCGCAACTCTGAGCCGAATCTCCAAAACAGCACCGGCGGCCGTGGTGGTACCAAAAATGATTCCTTTCAAGGGTGCGATGTGACACAAAACGATGAGGGGTTACCGCATCCGACGGATCATCATTGCGATTCGTCGAATTATCAGTGGGATGCACGATCCATCGTGCTGCTCAGGGTGCTTTTGAGGACAGGAAGGTGTCAGGTAGACAGTTCGAGACAGGTGAGTCGGAGTTGCCCAGCCTTGGAAGTACCTACCTGTGTCACGGAAGTGTCCGATACATACCTATGTCGGGTATAAGCATGAAGCATCTACATACCCGAAACTACATAGCGCTCAGGTGTGCACAGGTGTGCATGGCTCGGACATGAGACAACGCGCGCGAACGGCGAGCGCGCTCAAATAAGCCCACCATTACGTCAGGCCACTTTTTCGATCACCCCGTGGCGTAGCTCCTGAGACCCTTGTGTAAACCAACGACACCCAAAACCACCCTTTGATCTTCAAAAAGAACAACGCCCATTTCGAATTTTGTGTTTCACTGACGTGATGCACTCGTCTTATATACGCAGGAACTGCGGAACGCGCAAGAAGCGATTGATCGCATAGTCGGAATCCGAAATCGAAGCTCGGGCGACGGTGAGTTCGTACAACACCTGTTCGGAGTCCCAGTCCTCTACAAATGCGCCGGCTAGGAATAGGGGTGAAGCCCCCCGAAGATGCTTGTCATTTTTTCGGTTCCGACGCTTCGATCCCCTTTCATCGTTGATGTTTCCCCAGGGGAGAGTCAATGCCGGAGCGTGCCGGGGCCGGCAACCGCTTGCGATCTCGGAGCTGAGCTCGGTTGATCGAGCAGGAGCCGCAGGAAGGCTCGCCCCAAAGGGAAGGATCTGCGCGGGCGGCGCGCGCGTGGAACCTGCGCGCTGGGCGCGGGTCACGTCTCTTCCCTTTCCGGCGTAATCTTCAGAATCTTCACCCCAGAACGGGACCCCTTGTGCGCGATCAGTCTGGTGCGATTCACCCCGATCCAAATGCCGAACGTGGACGCAAGCGCAACCGCGACAAACAAGCTCTCGAGGTTCCCCAATTGCCTTCGTTAGCTGGGCGTCGCGGACTTGACTGCCCCTGAACTTTCACGTTCCTTGGGTCGCAAGCGAGCCCCGCCGCTCGATACTGCTTCGGTCCCTGCTTCTGACCTTCCAATTGGCTCCGTCACATTCTCTCTGGCCCGCCTCTCTCCACTTCCTGTCGATACGACAAGGTCACCGCTTTTCTTGTCGCCATGGACCCGAGGCTGACACAGCGCTCTTCCTTCTCTTCTTCCAACTTCTCGGCATCGACGAACCGCTCGTCCCGTGGCTCGCGCTCGTCTTTGGCGTCATCGTCGGCGGCTTCCTATGACACTGACGGTACCTCTCCGGATTCGTCGCCACGGTTCCTGAAATCACCCATACCCACTACCTCCCAATCACACTCGAATGGCCATCATAAACGAACCTCTGTACAATCACTGCCTGCTGGACGTGGGAACGGCTCGTTTGTCGACACTGCTGCGCCGACCGTGTCGTCGGCGTCGGGCTCGGCGGCTCGCGATGATCTTGGCTCCACACGACGGGCCTCGGCTCCTCCCAATCCTCTCAAATCGGTCTCCCTGTCGCCTCGCCGCGGACGGCCAATGCTTGAACCACGGGGACCGAAAATGCAATCCCAATTTTTGGGCTTAGATCTCTCCTTCCTGGAGGATGAACCGCCACCGCCACCACCTGGCTCGTCGTCGGTTCGGCCGAGCTGGGCTGTGGCGCGTCGCGCGAACTCGGGCGCTTCGGGTAGATCAACTTCGGACGAGTTTGGTCCGAGTCAGCGTGAGTATTCGACGCATTATGATACGAATAAAGAGACGGAGTGCCATGATACCGTTACTTACTCCATTGTCACTCGGCGCCTGTCCCGTAGGTCCTTCTATCACGCTGCCCACGCAACGGGCCTCTGTTGGTTCGATTGGCTTGACCTTTCCGAGCGCCTCGAGGCCTTTCCCATCGCGCAAGCCTCCTCCGCTCTCAGATCTACGCAGCACGTCTTCTTCGAACAAGAAGACATCACCCTCCGCTGTCTCTCTCAATACTTTCGGCCGGCTCGGCCCCGCCACCTCGCCACCGTGTCCCTCTCGCACGGCATCCTCCTCGTCCGAGTCTGAAGATGACAGACTGCCATTATCAAACAGCCAATTGTCGACGGTCGAGCAACGAACGAACCTCGCGGTCTACCTCGACGAAGCCGCCGAGGCCATGGAAGGCGGCAAGTCTCTTGCGATGGCCCACGAGGAGCTACGGACAAGCAATGGATCTCGACGGCCGTCGCGGGACTTCCAAGCCGCGTTCGAAGCGCAGGAGGCACAAAAAGTCGCGGAACAGCAGAACAAGCGGGCCGAGAAACGACGACGTACCATCAAGGAGCTATGCGATACCGAACGAGTGTACGCCAGCGACCTGGCCGTCTTGCGTGACATCTTCCTCACGCGGGCCCGCGGGGCCGAGATGAGTCCAATCGTCGACCACGTCATGGCCTCGGGTCTCGGATTGGTTCGACTCGGTGAGGACGAGGAGGAGTCACCATCTTCCAACGCGAAGTGGGCTCGTACTCCTCGAAGTCGCCAGACCTCGTTCACTCGAAGCTCGGTGTTGGCCAAGCTCGAGCGTCGCCGCCAAGATTCGACGGGGCAGGCGCTCGAGTACATCGAGGACGCGGTCATGTCGTCGAGGGACATCTACACCATATTCATCAACCTCGAAGAAATTGCTCAGCTGGCGGAAAGGTTTTCTGCAGCTTTGGATGCTGCGCAAGGCATTGACAGCGAAGATGCCCAGGATGACCGGATCGGCGAAGTCTTTGTCGACACGGTAGGTCCCAAAAAGGCAACAAGGTGATGCCATGGAGAGCTGATTGGGGCTCTCTTTGCTTGACATAGCTTCCTCGCATTAAGCAAGTGTACTCGACCTACTGTGCCCGCCACCACCGGGCGATCATTCGCCTCCAAGAGCTCGAGCCGACGCTGCGCACTTATTTTTCCGAGTGCCGCACGCTCAGCCACGGGCGCACGAGCGCTTGGGACCTCGCGAGCTTGCTCATCAAGCCGGTGCAACGTTGCCTCAAGTACCCTCTTCTGCTCGAACAGATCCTTGCCGTGACACCAACGGATCACCCGGATCGACCTTCGCTCGTCGCGGCGCTCAAAATGATGCTCTTGACGGCGGAACACATCAACGACTACAAGAAGCGCACCGACAAGGTCGAGAATGTCCTCGCGTCCAAGCGAGGCTCTCACTCCCACAGTCGGGATACGTCTTTTTCCTTGCACAAGAAATTGCTCCGGTCTGCCGCCAAGTCCAAGGCCACGGGCAACATCACGGACCAGAACGAGTTGTTCGATACGCTCGCCGCGCTCGTCGACACGACTAGGGCTGGGGTGCTGCGCTTCTCAGCCGAGATGAAAGATTGGTCACGCGTAACTAAAGGAGCGCTGGAGGCCCAAGTCACGATGGTCTCCGGTTGGATCGATCTTTGCGCTCCAATCGGTGACGAGATGTACCCGCATCCTTCTCACCGCCGTTTGGAAGTCTTCCTGGACGATGTGCTCGTACCGCTCATCGAAGGCCCCTTCCGCGAGCTCGACCACGAGATTCGCCGCTCGCTCGTGTCCAAGACCGATCACCTCTTGTCCTTGTTCGAGAACCCACTCCAAGTGATCAAGAGGCGCAACGAGCACAAGGCCGAACATCGCCGTTATATGACGCGCAAGATGCCCCAAGACCAACGAGGATCGGAGGATTTCGTCACGTTGACGACGCAATTGCTCGAGGAGTTGCCCAAGTTCTTGGCGAGCGTGAGCAAGTACTTCAATATCGTCGTTTCGGCGTTCACGAACGTTCAGCACATTTACCAGGATAGTGTTAGAGAGAGATGGGAGGCATACGCCGATGAGTGGTTGACGCAGATCCCCAAGGGTGACTATGCGGCGATCGAGGCCGCCTTCCAAGATGCGAGTCGGGATGTGACGCAGATGCTCGCCTCCATCGTCAAAGGGCTCAACCTCTCCGTAGCCAGTAAGCCGCTCCTGTTCTCTTCTTTCACTGAGTCGAATACAAACTGATTGTTTAATTACATTGTCAATTTTACAGCCGCTGGCACGATCCAACGTCGTTCCAAGAGTACGCGAAGGAATCAGGGGCGTGACTCTCTACATTCGACGAGCAGTTCCTCGTCCAACACGACGCCAGTCATGTCTGCTCGAGGTCGATTCAACGGAGCCGAAGCAAAACATTTCGAGGACTATTCCATCACCTCTTCGTTCCAGGGACGCTCTTCAGGCCACGGTGACAACGGGAGCATGCCTTCTTCACCTTCGACGGGTCGACCTTGCTTGCGTCGACATGAGGCATCGTCGTCTTTACGTCGGAACAAACGAGCCTCGGAAGCTTTACCGCCTTTACCTCCCATGCCTACGACTTCGAGCAGTCTCATCTCGAACTACTTTGACAACGTATCAGAGGACGAGGACCATGATGGAAAAGACGGGGATTCGATGCATCACATCTTGTACCGAGCCGAAGCGATCGCCTCGGCGTGTTCGAGCGCGTACAGGAGTGGGTACCCTTTGCTTACCTTCATCGAGGGGGATCAGGTCGACGTCGAGTTGGAAGAGGCGGATTCGGAACAGGGGGGTTCGGGCTGGTTGTTGGCGAGGGATGGGGAGGGGATCTTGGGGTGGTGCAGGACCGAGGACTTCATTGTCGTCGAGTAGGAGTGCATCTTGTTGTTTCCCTACGCATAGTTCGGCTTGCTTCATTCGTTCATTCCAGATAAAGAGTTACAATGTTGCTATTTTGTTTACTACCGATGCGTCGAGTCGAGGGAAAGTACCACGTTCAAAGCTTGGCCTTCTTTGCTTCTTCCGCCCGCCTTGTCGCCGCCATCTTGAGCAAAGCGTACAGACTCTGCAATCTCGGCATCTCGATCCCTTTCTCCCTCGCGATGCGGATCTGCACAAAAAGGTGAGTTCATCGGTCAGTTAAAACAGGCCGAAAATTTTAAGAGGGTCAATCGTCCTTCCCTTTCGTTGTAAAGGACTGACCGGATTGCCCAAGATGACCTCAATCTCCATCGGTCTGCCTTCGATCCAATCGACCAACATACTCGGCAACCCATCCGTATTCCTCTCCGAACTCTTGAGGATCATGTCCGCATCGACCTTTTTCAACTTGGGGGGCCAGTCTCGTCCTAGGACTTTGGGGGCGGTGTGGAAGATTTCGTTCATGCAGCCTTTGAGGTGGAGACGGAGTTCGGGGTCGAGGGACATGCGGGCGTTGCCTGTTGCGCCGGCTAGGACCGAGGAGGGGTTCATCGAGGCGTTGATCTGAGGAGAAAGGTAGGGTCAGGATGGGTTCTTGGGTGTCGTCATCCAGGCGCTGCTCGTCCAAGGTGGTGTGAACTCACAGCCAACTTGTGCCACCTGACGAGCTGCAAGCCCCTCTCATCGTACTCTTCGGCATCCTCGATCCCACCATGCTTCAACAATTCGACAAACTCTTTGCACCTCTCCTGGCTCTTCTTCCCCAACGCCGTATTGCTCTCATCGCCGACAAAAGGCCCGATCGAGATGCGCGTCCAGCGATTCTGCTTGATCACGCCCGGTTGGGTTTGCTGCGCACTGACGACGGTCACGGCGCTCAAGACGACGTTGTGGGGGAACCTCTGGCGATGAGGTGATTCGACGCCTACGCCATTTTGGATCAGGACGATCGTCGCTTCGGGACAGGTTTTCAGGAGAGGAGCGATCAATTCCGAGTCGTCCAAGACGTCAGGAAGAGCTTTGGTCGCGACGACGATGTAATCCCATTCGACGTCGGCTGAAGCAGCGGCGGGCAGGGAAGGGAAGACGAGGTCCGGGGTGAAGTGGTAGTTGCCGAAGGAATGGGTTTGCATCTCGAGGCCCGAGGTGGAAACGGATTGGTAGTTGGAACGGCACGTGACCGAGACCGAGGAGAGCGACGTCTGGAGACGGGATCCGTAGAAGGCTCCGACGGCTCCTGTGCCGACTATGGAGCAGATTCGATAGATCAGAGAGGGGAAGTGTTAGTGAGTCCATCGGGGGAACGCGACGAGCGGACAGGGGCAGAGAGAGCTCAGGCGGGGGCCGAGGGGGCGGAGCCTAGTCGGAATTGGACAGTGGATGATGATGATCTGCTTACCAATGAGCACCTCCTTCTTGGGACCTGTAGTTGATGGTGGCATGGGGAGAAGTGCGATTGATGGAGTTGCGGAAGGAGAATGAACGGATGATGGAGTTGGCGCTCGTCCGGTCATGGGCTCGGGCCGGGCTTGACGGAGCTTGACGGAGCTTGACGGGGCTCGAGACCGACGAGGCCCCGCTCAGCTGCTGGCTGAGGCGGCCGCCGCGTGAACTGGCGCAGGCCGACAGGCGGGCGCTGACTGGCGCAGTACTGGCCCAGGCAGGCACTGGCAGGCACTGGCAGGCAGAGGCAGGCCGTCGATGGCGGCGAACTGCAGCGAGCGCGCTCGGCTGAGCCTGGCTGAGCCTGGCAGAGCTCCAGCTCGACAGAGCTCGACGCGGCTCCGCAACCTCGCACACGGCTTGACCTCACATCTCACCCCCTTCAAACTCCGAAGCCCCATTTCGAAGGCGCACTCCCAAGCCCAGTATGCGATCCGTCCTGCGCGCGAGCCGAGCGCTACGCCAAGCGATGCCTTCCACGACCACGCCGGCTGCGCCTACGCACATCCCGCGCACCAAACTCACCACCAACGTCGTCGGTCTATCCGTGCACAACGAGCCCCTCCCCACCCTGAAACATACCCTCGAAGCGACCCTCTCCGTCGTACAACAGATGCCCCAAGGCGCGGTCTACCGTCGTTCGGTCGAGGCGAACACCCACGAGCGACTGAACGTGTTGGCCAAATTCGGGGGTCAGGGATCGGAATCGGATTTGGAATCGGTCGAGAGGGAGATTGGGTTGGGGGGGATCGAGGAGGTGATGCAGATTGCCGAGGATGAGTATAGGTTGGCGGCCAAGATGTTGGAGTGGAAGGCGTGAGTGGCTATCGGTCGGGGTTCAGAGCGAATGCGAGTTACGGTGGCTGATCGATACGGAGATCCTGTTTGTGCTTGCAGGTGGGAGGAACTCGAGGTGACGCCCGCAAAGGACCAATGGGTTCAGTTCAAGCAGACACCTTCGACCACAATGCCGGACGACCTCAAGTGAACGACCCAGGAGAGGAGCGCGGCTTGCCAAGCAGGTTGGGCTAGGACTGTCTGGACTAGGTGGCATATCTCTTGGCATTTCAGCGTAGTAGAATCGAGGGAACCTGCAACCGACGATTGGACTGCGATTTGTATCATCATCGTCCCAAATGGCGCGCAGGGGGGTGTCGGACGGTGCAAGAGCAACAAAAAAAGGCGTGTGGGGCATCTATTCAGAGGCAACTTATGAACAACAACACGCAGTCTTTCGCACAAAGGACCCGCCTTTCTACAGAGGTAAGACGAACTCGCACGCGACGGCAAGATGATCGCTCGGTTCGACGCCCAACTTGGGCAACCCATCCCCCATCTCGTCCCGACGATGCATCCTCATCAAGCCCGTCCATTCAACACCGCTCACTCCCCGATCCTCCTTCTCCAATGCGAGTATGTAATCGAGACAACACCTCCACAACGGCGTATAGTTGGTATACATGGGTTCAAAATCGCCTCTCGCCACACGCTCCTCCCAACTCCCTTGACGACGTTGTTCGATCGCTCGAGGATCCTCGATGATCTTCCACCCTTGACTCGATTCGACACCGGGTGGTCGTTCGACGTACCATTGCGCTTGTTCTTCAGTGAAGAGACCGTGAATTTCTCCGTAGGCTGAACGAACGTGGGGTAGACTCTCGTAGAGAAGTTTGAACTCGTCGAGGGACACGAGCCCATCGGCCTCGTTCGCAGCTCGAGAATTCTTGATCACCTTGTCGGGATCCTCGATCGCTTCTTCCCCCTCGGCCACTTCTTTGACGACTTCCATCGTCTCGTAGGAAGGATCGTATATCTTGTCGACGGATTGGTGGATGACGCAACTTGCTTCGAAAGCATGCGTTTGGGAGGGGGTCAAGGGGACGCGCTTGAGCAGGGCGTAGGTGATTTCGTTGGGTTGGGTATTGAGGTCTGAGCGGAAGAGTGAAAGGTAAAGACTCAACGAACTTCATTGAACTTTTGAGCTTCATCGAGAAAAACTCACCACCCGCCAGGATCAGTCTCCAGAGCCCGCCGTGTTTCCCCTGCATCTCGACCCTAAACCTCTCGGCCCTCTCCGCAAACAGATACATCTGTCGAACCCTCTCGTAAACATGGGTAGGGTGCCAAAACAGGTGCGTCGTCCCGATGATCAAACCTCCTTCACGACTCGACAACGACGAAGAATCCGACGATGGTTTGTGTTTCAACGCGACGAACAAAGCGACGTTCCTCGTAGATCGGGACAGCGCTCGAATCCTCCTTTCTTCCGCAAGGTTTTCTCGATCCAGTTGCACGCTCGTCGTCGTCGACGAGGGCCTCATTTTTTCCTCGTCAAACTTGATCTCCAACTGATCGACTTTATCAAAGAGAGAAGCTTGGTAGGCGATCAGAACGCCATGGGGTTTGGTGTCGTACCCGATGTGGTAGGTCAGGTCGTAGCCGGCCTGTTCGAGCGCTTGACGATGGGTGTCGTAGTGGTCGACTTCTTGGAGACAGACGAGCGAGGGGGAGTAGTGCAGGACTCTATATGAGGGAGGGGGGCGATCGGGGTCAGATCTAGGACCATCACTCGTCGTGCCAGCGCTGAAAACTTACTCGGCCATTAGGGTTATAATTCGGGTCTTGACCTGAGGAACAAAGGACAGCAACAGGTTGGTTCCCTGCGGTAGTTCATTTCCCCTAGCTCCAATGAAAACACACCTTGAGGAAGTCAGAGCCGGGGAACAGTTCCCTTCTGACCAAAGCCTGGGCGAGCATCTACACTCGGAGTAGTGGGGGGAGCCAAAAGGTCGAGTCAGTCTTTTCGCTGTCGAAAAGGGGTACTCGACTCTGACCACCCCCAACAAGCTGTACTCACGTTCCAACTGAACAAGGTGAACGTTCTCCTCTGACCTGCTTGACCGTTCGTACTCGGGTCCCTCCTCAACCAAGGCCTCGGCTTGAACCTCATCGTCGTCGAGGCACCGTTCAGTTTGGTCGCCTCCAGCTTCGCCGCTTTCACCGCCTGAAGTTGTAGAGCCTTTTGTTGCATCTTCTCCCACCTTTCTCGCCGCTTGAGTTCGATCAGCTCGTCTTGGGTTGGGGCGGGCGGTGGTGGGGAAGCCGGTCGGACGGGTTGGATCGCCCAGGGGTCGTTCGAGTCGGCCTCGACGTGTGGGGTCCGAGTCGCGGCTGAGAACGTCATCGTCGAGAACGGGCGATGCGGGTAAGCTAAACACACTCTGAAGCAGGAACGAGCACGACTGAAGGAAGTGCTTCCGAGAGACGTGGTGACGAGTAGGTGCGAGGTAGACGCAGGCGCAGTGACGGACAGGGAGAGAGAAAGAGTTGATCCAAGTCGGGCTGGCTGGCTGGCCGGGGCCTTGGCTTGCGAAAGTCGAGGCAAGTCAGTCGAGTGTCAGTCGAGGGGGTCCGAGCGAGCTCCGCGCCGTACGCCGACGAGCTTGTACTCTGGGCCTTGCATCAATTTCAACCTCTCCGACACATTCGGTATCTCCCAAGGACCTCTAAATAGAAAACTCTTCACGTACCCGACTGGACTGAAACTTCTCCCGCACCCCCTACTCGGATCTTATCCTTCAGCTCCGCAACGTCCGACTTCGCAACCGATCGCCACCCTCGGCCAACCTCACCTCATCCAACACACCCACATCCCTCCCCCTTTCACCCGACCGCACCCACCTCCACCTCTTCCACCATGCCGGGCAACCGCATCAAGACGATGAAGGCGCTCCAGTCGCGCAAGTCCAACATCAACGGCCACAAGATCCACCCCAACTCGCGCCGGGCCAAGCAACTGCAACGCGTCGAGTTGCGGACCCGGAAGTTGGAGGTGCAGGGCAAAGTGCAGAGGGTGACCGAGGTCAAGAGGGGTCAGTGAAAAGGAGAGACAGAACCTTCGGAGCGAAGTGGTCGGAATTGATGTTGGGGATTTTTTGATTTTTTTTTCTGTTGTCGAGCAGTCGACCGACATCTCTGGTTCGTGCATTCGATCCCGGACGACCGAACTTCGCTCTCCTTGCCCGAACTGCACCATACGATCCACGACTACATCCATCGCGACGAGATCGAGATGGTCCAACTCGCGCAGGAGCGGACCGAACGGAGTTGGAGAAAGGCCGAACCCAAGAGCAAGAGGGAGGTCGAATTGGAGAAGCAGCGGGAGCAGGAGAAGGACGAGTACAGGACCGGGTTTGGTCAGTTTCGTTTCCTGTCTTGGCTTGAACATTATAGGATGGGAACTGATACTGAAAAAAGATGTCGCTTCTTTTACTCCCTACAGTCGTGCCCGATCTGACGTTGGCGAAAAACGTTTACCTCTGTCGCCAATGGATCCACCCCACGCCGACACCCAAGAACCCGCATCCCAACAAGGGTGGTGACCCTTCCTTCCTCGGCCGGTGAGTACATAACTTTGACAGATTTTTCTACGCGGGGGAGCATTCCGGCCAAGTCCTCGTCCGGCCCCCCTACCTATCTCTTTCCTGATCAAGTCCCCTTTTGCTTTGAAATCATTCGACAGGATACGACTGATTAGGATCAATTCTGAGAACCAAGGCTCGGTCGTCGTCGAATCAGAAGGAGCGAGGAAGGGTGAATGGGAAGAAGAGGGGGAAGGGGAAGTCGAGATGATGGAGGATCAGCACGAGCAGGAGGAGGGGGCTGAGGCTTGAGGAGGGGGCAAGGTTTTTTCCTCTACGCGTGTATACATGTACGAAATTTTGTTCTGATAGAGTCTACTCGATGTGATTGAAGTACCTCCTTCGAGTGTCGGAGAAGAAAGTCGACTTGGAGCGCTTCTTCGGTTAGGCTAGACCGTGGGCCAAGAGAGGTCTGAGCGGGGCGAGTTGGGCTCCCCCCTGCAGGTGCTCCCCCCACTCCTCGCGCCAAACACTGTGAACACTGCAGCTGGGTAGAGCTGGGTGCGAAACGCGCGTGTGCCCGAGCCCCGAGCTCGACAGCTCCGGCGGCTTGTCGACTCTGGTACACCACACATTGGGCTAACAAGCTGGACAGCCGACCAACGGATTGGCTCAAGTTGGATTGATTAACACCGAGGCGGCTCTGGTGGACGTCGCGACTCCCATGTCGGGCCATCTCCCCTCAGCTGGAGGACCGGCTCCGACGCTTCAGGACCCATTCCAATCCTCGTCCTCGTCCTCGTCCTCGTCTGCGAACTACACCACTCGCATCGCGTCGACTTCTTCGGTCGGATCGTCGGCTTCGTCTTCGGTCGCTATGAGCTCGAGTAGGAGTCGTGCAGCGGGAGGGGGAGCACCTGCTTCGACGAGTGGTAGTTCGAGGGGGCCGACCAGGGTACGTGCCACGCGAGAGTGACGACGACGATCACTTGGCCTCGACGACCGCACATCACACTCGGCCATGACCTGCACTGATCATGGCCAGCTACTGACAACGCACACCGCATTTCTAACCTGCAGCCATCGGGAACCTCTGCTGTGCCCACATCGCACATGGACAGCACCAGTCAGTGCTCTCTCTCTCGAGTTGATCACCGGCACCGCGCTCCTGAGCCCCACCACCCAAAGCTAATAATTCTTCTCCTCTCCTCCAACCCATGCGCTGTCACCGGAACAGTCACGCGCTTACTCGTCGCCACGAAACAACTACTCGAGGGTGAGCACCGTGACTCTCCAGTGGGTAGATGACCCGAGGCATGCAAGTGCCGACGCATTCACCCTCAAACAGGTCTGGCGAGATGGGCCCGAGGCGATCTGAGCGAAGATGCCATCAGCGAGATCTACGTCAAGCTGGGCAACGATTTCAACCTCGCTGTCGCCGCTTTTGCAAAGGAGAATATCGGCATGAGGTGAGCGCATACGGGAACCCGCGGTCGAGACGATACCAAGAGCTGACACCCATGTGGGGCGGCCGCCATAGTGAACTGCTTTCGGTCCCTGGCGATCTGAGGATATGTCTCGAGACGTGCTTGTCCGAAGAACCCTCGCAAGCGACGCTCGAGCGTCATCTCCCCAAAGTACGACAGATCATCATTGGTCTACTGCACGGGCTCAGGGAGAAGCAGAGGTTGTATAGGGACAATTCGGCCGCGAGGAGGGTGCGCGAGACCCAGGAGAGGGAGCAGGCTAGAGCGAAGCAACTGGCTCAGCTTCAACAGGCGCAGAAACAACAGCAACAGGCGAACGCGCCGGCTTCCGGAGGAGGAGGATCACCGCCGACGGGATCGGGGGCTGGACCTTCCGATCGAGGGAGCACTTACTCCGTCGCTTCGTCGACGGGGTCATCCTCTGCGACTGGCCATCCATCGACCCGACCTTTGATCGGCAAGGAACCGTTAAGTCCTGACAGCGCCACGAGGTCCAGGGACGATCTGAGGAGGTTCGTCAGTCAGGCGCAGCAACAGCACCCACCGCCGACGGCGTCGACCAGTCAGAGTCTACCGGGGACGAGAAGTACGTCACCTTTACCACCGCCTTTACCTGGGATGGCTCTACCGGCACTACCATCGACTTCCGGTTCGGGATCGAGACCCTCACTCGAGTCGCGATCATCGCTTTCGAATGACGATCTCCCGAGAGCCGGCACGGGACAGAGCGCGATCCCGCTCGTCACAGCCTCGCCGAAGATGGTCAAATCGAATAGCAATGAGCGCGACTCTTACGGCACGAGTGAGGCCGAGTTTGGCACACTGCCTTCGGTATTACCATCATCAGAGTTTAGGAAACCGAGCTCGAATGGGAGTCTACGTCGAAGGAGCTTGGAACGATTGAGGGCTCATTCCCCACCGCCTCCGCCAAGGGATAAGGAGACGGTGCCTTTGCCCAGGACGCCGACGCACGATACGAGCCCAATCAACGACTTTCCTACCTCACCACGAACGTCCTTCCCCGACCCGACGAACGGGTCGACCTCGGCGCCTCCTTCGGTTCCAGTTCATTATCGACGCCCCAGCGCCGCAATCTTGGCTGCCGCAGCGGCCGAACCACCCCCTCCCCCACCGGCGGGTACGATGGCGCAAATGCAATCGCTCGAAGCTTTGAGGCAGTCCGACAATCTGTCTCGGAGGGCCAGTCGAAGGTTCTCGGCCTATGCGATTCAGAAGATCACGACGGGGTCGGGGTCGCCCAGTCGATCACCGGGTGAGAGGAGGATCATTTCCGGTCCGTCGCCGATGGGAGCAGGGAGTGGAGGCGGAGGGAGCGGAGAGCCTGGAGATGGTGGATCGTCGCTTCCTCGTAGTGCTTCGGCTGGGAGAGAGCTGGCGATCGCGGATGAACGAGGTGGGATGAGACGTGGTGGGCCCAACAACTCCTCGATGACGGCACCGGCCCGGAAAGCCAAGAGTGAGTTCCGACCGACGAGAGGTGGGACGACCGTCGCATCTCCTTTGGCACAAAGGGAGACGGGAGGGATTGCGACCATTGCGGAGGAGGGAACGGGAGGTACTCGGGAGGGATCACCGAGTGCCGGTTCGTCGTCGTCGCCGAGTCGGAATGGGGCTGCGAACCGAACAGGTTCGATGAGGATACCCCCTCCGACGGCGGACTTGCCTGCTACTCCTTCTTCGTCGTCGGCATCCACTCCGTCGATAACTGAAGGAGCCGGACCCACTTCTGTCGGCCCCGTTCGCAACGCAAGCACCTTGACGACCGTCTCGACGGACAGTGACTCGCACGACTACCCTCTCAACGTCTTCCTCCAAATCGGTCGAGAAGTCAAAAAGGCGCGCTTGGTCGACGAACCGACGATCGCGTCGCTCAAACTTGTCTTTGTCGAACGATTCCAGTACAACCCCGGGGCAAACGATTTTCCCGCTATTTATGTGAGGGATGGGGAGTTCGGGATTAGTTACGAGTTGGAAGATATGAAGGATGTAAGAAATGGGAGTGTGTTGAGTCTGAACATCGATAGTGAGTGTTGGGGTCTAGTGGATCAGGGATTGCTTCCGTGTAGTTGACTGATGTCCTTTCTGCCTATCCCCGAAGCCGTCGAACAAGTCAAGCAACACATCGACCAAGGCTTGTTGACTCTCTCGCAGGACATCAAGGAGCTGCGATCAACCATGACGGCGATGCGACGCGTCTCGACCCACGCCGGCATGTTCAGCCCCGAACTGACGACGCCTGCCGCGGCGCAGACCCTGCCCGAACCGAGCGAGCAACAGTACCAGGATGCGGCGCAGAAGGTCTTGCGCATGCGACGGCTCGGCTCGATCCCCAACATGGCTGCTAGTGCGAACGCGGACAAAACTTCGCCTAGCGATCCCAAGACGCCCAAGCCTTCGCAGGCCAGTACTTCGAGCGTTGGTGCTCCGCCCCTGCCTGCTGCTCCAATGGGCTCCCCTACTCTTTCATCGAGCTCCAAGATGGGTGGTGGTGGTGGTAAAGGAGCACTCGACGCGAACCAAGTCGTCGAGACACTCCGGACGCAACACAAACAAGTGCAAGACCTACGGCGCGAACTCGGCGTCCTACGCCAAGTCTATAGCGATTTCGGGCACCACACCAAACACATCTTCGCGGCGATGAAGGTCGAGACCTCGCGCGTGCACAAACTCGCTTCGGCGAGCAAAGTCGGCAAGTCGAGAACTTTCGTCGAAGCGGGCGTACAAAAGTTGGATGCGGACGTTTCCGAATTGGTCGTCAAGGTGGACGAGATCTCGGATTCGATCGAGTTGATGCGAGCGGATGTCGTGCGAGGCGTTCGACCTCGGCCTGGGTACCTTAGTGAGACGGCGCTGACGTTGAAGAAGATCGTTGAACAGAGGGACGCTGTTGCGGAAAAGTTGGGCACGACCAAGCCGATGTGGGCGCATACCTGGTCCGAGGAATTGGCCAAGGTGTTGGGCGAGCAAGAGACGGTGCAGAAGCACGAATCGATGTTGGTTGATCTGTGCGATGACCTCAATGACGTCAAGGACGTTTTGAAGAACATTGAGGCCGTCGCCAAATCGACGAAGAAGTTGCATCGGACCAAGAGTGGGCATCGTCTAGCGGGCAGTGGCGATGATGGTACGGAAGGGAACGACCTCGATCTCGGTCAGTCCTTGTCGAACGTCTTGCTCGAGGTCAAGCATCTCCAACCCGACGCGAACAGACGCTTGGAAGCGATCGCGAGAGCGGAGAAACAACGCGAGGTCGACAATGCGAATAGGACGGACGAGTTCGCGGACGAGTTGGAAGAGTTCGTACAGGGGGCCAAGTTGAAGAAGAGTGGTGGGGTTGAGGAGGCGGAGAGGTTGAGGCAGGCGAGGAGTGAAGCGACGCTCAAGGCTATGTTTGCTGGTTAAGCTGGCGAAGATGGCATGCGCGTGGCTCTCTGTTTGTTTGTTTTTGTTCGTACATGCATTGCTTAATGATTGCAAGTAGATTACGTTGATGACCCATGCGCCCTGGAAGAGGACATTCGACTGATGCCAATCTGAAGCGCGACGGGCTCCCCCACATGCTCCGAACCCCTCACGTCTACTCGTCCTTTTTTTGGGATGAGCTTGCCGCGGCAGGCTCTTGGACGCTACTCGCAGAAGCTTGCTGCAAAGCTCTCGTCGCCTCCCTCGCCTGTTCATTCCTGACTTGCTCGAGACGAGCCTGTTCCTCCAAGTCGACGGCATTCCCATCCCCAAAGCCGACAGTGAAGCCCATGAAAAGTCCAGAGAAGAAGCTGAAGATCCCAAAGAGCGCAAGGAGGGAGGACCCATGGGGCGTTTTCTTGCATACGTAGAGGCAAGTTGCGGCGAAGAGGAGACGTCCGGGAGCTGAGGAGGCGGAAACGCGGTAAGGTCAGCTAGCTGCAGTGCCACTGAGGGGTGCGAGAGGAAGTTGCACGAGGCAGGAAAGACGGAGCATGGATTGTGCAGGTGGCTGCGTAGGGATGACGCACTCGAGTTTCGTTTGGCCTTTTCGTCCAAGGTGTACACGCTCAGAATGTATTGAGCGCCTTTGATGGTAGAAAACCCGGTGAGGGTCGGGATTAGCTATCGCTAGTAGTTTCGAGCGGCCCCACTGCGCGGTGTGAAGAGACTGACCGATGGCGAACGAGAGCACGCCGACCAATGCGAGAGCCTGATCATTGCCGGAATACGGACGAAGTTGGGTTTCGTTTTCGATGAGGGTGAGAACGGGCTGTACAACTCGCAGGAAGGCGGTCGGGTCCCGGAGGAGGGCGACCCCTGTCGCATAGGTTGGAGGATATAGCATCCGAGTGAGACTTGGAGCATACCCCAATCTGATCGAGCTCGAGTGCGACTTCACGTACCTGCTATGACGTGTGCGAGACCCGCCACACCCAACTGAACATCGCTTAAGCTCATGGGGGGCGCCGGAACTGTGGCAGCCGTGGATACGGTGAGTCGAGCGTGCGGAAGAGGTGCTGATCGCCGGATAGTTGGTAGTAAGTGACACCAGTAGGCTTCTCAAGTGCTGATAGCAGGTGCATGGAGCTGGTAAGGGCAAGGACTCAGGACTGCCGGGTTGAGGCCGAGGGCTGCCTCTGGATCCGTGCGCATGTGGAGCCAATGTGGGGCGGCGCACGATCTCGCACGATTTCACGTGGGTTTCAGGGGGCGAAGTCGACTGACCGGCCGCGCACCTCGGCTCTCATCTCCTGGGCGAACTACCTCATAAATCAGCTCCACACGGGCGATGTCAAGCTCTGCGTCGACTGCAACCACCCAAGCTGCCAAGGCTCTGTTGCGCAAGTCACTCAAGCGACGGCTCAAGCTCGTGCCCCGAGTTCAAGTCGCCCAAGAATGTCGGTCCGCACGCGGCACGACCGTGCTGGTCAACTCACCTTCAAGAGCTGATTCCATTTCCATTCTCCCAGCCGCTGCAATCGCCGCTCGAGTCCTCGCTGCATCGTGGTACGTCAAGGCCGATGCGGTCAGCTGCTACCTCTCCACTCCGGTCGGCGAAGCGAGCACCGATTCGATCATTCTCGACGCCTTGAGCAAGGGTCAGTCCAGACCAGGCGAACCTGGCATCCTACACAGGGAAAATTGCGTATTGACTCCAACACAGGAAAACGCGTCTTTATCCCCTTTTGTCCACTCGAGCAACCCACGGTCATGCGCATGCTCAGGCTCAAATCCGTTCAACACTTCGAAAGTCTCCAATTGAATCGATGGGGCATTCGGGAACTCGATCCACGAGAGGTGAGAGTCGTGGATGTATTGAGGAGTCATGATCCACGTCGCTTACACTGTCGTACTCCCAGGTCGAAGCGCTTGAAGACGGTGAGAATCTCGGCCCCGAGAAGTTTCGAGACGGCCGAATACCGGGGCAAAGCTCTGACTAAACCCACCGCTTCCTCCTTTCCTTCCTCCCTCAGCGGAATCAGAACAATCCGGTGGACTCGACTTGATTCTGGTCCCTGGTCTGGCGTTCGACCGCAAGAAGCGACGGCTCGGACATGGCAGAGGCTACTATGATCGGTGCGTCAAGTGCACCTCAAGGACTGTCACGAGTATTGGACTGACACGACGTACTGATTGGTCCAAGATACATGACCGAGACCGGAGACTATCCCACGCGATTCAACAAACACCCACCTTATACAGGTCAGCCGACGTTTTAAGTGCACGTCAGTCGAGACCTGAGCCGACACTGATATGACTAAATCATTGGCCTACAGCTGCCCTAGCACTTCAGGCTCAAATGATTGAGCAAGATGATCCCGATCAGATCCCTGTGACAGAGTGGGATCGTAGACCCGATGCGCTGGTCACACCGGATGAAATCATTTTTTAAGGCTCCTTACTGGAGCAGTTCAGCTTGCTCCGTTCTGGGCATGCACTGTCTACGACTACCTCTTTGAAATTGAAGGCTTCCATGATCTTGACTCGGAGGATCGGCACATGGTCGAACGAGCGTTCGAGAACTTTAAGAGTGAGCAGGCGTGAACGGGTTGATACTTGCACAGCGTGCGTACTGTTTCAAGACTGGGTTCATTGGGTTTTATATGTGCAGTTGACCTCGACGACGCCGGAACGATCAAACCCGGCGGTGATCCGACGCCCCAGGAAGTACCGCAAACGCCCTCTCCGAGTGACAGTGCTCTTTCCGAGACCACCTGCATCGACAGACGTCGACGAGCCAAGACGAATTCGATCCGGGACACTCAAGTGGAAGCCAATCGGATCGAAGTGAGGCCAACCCAGAACGTTCAAAGTGGTTTGCCGCCTGAGACGCCTTCGAGTCCGATCAAGCCAAACACCAAATTGAAGGCGAAGGCGGGAACCAAAATTAAGGCTCCTCCTATGGAGCACGATCCTGCGCAGACGACGTTGTTCGCGAACACGGCCAAAGTTGATGACGACGAGATGGTGGAGGTGAAGGGCGAGGCCTGAGAACGGCCGAATGAAGGAACGAGAGGTTTTCTGGCTTATGGAGGCGCAGGATGGCGGAGTCCGGAGCTTTCAAGAATTTGCGAAAGTGCATCTGTACAAGTGGTGGCAACGAATAACCAAGAGCTCAAACAAATCGGAACGAGAATGATGAATTACAACAACAAAAAAGTATGTGATCGGGACACAAACTCGCCCCTTGAGCCAACTCGCTGTTGTTTTACCGAGGACAGCTACTGAGGGCATGGTAAGATCCAGCGTGTAGCAGGTGAAAGCGATTCGCCTACATGAGCTTCATCCACTACTCAGCTCCATCTTCCGCCACTTCAATGTGGAGGAGCCTCACCGCGAGGCGACCATCCGCCGTTGTTGGCCCATAGGAGCCGACCGTACTGGCTGATCTGGCGTTGGTGCGTCCGGAGCAACCTCGTCCACTTCGTCGACCCATCCTGCCGGTACCAAACACGGCACGGACGTCGCCACCTGAGCTCCAGTCGAAGATGCCACGCGATGAGCTCGGTCAGACTTGGCGCTTGGGTGGGGCTAAGTTGCGCTTCATCCGACTCACCCAACTCGCTCTATTGATCCAAGCCGGTGCTCGTCTGCCTGTCAACCGATACAGCAATTCGTCCGTGAAGCTGTTGCAATTCTGCACATAGTTTCAAGAGCCGGATACTGTGATCAGCTCCTAACCCCTCGAATTCGGAAAAGTGCTTGTTGGAGATGCTCACCCTTTGCAACAGCGAATACTTGGTTCCTTTCCATTCCTCTTCTGACCTCATCTGATCGACGATTTTCCATGCTCTTTCCAAAGGGTCCTCGGTAGACTCCGCTGCATTTGGTTCTAGATTGCTGCCCTCCTTTCCCTTGCTCGACGACGGATCTCTCTTGGACGTCGGCGGGAGTGAAGCCGTCGATCCCGCACTCATTTGTTGAGCATACGAAGGGCCGGCAAGCGTAAGCGTGCTCTCGGATGATGGTGTACGCGTCTGCCGTAGCTTGATCGAACTCAGGCTCGTGCTCGAGGCCTTGCGCCGTTGTTGGTCCGGTATGGCCGTCCGTTCTATCGCCGCTTGAGGATCCCCGAACTCCTTCTCCCAATCTGGTCCAAACGCTTCTTCAGCATCGAGAAGAAGATATTCTCGAAGCCCTGGCATACGGTCGGCCGCGGTCCCTGCTGCGAGAGTGAAGACGCCGGTTGCGCTGGGCACGTCATGTCCACCGAACGCGATCTCGACTTGGTTCGACGCGTCGTCGTTGAGTCGGGAAGCGTCACGTCGGGGTAATTGGATCGAGGAATGGTACACACCTGTTATGAGAAAGGTTCGATGCAAGGTCAGTAGCTTGGTCGGGGCGTAAGCCGCGCATTGATGAGCAGGTTGGTTGATTCGCGAACGGTGGAGTCGCACGGGACGAACCGGTTCCGAGCGTGTTGAGCATCCAGGAAAGGTTCGAGGGCGGTAGGAGGTCATAGATCCGTATTTTGACGTGTAGAGGCTGCGACATGACGGCGCGCACGGGACAGTATGCCCGACAAGGAGACGGTGCGAAACAGGCGGACGGCCAGGGTCGCCCGGGCGAGAGGTGGGGGTGCCAGGACCCCCGAAAGCCCAGCCTGAGGCGCGTAGGTAAAGAGTGGACAAATTTTTGGCCCTAGAAAAGCCAAAATCGCGAGTTTGGAGATGTTGTAGAGCATCTGAAGCAATTCTAGTGCTATTGTTGGACGAGCGTAGATGGACTGGACATTTCAAGGACATTTTTGGGCGAATACACCAAAAAAGGGTGGACAAATGAGGTCCAAAATCCCGGATTTTTGACGGATTTTACCTACGCGCCTCAGGCTGGGCTTTCGGGGGTCCTGGGGTGCCGGTGGAGCGCTAGCTAGCGCTAGTGGGCCAATTATAGCCTCGCTGGTATTTGAGAGAAGCTGTTGAATCCACACTCGGGCAAGTGTATCATGATACGCCGTCTCAAGTCACTACTGTTGCATCGTCTCTCTTGCTGCAGCCAATCGAAGCAGTCTACAGGCGTGGGCCGAGCTCGGAAAGTGATATATCACGCTCGGCCAAATTGTTGCTCAAACCTGGATGTGCACCGATAGGGAAATTCAATGCCTCCTAAATCACCGGATTTTTCTTGGTACCTATTTTCAGGAGCGATGAAAGCTTGCCCTGATTCTGCGCGAAGATGCGGATGCTCGAATATGCATGCCATCCGGTAAATTAAATGAAAGGAAGGTCAGGTAGGTCGGTCCGAAGTTCGGGAACTTCGGCGGACTCGTGCTTCGCGCTCGGACCTCTTCTTTGGACTGAGATTCACATTTTTGGTGGTTTTGTAAGGGTGAAGGCTCGCATCTGGTGACTTTTGGCTTTATATAAGTCCAACACGTTTTCAAACATTGATCTTGTGTGAATAATTCTGGTTAGGCTTGATACGAAAACTATTAGATTACTCGAGGCCGCGACTAATTAGAGCGGCTCTCTCCCTCTCTCACACTCTCTCCCTAACGTTCCCCAGTAACTTCGTTTGCTCACAGCGCTGCTCCTCAAGGTTAGACAACGTTTGTCTCACTTCCACGACTAGCCCCTACTTCCACTATACTTTGGCTTCACCTGCTGTCCGTCACTACAGCAGACGCCCAGAGTTCCTGCTTCGGCTGTAGCGATCCCGTCGAATCGCCCTCTGTAACGCGGGCTGGTCATTGGACTGCCCGGAGTTCCGCGGACCGGCCGCGAGTCACTCATCCAACGTTTTGGAACTCCCCGACCCCCCTAAAATAATAACTCAGTTGGGGTCTGGAAGCCGACGCCCGCCTTGGTCCCGAATCATGGATCCGGTCTACTACAACGATCCTCTTGACGTACCCGTGAACTTGGACGACGAAGAGTGAGTGCAACGACCCTGACTTGGAAGACCTGGCTCCTTTGGCCATTGCATGGGATCCTGCGCTCACGTCCGAACGTCCTCGACGGTGATCTCGGACAAGATATCGTTTCCATGAGCGAGCAACAAGGCTCCGACGCGACTCAACCGACCCTTCCACCTCCTTGACAGACCACTTGCACCGCCTGCAAGCGGAAGCCTATAAGGTGCACCCTTACCCCTGTGTACGCCGGTGGAACTTTGCCCGCTACAAGATCAAGCGCAACCATCTTGGATACGACCGCGCGCTCGCCGATGGCCATCAAGACCGAAGCGTGATTCTGATCGATGCCGGGTGTTGCAGTGAGTCGTGGCCATATTCACTCACAAGGCTGCGACTAGGCGTCTAATACGCTCTTCTTGCCGCTTTTTTAGTGGGTACGGATATCAGGAGTCTGGTGGCGGAAGGCTTTCCCGCGGATCAACTCCTTGGCACGGACCTTGACGATCGTGAGCTCAACCTGCCTTTCCGTTCGTACGATTAGGCCACGGAATCTAGGCTGAAGTGTCTGTTCAATGTAGGATTCCTCGCGTTGGGTTATAAGCTTTTTATGGACGAACCCTCGTCGCCCTCCACGCCGGCGTTTCTCGCCGGCGACCTCTTCTCGACATCGTTCCTCGCTGCGCCGGCCGCGGATGCCTCAACCTCGACATCGGCCTCACCTGCTCCAGCACTCAACTCATTGACATCACTTACGCCACTTCTCGGTCGGGTTCGACACATTCATTGCGGCTCGCTGTTCCACCTCTTTGGCGAAGCAAAATAGGCTCAACTCGCGCACAAGCTGTTCGCGCTCCTGAGCCGGACCGCAGGCTCCACAGTATTTGGGTCCCAACTTGGCAGCAGCATCGCCTCGCTCCGCGATCGATATCGACTACCCGAAAATACTGACCCCGAGGCGGAGGATCAGGCGTGGTGTCACTCGCCCGAGAGTTGGAAGAAGCTGTGGGCCGACTTGTCCGAAGAAAGTGGGGTGAAGCTTCGCGTGATGACCGCTCTGGAGGATCGCGCCGGTAGCAAGGCGATGCCCATCATCGACGACATCCACGAGTACAAGATCAACATTCTTGTGTGGTGTGTGACGGTCTTGTGAGGCGCTCACTCGTTTGGGCCAGCCTTTATGCGAAGCGGACACAATCCGGGGTCTGTGGAACATGGGGCCGGACGATCGACGACAGAGGGGCTTTGATTAACTAGTTTGATTAATCCTCTCTATTCAGAGGGCGGAATATGAACCCACGATGTGGTTCAGTGAAACCTTGCTGTAACTGTCGCATTATTGTATCTTTCCTTGGCTAGGGAATTAGGTATATCTATATATGCGTCAACTTATTATATTCACGCGACTATAACAGCTCGGCACGTTTCTGCTCTGGCCATTCGAGAGAATAAGCCTGTCCTCCCCCCATCCCAGCGGCTTCCCACTCCCTGATCGATGTGAGCGCCGCGTCACCCCAGTTGAACGCCTCGTCGGCGTCGGTCGGTCGGTCGACAAAGATCATGAAGGCCTTGTTGACTTCGGCGATAAACTTTGACGAGACGGCTCTGCACGGGCCCAACATTGAGGGGAAAGTGTATTAGGGGTATTTTGCCACGAGGACCGAGCCCGAACCCACTGCTTGAGCAATGATCGACTAACCCCTGAATGAACGAGCGGAGGGGCGAATAAAAATCATTGACGTTGAGCAGCATCACCGCTGCGGCGAAGAAGCGAAAAACGATCCAGACTTGCTGCAGCTACAGAACGGGATAGTGACAAGCGTTCACTCACGCTTTCGGTCTTTGGTTTCATCAGTGTCCCGGCGTCGAGTCGTGCATTGTTCGTTGTAGGAGGAGGGGACGCATCCGCGCGGTTGGGCCCAGTCAGGGGTCATGTAACTCGGCGATGTCACATCCAGAGATCATCGGCCCCGAACTCACGAATCCCAAGTTGTGTCCACGTGGACGCCTCGGCACACTCTTCCAGCGTCCCAAACCCCCCGGGTAGACCGATGAAGGCGTCGCATTCGCTGGCCATGATTTGCTTGCGCTCGTGCATCGACGCCGTGTTGGTTTCTTTGAAACGCGGGTTCGTCGGGATCGAACCTGGTGGCGCCTCCGCTGCAAGGAACTGGAACAGTTATATGGGGCCGAGGTCTGAGTCAGCAAAAGGGGGAGGAAAATCGGGGCAAGGAGAGATGCGGGATTCCTCGTGCTTCTCTAGGCGAAGTTACCGCGACGGGGATGATGCCATGAACTTGGCCGCCGGCTTCGAGGCACGCCGTGGAGACGGCTCCCATTAAGCCTTTGGTACCTCCACCACTGAAGGATGGGCGAGCATTAGGCCAAATCGGGCAAGAATCCACATGTCAAGTTGATCAGCGAAATAAAAAGACATTGCAATCTATTGGAGCTGTTGCAACCTACTCACTAAATGAGACGCAGCCCGGCCTTCGCAATGGCCACCCCCACTTCCTTGGCTGCTCGCTCGTACATGGGATCATCGCCGGACGAGGAGCCGCAGAAGACGGTGATGCCTCGAGCGGTGGGTTCTATCGAGCCCATTTTTTTCTTTCTGGTTTTTCGGTTCAAGAAGAGTGTCGTGTGAAGGACAGAGAGGAGATGACGCGCGGTGACGGCGGATCGCGTTCGAGAGCTTGAGAGAAAGAGCGCGTGTTTGCGAGACGTGCAAAGTTATGCGGATTGGGAGTCAAGGGAGAGCGAATGAGCCGTGGAAGGGAAGAGCGAGAGCCGACTAGAGGGAGGAGAGGAGAAACCTCAGCGCCGGGACTTTAATCCGGCTCAGTAACACCGCGGCGCTCGGTGCCACTTCGGTGCCGGCCGGCGATGGGGCACGGTCGTAAGACACCGACGTAAGACCGCAGGCAGCATTTTCGCGATCATTCAAAAAGTCGAACAGATTTCGTAACGATAGATCAGAACAAGCTTTCTTTCTGCGAGCTCCTGTCTCACCCCAAACATAAAGCGACCCCTCTGGGCCCCAGCACAACTTGTGCCACCTGCCTCAAACTCCATCGGCCTTGCCCAAGATACTCGCCCGACCCGCCCGCTGGCCCACCCACTGGGCACCCAGTCTGAGGTCAAGTCCACGCGAGACCTCGCGAGACCGCGCCAGCAGCAGCAGGAGGCAGGAGGCAGCAGCAGGCAGCAGCGCGTTAGGGCTCATCGTAGCGCGCACAACTCGTGCTCTTGCCCTCGTTCGACGGCGACTCATCGCACTACAACATGGCCGAACGATACCTGGGCGTGACCCCACCGATCTCGATTGCGCCTCCGACCGCTCGCGACATCGAAGTCACCAAGACACTGCTCCAGGAGCTCAAGGATCGAGGGCAATACGAGGGACCCGAGGAGGGGCGCCTAAGGTCGGTCGACCCATTGACCACGCGACAAGACGACTTACCCGGATTGCCGCATATCCGCAAGGCTATGGTACTGACCTGTTGCTTGTACAATGCTGCACAGGGAGAAGGTCCTGGCTCGGCTCAACACGCTGGCCAAGGAGTTCGTGTACTGCTCGTCGCTCGCTCACGGTCTGCCGGAACAAAAGGCCCGCGAAGCGTAAGCGTGTAACTGGTGCTACATGGCTTTTTCGGCCGAGCTTTGTTCAGCCATATCTGACGATGTGTTCGCCTGGGATCTCCATTCCAACAGCGGCGGCAAGATCTTCACCTTTGGCTCGTACCGATTGGGCGTCCATGGGCCAGGCGCCGACATCGACACCCTGCTCGTCGTGCCGCGGCATGTCGAGCGCGAGGAGTTCTTCTCGCTGTTTGAAGACATGTTGAGAGCAACAGAAGGTGTGGTAGAGGTTTCGGTCAGTACCAAATCTGTGCGATCCCTGACCGAGCTCGCCTGGACCAACTGACGACGCGCCCTCCTCGATAACGACGACCTGACTCGGATCAGACCGTACCGGAAGCCTATGTCCCCATCATCAAATGCGTCGTCTCGGGCATCGAGATCGATTTCCTGTTCGCCCGTCTCGCCCTCGCCACCGTTCCGAACGATTTGCAGCTGCACGACAACGACCTCTTGCGCAACCTCGACGAGCGTTGCATCAGGTCACTGGGTGGATCCCGTGTAACGGACGAGATTCTTCGGCTGGTCCCTGACGTGGCCGTGTTCAGGGAGGCTCTTCGGACGGTGAAACTGTGGGCCAAGCGTGCGTACTTCGATTGACGGTTTTATCGTCTAGCGTCCCCCTCTGGCCGAGTGGGTCGTGACTGGGAGCTGATGTACCCTGGACGTTGTTTATACAGGGCGAGCAATCTACAGCAACGTCATGGGTTTCTGTGGCGGTGTAGCTTGGGCCATGCTTGTTGCCCGAGTTTGCCAATTATATCCGAAGGGTTGCGCTGGAAGCATTTTGTCCCGGTTCGTTCGGACGAGTGCAGGCTTCGTCTCTGGGAACTGACACTGCCCCATTGCGTCAATCTTGCTGCACAGGTTTTTCCTAATCATTGCGCAATGGCAATGGCCGCAACCTATACTACTCAAACCTATAGAGGACGGTCCTCTGCAAGTCAGAGTTTGGAACCCAAAAGTCAGTCGAGATCAAGGGAGCGCGGTGTACGGAGCTGCTCAATCGTTGCGACCGCACTGAGCTGGACCTTCTTACCTATCCTGGGCCCTCCAGCTTTATCCTTCCGACCGGTCACATCGTATGCCCATCATAACACCAGCTTATCCGTCCATGTGCTCGACACACAATGTCACGCTCAGCACCCAGCACGTCATGACGTCCGAACTAAAGCGAGGTGAGCCTGCGAGCGAGTGCAACTTGCGAAAGAGGGCGGCGGGGCGGCTACACCGTCACCCCGGCCGGTCGCCTTGGTTTCTACTAAGCTGATTTCCGACCCGATTCATTCCCTCCCAGCCTCTGATATCGTCGACAAAGTCTTTGTTGGGACTACAACATGGTCCGAGCTGTTTGAGCCCCACGACTTCTTCTCCCGCTACCGGATATACCTGCAGATCACCGCGAGTTCGGGATCGGCCGACGTGCAGCTCAAGTGGTCCGGGACGGTCGAGTCTAAAGTTCGCCAGCTGGTGATGAAGCTCGAATTTGTCGACACACTCACCCTTGCCCACCCTTATGTCAAGGGGTTCGATCGCACCTATTACTGCATTAACCGCGAGGAGCAGCACGCCGTTGCGACGGGTGAGGTCCCGCCTGAGGTCGACATCCGGCCCGAGTCAGAGTTGAACCCGGAGGAAGGGGGCACGGTGTACACGACGACATTCTACATTGGTCTTATGATCGAGAAGAAGCCCGGTACGTCGTGACAAGGTGACACGATGTACTGTTCCACCTCTTGTCCGAGTGCTCTGACACACCTTCTTTTCGGTTTCGCTCGTCTCCTCTCTGCTCGCTGCTTTTGCTCGCGCCTCGTGGCTTCGCGGCGGTGGTTGATGCAGGGAGTGGGCCGCGCAAACTCGACATCTCGTACCCGACGACGGAGTTCACCAAGCTGGTGAAGATGTGGGACAAGTACGACGAAAGTACAATGGGAATCATTGTTCGATACATCAAGGCGTCAGTACACCTATTCTGCTCGACACGAGGTCTTTGAACACGGAGTTGCTGTCGGCGGCGCGGCTGTGGGGGGCCACCACGTGACGATCGTTCCGGACGCGTCGAACAAGCGACTGGGGCTTCCCTCATGGTGCACACGATGCTGAACCTCTGCCGGTCTTTGACGTTCCCAGTTCGGCACTACCAGCGTACGTACATGAAGGTAATCAACCCAGTGGCCCCGATGCCCCGAAACAGATGAGCGGCACAAAGAGGACCAAGAGTAAGGTGAGTTGATCTCGAGCCCCGCTCAGCTGCAGCACTTTGCCAAATCCAGACGCGGCCAGGCGGTCTCCCCTGATTCGATTGCGATTGGCATCGGCGTGTGCGATGTACTCGTGTCTTGTTTTCGTTCCTTCGCTCGTCGCTGATGATCACCATGCATGCGTGACTCCTTTTCCGGACTCTCTTCCGATCCGCTTGCAACCGCTTCTCCATCTCGTCCTCGGCCCGTCGCAAACCTCGGTCGCTGCTGTGTCGCGGAGCCAGCCGCCGGCGAGCGCAGCAGCTCCGGTCCAACCGACCTCTGGCGACGGTAATGCTACGACGGCAGCAGGCGAAATGTCCGACCGCTTGATCAAAAAGTTGCGATCGTCCTCTTTTGTACCGGAAGGCTCTGCACCACCGACGGGGACCGACACGACACCGATCCCGGCATCGACGAGCGATGACGCAAAGGCGCTGGCGGCGGCCACGTTTGCGCTCGAGGGTCGCGAGACGGCGCCCGCGACGGCCTCGGCGAATGGCGGCAGCAACGGCACACCACAAGCAACAATCGATGCAAAGTCGGCGTTCCAGGGTTCCGTAGCAGAGACGACGATCGGACAAATCCCAATGTGATGACCAGCGCTTTTTGAACTCCGCTAGGTAAAAAGAAGGGAAGAGGAGAGGCGGTCCGGTTCGGCATCGGCGGCTTGCTCGGGACCTGAAGGGGTCCCGGATTGGATCCAGTGCAGGCTAGGCTTCCTCAGTTTGCTTCCTTGTCGTTGACGCATTCTCCTCGCAGCATACGATGCACGAGCCGTATCTGTTTCACTTCTTCCCCTTTCTGTCTTCTTCCCCTTCCTGTAGCGCTGGTACTGCGTTGTAGACACTCAACTTCCCGGCGTCGCCGTCGCGACTGGTCGCCCCTTGTCGTTGACGGAGGCGTCAGAAGCGCTTGTCTCATTTGTGTGCGCGCGCGGTCGAGCTTTTTGGATCCGCTCGCCTCATGAGCACCCTGTCACTCTGCTGTAGTCCTCTTACTGCGCTGTCTGTAATCTCAACACCACAAACTCGATGCCCACGGTCTGTTCTCCGACTATCCTTTCATTAAGTCTTAGCGAGATGTTTCGGCCTCGAGGTGATTTGGCTTGGATAGGGGATGGACCTGGGATCAGACGAGGAGCGAGCAACGAGGCAAGTCCACTTTGGATTTCCCACCCCTTCCACCACTCGCTCCGATTCTCCCCCACCGCCGCCGCCGTCGATAGGAAGCCCCCAACTTTCGTCGCCGGATTGCACCACAACAAGGGTCTACAACAGCAATTGCGAGACGTGACGCTATAGAACAGTTGCATAAGATGTAATACCATGTGCATGGCCGGGCTCAGATGCAATACATGACGCTGCATCGACCTTTGAACCGAGGCGAGGTCATCGAGCGACGGTCGATTAAGGTCGACGATTCGGACGGAGCTCAAGCTCGAGCTCGGAGCCTTGTTGTTTGTCCAAACCGCCGACGATTTCTTTGATCGCGGGAATCGAGGGCAAAGGGGAGGAGGGCCGCGCGAGGGAAGGGCCATGTTTTGGGGCAGTGAGACCAACAGGGGTCGAGCGAAAAAGCTGATGACCGACACATGAAAACGGAATGATCAACAGCAAGCAAATGCAAGCGACCTAGGTCGAGGCGGGTCCTGACACGGGGGCAAGGCTCACGCGCGCCCGACGTCGGGATTGCTCCTCTCCTTCCTACCTACCACTCGCTCGCTCACCTCGCTCTTCGCTTTCTTGCTCACTCGCCAACCCAAACAACAACAAGCCGCGCTCAAAGTTTCATCTGCCTTCGCCTCCGAAGCCGATCTTCCACCATTCTCTCTACACTTCAGAACCTTATCGCGTCACCGATCAAAGCAATGGCTGGCGTAACCAAGACCCCCAAGGCTTCCACCACGAAGAAGTCGTCGACCCCGACCGCTGCTGCGGCCACTGCTCCCAAAGCCGCCGCCGTCGCGAAGCCTTTGGCCGCCAAGAAGCCTACCAAGCCCTCCGGTCCTTCTTACGAGGAGATGATCACTGTCAGTACCTCATGCTGCACCACATGTCAATGTCACTATCGAGTCGCAAGACGTGCTGTAGAACGCGTGTATCGGCGCTGATTTGAACTCGCGCGTCATCCCCACCCACCCCACCGACCTCGGGTCTCGTCCGGTGTTGCCAACCCCGACCGCTGTCGTCGCTCCCTCGTCCGCGCTCTCTCCGAACAGGCCGCTATCAAGGCCGAAGGCGATGCTCGCAGCGGTGCCTCGAGGCCCGTGATCAAGAAGTGAGTCGAGCTGTCTTTGCTATCGTATGTGTTGTCGAGTGGTGCACGTGTTGTTGTGCCTTGAGACGGACCGCGATTCACCCGAGACGTCTGATCCCATTCTTGGCCGCGCGCGCGTGCGCGCCTCGAATGTAAACAACGGGGCTCGCCCCCTCTCGACGGTCGATCTATGCGCGTGCTACCGACCGCCACACCTTATGTATCGACTTGATACGAGCTGTGCGATCACGGTTCGACGCTTGTTTATCATATTTGAGATGTCTTGTTCTGACCATGCCCTGCCTTCTTTCCCTGTACCGCTTCGCTCTCTTCGTCGCGTGATTGCCCACCTCGCTCAACTCGCCGCCCCTCGTTCCCCTTCCCTACTCCGTCGTCACCTCGATCGCGTGCCCTCGTGCTCGTTTCATTGCATCGGCTATAATCCCGCCATGATTTTTACCTCATCCTCGTGGATTGTATCTTTTATTACGATACGAATCAACCTCGCCGCCTCAAAAGGTACTTGCTCGCGACCTACAAGATGGCGGATGGCGCCGGCTTCGATTCCAAGATTGCCGCTGCGGTTCGTCGAGGTGCCGACAAGGGAACTTTCGACCTCCCCAAGGGCATTGGTGGCAAGATCAAGATTGGTAAACCCTCCAAGGAGGTGAGTTCTCGGCAAAACTACAGTACTGTTCCCGAAAGCGAAGCGTGTGCAATACACCTTGCAGCACGTTTGCATCCTCCGCCGCCCGGAGCTGCGTGCAACCGACTCAAGCACAGGAGCTGATCCGGCTTCTTCTCCGTCTCTTCTACTCTTTCCATCGTCCTTGATCTACACGTTCTCCCGGTTTGTGCTGTGACTTGGTTGGCTACAGAACGTCCCCGCCAAGAAGCCCAAGAAGGCCGCTAGTGACAAGAAGGTGCGTCGCTCGTCTTGCCCACGCTGCCGTCGCGCTACTTGAGCGACCCTCGCCTCGAGTTCGAGCTGACCTTGCTCGCGTTCCGCGCCCCTTCACTCGATCATACAGGTGCTTACAAGTCCTCCGACTCTTGTTTGACCATCCAAATGGCCATTTTTACTAATACAATGCCAATACATTGCAGTCTGTCCCTAAGAAGACCGCGGCCAAGAAGGTAAGCTCGTGCTTGTGCTCGAGTCGATGTGCTTCTCCGACTACCCTCACGCGGAGACTGAGTGGACTTGTATTTCTTCCTGTTCCAGCCCGCTGCCAAGGCTACTGCTGCGAAGAAGGTACATTTTTTTCTATTTCGCCGCCGTGTGGAGGAAATCCGTCGAGCCGATCTGGAGCTAACTGTTCCGATCCATCGCCCGTCTTCCTTCCCCTCGCTCTTGCCGCACTCGGTCCTTGTGTACCACAGCCCGCCGGCGAGAAGAAGCCTTCCGCCAAGGTCAGTTGGTTGACTTGTTCCATCACACCACGTCGTCGATTACGTTGCTCATACAAACGCCTTAAACGCCATCCCTCCCACTGTCAGGTTGCCGCTGCCAAGAAGCCTGCCGCTGCCAAAAAGCCTACAACCGTCGCGAAGAAGGCTCCCGCTGCCAAGAAGCCTGCCGGTGAGAAGAAGCCTGCCGCTGCCAAGGTAAGTCGAGTAGACCAGGTCAAGATGATGTCTAGTGGTACCGGTGCTGATCACTCAAATGCGCTACGTCCGAACGCGAACAGGCCACCGGCGCGAAAAAGGTGCGCGACTGACACCCTAGCCCCTGTCTTTCGACCCCTGCGCGAGCCGCTGAACCTGGCCGTGCGTTCCCTCACAGACTCCCGCTGCCAAGAAGCCCGCCGCGGAGAAGAAACCCGCTGGTGAGAAGAAGCCTGCTGCCGCCAAGAAGGTACGTCAATCGCTTTGATATGTTACCGTCATTGTTGAACCGCTGTCGCTGACATCGCTGGATGCGCTCAGGCCCCCGCTGCCAAGAAGGTCGCCGCGACGAAGAAGGTTGCCGGCGAGAAGAAGCCCGCCGCTAAGAAGACGGTCGCTGCCAAGTCGGTCGGTAAGTGAAAGAGTGATGCCATAATGTCACTGTTCAACCTTTTGGGACATCGGACTGACGTATAATCTGCGTTGTTTGGGCTCCTTTCCAGCTAAGAAGGCCGCACCCGCCAAGGTATGCCGCCCGCTCCATCGGACTGTGTCATTCTGTCGTATCCGCTGACGCCTTCGTTGTGTCTTTCTACTCATTCAGGCAAAGGCTGCGACCAAGCCGAAAGCTGCCAAGAAGTAAATGCGCTCGTCGTCTATCGTGATCGTCTCGATTCTCGACTGCGTCGTTCCATGTCCTTCTCGTTCCCCTCGGGCTCGGCTCTCCTTTCGGTTTCCTCTCCAAACTTGTTGTTCTACTCGTATCCCCACGGAATTGTGGTTTCTTGCGGATAAAGGTGGCGGTGGTGTCGGTGGTGTCGGTGGCGCTGGTGGCATTTTGTGTTTTCCTTTCTTCCCCCTTTTTTTCCTGGCCCACTTCTTCTCCAATTGTGTTCTCAAACTTCGAACTTCGAATCTATATTCCCCTCTGGGTCCCCAAACAAGCACTGCTCGCTTAGCCTCTTGTTTCCCCTTGTTTGGTCGTGCCCCACTGCTGGTTTGCTCCTCACCTTGTCATTCCCACCACCGCTCGCCTCTTGAATGTGTTATTCGACGCTCGAACATACATTTCCTGTCTGCAAAGAGGTCTGCGGTTCTTCCCAAACGGTCTTTTAACATTTCATTTTCAAAGGGCTGTACGTGCTGCTGTTTTAAAAAGCTCGGCGTCTTGATTCGCTTCTCTCTTTTCGCTCCTGCTGGCGCTATGCCTTCTTCGCGTAAAGTAAGGAAAGGAGAAGATGCCTCGACAATGCCGATATTGCAAAAAAGCGCGCCCACTGTCTGCTCTTCTAAAAACTTCCTCCTATGACTCTTGTTGATGTCTTCGACTCCGATGATGTCGTAGTACTCGAGCCCATCGTCATCCCCGGCGGATGCATGACCCTCTTCTCCCACCCCGAAGTGGACTTTGGGATCGCGCCTATCCGACTGAATGAGAGTCCTCTTGGATTAGGTCCCATCACAAGAAACCTTTTCATGATAGTAGAATGAATCTGCCTCTCACCTCGGTGGCCACAGGATCGCCTCAATCCGACTATCCAAGAGGCCCAACGGTATCGGACCATAGGTGTTTGAATCTTTCGAATGGTTCTTTTCGTCACCTTCGACCCAGCAATGCCCCGCGGGGATACGGATCGTTCTTTCGGGGTAAGGTGGGAGGGTCCGTACGAGGGATCCGGGGAGGCCTACGAGGCGTTTGATGAGGAGTTGGGAAGGGTTCGTTGGGGATCTAAGGTAGCGAGCGGGGGATGGGTGGTGAGCGAGGTGTTCTGTGGGGGGGAAGGATGTGTGGAATGCCTAGACTGGGATACGAAAGCATTCGTACCTTAGGGCTACGACGTCCCCAATTTGATAACCCGCTTTAGGATCGGTCCGTGTTGCGCCTTGGGTCAGTTCCAGATTCTTGTAGCGATTCAGCAGGACGATGTCCTGGCGCAGTTTGGACGAGTCCGGGTTCAGGGTCGGCTGAAGGGGTGGGGTGGGGGCAATTCGGAGCGGGAGGTTAGCTCGATGTGGGACGGCGAGGATGAAGTCCTGAAGCTACGTTTTGGGTTTTGCAGATGGGAATCAACGTGCTTACCTGCATTGACCTGAGATGACGATCCGGCGATCCGAGGGAGCGGGTGGAGCGGGTGGAGCGGGTGGGGCGCCGATCGCGAGAGCAAGGCGCGAGGATGGAGCAGTCGCAACTCGTCAGCGAGCGCTTGAGCCATGGGATCATCAGACAGCGAACGTACCTCCCCGAGACTGTCGCGAACGAAACGAGGTGGTGGTCGACGAAGAAGATGACGGGCAGCCATGCGAGAGCGTTCAACCACGGTCGAGCGTGGGTTCGTAGTCGAGCACGAGGACCCGAGGACGAGGACGAGGACGAGGACGAGGACGAGCCCGTAGGATTCGGATTCGGGTTCGAGTTCGGTCCCCGGGTCGGCCGAGCTCTTGAGGCGGAAGCCATGGGCGAGAGTGGGCTCTGGTCCCGGGGAAGTGAGTAAGCGAGGGAGCTGTCGGCGCAAGCAATGAAGGTAGATGAAGGTGATCGAAAGCTCCCCATCTCTCCCCGTCGGCGCGCGTTTGTGCAGCTCTCGCATCGTCCACTGTGGTCCACACACTCCCTCGACTATGGCAGGTGAGCGACGCGGATGGAGATCGCGTGGCTCTGGACGCTGACCGCCCCCGGTGTGCTGCCTGTGCCTGTGCCTGTGCAGACACGAAGATGGACGTCGATGCGGCCACGACCGCCAGCGGCGCCACAGGGGACACCGCACCGGCCAACGCCAGCAGCCACAGCAGCCACCGCAGCCACCACGCCGCCCAGAAGAGGTTCGATGTCAAAAAGGTGCATCAGACAGAACATCGCTTCGCTCTGGCGTGCAGGAGCTCACTTTCGGATTTGCAACTGGCTGTCGCAGTGGAACGCGGTCGCGCTCTGGGCATGGGGTCAGTCACCGTACACGACCCGATCTGCGAGCTCATCCACCCGTCTCTGACTCGTGGGGGTGTATCCGTGCACCCACAGACATCCAGGTCGACAACTGTACGTGGCATGCAACTTGGTCGCTCCTTCAGTAGGCTCGCGTCCCCCCCTCCCCCCCACCCGCGACCGCCCTTTCGACTCGAGGCCCATGACGGCGACAGCCCTCGGCGTCGCTGGCTCTGATCACGTTCGAGGCTCTGACACGCTGGTTCTGCTTCACAGGTGCAATTTGCCGCAACCACATCATGGACCTTTGTGCGTCTCGGGCTGTGACGGTTGCTTGATGAGCATCGCTCGGGACTGACGGCTGCTCCGTTTCTCTTCCTCTCGGCCATCAGGCATCGACTGTCAAGCGAACCAAGCTAGTGCAACCTCGGACGAGTGCAAGTGCATTGAGAGCACGCTCGAAAGCGACAAAGGCCATTCACTGACTCCCAAGTCTCCTCCCAACTCAGGTACTGTCGCATGGGGGATTTGCAACGTGAGCGAAACGGACCGAAAACCTGCACATCGACTGAAAGGCTGACGCGATGACCCCATCCCAACAGCACGCCTTCCACTTCCACTGCATCAGTCGTTGGCTCAAGACGCGGCAGGTGTGCCCGCTTGACAACCGGTGCGTCCTTGTCCACGGCATCGTTCCCAGATAGGCCGGCTTCGCTTACCTCATCATGCTCGCCCATCCGCAGAGAATGGGAGCTGCAAAAATACGGTCGATAGGGCTTCACTCTCTCTCTCTCCGCGGTCTCGTCTTTCCTTTCTCGTCCCACCTCAAGTTGTACATTTCGGTCCTCGTTGTCATCAGGTGTCGTGCCACTCTGGCGTGTCAACTCCACCCCTCGCATCACGCACTCGGGTCTTTCTCTTTCTCGTGCCCGAAGCCAACTCTTCTTTCTTGATCTCGCTTTACCCCTTCAGTGTGCCACAAAATGAAACATGATTAAACAGCACGAGCTACTGCCTATACTATACAGACCAGACTTGTCCTCCTTCAATCGGCAAAGACGTGGTAGTCTATAATTTGGCTTTCGACCGCTGTGCGGCAGCGATCGTCTTTGCCGCGTCGCTGATCTCTCGTTCTATCAAGGCGTAGAGACCGTTCGGAAGTTCGGCACCTTTGTGGTTGTCATAATCAAATCCGACCATGATCGCTTCGCCCGAACAGACTTTCGCTCGTTGACTGCAGAGAAAGGAAAGAAAACGCCGAGAGGTTGCCATCAGAACCAAGCCAAACGGTAACGAGGGTTCCGCAGCGCGCTTGAACTCAACTCGAACGAAACGATCACACTCGTCAGCACGAATTTCTTTCTGGCGACTTGGGTCGCCCGATGGGCGATGAGCAGGTGATCGGGGGCGTAGACGGGTCGTTCGAAGCGGTTCATCACTTGGCCGACGACGAGGCCGCGGCCTTGCGCACCGTGGTTGATGGCTTTAGCTGTGCGCGCATCGAGTTTACGTGTGATACTGCGGACGTAGGCGCCGCGACCTGTTGGGAGTGAAAGAGAGTGGGGCTCGGATCAGTGGAGGAAAAGGTAGGATGAAACGAGAAGACGGTCAAAAGCAAGATTTTGCTCTTGAACCTCGCGAGCTTTCGACCGGGTAAGAGCTGGCAGGGACTGACCGGCTTCGAGGTATTTGTAGTACATGGCATTGTTGAGATGAGCGTTCGGATCCTGATCGCCCCATTGTACGGTCACTTCGATGAAAGTCTCCTATTTCCGGTTCCACGAACGAGTACTCCCCCACGTCAGTTCGTTACCCACACGTGATCTAGAAACTTGGGTGGTCCCGAGCGCGGCACTGCTGTCGACGCGTTCATTGGCATTCGGGACAACGACGGTCCCAGCCTCACGCCAAGCGTCAGTAATAGCGTACCTCGTTGAAGCCAAGTTGTGTCGCAATCTCAGCCGCAGCTTTTCGATCGGCATGGTACTTTTCCGGGTAGACGACTCCGTAGGGGACGATGGCAGACATGTTGAGCGGTGGGAAACGTGTGCGAAGATGACGGAGGACGACGCCGAACCTGAGGCTGGGCACCGGCTCGACGGAGTGCCGGCTGCTTGTTGAGAGCACCTGCCAGTCCCGATCGAGGCTGCTGTAAAATTCGTGCGAGCGGTTGCATGTACGACTTTACTCGTGTCCGCAGGTTAGGACTGATAGAAACAATACAAAAGTGGGACAGATCACGAGTCATCTCATTCTGCGTGAGAAGCGCTGTCATTTTCTAAAGTCCGTCGAGGTGTGAGCACGGACCTCGGCCCTTTGTCGACGAAGGGCGGCACAGAGATCCCACGTCGCGGAGGCGGAGCACATAGGAGACTAGGAGTATTGAGGTTACAAAGGGAGTAATCACTGTCTAGTTATAGTATATGACTCAATTGGAGACTCGTAGATCATGACTCACCTTCTTGTATCTGATTCTTTTCCGTGAGGCGGGATGAAGCCTTAGCTTGGACTCCGAGGGTCCGTGCGCCGGGCGAGTTCCAGTGGCAGGCTGCAGGCTGAGTGTATGCACTTTCCTGGGCCTGAACGTGCCCGCTGATCGACCTCCTCGTTTGGGTCCTCGCCTGGCTGTCCCTCCACGCCACGCGGGCTTCTTGAACCGCAGGTTTACTTGAAGAAAGATGGATCCTTTCGAGGTGAGGGTAGTGGCCTCTAACAAAGAGGTTGGGCTCCGTCACCGTGACTTAGTAGCTGATCCGGATCGTCGTGTGCACCGCTCGCCGCCTTCTCTTTTCGGGCTGCTCTGCTCTCGCATGAAAGGTTCGCATGTACGTCGCACACGTTCGAACACACCTCTACAAAAACTTCTACACGCAGCTGACCACCGCACATGTCCTCTGTCGACCAGGCAATTCGTGAGCCTACTCTCGCGCCTCAACTCGTCGCTCCCCTCGATTCAAAAAGTGGCCCTCTTCGCACTCAAACACACCCCTCGATGCTCACCCGACATTTGGGAATGTCTCGTCGAGGAAGGGACGCAGGCCAACCTCAACGCGCGTGTCAATTTGCTGCATTTGATCGATGCGATCTTGGAAAAGGACTCGATCGTCGGCTCCGGCACCTGGAGCGTCTTGGTCGAGCGGAATCTGAAGCAGTTTGTAGTCGATGGCGTCGTTGGGGATACGAGGGAGGGGAGGATCAACCTCATGAGTGCTCATCAGGTAAGTCGGATCGTCGAGGGAACACTGGGGAGGAGCAAAAGTGAGGGGTAGGGCTCATTCTTCCCCTAAACGTACCTCGCATTCTCAAACAGGTTCTCAAGTCCTGGAAGACGAGGAGGTTGCTGGATGTCGATGTCCTGGACGAGGTGTTGAAGCAGCTCGATATGAAAAAGGAATCGTGAGTACTGTCCTCATCGAGAACTATCCGGGCGAACGTGTACATCGGGGCAGAGGATCCTGAGCGCCATTCTGTTGCCTGCGCCCTCGTCCAGTCTGACCATCAACGACACCGAATCGAGCGAGCCGATATCACTGAGTCTTTCTCGAAACGACATCCTGAGAAGGATCGAAGATGATCGAGAAAGGGTGCGTCGAATCCAACGACCTTGTTCTCCGCCTAACCTACGCTAACCAAACTTGCCATCTCGGGCCCAATTCAGCACAAACGCCTGCGCGAACGGATCTGGGTCCTCCCCATCCCGACCTCCCTCTTCATCATCCCGACCGCAACTTCCAACCCGACCTTGTCGAACCTCAGTTCGATCAAACCTTCTCCGATCTCACCCGCCAGTCCATCCGAACCCCCGTCCTCGAGAATCCACAAGACCAATACTTCTTCCTCGACTTTGGCACCGTCGACTTCAGGAGCGGCTGTACAGAGAGGTCCCGAGGTGCCGATCGATTTGGAATTCGAACAGACTTGGGCGAGGTTGAATGAAGAGAGGCAGTTCGCCGAGTTGGAACGAAACGACCGCGAAGGGGAGGGTTCGAATGGGCACGAGGAAGGGAAAGGTGAAGGGAGGGCGAGGAAAAAGAGAAAGGCTGAAGGGGATCAGATGATGGAGGAAGAGAATGGCACGTCGAAATGGCCTTTCGATGAGAGTGAACTGAGAGCGATGAGGATCGAGTATGAACGATGCTTTGCATAGACCCACCGGGGATTTCTTCCACTACCTATGTTGTACGACTACAATCGATTCGGATTTGCAATTGCAAAAAATGCAAGGAGAACTCTATATACACCGATGCGATGCTACAATAAGAAAATATGATGATGCTAGAAACTATGTAACTTAATCGTCCCTCCTGGACCTCTTGCCGAAGCGCCCCTTTTGGTCCGCGAACGCGGCGTTCTTGCGCTTCTTCTGACGCGTCTTTTGTTCGCTGCGTTTGGCTTTGCGTTGCGCGTCCAGTTCGGGGTTGTTGATGGCCTGTGGGAGTCATAGTTGTAACAAGGTCAGAAGCTGGCTTACACCGGAAGCAAGCCAGCGCTTCGAAGAACTGACCTGGAGTGCCATGGCCGTCTTGCGCTCGTTCCTGCGCTCGGCAGCTCGTTGACGAATCGTGGTGTGCACGTTCGAGTACATTGTCGTGCCGACCTTGCTCTGCAGCAACTCTTGCACTTCGCGAGCGAGGTTTTGAAGTTCGACTGTGGGAAATCAAAGCATTGGATCAGCTATCGGTTCGTCCAGGAAGGTCGGCAGAGCACAGGATGGGTTCAGCTTACCCATCTGGGGATCTTGAGCATTCGGATCTTCCGAGATGCGGAAAATGGGCGTCGCCATCTGAACAAGGAAGCGCTCGAGATGTGTCTTGTCGAGGTGCGAGATGACCGCTGCGAACCAGCGCAAAATCGACGAGGGTTGCAATGACCATTGGCCCTGTTGGATGTGAAACGACAGCGTGAGCAATGGAGAAGACATGTCACAACACGCCGCCAAGGAAACTTACAGCATTGAGAGCATGCACCGACGGTCGAGCAATGTGGGCCTGACGAGCCTGGTAGGACAACCTCGTGAACAGCCAGCGCAAAGGATCGGCTTGACGTTGGGCCCCATCATCTACGGCATCCTCTTCCTCGTTCTCATCCTCGGCAGCCGTGGCCTCTGCAGCCGATCGACGCGCATCGAAGCACTTGGCGGCAAAGAAGAGATTCTTGACGATTTGCATCGCCAGAGGTTCGTCCAACGCTGAGCTCTTGAGTTGCAAGCACCCCTTTTGGGCCGCGTCGAGAAGACTGGGAGTCGATAAGGGATGCTCCTCGGGGAAGTCCGTGCGAGCGAGCGCGGTCGGGTTGGCCGCGTACAGACTTCCAAGCAGGCGAGCCGAGGACGTGTGGATCCATATGTGCGGGAAGAGCAAGTGCCCTTGCACCGTCTGCCATAGTCGACGCGATGAGCTTTGATCGGGCGAGACGAGCGCGGGGAAGGCCTTGAACACATGCGCGAGCGCTTGTAAAGCTTGGTAAGGGAGCTGCCAGGTATTGTCGAGCTCGATGCTCAATGCGTCACCACTCTCCTCGGCTTGCTGCAGACGCTCCTGACTATCATCGAGAATGTCACCCAACACATCAAGGATCGGCGGGGTCGCACTCTTGCCTTCGTCACCGAGTGCGTCGATTGCAACACCAAACAGCTGGATCGCTGTACGAGCGAGTTGGGCCGGTTGCTTCTTGCCTGCCCATGCATGCAAGAGGTTCAACAGACCGTTACGAGACTCCTTCGGAAGCCGCTTAAAGAGAATCTTGACGAGCTCGGCGGCCATCTCGCGACACTTGGTCGATTCGTCGTTTGCGACGACCATGACGAGACCAATGAAGAAGAGCTCGGCTGCATCGTCGACGAGCTGAGTGGCGAATTTGCTGAGGATGGCGTTTAGCAACTCGAGCACCGAGAGGCGACCGAACTCGTGCACGAAGGACAGATTCTTCGTGAGGAAAGTGAGAGACGTCTTCAGGCGTCCTCGACCTTGTGGGTAATCGAGCAGGAACTGCAGGTAGATCGAGCGACAGACTTCGCGTACGCCGCTGGACTGGTTCGTCACGAGCATTTCGGCGACCTTGTCCATGAGGTCGTAGATCTCGGGCGCGACGAACTTGCGCGCCATGATCGAGCGCAACAACTGGAAGAGCGTGCCCTGTCGATCCGCTTCTTCGAGATCGGGGCCAATGAGCTGTATAGGTAAGAGTCAGCAGGGTCAGTTACTACGTAATGAACGGCCAGTGCAAGCGAACCATCGACATACCTGAAGGAGGACCGTCAGCTGGTCTTCGCGAAGCGACACCGTCTTGCAATCCCGAATAAGGCCAGCGAGCGTTCGCAACGTCGATTGCGCCAGATCGGACTCGGTGCTACCGGAACGTTGAACAATGTTGATCATCTGCTTGAGTAAGATTGGTGCCGCGTCTCCGATACTCTTGAGTGGGCAACGAATCAAGGACGCCGTCGCGCGCATGCTTCGCGCGAGTACGACAGGCTCGTCCGAGTAGAGCGTGTTGCCGACAAGGGAGACGAGCGGTTCCAAGCGAGCGATAATAATGGGCGAGTCGAGATCATATCGCGATTTGCGAAAAGCGGTGTTGAAGAGCTCAAGACCGAACGAGACGAAGCGATGCGCATTCTTGACGAAGTGATCGCGCTCGTCGCCGTTATCGCGTGCCAATTGGACGTGGAAGTCCGGAGCGGCTTTGCCGTTCTTGCCTGCCTTCCTCGGTACGACTCGAGCGGGTCGCAGAAAGTCCGAGTTGGCACTGATGAGCGAATGGCACAGGTCGAGCAATCCAGGCGTGTCGAGCTTGGCGCTGGTCGTCAACCCCTGGATCAACGCCTTGAACACGTCCTCGACCTCCTTCATGACCTTAGCCGACTCGGTACGCTGCAAAGTCGTGCGCAAGGGGACGAGTAACGCAGCGATCTTGCTCGGTGAGACATGCCTAGCGAGGATCTCGAACGAGTCGACCGACTTGAACGATCGCACTTCACGGAACTTGGTCTTGGCGCGGAACTCCTGGGACTGGCGATCTTTGGCAGGGTTGCCGAAGGCATCGTCGCCGAGGACAGGCACGATTTCGTCCAGCGCGTCATCAAAGTCGGGGGTGGAACCGGCGGGCTCCGAAAGTCGGACGAGGATGGCGTGAACGGAGAAAGCGAGCACATGGAGCTGAGGGCCCCGTTGTAGAGCACGACGAAGCTCCTTTACTGCAATCCCGATCGTCGCAGTATCTGAGCTTGCGACGATGTTGCAGATCGTCGAGCGCGTCAGATCACGAACATGCTGGTCCTTACTTCGCAGGATCTGCGACAGCGTCATGAGCAATGCGGATTCGTGGACCGACTTAGACTCGACGGGGACATGTTGCAGGATGGCACTGATTCCCTCAGCGACGGGGATGCGCATCTCCTCGTCCGATGTCTCGTCCCTCTTCTCGAGGAAGCGCTGCAGCTCAGCCAAGAGCTTGGTCGTCGTGATCTCGAGCAACCTCGGATCGTTGAGCAGATCAAAGTGGAAGCCCTTGAGCACACCCACGACGACGCGCACGCAAGCCTTTTGTGACGATCCGGGGACCTTGGAGAATTTGAGGTAATGGCGAGCGACCTTGTTGTACGCGGACCAGGCGAGATGCTTAGCCAGACGAGCAATGCACTGAACGGTCTCGTTGACCAGATCGGAATCTTTGCTCTCCTCGGCGCCGAGAATGAAATGATCGACGAGCGGCAAAAATATGTCGGATACGACCTTGCTCGAAATCTTGGCCGCTTCAACTTCATCGGCGAGACGACGCAGCGCACGCGTACGACGATGGACTTGGATGTGCATGATGTTGTAGAAGAAGTTGGCCTCTTGGTCGCCATCGACGAGGAGGCATTTGAGCTGATCCAGTTCGGCGACACCTTTGCAATGCTCGACCGCACTTGCGTACACGCCCAAGACCTCGCTGCGAACGATCTCGAGCTTGGAGCGCAAGGCGTTGCGGAGACCAGGGAGGAAGGTCCGCACCAAGACGGACTTGATCTCTTCGTTCGTCTCGGACATCGAACCCGCGATTTCGACGAAGCGACGCAAGGTGAAGCTGGCGTTGCTTCTAATGGCAAGCTCGTCCTGATCTTGAACGAAGAAGAGCATGTTGTGGATAACGATGATCCAATCCGCAGGTCGGATCGTGCGGTACGTATCCTCGTTCAAGGATGAGAACGCGGCGAGTCGTCGATCAAAGTCGGGTTCTTCGGAGCGTTTGACCGAGTACGAGTTGAGCTCCTCGACGATATGCGCGACCTGTGCGAGGGAGTCCTCGGTCGATGCGATGGCGTTGAAAGCAGCGACAGTCTGAAGTCGAGCGTTCCGCGTGCGGTTGCTCGAGAAGAGCGCTGAGATAACCTCGCAGCATCGATCGAACAGAGGGTTCGAACGTTCCGGTCGCGCGAGCGGGTACAAGGACGTCAAGATCTTGAGCAACTCCGTCTTGGTCCGTTCGGGAACGGTCTTGTTGGGTTTGCGCAAGAGCGGTGTGATGAGCGTGAGTAAGTGGGTCGCTTGTTCGCTCGATTCGACGTAAGGCGCGAGGGAAGACAAGAGCGTGATTTGCCGTTGACCGACTTCGGCTTTGGGGTCCATCGTCGCCGTCGTGACGGCGATCAAACCCCCGAGTTGTACGAGAAGTTCCTCAACGCTGGGTTGTACGATCGTGCGACCGACCTCACTTTCCTTGCCGCCCTCCTCGGAGGCAAACTCGAGCAAGCTGTCGACGATGTCAAAGATGCGAAGGATGACTGCGGGCTTCACGTTGCGCGTCGTGAGACACCCGTACAGCTTGGGCAAGAGCGATCGATCATGGACGACAAGATGATTCAACAGATCCCTACGGATCGACCACGTGCAGAACAATTCGAGCAAAGCCGAAGGCGCCTGCGCGTTCTCGGCCGCGAGCGAGGGTAATCGAGGTGCGATGATGACGGGAAAAGCGGCCTTGATGTAAGGCGTGTGGTCGAAATCGACTTCGAGCCAGAAAAACTCGGCCCATCGCTTCAGTGCAACTTGACGAATATGACGCAACGGCGCCATCGCCGTCTCGGGTTCGTCCGAATCGTTCTCGTCCTCTTCACGATCTTCTTCGACTTCGTCGACTTCGCCCGGGGTCGCATTCTCGGCTTCGATCCCGTTTTGAGCAAAGTACAAGAGGTTCAAGGTGGCCGCAATAAGCTCGTGCCATCTCGAGACGAGGTGTTTGCCCAGATGCTTGAGCACGTCTGCGAGGAAGCCCAAGAAACCCAACTGACGCTTGCCCGCGATGTTGAGCGACTGAGAAGCGAAGTGGAACTCCTCACCCGGCGCAGAGACGATGTAGCCCTGCATGGGACCGATGACGAGATCGACCAAGGTCCCCAGCTCTTCGGACGAACACGTTTTAAGTGCCCCGAGGATTGCGGCTCGTCGACCTGCTCGACCTTGGCCTGAACTGGCGCTCGCACGGCCCAACCGAGAGGTCATGATGCCGTAAGAAATGCGGATGAACAAAGGGACTACGTCGGCTCGATGGTTGGGCTCTAGACCACCCGCATCGGTCCCAGATACGAATTGGAGCAGTTCGTCACGCAGCCGAGTCGGTTCAAGCATGTTGCGCAGTCGATCCGCATTCGCGACCACGGCCGGAGTCTTCCACCTCAGCAGACAATCCAATGCCAGCTTCTGCACCTCGGTATCGGGGAAAGCGAGCAAGTAGCGGAAGTGGGCCGCAAGGTCGTCGGATCGGTACAGCGCTTTGGGATTGGAGAACTTGGCGAACATCGCCAACCAAGCGCGCAAGCGAAGTTGTCGTTCCTTGGTCGATTCGTTTGGGTCGACGTAGGTCACAATCGAGTCGTCGGCCTTGGATCCGGGTCGGTCTTCGCGCTGAAAGCAGCCGAGGAAGACGGTCACAAAGTCACGGCTATGGCGTTCGGCCAGGTCGGGGATGACACAGAACAATTCGAGCAATTGGGCTTCGTAACTTTGCAACACAAGTCGCTCGGGGGCGATTTGAGCCTGAGTGTGCGCAAGGAGTCAGCCAAGAATGCGCACACGTCCAGTTACGGATCTCACTAACCTCAACCAAAACCGCAACCTTGGTCTTCTCATGCTCGACTCCACCTTCAAACAACCCCAGTCTCTGCACAACCACATTCCTCAATTCCTCAACCGCATGATCCCTAACCTGAGGTTCCTCAAAGACGACCAGATAGCTCTCGACGCCTTCTTTCGCCGCCAAAGCCCATTCGGGTTTGCGGGATACGTATAGACTCGAGTCGCGCGTTGCGACGACGACGAGTTGTTTCGAAGCGATGGCCCAGACTTCGTTGGGGAAACGTTGTGAAAGTAGAGAAAGGGCTTGGATGGCTTCGGGCCAGAGCGGCTTGAAGTTGACTTTGAGCATGGCTGTGGGGATTGAGACAAATCCGCATCAGCTCGTGTACTGACCCAGCGGTTTGGGTAGGCTCGGGAATTGTTCACTCACCCGTCAAATACCTCAACAAAACCCCAACAATCATTTCCGTCCCTTGTCCCTCCTTTCCCAACTGCGCATGCGCGACGATCCCAATCTTGCGCACCTTCATACTCTTCTCCCTAGCCCCTTGAACCGACAAAACCATCCTCTCCACCTCCATCATCTTCTCCATCAGATCCAAAGCAACTTTGTCCTTCTCCTCGAACAGGGTTGTCAAGATCTCGAGAGAAGTTAAACGGAGACTGGAATCCTCTGAAAGAAGGTTGGGTACGACGGCTTCGTACACTTGGGAGGCTTGGTCGGTGATGGAATCTGAGGTCGAGGACGAACTGGCCAGTTCCAATCCAGCTATCCCTTGCATTACTCCGCGATGCCATGAGAACCCTTGCAAGATCTTCAGCAGACTCGGTCTCAAACGATCGACGACATGGCCTGAAGTCTCCTGTGCTCGAGCGATCGATAGGAGAGCCGCACCGAGGACTTGGGCCGGGTTCGCGGCCGTTTCGAGAAACTTCGTTCGAGCTTGCATTGCTGGAGTCGGGGAGATGGCGATGATGAGGTCGCAGAGGAGGCTGAGGAGGGCCGTGCGATGCGAGGGGAGTTGAGGGAGGACGAGCAGGGCGTTCAAGACTTCGTGTGTCGCGTCGTCATCGACGATCTTGGTCGACTCGGAATAAGTTTGGATCCATGCTCGAATCAAAACCTCGCATCGATCGGTAACAACCCTTTCCCATGATTTCGAGAGTCCACCGGAGCTTTCCCGAAGACTGGCCAGTCGACCACTCCAGGCCAATCGAGCCAACAAGGTCATCGCGTTCGTTTGGTTCGACAACTGGCCAAGTTCAACGTCTCCTTCTTCCTCCCCCTCAAGATACTTGGCTGTAGTTGTCAAGACATGATTCGCGATGGAGGTCGAGTAATGCGGCCAAGCGACATCGTCCAGAGCCAAAGCCAAGGTGCACGCATTGGCGAAGGTCGAAGATGTCGTCCAGAGGACGTCGATCGAGTCTCGGACCGCGCCAGAAAGAACGTCCTTGAAGGAAGCCTGGAGAAGGAGTGAGATGGTCGCGGACGTGTACGCCTGCACGAAGGAAGCGGGCGCTGACGCCGAGGCCACGAGCTTGGCGTACGACGCCAGAATCGCAAACAATTGGGGTTTGGCCGTTGCTGTTACAACAAGGCTCGCAATCAGTCGAGCATTCTCATCCGTTCCCATACGTACATACCCGAAACTCACCAGATATTCTGCCCCCCTTCTTACTCGCCGCCACACAATCGACAAACTTGAGCCCATACTCCAGCTTGGTCCAATCCTTCTCCCCTTCAACCAACGCCCTACTCGCTTCTATGACCTCATCAACGACGACAGAGTAGATCTCGGTCGACTTGGAATGATTCGCCAAGGTGGAGAGGAAGGTTTGGAATGCTTGTGGGACAAGTTCGCTGGATGCTTCGGCGCGACTGACAACCACTTGAAGTGAGGACCGAACGATCGAGGCCGTGCGAGAGTGTAAGTGTCCGTTGGCAGCCTGGAAATGAAAGGAATTCACCACAATCAGATATCTCATACGAAATCCTATTCAGACACTCATGCTTGAATTGACTCACCGTGCAGCTCTCAATCAAGCTCCACAACAAACCTTCCGCGAAAGCCTTGGGTGAACCCAACTCTTGTGCCCTCCCAACCTTTCCTTTCCTCTTCTTCCCCTTCTGCGCACTCTCATCGAACGTCGTCTCCGTTTCGACGACGTCTTCGATCAAGAGAAGCATGAGGCGATCCATCTCGCTTCCAGAGTCCGAGTCTTGTTCGGTCGTCGTGGTGCGGACTTTGCGGATGAGGTAGGAGAAGGCACTGGCCAACAGTCGTCGAGTTTGAGGCGTCGTTCGGAAGTTCGTCGGGAGACCCCATACGGGAGCTTGGGGGGTTGGGGGTTGAGGTGGTGTCGTGGATGTCGAAGCCGAAGTGGAAGCAACGGGTGCGACCAACTCTTCTTCTTCCTCTTCCTCTTCATCGTCCTCCTCTTCAACAGGTTGCTCAACCTCCTTGATGACCTCACCAACCTCCATATCCTCCGCGTCCTTGACCTCCTCAACCATCGGCGCTCCCAAACCTCTCCTTACCACCGCCCAGACATCCTCCATCTCCACTCCCGACGCCAACAAATCCCTCGCGAGTTCTTTGAACGTCTCCCCGAGGACGTCGTAGACTTTTTGTAAGAGTCTTGGATTGGAGGCTTCGAGTGGGGAAGGTTGGGTGAGGGCTATGAGGGTGGTGATGAGTGGTGATGCGAGGGGGGTCAAGAGGGTCGAGAGATCGGTTACGAGGGGTGGGATCAGGCTGGAGAGATAGGGGTTGGATCAGCGATGTTCGCGCGTTAGCTCGCCCTCCCTTGCGCGTGAACTCACTCCAATATCGTTTCTGCACATAACTCAATCTCGGATCTCGAATGTTTGCCCAAGCTCAACGCATCGCATAAACTCCCGACGATTTGTTTGCGATAATGCACAACCAATGGCAAACTCGACGCCTTCTTACCGACGTCGCGCGTGAAGGCGATAAAGGGTGAGCTGAGGTTGATCAATTGGGAGGCTTGGAGAGATTGACCGAACAAGGTCGTTTGGAAATGATCTCCTTCCGTCGTCGGCTCGGATAGTTCTGGAGCGGTGGAGGTGGAAGAGGTATCGGCTTGATGGAGCATCTCCCTTCTCGCTTGGATGCGTTGGAGATCGACTTGGGTCGCGGCGATGAGTTGCGCGGGGGACTTCCATCGGAACAGAGGACCTTTGATGACGGGTTTCTGAGCGTGCAAGGCGATGCGTTCGGCTGGAGTCAGCGTTGACATGGCATTCGGGGCTGGCACAGGTCCAGTTGAGCTGGCGGCGTTCGAGCCGGTGGAGGCATGATGGCGCAAGGTACGGAGCGTAGGTTGGCTTGAGCTCGAGCCCGAGGCGATAGCCGAGGCTGATTTGGGCTTGTGCGTGTGCTGCTTGGCAGGGGCTGCATTTCGTGCCATTCTGGTGGTTGTGCGTAGACTGGTTTAGCGCGCTCCAAGTGGCGGGCCGGTGGTGTCGCGGAGTGTGGCGGTGGGTCGTGCTTGCGAAGGCGAGCTGTGAGTGCCTCGAAGAAGCGGAGCTGCCAGCTGGCTAGGTACGGTGATGATGTAGAAGTTAACGACAAGGCTCAAGCTTGGATCATGCCTCTCGACCGAAGAATTTCTGTCGTGTTCGCAACTCCGCAACAGGGAAGTCGAGTGTATGTATGTGGAAGCTCCGCTTGAAGCACTCGCGCTCAAAGTGATCGGCTCAGCCTTCGCAAGCCAGCGCCAGCGTCCGCCAGCGTCCCGCCAGCGTCTGCCACACTGCCACAAATTGGCCGGCCCGGAGCGGTCCGAGCGGCAGAGCGTTGCCTAGCGTTTCGCAGCCGATCGCGGTAACCCGGCGCGCATAGTCGACTCCGCGGGACTCTGGCTCCGTCCCTCCATCACAGCTCCAACGCACCACCAAAATGGCACGGAAACCCAAATCCATCGAAGTGGCGTCGACCTCCAAACTCGACAAACCTACACCAGCCCCATCCACCGCGACCGCTACGGCTGGTCTTCTTTCGGACTCGGCCTCGGATTCGGACTCGGGTGCTGGCTCCTCCTCGTCTGGTTCATCCTCCTCATCGAAGGCGAAGCAGAAGAAGAAGAACAAGTCCAGAGACCGACTCTCCCTCAACCAATCCTTTGCGACCTCTTACAAACTCAAGAAACAAACCGAAGAACTCTCGAAACTGCAAGACAAGTACGGTACCAAACTAGACCAACTCTCTTCCAACGGCGAAGAAGACTCCGAAGCGTCGACGGTCTACAGCGATGATGATTCGGATGCCGAATTGGTCACGCCACAAGTGGACGTCGCTATTTTCAAGACGTTGGCCAAGATCAGGAACAAGGATCCCGCGGTGTACGAGCCGCAGAAGATGGTCTTTGAAGAGGAGGAGAAGGGTTTGGCTTCCACTTCGGGCACTGCATCGACAAAGCCCAAGCCTTCTTCGAGCAAGCCCGTGCTTTTGAAGGATTACCAACTCCAGCGAGTGCTCGCCGATCCTACGCATTCACAAATCGACGACGAATCGATCCCGGACGCCTCGTTCCAACCCCCGACCTACGCCCAGCAGGAACAAGCGCTCAAGGAACAAGTCAAACAAGCATTTTTCCAAGCCAGCGATTCGGACGACCATCACGAGGGAGACGATGACGATGATTTTTTGGTCAAGAGAACCCAGACCAAGGATGAGGCGCAAAAGGAACAAGACGAGTATGCGCAGTTTCTCAAGACCAATTTGGGTGCTAAGGCAGTCAAGGAGGCGTTGCACGAAGAGGAGAAATTCTTGAACGAGTCAGTCTGCACAGACCTGTTCTCTGGGATACACTTGAAAGCTGACCCCGAGGCCCGCTTCCTCCTCAGCTACCTGCTCCACCGAGGCTGGATTGACCCCAAAGCGAGAAAGAATCGCATCCCTTCCTACAAAGAAATCACCGGCGGTAACGACAACTCCGATGACGAGATCGAACACGTCCAATCGCTCGCCAAGGACGGCAAGAAAGCGCGTCAACTCTTGGCTGAATCCGTCAAAGCCGCTGCTCTCAAAGCTGAGAGAGCCGAAGGCGAGGAGGAGGAGGAGGAAGAGGAGGATGAAACTCGTCTCAATCCAGGCTTGCACGATTCGTCCGATTCCGAATTCGAGGAGCAAGCCGAAGAGTTCGAACACAAGTACAACTTCCGCTTTGAAGAAGCTCAAGGCGCCGACCTGGTCACCCATTCCCGAACGGCCATGTCCTCCTTACGTAAACCGACAACAGCGACGACCGCGCGCCAAAGGGCTCGAGAGGCGGCTAAGACCAAGAAGGAACAGGAAAAGTTGGAGAGGAAGGAGGAGGTGAGGAGGCTGAAGGCCTTGAAGAGGAAGGAGGTCGAGGCCAAATTGGCGAAATTGATCGAGGCGGCTGGGGAAGGGACCAAGGGATTGGATGCCATTGATTTGGAGGGCGATTGGGACGAGGCGGAACATGATCGAAAGATGCAGGAGATATATGGGGAAGATTATGATCAGGGAGAGGATGAGGGGTTTAAGCCGACATGGGACGACGATATCGACATCGGCGACATTGAAGAGGTCGGTGACGATGAGCTTGGATTCGCCCATGGCGGAGATGACGGTGACGAGGCCATGGAGGGAGACTACGACGAGGACGAGGATGAAGATGACGAGGATGGCGAAAAACCAGGCAATAAAAAGTCTAAACGCCAAGCACGAAGAGAAGCGCGCAAGAAGCGCAAGGGGCGTGACGACGAAGGTTTGCCAGTCGAACTACTCGAAGCCGCACGACAAAGTGGCGACGAAGCACGGAAACGCGTGGTCGATGCCATGGTCGATGACTACTACGCCCTCGACTACGAGGACAAGGTCGGTGATATCGCCACTCGATTCAAGTACGCCAAGGTCGAACCGACAGGGTATAACCTCACTGCAGAGGAGATCTTGCTCGCGACCGATGCGGAGTTGAATCAATTCATGAGTCTGAAGAAGTTGGCACCTTATCGGAGGTCGGATGAGGAGAAGGTCAAGGCGTCCAAGCAGAAGAAGAGGCTCAAGGAGTTGCGCGATTCGATCAAGGCTCGAAAGTGGGGAGACGAGTTGCCGGCAGATGGAGATGAGCCGCCTAGGAAACGCAAGAAGTACAGCCAAGAGACCGGTGGTAGTACATCCAAGGAAGGTGGCGCCCCGAAGAAGAAGCGAGCGGGTAAGAGTGAGAGGAAGAGGAAGGGTAAGAGCGCTGGAACGAGTGAGGCAGGCGACGATGCAGAGTAGGCGAGTGGGCTCGCTTGGGTGATCATGTAATGCATATACGCAATAGCTGGCCTGAATTGGCCTCCTTCCCCAATATGCCTTGATCAACAACATGCATATCTATTACAAGCCAAAGAAATACAGCACGATCAAAGAAGCATCAACCCAAGAAATACCTCATCGAAAAGCGCTGCCATTAGTTCGCCAATGCTTTTGCCCTCCTCTGCTTCATCAAATACCTCGCGACCAACACGATGACCAACTCGATCCTCTCCTTGACGACAAGCTTGACCCCCTCGGACAAGAACGCCTTGGCAATCTGGCCTTCGAGTCCTTGGTACATGCCAAAGAGACCGTACCTCTTGATCGTCTTGCTGAAGACGTCAAAGTTGGATTTGTATAGCCTTCGGCCGGAGGGAGACTTGAATTGCAGTCGGGTCTGTTCGCGCAAAACCATGATATCAGCCTCAACGTTCAACGGGAATGTCCTCCTGCTGAAAAGGTGAGGACCACTGACCTTGGCAAGAATGAGAGGATAAGTGATCGCACTCGCTCCAGAGCTCGCAAAGGCCCCTGCCAAGAACGTCTGCAGCAACATCGGGTGGTCGCCCATGCGTAACATTCTCCTGATCAATTCAAAGAGATACGTCGTAATTGCCGGGTTGGTCGTCAAGACGATGGAATTCTGGAAACCGGACCAAAGACCGAGAATGCCCTTTTCGGCTATAATATCTTGCGCAACGGAGATCATCGAAGGACTGGATCCATATCCCGAGTCGGAGGAGGAGGAGGAATCTGAATCGGCACCATTGCTAGGCTTCATGCCCGACTTGCTGTCCTTTAAAGGTGCTTGCGACGATGCGCCCTTGTTGGTCGAGGTCTGTTGGCGCACGGTGATGATGGACAAGGGCGAAGTAATGGCTTTGGCGACGACGCCGGCGAGACAGCCGACAAAGATTTCTTCGAATGCCGAGAGGATTGGGGCTTTGCTCTTCTTGCTCGAGGAAGACGGGACGGCCGATTTGAGCTTGTATGCCTCGGCTTTGGCGTGCAAGAAGGCGTGGGAAAAGTAGTCTGTGGATGGGGAGATGTGGGTAGTGGAGGGCCGAAGGGGTCAGCACCCCAGGCCGAGGCGTGTGATGAGACCTCGAGCGCTCGGAACTAGACACAACGTAATGGAACTCACAGAGAAAGTTGGACAAGGCAGTCGAGATGGAATCCGAAGCCAGTCCAGCATACAGAGATGTCCACCCTTCCCGTCTTACGATACTCTTGAGCGCGGATAGGAGCGTGTATTGTTGAGCGCTGCCTGCAGTGTGAGGTCCACCCCGTCGTACGCAGGACAGGTAGATACTCCTTATCAGTCCTGAAATCACTTTCCTACGCAATAAGCGGGGCTGCTCACATTTTCCACGTTTTGCAGTCTGCAGACGGGTGACCAGGACGTCCAAAGGGTATACGAGGCTGTTTGAGATCGCCGCTCCAATCGCGCCACCGGTCGCTTGCGCCAAGGGACTCAGATCAGACGACATGTCGGATCTATAGATGGTGCAGATGAAAAAAAAATAAAAAATAAAAAATAAAAAAATTGCAGAACAAGTATTGATCGCCGGAGTCCTTCAGGTGAGACGAGATGTGGGGCTGCGCTTTGAACGTGAAAGATATGAGAGGTAGAAGCAACGCACAGACCTGCTCAAGCAGTGGTAAGTCTCTGATCGACGGACCAAGGGAGACCAGACCAAGAAGTTGCTTCACACACCTATTCAACAACTACAGGTAAGCTATCACGACTAGTAGTATTGGAGTTGGTAGTGATGTGTAGTACTCACCTGCTCAAGCAGTGGTAAGTCTCTGATCGACGGACCAAGGGAGACCAGACCAAGAAGTTGCTTGAGCAGGAGAGAGAGAGTCGCGCGGGGCCAGCTAGCTGAGAGCAAGTGCGCGAGTCTGGCCAGAATGTGGAAGATAGACGGCAAAGCCGGGTCAAGAAGGAGAATAAGGGAAGAGACACAGGGGCCATGATGCTAGAAGGAAATAAGAGAGAATTAAAGTACTTTGAGAATCTCACACCCCCCCGACTTCGAGCATCAGGGAGGACAGATGCCAAGGCGGCCGCGGTGACGCGCAAAGAGGTCGCGGGCTAGAGCCTTGGTGAAGATGTCGGCGGTCATGTCGGCCGTGTTGATGTACTGGACCGCGATATCACCAAGGGCGACCATGTCGCGAACAAAGTGCTCACGAAGTCGGATGTGGCGGGTGCGGGCGTGGAAAACCGGGTTCTTAGTGAGGGTGTTGGCGCCTTGATTGTCGCCAAGTACTAGAGTCGGAGCAGAAGAGGGGAGACCCAGCTCACCAAACAGTTGACGCAGGAAAATGGCTTCCTTGCCGGCATGCGAGAGAGCCAGGTATTCGGCGTCGCAAGTGGAGTCTGCCACGCGAGACTGGAGGCGCGAGGACCACGAGATGGCGCCACCGGCATAGAGGAACGCGTAGCCCATGGTCGACTTGGAGGAGAGCACACAGGCACCCCAGTTGCAATCAGAGTAGCCAATCACGGGAGCAGGGTCGCCGCGGGAATAGCGCAGGCCGTGCGAGAGCGTTCCAGCGAGGTAACGGAAAGCGTGCTTGACAGCACCCCAGGCAGCTTCGGATGGAGACTGGGAGAATCGAGCCAAGTAACCGACAGCATAGGCCAGATCGGGGCGAGTGCCAGTGGATGCGTACATGAGCGAGCCAATGGCCTGAAGATAGCGGGTGCGGTCCGCAAACGGGGCAGGGTTGATCTCAATCTCAAGGTGGAGGTCGGATTTCATCGGGGTGGCAACCGGGTGGGCGTTCGACATGCCAAAACGAGCGAGGATGTCCTTGAGGTACTGCTCCTGGCTTAGCGTGATCGAGCCGTCGGAGGAACGCCGGATCTGGATGCCAAGGACGTATTCCGCTTCACCAAGGCGCTTGACACCGTAACATCGTTCAAGGCCCTGGAGGGTACGCTCAATTTCGGGTAGGGAGGGGCCAATCATGAGGAGGTCGTCGACGTAAAGCGCGATGTAGTGGTGCACGTCCCCAACGGTTTTGATGTAGACGCAATGGTCGGACTCAGTGGCGACGTAACCCAACCCAAGGAGGGTAGAGTCAATTTCGTCGTTCCAGATGCGACCAGCCTGGCGTAAGCCGTAGAGGGAACGGTGCAATTGGAGAACTTTACCGGGCAGGGCAATGCCCTCGGGGACACGCATGTACAAAGGCTTGTCGAGCTTTCCATGAAGGTACGCTTTGTCGATGTCGGCCTGGTGAACGTGATAGCCTCGGGCAGCAGACAGGGCCAGCAGAGCACGGATCGAAGTGAACTTGGCAACGGGCGCAAAAGTCTCGTCGAAATCGATACCAGATCGCTGGGAATCGCGGCGGGCGACAAGGCGGCCTTTGTAAGACTTGATCTTCTCGAACTGGTCGCGTTTGGTGCGAAAGACGAAGCGAGAGCCAATGATTTTGGCGTCGTCGGGGACAAGTCATTGGTCGATGGGCGTGAAAGCGGAGAAATCGCGAGAGAGTGAGTCAAATTCATCACGAGCCGCAAGACGCCACTCGTCCGCCTGGGGCGAGGCCATGGCAGCACGCCAGTGGGGAGGGTCGCGCACAGGCGCAACGAGCTCCGCGGGGTCGACGGAAGAAGTATCGAGGAGGGCGGCAGCAGCGTCCGCAAGGTAGCACACAGGCGCAGGCGAGTGAAGGGCGTCATCGACATCATCAGAGAACTCCGGGGCAAGGCACAGGGCGGAGAAATCGTAGGAGCTGGGCCGGAGTCGAGGAGAGGGACAAGGCGTAGAAAGTGCCGAGTCGGGGCTGCCCTGGTCAGGGGCGCTGCCTTGGTCAGAGGCGAAGGGTGCGGGCAATTCCTGGTCAGGGACATTACGAGCAAGGGCCGGCGAGCCTTGGTCAGAGGCATCAGGCGCGGGGGTAAGCTGCTCAGCGCGAGGCGCAGGGGAGCGGGGGGGGGGGGACAGCGAGCAGTGGCTGGGGGAGGTCAGCCTGGTCAGGGCGTAACGCAACAACATCCGGGAGAGGATTGGCCGGAGAGAACGAGGCGTGAATTTGTGTCGAGGCGGGGAACTCGGATTCATGGAAAAGGACGTTCCGGCTGAGGAGCACCTTGCGAGTCGCCGGATTGAACAGGCGGTAAGCCTTTGAATGGTCGTCGAGGCCAACGAAGATGAGAGGCATGGCCTTAGGGTCGAGAGCAGAGCGGGACGCCGAAGGAAGGCAATGCCAGGCACGGCAGCCAAAGGTGCGAAGAGAGGAAACATCTGGTGCGTAACCATACCAACGAGCGTCGGGGATTTCGCCACTGACGCCGGCATGGGGTGTCATGTTCTTGCATCGGACAAAGTACATGGCCGCTTCACCCCAGAGTCGCGAGTCGACACCGGCCGAGTAGGCAAGGGCAAGGATGCCCTCCTTGATGGTGCGGTTGGGGCGCTCAACCCGTCCGTTTTGCTGTGGCGTGTAGGGTATCGTGAGTTCTCGACGAATGCCCTTGCTGCAGCAGAAATCGACGAAACTGCGCAGCGTGAATTCGCCGCCGTTGTCGGAGCGAATGGTCTTGACGCTGTCGCCGGTCGCTCGCTCAACCTCAAGAATCCAATTGCGAAGGCGCGGGAAGGTGTCGCTCTTGCGGGCAAGGAGGATGCACCAGTGCTTTCGGGTGTGGTCGTCGACGATCACAAGCATGTAGCGATGACCACCGAAGCTAACGTGTGGCATTTGGGCAAGGTCGACATGGATCAGGCCGAGGCGCTGCGAGGCAATCGACTTGGAGCGAGCGAATGGGAGGGCATGCGCTTTGGAAGCGAGACATGCATTGCAATTGAAGGTTCTACACTCCTCGTCCGAGTAATCCCACGCCACACCGGTAACCATCCCTTTCTGAACGATTCTCTTGAGAAGGAGGACAGGGAGGTGCGCGAGGCGGTTGTGGAGGGTAAGCAAGGACACCTGGGAGGGCGAAGCAAGCAGAGCGTGGGGCGTACAAGGTGCAGCGGCGAGGTCCAGAGTGTACAGGTCGTTTGCGATGGCCCGAGCGGTGGCGACACTTAGGTTATAAGCCCAAACAATCTACCAGCACGGTCGCTTTCGCGTCCGTTTCGTTTTTCTTTCTCGAACTTCGCACGCTTGCGCCGCCCCCGCTATGCCTTCCAAGTCCGCGCCCGGCGCTATTTCCAAGCCCGACGCCGCCCTTGAGGCCGCCATCGCCCCTATCGTCGCTCGTCCACCGCAGCAGCCGGCCTCGTTTGCCGCGACGGAACTCCTCCGCGACTCGGCGGGCTACCAGGATTGGCTCCTCGTCGTCCGCTCGCGTTTGCAGGCCGGTGTCCTCCGGTACCTGGAGAGCGGTGAGCCATGCGCTTCGTGGCCCCCCTCGCTCGTTCCGTTATGGGATCACTACGCCCTTTCCTCGCTCTGCTCGTCTGTCGACCCTCGCTTGGTCCTCCCCGGCTTGTCGACCTTCCGCGACGACAGCGACGGCGCGCCGAAGATCTGGCAGGCTCTCCGTTCTCGGTATGGCGCCACCTCGGCTGTTGACCTGCTTCCGGCCGTCGTCACGCTCTTCAGCACCGAGGAGCTCCCCGCCACCACGGACTCGTTCCTACAGTTCCGTGACAGTTTCGAGAACCAGCTTCGTCTGCTCACCTCGTCGAAGGTCACTGTCGACTCTCTGGTCGCCTCGCACCTCCTCTCCCGACTGCCGCCGTCCCTCGAGTCGTGGCGCTCGACCTTTGTCAACGACCAAGGTGATTGATTCGACGACCCTGCCGTCTGTCTCGGTGATTTTCGATCGCCTCCTACGCGACATTCGCGCTCGTCCAGTCGACGCTCCCACCGCGGCGCTTGCTCGATCGTCCGCTCGCGACGCCCGCGCTCCTCGCTCCCCGTGCCCCAACCCAAAGTGTCGCAAGATGCATTGGCTCAGGGACTGCCCCGACACCGCTTGGGCAGCCTCCTTCCGCGCGCGTCGTGCCACCGAGAACGGCAACAAGCCCGCCGGCGAACGCAAGTCTTCGCAGCCCGCTGCCTCTCCGGCGGCGTTGCGGATGGTGGCGACGTTGGAGCCGAACGAGACCGTGAAGCCGAGGCGGTCGAGGCGTCGAACGGACAACAAGTTGCAAGGCAACGAGGGCACATGAAGAACGTCAGCGACGGCGACGCGACCGGAGGTCGTGTTGAGCTCCACGGAGCCGGAACCGGTGGAGGGCAGGGAGCCCGCAACACCAGCAACGTGCGGTCCCTTGACGGGCTGCAGGTGCGTAAATAGACGAACGTCGTTGGCCATGTGCCGATTGGCGCCGGAGTCCAGAAGCCAGGCCCCCTTGTCGAACGGGGAGGAGGCGGAGAGGAAGCAGGCGGCGTAGGTCGCGGGCGAGAGGTGCTCGTCGGCGACAGCCGGCGCGGCAGCGGGAGAGGCAGCGGGCTGCGAAGACTTGCGTTCGCCGGCGGGCTTGTTGCCGTTCTCGGTGGCACGACGCGCGCGGAAGGAGGCTGCCCAAGCGGTGTCGGGGCAGTCCCTGAGCCAATGCATCTTGCGACACTTTGGGTTGGGGCACGGGGAGCGAGGAGCGCGGGCGTCGCGAGCGGACGATCGAGCAAGCGCCGCGGTGGGAGCGTCGACTGGACGAGCGCGAATGTCGCGTAGGAGGCGATCGAAAATCACCGAGACAGACGGCAGGGTCGTCGAATCAATCACCTTGGTCGTTGACAAAGGTCGAGCGCCACGACTCGAGGGACGGCGGCAGTCGGGAGAGGAGGTGCGAGGCGACCAGAGAGTCGACAGTGACCTTCGACGAGGTGAGCAGACGAAGCTGGTTCTCGAAACTGTCACGGAACTGTAGGAACGAGTCCGTGGTGGCGGGGAGCTCCTCGGTGCTGAAGAGCGTGACGACGGCCGGAAGCAGGTCAACAGCCGAGGTGGCGCCATACCGAGAACGGAGAGCCTGCCAGATCTTCGGCGCGCCGTCGCTGTCGTCGCGGAAGGTCGACAAGCCGGGGAGGACCAAGCGAGGGTCGACAGACGAGCAGAGCGAGGAAAGGGCGTAGTGATCCCATAACGGAACGAGCGAGGGGGGCCACGAAGCGCATGGCTCACCGCTCTCCAGGTACCGGAGGACACCGGCCTGCAAACGCGAGCGGACGACGAGGAGCCAATCCTGGTAGCCCGCCGAGTCGCGGAGGAGTTCCGTCGCGGCAAACGAGGCCGGCTGCTGCGGTGGACGAGCGACGATAGGGGCGATGGCGGCCTCAAGGGCGGCGTCGGGCTTGGAAATAGCGCCGGGCGCGGACTTGGAAGGCATAGCGGGGGCGGCGCAAGCGTGCGAAGTTCGAGAAAGAAAAACGAAACGGACGCGAAAGCGACCGTGCTGGTAGATTGTTTGGGCTTATAACCTATGAGAGGTAGAAGCAACGCACAGACCTGCTCAAGCAGTGGTAAGTCTCTGATCGACGGACCAAGGGAGACCAGACCAAGAAGTTGCTTGAGCAGGAGAGAGAGTCGCGCGGGGCCAGCTAGCTGAGAGCAAGTGCGCGAGTCTGGCCAGAATGCGGAAGATAGACGGCAAAGCCGGGTCAAGAAGGAGAATAAGGGAAGAGACACAGGGGCCATGATGCTAGAAGGAAATAAGAGAGAATTAAAGTACTTTGAGAATCTCACAAAAGAAGGCAACGAAACGGCACCGATCGGGGTCCAGCCTGGCCCACCGCCTGGCAGATTCCGGATTACAAATGACGTCAAGCCTGCCAGCGCCCGCGCCGGGCAAATGAAAAAGCCGTTGGACCGGAGCTGGCACAAGAGCGCTCGCGAGGCCCATTCCCGCGGAACACGAAGTACCTATCACAGGTGCAAGAGGTGAAAGATATTATTCTCATTCATTCTACATCTACTACGCGAACAAAAGTCCGTCTATGTCTTTTCTCATTCCTGCGAAGACCCTTGACTAAAGACTCTCTGGAGCTTCCATCTTCGACGCAGCAGGCAGTCCGGAGACGGAACCTTGCAACATCTGCGATGCGACCAATTGCGAGAAACGGGTTCCCGATCTTGTCAGTTCGTCATAGGTGCCTTGTTCAGCAACGACGCCATTGTCCATCAGCACGACGCGGTCCGCCGTCTTAAGTGTCGAAAGTCTGCGCGGTCAAACTCGAATGTCAGTCTAGAAAACCTTTGAATGAGGCCGCAAGTCCACTCACCGATGAGCGATCAGGATCGTGGTCAAAGAATGACTGGACGAGATGTTCGAGATGGCCTTGTTGACCAGCGACTCGCTCGCAGCATCAAGAGCCGATGTTGCCCTGCGCACCAGAACCAGTCCAAGATAGCATCAGCATCCAACACAGAATGTGCAATCTCTGACTACGATCCACTCACTCGTCACAGACCAAGATCTTGGGCTTCTGCAACAAAGCCCTCGCAATCGCCAGCCTCTGCCTCTGCCCACCGGACAACTGCGCACCCCTAGCACCAACGAGCGTATCAAATCCCCTCGGCAACGCTTCAATAAACCCACAGTTAGCCAACTTGGCCGCCTCCTCGATCTCGGCCCTTGAAGCGTTCGGTCGACCATACGCAATGTTCTCAGCAATCGTCGTTGAGAAGAGCGCAGGATCCTGGGGGACGATCGCGATACGTTGTCGCCACGATTCGACAGTGAAGTCGCGGATGTTGTCCTCGCCGTAGACGACGCGACCTTGCGAGGGGTCGTAGTATCGAACGAGGAGGTTCGCAAGCGTCGACTTGCCCGATCCGGATCCACCGGCGATCGAGACGATCTGTCCAGTTTCGATCGTCAAGTTGACACCTTTCAGAATCTCGGCCTGGGGTCGCGAGGGGTACGCAAAGTGGACGTCGTCAAAGATGATGCGGCGGGGTGGGGTCGTGACGGGTAAAGGCTTGCCGACACCGAGCGTGACCGAAACAGGACGAGCGTCGAGAAGTTCAAAGATGCGCGACGAGGCTCCAAGGCCCTTCATGATGGTGCCAAAGAAAGAAGTCAACCCAAATAGGGACGAGCCGATGCTGAGCGAAGGGGACACGCTCAATCAGCGAGAGATAATCCTGCGGATACCAAGGGTGCCACACACTCACTAGAACGTGTAGACCATCAGCGACGTCAACTGTCCCGTCGTCAACGCGCCCTTAGCAACGAGCGTCCCGCCGTACGTGAGCAATGCGATCAATGACAAGTTGCCCGCGAATCCAGCACCACCGTAGAACAAACCCGAAGCGAACGCTTCCTTCTTGGCGAGACCAAAGATCTTGTCGACCTTTTCCGAGAAACGTTGCGTCTCGAGAGGCTCGACGGCGTTGAATGCTTGGACGGTTCGGATCGAGCCCAATCGCTCCTCCGAGACGGCGACCATCTCACCGACGGCTGTTGGGAATTTGAATTGATGAGCTCAAGAACAAGAAACACGTTCAACACCACTAAGACCTACCTTGTTGAGTGCGCGTAGACAATTTCTTGAGGTATCGTCCGTAGAACACCGCGGCGATCGAAATAGGAGGAACTAAACGTATACAGGCGTCAGTATTCGAACCCACCCACGCTCCCAGGTCTTCGGCGCTTACCGATGAGCATCATCACCGCTGTCAGCTTTGCGCTTATCCAAAGCATCGCTCCAATTCCGACCGTGGCCGTGACCAGAGCCCGAAGTCCTTCGCTCAGTTCCCTCGTTAGAGATTCACCCACGATGCCGCAGTCTGAGCCGAGACGTGAGATGATGTCGCCTGTCGATCGAACGCCAGTCTGAGGAACTTGATGCTCGACGACCTTGGGTGGCTTGGCGGTGGTGACTTCCGCTGGTGATTTGGATGACGGTGCTTCGGCGGGGACGGCGAGTTCGGCGGTTTGGATCTTGGCTGCACCTTGCAGGTCGTGCCATCCAATGTCCTGTTTGTAGTTCGATATTGAGTTTAGTGGTCATACCCTCTCTCAATCTGCATTAAAACACACCTGTCTCAATACGTTCGTGTAAGCCGCCTCGCGTAACCGAGCAACGATCCTCTGACCCGAGATGCGCATCAGAATCGTGCGGCCCATGTCTGCGCGCCCATAACAACAAATAGTGAGCACACAATCACACTAATCCGTATTCGTCTGTAACGCACTGGCTGAAGCACCGATCGCGAAGAAGAGAGCCATCACCGCCGCCGCCGTCGGGACCGATATGGGCAAACCTTGCGGTGCCGTGCCGGAAAAAAGATCGATGATCCTTCCGATCGTGAACGGGATCGACAAAGAGACTGAGCTCGATACGAATAGCTGTATGAGAAAGACCACACGATTCCTGATCAGCTGTGCACGAAGGTGCCTCCTTGCCCCCCAAAAATTGCTCCCCCAAAGCGCTGGGCAGACTGACCAATCCAATCGCGATCGCGATCGTCTTCCTCTCCGGTCTGGCCAAGACCATCAACCGCCTGATCTCGCCAATCTTGATCTTTTCCGCCGGTTTCTTGGCCAGATCGGGTGCACTGGCGTCATCCTCTTCGAGCGAATCCTTGTCCTTCTTCGAACTGGCCGTGGCTGTCGGGCTCGTCGTCAGACCGGGGGTAGTGGAGGGGGTGGTGGAAGCGTACCGTATCCGTTGGGCCAGAGAGCAGGTCAGACTCCGTAATGGCACATCGATCGAGGACAATGTGGTCATTGTCGGTCGTCGCGAGCCCAAGCCGCCGATCAAACTCGATGAGCCATCATGTCCCGATCGAGCATCGGAGGCATAGCAAGTCCCGTAGCTCCGCGAAGGAAATCGGAACCGGTCCACGACTCGTGACCGTGTCGATGCAGCGGTGGATGATATCGGTCTTGCTGAGCATGTTGTTGTGCTGAGACAAGAAGCGACGCACCGCCATGCCGAAACAGAGCTGGGCCGTGACATGGTTCGATCGCGCCTCGTCGCGGAGTGGACCCGCTGTGCTGTAGGATGACAAGGCTACACCTCCAAAGGTCGGCAGGATCGATCCGTCTCGACGGCTGCTCCCTTCTCGTCCTCTGGCAACGAGTGAGAGTGGGCAAGGCGAGGTCGCGAAGAGCTTGGTCAAGTGTCAGGACGGAGAGCCGCCCGCGACGACGATCGCGCTGCGTCATTGGACGGCGGCTAATAGGCTGCGCTAGTCGATCGATCGACTGTTGGCGCCGAATAGATGGTTTCGGCTCGTTCCTCTCATTCGAAATTGCCTCGGAGGTTCTCAAATAGCAGCAAGAGTCTACTAAATTTTACCAAGTTTCATGTTTCGAAATCCTCGATAGGACAGTCACCGACGGCCCTTAAGCGCCAAAGTTGAAGGTGACTTTCTGAGCCGAATTCTTCCCCTCCTTGAGCAAATTCATCCCATCGTTGACTTTGGCCAAACCGCCTACTTGGCGCCACAGAGGGTTGGCCTTGAACTTGCCCGATTCGATCAAAGAGGGGACGTACTCGGACCATTCCTCGATCGCCTTTTTATCTTTGGGCATGGCTGGGAAGAATGCATTCCCAGCAAAGTTGAACTCTTTCCCGAGAACCGTATCTACAGTCCGACGACATCCCAAGCATCAGTCCAATCGCCTCTTCTCCCACGCGTGTCAAGATCGACTCACAAACGAGGGTAAACTCCACCTTGACATCGGGGTAGTTGTCCAAGCCCTCATCTGAAGGAGGCAACAAGACGACGATATGACCCTTGTTCTTGAAACTTTGCGCCGTCTTGAGCGTCGTCCCTCTCTCCGAGATCGTATCCAACGCCAAAGCCAACTCGGGGAATTCGTGCTGAATCTTGCTCGGCGTCGCATCGTCGGCGTAGTCGAACACCGCCGAGGCACCATACTTCTTGACGAGGTCAAAGTTCTTGGGCGAGGAGGTGGCGACGACCCTGTACCCGGCTAGAGCGGCGAGTTGCACGGCGTATAAGCCGACCGAGGTTGACCCGCCCCATACGAGCAACGACTCGGAGGTCGAGATGGGCTTGGACGGCTGAGGGATGCCGAGGCGGAGATTTAGAGCCTGGAAAGCAGTGTCTGTGAAATCACCGCCAACACTTTAGCCCCCCCTCGCGATGAATAGGCTCAAGCGGCGGATGCACTTACGAGGCGCGATCCCACCAAGGGCTGCGGCTTCCTCCGCATCGACCGAGTCGGGAACCTTCCACACCAGCGTCGCCTCCGTCTTGAGGTATTCTATGGTGTCGAATGCTATACAATGCTTAGCACGAACGAGTGATTATCAGCCAACCTGAAGCCTTGAACTGACCTGCAAACGAGCCGTGTTTCTCGTCCTTGCCGCCATGGATGAAGCCAGCGACGCGATCGCCTTCCTTGACGTTGTGGACCCCCTGTCCCAGTTGGACGACGCGACCGGAAAAGTCGCAGCCGAGGCCGGCGCCGGGGGGCGAGACGAAGTCGCGGTGCTTCCAGTCTGATTTCAAAGGGAAACGGTTCGGGCCGAAAGTTAGGCTCGAACGGACGTTGACGATGATAGTACATTAGCGTGGCGGGCACTGCTCAATGAGCGCTGGGCCACGGCCATCAGCAGGCCAGCAGACGCCGGGCCGCCGCGCAAGAATGACGATTGATGACGAAATACCTGGGCGGGGCGCACGGAAACCGCGACGGAGACCCCTTGCCACCACCGAAGAGTACACCGCTGATCTCACTTACCAGTAGGGTTGAGTGCAACAGCTTCGACCTGAGAGCACACACTTACGAAGTGTCAGCCTGAGCATCGAGAAGGAGGAGGAGGCGCTCGTTGTAGCTGCCCCATCCCCACCTTGACCACGATCTCGCCTTCGCCGGCCTGAGGGATGTCAACGGTCTGCACGGCGACCTTGCCCTTATCCACGACGATGAGTGCTTGCGATTGTTTAGGGATGGACATGATGAGATGTGAGTGGATCAGATAGGCGTGAAAAAGGGAGTCGGCGCGTGTCGGAGCCTGTCGGTTTATTACGAAGTGCGGAGGAATTCGTAGGCTTTGGTAAGTTAGTCAATCGCGCGCGGGCCGCGCCAAGCTGCGACGCCTGCCGGATGACTAACCACTTGTCCCACCCAAGCTAGGTCTTGTCCAGCATCGCTAGCCCCATTTCGTAAGCCACATAAATCATCCCGGGACCGGGGACACGTCTCCGCCATGTCGTGCCAAGACTGCGATAACAAGGATGCCGTCACCTTGTCCGCCTCCACTTCCGCGGATACCCCAACCTCCATGGCATTATTGGACCCGACCCAATTCGTACCCCCTACACCATCCTCCTCTCTTCCCCGTATCGTGATCGATTTTTGTGATCGATGTACGTCAACCCAAGAGCATCTTCTTGATCGCACCAGGCATCTTATCACTTATCCGCCCCACTTCGTTCCCCCACCCTCCTCCTCAGGTCGATGGCTCCACCGAGCAACCTGGGTCCAGACCGAATTATTCCTCACCTTTCCAACTACATCCGAAACAGGTATCCGAGCCATCGCTCTGGTCCCTCGAACGAGTCCTGAAACGGGTGGGAGATTCAGGGTGTGGATTTATAGAGAGGGAACGCAGGGTAAAGCCGATTTGGTGTGGGACAGGAAGATTGAAGGAGGCTTTCCGGAGCTCAAGGTTTTGGTGAGTTTGGGTTCAAGGAACTCAGAAGGCTGTGCGGTTGTGAGGGACTGACGGGAACTCCTTTATGGGCCCGACAGAAACAACGCGTGAGGGACCTGATCGCACCACAACAGGGGCTCGGTCATTCCGACCACCATACTAAGAGCAAATCCGAGTCCGAGGGCGAACCACCCGAGCTGCCAGAGAAGGACAACGAGCCAATACCAGCGAAGGAGAACGAGCCAGAACAGGAGAACGAGCCGGAACATGGGAACGAGCAAGAACAGAAGCCAGCAGTCGATGATTATACACCCCGGTTCAGGTGTTGATGGCTTGTATGATATTGGGTAATGATGTCAATGCAATGCGTTTGCGTAAGTACTCAATGAAGTCACAAAAATGGTATCAGGGAAGAACAAAACTTGGGAGTTCAGGGTCGGAAATCTTGTTCATCGACAAGAGCTTCGGCATCGACACACTCCTCGATCCACGCAGCCGTGACCAAGTGGCGATAACGGGGTCTGTGGTGTTAGGAATGAGAGGCTCAGCTCAAGGTACATGTCCGTTCGAGCCTTGCCGAGACTCACTCAGAGGTGCGATCGATCATTTCACTGATGCGATCCTTAATCTTGGCATCCAAGATGATGTGGGTCAACTCTGGATCAAGGAGGTCGTCCGTGGTGCGGCCCCCGTTACCGGTCCAAACTGTATGGTTCGATGGGTAACACTCTCAGCTCCAATCATCACGAAAGGCGCGAGGCTTGCCGCGCAAACCGCACTTACGCTTCTGGACTTTCGTTAGTCCTTCATCCGCCGTGGTCTGCGAAGCTCCGACCTTCTGAGACGCCGACAAATTGTTGTCCATCGCGTTCGACGACGTGTCAAAGTAAGCGACGTATTGGCCAAAGAGCGAGTCAGGGTCGTAATGCGCCTCCCCCAGCTCATCCGCGCCGTTCGACTGCCTCGCCGAAGCCGAGGGAGAACCCGACTCGGTCTTTGGCTTGACATCCTCCTTCTCTTCCTTCACCTCCTTTTCATCTTCATCGTCATCATCATCCGACTCGTCATGAATCCCATCTTGGAAACGATCTTCTCCGTTCGAATCATCCGAATCCTCATCCGAGTCGGCCATCTCATGCTGCATCGCCGTGAAATTCGATTCCTCCTCCTCCTCCTCCTCCTCCTCCTCCTCCTCCTCTTGCTTGGGACTCAGCATTTCCACCTCCTTTAAAGAAGCCGAAGGCAACGCCGACGGAGCCGGGGACGGAGATGGAGAGAATTTTTTTGATGCTGAGCCTTTCCTCAGCATCTCGTCACGCTGATCAAGGGCGGCGAGGGTGCTGCGTGTCGATTCTAGGCAATTGACGTAATACTTGGACGTCAACGTCATACGCTCGCCCGCTTCGATCGAATCGACAATCCATTGCGGACTGATGGTGTCGTAGTCCTTGGCCGCTTGCATGCGAGTTAACGCGTTCTTCCACTCTGTTGCAACGATCAGTCGTTCCTCAACGCCATCGACTCCGGCGAGTGCGCTCGGGGCTTGACGAAATTCGCCTCCGTGTGCCTTGATCTTGGCATGCATATCGGCGCGATCGAAATGGCGCATGTGGTGAACGTAAAAGACTATGCCCTTGAACAGTTCGTCGACCTTCTCCACTTTCACCACGGGCATCATCCCCGTCGGTTTCGTCGTCCTCGTCGTCTTGCGTTTCTTCCCCTCCGAGGTGAACTGGCTGTCTTGACTTCGCTTGGTCGAGCCAGCTTGCATTTCTTCGAGTTCGGAAAGGGTTGCGCTGTCGGTCCAGTCCTTGTCGTCGCGCACTCCCATGCAGCGTGGGAAGCGCAGAGTCCACCCGGCGCCGTAGTCTTTGCCGAGGACGACCTCTGCGGCTTTGACGGTGACAACGAACGAACTGCGGGGCGCTCGGAGCCAGTCAGTGATCAACAGGCATATCTCTTGAACTCCGGAGCATGCATACTCTTTGGGGTGGATCAACTGATCGGGCGCCTCGGAGTTGGTCGAGAACCAATCGGGCAACTTGCGACGGTTGTAGTCGAACCACTTCCCTTGCGTCTGATCCCTGATACTCTGGAACAAATCGCGATTGAACCCGGTTCCGACCTTGGCGAAAGATCTGAAATATGGCTTGCCATCTTCCTGCCGCGAATCATCCCTCACACCGAGCATGAAGCTCGCATGTGTACCCCCTCGGCGCCCTTGGCCCCAGTACGCGCCTACGACGAGCGCATCCAGGTCGGTCCCGAGCTGATCCATGTAGTCGGGCTTGATCTTCAGCCACGTCAACTCACGGCCACCGAGCTGGTAGATCGAGTAAGGGTTCTTGACGACCATCCCTTCCCCTCGCTCTTCGAGCATGACTTTGAGGAAGTCCGAAATCTCTTCAGCAGTCGAGATCTTCTTTACCTCCGCAATCTCAAGCACGCCCGGAACAGGGGCTTGGATGACCTTGTGGATCAAAGCCTTCCGCTTCCACAGCGCGGTCTTGAGCAGAGATTGGCATCCTTTCGGGGTCCTGATGTAGAGCACGTCAAAGACCTTGAGGCAAGGGCGAGGATCGTCCGGTCCAAAGGACGTCTTGGCGGCGAACGACTTGAGCTGACCAAAGGGGACATAGACCGAGTTCTGAGGATCCCACACGAGCATCTCGGCATCCAGAACGGCTTCTAGGACGTCTGGGTTGAATTTGCCATGAATGAACGGCGTGATTGACCCCTCTCGCGGATTCTGGCCGTAGAGATGGGTATAGTCCGTCGATTTCCTGGTCGAGAATCCACACGATTATCAGTGCTCTGATCTTCAGCAAGAGGATAAGTTCTTGCACACCTCGAATAATACGTATACATGTCACCTTTCTTGTGAACCTGGATGCGCTCGCCATCAAATTTCTCCTCAATCAAAAACTCCTTGGGCTTGCACCAGTACTTCATCTCCGTCGAACCCTTCGGCTCCTCAGGCGAGGCCGGTCGATCGGCGCGCATCTTCTGAACCACGCTGTCAAAGCCCGATTTGAGCAAGCGTCCACATAGCATGGGTGAAAAGACTCGGCCGACCGTCATTTCCTTGTGCTGAGTGAAAAGGGGGCGAGGTGTGACCGTCAGTTTATGGACCTTGTGTGCCCTGCGGCGTCTGCGCGAAAAACCTGGCAACGCACTTCTGATTCGAGTCGCTTGTTGGGGTCGTGAAGCTCCCAACACACGCGCAAGATGTCGGAACAAGTGTTGAAGAGGCTAGTGAGGATGTCTCGTGATCAGTAGTGCAACATCCCTGTGGGCTCAAGCGATAATGCGGTCAGGCACGTACTCCACTGCATCGGGATGCATCGCCCCAAGCACGACCCGCTCCGACATAGAGACCTTGTGATCTTATAGTAAGTTGCCATACCACTTAGTAATCGAGCCTGCAAATATCGCGCGTGATCCATCCGAAAGTGATTGCTTACCACGCAAGATAATGCGAATAAGCCACTTGAACTCGATTGGGCTAAGCCGTTCGTACGCCATCGTGAGGACATCCGCGACCTGATCAAGTGAGGAAACGTTGGTTTTTCCTTTCGTCGAGCCACTCGCTTGAGTTGAGGTGTTCGCCGCTCGATTGACAATCCCTCGTTGGGCTGCACCCGCAACAACGAGTCGATCGAGGAGGGCGTTAATTTCGTCGATCGTCATTTTGGGTTCACCGTTCTCCTTGGCTGTTGATCGTGCGTCGATGACTGCGAAAGCGACGCTTGCGAAATCCCCGGCTCCTTTCTGGGGTCGTGATGACTGTGCGGTACAAGCATGCACGTTCATGATCATTTCAGTCTTGGCAGTCGGCGCAGTACGCGGAAATCCTGACGCTGGCAGCAGTCCAACGTGGGGGACTGACGTGATGATCACTCGTATCCGGTACTCTCCAGTTGATTAAAGCTCGCGCATCCTTTATCTCTGTTGACATCCCCATCGTTTTGAGCAGTGCTTTGGCCAGCTTCTGCTCCTTGAGGTTGTAGTTGCCCCGGCGAGTGTCGCGCTGTCCGATCACGGGGATGTGGGGGACCACGAAGCCTCAGCTCGCACTGACCCGCAGCTAGTAACGTCTCCACAGGGCGACAAAGTTTGACCTACATCCGGGAGTAAGAGTCGTACAACAGGATAGGTGTCGGGGCCGACGTGCTTTCTCCAGCCCTACTCGCTCAGAAAGGGTTCCGAATTGGTCGTGGTTCCGAAGGTGGGTCAGGTCAGCGGGCTCAGCCGGCCACCCGCGACGAGAGTCCCGTTTAGACTGACAGAGAAGTACTCCCACAACACATCGCGTTTCGTCCTGTAGGGCTTGCCCGGTTTTCTCTTCTCGCCGATCATTCCCTCGATCCTGACAAAGACCATCTGCACGAGGTCAAGAAAGAGTGGGGACGTGCGGTTCTCGATACCCAGAGGGCGAGGAAAGTCGTCTACAGGGCATGAACATACGGCGATTGGGCCAGCGTGTTAGCTGATGCCTAGTCCCACTCTTGGGGCGTCCACGAGTACTGACCCAGCTCGACCGTGGGCACGTCGTCCTCATCGCCTTGCGTCGGCGGAGGTCCATTCGCCTGAGACGAGCCGACCCTACTCGGAGGACCCATGGTTGTAGCGACCTGATAGCCTAGATCGGCAACGCCTTCTGAGCGTTGGGAGACTGCGCGATACGAGTGATTGGCTCCAAGCAACGAAAGGCCAGCGAAAGAAAGCTGCGACCAGAGCGAGACGAGCGAGCAAAGTGATCTGGAGTGATGTACCAGGCGTCAAGGGCTGCTAGCGCAGGCTAACGCGATGTCAAACTTGACGAGCGTCCTTTGCCAACAGTTCGCATATGAAACGGTGGATCAACAATCGCGTCGCGAGGTTCACAACATGTAATGCATATTATTATCGGCTAGAGGCTTAAAGATCGTGATAGAGGGATGCTACAGCTTCAGCGCAGATTTGAAAACGTGTTCCAGGCCAGCTTGCTTCATTCTGCAGAGTCACGTGACTCAACGTGACGTCAGGACAGACAACTTCTGGGCCCACGCCAGTCATCCTTGGTAGCACTTACAGCTCGGCGACTTCATTCATCCCAGCCACTTCCTTGACCCGTATTTCATCCGTCAGGACTGGCGCCAAGCTCGCGTGATGCCGCAAGAGCCATTCGTGTCTTCCCGGTGCAGAAACTTCGGGAGGAGGGGTGGGCAAGATGTCGGAAACGTGTTCGCAGCGTACTTGCAAAGCTTTCCAGTTGAGTTGCTATGTGGGTGGGTGCGCCCACTGCATGGTCATTTAATGGCTCGGAATCATTATGGGGTGAGAAACACCTTACCTTGATGCGATGGACAAACTCGTCCGCGTCGGCTTCGAGTCCTTCCACGATAATCACGCCGGGATAGCTAGCGAGCAGCAAAAGTATGTGCGGTCAGTATCAGCTCGTGCAGGTTCTATCGCGATTCAACTACCCACCCTGGCTTGCTTATGCCCCATAGACCGAGCTCGGTTGACCATTGCACGATCTTTTTCCGTTTCCCCTGATCGAGGCGCAGGGTCGGTCTCGGTCGACTCGATCAGCTGTGCACTTCGCAAGCCGCTGGCGAGCCTGGACGAACCGTTGCCAAGAGATGATGACTCCACAGCAGCGTGCACTTGCTGCGAAGCTCCTTTATAGCTATGCACTTGTCCTCGTGGTGCCCATCCACGCCTTGGCCCGGTCTGGACGGCCGAGTGGGTTCGGTCAGGGGGTTTAACGCGAGAGACTCCCGTAGCGAGGTGAACAGATTGAAGACGGGGTATTCTTCACCTATATGTATGTATTGGTTATGTTGCGTGCAATGTCAGACACTGTTTTGCCCCGAAAGGAAGCCTGTAGCACGGCATGAAAAGCACCAACCTTGACGATTCAGCTCGTCCAGCCGGGACGTCAGCTCGCGACTGAGGCGGTCATGATCGGTCCGAGATACCGAGGGCGCATGAAGGGTGGGTTTGAAGTTTGAGGATAAAGGAGAAGCGTGCTGAATTCTCAGGTGGGCTTCGGGGGCGAGGCAGAGCGAGTACTCGGGAAGCACCAGGTCGACGTCATCGTGAGGGGGTCCATCGCTGCCCCCATCCCTCGTAGCTGAGACGTTCATGCTGCTACCATACGCATCTTCACCCCCCAGGGCATTCTGTACAAACACTCGGAAATATACTCAGCCGATGCGACCTGGATTGAGGGGTTTGCGAATTGTCTCACCTCCCAGTCGCGCTCATCTTGCTCGTCGAGCAAGTCCCACTCGAACTCTTCGTTCTTGATGACTGACGCGATTACTAGTCGCAACTCGTCTATGATGGGCTCTAGCTCAGAGCGCGAGTACCGCATCCTTCTCCCAAGTCGGTCACTCGTGGAAGGGGCTGGACGCAGGTGGAGGATCGACGTTCATCGACTGTGCACCGAGGCCAACAGACCGACACTCTCAACAGCTTTCAACTTCGCGCTGAGCGAGTTCGAGCTACTAGTCGGTGACCTTGTAGATCTGCTGGTCGAAGACGATTCAGCTCGATCTCAATAGGTACCTGTGGTACCGTCAAGGAAGAGAGGTCAAAATTCTGCCCTACAAGTAGTGAGTCACAGTACCATTGAACAGCCAGCCTGAGGCAACACCGTCACCAGTGGGTCCTCGACTGTTTCGCGGGGCACGGTGGCCGGAGCAAGTGGGCGGGCACGTGACAAGCACGGCCATGCACATGACTCGAGTTCACACTCTTTCGGCGAGCCCAGCGCCATCGCCCGTCGGAGGACCCAGGCCCATCGATGCCATAGTATATGCTCTCCGCCTTGCACAAAGACGTCGGGATTGCTACGAGAGATCTCACTGCCCCCTTATAGCTTTGTGACAAACATGAAGCTCATTACACAGGACCCGTAACATGGCTGAACGGCTCAGTGGCGCAGCGTGCAGTGGGCAGTCATCGCTGCAGATCAAGGGCCGTCTTGAGACTTGAGATCGAGAGTCGAGAGGCCCCGTCTCCATGCAATAGTGTCATTTCTAGGTACCCACGACCCCACCTGGGTACGGATAGGTAGGTACCTAACTAGGTAGTGGGAGGCATCTCGTCATCGTGGTCGCCATGAGTTAACGGGTGCGAGGGCTGAGAAGAACCATCAAAAAAAGACTCGGGATGCGACGATCCTCAGACTTGTCGATCGGCCCAAACAAGGTAGACTAGGTAGGTAGCCAGGTACATGCGCTGGTACGGGAGCTAAGGTTAAGCACCCAGAGCTGAAATATGACAGTCGCGTGGGATCTTTCACTTTCACTTTCACTTTCACTTTCGAAATCGCGCCACCCACCACCTTCGAAGCTACAAGTGATACATCAGCCTACATTAGCATGGAGACCGGCGAGACCGGCCCACCCCCACCATCGGCGTCCGCGGCGACGAGCGTCCCGATTGGGACAAAGGAGACGCAAGTCCCTATCGCCGCCGCGACCTACGCCACCGCCGCGATTCAAAAGACCAAGCAGACTCCCGAGCAGCAGACCCAACAACAACACCGTGCCAAGGCTTTGACCCAAATGTTCGAAGTCATGGGTGCTGTACCGGGCAATCGCACCGACCGGTGGTTGCAAGCCACCTTCGCCACCGACGAGTACCCTGTCGCTACCGCTACATCGCTCAAGTATTCGGCTCTCAACGCCAATCGATCCATTCGAAACATCTTCGACTTTGCTCTCGACGTCACTTTGACCGTCCAAGGCGCCTCGAAGGCCTCTCCCGCGGACAAGGCCGATCTGCTCGGTTGCGTCACGAGACTGCTCTCCCCGCAATCGCCCCTGTGCTTCGACGCCGAGGTCACCCTTCCCGAGCACCTTGCAGCGTTTGCGCCCCAGATTAGGGGTATCCAACACTCGTCTTTCGTCAGGGCCGGTGTGGTCAACCACCGTATCTCCGTGGGATTCGTTTCGGCGAAGGCACGTGACTCGGCGCTTACGGCCCCACTGGCGCTTACTTGGCACTCTGCAAAGGCTCACTTCGCAAAGGCCCACCACTTCTACCACAACATGGTCGAGCTGCGTATCAACGTCGGTGTCGCAGCGGTCCCATCCAGGGATGCCATTGTTGACTCTTTTAAATCAATTGTCACCAAAATCACAGCCAAGGGACACCGTTGCGAGCTGGTACAAGTCTTGCGCGTGATCCACGTCGATAACGACTCGGCCTATGCGCACTTGGCCGGCGAGTTTTCGGCCTTTATCCGCTTCGACGACGACGCCCTTTTCAAAGCCCCTAACAACACGCTGAAGGAGCTCCTACCGTCGAAGGTCTCTCTAGCCACTAGAGGCAACATGCATACGGCGGTTCGTCACGACTACGAACGAGAAGCGGCCTGTGCTCGGTGCCACTTTGTGGGGCATGTGGAGACCTGCGCGCTGGAACAGGAGAGGAGGCAGAAGGAAGCGAACAACAACACCGGAAGGCACAACAAGCACCACAACAACCCAACCAACACCAACAACAACAACAACGACACCACCAACACCAACAACACCGACAACGACGCTTCCGAGGTTGTGGCCCCTAGCCGCGCCCTCGGAACCGACCAACTCGAATCGCGGAACCGATTTGCGGGGCTCGAGGTCGAAGGAGGACAGGAGGATGACGTCGAGGAGGAGGATGCAGGAAAGGAGGGCGAGGAAAAGGAGCAGGTCGAAGAAGGAGACGAGGATACGGGCGCCAAGGCGGACGACGAGGATTCGGACTCGGATGGGAACGCCGGAGCGGGCATCGACAAGGCGGGAGGCGACGACAAGGACGACGACAAGGACGACGACGAGGACGAACAGGACGACAGCTCGGAGGGAAGCGAACAAAGGGAGGACGAAGGAAACGATGGGGATGACGTGATGAAAGATGGAGCAGAGGAGGAGGACGAAGGGACGGAGACGGAGGTGGAAGAAGAGGTCGAGCAGGAACAGGGGGTACAGGACGACAGCATCATGATCATCGACGACGACCAAACGACGATCACCACGGTTTCCCGCGAGTCGACTCCTCGGAGTCCCTCGTGGCCTCCACTATCTCCTGAGACGTTGGCAAAGTCGCTGCGCGAGGGTGCGGAGTGGGACCGAGCTAACGCCGAAGCTGCTGCACGTGTCCAAGCAGAAAAGGAGGCGATCATCAACGCCCAACTCGACGCGGAGGAACCGCTCGTTCGCCACCAATTTGCAGAGTGGGGTCAGGAAGATGGACAACTGCGATTCATCAACATTCGTGGCACCGGCTCCGGGTCGAACAAGAAGATGAAGAGGTCGCAAACGGTGGCCGATCTCAGCGATCCGAGCGACGACCCGGTCGATATCAAGCGCGTTCTGAACAGGGTCAAAGGTCGAGCAGGAAAGGAGGTAGCGGGTCAGGGGAAGAGGGTGACGAGGTCGATGTCGGCGGCGGCGGCGATGCAGGTCGAGGGGGCCAAGGCGAAAGCGGAGAAGGGTAAAGGGGTGGAGGAGGAGAAGCGCTGGTCCGACCACGAGCCCGAGGATGACATTCTCCCCGAATTCCCACTCTTTGAGGACGACACTACCGCCAAGAGCACGTCTACATCGTCTACCCAATAATGATCAAGCACACCATCACCAGCTGGAACGTGAGGAGGTGCATGGGGATCCCGGAAAAGCGACGCAACATTTACACCTATTTATCAACATTCAAAGCATCCGCCATTCTACTACAAGAACACTTCCTCAAACCGGAACTCTGGCAATGTATCAAGGACGAGTACGAGGGCAAGGTCTTCATCAGCAAACACTGTCTGACTCTGATCCCCGCCGACTCGCCCCTGATCGACGCCGAGATTTTGCGCACCCACTCGGCACTCGACGGACGAATCCTGGTCACCTCCTTTCGACTTCGAGGCGACATCCGGATACTCGAGATCAACAACATTTACGCACCAGTCGATACAAAACAACGACTCACATTCTTTGACAAACTACATTTCCACACGACGCAGAGCACCCACCTTCGACTCCTCGGCGGCGATCTCAACGACTGCCCGCTGCCGGCGATCGATCGGCGGAACCAAGGTCGGCACGGCCATCACTGGCCGATCCTGATCGGCAAGCTCGACTCGCCCTACACCGACTGCATACGATTCAAACACCCGCTCACACCATCTTTCACTCGACCCAACATCGTCCGCAAGCGACCAAAGTCCTTTTCACGACTTGACTACTTCCTTCTGCAGCGCACCCACCAAAAGCGACTCGTCCAAGCCTCGACGATCTACGACCACCCCAAGGACCTTTCGGATCACCGACCGGTCTCGATCGTCCTAGTTCTCTCGGATGAGCGAGGAGACGCGGCTCAACCCAACAACAGTTTACCAACGACATCAAACCAATTACATCGTATCAACGCGGCGACCTTCAAGACGGCGGAGTTCCAGGGGATGTTGGAAGGATGGTTGGAAGGAGCGAGTGGGGAGGAACCGGTGGGGGAGCTCGAGGTGGTGCTGGGGAACTGCGCGAAGGAGGGTCGGGAGCTGGCGAGGAGGGAGCATCGGGGGCGGGTGGAGCGGATGGCGGTCTTGGTGGGAAGGGTGCAGGATCTGGAGGCGTTGCCGGTGATGGGGGACGAGGAGACGGCCGAATGGACGCGGACGACGGAGGAACTTAGGCGAGCGGTCAACGAGCGCGCGCGCCAACTTCGGATCCGAGCCCACGTACCCGAAATCGCTACCGAGGAACGACTGTCGCGGCCGGTTCCACGCCAAGCTCGCGGCACGGAGTTCGGATTCCAAGATCACAGCACTGCGATTGCCCAACGGAGAGCTGACACATGACATTGACGTCGCGCTTGACCACACACAGGCGCACTTTCAGCGCCTCTACGATCTCGAGCCGCGCGATCGGGACCACGTCGAGCGACTTAGGGACGATTTCTTGGCGCCGATCAGGTCGGCGCGCACTTGCGATGACCCGAGCTCGGACCCGCTCTTTCTGCGACGACTCTCGGAAGCGCACATCGAGCTGCTGCAGCAACCCATCACCGAGGACGAGGTCGTAGCCGCAATCGCAACAACACACCCCGGTCGATCGCCGGGTCCATCTGGCGTGCCCTACGAGCTCTATCACACAGCGCCGCGGGCGTGGGCCAAGGCGCTGAGCAGGGCCTTCAACGCGATGACCGAGCGCGGCTCGCTTTCACCGAAGCAGGGGCAAGGACTCGCTCGCCTGCTCTTCAAGCACCACAAGATCGGGGCCGATCGCGCCGAGCTCTCGTCGTACCGGCCCATCACCTTGCGCGAGTGCGACTACAAGCTCTTCACCAAGGTCTACGTTGCGCGACTCAACCACGTGCTGCCGGACCTGCTCCCACCGCAACAGCACGGCTTCGTCAAGGGCCGCCGATCGGCGGACGCGTCATTCCACCTGCGACTCTTGATCGAGGAGCTGGGCGCGCGCGGCACCGAGTTCCCTGACGCGGCGCTCTTGTCTCTTGACCAATCGTCGGCTTACGACCTCGTCGAGCACGAATGGATCTTCGCCATCTTCGACGCTCTCGGCGCTCCTGCCGCCTTCCAACGCGTTCTGAGGATGCTCTACTCGGGTGACTCAACCACGGCGCGATATATCATCAACGGCTTCTTGACTCCGCCGGTGCGGCTGACGTGTGGGCTCGGCCAAGGGGACCCGGCGTCGTCGTCGGTCTGGGATGTCGTGTTCCAGCCGTTCCTGGATGCTCTGCACCGTCGAGGCATCGCGCTGAACCTCTCGCTTCCTACCATTCACCCCTACCCACAGAGCCGCGCCATTACATCCCTTGCGTTTGCCGATGACGTCGTCGTCGCCGTCGCGGGCTCGGAGTCACTCAACTTGCTCGACGACCTGGCGCTCGACTGGAGGCTCGCAACCAATGGCCGGCTCAACACCGACAAGACCGTCGTACTACCCATCGGGTGTCGCTGGGAGGCTGGCGATCGTCCGCTCGTCGTCAAGGCCGAGGGCGAGTCGCTCGAGTGGATCGGCCTATCTTTCGACCCCACCGGCAACACCGAACTCGCCAACGTGAATCTCGTCGCACGGCTCGAAGCGGTGCTCGATTCGGCACGGGACCGAGGGCTCACACACCACACCCGAGCGTTCTACGTCAACCGATACGCCATTCCCAAGATTCTGCACATCCTCTCCGCCGACATCCCACCGCTCGAGGTCGTCAAGGAGCTTGATCGCATTCTCGCCGACTTTGTCCGCGGCGGCAAGAGGAGGTCGTGCTATGGCAAGGACGTCGTCTTCACACCGAGGTTCAAGGGGGGTCTTGGGGTCATGCGGATGCAGGACGTCGTCGACTCGGTTGCGGCACGCGTCTGGGACGTGCTTCTTGGCGGTTCGGATGCGATCTGGCAGGGACTTGCGCGCGCGGCGATTGTACGAGCCCATCCCGCCCCCGACTTTGACTTGGCAACCGATGCGTGGCCTTGCGACTACACTCCGATCCGAACCGATCTACACCCAAGATGGTAGGCCGTGCTGAAGGTACCATCGACGCACAATACGCAAGTCAAGCCGAGGACGTTGACGCTCGCGAACCTTCTCGCTCTTCCGATCAAGTTGCACACCCTTCACTACCTACCGGGAGCACCAGCTGTGTCGCGACCACCCTACGACGCCGACTATGCTGCGTTTGCCATTTACGCCAAGGTAGCGGACCTGTTTCGACGCGAGCTGTACCCGGGCGGGGGCTTTCATCTCTGGACGCCGCCGACGGATGTGGTCGTCAGCAACAGCGAATACGATCAACGGGGCCGCCCACAACGAGAGCACTTCGTGGCATGGTACCGACATGCGATCAATCGATTGAGGTTCACACCAATAGCTCAACCGGTGGCGGCAGTACGAATCAACGGGCCTCCCCGAGTCCGCCCCACCACGCCGCTCGAGTCGATCCTGCCCCATCCGATCGACCCGCCGCAGCGCTTTCCGAGACCGGCTCTCCCAGACCAATCAACACAATACAACTTGCTCAGCATGGATCGGCCATACACCATCCGTCGCGTCCGCCGAGTCTTGAATGCAAAGGCCTTCACCGACACGATCGGTTTCAGGGACTCGCTGCAGCCCGACGATCTCAAGGGATTCTGGAAGGGGGTCAACTCGAAGGCATTGACGGCGAGGGAACGCGAGGTGTGGTTCAAGCTCGTCAGGAACTTCACCCCGACTCGGAGTCTGCAGTTTCATCAAAAGCACGACGACTCGCCCGCGTGCCTCGTCTGTGGAGCGCCCAAGGACGATCGGGAACACTACTTCTTCGACTGCGTTGACTCTAGGAACGTTTGGATCGCGGCAAGGGGCGTGCTCTGCGACGCACTGGGGCTCGACACGATCGACAACACGCATTACACGGCCGTTCAACGCATGTTCGGACTTCCGAAGCTCAAGGCCAGTCTGCGCGATCAAGAAGGAGCGGGGAGGACGATCGAAATATTCACCGGGCTGGTCTTGGAGATGATCAGCAGCGGGAGGTGGGGGATGCAGAAGTGGGGGACGAGGATGGAGGGTGTTGGGAGGAGGAGGATCATCTTGGAGGAGAGGTTGAAGCTGAGGGCGGGAGGAGCTTGGGGGAGGAGAGGGCAGTAGAGGCTGGGTTCGACTTTCCCCCCACCACCACACACACACACCAAATTCTCGTAACATCATTTTCTCCTACTGTACACTAAATAGCTCGCTTTCCTCTTTCTTTTGTTACAGGTTCACCGTTGCGGATCATGGACCATCTCGCGATTTGGCGTCGACTCGGTGTGGCTCGCGCTCTTCGGCTTCGGGGTTCTGAGTCAAGGGAGGGATCAGCGGACACAGGCAGAAAGTCGGCTTTGAGGGGCCAGGGACTGCCGAGGGGGAGGTTTTGAGGGACCTTCACCGCGTCTTGTTGTGACTGAGCAGAGACTTGGAGCGTCGAGGGTCGTGGTGGTTGCGCAGTCGTGCTCTTGTCTTCGTCTCGACCGAGTGGGAAGTGGCTGTGGGGTGGGCCTTCTGTCGTTAGTACATTTCTTTTCTTTCTCTTTCTCTTTCTCTTTCTCTTCATCTCTCTTTCTCTCTCTCATTCGTCTCCTGGGGGGGAGCAACCGCTTGGCTAGGGCATTTGAATCCGAATCTCGGATTGGTGGACTTGGCTCGTTTCTCGCACTTTTGCGGGCGGTTTGTGTTATCATCGTAGTCTTCCATCTAGTTTTTCCGTAGGCCGAAACAGGGGGAACAGGAACTGGGGGCAATATGATGAACGTTTTCTACAAAAAAAAAACCTAGAGGTAGGTGGTAGGACATGATAATGGCGTCAAACCACTACTAGCAGCTCGTAACTCGAGCCATAAGCTCGCACTAGTACCTAAGTGACTCTCCAGAAATTCTTAAAAGCTGCCCAAGTTACGGAGTCCTATGTCTACATACCGTGCGATAGATGCAGATTTAGCTCGGATTCACCAAATATCCAGACTTTCAGAGGCATAGCCCCTGAATCGGAAGATTGCCGCGGTGAACGGGATCTGAACACGTGACATGGGATTCTTGTCCCATTCGCGCTGTGGTAGCGCCATTTCTCGATCTTAATCCTTCATCAGGCGCTACGTGTGAACAATCTCCTACCTGGCCAAGGTACAGGCAAGCACATCCTACCTAGCTTGGGATTCTTGGCATCTAAGACCCAAGAAGTCGCCGAGTTTGCGGGGCATCGATTGGCGAAAATAGAGTTGATGGCTTTGTAGCCGAAAATGGTCAAAGATCCCAGAAGCCGCGAGTTGGAGAGTCATCGAGTAGCGAAAATCGTAAACTTGATGGCTTTGTAGCCGAAGATGAACGGTGAAGGCCCAGGCAAACAGGGATGCGTCCGTGCGCATCCCACTCGGGTCCTTCGGAGTCCGAGAGGGAGGACCCAATTGGGCTGACAGCCTGAGTTGCGGAGCCACGGTGAAACTGGTGTCGCGCGGCGACGGCCCTGACGGCGGCTGTGTCTCGGATGCAGCAGCCCGCAGTCGATGGCCAAGCACGAGGAGACATGCGGCTCCGCCGCCCACTTCGGACCGAGTCGGGTGCGCGCGTTGAATCTCGGCGAACGCTCGCTGCCGGCGCCTGTGCCTGACCCAGCCGGCACCTCGGCATCTTGATGTAGTACAGTCGGCCTACCCGAGTGCGCGGAGCCCCAGAACAAAGAGTGAACCTCCTCCACTTTCCTCCATCTTTCTTCTTTCTCTATCTCCGCCATTCCCCAACTAACTTTGAAGCCATCCGTCATCATGTCCGGCAAGCCTACTGAGACGCGCGAACACATCGAGGCGGCTGCCACACCCGCGCAAATCGCCGCCCTTCAATCTTACGCCGTCGACGATCACAATGAACAGATCACGGTGTTGGGTACCATGGGTCAAGACCCGGAGCACAAGTCCAAGATTCCTTGGCAGTCATGGGCCATCCTGGCGCTGTGCGCCCTCGCGCAGATGCAGAATACCTACGTCGCGTGAGTTGCTTGGACCCGACTTTTCCTCCTCGCGAATTCTCTCCGGCGCCGGCATGCTAACGTACGCGCCATCCTTCTCGTATCCCGTCAGTATCGCGCCTGCAGCCAACGCTTACTCGATTGCAGGGCCGCTCAATGGTATGAGCAAAAGGATCTGGATCGTCCAGGCAGTGAGTCCGCCCGGACCGACACCAATTATGGCCTGGCTCGGGGGTCGATGACAGCCGCTGACTTTTCTCCCATTTCTGACGCGCGCTTGCAGCAATCGGTTCCTTCGATCGCGACTGGACCCATCATGGCCATCATCTCCGACACCTATGGGCGTCGATGGGTCATCATCATCGCATGGGTGATTTTCTGCATCTCCGCCATCCTCGGCATGGTCGCCAAGAATATCAACCAGGTTATCGTCGCCCAGACTTTGGCCGGTGTTGCCGCCGGTGTTTCGGGTATCATGTATGCGGTCGCCAGTGAGGTCCTGCCCAGCAACTACCGCGCCTACGCACAAACAGTCGTCAATGGTGTCTCGAGTATAGCTTCGGTCATTGCCTTGGTCGCCATGAGCCAGGCGACATCTGCGGATCCCCTCAACGGCTGGCGATGGATTTTCCGCACGTCTCTCATCTTCGATGGGCTCCTCCTCCTCGGCTTCGGTTTCTTGTATTTCCCTCCCCCTCGCACAGCCGACAGTTCCACATTCATGGAAAAGGTGAAGAAGATGGATTGGATTGGATATGGTCTTCTCCTCGGTGGTCTGGTGCCCTTGCTCATGGGCTTCGCATGGGCCGGCTCGGGCAGTTACGGCGTGAGTTGCCTCAAGCGCGCTTGCCACACACCATGAAACTGACTCAACACTTGTGATCGCGTCTCAGTGGCACGATCCTCACGCCTACGCCTGCGCCGCAGTGGGATTCGTTGGCTTGATCGCCTGCATACTCTACGAATGGCTCGGAACCTCGCGCGGTTTCCTGGACCACCGTCTCTTCCAAAATGGTCACAACTTCCCTCTTGGACTCTTCTTGATCGCCGTCGAGGGATCGCTCTTCTACCTCATCAACAACATCTATGTACGTAGAGCGCGCAAACTTCGACTGAAACATTCTAGATACCTTTTCTGACGGCATTCACGTTCTCCTTGGGTATTGCATAGGCTCAGCAAGTGTTCTCGCTCTGGGTCCCCACCGGTGGAGTTGACGCCGGTGCGCGTTTGCTCCCCTTCTTCCTCGTCATCTTCTTCGTCGCGCCCGGCATGTCCTACTACGTGACCAAGCGCAAGGATCTCAAGTGGCCCCTTTGCATCGGCTTCGTCTTTTTCGGCGTTTGCATCATCGGCTTGGCCGAGTCGGGTCTCAACGTCAACATGGGCACCGCCTTCAACGCCATCGGTGGCGTCGGTTTCTCCGCGCCGTTGATCCTGCTCTTGACGATGGTGCAATACTCGACTCCGCCTCTCTTCATCGGTGTCGCTTCTGCGCTCACCATCAGTGTCCGAACGCTCGGTGGCACGGTCGGATACGCCATCGCAGACGCCATCTACGGCTCTTTGACCAGCGAGCAAGTGCCTGCGGCTATTGGTAAGCTCTCTCTGTTTTCCAGTCTCTTGAGCGACGCGGATCGACAGAGCTGACCCTGTTGCGTCTCTTCTCTCAGCTGGTGCCGCCATCCCTCTTGGCTTCAGCCCGGCCAACTTGACTCCCCTCATCATTGCCATCCTCTCCGGTCAGGGCATAGCCGGCGTTCCCGGCATTACTCCCACCATCGCCAGTGCCGCGTCGCTCGCTGCCAAGCAAGTCGAAGCGCACGCTTACAAGATCGTCTGGTATGCCTTTTTGCCCGGAGGTGAGCCCCATTTTCTCTTACGCGTGAACACGACAGCCTTGGTGATCGTGCTGACTCGCATTGCCGTTTCAACCGTGCAGCCGTTCTTGCCGCGGTCGGATGCGCCTTGTTCCGCAACCCTACCGAAAGGATGAACTGGGTCGTCGATGCTCCCCTCAAGAACATGAACGTTTTGGACGACGAGAAGTCTGCGAACAATCACCACCGCGACCCTACTTCGTCGTACGTTAGCGGCTCCAAGGAGTAAAACCGGCAATGCCAAGGTCACTCCCACGTGCGGCAGGGCCGGAGTTGATCATCAGTAATCTGCGTGCATTTTTTTTTGTTTACTGTAGGTCGCAGTGAGTTGTTCTGGGGCCATATGATATTGATGTAGCGTACGCGAAGATGTATTTGGATGTAAGGCATATCATTCGTCCTGATCCGTCGACGCGTTCATCCCACGAGAGCTCCGAGCTTCCGAGTCGACCCGTTCCTTCAAACCCGACTGTTTGAAGATCCTGCAGGCTGTTCCTCGGCGTGACCACCGTGTACCGAAGGAGAGACGACGATGGCCCCGAATTTAGCGAGACCCGCGTACGCGCTGCTGGTCGCCGTTTTAAAAAGAGCTCCCAGACGGGCTCAAACACCCCTGACCGGATGGCGAAGGCTCATGATCAGAAGCGAGCGAACGAGGTGAGGCCGCTCGGGCCCCTTGGGACGAGCGCGTCCCCCTTTGAGGAGCGTTGAGGTAGTTTGAGGTTTGGAGCGAAGGCCGGGGCCGCTGGCTAGTGTGTGCTGTCGCCTGTTTCCCATCCGGACACTCATTCAGCCCCTGGGTAGACGCGAACGCTCACCCCTCCTTGCAGTCCGATTGGTTTCATCGGCGTCAATAGTCGTATACTTTCCGCCAAGACTCGACTTGCCCTTCGCGACTGACCGGCTCCCACGAGTCGCGAGTCGCGAGTCGCACCACCCCACTGGGAGCATCACCCGACGTGAGCTCGAGCGGTGACACGACTTCACCCCTCTGTCGACTACCGACAGCAGAACGGAGACCCAACAGCTGTAGCCCGTCGCATCACCACCGATTGAACGCCCCAGGTGCTGCTCGATACTGTCTGATCGTGGGCGATCACCTGCTGTGGTTGACGCGTAGGGCTCACCACGGCCGCGTGTCGTCGCGATGCACGCCGTGAGTTCGCAGCACCACCCAGCGCACCTGTCCTCGGGCAACCAGCCGATCGGGGAGGGACAGAGTGCTGATATCTACTACCTGTGCTTATCGACAGTACGACTCTGATGACGAGGACCTAGCCATCTACTCGCCCGGAAGGACCCCGGACCCGAACGCACAGCCGTACGGTCACCGAGGCACCTCCACTGCCGCGCAGCAGCACTTTGCCTCCAACGCCGACCCCTTCGCGAACCAGAACGGCGTTTACGATGATACCTATGGAGGGCAGAGTCAGAACCCGGCTGCCTACGGAGGGGGAGAAGCCGCGAGTCGGTTCGGCCCGGCCGTCGATGCGAGTCATCCTTCTGACCGAGTCGCTCCTGCGCCCGCGGCGGGGAGATACGACAGCGAGATGTATGATCCATTCTTGTGAGTATCCCGAGAACAGCTGTTGAGATTGAGAGACTCGTCGGCTTGATGCCGACGTATCTGTGCTTTCGCTCACGCGCCTCCTTTTGATGCGCAGTGACGACGGTGACCCAGCCGCTGGCTCGCAACTTTCCCTGCCTTACGAGCGGCCCCAGTTCGCCCGCGATGCCTCCAACTACTCGGGCCGGGCACCCCTCACCCAGAACGCTCAACTCCCCGCCGGCCACGGCCAAGGGCAGATCGGCGAATCGGCGTCGCGATCGGTGCAGAATGTGCTCGACCAGGATGACCCTGAGCTCGTGATGGCGCAGGCGCGTATCGCTGCTGCTCAAGCTCGGAAACGACCGGGGCAAGGTAAAGGTATCGTCCAAGAGTGGATCAGTGAAGCCAAGAGGATCATCAAGGGATCGCCCAAGACCTACACGGGCGAGCGGCTGATTCACATCGGTAACCCGGCGATGAATGCGCCGAGCAAGTTCTCCAACAACTCGGTCAGCACGAGCAAATACAACCTCATCACGTTCCTCCCCAAATTTTTCTTTGGTCAGTCCCTTTGGGAGCACTGGCTTGCTTTCTATGCTCCGAGAAGGGTGATGATGGGCTGAAACGTTGGCTCAACCCGGAACGCACGCAGAGCAATTCTCCAAATACGCCAACGTCTTCTTCTTGTTCACGGCGTGCATCCAACAAATCCCCAATGTGTCACCGACAAATAGGTGGACGACGATCGCACCTCTCAGTCTCGTCTTGCTCGTCGCTGCGCTTAAAGAGATGCAGGAGGACATTGTGAGACATGCAACTTGTGACTCGACGGGGTCTACCAGTGCTGAGCACTTCTCACACCCCTCCCTCATTAGAAACGACACCAATCGGACGCCGATCTTAACTCACGAAAGGCTAAAGTGCTCAACGGCGCCCATTTCGAAGACCGGGCGTGGCGCAACATCAAAGTCGGTGACATTGTGCGATTGGAGTCGAACGACTTTTTCCCCGCCGATCTCGTCTTGTTGAGTTCGAGTGAACCCGAGGGACTGTGTTATATTGAGACGAGCAATTTGGATGGGTGAGCAACCGGACCCCTACACCGGACGAAGCGTGTTATGCGTGCGACTGCTCACCCCTCTTTGATCTGTACAGCGAAACAAATCTCAAGATCAAGCAAGCCTCGCCGGTCACAGCAACTTTGACATCCCCACCTGCTGTGGCTCAGCTCATTGGCCAACTGCGGTCCGAGCAACCCAACAACTCGCTGTATACTTTCGAAGCGACGCTCTCGATGAACAACCTCGGAAACCAAAACGATGTTCCTCTGGGACCTGATCAAATCCTGCTTCGTGGTGCTCAGCTGCGCAACACAGCTTGGATGTACGGTCTCGTCGTCTTTACCGGTCACGAAACGAAGTTGATGCGCAACGCCACGGCGGCGCCGATCAAACGAACGGCGATGGAGAGGATGGTCAACGTGCAGATCTTGTTCCTCCTCGCCATCTTGATGACGTTATCGATTGCCTGCGCGATTGGAAGTACACTGCGGAACCATATCTCGGCTGACCAGATGTGGTATCTGATGTTGGGAGAACGACCGATCTCGGCTAGGGCGTTCATCGAGGACGTCTTAACTTTCGTTTTGACGCTCAACAACTTGATCCCCATCTCGCTTATCGTCACAATGGAGGTCGTCAAGTTCCAGCAGGCCGCTCTCATCAATTCGGATTTGGGTGAGTCTTCTCGAGTGCGAGGTGAGGAATTTCACCGACTAATCATTCTCGATCCTCATGACCACTCTAGACATGTACCACCCTGTTACGGATACCCCTGCGTTGTGTCGCACCTCTTCCCTCGTCGAAGAGCTTGGGCAGATCGAGTACATCTTCTCGGACAAGACGGGGACTTTAACGTGTAACGAGATGGAGTTCCGTCAATGCTCGATCGGTGGGATCCCTTACGCCGACGTCGTCGACGAATCAAAAAAGGGCGAGGTCTTTTCTTTTGCCGAGATGCGGGACAACCTCACGCAAGGGCACGAGACCGCGGCCGTCATCGAAGAGTTCTTGACTCTGCTCGCGACGTGCCACACCGTTATCCCGGAGGTCGGTAAGGAGGGCAAGATGACGTACCAAGCCTCAAGTCCCGATGAAGCGGCTTTAGTCGCTGGTGCGGATGTGTTGGGCTATCGATTCACCGTATGTGCTCGTAACCGTGTTTTCGCAATGTAGCCGGTGACTAACTTTACGGGATACGCAGACTCGCAAACCTCAATCGATCTACATCGAAGCCTTGGGCGAGAAGCGCGAGTACCAAGTGCTCAACATCCTCGAATTCAACTCGACCCGCAAGCGTATGTCGTCGATCGTTCGAGGTCCGGACGGCAAAATTAAACTCTTCTGCAAAGGTGCCGACACAGTCATCTTTGAACGCTTGTCGGGATCGGGCCAAGTCTTCACCGATTCAACGATGACCCAACTGGAGGAGTATGCGACTGAGGGTTTAAGGACGCTATGCTTTGCCATGCGCGAAATTCCCGAGGACGAGTACAAAAAGTGGTCCGTTATCCACGATAAGGCTGCGGCGACCATCAATGGTCGTGGGGAAGCGCTGGAGAAGGCGGCCGAGATCATCGAGAAGGATCTGTTCCTTCTGGGCGCGACGGCCATCGAGGATAAGCTGCAAGAGGGTGTGCCAGATACGATCTACACCTTGCAACAAGCCGGGATCAAGATTTGGGTCTTGACAGGTGATCGACAGGAGACAGCGATTAACATCGGTTTGTCGTGTCGCTTGATCTCGGAATCGATGAGTTTGGTCATCGTCAACGAGACGAATGCGCATGATACCAAGGACTTTTTGACGAAGCGATTGGAGGCGGTCAAGAACTCGAGGAATGCGGGCGACTTTGAAGAGTTGGCGTTAGTCATTGATGGCAAGAGTCTGGGCTTTGCACTGGAGAAGGACATGAACAAGACTTTCCTCGAACTTGCGGTCATGTGCAAGGCTGTCGTTTGCTGTAAGTCGACGTGATCATTTTGTGTCGTTTTCCAACCCGCTGACAAGCACATTCTCTCGAACCGCAGGCCGTGTCTCGCCGCTCCAAAAGGCGCTCGTCGTCAAGCTCGTCAAGAAGAATCTCAAGGCCATCTTGCTCGCCATTGGCGATGGAGCGAACGACGTCTCGATGATCCAAGCCGCCCACGTCGGCGTCGGTATCTCGGGCGTCGAAGGCTTGCAAGCGGCTCGCTCGGCCGATGTGGCGATCTCGCAGTTCCGCTTCTTGAAGAAACTGCTGCTCGTTCACGGCACTTGGTCATACCAGCGGTTGAGCAAGTTGATTTTGTATTCATTCTACAAGAACATCGCGCTTTACATGACTGGCTTCTGGGTAAGCGAGAGCCGTGCATCTGAACATTGAAGCAAGTCGTGTTGCTCGAATGCTGATCCAAATCAACCCGCCTGTTTTTCCAGTTCGCGTTCCAAAACTCGTTCTCCGGCCAAGTCATCGTCGAATCGTGGACATTGACCTTTTACAACGTGCTCTTTACCGTCTTACCGCCCGTTGTGCTCGGTGTCTTTGACCAATTCGTCGGTGCTCGAATGCTCGATCGTTACCCAGAGTTGTACAAGCTGGGACAACAGAACAAATTCGTGAGCCTCACGCCTATCATGATGATCCCTGTCACTTGGCAAGCTGACTCTAGACCGCACGTGGCGCCCAACAGTTCTCGGTGCGGATCTTTTGGCAATGGATCGCCAGTGCGTTGGCTCACTCGTTCATCATCTACGCCGTCACCGTAGCCATCTTCTGGGGCGACTTGATTCTACCGCAAGGATGGGTCGGCGGTGAATGGATGTGGGGCACAACCCTTTACCTCGCCGCTCTTCTCGCTGTCCTCGCCAAGGCCGCTTTGATCTCGGACATTTGGACCAAGTACACCGTGTTGGCTATCCCGGGATCGTTCGTCTTCACCATGATCTTCCTCCCCATCTATGCCCTCATTGCACCGTTACTAGGGTTCTCACTCGAGTACACCGGTATCGTACCGAGGCTGTGGGCATCCCTCGTGTTCTGGATGACCATCTTGGGCTTGCCGGTGCTATTGCTCACCCGAGACTTTGCCTGGAAATCGTCAGTCGAAGCTCGCTTAATCCGTTGCGGTGGCCCCTTACTGATCAAAGAGATTCGATTTGGCAGGTACAAACGGCTGTTCCAACCCGAGCCGTATCACATCGTCCAAGAGATCCAAAAATACAACCTACCAGGTAAGCATGGCTGGTGGATCGGAGGGTATAGCCTGATATTGATGCGGACAAGCTTGCTTGGCCAACCAGATTATCGACCACGAATGGAGCAGTTTCAGAAGGCCATCAAGAAGGTGCGCGCCGTCCAGCGTTTGCGACGGAATCGTGGCTTTGCTTTCTCACAGTGAGTCTCCATCGGCGCCAGTGCTGGCAAATAATCCTTCGAATTGACATTGAACTTGCTGTGCCTCTCGTAGGACCGAGGATGGACAAGAAGCCGTCATCCGAGCTTACGACACGACCAAGGCCAAATTGGCTGGTTGATACTTCCCTCCCCACTCGCCCTTCCTATCCCATGGACATACGTGTTGTTTTTGTTGGGCTGGTACTTTCAACTTTTTGATGCGAACGATCTGTTATCTCACCTTTTCAAGTGCAGTGCAACCCTCTTTTTCTGGTACCTTCATGCTTTTCTCAGTGTCACTCCAAACTGTAGAATTCGCTTCCGCACCATCTCTCCTCGCTCTCAGTCATTGTCTTGAAGAAATGTACGACTATTCTCCAAGCCAGGGCAGATATGAAGCTACCGCAAACGAGTCAAAGGGAAGGTCCTCACTCTTCATCGATCTCCACCTCCTCCTCCTCCTCCTCTTCCTCCTCCTCATCCCCACCCGCATCCTCATCCGCATCCGCATCCTCATCCGTTCCCTCCCCCATGCCAATCGGACTCTCCGACCTCCCTCCCATCCCAACCTCCGCCATCCCAATCTTCTTCCTCAACCTCGCCGACCTCTGATCCTCCGGTTCTTTCTTCTCCTTGGCTCGAACCTTGACTCGATTCCTCTCCCAAGGCAAACGAGCACTCACACCACCCATCGAAACTCGGGGTCGATAACTTGCTCTCGGTTTCGTCTTGATCGTTGTCGTGGGCGAAGTCGAGCCATCTTCCTCGTCGTCTCCACTAGGTCCAGCACTTGCACTCTCTCTTCGAGCTTTCCCCTTCCCTTTCAGCTCCACCCCTTCCTCCTCCCCACCAACCCCCGCACCCCCCGTCGTCATCGTCGTAGTACTAACCGCGAACCTCCCCCTCGGATCGCCCAACAAATCCCTACACTGTTCACTACCCACGATGATCCCATTGACCAAACCCGCAAACTTCCTCTTCAACACCAATCTCATCTGTTCGAAATAATGGCGCTTGTACCAACCCTCCAAATCGGCTGAACAAGTCTCGGCGATCGCTTCAGGGGAATGAATGAGTTCGACCAAGAGGGGATCGGAAATGTCGATGAGTTGAAAGTTCGCGACGGGGGAATAGAGGTTTTGACCATCGAAGGTATGGGATGATTTCGACTTGGACGTCCTTAACGAAGATGATGCCGCACCGGGAACGATGGAGAGTCCCGCTGCGGGCGCTTTGGAGCGTACGTTGAGTTGGTTGCGCAGGACGATGTGTTGGTACAGACGCGCTTCGACGTGTTGACGAGGGTCGTAGGAGAATCTGATGACGAGTTCTTTGAAAGGACCGTCTTGGAACGAATAGGAGACCATGGGGATCGCGGTCTTCCGACTGGTGAGCGAGGAAGAAAGGCGAATTGATCAGCTTCTGGGGTCACATGAGAACCCTGCGTAAAGCGACCAGGACTGACTTTTGGATGGTCCTCAACTCCTGCTCGCTCAATTGATTCAATAAACTTTGCCTCGTCCAAACCGGTCTTCGTTCGAGATAAGCCAACAACTTGATCTCGAGCGCGTCGTGGGTCCTCCTCCCCACGACTTGCAACAATTCGGGCGTGGGTTCGGAGGGGACCGTCGGGGAACTGTGGGGTATGGTCGTGTGGGGTTTGGTCTTGTAGCGAGTTGAGCTGGCGAGACGAAGGACTTCTTGGCCCGAGGGGCGGATCGAGGTCGTCGGGACCGTGCGAGCCGCCGGTTTGTACCTTTTGGTGTCGTTGTCAACGGGCAGGTCAGTTTTGGACTGTCAAGGGCAGCAACAGAGGCGACGAGGAACTGACTCGTATTTGAGGGGGACGGTGTGGCGCGCAAAGATGGGCGGTGGTAAGAAGAGATCGTCGGTAAAGTTCTCGTTAGGTTCGGGTAGTCGATAATCGAGGATCGCATCGACTGCGTGGTGGACAGGGGATGAGCGGGGAGGTTGAGCCATCGGGTGGAGATCTATCAACTAGCGGTCTGTTGCGCTCACTGTCCATCGCTCTGACGGCGTTTGCGATCTGTACGGCCGGATCCTGTTGGTTGACTTGGACTTTGAAGTCGGCGGTGGCTGCGATCGATCGAGTCGAGGCACGGGGAGCGACGCGGAGGGACGCGTCGAGGCACGTGATGTCAGCGACGCGTGCGGACGAGTGAACGATCTCCGATGGGACCCACCCCTGAAGCGTATGTTCTGACTGGCCACTCCCAGCGGTTCAATCGAGTAGATTCCCTGTTCGACGATGTTGCCCTCTGCATCGCGCAAAGGTCGCTTTCGCCTCCGTTTGGTGAGGCGCAAGACGATGTTACCGCCCGAAACGATGGTCGCCGGGACGGGATGGGTGTACACGCCTTTGGGTCCTCGGTTCAGTTGCAACTCGATCGCGTTCGTGGGCGTGTTGTCGCTCGGGTTCAACAACGCTTCGGAGAGGTGCTTGAGGCCCCCTACGGCTTCGAGCGCCCGGTCGAGCCGACGAACGGGACCGGGGAACTCGATCGCGGCAAAGTGTTGGGTCACGGGCACTCGTAGGTGCGTCGATGGTCGGGCTGTGTCCTTTGCTGTGCCTTTGCCTTTGTTGAGTGTGTCCATGGTCGGCTCACCGGCGGCGGCGGCGGCGGCGGCGGAGACGGAGGCGAGCGGCCGAGGCGGTCAATCACCGCGGTCGATGTGGGGTGGGGTGAATGCGCAAGAGAGGGGCGCGGGTCAGCGCGGGTCTGCGCGTGTCTGGGCCGGAAATGGCACAATCGTCGGGCGGTAAGGGGGTAAGGGGGTAAGGGGGTAATTGGCTCGGGGCTTTTGGCTACTATTGAGCGCGATACTAATAGCGCGATGGCGCGATTAGCCGCGCAGTCGGCGGAAGAGCACCTTGGCAGTGGTCACCCTGACACTCTTACTCTTACCTAGTCCAACCCGGCACTCGGCACTCGAGGGTTCTCTTCACACTCTTCTCCGCCACCAGGAACAGGTCCACCCGCCGGATCAACTCCGGGCCGTTCTCCCTCGGTCGATCGGACTCGACTCGCTCCTCCGGCCCCACTCGCACTCGCACTCGCACTCGCACTCGCACTCGCACTCGCACTCGCCCACCGCAACGGCGACTCCGCCAGACTCCGCCTCGAGCTCGGAAGTTCACCCGCCCGAGTCGCAGCCGTCCACCGCTTCGGTCAGGACCGCACTGCGCTGCCATGGCTCCCTCCTTGTCCAGCGCAGGCTCATCACCACCTCGTCTCCCCGATGTGGCTCTCGCCAGAAGGCGCTCCCAGTCGCGCACCTCGTCAGGCTCGTTCCGCTCCTCGCTCGGCGGCAAACCGATCGGACCCAAGTACGGCGCCGCGAGCTCCTCCGCTCTCAGGCGCTCCGACAGTAGCTCCACCTCGGCCAGCTCCTTGGCCGTACTCAGTACGAACCTGTCGTCGCTTGAATCGAGCCATGGTGGTGCTCCGAGCCCGTGGGCGAATACGAGTGATATCTCGATCGGGGACTCCGCGCTTAGGTTCGGTAGCTTCTCGGCGACCCGGGAGGAATTGCGAGATGGTCAGTCCGGCAGATATCCTATCCTCTTATCCCTGCCTCGTATCATTCGATATCACGCGCGATCATGTTGTGAGCGTGCGAACATCCCCCACCCCCATCCCCCGACCTGATCCAAAGGCGCGATCGAACGAGTCTTATCGCCGTCGTCGATCCGCTCCAGGGTGTCTCTCTTCACCCCGCCTGCCCCCCACTCGCGACTGACCCCTGTCCCTGCCTCACTTGCCCGTTAAATTTTCGGACCCCGCATCTTCCCCACCCTCACTGCCACAGGTTCAGCAAGGTTGGCTTCTCTCTCTCTCAGTCAACCTTCTCCCAACCTCGCCACCGCCTCGGCACCTCAACCGAGCTTTCCCCTCGGATCACCGTCCTACTCCCCCTTCGCAGCACCCCAAGATCAGTCGTCCCGAGCCACCGCCGTCGAACCCATCAACGCCCCCGCCGGTCCAAGTCATTCCTCTTCCTCCCCAAACAACAACAGCCATCTCAAACCATCCCCTTCGAACCTCGCCCTCGCTCGTCCCTCGACGCTCTTCCAGTCCCAGTCAAACACTTCCTCCATCGGGGACGTCGGATCACCTTCTTCCCCCCTCGCCGTCTCAAGCGGCTTGAACGGCAGTCCCAACAGCGGTGGAACGGATGAAATCACCCCGACTCAGTCCAAAGTTGGTACACCATCCATGGGGCTCGGTCGATCCTTGACGTTGAGCGTGAGAGATGGTCCGAGTAGTGGCGAAGCGACCCCTCGGCCTTTGGGAACTCTGGGGGCCGAACAGGCCAAGTTGGACGCCAGCGCGGCCAAGCTGGCCAAGGCGAGACGTAAGGAAGAGAGGAAGCAACTCAAGTTGCAGATCTTGGGGGACGAAACGGGTGGCACCGACAGTGGGGAAAGTGAAGATGACGACAACGCCTTGGACGCCGACGGTGAGCGATCGTCCGGATCCGACGAGTCGCCTGACCACAGTCGGCCAGGGACAGTGAATGGCTTCGCAGCGAACGAACAAACACCCCTTTTGGGACGAGGTCGAAGACCTTCTCATACGGCGAGCAAACCGGTTTCCATCAAAGCCGACGGCGGTATTCTCGCCACTGTCTCGTCAGCTTTGGCTCACCGAGCGCACTCGGCTATCCAGAGAGCTCGATCCGTCAAAGTCACCCAGGATGACCTCAAGCAAGGAGCTCGAGACTCGGTCACTGCACTGCCAGCCGTCATCCTTGGTGTTCTGATGAACATACTCGATGGTGTTTCGTACGGATTGATCATGTTCCCGACGAACCTTCCCCGCTTCGCCGATTTCGGCGGTATCGGTGTCAGCATGTTCTTCGTGTCGTGTGTCATCAGTCAGCTCGTGTACAGTTCGGGTGGATCGATCTTCAAGGGTGGTAATGGCTCGATGATGATCGAGGTCGTGGTGAGTGCACGCGTTCACTCCATAGTGTCTGAGCTACGAGTGTCGATAGCTCATTGGGTTGATGTGTCCTCAAACGTAGCCGTTCTTCCATTCGATCGTCGGCATCATCTACAAACATCTCTCCCATGACAAGGACGTCGTAGCGACGACGATGGTCGCTTTTGCGTTGTCGTCCATCTTGACGGGATTCGCGTTTGCGATGCTCGGTTTCCTCAGGCTGGGGAGGTTGAGCGAGTTCTTCCCGCGCCATATCCTCGTGGGATGCATCGGGGGTGTCGGGGCCTTTTTGTTCATTACGGGGTGAGTGTGAATCTGATTACGTTTGATACGAGATGAGGTCGTGGCGACTGAATTTGCACCCGTCAACCTCCTAGACTGCAAGTGTCTGCTCGATTGGAGGATAGCAAGGGCTTGTCTCTCGAGCTGATCCAACAGTACCTCGACCTCGAGATCCTGCCACTCTGGGTACGTTTTTTTTTTCCGTCCCCGTTGATAGCCCAAAGGCTGAGACAGCCCTTGTTGCCCTGTTTAGGTCATCCCCCTAGTCCTAGCCGTTGTCTTGCGCCTCATCACAGCGCGATATCAACATCCTCTCATCTTTCCCGGTTATTTCCTCGCGATCCCGTTGGTGTTCTACATCATTTCACTGTCGGCAAGGATACCGATCGCGAACTTGAGGGAGAATGGATGGGTTTTCCAGCTCAATGGCGTGGATAGCGAGTGGTACGAGTTTTGGACACTGTTTGGTGAGTCGATCTCGGCCACGACTTCTGCAGAGGGATGATCAGGGCCTGATGGAAATTCGTCGAGATCTGCTTTACAGACTTCCAAAAGACAGATTGGTCCGCCCTGATCGAAACGATTCCGACGCAGCTTGCCCTCGTCTTCTTCGGCCTATTGCACGTGCCCATCAACGTCCCTGCTCTCGGCATCTCGGTCGGCGAGGACAACGTCGACACTGATCGCGAGCTCGTCGCACATGGTATCAGTAACGTCGTGGCGGGTTTGTTCGGTACGGTCCCAAACTATCTTTGCTACGTCAATTCGGTCCTCTTTTACAAGGTCGGTGGAACGACTCGAATCTCGGGCTTCTTGTTGGCTGGAGGCTCGACCGGTGTCCTCCTCGCTGGTCCTGGGGTGATTGGCTACCTACCCGTATGCGTCGTCGGTGCCCTCATCTTTATCCTCGGGATCGATCTCGTTAAAGAAGCCGTCTGGGATACGTACGGTCGCGTTTCTCGCCTCGAGTATCTGACCATCTGGGTTATCGTCTTCGTCATGACCGTATGGGACTTTGTCGCCGGGATCGGAGCGGGTATCATCCTCGCCAGTGTGTCCTTCGTCGTTTCCTCCTCCCAAAGACGAGCAATTAGGACTATCCTGACCGGTGCCGTCGCTCGATCGACTGTACGTCGTCACCCCAAGCAATCGGCCTTTCTCAAGGACGTGGGTCGACAAACACGCGTCATCAAACTGCAAGGATTCCTCTTCTTCGGCACCATCTCGTCCTGCGAGACAACGATCCGCAAGATCCTCGAAGCGGCAGAATGGTCCAAGAACCCGATCCGGTTCCTCGTCTTGGATTTTTCGATGGCTTCCGGAGTGGATTTCTCAGCGGCCGAAGCGTTCGTCCGCATTCAACGACTGCTCGATGATAAGGATGTGTTGTTGGTGTTGTGCGGATGTGCGTCGGACTCGTCCGTCGGGATCGCGTTGAGAAGTGTCGACCTTTGGGTCGAAGGACCCGAGTCCAAAGTCGAGGTCTTTGAAAACCTGAACGACGCACTTGAGGTTAGTCAACCGGGTCATCTGAAGTTCAGCTGTTGCGCAAAAGCTGACTTGCAGTGAATGGCTGGCGGGCAGTTCTGCGAGAACGCCTATCTGCGTAGTCTCTATTCGAAGAACTTTGAACAACCTCATCGCACGAACTCACCCGGTGGACCGCCGGTGCTCACTTCTCAAATTGATATGCCCAAGTCCGAACTCGATAGTGCGATCGAGGACTTTGGGCAATCCCCAAGGGCGTCCCATCTCCGATACGCAGCCAAGGAAGCGATGGCGAAATGTGAGTAGACGACCGCTTCTGAATTCCTAGGCTACGCAAGCTAAAGTTCCCCATGATTCATGCTCATAGCCGACGCCCCAGCTCCTCGAAGCAATCTCAAACAACCCCTTCCCTTGCTGATGCAATCCCTCAAACCGTTCGCCGCGGACCTCAACGAAGACTACTGCTTCCGTCTCGTACCTTACTTCAAACGTATCCACGTCGAAAGAGGAACGGTCCTCTGGGAACAAGACTCTGAAAGTGACAGTTTCTACCTCATTGAATCGGGGATCTTAAGGGCGAATTACGTTTTCGTGGATCGGGCCCATGCGATCGTCGAGTCGATGGTAGCTGGAACGGTCGCGGGAGAGATGAGTTTCTTGTCGAGGAGTAGGAGGAATGCTAGTCAGTAGTATCCGCACTCGGATCGTCACTCACGCACGCTTAGTGAAGTGAAGTGAAGCGAAGCTAATGTAGTAATCCTTCCTCGCCGTCGCAGCCGTGACCGCCGAACGCGATTCCGTCCTCTGGAAACTCGACATCACGCACCACGAGAAGATGGGCCAAGAACAAGGGTGGGCGTTCACGAGGAAACTCGAGGCCTGTTTGTTGAGAATCGCGTTGGAGGAACAGGACGTGCTCATGGTTAGTCATTAGTCTTTTTTTTTTTTTTTTTTGGGGGGGGGGGGGGGCTTTGGGATTGGGTGGGGATGGCTGAGAAGTGGCGCTGACTGCGGTTTCTTTTTCGATTGCAGGGGCATCTGATCAGTTCGTTGTAAAGATGGAGTGGGGAGGATTGTATGCTGAGCGGAGGTGGTGTGATTCTCAAAGACACAGGAACGAGCAAGTAGGAAAAAGGTGTCCTCTGCAAATGAAGTCTATCTGTCATCAGTGCCAAAACCAGCCCGGCATCGAACGATGGGAAGGGGAGTGGTCCCGAATGATGGAGTAAAGTTTCACTTCATGATATTGACATCAAGAACAACCCTAAAGAACATCGTACATAAACTCAAGCTCGGAAGAAATACCGAAACAAAGGCCTGCCGAATGAACGAAAATTCACAACTGCTCCGTCTCCTCCTTCCACAACTCCGCGAACGCCTCAAGATCGGCATCCGTCGCGACGCTCAACACTTCGGTCCGACTCGGTTGGCCCGAATGCTTCTCCCTCAAGGTCGCGTCCCTCCTCGCCAAATTCGCCAACGCTTTCCCCGGACCTAGAAACACCAATCGATCGATATGGTCTTGAGCGAGGTTGCGCAGGCATTTACTCCATCGTACGGGGAGGGATATTTGAGCGACGAGGTTCGAGACGAGCGAGTGGGTGGTGTTGATCATCGTTCCGTCCAAGTTGGAAACGAGGGGGATCAAAGGGCTGTTCAAGTGGGTCGCTTCGAGCGCGACTCGCATCCCTTCGGCCGCGGGCTCGAGGAAGGAACAATGGAATGGTGCGGAGACGGGCAGATCGGCGGCTCGGGAAGCGATCCCTTGTTCGCGCAACAACTCGGACGCTCGCATGATCCCTTCTCGTGAACCCGAGAGTACGATCTGCGCCGACGAGTTGAACGAAGCGACTTCGACCGTCCCTGCGCACCCTCGATCGTGCTGCGGTCCGACGTTGTCCTCGGCGCGGATTTTGCGTACGACTTGGACGACCTCGTCGTGCGAGTGACCCGGGTTGAGTACGACGGCCGACATTTGCGGAATACGAGCCGCAGGTGTGTCGGATGAGGTTGACAGATTGATTGAGGGCAATGAGAGAGCATGGGTGGTGAGCATGCCATGGAGGCGCTGTGAGGTGGACAGAAGAGCTAACAAGTCAGACACGACTGCGACCTTTTGCATGGTTCGACATCCAACTCACAATCAACTTGACCGCATCGGCAAAGTCGATCGCCCCACTGGCGACCGCGGCCGAATATTCGCCCGAAGAATGCCCCAGAATCGCCGAAGCGTTCTTGGCCACGTCCAAGTCAAAGTTTTGTTCGAGCGTGCGCGTGAAGGCAATTGAAGTAACGAGGATCGCCGGTTGCGCGTTCGCGGCACGGGTCAACTCCTCTTGGCTGCCGTCGAAGACGACCGAATGCAGCGACGGTTCGTGGCTGCGTTGTTCCTCTGTTCGATCGAGTATCCTCCCCAATTCGCCGATCTCGCCCTCGTACTGATCGAGCTTGAGCGACCTCCTCCACGATTCGAAATCGGACAAGGACTCTTCGGCCTCTTTCCAGACTTGCTGCGCGGCGGTGTAGTTCTTGAGGAAACTGGCCATCAGGGGGTATTGACTACCACTGCCGGGGTAGAGGAGGGCGTAGTTGGGTCGTTTGGACTGGCCATGGGCATGGTGGGTCTCGGTTGGGATCGGTGGCGAGGCCTCGCCGCCGGACCAGGCGCGCTCCATCTCGAGCCGTTGATGCCTCGGTGAATCGTCGCGTGTGGGCCGTCGTCGGTGAGACCCGTTCGACCCAGTCGAACAGACCGAGCTCGGTCGGGGTAAGGGGGGCGACAAGTTGCGAGAAGGAGTCGAGTACGAGAAAGGAGAGGAACCGGAAGCAGAAGTCGAGGTCGACGCGGGAGGGGTCGACGACAGCACGGAGGAGGTCGTCAACCCTCGTCGGCCCGAAGCGGGGGAGGACGGTTCGGCGACGTAGGCGGGGCGCACGAGGGGGCGGTCATGGTTCTTGGGGTCCCTGTAGCGAGCGACGTAGCTCGGTTCGGACCAGATGGGGTCTTCTTTGCTCGTCGAGGGTGTCGGACTCGAAAGGAGGAAGCTCGGTTGCGGCGGACAGGCCGGCGCGGCGGCATAGCACGAGCCGGACGGCAGCGAAGAGGCGGGCGAGAGATGAGCATGCCGGACCGCGGCGACCGAGGACGAAGCCGTCGATGGCGCGTGACAGTTGGTCGAAGTCACCAACCGAGTCGTCGATCGGGAAAGCATGATGGAGGCTTAAGTCTGCTTGTGGAGTCTGCTCATGGAAAGATACAAGGATGGTCGGTGGAGCGAGGTCAGCTCGAGAGGATCGAGGATCGAAACCAGTGTGGTGCTCTCAGTCTGATGCGGGTGCCCCGGATGCGCGCCCGTCCGCCGGCCAGCCCAGCCCAGCCCAGCCCAGCCAACCGGGCCTGATCGCCTTTCGGCTCTGTGAAGGGCGGGGACGTCAACTGAGCGCTGGGCATCCGAGTCGACGCGGTCGGATCGAGAGCTACCCAAAGCGACACCCCTTCCTTTCTTGAGCGATGCAGACAGAAGCCGCAGGACATCGGCATCCCATTCTGGTAAAGCACAGGTCCTTTCCTTGGTTGATGTAGTGAGCTATGCCTCGGTTACGGTCGTACGCGGTCGTAGCGTCGGGCCTCGGCGCACAAGAGTGGGCGCTCCGGTCGGCCAGGTCGTGCGACACCGACGCCTCAACTTGCACTTCTCTACAAGTATTCGATAGCTCCAACTCACCAGTCCGCGTCTACTTGCTTGTTGAGAAGATGCAGTGCCAACTTGGGGTCAATCGGGAACTCGACTCGAGCTTGAGGGGGGACGGTGATGCGCATAAGCTCAAGCTTGCTCAGGGTGCGACTGCGGGTTGCTCCGGCATTTACTGCCGCCTGCCGTTTGTACAACACACCCGGCTCGACCGGCGGGCTTGAGTGGGTTTGCATCTTGCACCCGTCCAGATGCCAAGTTGCGAGGTCTCCGAGCCAGCTCTTTTAAATTTGGGATATCCTCTCACAGAACCCTTTGGATTTATCAGAAGGACTCGACACTCCTATGGTCGTGACGAACTTCTTCTTGCATCTCTCCCGGTTGGCCTCGGTCATCGGTCGAACTGCGGTGTCGAGCTCCGTCCTCCGAGTCGTAATCCCCTGCAGTGTTATGCTGGCAAATGGCGCTTTTCCGCGACTATGTTCTGGTCTAAAGGGGAGAGAGAGCTAGTGTTGAAACGCATGAAAAATCTCGAACACACCCTCTCATCATCTCACAACTGCCTTCTTCAACTTCATTGGAACCCACCGCGGGGCACCCGTCAGCTCAGACTGGCGAACCAGGGCGAACCGGGCCGACGATCCCGACGTCTCCGACTTTTAATGTTTTAATCCATATATTCCAGCTAGTCTTGTTTAAAGACAGGCCCGCGCGCGAGTGCGCGCGAGACACCCCCTCTAGTCCTCCTCGTTCTCCGATGTTATGAAGCAAGCCCATGCGATGGTGTTCGGCTCGCTCGTGGTCGTCGAACGTCGGATGTATTTCTGAGCTTGATCATGGCGTCCCAATCGGATCGACTCGTACTTGCATTCGTCCATAGACCTATCAGGGTTCAGTAGTGACTCGGACGGCCATACCACGATCGAGCGCGAAATCGGACGGGCGGGAAGTACCCGTGAAAGGAGTTAAATTCGAAGGGCCAGCCATAGGTCCCTTGAGATGCTCAGTCCCGTCCATCTCCATCGCCATCAATTCCTTGGAATTAGCAAGTGCCACTTTTGCACTCTCTTTAAAGATGAGCAGCCAGAGGGGCGTCAGGAAAATGACTGAGCTGACTCCGAGTAAGGAGTTCCGGGAAGGACACTTCTTAGAGAACGGCGACTTACTGACCCCTTCCAAACGTCTACGCTCACCACGTGCGTGTGATCCGGGATGATTCTTGCCATACTTGCAACAGACCACCCCATTCCGAGCCCACCCCCACTGATAGCAATAGTGTTGCCTCAAAGCCGTCCGGGTGGCGCCACACAGGCACAGCATGGCACCGGGCACCCCTGTTGGATGCCTTGCCCAAGGAGGAACCTTCATTCATCACCATGATCCTTCTAATAAGGTCTAGGCTTCTCTTCGAATTCGGAGCACGAGTCGCCAGAGAGCACGACAAGGGGACGTCTGGTAGGTGCCATGGCGGTGGTGGGTTTTGACTTCGAAGTTGATCGGGTGGGGCGAAGGTGGATCCCGGAGGTGCGACTCAGCTGAGATTAGGTGGTGCTATGACAGGTAGGTGGAAGTAGCTGTACGCGAGATAGGTGTGTGTTTCTGTCCAAGTGTCGACGGAGAGGGACCGTGTCGATGACGATCGAAGTAGTGACGGAGTGCAGTGAGCGCGAGAAGGGTAACCTGAATCTGACGTTGCACCTCGACGAGTGTCAGGACGTCATGGCGTGCACCCCCCACACACTCGGCCGGGACAGGCCTAGTCTCTTGGCATCCGGGACGGATTCTTGAATACATCTCACCACTTCAACCTCTGTCTACATTCTCATATGAAAGCATCATACCTTTTCTGCCCTCAACACACGAGCATTTCGGAGCTCCAGCCTGAGACTACCAAAGGACGCGCACGGACCCCCTGACCTCATCGCCGATACTGAGCCTGCCAGCACGGACGCGCTTACTCTCCTCCCGTCCCTACGCTTCATCGCCCACCCCACCACCATGTCCCTCCGCCGCGCCCCAATGGGCGTCATCCCACAATCTCCTGAGGAGCAAAGAGCTCAAGCTGCGCGGGAATCACTCGATAGTCAGTACTACACTCGTTTTCGCTTGTTAGCACGACGCGTCGAAAGCGGATAGGCATTCCCCTCCTTTCTTTGCGAAGCTGACACGTGCTTTCACTTGTTCATCCCCTTTGCGTCGTACAGTCCTCTTGGAGATGAGCACATTACTCAATACAGGTGAGTCGACATGCTGTCAGAATGCCCCATGCCCTTCATCCCTGAGCTAACGACCCCATCCACGTTTAATGACTCAGGCCTCGACCGAACCCAACTGGCCCTCTGCATCAAGATGTTAGAAGACGGTGTCAATCCCGACGCTTTAGCCGTGAGTACTTCCAACCATGTGTTAAGAAGCTCCGACCTGGCTTGTTTCTAAAGGATTTACGTTTCGTCGCCTTGGTCCACTCGCAGACCGTCATTAGGGATCTACGCGCCGAAGCGACCGGCAAGACGATCGGGTCGACGGGGTCGTTGGGTACACGGTGATACGAATACGCTGCGGGCATGGGAAGGGTTTTCGGATTTGCATTACTGCTGTTGTTGTGTTATTACAAGATTGGGGAATGAGTTGGTACAACAAGGTGAAAACCCCGCGGGAAGAGCAGCTCAAACGACTCGACTGAGAATCCGATAATCGACTTCTGGTTGGGAGAAGAAGGAGGGGTCGATCTCGTCGGTGGTGTACCTAATGGTGAACGACTCGTCAGTCAAGAACACCGATAAGTCGGGAAACGCGTACCCTTGACTCTCGTAGAACGCTAAAGCTGCGGCATTGGCTGTTCGAACGAAGTCGCGCCAATCAGCGCATGGACTGAGGTGAATGGCTGTTTCGAGAAACTGAAACGTACATCTGAGACATGTCAACATGACCTTGTCCATCTTCCAACCCTTGGCGATCCATTCGAGGCAATCCATCAACAGTTTTGCCGCTCGAGTTCGCCGCCGGGATGGGTCGACCTGAAGTTCGTAGCTATATCGAGCAGTCACAGAAGAAATTTCCGTCAGTACTAGTCAGGGAAGATCCATATACGACGTGTTCAGATATACCAATACACCACATCGGCCAGTCGCGTTTCATGCGCCGTCTCTTCCGTATCAAAACGGAAGATCGAAAACCCGACCAAGTCCTCCGACGAGCTCGGTAACGACGGCTCTTGGCCCAACGATCGCAACACCAGGATTCTGGAATCTGAATGGAAGAGTTCTTTTCGTTTCTCTGTCGGGTCAAACCCTTCGGAGGAAAAAGTGAAGCTATTCGGTGGGGTAAGAGTCAGTTAGGCGGAAGTATGAGCGGATGATGATGATGATCGAGGCGATATCTCACAGTTGTTTCATGTTCTTCTCATAGAGATCCCAAACCCATGTCTTGATCCGTTTCGGCAAGGTCGCAGCCGTGTAGAGATCAATCGCGACTCTGCACACGGGAAAATGTGGGGTGTGGGTTCATAGATAGTGAGCGCGTCGCGACGTGACGGGATGGCGGGGACACCAAAGGATGGAGCATGCGGGGAAGGCATTCATTACGAACCTGGTACCATCCCTGAGGGAAGCTTCAAGTTTCCCATTGGGCAAATGGGGCACCAGCTTGGCTCCCTGCATCGCAAGCGTTGCCTGAAAGATAAAGCGACGATGAGGACCGCGAGAGAAGCAAGTCAGCTTTGTCGGGTAAGAGGGTGTTTGGGCGTTGAGAAAGACGGAGACGCAACTCGTTTTGCCAATTGCACGACAATGTGTGTCTGTTTCGGTGGCATCTTGGACGGCGCTTCGTCGAAGGGAACGGGGACAAGGTCAGGCGCCGAGACTTGACTGTGCACTGCGAAAGCCACACCCGAGGCGAGGCACAAGGCCAAAAACTGATGATATTGCATGGAACGACAGGGTTATGCAGCAGAACAAGGCAGAGTAAGAGATACGGTATCTCCAAAACACAATGACATGAGGGGAAGGAGGGAGAGAGGTCCAAAAAGATAATATGCACGGAGGAAGAAGAGTACATGCATTTATGAAACATTAGAACGATCGGCCGCCTGGTCATCCTCTTCTTTGACCCATCGACGCCGATCCAAGCGTCACCGCGGCGATTGGTCCTTCGAAGGTGAATCCGTTTCGTCGTCACTTGCCTTTGGAGTCGAGGGTGAGTCGGCATCGCTGGTTGGGGTGCCGATTCGAGGCGTTCGTCGGGGTCGTTTCGGGGGTGCCGTTTTAATCGGTTTCGGGTTACGACCGTTTTGATCGCCCGTGGCCTTGGCCACCTCGGATGCCGGCTCGGTCGTCCTGTCCTCTTCTTCGGTGCCTTCCGCTCGAGTCTGTTCGATCAAACTCTTGGGCTCAGACTCCTCGCCATTTCCGGCTTGGTCCCTGGTCGGTTCAATCGCCTCAGCAGTGGTCGGTTCGGCTGCTTCAGTGACGACGACCGCGGGGTCTTCTGCCTGAGTCTCCTCGGATGTTTCTTCACTAGCGACGGTTTCTTTGACCTGTTCAGAATCCTGCTCGGCGGCTTGAGCAGGTTCTTCGATTTTCTTTCCTCCCCCATCTTGCTCGACGACGCCGACCGGCGGCTCCTGCGGCTCCTGCGCCTCGTCGTCCCCCATCACCATTCCTGAAGCCTGTCCATCATCCTCCCGTCCAAACCCATGCCCTCTCGCGACCACGCTCCCATTCGGTGGCTCATCCAAAACAGGACTGAGCAAATCGCCCCCTCTCCCGATCCACGATTCGGCCGACCATCGTCTCTCGTCCTCCCCACTGATCGAAACGTCTCTCGATCTCGATCTCACACGTTCGAGCCATTCCCCATCGACTTGATTGGTGGGGATCGTGAGAGCGGCGAGGGCTTCCCCTTTGAGTTGGAGGGCATCGTCTTGGCGTCGGATTTGGTTTATGGTCGGGTCGATGCCGAGGGAAAGGAGGGTCGCTTGGACTTGTTCGAGGGCTTGCAGGTCCTCGTCGTCGAGTTCTTCTGTTTGGTGTGCGGTCGTGGTCCAGGTATCGGACGGCGAGACACCGACGAGTCGGGTGAGGACAGGAGTGAGTGGAGATAGGTACGGTCAGCGCAGGCGTTCTGACACGTAGAACAAATCAAGATGTCACTCCTCACCATCATTCGAGGTCTATGGTCGAAGAAGAGGAAGGGGGGATGCGATACACCAAATGTTAGTGTCGAATGATGCTCGGGCCTGATCGCGTGACGTGGCCATCGCACTCGAGCTGAATCGATTGGAACGCGAAGGCCAGACTGACCCGAATGATCGCCGATGAGCTCGACACGGCCTTCTCGGGCGGTGTAGAAGTAGGCGAAGTCGTCGTCGTCGTGGACGAAATGCTGTTCCACCCATTGAAAGTGACGCTCCTCATACGATTCCATACCGATCCTGAACCGGAAGCGGGAGGGGAAGGCAATAAAGGACTTGACGAGCGGCCAGTTGGTGCGGGTCGAGGAGGCAGCGGAGGCGGTTTCAGAGGCGTGTTGGGTTGGCGATGCAGCTGGGTCGGAGAGTCGGGTGGGGATTCGGGTATGGGTGCATCGTACGGACCGAGACCGGGTTGATCGTCCATAGGTGGTGCATGCGGTGCGTTGGACAAGGACAAGAGGAGCGCCCGAGTTGCTACGGGCGCGGAGCTGTTGTTGCCTCACAGTGGCCGAGTTGGGGATCTGTTGGGATACGCCTCCGCTCTCCTCCGCTGCCCTGGGCCTGGCCTGGCCTGGCGCGTCCACGCCTGCCTCGGGCACGTGAGACTTGCGCAGTGCCCGAACTTCAAGGCGTTGCGGTGATACACAAGCACAAGCTCGTCAGCCCCAGGCATGATGAATGGCGATTTTTTTTACTAGACGCATGCGGTAAGACTGAGTCGAGTTTATGAGCTCAGGCCTCAATATGGCCAATCATTTCAATTTCAAGCTGTCGAGCCGTTCGGACCCGGCCGGGGCGCTGTTGCAAATAAGGAAAATGGGTTAATGCCGCGAGCAAATGGTGCATTTACAAATTACGCGCGCGCGTTTACCCCCGAAGCTTGACCCATCTACCCCGGTAGTAAGGTGCAAAGTTCACTTACAAATGGTGCATTCCTCGCGCAAGTTGGTGCGTTTGCTCCCGAAAAAAGGTGCGTTTACCAATTAAGGATGGTGCATCTACCAATTAGCTGGGCAATCCGCTGTATCTCGTGTAGTATGCCATGTATCACCCTGAAACTTGACGAGCCCTTTTACATGATCACCAAGTACGTCCACCTTGAGTAAGAAGCACTCTCACCAGGACCTCATGTAGTTGAAAATCGTGCCCGTACCCCCGGCTCTCGCCCCAGCCGCGGCCATCGTCCGGACCCCGGCCCGAGTAACCACCCCCCACACCCTAGGCTGCAATACAATGACTAAGACGATCAATCATCTCGGAGCTGCTGGATGTGTCCATATGGGGTGGGACACCTTGTATAGCATTCCTCGCCGTATTCCTGCCGCAGCAACTTGGACAAGGAAGATCATTGACTGCCTTTCCAAACCATCCGTGAACCTGTCCTCACAAAGCTAGCACATCACCAAGTGTTCTCGCAAATGTCACTAGCCGCGATCATTATCTCATTATATGTATTTACTTCCTTCCGTTCTACTCATAATGGCGCGGCTTAGGATCGACGACTTCACTCCTCTTCTTGCAGCTGCTCAAAATAAACCATGACCAATGTGAGTGTTCTGTTGACAAGGAAGGATCCGATGCAGTTTGGGAGAGCCCATACCTTGAGAAATTGACTCCAACATCAGATTCATCTTGCGAGCCCGGCATTGAGTGCAAGGCTTCAGCGAAGCCGCGCAGCTTTGAAAAAGGATTCTTCCCTCTTGCGCTTCGATCGGCGAGGGCTTGGGGCGCTTGTGGATATAGCGGCAATTGACCGTTCGGGTGTACGCCTTCGCAGCCTTGGTCCGGAATATGCTCTTGAGTTGTTTGGCCCAAATGACCCGGTTAGGATGGAGAGTGACTCGGTGGATCTTCTTCCACTTCTTGCAATAGTCGGACATAACTTTCTCGCGTGAATGGACCAAGAACGCGAGTCAGCGGTGCGATCAACAGACAGATACAGGGTTCTGTTGGACATATCATGATTGTGATTCACCTTGGAAAGCAGTGCTTCGGGTGCTGCCACACTGTTGCACTATCTGATGAGCGACAGTTCGCATAACCGCGGCCGGTTTCCTGACCGATTCTAGGGTCCGCCGTCCCTCATGGTCGCCAAGCGTGTAAATCAAGGCGATCGAGAGATTGCTGGCTGGAACCACAATCTTACAAAAGCAGAGTGCAGGTAACGAAACGGGTCTCAGCGCATGCGCAAAAGCCACGAACCCAAACACAGCAAAGAAAGGATCTCTGACGCTGAAATTTCGGCTAACTCACCTTCAATTGTGAAGAGCATTCGCGCACGACATCTTTGTCCTTCGGTCGCACGTTGTAGTATATCTTCCCATCGTCTCCTGTGTAGCGCATGCAGGCGCCCGAGCACTGGTGCGATATGCGAAGCACTTCTTTGCGTGATTCCTTCCAAGTGGATTGCAAATTTTGGCCGATCAGCGGGTGCCATTCGATCATTGTCAGGTGATCCGCCGGATGCTGATGGAAAGAGATCGATGGAGCACCGTGAGATGTTTCTTCTACGGCGAGACAACGTTCGTATTTGCAGGCTGTCCATTCGTGCTCCTGTTCCGGTTGGTTTCGCCAATGAAGGATAGGAGGAGGATCGGTGAGGAAGAATTGTGTCAGTTTTGCTTCCTAATCAGCAACTTCAACTAGCCACCAATGACTGCTTATGCTTAAACCAGTATCGACATACTTCGGTGGCCATGTACAAAGGAAGCTTGAGAATTGGTATGGTGTCCTTGAGCGTCCATTCATCTGCTTTCCTTCGGTCGCCAAGAATCAGCGGCCATTGCCCGTAGTCGGCTTTCTCTTCCGCCGACCAGAGACGGTTCGACGACATGATCGCTTGACGTTTAGCTTGCATTGTGTCATACTCCAGCTGTAGATGGTTGGGTGCACAATTTTCGAGGAGGTTGACGACTTGGCGCAGTCGATCCATGGCTTCTTCGCCGCCATCGGAGGAGCTGGCTTCGGAGTCGTCGACGGCGGGGTCTGAGTCGGCATTCCAGTCGACATCGTCGGAGCAGCCCTCAGGAGTCATTGAGGTTTGATTGGAGTGCGTCACTGAAGGAGATTGGTCAATGATATCGGGTTCCCGCTGGCCCAAGTCTTTCTTCTGGGTAGACGTAGTCGAGGACATGTGGGAGGTGCCACGTGCCACGTGCAGGTGGGCTGGTCATGTCGATTGGTCGGGTCCCAATGCGGGGTCGGCCACCCTTGTTCTGGAGCGTTGCATTCATCTGCTGACTGGACATGACGTATGCGAAACGAGTTATAGAACCAAGGCGAGTATCGGTCGATGGCAACGGATGGCAGGAACTGGCGTGGCGCGGTGACCATGAGTCGAAAGTAGAAGTAGGCGTTTGGCGCGACGCGTCAAGCAGGCTAACGTGCACCCAGACAAAATTGAGCAAGGTGGCTGGCGGCGATGCGCGGCTGTGCAGTGGATGCAGGGCCTACTTTGCTTGGGCAGTGACACGCATGATCGGATCACTTGACCCGTTGTAGTACCCAGCAAAAGAAAGAGTGAATATTTCGATGCCTGGGAGTCTTCGTCGAGCCCGGGGGGGGGGGGGGGGGGGGGGGGGGGAAGTACGGGCACGATTTTCAACTACATGAGGTCCTGGTGAGAGTGCTTCTTACTCAAGGTGGACGTACTTGGTGATCATGTAAAAGGGCTCGTCAAGTTTCAGGGTGATACATGGCATACTACACGAGATACAGCGGATTGCCCAGCTAATTGGTAGATGCACCATCCTTAATTGGTAAACGCACCTTTTTTCGGGAGCAAACGCACCAACTTGCGCGAGGAATGCACCATTTGTAAGTGAACTTTGCACCTTACTACCGGGGTAGATGGGTCAAGCTTCGGGGGTAAACGCGCGCGCGTAATTTGTAAATGCACCATTTACTCGCGGCATTATGTATGGATGCTGCAAATAATCAGGGGTCCGTGCTGGTCCGTGCGCAGCGGCCGGCGCGCTCCCGTTTCACCGTCAGCTCTTGCTCTCTCTGGTTCATCCCATCCTGTCCCGACCCTACACAGCGGCAACAACACACGAACCGGCTTTGAGGCTTCCTGGAGGGCTGAGGAGGTACACGAAACCTTCGACCGCGCTGGTACAGGTCAAGGCACCCCATCATTGGCCACGGGACGAGCGCGAGCACCACGCCCACGCCCCCCCATCATTCAACAAGCCGTCACCGCCGTCACCGAAACCCCCCCGTCAGTGCCCTCCCACCACACACAACAACCGCGACATGTCGTCCGAATCTTCCATCAGCGTAGCGGTAGGTCGTACTAGATCACTCCCACCCTCATCCTTGTCCTGTACTGACTCCAGCATCGCTCAACGCTCGCTCCAGGTGCGCGTGCGACCGTTCAGCACAAAGGAGCGCCTCCAGCTCGCCTCCAACGAACCCGTCGCCCCCGTCATCTTCTCCTCCGACCCTTCGCCGAGCACAAGCACCCACACAACTCATTCAACGCCCCAACCTACTCGCCTCCAGACCGGTCCAGGAGGGATGCGCAAGGTCGTCAAAGTGCTCGACGAACGAATCCTCGTGTTTGATCCCCCCGATCCCACCTCGGCCGCTGCCGTCGCCGCGGCTCGATGGGCCGGTCAGATGCCGCAGATGGGCAAGAAATCCAAGGACATCAGGTTCTGCTTCGATCGCGTGTTCGATGAGGGGTGCTGTCAGGAGGACGTTTACGAGGGCAGCGCAAAGGAGTTGGTCGGGCACGTGATGAACGGGTTCAATTCGACCGTTTTCGCTTATGGGGTACGTTCCATCGCTTCGGTGTCTTGAACTGGCGGTCGACCTTTGAAGGATGCTGATCGAACCTTTGCATTGCTCAGGCCACGGGATGCGGGAAAACTCACACCATCTCCGGGACAGCAGATCAGCCAGGTGTCGTCTTCCTCATCATGAAGGATTTGTTCGGGCGCATGCAAGCCCGAGCCGACGACACCGACTTCGCGCTCAAGGTCTCGTACCTCGAAATCTACAACGAGACGATCCGCGACTTGCTCCAGCCGGAATTGGGCACGTTGCAGCTCCGTGAAAGCGGTGGGATGGCCAATGTCGCCAGGCTCAGCAGCAAAGAACCGAGTTGTGCCGCCGATGTGGTCGGTTGGATCACCGAAGGCAACATGAACCGAACCGTCAACGCAACCGAAGCGAACGCGACCTCCTCTCGCTCCCACGCTGTGCTTCAAGTCACGGTCACGCAAAAGCCCAAAGCCGAAGGCTTGACGGATTCGCAGTCGTCTGCGATCTTGTCCATCATCGACCTGGCCGGTTCGGAACGAGCGAGCGTGACCAAGAACAAGGGAGAACGATTGATCGAAGGCGCCAACATCAATCGATCCTTGTTGGCGTTGGGCAACTGCATCAACGCGCTGTGCGATCCTCGAAGCCGCGGTCACGTCCCCTACCGAGATTCGAAGCTCACGCGGCTGCTCAAACCATCTCTGGGGGTAATTGCAAGACCGTCATGATTGTCTGCGTTTCTCCCGCAAGCGTGCACTACGACGAGACCCACAACACGCTGCAGTACGCGAATCGTGCCAAGGACATCAAGACCAAGGCGATTCGCAACTTCATCTCGGTCGATCGTCACGTCGCGTCGTACTGCAAGCAGATCGCCGAACAAGCCGAACGGATCAAGGCGCTCGAAGCAGCGTTCGAAGCGGAGAAGAACCGGACCAGCGCCGCTAACGTCGATGATGACGTGCGAGAAGTCGCTGCGATCTTGAGACCGCTCTCGGCGACATGGGAGACGTTCCGAGCTCGTCGGGCAGATGCGGCACAGGCTGCTTCGCAGAGACTCATTGTCGATTCGATGCTCAATGTCTTGCAGAGTTGGCGAGTGACCGCTTTTGGTCAATACGATACGGCACCAAGCCCTTCTGGATCTTCGACGCTCGCAGCTGCTTCCGTCGTCACCGTCGTCCGGAACAACTGTGACGGTCTAATCGGCACCCTCAGCTCTCAATCGGCGATGCTGCGCGAACGGGCCAGTCGAGCCTCGGACCCGAACGAGATGTTTCCTCCCATGCTGGCGCGTGTCACCTCGAGTTTGAGATCGAAGCGGCCTTCCGCGGTCCCTCTTTTCGAACTCGAAGCTCGAATGCTCGATCAACGACTGGCGACCTCTCTCGCCGAAGCGAGCGAACAAGGGCAGATCGAAGGATCCAAGTTGCAGGTCCGAGTGATGCACGCCATGTGCGAAGCGCGAGCCAAGATTGGCTCCGCTGCGGAAACAGCGAGGGAGGATGGGGCCGAATCCGTGAGGGCTTTACTTCGCCTGGCGGATGGGATCGATAATGCGAATCGGGATGCGTTCCTCAGTCTCTCGATGGGCTCGTCGCTTTCGGCTGGGGCGGGTACGAAGCGGGATGCGGGGTCAAGATCGCCGTTGCAGATGGATGACATGTGGTCCGCCAAGAGTCCTCGATCGGCATTATCTGGCCTGGGCTCGACTTCGGCGGGTATCTTTGGCTCTCTGTCACCTGCTAAGGGGGGGTCGAGCAACTACCGTCGGACGAGTCCCAAAAAACCCGTGGCGTTCCCTCTTCGCGCTGGTCGGGCGTCGGCATCGCCCAAGAAGCAACGGAAAGAGGTCCAATGGCGCGATGAGACGGGAGATGGCGACTTGGCTTCCTTCAAAGATCGATCTCCGTCAACGATGGATGAGGACTCCATGAGTGATATCCCCTCACTCAGATTCACGGCCTGGGCTTCGTCCTCGAGCGTTGACGACAGTGGAGCTTCGAACGAAGCAGAGATGATGGCTCAAAAAGCTCGATCCTCGACGGGTCCGAGTCGAAAGGGAGCCTCGGGGGCTCGTCTCATACCTCTGCCTCGTGCCTCGAACGTTGATAGCAATTTCTTCCTTCGAGAGGAAGACTCGTTGGACGCGATCTCGATGCCCCCACCTTCTTCAACATCCTACTTGTCCTCATCCTCAGCTTCTATCCCTCGGAACCCATTCTCCGATCTTGGTAACACCTCCATGGCCTCGACGACTTCGGGTCTAGCGGCCCCAATCGTCCCCATCAAATCGGCCATGTCCAAAGTCTCCCCTTCTCTGACCATGACACCCGACGATAGTCCAGCCGGACGAGCCGCTCGACGAGCCTCCAGCGTAGGACCGCAACGATCGGCCAAAGCAAGTCGTCGAACATCGGCGATTGGTCTGCCCGTTCCACCACCTCTTCCTTCGACATCAGCTTCCTCAGCAGCTTCTTCCTCCGTGCCAGGGGCACCCTTCTCCTTCGCCACTTCAACACGCCGAGCAGCTCGAGTTTCCTCCGTCCCTCTAGTACCTATGAGTGCCCGTCGGTCACCCCGCAAAATGCTTTCCATGGGCGGGTCATCCGCCGTCAATCGTCGACTGTCCCATGTTCCCTCCGCTCCTCCGTTGTTGGGTTCGTCCGCTCCGAGCTTCACTTTCGGAGCCAAGAGTCAAGCGAGGATCGCGGCGAGAAGGGAATCGAGTATGGCTACGATGGGCGGGACGATGACTACGTCCTCTTCCAAATCGGGTGGTAGTCCTTCACCACCCAATGCGTTGATCCCGGGAGGGAGGAAAGGTTCACCACCGGGGAGTGCACCCAAATCCACTACGGTGTCGACCACTCAGTGGCGGTGATCACTTCTTTGCTGCAGCCATTTTCGTTCTGATGAGTTAGTACTTGCATTCCACGTACCCCCATACCCCATGCCCAGTCTATTTTTTGATTTTATCATTACCCCCCCTTGCCATCTTCATTTTTTACATAGCTTATTGGACCCCTCCGAGTGGGGTGGAGTTTATCTGTCTCGAGCTCTCATGTCAAACGCATTTCCTTCAATCTTGGCAAATTTTCGGGCGTTGTGGACAACTGAGGGATGCGAATTGCAGGGTTTCCAAACCGAAAGGAACGTGATGAGAAACAGAAGACGGTACAAGGACGGATCAGAAGGTAATCCAAGAAGACAGCATCATGAGGAGGTCGAAGCTGATGTGACGGGCTCGACCGATTCGGTGCTCGGGTCCGCGGCGATGGGTTGAGAGGCTGGAGGTTCTGAAGTTGAAGGAGCCTCTTGAGAAGCGCTGGCCGCGTGTTGAGGTGCATCGGCTTCAAGGAAGGGATCGAAAGTGACTGTAGAGTGAGTGAGCAGTAGAGTCCGTTAGGAATTGCGCACGCGTGGACTCTTGAGGAGTACTGACGTTGCCTCGGGTACCCATTCCGATCCAAAATCCTCTCCGTCCATTGATCGTTCCTTCCCCCTGCAGGACGAGATCCCCCACCAGGTCCCCCCCGACCTCCGGAACGATGCGCCGATCTTCTCGCATCCCCACCCTCTGCATGTGCTCGACTCGATCGGTTATGGTTGCTCGAGGATCCGAATCCAAAGCGACTGGGGAAGCCTCCTGAAACGTTTTTGCTGCTTTCGGGACGGTCGGGTGCGTGAGTGTGGGATTGGAGGGGACTAAAACGTGATGGTTTCTGAGGATAACAAGGAAAACTCTCAGTATACGCTGAGGATCTTCCAGTGTGAGGGCAGCCTCTGAGCGCCAACGCTCCAAACTGACCGGACTCTCTGAGCCCGACCCGACTTCTTCCTCATCATCCACCACGTAATCCTCATCCATCCCAGCCTCATCATCCACAACAGTCTCACGCCTCGACCTCGACCCTGTCGTCTTCGAGCGATAGTCCGCTTCCTCCTCCTCATCATCAAACACGACCGATTCCCCACCTGCTCCGACCGCATCATCCTCATCGTCTAGCCCATCGGAGGAATCGAGGTGGTCGGAGTCCAAGGTGCCGGATATGTTGCGGGTGTGGGTTACTTTGGAAGGGGTGGTTGAGGTCATGCGACGCGAGGAACGAGATGCTCCACCTGGTGGGGGAGGGGAGGGGGCCTGCGAGGAGGGGAGGAGAGCTCAGTCAGGTGTTAGGCTAGGGTGGGGTACTCGAGCCAGGGTGGTGTGCTTACGGGCGTCAATGATCCTCCAGGACCTTGCATCGTGGGAATTGAGCGCGGCGAGAGGCGGGAGGCAGCCGGGTCAATGTCAAAGCGTGCACCACTGTAATTATAAGCCAAGCGTGACTGGTCAGTTTGGGAGAGTTTGGGCAATAAGTTGGGCGGGCCGCGCCGCCGATCGAGTCTGAATGTGACCGTGCTCAACGGAGTAAGTATTGCAACAAGCTTCCCGAGTGCTGAGAACGGACTTTTCTATTTTTGGTCCTCCCTTTTCTTTTTCTCGGACGGGCTCTTGCAGGATGTCTCACACGAACTTTTGCCCGCCTTCAAGTTTCTCCGTCAACTTAATGATCGCGGCCAGAAATTAATAAAAAATTCCAATCGATCTAGCTCAAACCCGTCGAGACGCGGTAACATCATAGGTATCGTGCTACGCGGGGGGTTGCTACAGCTCTAAAAGTAGGCCACACGCGCGCTTGAGGTATTGAATCGTCATCGTGGCCAGTGCGACCGCCGACGGGCCCGAGCGGTAGTGCAACCAACGGTGCCGGATCCGAGAAGAGGAGCTCGTCCGTTCTCCTCGCGCACGGGAGCGCCGTTTCGCACCCGGTTCGCTGGAATCGCTTCGGCGTCTCTCTCCCTCTGCCTCCCACCACGCCCAATTTCTCCACGCTCAGCACTCAGGTATGTTCCCGTCGCCATCACTTGCCCCCCCCCCCCCCCCCCCCCCCCCGTCTGCTCCTTGCGGACCTCGGCCTCGTTCGTGTCGCACGCCGACCACCGCGCTGTTTGGGGATCGGTGTCGTCATCGACCCGGCCGCCGCAGCGCGCGGGCGCCATCGTCGAGCGAGTGCCTGAAGAGGAGAGAGAGGAGAGCGCCTTCGTCAGCGAAAACGTCAACATCGAGACACGCAAACACGATGGTCAAAGAACGCATCCGGGGTGGACACTGCCTCGAGTGTCCCCTTGTCGCCGTCCTATGATCTGCACCGTCAACTTCGATCGCCTGCTCGAGCTTTGACCGACCACGACCGACACCTGTCCAGGCGCACAGCAGCAAGACCGGCTTAACGAAGCCAACCTACGCTACCACGGCCATGAATCTGACAAACTCGTGACGCTCGCCTACAGCTTCTTTCGAACTCTCTCGACATGCCTTTCGAAATCGACCTCAAGGGAAAGAACGTTCTTGTCACTGGTGGTGGTCGGGGTCTCGGCATCGACATTGCTCGCTCTTTGGCCGAGGCCGGTGCCAACATCGCTTTGACATGTACGTTTACTTGCTCACTCGGGCACGCGTTTCCACCCCAAACCGACCCCTACTGAACTTTGTCATCGCCTCCCCGTAGACAACGCCTCGCCCGCGGACAAGATCGCCAAGCAGCTCGAAGAGGAGTTTGGTGGCATCAAGGTCGGATCGTACAAGATGCCCGCCGACGACTCCAAGGCCATCGACGAGGCCGTCAAGCTCATCACCAAGGACTTGGGCGAACTCGATGTCGTCATCGCCAATGCTGGGATCTGCATCCACCAGGATGCCGAGAAGATGACCGACAGTGAGTTGCGCTAGAATGTTTTTTTCGGGATCGATGTATATTTGATCGTGTGAAAAGACTTCACTAACCCTGACGCAACTCTCCACCCTTAACAGAGGAGTTCGAGGACGTTTTCAAGGTCAACACTTTCGGCCCTTACTACCTTGCCCGAGCAGGTTCGTCGGTCGCTTACCCTGCCAGGCGGTGTAATAGTACATACCCACACTGTGTACTGATTTCCCTCTTTTACTGATGTATGCCTGACGAGCAGCATATCAATCTTGGTTCCCCACTGGTAACGAAGAGCCCAAGGACAAGGTCATCCTTTTCGTGTCCTCCATCTCGGGCCTCATCACCAACACCCCTCAAAACCAATGCGCCTACAGTCAGTCACGGCCTGCCTCTGTCCATCTCCGTGTCTGAATCTATGACTGACTTGAAGGCTTCTCTCTCCCTCCAAAGACGGATCCAAGGCTGCTCTCACTCACCTCGGTCGCTCGTTGGCAGGCGAGTGGGTCTCCAAGGGCGTGCGCGTCAACACCCTCTCCCCCGGCTACATCTCGACCGAGATGTCCGAAGGATCCGAGTCGGGCAAGAAGAACGCCGCCGAATGGCGCGAGCGCACCCCAATGAAGAGGTTCGCCAAACCCAAGGAGATCGCAGACATGTTGGTCGTCTTGGCCAGTGGGAGGAGTTCGTACATGACCGGAAGTGATGTCGTCGTTGATGGTGGTTGTAAGTTGTAGAATTGAGAGTTCGGGAGGGTTTGAAACCATAGACTGATAACTGACCTCTTCTACGGTTTCACACAGACACGATCTTCTAAGAAAGGGGCTATCACGGTTTCGGGTACGGTCGACGAAGGGAGTTGCATCCGAGTAGGAACTAGTGATATGGAGAAGAATTGCAATGCCTGAGTACGAAACCATCTTTTTTCACAACGGTGGAGTATGGAGTATTTAACGTGGACCAAGGCCATGTTGCTGTCGGCCGGGCCGATTGGCGATTTCTGCTCTTGCCTAAAACTTCCTTATGATTTAGTATTGGCGCGTTTTACACTTTTCCAAAGTTTTCTACGTATCAACACAACTATACTGTTATGGAATTCCATCGAATAGAAAAATAATAAAGATAGCTCGGGCTCTAGCGCTTGCGCTCTTTCACGTGTTCGCCTTCTAAAATCACTTGGCCGCATCGTCTGTCGCCTCTGCGACCAATTAGTTCAGGTATGTGAAGATCACAATCATGCAACTTACTACTTCTATAACTCACTTGGCCGCACCGTCTATCGCCTCTACGACCTATTGGTTCGGGGGCTCAACAGGTTACGAGGCCTCAACGAGATACGCCCCTCATTCATCCAGGCCAAGATGACACTTCCTGATGTAGCCGCCAAGTCGGTCGACACGACGGTCACACGTCTCCGCAGTCGTCCCCTCGACGAGGAACATCATCTCGACGGCGCCGGCGGTTGGACCTCCTGGCTCAATCGCATACGTGGCCGTCTCGGTAAAGACATCTGGGACTGCACCCTCGCTATCCCCATCAAAGAACCAGGTCCACATGTCAACCTCTCTCTGGCGAATGAGGAGGTCACGAAGCTCATCCTTCGTTCCATCAAAGCCGAGTACAACTCGATGCTCATCACGACCGCGTATGATCTCACGCCCGCCGAGCTCCTCAAAAGCCTCAAGGAACTAGTCGGTTCAGTGACTCTCAAGGACATCTCTATTCGTCTACAGTTGCTTCTCGACGTTGGCGCTCCTCCTACCTCCGAAGCAGCGTTCGCAATATATATGGGCCAAGTGACTCGGCTTCACGAGGAGCTCTCATCTTTCAAGCTTTCGTTCGCAGACGTCGTCTCGTGTCGGCTACTTCACTCTCTCAAGGGGCCCTTTCCGGCGTACTACGCGAACGCCATGGACTTTCAGGTCGACTCTATCCCAAAACCTCGTGACATTCTCAGTGAATGTCATGCGCTCACCGGCTCCGAAACCTTGCCCGTTGCCGAGGCAAAGTCTCGGCCTCGCCGACCCCGTCACCCCTGTCGGCACTGCAAGGGTGATCACTGGAATAACGACTGTCCAAAGCGCCCAAAAGGTGTCTCCTCGGCAAAAGTCGCGCTAGAGGTCGCGCCCAGGCCCACAACCGACGCCTCGGACTTGCTTGGTGAAGACGTTCACACGTTGTTCACTTCTAGGCACTCAAAGCTCGGCGGGGCCTCCCTCATCGTCCTCGATATCGGCGCTACGCATCACGTCGTCAACACTCGGTCAGCTTTCATCGAGTTTGTCCCATGCACTTCGGAGTCTCGCTGCATCAAGGGGGTTGGCACCGCAGTTATGCGTGCGTTTGACGGCACCGTTGGTCACCTTCTCAACGCGATCTACGTCCCGGGAGGCCCGGTCAGCCTGTTCTCCGTCAGTCGAGCGGACAAGGCGGGCTTTTCGATCGTCTTTGGCGCCGGGAAGTGCTCGGTCACTCGCCGCGGAGTAGCGTGTTACACTGGCGCCCTTATCAACAAATTATACTGCCTCAATGCTTCCTTGGTCGATGCACGTGCATCTACTCCATCCGGTCCGTCCGTGCTTGAGGTTTTCGCTGTGATCCCAGCATCCGTCATGTATGGTCGTTTTGCTCACGTCAACTTTCGCTACCTCCAACAGCTCGCGAAAAGTGACACGGGTCGTTGGTTTCGAGATAGCTGTAGCTGGTGACAACGATTGCGAATGTGCCGAATGCCTTGCAGCAAAGATTACCCACACCGTGGACCCTTCCCCAAACAAGTCATTTTCTCGCACGTGAATACTACGTCCACACCAAAGTGGCCCCTTTCCTCTCCGGTGCTGCGAAGTTGTTTTCCCCAGGTTCCAGGGCTCGTACCGAAGATAAACGGATGGTGACGCCCTCCTCCTCCCTCCTCCATCTTGCCACCGCAACGGAACCCATTGAATGTCTCCAAGTTAGTTGAAGCGTTGAGGGAGTCTGTACACGTGAGCAAATGTTGATATGTGTCTTAGTCATGGTTTGACCGCTCGTTCTCGCTTCGACCGATGATTTCCAACAATCGAACTGCCCTTATTTTACACGTTTCCCCCCCTAGGACCCCTGGATGTGTCGAGGGCGTCTAATTCCCCTCGAGGACGACCGGGACCGAATTCAGAAAGAGCTTACTTTATCACATGCAAAAGCATGAGCGACATTGCCGAGAGGAGATCCAAAACAAAACAAAATTGTTGCTAGGTGTTTACACGATACAGTATTGAATAGAGGCCAACAGGTTTCTCTCCCTCATCCGAAACGCCACCACTTCTTCTTTTTATGGTCCTCCGACTCTGCCGTCGAGGTTGTCGACGTGGATACCCGAGGAATCATCGAGACCTCTTCTTCATCCGTCGCGCCCATCCCAGAGAGCATCGTACCGCTCGTCATCGTCGTCGTAGTCGGTGATGCCATCCCCGCCCCACCGCCTAATCGATGCCTAGCCTGAGCCGCCACGGCCGCCGTCGCGGATGAAGAATGTCGATGATGCTGATGATAAGCCGAATGCGCATCCTCGAGGTTGCCGGATCTGCCGACGTAGAGATTACCCGAAAGACTCATCGCCCTCTCTGACCGCGTCATCGTCGTACCAGCGTTCGAAGGATTGGTCGCTCGTCTTCTTGGACTATTGGGGGTCGAGGAGGATGAAGGACCATTGATGGTAGGTGTTGATGGGCCATCGATCCCTGGTCCTATTGGAGCGTTCGATCGGTCTCCTCCTTGCCGATTGCTTTCTCGCTCATTGAAAGGCGTGGTAGGTAACGAAGTCTTTCTCCGATGCGCATAAAGACCTCCCCCTCCACTCCCCCCTTGATGAACAGATTGTGAGGCCCTCCTCGTCGCTGGCCTCAAATCGAATCCGGGAGAAGCCGCTCCTAAACCGATCGTCAAACCCCTCGGTATCCATTCGACGGGTAAAGCCAATGGCGAAGGAATGGCGTCTTCATCGAGATCGAGGAAATCGTCTTCGCCTTCCGAATCTGCGTCGTCGTCCTCGTCCACCTCGACCTCGTCATCGTCCACTTGTCTTCCTTCCTCCAAATTTGAATAATAGCACCCCGGTTCGTCCGAGAAAAGCGGCTGATACGGATTCCCCATTCGCTCCTCCTCCTCCTCCTGCCCCTCATCCTCAGACCGAATGGAAACGATCCAAACGCCCCCCAACAATATCGCGGTCCCCAAAGCGACGAGACCGAATTGAAGTGAGGTGAGTTGGTCCCATTGGTCGTAGTAGATGAGACCGGTTACGATGGAGGAGAGGTTGTAGAAACAGAAGGCGAGGGGGCAGATGAGGGTCGGACCGACGAGGCGGAGGGCGCGGTTGAGGTAGAAGAGCTGGGGGAGGGAATATTCTTCGTGTTAGTTCGGATGCGACGTGGCTTACGACGGAGAGTACTCGGCCATACCTGACAGACAGCGGCGACAGCCAGAATTGCTACGATTGCCCAAGCCTCGAAATGGCCAAACTGGAACGAGCAAAAGAGCATCAGTTCACGAATCCCCCCGACGCGCCCGCAGCAAATTATTTGCCAACTCACCTGATTCTGCCTCGCGACAATGGTCTGAATCAACAACTCGATCCCGGTCTTGGCGAACAACAAACACAATCCACTCAACGTCCCCGATGCCGCACCATACGCGACACCCAAGATCAAGCGACTCCTTTCGATCGCTGCTTCGACGTCCGCGAGGCAAGCCGGGTCCTTAAAGTCCAGTTCGGGTGGTGTGATCGTCACGGCAGGTCCGGGGATCCTCCGCCTTGAGAAAATGGGTTCGGTGTTCCCCTGATCGTGTTGAACGCCAGGTGATCGGGGATCCTCATCGTCGAGCGCACTCCCATCCAAAACGATCCGATGCACCTCTTCCGCATCCGTTCGACCGACCGTCCCATCCTTGAACGTCACATTTCTCAAATCGAACCTCATACGTCCACCGCCAAGACCACCGGACCGATCGTTCAAACTGCCTACCGAACCGTGCAACTGCCTACTAGCCGAACCCTTCCTTGCGAATCCATCCCTCCTTCTCGGACTGCCCTCCAACGAGGCTCTACTGGTGAACGTCCCCAGTTCAGAGCTAGTCCTTATACTCTTGGGCGTTAAAGGTGGTGCATCAGGGTACTTGGAAGCGATGCGACGTTCCAATGCCCATTCGGCGAGGTGGGCCAAGGTGAGGGTCGAAACGAGGGCGATGGAGAGGAGCGTGGCCCAGACGAGGAAAGGGGTGCGAGTGTAGAGCGCGACGAGTTCGGGGAGCGTGTGGGTTTGCTCGGGCACGACTGGAGCGAAGGAAGGGGAAGTTCCGGGATGAGGGTCAGTGATCGGGGGAAAGAAGCGAAGAATGGTTCCTTGCGAGAGAAGAAAACGCAGACCGACCTCCGAAAATGGCAATTAGACATGCCCCACCAGCGATGAGGATGATGCCCGCGACGATATGGACCGAGAACGAGTCCCCTAGGATGAATCTTGCAAAGAAGGCGTTCCACAGTAGCGAGACGGCTCCGAGAGGCCCGAGGACGATGATGGGTAAGGCGCCGAGTTGAAAGATCTGCGCGGAGAGAACAAAGAGGTTTGGCTCTGCTTGAGACACGCACGAAGACCACATGACGAGCTTACGGTCCCGAACAAGTTGGAGGTCAAAAAGATGAGAAATCCGAGCAGCCACAAAGGACGCTTGGCATCGCGCGTTCGTTTGTGGGGTAGCAGAGCCTCGTTCGCGAGATGAGATTTTCTTTGGATCGTCAGACCTGTGTGTGCGACGGTGAAGACGATGATTAGCGTGCACGTTCGGGTGTGATGGGGTGGTGCGGTTCGTGGGGCGTGGTGGTCGGATCGAGTCCTAGGGGCTTGTTTCAGGGGCTGTCTCATCGCAGGGGTTCGATTCGATCGGACAATTTGCTAGCGGCTTCCCGGTGGCGGTCTCGCCATTCGGGGGCGTCGCGTGAGGAGATGGCACACGAATCGTACCTAGACTCTGGACGAACGAGGCCAACAGCCCGACGATGATCTGGCAGATGCAGGAACAGGAACAGGAGATGAGCAAGTGACGTCATTTGGAGGTGGACGGCGGATCGAGTGACTGACCCCGACGGCGACACTGATCTGAGGCGAAGTGGACGGCGTCGAGGGCGCTACCGAGACCGTCGGAGGTGGCCAGGGTTCGTCTTGACCCAAGATCCACATCGGATCCCACGTCGAGAGTCGGGAGAGCCGGGAGAGCCGGGACGGGTACGGGGGAGGCAACCGCAAGCAGTAAAGTGTGAGTGGCAGAGCGAGCTGAGTGTTGAGGGTGAGCGTGCGTTTGGCCGCCTGAGTTGTGTTTGGGTATTAGTAAATTAGTCGCGGCCTAATCCAGTAATCCATCCAGTCGCGGCCTGAATTGCCGCTTCGAGGCCACCAGCAGGCTGCAGGCTGCTCTTACCCGCTGCGCTTCCCAGCTGCTCGGACGCGGGCCGAGCCAGGCGCGGTCGGTCGACTCGGCGCTGCTTGTCATTCGTCCGCTGCTGCTCAAGCCGGTCCCGTCCCGACTCTCACCCACCCTTCACCATGGTCAGTCACCATCGCCCCACGCATCCGAGTCAGCTCACTCACCCCCAGCGATCCACTCCCTCCCACAGTTGCCTCTAGCGCTCCTGCACGCCGCGCAGGCCAAACCGATGGTCCGTCCGTCCCCTGCGCCATGCACGAACCTTGCTCGACCGATCACCCCACTTACTTGTCCTTTCCCCCGCACAGCTCGTCGAACTCAAGAACGGCGAGACCTTCAACGGCCACCTGGCAGGCTGCGATAACTTTATGAACCTGACCCTCAAAGAGGTCTACCAAACCTCGGCCGCAAGTCCCACGCTCCGCCGTCCTTGTCCTGCACACCTAACGACTTGGCGCGCGCGCACGTCTCACTAATACGCTTCTCTTTTGGACACGTCCTCTTAGGACGGAGAACAGTTTTGGAAATTACCGCAATGCTACATCCGAGGTAACAACGTCAGTCTCAGGTTTCAAGAACCCCCATCTCCTCGGAAGCCCACTCGGATTCGAATCGCCTGACGCGTTTTGCTTTACCGAACTCCCCCTCCCCCCCCCCAACTTCGCGTTCACCTGCGCCACCACAGATCAAATACATCCGAGTAGCAGAGAACGTACGTCTCGTCAAAGCCGAGTCCCGGAACGAATACAGCAGCACACAAGTCACCTCCGGAAGCCCACGGCCCTAACCCACCCTCCTCTCTGTTCCTTCAGTTGATCGACCAAGTCAAAGAACAGGAGCAAGAACAACGACAACGTGGGAACAACTCGACACAACATTCTGGAGGAAGGGGCGGTGGCGATCGAGGGGGTAGAGGCGGAGGTGGTGGTGATCGGGGTTCAAGAGGCGGTTTCGGTGCAAGAGGTGGTCAGTGCTGTTCTTCGTCGAGGGCTGGCTGAAAAGGCGTTCTTCGTTGAGCCGAATTACTCAACTCACTTCGTTTGGCGTACTTTATTCAGGTCGGGGTGGTGGAGTCCCTGGGAGAGGAGGAGCAGGTGGAGGACGAGGCGGTGGACCGATGGGCGCTCACTCCGATCGAGGCAGGGGCGCACCGAGAGGTCGAGGCGGGCCACAGGGTCACTAAAAAAACAAAGGCTTGGCCGATATTACACACCAAGCATACACTACCCGACCATCTCTCCCTTGTAATAAACCACACACTCCAACAGCACCGAGAATTGATCGACACGGGGCCATCGTCGCTTGACGGAGGGGGATCTCTGAACAAGCTCTCACAATACAGACAAAAAAAAGCCACACCACGCCACACACCACACACACACACACACACACACACACACACACACACACACTATAAAAGAGAGGAGAGAAAAAAAGCAAACAATGGAAAGTCAAATCACACACACAACACCAGTACCTCCCTTCCCTTCCAACCTTCAACCTTCATCCCCCCTGTGCCGCCCCTTTCAACCTTCCTCTTCTCCTCCAGCATGAAACAACACGCCCACGAAAAACGAAACCGAAACGAAAGGACGCCCCGGGGATGAAAGGAGAACAAAAATAAAGACACGATAAAAGAAGCGAGAGAGGAGGGGAGAGAACGATGATAGACCAAGGGGGAATGGGAAATGAAGGAATGGAGTAGAACGAACCGAGTCGAGGGTGGGCTACGACCGGGTTGGAATGAGGAGAGCGACATTCGAGATGTCGAGGGAGGTGGAAGGTTGGAAGGAGGGTAGAAGTTAAAAGCACTGAAGAGGGAAAGAGCAACAGTCGTAAAAGTGGAGGTCGTTAGGCGAAAAGGGAGGTCAAGGATGCGAGTTGCGAGCCGACGACGTTGAAAGATTAATGCCGAGGCGAGGGCGGGCGATCGGACCGGTTTACAAGATCCCAGAGTCTCGAAGCGCATTTTGAAGAATCGTCTCCTTGACAGCAGCGAATACCAGCCGGATCTGAGCGGTTCTCGGAAGACGGTAGTTCAGCATTCATCTCTCTCATCGGGCCAAGCCTCATCATACTCGACGACCAAAGCGCACTCACGTTCGAGGTATCGGTCGCTTGGGTCAAATGCGGGTAGATCGACAAGCGTGCTCGGTTGAGTTGCGTGAAACGCCATAGGATGTACTTGGCTCCCTTGTTGACGTCGGCTCCGCCCGTGTACTCGGGGAAGTACTTTTCGAGCGGGATCTTGGGCACCTTGGCCTTGAAAAGATCAATCTGTCAAAGGCAACGCGCCAAGGCAAGACATGAGTCAATGCTAAGACGTATTCCTCACCCCTAGGCACCCGACTGACCTTGTTGAGGAACAAGATGATACTCGTCCTCAAGAACCACCTCGAGTTGATCACGCTCTCGAATAAGACTAAACTCTCATTCAACCTGTTCTGCCCATTCTCCTCCAAAAGCACCTGGTCATACTCGCTCAGCGCGACACAGAAGATGATCGACGTGACAGCTTCGAAGCAATGAATCCACTTTTTGCGCTCGGACCGCTGCCCACCGACGTCGAACATGTGGATCGAGAGTTGACCAGACTTGAACTTGGTCTCGCTGATACCGGTCGTTTTTGTTCGCGCGTGCAGCACGTCGGACTCGTTGGGGATGTAGCCGACCGTGCCTATCCGCTTGATCTCGTCAAAGAAGCTGTTCACACGTATGGCTTTGAGATAAGTGAACGATCCAAAAGCCGTGCCATTAGCCGCAGCGTCACTCACTAAGGCGCCGAATCCATGAGGTAGAACTCGCTCGAACGATCCAACACGCTCGGGATGATGGGGTCGTGCCACAGGCTATCGATCGCATGCACAATCTCGGGATCCAACCCTCCCCCCGGTGCGGCTCCAGGCTGGGCGAGGCTCAGTCCGGGCGAGGCCGAGAACGAGTCGCCCTCGAGTCGGAACTCGGAGATCAATTCGGCGTATTCCTGCCAGTGCGAACAGTAGTAGTGATGAGCAATACCATTCTAATTTCACATTCCGATATCACATTCCGATCGCACCCCGTCGACTGACCCTGTTCTCTGGTTCTGTGGGTTCCAACTTGAACCGCCGTAAGGCAAGTACGAGCGTCTGGGCCGAATCAATCACGTCTGTCGTCAAGCAAGGGGCGGGGTGGGACAGGGAGGTCAGCTTCACTTGCCTCTAATCAAGCCTGTCCATTTTAGTTCCTCCCTCCAACATGAGGTATGGGGGCAGAGCCAACTGCGGACACCATCGCGCTTCGCGCAGGGCCGCCTCCCCACCACCGAGCTAACGGGCGCAGGAGACAGGCCGAGAATGAGGGGAGGTGAGACTGACTCTTGTAGACAGTCATCCGGAACAACAGCATCTCGTCCCTCGAGTACCCGTTCTGATGGATGATCTTCATCTGTTTGACGATGGTCGATTTCCCTGATTCACCGGATCCTATTTGAGGGGAGGGACAACATGGAGGCGACGGGTGAATCAGCGGGATGTCCGAACCTGGAGAGCGAGGGCGAGAGCGAGTGGGGAGGAGGGAGGGAGGGAGGAGGGGAGGGGTAATCCCGGGGGTCGATCGCTCGTGCCGCACACCACAACACCCCACTCAACAATGCAGTGGAATGAATGGCGTGCAATGTACGGTGTGCGAGTGCGGGAATAGGGTTCGAAACGAGGGGTGGCGCACAGACGACCAAACTGACCCAACAACAGGATCTTGCACTCCCGCCTCAGCCGTTTAGCATCGTCGTCGAGCTGCTTGTCGATCGCGTAAGAGCGGTCCTTGGACTCCTTGGGCACGTCCCCCATCGTCGCTGGAGTGGAAGAACTGCACCCCATCGTTTCGGTTGAGGGTGATTCGGCGGAGTGGTGGTCAGTGGTCGGTGGTCGGTGGTGGGTGATCGGTGGTGGGCGTGGGGTCGGGCCGACGGCGGCAGGAAAGGCGCTGCGGGTGGTGGACAAGTCAGAAAGTGGCTGGAGGCTCCTCGAGGTGGGCCGCTGAACCAGGCCGACCGGCTCCGACCGGGCGCGTACGCCGCGCGAGAACTCGCTGCTAGAGGCGACTAGACGAGGCACGCCGCACGACGATCTTACACTTCACACGCGAACTTTGCCCCGGACCCCCGATGTGGCAATGGAGCTGGTGGTGGGGTCGAGCAGTGAATGGAGGAAGATCGCAGCTGTATACGATGCGACGGAGTCCTCTAAATCGACGAGCTGTAGCCTGTCGAAGAATTGGTGGGACTGGCCTCGCCCGCCACGGTTCCGTAGCGGCTTGGACTGTTCAGGCTTTTAAAGCTCGCAAGACGATCGAGGCGATCGAGAAGTTCTGAAGCGGTCGGAGTCGGACTCACTGTCGGAGCCGGAGTCGGACTCACTGTCGGAGCCGGAGTCGTCAGGCTCCGAGTCGGGGAAGATTGGAAGTGCTTCGGTCGACGTCGAGGACGGGGTGCAGCGATGTATCCGATTTTCTGAACTTTGCAAAGATGATCAAACGGATGAAGCGAGAAAAGAATGAAATCCAAATCCGAACCCCCAAGGTTCAACGTAATGCCAGTCTGCGAGCAGCGAGGAAATCGACGCCTAGAGCGCCTAAGCTTGACAAGCTCCCTCGCGCTCCAGCGCGATCGAGACCAAAATGAGGCGTCGCGCGGCGGCCCGTCCGAGTCGGGCCCGCCCCTCGGGAGTTGAGGTTGTAAAACTCTGTCCACGGCAAACTCACCCTGAAAATTAGCTTCATCTTTACTTGACCACTTCCTGCGGAGCGAACCCGGAGCCCCGAACTACTTTTAGCTCCGATGAGTCGATTACGCGATCATACCACTGGCAGGAGCCGGGTGCTGAGTTGGGAGGAGGGAAAGACTTGTGTGAGCCCAAAATAATGTGGGCATCAGTCCTGATCTCAGTGCGGTAATGACACCGTATGGAATAAGGTATATGGTATGGTGGTCCAGCGGATCCAAAGCCTGTTAGATTATGTCTTTAAACAAGACTAGCTGGACATCATCGAAACTCAGAACTGAGCCTCGAGTGCATGTTCGGGTTCACTTGCTTTCTGGCCAAATCAATGGGACTTGCTTTCAGCCTTGTCTGGCATGTATTGTAGAGAATGTTTGCAGTCATCACGTTGGTACACTAGTCAGAAAGGCGTTCTAAAGAGGGTGAGAAGGAGACAACGAGTTAAACTACGTAGGAGAAAGATGAAAAGATAAGACGAGAGTGGAAAAAAGGGCAAGCAATAAATAACACAAGCGGGTTGGAGAACGAAACGGGCAAATTGAAACTCTTTTTTTGAACGAGAAATCCTGAAAGGGGAGATTGGTCATGCAACGTCTGATCGTGCCCGAGAAACGAGAACCTGAAGGCGAGCCATGCGAGGGGAAGACGTGAAGACGTTCGAGTGGGTGGAGGAGGGAGAGCGTGCTACAGTGAATGAAACGGGAGGCGCGCTCTGGGAGAACGATCGATCGTCTATAAAAAAAGGTCTTGCAGATGCGAGCGGTCGTTAAGGGTGACCGAGATTACGAGAGGGAAAGCCGGCGGAGAGAACACCTAGTTCGACGTCGTCGCGGGTCATTATGAGTTGCCCGACGCGGCGGCGATATATCTTGCCGCGGTCGACGGGAACCCCTTGAGCTTCTTGCATTCTTGCGCCAGGTTCTTTGCCCTCGGCGAGCCGATCTGGTCGATGAACATGTTGAGGTACCGGAAGCACGTCTCTTCACGGAAGTCGATGTAGAGCTTGCGGTTGTAGCGACGCTCGTGCTGGCGCGCCTTTTCGGCGTACGCGTGCGACTGGTGGATGAGCATGTCGTCCGGCAGCACGTAGAACGACACGCCCGAGAGGTACAGCTCGTACAAGCACGCGGCCTTGTTGCCGCCGTAGCCAATGAAACGCTCGTCGCACCAAGGCGTGCCCTCCTTCTTAAAGATCGCATACGGCTCGTAACTGTGCGTGTAGCTCGTCACTCGATACACCTCTCCCGGCTTGGCGGCGTAGTACTTGGTGTAGTTGGTGCTGCCGTGGCCCGGGGCCCACGACTTGTGGAACATGCCGATCTTTTCGGCTTCAACGAGTTTGACGAGTTCCTATCGATGTGTCAAAAGCCGGAGGCGTATATCCGTCAGCTCTCTCGTGGAAAGATGCAGTACGCAGCACTGTTTCCAAGGCATACCTCTTTGGTCGTCGGGAAGGTGGAGGGGTCGACTCCATCCGATTGTTTCGCAAACTCGAACGCGGGGACGACAAAAGCGGCGAGCCCCCCACGCAATCTCGCCATGATTTCCTCGGATCCCAAGATGCGACTGCGGAAGTCGGTGCACAGCCAAAAGTCAACGTCGAGCATCATGACGTACTATAAAGTGATTGTAGATGAGAAATACATTCAGTTGGCGTTCCTCTGGATGGGCAACTGCGTCGCAAGGAAACTGACCTCTGTCCGGGCAAAGAACTTTGCGACGTTGCGCCACATGTTGAACTGCCGATCGAACGAGTCGTAGACGAGGTGAATGTCAACGTATTTGCGCATCAGGGGGGAGCCATTGTATGCCTCGTCGAGCACTTGCAGCGTCTCGGCGTGTGTGCTCGAGTCGGACAAGTGTACGGTTGCAGAGATGGGGCCTAGTGAGCGGGAGAGTAAAGATGTCAGTGCTACTATTCTAGGGACTGGTTCCCCGAGCAACTGGCTGTAACCCACCTTGATATCTCTCGACGAGTCGCTTGAAGACCTCCAAACGATTGCTTGTGATCAGGGTTGTGATCGTAATGTCCTCCTTGTTAAAGTCGGGGCGATCGGGGTCGGTCGCTCGGTAGTAGTAAGGGATGACCTTGGACGGTTGTAACGACGATGAGAACGACAGCGACAGAAATTGATCCTCGGACAGAGCGAGCTGACTCCTCGGTCCCGTGTCGTGGTTCCAGTGCGAAGGGTCGGAGCTCGGTCCAGAGTGGGCGAGATGATGCGAGGGGTGATGCCATACCATCTGATCGGCGTCCCATTCGACGTTCTCGAGACCGCCGACGCGTGTGCGCACAAGTTCACGCCCATCAATCAGTTCCTTGGGCTTGACATAAGTTGCTTTGATCTTCTTGCCGGCCTTGGCTGCCATTTCCGCTGCGGCCCAGACCTTGTCATGGCTGTCCTCTTGTCGAATGTCCGAGGCCCTCACACCGGCGGTCTCGAGCGCGGCGTGACGGTTCTTGGTCTTGGTCTTGCCATCGGCGTCGACCGCGGTCATGATGTCGCCTGGCATATGAGCCGCGATCTGGGAGATGAGAGTCGCCGATGCGGTGCCATCTGCTCCACCGGCTGATGCTCCCGCCGCTCCAGCTGCGCGTACTGCTGCGGCTTGGTCTTCTGCGAGTCGTAGCAGTTCCTGTTCGACCTTCGCGTCGGATCCAAGCACAGCCCTGACGGCAGGATCGACGACAAAGTGGTACGCGGTGTAGCCGAGCGCGGCGAGCAGGTACACGGTCAGGCAGAACTTGGCCAGTCGTCCGAGACGCGACGACGTGCTTTTAGGCTTGCCCGCATTCCTTCGCAACATCTTGGAAGCGAGTAGGGGCGGGGGCGGAGACGGAGGTGGAGAGTATTTCGTGTCGATCCAAATCAAGAAGATTTGTGTTCTTCACAGCGGGAGAAGCGGCTCGATTGAACGAGGTCGTCAGAGAAGAAAGGGGGGTGCGTGCGTGTGGGCGTGGCGCGGCGTGCGTGTGCGCGGCAGAAGGCGGCGGGCGACGTGACGATTTGGAGTCGATCGCGGCTGCGGGATCACTCACTGAATGCGGCGCGTCGAAAGGGTGCGGAAAGGAACGAGTGGAAGGTGAGCGTGTCGGCCGGCGGGTTTGAGCCAGTGCACGTCGGCGTGACAAGAAGAAAGGACGCAAAGAAACACACGCAAGAAGGTGGTGATGGGAAGCGAGTGAGACACGTCAAAAGAGGAGAGGAGGTCTCGGGGAGATCGCCGCCAGGACGTGGGTGCTAAGAAGGTAAAGGAGGTCCAAGCACTCGAGCGCGCCTCCTTACCAAACATGCCCACCCAATCGCCGGCGAGTTACGGCGCGCCCATAGCAGGAGCCCATTATGCCATTTTTCGCCCGCGCCAAAATTGCTTCCAAGAGCGCAGTGTCTTTAGCGACTTTTTCGTCGTAGGGTTTTCGGGTTGTCCCCCCGAGTAGCCTCCCGTACGAATTTGTTGAATTGTTTCACCCGCCGAGCCACATCAGTCAGGTTCAGGAGCAATTCCCCCCTGAAACGTCGTTTGTCGCCGCCTCGGCCGCTTCGCGTGGGGAAACGGGGGGGGGGGGGGATTACAAATTCGGCAACGAGACTATTAAGACCTACCCCGGCTTTTTGACTCGGAGCCGGTGCTCTCTCTCGCCAACGACCCTCATTCCTGTATAGGAAACCAGAATGATCGCGCGATCAGAGATTTAATCAAGGAGTGCTGTAGGAAGACCACGAGGCCCCAAAACTGTGTCGCAACTCGCAAGAGCTCCAACGTGTCTGCCACGAGCTGCGGTACGAGCTGAGGTACGTGCTTTGACTCTTCGCCGGCGAATGTGGCTTCCCCGAGCTGATGCCATTCCTTGGTGGGTACCGACAGGCAGGTCTGCAGGGATGTCAATCAGGATCGTATCACCCAAGCGGATAGGATGGTGTACTCGAGCCATCCCGTCGACTTCAACCAACCGGCAGCTCAGCCGTCGCAATGAACTGGCCTTCCCGGGGCCTGAGCCTGGCTTTGGTCTCGCACCACGCCCGCGACATCCAACACGGCGTTCCTTCACACACTTCCGAGAAGTGTTCAATCCGAAGGAGAAGGCTTCACCACACGCCGGATCGAGCTCCACAGTGATCAGCATCAGAAATGCCAACGTCTTCCCCTTTGGAGTTCCCTCCGACTCACCCGACTCGGCGCTTTTCAACTCGCTGGCATGGACCATCCAAGATCCTGAATGTTGGGGGATCCTCTGCTCCTCTTCTGCGCCTTCCAAAACGCACCTTCTCGACGCCTTGCAGGCCAAAACGCGCTTCGACCCACCCCATGCCGTCAGCTACCCACTTCTTGACTCCCTTCCACCCGTCGCGAGACCCCAAGCCCAAGGTGGGCCCCGACATCGTTCGGTTCAAGACCTGATTGGTTTCGTCTCTTTTCGAACAAGGTTGGACCAGAAGACGGGGGAATTTGAGGATTACACTTCGAGGTATTACGCCATTCGGGACGAGGACAAGTTGACGCTTCGGGATCATCTGAGGAATTATGTCCCTTTTCAAGAAGAGGCGACGAAGGAATCGATCGATCGCCTTATCGAGGAGACCGCGACTTCGTTGGAGATGGAGAGCTTTTTGGACTTGCCTTTGGTCACGCTGAGCAATGGTCAGACAAGAAGAGCGAGGATCATGAGAGCTTTGTTGGCGAAGCCCGAGATGCTGATTCTCGAGGAGCCTTATAGTGAGTTGCGTGTTGCGGGTCTCGCTCTTACAGAACCACTGACTCATCCCTCTTACGACGCCAAATAGCCGGCCTGGACGTTTCGTCACGATCCCTCCTCTCTGAAGTGCTTGAACGCCTACACTCTCAACGCTCACCTCGGATCCTCGTCGTCCTCCGTCCTCAAGACCCCCTACCTCCTTTCGTCACCCACCTAGCGCTCATAGACCCCCACATCCCACGCAAAATCACCTTCGGCACAACACCCGAGATACTCTCTCTCCCGGACGCTCAAAAGATGATTGAGACAGGGAAAAAAGAACGAGAAGCTTCTGCTTCGAGGAAAGCTGAACGCAGGAGGAAAGCCAGGGAGGAGGCGGGGGCAGGAGAGGTGTTGGTTCGGTTGGATAAGGTGAATGTCGTTTATGGGGTTGGGGAGAAGGCGAGGGTGGTCTTGAAGGATGTGAGTTGGACGATTAGGGAGGGGGAGAGGTGGGTATTGGCGGGGCATAATGGTGAGGTTCCAATCTCAGAGCGTGCAGGTCCGGACCATCGACACAGAAGGAACTAATCGACTCCCCACTGAAATACAGGATCAGGGAAGAGTACGCTGCTCTCCCTTATCTTGGGTGATCATCCCCGATCTTTCGTAGAGGACATTACCCTCTTTGGCAAACCACGAAGCTCCTACGCCACAGCAACGCGTGAGTCGGCCCCAAACCTCTTCATAGTGTCAACTGAGCCGACTAACACCCACCCAACCTGCAGTCCAATCTCACATCGGCCACGTCTCCCCCGAAATCGCGTCCTCCTTCCCTCGCAAATCCCTCCCCGCCGGCCTAACAGTCCAAGAATCGATCTTAACAGGTTTCGAAGCCATCTTCTGTTATCGCAAACCCACCCCACCTCAAATCGAAGCCTTACGCGAGCTACTCGACGACTTCCGACATCCACGAATCACATCAGAATTCCTCAACCTGGGTTTCGCGGACCTAAGTCCAGGTGATCAATCCCTCGTTCTTCTATTGAGGGCTTTAGTCAAACGACCCAAATTACTCGTTTTGGACGAGGCCTTTTCGGGGATGGATTCCGAGACGATTGGCATCGTCAAGAGGTATATAGATCAAGGACTGAAGAAGGATCAAGCGGTGGTTTTAATAAGTCATTTCGAGGAGGAGTTGCCCAGGAGCGTGAATCGCAGTTTGATGTTGGAGAAGGGGAGGGTCGTGTTGGATTGACACGATAACATTGGGGACATAGAATAGGATGGTTGCAAGATATAAAGCGTTCGTTGTTGTAGTCGTAAATGACAAGCATAACAGGGAATACAAAAACGGGTGGATACTGAAACGTTAGAAAGAGCAACACAGGAGTAGTGATACAGGGACCGCGTTCTAAGTGAGACGTCTTGATCAAACCTCACTAGTCCGAATCGTGTTGCTGCGCCTGATAAGCTTGCTGTCTCGCAACCCAAGCGACGGCAGGGTTCCCTTCTTGTGAACGTTGAGGTGTAACGGGTGTACCGAGGGAAGAAGCATCTTCATGGCTGGGTAGAGTGAGTCGATCGGTTCGTAATCGTTCGGGACTTCGATTCAGTGCTGAGGGAGGTGGGTACGACGTGGTCGGGGAAGAAAATTCGGGTTCGCCACGAGAGTGTTGAGTCGTGATCGTTGTGGTCGGAATGGTCATGCCTTGATTGCTGAAATATCCTGGACCCTTACTGTAAATATAGTACGAATCATCAATGCCTCGTCAGCATCCCTTCGGTGAAAAGATAGGGGTAGCCTCAGCGACTGGGACTTGAGGAAACCCGCCTAGATCGAAGTCCTCGCTTCTCTGCATCCTTCATCACTTGCAGTGCCCTCGCTTCGGACTTCGTCAGTCCACATTTGAGACATGTCATCTGATCGTTTAAGGCGGGTTCAACGTCAGCTTTCGTTCTGCTCACGCGACCTCGTTCGGATCTACGGACGCGACGATCCCAGATTCGGAAGACTGGATCGCCACCAAATAGGGACACGTACTTCTGGGCCATCCTCACTGCCTCCGTGCATGCCGACTGATGAGGTAAACGCTGCTCCTGCTGAAAATTGAGAAGGGGGTAAGGAGGTAGTCCCACATTTGCACACCCGGCCAAGTCGCCAAAGCTCTCGGAGCTAATGCGACCCTGTGCCCTGGAAACGACCCCCGCAAATGTGCATGAAAGCAAGTTCAAAGCAGACTTGCCGTTGGACATGGCACACGACATGAAGGCCCAGCATGGGCAGCAGCATAGTTTGACTGAAAGAACAGGGACTTGATATCAGCTCCTATAAAATGGCAACCCATCACGCGATACACCAGTTTGTACTGTGGCGAACGGTTCGTAAAACCGACGACGACGACGGCGAAAGTGGGGACTCGACGACGGTAGTGACGTCGGATCCGAGGCTGTGAGACACTCACAGCAACATGACCGCTTCTTGGGCATCGAGAACTGGTGAGAGCCCCCTTCTTCGCACGACATGCTTGCACGTCCCAAGTCTGATCCACGCCTTAACCCCGGGACGCCGGGAGTTGAGGTGGAAGACGACTTGGAGGCGATGCACGAACGGGCCGTTTCACAAAAGTCTTAGCTGATCGAGGCTGATCGGGCGCGTCGTCGGACGCTAATACCAATCGCGTTCGAGACGCGCGCTAAGGCCAATTGAAATTTCCAACGCGAGAATAATGCGGGAGGAAAAACGGCGCTCCCGCAGCCAGGACGGTCCCCGCTTGTCTTTCCTCCATCTTGACCACCCTGCTCTGTCTCGCCGATTCGATCCTTTGCACGCCCCTCGTCCTTTCAAGCACTGATTCGATGCATACAATCTCGATCGCTAGTGAATATGACTCGCAATCGTCCACTACCTCGCCTGTGTCGCTCAGGGGCGATCATCTGTGCGAGTCTTTTCCTTGCCTTCTTCGAACACCCAGCGGCGCCTCCTGAGTACCGTGCTATCGTCTCTCTTTGTACAACATCGCAAACATAAGCTCTAGTGTACGCCCCATCTCGGCTTCCTTACCCACGACCTACATCACCTCCGTTCTTCAGTTCCTACCCGAACTTTTTCTCCCTCTTTTCCTTACTTCCCCATTCCCTTAAACAAGCCCCTTCTTATCATGTCACCCGACGCTCTGTTATTACATCAACGATGTTCCAACAAAGAATGGTCGATGCGACGGGAAGGAACGGGCAGACGTTCAACCCAACGTCTGAACACGCCAGGCGGGTTTCGACCCCTCTGGATTGCTTTGACGTCCCTCGATCTTTGTGATGAGCTTACTACTCGGACTTCCTTTGTTACCCTTTTTCGGGGTAACTCTTGGAGCGGATCGAGGGGACACTTTTTTCTTAAGTTTGCTTCCCAGAGTTGTTGATGTGCAATTCTACTCGGAATCCACTGTCTTGCTTGAGCTCCTCGTGGCTTTATGATAGGGATTGGCTTGATAATCTTGCCGAGAGACACAAATCGACCAGCTCTGTCGACCCCATTATGACTCGAGAACATCATAGCTCGATAAGACGGTGAAAGCAGGGCGAACGCCTCGACGAGAGAGAAACACCGAGCTGGCTTCCGGTAAAGCCTTGTACTCAGGCTTGACCCCAAAAAATAGCATCGCCCAAAAGTTACAACATGATGCCATACCCTACTGAAACCCCGAACCAACCGAACCGTCCTCGACTCAATCCCACATCTGCTTGACCTTGTTCTTGCGCTCCTTCTTCCCCTCGACGGACTGCTTGCGCTTCTCCAACTTTTGCGACCTCTCCATCCCCGCGATCTTGGCTTTGGCTTGTCGCTTCAACGCTGTCGACGACTTGACGCGTTTGGTTTTGGTTTTTGGTTCGGCGGCGGGGGCGACGTGAGGTCTCGTGGCTGGGAAAGCGCGCCGGGAAGAGGGGAGGGTGAGCCGAGGTGATTCGGTCGTGAGGAGGGGGCTGTGCGCAAGGACGTACCTGCGAGAGATTCTTCCTTCTTGTCCTCGGGTAGGGCTACTCGTTCGATCGGTTCTTGCCTTGCGACCGAGCCTGTTGCGTGGCAGGAGGTTTATTGTCCACCAGGTGATCGATCCGTTCCAGTTGATTGAGCACCAAGGGCAGAAGGGGAGCAATGAGTGAGTGCGAGCCACGTGATGGAGATACGATGGCATATCCAAGGCGCTGACTTGCGTTTATCGTTCTTGACTGGTCCCATCGTTGTTGTAAACTTGAGCTGTGAGGCGGAGGGAAGGAGATGCAGCTGGGAATGATCGTGGCGCGAGCTGGGATGCCGTCTGCGAAAGATGATCGGCCCAGATCAGCCCCCTAATCGAGCTCGGATAATCGCCGCTGCAGTCTCTCCCTGGGCTACATTCTGATCCCCTGCGAATTTCCTCAGGTGGAATAGAACTAGCTAAACAAAGAAGTCTTGTCTTGCTGCCAAGCTTCCTTCGGGCTACAAGCACCCCAATAATTCCGACGAAGCGACCCGTTAGCGCACGGACCGCCTCGGCTATCGTCCTAGATCGTCCTACTATCGTCCTCGTCCGAGCTGGGTACGTCACCGTTCGATTCGTCGCGCTCTACTTTAGCCTTTCGTCCACACCCCTCACCTGCACCTGCTCCCTCAAACACGCCGACAACCCTGCCATCTATACCGATGTTGGCAAGTTTCATCGCCTCCCGCATCACAGGCACCTACAGCTTCCTCTTCGTACCCCTGCTCCTCCCGACTTCCTACGCCGCAGCGCTCCTACCTCCGCACCTCCAGCTCCTCCCTAACGACGAGAACGACGCCCCGTCCACCTCGACATTCAAGTCGTCTACTTTGAAGCGACCGTCGACTCCAGAGGGGTATGCGTGGGTCGTTGTGGTGGCTGGGGAACAGAAGGGTACGGGGATGAGTGTGCCTGGTGGGAGATCGACTTTCTTTGTGAGAATCGCTTGAACTCGACTCCCTAGGCTCAGCCGCGCGAACGTCAATTATCTATCACACGAGCGCTGAAATCCTCGCTCACGAACGCTATGGTAGGAAGCCAAACTTGAAATTCCTTACGTCAGCCTCGTCGATCCTCCCTGCTCAACTTCCACCCCACCGAAGTTGACGCACAAGCAAACCCTTCTCTTCTCCTCGTGGAGCATGGCCTTGTCCTCGGATAGGATCACCGGACTGAGATCGCATCATGCTGAATTCCAAGTGGAGGAGGAAGAACATGGGGTTATGGGAGACTATGAAGTCAAGGACTGGATGAGGTTGGAAAGAAGGGATGCGGAGGCAGAGGCGGAGGCGGCGGGAGGGATTGAGCTTCCCAAGTGGAGAGAGGATGTGGTCAGGGAGGAGATCACAGGGTGGTGGGTCGGTGAAAGGACGGGCGCGATTGCTACGAGAGTGAGTGAGGCCTCTCCTTCTTGTGATGAGCTATTTCTACTCTGTAACGCCTTGATTTACCCCTCCTGCAGTTCACGATGGATCCGAACCACCCTCCGACCCGACTCGAGCGGATCAAAGTCCGACTCAACCTCGCCCAATTTGCTCACCAATCGATTGAACAAGTCCAAGCACACTTCACAGCCAAGGAAGCAAACAAGATTGATGATCAAGGATGGTACGAAGTCGAAGCGAGTGGGTGGCAATGCGAGGAAAGGACGGCGATGAAGGCGACTCGGCTGGCCGAATTGTGAAGCTGCTCGGAGCTTTGTCGGCGAGTCCGCTCGTTTCCCTCTCGATAGCTAGTGTATGACTTGCCCAGGATCCACAAAAAAGTGCACTGAATTCAACAAGGTGGATTTGAGGACCCCTGTTCCGATCCGCCATCATATTGAGCTTTGACTACCCAAGACCAAGAAACGAGTGATCCAACACACGAAGAGAGATGAGCGAGAGACGAACCCCAAAAAGCGAAGCGAAAGCATACATCTTGGTGACGATGACCCCGGAAAGAAGGCTAAAGGTAATCTTCAATAAATAAAAAACGCGGGGAAAACAAGCCATCAAAGCCCTACTACCTCCCATCCACATCCAACAACGTATTCCGATTTTGATTCTGATCATTCGCCTTCAACCACGTTGCCCTCGCCTGGGGGTTCATCGAAGCCCAAGTCATTGCGTCCGGTCGGGGAGACGACGAGAAGGTTGAGGAAGAATGAACACCTGGAGGACTCCTGGGGCTGATCGACATTTTCGAATTGGTTGAACTGGAGAGGGAAGGAGGGACGACGGCGAGGATGGGAGGGACGGGTCGGTAGGACGAGGATCTGGTGGCTGATAAGGGGGTCATGGGGGGGCGTCCGGCGAGGGGAGAGCGGGGGATCGGGGATACGGGCAGAGTAACGTTCTGGCGCTCAAACACGTTCTGTAGGGTCATTGCAGGCGTTGAGTCAGCAATCCTGGCTCCTTCGCTTCCTGAGGGAAGGGACCAGCACTCACTCGTGCCTCAGTGATGGTCTTCATCCACATCGCCAACTCATCGTTCGTTTTGACGCTCACGAAATGGCAATATTCACCCTCATCCTCGAACTGCGCACGAGGCAGCTTGGACTTGAGAGCAAAGCAGAACGGTTTCGGGGCTTTTCTCGCTTGCGAGGTTGAGGACATGACGTAAAAGATTTCGGAGGTCGCGAGGCGGCAGAGGAGGGAGGAGTCTTTGGCTTTCTCGGACTTGGCGTGCGTGACGATGCCGTCACGGACTTCGACGTAGCGCTTTGTCCACTTGCGATTGGGGAGCTCGAGTTGAACGGTGTCCCCTCGAGGTACAAGCGGTTGAGGTCGGAGCTAATAAATAAGGAGGAAAACGGCTGGTCAGCTCCTGTCGACGCGACGCGATGCGCTGCGGATGGCACGACAGAACTCACACTAGGGGAAAGCAGAGGCCACAGCGTACTCCGTCTTACACACAAGTAGTTGGACTCGTGTTCCCACGTCTTGAGCACGTCCGCAACTAACTCGTACTCGCGGATAGGTCGCTCGAGACCCAATTGCTTGCACACCTCCCAAAGGGAGAACCCTCCTTCCATATCACTGCCCGAAGCGAGCAAGCCTTGGCAACGCGCCGTCTCGACGATCTCACCGCATGCCGTCATGGGGCCGCATTGGACGATGATGTGCATTTGCGTGTCGTCGCGGATGTAGATGCGATGTTCCTTGACGGGCCCGGCACTGGGACCGGCGCGGACGACGGTCGTAGAACCCGAAGCGGCATTCACCGATCGGGATAGAGGGGATGAAGGAGCAATCTTGCGCTCGCTATCCGCGAGGCGTGCCGTTGGGCGCAGGATGCTCGAAGAAGACGGCGACGATGAAGCTCGGCTACTCACGTCGCTGCCTCGACGAATCAACGGAGGTGTCGCGGTTTCGGCGCGGCTGACCGAAGGTGATCGAGCTCGGGCTTGAGACCCGACGACGGCCAAATTGGAGGAAACACCTTGTTCAGTGTCGATCGAGAGCGCGGGGCGAACGTGGTCCGAAGGTGCCAAAGCCGAGGAGTTTGATTCAACGGGCAAGACCAATCCTTCCTCATCTAGAGCAACTGTCGGGCTGGTAGGCGAGTCGAATTCCAAGGACGAATCTGCCACCAGAGGGTCAAGCGGAGTCGAGCATGGACGAACGATGCCAGCAGAATTGCGACGTTCGACGGCCTCGTCGGTCTGCGGGAGTAGGGAGTGGCCAATTGTCTCGGTCGCGACGACATCGTCCTGCGGTAAAGTAGGCGAGGTCCGTGCGGAGTTCTCCTCGAGTGGCTGCGGGTCGTCTCCTCGGACAGAAGCTTGAAGGGACTTTTGCGCCGAGAGTGCACCGGGCAAGTTGCCTAGGGGTTGGTCGTCCTCATCACTATCAGCGTCGAGCACCACGAGGGCGTTGTTCTCCGGCGGCTGTACGATGGCGGCACCGTCGTCGTAGGCCGGAGCGAGGACGATCTCCGGCGTCAGAGTGTTGCTCTTCCCAACCTTGGAGAATCGGAGAGGCGACGTCAACGATTCCATTTCGGTCTCCTCAACTGAAGGAGTCGAAGAGCGAGTTGCGGGAGCCGTAACCTGATCATCGAGTCCGTCCGATCTACCGTCGGCCGCCAAAGTAGACGCAGACGCCACGACGGGGAAGACATTGTTACTAGTGGCGAAAATTGACGAGGAGCGTGCGGGCGCTTTGACCATGTCGGCGCGCGAATTGGGCGACGTATCGAGGAACGCCTCGAGCGACAGCTTGTCCGAGTTGAGCGTCATGGTCGGGCTCGGAGTGGCATCTTCTCGCGCTTGGGTGAACTCGGCTGGGTTCGGGGTAGACGATCCGCTGTCGTCGGATAACTCGGCTTCTGTTGCGGTGGACACCTTCGAGTCCAGCGTAGCGGGAAGCATCGGTTCGACGTCGCTGAGCGCAGGTGATGACAGAGCAGGCGACGAGAGAGCCGTTGAGAACACATCAACGTCCTCAGACCTGCTCGACTCGGGTGCATTGAGCTGCGTAGGGCTGCGCGGCAGATCCTCGCTGAACCTTGTCATCGTCGGTGGGGCCGAAAGCGGCAGTCTGAGCGTGGGGACTGGGGGTACGTCCTCTTTGCGACCGAAGATCTGGGGTAGGTACATCGACAGACGCTTGTGGGAAGCCGAGTTACGGAGACCCTTGGGTACCTGCTCGACGCGGACGGGGGTCGAGACGGGCAAGGCCGGGACAGGCTTTTCGACCGGGTTGGGAGTGGGCAGGTTGTCCTTGGCGATCGGCGGCGGGGCAGTGTTGGTTGCAATCGCACCAGAGGAAGGCTCCAGCTCAAGGGCAATGCCGGCCGGAACAGGGGCGAGGACGGGGACGGGATCAGGCTCGACCTGCGCCTGAGTCGAAGCGACCTTGGAGAGCTTCGAGGTCGAAAACGACTTGCGCAGCAAGCGAACAATCGGTACCGATCCACTGCTGGTGCGTGTCTTGGCGGGAGCCAGATTCATCTCACTCTTCCTCCTGCGCATCAAGGAAAAGCCTCGGCGAGCGGGGACAGCCGTGACGGTTTCTTTCTCCTCGGCGATCAGCTCGACGGGAGGGGGAGCATCGGCCAGGCGAACAGCGCCGGCTGGCGTCAATGTAGACACCGACGCTTGCTTGGCGTGAGTTGGGACGGCGATAGTCGCAGGCTCAGGCTCAGTCGCATCGGAAACAACGTCTTCGTCCTTAAGCTCGATGGGCAAGGCAAGGCCGAGGTCCACCAGGGGTTCCTCGACGTCCATCGTCGGGAACGGAATGGGACCTGCGGCTGGCAGGTCCTTTTCGGGCTCGGACTTCTTGACCTCATTGCCGTAAGCGGAAGCAGGCGACGTCGGCATCGAAAAGTTGAACATCGTGTGGTCCGTCCTGGATAGCGAGCTCGTGAAATCTGGCGTCGAGCTGGCCGCAGTCGAGGCGTCATTGCTCGAGCGAGTGTAGGTCGACGAGTGATCACTGGGGAGCTCATCGCCGTCAAAGCTGTTGTCGCCCGAATTCGTTTCGAACGAGGCCTTGGACAGCGGAAGGGAGGTCGTTGGGGGTGGGTGAGGGGGTCCATTTGAATCGGCGTTGCGTGAATCGTACAATCCGAGACCTCTGACCTCTTCCCCATCTTCCGTCGTTTCGACAACGGGTAGTTTGCTGAAACGGTCCATCGCCAAGTCGGCCTTGGTCGCTTGGGCAGCGAGCTCATCCTCCTCGACAATAGTCGGCGTATCTGGCGCGGAGAGCGCCTCGATGGGTGGGATGGGGAACGACAAGAGGTTACTCGAGCGCCTGGTCGCGTCCGATACGGCCGAAGTGACCCGCCTGTGCAATTCTTCGTCGCTCGAAGAGGCTTCGTTGTCCGCGTAGGACGCCAGGTCCCGGAACGAGGGAAAGTCGGAGATGTCAAACTCGTCCGAATCGTTCGACTTGGACGAGTTGATGCTTGAGACGGACGCGCTCTTGACGAGAGAAGCAACAGATGCGAGCGTTTCGGATTGAGCGGGCCGCTGTGAGTTCGGCGCTCGCAGAATCAGCATGGGCCCGCATCAGGCAGACTGGGCGAGCCGAGCAAACTCACTACTACCGCCCCTTCGCTGTTTGGATTGGTGGCCATCAACTCAGCAAAGTTGTACGTCTTCCAATCGAGTCCCCTCGGGCCGAGCGAGACGCGGTTTAGCGGGAACTCATTTAACGACGACGGCTGCAAATTCCTCATGTCGAGCGTCGCACTGCCCTGCTCCTGTGCGCTGTCAGCGTCGTGTCCGCTTTCGTCACTGAGCGTTTCCTGGGCGTCCTGCTCGTGTCGAGCCAACTCTTCATCCAGATTCGACGGGGTCGCGAGCACGAAAGAAGCGCGAGTTGGGAACCCAATGCACTCAAGCGAGGCGAGCTGGTAGTCGAGCATGGCGAGACTATTGCGCAGGTCGCTGTCTAGCAAATGGGACGGCGCAGACAATGTTGGTTTCGCGGTCGTTTCTACGTCATCGGCCTCGTTGTCGCTATCCGAAGCATCGTCGGACGAATGAGCTTCGTCTGCAAAGACGGCGTGAGGCTTGCTCGAGGACGAGGACGAGGTTGGGGACGAGAAGGCGTAGGCGCCCGGCGAGGGGTTGGAATCGATCGAAACCCGGGGCACCATCGCTTGAGACGTCGCCAAACTCGACACGGCAAACAATTCAGTCGGCGAAGGGACCGAAGACACGTCCTGATACAAGCTGTCGTGCGATGTCGGCGACGTCGGCGAAGACCCGTTGCTATTGCTGTTGATCTGCTCGCGCAGCTGCGCCCTCGATCGCTTCGAGAAGAGCAGACTCAGCTTGCTCTTGCTCTTGCGCAGGGCCGTACCGGACGGAGGCAAGCCGCCTATTTTGGCTGAATCGTCATCGGAAAGTTGATCGACGGACGAGATACCACCCGTCTTGTCAATCCGCATGCTGTGGTAGGCGTGGACAGCATCGTCAGTCTGCGTTGCGATCTCCGGCGCGCGAAGACAAACAAGCCGCTGCAGCGGGGCTTCCGAACTCACGTGCTTGTCTCGGGCTTGGTGCGCGCGAAAGGAGGCGAAGGAGGATGAGAGGACAGCGAGAGGAGCTAGGTTTCAAAGGAGTGTGGTAGTGTAGAACGAGTGTAGTGTAGTTGGTCGAATCGGGGTGCGAATAGATGCAGTCCTAGAAGAGTACGGAACCCAACCTTATATCGTAGATCCGCCGTCGATGTCTGTAGCCTGTCCTGGCTAGAGAATGAGGGTCGTTTGTTTACTCGCATTTTTGGCGGGCGGGCTGCGCGCCGGGACGCGTCGCGCGACGGAGACTGCGTCAGCGCGAGCCTCCTCGAGCTTGCATCGAGCTCGCGTCGAATTCAAGTTGGAGCCCGGACTTTTCGTAGGCGACAGGTAAGGCTTACCGATATAGCGATATCTACATACCTTAGAGACCTTGGTACCTGCCAAGGTGAACTCACATCACAAGCAAAGTATCCACACACTTGGTAGGTACTACACAGTACCAGCGCTCTGCAAATCAGTAGACGAAGTTGACCTTGACGAGGACGACCTGCTGAATAATAATAATGGTCGAAACGCTCTAATGAAATCCTTCACATACCAGCTATGTTGTTTAGCGTTGACTACCTATGTGCACACTTGCAGGCTTCAATTTACGGAGGAGTTTTCTTCGGCATCGTTCTGGTGCTCATGCTCACCCTCAACCTCAAACACAAAATAGGACTCAGGTCGTAGCGAGCCGCACCTAAAAATATTGAGAGCTGAGAAAACGGCGGTCTGGGGAACACGAACTATTCGCACGAGCCGGTGACACGTCAGATATTTCGGTTTGACTGGCCTGAGCGAGCGTGAGGCCAAGCCCGCATTGAAGCCCCTGTCAATTGATCGGTGATCGGACGCAGACTTAAGTTCACACTGCACTTTCCCACCAAGCCAGGTGCGGAGAATATCATTCGGATCTCTTGTTTCGTATATCGCCTGACTCTACCCGAGTTTCGATTAGTGTAGAACTTCCATCACCCCTGCTCTTCACCTCTTGAAGTAGAATGGCGACTGGCTGAGCGACTGGATTCGGTGTCGTGACTCGTCAGCGCGTCAGCAGTCGGCAGCAGTCGGCACGCTCGAAAGGATTCAAAAGGTCTCAAACTGGCTCAAAAGGCTGGGCACCGGACTAGGCGAGACATGGGCTGGCGCATCTCGCTCTCCTTCCAACCCACCCCGTGTCCTCAGCTACAAACGTCACATCTGACTCCTTCGACTCCCTAGATTCGAGTAGCGTACTCGACCCTGCGGTCGTAGGACACATGGCGTCGTACCTGAGACTGCCCTTTGGTTCCTCAGCCTCGGGCTCATCAGCCGCCGGCTCAGGTTCGGCGTCGTCAGCCCATCGAGCGCGGACGGTCGCCACTCCCGACTTTGGCGCCTTTGATCTCGAACATGACGACGAAGATGGCAGCGATGAAGACGACGATGATAATCACGAAGGTGGACACATGCTCTCGACCTCACATCCAACGGCAACGCAAGCTGGATCGATTCGGCTCGGCGACGATACCGATGTGGACCCGCTGACGCAACACCAGCGACACCACATCGGTGCAGACCGCTCCACGACTGCCGCGATCGTGAACCACCATGCGGCTTCATCCTCACCCATACCAACCTCCAACATCACCCGCATCCCAGGAGCGTACGACTTTGAGCCGCAGCCGCACCACGGAGGAGGAGGGGTTGCTGCAGGTGCCCCGCTTTCGTCGCCGCCGAGACTGGGGCGCGTGGTCAGTCACTCCGGACCTGGGGCCACGGGCATGTCCGCCAACATCCCATCCGGCAACGATGCGAACAATCGAGACACGAGATCGCTACGAGATCGCTTCATGCCGTCGGCGCTGTATGCTCGCATCAACCGCTCCGATATGGACGACTCGCCCGAGCAAGACGGTCTCCTCTTTGATCAGGACGAGGACGATTCCGAGCATCGCACCTCGACCACCTCACCGACGGCATCGACCTACCCACCCTATCGAGTACCCGGCGTCGGCTCCCTTCATGTCCCACTGCCGGCGAGAGCGCCTCAATTCGGGGCACCGACCCCGTCGCCGGGGGCTGGCGGACGCATCTACGGAGGTGGGCAGGCGAATGATGGCGTGTTTGGCAATCTGAGCGCCAAGCCCGATGGGTACCCGCGGGGTAGTGATTATGTCGGTGGCGACGAGTCTGGAGGTGACAAGGATGAGATCCTGCCGGTGAGTTCAATGTTCAAAGTCCAAGGATCGACAGGTGTCGAGGCCCCGTGCTGAGCCCCTTGCTGCTTCGTGCTTCGGACAGTCCTACACGGCCGCTGCTCTCGATTCGACTCCGCCGTATTGGGAAACGACCGTCGTCACCCCAGGAGGTGTGCTTGGGCCGGACGACATTCATGTTGATGGACTGCCTGTCGGCAACCTCTTTGGGTTCATGTGGAATCTGCTCGTCTCGATGTCGTTCCAATTTGTCGGCTTTCTCCTGACCTACCTACTGCACACGACTCACGCCGCCAAACATGGCTCTCGTGCCGGTCTGGGTATCACGATGATGCAACTCGGCTTCTATCTCAAGCAACAGGCCGATCACCCGGAGCTTTTGATGATGCAGATCAACGGCTCTATGCCAAACCTGATGGACGTGCCGATGGACGATGGGGCGGGCACGAGATGGTCATGGTGGGGAGGTGTTTCGACCGACGCGATCGATGGTCTCAATGAAACGGTCGCTGCGACGGCGACGGCGACGGCGACTTCGGCTGCGATCGGCTCGATCCCGACGCAGATTGGCAATGGGATCAGTGGGGCGCTGAACGCGAGTGATCCGGACGGGTTTCCTTCTTTGACGGGCAACGTGAATGCCGAGGAGTTTGTGCGCATGTCGACGAATGCGAATGAGTGGATGGCGTTCATTATGGTCACCATCGGCGTGAGTGCAGCATCGTGATCGAAATGTGTGGGATGTTCTTGACCGACGGATTGCTTCTGCTCATCGTTTGCCAGGCCTTCTTGTTCGTCGGAGGATGTCTGAGCTACTGGCGAGCAGTGCGTTGGGCTCGAGCCATCTCACAGAATCGAGGCCCCGGGATGACCGAGGCCTGAGGGTTCAGGGATTGCGTCTGTCTTGGTGGGCGTCCGTTGCCCCATTTTCTGTGTTGTTACTATTGTAGTGTAGGAATTCGCTCTCTCTCCTCTTCGCATTTCCTTTCATTTGGGTTTCGTTAATCCGCGCAATCCGTCTCGTAACATAATACGGCGATGCGGTGCCCCGTTCATTTCCGCTCCCGCTCACCTGGGCCGTGGCTTCAAGAGGTCCGAGCACGGCTGTGGTGGCCGACGGCGCGGGAAAGTGCGCTGCGAATCAGGCACTCGCGAACTTGAACTCCTGCCGATCGGCTACCTTACCCGCAAGCATGGCCTCGCTATTCTCCCAAGTCACACGGCGGGCGATCTTGTCCCCCTCACTATTCTGCTCAGTCGGCCCCTCATCGCCCGTCAGTTCGAGCAGTCGTGGCTTCTCATCGACGAGCGCGACGCCCAAGCCCACCGGGGAGAAGGGTCCCAAGGGTCATACACAACAAATGTCCGACCTGCTCAACGAGGTCGATTTTGACGGGTCGATCCAAGGTGTGTACAGTGTGATGGTTGGGTCCTGAGAGGCGTTCTGGACGGTGTGCAGCGACTGATCGTTCACCTCCTCAATCCTTCTTTTCCAACAAACCACTGCGGTACACGCTCCCCCCGACCGACCTCGTGACCAGACCCTTCGAACCTGCTGAACCACCTGTCGAGCAAAGAACTCCGCGTGATCTCCCCCTCGCGTCTGAGCCCACGCTACCTCCTGATCCCTTACCTCCCGCAACCGGACCGTTCGCTCGCGTACCCTCTCGGACCTCCCAAATCCGAAGCGCTTCGTCTGGACCCTTTCGTGCGCCTCAACATCGACCCTTTGGCCAGTCCGATGAACCCTTATCTGAGGAGCGAGTATTGCACGAGTATGGGCAAGATCAAAGGGAGGGGCAAGACCGGTTTGCAGAGGAAGTCTCAGAGGAGGATGGGCAAGGCGGTGAGGAGGGCGAGGGTCAGTTGGGATTCGTTCGGGACCGTGGGACCGTTTCATGTGATGGTGGTGTATGTGCTGATCTCTGGGTTCGTTTCTCGGTGCTCGTCGACAGTCTATGGGTATCATCCCGACGTTCGGCATCAGTTTGCCCGCCGATGGAAGCTATCGGGTGCAGTGAGGGATGGATCGAGAAAAGAGGATGCAATACAGTTTCAGGTTATGTTTAGGATCGTATCAATGCTAGGGAGATGCCCCCAACGACTGTGATTCAGAGCAAGATGAGCAACTTTGATCATGTCGGCAGGTGAAATTTGCTGGGGTCAAAACAAGAATGACGAGGACCGAGGACTAAACTGTGAAAGAACGAAGGTCTGACTTTAGAAGAGTGTGGAAAGTATCCACCGGGAATGGGACCTGGGAGGCGAAGACTTTATTTGTTGGAAGCAAGGTTTCCGGAGGTAGCCAAGACAGGACCCGGGAAAGCTCAGCCCAATGTGCGTCCGATAGATTTGTACATTTCGGGCTCATTTATGCCATGTGTATGCTACATGACGTAATTTTTTGATGGTAGAGTAACTTTTTCAACACAGCCCGATACTTTGGTCTTACACCGGAATACATACACCCCTTGGATAGGGATATTCGGTGTACAAATCGGCCTAAAAGCGGGGTTTTTCGAGACGCACCTTCGGCTGAGCTTTCCCGGGTCCTGCCAAGACCGCTTGAGAAGGCTCGGTCCGAACTCGCGCGTGCCGCTGTGGCCGTCGTCTGTCTTGCCCCAGCCCCTTTCCTGCCCTCAACTGGTCAAAACTCAAAGCCCTAGCCGACCATGTCGGCCTGGTTGGCCCGACTGGCTGTGGGCTCATCGTCGAGCTCGTCCTCGCGTCGAGTCAGTCAGTCCGGTCCAACGGCGACCTCAACATCGGCGCCGGCAGCTGGCTCGTCGTCGCGTTTGGGCGGTGGGGCCGCTGCTGCTGGCACTGGCACTGGCACTGGCACTGGCACTGGCAACGGCACTGGCAACGGCACCCGTGCGACCGAGGAACAAGCGTTGGCTTTGTTCGTTCGTACGTGGGAGTCGATCAAGGTCAGTAATACCCTACCCGGCTCATGCTGGTATAGTGGTGCGGACGTCATGGCCCGCGTGTCTTGCGCTCCTCTCCCCCCTCTGACACGTGACCGGCCGCTGACCCGACCTCCGGACCGATGCACAGGCCTCCCTCGGCCTACCGCCGGCCCAGCGTGCGTCCACGCTCTGCAATGACCTCATCTACGCCCTTGACCACCTCCTCCACCTCCTCAAATCCGAACAAACGCTCCTCCAATCGTCAACGCGCACGGGCGATCCCCCCGCGCTGGGCCCATGCCTCGAACACCTGTTGAAGCATGCGATCCTCGCTTCCCTCGTCAAGCTCGTCCTGGATGGGCAACAGCCTCGTGTGGTTAGGACTCGATTCATCGAATGGGTCAACAGGGTAATCCATCAGCTGGAGGAAGGGTTCCTCATCCATGGCGCAGTCAACAAGCCGCTGTGAGTCGGGCCTCGGCTATCGTTGGGCCTCGTTCCCGGCCCGGGAAGGAAACCTCCTCGCTGACACGGCAGGGCCCATGCAGACTCAAGCTACTACGGACTTGCGTCGACTCGGATGGAGGACTGCATCGCGATGAAGAGCTCGCGGTCGTGCAAGTCATGGCTAGCATTTGCGAGAGGATACGGGCGGTAGGTCATTCGCTCCGCTTTCAGCGCCCCGCTGGCCACGCTGACGAGTCGGAGCGGTTTGCTACAGTATCCACAACTGCTGGCCATCTTTCTTCGTGAAAAGGTACCGTCCAACATCCGCCGAGGCTCGGCATCCCACCAATATCCCCGCTCGCTCGCCTCCATCACCGTCACCGCCGAAGATTCTTCCTCCCCTCGGCCCGTTTCGCCCACCCCCTCCACCTCAACCCTCGGTTCCGTCACCTCGCCATCCCTGTCCCAAGTCTCGTCCTCGGGACTGCGTACGACAAGAGAGCACGACTTTCTCCTCTTTGCCTACCTGCTCCGATTCGTGCATCGTGAAGGCCAACTCGGCGATCAAGCTCGGCTCGGTTTGCTCCAACTGGTCGAAGTCGCGATCGAACCGCTCTCGACCATGCATGGCAACTCGGGTATTCGTCGCTCCGATACTATGGGGACGCCGACGCCCGAGCTGTACGCCTCATCGTCTTCGAAGCAACCCTGGTCGACGCCGATTTCGATGTCCGCTATCGAGGCTCGGCTCGCTTTTGCCGAATTTTTACTCGACTCTGACTTCGCTGATGTTTTGGGTGCCGGTTTGGGAGCGTTGTACGGTCTTCTTCCGAGCAAGCTTATTGTTCGTTCGAGGGAAACGACCGGACCAAGCACTGCCTCAGTCGAAGCTATGAGTTCGGGCGGCGTGGGTGGTGGTGGTGGCGTTCTTGGAGGTATGGGTTCATTGATAGAGGATGAAGACGAGGAAGCCTTGCAGCGACGGAGAGAAGAAGAGGACGCGAGATTACTGAGTCTCGGTTTCGGTCTGACGGGGACGGACGACTTTCGACAAAACTTTGATGGGTTCCTCAAACCTTTCGAGTTCATCCAAGAAGTCGTGCAAAAAGTCGACGCTGCGATACAGGCGACCAAACTCACCCACCTCCATGACGAAGAGCTGGACGATCCGATGGCGAGGCAACACCGACTCGTCATTTCGGCGCTTCCTTCGACGATCTTGTCTTCGCTTAGGACGTCGTTCCTCCAGAGCGTGCTGTACCCTTCCATTCTCGAATGCGACGAGACGGATGGCTCGGCGGTGGCCGTCATGAGTTACCTCGACGCACTGCTGGACGTGATCGACGAAGGCACATCATTGGAAGCGTGTTTGCTCGGTTTCCTTATGGGAGAAGAGGACGACGTTGACGCCAAAGTCCGCCAAGAGCGTCGAAGAGGGCTCGAGATTGATTCCCCCCTTCTGCAAGGGTCACCAATGCCGCATACCCCGGCCGATGCGTCGTCCAACTTTCTTTCGCCGAATCGAATCTCGACCAAAATGTCCTTGCAGAGGGTCAAGAGACGCAAGTCGAACGCTTTGATTCTGCTCGAGAAGAGTACGGAGAAGGGTTCGGCGGCACACGCTTCCTACTTTACTTCGTACGGCCGCTTCACGCTCAAGGACATGTTGGTCGCCAATTTGCATTCGACGAGTCAACCGACTTCGACTGCGGCGTTGAAGTTGTTGCAAACGATGTTGAAACGACATGATCGGTGGAGTATTGGTTTGTTGGATGTCGTGCTGGACGATGCGGCGACGAGCTTCCCTGTCGTTGTGCGACGGGAGGCTCAAGAAGAGGTCGACCTCGAGGACGACGAGTTGGACGTCGAGGAGTTTGTGTATCCTACGATGGATGACTCTTCATTGACGTTTGGCGCACCACGAACACTCGGTCGACCGATGGCTCGGATGCTACTTGGGCCGCCCCTTCCTCCGACGCCTTCGATCCAATCGCACACCGACATCGTCGATACGCTTCTCGGTCTCGTAGGCTCGATTGATCCTGCCTATCGCAGTGCACGTGCCGTCGGAGGAGGGTCAGAGATGATCAGCGCGGGCTATGCGAACTATCTCCGAGATGCGGAAGCAGCCCTTGCAGGCGACCTGGCGTTCAAGCGAGGTTTGTCAGCCCGTAACGAGGCAGAGCACGCACCGCCCGTGAAGACCTCGCCGATACGAACGCGTTTAACGGGCCTATTCGGAACCGTACAGTCGGGAGCCTCGTCCCTTACCCCCCGGGATTTTGCTCGAACATCAACAATGTACCGCCATCGCATCGACCCGGACTCGTCGGCCGTCGTCGCGCTCGTCCTCGATTCGCTCACCCACTTTTTCTCCCATTCACCGGATTTGAACCTCGCTTTGACGGGGGTCATTAGCTCGCTGGCGATTTGTCCTTATCGGTCGCTTGATCGATGGCTTTTACCTCCGATCCCGAGCGTCAATACCGATTCGAATTTTACAGGGTTTGCGAGGAGGGGAGGGCCGACATCCTCGGGAGAAGAGGACACCCTCAGCGACGATGGGGACGATCGAAGTGTGGACTTTGAGATGGGTTCCCCTTCTCGTTCGCGGATTTCAGATCCTTCGCATTCGGTCGAAGCGGATCTCAACCCCTTCATCGCCACCATGACCGCCAACCTCTCTTCGATCCGAAGTCACCTGAACGAATCCGATAGCGTACTCGCCATCGTCGATGCACTAGTCCGTTCAGTCCGACACTATCGAGCGACGATCCCGAATTTCGATGCGTGTCTCGCCGAACGAAGGAACGTTTTGTTTTTTGTGGAGAATCTGGCGGATGCTTTGGCGTTGGACGATCCGGAGGAAGTAGGGGTCAAGATGCAGCAGCAACCTTTCGTGCCTGTTCCTACACCGATAGTGGTCAAGCCGACGATGGGGAGGACCAGCTCATTCATGGAAGCCTTGGGGTTCTCTACACCTTCTAAACCCAAATCAACTCGATCTGAACAGCTTCGAGCTCAAGAAACCTCATCCACGCCCCCTACGCAGCGAGAGGAGTTGAGCTCGACACCCTCGCGTAACGGTAGTACGACGACGGCGACGACGACGACGGGGCAGGAGACGGCTTCAAGTCCTTTCGTTGCACATTATCGACAAACGGGATCGATTACCGTTGAACCTATCATAGTTTCGACACCGAGGACCAAAAGGGTCACTTCGACCTCCCCCATCTTGACGAGAAGTTCGACGAGGTTCGCTTCTTCGACTGACGAAGACGAGGATGAATCTGGCCTAGAAGGGGACGACGACCCTTCCTCTATCGACGTCTCACCGACCAAACGCATTTCCCCTCTCCCTCGATCCCCTTCCACAAGTACGGGCAAGAACGACGACACCCCCTCCAGTACATTCTCCACCACCACCAACACAGCACCAGCACCCCGACCGGTCCCGAACGTCTCCCTTTCGACGATCTTGGACAACGTCATCGTGCTGGAGGAGTTCATCAAGGAGTTGGCCGGGGTGGTCGGTGTGAGGAGGAGTTTGGGCGTCGATGGCGCGACGTTCTTGACTTAAGACTTGATCGTTGAGCTTTCTTCCGTTGTTGCAGATGGATTCAGTTTGTAGTTTTCCTCCCTTGCAACCTTCGCATTCAGCTTTTTTATCGCCCAAGTGATATTAGAGTATCCGGAAAGGTGTATATATTACAGAAATATTCAGTCTCCAAAGTATAGATGCAAGAGGGCGGGAAAGGGGGATGAACAGGGGGACACTGCGAATTGCTTGGTGATTGATAACAGAGTGATCTATAAAAAGGGGTCAACTGGTGAAAGAAAAGACGACTCTTACCGCGTGAAAGGATCCTCTTGGTAACATCCTTCCTTACTGCGCCTTCCCACCTCCGACCTTCTTCGCTGCCTTCTCGGCCTTCTGATTCGACCTAAAAGCATGATACTTCTTATCCGTTCCAAAGAGCGTATCCATCCACCTGAACGAGGTCGAATAACAATCCGCAAACGATTGATGATGATAATCATGGTGATCGGCGCCGGCCCAGAAGGGGAGGATCTTGTTGAGCGACCAAGGAAAGTCGTATCCGGAGTGCGCGTCGATGGCTTGGAATAGACGGAGCGTGATCCAGATGTACATGGTGATGAGATGCATGTTGCCGCCAGACAGCCAGCACCAGAGGAGAGGGGAACCGACGGTACCGAGACCCAAGACTATGACCTGTGATTGGGGGATTGACATACTCAGTTGGTCTGTTCGTCCATTCGCGATCTGAAATCTCGGACCCACCTCGATGGGGTGTGCGTATTCAGCGGCGAGACCGAACGGGGCCGAGAACTCGTGGTGAATCTGCATGGAATGGAAACCCTGGTCTATCAGCTGGAGTTCCTTATGCTAGAGACCACCTCCGTGCCATGCGCACCTTGTGGATGTGCTTGTAGAGTCGCTTGTGGTGCAGGAGACGGTGAGCAAAGTAGTGCCATGCGTCCTCCATGACGAAGAAGAGGGCGAGCTGCGGCGGGATCCATACAAAAGGGTTAGCTACGGCAGGTAAGGAACCAACGCCAAGAAGGACTTGCTTGGTAGAGGATTGTGGCAATCTTGGGGAAGGGGAGTTCATGTGTCTTCATTCCGACGCTGGTGGCCATGGCTGCAGGTGCGAACAAAAGCATCAGCCAGGTGATCTGGTTCAATGAGTATTTGACGTCCGAGCTCACGATGGAAGAGGTAGATCTGTGCGAGGCAGAGCAGAATCAGTTTGCTGCGACGAAGGGGTAGAACACGTGACGAGCCGAATGTGGCGAACGAACCTGAGGCAATTCGACGGAGAAGTGTGTCTTGAGGACCGACTTTGTGCATTCCCATTGTTGCCTGGCTGTCGGCATCTTGGTCTTGGAGGGACCAAAACGCGTCGATGCAGTGAGCACTTGGCCGTGGACGCGATCCGCAGGCGACGAGAGTATAAGGGGGTGTGCACTAACCTCTTGGAGTTTGTATTGGTCAAAGTACCGGATCTGACCGATGATGACCCATGGGATGCAGCGCCCAAAGTAGACGACCTGCGTAGAGTACAACGGAGGGGAAGATCGCGTCCGGCGAGAGGAATGGTTGGGTCAGCGCGATGCCGAGCTGTGTGGGTTAGTGGCAAAACACGGCCCAAACGAGGTCCGAGCGCGCGCGCTTAGTTCGGCTGCGATGCAAGAGTACGCCGAGACTTACCTCGTGCATCAAGAAGGCCATGATACCTGCAGTCGAAGCGACGTCGGAGAGATGATGATCAGTATTGTGTTACCCCGGAAACCGAGTCGCAGCTCGCATCGCGGTCGCAGCGGCTCGTCGGGGGTCGAGCATTCCCCCGGATTTCGCCACGAAACATCGCCTACTGTCGGCGTTAGTGCGAGCGCAAGACAAGACGCCCCAACTGACCCGTAGCAATGATAGGATTCCCCCAGTAGAGGTACCAATCCATCCACAGCTTCTCGACGATGTTCAAGCTCGCGACATCGACGCCGGGATAGAGATCGTACGACACGGGCTTCGTCGCCGCGACCGCGAGATCGAACAGGCTGTGGCCGGCCTGCATCGAGTTGTTGTACAACTGCGTGTAGACAGATGTGACGACCGACATGATGTAACGCGATGGGGTGGACGCGCGAAAGGGGGTGGTCGCAAGGATGCAGAGAGGCGCCCAAATGGGCTGTGGGTGTGCACCTGCCGTAGTGGCGCTTGGGGCAAGTTCTGGCAAGCTCTCCCGAACATCGCAGGCCCGCGCTCGGTTTCGCCCGAGGTAAATCGCGACGGCTGTTCCGCTCGACGCGCGCATCGCGCCACGAACCTCTGACTCGAGCTCGCCGCGGCACGTGCAAAAATAAAAGCTGCAGCGAACACTTCCAATAAAAACTCGGTCCGTCGAAATCAGTGCCTAGTACTTTGACCTGGGTCATGTTCTTTCCTCTCTTGTGCAGTCTTGAACTTATTAGCATTTCAGAAGCCGCATCATTGCTCGGTCCATATCGCCGAGGGCCGAGTCATTGATTGATTAGTCATCATTGACTTTGGGCCTCGCCCCTGACAAGGCCCTGATCAGCGACGCCGAGTCGATCACGGGAACTTCGAGCTAGGCTGACGACCGACCCAAGCTCAGTCCTCTCGAGCGGACGGAACCCACGTGAATGCTTTATGGTTTAGGATCACGTCATACACTCGATACACTTAAAAATGCATAGCACAGCATACCCACCCACTTGACCCTCGTAAAAAGCATCGACGATTCCCCGACCTACCGGTCGAACATCGCCACTTCTCTCACCCACTCGAAACCGACAAACCATCAACCGATCTCGAAACGATACTTGGACAGTAGATGAGGTACCGCAGCCAACAAGGGACCGTATCTGAGAGCGCATTGATAGATTCACTGCAGGTCAGTGTCAAGTAGAAACGGACTCCCGATCGAGGCAGGGACCGACCTGACAGCATTGTCGTACAATTCCAGCAAAGGAATCGCGATGAGCTTCATGTTGCTGGGGACTGTAAATACTTCTGTGCTTGGACGGGACACGCAGAGTCATTGTGATTCAGTACTTGAGCAGCTAAAGGCTCAAAGCTGTGAAGACTGACTGTGCTCAGGCAGCTGGACGAGGTACATGCTCTTGACCTCTTTGGGTTGCGCGATGTGACTGGAAGGATAAAGAGGGTCAGGACACGACAGATGTATCCTGGTGTTGAGGTGAGACGACTTGCGCAGGAACGTAAGGGTACTGCGATCCAGAAGTCGAAAGACCATCAGAACAGGAGTCAGCTATCTGAAAGGCGCCAAATTCGTCTTAACTCGCCCAGGTCCAATCGCTCACCATGAACTGTTCATAGTTCGGTCTCCACCACTGAGCTAGGAGATCGTGGACCTCCCAGCCCGTCACTTGCTTCTTCTCCATCGAAGGATCAGACTGCGCATCGTCTCGAGCTTTGGGACCGAGGCGCATGTCGAGCCTGAGGCCGAGACCATCCTTGTTGGGTTCGTTGGGCTTGAGGTAATCACCAGGGCTGAAGAATGAAGAACAAAACGTGATTTGAGCTGTGCTCTTTGACGTGGACCGAAGCTAAGAAAACGCGACTGACAGCTTGAAGTAGGCGTTGGCGACTTGGAGGAGCAAGACGTGTGGGTGGCCTGTGCACGTCACGCCAAGATTCAGTCGACTCTAGTAGTCGCGTGCATGAGATAGTAAGAGATGAAAATCGGGGTGCTGACTCACCGTGTTCGTGAACGAGCAACACGCCTTCGACCTGTAACAAAGCCCACCTTTCGCACCAAGTCAGTCTAAATTCTACTCCCCGGATGAATTCGCGCATGACACGTGAAGGCAGCTCCCACTGACCGTTTGTCGAATACCATACTGCTCAAAATCATTCTGACTTCCACGCCCCAAACGCAACCCCCAAGTGTAGCTTCAAAGTCAGCTCAACGTTCGCCGTTACCGGCGGGGAGATGACGTCCGAATTTGCAAGCCGAGCTCACAGTCGTTGCAGCCGCGCCGAGACGGACGGGTCTTCTTCGTACTGCGGGTCCTTGGTGTTGAACACATAATCTAGAGGGTATACCCAGCAAGCAACACCGACGTAACGCTCAGTCCATCCACCGTCACGGAGCGCCGCCAGAGTTCTACGAAGCCACTTTCTTCTACGGGACCCGGTTCAAGTCCACGAAACACTCTGGAGCGTCGCACCGGCGGGACTCACTACTGAGAGGATAACTGATCTCTCGCGTCATCCCAGTTTACGTCAGCAAGAGCTCGTTCATTTCGGTGGTGAGTGTACCATCTGCGTACAGAACGAGTGGGTCGGACATGATGGAAGTTGATGTAGTTGGCAAGAGTGCAAAGGCGGAGAGTTGAATCGCGAAGGCCGATGCGGTTTCAGCGCGAAAAGGAGATCCGAGCGTTCGAACTTTATTTAAGCTTCCGATCGCCGATCGCTCGGTCTTTTCGATGCACCCCCGTCGCGCGGGAAGGCGTGCAACCAATCATTACAACCAACACGAAGAAAAACAATTGCAGTCTAACCTCAACCTCAACCTATCAGCACACCTGCCAAATCATCCCCTTCACGTCCCTAATCATCTCCTCAAGTTTCTCCACCTCGGCAGCCGTAACGAAATGTCCCATGCCAGGAAACAACCTCAACTCGACCTTGCCCCCTCTTGCCTTCAGACCCTCTACATCCTTCTCCACCCGACTGGGCCTATAATACCTATCTTCATCCCCCCATCCGATGTAAATCGGCATCAAAGGATCCATTTCCGTCCCCGGGAAATCTTCAGGCGCACCAATGATACTCCCCGACAAAGCCAGAACACCACCCAGCGGTTTATCAGGATGTGAAAGGGCGTAGATCAAAGCTAGGGAAGCGCCCTGGGAGAACCCGGCGAGGATGACGCGGTTCGAAGGTACGGAGAGGGAGGTGATCGTGCGGTCGATGAGGCATAGCGCGGAGGTGAGGTAGGGTTCTTGTGATATCGGGGGTTGGTCCCAGTGGTTCGGGTACCTGTTTGGATACACGAGAAATGATATAAGCTGTCAGTCAATTCTGGAAAGGTCGCGACACCACCCTGCTGAGGCATTTCAACCCTTGAGCCAGGGCCCCACTTCCGGCCCCGCCCCGTCAGCTCCACCCCGACATCAACTTCCATACCACCTCAGCAAGTACCTACCAAATCTCATCCTGCGCCCTTAAAAACACCCCCTCCACGCTTCCCGCCATCTCCTCATTCAGCTTATCGAACGTAGGCCTAAACACGGGCAAGTCCTCTTCCGGTGATCCACCTCGACCGTGCAAGTAGATGACCACACATCTGGGGGACGAGGATGACGATGAGTTTGGGCTCGTGTAGAGCAAGGGTTTGGTGTTGTCATGAGGTCCTGGTGAGTCAGATCGAGGGAGGTCAAGGCGTGAGGTCATTGCAGTGGGGACGTTCCCAGCTTGAACGGACGGGGGGAGGACGGGAATGTGGGGTCCGCCTCGCGTGATGCGTGATGGACCACCTCATGCGTTTCGCTGATCCCTGCGGCTCTCGGCCAAAACTCGATTGGCTTTGAGAAAGGTTTAGCATTTACGTTCGAGCGCAAATCTGAGAAAAAACCAAGACTACAGCTAGGGGAGGAGAATAGCCGAAACTCGTTGACAACGTAGAGATGGAGGAACCACTAGATAGGTTGGAGCGCGTTTGGGTGTGAGGGAGGAGGAGAGGAAGAGAGGAGAGAAAGGATCTTTATAAAGGAGGGGAGACGAGTCGATTCAGGTGTGACGACAAAAGTGCATGACAAGATGAGACGACGTGAAAGGTGGGTTCGAGAGGAGGAGGGGAGGGGGAGAGAGAGAGGTTCAGGACCAAAAGTCGTCATAGCATAGTAGATTGGGGGTGGTTGCTAAAGGTGGGAAGATCTCCGTTTGTAGGTTGAAGGGGTTGCGAGAGAAAGATGTCAACGAGCTTGGTTTACGACTCGGCGGCGGGCTCGGCGGCCGGGGCAGGGGCGGCAGCGGCAGGGGCGGCCTCAGCAGCCTTCTCGGGTTCTTGAGCATCGTTGAGGTCCGAGGTCCACAGGGTCAAGTTGTCGCGCAGGAGTTGCATGATGAGCGTCGAGTCCTTGTACGACTCCTCGGACAAGGTGTCGAGCTCGGCGATCGCGTCGTCGAACGCGAGTTTGGCGAGCTGGCACGCGCGCTCGGGCGAGTTGAGGATCTCGTAGTAGAAGACGGAGAAGTTCAACGCCAGGCCGAGGCGAATGGGGTGCGTTGGCGCCAGCTCGGCGGATGCGATCTCGCTCGCGGCCTTGTACGAGTCGTGCGCGGCCTCGGATGCCTTTTGGCGCTCATCACCGTTGGCGAACTCGGCGAGGTAGCGGTGGTAGTCACCCTTCATTTTGTGGTAGAAGACCTGGTGGAGCGAAGATGAGATAGGGAGGTTAGCTTCATTTCGTCTCCTCAGCGTTTCGCCGGATAGTGACCGACCTTGGACTCGCCGGCCTGAGCCGAGGGGATGAGGTGGTCGTCGAGAACCTTGAGGATATCGTTGCAGACTACACGTAGAGCAAGAGGGGTGTCAGCAAAGTGTTGGCAGATCCCGATGCCACTAGCTGAACCGAGCGCACCATCCGACAGCTCGCCCTCGACCTTTTGGCGGTAGGCCTTGATCTTGGCGACCTGCGACTCGTTGCCCTTGGACTCTTCCTTTTGCTCGATCGACGAGATAATTCGCCACGATGCACGTCGGGCACCAATGACCTGTGAGCGGAAGGAGAGGTAGGGAAAAGGATTCCATTCCGACCCGGGATGGTTAGGACTCCGCTGCAAGTCACATGCGCGGTGTGTGGGATGACGCTGAGGCGCGCGCCTACTCACGTTCTTGTAGGAAACCGACAAAAGGTTGCGCTCCTCGATGCTGAGCTCTACGCCGAGCTGCGGACGTGAATGACAGGACGGGGTGAGATGGGGTGGGGCAGCGTCGATTGAGATGCGCGTCGGGTGGGGCGGGAGCGAATGAATGCAGCCACGGAATGCATAGAATCAGTCACAGTCACACAGGGGGAGACACACTGAGGGGGGCCGACATACCTTGGCAACATCCTTCATGCTGATGGGCGCGGAATGCATCGTGTGGCACGTCGAGAAAAGTGAGGTGTGATAAGAATCGACCGGATCGCGCAAGGGGGAAAGGGTTGTCGGTTAGTGATCGGGCCTTCCGCGCTCTGCTGCGCTCGTATGGGCACGACTGACTAGGTGACCATCTCATCGTATCGTTCACTCTGTGATCAGAAGTCGAAGTGGGCGGGGTCAGCGCGAGGAGAGCGGATTGAAAGCCTAGCACGCAGCACCCGAGGCCACACCACACTGAGACATTCCGATGCTGGCGTCACAGAGGCAGCACGAGGCAGGGCACAGCAGCAGCTTCCACCGCACCAGCCCTGCTCGTATGATACGATCATTCCTTCCAATAAGAGACAGTGCAGCGAACCTGGACCTTCGCTCGGCCACGATGGCGTCGGCCTGGGCGGCCGGTCTCGGGGTGGGTGATCGCCCCAACATGCCCTGCCGCTGCTGGCCACGGCCCATTCCCAGCCCAAGCACCGGCGCTGAGCTGAGTCAACTGACCTGCTCGGCGATGCGACCCATGTAGGTCAAGTGTGCTCGTTGGTCCGACATGGTGTGTATATAAGCGTCGAGAGAAGGGGGCGAGGTTGAGATCGAAGAGGATGGATGATGCGGCTGAGGTCGAAGTGGAACCAGAGGTACGCCGGTCCAAAGCGGCTCGGTGCGCCTGGGTGCGCCTGGGTGCGCTGAGACTCGCCTGAGTGCGCCTGCGTCAACAGGCGCGTCGACTGTATCAGCAACGGCACAAGACGGCGCACGCACTTGGGCATTGCGCGCCTGAGAGCACACGATTTGGCCGGCGGGGCTCCTTGGGCTCAGACTTCCACTTGTTCCCAAATAGCACATGAAATCTGGCTCCCTGCATGGCTCGAGTCGTGTTCATAACTTCAAAATATTCATTGAACCCAAGAGACACACATCCAACGGAACAAAAAACTAGAAACTGCATGACTCCCAAGACGAGTTGATTCTCAGCTGAGGGACGGCTTTTTTCGAACATCCCCCTCTATTGAAGAGCGGCGGTGAGCGCTTGGTCAAAGTCGGCGATGATGTCGCTGTAGAGGAGACAAAACAGGCACGAGGTGAGCTCAGTGAATGCGGCCTCGTGGCCTCGACGAACTCGACTTACTCGATGTGCTCGATACCGACCGACACTCGGATCAGGTCGGGGCTCACACCGGAGTTGACCTGAGCAGAATATGATCGGCATTGGGTCAGCCACTATCGTGATGAAAATGCGTTGAAAAGACTGCTTACCTGCTCTTCGGCGGTCAATTGGGCATGGGTCGTGCTGTGAAGCAAAGTCGCACGACCGAGTCAGTCCTCGCGTCCGTGCAAGCCACGCTCCAAAGGATCCACCAGCTCACCTAGCAGGGTGAATGACCAACGTCTTGGCATCACCCACGTTGGCCAGGTTGCTCGCCAACTTGAGCTTGTCCACAACTCGACTACCCGTCTCGGCCTCCTGCGCACCTTTGACGCCGAAACTGAGCACCGAGCCGAAGTGGTCCTTGCGCAGCAACCTCTTGGCGACCTCGTGCGAAGGGTGGTTCACCAACCCGGGGTACGAGACCCACGCGATATCCTTGTGTTGTTCAAGATGACGAGCTAGGACGAGGGCGTTCTGGCAATGTCGTTCGGCTCGGAGGGGCAAGGTCTCGATACCTTGGAGGAGCAAGAAGGCCGAGTGGGGGGAGAGGCAAGCACCGAGGTCGCGCAGGACTTCGACGCGCACGCGGATCGCGTAAGCGATGTTGCCGAACGTCTCGGAGAACTTGAGGCCATGGTAGCCTGGCGACGGTTCGGTGAAGCTGGGGAACCGACCCGAGGCGGCCCAATCGAACTTGCCCGAGTCGATGATAACACCGCCGATCGTAGTACCTAGGTGGGGGGTTGGTGAGGATGTGAATTAACGGGCACAAGAGGAAACCTGAGCACCAAGGAAGAATTAAGACCCACCATGACCACCAATCCACTTGGTCGCACTCTCGACCACGACGTCAGCACCGTGGTCGATAGGTCGTGCTACCCATCCACCCTGCCCGAACGTGTTGTCGACGATCAAGGGGAGCTTGTGCTTGTGCGCGATCTCGGCGAATTTAGGAATGTCCGGTACGGAGTACTGAGGGTTCGCGATCGACTCGATGTAGATCGCCTTGGTCTTGTCGTCGATCGCAGCTTCGAACTCGGCGGCGTTGTCACCCTTGACGAACCTGACCTCGATGCCGAGGCGCTTGAACAGGACCTTGAACTGGTTGTAGGTTCCGCCGTACAAGTAGCTGGAAGCGATGAAGTTGTCTGCGCAGAGGGTTTTCCCGATCAGACTCATGAAATTGAAGAAAACCTGTCCCATATACCAGGTTCTGTGGCCCGGGATTGCGATCACAGAGAGCATCACTCACCACCAGCCTCGGCCAAAGCAATGATCGCCATCGTCTGTGCGGCCTGCCCGGACGAAGCCGCTACAGCCGCGACACCACCTTCCAAAGCGGCGATACGTTGCTCAAACACATCCACGGTCGGGTTACCGATACGCGAGTAGATGTCTGGTTTCGCGGGCAGATGGGAAAACTCGTCAGTCTGCCGATGGACGGAAAATCGGAGTGGCCGGCGTCGGCCGAGCTCGCTGACTCCGTGGTCATATCCGGATCTCCTGAAGACGACTATTCCCATTTCACCCAGTGCAATATTGACCACAGCAACTCCTTTGCAGACAAGGCACGTGAAACTCACTTCCGAACGCCTTGAGACCGAAAAGGTTGGACGCATGTTGACTATCGTTGAAGACGAACGACGTAGTCTGATAGATGGGCACGGCGCGAGCATTCGTCGCAGCGTCCGGGGTATGACCCGCGTGCAAGGCTTGGGTTTCGTAGCGGTAAGCTGTGGGGAGGGTGGTAGGTGATGATGTCAGCTTTGGTTGTTTTCGGTTCGCTGAGATGAAGTGTGATGGGCTGTGAGGTGGTGCTCCGTTGTGCACCAGGAGCCTCAGCGCCGCTTGCGTGATCGACGACGGCCACCGACCCCCACAATCCCCAAGCACGGAGAGCACGAGCCAAGTAGAGCGCGAGGCACCAAACCGTGGCGAGGCGCAGTTGCGCTACAGGGAACGAGTATGAGACAGGGCACTTACCAGGGGCCGCCATTTTGATGGGTTAGAGTGCTGAGGTGGTGGAATGCAAGAAGGGACTGGGGAAGGGGGGGGGGGAGGAGGGGAAGGGATGTGCGAAACGAATGGCTCGATCAATTGGAGTCAGTTCAGTCGATGGCGACATCGCGATGCCTTGGGCCCGGCGGCAGGATAGGCACGGCAGGGCGGGTAGAACGCCGAGGGCGAAGCAGCTCCGAGCCATCAGCTCAGGTGCACCATGCCACGTTTGAGTTGGAAGAAGTACATCTTCAGTCGATATTTCATTTCACTTCACAACGTCGAGATTTTACGGTTGGGGAAGCAGCAGCTAAGGGAGAAAGGAAGTCAGAAGAAGTAGTAGAGTGCGTGCAGCTGAGCAGTTTCTACAAAAAGACGTCCGAAGTGAGGCTCAGAAAAAGGGAAGGGAATCGATGCTGGAACGAAAACATGTCAAAGAAAGTATCCCGTAATACTTGAAAGAGGCGCGCAAGAAGAGGAGAGGAGGAAGATGAATCACAAGGCGGATAGGTCTCCGAGTATCGAGCCGGCCATGGGAGGGGGAGTCTAAAACGAGTACCGGCATCTTGAAACCTATACATCCGACATGGTCACTTCGGTCGAGATGGGCTGCGTCTCCCCGTTCGCGACATTCTGTGCCGTGATCGAGGCTTGCTCGGCAAAGAACCTGACGTCGGCGTCCGTGTCGTTGCGCAGCTTCTCGAGACTGGGCAGGATCTCCTCGGCGACGAGTTCCTTGCCTCCCGGTTGGCCTGCGACGGCCTTGGCCAGAGTCTCCAATGCTTTGGCAACGTTGAATCGGATGTTGGGGATGCGGTCAGAGACGAGGAGAGTGACGGTTTGAAGAACGCTGGAACGGATGACATCGACGTCCAATGCTGGTGCCATCGTCTGGGATAATAAAAGACTCAAATGCACGATCAGGCTTCCACCCTCGAATGCGTTATCGTGTGACAAGGCTGCAATCTCGACTCACTGTGATCGCAAACACGGTTGTCATGCGGAAGAGGTAATTTGTGTTGGTGCCCAAGTTGATGACTTTGGGGATGATGGCCGACTTGGCCCACTCGACGCCAAAGACCTCGGTCAGCTTGCGCAGATTCACCGTCGCGGCTTCTCGGATCGAAAAGACGGGGTCGCCAAGCCAGTTCATGCACAGGCTGGCGAGTTGCTCGTCAAAGAAGGCGACACCGAGCTGTTGTGCGAGCAGAGGGATGTATTCGATGATGGCCTGGCGCACTCGCCATTGCTTGTCCTCGGCGAGCTGCACGATTGCCGGTAACAGCGCTTTGGACAAGAGCTCGATGCCAATCACGGCGTTGACCATGTCGAGCTTGGAGATGATATTGAGCCGTACGTCGGGGAACTCATCCTTCAATAGCTGGAGGAACAAGGGCAAGAGGTGCTCGAACGTCGAGTCCTTGCCGAGCAAAGGCGCAAGTCCCGAGATCTGCGTCGCGAGCGCTGCTCGGACGTGCTGCGAGGTATCGGTTGAGAGGTCACGGATGCAGGGCATCAGACGGGCAAGGATGATTTCTCGGTCCACAAGTTTGGCAAAGCCTATCGTCAAGAGGAGAGATCAGCTTTCTGTAGTTTCGGCCACCCGCGACCATTTGCACTTCTCGAACACTCACCAGGGATCTGACCAGCTGCGGCGGTCCTGACCTCGGCTTCGTTGTCCTTGAGCAAAGCGACGAAAGCGACGACGAGGTCTTCACGGACGTGGTCCTCTCCGGCGGCGGTCGCGAGTTTGACAAAGTGGTCGGCGACCATGTATCGCACACGCCAGCTCTTGTCGCTGACCATGGCCTTCATCGTCGCGCCGAGGTACGTCTTGCACTCGTCGTTGGACAGGGCCTCGGCGATAGCGATAAGCGCATCGACGGTGAGGCATCGGACCGAGTCCTGGTCGTCCTGGGACAGCTTGCGGAAGGCGGGGAGGAGGTCGTTGAGGAGGTGCTCGTGCGATACGGTTTTGGAGAAGGGGCCGAGCTCCTTCGCGGCGGCACGACGAACCATGGGGGTGTCGTCAGTGCAGAGTTTGGTGTACATCTTGCGCATGTCGTCGCGAGTCGCTGGAGCGGCTTTCGGGTACGCGGCGGCGAAGAGCGAGGTGGCGGACGTGCGCGAGGTGAACCATTCGGCCGATTCGAGGCGCTTGAGCAGCGGGAGGTACGACTCTTCGATCTGCTGCTCCGAAAGGGCGGCACAGACCTTGGCGATGGACTCGGACGCCTTCTCGCGCACCAAGGTCTCCTCGACCGACGCGAGTATCTCGAGCACGGGCAGGAGCAGGTGCGCATACTGGTCGCCGCCGACGTACTCGACAAAGTTGAGGCCGAGCTCCTCGGCGAGTGCGAGCAGAATCTCGTCGTCGTCGTCGAGCGATTCGATGAGGAACGGGATCAGCTCTGTGCGTGTCCTCTCTGTGCCGAGGGCGAGGGCGATGGTCGAGATGCGGTGGATCGCGTTGAGACGCAGGGTGACATCCTCGCTTCTCAGTTCGTCGACTGGGGGAGATGCCTCTATGTGTCAGTGGGGGGGATGAATAGCGCAAATCGTGGTGGGTGCGTAAAGGACTGACCGAGGATGGCGATGGGGTGCAGAGGGTCTTGGGAATAATCAGCCATGACGACGACGCTGAGAGCTGGCGCGGAGTGAGCTGGCGCGGAGTGACGAGGGGCGGCCACGGGTGGTGACGGCACGTAGCAGGCTATCGGTGGGACGCTGGGAGTGCGCTCGAGCCTCAAAGGGGGGCCGGTGGCGGGTGGCGAGTCAAATGAGGCGCACTGGAGGCTGGAGCTCAGGTGGGAGGGGAGAGCTTCAACTGGGCTTGGTTGTAATGGCGGTGTGGTGGGTGGTCGGTCAAAGTGGGGAAAACAAGCTACAGGCGCAAGCCACAAGAAGGCGCGCATTCGCTTGTCTTCGCTTGTAAGGCTTTGGAGCTTTGGACTGGCCCCCACAGCAGCCCCAGCTTGGCGCGGCGGTCGTGTGCCCGGGCCTGCGCTGGCCTGCGCTGGCCCAGTTACTATAGTGCCCCGTTCAAATGAGTTTGTGAGCCAGCCTGATCGGCTTGTCTGGATTGGGCTTCCCCTGATCCGAGTCAGTCGCAGTTCGGGCGACCCGCATCTTTCCGCCTTAACTTGGGTCACCCTTCTCCAACGGGAGTCTGGCGGTCGTCCACCTCAAGCTCAAGGAGCACGCTTCTTCACCTTGGTCAAGGCTCCCCTCCGTTGTGGCGGCACAGCGTCGCCGAACCGAGCGCGCGGAGGGGGCAGCATCGTCATTGGGGACCGAGTGGCCACCGCTTCCAGGGGTTTTACGGCGATCCGGCAAGGCGAATACTCGCATCTCTCTCTGACTCGAACACATACCATCGTTGAAGACGTTGCTCTGTAGGCGGTTTCGACCACCTACCAGATGGACAGGTCGTCTCAAGCGGGTGCGAGACCTTCGTCGTCGTCGCCATCGTCAAGTCATTCGCATTCGCACTCGGTAGCAGCCCCACCTGTCACCGAATCTACAGCAACGGCGCTCGATCCGGCTTGGTCCCACCGTGCCGCCCTTCCTCGAGTCTTCGTCATCCACGATCCGGAACCCATAGCGACCCCGGACTCGGCCATGGTCAGCACATCCACGTCAGGGAATCCATCGCGCCATCCTCCTCCTGCTTGGGCCTTCGACGACCCCCCGCTTCGAGCTGAGCCACGTCATTCGCAGCAGCAGGTTCATCGAATGGATCAGCCACACCGCCATGAAAGCAGGAACGGTGGCCAAAGCGTGCATGATGCTGGCCAACCTCAAGACCGGAGTCATCAGGCCATGTATCGCACCCTCAGACTCGCCGAAGCCTTACGTCGCCGCGCGGCAGCTCAGGGTCGGACTTCCAACCGCCCAGAACTGTCATTCCGAATCACCGGCATGGACGCACCCAGCTCCTTTTCCATGGCTTTCGACGATCACACCTATGAAGACTTCTCTACCATGGACGACGGTATTGATCTGGCCCTTCCATCCGGCTTGGACCTCGATGACGATCGGGATCCTGAGCCGAGGTACGATGATGACAATCCCCTGCACGACTGGATACCCGACCCCGAACCCTACTCCGAAACGGATGACGACGCGGACGAAGCGTTATTCTGGCCTGGGCTTTTGATCGAAAGACCCCTCAATCCACCTGGACGTTCACTCCTACGCAGGTCTCTCACTCGGTCGATGCTTGATCGAGTTTCCCCTTGCCTTCTGGAAGAATCTTCCGGGTTGGGGTCGGGTCCGACACCAGCGCTCGACCCTGATTCATCAACCTCCCCATCCTCGTTCTTGAAACGAGGCATGTTCTTCTCTGGCATCCAGGTCTACGTGGTCCCTCTACCTCCGCCCATTCCCGCACCGGCAACGCCGACAAGTCGGAGCGAGCGACTGTCTTCCCACCCTCGACCACACCGGCAGCTCGCCGCGTCAACGATGGATGTATACGAGTCGGCCCGAGCTCTCGCCGAGGGGGTGAACCTTACCTACCAGAATCCAACTGTTTCTCGATCATCCTCTCTCCTCCCTCCCGCAAGGCCCTCCGCGCAACCTTCTTTCGCCGAATCATCCCCCCTCATTCAATTACTGCGCTCCGCGAATCGACTCGACGACCCTGTCAACCACTTCTCGATAGAAGAAGCATTCGGTTCTTTCCCTACCGAGTTTTCTTCGGGTTATGCGACGGCGACGACAATGACGAATGATGGCGTATCGGACTTGGATCTGTCCCCTTTTGCGAGGGCGAGGTTGAGGACCGAAGAGGATGTTAGGGAGATTAGGGAACGGACGGCTAGGGTTGCGAGAGCGAGGTCTGTGGCAACGACGGGAACATGGAATTTGCTAAGACTGGCGGAACTGGGTGAAACGCTGTCGGTCAGTGAGAGGCAGAAGTATCTGGAACATGAGCGGTGGGAGGTCAAGGTGAGTTCTGATTGGGCGACTTGGAGAGGGAAGTGCCTATATCTCGAGCAACGGTGGCTGACGGTATCATCCCGACTACCAATTCAGGTCATCATCGAATCGATAGATTCCACAATGAACAAGATCACCGGCTACATGCACGCGCTGAATGTACCGTTCTCGGCCTCCCGCGTAACGACCTGCTTCACAGGCGAGATCCTCAACCTCGCCAAAGATGGACTATGGTCTCCAGGGCATTGGGAGTCTAAAATCCGCACCGACGCCGAGTCATGGAGTAAGTTGGGACCCTTTAAAGGGATGAAAACGAACGAGTTGATCCGAAAGGCCGATGGGGATCGACAATGGTTGAATCAGGTCACGAAGGGGCATGTGCTGATGAGATGGAAGGAGAGAGATTTCGTCAATGTCACGCGTGAGTTTAGGATCGCGCACTGTACAAGTTTGCGGTCGACTGACGTTTGCTCCGCGGATATATCACATAGCTTCTGAGAGTCACCTCTCCATCGCTGGCTTTTACTTCATCGTCCTCGATCGGGGGACTGGGATGCTCGAAGGTCAGCCCGTCTTTGGGCAGTAACGCTTCGAACCAGCCAAAACTGACTTCCCGACCACCGCCCTGACAGGTCTCTACCATGACCCGACATCAAGTCCGTTCCAACGGCTCGAACTTTCACCATGGACGCAAGGCTTAGGCTTCTCAACGGGCACATTCGATATTGCTTAGAACAGGCCTTGAGCTCACGGGTCGTCTCTTCCCGACATTCATGTTGTATTCACATTTCGGAATTCGCGCATCTTGCAAGTTTTATCTTCTTGAGTTTCGAAAAAAAAGTTACTGCAGTTCTTTCTTGTGGAGCATACGTAGCAACACGCGATATATCGTACTCTGCTGTGGTAGTGTGAACGAGCGCCAAGCGTGCCAAGGGTCCGGCGGGCCAAGTTGAGCCGGAGTCGTCCCCACCATTTTTGAGTTCGACGGCTCCCAACTTCATCCCTTCATCTCCCTTCACACGCCCAATTCAATATCTCAACAATCATGCCTGCCTCAGCACCTAAAGGACAACCCCAAGTAGGCAATCACCTCGTCATCACTTATCCCATGGACAAGGTGATACAGTTGAGGCTGAACAAGCCCAAGGCGTTGAACGCGATGGATGATAATGTAAGCTAGACTTACAGCCTCTGTGCGGTGACTCTGTGACAGCAAGAGCTGACAAACGTTCAACCGTTTTCATTGTACAGCTGGAAGACGACTTGAAGAATGTATCTCATCGTAGCGCTCGCTCTCCAGGCAGGCACCCGACCGCAGTTGGGCTGACTTCGATCCTCCCCCACTCCTCGGATAGGTCCTCGATTGGTTCGAGGAAGAGCCTTCGCTTTGGGTCTGTGTCGTCACGGGTACCGGAAGGGCTTTCTGTGCCGGACAAGGTAAATGAACGTGCTTTCCGATTTCTGCACTTGCGTACCTAAGTGGCAACTCGGAATCCGATACTGACCAAAATCTTCCCACCCCTGCCCCCCTTCTCGGGCCTCGGCCACCCAACCCAAACTCCAATCACCAGATTTGAAAGGCTGGAACTCGACCCAAGGTTCCGACAAAGCCCCTCATGCCAAGATCCGCTCCAACCCATACGGCTTCGGATCGATCGCCCGACGTTTGTCGAAGAAGATCTTGATCGCTGCGGTGAATGGGATCGCTTTAGGTGGAGGGGCCGAGTTATTGGTCAATTGTGATATCGTCGTCGGGGTCAAGGGTGGGATTGTTGGGTTTCCCGAGGTTAGGAGAGGTAGGTTGGGACATGTTCCTTGACTGCCAAGGACCTGGGATTCCTAACACCGAGACGCAGAAACTGATTATTCGGTTCTTTGTCTCCCCTCAGGTGTCATGGCCGCCGTCGGCGGCATTCCCAACGCCTACCAAAGATCGCCCCAGTTGGCTCCCTACCTCCTCACAGGCCTCAACATACCCCCTCATCTCTGCGAGCAACACATCTTCACCCAAACCGTCGCCTCAGCAGACCAAGTCATTCCCGCGGCCTTGGAATGGGCTTCCAAAGTCGTCGAATGTTCTCCTGATGCCGTGCAGGTTACGAAGGAGCAGATCAATCTGACTAAGAATGGGGTGGGCATTTTGGATGTTGTCAAGAGAAGCTTGGATACCGAGCTGGCGCAGGCGACTTATGTAGGCGAGAATATGAAGGAGGGGTTGAGGAGCTTTGTCGAGGTCAGTTCAAATGGGCGAGCTGCGGATCCGAGCCTTCGTGTCGCTGATTCTTTATCTTTCTGGCGGTTACCAGAAACGTGCGCCGAGATGGACAGATCCGCCGCTTGTTGGCAAGACCAAGTTGTAGACGTCTTAGGGCACTCGATTCCTTTTCCGCGCAATCCTGGATGGTCCCCGCTGAAGTTCCGGTCTTATGGCTACTCGGCGGGATTGTGGAAATACCAAGGGGGTATGCAAGATATCGAACACAGTCAATTCATATACACGAATATTCAAAAGTATTTCCTTTCTTCAGAGGCGTTGGCCATGTCGACAGTGATCATTTGGATCTTCACCGAGTTAACCTCACTCGTCATCATCGTCGTCCTCTTCCTTCATCGAGGCCTTGTTGGCTGTCGTCCTTGTCGACGGCTTCCGCGGGGTCGGAGCAGGTGAATCAGCCTGGGAAAGGAAGCGGATACCTCATGATTAGCTTCAAGACGTGGGGCGGGGATGAGACGAAACCCAGGTGAAAACTCGCCTTGAACTCGGAGTTCCTCTTTTTGGACTTGGACTTGGATTTGGACGAACGAGCCTTCTTCTTCTTGGGTTTCTCCTGTGAAGAGGAAACCCCACGATCAGCAACCGCAAAGGTGTGACAGGTCGTGAGCTCTGGATGCTCACCTCCTCGTCAGTCGAAACAGCCTCAGCCTCTTCCTCCGAATCCTCATCGGGTGTAGCTTCTTTCTTGGCACGCTTCTTGGCCGGCGCCGCAGCCTTCTTCTTTTTGGGCTTTTCCTCCTCCAACTCTTCCTCATCTTCGGCTTTCGCCTTCTTGCTCTTGCTTTTGGCTTTGGGAGCAGGCGCCTTCTTCTTGTTGGGCGAACTGTGTCCCTCTTTGGCGGGACGCCCTTCGTCCGCCGGCGACTCGTCACCGTCTTCGCCCTTGACCTTGGCTGACTCGGGGATGTCTGCAGATGATGTATCATCGAATCAGCTTGTATCTTCGATGAGGATACACGACTGAACCAACCTACCTTCAGGAGCAACTAAGAGCTCGCAGGGCAATCGAAAGATTCGGCGTATCAGCCTCGGCAGGACGTCTTGTCACAGCTGAGCCACAAACTAGGCTCACTGTGTCCCGTCTCGTAAGCCTTCTTCACTCGCTCCTGATCTTGTTCCCTGAGGTCCTCGAAACCTGAGACACTCGTAGGGTGGTGTCAGTCGCCGAGTGATGAGATATCATACCCTCGCAGACTCACCGTCGATTTCCTCCGGTTTGTCGATCTCTGTATGTTCCGAGACGGCCACTTCGTTAGCCTGTAATCATTGATTCCCACGGTTTAAATACTGACTGTTCTTGACGTTGGCCAGGACGGTCTTGGTGAGACAGCCCCAGTGCCTCCATTGGAAGCTCGTCCTCCCCACTACGAAACATCGACTCAATAAAGCCAACGGTCAGTGTACCGTCAACTGGGGGGAAGCAGCTCTGTTTGATCAAACTCACTGATGTCTACCACTGTTCCAAAACGCAACTCTCCCTGCAAACCCCCACAGCGACTGGGGTTAGATAATTGACATGGCTGACGCAGTGACAGGAGGTCGTCGGAGCTGGACCTGCCTTGCCGATTTTAGTACCTGAGCAAGGCTTAGGGCCTGCACACAAACGGAGAAGAGTTAATCAAATCAGTCGGCGGATCTCGAAGGAGAGGTTCCGGGGATATCGCATACCTTTGCATCCTGCTTGCGCGCTCTGCGGAGCGACGTCACATTGTGCAAGTGGGGCACATGCCGACAGCGTCAGCGCCTGTCAATCACCAGCACGCGTATCGATAGGGCAGAGGTGAAGATCCTACCTTTGAGTATTCGAGTCGATAGCTCATCGTAACTAGGGGCGAATCACGGAGGAGGGGCAAGAGTCTCGGTGACAGCTGGGCGTGTGCTGCACTCGGTGGGGGGTTGGAGGTGGGAGAGGCCCATTGTCAAACCGTCATCAATTGACGCGCGCAGGGAAAGCAGCTCTCAAGCCCGTCCTTAGTAGTTCTTAGTCGCGCCGAAATTGCCGGTTAGCCTTGGGGCTGAAAAACAATGGACAAAATCGGTCCCAGCGCACGCTCCGTCCCTGCCTGCTGCAAGAACGGAGCCGGATCGCCACCGCTGTAGCGACTGCTGCCGCCCGTCGTAAGACCGTGTGAGCACGTCTGCGCGATCTCGACCACTTGTTGGATAGACTAGGACGTAATCTGGGCTCGTTGTGACGGCTGGTGTACGCGCAACGAGGGACAGGGGGCACCTCGTACCCGTACCCGCCCGCTGCCGCCTCCGTTTTGCCTTTTGGAATTTGGCCTGGCCCGAAAAAGCCGCGGCGCTCGCCCCAAGTCCACGCCCTCCCGCCCACGCCACGCACGCAACCGACTGGGCTGTGTAACTCGAGGTCCCACGTCCGTTGTACAGCGCATCCACCGAGGCGCGGTGCGACCACGTGCACCCGTCAGGGATGAAGGTCAGTACTTGAACTCCTCGATGCGTCATTGTCAGGCCCTCGAATCGCGTCCAGAGGTTGCTGTAGCCGCGTCATTCGTTCGTGTATGCCCGCCCCTCCCCCCCTCCCCTGGGCCTGTCCCCCTCGCCCTCCCCGCGATCGGCCCGTGTGCTGTCCGCCGGTGCTCGCCGCGCGCCCTCGCGTGCGTTGCGCATAGGGGGCGATCAGCAAAACAACCTTCGAGCTGGGTTCTCCTCGCCCGTGCTTCCATACTTTACATGCAGCTCGAGTAATGCCCCCGGAATTATTTCGCTAATCTCTACATACTCATGCTGCTCTTGTAGTACCTGTTCGAGGCGATCGAGCGACGATGCGGGAATCAGTCGAGTTCGGCTTCGTCCAGTCGCGTGCAATACTCGGCTGTTGAGCTCAAGAAATTGGTCCTCGATGCCAGCGAGGGCGTTGTAAGTCATTGTCACGCGTTCATCACCCTGACACGTGAATACGTCGGATCTCGCGACGCGTCCAGCTCTTTGCATATACTCACCTTTTCCTGGTCGCGGCTGTGTCTTGCGTCATTGCAGGATGACAAGTCCTCGGCGCACGATTTCGTCGACACGCTCGAGCGAATAGTGAACGAGATCAAAAACACCACCGTGAGTAGTTTGACCTGGAGCCGTCATTACTCGTGGCACTGACGCATTTCATGATCTTCGATGGCGATAGGAGCATTCGGCAGCGTTCTTGCAAAAGGTCCGCAAGACCGACGTTCCGGACTATTATGACAGTACGTCAATTACCGGAACCTCCGTCATGGTCGAAGATTGCTTGCATGCTCACCTCTCCGGAATGCAACGCGAATAGTCATCAAGCACCCGATGGATCTCGCAACATTGGCCAAGCGCGTCAAGCAACAAATGTACAGGTCCAAGAAAGCCTTCGCGGACGAGCTTGATTTGATCTGGTCTAATTGCTTGTTGTACAACTCTCATCCGGTGAGCGCCACTCTGCCACCCGCACTACGGAAGGGGAGTTCTCCAACTGATCTCAGCACCTTCACTGCCACAGGGACATCCTCTGCGTCGCTCAGCCGAAATCCTCCGCGCCAAATCGAACCAACTCCTCGAGTTTATCAGCGACCCTGCTCTACCCATACGGTCACTCTATGCTCAGACGGTCGCGACTCAGGTCGGTGGATCTTCTAGTCGGCATCGTAACAGCGTGAGGGGGACACCCGCTCCTGGCGACGAAGCCGATGTTGAAGGCGATGACGGGAGCGAAGCTGGCGCAAGGGCGAGAAGCGTATCTGTCGCCCTCGGACGGCATAGCAGTATTCTGCAAGCCGCCAACGAGCGGCTGCTGAATGGCGTCAATGGCGATGCTCGGGAACGCTCTTCGTCGCCGATGTCGGGTCCTCAAACGCCGCTGGCGAGCACATTCGCGCCTCGCAACAAACTGGGTCGAGGCCCGCTCGGTCGATCACCCTCTCCTACGCCTGAGCCCGAACTGCCTTTCGAGGAACGCCCGGCACTCATCCGGACAGCACAGGGGATGCTCGATTTCGCCTCTCTCGATGATGAGCTCTCCCGACTGGACGCTGAACTCGAACGCAACCCGGTCGCATCGACGTCCAAGTTGATCTACACAAATCCAACCTCGCTCGTCGCAAAAGCGTCAAAGACTTCGCTGGTCTCTGAGGCATCATCGCACGATTCCGCTGAATCGCAATCCCTTCTATACAAGCTCGTCCACTCTCTCAACCCTGCCGCATACCCCTCACCCCCTCCATCCATCGCTCCGACGAACGGCGATTCCAGCTCGTCCGGTGCTACAGGTGAGGCAAGTCCACCCTCCGCCACCACAACCGTCACCTCCCGACCCAACCTCGACGAACCTCCAGATAGTCTCTGGTGGGAAACCGTTGCTCCGAGTGTCGAGACGGTCAACTGCCTGCACGACGTCGATATCCCTTCGACCGCCTCATTCAAAGCACTTGCGGCTGGTATGCCCCTTGTTCCTTGGAGACCCGCACCGCCGGAAGCTAAGAATGGATGTCGCGTCAAGCGGAGAAAACTCGCCAAGAGTCACGATTCAGAAGCTCGGGGCGAGAACGGGGTTGCTGAGGTTCCTAAAGCTACGACGAACGGGAAGAAGGTCAGCAAGGTCAAGACGAATGGGACGGCCCCGAACAAGAACGCCGTCCCATTGGTCGGACTAGGTCGCAAGATGCATCACAATACGGAAACACTGCGCAAGATCCGGCGGTTGCACAAGTTCCTTTCGAGTGGGACAAGAACGCCGCCGTCGATGATGGAGCTGCGAGCGGAGGGTGACATCGTCCTTCCCGTCGCGGCCGACCTCTCCGAATCTGATATCGAAGACTCCAAAAGACCGCGAGGCGCGGCGTACCTTGACTCGGGCGTACCGGCGTCGGCATTCCGCACCGCCGATGCGCCCAAGGCGGCTCGGCAGAGCATGGAATTTGTCACAACAAGGGTGCTCGAGCACGTCGGGTTCGAGAGCTCGAGCTCCATCGCGCTCGACGTCATGACCCATGTCGCTTCCGAGTATCTTTCGAATCTGGGCCGCACGATGAAATTTTTCGCCGATCGGTTTGGTGATAAGATGTCGACCGAACAGCTGTTGCTGCATGTCCTCAGTGAGAACGGCGTCGCTTCTCCATCCGATTTGCATGCCTACGTCTCGGACGACATTGACAAGTACGGTGCGACTCTGGATGGATTACACGGCAAGATGGACAAGGCTCGACGAGATCAGATCCAGGCGACCGAAGTCGAGGCGACCGTCGACGAGTCCAAGGTCTTCCTTGAGGATGATGAATTGGCGATTGGTACTCTATCAAGCGTGACGGGCGAGGACTTCTTTGGACTCGAAGCTCTGGGCCTCGATAAGGAGAATCATGGTGCGACGCATCTCTCGATCCCGTCGCATCTCTTCAGTGGTCAGGCCGAACCAGTCAAGGAGATCGAATACCCACCACCACCGCTCACGATGTCGGCCATCTCGGCCTTGCCTCGTCTCTTGCAACCATACTTTGCTCTCCGAGCCGCGAATCCCGACTTGGGTCTACAAGAGGATCACACGCGCTTGCTTCCGGGATTACCAGGGTTCTTGCCCCGAGCCAAAATCTCGCCTTTGACTGGCAAGATCTCGGCCAAGGGGGCGCTCGCTCAAAAGCGCAAATTGGACGAGTTGATGGAAGTCGAAGGTCTGCCTTCGCCTACAGTCACGGTCTCGGCTTCAAGCATCGATACCAATTTTATCACTCAGGCGACAGATGGAAAGAAGTCCCAGGCTGTGAACGGATGAAGGGACTGCGAAAGGAAAGAATCAGAAAGATGTGGAATCATGCAGCGTCCCAATTTTGCCCCTTTCTTTTGTTGTAGCCATGTCTGCGCTCATATAAATCATGTTGACATGTCAAATACGCACCCACGCGCGCAAAATTCTCTTGGAAAAGGGGGTCGTCAAGTTAAAGTTCTGCATTCGTTTCCCCGGGGTTCTGCGACTACGAAAGGTCGTCCTCATCGTCGTCCTCATCATCTGAAACCTGCATGAACGCGCTCCTCATCCTCTGCTTATCCATCTTACGTTTCGAGCTCACATCCTCCAACAAGACGAGCAAATCCTCCTGCTCCTTATCCGCCTCTTCCTTCGCCGATCGAGCTTGCTCCAACTCCCTTCTCAAAGTAGACACTTCCTCCGCCAAGGCGTCGTCCGATCTTCCCGCTCTGATCGCCTCGACGTCCAAAGGTGTCGCGTCCCTCAATTGATCCAATTCCGTACGCGTGGAAGCCAAGTGTTGTCGACTCGTTTCGAGTTGACTATTCGTCGATTCGAGTAACTTTTGCGTCCGTTCGAGTTCGGCGCGAAGGCGTTCGAGTTCCATCGGGTCGTGCGTTGAGGGAGGGGCGGGGGGATGCGAACCGAACGGCGAGTCGTTCGACGAGATAGTTTGTGTAGAAGAGGAGTTGAAGAAATCGATACCGGATTGGAAGGACGAAGTCTCGTTCGCTCCTTGAGATGTAGGCCGACCACCACCGAAAAGATCATCGACTGTCCTCGAATGTCGAGCTTGTTCTAGTTCGCTAAGCGCACGTTGGTGTTCGTCATGCGCGGTATCGAGTTCGGTTCGCAATGCAGCGATCTCTTTTTCCAGTACTTCAATCTTCTTCGATGCCTCGTGATCGACCACAGGGGCTACGGGCGATGCTGCTGCAGCTGCAGCGGGCAGCGATGGAGCGTAGGGGTCATCCCCCCGAGGCGCATACGGATCATCCTCTCCTCGAGGTGTATAAGGACCATCACTCTGTGATCGGGGTGCATAAGGCTCATCACGATTGTTGTTACCTCCTCCTCCTCCGCCTCCAGTTCGAGCCGCGTTCACCTCAGCATAAGCCTGTTCAAGCTCGCCTTGTAAACCCGAGATGCGTGCGGTGAGACTTTCAATCTCATTTTGGAAAGCGATACGCTGTGAGTCGACTCTTAGATCAGCCTTCTGCCTCCCGTTCGAAAAAGAAATGCGAGCCGCAAAAGCCAAGGACGAAGAAGAAGAGCTCACCTCTTCATCCCTCTCCGCTGCCAAACCCAAGATCTGATTCCTCATGTCCTCCATCTGTTCAGTTTGCGCCGCGATCGAGGACCTTAGAGCGGTGACGACCTCGTACGAATCGCCGTTCCCGTCCAATGATCGACGACTGGTCGTGTTCGCCGTTGGGTCCATCAGGATCGCTCGTTGGACCGAGACTGTTTCAAATGACACGCCAGTTCAGATTCCTTGAGCGGGAAGCGAGCGAGCGATGAACACGTACTATAGTTGGTCTTCAAGAATTCGACGAACGAATAGTCAAACCACAGTCCTTGTTCCTCCCCCAACTCCTCCTCCATCTCCTCATCAATCAACTCCAACACCGCCGGTCCAACACTTCGGAACCTTTCGTCCTCCCTCAACCTCAAGATCCTCGAAACGAATTGATCGGCTCCAACGCGGGAATGTAAGATCGGATGAAGGGTTTCACGAGTTATCGGTCCCGGTTCTCGGTTGTATTCGTAGCATATCCCGAGGAGGAAGGCACAGAGCCCTTGGACGACCGAATCGACGCCCGAGGATTGGGTGATGGGTTGAATCAACTGTGAGACCCCGTCAGCGATCGAGAGGGGGTTAGTCTTCTTCGAGCCGAATTGTGGGCCTCCTCCGCTGTTGTATCAACTTTGGTACTCACGACTTGAAGATTGGAACCTTCGCTCAAAAACTCGGTAACGGTCGTCGGACTATCCCACAACCACAACGAGAGCACCATCAAGTAACCGACCATGATTCGACTCCATTCCAAACCACGATCCGGGCCCAAGCCCGCATTCGCACTCTGGACCTGTTCCCTTTGCGCCATCATCAAGTTCCCAACCAAGATGGAGACCAAACTCGCTCGTTCTTCCTCATCCCCATATCCCCCCGGTTCGGCATCATCGCCGGTAAAATAGATCTTGCGAGCGAATTCTTTGGACGTTTCGGAGCCCATGATGAGGTGGGAGAAGAGGAGACAGGCGAAAAAGGGGACGTAGGAGTCAAAGTGATCTCGCGTGGCGGAAGGGAATGTTCGCATCGCGTGGAGGAGGATCGAGCCGGCGGATGGGATCTGAGGTCCAGAAGGATCGGTGTCGGGTGAGGGTGCGACCATGGTCGACAAGATGCCGAGTTGGGTTTCGGTCGAATTGGCAACGTAACTTTGGAACAAGTTCGCCGCCGCGGCTCGAACGCGTAGGCCTGATCGGCCAGGCGTACCGTCTCCGACCACGGCGAGTCGCACCACCGCGATCACAGCGGGCGCGGGGGTGCCTTTACGCCATTTGCTCCTGTTCGATCTCCGGTCCACCTCATCCTCATCCTCATCGTCTGATCGAGATCCACCACCACGTTGTTGAGCTGGTTCGCCGTCGTCGTAGTCGGGATTGTAGTGTTCAGCCGGCGGTGAAGCCATCGGTCGAATCAAAGGTACGACGATGAGCGAGTTGAGCGCAGCTTGGTTCGGTGGGGAGAGTCGCAAGATGTCGGCGAGGGCGTTCATCGCCTGCGACTTGAGCATCGAAGGTGCGTTACTCGCGAGCGCCATCTCGGCCAAACATCTCGACATGCCCGACGTCAGCAACGCTTTTTGATTCGCTTCCCTTCCGGCACCGGCACCACCGACGAGCATGCGCACGAGCGAGAGCACGAGCCCGGCGTTGACGACTTTTTGCTCTGACCATGATTGGAACGCAAAAGCCGATAGCGAGGCCGGTGTCTGAGCCTTCGGTTGAGGGAAGAGGAGGAGAGGGGCCAAGAGGGGGATGCAGGACGTTTCCCGAAAGTAGTTCTGTGCTTCAAAGTTTTGTCAGCACATTGTAAATTCGCATCAGCGATCTGCGAGACGAGAATAATCGACGCACCTGATTGGACACGTTCCACCTCAGGAGTCCACCGATCGCAGCCAAACAATCCTGAACGACGATTCCACCACTGCCGATGCCCCCCTCCTGGCTTACGATTGCAAAAAGCTTGTCGAACGCGCCCTCGAAGGCGAGCAATTTTTGAATGTCGGCGTTGGAAGTGGTGAGTGCGATAATGAGCAAGAGTGATTCTGTTTGGGTACGTTTCATGTCAGTCCGAGTGATTTACTTCACGATGAGCTGTACTGACCATTTCGAATGATCTCCCTCGTATCGTCGAGCGTCTCGACCAACCTGCCGACACCCCCGGGTGCGGTGAGGACGTGGGCCTGGACCTGGGAGGACCTGTTGGCGATCAAGACGCCGAGCAGTTGGAGCGAGAAGAAGCGGAGATAGAAATGAGCCGGTGTGAGGAGGGTGAGGAGGGTGTGCAGCGGTGCGGCGGTTTGCAAGAATCCGTCGGTGTTTCGAAGACCCGAGTCGTCTCGGACGGGCTGTGGGTGCGTAGACGGCGATTTGGTGAATGGGTTCAGCACGCGTGCTGTCTGGGCCCGAATCGACTCGAGTGCGGTGCGATTGACTGACCCTCGAATCGACCTCTTCGACCTCGCACAGGAGCGAGAGCGTTTCGACGACGGCTTTGGCCATCTCGACGTCCTCGGGTGCATCCTCCTCCAAGACGCCGAGGAGGATCGGTAATGCGCGTTGTCCGACCTCCTGTTGGATTTGCGAATCATGTTCGTGCGTCAGTGGTCGGTCGGTGTGGGAGCGGGCATGATCGGCGCGGGGCGGGCGCGGTCGAAGCGGCTGGGTGATGGGTGAGTGAACACGTTGGTGGACGCCGAGCGCGGACGGGGCCGACGGCACACCGAGCGCGGTCACTCGTCTACTTCTAATAGGGGACTCGACCCAGCATCGCAAGGTACAAGAACCAACATCTCGCGCACGTACCGACTTCCAGTCCCTACTCAACCCCTTCAGACCCAACAAAGCGGCCCTCCTATCCTCGAGGTGGGTCCCGTTCAGCAACCTGTCACACAGCTTGTCGATCGTCTCCTGCGGGGATTGCTGCGTCGCGCCTGCACTCAACGCGCCGTAGCCTCGCGCCAAGGTCGAGAACATGTTGGGCCGCGGGTGCGGTCGTGCGGTCGTGCGGTCGTGCGGTGTGGGGATGAGCGCTGAGCGCTGAGCGAGGCCGGGGTTGGGTCGAGGAGAGATCAGCGAGCGCGAGTGCGAGTGCGAGTGCGAGTGGGGCCAAACAAGCCAGTGAGTGAGAGCTAGTGAGAGTGAGTGAGGTGGTGGGGGCCATTGATAGCATTGATATTACCGAAGCGCGCGAATGCTGTATAATCGCCGTACGCGTTCCTAATGCTCTCCATAGTCAGCGCGGATCGACCGAACGCGCTAGTAGAACGCGCTCGTTCGTCGCGCTCGGTCGTCGCGCTCGTTCGTTGCTGGCGCTGGATCACCTGTCCCCGAACACCCGAGCCACAACTCACAACTCGGCATCCTCGGAGGAGCGAGCCAGCCCTGACCCCCGGTAGCGGTCACAGATCATCCTCCTTTGGCGCACCACAATACCTCGCCGCGGTCCCTTTCCCGCACCGCCCACCACCCCACTGTCGGTAGGCGAACAAGTTGAGCCACCAATCTCGTCAGCGGCGAACAAGAATCCCAGCTCCAGCTTTGGGCGCGATCACGTCGGCTTGGCTTCAGAGGGCAGCCCGCCCTTGAGCCGCGACTAGTCAGTACATAGCCAGACTGGGCTCACCTCCCACTCCATCCCCAAGCTCAGCATCCTCCCCCTTTTCGACCAGTGAACGCGCTCTACACCCACGCCTTACGCCAATCGACCTCGCTCCAATCCGACCTCGCCGCCCTCGAACTAGCCTACACCTCCCAAACCCAGCATGCACCACAGATCGCACAACTGACAGGACAGATCACCGCCAGTTTCGCCGCTTTGGACCGCACGATCGATGATTATGATCACATGGCCAGGAGGGAGATCGTCGATGTCAAGAGGGACAAGGCAATAGCGTCAGTCAGCGGATCTCAGCGCGCTTCCCCGATGGTGGTTTTCCCCCACTGAACCCATGACGAGCCCCTTGAACGGAACAGTCGAGTCACACGGTTCAGGGAAGACTATGCCGCACTGAGGAAACAGTACGATCAAGTCAAGGCCGTTGGATCAGCCGCCGTAGGTCGCTCTGTCTCTCTCTCTCTCTCTCTCTCTCTTTCCTCTTGCACAAGACCCTAATCCTCCCCACCCACAGAAAGCGAACCTGGACCGCTCCTCTCTCCTCTCCTCCACTTCCGCTTCAACCTCTTCCTCCTACTCCCCCAACCCGACCACCAGCAGCACCGCACAAACGTCCTCCCTCTCCTCCTCCCTTGGTGCGCCCGCCCAACGCTTGAACCGACAACCGTCCCTGGTTGCCGAAAACCCCTTCTCGATCAACATGGCGCCCTCCGCCTCCTCCGACGGTTCAGGAAGATGGACGACCAACAACCCACCTGGCTACGATTTGAGGACCAATCGCGCCTTGGACGAACACGATCGGTTCGGAGGGATCAACTCGAGTTTGGACGGGTTCTTGGCACAAGGGCAGGCCGTGATGGGTAATTTGGCGAATCAGAGAGATTTATTGAAAGGTAAGTCCTCAGTCCTCAAGCATATCTTCCTATGGACTCTAATCAGAGGCCCTGACTTGCCGAACCCCCTCCTCCCCAACTTGTAAAAGGCACCCAACGACGTCTCCTCTCCGCGGCCAACACCTTGGGTCTTTCGAGGGAAACCATCACCTTCATCGAACGGCGGACCAAAGCAGATTATTACATCCTCGTGGGAGGCGGCGCGTTCACGCTCGTGTGTTTTTATTTCATCTTGAAATACTTTGGCTGAACGAAGGGGAGGTGAAGGGGGCGAGGGGGAGGGGGCCTTTTTTGTTCGAGTGATGTGTGGGGGGCGGGGGGCGTTGGGAGGGTTTGGACGGGTTTTGATGTCTTGTTTTTCTTTTGGTATAATGTTTTATTATTATTACTACCTTCAACTTTTACGCTGCATTTCACTTTGATTCCCTTGCTTTTACTTACACCTCTACTCGTGGAACGCGAGCATCGTTAGCAAGTCGACAGTGATCGAAAGCGGGCAAAGTCCAGATACTGTGTCGATCTCCTCTCTCCTTCCGCACCTGAAAAAAAGCTGTCTTCGAACCGAAACTATTTGCAACAGATTCCCCACAAGGGAGGAGGTGGATAAGCTACAACAAAAGGCAAATATATGATGGGAGGGGGGAGCTGTTCGCCGTTCAATGACGAAAGAAAAAAGGGGGTTCAAGTAATACAAGTGACGCGATCACGGTTGAGCTGCGGGATGCTACGACGTCTACTTCGAGTGAGAACCGATCCTCCGTTGACGAGATCGAGGACCGGAAACCCTTCTATCCCGATCAGTCAGCACCCCACGCAACACCCCCAATCCCGACCCATCCTCGACACGCTCCACCCAAGCAACCACATCTCATCATCGATGAATGCCCCACCTCAACGCGCGATGAGCTTTTGCCCCGTCTCCACCACTTTCAGCCCAAGAACAATCAAAGCTCATCAAAACCACAAACACCCTTTTGAAGGCCTCTTGCGAGGTTTCCAGAGGCGAGCAGGAGAGACATTCGAAAGGATGGATGAAAGAGGGAGACGGAAGGAAAAACCAACAGCGCTGTGAGGGGAAGCGATCATCGAGACAGACGCGATGCTCGAGTGGAGTCGTTGGGAGAAGGCACAAAGAGGGAGAGTCTGTAGAGCAAGACCGACCGGAAATAGGGGGAAAGATTTGGTGCGATGATCGGAGGAAGGGTTCAAAGATGAAGATCGGCGCTATCCTGGACGAAACGAAATGCGAACGATGAAAAGAAGATCGAAAGTCGAAAGCACCGTCACGATGAACAGGAACTCACGGGTCACGGGCGCTTAGTAAACGGCTGATAGCTGGCCCTCGTTCTGGTCGACGACGTAAGAAAACATGTCGTCCGACTGCGCCTGGCCGATGAAATCATCAAGGAGCGAACTTGGCGAGAGCGGATGAGCAGCGAGCTCGGTCGAGGTTGCATCATCCTCGACGGCGTTCGTGTTGAGCCACGCGTCAAAGTCGACAAGATCGTTGCTGCCAGCAACTGAGGCGACGGGGTCGAGGCTCGCAGCCCAGTTGGTCCAGGCGCGGTTGAGGGTCGCGCCATCGACGGCGAGGGGGGAAGACGCGGCCGAATCGAAATCGCCGACAAAATTTCGTGCAAGCTCGGGTTCAGGTTGGCGTTGAGCTGAAGGCGACGCATGCACTGACGTGAGGGACGCTCGGTCGAGGGAGACGGTTTCGACAACCTCCGCGGCAGGGAGGAAGCTTCTCGTGCGGAGAGGCTAAGGTTGTCTACTAACGACTCGTCTTTCGCGAGGTCCAACACGTCCATCGCATCGGTGGCGAGGCCATGGTTGCTGCTGGCGGCCGGGTCCGGGACCGTTGACTCGACACGTAGCAGTTCGGGCAGGTTGTCCAGTGCGAGGGAAAATGGCAACGGGATCAATGACGGCGAGGGTAGTGTCGAGAGCAATACGGAGGGCGATGTCGTCGGGAGAGAGGTATGTGCGACAGGAGGTGCGCCCGAGGTGGATGATGAAGGCGAGGCTAGGAGGCCCTCGAGGCGCAGGAACTTGGCCTCGAGCGCGCCCAACCGACCCTTGAGGGCGGCGCTTTGCCGCCGTTCAATCTCGAGTTTACTCCTGAGTGTTTCGTTCTCGTCGGCGAGGTGTTGCGAATCGGCTGGTGTGATGGACCGCCCGCGCGACGGACTGGAGGTGGCCGAACCCGACAGGGCCTGAGCGAGCTGGCGTTCGAGGTGCTCGATCTTGGACTCCAGACTCTCTTGATGTACGCGCTTCCGATCTCGGGATGCTTGAGCGGCAACTGAGGTAGATCAAAGGGAACAATAGTCAGCACATGCGCTGACGACGTTTTCTGCGGCTGGGAATCGAGCTGAGACAGGTGAGACAAGCGGGCTCGAGCTCGGGCTCGGGCAGGGTCATGATGACGGGTCGTGGTGGCGGCGAACGGCGGCGGCTGCTGGCCAATTATGACTCGCGCGCGTGTGTGCACCGCACCGCCCGCCCATTGTCCCTGGCGCCAGAGACCGGTTCGGCCTTGCGTTCGCCCGGTCGCAGGTGGGATGTGCAGGAACTTACCCCTATTCCGCTCCATCCGCAATTCCTTCTTGGCGACCTTGTCACTGACTTTGGTACCCGTTGCTCGCTTCTTGGTCGCCGGTGTCGGTTCAGACGAGGACGACGACGACGACTCCTCGGACGAACATACGGAACTGGCGCGTTTCCGGGACGAGCGCGTGGTGGCAGGGGAAGGTGCGGGGGCCATGGCGGTCGCTGGGTGCTGGGTGCTGGGAGTGGGTGCAACTACAGAGGATGAATATGGAGGGTCGACCCTTTCATTCGGTGATGCGATAAGGTGTTGATGGGGATGAAAAGAGGTCGACCCTGTGCTGCAGTGCGTTGGCAGAGTGGTCGCAGGCGCCGAGTCGCGCAGAGAACGGTGTGGAATGAAAGAGAAAGCGCCAAAGGCACACGCTCGCCCGGGTCACTCACTCACCTCGTTCGAATCCGGCCTCGCTATTCGCGCCAAAGCCTCAATTACGACAGCTACATCGCCGTCAATGAGTTTTGACACTGTGGCCCGGGATCTTCCTTACCTAAACACTGTCTTTCGGTGTTCATTTTAAGCCAAACATTCTTGAGGGGCTGTCAGGCGGCGACACGTGGCAAGACTGGGAGGCGGCGGCGATCGCTTGGTCAGCAACGCCGGAGGCCGCGCGGGACCGGCGCGGAGCCCCCAGCAAGAGCAGCACGGGGCAGCAGCAGGCTCGGACGATCGAGTCATTGTTTTGTGAGGCAGTATGTCGGACGTTTTCTCCGGAGTCAGCTGGTCCATATATGTTATTTCTACAGCATGACGACCTTGCAAGGACGTGAATGGGCACCTCCGACTACACCAGCGCGGCCGCCGCCGGCCGCTCGGCCGCTGGCAGTGCAGTGCAGTGGTCCAGCTCTCGACCTACTAGGCCACCGAGTCCCATTGAATCAGCGCCACGTGCAATTGCAATACTGAACGATACATGCAAATAAGAACAGGGGTGTCTTATTATTGTCTCATTCCGTGACTTTCAAGCGTCCCTGTGATCAGAACAAATATTCGCTTTTGAGCGCACTCTGAGGCTGAACCACATCAAGCGATGATCGCAAAGCCGGCGAGGCCACAAATGACGAGCACGATCATCGAGCTTTGTGCAGGTGTGATCTGCGTCGCAGTAGAGGCCTTTCCACCACCATTCGTTCCTGACGATCCAGTGGTGTTGGTAGTTGATTCGGTCGTTGCCGGTACTCCGCCTCCGGTTGAGTTCGTCAGGTTGGCGAGCGAGGGCGCAATCGTGCTGTTCCAGCAGTCTGAGAGCGAGTATGAACAGAAACATCCATCAGGCGTTATACCAGGCGTTAAGTAGCACCAAACACTCGTTGAGTGACTTACATCGCTCGAACTGAGCCGAGCAAGCAGACGATCGAGGCAAGCCAGCCCGTTGACGAGCTCGGTCGATCGTCGCGCACTTGAGGGCCAGGGGCCAGGTGGGATCCACGGTCTGACCAGCGGTGACGTTTTGGAAGCCCTTGAGCGCGTTCGACTTGCTCGCATCGAGGAAGTTGACAGTGTCTTTTAGGTCGTAATTCAAAGTGAGGGTCGATGCGTTGGTCTGGTAGCCCGTGTAACCTTGCGTGCTGTTCGGGACGGGCGAGTTGGGGAGGTAGACTGTGTGTTTTGATTGTATGGCCCATCAGTCACAAGCTTACTAGCTGCATAGAGTCCAGCGTAAATTTGGAACATCCCTTCAACGTACTGAGGATGGGGTATTCTCCTTGGCCCGTGACGTTGCCGCTCGCGACATCGCATCCAAAGAATGTCGGGCGGAGGTTCAGTCCTTGCTGGACGAAATCCATGGCGCCTCCTGGAATTGAGGGGAACGAAGTGTAGTTCTCGCCGTACTGCTTTACGCGCTCCGCCGTGGCAAGAAGCGAGGTGCCGTTGGGCCAGCCGTAGGTCGTGTCGGCACTCGAATCGATCGCAACAATGACATCAACGGCACGAGCCTTGACCAGCAAGGGATAGAGGGGCACGTTTTCACCCTGTAGTACCATCAATTGATCAGTCATTCTGGTCATAGATAGTTACTCTTTTCGAGGCACAAGCTCACGTTCTCTCCACCGTCGGTGAGTTGCAGGATGCCATTGGTGGCCGACTCGAACGTAGTCGTGGAGGGGGTGAAGCCGAAGAACGAATTGGGCACGTTGGAGACGAGAGGCACCGAGAAGTTGGTCGGCTGGATATCAGCGAGATCATTGATCAACGTCGAAATGAGGGACGTGAACGTCGAAGACGAGAACTCGTTCTGGATCGCGTTGAAAAGGGCGGCCGAGGTACCGATCACGAACCCAGCATTGTCGTAATCGTTGACACAGGCCGAACTGTTGATGGGCAAGCTGTTGTTCAAGAAGGTGCCAAAGTACTCCATCGGGACACGCGCCGACAAGGTCGGATCAAAGGATCCGAACGAGTACGGCGAGAGCTCGAATTGAGTATTGCTCAAAGAGATGACCGTCGACGATTTGCCCGAGGTCTGCTGTTCCTCCGAAACACGCGAGGTGGCCACTACGATGGGATACGGCATCGCGCCATTCTGGAAGTTAGTCGTCAACTTGATGGATTGGAACAGTAGGCCCTGGTCGTTGAGGGCAGAGGTGTTGAAAAACGAGTTGCGCGTTGTTCCTGTATGACCAATAGGAGTTTAGCTTGGTGTGACCAGACATCTTGCAAATTCCCTGACCATTGAAGAAGTGGAGGGAAAGCGCTCGGCCTGTAGCGGTGAGAAACATCAAAAGTTAGTGCATGCTTAGATTGTTGCTCTTCGATCATGTACGAACCCCAAATGTCCACGAGAGAGACGGGGAAGCCCGCATTCGCCTTGGCACGAACGTCGTCGAGGATGACGTTATAGTAGTCCTTGTTCTCACTGATGCCGAGCAAGCCTCCAGGTGCAAGAATGTCGAGATCGAGTTTCCACCCCGGCGCTCCGTTGAGACCCAGGACCATGCTATAGAGATCGGTCGGTCCCAAGTCGTTCAGAGCAACGGAAGAGACGGCCCATGATCCTCCCGAGAGACCACTGAGGTACGAGGAGAGCTGCAGAAGAGGTCCGGCGTTGGTCGTGTTCCGAGCATCGAGACCAGCGAGGGTGCCGACACAGTACTGGCTTGCACGAAGTCCACCACCAGAGCATGCGAGGGAGCTATCAAAGTGGGGCAAGTCGATTTTTTTCCGGGGTGTGTGTGTGTCAGCGATCGCGCTCGTGACTCTGCCCCCACCCGCGGCCGAGGTCGATCGAGGCCGTAGATCGACGGCGGATGTGGAGCGCAAGCGCCAAGGTCCAAGGAGGTTTCATGAAACTCACATCTGCGGCACGGCATTGATTATGGCCGAAGTGTTGTAACCAGTATCATTGCCATTCCCGAGGTAGCTGGACCATGTCCCACGCAGCACATTGTTCCTCGTGCTCATGTAAGCCGCCTCTCGCGGCTCGAGCGTTTGGTTATTTGAGAGCGGAGAACCGGTGCGGTTCAGTAGAGGCGTGGACGGGCATGAGACGAGACGGGGGGCATCTGAAGATTGAAGGTAAGGCAGAAAACTGGCTTGAGCTGATCCCAGCTTCTTCTCGCACCAGAGAAAAGGCGAGTACGATTTCCCACACGAGAGGAGGTGGGCGCGATCTCGCACATGAGAAGAGGTGGGTGCACACTCCCACACGAGCTCGTCGAGATCCGTTCGGTCGGCGTGCGACGCGCCGCGAATAGCCGCGAAGTGCCTCGAGATCCTCATTCACTCCTGAACTCACATGAGGTTGCCTGTGCCGCAACATACGTGCTGAAGGTGAGCACGAGGTAAGGAATCATCGTCATGGCTGTTGGGTATCTCGTCCACTCTCGTTCACTCGTGCGTTGACTTGTCCACTCGTGCAGAGAAGCTGAAGGCGAGAGAAGGAACATCGTTTGAGCTTGGGATCACCGCCGCACCCTCGGCCTCGGCTCGGGAAGCCCGAGGAGAGGAATCGTCATCATGGCTGTTGAGTATCTCGTCACGAGTGGAGACTCATGACGTCATGACGTCGACATTCCAGTACGGTTAATCCTCGGACTCTGTTCTACCCAAACCATAAGAAAACAACTAAGAGGACACCAGAGGGAGTCGCTGTGCAACGCGGCCTGATACGGGCACGTGATTATTTTTTAAAAAAAAAAAAAAAAAAAAAAAAAAAAAGCAAACACAGCAAATCCCCACACATCCCCACTTAGTACTTCCTCTCCATCATCTCCATCCTCGAGTGCTGACCTGTCCCGCCGCATTGCCAGTTGAAGCAGCTGTTGGCAGCGGATGACCATGTTAGCAGCAGCTCGCAACTTCACGTTCGAGCAGAGGGAACTACTAGTAGGTAGTCACACTTGGTGTGCATAAAACTCACTTTTTGTGGACAAAGTTGTTGATTCATCATTGATACCCGTCATGACGTCTTGCACTGCCGATTGGCGGACAAGGAAACTCCCTGTGACGCCAAATCCCGAGGTGGAAGCAAAGGTGGAGGTGGAGGTGGATGACGTAAGCAAGAGGTTGACGGTGCGGTGAAGGGGAGGTGAAAGGCACGAGATCGCTCTCGAGCCTCACTGATTCCGAGTCCAAACAGAAAGGATCAAACGGTGTAATTCGCAGGCGAAGAAAGACTACTAAAAGGACTAAGGTCAAGAGACGCGGCGGCGCCGCGCGCGAGGGCAAGCGTGAGGCCGCAGAGGTTGGCTCGAGGTCGTCGTGAGGCGTAAGCGGAGCGGCGCCTTACACTCACCCCTCCTTGAATCAATTCCCTCCTCCAGCTTCTGATGTAAGGGATCGTTCGTTGTTGTCTGCCTCTGAAACGCTTGAGAGTCCTCCGGGTTCGTTTGTAACTGTTGCGACTTTTTCTTGTTCGATCTGGTCCAGGTCGGGCTACGTTCTTGTTCGTTCGCGGATCAGTTCGGTTCGGATCGATTCGGGTCTGATTTCGTTCGGTTCTTGTCTTGTTCCAATCGGTATCTGGGGCGGGCGTGGTGTTGAAGCCGTCTCGCAGGGTGGCGGGAACGGTGTTTGAGGCCGTTTCGCAGGGCTGGGCTGGGCAGGGGCGATGGCGATGGCGGGAGCGGCTGTGGGGCCGGGTCGCGGGGTTCTGGTTCGTGTTCGAGTACGAAGAATTCCTGTCTTGGTTCTTGTTCGAGATCTCGTTCGGTTCGGGTTCTGGGTTCTGGTTCGTCTTCTCCTTCGCGGCGGCTGAGCGGGTCTGCACCGTGCGTCGCCGGGGCGGCTGCGAAGTCGAGTTCGAGTTCTGTATCGGTATCGGTGTCTGTATCGGTGTGGTCTCGGTGTGGTCTCGGTATCGGTCTCGGTGTCTTGTCTGGTTCGGGTTCGGGTTCGATTTTTCTCCTTCGCAGCCGTTGAGCGGCGTCGCATGGGCGGCTGCGAAGGTCGAGGTTTAACGTCGGGTTGGGACGGAGTCGTACATCCGAGTTGTCGGTTTCAAAAAAAAAGCGAAAGGCACGAGATCGCTCTCGAGCCTCACTGATTCCGAGTCCAAACAGAAAGGATCAAACGGTGTAATTCGCAGGCGAAGAAAGACTACTAAAAGGACTAAGGTCAAGAGACGCGGCGGCGCCGCGCGCGAGGGCAAGCGTAAGGCCGCAGAGGTTGGCTCTAGGTCGTCGTGAGGCGTAAGCGGAGCGGCGCCTTACAGGAGGTTGACCGTCAAGATCAAGGCCAAAAATGAGCAGCATGAAATGAGGTTAAGTCAAAGGTGGAGGTACAATGGGGAGGAACAGACGTAGAGGTGAAGGCAAGGGATGAAGGTGGAGGTGGAGGTGATTCGAGGTGGAAGCGAATGTGATGGTGATGGGGAAGGGTGAAGGTTGAAAGTGAAGACGAGAATCGGACGTGGTGAGGATGGTGATGGAGGTGGGGATGGTGTGATGTGGTGTGAAGGTGGTGTGATGTGGTGGGGATGGTGTGATGCGGTGGGGATGGTATGATGTGAAGGTGGATGAAGATGAACGGGCAGCAAAGGTAAAGGTGAGAGCAGGTAAGCCCAAGTCTGTCGTACGAGGTCGGGTCCGGCCGATGATGGCAGCTGCGCTGGCGGTGGCAGTGCATGGTCGGAGGCGGCCACAAGCGGGACTGACCCGATACAGTGATTTCCAAAAACCTGTCCCAAACTTTTTACCTCGCAAGACGACCAGGACTGCCGTGGGCCCCTCTTCGATCAAGAGCGTGCGATCGGAGGCTTGTCACGATCCGAGTCAAGACGAGAGGAGGGCAGTGCCCAGGTCAGCGACGGTGGTACTTGCAATGAGTGGGAGGGGTGAACTCACGGTGGCTGATGTTACACTACTGCCGACTTCCACCACCTACCGCCTCGGTGCTGCGTCGATGCGCTAGTCGGTTACGGCCCAGTGGTGGAGGAGCCATGTGAGAGGAGTTAAATTTGGTGCTTCGCGATCTTTGGCCCAGGGAGACGAGAACACGAACTTCAGTCAACGGTCGATAGCAGAGTCAGTGATTGGTGAGGCGAGATACCGATTAATTCCCTCCGTCAAGCATCGGGTGGTTCGAGTCATCGACCTCGAGATCTCACTTCCGATCATCATGAAGTAGTCCGAATCTCTGCTGGCGAGGGCGGTACGGTCGCCTTGAACGCGTACGCCGCCGATGACCCCGAGTCGGGTGCTTGCCGCGATCAGGGGGTCGGCTTCGTGCGCCGAGATGACGACGGGATCAGCAGCGACCCGAGCAGCTTAGTCAACATCCACTACCCACTCGCCAAGTCGGGCGGATTCCCTCGGAAGGCCGAGGCGTCGTAATAGTGGACGTGAGTCCACGGCGGGGACTACGTCGACGGATATAAATTATTGGTTACATAACATTGCGCAAGAGCATGACCCCTATATCTGAGCGTGCTAAATCAAGGAAGAATGTCCCAACGAGTAATTGCAATTGCGCTTCCTGGCGGACTCCGACGTCGACTCGGTCGAGAGCTCCACGTGTACGTAGTGTACCGACATGAACGGCGACGCCAATGCTCATCGCAAACCACCGTCGAGAAAAATCTTGGATGCCGGCCTGATTGTTGCCGAACTGCCTTGTCTTCGGGGAATAATACCGCTCCGCAAATCCCGGACCGCAGCGTCGAAGCCCCCTCGGCCAATCGAGCACCTTCCCGCCTTGAGAGGCGATGCCGAGGGCTTTGCAAGGCGATGTTAGACTGAGCTCATGCAATGCGCTTAGACCTGGGATACAACTCACCGGATGCTTTTCTTTTCCTTGCTCGACTTCTGGCATCTTCAAATGTTTTCCCCGGTTTGCTGGCTTCGTCTTTGCATCGATGTCTTGGAGCTCGTTCTCGCCGTGCTGTATGTCCGGAAGCCTAATCAGTTCCAACCCTCAGATAAAACTGTAGCGGATATTACACGTACGAGCAGAGAGTGGGAAAATGCATTGAACGTTTCGAACAGTTCTTCCGGCTTGACCGTTTTGCTGTCTTCTCCGTAGTACTCGAGCAGGGACACCAGATCGCGTTGTAGCTTATGGCTAGTTTGTTCGAGAGCAATGATGGCTCCCGAAGCATGGGACACGAACGTCTATTGAGGTCAAGCAGTTAGACCAGCTTTCGGTTTCCCAGGCCTTCACACTCGGTCCCAACACTCACCTCCATCAAAGAGATAAACTGATCACCTTGGACAGGGGCTGTGTCCTCGTGGGCCAAGGCTAACTCTTCTTGCACTTGGGCCATCCCATCGATTAAGCTCTTGACCGAAGCCATCACGGTCACAAACGAGACTGCTCACGTTGATTAGATGGACACGGTCACGATAGGTACGATGTAGATATCACCATCAAGTCGAGACTTACCACGTGAAGCAGCTTCCACATGCGGGGCCTCGTCTTCAGCCCAGGTCATCAGATCGGGACCCGATAGATCAATTGCCCGAACGAGATAATGCAAGAGAGTCGGAGTAGTTGAAGATGAGGATTTGATATCCTTGAGCTGGAGTTCGTGGCAAACCTGGTCAGTCGTGCCGGCCTACCTAATCCTGAGGCTCCTGAACCGTCTCACCTGCAGCAGCGCTCCAATGCGAAATCCCGCAGCGTTCCCACGAGAGGTGTTGGCGTTGAGGGTGTTTCCGAATTGTAAGACCATCTGGGACCGACACATACAGAATATGTACTCAGACTCTGCTACTCGATTGTGTGGTCGTCTCAACTCACCGCCAGCAATCTCTTCAGCTTCGTCCCCTCGCGCAGCTCGGTCGTCGCGCAGCGAAGGATCGACAATTCGGGCTTGAGCTCCTCCATCTCCATCTCAAGCTGTCGTCGGTAGATCATTGCCTTCAAGCGGCTAGGTAGTCGAGGGATGGTGATCATCTGTGATAGTTGGAAAATGATGAGCTTCGAGGGTGTCAAGGCGCAGTAAGGCTTGCGCTGGCTCACCTCATAAAAGTATCGGTCGGCGGGTGAGAGCAACTTCTTGTCTCCGCCGTAGCTACGCAGAAGTGTAATCTGAAGTACAAGATCCATCAGCAAGAATCTTGATCGTGTCGAGCACACCTTCGTACCTCTTCTGTCGTCGGCGCGAAATGCGCAATCTGCTTGAGCGTCTCGATCGACAGTTTCCCATCGTCCATAGAGAGGATCGCTTCTCGAATCTCTTGATGAGAGATCCGGATTCTCGCCAGCATGATTGAAACATTCTGAGCTCGAGTCATCCCCAACAACGTGGTGACGCCAGCCTTCTTCTTGCCTTCCGTCGCGGCGGTGTTGGCAGTCGCTCTGCCGGGTCCGGCTTTAGGGGCCAATTGAAAGACCTCGATCAAGTCCGGCAGCTCAGGATCGATTACGGCGGTATCGACATGCGACCAAACGTTCGAACTAGCAAGTTGATGCGGAGCGACTTTTGTCCAGAAGAAAGGGCGTGTTTTCTTCGGCGGCAAGTCAGGAGCCACTCGTGGCTTAGCTACGGCGGAGCTCGGTAGCGCACTCCCACCGCCAGCTCGGATCCAAGATGGTCCTATAGGTGGTGCGAAAGGAGTTGCTGATAGACCTTGTGGTTTCGAAGTTCTGATTGGAGGCGGTGGAGGCGGTGGGGAAGGAGCCACAGGGGGAGTGGGTCCCTTGGCCGGGGCAGGACTCGGCCTTGCGCTCCCCGAGAGGGCTGTTTTTCCTGGCTGCCTGAGTGGAGGTGGAGGTGGAGGCGGTGGGGGTGGGGGTGGGGGTGGAGGGCCGAGTTTGCTCATGAGCGGCTGCCGAGAAGCGAGGGTAGCTTGTGGTTTACAGTTCGGGCGAGTCGTATCCTGGGATACTTCTTTGGGGTTGTCCGAGATCTGAACTGCGGGCATAGGGAACCCGAGCAAGGCCTCAGCTCCCCGAGCGGCTTGAAGGCGAGCAATGAGCGGGGTCGTGGCTGCGCAAGTCCGGACGCTTTGAACGGGAGGCGCTGGGGGAGCGGGCGGGGGGGGCGGAGGCGGAGGGATGATTTCGACTGGAGTGGAAGTCAGAACATCGAATAATGTCTGGGTTGAAGGCTCGAGGAGATGTGCGTCCGGAGTGACAGGGTGTGTGGCCGGATCAGTTGGAGGAGGTGGGGCGGGAGCTCTCCTGCCGAAAGCGGTGAGAAGTTTGAGCCGTCTCTTTGCCTCGTCAAGCTCCATTCGGAGTCGCGCAATTTGCTCAATTTTTCGGCTCAGTTCGAGTGTCACGTCCGTCGAAGACGGAACCGAGAGTGATTCGTCGATCGAAGTCTGAACGCTCGCGTCCGTCGAGGGCACAGGCCGAACATAGCTCCGTGCGGCGATTTCTTCTTCCTTCTCGGCGAGGGCGTCTCGAAGTTTTTTGACCTTGTTAAGAAATGTAAAATACATCAAGATTTATAGTTGTCAGGGTTGTCTTTTGAAAGCGGCTCACCTCCGCCTCCCGATTTTCACCCTGACGCAACAGAGTCGTGATTTGATCCTGTAGAGCTTCAAGGTCTTCTTGAGGTTGTTGAATGCTAGCGCCAGCTTCGTAGACGAGTCGTCGCGTAGCTTCCACGACTTGGGGCCACAGGTCATCTCGGCCTTGCATGAGTTGTAGTAGTTCAACAGAGAGTGCACCTTCGGTGCTCGCCGATCTATGAAGCACGCATGATCAGTACTTTGTCCGGAGCGCCTACCTTGGGGAGCACTCACAACCTGAGCCCATCCTGTCGCCTAAGCGTTTGTCCGTGTTCGGTATCCTCGTCCCTTGCCTCAGCCCAGACGTTGAGTTGGGTCAGAAGATGGTCGGGAGGTCCCATGTACCGAAGAGCCTGTGACAAAGACCAGTTTCAGTCAGCGGCAGCTCAGGAATGTCTTCGTCGGTTGGACTTACCACGAGGATCTCATTCAGCCCCAATAGAGCAAACTCTGCTCGGAGCTTAGTTCGCACTTCTAGAAGATCGGGTGAGTTGACGAGTGCGTTGACCAAGCTAAGAGAGGTATCATCACTCTGCCAATTAGCGCCTACCCCCCCGGTGTTGTTTCTACACACCAGACAGGCGATCGCTCACCTCATCGCCGACGTTCTCCATTCCCAAATTCCAACGGGTCCATCTCCGCCCGTCTCCTCCTCACCCGTCAACTTGACTCCTTCGACGAGACATTCGAACCGATGTGCGACGTCGGCAACCGCGTGGTCAAAAGCTTCGAGTACAATGGTATGACCGTTTTCGCGCGATAGAACACACAGTGCTGCTAGGATGTCGACGATATGAGACCGGAGCTTGTAGGAGGAAGGTGAGATGTGCAGTGAGCAGACGAGTAGCTTGATCAAGTCAGGTGAAGCAAACACGTTCGAGAAACCGATCTGACAGGTGAGTCAACATATATGATCTCAGCTTCGTTCAACGGCATATTTGTGACGACCCAGTGGAGGGCGGACTCACATCCGTATTCATGAGCACCCGTAGACATTTCATGCATTCGGTCTGGACTGTTTCTTCTTCGTCGGTTGCGGCTTCGCTGCTGCGAGGCCATTCAGAGCTCCTTGTCAGTACACCGCGCGTGGCGACGATTGTGGAACTGTGCTGACCGAGTTTTTCTCTTCTTGACGATTTTCTCCAGAAGTCCTTGCAGTGCTTCGAGGCCTCGACATTCCTGTAGAAACTCCTCTGCCCAGGAAACCTTGGCAGTGGACAGTCGAACTCGAAGGGCGATGAGGTGCTTGACCAGCGATCTTTCGGAAACCTTACTGTTGCGGCAAATCCCAAGTGATCAGCCAGGAAACAAACACCTTGGAGAGGGATAGACTAACGAAGACTTGAGTTGATCGACATAGAACGCAGGCGTATCTTTCATCCCCGAAATCGACGCGTTTGACACCCCGGTAGGGTCCGAAGCGACGGTCCACCAGCTTGTCCAACTCGTACCACCCGTCGGCGCAGCAACGCCTGACGCATCGAATAGCGATCGGCCGACCGGCTGCCAGTGTACCTCGACAGGGGTCGCAGGAGTCTCAGACCACGCCACGATGCTTGCTAGGGATAAGCGCTTGAAGCTTTCAAAAGCTCCTGCTTGGCTTGGGGCAGCTTGATCGGGGCCTGTCTTGGATGGCCGTAGCGGGGTGGACGTTGAGCGGTGTTGAGAGATGAGGTAGCACTTTTGGTCGATTGGGAGCGCTCGCATTGTCGCGCGCTGAGGTTCTTTGATACCCAGATCGCCCTGTGTAAATTGGGTGAGACTCTTATGTCAGCTTTCAAAAGTAATTAAGTCTTTAGCTTTCCGGCTGCGTTCGTACCATAAGCTTCTCAATCTCACGGTCGACGTCTTCATCCGCTACAGGTAGCTCATGATCGTCGTCGGAAAAACTCTGCCGAGGTACACCACGCAAGCTCATGAAGTGCGTGGCGGGGATAGGTCCTGAAACGATCGTCTTGGGTCGTTCAGGCTTGGGGATCGCAATCACTTCGGTAGGAGATATCCAATCTGCGAACATCGTCGACAGCCGAGCTCGGGCCGGAAGGGGCTGTGAGGATGACTCCAATTGAGATGAGGATTCACCTGGAGTAGGGGAGGAGGTAGGTTTGGATTCGCGTTTGATCGTGGATCCACCTTCTCTCGGCTCCGGCTCTTCGGCCTCCCCAACTTGCGACTGAACGGAACCGCCTGGATCGGCATGATTGTTCGTCGCTGTCGCGGAGGCCCAGAGCTCGCCAAAGATGGACGCAGGCCTCCAGAGGGAGTCAGGTCGCTTGTACTGGCCCTCTTTTGAGGCTTGGGGAGGCATTACTAGTCGTGATGCGGGGTAGGCCATTTGCCAGGATTGGACGGGCACATCCGAGGCTAGACTTGAGCGCGACAGAGTTCCGTCCGAGGCCCTCTCCAGCAGATCTGCGCCGACCAGAGAGGAATCACCTTCCAGAAGCATGTCGAAAGTGTCTCTCATGGTTGTATGCTTGTTTATGAAGATACGTCTCTTAGAAAGATGTGTTTCGACGTCGACAAAATGCAAGCGATGGACGAGTCGAAGACGTGGCTCTTGTGCGCGTGTCGACGGGGCAATTGGCGGCGAGGAGCTCGAGGAAATTTCGACACCGAGGTTAGGGAAGAGGTCTTGGAGAAGCATCGTCGAGAGCAACAGGCCTGGTGAGGTTGAGAGATATCAGTTAACGTGTGGGACAGAATATTGAGGTCATAGTGGAGCGCTTCGCTGCCGTGTGGCAGTTGACGACCTCGTGAAGCTCGAACCCCGAGGAGCTGCACAAAAGGACCCACCATGTTCGTCGAGTACCGGAAGGTGACTGTCGGCTGTTGAGTGCTGCAGATCCACACGCTGCAACCCCCATAGGGAGTCATCTGAACTCTCCTCCGTCGCATCGTCATCGTCATCGACAATCGAGCGACGCACGGTGCCTGCCTCCGGCTCGTTGAGCACCTGTCGCACCAAATCACCGAGCGAACACGACGGGGAGATGAAGGTGATCAACGAGTGAGAGGTTGAGATGGGTTTGCCAGGGAGGAGGATGTGAAGCAGCTCCATGTGAGGTTTAGCATGGATCAAATGGGGCAAGGTCAAGAGAGTGAGCTTGTCCGTGCGTGGTTCGTGGTTCGGAGAACGCTGACTCACCAAGACAAAGTTCGAGCTTGAGGTACGTGCACGACCGGAGCTCAGTCACGTGATCTGGGACCCACTTGATCGCTGGAACCGGGATTCAAGTTGGCGCGCCGGGTCCTTTTGATTTCTGGGCATACGCTTTGCTGCGAGACCATCAAATAAAAATAAAAATGGTTTTGGGCCCGCTCTTTGCGGAATGCTTCGCTGTCTTGTTTCAGGGAGTGCTACTCAACTGTATACAAAGTGAGCCCATGACCTCACGCGTTGCTTCAGCTCCTCTTCGTTGGAGCCAGCTTGCTTGAGATCGGGGACTGACTCAGTCTTCGCGTTGCAACAGCTTCAACCAGCTTATGCCGAGCATGCTGCCCGACGTATCAACTACCCTGTGACTCGGACGATTCCCTCCACTACGACGCACTAGAGGATGACGAGGAATGGCAAGCCAGTCGAGATTCGCGAACGGCGCGTGGTGAGCGATCGAGTCATTCTCCGGCGGCGGCGGCACGATGGAGCGACCAATCCGTGCAAACCGATCCACCGCCGTCACAAGAGCAAGGGAGCTCACGGAACGGCAAATCGTCAGAACGGGTCATTCGAGAGGAGCCTAGGGAAAGCAAGATGGAGAGGACACCCCTAATGCCTCGCACAAGTCGCGCCCCACAACAATCACGCTCGGCGGCTCCAATTCTCGGTCTTGAAACTTCGTCATCATCTTGATCGTCGATCCGTATCCGGTCACAGTCGCCCGCCGATGTTCCTTGCAACACGATCAAATTCGATCAGTCCTTTGTGCAATCCATCTGGATGTGGGCATATCTTTGTAATCGATGCCCCGATAATTAGTCACGATGCTGAGCCTAATACACGCGACATTGGCGGTTGTGAGACCATTTTGCTGGCGCCAGCCGCGCCCTGCCAGCCCTGCCGCGCCGACAGCCGATCGCCGCTCCTCGGGACTCTGTCGCTCTCTCGCTCTTACCACGCGCAGTGCTCACTTGGGGCTACCACCAGGATGGCTCCCCCCACAGTGGTCCATCCGTCTTCCCCACCAGACCGGAATGAACCATCCACCTCTGGCTCCAATCAACGGGCACCGGTCGTCGATCCACTCCCCCATGGCCTCCCGATCCGCTTCTCTCGCCTGTCGGTCCCATCGTCGTCATCGCCGCTGCTCGGGACGCCCGCCGGTGGGGGAACCTCGGAGGCGCTCGTCGCGACCTTGGGAAGCGCGATGATCGACTTGATCAGCCTCGGTCCGGTACGGAGGGTTGTGAGGTCGACGATCAACCAGCGACATCGGGCACAAGAGGATCCGGGGACGACCTTGAGCGAGCGAGAGCGAAGAGATCGGACGAGATCGATCGTCGCCGGCGTAGAGGGCGTCGTGCACCAGGTAAGTCGAGAGAACGTCTAGAGTGGCCACAGTGGAAACACGGTCCGCTGACTTCGGATACTCGCGCTTTACAGGGCGAGATGCTACTGATTGTGGGGCCCCCACCGGCGAACGTCTCGACTTTGCTTCGAGCGCTCTCATCACCGTCCGATCTGCCCATCTCGGCCTCGTCCCATCTCGACTATGGCCAATTACCACCTTCGACCGTTAACAGACCGTCCATTATCCCGCCCTATCCCGCCAACGCGGGCAAGCTCCGATCCCAGGTCGTCTATATGAACGACAACGACGTCCACTTTGCCACTCTCTCGCTTCGCAACTCGATGCTGCCTGGCTCGCTCGCCAAAACCCCAGGGACACGGGCACGACTCGATGGATCGACGAGGAGACAGTGGGCCGACTCGCAACTGAATCGACATGTCGATGCCATGGGCCTCTCTCACGCGATGGGCACCAAGGTTGGCTCTCCCGTCGTCCGAGGGCTTTCGGGTGGCGAAAGGAAGCGAGCATCCCTCGTCGAAGCCCTCTTGACAAGGGCTTCGGTCCTGCTTTTGGAAGCTCCGACATCCGGTCTCGATTCGTCCACGGCTCTGAGCGTTTTGACGTACCTCCGACATTGGGCCAAGCGGGGCAAGCGGTCGATCGTCGCGACGGCCCCCCACATTGCAGATCCGCTCTATTTTCAGTTCGACAAGGTGCTCGTTCTCAACTCCGCCGGTCGTCAGATCTACTTCGGCAAGACGAGTGATGCGCAGGCATACTACGAAACACTCGGACTTGGTTTTCATCGACGCACCGAACTCGGCGAAGGAGTGGCCGAGTTTCTCGTGGCATGCAACGAGGGTCGTGGTAACGATCTAGCGCTCGAGAAGGCATGGATTAAGAGCGAGGCCCGACAGCAGGTCGCGAATGAGATTGCAGACTACGACAAGAGATACCCCCTCGAAGAATGTGCTCAACCTTTGCTCAAAGCCCTGGATCTGGAAAAGAGCCGAACGACCCAGGCCCACTATACCGTTTCGTTCCTGTATCAGGTAAGCCGAGCGCCACGGGTGGCAGATCGGAAGACGAGGCTAACGCTTGGACTTTACTTTTCGAAAGGTCCTCCTCCTCACCCGACGACAGTATGCTCTCGTCTACTCCGAGCTGCCCGGCTACGTCACCAAGACAGTTGTCAACATCCTGCTGTCCATCACTGTGGGCACACTCTTCTTCCGACTACCACCAACCTCGTCTGCCGCTTTCACTCGTGGAAGTTTGTTGCTTCTCTCGATCATGTTCAATGCATATCTCTCACTGGCCGAACTCGGAAAGGCGATCGAAGGCCGAGACATCGTTAGGCGGCAAGGAGATTGGGGCTTCTTTGGAAGCAGTGCATTGGCACTGGCTCGAGTGGCCGGTGATATCCCGCTCATTTTTGCACAATGTCTGCTCTTCGGTACCGTTACCTACCTCATGGCGGGTTTGCAGGTGAGTGGCCGTGCTCGCCTTATAATGCGCAGTAGTGCCGCGCAAATGACTCAGTTGCTGAATCAAAGCTCCCTCGTGACTGACGCGTACCTCTCTTCAACCTGCACAGTCAACATGGTCCCATTTTTTCATCTACATTATCTTCGTGAATGCGACAGCACTCAATCTTTCGTCGATGTTCCGCATGTTCGCCGCCTTTTCCCCTGGCTTTGAGGAAGCCATCCGCTTCTGCGGCATTTGCCTCAACATCCTCGTCATTTTTGCGGGTTACTTTATCCCGACACCATCGATGCGGAAGGGTCTCAAGTGGATTCATTACGTCGTTGATCCCATCTCTTATTCATACGAGGTGAGCTATTCGCGCGCGTGTACCTCGTGCCGTCTGACATGACCTGACCAGGCTCAATGGACACGTCTAGGCCGTGCTCGCCAACGAGTTCCACAATCTCAACCTTAGTTGCTCTCCGGACGATATCGTACCCTTCGGACCAACCTACACCCGCCCAGAGTACCAAACTTGCTTGCTAGCGGGGTCGACCCCCGGCTCGCTCACGGTATCAGGCGACGCCTATCTGGCCATCTCGTACGATTTCCACTACTCCCATATCTGGCGCAACCTCGGCATCATGGCCGCTCAAGCTTTTGTCTTCCTCGTCATCGGTGTTGTCGCGACCGAGTTCTTGCACTTTGCTTCTGGAGGCACGAAGCGCGTGTGGGCTCGCACGAAGCGCGTGATGAAGAGGTTGGAACGAGCCAATCGGTGGTACAAGCAACGTAAAAGCGATGAGGACGACTATGGGGTCGACTTAGTGCCGATGTTTGAGGAAGATATGCACGATGACGAGGAGGAGTTGATTCGTCAAAGTCAAGGGGTGCAAGATGGGAGCACACTGATGTGGAAGAACGTGTGTCTGTGGGTCGATACCGAGTCGGACACAAGAAGGTTGTTGGATCATGTCGGTGGTTACATCAAGCCTGGTCGGGTCTGCGCACTGATGGGCGCCAGTGGAGCGGGCAAGTCGACGCTGTTGAATGTGCTTGCAGGAAGGACGGTGGGAGTCGTCCGGGGAACCATCTTGGTGGATGGTATTCCGCCCGACGAGCAGTTCTATAGGACCACCGGTTTTTGCGAGCAATTTGACTTGCATGGTCAGGCTCTTATCCTCACTTTTGACTGGTATGATCGCATCGAGCGCTAAAGATGCCTTCTTCTCGTGCAGATGAGCGATCTACCATTCGTGAAGCACTTGAATTCTCGGCACTCTTGCGTCAAGACGCCAGCATCCCACGAGCTGAAAAGCTAGCTTACGTTGACCACGTGCTCAGGCTTCTCGACCTGACCTCAATTCAGGATGCGATAATCGGCACACCTTCGGAAGGCTTGAATGCCGAGCAGCGCAAGCGCACGACCATCGCCGTCGAAGTTGTCAGTCGACCTCGCATCCTCTACGCTGACGAACCGACGACCGGCCTCGATTCTAAATCGGCTCTCAAGGTCGTCAAGTTGCTTCGTCGACTTGCAAGGACGGGCTTGGCGATCATCTGCACGATCCATCAACCTTCGGCCGAGACGTTCAACGTCTTTGATGACGTACTACTCCTTCAGCGCGGTGGAAGACAGGTCTACTTTGGTCCGAGGGACGAGTCGATCGCCTTTTTCGCTAGTCTCGGGAAGGAGAATACGCACCAGAACCCTGCCGACTTTCTACTCGACGTCGCTGGAGCCGGTCTGGCATCGACGGATGGAGAAGACCCCAACAATGAACCCTTCGTCGAGGATCCCCCTCCCGACCAGGACGTTGCCCAAAAGTGGAAGGACTCGAGGGAATGCGATCAACTCGCCGAAGAACTGGACACTCTCTGCGCGGCACCCAAGAGGCTTCGACGCAAGGTCGCCGTACCAGGGACGTGGTTCGAATGCGTCGAGTTGACGAAACGAGTGACTAGGCACTACTGGCGAGACCCATCGTTCTCGTACACGAAGCTCTTCACTTCAACCATTGTCCCGTTCGTGATTGGTCTGTCCTTCTTCCGGGTCGCACAGGAGTACTCGATCGTCTCGTTCCAGAATCGACTGTTCTCAGTCTTTTTGCTCTTGTTTGTGCCGGTTGTCTGGTTGGTGAGTGCGACTTAGAATGCACGCTCTGCTTTCCCGTATTGAACTAGGCACCTTCTCTTTCGTTTCCAGAACGTTATCATCTTCAAAATCTTCAAGCTCCGAGGCCTGTGGGAGGCTCGCGAACGCCCGTCGAAAATCTACGGTCGCACGGCGTTCATCACCAGTCTTCTCGTCTCCGAGCTCCCCTACTCGCTGGCATGCGCAACGCTCTATTTTGTCATTTGGTACTTCCTCGTTGGGTTCCCACTCAAGTCGGAAACACTCGGGTTTGGTATGTCCTAACTTCGAGATGATGATTGGCGGGGAGCGTCCACTGACTTGCTCTTCCACTCCTACAGCCTTCCTCATGATCCAGCTATTCTATCTGTTCCAGGTGAGTTTTCTCATTTCACTCATCTCACAATTTCTACATTTCATTGTTGATGAGGTTTTTACAATACCTCCCGTAGTCGACATGGGCGTTGTGGATCGTTTCACTCTCGCCCGACATCGGAACGATTGCGAACTTGCTTCCTTTCTTCCTCGTCAGCATGGAAGCCTTTAATGGCGCTCTGATGTGAGCAAAGCTTCCTACACCCAGCCGTCGGAACTGTGTCACTGACGAAGCCTTCGTTCATCCCCCCTTTGCGTCCCCCCTTTGCGTCCCACAGGCCATACTCTCAGATGCCATGGTATTGGCGATGGCTCTATTACGTCTCACCCTTCCAGCACTACGTACGATCGATGCTCGGCAATCTCCTTCACGGACAGCCCATCTCGTGCCTGCCATCCGAACTCGTCACCTTCGAATCGCCCTACTCAGTTTCATGCGTCGATTACATGCGCACCTACCTCCGCGAGAACGCCGGTTACCTCACCAACCCAGCCTCGACGACGACGTGCTCATTCTGCAAGTTCTCGAACGGGGATGATTATTTGGCGACGCTCAACATCGCCTACCAGGACCGATGGCGTTCGCTCGGCGTCTTGTTCGCATACACGATCACGAACGTCATCATCGCTTATGGGTTGGTGTTTTACCCTGTTCCTTGGGGCAAAGTGCTGTTTTGGCGCCAGAGTGGAGGGAGACAACATGCTCGAGCCGAGATGGTTGCGACGAAGGAGTACGAACGCGAAGTCGCGGAGATATTGACGGCGACGACGTTGAGGACTTAGGATGGAGATGGACTGCGCAGAGGGAAGACGTGGCCTGATGATTGACTGGACTGTTTACGAGGAAATATGCTTTGCAATGATTTTACGAACTTCTGCTCAAATGCAAAACAACGAAAAGGGGACAAAACGAGAAAAACCACAGCTGCACATGATAAAACGTGAGACCTACCTACCCCATCATTAGCCCGCGAGCGTGCCATTCAACCTCTTCTCCAGTTCGGACAGGATCTCCCCATCCGCGACCGCGGACAACCACGTCATCCTGAACCCTTCCAAACCACCACAACGTTGAACGACCATGCCCAACTGTTGCGAAATGAACGTCGCAACTTTGACGCTTCGCACGGGATCGATCCTCGCCAACGCCCCTCGTCGGGTGGTTTCCAACGTATCGACGTAATCGACTTGGGCGTCGGATTCGACTTCGTACACCTCGGCGGCGCCGAGGTCGTCTTCCTCTGTTTGGGCGAGGACCGAACACCACGTCGAGACGATCGGGATGAAGTGGTGGTGTAATGTTGGAGCGAGCGCGGGTGGACAGGAAGAGGTGAGGGACGCAAGCGCGAGTGCGATCAGTTTGCGATGACCCTCGGAGGAGATGAAGTCGAGCTGTGCGAATCCCAGCGTCAGCAAGCGTGAAATGAGGAAGACGAGTTCCGAAACCTCAGCTCACCTTCTCATTACAAGCAACGACGACGGTCTCCAAGATAGCAGCTTGACCCAATCCCGTCCTGGCAGCACTTGCCTCGATCAATTGGAAGAAGGTCTCGGGTCCCGCCAAGACGATCCTCGCAAGTGCCAACAAGTACCTCGTCACCGTCCTCGCCTCCCTTCGATCCTCAGGTTGGGGCCTCATCGCCGTCCATAGTTTGACGAATACGATCGAGTCTTCTAGCTGCGCTGCCCACAGTTGGATGGGACACGTTTGGAAGATGGTCGTGAGTCCATGGAGAATGACTTTGGTCGGTTCGAATCTGAGGTCCGCTGAATCGTCACCCAAAACGGTCGAGAAGGCTCGGAACAAATCGCTTGAGCAAAGCCGAAGGATCTGAGGCCCGTCAAGAAGGAGGTAGGATTCGAGGATCGCGAGACATCGCGGGAGCATATCGGTTCCGGCCGCGAGGAGGGTGATGAGTAATGGAATGAGCGCGACTAGTTCCGGTGACAGTGCCGAAGAGCGCTTGAGTAGGGCCTGCCAGAGCTCAAGACTGTCTTCTTGAAGGTAGACGTGCGAAGGCTGTCATTTTCGAGTTCGTCGATGTCAGTGATCCGCACCATGTGGCTACTCGACACATCGCATCCTAAACTCACCGATGACGGGTCCGCGCTGTGCTGCACGATCGGACAAACCTGAGCGTGCAACGCCTGTGCTTTATCACCAAGTGCCTGCACTTTTAATCATGATCAGTGCCAGCTCCACCAAAATTTACCGTAACACAGTCTTCCGTGCTCACCTCGACGAGCTTGGTCAAAGTCACGATCACTGACACTTGGAAATGGTTCTCTGCCGTTCCCGACCAAAGCGAAGCAAGGATCCCGGCGAGTTGTGGTGCATAGGGGGCGATCTGGTATGGTCAGACACGTGTCAGCCGAAATTCGGTCGTAATTTCATCCTGATCTCGTAGCACGGTCACTCACATAAACGCCGACTCGATCGATTACGATCCCCAGAGCCTGATTCACCCTCATTTGCGTATCACTCGAGGTCACTTCACCCAACAGCTGCACGACTTCCTCGATCGCACTCGGTAAAAATGGCAAGAAGCTCTGTTGATCAAAGTCCCAGGTATCGCATTTGGATAAACTCGTCGTGGCGGTCAGTCGAATGGCTTGGTCCGTCGAGGCGTTGCGTCCCAACAGGTGAACGAGGACTCCATAGATCTGACTTCGCGTCGCAGGGTTGAGGTCCTCGCCGACCCAATTGCCGACGAGCCAAGCTATCCTTCGTCGAATGATGCGCTCGTTCGGTGACGTCCCATGCGCCTCGGGGATCAACGTCGTCGTTAACCAATTCTCAAAGTCAATCGATTCTTTGAGGTCGGCCGGACAGTGCCCCAAAGCGCAGTACACGCCTTCCTTGAACAGCAAAGCTTCCCATTCGTTGTTCTGTCCATCGACGGAGATGGACCTCCTCAACCATGCCTTCATCATAGGCGCCAACTCGTCCTTGTAGTGCGAGAGCAAAGAACGGAAAACGTATTCCGCGCAAGGACGGAGTTCAAACTCTTCCCGGTTGGCGGCCTCTTCGTTCATCCATTCCTCGGGGTCGTCTCGCCATTTTTCGAGATCGCTCTGGCGCAAGGGCATCAACCGCGTGACGAGGATCTCTGCGAACTCGGGAGCAAAATTGAGCGGTAGGCTCGCCAAGGGCGACGTCGAGGCCCAATCGCCTAGGGTGGATCGGAGGAAGAGGAGAATGTGTACGACGAGTCGTTCGGGGTAGAGCGAGGTCACCTCATCTGATGCAGGCACGACACCCACCATCAGTCTCGAAGGAACCCCTCCAGAACAAGGGTTTTTGTACCCACTCACCTGAGATGCGACTCGTGTCGATACTAGCCTGTTGAACGATCGAAGAGAAGTGGAGCACAATTTGCTCGCTCATACCCATCTTGTCGAGCGAATCCGGCGCTTGGGTCAGCAGGTTGCGGTAGAGTTTGCAGTAGGAGATGACGAGCTTGGTGAGGTAGCCGAGACGGGGGCAAGTCGGGACCTTGACATGGAAGGCGGAGAGGATTGAAAAGCGCTCGTTGAATCGGGACCCAAAAGATTCGAGAGTCGAGACAAAGAACGACTGAACGGAAGGGAGGAGTCTGATTGGATCAGCTCCCAAGAGAGACAAGGGGTTCGTTAGACGGCTCGTCACTGACTTTTGCTCTTTCGTCCTGCGAGGGGTCCTTGAAGCCGTAGACGGTCATTTTGGACAGTATTTTGAACGCCAGCAGGGTCAACTCGGCTTCTTCGATGTCGTCCCCTCTGTAGCCAAGGTCCGCGGCCGTGAAGGGGGTGCCTTTGCACCACCCATATTCGGCCAATCTTGCTCGGGCCATTCCCAGGGTTGCGACGTGCGTTTGGCGAACGGTGGAAAATAAGATATCGGTAAAGAGACCCATTATGGTTCGCCCACGCAGAGTGCGGTTCGACGAGAGGGATTTGACGGTCTGGTGGATGTAGAGCAGCGTTCGATGGACGACCAAACGAGCATATCGAGCGTCTTGGCTAGTGAGTCCGACTTGGAGTGACTGGAGCAAGGACAGCGGCAACTGTTCCCTGTAGACGCATGATCATCATCCAAGAGACACAGGTCAATATCTTTGCTCGTTTTGTGGTTCTCGTGGATGCGTACCAGTCCGTGCCATAGTCGAGTCTTGCGATCTTGCCGATCGAAAGCGCCACCGTTTTGGCGAGCTTTTCGGCAGGAGAAGGGAAAAACGAACGAGCGCGTCAACGGAAGCACGCAAGGGGACGAAAGCGCTGGATCATCAACGCACCACTCGATCAGGCACATCGACCATGGCCAGCAGCTTTGATCTTATCGCTGCCTTTTCCTCGTCACTCAAAGGGCTGCGAAACAACCGAGGAGCGATCAGTTCTACGAGTCGACCTGCGTGCGATCCTGACCGCCAACTGCGAGCTCACTTGATCGCTGTCTTCCTCCACTGTCGATCGACACCGTTCTTGAACTGCACCCCGGCCTGCAACTTGATCTGTCGATCCAGGTGCGCACTCGTGCCGGCGCTCGCGCTCGCACTCGCACTCGCATCCGTCACCGGCTCGCGACACGAGAAGATGGTCACCAGCGCATCGTAGTAGCCCGGATGGGTCGTGAGGGATTGCAGTTGGTCCGAAGCATTCGTTCGTGCGGTCGGGTCGGGGGAGAGTGCCGAGGCCAACGCGGGGAGGATGTGTTGCACCAACGCGGAGCGCGACGACGAAGCCAACGAGCGCGACGACGACTCCTCTTCAGCCCCAGATCCGATCGCCATAGTTAGAGCACCACCGAAGTTGGGTGATAAAAGTCGATCGCACGTTCGACAGTGACGGGATCAAAAGAAAAGGTGCGGCGAGACCGAAGTGGACGGGAGGGAGAGAAAGAGAGAGAGAGAGAGAGAGAGCCAACTCGGCACCGGTCGCTTTGACCCATTCCCCAACTTCTCGGAGACCTCTATTGTTGACAGAAGCTCTCTGAAAGATGCTTTATTCGTTTTACTTAAAAGAACAACATCGTCGCGCATCACTGCATCCGAAACGCGTATCTACCACAGCATCAGACACGTCAAAGGAGCAGGGCGCCCACGGTTTTGCCGAGAGCCCCCATCGTGCCCTTTTCTGCGCTTTCTACATCAACTTCCTGGCCAGTTCCCGATAATGAGCCACCTCGGATTGACTCTTGGAATGACTCGTGTTGCTTCCCCCCTGGCGTTCGCACGGAAAGCAGCTGTATCAGCCTAGTACTTCATAAGGAACGAGAACCCCGGGCCAGCGCGCCAAAAAAAAACTCACCGACAAGATCGCTCCAATCTCTTGGTAGTGCGCTTTCAGGAACAAACCCCTCTTGTCCGGATCCTGGATCTTGTCCGCTTGATGGACCAACAACTTGTCGACTTCGTTCCTCAGTTTGATCAGATGATCAAACACCACAGGAAGGTGATCCTCTCCGATCGGTCCACTACTTTGGACTCGAGTCGGATGATCATCACCTTCCATCAAAGTCGTCGCTTTGGAGGTATTGGAAGTTCCCACCGCGAGTTCAAGAACGGTGTTGAACATATCCGCATACCTTCTGATGATGATCCTCACCACCGAATCCTTGACCGCCCCACCCGTACCCGTTTTCGCACCCGTCATGGACCCAAACATACTCGCCATCGAAGAAGTCGTTCCCGAACCCGACCCATTGATAGCTTTGATCGAATCAAGCTCGTTCTTCATCGAGCTGACGAAGAGAGGCCAGAGCTGCATGCGGATGGAGATGAGATGCGCTTCCATCGCTGGACAGGTTGGGATGGAGGGAACGATGAGTTGGAGTGGTTGTTCGGCTTCGTCTTGCATTTGTTGGAGCATGGCGGTCGAATTGATCACTTGGACGGGTGGTGCGGAAACGAGTCGGTTTAGGAGCGCTTCGTTGAGACGTATCATGGAGAGCAGGGCGATGGGTGAAGGTGGGGAGGCAGGGTCGAGCAAGGCGGCCGTAAAGTTCTAACAAGATCGTCCTCACGCAGGTCAGTCGCTGTTTCCTCCTTCACAGACAGCGAGTTTAAACACTCACCCTCATGTATTCCTGCGCGGGTTCCATGACCAACTTCCACAACCCCTCCACCACGGTCCTATTCAACCTCCCGCTCTTCTCCTCCCTCGTCGTCGTCGTCATCCAATTCGAAGTCGACATCGACAAACCCGAATTCGACTTGAGCTCCAACTCGAACTGACTACCTGATTCATCCTCGTCCAAAGGTGTCCTCGTCCCCGCTTGTCCAGGTCCGGAGACGGAGATCCAACTCGCCGTCGAAGTATCCCCCGCGCGAGGCACCTTGGCTCCATTCGCACCCTCGGCAGCGAACAAGGAAGGCGTTCTAGGCTCGTTGACGTTCAATGACGAATGCGTCCCGAAAAATGTCGATAGGAACGCATACTCCGTTTCGGCGTTGTCGGACATGACCAACGAAGCGGAGCGGAATAGGTATTCGGGCGAAGGTTTGGTCGGCGTTGAAGTCTTGTCGGTCGTCGAAGCGACGGTCATGATCGGTGGACCACCTTCGACCCTCGAGTTGGCGATCGCAGAGTTCAAGCCTCCCGTCGCGGAAGTGGGAGTCGCCGAGGGATGTTGATTCGCCGGTCTCTTGGCCAGTAAGGACAAGCCTCCATCGGCTCCTGCTCCGACGACACCGATCGGCTCGGGGACTTGAACGCCCTTGACCCTGACTTTTTCCAAGGTTCGGACGTAGCGTCGGAAGCCGGTCTCGTAGTACCATCTCATCGTGTTCGTGTAGGCTTTCTGAAACTCGTGCGCTTGACGAGCGGCGTGACGACGCAAGAAATCAAAGAGAGGTTTGAGGGGAAGGAGCACGAACGTTTGCAGCGAGGAGAGGGGCGAGTTGATCGAAGTGGTGAAGGGCTTGATGAGCGAGACCAAGTGCGTCAAGATCTTTTGCGCGGCCTGCGTCGAGTACGTCGCGTCAACTGCTGCGATCCCAATGGGTCAGGCTGCACCGAACTCACAGCCACACGAAGAGCCTCAGCAATCTCATCCAATGCTTTGCGACCCTGGATCCTGGGACCACTCTTGATGGCGCCTAGCTTTTGGTCCAGCTCGGGAATGGCATCGATCCAGTGGTCGCCTACGGGTGTTTCGATGATGGTGTGGATGAGAGGTGGGGAGAGGGTGATGGATTCGAGATAGGGGTGGAGCGAACGTTCAACGGCCTGTGGAGGACATGGTGGGGCGGAGGAGAGTAGTATCCCGTCAGTACCAGATTCGGATCATCCGCCTGAGGCGAATGGGGTCTCCTACCTTTCTGGCCTGCAGTCGCCCTTCGATCGTTTTGCTGCGCCCCTGAAGGTCAGCGACGTGGCCCGAGACGGCCGAGAGGTCCTGCTGAAACGTCGAGAGGAACGCGGACAAATCTTTCAAGAGACTCGTACTTGTCTGTGATGTGACGCGGGCAATCAATACGCGGAGTCGTTGCAGGTGATGACCAGACCGCCTACAACTGACGTCGACCTGTTCGTTCAATTCGACAAATTCATGCGCTCGATCGAGGTCTGAGGGGGTTCAAACAAGCGTTCAGCTCCTGATCGTTCCACATGGCTCCAATCTCTTTCAAAAAAGACACACAATCTCTATCCTGCTGTCGTTCGCGTGCCTGTTGATCCTGCAATGCCTCGACGTAGGCGGCGCGCACGTCGGTGCCGAGCTCTTTGGCTGCGCCGGCCCAGTTCGGGTAGACTGTGGGGGTTGGGTCAGTATGGGAATTTGTTCAAAGATATAAGATAGAACTTGCGGTCTGGATTGAGGTTGGGATCGGTGGCCAAGCTGGTCTGTGAGTCGTTAGCGAGGTAGCGGTGACGGGTCAGAGCCACGGTCGGGAGGGACGTGGAGTTCGCACGGGGCGAACTTACGCCGGCCAGTTTGGAGGTCGAAGCGAATGTTCCCCCTTGGGAAGGGGAGAAGCCAATCAACTCCGAGAGCGTTGCCATGGTCGGGCCGAGGTGAGGTCCAGCGCGCTGAGGTGGAGGGAGAGCGAGGGAGACGGGCGTGGGGAGCCGCTGACTGAGCCCGCGTTACAAGTGGCCCAAGGAGCCGAGTCGGAGCAACTGCGCGTTGAGATCTTGAGAGGTGAGATCGGTGAGACGTGAAGCTGAGCTGAGGAGATGAGGCGAAAGGCAGCCGCACGTTCGAGAGGGGAGGGTCCGTGCGCGACGGAAGCGAGTGCGCGACGTCGATCGAGGCCAGTTCGAAACTGTTCGTAGACTAATAGCTGGAATTCAAATTCTCCTTAGCCTGCTCCTGCTCCTGCTCGCTTCCGTTCCTCACCCCACCGACTTGCTCGACGTCGGCTTCGGCTTCGGATCCGGTGCACGATGTCGATTCGGATCAGCAGCCGTACACGTGGTCGTCGTGCTCGCGCCTCGTCGAGTGAGTTCGCCGCCGTCGTTCGTTGACGCGAGTGGGGGAGAGAGATTCGGTCATCCCTACCCCACCGCCGCCCGCACTCGACCGCACTCGACCGCACTCGACCGCACTCGCGCCGGTCGCACCACGCCCTGCACAGCTTGTACTGACCCTCCATGTGTTCGACTCACAGGTGAGGACGAGGCCTCCTCGTCTGCTCCCACGAGCAAGGTCAACTCGCCCGCCCAGCCGGCCCCGAAACGACCTCGCTTCACGATCGCGATCGCGCCGACTCGTCGTGGCGATCGCGCCTCGTCCGTCTCGTCCCAGGACAGCATCGACCATGGCAGAGCCCGGTTGTATCGCGATGAGGGATCCGACAACGGAGAGCCTTATTCAGACGAAGCCGATCTCGCTCTTCAGCAGCAGCAGGACGACGACGACGACGACAACTACACCTCGGACGACGACCCGTACAACCGCGCCAACGCAAAGAAGGCCAACAAGGGCAAAGCCAAAGGACCCAGCTCCGGAGCTCCGACCACGATCAAACTCAAGCTATCCCACGCAGCAGCTCCCCAGGACGATGGCAATGACAGCGATGCAGCTCCGATTGACCCACTACGCAAAGGCGACCTCGTGTCGTCCATCTTTCGCGAGTCGCGCGACTTCACCAACCTCCCGCTCAAACCGGACCACGCCACTCGCCCCTTCTTCATCAACCCCGACACCTTCAGCATCATCCTCGAGGCCTTCCACGTCCTCGCACCCCAAGCCACCGACTTTCTCATCGCCATCGCCGAACCGATATCCCGCCCCAAGTTTCTCCACGAGTACAAGCTCACCCCTCATTCGCTCTACGCCGCCGTCTCGGTCGGCCTCCAAACGGAGAACATCATCGAAGTCCTCAACCGCATGTCCAAGGTTCCCGTCCCCGAATCGATCGGTCGCTTCATCAGGGACTGTACCAGGTCCTACGGCAAGGTCAAACTTGTGCTCAAGCACAACAAGCACTTTGTCGAATCGTCGCATCCGCAGGTCTTGAGGGAGCTGCTCCGCGACAAGGTCATTGGGCCGGCTAGGGTCCCGTTCGAGGAGCAGGTCGCTGCCGAGGGTGGGTTGAGGACCGACAAGGCGCCGACCAAGGCAGGCTTGGTCATCCCTGGAACGAGGCAGGCTGGAGCAACGGGTACCGAGGGGTCAGCCGACGCGGCGAGAGCAGGAGCTGAGGCGGACAAGGACAACGCGGGTGGGAGTGCAGCTGCTGCGGCCGCCGCTGCCGCCGCTGCCGACGATGACTTGTTCACTTCTGTGATTGGACTCGCTAAAGGTAAGCGAGCCCATTCTCCCTCAGGCCGATGTGCAGCACTGACCTGTCGGAAGATTCGCGCTCTCGCAGAGGACGATCTTGACGACGAAGAGGTGCACTCGTTCCAAATCAAGGAGAGCGAGATCGAGACCGTCAAGCGGCGGTGCCTGGCGATCGAGTTCCCCATGATGGAGGAGTACGATTTCCGCCACGACGAGATCAACCCGACGCTCGAGATCGACCTCAAACCCACGACTACGATCCGATCTTATCAGGAAAAGTCGCTGGGCAAGATGTTTGGTAACGGGCGGGCTCGATCGGGGATCATCGTCTTGCCGTGTGGTGCGGGAAAGACGCTGGTGGGGATCACGGCCGCAACGACGATCCGCAAGTCGTGCATCGTGCTGTGCACTTCCAGCGTCAGCGTGATGCAGTGGAAGCAGCAGTTCCTGCAGTGGTGTACGATCAAGGACTCGGCGATCGCCGTCTTTACCGCCGATCAGAAGGAAAAATTCTTGGGTGACGCAGGCATCGTCGTGTCGACGTATTCGATGGTGGCGAACCGACAGAAGCGATCGCACGAGTCGCAGAAGATGATGGACTTTTTGACCGGTCGCGAATGGGGGTTCGTCCTGTTGGACGAAGTGCACGTCGTGCCCGCGGCGATGTTCCGACGTGTCGTTTCGACGATCAAGGCCCATGCCAAACTTGGCTTGACGGCGACGTTGGTGCGAGAAGACGACAAGATCGACGATCTCAACTTCTTGATCGGGCCCAAGTTGTACGAAGCGAACTGGATGGACCTCGCCAACAACGGACACATCGCTCGAGTGCAATGCGCCGAAGTGTGGTGCGACATGACGCCCGAGTTTTACCGCGAGTACTTGCGCGAAAAGTCGAGGAAGAGGATGCTGCTGTATTCGATGAACCCGAACAAGTTCCAGGCGTGTCAGTTTTTGATCCAGTACCACGAGGCGAGGGGGGATAAGATTATTGTCTTTTCGGACAATGTTTATGCGTTGGAGGTGAGTGGTGACCAAAGCTTGTGGGGTTGAAAATGCAGTTGCTGATGACCTTGTTCTGTCGTCCAGGCCTATGCCAAGAAGCTCGGCAAGCTCTACATTCACGGCGGTACGGCCCAAGTCGAGCGCATGCGCATCCTCCAAAACTTTCAACACAACCCGATCGTCAACACCATCTTCCTCTCCAAAGTTGGCGACACCTCGATCGATCTCCCCGAAGCAACGTGCTTGATCCAGATCAGTAGTCATTTCGGGAGTCGTCGACAGGAGGCGCAGAGGTTGGGCAGGATCTTGAGGGCCAAAAGGAGGAACGATGAAGGGTTCAATGCGTTCTTTTATTCGTTGGTTTCCAAGGAGTGAGTTTGAGGCTCTATCGGGTTGTAAGGGTGGAGCGAGTCGCTGACGAGTTGGCGGGATGTGTTCATGTCCTTAGTACGCAAGAGATCTATTACTCGTCCAAGCGGCAAGGTTTCCTGGTAGAGTAAGCCTGAAGGAGGGTCTGGTCAACGCTCATATTCGAATCACGCCTGACCGCGGTGTTTCTTTGCGCGCACAGCCAAGGCTACGCCTTCAAAGTCATCACCTCCCTCGAAGGGATCGAAGCTCTACCCGACCTCGTCTACCCTACCAAGAACGAACAGATCGAACTTTTACAATCCGTACTACTCGCCAACGAATCTGATGCGGATCTAGGAACGGATTTGAGGGACCTGCCGGGGGACTTGCCTCATTCGGGAGGAGGGAGGGGTAAGGGATTGGGGATGGGAGGGAAGAGGAGTGATGGAGTGGCGAAAGCGACGAGGGTCGCGGGGAGCTTGCAGGCCTTGGCTGGGTACGTTCGGAATGCAAGTTTTCGAGTGGTGCATGAGCTGACTTGCGGTGACCGCCCTTTTCGTGCGTTACAGTGGTCAGAGTATGGCCTATACGGAAACGAACCGAAGTGAGAACAAGAAATTGGCCAAGTCGTCGACCCGGCATGCATTGTTCAAGAAAAGGGAGGAGAAGCAGAAGGGAAAGAAGAGGAGGGAGGATTAGGAAGGTGCATTTGGTTTTTTGGTAATTCGGCGAGTGTTGTAATTTAGGCACGACTTGATGTGATTTTGGAAGTAGTGTAGTGGGATGTGAGGTGGAAGTGTGGGGCGATGGTGGAGCTTTGCCGGCGATCGACCTAAAGCCAGGAGTGCCAAGACCTCGACATCGACGCCGACGAAAAAGACCGAGCTCACTGTCGCGTTTGTTCATATCCACACGATATGCGCGAGGAGGCAAGGCTCGGGAAAAGTTACAAACCACCTAGACGGGTCGTTCATCATAGATAATGAGTCTAGACTTGTGTTGACGAATGGAAGACATTCGAGAGAAAAGCCCGAGCGCGACGACGCTGCTCAGCTGACCTGGTCGGCGGTTGGTCGGCAGTGTCTCACAGTCAGCTCTCCCGGATCGTGAGCCCCAAGCTCTCCTCTCTCTTTTGCGACCACGTGATCCCATCCATACGTACACAGTCAGTACTGCAAGGGCTTTGATCCGATCTGATCCGATTCCATGATCTGATCTTCCGCGGTCTCGTATCTGGTACAGCCCGCTCCCTCTTCGGCGTTTACTCTCGATCGCGCCAGTTCCAACGATCGAAACCGCCGTAACGCGCCCGATCCGCTTCTTGCGAACGAACACGGGCCTTCTCACACGTTCACGCCGAACCCCACGACGGATTTCAGGTCAAGATTGAGCCCCAAAGATAGACCGAGAGCTTAGCGTGGTCTGGGAGCTGGCAATATGGATGGACCGATTCCGGTCCATGGTGCTACAGCTTCGCTTTCGGCCTCGACGACGCCCACGGCTCGAGCGCTCGATCAGGATGACGAAGCGAGGCGATCGGATACTATGGGCGTGTCAAATACAATTACGAGGGAGGAACCTAGACGGTTCGCACCTTTACCTAAACGGCAGAGACTACAACGGGTACAGTCCAGTAGGGACGAGGACGGTGATCATACGTTATCGACGAGCACGGCGAGATCGGCTCCTCCGCGAACGATGACGATGACCACGACGGGCAAAACTCGGGCTGCTTCCGTCCCTTCGTCGAAATCGGCCAGTACGCTGATCAAACCTCAAGATCTCGAAGTCGAGGACGAGCAATGGGACGAACACGTCGAGACGAATCGCATGATGGAACAATCCAGTCTGACCACGAGGAACCAAGAAGCGCACCAAGCTCTACTCGAATATCGCTCGAACGACCACGAGCATGGCGAGGACGATCAGGGGAGGACAAGTAATCACCCTACATCAAGTAGGAAGCCACCGTTGGTCTCATCTTTGTCTAAATTCTCAGTCACATCGTCGTCTTCGTCATCAGATGGGTATCGATTGGGGGAGAGCACGTCTTCGGGACAGACATTTCGAGGGAACACGTCGTCGTCGCCTAGGTTGGGGTCGGCGGAGGGGTATGACGAAGCAGCGGATCTGGACGACCGTAGGGTCGTATCTTCTTCTTCGAATTCCCCCTCAACAGTCGTAACATCCCCTGTATCGACCGCATCAAGCCAAGCTCGTCGTCATGGAGCTGGGGACAAGTCTGCGGGGGTGTCAAACGAGTTTTCCCACGACCCGCGCTACGCCAAAGCCTTCTCTCCAGAACTCGAGGCCGATGAAGAAGACGTCGATTTTTCAGCAGAGAGTCTGTTTGGCCAAGTCGGGAGGGACGTCTTGCGCCTCTTGAGGACGTCGATGCAGAGTCTTGTTTTATCGATCCCTCACAACGCTGAACTCGTCCTCGATGATACCGATATTGGTCGGCGAGTCGATCCTTCGACAGATGAGGGTTCGTGTTTGCGACCGAATCGACAATCAAGTGAGGAAAGGGTCCCCGAGGCGGACGAGGATGAGTCGTATCTGCATTTGCAGCCATCGACTCGACAGGGGTTATCAACAACGATGCCGACGAGTGACGACGCGCCCACTCTGGCCAGGTACGATTCCCCGAGCCCAATCGAGAGTCAGTACGAGAGCTCGAATGGGGATGGGAGGATGACTAAGAAGAGAAAGAATCCTTTGGGGTCGATCTCGATTGGGGAGGAGGAGGAGGATGAGGAGAGGGAACGCGAGGATGGGTCGACGAGGGAAGTGATGGGTGCGGAGGGGTTGACGAGGTATGAATCCGCTGGGGGGACGAGAGGGAAGTCTAGATTAGGTAAGGTCAGCATGAAGGAAAACGATTTTAATAACATCATTGGTCCTGACTTACTTCCTGCTCTCTTTGATCGCACGCTAGTCCCAGCGAATCCACCGACCACGGCGAAAGCGGCGCTGGCCAAACTGCGCCACCTGCCACCTCGCCTCTCGCGTGACTTTTGGACTCTAGGTCGCCGACGACGCGAAATTATGGGCGACCAGAACCACCACCCACCTCTCGAACTACCACCCGTCCCCATCTTCACGCCTCCTGTTGTCCCTCGTCGAAGCGCACCTCCACCTCTTAAACCAGGTAGCGGGCTCAAAGGGTCGAAAGCGATCAAAGCCGCTGCCAAAGCCGAAAAGGAACGTCTCAAGGAACAGCAGCGAATCAATGCGCTTTTAGGAGGGTCCAAGTTCCGGTTGATCAATCTTTGGGATCCATTGGGATTGGAAGAATCCGCAGCGGCGATCGAGAGGGCTCGACGGAAGGCGTTGGCGAACGCGCTTCAGGAGTCTGGGGAGAAGAGGGCCGAGGTACCGACTTTGGAAGCGTTCGATGTGGATGGAAAGACTCCGCCTTCGATTGTCAAGAGGTATCGGGTGCTTAATGCGGCCAAGGATCGACTTCGGGTCGCTGAGTTGAATGCTGCGAAGGCGAGGGAGGAGGAGAATCTGAGGAGGTTGCAAAAGGAGAAGGAGGAGTTGGTTCGCGAGGTTGAGGGGAGCGAGGCTGCAGCCGCAGCCGGGGCTGATGCTGTGGTCGACCCGCTTCCCACTACACCTTCTGCACCCCCATCGGCATCTGTTCCGACGGCACCTCCTTCTCCCAAGGCCACTCGATCGACGAAGACTCGCCCATCGTCACCATCGGCCACTCGCTCCTGGTCGGCACAACCCCCGCCTCCCTCTGCGGCGCCTGCTGCTGGTAAACCCTCGACTGCGACCACGGTCATGCCTCTCAGTGCAGATCGCACGAATCTCCCCATCACGAGCCCAACGACTTATACGACCGAGCCCCCTTCCGCAATCCCACCTTCGACACGCAAGCCTCGTAAGAAGGGCAAAAAGAAGCGTTCTGCGCACGCCAACGCGCTGAACCCTCACCACCTCAACAACTATACCCCTTCGCGTATGCCCAATCGATCTTCATCCGGTGCCGCAGGTTCTTCATCGCCTCATACCGACGCCCCTCCATCCCTTTTGTCCATCCTAGACGACGAGGTTCAACCTTTATCCTCCTGGCCCGCCTCGGACCAAGTCATCTCCCAGGCCTTGCTCACCATCCGCAATCGAAGCGCAGGTGACGCATTGAGGTTCTTCGCTGGACCAGAGGAGGACGTTTGTGCTTTTTGCGATTATGAGCTTTGGTTCGGTGGGGAGGGGAATTTGGAGAGGTCGGTCAGGAGGAGGAAGAAGGTTTTGAAGGTTAGGAAGAAGGCCAAGGAGAGGGCGAGAAAGGCGGCGAATGGAAAGGTGGCGGCGGCGACGACGACAACAACGACGACGACGATGGAAGATCAGGGAGGGGAGAGGGTGGAGTCTGGGAGTGATGGGCGTGAAGTGGTGGATGCGGTGGAGTGAGAGGGGGCTTGGATTGGTTCCCGATTTCGGACGACGCGGCGCGGGGGACGGGTCTGTGGAAGTAGCGCATTGTCACTTGGAGGGATCTTTCTCTTTCGCCCCACTCTCATTTCGTACCTTTCTTGGTGTACACGTCAATCCTATCTCGCATTTTTCTATCTGGCATATTTCGCATGCGCTTTCCCACGTGGGCACGTGACCTTACCCCGCCGGCCTCAGCTGACGCAAGCCCGTATGTTGAGATCCGTCCCATTGGTCAATCAGAAAAAAACAAGAAGAAGAAGAAGATAGAGTAAGACAGTAAACATGCGAGAGGTAAGAGTCAGTGCGGTAGGCCCCTCCGACGCCAGGAAATGTTTTCATTACGTAAACGGCTCCGCGGAGCTCCGGGGGAATTCAATGCATCAGCCAATAACGGCCAAAGGCGGAGGGCTGCGGAGGGCAACAATAGGCGACAATAACGTGAGCGAGCAACGCGCACTCGGCCCACTTTCGCTCTTCTTCCTCTCTGCATTACGCCTGCTTCGATCAGATCAGCTCCGCTCCTCGCGTGTCGCGTATCACTTCGTCGACTCGTATATCTTCAATATCCTTGACGCTGTCCGGCAGTGTGGCGGAATCTGGACCTCGATCGCCCGAACAACAAACAGACCTCTACCGCGGTCATCGGGCAGTCATGGCGCCCGGATGGTTGCCCCAAGTCTCGCGAGGGCAGGCCATGTCGACCTTCAAAGGTGAGTGGCTGTTGGCATTGGAGCCTGCTCGATATACCAGCCAGACCAATGCGAGATGCGGTCCCTCGCATGTCCAATGGGACAACGTGGCACACGACCGAGCCCGAGCCAGAGCCAGAGCCCGAGAGCCCGAGAGCCCGAGAGCCCGAGCCCGAGTTCGCGGACTGATGCATCTCAATTTGGGTACACGCAGGATGCCTCGCATATACGCTCGTGTTCGCACTCGTCTTCACTCGAGCGTTCTATAGGCTCAACGCGTACCCGATCACGCTCAGTTCGATGGTCATTGTCAGCATCGCGGGACAGCCGGGAGCGTCGTCGGGCGCGTGTTTGGACGCGGTGGCGTTGGCCTCGGTCGGTGTGGGCATTGGCGCGGTCATGTTCGTCATCCTGGGACACCTGGGCCATGCGGTCGTTGCACAGGGCTGTACGTCCCTTCTTCGTGTTCGCCTGTCGCTGGCTTTGCCAAAACTCCGTTCGGCACGCGAGAATGCAACACTAACGCGAACAGCTCCTCCAACCACCCCTCGGGCTCATGGGCTTCGCGCGCGTCTGCCACAGTCATCTTTGCGATTTACGTCTACTTTCTGGCCATCATCAAGGCGCAGTCGATGCGTTTCTTTGGTCTTTCGCTGCTGGCCATTCTGATGGGCTTCAATGGTAGGCTTCATTCTAATGATGCTTGGGCTTTGCACACTCAGTTTATCTTCTCTCCGCGCCCAGGAATCTACACCTCGACGCTGCTCGGCGGCAAGTTTTCGTCCACATATCTCAAGGCCTACCTCGAATCGTACGCCTGGGGGTTTGCTATTGGTGAGCTAGAGCATCTTCATTTCGGCTGCTGTGACCGGACTCTCACCCATCATCCCATTTTGAACGTACAGTTTTCGCGGTCAATCTGCTGGTTTTCCCCACCTCGGCCGAGCGTGAGCTGCGCGAGCTCATGGTCGACGCCCTGGAGCACATGTCGACCTTCACCCATCTCCTAGCCAAGACGTACACCGTCGAGATCACCCAGGACGAGCGCGCCGTGCGCGATGCCCTCAACGCGTCGATCCGCGCCGATTACGGTTTCCTACGGCAAAAGACGGCCCAGGTTGCGCTCGAGGTCAACTGGACCCGATGGAGCATGGCCGATTATAGCGGTATGCTGGCCCGCATCCATCAGATGCAACAAGGCCTGATTACGTCGTACTCGAACCTGATGGTGATGGAGCAGTACGAGCCGCAATCGCTTCAGATCATCAAAGAGGGACTCACGGAGCGTGCGACGGGTAAAACGTTTTTGAAGCTGAGGAAGGGCATCGATCTTGCCATCGCGGACATCGTTCAGGAACTCGGCGTCGGAGGTCGCACCCATCGTCCTGTCGCACCAGGAGAGTACTCGTGGGAGGACTTCCTCGAATACACGGAGCCGTCGGCTGACAACAACCTCGAGTCGGGAGAGCGTGGACCCAATTTATCGGAGCGGACGACCTCTGTCCAGTCCCCTGCTCTCGACGCCGGCTTCCGAAAGATCTCGATGCGGCTCAAGGATGAAGTTGACGTCTATTCCTCAACCCCCGTCGCATCGAGACGACCGAGCTTCAACGAGGAGCACACCGGCAAGATTAGCCCTGAACACCCGAATCTGAACTTCGATGGTACGACAGCGGCTTCGACTCCGAAAGCCGCCACAATTATCGATATCAAGCCGCTCGACCGAGCCGCTTCGATCCGGCAAGCTTGGGCGGCATTCAAAAATCATCAAAATCAGCACGTGGCGGACTTACTTGCTTCCGGGACCCTCACCGACGGCATTTTACGCGTCGAGCAACCCGGCCCCTCACTTCGAGATGCGTGAGTAACCTGGGCCGTGTGTGAGCCGATGATCAACGTCAGGAGCTGATCCATCCAGCGCCTTCCGCAGATTCTTTGCCAGACAGGCCAATAATATTGCAGCCAAGGGGCTGATGACATCGACGGCGGTCCGCGCAAACATTACGGATGCAAGCCAACGAAAAGACGGCAAAGTCAAAGCGACGGACTCGGAAGAAAAGGCCGAGCAGATGGAAGAAGGCGCGACGTCCACCACATCGGCGGACGAGATGGGTGCAGCTGGAGTAGGCCCGACTGGGTCGCCGGAACAGATCGCCGGAACCACGGTGTTGCGGGTTTTGTCTTTCATCTTCGGCATGGGACAAGTTCTAGACGAACTCACAGCTCTTCACGAAGCGGTCGTACCCAAGGACGATGCCTCACGACCGCGCAAGAAGATTCACTTGCATCTGCTGGAGCGGGCCCGCTTGTCGCCGCCAGTGTGGAAGGGCATGCCTTTCCGTGAAGCGCTGTCGAAGCTCACTGGAGTCTCCTACGCGGACGAGAAGGTCACGCTGTGGCAGCGTTTCGGACAATTCGAGAAACTCATTCGAAGTCCTACCAGTCTTTATGCATTCAAGACCACTTGCGCGGTGACAATCTTTGCGGTGTTCATTCTGGCCCCTTCCCTCAAAGTGAGTGACGCCAAAATGCTTTTAGTAGTTTGATTGGTTCAGTGAACATTTCTGATTGCCGGGGTCCCCTCTGCGCAGACGTTCTTTATCAACTACGGTTTGAACGGTGGTCTCATCACCATCGTTGTCGCCATGGCCCCTGTTTTGGGCCAAGGCATCTTCACCTGGGTTATCCAGATCCTCGGCACCGGTCTCGGAACATTATATGGCCTACTCATTCTTCGAATTTTTTTGCACGTCGGCCCGCACTACTTTAACCCGTACGGTCTCACGTCTCTCCTCGCTGTGTTCGCCGTGCCCATGTGCTTCATCATCTACACCAAGCCCATGTTCTTTGCGGGAAGTCTTTTGGCGATGAACGCCGCCGGTAATGCTGTCATCACGCAGTACGTCTACCGCGATATTCCAGAAGACCGCCGGCCCGGGTTCGACAGTCCAGCCTACCGTAGCGGCAAGTCACTTGCGGCACTGGCGCTGGCACTCGGCATCGCATGGTTCTGGCAAATCTACGTTCTTCGTACCCCGGCTCGCCAGACCCTACGCACCAAGCTCGCCGGCATCACGTTTGCGCTCGGGACCTACGCAACCCTGTTCCAAATGATGGCGGAATCTTTGGCCCCCATCCACGAGACTGAGGGATACGTCGCGCCCCCTCGCGAAGCCGTCGAATCTGTGCAGCACGAGTTGATTCGTCGCGAGGGCCAGATTCAGGCGGAACTCCTGGCTCTGATGCCTTTGCTCCGATTTTCAGCGCTCGAGCCTGCCTTTGGTCACAAGTTCGACGGTGCGACCTTTTCGCGCATCATCCGTAGTCACCAGGTCATCTTGGATCGACTCAGGGAAGCACGTACCGCGATTGGTACCGAAGGGTTTCCCAAGTCGATCAAGGACAACTTCACGACCCCTTTGGCGCCGTTCCGCCACCAGAACAAGCGCTTCATGCGCGCCCTCTTCTACCTCGTCGGAACAAGTTTGGCCACCAAGAGACCGCTCCCTCATGATTTTCCGACGATGCTGACGGCCGTTAGGGACCTTCAACACGATGCGCTGGTACTTTCGCACCGCCTTTCGGTCAGCGAAAATGGGAGGGAGATTGTTTATTCGCACGAGTTTAACCGGTAAGCTCTTTCTCGACTGCACATCGGCCGAGACGCAAATAGTGGCTGAGCTGAATGCGTGATTCCGCAGGTATTGGTTCTATCTCGCGAGCATGAGCACGGTCTCGTACCGTCTCGAAGCGTGCGAGTCCGATTTGGCGATTCTGCTCGGCAGTGTCGAGGCCTCGCCTTTCGTGATCAACGCGCGCCCTTCAGGAGGCCCCTAGCCAGTAACCGAGGCAGTGCAGAGGTGATTATGGAATCCCTAATATTCAGATGCATAGTTCACGCCAGCTCTTTATCTTATCCGTGATGCCATTTAGTAGTCAATTAGTCCAAAGTTCTCCTCATCCTGCGCGGGCACTGGTGAAGCCTGATCGTCACTCAGGGGCATATGCCCGCCCTGCATGGGCAAGCGAGCCCGCGACTTTCCCGCCACTCCTATCGTCGTCAAAGTGGCCGATATTGTCCGCATGCTAGGCCATGCTCTCGCATCTCAATAGCTGGTCGCCGATACCCTCGCCGGCAACCAGCGAGGCGGTCGAAAGACCCCGATCGGGACGTTCATGGAGTTAAGTGGAATGAATATTCAAGCACGTAATGACGGCGATCATTAATCAGTCCACGGTACGCTCCGAGGCCCGCATAACGTGATACTGTCCGGACCGTATGAAGCGCCATCAGCTCGAAGTGAACACGTCACGACTGTCTCGTGCACTTAATATGTAGAGTTGCGTAGAAGTGGTACTGTGCGCGCGTAGAAATAGTACAGTGTGAGTCGGCAGTCGCCGGACATCACCAGCTGGGCCTGGTGTTTATTCTGACGCCGGCGATGCCACGCCCGCTGCCAGCTGGCACCTATTCCTAACCATTTTAAGAGCTATTTACAGCTTCATACCCTTCCACCCCATCAAATAAGTAGCTGCTGTAGCTAGGTATCGATCTGGTTAGGGGATCCGAGTTCTCCATGACAGTTCGGGCCGCTGAGTAATCCTGATTCCTGGTCACACCTACGGTGGGTGGGTACCCTTTCTGAGCTAATGACAAGAACAGATAACGCGTGGTCCATACCTAATTCTGGCCGGCCAGGAACTGTGAAATATTGCTCCCGCGTAGCTCGAATTGGCTGGACTTGGCGCGCTCTGGCGCGCTGAGGTCGAGCTGAGACATTCGAAGCGATCCGACCAGCCTTCCCACCGTCACCGCTCATTCCCTTGCTTATCTTGCACCATCTACATCCTGCGCATCAAACTCACGCATATCTGCTGCAGCGCCGGTCGTAGATATCGCACATCAAGACGGTCCCCGGCCGCAGCGTCACGCTGAACAAATTGAACCGAAGCCTTGAGTGGCAGAGCCCGCCTCGGCTACATCTCCGCAGTCCGTCGTGACGCAGCGACATCATGGGCGTCAATCTCTCGACCATCGATCAAGCGGACTATCCCCAAGGACCATCGGCGACCCAACTCAATGCTGGTTACACGCTGGGTGAGTGTTTCTTCTACACCTTGTGCACGACCGGCGGTCGATGATTCGCCGACGACTCGTCTTCCGGGCCGGAGTGCTCATGTTTCCTTCCCTTGGCGAACTCGAATATGTCGGCCTATTCGGAATTCTCCTTCGCACAGGTCCACTGTTCGCGGGCTGGATCACCAGCATCTTTCTGATGGGTATCGTCGTCTCTTGGGGCGTGACCTACTTCACTCGGCAAACCAAAGATCGGACATGGGTACGCACCTTGGTCGGGATCGCAATCTTCGGGGATATCGTCACCGCCCTCTTCAACGCGGCTTCGATAGTACGACATGGCAAGAACCAAGATCGAACCAACTACGCCATCTCCCTTCTCGAAGCCCCCGATGCGTTGGCCCTCCTAAGTGGGGGTTTATGTGCCGTCGCGGCGCAGACTTTCTTCTCCGTGCGAGTTTATCGCCTGCTCCCGAGTCGCTGATATCGATATCCGTTTGCCTTTCTCGCCGGGGGCCTGATCTCCGCTTCTTTCGGAGGCGCAATCGGGATCACGACCGTCGAATTCATCAACCACGGTTCCACCGATGAGACGCGTGGTGCCCGACCGGGGACGTACGGACTCCTCTTCACCCTGGCCGAGGTGTGGTTGTGGGCGAGCGTCGCCGTCGACGGCCTACTCTCGACCATGCTCATCATTCGACTCGCGGCCAATCGCAAAGAAATTGGGCGGAGGAGCAGCAAAACGGATCAAGCGACGGGAACGTCCTTGTTACTGCTCGACTTTATGCGGCTCGCTTTCGAATGTGCCGTTTTGACCATGCTCTTTGCCACGGTCGGTGCCATCCTATTCGTCTCAACGACTGAAACCACTAATCTCTCCTATGCTTGTGAGTCGAGCATCTACACGATTGCCCAAGTGTTTACGACGGGCGGATGAGGCTAATTATAACATCTTGTTGATCGTTGAAACATCAGTCACCAACGCGTTGCCCGGTCTTTACACACTGTCGCTCCTCTGGGCCGTCAATGCTACACATCGTCTGCGACAAGAGATGCAAGATATCGACCCTTCCGCAATGGTACAGCTCGTATGGAACCTCGCCGAGGACGACGAGAACCAAATCTCGAGGGAGAGGAGGCTCGCCGAGCTCGCGCGAGGGGAAGGTCTGGCCGTTTCATTGCGCCGAAGTGCGGCGCCTCGGAAAGCGGTCAAGCAGTTGGGGCACGAGGTTAATCTTTTGATGATTGATCGGATGACGATCAGTCAGGTCAGCGATCGGAGGAGTCCTCGGCAACCTGATCCGACGCTCGGGCTGGACGATGACGACGACGAGCACCGCAATCATTTCGACGAGGTCACGGGGTCTACGGGGGAAAGGTCGGAGATGAAGATTCGGGCGTTGGAGGAGGAGGCAAGAATATAATATATATTTTTGGTGCTTTGGGATCGCTTAGATTAGAAGGCTTATCCATCGCGGTGTACTTTGGTCGGGTTGTAGCGTTACTGGAGTGGATTTGCACGACTGGCATTTGCATGGTCTCATCATTTATGCCGCCGCTGAGGTTGCGCCGAAGAGCACATCGCTTCTCAAGACCCACTTGACCCCTTGCTGTACTTTGAGCTAAACATCGAGGAACAGGACCAGTCAGTGACCCATTCTGTGACATCTCAAAATGGTCGACATGCGCACGGCCAACTGACCCCTGAGTGAAGCATGCAGTCTCTTCCATGCTTGTGCAGCAACGCTCTCCCGCGCTTCAAATCGACTTTGAGTTCCTGACCATTGCCTTTGCGTGATGGATTGGGGTAAAAGCTTGTTTCTCCTCCTGGAAGCCGATGATCAAGGATGACATTAGAGAAGTCTTTCTCGTCCGAGGAATTTGATTTTGCCCCCAACAAACCAACAAAGAACGTACCAACGACGCCATCCTCCCGACCGGAGAGGTAGATCAATAGCGTCCATTCGCTCCTCCATCCTGTCCGGGAATCTATCGAGTCATCATCGTAGTGAGCTGCAAGAGCGAGTAGCCCAGTCAGCTATCGATGTGCACTGTTCGAGAACTCGGAAGTGCAGACGGAACTGACGACCAAACTCGGCATCGGGGCCGTACTTGTAGACGCGAATATTGGAACTCAGTCCCATAGGAATGTGGGCAGGTCTACTCGAAGCAATCTCCTTCTGACAAATCTCTTTGAGCCCCGTCCTCGTCCATAGGTTGTGCGCAAAGTCTGGGTCGTCTTTGGAGAAGCGATCGTTCGTGCGATAGGCTTCCCCGCGTTTCTGAGGTGGTGAAGGTGCGAGTGGGAGAGAAGGGAGGAATGCGTGCCATCGCTTGATCGAGGCGGGGTCGAGGAAGGAATCGATGATGAGGATCGAGGGGAGTACGGCGGTCAGTTCGAGTGGGAGATCCGGCGGGATGAACGCTGGCCAGACTAGCCGCTTGGTGGAGGTCCTGTCGTCCCTGGCTGTGGTGGGCGTGGTAGTGGTGGAAGCGACCTTGGCTTTGACCATGCTGTGCGATGTTGCGGGCAGACGATGCCGAGGCAGACAGGGTCGGGGAGCGAGGAAGAGGAAGGTGGGTGGAGCCCAATCCTGCCCAAGCCTGCCCAATCGCGAAAGGAGCCAGAAGGAGCCGCGAACCGATCGAAGCGAATACGGGCACGACTCCTTTCCTTCACCCCTATCAGGCTATCTCCTCCCGTTGCTCTGTCCCCCTCCGAGGCACGCTCTCTGCCGCCAGCATATGGTCACCCCACCAGAAGACATACGGGTAGGCTATCGCTTGCATTCCTTCCGGCACAGCATTCGACATAGTAAGGGCCCGGACACCCTGTCTCGGCTCGCAGGCTCAGCGCGGTCGCGTACATACGTTCTGGGACCGACACCAGCGATCGCCACATGTTGAGTCATTAAATCCATCCTAGAAACGGCATCAAGGCTCCCCTGTCCTAGCAGAATGTCGTCGTCGTCCCTTCCGCCCTCCATCCTCAACGTCCCGACGTTGGCCATCCCAGTTGATGACGTCGACGAAGAAGTGAGTGCGGCATTCCTTTACTGCGTCTACCACGACTCCTCAAACTTACTGAGCTTGGCTACTTCCCCAGATTTTCTTGTTATACACCCGAAAACTGGGCCTCGTCGAAACCAACTCAAGAACGTCGAGCTCCGAAGGAGCTGCGAAAACCTTGCCCCCCGGGCTGGGATTCTTGGACACGACCAAGGAAGTCATTGTTGTACCGCTGCTCATTGAGCCATCGGAGAACACTTCATCACCAACCAAGTCGAAGAACGGGAAGATCTCAAAGAAGAAAACTGGGCGGGGTGGTGGCCCGCTGCTGCCGAAGGAGTTGGAGGTCATGGTTTGCCAGGATTTGCAAGCGTTGAGACATCGGAAAGGGGATACAGGTGAGTCAAGGACGTGGCGTTTTACGGGCCATAACGAAGACGATTGCGTCACTCACCATCACTTCTATCCATCTCTGCGTAGGATCGGTCCTTTGGCGCATCTCGTCAGTCCCCAATCCACTCAGACTCGCTCGATGCTGGAAAATCCCACTCATCCGCCTACCTACCCTCCAAACAGTATCCACTTAGCCCACCACTTCCTTAAAGACCACTACTTCCCCTCCCCCCTCCATCCACCTCTATTCCCCAGCCTCTCCCACCTCCGAGTTCTCGAGCTCGGCTCAGGAACAGGCTTCCTCGGTTGTGCTTTGGCCCCTTTCTTCGGACATTGGACCTTTACGGACCAATTTGAAAGCCTGGCGTTAATCCAACGGACTTTGAACAAGAATCAGGCGAATGATCTGGCATTGATGGATCCGAGGAGGGTTGAGGTGCAGGAATTGGATTGGGTGGAAGAAGCGAAAGATTCGTCTTCGAACTCGAACTCGACAAATTATCCGAACGAATCGCAAAAAAATCGAGAGGATCTAGAACCGCATCTCATCATTGCAAGCGATTGTATATACAACCCATCGTTGGCAAAACCATTGGCGAGGACGATCGCGAAACGGGCGATCAAGGGCAAGACTGTCGTACTGGTCGCGAGCGAACTGAGGGACCAAGATGCGCTCGAGATCTTTCTGGCCGAATGGATAGAACTGAACTTTGAGGTCAGGAGGTTGGTTTTTGATCAGAATTCGAAAGGGCCCGGTCTGGGAGGCAACGAGTTTGTGGTTTGGATAGGTTGGAAGGTGTAACCGTGGTCGCTTTTGCTACCCTCTCAACTTTTCAGCATGTGGAGGAGCGAGAACACGTGAATGAATGGCAAAGCTGAAAACCAAAGCGCGTGCTAGAGAGCAAATTGATACGATCGACAGATGATGTGGGGCAAGGGGGCTAGTGTACAAGATGGAGAACAAGCAGGGGACGACTGGAACGGCGAAACGGTGTGAGAATCTTGGCGACCTTTGGTGCGCTTGCTATGATGGCGATCGGTGGATGCGGCGTGCGAACAGATGAGGTACAGGACAAATACAGGTGGCGACATAATCAAAGATGAAGGCACGATGATGTGTTAGACTCGATCACTCGATAATTGACTGCATAAAGCTTTCGCTCATGGTGGTGAGACCCCAAAGTGTGGCGACGACGCCAACGCCAAAGCCCAAGGAGACATCGCGAAAGCTGACACGACGTCGTTTCGAGGGCGGTGTGGAATCGTTTGAGGTGCCCTCGGAAGGCTGTGGAGGAGTTTGCTGCACATCGATGATGGTGTCGGATTTGTTGTCGTCGGACAAGGTCGAAGGTGGAAGGTCTTGTCCTTCTTCATCGCGTAGGGCCACCTCGTCGGAAGCCTCCATGTCAGAGAAGATTCGTTTCTTGCTCGGAGTTTGCTGAATGGCTTCTATGTCCGCACTGCACTTCTGCGTGGGCTTGAGACCTGCCGAGAATCCTGAGGTCCCTGAGAGTAATACACGTCAGCGATTGGAGTCATAGGTCTGCAAAAAGACGAACGGCAAAGAACTCGCCTTCAAGCTCCTGAGCCTCATGTTCGTGGACTTTGAAAGGCTCGGGAGCAGCGGCCCTTTCGATCGTTACGATGCCTTTGATGGGCCTTGCAGGAGTCTCGGACGACTTCTGTCTTCCCATGCCGCAGTATTGCCCATCAACGTCGGAAGACGGGTCCGTGTCCTCTTCGACCGGGTCTGAATCCAAGTCTGACTCGTTCTCACCCTCAACAAAAAGGTCGATCTCGTCCAAATCCGGGTCGAAATCAACGTGGGACTTGGATTTGGGAGAGAGGGCTGGCAGCGGGGCAGGGAGACCCAGACTCTCGCTTCTCGCACGCTCCGTTCCTTGCACATCCGTCGACGCAACACGCACAATACGAGGTGCCTTGTAGGGTGCAACGACCTGAGCGGAAGGAGCGATGACGGTCGCCGTGTGCGTGCGCATCGGACTCAATTCCGCGGACTCATCCATCGCAAACTTGGTGTTGCCCTCCGCAGTCGTGGGCTCGAGGGAGGGGGTGACGTGCTCTAAACCGCCGATGCTGGCGCTACTCGTGCTCGGGTCAAAGAGCTCTTTGATCCTGGATTGAGTGAACTTTACCTGCGTCCTGGCCTCCAAAAGACAGTCAAGGGCTCTCAGAGAGGCCCTGAGAGCCTTGGTGTGGGGAATGCCGGAGGACAGCGCGTAGCCGTCTTCGTCCTCCTCTTCATGTTGGCTTGCGAGATCACTCTCGTGATCGGAAGAGGAGAGAGAAGCGAATGATGAGATGGAAGATTGTCGGTCTGCTTGATCAACCGATTCTTCCTTCTTAGCGTCGTCCGCAGCACTTGAGCCGAGCTGGGTGTGGATCTTGGGCAGGCTCGAGGGCTTGCGTACCGACGAGGACGGTGGCGTAGTAGCGCCGCGACTTGAGTATGAGAACGGGGGACCTTTGACCTCTTCGTCTCCGTCTCTGCCTTCTTCGTCCCCTTCTTCGTCGCTACTGAAAATAACACGTCGGCGTTCATGGGTACGGTCTGAGGCAGACTTGCTCCTCTGAATGGGCCTGGGAACCTGATGACTCGTAATCTCTTCGCAATCCGAGTCGTACACGCTCGAGTGATCGGACGCCCATGGAACGTGTGAATCGTCGTTTGAAGAGTACCCATCGGATCCCGAGTTCGAAGCATCCTCATCCGATTCTTCTTCGTCGCTATGGCTCTCACACATACTGGCGTGCTCATTGGAGTCATAAAGGTGCGAGAGATTGTTATCATCGCTCTCCTCGTTGAACGAATCACATTGCTCGATGACGTAGACAAGACTGTGCTTGGGGCGATCGTCCACTCGCTCGTTCGTGGCTTGATCGGAGGACATGACTATGTCAAGCTCTTGCTTGGCCGCCTCGGCGCGATCAGATTCATTGCTTTGCTGCAGGCCAGACGTCTGAGAGCCCCTGTCGGCGATGTCCGATCGCGGAACATCCGACGTCGCAGACTCTCGATCGGATACACTTTTTTCCTCGGTAAGGTCGATCGCGTCGGAGGACACTCCGAGCTTGGAGTCGGCCGCAGGGTCGGAAAAAGATGCCTTGTCGTCTACAGTGGCGTTCTCCTCATCGTGCAAAACGAGTTGTTCCTCCGTGAGGCCATAGCCCTTACTGGGCGGCTGTCGACTCGGCTCGTTCGGGGTCTTCGGGGGAATCATCATGGTGTTAACATCTTCTCCGACCTCGGAGCCATGTCGATCGGACTCAGTGTCGCTGTCTTCCTGAACAGAGCACTGCTTCTGACTAGGGTCGAGTTTGGCTTGAGTGGGTGACGGGGAGTGAGCGGTGGTGCTGCGTCCATCGGGAACCGAGGCTGCTGCACAGTCGTCTGCACCGATCTCCGACTCGGTGATCTTGACTCTGAGGGTGAGGGGACGGTGAGCCTCTACACAAAGACGAGGGTTTGAGTTGAGAAGAATATCAGAGTCAGGTTCGTAGCTTTAGGCTAACAAGGGATGGGTACTTGGAAAGACAGCGGTCAGAGCTCACTCTTGTCACGATCGCCGACGAGGTGCTTGCCAAACGTCAACATGTCACCATCTTGGATCTGGCGTTGTAGATCATGCGGAATTGATATGAGTAATCATCGCCCCCAAGATCCCTCAGGATCGGCTGCTGCTCACTCTGTAGAGACTCTGAGGCAGGAGCTTGGTGATCGCCGACTGTCCGCGTCTTCGAAGATCCGTGCCATTCGTAGATCCGAGGTCCATGATCTCGACCACAGGACTGTAGAGCTCATCTCCAGGATTCCCATCTCTGACCCTTCGCACCGTATCCCATTTGATCCTGGCATGTTTCGCACTCATGACCTGCGTGCCTTCGCGGCGGAACAAGCCCGTGGAGAGGCCGAGCTCGCTGGCGTCGGCGCGATGACCTCCTCGACCGAGGTCGCGCCAGCCCCGCACGCCCGAGAAGCGCTTGATCAGCTGGTCCGATTCGGCGTCCCTCAGCTCGACCGTGATCATGAAGCGCTGGGGTGCGTTCTGCATGCTGACTGTTGAAAGAAGAGGTAGGTGAATGCAGTCAGTGTCTTGAGACGTGCCACTGGAGGATCACCACAGCAGTGGTACGGTGGAAGCAAGGCCCGCCCTCGGAAGAAGTTCCCGAGGCTGGACACGGATTCGGCCAGGCTTTTGGTGGCGCGCTCGAAGCGCCTATCGAAATGTGGGGGTGAGACCGGTGAGACGCGGCGGCTCGGAACGACTGAGTCGACGCACGGGCAGCACACACACATGCCATGACTCGGAAGAGAAGGACGAAGGACCCTGAGCATATAGTTTCACATTGAACTTACCGACCTAAGCGTGACTTGAGAGTGGATCGAGGCTGTAGTGGTCGTAGCGTGGCAGAGACTCCCCGAGTCCAATCGCTTGCGACGACGACTGGGGCGCAAGGTTCCACAACGAACGGCGCCGACCGGTCGACCGACTCGAGACTCGAGGAATAGCAACCGCGTTCGACTACTTTTGACGAGGCACGTGGAAGAAGTGGATCAAGATTGAAGTGGTAGACTTGAAACTGACCCCGAATCGGGGTTGAGTTGAGTGTGAGAGGGAGGGGAAAGGTAGAGAAGCCAGCGTCCGGCGATCAAGCCACGATAACCTCTCGGAGGCACGAGCTGGCTCGAGCCCTCGGCCACCCACCACGCTGCACCGACAGTCGGGACTCGGATCGGTGGGTGTAACTCGCTCTGTAGCGCGATATAGACTTCACAGTCGAGTGAGACCCGCTTTGTACCTTCATTGGGGGCTCTTAAATGGTCCAGTCGACCTCGATAAGCGTTCATGATTCCACCGAGGCCTTCCCTCGAATCGGAGCTTTGAGCTCGGGGCTAGTACTGCGATCACCTGACTGAGCACCACCGAGCTGGACAAGAAAGTTTCCTCAGCCGACACGATACCAAATACGTTCGGAGAACATGACTCTTATCTTTGATTTTCAAGCACGTTGCAACATCTCCTTTTCTCACTTTCAGTCACAGAACCCGACACGAAAGCGCGAACCGCTCCCGACGTTCTCTTAACTCAACTTTCTCCAGCTCTTCATACCCCAATCAGCCCTCCAAAATACCCATACCAGATTCCTGGTACCTCGTACCAACCGGCTCATGCTTCTCCGCAATCGTCCTCAATTCCTTGACCTCTTCATCCGTGAGCTCGATCTTGCGCGAGGCAAAGTTTTCGAGTAAGTACTTCTCGCTCTTGGTCTGTGGATGGGACGAATCATCATTTGCTCAGTCAGTCGAAAAGCGTAGAATTCGAGGAATACTGGTTCCACAAGACTCACTCCGGGAATAGGGATGATGTTGTCCCCTTGAGCGAGCAACCATGCGAGCGCGAGCTGACCCTTGGTGCAGCCCTTACGCTGAGCGATCTTTTCAATTTCCTCGACGATTTTGTAGTTCTGCTCAAAGACCTCCTCTTGCAGGCGGGGCAAACTAGCACGCCAGTCCTCGTCGTTCTTGAAGTCTGCGGCGGTCTTGTAACGACCGGTCAAGAAGCCTGGAGGCAAGGGGTCGTGCACCGTTAGGACCTCGCCGGTCGAGGGGCTTTCAGATTCCACTGCTTACCTCGCCCGAGGGGCGAGTAGGCGTTGACAAGAACACCAAGCTCTTTGCAAGCCTCCAGCACGCCGTTGCGCTCCATGTCGAGCGTCCAGAGCGAGTCTGCAGGATGGTCGACCAAATGAAGAATCTAATCAGCTCCACTCGCGAGAATAGGCCGGTCATCTGCGCTTGTCCTGCCAAACCAACATTCGACCTCGATGAAGTCGATCTTGGTGATCTTGCTGATCTTGCGGAGCGTGGCCGCCGAGCATTCGGATACGCCGAGGTACTTGAATTTGCCGGCTTTGCGGGCCTTGTCCATCGCTCGGATCGACTCTTCAATATTGCTATTCCGTTTCAGTGTGTATGAGGGGGAAATGAGTACATCTTGGAGAAAGCAATCTTGATAGGGGAGAACAGGGTTGCACTCACGTCTGGGGATCCACTCGGTGCAGAAGGTACGCATCGGGGGTGAAGCCGAGCCTTTTGATGCTCGCTTCGATCGCTTGTTCCAAGTACTCTGGGCTACCATCGACCTTGAATCCACCCGGGATGTTGCTCCCCCACCTCAAACCCCACTTGCTGACGAGAAAAACCTTTTTGCGCAACTCGGGGTCCGAAGCAAGGATGGACGAGATCAATTCTTCATTCTTGCCGAAGCCGTAGCTGGAGTGGGGGATCGACCAAAGGTCAATGCCAGCTTCGAGAAGGTGACGATGACAAATATGATGCGTGAACGCTTACACATCGGCGGTGTTCCACACCGTGCAGCCCTGTGAGAGATGGCCAGGGATCAGCGCTGTGCATTCCGGCCACCCTCGAGCCCGGAGCCCGATCTCGAGAGTGAGGGGCAGTCGGACATGTTGGGTCAAGGTCGACGGCGTGGGGACCTTACCGACTCGATGGCGGCACGGAGGGTGTGCTGAGCCTCCTTAAAGTTGGTCTTGCCGTAGAAAGCAGAGAGACCTGGTGTTGAAGGAAAGAGAACAAGTGGTGTTTGCGGGCATGTGAGCGTGGCTCAACGTCATAATTTCATGGTTGCTGTCCCCACTTTAGAAACCCGACTAACCCATAGCTCCAAAGCCGGGACGAGGCCAGGTCTGGCCATCAATGGTGAAAGTATCGTTAGGCATTCTAGGAGGTGGAAGGTTCGTGAGGTTGCTTCTGAATGTGGTTTTGGTGAAAGTAAAAGAGAGAGAGTGAAGGGAAAGCGCGCGCGGGTGGGGTTCGCCGTCACACGTGGAGGACTCGTGGAGGCTAGTGGAGGAGAGTGGAGGCCAGTGGAGGCGGGGGGAAGAGGCTGTATAAGTGGAGGCCTCAATTTGGCGGGCGGGGCATCCCCGAAGTTTGGGGGACCTTTTAGGCTTTAGGTTATGTGGCGCCCACTTATTAATGCGTCACATCCATCACCTAGGATCGCATACCAACTTGCATACTCTCTTCCAAAGCTCTATCACGTGCTTTGCAACACCTTGTCACACCGCGTGGCGATCACTGCAGCTCTAGCCTTTACCCTCCGACGTCGGCTGACGTCGACCCCGCCGGCGATCGAGGCGTCTTAACAGGTCCGAGCTCAAACTGTGCTGCACGAGAGGGAGCATTCACCTTATAAGGAGGGAAAATGTCCAGCAGTACCAGAGCGTGAAGCTAAAGTATGCGCTTGGTGGACCTGGAATTTGAAGTTTCCGTGCGCTGCTCGAAATGTGACTCCTAATTCAGTCCGATCTCCGACTGGCTGATACCTACGTGACCAACGTCGCTGGTGGAGTCAGCGCTTATCAGTGACCTCACCCAAGTTAAAAAAGGTGCCGACCCTAGTACATCAACCCTTTCGGTCGGTGCGTCCGTTAAGAGCGAGGACGGCCAGGGTCGGCAATTCTCAGATTAGGGATTACTAGATTGGCCATATTATGCCGGGAGTTACCCAATCGCGGATTCGGATTCGGTCTCGGTGGTGCGACCGCCGACTTCTGAGGGCTCTGGCTCGCTTTATCCCTCCCTACCTTGTCCCTTCTGTGCCCGGAACCACTCGCTGACCTTCGAACTACAACTCGGATCGGCTGATCATATCCGTAGCTGAGAGATACTCGACACCACACCTGACCACAGCTTGGGACCTTACCCCTGACCTCCGTTCTCGCCACCGACATTTTGACTCGACTCGACTGCCCAACTCACACCTCCACGCCCCACCACACCCAGCCATGGCACCGATCGGATTCGACATGTCGGATGATCTCGACGATTTGACCGGATCCAACGCCAGCACCAGCAACGGTGGCGCTGCTGCCTCGCCAGCGTCGATCCTGGTGCTTTCGTGCCAACAGGCCGCCGGCGACGGGTCTTACCAATCACTGGTGCAGTCGCTGATCCGACTCGGCAAGGGCCAGGTCGAGATGCACATGTTTGACCGTGTTGTCGAAGGAGGCGAGTCATCTGTCATCTGGATTGCACTGGTCTGGGAGCGCTTTGATCTTGGTGTGAACGGATGACTGGTCAATCTGGAATCTGGGGTGCTCCGTCGTCGTCGTCGTCGTCGCGGCGGCTCGTCCGCTCGTGACTTCGCTGCTGCCGGCTGCTGGCCGGTTGGCGCGCGCGGGCCAGCCGGTCGGTGCGGTCGTAACGGAACGGAAACAGAAACAGAAACAGATCAAATCAGATTGCGCACGATTGGCTCGTCCCGGGCGCGCCTTCATCGCAGCATCCTCCCAAAGCGATATAGTGCTGACAAGTGCTCCTTGATATCTCTCCTATAGCCACAACTCTCACACCAGCGCAATACCACCACATTTCGATCCTCCTCCCTTCGACGCTCATCACCCCGTCCCTACTAGGCTTGATCGAACCTTCGCTCGCACCGGGCGGAGTACTCCAAGTCCATGGTCAGGAAGCCGCCTCGTCCGAATCGGTCGCCAACGATCTCAAGGCGGTGCCCGCTTTCGCTGGTAACATCGCGACCGATCAGAAGGATCCGACCGTGTTGTTGTGCTCCAAGCCGATAGCCCCCTTGTCGGACCCCTCCTCGACATCCGCACCCGCGGCTAGTTCCTCCGATGCCCCCTCCTCCACCTCGGCACCTTCTTCCGTTGCTCTCCCCCTCCGATCTTTTCGGGCCGCCAAAGCCGCCAAAGCTTCCCTCTGGGCCTTCACATCCTCCAACGGAGCCGCGACACCGACCATCGACGAATCGACCCTTTTGACCCCCGAGGACCTCGAACGCCCTTCTTTGGTCGAGCGCGAGGATTGCAACGTCAAGAAGACGCGCAAGGCATGTAAGAACTGTTCGTGCGGGCTGAGGGAACTGTTGTTGCAGGAGAAGGACGATTTGGGTGCGGCTGGCTTCGCGGAAGGGACGACGGGGGTGAATGGGGCTGATCCGGGGGTCGGAACTATGGGCGTGAATGTGACGAGCTCGTGTGGTAGTTGTTACCTCGGGGATGCGTTCCGATGCGCCAGCTGTCCCTATTTGGGTGAGTGGCTGTGCGCGGGGTAATTGATTCCACGTACCGGATGACGTTGCTGATTGTCTTTCCGCCGCATTCTCACAGGCATGCCCGCTTTCGAGCCAGGACAAAAGGTCACGATCGGCGGTCATGATGACAAGCCCATCGCTTAATTCCGTAACCCCCTGGCCCGGGTGATCGATGCTGTACTGGCTTAATAACTTTTCGTGACCTGGTTGCAAGCTGTAGGAGTCTAGCCTTTCGCAACATTTTCAATCCGTATACACATCAAACAAACTTGCTTGGGACCCGAAACAGAGTGAAGGCACAATGTGAAGGAACTTCGATTGCATACTTGTAACAGTGGGGCACAATTATACAGAAATGCGAAGAGGAAGAAGAAGAACAGAGACAAAACACTGCAATGCTGAAGAAGGGAAGACGACACAAGAAGAAAAACAGGCGAGGCGATTAAAGAACGAGCACCCGAATACCCTTAGTGAAGAACCGCACGAAGAGAGAAACAAAAGAGGCATCGATGTAGTGTGTGACGGGTGGTGAATGTAAGGTCGACGCATACTGATGCATGCGGGAGTCGATATGAATATGGGTGGGTCATTCTCGTAGAAGGGGCACACTCAACCACTGCCCCTTCGTTCGTCCGAGGGTAGATTGAGCAAGTCGCCACTCGAGCGACGGCGATCGCTCATGCCCGCAACCGAGCCGGCCGTGACCGATTCGCGACGAGACGACGGTGGGTCGTCGACCGAGCCGCGGCGATATTCGTTGCCTAATACCGAGTTGCCCAACCCTCGTCGGGTCGGCTTCTCCTCAAGCCTAAAGCCGAGTCGAGAGAAGATGCGCAGCAAGTCGGCCTTCAACTGTAGCAGAGAGAAGCGCGAGCGAATCGTTAGATATAAGCTTGGAGTTAATTACCCCAGTGATCTGCGACTTACAATTGGCTTAGGCAAAACACCGCTGAACAAGGTCCCAGCTTGGTTGTCGACGGCGCCAGCATGCGAGCATACCGCGATCGTGGGCGTGTTCTGCGACGGGTTATTGGTCGACTTGATCATTCGAGCCGCCGTCTCGCCGTCAACGACGGGCATTTGGATGTCGAGGAAAATGAGGTCGAACTTGACGCCTTGTGCGGCTAGGATGGCGTCGCCGCCGTTGTAGACAACGACACAGCGACAGCCGAGGCGGATGAGCATCGTCTCGAGCACCTTGGTGACGATGGGGTTGCGACCAGCGACGAGGCAATCGATCGTGTTGGCACGAGAACTGCTCGAGAGTACGGACGTGGCGGCGATCGGCGCAGCAGCGATCGGAGCAATGGGGACCGGCGCCGAGGTCGACTCCTGAACAGCGCGGGTAGAAGGAGCGGGCGGCGAGAGCATCGAATACGCGTTGGCGTTCGTAATGTTATTAGCGCTCGTGTCCGGCACCTCTTCCTCCAGCGATGGAGGCGACGCGCTCTCTTGCGTGTCCTCGAGCAACGATTTGCTCGAACTCGCTGTCTGGGCCGAAGTGCGACGACGTTCATGGGGCAGCGAATGCTCCGAGGGCAAAGATCGACCTGAATCGCTGATCGATGTGCGACGCAAGCGTGACGGCAACGAGTTCCGTCTCGAATGACCTGAAGTACCACCAGGTCCAACAGTTGGGATGCTCGTTTGACGAGTCTTGAGCCGGTCGATCGCTGTAGGAGGTGCACCGGTGGGAGGGATCTCCGACGCTCGGCGCGAGTGCGAGGACTGGAGACTGTAAGGTGACGAGGGTGCGGTCTGGCGCGAGGGTACAGAGCTACTCGACGATGCCGAGGGAGACGACGGGGATGAGGGACCCCGGAAGTCGACGCTCGTCGTACGGCTTCGGCTCGTCTTGCTTCCTGCCAAAGCGAGCGGGCGGTTGTGCATGATCGGCGATTCGAGCGGTGAGAGCGCGGGCGGGAGGAGCTGTTCGTCGCGCATCTTCTTGATCACGTCGTCATTCGCTTGCTTGAGCACGGTCAAGTTGCGGAAATTGAACGTGCCAAAGTCGTCGTGCGGCGAAGGCTCGGTCTCGGAACGTTCCCGCGCGAGGCGTCTCGAGGTCGAGGTGGAGTTGGAGCCGATTGACCTTGCGCCAGAGGAAGAGACTGAGTTCTTGATGTCGGAGAGGTTCGTAGCAACGGTCGGCTGCGCACCAGGGAGCATGGGATCCTTGAATATGCTCGTCGAACTCGTGGCTGCGACCGTCTTGACTTCGTCGGGTTGAGTGTCTTCGTCGGCAAAAGCTTGCTCGGTCGCACCTCGAGGATCGAAATAGTCCGTATTCTCCGGGTCGGTCACATTGGGCACGAACTTAACTTCCCCTTGGAGTAGGTTGGCCCAGTCAACACCCTCGAGCCACGGGTGCGCCTTGACTTCTGCAGCACCACCCCTTCCGAGGCGGCGGCTCGGGTCCGTACTTAGCAGACGCTCCATAAAGTCCCGGGCTTCGGGGGAGTACTCGACGAGGTCCTCGTGCCATTCGATCCGGTGCGAGAGAATGTTTTCGAAGACCTTCTCCGGCGTCTCGTCGTGAAACGGAGGTACACCGTAAAGGAATCTGTGCATTGTACGCGAACAGACGCAGGGGTCAGGAAAGAACATCTTGCCAATGTAGAAAAGAAGACACTCACTCGTAGCAGATGACACCAAGTGCCCACCAATCGACACATGCATCGGTACCGACACCCAGAATACTCTCCGGGGCCAAATAATCTGGCGTACCCACGAACTTTTGCGGCCGTTCGACAGGAGCTTCCTGTCTAGAGGTAGTGAGGGGATCGACGGACGGGTTGGCGGCTGTCTGCGCGGGAGCTTTGTTGGACGCCTGATCGCCACTGCCCGACGAGCGTTCACTTGCCGGCGTGTCGAGCGAGAACGAGTCCGTGATGGCCACGCTTCCAAAGTACGAGGCCGGCGACTGTCCGAGCGCATTTGCCGGAGTCGAAGACGGCGACGACGACTGTGAAAGCGCAGGATCGCGCGATAGCGAACGCAACGAGTCACGCCCGGGTCCAAAACCTCGTCCTCGAGCGGTCGGCATTTGCGTCTGACGACCGAGCAGACCGATTCGGCTCAGGCCAAAGTCGGTAAGCTTGAGATGGCCCTTGGAGTCGATCAGCAGGTTGTCTGGCTTGAGATCACGGTGAACGATCCCGGAGGCGTGCAGGTACTCAAGGCCGACGATGACCTCGGCAATGTAGCGCTTGGCCCAGTCTTCGGGCAGCTCGCCCAGATTCTTGACCAGCGCGCCACAGTCGCCGCCGTTCAGGTACTCCATCACGAGGTACAAGTAGTCCTTGCTTTGGAACGTGTAGTAGAGCTTGACGACGAAATCGGACTCGGTCTGCGTCATCAGGATCATGCGTTCAGCCTTGACGTTGGTAACTTGATTCTTGGCAACCATGTCGGACTTCTTGAGCGTTTTGATGGCGTAGTAGTCGCCCGTCGTGATCTTCTGCGCGAGGTAAACCGATCCGACTGGATGAAAGAATGAATTAGAAGACGGTCATACAGATCACGATGGCCGGAGACCATAGCATACTCACAGGCACCCTTGGAGATCGGCTTGAGGATCTTGAAATCCTTGATCGAAGACGCCTTGGTTCGCGACGAAGGGACACCCGACGGGATGCGAGGTGACAAGACCGATGATCCAAGTGGCGAGCCTATTCCGCCGAGCGAGTCTTGCGGCGACAGCAGGGGAGATGTCAAGCCATAGAGCGAACTGTGACGACGGACCCTATCCTTCTCGGGGATATCGAGCGCCTCGACGGCGTCGTTGGAGGGGAAAGGTTGCAGTGCCGGCGAGCCAAAGGGAGAAGCACGAGCCTCCTCCTTGGCAGCGGCGAGCGCTTCATGGGCTCGCGCTTCCCACTCCTGTCGTACCTTCTCCGCATACAAGATCGTGTTGCGGAGACGATTGACCGTATTGAGCTTGAAGCGGATCTGCTCTTCGGCGTCTTGAACGAGTCGAACCAGCGCGGCTTCATCGGCGACCGGTCGTTGCCATCGCATAACCGCTGCCAGATTGCTCTCGGACTATGAAGGTAAGGACGGAGGAAAAAAAGTTCAATGAACACGCAACCAAGCTTCTCCGAGAAGCGTCCCAGGTTCACTTACATTCGGACTAAGAAGCCGTTGATCTTGGATTGGAATATCCCCCGTCTCGTCCAGCACGGACGGGGTCGAGATCGAGAGTGCGGTCTGTACAATGTCATGAATCTGGTCCAAGGTCTTGTGCTGCGCCTTCCTGACTTGGAACGGACCAGGACGAGCACTCGCAGCTGCACCGAGCGGGGACTTGAGGCCTTCGAGATAGCTGGGGGGAGTATCAGTCGCCGAGGACTGAAGCAGTGGAATTCCGCGATACTCGGCGACGTTCTCAAGACTAGCTTCGTCGATTGCAGCGGCAACGTCGTCGATCGTGCGTGCGAGTTCCTTGAGTCGATCGTTGCAGTCCGTTATGTCACCTTCGAGTCGATGGGTCTCGTTACACGTCTCGTTGTGCTTCTCAAAGAACCAAATCGGCGTCGCTCGCTCGCAAATGCGGCAAAGCACCGTCTCGATCGCCAAGCGCGGGTGTGGCACCTGGTACGCGACGGGGTCGCTCGCGCTGCGACGATGCTTCATATCAAGACCGAATCGAGCAAGCGTGTCTCCGACGGGATCGTCGGTCTGGTCGGCCAAGGGAGCGGGACGAACGACCCACATGGTGTGCGAAGGCGAGCCCGTCATACCGTCGAGCATGAGCATGCCTTTGCCCTCCATGGCTTCGTACAAATCTTCCGGTGACTCTTCATCGTTCGAGGATTGTGACGACGAGCCCACTCGTAGTCGAAAGTTGACCTCGACGGTGTGCGAGTCGTCAGCTTCGAGCTGTCGAGTTGCTTCGGCGAAGACGGCGGCATCCTCGGGGAACACAAAGTCGGCGATGCCGAAATTGAGGCATTCGGCGGGTTCGAGACTGTATGGAGAAGATTATTCAAAGAGTGAGATCAGCAGTAGAACGTCGACAAAACCCTGGGTTCAGCTCCTTACTGACCCGACAAGTTCTTGCCAAGCAGACGAAAGATATTGGAACAGCTGGTCATCGAGCGTCAACTCCATCAACAGCGTCGAGCTTCGGATCTGCTCCACCGTCTGACGAAGATCTTCGTGGTGTGCCTCGGCGGCATCCTCGCTCGCGGCATCAGCGTCGATGTCGTCGAACTGCTGCTGCGTTGGCTCAGAGTCGTCCGGATTCGCGGACTGTTCACCGAGATCGATACCGAGAGGCGACCACCTCGGAGCGGACCCGACGATCCCTTCTGGCATGGTATTGGCGGCAGCGAGGATGGCGCCGGCAGAGGACGAGCAGCTGTCGCCCCGTGCGCGAACCTCGGGTGACTCCTCAGCCGTCGGTTTCGTGACGAAAAGGATAGGCTCGGCATCGGCGTCGTCGCCCTCGCTGAACGACCAGAAGCCACGCTCTGCGTCCCACCACTCGATGACTCGACTGAGACCAGCGACGGCGAGCAGCAACTGGACGTACCATCCGCGACATGCAAGTTCTGGGTTATCATCCCACGCCTTGCCGATCTGTTGCACGCGAGAGATGAAGTCGGAGCACGAGTGCGGGTTCGATGTCAGCTTCGAGACGGGTGTATCCAGAATCTCGGTGGCGACGGTGATGATCTCTTGTAGCAGGACAATGAACGCCGGTTGAGCCACGCGGGAGTGTGCCGCGTTCGGCGTCGTCGAGGTTGCCGGTGAGCGCGATCCATTCGAGACGTTGCGCAGCTGCGGAGGCAGCGGCGAGCGCGAGCGCGAGTTCGATCGTGAACTATGGGCTGAGCCTGAACCCGACTTGGTAGCCCCCTCGGCAAGCGAGAGCGAAACGGCCGAAAGGTCCGCCGAGCGAGGTGCAGCCGTCAGGTACCTCTTGCGAGGGGCAAGCGAAGCACGGCGAGGTGACTTTGCAGCCTGCGTTGTTGAGGATCCTCGAGGTTGCGAAGCGCCGGTCGAGAGCATTGGCGTGCGCATCCGCGACGTACGGGAGGACGGACGACTCGTCGCTCCGTCCGAGTCGGTGTTGGCTATATCGTCGCCATCATCGAGATCAATCGCCGTCTCGTTCTCCGAATCAACGTCGTAGGGTAGTCCGCCGGCGAACATGGCGTCTTCGTTGACGATGAGATCGCCGAAGCGGCCGTCCTCGTAAGCTGTCCCACCGATCATCGCGGTCGAGGGCGCCTCGTCGCTCTTATGTAACTCGGTCTCGACGTGTGCCGTGATGCCCTGGATGATGCGACGGAGCTCCTTGTCGCAGTTTTCCTTGGCAGCCGAGAGGCGCGAGCGGATCGTATGGCGCACACTGTGCATCGAAAAGTTGGGCGTTTGCGTCGTCGCAGCAGGTGGCTTGGGTCGCTTCTCCTCGACAGGGGTGGGGAGAGGATCCGTTGGAGCAAGGAGACCCCGGATAGGGAAGTGCGTCGATGTCGGGACCAGCGCTGGGGTCTGGTCCCAGTACATGGGTGAGAACGACACGCCCCCGGATTGAGTGTTGACCGTCGAAGAGTAGTTGCCACTCTTTGGAGATTCCGCAGACGGAGGGCCGTTCGGAACGATAGGAGAAAAGAATCGATGCGACGTGCCCGCCGAGGCCGAGTTGCTCGAGTCGGTCGACGCTGACTTGAGTTTCGTACCTTGACCATGGGTCCCCGTCCGCACGTCTCGGTTGAGCGTGCTGAATGCCGGTCCCAGATTGAGCGAGAGGCGTGGGTTCTTGCGCTTCGTCTCGCTTCCGGGGTCGCCGCCCTCGCTGCTTGGATCGGATCCCGATGAATCGCGTTGTGCCGGCTTCGGTGGTTGCAAGCGATTGTTTGCGACGAAACGAACGCCAGGTGCGAGCGCTCCGGCGGGAACGGTAGCACCGAAGCGGCTCTGGTACATGTTCGAGGCCGCTTGAGCACGCGCACTCAAATCCTGCGCCGAACTCGCCGTACGCAGCGTTGGCTTCGGGGTTTGAGGGCGCGTAAACTGCGACGACGTGCGGGAGGCCACGGGTTCGAGGGTATGCGGCGACGTCGCTTGGTCACTCGGGGTGCGAGGTGCACGTTGATCCGTAGGCGAAAGAGGGGAGAAGCTCGAGCGCACGGCGCTCCACCAAGTATCAATTTTGAACCCAAGCTTGCTACGACGACGTTTGCCTCCGGGCGAAGCGCCGACATTGCTCAGCGTCGAAGTCGTCCGTACGAGCGGCGCGATTGGCTCCGGCAGAGGCGATGCAGTCGGCTTCAGGGGTATCGACGAAGACGAAAGCTCGCTTGGCATGGATTGTAGCTTCAGTCCGGGCGTCATCGGAGGACCGAGGCTGCGAGCCGGAGACGAAGGTGTCATGGCGGCCGTCGTGGCTTCGAAAGGGTAGTATTGCTCTGCAAGCGATTCAGCAGCTCCACATTAGAAGGCAAGCTCAGGTGGTCGCTTTAATTTTGCAAGTTCAACGTATCACTTACCATGTGCTTTGCCCTTGCCCTTGTCATCAACCAACTCACCGACTGTCTCGGCCTCGCTAGCGGCCCCCAGCGCAGTGTTCTGTTGCTCAGCTCGCATTTTGGCCGCCTTCATACGTTCGTATTCGTCGAGCCAATCGACCCACTCGACCTGCGCGCCACCTTCACTCTCGCCTTCGAAGCGGGTGATGTCCCTCTCGACAATCTCCGCATCCGAAGTCAACCCCGCTTCGTCGGTCGCCTGCGACCTCGGCTGTAGCGATAAATCACTGAGCCACGACGAACCCCTCGCCAAGCCGGGGTGCGACCCACTGGACGATTTCCACTTGCGCATCTTGGCCGCTCGACTGGCGACGATGATTTGCGCGTACTCGTCGGTGCTACTCTCGGGGGCGAAGAGGCCGCTCCCGGAGCCAATGTTGGTGGGGACGATCGACATGCGGTGGTTCGTCACTCGCAAAGATGAGCTCGGCGCGGCCCAGTCGTTGTCGATTTGGCGCTGCGAGATTGAAGTTAACAGCTCGGGGGAGAGGAGGGCATCGCGGGCGGCGCTGGCGGCGAAAGGGGACAAACCCGCCGAGAGAGGGGAAACGCCCAGGTCGTGCTGAGCCTCGTCGAGCGAGGAAGAGCCAGTCATATCGAAAGGCGACGAGGACGACGCATGGCTGAAAGGTTGCGCCACGCTTTTTGTCCGACTTCGGCCCGCGGACGAGGTCGAGGCAGAAGGGGCGAGGGACGGGAATGGAAAGAGAGGGGCAAATGCCGACGAAGCCGTCGACGGAGTCGCGGGTGAAGGGCTTGAATGGTGTCCTCGATCAAGACTGGTCCTACGGGATGTGGGTCGTGATCCCGGTCGTGACGAAGGATTTGACGATGGCCGCGAGCGGTTTTCAGAGTGCGCCGGTGAAGCGGATCCCGATGCTGAAGCCGGCGAGTGCGCGCGCGTCGCAGATGGTGTTCGAGGCAAAGCGTTCTCGAGCGTCGGGAACGCAACCCCGTCGGATGCACTGCCCGACAGATTCGGTCGAAAGTCAATCGCACTCCGAACGGACTCGGGGACCTTGGTCAACTTGATCGACTCGGCGGGCGGTGGAGCGGCCGGATACGGGCTCGAGAGCTGAGCCGAGAGCTGGGACCGGTTCGGTGCGCGCGAGCTCGTCGGTGAACCAGGAGCAAAGGGCCGCGGAGCAGAAACCAAATTGATCGAGGCTCGTCTCGAGATGGAGTTGGCAGGCACTGACGACATCGACGGCGACGGAGGGCTCGAAGTCGCCGCGAAAGCCGTGGCGGCGGCTGCCGAAGTGCTCGCTCTGGGCGTCGAGTTGGACGAGCTCGCGTTGCCGCCGGTAGGCGAACTTGTGACGTCGAACAATCGCGACCTCCGCCGTGGTCCGAGGTCATCCGTAGGTGTCGTTGGACTCTGGTTTGGACTCGAGATGGCCGAGCTGACGGGGAGACCGCTCGCTCGTCCTATCGACCGCACGCGTGGTGCCCAGTTGTTGCGAGCGAGGTCATGCTCGGGACTGCTATCGACGAGGCTGGGCGAGCGTTTGTGGTGCGTCGTCGCATTCGGTGCCGTCGTAGATCTGACTCGGGGTGTCGACAGCGTAGAAGACGAATTGCCCTGTGAGCCCGGAGCATTGATATCCGGCAAGCCGACGATGGACAGTGTCGGTGAGATATCGATATCTGCAAGATGCCAAGCGGGTCAGTTTCGTACGTCCGGTCGGGTCCGCGAAAGAGAGACGGGAACAGAGTGCTGACTCACCTCCAAAAGGTGCCAGATTCTCGCGTACGAGAGGACTTCCTGCCCTTCCTCCGCCGAGGGCCCCTCGGCCTCCTCGATGACCAATCTCCTCTTCTTCATCGTCGATGGCTTCCTCATCCTCGTCTTCGTCGCCTTTCGAAGGCTCGCCATCCTCTTCAGGACCCGAGGCTTGTGCTAACGGAGATGGGAATAGGGGAGTAGTGCTCAGTCGAACGCTGGAGGGTGTGGTGGTGGGCGAAGGGGCGATGACGGCGGGGACGGATTGAGTCGCCGAGGGGATCGCGATGGCGTGAGATGGGGAAGAGGGGTGCGACGACTCGCTCGATCCGAGTGGGGAAGACGTCAACGGGGTCGTCGTCACCACGGTAGATGTAGCCAAAGGGGATCTTTTGGTCGTAGCCGTCGTCGACAACAAGCTCGAGGAGAAGCCGCTGCCGCCATTGCCGCCGACGCTGCTCGACACCGACGAAGGTGGGGCAAGGTTGGACGAAGATGTAGGAGCCTTGTCGTGGGACGGCGAGACCATGCCGGTGACGTGGGGGCCTATGTGATGGCTCGATTCTGATTCAGCCCCGCTCTCGAGGCTGGTGGTGTGGTAGGTGAGGCTGGTCGAGGACGAGACGATCGACGACACGGTGCCTCGTCGACTGCGCCGCGTCGAACCGACCGACGAGCCGGCGTACGTCGCGACTGACAATCGACGCGAGGTGATCGACGGCGGAGACGACGACGACGACGAAGGCGGTGGTGATGACGATCTGGAGGAGGTGGGGGTCGACCAGGCGTGGTACAATGGACTCGAAGACGACGACGACGACGACGACGAGGACGACGACGAGGCGGCTACGGTCGACAAGGGCGATAGGCGTGAGACCGTTCCTGACGATGAGGCTCTTGAGGCCAGGCGGGGACGGTTGTCGGAGCCGCTGGGACTGCTGCTGCTGGGAGCGCCGGCGGAGCTGCTTGACGTAGCCGACCGCAACGATTGGGCTCGCACCAAGGGAGGTGAAGCCGGTGGAGGGGATCCAGAAACAGAAGAAGTCGAGCTCAAAGAAGAGAAAGCAGCTGATCCGGTCGAAGATGACGGTGCCGGGGTCACTAGCCGAGGATGAATCGCGCTAGTCGCTGAGCTCGATCTGCCGCTGCCGCTCGTGCTGCCGGAGGCGCTAACGGTGGACGCTGCTGCTGCTGCTGCTGCTGCTGCTGCTGCTGCTGCTGCTGTCCCAATGCCGAGATCCGACTGCATGGTGCTGGTGCTGTTGCTCCCTGTGCCAGGAGTACGAGACGAGTCGTCCTCTGGCACCTTAGCCATGCTGGTGTCGACTCGAGGAAAGGTAGTCACGTCCTCGGACGTCGTTGGATTTGGACACGAAAGTTAGGTTCGAGTCGTCGTCGTCGTTGTACGGAACCGCCAGACGCGTATAGCTGGGGCGGCGCGGGATTTTGATTTTCGACGCGGCTAGACCAGCTATATTCGGCTTCGGGTCGTACACCGCTTACAGACGAGCCTAAAAGCTTGATGCGAGGGTTCGATAAGCGGGCCAAGTGAACCGAGCAAGCGTCACATGACACAAGCCCCTCGGTGTTTTTGCCTACTCACACCCGGACCTTTCCGAGGTCGAAGAAGCGCCTATAGAAAGGGGCTGCTCTGCCCCGTGGAAGCACGGGTCCCCCTCGTGCACTCACGTGATCGCGAACCCGGCGCCCCGCTCAGGCCCACCCTTTCACCCCGAGCACTTGCCTCCTTGGGCGGTGCCCAAGGGTTCTTCCTCACAATCTATCTCAAAAGCCGCGTTTCTTACGTTTCACGAGTAAGAGTCTCAACATCTAACAACCTGGAAATCTGAAGCTCACAACGAGGAGATTTTCATTTGGCATGAGATATTCCATCTAGACGCAACCCCGACGACCTCACAAAGTGATCGAGGGTCCACGTTCCAAACTCCCAGCTCCGCTCGCGGGAAGAGCTCCCAGCCTCCAAGCTCCAAGGCTTCGGTTCTCCTCCTCGGCAAGCGCTTTTATTATTAGTTTGCTTTAACTACGCGTCTCTATTGGACGTCGGAAACCGACTTCCCCGTCGTTACTGGAGCCTTGATCAAAGTCTCTTGTCGAGCTGAGAGGAGCTGTTCAAGAATGAGAATGAGAACGTGCGCCACCGGCGCGGAAAGTTCTCGTCCTCTTCCCCGAAGGAGGTGGTCAGGTCAGTGGCATATGTGCGTACCACATTTATTGCAGTCCAGCAGAATAAGCAATGCATCTTTTTCGAAGTCTAGCTGTAATGTAGTCCCTCATTCTTCCTTGTTCAGCAAGCCGTTTCGATCTTCACACAGGGGGTCCCTGCTCGGTATTTCAGAGGCAGTACAAGCGTCTCGATCCAACATTGTACGTAGAGAAACATAGTGAACATGTTCCCTCCAAACAAGAGATCCTACAAAAATATCCCAATTAAACCTTTCAAGACCTACCGAACCCCTGCCCCACCCGTTCCCCCAGCCACCGTCCCAGAAGCAGCCCCCTCTTTCTTGATCCCCGTCAACCTCCCAAATAGATTCGCCGAGGGGTTCATAGCCACTCGAGTTCTAGGGAGGGGTCTTGGAGGTTCTATTGAAGATGGTGGTGGTGCCCCTCGAGTCGGTTTTGCATGAGGAGGTGGATCTCGATCGGACCGAAGTTTCCTCGGACTGGGTGGAATAGCCTGCCTTGAACCTGGATGATCGGAAGATTTAGAGGATGGTGGTAGGAGTGGGGTTGGTGGTCCTTTTCCTGTCCGGCCTGAAGCAGGTTGAGGCGACGTCGAACCGGCTTTGAGAAGAGTCGGATCGATACCTCTGGTCCTTCGTGCTGGTGCAGCACCACTTCTCGATCCAGCACCACCTCTTCCCGTCGCACTTCCACCGATATTCGGCGCCCCTCCGGCCCCTCTCCTCACAAATCGACTTTCCAACGATGGTGGGGAACTCGCACTTCCCGCACTGGTAGGTGAAATCGACAGCCCCGAAGCACGTGTCTGCAAATCGTCAATTTCCACGTTCGAGGTCAACGTCGTCGTGTTCGTGGTTGTGGTCGCCGAAACCAACCAATCATCTTCCAACTCGGGTAAATCCCCATCCTGATCATCGTCGTCTGCCCAATTGATATGCGAAGATGGAGTAGCGGGTGGAGAAGTAGACGGGTTCGAAGCTGGTGGTGGTGGTGTACTAGACCTTGAAGGAGGTTTTTGGACTTGGACGGGCGGACTGGAGGGAAGTTTCACGATCGGCAGTGAACTCTTAGCCGTCGGTGTCGAAGGTGTGGAAGAAGGGATCGAAACCACCGGCGTCGGGAGAATTGGTGTGGGTTTCGGCGTCGTCGAAATCTTCACAGCGGGTTCAAGCTGCGTCGACTTGTTCGTCTCGAAGACCACAGCTTTGTACGTCTCGGGGATCTGAGCATGTTCATCATCGTCCGAATCAACGGCCCACATCGATCGACCGCCCAAAGCAGGTTGTCTCGTCGGTGCGGTGTTGGTCGTCTTTGGCGGTACAGACGAAGGGGGCGCCGTCGAAGTCTTTCGTGGAAGGGCCGTCACCGGTTGGGTCGAGGGAGGTGAGACATCCAAACCTCTCAACTTGGCCAGCATTCCATCGATCGCATTGATCGCTTCCGAAGAAGCGCCTTCATTCGTCTTCGCATCGTGTGAAGTCGAAGGAGGGGAGGAGAAACACGATTTCGCCACGGCGTCTGGGTTGGGTTTGAACTTTGCCTGGGGTGATTTGGACAAAGGTGGACTCGGGGGTGGAGTAATAGCCCATCTCGAAGTCGCGAGATCGGTCGTAGCCTTCGTTGTCGCCGCGGGTATGGGGCGCGGTGCTGTACCCGGGGCTTTGGGTGGGGCTTTAACTCGGGGTGCCGGCGAATCGTGTTGGGTCGCTGTTGGAGGTGAAGATGAAAGCTGAGACTGCGACTGAGATTGCGGTTGGTTTTGATTGCGATTTCTCGCACCTCTCGTCCTTGTTCGCTGTACGATTGGCGAAGGCGCGCCTGACCCGGCAGGTTCCGAAGGGGCCCCTGTTGAAGAGTTAGCGGCGCCGGCCCGAGGTGGAGGAGCCAAACGTGAGAGGAGGGAGGGGGCGGCTGTCATGTCGTCCTGGGGATATCTTCTCCGTGGGGGAGAAGGGATAAATGGGTGCTGATATGATGTAGTGGTGGGCCGGAGTGATAACACGAAAGGATCTGAGGTGTGTTCCTTCTGCTCCAGTGCGCCGGCGGAAATGTGGGAAACCGAGAGGAGATCGAATCGAGCGCAAAGGGAATCAGTACATCCCCTAAGCAGGAGATGATTCAGTAGAAATAGGGACCTACAAATCAATAAGACGAGGAGGAGACTGATGGGCCAGGATGAGTGATCGGGTCAGGGTGTACGAGAGCGTGGGTTGGGGGATTGAGTAACTGAGCAGGCAAGGACCAGGCGTCCGCATAGTACAAGGTCAGCCAAGGGTCCGGGACGAACGTAGTGGTTATGCACACCCCCGGATATCGCATGACCTGGATGTCATGCTGTGATCCGCCGTTGAGACGAAGGAGCATGTGTCCGAGGTCAAAGCCGCTGCGCCCCCACTCGAGTCGGAAGGTGCAGCCGAGGCTGGGTCGCAGCGGTGAAGCTAGACTAGTGAGCAGACTCACAACACCAGAGAATTCCAAGCTCGAATAAATTCCGAATATAAAAAAACAAGATAATCGATGGGGATACAGGGAGGGTGGGACCGTGGACGGGCTTCTGAACTAGCTAGCGCAGTTCGCCGCCGGTACAGTTGGCGCGGTGTCCGATTTGATTAGTGCTGCATGATTGTCGGGAGTAGAGTTGGGGCTGGTTGTGCACGGGTAAACCGAGATTGTTGTGCGGTGTGGGTGACGGTGTGGGGAAGGAGAGGGGACGAGGTGGTGCTTGCTGAAGCTGGCGAGGCAGCGCGAGGCTGTCGATTAGAGCTGATTAGAGGGGATTAGAGAGCTGCCAGTGGTCCGAGCGGGTGAGTCGGTGAGCCGTGCCGCGCCAGCCCGCGCCCTCCACTCGCCCTCAGTCGCCCTCCCGCGCCCACGATCAGTCACGCCCAAAGCCAGACTGGTCGCCTCGTTCTTGCTCAGTCCCTCGCCTCCTCCGCACCTCGCCTAACCCCCCTCTGATCCCATCAGAATGGTCAGTCGCACGTGTACGCGCACCATGGCCGGATATCCCAACGTAGCTGACCTCGCCCTGTATTCCGCTCTCGTCCGCTCTGTTCCCGCTCGCAGTCCAAGGTCTCTGCCCCCGAACTCAAAAAGGTTAGTCTCCCTCACGCATGCCGTACAATACACAGGAAAGAAGGCATAGACTCTCTTTATGGGCGCTGGAGGCTCGTCACCATGGCCTACCTCCTTCCACTCCTCGAGGAATCGGATCCTGAAACTGACCCTCTCCCACCTCACCTCACCTCACCCCGAACGCCCCAATTCGCCCCACTCGAACTGACCACAGTACATGGACAAGCTCCTAGTCGTGAACGTTCAGGGCGGTCGGAAAGTCAGCGGCTACCTGAGGGGTTACGACATCTTCCTCAACTTGGTCCTCGACGACGCGAGGGAGGAGAACCAAGTGGACAAGACACCCTGTGGAACTGTCGTACGTGAGCACAACCTGAGGTTAGTGGTAGTTCTGTTGCTGATCTGCCCGAGTTTGGCTTTGGTAATCAGGTCATTCGAGGGAACTCGGTAACGAGTATGGAACTCACCGCAAGTCGATGAGCCGTACCTTGGACCCGCACCGAACGAACGAACGTCGAGCGTACACACCAAAAGTCACCCACCAGGACCAGCTACAGCGTCCTCTTTCATTGTAACAACACCACCACCCAACTCTCGGGTCGCGTTCCTCCGCTTGGCCCCCCATCGCGCCTAGTGTTCTTGGGGGAGGACGTCACAGAGGAATGGATTGGGGGAATGTAATAATACACGTTGTCGATAAAGCAAGTCCTCATTACGAGAGGTTGAGAGAAGGAAAGCCAAGAGTTTGGCAGGAGACAGGATGTGTGATCCTGCTCGGGCAGAACGATTTCGGTCGGATGCACGATCAAGAGCCCAAGGTCACTCACTGCATCCGAGCCATCACGTTACGTCAATTCCACTTTTTTGGGCAGACCAAGCCCAACAGCCGAACCATTGCAACGAATTTCTTCCTGCCTGCTCGGCCATCACCGTTCAAACAATCAGCTCCCACCCCAACTCTTCCCCAGCCATAAAAGGCACCACGAATTCCCTCCCCTTTTCCCCCTCGAACCCAAAAGCCTTCTCGACCTTCCCACCCCCTTCTTGAACCCTCCTCAATTCGACCTCCTCCCCCTTCCGAGCAGGGATCTTGTAAAACCTCCTCCCGAATTCCGAGACGTAGCCTTCCAACTTGTCCAAAGGGATTTCAGATCTTTCAAAGATCGTAGCGATGAGTGGGATAAGATCGGCTTGTGTGTAAATCCCGGCTGCGCATGGACTGGGTAACACGATCTCTTCGCCTTCGACACCGTTCAGGTTCGTACGGGTGTATTTCAACGTTGGCAATTTGGCGCCGGATGGGTGGGGTGCCGAATCACTGCCGAGGAAGAATTGAGGATGGCCCGAAGCGATGACCGATCGGAGCGCGGATCGATCGGAAGGGTATTTGGCGAGCGGTTTGCAGAAGTGCAGCGAGGAGCTTACGGCTTGGTCGATGGTGAGGGCGAGGTGGTGCGGTGTGATCGTCGCGCAGACGTTCGAGGGAAGCGTCTTGACCTGTGGGGGAGAGATGTTAATTAGCAACCCTTGACGACAGTCTATCAGTACGCCCTCCCATATGTCAAGGGGCTATGAGGATACTCACACATTCAACAGCGGCGGCGGTCGTGCAATGTTCGAGCACGATGCGCAACTTGGGGAACTTGGTGTGGATCTCGCGCAAGTGGGGCAGGAAGCGTTCCTCGGCATTGAGGACGCAAGTTCCCTGTAAGAACATTGTGAACGATGCCATCAGCCCGGCTATCCCTGCTGAATCCTTAGTGCCGCTCCCCAGCGTCGATCCGGACGCCGAAATTTTCGCAACGCCCACGAACCCGAAGTCGAGCCAATACTCACATCACCATCCACATCACTCGGCACCTCGCCATGCAAGTTCAACACCATGTCACACCTCTCCATCTCGGCAAAGACCTCATCAAAGACCGAATACCCTTCCATCCCGACCCCACCTTCGGAATTGGTGGTCACTCCACGAGGATAGGATTTCACACCCACGATGCCTTTGGAATGCGCTTCACGGATCAAGGAGGGGGTTAGGGAACGGGTCAGGTAGAGGGACATGAGGAAGTGGGTTCGGGGGGCTTGAGCTTGGAGTTGGGTTAGGTAGTCCATCGTTTGGGAAGGTTCGGTCAAGGGGGGGATCAGGTTGGGCTGCAGGAGAGGGAAAAGAGGGACGATTGAGCCCACGAACCTGAACAAGAGCTAAGGAGATGAACTGACCATGACGAAACACGACTTGACCCCACCCCTCTCGACATGGGGAGCAACGAGCTTCATCAACGCGCCTTGTCGAAGATGGACATGCGCATCGAATGGCGACGAGAGCTTGAGCGTCGACGGGGAGGCGGACATGGCGGCACGGAGCAGCTTGGAAGAAAACAGTTTGGTGAGGGGGGAGATGGGGGAGCGAAAGAGTCGTTTTCGGTAGGTGCGGTACTGGTGTGGTGCGGGGATTGAGATATTCAGAGACGAGCGGGGACGGTAAAGTTCTGCCCGCGGCAGCTCGCGAGGCGTCGCTTTGCTAGTAGGCGTCTACGCGAAAGTTACGCGATCGCTAATGAACAATTGCCGCCGCGGCGCTCCTCCGGACCCCCTCGCCACGCCTCTTCTCTCTCTCTCTCTCTCGGCTTCGCCCCTATCGACGACCACTTCCAATCACAGCCATGTCACCCGCATTGAACGGCACACGGATGTCACTGCCCGTATCGATGGCCCAGGATGATGAGCAAGGCATGTTGGGCTTCTTCCACACTCTGGAACGGTTGAAGGTACGTCCAGGGGAGCCACTCGCCGAACCGAGTCGAACAGACCGACATCCGGGGAGCTGATCATCCACGTCACCCCTGCCTGGACGGACAACAGACCAACAAGAGGACAGGATGGGTCAACAACAACGTACAACTACCCGAGTCGATCGCCGATCACATGTACAGGTACGTCCGCCGAGTCGTCTTGCGATTTGACTCCTTTCGCAACACACCTTCGGATCACAGCTGACTTGTCTTTTCCCGGTCGCAATGGCACAGGATGTCCATGATGGCTTTGGTCCTGCCCCCTCCGACGAATGGTGAACCTCCTTTGGATATCGCGAGGTACGAAGACATGCATCTTCAACTCAAGAGCTCTCCGTCGCCGCTTTGCCGATCCCCTTCGGCGATTAGAACGAGGCGCTTCACCGCTTCACTCAACTCGGACCCTCGTTCGGAAGCTATCCGATCTTCCCCTCGACCGATCACTGATCCCGAGCCTGTGCTCGTTCTCTTCTCTTAATCAGATGCGTGATGATGTCTTTGATCCACGATTTGGCCGAAGCCGATGTCGGTGACATCACACCCGAACATGCGAGTGGTATTTCGAGGGAGCAGAAGCATCTCATGGAGCAGGTCAGTGCTCGGCTCAAAGTCTGAACCCACGTTACCCTCGACCAAATTTGACTCAACCAGACCTTTATCTTCCAAAGGCCGCTATGGAACGGATCAAAGGTCTGTTGGGCCACCCTTCGATCGCTTCGTTGAGGGTCGAGTCGCTGTGGCGAGAGTACGAGGATCGCCAAACGCCCGAGGCCAAGTTCGTCAAGGATTTGGACCAGTTCGAATTGGCCGTTCAGGGGGTCGAATACGAGAAGGGTAAGAAACATTTGTGTATAAATTGGAATTGGGAGGAGGACTGAATGATGATCGTCCTTCACTTGGTGTCGAAAATCACAGCTCAAGGAATTCAGTCCATTCAGGCTTTTTTCGATTCGACCGTACCCAGGATTCTTCACCCGACCGTCAAGCAATGGGTCAAGGAATTGTGAATATTCATTTTACACAGCCATTCGAATCATCTGCTGACCTGAATCCTTTTTGCCCCCGCAGGATGGAGCAAAGACGAGCCCTGTGGGCGTCTAGAGGGTGGGAAGGCTACGTCCACGTCGACGTCGCACCGGATGCACCCGCAACGTCGACAAGTACCCAATCAACCGCTTCAACACTCATACTCAACGGCCACATCGAGGAAAAGTCTTCCGCTCGAACTACTTTCACTCAACGAGTATGGGGTGAACATCGGTCGGACGACACCGGGCCCCCAGATTCGTCAAGTCAGGAAGTTGGGGCTGAGGCTTGATCAGTGGCAAAGAGGGGGATGGGATGGGTATTGAAGAAGTGCATGTCATCAAGCGTTATCTTGTGTTTGAGGTTGTCGGTTGACTTTTTCGTCGTTCCCTGTAATTGCTTCTTTCTTTTCGTACGTCGCTTCGAGCTTCGAGCCTCGAGGTTCGCTTCGCCAACGCCCATCCGGTCATGGGGCTGGCGAAACTGCCGGAGGGCACGTGACCATTGGCGGTCGCCTCTCGCGGTGCGAGGCTGCGAACCGACTCCGAGCCTCCGAGTCAGCTGAAAGTCAGATGACAAAGTCCGGAGAGAGCCCATCCTTCAAGGGCAGAGGTAACGGAAACAACGCAGGTAACAACGCAATAGGGGTTTCTGGTGTCGTAGCCTCTCCCAAGCCTGACCTGCATGTTCACTGTTCAGATCGGAGAGTAGGCCTGAGCGCGAGCGGCTCTGCGGAGATGGGTGCGCGCGTGTGTGAGCGTCACCAGGCGTCACCGCGTCACCGCGTCACCGTAGGCGTCATTCAACATTTGTCTCGGTCTGCGCGCCGAGCAAGAAACCGGTGGACGTTGGCGTGAGGCGCCTCCTTTGGCCTCGCGCTCGCCACTTGCATTTGCACAACAATACCCGAGATTTATTTAGCTTACAGGCTACACCGAGCTCTCAGCTTCCGATTGACGGTAGGGTAAGTTCAGCATTGATGGAGTGGATACGACTAGGGATGCGAATGCTGATGGTCACGCGGGGCGGGGTTGTGTTCGCTCTCTCTCATCGCAGCAGCTCCACCCACCCAGCGCCGAGTCAATCAACTTAAACTCGCCGCGCTCTCGCTGGCACGCATTCCGCACCCCAGCAGCGCATATACTACCCAGCTGGAAATCAGCGCTCTCTCTCTGGACGGTCGAACGGACTACGGTCACCGAACGATGGCGGCGACGACGATGATGACCTCTTCCTCATCCCCGATGCGCACGCCGGGCCTGTACTCGTCCCCCGCGTCGCCCCCGACGCTTCGTTCACCGCAGGCACTCCGACCAGCCTCAAGCTCCACCGCTCTCCCACTAGGGACATCCTCTTCGGCCAACGCCAACTCAGCGTCGTGGTCCTCCCCTGATCGACGCCAGCCCGTCTCGGTCGTCGCTGGGGCCGAGGGCGGCGCCGAAGCGATCGCGGTCAGACGAAGGGGTTCCAACTCGTTCAAGACCATGTCGACCGGTAGTCTCGTCTCCAACTCGCCTTTCGCGAAACGACTCGGTCAAGTCACTTCGAGCCCCAAGTTGAATGGTACCATCTCCCCGACCATGTCCCCTACCTCGACCTTGGGCTCTCGTATCCCGACCACGACCGCGACCAAGTACGGTGGTCTCTCCGTCGGCCTCGGTGCGCTCAATGGTTCGAGGCGAAAAGTCAGTGGCGAGAATGAGGAGAACCGCAACGTCTCGGCGGAATATGCGAACGTGGACGAGCACGAGGGCAAGGTCATCTTTGATGGGACGGGGGAGGGCCTGCCTCGGAGTCGATCGGCATCGCCCACGGTGCCGTTCCGGCCGATTCGTTCGGTCAACCCGAGTCATTCGACTGCGCTCGCTGGATCAACGACGACGGGATCGAGCAATGCGGCATTCAAACCTTCTCGACCCGCGTTCACGTCGACGAATGGCAGCCATCACGCCAAATCGGCCTCGGTCGGTAGTGGGCCTGTTTCGAATTCACTCTTCCTCAACCGAGCCAAGGACAACGAGGTCAGCCCCCCGCTCCAACAAGCTCCGTACGAGATCGCCCCTCTCAGTCACGAGTCCGCCCCGTTCTCCTTCCACACCGCGAGTTCGAATTTCAGTCAACCTCGTGCGGCGCCGACCGTTCCTCGTCCGACGAGCTCAACGGGCACGCCCATCTCGCCCTTCTCGCTGGGTCATCGACCGGGACAAGTTTCTCTCAATGGTGGGGAGAGGCGCTTTGGCGGTGCAGCGGACCCACCTCCCAACACGCCTCCTCGTGCTCGTTCGGCTACTTTGGGAAGCAATGGTTCTCCTGCTCCTGCATCAGCAATGAGCCCTCATCGAAGAGGTGCGCATTCCTCAACCGAGAGCGAGACGGAATCGACGGCGAGTCGCGTGATTCGTCGTCAACCTAGCGCCAAAACCGTCACCTGGGCCGCGACGGAGGAAGTGCTCGAATTCGAAGTTGACGATCGACGTGCTTCAGGTGTCAGTTACGCCTCCTCCACTAGCGATGATGCGGGTTATTATGGTCGGGAGCAGGACGATTCGACTGAGGTCGAGGAAGGGAATTCGAGTATGGGCTTCGAGGAAGGAGGCTCCGTCGAGATGCATGATTACAGTTCGTCCGAAGACGAGGACGATGATGGCGAATCGGCCGTGTCGACTGTCGATGATTTGATCGATAATATCGATCAATTTATGGTCGAGGAACGAGGATACAACGAATTCTATTCGCCGTCCCAGATCACGTCTGATTTTGATGCGAGGCCGATGGCAGAGGCGCTTCAGGTCGCAGCTCCTTCGTCGACGTTCAGCTCTTCGACTACGACGACGACTTCGAGTGGCACCTCGACGGGAGAGGAAGAGGGCGAAGACGCGTCGAACTACTCGGATGATGCTGAAGGGGACGCCACGCAGGAGACGATCGCTGCTCACGGGGACTCAGCCCCAGATGCCTCCGCCAACGCTTCATCGTCATCCTCGCCTTGGTCACTCGAACGACCTTTGCCTAATTTCCCTTCCTCAGACAGGGACTTCCTCGACTCGGTGTTGATGATGGACTCGCCGAAACAATCCAAAGCCAGCATCTCGACGTTCGAATTGCCTGACATTCCGGGAATTTCCCCCTTGATGGACTTTGGCGACGACGGTTCGGCTGGGTCGGTCGTGACGCTCGACATGGATCCAGCGGTGACGACGATGATGACGAGAGCTTCGACGTCGGCGCTTCCTCAGGCTTCTCACCCTTTCAGTTCTTCGGCCTACGCTGTTCGAAGTATTGCTCAATCCGCGCCTGCCCAACTGTCCCCCGCCCAGCCGATTCGACAAGAATCGATCGGTGACTCGCCCATCCTCTCGGCCTTCAACCGCACATCCGCGCCAGTCCAACCCCTGCAAGCTTCACCACAGCTGTCACGCAAAGGTTCGGTCCATAGCGACGCTGCTTCGAGTCTAAGTTACTACGGTTCGATCAGCAGCGGCTCGAACGGTCCCATCTTCATGGGACGTGGACGACTCGATGAGAAACTCTCGGCCCATCAAGCGATGCTAGAGGCTTTATCCCCACCTTCGACTTCGACGGGTCGATTCCCCGACACCAACAACTCCGTCCCTTCCATTAAAGCTCGCGATTTTGCTTTGGACGACGATCGAAATCAGACGAGGGAGATCCATGCCAAAGCCGCGAGCAAACCTTCGTCCGCTACGCTGTCGACGGGAATGATGCCCACCATTCATGGCTCGTCCGTGGTTCAAGGCCTCAATATCGGTGTCGGGTCCTTGTTGACGCCTCAACTTGCTCACGCCATGTCGAGTCCTTTGGATCGATTACAAAAGGACGTTGAGAGGGCTGAGGGAGGTTCCGAGTGGAAGACGGGCGATTCGTTGTTGTTGGGCGTGGCGGAGGTTCCTAAGGAGGTGGAGGAGAGTGAGGACGAGGAGGAGTTGAAGGCAAGCTTGAAAAATCCTGATGGTCGACCGACGAGAAGGAGGAGTTTGTCAACGGGGGATGCCAAAGTGTCGGAGACGACTTCGGTAGGTTTTTGATCGTTCCCCGTGGACAGTGACTATTTGCTGAGACTTTGGCTTGATCACGATTTACAGAGCACCGATGACACGCCCAAAAAGCTCGAACTGCGCTTCGAAAGGCGTTTGGCGGGCGTTCCCGAACTCGAAGCGTTTGGAATGAGTACGCAGTCCTCTCTCGATGATATCTTCAACTCGCGCCACCATAGTTATCGCGTGCGCGAACACAAGGTCGTTATTAATGCTACAGACTCGAACCGATTGACGGCGGTCAACAAGGCGGGTGATCTGGCGGCTAGTCCGGCGGTCAGGAGGAAACGTCCTTCCAACATGGTGAGCGATACTTTCGGCAGTGGTCAGGGACTTCGAGGAAGAAGCTGACTTGATCCACTTGTTTCCAGCACGAGATCAACCGCTCCCTCAGCACCGTCAGCGTCACCTCGACCGCGAGTCGACGCAGCAAAGCGTTCCGAGGGCAACTCTTTGTGCACATTCGAGAAGTCCAGATCGATGGTGTCCCCATGCCTCGCGAGCGTACGAACGTCATCTTCTCGCTCGACAATGGCAAGCAACGCGTTGAGGCTGGGCGTCGGGTGCTCGAGCCTCGCATTGCGGTTCGCAAAGAGTTCGAGCTGTGAGCCGAAGTGGACCTTGCTTTCGAGGGAAGACCGCTGCTGACCCTCTAAGAATTTCCTTCCCTCCCAGTGTCTGCTCCCCTGACCTTGTCTTTTCTATCGATCTTTCCGTGGGACCTCCTCCACCGGCCCCAGTGCCCGTACCCCAAGTCCGAAGGACGCCGCCACCACCTGCGTCTCCGACCAAGACACCCGGCAGCCGACTGCGCGCATTGCTGTCATCCCCGAAGAAGAAGGCCGCTTCGAATGCCAAAGCAGCTGCAGCGACTTCTGCTCTTCCGCTACCCGTTGCCGTCGCCCCCGATCCGTTTTACTCGTTCGTCGCTCCCGATGGCAAGCTCGCAAGCGCGACCGTGCGCTTCGTCGACGAGGCACTGCGGTGTCGACACCAGCGAGCTCGCATCACGATCCCCTTCAGCAAGAACCCGGCTCTTCCCTCGAACCGCCGCGTTTCGGGCTCGGTCACGATCGATCTCTTCTACCTCCCTTCCATCTCGGGTATCGACAAAGCCGCGCTGCCCAAGTCGATGGACGAATCGATCGAAGGTATGCGCTTGGCCGAGACCAGCATCGGCGTCACCCACGAAGGCGTCTTGACTCAGATGGGCGGAGACTGCTCCGTCTGGCGCCGAAGGAACATGAAGCTGCGAACGAACCGACTTGTCCCTTACTCTGAAGTGACCAAGATGTCCCATGTCGAGATCGACCTCTCCCTCGTTGCCAGCATCGAGGACCTCAACGCCACCGTTGCCTCGGGAGGCAAGTCGGGGGCCAATTTCGACGCCGACGATGTCGTCTCGACGATGGACAACTCGTTCCGCCTCGTCTTCAAGGATGAAACTTCGATCGATTTCTATGCCGATACGACCGAGTCCAAGAAGAGGTGGATGAAGGAGATCTCCCAAGCCATCTCCGTTACAGGGAATGAGCCGGTTCCGCAATGGGCGCTCTTGGCCAAGCGTCAGGCGGCCAAGAAGGCACAATGATGATTACCTCGTACTCTACTGTAGTCCTTGCTTTACGTACTTTCTGCTCTTCGTTTCGATCGGTGTCCAGGTCACATCGATCTTGCTTCTTTCTTGCTTTGTCTTGTCTTTTGGACGTTTTCGTTTTGCCTTTCTTCGTTTTGCTTTCTTTTAGCTCTTCTTGATTGAATGAGATTCATTTTTTTGCATCAATTCACGTAATTCAGGGGCTTTCCCACAATGGAATAGAACTTTCTGTGCTTTGTGAAGTTGTGATGTCTCTCTCTCTCTCTCTCTCGGGAGCAGATTCTCTCGCAGAAGAAAAAAACGGGAGTTCAATGCAAGTATGGAATTGTAAGATGAGCTCGGTCTACTCAGTTCGCTACTGCATCCAAAGCCTTCTTCAGATCCCCGGTCGACTCGACACCACTCGCCTTCCCTGTCTCAGCTTCCGCCCCACCTGCGGCGGCAGCAGCAGCAGCAGCATCCCTCGCCTTCTCCTCTGGTGTCTTCAAGTGCTCAGGCTTGGGTGTGAACTTTTTCTCCTTCTTGGGTTTTGTTGCCTTGACTTCGGGCGGGTACGCCTTGGCCTCGGCGGTCTTGAACGCCTCCGAACCGTTGAAGTCGTCCTGAATCGGTTTGAGCAAAGCGTTGATCGCTTGCACGACGGCGATTTTGAGGTCACCAGGGTGAATCTCGTTCGCGGCGTAGGCCTTTTCGAGGTCGTCGGCGGAAGCGAAACTGCGCGCCTGACCACCGTGTTTGGGGTCCCCCTTGATGGTGAAAACGACGTCGTCCGAATCGGCCCAGGCTCGTTCCGAAGCTCGACCTTGCCCACTCATCAATTTCCCGATCGGGATGACGACGTTCCTAATGAAAGCAAGTACGCCGTTACCTTCGACTTCGCCAGGTGCGCAATGGGCTTTCTGGATCTTGGTCTTGACTTGAGCCGGGGTGTCGAGGAAATCGATCTTGGAGTTCGGGTCCGAGGACGACATCTTACCTCCGGAGAGACCGGGAACCATCGAGTTCATCAAGTGCGAGCGCTTCTTGTAGCCGAGCTTGGGGAGGTAGAGCTCGGCGTAGGTGAAGATCTTGCGCTGCTCGGGGACAAAAGAGGGGGTCCGTAGAAGTCGTCAGGTTCCAAAAGGCTGATCTCGAGAGGAATCGTCCCGCGTTGCTTACCTGATCGACACCACCGAACTGGAAATCGACACCCAAATACTCCTCGTCGAGGGCTTGCAAAAGAGGGTACAAAAGACCACTGAGCAGCGGGCTGGAAACCTGCTTGACGACCTCAGCCCCGGCCTTGCGCGCATCGTGCTCGGAGGTGATGGAGGTGAGCTTGTACTTGTCGAGGTTGTACTCGGCCGAGTACTGGTACGACGACCCGACGACGAACTTGACCTGGTCGAGCGAGAGGTGCAGCGAGCGGAAAACGGAGCTGATGAGCAAGCGGTAGTACTCGGCGCGGGCTTGGACGAGCTCGAGCGGAGCTTTGAGGTTGTCGAGGAATGCGTGGACGTCTGGTTGGATCAGCATGAGGGAACGGTCATTGTCAGCTGGGGGTGATCGGAGCATAGCAGAGCAACTTGAGCCGAAACTGACCAGCCAGCAAGATCTTGACTTCGACGCCTGCGGTGATGAAGTCCGCGAGCTTGGCTAACGGAACAAAGTATCCCAAGTGCGCTGTGATCGATGGAGCAAGAACCGATTAGTCGTGAGTTCTGCCGGCGATCCTCGCAGCGCTCTGTGGACCCATGCCCCCGCCGAGTTCGAAGCTAATCGTGCGAAGGAAGTCATCCCGGGGCCAGGTCCTCTAACGTAAAGGTGTGCCGGCATCCCTGAAAGACAAGTCATTGGCAAGGGGCTGTATGCCAACTCACGCCTTCCGGTGGGTGCTGTACCCCAGTAAGCGACGAGATCGCGCTCCTCGAGCGTGGCCTTCATCGCGTCACCGCCCAAGACCTCAGCAAGGTTCTGTGTGATGATCTCATACTTCTGGCTGGCCGAACTGCAAAATGGAAAGACGTGGTGATGGGCCGGTAGTCAGCACCGCGAGGATTCGCCTGTCAGCGAAGCCCTGACGTTGCGACTGGGTCGGCGAGGATGGGTGGTAGATGCACTGAAAGGTGCTTACAGCGACCCCGTGGGGGTTGATGTTCCTTCTGTTGTTGACGCAGACATCGCTGGCAAGATAGACGGTCGTGAGGGCTGCTCAAGAGTTAGGTCTTCGTCGCGGTCGGGCAAAAGGACTCGCGAAGTTGACTCACATTTGAGCCAATTTGAACCGCAGCTAATAGGCAATTCCTCGCCCGAGGCACAGCTCCACTCCGTCCATAAATCGCGGGCATTATCGACCAGTTGATTTCATCGCTTGCGTCACACGTCTCCATCTGCTTCATGAGATGAGGAATTGTCTAATCTCGACTGGTCTTCGCCAGATGGGACAACGTGACGAGTCCTGCGAAATTTCGCTGGAAATTTGCAAGTTCGCGACGTCAACGTCGACTCGGTCCTCGCCATCGTCAGTCTCAGCGTCGATCGTTTCCGACTCGAGTCGACTCAGCGCGATCCAAAATCAACCATAAAGCTCTTGACAGCAAACTGGTGCTGCTTCATCTAATCGATATAGTTCTGGGGGGTGCGCTTGACGAAGCGCAGGCCTTGTCAGTGATCGTCCTGCACGTGTTCTCCATAATAAGTTGTCAAAAAAGAGAGCTGCGGAAGCGCCGGGTCCCGCTTCCGAATTTCAAATTGAACCGGATTTGAATTGATCTCGCCCGCTTTCGTCGCATCTCGCAATACCGCTCAGCCGGCGGTGTCTGCTCTCTCTGTCTCTGCTTCCACGCCACGACCCTTTCTAGGTCTCCTACATCCTCATCGATCTTTGCAACTTCGGCCACTCGTCCTTAGTTCAGCTCACGAGCCGTGCCAGTCGGGCGCGAGTCGGCTGGGAGTCGGGATTTTTAAACTCGACTTGCGGTTTCCTGAACGTTCAGGAACGTTCAGGACCCAACTTAGCGCGAGCATCATTCAGTAGACGATGGCTGATCATAGCGCAGCATACGATGTGGGATCGGCGACCTCAACTGTTTATAATGACGCCCACACGACTGTTCGGAAAACCCAGCACGTCAGTGCTAAAGGTGAGCACACTCGGCTTAGGCTCCTCTCCGGGCTCAGGCTGTCTCCGTCCGCTGCAGCTGGCGGCGATCCCTTCGTGCGACTAGTCGCGACAGCGACAGAGCAAATAAAGGCACTTATCGTCTGGCTCTCGTCGTTAGAATGGGATTGAACTGACAAACTTATCGCATAATATCTAACAGATTTGTTTCGATCACTGAGTTGGGGGGACCGATTACTCGCGCCCGCGGTCCTCGGGGCGATGATTCTTGGAGTTGGGTTGGGCAACGCCATTCCCGAAGCAAAGCTTTCGCGGGTGTTCGATGCTGGCAGTCCTGGTTCGACCGCATCTTGGCAAGGCGTTTCCATCCGTGAGTCCCCTCGATTGGCATTTCGACATTTGAAGAGTAATTACCGATTGGTCTCGGCCACATTTCCGGTCGAAACAGCCCTCATGATCGGTCTCTTGGTCATGATTTGGCCGGCGATGAGCAAAGTGCAGTGGGAAGCAATTCCGGATCTGTTTCGTTCCCGGTCGATCTACATCCACCTCGGCATCTCGCTCGTTCTCAACTGGATCGTGGCGCCCTTCGTCATGGCCGCGTGCGCGTGGATCGCGCTGCCAGAGGCGAGCTTGGATCGGGAACGAAGAGGGGTTCTGCTCGTCGGGGTCGCTCGCTGCATCGCCATGGTCATCATTTGGACCGGTATCGCGCAAGGCGATACTGACTACTGCGCCATCTTGGTCGTCGCAAACTCGCTGCTGCAGATCGTCCTCTTCAGCCCTTACGCCGTGCTCTTCTGCAACTACCTCGGTGTGCGAGCTGGAAGTGATCTTGGCCCCCTCAAGCTCGCCTACAGTCAGGTCGCCAAAAGTGTTGGAATCTATCTCGGCATCCCCCTCGCAGCGGGTGCGGTAACGCGTGCGCTCGTGCTCCTCACACTGAGACCGAAAGCCCGAGCCCGCTTCTTCAACTACTTCGGTCCCCTCGGCGAGATCGGACTGCTCTACGTCATCATTGTCTTGTTCACGAACCAAGGCCGAGCCATCATTCACAATATCGGCACCGTTGTTCGCATCTGCGTTCCGTAAGTGCCTCGTTCCCACCCGATCTTGGCGTGTCTCACTCCCTATCCCCTATCTCAGTCTCGTGGGTCCGGGTCTCGCTCTTTTGCGTTGCCAAACAAGAGACTTAAGTGGACGTCAACTGACACGGCACCCCGACTTCTTCCGTGGCCCAGGTTGATCATGTACTTCACCATCGTTTGGACCGTCACGTTCTATTCCTTCTACAAGTTCTCTCGCTCGAAGTACGGTGCCATTGCTGGTGGATACGAGAAAGCCGTCACACAGGCTTTCACTGCTGGGTCCAACAACTTCGAAATCGCAATTGCAATCGCAGTCGCATCCTTCGGAGGGGAAGTACCAGAGACGTTGGCGGCGACGCTCGGGCCGCTGATAGAGGTACCTGTCTTGTTATGCCTGTCTTATGTCGCGCTCTACCTCCGTGATCGGATGGATTGGGCCTTGGACGCCGCGGTTAACAACGCGATCGTTGGCGGCCACCACTCGGATGCTGAAGCTCGCATAGGAAGGCTGGCAAGCGAGAAAATGGAGCTAGGGTCCGCGCGGAACGAAGGGGTGAACCAGTGTAGAAGATTCGGTGTAGCTGTCTGAATCGAGTACTCCTCTTGCAGTGACTCTCTGTGTATTCGCGTAAATTCAGCGCTAGCGACATGGCTGTTCGGCCTCGGAGTTGGGCCGGACACAGGGGAGCTGAAGCGCCCAAGCGCTTTCACGATGTCCAGCGGAGCAAGCGTTCGACCAGAAGCTTGGACCCGCCTGCATGCGCTCCGGTTCGGTTGTCGTCAAATGCCGGTGGGTGTCAAGTCACGCGTGCATGATCACATACTCGTAAGAACCAGTGGCTTCGACCGCTTGATGGGTTTAGTCGAGGTCGATGCCTGCATCTCTAGAGTGAGACCCGAGATCAATGCAGTGCAGGCACATTTCCGATGACCTGCACATACACAGTGTGCATTACGATTTCAAACGGTGCCGCACGACCGCGAATCATGCTGCGACTAGCCCCTGACCAGCTCGGTGCCGGGTCGGGAATACGACACGTGTCTCCTCTCCGGCGATAGCTCACGGTTGTCGATCTGGGCTGAAGGGACACCCGTCGCGTCAGACTGGCCCTTTAACATGCTCCCTCTTTTCCCTTCTTTCTTCTCTTGTTCGTCCGTCCTGTCGTCCTTGTGTCACGCACTACCCAACGATGGCCACAATCAACTCGCGTCTCGAAGACTCCCAGAGCGATCCGCTCGCAATCTTTCACCTGCCCCCACCTGGCGAGACGGCGGTGCAAAAAGCGGAACGAGTGTCCCAAGAAATGGAGGCGAAGCACATCTCTCAGCAGGTCAGTTTGAATCCCTCTATGGTCTCTCGTCCCCCCGGGTCGTTGTCCGGGGTAGGCGTGACAAGCCGCCCGGGCATTGGAGTGTCAAGCCGATGCGACGCTTCGCTGGACGTGGCAGCCCGGCGACCTTAGCGCGGGCTAAGCGCCGTGACAACTCTAGGCCCTTCGCCGACTTCCAATGTTGTTCTTTCGGATCGCAATGCAAGCATGGGCAAACTGATGCCGACTGTTCATGCATCACTCTTCGTCTACGACCCACTTGGGGTCCTCATCACCTCTTCCGCGTCGCCTTCAATAACACTCTTCCGCGGCTCACCCTTCCTCCTTTTTCGACGGCTCGGCTTCAACCACGCCGAGCACTCGGAAGATTGACCGCGCACTCGAAGCCGAAGCGAAGGAGCGACGGAGGGTGGCGGGCAACGTCAAGCGACTCGACGTACTACTTCTTGGGCCAACCGAAGCGTGAGTCCATCTTCCAGCTGGATGGCTTTCCCACGACGGTCAAGCAGTCGGCGCTATCCTGCGATGCGCTCCGACGCGGGAATTTCGATGCGCGAGGGCCTCGTCCGTTGCGATTTGGGTACGGAGGAGAGGAGGTAGCCGTCGCATCGCTGTCATCAACGCGGTGCATTCCACGCCAATCTCCGGCCCGTCCATACCTCCGTTCTGATGTGAAACTTCCCATGGCCTGGAAGATCGGCTGAACTCACACTTTAATCAGCTTGTTTCCGCTGTTCTCCGGCCTGTCCACTTTTTCCCATCCCCTCTAGTGGCAAGAGTACATTCCTCCGACAGTGAGTTCGAGGCACGTGCATCATCATCGCCAACGGACAACGCCGAATGTTCGCTACGAAACCTGACACTTCGGATCTGGCGCGTCCGTGCGCACTGCGCAGGCTCCGCCTACAGTACGACGTCAAAGGTGAGCTTGAACCATGCCGTCTCTTGGCGGGAGAGAGCATACACTTATCCTGTCGTGGTCATGATCACATCCCCTTCCACTTCAAACCATAGGTCTAGACGCAGAGCGAGAGTGCCTACGCCTCGTGATCCTCTTGTCACTCGTCACATCCGTCAAGACACTGCTCGACGTTCTCGACCGTCAGGATGCCAATGATGACACCCCCTTGTTCGACGCTCGTACGACACAACCGCCGTTACGCGAGCCAAAGACACCCCGCGAGCTCGCAGCTCGTCGCCGTCTTCGATTAGCACCCTTTCTGGCGCTCGAACACCAGCTTCGAGAAGCGCTCGACCTGGCTAACACCGGGACAGGAGCAGAGTCGATTGCTGCGCACGCGGCTGCCCCTCTTTCCGCCCAGCTCCACAACGATTACCAGGACAAGTCACTCGTCGACGAGGTCGCGTTGACGCTGAATATTGAGCACCGCGGAGCCCAAAACTCGCCGCCCCCTTCTGACCCCATCGTCCCGCCTGGTCGACTCGCGCAGCTCGTTTCGACCGTGGGCTTCGGCACAAGCAAGGATTCGCGTCGCGCCAAGGCGCAGTCGGCTACTCAGAGTCCCAACTGGACATCCGACGGCAAGTTCTTTGCAAACAAGGATGATCCGATACACCTTGTCGCCGCTCTTAAGAACTCGATCGTGAAACTCTGGAAAGAGGCTCAGGCAAGAGGTCTCGTCGTCGGGGTCACCACGCCCGGAGACCCCAGCGCGGCGCCTCAACCGGTCGTCGATGGGGCAATCGAGTTGAACGAATCGTCGGTGTTCTTCTTAAACGAGATTGATCGCATCGCTACCCCGGAGTGGCTCCCCGGAGATCAGGACCTGCTCAATGTTCGCATTAGAACTAGGTGAGCTCGATTGAACTTTGGGCGCGCTGCGGAACATTGCTGTGCATTCACTGATCTCTATGATGATGTCGCATTCTTCAGGGGTATCGAAGCACATGACCTGCAGTTATCTTCCAAGAGGGTATACCGTATCTGCGACGTCGCCGGTGCACGAGGGTCCAAGTTCGCTTGGGCCCCCTTCTTCCAAGACGCCTCAGCCATCATCTTCATCTGCGCCGTGTCCGAATACAACGTCTGCGACCCCACAGATCCGACGCGCAACCGATTACGTGATGCCCTATTGCTCTTCAAGGACATCTGCGAGAACAGACTGCTACGATCTGCCGACATTGTGAGCGTCCGTCGAAGCCGAGCTCCATGGTAGGTCGTGCGCCTGACCTAGCTTTGCGACCCCGCTCCGCCTATAGATCACATTCATGAATAAAGTTGATGTGCTGAGACGCAAAGTCAAGTCGGGGCAGTACCCTATTCAGCGCTACTTCCCTCGCTACCTTGGATCCGATCGCACCTCGCATATTCTGTCATTCTTCCAAACACTCTTTGAAGAATGTCACCGTGTGCGCCGGCGCCCCTTTTACATCTTCGCGACCCAAGCCAACGACGCTCGCTCAATTGTGGCTGTCACTGCTGCCGTCAACGACAGTGAGCGCCTCCCCATCATTCAAACATGCTGTTCTTTTAGTTTACTGAACACTTCGACCCTGCTTCACAGTATTGATTAGGTCGGAGATGACGTCCACGGGCATACTTTGACCTCGGTTCCAATCGAGCCACATGACCAACTGGATTGCGCAAGCTTCCCCGAGCCCTCGGGCCAGGATTATTTTATGTGTTTACAATTTCACGAATTTTGGAGTTGATCTAGTAGTACATGGTTGTATTGAAGCCCTTGCATTCCAGCCTTCCTCTTGCATCGCAACCGCTTGGAGCTTCATGATCAAAGCGGTCTAGAAACCTCGGCGAGGGCTGAGCCAATCAGCGAGATCGATTATCTCTCACAAAGCAATTGTTTTAGGACTTTGAGAGAATCTTGCATCAATGGCCTGAGCTATGCGCGGCCACCCGCGTGGGCCCCTTGGCGGATACACTCGGGGCCTCGATTCACGGTTGCCCCTCTCCTGTCTCATTTGTCGAAAGCTGAACCGCATCGCCCTACCCGAAGGCGGCGCTGGACTATCTCTCCTCTCTCCCCCTCCTTCATTCGAGCCTTTCGTATCCAGTCATCGAAGAGTGGCCACAAGAACAAGGAACCGTGCCCACCGGACGTTTGCCACATCCGATGGGACGAAGTGGCCTGGTGTTGCCGTCCCCGACCCTCTCCGCGTTATCCGCGCTCGCTTGGGCTACTCTCTCCGTAGCAGCGGCTACGGTCGGCCACGCACCCGCATCGGGCAGACTCCTGCGGAGAGACCCGGATGGCTTTACTTCATCTAATCAGATACCGTACGGTGGTGAAGCGTACTATACGAACTATCGGAAGAGCCCTGCAGTCGTCTTGACTGCCGTCGCCGCCCTTCTCGCGGGTGTGTACTTTTGCTTACTCGGCAAGCGGGGCTGGCGTTTTACGACCGGCCTCTGCACCGCTTTGATGGGCCAGCTCTTGACCTGGATCATCGTCACCAATGTCGCTGCCATCGATCTCAACGGGATCGCCATCTGGGGCTTCTCCATGATCGGCTTTGTCGTTGGATTCGCGGTTGGTGCACTCTTGTGGCGATTCGGCATCGTCGTCGCTGGTGCCGATGGGGGCCTTGCGCTCGCTCTTGGCCTCAATCTTATGGTGCCGCACCAGAGCAATTCCCCCACGTCAGTAGCATCGCATCTCTAAATATTATTAGACGGAATGATACTGATAGTTTCAGTTTCATCAATGGGCCAATTTCTTGTTTCCGAACGTAGCTGGATCTCCATCGGGGTGCTCTCGGCAGTCTTTGCGATTTTCTGTCCGCTTCTCTCGCAAACGTATGGCATGGCAAGTCCAATTCCAGGCCTCTGCCAAATTCAATCGGGCTGACGTACAATGTTCTTGGAAATCTTGTTACGTCCCCCTGACAGGAGATAGCATGCTCATTGACGGGCTCGTTCATCTTGGGCCTTGGTATCGACTTATTCGTCGAGCAAGCTTCGGGCTTCAGCTTGGGATTGGTGAGCGCCACAGCTGATTGGCATCGATTGTCGAAACACTGATGGCATGTTCTTTGGAAATGAGTCTTGTAGAGGTACATCTTCGACCAGCGCCACCTCCCCCCCGGTTTGATGTATCAACCCAGCGAGGTAACTCGAGTATTTCTGGGCGTGATGTGGGGTCTGACGTAAGTACGCTGCAGCTGAGGAAAGTAGGCCACAGCTGACTTCGCCCAATTTCCCCGATAGAATCATCGCAACCGTCTTCCAGACTTGGAGATGGCGCCAACATCCGTTCGAGAGGACCCACGACGCGTTCACAAATCTTCAGGGAGAGCACACGGAGGAAGCCGCAGGTTCGCTAAACACCCGTTCGGTCAGGAGCGAAGAACAGCTGCGCGAGTCGCGTGCCCATACGTTCTCGATGATCACTTGCGCCGGTAAACACACGTCCTGGGAGCCGCAAAATCAGAGTGAGACTAAAATGGATCACCTCGCAAGTCCGGGTCCGATTCACATGAGTTACACGTCGACCTTCGAAGGTCGACCCATTTCTACACCGCCAGCGGTCGTCCACCACAATGAGCCCCCGAGCCCACCCTCGTCGATCGTATCGACCGAATTTGCGCGCGGTCTCCATTCTCGCCCTCCCACCGAATACGATCACAGTCGGCGTATTGACCAACACGATTCCGTTGTGCTTCTTCGACCAATCCCTCGCTATGCCGAGCCAAACCCCGGCCCGAACCCCTGTTACGAGGAGACGCCGACTCACACGACCATGATCCCGGTCGAGCCCGTCGGGGTCCCAGGAAGACAAACACCATCGGTCGATGGCGTCGGGAGCGCACCTGGCAACCCAACCCCTGTACGTAGCAACCTCACCAAGCGTACGTCGTACCGCAAGCCCGTCCCACCTCTCGTTGATCCACAGCTCCTCGAGAGTGCTGCGTCGAACATATCAAAGGGCAACAATTCCCAGCCGATTGAAAACGGCGGTGATAGCAGCGCAGCTCATGAGAAATATGCCTTCGAAATCGCAAGCGCGCAAGGGTTCGCTTCCGGTCGTCGATACCCTTTGGATCAACGAGGAGATGACGCGACACTTGATGGTTCGGGCAGCGAGACGCCGATCTTTGGCACGAACCGCCAGATCCGAGAGGTTGGGTCATCAACGGACACGTATGCTACCGAGTCGGCCATTGGCACCCCGCGGCAAGCCCAGGCTTTACGTCAAGTGCGACCAGTGCTCGTCTCGCGCTTCACTTCGACGACAGATCATCTTCCTTTGGCGAATGGTGCACCTTCTCCTCTCGGCGAACCAGGGGTGCAATTCGCGGCCCGACCCGATCCTCGAGAAATCGTGCCCTCGGTCCTGTTCTGGCCTGAAGGGATGCCCGCTTCCTCCCGTGGCAACTCACCTGGCGTCAGTTCTAGCCCTAAATCTTGATTGGATCAGGACTCGGGCGTCCAATCTGCCTTCATCTCCTTGCTGCCTCATGAACGCACGTTGATATTCCGTCTTGAACAGACCAGCTTATCTCTCTCTCACACACTTGGTATCAATATAATTGTCTGCACTCGTGTGCAGGTATATATGCATATTAGTTTCAATATTTGCACGGTTCATTACGATGTTCACTTTGGGGCAGAATTTGCAACGGGTATCAGTCATAACGAATAGAGGGCAAGGTCAAGCTTCGGGTGGTGGTGATAACAAGCGAGCTCGAGCGATGATAGCTGCTTCGTCGTCGGGCGAGAGGGGCTTTGAGCCGAAGACATCGGGGTGAAGTGCGGGCTTTTTCAATGAAGTGGCCGCACCGGTGGTCGTAAGTTCCATCTTGCCATTCGACGACGATGGCATCGCCACACTTGTTACCTCCACCTTGATCGGCTTCTCCTGCTCTTGCTTGACCGGTACTTCCTTCTCCTTCTCCTTGACTTTCACGTCGCGCTTCCTTCTCACCTCCTCCTCAACCATATGCTTCTCCGCCCCTCTCTGCACCGCATCCTTCCAAGCCTCCTTGGTTCCCTCTCCAACCTTCACCTTCAAGCACTTGATTAAATCCTCCGTCTTCTCTCTCACATCCTCCAAAACCCCCTCAAATCGTTCATCCCCCATCCCCTCCCCTAATAAAGGCCTCAACTCGCCCCACCTCAACATTCTCGATTCCTGTTCCAAGCCTTTCAAGACCATCGTCAGATCTTGGATCAAAGGGCGTATAGCCTCGGTATCTTTATAGGCTTGCGCGGTGAGACGCTCTTCGATTGAGGAGCCTTCAAGAGAGGCTTCGAGCATGGAGGCGGTGGAGATCAAGGGTGTGAGGTGGGAGAGGGCCATGGATCCGGAGATGAAGAGTTGGCGAAGGAATTGGATTTGTTCGTAGGGGAGTCGGTTGGGGAGGAGGAGAGAGAGGAAGGGGTGGGTGAAGGATAGTCCGAGGGAGGTGCGGAGTATGATGTGGAATTCGAGAGCCGCGGTAGTGAGGAGGAAGAGGTAGCGCCACTGAGAGAATGACAAAGGCTTAAGTTAGTTGGTGCAGGCATGAATCGTGAGATTCACGCACGTAGTTGTTGACCCGTTCACTCCTCCTGAACCAAGAGATCATGTAGATAGACACGAGCGCAACGACATAGAACCCAACCGTGGATTGCGCTCCACGAAAAACGGCCTCCCTCTGCGTCGCAGGTTTGGGTTGCCAAGCCAAAGCGTCCATACCGAATCTCTCATAGGCCCACTTCAAACTCCCTTCATTCTCCAATACTAAAGCGGCTTGCTTGATCGCGATGAAGAGGGGTTCGCCTTGTTTGCCTACTTTGTCGGGGTGTAATGATCGAGCGAGTCTGCGGAAATGTGATTTGACGAACGATGAGCCGCCGACTTCGACTTGTTCCCTTGTTAAACCGAGGAGGGTGTAGAAATTCTGGGAGAAGAGGGTGCCTTGTTCGATGTAGACCGAAGAAAGAGTGTAGCCCAGATAGGCCAGAATGAGCCCGATGCGAGCAAAGCGATGGTGGCGTTGGGCGCGTGAGTTTTCATGCGCGATTTGATCGGCGGACGCGTTGGGTGGAAGTCGCGGTTGAATTTGGGGCAAGAGGGTGTAGAAGCTTTTGAGGACGAATGAAGTCAAGATTTGGGGCAAGACCGCCCAGAGGACAATCGAGCTCAAGTGGTGCGAAATGCCGCCGATCGCCATCGTTCCGTCTCGGCTCCTTGCGCGAATGTCTGTCCGTGGGGGTGCAGTCAAGGCGAAAAGAAGTGGGGGTGGGTCAGCATCGCAAAATCAATCATTCGAACGGCGTGAAAGTTTATGGTATTCGGATCATATGTGTCTCAAGCGATCAAACACGCGCTTCATCCCCTCCAAGTCAAAAGAGCCCTTCGGTCACACGCCCCAAGTCTCGAGCCGACCGACCGCTTCCCCTTCGTCCCGCCGCCGCCGCCGCCTCGATCCCAACCCAATCGCGCTCGATTGTAATGACGTCCCCGCATCAACCTCGGCTGCCACGCAGCAAGTATAAGACCCACTCAACACGTCTTCACCCCATTCCCGAACATGAAAGTACCATGTCCTCCTAATCGCACTGCCTTGGACTCGCTCAAGGCCCAAATGTACGCCAGGACCCCCTAAACAGAAACCGACTTTGGCCTCCCAAGTCGCCCCGCCTGTTATTAGGTCCGCGCCAAAGTAGATAATGTCCCCTCGAGAAGAGAGCACCAAGATCCAAAGCAAGAACCTCGAATCCCGATGCTCCGCTTTCCTTTCTGGTTGTCTTCCACCTTCTACGGTCGAGTCTTCTTTTTGTGAAAAGCCGAGAAAGTTTGGGTAATGACCGAGGGATGTGGGGGATGTCGATCTCCGCCTTTGACTCGGAATCTTTGGAGATCAGGGTCGTGTACTGGACACGGTCCCCGAAGAAAACCCAAGCCCTTCTGGTTATAGAAGATCGTCGTCCAGTCGTCCCCCCTGACTTCCTTGGCACACGGCGTTGATGATCAAGGTCACGTGAGAGAGCGAGGAACGGAACGCGGTCGCGCAAAGTCGACGGTTCACGTTTCCATACTCTTTCCCACGTGACGACGCGGCACCGGTGCCGAGAAGAAGTGGGAGGAAAGGAAGATGGGTGTGCCGAGTGTTTTGAAGCGGAGAAAAGGTCACCCGTAGTGAAAGTGTCGGGCCTGCACCCGAGGGCACAAACGGTGACGACGACGGGGACCGTTTCTCTACCACCCTCGTGGCGCCCTGAGGCAAGTCCAAGCATGTGCAAGAGGACAAGGTGGGGGACACATCCGGGTAGAACGGGGTCCCAACGTATCGAGCAGATTGAAGGTCGAATAGGGCGCCATCACGACCGAGTTGGACGCGATCGAACCGCGAGAGAGAACGGACACCAGAGACGAGATGAAACAGAGAGACGGGAACGCCACGAGACAAAGGAGCGCGTGGAACGAAGGACTCGTGGGTATGACGAGTTGTGGGACCCTTTTACTTTTGCAATAGATCATCTCCGGGGGAGAGGGATGGGGGAGAGACTCACCTGGTAGGGACGAATCCGAATGACGTGGTCGTGAACGGCGAGGAAAGTTGAGGAGGGAAAGCGACGGACTCGACTTGCGCGCGGATGGCTTCTTTGCCCTCATCCCCAACCCCACTCGTCCTCTGGCGTCGCCCTCTTTGAAACGATGGGCCCTCCCAACAAGCTCAGCAAGGACAGTAGCGAGGCTACACCCGCCACAACTCAGTCCGCAAATGCCTCACCGCCGATCCCAGCGCGCGATCCCAACGATCCCATGACGTGGGCCGAACGAGGCCTCTTCCCCATCGGCGCAGCTCCACCCCTCAACCCAGAGTCTGACGCACTCGTACCACGTGTAGAAACGACGAGGGAGTCCGTAGATGAACGATGTTGGATAAGGACCAAGCAGACCAATGCCAGGAGGTGGGTTTCTCGTCGCTGTCCTCCCCGACGACAACGAGAGAGCTGAGCTGAGTTGACACAAAAAGTTGTACTATTCGGCAGAGCACTGGGGAGAGAACCCAGAGTGACCATGTATTGCTACCTCAATTTCAAGAAGCAAATTGTCGGTCTCATACCCGTGCCAGGTCAACGCGGTAAGCAATGCTTTTTCCCTTCGTCATCGAGTTCTATCAGAACTGACTGGGTCACTCTTCCCTGGTATATGTGCATCTACACCTCATCAAACGATTTCAACATACGCAGGGGCATACATGGCCAAGGACGCGCCCGTGAGCAAAAACTCGGGCCCCACTCACTACGTCCCGACCGGTCCACCGACGACCTTGGCCCCTCCACCTACGGTCCCCTTTTACCATTGGCCAAGGCTGGAAGATCGCTATATCTACATCGCTCGTGGTCGTACCTATGTTAATCGCCACCTCCAAGAGTCTGGTGGACCCGCCGAGTCACGCATCTCGATCGAGGATCTGGCCGAGCGTTGCGAACAGGGGCAAATGGCGCGAGCGGCCGAGCGCAAGCAAAGGGCCGTCCAACGCGCATTGGGGATGGTGGACCCCATCGAATTTGACGAGTACGAGAAGCTCATCTCGTTGAGTGAGGTGTGGTCACATTCTTTGCAGAGGTTACACCTCCATGTGCATCGCATCTATTCGCCTGGGTGGAGGAATCTGGCGAGGGTGCCGGAGGTGTGGACAGATGGGACGGCGAGCAAGATGTTGGAGAGGTGTAAGGAGACGTTGAGTGATGGGAGTGCGTTCAACCTTGTGGGGAGGATGTACGAGTCGACGATTAGGGTCTTGGGTGAGCTGGAGGAGAGGAGGAGGAAGAAGAAGGAGGGTGGGTCCGATCCGGGCATCGGAGGTGGATCGGGTGGGATCATACCCCCTCCACTACCTCCCTCTGTTGGTGGTCCTCCGCCCATGTGAGGATATTTGTGCGCTACTCCCGACGTTTGCATGTTGTTGTAATAAGTCCCCTTTCATCCTTTTACGCACCAGGTTGAGCACCTAGCTTGACGCGGAACTGTGAACCTCGGACCAGGAAATCAGAAATTGCAGCTGAAAATCCTTTCAACGTTTTGAGGCCACAGAAGAGCTACAGAAGAGATTGAGTGTTGTCTTGACTGCCATGATGTGGCGATCGTCACCCACCCCGACCGATCGATCGACCTGGCATGGCTTATATTGGGCTGGCCCGGCCGATAAGGCCGCCAAAGGCCGAAGGAGGCTGAAGGAGGCAGAAGGAGGCCGAGGAGAGTGGTCGGCCGCCCCGGTTTCGCAAACGGTTTGCTGCTCTTGCTCCCGCTTGAAGCACCTCAACGAAACCGCCTGACTGGACTGTGCTGCACCTCGGACTACGCGCTTGTGACTTGGCTTGATCAACCCCCATCTCTTTTCCCTCTGATCGCATCGCACGTTCTGCATGTAAGTGTTCGCTTCTTCGTGGTCGAGTTGCGCCGTTGCGACGTCGACGTGACGTGCCCTCCCGAGTCAACGGGCGGAGCGTTTTCTTTCGCTGGCTGCTGGCAGGCCGGCAGGCTGGGCTGTTGCGCGCGCTTTCCCGGCTCCGACCGCGGTCCACTTGCTGACCCTCTGCGTCGTCTGTTCTCTCTCTGTACCCCTTGTTTCGGGGTGTGTCGGGGTTGGGTATTGGGTCGCCTACCTCCTTTGATCTCTTGCAGGCTAGTGTGGTACCCCGGATCGGAAACCCGCCACGACTAGTGAGTGCCAATCCTGATCCTCGAGGCTGCCTGCTCGCGATGGCAGCATATTCTTATCACCTGTGGGCGCGGAGTCGCTGACCTGCTCGATGACCTCTTCCGCTCTCCGCCGCGCAGCCTTGACTCTGTCGTTTACAAGACCCTCGGTCATTAAATACGACCCCGTTGCCCATCGACTCTTACATCTACGACTCCATCTCTCTCAACCACTTAGCCCATCTTCGCGATGTTGCGCACGACCTTATCTCGCTCCGGCGTGCGAGCGTCGTTGCTCGGTCGACCCCTCGCCGTTAACCCCGTCGCGGCTCCTGTTCGCTCCTTCACGACCTCGAATCGTCGCCAAGAGGACCTGAGCAAGAACCCCATCATCGCGCCTGCGGACCAGGTCGACATCTCGTCTCAGTTCAAGCACATCCAGACCAAGGACGGCACCTCCGCCGCTTCCGACCTCGCCAGGCGCTTGTCTCAGGCCGTCCTGCCCAAGTTGGAACGGCCCGATGTCAAAAAGGTGCTCATCGTCGGGTCAGGTGGACTGTCGATCGGACAGGCCGGTGAATTCGATTACTCCGGTCCGTCGTCCTCCTTGATCGTCACGCGGAGAAGATGGGACGGTGAGCTCATCTATCTGGCTTTCCATGCCTCACAGGTGCACAAGCGATCAAGGCGATGAAGGAGTCCAACGTCGAGACGATTCTCATCAACCCCAACATCGCCACAATCCAGACCTCGCATCAAATGGCCTCCGAGGTCTACTTCCTTCCCATCACCGCCGAATACGTCTCGTACATCCTCGAACGAGAGCGCCCCGACGGTATCCTCCTGACCTTCGGTGGTCAGACCGCGCTCAACGTCGGTATCCAGCTTGACAAGATGGGTATCTTTGATCGACTCGGCGTCAAGGTCCTTGGCACGCAGATCAGGACCCTGGAAGTTTCGGAGGATCGTGACTTGTTCTGCAAGGCTCTCGAGGGTCTGTTGTTCATCTTTCCAGCACATTTTCCTGGATAGGTCGCTCATGCTCTCGCGAGTTGATATTCAACAGAAATCGGCATTCCCGCCGCTCACTCGACGGCCGTCTCGACCGTCAAGGATGCCCTCGCCGCCGCCGAGGACATCGGCTACCCTGTCATCTTGCGTTCGGCCTTCTCACTCGGTGGTCTGGGATCGGGCTTTGCCGAGAACGAGGATGAGTTGCGCGACTTGTCCGCCAAGTCCCTGTCGCTCTCGCCGCAGGTCTTGATTGAGAAGTCCCTCAAGGGCTGGAAGGAACTTGAGTACGAGGTCGTGCGTGATGCTGCCGACAACGTCATCATTTGCTGCAACATGGAGGTGAATTGGGAAGACAAGTGGCGTTCAAGCCATCAGCTGTCGCTGACCAGGGGTGGTATTATACAGAACTTTGATCCTCTCGGCACACACACCGGTGACTCGATCGTCATTGCTCCCTCTCAAACTCTTTCTGATGTGAGTTTGACCCCCACGATTGGTCTGATGCGGCTCGATCGCGTTTACTGATCTCGTCGATATCTTTGCAGGACGAATACCATATGCTCCGCTCGGCGGCGATCAAGATCGTCCGCCACGTAGGAGTTGTCGGCGAGTGCAACGTTCAGTACGCGCTCAACCCCAACAAGCGCGAATACATGGTCATCGAGATGAACGCTCGTCTCTCTCGTTCATCGGCCCTTGCCTCCAAGGCAACCGGGTACCCGCTCGCCTACACCGCTGCCAAGATCGCGCTCGGCCACACCTTGCCCGAGCTGCCGAACGCCGTCACCAAGACGACGACGGCTTGCTTCGAACCGTCGCTCGACTACATCGTCACCAAGATCCCCAAGTGGGACTTGGCCAAGTTCCAGTACGTCAACCGCGAGGTCGGCTCGTCGATGAAGTCCGTTGGTGAAGTCATGGCCATCGGTCGAACGTTCGAAGAGTCTCTGCAAAAGGCCATCCGTCAGGTCGACCCCCGCTACGCCGGTTTCGAGGCCTACTTCCAACCCGAGGACATTGACCACGCCTTGTCGGTCCCGACCGACCAACGCCTGTTCGCCATCGCCCACGCGATGCTCAACCTCAACTACACGGTCGAGAAGATCCACGAACTCACCAAGATCGACAACTGGTTCCTCTACAAACTCGACAACATCGTCCAGACCTACCGTCAGCTCCAGGGCACGTCGACGCTCTCGGAGCTTTCGCACGACCTGATGAAGGAGGCCAAGCGCATGGGTTTCTCGGACCGCCACATCTCGCAGCTTTTGCCCGAAAACGTCACCGAGGACCAAGTCCGCGCGCACCGCAAGTCGCTCGGCATCACGCCCTTCGTCAAGCGTATCGACACCCTTGCCGCCGAATACCCCGCCCACACCAACTACCTCTACACGACCTACAACGCTTCCGAGCACGACATCACTTTTGGCGACAACGGCACGATGGTACTCGGTTCGGGTGTGTACCGCATCGGCTCGTCCGTCGAATTCGATTGGTGCGCCGTTAGTTGCGCGCGCAAGGTTCGCGAGATGGGCAAGAAGACGGTCATGATCAACTACAACCCTGAGACGGTCTCTACCGACTTTGACGAAGCCGACCGCCTTTACTTTGAAGAGTTGGGCTGGGAGCGCGTGATGGACATTTACGAACTCGAAGGCTCCGAGGGTGTAATCGTCTCCGTCGGTGGACAGCTGCCGCAGAACATCGCGCTCCGACTCAAGGAGACGGGCGTGCAGGTCCTCGGTACCGACCCGGAGATGATCGACAACGCTGAGGACCGACACAAGTTTTCGGCCATTCTCGATGCCAACGGGATCGATCAGCCCGACTGGACCGAAGCCAGCTCCGTCGAGGCCGCCAAGGAGTTTGCCAACAAGGTCGGCTACCCCGTCTTGATCCGTCCCTCTTACGTCCTGTCCGGTGCCGCCATGAATGTCGTATGGAACGAATCGACGCTCGAGCATTCGCTCACAGCTGCCGCTGAAGTATCGTCCGAATACCCGACCGTCATCACCAAGTTCATCGACTCCGCCCAGGAGATCGACATCGACGCCGTTGCCTACAAGGGCGAATTGCTCGTCCATGCTGTCTCGGAACATGTCGAGAACGCTGGTGTCCACTCTGGTGATGCCACGCTCGTCCTGCCTCCGTTCTCGCTCGTCGAAGATGACTTTGCCCGCCTGAAGGAGATCGCACAGAAGGTCGCCAAGGCGTTCGAGATCTCGGGTCCCTTCAACATGCAAATCATCCGCAAGGCCTCTGACGACCACTCGACGGTACTCAAGGTCATTGAGTGCAACTTGCGCGCCTCGCGTTCGTTCCCCTTCGTGTCCAAGGTCCTCGGTGTCAACTTTATCGATATCGCCACCGCCGCCATCGTCGGTGAGAACGTCCCCGCCCCCGTCGACTTGATGCAGCAGAAGCGTGATTACGTCGCGATCAAGGTCCCTCAATTCTCCTGGACTCGTCTTGCCGGTGCCGATCCTTACCTCGGAGTCGAGATGGCTTCGACGGGTGAAGTCGCCGCGTTCGGTGTCGACGTTCACGAAGCGTACTGGGCCTCGTTGACTTCGACAAACGCTTTCCGCGTCCCCCCTCCCGAATCCGGTGTCTTGATCGGTGGTGACATCTCCAAGCCCCAGATGGCGACCGTCGCCAAGGGCCTGATCGACCTCGGCTTCAAGCTCTACTGCTCGTCGCCCGTCGTCGAGGAATACCTTAACTCGCTGCCTTATCTCGGCAAGGTCGAGCGCATCGCGATCCCATTGAAGGACAAGCGTCGCTTGCAACTCGTCTTTGAGAAGTACGACATCCAGTGCGTCGTCAACTTGGCCTCGTCGAGGGGCAAGAACACCGTCGACGAGGACTACGTCGCTCGTCGCAACGCCGTCGATTTCGGTATTCCCTGCTTGAACAACCCTTTGTTGGCGCAACTCTTTGTCGAGGCTTATGGCAAGAAGTTGAGGAAGGGCGAATTGGAAGGCTACGTCGAAGGTCGCGTGCCGAACGAGGTCAAGCCGTGGAGTCATTTCATCGGTGGTCGATTGTAACTCCTCCTTCTTACGACCGCCTCCACCTTCTTCCCCTTTCAACTTCTTCCACTTTCAATTTGCAACACGTCTTCAAAGCAATAATGCCCTCCCTCGAGCTTGTCCGAGATTGCTTTACATAAAAGATCTCAAACTCCCCTTGTCGTTACTCGCCCTTTCTGAATAGTCCCCAATTCCTGAAATTCAATTCGCAACGTAGTTCAATATGCATCGGAGGAAGTCGAATGACGACGGGTGAAAATTAGATTACAACATGTGCTGCACAAATGCCAACAGGTGTAGTTTACACAGTGGTCAAGATGGAAAGGAGCGTTCACCCTCCGACCAAGTCTTTACCCGTGATGGCATCCTTGCGCTTGCCATCTTTGTCGACCGTACTGTCCGATGCTTTGTTTCTCTCCAGAAGAGTGGGATCTTGATCGTCGTCTGATGTACTCGTCTTGGACGGTTCATCGTCCGCACACCCACAATCGTAGATGATCTCCAACCCTTTCCCACAGTCGAATTCGTCCTTGCCCAATCGGGCATTGACGAGGTTGTGCAAGTGACAGAGATGAATCGAGGCGGCTGAACGGGAGGAGGTTTGAGGCGGGTGTTTAAGAAGCAAGGCTTGGAACTGTTGAAATCGGGACGGGAGGGGAGGGGTAGGGGAGATCAGCGTCAGGACATTAGGAACTTCTTTGGCTCTCTCGACTGACCTCGGCTGCACATTCGCCTGAAGGATGGAAGGTGGCAAAGATGCGGGGTAAGCACTCGTTCATTGACCCAATTCATCCATGCCTCGCTCCACTTACCACATGGGTACAATCGGGAGAAGAGGTAGAGAAAACTCTTGAACGTCTCCTTTTCGTCCTCGGTCGGCTCGACAGGAAAACGAGCGGCCATCGTATGTAGTAGCTTCCACGACGCTCGGCCTAGTTCGGCCCTGCACAAGTTGATCCAAAGTGATTAGTACGTCGAGTGGGTTCACAGAGAGTGGGATGCTGGACTGACTTTACGGTCGCGTTCTCAAGCTTGGGCATGATGATCGGTCCCTTCCAATAATTCGGCAACTTCTCCAACGCCTCTTGCGCCAACGGATCCTTGATCGCCGCTCTTGCCAATGCATCCCTGACACCGACTGCTCCACCTTTTTGTACGCCTTGTTGGGCCCAGACCGAGTTGGAGCCCGAGCGTTCCAAGGGGCTTTGCGCGACGGAGAGGTACGTCGGTACGAGCAGGAGCAATGAGCAGGCGAGGAAGGTCACCAGTAGTCGAGAGGGGGTCAACAGTTGACGCAGGGTGAGCATAATGGCGTGTGAGGCGTGTGGGAAACCCCCACGCATTCAGGGCTGGGGGTGAGAAAGCCCAAGAGATGCTTGCGAAAGCACGGGGCGCCACGTCCGACTTCACAGCTTCACCGTCGCGCCATGTCGCGCCTCCTCGATCGGCATCATCCGGCGGGCGCACTCCCCCCCCCCCCCCCCCCCGCCGCATTGGGTAGCAAACCACAGGCTCCAGTCATCCTGGATTTATCTACTCAGCGGAACCAAACATTGCGACATCCGAAACAGGAACCGGCTGTACACCTGTACATTTCATTCGGCAGTCCCGAATTTTGAGCCTATAAACCCGCTTGAGCACCGCAACTTGACTGCATTGCAGTCACCGGGGTTGCGAGCGAATGAGTCAATTGTTGCAAACAACGGCGGCTGCGAGAATTTTGGCCTGTATTCCCGTCTTCATTTCTTCAAAGTCGGAGAGCCCCAGAAGACGACGCCACATCTCGCTCGAGCACGATCAAAACTTTCACCCCTAGGTTAGGAACGGGATCGTCCGAAACGAGAAAACTTCAGCATCGCACTTACTCTGTGCAGAGCTGCATGTCAGTATCCCGTTCTTCCAGATGACCTACATTGGGATAAATTCAATTTATTTTGAAGTTGTTCTGGGATTCTGAATAGACCGCGAACAGTTCCCGAATGATGGCAAGCCTGGAAGCCAGCCTAGGGGCTGTACGCAAAATCCAGCCAGATGTCCAAGTCGAGCCGGACGTCGAAGTGGAAGCACTCGAGGACTTGAAGACACTGTGGGGGAGAAAAGGGCAGCGTCGAACAGAGCCCTGCGCATGGCCGACCGCGTTGCTCTCTTGCCATCGGAAACTTGGTCCACCGAACTTTGGCTGTTTATCGCTCAGTTTGAGGTAAGGCTATGGATAAAGAGTCATAAATCCCAGCTACTCTTCTTCAAAGACAGAAACCAACAAGCGGTAGATGCGCTGGACGACCCTGTCATATATCATATACCATTTATCGTACATAGCATCTGTCTTTCCCTCCTCCAACTCAGCGCCCGGCTCAGCTCGTGAGGGTAGATGGGGCACAATTGCCATCATCGTCTCCATCAGCGAGGTATGCTAATCCATGCTCCTTTGGAATGTCCACTACTTTGGCATTCGTACGCCCCATATTATCCCAGCCCTCTCGATGAGCTCGTGATGCCAGGCCGGGTCCAGCCGTGTTCGGGATTGCTCGCCGAGAGCCCACTGCAGTAGACAGCCGGTTTTGGTATCATCGGCATCGCATACCACACAAATGTGCCCTCAACAATCTGACGTGGAAGATGCATGGCTCATGAGTCTGTAGGTCAGTCCACTCTTGTTGCCGTACCCCGAGTACGCTTCGGATAGTCCGATACAGGTCCTGGCCAAATTTCTCGCTAGTTTCTTCTCCTGACCCGCACTCAGACACCTCGTTCCGTCATCGACACCACATATCACACACTCGGCGGACCTCCCCAGTCTTTCCGAGCATTGGAAAGCAGTAGGTAGGACGTGCCCGCAGCTGGAGATGTGTCTGGACGGCATACGTCCACACGGCACAGAGATATGTTTGGGATACTGCCCTGCCGAGTGCCCGACGTCCAGTTCGGCCGACAATCTAACCTGGGCTCTCCTATCTATTTTACGCGCCTTCGGGGTATTTCGGCGGTTTCGTCCAATGAATGCTACCATACCTGCAAGCTGAATGTTAGAGAGTCGCTTCTTCCACATGGAGCTGGCGCTTAATCTGATTACTCCTAACTTACGGCGCTGCTTCTTCCTCATGGAGTTGGCGCTTAACCTGATTACTCCTAACTTACGGCGCTTAGCGACTCTTCCCCAGCCGACGGATGAAATTCACCGCCCGCCCGGGTCACGGTATCTTCTACCGTTCGCCATTTAGCGTCTTCGTCATGTCTGCTTGAAAGGCCACCAATTGCTACAGATTTACCCTGCCATCATCGTGGATGTCGATCAGATGCTTGATACTTGTTTTGACGAAAGAAGAATCGACTTCGAACTATGTACGAGCTAGGGGCAAATACCAGTGTCGGTTTCGGCCGAGAAGATGTCTCGCTATGCCACGCGTTTCGAGAGGGTCCTTTTCCTAGGGCGGTCATCGCCCCAGAGCCCTCGCGTTACTATATTCTCGGCGAAGTCTGCCGGTCGCAGACTCCGAGCGCTGTCAAAAAGGGGCAAAAGAAGTCCGAATCATACTTTAAACTGACGTCGCTTTGAGAGCGTCGTAGTCACCGAACTATTCACGACGACTTTCACCGATGTCTCGCTCGCCACTGTTCTCCCCGTGCCGCCTCACGGGGAGCCGGATCACCTCAACCAGGCTTTCGATTGCACTTACTGTCGCTTCCGACAACATCGAGGCTTCCAGCCTGGTCTGTTCCCAGTGCGACATTCTTGCCGATACAGCCCAACGCTCGCGCGAGGGCCGGATCGGTGACGCCGAACTGGGTGCGATCACATGGCCGTTTGGAGTTTACCGCCCACTGTCCCGGAAGGAATCTCTCCTTATGTCGTCTACCTACAAGCGGTCACCGAACAGCTCTATAATCCACCCACGCCAGCATTCGAGACTCGGCTCTTCGTACTCGTGGGATGTATGACTTTGTGCGTGTGACACGGGTGCTCGAGCTGGGGCGCGACTGACCGAGTGGCGTGAGCCAGTAGCCTTGCCTCTACGCCCTATCACACCCGCCCCATGCCGTTTCACTAAACTTTATGGATATATCTCTAATCTAATGAATCTGCAGATGCGCGCTCATTACGACTGTATACATGTTCTTTGTGTGCGAGCAAGCCCTGCAGCGAAACGGCGGCCCGGGAGTTTGGCTCTGCAAACGAGTGGCGATTGGTAGGAGCGCCGCAAACGAGCCAAACGGGCTGGTGACCGCCGACGCTAGCGGCAGCGCCGAGGCTAGTCGTATCATCGTCATCAACACCAAGCTCGCTATTTCACTCGGTATGATTGTTCAAGAGCTGTATTGCATCGCTTATCTCCTCCAAGTCAAGACCGTGTATGCCTACCACGGTGATCAAAGCCACATCTACGCGCTCCGAGCGTTTTTGCCATTTCCGATTTGCTTCGTCGCGTGGGGCGTTTCGTGCGGGGTTCTGCAAGCTTATACGCTCGTACACGCCAATCAACGTGGTCAAAAGATCTGGGGTCCTCGTATCAACCACCTCTTCGTCTACGGCGGCCTCGTTTGGCTCATCGCCTACTTGGTTCGTCGCAAACTCTGCTCGTCTGACCATGCGCTGGACTCGGAACTGACGATTGGGGCGTGGTCGTCCAGGCCGGCGGTATCACCGCTACCTTTGCTGGCTGTGGGTGGTGGCACGTTTGGCTCGACTTTTCGGCCGACCTTCGACAGCTTCAAGCCAACTACACTGGCTCTCTCACCGGAGAAGAATGGCTTGCGCTGAATGATGGGTTTGCCAAGTACATCCGCAAGCGGAACGCATATGCTCTGTGAGTGGCCGCAAGTGATTTTTCTGGCGCCCCGGGCCGAACCCTTGTGCTCATCCCCAATGTCTCCTGAAATTCATAGCTCCTCCCAAATCCTCTTTGGCTCCCTTCCGCTCTTCGTTGCGGTTGTGGTCGTCATCAACACATCCACTTTCTTGCTCACACAGATGATCAATGAACGACTAGGGCATCAACTCGAACACTTCACGAAGGTCTCCACCCGTCCGACATGGGAGAGCCAAGATATTGTCCTGTCCCCCCTTGATCGATGTGCGACCCAACAAACGTATCGCGTCGACGGTTCGCGCACGTCATCAGTTCTGCGCGACAACGCGGTGACCGTGTCCCCTTCGTTTCATTTGGAAAGAGGCACTGACCGAAAGAACTCGCCCGGGGCATCGAGTTATCTCACGCTCGACAATGGCTTACCGCGGAAGCCGAAGGCATCTACATGGCGCAATCAATTCGCAGAGCCAGGTGTGAGGTTAGAGCATGTGCGTGCACTCGCGGGCAGCAGACAACTTGATTCCGACTCTCCGAGCTCGACGCCGAAAGAGGCGAGGCGCCTCAAGGCGATCCAGATGCTCGAACTCGATGCGACGAGAGCTTTCCTCGCTTTGGTCGGAGGTGCGATTGCGGTGTGCGCGTTCTTTTCTATAGCCATAGCCCTCGCTGCTGCGATCGCGTTTTCCGGGCCGTTCTTCACGAACTGGACCCAGTAAGTCGCCACTCCGCTTGACCAGCTCCTAAACCACGAACGAGCACGGATGACTGACCTTTTAACATATGTCCGCACACCAGGTTTGAGTTTACCACTCTTAGGTGCGCGAACGATAGCTTGCGTGGCGTTGGCTACATATTCAACCCTGGGTCCCCCAACTGATGAAGCAGTTTCCTCTATCTCAGTTTCCCGTGGTCCATCGTGGCGCTCGTCTTGGGTACGGGACCGCCCCTCGTGTACCTCCAATTGCGAGCGAGATCGCTATGGATTGCGCGCAAGAAGTCCAGTCTCGTCATTTGTCGCAACGTCCACGTTGTTGTTGAAACGTAGCGTAAAAACTGAAATCCACTACCCGTTGCCCAAGGTCCGGCCTGAGAGGGTTTATCCGTTAGAGAAAAGGACAAAAATGCCCTCGGATTCCAGACTTCTGTAATACTCGATATATCAGCTCAGAACCAAGAGGGTAGCTTCTTGCAGTCTTTGTGATCAGCGCCGTATACTCAGAATCTCCAGAGGTGCCGTGAGAAGTCAGTTATCACGGTCGCAAAGGCAGGGGCCTATTGCGACTGAAGCGAGGCCCCGTTGAAAGCGATGAGTATAGACCGCAGTGAATTACCTACCATATGAAACAGACCAGCACGCCTTCAACGTGTAGTAGTATTGACACTTTTGACACCTTATACTCAGATTCAAATGTTCGATCTATCTATCGCATGTAACTCGGTTGTGTCCGGGCCTTTTGCAGAGGCCACAGATCGTATCACGCTTGGCCCTCTCATCCGCACCCCGGACCCTGCGCTTGATTGGACGTCCTGTACGTCTGGGGAATTGTGGCGGAATGATAATGGCACCTTCTTCTTCGCCAGTCGAATCACTATCGTCCTCATCATCCGTGACCTCATGTCTTGCACACGACGTGCCAACGACGCGTGTCAGACTTACGGAACGTCGAGCTGGTTCTGGTCATCAAGCGCATATCGATAGCCTGCATCCGTGAGCTCCTTCTTTTCGTAGAGATTTTCCCCCTTCTTTAAACAATGTTCCATTGTCGAAAGTCGGTGGTGACTTCGGCGTCCGGGCCGGGGGCGAGAATGCGGAAGGAGACCAACGTCGATTCGCGAACTCGCGCGCCTCGACGATCGATGAGGCCCTTGACTTTTCGACCGTGATAACTGACTTCTCACGGCACCTCTGGATATTCTGAGTATACGGCGCTGATCACAAAGACTACAAGAAGCTACCCTCTTGGTTGTGAGCTGATATATCGAGTATTACAGAAGTCTAGAATCCGAGGGCATTTCTGTCCTCATGAAAAGAAGCGAGGGCATTTTTGTCCTTTTCTCTATCCGTTATAACGGATCACCTCGGGCAGACATAAAAAGTACGCCTCAACAGGCGCGCGCGCAGCGCCCTCCCACGCGCCTTCCAAGCCACAATCCCGGCGGGTTGCAACCTTGCTACCCCAGGTAGCAGATTAGGCCCAGGTCAGGTATGCCCTCCTCGATGTCGAGTTGCCGAGACGTTCACTTCCACTACAACTCCATCGAAGACCTGGGAACAAAGGCGCAGTCAGCGAACAATAGTGTATTCGGATTTTTGGAGATTTTTGGAGAGTTACTGTTGTCCTCTGCAAGCTGAACAGGCGCTCTACCTCGAACACGTGATTCGGCACGGGTCGCGCGGAACAATTGGGGCCGGGATGGCCGGGACGTCGACGCGTCACGACTCCGGAGACGCTGGAGATGGCGGCGACGCGTCGCGCTCGCGCATACCGCCCATTCTTCTGCTTTGCCCAATCGCCCCCTACTACGTATACGAAGTAACGAAATATACAATGAGCATCCGTCTTGCGACAGTCTGAAACGAACGCCCACTTCGAAACACCGGATTAGTCATACTTCTGCTGCTCCTATCATGACGAGTCAATCCAATCAACTTAACCACCTCCCGAATCGCAGGCGCTCCGGCGACGAACAGCAGTATGTTTGCCGCCGATCGACACGGGTGCTCTGACTGGACTACCGGCTCACGATCACATCTGACACATAGGTTCATATGCTGCCTCTGGGTACGAGTCATGCACCTCGCCTTGGACTCCCTACCAGTCCGCATATAACGACTATTCGGGTCCGTGGGTGGCCGTCGCGTCGATCGCGTACAGTATCGGTCTGTTCTGACGTTACACCGTCGTGCACCCGATCCAGCGTCCACTTCCGCTGGCGTAACGGCCATCTCGAATCCTGCGTCGTACAACTATCAATCTTCTCCGGGATCTGCTTCGTCCAACCAACCAGTTTACCGTCCCACGTTCCCATCCTGGACGCATCGATGGCCCGTATCTAGCTCCGCCAGCAAGCAACAATCTCGCAAACATGGTCGAACAAGGAGGGAACAATCCTGACGGCACGGGTATTGTCTTTGACGCGGCAGGTTTGCCAAATACTGCACCTTCCGCTCGCGATCGCCAAAAGTCGCGGGCCGCACAAGTTTCCCAAGACGAGGAGGGAGGCCGCGCATCAGGAGGGAGCGGTGTATCAGCGAATACCTGCGCACAGCTTGGAACGCACCCGTGGCTGACAAGAACGTTGAGACCAAATTCCAATGGTACAGCATCATCCTCAAAGAACTGTTCCGTGAGTACAAGATGTGCAGCCTGCCTACTCTTCCATACACGGTGACTAATTTTGACCCGGCTCGCTGTCTTCAGAGTCCGCGCTGCGCCGACGCTCCGTGCTGGACGGCGAGAAGACCCAATCGCCCAAGTTCGTCTATGACGTAAAAGCCCTCAGGGACAACGCCAGAATCATTGTTCAGCGCGGCGCGCTCCTTCGCAAAGCGGATTTCCGAAGCCCGAGTGGCAAGCTTAAGTTGTTGGGACCAGACCTGGATCGGATCATCCCATTGCTGCGTGCAGGCGAGCTGAGCTTCAGGCTGGAGGAAGAGGTAACGGGTCAAGTGCAGAACAGAAAATGGCCGACGGCGATGAAGGCGGCGACAGCGATGCTGACCGGCGGACTCGGAACACGAGCTCCGACGAGGACAGCGAGTGAGGTGACGATGGCCGAGCTCTCAGCGCCAGCCAGACTCGTCGACGCGCATGCGGTGCGGAGATCTTGGCTGTTGAAGGGCCAGACAACACAGGCCACCACAATAGTTATTTCAAAGTTTTGCTTCATATGCATCCGGCTCTTGGTGACTAAAGGCGGAGAGGGTGATTGTTCGTTGCCCTTCGTGCCTAATCTTCCCCTGGGCCGCTCGAGATCGACCTCTCCTTGTTGACGTGGGATGTGCCAGTGACGTAATCCTGCCCACAAACATTATTCCACTTGTTTCGAGTTGTTTTCGAAGTATTATGTATAGTTGAATTGCCTAGTGAGAATGGAGTGCTCCCTGATCCGTGGTCCAGACGGAGCGTCTGCTTTCCGGAAGTGACTCTTTGAGCAAAGAATGAATGAACAGAATTCGCAACGCGCTTCCACTAATTGCAGTGTATGTTAGCATCTTTTTATGATCTATTAGCACTAAAGTGAACGGGCAAGGGTTGCATCTGGCCGGGCTCGGTCTTCGCCAAAGTGCCAATCAGAGCTGCTGGGCCACGGTGACGACCCCCGGCCGGCTGACTTCAAGCGGCACGCGCTCCCAGAAGAATGCGAACTGATCTGAGCCCCTGAACGCGCAAGCGGAGCGGAACACGTAGGTAATCAGTCGTAAGTAGCGAAGTAGCGACAAAGTACGTGCTTGATGAGAGGTGGGTCGAACTCGATCATAGGTTCGGTGAAAACATGGAAGGCTTAGGCTTGTAACAGGCTCTTGGAGCGAAACCCTCACTTGACTCCGAGACATGATCGATGGCCGCTCATACCTACCTTTTACTTGATAAACATTCCCTCTCATCAATGAGGTAAGCCGCCAATCCTCAGGCCACATGGTGAGTGCTCAAAGCAGAGAGAATTCTTGCATTCGCCGCACTAAAATGAATTGTCAGCACTTCTGCCCCCGTCAAGCATAGACTAGACTTGATCTTGAGATCTTGACACCAAGCTTTTCTTATAACAGGCGCAAGGCTCAGTAGCAGGGATCGGGATCGGTCCAAAGGGTCTTTGGCCGTGCCATGGCAGGAAGTCGAATCCTTCGAGCGGGAATCCTCAGAGAGAGAGAGAGCCGCCGAGCCATCTTGTTCGGAAGAAGGGCTTGCAGCACGCACATGCCAACTTTGCTATTCAACCCTGTCCGAGGGTGGGAGATACATTCTCTATACTGCCCAAACCCACTCACCCATTTTCACGTGGCAGACATTCTAGGTACTCGAGCAGGTGCATGCGCTTTGATTGAAAAGTCACCCGGCACTGGTAAGGGAAACCGCCGAGCCATCTTGTTCGGAAGAAGGGCTTACACGCACATGCCAACTTTGCTATTTAACCCTGTCCGAGGGTAGGAGATACATTCTCTATGTTGACCAAACCCACTCACCCATTTTCATGTGGTAGACATTCTAGGTACTCGAGCATTTGCATGCGCTTTAACTGAAACGTCACCCGGCAAGTCACCCGGCAGGAGTAAGGCAGGCGCAGCCCAGAGATTAGGTCTGACAATATTTCTCTCTGAGACGTCTCTGAGACGGTGATATTACTCTCACCCACCGCAATTGAGACGACTTTAGTTTTCAAAGACCATGTCCATTGTTCCAACATTAACTTGCTCCACCAATTCAATCTAAATCAGAAGCTGGTCTAAACGCCCGAGAAGTATTCGTCTTCCTGACCAGCAAAGTCATCGCCGTACCTTTCATCCGAAGAGCTGCCCATCTCACCGTCCTGCTCGAGGAGTTATGCGGAGAAAGGCCCCACCTCCTTTGCGAGTTGAGCCTCGTCGCTCATATCCATCTGCGCCTGAATGCCCCGCACTTGCTGAACGTCACGGGCCAGCGATGGAGGCCGCGCCGAGTCGTCGAGCCAGATGTCTCCATAGGACCGCGTGTTCCCGATCGATTATGTGCAGGTAGCTGGTGATGTTTCGCCTTCTTGACACTTCTTCCCGTCGCGTTCAATCGTTGATGTAAACCACGAAATTCTGACAGTGCAGGAGGCATGGGCTCGGAATCGCCCTCTGACTGCCCGCGAGTGTCGAGCCAAACATCGAAGAAATGGTCGTTCTGGGACCAAGAACATTCGCGCAACTGAAGAAGCTCCATCCGGCGATCCAGTAAAATGAGCGCGCGGTCTCGGATCTCTTCAACATCTTCAGTGTCGAATATGGACTTGGCATCAGCTGGGTCGATCGATTCAGAAAGGGTATCTGTTGGGATGGTTTGAAAGATGTCAGGGCGACATAAGAGGTGATATGGAGCACGCTGTATCGAAAACTTACCCGAAACTTTAGTCCAAAGTGTTTGGCAACTAGTGATACGAGTCTTTTCATCTTCGATCCAAGCCAAAGCTTGCCGCACCTCGGCGCCGATCCGCGCTTCCTCCTCACCGACTCGAGCCTTGGCGCGCACAGCTGCTACTCCTCGGAATGAGCGACCGTAGCCCGCTCCACAATCGCTCACAGCCCTCTCCATCGGTCAACCCGAAGTTCGGAATGAGGCGGGGGTTGAACTCGACTTGGCAGGACCAGATATGGGCGTATGCATGGAAGACGCTCGTGGCGAACTCCAGTCGCTTGAAAAGCTTTGGCAGGAGCTGCCTCGGGTGACAAATGATAGGAAAGTAGGCGCATTTGGTCTGTGCCAACGAGACTGAGGAGGAAGGGACGCGTCGTGATCGAAGCATACCTTTTCAATGTGGTGCTTGAAGTTACAAGCAATCTCGTATAAGACTCCAATCTTGGCGTTTTCAGGAAGGCGCTCTGAGATGCACTTGAGGATGGCAAGCGCATAGTATAATCTGAGCGGTCGGAGGGGAATATGCGCATTAGTACTGGGAGAGGAAAGCGGAAGCGACTACGTCCCAACCAGACAGCTCTGCGCTCACTTTTCACCAGACCTCTCAAGATTGACCATTTTCAGGTTTACATCATGACGGCATACGCAGGCAACGAGTCCAGTGTCGACTACTCGTGACGAGGTTGAGCCAGCTCCGTCGTCGGCAGCCTTCCACGACTCTGTGCACGCCTACGAGGGTTGGGTGGGTGTAGAGGTAAGCGATCCCATTAAGGCAAATGCAAAGAGCGGCATTACTCACCTTTTTGGTCGGCCGCACCGAAGCTTCAACCTCGGCCTTCATCGCCTGAACCTCTTCCTCACCCAAGAAAATGTCCGGAACGATCTGGTCGTGCTTCGAAGTTTTGACACGCGTTTGCCGAAAGTTGCCGTCGTATGCAAGCACGCAATCCAATGGGACGTCGTGACAAGGTTGATTAAGTCACGTTGGCCCGAAGCACGCGGGACCCTTGTTGGAACGAATCGACGGTGCCTACGAAAAGGTCCCCGCTGTCCTGCTCGCATGTTTCGAGAGCGCGGTACTCGTCGATCGCGTTGCTTCCGAAGGTCTTTGTCCTGCATGCGCGGAAGGCAGGCTTTAAGCATCTGCCCCTGAAACGATGGCGGCGTCCAAACTGACCCAAGGATGTCCTGTATAGTGACCCCGAACCCACCCACAACGGGAGTAATACTCTTTGAGGCCGTCCGCATAGCCGGTGAGAGCGCGGGGGGTGACCCTCCAGCTCGCGTGGGTCTGCTCGACCAGTCGAAATGAGAAGGCGGTCATCGGCATTGAAGCGGTCGAAGAGATGAACCCTAGTTGGGCCAAGCGTTCGACGTCCTTAGCACACCGCGACTCGGAGGCACAGAGGGTGACCTGCAGTTTGTAGACCAACGGTTTGGACTTGTATCTTCTCTTCGGCGGCATGGCGACGCCAACTCAAGTGCATGAGCAAGAGGACGAACGCGAGCCATGGGGCCTGTACGGTCAATGGCGACGCTACAATGAGCTGTAGCGGAAGCAACGAGGTGAGGCGGCAAGTCAAGTGGAAGGTCCCTCGCGCGTGGCCAGCTGCAGCCAACGCGTGTGCTCGGACCCTTCGATCTCGGGACCGAAATCCCGGCGCGCGACCGCTTCGGACACGTGACATTGACGACATCCGAAAGATGCGAGAAAAAGATGAAGGAAGGAATGCATCTACTACGCACTTTCTTTATCAATCTAGCAGCTGTGAGAGTGTTGTGTGTACACAGAATCGACTCGAAGCAGGGAGTTGGGCGCAACCTGGGCCTAATCTGCTACCTGGGGTAGCAAGGTTGCAACCCGCCGGGATTGTGGCTTGGAAGGCGCGTGGGAGGGCGCTGCGCGCGCGCCTGTTGAGGCGTACTTTTTATGTCTGCCCGAGGTGAGAACGGCGGAGGTCAACCTTGCTATATTGATCGCCGCAGTTTCCAGGTCCGCCGCGCGAATGCATCTATTCCAAGTGATCAAAAGCTAAGAAGCAGTTTTTAAAAGGCTCGGGAGTGATCTAGTGTTAAAGGAACCGATTGTTTCGCCTGCTCGCTCACACGAAATAAAATAGCATAATGCGTTTGCCACGACCTAGGTTCGGCCTCGGTGACTGGATGCCACACGGTCGTCGTCCTGCCGCGAACTCGTCGCCCCCGCCTCCGTTCGTCTCTTCCCGCTACAAGCTCGACAGAGCTAAAGCACCCGAAGCTGCCAGGTCGGGTTCAAGAACCAAAGTTGGGCAGTGATGGAGTTCTATGAGAATTTTATATCCAAAGTCCAGAGTGCTCCAACTTGGTCCGACGACTCTGAAAGGGTGAGTGGGCCGAACGAACGAAGCGAGGTTGGCAGTTCAACGACGACACGAGGCCAAGCTTAGCTCGAGCTGAGGCAGGACTACACCCGAACAGATCCTCGTGGAGCCCTATACCTATCTCGCTTCCGTACCAGGGAAAGAAGTTCGATCGGCCTTGATGGATGCGTTCAATGCTTGGATCCAAGTGCCGGCGGAGGATCTCGCGGTCGTCAAGAAGCTCGTCGGGATGTTGCATACCGCCAGTCTGTTGTAAGTAGCTTGCACTGTTGTGGAGTCAGGGAAGTGCTCACGGTGCATGTTTTTACGAAACAGGATGGACGACGTCGAGGATGATTCTCATCTGCGGAGAGGAATGCCAGGTTCGTGCTCGTGCACCGAGAGCACGTGATGTCATCAGCTTAATCATACCTCCCATCATTTTTGTGCTCCTAGTCGCTCACAAGATCTACGGAATTCCCCAAACGATCAATTCGGCCAACTATGTCTACTTTCTCGCGTACCAAGAGCTGCAGAGGATCAAGCCGAGACCGGGCGTCTCAAAGGTCGAAGAGATGGTTACGGGTCAGCCTGGGGAAGAAGTGCTTGATACGCTAGGATCGAGCGAGAGATTGATTCGATAAGTTTGTTTGGAACAGAGGAGTTACTGAATCTGCATCGAGGACAAGGGATGGATCTCTTTTGGCGAGAAAATCTGATCTGCCCGACCGAGCCCGAATATATCGACATGGTCAACAACAGTGGGTCCATGTGCATATGCATGCTCGCGTCCTCATCCTGCGAGTTTACTGACTATGTGATGAGTGCGACAGAAACTGGTGGCTTGTTTCGGATAGCAATCAAATTGATGATGGCTGCTTCGACAGAGGATCGGCCTCGGTGGGTCCCGCTTGAACTTTCGAGAGTACCCAAAATGTCCCTTGGAAGACCATCCAGTTGACACAACTTGCCGCGCAAAGTGACTATGTTCCCCTCGCCAACTTGATCGGCATCATCTTTCAAATCCGAGACGATTACGTGAATCTCCAATCAGCTCAAGTAACGTTTTTTTCAACTCGGGTCCAAATCTTGCGCGAAAAAGACCCTGAGCTGACCTTTCCGAAATTTTACTTCTTCAGTATGCCCACAACAAAGGGTATTGCGAAGACCTATCGGAAGGTAAATTCTCCTTCCCGATCGTGCACGCCATCCGATCCGATACATCGAATCGACAACTCCTCAGTAAGTCCAGCTCCAAGCCTCATTTCACCTATCACGCAACTCCGATCTGAACATCCTCCCCCCCCCCCCCCCCCTCTCCCCCTCCCCCTTTGATTTTCCCAGACATCCTCCGCGAACGCCCTTCCTCCCCTTCACCTAAAGCCTATGCGGTTCACTATATGACGGACCGAACAAAGTCATTCGCGTATACTCGACAAGTACTCTCGAGCCTGATGACGCAAGCGAGGGAGGAGGTGCAACGCTTAGGTGGAAACCAGTTCGTCGACGCGATCTTGGATCAACTCGTCGTGAAGGAGGAGGTCGATCCGGCGACGCAGTTGGGGTCGAGTGCGGCCGTGAGTGGGGTGAAAGTGAGGGATTGATTGGGGTATGTTTTTTTAAAATACTTTGTTGTACATCTATGTGAGAGGTTCGAAGTGAGAATTCGCACCACGTTTCAGTGAAAGGAAGTTTGTGCGGTGGCGCGGGTTGAAAATCTTCCGCTCGGGGCGAAGCAAATATGGGCGTAAAGACTGCTTCGGATTGTACGAAATAAATGAATCACTTTGAAAAGGCCGTGTACGCTAATCAAGCATCAACAACTCGAACGACGACCTCCTGCGACCACCCAAAAAAACCGAGTGCTCAGGATCAGTATTGAAAGCGCCCCCCCCCCCCCCCCCCCCCCCAAGGCTGAAACCTCGGCCCTTGCTCAAGATACGTACGATATTGCCCTGCACGGCCCTCGAATAAGGGCACAATTGATGCGCCTGCTGTACGAGCTTGTGAATCTCGGCATCCTCGAGACCGACTTGTTGCAAAGGTTTCTTGAGCACTTCGAGTTCGACCGCGAGGAGAAAACCCTGCGTGATTAGTGGACGTGTGGGTGGGTGACGTCATGCGTTTAGGGGTGGGTGAGCTACGAGGTCCTTTTTGTTGCGGGATGGAGCGGGGGGGAAATGTGCGAGGTGTGATACGTACGGGTACTTTCTCGGTCTTGTTCTTGCCGATCGATACGAGGGCTCGCACGGTGGTCGATTTGGGCAAAGGTTTGTGCTTGGGGAACAAGGAGCCATGGGTCGCGCCGAGGGCCGAGAGGAAGCAGGTCGAGTAGCTGTTCCGAGGTAGGGGCGGTCAGTGTTGGGGGTAATCTGATCACCCAGGGGAGGGTCAGATGATGACTTACGCAGCACCGAACAATTGCTCGGGGTTCGATTCGCCCCCCGCCGGTCCTGCCCGCGTCGTCGAGCGGCTGAGGTCATCAGGATCTTTTCACAAGGTCTCGCGAGGCTTGCGAGCCAAGACACCAAAGCGCACCTTTACTACCCCCCATCTCCTTGGGCATACCCATCGTCAGATCGAGGTTCTTCTCCGGGGTAGAGACGTTCCCCTGGGCGCGGGATCCGGTCGAAGTCGTGGTGGAAGTGTAGAGCGTCGGATGCAACGTCGACAGGGAGCGGATAGCGGCCGGCGCACGACGGGTCGAGGACGTAGCTGCGACGCTGGCGATTCTTCCAAGAGCGAACATGGTTAGTGAAGGGGGAGCTGTATGGAGTATACCGAGCGCGAGGAGGTGGGGAAGGGGAAAAAAGAGCCCAACGAGGCAGGCCTGCTCTCGTGTCAAATGTGGGGGGAAGCTGCAAGCATCTCTCGAATTTGTCAAGCCGGCGAAAGCGAGCTGTGCTGTGCGGAAGTGGCCGATCGCCAGAGTCGAAATCACTCACTCTCTCCCTCTCCGACCACACCACTCGGGCTCGACTGCACCTTGCAGCGCAATAGCATCAACCCTACCGACCATTCACGATGTCGACCTCCACAACACCAGCGCAACCGTCCACCTCGACCTCGACCCCACCCGACCACTCAGCTATGGCACCGCCCTCTACCCCGTCCAAACCCGGTATCCTCGACGCCCTCCATACGATCTCCCCCTTGGACGACATCAAGAAACTGCCCTCCATCCCATGTGCCAGATACTCGCTCCTGTTCGGGATCGTAGCCGGTGTTTCGGTCGGCGCATTGAGGTTCCTGTTCGGTACTCGAAGGGGTGGTTGGGCGACGCAGGCGCCGAGATGGAGTCAAGTTGGCGTGGCCGCGAATTGGGCCGTCGGGGCTTGGGGTGTCGGTAGTTTGGGCGCATGGTAAATTCCCATCTCAACCGGGAAGTTGTGACAAAAGTGTGGACCGGACGAGAGAGGAGAGAGGAGCTTGGCTGATTTTTTTTTGCCAAACTCTTCTGCCGAACTCTTCAACTCTCACCCGTCCCCTTTGCCAATTCAACTCTTCACCTCAACCCATACAACCCAACCCAACCCACCACCCCCTTCGAATACAAAATAAAAACCCTAGGGAAACATGTCGAGCGCGCCAATCGTCCGAAGCGGCGCGAATGGCGGCCCTCGTCGCCGAAGCCAAAGCCCGAAGATCGTCCCGCACCGGACCTAAATCCTCCTTCGATCCACCGGAAGGCGCGGCGGTCGATGCCCAGCCGAGGATCGGAGGCTTTTTGGTCGGCGAACGCGGGAGGGAAATCGTTTTGGAACAACAACGGAGGGCGGCGACGAGGACGACGGCGGCGACGGCGACGGACGTAGATCCAAGTAATGCTGGGGCGACGACACGGCGGTTGGTTTGATTTGATACAGGAGATGGAACTACAACCGTTAAAAACCCTCCAGTGGGGATTTGCTGCGGTGCATCATTGCAAAGGCTGTACAATGAGAAAAGTGGTGGGGGAGGGAGCCAGAAGGAAGAAAGAATTCGTCCCGATCGAGAGCTTGCAAGTTACAAATGAGATAAGAGGGTCCGAAAACGAAATGGAGAAGTGATGATGTTGCTGTGGTTGGTTGAGAGAGATCGATTGCTTTCCGTGCGGGACTCGTCCGTGAGGCTTTTTGGGGTTGTTTCGGGTGCGAGATCAAGGGATTGTCCGGGCGAACGCTTCGACGTCCGTATCGGAGGCCATCGCGTCGACGAGCCACTTGTATTCCTGTACACGAACAACAATTCGCCAACGAGTCAGCCCACGAACTGCTGACCGTGTCAAGCAACACGTACCAATAGCTCCTTCGGCGTCGGCCTTGCGAGATCCTTCGGCAACGGCCCCTTCTTCTTGACGTTCCACCCGATCGGTTCCTTCCTCAGCATCGCATTGACGAACTCTTGCGCCTCGGAACTGAAACGATTCGCGGGGAGAGATGGAGCTGGTTCGTTGACGATGTACTGCAATAGTTCGAGAATGGACATTTGATGGCCTGATCCGGCGAGAGAGACACCAGCGACGCTCCGACGTTTGCGACCGTCATTCCGCGCGGCATCGGTATCGGCGTCGACAGCAGCGTCAATACTACCACCACCGGCTTTACGCCGTGCCAGCCGTTTCTGTTCAGCCGCTTCCAACGTCCCCGCCCGTTCCTCAGGTCGCACAGGGGACAGCGTCTCATCACCGGGGTAATCTTCATCCGCAATACGCGCCAACCTCGCCGACCGTTTGTCGAGCACAACGACTTCTTCGTCGTCGCTTTCGTCGTCGCTATGACCGTCGTCGGACGAAAAGGGGAAGCGCCCAATCGCGAGTTCGACGAGGGTGATACCGAGTGACCAAACGTCGGATTTGACCGTATACGGATCACCGGAGATGCGTTCGGGCTGCGGAGCGTGCGGGTGGGGGAAAGCTGATGAGCTCCTGAGAGAATGCGCGGGCCACGACTCGCACGAGCACACTCACGCTCATGTAAGTGCTGGTCCCGACGAAGGTGTCGGCAATTGAGTTGATGAGTTCGCCCGAGACGCCAAAATCGCAAATCTTGATCTGGCCTGCCGAGTTCAGCAATACGTTCGAGGGCTTGACGTCTGCGAGAAGTGGGGAGGGGTGGGAGGGTGAGTGCCACGACTCGGGCACGAAGGTCGTTCAACAAGCGCGAGGGACTGACCTCGATGCATGATTTTGTGGACGTCGTAGAGGTATGTCAGACCCGAGACGACGGCGAGCGCAATCTTGCCCAATATCGGTTCGGGTATGGGGCCGACGCGTTTGTATATCTGGTCCAAAGAGCTGGGAGGTGGGATCACCGCGCGTCAGCCTCCGACTCTTCGTCATCAGAGCCCACACACCGCTTACTCACCCCTTGTCCATATACTCCATGCACATGCAAATATACGGGTCTTGAAGGTACGCGCCGTAGAACGAAACGATGAAAGGGGACGAGCAATCGTGCATAATTTGTAACTCGCGAAGAATCTGCTTGCGTGTCGTCGCCGATGTCGCGATGTGTACGACCTGAAGGAGGGGACGCGCATGAAAGGAATCAGTTCTGGGCTTGTGAGCGTGAAGGCCTCAGTGGGATATGCGTCCCGAGAACGAACCTTTTTGGCCATAATAGCCTGAGTCGGGATATGCCGACAGCGCGTGACGGTTCCGCCGTTGCCGCTCCCAAGTTCCTCCAAGACCTCCAAGTCCTCGGTCCGCAAGTCAAGCTTGAATTCGACGCCAAGTTCGAGCGTTGCCAATTGTTCGCTCAACCGGTTCTGATACCTCGCACGATCCTGGGACATGCTGACGCCGGATGCGTTAGACGACAGCGACGAAACCGACAAACCCCCGGGCGTGATGGGCAACAACGGCGAGGAAGCCGAGGACGAAGCCGAGGTCGACGACGATGCGACCGATCGACGCGAGGTCGTACGGGACGAGCCCGAGACTTGGATCGGGGCCGAAGTCTTTGAACTTCGAGGAGCTCTCGCGCCGACGGAGTCGCCCCCACCTGCACAGGTCGCGCCGTGCGTCGAGGACGAATCGTTGCCGCCGGCACTGAGCAGTTCCGCGGCCGAGGTGTTGGAGAGCGTGCCCGGTTTGGCCGCTTCGGCTGTAAGGGCCAAACCTTTCTTGTTGCGGTTCTTGCGGGCCGAGAGTGGAGTGGGTGTGGTCGCAGTTGGCGTGGCGGCCGCGTCCGCTTCGGCTGTTGCCGAGGTCGAGGTCGAGGTCGAGGTCGAGGTCGAGGTCGAGGTCGAGGTCGAGGTCGAGGTCGAGGTCGAGGTCGAGGTCGAGGTCGATGACGAGGGCGCCGAGCACGAGGACGAGATCACTAGTCGAGGGCGGGGCGCAGAAGGAATCGCACTCGTACCCGTGCTCGATATCGACCTCGATGATGTCCTGACGGGGATTGCGGGTGCTGGTCGGGAGTGGGCGGCGGCGTTCGCGGGCTGACTGGGACGAGGCTCGTCATTCAGAGAGGGGCCAGCTGCTGCACCGCTCGACGGAACGGTCTTGGCGTCGGCCATGTCTACCTCTTGGAGTGGGGGTGACAAGAAGAGGGCGAGAGTGCACGATACGTCTATCGACCGGCGATGGGGCGATGGGATCGAGCTCGAGAGGGGACACGGGGGTGTAGGTGCCAATCAATTGTGACTCGTGAGCGACGGCAGCGGGGGAAGGACACAGTTGAGCGACCCTTTTGACCGGCGGGCAAGTGCATTTCAGCCCCGATCCGATCTCACGCCAAGTGTCTCACGTGCGTGCATTAGCGCCATCGCCACTGCAATTGAGCAGCCGATTGTGGATCACGAACGATCCTTGCAAACGAACGCCTGAATATTCTTTTACGTGCCACTCTAGTGCTATCGACGATTTTCTTGGAGTAGAGCACAGGAGACCGGAAGGAGACCGGACATATCTCACATGATGCTCAATAAAGCGGAGCCCACGCACGGCCGCTATGACCCCCTCCTTCCACCGGATCCTCTGAGCCGAGTGTTTCGCACAGCATACCTTGCAGGCATCGTTTCTTCTAATGCTACAAACAAAACGGGACCAACCCCTGTTCTTCTGTTCTTCACTCCTGGATGGCTTCTTCCAGCTGTTGCGACTCTCGGTCGAGCACCGCGGCGCGTTCGAGCTCGCCGCGACTGCGAAGAATCTCCGCGGCTTGTAGAGCTGCCCGACGTCGTTCGGCCAAGACCTGCTTGATCCTCGCCATCGTCTTTTGCACCTGGAGATCCGAAGAGTGCGCGACGTCGAAGACGTACCCGAGCGTCAGCCACGGAGTGCGCCGAGGAGACGGCCATGGGAAGAATGCTGCGACGACGTACCATGCGTAGCTTTTGGCTGTGCATCGTGAAGCTGCTCAAGTCGATCCGCAACCTAGTCGCTTCCTCGCGTTGGGTCAACAACGTGTTCCTCTCCCGCAGTGCGATGTACCACAGTTGGTGCAGGTCCGTGAACGACTTTCGTCGCAGCTCGAACGACGTCCATGAGCGACCTGGCGCCGCGCCGCGGGAGGAAACAGAAGACTCAGGCCGTGCGCATGAAACAGCCCTACTCCGTTGTAGCAGTGATGGTGTTGAACTGACTTGTATTGTCCTTGCGCTTGTCCGGCGCGATGAGCGACTGCTTGTCATGGAAGAAGTGCCAAAGCGGATGCGCCGACGTGTCCGTCTCGGACCGGATCGGTCGAACACCCTGACCGGGCTTGGACGAATCGGGTGGGATACCGTACGTCGTTTCGTCTCGTTTGGGACGACCGGCTGTGGAGGATGCGAAGCGTGGGGATGGTCGGGAGCAGGAGGCGAAGCTCGAAGGAGCTGAGGTGCTGGCGTGGGTGTAGGAGGACCAGGTTGCAGCGGTCGAGCGGGTGCTCGTCGTCGCGAAGCTGTTGAGCACAGGTCGTAAAAGTGCTCGAGACGTCATGGCGACGATGTTCGGGTGGAGGGAGGGGGTGCGGGGTGGAGACAGAGCCCGGCTGCGATGGAGCTTGGCGGCGGCGGCAATCGACGTTCGGCTCATTTTCCTGAGAGCGATGCGCCCTCACTGCACGCCATATCATCTCAATGCCAAGTTGCTTCGCTCACGTATCGGCGATTGCAGGTTGCAGGATAATTCAGGATAATTGGGAAAACATAACATTTGTGCACGTGTGATCTCATTCAGTAGTAGTGACGCGAGTCATTTTCATCCCCGGCCTTTCGTGGCAGTGTCCGATCGGGAGTTCGCATTCTTCTGAGGGAGGTGCCTTCGATCGACTGACGGCTTCAACATCGGCATTTCCGCTACAAGTTTACCAGGCAGCGCTATTTGAAACATCGACCGTCAATACTCTCGCGCCGGTGACCTTTGGTTTTCATGCGGATACAGCGGCCTGATAAACATCCGGCACTCATGACGAGCGCGATAAGTTCGGTGAGCGGTCGAGTTTGCCGATGAGCCTATTATCGGAGAGCCCCATTTGAGGCGACGGTGCCACCGTTACAAGAACTCGAATTAACATGAAGCAAGCCTTACTCTACACGCACAGAAGAAAAAAGCTTCATGCGGCACGATTTTTTGCGCGTGAAGCGACGCCAAGGAGGTTTCCCCTTGAGCTTCGATCTGATTGGGTCTTCCGACTATGTATTCTGGGAAATCGACATCGGTGGGCGCCGGGCGGGCGCCACTATTACTGCAGGGCAAGCGCGGCCGCGCAGCGTCGGTGACGGTTGACTGGTCTGTCCCTCTTTGCTCTCCGCCCCATTCCTTTCTCTGGGTAACGAGACTTTGCCCGACCCCAACCCGATCACCAATCCCTAGTCTACCCACCATGGCATCCACCCTCGCGCAGTACGGCAAGACCAAGATGGCCAAAGGGTCAGTAATACCCATACGGCTCGTTGCGATTGGGTCGTCGGAGCTCGGCGGTTCGGGATGCGGGAGCTGCGAAGCGAGGCTTCAACCGCGTCCACCCGACAGATTAGGACAGAAAAGCTAATTCGACTCTACATGCTCCGTATCTCCTACCGCAATACAGTGTTGGTCGATTCACGGACCTCGTCATGGCTTCGGGTCAAGGTAAGTCGTACTACAGCTGCCGTCCCCGTCACCTTCGTTCAACGGCTCGGCGGACGGCGGGTGTCCGATATCGCCTCGGTTCGATTGCTGTCGCAACGATTCACTGATCTATTGATCTCGGCTGCCTTGCCCTTCCACCATCCAATCAGGCGCCTACGTCAAGACCGAATGCGGCCGAACCTTGCTCGACTTCACCGCAGGTATCGGAGTCACCAACCTCGGTCACTGCCACCCTCACGTGACCAAGGCAGCGCAGGACCAGTGCGCGACCCTCGTCCACGCCCAGGTCAACATCGCCTTTAACAAGCCGTACGTCACTTCCGGGACGTGACCTGAAGAATCATCTTACTCGAACGTAAAACTACCTGAAACTCAACCCTGGGCGATTTGTACCTTTCTCACAGTTACCTCAAGTTGATCGAAAAGCTGCAACCCGTCATGCCCCACCCCTCGCTCGACACCTTCTTCTTCTGGAACTCGGGTGCCGAAGCCGTCGAGGCTTCGATCAAGTTGGCCCGTCACGCGACGCGCAAGCAGAACATTATCGTCGTCCAAGGTTCCTACCACGGTCGTAAGTTGTGTCTCTTGAAGGAGGGTCGGTGCGGCGCGGCGCGGCTGAATTCATCTCGTTCGCAGGCACGTATGGCACGATGGCGCTCACGCGCAGCAAGACGATCTACTCGGAGGGCTTTGGCCCCTTGATGCCCGGCGTATTCGCGACCCCGTTCCCGTACTGGCACCAAATGGGTCTTCCCGAGTCGACTCCCCACGAGGAGCTCGTCAAGTCGGCGTTGTACCAGTTGGAACTCCTGTTGAAGCAGCAAAGCGCCCCTCGCGACACAGCCGCCCTGATCCTCGAGCCCGTGCTCGGCGAAGGTGGCTACCTCCCCTCTCCTCCCGGCTTCCTCGAAGGCCTGCGCAAGATCTGCGACGCCAACGACATCCTCCTCATCATCGACGAGGTGCAGTCCGGTTTCGGTCGAACGGGCAAGTACTTTGCGATCGAGCACTACCCGACCGTACGCCCCGACATCCTCGTCATGGCCAAGGGGATCGCGAACGGTTTCCCGCTCAGTGGGATCGTCTCGCGCAAGGAGTTGATGGACCTTCAACCGGCTGGATCGATGGGTGGTACCTACGGTGGTAACGCCGTTGCGTGCGCGGCCGGTATCGCGTGCGCCGAGGTGATGCAAGAGGAAAAGATCCTCGCCAACGTCGAAGCGCGAGGGTCCGAGATGTTCGCGATGTTGAACGAGCTCAAGCGTGATGACAAGATCGGTGATACGATCGCCGAAGTGCGCGGTTTGGGTCTCATGATTGGTATCGAATTCAAGTCGCCCACGGACCCGTATACGCCGTCGAAGATTGGGCAAAAGATCCCGGCCAAGATGTCGTCGAGGGTGCAGGCCAAGTGCTTGGAGAAGGACATGATGACGCTCACGACGAGTGTGTACGAGACGATTCGGTGAGTTCATGCATAAAGTGTTGTTGAGGAGGTTCGAAATGCAGCCGGACTGAACGATATTGGCCTCTTCCACTAGATTCATCCCGCCGTTGAACATTACCCAAGAAGAGATGAAGAAGGGTTGCGATATTGTGCGCGAGGCCATTATCGAGGTCGTCAAGGAGGGTTGAGGATCCAGGGTGGATTTGGACTGATGCTGTGTTTAGTGAGCTCTGCGAAGCGGCTGTATATGGAATCTAAGGAACTGCTCGCTCGCCCTTTGTGATTATCGTTGCAATTGCTCTCCGCTACATCACTTTCCGGCGTAGCCTTTTGCCACTGGAGACATAAAGGTTTACCAACGGCTTAGTTCTGCGGGAAATGAGTATCGTTCCCGGCCCTTCCGCATTCAGCAGTGGGCGCGATGATGAAATAGGGGGTTTAAAGACGATATCACCTCGATCGAATCGCCGCTCGCGCGCGACGCTGGGGCAACTGGCTCAGAACCTGTCTCAAAAAGTTTCGCGAGTGTAGAGGCAATGAGCACTGCCGTTCGAGCGAAACGAATAAGGTGCAGAAGCGAACAGGCAATTCTCTCGCCTACTCCACTCTAAGCGCATGCGCTCCACCCCAGGGGGGCGGCCCACCCGTCCTCGCCAGGCCTCGCCGTCGGGTCGGGCGCTCTCACCCTTCCTCCTTCCTCGTGCTTCCTCCGTCCTCCCGCATCCCACTCCGCTATAAGCTCTCCGTCTCGATCAGTATGTTCTCCCGCGCCGCCGTCCGAGCCAGTCGTCAGGCCTTTGCCCGTCGAACCTACTCGACCGCCTCGAGCCATGCTTCGCCTACTCCCCAATCATCGGATGCGATCTGGATGGTGAGTTGCTCCGCCAGCTGCAGGTCAACTTCATCGTCGTGAATGCCCGCCCCGCCGCGGCAGCTGGCTCGAGCTGGCTGGCCTTCGCCTCTGGCGTCATTCCTCGATTTCGCCCTCGCCCAGAGCCGGATCAGCCCCTCGCAGCTTCCATCAACCGCCGCTTAGCTCGATCCATGGCCCAATCGCTTCAATTACAAGGCTTGTCCGATGATGTGGAGGTATCGCGGTGCTCGACTCGGAGCATCCCAGCGTAGCAACAAGAGCTCCTGCTCTCGAACAAACGATTCGGCTTCACGTCGCATCGCGCGCGGAATCGGCTTCTTCGCTTCGAGCCTCGACCCCAATCGGGACCCGCCTCACCCTGTTCTTCAAAGCTTTACCAATGCCGGATGATGCATCACCGTACAGAGGAGCTCGATACGACGTGTCAGAAGCTCTAGTGTGCTGACTCCGCACCACCCCCTCCTGCGAGTTAGATCGGATCGGCTGCCGTCTTTGTCCCCACCATCTTGTAGGTCAATGAAGTGACGTATATAGACTTGTAAACACATTGAACCGATCACTGACAGAGTTCACGCTCCCACCCTCTATCGCAGCTACCTCACCCGCCCCCCTGCCGTAGCGGCTCACCACGCCCACACCGACAAGGATGATCACGTCTCGCCGTCTCGCAAGGAATTCGGCTCGTCTCCTGCGCCCAAAGCATCCGAACCCGAGAAGGAGGAAGAGAACCCCGAGCCTGAACCCGCATCCGAGTCCGAGGCCGAGCCCGAGCCCGAGTCCAAGAGCTCGACCAGCGACGCGGACAAGCCTTCGAGCGATGCCGAGCGAGACGTCAAGACCACCGCCGAAGCCGCGACCGCCAACGCCGCCGAAAAGGGCCACAGTTCGGCCCACGAGATGAAAACGCACAAGTCTTCAGGACCCAAGGACGTGCATGAGGCGGCCAAGACGGCGCAGCAGAGCTTCACAAAGGAGAAGGAGGAAGGGGAGGAGGAGGAGAAGTAAAAGGACTCGCCGCACACCGTTAGCAGTAGAAGAAGAAGCCCGACCGACGCCTTGCCTTACGGGCAAGGAATGGAAATATAAACAACAGAAGTAAACCTATGCCTAACCTAGACTCTTTCCCATGTGCTGGTCGATTCCCGTCACGACCCGGAGAGGGGCCACCCTCTCTTTCCACGCTCTCCACAGGGCAAAAAGCGACTGATCGTCTACTGGAACTTACAACACGGACATTATGAATGTGGCGAGGCTACAACAATACGCCACGAAGTCTCATGGCACTACAAAACGAGGCTCTGGCGGCCGCGGTCGTCGCTCGTCAGGCGTCCCCACTCCAAAGCAATCAGCCACGCATGCAGCATCAGGTCCTCCCTCCGCGCGCACTGCGACGCCCAGGTGGTACCCCTCTGCGCGATCTGCCGCAGCTCGTCGTCCCTCGAGAAGCCACGTTCAGCCTCTTTGGTCTTGCGCCAACCGACCAGACGCATCAAACCCAACTTGTGCGCATGCTCCACTGCGGGGGCACCACCGAAGAAGTAGCCGAGGACCGAGTAAAGCTCGGTCAGCCTTACGCCGACGGGGATGTAGTGGTACCAAGGGATGAGCGAATCCTCGATACCTTCTCGAAATAGATGAGCCTTGACGACCGCGCCTCGGCTCTTCATGAAGGTGCGAAAACGACCCGAGTAAGCAGTGCCGTCGAGATCGAGCATCATTTTGCTCTTGTAGTTCTCCGAAAAAGGTACGCGGCCCGTGTAGCGGAAGCTGGGCTCAGTCTTTTGGTAGTAGAGCGAGTTGGGGTGACCTTGATCAGGGGAGGCAAATGCGATATCCGTGAGCGCACTGTTGAGTGCCGCGGCGGGGAGTTTGGCATGAATGATACGGTCATCCGCATCGGCGAGGAGCACGTCCTCGATGTGAGGCCATTCGCTCGGTCGGTTCGTCTTGGAAACGACGCGCGACCTCAACCATCCTCGCCAGTTCAAATCGAGCGAATACCCGCCCGTGTTGCTGCCTCGCCAAAACAAGTTCGGCTTCTTTTTCTCCCACTTTGGGTCCTCGTGTGCGAGGTGCGGACTTTCGTTGAACCAGTACCACCACGAAGGGATAATGATGTCGTGGTAACCGCCGATGCGCGAGTTGCTGAAAACGGGGAAGAGTTGGTTCCAGTACGTGAACGAGAGAGGGTGGATGTAGGCCGAATGCAACGATGCGAGATCGGGTTGGTCGCACCAGGTGTCTTGTTCCATTCGAGGTGAGACGAGGAAATTGCCGCGCGCGGTCGTAAAGGGCTTGGTATACTTTTGCGTGATCACCGGGTCCTTGCCAGGGGCTTCGGGAAGCTCGGCGTGGCGAAAAGGCGAGTCGGGTGGGCAAGCCGCACGCAGTGCCTCAATCGACGTCGGACAGTCCCCTCTCATACACGTATGGTCGAACTTGGAGAGCGTGTAGGGTTTGGCACCGAAGCTGTAGACGGTGAGCGACTCGTTGATAGGGGCGCGGACCTTCCTCGTCGCCGCCATCTTCTCTAATCCATCCCGGAGCTCGAAGGGCAGTGACATCCGTGGTTCGTCGTAGGCGTTGATGAACATGTCCACTTTTAGTTGGTAAAAGTTGGAGCAATCAGTGGGAATATTCGAGCTATCCAGTGATCAGGCCATAAAAACTGAAACGCGGACCAGGTGTGGGCTGGTAGAATTCCGGATGATGAAGAAGTAACTCACGATCGGGCAAGGCAACATTGAACTGTTCAGTTGTGGCTTCTAGCATCTCATGGAACGCTTTTCGTGCGTCACTCTCGAATCCGAGACTACCCTCTCGCTCCAGCTCGTTGATGCTGACGACCTGACCACCCCTGACTCGGACCCGCCCCATCCCTCCGAAGGTACCGAGCTGCTCTTGCCTCTGCCTGTGTCGCAATTTTGGGTTCGATCAGCTCTCATTCCGAGTTCAGAACATGATGCTTTCACCCACCTAATTTCTTCGCCACTCAGTGCCCAATACACCGTAAGCGACTGATAAAGGTCCTCGAACCCATCGATGCGACAAGCCTTGAGTCTGCGCGCCGTACGGAACCATTGCTCATACCCCTTCGGTGGTGATCGCTTATGTCGAGCCATGTACTTGTTCACCGCTTCCTCCAACGTCTTGGGTTGCTCCAGTTGGCGCGCTCGATGAATCGCTTCCCCACTTCGGAGGAGGAGCGAGATGGGATGAACGGACGAGGACGATGACGTCGCTCGACGACGCTCGAGGTACGAGAGAAGGAGCCACACGCAGAGGAGCGCCGAGGTGTATTGCAGGAATCGTCGTTTGACAAAGGTGTAATGCACCATTTTTAGGGGTACTGTCTTCCCGTACACGTAGCGGATGAACCGTCGGGTTCGGTAACGGACGACGGCGCGACGATCGTCCCCGGCGGGGGTGGGGAAATCGACTGCGAAGTTTGGCGATTGAAACTCCTCGGCAACTGTAACGCGCTTGGTGAATCGACGACGAAGACCGAGGCTGCTTGCCGCAAGTCGCAGCTGTTGCTGAAGGTGCGACCAGAGGGAAACAAAACAAGAGTGGAGCGGAGCTTATAGCCAAGGAACCAGGATGACCGGATGACCACTCGAAGCGATGCTGGGCGAAACTAAAAGCTTGTTCTAAGGACAACTCCAAGAACTCGGGGCGCCGCCGGGATAATCGAGGCGGGCGGGACCACTCAGCCGCCGCCCGGCTCTTTTGAGCGCTCCCGCGCTGCGCAGTTCGCGCAGCTGCGCCAGCGTCAGCCAGCTAGCCGAGACGAGGCGAATCGAATCGGAATCAATCTCAAACGCACGATGCCTGTTTTCTATAAAAGTCAGCACAACTCTAGAAATAGACGAAGGTTTGCAGTGAGCAGTCCGTAAGCCCGTTCTCCCTCTAACAATGAAGTTGGGTATGTGAATCCGTTGGTCGTTCGGTCAATTCTCTGGATCAGGGAGCCCCCGAGGCTGCGCCGCCGTCTCAGCCAAGACACGGGACCCCGTATTTTCCAAGCATCCGCCGCCAACTTAACTCTGGGCGGCCCCTAAGAATGCTGTGCAGGCATGTTTGAGGACAAAGGATGCGAAAGGGCTCATGTTGGTTCTCAAACAACTCGGCAAATTGATTTCGACTCCATAAACAAGTTCGTGTCGGGGTGGAGGGGGACGGGGGCCGGGCGAGTGCCCGTGCTGCTGCGCTTCACAAGTTCACAACGGGCGCTCGCCAACGGTGGGACCGCAGCAGACTCAGCGCTTCTGGTCGAAATCACCCGATTTGGATCAGTACGGGTTGAGGAAGAAAGTGGCAGGACAAAGCACTCTTAAGCCGACGAGTATATAGGTATGGCCTCAAGTCAGAGTATTTTTGGGACCCTTGGTTGCTGTGACGAGGCGTATATGATGGCGCTCGCAGCCGCCTGAGCATGGGCGATCGCCCAGGTCGAACTCGATGCTTGGCTTGAGCGGCGGTATCCGGATCGACGTCTCTAGCTGTTACGGCAACACCGCACAAACTCCTCCTCTGGTCTTCTATTTCGTACGACCGGCGCCTCTGAGAGTCCGAGCATACAACTGCTAGGTGAGCACATGCAGCCCGATATTCCGTTTCTAATTCGATCCACCGGCCTCAATTCGTCCCTCTCGGTCGAAAGCAGAGTATATGCGGAAAACCCAGCGTCTTCTAGTATTCGCACACGCTCATGCACAAGCACAAAGGAAGGGAGAGTGGAGAAAGTATGTACTCAAAGTCGAAGCTACTGTCTCACGCCAAACAAAAAAAAAAAGAAAAAAGAGAAAAGGACAAAAATGCCCTTCTCAAAAGGACAAAAATGCCCTTCTCAAAAGGACAAAAATGCCCTTCTCAAAAGGACAAAAATGCCCTCGGATTCCAGACTTCTGTAATACTCGATATATCAGCTCAGAACCAAGAGGGTAGCTTCTTGTGGTCTTTGTGATCAGCGCCGTATACTCAGAATCTCCAGAGGTGCCGTGAGAAGTCAGTTATCACGGTCGCAAAGGCAGGGGCCTATTGCGACTGAAGCGAGGCCCCGTTGAAAGCGATGAGTATAGACCGCAGTGAATTACCTACCATATGAAACAGACCAGCACGCCTTCAACGTGTAGTAGTATTGACACTTTTGACACCTTATACTCAGATTCAAATGTTCGATCTATCTATCGCATGTAACTCGGTTGTGTCCGGGCCTTTTGCAGAGGCCACAGATCGTATCACGCTTGGCCCTCTCATCCGCACCCCGGACCCTGCGCTTGATTGGACGTCCTGTACGTCTGGGGAATTGTGGCGGAATGATAATGGCACCTTCTTCTTCGCCAGTCGAATCACTATCGTCCTCATCATCCGTGACCTCATGTCTTGCACACGACGTGCCAACGACGCGTGTCAGACTTACGGAACGTCGAGCTGGTTCTGGTCATCAAGCGCATATCGATAGCCTGCATCCGTGAGCTCCTTCTTTTCGTAGAGATTTTCCCCCTTCTTTAAACAATGTTCCATTGTCGAAAGTCGGTGGTGACTTCGGCGTCCGGGCCGGGGGCGAGAATGCGGAAGGAGACCAACGTCGATTCGCGAACTCGCGCGCCTCGACGATCGATGAGGCCCTTGACTTTTCGACCGTGATAACTGACTTCTCACGGCACCTCTGGATATTCTGAGTATACGGCGCTGATCACAAAGACTACAAGAAGCTACCCTCTTGGTTGTGAGCTGATATATCGAGTATTACAGTAGTCTGGAATCCGAGGGCATTTTGTCCTTTTGAGAAGGGCATTTCTGTCCTCATGAAAAGAAGCGAGGGCATTTTTGTCCTTTTCTCAAAAAAAAAAAAAAAAAAAAGGTGAAGGTGCGGCCAAGAGGTTAAGCCCTAAAAAGAGAGAGAAAAAGAATAGTCCTGGCGCTGGGGCCAAGAGAGGGGGTTTGATTATCTGATTAGAGCAATACCTCGTTCTTGGAATTCTTGGACAAGACCTTGGAAGGGAGGACGATGCACGAGCGCACATGGACCTCCCTGAGCACCGAGACGTTCTTGGCCAGGATCGCGATCGATTGCTTCTCGTCGCCAAAGGAAGAACCTTCGACGCGCGACCAGGGGCCGAGCTTGCAGTCCTCCGAGATGATCGAGTTAATCACGTACGCATTTTTCTGCAAGTCCCACATCAAGTCCACAGTCACAGGATACAAACATGTCTCAGCTGGGTCGGACCTTCCTGAGCTGTGGAGAATAAGAGGTGGACATACATCGAGTGTTGTGTTGTCGAGGATGATCGACTCCTTGACGCGGCACCCGTACCCGATCTTGACGCCGGCACCAATGCTGACATTGGGTCCAACCTTGGCGGTCGGGTCGACCTCGGCCGTCTCGTCGATGAAGCAAGGTTCAATAATCTCGGCCTTGATCGACTTGGACGCACGCGCCATCGCCGAGGCGTGGGCGCGGTTCTCGGCCGTGATCGTCGGGGAACGGCGTCGGAGCAACAAAGGGTTCGTCGTCTTGTACGACGCGAGGATGAGTGTGTTGGCGGGAATTGCGGAGCTGGGAAGACAGACGCCTCAAATGTGTCAGCGCGGATAGTCTATTCATCTACATGTGTGTTCAAGAACACTCACGCAGCCGACTTGATCTGTGTCCATGCGCCGAGGGCCTGGTAGACATAGAGCTTCTTGCTCGCAGCCAAAGGCGCGATGACGTCCTGTTCGAGGCGCAACTGGTCATCCTGGGCCAAGGTCGGGTCGTCGGCGTTGCGTCGCAGCTTTGTCTCCATCGCGACGCGGATCTCGTCGAAAATGGTCTTGTCGAAGAGGTAGATACCTAGCGGTTGATCGGATCAGGGGCTCGACGGGTCAGTTTCCTACGGCCATTGTGAGCAGCTGCAGAGAGCATGGACGAACCTCCGTTGATGGTATCCGAAATGAACGACTCGGGCTTCTCGACGTAGTGGCGAGCCTGCTGAGTCTCCGGGTCGATGACGATGCAACCGAACTTGGTGGCCGTCTCACGGGGGACCTGGCGAAGCGGGAAGTCGACTGCATCAGCCTCGAGCGCGTCGATGCTCGGTACAAAGTTTTCGTTAGACTGACCTTGACACCCATGACTGTTCCAACTCCACGGTGACGATCATGGAAGTCCTTGAGTTGCGCCAGGGGCTGTGGACGGTGCATCCATTCGGTGGGGGTCAGGAAAGGGGGTTGGTTGTTTCTGCGAGGGAATCTATTGTCGAACGGGACGCACGAAGTTGCAAGCAATGTCGGCGTGGAGCACAAAGATCTGGTCCGGGTTGTTGCGCAAGATCGAGTCTCGGAAGTGGTAGAGACCGCTGCACAACAGAAATGGGGGGGGGGGGGATGGTAATTAGTGCTAGAGATGGGGGGGATCGCCTCTCTCTCTCTCGCAAGGGGAGTGAACTGGAGCTTACCCTGCTGTGCCTAGACTCTGATATTCTCGCATGTAACTGCGTAGGAAGAACAAGTCAGTGCCTGGTACATGCCAAACGTATTGTAGGGGCTCACCGGATCGAGAGGTTGGGGAAGTCGATTGAGGCGGCCTTGACGAAAGGAGCGATGATCGCATCGTCGTCTACGCGTCCAAACGTGATTGCGGGAACGGGAGAGCGTCCACGAGCAATCAGTTTGTGAAGGATTGCTCGCCGACTATCGCAAAGTACTGTATCGTAGGACGTACAGAAGCCAATGAGGATGACCTCGTGCAGGCCGTCGACTTTGGACGCGGCTTGGATCGAATGCCACAGCAACGCGCGACCCGCGATCGGGAACAACGGCTGGTCGATCGGATGCGGTCCACAGGTTAGCACACGAGATGTGCACGAAGAGACAAGTGGTCGTACACACCTTGGGGATATCGAGCGACAGGGGACGAAAGCGGGTACCTGTGTGCGGAGGTGCGACGTGGTGGTCAGTCGATCGGTCAGTAGTCAGTCAGCCCGTCAGTCCGTCCCGTCGAACGTGTCGACGACGACGTGACTACGAAGCGGGTCCTCGGGCGGTGTGAAACGTCGTACGCATTCCATACGGGGATGGCCTGGACTGAGAAACATACCTTTGGAAGGACCACCGATCAAGATCACTGCTTTAGAGGACGCCATGATTTCGTTGGAGCAGAGATGGGAAGGGGGTTTGAGGCTGAGCGCTGAGCGATGCGCGCGGCCACGGGCTCCAACGCGACGCGCCGCTTTCCTTCGCTTTCCTCCGCTTTCCTGCTCGCGCTATGACCCCTACGGAAAATCCGGCGCGACCGGTCGCGTTCGTCGTGCCCATTGCAACTGCAGTCGTGACTTCGACACAATGATCCGAATCGAATAATTTGGGTTCACTCAGGGCTATCATGGCCCTTCCCAACGTCGCACAAGCTCCGAGTCGTACGCGACGCACGATTCCCTCAAATCGGGATGAACAACCCGATCCATCGAGAGTTTCATCCTATGATCGTGGTCTTTTGATCTTCTTCTCTACACGATCCCCCATAAAGTATATCAATGATTTTTAAAACACACACATTTCACAGTCCAATCTCAAGCCTTTTCCGGCTTCTTGACCCTCCATGCCGAAGCCGGCAGACCTGTCAAAGCGAGCGTGAACGGCATCAGCGAACAAGGTGACTTGCCGACAGGAAGTGAGTCTTTAAAACTCACCTTGTAATCTCCTCGACGCGGGTTGAATGAAGCTGATCAAGACAAAGGCCCCGACGATGATGCACACCGACGAGACCCAGTAATAACCGTCGCGCGTGGTGTGGCAGATCCCACCGAGGTCAGCACACGCCGCTTTGCCATGGTCCGAGACGCATTCTTGGCCTGCCATGGGATTGGGGTCAATCACTGTAGATGTCTACGTCCAAAGTTCAAAGACTCACTAGCTAGGACGACATCGAGCGAAGTGTCCTTGATCTCACAGACCGCCGTGGAGAACGCATCGACTCCTGGGAGAGAACACCCACTCTCTCGATTAGCATCATCAGACCTTCCCCAACCCCGTCCGTCTCACTCACCCTTGAGCACAAAGTATCGAGGCCACGTTCCGCCCAGGTTGCTGACCGTGTTGAGCAGCTGAGGATGGTGCAACTTCTTCAATACTTTACATAGTGAGGGAGCTTCGACGGCCTACACTACTCACGGTCATATAGGTGCCGCCGATGAGAGGATCGGCGATCTGCGTATGGAACGACGAGATGCCCACGAATTGGACGGTACTGTAAAAATTGGGACAGCGTGCGTGATCAGCCACGGCCGCATACGATCCGACGCAGCAGGCCCGCGAACCCACCTCGAAAAGCCCGAGCCAACAGTGCAAAAGACGACGAGCCAAAAGTAGCTGGTCGAGATGGTGCCTTGCGGGAAGAACTTGATCAACAGCATCGACAAGATCGCCCATCCAAGACGTGTCCACATCGCTATCAACCACTACGAGACACAAAGGACACCCAATATGATCGGATCAGCGCTAAGCTCTAACCCCGTCGAGTGCAAACAGCTCGCTCTTACCGGTTTGAGCGGCTTATCCCCCTTGGACCACTTTGCAGCGAGGTAACCAAACAGGATTTGGAAGGGAAAGTCGATCAAGACGGCGAGCGCGAGATCCTCCTTCTTCAAACCCTTTTCCAAAAGCTTGAGCGAGGTCGCGGCGTCGTTGGTCGCGGTGCCGAGCTTGGTGACGAGGTGCACAATGACGAACGTTTGAACATCTGCAAAAAAGCAACCGAGTGAGCGATCAGGTTTCTCGGACACCCACTTTAATCCCATTTTGGACTCACGCTTGAGCTTGCAGATTTCATACATGATGGAGTAGACCTTTTTGACGTCCATATCGGGATCATCTTGCGACACCGGGTCCTGCTCACGACAAAAGGGTCCGGTTAGTTGGGGCCGACGGGACTGGTTCACAGACTGGACGAGGAGAACGAACCTCGGACTGGAAGAAGGCCAAGTAGAGTGTGACGATGATGAAGGCCAATCCCCAAAACTTAAGGTACCCGCTGAGCGTAACGAGCGGATAATCGAGCGGTTGCGATCGGAAGTACTTGTTGCTGTGGAAGCAGAGCAATACGGGAGTTCCAGTGAGAACCAAGCACATGAAAACACGCGCTTCTTCAGTACTACTGGATTCACCTGAATTCGAGCGAGTTGAATGCGAGGAAGACGGTAAAGGACAAGAAATAGCCCGTGTTGAGCCCGATCGTCTGCGCCGTCGAGGCGTACGAGAGGTTGTCCTTGGAGAGCAGGGTAAGCGCCCAGCCTGTACACATAATATCACATCAGTTCACATGAATGGTCATGTCGTTCTCCGCATACAGCTCTTTCCTCACCATCGACAGCAATATCTGCGAATGTGCGAGCGAAATCAGCGAATCTGGCGAGATGAAGCGAGCTTTCGAACCGCAGGCTACTGACCTTGAGTAGCGGCAAAGAACACCAAGGTAAAGAAGAGAACGGTTAAAGTCTGCACGTTCGGCTCGTCCTATAGCATCGAACGAACAGAACGGGAGACGAACATTTCACGGTCAGCTCAGCAACGCGTTAAAGCACGGACTGCACAGTGACGTGGCCCACTCACCACCTCCATGAGCTGTTGCACGTTCCCACCCATCCAAAAGAGCATGCATCCGACGACGAGCTGAATGGGGACGATCCACGACTTGCGACGACCGAGCTTGGGGGAGAAGAACGAGTCGACGATCGGGGACCACAGCAATTTGAGCGAGTACGGGTACGTGCACAGCGTGAAGAGACCGATCTGCGAGTACGACAGTTTGGCGCGGAGCAAGAAGGGGATCGAACCGAATGCTAGGCCGACGGGGATGCCTTGCAGTAGATCTGTGAGCCGTACACCACACGGTGGGGGGTATCCGGATTCGACCACGTCAGCCGGTCTGCGAGCTCGTGACGGGCCGAGACACGTTGCGACGCGTTCGCGTTCTCCGCGAGGGGGCAAAGGTGACACACGAGCTGTCGCCGCGACACGAAGAGACGGGCCCCAAACTCACACAACGCAATCAACAAGGTCAGGGCCTTCCTGTCCCTCATGCTGAGTGTCCCTTCGGGCTTGTGCTCGCGGTCGTCGCCCCGCGCGTACGCCGCGGCGGCGTCGTCGTCGTCGTCGTCGTCGTCGTCGTCGTCGTCGTGCTTCCTCGTCCACGCCTGCTCGTCGATCTGCAACCTCAACTGATCACCACGTTCGAGCAACTCGACCTCGTCCTCGATATGCTTGCCTCCCCTCGTCGCAGGTCGATTCAACATCCTGTCCGGCGAATGCGATCGGTCCAACGCGGACGACGAACTCGTACTGGGCGCCACCGTGGCCGAGGCGCGTGACGGGTCGGGGCGCTGGTGGTGGTGCGAAGCGGTCGTCGTCGAGTGAGCAGCGGCGGACGCAGGCGCAGTCGGCTTGGAAGGTCGGCTCATTATCCTGGTCACACAAGGTCCAGTCGATCCGGCCGAAGCGAAAAAGAGTCCGAGGGAGAGACGTGGGCGATGCGGACTGGACCAATGAAAGCGACTTCCAAACCGACGCTGATCCATTACGGCCGGGGAGGAGAGCCGCATGCACGGACCCGCGCTCTCGGACGGTCGATAGTCGGCTCTCGGCAGTCAAAATCAGTCGATTACTAGCGCGCAGAAACACACAGGGCGGCTAGATGGGTACAAAGCTCGAACAAAGACACCGAGATTGCTCGACAGGGACCAAGTAGCTCATGTCTGCGACGTGTGGCACGTGCAGAACTTTCGGTCCATGGTCCAGACGGACTCCGAGAACGGAGCAGACACCTACATGTCCATGTCGCTTGGAATTGAAGATGAATGCCCCTTTCAGTTTGACCGTTTACGTAGCCTACGCATGGGCGGCGACTTTTTTTTACAGGTCGTGTGCCAAGAGTAGGAGTCTCCCGATCGCAGCCTTCTTTCGCATGGGCTACCCTTTTACGGATGCTTCCCACAGAGACGTTGACTCCATCTTGGAGGTCTTTTGCCTCTAGTCGAAGAAAGATGAACAAACTGGATTGTTTTCTTGGCCACGGGCGGCTCAGTGCGGCCACGCCGCGAAGGTCCAAGTAGCGAAGGTCCAAGTGGCGAAGGTGGACTCTCGGCGGCAAGGCTTTTCCAGCCAGCAATCGTTCTTCAAACGGTGGCCATCCGAGCAGTAAGCAGGCCCCACATACCGTCAGGGTTGTTCCATCGATCATGATGCACCTAAATCATATCCTCAGTGAGATAAAGCTGGTTTTTTTCTCCGACTGATCTCACAACTCAGAGGTCGCGCCTCGGCGCTCGATCGGCGCGTGAGGGCATGTGGTGCCCCGCAAACCCTCGGCCAGGCGCAATCGTCACGACTCCTCCCTCTTCCCCTTTTCCCCCCCATCCTCTCAACTCCCTACCCCAGCCCTTCCCACCACGCCTCCCTCACTCCGCTTCGTACTAACCGCGTGCATCGTGGCGTCCCTCTCGTACCTCCTCACCTTCATTCCTCAAAGCAGTCGATCGTCAGTGGTTGGCTTGAAGCTCCTCAAATACCCGGGCACGCTCAGCCGACCGGCCGCGTCACCCGGGTACTTAGCACTTCGTGCGTCTTCTACGATGGCCGCACAAACCCCGGAGAACGTCTGGGATTATCCTCGGTCAGTACATGCCTTCTCGACTTGAACTATCTCCTCCTCGGAAGGCGGCGCACACCTGAATTCTCCACACCTGGTCTCTGGTCTCGTTACTGACCTGACATCGAGCCTCTGACGATCGAGCAGACCGCCAGCGTTGGAAAAGACGCCTCTCCGGCTTCGGATCGTTTGGACCGATGAGGAGGGCCAAGAGTCTGTACTGGCAGATACGATGTCGGGGTATAGGGTCTTGGAAACGAGGTCAGTGCCGAATCCGAGTTACTAGTGCCCGAGACGGCGAAAGGAGCTGACATTTGATCGTGGTGCGAATGGTGTAAATAGTCACCCCCCGACCTACTACATCCCTCCCAAGGATGTTAACACCGAATGGCTCACCAAATCTCCGCGATCCTCATTCTGCGAAGTAAGCTTGTATCCACCTTCTTGGGCGGAGGGCCTCGTCTTTTACAATCACCACGCTGAGCTACACTTCCGTCTCCTCCCTCCCGACCGAAAGTGGAAAGGCCAAGCGACCTACTACAACCTCCAGCCCACCACCTCTTCCCGACCCCTCGTCAAAGACCGCATCTGGACCTACTCCAACCCTACTCCCCGCTTTGTGATCATCAAAGACTACCTCAGTTTCTACGCCACTTCTTCTTCCTCCAACTCGCGTTCCGAAGGAGGGAAAGGACAATGGAAGTGTTTCGTAGGGGAGGAGGAGGTTGTTCCCCAGGAGGGAGATTTTTATGGTGGGTGGAAGACGAGTTGGATTCAGGGCAAGATGAAGGGTGGGCCGGGGACTTGGGGTTGGTGAAGGGGGATCTCACTAGTGGTATTGAGGGGTTTCGACAGCGTGATCCGTTTTTCAATCATGCTGAGTTGAGGTGGTAGCGACGCCGAGCTCGTAATGAAGCGAATCATATATACTTCCAATCTGAATACTGAAGGTCTCCTCTGTCCAAGTCAAACCAATCACACCCAAGCCAAATCAGTCGCTCCCCCGTTCACCTCCACTTCCACCAGAGGAAGGCAAGATCCTTTCACTCGATTTCTGTAAGACAAGGCAATCGCTGTGAAGATCAATGCTACGCTCCAAAAAACGCAGCGGGACGATCATACCAGTCCTGCGTCTTACCCAGGCCCATAATAATTGCGTTTTGAGTTGTAAGACGTCGCTTCTCCATAGTTGGCATTCTTTGGTGAGTTCGCGGAACTCGTCCGTCACTTTTAAGGAATGAGTGAGATGAAGCGATTCAGCGCCATCAATTTCCACCTGTTCAAATGTGAGGAACTTGACTTGCCATGCCAACACGACGCAACATTCTCGAGTGAGACAAAGTCGGACGCGACCTTGATACAATCCGCGTAATTGCACACCTGGTGCGCGCATCTACAAGTATCATCACGACCCAAAACGCAATCATCAGCCAACTCGAATCAAGACATGTATGCGAACCTTTTTGTATTCAACTGACCCAGCGGGTATGAATACCGCTTCGCCCGGTCGTTGCCAAATACGAAAAGGTTTGACGCCTTTGGATTTGAACAGTTGCGTTCGGAGGTCTTGGTCAAGGAAGACGAGTTGGGAGTGGATAGGGCTGTTGCGATAGAGTTGAAAAATTACGTCGGTTTTTAGGGACTGAGAAGGTGAAAGGAAAGGAAAACTCAACTCGTTCATCATCAACCTCATTTGAGCGACTGGCCGGCCGTACTTTTCCGCAAAGTGTTCGTAGAGGAAATCGCGGATCTGTCACAAAACCAGCGAAGCTGTCATCATCAGCACCCACCCGACCCAACCAAAACTTTCCCGGACTCGCAACGAACGCACCTTATCAGCATCCTCGACCCTAAACATATCCCACGCCGCCGCACCCACCGCACCATCCTTCCAAGGTCCAGCCCAAAGCATGACGTTGACGGCATCCGCAACGTCCATATGCAACTTGGTCGAGCCTTGGCCACCGGGTCGATCGTCCGATTCTTCGGAGAAGTAGCCTTTGGGACCTAGGTCGGGAGGGTTGGAGTTTGAGGGTGCGTGTGCGGCGAGGTTGAGGACCCCGTCACGGCGGGTCATGGACCCCATGGGGAGGAGGGACATGAACTGTTGAAGGGGGTTGAGACGGACCAGTCAGTTAGGGGATGCTAAGTGTAAGTTCAGAGAGGGCACCCACATCCGCATATTCCCTGGGGAACGCCGACTTGAAATCCGTTGTCGGTGGCCAATCCTAGATGCAGCCAATACACAAAGGGTGAGTTTCTAGGCGACAGACAACCAAAGCCATCCCAAGTGTCTCACCTTGATCTTCCGACTAACGCCCAACGGGTTCCGCTGTCCAAACTTTTCGAAGAACTTGGCGACCGTGGTCGTCGAAGTCGTTGCATCCCCCTCGACATTGCACGATGCTTCGCCGTAGGTATCGATGAAATGCTGGGGCGACCAGTCGAGGTGGAAGGTATCTTTACCGATGTCGACGACGATGGGTTCGCGCAAGACCCAGAGATCGGCGAAGGAAAAGCGTTTCGGGTCCTCGGTCTTGACTGGGATCGGAGCGGCGGAGAACCACGATGGCGTGGGAGGAGGCGGGTCGCTGCTCTTCTCATTGACTGCAGCGGCTTGGTGCGGGACGAAGGGGTCGACGAGCTCCTCGCTCCTCAGATACATATGAGGCCAGCTATTGGTCAGCTTTTGGTCCCCACTCGAGCGACGCAACGCGTCGAGGATGTCCTTGGCGGGAGGCCGGTGAACCTCGAGCGGGTTCGACTCCTTCCATTCCTGCATGGCGATCACGAGGTGCTCGAGCTCCTGCGCATCCCTGCGTGTATACGGGGTAAAGTCTTTGCTCGAATGCGACTTGGTGCGCGGAGCGCATCGATGAAGTCGATCTTGCTGCATCGGATGAGGCTCGGAGAAGGCGCTCGCATGGCCCGTTCCGTCCTTGTCCCCTTCCACGACCGAAAGCAGATACCGCGAGTGTCGGAGATCGGCATTACTTAACCGTTTGATGGGCTGGTCCTTCAGCTTGAGAAGTTGGTCATAGCACGACATGCACAGATCCCTGCCGCAGCACATGCACTTGTACGCGCCGCAAAAAATGACGTGCAGGCACGTGTCGCACGTCTGGCGCGCGAACAGTTCGTGGCGGATCCGCACGCAGTCCGACTTTTGTGCGTGTTCGAGCTCTTCTTTCAGCGTCGGGAGCAGATGATGAGACGCAACGGTCTTGATCCGGATCGCGTCCTCGCCGACGAAAGACCGATCAAATTCGGTTGGGAAGTGGGGCACCTCGTCGTCGAGTCGAGAGGGGCGCAAGGTTCCGCGGTCAAAGTCGAGCTGATCGGATCCGGCCTCGATGCGAGGGAAGGAGCGGATGCCTGCAAAGGAGCACCTAGAGTAGCGAGTGATGCAGTCGTGGCACTGCTGCGCCTCTTGACGGCGGATCGTGATGCAACTGCCTGCCTGCAAGACCCAATCGTCCGAGCGATCGCCTGCGCAGTTGGGAGATGAGGCTCTGGAAGTCAGCGACGGTCGTAGCTCTGACAGGCAAATGAGAGGTCCATCCCGACTTACTTTCATCTACCCACCTGCACCTGGGTAGCCCCCTCTTCGCTCTGGGCTGTTGCGGCGAAGCGATCGAAGCAGAACCGACGACAGCTTCGGTGGGCAGATACTCGGGCGACCCAGGGACCGAAGCGTTCGATACGTCCTTGGACCCAGTCGACTCGTTCGTAGGAGGCGATTCGGTGCAAGACTCGACGATGACGGAGCTGGTGTCGGAATCCCTGTCCGATGCGGTATCGGATCCTGAGTCGGATCCTGAGTCGGATCGACTTTGACGAGACCGGGGTGACCAGGCTTTCTCGTCACATTTGGCGTTGGTGCGCGGTCGTTTGAGGCTCACGAGTCGAGTTGCCATCGTACTGGGCCGTTTGCTCGACTCGGCGCTTGCTTGTGGTACCACGTCTTGTGTGAATTGTGGCTGGTCCGTTTGGCTATCGTGCACGGTCTCCCGTTCGGGCGTGGCGGATATGGAAGTGGGGTCCATCTCGTAGTCGATCTCGCCCTCGGCGTCATCACTGCTGCTGCTGTAATCGACGAGGGAGCAGAACTTCGCAGAGAGATGCCTCGATGGATCAGTTTGATGCGAGTTGATGAAAGGTGAGGCTGTGCCCGGATGTCGTGCGCCTGCGCCTATGCCCATGAGCGCACGGGCTGTGGCAGCTACGAGCGGGCTCAAGCTCGAGGTCACGTGCGACTCGGGCGAAAAGGGCTTAAGGTGCGCCATGCGATCGACGGGGAGAGGGTGGTAGTTGGTTGGCTACTCTGTCGTCGTTGGATGTTGTGCGACTGAAAGAAGGGGCCTCTCCTATGTAGTGGGTTTGGCCCCGTCGAGTCGGCGGCAGGAGCTGGCGTCAGCGTGGGCCACTCGCGTGAGGGCAGGGGCGTCGTTGGTGGGTCGAGGTGTGATCCCACACAGGACCACAGTCGCAAAAGTAATCTCGGGATTCGAGTTGCCGTTGCGGCGACCTCTGGAGGGAATGGGAGGTACAGAGGCAAGCGAGGAGAGGGGCAACTCGCCTGGGCGGCACGCGCTCACGGTTCTGGCGCGCTCTGGCGCGCTCTGGCAGGCTCTGGCAGTGCTCTGGCGCGGTACTGGGCGCGCTGGTGATGCGATCACAGGTACGAGGTGAACTCATGCCTAGGCTCAACGTTTTTGGTTTTTCCGAATTCAAGATCGACAGCTACTTTACTACCTTGCTGGGCGTACGCAGAATGTAACACACACACAAATCTATACAGCGACAAGATCGGCCCCGCTACGTGAAGCGATCACTGGCAATGACTCCAGAGATGTCCGGGAAATCTGCTCGGAGGCGCACCAACTTGTGCGTGACATGGGCCTCTCCCCAGTCAATCAGAAAGATTTGACCATCTGCACTTCGGACGACGTTGGGTGACCGTGGGTCACCATGCACAAGGCCTTCTCCCCCAATCAGTCGAAAGGCGGCCCTAGCAGACAGAGAGGAATTAGGAAACGAGTCGGCTCCCGCAACCCGACACCGAGAGACCTTTCCGAGAGTGGACGCACTTGGCCTGGTCTCGGAGCTCTTCATTAGCGTCCCACTCCTCTTCCCTAATGGCTGCTCCCGCGTTCTCGAAGAAGAACACGTAAGCGTACCCGTCCGGCGATCCAGTGCGGTAGAAGCCGTGGAACTGGGGAATAAAGGCGCGCGCAGCAGGCGACAGCAAGGGAATAATCCGCTTGTGCACAAAGTACTCGCGAGCGATCGACGCCGCGTACCGTGCAGAGACCACCTTGGCAACGAGGGGGACCTCTCTCTCTCCAGTAAGCAGGGGAGAACAGGTGAAGCGATCAGAAGCCGCCTCGGCTCCGGCTCGGTTCCAGCGCGCAGTCCAAGCCATAGCAGTGCAACCATTCCCCACCTTGGTAACGAGGTCGAGCCGATCGAGGCCACAATGGTCGGTGTGAAAGTCGATCAATAGTGCAGGTTCTGGGGATAATCTCTGTCCAAGGTCGTGGGGAAAGAACTGTAGGGAGTAAGAGCGGGCTCCTGGTCAACATAGCTGCATCGAACCCGTTGGGACAGCGAGACGCCAAAGATCCCGTCATATCAACTTGACTGGGTAGTACAGTCGAGATCGACGCCGATCGCAACCAGGTCGGAACGTGGCTTACTCGCGACACCAGTAATGATCTTAGAGGATCATGTGCAGAGAAGTGATGAGCGATGTGCGGAGGAAGTGGCGTGACAGCCTCTTGGAGGGAGTGGGCTAACCTTTCGATCGAAATGGTGCCGCACCGACACAACTGTCTCATCCGTTCTAACAAAGAGGGTTGACACAGTGTTGTCGAGATCACTCGACCGTGGCTTTGGGGGAGTGCTCTTCCCATCGTTTTGCTCGAGCTTGTCCGTGATGGCGCGCAAGGCAGCCCTCGTCTCGTCCGACGGGCCTTTGATCGAATAATTCGGGTGATGACTCATGAAGAGTGAGACCAGGGTAGCCAGAAAGTTTCCGGTTTCGGCAGCAACAGGACCGACGTCGTCGGTGGCAACCCAGGCCGAGGAATACAGCGGACTGAACAGCATGTGCGTTCGTCCATCGTCGTCGACCGCTGGTGTCGTGTTGAACAATGCAACGAGCAGGGCATCAGCGTGCAGCCTTTAGGCGCAGTGCGAAGGGAAGATACACTGGTGGGAGCGATATCAAGCTTTTGGCAACTCACCAAGCTCGGCGAGTACGAAGTCGGGCGCGCAGTAGAAAAGGCCGAATCGGCTACCGGTGAAAAGCATTTGAAGAGCAAGCTGAGATCGAAGCGAGCGTCAACTGGTCAGCCCATGCACTTGAAGGCGAAATGCAATTGAAAATCAGAACCCAGGGAAGACTGCGAATAGCGCGATTTGCCTTCACCATCATATATGCATCACCTTCGAGTCTTTCCTTCAGTCGTCCGTCTGGCTCAAGGATACGGATGTCGATGGGCTCGCGGCTTGCAAAGTCGAGCCAATACTTGGGCAGCACAAGCTTATCGTGTACCATACGGCTGGCAGCGATCGCGTTGGTCTCGACCGGTTTTACGTTGATGATGCACTCCTCCCCGTCGACACGCCACAACGCGAATTGATGGTCGCCCGGTTGGCCTAGTTTGTATTAGCCTTGAGCGAAGTGCGCTTTGATGACCGTGTTGCTCCCGATCAGAGCCGAGACCGTAGGCCTGACAGCCTTGTCCAGCAAATCGTCGAGGTGTTGCGAGCTTTCGTAATAACCTTCAATCCCCACTCGGATCTTGTCTTGGCGGAAACGACTCAGAAACTGGGAGGCAGAGGGGGGTAGATCCTCGTTGACGTGTCGACCCGATCGCATCAAGCCATCCCTGAAACTGCAGCCCACCCGATCGAGCAGTGACGGATCGAGCACAGCCGACATCAGGGGAAACAGGGGGAGGACTTCGCCAGGGAAGCGCCTCAGTCTAGGGTACAGAAGATGCGAAGGGGCCACTCGAACGTTGCGAGGAATTGGGGGAGCGAAGCCGGGGTGCCATCGGGACTGAGACGGGTCACCATTCCTCGGAAACCACGGGAAAAAGCCCTGGCTCCGCAGCTCGTAGGTCTGGATGGGAAACTTAAACTTAAACAAATCGTTGATGACTAACGGAGTCGGAGTCACCAGATGCCGCATTGACGCCGGCGGGGAGACGGGACGTGGCCATAAGATGGTCATGATGGTATCGCTTGGGCCCTGCAAAGTTCTGGGGCGGCCAGCATCTTGTGTGACCGCGCGTTCTCAGGGTTTAAGTAATCAACTCGTACTGCGTAGTATCCTCTACTTCTGTACTTACAGGCAGGCCGCGTGTTCGCGCCGTGTTACAGTTGTCACGTCGTGGGAAGGTTGCGTACGAAAGTATCACAATTGCGATGAACGCAAACACGTCCGAGTGAGATACGCTGAAACCGATGGTCGCCAATGCAGGACCAGCCCTTTGTCACGAGTGCTGCACAGTCTTTGGATCGGTGATGCGGAGCAGAGTGCCGACGAGGAGCGCTAGCAGGCGAAGGAATGCAGTGACGTCCTCGAGTACTGTTGGTTGGTGCTGCTGGTCCTGGGCCCCCACTGCCGCGTAGTAGGTGGGTATGGGTTTGTCTGAGCCTCCAGCTCAGCCTGCTGCTGCAGCAGCTATACAACGAGCGCGGCTCCGTCTCACACGGCTTAACCGGCTCGACTAAGGTGACCTTGTAGGGGTGGGGAATTCTTCGGCTCAGGCTCGTCCTCGTCGTCACTGATTTGACTTCATCACGGAGGAGCTGGAACGTCTCTCTACTAGGCTTTGTTGTGGGGTGAAACTTCGCGCTTGTTCGGCAAAAGTCGCTTTCAATCGCGCCGGGGATTTGCATGACCCGCCGAGGGACCCGCCGATTGGAATTGACTCTCGACACCCAAATCATTTGATGAAAAAGGCGACAGGTTACGAATGGTGATCGAGCCCCAAGTTTCGGACGGCGGAAACCGTTGGGCGTTAGTCGGAGGTGAGGCACTTGGGAACGTCTTGGTTGTCTGTTGTGGCAACGTTTTGGTTGTCTGTCGCCTAGGAACTCACCCTTCGTGTATTGGCTGCATCTAGGCTTGTCCACCCACGACGGACTTCAAGTCGGCGTTCCCCGTGAGATACTCTGACGTGGGTCGCATCGCATCGCTACGTTTCCCACCCCTTCATTCGCAGACACTGAGCTACCTCATCTCACCCACTTTGAAACAACTTGTCCCTCCTTCCCGTGGGCTCCATGACTCGCCGCGACAGCATTCTCAACCTCGCCGCGCACGCACCTTCCACTGACTCCCACTCCCTCCCCGTCTAGATCCCGAAGGCCACTTCTCCGAGGAATACGATGATCGACCCGGTGGACAAGGTTCGAGCAAATTGCATATGAAAGTTGACGGTGCTTTTGATGTCATGCTCTGAGCTGAGGCTAGGAAGGATGGTGTGGTATTGGTGGCGAGGCGGGGGAGATATCTTCAGGGTTGAGCAAGCTGATAAAGAGCGTTCGTGCGGGTTAGGGGAACTTTTGGTTGGATCGGAAGGATGCTGATGATGAGCGTTTCGCTGGTTGTATGACAGAACCGGGATCTTCTCTACGAACACTTTCTCTACGAACACTTCCGGGAAAGTGCAGCCAGCCCATCGCGCAGATGAGTTTGATGATGAGCGACTGGAGTGCGATACTCTTTCCCGCAAAATTGACACAGTTGCTCAACTCAATCGCAACAGCCCTACCCATTCTCAAATCGCCTTCCCGACCAAGACCTCCCAACGCACCTCTTCAAAACCGAAGGCGTCAAGCCTTTCCATCTTTGCCAACGGCCGGAGGAAGGGGTCCCAACATCAGCTAGGTCAGTCCTACGACAGGAGATGGGGTGTGGCCACACTGCGCATGTCTGTTTCGTGTTGTACAGTGGATATTCTGGCCAGCAGATATTGTTATATAAATCTATTTCTACGCAATCGTCAGATGCGGGGGTAATGCAAGGTGGAGGAACAACACTTTGACAATCACACGGACGACACAGGCTCATGGGAAGGCATGGGAGATGGGCCGACGAGATTGAGAACTAAAACGTCCTCAGCCGCAGCCCTACACACGAGCCGCGTCTTCTCGTAAGGTAAATCATTTTGAAGCCCATTTGGCTGTCGAGGAAGATGTTGGTTGTTATCTCAACAAGCCTCGTGCCACCTTGCACGCCTGGTTCTTCGATACAAAGGTCACTCACTGGCAACAGATGGCCCGGGGCCACTGCAAGTTGTCCTCCTCGACCGTTCGACGTCTGGCAGACTGGCACAAGGCGCCCGCAAGGACTCGGGGTGGCAAAAACCTTTGAAGTTTACCGGAGTTTGGGCCTTCATAGCGATCGTATTGGACGAAATCACCTCCGAGCAAGACCTGGAACTCGCCCTTCTACCCGACGTATCTCGGCGGGCTTGGCTTGAGACTTTTGAGCGAAGGTGCGACTGTCGCTCGCCGTCGAAGCGCAGCTGTTGCCGACGCTTAGCCAACGCGAGGCCTAAGACTGGCCTAGACTAGCCGAGGCGCGGGCTGGCGCGTGTTTGCGCGCTCAGTGCTGCTCAGTCTTGCCTCAGAGCGCGCTCCGCGTCAGTCCGCGTCGAGTCGAAGCTCCGTCCTGGTTCTCTACTCTCCGCCTCAAAAGCTCCATTTCATCCGCCATGGCATCTTTCAAAGGAGAACTCAAAGCGCTCATTCTGGTCGGGTAAGTGCAGCTGCCTCCTCCTTCTGTGGGATCCCACGTCGCTCGCCGTCATCCGGCGTAGTCGTGGTCGCGTTCGAACCGTACGACCCAAGCTCTCGCTGGCTTGATTCGTTGCTGGGCGAAGGCTCTAGCTCGACCGTAATCACTACACCATTCGTCGGGACATACAGCTGCTTTCAAAGTGCTCTTCGCGTCGCTCTCGTCTCTTCGATTCCGATGGATCGGCTCCCAGGCTCCCATCTGGTCTCGCATCGACCATCCGAGGCGCCCCGCTGTCCCGTCTCGGTGAACTCTGCTCCTTCGCAGACCCAGACTGACCTCTACAACCCTCTACCTTTCCGGTCCACAGTGGCTTCGGCACACGACTGCGTCCCCTGACGCTCACCTTGCCCAAGCCGCTCGTGCCTTTCGCCAACCAAGCCATGATGTGAGCTACCGCCTTGATTCTTTACCCTGTCATGTCCCTTCACTTTGGCTGATGACACCTCTTCTCGTCCAACCAGCATCCACCACATCTCGGCACTCGCAGCGGCTGGCGTCAAGCACATCGTTCTGGCCGTCAACTAGTACGTTTCGGCGCCGCCCTGGCACGCGACGCGACGGGACAAGCGCACGTTCGAACCCCTCGAGTCGCGCCACACATCATACTCGCGTTTCACCATTTGGCATTCGTCAAAGGGACGAAGAAAGTTAACTCATTCTGAGAATTGTTTGTCTTTGTGCGCAGCCGACCCGAAGTCATGTCGGCTTTCTTGGCCAAGGTCGAAAAGGACTTTGACGTTAAGGTGCGTAATCGAGAATTTCAACTCTGAAGTGCGCCGCTTTCGCCGAGGAAGGAGAGCTAACCACAAAGTCGCGTGCCGCTGCAACAGATCACCTTCTCGATTGAGAACGAGCCTCTCGGAACAGGTAACATCACCTGTGCTCTCACTTGGTGAAGACCTCGGTCCTGACGAACCCCTTGCCTCCATCTTCTCAAACACAGGGGGACCGCTTGCTTTGGCCCGAGACGTGCTCGCCAAGGACGACGCACCCTTCTTTGTGCTCAACAGTGACGTGACGTGCCAGTTTGCGTTCCAGAGCCTGCTCGACTTCCACCTCAACCACGGCGGCGAAGGCACGATCCTCGTCACAAAGGTCGAGGAACCGTCCAAGTACGGTGTCGTATTGACCCACCCTGGAGAATCGACGATCGAGCGCTTCGTCGAGAAGCCCAAGGAGTTCGTCGGGAACCGTATCAACGCCGGTATCTACATCTTCAACCCCGCCATCCTCGAGAGGATCGAGGTCAAGCCGACTTCGATCGAGAGTGAAATCTTCCCCGCCATGGCCGCCGATCGTGAGCTGCATTGCATGGACCTCGAGGGGTTCTGGATGGATATTGGACAGCCCAAAGGTACGATCCCATCGGGACAGTCTTATTTCCTCGTCCGCTGGTCCTGATCGGCTCTCTTTTTGACCTGACCATCGCAGACTTCCTCTCGGGCACATGTCTCTACCTGACGCACCTGAGCCGAACAAACTCGCCGCAATTGACCTACCCGTCGCAACAACCCTACATCGTGTCCGGTAACGTCCTCATCGACCCATCAGCCAGGATCGACCCGACCGCTTCGATCGGCCCCAACGTCGTCATCGGTCCCGGTGTCGTCGTCGGCAAAGGTGTTCGTCTTCAACGCTGCGTCATCATGGAAAACACAAGGTCCGTCCATTGCACGAGTGCGCAAAGCGGAGAATGGAGAACTGACTCTCTTTCGTATTGTCGGCGTTTGGCCGGGATAGGGTCAAGGACCATGCTTGGATCCAATCCAGTATCGTTGGGTGGAACTCCACGATCGGACGATGGGCGCGTCTTGAGAACACGACCGTTTTGGGTGACGATGTCCAAGTCGGTGAGGAGGTTTATATCAATGGCGCGAGCGTCTTGCCTCACAAGAGCATCAAGTAAGTCGCACCCTTCTGTGGGCCTGGCGGTACATTGTCGTCCTTTGCTTTTGCTGATGAGATGCTTCTGATTGCATTAGGGCCAACATTGTCGCGCCTTCGATTGTCATGTGAACACCATAGATTGCAACATCCGACGGCGCACGGTATGTGCAGCCCGGGGAAGCTTCTTGAATGCCACCCGCACTGGTGTGTGCGATGTAATCTACCTCGACCAAACAAAACTATTCAAATTATTCAAAGATGAGTTTCTTGAGGAATTGCAACACTATAGAAAACAAGTCATCGCATCCTCCCATCTTCCTTACATCCTAAACAACATGCAAAAAGCCCCTTGTCGTTCCTCAAAGCTTGGACTTGATCAAGTAACCCTGGTTCTTCTGAATCGTCTCAACGGCCTCCTTGATCATCTCCTCCATAATACTCTTCGCCGGTCTAACGTCCTTGATCACGGCGGCGACAGCACCCATCAAATGAGGCCTGTTCTCGACGTCCTCCATTCCGACGGGGATCTTGCCCGCGGCGAGAAGTTTCTTTTGCTCTTCGGCCTTCTCCGTTTCCCATTTCATGACGAACGGGGTCTTACGAATGCGCAAGGGGCGACCGGTGTAGATCAGCGAACGGATCGTGTCGTTGTGGTCGGCGGTGAGGACCGCTTCTTGGTGGGCTTTCGAGGCACCGGCCTGTACCAAGGGAAGGGTGGGGGGGGGAGAGAAACAACGGACGTTGGTCAGGATCGCGGTTCACAACGCCCGAAGGACGGAGTCGAAGCTCCCGGAACGCGTACCTCCTCAGCGCAAACGAAGCGAGTCCCAACCCAAACACCGACAGCGCCGAAGGAAAGCGCGGCGGCGAGCGAGCGACCGTTGTAGATACCACCGGCGGCGACGACGGGCACTTGCTTGCCCGTCAGAGGTGACTTGCGCCCCTTGACGATGTCGACGCAGGCGGGCTGGAGCAAGGGAGGGGTTAGATTTATTGACCGTTCTCGAGCCGAGTTAGGCAGAGCTTCTTTCTGGACTTGCGATGAGGATCGAGGTCGGGACATCGCCGGTGTGTCCACCACCCTCACCACCCTGGGCGATGATGACGTCGGCGCCGGTCTCGAGCGCCTTGAGGCAATGCTTAGGGGCTCCGACCTGAGTTCCGCGATAAAAACTCTCCAAAATCAGCGCGCGTCACAACCTCCCTACACCCTATGAATAATAAGCTTACCATGTTGGCGCACACGATACCAGCCTTGTGCAACTTGTCGACGACGTCCTTGGGAGGTACACCGACGGCGCAGACGAAGAGGGCGGCCTTCTCCTCGATGATGATGTCGACCAACTCGTGCAACTTGCCACCGGTGTAATCCTTGTTGGTCTTGCGGGCACTACCACCGACCTGAGACACAAAAGAGCGAGTTTCAAAAAGTCAGCAGTGAGACTTTACGCAGCTCCTGAGCGCGACTTCGGCTTCGGTTGAACTTACTTGAGGCAACAAGAGATCGATACCGAACGGCGCGTTCTTGTCGTTGAGGTACTCCTTCAACTCGTGGATCTGATCACGCAAGAACTTGGGCGTGTAACCGACACCACCGATGACACTGGACGTTCGAAAGCGAGCGGGATTGGGTGGAGTGGGGTGGGGAGGAAGAGGTTCCAGGGGTTAGGGATGGTCGTCGGAGGGACGTCGGGTGTGAGGACTACTTACCCGATTCCACCGGCGTTGGTCACTGCAGCAGCGAGTTCAGGACCGGCAGCGACGTTCCTGTGTTCATCATCATCAAAGCGAGCGCATGCGCCTCATCAGTGTGGCCGTTCTTGGTGGTGAAAGCAGCTCAGTTCCGGGGGCCGAGCGTGACCGCGATCAAGATCCCTGAGGTTCACAAGTTCGTTTTGATGTTACTCACATTCCAGCAAGCATGATGGGGTGCCTATGAACACGAAGACAGCCATAGTTAGTACGGTTGACCAATTCAAGACCACACGGCTTCGATCTTGAAGGCCGAGCGTTGGCCTCTTCGACCTCCTTTGAGACGCGGGGGAGACGCCCCCACCGGCATTTGTACGGCCCGGCGGGAAGAACGATCGCGGTGTCCACGGCTTCCCCGGCGACGGCGTGCAGCAAAGCGTCTGCACTCGTAGAAAGAACAACAACTCACTTGATCTTGAAAAGGTCGGTAAGGGGAGTTTGGAGGGACATGATGATATGCGAGTGTTGAAGGTGGGAAGTTGAGGGATGTCGGTGATGGGTTTCCGTTGAAAGTGGAGGAGTGAACTTGAGAAAGGTCGGTCGGTCGGTCGAGAGAAGCTCACAGGCGCGCGCCAATCTGCGCCAATTTGGCAAAACGTGCGCCAAGAGAAGGCCGTCGCCGTCCCGAAAGTCAAGACGACATGGTTGGGGTTTTTCGGCGATGCGAGGCGCTGCTGAGCCAGTCTTCTTCACAGGGTTCGGCAAACAGGCGAATGCCCCGAGTATTCGTTACAGAAAAGAAGAAGACAGAAAAGTCAATGTAAATGTACACACTAAACGGGGAACACAGAGCAGTAAAGAGAAGACGCAAAGATGCCGTCGTCCCCGACAAACGGACTGCGCATGCATATCGGAAACCACACAAAAAATAGATAATAGTGAGCACACACAGGTTCAAAAACAAGTGAAGCTACATGCCCAAAAAAGAAGAAGAGGCGAGAATCTATTCTACTTTTGCTCTGTTTCCATAACGCATTCCACTGGGCGTACATCATCATCATCATCCCGGTCATTGTGCATACATCGAGCCATCGTCCGGCCCTCATCCTCACCGAGTCCCATTCAAAGCCTTCCCCTTGTGCGGATACGTCGTCCCCTGCCCATCATCCCCATCATCCTCTTCAAAGTCCTCCTCGAACTCCTCCATAGGCAAATGTAGATCATTCGCATGGTTCATCGGCTCGACCCCACCGACGACGGCTCCGCCACCACGGAAGAAGTTCGTGCTCTTCCTTGCGTCGGGGTTACCGTCGACCTCACTGTTCATCGAGTAACGGTTCGAAGCAAGCGAGGTGCGGCCGAGGATGCCGTTGTCGAGCATCGAGTGCGAGTAGCGATTCAAGCGCGTCAAGCCTCCCGACGAGTTTTCATTCTCGGATCGCGAAAGGTTCTGCGAGTGGCCAGTCCCAAGGGATTAGCCGTCGAAAGTTTGTGTTGGGCAGGTGAAGCGATCCGGAAACTCACGAGGAGATAGACGCCCAGGGAAATGACGTAGAGACCACAGAGAAGGGAGAGTGTGTCCTTTCCTCCCGAGGTGTTAAGGCCATGAAAGAGGATGATGGAAGCGATCAAGGTCGAGGTCGAGAAACCAACAAAGTAACTCGGGTTCACGACCGTCGTTGGGAAGAGATCCAACGCCTGGATGCAGAGTCGAGCGCTTAAGAAAGTTAGCGGAGAGCACCTTGCCACTCTTCTACAAATCAGTCGACCCCCACCTTATTGAAGTAGTTCATCTGAACGGCGATGCAGCCGACGACGGTGATAGCAAAGACCCATGTCCCCGGTCGCCACAATTGGTTGTTGCCCGCGATGGTCAACTTGAGCGCAACGCCGAAACCCTTGACGGCCATGACGCTGACGGATCCGACGAGCGAGCAGATGGAGATGTACACGAGCGGGTTGCTGGACCCGGACACGGGCGCGACGCGGTAGATCATGTAGACGGAGAAGACGATGACGAAGAAGCAGTAAAAGAGGAAGCCTGTGGTCCTCCTCGCGACAGAACGTCAGTGACTCGACTGGGTGTCTGTCTGACATGTTGAGCAACTGACCTGGTTGAAGTGCATAAGCAAGCACCTCGTCAACGGTCTCGATCGCCTTGTCCTCGGGCGCATGGAGCACGATGATGAGACTGCCGACGAGACAGAGCGAGCAGCCCGAAATGCCTATCCGACCGAGTTGTTCGCCGAGGAAGAAGGATGCAAGGACGGCACTGTGGGAGGAGTATTGAGCGCGTCAGTTCAGTACTCGGAGCGTTCAGACCGCAAAGTGAGCGCGGCCGGCCTACCCAACGAGAACGGAGCCGGCTCCGAGAGGCGTGACCAAGATGGGAGGCGCAAAGCAGTACGCCGCAAAGTTGGCTACTTCTCCTGCGACCACTGTGGAGGGACAAGTCGAGGAGGTGTGAATACTGTCGTCTAGTACAACGTCAGGCAGCTCGTGGCCCTGGTGGAGGACGAAGAAAACTCGGACAGTGGACTGAAACTGACTGGTGATCATACCGGCCCACCAGAGGCCATTTTTGAGATACGAGTAGGTCGCCGAGCTCGACAGACCATCGTGTCGATCTGCGGCGCTGATGAGACCCTGTGGGTTGGGGTGAGGCAGATCAATGTCCGAGAAGCGACGCGTCAGTGAGGGTGGTCGCCGAGCTGCGCAGTCCGAAGTCGAGCGGCGATCGGAGTGTGGGTCGTGTACCTTTTTGGTGATGATGCTGGTGGAGACATTGGGGGCAACCAATGGTGTGAGTCGAGGGTGTGTTGATGGATGACAGTGGGCACTGCGCTGCGCTGTATGTACTGACAATGATGTGCCAATGGCGATCGAACTCGAGATGGCCAGCGCGAGGCCAATGTACTTGTCGCGCGTGCCGTCCGGCGTCTGAACGAGCGATGCACCGTCCATGGCCGAGGGGTGAGTGAACCTCGGAGGAGATGCAGCCGTCGAGGGTGGGAAACGTTCACGGCGAGGTGACTATGAGGTGGGCGATGTTCAGCGCTCAGCTCAGCGCTCAGCTCAGCCCTCCGCGCTCAGCGCTCAGCAGCGCACGCGGTCGAGAGCGCGCCTGCAAAGTCACGTCCGTAAGGCGAGCGCTGTGTCTCGAGGACCGTGGCCGGAGTGGTGGGAAGGGCCAACTCGGATGCTCGATGCTCGATGCTCTGGGAGGAGGACGCGGGGAGACACACGGATGATGAGAGCGAGTTCGATCCGGGAGACGTTCAACGTGCCGAGACCAACGCGAGGCACGACTCACCGACGCGCTGTGTGTAGCTGTGTGTCTCTGTGTGGGGCATTCGGCATTGTGGGCGCAGGCTGGCGCAGGCTTGGCGCAGGCTGGCGCATAAGGGCGCGTAAGGCCTGGATCGGCTATTAAAGATTCTAGAGAGGCGCCGCTCGATCTCTTCTCTGCTCTGTTCTGGCCAAACTCCTACTTCTCCTCCCCACGCCTACCCACCATTCACTCCTCCTTGCGACGGTCCTTCTCGTCGACCTCGCTCGGATCCAAGATGGCCGCCTTCAACACCTACTTGTCAGTTGCCCACTTCCCTCCCCCACCTCGGGTACTCGTCCGGACCGAGTTCCCGACGTCATCCCACCGCCGCGACGATGGCCCACACCCATCCCGCTGTCTCAAGAGACGAGCAGCGCAGGCCATCATCTCCTTTCCTCCGTAGCACTGACCTATCCCTACTCCTCGTCCTCGTCCTCCAGTTCAGGCAACCCTTTGAACCGCTTATCGTACCTGCGGTCCTCACCGGCGTTCCTCGCCTCCGCGCTCTCCTCCCCCAAAGCCCGATTCCTCCTCTACGACCAACTATCGCCCCTCCTCACCTCCATCCAACAGACCGAACGTCACCTCCACCTTCTCTCATGGGACGACGTCAAGGCCCATATAGGTGAACCTCAACACATCTTCAAAGGTGTCGATGGCAAGGACCAGGAGGCGTTGAGGCGTATCGTACGACAAGACGGCAAGGTCGAGGCTGCCGATCAGGGTGATGTTCCGTACTACATCTCTCGGGTACTTTTCGTTTTCCGGAAAGTCATCTCTGCGTAAGCTGACCTTCTCTACACGACCGTTCTCTTCCTTCCAGCCCGCCCTCGTCTTTTTAGGAGTCGACGAACGCGACGCCCCGGCCTCCGCCAAATCCCTCCCCCTCTCCAAACCCACCGAAGAATCGACCCTCGAATCCCACAGCCCCCACGGAATTCCTTACTGGAGTCTCGACGTATCCAACAACGCCGAGTTGAGAGAATCCGCTCTGGCTCAAGCCAAAGGGCTCGAGTTTGGCGACTTGAGGTCGGGGATGGCGTCGATCCCGGCTCCGGAGGCTTCGATTGCGGCGCAGGGGAGGGCCATGACGGATTGGAATACTCGGAACGTATACTGTCAGTTGGTGACCAACAGTTTACCGGCTCCGTTGAACCGGACTGACCCAGCTTCCCCATTCGAATGCCCATCGCCTTATAGGCCCCTCATGCTCCCGACCGGTCAAGAGCGTCTGGGCCGGCTGGAAACGAACGTGCATCCCCTCCCCCTCCTCACCCTCGACCTGCGCATCCAAAAAGGGCGTTCACAACTATTGCTACCCCCGCACGGACCCCGTTGTCATCATGGGTGTGGTCAGTCCCGATGGGGAGAGCATCCTTTTGGGCCGACAAAAGAGTTGGCCGAGAGGGTTTTATTCGGCTTTGGCAGGCTTCAGTACGTCACCTTCTTCCCTTCTTCCTCCTTGGAGAAAACCAATCCCAAATCTCCTGAACTCTTCGCTTCAACCTTTTTTTTAATTTTTTTTTAAAAAAACACGCACAGTTGAATCGGGGGAAACGTTCGAAGAAGCCGTCGCGCGCGAAGTTTACGAAGAAGCCGGGATCGAAGTCGAGCACGTCAAGTTCGTCGCGAACCAGGTGTGGCCGTTCCCTTCGAGCTTGATGATGGGTGGGATCGCCAAGGCCAAGAAGGGGTATGAGATTAGATTGGATTTGGATAACGAGTTGGAAGGTACGCTTTGGGAAGGGTGATGGGTGTCAAGGAAGCGCCGTGCGGGAAAAAAAATCTTACTCACTTCACTTATTCACCTTTAGACGCGAGGTTCTTCACTCGCGCCCAAGTCCTGCACGTCATCGAAGCGAGTGGACCTTCACATTTCACCAAGGAGGAAATCAAACAGATCGATCAACAGGTCCAGCAACGCGCGCCGAGGTCGAGGAGTCTGAGTCCTGGAAGAGGGGGAAGACCGGCTTTTAGGATGCCGCCTAGGTGAGTGTAGGGAAACGTCGAGCGGCGGAGTTGGCAAGTGCGGCGTTTCTTTCCGAGCTGATAGAAGCGGGTATTCATCTTCTGCAGTACCGCGATCGCGAACACGCTCATCACCGCTTGGGCGACCAACACCTGGTCCGATGCGCAGCCCCAAGTCCAAGGGACCGAACAGGCAGGGAACGCTGGAGCAGGCAAGCTCTGATATCTGATCGATGCAAAGCTCACGCGCTCACGGATCAAGAGATACCTTCTTGGGAGGTTGTACGAAAATGGACGAGATGGAATTGTCATACAGTAAGGGACATGAACGAGGGTGGAGTGAGGGGTGGTCATGCTATGTACTATGCGAGCGAAAGGAAGAAACGAAAGAAGATACAGGAAAAGTGTCTTTCAAAAAGACGCGTAAAGAAATTGCGGATGCGAGCAAAAGGATAGGTGGTCGTAGCTTATGGGGTAGGAGAGTAAACAAAGGTGGACTGATGGATGGATGGATGGGAAAAGGAGGAATACAACAGGTGAAAAAACAAAGACGCAAGGCGGTAGATCGGGGTGAGGGAAGAGGTAGAAAGACTAAAAGGATGCTCTGTCGCCCATTCGTTCACTCGTCCGGGGCAATGGTGAAGGGTTGTGAGAGTCGGAAAGGAGCCTCGCGCGGAACTGATTCCCATTCGCCCCTTCGACGGACTAATCGAATGCCGTCATAGAAGACGACGAAGCGGAAGAGAGGGCTTCGGGCGAACGTTCAGGGGCCAGGGCCGTGTCGATGGCGAAGGGAATCGAAGCGGCCGAGGCGATGTGCGATGCGAGCGAAGGGACGACGGGCTTCGAACTGCGGCTTGCTCTGTGCGCTCGGGTCGGGGACGTTCGATTCCTCGACGAGGTCCGCGAGCTAGGAGGCGACGACTCTGGTGTGCGATGCGCCGAAGCAGTTGAGTGGGCAGAGTCCGAGATTGCCGAGACCGAGGTGATGTGTTGCAGCTGCAAAGACGAGGAATACCTCGGAAGCGGCTCGGCCACCGCGGTAGAGTTTCGATCGAGGTAGACGGGAACAAATACGAGTCGAGGTCGCGACGATGGCGACGACGAATTTGCGATTCCTGAGCCTTGTTGAGCGAACATTACCGGAAGCGTGTTGGCGCGGGTCGGCCTCGTTGACGGCGACGGGAAGGAGGACCGGCGTCGTTCACGGTATGCGACGTATCGGCCTTCTGTCGTGTGGGACCTCTTTCTTCGTCCACTCTCCTCGTCAGATTGACCTCCTCGCAAGCCCTTGAAGGCAGATGACGATGTGATGGATTCCGCATCGTACCGGCCTTGCTCCTTTCGGATGCCGAGGGGTTCCCCATTCTCGATCTCCTGGAGCCAAAGCTTCTGCTTGACGAGCGTCGAATGGTAGTCCCACGTCACGATTGTCCCAAACGTCCTCAAAGCCACGGCAATAATGGATCCGAGAATGAGTGCCACCATCCCTCCTCGCCAGTGTTCCTCGCACGCCTCGATGCCAAAGTTGAGGAGCTCGATGCCGAGCCCTTCGGGGCCGACTCGGGATTCGGATTCCCACAACTTGAGCGTCGAGACGGAGGCGAACTCGCCCGAGGTCAGGGCGCTGCAGAGGAACGACGAAAAAGGTTCGGACAAGGTCGGGGAGAAGGTGACGAGGAGGAATACGAGCAGAAGCACGATCGTGCACACGAGGTCGAACGAGGTTCCGACGGCAAAGACTCTGACTAAAGGGGCTCGTCTCTGTGCAAGACCGAACGCACGAGGGGGTGTTTCGTCAGCACAGACATTTCTCTACGGAAAAAAATGGAGCAACCGTGATGACGTTGACTCACCGTCAGAATCCCCGCTACGCCAACGGCCGAAGTCATGGCCGAGATGGTCGTCCAGCGCCACGCGAGGTGCGCGAGCGTGTACCGGATCGTGCCCGTCTGGGAGTAGTTGATCGAATGGCGATCCATCATCGCAAGCGCACAGTAAGCGCCGATCGCCAAACCACTCGACAGGAGGAGCGATGACCCCGAGATGAGCAGAGTGGAGGCTCGTTGGGATGTGCTGCTTGTGCGACGATAGGTGCTACTGCTGCTGGCATGACTCGACGAGTTGCTGGCGCTGCCGCTTACTGCTGCTGCCGCCGGGCTCGGCCTGGTTGACGTCGAGCTCGAGCTAGTTGTCAATGCCGGAGGCGAGGCTCTGGAACGTGGTTCGGCGATGCAAGCCATGGTCGTCCTGCACCAACCCAGACCGTCCCAGTTCGTATACGAGTCGAATCAGAGCGTTGGTTTGAGGGGAAGAGGTCGATTTCGCCCGGCTGATGAGGTCGCGGTGGATAGGACAAGAGGCTCGGGCTTTCTGCGTAGTGTCTGTCGTTCGACCCCCGAGCTCGAGTCGCGCGCCGGGAACAAAGCGCCTCCCGTAGATTAGTAACTGTCTTGAGTCACGAGTTCATTTTCCGTTCTCCCCGATCAGCAATCTAGGCCCTCTGAATCGCTCGAGAGGCAAGTTGACATCGGCGGTCTAATGCACTCACCAGCACCTAAAAGCTGTCGCTTCGAAGAAGGGATGGCTGAGGTTGAAGAGGAAGAAGAAAAAATCAAGGACTGAACAAGTGCGTCACACGACCGAACCCTGTACAAGCCTTTCTGGTCATCGAGGCTTGGAAAGCAAAGCTCGGTGTCGATTACGTAGCCAAGTGAGCATCAGCTCGCGCGTCCCTGCCGGACGGCGGGGGCTGCCTGCCTGAGCAGTGAGGGGGGGGCTCGGCATGATCGTATCAGCCTTGCAGCACGACGTCAGCAGATCTGAGCGGTACCCAGTGTACTACCCACCCCTAGTGCATAGCACTCTTGCAAATGGAGGACTACCTGCCTGTTCTTTCGTCTTTTTTTCTTTTCTCAATAGCTAGCTCTGTTTTCCAGAGTTGGGAAATGAAACAAGACCCCGACACGCATCGACGCGGCATCGTCCTTGACGATCGCATCAGCTCACATCGACCGCTACCGAGCTCCGAGCTCCGAGGCGCCGCGCCAGCTTTGGCAACTCAGCAAGAAACGAGCAGTGTGATATGATGCGACATGGTTCATGACAACGCTTGATCGGGAAGATAATGATTTCACGACATATCTTTGCTCTAAACACATGCACCTCAGAAATTCTGCGAGTTCATAAATTCGCGCTTTAGGCCCTAGCTTCCGTGAGCGGGTATTCGAACTTGTTTCCTGAGCAACGACAAAGCCGATCGAGAGAGAAGTCAGCGTTTCTCCCCAAAACGAGAGCGGCGAAGATCGGAAGCAAAGTGGGAAATGCTCCCCCAATGCTCCCTTATCCTCCCTTTATGAAGAATAAGACATCACGTACCCTTCTTGCGCCAACGCTTTTGCCTGATCGCAAGCAAGCAAGAGCCAAGGATGTCAGCCATTCGAGTCGAGACGCGATGTGAAGGGTGCGCGACGATTTCGACCGCTGTTCGCCAGGGATGAACGACAGTTTTGTTCGTGAGCCCAACTCACTTCTTCTTGGTCGTCACGTGCTCGGTCCACACCTCGACGCAATGCTCGGATTTGTATTTGCGAATGAACGAAGGATCCCTGGAGGAAAGGTTGGAAGAGAGACGAGCAAGCGCGCCCTCGGAAGTGTCAGGTTTCTCCGCAGGTCCCCGAGCAACCAGAACTCGATATAGCCCAGTGAGATGCGCGGCTTACCATAGCTCGCTAGCAATGCCGAGGTCCTTGCAACAACGCATGAGGGCGTTAGATTTACACCCCTCGGTCGCGGTCGCCAAACCCGACGGGTCGAAATAGGCTTGTTCTCCACGAGCGACCGAGACGAGGCTGGAGAAGAGTTTCCGGCTTCCACGCATCAGTCATTGTGTTCGCCTAAATCACGTTATGTTAAGTGTTCGGAGCATCTCAAGACTGACCGTCCACCGGCGACGAGGCCCCATTCGCGCGAGACCATCCTGTTCATGACGGTCAATTCGCCGCGGGGTACCATACCCCATCCACCGGGTCCGAGGGCTTGGTTGAGGAATCGACGGTAGAGAATCTCGGGGAGGTACAAAAGACCGTCTGTAGTGAGGGACTTGATAATCAGCTCGGATCCGAGTGAGATGCCCAAGTTCATCTCCGGGGCAGGTGAATGAGACATCCTTCATTACTGTCTCAGCACGACGAGAGTCGAAACTGACCAGGCTTGATCTCGACCTCATGAACCTCGAGCGGCCTCATCAACACCTTGGCGGCCTTCTCCGAAAAAGGTTGCGCCGACATCCCGTGGAACGAGGTCGTCCAATCGATGTCCCTCGCTTGATCGCCGATGGCGCCGAAGGAAGAAGCAGCAGGGGCGGAAGGGATCATCGAGTCGAGCGCCGAGGTCGAGATGGGAATACTGGTGCTTGAGGGGATGGCATTGTTGGAAGGGAGGGTCGAGGATCCGAAGGAGGAGGAAGAGGAAAATCCAGCTGACGAGGTGGAGCTTGAGGGCGACGCGACGCGTTCGGCAGAAGGGACGGCAGGTCCATCGAGCATCATTTCCCCGATATCAATGTGCGAATCAAAGAACGCATCAGGGCTCGAAGACGAGTCGGCTGCGACGGGTGTAGGGACAGCACTCGAAGCGGCAGTCGCATTTGGAGCAGCAGCCGGAGCAGGGGTAGTGGCGGCGGCTGTCTTGGCCGATGCTCGGACGTACGGGCGTCGAGCAGGGGCACCGGTCGAGGCCGTCGAGGCCGATCGAGCATGCAAGAGACCCCGTTGGAGCGCCCTTCTAGCCAGGTGACTTGTAGGCATGGTGTATGCTCGGGGAACCGATTCGATGGGTGCGAGTCGGGGCGAGGTGGGGAGCGAGCGAAGGGAGGCGAGACGATACCGCACGCGGTCCCTGCGCTCGGGTGCTCGGGTCACGAACGGGCTAATTATAATCAATCGACGATTCCGACATACATAATTTCGTTGCAAGCGATCAAGCGGTATTCAACCTGATCCTCCGCTGGTACGTATTTTGGGCTCAATGTACACAACCTGAATCAGACTAGAAAGTGCGGCCATCTGCGCAGCTTGTGCACTGAAAATCCTCCGCTGCTTTCGGTGATCGAGTCCAGCCTCAGCGCCTCAGCGCCGACATCGCAGGCCGCCGAAGCACCACAGACAGCCACAGACAGCCAGAGCTCCAGAGACTTCGCAGCCGTCACCGTCGGCGCGATCGGCGAACCCGTTCGTTCCACCCTTCGCACTCTCCACCACCGCCGCACCACGCGAGCGCACCCACACACCGTTCTCCGTCAACGATGTCGACCGTGCCCAAGTTGGACCTCTCGGGCATCCGCAACAAGGTCGTGCGTGGTCAACTGCTCGCCAAGCAGAAGCGCGACAAGGCGCAGGCCAAGCTGAAGCGTCGTATCGCGAGGAAGGAGGCCGAGAATCGAGGGGAGGAGGTGGAGAAAGGTATGAAATGTTTATCTGTTGCTTAGCTTGGAGAGATTGCAGAAAGCTTACACTATATGAACTCCTCTGCATTCGCCGTGCGCCGTGCATCTCCTTGGACTTCCGTCCTGCATCGGGTTTCGGTCCCTCGTCTTGTTCCGATCGCTCTTCCCTCGTCCACAGGATGGACCCGTACGATTGAAAACACTCGTGAATGGCTCGGAGACTCGGAAGAATTCGCCGACGCACGCACACGTCCCGCGCCCGTCAAAGTCGACGACGCAACAGGAGACGTCACCGTCGACCTCGGCACACTAGCAACCCTCTTCCCGGCCTCGACGGCCGCTCCTCACGTCGAAGGGCAACCCGTTCCTAGGGAACCCAAGATGTTGATTACGACCAGTCCGGGAAAACCCCCGGCACCGTTTACGAGGGATTTCTTGGCCGATTTGCAGGCTTTGATGGGGGGCAAGAGTAGGGCCGATATCGTGCCTCGCAAGAGTCCAAAGTTCGAACTCGGTCGAGTCGCTCGATGGGCTCGTAAACGTGGGTACGGGGCCATCGCCGTCGTAGGTGAAGATCATGCCAAACCGACGACCTTGACACTGTCGTTGTTACCCCATGGTCCGACGGCACATTTCCGTCTCACGGGAATCACCTTGGGCAAGGACATTCCGGGCCACGCGAAATCGACGTCCCACCCACCCGAATTGGTCCTCAACCACTTCTCCACCCCCTTGGGTCTTTCCCTCGCTTCCTTACTCTCCCACCTCTTCCTGCCTCCTTCCGCCGCCGACCTGCTAGCTCGACAAGGTTACCAAGGTCGTCAAGTCGTGCTCGCGCAAAACTCGCGCGACTTCGTCTTCATCCGAAGGTATCGCTACATGTTCGCACTCAAGGGGGAACGGTTGGGCAGTAAGAAGAAAGTCGGGTTGGAGAGGCAACAACCTGAGGATCAGGAGGAGGACGATACGATCAAGACGAGGTTCCAGGAGATTGGGCCGAGGATGACGGTCAAGATGAGGTGGATTAGGAGGGGGGCTTTGGGGGAGACGGGGGATGAGAGGAGTGAGAGGGAGAGGAATGAGAAAGCTGCTGGGGTGGGCGAAGGGGAAGGCACGTTCGGGGAAGTTGCGCAGGGTGAGGATCCGGAATTGGGAGAGGTTGGGGGGTCGGGCAGCAGGAGGAATAAGGGCAAGGGAAGGGCTGGGGATGATAACGAGGAGGATGAGGAGGACGAGGAGGAGCAAGAAGCCGAGGCAGCTCGAGCGATCGGTTTAGGGGAAGGTGAGGATGCGGGAACACTGTCCATCGATCCTGAAACGGGTGCAGCAAGGTCCCAAGCCAAAGACATCGACATGGCCGACGGGGAAAGCGCGCCGACCGAAGCCCCTCGGAAGAAGAAACGACCTCGCACGACCCCTCGCAAGCGCTCGAAACCTTTCCACCCCCTCTTGCGACCTCGCGCCAACTCGGCCTCACCACCACCGGGGGAACTAGCCGAACCGGGGCCAATCCCTCTTCCGCCCAAGAATGGGAAGAAGAAGGACGCGAATAATGCGAGCGTGTTGAGTTCGGTCGGCAAGACGTGGCATGCTGGGCGAGGCGAGGGAGGTGTGAGGGAGGCCAAGAAGCGGCAGGAATGGGGATGGGAGGTGAGTGGCCTGGGGCCTTTCTTTATCTGTTGGTGTTTTATGTTCCCGCTTGCTGATACCTCACTCGTCTTTCTCAGGCCAAAATGCAAGTCAGCCGTCGCAAGTTCTTCCTGTGATCAGCTCGTTCGGGCGCTCTGGGCAGCGAACTTTCCTCGGATTCTGGGTGCGCAGTCGGAGTTCTCTACCGTGTCCTCTCTTTTCTCTTTTGCAATCGATTAGCATGCTTTTCATTCGAGTCACCGCAAAATCAAAGATGTTGCGGTCTGGGCTTGCAAGGCGCACTCATCCGTATCTCGGCCACTTCTAGTGGGATTTTCCCGACCTTCGTCCCGAAAGCAGTCCCGGCGCAACATGGCGCCAAGCACCATTCGACGAATCTTTCTCTCTCGGGCCAAATTCGTGCAGACAAATAGCACCCTTCCAGGGTCTTGCAGGATTCACAATCTCGTTCCACCCCCCCGTTGACGATCCCTCGGCTGTCGCACACTGAACTACTCGAACCTTCTCTCCTCTCCTCTGGAGCAAGCGCAGCCTTCTCCTCCCTCCGTTCCGGTACGGATCGATCGACATTCAATCCTTCTTGCCCTATAAAGGTTCCAGATTGAACGGCGCAGAGATAACAGGTACGGGTCAGTCGCTGATACGACGATGCCCGTTACGAGTCAAAACGCACCCTCATCATGTTGAAGGTCCCCCTGGCGATGCCGACGGTGCCGATGGTGAACAAGGTGAGGAACGCACCTGCACCAGACGCGAGCAAGATGAGAGTGCATGTTTTGATCAGCGGTGGAGTTGATGTGAGAGTAGCAGGCCTGTGCTGGGTTCGGTCTGGGCACGCACCCAGGTAGAGACGAGCGCGGGGCATTTTTTGGTACACCGGTCGCGGGTCGGCCTGAGTGATCGTTAGCGAAGAGTCGAACGATCAGTACACGGATTCGTCGGAGAGAGCGGAGATGGACAAGCGGGGAGGATCTCGGCGTACCTGCAGAGCGGCTTGACGGGCGTGGATCGTGTTGGGGCGGTTCACGAGCGAGTCCACTGCGCGGGGCAAGAGGCGACGCAACAAATGATACGAGAATGTTGCATCGATCGGATCGCGTACGAGTGATGGTGGGTCATGGTTGGTGAGGGAAGGGTGGGCGTCGTCGATTGTACCGTGGATGCAGCCGGCGGGAAGCGGGACAAGTCGCAGGTGGAGGACGGAGGGGCGAGAAGCGGGTAAGGAGGGAGGACCCTTGATCAGCTCGAGTCAAAGACGGTAGCGTAGCTCGAGAGTGGACATACTGGTGATTGAGCTGGTGTGAGCTGGTGTGAGCTGGTGTGAGCTGGTGTGAGCTGGTGTGAGCTGGTGTGGGATAGGACACTGTAGGCACAACGCGAAAGGGGCGAGAGGCGGGCGCGAGTGACTAGTGACTAGCCAGAACCTGCCAGAACTGGCCCGTAGCAGCCCGTAGCCCGTCAGAGCCCGTCGGCCGTGCGGAATCGGCAAGAATAGGCAAGAACGCGCGCTGACTGCGCGCTGACTGCGCGGGCGAGCTCGGGCGCGCGACACGGGAGGACACGCGGGGGAAAACCCAATTCTGATTACCTGCCCCAAAGTATTAGCTAGCCCGAGTCTAGCCCGTTTGTAATCTTTTGTAATCGCTCAACTCACCGGCTCGACGCCCAGGCTCGGAACGGTCTCTCTCCCTGCCCCACTCCCCCCCCCCACCACCACCTCATCTCACGTCCTCCACCCTTGACACCGATTCACCCAGTGTGAATCATGTCGACAGCTCATCGACCAACATGGGATCCGGCGCAGGGCAAGGACAGTCGACTCAACTCGCGCGTCTACTCGAGTCGTGATCTCGCGGCCCATACTCGGCTCAAGTTCCGTCAGGTCAGTCCATCACCGCACCCTGGGACGACACACGCGGGGGGGGGGCATCTTTCCGAATCATAGCCTTTGTCAACGTCCTTCGAGGAGCGAGGAGACGGCAAGCGCTTGAGGAGCCGGGCTTTGAACGTGGCTGGCTCCGGCTCCGCACTACCCTCCTCTTCCCGTTTTCCATCTCGATCTCGATCTCGTGCGCGTACGCCCGGTAACCTCTCCAAGCAACACAACTCACCCATCCGATCCCACCCCCACAGCCCGGCCAAGGCAACCAGACCGACGTCGCCCGTCGAGACCTCAAGCTCGAACTGCTCGCGGCCGAACGCGAATCCTCGGACCGCAAAGCCAAAGGCCACGCCGGCTACGTAGCCGACCGACCACTCTTGTTGCTCGAGGACCAGGCGCAGCAACGAAACGAAACGGACGAGGCGAACAAGCGGCGTAGGGTCTTGGCTGATCTGGCCAAGCTGGATCGGGATGATGATGATGACGACGACGACGACGACGATGATGACGAGGAGCGACCCAAGGATAAGGGCAAGGGCAAGGCCGTCGAGGATGACGACGAGCGCGATGACGACGACGACGATGAGGAGAGTGATAGCGATGATGACGACGAGGACGAGACGGCCGAGTTGCTGAGGGAACTCGAAAAGATCAAACGGGAAAGGGCCGAGGAGAAGGAGCGACTGGTCAGTTCCCATCACTCGCGGCGCAACAGCCCTCACTCCTCTCTGCCACTTCATTACCCGTTGTGTACTGAGTCGCCCTTCTCGTACCTTGCATAGGAGCGTGAACGAGCAGCGAACGAGTCAACGACCCGCGAGGAAGAAATCGCCGTCGGAAAGTAGGTTGGCCGCGACCACATCGGACCGAGTGCTGGGTCCAGAACCCAGACCCTGACCCTTGTCTCCGCGTTCTCCCGCAGCCCCTTGTTGAACCTGCAAGCTGCACTCGGTGCCTCACCGACACCTTCGGCCATGTCGACCTCGACGAGCGCCTCGACGTTCGGCGTCAAGCGGCGCTGGGACGACGACCTCATCTTCAAGAACCAAGCACGGGACACGAACGAGACGCCCAAAGCAGAATTTGTCAATGACCTGCTTCGCACGGTCAGTTTGGCGTGCACTATCGCGATGGGCGTGTTCGCGAACGTGCCGTGGCTGATTCTTTCTCCTGGCTGGGGAGCGCTCCCAATCTCACAGAACTATCATCGCCGCTTCATGAAGCGTCATGTCGGTTAAAAGGATTTGATCTCGGAGCTTTGTTGTTCTCTCTGGGAAGTGTGGATCCACCACAGTGCAGGAGGAATGGGATCCTTGGCCAGATTCACAGAGGTCGTTGGATTGCCGAGCAAGTGTCCCGGTCCGCGATGTAATATACACAACAACTGTACACGCGAGAAAGGTTGACATGATAGGGAGCAGTACTTTTGTACAAAACTGGAGGTCGCTTCAAGGGCGTCCTTTTGCGATGCCAATCCTTTGCAATTCGCCAGTTGACTCGATCAGCCTTCGCCGTCGCTTTGATGTCCGGCTCCTCGCGGCTCGGGCCGAGTCGAGTCGGTTACCGCGCACTTCGCTCTCGCGCGCTCGTCTTGCTCCGGCCATCCACGTATCGCGGCTCACCATGTCCGATCCGACGAGTGCGTCGCTGAGCCGACCGCGCCGATGCTCTCCAGCGATACTGACCCACCTACCCCACCTCCCGCAGTCCGAATCTTCCCCCCTGGAGCTCCTCCCGCCGCGGCGTCGAACCGGTTCGCGGCGTTGATTCCTTCGCAGTCGATCGCGGTCGTGTCGTCCTTTACTCTCGAGTCTGGCGTTACTCTGGAACAGGTCCCTGTTGGTTTCAGGACATGGGGAAAACTGAATGCCGAGTGGGTCGTTCTCTCTGGCTCTGTGGGGCTGTGATTGCCTCGACCGGCGAGCATTGTCGAGTCAACGAGGAGCTAGGCTCGCTGAGCTGCAGTGTCCCCGCGGTATCCTGACTCTGAACGATTCGTATCTTGCAGGAAGGACAATGTCATGATCCTCTGCCATGCTCTGACCGGCAGCAGTGATGTCGAAGACTGGTATGGTATCCGCTGCAACATGTTTCCTCGACGCTCTCCTCTCGACCGGTGGAAACCCCTCAAGCCCAGCACTAACGTGCCACGAGGACTCTCTTTACAGGTGGGGACCTCTGCTCGGTCCGAATCTCGCCTTCGACCCCACACGCTACTTCATCTTTTGCGCCAACGTCCTCGGATCTCCTTACGGCACGGCCTCCCCTACGACCAAGAACCCCCACCGCGACGACGGAGGGAGATGGGGCCCCGAATTCCCCGCAACCGTGGTACGCGACGACGTGCGCCTGCAAAAATTGCTTTTGGACCATTTGGGTGTCGCTCGTGTTTCGGTCGTCATTGGCGGTTCGATGGGGGGTATGCAGTGCCTCGAATGGCCGTTGTGTACCCCACCGGGTTACGTCTCCAATATTTGTCCCGTCGCGACGAGCGCTCGTCATTCCGCTTGGGGCATCTCCTGGGGTGAGGCGCAACGGCAAAGCATCTACTCGGACCCCGATTACCAAGCGGGCTGGTACGCCGAGGATGGGGAAGGTCCTGAGAGGGGTTTAGCAGCAGCGAGGATGGCCGCGTTGTTGACCTATCGATCGCGCGATTCATTCGAGTCTCGCTTCGGGAGGAAGGAGAACCCCTCCACGCCTAGGGAGGGCTCACCCAAGATCGATGGGGCGAGCGGTTTGGGAAGGGGCAAAATCACGGATGCTTGGGGGACGCCGAGAACGCAGGCTGAAAGAGCTGAAGCGGCGCATAACGATGGGCATCGTCCGACGGTTGCGACCAGGCCGGCGTCACCTACTTCGAGATCACCTTCGACGATGGGACCTCGGACGAAAGGCGGAGACTTGCCCTTGACTGAATCGGGCGAGCCTTTGCCTCCTCCTTCGCCACCTCCGATCTTCAGCGCCCAATCCTACCTCCGTTACCAAGGCGACAAGTTCGTGCGTCGGTTCGACGCCAACTGCTACATCCACCTCACGCGCAAAATGGACGCCCATGACGTAGGCCGAGGTCGACCCTCCAACCCACCACCCTTGTCGCTCGCTCCACCAGGAGCTCTCGTGATCGCCATCTCGACCGATGGGCTCTTCACCCTTTCCGAACAACAAGAGCTCGCCTCAGCACTCCCCGAAGCCGATCTCATCGTCGTCGATTCCCCCGATGGGCATGATGGGTTCTTGCTCGAGTTTGAACAGATCAATAGCCACATTTCGAGGTTCCTCAAGTTGCGTTTGCCGGAGATTTACGAGCGTGAACCTATTGCACCTGTCGATGAAACCGAGGGCGCAAATGGATCAAACGGGTTCCAGGTGCAACATACATCTTTGTTTGGCGAGGCTGAGGCCGGTGATATCACGAGGTGGTAGAGCACCCGCTTTCCTTCTTCCACCTTCTTGTTTTTTCTTGTTTCCCTTTCGCTCCGGTCCGTTTTCCTCAAGTCATGTCCAACCATGACATTTACCCCGTTGTGTTATAGTGTTACCTTTGTCTTCTTGTCGCTATAGCAACCCGCATCCCCAATCGCAATTCCAACATTGTCGTCATCAACCCCCATGCTGCGGGCCGCAGTGCTCTCAAAACCATGTTCCTGTTCAGTTGGTTCGTGTGGACAGGTGTGTCGCTGATGTAATGGCTCAACACGGTCAAGAGAATCCCAGTCATATGAAAATTAGGTTTGGTCTCCCCTTAGTAGCCCCCAGAAAATTGCTACGGTACAAGTCGTTCAGATTACCCCCACAAGGTCCGACGGTCCCTGATTTGTGATCCTGCACGTCCCCATCGTCTCCCCCGCCCGGGTGTTGTTGTTGTTCGACTTTGCTTGTTGTTACTGTTGTTGGTGTTGCTGATGACCGCCCTCACCTTCCCCATGACCACCTTGTTCGCTGCCTTTGCCACCGCCGTTGTTGTTGGCGTTCTGTCGGTTCTTGGCAGGACCCGGGTTCTTGATCCTTTCGTTCTTGTTTCCGTGGGTCTTGCCAGGTCCCTTTGGGTGAAGAATACCAGACCCCGCATCAATATCGCTGTAAGGACATATCACAAACTCAGACACAAAAACCTGAGCTCACCTTCTTGAAGTAGTGCTTCTTCCAACTGCCTTGCTCAATGACCGGACTCTCGGGGTAATCGCCGGTGACGAAGCGCTTCTTCTCGTCGGCGCTCAGGATCCAAGGCGCCTGAATCCGATGACTCGGTACGTTCGCCAACTCGGGTAACCACGTCTTGATGTACTTTCCCAAAGGGTCGTAATCATTCGCTTGCTTGATCGGGTTGAACTGCCTCGACGCGCGAGGGTCGTTACCGACCCCACCAACGTACTGCCAATTACCGTAATTGGCCGTCGGCTCGTAGTCGATCAGATGCGATTCGAAGAATTCGGCCCCGAGACGCCAATCGACTTGAAGGTCCTTGGTCAGGAACGAAGCGACGTTTTGCCGACCTCGGTTCGACATGAAGCCCGAGCCTCGGAGTTCGGCCATGTTGGCGTCGATGAAAGGGACGCCCGTACGTCCTTCGAGCCAACGAATCGCCGGTTGATCACGGGGACTGTCGCTGTCAAGACCTTTCCACCATCCGGGCTTGGTCTTGATCTGCGCTTGCTTGGGGTCCGTCACGGACTCGAAGCCACCGAGCGTGAAGAGCTTGGAGCCGTACTTGCGCGAGATGAACATGAAGTAGTCGCGCCACAGGATCTCGAAGCGGACCCAGTATGTGTTTTGCGACGAACCGAACTTGGCCTCGTGTTCGTCGAGCGACTGCATCACCAGACGGGGGGACAGCATGCCAAAGCACAAGAAGGGCGAGAACTTGGTGCTGTACTCGTGGCCCAACAAGCCGTTGCGGGTCTCTTTGTAGCGCGCAACGGGGGGAGGCTTGCCTTGGTGGAAGTACCAGTCCATGCGTTTCAGCGCCGACGTCTCACCACCTGCAAAGGGAAACGCGCTCTTGTCCGAGGGTGTGTGTGACGGTGCAGAGTACGCCGTCGCCGAGGAGCTATCGAGTGGCTTGAGCAAGTGCGGCAGGACCGCATCAACGGTGTTGCTCTTGTCGAACTTGTCGCCGTACCCGGGGAACGGCGCCGAGTTCTTTTCCAGTGCCGGGAACGGCTTGAACTTGCTCGGCATCTCGAGCGGTGCGCGTCCGAGCTGTCCAAGACCCTCAACACGCTTGCGGAAGGGCGTGAAGACGTCGGGGCACTCCTGGATTGAGAACGGAAGATCGCGGACGTCCAGAAGAGGGGAGGTATCAAAGGTCTGCACCTGCACGCTGTTCTTGCCGAGGAGCTTGGCCGTTCGTCGCTCGACTGCCAATTCTTCCGTGCAAAACTAACGGGCACAAGAGGGGGTGATCGCAAGATGAGCATCTACTCTGAACTATGCTTGGTGGCACATCAATCATGATTTAAGACTGACCTCTTTCTGCATCAACACCTTCTTGACTTCTGCGCCATCGTCCTGCAGCGACTGCACGATCTGCGCGATGACGTGTTCGGTCTGTCCAAAGCGCACGAGCAAATCCGAGTTGCGCTGCTGCAACGACTGTTTGAGGTCGTACACGGCTTCGGTGATGAACCTGCGGTAGAAATAAGATTAGATTCTCAGTCCAGATGCTCGGTCACCATGGATCGTGAGGCGATTTGAGACTTTTGACATCGGCATCGCTGGGCATCGCCGATGACTGAATCGAGAGCGCAGTGTTTGCGGATCGCAATTGCCGAGAAGGACATGGCTCGCATATGCTCGCACTCGATGTCCTCTGTGGCGCATGATGCTCACGGGTGTGAACACCGATTCCTACTCCGTACATCACGCAGTTGATTCTCACTGACTTTGCTCTGTAGACGCCTGTTCTCCAAAACTTGTAAATTCGGGTGCGCGCCTCGGGTCCCTGTCGCTGATAGTCAGGGAGCGCCGAAAGCTCGATCTGGCGCTCATCGAAGACGTAGAGCGGCAACAAATGCGTCACCTCGGTGTTGTTTTGCGAGTGGGCGGCATGGAACAGTGCTTGGTCGTGGATCCTGTCGGAGTAATTTCGTTGTGAAAGCTGTATCAGCTCCGAGAGAAAGGTTTTGCGCAGGTGGCGATGCGCCGACCTCCGAAAGCTCGGGCGTCGACGCGATGAGCTGCAGCTCGCCGTGTCGGACGAGGCAAGCGACGTCTCGTTCCCATAAGGAGCTGATAGGGGACGACAAACGGCACTCACCGCAAGTCATTGCGCATCAAAGCGACAATCACTTTTCTCGCCATCTTGTGCGGTCCTGCCGGGGTCGGAGCTGTTGTTGTGTAGTGACGAGCTCCTCGTGAAGCAGGCAAGCAACGGACCAGTGGTCGACCGCTTGCGAAGACGGATCGGAGAGCGAACGTCGTGTTACGTGGTGATCGATTTCGAGATTAGGTGGTGGTCGGAAAAAGCTGGTTCCTCTGGCTTGGTGTGGACCAAGAGAAAGAGTGCTGCCGAGTGGGCAGGCACACCAGTAACCGCTTGCCCCGTCGGGTCGAGAGGGGTCGACAGCCCGCGATTCGCAGGGCACGCGCGCGCGATGAGATCGATGACCGGTGACCGCACAGCACAGCACAGGCTGCCTTGATAATCGCGCTGCGATCACTCGCAGACGATGCGGTCATAGAGGCCGATGGACACGTGACCTATTCGGGCTCTCATCGGATGTGAATTCGCCATGGCAGAGTTGTTCTTGACGTTGTTCGGTTCTTTTCGTGGCAAACAGTCAAGCAACATTAGCTCAGATCCGCTAGTCCTACCACGCCACTCCTGTCGAGCCACCACCCTGGACCCCTTCAGGAGTGCAAGTGATCGACCGGAGATCGGCGATGTGCGCTTATCTCCGAGGCTTGACGAATCAACCCCGGCCTGTGAGATGACCCCATTGCGGGTGACGTGCTACGACAGTGTCCATTCCTCAAATTATGGGTAACTGAACCACCTTTTTGCAATACACGTGCGGTGTGCCAGCCTGTAGGTCGTACAATCACTCGCGACAGAGCGCAGAGACACAAAAATTTAGTCCAATGCAATTCGCCAGTCCCTGCAGATCGCGATTGAGCTGTTGACGCACCTCCTCATAAGGCTCCCCTTCGATTTCGTATCCGAGCCGAGTGTAGAATGATATGGCGGGCAACTGTGACGAAACGTTGATCGTGCATTCGGACTTGTCTCGATTTTCCACTCCAGCTCGGCCTTCACGGCTCTTGAGGTGGTCCTCCAATCCCAACACCAGGATTCGTCCTGGAAGTTAGGGCCATTCGACGCGAAAGAATGTTTTCTGAGTTCGACGATCAATCTTGTTGTACAAGCTCGGGATCAAGACTCCACTCGGATCCGGCTGAACTAACCACCTCCAGTGCCGCGATACGCCTTGCTCACGGCGACCCGTCCCAATTTACACGTCGTCGCTATCCATCGGGCGACACCAGCAACCTCTCCCGTCTCCTTGTCGATGAGCAAGAGTTGATCCGAGACATCGTCCTTCCTGATGAATGGGTCAAAGGCCAGTGGCCGAACAGGCGTCAGCACTGCTCGCTCCACCGACGGGAACGATCCAGGGTGCATTGCAGGAATCACGTGGCTCTTTCAGGAGACTCACCCATCCCTCTCGATCAGTAACGAGTAGCCTTGTTCCACGCAGAAAACATTGTACCGCAGCGCAGTGGCCTTGGCCAACTCCTCGGGAGTTCGGGCGAGTCGGACCGAAAACTGCTTAGACCCGGATGATGTGGGTGTCACTGTCGAAGGAGCTGCCTCGTTGGCGGTCATCATAGACTTTGGGCTCGATTCTACAGTGTTCAGGTCCAACACCGTGTCGGATCGTTGCAGAGCCGGGCGGGTGGTGGTGGATGGGAGAGAGAGAGAGCGCGAGACGGGCGTCGCGCCGTCTTGAGGGAAGGGCCGAGGAGAGTATCACACTGCATGTGCCCATAAGCTCCCTTTAGTAGTCACTATGAGTCAAGCACTTCGCTCATCAACCCTTAAATTTGTCTCATCTGACACAGCCGAGTCTCAGCGAACCAAATTCCGTGGTCCTAGTGTGCACTACGTTGCAAGATAACTGGACAACGAAACCTCGAAGAAAGGATGCCGTCTACAACTTGAGCCTAACTCCACTCGGCCCTCCAGCGTCGTCGTCACCACCTTCAGACCGCTTCCTCTTCTTGCCGTTGACGGCCTCGACCTTTTCCCCCCCTTTACCCAATACCGTCACGCCCTTTTGGCCGACGAGCATCTGTGTCGCCATCTCCTTGTCCTTCTTGGCCCCCTTGGCCCCCTTGGACTCCTTGATCCTCTCGACTTGCTCGGCCATCGCGGCCCGGGCCTTGCGTCGCTTTTGTCGCGCTGCCTTCTTCTGCGCCGGGGTGAAGTCGCTACGGTCCTCGTTCGTCGGATCGGGTACGAACACTTCTTCGGGCGCCAACATGGAAGTCGCTGTTTGCGTGGGGGGTAGAGCTGACTCGAGGGATAGACTTGGCGCGTTGGTAATGGTCGAGATGGTCGATTTCGGGGGTTTGGGGGTGAAGCGCGCGTTCGACAGGGCGTCGAGTTTGGCCGCTAGGTCATCGAACAGCTCTTCAATATCTTGATGCTTGGCTTCGAGAGCGGCATCTATCTCGTGCACGACCTTCTCCCCCGTCTCCTTGGCCCTCGCCGATTGATAGTCGTCCTCGTAAATCTCAGCAAGCGACTTGTTCGACTTGGTATCTTGCAATTCCATGAAACGAGAGGGCAAGAAGGCGTGAGGGTCGACCGCTCTCCGTCGTTCGACATCGTCGAACTGATTATCGAGTATACGCTTCTTGATCAAATCTTCAATCGACTTGGTCGTTTCTTCCGTGATTACGGGCACGACCTTGCCCATGCGTTCAAATTCGAGATCCTCCTCGAGCAGACTGTTCGCCGGGCGATTGCGAGCTTGAGCTTCACCGAGCGTTGCCCATTTCTTCGGCCCAACGTTCTCAGCTTCGAGCGAGGCGATTTGAGACGAGAGTTGCAGCAACCGTCGCTCGTGTCGTGACAGTTTCTCACCTACAGGTAGCGAAGAGGTTAAGCTCCAGCACAGGACGACGGGAGTTGAGTCATGAATAACCCACCTTTGGACTCGCCCTCGACCTCGTCATCCTCGTCATCGTCAAAGAGCGAGGAAGAGACGCGTTGCATCGTCGCTTGTTCCTCCAACTGACTCTCTTCCTCTTCCTCTTCCTCTTCCTCATCCTCCTCATCCTCCTCTTCTTCGCGTTCCTCTCCTTCTTCATCCTCGTCCATCTCTCCATCGTCTCCACTTCCCTCCTCATCCTTATCGTCTTCCGCATTCTCTTCCATTCCCATCCCTCGCTCACTTTCTTTCAGCTGTTCGAACGCGATTACGGCCTTGTCATACCCTAACGCCTCGACCAACTTGGCGAACCGTCCCCCTCTTGACGGGATCAGCTTGACCTTGACCTTGTCCGCAAACTTGACCCGGTCAGTGCCCTTGTCCTTCCCCTTCCCAGCCGCGGCGTCCCCGTTCGTCGTCGGTATGGGGTTCGTGACGATGGTAATGGTAGAAGTCTTGACTTCGTTCGCTTTCCGCTTCCCCTTCTCCTTGGGCTTGTCATCTTCTGGCCCCGACCCTCCTCCCTTCTTGCCGTCCTTCTTACCGCCCAGAGGTCTCGACGGCGGATCGAAAAAGTCGGAATACATGATCCCCGCAACATCGAGATCCTCTTCCTCTTCATCCTCGTCTTCATCGTCCTCGTCTTTATCTGCGCTGTCGACAGGTGCAAAGAGGTCAAAGTCGTCCATTTGATCGTCCCCGTCGTCCGAGTCGGCTTCGCCTCGGATCATGCGGTCCATCTCGGCTTCGCCCTCGTCGACCTGTTGATGGAAGTCGTGGAGCGAGAAAAAGGCGTCGTCGACGGCCGAAGCGGGGCCGGTTCTATTCAATGAATGGGCACGTTAGTCGATACGAATTCGTCTCCAGCAAAATAGTCACTTCAACCCACCTTTTTGGGCCCTTGCTCTTCCTCCCCGGTCTATCAAAGTTCTCCAACGACAACTCTTTTGTCTCGTCCGCTTCGGGGTCCTCATCCTCCTCTTGTGCCTGTTCAGGGACATCGTTTTCCTCCCCTCCTCGAATGATGTAGGTATTGGGCCATCCCGGCGTAGGTTTGCCGATATCGGCTTCGAAAGGTTCCATCTCGACGAAACGCTCGACGGCGAGTTCATCCTCGGTGTCTTGGGATTCAGCATCATCGTCTTCTTCTTCCTCATCGTCCTCGTAGGATCCTTCACCATCGGAATCTTCTTCTTCTTCCTCGTCGTCGTCCCCTTCCTCTTCATCACTCCCCTCCCCCCGATCGTACTTGTCAAAAGCACTCATGTCGAAATCGTCCTCTCCCTCGATCCCCCCGTTCAAATCGTCCTCGTCCGAATCCTCGTCCTCCTCCTCACCTTCCTCTTCTTCCCTCCCTTCTCCACCAAACATCTCTTGCAGCACCTCATCGACGACCGAATTACGCATCTCGAGCTGTTCCCAGATCATCTCCGGTTCCATACCCTGAGTCGTCAATTCCGACAACGGCGTCGGAGGGAGGATCGTTTCCGCCTCAAGGCGCTCGGGTTCTTGGACGCCTGATGAACGAGACCTGGATCGGGTTGAAGGTGCGGAGGATGGGGCGAGGGAGGTGATGAGGGTCGAGAGATGAGGGAAGGCAGAGGCTTCCGACGTGAGGGCTAGGGGATGGAGGAGATGAGGGGGGTGAATTCGAGCGTGAGTTCACAACCTTCCTTGCCGTTTTGATGGGGGGTCAAAATATCGCCATCTCTATCGTGATCCGTCATATGCGCAATGTCACACCCAACCATTGCGAACCACTCCCGGTCAGAAAAGCGACTCGGACTCGGACCAGCCTGCGAAGTCATCCCCGACCCCTCTATTGTTGCGCTCTCAAACCGACGACACCCGTGGACCCGCGCACACTCACCTCGATCGAATCCCATCTTGAGCGCATCCTCGCACTTGGCTCTCAATTCGACATCCTCCGATCCATCGACGAAGAGGTGCGCTCGTTCGGTCAGCGCCGAGGCGAGTGCGATGATCGAATCGGCGTACGCGGACGCCTCGAGGGGGAGGGAGGGCATCGTCGGCCCGTTGTAGGGAGGTAGGGATGGGGTTCGAAGTAAACCTTCGCCCGTGGCCCAATCTTCGAGAGCGGCCAGACGACCAACGCGGGGGTGCGAGTCGAGTAGTAGGGTGATGAGAGGGAGAGCGGCGAACGAACGCACCGCGCGAAGCTTCGCAGCTCAGGACGGTCAATCTGCGGCCGGCGATTGTGTGTGGCGGCGCGGCGGGAGCAACGCGCAGTCGGGCGCAACAAGCGGCGAGCTCGGCCCGAAAACGCTCGGGCGCATCTCGTCGAAGCTGCCCAGAGCCTCAATCTCGTCGCACTGCTTGCGGTGTATCGGGGCCCATATCATCCGAAGCTCTGGGTGTACCCTCGTTGCCCGCTCTCTTCAACTCTCGACTCGAACCGATAGCCCATAGGTAGGGAGTAGCCAAGTCCAATCGATTCGGCAACGAGAAACCTGAGAACTACCACCCGAGAGCGCTGATGCAACAACCGACGACCATCAAAAGAAGAACTAGAGACAAAAAGAAGATGTTTCTTGCTTTAGATTCGGTCACGCTTCCACGAACCACCCTCGAACCTGTAGGAAGAGACCGATTCGGAGTGAAGCAAGGTTTGCGTGTTGAGAAAGGACAGTCAGCTCGTCGGCTGGGTGCGAAGCGATCGATTGAACTGTCGAAAGAAAGACTGGGAATCTTTGTACTCACTTCTGGTTGACGGCGTGCAGCTTGGTGTTCTGGTCCGGCTTGACCGAGTTCCAGGGCTCGGGGTTGCCTCGCTTGTCCCAGACCACGTCGGGGTCTTGAGAAGAGCACGGGAACGCATGAGCATCGTCGACATTGGATCAAGCGCCAAAGGAAGCATGATGAACTCACGACGCATCAAGTGGGTAAGGTCTGGATGGGAGGGCAAGATGGGTAGTTGGTGTGAGATCAGCGATCTGGTCCGAGGCGGCATTCGGCCTGTGCTGTGTGAGAGGGGTCCACTCACACCATCCGGCACCGGCGCAAGCCACAGCAACAACGCCGTCTATAAAGATTTGAAACACAAGGTGGTCAGTATACGGCCTCCTCACGCCATGTCATCCCGCTCCGCCACTACGGGAATGACCGTCCCCCTTCCCCAAGTGGGAGGCGCATCTCCTGACGTCCACCACGGCCAGCCTCAAATCGCCTAGGTCAGGTCCACGTGACTGCCCGGCCATGAAGCGACGAGGGATTGAGAAACGCACAGATGGGGATGGCCGCGGGCTCATACCAGATCTTGGCGGTGTTACGGAACGACGAAGCTCCTCGTGCGACGACCATGGCGTATTCGAGACTAAGCGGGTGGCTTGGGGCTGAATGGATGATGAGCAAGGTGTGCAAATGAAGGTTTGGAATGCGTTGTATCAGTTGGCAGTCAACTGTGGTCCCGAGGAGGTGACAACTCACAACTGGGAGTTGGGTTCTCGGCGGATGTGGGTGGTTGGCGGAAGGAGACGCGAGCCGGCTGGCGCGCACGGGCGCATCCGCAGCGCGCGGGCGGGCTACTGGCCGGCTCTGGCGGGCTGATTTTCGGGAGTTATCGCCGCATCAAGGCGAAGCGACGGCAGTAGGCTCTTGCCAGCTGGGCCACTCGGGACCTTGGGAGAATCGCCGGTGGCAATCTTTTAAACGGCATCTTAAGAGTTTTGTCAACCCATGCACAACAGATTTGAAGGCAAATTCGAGACAGGCTGGAGATGTTGAGGATGTTGGGATTGGTACAAGGAGCGGGCCGGAAGACTCAGACGGACTAGCTATAGGGACCTGTGGAGCGGAGCGTGAACGGGCGACAAACAAGATGGAGATGGACCAAGGAGAAGTAAATAAGGGCAATAAGGTAAAGAAATAGCAACACATATGATAGTATGAGGAGAAGACCCTAACACAAAAATCCGAAAAAGTCTGCGTTGTGGAAGGTTTCATTGGCTGCCGATTGCTTAATGACCCCTCTCTTTGAGCAACGACAGCGCCGAGTTGGATCGCAAGACGGCCATGTTCTGTTCGGAGAAGCACGTTGAAAGGGGGCGTTAGCGGTGCGGCTCGTGACTCAACTTGAAAGTACGAGTCGAAGCTCACCTGGAGGGACACCTTGCCCTTGGTCTTCTTGAGCGACAACTCGAGGTTCTTGCCCGACATGACTTTCTCAAAGTGCTCGCGCGCCTTGGAGAATTGCCCCATCGAGTCGTACAGGCGACCCAACTCGTAGTCTGTCGACAAAAGGAAGTGTCAGCGCCTGAAAGTACTACAAGCTTTTACGTGACACGTGATCATCTACTCACGGGTGAACCAAACGAGGTGGTGGTCGTGTTGCAGATCGCGCCCGTGCTTGAGGACGTTGTTGAACGAGATGAGCGCCTGCTCGTCCGCCTCCTTGACCGGGATCTGCGACTTTCTAGGTCGCGGATCGACATGCGGTTGAGGGTGCGCGATGAAGTGCAAGACAATACCGCGGAGCAGGTGCGCAAGGCAGTAGTCTATAGCGCCACGAAAGAGGATCAGCAATCCCTTCCGTTCGAGCTCTCAGAACGGAAAAGTGGACTGACCATCCCAGAATTCGTCACCATTCCCGTATCGACTAGGGTCCTTGACTTGGTGAAGGTCGGACAACACGGTGGAAATCTGGTCGAGGTGGACCTCGAAGAGGTTGAAGCTATCATATCGCGTCTAGGGTCAGTCTCGGGTTGACGGACGCACTTTTGCTCCTCGACACGAGCGGGCACTCACCGAGGCGAAAGACCCAAGCAGTTCAGGACGTAGGCCAGCTCAATACCAGGCAAGCAAAGGCGATTACCTTGTGCGACATACTTGCGAGAACGACGAGCAACGAATTTCTGGAGGATCGTTTGGGTAGCGCGCTAGGTGAGGGGCAACTACGCAAATAGTTATCCTCGCCGCTAGACTGACCTCGAGAGGGATACTTTTGCCGGCGATGCGTTGCATCAGGTCAGGGACGCCCTTCATGATCTTGCTCGCCTTGGCAATATCTTGCCCCTCTTCGTAAATCGACGTCGCCTACGACACAGGGGAATTCTGATGCGTCAGTGCCGGCACTACCACGAGGCAATCAGACGGAGGCTCACCTTGGCATAGGCGTAGATGGCCTTGGACCAGTTCGATTCCTTGTCGAGGATGTTGAAGCATTCGTAACCCTTGATCCAGTCTCCACTCGCGAGGGAGACAAGTCCAAGGTCCCAGTAGCAGATGTGACCCAGTTGAATGTACTCTCGCTGCGCCGCGATGGCCAAGTGAAAAGATTTGACCGCCGACTCGAGCTGCGTCTCGGTGGAATGAAGCCGACCGGCAAAGTAGAGGAAGAAGATGCCGTTCGGGTACCGGTCAAGGTTGTAGTGGAGAATGTGCGCTGCAGTCGGGACGTCAACGCCACCCACGGGAAGATAGTTGGCAATGACCAAGTGGTGCATCAGCAGGACCATGTCGCAAATGGGGCGACGGATTCCTTCTTGCTCAGGCGGCATCCCCGGCTCGGCCGTGCGAGGCTTCCATCGACCACCGAGCATGAGCGTCTTGAGCGCATACTCGCGGTCACCCGTGAAGCCGAACACGGTCATGATCTTGAGCACGGCACTCGGCAAGAGCGAGAGGATGAGCGAGATCAAACCGTTGCCGAGGTAGACGCCGGATCGGAAATCCTCGTCGATGGAATCGTCGTGGCCGCCGGCGGACTGGTCCATCGCCTCCACGTAGGCCGCCAGGGTTCGGTAGATGGCATAGGCGTTACGCATATTCAGGGCTTCCTTGAGGACTGTGGTTTTGCGATCACGCTCGAGTGGTGTCAACAGCTAGCATAACGAGTGACGCAAAGACTGCCTAACTTACATGCGACAAAGTCGCCCGAGTAGATGATACCCAGGACGGCCTGTCGTTGTAAAGCGGCACGCAATCATTAGGATCGATACCAACGACATGGGGAGTTCAAATTGACGATACTCGCCTTCAACAACGTGCATTCACTGAAGACAAGCTCCGCGTGTCGCTGTACAGGCGTCATGGCCTTGATGGAGCTGACCGAGGTCGAACCCTTGGCGAGGCGGCCGACATTCTCGAACAGGCCGTGGTCCTTCTTGCGCAGCAGTTGGGCAATAAGGATCGAATCCTGCAGTCCGAGAAGCAGTTAAATATCTGGTCAGGGTGCGAAAGAGGGTGTACAGGATGTAAGGCAACTCGGACCGAGAGCCCCGGACGTACCTTGCAGCAAGAGATCGCAGCTTCAAGATCTTCAGGCTCAAAGGTGGCGAGAGACTTGATTGATTGAATGAGCGCATATCCGACGGCGTAGTACAAACGGTTGTCGCATGCGGCCAAGCAAATGTCCTGTGTTCGTGTAGACGGTCAGCAAGCAATCTTAAGTAGCTCGGGCTCGAGCAGCGCGAAGCCCCCAGACCCACTTCTGCTTCGATCATGCGGCTGGACATGAACAGATGCATCGCTTTCCAGACGGTTGCGATATCCTGAAAGCCCAACATATCAAGTTCAGTACCTCGAACATAATACGAGGCTACACGCAATTATGTGGGGTGACTAACCTCCTTGATATCTGACTCCTGGAGCGCAACATCGTCCGAAGTCAACGAGGAAAGCGGTTTGCCGAGCTTGGGGCGCAACTTGACGTCTTTCTCCATCGCTTCGGTCGCCAGCTTGGCCGCACGACTCATGTTCTGTCGTTTTGCCGGCTTCTTGGCCTCACTGGGATTGACCTTGTTGCGTTGACTCGGGCCTCGCTTCTGTGGTTCAGCGGCTCGCTTTGGCGAGGCATCCGAATCGTCAGAGTCGTACGAGTTGGTCCCGGCGGCAACGGGAGCGCCTTTGACCGAGTGAGCGTACTCGTCATCGGTCGAAACCTCCTCTGCATAGTCGTCTTCATTCTCGTTGCCAGCCTTGCTGGTACTACGCTTGATATTGTTGGACTTGGCCGAGACGAAGGTGGTCTTGCCCCGGAGAGCGGCGCCTCGCTTGGGTGCATCCTCCTCGCTTTCCTCCGAGTTGTGTTCGGATGCGCTCTCTTCTTCTTCGGACTCAGAGGCCACGGCGGGTTTGGGCAAACGGGCGGCACCGGCACCGCCGTTGGACTCATTCGAGAGGGAGCGCGACAGGGAGGCCCCACCCCCGCTTCGATCGTTCTCGAGCGACAACAGGCGGGAGTTGGGCGAGGCCGAACCGGCGAAAGAAGCTGTCAGGTCCGAAGCCTTGACCTTGCCTCCTCTTGAAGATGCACTGTGGGCCGTGGACCGTACAGCGTGGTACGGGGCAAGCGCAAAACTTAGCTACCGGCCGCACGAGCTCGGGTGGGGAAACGGAGAAGGAGCCTGCTGCTCACCTGAGGAGAGAAGCCGAGGTTGCCGACGAGGCGTCGGACGTACCTCCGACTGAAGACGACGACGATACACTGCGACTCTTGTTGCGTTTGAGCAATGGCATTTTGTGGGCTTGCTGGATGAAGAAGGGAAAGAGAGGGAAAGAAGGCAGGCGGGGAGAGGGAGACGGGACGAACGGTCACGGACGACCGTACATTGGCGCCAAAGGACCCCCGAAAGCCCGGCCTGAGGCGACTGGACAAATTTTGGGCCTCAGATGGGCCAAAATCGCCAAGGCACGTAGTCAGGGGTGGACAAATCAGGCTGCGCCGGTGTGGGTGGGGTGCCAGGCCCGTAGGTGTCAGTGGACCAATCGGGACGCATTTCGGCCACATTCGGCTTGGAAGGCCAAAGTTTGCCGACCCTCAAGGACGTGCGGGAGCGCGCACGAACGGCTGTACCGAATTCACGACAACGGCTCTAATTGATTATTTTTTGCACTTATAAACTCTTGGCTGGTTGAACGAAGCATTTGAGTGCGCGCGTCTCTTGCCTTCCCCGCCGCGTCGCGTCGACGTCGTCTGTGCCATCATCGCCAATATCCTACATTCTCGGCAAGACTTGCTTCGATGAAACGTATCTTGAGATCCGGATATCGATCTTCTTGACGATATTCTTGAGCGAATGACACCCCTCATGGACGTGAGGGTGTTTGAGCCTCTCGCCTCCAGCTTGACAAACCAGACACCCGGATACAGCTTTCATGGTCGACAGACGAGTGATACTCTTGCTAGGCCGCTCGATGCTTGGAGGGACAAGTTGAAGGATCGTGGAGCAATCATTGCGGCACGTAGGCAAGGCCACCAATCTATCACTATCGGCTGCCTTTCGATGTCGAATCTGGCGGCATATAGATCACGCCGAGCGCATGCGTTCGGTTGTTATCAGTAGCCAAGAGTTGGTGAAGTTATCTGCGTGGCGACATCGAAGATCAACGTCTCATCGTTAGAGCTCCGGAGGTGATGCCTTCACTGCTCGTTGAGGAGCAATTACCCCCTCAATGATCCTCGGGGTTCGTAGATCTCACGGTAGCTAGCTTACTGCTTCCCAGAGTGACTGCAATCGATCTTACCTCTCGTAGTACGTTACATGTATATCAAGGCCACGTCAAATCTAGTCAAAAAGGCAGGCAGCAAGTGCAGGTGAGGAGCCCTCGGCGAAGCAGAACCGAAACGGCTGACGTGCGCGCGGGCTCCGCCGATTCGGTCCGGGCGAAAGATGTCCGGACGGCGTTTTCGCGATTTTTGAAGATGTTTTGGAGCATTTGAAGCAATTCTAGAGCTATTTTTGGATGCGCGTAGATGGACTGGACATTTTGGGGACTTTTTGGGGCGAAAAATCCAATCCAAAAAATGGTGGACAAAAGAGGTCCAAAATCGGGGGATTTTACCTACGCGCCTCAGGCCGGGCTTTCATGGGTCTTGGCGCCAATCTCCGCGACAGACGCTCTTAAGCGCCATAAAGTCGCCGCCCGGTCGCCAAGGCCGTTCAATGGCCAGTTCGAACACAATCAACTTCAAGTCGGTGCTACTAGTAATAGGCCGTCGCACCTGCCGGTTCCGGTTGGGTGGCGGGTATACATTCGTTAGGCGGTGATGTAACTACACATGTTGCATGCTCTCAAGCCACCACGCTTTTTCTAAGAGAAATAGATGTCTAACAGGGCAGCGAGTGTGCGGCAGCACGGGTTACGGCCGGAGCTCAGCCGCAGGCGCCAGCGGCGCTGGTGCCCCGGGCCAATTCGCACCCGTCAGAGCACCATGCGGAAACGGCGGGGCACCACAGCGGGGAAGTCGACCGAGTCGCCCGGTCGGCCGTCCGTCGTCCGTCATCCGTTGCAATGAGTGTCTGTGCATCGGTATCTTCAGCCTGCACAGATCCTCTCAAAATACCACACCATGGTCTGAGCTCGAAAATCTGATCTCGTTGGGACTTGCTTGTAGCTGAGAAAGGGGTCTCGGTAAAAACGTTTCGCCACCTGTCTCGGTCACGTGATTGCGCCACACTTGAGCTCGATCCGCCAGCTGAGATGTCGAGCCTGCGGCCAACTTGCTTGACACCCATGACCCGAAGCTGCAACAGGCTATCGCTCTAAGGAGTCTCCTGAATTGATCAGTCCCCAAAGTGGCAAACCTGGGGCAATCATAGATTAGCAACAGATCTCGCTCACCAAGCAGAGCTTGTGCGCATGTCTCCTAGTCTCAGCTCGTCTTCCAAGTCAGCAGCACATCGAGTCAGAGGCTGATCGGAAGCTCAGAGTCTCAGAGCTTCAAGATCAAGTTCTCGGCTGCGAATAATTTTGATCTAATTACTTACTGCAAACTGTTGAGTAGTCACTACCTGAGCACTGACTATCTACCTATCCAGAAGGGGTGAATTGTTGGCGGCTGGCGGAGGCCGGACGGTCTTGCGCCAAGCAGAACCGCATTGAGGTGATCTCGACTGTCCTACTATAAATTATCAAGAAGCTGAATTTTGTGTGAGATCGGCATACGCATGAAACGGTGCAAGTCTTCCTGTGCAACAACGATTTGGACTTCCGAACGTGTCGGACATCGCGACCGTCGGCTGCCGCGCTCAGAACTCCTCGAAAAATCTCGGCGCGGGTACGAATTGGCCCTTCTGCAACTGTCAGTTTCAGACTTTCAGTGAGCTGTTCAATCGGATGTTGAACCTGCTGGTTTCTACTTGTGTTATCTACCTACCTGCGCACCTAGCTGCCCACCTGCGGTCGCTCGAAGTTCGCTACTTCAGGTATCCAATCTCCTCGGAGCCGGGGGGCGGCCGGAGCGCCAATTCTCGCTTCGACCCAAGTGCCACCTGCCACCTCCCGGGCTATTCCACAATTGATCTGCAGCGGGGCGCCAATTCTAAAGCGAACGCCCTCAGCAATTTGCACGAGTCGTACCTACCAATGCAACTTTTGGTCTACCTTGGTAATAGGTACATAGGAGAAACCTACCGTGGCCAGGATCGAGACGTAACATATTAATTCACGCGTGCCTACCCAGAGAGGCACCTCGGGAGAATTACATGCGGATAGGTAGATCCATCGAACCATTCGGTGGAGTGATCGGCCGGAACCACCGATAGTTTGTGGCTACTAGCCTGACTCCTGGCGATACTAGTCGGATCGACTGATCAGACGCGAGAATGAGGGACCGGTTAGCAGTGGGTACCCGACAAAGTCGATTATCGACTCGGTCGGACGCGAAGTACCTGCCCTGTGTCTCGGAAGCTAGGTCACATTTGCCTACAATCACTCAGGTCACGGGGAGCGATCCGCGACGCCCCACGGCGTCTGAAAAGAGTCGAGACCACTTACTCGGTTTCACGACGTCTGCGGATCTGTAGTTACGTACAAAGGATGCGATTTTAGAAGGCTAGGTCGGACGGTGAGCACAACAGAGTGCAGTGTACGGCTAATTCGCCGAGGGCAATGACGGTAGGTAGGTACGGCAATTCCGCCGAGGGAAGGTAGGTAGGTAATTAGTCAAGCAGGTTAAAGCTGCGCCGTCACCGACCAGGAAAGCGTTAACTGTGGCCAGCTCATTCGATGCGTGCATTTGAAACTACAAAACACGAAGGGAAACACTAGGGAACGAGAGAAGGGTTCACAAGGGAGGCTCTTTTTATTTTATTTTTGAAACGCGACACGTTGCTTATATTTACTTATCTTCTGTCGGAGTCGAATCTAGTAGCCGGGCTAATTCAGGACGAATGAGGAGTCGCCTGACGTAGCACCGCTACAGAGCTCGTGGGACCCATCTGAAGCAACAGAAAAGAAAGAAAAAAGCCCTTGTCGATCAAGATCAGAGATGGCTTGAAGACCGTGTGTAGCTGAAGGCTCATGCGTACACTAGGAGTAAGCTACCTCATACGACACTGCATGATTAGGCTACGTGCTGACTCAGTGATGATGAAGATGACATGTACCTCCTTCAAGCTGAATGAAACATCAACCTTGAGCGCTCACTCGGGGTGACGGAACAATACTAGAGGCGAGTGTAGAGAGGGAAAGCGAGGATCGCGTCGTCAATCTGTTGGTGGAACTGCTTCGCCCGTCCTCGAGGGCCGGCGAGTAGGATCGATCATTCGATCTCGGGTCGAAGCGAAAATTCACGGGGTACGATCATTGCAAGCGGACATATGGACCAGGATCAGTCTCAGCGACATGCTGTGGACGTCATGCAACGCCCGTCGACGCGTGGGCCATGAACTTCAGTAACAGACGGTAGGTGGGGGTGGCTAGGTGGGAAGCGAGAGCTCGCAGTGAGAGGTCACAGGTCAGAGTTGGGGCGGGGTGGGGTGGGGCAAGGTGATGGAGGTGAGGTGATGAGAGATGAAAGGTGAGACGAGTGAACACGAGACGAGACGGGTCAAAGGCGCACGGGATTGATCAGTCAGCACGACCGTTTGCGAACACGCTCGCTGGGTGGCAACGCGCACCTTAAACGACGGGAGGGATTCACCGGCAAACTCTACGACACCACAAAGGCCACCCTCTCGTATAACACCAAGAAGAGGGGCGATTTAAGCATGATGAAGTGCTGCGGAGAATTGTAGAGTGCGTTGACAAGAAGGGAGGCGAGAGAGAGAGGCTATGAGCTTGAGATGGTTGCTGACTTGGGGTGCGGGGCGCGCGCCTGGCAGGAGGAGTACATATGTCTCATCCATATGAAGCCACGCCGGAAGATCAAGCCTCCAGTCCTCCACCTCTCCCGATGCGGAACCGAGCCGAGCCGAGCCGAGCGCCGAGTGCCGAATGCTAAGCGTGGCCGAGCACGCCGAGGGTCGGAAGCGAACTCGTGGACAGGGGACCGTGCACCCCACGTCGAGGTTAACGATCCAACCCTCAACCCTCGGAAAGACCGAATATCTTGTTGATCAAGCTCGGTCAAGCCTTGAAAAATAGTGTGGGCACTGAGAATTACCCCAGTCTTGAGACCACCGCGATCGATGCAGTGGTTGTTGCTCCAGCAGCTTTATTCGGGCGGGGCGACCTCGCCTCAACCTCGATTTACTGCGAGGTCCGACATGGAGCTGGGTTGCGGTGCGGGGCTCACCGTGACTCGATAGCTCCGACGTGGCGAGTCAGTGGGGAGAACATTCAAGATGGAATCCCGAGTACACCACTGAATGGGATCTACATCGAGTGGACAACTTCAGTTTCAGAGGTAATTCGGTTGCTTCGGAGAAAATCGGTCTCGGCTGTTGAAATAGTAACTCGACTCTTCGAGTGCTTCATGCTTGTGTATCAGCATGCATGACTGTGAGTCTCGGATGCATGGCCCATGTCATCGAATAGCACGGGTGCACAACCTCATGCATCGTAATGCACGCTGGTGCATGGGCTGGAAACCCAAGTATGCCGCGCTCAATCTCCCGCGGTTCGCAGGGGGTGCAGCCGACGGCGCTGAGACTGCACGGGGGTGCATACGCGTGCATGGCTGTGCATCAGTGCGCACACGTATAATCCGAGTATTGTTAACGATTCTACACGAGTAGGGACTGGATCTGACTTCATCTCGGCCGGCTCCGAAGGTGTTTGGTCGACCGGAGCTTGAGCTTCACGTACCCTTCGGTTGATTCACCCATTGCACCCTTCCTCTGCTAAGTCTCACACAGTCTGTCGCTGATTTCCAATACCGCCTACGGGTCTAATAATCGCACCTCATGCAGTACTTGACGCTGGGTCGTGGTTCTCGTCCTGTTCCTCCTCCAGATCCGAGGTTCGACGTGCACTCAGCGGTGGGCGAAAGAAGGAAGCAGGCTGCGCCGGGAGGTCGATTCGATCCGAGCGTGCGCGAGAGTGCATAGCCGTGCAACGTCGTACAGAGACGTTTCAAGGAGATAAGACTGAGTAGGTACGGGTATGCGCCAATTTGTACATGCATGCACACGTTTATACGAAATAGGGGCCGGATGGCTGCCAGCGACGGCGAGTCGATCCGCGAATTGGCCCGGTTTCACGCCGAGTGGGGGCGGGGGCTGCACGAGTCAATTGTCGGCGTGCTTGCTGAAGCAAGGGGAGCGCATCGATGGCTCATTCGATCATCCGGGCCAACATCGCCCAGAGTCCAGAATTCAGAAAGCAGGTGCAATGGTGGCTATTGTTATTCAACGCAAGGTCTGATCGGTACTCATACGGTGTCCACAAGGTTATTTCTGCCTCTGCGAGCCTCTGCGCGTGCTCAATTGCCGTGTCACCGGAGTGGTTAGACCTGTTTCTCTCCCGCAACGTGATCAGAGTGATCGGCAAGGCCCGTGCGAGTCGCGCGGCGTTAGAGAAGCGCACCTCGAGAATCGCCGGCAACAAAGGGGAAGGAGGGAGCTTCCCTGATCGGTCCCACTCACACCAACCAACCTTCGTCGGCTCCATCAAGTGCTCGAGTGGTCGTCGAGTCGAGCCGTCGCCGCTTGCGCCGTGGTCAGTCTTGTGAGGTACGTCGTGTTGTGCTTCATCTCTTAAGTCGCAGGCCAGAGGCTGCGCAGGGGGGCTCGCCCGTCGATCATTGAGGACGACGGGAAGAGTGCCGTGGCGCCTGGAGGAAGGCCTGGGGGCAGGCGCGCCTCGTTAGCCCTCGTTAGCGCTGGAGGAGGGGGGGGGGGCGGGGGGAGGGCGCGCTCCCGCGCTTGTTGAAAGGAGATAAGGGGGGCCTGTGCTGCCGGGCGGGTGTTCGTGGTGTTCGTGTGCCGGCGTGTCTCAGACGACGGTTCAGCCACATGGCGAACGTGCCTCCTCTCCCTTGCCATGTGTGCCCTTTGACCTCTCGCGTCTGGTTAGTGTCCGTGGTATCGCCTCCCGCTCCCGAACGCTACCGCCGCTGCCATGACCCGGTAGCGCCTCGCTTCCCTGATCGCACCCATTCAAGCCAACGCCGCTCGCTCGCCCGCCTTGTGTTGCTCTCAGTCCTGACCTCTCCCCCCTCTCACGTTGGCTGCGCCCCTCTCGAACGTGGCTTTTCTATCTCGTCGCAGGCGAGTTGACCAAGTAACCGAGTCTCTCAACACCCGATCCGCTGTACCAGCACCGGCGCCGTCAACCCACACTGCGTGCTCCGGGGCCGAGGCGCTCATCTCGCGCACGGAATTGATCCCGACCCCGACTTGCTCTGCCACACGATATCGCGTCTATATATCCCCCTACCGAATATTTTCTCTTCGCCATCACCCCGGCAGTCCTCTCGCTATACCTACTGCCCGCCTCTGCATCGAGTAATCGACAGCCCCGAGAGGTCAGCGACTACGAGACGACGATCGACGAGCGCGTCTGCAGCCTGTCGCGTTCCTGACGGCGATCTCACACTCGAGTGTTCAATTCAACCGGTCCTTCTCTCATCCCCCCGGATTTGCTGTCGACATGGCCTCCACTGCTTCCAGTAGTCAGCATACTGCGGGGCGGCAGCAACAATCGAGTCACATGTGAGTTGGCAGCGCCTCGCCGTGTCACCTGTCTTGTGCGGATCGTGCCCGCTGCGATGGTCCTCCACCCCCTCCGAGCTTCCTCTGCGGGGTTGCTGGCCCTCGTATAGCATGGGCAATGTCATTAGCATGAGTATTGACACAAGGCACCGTTTTGGCAACTCACAGGCTAAAGACGGGACGAAGAGGTAACCCATTCTGCAAGGTAAGCAAGCCCACCTGCCCCAGTGACCGCTGGACTCGCACCCGGCCGCGCTTGGTCGTGCACTGGCAAGCGGTGACGGCGCAGGCTCGATCACCGCTACCCGCTTTTATCTGAACACCCTTCTCGACTGACGTTCGGAAGATGGCTGTATGCCGTGTGTCTTGTGCTGACCCCGCGTCCCCTCCCACTTGTGCGTCGTGGATCTACAGGACACGCACGATTTGTTCGCGACGCTCATGGTTTCGCTCGACCTTTCGGACCGCACGCGATTCTTCCGGACATACCCGAATGCGTTCACAACCGACGACGCCGCAACGAATCTCTCCTCCTTGCGATTCTCGCAGTCAAATCGAACATCCGATCCCGTCGATCCGCAGCGCATCGTGACAACAACGACGACGACGACGTTCTCCATGTCGCGGGACATCGCCAAGGGCATCTGCCAACACTTTATGGACGCGCGCCTCATCGAGAACGCGGCCGACCCCAGCTCGCTCAACTTCAAAGACCGGGGCATCTACCAAATCACACCCAAAGGGCTGCACATTCTCGAGCGGTTCATCACAAAGAACGGCATCTCAGCCGACCACCTTGTGCCCGTCTTCACGTCGCAACCCATTTGCATGAAGCTTCTACACCTCGAACGACGCACCTCCGATGACGAGATCCACATCTCTCGGTCCGTTATTGATGTCGTATTTAGGAGATTCGCCGGCGGTCGACACCCAAATTACATCAATGAGCCGCATGACCCAAGGCCGGTGGTGGGGTCGATCGTGCCTAGACCGTTCGTGGACAATGCCAGACCACCGCCAGGGTTCGATCGTGCCGGTGGGGTCGAATTGCAGGACGTGACAGAAAAGTCCAAGGCCGGACAGCCCGTGGTCGTCAAGCAGGTTTTCTTATCGACGCATGGAATCGATTGGCTCGTCGACTATTCGACATGTTGCTGCCGAGAGGAGGCGGGCGAATTGATGGCCCACTTTGTGCGCTATGGCCTCATCACCCTGTATCTCGACCGCTCCAAGACAGGGGATCGAGTAACTGCTTCGGAAGCCAAAGGGACCACTTCGGGCGAGGCAGAATACCGACAGGGCGCCAAGATCTTGTACCGCATCACCGACGACGGCCGCCGAACCGCCGCTACCCCGGGGCCAGTGTCACAGCCGACGGCGGCGTCCTCGACGCACTTCATACCGCTCAATGAAGCTGCTCCCCCGCTTAGCAAACCCGCTTTGATGAAGGCTGCGAGCACGAAGATGGAGCCCAAGGTGTTATCAGAGGGGAAAAGCGATAGCGACGTGGATTCACAGACCGATCTCGACCGGGTCGTCGACACAACGTTCGTTGGTGGCACCGGTCTGAGCAACGTCTCGGAGTCGGCATTTGTGGGCAAGAAAGCGCTGGCCGACCTCTTCAAGTCCGACACCTCCGATGCGGCCGTCGCCGGCTGGTCAAAAGATCAACACTCGACGACAACCCGGTTGCGAGCGATTCTCGACGAGCCGGCCTTGCGAGCCCTGTTCCGTGATTTTTTGCGCGCGAACTATTGCGACGAGAATCTGGCTTTTTGGATAGATGTCACTGACTTTAGACGACGGTTTTCGACCACCTCGTCGGCCGTCGGCGGAGCAGCGCAACAAGCTGCCAAGCGGAAACAAGGCGCGGCATCGAACGCGATGGAGACCCATCAGCAGAACCTCGTAGCCGCAGCGCTGCACATCTATCACACGTACCTCGCTCCCCTTTCGCCGAGTGAACTCAACATTGATCACAATCTGCGCGCCGACGTCGTCAACTACGTGAACCGGGCCTTGGCCGAAGTTGCGCCTCCGTCCAACCGGCCGGTGACGTCGAGCGGCAGCAGCGGAGATGATCCCGATATGATCCCCGCTCTGCGAGCCACCCAGGTCCAGACGTTGCTGCGGCAGTACGAGCGGATACAGGAGCACATCTTCCGACTGCTGGCCACGGATCAGGTTCCTCGGTTTGTCAGGTAAGTCATAAATTTTCGCCGCCTCCATTCATGATACTACAGCTCCCCTCATCTGATGCAAGCCCTATCCACATTCTGTCTCGCACATAGAACGGAACCGTTTTTGGCTTTAATGGAACCCGAAGCCCTTAAGAACGCTGCACCGAGCTCGACCACAAACTCGCCAGACCTCTCGAACCCCCCCGTCGCTGCCAGTCCCGCTCTTGGTGCGGGCCCACCCGCGCCGCCAGCATGATCAAACATGGGCGCATAGTTTTATTCAAATACCTGCCTCCGTATTTGTTTTTCAGCAACTGCATTCATGCGCCGCGTACTGCTCGCTGGACCGGTATCGTCAAGTTTCGTGGCCATCGCCCCTGCTGTTCGCGCCGTTTCGTTGTTTTCGTAACCCTCCAGCTTCTGAAGCCTCTTCTCCGCGTTGATCCCCTCTTCTGTCCAACACGAATCAGTCTTGATCGCATCCCAGTACCTCTCGGCTTTTGGTTCCCGCTTCCGCGCATCGTTCTGTCACCCCTCGCGATCGATAACTGCGGCGGGGGCCAATCGCACCCCCAGCCTTGTTTTGTCATTTTTGCATACCACCTCTTTGCTTCGCCCTATTTCCTCTTTTTCCTCTTGTCCTCTTTTTTCGTACATTCTTACGCTGGCTTTACCCTTTGCATGACCGATGAAATTGCCAAGTTTTCTTTGAAGCCCATGGCACAAGACGACGATACCGGCAACGGACGGACGTTGTCCAAGCGCTGGGAAGTGGTGTTGCGCACGTCGCCCCGAGCTGCACAGCCTCATGCCGGAATCAGATGCTGTGCTGGCGCTTAGCGTCCCATGACACGGATGGATTGATATTGCTGCTATACCTACCTATGTAACCCGCCGCGACTCGTTGCATCTTGAACGAGATGCAGTGGGGCCAGTGGCCGCGTTGGAAAGTACTTAACTCGTTCCCGCGCTCATCAAATGCATCAACCCCGGCCCGAGGTATGCAGTGCTGCGGTGTAGATTCTGGTCCCGAGGCACCCAAATCTCACGACCATGCCGACCATCACAAAAATCTGTCGGTTCCTTTCTAGGACCTAATAAGGGAAAAGGGCTAAAAAAAGCAACCTGTCGGGAATCAAAACCGGGTAAAAGGACTAAAACGCTGTACAAATAATCTTCTTTTTAACAACATATCAATATATGCGAAAAAAGTCTTACTAAATCATGAGATTCAAGTGTAGGTAAGGTTATGCGTGGGTTATCGCATTAAAGAGTCATGGTTCACTACGGTGTTTCGAGACCGTCTAATCATTTGGTGTTTTGTCGTGTGACTGTACTTTCCAGGCGAAGTGTTTATTGCAACTGCCTAGAAAAGACGTTCAACCCGATACCGCAGTGAGTCGCACATGAGTAGTAGTGTCGAAGCTAGCTCAAAGGTGCAATTCACGCCAAGAAGATTGCAAACGACCGAGAGTCGACGACGTCGCCGACAGCCGGCTCGAGCTCCGAGCGCCAACTCTTTCCGAGCCGATCTTGGGGCTGACGTTGTTGCTCCAAAGTGGAACGCAGCCCAAGCGCCAGCGCCCGCCTCCGACGCCTGCTGAGCTTGACGAGACGACGCGCGGGGCCTCACCTGGCAGCACCGGCCGACGGCCAGCCTCACAGAATCCTCACAGCGGCCCGCCCGCGCGTCCCCGACGTGGGCCCGTCCAAGCCCGTCCTTAGACTACAACTAGCACCTCTATCACGATCGTCGATATACCCCGTTTCTCACCTCTGGTACGCGACTCCCGGCTGGTCCATTCTGTCATTGTACCCGAGTGGCGAAGCATTCGTGCAATCATGTGAGTGCCAATGGCTGGTTGTCTCTTACGACGGCCACCATGTCACGTCGTCGAGTGCCTGGCTGACGCCGCTGGCTGGCCCTTGTCTCGATTGTCTCACCGACTCTCCTGCCATCCTCCCCGTGTGCGCGCGCAGACGGCACGGACGACGGCGACGATGCCCGACCCGACCTCGGCGGATTCGTACTACCTGACAGGCAAGGATGCCGCCGCCAAAGAACGAGAACAACGTCTGCTGGCTGCGAAGCGCAAGGTGCGTACTTGATCTCTCTCTGTGTGCTCAGCACGACCGTGGCGTCTCCTCTTGCGCGAGGAAAGGAGATGCCCGTTGCCGCCGCACGCGGCTGTCGCTTGGGAATGCAAGGCGACTGACGCCCGGCGCGATCGTGACGGAATCGGCCGAGACCCCCGCAAGTGTCGTAGTGCATGGGGTGCGCGACGCTGGAGATGTGGGAGCTACTGTGGGAGGATGACGCGAGGGATGGATGCTGTGTGTTCTCTTACTGACGGACAGGCTCGTTGTGACGGCGCTCCTCACAGCTCAAGAGCTATCGCGCGCGACAGGCGAAGGGGAGCTCGATCGCCTCGTCCGACTCGCTCGCATCACGATCGACTGTCGCAAAGCGAGAATCCGTGCAATCCGTCGCGTCGTTGACGGCATCTCTCGAAGGCCCGGGGACACCGCACAAGCACCGCCGATCCATCTCGAAGTCGGCGCTCTTGGGCGAGCGCGTTGCGCCGTCGCCGACGCTGCCGAGCGCGATGGGCCATGGCCGGCGAGCGTCGAAATCCCGGCACTCGAGAGGGCCTTCCCTGACAGCACAGATCACCCAGATCAAGGGACACAGCCATCAGCGATCCCGGTCTCGCGCCTCCATCTCGATCCACAGCACGCCCCGGATTCACGCGCCCCAAGACAGCTTTAGTGGCAGTCTCAACCCTTTCGACCCCTTTGCGTCCGCGCTTCCGCGATCGACATCGCCATTACCTCCCGGTGCCAAGACTCCAAATACGACAGCGAATCCGAGTGTGGGCTGGATCACGAATCCGTTTGTAGGTGTGACCCCCGCTCCCGAAGCGTCGACCTCGAAGCTCCCACCACCGACCTTGTCTCCGACGCGAGACACCTACACGACGTCCGCGCCCTCGCAACCCTCGCAGCCATCGCAACCGCCGCACCCGCAGCATTCTACAACTTCTTCGTCGTCGTCGATAAGTGGCAGGATGGCTCACCACGAGCGACGAGCTTCGAGACACGCACGGCAGAGCTCCGTCTCAAACTTTCGCGAGTCGCTCGAGATTGTTTCGGGCCAGGGACAGTATTCAGCCACGGGACCTCTTGGCTACAGCCCTGCGGTGTCGTCATTCGCCGCAGCACCGTCGTCCGTGTCTTTGTCGCCTTCGAACTCGTTTCAGGGCGTTGCGATCCCAATGATCCCCATCACTCCATCCAGCACATCGCCGCGCCCGAACACCTCGATGCCCTGGGAAGCCGACCCGGCCAAGGTCCTCGAGGCCTTGAAGGAACGCGGACGTCGCGAATCTGACTTTGGTCTGGATCCAGAAACAGACCGACGGAACGCTCTGGAGGCTCTGGAAGGACGAGTGGCCGCGCCGTCAGAGATGATCGATCTCGGCAATGAGGAGCAGGGCCAACTGATGAGGGCACCGAGAAGCCCCGGTTTCACGGACACTGGGAAGCCACTGGCACCTGCCGGACTGCTCGGGGCGCCCTTGATTGGAGCGGGTACATCGTCAAACGCTTCTCCGTCGTCTCTTCCATCCTTTGCGCACTCACCAATCATCGGCCTAGGCGTTTCAGGCAAGAGGCGCGACAGCTGGAACCCGCCAGGACCGGTTACCGCAGCTGGCGCAAAAGGCGCAATGGATTTAGGCATGCTTGTAGAAGAAGAGGAAGAGGAAGAACACAACGACCCGCTCATCTCTCCGCGGCGACGCACGCCCCGAAAGGTGCGAACTGCCTCCACGAAGAGCACGAAATCATCTCCCGGAGGCCCCATCTCCCCGACGCCCCGGGCCCGTACGTCCACGATCGACTCGGTCGTGATCCCGATGATGGAAACTGTCGAGATCGATGACAGTCGGTCACCTCCACCGCCACCGCCACCCCCGGCTTCCTCGGTATTCACCCCCCGTCCCTTGCGCACGCTGTCGCTGACCGGCTCGATCATTTCGTCAGGGTGCCCCGGTGGGACTCCTTCGTCTGCGGCCCCCTCCCCGCCCGTCACTCGTCAGACGCCTTTGTCGTCCGTTGCGTCGCCTCCGTTGGCACCCGTCGAAGATGCTCGCACGTCGCCGACTCTCGAGCGCAGAGTGAGCATGTTCCATAGTGCAGCGGTCGCGACGGCGAATGGCCACGACATGACTCCGTCGCCGTTGACGTCTTCGCCGAGCAGCATGCCGCGTTCTACCACGGGTGGTGGCCTCCGTTCGCTGTCGATCGGGTCGAACACGTCGCCCCCGCTTGACCGTATGCCGAATCGTAGCCCCTTCGGACAGCGACGTGTTGTCTCGGGACCGAATCAAGCCTCTCCCTCGCCGGTGGGCGCCTCGCCCAGCTTTGGCGGCGACAACACGCAGAGACGTTCCTCCATCACGTACAAGACGGCCTCACTCTCGTCCTCGTTGGGAGCTCAGGACGCTCCGTCTTCTTATGCACGAACGCAGAGTACGCGCGGGCATCAGTGGCAAGTGAGCACCGGCGGAGGGGGCGGAGGAGCGGCATTGGCCGGCTACCCCTTCCCGGCCTATGGCGGCTTCGGAGATCTTCATCTTGACACCACCGACGATGAGGATAACCATTCGCCCTCGGTCGCTTCGCCGCTAGGCTCGGTCTCGGCCATCTCACCAATTGCCGCCCCTCGCGCACTGCCCAATGTCTCAACCGCCAGCTCCATCTCCAGCTCCGCCTTTTCGGCCTCGGCAGCAAGCCAAAAGAACAGCCTCGAAAGGGACCGCGACGACTCGTCGGGGCTGCGACAACAAGTCGCATCGCTGCAATCGCAAGTCGAGCATCTCAAGGCGTCGCAAATGCAACTCACGTCAACACACGCACTTGAGATAGCCGACCTCGAGAAGAACGCGGCTGGCGAGGTCGGAGAGCTTCGGACGCGGATCGAGGAGCTCGAAAAGTCACTCGAGGCCGGCACGACAGCGCGACGCTTCGAACTTGAGGGGCTGACCCGTGAGATCGAGCAAGCGCGCGAGGCTCTGCGCGATGTGATTGAGGAGCGCGACGAGTTGCGCGAAGACGTCGATGGTTGGCGTAAACGGTGTGCCTCGCTCGAAGTGGCGCCGAGGAAAGATCGGGAGGACGAAGCGTTGGCCCAGGCGCAGGCCAAACTGATTGGCGAAATGCGTGATCAGATCCTCAATCTCGCCGGTGCCCTCGAACGCGAACGCAAGCAGCACGATGAGACGCGCCAACTACTCGAGCGTTCGCTTGCAAATCGTGCTCCGACGGCGCAGAGCAATGCAAAGCCGTCATCCTTTGGTCAGCAGCGCAAGCCAGCCCCCGCCCCTGCGCACTCGGCGCACATGATCATCGAGCCCACCCCGGTGACACTCGAGATTGGCGAAGCCGATGCCAAGGCGTTCGCGCGCGTCCCCCAACATGGCTTCAAGAACGCCTCCGACGGGTCCGTCCTCTCTGGCTCGTCGTTCGGACGCTCGTACTCGGGAACGACGACCGAGGGCACGTCGGTCGACGACTCGTACTCGATCAGGATGACCTCCTCGCCTCCATCACATAGCAACTTCGGCTCCAAAGGTCGAGAGAGCGATTTCGGCAGCGCGGCTGCGCTCAACCAGTTGCAAACGCTCGCCGAGGAGGAGGAAGAAGAGGACGCCGCCATTGTTGAAGCGAACCGCATGCAGCACGACACCGGGTCAACAGGCTCGGTCAGCAGCGTCGCGATGCCCCTGACGCCCAACAAGGAGGACTTGCCGACCTACCATCATCGATCGCACTCGTTTGTTCGGCACTGGAGCGTGAGCGCTGTTCACTCATTATGCGCGGACTGTGTGAGCAAATACTGATGCTTCTTTGCCTTCTATCTAGTTCCCCAAGGGCAGTGTCAGCTCGGTGCGCATGTCGATGGAAGAGGATCATTCCTTCTTCGACTACAACCGTCACACGTCCTTGCCGCCCCTTCCGCTCGATGCACAGTTCCCGCCCTTCATCACCGCAGACCTCACCGTCGAAGAAGATGATCTGCACGACACTGGCTCGCCGTCGCTTTCGCAGTCTGCACCCGCGCATGGTCGTCGACCATCTTCGCCCCGCCCACTCAATCGCATGAACCCCCACACGCGACAGTCCTCAGGCCAGTACACCCGAGGTACACCCCCTGTCGCACCCTCGGCGCTGATACGTGCTCAGCTTGCATCGTCGACCTCGTCGACCTCGTCGACCTGCTCCGAACCCAACGGGAACGCCCCTTCGAAGCAAGGGCTTTCTCGTTTCGGTTTCGGGATCATCGGTTCCCTTAGTGGTTGGTCACCGACGAGCTCGGCCCCGGCGACCACCCTCCCGAGCTCGCAACCCAAGGCGCCTTTTTCGCAACCACCTCGCGAACAAGACAAGATCGACGCCCCTCCATCGCGACGACGAGCCTCGTCGTCGGCTTCTCGAGCCCAGATACCCATTCCGCCACCACCCATGTCGTCCAAGTATTCGGCGGCGATGAAGGGGCTCGCGCCTCAGTCGGCACCGCGCTACATTAAGACTTCGGAAGTCAAGCGCCCGCGTGCGTCTCGTTTGGCCGTTCTGAACTTTGATCCCGTCTGCTGCGCAGACGAAGATGTGTTCCACGTCTAGAAGTGCCAACTTTTCGACGCGCGCCGACCACCCGCGCTTAAACTGATCGGAGAGGACTCTTCTTGTATCTTGTCTGTTCGTTTCATATTCTTTTTACGATTTCTAGTGGTTGCTGCACGCAGCAACAGTGACACCGTCCTGTAAATATGGAACCCATTTTTATTCGTTATAATCGCAACACGCAGCTTTTCTCTTTTCCCAACCTACTGTTTTCCCAACCTACTGGACCTTTCGCAGGGCGCCTCGAGGCAGCTCGTGAACATGACGAGGGAGGTAGGTCAATGGAAAACAGACTGAATTGCAATCATGGCGCAGTGTGTCTCGCGGGCTCCATGAAAAGGTCCTCGTCGGTCAAGAGTGTAGTCAGTCTGAATACTCGGTCGCTATCGGGTGAGGGGTTCTTCGCGCCTTCGAGAATGAGCGCGGCGGCCGAAGACTCGAAGGTAGATGAGAGCGAATCGCCGACCGAATTGACCTGGTGCGTTCCTAGCGTCTGTTGAAAGGAGGTGGTGACATTTGAAGGTCCCTTAACTTTACGGTAAAGCAAAGCCGATCGATATTCTTTAGCATGCGAGATCGTCCCACTCGACAAGTCGGACGAGTCGGAGAAACTGAACCTCGACGCGAGCGGGGCCGTATCGCACGTGAAGCTGGAGAGATCATTAGGGATCCGATCCCAGCTCGTCGTTCCTGTTGAAAGCGTGGCTTGCGATCCGGAGGAGGAGGTAGAGCCTTCGGACGCTTCGGGTACGGAAAGCAGGGATTGCGTGAACTCGGGGAACTCGATCTGCGCAGTCATTTGTTCACAGATTGCGCGATCTTCGACTGAGCCGTCACATGACGCCTGGAGTGATGAGGCTCCACTATACGGTCCAGATGCGAAGAACTGATCACCGAATACGGTCGTGGTCGTCGAATCGAAGCTGAAGAGATCCCCTTCGGCTGGTCGAGGGGGTCGCCTCGGGACTTTGAAACTCGAATCGAAGGTGGGACGTAGCCGGATCACCGGCCGGGAAGGAGGCGGAGACCGCGGCGGGACTCTGTAGCGGAGATGGCAGATTTGATTTTTCAGGGGATTCGGATGCGACTCGTTGGCTTGCATGAGCTTCCGTTTTACGGCGCTACCTACAGAGCCTCGGCCGCCGGGCATCAGAGTCGGTCAAGCGGGGTCACGAGAGGATTATCAGGTCGAGCTCACGGATGACTTGGGGAAATGATAGTTTTGAAGGCGAGGATACTGTGGGTTGTTTTCCTGGACTAGGCAAAGACGACTCGAGTTCAGTGGCTACCGCCGCGAGGATGTGGTGATTGTGCTCGGGGGTCGAGCGAGCTGATGGCGTCACGATTCGATGGTTCCTTTTGCCCGGTGTCGACTAGATGGAGGTGAACTCTTTGATGCGTCAGGTAGTGCCCGCTAGTACACTGGGCAATACACCTTTGACGTACCCTCAGTGAGGCTCGAGCCTGTCGCAATGTAGTCAGCGCGGCCGAGCTCGTCGACCTGATTTCCGGCGATTTCGGCACCGTGGCCACCCCTGGACCGTCGACTCTGGGAGCGGCAAGCGGGCAGAAAATAGATGCATTCCCCCCGCCACTCTGCCCATGCAGCATCTCTTCGGTGTTCTCGAAGTACTGCTCTGTGCTCTTTTGCACATTTCTACCGCCTGTGCAGGTAGAATGGCCAACTACGATACATCAGCTCGTAGTCTCATCGAAAAGTCGGCACTCGACCTCCGCCCACTGACCTGATCCGCAAGACATTTCGACAACTCCCTACTCTTCCTCAGCTGCTCATTTTCCTTCTCTAACGCTTTGAGTCTCGCCTCGAGGACCTTGATGCGTTCGCGTTCGGTCATCCTACGCTCGTGTACCTTGGCTTCGTGACCTTTGCGAGTCAGTTCGGAAGCGATGGGGCCGAGGAGGATCGCTTCGACTCGAGAATGGGGGCGATTTTTCCGTGGGGATGTTGCAGTCGGATCTGAAACTCTTGGAGATGGTGAGTGTGATGGCCGAATATCGAGACCTGTTTGGCTGGGTTTGGTTGAGCTGGGAGGCAATGCCGCGAATCGGACGGTGGTCCGTCGGGAAGGGGTTTCAGCTTGGCCCTCATGCACACCCCATTGACTTCCGGCCGTCCTTCGTTGAGACCTCGAGTCATCTTTGGTGAATACACCTCCCCGTGGTCGTGGACGATTCCGATGTCGATGAAGCTGATCCTCGATCTCGGCGACTTCCTCTTCCACTCTCCAAGTTGGGCTCATTCTTGGTCGCTTCGAGTGTAGACTCGCCTCAGAGAGCTCCTCTTCCCGATTCTCGTACTCCACGCTTCCCAGGTCTGTGCGAACTCTCGATGGTGTGTTTGCGCCACTAGCGGCGCTCATGAACGCCGATGCCTCGTCTCTAAGACTTCTCCACATGTGGGAGAAGAACGACAATGACGGTTCGTCCTCAACCGCCGTGTGCTTCATCGGGCTTGACTCGTGTTCGATCGAATCGTTTTGCCGCCTTGAGGGGGAAGTAGAAGCTTGCCGCAGAGGAGAGTCTGTCGTCGTCGCCTTGGACGTGGATGTTGATCGACCGAGGTCTCGATCGCTAGCTCGCTGGTGCGCGTCAGGGGTCGTCAACGCCAGACCGATCAAGTTGTTCGTAGCACTTTGGAGTACCTCGTTCCGCGGTGGGGGGAGTGGAAACATCGTTTTTGAGTTTGGTGGCTGGTCGGAGGGCCGAAGGAAGGAATTGATGATGGGAAGGGGAGGTGGGTAGGGTCAGAACGGGCTCAGGGGTATCGTGGCTTCAGCTGCGGCGCGCTGAGACAGGGGTTAGGAGACTCCTCCTATTTTGGGCATATTTCGAAAACGTGGAGGCACTCTGAGGATTAGGTTATGTTGTGTCCTCTACTCCGGAGTGTGGCCTACGATACGTGACCTCAAATCCGAGTCTGCGAGTCAGTTATTCCGACTCGATCGATCGCTGTCGAGCGAAGCGGTTTGAGCTTGAGCCCCAAGTCGCGAGCGAGCGAGCTCTCCCCCAAGCTCTCACCACGTCTCGACACTTGGAGCGTCGCGTGTCTCGCACGACCTCTGAGTAATTTGAACCGGGCGCAAGAGCTCATTCGGAGAGGCGACGAAGACGTCAACATGTCGAGCGAAGACTTTTCTGCACCCCTCGCTCCCACGACGGCTGCTCCCGACTCGGCTTCGCAACCGACACCGTCGGAGGTCGCTATCGCCGGTCCCTCCGTGCCTAGCAACGAGCACAACCCAACACACCCACCTCAACCCTCGACATCAGCCTCTTCAGTACCCATAGTAGACGAAAACGGTCGAACTCTCTCCAAGAACGCGTTGAAGAAGCTCAAGAAAGCCGCGGCGCGGGAAGCGACGAAAGCGTTCCGACGCCAACAAGAACGAGCCTCGCGTAAAGCCAAACAAGCTCGCAAACGACAACTCGTCGCCGAGGGGGTCTTGGACAAGGAAGAATTGGAGAGCGTGGCGAGTCGCAAAAGGAGGAGGCTGAGGGAGGCGGGGGGGAGGGTCGTGCCGCATGGGGCCAAGGTGATTATTGATTTGGGCTTCGATGAGCTCATGACGGAAAACGTAAGTCACGTGCAAAGTGGGTGGCACCGAATGGGACAGAGAGTTCAAGTCATCGATTCTCGTTCGCAGGAGGTCAAATCCATGTCATCGCAACTCGGGTTCTGCTACTCGGCGAACCGCAACGCTCTGAAACCGTTCGACCTCATCATGACCTCGCTCAGTGGGCGACTCAAGCAACGCCTCGATTCGACGAAGGGGACACCGCATGAGCATTGGAAGGGCGTGAGGTGGATGACGGATTCCTATACCGCACTATACGATCCTTCGACTGCGACCGCACCGTCCACTACGAGCTCGACGACGGCCTCAACCGAAGCCTCGACTTCGACTTTGAGCCCCACTGCGACCACGACGGCTACCCCCACCGAGTCCGAAGCAGCTGCCCAGGCTGGACCCACTCCCGTCGAGGCAGACCCACTCCCTGCTCTCGACAAGTCCTCCTTCATCTACCTCACCGGCGACTCAACGAACGTCCTCACCACCATAGACCCAACCAAGACCTACATCCTCGGCGGCATCGTCGATCGCAACCGCTACAAATCCCTCTGCCTCGACAAAGCGCTCCAACACGGCATCGGCCATGCCCAACTCCCCATCGGGGAATACCTCGCCGAAATGCCGACGAGGAAGGTCCTGACTGTGAATCAGGTGTACGATATCATGGTCCAGTTTGTCGAGTGCGGCGATTGGGAGAAGGCGTTGAGGGATGTGATGCCGTTGAGAAAGATGACGCATGGGACGCCGGGGCATAAGAAGACGGGCGAGCGGAAAGTCAAGATTAAAGAGGCTGAGGCAAGAGCCGAGGGGGTCTACGTCGCAAAGGATGAGATGGCGGACGAGGATGATGGGGTCGACGGTGCACAGGACGATGAAGATGACGACGACGACGCGAGTGACGCAGTGCCGAGTGATGAAGGAGAAGAGGGAATGTCGGGCATATCAGAAGCAGGCAACGACGACGTAGAACCATCAGTAGCAACATGTCATAGTTTGCATTGCCACATCTAAGGTCTAATGCTAGTCTAGAGGTGTGAGCTTGGGACCCGATCCGAGAGCATCGGCCAAAGAGACTTGTCCCGAGCCTCGTTTCGCCGGTTTAGGCTGCGAAGGGTCCGGTTTCCATCCGATCTACGTGTGTCGAGTTCTCATCAGTCAACGACGCCACGATCGAAGAGGAGCTGCAAAATCACTGCTCACCATGTGCATGATCTGGAACGTCGCCGGGATTGTCCCGTCCTCATGCCCGTGCAATTCTGTCATGGAAAGGGGACACTTCCCGTTGGATTTCGGCCGCCAGAGAGTTTAGGGAAGAACGGCGACTGACCTCGGTAAATCGAAGCAGCGGCCAGCAAGGTGTCTGGATTCAACCTCGACCGTCTGTGGACGAAAAACATTGAAGAGTTAACTCTCTGGCTTGGCATCACCTTGCACTCCGAACGCACCTGTTGATGACGGCATTCGATTCGCCCATCCACTTGAGGTCCTCGACTAGCTCGAACATGCTAGGATAGCTGATGTCGATCTCGTCGACGTCGACAGTGGCCAAATTGAAGCCGGCTCGGTTCAGGAGTGAGGTGATGGATTGTGAATCTAAGAATGACAGGGTGGGTTAGGTGGTCCACCTCAAGTGGGTCAAAAGGAGGACTGACTTGTCATGGGAGAGATACGGGGCGAGATGCCGCCTTCTCGTTCAATCTCGGCCAATTGCAGTGCAGTTCTGGCGCAAAGACCTTCGTATTAGCCTTCTAACTTGCAAAGCAAAACGAGCGTCAAGTGGCGCACCTGAGTTCAAACAGCGTGTCGCCACCGAGCATACTCCCGATGAAGACTCCATCGGGCCTCAGCGCTCTCCGAATCTGAATCAGGGTTCCTGCGACGCCGATGAGGACCCCGCGAATCAGTTCAGAAGGGTTCGAATGTATCTGGGCAAATCTCCGACCAACCTGGGAGATCGTTGACCCAGTGCAGCGCAAGACAGGACATGATGGCGTCGTGCGAGTTCTCCTCGAACGGCAGCGCTTCTTCGTCGCATACGATCCTCTCGATCGGCACTGGGATGAATAAGCAGTAGCTTCAGTCATGCTCAGCGGAGAGTTGTGTAACTTTCCAGTTCGTCACTGACCATCGAATTCGTGATCTTGGTCCCTGTAGAGCATGTTCCCTGTTCACCCATACAATCGCCGATCGCCGAGCGGAGGACGTGAGCCAGAAAGCGAAGGGGGAACAAATTGAATCAGCGATGTCGACTGACTCGATGAATCGGTCATGACGACCTTTTGCGTGATTTCTGGGTCGAGATGCTTTGCGATGTAGCCTGGCCCGGAGCCGATGTCGAGCACAAGTGGGAAGCGACGCTTGATGTCCTGCGAGCATCCACGTCATCCTCGGAGCAGAATCAGTGGTCGAGAGCTCCAAGCGGCATTCATCTTGGCTCGAGAGCCGGATGATTCCGAGTTGGTGCGTCTTGATAGTGTCTAGTATAGCCAGCTGGCCATGCTTGACCACCACTCCCTCGAACTGGCCGATCAATCTGAAGCTGAACGAAATCCGGATCGATCGAGACTTGCAACGCGTGAACTGACCAGCAATCGATCAACCATATTCGCCGCGACCTCATCCTTGATGTAATCGGTCAATCTGCTCTTCTCGGGATCCCTAGCGGCGCGATTACGTTGCAGTCGCTTGAGTTGGCGATCAAAGACGACGAAGGGCGAGCCGGGCGAACCGGCGCCTTGCGAACCGGGCGCGAAGGACGAGGTTGCGTACAAGCGAAGACTTGGCACGAGGCGAGAAGTGCTTGGCTTGGGAGGCATGGTCGTAGAGAGAGTGGGTGGGTATCGGCTGGTCCGAGGTGGGCGATGTGGCGCAACACCGAAGCTCCGAGGTGGTCGGGAGCGAAGGAGGTGGAGGTGGGGTGTGCGAGCGCGGTCGGCTCGAGCCGATGTCGACGACAACGGGCTGGGCGCGCTCGCACGGGGTGGCACGCTCGGGGTAAAACGTTCAAATTTCTCGTACGGCGGGAGGCTGCTCGGGTACCAACCGTGCCCCGGGTGGGCCGTCAAAAACTCCAAGTCAGAAAGGTACCTACGCACAAAAAGAAAAGGGGACACGCGCACCAGGTTTCGCAACGAAGCAGCTTGCGGGAGATCGTTATCGATCCGAGCGTGCGGCGCGAGCGTGCATAGCTGTGCAATATCGTGCAGAGGTGTTGGAACGAGCCAAAGAGGAGTATGCATGGCTATACACCAATATGTATCCACATGTATGAAGACGTATGCAGCGCCGAACGGCTGCCTGCTACGGCGACTCGATCCGCGTCGCACCGAGTGGGGGTGGGGGCTGCGGAAGTCAGGAGTCGGCGCGCTTCGAGTTGCTGAAGCAATGGGAGGGTGGGCTTTACCCCATCAATAGGGTTCAGAGGATCGATGATGCAGTAGAGGAGATTTTTGATCGATAGTTCTTAGGGGTGATGACTCGAATACCACGCCATGTCCAGCCTTGACTGTGGGGAGACCGGGAGATCTCCCCCAAGTGAGTAACAAGGTCTGGTCTTCTCCCCAAAGTGGTCACTATTACTAATCCTGAAAAGCGACTCGGGCGCGGCGCGCTAAAAGGAGGCGGGGTGGGTTCGTCTCCTGACTTTAAACTGGTACGGCGCACAGGTGCACATCTCGTGACGTCTTTCTCGTCGCGGCTTTGTTCGCAGTCCCCTCTCCGGCCAGATTCCCCCTCCCCCCCCCCCCCCCCAAAAAACGCAAGCATGGTCGCTGGTCCGGTACGCAACCGGTTGTCGTCGCCTCCAACTGTCTCACCTCGCCAGGTTGAGCCTCGGACCCACGATGGCGCTGCTGGTGATGATGCGACGACGAACAAGACCGCCCGATCGCCACGTCGACTGCAACGACGCGTATTCCCGAGGGCACCCATCACAGAACTCGACACAGGTAAGTCACCTGTTAGTCTATTGTGTGTCGTCGAACTCAGCATTGACCGTTGCGCGCTCTCATACCGTCGATCATCTCTCGTCACCCACCCACCGACCAACCTCTCACGTGTCCGTGCGCCCCGTCCCCGTCCCCGTCCCCGTCCCCGTCCCCGTCCCCGTCCCCGTCCCCATCCCGGAACATCGCTCAATCCGCGATCGCCCGGACTTCCTCAGCCATGTCGGCCGCCAACTTTTACATCCCTACCCTGCCTGGTCTACCCGCCGACTCGACCCTGTCCATGTACGGCGGCCACATCCCCTCGTTGCCGTCCACCTCGCAGGTCGGCGCGACTTCGGCCACCAGTTCAGAGTCGGATGCGCACCTCTACTTCTTCATGCTCAAGGCGCGCCACATCGCCGACAAGGAACGCACCATATTCTGGTCAGTCAAGCGACGCGGCCTACACAGTGCTTCCGCTCACTCTTTGTCCATTCTGTATTCCGATGACAGGTTCAACGGAGGACCGGGGTGCTCTTCGTTCGATGGAAGCATGATGGAGGTCGGACCTTTACGGCTCGAACCGGGGAGCAAGGGCACGCTCAAAGAGATCGACTCGGCATGGAACGAGTATGCCAATGTCGTATTCGGTAAACCGCCTTTCTCCCACTGCCGGCCACATCTTAGTCCTCGAGCACCTGAAGACTGACTCTCGTTGTTCACGCAGTCGATCAACCTGCTGGGACAGGCTATTCATACGTCTCGACCAACAAATACGTACACGAGATGGACGAGGTCAGTCAGAAATGAACTTTGACTTGTCGCGCGCCGACCTTGTAGAGCAAAGAGCAACCCTCGCTGACCCTTGTGTCGTGTCCAGGCTGCGAATCACGTCGTCGAATTCATGACTCGATTCTACACCGTCTTTCCCGAATTCCAACGACACGATGTGATTAGACTTGAATGGCCGACGTTCCATCTGCGATATGCTGATCATGTGCTCTCTAAATCCGCAGACCTACCTTGCCGGCGAATCTTTCGCGGGCCAATACATCCCCTATATCGCACGAGCGATCCTCGATTCGGCTCGGATCAAGACCCCTCTCAAAGGTGTTCTCATTGGCAACGGCTGGATCGACCCGTATTCGCAATACCCGGCCTACCTCGACTTTGCACTTCAATCGGGCGTCATCAAGAAAGGGTCGGCGGCCGAAACCCAAGTGCGCCAAGCCGTCAAGGAGTGCATGGACGCGCTCGAGTCCCGCGGGGGGAAACTCAAGGTCAAGGTTCATACCGGGTTGTGTGAAGCTATTCTCCAGGGCATTACGGATGCGACGGTGACCAGGTGAGTCGAGCCTTTGGTATCGACCCTCCTCTCTCGTAGAGCGGCCCTCACTGACGCCGAACTTGCGGGTTCAGTGTCAATGGCTTGGACGTATGTGTCAACAATTATGACGTGCGATTGACCGACTCCTACCCAGCATGCGGCATGAACTGGCCCCCGGATCTCGCGGATATTACGCCATATCTTCAGGTGAGTCGCAAGACCCTCACCAACCTTCCTCTTCCCCGACGGGAACTTGGCTCTAACTCTCTACGTTGACGTGACGTGTAATAGCGAGAGGATGTCAAAAAGGCTTTCCATGCGTCGCGTCACGACGGAGGCTGGACGGAATGCAATGGTGGCGTCGGTTCCAACTTTTGGGCCTCGGAATCGGTCCCGGCGGTGCAGTTGCTGCCCAAGCTCTTGGACGAGATCCCCGTGTTGCTGTTTGCTGGTGATCAGGATCTGATATGTGTGAGTGATGCGTGGGTTCATCGACTCTAGACCTGATAGCTTATTCTGATGGTGTGTGACGTGTGCCTACAGAATCATCTTGGTATCGAACGATTGATCGAAGGGCTGACTTGGAAGGGCGAGACTGGATTCGGGGTGAGTGGTCATCTCGCACAACCAAGTTGCGTGTGGATTTCCTGACTGAACAAGCGCTTGCCGAATGCTTCCTGCAGACCGAGAAAGCCAAAGATTGGTCCGTGAACGGCAAACCCGCGGGGCAATGGACGACCGCACGCGGTCTGACCTACGTCAAGATCACCGATGCGTCCCACATGGTCCCTTACGACCAACCCTTGGCCGCGCACGACATGTTGTTGCGTTTCCTCGATGTCAACCTCCTCGGTGCGGCGGGATCGAGCGCTCGAGTCCCTTCCAAGGTCGGAGATGAGGTCGAGGCTGTTGTGGGGGAGACCAAGATTGATGGAACCGCGGTTACTGGATCTAATGGCGTTCGACTTGAAGAAGGAGGGACGGGTCCCAAGACCGATGCATCGGACAAGACCAATGTCGGTGTAGGCGCGAGCGACTTGGACAAGTCTGCCGGATCGGGACTTGGTATGGGTCTCGGGATAGGAGCAGGTGGAACGAGTCCCGCCGCGGTCGAAGGTCTCGTCAACGTCGGCTCCGCCTTGGTCATCATCATCATCATGACCTTGTCCCTCGGTGTGTTTCTGCTCGTTCGAAGGAGGATGCGTCGACACTTGCATGGTATCGGAGGGAAGAATGGCGCTGCACCCGGATTGGGAGGTCGAAGAAAGAGTCTTGGGAGGGGCCAAAGCCTCTCGGAACGGACGCACGAGATGGACAACCTCGTTGTTCCAGGGGCGAGTGGTCATGCGGAGGATGATGAGGAGCAGTTCATTGGGGGGAGAGGGAGGTCCGCGAGCGAGGTCTTTGGGGTCGGCGAGTACGATGAGGATGAGGATGTCGAGGATAGGAAGTTCAAGGATTGATTGGGAGGGGCTGTTCGCATTTACAATGCATCTTGGTCGGTTGTAATACTTTAATCAGAGTGATGCGAACATAATTCACCCACACCCCGATACCCCATCGTGCATCTGTTACTCGGGAAAGAACAGACACGTTAACAACCACCGCCGAATTCGAGGTGGACACCGAAGTTGTAGTCGAGATCGTCAGTATGGCGGGTTTGCACAGACCCATGCAATGGTGCCTGTAAGTGAAGTGATTTTAGCGTCCCCGCAAACTCGCAATTGCAACCGACCTTTTCAGTCTGCTCTCTTCTTTCAAAGCGGCAGCCAAAGGCGGCAACCTCTCGGCCCTCCCTAGACAACTGGTGTGGCGCATAGACGATGCAATGCATTTTGACAAAGTATATCATCGACACATCCCCTACAAGAAACCTCGCACACGTTTACCAGTCACCGGAAGCGGCGGGGGCTGCCTCAGCGGCGGGAGTCTCAGCCTGGGCGGGAGCGGCCTGGGCCGGGGCGGGGGCCTGTTGTTGGGCAGGGGCCACGATCTCGGCGGCACCACCACGGGCCTCGGAAACGGGTTGGCCAAGCGTGGCCGAAGCCGACTCCTCCTTGGGCTCGACGATGGTGACGACATCGGGCAAGGGTTTGGCGGGGCCGGTGATGCCTTGGGGGTCCCATGCCTTCATGATCTTGACCTTGATACCGAGAACACCTTGTCGGAGCAAGACGTGGCGGACGGCATGGTCAACGAACTCGCGAGCGGGCTAAGGGAAGGAAAGATGGGGTGCAAATCAGGGGTGCAAATCAGTACAGTGTCCCACTACCTGATCAGGAGGTAGGTGGGCTGGCACTCACTTGACCGGAGTGGATCATGTAGCCGTCGGTGAATTTCATCGACTTGGCACGGGCGGCACGCAGCTTGCCGGAGACAACGACCTCGCAACCCTTGGCACCGGACTCCATGATGAATCGGAGCACACCGTAGCAAGCACTGTGGGCAGGCAGAACTGGCTGATTAGCGGCCGCCGCTCGCCAAGGGATAACAGCACGCTCTCGCGACTGACCGTCGGACGGCAAGACCACCGAGGAGCTTGTACCTCAACGACTCGCACTGGGCAACAGCATCAAGACCACGGTTCTGGACCTTCTCGGCGTAGAGCTCGACGGCGCCTTCGGGGAACTTGAATCGCTTCTGGACGAGCGAGGTGAGCTCGCGGATGCGACGTCCCTTCTCGCCGAGGACCTCCTGGGTGTGGGTCGCGCGGATGATGATCTCGGTGCGGGCGTGGGTGACACGGACCTCGCATCCCGAGTAACCCTCGGACGAGAGCGATCGAGTGAAGAACTCGGAGAGCTCGGCGCTGCAGGATGGAAAGAGAGAGGAGTAACGCGAGCAAAGACGCAGGTCAGCCACGGCGTCCTGGGGTGTAGTTTCTCGAGACGATGGACGATCGAGCTTACTAGAAGACACCGTCAGCCACGAACTTTCTTCGCTTGGAGATGTTGGTCGAGGCCATGCTGTAATGTGAGGTAAGCGAGAGAGAGGCAGCGGAGTGGTCAGCGAACGCGGCCTGCGGAGCGCGAGCCAGACTCGAGAGCCAAAGCGAGAGAGGTGAGCGCAGGCGTGGCCGTAGGTGTGTGCGGGCTGCGAGCGAGCGTGGAGCGTGGTCGGCGCGATCGGCGGCTGCGATAGGTCGAATACGTAGTTATAATGGTGCCCGTGGTCGAGCCAACGGATCAATGACAACCCCGGTACTCCACAAGTAACATCTCGCCAGCCATAACAGCGTAATGCTGCCGGGCTGGGAGATGCGTCCTGCTGCCTGGTTGGTGCTGAGATTCTGGCATGCGGTCGCGTGGGTGCGTAACACACCGAGCGACGACACCGCCGACCCCAGCCAACCCGCCCTCATCTTTTGCATCCCCTTCTATTTTCCCCTTATGCCCACTGGCCTCCACGAACGTCGCCAGGTGTGAGTGGCCGTCGTCGCAGTTCGCAGTCGGGTTCCTCGCCGCCGCGGTCGTCGTCGTCGTCGAGCTCGCGAGCGGGGTGGACCAAATTCTGCCCGTCGCAAGGCCCAGCCTCGAGCGGGGCGAATCGTCGAGGTCGCTCGTCGTGGGTCGAGAGGTGTACGCTGGTCTCGTCGGAGGGTCGTCTCCACCACGGCACCCGGCACGGTAGGGTAGGGGCAGGCTATACTCACATGTTGTCGATGGGTAGGAAGCTGAGCAAAACTCGAGGCGAGGCGCAGGCGTGACCCTTTGCCTTTTGCCCCGGCGCAGTTCCCCCTCCAGCCCAGCCCACGCACCCAGCACCAACTCGTCGAGAAGCAAAATTGTTAGCCGCCCCCTCGCGGCTCTTGCCGCCCGGCTCAAAACGCAAGAAGCAGCGTTGCAGCAAACTTTATACATCGTTCTGGAAGACTTTTAAAGAGTCCAAAAATGCATTTCAAAATTGCTTCACAAGCCTCGTAAAAAGCATACAATTTTCCGCCTGTATTGCGGAGACGCAGGCAAAGCGAATCGGCCGCAGGGAGGAAAACTGCTGGATCCTTGTTCGTTCCCGTTTGCATCCCGTCCCTCCACCTCCACGCTCCACGCTTGTTCCACTCTGGAATCCCCAACTCCTTAATTTCTCTCCCCTGCCATGCTCGTATTTCAGTACCCATCCTGAGTTCCCTTTCTCTGCACCACCGCCCTCGAGCCTCGAGGTGCCACAGCCTCTCTTGAATCCGTCGATGCAGCTGCGAAGCTTTTCCTTCGAGTTTCTTCACGTCAGCCCCGTTTCGATCACAGGCCTCGCCGATTTGCCTGCTACCCTCAGCAAAAACTGGTGTATCGTCGATTCGACCACAGGATCTGACCACCTCTTCGTGACTGACCACTCGGGCACGGGAGGAAACGGCTCTCCCTTTTCCTCGCGACGGGGCTCGAGATCGTGAGAGTCGACCCGGAAGGAGAGGGGCCTTGCGGTCTCTGCTGTTACAATGTGAGCAAACTTTCCATACATTTCCTTTCTTTCCAAGCCTCTGTCTCCTGCTCGTCGGGTCTCGGGTCTCTCTGCCTGAGCCGGTTTCGATATTTAGCTCCTCTTCAGCTTTCCCCTTCCTCTTTTCCAAACATGATGATACGGAGCTTGGTACTCCTATTTTATAACTGGCACCTCTTATTCTAGGGGTCGGACAGATTCGCCCTTGCTTCCTCTTGTGGGCCCTTTTTCTTCTCAAAGCATCCCGTAAGATCTGCTTTGTGGAGAGGGAAGGGTTCTCGAGGAGGCTCGGGTTTGAGCAGCTCCTTCTTCGATGAGTTCAAATTGTTCTGATCCAAACTATACACATACGACTCTTTTTCCAATTCCATCACTTTTCGAGGACTACATTGATGACGATGGACTTGTGCTGACTGTGTTTGGAAATCGCTCTGCTTCGTTGCAGATTATGGAACTGCTCTGAAGCATCTCTGCTCAATGCTCCATCTTTGCAATCTGAACATGCACGTTTGCTCTCCACACCACGTGACATCTTTGCATTTTGATCTTGTCCTTCCGGGAAAGCTCCTCCTTTTCAGAGCGTAGTCGGCAACTCTGCTCGAATCCCGCAAGGAGGACAATCCTCTCCTCACGCCTCGTCCTAACCACACCGAACGCATCTAGGATATTCGATCCAGCTATTGCAAACAAGAGAAACGATCTACGTCATCTACGAAGCACGTTCCCTCTCGCTTTTCCCTTTTATGGGAAGTTTTGATGTGATGTTTTAAGCCTCCTCCTCTTCGTCGTTCAAAGCCTCGGAAGCGAAGAATTTGAGGGTGAAGGTGTCGGGGCTTGTCGAGACAACGCGGAGCCATTCTCGGACTGCGCGCACGTGGAAAGGTGGAGCGATGGCAGAGAGGGGTGGTCAGTTCTATAGAGACACGATTGCTCAAGGGGAAGAAAGGATCCGCGGTCTCTCCCAGACCCAGAAATCCTCTCCAACGAGAGGTCCTCAATGAAAAGAGATTCCCCGAAAGTCCAACGTACGCATGTTCTTCTTGAGGAACTTCTTGGTCAAGTACCTGATGTACCTCTTGCTCATCGGGACCGAGCTGGTGATGGCGATCTTGCCCGCGCCGGCATTTTGGACCGCGATGACGTCGCCGAGTTGGCCGGTCTTGCCCTCGTGCTTGATCGAGTTGATCAGGAATTGCTGGTACGCCTCGGCATCGAACTGAGAGAAAAAGGTGGAAGAGTGAGTAAACGGAGAGGGTAGGGAAAGGGATGGAGGAGCGCCCCGAGTTCCGATGAGACGAGAACTGACGATCTTGTTGTCGGCCGGGGCGGAGAAGTCGACGATGAACTTGTGCGAGCTGGTGGCGGCGGCCTTCTTGTTCTGGTGCATATGAGAAACCGAATGGGGAGAGCGAAGCGGGGTTCGGAAGTCAGAGGAGGGTCAACATTGTCATACGCGCGTAGGCGAGGTGGTACTGCTGCACCAAAGGACTGACAGCAGCGGTGGGAGCCATTTTTGAGTATAGCTGTGTGCACGTAGAAAGAAAAGATCAGCCCAACCGTCCCTGCGATTTGAAGATGGTCGGTCCATTGTTGGCTGTAGCAGCTGTGCCTCCCAAGCGGGCCATGACCACGAGCGGCGACGATCGCGCGAAAAAAAGCCACGACGCCTCGACGAGCCACGGTAGGTCCGATCGGATCAGGGCACGGGACGAGGCTGGGGGAGGTGGTACAGTGATGGGGTGTGGAAGTAGCCACGAACGAGTGTATGCAGCGACGTACGTTTTGAACGGGGACGACGATCAGGACGCAACCTCCCTTCTCCACGCTCGTGTGCCACCTTTGATCCTCCCTCTCCAGGCCAGTCCCTGCCAGTCCAGGCCCGGCGCTTTGGGCTGGCTGGCTTGGGCTGGCTGGCTGGCGGCCCCGGCCATTTCCTCAGCGCCGCGAAGTCGCTCGTGCGCCACGCCGCCTCAGCCAAAGGGCCCCGGGCTGCCCCGGGGGCGAGATATAACTAAGCTCTGCCCGTCAAGATTTTTGGGTGTTGTTGCTCTACTCACAACAACAAGTAGCTTATCTTCTTCTTCTCAGCCTGGAGACATGAGAAAAGATTCACCGCGACATGATTGAATACTGCACAAACTTGCCGGCTATTTCGCGCTGGCGCGCTGGCGCTTCGATCGGGTCACGGCGTCCGTGCGTGTCCGTGCGCAAGCGCGCATAGTTGCGCTCCGGCCCGGTGCATATCGCTTCCTCTGCACATCCTTCTCTCAGGCTCCCAGGGGCCACCTAAGCTGCCAAGTGTCGACCCGCTGCCGGACCATCGCGCTCTCGGGCAATCGGTCGTGGCACTCACCCACAACATACGCATCCATCACCAGCGCCACCACCATCACCACCACTCCAAGACCTGCGCTGATGGCTCCGAGCTCCACTTCGGCCTCGTCCTTGATGAAGCCGAAGGGGAAAGCGCTCGTCGGCGCGATCGCCCTCGGTTCGCTCGTGTTCCATTTCGTACTGTCGTCCAAGCTCGGCTGGGTCTCGTCCCATCTGGCGAGTGACCGCGAGGAAGAAGACTGGAGGAGGCTCGAAGGCATCCGGGCCGTGATCGGGGTCGGGAGAGCCGTGTCGCTCGCTTCCGGCGCCGTCGCCGCGCTCGGGCTCTACGGCGTCGTCAAGGACCATCTCCCTTTCCTACGCCTCTTTACGCTCAACTCGTTCATCTCGCTCGGTGGAGAACTCGGTCTGCTGCTGGTCATCGTCTTTCTCGCATCGTCGTCCTCGTCGAGCTCGGTCACGTCGTCCGTGTGCGCGTCCATCTCCAACTCGGACATCTCGCTCGAACTCTTTGGCTGGTCCCAAGAGACATGCGAGGAGCGCTTCAGCTCGTTGCTGCTCACCTTCCTCGGTTTCGCCGCGACCGTCTCGTTGCTTCGAGCGTGGTGCTCGGTCCAGGTGCTCGGGTACTACACCAACCTGTCCAAACGACTGCAGCGTCGACCCCACCTCTCGATCAACGTCCGAAGTGCGACGGCGTCCAGCTCGGGCGACCGCTACTACGATCGAGAACCCGATTCGGCCGGAGGCGGATATGCAGGATCTTTGTCGTCCAAACGTCAACGCATCTTTCTCCTACCTCAACCGATCGATCGACAACGTGATGGCTTGGGTGTCGATGTCCCCTTGCTGTCGTTCACCTCCAGTACACCGGATACGACCTCGTTCCCTCCGACAAGCTTCCCTCCTACGACGGGGCACACGACTCTTGCTCCGATTGAAGAGACGCCCAAGTATCTCGTGTACGCGCCAGTGATGATGACGGCCGAAGAAGCACGCACCATTGGAGCTCGTGAGCTCGTGCTCGGTAGTGGGAGTGGGCGGACGAGACCTCGTTCGAATCCAAGCAATAACCATTCGGTGTCGACACCGCTGAGCGCGCACCCCGTCTCTGGACTTGATTCGCCAACACCGACGCCGACGGCTTACATTCCCTCTTTACTGTTGCCGACAACGGACGAAGCCCCGAACGTGAAAGGCAAAGTAGCCTGAGTCGTAGGAATTCCAAGAGGTAGAGGTGGGCGGCCGCGCTCTCTCGCTTTTAGTGGGGTCCGATTCTTCCATCAGTCTTAGCATGCCATCATTTCGTAGCGTCCCGTCATGTCGTCTTCATGTCTGTTCTTTGTTCCATTAAGTTTTCTTTCAACCCTTGTCGCATATCCACATCTTTCTGCCTTCATTGATACTTGAAGCCCTGTTCGGTCGTTGGGAGGACCTCTCGACGTGTAGGAACGTTATATATGAAGTAACAATTTTGTTACTTGTGAGCTTCGTTAGCTCCACTCGAGGTCCAGCGCCTGAAAATATCGTCTATTTTTGTGTAGACCAGTTGAAATTAATCCTCATTCTCATTCGACATGTTCGGCCCGGCGCCGAGGGTAAGCGATAACTCGTGGAGCTCGACTCTTTCTACTGTTGACCGTATACTCGCCTGGAGAAAGTAGCGTCATGGCACCACCTGCACCTTTTCAGATCTGTCTGTGCGAGAAGCCAGAGGACGAGAAGCGATGCTTGGATATCAGGATGTACGTCGCTTGCTTGAAACGATCGTCGAGACGGAGTTGCAGCCCAAAGCTCGCGGTCCCCTCAGGAAGCGATCGAACTGATCGCTGACCCGCCGAGCAGAGAAGTCTTCATCGACGAACAAGGCTTCTCAATGGAAGATGAACTGGACGCAAAAGACCCCGGATCGGATCACCTCATCTTGGTCGATACGGAGACGGAGCAAGACATCGGGACGATTCGCTGGTATCCCCCGATGGGGAAATTGGGTCGGCTGGCGGTGAGGAAGGAGTATAGGGGGATTGGAGCTGGTCAGTTGAAAGTTTTCGGCGTGGGAGAATGGATTTGATGTGGGGTAACCGACTGAGAGGATCCTGTATGTGCAGGTAAATGGCTCGTCGAAGCCTTGGAAGATCATTTACGATCGAGGAGGGGCAAAGGCGGGATCGCGAACGAGGATAAAGACGAGGTCTTGATTGTAACGAATGCCCAGATCTATGCCGAGAAGTTTTATAACAAGGTAAGTCGTACACTCGCCAAGAGAGCCGGCGAGCATACTGTTGATGTAGCGTGTTCCGGGGTGCAGAACTTGATCTGTGAAGAATCAGGTGTGGGCTCACTTTGCTGAGGTGTGAATGATTCTACGTGCAGTGCGGATACGAGGCGGAAGGAGTTCCATTCCAAGAGGTGAGATCTTCGGAACATATTGTGGAAGTTACCGTCGAGGACGCTGATGGGGGGGGGATCTATTATCTCGGTCGACGTCGTTGGTGCTTCTTGACTCGTGTTCACAGGACGGGGCACCGCATTTGAGGATGGTCAAGACGTTGAAGATCTAATGTGATATCACAGAGTATTTTATTTTGAATCGCACCGAGTTCAGACTCGTGATTCTTCCCGCATTGGGCCGAACTTACAAAGTGTTGACTTACAAAGTGTTGGCATCCCCGAAAATCACACGAAAGCCTGGTGCGCGAGAGTGCGAGAGAGTGCGCGGGCCAGACGCCAGACCCTGCCAGACCGGCGCGCCGGGACCGCGTCCCTCCTCTGCTTCCGCGAACATCGATCTCGCCGGCCCGCCGGGTACTATTCCAGCAGGGGGTGCACAATCCCATCCGCACGCTGTCCAAAATGGGCTTCTGTCAACGATGTGGCGAGATCACGGTCACCCCTCGATGCAAATGCGGTGGGACTGCTAAAGGTAAGATCAGCGAACCCAGGACTGATGCGACCGCGACGAAGTCGGCGACGACGTCGATCGCTCGCTCAACATCGCCGAGCATCGGCCGGACGGACTGCTGAATACGTCACTGATCGCTGACAAGGGTCGTCTGCGATCAAAGAGACTTCGACGCAACTCCTTTTCAGAGGATCGCCGGGGGATAAGTGGAGCCAGAGGTGAGCGACTGATCGTGTACTCAAGCTAGGAGTCTGAGCTCGCACCTACCGCCTGTTGTGGCCTGATGTGGCCTGATTGCGACGTCATGGTGGCTCGAGCGGAGGTGGAGGCAGTCGAGCGTGCGCATGTTCAGCCTGGGCGTATAGCTCATCCAAAGCCTTTCTTGTGCTTTAGATATGTCGCCAAGACCACCAGCCCCTCAGCGGCATCCCTCTTCGCGCCAGCGCCAATCTCGTCGGCGGCGGCGACACCCTCGTCAGCCTCAAAGCTGGGCCCCACCTCGACGAATTCTCCGAGTGCCACCCCTCGCGGCGGAGCTCACCTCCCAGCATCGACCACCTCCGGTACACCCGTTCGACCACCGATCAAAATAAATCCTACTACTTTTGAGAATCACGAGTTGTCGAGTGTTTTCGGGAGTGTGCTCAGCCCCAAGGATCAGTGGGAGTGTGCTGCGTGCCAGCATCGCTTCGTCCAGGTTCGTCTCAACTAGTGCTTGCATGGGTGTTCCTGTTTTGGGGTCCTCGGGTCAGCTCAGGACTCATGAGGGGCCGTCTCTAACGCCGTACCGGGTATGATGTTGTCCAGGAAGAGGTCATCTACCCCCACCCCAACGCCAAGGTCGACGCGCAGCTCTCCGAGCTCTACTTTTGCCGCGAATGCTTCGCCGATAGATTCAGCAAAGGCACTTGGTTCGTTTTCAATTTTCGCAAAGGATGCGCTGTTGACTTCTTTTTCCACCTGCTGACCCAAAGTCACTATTTTATCTGTATCATAGCAAGAAGTGCAAGTGTGCGGTCCTGTCAGATGCTCCGTTCATCAGGCATGATGACCGACTATGGCACGAAGTGAGCAACAGAGTTTTCCCTTTGGAAAATTGCTTACTCAAGGCTGACGAGTACACTTTCCCGTAGTCGTGTTACACCTGCTCCTACTGCTCGGTGAGCTTTTCAACTGCCGTAAGGATTCGGTACGTGCACCGAAACTGAGTCAACGGGGTGCTGCACCGAATTGTCCTTCCAGGATCCGCAAACCGGTCCAGTCATCGACTTCGCAGGAAACCCAAGCTGTGAGGCCTGCTTCGATAGCGAGGCGTACAAGACGAAAGGTGTTCCACCGTCCCCCCATTTAGCCCAAAAGGGGTTCGAGATGGGTCCAGTTAAGGCGAATTTGCGACCTGCGCCGAGCAAATGGGGCGGCTCGAAAGCGAAACTCAACCTCTCTCCGGCAGTGAAGCCGACAACTCAGACGAGATATGGTCAGGATCACAGCAACACCCCCGCAGGGAATAGGAACAGTGCTCTGTTGGCGGGAAACGATCGAGCGGTTCCGGGTTGGCGACTTCGGAATGAAAGGGAGAAGAGCCCGATCGCGGCGTCTTTGGACGAAATGGGCAACACTTTTCGGCGACTGGGGTTGGAGCGGAGCGAATCGCCCCTTGCGTCGTCGAAGCGGACCGATATCGCTGCACAGTCGACACCAGTGTCTTCGCCGACTTCTTCGACGTACGGCCGCGACGTGACTGGCACCCCCGCGGTTCGGAACACCACGTCGCGCACCGCCCCTGTTTGGAGTCAGGTGCCGCCCATCAACAAATCTATCCAACCGAAGGAGGGATCCTCGCCAACAGAATCGACACATTGTTCGGTGTGCAATCTTGTACTCGGCTATGGGGAGTTTGTACAACTTCAAGGAAAAGCTGGTGTCATGCACAAAGCATGCTTCCTCTGTGGTGGGTGTCGCAAACCTCTCGAACAGGGACGACATATTGAGGCTGGGGGTCAGATTTGGCATCAAGACGTAAGAAACGCAGGGATGATCCGACATGCGTTCTTCGCCTTGAAGTGCTGAACCCTATCTGCAACCCGACAGTGCGCTCCACCTCCCAAGATGTTTCGAACCATCGAAACCTCTCTCGCCGAACCGCAGCTAGGCCAGCCGCGCAAGCCATACGTACCCACGAGTCCCGTACAAGACCCGTGCTGCCGAAGTTGTCGGCTCGTACTTGGCCTTGGATACAACATCAGCACGTCGGGAGGTACCGTGAACTACTGCGCTCAATGCTTCAAGTGCGCAGCATGCTCGCAACTCTTTGGAGGGATCCCCAGTCATCGATCGTTCATTGAGGTGGCAGGCTTGCCGTACCATACCAGAGTGCGTCGAATAATCCTTCTCTCCTCTTGTGTGTGCTCACATCTGCTACTACTCTCCCCTTCTAGTGCGCGCCTCCTCCATCCCCCAAGAAGGCCGAGGAGAACCCATCGACCCCGCTTCGAGCCTCGACATCACGGGCTCCATCCTCGTTACCTCTGGCCCCTTCGCAAACCAAGATCTTCCACACTCCACCCAGCATCAATTCGGCAGAGAAACCTAGATCCATCTTTGCGACGCGCGAGCGGCCTCCCGAAAACCTCGGTGGACTGCTCGTGTGTGCGGGCTGCAGTGTTCGAGCGACGGAGCGCGAGACCAAGTCGGGGCCTTTGGGTAAGAGATATCACCCACGTTGTCTCAAGTGTGGATTGTGCAGTCGTACGGTAGACTCGGAAAGTCGGATCGGCGCGAATGGAGAGCTACGGTGCGAGAGTTGTAGGGTAAGTCAGGCCAGGGGAGGGCAAAACCTTAATTGAGAAGTTTCTGACGCGACGTTGCGCATTCAACAGAAAATCGAGGCAAGACGATCGACCAATCCTCGGTCGAGCTTTATACATGTACCCTCTGTAGATGCGACACCACCGAGGTAGTAGTCACTGTACATCTTTTTGAGCCGACCGGAGGACCGATGGTCTCGGCGCAGCTTACGTCCTCTTCAGTACGAACCAGGGGACAGCTCCAGATGTCTCGATAGCCAGGGGTGTAGCTGAATGTGCAGACAGCATTGGTACACATTGGTATGATAAGTGCTAAGCATATGTCTGATCCTGCACCTAGTGCGGTGACCGATCACTTGGAATTCAAGTGAGAGCCGAAGATCTCGAGGCAAGTTGGGCTCGAATCGCAAAGACAGGGAAGGTAACGTATGCCCGTTCAGAGTTCAAGGATGCGACTCGTGGGTAGGGCAACCATCTACTCAGACACTGTACGTTCTGAAACTGCTGGTCACTGAAACTCGATGTACACTAGCGCCGCCACATGGTCCGCTCGGCATTCCAGTACGGTAATGACAGACTCTGTCTATCCAAATAATGAGAAAACAAAGAACGGAACCCCAGTCGAAGCCCCTGTGCAACGCGGCCTGATGCGTGCACGTGAGGAAAAAGGAAAAGGAAGCAAACACCATGAACATCAACAACACATCCCCACTTCTTCTCCATCCTCGAGGCCGGACGCATCCACCTCGTGATCCTCTTCGATAATGTCGTGGCTCGTCCCACCCTGAAGGCCCGCATCCTCGCTTTCAGAGACAACGGGAACGGTGTCCGGCGCTCGCCCCAAGTCTGTCCCACCATTTTCCAAAAGAGACGCTCCGACGGGCAAACCGACCGCATGACTGAATGGGTGACGGACTTCGGCGGTCATGGCCAGCTCACCGTAGCGGGACAAGTTCTCGACATATCCTCGGAGTGCACCGTCGTCATCTCGCCGCACGAAGCCGACCCCCTGATCGCGGCAAGCACCCGACTCGGGGTCATCGGCGGCCGGGCACTCAGCGCGCGTTCTACTACCTACCTACCTACGACAAGGTAGAGTGCGTCGAACGAGAGGTGAGTCAAGTCCTGTTCTTGTAGCTATGGGGGACGGGGAGACCAGAAACTCGATAGGTACCGAGACTTGATTCGTCAACATCGTGGGTCCGACTGGCGGAATTGTCCCCGACGGAAAAAGCTGCTTCGTGAGCCTGTCTGCAGTGGTCATGTGCGCATGCAGCTTGAGGAAACGCAAGGTGCCAACCGGATTTTGGGATCGGATGCGGGCGTTATGGGGCCATGTATCGGCCGAGGGAGAGTATGGAAGTATGTTTGTGGGTGTCAAGATATACATATATGGCTCCCGGGGGTTCATATTACTCTCTGCTTACGGGGAACTCTTCGATTTGCGACTGAGAGCCGTGTCCCTCTCCGAGTTATGATGAGGGGGGCTTGCCCCACCGAGCGCTCGATGTAGTGTAAGTATGCATTATTTTAGAGAAAAGGACAAAAATGCCCTCGCTTCTTTTCATGAGGACAGAAATGCCCTTCTCAAAAGGACAAAAATGCCCTCAGATTCCAGACTTCTGTAATACTCGATATATCAGCTCAGAACCAAGAGGGTAGCTTCTTGTAGTCATTGTGATCAGCGCCGTATACTCAGAATCTCCAGAGGTGCCGTGAGAAGTCAGTTATCACGGTCGCAAAGTCAGGGGCCTATCGCGACTGAAACGAGGCCCAGTCGAAAGCGAGCGATGAGTATGGACCGCAGTAAATATGAAACAGACCAGCACGCCTTCAACTTGTAGTAATATTGACACTTTTGACGCCGTATGCTCAGATTTCAAATGGTCGATCTATCTATCGCATGTAACTCGGTTGTGTCCGGGCCTTTTGCAGAGGCCACAGATCGTGTCGCGCTTGGCCCTATCGTCCGCACCCTGGAGTCGGGCCCGGACCCTGCACTTGATTGGACGTCCTGTACGTTGGGAAAATGTGGCGGAATGATAATGGCACCGACTTCGTCGCCACCGAGTCACTATCGTCCTTATCATCCGTGACCTCATGTCTTGCACACGACGTGCCAACGACGCGTGTCAGACTTACGGAACGTCGAGCTGGTTCTGGTCATCAAGCGCATATCGATAGCCTGCATCCGTGAGCTCCTTCTTTTCGTAGAGATTTTCCCCCTTCTTGAAACAATGTTCCATTGTCGAAAGGAGGTGGTGACTTCGGCGTCCGGGCCGGGGGCGAGATGCGGAAGGAGACCAACGTCGATGCGCGAACTCGCGCGCCTCGACGCGTCGACGATCGATGAGGCCCCTGACTTTTCGACCGTGATAACTGACTTCTCACGGCACCTCTGGAGATTCTGAGTATACAGCGCTGATCCTCCTTAAACTATCTAAAAAGAACTGTGTGGCTAAAGAACGTCAAAGAACGTCAGAGAACGAAAGACAAACCAGGGAGACAAAGAACGTCAAAGAACGTCAAAGAACGTCAAAGGGAACCATCTGGCGTGACGTCATAGGCAGCTCTCGGTCCAGCGCGTCCCAGCTAGCTAGCGCTGTTTCAGCACGGGTCGGCCAGCGACAGTGCGTTTCGTCTACGTTCGCCGAGGTTCCATTGAAGAGCACGTGACTCTGCTTCCTGAAGCAGACTGCGACGACCTGTTTTGCGTGTCTACCACATCGTAGCGTAGTTCCTTCAATCATCCAGCTCCTGCCCGAGCCGAGATGTCATCTGCAAACTCTCACGTCCCGTCTCCTGTACGACAATTCATCTCCGGGCTTGAGATTCGTTCGTCTACGCTTTGAAGCAGTTCCAGACCTCGGGTAGTGTCGGCCAGTGCGCCAATTCCGCCGTTAGGGGCCCCGCCAGCGTGTCACGGCTTGCCGACACTGGGCTTCACTCCACGTCGTTCCGCGGCCTTCCGCGACATTCTATGAGCCCGGTTTAAGCTGAGGCGCAGGCTTCTCCATCTTTCTCCTCCTGCTCTTCGCACCTTACCCATCGCGCCTCATCCCATCGCCACTCATCCCATCGCCCATCATGAAAGAAGCCCTAACACCACTCGCGGATGGCGAACGAACAGCTCTGTCAGTCGATGACGTCGATCGACTTGCCGCAATACGGTCCTGGCCCAGGACACGGCTCAGGTAGTTGTCACAATGCTTGGGAAGTATCGGTTGATCGATCTCTCAACAGGGATGCCTCCGTGTAGTAAGTAACGCGAACAGCAAAACGTCTAGGGGAGCAGCCCCTTGACATGATGTCAACCAACCATCCATCCAGCCTTACCAAACAGCACTTCCCTTCAACACGTCTTCGTTGAATGTCAACCCTCGAGTTGCTTTCCTCCACCATCAACTGGTGACAGTGCATTCGTGAGTTATCACTTGACATTGGCTGTGCAGGCAGGTGTGATGGAAAAACTGATACGAACAACAGACATTGGATCGTCAGTGACAGGAGGTGACCCTATCCCCGAAAAGCGGGGGCACCCACCGTGGCCTGTCTGGGAAAACGACATCGATGCCCACAAACACCCCATATTCTACAACAACGCTCGCGAAGGAAGCAGGCCACGGGAAAATACAGCGGAAGGATTGACTTCGTACGGTTGAGAATCCAGGTCCATTGGACACTAAATGTGAGTCTTCACTGTCATTGCTACAGATGGACAACAGCAAGAATACTGACAGTTGTAATAAACGAATCACACAGAAAAACAGGCTTTGGTTCCGTGGATTGCGGCTCACCATCCCGTGGCAGATCCTCAACGGCTCGGTTCGGTGGAGTGACCGTCGTGTTGGCAGGTGTGTGCCAATCTTTCAAAAGCAAAGCGCAGGGCGGCATGACTAACTGATCGATTGGACTGCAACAGCACAGGGGATCCGAAGCAATGCCTTCCCGTTATTCCATGACTCGGTTCGGTGGAGTGACCGTCGTGTTGGCAGGTGTGTGCCAATCTTTCAAAAGCAAAACGCAGGGCAGCAGCACTAACTGACCGGTTGGACTGTAACATCACAGGAAATCCGAAGCAATGCCTTCCCGTTATTCCCAAGTCATCACCAACCCAAATCGTCGACACTTGCATCATGACTGCTGACTTCTGGGGAGATCTCTCTGTAAGTAGTAGTCCTTGCCTGACTTTTGGACCCTATACTCACAACAGCCCACGGTGCGAGCGCAGACAAACATGCGTCTTCTGGCCGCTGCAGACCGCATGACCGGAACGGAACGGGCAAAGGCAATACGTCGATAGGCGAAAAAGTCGAATACTTCCGAGATCGAGCAATTCTGGCGCCCAAAAATTCGCACAGATCAACGACATGGTGCCCGACCTGCTGCCGGGTGACGCTCAAGCGTTCTACAGCGCGGATTCGGTCGAAAATGAAGACGGATCACTGTTCTCGATCAAGTACCTTCAGAGTCTCAACATCGCCGGGATGCCGTTGCACGCTGCAAGATACAAAGTGGAAACTTGGACCCCGCCGCGGGGCTGTGCAACGGCACAAGACTGTTGTCAACTCGGTTACACACCCGCGTGCTCGACGCCATCATTCTCACAGGAGATCATGCTGGACAGCCAGTTTTGTTGCCACGGATCACGCTGAAGACAGGGCCATCAGCTGAGCTTCCGTTCACTCTGCATCGGACGCAGTTTCCAATTCGGCTGGCAATGGCTATGACGTTCAGCAAATTGCAAGAGCAGTTGGCACTTGCGCAGGTAGGAGTGTGTCTGGAGACGCCCGTCTTTTCTCACGGCCAGTTGTATGTCGCGTTGTGCCAAGCAACTATGTGGACGGTGTCAGAAACGTCCTGAAATGAAGGCTCTTTACATTTGATCGTCGTCTCGCGGTCCTCTCCGGACTTGGACCGTCACTGAACAGTACCGCAGCTGTTGCAGCAAAGTACATCACATTTCAGCGGGTCAACGGTTACGGTGTGAGGTGGCGCGCGGAGCGCGCCGCCGCACCTAGTCACAAAGACTACAAGAAGCTACCCTCTTGGTTCTGAGCTGATATATCGAGTATTACAGAAGTCTAGAATCCGAGGGCATTTCTGTCCTCATGAAAAGAAGCGAGGGCATTTTTGTCCTTTCGCTATCTTTCGAGGGCATTTTTGTCCTTTTCTCATTATTTTATGTAGATGTAGATAGATTCCTGTGCGAAGACGGTGCAGATTGTATTGTGCGAAGTTAAACGGCTCAAACGGCTCATCTTACTAAGCCACCTTCAACTGTTTCTTGGGTGCGGGCTCGTAGACATGATTGGCACGAAGTATGTTGCAAAGTCGTGCACGTCGAATCGTGGTGGGAGGAAGAGGGCCTAGATCAATGCGGGCTCAGCCCGAGCAAGGCCTGGGCGGCCGCGTCCGTTTTCATTGTTTTCATTTAGCGGGACCGTTGCCCTCCGCTTGAGGGCAGATGCTGAAGGCGGTCTCACCTCTTCATTAACGAATCCGAATTCCGATGGTCGTCGGGCAGGTCCCGCCTTGACACATATCTACGTGCGCTGAGTAACAGTGGCACCGACCCGAGCATCATATAGGTACTCGCCTAGAAGTGGACTGTTTTAGCAATTTGCCCAACCTTGCCGATGAGTACGATGAGTACGATGAGTGGTGGGAACAGCTTCAGTACCGCTGGCATAATCGAAGCAATCTACCACCTGCACCACTTCGCACGACCCGAGGTCGTTTCGACGTAGCCAGTGCGCACGCAGATGGTAATGGAAGCAAAAAAGTATACCTACTTAGCACGCCCGATAGGAGAGATGGCTCCCACTCGATCGAGCTAGGTAATACATGTTTCGTTCGACGTTACAGCAGGAGAGATGGTACACGAAAAGAGAAAATAAATCGAGCCTGACTTCTGCTCGAACCCTTGGAGCACCGAGGACCGTTCATGTCGAGGTCATTGAGCATGGCAAGCGCTGTTCTCTGTGTACAATGTATGATATGGAAGTCCACAGCGAGGTTCCATCATCGCGGATGCGAGTTTGACGACCAGCCCCATGAAGACGACTCCGGAGCCGAGGACCCCGGCTTGCCGAGACGCCGGTCGTCAACATGTCGAGCGTCCCCGTATTCATGCGGTGCTTGGTCATCTTTCGCGATGTCTTGGTCGCGCGACCCAGGTGACTTGCTGTAGATGGTTTGAGGTGGAGCCGGTGATGCACCGGAATGCAATCCGAGCCCATGACGGCCGCGCGTGTCCTCATCGAGTCCAGACGCGAGCCCCATGACCATCCCACTTGGCTTTCGCTCCGCCGATCCACCACCGTTCTCACCGATAGAGGTGTGTGTGAACGCGTAGGAGCTCGGTCCTCCTGTGGACCGTGGCGGTAATGCTGGTGCGGAGCGACCGGGCCCTCCGGCCGATCCGGGAGGAGCCGTGTGCAGAGAACCAGAGCTCGCGCTGTCGAAGCTCGAATACTGCGAGCGTTGCGGTTGGTAGGAGTGGTATCGTGATGCAAGAGCCGATGGTGCGTACTCGAGCGAGGGGCGGACGTCGGAGGAGTACGACCAGAGCGGGCGGGCCCCGTTCGGACCAGCCATGTTCGAGGTTGGCCCACTGCCGCTCGTGCTGTTACGACTCGATGGTCGATCATACTCTCCAGTGAACGCAATGGGTGCACTAAAGGAGTAGTACTGCTGCGATGTAGGATGGTGCGACGATGCGAAAGGCGGCCGGTGCGTCGAAGAGGGTCCTCCGGCATAAGTCGACGACGCCAGACTCGCGGCCGTCAGCGGTGCCGAATATGAGGGATAGCCCGGTGCCGTCGAGGGGTGATGGCTGCTGCCTTGTTCAGGTCGACGCATCTGCTGATGCTGGGTCGATGCGGTGCCGGAGTGCGGAGGCGGTGGATCGTACTGAAAAATCGCGCTCGAACTGGCACCAGAAGCCGAGACGGGCTCGGTAGGCGAGTAGGGAGTGGGATGACGAGGCTGGTAAAACTGGCTTTGGTGCTGGTATTGTGAGAGCTGCTGAGAAGATGCTGTGTGCTGGCTGGTGGATGCGGACATATGGTATGGGTGCGCAGTCGATGGCGGCCGATGTTGCGAGTGGTGCGCATGCAGGTGTGAAGTAGGAGTTGACCACGAGTGGTCATCGCCCGGAGACGCACTCAGCGAATCAAGGGCGGGAGATAATCCTGTTGACGCCTCGTTCATCTTCAACGACTCCCCAACGCCAGAAAGACCCGAGAGGCCGACATGCCCCGCTGAGGCACGCCGGTGGCTGTCTCCCTCGTGGAGGGGCAGCGGGAGTGGGAAAGCACCGGAGCCGGAGGACGGCCGCGCTAGGGTCGGCGATTGGCGCTGCACAGTGTAAGGGTCGAAGCGGTTGGAAGTACGTAAGGCCGAGACACTGCCACGCTGCGGCGAGTTTGGCGGCCCGTCCCGCTGCGACGAAGGACCGGCGTTGCTGAGTTGAAGAGTGGGTAGTCGCGGCGAAATGCGCGAGCCGATCGAGTCGGAAGATGGCACCCTCGACAGGCCCTACGATTCATTGAAGAAAAGGCGCATGGCATACCGGCAGCAATCAGTTACAGTTTCGTTGTTGTGCTCGGAAGTGCCCCTCGACGTAAACTCACGTTAGGAATGTTGCTGCCATGCAAGGACGAGCTTGCGCGAGGCACAGGAGATAGCGGCGCATCGGCCGCCTCGCCCTTGTACCGCAATCGCCCGTCGGCTCCCACTTCTACCAACGGCGGAGCTCGGAAGTGGGATGCCGACAGGAAATCTTGATGAATTTCCAAGGCGGCGAGCTCGGCGTGCGATGATGGAGTGCGCAGGCGGCCAGAGGTCACATCGTCGATCCGATAGTACCCAATCATGTGCAGACCAGAGAGCGATATTGTCTTCTTAACCAGCCCATCGGTCCTGAAACTGTAGCTTGCCGTCAGACTGCCAACGAGAGCACGCTCCCTGGCTTTGTCGAGTGTCCCGGAGCTTGCTTCGTCACTGACGCTCTTTCGTCGCGCCGACGGAGGTATGAGAACGGGTCGCGTGGACACAGGTGTAGCACTGGATCCCTCCTCGCCTTCACCATCAACAGAAGCGGCGGCTGCGGCCGAGTTTGCCTTCTTGTCCAGTTCGCGATAGATGAGGAAGTTGCCTAGCGTTCGCGATGGGCTCCAGGTCAAACCATCGGTCCACCGTTTGATGCCCGTGTCCTTCTCGTCGAACACGAAGATCGCGCCCGAAGTGATAAGGTCGCGTTTTTCGTTTTCCGACAAGCGTCGCGATATCTGAGTCAGCTGCTGGCGACGACACCCCTCGAAGATGAGGAGCGCATCCAGCGTTGTCTCGATGAAGCCCCGGTACGCTGGCTCCATGGCGTGCCGGTGACGCGAGGTGTAGCGACTGCGCCGAAGCTAGTGCTCCTCGGACTCAGTGGCGTCGAGGCGACCGAACAGCTGTAAGCATGGTTGCGGAAAACATGCATAGCCAGTGCGGGGAGGAGCGAACGTCAGCTTTGACCGACGTGGACCCTCTTTTGGAGCCTGGGAGCACGAGCTGAACGCACGCGTCAGTCGCCGAGGGGATATGCCGACTACGACGGCCAAAGACTGTGGAGTGGACATTGTTTGTCATCAAGCACGTGCAACAAGCTGTCAGCTTTGGTCTCGTACCCCGACAGATGTGTTCGCGGTCTTGACGATGTTTTGAATTGTGCCTCACCACTTGGGGCGCGTTGGCCAGAAATCGATCTCTCAGCGCCGCCGCCGCGTTGGTGCCCCACAAGGAACTCGGTGACGCCGCTTCGAGCTATTTCGGACTAGCTTCCCGGTCTGCTAATCGCCGCGGCACCGCACGTGGACCTGAAAGGTAGATAGGAATCTGTGACGGGCGAGCATGAGTCAACAAATGATGTACAGCAATCTGGTGTGACTTGGGGCCGTGAGCGCGCGCATCGTCGGAGCGTGTCTTACCCGGGGTAGAGGTGGAGTTTGTCCGATGCGGGACGACCACGATCGAGGACGCGACAACGAATCGCCCTGCGGGCACGGGATCTTCACCGGGAGCTGTCGTGCCTAGCCGGTGCGGACCGACGGAGTCGAAGCACGAGCCGGGTTGAGGGTTCTATGATGAATGACTCAATTCAACCTGACGGATAATCGTCGAACTAGACGCCGGGGTCGAGAAGAACGGCTCAAGCAGAAGGCTGTCGACTGCGCCGCCACACGATGGGGCGATGGGAGTGCACTAGGTCGTAGCGAGGGAAGCCCAAGCCGACTGATGAAGCCAGTCGATGCAAGAGGGCGGTCGGCGATCGTGAGCTGTGAACGTCCAAGCCGGGGGGTCAAATTAGCGAGCTTACTCCTTCAGAGGTGAAGGGGATTGCCGGGGCCGCACACCAAGGGTCGGAAGGCGCACCGATCAGTACAAGTCGCGTCGGGATGCCCGTGCCCGATTGGAACTGGGAGAGCAGCCGGACCGGGGCCTTGTGAGCGCTCTTCGCAGGTGTGCACGAGGCGTGGACCTCAGCTGGCGTCCTCGACGTTCGACAGGTCGAGGGGGGAGTGATATACGCGTTCGAGTGAGCGATCAGCAACGCCAAGCCGTTGCAGTGGGCGTGGCTAAGATGCACCGAAGGGGGGGCGTCGTCGGTTGAAAGGAGGTTGAGGGAGGCCCCGTCAGTCGACAGTCAGGCTGCGCCAATGGTTCCTAGCGCTTTAGCCTGCTCTAGCTCGCCTCTGCGCGTGCCGGCGCGGAGCCGGGCGGGCGTGAATCGTCGGTCGCTGCTCCCAGAACGCTCGCACGCCGCCGCCGCCGAGCTTTTTCTTCAGCGCCGTGTGCAGTGGGTGGGTGGGAGTGGTGCCTGGCGAGCCCCGCGGCCCCGCGGTACCACCGCCTGGTGGACAGTGGACAGTGACACCCACTGCCAGCGTCGTTCACTTCTCGATCAGTCTCGCGAGTCGCAATGCTCAGCGCTCGGCTTCGCCGTACAGTCACCGTCCGGCACGATTGCTCGCGCATTACGCGTGAATGGATGCTGCACCTAACGCGAGACTCAAGAGCCTGCTAACTCCGACGGCTGCTAGATTTGTTTCAAGGGCACGCAAGCAAGTAATGGTGGCATTCACAACATGGGCATTACCAGGGGGGCAATACTTGGCATTTTTTGTCGTGCCCTTGAAGATGCCCCGTGATCAGAAAAAGATAAAAGACAGGGAAAGCCGAAGAAATACAGGACTCAGGATCGGCGCTGCGGGCGTTCTTGAAGCAAGGTTTCGCGCTAGTTCGCCATCAAATTCAATGTGGCGAATTCGACGTGGGCTGCTGCCCACACCCGTCACCGCGAAGGCCCCGGCGCCTCGCTTGTGAACTCGGACTCTATCGTCGGTGAATCAGTGTTCTGCATTCGCCATTGCGAGGGTCTTCGATAGTGTAGGGCGTACCTGGCAGTCCAGGGCTGTCCCGCTTCACTATAAGGTTTCGCTTGGATCTCACCGAAATCCCCTTTTGCATGTAGGGGTGGCATTGCGGTCCGCTGCCGCAGACCGCCCTTCTTCGACCTGAGTGGAGTTCGACTCTCAGTTCAGCCAAATCTTCTTTTGTTCTCCGTAACACTCAGTTCCGGGAATTCCCATTTCCCAACTAGTGGCAGGCAGGAAGAGAATCCGATCGCCCAGGCTGCACTGCGTAGGCCTTCTGCGATATTGCTGAAGCACTCTGCCGAGCAGAGATTGCCGCTCTGTCGACTTTGAATCCGACGACAAAACTGGGTTCCCGTCGGTTTTGGTGGATTATCACTGCCGATTTTGGCTTGCGTGTTATCACCCTCCCTCCAGGAAAACCGAGAGAATCGAGACTCGTGATCGTCAATAATCCTTGAGTGGTCGATGGTTGTGGCATTACTATGGCATTCTCACACGTGTCTAGCTAGTACCGTATCTCTGCGGCGAATCTCGCGTGTCAAATTGCGTGAGCAAACTTGAAGAGACTTCCAGCCGCTTGGCACCGAAAAGCTCAGAGCGCCGCCGGCCCCTGTCTCGATTCACATAGCCTGAAATATGGACATCGCAAACAGGAGGAGATCGAAGTTGGGGGCTCTTCTTCTTACTCTGCGCTACATGATTGAGAGCTGGTGGCATAGCCTCATCGAGAGATTATGGCCAACATGATCAGGGATTCCGCTACAACGAGACGATGACATCGACGTTGACGTCGGCACCGACACGATTGACTTGCGTGTTCCGCGAAACGTAGCACCGTTTCCATCGCTACGATAGATCTTACAAAGTTCGTTTGCCCTAGACCATGCTGAGCGCCGCCGACTTCGTCCACTGGCTGGAGCAGGAGTACAAGGTAGGTATCATCGATGAGGCCACGAGCGGACCGCGTGCGGTCGCGGAACCGAGGGCCTCAGTAGCTGAGCTCCTAGGCTGGTGGAGACCTTTCTCTTTTCTGGGTCGAGGCGTCTTTATCTTGAAGAACGTAAAAAAGGGGTGGGGGGCATATTCTTCTCTTGCATGGTGTCCGTTCTCTCCTTCGAACACGACACTCTTCAAGCCCGGTTGTGAACCAGTTGCCTCGCAAACGGCCTGCAGCACCGCTGGCATTCTGCTCGCTCCTCCGATCCGTCGCTCCTCGAAGAGCTACGAGCCTGTCTCAGCTGCTCGTTACTCGGTAGTAGTATTTACGGTTTCAAACACTACAAAAGTCTTTAAAAAGGTGGTGACTTGTACTTTGACATGGGTCAGGAAAGACTTGAGAAGTGACCCAGTTAGATTCGTGCGCTCACGTTGGTATAATTGCCAACCGGACGCCGTACGCTCTACACGACTCGGCACAACGTGTCAGGTGGTTCTCTATCCACAGCTGGGTACGCTCGATCGACAAGTCACACGTAAGTAGTCTTATTGACGTAAGCGGAGAATTCGCTGGTCGCATTGGCTCCGCTGCCTCTTTTAAGCAAGAAACCCCCCTTCGTGGAATCGCCTAGAGTCGGAAACCGGAACACTGCCGTCTCCATGATTTTTTTTGAGTTGCGCAGAGCTTGGATAGGAGTGCTCTTTGGTCGACGATGGTTGGTACTGTACCGTTATATAGTGGGCAAACCAAAGTATTGGCCCCACCGATTTTTCGTCGCGAACATTCTTCCAAGTTCAAAACATGCTCGTCGGACTTACATGGGAACCCGGCCCTAGCAACCATTGACATCCCACTCATGGAGACATTAGGGAGGCAGGAATGGTATACACTCCACCAATGAAGGCTGCACAATGCATCCGGGGCCCCACACGCCGGATGCACACCTGGCATTCGCGTCGCGCTCACGCGAATATGGGCGAGACACCGCTCGCTGTTCCCGACAAGGGTTCCGGCGGCAGTTGTGCTCGATCCCCCCTGTAATTATCGCCATCGGAGCTGCGGCATGGGGCAGCCTGACAGTCATGCGAAAAAAAGTCCAGAATTTCGTCTTCGGCAAGGTCATCCATCCAATGACGGAACTGCGGATACAATACTTCCCGCGTTGGTGTAAGAAGCCCAGATTAGTACTCAGCGGTAGGCGAAAGTAAAGGCGGGTTCCTCGGTAGTACACTCGAAGACTTTCGACGAATAAGCAACTCCGAGAACGACTATCAGAGTGAGGATCCAGGGAAGATGAGAAGAGAGGAAAAGAGAGAAGAGAGCTACGGATCGCTATTTACTCAGGAGACCTGGAGAGAGTGAAAGGAGACATGTAAACAACGTGGTTCTTCGTGATAAATTAGGATCAGATAGAGAACAGATGGGAAGGTGGCAAAGGGATACATAATGTTGTCAGTCAAAGGCAAGTAAATGAAAGGGAGGTCAGGCAAGCCGGCCCCAGTAAGTTGAGCTTTGACCTACTGGGCGGCTGCCGAACCTTACATCTGCGCCATTCCCGCTGTTTCGTTTGGACTTGCGCACGAGATCATTCCGCGTATTGTCAGTCACGTGCATTCGAACCACGAGTTGCGCCCGTCAAGTTGAATAGGCAGTCATGGGACTGTAAGGCAAGGACCGAGGGCACTCTCGGCGTCGATTCGGCGCGGCGAGTGGCAAGAGTGGGTCCGAAGTCAGGGCAATTCATTATGCGATGAGGTTCCCCCGACTCTAGGCATCAGAGCCATGGAACCTGAGTACCTAGTTCCTACCACAACCTACCTTCTTTAATGTAGATGTAGATAAGTAAGCCGATATCTGGATATTTACTTCGCGAGTCCACATTTGGGACATCCCTGACTCAATCTTTGGCAAGGCGAATTTTGGCCTTGTTTTTGCTGTGAACGCATCAGTAGGTAGGCGCCGTTCAAGGTGTAAGAATGCACATCAGCGTAGTCCAGGTGCTCGATGCCGAATAAGCCAATTATCGAGTGGTAGGCAGGTATTCGCGCAGTGAGATATTGAATCGGCGGGAGCATCGTAAAAGGCTCGATGCGTGCGACTAGAACCCCGGCCACCGCCCGGTGCTTCGCATTCCCTTTGCCACAATTCAGGGGTACGTGCCACGTGTCAACCAGGTACCTTATTAGTAGTGACCTCTACAGGCACGTGAGTATCTTCTTATGGGTCCGTGATTTCGATGGTTCGACTCGGTCGATAGTGGGTCATGTAGAGCCGATGCGTGTGGTCTCGATCTTCGCCAGGTTTAACGTGAAATGAGTAGCCACTGGGATACCCCATTTCAATTGAATACCGGAGGCACCTGAGAAAGCTCCAGGTAGATTGGAAGTTGTTGTACATATACTTCGGCTCGCCCGGAAAAGTAGACATAGGAGCCAGAGGTAGATGAGCCAGTGATGAGGTGGCAAATTCTTCCCTGTTCCCTCCTTCCTCGATTTTGTATCGGAACAGTCGGGCCTGGGACGCTTTGCTTCAGTCCAACTTAGCTTCCGCCCCTTTTTTTCGTGAAATTGAGCGTTATCCGAGCTGTTATGAGGCACAGGAACAAATCTCGCGGTAATACTGAATGAAGGATCAGCGTTGGCAGCCGGCGGACCTTGACACCCCTTTTCGGAAGCGCCAGGCTGCCCGTGCCTGTTCCCGAAGGCAAAGCAAAGTAGTGCATGAAAGGTTGTTATCAAAAACTGCCCAGGTTGTGTATCACTAGCTGATCGACACCTCAATCGGGTCTCAGTATGACAAGCCTATCAATCACGTGACGCAAGGTCATTTGGAGTCTTGAGTCGCGCGCGCGCACGGACCCGGCGGAGAGAGCCTTCGCAACCCAAGGAAGCGGAGGACATTTCGCGCCTCGGCTGCGAGCGCGTTCATTCGGCCTCTCGGCCTCTCGTCATTCCCCCATATTCCCCTCGATCGCCCACCCAAGACGATCCAGGGATGGCTCCAAATCCATACATCAAAGTCGTCGCGGGCACGAACGGCACGAGCACGACCAAGAAGGCGAAAAAGCCCAAATCGACCCAGACCAAACCAGCCCAAAGCGGACCTGCCGTAGGCTCCTCCAAGATGACGAACGACCCGGCACGGGATGCCCTGCGCAAGGAAGTGTTGGCTCTGGGTGGAGATGAGGACGAGTTGAAGATGCTCCTCGATGTCGACAGCGAGAGTGAGGTCGAGGGCGAGGATATCGCCGTCAATGGTGCGAAGGCCGGCAAGGGCAAAGGCAAGGGCAAAGACGTCGTCGACGTGAGTTGTGCATGTGATCTAATCTCGCACGATAAGTAAGTATAGATAGTCGATGTCTGACCGCGAGTTCTTTGATTATACGCCCCCTTCAGCCCGCACTGTCGAAAGAATTGCGCTCGCTCGTCAAGACTCTGGACTTTGCTTCAGTCGGTGGGGCAGCCGCTGCCGAGGAGGCAGAAGAAGTCGCAGAGGAAGAGGAGGTAGATGAAGAAAGCGACGAGGACGAGGACGATGACGAGGAATCTAGCTCGGACTCGGATGAGGAGAGCGACGATGATGAAACCGCCGCTCCCGAGCCAGAGGCCAAGTCCAAATCTTCGACCACGGCACAGAGCAAGGTCGCTGCCGAGCCTGCCGCTGGGACGACGAAGAAGGAGTCCAAGTACGAACGGGAAGAACGAAGGAAGATTGAACGAGAGGCTGAGAAGGAACGCGAGAAGGCAGAGAAGCTCATCGAGCGGGAAGCCAAGCACACCGCCGCCTTGACGCCCACGATCAAGAGTCCCTGGGTAAGGACCATTACCGTCTTCTCATCTATCATTTAATGTGAGACTGAACAGATCTCCCTCATTCTCTATAGCTCGTCGATCCAACACCGCAATGGTACGCCGTACCGCTCGCCGCGATTCAACCGTCGACGACCAAACCTTCGCGAGAGACGATCACCGCCTTGGCCTCTCGTGGTGAAGCCCTACTCGCACGCGAAAACGAGCTCTACTCTTCGTCTCTGTCACCCAGCAGCAAAGGATCGGCACCGCCCCCGCCGAACGGTCTCTCGAAAGCTGATCAGGTCTTCATCCAGCAAATTTTGACGTCTGGTACCTCGTCGGATAAGGTCTCGGCGCTGTTGCTGCTGGTCTCATCGTCGCCGCTGCACACTATGTCGTACCTTGAACAACTCGCGACTCTGTGCAAGAAGAAGAGTCGTGACGAAAGTGGTCGCGCGGTGCGCGGCATCGTAGAATGGTGGCGAGGAGATGGTGGCGATGGTGGAGGGAGTCCCAGTCGCAAGCTGCGAACGTTCGCCGACCAACCTTTGCTCGACGCCGTAGCACGAGTCCTTGATGCCTCCGAATCGGGAAAAAGGAATGCCTCGCTTCCCCAAGGCGTGACGAAGCAAGATCTCGAACGGACTCTAGCCCTCTTCGCCTTCGAGGATTGGCTGAAGAAATGGTTCTTCTCGATCCTGCAAGCGCTCGAACAAATGTCGACGGACCCCTTGCCGCATCCTCGTTCGCTCGCCGTCGTTCATATCGCCAACTTGTTGCGCGACAAGCCAGAACAGGAAGGCAATCTGTTGCGTTTGCTCGTCAACAAGCTCGGTGATTCGCAGCGCGGGATCGCTTCCAAGACGTCGCACCACCTGTTGCAGATCTTGCAGGTTCACCCGGGCATGACCCCCATCATGGTCCGAGAAGTGTCGGGTCTCATCCTCCGACCCAACACCCCCGCTGCCCCACCTGCGGCCGATTCGAGCAAGAAACATCTTCGTTTCGATTCGGGCGACAAGACTGCTGCGGCGCCTGCGACCAAGTCCAAGTTCAAGGACAATGGGCATGACCACGCGAGGTACTACGGTGTCATCACGCTCAACCAGATCATGCTCAAGAAGGACCAAAGCGAAGTCGCGGGAAGGATGATCGAGGTTTACTTTGCCATCTTTGGTGACGTGCTCGGTCGTGTCACGGAAGACGAAGAGGAAGGTGCTGAGGTGGACAAGACGACGAAGCCGCTTCAAGGGCAGAAGAGGAAACGCGGTGCCAAGGGGACGGAGGCAGCAGTAGTCCAAGCCGAGGGCGAAGTTGATGAGACGGATTCCAAGTTGATCGCCGCGGTTCTGACAGGGGTCAATCGCGCATTCCCCTTCGCCAAGATCGAGGACGACGCCTTCAAGAAGCGTCTCGACACCTTGTTCCGCATCACGCACTCAGGCACGTTCAACGTGTCGATCCAAGCGCTCTTGTTGATCTACCACGTCTCGGCGGCCAAGAAGGCCGTCAGCGATCGCTTCTACCGCGCCTTGTACGCATCCTTGTACGACCACCGCTTGGCCGGGTCGAACAAGCATGCGTTGTATCTCAACCTCGTCTTCAAGGCGTTGAAGCAGGACCCGAATCGCGAACGCGTCATGGCCGTGATCAAACGCCTCGTACAGCTCGTGCTCTTGATGGACGTGACCTTCATCCTGGGCGGGTTGTTCATCGTCGGCGAAATGATGGCCACCACCCCCGGACTACGCAAGATGCTGACCGAGCCCGAGGATCTCCCTAGCAAGTTGGAAGAAGCCAAGAAGACGCCTCAGTCCGAGACCGCTCCTGCACTCACTCTTGAATCGATCGCTTACGACGGCAAGAAGCGCGAACCCCAGTTCGCGCACGCCGAAAATTCGTGCCTGTGGGAACTCGTGCCCTTGTTGAACCACTTCCACCCGACCGTCGCCTTGCACGCATCAATGGTCTTGTCGGGAGAACCTCTCTCTGCGTCGGACGAACTGGAGCAGTACTCTTTGACTCACTTCCTCGATCGATTCGTCTACCGAGATGCGAAGAAGACGGCTTCGACCAAGGGTGCTTCGATGATGCAGCCTGGTTTGGTCGGACAGGACAAGAGTGGGAGGATCATCATGCGCAAGGGTACTGGAGTTGCCGAGGTCAATTCGGACAAGTTCAAGAGGCTCAACAAGCACAGCGTCCCTGCCGATCAGGTAGGTGGTTTCTCCTTCCACTCTTCGTGGACCCGTCTCCCGGCCGCTAGCTGATATCAGGCTTCTCTTTTGATCCATGCAGCTCTTTTTCCACACCTACTTTACCCAAAAAGCCTCTCTGGACGCGCTCAAATCGTCGCTCTCGTCGAAACGCAAGTCCAAGCCGAGCCGCGGTTCCGATTCGGAAGAAGCCAACGACTCGGACAACGAATCCATCAACGACCTCGGGTTCTCCGACATCGCCGACGATGACGACGATGACCAAGTTGAGGCGTTGGGTCGCGCGATGGACGAGGAGGATCAGGCGTTGGTCGATTTGGACGACGCGGACAGTGAGATGGAGGAGATTTGGAAGGCGATGAAGGCGTCGTTGCCGAGACGGGACGAGGAGGATGCGGCTTCTGATGGGGTCGATGAGGATGATGATGAAGAATTTGATATGGACAGGTATGACGATTCGGACGAGGAGGGTAAGGCTCCGGCGATCGATATCGATTCGGACTCGGAGTTGGGCGTCGACGAGGACTTTGACATGGACGAGGTCGAACGGGGCCAGCGTGCCGTCTTTGCCGCAGCTGAGGATTCTGACGAGGAGGAGGAGGTCGAAGCAGAAGGGGATGAGAAGATGTTCGCTTCGGAGGACGACGATGCCGAGGAAGCGGCTTCGGCCGACGAAGAAGTCGAGGAGGATGCTCCGTTCAAGTCTGCCTTTGACGACCTCTCCGCCGACGAAGACGACGACGATCTCGGTCTGGCCGAGGACGAAGACGATCTCATCGGATCGGACGAGGACGCACCCGAGTTGTTGCCACCGCCTTCGAAGAAGCAGAAGAAGGATGAGCGCAAGGCCAAGAAACAGAAGGTCAAGAACATGCCCATGTTTGCGGCCGCCGACGACTATGCTCATTTGTTGGGTGACTCGGATGATGATGGGAACTGATCTGCTTGAAGCTAGAGATGGAAGTTTCCTTGTACTGCAATTGTGATGGTTGATTTGCTCTGGATAAGTGCACGTGTCTCGCCGTCCCTTACCCTGGCCCGGGTTCCACGACATCTGAACGCTTTTATAACAATGAAGAGCTGGTATTGCGTTTTTCAGATTCACACAAACGATTACAAGATCGATCTCGAAAGAACGATTGGAGCCAAGGAACGACGCTCGTGCCGATCCTGGCTTCGGGGTTGGTTTTGCTTCAAAAGGCTCGCCTGCACCGGCGCGCACGTCGAACGCGCTTTTTACGTATTCCTCAACACTGTAGATTGCCATGATCGAACGATGTCAGCAAGAGTGAGCCGAATGACGGTCTTCCCCACATGTCCGAACTGACCCAGTACGACGGAATCCCCTCGAAGGACTGTGGTGTGTCGGGGGCGAGGTAAAATCAGCCACCCATCCGGATCCCATGAAACCAAAGCAGCTTGCCGGCTACGTACACATCTTGGAAACGAAGCGGTCCTTGTTGATGGGTTTCTTGCCCTTGCCCTTGGGTGCCTCGGTCCTGTTCGAGCGCACAGGAGCCAGGCGAGTCAGCATTCGCGTAAGAGTTGGGGGCGCCGACGCTGCAACGTCACGCACCACATCTCCTTGACATTCTCCAACACCTGGTAAGGACAAGAGCCGTGGTCAGATCGGGCCAGGAACTGTCACGCCGCTGGAGGGGACCGGTCGTACCATGTTGGCGTGCCTGTCGAACGCCTTGACCTTGCCCAACAGCTTTCGGTTGTTGCGCAATGCGACGAGAATCTGGGTCCCCGATCGAACGGACGTTTGCAGCACAGAGAGGGGGCTGTCGGATCGGACAAGAGCAGAGCAGGTGAGCGTCAGCCGCTGACCGGGAGGGTGCGGTGACGTGACGTGACGGGGTGCGACGGGTGACTGACCCCTGGCTGATCTCGTGTTCCTCGAGCGCCTTGATCTGCGTCTCGTCCAGTTCCGACTTGGCCGTGTGTTGGTTTTCACTGCAGAGGGTGATGGTGTGCGGTCGACGAAGCGATCGAACCCAAAGCGCGGGGGCGTGTGGAATAGGCATGGCCTGGTCAGCTCAAGTACGCTCTGGTACTCGAATGTGCCGCCTACTGACCTCATCTTTGCAGGCGTTCGGCGCGGTGCAGTGGGTAGGGGTGATGAGCCAAGGGAAGAGCAACGGGAAGAGCGCACCGGTCAGTCAGTCAGTTTTAGTCACGGCGCGAGACGGCGCGGCTCGCTACTCCCTACGGGAAATCCGCGCAACCGCAGTTAACCGTGGACGATTGAGCAACCGCGGGCACGCAGGTCCGACTTTGGCTCGATTGTCGCGCCAAAGTCGGCCGTGGTCTACACATGCGCGCGCGAAACTTATGGCGGTCCTACGAAATTAGTGCGAGCCCCGTATGGCGAGCGCCTGTACGGCAGGTGTAAAAAACGTGGCAGGTATATTTATCAATGCCGTAAGGCGCGTCACCTACGGAAACCGTCAGGCCGTAACCCTCCGGGATCCGTAGGTGACGCGCCTTACGGCATCTGTAGATCCCGGCCTGAAAGAATCTGTATGGTCACCTTATGGTCACCTTACAAAAGCGGCAAGTCTCAAATACGCTAGCGATGTAAAAACCTTATGGCATCCATCGCACACCTGGACTGGGTCTATGAACAAGCCATAAAGATTATTTAAGGCGTTGTAGGCTTGTTGACCTCGTTCATGATTCTCATATACACTGGATACCTCTGTAACAAGCAACATTGACATATAGCCCAGAGCAAATGCCCAACCTAGCAAGCGCAGATCCTCACGTCCTCGGGCCCCGCCCGCGTGCAAGATCGTTGACGACCCACCGATTCCCGACCAACCTGCTGCGGGCTCTAGTCCCCAGTCTTCTTCCTCTTCCTTTTAGACTTTGGGTTTTGGGTGGCCTCTTTTTCGGCTTGAAGACAACTCTATGCCGAACCGCAATCAAAGTCTTATCAGTGTCGAATCGGATAGTGCGTCGAACGAGGACGACTCACCTCCACCAACGAGGCAAAGCTGATCTCGTGATCGGGGTTGTCAACAACTTCCAAACAGGAGATCTGCATTGGATTTTGTCGACGCCCGGGTTGCGATGTCAAAATCCCACTATGACAAGGCATGACCGGGGCAAGTTGATCCGTCAGAAAACTATCGCTCGCGACGAGCGATAGTTTTCAGCATCAGTTCATTCGAACTGCGAATGCATGTCCCCGATTGACCTACGACTCACCGTTGATGGTCGAATTCACGGCCGTGCTTGTACTCGCCCTCAAGGCATGCGCCGACCGCTATTTCCGCGAGGGTAGAAGAAACGCGATTCACCTTTTCCGCAAAGCTGTTCGACCTGGACCCGGGCAGGTTGGCTGTTTTGTGAGATACAGTCTCTGTAAGATCCGTCTCGGGCATTGCTTTGCGGTCGGGCTGCTTGACGGCTTGCCACTGAGATATGAAGCAAAAGATGGGGGGTTAAGCTGAAATCTAGGGTTGAGAGGGCGTGTCACCCAAACACGTACCAATACGCGCCACCAGCACACATGCTCGTCAGTGATTGTGACATCGAGGTTTTTATACCACGACTTCATTGTTGTTCCCAACAATGCAGAGTCTCCCTGGGCGCGCTTAATCTGAGCGCGAGCCGACGGTCAAAAGGTGTGGCGCAGCGGCGTGCAAGGCTGATGTCAATGAGCAGGCCCTGACGTGGACACCACGCCGCTTACATGATCTTCGAGTTCAGAGCGGCCTTGCATTAGCGCACTCGGAAGGTGGCGCATTAAAGCCTTGTAGAAAGCTCGATGCTTGACGTCGCTTTCTGATACCAAACCGCCCTTGCGTAGTGCAGCCTACAATTAGTGCAGCCTGAGTCAGTGAACAGCCCAGCACAACCGAGAACATAGTTCACCTACCGCGAACATAGGTGCAGAACCGTGGTGCTTGCAGAGGAATGGCGTGGAAACGAAGATTTTGGCAGCTGAACCCACATCGGACTGGCACAGTCATGAACACAGCTCGGTCAGCAGATATGGGCGAGACCGAAAGAACATTCACCAACCCTGATGTTGTCCAGAGAGGGAGCGGTGAGCACGTCGATCAGTCGGGGGAGCACGTTAATCAGTGGGGCAAGCTGGGCTTCCAAATGATCCAATCGAGCGCTGATCGTTGCGGCAAGACCAGATTGGCCATCTTGGTTACCTTGCGCGATCGGAGGCTGTGGATGTTTGGAGTACAGTCAGCGGAGTAGGGCACGTCGGTTGAGCGCATCTGCACCAGCTCACATTGCTCGGGCGGTCGAAATACGGCGTAGAGTGCTGAGGTCTAGAATGCATGACCTGGTTGGGTTATGGTCGTTAGTCAGCGTGTCACGTAAATGTCGGTGCAACGTACTTGGAAGGTTTTGTCCTCTGTTCCCTCGGTGTCCGAGACAGTCCAGGAGGCCTCGGCCGGCCGACGCTTGCGCGGCTTGTCGCCCACCTCATCGTCGTCGTCATCGTCGTCGTCTTCGCTGTCAGTTAGCTGTCCAGATTGGCAACGATACCCTATCAGTACCCATAACTCCTCGACCAGGGGACACGGGACGCGGGCACGAACGATGAAACCGTCCTTGACTTTGGGCTTTGACTCGGACTTCAGTGTGGTAAAATTTTGGAGTTGGTTTAAGCTAGGGTGACGCGGAAGCCGGACAAGCAGGGTCGGTACTCACTTGGGCTGGTCGCGTGTCGTAGCGACGAGGTGTGGTTGGAGATCGATGCAATTTAGCTGACGTCGTCGAGCTCTGCGGATTGGACAGACGCGGGAGTGCCATGCATCAGCTCGGACCCGGCGAAAGATGAGTATCTGCTTCTCCTCCCAAGCCTTATGTGAGAATGCCAGGTGGGAAGCGCCGTTGTAGTCGACGCCAGATGGTTGTATCGTTCGTCATTGGTCCTCTGCTTGTCTTGGCCGTCGTGGTCATTTTCGTCGTCCGTGGCGTCTTGAAGCTTCCGCCGCAGAGCAATAATGGGTTGAGTCGATGACTGCACCATGCGGCATCTCGGGACCGTCAGTAGCTGAGGCTGGGCCGACGTCGCGTCGGCAGCGGTGGGTTGCAGCACATACCTGTGACTCGTGAAGCGCCTCGGGCAAATCAAGGTGGGTGGGTCCCGAATGATGGTCGTCGGCGGGGCCTGGCGACACGACGACCCTCGACGCAGCAGTCGTGGACGTCGTCAAGGGTTTGGCGGTGTGTGGGCTGAGGCCCGAGCTTGACGCGTCCGAGGAATTGTTCACCGGTGCGGCGGCGACGACTCGGGGCCGCCTGTCCTTGGTTTGTACAAGGTTCGTGGAGTCCTTGAGCGGATCTCCGGTGGTCGTAAAGGTCGCGGGGGGGCGAGTACGCGGTCCCTGCGGTGGAGGTGGTGGTCAGCCTCGGTCTGTGCAGCCACGTCACATCAAGCTCGAACCTGAAGGAGCAGTGGAGTGGGCGGGCCATGGAGTCGACGCATGAAGCGGGTCAGGGCGTACCATGTCGGCGATGATGGTAACACAGGGCTGCTCCTGCTTGGCGACAGGTGGTGGCGGGAAGCCAAGGCCAGCGCCACGGCTCGCGCGGTCTGACCGGGGGCGGGACGCAAAATGACGCAGAATGACGCACTCCGGACGCTGGACGATTGACGATTGACCCCACACTGCCCCGTGCCACTTCCAGCTCATCCCAGGCCAGAGTCGACCGTCCGTATGCGCGGTCCCAAAGCGTTCGAGATGTTTACTTACTTTGGTATTATGGTTCACTCGTACGGTTTTGTTTTTCGCACGATCAATGATACGTGCGAACTGTCACATGCGGCTGACCGCTGCTCGTTTTGGATCAAATTCTTCCTCGCCCAGCACCTCGGACTCGACGACGTTGACGACCGCAGGGCCGCAGGAGAAGGAATCTGATTGCTGGGCCATCGAAGCCAGAGTAAATTCGTCTACTGGTATCCGTACTCGTAGCACGCCGAGCAGTGCCTCCAGTGCCTCGAGCACGAGAGCGTCTACCTTCGGCGGAGCCGTACCATGTCGAAGCGAATCGTAAAGAGTGCAGGACCTTCCTTGAACATCCACTCGCACCATGAACCAGTGACTATGATGGCAGATCGGGAGGAACCAGATCGTCCCCGGATTATTCTCAATGTAGTCGGCCATATCTGACAGACCCGTGTAGGGCAGATGAAAATCTCTGACAAGCGCGGATTCGAATTGATAAGCTTCTAGCGACGTCTTGATGATCGGGGCGGCGAGAGCAGTCGTAAGGCAGTCCGACGGGATGAGGCCGTAAATCTGGGATCCGTCTCGTTGACTTGGTCTTGACGACGCTTCGATGACGCAAGCGATGAGGAAATTAACGACACTTTCGCCAAACCAATTGTTGCCTGATGAAGAAAGGGGGCCCAGAGTACGTAAAGTGGAGAGAAGGTGATGAGAGGGTGTCGGGAAGAGATGGGTAGATCGCCAATGGGGCAAGACATGTCCACGAGTTACACGAGCATAAGAGAACTCACTGAGTATTCCGATAAGGCTCTCGTAGGTGATCAGGCTGCAGTCAAAGCCCCAAAACGAGTCCCGCCATGGGAGGCTCAATAGCCCAACCTCCAGTTGCTTCTTCAGATCGCGGTCCTTAGTACGACGCGCATGACATCCAGCTATCCATTCGACGGCGGCTCGGAGTAGACCTTGAGCTTTCTTGGCCTTGTCGAGGTCGTTCCAGATTTGTGTAGTGCCGAGAGGTAGTCGATGCTCGCCGACTGCAAGCGATCGGGCCTTGAAGGATTGGGATCGAGCAGCACTAGAAAACGCATCACGGACTTTCTTGGACGGGTAAGGAAAGCTCGATTCGTTCCCGAGTCGTCGTGGAATGTCCATTGACATCTTGACCCCGAGGTGGTCATCGCTGGAGGGCAGCTGCGCGTCCATGAGGAGCTTCGCACTCGTCAGGTGCGCGATCGGCGACCAGCTCTCGGAGTCGAGGTCGCCATCTTTTGTCTGCGTGGGATGGTCATCGTCGGATAGGAAAAGCTCGGTCGGGGTCATGTTCACCGTGCACGAAGCTGGCAGCGCATGGGACGAGAATGAATTGCGACGCACTGGTCGAGCGAATGCGATCAGCGCACCCACACGCCCCCACAAACTCCCCGCAATCTCCTCGCTGCCAGACTTTCGGGGCCGCCACGCCGGGCAGTTCCTGCCTTGCAGCCTTGGCGGTCCTGACCAAGATTTCGGGTACCGTAATCTTTAGTCCGAGCGACACGGGCTTGCCCCGATCTTACCAGAAGTACTCCATGAGGCATCGTTAAAACACGCGTGATATATTGCAGGCGTGTCCGTATCATCAAGTCTACGAGCACCGTATACTCGCAGGTCGTCCTCGAGCAGATGATGCAATGCGCCGGGGGTCGGCTTGGCATCGCCGTCGGAGCCGTTCCCGATGTCGAGTGCCACGTCTCAGGTTTGGCCGTTGGTGGACTGCACACTGTCAAACATCAGCGGAAGAGACTTCGACAGTCGACAGTCTTACCCTGGGCGGGGCCGAGACGAGCGCGAGACCGTGCGAGAGGTGCAACTCACCAACTGGTTCTCGCAACCGTTCTCAATTAGTGCAGCAGCACCCGTGCAATTGCACACGTCACTCATGTCGCTGTCGGTCTGTGAGTGTAGCCACAAGTTCAGCGTATGCAAACATTGACACAGCAGTCCTACGTACATCCGCCCCTTCTTCAAAACCCTTCGCTCATTCTTCTTGTTCGTCGACGGTGGCCAATGGAGTGGGCTCCTGATGAATGGGCAACGTCAGCCAGGTGGTCGACAGACTCTGCACCGAAAAGAAGAAAAATAAGCCTCGCCTTCGCGTCTCCCTTTCCCTTTCCCTTGCCTATGACCTTCCCCTTTCCCTTTCCTTTGCCCCTGTCCTCCTCCCCGTTCTCATCCACCGACTCGGCGGCAGCCAAGAGCGCCTGCGCCGTCGGGGACGCCAGAAGTGCACGAACAAAAACCTCAGTTGGAACCTGCTGCTTAATCGGGGGGCGGAAGGCGGCCAGCTCGTCGAAAGAACGATGTGTGATAGTACTGAGCAAAAACTCGTTGGTGTCCTTGTGCGTGGTGCGTACGGGAAGCGGATCCACAGTGTTCTTCCAGCATCCCGAGTGGGTGCAGTTGTGTTGAACGACCGCGAGAGCAACGACGTTCTGCGCAGTTCACACGGCCGAGTGCGCTTCAGTCCATCGGTACTGACGCAGACTTACCGAAAATACCCCGGCACATCCTCACCTCGATAGAAACAACGATCCGGTCGAGGCCTCGGGACAGTGTGCGAAACCCCGTGGACGCCAACTCCTCCCCTATCCTTCCTAGGCGAAAGCCCACCAAGCCCTGCCTTCGTCCTGTCGCGGACTCTCGCGCTAGTAATTCGATGACTTGTCCAACCAGAACCTGCAGCGATTGGGGTGACGGATGTAGATTAGTATCGTCCCCCCCCCCACCACGACCACAATTGCAGATGGAAGTGGCGCACCGTGTTGTGCCCATCAGATCTGAACAAACACCAATCTTGCGGATGTACAGGGTCGCCATTGGGTAGTATCGCCAGCTTGGCCTTTCGCCATCGAGCATCTCTCGGGATGCCCGGCGAGCCGCCCCCCGGTAAGGAGAAGCAAACAGTTTTGGCGAGTTGGGTAGCATCCGACAGAAAGGGACTCCCCGCGGCGAACTTAAATCGAACTGCGATCGCCAACGTTCATCATCCAACTAGCGAACTTCTGAATGGCTCGAGCACACGGCAAACGGTCTCACCCGCCGAAGGGTCCTGACGAGGCGTGTCGCTTTCCAGAAGCAGCCACTCACGCATAGCAGGCTTGTCCTCGAGGAGGCGTCTTGCCGCCGGGCCAATGCTTACTCGGTTTCCATCCTTCTTCCATGTTCCACCGCGAGCGATAAAGCCGACACGCTCGGTATCGCCTAACTTGCGAGCAATGTCTTGTGAAACATCGAGATGGTTTGTCCGCATACTATGCTGACGTATGACTTTGTTGGCCGACTCAGCTAGAGACGCATCGAACAAGCGAGGGGGACCGAACATTCGAATAGCATGAACAAGGCTGGCCAGAGCATGATACTTGGACTTGTTGAGGACGTGGGACAGGTTGCGTCGCATGGACGCCTGTAGCAGGTTGTTGACAAGGTGCTCGCACTCCGTCTGCGCGATCGGGGGGCGCTGGCTCAACATCCAATCACAACTGAAGTTGAGCAGACAGAAAAGAAACTCACAGCGTATGTGTCGAGGTCCGCGACGTTCGAGGTATGCAGATGATGCCCCAACTTGCCGATTGCCCCCAGCACTCGTTCAAAGCCAAAGGCATCAACTTTAAATCGAACAGGAGCTGCGCCACCAAGGGCATCACTTGTGCGAGTGTGACAAAGTCATAGCCCACCAGCGATCCTTGATAGTCAATGAGGTGATCGGTAGCAATTCCACCCGGCAGACCGACCGACGACATCGAGGACATGATCGCACGCAGTGACGAATGGCCCCGACGACCTTTCTTCAACTCGTCCACATCGAGTGTTGCCTTCCAAGCGTATTTGACTATGCCCAGAAAGAAGACATGCAATATGTCCGGCGGCATATGCTTGTGCGGGTCAAACACTGTGAATAACACAACCCTCCTTGTCACCACCCGTGCGGATATAAACCAGACAGGCCCGAGGGGAAACTCACATGGAACATCGAAGAACGGGCCGACGTAATCGCCCCGCTTCACCATCTCGGCCTTCGCCTTCCCAACTGCTTCGTTTCCTCGCGCTCGGTTCTCCGTTCTGACCCGATCCTTGCCAGAAGTGTTCATGGCGCGGAATGCGAGCACTTCGGCGTTTGCGCCCTTGTCACCGAAGGTCCTGTGCGTCATCTCCTTTTGAAAAATAGCGGCGAGTTCTGCGAGGCAACGCTTTGTCCATACATCATGGGTACCGGTTGAAGTCTGCTGCTCAGAGACATTCACCATGACCAGTTCATTTGCGTAGGTTTCAAGCTGTTTTAGGGCCTGGTCACGGGTTGTTTTGGCGTCCAGTAGACCCGGGCACTGCGATGCGGCAACGGCGGCAAATGAACTTCACTGAAAGAGCAGCAGGCAACAGTACGCACCTCGAAAAACGTCATCATCTGATCCACTGTCAGTCTCGTCTTCAACGGGCCCCCCCACGGGCAGTGTAAGCAGGGATACCAGCCGCGGGCCCGCGCTGCGCACTCCGCTGCCATAGGTGAGTCGTGAATCGAGCACAGCAAGGGCGTCCGCACAAGAACCTCTTCGCCTGCTGAGACGCTGTAACACTGCATGGGTCGATCACCAAGAGTGTCCCTACATCTCGTCCCGTACAGTCAGTGACATGGGGTGGCAGTCGTTGGCAGGCGTCGACCATGGGGCTCACGAGATTGCAGCCAGCACGAATTCTGCAAGATCAAGCGCACCCATGTCGGTGCCAGTCACGCCGGTATGGTGCAGCATGAATCGTCGTTTGATGACAGAAGCAGGAAGAGCTAAGTTCTGGACGGATGCCTGCAGACAGCACGACAAGTAGTGCGTCAGATGCCGCCTTCTCGTCGGCCGCAGTGGATTTGCCTCACAGTATACATGGGGTTCCAGCGGCTGGACTCGGTCGCCGCCATATCGTCCAGGAAGAGGCGCAGAGGGGTGACGAGTAGCAACTTCCCGTTCGCTAGAGCCCGATCCACCGACCGCAGGGGTAGCGAGCGTTGAATCTCGTTTGTGGCTGGATCGCAAACGTCTGGCGCTCGGTGCTGGAGGTTGTGAGCACACAGCGGCGGTCCACGAGCCGCGGCACATGGAAGGCGGACCCACCAATTTTGACGTAAAGATGCATTTGTTCGACCTCGAGTACGGGCCTTTCAAACCGCTCGACAGGAACTAGACACCAGCTCGAGACGCAGAGTGTCGGCCAATCCTTCGCAGGACGCCCGAAAGCGGGAAGTTTTACTTTGATACGTGAAGGAGTCGACACTGTCGCCAGGCACACGAAAGCGACGACCTCGTCGCGGAGGGATGCGGAGCGAGCTATAAACCAATGCTTATCGGGTACACCTTTGATGACCACGATCTCGTCCACGAAGTAGTCGACTTTATCTACGCGTGCCATGGGGGCCGAGAAGCGGGCCGGGAGGTCACTCAGCCAGCGACGGGTGTGGTAGGCAGAGTTCACATTCGACGGCTTGAGATCCGGGTAGTGATGCATAAGAGGGGCGAAGGCAGGGCTCGCAAAGTGCTGCACGCGGTCATCGTGGTCGGCGGGGAGAAAATAATCAGCGCCGGGCAGACAGCAAGCGGCGACTGCACCGAACTGATACGCACCGCAGCCACGTAATTTTGAGGAGACAGAACATGAACAACCCGGCCCCTTTCTTCCGTATGCCGACTAGGGGTAAACAGGGGCACCTCATTCTGTAGGTTATGCAAGTATTTTTTGACGGTCGACGCAGCTGGTAGATTGCGTAACCCCAACGCTGTTGCGAAGTCGAGCACGTCGTCCAATTCTCTGACGCGAATCCGGCGATTGGGCGATCGAAGGAAAGCGACAATTGTCATCATCTACGGTCAAAAGATGTCAACGTACTGCTGCGCGTAAAGCAAGGGCACCATGGCGATTCGTCGCACCTTTTCGCTTGGAAAAGGATACCAGGGGTGCGAGGGAGCGGGCACAGCCGAGTAATTGCGCACTCCTTCGCGGTCACAGGCCGGGAGTCTGTCTGGTGTAACAATCGAGCAAGCTCAGGCAGGGTCAGTACTGAGCTGAACACTCGAATGCGGGGAATGGTTTAGCGTGTCGTACCTGTCATACCTGTCATACCTGTCGGAACCGACGCCTGCACCGCCGACCCTTCCGCCTCGACCTGCTGGTCGTCGCTGTCAGCGCCGTCGTGGACAGGTTGGGGAGCAACCTCGGCGTCGTTGCCGAGCATGGGGACATCTCCGAGGGGGGAAGGGGATCCACCAAACTCGAGATCGAAATCATTGTGTTGGAAAGTATGTTGCGTGTCGTGGCCGGGTGAGGAGGGACCAGAAACAGGGGCAGGCTGCGAGACCTGAGACTAGCTCGAGACAAAGGTCAATCACCATGCACTCGGAATTGGACCGTCCACTGCTGCAGATAACGACCTACCATTGCCGTACCGAATGTGGGCTCTTCGATATCCGCCCAGTCCATCTCGTCGTCGTCGCGCGGGAGTGGTGGGGATCGAGATAGCCGCCAGCGGTCGGCTCGGGATCCGAAGGTTGGATTGGCCTTCATGACGGCCCGCCGCCGATGCCTCTTGGTGGTGGCGTGCCGAACCGCACGACTCCTCGGCATACGTTCCCCGCCACAATATGGACACACATAACCCATACGCGAGCGTTGAGGAGCCGGACAAAGGTCGAACTCTGCGAATGATGACGCCCTCGTAGTGTTAACAACCGGACGTGTGGGACGGCTGTCAGGCCACTGTTGGCCGGAACTGGAAACTGCGCCTCAAACAATACCCACCACGGTCGAGAACATCTTCGGACGCCTCTGTTCGAGGAGACATGACGTGGCCGTCCCGTTTGTGGGCAAAGTGGTTGCCCACTTATTCTGGGGCGTGGCGAGGGAGAGAGGGTGGAGTTCCCCATGCTTCTCAGTCGGATCCTCGCGCGCTCAGCGCCAGAGCCTGCCAGAGCAGACTCTCAGATCTCAGATCTCAGAGCAGCTCCGAGACTCTCACCGGCGCACGCCAGCCTGCAGCAGACTTCAGCTGGCCGCGAAGGTGCAGTCTCGACTCATGGCACTGACTCACTATTGATTACTCGCTGCCTCAGCTGGTACAAATGGAGTTCGGACTCTATAAAGCGCGACGCCTGAAATGTTTCGGCGACCGTGGGATACACCCTCTGCATGATCGATATTGCTCGAAACAGCAACCGCTCACGTGCCACCTTTTGGATGCAGTGACATGCACGCAAGAATTCCCTATCGGGAGAAAACTAATGCTACCATACGCCAGGTGAAATACGCCCATACGGCCTAACTACAGGTTCCGTGCACGTGAACCATTATTGATCCCGTCTCTTGAGCACTTTAGTGCTCACGTACCCCTCATTGACGAATGCGGTAAGGGTTGAATCCTTACTGCGGCCGCAAAGGCCGTTTTTACGCTAGCCGTACGGCACGCGTAGGGTCACCGCAAAGCGGCGCCCTACGGATCTGATAACCCAATGTCCATACGGATACTAGGACGAACGCCTAAAGCAGCCATAAAGTAGCGTTGCCCTTACGGGAGCTCTATAAAACCGCCTTACAGAAATTGCAACACCTCCGTAGAGAAGACATACGGCGGGTCCTCCCGTAGCAAATCCATAAGTTTCGCGCGCGCATGTGTAACTGCGGTTGCGCGGATTTCCCGTAGGGCGCTACTGGCTAGTACTGGCTCGCTGCTGCTACAGTACACGCGCGACCCTCGCTCGTACGGATAACATGAGTCCGTGTCCAGTACGCGTTCCTTATGAAACCCTTCTGCAAAACTTAGATTTTGGTACTCTGGAATCCATATGGAATGCAAAAACATTACAGCATCAGCTCACTAGCGGTTGCTATAAATGGAATAGATGTTAAGTATCCCCAAACAGGTGTTTAACCGTCTGCAATAGGTTTCATGCGCTCAGAAAATGACAATTTCAACTTCTTCTCGTGTCCACCGTGGTATCCGTATGATCCAGCGCCGCGAAGCTAGCGCGAGTCAGACCCTGCGGAAACCAGGAGCGAATCCGTGCGAAATCCCCATCCGAAAGGGCTGGCCGTGTACTCTGCTACTCTGCTGCTCGTTCCTTCGCGCGTCGCTTGCCTCGGCTTGCCTCGGGCTGCCTCGGCTGCCAGCAAAGTCGAGCAAAGTGCCGACGATCCGACGATGATCGACAGTTTTCTCTCGGGCCATCCTTGCCATCACGAGCGCGCTCTGCCCTCACCACCCGCCCTCAACCTCCGTAGCATGGCCCCTCTCTCGTCAAAGCAAGCGCATCCCATCATCAATGCCACCCCTCGAGCAGCCCATCCGATCCAACACCTGCTCCAAGCCGGTCGGCTCATCAAGCAAGGCGCCGAAGCGGTCAGTCACGGTCGCTAGTCCGTGAAGCTTCCTTCATCCACCGCTGATCAAACTCGATCACACCCACACCCACAGAAAGTCTACAAGACCATCCTCTTCCCCACACCAACCGTGACCCAACCCTTGTCCTCCTCATCGGACTCGATCACCGACCCAAAACTCTCGCACCTCGAACCAACCTCGGTCCTCCTCAAGCACCGCTTCCCCAAGCAGTACCGTCACCCGACCCTCGATCTCCAGCTGACGCGGACACGTCTGACCGCCGAAGCGAGGTCGCTCGTACGCTGTCTCAAGGCCGGCGTCGTCGTGCCTGCGCTCAGGTTGGTCGATACGAACCAGGGCGTGCTCGGCCTCGAATGGATCGAAGGTAATAGCATCAGGGAGGTGTTGGGCGGATCAAAGGAGGAGGATGAGATTATGCAAGATGACGAGGATGCAGAACACCACTCGATCGAAGAGCTGTGGAGGCAGAGAGGTCTCGATCAAGGCAAGTTGATGCCAGGTGAAGATTCTGATCATTTCCAGTCGCTGACGAATATCTCTATCGCTCTTACAACCACAGCCCTTCTCTTGACCATGATCGGAGAGAGCCTCGCGGCAATGCATCTCGCCAACATCATCCACGGCGATCTTACGACCTCCAACATGATGGTGCGCCAAGTCGAGCCCCTCGCCGAGAACGATCCGTCTTACCAAGTCGTAAGTGCCGCCGCGGGCGTCCTCGGCTTAGACATCGTTAGCGCGGCTCTGATCAAACACGTCGGCTCTCTCTTTCAGGTCCTGATCGACTTTGGCCTCTCCTCCGTGTCGCCCCTTCCCGAAGATCGAGCCGTCGACCTCTACGTCGTCGAACGAGCTTTCGCCTCGACCCACCCCGTTCCCTTGCTCGAATCAGGCCAAGAAGGCGAACCCCATTTTACGCGCGTCTTGCAAGCCTACATGGCCAGAATGAAACAGGATGGAAAGAAGGATGAGGGTTCGAGGGTCGAGAAGAGGTTGGACGAGGTGAGGATGCGAGGGAGGAAGAGAAGTATGGTCGGTTGAGTGCGGAGCCGGGTTGGGGTGGAGGGGACAATCTCTTAGTTGGGAGACAGAAATATTTCTGTACCAGTACACATGGTCGGGACGATATCACGGGGCCGAGCTCGGTTCACGTCGTTCGCCGACGTCGACGCCCACCGGGATTCAAGCATGGGACAGCAGGGCGAGCGAGACTCAATCGTCTGGCTACTCGAGCCACTCGAGCCGGTACGCACCCACTCCACCCCGGCCGCACCACGTCGTACGTCGCACGCCGACCGTCTGAATGCTGGTTACCAATCACTGTGCCCACCAAACAACACAGCTGGGACTGGGAAGCAATACGCACATCAACCTTGCTGGACGTGTCGGCACTTCTTGTAGTAGGCCCTGAGGGATCGTGTGCAATGCGGCAGGTGGGGGTGGGTGCGAGTGTGGGGCAACTCCAACTTTCGAGCCACTGCTGAAGCTGTCAGGGTCTGAGGGGTGCATGATCGTCCCCGACCTGTCTCAATACGAACTTAGATTCAAAGAGAACTATGAACGATGAAATTCGCAGTGCGTGGGTCCTCGAGAGATCGGCAGCGGCAGCGAGATGTTGCTCCAACCCGTTCTTTCGCCGGAACGGATTTCGGACCGCCGGGTCGCGTGACACCCCACGACCGAACGTGTTCCTTTCTTGCTCCTTCCCTCACCATTCTCATTGAACCTACAATCCTCTTCCCCTAGAAAACTCCGCGTCTACCGCCTTCAAACACTCTCCCTTCATCACAAACAACCCCTACCCTCTTTTTGCCTACCATGTCCTCACACCAAGTGCACCAACCCCAAGCGCTCCGTCCCGCCACTCCCACCGGCGCGCACTTGGCCCGACCGAGCTCCAAGCCCAATTCGAGGCCCGGCACACCTTCAAGACGCGCTGGTACGCCTTCGAGGGTCGTCGTGTGAGTCCTTTCGTGGGTCGGTTAAGATCGCTTGTATTTTGGGGCACGTGGTGGCTTCAGGGGTTTCTGAGGCGGACGACGTGGGGGGCGGGGGGAAAAGGGATGGCGCGGGCTGATGACGATGGTTCCAAGTGGGGTCCCACTTGGGCTTGGCTCTGTCGATGTTCGGCTGACTCGGGATAGCCTAGCCTGGTCGCTGTAGAAGCCACAACGCGACCCCAGCTTTATTCAACTGACCTCATTGGTTAATTCGAATCCACAGTAATATGGCCGACGAATTTATGAAACGTCAGTACTGCCCGCCGGTCCCTGTGGACGAGTGTGCCTCGAAGCGGTGGTCATCCGAGCTCATCGCGACGATAAGATCCGATCGGTCATCCGAGCAGATCCCCCCAACAACCTCAACCTCGCCGATCCAAGGGAACAAGATCGAGCATCGGATCTCATCGGGGCTCGCAACACCGAACCTGTGGGTCTCGAGGGTCAAATGCGCTATCGTGCACCCGCCGAAGGAAAGTCCTGACTAAGAGTATCTGCTCTTCGCCCACGCCCAACTTAGGTGAACAACGAACCGCCCAGCGAGGAGGAGATGAGACGCGTCCAAGAGATGGCAAACAGGCTCAACAAGTCATGATTGAACGCCATATTCGAAGGTGTACACAACTCACCCTTCGGTTCTCCAAGGTTCATGTTCCTCTCTGCCGCATCAACCAAGTTCTCCAGATCGGTCAAACTCTCGTGTTTGATCTTGCGCATTCTGCCCATCTCGCCATGTCACTCTCTATGATCAGTGTGTTTCGCAATGTAAGAGAACCCTTTCGACGTAGTTGCAATACGAAACTCTACTGCACAAGTGAAAGAAACCTGCCAGGCAAGAACCGCAGAAGAAAATTAACGATGTTCGTAGAGAGGGACGTCGAAGAAGGCTAAAGGCTAGATTCTTAACCGAAAGAAAAGAGAACGGGGGCGACTCTATAACCGAAAAACAGACACACGAGAACACACACTACCCCCGGAAACTGAGCAAGAAATGCAAGAACCAAGTGGGATGTCCGTCGTTAAGGACGAGAGGAGGGCAAATTAACTACAAGTGGCCGTTGGGAGACCAAGGGTTGTATCTGAACATTTTGAAGCGCGGATCTAGGGGATGAAAAAAGAAATATGCGAAAGGGAGGCGAGAGGTGTCCGGAATGCGAGAAAGAACAACGACGATGATGCGACGAGTCGCAGCAAAGGGCGCTGCTTGAATCGTTGCGGCGAGGTTGAATGCGCCGAAGAAAGGAGAGGGCAGCCTTCGCCATCACCATACGCTCAGATCGCCATCCTGGTCCTCGGCTTCCTTGAGCATCTTCTTGTGCGTTTTCGATAACTCGAACTCTTGTTGAAGCATTCTGAAGGAGGAGAACGGTGAACCGAGGTCAGTCTTCACCGTCAAATCCTTTGTTCGATCTACTCACGTGAGTAGTACGAGTTCGACGAATCCAATGACCTGGGTTGAGATGACTATCCGTGTGCACCTGGGTTGCCGAATAACGTCGTGGATGTCAAGGTCAGTGTCCGGAGCTCTGGAGTTCTACTGGGTTGATTACACAGCCGAGCTGGACTTACCCGTTCCCAACATCGGTTGCACTGACGACCGCAGAATGTGTCTTGTTTTGCGTGAGCTATAAACGATCAAAGAAGCGGAGAACAGGACGTGTCAGTTTCAACGTTCGATTCCTCGATCCCATCGGCGTCGATCAGACTAACTCTCAGACTGCCATCCTCGCCCGTCAACCAAGAGTACTTGAGGCCATCCGGCGCTTTCCATGATCTTGTTCTGCATCAGCCGGAGAATAAACAGTCAATAAGAGACCCTAGACCAGTAAATAATTTGGTGACGAATCACGAGATCAGATGCACGTGCTCACTTGTTGGAGAAGAAACCCGACTTGTACAACTTCTGCGACGACACGGTGATGTCCCTGAACTCGAGATCCTCTTCCGAACATTGTCCGATCTGGCATCAAAGCAATGATACGACGTGTGTTCGGAGAGTCAGCTTACACAATGAAAGAAACCCGGTCCGTGCACGGCGTCGGTGTTGATCTGTCGATGCTCGGCGATTCGAGCTTAGGAGAGGGCACGCGCATTTCTCGCAGCGCCGATGAAGCCCTCGTATGCAGTGCTCGGTGTAACGCAAATGACCCAAAACGATCGCCGCGGACACCGGAATCAGAGCTCACCTTTTCTCGACCCATGAACAAGGCGGCCTCGTAAACGGTTGTACGGTGCTGGGTGAAATAGATCGCTCGTCCTGTCTGTTCGTCGACGAGCTTGGCGTGGATGCGGCGCGCGTGCGGGACCTCGAACGGCTCGCGTAACAGGACCATGCCGATGTTGCGGATCCCGTACGACGCAAAGGGGACCGATGGTCGGGAGGATGAAGTGTGCATCGACGCCATCGACGAGGGGAGACTGGATGACGATCCCGAGGAGAACGCCATGGGTGGGGTCCCTTTTCCGGATTCGATCGGGGGCAGGCCTCCGAGGAGACGGCTTGGACGCGTATAAGGGGCGACGAGGGCTAGGGCTTTGTTTTGGGGAGAGCGACGACGCGCGCGCGCGTGAAGAGCACGGGACGACGGTCGGGAGACTGAGAGTGTAGATCGCGTTCAAAGTGCAAAGTCGGCTCGGCTCCGCAGAGTTGGGACTCGAGTCGACGGGTCGATTGATCAGAGGGCGCGCGCAACGGGACCAGAGAAGCAAAGAACAAGCGGTCGTTCGATCAACGAGATTCGAATAGCTGCGTGTAGGGGTATGATGGGAGAAGCTAGAGAGATATCACCGTCAAAGTCGCAGGCCGGTCGGTATGAGAGGCCCTGAGAGGCCCCCGCAAAAACCCGCAAGCGCCCAACTTGAAGTAGCGCCGAGCTGCGTCGAGCACACAACACAAGTAATGGGTCGTTCGGACTCAGAGTAGTACGAGCAGATGCGTTAAAATACGAGTGTCATTTTGCAACCATCAAGAACACTGCTTTGCTCATTGTTGCTGCTACAAATCAGGTCGACTTGGTGACCTCGGGTGACCGAGGGGTCTCCTTTTAGTCGGTGAGAGATCGCAAGATGAGGGAGTGCGAGGGTAGTACCCGAGGCGTCAGACGTGAACAGGTTGCGCGTGAGCGCGCCCCTGGCTCATCAGCTCGATCTTCTGACCCCTCAAAATGACTCCGAACCATGGAAGGGCAACACGAGTAATGGGTCGTTCGGACTCAGAGTAGTACGAGCAGATGCGTTAAAATACGAGTGTCATTTTGCAACCATCAAGAACACTGCTTTGCTTATTGTTGCTGCTACAAATCAGGTCGACTTGGTGACCTCGGGTGACTGAGGGCTCTCCTTTTTCGGAAGACCGCAGCGCCGAGGGAGCTGCGATGCCGAGGGGCGGCGGCGCGGGCTAGCGTCATTGGCACGGATGAAGCAAGAACTTGACCTCGAGTCGCTTGATAAGCGCCAAGCCTGGCCTCAGGGCGAGTATAAAAGCGCCACCCCCCTCTCACCTCTCTCTCTCTCCTTCCTTCTTCTTCGTTGATGAGTACCTCTCACATGGCTCCTCCACCACTGGGCCGAAACCGACTAGCGCATCGACGCAGCACCGAGGCGGTAGGTGGTGGAAGTCGGCAGTAGTGTACCATCAGCCACCGTGAGTTCCCTCCCCCCCCCACTCGTTGCAAGTATGTACCACCGTCGCTGACTTGGGCACTGCCCTCCTCATCTTGACTCGGATCGTCATCAGCCTCCGATCTCGCTCTTGATCGAAGAGGGGCCCACGGCAGTCCTGGTCGTCTTGCGAGGTAAAAAGTTTGGGAGAAGTTGTTGATTATCATTGTATCGGGTCAGTCCCGCTTGTGGCCGCCTCCGAGCATGCACCCCCACCGCCACCGCCGCTGCCATCATCGGCCGGACACGACCTCGTACGACAGACTTGGGCTGACCTTGCTCTGACCTTCACCTTTGCATGCCCGTTCATCTTCATCTACCTTCACATCACACCATCTTCACCTCTACATCGATTCTCGTCTTCACCTTCACCCTTCACCCTTCCCCATCACCATCACATTCGCTTCCACCTCGAATCACCTCCACCTTCATCCTTTGCCTTCACCTCTACGTCTGTTTCTCCCCATTGTACCTCCACCTTTGACTTAACCGCATTTCATGCTGCTCGTTTTTGACCTTGATCTTGATCGTCAACCTCGCCTTCACCGCACCGTCAACCTCTTGCTTACGTCATCCACCTCCACCTCCACCTTTGCCTCCACCTCGGGATTTGGCGTTACAGGGGGTTTCCTTGTCCGCCAATCGGCAGTGCAAGACGTCATGACCGGTATCAATGATGAATCAACAACTTTGTCCACAAAAAGTGAGTTTTATGCACACCAGGTATCACTGCCTACTAGTAGTTCCGTCTGCTCGAACGTCAAGTTGCGAGCTGCTGCTAACATGCATGGTCACCCGCTGCCAACAGCTGCTTCAACTGGCAATGCGGCGGGACAGGTCAAACTCGAGGATGGGGATGATGGAGAGGAAGTGGGGATGTGTGGGGGTTCGCTGTGTTTGCTCTTTTCATTAGTTTTTTTCTCACGTGCACGTATCAGGCCGCGCTGCACAGCGACTCCGACGATTGTCCTCTTCTTTGTTTTCTCATTGTTTGGGTAGAACAGAGTCCGAGGATTAACCGTACTGGAATGTCGATCGCATTTTCCTCTGCAGTGAACATGGTCACCGATGTCGCTCCCACCCGTGAGAGTAGTGGCCCGGGGTCGGACCTAAAAAAATTGATCGTGATAGGTACCGTATAGGAGGGGTGATGTTCCTGTTGATCCTCGGGACTGGGGAGGTTCGGCGAGTTGGCGACCGCTCCTTGGAACTTGAAACTTGGGCGATCTGCCTCTCACGCCTTGACCTCTTTCTTCGATCACTGCACTACCTCACTAGAGTCCCAAAAATAGACGGGTTCAGTTTTTGCCCCAACCTCAGCACATTTCTTGGGGTGCTGTGTAATTTCTGTTCAACGAGACTCGACAGGCCTGGGGGTTCGATCAACCTGGCAGCTTTCGAGGTTGGCGCGTCGGCCGCCGCAACGGCGGGCGGTGCCAACCGCCAAGGATTTCCTTCATGCCGATCCTGCGATGCAATTTATTTTTAGTTTCAGCGCATCACCAGTGGTCTTACTTCGCTGCTGCGCAGTGAGAAGCGACTGAGCATCACGATCTACAAAGGAGTCGCGATGTTCCTTATCCGGGGGTTCAGATCAGTCGTGGGGTGAACAGGAGTCACTTGAAAGCTCTCGGGCGCGTGCTCGGACCTCTCCTCCTCGATCGTTCGCTTTCAAGACCATATGCATCCATTTGCGACGTGATCTGCATTGCGAATCGAGGTCTAGTTACAGAAGAAAAGAGCCAGTATATCCCGAGAACGAACGAAAGACTTAGCATGTCGAGATTGGGAAGAGGAAGACCGATACTGCTACAGATAGATGATCCTGGCGCGCCAAAACAAAACCGGCTCAGAGCAGCTTCTCGGACCCAGCCTCGATACCCTTGGGTTCAGGAACGGGAACACCGTGCCCGCCTTCGATACCGCCTCCCAATGGCCCGTCACCGGATGGCTTGTCGGCGAGAGCTCCACCTGATGGTGGTACACCGCCCATGGCCTCGTCGTAAGGATCGGCCTTCTCGAACGGCCGCCTGCCGAGCAGATTGATCATGTCATCCCTGCACGTTGTTCATTCGCAGAGGCTTTGGTCAGCAAAAAAATACGTTCAAACGAGACTAATCGACAAATGACTCACCTCGACAGCACCTCCTTTCGCAACAACAGCTGAGCAACCTGCTCGACCTGCTCCCTCTTCTCCGTCAAGAGGTCCGTTGTGCGCTTGTGCGCGTCGTTGACCATCTTGCGCACCTCGTCATCGAGCAGCTGCGCCGTCTTTTCCGAGAAGGGCTTCTGGAACGAGTCGTTGTCCTGGCGGTACGACAAGGGGCCGACAGCCGAGTTCATGCCGTAGTTGGCGCACACCTCGAAGGCCATGCGCGTGATCTTTTGCAGATCGTCTTGCGCGCCCGTGGTGATGCGACCAAAGAAGATCTCCTCGGACACCCGACCTCCCAAAGTCATACACATGCGGTCCATCAATTGCTCTGTCGTGTAGAGGTATCGCTCCTTGGGCAAGTACTGGGCGTAACCAAGAGCGCCAACACCTCGGGGAACGATGGAGACCTGCCAAGGAGAAGGGCGGGAGGTCAGCCACTGAAATCGAGATACTTTCAATGACCTCGCTCGGTGTTTGAACTGACCTTAAGCAACGGATCGGCGTACTCCAAAAACCATCCGCAAACGGCGTGACCAGCCTCGTGGTAAGCGACCGTCTCCTTCTCCTCCGGACTGAGCACCCTCGACTTGCGTTCCATGCCGGCAATGACTCGCTCGATCGCCATCTCAAAGTGCTGCTCGGTCACAAAGTCGGCGCCGAGTCGGGCCGCGACGAGCGCGGCTTCGTTGCACACATTGGCGATGTCGGCACCCGAGAAGCCAGGGGTGAGAGCGGCGAGCTTGCGAGCGAGTCGTGATTGGGCCGTGTTGTCATCGGCGTCGTCCTTGAAGGTGTACATCGACTGGAAGTTAGAGCCCTCCTTCGTCGGCTTCGCGTTCGGGTTCGAGGCCGCGCTGCTAGCGGGGGAGGCCTTCTTGGTCGCCGAGGTGGAAGATTTTTTGGGCGATCGAGACGGTGTACCAGAAAGCGTCGGGGCGGCTGAAGCGAGGTCGATCGAGGTCGAGTGCGACCACTGGATGTTGGAGCCCAAAGCGGTCAAGATCGGGCTGGGGGAGTTGCCCGACGAGTGCTCAACGTGACCCTCCTCGAGTGGCGAAGTGTCCTGCGCCTCCTTGCCCTCTGCAGGCGTCTCGAGCACGAGATTCTTGAGGTGGACCTTGAAAATCTGTCGTCGACCCGAAACGTCGGGGTTCGAGACGGCGATGTGTCGATCGAAGCGACCGGGACGCATCAAAGCGGGGTCGAGCACATCCGATCGATTGGTACCGGCAAGCATGACGATGTGGTCCTTGGTGCCGAAACCATCCATCTCGACGAGCAGCTGGTTCAATGTCGACTCGCGCTCGTCGTTGCCACCAAATTGTCCGCCCTTGCCACGACTCTTGCCGATGGCGTCAATTTCGTCGATGAAGATGATGCACGGCGCGTTCTTCTTGGCGGTCGCGAACAAGTCGCGCACTCGAGAGGGACCGACACCGACGAACATCTCGACAAACTCGGATCCCGAGACAGACAAAAAGGGCACGCCGGCCTCACCGGCGGTCGCCTTGGCGAGCAAGGTCTTACCCGTTCCCGGAGGACCAGAAAGCATCGCACCGCGAGGGATCTTGGCACCAAGCCGTTCGTACTTTGCCGGCTCCTTGAGGAACTTGACAAACTCCATAATCTCTTCCTTGGCCTCGTCCATGCCGGCAACGTCGTTGAACTTGACCTTGAGGTCGGTCTCGGGGTTGAACATCTTGGCCTTGCTCTTGCCGACGCCAAAGATGCCACCCGGTCCACCACCTCCGCCACCTCCCATTGCGGACATGCCTCCCGCAGCTCGCTTCGAGATCCAAAAGAGCAGACCGGCGAGGATAAGCGTTGGCGCAAAGTGCAGCAAGGTCTGGCCGAGCGGTGTCTCCTCGTGGTAGGCGACGGGGACGCGCTCGCTCAAGGGGATGCCGAGTTCGTTCTGCGCCTCGTCGAGCTTGCGTTCAAATGCCTCGACACTACCGATCGAAAAGTAGTAGCTGCCTGCCGAGGATGCCGGTGCGCCTGAGCCTGCGATGCCGCCGGCGCCAGAGCCGCTGGAGGGCAGCATGGTGCCGGTCGCGTTCGAGTGCAGGTTGACGCGCACCTTGGCTCGGTTGATGACGGTGAGTTTTTCAACAAGTCCCTTAGAGAGGAAGGCCGAGTTGAACTCTTGCCAGGTGATCTCGCGGCTGGCCGGGTCGTAGGACGAGGTGAGGCGGTAGATGAGGTAAAAAGCCAAGGTGGTGGCGAGGATGCCGGTCGAGGACGGATTGCCCGGGGGTGTGGGGTCGCCGTTGTTCTTGTTGTTGTTATTGCCGTTACCGCCTGGCCCACCGGTCTTGGGTGTGACCTTGCTGAGAAAGTCCTTGAGCGGGTCCTTGGGTGCGGCCGGGATCGCGGTGCCGCCCGCGGCAGCATCCTTGGTCCGCTTACCGAGCATACCACCGAAAAAATCCTCGAGTCCGACAGGGGCATCCTGAGGAGGCTTCGGTGGTGGCGGATTAGAGGGCGAGGCATTGTCGTGCTGGTGCTGACTCTGAGGCGCGGAGGACTGGCGATCGGGTGAGGAGGGGGAGGATGACGACGCCGAAACCGAAGGGGACGACGACGACGACGACGACGATGACGAGTTCGCAGCCGACGAACCCGTGGTGGCAGGTCGTGTCGATGAGCTACCAGTCGGCGAGGCAGAGAGTACCGATGGGGACAGTGTGGAGCTCTGTCTCGAGCTGAGGCCGGAGAAGGATCGGGCCGATGCTGGAGCGAAGGCAGGCCGCGATGGTGCAGCGCGTAATGTGCGCCTATACGGGCAGGCCGATGACCGCAAACCCGACGGGCTCGACGCTGCAAACGAGGACACGGGGAGGGTGGGGTGGGTCGAAGCAGCCACCAGAGAGGATGTGCTCGAGCTAGTAGCTCTTCGTGCGGCTCGGGGCAACATCGTGGGCGACAGGAAGGCGGTCGATCGGGAAGGGTCACCAGGGGCCGTTTGTGGAGGGAGGCAGAGTATCAAGAGCAGCTGGGCCACCGCCACCCTGCTCGCCCGGGCCTCGCGCATTCTCAAAGCGCTCATAACAAATCCTTGCCGGCACAAGGCCCATTAGTAATGCAAGCTTCAGCGCTTCAGCGCCGGCGCGCGAGAGGCGCCTTTTAAGCCGTCGTCATCTCACCGTCTACACTCGTTTCACCAGACACTCGCCTTACTAGAATTCGCGACACATATGGTGAGCGCACACAGTCGATTCTCGATCCTCTTAAAGTGAACCCATGTCACTGACCCGACGCCATGCCCGACTCGCCGACAGGGAGAGTCGCGTACGGAACTGATCGCCTGGCTCAACGACCTGCTGCAAATCCAATACACCAAAGTCGAACAATGCGGTACGTCTTTTAAGCAGATCAAGCTTCAATCGAAGAGACAGTCTTCCCTCCGTGCTTTGTGCCTGCGAGTACGACGCCCTGGTACAGCCAGCTGAATGCTGACGATGATGTGTTCGTTCTTCACTCCTCCCCGTCTCGCGCGTCATTTCGCCCTCGCTCGACTCGCTCGATCTTCACAGGCACCGGAGCGGCGTATTGCCAGGTCATCGACAGTATTTTTGGCGATGTGCCCATGAAGAAGGTCAAGATGAGCTCGAGGTCAGTCTCGCTTCCACCCACAGCACGCCGTGGACGGCGCGTAGAGCCGCGACTGAGACTACGTTCCGGGCCTTTTCGCAGAGGTGAACACGAACATGTTCTCAACTACAAGGTCCTACAAAACTCATTCAAATCCCACAACATCGACAAGGTGCGTCTTACTTCACCGTCCTGCGCATCATCCGCGCTCTTCCGGCTCGTCCTTTATTTTCGCTCAACCCCCTGTCTCCGACGCGGACCTATAACCCCAAAATCTAGCCTATCCCCGTCGACCGCTTGATCAAATGCAAGATGCAAGACAACCTCGAGTTCTTGCAATGGCTCAAAAAGTTCTGGGACCAAAGCTTCCCCGGCGGCGAATACGATCCGATCGGGAGGCGACAAGGTTTGGGCATCGAGCCGCCCATGCTTGGAGGTGGGTCCACTTCAGCAGGTTCGTGAAAGCTGAGCTCCGGTAAGAAGAAACGAAGGGAAAGGTGTGAATTTCTCAATGTGGGAACTTTCATGTACAGCCCGTGGGAGAACGCCCGTGAATGCGCCTGCTCCGGCACCTGTGAGGAGGGCAGGGACGTCGTCGGGCCCTACAGGCGCGGCGAGACGACCCGTCGGAGTAGCATCCGCAGGTGAGTCGCACGACCGGGTCGGCACTTCCCCTCTCTGCGTGTCTGACGAATGATTCGTCTTTGCAACGACTCCACACAGGGCGGCCAGCATCGACAACATCCTCGGCTCGGTCCGGCCCCAGCGCGACCGAGATCGCGGCGTTGAACGCACAGATGGAGGACATGAAAATCACCGTCGACTCGATGGAGAAGGAGCGATCGTTTTACTACGAAAAGTTGAGGTCGATAGAGATCCTCATCGGGGCGCGTCTGGAGTCGGACGACGAGACCATCACTGAAAGCGAGATGGAGACCTTGAAGGCGATCGAGACCATCTTGTATTCGACAGAGGTACGTTGCACCGACCTGGGAACCATACGAATCGAGGGAGAATTGATTGATTTGTATTACGTTTTTGTATAACCTACAGGAGGGTTTTGAGGTGCCGGAGGAAGAAGGAGAAGAGTTGGTCGAAGGAGTCGAAGGCGATGAAGAGGAGACATTCTAGACGTCTTCCCGTTCCATCTCCTTCCACCCACCACCTATATCTTCCATTGCTTTGGCCTCTTTTATTTTTCCCGTTCGCATCCCCACCCATATCATTGCTGCTTTGTATAATTCAGTCATCTATCAAAGCGCAGAAACATCGATAACAGTCGCGAAGAAGGCCGAGAGGCATGATCGAAGTTGCAACTCAATGTTCGCTGATCTCAACTTCGATGGCATCCCTTGCTTTCGACACCTCCTCACCCGCTGCCTTCTCAGGAGAAGTTTGTTCATCCTCTTTACGCCCCCGTTCATCGAGCTGCCCCTCCAGAGGGAACTCAGTGTCCTCTCCGACCATCTGCTCGCCAACCCCATCTTCCACGACGCCCATCTGCACCTCCTCGATCCCACCCTGTTCTTCAATCTCTCCCCTCCTCATCTCCACCCCCTTCAACCATTCATTCTCAGCCAAAAACTGCAGGACCTGCAATACGTCCGAGACGAGGTGCTTCCAATCCCTTTCGGCGAGTTGGGCGAATGGGTCCGAGCGAGCAAAGGGGTTGTAGGGTGTGGAAGAGGCGGGGTGGGGTCGTTTGCGGGTGTTTCTAGGACGGGGTGGCGGGGCGGTGCCTTCGGGTGGGGTCTGAGACGTCACGGTGGAGATAAGATGAGCAGTATTCAAGGCTCAAGAATATCGACCAAGGATGAGCTTACGGCATGCAAGAAAGTGCAGGCATCACCTGCTGCGCACCTCCCCTTCAAGAAATGCCGACACGGGATCCGAGGCACGAATTCTCTCCGTGCCGCTTCCTCCTCTCCATCCTTACCCTTCTTGGGCCCCGTCGTCGACATCTCCTCTGGAGGTCCATCATCGTCCTCGTCATCGCTCGTTTCTTCGTCCGAGTTGCTCGTCGAGCCCGACGAATCACTGTCACTATCACTCGACGATGATCCCTCAGATCCCTCCCTCTTGACCCTCTTGGCGTCATTCCGATCCTGCGCTCCCCTGACCCCACCTCGCCCCATCCCAGTCGGACCGCCCCTCCCCCTCCCTCGTTCAGCTCCTCTCCCTCTCCCTCTCCCCCCTCTGGCCCCCGCACCATATTCGTTCCGAGGTCGCTCCAACCCAGCCTTGATGCGTTCGTCGCGTTGCTTTTCCTTTTCCTCAACGACTTTGCTCGATGGCCAACGTTGCTTGCGCTGTTCGATCCACGCCGCGACGGCTTCCGGTGAGTCGAGCGAGAGGGACGTTCCTTCGATCCTGGCCCTGTGGTGGGCAAAAATTGCAACCACATTAGCTTGAGGTCAGATGCTCACTTTCACCCCCGCTCTATGGACTAACCCAGATTGATATGTCCCTTTCCAGGGCTCGGGTTCCCTCCCCTTTTCAAACATGAGATGGCGATCTTCTTCGTGCTCGCGCGTGACTTTACGGGTGTTGGATTTGAAGGAACAGCCTTCCAGTCCACACGGGTAGGAGGATTGAGCTGAAGGATGGGACGCGGCGAGTGGGCGAGTTGGGGCTGGTCGAGGTGGTGGTGGTCCCGCTCCGTTTGATGCTCGGGATGAAGAATTTGCTGATGGTCTTGGGTTGGAGTGCGGGATGAAATGACTCGATGTCGGAGGTCGTTGAGGAATGGGTTTTGACGCCGAAGAAAGAGGAGTAGGTGCTTGATACGTCGACGAAATAGTGTAACCGTCATTCGTTGTCCTCGGCCGAGGGCCTTGAGCAGATGGCCCCGAATATTTCGCGGCCTGGTTTGAAGGCGGTGGGGGCTGTTGGCGGTACCATTGCGGGTTCATGGGTAGAGGATGATGATTCGGATGTATTGGAGGTGCAGGCAAAGATCCGTAGTGGGCCTGTGGAGCATATCCGTACGGAGCTTGAGGATGAGGTGGGTAATGAGGGGCCATAGGCAAGCCTGCGGGATAAGACATCCCCATCATGCCCATTGGCATAGGTACTGGCACGGCCATCGGCATTGGGATGGGTATCGAAGGTTGCGAAGCAGGTTCAAGTGGGGTTGACCGATATCCCATGCCACCCAATGCGCCGTGTATCGCATGGCTCAACGGCGAGACGGCGAATCCGGGTCGAGCAGCGTTGGAACCCGCGTTCGTGTTGGCCTGGCGAGGTCGTTGGATCAGCGGTCGACTGGGACCTGCCTGAGCATTGTTGGGCCGTTGTTGAGACATTACACCCTAGACCAGGGATGTGGTCCTCGTGGTCGACGAAGCGGAGACCAAAGAGTTCAGGAGCTCCCCGGCGCTTGTGTGTGGTGCGAAGCTCGTGTGGGAGATGACGACACGACAGTGATAGCTAGTGATCGCTGATACAGAACTCGAATTGAGCTTTATAGAGCGAGCGCGATGACGTGAAGCGCGGGGCGGCCTGTGCATCTCTCCCCACCCACGCGCGACCAGATTCCAACTAGTTCCAACTGCCAAGCCCAGCTCGCTCTCGAATTCTCGAGTCACCGCCATCGACCACGCGAGTGCGTTCACAGCATGTCATCGCTGGACCCATCCGAGACGAGTCGTTTGACACTCAGGCAACGAACAACGCGCAGTACCGCACTCGATGAGGGTTCTGGGATCGGACACGTCGACAACTCCGGCGTGGAGCTGCCCGCGGTTCAGCAGCAGCACGCTCTGTTCGATCGATCGAAAGCATTCATGGTAGAGGGAAGACCAACCACCGAAGTGGCCGAGACGGAGACTCACAACGCGACGCAGTGGGACATGTTGCAGCACATCCCGGCCGTGCCCCTCACGCCCGTCGCACCCGGTCCGGCTGATACCGCTCTGCTCGGTGGGGAACACCGAACGCCGAACGAGGCGGACAACGACCATGACCCCGATCAGGGCGACGAGGACAACAACTTTGTGCACGAGTACTTGACCGGTCGACGATCACCGACTACAAACTCCGATACCAACCTCGACAGCACCGCCGTCGACCCCACCACTTCAACGCCGACACCGACCGAGACATCGACCTCGGACGAATCGAAGCCAACCGCCGAGGCCCCCGCAGGTCGTCCGTCTCGACCCACGAGTCCGGTCGCCGAGGAGGAAAAAATCTGCCGCATCTGTTTTGACGGCGAAGATCCGGATCTGGGTCGTCTCTTCAGCCCCTGCAAGTGTCGCGGCACATCGAAACACGTACACGTCTCGTGTCTCTCAACCTGGCGCGCTCGATCGGCCCGCACCTCGTGCGAACAATGCCAGTACCAGTACAAGTTTCGCCGCACCGCCATGGCCAGTGTCATCTCTCATCGCGCGACCTTGATGTCCCTCACCATTGTCATCTTTATCCTCCTCGTCTGGATCGCCGGCTATGGCGCCAACTTCATCATCCGCTCCGCAGAGAATCATCGTTCCCAGCTCTCGGGTTCTTTGTTCGAAGACCTTTGGATTTCGGACCATGTCATCCTCGGTGAAGGTGTCAAGGAAGCCATCGATTTTTTCGGCAACAAGATTGAGACGACCAAATGGGCCAAAGAGGTCCTGCGCAAGCCCTTGGATCATGACGGCCAGGCGCCGCCATTGAGGGAGATAGGTATCCTGTCGGGAGCTGTCGGCAAGGAGGCATACAGGGTATGGTTTGTCCACGCCATTCTCCACTTCTTCAAGGGACTGTCCCTCGTCGGCCTCTTAAGCTCGTTTCACACCTTTATCGGTCAGTCCTCGCCAAAGCCTTGAGCCCCTGTCTTTGTCTCGTCTTGCCCTGCCTGACCCGACTGTCACATCCTGCTCCCTCGCAGCTACCTCATTCATCTCACCCGTGGGGCGCGGCTTGTTTCGTTTCTTCCGTCCCGCGGTAAGGCACAACAATGCTCGCAATCGACCCGGGCAAAGGGACGGTAACGGTAACCTGTCTCAAGTTGTCGTCGTCATCGTAAGTTTACTCCCACATCATCAGTACTGTCCAAAGGGGTGCGCACTACGTATATGACTGACAATTATATTTCCATTGTGCCTCGTTTCACGCAGTTCGTTCTCGTCGGCGCAGTCAAAGCAGTCGCTCACACGTATCAAACCGTCAAATGGGTTGCTAAGAAAGCCCTTACGAAGGTTGAAGACCTCGTTCTTGACATCTGAACACCAGCACGTTCTTTCTCCGTTCTCTACTCCAGTATGTGTTGTATGTCTCTTTGCACTTGTCTTCTTTCCTGGCTCCTCGTAACTTGCAAACATCGGTTCGGATCTTCTAAATACAAGTGGGGTTTTCGCATCTTCTCCTTTTCCGCAGAAAAGGACAGGATAGTCTAATTGCGGCGCGATGCTATATCTATTATATTTGCGATGGATCGGAAAAAGAGATTTAAGGATAGGGTACGGACCACCTGTACGAATAAAGCTGCGTACCTATCTTGAACCCTTGCTGGACTTCCTCCGCGTAAGACCTCATTCAGACCGGACGAGCAAGCGACGTTCGTGTGTACGAGGGAAGAAAAGGGTGCCGACCGCATCAAAGAGCACCTTACGTATCCGAGGTGGCATGCTGGGACGAAACATGAAGCTAAAGGGCTGGGCGAATGGGAGGTGCGGAGAGGCTCTAAGCGCTGCGGAGCGCAGGAAGTTGGGCGCCATATGTGCAGAGGCGCGCGCAGTCCTCAATTGTAAAGAATGGATTCCGATGATACGATTGCAACGAGCAAAACTCAGAATCGCAAAAAAACACGACGAAGGAACAGGTAAGGGGAAAATGAATTGCTGCATCTATTTGTAACGAATCAAGAGGTATGGGACCTTTTCAAGCAAGCGGTCCAGAGGGGAGCTGTCAGTCACGGGAAACAGAGGGCTTAGCTCGCGAATTAGAGACTCACCTCGACATCCTCCCCTGTGTCGTCGTCGCACATCATCTCGAACGTGAGCGAATTGCCCGGCGGCAAAGGCTTCTTGGACACGCTCTCGACCAATTGACTCATCCTGCGTCAACACCTCATAAATCAGTTCTGGCTCATCGCTTTGCCCCCAGCATGCTCTTGAGCGAGCTCACCTCATCGGTAACCTCTCCTCCAGCTTCTTCTTGGGCATGAACCCACTGTAGAGCATCGACACACCACTCGACAGCATGGTAATCTCGAGGCGATGTTTCGACTTCATGTGCTCGATCAAATCCTTCAAGGTGACGTCGCCTTCGAGGAAAAATCGATCCCAGATCGTCCATTCGACATCGTAGTACTGCATATTGAAGACACCATCAGTCGCTGATCATGCCAGAGGACTCAGGAACGCGACTCACCTTGTTCTTGGCCATTGCAATCGGTTCCGAGAAGCCAAAGAAGGGCAATGCGAGGTTGACGAACCCGTTCTTGTACTGCTCAATATCCTTCTTGCCGTCGATGATCTTGTACAACTCGAGGCAGACCAACCCGGTCGCAAGGCACGTCGTCGTCGCGATCGCAGGGATGATCTTGCCGGCGATTTGCTTCGTGTGGTGACGGTCGGCGGTTTGGATGCCGTAGTTCATCGCGCGCAAGTTGCTCGCGCTCGTGATGAAGTCCATGTGGAAGTTTGTGTCGTCGTCCTTCTCGAATTCGGCGGGTCGCATGCGGTATCCGGCGAGGGTGGCGGGCTTCGGCAACGCATCAACGATCGTAGCGAGGTCATCGTCGTCCGACGAAGGGGCACCAGCGGCATTGTTGACGGGCTCGTCGTCTTTGATCTGGACCTGGACGCCCGACTTGGGGACGAACTCGGGCAGGACGACCTCATCGAGCGTGCGCATGAACATCTCGCGGTCGATTTCTCCCTTGAGGCCATAGTTGAAGGCGTGCAGATTCGCCGCAGAAACGATAAAGTCCATATGGACCGGATCACGCGGGTCAAAGGTCAAAGGCTCCGGGGCTCGTTTCGGTCCGGACCAGAAGGGTGCGCCTTCCTGCGTCAACTGGGGAGCGTGGTGGCAATCATGATCATCAGCTGAGAGCGAGACCGACAGCGGGCCACAAGAAGAGGACAAACCAAGTCTTTTGGCAGCGAGTGCAGAAGCTGTCGAATCTCGTTGTTGTACTCGGTCTCGAACTGCTGCCTCGCCCACACGATGCACTCTGCGAACCCAAGCGGCCTGTTGTCGACGAGGTAGCTTCGGATCTTGAGCAGTTGACCCGTCTCGCCCGAGGCCTTGGCCGCCTCGACGAAGTTGGCTTGGCTGAGGTACGAGTTGACGACCTCGGCCGGCTTCTCGAACAGGCCCTCGAAGCGTTCCTTGGCCCATGCGATCGTGTGCTCGATCTGGTTGGGGAAGTTCTTGATCGTGCAACTCGGGTGACTCTTTTCGGGCGGGTCCTGCGACGACGAGTACGACTCGGTCACATGCGGTAAGACGACCTGCACGTTCGCCTTGGTGCCGAGCGTGCCCGATTCGAGTAGAGGCTTCTCGTAAAAGACGCAGCGCTGATCCATGTACTGACGAGCAGCCACGTTGTCGAGCGCGTTCGTCACCACGTCGATGCCATCGAAGAAATCGTCGCCGAACGTTCCTTCGGTCTCTCCACCGACGGCGAGCTTGAACACCTCGATCTTGTCGTTGAGGCTCGGGTTCATCTCGGTCACGGCCCGTCGGCCGGCCTCGGATTTGAACGAGCCGACGTCGCGCGGTCGGAACAAGAATTGTCGGTTCAAGTTGCTCTTCTCGATCGTGTCCAAGTCGGTGACGTAGATCCTGCCCTTTTCACCCGTAGCGAGACCCATCATGGCCCAGTTTTTGAGCATCTCGCATCCAATCGCACCCGCACCGACGAGGAATTGGCGCTGGTTCTCGATCTTGGCCTGGAACGCTCGGCCAAAAACGGCGATCTGTCCATCGTACCTCGAAGGCGGGTTCGAAGGCGCACAGTCCTCCTTCGTCGGCTTCGTGTCGGGTAAGGCCTCGAGTGCGTCAAAGTAGAGATGTTGGAACAAGGGTCCGAATTTGCCCGAGCAAGCCTTCAAGACTTCTTGAGCGACGAACCCACCCATCACGGCGTTGATCGGGGCCAAGCTACCTGTGGCCTGGTACGAGAGCTCGGTAAGGACTTTGTCGTCGACATCATCGGTGAACCCGGCCTTGCTCGCGACGTCCTTGGACAATTGGAGGAAGATTTGGGCGTCCGAGTCGTCGCGGGGTGCGGGTAAACGACCGTGAGCGGCTTTGAAGGCCGAGAGCGCCTGGAAGCCGATGTGGAGCGTTGCGGGTCGGTCCCACTTGGCAAAGTCCGAGATGAGGTATTCGGGCGCGGCGATGGACTCGCGCAGGGGCTTGAAATCGAGCAGCTTGGGCATTTTCACCTGGTGGAACCAACCGCCCTTCTTGTATTGGCCCAGGCCTCGGGTGTCGCCGATCGTGAAGGTGTAGGGGCCCTTGACGGCCACCTTGCGCGCGCCCTCGACGCCTTCCGAGTTGATGTCGAGACCCTCGACCTCGAAGAAGCGCACATAGTCGCCATCCTCGAGGCCGTGCCGTGTCTCGTCGAGGCAAGTGACGAGCGCGTCCTCGGCCTCCTCGATCTCGACGACCATGCCGGACAGCGGTGTCTCGCCGGTCTGGTCAACGACGGGGAACTGCTTGCCCAAGTCGCAGAAAGCCGAGGCAAAGAGACCATACGACTCGGCGGCGATGAACTTTATGCCGTTGGCGTGGGCAAAGTCGTCGAGCTTGAGCTGCTCGTTGGTGGGGGCGTTGACGAGCACGATGACGGTGAAGCGCTTGAGCTGTTCCTCGTCGAGCTGCTCGAGCACGGATACGGGGGTGTAGGCGTTGAGTTCGGCGAGGCGGGGTCGTGTGGCCTCGTCGCGACGTTTGCCGACGTCTTGGTGTCGGAGGAAGAACTGGGTGCCTAGATCGGGCACCGAGGCCGGGGTCGGATCCGAGAGGGTGACGGACTTGACCCCGGCTAGGCATACGTTCTTGGCGATTTCGACACCGAGTCCGTCAAGTCCGATGATGAGCACGTCGGATGCGGCCATGCGTTTCATGGCTGTGGCGAGAGGGGGAGCAGGGCAACGGTCGCGGTCGCGGTGTGGGGGATGAGGTCAGCGTGGAGCTAATCTAATGCGCAACCGCGTGATGTCGACCAAGTGACACCGCTTACCTTCATGTCCCAGAACGTAGCTGTGAAGGGCAAGGAGGGAGCATGGTCAGTTTGATGCATTCAGCGCAGATGGGGTGTGGGCAGCCGGTGGTGGCGGTGGTGAAGGTGGTGAAGGTGGTGAAGGTGGTGAAGGTGGTGAAGGTGGTGGGTGACGCGACGGGGCCCGAGCCCGAGCCCTGGCCAAAGCCTTGGCAGAGTCGCCACGTGTGGCCGAGCCTGGTGCAAGCTGATTGATGCTCGGCACGATGCGCAACGGACTGTCTCCTCGTGGTGTCGACGTCGCTCGGTGGCCGCGGCGGTTGATGAGGTCAGCGCCAGGGCGGTCGAGCAGTTGCACCACTCACAGCTGGCGAGAGTAGAGCGATTCATCGAGATTGGGCGCGGCGGCACCACCGATGACTTGATCGACCTCCATGTTGCGCTGCGGGTGGGGTGGGGTGGCGTGGGGTGGGGTGGGATGTGGGAAGGAAAGGGAAACGAACGAAGCGACGTAAGGACCAGCCGCCCGACTCGAATGTCAGCTGGCTGCGCTTTGGCTGCAAGCTGGCACTTACAGCTGGCACTTACAGCTGGCCCAAGCTGGGGCTAGGCTGGCGCAGGCTGGCAGAGGCTGGCGCACGGCTCCCGGCGCAGCACGCGGCAGCACGGCGCAAGGTGCCGCTTGGCTTTGAGGCGTTCAGTCGCGTTCAGTCGTCGTTCAGTCGTCGTTCAGTACGTTCAGTCGTCAGTGCACGGCGCGCAGTGCTCGGCACAGCAACGGAGCGAACTGAATTTGCTGCGTTCACTCGCAACAGCGCCGCAGTACGCCAGCAGAATCGCCATCCTCCTCCTTCCAGCCGAGAGTAACCGATCGCAACTCGCACCTTCCCTCTGCGAAGCTCCACCTCATCTCCCGAGTGCGATCCGCGCCATGACTCGCTAGAGAGTCCGTCCTGGCCCACCACACCATGGCAGATACAATCTCTTCTGCTGCGTTTTCGATGCCAAGTGGCAGTGCAAGTGGCTCCATCCGCGGCGATCCGGCCCCACTCTCCGCAAGCGCCGTCGCAGCCCCCTCCGCCCCCTCCGCCCCCTCAGCGGCCTGGCGCGCCATCGACTGCAACTGCGCGCCAAGACCCCGATGGTCCTTCACCCAAGGCTTCCTCCTCGGCCAATTCTCCATGTAAGCAGCGTCCCACTCCGAGGCCGGGAGCAGCATCGCTCACACCCGGGCTTCTCTCCACAGTCTGCTCCTCGTCGCACTCTTTCTCAAATACGTCGTGTTTGAGCACCGACCACCCTCAACCGCTCCACGCTCCACCACGACTAGATCCAAAGTAGGTTACAACAGCACTGCCTCGTTCTTCGTGTCCACACGCTGACCCAATCCACCTCTCTTACGCGACACCCTCCCCCCAAAGCGGCGGACAGCGACCTCGGCGACGTCATCGACCCCGTCCTCATCCGCCTTGGCCTCGGCCTCGACGTCCCAGATCCTCTCCTCCTTGGCCTACGACCTCTCCTCCCACGCACCCGAAACCCTCGACTGGCTCAACGTGCTCCTCGGCCAGACTCTCTCCGCCTACCGAGGCCTCATCTTCTCCTCGCCTCAAGGCCCCAAGGGGCTCTTTGAGAGCATCCTTAATCGCAGCTCGGCCAACCCGGCTGAGAAAGGCCTCGTTTCGGTCGATTACATCAGCGTCGATGACGTGCACGTCGGCCAGGCTTACCCCTTGCTTGGCGATGCGAGAGTCAGGCCATCTGGGGCCGAAGGAGGAGCCGTGGTGAGTGTGGTTCGCAAAGCGCTCTGTGATCTCTGTGCCTTGACTGACATAGGGAACGTCCCCTTACTCTCTCGTCTCCAGCGTGTCGAGTTTGACATCGATTACGTCGACCAAGTCTCCTTATCCATCTCGACTTCGGTCCTCTTCAACTTCCCGCGCCCCAGTTTCGCCGTGCTCCCGGTCTCGCTCGGCCTGACCCTCGAGCGCTTCTCGGGCACTTTATCCATCGAAGTCCCCTCCCCTACCTCGAACCACCCCAATCCCAGTCTCCACCTCTCCCTCCACCCCGACTTTGAACTCCACCTCTCCACGACCTCATTACTAGGTGCGCGAGCCAAACTACACGATGTGCCCAAGATCGAGCAATTGATCCGGGAACGACTGCGATCCTCCATCGTCGAAAAGGTCGTTTGGCCAGGAAGGGTCTCGATCGCTTTACCCGCTCCCATCGCACCACCTTTAGCGGACGACGTGGCCAACGCATCGACATCGTCTTCTTCCTCCGCCTTGGGGGAGAATGACCTCGAGAATGGATTCGACGATTTCCCTTCGAACATTTCCACGTTGAATCCTTTTCTCTCGGACCAAGAGGACCTATCCCTAGACGAACAAGACGACGATGCGCCCTTAATCAAATCCGACCAATCCCCATCCAAACGCCCTTCTTTCCCCGGGGCCCCAGTCGTCGATCTGGAGAACCCGAAAGGCCCTTCGGTACTCCTCCACCCACGTCTAGATCGAAAGACGTCCAGATTATCGACGGCGAACAACTCGCCTACGAAGAAGAAAGCGACGACGAATGCTACCACACTAGGCGACACGACTTCCCCGACCAAGCGGAACAACCTCCATCCTTCTGCTGGCCTACCTTTGGGGGCTTCCAGTCGAGGTGCAGCATCTGGATCTGGATCAGCATTACCTAGTCCAAGTCCGACTGAATCCCTTCCGGGGTATTTCGGCTCGTTCAATACGGACGGAATACGACAGAGGGGTCATCCTTCAACGGCTTCGGCGTCGTTCGTAGGCAGTAGTCGGAATCGGAATGCGGCAACGTCGGTCTTGGAACGGAGATAGTGCGTTTTTTTCCCCTCCTCCCCTCCTCCCCGAGATTGACCACCCACCACTCCCAATCTCTCTCTCTCTCTCTCTCTCTCTCTCTCTCTCTCGCAAAAGCATATCAACACAGTGTTGGAATTTTATTATCGAAAGCTTCGTAAGACGAACGCTCACACGCACAAGTCGGTGTGGTGCGGTGGAGGTGAAACCTCGTAGAAACGCATTTTAAAGGATCGTCCCCTCATAAAATTCATTATCGGGAATCTGTGATACACACAAAACAAACCACCCACTGCGCCCTTCCCGTCAACAAGACCCCAATCCAGAAGTAGCAGGTTCCCCTCCCTAGTCCTTCTTCTCGGCATCACGCTTGGTCGCGGCTTTGGCCCTCGCGGCCAAAGCCTTTTTCTTCTGCTGCGTGTTGATGAAGGTGCCGGCGGTGGCGCCGACCAAAGTGAAGAAGGGGACCCAGGTCGAAGGGTCCAAAAAGCGTTGCGCGATCATCAACCTATGGAAAAAGAGACAGAGGGAGGGGAGGGGAAGCGAGTTTAGAGCTGGGTTTGAACCTTCCGAGGCTGTTGTGGCTTACGATAGGGTGGAGATGACCCAAGTGAGCCGAAGGATCGGCATGATGCTCATCTTCCATGCCTTGATGATACCTTCGATCGACTCGACGCCGTTGATGTAGGCCATCGCGGCGATCTAGCAGCGCACAAGGACGAATGTCAGATAAGCTTTCCTGAAGATCCTCAACTTGTTCAAAACGCCGAGCGAGGAGGAAAACGCACGTAGACGGATTGCTGGATCGGCGAGATAAAGAGGTTGGAGCAAAGGATCATGCCCAACTTGGCTCGACCCGAGGTCTTGCCCGCGAACGCATTTTGCAAGATGTTCATCAAGGTGTGGCCGAGCGGGGCCGAGATGAAGAAGCCTGCACGAGGGGGGCGGGTGATCGTCAGTTTGAGAAGCTCGGAAAGACGGGGATGTAGTGAGCAGTCAAAAGTCTCGCTGATCATACCATATGCAGCGAGCTTGAGCGCCTTCTTGTTCTGCTTGAGCAGGTCAATCGGCAAGACACCGGTGCGCTCGTGCTTGGCGAGAGGAGCGGGCAAGGCACCGGACGCATGACCGGCGATGATCTCGGAAACGAAGCTGGTGATAGGAAAACAGAATCATGGGGTCAGATCGGTAGATGGGTAGATGGGTGGATCGTTTGCCTGCCGGATGCCTGGGACCGTGCGTGCGCCCGTCGCGTCGTCTCGTGCGGGGTACGCGGCTCGGCATCGACAGAGTGGGGTGGGGCAGGCACTGGAGAAGGGAGACTGACGAGAGCACGGCCGAGGTGGACGACTTGGTCAACACGGGACGTGTCGCCAGCGATTGCAGGTACGCTGTTGGATGAACAATTGCCAAGGCACCGTCAGGGCGTCAGCCTCACTGAAGGACGCCGAGCCGCATCATGGGGGATTTGAACTTGCAAGCGAGCAGCGGGTGCATCGCCTTGGGTTGCACGGTCACAGACACTGTGGGCGACGGGTGGCAGGGTCGGTCAGTTCGCTTGTTTTGCTTGGAGAATCTCCATCGACTGTGGCATACTTTTCGGCTGGCTGGCTTCTTGTTTGGGTGTGTAGGGGAGTGTGGGTGAAACGAGACTAACGAGTGTCAAACGAGACGGGTAGAGACGGGTGCGCGCTGGGCCAACCAGCCGAAGCCAGCCGAATCGTTACCGAATCCGGGTAAAACTCGTCCGGAGGCCGCAATGACCGCATCAAGTAGCACCGCAACGTCAGCGCCCTGGATTCTGGTCTTGGACATCCCACCTATCAAGGGTCACAGCCACATTCCTCCACCTTTTCGTCCATTGCCCTCGACGAGCTCGACCGCCCATCCAGCAGCGGTGCATACGGCGCCCCGGCCCAGCTCAAATCCCGGCGCGGACGCCGCCCAGAAAACCCCGAAGGCTGAGAAGGTGCGCCGGCGCCCTAGTCCCTCAAGCCGTGGACATGGGAATACAGGCTCCTGTACACGACACTGACCCCACTCTGCTGCTTCTCCCGGTGCTGTAGAGCTGTCGCGGCTGTCGGTGAGTGATTCCCTCTCAATCAATTTAAGCGCACGCGCACGGCTGCGAGCTATCGCTGATCGGCATTAATCCCGACTTTCGCAAAGCCAACGCAAAGTCAAGGTGAGTGTATTGCCAGAACACCTGCCTTTTCCTTACTTCTTTGCACTATGGAACGGAACCTCGGGACGGCGGGATCGTAGCGTTTGTTCCTACGGATTCAGACAACGCCGTCCGAGTGTCCGTCTTGCACCGGCGAAACTCCGATGTCTGCGCTGGCCCGGTTGCAAAATTACTAAACCCGCCATTGCACGCGAACGACAGTGTGACCGACAGTGGCCCAAATGCGGGAGATGTTCAGGTAATTGATAGCTGCTGTTCGCGCTTGCTGTAAGATGCCCGTGCGCGGCTGACAGCTCACGGGGCACAAATTTACCGCACAGAGCGAGCCCTCGATTGTCAATTCAGCAACCTCGTTCCAGGTGAGGAGCAGGCCAGGCACGGACAGTGGACGAGGCGGAAGGTCAACTCATGCCACAGTTCTCCGGTTTCATTTGTTTGATACAGCGAACTTCGCACGAACGATCGACCATGATGCTCTGGTGACCCAACTCGAAAAGCGGATTCGTGAGCCACAGAAGGCCCGCCGGCGTTCTCGTACACCACCGATCAATCCCTGACTCTACCTAACACCGTGCAGAATCGCTCGAGTCCGAGTTGGTGGCGCAGAGTTTCTTTCTGACTGCGGCAGCCGATCTGTGTTCCAACATTTCCACAACATTCGCTGCCGGTGCCGCGTCCCCTGAGGTTGCATTGCGCTTTCTCTCGCAAAGAGAAGAGGACGAGGAGCGACTCGCCAAGCTCAAGCGGAGGAGCGGTACCGCATTCGACGATCACTCGGACCTGGACAACGGCCCTACTCCGGGCTCGCTCAGCCTCGAAGTGCGGCTAGCGAAGCCAGCTCTGCAGCGATCTTTCGCACTGCATCTCCTCGACGCCTTTTTCGACTCTTGTTGTTCGAATCTGCCCATTTTTCGACCATTTTTGATTCGAAAATCGCATCTGTACCGCCAGATTGACGACCTCGACCCCCCTTCGCGAGTGGCGGTGGCTACGTTCTGTGCCCTTGGGGTCAGAGCAACACCGCATTCAGGTCTGCTCGGTATTCCTGAGGTGGATCCCTCCGACTCTCGCGCCATGATCGTTTCTGGAGTGCGACGCGAGCAGACGTACAAGGCGCTGCATGCTGAAGCGATGGACCTTTCGGATCGACTCGAGATCGCACACGATCCGAGCCAGCCAGCCCTCGAGGCGTTGATGGTGCAGATGCAGGCGCTGATGTGGCAAGAACTGATTCCGCGGCGATCGAGGAGCATGGTGCGCAGCGCGCTCGGCATGTTCAAGGATCTCGGAGAGCAACGGGCCGCGCTGGTCAAGAGCATAGGTTTACCTCTGCTCGCTGGGGATGCGATTACTTCGGCTTACGGTCGACGCGCATGTCTTGTGACCGAGGCGGACCTCAGCGAGTACTTTTCGGGCTTGGTCCTCCCCGATCTCAAATACGACCAGCTGCAGTCGATGATCGCCGTCCACCTGCGTCCTGGAGAAGAGCCCAATCATACACAGCTTTCGAGCGCCAGCATGATCATCTGGAGATGGCTAATTGCGTGTCAACGCGAGTTCAATCGGATTGCTTCTCGTAAGTCAAGCATGAGCGGCCCATCCCGTTGCGCCGAGGGTTCACACTGACGTACGAACCCTTCATTATCGTCATCAGTGCGTACCGTTCACTACTCGATGATCACTTCCGAGATCATGATGCTCTGGACGGCATTGGATCAAATCCACTCGGCCATCCAGAATTTCCAGAGTTTATTAATGGGTCTCCGCGGCCTGCCTCCCGGCTGCGAGGCCGATGGGTGCTCTTCGATGCACCTACGCTACGTGACTCGACTCGACCGCGAAGTCGACGACCTGACGTGGCTCATCCACTCGCTCATTTCGGAGCGAATGCAAGGCCACCATGGATCACACGACGACCTCTCCGTCGAGTGGCTTCTCGAGAGCGAGCGCCGCGTGCGGAGAGGCCTCAAGCTCGCTGCGTTCTACTTTGAGCTCTATTCGATCTCGGTCAGCCCGAACCAAACGTGGTACCTGTGCTGGCAGCTTGAGTTGATGCCACGATGGACGTCGATCGCCGTGCAACGCTATGCCGAGGAAGGCGGTCCGATCACACCGGACGACGAGCTGACGGAGACCGAGCTAGACTGGATCGAAAAGGGGTTGCGCGTCGCGGCTTACTACCACCCCGTCGCGGAGCGGCGGCTGGTCGAAATGCAGTCGATGCGGAGACCGCCGAGACGGGATAGCGCACCGTCAAGGGCGACACAAGACCGGCCCGATCTGCTACTAGAGGAAGCAATGAGGAGGACTATCATGTCGACGGCGATGCCTTTTCCAACTAGTTGATGACGACGGGTGAGCCTTTGGCACCGAAGGCTTGGCTCGCAGACCCGGCGGTGGTGCGTGGTCTTAGATGCTCGAGAGGGTTCGTATCGGTGTGGATCAGTGCTGCCTTTGTTTGTTGTTGTTGTTGTGATCATGTGCGCGCTATCCCTGAAGCTCTCTAGAGCTGAAGGTTTGTTCAAGGAAAATTGGGGGGCGCGAGCTGGGGAAATTTACGAGATTCTCAACATTACTAATTCTCGTTGGCGGGGGGCGGCTCCGGCACAGGCCCGCACGCTAGGCCAGCAGCCCGCAGCCAGCCGGCACAAGCCGGCACTGGTCTTTTCTGCTTTTGCTGCAAGAGTTTGACGCCGAGGACTCAAGCGCGCGCGACCTCTACCCTCCTTGCAGTAAGCCGTGCCCGCACGCCTGCCCCTCTTGCAATAAGCCGCGCCCCGCACGCCTGCCTCGAGCCTTGGTCTGTAAGCCGCACTTGCGCAAGAGTTTACCAAGCCCGCTCCTGCCGCACCTTTCAGTTCCCACTGCTTGCCGTTGCCGTACCAGTATCGCTGTGTACCTCTGCCACCTCCTGCCAAGGTCAGTGGCCTTCCTTGAACTCTTCCTGCCGCCATTTGGCTGACAGGTTCAGAGCTTCTCACAGGACCCCCCCAGCGATACCGTACAGCTTCCGCCTTCCAGTCTTCTGCCTTACCAGTTGACGACGAACAGCTGCCACTGTGTACGCCTCTCTTTTTTTTTTTTTCAACACTCCTTGTTGGATGGTTGACTGACGCTCCATACTTTGTATGCAGCCGTCCGCCTGCACCTGCCAGTGCTGCGCCTCTCTCCCGTTCGCCTGCGTCTCGCTCAAAGAGCCGAGGTACATCACCCCCCTTCAGGCTCTACCTTAGGGTACTCCTGCTTTCGACTGTCCTTGTTGGACACGTTGACTGACTTGGCTACCTTGCTACACAGACCCACCCTCGACGTGCCAGCGTCTGAGGTCTGTTTCCTTTGCTGTCTTCTTGTCTCCAAGCGACACGCTTTACAAGCATAGGTATGCCATAGTCCTCAGAGTCTTTGCAGTATTCCGAGTACTAATAGAATCGCGCTTTACAAGCATAGTCGTTCTATCTTCGTCTCCTCCCACCCACCCTACAAAATAAATAAATACAAAAACAGCCTTGTGTTCTTTCCTTTACTTTCTTATCTATGGTCTCTCGTGGGTAGATTTTCAACCCATCCCGTTTTTTACGGGATGCCTGGTTCTTATGCTGCAAATCCGACTCCATCCCAGCTATTTCGGTTCGCATTGCGCTCTTACGATGGAGTCGAAGACCTGCAGAGACCGGCGCGGAAGTGGCGCGGAACGGCGGCGAACGGCATGGAGTGCAAAGTCCTGTAGGCGTGCGCTTCGTCCCCCGACTGTTAGCTGTGTGCGAACATCAACATCTCAGTAGCTCATGGTACAGCCCTCCTCGGAGCACCGTGGAGTAGTTCATCAGTCACGAACGGTGCTCAGTCAGTCCGACACACCAGTCAGTGTTATCAAGTGGCATTTGTGTCGATGTCGATCTCTCCCAGTTCACGTGTTTTAGTCGTGCCTCCCGACGCCGAGTCATTGGACAGCATCTCGAGAGCTGGGCTTGAAAAAAAGGGATTCGCTCTTGCCAACATGGCGAACGAGTACAGTGCGCTTATTATGGACCGAACAGATTTGGTGCCTCACATTCGCTTGACGACGATCTAGTGATCAGGTGCTCATTGCGATAGCTCGTCTTGACCAACGTCAAACTTCGTTTGGAGCAACTGCAGATCCTCTGTCAGACTCACAACTTGCAAGGCTACTCTCGTCGGCGATCAAGGGCTAGAGAACTGTTTTTGCGTATTCGATTGTCTTTATTGTCTTTATGCACTGAGAGTTGTCCAGCATGTGAGAGTGGCTACATCTTCAACCGAAGCACAGCCAATGACACTCTGGTCCCCAGACGGTAGCCCGCCGCACGGTCTACCGGCACAAAGCATTGGAGTCGTGTCAAGCAGAACTGAGCAAGAGGATTTCTGAACGAGAGGAAAGGTCATTGACAGAGAATGCGACTCAGAACAGACGACGAGCGGCGACCAACAATGACAGCCGCCCTGACGGCGACACACGGCTTCGCCGAACCACGCCCGCTTGGCAGGCTGAGCGGTCCTCGCCCTATACTCCTGCGTCCGCCCGGCTCCAAGTTGAGATCCGTGCCGAATGGAATCAGTACTTCACAGATGCCGAGAAGTCAGGACCACTGTTCGAGAATCAGTCCGCGAGCGGCAGAGAGGCCGACGACGAACAAGATCGTCGTGATCGACGAGACAGGAGCAAACGTCTTGTGGTAGTCGATCCCCAGTCGTGGAGCAAAGCTTTGGACGACTAGACGAGCCTTGTAGCTGATGATGTCGCCTTCGACGTCTTCCTACCAAGTAACACCCAACGATAGCCCAGTGCACGAGCCCCAGTGGGTAGCCTCGAAAGCTTGAAAACCTTGTGCAAGCCCATGGAGTTGGGTTCCTTGACGGACGCAGCGTACCACGACTCGGCCTCGGGCGAAGCCATCGTATCCTTGAGGTCTTGGGAAGCGGTGGGTGACGAGTGGAAAACGACGCGATGAGCTCTGGTTCGCGACGAACGATCTTGCGCGTGGACACAATACTGAGGGCGGCGACGCGACGCCAGTGAGCACGCGTGCGAACCGGTAGAATGTTGCCCTCGTCAATGTTCTCGAGCAGACCGGGATTGCGACCGACACGATAATGCCGGTACTCGTGACCATCGTCAGGAGGTAGAGGTGGAGCACGCTCCGCAGGGTCGTCATCTTCGTAACTGTCAATAGCCTCAACAGCCTCCTCGCGTCGATGATCGATAGGCTGCTCTTCGTCTTTAACCCCTTCGGCCAACGGGCCGACAGCTGGTAAAGGAAACCTCGCCATCGTCCGCACGTTGAAGACGAGGAAGTGGAGGCAGCGCTGGCGGTAAAGCCACACCAGGCTCGGCCGACCCGCCTCAGGGATGGGAGCAGGCCATAAAGCTGGATTCTGCTCCCAGCCAGGAACACGCAGTTGAGATACTAGCTCGTACTCCTGTAGAGGTTCGACTTCGAACATGCGGCGGGGCTCGTCAGCCGAAGAAGTCCGCCTCACGCGCAGGCGACGGCATCAATGACTTTGGAGCAGAGGCCGCCGACATCATGGATCATCGTGAAGTGTCTTCGGGACGCGCGGCTGGCTCTTGAATGAAACGTGGATTTGCCGTTAGACTTTCTAGCCTCGTCTTGCGGTGGTTATTCGCTTGCGGGTAGGAGGTACTGCCTATCCTCGGGCCATGGTTGTGTGAGTGTGACGTTATAGAGTGCACTGGAGGTTCAGGGACTGGTCGCCGCCGCGCGGTGCGTTAATTTAATTCGATGTTTTCATCACGTTTGGCTCTGCAAAATCAGGAACTGAACTGCACTGTGAAAGCCTGACGGATCCGAGGGGATCGACCCCCGAGTCTTCATGCAGTCGTAGCCCGATCCGTGAAGCGAAAACCTATCACCCATCTCAAAGACGAGAGGCCCACAACTCGCGCCGCGAATCCACTGTACGCAAGACCAGACGAACTATTCTTATCCGGGGGTGATCCGACAAGAGACAATCGAGGTGCAAGTTTGCAACCCGGAGACCGCCCTGAAAGAACGTGCAGGAACCGCTTCGCTCGCCGCTCAGGCCTTCAGGCACACGACGAGCCTTTGTCGATCGCTCGTCCCTCCTTGCCGACAGCGAGGCGTGAGTCGATTTGCGAATGATTGCTAACGTATTATTACAGGAGCAGGTCTCATTAATGGTACTGCTTGAAGGGGTGGTGGTCGGAGAAGAGGTAATGGAGGCCCGCGAACTTGATATTCTTGCCTGCGACCAAATCACGATGGACAGGGGGTTGACATCCGCGTTCGCACTGATAAACGCGGAACAGCGGCTTCGCGCTGCCCTCGACGGTTCTCTCGTCGTTGAGCCTGGAGAGGGTAGGTAGGGACGAAGGAGAACAACGTTGGTGATCAGACCAGCAAACATGACCTCGACTCGGCCCTGTTCGATCTCGGAGACTGACCTCGACCGGTGGCCGTGTTCGTTCCGACAGTCTTGGTTACTGCATAGCGACGACGTCAAATCTTCATCGACGTAATAAACCAGAATATCCAAGCCGACGCGCTTCAGACGCTCGATCTCTGCAACGAGCGCCCGCAGGAAGACGTTGGTGCGGTAGGTCGCGTAAACCGTGCCACGGCTCGAGTCACCCACGCCGATGAAGAAAATGAAGAGGCGTGGCTCCGACGACAGGATGTCGTCTCGAAGCGCCAACTCGGGCGAGCGCAGGCTGTCGAGGGCTTGCTGCTGGCGAGTTCCATTCAAGGCTCGTTCTGAGTGAGGAAGGGAAAGACCAAAATAAAAGAGAGAAAACCCCGCGGTCCGGGCCAGATTTACGCAGTGGTCAGTCACCGGGGGGGGGGGGGGGGGGTTAGGCATGCCACCAGAAGCTCGATCGGCGCCGGGAGGGCCCCTGTCAACTTAGTGCACTCACCGACGACGCGGACACCCGTCGCGCTCATCACTTGGTCGACGAGGCGCTGAACGGTCGCTTTCGCGTGGACCCGGGAATTGTGCACTGTTGTCTGGCGTTCTGGCTCGGACTGCAGCCACTCGGTCGAAGGTGCGTCGTCCGATGGGCCAGCATGCGACGGATGGGCGTCGGTGGCAGCTACTGCGAGCGCGTCGGTAGGCGCGATTGGGGCAGGGGCGCGAGGAGCGGGGCCAGGAGTGGCGGTAGCGGGCACGACACGAGGCATACCGGCGGTGTTCGGCTCCGACGAGATCTGCAGGCCGAACCTAAGTTCGGCGCCGAGCTCGGCGTCGATTAAGCGCGTGCGCTCTTGCGTCGAATGAAGGGCGTGGTCGACGGAGGACGCGTATAACACCAGCTCGTCTTCCATTGGGCATCCGTTCCGATCGTACAATCTGGAGGAGATGGCCATGGGGCACATGGTACCCGGGTCGATGCCGACAGTGACTACATCGCGGTTAACCCGGCTTCGAGCTCACTCGCCAACTCGTCGCAGCCCGGAATGCAGGTGGAAATTGGTGGGAGCTCGTAATCGCCCCACGACTACCCGGTCGATATGAGGTGCAAGGAGGAAAGGCACCACACGAGGTTAGCAAACTTGGGTTTACAAAGGATCGATGCCCCCCGCTCAGCTCGCGTAGGATTGGAACGTACCTCCCCAGTCGCCTTTTGAAAGATGGCCTGCAGCGCCTCTTCCCTCCCGTTCTCAACCCTCTGGATCATTGGCATGCCCCCGGGGAGGGTGGGAAGTTTCTTGACCGCACGTTTGGGGACCCAGCGCACCGACTGCTCCTCGTGTCCCACTCCCTTTGGGTTTGTGGCGGTCTTTGGGACGGAGGGGATCTTTCGAAGACTCTGAATCAGCTTGCGGAAGATGGGACCCGCGTTCTTGGACGAATGCCACGTCGGGTAGTGCTCGGTGACGAGGTCGAACGTTTCGTATACCGTTTGGCGAGGAACAATCGCAGCTTCAGAATCAGGCGACGAGCGAGCTTCGAGAACGGCCTCTGCGACATCGAGCGTGAGGATCTGGACCGAATGGCCGTTGGTTTGCCACTGACCATGTGGAACTCGGTGGGGACCAAAGAGCTCGACGTTGAAGAGCTGCAAGACGACGAGCGGTCCCTTGCCGGTCAGGTAACGCGGAACCCCATCCGAGTTGGGCTTGAAGAGGCTTCGGTCGGACTGGGCGGCGGTCACCTTGCGCACCTTGGTGGGTGGGTCGGCGTCGGCGTCGTCACTGTCGGAGTCGCTGCCAGGAGCATCTGACCGGGGTGGGGTTGCGACGGAAAAGATGCCATGGATCGTCGCTTCGCAAAACGCAACCCACTGGGCCTCCCATTCAGGGCTAATTACCCATTCCTCGCCTCCGCCTCCTCCTCTCAGCAGCACACCCTTCGCGTCGACTTGTCGCCTCAACATCTCGCGAACCCTTTGACCGGCGCCGGCGATTTCCTCGTTCGTCGTCTGCGCATCAGCACGCTGCGCAGCCCACGGGATCCAGACCCCATCGAGCCATTTGACAAGCACTCGGGCAACCTCCGGTCCCTTCCAGAGGATGATCGCGGTACGGCGCAAGGGCATCGTTACAATTTCCGGCGCAAAGTCCTGTGAAGTATCGGGGGGCGGGTCGAGCTTCGGTTAGTACGAAGCGCTCACTTGGCTATACCAATGCAGTGGCAATTCCACCCGAATGTGTCAAGGGGTGCTCACCGGTCCGATGCCTTGGCTACGACCACTTTTGATCTTGAGCGCGTGAAGTGCCGGAAGCAGGACCTGGGTCGGCAAGAACTTGAACTTCCCCTTCACCAGGTCGCCGAGCGTGTGCTGGCGGCGGAGTTGATCGCGCTCAGTTGGACCCATCATCTTGTCGAGGTGTTCTTCGACGACTTGGATTGCGTCGAAGATCACTTGGCGGGCGGATGCGTAGATCGAGTCGAACGTCGCGGCATCGGGGATGATCTTGTGGGCTTTCTTGTACAAGGCACGGAGAGCGGCCTCGAGCTTGGGGTCTGCAGTGGCCGGGTGGGTCGCCCTGTCGCGTAGCAGGGGAACCAAGAGCATCGCCTCGACAATGCGCTTGAGGCTCTGGTTCCGAAAGCTCACTTCGGCCACCTTGAGCTCGTAGACTTGGTGGCGACCCCCGGCGGTGGGGTCACAAAGCCGGCCGAGGCGAACACGCGAAGGACCGCAGGTACCCGATCCTTCCACCCAAAGAGCCCGACGATCATCATAATCACACGGTCCTCCCACCAGTCCGCCGAGTAAACGAGCTTCGGCACGAAGACCCTGTGTATCTTGGTCTCGTTTGTAGCTCGTATGACGCTTGTCCAGGCCTGCGAAGTGAGACAGGGGGAGGCGTGCGCAGTGCAGGGCACGCGTCAGGTCCACACGTCCACGTTCAACGGCAACGAGACCACGTCACGCATACTCACATACGAAAAGCAAATGACGTCCTTACCACCCGAGACGCGACGAAAGAGGGCTCGCTCTTCTTCGTATGCGTCCGACCCGACAGACGCTTCATCGGGGAGCGTGAGAGGGTCGTCCAGCCGGGTGCGACCGTTCCCGCCCGTTCCGGCCTCCGTCCTCGCGCAGCAGGTAGAGTATGGACATGAACAACGCGCGCCAGCGGTTTTGGTTCAAGCCAAGCTCCTTCCACTGCGCGCGCGTCAAGAATCCGAGGCATCGACCGAGCGCATCGGCGACGACGCTCTCGATCTCACGGTGGGAGATCGCCAGGAGGCGTAGGAATGGTTCCAGAGCCTGTAGGGCACGCCTGGGGCGATCGGGGGTGTCAGAAGGGTGAGGAGGCATAGTGTCTGACTTTTTTTGTGTGGAGAGCACTCGTGGGCGAATGTTGATGGTCAGAAACCGAGAGATGGGTGGGCGATTGGATCCGTGTGCCCACCCCGCCCCAGCGCCGGCGCACCGTCTCCTGTCCGAAATTGATTTCGGGCAAATGACGCACAACCATGCGAGACGACAATCGCGTGTGTTCAAATCGAATAAAACGACAAAAGGCGGAGAAGAGGTCCGAGCGCAAGAGCACCCCAGGTGGGGCAAATCTGGCAAGCTGCGTCGCACCGCGAGTCAGAACTCGTCGATTTGATTAGGTCAGGTCTTCGGTTCCAAGATATTCGGCCAACACAAAACGGGGCCTCCAAAGTGCACAGATCTCTTCACTGCGCCCTCGGCCCCACCCACTCAGTAGCGACCTCGATCGCCGCCTGCGAGATGCCTTCTATCCCCACCTCCTCGGCTTGCTCCGGCCCCTGCCCAAGGTTGATCCTCTTGACATTGATTTCATCTTCGGTCGGGATCTCGAGCGTCGCGAGTTGCGAGTCCAGCATCGGCGCTTTGAAAAAATGGCCCGGTCGCGACGTCAAGCGGTGCAGCAGCAAGGGTCGAGTACCGTGAACTGTTCGTCGAGTCAACGTCAGTGAGATATACTCATAAGCCTTGTGTGAATCCACTCACGGTAGATAAAGTAGGTCTCGAGCTTGTCCGCCTCGATCTCGGGTTCGATGATCGAGTCTTCACCGAGCTGGACCTTCCTCCCACTCAACAACTCCCTATACCCTCTCTTGAGCGCCGAGCATCCGACCACGACGGCCTTGCGTTCTCGCTTGATCATCTCCTCGCCAAGATGTATTGTCTGCGGGTGCACGTGCGCAAGGGCCGAGGTGAGCTCGTCCGAAGGGTGGATGTGGTCCGCTTCGGCTGGGACGGGGTGGGCGAGGGCTTGTACGCCTTCTTCTGATGTGAGGTGGGATACTGTCGCCCGGATTCGTAGCAGCCAAGGTATCCGGTCCTGTATCCTCAATCACAGCATGTCAGCTCCTGGTCGGATCTTGGGAATGAAGGCGGCGGGTGGGTTGCGAATGGCAAGACGGGGGGGGGCGAGAGAACGGACCTCGTCGGTGAGCGGGTGGCCTTCAGACATCTTGACGACGTTGGAAGCCGGGTGCAGATCATCTCCATCTACAAAAGCCAGTCCGAGTGCCCGCGCGACGGCGAGACCTATGCTCGATTTGCTGCAAGTCCGTGGCGTGTGACCGAGAGTGGGTCGGACGGAGCAAACGGAGGCGGATCAACGTGTCAGTTAGGACGTGGCAAACTAGGAAGGGATATGTCGGGAGTCAAAACTGATACACTCACCCGCATCCACTTGTGCCCATGCAGACGATCAAAGCTGGTGTCGGGGCCATGTTGTTGCGGGAAGGAGTGGTGCCGGTCCCCAAAAGCCGCGGCGCCGAACCCAGCTCTGTCACTGCTGAGTACTGAGTCCTGACAGCTGCTGACCGGCGCTGACCTACGGCGCAAACGCTCGCAAGTCCGAAGCGGCGTTCGCGGCCCGAAGCCGCCCACCCCGCCGCGAGCTGTGCGGAGCAGACTGAGGTTGACCGAGAGCTACTGAGAGCCGCTGGAGCCTGGCGAAGGTTGGGGGTCACGTTCCTGGTCGACTCGAGCGGATTCAATCCTGTTCACGTGTGCTCTGACCTTGCTACTTGGTACGAATCGAATCCGAGCTACTTTGATTGGATTGATCTCTTCTTGGTTCATCGCACTGCATCGTCCCTGGACCACCCTTGGTCTCCGCGGCTTATCATAGACCCAGCCGCCGCTCCCAGCGGCGCTATCGGAGATCGCTCCACGTTCAACCCGCCCTAACCCGCTCGGCGTCACTCGTCTTGGCTCTTGCCTGCTCTTGCCTGCTCTTGCCTGCTCTTGCGGTCCCCCCAGTCACTCTCTCGCCTTTGTTCTCCCCGCCTTGTCTCTTCCGCTCTCCTCCTCTTGTCAAGCTTCAATCCACACCGCAATGACGGAAGCTTTACCCCCTCCCCGGATCTCATTGCTCGTTCACGCCCCGGCCTCATCCCTCGTGCCCGTCCTAACGGACCTCCTCGAGCCCTCGCCTCCTCTGACCCAACTCCTCGTTCCGCAACTACACGCCTCCTTCTCCCATCCTTCCCCACCTTCAACCTACCGTGAACTCTTGGAACGAGCGGCCTCGATCGTCGAGTCGTGGGACGTGCAGGACCAGGCCGAGTTCTTGGCCAGTCATCCGAGGATTGGAGAGACAATCGGGTTGAGTTCGTTCAGCGGCAAGGAACAGGCTCCCGCTCAGGGCGCAACACCGGGCGAAGTACTCAAGAGGCTCAGTGTAAGTATACGCTTTCCGTTTCCTTCGATCGAGTCTCGTCCGAATGCAAGCACCTCGGATTGGGGACCGACTTTTAGGGGCTCGGCAATCCCTCAAAGACCGAGACGGCCATCTCGCCCAAGAGGAACTCGAAGCCGCCAGACGAGCCGTTGCAGCAGCACCGAGTCGTGATGCCGAGCCAATCAGAGATATGCTTTAGTGCACCGAACACGCATGACCTGTGCACCCAGGCAAAATCTGCTCTTGAAGAACAAAGCTCGACCACGGCCTTCGGACCATCCCCCCACATTTCCGAAGCTGAATCGAGCCTGACCGATACCCACTATTTTTCCGCCTTGCTCCACACAGATGCTCAACTCGCTCTACGAAGAGGCCTTTCCCGGTCTTCGCTTCGTCACCTTCGTCAACGGCCGACCACGAGCCGCGATCGTGCCCGAAATCGAGGTCAGTCGCTCCCCAAAAAATCCCACTTGTACCCATCCCAAGACGATCTTATTCACCCGTCTTACGTAATCCCACTCCACAGGAAAAACTCGACCTCGTCCTCCCCGAACCTTCCCCTTCGACCCCCGAACCTCGTCTCTTCTCCCTACAAGAAAAGATCAAGACCCACGTCGTTGGGTCCAAAGCATGGAGGGACGAACTACGCCGCGGGCTTAAGGCCATGTGGGACATCGCGCAGAGTCGATTGGTCAAGATGGGCGTCGAATGAGCGGAGCCAACGAGAGACGGATTGCATATGTTCTCCCTACTGTTTCTTGTTTTGTGTGTTGATTGTTCTGTCTATTACCCATCCCCGCTCCTTTCTCGCACCTTCTTGGATTCTTATTCCCTAGCGCGCCCGCCGGGTCCCTTGATACTTCGTAGAGGAACCTCTTTACCTCTTTAATGAGCATTGATTGCAGTGGTTCCTTGCACAACTCTACATCTAAGCCCGAGAAGCTCCTCAAAACTCGAGGTCTACGATTCCTCTCCCCTTCTCACTCTCCCCATCACCTCACTGGACAAACCCCACCCCTCTCGCCATGCCAATACCTGAATCCTTCCGAAATCGCCGCCCAATGCGATAAGGCGGCCAAGAGGATCAAGACGTGGAAGATCTGGTGCGAGGATCCAAAGAGGTCGAATCGACCGGGGAGGAATCGTTCGGGACAGCGCTCGGCGTATCTAGAACAGGGTGGAGAAGGGTGGGAGGGGGTTCAGTGAAGGGGAAAATTAGACGGGCTTCGGTGCGGAGGTCAGACGTACAATACTGCGCCGACAATGTAACTTCGACGGTAAATGATCGAGTCAGTGTTCCTTGCCCAGACGGTGAAAATCGCAGATCGAATCGAGGGATACTCACAGTGCACCTCCAAGAGCGAGCCAGGGCAACGCGATTCCATGACCTACCCCATAGCGAAGTACGGCATGTCCGACGGGGAACACCGCACTTGTCCCAAGAGCGATAAAGACCCAAGCTCGGAAACGACGGAACTCAGGGGTCTTGGCGTGGGGCGCGAGCACGGTGTAAGCGGTGACTGTAGGGGGAGTGGGTGCACTCCAGGTCAGAAGGTGCGAGAAGTAAAGCGCTTCACTCTTTGAAGTCGCTCACATAATGCCGCGGAGTAGATGAGGGTTATGTAGAGATTCCTAAGGTGGGGATCACCTTCAAAAAGGAATATGACCGTGCCGTCAGTCGGACAAAGCAAGTTGCGTAGCATCAAGAAAAGTACGCACAGAAGAAACCGTATCGGACGGCAGGCACAAACGTTCCTGAGATCAGAACAACGATCCCGACGTAGTCAAAGTTGTTCCATCGATGTGCGACCTGTTCAAGAAAACAAAGTCGGGATGTCAAATCTGCTAGAAGTACTCCGTTCGGGCGTCACGTCGGACCGACCTCTTTTGAATGACAGCATAGGGCGTGAAATGACGCGGAGAAGCCTGCGGAACGAATGAGTTTCTTATTACCGAAGCTCTCATACAACCAGGAAGAGGGCCTTCTTACCCAAGCATGTCGCTGCACTGACGAAAAACACTCCAAAGCCTGCCATTACGAAGTCCGTGGAGAAGATTAGCGCGTGCCTCCATCCTCTCGAGGATTGAACTGCTCGTCGAGATCGGACTTACCGAAGCTATCGATCCAAGTCACGCTCGGCTGAGCAGCCGACGGGAACGGATAGGGGGTTCCGGCGAGCGGTGCGAGCCAACCTTGGCGGTGTCGAGTTCGCTCGTGGGGAGTGATAGCCATGACGAGGTACAGCAAGGAGCCTATTGCGACGATCGCACCAATCAGATGTGTCCACTGTTTCGATGAAGTAAGATTCGAGTTCAGATGGAATGAAACCCGTGCACGACTCGGGTATGACGTCGCCGAGCGGCCCTCACTTGCAATGTTGGTCGTCTCGTTGTGAACCCCAAATATGGAGGCGAAGCAAGCATAGTACGACTTGAGCGTTTGTCTGTAGCCTGTATGGATGCAATGATTGTCTTTGCGCCAGTCCTCGAGCTCCTCATAGGACAGTAGCCTGGAGTTCTTAGCGACGAGTGGGGTCGCTTCGCCCGCTTGGGAGATCGCCGGTCCCGATGAGGTTGAGGCCGTCGTATCCATTGTTGCGTTGTTGCTTGTGATTCGATGTCGCCTCATCAGCACGAGGAGTGGGACTTGGCTCTGAGTCCGACGAGAATGGCTTCGGGTCAAGGGTACAAAAATGCGCCGAGAAGAGATGAACCTCGCGCTTCGGCTTCGGCCATTGCACTCCGGGCTTCCCGGCTGAATACTGGCCGAGTGGACTGCGCTGCACGTGAGCAGCCCGAGTCCGAGTCGGCCATCGGTCCGCATCGAGGGCGAATATTCACAAGACGTGTAGTGTTAGTGTTCTGCAGAGGAGCGCTGATCGTCTTTGGTGGCTGCGACCACTTGTTTCTTTCCCCAATGTCTATTTGAAATGACTTGGGGCGAGCTCGGTGTGTCTGTAAACATGTTGGAAGTTGGGTAAACTCGGCGGGCGAGGCTCGGAGAGGGGTCGCCTGGCGCCTGCCCGCTGCACTGGCTCGCCTTGCCTCGGTTCCGTGCGCACCTCAACCCCCGAATCCATTCAACGCAGAGCTCGTGACGAGAGCCGATCATGTTGATCGAACAAAGTGAACACGAGGTCTCGACCGCAACTGTGAGTGGCCACTCGGCCTTGGTCGCTGCGAGGGGGTCCCTCTCCCCCACTTGCCGAATTTGTCGACCGATGTTTCTCACGCCACGTCTGGCACTCGCAGGGGCCCATGACCATATTTGTCGTCAAGCCAAAGTGGGTTTATCCGGTTCAGTCTCCCTGCCACTGCCACTTGCTTCAGTACACCAGCATCAGCACCCTCACCGCAATGTCCCCCTAGGAACCGCCCCTGATCACGCTAGGCTGACTCCTCTTTGCACCCACTACAGAATGCCAGAATATCCCAACGCCAAGTTCCCAGGAGTAGTAGTATGGTCCGAGATTTACAATGTGAGCATTCCCAAGCACTATCATCTGGGTGACCGCTCCCTCATCGTGGGGCGGGACAACCCCCACCTCTCATCCACTTACCTCCAACTCCCTATCACTCATCCCGCAGGTGACCGGTCCTGTCCTTCGCTTCGCCAACTCGATCGCTTCGCAGGGATACATCGTCGCATGCCCAGTTGTCTTCCACGAATTCACAGGTCCTGCCGCGCTCGCCTACGATGTGCCGGGTACGGATGCTGGAAACGCCTACAAGGTCAAGAAGGTCCTGAGTGCCTATGACGAGGATGCCAAGAAGGTACCTTCGGAGAGCTCTCTACCATGCGCACATAAACTGACAACAAATCCTCTGTAGGCGGTCGACCTCTTGATGGAACACAAAGTGAGGCCTACACGATAGTAACGGCTTTCGCTCATCGCTGATCCAAATCTCTCTCGGATCTGCATGGACAGAACTGCAACGGTCGGATCGGAACGACAGGAATGTGCTTGGGTGGCCACTTGGCTTTCAGGGTAGGTGATGGCTACCACGGTCACTCAGACCTCGTCTGTAGATGTCTGTTCTGACGTACCGCTCGCCTCCCCTCGCACAGACCGCACTCGATCCTCGAGTCTTGGCCTCGGTCTGCTACTTCCCTACGGGCAAGTGAGATCGGTCTCTATTTGAACCAGAGGCGCATATGCTGACCAAGATGTGCTTTCTACTTTGAATCAGATATACACAATGGCGCATTATCCTCGACAGGCGACGACTCTCTCGTCCGAGCATCGAAGGGTGATCTCAAAGGCGAGGTCGTCCTCATTTTCGGAACTCAAGATGGCCATGTCGTCAGTCAGCGCCTTGCGCCTCTAGCGAACGAGCCATGCATAACCATCCCTTGATTGTCATTCTACAGCCGCTTGCGGGACGTAACCTAATCCGCGAACAGCTCAATTCCGCCGGGTTGAAGATGACGTTCCTCGAGCTGCAAGCGAACCACGCCTTTATCCGGGACGAGCTTTCGAAAGTAAGCAGATCGGCGACGAGAAGCTCAATCAAGGCGGACGATACTGATGTACCAGTGGGTCCTCACGTTTGAACTCACAGGGCCGGTTCGATGCGGCGATTTCCAAAGTTTGCTTCGAATTGTTGCTCGAGACGTTCGGGCGAACGATCGGGAGGGATCTGGGCGAACGGGTGGTGCAGAACAAAGGAGACGAAAAGCTCGTTTGTTGAAACGACTGCAATCGTGCGGAATTCGAAGGGCTATACAGCTAGAACTCATTTTCAATGCTAGAGTGGCGTGTCTTGGAGAAGGAAAGTATTGCAACGATCTCGATACGGTCATAGCGAACTAACGAAAAGTATATGATGCGAACTAACTATGCGAGAAGGGAGGGCAATCTTCGTCGATGCCCCAAAGTGTTGTGGTTAAAAAGACGTATAAGAAAAAAAGAATGGTTACTATATACTGAAGGCACGACGGCCCCACGCTCACTCGGCGTTGCGATAGAGATCCACCTCGTGCTGCAGTCTCGCGACAATCTGATCCACAGAAGCGACGAAAGAAAGGTATCAGTACTCGTTGAGCTAGACGCACAGGTCCTCGAAGCGGAAGGACCACTCACCGCTTGCAATTCTTCCTGTTCACCTCTCCACTGGGCTTGCAATTCCTCAACCTTGGCCGAATGCGCCAAATGCAACGAATTGACATCCCCGCCCTTGCTCGGCGACGGCGGTGGTTGTTGCTGCTTCGCACCCTGTTCCTTCAAAATCGAGAGCTGTTGCTTCAGCCCCTGAAGGGCATTGACATGATCCTCTTCCTTGGATTCGAGGACCTTGTCGTGGATCTTGGTCATAGCATTAATCTGTGCCAAGGCATCCTCTTGCGTGCGGCCGAGCGCGAGCTTGACGTCGGCGAGATCAGATCGAGCGGCCACGAGATCGGCCTTGGCCTGCTCCAGCTCTGACCTGAGCTCAGTGTCCTCGTCTGAAGCCCTGAGCCCAATGTCCTCGTCTGAAGCAATGGTCTCTGCAGATCCAGCAGCTTCTTTTGCCTTTGCCAATTCGGCCTCCAGCGATGCCACCTGCGACTCGAGGGTTCTGACGGTACCATCTCGCTTCGCGAGGTCCTGCAAAGAGAGTATCGTTCAGCCGGCCGCACATGCAGTGCTCCGCAGAAGAGGAAGAATACTCACACTGATACTGGCCTCAAGGTCGACTTTGAGCGCCCGGATCTCTCCCTCGAGCTCTTGCTTGGCGGACGTGACGTCGCTCGCCCTCGCTTGCTCCAAGGCCTCGATCTCCTTCGCATGGGCCTCACGTAATTGCGTGAACGTCTTTTCAGTTTCGACGCGCAGAGCCTTAAGTTCCTCCTGATGAGCCTCGGCCGCAGCCGATCGAGCCGTCTCGTAAGCGGCCTTGAGTTCCGTCCCCTGTGAAGACTCCACCTCGGCAAGCGCTTCGGCATGAGCTGACTTAATGTTCTACTCAACGGAGTAAGGATGAGCTTGTTGTTTCCAATCACTGATCATCAGCAACACCGCAACTCACTTCAAGTTCAGCCCTGAGTTTCTCGATCTGCTCTCTCGCGCCTTGGACCTCCGCTTCTGCAGCGGCCTTGGCTTTTCCGACCTCGGCGGCAGCTTGTGATAGGATCTCGTTAATGTTGGTTTGGGTGTCGTCAGGTGTCTTGGCGTCGGCAAGCTCGGTCTCGTGCAGTTTTCGCAGTTTTTCCAGTTCTGCATCAAGCGTCGTCTTGTGTTCGTCCTCCATCGCCTTGATCTGAGCCGCATGCTCATCCTTAGTGACGGTGAGTTGCGCTTTGATCGCGTCGTGAGCCTCTTGGATTGCGGCATGGTCCTTCTGGAGCGAATCAAACTGCTTGTCTTGGTCGTTTTGCGTCGCATCGAGTTGATTCCGGATGCCAGCAATCTCCTTGGTGTGTTCGCCTGACATCGCGTCGAGGGCGTGGGTATGTTCGGTCTTGAGCTTGGCCATCGCCGCCTCGTGCTCCTTCGCCAGTGCTTCTTGGATCGCCTTCGTCTCTTCTTGGTGCTTGATCCCGAGCTGCTCCAGCGTAGATACATGCTCGACTTGTAGCGCAGAGTGCTTCTCCTCGACGGACTTGCGCTTGGCCACGAGATCGTCTTGCTTCGACTGAAGTTGAGCCGAGAGCTCTTCCTTCTCCTTCGTGAGTGCTGCAACAGAAGCAAGCGCCTGCTCCAACTCTTTCTTCGACGCCGCCTCGTCTGATCGAGCTTGCTCCACCGCCTGTTGGCTCTCCTCGATCTTGGCCTCGAGTTTCTGGCGCACGGCGGTCTCCTCAGACAGCTTGTCCGACTCCTCGGTGTGGGCAGCTTGTGTCTTTTCCAGCTCGTCCAACGAAGCTTGCAGGGTCGCGCACTTTGCTTCGGCCGCGGCCAGTGCTGCTTCAAGCGATGCCGTCGAAGAAGATGCCGACTCCACCGCTTGCTGCTTCTCGGCGACTTCGACTTTGAGTTTTTCTAGCTGTGAGGTAAGGTCCGCAACCTGAGGAAAAAAATCCTTAATCGGGGATTCAGACACGACCAAACACATGGAGGGGGTCACTGACCTGCTTGGTGTGTTCTTCGTCGGCGGCCTTCTTGGCTGCGGCAGCCAGAGGACCGGCAGACGTAGGTTTCAACGTCGATCCGTTCAATCCTCCTGCAGAAGCGACACTCGCACGTGCACGGTGTGCGGCTCCAGTCGACGATGCGGCCGTCGAAGATGTTGCTGGCCTTCTGACCCCCGCTGTGCTCGCACCTGCCGTGACCGTGCGTGTCGACGAGGTCGTTGGAGTTGGTCGAGTCGCCGTTGGCGCGGTGGTGGTGCGGACGGGCTCGGCCACCGACGAACGGAGGGTGCTGCCCGCCGCGCTGGCGGCTGATCCGGGTCGAGAGGGCACAGTTGACTTGTTCGCCGCAGTTGAGGCGTTGAGTCTGCTGCGCTCTCGCGCGGTGAGACCTACAGTACCCGCGGTCGAGCTGGACGATAGGGGCGGAGCCGACGACTTTGCTCGAGTGGCCGTCGACGATGCGCCCGCGGCTGGAAGTCTGGGGGGCAGCCCACCGGAGAGAGATGCTCGGGGAGCTGTTGAGACTCGGGTCGAGGTCGAAAGTGATGCGGTCGGTTTGGCTCCGGCGGCAGAAGAGATCGATGCTCGCAGTGGGGCGCGCGTGACGGGTTTGCCAGCGGCGGGTACTTTGGTGGTCGAGGTCGACACGGTCGTGCCGATTTTGCGCACGGTTGTCTTCATCTGACCAACCGAAGGTTTCTCCGCCGCTGCTGTTTTGGCCGCAGCGGTGTTTCCCTCTTCTGTCGGTACCGGTGCGGCGGCAGATGTAGTCTTGTCGGACTCGGTGCCCGCCCCGATGGGCTCTTCCGAAGCGAGGGCAGAGGATTGATTTTCGTCTTCGATATCTACAGAGAGAAACAGGCAGGGTCGTCAGTATATTGGAGTATTTCCGGGGCGAAAATGCACTCCAGGAATGTGCACCGCATCAACGCCGGCGCGAACGTATGACGAGACCGTGGGGCCCGAGCGCCGTCGAGTCGAGCGAGTTCCAACGCCGTCAGTGCTCTGCCTTGTTCGTAGATGAACGACCAATATGTGTCATTCGTCCAATCAACCCGTCCACGAGATGAGTGGGTGCTTATCGGAGGCTGCGAACCGCCCAAGTGGACACGTGCCGCTTCACCCAACCCGCCCCACCCCACCTTTGAAGCTGAGCCGCGACGGTGGATCGATCGGGGGCACCTGATCCGCAGCGACAGGTCGTCCATGCTTCGAGTTCATGCAGATCAAGGAATTCCACAGCACTTGCTCACTAACCTCGAAGCTTCCTTTCGCCATTCTCCTCCTCGGTCGGTGCAGCCGCCTCGTCTTGCTGCCCGCCGTCAGGCCGGGTTTCACGCGCCAGCTCCGTCGTGTTGCCGTTGCTGGCCTCGTTGGACGGTGTGAGGTGGGCGATCGCAGCCGAGGCGGTGGGTTCATCGAGGGTTGGCTCCATGACGGCAGTGACGAGGTCGCTCTTTACGAGGGTCTGCGCGCCGAACAAGGTGCTTGAAGGTGGGTCGAGGCGAGAGAGCGAAGGTGACACGCCGCGCCCAAAGGAGACCTTCAACGGCCCGAGTCCGTGGAGCTGGGGGAGGCCGGTGAATGATCGGCTATATGATCGCCAAGCTCGGCACTGATCGGCACAGCAAGTGAATTTCGCAGCATAGATGGATGGATAGATGGACGGGTATCAATAGCTGTGATGAATATGGAAAAATACAACATGCACGAAATTAAGGGTGTGTCATCAGGCCTTGCGTTCCCCTTTCTGTGCCTTCTTCTGCTTGTCCAGGAGCTTCTTGGCGGCGTCATCCCTGAAAATTTTCCAAGGCAGCGAATGGCGGTAGAAGGGGTCAGTACGCAGTCCTCACAAGCTCCCGAGCTATGCTGCTCACTTTTGTTTCTTCAGATCGGCCTTGTCCTTTTCCCGCTTGGCCGACGCTTTGGCAGAATCTTCCTTCCGCCTCTGAAGCTCGGCACCTTTGACAATCGCCGCGTTCATGTTGGGAAGCATGAGTAGATCTAGCCACAGAGACAGGTCATCAGGCGGTTGTTTCATTTCACAACATAACAATACGGGGTGGCAACTCACCGACACCGGCCGCGAGTTGCTTTTGCTCGGCCTTCTTCCTTGCCTTCTTGCTGAGCGCTCGCGGGTCGATGAAAACCGCATCGGAGGCTTGGTCGACTTCATCGGCGGATGCATCGTCTTCTTCCTCCACGTAACCATATGCCTGCGAGCAAGAAGGTAGCATCGTGAGCCCAAGATCTGATTGCGAGTGGGACCCCTGATCGGCTGGCGCCGGAATGGTCCTGACTGACTGACCTGCACGAGTTCTTGCTGCTTCGCCGCCTCTTGTTCGGGGGTGAGCTTCTTCTTCCCCGTACTTTGTTCTTCTATCCCAAATAGAGAGCAATACAAGGGGTGGTCAGGTCAAGCATGTGGCAGCCAGCAAGCTAAACGCCGGTATCGAGCTGGGGACTCACTCTTCTCCTCCGCGATCCGTTGTGCTTCCTCGGCTTCTCGAGCTCGTTCTTGATCCTGGAGCTCGCCTGTTTCATCCAGAAGGTCGTCTATCGAGGCGCCCATCGCATCTGTAGCACCCCATAAACTTCGAGTTAGCTGCTAGACAGTCGATGTGCGAAGCTGCGAACTGGATCCGCCTTGCCGTCTTCCTCTTTCTCCAGGTACCCGAGGATAGCACTCTTCTTGTCCTACATCATATTAACCGAATCAGTCCCGTCCTACTTCCACCACACGTCCGATCGACCCACCTCACGCTCAAAGGAATCCTCCTTGACAATCCCGATCACGAACGACGACAACTCTTCATGATCTTGATCCAGGTGTAACTTTGACAGTTTGGACTCAATCAGCTCCTCGAGAGCAACCTCAAAGTCGGCCATGCTGTGTTGTCCCAGTGGCCGTAGTGCTGGTGCGTAGAAGCCCCAAACGAGAAGAGGGAGAAGGGTCTCCCGGTCGGGTCATCGCAAGGTTTGAGTGGTCCGAGCTCTCTTTTCATGCCTAGGGAGCACAACGAGTCTGCAAGTATCGCAATGTACTTGCCATGCATGGAGAAATGGGCTCTACCAATTCTCCGCTTTTCTGCGTGGTAGTTGTAACGGCGTTTCACTTCCGTGCCCGCGAGCTGCGTAACCGGACTCGGAACAATAATATGACATCTTATTTTACATTGCACAGACTCGTCGAGTATATTGAATTACAATTTGTGCTTTTAAAGCTTCTTCGTCTCGTGCTGTGCCCGTTGGGCTCCGGACTCGACCTTGTTTTCGGCCCACAGGAGTCCATCCTTGACATTGTCCTTGACATTGTCCTTGACGGCCTGCACGGCACCGACGGCGGCGTTCTTAGTCTCGCTGGCCTTGGTGGCAGCGACATCAGCGGCGTCGTCGGCTTTCTTTGACCCCCACGAGAACCACGACGAAGCTGCTTGCTTGGCCTCCTCGGCCTTCTCCTGCGCGACACGGCCCGCATCCTCGGCACCTCGCTTGACGGCGTTCGCCGTGTCCCTCGCGCCATCCTCGGCATACTGCGCAACATCGCGAGCGGACCTGCGCGTCGCATCGAGCTCACGCTGGGCCAAGTCCTTGGCTTCGTAGTAGTCGCGTTTGGTGGCATCGGCCGCTTCCTGTGCCGTTCGGTTCGCGGAATCGGCGGCGGACTGGATCTTGTACTCGGCATCGCGAGCGGCCGACTTGCTCGCTTTCTCGGCATCATCGGCCTTGGCGGATCCCCAGCTGAACCACGACTTGCTCTGTTGTACAGAAAAAAGCGAAGAGAATGGATCAGAATACTGCAACAAAGTTCGGCTTCGAAAGCTGAGTTGCGAGATACTCACCTCAGCTTTGATCTCTTCGCCCGTTTGCTTCGCAGAGTACTTGGCGTCGGCGACCTACAACGAAGCCAAACCAACAGGGCTCAGTCGCCGAAAAGTGACGAACGGCTGGACATCGATGCCAGCGACTCACTTGTTCTTTGGCTGTGGACTTGGCTTCGGCAGCCTTGTCACCTCCCCACGAGAGCCACGATTGTCCCTCTTGCTTGACCTCCTCAACTTTCTTCCCGACGGTGCTCTTGGTGTCCTGGTAGGCCGCCGTCGCTTCTCGCTTTGCCTTCTCGGCGTCCGACTCGGCGCTGCTGAACCAACCCGAAGCCTTGCTCTTGACCTCATCGGCCTTGGCTTGGACCTGGGTCGAGCGATCGGCCGAGAGCTTGTCCTTTGCCGAGTCGACAACGGACTCGACCTTGTACTTCGTCTTCTCCAAAGCATCTTCGGTCTTGTCCTTCGCAGCGTCGAAAGCGGATTCGGCCTTGTTCTCCAGCTGGCGGATCTCGCGCTTCGCCTCAGTGGGTTTGTTGAGATACCAAAATAGGCCGCCGCCGACCGCAACGATGCCGATGATCACGCTATGGAGGACAGAGGCGGGATTCAGAATGCTAAATGGCAGGATCTGAACGAGGGCTTGCGCCGACGACAAGTTGGCTCACGGGATGTTAGGTCCGCTTCCACCGGGCGCCGCCCTCGGAGGGTTGGGCACGGGATGGGGTTGCGGAGCACCGACAACAGGGCGGCCGGTGTTGACGATGATGGGCGGTTGGCCGGCCACAGGAGGGACTTGTGTCGCCCTCTGGGTAGAGAGGGTACGACGCGAGACGTTCTGTTTTTGAGTGATGATAATGAGCCCAGGTGGGGGTCGAAATCGGGCAACGTCAGCCGAGCTCTGAAACGACACGCGGATGGTCGAGGTGTGCACTGACCTGAGCAGCTGTGAGACGGGTTCTGAGAATGGAGGATTGCATGTTGGAAAGTTTAAGCTAGTCGTTGGTGGATAGCTGAGGAAAAAAAAGGGGGGGGTGGGGGGTGGGGGGGGGAGAACAGGAGGGAAGGGGAGAGGGAAGAAAATCAAGGCGGAGTGACGAGGTGAAGCTTGGTTCCGGCCTGACGGCACCAGAATCGAGGCCGTCGCGGCGCCTGTGGGTTACACGGCCCGCCCAGTCATGGCATCATGCTATCATGCTCAACCTCTGACGGGCTTAAGCGACTGCTGCGGGGGGCCGCAACAACACACCATTGAAATGTTGCTATGTGATTAGATTTACAACAGCCCAAAGCGTTGACAGTAATGGGCGACTTGGAAACACAACAATGTATGTAGACGAGGTATTGGGAAAGGAGCAGCTATGTATAATGGAGTCTGAAGATGCGAGAAAAGTCTCCGACAATGGAGAGGGCAACAGTGAGTACAATGCGAATTATGCAGTCGATAATACGACTAAATGCTACAGTATGGTTGGCGTTTCGAGAGGGATTTGGGTAGGGTCGATTATGGACCCTCAGGCGCTGGGGCACACGGCAGTTGAACGAGGAGGAAGCCGACTCGATCAAATATCTGATGGTGGTGTATAGTCACGCTCCAGCGTGGGTCCCGCAATCCTCATGATGGTGGGGATACCGCCGCCCTGAGCCTCGCGGTCGAGATAGGCGTTGACGTCGGGAAAGCCGCCGGGCAGTCGAGCCAGGAGCGCGCGCAATTGCATCAATTCGACGTGAAGATCCCGCGCAAAGATTTGCAGAGACTTGTTGCGCAACATGAGCTCGTTTGCTTCTACATGGGTTGATATTAGGACAGGTCAACCGATCAGCATGCACGTCTCGGGCGAGCAGAATCGTTGGCCTAGCAACGTACGGTTTTCGAGTTGTCCGTTTTTAATCTTCTTCCGTCGTCGCGACTGCAGAGCAGCGATGCGATTCTTTTCGAGGCAGATCTCGCGGTTTCGTTTGGCTTCCTCGGGCGAAGGCGGGGGTTTGGGCTTGCGACCTCGTTTGGCGCCCGGGTAAGAGCGCTTAGGGGATTCCGCAGCGACGAGGGTCGAACTTCCCGGCGCAGTAGCGTTCACCGTGGGATTCTTGGCCATCGCTGACAAACCCGACGGACTTGAGTCGAACAAAGACGAAGCCGGAGCCTTCTCTTGTTCGTGGGCTTCGTCAGAGCTCGAATCAGATCGGACCGTCGTTGGCGGGCTCAGGGTGCCGTCGCTACCTCTGACAGGAGGGCTGATCGATGAAAGGCGGTCACTGTCATAGGACACCGCACTCGTGGATGAGTTGCTACCGACGCGCACGTGATGGGGAGGGTTTGATGCCAGAGCGGAGGCAGTGGGACGCGGAGGCGGGTGCGACATGGCCGCGGTGCGGTAGCTCGCCGAGCTCGAAGTGGCGTACGGCGCGCCCAAAGGGTGGGCTGAAACGGGGGAAGAATGACGAGCGGCGGCCAGATGAGGATCTTGCAATGGCGAAGGGTCCGACCAAGGGGGATCGGAATGGTGAGATATCACCGAGGTAGAAGACACGCGACTAACGTCATGGCGATCGTAAAAGTGCGACGGCGAAGAGGTCGAACGGTGGTGATCGACGCCAGTCGATGACGCTCGAGCTATTGGTGCCGTCACAGGGGGTCCGGCCGGAGCTTCGGCGAAGGGGCCGGCGGAAAGGTGATGCTGATGGTGATGGTGAGGATGTTGGGGTGCCGAATAGGTGTCATAGTGCCCATGGTGCTGCTCCCATCCGGATTGATACATGGTGCTGTCGAGGTGAGGCACGTAGTGGGCTGGCTCGTGATGCTGGTCATTGCGGGTCGTGTCCCATGTTTCGGTCGCTGAGGGGGCCCACGCTCCGGCCGCAGAAGCCGGCGGGGTCAAGCCATACATGGTCGAACTAGGATGTTATTGAGTAGACGCAGTTGGCTACTCGAACATGAGGGATGACACAAGAAGGAGGGGATAGAAACACAAGAGGTACGAGGTGTGAGACAGTGGGTCAGTTTGTGGATGATCCGCGGAGCTCGAGCTCGTGGCCCGCGAAACGCGTCATGCACCTCAAGGGGCGTCGCCGACGCTTACCGCCCTCGGTTCCTACCAGCTTGAAGTTGGTTGAAGTCTGTCCCGACTAGACGTAGTTGACCTCGAGCGCTCGTGGTTCAGTTGTGGTGTCAACTTCAGGATCGTGAGAAGAAGAGATCGGTTGAGAAAATACCTGGTCGTACCTTGACAAATCGTGCAGACCGGCTGCGGAGGCCCGCTCACGCTCGCGCGGACTTTGCCGCGAGATCGGTTGGAGATGCGCACCCCCTTTTCTTCGCTTCGCCCGGCGATCGCGCCAATCGCCAGTTCATCTCCAAGCTTGCGGCGCTCCACGCGCGACGCTCGCGGGTCGGTGGTTTTGGAGTTGGCCTCGCGATCCGTCCAATATGATAAGCTTTCGTGTCACGGTAGCGAGCTCGGACCAATCCAGTGGACCAGCTCCCATAAGCCTCTTAAAATTGTCAGTATGTAGATAAGCAGGCACTTACGATGTAGCCACGTCTGAGGTTACGTCGATCGCCCATCAGTGTTTCACAGGGACTCATTTGTTCGGTCAAATAGTCCCCTTTGTCGGTGCGGTGTCCTCAAGCGATGTCACATCCGATGCGGTCCTGCTTACACGCTCTCACTGCATCCAGATTACCGATGGTCATGGGTACTGTATACTTTTCTAGTAGATCCACGCCTCTCCGTACAACGCCCAGCTGTTAGCCAACCACTGCACTGAGTGTTGCACTGTTCGCTGAGGGTTGCGTCAGGCTCATGCACGGCCATAGTCACGTGATCCGGCAGACGAACTCGCCCCGCGCCCACTCAAAACTACATCAGATTGAGGTAAAGGCGCGGCGCGCGCCTCATGCCGTTTGTGCCGGCAGTGGTTTCACCTGCGCAAACCAGCGGGATTAACCTTGCCATCTAGGCGTCCTGTGGCAGGTCGGGACCCGGGACTTAGTACGCTCAATCGTGAACACAGTTCAACACACGGCTTCGCGCCTGCCTCCAATTGGGCTGATCGCCAGCTGATCAACTTCCGTCCCAATCCCGATGTCGCCTCCGGCCCGTATCAGAAGGCGGCATCCGAGCCGGAAGCTTCTCTAGGATTTCCGTCGCAAACTTCTTGCGGTGGCCCGAGGCACCACCGTCTCAATTCGTTACATCACCTCAGATAAGCTCAGCTTCTCGATAGTGTAGTGATGGGACTGTGCAGATTTGATGTCGACCAATTCTCTGCATCTCTCTCTTCCCCTCTTGACTCGATTTGTTCAAGCGTCGCCTATCCTCTCCGTAAATCGGTGATTTGTCGCCTAATTGACCGATCCGAACTGCGCGCTTTCCCCAAACTCAAATCCGTGGTGCATGCGCATCTCGATACGTGCACTCAAAAACTACAATACACGAAAAGGGTTCACGAGGGAGGCTCAATGTAGGAGTTGGATCTGGCTAGGCTAAACAAGGACAAGTCGCCTGCCACTTAGCACCGCCAGCGTAAGAGTTCCGAGGTGAAACCAATTCGAAAGCAACAGAAATGGAGGTGGTGTGGTGAAAGATGGAGGCGAGACGGGTGAACACGAGACGAGTCAGTCCGACCCTACGCCCCACGAACACGATCACAGCTAGGTGGTTACTCACACTTTCGACGATGGGAGGGATCGAACGACAGACTCTACCACACCACAAAGGCCACCGTTTCGTATCCTCCTGAAAAGGGGGGCGATGTCGGCAAGATTAAGTGGTGCGAGAAGTGCAGAGCGCGTCGACGAGGAGAAGGAAGGAGAAAGAGAGAGAGGTGACGAGCTCGAGGTGGTCGCCGACTTGGGTGCGGGGTGTGCGCTTGGCAGAATGAGTCATCTCATCGATATGACGCCACGCTGTGACTTCAAGCTTTCGATCTTCTCCACCTCTGCCGAGCGCGGCGGCCGAGAGCGCCGAAGATCTGAACGGACAGGGGACCGTGCACCCCACATCGAGGCCCACGATCCACCCCTCGGAAAGACCGAATACCTTGTCGATCAAGCTCGGTCAAGTCTCAGCAAGTAGGTTGAGCTCCAGGGATCACCCCAGAATTGAAATCGCCGCGATCGATACAGCGGTTGTCGCTCCAGCAGCTTGGTCCGAGTTGGGACGACCCCGAACTCCGAGTCCGCCGCGGAGCTGAGTTGCGGGGCCGGCTTCACGCAGTTGGGAAATGGGAATTCCCGGAACTGAGTGTTACGAAGAACAAAAGAAGATTTGGCTGAACTGAGAGTCGAACTCAGGTCCACTCCATTAATTAGAGTTGCTCTGACCTCTGAGCTACTCAACCAGCGGGAATAGATCAAAGCAGCGGCGCACCCGGGTCAAGCCGGCGGCGGTTCTCCCTCCCATTTACTTTCACTTTTACTTTCACTTTCACTTTCACTTTCACTTTCACTTTCACTTTCACTTTCACTTTCGAAATCGCGCCACCCACCACCTTCGAAGCTACAAGTGATACATCAGCCTACATTAGCATGGAGACCGGCGACACCGGCCCACCCCCACCATCGGCGTCCGCGGCGACGAGCGTCCCGATTGGGACAAAGGAGACGCAAGTCCCTATCGCCGCCGCGACCTACGCCACCGCCGCGATTCAAAAGACCAAGCAGACTCCCGAGCAGCAGACCCAACAACAACACCGTGCCAAGGCTTTGACCCAAATGTTCGAAGTCATGGGTGCTGTACCGGGCAATCGCACCGACCGGTGGTTGCAAGCCATCTTCGCCACCGACGAGTATCCTGTCGCTACCGCTACATCGCTCAAGTATTCGGCTCTCAACGCCAATCGATCCATTCGAAACATCTTCGACTTTGCTCTCGACGTCACTTTGACCGTCCAAGGCGCCTCGAAGGCCTCTCCCGCGGACAAGGCCGATCTGCTCGGTTGCGTCACGAGACTGCTCTCCCCGCAATCGCCCCTGTGCTTCGACGCCGAGGTCACCCTTCCCGAGCACCTTGCGGCGTTTGCGCCCCAGATTAGGGGTATCCAACGCTCGTCTTTCGTCAGGGCCGGTGTGGTCAACCACCGTATCTCCGTGGGATTCGTTTCGGCGAAGGCACGTGACTCGGCGCTTACGGCCCCACTGGCGCTTACTTGGCACTCTGCAAAGGCTCACTTCGCAAAGGCCCACCACTTCTACCACAACATGGTCGAGCTGCGTATCAACGTCGGTGTCGCAGCGGTCCCATCCAGGGATGCCATTGTTGACTCTTTTAAATCAATTGTCACCAAAATCACAGCCAAGGGACACCGTTGCGAGCTGGTACAAGTCTTGCGCGTGATCCACGTCGATAACGACTCGGCATATGCGCACTTGGCCGGCGAGTTTTCGGCCTTTATCCGCTTCGACGACGACGCCCTTTTCAAAGCCCCTAACAACACGCTGAAGGAGCTCCTACCGTCGAAGGTCTCTCTAGCCACTAGAGGCAACATGCATACGGCGGTTCGTCACGACTACGAACGAGAAGCGGCCTGTGCTCGGTGCCACTTTGTGGGGCATGTGGAGACCTGCGCGCTGGAACAGGAGAGGAGGCAGAAGGAAGCGAACAACAACACCGGAAGGCACAACAAGCACCACAACAACCCAACCAACACCACCAACAACAACAACGACACCACCAACACCAACAACACCGACAACGACGCTTCCGAGGTTGTGGCCCCTAGCCGCGCCCTCGGAACCGACCAACTCGAATCGCGGAACCGATTTGCGGGGCTCGAGGTCGAAGGAGGACAGGAGGATGACGTCGAGGAGGAGGATGCAGGAAAGGAGGGCGAGGAAAAGGAGCAGGTCGAAGAAGGAGACGAGGATACGGGCGCCAAGGCGGACGACGAGGATTCGGACTCGGATGGGAACGCCGGAGCGGGCATCGACAAGGCGGGAGGCGACGACAAGGACGACGACAAGGACGACGACGAGGACGACGACAAGGACGAACAGGACGACAGCTCGGAGGGAAGCGAACAAAGGGAGGACGAAGGAAACGATGGGGATGACGTGATGAAAGATGGAGCAGAGGAGGAGGACGAAGGGACGGAGACGGAGGTGGAAGAAGAGGTCGAGCAGGAACAGGGGGTACAGGACGACAGCATCATGATCATCGACGACGACCAAACGACGATCACCACGGTTTCCCGCGAGTCGACTCCTCGGAGTCCCTCGTGGCCTCCACTATCTCCTGAGACGTTGGCAAAGTCGCTGCGCGAGGGTGCGGAGTGGGACCGAGCTAACGCCGAAGCTGCTGCACGTGTCCAAGCAGAAAAGGAGGCGATCATCAACGCCCAACTCGACGCGGAGGAACCGCTCGTTCGCCACCAATTTGCAGAGTGGGGTCAGGAAGATGGACAACTGCGATTCATCAACATTCGTGGCACCGGCTCCGGGTCGAACAAGAAGATGAAGAGGTCGCAAACGGTGGCCGATCTCAGCGATCCGAGCGACGACCCGGTCGATATCAAGCGCGTTCTGAACAGGGTCAAAGGTCGAGCAGGAAAGGAGGTAGCGGGTCAGGGGAAGAGGGTGACGAGGTCGATGTCGGCGGCGGCGGCGATGCAGGTCGAGGGGGCCAAGGCGAAAGCGGAGAAGGGTAAAGGGGTGGAGGAGGAGAAGCGCTGGTCCGACCACGAGCCCGAGGATGACATTCTCCCCGAATTCCCACTCTTTGAGGACGACACTACCGCCAAGAGCACGTCTACATCGTCTACCCAATAATGATCAAGCACACCATCACCAGCTGGAACGTGAGGAGGTGCATGGGGATCCCGGAAAAGCGACGCAACATTTACACCTATTTATCAACATTCAAAGCATCCGCCATTCTACTACAAGAAC